ACAACAGCGACAATAGGGACCCACGATCCAGATGTATGAATTGCTGGCATTCCACTTGCTTGCGTCTTCTCTTCGTATTGCGCCCATGCATCGGAGGTATAGTGTACGGAGACATTCTCATGCAAAGGAGGTCGTATGTTTTCACTTCGCCATTCGCCAAAGCAATGAAGGCCTATAATGCAGCGGCGCCTGAGACGCCGTGGAAGGTTTTGAATCAAAGAAACTCACATGTGTATGTGATGGGGACACAGTGATACAGCTGACAGCTCTCGTCAGCAGAGAGGCCATACGGTGCTATATTTCGTGCTCACTTGACAGTTTGAGGTAGGTGCACCACCTTGAGTAGTTTAGGTTTGCCTAACGTTGATAGATCCCATATGTGTAGGCGATAGCGGTCGTCTGTATGAGACAGTGAGCCCCTGCGATGTAACATAAACAATTACATATCGAACCAACACAGAGTAATCGGAACAACGTCTCTGCAAAGCTGAGGAAGCTCGCCCGTGCTCCTGGTGGATCCGAGAGACGCAGAGTACATTCGGCACCAGGAGAACCATACACGACGATCTGACCAGAGAGAAAGCCTAGTAAACCGGTCGGTCAATGATGAGTCAACATTAAAGGCGGGATACGATCCAGCTTACCAGCTGCAAGCAGTCCTGAGACAGGCTCTGTAGCAAGGGCCGTGACGTTAAGATGATGGCGGACATGCCTCAGAGTACCAGCTTGCCAATCGATCTCGTCGGAGAGCTCAAGGGAGAGATCAACGTAAGACTTGTCATTTTTGAACAACATGGGGGTCAATATCAGCGTCCTGTGCCACGGTCGTAGACAAGAGACGATCGCTGCCACTGGCGGTGCATGGCCCGGGCCTCCGGACGCGCGCAGCGACGACAGCGACGCGCCAGGCGCCCGCCACGTGAATTCAGGCCCGCGACAACGCGATCACGTGCATACGTCCCGCCGATGTTGAAGTCGGTGGTCGCCTTTAGCGCTCTCATCAAATCACCATCGTGTGCCGCCCTCTCGACCCCGTTCCCCACATTACACGCCGCCGTCGCCGTCGACATCATGTCGACATGGGGCATTGGTGATAACCACGACTCCGACGAAGTACAAATCCTCAAGGAACAACTCCGCAATAAAGGTACGCGTTGTGGCTTCAGACGCATTCGCATATACCAACTTCGTTTCCCCAGATGCACAATATACTACGCTCCACAGCCAGTTGCTCAAGAGAGAAGACGATTTGAAAGATATACAGGCCTCTTTTGATGACGTAGTCACAAAGGTACGTGGTCTGCTCGCTTGTCTTGTCTAGATTTGACATCTGCATGCAGCTTCGACGAGAGGCCGACCGCGCCATCAAATTGGAGGCTACCATAAACCAGCGTAATCAAGAACTACAGAACGAACGCACTACGCGCCAGAATGTTGAAGCTGCTCTGGTCGCTACGCAGCAGAAGCTAAAGACCGCTGAACAAGCGTCGCTCGAACTACACGGAACACTTGATTCGCTAAGCAGGGGCATGCAGTCGACCACATCGCAGAAAGGAGCGCTGGAGACGGAGAACGCTTCACTAAAGGCGAAGATGCGATCTTTGCAGACAGAGCTGGCAGTCAAGGAACATGCGGCAGAATCGACTTTGCGGCAAAGTCGGAATGCGGCCCCGGGCGTGCGCGGTCGCCCTAGGTCCTCGTCTGTGAACAACTTCCGGGTCACTGCGCTTGAGCGCGAGTCCGCTGATTTGAACAGCCGTCTGGCCCAGCAGACGAAGGAGCTACACGAAGCCAAAGCCCAGGCGACACGTCTACAGGAATCCCTCGTGCGACGGGAGAACGAGAAGATTGCCACGGAGAAGCAACTCCGCAGGGAGCTTGAGCAAGCACGATCCGAGCTTGAAGACAGCCAGGAGGAGTTGCGCACGTTGCAGGGTAGCGGCGGGGCCGACGCGGCTGCCAGAGAAATGGGGCTCTTGGAGCGTTTAGAGGATGAAGAACGAAAGGTCGCAATGCTCGAGGCAGAGCTGAAACGTTCTGGTGGTACGCAGACCAAGAGAGAGCTTGCGATGCTGCGAGACGAAGTCCAGAGGACTTTGGGCTTACTGCAGGCCGAGAAGACAAAGGTTGCGGAGGCGGAGACAAGATTAGTCGAGCTGATAGATGATAAGGAAGCTGCGTTGGACGAGCGGGACCGGGCTTCTGAGCAAGCACAACAAATGCAGGAACATGTCCGTGGCGTGAGCAGCAGAATACAGTAAGTGATCACAGTGAAGCACACAGATCATACTGACGACGGTCGTAGGGATCTCGAGGCCCGACTCGCGACCTCCGCTCAGGGCACTCTGGTCCCACTTTCTCCGGGCAAAGATGCCGAGACTGCGGCAACGATCGAACGGCTGCTCAACAAGATCGAGAGTCTACGCAGCGAACGTGATGGCCTCCGTTACGAGCGTGATGACCTACAAAGAGACTTCGACTTCTTAAATGACGAGAGCAGGTTTACTATCGAGGACCTCCGAGCGAAGCTCGCTGCCGCTCCGGTAGCTTATCCAGCCGGTCCTTTCCCTGCGCAAAAGTCTGTCGTACAACTCGGACTTCCTGGCAGACAGGGCATACGGCTCCAGCGACATGCACTCGTCTTTGCCCTCGTGGCTCAGCATGCAGCCGATCATGACGCACACAATCTCTCGCGGATCGAGTACCTTTCGCAGGCCTTGGCCGCTGCTCACGATGAGTACGCGCAGACTCAGCTATATTTGGCCGATAAAGAGGCAAGCGTGTGCAGCTCCAATGCTGTCCTCGCGGAGAAAGATGCTCGGCTGCACCAAGTCGAAGCAGCGCTCGCGGAGTCTACCCAGAACTTGCACTTGGCCGAGTCTACTATAGCGGCGTGCAAAGACATCATCGCTCGTCTGGAGGAGGAGCGTTCTCTCGAGCGGGACCAACAAGACGACGCAGCCGCCACTCTCACACAGGCTGAAGCCCGCTTCGAGGAGCTTTCGCAGGCCCTGCTTGAAGCCGAGACGCAGCGCGATGCACTCGCGCTGCAACTACAGCACGCGCAGCAAGATCTCGAGACCGCCCGCCAGGAGCTTACGGAGGCGGACGAGCGGTCGGCGCAGCAGCTACGCTCTCTGTCTTCAGGAGAGTCTGACAAAGCACTGCACAACCAGATCAAGACACTCGAGGAGCGCGTACTCCGACGCACAGAGCAGATCGGCGTCCACCAACACGATATCAAGCGGCTAGAGGCGAACTTGAGATTGCAGGAGGAGCGCGTTGCGGAGATGACAGGCGAGCTGGAGGTTATGACAGGCGAGAAGGAGGCGATGGTGGAGGACTGCAGGGCCAGTAGGGAAGAGAGGGACGAAGCACGCGGCAAGGCCGAGTCGCTCGAAGAGAAGGCGGAGCAGCTCGAGGACGAGAGGGACGAGATTCAGGCCGCGCTGGAAAGCGTGAAGGCAGAAGCGAGACGTCTTGCCGACGAGGTCCAACAACTCACGCTACATCGGACTGAGTCGGAGACCCTGCACGCCGAACTGCGATCCTTGAACGAGGAGCGCATCTGCCTGTCGCAGGCTCTGGAAGAGAAGACACGTCAGGCGGAAGGACTTGGTCACGAAGCGTCTCGTCTGGAGAACGAGACCATCCAGGCTACTCTTGCGCTCGCTACACTGCAGACCGCCCTTCGTGCTATTGGGCTGTCTGGACGCTGTGCACAAGATGCTAAAGTTATGGCGCAGCGAGAGTCCGCCCTTCTGCGACAAGACGTAGAGGAGAGGGTAGCCCAGATCACGTCATTACAGCAGCAGCTAGACGCGTTGCGTGAGTTGCAGGCGGCCGCCGAAGGCGAGAAGGAGGCACAACTCCTCGCGGAACAGACAAGACTTCAGGAAGAGCTCCAGTCCCTCCGATCCGCCCACTCTGAGTTACGCTCAGCTCTCGAACGAGACAGCCAGCATTTCGCCCAGTGCAGCGAGGAATTCCAGCAGAAACTTGCGGAGAGCGCCAGAACCCAGTCACAACTGCGAGAGCAGCTGGCTACGGCACAAGCAGAGAAGGCCGAGGTAGTACAGGCTCTGCAAGGCCAACTCGACAACGTTGCGGCCGAACTTGAGGCGCTTCAAGCATCTCACGAGCAGTCGAAGCAGTCTCACCAAGAAGCCGAGGCAGCCCTAAAAACCTCCAAGCACGATCTCGAACGTCAACTCGAAGATGCTTTGGAACGACTCCAGGAGACGGATCGCGTCGGTGATGAACTCTCAGCCATTCGTGCGGAACAACAGAAGGAGCTGGAGGACTTGCACAATGACTTCGAGCGCACGAAGGCCGACTTGACCGAGGTCAACTTCGCGCGCAAAGAGGCTGACGCACAGTGCGAAGGTCTGCTCGAGGAAGTCGAGTCTCTCAAAACTCAGCTTTCGGAGAAGACAGAGGCCTATGAGGCCGCCGAGGCTGAATTTGAGCGGCTGCGGGACTGCGAGCTCAAGGAGATGCACGAAAGACTCGACGGCGCCGCTCGGGAAGCGGAACAGGTTCAGAGCGCTCTCGCCGAAGTGGAAGACCGATATCAGCAACTCTTCGAGGAGTCATCCACGGCGAAGGACGACTTGCAGAACCAGCTCACGTCTGCGCAGGACGAGGTCGACTACTTAAAGGCAACCCTTCGGGGCGAGATGGATCTGCACGCGCGGACGCAGAAGGAGCATGAGGAGGAAGTGCGCCTCGCTAAGGACGAGACAGCTGAGGCAGAGAGGGAGAGCGACCAGCTCCGTCAAGAGATAACTGCTCTCCGTGCGCAACTCGAGGAAGCAGACTCTTCGCTACAGACGCTCGAGAACGAGCGGACAGCTCTGCAGTTCGACGCAACCAGCATGGGTGCGGAGGTACAGCGCCTCAAATCCCTCCAGCGCTATCTAGAGAGCCAGGTCAAGGAGAGGTAAGTATCACGTCGCGTCTATTCCGACGAACCCCCATACTCACCAACGATGACAGTGAAACCCGTATCCAGTCTTTGTCGGACGACCTTGACGAGGCACGCTCCAAACTTGTGCAATCCGAGAAGGCATTCCAAGGCCTGGAGGCGACCTCATCAATGCGGGAGATTCAGCAAGAGCAGACCATCCATGCGCTCAAGCGTGATCTACAGGCTCTTCGATCGAACCCTTCGTTGGAAGAGAAGATCGCCGATCTTGAGGAGCGAAACATGGAGATGGAAGAGCACCTGCGTAACAAGTGCGCAGAGATTGAGGAGAATGACGATCGCTTCATTGAGTGCGTAAGATTCCGGGTTGCGTAGATCCGCCTCACTGACAGTCCGCCTCACAGGATGCTCAAAGAGAAGAAGAAACTCACGAGCAGGATCGAGACGCTCACGAGAAAGCTTCATGCACTCCAGAGCAAAGTTGCGGCCGGAGAAGCTGACGCGTCCACGCCCAAGGCTGAGGCAGGGCCTTCTTCCGCTCCTGCGCTACGTGCAGCAAGGTCCTCGTCATCCATGGCTCCTCAGCCTGTCGTCCCCAGGCTGGAGCGCGTACCACACTCACAGCCTCCATTGCCAACTCCTACATACACGCCAACGACCCCCAACTCTCGCTCACGTATCGCCTCGGGGCCATCGGCGTTGCCGAGGCCCAAGACACCAGAGGTCCGGACGTCACAGCCTACCGTCTTCAGAGCTCGCACGCCAGAAGCACGGCGGACGCCGTCCCAGGCGCCATCCCTGCCCCCCATCCCCGCCATGCCCATCGCGTTCTCATCCTCGTCCATGGCCACGACGAGCACGGCGGGCAAGAAGCGCAGGGCGCCGGACGACTTCGACGACTGCGAGAGCCTGCCTCCGCAGGGCTTCACCGCCGACTGCCTGCCCGTCAACCAGCCCGCGACGCCCCGCGCCCGCAGAGCGCTGCAGGCGGTGCGGACGGGGTTCACGCCCGTGCGGAGCCACGTCATGCAGCTGTCCCCTCGGCGGGCGACCACAGCCGCTCTTCCTCCTGCGATCGCGGACGTGACGAACAGTCCGCGCGGGAAGGCGGCCGCGCAGGAGGCGACGGCTGCGAAGCGGGGGTGGCTGGGCAAGATCAGGAATGGGTCGGGGCAGGCGAGGGCGGTGTCGTCCCGGCCTGCGTATGACCGCAGGTGACGACTTGCCATTGCCAGTGGGATCATGACTCTGAGGTTACGAGGTTCGCCAGTTATGACACACACTGTATAATGTTCCTGGTCCTATGAGCTCTCTACGTCTATCTTTATGTGTTGTGCATGCACCGTACAGGTCCTGTATCCTTAGCACGCATGGACTCTCTCTCGAATACATTCTATTGATCATCTCTAACTACGCGATGCTGATACATGAGTGCTATTTGAGCTGTACGAGGCAACTATACATTTGGCGCTTACATACGCGTCATTCAAGTTTGCTGCTACACACTGACCGGTAAGACGTTTTCTCGACCTAGCATACATCCCGTTGCGATCTTCTTACGTTGGCGCAGCCCGGGCAACCACCCCTCTCTCAATTGTTCAATTTGCTTGCGATCAAGTCTGTCACCTCTTGCGCGGCGCCCCACGAGTTCTGGTATCCCGCAGCGCTATCGAACGCGTCGCGGCTCAGCACTGCCAGCACTCCTCCACGCCCCAAGCTACAGACTCACCCGAATCCATACGCGTGGACAAGCAACACGCGTCCTTCCGCACCCACATCGCTCTCCCGCAGCGGCAGCAGCTCGCTCTTCAGCGGCACGTCAGTCCACGCCGCCTCCACGCGCGGACCGCCCTTCCTCGCCGGCCGCAGCCCAACGTTGTGGCGCAGGACCCGCGTCTCCGCGTCCTTTAGCTGCGGCGCCAGCGCGGCGCACCGTTCAAAGATGCCCTTCGCCGTCGGCACGTCGAGCGAGGTGTCCCAGTTGTCCGGCTGGAAGGTCCCGCCGAGCAGGACCTCGCCCGGCGGCGAGGGCCGCGGGATGATGTAGGTCGCCTGGCCCTGCGTGCCCGTACCGAGCGGGAGCGAGATGAACTCTTTGAGGCCGGGCGCGTGCACGATGATGGTCTGCCCGCGGATGGGGAACACGTCCGTGTCTTCCACGCCGACCAGGGAGCGGGCGCCTGCGATCCAAGGCGTGGTCAGGGCGATCGCGCGGATGGGGTGTGTGTGTCGAGTGCACGAGGCTACGGCACGCACCTAGGCCGGTTGCGTTCACGAGGACGCTGTTCGGGCCTGCGAGGGCGACTGCCTCGCCAAGGCTGTGCACCCTCCTGCGGACGAACTCTACGCCGCGCGCGAGCAGCTCGGACTGGAGCCAGGGGAGGTAGAGCTCCGGGTTGACGGAGAAGGTCTTAAACGCGATGCCGCCCTGCAGGCTGAGGGGACTTCACCGGGTCCAAGACGCGGAACTGCGGGAGGGGTGACGTCGATATGGTGAGCTCGCGAGTGTTGTGGAGGGAAGTTGACTGACGTCTCTGACGAGATCCTTGTACCACAATTGGCTGAGATCTTCGTTCGTCGTGAAGAATACCCGCGAGGGAAGCGCCTGCGTAATTTGCTGCAGTCAGCTCCCGAGGCGTCGATGCGCAGAACGTACCATAGCCAGCCCTTGGGGAATCAATTCCCACATCTTGTTGCTTCCCTGAGGTCACCCTCTGCATCCGCACCGCATGGCGAGAGACTCACAATGTTGCTCGCTCCCACGTCCGCGTCCTCTCCTCGAAGCTTCTAATCGGTGACCAGTTCGCCCCCTAAACGGACCGGCATGTTACGATACCTCTCGAGTCGACAGCCACCACAAACGCACCGCCCATGGACTCGCAAACGACTGCGAGTGAGATCTTCAGGCATGTCTCTTGCGACGATCTTGATGTTGTACGCATTGGGAGAGGTGGTCAACAGAGTGTGGGCGATGGTGAGGCCGATGACCCCTGCGCCGAGGATGACGACCTGAACTGGCCTGCCTTCAGACATTGCTGGTTCGAGTTGTGTTCTCCGTCCGCCCTCTGTCCGCAAAGGCTCAGACAGGCGATGGCGTGCGATGACTCGTATCCTAACCCTGACCTAGGGCTCTTCCAATCACGTGCCGACTGCGACCGCCGCAGTGTCGACGAGTTCACCACTCGCCACATTGTCGCAACTGCTCTGACCTTGCAAGTCGTTCTTGCTGCACGCACTGCTTCGAACGCTGAACGGCGACCACACTGGAGCGAAAACCGTCGTTTCAAAAAGGAAGGTCATGGCCCACGACGCGTAAGTACCTTACGTTGTAGCGTCGAACTGGCGTCGAGAGCTCGAGGGTGCGCGGTAAGGTGAGTTATGCGCATTGCTGAATGAATTGAGAACTGCATTGGTGGACCGTTGATTGCGAAACGGGGTCTGGACTGCCTTCTTCTGGCTCTCCGCGAGCCCACAACGTGTTTTCCGTGCGGTCGGAAGCAGTCGACTTCATCCAACGCGCATCATGATAGACATTGCGTGATAGACATTATTGCACGCTGTTCGTATACAGTATACCTCCAGGAACTCACATGACCCGTCCTCAGAACACTGTCCTCCTATATGCGCCGGCTTTCTCAATCTGGCGACCACAACGGCTCGTGCCTTCATACAAGTCGCCACTGTACGGACCGAACGATGCGAGGTTGCGGTGTAGGGCTTTCCACCTTGTGCTGTCCTCTATAGCCTCAGAAGCGCGTCCCCACAACGTGCACGCAGCAAGTCCACCAGTCCTCGGGAGAATATGAATGCCCTCAGCGCAGTGCGATCCTCCCAACCTCATCGTACTCCAGCACTCCGGTAGTCGCTTCCCCCGCATCCTCACCCCAATCCGGCATTGGTCTCTCTTTCGACCACACTCATGGCTCCCGAAGTCAAGTTCACCGCGTGGGGCATCCCGTACCTAGTCGAGTTCAAGAACGTCGCCTTCCGCGCGCGCCAGCGCTCCCGCTCCCCGCCGCGCGTCCCCACCATCGCCCGCGACTCCCGTTGCTTCTCCTTCATCCTCGTCGACCGCCCGCCCAGCTTCGACGACACCACATCCATCGCAAGCGTCGAGACCGCCTCCTCGGAGACGCTCGCCTACCCCGGCGACGACACCGGCGAGGGCGAGGGCCTCTTCATCCAGTTCGCGACCCAGCGCCGTGGGATGCACCAGAAGCTCTCGAACACACGGCTCTGGCGCCTGAAGCAGCGCATCGCGAAGGCCGTGCTGGCCGCGGGCATGGACGCGTCGCCGGGGACGGAGAAGACGGACCCGATGGACGTCCCGACGCTGTCGAGGATGTCGTACGGGAGCATCCGCTCGGACGACTCGTCGCCCATGCCGGACGGCTCGCCGGGCGCCCTGTTTAGCGGCACGTACGGGCAGGTGATGGTGGCGCTGCAGGCGCGGGGCTCGTCACGACGCCGTGCAAGGAGTCTGGGTTCGACGAAGGTGCGCAGTGTCGGGGCGTTGGTCTGCAGGAGCGAGGACCTCACGTGTGTTGCAGCTACCCGGCTCGGCGCGCTGTTCGTCGCGAACCATACAATGGACAGCAAGGTCGAGTTCACTAAGCTCACTTTGTGGGCATGAACACGTCTCGTGAGTATATGCTACTTCGGTTGCTCTGTCTGAGACTGACGACAATATATGTCGTGCGAAGCTGACTTCGCGATAGCATATTTATGCTTAACCACTATTGGAAACCTATGCGCAGGTCCCCCTGCGCTATTCACCCATGATGACGGAGACGGGCTGTAACGAAGAGGCTTGGTGGTGATGGCCCTCAATAGTGTACGATAGGAAGTGAAGGGAATAAGTGAAGGGTCACCCGGACACCCGCCACCTGTGGACCAGGGAGCGGCTGCGTAGCTGGTACTATGCGGTTGGGGGCGTATATTTGATTGTCGTCATTTCCTATGGACACAGGACAATGACCATTGTATAACACCCACTAGCGGAACACCAGCATAACGAGAACACAGATGCGCAATCGGAGAGACGAGGTGTTCGCGGCACCGATCAGCTTGGTGAGTAGAGTTTGGGTCTTGAACGTTGTCAACGATTTGAAGGTGCAGCTCGAACAGCGATAGCAACGGAGTGTTCTACGCACCAACGCAACAATCCTAGTCAAATCATCCGGTAATTGAACGAAGGTTTGGGCCGGACAGTGCTCGGGTTCCTTGCAGCAGCGCCATATAAGTCTTGACAGTGCAGTATTAAGTCTAGATGCTCAGGGCTTGCTCCGAACCTAAGGCCCAAGGGACTACAGGGTATCTCGGACACGGCAATGTCACTGTCTTTGTCCTGCAGCTCCACTCATCCCGACCAATTGGATGGCCTAGGCACATAATGAACGGCGGCTGGGCGCGCACTACGTGGCCAAGCCAATCTCACCGATCGAGATGAAGGGACCAGGGACGATGGGGTATTCCTGACCCGTCGCTGCGGTCGCCCGAGGTCTGAAGCTTGTTTGGTGCATCTCAAGTCTCATAATTATGTCTCAAAATGGTCCCGCGCCGCAGAGGGCAGGTTCACAGTTCCGTGCGTGTGGTGCCCCATCTGCGCAGACTTTCTATTGACTGTCACCCCGTAACGTAGGAGGACTGCGCGCGTGCGCGCGGGGAGCCTTCCAGTAACAGGGGTAGGAGCGGAGGCGAACCCCGTTACACCGCAATGGCTGTGGACGGCCGAAGGTGCTGTCAGTGCAGGGCGGAGATGAGGATGAACCACTCCCGGCGGGTCGTGCGCACCATGAAGCCGGAAAGAGCATGGCCGGCAGCCACCCGCCCCTGGCCGCGCCATGATCGAGATCGGCTCCGCCCCGCCGTCTCGCACTGGGCCCGCGGCCAGCCCGCGACCGTTGCTGGACAGCCCCCCACTCAGTTTTCCCGCCGTCCAGGTCCGAATCACGCGGAGGATTGTTCCCGGGACTCAATTATAATGTCGGCGGTCCTCGATCACAGTTGCCTTGGACGCTACTCCCACTACGCTCCTCGTTATCATTCTCGTGTGCGGTGGCCAACATGGTCGGCGTGAACCTGCATCTCAATGACACGATGGGCTGCACGTTCATCGGGGTGTTCTTTTCTCTCGCGTGAGTAGCGTAACTTCGTCATGATTTCTGGGCAGATGCTGATGTCGAACAGTCTGTACGGGGCCTCGTGCGCGCAGACGATATTCTATTTCTACGAGTACCCGGCGGACAAGATGAGAGTGAAGTCATTGGTGAGTAGGCCCCCTGCGATGTGCGTGCCTATCTCACATCGCATTGAAAGGTGACCATACTATGGTGCGCATACTCGCACCAACCGCGCAGAGTCGCATCTGACAGCCCAGGACAGGGTACTGGATACCGCTAGAACGATTCTCGATATATGTGTAAGTCTGGAATCATTGTCATCCAGAACAAGCACTGACGAGACTCCCGGTTCTGCAGTATCTCTGGTATTGGCTCATCGCTCACCACGCGGATGTGACTGGTCTGTCTGTGCTTCCCGAGTCAGTAACACAACGTTTCGTCGGTTTCGCCGCCGTTTGACCCACCTCGTCTCACTCTAGCACATTCACCGCGGAGTTTTTCATCTCAGTAAGCATGCACACTGCCGTTGACTTCCCTCACGCGCTGAACGGATCGTTTAGGCGTTGACTGTGTTCATCGTTCAATGGTAAGTGGCCTATATCGCGCTATATCAGTGGTCTCATCAACTATCCAGTTACTTTATCTCTACAATCTGGAGACGTAGGCGTATATCTCCTGCTCCTTCGATTCGCGACTAAATATCACATACAAACAGTGCTCTCACAGAAGTGGTACCAATGGCTGCTCACGTCTGTTGTGGTAAGTGGGCGAGATTCTGCGCAAGGTTAATCGACTAACGCAGGAGCTGTAGGTATTACTCGCTGTCGTGTCGTTCGGTATGTCGCCAGTGATCATGTATACCTGGCTCTTTTACTCATTGGCGACCAATCGCGTGCAGTCGGAGGCATTGGTATGGGGCACGGTACTCACGTCTGTTCACTTACTGATCGAAATCGCATGCAGTTACTGTATACCGCATGTACGTCCTCCGCTCTGGTCCTTTTTATGGACGTGGTAGCTGACGCGGATGCGCAATTCGCAGTAATCTCGATACACACGCCACTGCGGCCGTCCTAGACTCCACGGTCAGTTTTTCCGCGTCACCAACGTAGTACATTGCTCTGATGGCCTTTCGTGCAGATTCCGGCATCGATACAAACCGTCGTTGCATTCGTTGCAGATGCTTACATTACCGTCTCACTTTGTGCGATTCTCTGGAATCAGAAGACCGGTTTCAAAAGGTAAATTCGTCCTCTTGGATCTACGCAGGACTGGCCATTGACTGGACTGTTAGGACGGAGACCCTGATCACCACGCTCATAGTCTATTCCATTCATCGGGGTATCTTTACCGGGTAAGTTAGCAGCTGCGGCTTCGGTGCTTGACTTGCTAAAGCTGAGCGGGAATGATTCAGTCTGATCCAATTGGCGCACTTCACCACGGTACGTGTATACCATATCATGTCCCGTGTCCATCTCGTACTGATTCGACGCAGTATATTTCCACCATTCACTCCAGCAGTTTGTACTGGATGCTATGGCACATACCAGGAAGTGGAAGTCAGTGCATAGGCCTCTCGTCCAGATGTCAGTTCTAACCGTAACTCTTGCAGTCTACGTCAATTCGCTGCTTGCCGTGTAAGTTTTCGGTCACCGTCAACGTGAGGTTTCTGGGTGTACTAACATTTGCCCTCCGTTAGATTGAATGTGCGTCACCAGCTACGCGAAGGGTCATCGGACGCGGATTTCTCCCTCGACGTCTTCTCTCTCGACACAACGCCGGGACAGAGTGTATCGATTTCAAGGCAAGTAGTTTGTGCACGTCGCATCATCGCCGCCACTGACCTCATATAACAGGGGAAGATCACGGACGACATTCACCAGGCCCCCTCAGACTCGAACCCATATCATGCTCACCAGAGAAGTCGTCCAGGATGATGGCGAGAGGACACAGGTCCATTCGACAATTAGAGAGGATGATGTGGGCGACAAAGTATTACTCTCGGGACAGTCTTTGTGAATTGTATTATGATACTTGTACGACATGCTTGCAACGAACCTACCTTCGTTGGTGAAGCGACAACCTTGAACTCACTGAGAAGTTGGCCACCGAGATGCGCGCGTAGATCGCGCCGTTGGTCTTCGAGTCCTGAGACGGTTCAATGTTATGTATCGCTGGGGGTGTAACTCCGGAACGCTGATTTGAGCGTCTTCACGGACATCTGCATGTGAACGAGTGCTTTACAGTATATCAGTTCGACAGGGCCCGCCTCCCCGATGCTTTCCTGCTCGGACGCAGTGATCGAGCAGCAAAGCGGTGGCAATCGAAGGAGCAATGTAAAAGCAAAAGCTACAAGGACCCGTGGCGCAGCGGTAGCGCGTGAGATTCCAGGTGCGGGATATCCTCAAGGTCATCCGTTCGATCCGGGTCGGGTTCAAATCCTTTCCCTTTTTTCACCGGGCGAGAGTCCGAATTTTTGAGTCTGAAAGATTGAGAAAGGAGTTCAAATCGGTTTACCTATGTTTAGTATGATAATTGTAAATATCATGTCCAATCATTGTGTGTGTAAGATTGGGGATAAGGTGGTATCGATCACAATTTTTTTTGGTAATACCTCTAATCTTTCTATACAGAAGCTTAGAGAAAGTCCTCAGATGCAGAATGAGTATTCATGGCTGAAATGATAGTGAACAGACAGTAGAGGTATTGCAGTGTTATTTACAATCTTGCCTTTCAATATCATGCAACATTGAGAAATGATTGTGACAGGCTTCACAATCATCCATATCTACACAATTAGAGAGGCCTTTGAGAGGAAGCCATGAATTGCGCAATTACATTGTTTTTGTAATGAAAGATGGCACGTATGACTGCAATCTTGTCTCAGTGTATGTGCACAGAATGATGGTTGTCATTGGTGATAAGATTGTAATGTAGAATGTGATTTACAAGCTGACACCAGTGTCTCTGACTGAGATGTAATACTGTTCATGATCTCTCCATCTGAAACATAGGGATCATTGTACTCAACATTTGTGCATGAACTTAAATAGATAACAGTGGCATACCTACCTACTCTGTACCCTCTCATTTTCAACAGCTCTCATGAAGAGCCATGAAGCATTGGGACAATGGAGGTGACAAATCATGATTGTAATCATGTAATCTGAGATGGCTAAGCAGAATCCTCCTTCTCCTACTCCCTCCTCCTTTTCCTACTCCCCCTCCTCCACAAAGATTGAAAACATATGAGTGCCACCCAAGCAGATTATGATTAAATGTGTGCTGCTGCCATCTGTGAACACCCAGAGGCATGTGCAAACATGGTCAATCACACTGACCTGGACAAGCAGGCCAACACAGTGACTGCTGTGTCTCAGGCCACTGTCTGCCATTTCTTGACATGTACTGACAGACATTGTGTGGTTGGATATATAGGATGACCCTTGCACCTAGAAAATGGTTGGTCTTGAACAAGGACAAACTTCTCCCTATGTTCTTTGATAGTTAGCTCAAGGCTATGAGCAATAGATTGAATGGGTAGATGGATATTACTGACCTTGAGTAGTATCTGGAAGGTGGGTTGACTATATAGGAAAGTATTCACTTGACTTTCCTAATATAGTGTCTGACTTGTATGCTGGACTAACACTTTGGTTAGTACTTCAATGGACTTGCTATTCCAGTAAGCAAGGAGCCACAGTTTGGCTAATCAGATGTAAGTTGATATGTATCGGAGAGTAAGTATGGGCAAGTAATGCTGACAGGTTATCAGTAGCCTGCAGCAGATGGTGGTGGTTCTGGGTCAAGATGCACTTGGCCCCAGACAGGCAGCTGTCAGCCTTATATACCCTGGAGTGTGGGAATTTAGGACAATAAAACTATAAGAACAAAGAAAACCTACCTATTGTGTACAAATCTGCCATTCACAGCACAATATACCTACTAGCTATTGACCATGGATAAAGAATGGCTTTGTTGTACTTTTACCATTGTCCTATTGTTAGATCATCCTTTCCTAAAATGTCCACAGTCCTTGTACACTTGGCATGTGAAGCTACTGTACAACTACCTGTACAATTTCTGCCCAAGTCTTGCTACATGTACATGTAGTACAACAACCATGTACAAGGGCTTGCACAACCCCTTTTATAATTAGTAGCATCAGCAGTACTCCAGTTCCCTCTAGGTAGTGCTACAAAAAGAAAGTAACTTAAGTATCAAACAACATTGCTAAAGGGAGTCATCAGGATTGATGGGTGCTACAAAGGGTGTCGGCGTGTCCTCCACCCTGCCTGCTTGTGCCATCTGCGACCCAACACCCAGTGTGTCCTGCAATAGATCTGCGCCGTACATGCGTAGATTAGACTCTGAGTCTCGTGCTTGCATCCGAAGTCGCTGCGCCGGTGGCACACCGAACACGGTCTCCTCCTCAGGTGTCCCGTCGAATTCATTGTCAAATGAGTCGTCGAAGCTGTCGCCCTCGGCAGCGTAGACTTCGATCGCAGGCCCACCCTCTCCACCGTCATCGTCAGCGAAGTCGTCCGTCTCGTCAGATGCAAATGAGTCGTCCTCGTCGTAATTGCCGCCGCCTTGGGAGGCAAAAAGGAATGCTGCGGACGGATTGGCAGTATTGTTCCCCCGTAGTCGTCAGAATCCATCGAATCCATCGAGTCGTCCAGTCCACCGTTATCCATCTCTCCATCGAGATCATCGTCTCGGATGTGCCTCAGGTCGTATTGTGGAGGAGGCGGCGTCTGGGGAGCTGGCGGCGGCGGCGGTTGCGGCGCAGTGAACGTCGGCGGTCTACTGGGAAATATGGACGAAGACGAGGGCGCAGACGATATTTGGGAGCCATCCGGCGCCCGAGCACGCACAGGCGGCTGTTCGGATGATTGCGCCCCGCCCGTCCCAGAATCACTGAGGATTCCGACTTGACGCATCATCCGCTCAAGACTAGCGTCGACGAGGCTGCTGCCCGTGGTCGAGCTTTGAGGATCCGGTTGATATCTCGACAGCGAAGGAGGGGTGGGCATCGAGCTCCCGCTCGACTCTACGCCGTTCGTCTTTCCCGCAGCGCGCGTCGCCGCGGGTGCAGCGAAGACGCCGCGGTTCTCAACGTTGAGAAGACCCTGGAATATCCGCTCGGCGGCCTCTTTCTTCGGAGTTTTGCCGAGCGCGGGCAGTCGGCAAAGTCCATAGTGACAGGGGGAGACATCCCAAAGTCAACGTCGAGCGAGTCGTCGCCTGCATGGCGCGGAGTGGTCGAATGGGCCGCGTGTGGGCGTGCAGTAACGTCCAACGAAGAGGAGTGCCTTCCGCGGCGTGGCAGTAGATGGATCAGCAAGATCGACTACACCCTTCCAGTCGGTAGGCTTGCTCCCCGGAGGAAGATAAGGGTTCCGCGTCTTCGCGACAGGCGTCTTCGGCTTGACTTTCAACGGAGAGAAACCAGGCTTCCTCGGGCTCGTACCGTCGGTCAGAGTCACGTTCCGACGCAAGACCCCTTGCAGCAATGGCGGTGGCATCTCGCGACTCTTGCCTTTGGCGGTGGAGCTGCTTCCATGGTCTGGGTGCTCAGGCAAGAATCTAGGCGGAGGTATGGCCCGCTGTGTCACGTCCTCAGACTCCTCGTACCGCGCGGTGCGCTCGGATACGCCAGATACCTCGTCGTCCTGGCCGAGACTCTGCACTTCTCCTGCCAGTCTGAAAAGAGGCGATTCCAAGGACGTAGTCCAAGAAGGAGTAGGATCTGACTGCCCATCCCCAAAGCTCTCTTGGGATCTCGTCGAACGATGACGGAAGGCTGTAGCAGGCGTGGAGGACATTGCTGCTTGGGGCATAAAAGAGTCCTCGGACGAGCCCTCTGAGGTGTAGGTGCTATGATGGGAGCGGGTAGGGGTTGCCTCCGGTTCCTCCGTGCTCGTGCCGACTGTTCTGCCTGCGCGGCACCAACGTCTGAGCTGGGCTCCGTTTCCTCCTGTTCGTTCACGGAACTATACTCTTCATACGTGGGCACACGGATTTGGGCGGCTTGCTCGAAGAAGGTGGTCCAGAACTGTCTCTAGTGGGCTCGTTGCTCGCATACAAGGGGTCTCGCAACGTACCCTGGCAGCCTCCCTCACTGGTTCCGTGCCGACGGCGTACCGCTTCACAGCGGGCAGTATCTTGCTGGCCATGATATGTTGCATCTTCGAAAAGTTTGCATCAATATTCTGGAACAGATGTGAGCAAAACGACGCGTCACATAGCATGAAAGGGATACCGACCTGTAGCTTCATCGTTATGAGCTGCTCGATCTGCTCGATCTGATCGTAGACCGGCGCATTCGCGTCGAGACCTGGGACAACGATATCATTGGGATCCGATGGAGGTTCCCAGCGTTCCGGCAGCGGGTCGATGGGCTTGAGACTCGGAGGCATGGCAAGGGCGGTTTGAGGATGAAAGCAGTTGGGTGGGCAAAAGTCAGCGACGCGACGCGTCTGGGGCACGTGGTTTCTCGTTTCGTGTCGACGCGTCGGTGGCGCCACCGTCCACAGTGTCCCAACGACTCAAAACACTTCATTCTCCTATCGCTTTTGCACTATTATCACTCCTTGCAACTGCTCTCTTCAACACAACAAGGCCAGCCTAAGTGCAGCTGCCGTCCTGCCGTGACCGCATGGTCAAGGGGTGCTCTTCGAAAGCGTGGATGATTTGCACAATTTTCAGTTGGCAGTGGGACTCAGTTTTCACAAGCTCTTGATGCGGTTGCAAGGCAGACTGCCAACCATATAGGAGAGGTACGCGCAAGGTACGCGTATTTAGCGACTACGCCTTTGCTCTCTCTATGACTGCTTTTTGGAGGGCAGTCCTATGTCAGACTCGGACGCCGCGTGTCCAATTGTACAGTTCCTATAGCCCACGGAAGCAAGGATGGTGCCTGAGGCCTTACATGGTGCGTAGCTTGCGTACTGTCCTCTTCTTTGAATGTTTGATACCGACACCAGTCGTCTAATAGTGCGCGGGCTCTGGCAGGATGTCCCCGCGCGGCGACCCAACACTCGACGACGGTCGACGTCCGGAACTTTATGCCTCGCACGAGTGAGTACGCGCATCGTGTGCACTACGCTCCTATTGAATGTCGCTGAGAACCCCGAGCCGAGGGGTAGCATGCATCCCTTGTTTCCGCGGATACACTGTCCCAGTAAGTCTTCGACCGTGCTTTGGCGCTTCACAGGGACTCGCTCAAATTATCCTAACTTGGACACGAACATCGTGGGCGCTGGTTGGTTCTGAGCTTCCTGACGGGTATCACACGGCGAGATGCGCTCAAGATGACGTCTATTACTGATGCACTCGCGTTCTCCTGAGCGCACTGCGACGCCGAATCTTGTGCGCTACTGCCTGGCTGACCTAAGCCATGCATTCAGAAGGATACGTACGTAGATCTTGCCGGCCGCGCGATCTGCAGCGAGTATGCGCGGGAGTTACTCAGTGAGTACACCCAAGTCCCTCCGTCTCATATATGATGCCCCACTGACGAACACAATTAACAATGTAATGGCTTCACATGAGCACTACCGTATCCACCTGCAAAGCTCGAGGCGTGGAACTGCCACCGCGACGGTCCTCCGCGACTCCGAGTCTTCGCTCCTATGTAACCGGACGATTATCCATCATGCCGTATTCTCCGCGATGGCAGCGGAGCAGGACGTTTCAATGCATGCTCTCAGCCTTCCGCCGCAACTTTCGGAGCTCACATCAGCCCCGGCAGCTGTCGGGCTTGGCCCAACAGTCCTGGCATGCTGTAGTAGGTACTACAACTACTGTTGTGATTCGGTACGTGCGCTACGTACATGCTTCCTGCCCGCTGACGTAGTTCTTAACGAGTTGACATGTCATCTATGTCGCACGATGCAGCTTGCTCGCTCGATCTGCTTGACTCGAACATGACAGGGTACTGGGAAGCATCCTACCCGGTGAACAGACAATGGACCTGACGCCGGTGTCCTTGGGCGGAGGAAGGGGAAGTTGCATAGCTCCGTCCCATTTCGCCCAATCGCATGACATAATCATTCCGTGCCCCGCGCTTCCTGGCAGTGGCCGAACGAATGCAGGCGAGATCTCAGGCACCGGTGACTCGGCGGTGAGTAAGTCCTCGCTCTACCTGCACGAGTCTACGGTACGACGCTGTCAACGCCTGTAGACGGATGACTGCGCCGCTGGCCCGCACAAGGCCCACAGTCTACCGGGAAGCAGGGTCACATTCCCTTCCATATCCGCAATGGTATGGACGGCACTTCGGCTTACCAGGTATATCGTCCGCGATTGGACCGCCGACTGGTTCTGACTTCTCTTGCGTAGGCGAGTGGCCTCACGCAACCCTACCAAGGGGAGATGCTTAGACATATGAGCGCAGCATGTGACGCGGCGCCGACATACACATAGAAGCATGCTGCGAGACGTCGGACATGTGCAGCTAGAGTCTCGAGACACTCCCATACCCAGGGCCAGGGTTTTGTCGGTGCGTCTCCAATCGGTGCCTATCCGCGCAGGCTGATAGCATCGTGCGCGCTGTTAGGATGCCGACTTGTCGCGTTGCCGCCTGGTGATTACGAAACAACCCACTTGGCTACCGCGGGACTCCGGGAGTCTGCCATACAGGGATCGTCCTTCTTGACCGGCGCAATCGCAATCGCCTCCACGCAGAACGCCTCGACCATGTTCATCCATGTTTCCGCCGTGACAAGCGTGTTTGGTGCAGCATCTAGAAGGGCTTTGGGAGATCAGCTGACGAGACATGCGCTAGGAAGAGACGACCTCGAGCCCAGATTACCAATCCGGGGCCCCGAATGAAGCGAACACGGGCGGTGAGCGGACTAAAGGTTCAATGTTCATGCTAGTCTCAAGCTACCCTCTACCAGCGTATATTCGTCAACACCTTTCAACTTCGATGACATGGTATACGCACAGCGAGGACGAACAGCTGAGTAAATCGTGGCTCAGCCACAGGGTTTGAGACGCCGTAGATCATGAGTAACTACAAGACATCGGGCTCATCAAGAGAGTGGGTACTGACGCTAGCACGGATCACTGACCGAGCAATGAGGTTCTCAACGGATCCCCGCAGTCCATATACGTACACCGTGACGATATCACAGACTCCAACGCCACAGACATGGGTGTAAGTTTGCGAGCGATATATAGCAAGTTGTGACTCCGGTTGCGATCGCAAACGGAGGAGAGACAGACTTCTTGAAGGCAGTAGCGACATTGAAAATGAGAAGCCACAGGGGAAAAGAGATTCACAAGATGCAAATATGCCCAAGAGCGGTAGAGACAGCATACGCAAGAGGAAGATGTGTGCCCGTAAACAATTGAGCGACATCGACCCCAACAACGCTGAACCCGCGCCGAATAGATCGGTCCGAGAGCAGTTCAGTGGACAGGCGTTTTCATGGAAGCCGCCGCAGATCCGACATGGCGTAGGCTCTCAACGGTTCTACGCCCACTTCCGGTGAGATAGGAAAGTATGCATGTCTTATGACTGTGGTGCGGTATGATATATGTCGCGCCATTGAGGAGGGGCATGTTTCCTTACCTGAGCTGGGCCCCCGATTTCTGCATGGATTAGCGGTCCCATCTAGGCCCGGGAGCTTCAATGTGCGCATTACGGTCCTCGGGAGGCGATATTAGGGTAAGTAACTTGGCATGGCGATTCGACATATATGGACGTTCTCGACGCGACCACAGTATGGTGTTCCTGACGTTCTAGGCGATATTGCTCGCTACTGTACACGTCGTCCTTTGCAAATACGTCGACTAGAACACCGACAGGCCATGATGTCCGTGTACATAGACAGTACATACCATATAACTCCTCGTCCATACGGTTAGACTCACGTCGCCATTGCGCCGCGATCTTGCTGTGTGGGCTGCATCTAGGTACATAGATCTTAAAGGCCGACAGACCGCACCGGAGCTTCGTGTCGTAGGTTTGCGCCGCTGGGAGCTTCGCGGAAGCGAGATCCCGTAAGAAGGGGACATGATACGGACGAGCCAACGACGGCAGGAGTGGCCACATGGGACCCGAGTACAGCGCATACGGTGAGGTGTAAGCGGAACAGAAGCATGCGTGTGCTTAGGGTTTACCTCAGAGGAAGCGCGAGAACAGCGGCGGCTTTGGTATCCTTGTGGCGCGTTCGGAGACTTCCAAGGGAACTCAAAGGCAGCCTGGCCGACGTGCCCCGGTGCACGGACGGTGGACCGCACGAGAAGGTGACGCGGCGCGAACACGGCTGTCTGGAAACGGACAGAGCGCGTTTGCGACGGGGGTTCTGCGTGGAAGCGTCCGCGAGCTAAGCTATCGCGCTGGCGGTGCTTCTCGCGGGGCGCAGGGTTTATCAGATGGCGGCCGGGGGCGGCGGCGGGGCAGTGAGAGGGCCGTGCGCGATGGGTGCGGTGCTGAGGAGGGACCGGTGGCCGAGGAGAGCAGGTCTGGCGGCGTGTGGGGAAATGATAAGATTGGGAGGCCGCGGGCGTGATCGGTTGCCTAATCGGGAGGCTGGCGGACATACTGGGGCGATCTGCCCGCTGTGGCAGCGCCGGCTCCCAGCGAAGCTTCCGCCGTCTCTCATCTGGACGCAGCTGCCCGCCATGCCCATCTCGCCCTGCCGCCCGCGCTGCCCTGCCCGCTAACTTCGCAGCCATATAGCGCGTACCGCCACGCGTCCTGCACCGGCCCGCACAGCTGTACAGCCCTCGAGTCTCTCCTTTGTTGTCCCATCCTCCACGCAGTGTTCTCCGCCACCAGCGCGCTAACTCCAGTGTCCGGATCACTGGGTCCTCCGCACGTCGATACAAATCGTACATTGAGTCCCCCGCACGCCCGTGTCACAGCGGCTTCACCGTGCCTCTCTCGGGTACTCTCCGGAGCTCACTTTCCTTCCCGGCCTTCTCGAAAGGTGCCCATTCCTCGTTCTCACACTACTTTCCCGGTTATGAGCGCCGGCGCTAACTCCCCGTTTTGAAACTGACCAGTTTAGCTATATTCTATCTCCTGCAATTGGCATATCGCGTCCTTGCCTCCTCTCTGTCACTCGCGGCACCGCAGCGCTACTATGGACCGACATCTCGCTCAACTCGCGTCTAGCACTGGCCGCCGTCGGTCACTTTCTGACCCTCTCGCGGTGGCACTCCAGCCCCCACCGAACGAGTCTCCCGAACAACGCCAGATCAGGGTGCAGGCAGAAGAGGATGCAAAGAGACGCAGCGACCGCATTGACCGCATGCTCAAGGATTCACAAAAAGAACAGCAGAGGAAGAAGATCGTCAAGATTCTCCTGCTCGGACAAAGTGAAAGCGGGAAGAGCACCACTCTCAAGCGTGAGTCATTTGGTGCTATGCGGGCGACATGGCAGTCGCGCATCGGCACGCCTAAGTGTCGCGAAGCGACGCGGAACCATTTCCCCGCACAACATATAATATACTCAGAATCAAGATCGTTTTTGGGAGGCTGATTACGCCGTCTCAACGTGTACCGTGTCGGGCGTCCTTGGGTGCACTGCTTCAGACTATTCGTCGTGTTGATATCCGGGGCGGATGGTCGCTCCAGAACTCACGATCGGCGTACATCAACTCCTGCTGTACAGTCGCCCGTGACATGGTTTGACGCAGTGCTTTATGACCTGTTCCGAGAGCAGGCTGTTCTCCCGCGACGAGGTCGGAGTGTTATGTGGACCGCTCCGGACATACTACGTATTCCCAAGGACAGTGCCTCCTTGCAAATGATCGCTCTTCATACCTCCAATCCGATAACTCTTCCATATACTGCCATGGCCATCCTTGTGTACGGCGTGCTGACCAGCCGCTCTCTCTCGTAGAGTTCATGCTTCTACACGCACCCGCTGCCTTCAATGCAGAGCGGCTAGCATGGCGTTTCGTCATTTATCTCAACCTTGTGCGATCCGTACGCCGGTACGTCTCATCTCACTTGGTTCGAATTTTTTTCTGCGCGTCCTCAGGCTTGGACTACAAGGATACTCGAGGCTATCGCACCGGAGCCCGATGGGGAAGACGTCGACGACCTCGAGTCGACTGAAACGCCATTCATCATTATCAGCGGACGGCCCTCCTCAGCTGTCGCAGGCTCGGTTCCCGGCTACGATAGCTATCGCAAACGGCTAGCTCCTCTCCTCGATGTGGAGCAACGCCTCATACAGCTTCTCTCGGACCCCGAGGACAACGACGCACGAGAAGCCACTCACCTCCCTCGAGGTCAGTCGTCCCAGGGATCCTCCTACGCGTCCGCCGGATTTTCCCCATCCTCACCGCCGACCTCGCCGCCCCTCAGTGCCAGCCTCAGTGCCAGCCTGCCCTCGCGCCCCGCCCCACGCATCACCATCCCGCAGGGATCACACTCCTCACAGCCGTCACCCGTTGCCCTCTCTCCTGGGCACGAGGTCGCCATCCCCCCTCGGTCGAACTGGAAGAAGGCCCTAGGCGTCGTCAGCAGGAACCAGTCGCCGAAGAGCGCACACACGGGCGAGATTCACGGTTGGTGGGAGGACCCGCACGACCCTGTGCACGTCATGAACCGCTGTGCGCCGACGATGACGGAGCTTTGGCGAGACCCGAAGGTGCGGCAGCGCCTCGCGGAAAGGCGGCTTAGGCTGGAGGAAAGCAGTGGCTTGTGAGTGGCCATCTTTTGTCGTGCTCCGTGGAGGGCGGATGTTGATGGGTCGCGCCTTCTCTTTCTTCCCCGTGCGGTCTCCGTGTGCGTGGGTGCGGACAGCTACTTGAATGAGATTGACCGTGTGACGGCCAAGATGTTCTTCCCGACAGATGGTGCGTTGGTATCCTGCGGTTACGGAGTTGTTGAGGAGTTTACGCCGTTGGCATTATAGCGGACGTCCTAAAGGCAAGACTGAAGACCACCGGCGTGATCGAGCATTCCTTCACCCTCCCCAAGAACAGTGAGTTCCGGGGTGGCGTTGAGTGGAAGATCTATGATGTGGGAGGCGCGCGGCCGCAAAGGCAGGCGTGGGCTCCGTATTTCGATGACGGTGAGTTGACTCTGCTTGCTACTGCTAAAGCTATCAATGTGACACTTTCTCGCTCAGTGAATGCGATAATTTTTCTGGCTCCTATCAGTTCGTTTGACCAAGTGCTGGCTGAGGTCAGTGAGATTGCCCATTCACAGCTGTTCGCCGGCCCAACTTCTGGACAACAGGATACCAGGGTGAATCGCCTAGATGATTCCCTTCAGCTATGGCAGACGGTCGTCTCCAACCCCCTCCTTAAGAAAGTCAACATCATTCTTTTCCTCAATAAATGCGACCTGCTGAAGGTATCTATCGGTCGATCATTACAGTAGTTCAGGATCTAACGGCTGTCTCGTCTCATTCTATAGCGGAAGCTAGAGAGCGGCGTGCGATTAAAGCATTACATGACTTCCTATAGGGACCGGCCCAACGACTATGACACGGTCTCAAATTGTAGGTGCCTCATCCAAGCCAGCATCAGATCGATCGTTCTGATCTTCTCTGGATGCAGATTTCAGACTCAAATTTGGGGCGATGCACCATTCATACACACCAAATAAAGCGAGGGAGTGTTTTAGTGCGTACCTATCTACAGACCGATATCGGGGCGCCCCCGCATTGACCGGTCCGTCGATCTCCAGTCCACTTTACATCAGTGACAGATACCAGGAACACCCAGACGATCATTAGCAACGGTAGGTTGGTCAGCGTCTGCGGGTCCACCGTATCACTCACGAGTGCATGGTCAGTGCGAGATATCATACTCACAGGGAATTTGAGGTCGTCGTCTTTGATGTGAATGCGCGGCACATCTTACCGTCTTGTAAGCCGTTCGTCAGGTCAGTCCTTCGTTCCCGTCGTTCTCGTCGCATGCTGATCACCCCCTGATGGTGGCGTCTAGGAAAATCTGTATTGTAGCATACCCCGTAATGTTGTGGCTGCTTGCTTTGGTCTACTCGCTGTGATCTACTTACTTGCTACTCTGCCCCTCGTATTCACCGAAACTGTACTGTGATAAAACGCTAATTTGACTCACAAGCTTGTATCGCTACAATACTATCATTAATGTTGTGAATCCTTACCTCGGTTACTGCAACGACATATGTAAAAACCGGTTAATTATTGCGGTCGACATGAAGCTTACCCTGGGCCGCGCCACCTTGCACGCATCAACTGATCCACTTGAAGCGCCATGCATAGTCGGTAACTGCCGGATCACGACTTTCCTTACATAGCTCCAACGTACTTCAAGTTGGCTCGGTCGTCGCAGTTGGTACGCAAACGTTGTACCTCGCAAAGCTTCACGACTCAGCCGAAGATTCGTATGCCATCCCACTCGCACGATTCATCCTGGTCTACTTAACAGAATCGTCGTCCTCGGCCAGTAGTGGCTCTAGATATGGACACTCCCCGGAGTCACAAGCCTTCCGTCAGACGGTCGACGAGATACTCTTTGACACCGCACAAAGCGATCAGGCGTTGTACGAGCAGGCGCAAAAACACCTCCAGATTTTCCACAAGCAGACCACCTCATTCCGCGGAGAAGACTACGACATTCCAGCATGGGTCAAGCGCGCGAACGAACGTAGACAAGACAGCGGCTTCACGGTCTTGAAACTTTACCGTGCGATGTATCAGGTCACGGATGATCTCGGGCTAACGCTGGGAAAACGCTATGATTCCGCTGTGATATGTGCCTGTGCTCGGGGCGCGGACGGCCTTGGGCACGCCACGACCGAGGAGAAGTGGTGTTTACTAGCAAATGCATTGTCTACCCTTGCCTCGACGTGGATGGCATATATGCTGTGGCCTTGTGAGTATGCTTGTTTCGTCCTCCGCATCAGTCATGTGTTAAGCCGCGCTTCTAGTTGTCTGCGGCTCACGCCGTACTACACTGCCGCTCGAGATACCTACGAACCGCACTGAGCAGTCGGATAATGCCACGCCAACCAGAGAGACGACAGCATCTGAGCTACCCGAGGGAGCTCCTAATGCTCGGGAAGATGTGAGAGAGAAGGCTCGTACATGTCGTGACGATGGGATTGTGCGCTTTCAACTGACCTCCGCTGAGTTATGTAGGTCCTCATGCGCGACAACTATACATGCCCTGTCACGGGATTTGTTGACCGTAGCAGCAAAGCCGAACAGAGACAAGGAGAATACCGCGTGGTCTTGAGGATGACTCATATCTCCAGACGGAGTATTACTTGCATTGACGTGCAGCGAGCCTCTCAGAATCAGGTCTTGTTCTCCATTGGGAACATGATTTCAAAAAAATACATCCTGATTATTACTGGTTCTAGATACAATCCAAGACAAATACACTGGACATCCTTCGGCATTATTGTTAACTGGGACAGGACTTCGTCAAGAGACTCGCAGAAATAACTGATGATCCATGCAACACCTTGATGCTTGAAGCTAATGCTCATGATGCATTTGACGACTTTTGTTGGTGTCTCAAGCCTACAGATGTGCTTCTCCCATTAGTTTGTCTGATGCTCTTTGCTGATTGCATTGCTAGGTGAAGAATGTGTATGCAATTCATGAGTTCCAACCAGGAGCATTCTTCCCACTTATCAGGAAGACACACATCACATTTGTTGATCACAGCTACAAGCAGACAGCAGGTCCATCTGCACAGGTTCACTCCAAGCAATCACATGCTGCCATGGAGATTCCTCTCCCTAGCTGTGAGCTGCTTTGTCTACATGCTGCACTTGCAGGAGTTCTCCACCTCAGTGGTGCAGGGACATTACTGTGCTTCCTCAGGGATGAACTAGGAGCTGGAGGACATGCTGTCCAAAGCTTGGATGGCCAAAGCTTCATGAAACAACTGATTGAAGATGAGCTATATGAAGCTGTCTCAGGACTTGAGCATTTCAGGGCATAATTGGTTGGTGAGTGTCTTGTATATGATCCTGAGTAATTGATAGACTAACACAAAATCAGGTAGGACATTGGCAGATACACAGTGACAGTTACTGCTGTGCAATACATTGGGTAGCTAACTAGTGCATCCAATCAAGATCCCCAATTGTCAATATAGTAGTGTACATCCTCATTTTTGTACACTCTTTCGACTGCCCATGAGGTTTCAAATGATATCTTATGTCTCAGTCTCTGACAATGCTTCCTGACTCGGACCACAGAGCCGTGTGAGCAATTACTGTCGCCTTCATTGGCAGCATTTCGAGTTAGCACTACTTCCTCGAATCTTTTGAATTCGCACACTGGGAGCATCCTGGAAGGCACGGACCATGTGATCGTGTCTCGTCACGCGAATATCGCAAACTTCGAAGTGCCACGGACAGACTCCATCCGGGGCGCCGACCGGGACCAGTCCAGAGTCGGGATGCAATCGATCGTTCGCCGCGCCACTGCTGCTCGTCTTCCCCTGCACAAAGCAAGTCACTCGGTTGTCTACAATTTCAATCTCACTGCCGCCCGACGAGCCTCTCCGAACTTCGTCCCAACCCGCAACATGTCCCTGTCCTTCGTTTCGACTCCTGGTCAGTCCGTCTTTACTCGCTCTCACGCGCCATTCTGCTTGCTGATAATGCCTACATTGCAGATGCTCCCCCGGCCGTTGGCCCGTACGCTCAGGCCGTGAAGGCTGGCAACTTGCTCTTCGTCTCTGGCTCCCTCGGTATCGACCCTGCGATCGGGAAGCTGGTATGTTTTATTTTTTGCTCTTGTGCCGATTCCATGACTGGATTGACCACTTATACAAGGTGGACGGCGGTCTTGAGGCCCAGACCAAGCAGGCACTCAAGAACTTGAAGACGATCATCGAGGCCGGCGGGGCGACGATCGACAAGGTAGCGAAGACCACGGTATGTGCTAGATGTGGACCACTATGTGGGCGATTGTCGTAGTCATTGATGCCGACGCTACTTTATCGTTAGGTCTTCCTTGCGGACATGAATGATTTCGCTGCCATGAACGCTATCTATGCTGAGTTCTTCGGCGATCACAAGCCCTCGAGGTCGACTGTGCAGGTGGCACGTCTGCCGCTCGATGGGCGCTTTGAGATTGAGTGCATTGTCAGGTATGTCTGGTGTTTGACGAGTTCTTCCTGTTCATTCTGAAGGCTGACAGTGATGCAGCCTCGCCTGAGATGACATCGTCGCGACTGTAGACGACCTGTAGTACACATGCCCCCCACGTTGTATGCTGTTGTGTAATAGAGCGCAGGATGTATCAAAACGAACGTTTTTACGGCCCATTGAGCTTGATGATTATGCCGTATTCTAATAGAAGCATTGCAACTGTGTATGAGTACGTACTATCGTATATTGGTCGGGGTTAGGGTCAGACACGCGTGTACGCGACGCGCGTTCGGCGCTTGCGACCTTGAGCGCGCTCAGCCCACCGCGTACGCAATCTCTCCTTCCTCTGTTCATCCACGCGTCCTCCAATACCTGAGCTATGTTCTTGACAAGATCCGAGTACGGTATGCTCTGAAGAATACATGATGTGTGCTCCAATGCTCATCGGTACGGTTAGACCGTGGTGTTAACACCTTCTCTCCCGAGGGACGGCTGTTCCAAGGTATGTGCAATCATGCCATATGAAGCGGTACAGGAGCCCATGGTATCCCTGCAGTGGAGTATGCAATTGAAGCAATCAAGGTATGTGTACGTTCCATTGTGGTCATTACTTGCTCACTTCGTTTCCCGCATGTAGTTGGGCTCAACCACTGTCGGCGTCAAGACACCCGAGGGCGTCGTGCTTGCGGTAGAAAAGCGCGTACAGTCACCACTTCTTGAGTCTTCCTCCATCGAGAAGATCATGGAGATTGATGCACATCTTGGTTGTGCGATGTCCGGCCTCACCGCCGATGCACGCACAATGATCGACCATGCCCGCGTAACATCCCAGAACCACGCCTTCACCTACGACGAGCGCATAAAGGTGGAGAGTGTGACACAGGCTGTGTGCGATCTCGCTCTGCGCTTTGGAGAGAGTGTGCACGACGAGGATGCCATGATGAGTCGACCATTCGGTGTTGCCCTCCTCATCGCGGGGATTGATGAATTGGGGCCTCAGCTGTATGCTGCCATTCTTCTGGGATCTTCCGGTTAAGTTACTGATCATACTGCTGGTAGATTCCATACTGACCCGTCGGGTACCTCTGTGCGATACGAGGCAAAAGCCATTGGTTCAGGGTCAGAAGCCGCACAAACTGAACTGCAGGACAAATGGCATAGCGTGAGTTGTGCCTTTGGCATGAGCCAAGGGGAATTGTGGCTCAACGTCTGCTTGATTAGCAAATGACCCTGCGAGAAGCTCAGATCCTGACACTTCGGGTGCTGAAACAAGTCATGGAGGAGAAGCTGGACCACCACAACGTTCAACTCGCACAGGTATGTGGCTTGTCCGGAGTATCCTCCTGCTTCTCCATTCATTCGCTCGAGTGGTCGGCTGACACCTTGGACAGGTCACGCCGCAGGCAGGATTCGAAATTCTTGACGAAGTCAGGCTAAAGGAGATTGTCGATGCTATGTAACAACAGGGACTTTACTGTCGCGTTTCTCTGATCTACCAGATTCTCTGCACCAGCGAAGTTCGAAGTCTGACTTGCGCCAGCTTAGAAGCTCAGTTAACATGCAAGCTCGACTTCTGAGCACGTGAAGTCGGGGGCGCGCAGCCAGTTGTCTTGTGACGACTTGAGTGACGATTGACGGTGAGAGATTGTTCGACCATCTGCTCTTCTTCCTAGGTAGAACCGAACGTGCCGACGAAGCTTGTCTCTGCCAGTTCTCTTGTGACAATTGACCACCTTCGCGTCGTAGGTTCCTCTCACGGAGCCCGGTCTTACTTATCGCTTGGACGCAGACACTTCGTCCAGAGTGGCCAGAAGCAAAGCAAAGTGTTGCTTTTGACTGTCCTCAGCAATACCCGACTGCTCTTGGACAGCACACAGATGGTCCAATATCCCACCTGCTGAAACCGCAAGGCAAGACGATGTCTCTGAGCTCACATGCGAGCGGGAGGAAAATCAGAGCTCCATTGCGTCGGCGTATTGGGCTGACGGTATCTAAGTTTGGCTCCACGCGATTGTCGAGGTCCGTCGAGGAGGCAAAAAACTACCAGGGGCCGAAGCCTTCTTGCTCCCAGAGTGTGCTATTCATTGCGGCGAAGTGCACCTTCACTAAGCATGCCTGTAGGGACGGAACCCCGGTTCCACTGGAGAACAGGTCACCCCACCCAAGTACTGATATATAGTTGCGGGCTCAGATGACGGCCCGTTGACTGTCGAGACGTCGAACCTCGACAGCAGATCGAGAATTCGCAGATACGCAAGCAAGATGGGTGTGCCTACTAATCACAGGGCGATCCTACTTGCAGGCTTCGTCGCGTTTGGTGCGTACATCTGCGGAAGGACTGGATGGCCACTTATTTCATGAATAGGAGGTGCGGTGTCGACCAGACCCTTCTATATCTTCTCGTTGAACTGTGAGTTTACTCAGCAGCTTCTACTGGAGGTTGCGCTGACGAAGGGGTTCTCGACAGAACGTGAATGAATAGGATTTATCTTCGGCTATGACATGGGTGTCATTTCGGTGCGTTTTCTTTCATTGTCTATCTTCGAGAATGCTGAAAGCTGCTGGCACAACTAGGGATGCCTCATCATGCCCGACTTTGCTGCTCGCTTCGGGCAAGTCGCCTCTGATGGCGTCCCATATTTGTCCAGTTCGCGCCAGTCGATCATCACGTCGTTGCTCTCCGTCGGGTACGTTATAACATCCATGATCCTCGATCGAGGTCATTATGGGCGACCTTCTGACTGATGGCAATTAAATAGGACGATCGTGGGGGCGATCGCACAGGCATTCACAGCTGATCGGTTCGGACGACGGAGCTCCATCATCATATGGTCCGCGATCTTCACCATCGGCACCGTCATTCAGACCGCCACCAACCGTGCCCTCGCCCAAATTGTATTTGGTCGCTTCGTCTCTGGATTGGGCGTGGGAGGCTTGTCTGGTATGCCGCAGAAGTACCGAATGAAGCTGTGGAAGCATTATTGACATGGCTATAGCTCTGGTCCCTCTGTATAATGGCGAAACCGCTCCTAAGGCCTTCCGAGGGGCTCTCATTGTCGTCTATCAAGTTCAGATCTTCATGGGGTATGTATTTCCTTTACTGCTGTGACGACGTAGAGTGACTTATGCGATCGAGTTTAGGATCTTCATCAGCGATTGTATCGAGCTGGGCACACACAGGATTAGTGGCTCCGCGTCGTGGCGCATTCCCATTGGATTGCAGATCCTGTGGGGCCTTATCCTTATATCCGGTATATTCTTCCTCCCTGAGTCACCGTGAGTGTCATTAGGTCTTTCGCTGTCCTAACTTGTCTGAGGCATATTCGCAGACGGCATTTGCTAGGCACCGGAAGAGAAGCCGAGGCTTTGTCTGTGGTTGCTGAGCTGAATGGTCTACCGGAAGACGACCCAGTTGTCCAAGAAGCGATCGAGGAACTCGAATACGGCATTAGGGCCGAAAACGAAGGCGGGAAGGTGACCTGGGCGGAGTGCTTCTCTAAGAGAAACATGCTCTGGAAGCGAACGATCAATGGCATGATGCTTCAGTTCATTCAGCAACTGAACGGACAGAACTTCTACTGTGAGTCGTCTTGTCACATACTGCGCATCTGATCCTCAGTCGTCAACTTCTCAGTCTACTACGGCGATACATTCTTCCAGGTATGTGACAGTAGGTCGTCGTTTTGTGGTTGCTCACCGACCATTCCCCCTTCAGAGCGCTGGTACACAGTACGCCATTTATTGTCTGGACGCACGCAGTCTCTCATGATGTGAATTTTTAGGCTGTCTCCCTATGTTATCCAAACCATTCTCGGAGCGGTGGCTGTAGCAGGGGTATTTCCCGCCCTTTACTTCATTGATGCTTGGGGTCGTCGAAAGGTACGCATCAATGTATTCCGTCTTGCTTCGTCTGACACCTAGCATCTCAGTCTCTCCTTGTCGGCGCTTTACTTGAGGCCGTCTGTGCTGTCATTGCCGGTCTCGCAGGACACTTCATGCTCGCGCCCTCGGGCACGCCTCTCAATGAACTCACGCAGCGCAATCGGCAAGGCGGCGACGTACTCATAGCATTTGCTATCATGCACGTATTCACGTACGGTGCATTCTGGGGACCAACACCTTGGTTTGTTATCTCGGGCTCTGTCATTAGAATGGTTGGCTGATGTACGTCCCAGGGTATACTTGGCAGAAAGTTTCCCGTTGCGAGTGAGACCGAAATGTATCGCGTTGGGTAGCGCCGCCAGTGAGTGTCACGCGGAATCCGCCTAGTTAATGGTTGCTGACTCTAGACAACAGATTGGGTCTGGAACTTCCTTCTCAGTTTCTGGTCACCGCGGATCGCAGCGCGGATCGGTCCTCTCATCCTGCTGATCTTCTTCGGCATGCTGCTCTTCGGCTGGGTCTACACATATCTATTCATCCCCGAGACGGTTGGTCTCACCCTTGAAGAGGTACGTCGACGGCGTTCTCCCATATGGATGGTTCTGAACCAAAAATTGCTAGGTTGATGAGCTGTACCGATCTGGGGTCAAGCCGTGGAACTCCCGCAAATGGCGTCCTAGTGAGAGGCGCATCCACGACAAGGCCGAGTCTGAACTGGCCGAAGTGATAGAAGTGAGGGAAAAGAAGGATGAATCGGACACGTCGAGTCAAGCATAACTGATCACATACGGACATTTGACGGGTGGAACGTAGAGGTGTACACTGCCTTGTCGCCAACAACACGCGGGAACATTGCTCACCAGTCCCGGTTATGTGTACATAGCACGTCGCCTCTGGACGCACATATGTACTTGCGGACCGTACGGCTGGAAGTACATGCGACCTTACATCGCCGCGAACGTGTCTTGGAACGTGACTGAGTGCGATCGCGATCGGTGTCGTCAGTAGCGAACGCCGACGACTGGTATAATACCCGGGCCTGGTATCGCGATGGCTCTGCAATTCACCTCTAGACTTTCACTTGTCCAACCTCGCGCTACTGCAGTGCCATCCGGAAATATGGCCGCGACTGAACTCTCTGCCTCCGACCTGCAGTCGATACTCGACTTTACCACCAAGCTCGCGCGAACCGCAGGAGACGTGATCCTGCAGGGCTCGCAAGCCATTCGATCCTCAGGGAATGTAGATGAGAAGAAGAACTCGGTTGACCTTGTGACGGAGTTCGACGTGAAGGTTGAAGAGCTGGTGAAGAGGGAGCTTGGAAGCAAGTACCCGAGCTTCAAGTTGTACGTCTCATCCCCGTGTGATTGATCTGGGCGTCGCCTTAGCCCTGAAGGATCATTCTCTATCGTCCTCTGCGTTAGCGTGGGTTGTAGTAGGCTCATTATTCGGAATATAACAGTATAGGAGAGGAGTCCTACGCTGCAGGCTCTAGGCCTCCTTTATCGGATGAGCCGACGTTCTGCGTTGATCCCATTGGTATGTACCACCAAACATCGCGCGCCATGCCTCGTTGAAGCTCGGACCTGCCATGCTCAGACGGAACGACAAACTTTGTGCACGGGTTCCCGCATGTCTGCATTTCCCTCGGTCTCATTTACAAGAAGACATCCGTCCTTGGTGTCATCTACAACCCGTTCCTAGAGCAGTTGTACACTGCCATCAGAGGACAAGGGGCCTACCTGACACAGGGCAGTCGCGCGCCCGCGAAGCTCCCGCTTGCAGTCCCTCGCCCATTGCCATCGCTCTCGCAGGCCCTCATTGGTATGTGCAGATTGCACCTAGACAAGTCATCGTCTAAGTGCCGCACAACCAGGCATTGAATGGGGCTCGGATCGCTCGAATGATATAATCCGCGCCAAAGGCGACTCCTTCAAGAGGCTTGCGGGGAACCCCAAGGAAGGCGTCGCGGGTGGGCGGATGGCGCATTCACTGCGCTCTCTCGGCAGCGCAGCGCTCAACTTCTCCATGGTTGCCCAAGGCGGCATGGATATCTACTGGTAAAGTTCATCTCATAGGGTAGATTCGATCACACCGTTGACCCAGGCCTTGCAGGGAGGTCGGATGCTGGTGGGTACCAAAGCTTAAGCCCCCTTACGTCCGCTGAGACATTTCCACCCAGGCCCTGGGACATATGTGCTGGATCTGTGATAGCTCAAGAGGCAGGCTGCTTCCTCGCTGGCGCACACGGCACCCCTCTGGACAACGTGGTGTCCGAGGCTTGGCTCAGTGGAAGGAAGCATTTCGTCCTCCGGGCAATCGGTGACACAGAGGTACGTCCTCCCGCTCCCCACAGCCCATGTGCATATCTGAACCTTCGCGCGCTGTATTCATCAGACGGAGAAAGGTGCCGATGCACAGAAGCGACTCGCGAAAGAGTTCTATGAGACTGTTGAGGATGTGGAAGCACATTAAATCTGTAGCTATACCGGAAGATAGGTTGTAAGATAGTCGTCGACCGCAAGAATATCACATCACCGCTAAGCCTGTCTGCTGGATCCACCTTACACCTACCCCGAGCAAATCCTCGACTTATTTTCGTCGCAATGTATGCTGCGGCCTGCCCGGTGCAGGTCCTTGTCCCTCAGATAGCCTGCTACACATGCAATCTACACTCAGCACTGTTCCCTTGGCTTTCACCTACTCTATCCCTTACAAGATGCATGTGTCATTGACAGCCATGGGCATGATGCAAGAGCCCGACGGCAACCCAGCAAAGCGACTAACATTGCAGCGACCTCAGAACAAGGCGTAGTAAACATAACAACAGCTCAGCGTCCTGACTAGCCAAATCGAAGTCTCCCTCTCCCCCTTCCATACCCGTTCCCAAGCACGCCACCACGAGAGGCCACCGGTCGTTGCTCGGCTCGCTGCGGGGCCGCAGCTGTCGGTCGGCGGGAGGCCGACGCAAAGTCGATCTTGAGCCGTTTGAAGCTGCCGTCCTGCGCGGCTTGCTGCTCCGAGCGCACCTTTTGGGCTTCGGCTTTGATACGAGAGGATGTGGGGAGTCCATTGCCGTAGGGCGGCAAATACGAGGTGCATGGCGGCGGAATGTGGTTGCATGGTGTGTCACGGTAGTAATGTGGGACCGATGTGCGAGAGCCGCGCCCGATAAGACGAGGAACTTGCATGAACAGCCATCCGACCGACCAGCGGAGAGACTTACCGATGCGGTCCGCGTACCACTCGTCTTGGACGTCCGTCGGGTCCCAGAGCTCCTTCGGGAAGTTCGTCGCGCGCTCGTCGACGTCCACGAACTCGACGAGCCGCGTGTAGAGATGCGGGTTGCGGAACGACCGGTTTGACATCAGGGAGTCGTTGAAGTGTATAGGGTCGCTCAGATTTCGCTTGAGCGACATGAATTGTGTAAGCTTCGCCTGGTGTAGCATATGAGTACTGTACGACGACGGGCAGACCATGCCAGACTCACCTCCAATGCTGGATCGCACGGCGTCGATGGTGGCGGCGGGACGCCCCAGTCCTCCACCCCCGGGATCTCCGCCGGGCGCAGGAGCCTCCGTATACGAGAAAGCTCATCGTCCGGCTCCTCCTCATCGTACACACTCATGCGCGAAGCAGTATCCGGCAAGTCTCCGGATTCCGAAGGCTCTGCGGCGGAGGACCCTGGGTGGTCGCCCTCGGCGTGGTCGGAGAGTTGGCGGCGGGGGCGAGGTCGCGACTTCACATGTACCGGGCGGCGTATCACGACTTGCGCACCGCTTGAGGAGGATGCGCGAGGTTGTCCATGTGCTGGCCCGGGACGGACGTTCAGTTTTCTGTGCGCAGACACGGTACATAACGCAGGGGCTCACCGGCTTCTGATTGAGCGTCAGCGCGGGCCTTCGTTGGTTTGTCCTGACCCAGCAGAAAGAAACAGCGAGGGAGGAGGGAAACGGCGGGAAAGCGGGGAGAGAATGGGTGCTCTTACATGAACTCTCTGAGGGTCTGGCGCGTAGTCTTCGCGGTCGCTCTGGGAATCTTCGTCGTAGGCGACCAGTCCTATGCAGACCTGTTTAGCCATATTGTATCGGAAGACGCATACATGCGCACCTTTAAGCATAGCGAACGCGATGGAATAAGTGCCACAGAACGATAGTTGAGGGTAGTTGGAGCGACTCTGCGATCATCTTAGCCCGGCGTTCAGGATGAGATTACGTAATCCAGACGCAACGAATATGGCAAGTAGATCCATGGCCCCAGGTTCACGCATTCAAGCCGTTACTCAAGGAGACCACTACGTACATATATTTCATCTTGCTCCAGCGCATGCTGGGAAAAAGATGACTGACTCAACAACCTGCTATCCAGACTTGCAAGAAGATACATGCAAATATGACATGACCATAGTTCAAACTAAGCATGCCGCCACACTGACAACAAATACACTGGTACAGGACATACATCTCCATGTCGTCGAACACATCCTACACTATGATACATCGATGGCTTCACAATGATTGAAAATGCGGTGGGCTCTTTACAATATTTTGCGCGTCAAGAATGCCTTGACACCGATAATACCACCCATTGCGGCTGCGGTCCAGCCCAACCCATTGCTCCATCCGCTGGCGCCGAATACACCGCGTTGACCAACGCAGACCCCCACAACATCATACAGGAGAGTCAACCCGAAAAACGGCGTAGACACAGCTGTCGCGAGGGGGAAGAGTGCGTACGTGAGACCTTGAGCCAGCTTAGATGGCGGAGCTATATAGCGCTACACCCGACGCACGTTAGACGAGGATAAAGACAGACAAGAGGAAGTACGCACCGTCATTACGCCACCGTTGTCGAGCAGGTCCAGCACCCCTACACCAGCGAAAGTCTTGGCGACCAAATGGGTCAGGACCATGAGCCTCGAGCTGCCCGGCGTGATGGGCGGGAGGCGAGCCACAGCAGCGAGTTGAGCGATAGTGTTGATAGTGACCAACACTTGGGAGGCGGTGAACTCCTCGCGCAGCCAGAAGAAGAGCCATCCGGCTGGCGGACAGTGAGAACACGAAGCGATAGGTGCAAGGACACACCTACCGATGCAAAGGTTTCCCAACGCATAGACGGGCGCATACTCCGTAGCCGTCTGGATAGACTCCACTTCTTCGGCGGTGACTCCGTCTGCGCTACCGGAACCAACCTTTTGATAGCCTGAAGGATCGAGAGAGAAGAGTTTGCGGATCCAGGCCAATTGGAGGACTACTTGTCCGGAGAAGAACGCGGCGATGAAATAAGGATTCGGGGAAAAGGCGTAGTGGTACTACAAGATGGTCAGTTACGTGGCTAGCAGCAAAGCGAGTCAGGTCCTACCTGTTCGGCGACGTCTTTCATGTTGGGACTGGTCAACATCCCGTAGAGCTGGGTGCCGAAGTTGACGAGAAAGGACCCCACGGTGAGGTATTGAGCTCTGGAGACCTGGTTGCCCATGACTGCGAAGATGCACGGTGTGAATTCCTGGGAGTAGTGGGTGGAAGAAAGGCGTGCGTGTGGCAGGAACATCGTCAGTAGATATATTCGAGGCAACGTCCGGGTTTGGCGACGTCATTACGCTTCGTGACGTCGCAGATGGTGAACGGTCTGGCAGGGGATGCGCTACGGACGACATCCACCTGCCAAACTCAGCCGTGCCACCGGGTGGCGGCACACGCGCACATCCGCCACTCACGCAACGATGTAACTTAACAGGTCAGTACAATCAAAGCCGCCGTTTCTTGTTGTGCACCGGCAGCCTTATCGAATTTCTGTTTCTCAACGCACGATGTAGCGGCAGAGATAGAAAACAGCTACCTGAACACCAAATGAGGCTGTTAGATCACTGATTAACGCAGCACGCACCTAGAAGGCCATTCCAGTCGAGCATACTCCTTCAGTGCAACCCACGCAGAATATCGAACAACGAACGTTATATTCAGTGTCCTTCTGCAGCATCACCATTCGACTCGGCACCCCAGTGTTCCCATCCCTCCAATGCCACACCGAGGTCTTTCCTGGGAGGTGCATCCACATCGCCCACTTTGACTCCGTACACTCCCTCCACCAGTGCTCTCCTCATGAACGGCAGAAACATCTTCACGTATACCGCTGCCGCGGCCTTGATCACCTCCGTTTCTTTTTGCTCTTCGTCCTCGACCGGCATGTACTTTGGCTCGGATGTCCATGGTCGATCCCGTGCAAGAGTCAGCAGTGTGTCCAGTCCACGTGCAAGCGATGTATCCAGAGCCTGCAACAGGTCATCGAGCAGCTCTACCGGCGCCAGCAGCCGCAAGCCATTGAGCGCAGTCAGTATCGCGTTCGTGTACGTCGCCAAGGGCGGATACGAGACAAGGATAGGCGGCGGGACATTTGGAGGTCCGGACGAGAGGGCCTGCAGTTGCATGTCCGTCGGCAATGGAGGCGACGGAGCAGCGCTTGCTGCGACCAGAAACCTAGAAGGCCTCTTGGACGTCGCCTTGGACCTGTACGAGCTCAAGCTCGTGCTCGGCTTCAACGCGTCGCACCATCCGTCCGCGGCCTCCTCCAGCTCGTTCTGGACGCCCATCCGCACAGCATCCACGAAGATAGGAGCGAGCAGCCCCTTGAAGTCCATGCCCACCCGCGCGAACGAGTTTGCGCAGTACGTGAGCTGCGTTAGGAGCGAAGTGAGCAGCGAAGGGTCCTGGATATGCGGGAGCGTCTCGCGCAGGAGCGCCAGGAGCCGTTGGAGATGCAAGCCCGTAAATGTCGTGAGGAGCATATGCAGCTGCGTCGGCGCCGTCCCGGACGTCGACGGGGCGCGCTCGAGGAAGATCGTCGTGTACTGCGTGACGACATCGTAAACGCCCTCCCTCCACAGGTCGACATACCGCTTCAGATACCTTGCATACGCCTCTTTCTCGCGCTCCCTGTCGCCCTCGACGCCCTTCTTCTCGATCTCGACCGTCTTGAGGAGGCCGTCGAGGTACACGCCGCGGCCGGTGAGGAACGCGAGCGCAAGCTCGGGCTCGTCGAGCACGTCCATCTTGCGGAGAAATCCGACCGCGCGGAAGAGCGCGGGGAGCTTCGCCTGCTCGCTGAGCATGCGCAGGAGCTGCCCGAGCATCGCCTGCACACGCGCGTCGCACTCCGCCTTGACGCTCTGTACGAGCGCGTTGTCCGGGAAGCGCGCTGCGAGCCCTGCCGCGTGCTGCGCGAGCAGGAGCGCCTCGTTGTAGGTGTGGTTCCGCACGCAGGAGTCTAGCAACGTCGGGAGCGAGAGCACGTCGTGCAGCTTGTCGTGGTGCTCGAGGACGAGCGCGGCTTTGCGCCTGTCCTTTTGGATGGAACGTGTGTCTTCTGCGAAGGACCGCGCGGAAGACTCCAGAGAGGGGAGGGACGAGAGGAGGACATCAAGAGAGGATGAGAATGCGGAGAGGGAGGACGAGAGGGCAGACGTCGAGGAGTGGATGGAGAGGAAGGTCGGGTAGGATGTGTAGCACAGCGTTGTGAGCGCGTTAGTGAGTTGTGCAGATGAAGACGAAAGCTCAGCAGGCTGGGACGTGAGCTCTGAGAGCGGTAGAGTCGTGAGGTGCGATAGATACGCAGATGTATCTGACGAAGACAACACTGACGAGGGGAGAGTACCCGACGAAGCAAGCAGCTCTGGCAAAGTGGGTATCTCAGTGTCTTCGGGTGTGCTTGCTGCTAACGTGTCTGTCATGGTGCTAGCTGAGTGTGTGATCAATCATAACGAGTATGGAATATTTCGTCCATAGGACGTACTGTACATATAGGGCCTGCCTCACACCCAGGCTGCCAGGCTCAACGGTGGACGTCTGGACCGTAGCACGCGGTTCTGCTGAAGGATGGTTTATGGGCGCTTGGCATCGGGCGCCTCGTACTCAGATAAGCGCGCAATTCATTAGAGCCCTCGATTACGATCTGCGGCCTCACACTGGCCCCAGTGGAGGAGCGTACACACCTATGCATCAGTGGCTCTGCACTGGCAATGGCCTCTTTGTTCGCCGGCCTCAGTATGTCAGTCAATGCACTCAATATCATACGAAGGCGAATGAACTGCCAGTCTGCTTTCCTGGACTAGGCCTCAGACACAGTGAAAACTGGACCTGCCCGAACTAAGCTGACACCTGCCCGGAAAAGGTCTTGACAGCTGCTGTCAACGACTACACTACGGGCAGCTCTCGGTTGACTGGGGGCAGGCAATTGAAACACGGCCTTAACGCATAACCTGCCCCAACCTGCCGAGAGCAGGCGTCTTAGTCTGCGGGCAGGTCTGGGCAGCTGGGGGCAGGTCCGTAATCTGCTATAACCTGCTGTAAACTGCCGTCGATTATAATGCTACTACACTAATATACATTGCACTACTACTACGCCTCCCGGCCTCCCGCCCGCTCGTCCTCGTCCGTTCGCCCCCATTCACTACCTGCGACACGCTCGTCGGCTGCGTTTGCATGCGGGGCACTGGCCCTACGCGCTCGCAGTCGGCGTGTGTTGTACACGCCCTGTCCACCGTCGCCGTCTCCTGTGTGTCGCTCGCGCGCGCGGCTCGTTCGTCGACCGCGCTTGCGTGCTGGGCATTTGCCCTGCGCGCTCGTGGTTGCCGTGCGTGCGTCGCCGCCCAGTTGTGGTCCCGCCCGGTTGTGGTCCCGCCCGGTTGTGTACACGCCCGCCCACCCGATTGTGTGCCTCCTCGGCCTCCCTTCCGCTTACCTGTGTGCGCGTTCGTCGACCGCGTCTGTGCACTGGACATTCGTCCTCCGCGCTCGCAGTTGGCGTGTGTTGCGCACGCCTCGGCCCTGTCCACGTCGCTGTCTTCCGTCTTTTGCTGATCCCCGCGCGATCCGTTCATCGGCGGTGCTTGCATGCTGGGCATTGGCCCTGCATGCTCGCGGTCGCCCTGTGCGTCGGCCCGTCCGCGCGCCGCTTGTTCGTCGGCCGTGCCTACACGCAGGGCATTGGCCCTGCGTGCTCGCCGTCGTCGTGCGCGTCGCGCTGCACGTCACCGCGTCCTGTGCTCGCTGTTAGCGAGCCCTTTCGCGTGTGGCTGGACTCACCTGGCTCTGGCCCTCGACCTCGCCCTCGACCTCGCCCTCGCCCATCCCGCCAGCCGTTCATTCGTCCCCGCCGTCCGCTCGTCGTTCACGCTTGCCGTGTATTCGTCGTCCACACCTGTCGTGAGTTCGTCGCTGCGCCCAGGCCCGCGGTGTCTTCGTCGGCTAAATTTGCGTGCGGGGCCTTTGCCGTGGGTGCTCGCCGCGCGCGTGTGCGCCATGTTGCTGTGCCTGAGGCCGTTCGCGAGTCGACCTGGCGGATGGAGGGGGCATGCCTCAGATTCCCTGCGAGTTTGGACGCTCGCGGGGTTGCCTCTTTTGGCAATACCCGTACGAGGGCGCATTTGGCGGACACCGGGCGTGCGGGATTGCGCCGGAGTCCCGCAGCGCCTGTTCGCATCGCCAGACCTAGAACAGCGTACTCGAGAGCATCATGCAGCGGCGACAACGGGTCGAGCGCCAGGCTCCGCCAGCAGTTTTGCGGCGACGTGTCGTAGTTCTGTTTGACTCGGACTAGATCTGCACGCCAACCCAAGGGTCAGCAGATAGCTGACTAGTACAGGAAGGCATTGTACCCCACGGGCCGCGCGAAGTTGCCGTTCGCACAACCCGGACTCACCCTCAGGCTCACCCTCGCTCGCCCGTGCGGCACATGCCATCGGCTGCGGCACTACAGCCCATCCACCCCGTCGCAGGTCATGATCCTACGTCTGAAAACAAAGGAGAGCTGGCGCGACACTCTTTGTAATGTACTACTCACTCACACACTCCTGGCCGCCTGCAGCCCACCCGCCCACTCGCCCTGCGTGCGTTTGATACGATTAGAGTGATTCAAAAAGTCGGAAGGGAGTGCGTGCCTATGCACGTCGTGGAATAAGATATCGGCGGATGTTGACGTGGCGGTGTGAAGCGAAGGCCGTCTGCAGTCGGAAAGACTTGGAGTCTCTCGAGTCTGCATGGCGTCATCGGAGGTCGGGCGTGCAAGTCACGGGGTCGGGAGGTGGATGGCTCAAGGAACTGGGCGGGGCGCGGAAGGCTAACGTGGACGCGTTAACGCACAAGTGAAGAGTGTTAGCGAAGCTAAAGAGACTTACGCGTACGGCTTACGATCGAGGCGTTCATGTTAACGAGATGCGGGGTGGCATTAAAGCACTAAGGCGGACGGCCATAGCGCGTAAGCGAGCTAAGATCGTGTCTAAAGTTACAAAACGCCATTGAGAGACGCCGATAGAACCAATGCGGCAGGTGGGGGCAGCTCGGAGCAGGTGGAACACGTCAAATGGCTGTCAAGGCCTGCTCCGGGCAGGCCCTGGCTTAGTTCGGGCAGGTCCGATTTTCACTGTGCCTCAGATCTCGAGCCACTGCATAGTCGTAATACAATCGACAGAACCGTGACGCCGACCCGTTCGTCTCATCTGGAATGGGGGCTTCTCGGCACATGCTACTTACATACCATGAATACATCGGATGTGATCACGTCGGTCAGTGAAGGCCAGCGCAGGCCGTGCCAGGGCTATTCATACGGACAGGATGCTATCTCAGGAGTCACGATAGCAAGCTCAAACTCTGTACTTATATCAACCGTTCAGTTAGAGCTATCATCTTCCCTTAGCCCCTCCCACCTCAACTATCGTCCGCCGTCGTTACCTTCCTCGATCGCGCACCATCATGACAGATGCAGAAGGCGAGATCCATCAACCCATCCACCCCGATATCCTGAAGAAGCTCGACCCCGAGTTCGCCGCCTTCCACAGCGCGAACGCCCTCCACCAGGTCCCACTCCATCTCCTCCCCTGGGACCCAGCCGTGCGCAAAGGCAATCCCGTCAACGGCGCCTCAGAGCCTCTGCCAGTTGGGAGCATCCAGGACTTCGCTCTCAGCAAGTTCAGCGTGCGCGTATTCACGCCGGAGGGATCTGCGCCTGATGCGGGTTGGCCGGTTCTCATCTACTTCCATGGAGGCAAGACTCTAGGCAGACCTCGAAGATGCTACATCTGCTGACATGGGATGGTGTTCAGGTGGCTGGACACTGGGTAATATCAACACGGAAAATGCATTCAGCACCAACGTGTGCAAGCGTGAGCTACATCGAGAGCGTATTGTGTATTTCGATATTGATACCCGCCCACGATGACAGGTGCGAAGGCGGTCGTGGTCTCCGTCGACTATAGACTCGCACCTGAGGACCCGTATCCCGCTGCGGTTGAAGATGCCGTCGAGGCCCTGGAGTGGGTGTACCAGAATGGTAAGGCACAGCTGAGCGTGGATACCACGAAGATTGCGGTCGGCGGTTCGTCCAGGTAGGCCTCTTGTCAAGACAACCTCGAGCGATTTGCTGAACCTAGACAGTGGTGGGAACCTGGCAGCTGTCGTCGCCCTCAAAGCGGTCCAAGCGGAGCCTCCGATCCCGGTCATGTTCCAGCTCCTTGTAGTCCCGGTCACCGATAACACGGCCACGACGTCAGGCGTGCCGTACAAGTCCTGGGCAGAGAACGCGAACACCGTGCAGCTGACTCCAGGCAGAATGTTGTGGTTCCGCGATAACTACCTTCCGAACGAGAAGGACCGCACTGCATGGGAGAGCTCGCCCATCTTCGCGCCTGAAGAGTTGTTCAAGAAGCTGCCTAAAGCGTGGGTCGCCGTGATGGACCTAGACGTCCTGCGGGACGAGGGCATCGAGTACGCGAATAAGATGAAGGCGGCAGGAGTAGACGTCGAGGTCAAATTGTACGAGACAGCGCCGCATCCCATATTGGCGATGGATGGTGAGCCTCCTCGCATGATGTCACTGCGAGCGTGTCTGACAAGTGCTGTTGCATTCACTTAGGGTAAGCACTGGGAACGTATATTATGCAGTATCACTGACCCTTCTACGTAGTGTGTTGGAGATCGGCAGGAGATTCGTGACGGATGCGGTAAACGCGACAGCACAGGCGTTTGGCACCGCTTGACCTCTCGTGCAAGGCCGATAATCGTTTGTAGGCAACGACACCTCTACTTAGAGGTCAATCAGTGCGAATTGAGGATAGTCAGGTAGCAAGAAATAATGTGATGCATCGTCCTGCGTATGATTGCATGAACCGGATTGTCTCAGCCTGATAGGGTTAAGGGGTTGCATGTGCGCGATCTACAAGAGTAGCACATTGTCAGTACCGTGGCTACATTTCACGGGGTTCAGGCCCATTGCATTGTCCCTAATCGGTGTGCGTTACTGTGAGTCGTGGAGAAAGAACGGATGCTATCACCGTTCGGAGAAGCTACTCAGAGGCAAGGCTTGCCGCGAACCGAGGCTGTAAAACCGAGTGCGAGCTTAACCGAGGTATGTGGAAGATTGCATCCAGAAAAAGGTGCCCGTGCTCGATGGTCGGTGGTTCTGCACAAAGGGGTCGTTTTGAGAAGTGGAACAAAAGATCACATTGGACAAGCATAGGTGATACACCTGCCTCTGATGAGATTACCGGTTTGATGGCCCGCTGAGGGCGACCCCAGGGCGACGTAATCTGCACAGCATAGATAGACTTTCAGAACGACGAACATAGGCCATAGAAGCAGAAACAGTCGATATACGATCGTATGTCTCGAGAACCTGTATCATAAGAGGGTGATTTAGTACTTCGCATCGGATACCGTAGTCTTGCTCTTGCGTCCGCCGAGTTACATATGGGCCTGCATGATAGCATCTGAGATGAAAGCAGCGGTGATGGGCCTCCCACCGAACCAACGGCCATTGAGGCCCTGGATAGCCTTCTTAGCGGAGTCAATAGCGTCAAACTTGACATAGATCTCGCCCTATATGCCACTGGTCAGTATGCCTGCGCTGTTTATGATGTCGCGATATGCATACCTGAGAGTCTTTCTCGATCTTAATGAAGTCGACGTGGCCATACTTCGACTCGCATTCGCCCTTGACATCCTCGGCGAGATCCTTGTCCCAATCACGTTCGGTCTCCCTTCAGTGCATAATGAAAACAGTCAATCAAGTGATCTGCGGAAGAATGCACGACCTTACTCTTCGGGGTCGAACATGTTCCTCAGCAGAACAGAGCGAGATTCCATAGCCTGTGGGATATTAGGCCTCATACTGCAAAGAGCGTCGAAATTAGACATTGCGGTCAAATGAGCTCAACGAACTAACATTGGCTGAGGTAGGGCCGGGGTCTGGTCAGTTCTGGCTAATTTCTGCATCAGCGCCTGTCGCGAAGCTGCGTTCAGATTACCACCTAAATGTAACCATGATCAGTGGGCATATTCACATTGAAAGATAAAATCATTAAGAGTATTACCGCCTGCTTCATCCAAAGAGTCTTGCTGCGTATACTTCGTTGTCCCCTTCTCATGTACTGTATTGACGCGCAACTGAATGGACTGAGGGTTAGAACCTGGCAAGTATATTTCAACTGAAAACTTACAGTACGGCCGGCCAACTCGAAGCCTTCCATTTGCTCCAAAGCCATTCGGGCATCCTCCACACGTTTGTATCTTTGGTGGGTGTCAACCATCTGGCACTGGCTGTGAAGGACAGTGTACGTACTGGACAAAAGCATAGCCCTTGCTACGGCCTGTCATGGGATCGCGGTGTAGGTCAACGAACTCCAATTCGCCAAAAGGCTCGAAAACCTGCTTGATATCGGACTCGGTAAGGTTGAAGTGGAGCGATCCAACGTATAGCCTATACATCGGCATCAGTAATGGAGGTAGTAGTATGCTTAAAACACTCACTGCATGCCACCGTGAGGTGCGCTAACGCCGGGGGGAAGATTTAAATTGCTAGCAAGGTTTGTCAGCTCTGGACATGGACACAAAAAGTATCATCTTACCTGTCTCCTGCATGAAGTCTGTTCCTCTCGGCTTCAGTATGCTGTATCTGGATAGGAAGACCCATTACGACGGTGCCACTGAGAGCGATGGCTTTGTCGACATGCTCGACTCCACGGAATTCGACGTATCCGATGCTGTGGAGATGTCAGCACGTTTGCGCGGTGAAACGAACGCAACTGACCCTTTAGACCGCCTTGAAATCCTATCTGTGACTATGCGGGAGTCCATCACAGTGCCTTCTCCCAATTTGTCCTCGAAGAAGTAACCCAAATCACGAGCCGTGAGTCGTGCGGCAAGCTGAGAGACGAATACCGACCGAGCTTCAGAGTCGTCCTCTCTCGGTTCATCGGGATTCATCATGGGATCCTCGCTAGGCATCGTGTAGATTGGGGACGGTCGCCTAGGGCGTGAATCAGTGAATTAGGTTGGAATAGAGTAACAAAACCATGATGCCTACCTTACTGGAGTGATTGCCTTGGGCTCATCCACAGGCATAGACGGGCCTCTGCTCTTGCGACTCGGTTCGCGCTCTCTCTCCCTGTCGCGGCGGTAGCGCGGTAGGTCATCGAATTCGTCACGAGGGTCGCGTGCTCTTGGGCCCCTGTCACCGTACCTACGCTCCCGTGAACTGTCCCTACGACGGCGAGGACTGTCCGTCATGGGCGGTGGAGGCGGGGGAAGACCCGCGGACGCGGGCGGCGCGGGCAACGACGACTCCTCCAGACCCTCATCGGGTCTCTTCCTTTTGGAACGCTCGTCCCCATCCGTACCATCTTCGCCCTCATCTCGTTTTCTGCGTCTGTCTCTGTACTCTCTTTCATCTCGCTCCTTGTCGCGGTGACTGTGTCGGCTTTCTGCCCTCTCCCTGTCAGAGCGGTGACGCTCCCCGTCACGGTCTCGACGTCTGTCTCTGTCGCGCTCCCTATCATGGTCCCTGTCCCTAGGCCTCTCGTCGCGTTCCTTGTATCTGTCCCGAGAACGGTCTCTGTCGCGTCTTTCGCGACGGTCGTCGTGGTCATCGCGCCTGTCTCGCCTGTCTTTGTCTCGTGAACGAGAGCGATGAGAACGTCTTGTTCTATGCGTCTCGGTCGAGTGGTTCCGTGACCTGCAAAACTTCGTCTAGCAAGAATTAGTGATTACTGGTTGGATACTTACGACTTCGACCGTCTATCGGGGGATTTCTCCCTATCCACGTCCATTTTTCCGTTCGCAGATGACATACTTCGCAGTAGTGATGGTGAAGGGAATCGGGGCTTTCAGACTTCAGTGTGTAGTCGAAAGCCTCAGACGCTCGGGCGCAGGGCCAAGCTGTGGCCAAGTCACGTCGCGTCACGCCCATGTTGTCACAGCATCTATCACCATCTTCGACGGCACTCGGAGACATATATAGACATACCGTCCGTTCAAGTACGACGGGCAAACAGTACCGCGGCACTTCTCATCCTATCATACATTCGACGGTTTCTACGGGTATTCTATATGACATCTATATCTACTTACAAAAGGTTAGCGAGCCTCGCGCGCACTCTCTTCTCTGCCTGCACAAGCTCAGTCTCCTCCGACTTCTTGTACAACTGGTTCAGCGGGTTCTCGTCGCCCTCCTTCTCCAGATCGGCCTCGATCTTGCTGAACTCGCCGCAGAACTTGCCGTTCAAGACCTAGGACGTAATGTCAGCCGATGCGCTATATTGCACGAGACTTCCGCAATACCTGGTTGTGCAGGATATGCTTGAAGTGTTCCCGCATTGACGTGCCATCGAGAGCAAGCGAGCCGCTTAGTTGGCCATATTGCGAGACAGTCGAGTGGTACTTCAACTGCGCGATGAAGCCATCCTCTGCCGCACGCTCGAAGATCTCTGCAGGCTCCTTCGACATCCACCTGTACAAGTGGGGTCAAATACATTTAAAAAGTGTCGGAAATGCAGCTCACATTTCGTAACATAGGGCTTCGTCAGAGCATCCTGCATCCTTAAGGACGCTGAAGGCTTCCCTGTGGGTCGACATAAGCAAGCAGTTATTGCCTCAAGCAATGCTGAAGATACCTGAACAGCATGATGATGTTTGGCCACAGTGCCTGCTCGGCAAAGAGATCCATCGCAGTTTCCTCGTATACCGAGGAAGCGATTGCGCCTGCCCTAGTTGCACCGATGACACGAGACAACGCTAGCGCGACGGCAAGGCCATTGCTAGTGCCGTCTTGTTCGACCGAGACGAAACAAGGGAAGCCCTTGCCCTTGACGTACAAGGTACGCACGGAGGAACCAATCATCCTAATATCGCCATTAACCACTGAACTGAACAGCAGCATGCACGGCTAACCTCGGAGCGACCATGACGACATCCTGTGTGGGCTTGAACTTGAGGAGCTTGAAGAAGACGTTGTAGCCACTGGCGACCACGATGGCCGCAGTGTCCTTCAAGTTAGGTGCGAAGACTTCGTTGAAGACTCGTGGCTGGACTTGGTCGGGGATGAGGATGAAGACAACTACAAGGTACAGGTCATCGGCTGCTTCCTTTCCGCTGAAAAGGGATTCACGCACTGTCGGCTACCTTGGCGGCCTTCGCAAAGTCATGCTCGACCTTGAAACCCTTCGACTTCGCGTCCTCTGCGTACGAATCAGGCCTGTTCGCAACGAGAATCTGCTCGTTGGGAATGCCCGAGTCACGCAGGTTCTGTGCTTGTGCTGCGCCCTGGTTGCCGAAGCTGTTGGGCTGCGTGTGAGGAAGGAAATCGCTGGGATGATATCATACGTACCCGAGGAAGACGATTGTCTTCTCCTTCAGGACGTTCAGGTCAGCATCCTGATCGTAGTAACTGCAGATGCGCTGCTGTCAGTACAAGCAGAACAAACAACTTGGACGTCGCTCACATCTTCGCGGACGGCATATTGGATCGTTTCGTTGAATATCAAGGACCACTTGTATCCGGCACTCTACGGCGCCCGCTCACTTATATATTTGGTATTCCTGGCCTCTTCGGACATCAGGACCGTCAAGCGGGCACCCGGATGTTGTGCGCAAGCATTCTTTGCGCATATGACACAGTCAGCGTGTCCTCTTGGACATAGCTCAATGTCCCTGTGACAAGGAAGCGGAGCACACGGACCGTGCGCACGACGTCAGTCAACAGACGAAGAATCCCAGCGTCCGGTCGACGCACGGTTCGAATGATGGCGATATCAGATACCGGGGCGCACTGGACAGACTACATAGCAGGTGAACCCAAGGACGAGCCAGCCAGACCCCATTGTCATTCATGGCGGGACTTCTCTCAGGCAAGGTAGTGTGCATCACTGGCTCATCTCGCGGTATCGGCCGAGCGTGCGCGGTCGAGTCCGCTAACCAGGGCGCACGGGGCCTTGTCTTGCACTACTTTGGCGACGCGGTGACAGAGGCGGAGATCCGGACGCTGGAGGAGGAGGTGGAGAAGCGCTTTGCGGGCTGCAAGGTTGTCACAACGCCCGGTGACATAGCCGACCCCGCCACTTCGTCCAAGGTATGGGCCCTCACGTGCAGAGAGTCCCCCAGTCGGCATCTCATACATTCGATGGCGATAGATCGTCGAAGTGGGTGTCGCAGCGTTCGGTCGCATAGGTACGCAGAGGCGCAATCAAGCCTCCGGGATCAGGTTCGCTGACAGTCGGCAGATGTACTCGTTAGCAATGTTGGGATATGTCCCTTCGCAGAATTCCTGACGATGCCCCACGCTACCTGGGAACGCACACGAGCGGTAAACCTGGATGGCTCATTCTTCATAACCCAAGGTCGGTGCCGGTACGCTCTGTAGTATTGCTCGGCCTGATAGTCCAATCCACCAATCAGCGATTGCGAACCAAATGAAGTCTCAAACACCTCAGGGTGGATCTATCATTGGCATCTCGTCTATATCCGCACTCGTGGGCGGTGAAATGCAGTGGTATGCGGTGAATCTCGATGATGAAGCGTACCTTTGACGGCAGAATCTCAGCCATTACACGCCAACCAAAGCTGGCATCTTGTCGCTCATGCAGAGTTGTGCGGTGGCCCTAGGCAAGTACAACATCCGCGCCAACGCGATATTGCCTGGAACGATCGCGACGGACATCAACAAGGAAGACCTCTCGGACGACGTGAAACGCGAGGGTATGATTAAACGGACATGTCTAAACCGCCTCGGTCGTGAGTTCGACAATACATAGGAGCTACCAGGCACTTACTTGCATACGCAGAACCGGACGACATTGCGGGACCCGTTGTCTTCCTTGGTAGTGACCTGGCCAAGTATGTGACAGGGGCGTCGCTACTTGTAGACGGAGGGCTCTTTGTCAATCTGCAGTGATGATGGAAATTTGTTGTTACGATCCAAATATACACTGTGCCTGTCACTCCTTTCCCGGCTCCTACGGCTCCCCGCACATTGAAAGCCTGAGAGCACCGTCAGAACCCCGGAGAAAGCCTCTACGATAACCTCACCTTGAAGGTTTCTTCGCTCGATCGCTTAGTAGGGTCTAGTTCCTCGCTCATCCTTAGGTAACTCACGCACGGACTTCTGCACCTAGTGCTTTGTCCCCAACCACAGCAGGCTTCGCATCTACAAGCACAGTCACCCACCGCGTCCATCCCGGACCCGGGTTCTTCCACGCGTGTATGGTGCCCCGCTGAATCACGATATCGCCCGGAGTCTCAAAGAGCGTCTCACTCCCGTCTTCCATCTCCAGGATGATTTTGCCCTGGACTGTACGGCGTCCATGTCAAGACCCAATAGTTCAGACCGTTAATACTGAACGCGGACGCACCGAGGATATTGTAGTCGAGCGACGACGTCCTATGCTACAAGCCCAACGTCAGAATGTCCGAGTTCAGCAATTACATCGGCGGAAATGTTACCATTGGCGCTCTCGCACCCGGAGCTAGATCGGTGTACCGCAACATAATTCCGTTACGCACGCACAACCCCAAGTCTCCGTCGGCAGTCCTCGTTATCCCGTCCACGCTGATGCACCGTCAACAAAGCACGTGTCAGGCCTAATGGCACGAAATACGCACTCGCCGTTGTTATCGCCCGTGGGCACCTTGTCCGTGAGCCAGAGCTGGTTGCCGCTCACGCCAGGGAAGCTAGACTCCTGAGGTCAATCACTGTAGATGAGTATCGTGGAAAGGGTCAAACACAAAGAGCACCTTACTTTGCGAGAAACAGTGTCTTCAGAGCGGACGATCGCAATGCCCGCATCGTTATGACCTGTCACTACACGACGCACATCTGGCAGAGGAGACCCGTCAGAATTCGACATGGTGGCGTCGTCGTACACGAAATTCGGGGAGGGCGGTCAGCCTGTGTTCCCGCTCCGATGCGTCTCAACCCTGTCCGTTGACGATCCGATCACAAACGCTCGCTATCACCGTCAATATCAAACTGCCCCTCGCCACACTCGCGCACGCTTCCGTGATCAGCTTGCAGAACAATCACACGTAGATCACTTGCGATAATACCCTGGGACGAGTCTGGTGACTTACCCTCAACATACCCTGTACGCGCGTAGTGCGCCCCAAGACCGCCGCAGGTACGAAGGGCGGCCCGCCCGACTCCGGCGACACTCCGTACGAGAACGGGGTTCACCACCTGCAGTGGTTCTAGCCCAAGAGACGGTCCGCAAAATGGAGCAACCAAGCAAGTATGAATATCACATGGACTACGTGTAGATGGCCAGACCGTATGAGAGAGAGTTAAGGCGCGGTGTCTGTTGAGGTGGCATCAGCGACGGCGCGAGGGGAGAAGAGAACTCGGTGAACTCACAATAATAATACTCGTCGATCAACGGGACCCAGTCTCTCGTCAGCGCGCTGAAGAGACCGAGCAGCGGCACATTCGCTGTCTTGCTCGCGAACGCCTCCAGCTTGGGCCTGCGACGCAACATCAGCACGGTGTACACACATAAGGCGAAGTGACGTACTTCGTCCATGAATCCCAGATCGAGCCCCGGAGAAGGTACCAGAGCATGTCCCTGTCGCGAAGCGCATACTCCGCCCGTTCCAACTGGGCCGATCGCGACGGCACGCGTCTCAGGTTGCGAGCTAGGAGCTCCATCATGAGTACGACCATGAGTGGGTTTGTGTTTCTCCTCTTGCGCGACAGCATCGTCGCTACAACAGTCGCGTCAGATGAAAACCTCGGCTGTTCATACGTCAATGCTTACCATAGACAAGAGGGCGGAGAATGTAGATGATCTCCGAAAGCCAGGCCTTGGGCGAGACAAGAGGAGCGACGAGTGCTGTTGGTGCCTTGACAGACGATGTAGTCAGAGCCTTAGGCAGAAGGAAGTCTTCCACCGGTTGCGGAGATTGCGTAGGTGGAGATGGCGTCAAGAGAGGATGCAGAGGCAACGGCTCGTGGTTGTTTCTGAGATGCTCAGGAGTCGCAGGAAGCGATGACGGCGGTGAAGATGGCGCTAGAGTCGGGGATGCTGCGTCGAAATCCAGAGGGATGGCGGAAGGATCAAACTCGCGCTCAGGGATAGGCGGCGAAAGTACGGGCCTCCTGGTGATCCGTAGCAAGACTAGGCGAAGGACCGCTCTACAAGGTGTTGGATGAGGTTGTTTGACCGTGTACGAGAGCACTTACTTGATGACCTCCAGAAGCACGATTCCCCTCCACCTGTTACGTTGCGAGACCTTCCTCCGCAAACCCATCTCGATCAACAGTTCCGTGAAGCGGACCAATTGCAGCACGCGAGCAGCCCACTTGTATAGCGAGTCTTTTTCAGACCATGCACGAGTATATCGCGTGTGCGAAGACGGGGTATCAAGGCTTTGTATTTGGGATCCGCTTGGACAACCCTCTCCAGGAGCGTGTCATGATACATGCTCATAACATTGAGGGAGGCGGACACTGGGATGCGTACATAACGCAGGCGGGTCAACTCGACAGAAACACGGGTACGAAACTGTACGAACAAGCCTCTGACGCCAACTCTGCATCTCTGAACCTGCCCGGCAGGATCCACGTAATAGACCTCAGGGTAGACTCGAGGGAAGATATGGTGGACACATTCTTGACGAGGAAGGACTCGTAGCGGGCGAAATGGGACGACATCGAAGGGAAAGACAGACCCGGGCGGGAAGGAGACCGCGGGAGGCCGCCTGAGGGAGAGGCAGCAGCCAGAGAGAGCTGGCGTCAGTGTGTGGTGGGTAGCTTGGAGTGCAGCCCACTGGACTCCGCGGTGGGAAGCCTCTCGGCGCCCACCGATGCCCCGAAAAGGCAATGCTGTAAACACTTGATATCCTCGCGGCTGCAGACCCCCGGTGGCAGACACGCTCCTCGTCTTGCCACCATCCTCGCTGTGCACAGCATCCGCAATGTGGCCCGCCGTGAAAATAACTGGCAGATGGAATGCGTGTTTGAACGGCCACGTAATGGTATGTGCTGTAGACGACCAGATATTTCGCGTGTATCTCGATATCTTCGAGAGTAGTGGTATGTAGCTCTCGAACGAGCCTCGTATCGATAGCCCGCCCAATGTCGGACCCTGCTAGTCACAAGTCTGAACTTCGAGCGGTTGCCTTCCGAACCAGTCGGCCGGGACAAGGGCTGCTTCCGATAGTTGGAGTGCGAGCCCACACAATAAAGATGGACGCGATATGTACACCTCAGTGAGCGTGCCCTGATACGTGATACGTTGAGTGCCTGTGCATGTATCTCTCGTACGGATGGCCACAAAGGATGTTATGGCCTTTTGAGAAGGCTGATCACGATCAGAGAGCTGCCGGAAGAGGAAGGCTGAAGTGTGCCTCAGCGCTGCCCATTTTTCTGCACGTTGCGGTCTTAGCGACCCTCTGCAGGCCACGCCCCTCCATGCTCCCGCCATATCAATGCACCAGAATCTGACAAGACCCGTGCATCGGCTATCTTCCTGTTCCCATCGTAATTTTCCACCTCGCCTCGCCTTCCTTCGACGGTCGCAACCGCTCGCCCTCTACGCTGCCCAGACAGCATGAACACTCCCCGGAGCCCCAGCCAGCCGCTCAACTACTTCCAACAGAGTCCGGTTCGAGGGCAGCTGGAGAGCCCGGATGGGCAGTACGCGAGGAGCGGATGGCGGTATCTGCAATGCACGGACACGCCAAATGAACTCAGGGTACGTACAACTACCACCGTGTCGCGACGACAGCCTTTTGACTGTTCCTAGGTGCTCTTGCCTCCCCGCACAGCACTCATCTACAACCACCTCCTCCGCGCAGAGCTCATCGAGCTCCGTAAGGACCGCGACGCAGCATGGGACCGCATCCTGCAGATCCGTCACCTCAAAGACCGCATGATCCGCAAATGCCAGCGACTCGGCAGGGAGTCCGCGCCCACAGGCAAGCCCTCCCCGCGCAGCATGTTCTTCACCGTGCACGCGCCGCCCGACTTCCGCCTGAAGGAGATGGAGCGCTGGTTTCGCGAGCAGGGCGCGCACTTCGGGTCGGACGTCGCGCAGGGGCACTCGCGCACACCCTACTGCTGCAACAAGTGCATGCCGTCTGCGCACATGAACCATCAGGGAAGCCTCTCGCGTAGGCCGTCTGCGCAGGCTCACCGACACGCTCCTCCCCCGGATCGGGTGCCTGCGCGTCGCGGCGACTCGGTCACGCACACGACGACGACCCTGCTGAACCCATCGCCTCCTTTAACGAGCCAACATCCCAAGCGGCAGCCTCCACAAGGCTACAAATCCCCAGGACGCGTGCCCGCCGTCGTGCGCGACCCTGGGCATGTCTCGCCTCACCGCAAGACCATGGAGCGCAAACGGTCCGCAGGGTCGGACGTCAGCATCGCGACGCGTTCCACCCGCCTGAACGCGAAGTCGCCGGACCCCTTGCCCATTCCGTTCCGCATGCACGACCCAGACGAGGAGGCCGCCTTGGTCGACTCGCCAGGCAGCTCGCAGGACGAGATGCCGTCCACGTCCCCGGAGCCGGAGCCGGAGCCGGAGCCCCTCGAGGCCCCTGCCCTCCCAGCGCTGAACGGCCAGCTGCCCACAATCCTCGAGGCGTCTGAAGGGCAGGCCTCAGTCGCCGGCGAGGATGCCCACCGCGCGATCCCCCGTCGACGCAGCAGCCTCAAGAGAGCGGGCAGCATCAGCAGGCTAAGCATAGCGAGCCAGACCAAGTCCGTCGCGTGGGCCATGGACCGGGATTGGATCGAGCAGATGTCGCAGTACATGAAGACCGCGAACGAGGCTGAGGTGCTCGGTGAGTCGGCGCTCTCTGCCCCGGGGACTGGTGTTCACGGTTCGCTGACGCCGGACTCGTTTCCGCAGGGCACGAGCTCGAGGTGCTGCGGGTGGACTACCACAAGGAGGTAGACGCAATGAAGCGGATGTGCCGCGGCGTCTCGGAGGCGTCCGAGCGGATTCGTCTCGAGATGGAGAAACTGCACAGAGACGAGGAGGCGGTGAGGAGGCAGGAGGACAGGCTGCTCCATACCATCGAGCAGCTGGAACGGAAGGAGACGCAGTTCCGCGACAAAGGCATGTCTTGTTCTAACATTACTGCCCACATGGTTGGCTGATGCGGTTCTCCCCGGCAGTCCTTTCGGTACTCGACGAAACCAAACGCGTCGTCCATCTTTGTGACAAGAAACGCGACGTCCACGAGCTATGATCTTCGTGACATCCTTCGGAAGATCATCATCCATACGCAGGTGCCATCTACCTTGTTTTGTTCGCTATCTAGACGCATGACTATACGCAGACTAACGATTTGGAGACACCGCTCCCTGTAGCACTACCCCTCTATTATTCTTTCGGTAAATACCCTTCACGTATATGATATCCTACGGATGTAAATATCCTTCCTCAGTGTTGCTCCTGGATGGATGGGTGAAATGCAAATGATGGGACTCACGACCAATGTCCAAGCGTGTGATGAATGTATGGTGTACAATGCGACCATTGTCCTAATAGTGATAGTATGCAGGAATAAGTTACGACGTGCAGGCAGGCTAGGAATCGCATTGAAATGCCCAGGGGATGCAAAGCGACGTCTGCGGCTACTGGGTCTCGGTCAACACGGGCCCCTGACGCCATCTCCGCCGCTTAGCCCACTTCCACCAGAGACGCACGAAGTTAGCGTAGACGATGAGTACAACGCCTGCGAACGAAACCACGATGCCGAACACGTAGTAACGAGTGCCCGTGAGGTTGTTGGCGGGAATTTGGATGTTCATAGAGAACAGACCTAGTGCGCGGTCGCAGGTGTGAGCTGCGAACCTACGAATGCTAAGAGAAACATACCAATGACAGTCTGGACCAAGACGACACCCATACTAACGGTCGTGAGTGTAACGAGAGCAGTGTCCGTGCCTGACTGCGCCTTGGAGTGGGAGAGGCGGAGGTGGGATAGGTAGGTAGGTTGTGACGTGCTCAGTACACGCTCGTAGTGGACTAGTGCCTGCTGCAGGGTCAGGATGTGATCTGTGCATCGACATAAGCGATACATATAATATCTGCACAAGAGCTACGTACCCTGCACATCACCCATATACACATAGACATCGTGGTCGTGCTCGGTGCCGTTCCCAAGTCCACCTTGACCGACGGTCAGCAATCGCTTTTGGAGCTGCGCAACGACCTCCGACTTGTGCGCTAAGACTCGGGTGAGCGACGTAACGAGTCTCCTCGTCCTGGCCATCCGATGGACGGTAGTCGTGGTCTTCGCCGTCGGCGTGTGCTTGAACACAACACGGAAATGGCCGTAGAAGGCCTGCACCGAACGTTTCAATCCCCGAAGGTGGAGACGACAGCTCGTAGGAAATTTGAACTGCGTCTTCCGTTCCACAGCCTTGAAAGTTTCGCGTGGTTTCTCGATGACCGCAAAGCTGGATGTTTCAGGTTTCTCGTTGGTATCATGTGCCGCAACCTTCTCGAGGCTCGAAGTGGAGGGTATATCAGCAGGCGCGGGTGGAGGATTGGTCACCGCGGGGTCTGTTGCAACATCTTCATCAGACACCATTAGGCTCTCCATGTTGGCAACCTCCTTTTCGACCCCTTCCAAGAAAGGGAAGAATGAGTCCACGATGGAGTCCATTATTCCATGGGCAATCCAATCTTGCAGTATCGTCAGACCCGATGACCGTCGTCGTAGACATCGTATACTTACCTGAAGTCATGTTGACGCTCTGCGAGAGTTTGAGTATTTTCCTCCGAACACGGTCAACATGTTCTGTGATCCGCTAAGCAGCAGTCATACAGGAAGCTAGACAAAACTTGCCTCCGATATCCGAGAAGTGGAACTGAGAACGAGTGTTAACACGGCTCGCGGGGATGAAGCGATGCTATGACCTACCGAGCAGATACCTTCACGGAAGACGATCAAGTACACGTTGACCTCACCAACGATGGCTTCCTCCATAGGCGACGCAGACGACGCGGTACCATCTCGAGGGTTTTGCAGTGCACGCAACCGCTCCCTGGTCTTCATGCTTTCGATCGCACGAAAGACAACAAAGTAGTATCCTAGTTTCGGGAAGACCTCCAACTTCTCTCTGGGATCCTGCTGCAAGATATCCTCCAGAGTCAACGGGTGGAGGTGGAGAAGCTATGCAACATTCAGCATGCAAGCATACAACGGTCGCTGAAGATCGAACCTTGCCAATTGCACGCATGTCTTCCCACGTAGGTGAGGTGACATCTAACCACCATGCTTTCTCCGCATCGCCAGGCTCAGTCGCAGCGGATGACGCTTGAGACATTGGTGTCGGTATTGGCATCGCAGTTGCCCGTTTCTTCCCTTTCCTAGCTCTGCGCGGAAGGGTGGGCTCTTGGCTTGAGGAGCTCGTCGAGGACGCTATGTCCTCAGGCATCATATAATGGTGGTGAATCGTCGGGGGCGAAGGAACGTGTGACTCCAAGGCAATCGTCTCTGTCCGTGCCCGTCTCGCCCGCTCATTACCCTTGAGGGCTGCGCCGAGCTGAGCAATGATGAGAGGTAGGGAATCCGTATGGATGAAATGCCTGTCCTCAGCGCCGGGAACCAGGCCTTCCCTACCGAGTGAGTCCGGGACCAAAGGAGTCGGTACATACAAGTCGAAGGACCGCGGGACGTATCTCCATTCCTCCCTGGCTCTGATGCGAGCTGCAATTTGGCGTTCCGTTCGTTCGTTATGCGCGTCTGCGATGCTCGGTCTACCCCTCCGCGTGCGAGTGGCGAGGGACCTCGCCATTGTCCTCATAGACTGGGACGACGAGGACGAGGACGATGTAGTTGAGAGCGATGAGGAGGATGCCCACGCACGAGCCCACGTAGCAATAGCATGTTCGACGACCGCTGATATTGCTCCGAGGCGTCCACCGAACACAGAGGACGCGGAAGAGGAGGACGAAGAGGACGAGCTCTGGGACCTGATAGAAGCTGGCCTGGGAGGTAAAGGAGGCTCTCCACGATAGATATCCTGGTCGTCTGGTTCTTCCAACGAGAGATGGTTCACCGCCTGTGTCTCCGGTACGAGGCCAATGGCTTCGGCGTCTTCGAGAAAGTACGGCGACGATTCATTCGGAGCTACTGTACGGTCAGAGCTGTTGGACTCTGACCGCCCCGATACAGCGTCGACAGTAGCAGGCATCTGGGGCGAGACCGCCCCGCACAGACTTACGGAGCGAGGACCATGAGACGAGGGTGGAGGTTGAGGGACGCTGCAAGCCACCCACTCCCGGCGCGCCGCCGGCTCACCCGCTACCAGATTGGTATCCCGCAATCCCCGTGCGTTCATTGGCTCCTAGGAGCACACGCCGGTATGCAGGCCTCTCGTGTAAGTTACTGCAGTCGGACGTAATTTGCCTACACTGCTTGCTACAGCAAGGCAGCAATAGGCACTCTGGTCCGTCATGTCTACGATGACCGCAGGCAGGTTACCCCGCGTAACGAATTCGCTCGGAATAGTAGGAGGGTATCTAACGGCATTATCCTACCCGCCGTCGCTTTTCACTTCGCTGACCATCGTCTCCATGAACAGCACTAGACCGCTTCCGTGGCATGGGTCCAGAGGAACCTGGGGCGAACGGTCTTCGCTTCTTCTCTTTCTGACTTGCCTTCTTCTGCCTCTTGTCTATCGCTTTCTTCACTGCACCGCGCCCGCCTGACGCAGCGAGAGCCTCGTATTTAGCTCGCAGTAGAAGATCCTTCTTGTCGGCTGGCATGATTTGTCAGTAACAATGGAAGTCAAGTAGTCCCCAGTACGCACAATCCTTCATAAACCATGCCCCCTTTCCTGCCTTTCGCCTTTCGCCTTCTTCTTTGGCCACCTTCTCTAGAGCCTCCTGTTCAATCTTTTCCTGCCGGTCCTTACTGACCATGCTCTCAGCACGCTTGTAGGCGCGCTCCAGCCTTTGGACCTCTTGCTCGCGTTCTTCTCGCAAATGCCTCGGCGAGTTGACCAAAAGCTTGCGCGCGCGCTTCAGATTATCTCTGAGCGTTCGCATCTCTTGAGAATGCATGTCTGCAAGGAACCCATATTGCGAGCGAAAACGCTTGGCCGAGAGTTCTCCTGTCATGGGTAAGAACCGTGGATCTCTGGGGACCTGGCGGAATGTTGATGAAGATCATGCACTACGTGACGAGAGACATACCACTTTCTCTCCTTCGACAGCCAGCTTTTTCCTGGGGACCGGTTTCTTCGAGCTCACTTCTGTCGGACTACAGACTTTGTCAGCGGTACCAAGAGGTCAGAAACACTGATACATACGCATGCTTACTTGACCGTTTGGGGATGTCTTTCTTCGACTTTCGGGGTTCATCCACCTCTCTCGCTTTCCCCTTCACATCGTAGCGCGATGAGACCTGCTCTACGTCGGACACACCGTCTTCTTCATTTGAGTCATCCGCTTCTGGATCTAACGCACTAGAGCGGGCTAGTTCTCTCTGCGCTTTCCGCAGTGTGCCAAACGACAAGGACGCGAGCACTGTAGGGAATAGCTAAGGCTTGCGTTTGCTCGCCCGATGCGAGTGAGACTCACCATCCTCCGCCCCGTGAGTCTATCGAGTGTCATATCTCAGGTGAACGAGTTTCAAGATTTCCAGACAATGTTGTTCACGCACTGACTGTTCCGCTTCTTCCTCAGAAGCACTAGACTCCGGGTCGCTATCCGCCTCACTAGCCTCCTCCAATTCCTCGTCGTCCACCCACTGAGCTACACGTGCCCCATCCAAGTCAATCTCCTCTGGCTCCTCATCCACAACCTCATTGCCTGATCCATCTTCCGATGATGCATCATCTTCACCCTCGTCTTGTTCGAAGAAACCTTCAGAGCCGGACGCGGAGGCAGATGCCTCCGACTCTTCGTCAGATTGCTGAGCCTGTCGTACGGCTTTGGGTGTGCTGCTTCCAGTCGCCAAAGGTGTAACTCGCGATGCACCACGTTCTTGCGCTGCATGCGCGGGAGGGCGTCGGGAAGCGGGGCGAGCTCGTCGAGGCATGCCAAGAAGTTGTGCAGATCGGGCAGGGATCTCAAATGGCGGAAATGAGCGCAGGCAGGTCGATCAATCGCCCCGCCATCTTGCTCCTCCCGATTAAGAAGGTGCTGTGGTACGAACGATTAATGTGAACGTGATTTGGGCTGCGGCAATGTCTCCGAAGAGCTTGATAGTACAAGATCCCGGTCACGCCGGCAGCTGGAGAAGACGACGACATACATAGGATATGATTGCGACAGACGATTCAGGCGATGATGACAAGGAGGCCTAGCAGAGCTGGTATCAAACCGCATGACTGGACGTTGTGAAGTCTACAATATTTATTCCATAATTATACCCGGGCATACAGTCATACACTATCCCTAGAATTCCAAAACTGTCTTGGATGACCTCCAACGCCGAAGGACACTACAGCCGAAGCGTGCGAGAAGGAACCCGATCCGTAAATAGGTGGGCCTAATAATTCGCAAGACTACGGGCTTCCTCCGCCTGTCTATGCGAGCCAATGCCGGAATAAACGGCGATTGTGCGAACGGAATCTTGTCGAGCTTCCTGTTGGGCCCTCTGCACTGCGGACGCTGATTCAGGGTGCGCAATTTGCCAGCGACACGGCTGGTAATCTGCCTGTAGCTGAGACTCGGCTCCCTGCGCAGAACCTGGAAAAGCTCCAGTGTGAAGGCCCCGCGATGCTCGCCATTATCATCTACCACCTCATAGGCGCTCTCGTTTTGACCACACGCAGCCAGCATGGTGTAAGGCCCGTGGTGAGAGCTAGCGTCGGGTTGGAAAGTTGCCCTGATAGGCGTCAGGTTCGCTCGGCGAGGTACAACTGGGATGCCGCAGCGGATGTCTAAGTCGAGATCCAGAGGAAGCGGCGTGGAACAGGTAGGCAGTGCCGAGCGGGCGGTCACAGTATCCCCACGAAGGATCTGAGACATGCCGCCGGAGTGACATGAATCAAGGATTACTGTCTGATGAGGACTACGATAAGTGTGAGCTTGCCGTGGGCAAAGATCTAAGTACTCACGATGTCACACCCTCTCACGTGCTCTAATCGACTCAGCAGCGCATGCAAGGTCGGCTGGGGGATCCCGCGCACTATTCCGCCTTTGCCAGAGAGTGCCCCTTCATTGTATGGGCATATTGTCTCTGCGATGTTGCCCACGCAACCCCATTGCGGACTCACTTGGGCATAGGAACCATGCCCAGCAAAGTATATAACCACGGCGTTCTTCTTGGTAATGCGAGGGTTGTTGATAAGTTTTTGATCGAGGGACGCGAGAATCGCAGATTGAGTCGCCTCCTCGTCCCGCAGATTGACAATATGGGGCGAGGGTACGCCGAGATCATCGCGCAAGTATTTGACAACGTCGTCCGTATCGTTGCCGCATCCACGTAAGGGTGGGATCCGCAAATTCTCGTATTTGCCTATGCCGATAACAACAGCATGTACATCTTTTCCGTCCATCCTCGGCCGAGAGGTTTCCACTTGCGGCCTTGGACGGACAGGTGACTTCTGGGTGCTGCTGATACTTTGTCCAAAACGTCAGCCATGTCTTGCATATGACGATTCGTAAACAATACTTACGTATCACTATCAATACCGGTTCCCGGGGAAGAGGGATGGACATAAGCGTGGCGGGCTACGGGTAGCACGGCAGGAGGATCGCAAGACTTCGAGAATCTCGGATGCGCACAACTGTTCATGACGTGCGTGTGCAAGTAAGGGGACGGACTGATGAACACTTGAAAGATACCTACGAGCAAAGAGGCCCCTTCGCCACTCCTTATAGCGGCGCTGCTCATACCTCTTGAGAAGCTACGAGTGTCGGTGGACTGACGCGACTCTATCCAATGAGGAGTGCTCTATCCACCGACTACATCTGAGCGTGTTGCCCGCGCGCGGATGGTCAACATCCCAACGCCATGGCCAGTGCTGCGCGTCGGCTGTACGTGAGTTGATGGGCACATCAGTGAGGGTGGAATGGAGGGACAATGCAGGTGTAGTGGTACAATTAACGACATGCATGCGACTGCGACACCACCATACCAGTGCACCGCGGGCGAATTATACTGTGTTTGAAAATGAGGTCAACTCTAGGTATTGACGAATTGTAACAGACTCACAGAAGCTGAGGCCTGAGGCCTGAGAAGCGATGCGGCCATTGCCCTGAGCAATACCTGGCGTGGTAGATCGAAGACAATCGTTGCAGCGTCGATTGCGGCTCCGCTCGCCGCTCGCCGATCATACGCTTCAAGTTGTTTTCGCGACCTCGCTGCACGCCGGCACTGGCAGTTCACGAGTCCGAGTGAACGTGCATACACTAAAACCACTGCACGCGCATGGTGTGGAGATGCACAGGCTCGGGTGCAGAAAGACCGATGCTCGGAACTCACGCTGAGGGTAGGCTTATGCAGGCATCGCGTAGGCGGACTGGACCCACTATGACCTGAACGGTGGTCAGTCTAGGGTGGACGTAGTGGCTGTGTGCACGGTGTACACTTCCACCGACCTAACTCCCGCAGCATCATCGGCAGTTTGTTAGATCTGTGGTAAGCATCCCGCGACGCGGCCCACCGGCAGAAAGCAGGACAGTGGCTTTCGTTCCGTGATGCGGAGGTTGGTCAAGGAGGTTCCCTTGTCCTAAAAATCGAAGGCAGCATCTTTCAACAGAGAAACAAACAAATCGCGAAGCAAACGGGCAGTGACTGCATGTATAGTGGTGGCTGGGCGAAAATAACCCAGCCACCAAGCCACCAAGCCGTACCGAGTCTAGCGCCCATTACCACCGGCGCACGCACGTTTTCAACTTGCAGCAGCGTACTGCAGCTGATGGATATGCAATACATTTCACCAACAGAACAAATGTTTGCAAACAGGACTCCACGCTAGACGTCATGTACTGCGCTGCTTTGTCCCTTGAAGGAATCGGGATCGTCCACAGTGGTCTGGGTCTCGACACCGTCCAATAAGACATATCGCCCGTTCTCCATGCGCACATCAAGTGCCAGTCCCTTCGACTGCACACCAGACCGCCAGAATGGGCTAAGGCCGAACCACACGGCCATCTTGGCAAGGAACGGTCGATGCTTTGGTTTTGTCTTTCTGAGCTCGTCGTCAAGAATGCCTTCCCAACGATAGTAAGGGCGTGCACGAATGGATACGTCATCATAGTCGGTGCCTGCTCCGGTACCGAGCGTTGATGGTTGCATGAGAGTCTTCATGTCGACTTCTTCCATATCGAGCTCAGAGGTGTCCTCCCCAAGGTGCAAGACATTGGCCTAGAGTGCGCGAGTCAGCGCAAGTGGTGCAAGTCCAATACAAGGGCTTACCCCATGCGAGCCATGGAAAACGATGTCATTCATTCGCAGATACATCTTGTTGAGCAAGCCGGCGTCGAAGAAATCGTCCCACTTCGCCTTCTTGTGCAATAGACCACGCTGAGTCAGGAAGGCCTCGAGCGCGGCACGGGGCAGAGGGGTATATGCTATTGAAGAAGGATAATGGGGGTCGAAATCTGACGCATGTTTCTGCAGAGCGCTGATAGTATTGTAGTTCCGTCTCCACAAGTCGTCCTGAGAACGGTGACAATCTACCTCAGTGCATGGCCGGGCCACAACAGACGAGATACGTACCCAGTAGACATACCACCATGTGGCCAATTCCGACGCAGACACTCCGGACCACCTCTCGTACGTGACCTCGAAGATCGGGCGGCTCGTGCTCACCAATTCGCGCACGCGCGTGTCGCGTTCCAGCTCCTGGACGACACTCACAACGTCTGCAGGTAAGCGAGGCTGATTATAGACGGCGGCCAGGAATTGATACGTGAGGACGTCTGCTTTCCACTGGCACTCCCGTCTGCTGTGATGACGATAACTGCGCAGAACCATCTCAAGCGGTACCAGATGTTCTGCAATCAGTCGCTCGTTCATAGTCAAGAACCGAGCGAGAGGCTGGGTAAGATCGAGATCATCTGTGAGGCCAATGATAGACCCGTCGACTGTGACGCCCTTCGCATATGTCAGTTCCACTTCGAATCCGCTACCCAAATCGACTCCTTCCCAAGGTAGGGTCCCGCGACGTTTGATGCGGAAAGTACAAGTCTTGTAGTGGATGACGGCTTGGGCTCCGTACCGCTTGCGACAACAGCACCACCCTGTGTCTTCGCCAACATTCTTCAGAATAATCAGCACTCGACCCAACTCAATTGCCTTCTGTCAACTGATACTCACCCGGACGTAATCATAGGGCCACATGACGACTAGCCCATCCATGGCTCGTAGGGCCAGTCGCATCTCACGCTTTCGACGAATGTGAGGGCTCGAGTTCTGAGCAACATACTCTTCTAGCTGTGACAAGTCCTGCAGAGCTCTCAATGGTCCGTCGTCGTAGCGAATGACCTTCGAGGAGAAATAAGAGAATGGTTCAATTGGTTCTTGCACCTGAGACTTACCAAAGTCGGTGGGAACGGAATCCACCAAGCGTTGCCAAAGAAGTGCGTGCACTTCGGGAGAGGTGCATCTGGAGGTTTCCAATAGCAGTCGGGACCAATGAAGTGATCTTGAATGTCTCTCTCGAGGCGACGGAAGAGAGCGGCGTCAGGTCCAGCTATAAGCGCAACAGCCTTGTAATAGGAGATTGACCCCACTTCACGGAGTATCTGGCGTTTGGGGGCTCGTCAACTATTCGTGTACGATGCGATGAAGGCATACCTTCAGATTCTCCACCATACGTTCCCCAGGTGTGCCCTTGAACTCGGTCAGATAAGGAGGGAACTCCTCGTCTCGCGCTTCCTTGAAGTCCATTGGCTGTTCCTTCGGTATTTCAGTAGTTGGGTTGGTTAGAAACAACGTCATAAGGGCTTCCTGCCAGATCCGTCGTCGTGTATGGGGAGATGATTGTGAAAGGTCAACCCTTCGCAGTATCAGTACGGAGGTACGCCAGGGGGAGGCATCACATACCGAGGAGAAAACATATCAATGCCTGGAACACTGTCGCGTGAGCTATGAGTACGAAGCGATCAGGGCCGAATACGTACTGAAATCAATGCGACGTGCAAGCCCTAAGCAAGCAGGTCAGCTAGTACGGAAGTCATGACTCATTGGACATACTTTTGACGAGGCGACGTGTGATGTCCATGTTAATGATGGTGAAATCTGCGCCCAGAATGTAAGGATAGCGATGACAGCGATTGTCCCAAGCATTGCTTACAGAAACTGAGTCCATAAGTCACAATGTAAATTCTGCGGCCCATGTCAGCAATGCGCGCGGCGAATGTTAGGAATCAACCTCACATATCAAGAACGACTCCGTTCAATATGCTTGATCCGGGTATATTCAGAGCCACTCCAAGGGCTACTGCAGACGTGAGGACGTAATTCAATCGTGAAAACCACTCCGAGGCGTTGTTGATGGGATTCAGAAAGGGTGCGTAGATGCCTTGAAGGATAAAGTAGACGAGCATCGCAAGCAACAAGACGATTTGACGGGCGACTGCCACCCATTTACTAGAAAGGGTGCGGAAGAGGCAGTTGCCTGGGTCGATGACCGCCGTGATCAAGAGCGTCGTGAGCTTTGCGAGGAGGAACACGCATTCGTACGTTCCCCAACCCCTGCGAAACCCTGGACGCATGATTGGTTTTGCACCCAAGTCACAATGCACGAAAACACTGACCGCTGTACAGGAAGTTCAGTGAGTTTTTGTCGCGATTCAATAAGCGTTGGTATTCGCGGTTCATGTCGCTGTTACTCCTGGGTGCGCCCAATTCCGTAAAGCGGTCAACGACCGGGACAACTTTCTTGATCGTGTGGAACAGACGAATAGGAAACCAGATTGTCAGCTGAAGTCAAAGTGTCAGAAAAGCATAGGGCGTAAAAGGAATTACAATACCCCAGCGATGCAGGCGGTGGCAAGGATGACCAGGACAGGCGCATAGTTGACCGCGTCAAGCTTCATGCTTGTCGTCCAACAGAAATCGAGAGGCGCACGGTACTCGTCCGGCGGACCCAAGGGTGCCACGGTTGGGGGGTTAGACGTCGAGTTCGTATACGGATTTGGGACGACCCAGAGATCGTTTGACCAGACTAGGATGTGCATGGCTATGGTGCTAACAGGCAGATAGATGACGGTCAGCAAAAAGCTGACCAGCAGGATAAGCCAAGAATGTTTGGGGTATTCCAGAGATTGTTGCCCTTCCGGGACGCGGATGGTGGTACATTGAGAGGTTGCCCGATAGAAGTAATATAAGAGCAAGCCGGATACGATCATGCATATTATGAGGAAGACGGTAGATTCTGTGGTTGTCGACGCGAAGTTTAAGGCCAAAATGTTCGGGCTGTTCGCGTTTCAGCAATTACACTGCATCATGAGGTGTCGAACATACATTTTGACGAGGAACAATTCTCGCCAACGATCCTTGAATGTATTACTGGAGGACACTATCCGATCTATTAAGGGCTTGCTAGCTCACATGGGGCACGGCGTCTTACCAACAGTACTCAGAATGAGTGCGAAAATCTGAAGCGTGTCGAATAGTCCTTGGACGCTGTAGTAGGACGCCAGTGCACTTGATCCCTACCAATACATGTCATCTCTTGTGCGAAACGAGGTCATGGACTTGCTATGCACACACCGTTATGCCAATGGTCAAGCTAAGAAGAGTGGAGAAGATCGAGTCACAATTTCTCCATCCCGGTGCTACCGTCGCGTTGTGCTCCAGATCGGCCAGCGTCTTCTTGGTGTCCGCTAATGCTTGCATAGGCGGAAACATGGCCATAGTTGGCGCCTTGCCCTTCTTGCTCTGTTCGATCGCTACATACGACGGTGCTGGGAGCGAGGCGATATAGTCGTCTAACTTTGGCAAATAGAGTGCTGGCGCCTTCCTCGAAAACACCGTTGCCAGTGGAATGGGGGTATTGGGGGTATGAGGTCCCAGCTGTACCCGTCCTACAGCGGTGGTAGTCGAGCTCACAGACAGCCTCTGCAAGCGTGACATTGCAGTGGTCGAAGATGATGGTGCCCCTGTACGCAGGCCTGACGACGTAGAGGGCCTCGGAGAATCTCGAGGTAGGCCGTCGTTAACGTTGTCATGACGCTGCAGAGAACTCATCTGAATGGCCTCCGGGACAACCTTCGTGTTCGCGAATGGTACGCGTGAAGTCGTGTAGGATCGTCCAGACGCCATGGGTAACCCATCCGTCACGTCAACCGAGTAGTCGTACCCGTATTGGCTATGGCTTGAGCTAGTGAGGGCATCGTCCTGTCTCTCTCCTGGAGCCTGCGCATGAGCGAGAAGTGCGGCGTCCTCTCCATCGTCTTCAGCCTGACTTGGCTCCCGGCGTCGCAGTAAGGGGTGTGCCAGAAAACTTGGAGGTGCAGGGGATGCATCGGTGCCAGTCAGATGCCCCTCGGACGACCCAGCTGATCCTTGAGGAACATCCAAGTGTTGTACCGGGTCTACCTGAAGTCTCGAGGAAGAAGGTCGCTTCCGAGTCGAAGACGGTTGTGGTTCGAAGAGCTCGACCAAATCCTGCACTGCCATGCGTAGACGACCTAACCAGATCTGAGCGACGCGTTTTCTCAGTGTTCGGTCAAGGGGGGGAGCGCGAGAGATGTGAGTGCCATGCTTCGGGGCGGACGTGCTGGGTGCTCGAGCGGTGGCAGCAGTCGAAGCAGGAACGCTGATGCGTTTGAGCACGTGTGTCGACCACTGCCAAACTTTCCCGAAACAAGGCAGCTCTGCCTATGCGACCGGGTTCATGGTGTTTGGAGAAAAAGAGGCTGAATAATAAGAGATATAAGGTATGAAACTGCTACAGATACTGAGCCTAGTGGATACAATGGAAGGACGTCGATGATGTGTCAGTACAAGGCCTACGTGCGAGATACACTGATGTAAGAATAATAAGCAATAGCAAACGAAGACGCCAGAATCCCTCCGTAATACCTTGGGATTGCCACCGGTTGATTCGACCAGGACAAAATAGTACCCTGTATCGAAATCAGAGGTGGTTTTTGGCAAAGGCAACTAGGCTGGTACTTACCATCCAACGCCCGGAGCTCCCGCCGGGAGTCCTTGCTGCTTCGTGTGCTGCATCGGTCTTGTCAGGATCGCTCGCGAGCTCGGATGAAGAATGCGTAGTCCTGATCGCTTCGCTCAAGTACTGGATGGTAGCAGTCTTCTTCCCAGTAACCTTCCAATTCCTCTGCAACTCCTGCTCCAACGGCAACAAGCCGCACACAATAGACGGGTTCTTCTTGATGATGTCGGCCAGCTCAGGTATGGGATTCTTCTGCATGAGCACTGAGGGGTGGATCGTCTCGTGCGTCACGGAGTCCGTCTTGACTGGCAACTCGCGTTGGATCTTCTCGGCAAGTTCGAAGATACCGACTATCGAGCTACGTCTCATCTCAGCATTGTGTACGAGGGCAAGATCTTAAAGTGGTACGCACTCGTGTGGAGGGAGCTCTCCCCATGGTTGCACTGCTTCGAGGCGCGATCCCAAGTAGTCCGTATCAAGGTAGAGTATGTCGCCGACATGTGCCTACAATCGGTGTGAGGATAGCCACGGAACATGCAACACAGAGTACTCACAGCCATCCATGCAAGGGTAAGGTTCGCCAGATCTGGTTCTCGGTAACCACCGCCGATCTGCGTGATGTTACATTCAATATCAATGCGACTCAGTATGCCAGGCAAACTTACATCCGAATGACATCCTGCGAACCAGCACTACGTTGCTGTCAGTAACGACCCAGCGATGATACTCAAGGGCAATAAAAGAATACCTGTCGCAACACTTGCTGCTTCATTCTACCCGCTTCTGTTTGTCTAAATTTGGCACAATTCTACACCACGAAGTCAGCGGTGTCTCTGCCGCCAATGAGGAGGGCTTACAAAGTCCGCCCTTCGTTCGTTCAGCGCCAACGCTTGGTATGCCTTTTCGATGTGGGGACCAAGCTCGGTGCTATGGAAACCAAAGAGCGTTTTCACTGACTTGGAGAGTTTCGTCAACTCCTCTGGCAGGCCAACTGATCCAACGGTATCGAACACGCCAACACATCTGACAGACATGTGAGTACTGCGATTCCTCTCGAGAAGGCTATAGTACGGACTTCACCGAGAACCCTTCTGGTCCACCGGTTGCGCGTCTGCATCCTGGGCTGTCGGGCCCTGTCCAAGGCGCGATTTTTGTCTCCAATAGCGCCTTTTCTGTGCACGCAAAGATGAGACGTCTGGGCTGAGCGAAATCGACTGGACAGACCTTCAGGATCAAGGTCATCCTGGTTCCCAAGCTTTTGGAGCGCTATGAAGATATCCGCGAAGTGGTCCATTTCTGTGCGGCTCAGCACGCCGATCCTGCCCTGGAAGGGAACCTCTGTCAAATGAAGGCGAACGATCGAGATCGAGATTTACGTACGATGAGCGCAGCTATTGTTCGAGCGGTATACGCGCCCTGTTAGTAGGATGAGCAACCTCTCATGGGTAATGAACATCTCGACAGCGCTTACCCTGGAGAACCCGAAGAGCAAGATTTCATCACCGGGGTGATAATTTCTGACGGTGCACAAGTGAGTACTTGTGTCTGGTTGAAAGACGGCAAATTTACTGTGTGATAAAAGCATAGGCTTCTTCGACCTTGTCCGCTAACATGAACGGTTAGCATCGTGAAGGAAGCGGTTTTACTACAATGCATACCAAGTGATGCACCGGTAGCACCTTCCAGATAGATATCAGCTACTCTGCAGAACATTGACGCGCCGAACCTCACCGTCAACCAGTTCAGAATAAAAGTTGTTTGCGGATCCAACACCCGACTGGTAAAACACGACTTGGTGAACAGGTGGATTTCTGTCGACATATGTCAGCTACGCACGTTGATGGCGCTGAGCTGATTGGTCATACTTACACTCTCGTGTCGACGTGTCGGACCGCTCGCGCTAGACGCTTCAGACCGGACGGCTTGTCAGCGAAAGCTTTGCTGACCAGTACAGCGTGACGCACCAGAACATTCGTGTACTTCCATTGTGCATCCACGACAGTACCGTCCTGCCATGTGCTGGAAAACGTCAGACTGTGTGTCCCAATACACTGCAAGTAATAAGACTTACCCATCGCAACAGACAACGATCCTCTTCTTCAATACAGAGACGCTATGCGGGGGATAAGTGGTCGTGCGCAGAGGAGGTGACTGAGCCAAGGCTTGTTGTATGGCAGGCTTGCCGCGTCGACTGACATCGTCGAAGGGTTTGTTGAACGCCGCAGGCGGGAACTGGGCCACGGGAGATATGGTCATCGAGTCGAGCATTGTTGCGATTGAGTGTTCTTGCGTTCCGGACCTCCCTACGCTGGTCGCTTATATGCGGTCGCAGAATGATCGAAATTCAGACCATCCGTCATAATCATGATACCTGGAGTCATCTTGACAAGCCCAATGGCCTGATGCAATCCTGTGCCCCATCCAAACTACAACCGCGGGCCCGGGGTGGCTGTCCGGTCGGAGGTCTCTGAACGAATTCGAAACGCTCGCATGTTCGAAACAGGATATCTCCGCACGGCGGAGCATGGGAGTACCAGGACGACTAGTGTGAGAGTGTTGCGGTAGCCGAAACAGGAGTGGGTACATAAGATGAGATGCCAAAAGAATGGAAGAGTTGCTTGAGCGCGGACATGAACACTAGGTATGGCTGAGCGCTGGGTTCGATCCGCATGCTTCACCAACGTACCGGTACAGTACCACTCCGACACCACAGCGCGAACGGAAGCCATCTGGTGAATACCGTCGAGGGGTAAATCTCTACAATCTACGTCCCTTGTGGCATATGGCATCCGTCAACTTGGTTGACGGCACACACAGGCATCACAACATACCATTTTCTGTGGTTCGATATGGCATACGAACTTACCAATGACATACTAGTGCCTTGTGGTATATTAGGTCCGGGATTTGGTCAGATCCCGGTGCGCTGCTGTGACTGTTGCTACACTGTCAGTGTGATCCGAACTTGTTGTACTCCACTGAGCGGTACGCATCGCCACACGCACGCCAGCTTGAACGCGCCCCGTACATGTTGCCCTAATGACTCAGTTACTACTTACTTGGCCGACGTTACGCACGGGCCGCCCAGTACACGGAGCGCGAGCGATGGAACTGCTTAACTTGGCATATTACAGTATGAGTCGGCGCTTAGCTTAATGACCCGCAAGTTTGACGCAAGCCCCAGCGCGGCGACACTAGCACGACGCGAGCAGGAGGGTGTCACAGAATTCATCTCAAACAGCTAAGTCATTCGGATTTACCGGTGAGGCGCAGCCGCGTTCATCGATCATCTGGTGCAACGCCGAGGATCACCACCATATCGTGGCCATTTCTCCGTAATGGCTTTGCATCGAGCGATCACAAGCTCACTGTTGCATCCCGAAGCCCGAGCGGTGCGGAGGAGGGTCGGGCGGATGATTCCGAGCATCTGCAGCCAGGGGAAAAGACCATTGACAGACATGATATGCCATGCAAGATAGTGCCTGTCAATGTGGAGATCGAGCAGGCTGTCAGACAGCTGTCGTCGATGCTCGCCACATTAACTTACCTCCGTACTAACGCACTCCGACAGAGCAATGAGCAAGTCAGATTATTGACACATGACGAAGGGCTTGACGCTCACTGGAGGCACTGTCCAGGAGGCATTGTTGGACGTCAAACATTCAACCTGTCCAGGCCAGAACATGTGTTCCGTGAAAAAAGGGCGTTATCCGTCCGGAACACCTGCTACAACGCACCTTCCTCCGTATCAACGTAAGAGGTGCTTCATGACTGCGGCGGTGCCATTGTCTACAGCGAAGTCCACCCATTTCTTCGCTTCGGATGCCACCCGATGTGCTGAGCCCTCGTGGTGAGCTGCCATGACGGTCTCGCTGAGATATGCACCGGCATGGGCCTGCGCGCGCTCATTCCCAGGCGACACAGTCCATTGTTGCTTGAGCTCTTCTTCCAGCGGAAGAAGGGAGCACACGAGGCGTGGGTTCCTTTGAATGTTTTCGGCTAGCTCGGGTACCATGTGCGGTTGTTCCAGGACAGATGGATGCACCGTTTCGTGGGTAATGTCGTCCGTGACAGTGGGAAGCTTGCGCTGGATGGTCTTTGCGAGGCTATAGACACCTGTCAGAGGGCTGAGTGCTATTGTCAGTTCCCGGAACAACATGATCACATAAAGACTTACTCGTGTGGAGCCAATTGTCCCCATGGCTTCACTGGTCGCGGCAGGGACATCAAGTATCCAAGGTTCAGGTCCAGCATATCACCGATGTTGGCCTAAAGCTAGTGTGAGAACGTAGAATACAACTCACAGAACGTGCACAAACCGCCATCCATGTCAACGTCAAGTCTGAGAGGTCGTGTTGTTGATATCCTCCCCCAACCTGTACGACAGTGAGCTTCGTTTGGCAGATCTACGCATTAGTACATACATCTGAGTGGCAGCCTATAGCACCAGCAATCAGCAAGGGGCGCGCTACAAACCATGAACGTGCGTACCAGTGAACCAGCACTGTAAAGTTGGCAGTTCATCAGTATCGGTATGGTACAGCATCGCCGCCGATGCTGACCTGCTTCAGAACCTGCCCTTTCTGTCTCCCGGCTTCAGTCTGCTCGAACTTCGCACAGTCCTTGACATCAACCTCCGTCAGGGTCATGACAACATGATATCGGACACGGACTCACGAAGTCTGCGCGCGGCTCGTTCAAAGCAAGAGCATGATAAGCCCTCTCGACATGGGGCCCCAGCTTCCTGTCGCGGAAGCCGAGCAGGGTCTTCGTCTTCTCCGAGTGTATAGTCAATTCTTCGGGAAGGCCGACCGAGCCGACTGTCTCGAAAACTCCAACACATCTGGGATACGTTCAGGGTCAGTTCTATGGAACAGATGCATGGAACATACTTCACGGAGAAGCCATCTGGCCCTCGATCTGAGCGGAGCATCCCAGGAGCACGGGGGCCAGTCCATGGGCTTAGAAATTCGTCTAACTGCCGAATCTCTGTCAGATACAGCGCGTGAGATGTCATATTAGCAGCTGAAGATATGGTCTGTACCATCTGGATCACTTGATTTCGCCCGTTTCTGCAGGGAGACAAAAATCTCGGCGAAGTGATCCATCTCCGTCCGGTCTAGGACACCGATGTCACCCTGTAAATGTATTCAGAACATAGGTAACGACTAGAACATGGCCACGTACTATGAGGGAAGCAATAGTACGAGCAGTATATGCGCCCTAAAATACAGTGAGGGTGAGCCTCAAGGTACGGTGTGAAACGCGGCTGACTCGTGAGAATCCGAAGAGGATAATCTAGTTGTTGTGGTCAGCGGAAACCGCGAATTGACTTCAATGGCAGATACCTCGTCCCCAGTGTGGTAGTTCCTGTAAGCCGGTCAATACACGGTCGACGATACAAAGAATAGCACACGAACTGGGCCAGGAAAGCGTATGCTTCCTCGATCTTGTCGCCTGCAAGGATCATCAGTCGATGTTGCTGTTTGAGCTGAGAAGCCCGAGTACCTAGCGAGGCTCCCGTAGTACCTTCACACGACATCAGCATCGGATCCAAGCCCTTCATAATCGGTCTCACCATCAATGACCTCGGAATAGAGGTTGTGCGCCGATCCTATACCGGACTGGTAGAACACTATTTGTGCCACGGGTGGATTGCTGTTGAACGCGTGAGCACGCGATGTGCTAGATCGAAAAGTAGACAGCACTGACACTCGTTCATCGGCATGCTTAATCGTCCTAGCAAGGCGCTGTACGTCGTTGAGGTCACATAAAGTAACCCAGTGACATGTGTTAGGAATACACACCAGGACGTTCGTGTACTTCCATTTAGCGTTGACGACGATGCCGTCCTGCCAAGTACTGGGCGGGCTCTTCTGAATTAACTAAACTCCCGTCACTGTTCATGGGTACGCACCCGTCGCAGCACACAATCAACCGCTTCCCTGTTTTCATCGTGGGCACGGTATTACCGTAGACTGAAGTATGCTCATTAGCATACCCGGGCCGATAATGCTCAGAGGCGGCTTGCGTCTCAGACATAGTGAAGGTCGTTTTGTGGGCGAACGTGCTTCGCCGGGGGACTATGTGGAGATCAGAATGAAGGAGCACAGCATGGCCGGACATGTATCTTTTGAACGCCTCGAGGACAGATCGGTGGGATCAGGCATTGCCCCTGTGTGATCCAAGCGCATGGCCCTCTCCGGCGGTGACGGAAACACGAAGAGGTGGAGCGCCGGTTCGCCGAACAGATACACGCCGGCGTGACGGCACACACACTATGTGACAGTAGATCATGCTGAAGGCTCCACATAGCAATGGCGGGAAATAGCAGACCACCCGGGGACATCGAGTGGGAATAGGAAGATGCAACACCGCTCTGAATATCAACCAGGGAGCGCGCCTACTAAGAAAAAGATTAGCCTGGAGCGACGCAGAAGAATCCATACCGCCCACCAAGGCACGTAACGATATGCCGGTCTTCCGAAGACGTCGTGTCTGCGCCAGGGCCTATCCCGGGACAGAGAGTACAATCGCGTCTACATACTTTTCCAGTCAAGATTATCCGTTACACTCTCGATAATGGAGACAGCTGGGTCAATCGACCTCGTACAAGATAGGCGTGAGGCTAACGCGGCACACTACTTGCCTAACCGCATCTCTGCAGCGGCATACGTATCGAGTGCCCGTCTGAACTCAGTCTCATCCAGCGGCCTGCCAGGTGAGCGACTGTGGTGACCCCAACGATGCCAGGTTGAGTCCAGAGGCTTGTACTCGCTGCGGGCCGGACATTCAGCAGTAGTTGATGGGTGCTATCGCTGACTTACTCAAACTCGGTGAGCCTGATCTGCCACGGAGGGAATCCATGAAGTTCTAGGTCGCTGGTGTTGCTCGCATGTATACGGTGGACGAGCATCAAATCTGGCTCGGGGAAACCATTATTCCCTGAGGGGATGTATAAGTACGATGCATCTTGGAGGAACGGTGGATGCAACCTTCTAGGAAGGAGGTAAGCTCGGCTTCCGATGGCGCTGGCTGTCGATCGCTCTTCGCGCGGTCCGAAGAGTAGCCTGCAGATCGTCTTCGAAGGAGGGCATTTGCAACCTCGGCGATGGCAGGCTTCCCTGACTTCCGACTGAGGATATGCAATGTAAAGGGAGTGGGCTTTGACTCGCTGACTGAAGTGACGATTAGCACCGCAACAACTAACTGAAGCGAAGACATTCACGAGTCGCGCGACGACGCCGCGCCGTCGATTTGACACCGAGCATCTTTCTCCTGCCCTTCTCTGCATGCCCAGGTATTTGCACGCTTGTAACGTTGAGCTTGTATGGCGAAACTTCGGAGTCAGGAGATAACGGTCTTGAATCCGAGTCGTCCGACGACGGAGGCGTGAGGGGGAACTCGATCTCGGTTTCCAGGTCAGAATCGGTTGAAGGAGTGACAGAGTGTTTCACTAGGCGTTTCCGTATGTCTAAAGATAGTGTGCTGAGAAGCCCTGCGGACGCATTGGTTCATCGTGTCAGAGCAGGCGACAAGGTAAATAACGCACCTTCACGATCATACACCGTCAGCCTGTTGATTCCTGCAACACGACACCACGTTACCGCTTTCTCCACACTCTCGACCATGAGCTGTTCGGTTGCATCGCTGTCACGGTGGTGTTCTGCAACCAAGAGCAAGGCCAAGTGCGAGGGAAGCTTCTGTCTCAGGGCATTGAGAGGTTGTGGTTGGTCCGCGATAGTCAAGAGGCGCCTCGCAGTAGTCACAAGCCAATACAGAGCATGGAAAATGGCGAGAGCAAACGATGCCAGCCAGGACATCTACCCGATTGTCCAGGTAATTCGTGACGCAATAAGTCAGAATATCCAAGTAAATGATCCTAGGCTCTGTGTTGCGCGCGAAGGTGTCGCCCGGAGGCAAATACACCCCAGTTTGTGAAGGGGAGGAGAAGCGTTGTGTCGGAGAGGTGAACACGTCCTCATGGGACCCCCGACTACTCCCATATATGTACAATAGCAAATCACGGATGCGACCACTTCGGACCCCGAAGACCATCAAATGTATGCCACAGGTCGGTCTCTTCGAACTCGCTGCACCATGACCATCATCATGTCGAGCTCAATGTCCTTCCGCCACGACGCCCTAGGCTCAATGTCCTTCCGCCACGACGCCCTAGGTCGCATCCAGGGATGCGGCATGCTAAACGTCCTTCCGCCTCGACGCCCCAGGTCGGATTGATGCTCGGTCATACAGACCGTTGTGCTTCGACGGCAGATCGACGTGCGCACATGCTGTACGACAGTGGCCCATTGGCCGAGCGACCTCGCGCGCGCATGGTCAATTCACTACCTTCGGGCGAGGAACTTCGCTGGTCTACTACATATCTTGCTGCTGTCTCGAAAAGCTCAGATGAGGACGATTGCTAGCGCGCCTGGTGAGTAATGGCATGCCCTCGCTAATGGTGCAGTGTCAGGCGATGAGGCTTGTATAATGCATAGATGACAGTAATGCGACAGACGGTGTGCTCGGTGCCGGTGAGGGCCTACCGATAAACGGGATGCGTTGTCTGGTGTCATTTCGGTGCGTCCTTTGTTCATGCAACGAGCGGCGGTATTCTTAAAATATGAGGCATCCACTGGCAACGGTTCTACTTCGTTGTGATCTGGGTCTGAAGATCATCGCAAACATACCATCTATACCATCCATCGTCTACCTATCTCAAGTCCACGACGTGGAGGCGGAGAGGGCATGGTTTCAGTTCCACTACGCAATACCACACACTGGTATTCTGGGCTCGCTGAAGAGATCTATCCAGTAGAAGAGCTAGTATATGAGTACAGCGCGAGATTGTTCGATTATGCATACAGTATATCGCGCATGGATGGATGCAAATAGACTATGTAAGACCGGGCTCCTCCTGGATGCCCCTCTTGATCTTCAACAGTATGTTCGTCTTCCAGTTGTCGAGTTTCGTGACCTGGTCGTACTCAAACACGGCGGCGGTGAACGTCTCCGCATCGCCGGCCTCGATTGCGTCAACGAGCACATTGACGAACTTGGCTTCGCGCGTTGAAGAGAACGTCGTGTCCAGGGACGAGTACTTCGACAAGTTGCGCTTGGCTGTGACGGTATCCTGTTGTACGTCGAGAATGTCAAGCGACAGCTCGTAAGCACTGGTCTGAATATTGAATGAAGACAACCGAGCGCACCCCCATAGCCAATGCGCACAGGCTAGCTCGTAGCCAGTACTCCTTCACGCTGTATTTCGTGAGGGCAGAACCAAGCGATGCATTCGCTACTTGCTCGTAGCGCGCGATGGCCTGTGGATAATTCTCCAGCTCGGCATGCAAATCAGCAGCATCCTTGTAGCAAGCATTTGCAGTCCTATGCGGCGATTTATAAGAGAGCTCGTCTCCATCACAACTCGCATACTCACGCAGTAGCATCCTCCTGAGAGTACCATTCGCCGGCACGCTCGAAGCTCTCGCAGGCTTTCCGTAGATCATTGATCTCCGTGAGGTATATCTGACCTATTTCCTTCTCGCGATCTGCCGCTTGACGGAAGCGACCACTCTTGCAGAGATGTGTGATCGTTTGTGTCAAGGCCTGGATAGCGACTTCGTACCGCAGTCAGTAACACTGTGTGCAAAGAGTCTGTGTAACTCACGGTCTGGGTGCCCCCTCTTGTACGCCTTGGCAGCGTTCCACCACGCGTTTGCGGCCTCGTTGGTCTCGGAACATTTCTCTCTGCACTCCGCCTCCCTCGCGTGAGCATCCCCTGCCTCCCGGAAGAGCTTGTCGATCTTGAACGCGTTCGCGGCCTGCTGATAGAGGTCGCCCGCCTCCTCGAACTTGGTGTTCGAGGAGCTAAACCAGCCGCTTGACGAGTTGGCTTTCTTGTCGGCCTTCTCTAGCAGCGTCTGAGCTGGTGATTTGGAAGGCATCGTGGTGGGATGGCAAGACGCTGTGGCAACGATGCAGCCGGACGCGGTGTATGACGCACGTGTCGAATGACTGCGCGCTAAACTTGCACACGTCTGAACGTCTCCTGCCAGTGGCCTTCGCCTTCCTCGTCCACTCACTGAGTTTCGTCTTCACGAGCGCGCTGTCCATTTCTTTCGCCGTTGTGATGTCTAGTCTTCCCGTGGATGCGATCCGGAGCCTCTCCGACCAACATCCCAAGCCATCTCACATTCATTTCCAGTATGGAACCGCTGGGTTTAGAACAAAGTAGGTTTGTCCATTGCTCCTGGGCGTGATGATCTCAGACAACCTCTGGGATAGAGGCGATATTCTCGACTCTGTCATGTTCAGAGTTGGGATTTTGGCCGGCTTGCGGAGCAAGAAGATGGACGGCAAGACCATCGGTGTAATGGTCACTGCATCGCACAACCCTGAGCCTGTGAGACACTGGGTTGCTTCACGCTCGGATATGATGACTGACTGGGAACTCTAGGACAATGGTGTGAAACTTGTCGATCCCCGCGGCGAGATGCTAGAGACATCGTGGGAGGCACATGCTACCGCTCTCGCGAACGCACAAAGCACGGATGAGTTCATCGCTGCTCTTGATACTTTCGCCACGACCATGAAGATCGATCTCTCGAAACCGGCGAAGGTGGTCTACGCAAGAGATACCCGCCCTTCTGGTCCTGCGCTTGTTGCCGCTTTGGAAGACGGCATCAAGGCCATCGGTGCTGAAGGCCGCAACGCGGACGTAACAACCACTCCCGTACTTCACTACCTGGTCAGGGCCATCAACACCAAGGGTACCAAGGAAGAGTACGGAGAGGATTCCGAGGAAGGCTATCTCAGGAAACTCAGCACCGCTTTCAAGAAGCTCGTTGTAAGCCGCCAAGCTGGGATGCCACGTTTCTATGAAGCTGATTTGGCAACAAGGCTGGGAAAGCATCTATCCCACCTTTGGTTGTTGACTGTGCCAACGGCGTTGGTGCAAAGGTCGCAAAGGAACTAGCTGAACATCTAGGCGACACGTTGCAAATCATACCCGTCAACACGTCAACCACGACGCCTGGCGCCTTGAACAACGCTTGTGGCGCCGACTTCGTCAAGACCCAACAGACACTCCCTCCCTCATTGACAACTGTGCTCAAGCCCGGTCAGCGGGCATGCAGTCTGGATGGCGATGCAGATCGCTTGATCTACCACTACCTCGACGATCGCGGACAGTTCCATATGCTAGACGGCGACAAGATTGCGGCTTTGTCGGCTGCATTCATCGGAGAGCTGACCAAGGCCGCCGGGCTCGATGACAAGATCAAGGCCGGCATAGTGCAAACAGCCTATGCCAACGGTGGCTCAACGAAGTACCTGTCGGAGGTGAGTGCCTTTGATATGACATAGAGAAACGTCCTGTACAGAGATGCGCTCGCTGTCATTATAGCGTCTCCCGGTGAAATGCGTCCCGACTGGCGTCAAACATCTCCATCACGCTGCCGAAAAGTTCGACGTCGGCGTGTACTTCGAGGCCAATGGTCACGGCACGGTTATCTTCTCTCCGCAGAGCTTGAATGTACTGTCCACCTATCAGCCGTCGACCCCCGCTCAGTCGACCGCTCTGAACCACATCACCAACCTGACGGACGTCATCAACCAGACCGTCGGCGATGCGCTATCAGACATGCTCATGGTGGAAGCCGTCCTCGCTCACAAGTCCTACAGCGGAGAGGAATGGAACTCCCTCTACGTTGACCTACCCAACCGGCTCGTCAAGGTTGTCGTAGCTGACAGGAACATCTTCAAGACCGAAGATGCCGAGCGCCGCTTGGTCAGCCCGCCCGGTATCCAGGCCAAGATCGACGAGCTGGTCCGCCGGTACGAGGGCGGCCGTGCGTTCGTGCGGCCCAGCGGGACGGAGGACGTTGTGCGAGTGTATGCCGAAGCGACGGTCAGAACTCAGGCTGATGGTGAGTGATGACATCTTTCAGGATCCGTTCCACAGCTTCTCATCGCGTACTCAGAGCTTGCATATCGCGTCGCTGGGCTGGTCTACGACGAGACCGGCGGCCATCCCGCTCACCGACCGCTCGAATTTCTGTGAGACGCCGGACGGAAAGGAAAACTGAAGTGGATGTAACTGTGGACATGTACTTGTAGCTTCTCACATGGACCGTGTACTAATAGACAATCCCAAGGCATGATGCATTCTATGCGGCCTGCGCAGACCACGCTCTCCGCTGATAGTCCAAGATAATCGACACCAAGTCCCACAACCCAAACTCAGGCCACGTCGGGTTGAGGAACTGCAGCTGCGTGTCTTCACAGCACTGTGTCATGCATAAGCAACGCGGCACGATCATTAGGAAGGGATCGAATTCAGGACCGATAGACGAACGGACGAGACGCACCTGCCAGAGGAGGAAGTCGCTCAGTCGGCGCACCCCGCTCGTGCGTACGAGTAGATCGAGCGGCGGGCTGCCCACACGGGTAGTCATCAGATGAGCGCCGATGTCGTCTTCTGTGATCTCGCTGGAAGTGGGGGTGGGAAGGGGGTCCCGGTCAGATCTGGGCGGGAATTTGAAGCGAGACAAAAGATGCGCAGTGATTGGGTGATGAGAGATATAAGATTGACGTACTGGTGAGTGCCGTCTTTTGCCTCTTTGAGAGTGCGTGCTCGACGGCGAGGTCGACGGCTGTGGCGATCTCGTTCCGAGCACCGTAGGGCATGCAGACGTTGAAAATTGCGCTGCAAGGACAAGTCAACCGGACGCCGTACTCGTCCAGTAGCTCCCTGCATAGCATCCCACAGTTTCAGCGGAGAAAACAGTAGGTAATTTAGCTAGCAGACCCGCGTTGGCAGAGCTCGAGGAGCAGTGTCTCTAGAAGCGTCATAAGGTCATCAACTTCCTCCGGCGTACGTTTGAAGTTGTCGATGGCAAATGCGTATACAGATACGCAGCGCACTTTGAGGAGCATGCATATTTCTAGCACCTGCGCTGGTATTAATAACCATTCTCATTCAATGCACGAGCACGCACACGTCGCAATGCAATGCCGCCCTGCGCGTGACCTTCCTGGGCGGGTTGGTGGTGGGAACGCGCATACCGTCGGTTGCCGTCCATGATGAAGGCAACATGGCGGGGGATGGGACCGGCTGCGAGGACGGTGAGGGCGACATCGCAGAAGTTGGTCACAGCGGTGTGCACGAGCCTCTGTATTGAGCGGTAGACAAGTGAGAGGACCATGGCGTGGTGAGAAGCTCTCAGGCTGCTTGCTTTGACCAGAGACTAGTGTTAATATACGACTGCCCCGAATCGAGCGGGCCGTACGCGTAAACTGTGATAGATGAGATGACATTTGCACCATACAGTGATCACAACTCAACTGGCACCCGGGCCATTTTAATATCTTGCAAAGGACTAGCTATCAACATGGCTGGAGACATCTCGGGCTTTGGCATGGAGCACTTGGAGAGACGTTGGAATGGGCTTCGCGATGTGCCATAGGGTGGATTGGTTTTTTTGATGCAATTTCCACTGATATAGATCTCAATGACAAGCTAAGGCTTGGTATGCGCTGCAACCCTGGCAATGGACTTCAAGCGTGACATGACGAGGCGTAAGCAGCTTTGCCACACGCGCCTCATCTACGACGCCTTCCTTTTTGGGACCACTGTATCGGACGGAGATCTCAGCCACCCGTGATTCTCGGTCAGTCGAGTGGGAAGGGAAGACAGCTATCGCGGCCTCTGTGCAGTGTATCGAATCCTGTACATACGCTGTCCAATGCGGGCGAGGTGAGAGGTGGAAAGCTCCGAAGGGATCGTCCCCGCCATCCGCCAGATTAGGCGAATACGACGCTCGATGTCGACAGGATGTCGTATGCTCCGATGACTCGCAACTGCTGTAGCTCGGGCTTCGTAGCTCTGTACCCTGCCACCACCATCTCCTCCCCGTCTACGGCGCCCTTGAGGTGCAGAACACCCTCGCTATCCGGATGTGCCGCTTCGTGATCTACAAGGGGACTTCCCCCGTGCAGCTCTCGCACTTGTTGACAAGACCATGTCATTCGATCATCAACCAGGCCTTCGACTCGAGACTCCGGTTGGACCGCAGGAGACCCATCAACGGCGATGGCTTTGGCGTTGGTGCGGCGTGTGTCTTGCGTAGAGGTTGAGCAGACGATCTGACGGAGGATCAGGATGGTACGACTCCGTACACGACGAGGAGCTTGGTAGCCAACCATGCATCTTTACCTCTGTTACACCGGTATGTACACTTGCTGTGGTCTTGTAGCTGTGGCTCATTTCCATATAGGCTTGGAACAACGTCAACCTCACACGGCTCGCGGAGAAAATTAAGTCCCCATTGGTCTTGTGTGTATTCCTGTGCCTACCCGCATCCAATCATTCTGACTTCTCTGCAGTGCCCATGTCCGTGCAACGACGGCGGGTACTCTGAGCCTTGACAACTGCCACCCGTGGTCCTTTGGGAAGCTCATGGTGCGTAGAGCCCTCTCCTTCGTGAGTGCAGACTGACGAACCATCATTGCGTGAAGTGGATGCACAATGGCGGCATCGCGGAGTTCCCGAGGATCAAGAGGCGTCTGCAGTCGTACGTGTCCGACGAGATGTTCAACTTCGTCACCGGGAACACGGATTCGCAGTGGGCTTTCGCGCTGTTCCTCTCCAAGGTCAGCTTCATGCAGCCGGGGCCATTCCAATTGCTCACAGGAGATGTAGCTGCCTGATCCGCATGCGAAAACGTTCCCTCCACATGTATTGCGCAAGGCCATGATGGAAACCATCGCTCACATCAACTTGTTGACCGAAGCAGAGAACATTACGGAGGTGAATATCTCATCCCATTCTAGGTTAATGACTCGTTGTGTGCTCTTGTTCACTCAAAATTCTCTAGCCAAGTTTGATGAACTTCTGCGTGACTGACGGAGAGAGCGTTGTTGCAACACGCTACATTTCCTCGCGCCATGAGGAAGCAGCATCTCTGGTAGGTTGCGTTACTTGGTACTGGTATGTGAGCCACAATCACTCACCTTACGCACCAGTGGTTCTCGTCTGGCACAACATTCAGCGAATACGCGGAAGGTGGGCACTACAAGATGTCGAAGGCGGACAAGCGAGAGAACATCATCATGGTCGCCAGCGAGCCGCTGACCTTCGAGAAAGGTGCCTACACTCTGGCTTCACGTAATGAGGAATGAGACTGACTCGACGATATGTGACTAGCGGACTGGATGGAGATCAAGACTAACCATATGGTTGTCATTACCCCCAAGATGAACCTCCTGCAGTTCCCTATCGTCGACAAGTACTACGTTCCGCCTTCCGACCCTGCTGCACTCAATCGTGGCACCGAGTTTGCCGCATCGAAGGGCTTATTCAGTGCCCGCCGGGATGTGCCTCTCCGACCCGCCAGTGTTGAGCTGCAGGTGCCGGAGAGCTTCCCCGCCGTCCCGGTGCTCGTAGCGTAGTCGTGCCTTTATCCTACCTGTTGTTGCTATCTTGTACTTGCTCTCTGAGTTGGACCGTGTACCTATATTTTACCAGTTGTTGCCTTTGATATTGGAATGTACCCCCTTCAAGTTTAGGAGGATCGAGTCTCGTGCGAATACACGTGTTTGTGATGTTGAGCCCAAGTGACTGAGTACGAGGTGTACCTTGGCGCGTCTGCAAGCAGGGGTATGCCTCCGCCCTGCTCGCGAGCTTGAGTCCGCATCACTTTCCTCCCGGACTCTTCGGACCCGGGCATCGAGATGGCGATGTCGGGCCCCCGCTTGTTATGGAGTGCCATTACCAGCACGTCGAGGTCAGTCCCATCCTCCGTCCGTTGTCGCACGCGCACTCGCACTCAGACGCGTATCCCGCAGGTTGTCTACCGTGCTCCAGATCCTCATCTTCCTCCCCCTCACGCTCTCGACGCTTTCCACACCTGCTTTCCTGCTGCTCTCCCTGCTGCTGTTCGCCCACTCGCTCATCCATGGCACGCTCGTGCTCTTCTGGGGCTCGCCCGCGCTGTCCGTCATGCAGGTCCCGATGCACCCGATCCTGCTGCTCGTGTGCTTCAATGTCTTCTCGGAGAAGGTGCCCCCGCTGCTCATGACGACTGCGTATTGGTGGGGGAGGATTCTCCACTGGTCGAGTCCGGGCTTCATCGTGATGGAGGGCCTATCGAGTCTGCTCATTGTCCAGAAGCTGGGGCAGGTAGGGAAGGAGCTGGTCAGTGAGGGTGAAGGGTACCAGTTTGGTATGCTCGTTGCGGCTGCAGCTGCATATGTCGCATCTGCTTGGTGGGTCGTCGTGGTGGGTCCTTCGTCGATATGTTCAGCTCGCCGAGTCTCATTATGCGCGGACGTTAGGCGTATCCTGCAGCGGCGACTTCCCCCCTTTCGTCAACCCTGTTGGGCGTGGCCCTGACAACTTTGATCTTCCTCACACTCATTGGCTTCTTCCTACGGAGAACGAATGTTATCGAGTCTTCGGGCCTTGCCTTGTTCGTCGCGTACAACGTCTGGCAATGTGGTTTCGACCAGCAGTCTTATGCGGACCCCGCTTCCTCGTAGTGCGTACTACTCCCCATACTTTCTGGTATATCTCTCATAAACCTGTGCTTTTCTGACGACAGCGCGCCTTTGTGGGACAATTTCCTCCCCCATATGCAAACTTTGGTCAACTTTATCACCAACACGTTGCCTCGGCCCTTGCTCATCGCCCTGTTATACCGACTCGCTGTTCTGCACTTCGCGTCGCAAATACTTCCTACCATCGGAGCGGATAGCTGGGATGAAGATGCTGGCGTGGACGGAGGGTGGGACGCACGGCCGGTACGTACGCACTTGTTACTATAGGGTCGTGGCTCACATGTAGACCTTTTGACAGACATCCAAGCTGACCCGTCTCCTATTGACATACCAACAAGCCATATTTGTCACCGTGTACTCGCATCTACTCTGTTCGTATCTTCTACTGCCCTGTGGATACAGCCTTACGTTCTCTCAGTGCTCGATCATTCCTCTCAGGTCTGGTGGCGATGGATGAACATCCTCTTTACTATGGTGATTTGGTCAGTAGAGCTGCTCGTCAGCGGCGAGGACGACGATTCAGTCACAACAAAATGGAAGGTGGATTGATTGTCCCGGTGCCTCGCCCTCTCCACGCACGACCCCGACTGCATGAATACGGTACGACATATAATGACCCCACATCAATCCCGCATCCAGCACTCCCCGCAGCGTCGGACTTCTATCCTTCCCATCGCCATCTCGTATCTATTCATACACTACTGTTTGCTTTCCACTCCGCGTCTTCCTCGCGTTCGCCCTCGTAGAACTCCCGCTTCCATATTTGTACCTTCTGCTTCACTTCCTCCAGTATGAACTCGCACGCCGCGAATGCCTCCTTGCGGTGCGGGGATGACGCCGCGATCACGATGGACGGCTCGCCGACGGGAACGGTGCCCAGGCGGTGGTATACCGCGGTCCGGACGAGCGATGTGACATGGGACTGCTCGGGGTGGTGAGAGGATCGCGGGTGGTTCGCGTGCGCGGTGCGGATGATGTCCGCCATCGTCTTGATTGCGAGCTTGCTGTAGGCCTGGTAGTCTAAGCGTGTCACGACTTTGCCTTCTCATGCTGCTCTTTAGCTCGCCATGAATGGTTGTTGGTTCTGAAAACGCACCCTTGAAGTAGTTCCGCGTCGTGCCAATGAAGACGGCAGTTGCGCCCGCGCGATCGTCGCCTACTGACTGTACAATGTCGTTCACGCAGAGAGCGTCGTGCGTGAGGACGCATACTCCCTCCGGGATCTGTAGCATCGTATCTGTCGAGGCAGAGGGGTTCTCCATCGTTCAGTCCGGTGTACGACTCGCAGCTCTTACACGCGTCGTAGTAAAAGACAGGCCTGAATCGAGACGATACGTCGATGTAGTTGTCTAGCTAAGTAGATGTCTGCCCGTGGTTAGACGTCGCAGGACAATCATCGGAGCCGACGTCGAGTACGTCGAGTACCGCGCGGCCGATCTCATCTCACGCGTCGGCCCGCTCGATCGCGCTCAACGAGTGGCTTAACCTGAGCGTCCACACTGTCCACAGTCCAAGCGGCTGTTCTAGCCCGAGTACTGTGTACATACATCTGCAATGGACAATCGCCTCCTATATAGCAGCCATTCATCATGACTGTCCACGCCGTGAATCTTACCCTGCTGAAGCGTGCAAAGAATTCAGTCATTGGCAACCCAACGGCCAAACTTGCCTTGGCACACGATGATACTTTCATAGCTGCGTAAGTAATCGAGCTATTGTGGGTCGTCCAAATACTTGATGGCATGACAGACTTTTAGACTGTGTCGGCAACCCACTCTTTACGGGGGACCCCCAGGCTCTGGCTGCGCACGATGAAGTACGCATAGAGGCAGCGCATGTTATCGCCTCCCTGTCTTACGGTGAGTATCATTCGAAGTTTGTGAAGTGGAGGTCAGTAATGATATAGTGCTTATAGGATCCTCGGATGCCCTGCGCACGCTCTTGAGGTTCAATGCACACCAAGCTTTCCTCTACGCCATCTCAGTTTTCCAGCCCACCGAGCCTCCGAGACTCAAAGCCGCATTCGCGCGTGCGCTGCGAGCTCTTGTTGTGGCGATCGCAGATGCTGTAGGCCCTTCGCAATGGGGGCTGCGCAATGATGCTCCGGTTGATGTACGGAACGAAGCCAGGATGGCTCTTGACTACCTATTTCAGGTGGGTACTCCCACTCTTGGCTGTCCGGACACCGGGTGAGCAGAGGAGACATTGGTTACAACACCTCCCGGGCCACCTCGGTGTTTGGCAGCAGCACCACATCGGTTTGAATCAGATAGTGCTGACTGTTGACATCAGGTTGACATCCTAGACGTTTACTTGCCCCTCCTCACAGAGCCCTCGCTACAGACAAGCACGCCCATCGCCCAGCTGCTAGGATCCGCCGTCCGGAATGAGGAGCACCAGGCTGCTATTGCCGACTGGTTACCGCCTGCCGAGCGTTTGAAAGAGGTCAAAGGGAAACGGGGATGGGAGAAGCTGGACGTCACGAAGTCACCGAGCAGACAAGGAGGCTGGGTGACGCGCCAGCTGGCAGCTCTGTTGCAGAGGAAGGACAGCAAGGTATTGCTCAGCCGTCTGCACCCAGTGATCATCGCTGATAGTACCGCGATCCAAGGTGCAAGAAGCTGTTCTTGGAGCTATCGCGTGTTTAGCGCGAGACAATCCTACAGTTGCGGCAGGGTTGGCGAAAGCATCGCCTGACCGAGAAGGTAATGCCTCTTTGCAAAGGCTTCGATTTAACTCACTCACTGCGGCGGCGATTTCAGCAACATTGACCCTCGTACTTTCCTTCTGTCGGTCGCGTGCCACAGAAGTGCGGCTGTCTGCTTGTCATTGGTAAGAAGTTCATGGCTTCACGTAGCGTCACGCTAGTACCTGACGTTCGTCTACAGCGCTACGCAGATCATACGGGCAGGATTCGGGAATTATGCATTGGCCGTGGACGACTCGCCCGTGTTGACCGTGATGTATGCAGTCAACCACTGCATCGAGTCCGAATCCGAGTCGCCGCACACGAGGACAAAAGCGTGCTTCACGTTATGTAAGTGGAACAGTTTGACAGAGTGGTCGAGATCTCGCTTACACCTGCTTTGTAGACAGACTTGTACGAGACAAGAAGGAACTCTGTGACATTGCTGAGCAGCGCGGAGCCCTTGACAAGCTCGCAAAGCTCATCAAGAACATAACACCCACGGATCAGAGCCCAGAATGGCAAGAAGACGAGCTCGAGAGCGTATCCTGTCTCCGAGAGGTACGATCTTCCGTGCAAAAGCTTTGTCCGCCTCCTCACAGCACTCACTCAAGGCTGCTTTCATGGCCATTGCGGCGATCTCGCTCTTCCACGACAAAATCCGTTGCCAGGTGACGGATGGACTTGGATTAATACCAGCAATACAGGTATCGCTTTCGCATCCCCACCTTGGAGTTCGTTACGCCGCGTGCCAGTGCGTGCGCTCGATCAGCCGATCAGTCGCTGTCCTGCGCACGAACATCGTTGATAGTGGGGTGGGCATGGCGGCGTACAGACTGTTCCAGAAGCAAGATGAAGATCGTCAAGTCACATTCGCCGCATCTTCTGTCGTATGCAACCTTGTCAATGAATGTTCGCCGTTGCGCAACGTGGGTACCGGATCTGTTAATAATATACGTCAGATTGACAAGCGGTCACTGTAGGTATTGATAGACCAAGGTCTGCTTCCAAGGCTTGTGCAGCTGTTTCACTCAGGCGACTCGAACCTCCGTTTGAACGCGTTGTGGGCCGTCAAGAACCTACTATACCATGCTTCTTCGGATGTGAAACGCAGAGTCATGGATGCCATCGGGTGGCATAATTTCGCGATGTCCGTCTATTCCTGCAATTGTATACTCGAAAAATGCTAACTTTTGTCCTCCGCAGCTTGCTTATGGATCCGGATCCTACGATTCAGGAGCAGGCCTTCCATGTTACACGCCACATAGCGGATAACACCGATGATGTTGAGCTACTCTTCCATGAGCTAGGCTGTGATGTGTTGGGGCTTGTAGCGATGGGCATGCAGTCGGAAAATGATGATGTGTTACACCAAGTACGTGAAGAATCCTCAACAATTGTATACCCTGACTAATTAATACTGACTTCAGGCTATCTGCGTACTGGCCAACATAGCCAACAGTCCAACGCGACAAGACAGTATCCTTGCCAACATGCGGCTTCTAGATTCATTGAAGCAGTGCCTCACGGACAGTAAGGTGGAGGTTCGGCGTCCTGCCGTCGGCTGCATCCTCGAGCTCGTCAAGGCGAACCCACGCAGCCATAAGGTGTTGCATGATGTCGGCATCGATTCTACCTTACGGCATATTGGCGACTATGCTGGTAGTGCGATGAGTCCAATAGTAAGGTATCCAGCGGGGCTGAACCTTTCTATGGAAGACGAAGTGAGGGAGAAGGCGCGCGAGGCTTTGCATTGGCTTGAGCACGGCGCGGAGATGTATATATAATGCAGCGCTACGTCCGCTGTAATTAATCGGATGTTATGTACACTTGCTATCTAGCTGTCCAAATATGCTGTTCTATCATGTAGCTGTACTACCTATCTCGCGATGCTAGTATCCAGAGGATCGAGAAACGGGTCTTTAAGCGCCCGTTTCGCACCACGATCACCCTTCACTCATTCGCCCCGGTCCATAGAGCCTCACCTGCAGATTATCCTACCGACCGCCGTTCGAAGAGTGTGCTAACGCGCATGGGGCGGGAGAGACTATGAAGCGCATCTCTATCCGACGCACACAACCCCGTTGGCGTACAGGACCCAAACGGACATTCGCCACGCTTGAGGTACTTCGGAATACAGGACCCGTAGACATCCACCCAGAGATCCAGGACGCTCTTGCAACGAAGAAGCCAGTTGTGGCACTAGAAACGACCATTGTCACCCATGGGATGCCTCAGCCTGTAAACCTGCAGACGGCCCAGTCGGTGGAGAACGTTGTTCGGAGTACAGGTGCAGTTCCAGCAACCATAGGCATCATCGAGGGTCGGGTGAAGATAGGGCTTGAGCCGCGCGAGCTTGAGTATCTGGCGGATGTGAAGAACAACCCGTCCATAGCCAAAATATCGAGACGTGATATAGGACCTGCTATCGCCCAAAAGAGAGACGGTGTGAGTTCCATCGTGGATGGACTAGTACTGCTCTCCAACCCGTCTGACAAGCGCAGGGAACGACATGCAGCGCGACGTTGATTTTTGCAGCGTTGGCTGGTATCAAGGTCTGTCAATGGTTTAGCCATCTACTCCAGCCAGCTCAAGTATGTGCGGATTTAGGTCTTCGCAACCGGAGGGTACATGGGCCTCTCATTTGCATCTCTACCCATGCTGAGGATGATGTAGTCTAGGAGGGGTACATCGCGGAGGCGAACAGTGTGAGCATCATACGGTCATTCCCCTTGCGTTCTCCCCTCACATCATCTGTCTGCGCAGCTATGGATGTGTCCGCGGATCTGCATGAGCTCACGAGATGTCCTGTCGGGCTTGTGTCTGCCGGAGTGAAGTCGATCTTGGATATCGGACGGTGAGCCGACATCCCACGCTCCATACCCCCTCATCCTGAATCACGCATACCTCAGAACGTTGGAGTATCTTGTCAGTTCGTCTCATTGAGTGTATGTTGCACGCGTAGCTGATGTCCTTCAGGAAACGCTTGGTGTACCGGTCTTATCCTACGGTGACACCAACGACTTCCCAGCGTTCTACAGCAGACGTAGCGGCTTTAAGGTATGTTTGCGACCCGCTCCGTATAACTAATGAATCTCACTTTATACGTCTCAAGAGTCCTTGGAGAATAGATGATCCTATTACTGCTGCGCGAGTCCTCTGTATGCATACAGCGGCTGTTTGTGTGGTCCAGGCTAACACTCATTTAGTCACACAGGACCACTTAGGCATGAAGAATGGAGTGCTCTTCGGTGTTCCTATACCAGAACAATATCAGGCGATCGGCGAGAAGCTCCAAGAGTCCGTCGAGCAAGCAGTGAGGGAATCAGAGGAGAATGGTGTCAGCAAACTTGGGAAGGAAGCAACACCGTGGCTTCTCAAACGAGTAGGCGAGCTGACAGCAGGAAGATCCCTAACCAGTAGTGCGTCGAATCGCCGCTGGACCGCTGCGTGCTCATCAGAGTATGACTAACAGACGTTGCACTAATTGAGAACACTGCACTCATCGGTGCGTGCTGTGATGTTGAGAACCGGTGTGTTTGGTCTGAAGGCGTCCAGGTGGTCAAATTGCAGTTGCTTATGCAGAGCTAGCGAGTCAGGAGCCGCGCCAGACGTCTGAGAAGGTGTGTCCCGCATCGAACTTTCCTCGGTCACACACCTAATCACCAACGAAACTCGGAAGCTTTATCCCTCCCTTATTCCCCAGCCCACGGCTCCGGTAGAGATAAAGTCTCAAAATTCTCTGACTGTGGGTCACCCACCCGTCTTGTGTCCACACAATGTTCACTCACCACATCACAAGCAGCCTGAGGCTGCACTGGCTATCTTCGGGTGCGCTGCTGTAGACATTACTGCTCAGGCAGACCCTTCTATTGCAAACACTTCCATCGCCGTTCATAGCACGGTTCCGGGTAGCATATCCCTGACACTGGGCGGTGTTGCACGCAATCTCGCTGAAGCCGCACACCGGGTGCTCGAGTCGCAGTCTCCTGACAGCGCGAAGTCCGTCGTCTTGGTGTCTGCCGTTGGATGCGATGCATTCGGTCGACTGCTCGTCAATGAGACGGAAAGTATGGGAATGCGAACGGACGGACTGGTTACTTTGGATGGGGCACGCTCTGCCATCTGCAACATGGTGCTGGACAGCACTGGAGGTCTGACAACCGGTGTTGCAGACACGGACATCACGTTGTCATTAGATCGAGAAGCGGTGCGTGAACCGTTTATGTGAAGATCCGTCTTGTGTTCATAGTTGTGTTCCCAGACTCGAGAAGCACTGCGCAAACACCGGCCTCGTCTCGTTGCGATTGATGGCAATCTGTCGCCGGAGACAGTCACAACGCTAGTGGATGCATGCCACCAGGACGATATAGCGAGTGCGTTTAGTATCACCGGCTGACTGGAAGATGGTTACTCACTGCTTCTTAGCCTTCTAGTGAGTATCAATGCCTTGTACTGATCGCCGTGTTCACGGAAGGTATATTCTTACACAGCGAACCGACATCGGTCCCCAAGTCAATCAACATATTCCCTGCTATCGCAGCATCCCTCGGCCACGCTGACACAACATCCTCAGCCATCTCATATGCAGCGCCAAACATACTGGAACTCGCGCGCATGTACGAGGAGGCTGTTGCCGGAAAGCTCGAGCTGACCGCTCATAGCCACTGGTGGAAGGTGGTCGACGACATGGCCGTCGGTTCTGAATTCCGCATGGACTTGCAACAGCTGGCACGACTAGATGCATGCACACACGACCGTGCTAAGGGTACACTATCATTTCTAGTCGACAAAGGCATAGCCCAAATGGCCATCCATCTCCTTCCCTTCTTCCAACACCTCATCATCAAGTGCGGCGACCGCGGCGTCATCACCGTCTTCCGTATAACCGGGGAGCAGGCGAAATCGTCGTCGTGGATGCAGGAACGTACCAACGTGCACAAGCGTTGTGTCGTTGGCAAGAGCAGGGAAGGGGCCGGCGTTACTGTGCTGAAGCACTACCCCGCCCTGATTGTGCCCAGCGAGAAGATCGTCAACGTGACGGGCGCAGGCGACTCCTTCGTAGGCACTACATTGGCTACGTTGGTGCACAAGCCAACTGTCTTCCACGACCCGGACTCGTTAGACGAGCTTATGGCACAAGCGCAGAAAGCCGCGGTACTCACATTACAGAGCCAGCATGCGGTCTCGCCCCTCCTTTCCAAACTGTACCGTACACATCTGCCTGAGCTAATGTAGTTCCCGATGCCCTCTCCCTCAGATTCGTTGTTACTATGCTTCATTTATGGACCGAAGGCAAGGGTCCGACTTGCACATACTGTCTTGCGACTCTCAGTCTCTCTTTAGCGTCGGCAGTTTGAGCACGCTGTTGAGCCTTCAGTTTCTTCTCGTAGCGTGTCTATCAAGTTGAATGAGGATCCCACTGCTTGAGCCTATGCAACGAGCATACCTGGGCACCGTGCTTCAGACGAGAAATAATGTTCGCAGCTTCTCCCTTGGTCATTTTGTCGATACGATTCTTGCTCCGCCCTTCGGGGTCCAACAACCCAGGTCGTGCCTTCCAACGTTTCCTGACCATGGCTTTCTGGCTGTCCGTTGCAGGCTCACGACGCCAACGAGCATTCCGTCTTAATCTGCAGCAACGTTCAGCCAAGGATTTGCCTGTCGTGGATCATCACATACCCCGTCGCACTAGGTCCCTTGACCACACTTTGCACTGCAAAGGTGTCGGCGCCACGGATCGCTTCGGCCAATGTCTGCGCTCTGAGGACTTCCCTGCTCCTCTGGTAAGGAGAGATCTTCAACATGAAGGCAGTAGCCATCGAGACCGTGCGGGGCGTGAAGTTGACCACATATTGAGGTTCCTCCCCTGTGTCATGATAGGAATCAGCCAACTCCTGTCGCCTTAGGTGGTGAGTGACCAACCGTCGTTGCCCTCCTGCTTCTCGAGGCGTATGAAGCCTTCACTGAGGCATTGCAAAACATACACATCGTTACCGCAACCAACCCAAGCTAGCTGGCTCAATCGGCGAATGTGAGGGGCGCCGAACGCGTGGTCGACGAACGAGAATGGGTCTTCGTAGTCAACGTACGTGATGGACTTCGGATCCGGTACGTCGCTGGTACTTTGAGGCGGCTTCTCGCCTTCTTCGAGGGTGCGCTGGGCAGCCCGCTCCTCGAGCGAGGTGAGACTTTCGTCTACCGGCGGGTCGATTAACAATTGGACTGCTAGTAACCGACAACCTCACCATCGATGATTTCCGATGGGTCAAGGCCCAGCAGCGTAGGCAGGGAGACGACTCCCGATACACGGTTCTGCGAGTCCACGAAGTCGATTATCCTGCAGTCTTGCTTGCCGGTATCGGGCGAAAGCCTCATGCCTCGTCCAATCTAGTTAGCGGCGCTGGCTCAGTGACTAACAGCATGGCAGTCAGTTTGAATGTACCATCTGGGCAAAGACATTGCGGGAACGAGTAGGTCTCGCGACGATGACGCAGTCGATGTTGGGAATGTCAGCTCCTTCTGTCAATACAGCTTACACGAAGAGGCGATTTAGATAACGCATAAATGTGTACTGGTAATCGACGCACCACAGTTGATGAGGACAGGGAACTCGCCCTTCCTGAACGATTCTACAAGGGCACGCCGTTCACTTGCCGGCGTCCTCGAATACACATATCGCGCGTCGATGCCGGCTGTCCGGAAGGCCTCCGTGAGGTGGTGTACATGCGCCAGGTTCACGCAAAAAATCAGAGTGGACTTCCGTTCGGAGGCACGGTCGAGCCATGTCTGCACTACCACCTTGTTGATCGTCGGCGTGTTGATGACATGCGCTAGGCTGGTAGGGTTGAAGTCGCCAGTATGCGAATTGATGGTCACCTCGCTGAGGTCAATGTTGGCACGAACGCAAGTGAACTGGACATTGCACAACCTTCAGCATGGTCAGCATCGATATTTGGCATATGACAGGGAAGCTATGCGCACCACTGCTCTTTGATCATGTCCAAGAAGTCTCGGTGGTAGACGATCTGCTCGAAGACGGACCCAAGGGCAAGTCCGTCATGTCGGCTGAACGTCGCCGAGAAACCCAGGACCGCGATCGAGTGTTTGACATCAGGAGCTCGGAATTCCTCGTCCGGGTGGCGAATTGCAGGATGGAAGTGCGACAGTATGCGCCGGTACCTGCAGGCGTTCGCAAATGAGAGTCGCGTGAAGAGAAGCCTCAGGCTGGGTGCTCACGAAGGTGCAGCTGCGTGGTGCGCCTCGTCGATGATGACCGCCTTGATCCCATTGGGATTGAACTTCGCCAGTCTGTTCTGCCGGAGAAGAGTCTGGTACGTCGCGACAGTGCTGCACCCATGCCAAGACGTACAATGCATGCTCTCGTGAGCCCAATACTACATGTAACTATGCAGCCGTGAACACGTACAGGTCTGCATCTCCGGAAGCATGGTACTTCGCCCCCTGCTCTATCTCAACGCTCCACTCCGGATGCAGCTTCTCAGCCTGAGCAGCGGCCTGCCTGGCAAGCTCTACACTGTTCACGACGACCAAGGCCCGCCTCGCACCCGGGTTTTCGGGCGGTGAATTTATACGATCCAGCAGCGAGATGAAGACAGTCGTCTTCCCTGAACCAGTAGGAAGCGAGACACCGATGCGAGAAGAGCCGGATGTGAGGGCATTGAGGCAGGCGTCGATGGAAGCCTGCTGATAGGGGCGTAGCACTACTGAGTTGTTTGCAGAGACACTGTAGAATCGTTGCTGGGCACTAATCCCCATCCAGAGTCGTCGAACCAAGCATAGCATTGAACGATGGGAGCAGGATGCAAGCCTCTGCGTCACGATCGACACTGAAGCTCTGCGCAATTGGATGCAACTGTGCAAGGACACATTCCAAACATCGCGTGTACCGTTATTCGCTCACCAAGCCCACATCACCAAACTTCTCACTTCATCGCACATGGACCGCGGTAGGATATCGTCGTTTCGTGCCTACTACGCAAACACGAGAAGTATTCTCTGCCCAGTGAGGCGGCGCTCAATACCGGCAGATGAATATAACCAGAGTATCTAATGTGTATGGTCGTGCGAGCAGAATAAGTGAAGCTACTACGGTAATGTCCAACACCGTCCCCACGCTTAGCCAGAGCCACCAGAGTAGACCTTGCCGAACATGACCTCCTGGAGCTTGTCGTAGAGCGAAAGCACACCAGCACCAGCAACACCACGGAGGATGTTGGCACCAGCACCCTTGAAGAGCGACTTGGTACCCTCCTTGGCGACGATCTGCGCACCTGCGTCGAACATCGACTTGTAGTGGGTCGTCGAGCCGGAGGTCATCATCATACGACGACTACGAGAATAATCAGACAGGCCTGTTAAGGGTTTACTGTGCACAAACTCACCGAATAGTATCCAGAGGGTAAGAAGCAAGACCAGCACCAGTGGTGACACCCCAACCAAGGGCGAAAGAGGCCAGGAAGGAACCCTCGAGGGCACCAACAAGGACGACAGGCTCTGAGACATCCAGTCAGCAATCTACGTATGAGCAACACAAGTAAATCAAACGCACTGAGTGAGTCGTAGACACCAAAGTAGAGACCACGGTACACAATGATACCGACCACGGACGGGACGAAGCCACGGTAAAGACCAGCAACACCATCAGAGGCAAGAGTCTTCTTGTAGACATCGACCAGACCGTTGAACTGACGAGCTCCTCCACCCTTCGCCGACTTAGCATCGTTGGCAAGACGGGTACGGGCGTAGTCGAGCGAGTACACGAAGAGCAGCGATGTGGCACCAGCAGCACCACCGGACGCGAGGTTACCACCAAACCACCTCCAGTAGCCCTCGGAGCGCTTGAACGAAAACAAGGACTTGAAGTAATCCTCTGCATGTAACGTCAGACGGATTCCGATCAAAGATGCGCAGAAACTTACTGAACGCAAAGTTCAGCGCCTGCGTAGGGAAGTACCGGATGACGTTGGCAGTGTTACCACGCCAGAGGGAGACGAGACCCTCATCCTTGTACGTCCTCGCAAAGCAGTCGGCGATACCCTTGTAGGGGGTAGCCAGGCGACCCTGCTTGATCTAAAAGGAAAGGTCAGAAGGCCATCACCACAACGAGGCGCACACAGTATCCTACCATCTCATCCTGATTCTGGACAAGGAGCTTGATACGCTCGATGGGCGCAGCGGACGTCTTCGCGACGGCCTGGATAACAAACTCGCGTTAAAAGGCAACACAATGACAGTGAATGCAAAGTACACACAGCTGAGACACCACCCATCATGAAATCGGCTGTGAAAACATGCCAGGTCAGCAAAAGATTACGACGCGCGTGCCGTGCCCACGACGAGCGACGCAGCGAAGGACGGGGCCACGCACCGGCGAACTCCTTGGGGGTCTTGGACTTTTTGGTCGACGCCATTGCGACGGAGAAAAACCGAGGAAGGGAGGGACTGAGTGGAGGTGGTAGACGAGTTGAGGGAGAGAAAAATGGCGTGCGACCGCTCAAGTACGATTCCGGCAGCTGCCGGAGCTTGCCGGCACGGGGACCCCGGCCTGCACCGAGTCGCTGCGCTGGTCGGTCCGTTCGGCGCATCGCTGCCGGCCAATGGGAGCCCGCTACGTCTGCAGCCACCGTCCAATCGACACTGGCCATCGCACAGGCACCGCCCCGAGGCCACCCTTCCGCGCACGCCGGACACGCGCACCGACGTCCACTAAGTACGCGCGCACGAGCAGTCTCAAAATCTTTCAGCGATATTCCACCATGAACATTACGACGTCCACGCGTCTGAAAAACTAGGCTGTAATACACAGGGATAGACAGTAAACTACGACCCTACAAACCGAAGAAACGCGGTACAGTATGAGTTACTATCGAATCGAGAATGCCCGCTAAAGCCAATCTGGCGATCCCGGCGCGTACTGAGGCGGTCGACGTGCAGAAGCAGACGCGGGGGGAGGAGCATGATAACCAGGGTACGGGCTAGAGGGCGCGTACGACGACGCATAACGCGCCGAGACAGATGAGCCGTTCGCGACCGGTCGCGGAGGCAAGGCCGCTGGATAGCTCCAGTTAGACGACCCACTGGTGACGCTCGCTGGCGGGGATGAGGCTTCCGACCGGGATTTCTTCCAGATCTGCTCTGTAGGCGAGGGCAGTTGGTCATCTGGCACCTTCCTCTTCTTCGCCGGAGGAGGGGGTTCATCGTCGTCCGAATCCAGCGTCAAGTCAATGACGTCCGCCGGGACAGTCTTCAAAGACGACGCGTGTAGCTCGTTTGACGGGGACAACTCCCTCTTCACCCGGCCTTCATCCTCGTCGTCGGAGTCCAGGATCACAATCTCGGCGTCACTTGGTGGGGGCTGGCCATGTCCGTTGGTACCCTTCGCTGTTGGTTTTGGCGGTGATCGAGGAGCGGTGGGTACGGCAGCCTGAACAGGTGGAATAGGCTTGGTTTCTGGATGGGATGCCTTCCACTCCGCAGACCCATACTTGTTGTCCTCGGAATGCCACTGACCATCTGCTTCCACTATCACGTCCTCCAACTCTTCGGATGTCGAACGCAGGATCTCGTCGAAGTATCTGTTCAAGGCGTGGCTCAGCAATGAACATGAAATATGTCGCTTACAGGCACATACCCATCGACTATCAGATCATCTACGTTGAGAACTCTATCGCAGACAGGACACATCCATGTCGTCGTCTGTTCCATGACGGAATACCATGAGAACGCATCGAAACATTGCGAATGAACACATTTCGATGACCGACAAGGCGTCGATATGCGCATATAACTCAGCTGTCAATCTTGTGAGGGGATGTAGGCGGGGAAGAAATGATCGTCGTACTTACCGGACACTTGAGTGACATCTTTTGATGACCTGCGACGATATCGTCATCTGCATTGGCTGCCTGATTCACTGCGCATAGTGTCTCAATGAGAATGTGTAAAGCAGGGAAATACAACTACATACTCTTTTCAAATATCTCTTGGCTGCTCTTGTACTTGCCCTTCTTGAGCCGATCAATCAGCTGTTCGACGGTAGTGGTTTCCACCAACATGATCGCAAGATAATATTTCTGAGACTCGCCTTAGTATCAGCTAGAGATATGGAACTATAAGTGATGTCGACGTACCTTGTTGTAAACTGGCTGCTGGCTGTTGACATAGACCATTTCAATGCGATTTGATGCGCCGTTCTGCGTGCGCAGATTTTTCATGATATCTGGCGGTGGAGCAGTCCCCGGCTTCTTCTTCATGCCCTTCAGGTTTGCAGTCAACGCCACGCCGTTCACCCTGACTTCGCAAGTCGGTGGAAATTCGATGAGACATGGATTGGTGGATGACCGGAAAGCCGAGGGAGAGTAGTGCTGGGAGGATGTGCAGTAGAGACGGAGCTGATACTTCGGACTACAATCGCAATCAGTGCCGCCGGACATCGGCGCCACTGGGGACCCACCTTGTCGAGTTCAATTTTGCAAGAATGTCATTGGTGATGGTGAAGTTCAAAGACTGTTGCTTCCGGTCCATTGAGCTCGTGGATTCTATGCTGGGTTATCGATCACGCGTTCCGTTGAGAGTCTCATAACATACCTGGGCATTCTACGATAGCTGAGACGGCCCGCTCCACTTTGAAGAAGGGAGAAGGGCTGAATTTGATTGCTGTGCAAACTGTGTGAGACGGTGCAGCTGCCGTATCAAGCGCATCGAACGAACCTAGAGGTGGGACGGCCGCGGCGGCGGGTGTGGATGGCGCGGGTACGTTGGGTCGACGCGGAGGTGCATAAGGATCGTAACGCGGGATGGTACCAGAGCTAGAAGAAGAGCCAGATGGGTAACTGCTATGACTTCCGCCTACTGGATATGCATGGCTCGACGGAGCGGCAGAGTATGAATGCTCGGCTGACCGTTGCGGTGTGTAGCTAAGCGAACCGGTTCGAGTCAGTAAGAGGCGAGAAGTTGGGAGCTCACCGACGCGGAGCGCACTGAAAGGAGCATTCGAGTAGGGGAGCACACTCACCAGCCGGCAGTCCGTACTTGGTTGATAATCGCCCGTCCCTTCACCCACTTGTCTACACTGTTGTTCGCCCTCCATCCTTCCATTTCTCGCGTAATGCGGTCAATGAGGTCCTGTTTCTTGCCCGACTTTGTGCAGTTGGCTAGGCACTCCTCGTTAAAGCCGGTGAGGATCTGTTTGAGACGCTCAACGGTGTTCGACTTGACGTTGTGTCGCAAAGCCTGTGGGCCACCGCCGTCCTTAGGTGAGCGCGATCGGAGAAGGGATCTGAGAATAAACATACGTCAAAGTCAGACCAAACGTTCGTGCTGGCCATTGAAGCGTGTGCCGGTCGACCTGTGCAGCGTCCTCAATGCCTTGGGGAACAGCTGGGAGATAGGAGGCCAGGAAGACTCTGAAGATGAGTCGCTGTGCGGCCTCTACGGCGCTGCACTCTGTGGGCCGTGGGAAAAGGCGGGCAGAGACAGGCATCACATGACCAGCGCGTCACGGTCTTGACCTCGATCGTGGATCGCGATGCTTACGCTCAGCCTGAGACGCAACGCGGCGCGCTACCTTTGACAGCACTGCCAGTTATATTGCAACGAGCTGCCATGTCTACAGAAGACGACTACGACAAGCTGAGCAAGGATGAGAGGGAGGCCCGCGACAAAGCCGATCGCGAGCGGGAGGCGGCAGAGCAGGCTGGTGCGTCCCTTCTTCGTGAGCTCATTTCAGTCACTGACCTTCTTCAGCCCTCCCTTATAAGTGGAGACAGGAACTCGGAGAAGTTGATGTGGTCGTTCCCGTGCCGAAGGGAACACGCGGGAAGGAATTGAACGTCGTTATCCAGAAGAAGAAGCTCAGTGTCGGCCTGAAAGGCAAGGAGCCGATCGTTGCGGGTGAGCTCTGTAAAGAGATCAAGGTGGATGACAGCACATGGACACTGGGTGAATGGCATCGTGAACCAGGGAAGTGTATCCATCCTAAAATTGACGCATCACGCAGAGGACCAGGAGGCGGTCCATGTCCACCTCGAGAAGATCAATAAGCAGCAGTGGTGGGAGAATGTCCTCACTCACCACCCCAAGATCGATACCACGAAGATCCAGCCGGAGAATAGCAAACTCAGCGACCTTGACGGAGAAACAAGGTATGGTTCTCATTCATAGGCATCGCTGCTACCAGCCTGATCCCGCGTGCAGGGGGATGGTAGAGAAGATGATGGTGCGCATGTGTTCCAGAAGGTTGTGCATGATCAAATCTCACTTATCTCTGGCCGTCAGTTTGACAACCAGCAAAAGGTACGTATCTGATAATCTCGGTGCTGGATGTATTGACGGTGTCGCTTTCTAGCAAATGGGCAAGCCCACGTCGGACGAGCTCAAGAAGATGGAGGTACATACGACAAGCCGCATGAATACCGATCTTGTTGACTGATAGCGAGATGGCGCAGGTACTCAAGAAGTTCCAGGAACAGCACCCAGAGCTGGACTTCTCCAACGCCAAAGTCTCTTAGAGATACCTCCCAGTATGCACAACGGTCGACTCTCCAGCACTGCAATGTAGCTCAAGCAATCTTGTATAATGGCACTCAATGCATGTATCTTTATCCAATACCTTCGACATGCTCTATTGAGTAAACGGGAAAATGAGCCGCACCTCGACGAAGTACATTACACTACCTTCCTCCGCTTTCCAGATCCGGAGCTGTCGGCTGCTGCACTCTTCCGTTTAACTCTCTCGACCAGACTCTTCAGGTCATTCCCGCCTTTGTCTGCACTCGCGTCTGCATATGCGTCTTCCCTGGAGCCCTTACTCCTATGGCGCTTCGATCGCTCCTCGAGCAGAGTCTTCATGCTCTTCGTCTCCTTGAAGCTACAACCATTGCGTCAGCATCGCACAGACCCACACGAACAGACACGACATACCGAGGATTACTCGGGTCAATCGCAAACGCATGGTCCTCAAACACCGCCTTGAATCGGTTATCGCTGACATTGATACTGAAGTCCTCTTGCAGCTCGTCCCCCTCCTCCGCGCCCTTCTTCCCCCTCCGTTTCTTGTTCTTCAGCTTTGCGCCCTTCTCGGCTTTCATCACTGCCTTCATGTTGAAATGCTTCGGCTCACGCGCGGCGTCGCCGGACGGGCCCGCGACGAGCGCAAGCTCCTCTGCGGTGGAGACATGCCGGACAGGAGGAGGCGAGGCGGACTCGCGGCGGGTTTTCTTGCTCTTGGCTTTATCCTTCTTACCCTTCTTCGTCTGCGCCCTCTCCGCCTCGTCTGCTCCTTCACTCCCCTCATCCTCACTCCCCGCCGCGAAGAACTCATCGCCCGCCACACCCTTCTTCCCGCCATCCCCCTCATCATCACTGCCACCGGTCTTCGCCTTCCTCTTCTCCACGATCTCTTCCTTCCGCTTCTTCTTCTTGTCCTTCATCTTCCGCTTATACCTCTCCAGCGTCGTCTCCTCGTCCTCGTCCTTGCGCTCGCTCAACCCAGGCGTAAACGTGATCTCCATATCCACGTCCCCGTCGTCTTCGCCATGGGCGCCCGGGAGGTCCTTCCCGCGGCCCCACCCCTCGGGCAGCGCATCGTCGTCGCCCCCAAGCAAGAGCGCACGGAGCTTGTCGCGCTCGGCGCCCTTGGTTCTCGACTTGCCCTTGCCCTTGCCGGTCTCGGACTCGGACTCGGAGCCAGACGACGAGGCGATGTAGGCCTTGAAGTCGTTCTCCTCGATCTCCTTGCGCGAGAGGACGCGCCGCGTGAGTTGCACGCGCTCTGGGTCGTCCTCGTCCCACGTCAGCTTGACTTTCGAGTGGCGGAGGGCCTGGGCATCGTGTAAGGGAACTTTCGACGGAATGGATCATTACAATTGATGACGTACGTCGGTCACAAATTCGAGTCCTTTGTACGGGACAGAGAGGTCGTCTGTGGCTTCGTCACTGTGCAGGCCGCGATAAGAGAGAAAGACGAGGATAGCGACGTCGGGAGACATACCGAGGCTCGTTGTCGAAGGTCATGCCTTCTGGCACAAAGCTGAGGTCAAACACGTTAGCGGAGCGTTCGAGCTCGGTGCCCTCTAACTCATTGTAGATGTGCGACGCAGCCTCCACTGTGTCACACTCTACGATAGCATAGTAGTATCTACAATAAATATGTTAGCCAAACCGTGAACGCATCAGCAACGTTGTTGACGTACCGTAATCGTTCGAGCTGGTATTTCCTCAATGCGTCTTCGTCGTAGTCCTCCCCATCGCCAACCTCGAAGATAGTCTTTTCGTTGATCTCTTCCTCGTCTTCGTATTTCTTCTTGAACAGCTCCACTGGCGGCCCCTCCGTCTCTTCCCTCGCCATGCGCTCCCTGCCGAACTCGCTAGGGTACACACGCACACTCAGGACCTTGCCACGGGCTGCTGTTCCTGAGCCTTTAGCTTTCGCCGCCTTGGCATTGGAGTTCGATGAAGACGCAGCTGCGTGTGCAGTCGGCGAAACCAGAGAAGAGAAGATCTTGTACAGGTGGATAGCGCGGACGTGATCCCAGTCAAGGTTTACCACAGCAATTCTGCGCGTACGATCCGCCTCGGGGACGGCAGCCTCCGCCTCCGGGTTCTCCTGCGCATACGCAGCGGCCTGAGCATCCAGTTCGGCAAACGTGTCCTCGTCCAGGTCGATCTCGGCCTCATCGTCGTCGCGAGGAACGGGGATAGGTTTTGAGACATCGCGGCCGAGGACGAGCACTCCGTCGGCTTCACTCTCGTCTTCGGACGCCTGCCTGTCTTTTCCGTCTTCCTCGTCGGAGGACTCAAGGAGGGCCTCTCCTCGAGCGTAGTCTGGACCTGCCTTCGGGGCGGATTCGTCCTCGCCCTCGAGGCGGTAGAACCGACGGAGGTTGTCTTGTTCATGGGTGCTGGCTAGACGTCTGCCATACTTGTCGACCCGACCTGAAAGGCTTCGTTAGCATGGAATCATTGTGTCGACGCAGGCGTAGTGAAGGAAATGTGGTGATAAGACATGTAGCTATACGCCTCGACTTGCAAAGGTGTTTGTGTCCCAGGCAGCCTGGTACCGGCGCGTGTCTCGGATGCAGACCGTACTCACCTTTCTTGCCCTTGCCCTTCTTGTCCTCGTCGAACAGCTCCTTGAAGCGGTCATCTACCACAACCTTTTGCTTCTCCTTCTTGATTCTGCGAAAGCGAGGGTCAGTCTTGAATCGCGCAAAGCGGGGATCGGACATGGCGGGAGGAGGGAGCTGCAGCCAATCAGAGGGCGCGCTGGCAGAAATTGAACGCGGTTCCCGATTGGGAGGCGAGGCGGCGATCAGGAAGGTCTGATTGGGCAGGGGAAGGGCGACGGGTGTGCGTCCCTTGGCGACGGTCGGTCGACTCGGTCACCACCCAAGGCCAATCAGGAGCGCCCCTGGATGCCATATATACCCGCTGCGTCGTCTCCTCGCCCCCACGCCCTCTCGCTTCCGTCTCGCACCTTCGTTGTATGTCCGTGCGCCCCCTTCGCCTTCCGCATCCCTGCTAACCTTCGTTGCAGTTCATTTCCTCCGCGCCAGGCCGCCGGATCCCTTCATTCCTTCGCGGTTGACCCGACATCCCAGCTACTCGCAGTTCGCTATCGACCTCGCCCTTTACCCTCGCAACCCATCTCCAAGATGTTCTTCTCGTGCAAGTCGATTGTTCTCGTGTTCGCCGCCGCTTTCGTCGGCCAGGCCGCCGCGGCGCCCCACGCCATGCCCATGCCCTTCCGCGTACGTCCCCTCGTATCTACCGGCATTCAGACTGAAGCTCACGTTAGCGCCCTGTTCAGAAATTACAGCGTGAAGTCGGCGTCCGTGCCGACGCTGCCACTACCAACACTTTCCCCGAGAATCAGCCCGCCATGGCACCTACCGGTGGCGACGTAGAGGCGTACCACAACAAACGTGTCGTCAAACGTATCCAGCCTGCGCCGGAGGACATCAACTGGATCCGCTCTGACATCCCCACCTCCGCCGTCGACGGCTTCATCCGCGAGCTCCCTTACGACAAGCGTCAGTCCACTACGAACACCTTCCCGGAGAACCAGCCCGCTATGGCACCCACCGGTGGCGACGTAGAGGCGTACCACAACAAGCGTGTCGAAGCGCATGCAGCCTGCGCCCGAGGACATCAACTGGATTCGCTCGGACATCCCCACGTCGGCTGTTGACGGAGTCATCCGCGAGCTCTCTTACGACAGGCGTCAGTCTACTACGAACACTTTCCCTGAGAACCTGCCTGCTATGGCTCCGAGGGTGGTGACGCTATCGCCTACTCCAACGCTCCCGCGGCGGCGTGAGCAGTAGACTCCGGTGAGTGTACATCCCGACCATGCATGGACGTTGACTGACAGGCTGGCTTGCTCTGAAGGAGGCTCGCGGTGGCTTCGACATTGTTACGGACATATGGTTATTTGAGTTGTTGTACGATAGAGGGCCTGGCCGTTCCTTTCCCGTGCTGGAGCGCGGTTGCTGGGCTATCTCTGCGGAGTCCCTTCTTTTCCTTCTTTTGTGTCGTTAGCTCGTCACATCTGGAATACAATTGGTGCGAGATCGGACAACATTGTGTGCTGTCGATAACGTCGTGAGGTTGCATGTCTGCATATCGAGAACCGTGATACCGGACGAGTCTCCACCTGTCAATGTCATTCCGACCATTGGCAGAAGATGTCGATCCTCAACAAAGATTGACAGCTAACATATCCATGTCATGCCAACCACTTCACTGACAGACTATTGCGTGACAACGATACATACAAACGACGCACACAACATGGCGACCACAACAGCACGACCACATATTTTTAGCCCGCACCAAGCCCACACCATCTCCTTCACTCCGCCAACCGCCACACGTACATCGTCCCCCTATCGCCTGCGCCCAAAATAACCCTTCCACCAGATGCGACCTCGCACGTCCTGATGTCCGGCAGCTCCGCGCGCCTCCCCTCCGCCACCGCAGAGAGGTCGATGTCCCAGCCCTCGACGGCGGCGAAGAGCTCCTCGAGCCGCGAGCGCTGGCGCACCATGTAGCCCTCCCTGTGCGCATCCCAGTGGAACACGTCTTGGTCGCCTTCGTCCTCGCTCCTCCTCACCTTCCCCATCCTGTTCGCCGCCCCCCGCGGCGTCCCCACCTCTCCATGTGCACCGCGCTCACCTTCGTCTCGTCCCGAAGAGCTTTGGCCTGCGTTCCCCGAGTGCCCGGCGTCACCCCCGCCATCGCCGTCGCCGTCGTCCAACCGCATCCGCTTCGTGAGCGCGACGACCTCATCCTCGTCCAGCGGGAACGGCGGTCGCGGACGTGGGCGGAAGTGCGTCACGTTGAACGCCGCACGTCTTCCCGACGGGCACGAGCAGGAGCGGGTCGTGCGTGTGCGTCGGGGACGTGTAGACCGACGCGTGGAGCGCGGTGAGGGGGAGGTGGTACGCGGAGAGGACTTTGAATGATCTGTCCGACGACGTGAGTGGTCTTACGGGGAAGGGTATAGGCGGAAACGCACCGCTGTTTCGGTAGTCCTGCGAAGTGTAGTACACGAAGGGTGAATGGAAATGATGGTGCTCACACTCGCGCAACCTCGCATGACCTTGGGTATCGGCTTGTCGCCCCGTCGGGCGGAGAAACGGTTCATCCCAAGCCACTGCCAGATCTGCACTGCACATCCCGTCAAATATGCCATGCCAAGAAATAGTCGACGTTACCTGTGCCGTTTCTACGTACAGATCATCTGGCTCGTCGCCCTCCCGCATCAATGCGGGGGCGCTGTGTGAGATGAGGATGTCATGGCTCAGCCATGCTATGGAGAGGACGCGGGCCTTGTGGATGTAGTCTGTACTGAATAGCGGCTTGTCTTCCCTCGCTAAATGGCCCTCTACAAGTGGAGGGATACGCCATATCTTTACGGCTCGGTCCACCTATCGACGATGCCAATCAGAGTGACGCTAACAAGAAGAGATCATACACTCACCCCACAAGTCGCTATGAGCGGCTCTGTCCTATGAAACGCCTGTACGAACGTTCGCAATGCGGTCAACAGTGAGGCACACGGAAGTCGTTATGATTCCTCACGGCACTCACACGGCACCTCGATGGCCACCCGACCGCCACCCACGAGCACGGCGACACACTGGCCGATGCCTTCGCCCTCGCTCTCTGTCATCTGCAGCCCGAACGCTGGCCCCGCGAGGCTAGGCTTCTTGGATGGCGGCCAACACGGGTTGTTCGGATGCTGCAACGGGTTGCATGTCAGGTCGTAGATCCGACTCGTGAAGTCGCGTGAGTCGTGCAGAACAGGTAGGGCTGAACGGGATGGACGGCTATCGACGTGATGGGCTTTCCACTGTCTCAGAACGGCGCGCAAAGGGAAGGTCGGACTTACGCCTCCGTGCCTCGCAGGCGGCCGATTATTCGGCGGGTTTTAACATCTAGGATGTAGATCACGCTGGAGGGCGCGAAGACAATGAGGGGATCGGTGGGATGCCGCAGGCTCAAAGCCCATGCGGCACATTGCACTTCCCATGTTTCCTGAGAATGTACCAGACGTGTATCAGTCCGAAACAAACGATGGATTGAACGACTTTCCGTACATCGGGCAGCCGTATGCAGAACGGCTTGCCGTAGCGAGTTTGGGAACACATAGAATGCGCCTGTACCGCCAATCGCGACGGAGCCTGCATAGTCGTCTGTCGTCTTCTTCCAGTCCGCCAGGATCTGTGCATCAGTTACACTACCTTCCCATAGCACTCCATAGAGGAAGAGGACCAAGGGAAAGTAGCGGTGCAGTGAAAGGGCAACGACGTTGATTGCGTAGACTACTAGTCTGTGCACTTACATCACCCGAAATAACACAAAAAGTACGAATAACCAACATTCAGCACTTTAGACAAGATGAACGGGCGAGCATCCGTCGAGCCTCGGAACCAGGGCACGTCCGGAACTGGAACATCCTGAATTTCTGGATCCTCCATCAAAGGTGCAAGTATTCAGGTCGGTTGGGCCTATCCGCGAAGGTATAAGAGTGTATGGACGAAGCAGGAGTCGGAGCAGGACCTGCCCAGCATGGACTCGGAGGTGGTCAGTGGCAAGCAGCAGCACGCGTCGACCAATGAGAGGCGACCCATTCAAGTTGCCGCCACCGGCCCAAAGCGGCAAGTGCGCCGGCAAGGACCAGCTCGTCTACCGCGACCGCCTCCGGTTCGACCTCCATACTCACATACACTCTCCGCCCAGCCTGGTCCCGTTCTCCAATGTCTGAGAACGCCGGGTTGCCCGCCGCTCAGTCAAACTCTGCCGACCCGGCTGCGTACTCCCCCAAGCCCACCATTGCCTACGCCTCCACCGTCGGGTTCCAAGCCGCCGCCGTCGGCGCATTCGTCAGTGCCATCCAAAATGCGCTGGGTTCACATACTGCGGGCGCGTCGGGTTTCCTGACGAGAACGGGAGGAACCATTGGGTTCTTCGGTACGTCTGTTGCCCAGGTCGATCGGAAGCACCCGGGACTGAGCGAACGACGATGTCTAGGTGCCATGGGCGTGACGTTCGCGCTCACGGAGTCCGTCGTGGCGAATACCAGAGCGAAGGATGATGCTCTGAACGGCGCAGCGGGTGCTTGCGCTGCAGGCTTTTTGGCGGGCATCCGGAGTAAGCCGCGTCACTCCTTTAGGTTCCAGCACACTCATTTCCGCTGCATCACAGAACGCTCAGTCCCAATAGCAATTGCTTCGTGTGCTGTGATGGGTGCAGCTATGGGCACCTTCGATTATGGTGGAAAGAGTCTGCAAGGTTCAATCGAGACCAAGGAAGAGCGGCGGAAGCGTTTCTTCAAGAACCCACCTACGACGATGCCAGCGCATGCAGGAGGGGAGTCGGATTAGATGGACCGCTGTAGAGTATCTCATAAAATGCTTTTTCTGCCAACATGCGTGCATACTGCCTGGTAAAAGTACTGGGTCGTACAACATGAGAGCGCCGCTATGGTACCAGGGTCCGCCTACTGATACAGTCCATCATCTTCTAACGAACTCGCAAAGGCTGTTGAGGTGCTAATGAAATTCCCGCGCACGTCTATTGACCTTGATTGGCCTGCATCGCAGCTTCCTCTGCATCTAGTCGGCGACGGACTTCTTCGTTAATCTCTGCGCCCTTCTCCCCCCAGAGCAATTGCCATTGTTCTGCAGTACGTGACGGACCCTACGCAAATATTGTGAGAATGCAGAGATCCCCGTGAGCGATAAAACCTCACCTCTTTCGCCAGGCACTCCCAGACTTCATCGTCCTCTCGGCCATCCGCGCCGCCGTTCGTAAGGAATTCAGTCATAAATCGACGTCGCGAGCATAGTCTGATGCGGCTCGACCAGAGGCCTCTGACACGCTCGCAGGGGGCCCCGGGGGGCCCTCTGGTCAGACATGGGCTCGCTCGACGGCAGTGGTACTGCAGGCGTCCCATTCGTCTGCTCGCTGTCGGGATGAGACGTCGACATCTGCTGAGCCTTCCGCCTTTCAATGAATGCGCGTTTCCTCGCCTGTTTTATGAATTCGGATCTTTTCTCATTGGATAACCACGATCTCCACGATTTTATGGTGTGATGAGGCATCTAGAAAACGTTGTTTCTGTCTGAGCACAGCGGACAGCAGCGTTCCAGAGTCATGCGTACCTTCTCGTGGAATGTGTCGCCCATAGCTGTTTGGGACATGTCCGGATCGCGTGCCAGTAGTATCCGGACGTAGAGCTGGACGTACTCCCACTCGTCCGCAGTGTATAGTATCTGCCATCCACCATCATCTGGCTCGGCGGCGGCGGCGGTGGAGAAGAAGATGCACGGACTGGCCGCGATGAAGACGCATGCTCTGTAGTCTGTTGTATCGGTTTGCTGGAGCGTCCAGCCGATGACGGAGCCTTAGCCTTGGTAGGGGAGCTGGCCGCGCTGGCCTTCTTAGGAGTCGTAACCTGTGGGTTCTTCCTCGGACGGCCACGCTGCGGCACTGGTAGCTCATCAAAGCCGAAGTCATGCGTGTCTAATAACGCGGATCGTTTGACACAGTCCTGGATATACCTCGATTGAATGACTGTCTTATCCGCTTGGGAGGCGACCTTGAGCCAGTGAGGGAATGGTTTGGAGTTCTGCGCCAGCACGGCCAAGTCTGCATCCTGGAGCTCCGCGACTATTCTGCCTTTGTTTCTCTGCACAGCACATCAGTTCCGCGTATGAAATGCACTAAGGAGGACTCACTTTGATTAGTTGTAACAAGTCGCCGCGTTGCTTCGTCTCCATCTGCACCCAAAATACGACTGGTTCTCCGTTGTCGTGTACGAAGACTTCGTCCGCATTGCGGAGAGAATCGGGGGCCGGAAGAAAGGATGATGACGTGTCGTCGTTATCATCGCCGTCGTCGTCGTCGTCGTCGTCTGTGAAGCTGTCGCTCCTACGACGTTGCTTGAACGGTGGCTCGGGGGAGTGAGCGCGTTCCTTGCCCTTGGAACGCGAGGAGATGGAGGAGGACGGCGTACCGCCCTTAGACTGTCGACGCTTAGCTGGAATGGAGCTGGGCGGATCAGAGGAGCGCCGGAAGGAAGGCCGCGGCGTTCGTGTGGCCGCCGAACTTGAGCTGGGGCTCATGAAATCGGACGCGTCGAGTCCCAAAGGACGTGGCTGGGGACCGTCCGAGGCCTCCAGATAGTTCAACGCAGGTTCTGTCATTGGTACGTTGGGTACTTGAGACCCCTGCACGTTCAGTTGCGTCAGCAGGCTCTGGAGATCTGTGGGATTCGTATTTTGAAGAATCGCCAAAGCATTGAGTAGTTCGGGGGTTACATGCGCGGGTATATGCGCGATGGTGTTCTGAGTCGGCAGCGGGATACTGTTAGGTTGCACCTGAGGAACCGGTATCCCGAATGGCAGTTGAATGTCCGAGGGATCGAGGCCTGAGGATGTCGATGGTATATTTTGACCCTGAGATAGTGCTTGGAGAGCAGCCTGGAGGGTCATGTTGCTCCCCAGCTGAGGAGGAGGATCTGCGATATCGGGGGAGGAGTGGGCAGAGGACTTCTTCTGCGGGTCAGACAATGCTGTTCGCAAGTACCGGAAAGCAGACGACTGACTGTTGGTGGTCCACAAGAGCCACATGTCCGTTCGTTCTGGGCAGCTGGCGACAACCTCCCCAATTATCCTTGACAAGCAGGGCTTTGCCCGCCTGAGTCGACTTGTGCACCCACTCCCAACGCAAGACCACTTTCCCCGGTTCCGCACCCCAGTCGTTGACGAATTGCTTTCCGGCATTTGTCTCCATATCGACGAGGATAATCTGTGCCTCAGAAGGATAATGGGCGATCATAGCCCCATCCCTCTGGAAGCTATGGGTCAGAAATTATTGGCAACACAAAAGACTGATACGCAACTCGCAGATCACGAATGAGCTTTGGGCGTTGGGCAAACTCGGAAGTCTCCACGAAGACATGCAGAGGTCGGCCTGACGAGTCGACGAAGATGTTCATTTGCTGCGCATTGTCGGCCATTTGTTGAGGCAACAGAATGGAAGAATAAGTAGGCCTAGGATGCTCGCGCTGAGGGAGAGGATGATCGCGTCGAGTTGCAGTCGCGCGCGCCGCGATCCTCTGATTCCTCACTTCCGTCAACAGCACGCGTAGCACGTGGCCTGAGGGCGCCTCCCGTGGCCAGGCCACAACGCGTCGCCGGGTTCTACTAACTCCTGGCCACTGCCTACATACTATGTCCAATCATCACGTACATATAGCGTTACACATTTGCAGACGGCAGACCGCCATCACACAAGTACTGGCCCGAGTTGTGCTCGAACATGATTCTTCCATGAATTGTGCCGACCCTCTGCGAACTGCACTGTTATCCGGATCTGCGCCGCGGCGCGGATCCGGATAGCATGGCTTTGTGAATTCTTACCGGCGCATGAATTGTAATCACCTGAACGAACTTACTCTGACGTTTACTCAGCGTTTACTTAATGATTGACACAATGTTCCGTGCAGGCCTATCACAATCACCACGACACCACAACCCATCTTGACAGAACGGTATGATCGGCATAATGATCCCAATGAAACTCAGATACAGTTTTGCATATTGCCATGACATGGAGATAGAGGTGACGGAGGTACATGACATGCAAAGCAAATCGACAACCCAGTGTGACCGTTTACCGGTAACTAGTGAGAACAAAGTATCAATGAAAGCAGTCCAGGCGGCAAGTGAGGCAACGCACGATTTCTGCCTGCGAGCACGGGCACCATGACCACCGAACTTCTTCGGTTCGCATCTCCGCGGGTCCGCATGAGGAGCGTCCTGTCGTAGGCGACGAGCTTCTTCTTGAGCTCCATTGCGCTGTACGCGTCAACGTACTTCGCGTAGTACGCAACGAGCGCCTTCGCGATGGCCTGGCGGATGGCGTACACTTGCGAGGTGTGTCCACCACCCTTCACGCGGAGGCGGATGTCAATGGCGCCAAACGCCTCCTCACCGGCAACGAGGATCGGCTCGTAGACCTTCATGCGGAGGATCTCGGGCGTGACGAGCGTGATGGGCGAGCCGTTGAGGTGGATGAGACCGCGACCCTCCTTGGCATGCGCGACCGCCGTGGCAGTCTAGTATGGCGTCGCCCCCAGTCAATAATAGGTTTGGTACTACAGCCGCGCGACATGTACCTTCTTTTTGCCGAACGTCTGAACAGCCTTGGTTGTTGATGCCATTTTAGAGAAAACAGAGAATGGGCGACTTGCTGGCTGGAAGAGAACGGAAGGTCAATACTCAACTCCAGAGGCCAAAACCTGCAGGGAGGCCGGATTGGTCGTTCAGTGTCATCCAGGTTGTGCTCCTTCAATCCACCCATTCCTACAGCCGTTTCTTCGACCAAATTGGCAAGCATGATAGACCCGGCCTTCCAGCAGCATAGCAGACCAATGAAGCAGAATCACTCACCCCTCCGGAGGTCTTGAGACGTTTGGCGGGACGGTGTGGATGAATTTGGTAGCCCTCGCTGTGCGCGCTACCGACTTCGATAAATTCCCACGACACGCCCGGCGCAAGTGAATTCGGCGCCTAGCCCAGGCTCTCTTCCGATCTCAATGCTGTCTGTAATCCGGCGTGCGCTGGGCCAGGTGAGTGGTTCTGCCGCTCTCGTCTGAAATGTTCAACTTATTCTGTATAGACCGCTCAGCGGGCATGCCGTCGATTGTCCACGGTCACAACGGTGGAACCATTGACCGATTCATCTTTGGCCGTTGACGTCGAGGAGTCGTCTACGCAGGTCCTCAAGAATGCGTTGCAAACGACGGAGCTGGCATCGCCGTCGGGTAAGTCACTTCTCTTGCTTCAAACGCTGTGGCTAAGCATTTCCTCTGTAGCGGTCAACCCGTTTGTACCGCCTGTATACTTGACTATGTCGTCCCTCCTTCGGCCAACTGAAGATGCTCCTCCTACGTCACAGAACGTCGTAGAACTCGATCCAACCGTCTTTGGACACCCTATACGACGGGACATCCTGCATCTGTGTGTCGTTCACTACCTGGACTCCCTTCGGCAAGGGACAGCATCTACGAAGACGCGTGGCGAAGTACGTGGCTCCGGTGCCAAAATTCGACCACAGAAGGGTTCAGGGCGAGCTCGACTTGGAGATGGCCAGAGTCCGATGTTGCGAGGCGGAGGAGTCGCGTTCGGACCGAAGCCACGAGACTTCGCGACGAAGTTGAACAGGAAGGTCATCCAGATGGGGATGCGTGTCGCACTGAGTGCACGTGTGAAGGAGAACTCCCTGGGTATCGTGGAGAGCCTGGAGTGGCCTTCAGGGAAGACCAAAGACCTGGCGAAGCGGATTGACGAGCTTGGGTGGAGGAAGACGCTGTTTGTATCTGGGTTGGATACGGTGCCGGAGGGGCTCATCAGGGCGAGCAACAACATCCACAAGGTGGAGGCTGCGACCGCGAAGGACGTGAATGTGTACGACGTGGTCAAGTGGGACAGGGTGATTCTCGACTTGGCTGCTGTCGAATGGTTCGAACGTGCGCTTAGCAAAACGGTCGCGGCTCCTCCGCGGGTGTACGACGTATAGACCCCTCATCGCTTGTGGAGTGGTCAGATTAAGGATATAATATACAGCATTCGATATTATCTTGCTTCCCAGTTCTCGTTTACTGGGATTCAGGTGTCTACACAACGTACTTCTGGTAGTATCTTCTCCGACTCTTCTCGGTGCCGTGGCCCAAGTCAATCCTGCCGAAGGTGATTGGACGCGTTCACGTGAGATGTCACGACGCGTCACGCGTGTGGACGCGCAGAGCGCGCGGCGCGTTTGACATGTGTTGCACTTAGAGACATCCCCGACCTCGACCCGCTCTTCCTGCTCCCCCTCCTTTGCTCCCCCCCCTCATACGCTCGCAGCATGTCTCAGTCGCAAGCATCTCAGCATGAAGAGGAAGAGGAGGTCCAGGCCTCGGGTCCTCTGCTCGTCCAGAAACTCCAGGAAGCGGGCATCAACGCACAGGACATCAAGAAACTCGCAGAGAACGGACTGCACACCGTCGAAGCTGTCGCATACACCCCCAAGAAGAACCTCATGCAGATTAAAGGCATATCCGAACAGAAGGCAGACAAGATATTGTTAGAAGGTACGTCGTGCCCAACGCCGTCTCTGGCTCTATAGTGTCCATGCTCGCACGCAGCACACAAGATCATACCGCTCGGATTTCAAAGCGCCACGGAAGTTCACGCCCGCCGCTCCGAGCTTGTGCACATCACGACTGGCTCCAAGAACCTCGACGCGCTCCTCGGCGGTGGCATCGAGACGGGCGCCATCACCGAGCTCTTTGGCGAGTTCCGTACTGGTAAATCGCAGATCTGCCACACCTTGGCGGTGACCTGCCAGCTTCCGGTAGACATGGGCGGGGCGAAGGCAAATGTTTGTACATCGATACAGAAGGGACATTCCGTCCCGTTCGGCTGCTCGCCGTCGCTGAGCGCCTGGGGCTGAACGGCGAGGAGGTGCTAGACAATGTCGCATACGCGAGGGCATACAATGCGGACCATCAACACTCGCTTCTTACAAATGCGAGTGCGTTGATGTCGGAGTCGAGGTAGGAGCATTCAGTGACCTCACTATATGCGCATGGATTGACAAGATCCCGCTGCCTCGATGTAGGTTCTGCCTGTTGATCGTCGACTCTTGCACTGCGCTCTACCGTACGGACTTCAACGGACGTGGCGAGCTGTCCGCTCGACAGGCGCACCTCGGGAAATTCCTTCGCACGCTGCAACGGCTCGCGGACGAGGTATGTTCGTGACTTAAGGAAGTCGCATCGCGCACTGAATAATCACTCTACGAATAGTTTGGCATCGCTGTTGTCATGTCAAACCAAGTCATGTCAACCCCGACGCTCTGCTGGTCCGTACGCCGGCAACGAGAAGAAGCCTGTGGGAGGTAATATCCTGGCCCACGCATCCACCACTCGGTAAGAGGAGTTGCATCGTGATACCCTTTTCCTACTCACGAGTGTATCAGTGTGCAACTTAAGAAAGGCCGCGGCCCGAACCGACAGGCTAAGATCTATGACTCGCCCTGCCTGCCCGAGTCAGAGACCACGTTCGCCATCCTGCAGAGTGGTATTGGCGACCCGGAGGAGGACAGCTAGAGCACCGACGTATTCATAATTGGTTTGGTGTATCGTTTGTCGCACACAACTCGGATGTATCAACAGCACTGTCATCGAAACAAAGCCACTCTTTGTATGTCCTTCACATATCAGGTGGAGCCCCGCACTGCAGAGTACCAAGGCCATGGATTGGCAAGCCCGCGGAGCATCTAGTTTATACATTGTTTTGAACCTAATTATACAGCATCTAGGTCAGCGTATGGTACAGTAGCGAGTGTTTCCAGTTGAGTGGAATTCCAGTTGAGTGGACGGAGACAGCTAGGCGTCGTCCTTTTGTTACACAGCGGTGATACCAGCCACCTAATGGTCAGCGCGACTGCCAAAACACCCTACGCCAACAACCGTGTGAGGATGTTGGCACTCGTCTTGTTGATGAGCTCCTGCAGCTTGTTGATGTCGCTCGGGCTGACGTCGGCGATGTCCGCCATGAGGTACGCGACATCGCCCTTCGAGTCCGAGTACTGCTTCTCGACATTGTACGGCGAAAGCACCTCGTTGACCTGGCGCAGCACGCCGGGGATGTTGTTGTGCACATGGCAGACACGGATGCCCTGCTGCTCTGCGGTGATCGCGCGCAGGTCGACCTCGGGGAAATTGACCGCCCCATCGTCGAGCCGTAGTTGAGGTAGCGCGTCGCGCGGAGGAGACCTCCTCGCCGATCATGCGCTGCGCCTCCTCGGTGGACCCGCCGATGTGCGGCGTGAGGATGACGTTGGGGATGGAGCGCAGCGTCGACGACCAGGGGTTGAGCTGATCGTCGAAAGGCGAGCCGTTCGAGCCCGGCTCGGAGGGTATACGTCGAGGGCTGCGCCGGCGAGGTGGCCGGACTTGAGCGCATCGATGAGGGCAGGGATGTCGACGACCTTTCCTCGGGCGTTGTTGATCAGGTAGGCACCCTTCTTCATCTCGGCCAGCAGCGCCTTGGTGATCATGTTCGTCGTCTCTGGGAGTTCGGGGACGTGCAGCGTGACGAAGTCGGACTCGTTCAGGAGCGCTGTGAGGGCCTCGACCTGCCGCGCCGATCCCAGAGGCATGATGTTGACCACGTCGTGGAACAGAACGCGCATACCGAGAGCCTCGGCGAGCACGGAAAGCTGCGAGCCGATGTGGCCGTAGCCAACGATGCCGAGCGTCTTGCCACGGACCTCCCAGCAGCCCTTGGACTGCTTGTTCCAGATGCCGTCGCGCATTTCGTATCCGCGTTGGAAGTACTGCCGCGAGAGCGCAATGACTTCGGAGATGACCAGCTCGGCGACGGAGCGCGAGTTGGAGAAGGGCGAGTTGAAGACGGGAATACCGGCCTTGGCAGCGGTGTCGAGGTCGACCTGGTTGGTGCCGATGCAAAGCACCCAATGACCAGCAACTAAACCGAGAGGAGTTAGTTGTGCGGCCGTGACTGGCATATAGAGACATGCCTTGGAAGCCGCCTTGATGACTCGCTTGGTGATCTTCGTCTTGCTACGAATACCAATGGCATGGTACTGCCCGATCTTCTCTACGAGCTCGTCTCGGACATGGCCTTGGTGTGGTGATCGACATGGAAGCCATGCGACTCGAAAGCCTTGACGGCCTCCTGGCTGATGTTCTCCAAGATGAGAAGCCGGAGGTGCTCGTTGTCAACGGGGTGCAAGACTTTGGACTCGCGGACGTTGGAGGTGGCTATAGAGTCCCGTCGAGCGGCCATCCTGTCGTGAAGGGTGGTGGTGGTGGTCGGGGAAGCGACGACCTGGTTTTGAGGCTTCTCGGCGGGGATGCTGATTGAGCGAGACATTTTGAAGCGAGCACGCACGGGCAACGAGTCGGCAGAGGATGGGATGGTCCGAGCAAGCGGCCGCGCTGCGATGCGCTCAATTTTGCGAAGCCGGGAGTCATGATGCTGGTCTGGGACTAGGCGCCCAGCCATCGCCTCGACGCCATCCCGACGCCATTCTCACAATCATCAGTACGTAACACTATTGCAGGCTTGTAGGCGTTTCTTATCGCCTCTTACATACAGGCCTTACTCTGTTTACTCTGATTAGATTAGATCGCCTTGACTCACACAGTCCACCAAGTCCAGGATGCGCTGCACAGAACAACCCACTCTGTTCCCCGACCGCCATGGGCCTCTACCTGCTCGACTACGGCGCGGGCAACGTCCAGAGCCTCGCAAACACCCTCACCAAGCTCGGCTACGAGTTCAAGTGGATCGCCTCGCCGGACGATTTCGACAAGGCGACTGTGCGTCCTTACTTCCTCTCCGCGTGCATCGGAGTCCACTCACGTCTATTTGCAGAGCCTCATCTTCCCCGGTGTCGGCGCGTTCGGCAGCGCCATAGACGGTCTCAACTCGAGAGGGTACACGGAGCCCCTCCGAAGGTACATCGCGTCGGACGACCGTACTTGGAATATGCATCGGACTGCAAGTCCTCTTCCAGGCCTCCGCCGAGTCTCCATCCCACACAGGACTTGGCGTTGTCCCTCCAGAATAGAGGAGTTCTCTCGCGCGGAAAGTCAGTCCCCCACATGGGGTGGAACTCGATCGAGTTCCTAGATCCCGAGCACAAGGCAAACGAAGGCCTGGATGAGTCCCTCCACTACTATTACGTGCACTCTACCGTGCCAAATACGACTGGACCCACCTTGAGTCTGCGCAGTGGATACACAGCACGACCAGTACGGGCAGGAAGTCTTCGTGCGACCGTCTGCAAGGACAACGTCTTCGCCACCCAATTCCACCCCGAGAAGTCAGGTCCTGCAGGCTCAAGTGCTCGCAGGCTGGCTGAGCCAGCCCCAGTCCGCCGCACCTCCGTCCCTGCCACTCCTCCCATCGCCCGCCCCCAAGCCACAAGACGGCCTCACGAAGCGCATCGTAGCGTGCATGGATGTCCGCTCGAACGACGACGGTGACCTAGTCGTAACAAAAGGCGACCAGTACGACGTCCGCGAAAAGGCCCCGTCTACATCCGACGGCACCGTCACCGGTGGTCTAGCGACGAGCACCGCCGGCGCCGTACGCAACCTTGGCAAGCCCGTCGCGCTCGCCGAGCGCTACTTCTCTGCGGGGGCGGACGAGCTCTGCCTCATGAACATCACCTCCTTCCGCCACTCGCCCCTCCTCGACCAGCCGATGCTCGCCGTCGTACGTGCAGCCGCGGAAGAGGTCTTCGTCCCGCTGACAATCGGCGGCGGGATCAAGGACACAGTCGACCCGGATGGCACGCCGCACTCTGCGCTTGAGGTCGCTGGCGCGTACTTCCGTGCGGGCGCGGACAAGGTCAGCGTTGCGACAGAAGCGGTCTATGCCGTCGAGCGCATGCGCGAGCGCGCCAGATGGAGGTATTGGAGAAGGTGACGGGACGAGTGCGATCGAGACCATTGCGCACGCGTATGGCCGTCAGGCCGTGTTGTATCCATCGACCCACGCAGAGCTACGTGGACCCGGGATACGACGGGCCATACAAGGATGAGCTCGTTTTTGGGAAGCCGGATGGCGCGGAGAAGGAGCGCGGGAAGGCATGGTGGTATCAATGCACCGTCAAGGGCGGACGGGAGAACCGCCCGCTTTCCGTCGTCCAACTCGCAAAAGGCGTCGAGAAGCTCGGCGCAGGCGAGATCATCCTCAACAGCATCGACCGCGATGGCACGGGACTCGGCTTCGACGTCGACTTGATCGCGTTGGTGCGGAAGAGCGTTCGAATACCTGTTGTTGCGAGTAGCGGTGCGGGTAAGCCGGGGCACTTCGTCGAGGTGTTTGAGAAGACTGGCGTGGAGGCGGCGTTGGCGGCTGGGATCTTCCACCGGGAGGAAGTCAGGATACAGGACGTCAAGCAAGCACTATCGATTTCGAGGTTCTCAGTCAGGACTTGAGCACCGAGGGGCTTGAATATCTTAAAACTTATTTATGTAGGCGTACTCATGTGTAGGAATCGGGATGCTGGTTGTAGTCACTTGTATGCTTTGCACAGTATAGAAAGAAGCCAGAGGCACGCTGTGTAATGTCGCATGTATAGAGCCCGCGTCTACCTGCAACGACTGGTACAAAGGACAAGGAACGAACCAGAGAACGAATGACTGATGTATAATGGCCGGACCGCGTGTAGATTCTGTGTCACACGAGGATTCCGCGGCCAGTACTTAGTCTCAGGCGGCCAGCGAACATACTCAGTACCAGCCGCTATCAATTTGAATCCACGATCAGGGCAGAACGAGCTGGATGACTTTAGGTTGAAGCGCACCGTAGCATCGCCGGAAGATATAGTCCTCTCTTCCCACAAGTGATGGCGAATACGGGCCGAAGTCCCAAGTATTGTCCAAGGTACATGTCAGCCCAATCTGAGGTAATTGTCTACGTGAGGACGTACCGTATCCAGTGCATTTGCCACAGTCAATGGTAAGTCTGTAAGCGTCGGAGTCGAGCTCAATTTTGGTGGCCTTGTTGGTGAGGTTCACGTCACTAGCCGGGCTATCTAGGACTGCTGTGCACTGTAAGTGGTAACTGCGGGCACTTATAAGCTACCTGATCGTGGATCCGTGCCAGGGGTACCATTGTTGTCGGGATAAGACTGAAGAACGCTCAGCACGGGGATGAGGGTGGAAGTAAGTGCCCAGTCACACCTGAGCGATCAAGACGCCATATTCCGATATACCAGAGATGGTGTTCCTAAGGGGAGTGCATACCGTCGAGCAGTCAGACACATCGTTGGCGGTCTCGGAGACAGAGTCCACCGTGCAAGTAGCCCGCTTCGCGGTCTGAGTGCCAGAAGGCACAGCAAGGGCGCGATGAGCGACAGGGCACGAATAACACGATGTCCGAACATGATCCAAGAGACTGCGTGAGCCTGGTCAAATCACTGCGGCCGTCAGAGCTCCGGCGACATCCTATTTGTACTTTCAGAGGGATCAGTAAAAGCTCAACACTTGGGAAGGGATCAGGCCGTGAATCGCATACCACCGGGTTGGTCCCAGGCCATGCATCCCAGCAGACCGCGATGATCGCTCGAGCTGAAGGTGGAGGCAAATGGCGCGGGCCGGCGGGAAAATGACTTGAAGGTCTCCGGATGATCTTGAGGTTGTCTCAAGACAGTCCTGCCACTAGAGGGATCACGATGACCACTATGCATGCGTACCAACCTTCGGAGGCGGCGTCAATGATGGGACGAACATGCTACAGCCACGATCAACGGACCGTCCTGTTAGCTTTCTGTTGAATCCTGCACGAACCGACGGTCCGCGACCTCCCGATAGATGCGCATATGCCCAATAGCGCATGCAGACAATCGCGGTGAGGGAGTCGATCGTAGCCCGTAGCTCTCGCGCTAGGCAGCGTCGCATTCGAGCACGCAGTGTGAAGCTGGCGTGGTACTCTGAAGAATGGCTGTCCGAGGTTCAAGCTAATCCTGCAATACCGATTCAACACACGTGTGCAGAGATAGAGCTCACCCTTGTCTGTAAACTGTCACCGGACGAGCATGCCGCGATGCACATATGTAAATGCATCCGATTGCAATGATTGCGGGCTACTTTTGGTCAGTAACGGAGACTAATTGCGGCCCGGTGGACATACTGACCCACTCTGCTTACTGCTGCTACCGTGCAGGTCTGGATCAATCCTCGTCGTCATGGGTAGCATGGGAGAATCCCATATGGATCACCGAGCTCCTTCTCTCTTTCAGAAGCGCACTGGCAACTAATGCATGTGCACATACCATAGCGAAGGCACCAACGAAGGACAGGCTATCCATAGCCAATGCCATATTCGCAGACACCGGTCTGAGTTAGCTGCCTGTGCAACCTTCAGATTAGTGACTAACGGTCGAGGAACAGACGACACCACATACCTGCAGTGATGTGAAGAAGGCCTTTCCCACTAGCAAGTTTCTCGACTACAGAATTGTATACGGCGTAAGGCGACGCGACAGCGGGTATGCACTCAGTAATCCGGTCGTTACGATACATCAATATATACGATCACTGGTGAAGGGATTGCTACTGCGCGGACGCGACATCGAAACGGAAGAGAATACAAGGCTTACAGTAGGGATTGTGCGGTTACGGCAAAGCAGCAAGGGGGGCGAATACGGGTAGGGAACGTTGGGGTAACCGAGCTGCTGGGACAGGAACAGGGTAGACAAGGGGAAGGAAACACAGAAGAGACGAATCTCGACAGACCCGGCGTATTTACAATTTGGTCAGTCGACATAAGACACAGGATAGGATTCCAAACGCCAGGACGAAGGCAGCACATCTACAAGGGAACAATTTGAAAAACAGACACGTATGACAAATTCGTTCCAGCATAAGTAGGGGCGCGGAGGGGAGAGGGGGCATACAACCGCCATAGTGGACGCACCTCGCCACATGCGAGGCTGTCCGGCGGACCACAACACCTGTTGAGCTGTTACTTGCCGCCCTTCACCACGCCCTTCATCTTCCTCATCAGGCTCGTCTTCCTTCCCAGGCCGCCAGGCGAGCCGACTTCGATAGGACTATCGAAGTAGTCTCGCTGGGGCTGCGTCCTCGGAGGAGCCGGGAGGTCCTTGTCCGTGTTCACTGGCACAGGATCCTCGACGTAGACATAGCCGCCCTCCTCACTGTTAGGTGAGAAGTCGTCCTTTCGGATGTTCGCAGCGCGGCCGAAGCGGCCTAGGAACGACTGCTGGGGCCGGTGCGTCGGGCGAGCGCCATGGCCAGGGGCGGAATGAGTCGTAATCGAGTTCTCCTCGGTGGAGGAGGTGGGAGAAGGGTCGCGATCACCGACGGCCACCGGCACGTTTGGCGAGTCGCGCATCTGACGGATGCGGCGCATGAGCGACTTGCTGCGTTTGGGCGTTCCGTTGCCAGTGGGGGAGGGGGGTTCCTGCTGCTCGATTGGAACTTCCACCTCCCCATCCGGGGAAAAAATTGGCTGGGGCGGGGGGAGGTTGCCGCGCCTCGAAGCCTGGCGGCGAGCGTCAGGACGTTCATCAGGACGGGAACGGCCGCTGCGATCAGTGCGCTTCCCACCGCCGTTGCGGTTGTTGTACGAGGGGTATTCCGCGTTCGGCCTGGTTGCTCCACCGCCGGCCGAGAAGTCCTCGAAAGGTTCTGGCTCATGGATGCCCCAAGCCTCCGCAATAGCATCGTGTCGCTTCTTGGGTGCTTCGTACGGCACGTAGATGTCCGGAGAAGTGGGATATGGCGTGTCGCCGACGCGTGGAAGCTCCTGAGCTGCGGCGAGAGCAACCTTGTCACGTTCCGTGACGGCACTCCATGCCATCATTGGAGCCTTAGTAGAATGCTTGTTGCGCGACGGGGCACAAGCATCGAAGGGTCCATCATGGTGGAACACTTTGAATCGTGGTCAGCATCTGACCCATCGGCCAGCGTGGAATGGACGTACTGGGACCGACACCAGAGAAGTCAAGCCTATCAATGACATCGGCATGAGAGGAGCCCTTCTTCGCCTTGCCACGGGGGCGAGAGCCGTTCTTGTTCTTGTCGGCGTCGCGGTTGATCGTCTGGATCCCGGAGTCTTGGGAGTGCGAACGACGAGAAGCACCGGTCGAGGGCCGCGTTGGGCTGTTGGGTAGAGGTGAGGCAAGGGGAAAAATAGGGGTGAAATCATTAGTCCACTGCATAAGATAAGGGCTGGACGACGTACGCGGCGAGCTCTGTGTTGCTCCTGCCCACTCGATTGCGAGGGGCTTGATCCCCCGATCTTACTTGAACAGCGTCGCGGACGGCCTCGACGACGTTGTTGTCTCGGCTCATGTTCATGGGGACAGCGGGCTGAGCCCTCCTGATGGTGGATGATTTGGGAAGAGCCTTGGGCGGGGGCGGGGGCGCACGGTGAGAAGCGGACTGAGGGGGAGCGTTGCGAGTAAGGGTGGGGACACCGTACGCAGAGTAGGACGGGGTGTGAGAGTCGTTGAAGGGGTCAGAGGGCGTCGCTCTGTGGCGATGAGGTTTGGGTGCAACCTGCATGGCTAGAAGCGAGGAGCCAGTTCGAATGTTTGGTCAGGCGATAGGCTCGGCAACTTACCGCCTGTCGGACAGCTGTTGCCACGCGAAATCGATGTATGATAGATGTGATTCGACGAGTTCCTGCAGCCAGATACTGCGAGACGATGGGGGTATGAGAGGAAGTGCGATAGCGGGAACAGGACTGGGCCTACACAGCACCGTAGGCAGCGTTTGGCTGTCGTGGGCTCAGCGGGACTGGGGCATCCGGCGCTAACCCGAACAAACTCCACCAGTCAGCCGGCCCAAAATGGCAACTCTCCCAGCGCCTACCCCTGCCCGCCCCGCTGACTGCTGTCCAAAGCCTCCGCGCGCGGTTTCATAATTCATCACATTGCTCCATCATACCGAACAGGACATGTACAGCATCCACACACCGGGCAGTGTCCAGCGACGAACAATCGGATACGAGCTCGCAAACTGCCACCGCCCCATTCGAGCTCGGTGAAACTCCGAGTCGGGGCAGACTCACGCCCAGTGTTGTTAGGGTCACCCATGACCCCATTGACCGTTGACCGGGGTCAAAGGCATGACCCCAGTCAGACCCAGGTCATGACCTCGTTGACCGCAGTCAGTCAACGCGTGACGACAGCAAACACGTGAGTTAGATCGACGCGACGCGACGCGCCCGCGCCCAGACTCAAAGCTACGAAAATCAATGAAATAATGTTGTTATGGAGCGGCTGCTAGATACAAATCGTAGCTCTGTCTTGAATATTATACCTTCTCCCTTCCTGCCTCTATGATCCATGAATCACCCCTCGCGAAGTACTTCCACCGAAGTGACCACAACTTTAAGACAGACCACTCTCACAAGGAGGCGTGGTGCAAGGCTTGCGTGGCGTACAAAGTCCGCGAGATAAAGCATACCGAGCTTACTACAGGCCAGCCAGAACGGGGCGACGAGGACGTCGAGAAAGAAGGTATGGCAATTAGACAGTCGGATTTGAACATACCTATAGCTAACACGTCATCACTAGTCATGACCATCCATATCGAACCGAGGAGTAACAAGGTCGAGTGGTACCGGAAGCATCTTATCGAGCAATGTCCTCATGTGACCGACGAGGTGCGCGCGGAGGCAGTGGCAGATGCGGCGAGAGGGAAACGAAAGGCTGCGGAGACGAAGATGACGAGGCTTCAGCACGAGCTTAGCCAAAACGAGAACAGACCTGTTGCGTCCGGCCCAGTGGCAAGCCCTTTGTCCGCCCAGTCAAGTTTGTCGAGTATCGCGAGTGCCGACTCCGACGCGCTACTCACTAGTACCGTGACGGGCGGTCAATCGCTCCTAGCACCTGCGTCCGCACCAGCTCCTGAGGTCGATTACGATAAGTGGATCATGGCGGCAGAGTCAAGTGGTGGTATGCATGCCTGTGAGGTGTTCTGTCCTAGTGTACACACTCTGATATACACCCAATCTTGCAGATACCGAGCAAGCAGAGGCCCTGCGTTATGCTAAGCGCCAGCGGCTCGGGACCATCAACGGGACACCATTCTTCGGCGAGACAGTCCCGAAGTTGCAATCTTGGAACAACACGAGACAACGCGAGTTTTCAAGTGATCTGTGTTGTCTTCTGATTGCGTGCAACATTGCGTGGCACGCTGTCGAGGTCCCTTACTGGCAACACTTCTTTCAGAAGTGGGTCCCTGGTTGTCTACTGTTATGGCGCCTCACTCGTCGTGCCTCGTATGCGCTGCACCCAGTCTCTATTCAAGGAGATCTGTCTACAGAGTGCATACAAAGCGGTGACGAGGTAAAGGCTGAGGACTTGTAGGTGCACTGGCGCGCCATACGAGTCCTCGAGCAAACAAAGACAAACATTTAATGTAAGACATACCGTAACGGGAATATCCGTTACACCCTCCCCCACTGGACACGACCACGGGTCCCAGCAATAACCAGAGAAACAGATAGAAAAAGGAAAATGAAAGGAGACATATGCAACAACCCAACGGTGGTAGCAATTGGCAAACAAAGATGATGTTGAACTGTAGACAACGACATGTTAGATCGCGTCAGTGAGCAGACACAACCATTCATCATTGTCGTACATAACTCGACAAGGTTATGCAGGCCATAAGGTAAACTACTACTCGGACTCGGAGTAGTAGTCAGCATCTTCAGAGTTACCCTCATCTTCGGCAGATAGTGCAGAAGAGCTGAGGGTATCCTCCATCTCATACTGCTCATAGTAGTCAGAGACTACTACTGAGTTGGTCTCCTCAGACCCAGATCTTCGTGATTCCCACGAGCTAAGATGCTCGGACTCGGAGGAATACTCTGACTCAACATGGTCAGGGTACTCCTCACGAGTCATGGTACGAGGCTCCTCATCAGAGGAGTTGTACCAGTCGGACTCATCCACTGGTTGTTGACGAGGTGGTACAACAAGCCATCCCAGCTTGTTGTAGGCCCAATGTCGCACCATCTCCATAGGAAGTGGTGCAACAAGCCGAGGATCGAACTCGAGTGGAACCACTTCCAACTCCCTCTGGAAGTGGTCCCAGGCTCGACGAGCTGCACGAGAATATGTCCCCGGTCGCGGGGACATCTCCTCGATGGCATGCCCACAGCTAAGTGCTGACCTCTTGCAGTGAGCCCAGATGTCCCACTCGCCAACACTCGCCGCAACATCGGCCTCGTCGAAGTCGTGGTCAAGTTGGTCTGCAAGGAGGCTGAAGCATTCCTCGCGCGACCTCTTGTCACTCGGCCATCGACTCACATCAACGGTTACTGAACGATCCAGTGCGGTCGACACTCGGTTCAGTCCCAGTACTTCGCGGCGCGAGGTACTGGCTTCCCGAGTGATGTCGTGGCTGCGACGGTCACCCGTATCCTGCATTTCGAGTTGATCACTCGATGCGCGTGGTACAGGTGGTACACGTCTCGATGTCCGACGTGAAGCTCGTACGTCGATCACTTCGCTGGACGTATGGCCCGAGACTACATCTGGTCCCAATACACCATTGTATGATGTACTGGCCACTCGCGCCGTATCCTGCACTTCGCGCCGACTACTCGATGTGCGAGTAGCTGGTATTCGCGTCGAGTTCCCGTGGGTGGCCCGTACGTCAAGCTCACGGCTTGGCGTCCGTGTCGCTGCCGGGTCCGAGGCCAGTACATCTTCGTGTGATGTACTGGTTGTGTTGTGGAACGAGCGGCGGCCGTTCGAGGCCCCGCTCCCTTCCCCTCTCAAGAGAGTACCCCCTCTCGTAGAGGAGATATCTCCTCCTTGCGCTCGCGCCGGCTCGGTCTCGATACCATCAGTAGTCGTTGAACATCGCCGTTCACCTGAGTCCGATGAATCCAGCCCTCGCGGTGGATGTTCCTTCTTATGGGCGCGCGACGACGCCCTGGTCGTCGCGTCATTCGATGCGGGTGCATCACCCGGTAACCTGGATGTGCCTGCCACACCATATGGTCCAGGTAATTGTACCCGCGACGACGATGATTCGTCCTCGCCAAGGTTCCCTTGCCCTGGGACTACCGAGACCTCGTCAGTCCCCGTCCCTTCGTTTGACTGCGCTGGGTCCGGGAATAAGGCAGCACATCCATCTTGGATGTGCTCGGCGGTAGCTCCCGGTCTCGTTTGCTGGACGCACCAAGTACTTTGCAGTACTTGGGCTGGTGCTCGCCGTCGAAGACCACGGCCAGCTCACGTCGGTCTTGCTGAACGCGACGTGCCGGCAGCACGTAGCGTCCCGACGGTCGCCATTCAGACTCGTGTGCAGTCTGTCGTACGTCTACACTCGTAGACGTACCGGCTGACTGGCCGCGATTCGCCAGATTGAGCTTGTCCGTATCGTCATCGAGGTCTGTTGCAGTGTGACGCGGCGGTGACGCTGCAACAATAGGAGATGAGCTGGCGAGTACCGTGAGGTACTCGCCGTGGGCGGTAGCAAGGTCGCACCCTTGTGTGGCACCCTCAAGCTCGGTGCTTGACGTCGGTGCTACGCCCGCCGCGGAGAGATGGGACGCGCCAGTAGTGCCTGTGTGCACTCCGGACGCGTCGCTGTGCTTGATGGTAGACACGACGGTGTCCTCCTGTACGAGTAACGTACCACCGTCGGTCGCGACTACTGAGTGGGTAGTCGCGACGTACCCTGGTAGTGGTACAGAAATGGGGGGTGGTGACGGCGATGCGAGTACCGTGAGGTACTCGCTGTTCGATTCGCCACCGAACTCTTCGACGGAGGCGTCGAGCGAGAGTCCCGACGTCTGTGTGTGGACGCGTTGCGTGACCGTGCCGGTTGCGACCTGTAGATCGCCCCGTGGGTCGATCGTACCGTCGACCTGCGTGGTTGCTGTCACGACAACCGCATTGGTTGTCGTAGTCGTCACGATTGGTGGTGGCGGTGTAGGAGATGGTGGTAGAGGCGGGGGAGGTACATCCGGCATGGACGTACCTCTGTCTTTCGAGCTCGCAGGTTCGTCTCCTTCGCCTACACCGCACCCTTCCTCCCCTCCTCCTTCTGCCAGACCCTCCTCATCTGACTCCTCTGTCTCTGCACTCTCATCCACGTCCCCTCGTCCCCGGCCTGATCCGCCATCCGTCCTGCACTCGATCTCCGGAGTGCGCGCGCGACCTCCGACTCGTGGTGCCTCTCGTAGTCGCCACCGATGTCGGGAGCCGCGAAGGAGTCGATGGGGAGTTGGGTAGGGGTCCCTAGGAGCGAGCCCTCGACGAGAACTGTGAAGTTCTCGTCGGGTTGACGGTCGGGGTGCCGTTCTGGTCTGTCGGGGTCCGTAAGCGCCGGCCGCCGCACTGTTGGTAGTGCAGCAGTCGGGTCGCGATCTCGAGCTCGCGCGTCGCTCGAGACTACACGACTGTCGAGCTGCGCGATCGTGGGGCCGTCCGTGTCGCGGGGATAGTGGTGGTCGCTGAAAAAACCAAGACCGAGGTCCACCGTTTCGTCGAGTCGGTCGAGGTCGTATCGCGGGCCTGTCAGTTGAACCGCGAGATGTTCAGCTGTCTTGGGACTACCGGGGGCTTGCACTTCCGGTTGGGAGTGCACGTCTTCTCGGAAGTCGGCCGCGCGCGATCGGGGGCTGCTGGAGGTGTCGTCGAGGTCGTCCCACGACCTGGCCAGCTGAACCTCAGGAGGTTCAGCTATATCGGAGCAGCTGGGGGCCTGCACTTCCGTGAGGATGTGCAGGCCGTGTGGTGTCGCGGTTGGTCGAGCGATGTAGCTGCCGGACGAGAGGTCCGGAACGTTCGGAGACACGCAGTCCTTGGCCCCGTCTACGTCAAGCTCATGGCTAGACGCACTCGCTGCGCAGCGGGCAGACGAGGGAATGGATACGTCAGACATGCAGTATTGCATGTCCGCCGTGTCGCTTTGCAGAGAGAACGGTCTGGGTACGACCATGAGGTCGTCCCGTAGCGCGGACGCGCCGTCTTCATGGCCGACAACGCGCACGACGGACTTCACGTCCGTCGCTACGCTTGTTGGCGCGGATGCGGGGAAGGTAGGAGGTGTCGAGATGGATACGTCCATCAGGGGCGTACCTTCAGTTCTCGACCCTTCGTGCTGGTCGGTAGCGTGTACGTCGAGCATCAATCTCGGCGTACTCGCTATCCATCGGTCAGTGATGGGTGAATGGGGCCCGTCGGACGTGCACTGCTGCGCGTCCGCCGTGTCGCTTTGCGAGATGGGCGGTACGACCGCGAGGTCGTCCCGCAACGCAGGCGTGTGGCCTTGCAGATCGGCAGGCACGACCGGTAGGTCGTCCTGCGGCACAGATCTGCCGTCCCCTTGGCCAGCCACGCGTACGACGAACTCCTCGTTAGTCGCTACGCTTGTTGATACAGGTGCACACAAGGGGATAGGCGTCGAGGTGGATATGTCCGCCTGAGGCGTATCCGCTACTCGATATCCAGTCGCGGAATGGTGGGGCACGTCGGACGTGCGATACTGCGCGTCCGTCGTGTCGCCTTGCTGAGTGTATGGTACGACCGCGAGGTCGTCCCAGGGCGCAATCGTGCCATCTTGCAGAGTGGAGGGTACGACTGTTAGGTCGTCCTGCAGGGCGAGCCTGCCGTCTTCCTGACCAGCAACGCATACGGCGAACTTCATGTTCGTCGCTATGCTTGCTGGTGCGGACACGGGCGAGAAGTGAGGTATCGAGGCGGGTACGTCCATCTGGGGCGTACCCGTTACTCGACATCCGGTTGCGGAACAATGGGACACGTCGGACGTGCGGTATTGCGCGTCCGCCGTGTCGCTTTGCAATGTGAAAGGTTCAGGTACGACCTGGAGGTCGTACCGCAGCACAAACGTGCTATTTTGCGGAGAGGAAGATACGACTTCGCAGTCGTACCTGGTTCCGTGACCAGCGGTACGCTCGACGAACTCCGTGTTCGTCGATGCGTACGCTGGCGGGGGTACTGGCACAGGCGGAGGCGAGGTGGGTACGTCCAGCATGGGCGTACCTTCGATTTGCGAGCCTTCCTGCTCGCTTTCCCTGCTCGCCCCGCACCCTTCCTCCCTCTCTCCCTTCGTGCCTTCCTCGCACCCTTCTCGTTCCTTCGGGATTTCCTCGTCGCCTCCACGATCCGCGTTCCTCGTGGTCCGCTCGGTCTTGCAGCTCGGCGCTGGGCTTGAACGCGCGGTGTTCAAGTCCTGGGTCGCGCGGCTGGGTTGCGTGTCGCCAGAGCCGCGGTATTGGTTGCCAGAGTCAAGGCGCGAGTCGAGAGGGGTGAGGTGAGGAGCCGGGGAGGGAGGAATTGGCGGTCTGGTACCGTGAGGTACCAGGTCGTCGGTCGCCACTGACTGGACTGGCGGTAAGTCAGCCAGCCATTCGCGAACGCGAGTTCGCACTCGCGTTGGGGCCGCGCGCGCGTCTGGTTCGCCAGACGGGCGCTCGAGTTGGCTGCCCAGGGAGTGGAAATGGTCGAAGACGAGGGGTCGGTGGTGGCGGTCGAGCGCAGTGCGGTGGGCGCTAACGCTCGGGGCGCTCACCACTGGCACGGTCTCGTGGCGCTCGACGCCCGCAGGGTCGAGCGTGTCGTGCGTCGCGTCGAGCAATCTGCTCGGCGTGGCGCTCACGTCGTTCGACAACAAATATATATTTTCTGTGTCACGGCTCATCTCTGAGCGCGCGACGGGCGTGTCTACACGCGTGGGCTTGGTCCCACTGCACACAGTACTACTGTAGTACTGTGTGCCTATGCCCTCCCGGGTGCTGATACGAGTCAGCTCATTGCACTGCTCGTTCGACCCGGGCGCGAGCTCGACTACGGTTACGTCGTCGAGCTCGGTGCACTCACCACTCCTCCGAGTGGTGCCGATCTTCATCGGCAGGGTGGTAGCAGGTGGAGGGTCGGTCTCCGTGCGGCTCTGAGCGGGCTCGACATTGGGCTCGAGCTGCTCAGTGTGCAGTGCCTGTTCGACCTCACGGTCGGACGGCGCCTGCTCTGTGAGGGCTCCGGCTGAGTCCTCGCGGTGAGAGGACTCAGTCCGGGTGGTCTTCGTGCGAGAAGACCGACTGCGGCTGCTGGCCTCGGACAACGCGGCGTCGACTGTTGCCAGCAGTTCGGCCTCGAGTTGCTTGGACTCCTCGAGAGCCTTGTTGATCCGCTCTTGACTTGCGGCGAGCTTCGCTCGGACTTCCGCGCGCAACGCCTTCAGCTTGCTGCGGGTTCCACTGTGGGACCCGCGGCTGCCTCGGGAAGGTGCAGACGGGGTGTTGGTCGACTCGGACATCTTGTCGAGTTGTCGAGTTGGCCAGAGGATGATCAGAGTAGCATAGAGTTGTTGACGTCGAGTAGGTAGATATCGAAGTCGAGTTTTTGAGGTTGTTGCCTAGAATAGATCCCCAGAGTAGAAGCTTGTCTGGAGCGCAAAAAAGTGTAATGCGCCTCACTCGTCGTGCCTCGTATGCGCTGCACCCAGTCTCTATTCAAGGAGATCTGTCTACAGAGTGCATACAAAGCGGTGACGAGGTAAAGGCTGAGGACTTGTAGGTGCACTGGCGCGCCATACGAGTCCTCGAGCAAACAAAGACAAACATTTAATGTAAGACATACCGTAACGGGAATATCCGTTACATCTACTCCCTGGCCGGCTCACGTTGTCGGGTCGAGTTCTGGATGAAGAGGCAGACAAAGTGCTCACCACAATGAAGACTCGTGTCAAGGGCCGATTTGCCACAGGTCAATGTGATGCATGGAAGAACATCACCAAGACGTCCATAGTTGCATCAATGTTGAACGTCGAATACAAGGCACGTACCTAATATAGTAGCATCTAGTCCCGTTCTTTGCTGACCTGTGTTGTAGCCATACATTCTCAGTGCAGTTGATATATCTGCGAAGGCCAAGAACGCTGAGAATTTGCTCGAGATCGTCGTCAACGAGATCAAATACTGCCGTGACGTACTCGAGACAGTGGTGGTCGCATGGTGCACGGATTCGAGTGGCGAGTCTTTGAAGATGCGTCGCCTTCTTCGTGAGCGATTTCCTTGGATTGTGACAGTGGCGTGCTGGGCGCATCAGGTAACTTGTTTCGGTGTATGGATATTGAAATCCATGGCTGATACACTGCTGTCAGCTCAATCTCGTCGTGTCCGATTACCTCAAATTGAAGCTCCCGCATATCCGTGTTGTTGATCAAGCTTTGGAAGTGATCAAGTGGTTCAACAATCACAGTCGGGCTCTGGGGCTCCTGAAGGAGAAGATGATGGAGAAGCTAGCGAAGGTTTATGCGTTGATTTTACCAGTCATTACCCGCTGGACATCGCACTTCCTTTCATGCCGGCGACTGCTCCGCATCGAGAATGCCATGCGGACCCTTGTGTTGGACTCGCGCGATCAACTGATCGTGTGCGCGGGCGATAAGGTCGAACTGAAAGCGAAGGCGACTGAGATCCTTGATCTCATCAGCGAGCCGTCTTTCTGGCGTAACCTTGCAGAGTACGTCAGCTAATTAACCCCTAAAAGTCCACATGGATGTCAACTTGAACTTACATTCACGTCCATTTCCCAGGATCGAAAAGTCACTTCGCCCTCTCGCCATCGCGACTTATGCAACTGAAGCGAATAATGCCCGCTTGGACATTGTCTTGCTGACTCTTGGCCACCTCTACCACATATTCAGCAGCCTGGAGTACGATGCTGCTGCACGCGAGACAATCCGCAAGAGCCTGGAGAAGCGCTGGAAACAAGCCGATCAGGAAGTCTTCGTCCTTGCGGTTCTCTTTAACCCTTACCTGCGGCGAAAGGCCTTCAACCCAGACAACGCGCTTTTCACCGAGGCGTCACTCTGGGGAATGGTTGATCGATGCTTCCGCCGCATGTTTCCTTCACCAGAGTACGCACCACCCGATTACGAGATGCGCCGTGCATTTACAGATTATCTGACTGGGCTCGGGACCTTCTCCGACGAGGCGATGAGCCTCGAGCTCCTGAAGAGGATGGCAGATGCAGAGGTAAGTACCTTAGATACTGCGTATGTTGATGTTCCTGTTGGACTTAGATTGGACACAGAAATCCTTTGTCGATCTCGTCAGTGTCTGGCGGTCGTGCTGGACTCCTGGAAAGACAACAGGACCCGAGGGACTGGTTGTCCTTGCTATGCGGATACTCAGCATTGTGCCCAACTCTGCCGCGACGGAGCGGCTCTTCAGCTTGATGGGTACAATACATACCGATCGACGCAATCGTCTCGATGCTGGAAGGGTTCGCAAGATGGCCTTGGTCAAAGGTGACATTAATACACAGTGGCCTGCGAAGGAGCGCAAGAAGCGTCACACTTACGAATGTTCCACCACCGCATCCGCATCATCTGCCGCCGTCTCGTCCACAACCACATCCGAGTCAGCAGCACCGCCAGCAAACAGCGACGCGAGCTCAGGTCCAGGCCGAACCGCCGACTCCGAATGGGACACACCCCTTATTACCTCGTTCAGCGCTGTCGCAGATGAACTCTCGCACGAAGCGGAGGAGCATGACAATGCGACTCGGAGTCTCAGCTCGCAGCCACTGGTACCCGGCAGTAGTACCGGCGACGGCGCGGCTGCCACCACTTCGAGCTCGGCACCGGTGGGTGCGGCGTTGCATGGTCGCGAGAGGCTTTTACTATGCAACCTATTCCTGAAACCGTCGGACCCCCATTTTGTTCAACTGAGTAGCTATTGCGCTGGCTTCTGGCAGCAAGCCGAAGCGAGCCTAGATGTAGAATCCGACCTTCAGGAGGTCCTTATGTCAGAGCCCCCAGTATCTTCCGAGTTGTGATCTTTCATTGCATGTGCATAATTCTGAAGTACCTGACAACTAGTGCTAATTGTATTTTTCGTCTCTGGTTCGATATGAGCCTCAGCGGTGAGCCTATCGTCGCCATTGACCGAGGAGCTTAGTCATCAGAGATAATTCACAGGGTCACGCATTGACCTTGACCGCGGTCAACATGACCTCGGTCAGACCCTGCTTGACCTCGGTCAGACCGCGGTCAGACTCGGGTCATAACAACACTGCGAGTCACGCCTCCTCCTGCTCCTGTGATCAGCCGAGGTGATCCACACGAACCAGACGGTGGTCCAGACCTCGCGGTCGAGGGCCACCAACGATCACCCAAGCGATCACAGCCAAATCTGCTTCGCAGCTTCCACGACCAGCTCCAGCTTGCGTCGTTCCTCCTGTACATCGACGTCATATCGTTGAGATCGACCGCTAGAATGTAATCGACTGCGCATGGAACTCACCTCTTCGCTCAGTGGGTTGCCTTCGAACACGGACGCAAAGCCACACTGCGGGCTAAGGCAGAGTCTAGATCCATATGTCAGCGCCCATGCTCCAACGGCGGTACATTTTCCGCTTACTGGTTCAGTGCGTCCTGTCTCGACCGCTTCGGCGTTCCTCGCGAGACTATCTCAGCAGCCTCCTCAACGCGTGCCTTGAGTTCCGAGATGCTCTCGAGCTAGTTATCAGACACCCGCATGAGTTCACCGACGTCACACGGCCTGTACATTGCATGTCGAAAAAGCGCACCTGAGACACCTTCGTTGACACAAGCCCTAGCACGGCAACCTTGTCGGGCGGCAGGAATCGTAAGGGCTCGAACCCTCCCGAGCGTTCTGTGTCGTACTCCAGCTAGGTTACTCAGCGTTCAGTCACAATGTCTGCGGAAGCGGTGATTGGACGACATACATAGTAGCAATCGACGTCCAAATTACGGAAGTACTTCTCCGCTATTCTTTCGAGGCTACCTTCGCTGTAATGCATCCCCTTGAATTTTTGCCATGAGCATCAGAACAGCGGATGATTGACGATAGCGAAGCGCACACCTTGTAATTGCCTCTGCAAGTATGGATGCCCACCATCAGGTCGCCTGGACGCTCCGCAAGGATATCGTTATAGATCGTAATGTACATATCCAGGAGAGCTTCATGATCAACGCCAGCCTGCTCCATGCCGGCGATCATTGATTCCGCACAGAAGAAGGCAAACGTCGGGTCATCGAATTGGATGTTACGACACCCCAGTTGATACAGCTCGTCAATTTCCTCACGATAGGCCTTGATGAGGTCCTCGAAGTACTCGGCTAAGTGTCTATGTATTCAACGGTGCACGTGTCCTTGCTAGCGACTTACCGTCGGTCGCATAGACAGATTTGTCATACGCGTGTTCTGAGCCATGGCGGAGGTGCATCCACGTAGGGCCGCAGATAGTTATTTTGAGGTATTTGACATCCTTATCCTGGCTGAGAAGTTTGTGAGCACCAGACGTGTTGAGATACTTACCTCGGGGGAAACGAGGTTTTTCAGAAACTCGAAGTCCTCAGTATGGACCCCCTTGGTCCTCCTGATCTTGCCCTGACGTCACAGAAGCATCAGGATGGATGGATCTTTATCACGCACTGGACGCGTCGCTCACAGTCGTGTAGATCGATGGGTACTCGGTGAGTCTCATCATGTGAAAGATGGCCACGTAGGGAAGATATTCCTATACAAAAGACATGAGTGGGTGCATAAGGAACCGGTATTCAGTCTGCGAGACGTTACCTTGAATGTGGACAGGGAACCTGGGGAATCTACGTTAGATAGTGCTTGCACAGATCCTCATTATCCTTACGCGCAGGAATGACCGTCATCCCACCCAAAGTCTCGAACATGCCCTGATAGAATGCGCCTCTGCGAGCGTGCATGAGCGGCGCGAAAGTCAAATACAGCCTTACTTACCTTCTCATCTCGCCGTCAGTTATGCTCTTGATTCCGGCCTTTTGTTGTAATCGCACAATCGCAGGGATACTCTCGTCCTCGACGATCTTGAGTTCTGTGTGGCTGCATTTCTGGCCTTCATACTCAAATCGTTTCGCCACAAGCTTCTGCGGGCGGAGGAGCGAGCCTATGTGCTCAGCGCGGCAAGGAGGGTTGAGATGCAAAGACATCGGCGCACGGTCAACGGGGAAACGCTACAGATTGACCGCAGAAGCATATATACTCAATGAGAAGCCGTAAGCTTCGCGATAATCGGCTCCGAGCAGCGATGTGGGTCCCTTCAAGGGAAGGGAGACTTGCCGCATTTCGGGCAAGCGTAACCAGTGGACCCTGTGTTCAATGAGACCGATCAACCCAATTGATATAGGCCACTCATGCTAGAAGCAACGCGGCCGGAGGAATCGCCCGAGCGTCGCGGAGACCTTGAGGAGAGCGCAGGTGTCTGGGCCGGTGTTTACGGACAACTCTGCCAGTTTTTGGCAGGAGAGAAGCCTGGCAGGGCACCCGGAGACACAGAGATTGTCATGAGGGCGCATGTCGTTGGCAGGGGAAGGCAGAACGTGAGAGAGGAGGGCGATTGATGACAAAATATGCCGGCATACACGATGCCCGCGCTGGTTTTGGACGATGGTTAGCGAGCACGCTGCCGAACGCGTGCACAATGATTGCCACGTACCACAGAATGAGCTTCATATATAACATCGAGGGGTATCGTAAGCAATGCAAAGCTAGGACTTAGCTGGGGATGCATAGACAAAGAATGGAGCCGGTGGCTCGTTCCAAGACTGATAGGATGCTCTGGAACACTCACTGTCACACAGAATACAGTACTCGGGCCCTGCAAGGCCGCCACACAGGCTAAAGACGCTAGCTGGGGATCATCTATTCGATGAAGTGAATGGCTCCAAGTACTCCCGTCGGTGGCTAGTAGCCCTTGGGTAGACCCTAAAGAAGACCTCTTCGACGGAGGGAAGACGGTCTTCTATGTATGGGTCGGTGGCAGCATTGCACCAAGGTCCAACGTGACCGATTGAGTCCAGAGGAGTGGTAATAAACGTCGTATGCTGCCGCAGATGTTTATCGGACAGTCTGTGTTCTGTAGAGGCGGAACGGCAACTCTCGAAGACCTGGTGATTCGCAAGGGAGGCGATGTATTCAAAGACCAAGCTGCAAGGCAGGCACTCAGCTGGTTAGAGTAGCGATGCCAGTAGCGCCCATAGCCACATGGCACCGTTGAGGCGCCGACACAACCCCTCGCGAGTTGCCGAGGCAGCAAACCGAATCCCTCAGTGTTGCCCGACGCTCGTCAAGACAACCCCCCTCAAGGTCTGTATGCCCCTCTGCCGTCTGGAAATGTGTCAGGACGTATCTACGACCACTGCTCGTACGGCCTGTGCAGTCGAAATGCCGGTTTTCGCGCAGGAAAGTGGTGGATCGGCCGTTCAAGCAGTGGATGTAGTGACGCCTGGCATTTCTGCGACTTCTCTGTGAACCGTTTTCGCTGATTGTATCCATTGCTCTCCAGAGTAAGCCATGGGTTTCGCGCACAACAACGGTTCGTTCGTACCATTGGAGTCACAGATCGCACATCTATAACGTTGCATCTTGCAGTCCTCCCCGATAACCACTTCCGCAAGGACTGGCAAACCCGCGTCCGCACCTGGTTTGACCAGCCAGGGCGCAAGCTCCGCCGCCGCCAGGCTCGCAAGACAAAGGCTGCCGCCCTTGGCGTGCGCCCGCTCACTCTCCTCCGCCCCGCCGTCCGCGCACAGACCGTGCGCTACAACCGGAAGGTCCGCGAGGGCCGGGGATTCACCTTGGGTGAGCTCAAGGAGGCCGGCATTGGCAAGAAGGAGGCCCGCGGTGTTGGCATTGTTGTTGATCACCGGAGGCGAAACCTGAGCGAGGAGGGCAAGGCGATCAACGTCGAGCGTCTCAAGGCGTACAAGGCGCGCCTCATCGTCTTCCCGCGCAACGCTAAGAAGCCCAAGAAGGGTGACTCCACCGTGCGTGTCTTTTGATCAGTATTGGGATTACGTGAATTCATTGTCTGGTTTTAGGGCGAGGAGCTCTCTGCCCCCACGACCCGGTCCAACCTCTCTCTCCTCGACCCATACGTTCACGAGGCTCCCCGCCAGATCACCGACGAGGAGCGCGAGTTCCAGGCGTACCGCACCCTCCGCCAGGAGCGTGGGCGTGCTCGCAACGAGGGTCAGCGCAAGGTGCGGGAAGCTAAGGTGAGTTGTTGAGTATATCCACCGTCGGCACGTCTAATGTCAAGCTATCACTCTACAGAAGGCTGAGGAGGAGGCAAGCAAGAAGAAGTAAATACTTGCTTTCGTTCTGTCGCACATCTCGTCCTCGCTCCCTTCTCCTTTGCACCGATGTACTCAAAAACTGGCGACGCCCGGGGATATTGCATTACATGCCTTATGCACCAATTATGACATGCTCTTGGTGGAGTGTACCGATTGCATTCTCCGTGCTCTGGTTCATTCGCATGATGCCGCTATGAGATGAGTTCTCTACAGCGACTGTACACGATGTCCACACCATACTACGGTCAATTTTGGCCCTTGATGGCCTCCTGAATTTCCGCATCCGCAACCATACCCATAATCTTCATCTGATCCGAGACTGACTTCAACACCCCCAAGACATCTCCATTGCCCTCCACGAAACCAAACTCCGCGTACTCCAAACTCTGCTCCTTGGCGTACGCCTTCACGAGCTCGCTGGCCTTGCGCAGATTGTGTCTTGGCAAGCGGGGGAACATATGGTGCGTCACTTGGAGATGGAGGCCACCATGGATGAACTCGATGGACGGGGAGCAGATGACGTCCACGGTCGTCCGCAGCTGACGAGCGAAGAAGGATTCGGTGACTCCCAGATCCTCCGTTGAACGCGAGAAGTGGGATAGCACGATCTGGAGGGGAATATGCTCAACCCAAGCCGTGGTCATTCAACTATGCAGATGCTCACCTGAACGTGGACTGGGCTAGCGGCAATATGGCTAACCAGCAGGTAGAGTAAAGTCTTACGCCAGCTCCCGCACCCGCCGAGAACGGACAGGAACCAGCAGTAGAATAGGCCAAGGCAGAAAATCTCGGACCACCACCACCAGCGGCCACCCAGAGCGCGCTTTGGCTCAAAGGCCGTCTTGGCAAGGTAGGTGTAGGATAGGGCGTAGAGGTTGAACCGAGCCAAGGACAGCACGGCGTAGTACAGCTTGTGCTGGACCGATATCAACACCTTGCTGAAGTAGTCGAACACCATGACACGCTTGTAGTACGACGAATACAACGATTTGAAGAATACGGGGGTGATAGCGAAGAATGGTATGTGTTGGATATCGGGGTCGCTAGTTGCACATTCGCTCAGGGATTGTGGTACACTCGCATGAGGAGCGACTCACTGAGTAGGATGGTTCGTGACCACTTGTAAACACTGATTGAGCATATGGAGCGCATCTGCGTCAAACAAAATACCACTCACGGTGATGAACATTATGATTCTGAAGAATAGGTCAGCTCCTTGCGCTCATTCAATACATCACAGGCGCACTTACATTGACCCACCACCCGATACTGAGTCCACCGAGGAAATCGGCGACGAAGATGGCAATAAGTCGATCGTATACCCAGTTGTGCGTTACACCAACATGACCGAGGTCGTGGGCAAAGAATGTGAGTTGCTGCCAGAAGAATCCAAGGCAGAGGGCGCTCGGTACAAGCCAGCCTTTAGAGTAGAAGAAGGCAGCCAAGGCAGCGAGAAGGCTATATCTTACGACCTCCGGGCCATACCCAGTAAGGAAAGGCGTCTCGTAGAGACCTGCCTCCACAACACGCCTATGGAGTTCCTTGTATGCCGCCGAATGCTGAGCCTGCAACTTCGGGGTGAGTGTGGTGGGTGGAGGCTGGAGTGTGGAAAGTGAAGGGCCTTGCGTAGTCGTTGCGCATTCGTCTCTTTTGACGAGTAGAATTTCGGACGCGGGTGCAGAGGGCGTATGTTCTGAAGACTTGAAAGCGGTAGCCTCGTTATACCATTCCGATTTCCCTTCTGCCCCAAGCCTTCTAATCCAACCGTTCATGATCGGCGGGACCAGAGGAAGCCACCCACCGGTCCCGGTCTCCACGGTTCCGACGGCATAGCCCTTCATCCTCTTCAGCGTTCCTTGAGAGTGAAACGCGTCGACTTCGTCCGTGGCATCGCGGCCAACGAAGTGCAGGATTGCAAGAGCGCCGCCGGGATGTGATGCCAGCCAAGACTGAGGAACGCGAATGACTTGATTGTCGAGAATGACAAGTGTCTCGCCTGCGAGAATGCGAGCGGCGACTTGGTCGCGAGTCCAGAGGGGCGACGGGATACCCATCGCAGAGCCTGAGTAACTCACACCATCAACTGCGACCACGGCGTATATCGTCTCACATGGGCGCCAAACAGCCACCAATTCCACATATGCACAAACAAGCGCGGTGGCCTCGACAGATCGGGAACTCGAACCTCGTTCGTCCTCTCGCCCTCAAGCCCGCGCGAGACCCTCTCCTCCATAGGGTGACACCTGCTGTTCAAGGCGCGCCGCTGGGCGGTGAAGATGGTCAAGTATATCAAAGCCAAGGCTCCCACTCGGCGCGAGTTGCGCGTCGCAGAAAGGGAGGCAAAGAGGGCGCGTCGCGTCGGCCAGCGATCACCCAGACCCAGGTCGCCGCATCGGACCCTCTCTCGGACCAGTTCTTTCGCAAACTCATTGAATGAATTGGATGGGAACGTGTCACCAATCTTGATTGTGCGCTCGCCATCGCCTGGCGGCTCACCTAGGCGCAGGGGCATATGGTCGCGTCCAGGCTCTCCCACCACAAGTCATCACTCGGACCACCGGTAGGGTGTCTTCATGAACTTCTGTGAAGGTCTCTGAAGGTTGTTTCAGCTCTTCGCAGAGCCTCAAGCTGATGGCGAACTGCATTCAGTTCTGTAATGACAACTTGGAGCAGATGAGGCAAGTAAGCCAACGACTAGAGGTGTTACGAGACAGACCTCCGTCTCCGAGCGCTGTGACCTCTCCGGACTGGAAGCGGCGCAGCCACTTACTGCGGAAGAAGCACGCAGGGATCACGCCTCCTCTGTCGCCGTCAAGCTCCTTTGGGCTTCTCCAGACTAGCTCGGTGCTTGTGAATGGGGAGCGTTCTTTGCATGTCCCTACTGTGGATGACAAGTCTTCTTCGTCCGGCTCTGCGGACACCGGAAATACCTCTGCCCCCCTGGCTACCAAGGCTGCTGAAGGCGCAATCCCTGCTGTTGCTTTGTCGAATAATTCATCTCGAGTAGCTCCACAGTCTACTGCGTCCAAAGTTCTGGCATCGCCTTCGAAGTCTGCCGACATTATCAAATCCTGCGACGCACGCCCCGCTATACCCGGCTCGGGCGCTCCTCCGCGGCTTCTAAACCCCACCAGACGGTCGTCATCAAGTTCGCTATCTTCTAACTCTGCTGTGCGACCGACTACTACTACTACGTCTATGGCCACGGAGTCTGTTTCGCCGCTGAACTCGAGCTCCAACAGGCGGGCCTCTAAAAAACTCGATCATCGGCCAGTCACCGCAGCACAGGAGCCCAGGGCCCGCACAGTCTCTGGCAGTAGTGCGAACGGCACTCGATCATGGCCCAGCCTCCCTCCAACTTCCGCGCGTGCAGTCGCCGGTGCTCGTGTTCCTATTCGGCCTGCTAATGCGCGACTCTCGTGTACTGCGGATTCCGACGCAGTCAATCGTCCTCGACTTCCCTCTGAGCGCAGCATTGTGCGAACGACTACTGTGACAGCGCCCAAGACCGCTGCGGTGCCTCGCTCTCGGGTCTCAAGCGCCAGTTTAGTGTCCGAAGTTCGTCAGCCGTCTTGTGCTGCTGGAGGAAATGATGGCGGTGCAGCTGGCCGACCGGTTCTCTCTGGCACTGTGTCTGTTCCTAGGGTCTCTGGTGCGCGCACTCATGCTGGGAAAGCCACCGACCCGTCGAAGGTTTCTCAGGTGTCTAAGGTGTCCGCTGTCCTCGCCGAGGGTATTACCAGTACCTCGTCGTTGCAGGCTTCTCGTCAACTGGCTTCCCGCCCTTTGTCGAGCAACTCACAGGCACCCGCCGCGTCTGCACGTCCACGTTCAGCAAGCGGTACTCCTAGGGTTGCCCCTCCGGCCAACGCCCAATCTCGCTCTGGTGTCCGCCTTTCGCAATCGAGTTTCTCTGGTCCTACTCCCTGCACAAAGCCTGGTGATAGGATGAGAACAAGAAGTGGCCCTCAGCCTCTGACCAGCCCCCTAAACGGCAGCAACTTATCTCAGCCTGCGCCTGTTGGCGCCACGGCCAAAGTCTCTTCAACGGCTAGTTCAGCATCGCGGCCGCCATTGACAGCAACTCGCTCTGAGTCTGTAGCTGGGGTTTCCTCGACTGTTCTTGATCGTACGCGGAAGAACAGTAGCTCTGCTAGGCCTGCTGGTGATGCGACTAAGGTGGTACTGGACGATGTCGATGGCCGCGGCGGTCACCGTACAAGGCAACCTTCTGGCCCTAGATCGAACACAGGAACTTCCAGCGCAAGTGGGCACTCTGGCCAAGACAACGGAACCTCTCAGGCATCCAGGTCTACGGGTAAGGCTCCTGTTTGCAACGTCAATGTGAAAGTTGGGACCATTCAGGCTCCACCGCCGCCATCACAGATACGTGGGGGCGCGAAGCCCGCTTGGGAAAGCACTCAGTCTTCCGGGCCTCAGCGAACCACTTGTTCTCCTGCCAGCTCCTCTACCGTCGCAGAGAAAGCTGCGCCTTCTGTCGCTAGTACACGAACAGGCCGACCCACCTTATCGCAGAACAGGACCGGACCACGGGTTTGCCCTCCCAGATTCACACTAGTTCGCAATGTACCCTTGCCTCGTCGCCCAGTTAACGCGGCTGCGCCGACAAACACTCGCCGCCGAGCATCTCGCCCTTACCATCAGGCCCACAGCAAATCAGGCGCCGCCGGTTTTACAACTGCAAGCCCGGATACACCTAGGGCGGCATCAGGGTCGGTGGCAATACAGCAGGGCAACGCAAGAGTTTTACCTGGGGTTTCGCCTTCTGACGTTCCCCGGGAGACCTGCGCTAAAGCCCGGGCACCCACCAGGACGCGCAAGATGGATACGTTCGACATGGCGGAAGTCAAGGCGTGTCTCTTCGGACATACTGTGACGACTGGTCCTCCGCGTGCTTACACATCTGCTCTTCGCTTGTGGCTCGAGCTTCTTCCTGGCGTGAACGCTCTCTTCAAAGTGCAGGGCTCCTCTGTGGTCGCGGACTTGGAAGCAAAGCCCCAGGCGTTCGCTGTGCGTAGGCTCAGGGACGCCTCTCCTCCTTCTCGCACTGCAATCAAGGCATTCCTGAAGAGCAGGCCTGTCCCTCAAATTGCCCTCGTCATCTCGCGGAGGTTCTCTAGCATCCCTGTCGAGCGAGTCATCATGGAGATTATGCCCTCGCCGGAGCCCCCGCAAACGGCTTGGTCGCCTGCTGGGTCTCCTCGCCCGGTGCCGCGCTCACCGGTGCTAGCTTGGTCAATGCCTACCGTGGTCGAAGACGTCTTCTTACCTGGCGGTCCCTTCATAGAAATGACGGAGGAAGAGAAGCCCCTCATGCCTGTACACGGGGTGCAGAAGCTGCGCAAGCAAAGCCTGCAGAGGGTCCTCGCCCGGATGTCTCGATTCGGTACTCCGGCTCGTGGGTCTCATCTCATGCGTCCTTTCATCGGTGCATCGAGGATGGATGCGTATCTGTCGGCTCTCGAGGCGCAGACCTTCGACGTGAAGGGCCCCGGAGGACGCAACTCCATCGGACCAGCCACGCACACACGTCGGGCTCTGGTCAGGATGCTGAAGACGGCGTGTCGAGCTGCCTGTCGGAACGCGACGAAGCTGGTTCTCAGCCCGTGGAGACTTCTGTTGCGGGTGCTCTTGCGCAAGTGACAGAGGATCTCTGTCATGCACTGCATGGCGGTTGGATGTTGAGCTTGCTTCCCGAGTTTGGTTATTGTGTTAGGTTGATCACGGTGTTTCATTGTCGATCCTCGGCCAGCCTTGTCCTCGATTGTGTAGTTTGACTTCTCGATGTGTGATTGCATCACTGTACAGTGTATCATTCCTATGTATGTTCACGGTTCACCAAGCTTTACCGTGTCTTCTCCCGATACGGGGCGAGTGCTGTGGGGGCTTTGGTAGTGAGATCTGTCAAACAACGCGTGGGCCACTCAAATTCAGCAAACAGCCCGAGGCGCCGGCAACGAGCAGCGCCCAGGCTGTCGTATTGGCAGGCTCGTCCCTCCCACCACTCGGTCTCCTCCCATCGTTGTCTCACCCGTCGTCTTCGTCTCCCTCGCTCGCCCGGCCTCTGAGCCTCGGCCTAAGAAGTCGTCGATTCCACAGGGCCTCCGTCTTCCGCTTCCTTCGGTCCACGCTGCCTCTCAGCCGTTCTTAGCTTACGCGCCCGGCCATGCAGACGCGATTATCATTCCTGCTGGCTGTAATATCCCTCGGAGTACCTCAAGTCTACGCATCTAATTTCACGTTCTCTTATGGCAACGCATCGCAATGCGAAGACTTCAACATTACCTGGTCTGGTGGGTCGTGGCCGCAGTGCGGGTCATGACCGTGTACTCACTGGTGGCGTCGGTATACAGGAGGCACAGCACCCTACGAACTTACTATTGTACCTGTAAGCATGCTCGTCGACGAAGCTTCCCTTTGAGCCCACTACTTACGCGTGGACAGTCGTTCAACACGCCCCTCACGTACTCGATTCCGTCATCGAGCTACAGCAATAATCAGGGATCCTACTCATTGCAGCTTACGGCAAATGCGAGCGTCCAGTTTGTTGCTGTGATGTCGGACGCCTCAGGCTTTGGGACAGGCGGGGTGTCGGACGTTATCACAGTCGGTGCGGGCAGCTCAGGATGTGATAGGTCATGGCAAGGTAAGTACTGTGTACACCCCGACCACTTCCCTAGCCGCATACTGAGGCCCTTGTATTGCAGTTGTCGACTTCTATTACGACACCGATATGGCTCTCAGTCAATGCCGGTCAGTAAGAACACCTCGACATCCACGGTGGTGCTCATGTTATGTATAGGACATACTCATTCACCAACTACACGGGAGCGGTGCAGCCTGTGTCCATCACAGTACGTGGATTCTTTTTCGTGGCATTTGCAGTATTCTGTGAACTGGTTGCGATTTCTAGGGTCTCGTTCCGGGAGGTACGACCTTCGTACTCAATCCGCCCAAAGGCCCGACAGACTTCGAATGGATCGCCGACGTCGCCGCCGGCACAGGTCTCATATTCTTCATGGCCGATTCAAAAGGCCACTCTGGAGGAAGCACACAGCTGGATACTGTCGGCTTGTCCGGTGATCCAAGCTGTCTGACGGGCGCCTATCCTTCTTCACTGTCTGTTCATCCATCCAGTACCGCTACAAGTGCTCCGGCGTCCGGGAACACGGGCACTTCGTCACCAACTGGTGCCATCGTCGGTGCCGTTGTCGGTGGTCTTGTAGGCCTCGGTCTCATTGCTGCGGCTGTCTTCATCTATCTACGAAGAGAACGTCAGAAGGGACGTTACGGTCAAGGCGGAACCTTCCCGTACCGAGGCACAAGACCCCAGAAAGATGAAGTCGACCTTGCTGGAGACGACGTACCTCCTCCGGATGTTGTCCAGCCATATCCCTACTTCCACCCCACCGGCAGCGTCCACTCGCAGGGACAGCAGTCGATTCGCGGCGCATCGATTGGCGGCGCACAATCCACAGTGAGTCTTATGCGCCCGATGAGCTACGCTGAGTCACAGGGCTATGCACACCCCGACCAGTACGGCCAAGGCGTCGCTACACACTCGCGCAACACCTCCCTCATGGACGGCGCGTCCGCGTTCGCTGGTACCCAGGCGGGCACACGCGACAGCGGCATCTCGCGCTCGCAGACCCAGTCCCAAATACAGTCCCAAACACGGTCCAGAACTCAGTCACAAACTCTGTCCCAAGCCCCATCTCAAGCCCAGTCTCAAGCCCAGTCTCAAACCTTCTCGTCTGCGTCGCGGCGAAAAGCAGCGATGGCAGGCATCGGCCCGTACCAGTCCGCGGCGCCGCGCTTCATCTTACACACGGACGCGGAGGACGTGGTTGAGCTCCCCCGCAGTACAGCGCCCTTCGTGCGCCGTCCTCTTTGAGCCAAACGACAGACTCGGACGACCGCAGAGCGTCGGGGTCCGGGACCGCCTCCACTACTTATCCCCCACCGCCCATCTCCATCCCTCCTGGAGCTGCTATGCCGGACTCTGCAAGACCGCCGTCAAGCATCATCGAGGAGGACCACCCCCACATGGGCTTGCCGGAGCCCATGGCGCCGTCCTCCACACGGTCGCCTGTCCCCGCACCGCCGTTCCCCGCACCGCCGTACGTCTCGAACCCGACATAGCTTGCATCCTATCTATCCACCCCGTCGGACTGTGTATATCTTACACGTACTCACCCATGACCGTGCATATTTAAAACGGACACTGTCGCCGCGCTGTACCTGTCGCACACCCTCCCGCTCCCGTCTCCGTCTGGCGCTCTGGCGTGCTTCGTCTTCTGACTTCATACCTCCCCAGAGTCGCGTCGCATCCTCTACGTCGTTGGGCCCCTTCTTCTGTGTCCATCTATCAGCACGATACATTCCTTACTTCTGCTTGCCGTTCCTTCTGTCTGCTGTCAGCATTCGGTAGATTTTTTTTGTCTGTCTAGGGCAGTGGACCTTCCCGAATCCCTCCCTGGTACCTGTCGTTGTTGCGCCTTGCGCGCACGCTCGAATCTGTAGCGAATGGAGTTCCTCGACTATGATGCATTACAGGCTTAGTGAGCCCGATCTACGAGTGCGAACGACATCGAGACGAAGGTATACTCCGTCGCGGCAGTCCAGGCATCAAGATGTAAGTAGCGAGGGATATGAGAGATGGAGAGGCTGAGAGATTGAGAAGCAAATATGATGAGGAGGATGAGACAGACTCTGCGGTGCTACTAGAGACAGTTCCTCTGGATACATATGCAAGTGGAGAATAAGCAGAGCAGGCGTACAGTGCGTCGACGGTGGACAGAACGGATAGTATACATTTACACAAGGCTCTTGGCTTCTGCGCGCACCGGTGACGGCGGTCGCCAACGGCGTCCGCACAAGTCGACATCACTGTTGGACGGCGACGGGCTCCGCGGCGGCCATAGGTTGGTCCGCGGGCGTCGAGTCGAGCCCGGTGCGCTCCAGCGCCGCCACGAGGTTGTCTGTATCCTTGCGGCGCCTGTGACGCTTCCTGCGGTCGTCTTTTATCATGCGCGCGATGAGACGACGGTGCGAACTCTGCTGAGAAGAGTTGGAAGAGAACCTGCGCGAGTCACAGGTGAGCTCGATGCTGGCGAGCAAGCGGAGGGTCTCCGAGTTGTTCTGAGCCTGCAGAGACGGAGGCGAACGTAAGGCAATTTGAATTGACATGTATGAGTGATAGATAATACGTACGTTGAAGGACCATGAGACCACACGGGTGCCCTCAATGCAACCTACTACGACGAAGTTGCCGCGCTTCTCAGCCTGAAGAGGGGCGTCCTGCGGGGCTGTCTTACTCATCTGGTGTGGCCATCAACAGGCTGACAACTCACCTCTCCAAAAGTGGTCATGATCTTGCGGGAGGCAGCAGAGCGTACGACTGAGTGTAGTGATCACAAGTGAGCTAAGGTTCACTTGGAGGTGGGGCCACCTACCGATGCGCGACTGTTCCTGGGCAACGAGGGCGCGGCCAAGATAGGTCCATGAGTCCTTGTCAGGCCTACGGATGTGTACTTTCACTGAGATGTCCCGGAAGGGGTCGCGGGCTTGAAGTGAAGCTTGCATTGTAGCGGCCACAATGCTGGGCATCCCTTCATACAGGTGGTCGAGTTTGGTCAGCACTGGTGTTCGAAGAGAGATGTAGAATGCAGCGCGGAAGGCACGCAGTTCACCCACCATTAGATGCGGAGTTGAAGTCTTGGTTCGAGGGGGGCTGGCTGCCCGAGGGCGCGTGGCTCAGTTGGGGCTGTGGTGGGGGTGCCGACCCGCCAACGTCCATGACGGTGTCCATGTCCATCTGGACTCGCGTCAGTAGACTGACACCGGTACGCAGGAAGAATGAGCCTCACGTCGTCCATCATTGTCGGGCGTGTCCTCTTGAAGCCTGCGAGGTGAGAGCGGCGGACGAGGAGGTCGTGCGAGGAGGGAGAGAGGAGGAAAGCGACCTCAGAGCCACGGGGAGCGTCCGCAACACCCTCACGTGATGCGCATGTGTGGCTTCAATTCAAACAGGACACCTCTCCCAAGCCCCGCCACCCCGCCTTGTCTCCTACTGTCGCCGAGGCGGTGCGCCCTCCTCCTCAGATTATTTCCTGGTCTATTATGTGTCGCACAGAGCGGGAACGCAGAGGCTGCGCGAACACGCTCCGGACGCGACGTTATGCAAGTGACGCGTCGCGTCGCGTCTCGCGTAACGGACGGACGCGTGGCGACGCGCTCTGCTCTGGCTAGCTCCGACGTAAGCACCATTTCGAGTACGTACAATGCAGCTGCAGCCGGCCGAACCACAGGTACACAACGTTGTCCCCTGCGACGCCTCTCCGTGCGTCGGATCAGCCGTACAAAGACATCCACTCCGAATGCATTGTACCGGCACCTAACTCCGAACGTCACACCCACCCAACCACAACGACCTGCAGGGCTAACTTGTCTTGTCGTCCAGATATTGTCCCCGATATAGGTGACAATGGGCTTCTTGTACACAGGACGCCGCTGCCACTGGTGGCAGACTAACCCCTTAATGGGTACGGACAACTCGTCTCGCGACCGGTATAAAAGGCTCGTCGATTAAGGCATCGTACACACAACATCCCCACTTCACAAGCGCATCATCATGGCACGCGGCACACGATCCACGAAAGTACGCGGCTCTGACGACGACAGTCATTCCAAGGATGCCCGTCCGTACCTAACTCGCACGTTCGCCCGCAGCCTGGGCGCGCCCCCGAAGCAGGCTGACGAGGAGACCGAGCCGCCCACTCTCAGCCAGGAGGCGCGTTTGACGGCACACGAGGAGGAGGTCTATTACCAGGGACTTGAGCTCAAAGCGGACAATGCCAAATTGCACCAGGCTCAGGCAAAGGTTTGTACCACTGCCAACTTGTCAATCATAGCCTGCTAACCAGAAACGTCAACGGATAGGCAGAGGGGGAGGATCCCAGCTGGACACTCAGTCAAGATAGCAGCAGGTCCTTCAGTCGGACCAATTCGAAGAGCAGCGACATCAGCATAGGTGACGACGGCGACGGCGACGACACAGACGAATTCAAGGTCCCGTCCTCGGGCGATAGGGCCACTGCATACCAGCAGAGCAGGAAGGGGACCAGCCCTCCAGGAAGCACGACCGGCGGCACGACCGACGCAGGCGACTACGACAGCGGACACGAGAACAATGACGATGAGTATGACGACGATGAGTACGACGACGATGAGTACGACGACGACGACGACGACGACGACGACAACGACAACGACGGTGGGAGCCAGACCGACACTGAAAGGCCACCGACCAAGCGCGATCGCAAGAGCAGCTTCCCCGAGGACAAACTCGACGCGAAGAAACTGCGCGAGATTCGCGAGGCCTTCAAGAATCCGACTTCGAACCACCCTCACAAATTTTTCGACAAGCTCATGGATGAGTATGAGCTTGACCGCGTTGATCTTGAGAAGGCGCAGACGTTCGCGAAGGATCACGAGAAAAGATTGGAGAAGCCCAAGAGCTGGAAGGACAGCGAGCTCCTCGATGTAGCGAGGAAGGAGTGGTCGATGCTTCTCGATAATCGTTACTGAAGTCGAACAGGGGGTCCTTGGTTTTGTGTACAACATGTTATGGCAGCGTCAGCAGGGTATTATAATTACAGTGACATAATGACTACACATTCGGAGATCATCGCTGCTCTGGGCTGAGATACGGGCCAGCAACAAGACACAAGTTACGAGGCGTGAACTGCACATTGATCATCGGCGTGCGTTTCGTCGGGAACGTCGCAAGCAAGTCCGACCTGTACGAAGCATCAGTAACGACCCCTCGGTACAGCGAACAACAGAGAATGTACTGACGTCTCGATGCTCTCCTCTTCCTTGCCACTTGGCGCGGGTGCGTCGCCATTGACGCCATTCGCGGTGTTCCCATTTGTGAGGACGCCGTTCTCCTTGGCCTTGCTCTGCGGCCCGCCCGCCGCCGCGACGTCCCAACACCGCACCGTCCAGTCTGCGCTGCCTGAGACAAGCATGGACGACTCCTCGCTGAATGCGAGGGAGTACACGGACGCGGTGTGCCCCGCCATCTTCTTGATCCGTTTTCCGGAGCCAAGGTCCCATAGGTTGATAGCGAGGTCCTCGCCTACAGGCCACAGTCGTTAGAACACATCACTGTGATGACCAACGCAGCGAACACACCGGCAGTGGCGAGGTACCGCCCGTTAGGGCTGAACGCGAGCGTAGAGACGATGCCTTGGTGGCCAATAAAGACACGCACGCAAGACCCACGCTGGACATCCCACAACCGTGCTGTCCAGTCGCTCGAACCCGTCGCCAGGTAGAGCGAGTTCGGATGGAAGCGCACACACTAGTCATCACCGTCAGCGCAAAGCGAGCCCAGAGACTGATCCAACCACTAACGTCAACGTCGCTCAGATGGCCTGCATACACCCTCAGCGCCGACGTCCTATCCGTCGACCACAGCCTTGCCGTCCTATCTCGACTCGCCGTAGCGAAATAAATACCCATCGGGCCCCACTCCACATCCCAGACGGGGTTCTGGTGCCCCCTGTACGCGACAATGTTCGTCATCGTGTCGAGCGACCAGAGCCGCGTCGTCGCATCTGCCGACGCGGAGAGGAGGTAACGCGGTGGTGCGGCGGATCCGTTGGTCGGGTCAAAAGTAACGGAGTAGACGGGCCCGCTGTGCCCGATGAGTTTGCGGGTGGTCGAGCCGCCTTTCTCACGGATCTTCTTGAGAGAGGAGCCTGAACGACAACTCAGGGTCGCTCGGATAGAAGAAGAGAATAAAGGCTCACTGTCACGTATTGACGAGGGTTGGAAGTCGCTCCTATAGCCTTTTAGCTTCTCGCCTTTCAGGCTCCACAATCGAATGTAGCTCTCGGAGAACCCTGCGGCCATCATGGACGTGTCTTGAGAGAATGTGCAACATGGCACGCTGATGTTCTGACATCATACGACTGACAAGGAAACATTGAACCATATGCACTCACCCTTCGCCGACGTCATGCACCGTGTACGCGCAAATACTCGGTAATGGCTGATTCTTGACAACTCCTTGTTGCGTCCGCACCTCGGTGCGTTCCAGTCGTATCCGTTTTCTCGCGTCGCGGACCTTCTCGACCTCCCTTTTCACATCCGTTGTCCTGAAAGACGGCGGGTATGGGGGTAAGTCCGACTGAGGGATCCCGCCTGTCTCTTGTGTCGGACGGTTGTACAGTATCTTCAAGTCGTCGTGAATGCCGGGGTCTCGCTCGACCAGTGCTTGGTCTCTGAGCGCGCGGTCTGTCTCCGTGCGCAACTCCTCTGGCATCGCGGGCATGCCGAGTTTAAGATCGCCCTTTGATGCGTTGAACGACTGTGCATTCGTGAATGTTGATGTTGAGGAAGAACCGCTGGCCTGTGGGATCACGGACGTGAGCAGGCCTGTAGACTCCTCCCATGCATTTTCGGATACGGATGTTGTGGTCGATGAGGTGACTTATAGGTCGAAGTAAGTCAACGTGCCATCGGATGCAGAAAATCAAGGATACATACCGTCAAACCTGAGGTGGTTGTTGACCACTCGCAAGACGGCAGCCCGCCCTCTTTTACCCCTCTTTCCGGTGAAGCCCTCCCCTGAGCCTGTTGGCTCTCCACCCACGCCTTCAGTCAGCCAGCCGACCAGGAGACCGAACCCTGACCGGCTCATTCGCACTGTGTACTTCTCGTTCCGGAAGCGTTGCGCGAGTTCATCGTTTTGCACATGGAAAGGTAAGAGCAATGTTGATAGATGGTGCAGCGTAGGGGCATGTGTGGGTGCTAGTGATGGTGAGAACTCGGCATAGAACTTCAAAGCTTGAAGAAGGGACGACAACAGGCGTCAGTCACAGTGCACCAACGTGGTCCTTGTCTTGCTCACCGGCTTCCTTGAACCCATGCTGTATGAGATCAAGGTAGAAATGACAGAAGATGGGGAATAGTATGGGCCGAAATTCCGGCTAACGCGAGTTGATTATTTGGGCAACAACCTAGTTACATGCGTATACTCACTCGATACATGTCGAGAGATCCATCCACCCACGCCTCGAGCTCCCGGAAGCCCTCCTGCTTGTCGGTAGGATCTAGAGACAATATCTCCTCCGCTCCGACAGCATCAATACTGGATATGAGGTTCTGGATGGTGGCAGGGTTGCCCATTGAGGCGAGCTCCTGCAGGACACTGGCAGCATCCTTGAGGAAGTTCTCGCCTTGGCGGTTCGCCTTCTGCACGTACACAGACAGCGCTTTGACCAGATCTTCAGCAGATATCGTGGAAGAAGTGGAGGCCTTAGAGGTGGAACCTTCCGGCTGTTTTCCTTTGTCGGGGCCATCGGCGTCCAGTGCAGCCAGGAGTTCCTTCTCGGCACCCTTGTAGCCCTTGTCTCGCAAGTAGTCCAGGATAGCCTTGTTGACGACGCTGAGAGGTTCTGCGGCAGCATTTGTGCCCGAGGGAGACGTCACATCGGGAGTAGAGGGCGCTGGCGTAGCTGCCGACATACTGGTGGAAGGTCGATCGTGCTGGAGAGTCGGTCGCGGCGATGGTCTGACGAACGCGCTTGACGCGTCCCACGTGATGTCGCCATGCGCGTCAGTAAGCGCCCAGCACAATGGCATCTTCATACTCTTCACGTTGGTCCTCCATGTCATCTATGCATATGTTCGACTTCAAAGCATCACGTTGCGATAACTTGGTGTATCGCGTCGACGGCTCATCGATTCATCGGGACGAAGACATTCATTCTGTCGGTACAGATTACAACAACCTGCCTATCATACAGTAAGTACTGCTTTGGCAGTTCGCATAAGGTAAGTACTGTCGTCTATCTGTACGAGCACTGCGCCCTTTCTGACACAATACGCAACGAACACAGTGAACTACTGGGCAACGGAGTCTAATACCTGCGTCCCCGCGCCCGCTTCGAGTAACCACCACGGTACGAGCTTCCACCACTGCTCGAGCGCGATCCGTACGACGAATACTGGGTGTAGCTTCGTTTCTGGGCCGTCTTCGGCGGCGGCGACGGGGGCTCCAGATTCACGTACCCGACTTTCTTGCACTCCTTCTCGAACGCCTCGACGAGCGCATTGAAATCCACTTGCACCATGCTCCCAAACAGAGGATGCGCAGCGGACCACTTGTTCACGGTCAATCGCGGGGATGTGATTCCGAAGGCCATTCGTGCCAGCAGGCGCGGGTCGTCACGCACGGTGCAGGCGTTGAGGATCGCCTGGATCTGTCGCGGGTCGGGCTTGCAGCTTGCCGTTGCGGCGAACTCAACGCCCGAACCGGACAAGCAGAAGCTGCATTTACCGCACATCTGGTTCGGCACCGCGTCGTCGTCGCCAAAATACGAGGCGAGGGCATGTGCTAGGCCTACGCAGATTTAGGATCAGTAGTTGAGCGAATGCATAATGCCCAGGACACGCACAATCATCATTGGTAGCAAACTCCATGACTTGTCGGAGCTTCTGAACCGATTCCTCCTCGCGCGCCAGCATCCTGGTGAAGAGCTGATCTGCCAATGCTTGAATTTCCTCTGGGGCTTTCGGCAGGGGCTTTAAGACCTGATAACGCTGCAGATGAGTCCCAACGTCAATATGGTGTCCTTTGCTGAAGTTATTGTAATACACGCTACAACTTACAGCCCGGACCTGTGAGGCCTTGCAATTGATGTAGCCTACGAAAACGCATGGTGAGGAGTGTCCTAGACTGCGAGGAGCACCTGCTCACCAGCAAATTCCCACTCGCTAACATACCTCGCAAGGTCCGCGCGATTGATCTTCGAATATTCGGCGGCTTTGGCCATGTCAATCTGCGGCGACGCACATTTGACAACTGTACACGATATGTCGCCCATGCAATCTACGTACCTGATATCCAGTCCCTTTGGCTATCCAGCACGCCTTCAGCGCCTGTGCTTGCTTGCTCCGGTCTGACGTGACCTTCTTCCAACCATCGTTCGTTCGCGCGCTGATGTCGTAGACAGAGTAGTACGGCGTCACTGCGCGGATGTAGCCATGGTCGAGCTCGAGTTCGGCAAACGAGAGGTTCAACACATTTTGCTGCGTGGCTGAGTTCACTGATGTACCAAAGGACAATGTCACGGATGTTACTCACCCTGATGTCATATCTACACGGCGACAACGCCGTTAACGGGAGGAGGGCCAGATGATGAGAGCGAATGTAGACTCACATCTTCGCCTGGTGGTAATGGTTGAAGTCAATGGTGCCGTCGGGCGCGGGCTTGGCCATCGCGACCTCCTGGAGCCAAAGCTCGATGTCCCGCTTGGCGCAGGTATCCCCGCGCGCGAAGCCCTCAAGGACAGGAATATCGGCGGCAGAAAGGAACATCAGGCATGTCGATTCCAGCCCGTCACGTCCCGCCCTCCCGACTTCCTGGCTGTAGTTCTCGAGTGTCTTCGGCATGTGGAAATGAATGACCTGGTGGGGTTTAATCCTGATAATTGCAAAAGATCGTACATCGATGATCTACCTGGCGGATGTTGGCTGGGTGGTGCATTGGCTGAGCTCACGTCCACTCAGTTCAGCAAGACTCGTAAGGCTCACCTTGTCAATGCCCATACCAAATGCTATGGTAGCGCATACAATACCTCTATCGGACTCCATGAATTGCATCTGGATCCTCTCGCGTTCTTCCGCGGGTAGACCTGCATGGTATACCATAGGTTCCAACCCATGCGGGCGCAATCGGTCCGCAATTTCCTCCGCCTGCTTCTGCAGAGTGACATAGATGATGACGGGACCCGTCCTCGACTGCAACATGGGCAGCACATGGGCCACCTTATCGTTCATGTTGTTCGCAACGTGTGCTCTCAACGCGAGACTGCCACGGCAGCGCCTTCAGAATAAACGAGACAGGAGGTTGGGCGCGACGTACTTCGGGCGATAGACGGGAATGCGGAAGACGCCTTCCGTCGGGTGGATGAAGAAGCTCTTGCAGATGTCTTCCGCGACAGTCTTCGTTGCGGTGGCAGTCAAGCACAGGACGCGCTCGACGTCGAGTTCCTCCGCGAAACGCGCAATCTTGAGGTACTCCGGGCGGAAGCTTGCGCCCCACTACATGAAGAGCTTGAATGCATAAACGCGACTACGGATGCAAACACCTACTTGTGAGATACAGTGGGACTCGTCGACTGCCAGAAGCGAGATCTTGACCTTCCGCATCATCGCGACAAAGGACTCGTTGTTCAGCCTGCGGTCGTCAGCCAACGCGTTCCCACATCGACATCAAGGACACTCGCCTCTCCGGGGCCACGTACAGCATCTTCATCGACCCGCTCAAAACCTCTTGCTTCACCCACGCAGACCTGTCCGCGGTGAGTGTACTATCCAGGCTGGCCGCTTTCACGTTCCGGTTGACAAGCGCGTCGACTTGGTCCTTCATGAGAGCAATCAAGGGCGAGATAACTAGCGTCAAGCCCTGCGCGTTGTCAATTAGTCGGTGGTCAGACACGCTCTTACAGGGGGTCGCGCACGTCGAGGCATAGCGCGGGCACTTGGTAACACAAGCTCTTGCCGCCTATAAAACATCCTTCAATAGGTCGCCCGCGGCGATAAAAAGCAACCATCATACCTCCAGTGGGAAACAAAACGAGCGCATTGTCGTTTTCCACGAGCAGCCTTTGGATGACCTGTCGTCCACGCGTCAGTCCTCACACTCCTAAAGCCCAGCACACTTATGCACACCTCTTCCTGGGTGTGGCGAAACCCAGGGAAGCCGAAGGTGTCCCTGAGGACCGCGTGTGCCTGCTCCATTATATCTCCTCTTAGGGAGAGAAGTACGATACGAAGGAGGTGGTGGTGCAAGACGGGTTAGTCGTCAGACACAAATCTGCGATCCCCACAATGGACGCGTCCGGTCGCGCCCACGGGATCCGCAGTCACAACCGCGTTACGCGACGCGTAATGTCACATGCTCGCACCCCCGGAGGCTATTGCTCTGTCCAAGGCTCCACCACCATCTCGCTTCTCGTTCTTTGGATTCTGATGCAACGACCGTGGACTTTATCGACTCTGATTCCAGGCCGCCAGCCGTAGCTGCTGCGAAACTGACGACTGCTCAGTCCACCGTCCTGCGCCAAAGCATTATGCAATTGCAAAAGTAAAAGGTCTGTTATACAACACGAGCACTGAACGAACAGCAAGCGGCATATCCACGATCCAGGTCCACCACTTCGAGCAGTCAACGCTCTCTATACCACAACGAACACCCCGTCTCTCCACCATCCTGTCTCGCGCACAGGGGAAGCTTAGAAGTGCTCCTGCGGAGGGTGTCAGTAATGAGTGCAGGGAGGGGAGCACAAATGCACTGACCTTGGCGAAGCTGAAGTTGATATCCTTCGTGGACTGAGCGACGCACGCTTCCTTGATCGCCCTCGCCAGCACAGTCGGGCCGCAGAAGTACGTCTACAAAAGCACCACACCGTCAGCGACTGCGGAGGAGGAGCAAGGGAGTGCCATACGCCGACGGTAGTCTTGAGCTGTGAGTTGATGCCGGGCATGTACCGGCCGACCTCGATCGCCTGGCGCATCCGGCTGTAGATCGTCTTCCAGTCGGGCCTGCCGAACATCGTGCGCGTGCGCAGCAGCGTGAGCGGGTCGTATTCTGCGCCCGCGTCGTTCACCGCGATGTTCCACAGCATGTCTTCGCCAATCTTCTGGGTGAGGAAGATGTTGATGCGCAGGAAGTTGGCTGTAGGTACCTGTTAGTCGTGGCAAGAACAGCTTTGACAGATACAACTCACGGTCGATTTGAGCTTCCTCGACCTCCTGGAGCAGAGTCTGGAACCAACCGAACGAAGGAGCGTCACGGCACACCCAGAAGAACTCCACGCGCTTGAGCGACATAAGCGTGCCCTTCTTCTGGCGGTACCAGATATGCTTCAAGATAGAAGCGAAGGGAGTCACACCTGCAGAGGGCAAACACGACACTCATTAATACCAGCTCATCATTCCAACTAAGAATTGACATACCGATACCGGCGCCAATGAGCACGGCAACCTCGACGTTGAACACGTCCTCAGCCGGTGCGCCGTACGGGCCGTCAATGCGGACCTCAGGCAAGTCCCGCGATCCAGTACCAAGCTCGACGAAGTTGCCACGCGTGCCGTAGATGGACTCGTCCTTCTCCTCGCCCGCCATGGCCGCCTTCGTCATAGCCTGGACGACAGATGGCCCGGCGCCTAGACGGTCGCCAAGAGCGTAGGTCCAGTCACCAACCTGACGAATGTGGACGGAGACGTAAGGATCCTCGGGGGCGGAGGTGATGGTGAACTGAAGTCCTTGTCAGCAGGATTGACCGGCACTGGGGATGTGACTCACAGGGTGCCACTGGTAGCCTGAGATGTCGGGAATATTGATAAACAACCACTGGCCAGCTACGTACTTGAAGCTCGGCTTGATGATACGGAGCTCCATGGCGCCTGCAACACGACAATGAAGCGTGGTTTCACCGTGAACGCGATGTACATACCACTCGGGTGCACGAGCACTTTCGACAAACGGGTCGCCCTCCTTGCGCGGATCTCCCTCCAGACACGCTCAGCGAAGTAAGCAATGCCCGGCCAGATCGTAAAGCGCCAGCTCTCATAGCCCAAGCAGAACTCTGTGTTGTAAAACGGGAATGTCGTTGTGTACGCAGGCTCAACGGAGTCGCGCACGAAGCAGCCGGTAGCGTGGGCATAGAGGCCGATGAACCAAAAGAAGGCGAGGTGGTGCGTGTACCAGAACGCCTCGAAGCACTGGTTGCGAACCTTGTGGTGGGCGGTCGTGTACATGAGCACCATGATGAGCAGCATGAAGTGGCCCGAGATGCCACCGGCCTGGGTGTAATGAATGTCTAAGGCCTTCAAGATACGGACCTCTGAAATGGTGACCAAGGTGAGCATGGCCACAGCCGTTCTACCTCGTCAAGAAGAGAATTCACGCACGGGTACGCTCGACGTTGAAAAAGTTGACGTAGTGGGCGGTGGTGTGCACCATAGACCAGAAGGCCAATGCATACGCGACCTGTCTGTGGAACCAGATGTTCTCGTCCGCGGGGAAGAGCCAGGCGAGCTTGGGGCGGATGACACGGATGACGTTACGCAGCATGGGGAGGAGGATACATCCCCCAAGGAAGGCGAGGACCAGACCAGCGCCTCGGGAGACCCAGACGGACCATTCAAGCCGTTGAGCGCGGCCAGCTTCTGGTTCCTTTCCTGGACACAAGGGCTCGGGAGTTAGGCGGTGACGGGAAGACAACAAAGCTGGGACTGACCTGGGAGGACCATCCATAGCCGAAGAAGAATAGCTGGAGACCGTAGAAGAGGACGTTGAAGATGAGACGCCTGGGGGAGAGGAACTCGCGGCGGAACCAGCTCTCGGTCATTGTCGTAGGGGAGAAGGAGACAGGTCAACTGCAGCGCGGTAACCGGTACCACGAAAAGTAGTGGGCAGGTCCGGCCAGACGAGGGAAGAAAGAAATGAAGGACGGGTCTCGCGAGGAGACTGGGCGGTGAAGGGAGAGAGAGGGCTGGCGGTAGCCAAGACGGACGGGGGAGAGACGAGATATAGTTGTGCGTGCGTGCCGTGGCCAGGCCGTGACCATGGCAATCCGTATCGGGTCGCCACTTTCATTCTGCATCAGCGCCTGCCGCTACTGCCCCCGCTATTGCCCCCGCCCCGAGTCTGGCTGCGTCCCTGGCGGGTCGCGTCCATCGCGTCCATCGTGACGTGTGACGCAGTGCACAGCTGCAGGCACCCGCCCGGTATGCCCGCCCCACCTGGCTGAACCCATCCGCCGCAGCCCGCCTCTAAAGCCACCGCGCTCGAAGTCCTTCTCTCCCAAAGCGAGCGTATCGCCATATCGACGCCCCCGAGCCGCCCGCGGCAGCATCACTCGCACCACATCCCCGTGGCTTGCACTCTGTGCTCTCACCGTTGTCGCACGCTATCTGTCCGAGCAAGGCCACGCCCAATGATACATCATGCAAGAATAGCACAAGGAGACGTCCGGACACCACACCCGCCGCACACCGCACCCGCCCCCACGCTCATCCCTCGTAGCGGTACGCCACCATCGCCTCGATCCGGTGCACGTCCGTGCTGAAGCTCCGCAGCTTCACCTGCTGGCTCTTGCTCGCCTCGATCGCCAGCGGGTCCGTGTCCACCCACTCGTCCGCCGGCACGTCCGCAGACTCCGTCGTGTACGTCAGGATGTTGAACACCGTCGCCTCGTCGATCACCGGCAGGAACGTCACCGTCGACACGATTTGCTTCAGGATGTTGCGTATTTCCGCCTGGATCTCCGCCTCCGGTTTCGCGGCTGCGCTGTCGGCGACACGTAAACAGACAGTTCCGCGGCAAGGCAGATGCAGATGGACGTACGGCTCCGACGTATTTGTCGGTTGCTCGACGAGATTGATGTCGAACACCCATCGCTCGAGCGTCGTCCGGGAGTCTTTGGAAATGATCGCGAGGACAATTTGCGTGACAGACCCGGTCAACAGCCACTCTATGAACAGCCTCAGACACTTTCGAATGATTGAATGAGGGTTGCTCACTGTTGACTTGTTTGAGTATCCTGTCCGTTGGTCAGCCCCCTTGATCGACGGATATGAAAGAGACAAAGGACATGCCTCTCCAGGTAGTTCTCCAGGGCTAGATCTTGTGTAACCAGAACTGTCTGCCCGTACTTCTTGACCATGTGAAAGTCGTCAGCAGGATACACACCGCGCTGGAACAGTATCCTACACGAGGCGACAAGCTCATGTCAGCTCACACGGAATGAACACCGGCAGTAGCGCGGACAAACGTGTTTGCAGCGAACTTGAAGAATTCGGTGACAAGGTTCGTAGAGCCCTTCAGGGTGATCGCCTGGCGTGTCGGTGCCTGCTTGGTAGGTGCCATACTTGCGGTCGTGAGTTTCACGCGTGTAGAACGGTTGCGGAGGCAGTGGCTGAGAGTGGCGGTTTGCGAGTGGCGATCGTATGGTTTAGGACGCGAACCACACGCGTCGCGTCGCTAATTGAACTATACCGCGTCGGTCACGTGGCCATGACTAGTGGGCGTCGTCCGACTCCCGAGTCGGTGAGAGCAGCGGTTTGTCGGTCTGTCGCTCTGATAGCTACTCGATATGAATCTGACGTTTGTCTGTCAAATTCTAGTTACGGTTGCACTTCGTCTGCAGCATCTTCCCAGAGAGGATGTTCTCGTCAGGGCCCCGTCGTTACCAGACTCTAGACGTGGGAGGGAGAGCTGAGGCATGATGAGCAATCCATGATGAATGGATCGAATTTCGAATGCAGCACGCTGGCTGTGCATACGGAGCATACAAATCCATAAGGTACGATGAAGTGAAAGAGAAACGCCCAATCCGTCATCGCCATGCCTTCAAAGGGCTCATGTCCGAGCCCAGATCCATGTCTGACACGTCCGACTCTTCGTAGTCCGAGTTTGCATCGAGGTCCATCTCTCCCAAGTCCGGCTCAGACTGAAGGTCCATGTCCGAGTTGACATGCGCCGTGAGCATGTGCTCGAGCATGTCTTCCTCCTGCGACTCGTCGTCCTCACCGTTCGGCGCTGCAGCCGAGCAAGCCGGAACCTCCGGTGAAGACGAGGACGAGGACGAAGCAGCCCGGCCACCCTTGTCGACCGCTGGAGCGCGGCGGGACCTCGGCGGCGGGGCCTCGTCGTCGCTCGAGTCCGACGAGAGCGTGAGATCGATAAAGACAGTTTGTGGCTTCGGTTGTGCTACCGTCTTGCGCACGTTGACAGGAGTCCGCACCCTGGCCGGCGACATGCGGGATTTGACGGGTGTGTGCGAAATCGTAGTCTTGACCTTGACCGAATGGGCTCCGGAACGACTCTTGCCAGCCGTCTTCACGGACGTGGTGGCCACATATTGGTACGTAGCTATCGCATCATCAGATGTCCGCGAGATCATAAGCTTGTGGACCAGAGACAGGCAGCCGTTGGGACGATACGCACAATTGGACGGGCGGTCTGCACGGTTAGCGTTGTTGCGAGAGCCTAGAGGGACAGCACTTGACCGGACAGGCTGCTTCCACAGCCTGCGCCTCTTGCGTTCTTCCCCCGCATCCCCGCGCATGCTATAATCCGAGCTTGTGTACGGTCGTGCCCGCTTACCGTTGGGTAGCTTTTGACTGAGAACGGAAGAATAAACCCGCGAGAGCAGCCGTCAGAGGCCAGTCAGAGTCTCACCATTCGTAGAAAGCCTTCGTCGCCACAGTCACCAGAGGAGCATAGAGGTCTGCGACCCAATCACAAAGCGCGGTGAAGCCCTTCTCCTTGTAGTAGGCGCCTAGGACAGTCTCGAACAGGTCAGCCGTTGCCTTGACTTCTGTGTACGACTTGACCGCTGAGGCTGACGCGCCTTCCCCGAAGTCCATCCTCGATAGGGCTCTCAGGACCACGTCGGGGACGGCGAGGATGTCAAGCTTCTCCGCCACTCTCGAAAAGACAGCGTTAGAGTGCAGGACGCCGCGGAGGTTCTGTGGCTTGTTGAGTTATGTCTTGACGAGGAGTGCCCGCCGGGTGCGCACCGTGTATAAATGAGGAGACCCTGGGGTATCTGGTTGTAGAGGATGGTCCCAATCGTGGCGTACATGAGGGCGTCGCCTAGGAACTCGAGGCGCTCCCTCTCCATGTGGGCGGATCCTGCGAGGAGCCTCGCCCAGGTGGCGTCCGACAATGGAGGCAACGCGGCATCAAACTCGGGCCTGCGGATGGCTGCGACGACCGCATCGTAGATGGCTCGGTGTAATGCTATCATGGCGTCAGAAATACTAGGAACCACAGAGGTAGATTATTGTGAGAAGGAAATGACAGACGAAGAGGTAGCGAGCAGTAGAAATGGCTGGAAGGTGTGGCCTTGAGTGGTACCGTCGATGCTAGTCTGTTGTCAGCCTTGAAACAGGTGCATGTGGCGAGAGACAAGAGAGGTCGTCCGAGCTTTGACCAGAGGTCGGCGACGCGTCGAAGGCGCACGTGAGAGCCTGCCACAGACGCGTTCGAATTCTTGTTTTCCAATCCATCGTGGCGTCCTGCCCACCGCTTTGCCCCACCTATTGTGTATGCTCTGACCATAACTTCCATTTCCAAAGGCATAAAGGCGACAATATGAACGGCCACGCTGACCCGTCTTCGAGCATGCTTGGGGCATCCACAAGCACCAGAGGCCGACAACTCCAGGTCGCGCCGAAGCCTGTCCCCGCACTTGACCTACCCGCTCTCCAGAACGCCAGTCGCGTTCTCCAGGATCAGCTCCTTAAGGACACACAAACCTTGCCGGACCTGAATGACCTGCTCACAGTTCGTGCGTCGCAATGGTTCGGTCGATGTTAGCGCGTTCACCTGACAGTCTCGAGTAGCTGGCGTACCATCGTCCGCGTCATACAGCGTCTTCCCCGATGACTTCCGCGTCCCGTTCCAGAAGAGGAGGCTTGTTGGGATCCCAGAGGGATTGTTTCAATATTACACCAGTACGTCCTGCATTGTGCATTGCATGCGTGCATGCATGTTCATACCTCCACAGCCACTAGCGTCACATCTCATATGGGGTTGATGCCTCAAATGAGCGTGTATGGATTACGATTGACCATAATTTATTCCTGTGGGACTACGTGGAGGGGTGCGTGTTGTGTCGACAGAACTCATCGTTGGTCTGACGCTTCCTGTCCAGTCAAGAGCTGAGCTCTTTTGTGGACCAACCGGACGTTATAACACACGTCGCGCTCGTCAAGCCCAAGCCCAGCGTCTTCATAGACGAGATTACTTCTCTTTGGTGATATGCACTCCCCTCTCAGTATGCTATTGGCGTCTCCACCACGCCGGCCACCGGGCCCAATAACCGCCCGCGCAAGGAGATCAAGATGTACGCCACTGACATGGCAATACCCAGCGACATGGAGATGACGTCCGTTATTGGAACCGAGGATGGTCGAATATTCATGTGTGGCGTTCAAGACGGGGCTTTACGAGTTCACTACCAAGAGAAGGAAGGGTGGTTCGGCAAGAGGGTGCAATTATCAACCATTCTGTTGGAGGAGTGCAGAGCCTTCTTCCTCGACTAGCAGCACCGAAGCTGGAAGGTGAGCTGATCGTTTTCGCGCACAAAATCCAGTCTCGAACCTTGCTTGTAGACCGCATCATATCTCTTGTTGCCGACAACCCCAGAATTGCTTCTACGGGCTGACAACAAAGAACACGATCTGGTATACAAACAAACGGCGAAAAGAGCGTACAGCACCTTCAGACCCTCTCCAATCTGTACAAAGCTGCACAGGACAAAGCACCTGGCTCGCCTGCGTGACACCGCAGAACTTCCAATCATCTCCTTACATGTCATTGACACGTCAGAAGCACGATCAGGAGTCCAGTTGATGGCCGTGACTACCAACGGTGTCCGACTATACTTCGCACCGTCCTCCGGTTTCTACTCATACAACTATGCGAGCGCTAGCGGCACTCCAACTAGCTCGCGTCCGCTTCAGCTCATGCATGTGCGACTCCCGCCGTCCAATTTGCTGCATCCGGATGAACAATCGAACCCCTACCGGCCTCTGCGTCAAACTTCGGAATGTCGCAAGCACCTCCGCCGTCCATCTCGCGGCCATATATTGTCTCTGCCCTCGAGAACTCGTGTTATGATGTCGGACTCACTGTCGCCGCCCAGCCGGGTGACGTTGACGGCACCGACTTCGTCTTGTGCATGTCCCCGGACTTGACTCGCATTGGCTCGCTCGGCCAGCTTCACGGTCCGCCGCCTCAACAGCAGAACACGCAATACGCGAATACGAACTATGGCACTGTTCCGGGTCCTAGCCGACCGCCGCTTACTGAGCATGCTACTCTGCTATCGATTCCGGGACGGACTTGGGGTATGGCACCAGTGCCTCGAAGCTCGTCTGCTGCGGCTGTCGCTGGGCCATCCGGTACACCTGCTCCGGTGGTTACCAACGAATGGCGTACCAGTTCTCCGAACCGACAAGACAATTCATGATCCTGACGAACGTCGGATTGACGTTCCTGGCGAAACGAAGGTCACTGGATTACCTGAAGGATGTCATTGAAGAATTCAGATTGAGGGCAATGCCCAGCCGCTATTGAGTTCCGCGACAGGTGAGAGGGCTCCCTACGTCCTTGATATGGAACTGTATAACCACGATCTATAGCTTCGGCCGAGATCAAACTTGCGCGATGTTGCTAGCTATTGCGAGCGGGAACACATTCTTGGACCAATCGGAACAGTCACTGCTAGGCAGCATCAGCACCGTAAGCCCTGAAATTGCCATGGTAGCTAAGCAGGCATTTTATGACTTCGGCGAGCGGCCAATGTGGTCAGAGCGCGTAACATACGGCACGAGCAGTGAGCAGTTTGCTTTATGTCTTTAACTGAGCTCAATGGTGAGTAGCGGAAGGCTCTGGTACAGCCATTTTCAGCGGCCGACGGGAAGGTCTTACCATGTATTTCGCTCGATTGGTCAGGCCATTCTGGAAAGCCAATGTTACTACGCCGGGGCAAGTGCTGTTACAGTTGGTCTGTCTGCATTGGAAGCTGACGAACATTCACTGGCAGGGCTGCTGGCCTACAGCATCTGAGTGTTCCTGACGACGTCCTCGTCACTGCCCAGAAGAACCTGTTCGCTTTGAAAGAGTTGCTGGACACAAATCCCCAACTCTTTCACTCAGCACCCGGCGATCATACTGGCGCACGGTCAACGACGGTCAGCGAGCAGGAGGCCTGGAAGGTAGGCCAATAGTGAACTGAACTGTGCCGTGTCGTCCTGAGACCATTTCCGCAGGCGGAGCAAAGTTCGGTGTCGCAACTCATGTCTCTTCTCGGCAGGACAATCGAGGCGATCTCATTCATTCTCCTGCTGAGCGATCATAGACTGGGGGAGCTCATCCGACAGTGCGTATAGTCCATCACTCACGGACTTCGCTAAAGTAGAGCAATCAGGTGTGAACCCGATGTCCAGCGACTCGTCACAAGCATGACCTTCGAGGACCTAATAACCGACGAGAAGGGCATTGCAGCGTCCCGGGCGTTGGTCAACGTCGTGATCAACCAACAGATCGGCCAGCAAATAAGCGTAAGCAGTTCTGTACCGTGTCTGCGCTCAACACTGTTTACCTACACATAAGCGCAGGTGGACACTGTCAGCGAGGTCTTGCAACAACGATGCGGCTCATTCTGCAGTACCGATGATGTGATGCTTTACAAGGTAGGAGTGCCTCCGCCTTGCAAGCCGTTGCCATTCAACATCGTTTCAGGCGAGAGAGAACATCCGCAAAGCCATTGAGACGCGGAATCCCGCAGAACGTCAGACTTGGCTTGGAGAATCGCTTAAGTAGGTCAGACTCAGGCCCCGTTGTCTTCGGCGCTGACTTGATGCATAGGCTGTTCATGAAAGGGGCTCGCAACCTCGATTTCGAGGGCTCCGGGAGATATGCGGCGATTACCAGCAGCTCAGCTACGCGAAAGGTCAGTAATACGTTTGAACCCGATTTGCTCAGCATAATGCAAACAATGGAAACCCGAATAGGCGCGGTGGAACTGCCATTACATTGCGCGCAAGCGTACGATGCTGATGGGCAGGGCCATGAACACTGGCATGCCGGTGCCCTGCGAATGATCCTCGTGCCAAGGCATGGGAACGGCGATTGCATTGTTATCAGCTGGTATTGGACTCGCTGTCGGTATTCGAGCAGCGGTGTAACCAGCAAAATATCTCTGACGAGACGGAGCGTGTCCGGAGTCATGCCTACGAACTCGCGTTCGAAGGCGAAGATGAGATGTTCCACTCAACATTGTATGACTGGTTGATTGAACGAGGGATGGCGGACGAGTTGCTCGAGGTGAGTAGGTTGAGTTCAACAGCGTGAATGATGATGTGACTATTGGTTCGCAGATGCGTCCGGCCTATCTGGAAGCCCATCTGAGACGGCATCCCCTGACCGTGCAAAAGCTGCAGTTGCTGTGGCAATTCTATGTCAAGGATGGTCAGCCATTACGAGCAGCGGAGGTGTTGGCAGCGTTGGCGGAGTCCACCGAGTAAGTCGCATCATTCCCCATTCAGAGTAGACTCATGACGTGCTTGTTCTCAGCTTCGATTTGCCGCTCGATGCGCGACTGAGTATCTCACACTCGCAGTTGGGAACGCGAAGTCACACCCCGTCTCCGCCGGCAGTAGACAAGAGACGGCAATCGCCTTCCTCACCGACCTGGAGGAGAAGCTCGAGGTTGCCCAGGTGCAGCTCGAACTCTCAACACTCTCATGCCGCACTTCAACGATCAAGACGAGGTCGGCGAGAAAGCCAGGCTCCTGTCCCAGAGTTTGATGTCGATCACGGAGGTATGTGCATCCTTCGTGTGCAAATCATTCTTGTCCAACCTCGCACCTAGCTATATCAAGAATACGCCGTACCATTCGACTTGCCAGCTATGCAGTTGCTGATTCTGCACGTCTCCGAGCATCGAGACGAGGGCCTTGTGTGTCCCATCTGGAACAGGATATTCGAGGAAGGTGAGGTTGAGGAATACCTCTTCACTGTGGCGGAATGTTGATGTACCTTATTTGTAGCCATCGACAACGCTGAGACTGACGTCGCCGCGGACCATATTGTGTCCAAAGTGGTCCCTCTCGGACAACGATTCTACCCGTCTGAAAGTGCATTCCCACTACGTGAGTAGTCTCAGTGTCAGATCGCATGATTGATGCCTTACTACGGAGTAGGCCACGTCTCGTCACTACTGGTACGCTTCAGCCTGGCGCACAAAGGTGCACTCCCATACGGATGGGCGCCTCGAATACTGGTCCAGTGTGGTGTGCCATACCCTGAGGTCTGGGACATCCTCTACGAAATGTATGAGTCTCAGGCAAGTCCCATTCGTCTAGGCACGTCGGGTGCGATAGCTCATTCTTCCGACAGATCCCACCGTTCAACGAGCAGGCCAATGTACAGTCGATCTCGTCAGATATTGCCGTGCTCCTTACAGACTGGCTGGAGGATGCCATGCGACCACATCTGCCGTGTCACGGAGCGAGTTCCCTGTATACCGCGTCGACCAGGCGGTGGACCAGTATACTGCGGAGCTTGACCCAAGCAGGACAGAAACAAAAGCAGCGTACGAGAATATCAAACGCCAGCTGCGGAGAAATTGGTGATTATGTTGCATGCTGTACATTGATGTTGTGGGTATGTCTCGGATGTTACAATAAATACGGACTATGCGGCCAACAAGGAATCGGTACAATGTGGATGAGATCCAATGTCCACGAAGGGGAAGCATGCGTCGCTTTAAACCTCCAGAATTACATCCTCCGCGCGCAGGAGAAGACGCTTGGTGAGCTTCTCCGTCAGTTTGTACACTTTGTATAGCGCTCTGTGGCAAGTCAGTTTAGTTCATGGGATGGTGAGCACTGCAGTCTTACTGGACTTACCTCGCGGCGCCCATCAAGACAACGGCTACCATTAGAAGTGCTACAAAGTCTCGCGAGTCACGGCCTCGGGTATAACCTCTGAGGCGCAACCAGTGGAATGGCAAGGGGATCGAGAGTAGCATGTGTGCGATGGAGCCTGCACCCACGACAGGTAGACCAAGTAGGAAGCGACGCACAAGGCGTTTGATGAACCCCGGAGGCTTCGCAGGTGTGCGGATGTGCATGGGTCGGACTTTGCCCCGTGAGCCCTGGAGGACAGTCTCGTCAAGTAACCTGTCGTCGATGAAGATGTTGACGGTCGCCCTGACGAGGTTCTGGATCACCTCGAGCGGATTGTAGAAGCCGTAGGAATAGAGTATTGAGTCTCCGTCGTCGGACAACAGTGAAGTCGTAATGAAAGAGCTGCACAAGACAAGGACAGTGAATAGAAGGGAAGACACCGCAGCTATGACGACTGATGTCGATGTTATTTGGCGAGTGCACCATTGATTTCGGTGACACTGACCTGGGTTTGTAGCAATGCCTACCACTCGGGTACGGACGAAGTGGTACCTATACCCGCACTGTGGACATGAATAGAATGCGCTCTGGTTGGCGGCAGTGTTTCGCCACCGTTGAAGGCATTTGACGTGCACATGCTATAGGATGGCATCGTCAGTCACAAACAGAGTCGCGCCAGCATTCGCGGTACTTACGCTCATAGAACCCTTGCATAGGCAAGGCCGAATGAGCCGTCCAAGCTGCGGGTCCTCGCCCTCGAAGCAGATCCGACACTGCTTCTCGCTGTGCGTGTCTGAATCTGCCATAGCGTTACCTGAAGAACTAGATATGAGCGTTGTTAGTATTCTCAGGTCAAGACCAAAGAGTAATGAATAACCGGAGATGAAGGCATGGGAGAGGCTGAGATCTGAGAGTCAGCGGCTTGTCAGCGGCCTGGAAGGATCATTGCACCGCGCTCGCGCCTCCGCGATCACGTGAATGGATGCGCGCATACACAGGGGCTCAGGCTGGCGCTGGCTCTGGCGTGCCTTTGTGCAACTACCGTTCGTCCGTCGCGAGGTAGCTAGCCCACACCCATTGGTTTCGAACAGTCTACGCCGCGACCGCGCTACCTATCAATTCATGTCCTCGGCCCCCACGCCAGGCAGTATTGTCGATCTCCTGGGCGGGGAGGCCGCTCTTGCCAGCCTCTTGCGACAGCGGACCGAGTCTCATCCACAACCACAACATCAACCCAATCAAGCTTTGCTGGCCAACCTCGGCTATCTTTTGTCGAACAATGCTCAGCTCTCTTTCAACCCGTCCGTCAGCCAGGGCACCCGCGGCGCACCGCAACCCTTCAATGCCACTGGACACGGACAGTCTCGGATGACGGGCCCTGAGATGGGACAACTGCTTGTCGCGCTCCAGCAAGCGACACAACAAACAGCAGTATCCGGTATGTCCCATCCGAACTCGCAGCCCCCGAGCCAGGCGACAACGCTCGACAAGCTAGCGGGTTCCTCGCCGGATGACGAGAGGATTCTTGTGAATACTTTGGCAACTAGGGGACTGAAGGGGTGGTCTGTCAGACAGGCACTGGAAGCTTTGCATGGTGTTCGTTGTGTCATTGTGTTCACCAGCGCTCTGATTGACACGACCTCAGGTTAACAATCACACTGGCGGGTCTTGGAAGGACTACTTCCTGGACAACTATGACCGCTTGTCGCAGCGTGTTTCACTCTCAAACGAAGAAGAGGAAGACCCGGAGTCGTCACCGGTTGCGATCTCAAGAGGGAGAACGATGTCAAGAGGAGATAGCTCTGGTAATGGCCCTCCTACGTTGCACACAAGCCGACACTCGGCATCCCGCCCGAGGCCAAAAAAGCAGCGCAGTCGATCCCGGGGACGATCGAACTCTCGTGTACGTCCGCAACAACGCGTACGCTTCTCCGAATCACCGTCAAGGTCGCCCACACCCCCACCTCCTGCTGGTCCGTCTACAGGAAATGGGAGGAGGTATACGGAAGAGGAAGAGGAATATTTCATCAAATCGCTCAAACGGCAGCTACGCAATAATCCCTTTGTTACTTTCAAGAAGATGGCACAGGTACTGGCGGAGAAGGTGAGCGAGATCCAACCACGGATGCATACGCTCATTCTGTCGACTAGGCACCTGCCTGTGGCCGATCAGTAGACTCATGGAGAAGTCATTTAACTATGGGAAGACGCACCGACGTCGATCGCATGATTGCTGATGCCCGAGACAAACACAAGGGACGCATGTGCGAAGAACTCTCAGTCGAACATCACGGAGACGATCAGTCGAGCGCGGAAGACGAGAGTAACGAGGAAAAGTCAGCGGGGACGCATCACGGAAAGGGTAGGGAAAGCAGCCAGGCTTGTCTGCCGGATGAAGATCCTGATACGGAAGAGGACATCCCGAACATGACCACGTCGGGGCAACTGTTGAGGATGGCCGACTTTCGTATGGCTGCCAGATATATCGCCTCGAGAGGAGATTGGGATTCCGCCCTTCTAAACTCGCGAGGTGGGACGCTTTCGCACTGCAGGTATGTGATAGCCATACGAGCTGTGTTGGTTTTGACTCAAAGTACACCTGTGTGTCTGACCATCGTACAATTCTTAAGTATCCCCAACGGACTGCCAAAGCATGGGCACAGGCATACCTCAATCACCGCACGGGTAGGTCGTTCGCATCGTGAAACAACGGGGACACGTCAATGTTCATGATCTGTATCAGTTATAGATCAGATGGTGCCGAAGTACAGGGCACGGTATGCACAGTGCCAGGAGAGGCGGACCTCATCGAAGGCTGGTGACGCGGGCACCACAACAGGCTCACCGTCATTCCACGACGGGAGCAAGCGCAGCCATCGGGAGGTCGACGGAGACGATGGAGCGGTTTCTGCTACTGGAAAGCGTCCAAGAGATTCATATTGAGAATGGCTGCATGGATATGCAATGCACGCTCATGTGCCGTATCTTGGAATGCCCCAAACTTCCATTTATGCAGGGCTTGTATGAGCGAATTCTATGAAGTATTTTAGTACTTACTGCACTCTTGTCCTCCTCGCATAATTCCGTGAAAGCCATAAGTATCATAATGAGATACGTTCTGCAGTGCGTATGCCCCCAATACAAATGAGATGTTGGGTCGGATTGCTAGCGACTTGTATGGGGATCAAGTCGCTTTCAGTGACAACGCGACGTTATGTAGCGTTCAGCGAGGGGATCACTCGCAATGTTAGCAAACATCATTGAGCTACTTACACATCAGCTTAAGTACTTACGCGACGCGTTGTGCGCCTTTTCCCATTAAGATTCCCAACCTTTCCCCGCCGTCAACTCGCTGAGCCTCGCTTGACCAGCGCATTGGCCGTTGACAAAAGGCTGCTATACATATGGCCTCGGAGCCATCTACCAGCGGACATGTGCGCTTTGTAGGAGCTTTAGCTGGCGTCGGGAGCGGTAAGCCTGTCCCCATACGGGTACAGTTCGCGCAAGAGCTTATTAAAGCTTTCATCGACCGTCGGTCCGGTGGAACGTGAACGCGTGAACACTCCAGGTTTGACAAAGGTACGCTTCCGCAGGGGGAAAAATGCTTGACGGCTTTAGCCAACGGCCCTGTGACATATAGGTGGCCGTCGGACACGGGTGCGAACCAAGGCTTAGCTTTCTCGGTACGTAGGGTAACATCCGACGATGGATATAGAGCATTGACTTCGAGCCATTTGATAGAGTGCCTATATCGAACCCTGCTATTTCTGCAGGTTCGACACTATCAAAACACGGCTACAATGTTCTCCACCTGGTACTTACCGTGGAGCTGTCGATTGCATGCTCAAGATAGTCCGAAATGAGGTGAACAATCTGTCTCGTACCGTATGCGAGCACTCATTGATCTACAACTTGGTCCAGTCTATCTTTGCTCTTTACAAGGGTGCGACACCGCCGGCAGTGGCCTGGGCAGCGATTGACTCTGTCCTCTTGGGCTCGTTGCACAACTACCGGCTATTCCTCATCAGGCATGGCATGACAGAGACAGTTCCCGGACGCGGTGCCCAAAGGCTCACAATCGCGGGACATACGACAGCGGGTTTATTTGCAGGGCTCACGAGGTAAAGCAGCCGACCACGGTGTCTTTGATGAAGTGACATAGTCGGGACAGTGCATTTCTGGCCACACCCATGGAGCACCTGAAAGGTAGAAGCTCAGCTTCGCGCTCTAAGATTGCATCATTGACGCTACTGATTCTAGTCAAGTTGCAGATGCAGTCCCAGAGATCTGTAGCCGACAGACAATACAAGGGGCCCATCGACTGTATCCGGCAAATCGTGCGCAGCCAAGGCGTACTTGGCTTGTGGACGGGTTTTACCGGTAGCCTCGCGTTCAGGAGTAATTTTGCCTGGCTCTTCGGATCCTACGAGGCGAGAGCAGAACTCGTTGACTGGCCGTCGGCCCTATGCTCAATCATAGCTTGGTTGTGCTTACCAGGTGTTCATGCGGGGGTTCTCGAGTCTAAAAGGAACAGGATACGAGGTGAAATCTCGTCTTGTCTACACGATGCTTATTAGCCTAATTCTACCTCCTCTCATTTGTCAGATCAGTACGCCAACTGCGAACTTCCTGTCGGGCGGCTTGGGCGCGTTTGCGTTCTGGATCATGGGTATCCCCGCCGACAACATCAAGAAGTGCGTGCTTTCCATCTTTGTATCCCTGACACGCTCACGTACCGGTGACCACACGGCATGGTACTGCGATCCGTTCGAGCAGTCGAATGATGGCGATGCCTCACACAGGCGCGCGGCCATCGTTCCTCACAACTGTTCGTCAAATACACGCGCTTGAGGGGTCCAAGGGCTACTTCCGTGGCCTCGGACCCTCCTTGCTGCGTGCATTTCCGGTGAATGCATCTGCGCTATGGGTGTACGAAGGTCTGATGCGCTTACTTAATGCCGAGAAGGTGAGCAACAGCCTTATTGAAAGGGTGCATGGTCGTACTGAGACCGTAAAATTGTGACGTGACGGCAGACGAGACATTGAACGCTTGAACGGCGAGACGGCGAGGTAGTCTCAGGCTGGCAGCTTGCATCATTTCTCACTATCATTTCTCACAACATGTACTTGTTATGGGCGCGGTCATTCAATCTCGTTGCTATGTACGAGGACATGGAGCATTTGCATAGTTCACACAACGGATCCCTACACCGCAATCGCCCACTTAAATGCATGCCGTTGTGCCACGCCGTATGTACGGCCGTTCCCTCGGATAAGTCTCAGCGATCAAGCCATAAGCACAATCAATGGAGACATCCGCGAACTGTAGTCGGGGGTGCCCGGCACGCCGTGGCCTGTGCCATGAACCCAGGGAGCTCGAGATACAGTAGCGATAAGAACACAACATATCAGAGACAACATGACATCACCTCCGCCAAAGCTTAACGGGATTCAACCACTGCGCAATATTTCCTCTCTTGTCTCGTGTCCCCGAGCGCGCGTCGGCCGCCGCCTGGTCGTCGTCAGACAACTTGATCGTAGTCGAGAACAAGCTCTCGAGGCCGGTTGGCTCCTCCGGCGCAAAAACCGTTGTGGGCGCAACCACGAACCGTCATCGTGGGTGCGAGCCTGTCCATGAGGTCTTCGTTTCTGAGGGGATGGGATCGTCGGCGACCAGTCCATCGCATTCGGGTCTCGTCTTCGTGAATCTACATCGTCGTCGTCGTCGTCATCCATGTCCATGGCGGGATCTTGCCATGCGTCGTGGTTGGAACCGCTGTCAGGGCTGTTCCGGAACGACGGCATCCCAAAGACAGGGTTGGGCGCCCGGACGATGGGGCAACAACGGGTTTGGAAGAGAGGCTCAAGGGCGCGAGGAGGTCGGGCTCGATAGCCGGCGTGGCACCTCGCGATGTGGGCCCGACGCAGTGGAAACGAGCGACTGCTTGCCTTGTGAGGCCGCTTCCGTCAGACGGACGGGCGGCGGACGCTCTAAGCGTAACGTGCGAACATCGAATCAGAATCTAAACAGCATGTTCGTGAGATAATCACGGGTCGTATGTGGGGCACTGACAACTGATTCGAGTACGAGGGATACCGTACAGTACTTGCTCCTGAGAGGCGACTCGGGATCAGTCCAGCGTTGCAGTTCGCCCCATTCGGGCTTGAACCAGGACATCGCGAGGAGGAGCGAAGTACCACATCTGGACAGCCAAACTATCATTGCAGGATCTATGCAAGGTACTGGTGAGCCTCAATGAACTACACTGGTAAGCTGAACATACGTTATATTCTCTCTTGCCCCGCTGCCGCACCATGCGCCCCTGGAATTCGGCTCTCTTGAGACTCCCATATGTCGGGTCCCATGCAGTCCAAAAGATAGACAATAATGCGAGTGCTGGTAGGCCCTGCTTCACGCTGTCCGGTACATGGAATCTGGCATAACCGAGTGCAACTACGCGTGGCCCTTAGGTTAATTGCTGTGATTCTGAAGCTCGACTCTCTTACCCGATGCATAGCATCCTAGTGTGCATACGAGGCACACCGACCATAGACATCCCGGATTTTCCAGAATGTTATTTGCCTCGTGAACCTATCACGGTCACGTTGCGTTCGGGCGACTGGGCGTCGTGGTGGATTGCTGGAACCGAGGAACCCTCCGAGAGCACGTGTACGAGCCATATTGTCTCGTCTGCGAATCTCCTCCTCTACAGCTGGCGCACAGTCGGTGCAGACAGGTGGGTAGCGTGTCTCAATTGATCGCCGGTACTCCGGGAGCATGGCGGCACGTTGGTCGTGGTCAGGGTGCTGAAGGTCGGGCACATAACAAGAGAAATGCGTGGATTGCAGAAAATAAGTAACGGGCCACAATAATACACATGAGCTAATGGCGGAAGGTAATGTGCGGGGACGTACGCACGTCCGGAGGTGGGAGGTAGTTAGACAAAAGGTTGGATAGAAGCATCTGGTTGGTCTGGCATGTCCGGCAGAATGGTGCGCTCCCATACATGCTTGGCAGTCGGTCTTTGCGCGGAGAAGCTGGTGAACGAAGGACTTTGTCAGACCTCTATGCAGTGCGTCGCATGCATAGGCGTAACACTTACCTCTCCGGGCAAATGATTGCGTGTTCAAATTCTCGTCGTGCATCGCAGGTTCGTCCGAGATGATCTCGCCGTTTGGGTCGAACCGATTCCAGCAGTCGCAGTGTGGACATCGGAACGACCGAGGATTGCGAGGTATCGGGCTGATGATTGACTGGCAGAAGAAGCATATCACAGAGCTATGTTGTTTAAATATCTTGGACATTCGTCGGTTTGCAAGAAGTGGAGGCTCGAGGAGGTCGCCGGGGGCGTTGCGGAGGGAGTGCGGGAGAGGCGCTGTTACGCCACGAGCGCGCGCGCGATGTTGTTGCCTATTTTGCACGCGAGACGCGTCCGGAAGCGCCGGTGCATGACGCACTGTGCCTGCGCAGCGACCGCGATGTCGACTGCTGCAGGCCCGTCTGCAGTCCGCGGGGACATCACTCTCCAGCCATCGTATTTCACCTCCTCGCTCTATGTTGAGCCCCTCCGTGAGGACATAGCCACATCGTCAACCTCTTCGCTCAGCAGTACGTAGAGACATGGCCACCCACCCAGCCATTCGCGCTTTTCAAGCGTCTCTGGTCAGACCAGGGATGGTGCTGGTTGCACCTCAAGGTACTCGACGCCCGCGCAAGGGAAACTTTCGTCAATGTCACTGAGAGGCTGTTTATCGGTACGAACTCCGGCCGGCCGCTGAGTTAAATGCATGTTCACTTGTTGCTGCAGAACGCTTGGCAGATGGGGAACCTCTGTTGGCCCGAGTGGTTGTCCTCTTTGCGCTGTATGCATTCCACCTCAGTCAACCAACCGCTCAAAATCCGCCTGTCCATTCTGTGGGGCACATTGCCATTCCATTAGGTGCGTCCGTGGTCGCATTCACCGTTAGATGTCATCTGACTGCGTCAGACATCTACAATGCACTCCTGCTTCTCCCTTCGAGCCTCACGGACCCTGAATTATTACCTCTTCAGCCGTACGCCATCTACGTCCTGAAGACACTCGAGGATGCGAAAGCATTTCACATCCTGCCGCAAGCTGGCCTACGCCCGTACACACCGAGCGTCTTACCGCGAGAGCTGTTCGTAACCGAAGAACAGGAATCTGCCATCATGGCGGCCTTAGGTGGCAGCGCCTCGACGCCGGGCGCGAGTGGCGTATCGAAAAAGAAAGGCCGGCCGTCACGCCGCGATAAGCAGAAGAAAGCAAAAGACGCGCTCGCTGCCCTAGAGAAATACCTCGAGAAGAACACGACCACACTAGCTCTTGAAGCCACGCCAACATCGCAATCTGCAGCCGCGGATCGCCCACATACGACCCATCGCATGGTTGCGCACCCTCCTAGCACGACACGCGAACAGTATCGGCTCCACAAGGTAGAGGCACTGGAGTGGTTGGACGCTAATGGTGCGGAGGCGATATCGGGGGAGACGAACCCACGCGGGATGTAAACGCCGGACGAGAGGCTTTACAGCGTGCGAATGAAGCCGTCCTGGCACGCCTCAAGATGATCGATGAGATGGCCGCTGAACAGGGCTTAGAGGTGGGCGGTGAAGGTGGGGAGAAGACAGGGCTTGCGCGCGTCGAGCGCGCCGTGCACGAGCTGCTCTCGTCGGGGAGCTCGACTGGGAGCGTGGGCATCCTGGGGCTGCTGGAGGGCGCCGGCCTCGACGCGCGCTGGGAGCTGTGACTGGCGGCGATGGCGGTGCGCGCTTCGCGCGGCGTTGGCATCCCCGCTGTCGGACTGGATTCAAGGTTAGGTCTGGTGAGGCGCGTCGAGAGTGGCTGGAGGCTGACTTCGGAACACCCAGGGCGGACCAGGGCGTAATATACCGATCACAATCATCAAACGCCAAGGACAGCCTCGTCGGGCTCGGTACCCCTGGGAGTTGGTCGTGACTAGTCCTTCGCTCGATCAGGATGGCAACGATACACAGATGTTTATTGCAAGGCGCTTCAGAAGGACAGCCTAGCACGCGCCTGTCCATATGCCGCATCTGAGCACCTGCTCAGGCGGTGTACAAAACCATGCTCGTCCGAATTGCGGATCATACACACCTCTCCTTGACCTCTCCCGCTGCCCGTCTGTTGTCCTCGAGCCCTTGGCCCTTGTCCTCGGTCCTCCCCACCGATGCCCCTCGCACGCAAGCCCCCATCGGCTCGAGCTCAACCAACCTCTCCTTCGCACGCCGCTCTTTTGACTGCTCGGCCACGGCCGAGTCCACAACAGGCTGCTTATGGGCAAGCGCCGAACGCGGTTTGTGCGGTTTTGCGACGCCTTGATAGCGGGCTAAAATTGCCATGGCAGAGTCGATTCTCGTCGCAGAGTGTTTCGTCGACAGGGTTGACTGAGAAGGTTCGCCAGAAATATGATACTCTCTTGACGCGTATGAATGAATGATCAGTTCAACCTTTCGCCCGATCCGCGGTCGTGGAACTCAGCCATCGCACCCGGCGTCGTGGAAGATGACGACGACATCACAATCCAGACTCACGACAGAGCCGAGGCAACTTTGACCGAGATTGGAACATCTTCACTTGGAGAGGTCTCGTAAACATCGGCAGTTTGACTCTCGTTTTTCTTGGGATTCTCGCGCTCTTGTGCGTTGAACGTTGATCTCGCATCAGGCGCGGGTTGCCGAAGCTGACCTCTGAGCAGTGCTGGGTACCCTATCATTCTGCTCTAACAGGCACCAACAATCCTACAACGGCGGCTTCAACGTGGCGGCATCAATCCTCGGGTCAAGTACCAAACTTGATCGGTGGTTTCGGTGCCATCGATCCTCAGACACCACAAGAGGTACGCAACAAGAAGGACTACGTCAACGGGAATGAATGGCAGCTGGTATTCAGCGACGAGTTCAACACGCCAGGGCGGTCATTCTGGCCAGGAGACGACCCATACTGGGAGGCGGTGAACCTGCACTACTGGCAAACGGGTAACTGGATGGCTCGATCCCACGCTGTCACGACCAAGGATGGCGCACTGGAGATCACGATGTCGGTGAAGCCGAAGAAGGTTGAACTACACGAGCGGTATGATCACGACGTGGAACAAGTTCTGTTCCAGGGCGGCCTGCTGGAGGTCAACGTGTCGCTGCCTGGTGCTGCCAATGTCGTTGGGCTTTGGCCTGCTATCTGGACCATGGGTAACCTGGGGCGTGCGGGGTACGGTGCTAGTCTGGAGGGCATGGTGAGTCCACATCCGATGCTGCAGGTTAAGCCTTAGCTCATCTCGATGCACTCAGTGGCCGTACTCGTACGACACGTGCGATGTAGGCACAGTAAAGAACCAGTCCCTGGGCGGCGTTCCTGACAACCCGGCCGCCTTCTCCTGGTTGCCCGGGCAGAAGCTTTCACGGTGTACGTGCCCAGGCTCGACTCATCCAGGTCCTATGCATAATGACAACACGTACGTCGGACGGGCTGCACCTGAGATCGATGTATTCGAGGCTTCGGTGGTACGCACAGCATCCCTGCTCTTCTCACCTTAACCCAACGTTGAGTTTCTCCTTAGTCCGTATCGGGTACTGGACAGGTCTCCCAGTCTGCACAATGGGCGGTATGTCGTAGTCATCTGGTCATCTGTATGGAGGCCTAGTTTCTAATTCGTGCTCTGCGTTAGCCTTTCGACTTTAATCACCAGTACCAGAACGACTCGAGTGACATCTACGTCGCAGACTCCAGCATCACGGGCTTGAACCCTTACACTGGGGCTTCATACCAAGAGGCAAGTTCCGGCGTCAGCAACACTGGTAAGGATCGGCATCCTATGTTCGATGGGCTGGTGACAGGAGCTCATGACTGCGGACAGACCAGACTGCCTGGGAGCTCAGTGGTGGCGGGTACTCGGTATACGGTGTTCAATATGAATATGGTTTCGATGACGCGGTGAGTCATATACACGCCTCGTCATTTCGAAGCGGATGAGGTTAATTTTGATTTGAAACGTAACTCAGTATATCGCCTGGGTCGCGAGCGACAAATTGACGTGGTCGATCAAGCAGACTGCTGTGGGGCCGAGCAGCAAAGTCCAGATTGGTCAGAGACTGGTGTCGCAGGAACCTATGGTGCGTGTTCCCGACCGTGTTGCTTGCTCATCCTCTGAACATGTACCTCGGCAGTACATCATCATGAATCTGGGTATATCGGAGGGCTTCGGAGGGAATGTGGACTTCGCACATCTCGTGTTCCCGACGACGATGCGGGTAGACTATGTTCGCGTTTACCAAGACCCAAGCAACGTCAAGACGAGCTGTGACCCTCCCGACGCGCCGACTGCATCGTACATCAACGCGTACGTAGCCTATCATCATGGGTGTGCGTGCTGATTCCAATATCAAATCTATGCAGGTTCCAGGGCGCGTACACGAACCCGAACTACACCGATTGGCAAACGCAGTACGGTGAACCATTCCCGGGAAACCATTGGGCAGGCGATTGTTGAGCTTTATTATGACGCGACGAACATTGACGGACAGTATGTATTCTTATACTATTAGTGTAATGCTGTGATCTCGCTGCTATGGTGGGTCCGGTTGATGGGATTATTTTGGTCTCCGTGGATAGGTCTCTGTGTGTCCTCGCTTCCAGGCTCCGCGAAACGCTGCAAACCCGGCCGACTCGTCTAGTGTCCTCACTGAGTTGGGGCAACCAATGTATGTATGTATGTCGCGAACGGTCGCTTGCGCGGAAGGCTTGCACACGGATGCAGCATCCAGTTTTAAGCGCCGCTTGGCCAGAAGTGATTGCCGCCCGAAAAAGATGTGCGTCCGGCGCGATGATTGGCCAGGGGAGCGTCCGACGAGGCGGAGTTGAATCGGGCTGGAACAGGTGGCGCTGGCAACCGCGTTGTTTCCATCGGCGTTCGATGTAACAGAGGATAACCTCCATCCACTGTCTCTCCTCCGACTCGTATACCCTTCGTCGCTCCTCGCATCGACCCCCGCGTACGGCAGCAACCATGGCTTCTCTGGGCCCCAACTCTCAGAGACGTTACATTCAACCTGACTCTCCTTCTACCACCAATCTCTTGGCACCCCAGTCGGCACGGTCTCCAAATGGCGTGCAGGCCGCGTCTTCCCACTCGCTACGCAGTATGGGCAGCAGTACTTCATTGGTATGTTACACCATTGCTCAGAGGCTAGCCCGTACCCACACAAGCGTCGCTCCAGAACGACAGTCAATCCCGCTACGCGCCTAGCGTAGTAGCACCTTCGATATCGGACAAGGTATGTCATCGTCATCGCGCCTGTTTACGTACCATGTCACGTCTGACTTTTCGTCCAGTTCTCTCTTTCGCCAGATCCTACATCTTGGGGTGCCTACCTTACGCCCGACGTGCCAGAAAGCGATGACTACCTCCACAACCCCGACCCTAAGCGTGACCGAAAGAACGACCAGGGCGGCAATATCTTCACGTACAGAGGAATCACCAACCTTGGCTGCCTGATGATCCTCGCAGTCGGAACGGTCACTCTTTTGTGCGTCACACGGGGCGATCTCCGGTGCTGCACCTACTCACACGTTGATTCACAGCGCGGGATACCCGCTTATCAGTCATTTCACCAAGAAGTCGCAGTCGTACGCAGGTGGCTTCAACTTGGGTGGAGTCAACGCGTCAGGCCAGATTCCGGAGCTCATTGGCAACTACGGGATGGTTGACAAGCATACCCCTACGGAGGCGCGCACCAAGACTGATCTTGTATCGGGGCAGAAATATGAGCTCATCTTCAGTGACGAGTTCGAGGTGGATGGGCGTACGTTCTGGCCTGGCGACGATCCTTACTGGGAAGCGGTCACTATGCACTATTGGTCCACAAACAACTTGGAATGGCTGGATCCAACAGCCGTTACGACCGCCAACGGGAGCTTGCAGATCACCATGCAAAAGAAACCCAAGAACGGTCTCGATTTCACTAGCGGAATGATGACGACATGGAACAAGTTTTGCTTCACCGGTGGTCTTGTTGAGGTGAATGTGTCTCTCCCTGGAGCCAACAACATCATGGGTTTCTGGCCGGCTATCTGGATGATGGGCAACTTAGGTCGTGCTGGTTATGGCGCTACCCTTGACGGCACGGTGAGTTCTGTGGTAACTCGCAAGAGCATTTTGCTGACCTGCAAATAGTGGCCTTACACATACGATGCTTGCGACGTGGGCACCCTAGCGAACCAGACGAAGAACGGGCTCCCGCTGGCCGCTACCCAGAATGGCGATCCTGCATTCGGCGACGTACTCTCATATCAGCCAGGACAGCGTCTGTCGCGTTGCACTTGTAAAGGTTCATCACATCCTGGACCTATGCATGCGGATGGCACCTACGTCGGGCGCTCAGCACCGGAGATTGATATCTTCGAGGCAACGGTATGAATGCAGTCTTGATCCGTGTCACCTATCGTTGCTCATACTTAGTTTTTGACAGATCAGTGGCGGTATGGGTCAGGTATCCCAGTCTGGGCAGTGGGCAGTAAGTATGCCATCTCAACGTCGTGCCGCTCCTGAACATTTGTCGTGTAGCCGTACAACCACCAGTATCTGTGGACCAATACTTCAGATACCTATTCGATACGCAACGAGACGAACACGATCTTGAATAGCTACTTGGGTGGCGTCTACCAGCAAGCAACCTCGGCGGTCAGTAACACCGGTAAATACATCTTTCAGTGGTATTATACCATTCTCATTGAAACCACTACCTGTTTAGATCAGAACGCATATGAAAAGACGGGTGGATATGCCATCTACGGCCTTCAGTATGAACCCGGGTTCGACAACGGGGTAAGTCTGGACCTGTCACGAAATACCTGAAGAAGTTTCCTGACTGTAGATTGTAGTACATCGCCTGGATCAACAATGCCGAGATAGCATGGACGCTTTTAGCTGCAGGTGTCGGTCCCGATACCACCGTTGAGACCAGTGCCCGTCCTATCCCGCAAGAGCCGATGGTATGTTGTTTGCTAAAATGAATAACGTGCCGTTTGACGGAGATTTGTGACGTAGTACCTCATCATGAACTTCGGCATGTCACACAATTTTGGTTTCGTTGATCTCGACAATTTGCCATTCCCATCCACAATGCGCGTGGACTACGTTCGTGTCTACCAGGATCCGAGCAAGAAGAACTATGGTTGCGACCCGGAAGACTTCCCGACAGCAGCGTACATCAATACGTAAGTCCCGCCTCGATACGAGATTTGAACGCGACTAACAACCATCTCAGGTATATCGAGGCGTACAACAACCCGAACTTGACGACGTGGGTCGACGACTTCGGCCAGGTCATCCCCAAGAACAGTCTCATCGACAATTGTTCATGACGTGTGTATGACTATGCCGATACGTCAGTTACCCGTAGTTACTGTCTGTAGTCGAGAGATCCACCTACTTACGCTTTCGATATCCTATTGGGACGCTTGATGTGACCCGTCTGCCTCTACTCTTAGCATTACATACTTGTCTTGTCGCATTCGCTTCTTTCTCTCAACGATGCGCCACTAGTGCTTCTTATGTAACATCTCGTCGGGTGAGGCGGAATAGACTGCAGGCCTATACCAGGGTCATGTACACGACGTACATGCTAGGATCATAAGATTGCTCTATGCTAGGTTGACTATGAAAACAACAGCAATGCACTAAAACAGATAACATGCAACGAAATACCCCTGTGCCCACTACCGTGACCGTTGCCACAGTCTCGCGTTGTTCAACTCTGCGTAGCGGGTGGCTTGGGAGGGTTGTCCAGTAGTGCCTGAAGCTTGGCTAGTGTCCGTTCCAATGCGATGATTCCTCCTCCAGTCAATCTCGGGACGGCGAGTTCCCGGTCGGCCTCTGTCTCCTCTTTCGAGAGCTTGCTCTTCTCGATCAATGCACGAGCGTCGCTCAGCACCTTCGCCAGTTTGGTCTTCGTGTAGTAGAACCAGTAAATCTCCTTCTCCAAGCCGCCCAAGGGGATCTCTAGTGCCCGACGGACGAAGCCACGAGAGAGCACGTAGGCCTTCTCGCTGTACAACCGGCTGGTGATGGTCGATGTGAGCTCCGACGGACCCATCAGCGTCAGTACAGTGAAGAACTAACCTGTTCACTATTCCTTCTTCTGTACCCCTAAGCTTCTCGTAGGCAGGTTCGCAGAACCAGCTAGGAGGACGGGATGAACATTCATTGAACGGAGCTGACCAAGGCATGTTCGACTTACGGCTCCCTGACGAGCACTACCCTTGTATTGAGACGAAGGCTTGCAGCAACGAAGATCTTGAGGCACTCCACGTTTCGCTCTTGTCGCCGGCCCATGTGCCGAGAATGGACAAGCAGACCTTACCCTCTTCATAGAGGTTACTATTCAGAATAACCGTCATGCCACGTTTCTCGGGAATCATCAAGTGTGACGCACGGGTTCACTGAAAGAACGGTCAGTCATAAGGACAAGGTTGAAACGAGACTACGCACCTCTGCCATTCCCATTTGTCCAGCTCAGGAAGTGCGCGATAGGTGGACTTTGCGGGAAATTCGAGTCAAGCATCCAGTCGATCACGAAGGGGCATCTTGATATGGCGTGTTCTCTGGTCCAATGATCAAGCATCGCAGAAGATCTGTTCGGTCTTCGTATGCTCGGATCAGGATAGACTCTATGGGCCAGGTCAGTCGCGAAGGGCGTATACGAGTCGAGGACAGTACCTGGTAGACTGCTCTGGAGAGCGCGGTATTCTCGCGAGAGACGTGCCATGAATCCCCGCGAGTCTGGGCGGGAGGCGACGAGTAGAACGCATGGTCAGCGGGCGCAGACGGTAGGACCTCGAATCGTTTCCAATGTTCATCGCGGTCCTCCGCGTCAGTTGCCTCCGCGTCATCCGTCTCCGTCGCGTCCTGTGGTACGTCGGGCGATTTTGGCCTAGCGGATTTGGAGGTACTGTCCACTTTCTCGACTGGCGATGCGGGACCAGCTTCGGACGCCACTGCGAGGGGTACCTCGTGGTCTTGGTGGTGCACGGTGGGGTCTGACGATGACCATCCCTCTTCGTCGTCGACCTCCATGGTGTTGTCTTCCTCGCCTTCGTCCGTCGACCAGTCCCCGGTGTCCTCCTCGTCCTCCATCCCGACCCATTGTCCCTCCCCGTCCATCTCCCAGACTTCGACGTCCTCCTCGACGTCGATGTCGCTCCCCTCCTCGCCTTCCGAGACGTCATCGCCCCAAAGTTCCTCGATCTGCTCCAGACCGTCCGCGAGCTTGGTCAGTCGCTGGAGCGGCAGGATCTCCGTGGTACCACTGGGAAGAACGACCTCGACGGTCCCATCCATGTGCAGCTGCGATTCGATCAGGGGTCTCCCACCAGACATCTCGGAACGAGCACTCACATCAACGACCTCACCGAACCAGTCGAGATGCGTGTCCCCCTTCTGCGGGCGCTGCAGCTCACCTTCCTCGATAGTCGGGTCCTTTCCGCGGCGTTCCGCAATCTTGTTGCCAATCTCCGCCATCTCCCTTCGCCAGCCGCCGAGGTGGCCGTCCCCGAGACGACAGGCGGCTCACGGACCCACTCCTCCACCTCGCCTATCCGGGGCACCATCGGTGGTTCTGCGCCGTTCGTCACGTCCGCTTGTGGATGAAGACGAAGTCGCCGCGGTGGACGCCCAGCCCGTCTGTCGGGGCGACGCAGACCAGTCAGATGTACCGTGCGGGTCGAGCTCGAGAAGAGACGCGAGCTCGACCTGCCCGTTGTCTTCGCATCGGACGTGGGCGATCCTGTCGACGGCGTTGACGTTCTGGACAATTGCTGCTCGTTTCTGGTCTTCGGTCTTCCAGATGACATGATCACCCGGCCTGGCGAATTATATTCAGCGATGCATTGTATCCTTCCAAAGCGACGTATACTGACCAGCAGTCATACTCGTCGGGGTTCAGGTACGGGATGGTCTGCTTCGCGTCCAGTGCCTCCCGCGTACCGTCTTGCCAGAGCACGTTCACGAGCGTTTGGGTCTCCTTGACAATAAACGTCCGTACTTGGAGCATGTGGCGAGGGTCGTCTTCTTTGCCGTGCTTGGTGACGGGGACTCCAGTGGAGTCCTTTAGGACGACGCGGTCTCCTACACGGATGGCCTGTTCTGCTCGTCGGCGAACGAGGGTGAGTGTGCTGAGCGAAGGACCGGACCAGAAGCGGGCCGGACGCAGACGAGACTGTGCCTCTTTGGGGTCCAGCTGTGTGGATTAGCTGTAAGACGAAGGCTCTGGCCGGATAACTGTCAGACATACCGATTGGTTGATCGCCAACCATGCGATGGCGAGTACTGTGCGCCTGACTGCAACCACTGTGTCCTGGTTGCTGGGGCGCACGTTGCCCAACAGAAAGCCAAAAAGACTTTGCACGCCAGACACGGGCTGCGGTAGAACGTCCTGTAAAAGACCTTAGCAAATGCCATCGCATTCAATGAAGAGGTACTAACAGATCCCTTCTCCCCCACGGCAAGACGGGCACTAAGCTCCGGGACGCGGACGAGGTTGCCGTTGCCCATGTCTATCACGGCTTCGTCGAACATCTGGGGATGCTGTCAGTATACGCCGTGAGTTCCACGAATTGGTGCATACCTCAACGACCTGAACAAGCCGTCAGCAGACGTATCACTTGATTTGGTGGATGCAGTCTCACCTGGCCGATCCAGTCGTCGTGCACGACATAATCACCCATATCCACGTCAATGGCGGTCTGTACATCGCTCGTGGTCTTCCATTCTGATAGTGGTTCTTCGCTAATCGCATGTTCGAGGCGGCCCTTGACCTCGATTCTGGTGCACGACGCTGTCAGCTGTATGCACCACCCGACAGAGGATGTACGCACCCTGTCACGACTCCCGAGACGACATCGTCCACACTCCGCTTGAGCAAGTCGCCGGGCTGGTAATTCCGGTCGACAAGCTCCAGTTGGGACTCGGGCAGGATCTCACGCGAAGGGCGAGGAAAGTAAGAGACGCCGACCTCGCCCTGCAGATCGAGGGTAAGAGTTCAGTGAAGAGACCGCAGAAAAGTCTGCCGCGACATACCGGCTTCAGTGGTCTCATTAATGGGTCTGCGTTCTCCGCAGGCGGTGGTAGGTCTTCTGCATCGTGCCAACATCGCTGGTGCGCGGGAGTCAGTCTCCAGTACGAGTCGCATGCAGAAGCTGCGTACCAGAACGATGCCATATAGTGCCGGGTCGTCCTTTCGCCTAACGATGTCCTCCTGGTAGAACTGGGTAGATAGCAGAGAAGTTATAAACCAAGCGAAGGGACCTCATCGGAAACGTCGGCTGGAGCCTCACCTTCGCGGTTACGCCACCACGACGACCTGCAATCGGCATGTCGTCCTCGAGGCTGTGGGTACGTTCGAAAGGCTCTGTCGTGTGTCGTGGAGGGTGCTGGTGGCCAGCAATCGAGCAGGGTATGATACAAGGTTGTTCCCGTCCTGAGCGTCCTGGCCTGGAATTATGGCGCAGATGACTGTTTACCGTGACTTCGCCGATCCCCATTCGTCGCCCTATCTCTGCTCCCACCACCTGCCCACCCTCTGTTCAAACCACGACACATCCTTCTCTGCAACGCTCCCAACCGATTGGCAGCCCTATTCTCGGGAGTGGGCGACATCCGACACCGCTAGCCATGCATCTGCGGTTTCGACAGACAGCGTGATGAGGGATGTCCTCTGCTAAGGCTGTTAAGTTACTCTCAGCAGTCGATGATCGCTGCTGCTATGCAGCTGAACCACACAAGACACATTTCGATAAACGACACTGGCATCACGAAGACCGCATCGCCAGAATATCACACCGTTACTGTATGTCTTTCTATGCTCTGTGTCGTCATGCCTGTGTTCTCCATATCAGCAGTGTTCTGGTGAGTTGAGTTCAGACCAGGATACATGCTGCTGTCTTCGATGTATGTACCTTGAACCATAGCTCAGAGTCCCTCCACAATGTCCCCGACAGGGCAGTGCAGTATTCCGTCGTGTTGTCAGCAGGCAAGTGCCACCGCTATACAGTCGATATGTACATGAGACATTCGTATATACGCGTCAATGACAGCTGGCTTCATCGCAAGTACTGTCGCTCCTGTGGTCAAGTCAAATAGGGCCTGAGATAAGCTTGTCAGTTAAGTAGCGGGACCAGCGATGGAGTACGTGTGCACCCATTGGCGGTGTAAGAGGGTAGTGGATGCGGCAGAGACAGAGAGGAACGGTTGATCAAGCGCTCGCGCCGAGCGCGCATGCATTGTTGTGACGCCAGTGACGTCGCGGTCGACGTCCTCGTGAGTCGGTCCAGCTTTCGGACGATCCTCACTCTCGCTCTCACCACGCAGGCCTGACCGCCGTCAGTCTCGACATATATTTCTCTGAAGACGCGTTCATAATGGCTTTCAAGATTGAGGAGTTACCTACCGAGCTCGTCGCGCATATTCTCGCGGATCTTGACTGTATCGACTTGTTGAGATGCAGAGAGGTCAGTCTGCATTCGCACTTTCAGGGCAAGCACCTACGAGATGCGCCTTACACCTGCTATAGGTCTGTCGTATGTTTGACGCTGTCGTCGAGGACAGCGCCGTCCTGCAGTACAAGATAGAACTGCTGAAAGCCGGCCAGGAAGATAACCATCGTCTGGGCATACTCAGCGCGGCGGAACGCCTGCAGCTGCTCCGGAAGCACCAAGCGGCCTGGGCGTCGCTCGACTTCAGTTACCAAAAGTCGGTACCCATGCTCATCGGTCACACCTGGGAGCTTTACGGCGGAGTGTTGGCGCAGGGGACGGACCAGTCCAATCTGAACTTCAGGCAGCTGCCGTCCGCGCTCAGGAGCATCGAGGAGAAGGAGTGGAAGATCGAGGGGCTCGGTTTCGAGATTCGCGACTTCTCGATGGATCCTGCGCAGGACTTGCTGGTGGCCATCCAAATGCCGGATTCGTGAGTGCCTTCGTCTTTCTGGGCTCATTGAGGCGTTAGCATTTATCTGTGCACGGGAAGGCCGACCAGCGTGTTCCACGTCCACCTACGCAACATGTACACCGGTGCACCACACCCCGCTGCACCCAACCCCGCCGTCCTCACGCACCAGCCCGATGGGACGCAAGCATCTTATGGCATCCAGATATCCGGCGACCACATCGGCATCTTCGTGTTGAGTGCGAACGAGATCAGCAACGAGGTCGTCATATGGAACTGGAAGACAGGCGTCTGCAAGCTCGTAAGCTCCTTATTTCCAAGGCCTGAGCCTTCTGGACGTGAAACGCTGATGTGTGTGCCTTCCCTTTTACCGTGTCTGCCCGCAGCGCTACGTTGGCGGACGCTGGACAGCTTCGCGTTCCTATCTGAGCGGCACGTCCTCATCGGACTCGCGAAACGGCCTCTCAACCAGGCCGAGCTGCAGGCGCTCAACATAGCGGATGAGCCCCAGCTTCTGGTCGTCGACTACCTTGCGGGAACCGGCGACCTGGTGAAGCTCGAGGACGCCGACTTTGTCTGTGCGTTCCACTATCCCGTCATGGTGGCCCATGCAGTCCGCTGGTATCACTATCAGGTCAGACCCAGCGCCTGGATGGACACCACACCCGGACCTCCGCGCCGTTCTACACAGCTCGTGGAGATAGGCTGTTGGCGATCAGCTTCACGGTCTACTCGATTCTGGAGGGGCACACCCAGGCGTTGCTCTTCGTCCGAACGTCAACATTTCTGTCTCACGTCGACGTTCTCAAAAGCGACACAAAGCGCCGCTTCCGATGGGATGAGTGGGGCCCAAACCAGACACGGATGCTGCGCGCGCCCCGTACCCACTCTTCTGTCTGGGTCTGCTACGTCTTTGGGATGCGGTTCGTCACGTTCAGGAGACGGCGCGGCCAGCCGACGTGTATCAAGATGTACGACTTCAGTCGATATCCGCGCGATCGTCGGACGGCGCCGGAGCCGGACGAAGGGGAAGACGTGCTTGGCCTGGAAGACCGCTGGATGGACGGGGAGACTGAAATGCCAGAGGGCATCTTTGAAGACAAGGTTACGACGTCGTTGCCCTACCACACGCGCTACATGATTCCGCCCCGTGGGGACGGCGAGAAGGACATCCAGTGTGTCATGCTGAGCGAGGACACTATTATCACCATGTGCGGTGTGAGTGCAGCTCACCTACGTTTGGCGGTGCTTCCTGACCATCCACCAGGTCGAGGACCACGGTCGCAACATTCGGCTAATGACTTTCTGAATCTGGACGCGGATCTCGGGGATGCGGTCATGAGGCGGTTGCCCATGGTCCTTCTCGTGGTTCTGCTACACATACAGGAACGCTGGCCGATGATCTTCAGCTTGCGCCCTCGGTCGTATGTCAACGCGACTGCGGGGGCTATGCACGGCTAAGGCAGGCGTCATCCCGGATATCAGGTCTTCAGGAGTGAAATCCGCGCATCATGGCACGTTAACGCTGTATGCAGACATAGGCTCCGTGCGTGAAGCGGATGGATCTATAGAGAATGCCATTGTATTATAGACAGCGCAATGAATATGGGTATGCATGACGTGCCATGAGCACTGAGCAACATGCGCTGTTGGGTGCAGATGAGGGATTAAGTTCGCGGGCTCTTGCAGTTGGACGACCGCAGCCGGGTCGGAAGGAACGCGATGCTGAACGTACTTGCAGCCAATCAGGACGGGGCTGGCGCAAAGCGAGCGAGCGGTGCACGGGCGCCTCCGAGTCAGAGAGCTGAGATTGCCCTCACCTCACGCGCTCCTCATATTTACATACCACCCACCATGCCCTCCCCATGATCCACATAAATCTCGCCCCATCACCGGTCTCCCTGCTCAGTTCCCCCGCATCATCTGAGACTATGATCCCGCCCGCCGTCCGCCAGGGTACCTGCAGGATAGCGCCTGCTGCGACTCAGTCCCGCTCTGCGCAGACGTTCAGGGCCTTCTATGCTGTACGTTCGTCGTGTAGTCGTCGCAGACAACTCGTTGACATCGTACACGGCAGACAATACGAAACAACTGGCGGCAACCGTCAGCTCCCGCAGAGCCTGAGGATGTCGATCCTTCAGAAAAGGTGCGTGCAGGTCTTCGAGGGTCGCGGCGCGGGTCTGACCACATAGCGCTCAGGACTTCATAATGTCTATCTTGCGCGCGAATCCTTCTCTGCGCGACACCCGGTCCTATCTAGCCTCATTTGGTCCGCGTCCTAAGCCTCCATCGCCTGCCCCAGCGAAACGTACGGAAGAGTCCGCCCCCACCGCTATTCAAGATCGCAAGACGAAGGATGTTGTCCCGCCGGACATCGCCCAGCGACTGCAGAGTCCAGTCGTCGCGTCGATTCTCAACCCCATCGTGCGGCGCACGGCACTGGTCAAGGTCCAGGCGCCGTTCACCGACCGACAGCTGGAGAGTGTCGCGACCGGCATGGTTTACCTCGAGAAGCTAGGCCTCGTCAGCGTCATAGTCGTCGAAAACGACAGCCTGCCGAAGGGAGAGGCGGGCGAGCGCGCTGCGCTGTTGGAGGAGACGATGCGCGTCGTGAACGCACTCGAGAAGCAGGGCGCAAAGGCGCGTCCGGTGCTTGGCGCTGTCGTCCGTCTTGGGCCCAAACCAGAGGACGACGAGCTCGCAGCACAGCAGCGCGGATTCGCCGTCCCCGAGGCGCACACCTTCCCTTCTGACCTGGTCCACATACGCTCTGCGCTCCACGCAGGCGAGATCCCCGTGCTCCCGCCCCTCGCGCTCGACTCGTTCTGCCGCTCTGTACGGGTTGACGCGAACGACGTCGTCGCTGCGCTTACCCGGGGTATGGTAGAAGTGGCGGCTCAGGACGGACGTGGTCGGGACCCGGGCTTCGATGGAGAATCTGAGGACATGGATTTGACACCGCTGCGCCTCATGATCATCAACAAAGAAGGCGGGGTCCCTTCGTACGCGCGCTCTGGGCTCCCTCACCTTCTCGTCAACCTCAACGCTGAGTATCCTTACATTCACAACACCTTCGATCCTCGCTGGCACGCCTCGCACCCTACGGCTTTGTCTAATCTGGCCCTTGCTCGCACATGTCTCGAATATATGCCTCCCTCTTCGTCCGCTGTCATGGTATCCCACCGCTCGCCGAGCTCCCTCATCGCCAACCTCGTCACGAACAAGCCCGCCGTCAGCTCCAGCCTTCCGCATGCTTTGCTACAGGGTAACCGCAAACTCACCCCTGCTACCCCCACACTCCTTCGGCGCGGATTGCCCATTCGCGTCATCCGCACAGTCGCCGACGTCGACAAGGTGAAGCTGAAGGCACTCCTAGAGCAGTCCTTCCAGCGCATCCTCGACGAGGAGTCCTTCTGGCACCGGCTCGAGACGCACCTCGACTACGTGATCGTCGCAGGCGACTACGCCGGCGCCGCCGTCGTCACGCGCGAAGGCGGGCACGGCCCCGACGGCGAGCCCATCACCTACCTCGACAAGTTCGCGGTGCTGCCGAGCCACCAGGGCGACGGCACGGTGGACTTCCTCTGGGTCGCGCTGCACGACGAGTCGTACGGCCTCGGCCTGCCGTTCTCCGCGAACCCAAACGGGGGCAAGGAGGGCAAGGGCGAGGGCTGCGACCTCGTCTGGCGGAGCCGCGCGGACAACCCCGTGAACAAGTGGTACTTCGAGCGCAGCTCGGGGCATATCCGCATGGGCCGCTGGGTGCTGTTCTGGTGCGACGCGGAGGTGCGCTTGAAGACGATTGAGGGCCGCCGCGGCAGCCAGGGGCTGTCGTACGTGGAGGACTGGGAGCATGGCCGGCTCACGCACTGGGCCGACGTCGTCGACAAGATACCTTCGAGCTGGAAAAAGTAGTACGCCCTCCCTAATCGCTCTCGACATTATTTAGACTCGCTGGACCGGGAGAAAGTAACTGAAGTTGTAACGCGTTGTTGCAGTATCTCGCTTTTGTATCTCTAATGCTCTTGTTCACGCCATAGACACTGTACAGATGACCCTGTACTATCGTTGTTTTCCGCATATGAAGCAACATTGCATTAGTTCGTGACAATTACATACACATCCATAGATCATTATGAGTCATTCCATGTCCGTTCCAAGAAATGCGAGAGCAAAGCAACATTAATACAAACGAGCTTCTCAGAACATCATAGTTTAGCTCGAACGAGCAGCACGCCTCTTTGATCTGCGCTTTGGAGGCGAACTCGAAGGCGTAATGGAGAAGCTCGGTCGCGGTGTGCTCTTGAGATCCTTCGCGTTCTTGTTCGTCTCGACGATCTTGGCAAGATCGCCCTTCCTCTTCCAGGGCGCCAGCTTGTGCACTTTCCGCTGGACGTCGTCCACAAGCTGTGCAACATCTTCAACGACGCAGTTAAGGAAGCCGTTGACGGTCCAGTGGTCGAGGTTCTTGACGAGTAGGTACACCTGAAGAATGTCGGCAGGCTGCTCCAAGTTCCATTCGTGGAAGACCCCGCTCGTCCTGCGGTTGCTAGGATTCGTTCCTGCATATGCGGCAGAACGGATCACCTGTGCGTAAAGGAACCGTTCAGTTCGGCTTCTACGCCATACTTGCAATGCACACTTACCGGCTGACCGGTGTTGGGATCAACCTCCCACCAGTCGACATGGGCCCTTACCGTTCCTTGGGCCCACACGAGCCCGAAGATGGGCGCGCGGATGTGCAATGCGTGTAGCTGCCGCACGGCACTCGCCGTCGCCATCCGATTCTGTCGATGGGCGTCCTCGATGTACTGGTGCTTCTTGTCTTCCCAGTACGTGCTGGCAAACTCGAAGCCCTGCACATCCGGCAGCTTTGTGCACGGCGTCGTCTGGTACCGGAAAGACGACTCGCCGCCAATGCTGCCGGTGGAGGACATCTTGCCATTGGACAACGACTTCAGGACCTTGTATGGCGAATTCGAGCCATAGGAGAGGTGACGGACGAGGCGCGCCGGTACGAAGATCGAGGCGTCTGGCGAGGCCGTCTTCGCGCTCAAGATCCGCAGGTCTTCCGTCTTGATACTGGAGATTGACAAGGGTTGCGGTAGCGTGATCGAGCACTGCGCCCTGTTGAACATTAGCTCAACATGTTGCTCAAGTCAGAGGTCGGGATTACGCACCGATAGTCGCCTTTCTGCACCGCAGGACTACGTATGACATTGTAGCTGGCAAGGCCTGTCAGCGCCGATCGAGAGGTAGTAGCATACAAAGGGCACAAACACATTGGCAGCGTAGTCCGCCTCTGACCACTTACGGCTTGATGCACGCATCTTCTTGATACGTTTCCATGCGCTGAGGACGACCTGTAGTTCGCAGAGCAGCTGCTTGTTTTCCTCCTTTGCCACTTGGGAGGCGAACAGCGCTGGGACTGCCTTCCTTGCCCTGCGAATGAAATCCGAAAACTCGACTGGAAGGGCTTTTTTTATGAGTTTGGATTCCTCTGAAGACTAGCCGTACAATGAGACAAGTGTACTCAATTCATGACAGCCAAGGACTTACTGTGCTGAGCCACTCTTCGGGCAGTCGGGCGTCGACATTGAAAACACCGTGCACGATGGTACCCATGTCTTCTGGTATATCATCATAGGAAACCTCTTCGCAGCCTTGATGAACCGTCCAGAGCTCGAAGCTCTTGACATTGCGCGCAATCCTGATATGCCACAGAAGGATTGAACTTGAAGTCAGCAACCAGGTATTGAAACACTGGCAAACATACTGCGACGCAGACTGACACCTCGGCTTCCTCGACCGGCCTTTCGTCGTGTTGTCAGACTCGTACGACTCCCTTCGCGACATGTTGCTTTGGCAATGGTGGGTTTCGTAGCCACACAATCAATGTGGGGTCAGTCCTCGACGCGTTATGTGTACAAGAGTTAATGAAGCAGATAGGGTAGCACTGGTACAGTCGTATTCGTGAGTGGGTCGTAAGTAGAGTGGAAGTTGGGAGATGGAAGCGAGATGGATTTGACGCCCTCCGGCGGTGGACAAAGGAACAGTCCCTCAACGCGACACGACCCCACTGGCAAACGGAACCAAATTCAGATCACGGGACCGCGTAAGTGCTATCCGCCATAAAATATTATAAGGGCCCATGAACAGACTGAGCCGGCCCAGATCGCTGTTGCGAGTTTACGCAGGGCTATCGAAGAAATGCTATCGAGTAAGATGCGGCAACTTCTGGAGCGTGATCGTCCACAATACAAGTGCATCCGAGGAACAGAACAGAGCTGGGTACCTGGAGCAAGATCAGCAATCTAGTAGCACGAGGTCTCGTTCACAAACAGGGCACCGAGTGATATCACCTTTAGCGTCCAAAACGGATGGCTCACTGTGCAGCAATAATGATATCATTAATTGGTATCTTACATTCTTCCCCCATAGATGGCGCAAGAATCGGATCCTCAGAAATACTTGTCCATGAGCTTTCGTGAGGCCTCGACACCCAACTGTAACAGTGGTGAGATGGGAGGACTGTATCAAAGGTAGGGGTAACACTCACGAACGTCGCCGCGTTTGCCGGGAAAGCCTAAGGAGACGAGACCTGTCAACGGACTGCGTGCTCAGAAGCTCAGTCAAACTCACCCGAGCCATAGCCGGCCCGAGGCCCTTCCACAAAGCACCAACGCCATCAGCAGCAATGGTCTTCCGCGCACAGTCCATGAAGCCAGAGTACGTGCCCGTTGGCGCAGACTGTATTCTTGACTTCAAGACCTGAACACACGAATATTTCGTCAGTCATCCGCAGACAACTTCTCCACAGAAACTCACATCAGGTGGTATCGCAATGGACCACATCGCAAGACCGGCGGTTCCTCCAGCCACGATGATCGCGCCGAGATTCAGATCCCCGCTCGACGCTCCGGCGGGAGTCAGAGCGCGTTTCGTTAGCTCGTACGCTGCGAAGTATGCAGCACTTCCCGGTCCGTCGCGTGCTACTGTCGCAGCAGAGCCTCGGAATACGCTGCGCAGGCCACCCTCCTTGTACAGGTGCTTCACGACGTCGAACACGCCGGTGTACTGAGGACCACCATGTCCCTGACCTTGAACCTAGGAGGTTCTCATCAGCAGGAACACCAAAGACGTAGCACAACACAGCGCACCTGCAGGAGGACCTTCGCGCGCTCGACTGGCGCAGTGACGAGTGTCGTGGGTATCGCGGAGAGGAATCCGGCAGTAGCCAGCTCGGATATTGATAGTGTTTGGTCAGTACGCTTTGGCGTTGCGGCAAGGATGAGTGCTTTCGACATGTCGTATGCCTTCAAGCTATCTTAGCACGCGTAAGCTTGATACGAAGGGATGAACATACGCACCCAGAATGAAACTGCGAATATAGGTGTCACACCCAGCAATGGTGGAACGACGCCACGGTACAGCCTGCAAGCAAGATAAAGACTTGGTAAGGATTCGGTAAAGTAAGGAGCATACCCAGTGAGTCCATCTCTCGCCACAGTCTTTTTCACCGCATCGAGTGCACCCGTGTACGTCCCAGAAGGTGCCGTCTGCAGTCGTGTCTTGGTCAGGTCGAAGGGATGACCTGCGATGCTCATTCGCCTTCGGCGTCCAGTTCTAAGAAAGCGAATCACTACTTACCTACGACCACAGCAGCGACACCACCGAACCCTCCCGCAAGGAACGACTTGATTGACTCTGCCGTCGACGTCGGCGCGTTCGTGGTCACAAGAACCTCTTCCGACGACGTATCGCTCTGCATCTACGATAGGCATCAGCACTCCTCCATAGCGCAACGCGTACTCACCATGGTAGTCTGTTGCAGAGTGTGAACTCTGCGGAGGGAAGGACGTCCGTCGGAAATACGAGAGGCTGCGCGAAGGACTGCCGCAGGAGCTGCATCTGGTCGGCTATAACGAGCTGCCAATGGGCGCTCGTGTCCGTCTGCGTCACTCGCGCGTGATTCCGTCCACGCCTTTCCCCGCATCCCAGTCCGGGGTACGCCGGTCAAATTCAACAGCCTCCAACAACCCGCCCGGGTATACGTACTGCACAAGTCATACGGTGTAGGTGCCTTGGAAATACTCATTGCACACAATGTTTTTCCAATCACCATCGATCTCTTGGAAGGTGCCGGTGAACGACGGACCATATGTCCGACTGCCATAACTTACTAGTACTGCACTGTAACTTCACCGCATCACCCGTATGAGGGCTCACCTACCTGTCAGCCTACGAGATTGTTGCGCACGCGCGCGACGATACACACCCTGCAACGGTTATAGCATACTAGAAGAACGCACTCATATCGAATTCTGGTACGGAGACATTTTGCTTGGCTGTCTTCATCAGACTACCAAGGCCAGCTTTTCGGGCAAGCGTATCTCCTTCCTCCTTCTCCTCTTTGAGCGGTCGTGTGTTCGCTTCGGAGACATTGGACGTAGGTGAAGCCGAACGAGTAGACGGAGCAGTGACTGGGTCCATGTCGATGAACACTGAGGCCCTGTGGCGCAGTGCCGGCTCCAGTGCAAGACGTGTTGATACTGGACTCGGAGGCTCAGGACGTGACAAGGGCTTGCTTTCAGGGACCACGACAGAGGGTCGTTGGAAGGACCAGGTCCGGACAAGGTCCAAGGCCAGGACATGGCAGCCTGTGCAGAACTAATTGAGCCTGCTGAATGAAGCACGCCTTTGCACTACACTCACCCATCCTGGAGAACACGCGAGCGATCTGAAGGACAAAATTGAACTCCGTTCGCCCAGAAATCTCGCTTGTACCCTTTGCAGTCTGCAGGGTCCTCGACTTGAGCTGCGAGAAGAGCAGGGCAAGACTGGGATCATCGTAGTGCGGGTCGCCAATCTCCGTGATCTGCACGTCTAGAACAGACGCGATGTCTTGCAAAGGAGTCTACGCATCCTCTCATCAATAGAAACCTCGCCAGGAAATATACGTTCTCTTACCAACAAGATTCGCACCGCGAGGTCACGGCGGTGAAGCAACCAGAATGTCCAGCTGGCTAGCCATCTATTGCCGTCTCTGAACGCTATAGGTAGCACGTTGTCCTTCAGCAGCCCCTGAAAGATAGGGCCATCGTCGCCTGATTCAACGACTCGGGCCAGCGCAACAGCTAATTGGAAGTCGTCAAGATTCTTGACGCAAACATTCACGGCGTCCTTCAAGCTCCCTCCCAGAAGGAAGAAGGCAGCAGCGTATTCTACCTGGACATCAGCGAAAGTGCGAGAAAAGCTCAAATTGAAGGGATGCCTACCGAACCGTCGCTTGCTCAGGAGTGCGAAGGCATTCTTCAGAGCAGCGGTGCGCCAACGCGGCTGCGTGAAGTCATTGTTGAGGAACTTCAGCATCTGCGACTGTTCTTTGTGCCAGGCCGCTTGCCGCCACAGGCCAAGTACAAGCCTCGACTTGCCGAGGGCGAAGTAAAAAAGGCTGCACGCCGTCGGGTCACGATTGTCGCCGGCCATGTACTGATTACGTGCAACGACCTCCATATGCGCTTTCTAAGGCCAAATATTAGGTGGGGTCTCGATGAGAGCGGAGTGCTCACCATGGAATCGATGGATCGTAGCCATAGAAAGACACCCAAAGAGCGGGCTTCAGACCATGTCATCTTGCCACTGCAAGCCGCTACCGATTGGGAGAGTAGCAGCTCCTGACTCTCGCTGTGGAAAGCCCATATCATGTCACGGTAGCGCAATCGTTGCCGAGGCCTGATACGTTTGTCGAACGTACCCGTCCTGCCTGAGGCGGGGGTGCTCGGGGCAGACAGGCGTTTATGACTGATGTAGTATGCTCGCATGGAAATCAGGTATCGCACACCGTTGGCGTCGAGGGCGCGCCGTTGCTCTTCGATCTACAAAAGACTCAGTCAGAGCTTCTCATGATACTTTCGGGTTCTCACCTCCAGTGTTGTCTGAATCAACACGAGCAGAGATGCATGTTCATTAGGCGTCAAATGCGGCAACGGGGTTTCCTCCAGTCGCTCTATCAACCGCTGGACTAGAGACCGGGAGAACGGATCCTCGTCGTCGCTGAAACGAGGTGAGAACTATACCCTGAGCATAGATACATGTTTACTCACTCATCCCTCGTTTCAGGTTCACTGAACAGCAAAGAATACTGCGGCCTCCGCGACGTGTGGGCCTGATGGACTATCAGGGGAAGTCCATGGCAACAGATGACATGACCACTAACCGCCTTCACGACCTCATCCTTTTTGAAGAAGTCATTCAGAGGAATACGTTGCCATTCCCAGGGACTTCGGCCGCTCTCTACGTGCCTAGCTAGATTGACGATTATTTGCTTCACGAGCTCGATTTTCTCTGCAGCAATCAGGAGATGAGAAACAATGTTGCAATACTGAGTCAGTGCCCTCACCCCACAACAGGCATTGAAGCATCATCTGGGGATGGTAGTCATCCAGAGGACCGTTCTGGCGCGCAACAACCTCGAAGAGGCTCTCATCACGCTCGTCGCCTGCCTTGCCCTTCGGTTGACCAAACAGACACATGTGGTGGCCTGCGCCGACGAGCAGCGATCCTCGGGCCAGCCAGATCGAGTCACCAATCGAGTGCGGGAACATCCTGTGCGACACATGAAGCTTGCAGTACAAAATGGTCAACCAACTAAATTCACCTCCCGATGTCGATGGTATGACAGCGGCCCCAGCCAGGTGTATCGTCGTAGTATGTCATGCGTTGTTGAGAGAGCAGCTCAACGTGGTGTGCGAAGCCGACAGCGAGGATGGATTGGGAGTCGGGCGTTGCCGTCCAGTCCAGGTCGTTGATAGGATCTGACGAGCTGAAGAGATCATCGTATGAGTATCGAGAACGGCATCCGGACAATGCCCGTACCTAAGCACTTCTTGGTACTCTAGTCCAGAGGAGAACTCCGACGTCTTTGAGTCCCAAATTGTCAGTTCCTCACCTTCGGGTGTAGGAACAACTGCGTACGATGAGTAGCTGGCATGAGCCCATTTTACGTCGCTTCGAGGAAGGCGACACAGCTTACCCAGAACAGACTTCTTCACCGAGCTACACGCAGCCCTGCTCAGTCCTCTTCGACCTGTGCGAACCAGCCCAGTACACCTCCACCCGCTATTCTGTACCTGCGCACCGCCATTCGCGACGGCGCCATTCATCTTCGCTCCGTTCGTCTTGACGTCCCCGCCTAGCAACTCCAATAAACCATTCTCAGGAACCCAGAACGCCAACTCTCCATCCTCCGAGACCGACAGGAGCGTATCATGCGCGTCCGCACTCATCGCCGTCGCCTCACCGCGCGTGCCGCTCCATGCCATGGGGTCGACGGGGAGGATCATCCGCGGAGGAGCGGGCAGCGGGAGGGAGCTCTCTAGCTGAATGGACAGACATGGTTCGAGGGATATGTTGGCGTAGATGACGAGGATGGTATGTGTCTCGGTGACGGCGAGGAGGGTGCGTGACAGGGAGCCCGGGGATGAGGAGGAGACTGGGAGAGAGAAGAGCGCGACTAGCGGTGGGACAGAGAGTGTGGCGGGGGTAGGCGTATGGAGGGTCAGTCGGCCCGCTTGGGATGCGTACGTGACGAAGCAAGTGCCTATACATCGTGTCAGCTGTAGTGAGGAACAGGTGTGATACGTCTGCAACGAACCGCCGTTGAGGACCACAACACGGTCCACCTTCTCGGCTTCCTCGCTGACGCTCCATCTCCCTCGGCTTTCCAGCCCGCCTCCGCCACGCTTGAGACACCAGACCTCTCCACTGCCATCCGCATACACCGCACCGACGCCTTCGCCTTCTGGTGTTCGTACAAACCTCACTACTTCGCGCCTGCTTTCATCAACAATACTGCCTCTGCTGTCTTGAAGTGTTTGGTCTGCGCCACGCGCATTGAGTTTGAGCCCGTCTGCACGCGCATCGAAGAACGGAAGGGGCGAAAGTACGTAAGTAGCTAGGGGTGGGGAGGTGATCAGTGTGAGCATGCCGGGGTCGGATGGTGCGGGGATGACATAAAGATGCGCTGGAGGAGGGGACGGGAGTAGTCCTGGAGACGACTGGAGCAGGGTGAACTGCTTGAGCAGCGTTGGGGGCCGCCGGTCAATGTTCTATGGTGAAGTCGGAGTCTCAGCATGAGACGATGTTCGCTGTGGACGGGGAACGTACGGCGACTGCTTGCACAACTAACGAACCGTCGGCGAGCACACGCAGGAACAAGTCCCAGCCTTCCTCCACGATTTCCCTGACTCGTCTGCTCCGCGCGTCCTCCTCCGCACTCAGTGCGTTACCAGTCGCACCCTTCAACACGCCGAGAACCGCGTCACGGTCAAGCGGAAACACGCTGCTCGACACCATGCTACCGCTGTCTTCCAACGAGTTCACCTGCGAGGAGATCGGTACCGAACTCGCCGCATCGAGAGCAGCGTGCAGCTGCACGCGCTGCGGCGCGTCGAGCACGGAGAGGAAGACGCGGAGGCTGCCGTCAGTGGTAGTCGTGTAGAGGATTGGGTCGTCGTTGCGGTTCTGTGCGTGCGTGCCGGGGTGACGCCAGGATATGTCGGAGACGGGTCGCGGGTGCGGGATAACTTGGGTTCGGCGACCGGATGTGGTGAGATGTAGGCGGACAGTACTATCGTGCTGCATACAAAAGAAGTTAGTACCGCGTGTCAGGAGCATATATACAGCGGAGCGCACGGTTGATGTAGTGGCAATATACATTAAGGAGGGCGAGAAGCGTACGCGAGCTAGTGATTTCGTACTGTAGGCATGATGAGCGATACACTCGGGTGTCAATGCACAAGGTACTTACGAGTATGTCCATTTTCGCGACCAGGTAGGCAAGTCGTTTTCCAAAATGAGCGTGTATACAGATAGACTTGATCGTGTGCCAACGGCGAGCAACCCTACGATACTTCAGGAACCTTCGCGGGAAAGCACAGATGTCACTGACCAGACTTGCAGTCTAATGCGGTAACTTCTTGGTCTTGAGGGAGAACAAGCGAAGAATGCAGCCGCCACGAGTCATGCACCTGGTATCCTCCTGCAGTGGACAGCGACCAAACGGCGACGCGCGAGGCCATAGAAGCTACGACCTAGGGCCTCTTATTAGCCTGCGCACGGTGTGCGTACGGTTTCGCGAGATCACGCACGAGCTTCATGCCAGAGTCTATGGTCAGGCATCGTACAGAACCAGGGATGTGCCGGGTGCCTGGAAAGACCTCCCAGAAGGCGAGGGCACGAAGGAAGGCCAATGTGCGTGCATTAAGAATGATAATGCTGTCTAGTGAGGGGTAAAGCTGCAGCACATGTGGGTGACTGTGGAATCGCCGAGGATAAACTCATGCCCACCAGCAGCGTCTCGCGGGGCAGGGCGAGAAATTGTAGACCCGTGTTCGGACAGCCTGTGTAGGCTCGGAGGAGGTCCAGCATGGCTTCTGATGCAATGTCCGCTGCTCAGAAGCAGCTCGGACCTCTAATGCTGGCAGACAGCGCGGAGCAGAGCGAGCGCGGGGCTCAGGCGGACATGGGTGGTGAGGATGGATTGGGCACGGTCGGGACGCGTGCAGTGGGCGCCTACGCGATGGGTGCAGCGGGCGCCTGTTCATAGCAGAACGTCATGTCCCGGCGTGAGCAGCGCAGTCCCCGCTGCTTCGCCTGCCTTTCTCTCTGCCCACCATGCGGCCCTGGTCGGCCATCCCCCTCGCTCTCCTCTCCTGTGCGCACCTCGGGTGGTCTGCGCAGGTTCCCATCCAGCCTACCCCTGTACACGCCCAGTCCGACAACATTCTCGACGCCCTCTACGCCGACCCCGACTACGTCTCTCTAGTCAAGCTCCTCCAGCGTGCAAAGCTCATTCCGACACTCAATAGACTGAATGGGAGCACACTATTTGCACCCACTAACGATGCCATTGCGAAGCACGCGCCATGGCAGGCCGCGCTGGACGCCCCTCACGACCTCCGCGACAACATACAGGAGGAACTGCGGCAGCAGCTGTTCTACCACATCCTTAACTACACCATCGCTGCGCTTCCGACGGAGCAGACCCCTCACACGCACAAGACCCTCTTATATCCCCGGACTCCCACAGAACCTCCGACGCGGGAGCCGCCACCCGGCCCACCGTGGATGCCAATACCGGGAGGGACACTAGGCGGCGAGCCCCAACGCCTGCGCGCAGCATACCGCGAGGATGCAGTATGGGTAGGTGTCGACGCTTTCGGTCAAGGTGGTGCCGAGGTGGTCAAAGAGCTGGTCGAGGCCTCGAACGGCGTGGTCGTCGGTGTTAACAGTGTTTTGTACATGCCTCCAGACTTGGGTACGTTTGATACACTCTTGTACATTGCTCGTCTGCTGACCTGACCCAGAAACCGTCATTTCTCGACATCCATCACTATCCTACTTCTCCAATGTGCTCACACCGGAGATGCACGAGTTCCTGAACCGTACCTCCACGCTGACTCTTTTCCTGCCCGTGGACGCCGCATGGGAAGCGCTACCCTACTACGAGCGACTGTATCTCCAAAGCAAGTACGCCACGGATGATCTTACGCGTATCGTGAATATGCATGCGGTTGCCCGCAAGCATGTCAAATACGCGGACTCGTTCGCGTCGGGCCTCAATTGTACGTTCTCTTTGTACTCTCCTGATGACGTCGTGCTCATTATATCCTAGTGACAACGCTGGACGGCTCGGAACTGCGCATAGTAACCTCTGATGACTCCAAGGTCACCGTCTCAGGCGCTGAACTCACGGAATCGGACATATACGCGTCCAATGGAGTGATACACGCGGTATCCTCACTCCTTGTGCCAGAAGGCGCGCTACAACTCACACCGGAGAAGTACCTGCTCACTTTGAACTGTTCGGCGTTCGTGTCGATGTTGCATTCCGTAGACCTCGTGTCCCTGGTCAACGACACGGAAGCCGAGTGGACCATCCTGGCCCCAAGCGATGATGTTATGAATCTATTTGGGGATGATGGGTCCATGCCGAAGAATGGGACGGAGGAGCTGAGGAGGACACTCAGGTACCACTTCCTTCCAGGGAAATGGGCTCCGGATAAGCTCAAGGACGGCATGCTGCTGGAGACCGCGCTCGAAGAAGTCGGCTTGGATTGGGACAGGCAGGTGCTAGCCGTGGAGGTAAGCGGACATGACGCGAAAGCCGAAGGCAAGAGCAAGTCCGTCAGGTTTGGCGGAGCGGGGACTATCGGCGATCATGGTACGTGTTCTCCTCGTACTTCATTACAATGTCGATCTCACTTCTATTTCCCCAGTCGAGATCAACAACACGCTGATCTACTTCATCTCTCGGCCGCTCGTGCCGCCTGCGGACGCGCTGCAGACAGCCTTGCCCGAGCTAGAGCTGTCCTCTTTCCTCGCAGCCATTTTCTCCACGAGCCTGGCCGAGAGGCTGAAGACAACCCCGCGCACGACGCTCCTCTTGCCGCCAAATCCTGCGTTCAAACGCCTTGGTATGCTCGTCTCCGCGCACCTGCTCGCGGCGTCCTCGCGTGCGGACCTCGAGCGCGTCATCGAGCACCACGCGCTGCAGGGCGTCGAGTACAGCAGTACGCTCGTGAACGGGAGCCAGCGCACGTTTGCCACGCTCGAGGGCTCGGACGTCCACGCGGAGCGCACGCCCAATGGCACAGTTATCCTCAGCGCCAGCGGCGGTTGGGCAGGCATGCAGGCGGCGCTCGTACCGCGCGACATGCTCACGCAGACGGGCGTCATCCACGAGGTGTCGGACATCATGATCCCCAGGAGCGTGCAATTGACGATCGGGAAGCTTGTGAAGGCGGCAAAGGGTACGACTATGGCTACAATGATGACTAAAGCTGGACTGGACTGGGTGCTCAACGGGACGGCTCCTCCACCGGACTCGCCGTGGGCGGAGCAGGGCCTCACTGGCTCTGGTTGGACGCTCCTGTGTCCGACGGACGACGCGTTCAAGCAAGTGAACCTGACGGATCTGTACGCGGACGAGGACCGCCTCCGTGCTATTGTCAGCCAACATCTCATCCCCTCCCCGGAGTCGTCCTCGAAGACCCCAGACCTGCAGGATGTGCTCAACAACAACCGGCCGCTCGGGATGGACGACAGCGCGGCTTACCAGACATTGCAGACGCGCTCGGAAGACTCCTTCTACGGCGACATCGTCTTCCGTATGCTGGAGGGCGACGAGACGGGCACCATCGTCGGCGTCGACGGGGCGCACGGGGACAGGGGGCGACGAGACTGGGCGCGCGTACTCTCCTGGGGCCGGGCGACGGCCGGTGGTGGCACCGGGGGAGTCGTGCAGATCGACCGGTTGCTCGTGCCCTATGATCCGCCGTGGTATGTCCAGTACGGCGCGCCCAGCGTAGTGGGTGTGGGCGGTGTCATACTCATAGGAGTGTTCTTCCTTGGTGTGAGGGCGATTTGGCGGAGAGACACGACGGAGGCGACGTATGAGCCGATAGGCGGGTTCGTCCAGGAGGATGGGGAGGAATCATGACGAAGGTGTACGAACAAAGCTATTTATGCTGTTTAGACGTTGCTGTCGGATTTGCTACAGAACATCCGGGTAATTTGTACGTTGTATATGGTGTATTGTATAGTCTTTAGCTGCGCAAGCGTTGCAATTTCATAGAACCACTAATCTATCGGCCATGGTCCTTCTCTCTTGCCTCTCCTGCAATGGCATTCCCGTTCACTAATATACTGCACGATGCCGGCTCTCGTAGGACATGGGTAGTCACACCGTCACGCAGTGAATCAAATGTTCGAACTGCGATGCATGCGTTGGTAATCATTGTACAGATCTCCAGGAGCCAAAAACGAACTACGAAAGTAAAATCGACGACCTCCAGCATGAAAGAACCTACGCCTCTACCTCGACCTCCCTCTTCTTGAGCACGAGGTCCTTGCCCACGACCCGCTTCCAGACGTTGTGGACCTCGTCGACGACGGTCTCGAAGTGCGAGGTGGCGTCGTATGAACGTGTGATGAAGATCTGGTCGGTCTCGCCGGACGCGGTGGGTGTGTACAGTGATGATACGGTAACAAACCTGAGATAATGTCGTCAGAGAGGGCCATGCTCCACGATCATAACAGACTTACTTGTCGTAAATAGGGCCGAGAAGCTGGAGGCCAGGAGCGATCTCCTGCTCTGGCCTGTCGGTCTCGACGATGGTGCTGACGATCGCGACGTAGACGTCCTTCGCGCAGACATTGTGCGTAGACGAGACCATAGCGATGTAGATGTCTGCAAATGTGCAATGCTCATGTCGTCAGCTCGTCTTCAGTTCCCACCTTTCTAGAGGCTCACCATTCCGCCTGCCCACTTGGTTCTGAGGAATGATGATCTGGGCACTGTCCGATTCGTCGGTGCCAGGGATAGGGTGCTTGAGGAAGCAGATAGCCCGGATGACCTTGCCTTCCTCGAGCACTCTGACTTTGCCACCGTCAGCGGCCTTGCCAGCGCCGAAGTAGCTCGGGTCGCCGATGACCTGCTTGGCCTTGACGGTCTCTTTGCCGCTTCGGACGCCAATGAACTTGCCGCTGGCATCCGTGACGATCTCGTCGATGGACTTGTCAAGCATGTAGGTGCCACCGTAAATAGCGCTCAGGCGGGCGAAGGATTGCGGCAACTCGCCGAGACCGTAAAGCGGGTAGATGTAAGGGGATTTGCCGTAGCGAGCCATGGAGGAGGTGTAGAGGACAATACGCTCGTACGCAGGTCGAGCGGGCTTGGTCTTGTAGCTAGTCGCTGCTATCAGGTCGATGCACGCAAGGGAGGACAAACGCCACGCACTCATCATCAAGGTAAAGGGCCATAGCATGACCAATGAAGTCCTGAGTTCCAGGCTCAAGACCGAACTTCTCGTAAACAGAGGCCATCGTATCCTTGTCAAGGTCGATGCCTGCCGCATAGCGTAAGTTACTTCAGCATGCGTTACGCCGGTGCATACGACGTACCCTGATGCGTAGCCGGATCCTCGTTCTTCCAGCTCTGCAAGAACTCGAAGAACTTCTTCGCTCTCCGCTTCTCAAACAGACCCATCAGGGGGCTCTTGACCGCCTCCATCTCTGTGCTGGGCACCTTGGAGATCTTGCCATCGCGGTACACGAAGCTGCCGGCGATCTGCTTGAACTCGAGGTACCGCGTCACGTCCGTGTGTACGAGGATGCGTGTGAGCTCGCCGGACGCGATGATGAACTTGGGGATGAGATCGACGGCGTAGTCACGGTCGCGTCCGAGCTCCGTCGGAGGGGCCTGGTCAGGCCTGAACTTGCGGTAGAGCTATGGGTCGAGCGAAGAGTTGGAGACGTCCCTGTACACCGCTCCGGAATGCCTACCTGAGTCAAGTTCAGACTCGCGCTGTCTCCGCCATAGTAGTCGTTCCTGTCCATGTGCAGAACCTTCTTGCCCTCCACGGAGAGCAGTCCGGAGAGGATACACTCGGTCAAACCAGTGCCGAGAACAATGACCTGCCGGTTCGTGTCAGCAAGTCGTCCCCTGGCCCTGATTTTGCTGGTCCTACATCATATTCTTCATCCATGATCGTTCAAGAAGCTGTGCGTGAATTTCTGAGGGCAAGAGTCAGAGGAGGGCGGAACTAGCTGTGGACCTCTGGAGGAGTCTCATATACGCGCCCGTCCAGCATCGATCCGGCAACACGTGCTAACCTCACGACAACGCCAATCGTCGAGAATCGAGACCCGAGTGCTTCAAGTTCGCCAAACCGCGTACATATGCATATAGAGCAGAAATACAAGTACATATAGTTCGTTGCTACATCCACTTCCCAGAGTACAGTCACAAGTAATAAGAGAAGGATCACCCGCCGAGGCTCGTCTTGCGGCGTTTCTCCGCATTCTCTGACGATGGCAGCCGTCCACCGTCGTCCGCCTTGCGTTTCGTAGACGTGTTCAATATCAAATCCTCCTTCTCGTCCTCGCTGAGCAGAGATATCTCTACTCGCTCTGTCTTCATTACACGCGGCGCCTTCTTGCGCTCCAAATACACTGAGTACTGCCGCACCATACGATTGATTGCTGCGTGGTCAACGCGAAAGTTGAGTTTCGGAACCATGTCGGAATATAAGAGAGTAGAGACGTACTCGATTTGTTCTTCTGATATGTGTAATGGCAGCCCTCTGTCGTCCTCTTATTGCCATACTATGAAAAGAACAGTCAATCGAGTGTTCCGGTAACCGTAACCACGAACTTACCTTCTTGATATAACCTGTATACTTGTCTTTGCGAGGTAAGCGTTTCCAGTAGGAAGGCTGCTTGGCGATCCACCTCGACATTATGCGCAGATCCGCTCGGCTCCAAAGTTCGTTGTGTCCACCCATGTTGGCAGTGTCCGCTTCTGTATGTGGATCCGACTCCCAGTCGGACAGCTCGCCGTCCGATTCACCAGAGCCAGACCCTGCACTTGCTTCGTCGCCGTCCGAGAGACGGGGGTGGTTGAGGCTGCGCCGCCGGGCCCTTGGACGGGACTGAGATTGGGGTGCCGCTTTCCCACTGATGGCCCTAGCGGTATGGTACACTTTGTCTGCGAGGTCAGAATTCCGCGTCCAATAACCACCCCACGAGCTAGCATCGTGGTGCGGCGCCTACAGTATCTCGGTCACTCTCTCGGAATTTACGGCAATACATAAGCTATACTTACCTGTTGTGCCAATCGATTCTGTACCTCCGACTTGCTCAGGCTCCCATCCTTTCCAACCTCCCATAGGATGAAGTCAACGAAGAATTTTTTGTCCTCTTCGGTGAATTTGGTACCAAGACCATTCTTCGCAATGACGACAAGGGTCGGAGGGGTGGGAGCCCGTGAAGGCCGCGGTGGAAGGCGGATCTCTGCGCTGTTAGGATGAAGGTTCCAGTCCTCGTCAGACTGGTGGCGTCGAAGGGGTCTGGGGTTCTTTGCTGGGCACTCCGGAGAGTATGATAAGTCTCGCTCACGGTGTCTAGAGGACGACGACGGCTTGGGCCTCTCTAGTGCACGGCCACGGTCAACCAACCTAGAAGATGCTGATTGGGATACGGGCCTCGAGATTGTGGCCGTCGGCTGCGTGGAACGAGGGATGGGGGGTGGGAATACAGGGTGCTCGTCGCGGTGCTCCTTGTCCTGGCTCATGGACACGGATGGTCGGCCGGCTGGAGTGCTGGCGACGGTAGTGGGGGGCGATACCAAGTGTGTCTGAGGTCTCGGGAGTGCTTGAGAAACAACCTGTGGTGCAGCCAGTTTGTTCATCAACTTGTGGATGCGACTCCCATGGTCGAGATAGTAGTCCCGCCACTGCATCGTCGAATGGCCATTTACCTGGACATGGCATTAGAATGAAAGAGGAGCATACATAGGGGATGGCATACATCGTTTAGAGCTTCCAGGGCCTGCCGGAACGTCTGACCGTTGTTTTCACTTTCGTAAAGGGCGCGCGCCAGACGAGCGTCGTCGTCGGGACAGTTGCCCACGGGGTTGCTGATCTTTAAGGCTTCGTTGAGGAAGCTTTGCAAAGACGCAGTCATTAAGCCGGTCTGGGACGTCGACGTGCTGCCTTGAGGAATAACAAGCTGAGACAGCAAGACTTGGAGTTGATTGGCGTTCGCGCGGGGATTGGGACCACTCGAAATGGAGGCCTGCGGGTTCGGGGGTATGGGTGCCGGGGCATTGGACGGACCGGGTGCAGGAGATAGGCTTGTATTCAAGGAAGCCCGTGAAGCAGCACCATTGGCAGAAGAATTCTGCCCGTTCTGTGTGAGGGCCAACAAAATGTTGTACAAGGAGGACGGGTCGGATGAAGCCATGCGGAAGTCGCTAGCGGCCTAGTCACAATGGTGAGGGTATCGGACACGTTACGAGATGGCTAGGGACTGCAGCAAGTGTTAATACACTTTGAAACAAGATTAGGGAGGCTGCGTCGAGACCGACGCAGTGGGCGAAAGAGGTGGGCGGAGAGACTCCGAGAAACTTGTAGGCTGTGTGGCCTGTGAGACGCGCGCGAGCGATCAACGCGTCGGTCACCTGACCCATTGAATTGACGCGTCCAGATCCCTCCTGGCCATCGTGGCTTGCGTCCGCCTGCTACATAATTCCATACATTCATGCCCCCTTCCGTCCTCGTCATCTGTCTGGGAAACATCTGCCGCTCGCCCATGGGCGAAGCCGTTCTCAAGCACGTCGCCAAGGAGCGTGGCCTCGACCTCACCGTCGACTCCGCAGGAACGTCGCGCTACCACATTGGCGAGGATCCGGACGATCGGTGAGCCATGTTCGCAAGACCGATTGCCACCCTGACGTCTGACCTACTCTGGATTCCTTGTGAACGTTGGACCATAGGACGATCGCAGCCTGTCGCAAGGTGAGCATGTACTGCGTCTACAGACCGGGATGCGGACGGCTGAGACGATGAGCCTCAGCACCAAGTCCCAATCAAGCACTCTGCACGACAAGTTACGGAGGGAGATTATAAGCACTTCACACACATTCTCGCTGCGGACGAGGCCAATCTCCGCTCCCTTGAACAGAAGAAGCCCCGCGGTGCTACCGCCGAGATTCGACTCTGGGGCTCATATCTGGACAACAAGCCCATCCAGGACCCGTATTACGGCGGAACCGTACGTCAATTTGGGGCATAGCCATATGTTTTTGTACTGACGCGCTCACGCCGACAGAGGGACTTCGAGGAATGCTACCAGCAATGCGTTCAGCTATCCAACGCGTTCCTTGATGAAGTGGTCGGTAAATAGTCGTAGTCATAAATTAGGTGGGTCCACTGGATGGGGGCACGATATAGCGATGTTCTTGAATGTATCCTGAATCTCGCTTTGAATAGACACGGACTGTACAACAACACTGTACATCCTTAGTGAACTTGTTACACTGCGGCTCGCAAGTCCGCTCAAGAAACTTCGACGCAACCTTCCATTCCCACTTTACATGAATTTCGAGGCCTGATCACACATCCATTAGCTTCTACTGCCTCGGCGAGAACATCAACAACGTCCACTTACCAGACCCATCAGGCTGCCCAAGCCGCCGCTGTTGCTCCCACCAGTCGTACCGCTGAACTTGCTCTTCACCAGCAGCTTCATGACCGTCATCGCCGCGCTGTTGACCGCATCCTGCTTGTTGCCCGACGACGCTCCGCCGGACGAGTCGAACAGCTTACCCGCCTCAGACATGGCGAGGCTGATCATGTCAGACGAGGAGCCGGAGCCACCGCCGCTGCCAGACGTGAACATCTTCATGGCCTGTCGAAGCGAGGATTAGTCGAGCATAGAGGAGTCGATGGTGGATGTGGGCGTACCTGGAGGGCGGCAGCGCCGCCAATGGAGCTCGCACCCAGGCTGCTGGCGTTGCCCTGCTGGTACGCAACGTTGTGCGCCTGCTGCACGCCCTCCTCATCAACGGGTTCGGTTTGCTGGCTCTAGAGAAGCATGCTGCGCGTCAGCCTGTTAGACGGAACTCAGCGTCAATGATACTCACCGAGTGGTTCGTCACATGCTGCAGTGCATTGTGGAACAGGGAGGGGTCCTGGCCGCTCTGCTGGCTCGCGCTGTTCGCAATGCTCTCGTGGTTTCCCACTGTCAAACAGAATCAGATCGCAGTCAGCACTGGACTCCCACCGCGCAGACGTGCAAACGTACGATCCGGGCGCCCTTGGTTCGGCGCGCCCGAATGAGGCTGAGAAGTGTACTGCGGACCACCACCAGACTGAGACTGGCCGCCGTACTGCTGACCGCCGCTCTGACCGTAGTGCGACGGGGCACCACCACCCTGTTGCGGGCGCGAGCTGTACTCGTCGTTGCCATCACTGTAGTACGAGGCTGCCTGGCCGTGCTGCTGCTGCTGCTGCTGAGCACCATAGCCTGCGCTCTGCCCACCGTAGCCTGCACTCTGCCCACCATAGCCCTGGTTTCCACCAGGCTGTTGGCGGCCCTCTGTACCATAGCCCGACGAGCTGTAGCCCTCACTGCCTTGGTAGGCAGGGCCGTTTTGTGCATGGGGGCGAGCAGCGCCATACGCGCCATTCCCGCCTCCATACTCGGGGCGGCGGCCCTCGCTTTCGGAAGAGTAGGGCGCAGCATATTCCTCCCCCGTCTCGGTCCTATGCTGGGCACCGCCCTCCCCGTAGCGACGTTGTGCGCCGTACTCCCCACCACCGCTTTCGTGTGCAGGGCGACGGCCACCATCAGAGGCGCCATAGCCTCCATCGCTCTCATGCTGCGGGCGACGGCCCTCGCCGTATCCGGAGGAGCCGTATTCAGCGCCTCCCCCGCCATACTCCGGGCGCGGCCCTCCGCCGTAAGACGGCGCGTAACCCGCATGCTCTCCTTGGCGGCGGTCAGAGTCATACGGTGCGCCCCCTCCCCCGCCTCCTTCAAAGGGCGGCTGGCCTTCGTGGTGGCGGTGGTGTTGCCCGTGCTGACCAGGAGGAGGGCCCCCGTAGCCTGGCCCCTCGCCCTCGAACGGAGGCCGGCCCCCTCCGCCAGGGTACTCTGAATGTGGCGGCCCGCCCTCGTAGTACTCTTGCTCGCCACCGTGGTGGCGGCGGGGCGCATTGTTGTCGTCACGGCGGTCGTTGGCTTCAGAAAGGACGTGAGCATCGTGTCCGCAGACGAAACGATGGCGATCGGGCGCAGCCTGCCCGGATGGTAGATCGTGTCTGTCTGTCCTACTTACATTGGCTCATGATGAAGTCCTGGGAAGGAGACTCGTCAGGATCTGTGGGATGGCTGGGGCGTGCTGGGGGCTTACCATGGTGAGTGAGATGGATGGTTGTGAGGCAGGAGAGCGATAGCGAGGTCAATAAGTAGACGGTGGTGGCTGTCCGAGTGAGCGCATCGCGATAGTCGTCACTCGCACCGATCAGCCACTGCCAGGCACTCCACCAGGCCCTCCTGATCATCTCGGGATCTGTTCTCGGCGCCCTGCATAGGGCGTCTATCTAATCTGCAATCCCAACGTCTGGCATCCATTGGGCATGAATTGGGTGCATGTGTTGCATACGGGCTTGAATGACGGTATTGGCCACAGCGGTAGATATGCGGATGAAATGCATTCTAATGTACAGACTGCAGAATGTTCGTATATATCTTTCCCGGAGGGCTCGCCAGCCAGAACGGTCACTCAGTCGTGCGTCGGCATGCTCATGGAAGCCTGTCCTTTGAGGACATCTTCCTCCTTCCACAGCGCAGTGGTAGTCTGAAAGGACATGCTCAGCAGGAAATCGAACGTGAAGAGCTGTAAGCACAAACCTTGTTCTGCGTGTAGAAATCCACACCACTGTACAACCCAACCGTTCAGCAACGTTTTACACTCGATAGTTGTAACAACGCACCCGCGCCCGTAGAACGGGACATCGCCAGGAAGCTCGCCTTGTTCCCGCTCCAGGAGAACATCGGCAAGGCACAGGGATCGGGACGTTGATCCCACTTGTCCGACCTCGACTTCACGTTCGAACTTGCGAGCCGTCGCCCCGCTCTTCGTGAAGATGGCCGTGCCGTTGCCGTATGGGTTCGCGTTGATGATGGCAAGAGCGTCTTCGATGCTATCTGCCCTCAGCACAACCAGCACAGGTCCGAAAATCTCCTCCCTAAATGCGGATGGTTAGTAAACAAGGCAGAAGGGCTTGCTTCGTACTTGTAGCACCGCATGTCCGCTGTTGCCTCAATGACCGTCGGGCCAACCCAATTTCCGTCAGGGTATCCGGGTACGTCGATTCCACGGCCGTCCAAAGCAACGACACCGCCTTGCTCCTCCGCCGACGCGATCAAGCCGTAATGCGCTGCTTCGCGGCAGCGAGATGACCGGGCCCAGATCGCGCCTTGCTCGAAGCCCTGGTTCACCTTGAGCTGCGCCGCCCGCTCGCACAGTCTGGCAACCAGCTCTGCGCGTTCCCGACGAGCACAGCGACCGAGATCGCCATGCAGCGCTGGCCCGCGGCACCGAACGCAGCGCCAATGAGCGAGTTGAGTGCATGGTTCTTGTTCGCGTCTGGCATTACGACGGCGTGGTTCTTCGCGCCCATGTTGCATTGAACGCGTTTACCGCTCTTGCGCCCTCTTCACCACGATACTGTCAGCCTCGTGTAGAGTCCATCCTGTGCAAAGACCCGCTTACCGTTCGTAAATGTGCTTGCCTGCTCGATCACCGCCAACGAAGGAAATGGCCTTGATAGATGGGTGGTCGCAGATAGAGTTGACTGTTGATACGGTTCCGTGAACAACGCTCAACACGCCTTCAGGGAGGCCTGCGCGTTGACACAACTCCGCGATGATCATAGCCGCTCCAGGATCACGCTCTGACGGCTTGACGATCAACGTGTTGCCCGTTGAGATGGCCATAGGAATAGTCCAGAGCGGGATCATGCTAAAAGAGTCGTTCAACTCATGTTCGCGGCGGTAGACCCAAGTGACTTACGCAGGGAAGTTGAAGGGTGCGATGCTGCGTAGCGGTCAACATCTTGTAAACTTCACTAGCCACGTATTGACCATACCTGGCGCAGACCCCTAATGGCAATCGCCGTGTTGAAGTGTCCATATCCTTGCTTACTTGAGATGTCCATGAGCGACGCAGGCAAGGCTCATACGGATTGATAAGCACCTTCAATGGTATCGCCAAGCATCGCCGTAGGAACATTAGTAGTAGTTTCGACGACCTGCAGTCCACGCAACAGGTCGCCATGCGCATCTACATTGGATTGAGACGGGGCATGAAGGTGCATGATGACAACGACGAACCAGCAATTGTCTTGCCCTGTTCCAAGACGATACTGTTCGCAATAGCGTCTGCGTTCTTGCGCAGCAAATGCTGCAACCTGGACTCTATAAATTCCGACGTCCTGAAAGCAGCAATAGGGAAGACTCACTCTAGGACGAATCGCTGACGGGTGAGAACGCTTGACCGGCTCCACGTCTTGTATGCCTGCGACGCCGCTGAGACTGCCTGGTCAAACTCTGACGACGTAGTCTCCGGAACGCGCGTAAGCAGCGTTTGGGTTGCCTGGGATTCGTCGCGGTGTAAGTGTCCATACAAGCCGCACTGACCACGACGTGCGTACCGGGTCGACAACGTCAATCCACGATTCCGCGCTGCTTTCGACGAACGCGCCGCCAATGAAGTTCTTCGTCTTCTCTCCCGTCGCGCTGGTGCCCTTCCAGTCGGCCGAGAGCTGCTCTGCCTTCGCACGCGCCGTGGGAGCGAGCGCGCTCAGCGGCGGGCGCACAGAGGTCGCATACGAGCGTTGGGCGAGGAAACGTGCGGGGCGGGGCAGCTTAGGAGACGGCATTGTACCACAGGAAGAATGGGCGAGCGCAAGAAGGACTCAAAGCTAGTGGAGGCTCGGAGGGGTTATGTATGGGTCGCTGAATCTCGGCCTGACGGCGCGCCTGAACTTAGCCGATGCGGGGGTGGCGGGAACCCGCGAAGGCCTACGCGCGTGACGGTCAGGCGACCCAGCACGCGCTACACGTGCTCGACGCGTCGGGCGACGTGCAACCGCTAAGTGGTGACCCCGGTACCCGCCACCAGATACCATCGCTGGCCTGCTTACTCTCAACAACGCGTCGTTAACAAGCTATACATTCACCGGTACACTATGGCGCCACCACCTATTCAGCTCTTCCTTACCACGATCGTGTCCTCGACCCAGCTCCGCTCGCGACAAGGTTCGCGCTCGCTTTGCGGTCGTCATGCATATCGGTGTTCCTAGGCTCATGCGTCATTGAATAGAATATATCCTGCGCATCCTCCAAGTGAAGAAGGTACCGTTCACCTCGTATGACCTTGCTTCAGACGCAGATGCGAAGAACCTGTGGCGGAGGAAAGCCCCGAAAGGTACGTGGCCTCCCAACGTGAACGGCCCTCGAGTTACCGAACAATGATTGGATTGTGCATAGACAAGCAACAGCTCCCCGGTATTCTCATTGGCGGGGAATTTCCAGGAGTAAGCCATCAGTGCTCTGCGTCGTACACTTCAATGCTGATGTCTCTGCTCAGGACTTCTCAGCATTGTGCGTCTCGGCCTGCGCCTTACTTGTACGACACGCGCGCCCGTTGCTGACCGTCCATGTAGCGAGGAAGCTGTTGAGTTTGGCGAGATCGACCAATTCCTCCGCCTAGCCGAAGACTACAATCCCTTCGAGGACGAGAAAGACCTGCTCCCCTCCCCACCGATCGGCGTGCCCGGGGCATACTCGCCCGCCCAGATGCATCCCCATCATCAACCCAGCCCATCGCCTCAGCCGTCCCCGCTCAAGAACAAGCCTGTCAACAAGAAAGGCGTGAAGGGGATTGATGCTGGTGAGGAACTGGGCGACGCCCGGTTGGCCGGCGTGACCATCACGGACGACGACCTCTTGAGCTGGTCAAGGAGCTTGGGCTCGGGGGAGATGATGCCAACGACTTGTTGAAGGAATGGAAGGGTGATAGCACATCTAGCTCATCAGAGGCAGCGATTCAAGACGAGGGGAAGGAGAAGGAGGGGGAGCAGGCAGATAAGGGGACGGAACAGAAGGTAGAGGAGAAGGTAGATGCGGAGCCAGCGAAGGTAGGAGAGAAGGTGGACGATGTAAAGCAAGAACAGGGGACAGAGGCGGCTGCACCGACTGACGCTCTAGTACTTGACAAGTCAGCATAGTTATACCCTCAAGATCTTTTTATACACTGCAGCGTACATGCTAGGGATACCGGATATACATGGATTGGATATGATACTAGGAATCCCCGCTGCTCACACATCAGCGCACGCCAGCACTCTCGCTGAAACACATACTCGATACAAATGGGTATACTATAGGTGGCACATCCCGTGTCCAACCGCTACTCTTCGTCCGAGTCTCGCAACATTTGCCGCGACCGACGACGGCGCGGAAAGGTTCTCTGATCAAAATCCTCAAGCGCAGCTATCCCTGGAACAGGCTGAACAGACCGAGCAGCGTCTGCCAACTGGGCCGCCTCTCGTGCCAGATAGTACTGCTGCTGGAGATCAGGCGGGAGGGTCTGTGGATCGATACTAGGGTCGAACGGGTCGAGCTCCATGTATTCCTCCTTGGGTACCAGCGACTCGGGCGAGCGGATCGAGTCCGTGCCGCTCCTGCTGCGGGCTCGGGCTGTTCTGGGGGACCGCGGTGTCTTGCTTGCGTCACTGCTGGTAACGCCGCTCGTGTGCCGCCGTGAACGACTGGGTCGTGTAGGAGGGGGGTCGTTAAAGTGCGGATCGCTGTCGAAGCGAAGCTCAGTGCGGGGAGTAGGCACGCGGCGAGGACGACGAAGGAGAGGAACAGGAAGGTGCAAGCTGCAACGACGGAGGTAACGAGCGGGAATCGAGAAACGAGGCCGCTGGGATGTCGACGCGTCAGTGGAGGATGTCTAATTTGCGTGCGACCATGACAGCTTACCGAAGGCCCTTGTGAACGACAACGCCGCGCAGCACAGCGGAGTACACGGTGAGTTCCCGGCCTTCCCCAGAACCAATGGTCTTCCATTGGTCCCTACGCCCGAGTTCTACTCGAGCGACTGCACGGTTGCCATCTAGAGAGAACGACGCAAGAAGTGGAATATCCAGGTCAACGGTATGCATCCGACATAGATTAAACTCCGTAGGGGGTTCGATGGGGGAGGACGATTGCCTATGGCCCCGCATTGAGCGATTGACAGGACGGGGTGCAGATGATACACGCACAGGTTTCCGGGCGTAGCCCAGCGTGTTGTCTTTCTGGGGCGTACTAATCAATAGACTCGCCATGAAGTTGCCAAGAGCTAAGTTGGACTGGGATGCGGGACGGTGAGTTGGAGGGAAATGTCGTACGGTTGCCCTTGCACCAAGCCTGGCAAGGCAAACTCGGCGTATGGGGGCACGCCATCACTAACGTTACTTCAATATAGCGTTGGAAACAAAAACACGAGGACGTACCCATACTGCAACACTACGTCGGCCTCCCAGCCTACGGCAACGCTCTTCCACACGAGGTACCCAGCAGAAGCGGAGAGGAGAGCTACGACTGGGATTGAGAGCAGAAAGACAACAAGGGGAATTAGGTTCGTCGTGTACGGGCTGACGATCCTGAATATGGCTGCCATGATGTCTCCCAGCCATTTGACGGGGTAATAGAGGGGAGAGTGGATGCCGGGGCTGGCGTTCGCATTCCTGGAGCCCTGGCGTCGAATCCTCGTCTTGTCGTCGCTTCCAGCCCTATAGTAGCTATCCATGGTGTCGATGTAGCATGCAGGGAGGAATGATCCTGTAGGCTGCTACCGACGCGCCGAATATGATATGCTCCTTGACTGCGAGTTGCAGCACCGGGCTGCGGGCGACACGCGCAGAACGCGCCCTGCGTCACCCCACGTGATCACATATGTTCGCGAGTCTATCGGCCGGAGCTCTTCACCTTACTTCCGCCCGACTTCCACCATGGCGATAACACCACCGCCAGACATCAGGCAACTACTCGGTGCTCACCCACACTCGAAGGAACTCACAGATCACGTATCATCTTTGGCTACACTGATCTCGAAACCATCGACTGCCCCCGAAGTAAAGTCTTACTCCGACGCGATCTATTTCAACTACTTCGCGCTTGGGCTAAGCTTACTCTTCAAGCCTATCAATGGCTACAAGCCGAAGGGTGGGCTGAAGCAGGAGGAACTGCGCGACGCGGACCTCGTACTTGACAGCATCGACATCTACAATGTCATCAAGTCCTCGAAGCCGGGGACTGCGAAGCCATTCGCCGCGTACCCCATGTCCCCGCTTGTGCTCACTCTGTCATCTCAGCCTCTCGAGAAGGACGCGAAGCCGCGGCCTTCTCACTTCGAAGTCAAGCCTGAGACAACGGGCAAAGATTTCGTGGCCTGTCTGGGCGAGCCAGACCGCAAGGGCGGTGGCGCAGGGCCGTCCTCCGGATCGATAGGAATATGGTGTGAATGGTCGAAGGACGGTGTCATGGTCGAATTTGGTGGCGAGGAGAGCAGAGGCCCCCAGGCTTGGGAAAGAGGGAAGGATGCGGTCTGGAAGGTCCTCTCGGTATTCCCGCGTGGTGACTCTACTTGACAAGATTGGACGAAGGTGAGTCATCCCACACAACTCAATTCCTCTTCACGGTCCAAAGCTATCATTAGTGTGACGTATATCCAAATCCAACGTACTAAACATAGCAGAGTCCATGTCCGAGCAAACGGCGTTTACACCGTCCCCTCTAGTAGGTAATCAGTCTCATGCTCGAGCAGTGGCGACAGAACTCACGGTAATCGTATACAAGTCGCAGGGTAATCTTCTCTTCGTTCGGACCCTGAAAGAATACGTGTCTCACGTATCTCTTCTCGCCATTGATCATTTCAAAGCCCCAAGTCTGCGGTCTGCTCAGAATTGTGCGGGATTGGACAGGCATGCAGCCCACTCACCTGGTCTGCGACCCAGTTCGTCCCATTGTCCTCCTGCTTACTCTCCGCCTGGGTGAAGACCAACCCATGCTCCTCCGTATCAGGCGTCCAGCCAGTTCTCAACCATTCATTCTCGACTTCGTCAACTCGGATACGCCGCGATCTCGACGAGACCTTCCCAAAGGTGTCGTCTTCGTGTGAGCGCGGGACCCAGTCCAGCGCTCGGTTCTCGTCTGTGTCCGAGAGGCCAGACAACGATTGGAGGATGTCGATGTGCTCGACACCAGCGTCGTCGGTGAAGTGCCGGACGGTGAGGTAAAGCGTGCCCATCTTGATGATCCTCCGCTTGAACCACCCGAGACCTTGCAGACGAAGGAGCTCGTCTGTATCATCACTGAGGCGTTTGCTCTAGGGCGTACGTTAGACACGCGCGCAGATGCCGTTTGAGTGCCTACCATGATGTATTTGCCAGTCGTGTTCAACACAGTCATCTCAGGTGGCACAGCCATTATCGGATACTGAGAGTCGGGCGGCAGGTGGGGTGGCAGAACGAGCAAGGGCGCGTCGTATGGCTTTATAGCTCAAGGAAGAAACGTGACGGACTCAGGGCGACGCGGTCGGTGGGGAGCTGCGAAACGTACGGTAGTGCAATATATAGATGAAACCCCATTGGATCATTGGATCGCTTTCGCTAAGATGAATAGCCTCGATGCGGCGCACATAACGCATGGCGTGGCGGATATGTTCGATCCGTGATGGTGAGGAGCGGGAGGAGCATCGCCTTCTCATGTGTAGGCTGCTAGAAGTTCGCTAGAAGCCCGTGAACTGCGCCTGCGCTGTCAGTGTCCGTTTCTCTCACACCAATCCTGCTATGGTCATGCTCTTCCTCGACAGAACCACCGTCAAGACTGTATACGGACACCCGGATGTTGTAAGTGAGAACAAGCAGAAAACGGTATCGCGTTTATTGAATCCCTTTATTGTCCGCGAGGCCGAGCCCTACAGATTGTAAGTACGGGGTCGCTGTCGGAATCAGATCCAGGCATATGCTGCGAGCGCGAGTGTCCACGGGTACGAATTGAGCGCGAAGTTCGAGCGTTGGCCAAAGGGAACGCATGGGGTAAGTGTATACATCGAATCCAGTGTATATATGCCCTGACCCCCCTTATTTCCAGCCAGCTGCAGGCACACGTCGGTCGAGCTTGCGAGCACGCCAAAAGCGTGTGCTCCAGCGGGGCTCCAACACTAGCAACGCTCTCCGCGTGGAAGTACGGTTTAATGTGCGGATAACGTCGCGGGCGCTTCCCACACCCACACCTCCTCGGCAGTGCCTGTCGACAGGCCTCACAACCATCTGCTACGTTCGTATCATGCACAGCTCCTCTTTATAGCACCAAGCCCTCCATTGCCTCCAATGGCCTCTGCGTCGCCTGTCCGTGTGCACATGGAGCTGGGCTCCTACTCAAGCTCGTCGCGCGCTACCCATGCAGAGACCGAGAGTCCATACGACTCCGACAAAGTCACACCACAAGTGCCTAAGGACCCTTTCGAGGTTGAGGCGTTCATTCAAGAGACAGGGAAGGCGCCTGAGCCATGGCACAGAAGGCTCCTGGAGAGATTAGCTCCGAGATACCCTCGAGTCGCCCGTGTAGTTCGGTACGTACAGGGGCCCCGCCCGAAAGTAGACGTGCCAGGTACGTTTCACCCTCTCACAGCTGTGCACCACTGCGAGCGTCCTCACACGGCTTTCGAGCGCAGATCCGGTACCTTTCCTGAATCTCACCCTGTACACTGGTCGCCGCTCGCGCAGCCTTGCGCTCGAGCCATTCCTCCTCCGGATCACCCGACCATTCACGAATCCCTCGCTATTCGTCATCCTAGCTGCGGCATACATCGTCGGATTCGCCTTCTTTGCCCGAGCGCAATCGTTCTTGACACCATCGGACTCCTTCATTGGTTGCACCGCGACGTATTGGGCTGCTAACAACGGCTGCGGGATCAATGGCGAAAGTTGCGAGCCGTTCACGGATTCCACACTTGATTTCCGCTGTCCAGCGGCCTGCGCTTCTGTCGTCCTTGAGAATCCAAGGACTGTCGGCGACGTCCAGGTCGACTACGTACCGCTCATCGTAGGCGGAGGCGATGCGAATCAGACATATAGGGGCGATACATTCATCTGCGCTGCTGCGATCCAGGCGTAAGTGGTGCTTAATTATCGCTAGCATTCCTCGACTAAAGCAAATTCTGTTATGCGATTACAGTGGACTCATCAGCAACTCTAAGGGTGGCTGCGCGTCTTGGCTCTTGTGGGCAACTACACGAACTATATCCCCTTCACCGCCAATGGGCTGACTTCAATTGGATTCCCGACCATCTTCCCCCTGTCATATCGCTTCTTGTCGAGTACGCCTCTGCACCATTGCGAAGATCTAAGAACACCCGCGCTCGCTTGGAACGTCATCATTACCGCCCTCATCTTCCTTGTTCTTCGCCCCAAACCTATCGTCACCTTCTGGTGTCTGGTCTGCATCGGCTTCTGGCATGTCGCGCTTTTTCCGAACCCATGGCAACCCCCCCTCCTCTCGACAGAGCCTTTGGAGCGTTCCTTCCTGCGTTGTTCGTCTGCTATGCGTTCTGGCGTCTGGCAATCCGGTTCACTCTGCCTGCGTTCAAGAAGGCTCCGATCGAGGCTTCCGTCTGGTATCTGCCTACGTTCTGGGCCGGCGTCCTTACGAACATCACCACGGACAAGATTCCGATCAACCGTCTCACATCGTCGGACCTCCATCAGGAGCCAGGAGCTATCACCGCACTCGTCATCATCATCATCATAGTGCTAGTGATTGTCGTAAACCAAGTCCGGGTCATACGCAAGACAGGATGGCTACCGCACTACCTTGGGTGGTATGTCGCCGGTGGCTTGGTCACCATGGTTATCGCGCTGCTTCCTGGTCTCGAGTTCCGATTGCACCATTATATCATCGCGATGGTTCTCATACCGGAACAGCGTTTCCGACGCGGCTCTCGGCTATCTACCAGGGCTTCTTGCTGGGTATGTTCCTCAACGGTATCGCCGCGTGGGGGTTCGATTCCATATTGCAGACAGCCTCAGACGTAGGTACTTATATTCTTCACGTTTCAGCAGATGCTCACGATTTGTATGTTCAGTTGCAAGGCGATGGCGCGTCCGGGTCGGCCATGCCGTCGTTCGTCACGAACTCGACCAACTGGAACGCATTTATGCCGTTGCATAATCAGACCATCTCCTGGGCAGCGCTGCCCTCCTCTGGTGGTTGGGATGGCTTCTCCCTCATCATTGACGATGTCGAGCGTTACACGGGCACAGCTTTGAATTCTCTCTCGCCGCGTTACAAAGCGGTCTCCCTCATTTCTTCCGCCTGGCTGTGAGTATCTGCCCGTGTCGGCTGTTCCTGTGCTCACGTCGTATCACAGTACACAGGCTCAGATAACACCGGGACTATACTAGCCCGCAACTTTATGGCTGAATGGGACATGGGTCGATCCTAGCCTTGGGACATCTACGTGATTCATGGACATCGACTTTATTCGCTTCAATTGTAACCGTAGTACAATGTACTCATTCGCCACTGGACACACTGTAATGGAATGTTGTGTATTGTACTTAGCCGTGTTCAACGCGTGTGCTATGATCCACTCACCACATTTCGATCCGCGTTCAGGGCAGACTTCATGCAGACTAACTAACATCTCAGCCGAGACAAGTCTTCCGTCCCTTACAGCGTATGGCTTACCTCGACCCCTCTATCGCCAGCCGCAATACACGTCGCAGCGGACGGTAAGTACCAGCGACGGCGCTCCTAGTGTACATACATTCTACATACAACCACACTCCGAACCGACTTCGGATTGTCTTGTACCTTCTCTCCACAAACCCCTTCTCTCCGCAAACCCCACCCCGCCCAGCCACCGCTCAGTCCCTCGCAACCTGCACGCACACCTTCCCGACGTGTTGCTGGCTCTCCAGATACTCGTACGCCGCACGCGTCTCCTCGAACGAAAATACCTTGTCCACGACGGGCTTCAGCCCCGTCGTGTCGATCAGCCGCACGAGCGCCTCGAACCTACAAACCGAACGCGTCAGCTGCGGAGCGCGGAGGGGGAGACATAGGACGCACTGCGTGCGCGAGCCGATCAGGATGCCGCGAACGAGCGCGCCCCTGGCCAGGATGATGCCGGGCAGGCTCGAGATGTCGCCGGCCTGTGTGAGAGTGAGCACGGATCCGGAGGTGCGAATGGCGTGTGTACCCCTGCGACGAACCCGATCACGTTGACCGTGCCCGCATACCGCGTGCTCGCGAGCGACTTGTTGATCGTGCCCAGGCCGCCGACCTCGATGACGTGGTCCACGCCGCGCCCACCCGTCTGCCCACACTGCGTCAACACGCGAGCAGCCACAGCGTACTACAGTCGCGTTACTCACGATCCGGAGAACCTCCTTCTCCCAGTCCGGTGTCTTCTTATAGTTGACGACGTGCTGCGCGCCGAGCTTCTTCGCGACCGCGAGCTTGTTGTCCGACGACGATGTCGCGATGACCGTCGCGCCGCTCGCGACGGCGATCTGGAGCCCGAAGATGGACACGCCGCCCGTGCCGAGGACGAGGACGGTGTCGCCAGCCTTGAGTGGGTTCAAGCCCAGGAGCGCGTTGTATGCAGTCACCGCAGCGCACCTGCGTGCAGCGTTGAGGGTGCACAACGTAGACAGACAGACGGTACTTACGGGAGCGTCGACGCGTCGATGTACGACCAGCCGTCTGGGATCCTGACTAGACACTAGAACACGTCAGCGTCATGCACGTACCGGCAAGAAAAGGTCGATAGAGTCGTTTGCGTAATGATAACTTAGTCGTATGCGCGCGGTGGAGTTGAATCGCACCCGCGCCGCCGCGTGGCCTAATATATTCTACTGGCTGGCGTCGACCCGAAGAGTAAGGTACGTACGTGTACGGGCAAGATCTTGTACTCGGTGAGGACGCCGTCGATGGGCGCGCCGAAGCCGCTGAGGATGGTCTCCTGGGAGCCGTCGCCAAAGATGTGATCGCGGGAGAAGTTGGCGCAGATCTTGTCGCCGACGGCCCAATTCTTGACGTCGTCGCCGACGGCGAGGATCTCGCCGGCCATGTCGGAGCCGGGGACGACATTGTCCTTGTGGCCAAGGGGGTACTGGCCCTTGGCGACGACGAGGTCGCGGTACTGGGGAAAGAAAGCGTATCATTTTAGGGTTCAGGTCGGTGGAGACTGAATTGAGGAACAACAGACCTGCAGGGACACGGCGTGAACCTTGACGAGGACTTCGGTCGACTTGGGCGGGCGGATGGAAGCCTCGGTGAGCGTCAGATTGTGGAAGCCGTCCGCCTGTGCGCCCGTCAGCACCGAACGTCAGGCGCATCAGACGCGAGCAACGCACCTTGGGGAGACGATACTCGCGGGTGGTGGTCGGGATGGACATCGTGTGCTAGTCCTAGAATGCAGTAGAGATGGGGAAATCGTTGTAGGCAAGAGAGGACGGCGCAGGCTTTAAAAGGCTTCAATTCGACGAAGCGAGGTGCTTTGTCAAAAGCCGGAGTCGGTCAACTGTGCGAGCGATCCTCCGTAGGTGACGACATGTTCTTCCTCTTACCAATCACCAGCCCAGCCTTCTGTCCGCCTCGCTCCCCGTCCATAGCAGCGACCTCACGCCCTCGAGAACGCGACAGAACACGCCCCAGAGCGCGTCGTGGCGTCGTACATCGCGTCAATGTCCCTAGGTTGACGAGGTGTGCGCATAGAAGAGCCGCGTCGATCGTCGAGTGCACAGGGGGCTCTGTGGCGAGATGGCCTCGCAGACCTAGAAGGATGTGTTCGTGAGCAGACATGCGCATGGCGCTTACTAACGTTCTCCGCTCCGGTCGGGCTTATGCTTCCAGTGATCGGCGGCGCGATCGTGTTTCTCTGCAACGAACACTGCAAGGGACCCGACATATCCTCCGAGGACGAGAGTCGCGGTGAAACGAACACTCTTTCACATAGCAAAGTCCTCTATCCACCGACTGGCCTCCTTCCACGTCTTTCCGAGATGTCTCCGCGTCGTGGGGCAGTCATACGTGTAGCAACTACGCGAGGCCGGACGTTGGCGAGTGGTATCGGGAGGAGAGATGGCCGTAAGCGTGCATGCTGACTTGACATCATTAGGACCACCTACCAGCCCTGCCCACCCCGGTCGGGGCCAGTCCCTGGGTCGGATTGCGCGCGTGAAGCTAGCCGTTCACCAGAGTAATCCCGGCCAAAGAGGCGGAATGTATCCAGATCACCAAGAGCCCGCTCCGCAATATCAGTATCGTCGCAGTCGCTATAGAAGGTGTGTATTAGGTGATTGGTCCGGCTGACTCTGCAAATGCGGAACGACACGTACGCGGACGAGGAAATGGGGCGGGACACGACAGACTCGGACGAAGCGAGCACCACCACGGAAACGAGAGGAAGGATGATGGACGGGCGCATTTTGAATGGGGACTGGCAGGACGATGGCGCTGGGAAGGCAGGGCACGGATATGTCGGCGCGTTCGCGGTATGAGATGTCCAGAGGTCAAGCAAGGCTGGGCGTTGCGTCGGCGGCAGCGGGAAGGTAAGTAAGAGAGTTACGCCGTCAGCACGGTCATGTATATTCACGGGATGCAAGCAGATACACTCACCGACCGGCGCACTCGCTGTCAATTGGCTCCGAATGGTAGGTTCAAGGAGTGGGGGCAGAACTGGGCATGCACTGTGGGTGTTCGGGCCTCATAAATAAAGGTGGCCCATAATCGTACATCGATGGAGCGAGGACGCATGGCAGGCAGGGAGGTTGGTGATGAGCGGGGGTGGTGAGGGACCTAGTGCGTGTCTGTAAAATGCAGGTGCGGGTGGCTAGGCGTGCTGTGCGGCTGAAGTACGTGCAGCAGTTAAGCCAGGCCGGGAGCTGACGACCGGTATGGGTGGGAGAGATTGCCCGTAAGCGTGATTGCTGTCTTGATATCTGTGGGGCCACTCACCGGCCAGTGGACTCGCATCAGTGAGGCGGAACGATGGGGGAGGGGGTGTTGTACCGCGCGAACGATGTCGGAACGTCCTCACTGAGACGACCATTGGCGTGTTTAGGTCCCACTCGAGTCTCGCGAACAGGACATGCGCGCGAGACGCATGTTCGTGCTGTTGGCACTGCATGAGCTACTGTCACACCTACCAGTCGGTTTTTAACAAAGCGAACTTCACAGGCGGAATGAAAGATCGAAGGGATGTAAGTCCTCTAATCCCCATGGCCAACTTCATCTGAGACGACCTACGACCGCGGCAGCTGTGTGCGCCTGGCGCGCACGCACAGCATGCGAAACTGATGCGAAGACGTCCGTGATTCTAGCGGCGGGACTATGACCTTTGAGGTGACGAAACCGGGACGTACGTGGGGTTACGTGTGGCAGCCTGCAGCCACTGGCGCCAGCATCGAGGACGCTTCAAGTCCAATGCGGTCCCAGAGTAGGCCTTGGGAGCGAGTCGACGGTGCTACCGACTTGGATCGTCGAGACGGAGGCGGACGAGTGGGTCAAGTGTGAGGACGAAGCCGGAGCCTATCATGGCCAGGTGAAGCGCAGGAGTTGGGTGTCCACACAACGACGAAAAGAGCATTGCGAGTTTGCTGACGAGGCATGGCGGTAAAGGTAATACTAGTATAGCCCCGAAGAAACCATTTGTGTCGCAATGGTCGCAGACTACTGGTACGCATGACCACGGTTCGCGGCCCATCCACTGCACTTGGACATATCACGTGTCCGTGTTATGCCCTTATATAATCTTAAGTATATAATGCTGAGATCCTGCACGATCGATCCCCACTCCAGGTGGCGGCGAGACGTGCGCCTCCCTCTTCCATTGACTCCGCTCATAAGTAGCATCCCTCATACCCATCATCCCTACCGTTCGTCATGGTTCCTCCACCGAAGCTTAAAGACGCAGAATGTGAGTTTACGTTGAGATCTACTTATCTCCTCGTACTCAGCCAATTCTTCATACTAGACTTCAGCAAGACCGGCGGCAAGGGCTGGTACTGTAAACTCTGCACCCCGGCGGAACGTGCGGAGGCCGAATCCATGACGCGTGCGGATGCTGTACGACATGAACGCACACGGCGCACACGCGTCTGGTCGAGAAGAAAATGTGGGACCCCACTCCGGACTACACTGGTGGAACGAAGCCCTCGAGAGCTGCACCTCTTGGGATCATTACTACCGAGACGACAAGATGCCCGACTACATCCCGTTCTGGAGAGACGGGGTCATGGCGGCCGAGAGGGGCGAGCAGGTCGGCAAGATGGAGGACTTCCTCGAGCGACTCGACCATAATATCCGCAAGCGTGTCGGCTTGGTGGACGACGAATGGGGCGGCGATATCGGCCTCAACATGTGGGGAGGTTCTCCGGCACCAAACGCGTGGGGTGTTCAGAAGCAACAGAAACCCCCAATGCGGCCCAAGCAATGGGGCGCGAATGAAGCGAATTGGGATGTGCCCGATATAGGCGAGGGATGGGGCCAAGTTGATAGCTGGCCACTTTGGACTGCTGACGATGGTTGGGGGGTGCCCGCGGACAGCGATCCGTGGGCTGCTGCCGACGAAGCTGGCATGGGAGCAAGGGCGACCGACTGGGGCGTGTCGACAGCGACCGAGTCGTCCAGAAAGGACGAACCGGTACAACCGACCGGGCGCAAGGCGATGTCGCGGACGGAGAGTTGTGGACGTTCGCGGAGAAGGTCGCGAACCAGGACCAGATGAGTCCTGCGAGGAAAGCTCAATGCGTCGGTTCTTAAGGCAAGCCCTCCCACTGCATGCCTCGACAGTGGTACTGATTCCTGCACTGTTCACAGTTACCGACCGAAGAAAAGATACGTCAGATACAGGAGGCAGCGCGCATCCTGCATACGCAGTCCTAACTTTCCTGGGACTCTGCCTTTGCCTCCAAGATTGTGCCAGGTCTACTTACGACTCCCTCACGAACATCACGCTCCGCATTACTATCCACAGCATCACACCGTAATAATCGCATTGCATATGGCCTATTCCTCACATCTACCCATGCATCTAAGTTACTTGTACTCTAGCCGGTCTACGAACATATTGGGTATCTGACATCGGTCATCCATGACAAAGAGACGTGCTGTGCGGTGCTGTCCCGAGCAGACAGGCCTGAATATTAGTACTCCTACTGGCGGTGCATGGCGGACGCGGCGGTGCATGGCGGTGCAGGCGTCGGGCTGCCCCGCCCCTATTTGCCTCCTTCGGCAATCCTGTGCACAGTTGAGCCTATGACATCAGCTGCCGACGCAGCCACTTGGTGACAACTTGTGGCGTAGGACACTCCAGCCGGAACTCTAATATCCTTGTTTATAAGCCTGCTGCAGGCTCTCTGACGCTCTCAACCACTGCGATACCCCTTCACAATCTAGCACTCAGCGGATATCATTATCATCATTATGAGCTTCGACTTGCGAGACCTACCTGACGGTTGGATCCAAGAAATGGACCCAGGCACGAAACATCCGTTCTGGGTGCGTTTAGCTGTTTCGCCACTGTGTTACGCACCATTCTAACCGATTCGCACCCTAGGTTGACACCAGGGCACATCCAGCACGCTCTATATGGGTGCATCCATACGAAGACGAGCAGTTCTTGCGCGAGCATCCCGACCTTCGCGACCGAATCGCACACGGAGGACTTGCTCGCCCGAGCAGCGAAGCTCCTCCGGCATATTCGCCTCGACGGCATTCTGTCTCTGGGTCGTCAAGACCCAGCCGTAGTAACAATCTCGCCCCTCCCAAGACCGACGCGCGCCCCACCTCTCAGCCAGGGACACCGAGTGAGAAGGGAATGTCCGGTCGTCACCACCAGGGATTCTTCGACAAACTGAAGAGTGTGAGTAACGGCGTACCTTTTTCCGGGATGATAGATCGCTGAATGCACTTTTGCAGAAAATGCACCAGTCACGACCTTCTTACGGCGGTGCTGGGTACGGTGGCGCTGGGTACGGTCGGCCAAGCTATCAGCAAGCATACGGACAGCAGTACCAGCCGTCATATGCAGCACCTGCAGGGGCGCCATCGTCCTCGAGCTTTAGGCGATACGCACCGCTAGTAGGCGGCATGGGCGCCGGCTTCCTACTCGGTGAGATGCTCGATGGTCCTGGACTATTCGGAGGTCCTGGATTATTTGATGGAGGATTCGGCGGCGGGGGATTCGGCGGAGGAGGATTCGGGGAGGAGGATTCGGAGGAGGAGGGTTCGACAACGGCTTCGGTGGTGGCGGTTTCGATAATGGTTTTGGTGGAGGCGGCGGATTCTTCTGAACACGGGATGCATTGCTTGGACGTGAACGCCCGGCCGTTGTAGTTATTGTATATTAGATCCACATGTACACGTACGTCTATGGCTCTGTCCGCTGTATTAGTATGCATCAACACGAAACCTTGAGAACTGAATGGTTGTCAGGCTTCGCAGTGTAAATGATTGGTGGAGTCGGCTCTGTACGTGGCCGTACACGATGAATGTGCGCGTGCGCTGCAGCAAGTAAGTTACTTACGTATGTACTGACATTTGCCACCAACGCGGTGTGGCGCGCGCTTCCGCGAGGGTGTAGGAACGGATTCCCTCCTCTGAGTCCTCACGAGCATCCACTGCATATCCGCGAGCGAGCTTCAGCTTCAGCTTCTTGGTCGTTCACGGACGCGACCGTGCTTGTCATGCCGCCCACCCTACCTGTCTCGCTAAGTCCACATATCTGCATACTAGCCTCGCCGGATGTGCATGAACTCTTCGAGTCGTCCGGATTGCCACCAATAGCCCAGACACTGCAGTCCTTTGTTCCGTTGCCCAACGGTATGTTCTACTTGACTTTGACCTCGGTTATCGTGAATGCTCATCTGTTCTCAGTCACGACCAGGACGACCTCCTACACTTCCGTGTCGCACAGCACCTTCGCGCTCCGTTTCTCTGACCTTGTAGATATCGAGTATGCTGCGCACGAAGATGAGGAGCGAAGAGCCGCGCGTACAATGGACTGGATTGGTGCGCGTGTCGCTAATCGGACCGCGGACTGGGTGAAGGCCATGGAGCCCAAGCTTCCGAAGGCGGGAGCGGAGGAAAGGAGGGACTGGAGGGATAAGACACCTTGGTGGGAGGAGGTAAGAGGTGCGTTGAGGGAGACTGCGTTCCCAATAGTGACGAGGGATGGAATCACCCTGCTGCGAGTGCGTACCTCGAGTGCTCAATGCCCACATGCTGTTTCACACATACTATTCGATATACAGTCATCATCACCGTGTCTACTCGAGCCGTGAATCCGCTTCAAGCTCTACAAGACCTTAATACACGACCCATAGACCTCCCTTCATGGGTCGAACCCACCGCCTTGCGCTATTACCTCATTATACATCCCGCCGATTCAGAATTGACGGACCCCATGTGAGTGTCCGCTGTCTTGACGCGGATTTCGGCGAAGTGCTGATGCTTCCCCAGCGCGGAAGCTCTATATAATGCGGTGAAGAAGCAATATGGCCTGAACAGCTATCTGCTCCCACTCTCGCTCCCTACCGATCCTCTTCCAGCCCCAGTTCCTGTTCCGGCTCTGCTCCCTCACTTACCCCCGCCGCCGCCACCCTCTTCAGCTTTTGACACACCGCCTCTCGCACCTGCACCTACTCCCGCTGGTCTAATTGCTCCGGGTACACCACGGGGCCTCATGTCCCCCATGCCCCGCTCTCCTGGGCCCTCTGTACTTGCACCAGGACAGAGGGACACGTCTTCGCAAGGCCTCTCGCAGACATCCCCAACGGGGTACGCCCTCAGACTCAGTGAGGCTGACATCCAGCAGACCGGCAAGTTCGTGCGTGAATTCGTTGTGACGAGTCTGATCGTCTGGATGGAGAAATGCGTGATTGATTGGAACGAGAACGTACGTGATATATACGCGTTGTATGCTTGATGCTCACTCCAGACCTAGTTCTCTTCGTCTCGACGACTGCCTTCGCGCCTGTTCTCGTCGACTCGACGCCTTTTTGGGTCCTCTGTGGCTTCTCCTACGGCCACCGCGCCATCAACGCCTGCGCATGGCTCAAACACTTCCATATCATCAGTGTCTTCCAGGTTTAAGACACACCAGGCGAACAGTTCTATCAGCTCTATCGCTTCCGTGTCTTCCGCTGGGACGCTCGTCGAGGGAACCGTCACTCAACAAAGACGACTCGCTGAGTTCGCCACCATGCTTGGCGACTACAAGTTGGCGACATCCATTTGGGAGGCTCTCAGAAAGGAGGGACGAGGTGGTTCGGTGAGTGATCTTCTCAGTCTCAAGTGGACTTGAAATACCCATACTTAACATGTCTGTACGTAGGATGTGTTGCCGCTGTTGCTGGCACCTTCTCCTGCCCTGGCCCTGCATGCTGCACATGCGCTTTCCGTTTTGCGTTCACCATCGAACCCCCACTTTCAATCGCCCGGTCATGCACAGTTGCGCGCGCTGTCGTATGCAGTGCGGTGGGTAGTGGGAATCGACAAACGCGATTTCTTGGGCTCCGTTCTGGAAGGCGAAAGGTGGCTAGTCCAAGCTGCCGGCAGCGTACGTTCTTTCGCTTCTACAGCCTGCCTACGGCTCTGCTGTCTCGACTCTCCATGACCACGATGTCGTGGATAGTCGAGGTAGTGGGTCGGCGGCTGCTGTGTATGGGCACGAACTAATCGACTAAGGATTGTTCAAGGCAGAAGAGCCGCCAAGTATGCTCTTGTACGCGCATGCGGCTTTCTTGAGCGAGAAGAAGAACGCTCGGAGACGCGCCGCTTTGTGGTACCTACTTGCTGCTGACCGACTTGAGAAAGCAGGCACAGTGAGTCAACAGTTCTTTGTGCTCGTCCTGTGCTGAATTGACAACGAACAGAAAATCCTCGCGATGTTCCTTTTCCGGAAAGCCCACGAGCTGTACAGACCACAGACACCGAAGGAACTGTCACCATCCTTTTGGGAGAGCGAAGCTCGGGATCCCGCCGACTGGACAGGGTTCCCAACTGTGCAACCTGGCATCGAACACGAGCTAGGTGAGCACATAATGACCTTTGACGGAATGTCTCACACATATGTGCCTCTGTAGGTCGTCTTTTATATACTACTGGCGACACGGAGAACGCAGTTCGCTATTTCCTTGGGCTTCTGCGAGGTGGCTCGGATCTCAGCACGTCTCTATCTGACGAAGGAGCGGATGGCAAGGCACGTTTTGAGGATCAAATCACTACGGACAAAGTTTATTTGGAGGACTTCCGAGTGGCTGCGAAGGTGAGACTTCATAGCGTATAACATCCGCGCAGTGAAATAAGCAAACGTGACGTTTGCTTAGCATTTGAAGGAGACCGAGCCAGAGAGATGGAAGTCGGCCTCGCTCCAACTGCCTGTGACTTTCTGTGAGCCCAAACAAACCGGAGTACGCTTTCCTGGGAACAACATCGAAGGCGATCCTGAGGAATGGACAAGGCGCGAGGAAGACTGGGCCTACTTTTGGGCGTCAAGAGGCAAAGAGAAACTCGAACGCAGTAGCAAGGCCGCCGTGGATGGTTGGTTCATTAACTTGCTTTGTTTTTCTCCGCTGAGCTGAGGCTATGCAGAATACTTCTGGGTCGACCTTGGTATGCGGAATCCTTTGGATGTCGAAGTAACCCTATCGGGTTTGTCCGTTGTTGTGCGAGAAACATCTTCTCCAGATGCCTCAGTTACTCCCGACTTCGTTGAAGTCGAAGTAGTCGACGGCATTACCCTGGGTGCCAGGGAATATCGTACTGTACGTCCCCTATCACGCAAGTGTATCTTTGCCTCACTCGAGTACGTAGATCCCTGTCGCAGTGAAATGTGCCAGGCCCGCATCCCTGCAAGTCACTCACGTCGTTTTCGAATTCCTATCGCTACTACCGGTGTCTGAGTCCCTGGCGTTGCGCGGCCGACGATTGCATGATACCTCTCAACAGAGACAAGTGAAGGCATACGCTTCGGACATCCTGATCAAAGTTGACGTGGAAGACGCCGGACAACGCTTACGAGCGAACTTCGTCGATGACAGGCACCTTATCCTTGTCGAGGGAGAGTATAAGCGTCTCAGGCTATGGGTGACGAACTCGGGGACAAGACCAATCAGCGAAGCCTGGATGGTCTCGAGCAGAGAAGACGAACTCTGGGTAGAGTCCGACAAGGTTGATGCTGACCGCTTCCCCGCCGCGTCATCATCAGAGGGCTCCCTCGCGGAAACGCTGAGGTTGTCGAATTCACTACGCCGACGAGAACCCTTCAGGATATTGTCGGGCGACGCCCAAGGAACACCAGAATTGGCCCCTGGAGAGTCGTTGCAAATTGCTCTCACACTTCACGCGTCCCAGGTCGGCGAAAGAGATCTCAGCCTGCTCTTCGTCTTCCGCGAGGTGAGTTCTCTTGTGAGCTGGTCAAAATATAACTAAGTTTTATTAGGGAGAAGGCGCGCCGTTCCGATGCGTACGGGTAACAAGGCCCTACGAAGTGGCGCCTGTCTTCCGAATAGCTGCTTCGGCAGAGCCCAGCAGATCACTCGAACACTCTTACGGTCTCAGTCTTGAACTGGAGAATGTGTCCGAGTCGGGAAACTTACGTCTGACACAAGTGACCACTGTGAGCCCATTGTGGACGTCACAGTGTATGGGAAATTGCTCTCTGTTCGTCGGCCAGAATACTCATCAATCCTGAATTGAACTAACCGCGCTTATATGCAGTGACATTGTCCAACCACAGCAGATTACAAAGGTCCATCTTGGTATCATCCCGTGGAGAGAGAGCCAAGGACCACAGATGACTCTGCAGTTTGTATCTAGCAAACTTGCGGCGATTTTGCGAGGTGAACAACCGGATGACTCTGATCCGCCACCACTGAACATAAATTGCCAACATATATCCAAGGTATGTGTACTACAGTCGACCGTCCCCTGGATCTCGTAACGCGGTATAGCAGAGTACAGCGATACGTTCAGTGACGATTCCATCAATGGCTCATTTCATCCACTGTGGTCGACGAACATACAGTACCCGACGCGCCCAAACGTCACATCCATACATACCACCCGACAGCCATCCTCGCATATTCCCGTTGGTCAACCCTTACTCTATAGATATTATTCTCTTCTGGGAACTCGAGGGAGAAAGCCGCAGTGGACACGTTCTTGTGCCAGGATTGTCCCTTGGGGCCAACCACGCATACTTGGATCGCATAATCGATGAAGCAGAAAACGTCAAGGTCAAGCGATCCATGTATGCCGAGACACAACGCCAGCGCTCAGAAATCATACGGGCCATTCGAGAGAGCGAGTGGAACGCAGAGATGGATCCTACGGTTGTGATTCCTTGCGTCGACGGTACAGTCCGACACGATTTCTCCGAAGGGTAAGTGATAGTCGCCTGCCCCTCCACGCATTCACAAACACAGTGCTAGCCCGTGCAGCGTATCGGTCAGGTATACCCTCAAAAATCTCTCACCTACACATCCGTCGCGCGTCACTTTGCGGATAGCAGCGAGTCCATCGGATGTGCAGACACCGTGCGTGCTATGTTTGTGGCTGTTGGTGCCTTGACTAACACTGGTTTCCAGTACGTTATTATCACCTCGATATGCGGGACGTCTCACCCACCACCGGGGGATTGAGCCGTATGGCACGGCCGTCGTTGACAGCAAAGTATGGATTACACGGCCAGGGAGCTTCAGGCTCGATGACTGGACAGCCGAGACGCAAGTGAATGCATCTGAACGGACACATACAAGGCATCTTCGCTATGTACAGGGACCTCCACTAGAACACCGTGTATGTTTCTCCGTTGTTGACACCTCGCAGACATAATCAAGGATGTATGTATTGATCGTGTTACTTCACCCGCACCGCTACGCCCCTCTAAATACTGAACGACACACATGTGATATGCAGGTCGATGTGCCTGCGTCATGCGACAAGTCTCTCGCCTTCACTCGTGCCCGAGATACCATACGAGGACGTGCTCAACCTCTTCGAACCATTCGTGGACTAGTGAGTGATCGAAAACATTTCCGTCCCAACTCAGTAGAAAAGAGATGCGACCCTGGGTTGTGATCGCACCCAGGTAGAAGTACGCGGGCCTTACATGAAGATGAGTCTCCCATGAAGTAATCCGAAGGAGCGGATGCATCGCAGCGCTAGTCGCTTCGGCAGCACTGCAGGTGGCCTCTTCGCCGCTAGGAGGGAGCGGGTAGTGCGAAGGTTGCAGTACGTCGTACTAGAGGTGAGCGTGTGTCAGAGAATATACGCTCATGCATTACTACGGCCCTCACATTCCCACCGCTGGAGACGCCGACGGTGAACGTGGTATCGTCTCCGAATACAGTCGGCAGTATCTCGCTTTGGGGCGGCTCTCCAGATGCACGACCATCCCAGAGGGATGCAATGAGTCTTCGTTTCGAGACAGATGGTTGTAGGCTAGCCTCCACCATCTCCAGGAAAAGCGGATGGTGCATGTAACTTGACATTTGCTCTCTTATGAGACTGCACCGCGAAAAGAAACGATCTTTTGACAGCAGCCTTCGGACCGAGGGACATCTGGAGACGAAGAGTCGTCGCAGGTAGGCATAAAGGGCAGGGTGCAGTAGAAGAGGTTGACGGACAGGAAGACTTCGGATGAGCCCCCTTTGTCCAGCCATTCCTGGTCAAGATGCGGCCGCAAGTTGGCAGGAAGAAAGAAATGCATGGCCTCACGCCTGCGGCGCTCCCATTCTGCGTCGGATAGTTTCCCCTGACGATGCAGCTTTTGCAGTATTCGCGCGGTCGCAACCTGCGCAACGACAGGAAGGGCCATGGTGAGTGTGATATCCTTGTCCCGACAAGACCGCAGGATGGTTGCGGTCGTTTCGGCTGATAGGCTATGTCGTATATCCCTTTTCACAGCGGGAGTGCAGTAGGTTCTGCTTTGAAATTCCCGGGCAACGTATGTCCACCCTGCCATCTCACTATCATTGCGACTTCCTTGCAAAACAAGAGGACACCGTGCATACCCGTAATTTCGCTCTTCGTAAATTATAGATTACGGCGCCGATAGCTCGCCTCCACCTCTGCGTCGGCACACTGAGACGTCTACCGGGATGCAGCTCCTCGCAAGGGACCACCATGGCGAGGCGTTTGCCTAGGTCGGTGATGGGCTCAAGCGACGGCCTCGACAGTATGTCGAAGAAAGCACGGCATAGCATGATATGAGACACGCCGTCGGTGATAAAGTGAGTCGTATTGATGATAACATGGTGAATGCTATCGTCGTCTGCTCGATCTAGGACGAATAGGCGGGCGGGGAGCGTCGCAAAGATCCGCTGTTCACCGTGTATGATATTGTCAATGACGGCCAAGGCATCGTCGGCATTGGTGATCGGCTTGCGGATGAGCTCCTCTGGTAGCACTTGAGCCAATCGTTCAGGAGCGACCTCGAAGCGAAACTCCTGCGAGTCGCCGCCGTCCGTGCAGACCCTCGAACCCAGAAGGGGGTACCTCGTTTTCAGGAGTATCCACGCTCGAGCGACATTGGCGTTGGTGAAGAGTTCCGGGCCTGATTGGACAATGTAATGCCAGACGAGGTCGGTCGTGCCTTGGAAGCGGCAGTCCCAATAGTACCCAGTCTCGTTCAAGCTCAACGGACGGGTGTAGGTGAGGCCAGGGAGAGCGTCGGCGTGTGGAACAGCGGTCCAGCCTGGGGGTGCCATCTTGACTGCGTCACAGTACGACACTTCTGGCTTCCCGGCACTGAGGGTTTCAATGGCACAAATTTCTGTCCCAGATGTCCAGAGGCAGCCTTAGTGGGGTATCTAACAAACGACCTCGGAGCTGTAGCCCGGCGATAAAGTCATTGCATTGCCGTGGACGCTATCCACCAGACGGCATGCTGGTTCTGAACGACTTCGCACCTCACGGGCCGTGTACTGGAAATTTCCGAGCGCGTATGCAGGGGAATAATACCGTACTGTGGGTTGTCCTCGGGCCCGAGGGGTTAATGACGAATAACGGTATCTAGTTCCCGTGGATTTGTCGAGGAGCTAAGATTGAGCTAAGATTCGTATAGATACTTCAGGTTCATTCGCTGGGGACCTTCCGAGAGACTTCAGTGACACGCCGAGACCCGTCCCTCTCCCTCCCAGGTCACAAAAGTTCCGCCAATTTCGGATTGGCATGGCTGACATATTTCAGTCTGTTACAGGCAGCCGCAGAGAACATGCATACATCGTATCGGCAGGTCCTGCTTTCGCTCGCTGTCTTGCAAAGCTGCGACTCTGGCGGACTGAACCTGTGTCATGCTAAGAAACACCTATCATAAGGTGACGCGTACTGAGAAAGCACTGAACGGAGGCAAGTCAAACCCATTACGGCGAGCAAGGACAGCTGGGATGCCTGATCCTTACGAATGCTCAGTACTCAGTATACCCGATCTCACCGATGCCAGATTAGGTCTACACATGTTGCAGCGGGTCGCCTCGTGCATTGAAATACCAGCGGCCAATCTCAAGGGAAGCAGCTGATGATTCGAGCCAGAGATATAGCGTGACCTGGCGACCTCGCGGGAGTACAGGGCTGACCGGGTGGTACCGCCAAGGGTGCTACTCCCGTTTTTCCTCCTTCTTGCCCTTCGCATCCATGGCCATCCGTATCTTTTTCATCTTCGTGTTGAAATAGGTCTGGGTATTGCAAGTCAGTTACCTCGTATCGTACGCAGAGATGAACCGTCGACCCTTACCCCCGTAACGAACTGGACCAAATTCATGAACGGCACCCAAAGCTCGGGAGCAAGATACCTCTGCGCGATCACAATGGTAAGGGGAAGCGTCATCCAAGTCACCTATTCGAGACCCGTGGAGCATTTAGTGAGAGAGAACACTCGAGAGCACTGGGCACGCACACGCAGAGCATTCATGAAGCCCGCCTTGACGGTCTTTCGTACGTCGTCCACGGTCCGTGCACCGTTGATTACCGCCGTGCACGACAGATACACTGTAGCCGTTCCGAGAACATGTCAGTGCGTCCGCCGCGACCACACGCATCAACAGGCGACTCACCGGCGATCTGGATGGGCGCCACAACCAGATTGCTCACGAGCAGCTGCCCCACCTTCGCCGCGAGGCTCGTCTTGCCCGCGAAAGCTTCTGCGTCAAGCCCACCAGCGCGTGGCTCATCGGCGCAGATATGAGCATGCCGTACAGGGTCATTTTCGGAGCCTTGACTCTATCTTGGCAAGCGCGAGGACGTGCGCGTAGAGGGGGCATCCTTGGAGACCCGCCTCGCAGGGACGCCTGCGAGGTGCGTCGCGAGCACCTCCTGGATGAACTGCAGGACCCCTGAAGCGCGCGACGAGTCGGTTCGTATGTCAGAGATCTGTCATGTACGTTATGGAGTACGACGACTCACCGCTAGTGATCGCCTTGTCCGCAAGGGATGCGCAACGAGGTTTGCCAAGTACGCGGCAAGGAGGGGGTTGATCTTCCTGGGTGCAGCTACGGTGCTCATCGTGCGCGTGTGGTGGTTCGTTCTCAAGCCGCGACGTCGGACCAGAGTTGCCTACGGGCCTGTCGGCTGGACGGTAGACAGGAGTGTGCATGTTACACGCCCGCAGAGGGGCACCTGTTGTCCTGAATATGATGGTGACCGAATCACGGGGGCCGCTCGACTCTCGAACTTAAGTCTAACCTGTTTGCATGATTCCCAAAACGCCGCAGCCGCTCTCATCCATCCTCCATGCGTATGATACCAAAGGCGTCACTTGAACGACGCGTCTGTCGGCCTTCATTGTCGCACCGGTGTGAGAGACTCGTTATAGTTTCACAGAGATAGTACGCCTCCTACCTGCGCTTCTCTTACCCCGTGTGGGCAGAACTTGAGAAGCGCGGCACGTGATTGAGCAGGGAATGAGCGGTTCAGAGTCATCCGAGAGTGTATCCTCACGCAGAAAGCAATGATTGAAGCATGAATATGTGAGTAAGTATCGTAGCAATAAATCCGTGACGAAATCTGAGTCCGCCTGCTAGCAGGCGTCCGATGTCTCTAATCCAATCCACGGTAACAGCAGACCCTTTACCTGCTTTTGACCCTGTACAATGCATAAGCATGACGCCGTGGGCAACAGGCAATGATCAACCGGAACTCACCAGACTTTGACGTAGTCCGCGAACGAGACCATGCACACCGTCTGCCAGATGCCGAGACCTATACGCGGAGTGACACCACGATAGAGGCCCTTCAGGCCGTTCTCCCTGTAGACGTACTGCAGAGTGCTGACGATGGTGGCTTTCTGGGGGCGTTTAGGATCCGCGCTGGCCGACTTTGCCATCGATTGCATCTACATCGCGTCCGCCGCGCATATCAGCCAGTGCTATGCAGATCGAGGCTCAGACAACCTCGACTCGTACGACCTCGATCGGCTGATTCCATGTGGCAAGAGCACCACCTATTGACGAGGATGCGATCTTCTCCAGAGCAGTCAGTTTCTCATTCTCGCCTTGCCCTTAGCTTCTTGATGCTTGTCTCAGCTAAACGCGCAAAACCCATCCTGGATATCTGCATAAAACCATCTAGGTGCCAGGATGAGACAATTCGACATACCGGGATCCCCAGTTCGTCATTTGCCGGACGGCGACAGCGTTGACACCCTTGTTGATGCCCTTGAGACCTTCCCGACGGTAGATGTCCATGAAGACGACCCAAGTTGAGGGCGGCTTAACGCCCGTTGCCGCCTGCTTATGCCTCGTAATCTCCGCCGTTTTCATACATGTGCAGAAACCTTGCATGATCATGAGCTAAAGAGGGCAGAGCAAGCCAGTCTCGAAAGACCCACCCATGGTCGCATACGCCTGCGCGACACCACCCGTCATGCCGCCAATCAGACCAGCTGCTCCCGGGCTCATGCCCAGGCCCACCACCTTGCTCTCAACCTCGGAGCGGTGAAGAGAAGAACGGCACCCTTCGTCGAAGCCTCTATCCATGCCTACATTCATCGAGCGTAAGGCACCGGGTAAGGGTAGAAATCACATGCCGCGCACCCATGGAATCAGACCCTGGTAGAATCCCAGTACGCCTCCACGACTCCATACGGTCTGGACGGCTTGGAACATGGATTGCGACCGGTTCGCCGCCATCTGGGTCTTGAGCACCTCCAGAGGTTGCCCCAGTGTCGTGACCTACTCGCAAGTCAGAGAGTAAGGTGAATGTATACCCGAGATGCTCTCAGCCACTTGCCTCCTGTACACGTCGTCAGTGGGGTACGTCTCACACGACAGAGGGCACTACTCACGAACTACACGCACAAAGACGATGGAATAGTCAACTCCTGCATGCCCAGACCCGAAACGTAGACATTACCATGTTCATGATCCCGCCTGAAAGCACAGCAATTAATGAGTTCCGCGTGGACAGCTCAGCCACAGACGCGTATACGGACCGACAGCAATGTTAGACCAGTTAACACCCTTCTGGCCGGGCAAGCTCTTTTCGATGGCCATGGCTGGGACGCGTGAGGAGGTGGTGGGAGTGGAGGAGAGAACTGGTGTGAGCTGGCGGTGACACGAGATATCTATTGGGGTGGGGATGGCCCGACTCGGAAGGGCGCGCGCGCAACGGCCCACTATTTGGCCTCCGCAAACACCGCAGGGCCCCCGTCCCATCCTACGCGGAGGCGCTCCCGCCCCTATGCTGCAATCGTCCCACTTTCATCCCATGGTACCACATCGCCCTATTGGCGTCACCGACGTGCTGCAGAGGAGGCTCGACAACAGCTCGAGGGGTCGCGACAGCCACGACGAGCTGTGCACGACGTCTCTGAGGCGTTCAAGATCGGCTCTTCCGAAGCGGGAAACTGCCATGGCGGAAGCACAGGAGGGCCGCTATTGGTCAAACGACTCCAGCCATCAGCTCATCCGCCTGAGTAGCGTGCGCACCTGAGGCCAAAATCTTTGATCGCTGGCCTGTTTGATGGGTGCGACATGTCCAACAGTGAGCTAGCCAGTATTACCATGATGTTGCGAGGGTGCCGTACAACAGCGCTCCGTTTTTTGGCGGTGAGTGACATCGGCTTGTTAGACATGCGGAGCCGTGCTAATGGTCATTCAGGAGCCACGCCATTGGCTTTTCATAGCCTCCTCGAGCTCAACCTTGCTTAAGGTCATTGGAATACGCCGTCGAGTTTGCCGCATTGCAAGCAGCCGTCGCTCGCCAATCGAGAGAAGATTCGGGGGACCTATTACCTCCAGTGACTTTACGTTATACTCAAGGCAATGGTGATAGCCCATTTCCCTCTTACGCCGCGACAAAGCGGCTTTGTCCATGAACGTTTCAACCGCCGTCGTCATTCCCGGGCGCGCCGCTCACCGTCTGGACAGGTCCGACACCATCAGCGGACATGGCCCCGCTTGTCTCGCACTGTCTCACGTCTGTTACATCGCCGCATATTTTAGTCGGGCGGAGGCAAATCTAGTCTGCGCTTTCGAGCCCCTGTCCGCTCCGTCCTTTCTCGTAGCTCCCCTATATATCTCTGTTCTCATTTTCCCAGTTTACGCTGCCTGCGTCGAACGAACCTTGAACGCTTGATACCCTCCAACTCGTACGTCCATAATTTGACCGGTTAACACAACTGACTGGTGTCGACTTCAACACAGTCCTGATTCAACATGCCTACTGTACCACCGGAGCTCTGTGACTACGTTATCGACCACCTCCATAATGACCGGAAGACGTTAATGGCTTGCAGTCTCACATGCCGCGACTGGGTGCCGACGTCTCGCTTCCACCTTTATTGCGAGGTTCTTCTACACAAACCCGAGCTTTTTGCAGGGTTCAAGCGACTATTGCAGGCCTGTCCCCTTCTGGCTCCTACGTCCGCGTCCTCCGAATATCAAAGCTCGACAAGGCCACCGCGGCTGATCTTGCGCAAGTGGAAGAGATCCTCCCCATCATTCTTGGCTACCTCGGCAATTTGGAGTCTCTCGGAGGGTTTCTCCTCTCCACGTCCGCTAGCGTCCTGCGTTGCATGCCCGAGGAGAGGCCAATAACAGAGCTCTGCCTCCAGTATTGCGAGTTCCCAGCCCTCGAAGACTTCGCACGTTGTTCTACTCGTGCCCTGGCTGCAAGCCTTGACCTCTGCGGCGTTGTTGGGCATCAGCGAGTTGTGATGTTCGCCACCCTCTTTCGATGCGCCCAGCCTGCGAAGATTGGTCCTAGGCAGAGACGTCGATCACAGCTCTGTCATCGGCTTCCTGCTTCGCGGGAACCATCACCGCCGTATCCACAGCCTGTCGGCCACCCTCTCGACCGAGGAGGATGCCTATGCTCTCAGCGTATTGCTGGAGCACATCGGGGAGTCGCTGACCGAGCTCGACATCGAATGGCACCCGATTCGTCCTGGCTTGAATGGTCAGTACATGCCATGCACTGCTTGTAACTTACCTCCGACTGACCGGCTGTCCAGTTGTCCTCCTGCCGCGCACGTTCAACATCCCTCCGACTGTTGCGGTCGAGAGGCTGACCATCCGCAGCGCGGTCTCACACGCCTATTCCACACCTTGGGTCACCAGCCTCCTGTCCGCCGTCGATCCTACGCGCCTGACCACGTTTGCCTTGGAGATCCGGCTCCTCGGGGAACTGGACGCACTCGACTGGAAGTCTATCGAGAGCACCCTGGCTCGGAGCGGTTCGGTAGCCTGCGTCGGGTCACGGTCAAAGTTAACATCTGGTCGGGGTTCATATGGACCAGCTGTCGGTCCGGAACCTCATTCGTCACAATCTTCATAGAATACACTCTATGGGTATGCTTCGCTTCGTCTCATAATCAGTGCTTGCGCGGATAGTTTAGTGATTGGTCTTGCAATGGACAGTACGTACTATAATGCTTCTAGCTTGGTTTCTTGCCTGTTGCCCCGTACACAGCCAATACTTACTCTCATCTTGAACTATTCATCCCGATACGGCTACAACTGATTATATTCGTCTGCATCGAACAATGCACAACGCGGGGTATGAGGTGAGGGTAACATACTAGCAAGGACAGGGTGAGATATGAGAGAGCACGAGCGTAACAGTAGGTTTAGCGGGAGCATTACGATGACAATCTGTACCGTACAAGTAGAGAAAGTCCCACCGGGATTCCAGCACGAACAACGCGAAAACCAGACGCGATCCAGCAGGCGGCATAGTGATGGGGAGATGGCGACTTATCGTGAGGCGGGCCGGGAGGGGTCGCCACGCGGTCGACACGCCGGTTCCTCATCGCTTTCATTCTTTGTTCTTCAGCTGTTCCGAGAGATGTTCGATGTCCTCCTTCATGCTGTTGCGTGGACGAGGCGTGCAAAGGCAAAAGAGTTCATGAGTATACGGATTTAGGATAACGCAGTCCGATAATAAATGAGTGACGAGGGCAATGAGTGCGGCGAGTGAGATGAGTGGAAACGAGTGTCAGCGGATCGGTTGAGAATCAACGCAATCAGAATAGTCCGTATATGACGGCCAGCGTGCACATAGCCCCGAGGAAACTCTTCAGTCCGAAAATCTTTACATACCGTGTAATCTGGTCCTGGCTGTCCTCCTGGTCGGTCTCGAGGTATTGGATTTCCATGGCCTTGCGCTCGACTTCCTGTTGAAGTTCGTTGGCCTTGGCCACCGCGAGCTCACACTGCTCCTTCAGCGCCCTCATTCCTCGCTCGTGCTCTGCCTGAATGTCGTGAATCTTGAGGTTGTGAGCCTCGTGGAGTCGCTGCAGCTCATCTCGGGACACGCTGGGCGTGCGCGCGTGCGCGGATCCGTTGCTCTTCGGCGAGGATACCGTCTCGGTCGCCAACGTCGCCTTGATGGTCGCCAGCTCACCCTCGAGATCAGACAGCTTCGTCTGGAGCTCGGACTTCTCGCTTGTCAAAGCCGAGATCTCCTCCAGGTGCGCAGCGCGAAGTTTGGTAACCTCCTCCGCACGGCCCTTCGCGCCTTCCTCCAGCTCCTTCACGTGATTTTTGGATACCTCTGTGAGTGAGTCTTTGGTAGCGACGAACATGTCGGTGAGGGCAGCATGATCATCCCGAGCATTTGAGAGCTCCTTCTGCAGGCGAACGATCACCTCGTCCTTGTCGGTCTTATCGACAGCCGCAGCGACCGCGCGAGCTTCGTCAAGCTGGAGCTTCAGAGACTCCAACTCGGCACTGGAGGAAGCAACGGCGCCCTTCGCCTTTGCGAGGTCCTCCTGCGTGGCCTTCAAGTCGAGAGCCTGCTTGGTGATTTGCTTCTCGAGAGACTTCACTTGGCTCTCCAGCTCAGCCTGGTGCTCGGCCTTGAGGCCTTCGATGGTCGACTGATGAGCGACACGGAGCTGCTCGATCGTGACCTGAGAATCAGCCCGAAGCGCCTGCAGATCCTGGCTGTGAGCAGAACCCGCCTCGTTCTGCGTGACTCTCAGTATATGTACGAATACAGAACGCCTCACATCCTACCTTGGCGCGCTCGAATGCCTCTTCCAAGAGCTTGGCATGTTCTGCCTTCACATCATCGACCTTAGCATTGTATTTCGATTCCTGGCTCTGTAAAGCGAGTGAGGCTGGGGTCTGCAGTGACAACGGGAAGAGGACAAACCTCGAGCTCTGCAGAAATGGTCTTGTGTTCCTCCTGTAATTTGTTCTCTTTCTCCTGGAACGATGTCTGAAGGCTCTCGAGCTCAGCCTTGTGCGCCTCGCTCTGGCTCGCCAACTCTGCCGTCGTGGCCTCCTGAGCTGCGACAGCCCCTGACAACTGACTTTCAAGCTCATTGCAGCGAGAGGTGAGCTTGTCGATCTGCTCCCCAAGCTGTCCGATCTCCGCCTGTAGCTGGGCCTTCTCCTCGTTCGCTTTGGCGAGGTCGTCAGCTGCCTTCGCGTTTGCCTCCTCGACGGCCTGGCGACCAGCCTCCTCGGCCTTCTTCAGGTCATCCTCCAGCGCCTTGATGCGCTCGGAGGTCTGGGTGCGCTCGTCCTCCGACTTCTCCTGCTCCTCCCTGAGCTCCAAGATCTCGATCTCGAGCTCGGAAATCTTGGTAGACTTCTCCTCGTTCTCAGTCTTGAGCTCCGCAACCTGAGCATCAAGAGGTTCCAGGCGCGAAGCCTGCTCCTGGAGAGCGGCGATCTTCGCCTCGGCGTCGGCAGCAGCCTGATCGCGGGCGACCTTCAGGCTTTCGACTTCGGCCTGGATCGCTTCAAGGTCGGCCTTCGCTTTGAGCAGAGCGGCGTGTTCGACCTCGGCAGCAGCGGCAACCGCCTCGGACACCTCTCCGGAAGACGAGCGCAGGACTACGAGGTTCTCCTGAGCGGCCTGAACCTCGGTCTCAAGGTCCCCAATTCGTGACTGCAGGGTCTCAACGAGCTCTTGAGAGATGCGGAGTTGACTTGGCCTCCTCAAGCTATTATCGCAGTGTCAGTGCCGAGACTTTCTACACGTTCACTACACCTACCTCTGTCTGGACTGTGTCCAGTGTCGTGTTCCCAGATTCCGACGCCAGACTCTCACGAGCGGCAGCCAACTCCTTCTCCGTCTCACTCTTCGCCTCCTCGAGCGCCTGGAGCGTGGATTGCTTCGTCTCGATATCCGCCAGGCAGTCTCCAGAGATGACTTCAGAGTGGTGACCTGGTTCTCGAGCTCAGCGACTGCTTCGGTCTTGGATGCGAGCGACGTGGTTGCGTCATTCAGCTAAGGACATCATGAGCAAACGCACCATACGCGCTCAGAGCAAGAAGAGCTACCGACCTTCTCCTGCAGCTCCTCGACAGCCTTGCTCTTTCCATCATCCTTGACAACCTCCTTAAGGGAAGATATAGAGCCAGAGCCGGGAGTCCTGGCCGGTCTCGTAGATGCCGTACTGGGCGGTCGCGCGGAAGAAGCAGCACTGACGCGGGAGACTGTCGTGGCAGTCCTCTTCACCTCACCGCTGACGGAAGCCCGAGGACGGGGTGCCGCTGCGTGAGCATCTGCAGCGGGCTTCGTCGTCGACGCCGCGGGCCTAGTAGCAGCCGATGGAGCCAAGGATGCCCGCCCTCCGCTGGGAGTCGCCCTGCTTGCACTGGGCGCGGGTGCCTTGCCCGTAGTGGGAGTCGGTGCCTTGGGCACAACAGACTGACGCCGCGCGGCAGCGGTCGTCGGAGCTGGGACGCCGCTGGTGCTGGTCTTGGGCGGCATGGTCGGTTTCGCGCGGCAGATGGACCACTAGTGGATTCCTGAGCGATGATGTGGCAGAGGTAGGCTTTGTGGGGCTTGCAGGAGTGACGGTAGCCTTCGAGACCGCAGTCGGCGCATGCTTGACCGCGCCAGACCCAAACGTGCCCGAATTGATAATCTGGATGCACGGCATGATCCACGACGCGTTCAGAACGCGTGGTACAACATCCAAAGCGGTTGACGCACCTTCTTGACCAATGGCGACCCTGGTGCGCCCGAAGCGGGCCTGGTGGGCTTGACGTTGACGGACGGCTTGGCCGTGGGCTTCTTCGGAGATGCGGGGGCCTCCTTCATTTCTCCTTGGCCATGTCTTCTGTGGGCGGGGGCGCAGCCTCCTCAGCAGCGAAAGATGGGGATGCAGCATCCTCCGCGGTCAGAGGTACAGTAGTAGTATCGGCTTCGTCCGCCACGCCGTCCTCAACGTGTTCATCTGCCGCACCTTCGTCTGCAGCTTCTCGTCCGTCGCACTGGCCGCTTCTGTTACGCTACCAGCCTCGTGAGCCTCGTGCTCTTCATCTTCAGGTTCCTCCGGGTGGGTTTCCAGCTGCTCGGAACCCTCGGATTCTGCCACGTCTTCTTGGGTCTCGAGCACAGGACTCTGGGGTTGCTCCACGTCCGCCATGGCGATCAGAGTGTGGTGCAGTAAGCGGTACTGCACCGGGGTATCGGGTATTACGAGAAAGGATGGAGTAGGACAGACACTGCTCAGGCTGCTGCACGCCTGGTGCAGAGATCTGCAGGCCGCGTTGGGCAAGCAAACAAAAACAAGACGCGTACCCGACGCGTCCCACGCCACGATACCCTCTCTCCATCTCAGCGCCGTTCGCAGGTGCTGACACCGCTCCGTCCACGATTGCGGTGCACATGGCTGCTGTATCCTACAACGGTCTATTCTGCTTCTACTCTCATACATCCTCTGTATCTATGTGGACTCGAGATGTACGCTGCGATGACACCCTTATCTGGTCTAATTCGGCGGAGCATAGAGGTTCAACGCGTTCAGTGCCGGTTCAGCTAGACTGCGGTGGTTGTAGCTCAAGATTGCGACCTGGAGCGGGACTATCAGCTATTGTCACGCATAAGGAGGCGAATGCAACGCACTCCCGCGGGTTCAACGTTGAAGTGTGTACCTAGAGGGTGCGTAGTCGGTCAGTGAAGACATATGAACCACACGAATAGTCTCTACCGAGGCGAAGAGGGAACTGGATCCAGCGGGAGATCAGGACGCGGTTGAAGTGACCATGCGCGATGATAACGACATCGCGGCTGCCTTTGCCTTCTTCATGCCATTGCCTGTGATGCTCCTTGACCTGTGACCCGTGCTAAGCCGACCATTTCCCTCTAGCCTTGTAAGACTGTGCGCACCTTATCGATGACGGTGTCTACTCTGTGGCACATCTCCTCAGTGCTCTCACCGTTCGGGCACCTAACAAACATGAAGGCACGGCCGGATGGCTGTGTCAAATGAATAGCTCACCCATCGTCCCAAATCTGCCACTTGGAGTTCCTTTCCTTGATCTCGGTTGGCAACAGGCCCTCGTAGTCTCCGTAGTCCCATTCCCGTACTTCCTCCGTAATGACATGGGGTGGAGGCGACGGCAGATGATCAAACATCAAGTGAAAGGTGCGGTGGGCACGGATCCTTGGAGAGACGAAAACATTGCAGATGTTGTTTCGGTCAATGACCTCTTGCAGTGCCGTTGAACAAAATGAATGATATGCATTTGTAGCAGGACTTACTGCCTTCTCCTACCAGGACAAGCGCCGTTTCCTTCGTCTTCTCTTCACCGTGCGCCGTAAGGGGAATGTCGGAGCGACCGGTCTAGAACGTAGTCATCGCGCAATCAGTCTAGACACAACGAAGAACCCTCCGCAGCAACACTCACATGTCGACTGTAACAGTAGCATCGCTTCAGCTGGATCTTAGAGCACGAAGGAACAAGCTTACTGACCCGCTCAAGGACCATTCCGTCTCGCCTGCGGTATGTTCAGGTTTATGTCATGCTGGAGGTGTTGGATACTCACCATGGCGGATTAGGATCAAGCGGGGCATAGGACGTTGGCTGGACATATTGTAGCGAGGGTCTAGACGGAGTGTAGCCTGAGCGTCGAGGAGAGAACTGTCTAAATACGACGAACGGCGCGCTCCGTATAAGACCGACCATGGCCGTGGAGGGACACCGCAGTGATATCATCGCTATCGTGCGATCGTGCTGACCGACGCGTCGACGGCTATTCTTCCGGGGCGAACTTGAACTCGGCCGCGCGACGTCCACAGACCGGGAGAGCACTGTGTCCTGCGCTCTGGACGGAGACATGACACAATTCCGCGGCCCTGCTTCGTGCCCCAATCTTACCGCCAGTGAACGTGTTCGGGCTGTGTCTGTGATGGATTGCAAACAGCTTGTCCTTTACATGAAGCAGGCGATGCATTACTTCAGACGATGGCCCGCAGACGTCCAGACAGATGCGGCATCGCATGGGAATGTTCTCCGAGCATTTGCCATTAGGTTCGACACCGTTGACTGCACCTGGGAATGACGGCAAAATGTGCAGATCTGGACACAATACAGTCGCACGGAGCCGCATCGAATTGGAGATTCTTCGTAAGACCGCCATTCAGTAGTCCGGCACGACACACGTAGTAGTCCTGAGGAGACCTGGGACCGGTCGAGGAGACTGTTTCGTGAGTCGTTTGCACTGGGCAGGATGCGACGATGAAACAAACCGTGGGAACGTGATGGCCCAGCTGGACCTGGTCAAACGGATTTAGTCGCGCCGCTGCGAGCCGGTGGCCAGATACGTCTCGACAGCGCGATTCTATCCTCCTCCCTGTTCTCTTCTCCATTGCTCTCCGCCCTCGCAGCCGATACCACTCCGTTTCCAGATTGTTGACATTGTAACCATTCCTGCCCCAGCACACACTTGAGGTAACACTATTCCCTGCTTCAACCGTTTACTGTGATTTCTGATCACTTATCGCGTCTAATTCCCTCTACCGCCCTGTCGCCTACCTTGGCTCCTCCATCATCCGGCTTTCGGACGTGCCTTGCCTCTGCTCCATCGCCCACCTCCCCCAGTTCGACCATAGACAGACTGGAGAATTTCCACAATGCAGGCCATTAAGTGTATGTGCTGGATGTCTACAGCTCACTCTCACGGCGTTGCTAACCTGGTCGCGTAGGCGTCGTCGTAGGAGATGGTGCAGTCGGCAAGGCAAGCAATCGGTTCGAGGCTCGGTTTCCAAGGCTGACGACTGCTCGTACGTAGACATGTCTGCTCATTTCGTACACCACGAACGCCTTCCCGGTACGTCGTGCTTCGTTCTGCGGCTGTGTCGCATCACACTGATCTCGGACACGTAGGGCGAATATATCCCTACCGGTACGCGCAAGCCATTTGCCCTGAGACAATCTCAGTCTCACAAATCGCGGTCATGTAGTGTTCGACAATTACTCGGCCAATGTGATGGTCGACGGTAAGACGATCTCGCTTGGTCTGTGGGATACAGCTGGGCAGGAAGATTACGACCGTCTCCGGCCGCTCTCATACCCCCAAACGGATGTGTTCCTCATCTGCTTCTCTCTGGTCAGCCCTCCTAGTTACGAGAACGTGCGGACCAAGGTGCGTCCCTGCTCCTGTCTGGTGACTGATCTGTAGGCTCATGCGACCTCCTCGCTTAGTGGTACCCTGAAATCTCGCATCACGCGCCGTCCACGTCAATCGTCCTGGTTGGTACGAAGCTCGATCTTCGCGAGGATCCCGGCACCATTGAGAAGCTGAGGGAGCGGTATGTAACCTTGAGATTGTCCGGCCTCATCTTTCATTAACCTTTGCTGTCCTTTCAGTCGCATGGCGCCCATACAATACGCGCAGGGCGTGGCTATGGCGAGAGACATTGGAGCCGTGAAATACCTTGAATGTTCCGCGCTGACGCAGAAGGGTCTCAAGACCGTCTTCGATGAGGCCATCCGCGCTGTTCGTGAGTGCAATCTTCATGGGTCGGCGCTGAAAGTTTTTGTGCTCACACACGTATCAAAGTCAACCCTCCTCCGCAGCCCAAGAAGAAGGCAGACAAGAAGGGGTGCATCATCGTTTAATGCACGTCACATTTCACACGCCTCGGACTCGGGAACCGCTGCAGCGCGTTTCTCTGCCATCTGCACGAATATACACCCACATTTACGACTGCGCTGCATGCTCCTCGTCCGTTTCTCGGCCTACCCTTCGTTCGCAGACTTGCAGGGTGTTATGGCAGTTGGGTTGCCTTTGGCGATTAGGGACCCTGGCGTCGGCTTCTCGGTGATCTCCCCCTGTCCCCCTTCTTCCGTTGTTTTCTTAGCTTCGTTTTGGAGATATCATATCGCATCTACTACGCCATGAGCGAACACTTGGATATTCAGTTTCTACAGCGCAATCAGTGATCACGCATGTCAGCTTCAGTTCCTCAACGTCCTCAACTCCTGGACGTCGTGTGGCATCGTCACGTGCACAGCAGCCCTGCCCACTGCCAGGAACTGCCCTCGGATCCGGCCTGGTATGTTTTGGCTTTCTCATGAGTGTCAGCACGCCACTGTGCTGCTGGAATAAGTGTTGAATCGCAGACAGGAGCCGCGCGTACAACATATCCCACTCCATGACGCGGCCAATGTACACCGGTCCTTATGAGCTTGACTCTCAGCATATGTCCACTCTCGAGTCTCGAGCTCTGTGACCTGTAGTCGAAAGGCTATTATCTGTGCCACCCTCTGAGCCGTTCAGTAAGTCACACCACAAATTGAGAGCCGTTTACGGAGCAGCTTGCCTCCGCGCCGGTCGTCGTCTACGAAAGTTGCTTGTTACCCCTGTACGCGTGGTTGGCAAAGCCGTTCTCTTCGTCATCCCCCCGCATCAGCGATCATGTCGATTGAACGCCTCCGCAGCGCCTGTATGTCACTCGCAGGTGTGCCATGCTTTCGAATATATGACTCCGGGACTTGAGCGGGTCCATAAGCACTGGCTGTACTCGCCTGCGTACCCCGTCCACCTATCCATCGGTAACGACCACTCTGCCACCGTTCGATGACCGCTGCCGGAGTACCAGCCCAAGCTCGCCTTCCTGGCCCCTTGGGTTCACATTCATATCAGGTTCGTTCGAATCTGACTGCCAGGGTCTGTGATTGGCATAACACCGTGTCCCCGAGGGTAGTGCGCGAAGACTGGATTCGGGTCGAGCGTGGAATACGTAGAGAGACCGAGCATCACAGGTGAGTCCTGTCCAATCCCGCACGCACGCTCTGAAACGACTCCGATGCAGAGGTGTTCAACGCCGTCTCGCCCGACGTCCCCTTCGGGCTGCTCCCGCAGGAGAACAGCGTGTTCGGGACGGTCACGGAGACGTACGACCTCCTCCGGCTGCCCGAGGTCGGCACGGGGAAGTTCATCCGTGGCGAGCTCGTCCTCCCCATCCGGCACTCGCTCGTCGTCCGCCGCGGCGTGAAGCTCGAGGACGTCGAGCGCGTGCTCAGCCACGAGCAGGTTAGTGTGTGCCCCCCAATCTCCCCTCCGTCCGTCGGCGTATGTCATCATTTCGCTCACATTGCCTCTGGCGTTAGGCCCTGGGCCAATGTTCGCGGTTCCTGTCCGAGAGGCTGCCGGGAGCTGCACGGGTCAAGACGCCGTCCACGTCCGCCGCGGCGAAGTCGCTCCTCTCCGCCGAGGACGAGGACACAGCAGCGCGGAGCGCCGCGATATGCTCAATAGCGTGCACGACCGTCTTTGACGGGCTCGAGGTGCTCCAGGAAGGCATCCAGAACGTCGACAGTAAGCACCGACTCCGGTCGGGGCCCTGCCCTGCGCTTTCCCTTCCCCGAGGCGGCTCCGCTGACCAGACACCCCTCCCCCCAGCGAACCGGACCCGGTTCTACGTCGTCTCCCACTCCCCGAGAGCAACTCCCAGCGGAGTTCCAGACGCCCATCCCCAAGCACGCGCTCGTGCGCATCAGCCTCAGCCCTCGCCCAGCCCCTCAGACGCGACCGCCAACGGGGACGGGGGCGAGATTGGGGATGGGGACGGGGACGGGGACGAGTCCACCGCACCCCCGCGCACGCGCGGCCGCCTCGTGCACCTCGTGATGAGCACGCTCCTGACGACGTTCGGGCTCCCGACGAGCCGCGTCGACCGTCGGCCGTCGCTCACGGACACGCCCTTCGAGGACGTGTACCTCGTCGAGCTCGAGGCGAGCTGCAGCCTCGCGGGGCCCGGCGGGAGTGGGACGCGGCGAGCGCGGCGCTGTGGGCCAGGGTGAAGGCCGGCGTGGAGAAGATCGGCGCGCTGGGTGGGGAGGCTGCGGTGCTGGGGATTTGGTGAGGCGTCGGTGTATTCTAGATGCGACGTTGGTTGGAGCTCTGTTCTGTCAAGTGTGTATATTAATTACCTGTCGCAACTTGTCTTGTCTTGTCCGCGTAGCGCTCACTGCATGTCTCGTCGAACGCGTTCTCTCATATATATCGTCGTCAGATAGTCATACATGTAAAGGTAGCATCTGCGTGGTATCATCCTCAGGTGATTGGTCTCCTAGTCAGTCCGCGTACACCGACTGTTCAATGAGCCTCCGCGCCGCCTCCGAGCGCGGTGTGATCCTGCACGGGAACGGCGGTGGCCGACTGCATCCGTCGCCAACCGCGAGTCAGCTCACGACCGATGAACGACGGTGCTGTAGATCCACACACCTGAGCATCGTGGACGAGAACTCCACGGACGGCTCGACAGGCACGCCGTGCGCGTCCAGCGTTTTCGAGACGTCGAACACCGCGGCGACGGTGGCGACGGCGACCCAGATGTTGTCCATCGCGAGCCAGCGGCCGGGGCATATTCTGTGATACACATCCGATCAGTGAGTCCGAGAGAGGTCGACAATGGGGATAGCTCACCGCCTGCCGAACCCAAAGGCCGCGAGGGGCGGCTCGTTGGTGCCGCGCTCCGCGTTCGTCTTCTTGTCCGCGTACCGCTCGGGGCGAACCGGAGCGGGTCGGGGTACGTCGTCTCGTCGTGCAGGATGCCCCTTCGCGCGAACCGCCGTCTTCAGCCAAGGGCTTAGGGGAGGAGTGAGGGAAGGTAGCTTACCAGTATTCGGGAGCACGGTCGTCCCCTTGGGTATCCAGTGCCCCTCATAGACGTCGTCCTCCGTCACGCTGTGCGCGACGCCCAGCGGCGCACTAGGAGGCGTAGTCAGTGATCTTACCTACTCACTCCGGCGAGCTGCGGGGAGCGCGCACCTGGGTTCCACCGGAGACACTCCCAGACGACCCAGTCGACGTACGGGAGGAGGTGCCGGTCTGCGAAGGTGGGCAGGCGGGCGGGGCCCACGACGCGGTCGATCTCGGCCTGACACCGCTTGAACATGTCGGGGTAGACGGTCGCGGCGAGGAAGAAGGATTGGATGGCGGAGACGTCTGGAGCGAGTGTAGGCGAGATGGCCGGGTTGTCAGTGTCGCTAGATGACGGAGTGGTCGCACGTGTCTGCGCCAGCTACAAGGAGTTGGGTCAGCGATCAGCCGATGACGAGTGGTAGGAGGATTACCGGCGTATGCGGTGCGGCGACGCCCTTGACTAGCCGTTCGTACTGCGGGTCTTGTCCGGACTGCGTCCGTTTCTCTACCTCAGCGGTTGCGAAGCACGGCACGGCGGTACCCGAGCCTTGTATGTCTGATGAGCACAGCCAGACACACAGGCGGCCGGGCTTACCGTCCGCTCTTTGACCATCTCGTACGGCTCATTCAGCATCGCGCGGTTCAGCTTGCGCCATTCCAGTGCCTTGCGCTTGAACGCTGCGCCGGGCATCCATGTCGGGACATGCCTCACTGCAGACACGGTTTCAGCGGTGTAGATGGAGCTCAGGCGAGTGCGCGTACATAGCGGGATGTAGTCGACGAGGTACGTCCCGAAGATGCCGGCGTGGCCGAGCGTCTCGAGCGCCCTGTCGGCGAGCACGACGAAGACGTCGCCTTCGGGGGCGACCTGGTGGCCGTAGATTATTTGCATGATGATGGCGGCCGCGGTGCTGTGCGGCGTGAGTGACTTTGCTGGGACTGCTGGGTGGAAGAACAACCGCCGAACGTGGTAAGAAAGATTGTCGGGTGTCGTCAATAGTTCTGGAGCATCACGCATGTCTCTTTGACTGGACGGCGTGGTAGTCGGGTGCGGTGTTGGTGCTGAAGTATTGGTGAAGAGCGTTCTGTGCTGCTTCCACCACGGGCCGTAGGGTATGGTAGAAATAGCCAATCCCAGCCCATACTAAGCAGACATCTATTAGCATGCGAAGCCGTTGTTTAAATACATACAGCTTGCTGACCATGGGCCTATACGGCCTGGAGGAGTAAATCGCGCTGCGCTTGTCGAGCAGGTCAGAGGCCGCGTTGGCGGAGTTTACGACGAGGATGGGGTTCCCGAGACGCGGATGTAGATGACATCGCCTGCCAAGGAAGTAGGAGGTGAGGGCAGAAGCGCAGGGAGCCGGTGATCAGACGGACCGTATGTCTTCCGCCATTCAGCGTATACTTCCACGGATACCGACTGGCAGGGGCCCGACCCGAAGAGGACGTATTTGGACCCGGTGGGAGGGGCGGGCGGCGGGTCTACGCGCGGCAAGAAGCGCGTAAGGGCCGCGGAGAGAAGGAGGCCAAGGAGGAGCGCGATGCAGCGCGAGTCGGGCATGGCGCGCGTGGCGACGCGGCGGGGTAAGTGGAGGGGGACTCGGAGGCCGGGGTGTGAGGGGGAGCCATATATGGAGGGAGAGCCGAAGTCATGAGAAGGGCAGCCGGGGAGCCATGGCTAGCAGGAGGCCTGGCGAGGGCTTGGCGAGGAGAATATCAGCTGCGACACTCGCACGGGGACGACTGGCCTGTGGAGGACGACTGCTTCGACGCGCATTGCCGGGACTCGGACGCGGATCCTAATTTCCTCGATCGACTGCTACGCTCCCCGATTAGGCAGTCCGGTCTTCAACCACAGGCACGCGATCTCGGCATCCCCCGCGCTTCGCCGCCATTTGCCACCCGCGCGTGCGTCCGCGCGCTTGCTCAGCGACGATGAGTCTCTCCGCGACAGCCACCAGCCCCCTCGCAGGCCCGTCCCCCCTCCGCGACATCGTCCGGCCCCAGTTCCACCAGAACAACTTTGCAGAGGAGCTCTTCGTCAAGAATGAACTCGGCATCAAGCTCGACAAAGGTGCGCACCCACGCAAATGCCCATCAAACCCTATAACCCGTCCCCACTCAGACGACCAGATCTGCCGTCTCTCGCTTACGCCCACGGGCTGCCCCCTCGGGCCCCTCCACTGCCCTCTGAGACATACCACCCCCTCTCCCGCGAACTTCCAACCCCCGAAGCAGCTCCCGACGCACCCCCGCGAACGCGAGCGTCTCGCGACCGTATGCAAGCACTGGCTCAGAGGCCTCTGCAAGAAGGGCGATGCGTGTGAGTTCCTGCACGAGTACAATCTCAGGCGCATGCCCGAGTGCTGGTGGTACGCAAAGTACGGCTATTGCTCGGCAGGAGACGAGTGCTTGTACGCCCACCCCAAGGAGCGCCGCATCGAGTGCCCGGACTACAACCGCGGCTTCTGTAAGCTTGGTGGGTGCCCCGCGCTGAGATTGCGAGATACGTGGTCCTCACTTGCGCTAGGTCCCACATGTCCCCGCAAGCACGTACGCAGGGTAGCATGCCAGCTGTACCTGACCGGCTTCTGCCCATTGGGCTCGGAGTGCCCACGCGGACAGTACGCACCGTCTCCCAACCTCTCCCTGCATATCGCTCACCACCGACCCAGCCCGAAGCCCGGCATTCCTGCTCCAGAAGCCTACGAGCCGCCACCCCAACCCTCCATGCGCGAGCTCGGCCCTCCGCCACCCGGGTACGGTAGGTACGCAGACTTTGACGGCGCAGAAAGGTGGCCTGGCCAGCGGCCGCCCGGGGGTGGTGGTTCTGGTGGCCCGCCAGGACCTCGGAGGAACATCGAGGATGTGGTCTGCTTCAAGGTACGTCTCTGCGGTCTCCTAACGTGGTCGACTAGTCTTATGGCTGCTGTACAGTGCGGAGAAAAGGGCCACTATGCAAATCACTGTCGTAATATCACCCAATACAGGAAGCGGTAATGCATCGCGAATCTGCGCGGTTACGACGACAGTTGAGGGTGTTGCCACGGTCATGTTCGATCGTGCAGTACGGGTATGGTGCATTGACATGCAGTATGTGTCCAGCATAGCTATGTGCGTATAATACAGTCCGACTGTGTAGTGCGAATGCGACGTGGCTGCTCGTAAGTTACGCCAAGCGCGACAACGCAGACAGCACAGATTCTAACAAAGAGTGATGTGTAAGTACGCAGGCAGCGACGAAACCCACGACGAAGACGGCGAAAAATCTAATATACAGCAAACAGACAGCGACACAACCCGCAGCCATAGCCAAAAGCAAACGAATGTAGGAGCAGAAGCAAGCACGAGATACGTATGTATGTACATACCATTCCACACCAGGGGCGCACCCAGATCTATCGATACATGTTCCGTCGCCTCTATCCCCCGCACGCCCTCTCAGAACCCTCCCCCGTAGGAGGTCCCTGACAGGATGGCGGGGCGCGCGTGCATGCCCGACATCGCATGCTGCATGTGCTGCCCACCACCGTTCATGCTGACCCCAGACAAACTGGACATGCCCGAAGGGTGCGAGCCGCCGAGGGCGACGCTGCGCGCCAGCGACCAGCCCATGCCACCCCCCGCCGCCGCCCGGCGTAGGCAGCAGCTCGCGCATGTGCGCCGCGACCGCCGCCGCGGCGCCAACGCCCATCGGCCCCTCTCCGTGCGTGTGCGCGTGGGAGTCGAGCTCGAAGGAGCGTATGCCGGGGATGGGCGCGGTGACCTCGTTCTGCGAGGTGGCCTCCTTCGAGAAGAGCGTCGCGTGCGAGAAGGGGTAGAGCGGCACGCCGCTCGACAGCGGCTCTGGCTGGTTCGTCATCCGGATGATCTCCTGCATGACGCCCTGCAGGAGCTTCTCCTGCCGCGCTGCAAGAGAAAAATGCGGAGGTCAGCCAGCGTGCGCGGATAGGGGGAGGGTGCAATGACGTACTCCCGATCGGCGACCGGTTGCCGTACGCCATCATGGCGAAGCGCAGGGCGTTGATCTCGCCCCAGACGGTGCTCTCCCGCGAGCTGTCCCCGATCTCGATGAAGTACTTGCAGAGCTGTACCTGGACCACCGCGGCGAGGTACCAACAGATCTGCAAGAAGGAATGTGGTATGAGTGTGGTGTTACAATGATCCAACGGCAATTGTGGGTCAAGTGTGGTACGGGACACTCACGACGATGAACGGGTGGAGACGCGTCGTGTCAGTGAAGTCTCGGAGAGCTTGTGCAGCGCGTTGAGGATGACGCGGGTGGCCGTTATGCAGCGCATCGTCGATGTGCTCTGATCGTTGGCGAAGTCAATGAAGTTATTGTGCAGCGTGATCATCGCCCTGCCCACCGCCCATCAGCATCCACACCAATATCAAGCGCGAACACCGTTACTCACGCATACGGCACGATCCTCGCCATATACAGATCGCTATCAAAACTCGCCACGTCCGAGCCAAAACCAGGTGCTTGTACTGCTGCGGGAAGCTCTCCAGGAAGTCGATGCACACGAGCCGGTCGAGCTCCTGGAAGCCCGGTAGGTGAACGGGTTCTGGTTCTTGCTCGGGAGCCGTCGCGCAGGCGATTCGCGTGTTGAAGTCTGTCACGCGCCCGAAGAGCATGATCGCCTTCAGAAAAGGATGACGAGTCCGTGTACTGCGGCGGGTGCCGGGTGTACAGGTCGCGGCTCGCAAGGTTCTGCGGGTTGTCTGGCATGTCGGTCTGTGGGTCGCACACTGATGTGAGCACGCGCGTGGTTGGGGGAACGAGACTAGACCACTTACGGCGGACTCAAAGTCTTCTGCGCGTACGGGAAACTCCGTCCCGATATCGTTCTCGTCGATCGCGTGCAGCCACCCGCCAACGCTCACGATCCTGTCAAACATGATCGTCATCCACCACGTCCGTCTCCTGAGTTCAAGCTCCTTGAAGTCGGACGGCGGAGGCAGATACGCTCCAGGGGCGTTGCTCGTCTGATGGCTGAACGTCCCAGGGTAGTTCAGCCCGAGCGGGACGGCGACACGCGTCTGGAAGCCGGCAAAGATCCAGACCTCGACCCAGCGACCCTCCTGGTAGAAGTACCACGAGAGGATGCTGCAGGCCTGCATGACGGGGAAGATGTCCTGCCCCGTCGCCATCGTACTGTCGATGTACTCGCGCGTTTTCGAGACGTGCAGTTCAGCGAACCGATCGCGCCGTGTGCCGTCTGAGAGGATCATGCTGTCGCTAGAGGCATATCTTGATGCGGAAGCGCACTGCGGGATCGCAGACCGAATTAGATGAGCGGAACGTACGCAGAAGATAACTCACTATTGCGTGTAGAACTGCGGAATGTGGAAATTTTGGGTCTCGTGGGTTGAGATGTAGGGATGCAAGGAACGTCGGTCGATCGAACATCCGCGTACTACACGGATCGCATCGGAAGAACACTTCCACGCTATCACACATCCGTCAAGTAACGCTCGCAGACCACACAAAATTACACTCACTAGTGGTTGAGGACAGGGGGTTCAGGCAGATGGGGATCCCATCCAGCACAGAGCACATCCATCAGCGGGTCCGGCCCACTGCCAGGCCTGGTCATCTCCGGGCTGCTTGCAGAGCTCCTGCCTTGGGAGTCGGGGCTGTTCGTCGACAGACCGTTGCCATAGTCCAAGGACGGGTGCGCTACGGCCATGCCCGATACGTTCGGGCTTCCCGCCGAGGAGCGACCGCTAGAAGTAGACAGAGAGCCGGACGCCGCGTTGGGGTGGGTATAGTGCGCGATGGCTGGAGGTGAGACAGAGCCTGAGGCGAGCGTGCGTTGCTGATGTTGCAATTGGCTCTTCAGCTGCACTGCGACAGGACAGGGACAGGCGTCAGGTCAGGCGTGGACGCGAGGATCAGGCGCGCAGGACGTACGATATGGTCTTCCAGCTGACGGATCCGCTCCGCAGAGTCGACCTCCGGTGCGACGGTGAGGCCATCAATGGGGTCGTATGAGCATGTTGGTTCTGTAGGATGGCTGAGGGATGGTCAGCGGGGCCTGGGGAACGGATATGGCAACGCACGCGTAGCCACTGGTGGGGGACGCTTATGAGGGCTTGCCATTGCCTTTGCCGTCGTTCGTGAGTACCGGCCGACGCACTGATCGCCAAATGCGACTCACTTGACACACGTCCCACAATGCGGACGAGCGGCATCACATTTCTGGAGGCAGCACGCGTCAGATCGGCGTCGAGCCGCGCACAAGCGACGCGCGCAGTGCTTACCAGTTTCCGTTTTCGACACGCAAGGCACGCCTGGAAGGACAGGGGGACGGAGATGAGGGCGAGCTCGGCGATCGAGGAAAGGCAAACTCGCCTGGTTCCTGCGCAGAGACGGTCGGGCCGAGGAGGAGCTCGCCTTGGGCATCACGGGCACGCGTGCGGCGATCAGATAATAGTGAGTATGGGCCGGGGTGGGATGCTAGTGCTGGGCAGGGCGGGTGGGCAGAGCTGGAGGAAGGGCGTGTGGTTGGTAGGCGTGATAGAGTGTGGAGAGGCGGTGGGAGGATCGACTGACTGAAGAAGGCGGCCTGTTCAAGTAAGTGCGCACCACAGGCGCCCTAATTGCTGCTCCCGCGGCAAGTTCCTATTTTTGTGCCCATCCCTTTGCGCCCTCCTCGTGCACTCGCATCTCGTCATCTCTGCATTCTCTTGTCTCCTTCAGCCCCATCAGACCATCTCGACATAGCCACCGCGCAACACTGTGTGTTCCTACGACATGATCCCTTCAACACTCAAACAGTCGAGTCTCACTCGGTTGCGTCTCCGGAGCCGCAGGCGCTGTACTGCCATGGTTAGGACACCGGCGGACGACCATCTCTTGTCCGGCGACGTCGCGAGCGACTAAACAAACTCCTGACCAGGGGAATTGTCAGGAGAGCGTGCAAACGTTACGATCATTCCGAATTCCAAGATCGGCGGATGCGGCGGTGCAGCGTCCGCTCCGTCTGTGCGGACTTGACGTTTCCACGAGCTCAATCGGCGCCCGTGGGCCGTCGGCACCGTCCCCTGAGCGTCCTGGCGCGTTTGCAGACGGCCTCCGAGTTCTCTGAGGGGCCGCCCAAGACACATGCTCGCACTTATTCTCCGATAGACCGGTGATTCTCGCCAGCTCGCTTACAAAGATTGCTCTGCGAGTGGGATCATCTGGCCCAGTCCTTCTCTTGCTAACTTGTGGAGATGTTCTCAACAGGCTGGTACCCCGCAAAAGGCGTCTGCTCGCGAAAGCTCCGTGCGCTCGTCGATAAGCCTTGAGCATGCTATGAAGCGCGGTGTGCAGCCTCTCGTCCTCAATCGCACACACGCACTCGCCGCAAGCTATTGTCAGCTGGATTTCGGGGAGCCACGAGACGTCGCGCTGAGGACAGCCTTGCGCGCCACCATCGAGGACAGAACCTGTTTCTGCACGCCCACACACCTTGCCAATCCGTCAATTTCATATCCTGCACTTCCTCGCACTGACAGCATCAATCGAATCGTACAACACGCTCCATTCTTACGATTCCACGACCAGCCCCTTGCTTCTCCGAGATGCGCCCACACACGCGCCGAGGGATCATGGAGGGATCGCGGTCGCCATGCGCGTGCGCCTCCCGCACGCTATGCAGCCCTGGTATTTTACGTCCTAAAGGGGAAAGGAACGCACAGCGTAAACATGCGCCGCCGGGGAGAAAGATTTGAATGAGGTGCTCACAGGACTGTCGCGACCACTCGCCGCTGGTGCGGTGCGTGCCGGAACTCGGTGAGGTAGATGCCTGTCGGGACGCATATCAGCTTGGCGCCCGATTTCTTCCTGAGCTACACCAGATTCGGCGATCCGCAGAAGAAGGAACGATAGACCGGATTCGCGGATTCTGTACATCCGTCAAACGAAGGAATGCGTCTTGACTTCGATAAATTTGACGCGATCAGTGGTGGGCCGTTTGACGTACAGGGCCGACTCGGGGTGGACGCCGAAGAAAGTACAGCTACCGCGGACCATTTGCTTCAGTAGAAGCCATGGATATACTCACCTTGCCAGGTCCCCAGATTAAGTCGTCCGTCCGTGATAGGCACGCAGATCGACGTGCCCATGAGCGAGGTCTTCGTGTGCGAGACCCTGTGATTTACGGCGGCGGCATGAATTTACCTTCACCCGGCGCACCAATTGAGATACTCACGAATCACTGTGATATATCGGCACAAACGAGGTGGATGTGCGGCACAGCGGTGTCGGCGAATCATTGGTCAGACAATGTACGTGAGCATGGGGGGCGTCAGCACTTACTCATGGCCCTCGTCTGTGTGCACCCAATCCAAGGACTCGGGGACGATCTTGTCGAGCGCCATGTCCATGTCTGATACGGGACAGGTTAGGTCACGGTCAGACCTTGTCGAAGATGCTACGGTCACCTCGTCTGACATCTGCGCACGCGACATCACAGTCAGTGAGTCGTTGTTCGACGGCAAAAATAGAGCCAGCGACGCGACGCACCCGGGTCGTAATTTTCATTTATAGTCAATGCCGCCGAGGTGTGTTGTCTAACGCAACGTACGTGAGCCAACTGCAGCGCCCCGACCGACTCGGAGACCCTCTGCGTTGTGAGGCGCGACCTACATAAATAGATACAACATCCCGATCTGTGCAGAGACCGTCAAGGTTTGTCTTTTCCTGGACGGCCCCGAGCTATCGCAGGAGCGGTCGACGCACGCACCTTCACGCCCTCTAACCCTGGCCGGATGTGCGTGAGCACCTCCTCCGTGACGAGATGGCAGCCCTTCGGACGCCTGTTGAGCGTGAATGTCTTCTGCCAGCCCATCCTGCGGTTGATTCAATGTAATTGAGTAGTGCAGCCCGTCGGCAGAGTCTTATTGCTCGGCCCCGGAGATAACGACCAAATCAAGCTCGCGATACAAAGTCTGAGCGGACAGATGGAGTAGCGACAACCGACTGAAGTATCCGCAACGATTGATGTCGGTCAGGAGAAGAGCTGCAGCCCGAGTTGTGCAGTTTGCGAAGAGAGTGCAGTCGATGTATCTCACGGCGGCTCGTGGCTCTCGGACGATGACCTCAGATCGTGGCGCTGAGATCCCGCGCGATCAATTGCCTCCTTAATAATAGTATGTACATCTCACCTCCGAGTGTGCCGGCCTCCCTGGCCCGTCGTTGATTTTGCATTGACTCGACCTCGAGCGGCGAGCGGGTGGCGGGATAGATTGACTTTGACCGGACCCGGCGATCACGTCGGTGACCTCGTGAAATTCACCGGCGGCCTGCCGTGCAATGTCGTCGGACGGCGGCACACACAACTGATCCGGTGGCGGACGCGCGAGGTCATGAAGTACCGTACTTAGTGCGCTGAGTTCTCCTGCGCTATGTACACGGTGCGTCACGCTCAAACCGCCCGGGCGGGCGACTCGAGGCGTGGATAGAGCGTAGCCGTAAGTCTGACATTTATTGACCGCGCTTACGCCCAGTCGGGTGTGTATGGGGAACGGATCGGCGGTGCGAATGAGACCGCAAACACGCACAGTCGTCCGCGTCGAGTGTCTTCGTTCGGGAAAACCTGAGCAAGTAGGCGTCCTAGGCGAGGACGAGGACGCGCCAAAACAGACTGCTGCATTGATGCTTCGTCGGGTCATTCGTACAGGACGTCATGATTCTCGACCGCTCATCTTCCTCTCCGCTTCCAACAACGCGTCGAATTGCGCTTGTTCATCCGCCTTACTAGGCTCCTCGGACTGCGCCCCTCTTGCGCGTTGCTTCCGATCTTGTTTCGTTCGTGACTCTGTCTGAGTACATCCCACGATGATGTGGCGCCCCGTTGCGGGCGTTCGCGACTCGGATCTCCTGCCAACGACTCTTTGACCTATTCTGGCTTCTGACGCTGCTGTTGTAACAGAAATAATTAGCGTCTCTGGTAGGCGGGCAGAAGCGGGATGCTTGTGAACGCTAAGTATAACACGATCGCTTAACTTACCAGTCGGTGGTGGAGGCCGACTGGCCGAGGTCGGAGGAGCTGTTGGCTGATCTCCCATGACAGGCTCCGGGCCCAACTATCGTCAGAAGGTGCCGCGGAGTTGCCGTGCATCTCCTCCCGTTGTGCGACTTCTCTCGCTCGCTGGAGCGTCCACCCCAGAGGCCTCACACCGCCCGTCCTCCGGTTCACGTTCTCGAGTGCCTGGCTGAACGCGACCGGGTCGTCCAGGAGTTTGGCGAAAGTCGCATGGGTGTCTGCACGGCGGAACTGGCCCCATACCGCGCCTAGAAAGCCCCCGCAGTAGCGAAGAGTGTTGTGCGGTTCAGTGACGCGGGCGGTCTGCGGTAGAAGCGTTGGTACGCTCCCGCGCCTGCGCTCCCCGCGAGGGAGAACACATACTGCAGGTCAAAGCAAGTGAGCTTGGTCACGTCCGAGAGTATGCGGGGTGATACAGACTGGCCAATATCGGTGGGAGCCAGGCAGGAACGTAGTGGCTAGCTGGTAGTCGTGCGGGGTTATGAGACCCGACTCGAGGTCGGGCCGGAGGAGTTCTTCTGCCCTTGCGCGTGAGTTGAAGGTCGAGTCCAACCACTGGATAGGGTAGGCCATGTTGGCTGTTAACTTAGATGAGAGGCTGAGGCGGAGGCGGCGGTCACATCATAGGCCTGGACGGGGTCCGCGTCTTTCGAGAGGATCCGGTACGCGTTCGGTCACGTGCGAGGCGCTGTACGCGTTTCGAGGAACAAGTGCTTGGCCCTGGCACGTCCAGGCGGGCCAGCCATCCCAACCTCCGCTCTCGACAACACATCACCCCGACACGCCGCGCTTGGCCGCCTGCTTGCTGCTCTCACCCTCCTTCTGACTTGCTCATGAACGGCGATGCTGACTACGGTCTGTCGAACAAACCGCTGCCGCCCCGGCTGCCCACGAGAAATTGCCTTCTCTGCCACCGCGCGACTCGGGCGAAGACTGGCCCCCGCCCCCGCCCCCGGACAAGAGAGACGGATCGTCCTTGAGATCGCCTGGACTCAAGCCATCGCGCTCGCGAGTGGATTTATCCCAATCTCCCAATGGGGAACCTGGTGAGCCTGTCCCTCTATCTGCTGCGCAGTGTCTAACTGGACTGCGCGCGGGGTATTTACGGCACCTTCAGCCACGCCTACCACTCCGAGTAGGGGCGCCCAGTATGCAACTGTACCCCCATCTCCGGGAGGAGACGCCAGAGGGAAGAGGGCCAACCCGCTTACGGACTTGATCGAGACAGAGAAGGAGTATGTAGACCGGCTTGCCGGGATCATTCGCGTACGCATCCTCATTTGCTTCCGGCCCCATGTATTCACGTTGTTTTGCAGAAAGTTGCGGGTGCATGGTCCGGTCAAACCTGCCTCCACCAGATCTGGACGCCATGTTCAGGAGCATCGAGAGCATATACAAGGCGAACCGGTCGTTGCACTCAGTAAGTCAACAATGCGCTACAGGTACAATTCCTCATGACAGGATCCTTCAGAAATTGAAGGACATAGGGGCGGATCCGTCATCACCGAAGGCCTTGGTGATCTATTGATGCGATGGGTCGGTAAGCGGCTTTGTCCATTCATGCTCGCGCTCACGCATCGCAGGTTGACGACCTTGAGACACCATACACCGCCTACTGCACGAAATATGTCAAGGGATTCGACACATGGGACCCGGTACAGAACAACGATCGCCTGCGCACTACACTCGCTATATACTCGGCGACGAACCCACCTCCGCTGCCTCCTTCATCTCCCTTGCACCCGTCAGAGCCACCATTGTGGACGCTCGACCAGTTGTTCCTCCTACCAAGGAGCGTCTCAGTTATTATCGCAAGCTCTACTCGCGCCTACTCAAGGGCACCTCACCAGGACGGAGTGATCATCGGCTGCTCTCATCCGCCATGGAGAAACTCGCGAAGCTAATGAATACCCTAGACGGCCGCCTCGCCATTGATGTAGCTTCCGTGTCGACTTATACCAGCCCGTCTCCGCCCACGAGACTGAGGACGAAGTATTCATGGACATGCGGGGACGGAAGAGCCTGATGCCGCATGGTACGCCTGTAGTGCTGATGCTCCCCCACTTCCGACCGCAAGCAGTTCCGGACGTCCGGAGCCGTCGAACGCACCACCTGATAGCCAGACATCACCGCCCCCAATGCCTTCGACAGTAGCTGCATTGGAACGACGATTATCTTCCGAACGCACGCTCGACATCTTCACAATGCAGCCTAGGGTGATTATCGAGCTCACTCCATGCAATGTTACGCTGACTCTGACCTTGCTGCTTTAGCAAATACGCTTGCAGCTATCCCCTCCGTCCCTGCACTACACGAGGGAAGTGCGGTATTCAGCGGACGTCGTAGTGCGGTTCACCCCGCGAACTACCGGAACGCCAGTGGTGCATGAATTAGGCCACGTCTTCATCCTTACCGATCTCTTCGTATTTGCGGAACGGATGAAGCCGCGGGAACGCGCGCAGTTCGGACCAGATGGCCCGGATATGTGGTTGGTGTATCCCCCTCTGGCTGGCAAACACCTCCGCGTATCTCCTCTGGGCGATTCAGGTGAGCCAGCGTGTCTTCAGACATTGCCGATATTCCTTGTTGACCTGATCATTCGTGTAGAAACCGCACTCTCGGTCACTATCCTGCGGAAGGAGACTTTGACCCTGCATACCTCGACACCCGCACTGCGTGATCGGCTATATTCGGAGTTCGCAGAGTGCATTGATGCTGCAGCCATCGTGAGTGTACCTCTTTCCCATTCGCAATTTTGCGCTAATCAGTCGTCAGTGTCGTCAGCGAAGAGTCCGCCTCCATCAGGGCCACCGGCGCTTCCGGTAGACGGTCCACGACCTCCCTCGGGACCACAGTCACCTGGTAGTAGATCTTCCTCAGGACCTCGGGACCCTAGTAGGCCGCCTTCGGCTGGCATGCTTCCTGAAAGGCATAGTGGTGGGGCGAGCCCATCTAGCGTCAGAACACCTCAGAGCGGCCAAGCATCACTACCAAGCAGTCCTCCTGCGCAAGGGCCACGGTCGAGTTCATCATCAGGAGACGTCCGCCGATGGAGCACATGGCGAGGCTAGCACTGGGTGATCCGCCTGCACAACGCCCAGGAGAATATCAGCAGCCCGCGCCTCCGTATCCGACTCGGACCACCTCAATATCTTCGCGGCATTCTAATGACGGTCCGGGACCCGGCCAACTATCCAGGCAAACGTCCTTCAACGTCGGGCAAGTTATACCCTCACAGCACAGCGGCCAACAACCCCCCATGCCGTCGTTTCGACCGGGTCAGGTCATGCCCCAACAAGGACCGCCAATGCAGCCTGGACCGCAGGGCCCGGTAGACCTCCGCAAGGGTTCGGACCAGGACAGGTTATGCCGCCGATGGGCGGACGTCCCCCTGCTGGCTTGCCTCAAGCACCATACGGTCCTGGACGTGGCGGCATGCCTCCTCCGGGTGGCCCCCCTTTCCACCCTGGTCAACCGATGCCGCCTGGTCCAGGCCGGGGCATGCCACCCGGCCCCGGCGGTATGTATGGTCCTCAGGGACTTATGGACCCCAGCACGGTCTGTCGATGCGGTCTGTCTCTAGTGACTCTCCATATCGGAACCCAGCGCCCATGGGTATGCCACCAGGTCAGGGCCCCCGCCCGCCCTTTGCGCAGCCACAGAATCGTGCGCCGTCTGATCCCTCGTTCCAGGGCGGCCTGCGCAAGTCGACATCGTCGCGGTCCCTCCGATCACAGCACGAGATGATGTCCACGGCGTCGGCACCGCCTATGCCCCAGTATCCTGGCGGCCTCCCATATCCCAACCGGCCGTTTGGACAGCGCAACGATTCTACGCCGTCGCTGTATTCACTGCCGTCACAGCACGGCCCGCCTCAACCGACATTACTGCCCTCTGAACAATTGAAGATGGCTAAGGCTCAAGCGCAAGCTGCAGCTCAGTACGACGACCCTAGTCCTCCGCCATCCCCTGTGACGGAGGCCCCTCAAGCACTAGGTCCGACTAGCACGAGCATCACCGCTCAGATGAAGTGTAAGGTGTTCCTGCAACAACAGCACGCACAATGGAAGTCCCTCGGCACCGCCAAGCTGAAGCTGTACCGCGAGTCACCAACAAACGTGAAACAGTTGGTCGTGGAGGCGGATGACAAGAACAAAACCGTGATCATCTCGACAATCGTGCTCGTGGACGGCGTCGAGCGGGTGGGCAAGACAGGCGTGGCGGTGGAGCTCAGCGATAGAGGACGGCGCTCTGGGATCGTCTACATGCTTCAGCTGCGCAACGAAAAGTCCGCTGGAGGGCTCTTCGACAGTCTAATTGCCGGGTCGGATAGGTCAGCGGGTAGGGATGAGCTGACTAGATTAGGGAGTACTTGGGGGTAATTCTTCGGCGACTGTTCATATCTCACACATAGACTGGACTCTCTCGCTCATATTACCACATGCATGTATCCTACTGTAGACCCGATGTAGTTTGCGTATCTCATTCGTCACGCCATTCCTTCTCTGTTATAATCGTCCTTTTTTGTTTCCACCGATGCAATGCAATGCAACTTCTAAAATCTATAACGGGGGTGGCAAGTAGAGTTCCGCGCCGAGGGAGATGTGATCGCTCCCCAAACACCTTTGAGCGGGATGCCCGGGGATAGCGCATCCGTTCGGTGAGGTTTTGCCAGTTTAGTGACGATGACCTTGCGTTGTGGCGGAGATACAACGAACATGTAATCTGGTGGGGTTGAGCGCTGCATCTCATGGGATTCGAAAACCGAAGACCCGGCACGTACCCAGAACAGATTGCCAATACTGTGAGTACTATGTCATCAGAAAACGGTTACACACAGTCACCGTCAACGCACATAGGTATAACTCGTCCAATTGGGCTCGTATACTCCACGCCGGTCCGCATGTATAGGAACATGATCTCCATAAGTCAGCTCGCGCTCCAGGGTCGCAGAGGCGGTGCATATGCGCTGCCCTCGTCGTAGACACTCAATGGCCTGTCATATTGTCGGAGCATATCAGCTAGCTCAACATTTGTTAGGAGGCCATCCACGGGAAGAGCAGGCCGTGCGTTCGTGATGATTCGGTCTGGGTCGGTCTCTGTGGCCGCAGCGCCCTCGTCTTCTTCTGTCTCCCTGGTTGCCGCTTCAGGCGCCGCAGGAACGTCAGGATCGATCGTCTTGTGAACGACGCGCGAGGTGGCCAGCCGTACTTCTTGTTCGGACAACAATGGATCACCTGTGAACAGAGAGTATGCGGCGTCGTCTGGTGGGAAATTGAAATCTGAGCTCCTCCGTTGGCGTTAGTTCTGCTTTCTAAGGCGCGTCGATAGCACGGACGCTCACCGCCAGCGATGATGCAGGGCCAGCGGCTCTCCAGTGGCGATATTTCATCGCGGAACTTATGCACTTCTCGAAGCAGTATAGCAGCTTGTCTATCTACGATGTTCAGCGGTGGAACGTCTACACAAACAATAGACATACCGTGCCCGCTCATACGTATACCTGCAGCACACGTGTTAGTCAAACCCATGGATCCGCGATTTTATGAATGTCTTACGACGGGTGCCAGAACAGATGAGTTGTTGCCACTACAATGCCTTCCGAGGGCAAATCAACCCGTTGCAGCGCGACCAAAGACGCGATGTTCCTCGTGCGGAAGCTACTACCACGCCTAGCTGCTTCATTCGCGCCTTGACGGATCTCTTGAAGGTCATACTCTATCATCCTCTCGCCGACAAGTCTATATGCGCCTTCCGGAAAGCGATGAGACATCCGTGCTTCTTGCGAGGTCCCGCAGCATAGGCGCAAACGTATCCGGCACCCTCGAGGACTGGTAACAGCTTTTCCAGCCTATCTACTTCCTGTGGAGATGTGTAAGCTTGCAGGCGAAAAATAAGCAGAGACTGTCATTCCTGCAGGCAGCAAATGTCCGCGTTATGGGAGAGAATTTCACGGTAGATCATGTTCTCGCGTTGAGCGGCCTTAAGACAGTCACTCGTTGGGAATAGCTCACGACCTATGTGAAGACATACATATTCGCGACAATGCTCAATGGTTATAGTACTCACGGACGAGACTCTGAGCCAAGAGCTAGAAGGACAACAATGTTCAACGGCTCATCACGCGAGGAATGAAAGGTTGCGAACATTCCAGGTCATGACCCTGAGCTGCTGTCCTGCAGTGGGTGCTTCTTGTACTGTAACCCATCCTCTGGGCAGAATGCGGCTCCTCTCCTCTATTTCCCTCGCGAGGGCTTCCTTCCTCTGCTCTTTCCTGAGCCTCCGCTGCTCGGCAATCGCATCAAGAACATCCGGAGACACACTTGGGGGTTCGGTTCCGGTCATAGTATGCACGCGGCGGAGGCAAGTACAAGACACAGGGTAGGCAGCCCCGAGACCAACGCGTGTGCGACAAAACGATCGAGTTAACAGAATTGCTGTCCCGTTGCTAGCGCAGACTGGTGCGAGATATCTCGGCGTAGAGAGCAAGGGTAACCGCCAAAAAATCTGGGAGGTAGTACTTATCAGGATTGAGCCCGAGAGGATGTCGACTGCGAGAGAATGCGAGCCTCGAGAGACGCGACTCGGACGCGACTCGGACTGGGAGTGCCCGCACGTGACCACTGTGACTTAGTGAGACGCGGTGTTTTCCCGCCACACGTCGCCACCGTCCCCGCCTCGGAGGAGCTCCAGGCCTCTCAACCCCGTTTCCTTTTCTCCTCTTGACTCCTCGACAACAGTCGTAGGCATCATCGCTTATTCGGCTGCTGGATGTACCGCCTTTTCTTCATTCAGCGGCAACTTCTTTCTCGGACGACTTATAAGACTGGGGTCACTCGCGGCGCCTCTTCTGCTTTCGCTACCCGCTTTCGCTCTTCACCCTTTGATCAGCGCCTCAGTCTGCATACGCAATCCTCGATGGCCCCTACAGCGAACAGCGTCCTTCCCAACGGCGATGCTCGGGAAAGCTTTGGAAATTTTGACTTGGTGAAGCGTCTGAAGCTCGACTTCACTGACGTCCAAGTATCTAAGTGGAAGAGCAGAGAGACCGGCCTATCTGTTGTCCACCTCGATTATGAAGGTGTGTAATGTTTACCACAATGCCACATAGCAAGGCAGTTTACATGTTGTACCTATCTAGCACCGATCGTAAACGGGTATTTCGTGATCGCCACCGAAAGTGCGTATTTCGTCACAGAGGGTAGCCTTGATCCCGCGTTGGTGTTTAGGGTCGGGATGCGTGCTTCACTGTGCAAACCTATGGGCAGATTTTGGTCACGCTCCAAGACACGGATGAGTACACCAAACGGAATCCAGGCTGCCTGATTGTTCCTGTACAATACCGCTGCTAATACATGCCTCTCAAACATCAGTATTCGATGATACCGGATGTCCGCACACGTTGGAGCAGTCAGTCATCTAAGCTGGGCAAATCGTGTCTCCGCTCATGTTAGTTTCAGTCTAGTGTTCATGGGGTCAGAAAAGTATCCTTACAAGGGCATCATCGACCATCTTGCGAATCGCGGCTATTCGAATGGCACGAACGCGTGGACTGACACCGACCACACTGCATATACAGTTTCGACTGCAGGAGAACAGGGGTTTTTGCAAATTTTGCCGGTATACGTGGACCACATCCTGTACCCCACGCTGACCAAAGCTGGCTTTGTGACTGAGGTACACGCCCCGATGCTGTGATTTCCTTGTGATGCTAACACTTCTGTTAGGTCCATCATATTGACGGCAAGGGCGAGGACTCCGGCGTGGTTTATAGCGAGATGCAAGGCCGGGAGAACACCTCGCAGGACCTGATGGCTCTCCAGTGCGCACTACATGTCTCGTACACGCGCATGCCTATGCTGACGGAGCATAGATTGCAGCGCTTGGTGAATCCACCAGGTAGCGCATATAGGAGTGAGACTGGCGGTCTAATGAACGCTCTGCGAGACCTAACGGTAGAGCAAAGTACGTGGATTGTTCGTGCATAACAGTCGGGCGTCGGTCTCACGGGTTTCTAGTCAGGGACTACCATCACAAGTACTACGTCCCGCATAACCTGTCGCTCATTGTCAGCGGAAAACTTGCTTCCGGTACAGAGTCCCTACTGAAAGTGATCCAAGAGAAAGTCGAGCCAGGAATTATTAAGCACGGTCAGAACGAAGGCTTCAGGCCTGCAGGGTGGAAGCGTCCTTTCATGGAGACGCCCAGCGCGATCCGCGGGCCTATTAAGGAAACGAAGACAACTACGGTTGAGTTCCCCGAGCAGGACGAGAGTGTAGGTGAGTTGTACATGGGCTTCATGGGTCCACCAGGGAACGCGTTCCTCGAGAGGAAGGTATGTGGCTTCTTCATTTGTGATGACAGTCAGACATTAACCACCACAACAGGCCCTCGACATCATGTCGACCTACCTTACATCGTCGGCTGTCGCCCCGCTCAACAAGGAGTATGTTGAGATTGAATCTCCGCTGTGGTAAATAATGCTCTGCCGTTTGAATGCCGCCTCTGAAACCTGGTCTACAGCACATACATCTACTTCGGCGAAGACTCTAGGGCGACGTTGTGCGATCTGCCCATTTACATCGGGTCGATCCCTACCGAGAACCTTGATTCGTTCCCCGAGAAGTTGAAGACCAGTTTGACTCGCATCGCTGACGAGGGGATCGATATGGAGCGAATGGTTATGGTCATCAACCGGGACGAGCGCCAGGTAAGAGGCACTGCCATGTCCACCGATACGAGCCCTCATACTGTTGTAGCTTCGTAGCAAACTGGAATCCTCGAAAGGGGAGACATTCTCAGGCAACGTGATCGGCGACTTCCTTTACGGTGCGGAAGACGGCTCTGAACTCAAGGCTTCCATGGACGAGTTTGTTTATTACGCCGAGCTCAGGAAGTGGACTAGCAAGCAGTGGACTGACCTGCTGCGACGGTGAGCTTCGTCTCCTACATCTCACTCAATCAAACTAATCATAGCGTAGATATTATATTGATCCAGCCTGCGTCATCGTGCGAGGAAGACCGTCGAGTGCAATGGTCGATAAGCTCAAGGAAGACGAGCGGGCCCGCATCGCAGCTCAGAAGGAGCGACTGGGTCCCGAGGGCCTCGCCAAGGCCACTCAGGAGCTCGAAGAAGCGAAGAAGGAACACGATACACCGATCCCTCAAGAAATCCTGACGTCGTTCCCTGTCCCTGACATCAAGACCATCTCTTTCATCCAGGTACAGAGCCTACAGGAGGTCGGCACCGGCAAGGGTCGCAAGCGTACAGTGGAACAGCCCGGTACTACTGAACTTGCTCGACACGTGGAGAGCGACGGTCCAGATCTGCCGTTTTTCGTGCAGTATGATCACGTCCAGGTGAGTCTCAGCGTCGATTTCACCCCATGAGCCAATCCTAATGCAGTGCAATGCAAGTCTGACTTCGTCACAATTGGCGCGTACTTCACCATGGCCAAACTCCCGAATAGGCTCCGGCCGTACATGCAGACCTACCTCTCCGCATTCTTCTCGCTGCCCATCACGAGAAGCAGCGGAGAAAAGCTCACACACGAGGAAGTGGTCAACAAGCTTGACAATGACACAGTATCCTATGAGGCTGCGTACGGCGTTTCGGGTGCATTCCCAGAGAATGTGCGCGTCTCTATCAAGGTGGACATCGGGATGTACGAAGCCGCCATCGCTTGGCTCAAGGACTTGATCTACGGCAGTGTGTTCGACAAGGAACGGTCAGTCTTTACCCTCCGAACTGACCATTCTAGGCGGGTACTCAGAACATGATATGCAGACTTCAAATCACCATTGCTAAGATCCAACAAAGCTTGCCTGAGATGAAGCGGGACGGTGACACTGTACTCGGTTCGGTGTCTTCTGAGCTGCTCTTCGACGAAACCTCGGTTTCGCGGATGACGATGGCGCTCCCTCAGACTGAGTTCATCCCTAAATTGGCGGAGCTGCTGCAACAGTCTCCCGACGAGGTTGTGAAGGACTTCGAGGAGATCAGACGGCATCGTAAGTTCTGCGCGTCTGGCTGACTCGTTCAATATGCTCACGCCATGTAGTGACGGACCCATCCTGCGTGCGGTTCTCCGTCGCAGGCAATGTCTTGTCCATCAAGCAACCTCGCGGCCCATGGGCGAAGTACTTCCAGCCTTTACTGCCTGTGAGCTCTTTACCCTTTCATCCGGGAGGATGATCTGACCTTTCGCAGCCAAGCGAACTTCTTCCAGTCACGCTGTCCAAAGATACTCTCAGCGAAGTTGGCAAGAATCCAGTCAAGAAGGTGAGTTGGGATGTCCCAAAAGATGAGCGTGAGGCTTACGAGCAACGGCTAGGCTGTGGTTGTCAGTCTGCCTACCATCGAGAGCTCCTATACCTCCCATGTCACGAAGGGCATCCAAGGCTTCACGCACGAGGAACGTCCCGCAGTCGTAGTAGCCACCGAGGTGCTGAACGCGACTGAAAGTTATCTCTGGGTATGTGGAGTGAATTATACGTGCGAACGTCCTTGATAGTCTTGACAGCGATACATCCGTGGCTCGGGATTGGCATACGGAGCAACAGTCTCCGTGGATCTAGAGGGCGGTCTTTTGAGCTTTTCATTGTACAGGGTATGTGTTCCCGTTGAAGCTGTGAAGCATGGAGACATGTGGGAGGTCTCACAGCTACTCTAGACTTCACAATACATGAAGGCCTATGAACAAGCGAAGTCCGTTATCGAAGGCCTCGTTGACGGCTCGGTATGTTTACGTCCAGCTTGTAATCTACACTGGTTTCTAATCGACCGTGTAGATCGCACTCGAAGAGACGACCCTGGACGCGGCGAAGAGTAGCATCGTGTTCGGTGTGACGAGGGGTGTCTCGACGCCGGGGCGCGCGGTAAGTCAACCCCTTCTTCGGATTGCCCATAACACCTGATCATTGCTGCGCAGGCTGTAGCCTCTTTCCTGAATCAAGCTTTCCGGGGCGTGCCCCAGAACTACAGCATCGAACTTCTCGAACGCTACCGTTCCGTCACGAAGGCGGATGTCCTCGCCGTACTGCGCAAGTACTTCCTGTCCCTCTTCGACCCTTCGTCATCCATCGCAATCGTTGTCACTGCACCAGGGAAGGCCGCTGAGACAACAGAAGGCCTTACAAAGCTGGGATTCGAAGTGGAGCAGCGGTCGTTGGAAGCGGATGCAGACGAGTCTGAGAGCGGTAGCGAGGGCAGCGACTCTGACATGAGTGGGTCGGAGAGCGGCAGCGATAGGTAGCAACAGCAGTACCGTGTCGGGACTTCAGGCTATGATCTGAGGTGGACATAGACGATCATATGACAAGGCTTCACACCGCTACATGCAATATCTGGCCGTACTTAGCTACGATACCAATATCATGGATCAGAATGTTCTGTCTCCTCTCGCGCCCTCCGAGGGTGGATGTATCGCGGAGGCCCCTGGTTGCTCAGCATTGGATGTCTCGATAACTTCAATCATCTTTTCAGAAGCCTGCCCAGGCTTCAGTTCCACGTTTTCCAGGAAATCGTTGTCTACGAGGAAGCGGATGGCTTGGGATAAGTTCGACACAGTCATTTGGATTCTGGTGTAAGCAGCTAACGTTTGCATTGTCGTTAGCTATGCATCTATCTCACAGGACGAATTCGCTTACATTCCGAAGTAATGACGGTCGTGCCGCAAAGGGGTTGTATACTGGTTTCCGAGGTTGTTTGGCTGGCAGCTTCCTCACTGGTCGAACCTGTTGTTGTGAAGGCGCCGCGTCTCCACACGAGGCTCCTCCATCTCCACGTCGTCTGGAAGGGCGGCAAGTGCTGGTGCGTCCTGTGCCTCAAGTGCATCCGGAGCCGCCTTTGACGACACAACTTCTGGCGCAGCGTCAGAACCCGAATCAGACTCGCTCTCAGAGTCGTAAACGACTGGCAAAGAAGCGGTCGTACGTGCTTCCGAAGAGTTCGCTGCGTTGCTGGGCGCATCGGAGGTTAGGACCGGCTTTGGAGGTAGCAAGTGAGGAATACGAGGCTCCTGAGGGGCACCGCCGCGTCCTGGACCTCCATCTCCACCTCTGCCCCGACCGCGGCCACGACCACGGCCTCTGCCATTCATCTGAGCGCGTTCGCCATACTGTCCGCCCTGCACGTCGTCATTGAGCCTCTGTTTCTTTCTGTTGGGGAACCGGATGTCCTGAGGCTGCAGTTGCCCACGCGCAGCGGCCTCCTCAAGTTTCCTCTGTTTCTCCTCCACATGGGAAGCAGTGGGAAATCTCTTCCTGCGCTCGGCGATCCAAGCTGCGATAGCTTCCGGAGTATCGAGCTTGGCGGTTGTGCCTAGGATGGGAATTGGTTTCCTGTCATCCAATTCCTGAGTATCAACCATCACAAGGAGGTCCATGCGGTCTCACCCTTTCAGACTTGGATCCGCATCCCAGTCATCCTTCTTCTTCCTCTTATCCCACCCGGGAGGATATATGAGGTGTCGATCCATCATGTGTATCTCGACGGCCTTCTTCGAGCCCGCGAACGCGCAGCCAGGTTTCGTGCAGCGACAATTGCCTGACTGATACCAGCCCGCCTGTACAGATCCACGATACGAAGGCTTTAATAGTGCAGGCGGATGCATGCTGGTCGACGCGGCTGAGGGACCACCATGAGAGCCGGGGACGTACGTAGAAGATAGTGCGTAGCCTTCCGCAGTCATCCCGGGCATCTGGGCTCCTGGCGTGCGGAATTGGGCATATGCTTGTGCATAATGAGGAGCCTGAGGATACTGGAACTGTGCATATGGATTGGACAAGGCGGCAGCGGCTGCCTGCGCTGCGAAAGCCCCGACATTGGGTGGATAGGGATGTTGAGACGAGCCAGGCATACTGCCGTCGGGGTAATATGCCTGCGAGGACGAGCGGCCTTGCATATTGTCGCTGAGGCCTGAGGGTCGAGGCAGAGTAAAGTACTTAGTAGCAAGTGGCTGAGGATGTCCGCGACCTCGAAGATTTGGCGCGTCGACGCGTCTGAGCACGTGAAGATACGACCTTCCCTCAGATTTCAGCATACCGCAAGATTTAGTAGTCATAGACCATAGAGCAGTATATTTTCTGCATCAACAACGATGCTACGTATTACGCTATGCATACTTTTCGAGTGTCTCTGACCGCACTAATGCAAGCAAGTACTATAATAGAGCACGACATCGAGACATGGACAGCAAGTCCAGTCGCGACGCGTAAGTTGGGCTTTGGAGAGCGAGGGATTTCGGGAGGGAGGGATTTGGGAGCATCGAGCTGGAGACGAGCTCGCTGGGAGCGGGATACGGGGCAGGAACGGAAGAGGGGTAGCGGAACCAGCAAGGGGGAGGCGAGAGGGACGGAGACGTGTGTGGGCGAGACTTCGGAAGGCGTGTCGGGAGATATGAACAGGTGCAGTGGCTTGCAGACAAGATGGGGAGAGTGGCGTGAGGATGGATTTGCGAGGGACAGGAGCGGACGAGCACGCAAGCACTCGATGCATCGGGAAGCGCGAGTTTACGTGTCCGCAGTTTGAGAAGACTTCGCGCACGGTGGGTCCAATGCAATGCCAATTTGGCATGGGAGCCCACGGCCGCTTACGGAGACCCTAGTCCTGCATTTCCTCCTGCTGTTGCTGGTCCCGTCCCACGCGTCTCTCCTTCTCGCTCTCGAGTTGGTTGTAGAGTAAAAACAGCGCCTTCTCATTAGCCTCTGGTGTGCCGACGATGGTGAACATGCGCTCGCCGGTCTCGTCATGCGGCTCTTTGGCGATGGAGATTTTAGAACCGGACAGTCGCCGAATTTCAGTGATCTTGGTGCCGTTGCGACCAATGATGCAGCCCACCATGTCGGAAGGGATGGAGATGTTTTGCGTCCGCAGATTTGTCGGAGGTGGTGATGGGGCGTTTGGAGACGGGGAGGTCCGACCTCGGCCGTTCGGCGCGTCGCCGTAACGCCGACTTGCGTTGGACGACCGTCGCCCCGACCTCTCGTCACCAACGCCCGGATGGAAGAGAACCGTGCCTGCCCCCCGCTCCCAGTCCTCCAGTAGACATCGGCCAATCTCCTCGACAGCACGACCGATAGCATCCGAAGGACCCTGCACCTCCACGATACGTTCCGTGGATTGAGGGAGCATGTCTTTCGACGCTACCATGCGTGCACCCGACGAGTCCTGGATCGCCTTGATCTTGAGGCCGTTACGACCAATAACGCTGCCCATGAGGTTGTGGGAAATGAGAAGACGTATGGAGGTATTCGGCGAGGAAGACATCGTGGTCGGGGAGGAGGGACTCGCTGTCATCAATTGAGACACGATGAGAGCGTAGGCCTAGCAAGATGTCAGACACACCGTACAACAGACAACAATGCAGAAGCATACCTTTGCCACGCCCTCCACGGAACCACTCACAGTCAGAACGCGTTCGTGCACACCAGGAACAACCTTGCTGACACCGGCTTTGACACCGGTCTGGTCTCTGAGGTCAGCAACGTTCTTGCCGGCTTTTCCGATGATGACACCAGCATCCTTGGTGCTGACGAGTGAACGAAGCGTCAAAACGTCGTTTCCTGAGGGAGAAGGAGAACGAGACTGAGATGCTGAACGCGAGACGACTGGTGAGTAAACGTGTTCTGTGCACCGAGGAGCAGGCTGCTTACTCGCTTCGCGCTGGACTGGAGAGTCGGAGGGCATGGTGAGGTGTCGAGAGAGAGGAGAAAGGGCGGGAAGAGGGGATGGTGTCAGTAAGCGTAAGGAGCCGGCCAGGGCCAGGCGCGCCGGCGGGGATTTGACCAGTCTATTGAACTTTGGAACTCCGACACTTCCAAACAAAAGCTCGTTCTGGTGTGGTCCCGCGCGTTGAACAGCTAGGCTTACGTAATGAAACTGAGCGGAGGCTGCGAAACGGAGTCATTCGCAGCGGGCGGCGAGCGCGTTTCTCAGACGGTTGACAGGCCACCGGGCTTATGCAAGTATGTTTACAAACCGGACGGAACCTCTCGTCCATCGCGGCAATGACAGTATCATATTCGAACGGCTACCTCGCATAACACCACCACGGCACGGACATAGAGAGCAGTAAAGCGTTACATGGAGTATCTCATGGCATCTGATCATAGTAGAGCGCAGGCGTAGGATACGGCAATCCATGCAATCACAACGTCTAGTAGCCGAGCTGTGTAAGGTTCTCGAAGGATGACGCGGTGTCGGCAACGGCTTTTTGACGCAGCTTGATCGCTGCGAGCTTGAAGGGAATCAGACGCATTGCACGTTAATACACCTCGCAGAGACACGTACCTTGCGCTCGTGGAAGGCCTGAGCCTTGATCTTCCTCTTCTCCTCCAGACGGTCCACAACGTCCTTGTAGCCCCAGCCAACCTCGTGAGAGAGGCGCTGTGACGGCGCAAACGCAAATACGTTAGAAGAGATAGAGATTAGCGGGGAATAGGTCGTGTACCTTGACTGTACAGTACTTGCGGCCAGGCTTCAATCGCAAGACCCTCAAGGCCTCGGGAACAACCATCCGCTTCTTGCGGTCGTAGGGAGGGGGGACACCCTCGAAGAGCTTGAGACGCTCAAGGGCTGCCGCGCCGCGGGCAGTCTTGTGGGGAACCATACCGCGGATGGCCCGGTAGAGAATCTTGGAGGGGGCGCGGTGGTGGAAAGGGCCCGACTTCTTCGGGTTCACGATGTGGCGTTTGTGAAGGAAGTTGTGGTACCGCAGCTGCATACATGCTATGAGCGCGATGCAGCCAGACGTATAATAATAATGACCTTGTTGCGGAAGAAGCTACCCGAGATGTTGATCTCCTCGCACCGTACAACGACAATCTTCTGGCCGTTGAGAACCTGCTTCGAGATAATCGAAGCCAGGCGACCAAGGAGATGGCCCTTGCCATCAATGACGATGGGGGTCGAGGAGAAGGTGGCCATGGCGAGTCTAGCAAGCGCGTTATGTCTTCAGCACGGGGGTGTTTTCGGGAGCGGGAAATAAATACCGACCTGGAGGTAAGAGGAACCGGCGCAAGTCGCGGTATGCGTTCAGAGGGCGTTTGGGCAGTACAATGAGTCGCTCACCTTGACGATCTTGCAGTCGTATAGTCGTAGTGGCTGAGAGCTGAGCCAGTGACAGCCACTGTGACTAGAGCTGCACAGTTTTAACCGGCATCTTCCGGCGAAAGCCACCCACGCTTCAGATCTCACCCAGATCTCGCTGTACTCACTGGCCTCCGCAACCTGTTTCCTCGCTGTGTCCTCTGATATAGCGGTCTTGTCACCAACAGCGTGAAGAATGCATCTCTCGTGGCCCACTTTGGCGATCATGCAACAGCCGACGCTAGCGCGAGAATAATGGGGCCATTTCCGCGTAGTACATGGCATGGGTTGGCACCGTATTGCTCTTTGACGGCGCGTGGCAGAACAACCTACTTAGTTGCCCATCCCGCCGTGGACAAGCAGTGTTCACGGAGGCCCCTTATTAGTGTGAATGGAATTTATAGAGCATATGACCGAACATCCGTATCATCCCTTGCCCGAATTAGATACCAAGTTGTCGTCTCTGACTTGTTACTTACTGTAGCTCATTTTTCCGCTGACTCCGAGAGTGATACAGTACTGCTATCGCTCTGTGGGGACTGAATGTGGCTGGACAAATGAATGGGTTGACACAGGTGTTAGTAGTAAGGCCTCCACATCAGCATCACATCGAATGCACTATCGTCCAATTGATAGTGGGCTATTACTTACGCAGCTACAACTGCCTGACGATCTATCTGTCATGTAGCACTGTTGTCTGGCTTGAAACTCATTACGTAGATCCTTGTCCCACATTGTGGCAACATGCATTGCACCCTGACTCTATGTAGGTTTTTGACTTGTCTCCATACAAGCCGGCAAGCGTCGTTTTTGACTGGGCGCTAGACACGCGGTCAATCTGGGTCACGTGACGTTGAATGCGGGTCCTCGGCTGCTGCCGTCGGTGACGGAGGCCTTCGCGAGTGAGCAACGTCGACAAGGCCTACCTGCTTTCGTTCTCCTACTAGAACCATGTCCTTCCTTCGTCTTGCCACGCGTAGTCTCCCCCGCTCTGGGGCCCTCTTTGCTCCCCGGACAGCGTCTGCCATTCCTCAGTTCCGGGGCCGGGTTTTCCAAACCGCTCTCTTCTCTGCCCAGGCCGGTTTGTCCAAAGAAGTAATTTCGGCGCGTGTCGTAGACGTGTTGAAGGGCTTTGAGAAGGTCGACCCCACGAAGGTATCTGTGCAGCCTTCATAACGCGTATTTGATAAGCTCACTCCATGACGCGACCAGCTCACCGAGACCTCAAGGTTTTCAGAAGACCTTGGATTGGATAGTCTGGACGCGGTGGAGGTCGTGATGGCTGTGGAAGAGGTATACCACATCCTTCAGCTTTCTTGAGCTTTACGTCCGAGTGACAACTCGTGTCATAGGAGTTTGCCATTGAAATTCCGGACGAGGAAGCGGACGAGATCAAAACTGTGCAGCAAGGTACGAGTCTCGGCCTTACATCGTTCCGACGTATCCTCTTACCGTCTACCTCACTCAGCCATCGACTATATTGCCAAGACACCAGAAGGTAGGCTCGCTTGTATGTCGCGGTGAGACGGTCGAGACTGACGTGTAATTGGCAGCGCACTAGGGCTGGTGCACATGACAGAGTGTAGTCATGTAATTAGTGCCAATCCTCGCTCGCACTTTGTCTGATTGCAATTGACCTTTCCCTCCGAGTCTGGACCCCTTTGCACCATCCGATCGATATGACGTTAGTTCCCGACATACTGGCTGAGGTCGTCCCTGAATGCAGTTAGATAGTGAGACTCCCTCGTAGTCCAGCTGGCGCGGATTCCGAGATGAACGCAAGATCACCTTGTGACTCTCGTCCCTTCGAAGCTATGGAAGGGAGAACGTTTACGAAGGCCTGACCTACCTGTCCCCCTGAATCCCTGGTATGCCGCCTTCGGCTGTAGATTGGAGGACTGCATCCGCAATGCATATAAGCTACCCCGCAGCGAGTGGCGAGCTGAAGCCATGCGTTATGGATACACAACTCTGGACAATCACGGTCGAGCAACCGTTCTTGAGGACCCGCTGCAGTCTGGGCGAAGGTATCGTCATCCCATGCCTCGAGCGCCACATATTCAGGCCCGTAACGACCTCACACACATCCAGGGCCCTTGTACGACCACCGAACGTCGACGTTACACTTCATCGACATCGAACGCAACAAGGTATTTCGTACACATTATATTTTATAACACCGCTCTGCATGCCCCCACCTGGGTCCATTTCAGCTGTACCACCTTGACATACGTTCATCCGAACTCAAAGTAGAGCAATTTGAAGAACCGCTGACTTGTCTGTCCCTACGCAAGGACGGAGGGGTGAGTTAACGCCTTTATCCTCATGCATCAATTACCCATGAATTCGCAGTTGGCTTGTACAACGGCCAGAGGGTTCGCCGTTATTGAGGACAGCTCTACCTTGCGCTACCTGTCTCAGCCCATCCCTGAGGAACATCAAGCTTTCACTCGCTTCAACGACGGCGCATGTGATAGCAACGGACGTTACGTCGCGGGTACATTAGCCTCGAAGGAGCACAACATCGTGGGACAGCTGTACATGTATGATCCCGCGGACAACTCCAGCAGAGTGATAGATCCTGGACCGTTCACGGTGAATCTCCGTTCTCTACAGGACCGCGATGCGATTTTCTAGCTAAGACTGACGGCTCCAGGACTGTAACGGCCTAGGCTGGAGCGCCGACGGGAGGACAATGTCCGTGCTTCGCGTCGACGCAGTGCAAAGACCTACTGAACATCGCGTTTAGGTACCTCACCGACTCCTTCGTCAACAAGATATATGCGTACGACTACGAGGACGGAAAGCTGTCTGGTAGACGCGTGTTCGTCGACCCGCTTTCTCATGGTCTTCCCGAAGGAACATACCCGGACGGTCTCTGCATCGATAACGCAGGGGGCGTATGGTCGGCAAGGTCGGCAGGTCGAGCTACATTGGGCACTTGCTATGCTCACTCCGTTCTGGATAGGTGGGGCGGATCCAAAATCATTCGGTACACCCCGGACGGTGCAGTCGATCTGCAAGTAGTCTTCCCCACGGCGCTCAACGTTACAGCGTGCTGCTTCGGAGGTTCGCCCCTATTCTTACGCCAATTCACCCGCTAACTGGACCATCAAGGTGACAATGAGGACCAGTTGTATGTGACAACCGCTCACTGTGGTGCATGCGGCGGCGATGCCGGCAGACAGGCTCAGTACCCGGACTCTGGAGATTTGTTCGTCGTTGACTTGTCCGGCCAGTTCAGGGGTGGTAGATGGCGCCACGATTTCACGGCTTGAGTGGCAGATATGCGGATGCCGGATGAGTATCAAGGTTTCGTTGTTACGACACTACCTAGGCGGTTCCATGAAAAATGTACAGTAGAATCTGGATAGGGTATGGCCAAGCACATGAAGGTCGACAATTGCGTTCTAGTGCAGACCAGTGGAAGTCCTTCGGACACCCCACACTGACCGCACAGATTGCGAAGTCTACTAACGGGAGATGAACGTCAGTCGATTCACAGCCAGCAGTGATTTGGCAAAGGGGGATGGCAAACATGGACCGGTTCTTCGACAGACTAAGGCTTCTCTGCAGGGTTGCGGAGACGTGTCCTTACAGCGCTCACGCCCGCTGGGTTTCCGCTCCGGGGCTTCAACATGGCCACTGTATTCACATCCTGAATGGCGTCCACAGGGTTGCAGTAGTGTGTGTGTTGCAGGCATGTTCAGTGCCAACGTCAAAGCGTCAGTACAGGACTGCAGCTGCACACCATGCAAACCGCGTTATAGCATCGTGCTGCTTTTTCATCCATACGTCGAGACGTGTAGGGTCCGAGACGGACCAAAATGTGTGAGAACGTCTGGACACTATTCCAAACATGAGTTCGTTAACCCGTAGATTGGGTACTACGCCCACTCAACGTTCTCCCTTACGGAGCGCCAGACGAAGGTGGCGAGTAGAAGTTGCCGATGAATACAGAGGGGGCATGAAGCGTTTATCATGGCCAGTGTGTTCCGCACTTCTGGAAAGGTGCGGCGAACATGTGGAAGTATGAGTAAGGCCAGTATGACATAGCGCAATGTTTTGACGTACTGCCGGCAGTACTACGAAGAGACTATAGTACGTAGTAGTGTCCAGCACCACCCTAAATCGTTATCAATTGCCCAGAGATCTGTCAGCGGATCAAAATGAAGCAGACTCACCAACGACGACTAAGGTGGCTCGGGGGTAAATCTCGGCGTGCTTGTAGCCTTTGCATCTAAGAGACAATGTGAAAAATACGCAAGCATGGAAGGCGCAATAGTACGGAAAGCGTAGGCGCGTGCGACACTGTCGTTTCGGTGTCTGCGAGACCACACAACTTGTGTGCTTAATGAGACGACCGGGCTAGATACGGTTATCTACTCACTGGGCCCACTTAGAGTGCGGTTGTTCGTGCCAGACTGGACTGGATGCGGGGCAGCTGCGGGGTCACGTCTTCGCTTCCGTACGGGAACCGTGGGTCATGCCAGATCGTCCGGATACATTATCTTCTCCCGCGAATCCAAGCCGCATTCGATGGAAAGCGGCAAAGCCTAGGCCGATAAGTTTGTGACGGGCCGCGATGTGTGCATGTGGAGTGTCGTGAATAAACTCATCCCTCATGTAGTGTCGCTGGCCGTTGATTTGTGATCATGCTATGGGCAGCGAGTCAGCCTCATTACATGCGGTAGAACCTATAGCGGACTAGGAGGACGTACCCGGAGGGCCTGGGCCTAGCTGCCGCCAGTATCGAGACTAGCGGCACACGATGCTAATATCGTCATCATGAAAGGGTTTCCTACCACGGCGAACGTACCATCAGGCCAGAGCTGAGAATGTTGTACTCACTTGCATGGTTCACACAGACTCCGAGGACTTGTAAATCATATCAGGCTGGCCGCTGAAGCAATGGGCATTTGGAGAGTCGGCACCGGATTTCAGATCGCTTCAAGAATCAAGTGTACACTCGGGGTTACGGGTAGCCTGTGTTCACTGTTATGCTATACGAGATGAATAGCGCAATACTTCAAAGACCTAACACCTTTAGCAAAAGTACATACGTGTGTTGTGAATTCTAGCGGACAAGACTACTGGCCTTGACACGCATTGACTAACTGCGCCGCGGCGACGCGGCGCGCGACGTGATCGCGTCGGGACGACGGGACTTGCCAAATCCGGAGCTACAGGCGCTTGGAACGCTTTCTGCTCAATTTGGTAGCTGTGGCTCGTAGACAGCGCACTCCCATTCCGTCGACCCAGCATGAAGCATGGGGTCGCATTCCGCAAGTTCTCGAGGACATCCTCGCACAGGATGCTCATGTTGAGGTGAATAGTCTTCTGAGTTCGCTCCGAGTGCTCTCCGTGACGCTCAATTCGCAGGAACCTCGTCACTTCGTTGTTTCAGCATGAGCAGATCAAGACGACCCTCCCGAAGGCGAGGGATACCGCGAGGCTTGCGGAAAAGGCGCGCTCAAAGCCCTTCATTTGTTTCACATGACTGACTATGCCACAGATTATCACCTTGGGCAAGAAGGGCGACCTGCACGCCTTCAAGCGCGCACAGCAGTTCCTCCTGCAGCCCCAGCTCGTCCCCAAGGTTTTCACCACCTTCGCGGAGCGCTATGCGGAACGTCCGGGGGGCTACACGCGCATTCACAAGTATGGCCAGCGGCCGGGCGACAACGCGCCGCACGCAATCCTCGAGCTCGTCGACAACCCGCGCGACATCCGCTTCGAAATGACCGCACGCGCGGTCGGCTGGGAGCTTCTCGGCAAGCGGCTGGACAACGATGGGCCTCAAAAGCTCGCCAAATCTGGTGTGACTGACGTGGAGGACGTGGTGAAGCACGAGCGCACGAGCGAGTCAAATGGCTGGGACGGTGAACTCCGCCCGAAGACGAGGTGGAGCCTGAAGAAGGTGTTGAAGTTCAGGGGCGAGAGAGCTGTTTCAGAGCTGGCCAAGAAGGCGGAGGATCACCTCGTGCGTCGCCCTCACCCTGCTTCCCACATGCTGCTGACCTCTCGCAGGACACCTTGCTGGCTAAGCCAAGAATTAACAAGAACGCTCTGGAGAAGGCATCTGAGCAGACAGCCGAGACGCCGTATGCAAGCTTGAAGTCTATGCGACTGCGGGCCGGTCAGACAGTGCCGGGAGGCGTACGCAGTGCGCTCAATTTGGCTCAAGGTGACCTCGCGAAGACCTGGATGACAGGCAGTCGGCTACGGTATTTGGAGCGAAGAAAACTGGGTATAGACAAAACAGCTTTGTGGGAGAACCCTTGATGCTCTGTCGTATACACTGCTCAGCCCATTGCACCTCTATTGCATATCTAGTTGCGTCCTGATTATGGAGACGCCGTGTTTTGAACTGCATCATAGCCCTGCGCCATAGTCCAGTAGGTGCGTGCCGTGGCTCGTTGGTTCATCAGGTGCGATTGCAAGTTCTTCAATTTCGAGCTAGCAGGGTCATCCGTATGTTAACTCTTGCTTAATACTTTCGTTGAGCTTATCGCATGCTAGCGGAGTGCACAAGTCCCGGACATGTGCAAGAAATAGCACTTTGGTTGAACGACAAACCCACCGGCCGCGTTATATCCGCTTCCCAGAAGGACCGAACAAGTATACAGAACAGGCGTAAAATTACGGCATTACAAAGTCGTATGATACATCCATACTGGTACAGTCATATTAACTTCTTCCGCGCAGGCTGCTCACCCCACATTTAAACGCTCTACCACTCTGCCACCCGTGTCGTCGTCGGGAGTCCGGGAGCGGGCGGGTTCGAGAACTTGGTCTCGACGAAGACCTTTTCGACGCCGTTCTGACGCTTGTCAAAGGCCTCGTACAGCTCCACGAAGTCGTCGATCGGCACACGGTGCGTGATCATGCTGCGTACAGACAAACCGACACCGTCAGTACCACACATCAACGACAAGAATAGAAGACGGAAGCCACGTACAAAGCGGGGTCAAACTTGCCGGGGATGATCCAGTCATAGAGAATCTCCTTCCAGTACTTGTGCACCGGTGCCTGGCCGTTCCCGATGAGGCGCACGCCCTTCTCCATGAGCGCGCCGATGTTGAAGTGGTTCGTGTACCCGGCATAGGCCGCGATGATGCCGCAGCTGCCGCCCTTCTTGACGGACATAATCATTTCGTTGACGATCTCCGACACGTCGGTCTCGAGCATGAGCGCCTTCTCGACCTTGTGGAGGATGCTCTTCGGCTGGTGGAACGTGCCCGCGTCGATGGCGACGTCGAGGCCGCCCGGTGCGACCTCCTGGAACCGCTTCACGACGTCCTTGTGCTCGGAGAAGTCGATCGTCTCGATGCCCAACACGTTTTTGGCGAATGCCAGACGCTCCGGGACGCGGTCAACACCAATGACGCGCTTCGCACCCTTGGCGAGTGCCCACTTGGCGACGCATTGACCAATTGGACCCAGACCCTGGACATCCAGGTCAGCGGGGACTGAGGCATTGCGCATTGCGCATCGCTGATCAACTTACCCAAACACCGACTACATCGCCTTCAGTGACGCCAGTGTCGAACACGGCGTGGTACGACGTAGGGAGAACGTCGGAGAGGTAGAGAGCCCTCTCGTCGGAAACGCCTTCAGGAATGGGGAGTAGATTCACGTTGCCTTTTGGTACGCGGACGTATTCTGCCTGGCCGCCCGCGAAGCCACCGGTGAAGTGGGAGTAGCCAAAGAACCCGGCGTCCCGGTGGCCATACATCGCGTTCTGAAGACTGTGCAAGACCGGTGAGTCATTCTCCGTCAGATGGTCATACGTCGGATGCTCACCTAGAGGGGTTGGTGCGATCGCAGAAGGAAGATAGCTTTTGCTTGCAATATTCGCAGTCGCCGCATGCGATCTGGAAAGAAGAGACGACACGCTGGCCGACTTGGAGGTTCTTCACGTTGGGACCAATGGCGTCAACGACACCCATGAACTGTCCCGCAGTTAGCATGTACGCATATATGCGCCAATAGACTAATGCAACCAACCTCATGGCCGAGGATATCGCCCTTCTGCAGGTTGACGATCTCCCCGTTGTAGAGGTGGAGGTCTGAACCACAGATGGTGGTTCCGGTAATGCGAAGGATGACATCGTCTGGCTCGCTGATATCCGGGATAGGCGCGTCGATGAGGCGGACGTCGCGGGCACCGAACCAGGCGAGGGCCTTCATGGTGCTGCCGTCCTGGCGAACCTTGTACTCTGGGCGAACGACAGTGGGGAAGTCGCCCATGGCCTGTGGCAGGACCATCAGCTACACGCAACGCCTGCGGTGCGCGGATGGGACGTACGCTCTGTGCTGCGTTTGATGCTGCTTGCATGGTGGTTGAAAATAAGATTTGTAGTCGTGATGAGGGTCGTAAGTCGTGAGTTGTGTTGCCCAGACTGACAGGTGGACGGCCTTATATAGCTCGCAGGGGGCTCCATGGCTGGTGAGGCGCGATGATAGCTGCATGACGTTTCTCTCTTCGTCGTCTGCCTCTGACGTCACGCGCCGCCCCGCGTCGCGCCCCACGTGATCGTTCCCGACGCGCACCGTCCCCTCTTGTGCTTTCTCAGCACCCCTCACCCAAACCAGCTGCAGTCTCCAACGTCGTCACAGACTCAACAAGAGCGCGTACAGTGTATGGGTGCCGGGTAGTAATGGCGCCGACGCTTACCGGCGGGTCGACTGTAGGCCGTATTTGTCTCAGCCAGCTCATCTTTATCGCCTGACGTTCCTCCGATCTGCTCAACTTATATGCAGGCCCATTTGTGCGTCAGACGTTATGCTCAGTGACGGTCCATGGGCGGAACGCCTCGAGAGAATGGCGCAGGGCTCCTGCGGTGCTCGTCATTCATCGGCAGACCTGCCCGGTTCAGGACATGCACGGTCTAGAGTGCATAGGTCGGTGAATAGTTTACGGTCAGTGTTGCCTACTAATATAGACCGTTTCTACGAGCGAGTCATCCGCTCATCGATCCGTCTCAAGTTTAGGACTGCATGAACGAGATGAGTTGGACACGACGGCGCTTCGAGATATTTACTGACCTTGCACCAAGCCGAGAGACCGAACAGTCGATGTTACCGGCTGACCCCGGTGTCCCTGCACGACTCGTTTTTACAAGGTCCCGAGGCCCCGTGGTCATCGTGAGTTCCTATACACTCACGACGATAACTTCTACCTCTCACGCCCGTCAGGCAGCTTTGAATCCGAGCGCCTCTTGTATTCATTGAAACAAGCTCGATGATTGCAAAGCAGGGCTCATGGCTGTCCAAAGGCCAAATCTGACCGATGCACCGGTGGCGCATGCGTGTCCTGATGAACATCACGCCCGTGACCAAACTCGCACTCAGTCCCTTGAGATTCGAGTGCTGGAGATACTACAAGGTAGCGAGTAGCGATGATGACGCTCATCGCTTCAACCCGGCGGCACCGAATCGCGATCCTACTAGTCCTACGTCAGCCAGTGTTTCGAATGCTTTCGCGGCTCCCAAAATGCACACCTGCCCAGGCTCCCCGCACCGGACGGGAAGTATCGCGACTTCTCCCTCGATGGCGCCTTTCAATAACTGCGACCCGTTGTTCTAACCGGCAGCATAACGACCGCAGACGCGCACAATACGCCACCTCGCGGTAGCCACGACCGTCCAGCGTTGTCGGTTGGTCATTCAACCTTCCTGCGTTCCCAGTGCATTCAATTTGACCTGCGTCATCATACATGCGACTGCCTCGTTGTTGCAGCACCGCCAGCACGCGTATCGCGGTCGACGATGGGCGGCGGCGACAGTGCGCCTGTGGTCTGCGTTATTCCGAGCGATAATATAACCTACGCACAGCAATGTGGATATAGCGATTACAGTGCAGAGCAGCGATACAGTAATAATTGACTGGCACAGCGTCCGACGCGGCGTCGCCCAAGTGCTCTCGATGCGGGATGCAGTCTCCTCTGAGACGTACAGACTGCAGGCTGTATGTCGTCATGTGGGGAGAGGGAGACTGTCCTGGTATATGCAGTGAATAGGTGGCTCTCTGGCACAGAGGCGGCGTATTAGTGCGAGTTGTGCATAGTCAGTGGATGCGGAGTGCGTACCAGAGCCGATGCTACGAGTCGTTCCACATGCAGAAACGCATGTCTCTCCATAACCGGTCGACGGTGATGCCGTGTACTGGTCTCCAAGAATCCGACGAGGCTTGCGACATGGTGTGTGAGCCGCTAGGGAAGAGCTGAGAGACGGTGCAGTTGACGTCTCTCCACGCCCGAGCTCTGAGGGAAGGGGCAAGACGTCAGTAAGGGAGAACGAGAAGAGCAGCCAACACTCACGTCACGTTCGCCACCTTCGACCGTGTCTTTAGTGCGTATTGATAGACCGACCCTGGACCTTCCATCAGCGACCATACCATATCCATCGTAGCGCGACTGACCTGCGTCCAAGACGAGCGTGATGCTCTCGCCCGGATGTAGTAAGACGATCGCGCCCGAGTTCCGGCCATAGTTGCGCAACAATTGCACGGTGGCACAATCATGCGTGTCGTTGGTAAAGTCGAGCAGGACCTCATACTGGGTGCTCGCGGGCATGCTCGCAGGCGGGCGAGAGATATAGACAAAGAGGCGGTCAGAGGGTGGCGTCGGGGAGGTGCGGCGGAAGCGAGCGTGTAAGTCTCGAGAAGGAGCGTGATATGGGGGCCGATAGTCGAGCGCGAGAAGAGAGAAAGAGCGTAACGCCAGAGAGGCACAGAGATGCTTGTCCTGGTGATGACGGTCGCTTCGAGCTTCGGCGGGCCGTTCGAGAATGAAAGTTACGGCACGGCTGGGCCTTCTCGGTTCTGAATCCTCCGGCGGGTACGCCCCCTGCGTGCCGCTGTGTTCAAGCCAGCCTGCCAACGCAGCTCGGGAAGGCCTGTGCACGCCGCGGCACACAAATGAAATTGAGTTTATAAGGTATCTGTGTCAGAGCGCAGAGACAGATGGGCCGGACCTGTTGCCACGTTGTGGGCGTGCTTATTGTGTGCACAACAGCTGGCCGGCGCCCAGGACGCGCACAGAGAACGGAGCGAGCCCAGAACGGAGAGCTGCCTATAAGGAGGGGAAGGGGTGGACGAGCGAGCGAGCACGCATGGGCAGCGAGGCAGCAGGGCGAGAGAGGCAGCGTCGAGCGAGGCGGCTGGGGGAAGCTGAGCTGCCAGGGAGCATCCGCAGCCACTTTCCCTGGCAGGCACCGAAACGCGTCCGTCCCGAGATTCGCGCCCGATCCCCAGATCTCAGCCACTCGCGCGTCGCGCCCATATCTGGCAGCCCGTGCTCGTTCGCCTCTCCCACCTCCCCTCCAGCTGGGGGCAGCTCATTCGCGGCCATGTACGCACAGCGAAGCGTATAGCCCCTACGCCTCATGTCCTGCTTGTCTTAAAAGCGCCGCTCGACACAATGGCCGAACCGACCTTCCTCGGGATGCCCGTGGAAGTGCGCTTGGTCATCTACGACATGTACTTGATGAAGCACCAGCGGGTCAGGCAGAAGTGTCAGCCGGCCAATGACCACCTCAAGCTTCTGCGTACTTGCAGACAGATATACGAAGAAGCACGCCCAATTTTCTGGCGATACGTGTCCCTAAGGAACGAGCTGGAGATCAATGCGTTCATCCTCAATGCGAGCGATGCCATGGCCGCTCGCATCCTATGGGCCGACGTAGCCAACGACGGGCGCGTCTTTAAGCCGCTCGAAAGGATATCGAAACAAGAGGTGATAGTCGTCACTTCCGCATTGGCAATCCTCTCATTGCCAGACAGGAAACGAAGCCGTCCCCTTTATCCAACCTGCACCTCGCGCTTCGCCGCATGCCCTCGTTGCAACGGCTGCGCGTGTTTCAATGATGCCGGGGGATCCCCACCAATATACGAGGTGAGCACCCCGCGCTCTATATCCGCGACGCCGTTGCCAAGGAGCCGTTGTAATTTTTGTTGTCCAGGATCCGGCAGCGGTGCACCACGCCTGGCCCTCGAGTTCGAGTTCGCCATGTACCCGTCGGCCACAGCACCGCGTCTCTCGGCGTACGAGATCTTCATGGACGCCGAGAGCAGGGTGCAGCCTTTCCAGGTCATCTCACCGCGGTCCGTCGAGAAACTGCGCCTATCGGGGGAGGTCCGTCTACCTCCTTCCGTGGAGGCGCCGGCTCTCCGCCAGGTGACGCTCCACTCGATAACGGGCAACCATTTCGACCGCAATAATATAGAGAGCTCCTTCCCCGGAGCTTGCCTGGAGTCCTTCTTGTACGCCCAAGGCCACCGCCTCGGCTTCGAACTCCGGAATAGGCACCTGGAGTCCGTGGTCGCTCTTTCCGGGTCGCGGCTACGCACGCTGGTGCTTCTCGGATGCAGCCGTCTATCCAGCGCGTGCATTGCGTCCTGCTTGGAGCAACTTCCCCTGCTGGAGATCTTCGCGCTGAGCCTCGTAACGGTGGACGAGTTACGGACGAACTTCCTGCTTTCCTTGCCGCTCACGGTCTCCGTTCTGAAAGTTCACGTCGTGAATGCTTGGTATGCGGTACCCCTACGGGTAGAGGAGCGCGGGCTTTTGGATGCTCTTGAGAACTCTATCATGGTCCGCGAGAAGCCACCGAAACGCACGACTCTCAATTTTCGCGAACAACTACTCCTCGAAGACGGGCGAAAGGAGAGACTAATGGAGCTGGCACAGCTTCATGATATTGATTTATGCATTAAGCCTTGGGAGAACGACTGTGAACATGCTATATAGGTGTCAAATCGAACCGACGATTCTGTAGCGTACTCCTTATATCTCTGATAATACCTCACATTTTAATGCTGTATTTACTACTCACGGCGGACAGTTGCATTGATGTACAGTGGACACTATACTTACCTTGTATGCTACAGATCGCCAGAGGGCTCGCTGCGAATCGGATGGTCGGTCTCCCACGGAGCCATTCGATTAGCCATGTTTCAAGATTGCAGCAGAATAGATTACGACAGTGTCCGTAGGCATGTCCGTGCAGGTCAAGAGGTGGGCGAGATTGGAATCGGGGACAACCTGCTCTTGACAGGTGGGGGGGTAGGTGGTGTACGGGGTCCTGAATTCAGCCACTCACGCGAAGTTTCGTCCATTCTGCTCAATATGTGTCCGCCTCCTCGCGAATAGCTAGTATGCGCCCCGTTTTCGATAAATAGCCACAGACAATCAATGAGAATGATTCTGTGACATAGCGAGTGAGGTATGAACATCCCGTAGGAGTGCGAGTTGAGTACGAGAGTGCGATCCAGAATGCACGTGTGCGGAACGGTCATGTGAGACGCTCCGTTGAACGCGCTGGTTCCCGCGCACGGCGCTTGGGCTGAACGGCGCGACTTACGACGAACTCCTTGCTGCCTGCGCCGTTGCTCCCGTATCGCAACGTTCGCCAGTCGGTTGCCAGACGAGCCCGTCGCTGTTGTTCTTATTGAAATTCACTATATTTATCTAAAGCCTCGCTGCGATGGCTGCGTTCCAGCAAGAGCGAAGTGTTGCTCGACATGGACGACTTCTGGGGTGCTATGGGAAGTGCGGACTGCGCCATACCTTCGCTCGACGACCTCGATTCCGGTGCACCTTCTCTTCTGTCTCGTCAGCTCACTTCTTCGGGCCCCTCAGATATTGCATGGCAGAACCCCATCTCTGGCTTTGTACAGACCGGCTCGCCATCGACGCACCTTTCACCAACAACTCAGGCTAGTGCTGCGTTCAGCAATGATGCGTTCTGGATGCAGGGCTCTTCATGTCCCCCAGTTTCCACATCCGCTCAACTTCCGTCACTCGAATCAGAGCCCAGGTTCGTCATAGAACCAGCCTCGCTCTCGTGGACGCGGGATGCCAAACAGGTCTTGCATGTCTTGTGCCCTCGGTGCGATGCATGGATCTGTACAGGATCAAAGTCGCGGCAGAACACGAAACCACTCGAGGCACATATGAAGGGTCGCAAATGTAACCGCTCCGCCGTGCTGGATGCACGTATCCGTGCAGAGGCGAACACTGCCCGTGACATACACTTCCCATCGCAGTCATCGCCAGCATTCCGAATGACGAGCGTGACGCACCCATACACTGTTCCCGAGCTCCAGGACATGGCAGTACTGCCACAGGAGCCGCCTACGGCTGCTTCGTCGCAGGTGCAGGATGCACTGTCTAGTACGCTCCCGATGATCTCCTTTGACCTCACCACCCCCGAAGACTTTGGAGACGAATATGCATCGTAAGTGTATTGCATCCGTCTCGCAACACTGATTCTAATCACTACTTGTGCAGGGACTCGGATCTTGACACCGAGAACGAGCAAGCGTCGAGGTCTGACTCGAGCGGACCACCGCCGGCGCCTTCTCGCAAACGCAAGAGAGCATCGCAAGACGACCCTCTGTCCGAGGCGAATAGCGTAGGCAGCTCAGCCCCACAATCCTCCTTTGGTGAGTCCGAGTCTAGTCGTCGGTCTAGCTGCTGCGCATATCTAACCTGCCTTCCATTGCAGCTCCGAGCGATCCTACGGCTACATGCTTGCCATGCCCCGGCATTCCTCTCGACTGGCCACACACCGACTTCTTCCAATCATACCCGTTTCAGCGTCACGACTACAGTGTACCCGGTTCTCTCGGTTACGACTTCTGTGCGGTTGGCGATAATGGCCAGTCCTTCCGTGTACGATCACATCGTTGCATCGGATCTGTGGTCGTCGCCGGGGAAACTGCTTGTACCGAATGTCTAGCCCTTACCAGCACACTCGAGCACCTCGCAGAGATGTCTGGTGACGTGAAACCGCATACCAACTACGCATACCGATCGCACAAGCAGCTTCGTCAAGTAGCAGACTTCTTCAAGAGCGAAGTCTCTCGGCTTCGTTGCATGGTAATGCATTCAGTTACTGAATGTCTGTGTAGATCACTAACTTATTCCTTAACAGACCCTCAATCTCGGCCGACGGGTGGCTTCTATTGTGCGGAAATTGGATGATCATCGACGCTTCCTCATGGCAATTGCAAGTGGAGACCCGCGCGGTGTCAAACATCTTATCATGCAGGGATTGAAGGAGCGCGTGAGCACGAACGAGTTGATCAAGCGCGTCGACGAGAGTATCGAGGGGTTCTACCATGCTCGTGGCTATACCGCATTTGACTTTGATCTCGCGCTCCTCATCCTGCGTCTTGGTGGGCGGAAACTACTGTATGCGATGAACCAATGTCTTGCTATTCCCTCGATTCGCGCCCTACGACGTGCACGTCGATTCACTCGTCTCATGCCGAGCTTTGGTCGGCCAACAATCTCGGAGGTGCGGTGGAACCTGTCGGAGGTGCTTGGGCCAAAGATTCAGCAGTTGAAGGATGCCATCCATCACGCGACGAACCCTCCGTCTTCATCAGCTGGCCCAGATGCAGCCTCACGAAAGCTGTATGGCCGTACTGGTATCTCTGTGTGCTGGGACGAAATCTCGCAAGAGGAGGTTGCCTGCTACTTTCCACATGCAGACTCGGTTGGCGGCTTGTGTCGAGAGCATTGCGGCAGGGTTGATCTCCGGCTACGTAGCTTCCAAAGTGCCGTTAACATCGCGGAGGATCTGGACAAAGGCAAGGTGCATTTCGGGAAGGAGGTGTCCGTCCTGGCTGTTGCTTCCTTCGGAGAGGATCTTCGGGGCGCATTTCCTGTTGCTGTGTCACCGACGTGCAAGTCGGAAACACCTGAGGAGGGTGCCGAGATTCTCCGGACGGTCTTTGCGGCTTGGAAGGATGATCCAGACCTCACCGAGTACCTTGGTCCCCTGTGGACGTTTGCGTCGGATGGAGATGCCGGTCGCCGTGCTATGGTATACAGCATGCTCATGGCGAAGAAGATCGATCTATCGCACCCTTTGTACAAGATTGTGGGACATCTACCAGGGCTCAACCTCAATGTAGGGGACGACGACATAACAGCTGATTTCGACTGGAAACATGAGATCAAACGTGAGTATCGGACACTCAAACACTAGTATTCACAGTTCACTAACCCATTAGATAGGTCTTGGCCGCCTCATGCGTACTCAGGATGGTATTGTGATCGGTGATACCATTGTCAACTGCCACACTATGACTCGCCATCTCTCACGCATCCCGCAGTTGTCGGCTGTCGCTGTCGACCGGCTCATGAACCCATCGGATTCTCAGGATGTACCGCGCGCGATTGATCTCCTACGGGCAATCTCGTCACTATCAGCCCTTCCCTTGGATGACTACACACCTACAGAGCTGCAGGAACATCGTGCTATCACCATTGTGGGAGAGATGTTGTCTGCATTTGTCGACGCATTCATCTCGCCCGAATGGTCTCTCACGCAGCAAGTCGTTTCGCTCAGCAAGTATGCACACATGATCTTCGCGCTATATCGACAGCACCAGGCGAGCTTCATGCCCCATCAGCTCTATGGCGACACCCAAACAACAGTCAAAAACGTGATATTCTGCATTGCGAAGCAGCAGCTACTTGACGGCAACCAGCGCTTCTATCTGTATGATACGGGCGACGATAAGCTCGAGGAACTCTTTGGAAACGTGCGCATGCAGGGCGGACACAACCCGAATTTCTCTTTCAAGCAACTCGTGGATAGGCTTGGCGCTGCTATTGACATTGACGCAGTCTTCACGGCACATCCTGAACTACACCAGGGCTCTCGTCGCCGTAAAGTCACCCGTACTGAGCATGCCGATCATCTGAATCATGCATCGTGGACCGGCGATACTGTTGTTGACAACGTGAACCTTCGGTCTGCGTGGGCGGAAGGTCGTAAAGCAGCTACAAATTCACTATCGAAGCTCTGCATCGCACCCGGCTTCGACGTGCTGTTCCGAAGTTCAAGCAGTTCCATTGACATGCTTCAGCCCATTCGACCAGGCAAGTTTCCTGGCGTCTCGATGGAGCAGGATCGATCACTGGACTCGGAGGCGCCGGCGCCGGCGAACTCGCCCGCGACCAGGACTACTAGTACAGGGACGGCACCTGGCGAGTCCGAATCTGAGCCAGATAGTAGCTCATCGAATCACGTAGCACCAGGGTGCAACACACGTACGTCCTCGAGTGCAAGCCTACAGGGTGAATCATCGTCTGCGGGAGGTGTCATTAACAACTCCGAGTCCGAGTTAGGTGAGTTGGTAATGTAAGATGTTGTTTCAATGAAGCTCACCTTAGAGTCGCAGATGCTCCAAATGCAATCATTATTGAGGAGGACACAGCGATGAACACTCACATGCCAGATCTCAATGCCTCTGGAGGCCCTGACACGGCGCGTGATTCCGACGCAATTGCAACAGGTACTGCCATTCAGCTTGAAGATCGTCTCGATGAACTGGACGGACCTGATCAACAACTCCCACCTGCCTATGTGGGAGTGGAGAATGCCTCGCCGTGGATCTGGATCAGTAATGGTCACAAGATCCACAAGACATCGATTTGTATTCAAGTCATTACGCCAGATTGGGTTCGCAAACCTCACGAGCGTATCTTCCGTGTTCGCTGCTACAGCTCTGATGTTAAGCCTCGCAATGTTGGCTCTGCTAGTACCCTAGACCCCACCAAGTTCGTCCTCGGTGACCTCTTTGCGACCCTGATCCGCTGCAATGGTCAGGCGCCTCTTGCGATCATGAAGTGCATTGCTATCCACGAGAAAGGGCAGTCAGTGTCGAGCGTCCAGATCGCGAGCCTCTCGCACGCCGCCTCAGGCATCAAACTCACGGGACAAGTCCTTGAGCTCTGCGCTGCAGTAGCAGCACCCACTGCAGGAAGAGATGACGAGTCAATTCCTCAGGCTGGTGAGTTGTCATCTTACGATTCTGTTGCCTTCACCCCTGAAACCGAGCCCGTGACCCCAGGCTCATCTTTAGGCAAGTCGAGCTCGTCATCTGAACTTCGGCACAGCTGGCTCTGGACAGGGTCGCTCGTAAAGCTCACTGGTGACAACAAATCCGACTCGGAGCCAGCATCAATCGCAGCTAAGGTCTCGCACAAGACACTTGCAGTTAAGGTCTGTAGTCATGTATGCCATATATTGGACCCTCGAATCGTCGACGGTCGCAGCATGCTTGCCGAGCATCAACGACAACACCTCAATAGCGCCGGGCTGACATGGGAGTTCTCCGAAGGCGAGCTTCTGGACATAGTTGAAGTCCTATGGCGAACAATACAAGAGCAAGGCTCTGCGGCCACGCTGTTGCCACTGCTCGCGACACCAAACCAACAGTTTCCGTACAAGATGGGTGGTACGTCATCAGTGGCGTGATTACTATGAGCCACGAAATATCAACTGACCTCCTTGACAAGGCAAGCCTATGTTCTTATCGGAAGACGCCGCGCACTACATGGAGACGGAGAAGATTGCCAGTGACGCGAAGCGTCGATGTTATCAGTGTCTCGCGGAGGTGGATGCCGCCCGCATGCGGAATCATGTCGGTGAGCATATCTTGAAAGCAATGCGCGGCGTACAGGAGGATCTCCGAGGACAGCAGGTATACACATTTTATTGATCGTGTCAGCGTCGCATTTTATGCTAAACAATAATACACAACAGGTTGTTCCGTCCGAGCTTCCCTGCGGTTTCTGCGGACGCCCTGAGCGGCTCTGTACGGCTCCGACGATGACCAAGGGGACCAGTAGGAGTACACCGCAAGCACGAAGCGAGTGCCCATACTACCGACTCTTCTTCTACCAGCCAAGCCTCAAGCCATCACCTGCAACTCCGTGCACGAATGTACCCATTATCTGCATGGTTCCTGGTTGCAAGGCGGCAAAGGATGGTAACTGGACTGCTGTATGGAAGTATAACATGGTCGAACATCTCCGCCAGTGTCACCCCTCTTATGGCCTCGAAAGTACCCCCAGGTTGGATGGACTTATCCCTCTTCCGCCAGCAATGCAACATGAGATGCATATCTCGGACGAGGAAGAGCGGGCTCTTCGAATCCCCGCCGAGCTCATCCCTTACAAGTCACCCCTGCCACGTATCGCCACACCTGAACTTGCGGAATCAACAGGGACGGCGCGCAAAGCCAAGAAACGACGTCTAAACCGCGACAAGTAGTCCACGCCGGCAGCGATGAACAGGATCTTACATTAGTAATTGTCTTAGACTCACTGTACATACTACTTCTAATATGTGTATGAGTGTTATAATTCGATCGCATGCCGTGACCGATACTTCATCTACATGGTTCGCGTCGGAACGCGTCTTGAACGCGTCCTGAACGCGTCCACCTCTTGTCCACCTCGACGCGTCGCTGGGCGTTTATTGTATTCCTTTTATGGGCTGCTTCCTGGGCGTCTGTATGCTTAGATAGGAAGGACCCTCCCCCCTACCCAGTCTTCGGGGTCTCTGCGTTTTGTGAGCACGATGTCGGAAATTTTGTTCGCGCCCACCTCTTGGTGCAGGTACAGTAGGAAACAGGACAATGGAATAGCGAGTAACGAGTGTCTCTAGTCCGTGTCGTGGCTAATCATGGTGTGACGTTAGGGCTATCCATCAATGTCGTAAACCGTTTCCTATTGTATGTGGTGGGTAATCAGCAACGTGCGGACCCTTAGAACATAGACGACGAACCCTGATAATATACATGCTTTGACTAGGCGAGCTGGATATACCAGGGCGGGCTCACGAGTGGTCAGGATAGTCCCCGCCACGGCTGTAGCCTTGGGTATAACCGTCTTTCACCACCGCGGCCGAGCCAGCGTTCTGTGCGCTTGTATGGGCGTCGTGACGGTCGTCTGGCCGGTAGGACGTCTGACCGTAGTCATCGTATTCCCGGGATTGTTGAACTTTATTACCCAGGACCGTGGAAACACTGTCAATGCTCTCTGACCTGTCGTGATATCCGCGAGGAGGAGAGTCCATGGACGCGCGTGAGTCCCAGGGGTCGGCGCGGTCGGTCAGCGGGATATCACTAGCAAGGGGTTTGGTGGGGTCGTACATGGAGTCGTACTTGTTGTGGTCACGCTCCTGACCCGCAATATAGGAGGACAGGACAAAGTAGAGGTAGACCTGGCAGAATCGTGAATAGGAGACAAGCGTGCAGGCGAGACGAAGTAGCGTACCTGCATGATGGCTAGTATAACCCACAGGCCACCCATAACACCGACATCTACCCATGGGAAGATGTCACAAAGGGTGTTGGCCTCGTCCTGGAGGTCAGAAGCGGTGCCAAAGAACGTCGATTTACATGCTGAGACCGCATTGCTATGCCGAGCCGCTGACAGCACGATCCAGACTACCGCGATAGAGAAGGCGGCAAGTGTCACGATGAGATGGAGTGTCGTGTACCGCCTGAACAACGTGGGTTTCTCCTAGAGCAACGAAGACGGATTGAGGCGAAGCCACGACGACTAACAATCAAACCAGCTCACATTGCGAACAGCAGCGAAACCCATAAGCTGCAAAGCAGCTCCGACATAGCATATGATGGCGAAAATCCATTTCGCTGCGGATGGTGTCGCGCCAGTAGCACCAACAACTAGATGATCAAGGACATTACGACGCCGGTCAGTGAGTCATGTCTGCCGTCTAGATCGCAACACATACTTGAAGACGTCCCTATTGAGAGGGTACCAGCTGTGATGCCGAGGGCGAACTGCTCCACCAGCGCCGTATAGATGCCCGTGTAAATGACGGGGATTGCGCAGCAGCAGTATTCTCTGGGCTTCATGGTGACGACCGCTTAGGCTAGTAAGTATTCAACCTGGCGACACAACCTCGGGGCGATAGAGATGCGACGGGGGTACGAGGGGAGCCTGAATAGTGAGGAAGCTCTGCTGCCCGTCCGAAGATGAGAGTATGAAGCAGAGGTGAGAACAGAAGAAAGCGCAGCGCCAGCTTCTACACAGGTGCAGAGCATGGCACACAGCACGGATCCCCACACCCCGATCGAGCAGGTGCTTCCCACGGTGTGCGTCACCGTCGGCGGCGTGCCTAATTTGGCTCGCTTCTGGGCATGCTACCGAAGCGCGGCCTAAGTAATAACTCGGCTCCCTCTCTCTTCGTTCTCAACCACCACCATACCTCCAACCATGGCTCGCCTCGGATTCTTCGTACTTGTACTCTCTGCGATTGCGTCTCTCAGTAGCGCAGTTCCCGCGGAGCAACAAGAGGCTTTGGTCGCACCCGGCGACTGGAGCTGGAACGACTGCGGTGCGTGTTTGATATACCCACGTCGGACGGCGTACTCAACCCGAATGCTAGGTGGTCCTTCTCATTTGATTCGCATTGATGACATTGTGATCACGCCTGACCCGCCACAGAAGGGTCAGGATATGACGGTGACGGTGAAGGGGACGGCCAAGGAGCAGATCGAGGTGTGCATACCGTCATTTGTAATATCCGTTTTTAGCCAACGTCGTCGTCGTGTAGGACGGTGCATACGTCGATGTTGTAGTGAAGGTGGGGGCGATCAAGATCCTGCAGAAGGAATTCGATGTATGCGAGGAGGCGTAAGTGCACATGGCTATCATATAGACTTGCTACTGAGCTATTCGCAGGCGGAACGCGAACGCCAGCATCCAGTGCCCGGTGCAGGAGGGCAAGCACGAGGTCACTCAGACGGTAGAGCTGCCAAAAGAGATTCCTCCTGGTACGCGTTGTGCATTCGAATGTCCGCTCTTGCTTACCCATATCGTCCGTCAGCTCCCTTCACGGTCTCTATCCGTGGCTACACTGTGGATGACGAGGACTTGACCTGTGTCGACATCAAGATTGACTTCCGTCCCAAGCGCGGCCTGTTGGGCTTGAGCTGGTAGACGTTAGTGGCGTTCTTTGTCCGGCTTGCACCTGTGTAGTGACGTAAGGAGTACGACTGTTACGTTCTGATTACCCTGCTTTCGGCGTGTATATCCTCAATCTGCATATCATTTGTCGTTGAATGAACCACGAGTGCATTTTTTGACGTTTATGGTACCCCTTACGTCTCATGGAATGAGGGGAACAACTCTGCATGCAGGGTTTCATGGCGATCCTGCAATATGCATGTTGTGGGCGACTGTTTACGATTTGTTGACAGGGGCCCTAGTCCTGTGTGCCTTGTGCGTTGACATTGTGGCACAGATTTGCATCGATGCGCAGGGCCCAGCATGTACATATGCGCCACGTTTGATTTGAACACCGCAAGGGCTTTGCATTGCTCACGACTACGCGCTATCCAACCACACGACGCTTGGTTATACTCCTCTCGCGGCCGTAGAGCGGTACGCACGCAGCCTTCACGCCATCACCACCGAGATCCATGTCGGGCTCACTACGGTATCTACTCGTTCTGGACTTTGAGGCCACATGCGGCGACGATGTCAAAGGCGTCAACGAGATCATAGAGTTCCCCACCTTGGTGTACGATCTCGAGGAAGACAGAGTCCAATCCACGTTCCATGAATATGTCCGCCCTGTGGTACATCCGAAATTGACAAACTTCTGCAAGGACTTCACTGGCATCACACAGGCTAGTATCCTCTGACTAGCAGGGCCATGGACGTTGGCTCACAGCTCGATTACTGGCAGGATGTCGTGGATGTCGCGGATCCGTTCCCCGTAGTCTGGGAGCGTTTTCAAAACTTCATCAGGAATAACGAGTCCCTCGCAGACCCAGCGTCCTTCGCTTTCCTCACATGCGGCAATTGGGACCTATGCTCCATGCTCCCCCGCCAGCTGGACCTCAGCGAAAACGGACGCGGTCTCGATGCGTCTGGTGATCTCCTCGCACCCTTCAACCGCTCCATCAACCTCAAGGACGCGTTCCGGCGGCACTACAAGCTGCGCTATCAGCTGGGCATGGCGCACATGCTGCGCCGACTGAAGATGGAGCTCGAGGGGAGGCACCATTCCGGGATAGATGACTGCAGGAACATCCTGAGAATAGTGCAGCGGATGTTGGCGGACGGTTGGCGACCGCAGGATTCGATTTCGCTCCAGCCCGAATCCGAGTCGTGATGGGAGTGATGGCAGCGGTGTATGATGCTCGTTGACTCGTGTGGACATTCGAAACAAGGCCATATATATGTACTCCGGCTCACCCAAATGTATCGTTTGACTCAGCTGCAGATGGAGGCCACATTGACCGAAACGTCAATTGGCGAAGGCCATGGCATCTAGAGTACGGATCTATCTGCTGCCGCCCGCCGCTACGTACATGCGGCAAACGTGATCAGTGCAAAGACAATAGAGGGCGCTCCACGTCGTGCGTCGCGAGAGTCCCCCAGGCGAGCATTCCCATGCAGACCCGTCCTGCTCAATCGCGACAGCCTTGTTCGCCACGAACGCGCCCGAAATAGAAGGCTCAAACGCGAGGAAGGGGGAACACGACCCTGGGAGTGATCGGACGCCTTTCTTCAGCGTTCCTCTTTGGGAAGACAATAAAAGGCGCAGAGTCAACGCGGAAGCACCTCCATTCATTCTTGCCCGGACAGGAAGGTCCGAGCACAATGGGGCCTTGTGCCATTGACCTACTTCAACCCTCAGACGCGCCCCGGCGAACCACTATGCACGGCGGCCCCCCTCGCCCATCCTGCATCCGCACCGATTATGCCCACCTCGACCGTGCCATACGAAATCCTATTCGACTTTGTGAACGACACGGCTGAGTCGACGATGATACGGGTACTACGACAAGACACTGGGACGCGGACAGGCGCGGCGATGCTGTTGAATAGCGGCGAGAACCTCTCGCTCGTCCTCACCGCCGGGACGCCATATAAATACGCGTTGGTGCAGGGAGGCACGGAGGTGGTACTCTCGTAAGCGGATCTCATCTCGATGCAGAAGGACAGAAGATGAACTAGCCGTGCAGGGTGAAGGTCTGGCAGGACACGCAGTACTGCACTTCGAGCGCATTCAGGAGATCGCGATCTGGGGGAGGGAAAATGGGCGATCCGGGAAAGACGGGCGTCGCTGTAGTGTCACTAGACCACCAATTCTCGAACGGCAGCTAAGGGGTAAGTCCGCAGACCCTTCCATCAGACTTGGGCTTACTATGTTTATAGCCAAGCCCTTTCCTCCGACCATCTCATATCTATCCATGCATCTGCGAGCGAGCAGCTCTCCGGCCGAGTCTGGCAACCATCCTTGCAGCATCTTAATGTATACCACGTTAATGTATTTCACATGTCCTTGGTCCACATCCAATCAGACTCTCCAATCCTGCACAATAGCAGCATCGCTGGGTGAATTCACGTAAGCCAATGCCTGTCGTAAGACGGAATCACAATACGATCACACTCACACAAAAATGTCCCACACCGAGGTCTGATTGGGGTAGACCGTAAACCCTAAATCAATGAACTCCGTCAGCGCACTGTCGGACCCGACACGATTGGATCGGAGTCTCACCGTCGTTCGGCGAAGCCTGCGTTATCGACATAGTGTCAGCACGGAGGCGACGGTGAACGGAAGCTCTTGCTTACCCCTTCGTAGATATCGTCGGTGTATTTGAGGACACGGTTGCCGCCGTCCTCTGTCAAATTCAACATGCCGAACTGCCACGGGTGGATACTGCGCGGCCCATATGAACAAAAAACGAGACCCTGAGCGTGCGATGCTTACCCGCTGTGAATACGCGAGTGCGCATAATAAGCAACCAGATTGAATGTGAATATGGAGTACAGGAACTTACGCATGATCAGTGGCGATGGCATACCCGACCCAGGTAGGATAGATAGCTGTCTTGTTGTCTGGGGAAGGCCAAGTGAGTTGGCATACCCTGACACGCGCGATGAACCTACCGAGTCCAGTAACACCAAACTCCTCCATAATGACAGGCTTCCCAACATAAGCGGAGGCTAGACAGGAACGTCAAGGAAGCTCTTCATACGAAGGGCGGCAACGTACTGTTAGCATGAGCACCGATCCAGCCCAAGCCAAAGTCCCTGACAGAGAAGTTCGAGCCTGGGTAGTCCTGTGATGTCGTGCACTCCAATCACTTCCACATTTTAGGAAAGGACTGGGCTACGTACGAGCTCCGGATACCAGGTTTGCGGATACAAATGCTATGGGCCCGAGGGTATCAACAAGGCTGTCGACTTGGCCGCACGACTACACTGCGATATACTCACGTAGGTCCCGAAGTCGATGTTAGGCAGGGAGAGACTGGCCTCAAAGTCCTCACCCACTGAACAGATCATAATGTCTGAGAACCAACGCTCATTATAGGTTGAATTACTCACCTTCGCCGTTGAAGTTGGGGTCGCTGACGAGAGTACCGTTGTACCAGCTTGCAACAGATACCGTGAATCGCCAGCATATACATCAAATATGCACACATACTATTCGTCCGGCTGTGCCCAGTAAAATTGTCCTTCACCACCAGTCGTGATCATATGGTACGGGTCCCTGCGAAGGCTCTTGAGCATCACACCGTTGATATCTTGTCAAATGGTTTATGGCTTACAAGCTACGCACGAAGTCAGACTGGAGCTGATACCACGTCGTCAGTGTCTCCGAGCCTGCAACGCAGGCGGGACCGGAGGGAAGACTATCCCCAGCGCAGCGCGCCTCGTTCATGAGCTCCCAGGCAAAGACGGTAGGGGAGCTTGCGTAGCGGTTCACGATAGCCGTCACATAGCGTTCTGTCGCAGTTGTTAGCGATGAGCGTCTGAAGCAGAGTAAATAGGTACGTACGGTAAGAAGCTATTATGGTGGGGTTAGTGTAGAATTCATCGTGGGTAGCGGAGTTGCCGAGCATGTGGTAGACATAGAGTTCCATTCCCTGATGAGAAGATGCCGAGTCCATGAGGCACACGTCACGGCTCTTCAGTGTGAGGACTTACACCATAGCCCACCCTGCGGATGAGGCGTAAGTTATCATTAGGACATAGCACAGACTGAGAGCAAATAAGTCATACCAGTTGTTCGTGAATGTCAAGATGAGCCTTATACCGTGCTGGGCCGCCGACGAAACGACGTAGTCGAGGCGTTGTAAACCTTGCGGGCCCTCATTGAGAGTCCAGTCGCTGGTGTTCCAGACCTGGTAGTACGTGAGGTTCGTTGACAGCGCGGTTGGCAGCTCTGTCGTGTTGACCGCGTTGAAGGCCTATGTTCGTGCATCCGTTCAATGACACCCTATTCTTAGAACGTGCAGCACAGCCGTCTTACCCAAGTGCGCGCAACCTTGATTCCCGCGTCTGCCATAGTTTGGAAGGTGGAATCTACATCCTCGGGGCTAGTCAAAAGCCCAAGCCACTGATATGGTTGTGTCAGTTCAGAGAAAGCGCTGTCATCGCAGATCACCTACGAAGGCGTTTGTGCCCATATAGTACTAGTGTGGAATTCAGATTCCCGCCGGTGTACTGGGAAATGCAGTAGGACTCACGAATGGCTCGCCATCTAGCTCAAAGGCCTGTCCATTGGTGGTCACAAAACCTTCAGGGGTGGCACGCTTCTGCGTCACAGCCGTTGCCAAAGACGCGAGCGAAGCCAAGCAAGTGAGAGCGAGGAGGCGCATCGTTGCGGGCACGGAAACTACCACAGCAAGCAAAGCTCAGCAGCAACATTCGGCGTATTTATGTGATGGGATGCATCGGTCTGAGCCAATTTTGAGTCGGGATGCCTAGCAGGGATAATTATCGGACGAGGGTCAGGTGGTGCCGTCATTCTCGCAGCGATGTGTGAACAGCAGACGGAGACCCTAGCGGTACGTCCTGCTTTGTCCCGGGCCTCTGCGGAACATTGTTCACGACGGTTGATTCGATGCGGCCGGCGTCGAGACAATATTAGCGGAGAGAGAGATGACCTCGAAGGTGACAAGACAGTGGTGGCACAGCACTCGCTGCACTCGGGCCTCCAGATGGGTTGGATGCTAGCTGAAGTACGGAGGGTGTATGTGTGTAGGCGGTTCGTCGTGTTCAAAGCGCATACGCATTGTATATGGTAGGCCGGTACAACTTGAGGGAATGCGACGACCGACGGTGGCGACGGTGGCCAAGAGTACTGGCGACCTACTGCCAGGAGGTTGCCGGACATTTCTCGGGGACTTCCCGCACGTGGGCGAGTCGATCGCCCGGGCCACATGCAAGCAATTTCCTGTGGCTGCCGCAGTCTCTTCACGGTCACACTCTTGCTTGTGTGATTTCAATTGCGCGACACCGGGCACGAAGCAAGGCACGAGAAGGACTTTGAAGATGCCCAAGAGCTCAAAGAAACAAAAAGACAAGGCTGCCGATTTCTCTGTACGCTCTTCCACTGCCTCCTGATCCGCCCGCACTTACACGAACGTAGAAAGCCAAACTAAAATTAGGCAAGGGGAAGAAAGCACCCAGCAATGCCGTAGACACCTCCTACAAAGCACGCTGTGGGTGTACATCTCTCGTCGGCCCGTGTGTCTCCTGACAGGCTGTCAGGCAGCCATCGCACTCCCCACTCAGAGCATAGCGCAGCCTAAAGACTCGGAAGCACCCACGACTAGGAGGAAACTCACGTTTGACGACCTCACAGCACAGTTGAAGCACTACAATTCTGGGACGCGAAAGGGTGAGTAAATGAACAGAATACCTTTGAGTCCGTGTACTGATGACATCAAGACGCAATATTGGGATTGCGAGAGTTGCTTGACGGACATCCGACTTTGATCCATACCCATCTCACAGCCCTCGTCAGCAACTGTACTAGACTCATAGCGGATGAGGTAAGTCTGTAAATCGCATCCGGCATTGTATATCGCCAACGTGCCCTAGGATGCATCTGTTCGTCGCACCCTACTCTCGTTCCTTGGCTGGCTATTGCCCCAGATCCTCAAGCAAGTATCTCATCCCGTAGGCCCTGTTCATAACCATTATCTTTGTAGGAAGACCTTTCCCCACTCTCCCGTGCTCCTGCTGTTTACTACCTCCGCGCAGACCCACATATTCCCTGAAATCCGAATCGACGCCATTCGCTTCTGGATCTCTTCTCGAGCACATTCCAGACATCGTGACGAAGGCTGGGCGCAAAGTAACAGTAGCCATGGGAGAAGAGTCCTGGAAGGCTACCTCGGTGTTCTGAATGCAGGCACCACATATGGTGAAGGAGGCGGTAAGTACCTGGATTGCACACTATCACCGATATAGCTCAGCTTTAGGATTAGAACAGGCCCAGTGCAGCGACATCCACTGCGAGCGTCGTACTATCCGCTTCGGTACGTTTTGATGTATGGCTTGTGCTGGTGGTTCCTACTCACGTCCATGTAGTCGAAGCTGGTTGTTCTGAAGTCACTGTCATCCTTTTGAACCATGCACTGTCGTCACCAGCCGCATCAAATCATGCGGGGCCTTCGTCCTCATCCTGCTCCATTCCCACCTGGTTCATGTCATCCTCATTTACATCCGTGGAGGCTTTCGAGGCCTTCGACTCTGTACTCAGACCCACGCTGCAATCTACACGAGGGCTCCCTCCGTCTGAGAGGTGGCGGGAAGAAGCGGATATCGACCTCAATTTCGAGTCCTTCTACGGCGACTTCAGGCGTGCCTTCGCCCCGATAAATGAGGGTTGCGTGTTGCAGGACCTCAGTGACATTGACGTAGCTGCGAGTGGTCAGTCGACCGACTCTTCCGCTCGGATCTCTTTCGTTGCGGTATGTCTTTCATCTTCCCAGCAAGGCGCTATTGTGCTCACGTCAAGGTGCAGCATCTCGCTCGGACACTCCACCCAACATTGGCGTCAACATATCTTGATTGTGCACCGACTGTGTTCGCACCTAGCACGGCCCTCCAGAAACGGAACTGCAGATGGTGCAAGTTGTAGGCGAGATTTGTCGGTGCCTCTACGGCGCCATATTCCGCGAACCATTGAACGTGCGTACATGCTCTAGCATCCTTTCAAGCGCTTTCCAGATATAACGGTCGGTACTATGGATAGGCGACGAAGGCACACGGCACCGCTGTCGAAGACCTCAGTACCATTTTAGGGTACTTCTCGCCCTACTTCCCTTTTGCGGTGGGTGGGTCCACACTCGCGCGGCGCGACATCAAAGTAAGCAGGCTAAACAGGCGGGCCGCCTGATCGACAATCCCATTAGTGCGGTTCCTAACTTCCGTACCTAGGTCGAGCAGGCCTTCCAAGACCTCAATCTCATCTACTGCGAGCTCACCTCCTACCTCGTCCTCGCCGCCCCCATCATCGACTCAAAATGCCGGCGGGCGCCCGCCATGCGCGCCGGCAGAAAGCGCCGCGCCTCCGCCTCGGCGCAGGCACTCCAGTTGAGCGGTGAGCGAGTACGTCGTACAGCTCTTGCGCGGGAGGCGTCCGCGCCGGGTCCTTGGCGCGGCCCGTCGGGCCGCCGCGTACTCGGCGCTCCTCCCCACCATATGGTCCCTGCTCAACAGCGAAGCCAGCGCGGCGGAGGACGGCACCGTCCTGCGCGTGGTCGTCGAGCACGCCATGAAGGCCGGATCAACGTCCGCCGTGAAGCGCTCCACCATCGACTTCCTCGGCAGACTCGTCCTCGTGAGTACCCCTTGGGCTGGCTGATAGCGCGATCGACATCTGAGCTGATTACCGCCACACACAGCTCGAGCGCGAGGCGGAGTACGTCGGCGCGTGCAGGGTCGGGCGCGCCGCGGCGGACGACCAAAGGCTCGAGGAGTGGCTCCTGCACCTCGCGCAGACACTGTGGGAGCTCGGCGCAAGTAGCCTGCCCACGACGGAGGTGAGTCCCCGACCTGTCCTCCCCGCGCGTCGGTGATGCTCATATGCGGACAGACGATCCTCCGGGTCTTCCTACGGGTTTGTCAGCGCAGATCGCCATTAGTGCGCGATCAGGTGGGTGGAGCTGATAACGGGGCCGCATATAAGGCTGATGTCCCGCGCGCTCGCCAGGTTCTGCTCGCCCTCCGCTCGCGCATGGTGCCCTATTTCATCGTGAGCCATCCGACGAGGGGAAGACTGCTCGGGCCCTTCGCACGATTGCCGTCTGCCCCGTTGCGGCGCTTGGTTCTTGACGTTGTTGCTACCATCGAGGGGCAGGAGGCGGATGGGCTGGAGGGCGATGTCAGCGAGGCAGTAAGGGGCACCGAAGAGGAATCTTACTGGGCGGCATTGGTTTCCAGGTAGCGCGATGCATATGGTGCCTATGTATCGCAGCTATGAGAACACAGTTCAGGGGGATGCTTCACACGGTTGCTCCAACGATACATGCACAATTCACTTCCATTCATCAACATCTGAACCAGGATGTAAATACGACAGGCGCAGACATAACCAGAGCTAGCGACTGATACCAGGTATGCTTGATGCGAAGTAGTAATGCAACACGCACGTCCCTCCTAGCCTTCCGCCTCTCCGCACGCGGAGAGAACCGAAAGGAACACCCGGGTGTGAGAGACGTACTGGGTGCCAATAAAAAAGCGCAATAACGGATAGCGCAGTAACGATCTTCGAGTATATACGAGACAGCAACGTTGGATAGAATAGAAATATGGTATCTGCATCGCGAGCCTCGGCTCGCGGTGCGCTTAAGCCCACACCCAGGTCAATTCGATGCGACCGAGAGATTGGTCTGCCAGCTGGCTGAAGGCAGTCGGGGTGAGGTCGATGCTCGTCGTGCTGCAGCCGGTGCACCGGTCGGTGACCGTGAGCGTCACAGACTTGCCCTGATCTGCATAAAAGTGAGCAAATGTCATTCATCGCAATCTGTGGCGAATTGACGTACAGGTGGCAACGATCTGCTTGTTGCAGACGGGGTTGGAGTTAGGGTCCGCACCGTTGTAGCCGCTATACACAGATATAGTCAGCGCATGCATTCGATGCATGTACAACACATACGGATATGCGTCAAACAGATCCTCAGAGACGGCAACGATGTAGTCGGAATCCGTGTTCGTGATACCGCAAGCGCCAAGACCGGCCTCGTAGAAGGTACCTGATTGACAGATAGAGTCAATAGCTGGCTTCAATATCAAAAAGGATAACAGTAACTAACCATCGCCGTTCTGAATGCCATACAGCCAGGACGGTCCGCCGCCAGAGGACGCGGACGACGTGGGAGCAGGTGCGGAAGAAGACGACCAGGTGGTGGGATCGTCGGAGGTGGTGGGGGCTACCCAGCTCGACGTGGGCGGGGTCCAGATGGAAGTGGGCAGGGCCCAAGACGACGTGTCGACCCAGGAAGAGGAGTCGACCCAGCTGGAAGAGGGGGCGACCCACTCCGAGCTGGAAGAGGGAGCCACCCAGCTCGACGAATCGCTGGAGGGAGTAGGGTCGGCGCTGTAGGAGGAAGAAACGGTCGCAGATGTCAAGACGGAGGTCGAAACGGAGGCCGAGAATGCAGCAGAACTGCTGGAAAAGTCGGACACTGACGTTGCCGCCGAAACAGTGCTGTTGGCAGCACAACGCTTGTTGAGGCTGCGCTTGCGCCTCGCCTTGACAGCAACCTCCGGAACGGTGACGGGCTCGGTCACGGCGGCGGGGGCACGATGAGCGAGGCCGCGGTGGTGGCCGCTGCGGGCGCCGTGGGGGACGCTGAGAGCGGACGCGGAGAGAGCGAGAGCGAGGGCAATGGCGGTCTTGGCGAACATCATATCGGCAGAGACGAGCAAAGAGCGGTGGGGGTAAATGAGGTATCGGGCGAGCAGGCCTCAGAGAAAGCGGAAGTAGCGAGAGGCGGTTATAAGGAGGGACGAGGGTGCTCGGACGGGCGGGGACGCCGTTGACGGGGACGGGAGACTAAACCACCAACGTGCAGATCGTGGACAAGGCGACTGCCACGCGCCCCCGTACGTTATATTCCCCGCGGGCGCTCCCACGCCACATTTTTTCGCCGCCGCGCGCTCGGCAGCTTGGCTCACACTCCGTCACGCACGCTGCTCGCTTGCAACGGGGGTGCACAGCAGGCACACCGCCTTCCTCGCCCTCTGCGCCCGCACGGCACTCGCAGTCCGCCGCACATGCCCGCATGCAAGCTGCCGCGCTGAGACTCGGGCATCACACATGCCACACCAGACACCGGCGGCGGCGATCCTCCCCGTCTATTGAACAGCCTCGTACATATCACACTCCCGAATTCGTCTTTGCCGCGTACATCTTCACCAGACCCGTGCTCGATGTCTCCGCCAGGGCCTTCGAGTACGCGTCGATCCGCCCCAGAAGCAGCATGCTCTCCAGCCGGCTCGGCTCCGGCGGTATCTTGAACAGCCTGCTCACGTCCTCCTCGGGCAGCGGCGCCAGGCCCTGCGCGACACGGCCTGCGTTCTCCTCCTTGCGCTTGTTGACGTATGCATCTGCCTTCTGTCTCTCGCGCGCAATTTGGCGGTGCAGATAGGCGAGGTTCCCTTCCTCCGTCTTGTACTGGTCCACGGCTTCGATGATGTGCTCCAGGTTCCGCGACACGCTCGCAGTCCCAAGGTTCAGCGTCGAGAACGACGGCGGCAGGGCCGCGTATGAACTTGCGGTTGACGGGTGCGCGCCGGCGACAGAGGGCGCCGACGGCTCGGTCAACGTCTCTAGGAACGAGCCCATGAGCGCGTTCGTGCGAATTTTGACAGGAAGTTCCTCCAGAATGGACGAGAACGTCAGCCGGTGGTCAATCAGGCTGCGCAGAAAGGCTAAATTAGACATCGACTTGACCCGAGCGCGACTGCCACCGACCTCGAGGTGCTGAAGTTATTCCTCTTCAATGCGTCAAAGAACGCTCTCGTCAGGCGAAACGCCCGGAACGACGCGTTTCCCCGTGCGGTCTGTGACATGTCTGGACGCGAGTTAATCACGGGAGAATGTAACACAAGAACGCCCGTTACCATGTACGATCACGACGCCTCCGTGTCGGAGCCTCTCTTGGTGAATGGCTTGCGTCTCGACAAGCGTCTGGTTGAGGAAAGAACCCAGCGTCATGGCCTGGTAGAAGCCAACTATGCTGTCATCTGCCTGAACGTCTTTCAAGGACCGCAGCATCGAGGCCTGATACCTAGCTACAGTGTCATCGTGAGAACGCCGTCGACCTAACGGGGGCGGAAACTCACCAATGCCCTTCGCCGATTTATCATCGTCATCAGGCGAGTGATTTGGCATGGGGAAAGAGTTCGACACTTCTAATGTGCCGTCGAGATCGAGCCCGAGTACGAGCCCATGTGCGCTGGAGCCTTGCACATCTCGTGAGTGCTTGATGATCTTCGACACAACCTGCGAGCAACACGGTTCCGTCAATAACTCCGTACCCCGTACCCAAAGTCGTGGAACATGGCAACAGACGGCACGTAGGAACAAAGCCCGTCGTCTGCGGCAATATAAAAAGTCACAGCACAAATCATAGACGGCCATAGAGCCTGCGATCATAATGAAACGCGCGTATAATGCCGGGAAATGCGCGAGGGTAAGACCTGTGAGAAGTCGACCAGTCACTCACCAGGCCATCCAGCTGAACACGTTGCAACGGAATCTCCCCCTCAAGATCGATCACTTTAGACATGGATGCCGGGATGGCTTCATATGTTGGGGCTGCAGGGGTAGGTGCAGACGAAGGTGCGGGCAGGCTTGCAGCGAGGGCTGCCGCCATTGAGGTTGCGGCGGCCATTTTTGATTCTATCCGTAGGTCGGGGGTAAGAAAGATGGCGAGAGGGGCGCCAGAGGATAGATAGCCTTTTGAACGGCGACGAGAGAGCGATTAGAGATGGGCAGTCGGCGACTGGAGGAGGCAGAAAAGTGCACGACGAAGGCGCACCCACTTCCAAATTGGGAGAACTCGTTCAGTCACCTGATCAACACTTCCCTCAGGCGCTTTAACTTCAATATGAGCCCTCCGCGATGGAAAACAACGACACTCGCAATGTACGACGGCCAATTGCCGCCCAACTATGCCTTGCTCTGACACATACCGAACGCTCTCAGATATCAGGCACAGTTGTCTATTTCTATGTTAGGAAGACCCTTCGCGAGGTTCGAAGTCCAGGGAGTCGAGTCAAGTCTTCCATTGCAGGGTCTCCCTGTCGATCATTCAACTTTTCGCATGAGATGGCGGCCAGGGTTGTGAAGATGCTCCTTGTAGCAGGAGAGAACATGGTTTCTACTCATTCAGCTTACGCAGGACTGTATCACAAGTCTGAGCATCACCAGGACTCTCCGCAGGTTTGCACAAGCCTGAGGTGATTGAATTCGCGACAAGTACCGCGAATCACATAGGCCGTACTGTATGGACTACGATCTAGGGATTGATGAGTTCAATTTCCAGCACGGAACAGAATGTTTAGACACGTCATATCACCATTGTCACCAACGATCGCCAGTCGAGACAAAACGCTTCACGGAAGCAGCAATGTGCAGGCCCTGGCGAATATATACGCAGATGGTGCCGGTACAACACAAACCTCCGTCCCCGACTCGGACAGAACTGACCGCGGTGCGCACTCTTGACACCAACTGTACTGCTGGGATACAGTGACCTATTACAAATATTGTCATTGCAACACCTTCGCGAGATGGAGGACTTGTTGAACTGAGCTATTGCCGTAGTAGTGAGTTCATATTTTGTCCGCGTTTCGTACCTAGATTGACGGTCGACGACGACGGCTGTGTATGAACATACTCTACGGGGGCACAAAGCGAGTTCTACAGGTGCACCAGGTAATTGCTGAACGGAACGAGCTGCGGAGATGTGCTGCGGTCGGACGCCAGTCGGACGTTTCGTACGCTAAGTAAAGCCTAAGCGAGGATTATCTGATAAGATTGGTGGGCGGATCTAAGGCTCACGTGCGCGTTGCTCCAGAGACGTCTCCCGAGAACCACTGCGAGCCGAGGGCCACTACTCGCTCTCACTCACTCATAAACTGCAGCGCGGACGAGCCACACCCCTCGCCTCCCCTTCTCCTCCTCCCGCCATGCGTCGCGAGCACAGAATCGTCATCCTTCTGGTCATCGATGTCATCTTCTTCCTCGTCGAGCTCATCGCTGGTAAGCTGCACTTGATCATCCTCCGCTGAGATGAGTGGCTGATCATTGCGTCAGGCAATGCTGTGGGCTCTCTGGCGCTCATCGCGGATAGTTTCCATATGCTAAAGTGAGTTTCATCTGTGTTCCAACTCGACCCAAAGCGTTGAACGGCCTTTCAGTGATATTCTGAGTCTTATCATTGCTCTGTATGCCATCAAGGTAGTCAACCGCGTCGCCCAACCTCGCGTCAGAATCTGATGTCATCCCTGTCTAGCTCACGAGGCAAACACATACCGACGCTCGTTATTCATATGGTTGGCATCGTGCTGAAATCCTCGCCGCTCTGGTCAACGGCGTCTTCCTTCTTGCTCTCTGTTTCTCGATATTCGTCGAGGCAGTTGGGCGATTCTTCAGTCCCCCGGGTAAGCCCTAATGATCAATGCAACGTACCACTGTCCTCACACGAACTCGTTACAGACATCTCCAACCCTCGTCTTATCATTGGTGTGGGGACGTGGGGACTCATTTCGAACATCTTTGGGCTGTTCCTGTTTCATGGTTCGTCTCTCCCCTTGCTGCTAGTTTGTGGCTCTCACTGATGATGAACCAGAGCATGGGCATGACCACGGCCACTCGCATGGGAAGGCCACACCGACGTCGTCGAAGCCTGCAAGTATCAGGTCCGACAGCGATGACCAGGCTCCCAAAGTGTCTACACCACCGCGCAATATCTCCCCGAGCCACCACCGTCAGCGAACGAGCTCTTACTCGTCGCTTTATGGCCACCCTGCAGCGACCCGGGCTTCACTGGTGCAGACCGCTGAGGAGATCAGGCTCGCCCGTTCGCCATCTCCACCCCCGAATGGACTGAGGAGCAAGTCTCGTCATCATCGTTCGCGTTCACGCTCTGCTATTGGTGGCGCTGATCCTGACGGAACTCTCAATGGCTCCTCTTCTGGCGATGTTCAGCCGGCGACTGAATCCACGCCTTTGCTTTCTGAGACTGCATCCGCAGACTCTCACTCATACGACGGACATGGGAACCACGACCATAGCGAAGGCGGCGGCCACGGTCATTCGCACGGATCGATGAACATGCACGCACTTCTGCTACACGTGTTGGGAGATGCACTGGGCAACGTGGGCGTCATCGCGACTGGGCTGGTCATTCTGTTCACGTCGTGGAGCTGGAAGTACTACTTCGACCCCCTCATCTCATTGGTGATCACGATCATCATATTCTCTTCCGCCGTGCCACTCGGTACGCGTCTTCCTCGCTTGAACATCTGTCGAATGCTAATTCATGCGTTCATTTGCCGTGTCCAGTTCGCAGCACGTCGTTCATTCTGCTACAGGGCGTTCCCTCGACCGTGTCCATCGAAGACGTAAAGGATGCCATCCTCGCGGTTGAAGGCGTGCTGTCTTTGCATGAGTTGCACGTCTGGCAGCTCTCGGAATCAAAAATTGTCGCGAGCGTGCACGTCATGGCGAGCCGAAATCACGACTTCATGCCCGTCGCTGCGGCGATAAGGAAGGCGCTTCACCATCAAGGCATCCACTCAAGCACCATTCAGCCGGAGTACCATCCGAGAACAGCACCGCCAGAAGAAAACCTGAGGACCTCAGCGGAGACGTCATGCCTGATCATGTGTCCGCCTGACCAGGAATGCAATCCTGCAGAGAACGCTTGTTGCCGTGAGCACTGTCAGCACTAATATTGTCGTCGCCGTCTGACGAATAACAATTTTTGTAGCACCACCGGCTGTGGACGTCTGAGTCCATGGCCATGTATAGTACTATCAGGGAGGAGAGATGACGGCTCGCATTGGTATATGTTTAGTTTGTTTATACGTTCTTGTAATTTGCTCGCCATGATGCCAATACATATATTACATCGCATCCTCACAACTCTGCCATGAACGTAGGGAAGTTGGTCACAAAAGCAGGTGACGACGCTAGCCTCTGCACAATCATACTACTCGTATTGTGGCCATGTGCCATGCTTCGTAGCTCGCTGCCGAAGTTGCGAGCCATGCCAGCTGCGGACTGACCGAGCACCGGATTTTGTTCATTGCAGACGGTGAGCAGCGCACGCTCCAGATACAAGGCTCCCGTCAGCGCAGATGCAACCACGGAGATGACTAGTTCCACCGTGATCGCCTGTTCAGAAGGCGGGAGACTGTCGGCCGCGGTCACAATACCGGGTAGGTATGCGTGCAAGAAGATTGGCAGGAGAGGGGGCGAGTGGGAATGCCGCGGAGTCGTCAATATGAAGGTTGCCAGGCGTCTCGATGCCTCCATCTCGCCCATTGTCGCCGCAACAGTGAGTTCTCTCCAGAGGACGTACAGAAACCGAGCGGGCGTAGTGGCGAGCAGAGCGCGGTCGAGATCGAGTGCTGGTGCCTTGCCTGCGCGCGCTGCGGCCAAGGCGTTTCGGATTGCGTGCGTCGCGTGATCGACCCTCGGGTTGCCTTGGGTATTGAGTGAAAGCGGAGGCTGATCCACGTCTGTGAGAACCAACATGCGTGAGTCGATTTTCATGCGAAGAAGCCAGATTCAAGACTCGCCTTCCACAGGAAGACCTAGCGTTTGTAATGCCGCGCGGCGGATTGGCGAAGGATCAAAAGGCCCCGTACGGCTGCGCTCCTGCTTGCGTGCGGATGGGAACAACCTGAGTATGCTGGGAGCGGACAGGCGGAGAACGGTCTGAGGGCACGTCGGCGAGAGTAAAAGCGTCTGAAGAACGTCGAGATGAATAGGGGCGCTGAACCTGTAGCCTTTATTTTGAGTTCATCCCGCACATCAATGGTATCTTCAACGTACCCTTTTTGTCGAACATCGGTCAGCAACCACTTCACGGTTCCGGCTAGAGTCCAATTGAGAAGATTTCCGAGAAAGTACTGTATTCCATTCACGAGGACTTCCTTCTCCATCTTGCGCTCCAAGCACATGTTGATTGCATACGCAAACAGACTCGCTGTAATCCGCAACAACGTCTTTGGCCGAGTATTGCTGATTGCATATACGCCGTGTCAACGAAGTTCCTCCTTGTGCAGTGCGATTGTCTCACCGGAGAATACTGTCCTCGATCCCTTCACTGTTCTTGTCGAAAAGCGCTTTGTTCCACGCCTGAAACTCGGCCGCGGCTTCATCTTTCAGTTCGTGCATAGAATACACAGTAGCAACAGGTAGAATGAAGTCGATGTTCAGTTTGCGGTCGCCAATGCTCGCGTTCGTGCGTGTCAACTATAGGTGGAAATTGGTAACGAGCGAGGTCCGCGTATGGATTGGCACGTACATTGTGCCGTGCGACCATCTCTTGCAGGAAGAGTACAACTTCGCCTAGGTAGCTGACTGCCGTTTGCGGGTCACCTACATCATCGGTGTCAGATGGCAGCAATACTGATGGCTGTGGATATACGTGCCTACCGTCTCGCAATCATAGTCTTCTACGTAGGCGAGCGCCGACGCAAGTAGTTCTCGTAGACTAACATGGACCGAGACGATGTCGACCGCCGGCTCGCATCGGCAGAGCACTTTGCATATATGACTGAGCGATTCCACGTCAGAAGGCTGGTTGAGAGTGGTGAATCGCTGAGCAGCAGCATATGAGCATATACCTTGGACAGCCACCTTACAACACCTTACCTTGTAAACAACTGCGGCGAATTCAGCATGGCTACATGCATCTCTGCATACCCTTTCCGCCAATGACACGGCTTCTTCGATATCAGTGTTGTCTATTATCAATTTGGACTCAAGGTATGACTGAGAGTGCGTCAGAGATCTGGCACTGTAGGCGCACCGATGGACTTACCGCGACATCAACGCCTGCATCACGAGCTTCGGTGGTTATACGGGGAGTGAAACTATTGGATAACGTCGGATTGATAGTTGCAGCAAATGATGCGTCCACAACATCTGTAGCAACCAATTGATGTAAGAACTCGAGAGCAAAGGGACTTGAGCTGGTACGGAACAATGAGGCTGATCAGCCTAGCCAATTGAACCATGCGCAACACTCACTGGATAGGCTTCTCTAAGCCAGCATCTCCGTTGGAAAACGCTTGGATGTTGTCACACTTGTCGAGGATGTTTACTCGGAGCAGATTCATCAACCCGAATTGGATTGCTCCATGCTAATAGGCCATGTCTGAGTGCGAACGCTCAACAATGATGGACAAACTTACCCAACCACCTTCCAGTAATCCCTCGGACTCAGCGGTCTTCCTGAACATACTCAATATTATCGGAAGCTAGCGTGGAAGCAATTGAGCAGACTGCCTCCCAAGTGTGAAAAAATCCACGTACACGACCCACGACGAACGCACGCCAAATGAGTGAAGACGTCATCGACGATCTCTGGCCTGCACTTTGCGCTACGCAAGACGCAGCGGCAAGAAACAGCTGCGAAAAGAATGCTGTGGACGGCCAGGACAACCACCGGAACAACGCTACAAGTTCCGCGACAGCATGCGTGCCATCACCTGCACCGAAGTCGCCCGCTCTGTTCAATACCTGAGACAGTTGGATTAGATCGAAAACTGAAATGGAAGAAACGTACGAAAGAATGTAGGACCAGACCGCATGTCACCAGATCTGCAGTGTCGGCGCTTGTACCCATAATGTCGCCTTTACCATAAGCTAGTTGTAGGGTATGCATCATCTGGGCTTCTCTGGCAGCTTTTGCGTCGTCGCCCAGCATCAAGCTCAGCGACAGCGCAAACGTTTCGAGCTCTTGCTTGACATGGGGGAGAAGACTTTGGATCTGAAGGATGTCATTTGCCTCAGCACAATATATCATCGCTTGCGCTGTTGAGATTTGCGAGATATCCGTGGGGCTGACACAGGATATCAGAAGCGTGAGCAATTCAGAAGCAGAAGCAACCAGTTGGTGGAAGTGAGACGGTGGGAGCTGGTGCGCCATCCGTAGTAGAGAAATGGAATTTTGCACTGTGCCCAGGAGATCAGCAGGCGTCTCTGAGTATGGGATTATGGATCCAAGAGCCGGAAGGCCCGTCGCGTAGTGTGCGTCGAGAACCACTCTGCACAGCATGTCAAGTGTGGCCGTATTATGCAAGTCCGGCGATTGTGCAGCCGATAGGAACGTCGTGACGAATTTCGGGATCGTCAATAGACCGTCTTTTATTGCACACTTGAGATATCCCTGCAATGCGGGATCACCTGGATAGTTGCGGAACAAAACCAACACAGAGTCTGGCACAAGTCAATAACAGCCGAGTCGGCCAGTGGACTGGCACTTACTGCTGATATCGGTTTGAACATCCTCAGTAGCAACGTGGACCCCGTTATTGGCCAGGAATAGTTTGCAGAGATTAGCCCACTAAAGACAGGCTCAACGTAAAGCACAGTTTGAGGGAAGATGTCCTTACCTTCTTTGCGGATATGCCGCCATGGAACGCATTTCTTGTGAGTTCGCTCACAGACATCCTTGCAGTCACAATACACGTGGCATGAGAGCAAACAGTGCTACCACAGGCGCTGGATAGAGCTCGGGACAGTCTGGAGTCTGAGGTTGACGGATGTGCAAAATCCCAACTAGCTTCAGTTGACAGTCAAGTGATACTCAACGCTTCCGCCACAACGCTCATCACGACGTTTCTATATTAGGGAAGTCTTGTGGTTTACCGCTGGCAGTCTAATAACGGCCGCCAACCAAGCTCGTCACTTCAGTACTCATAAAACGAGGACTGTGCCACAACATAGATGAAAACGAGTGTCATTATATATAGATAGTAAGCTCGGCTCATAATAATTCAGGGTACCTAAGCCGTCCGATCACACCTTGGACACCAGCCGTCTGGTCTCCTGGGGAGTGAATCTCAGGATTGTTGACAGTATGCGCACAAGATGTGGCTGCGTATGATCAATGATCAGCGTTCATCTTCGACATTACATGCGGGAAAGACCAACCCTCATTTCCTTGTGCTCAAGGAATTGCAAGATGACGTTCCTGAGGTACTCGATGTTGAGTTCTTCGTCAGATTGCGAGAGAGCAGGCGAGCTTGGTCTGGATGGAGTATCACGACCATCTATCGACGACCTCGGTGAACGTTCGCCAGAAGGATCTTGTCGCGAAGCCCAGTATCCAACGCCTGGGTTTCGTTGCCGCTCAAGAAGCGCTGCAGATGACTGGACCTTGCGTAGCTCTTCACGCAAGGTCTGATGGAACGTGAGCGACAGCAGTGGCCATGATAACCTGGACATACTTTATGATGTGCTCGCAACTGAGCTTCTCTGGCTTTGCCCTCCTCAAGAAGTTGTTGTAGAGCAGTGATCCTCGCGTTAAGGTCCGAAATCTGCGATTTGAGACCATTCTAACAGAACGGGTACACATGAGCTAAGTGATATTGGCTTTACTCGAACGTACCTCGGATTCCACGGCCCGTTCGGCTTGTATACGCGTGTCAGAAATGCGTAGCTGATATGTTCGCACTTCTTCCTTCAACCTAACGATATCCTCCTTGAGAGCTCCTACGTTCTCGGATTCCTGCTCTCGGCTTCTGGCTGACGAATTAAGGACGTCCCTGAGGGAATCCAGCTCTCTGGACTTGTCCGCCAACTTCCGACTCCATAAAGCCTCGCTTTCTTCACGCTCCCGCTCAACCGTACTCAGACTGCTGCGAAGATCACTGATGCGCGCCTCGTACTTGGATTCGGCAGCGGACAGCAGCCGAGATATGTGCTCCGCAGAAGGACCGATGTTGAGTGCTTTGGTCTCTTGCTCTCGACGGGCATCTGAGAGCTCCTCTGTTAGGAGCGCGATGCGTTCGTTGGCTTCACGAAGTTGGTATTGGAACTCGGTCGTCTGGCCTTCGAGTGACTCCAAACGGGATCGTGACGATTCCAGCTCTGCCTGACGAAGTTGAAGCTGGTCGAAAAATTCGTCCTTCTCCCCTTCAAGCGAGCGAACCAAACTCTGAAGATCCGTGATACGGGAATCTCGGTTCTCTATGTCCTTCACCAACGACGTCTGAAACAGGCCATCAGTGAGTAAGACCAGTGATATCGTCCGGCATACCTTCGTCGTGATAGCTTCAAGCTCGAACTGACTTCTGATCGCGGCCAGCTCCTTCTCGTGCTTCTCCTTCAGAGCAGCTACCTCCTTGTCGAAGTGAGCCTTGAGACCGTTCAAGGCCGTCTCCCGTTCTGCGGTCGCCCGCTCAATCTCGCGCTTCAACTCCGCCTTCTCCGCTCTCTCCTTCTCCAGCTCTCCTTTGTCCTTATCTCTGACGCCTTGAATATCCTTCAGGGCATCGTCCCGCTCCTTCTCGGCCTTCACGAGCTTCTGTCGCACTGTCTTCAGCAAGCCCACAGCCTTGACCCGTTTCTCCTCCTCGTCCTTGACAGCGCCCTTCATACGGTCCATCTCCGTTTGCAGGCGCTCGATGTCAGCCTTTCGCTTCGCTGACTCTTCCTCGGCTCGCGTAGTGGAACTCGATGTCGCTTTCAACAAAGCCTCCGCCTCGTCGACATGTGCTCTGAGCTTGTCGATCTGGTCCGACTGAGACTTCGACTCTAGCCGGTGAATATCTCTAAGCTCTTCGATACGCTCTTCCTGCCCTGCTCCCCATGGTTCGATCACTGCAATATGAATGGAAATGAAACTGCTTACGCGTGAGCTTGCCTGCCAGACGCTTGATCTCGTCCTGAGCCATCTGTGTCCATGCCAATAAGATCGCGTACATAGTGACGACTCGACGACTCGACGCACCTCCGTCTTCATGTTCATGTTCTGGAGGTAATCGCGCAGAGACTCTACCTCCTGCACGCTTTGAAGCGGCGTAAGTTCCTGAATAACTTTATCGGCTGCGAGCTTTTCTGCTTGAAGGCGCTTGAAGGAAGTGGACACGTCTAGCACAGCATTAACGTTGTGTATCCCTACATTCTACCATGCATACCTGTGAATCGTTGTTCCACTAGTTTCAGACGCTTCTGTAGGCCGTCTACTAGGCTGTCGTTGTCTGCATTGTTTGGTGGTGAAGGAGTCACCGGCTCGGAAGGTACCGTACTGTGTGGGGCGTCGTTTGCAAGATGTTCAACGACGTCCTGAGATGTCGATGAGACAACGGGCTGGTCCGAAGCATCCGGCACGGGCGAAACGGCGCGATGTTCAGATGTGTCTGACGAAGGAGCTGTGTCCCCCACTGGGAGCGCTGACGGGGACATGTCGGGAATCTTGTCAAAAGCACTGGCCTGCAACGACGCCGTGGTTTGCACATAGTCAACTGGTTGCACGGATGTAACGGACTCGGAAGCATCAGGTTGTGTCGAAGACTCGTCATTGAGAGAGTCATTCATGGGAGGTGAATGGGTCTGCTCGCTCTCGGAGTTCTCATCCATGGTGTCCGAATGTTCGTCCCCAAGTGCAGCTGGTTCTTCAACAGGCTCAGCATCATTCATGCGGGCTTCAGCAACTACAGACCCGGAGGTGTCCAAATCCGTAGCTTCCGCATCGAGGCCTGCCTCTAGTAGTGGTAGTGATCGTTCAGTCTGCGCGGGAACAGATGAAGGCGAAGGGGTCATGGCGGGGGTCGTTTCCGATGAGCCTTTAGTTTCTCCGCCATGTTCTGCCGCCTGGGGAGACTGATAGAGTGCGCCGTTAACAACAAGACTGTGCAACGAAGGGGTTGTGGCGGAGAGAGATGGATCTAGCGTTGGTGACACAGGTGGCGAGTCGGGAGGAGCGCAGACGTCGGAGACAGAGGATGCCATACGCCGTCGACGCTAGCGGCGTGCGCATGACCAAATTTCGAGGGAACCGGTGAACGAATCTCTTGTGCGCCTTCTGACTGCGACTCTGCAAGCGATTGAGACCGCGCTCTCAGTGGATCCCCACTACTGGCCGTGGACAACGCCGGAGACTCCGGTAATGGCGTTGACGCGGGGGAGAGAGGGCGGTCGTTTCCAGCTGTAGGACTTGATCTAACTGTGGATGAAGACGAAGATGCGCTCGATTTCGCCGCTTCCGCGCTGGCAAGCTTCGCTCGGAGTCGGTCCTCGAGCGTGGAGCGCGGCCTCGGGCCCCCGTCCGCGGGTCTGCCTGCAGGACTTGCAGGGCGCTGCATACCAAGAGACTGTGAGCCCCTACGCCCCATATCTAAGGAAGGACGCGCCTGGCGGGCTTCAGCAGACAAGTCCTGCGAAGACTTCGGTGAGTGTTGCGCCAGATTCTCGACAGCCTGTCTCCATTGCGAGAACATGCTGGTATCGGAGTATGTGTGGTGTGATCAGGCGGTGTGTCAAAGGAATGCGTTGCAGAAGAAGTGGGCTGGAGACTGAGCCGTCCGTTGCGCACTTGTGGTGCTGCCTGCTGCCAGCGGCGAAAGCAAGGCGAAAGACGCGCTTCGCGTTTCCTGCCCATGAAGCGCCCACTACCTGCCGTGGACAGACTACTAGACGCCCGTTCTCTGCGTCCTCCATCTTGGATCACAGCTCGACCCTCGCAGCTTGGATCGCCGAGCGCAAGAAGAGATTCCTCACTGCTCCCCGTGTGGAGGAGAAACAGAAGAGACTTGAGGAGGCGTTGCGCGTGGTCAACAGCAGCCTCAGACATCCGTTCCCCAACAGAAAGAAACCGAGTATCAATGACGACGTGCAGGGCGGACAATATGGCGATCGCGCTCAGATGGGCAGAGGTTTTGACCGTGGTCGAGGCACAGGTAGAGTTCAGGACGCGGTGTTGCCCCTCAGAAGCCTCGTATATGGCACTTTCTACCTCCAGAGTCGATCCTAACTGGTTATTAACCTCCGATGGGTCTAGCAAAGCAGCAACGGACTCTGCTGAAGCATGCACGACTGCTTCTTTGCCAGTCACTTACGACTCTGAGAGCAAGTCTGATTGGGGTTCTGACGCTGCGCTAGACGTCGTGTCGTTGAAAGCGGCTCCGGATGCACTTGAGGCACAGGACGCACCAACAGTTGCCGTTCCTCCAGACGACGTGGAGGTGCGGGAGCCTCGTGTGGGGAACAGCGACCCCCCTTCACAACAACAGGTTCGATAGTGAGCTGAGGAAGCTGCCACCGAAATAACCTCGAGCTCGGATTAATACCAACATACAACCCCTTTGCGACGCGACCGTCACTACTTCGAATTGTAAGCAAAGTTCGTCCTGTGAGATAGATGCGTAGCTAATGACAATGCGAACCATAGCTGCTCACACCGGAAATCCAACTGACTGTATCGGATTTATCCCAAGCCATCCGCTTCCTCGTAGACAACGATTTCCTGGAAAACGTGAAACTGAAGCCTGGGGCCCTGGGCAGGCTTCAGGAAAGACGATTGAAGTTATCGGGACGTCCAGTACTGAGCAACAAGGGGCCTCCGCGACATATCCACCCTCGGAAGGTGCGAGGGAAGACAAAACACTCTGATTCATGATGCTTGTATCGTATCTACGTATACGCCCAGATTGCATGTAGCGGTGTGAAGCATTGTTATATGATCGTCCACGTCCACCATAGCCTGAAGTCTCGACACGGTACTGCTGCTACTGCCGCTGTCACGCACTGATGTTGGAGTCGCTGCCCTCTCTACCGCTCTCAGACTCGTCTGCATCCGCTTCCAACGACCGCTGCTCCACCTCGAACCCCAGCTGTGTAAGGCCTTCCGTTGTTTCTGCGACCTTCCCTGGTGCGGTGACAACGATTGCGATGATGATAAAGGATCAAGAGGGACAGGAGTACTCGCGCAGTACGGCGAGGACATCCGCCTTCGTGACGGAACGGTAGCGTTCGAGAAGTTCGATGTTGTAGTTCTGAGGTACGCCCCGGAGGGCTTGATTCACGAAAGAGGCTACAGCCTGCGCAAGAATGATCAGTGTATGATGGGCGACTCGAAGACGGAGTTGACTTACCGCTTGCCCTGGCGTAGAGACACCGCTCGTCACACCGAACACGAGGATACTCTTCGCCGCATCCAGAGTCGTCTCTTCGAGCGCGATCTACACGGTCGATTAGACACCAGCGTAGATTATAGCTTCAACCAAATATACCGAGCCGTCAACGAGGCCTTCGACAACGGATTTTGCTTGTTCATACGCCTTCAGATATTGTGAAGTCTAGGGTAGTTGTGAGACCTCCCGAATGTTTCCTTGCTTCAACGGGAATCCATACCCTGTCCAACGCAAAGCTTAGAAGGCCGCCCTCTAGATCCACGTAGACTCCCGCGTCGTATGCCAACCCCGAGTCACGAATGTACCGCTGTCAAGACTATCAGCGTACGTTCGCGCGTGTAGATTACTCCACATACCCAGAGATAGCTCTCAGAAGCGTTCAGCACTGGTGGCTACTATGACTGCGGGACGGTCCTGTGCGTGAAGCCTTGGATGCCCTTCGTGACATGGGAGGTATAGGAGCTCTCGATGGTAGGCAGACTGACAACTTGAATATTCCGTTCATCTTCGTGAAGGAGTAGCGCAGCGCAGCGCCAAATGCGTCGCGCTACTCCTCGTCTGTGCCTTTGAAATTGTACGTACTTCGCACCTGTCTCGCCGCGTTTGTTTTTGGTTGAGTGCCCTCTCTCGGTGAGCCAATCGATTTCCCCGCCACGCGTCGCCACCGAGCGGGGACGAGCTCCGCACACAAGTCTAAGAGGCAAGGGGCAAGCAAGCTTACATAAGGGGCGCAGCGCCCGCACCTCTCCCCGTGGGAAGGATGTCGGGCATCAGCCGGACTACCAAAAGTAGACATCCTCCACTGAGCCTCCAGCTCCTCCAGACTCATTTGATGATCATACAGTGCTCAATAACGCGCCGCTAGATTACTGGACCACGCAAGCTATCGAAGGGAGGGTGACGCTGGTAACATCGAAAGCAATGCGACTGGCTTATGTTCGCTACTCAAACGTTTACTAAAGACCCTGGCAGTGGCAATGCATATGTACTAGTGAGTGTGTCGAGTTCAAGTCGGACTACTGTACATTGACACAACTGATCCCACTCCCATCAACCAGATCCGGTCCCAAGCTAGCTTGCTCAGATCCCGCTATGAGTGTTTGTCTACGTTATGCCGGATGACGTTGTCAAATGGCTCAGGTTTGAAGGCTTTGCCAGTGGTCAGCCGACTCAAGTGCATGTCCTCACGCTCGAGGCGTGTTTCGAGAATCCATCCTTCATAAAGATGTTCATGACATGTTTATGACTGCGTCCAAATTTTGTCGTGTCTTGATAGCAGCAGCACTGAATGACGATGTCTACAGGTAAGCAGTGGCACAATTTCATTCGAACACATCTCCGTCGCGTTCCCTACATCGGTTGACGTCGACATGAGGAAGCAGCCACACCGATATACCATCCTGCATCATGGCTAAGCCCTATGTTCGCGAAGCAACAGTCGGCAATTGACTCTCACAAATGCGTATCTGACCGACGTACGTGAAGGTACTGTGCGGCGCTAGATTGTGTCTCGTTCCTTGCGTTTTGTACGAGACTCTCCAGTCTTCTCTCAATCTTGATGACGCCCCTCAGAGCCATGAAAGAAGGAATCTGTTCATATGGACATCGTGCACGACTCCTCTGCGCCTCGTTTCAGGTGGACGTGTGTCCTGAGCCTCCCGACTGCCCGTTGGGACACTCGCAGATCAATGGTGAGGCTTCTCAGTATACGCGCCTCTGGCAGACCGTTGATGACGAGCTCCATTCCGTGGGTCGAAAGTTAGGCCGAGCGTCAGTAGCAGAGATATATGTTCTCTCAGTAAGTGCAGTCTACTAACCTCAACCAAGGGAGTTCCTGGATCCTTTCTCTCGTCGCCGCTCACGCTTACCTGTCATGTGCTTCGGTGAGAACTGCGCCCTTCAAGCGACACAATACGTCAATGCACAACTCGCTGTTCTTCATGCCAATGCTATGTCTTGCTTCCGGGAACATGAGAACTCTCAAAAGCCCGAGGAGCATCTCCGTATGTATCCAGGCAACTTTGCATATGTATCCTGCTCAATTCCCACCTAATCTAGGGTACGGCCACGCCTTGTATGACTTCGTGTATGGCAAGGTAGCGAAACGGCGTCAAACCAAAGCTGGTTATGACACAGAATTCCATGCACTATTCGACAAGCCGGTCATCGATTTCATATGCAATCACGACGCCATACTTCGAATCAAGATCAAGAGCGGGCATTATTACATGGACGCATCCGACCAGGGTGGCATGATCAAAAGTCCTGTTGGGTATGCGTGCAGGTTTCAGTATTTTTCTGACTGACGCGGGGGACTTTGCTGTGTAGCGAGCGTATCAGAGAATTGTCTGATCAATCATTCGACTTCCGTGTTGGTTTCGATGTTCGTACAGCTGCCAGCACGGATCTTCAAATCGGCAACGGGCCCGTGTTGATTCGGTTAATCACGCTGAACCTGCTCGGTAAGTGCTACCACTACTTAGTCGTGGGCAAAATATCCTTACACATTATTGAAGAGGCAACTTTTTTATCTGCGTCTCCACCGATCGAGTACAGTGTGGACGTACTCCTTTTGTATCTGCAGCGGTACCTCGAGTTTCTGCAAAAGGCCGGGAATCATGTCCTCTTCTCCCTCCCGAACTTCGAGATCAGCCGTCTTCCTCTTACCATCGACTACACGGCATCTCGGCGTGACATAGTCATGGGCTGCACCGAACTATATGGTGTTCACGTTAGCAAGATCAACGAGCAACTCAAGTTGACATGGACGAAGGCCGCCGTTGCAACAGCAATTGGAGTGTCAGACGGCGTCGCGACCAGTGACTGGAAGGCCAATTCCGTGGCCGAATACCGCGGGTCGTGGTCGATCTACCAGTCTGACGTGCGGTTCCACCTGAAGTTCGGGCCGCCGACGGTGGATGCAATATGTTCGCGCGAAGCTGTCTTGAACCTTATGTTGGACAAGGTCTTGGTATTCGAAGAAGTTGGTTCCGAAGGGTAAGTAGCTCCGATATTCCTTGGAATCTCGATATTGAGGCAACCGTTACCTATCGTTACCCAGTGCACCCACCGGCGCATTCGATGGATGGAGGATCCCCATCACGGTTGAGGTTTTCCAAGAACAGGACACTGAAACCCGCATCAGGGTCGACTTGAGCAGTGAGTTATTCCCCTATTATCATCTGACGTCGCTGACCAGCCTGAGACAGAGGCCAAAGTCATCTCTCAACTCCCAGAGGGCGAAGAGGATGGCTACGAAGATTACAGGATGGGAATACTCGATTTTGTGCGGAAGGAATACCTTGCCGTGCTCGAGAGTGCAGGATACCTCATCCTCTACGACACGGGACGCGCTGCTTCTTTCGGCAGCGTGCAACTCGCGATGACGCGCATAGACTCCTCCGGCTTCTCTGGCTCCTTCGAGGAGTCCGCAGAGACTACACAGGCGTCCTGGACGGATATCATTGCTGGCTCAGATATGCAGGGATTTGACCAGGTCATAGCAGTCTCGCAGAAGTCTATCAACTCCCGCTTCTCTCAAATACATGAAGCGGCGAAGAGGAGCGAGAACCGGATGTCCATCTTGTCGAAGTGGTCGTACGAACAGTACTTCTCTGCAGCATTCGAACCCCTCGCCGTCCACCTGCTCAGCAACAACCGTGCACTTCTGTGGGTTCACCTGACCGATGGCTCTCTTCGCTCGCTTGTCGACATGGAACCCTCCCTCGGGTACGTTATACACTATGATCATGAATATCATGTCTCACGAAATGCTGCAGGGAGGATGAATACGAGTTCGAAGACCTCCGTTTGGCATTTGAGGTCAAGCTGGAAATGCTAGACGATGCGACTCTTCAAGCTACCAGCCCCGATTGGTATTCAAACGCCTCTGCTTCACACGCATACAAGGCCCACGGCAACCAAGCGGACTGTGCCTTCCGGTATCTGTGTTTTGATACGAGTAGTGAGTGTTCGTTCGCCGTTGCTGTCGCGCCTTTTAACAACGGCGAGTAGGTGCCGAATTTCTATATGAATACTCGCAAATTGACGATCTGCTCCACACGACGGGCTCGGAGCTCATTGACAAGCTGCAAGGCATGATCTACTACCTCCGCCAGCATTACTTCCCTGCGCTTGTGGCCAACGGACTACATATCCTGTACACCACACCGATCTGGAGCGTACCGCCCTCTACTCCTTCGTATGCCTTGACAGACGTCACCTTCCAAGTCTACTCGAGTGTCGAGGTGACTCGCCATAACTGGGCGCAGCTTTCGGTGTCCGTCGAACCAGTCCTTGCTATCCTCGGCATGACTTCTCACCGTCCCCGGCCTGGTCACAACCTAACCTTCTCTACCAACTGGGTTGCGCGTGCGGAGCGGGGCTTCTCTCACGGAACTGTCGCAATCTCCAACAAAGATCAGAGCATGCTCCATCGCCTGGCTCGTATCAACTCCCTCACTTCTGTCATCCCCGTTCTCGTCGCTGCTGAAAGCGCCGACGGTTGGCAGCTGCAGCTGACTACCATAGCTGCTCGGCACGGCGCCCGCATGTGTCCGTGGAAGGTTGAGACGATACAGGAGAATAGCTGCATCAAGTACGAATGGGAATACTCGGTTTCGACTACGTACTCGCATGAAGGCAGCGGGATAACGAACGGCGCTTATGCGGTGACCTGTGAGATTCCTTATTCTTTCTGACAGAACCGAGCTATATCTGTCCTTTCTAGGTTCTACTCGTAATTACGTGGAGTTGCCAACGGTGTTCAGAAGTGGCAAGTTGGAGCTCAAAGCGTGGGGAGAGGTCACAGTTGGGATCGACTACAAGGCCGGCTCGGTGGAGGGCAGGTATGCAGACAATCCCTCTCAATGACTTCTAGCTGATCCTGTCCATCTCACAGTGCAAGCGGAGTGGCCAGATGGCTCGCCCCCATCAACATTCAGACCGACCTCTTCAACGGGGTGAAGTCCGACGCACTCGATCAGGTGCCGGTTGTCTGCGAGAAGGTCGAGTACAGGGGAAACGCCCCCGCCACCAATTTCATCAATATCCAAGCAGAGCTGCAGGCACAGCTGCCGCAAATGATCGACTTCAAGGAGGTCGTCCAGGGAATGCGGCAATACGAAGGGGCGTGGCAGACATGCTATCCAGGCGTTAATGCGTACGCCCTCGCTAACCCGGTATTCAATCGCCAAGGAGATCTACTCTTTGAGTTGCGTCCTCTCGGCCAATGGAACGCTGCCCCCGCACCCCCTCGCCTCAGCAAAGCGTCGCCGCGAAGTACCAAAGACGTCCCACAGTTGCCAATGGATACCCAAGAGTGTGTGAGCGTGCCTATGCCAATGGAATGTCGGGTATGTCTTTTGTGACAGCCACCGGTCGACAACTCAGTGACCTGTTTCTAGGTGACGCCAATGTTGAGGAGAACGCGGAGGGGACGCAGAGCGAGAAGAAATCAGAAGGGGACGGTCAAGGGTCGTCAGAGGAGGATGAAGCCGTTTCTGAAATGTAGTATTCAGGGCTCAGGCTGAAGGCCGACAGAGCTATTCAATGACTTGTGTCTCTCACGACGTATGTCAATTTTGGTACCCGCAATTGATGTCTGTTTTCCATAGTGCAGTGAAGTATACAATGACTGAAAGCGCACCCTACGACTCCGAGGGGGCAGAGGTATCAGACGGTACCTCCACTGCCTTGCCTTTTCCGTTGGGGAACGGTGGGGACATAGGTAAAGGCTGCGGCGACGGTATGCTAGAGCCAGCCATAGTTGTCGAGGGCGAAGTGGCTGCGAGCTGCCATGCGGGTATGGCGGGCTTACTGGGGACTATCGGTGTGGAGAAGCCGCTCGGAGAGGATGGTCCGCGACTTAATAATAGCGCTTTCATGGACTTGAGCTCTTGCTGTAATTCTGCCAATGTCTGTTGCTGACTCTCCTTGTTCTTATCCAGCATCTACGGTCCACGGACGCAATGAGCAATACGACGCGTCTCGCTAAGTGCCCGTCTTACCTTCGGTAACATCTCGCGAACGTTGTTGACTTCATCCCGGATCTCGCGCATCTCGTCCCTCGCCCTAGACTCACCTTCCCTCATCTCTTTCACCACCTCTTCCACATCCTGCGTTGCCTTCTCGACCTTCTCGTTCTGCTGCTCGACTGCGAGTCGGACAGCAGCGGACTCAGCTTGAATCTCTTTGAGCAGAGCCTCCGCCGAATCGAACTGTGATGTCAACGCATCTCTGTCGGCCTCATACGCAGTTGTCGACGGTGGTTGCAGATGCGGGAGGACGAATTTCTGTCCAAAAGTTTGAGTGCAGGGCGGATGCCGTAGCAGCATGACATACTCTGAATAGTGACGCTGCGACATAAGCGACGCCTCCAGAGACGACAGCGGTGATCTGTAACATGTCAGAACTAGCCCAACAACGCTCTCAAGGATGCTCACGAAGTAATCTCTCCAGTCCCAAGGTTGCATGGGAGGTTGGGCAGCGAAAGGCGAGGGCCCGTAGACCGGAGCATAAGCTGGCGCATATGGGACAGAAGACGGTCCTAGAGCCATCTGTCCTCTCTGCAGCGCGGCTTGTTTCATGGCTTCGTCGATCTCCGGGCTAGTCAGACCCTTGGCCTCCAGGAACTGGACTCGCTGAGCGAGCGACGATGCTTGGGTCTTCGCGTCACATTAATGAGATGTTTGCCACGCAAGTCGAAACGGACACGCCTTTGGATCAGCGAGAAAGACGACTGCATTGCGGACGAGCTCTTGACGGTCTGGGGTCGCCATCCTGCAGTGCGGGGCATGAACGAGGGGAACAGGCGCCTGCACGGCTGAGCCGGGATGGGAGCGTTAGACGCCGGTGCCCGCGTACATTTTCGAGCCGGTCGCCGCCAACGCACTTCAGTCCAGCTTCAGTCTCCCGTCCACCGTCCACCGTCCACCGCCATGTTCAGACCCCAGCTGGCTGCATCGAGGGCCGCCTCCCGCCGCATCGCCGGCCACCGTGGTCAGTCTACATAAACTCTCAGCTCTGCATACACGTCACTGACGTCTGCTCATGTACAGCGGTATCGTCGTCCTTTTCCACATGCAGTCGCTCTCTGCTCAGGAACCCTACCCGGGTCGCACCTCCGACGTTCTCGCACCTAAAGTGCTCCAGCTGGGGTAAGTCTGTCGCAATGTCTGCTCTGGTCCATATGTGACCGTGTCGTATCAAAGTCGGTCGCAGGGGATACGCAGATGGTCCCAGCGCAAAGTACTCACGCACAAAACCTCACTTGAACATCGGTACCATTGGTAAGTTCGTCCACAATGCTTCTCTCCAGCTTCAATGTATCAATGCGTCGAAATTAGGACACGTCGATCATGGCAAGACCACCTTGACGGCAGCTATCACCAAGGTTCTTGCTGAGCGCGGTGGTGCGAAGTTCACCGACTACGCCGAGATCGACAAGGCGCCCGAAGAAAGGGCCCGTGGTATCACCATCAACTCAGCACACGTTGAGTACGAGAGTGACAGCCGGCACTATGGACACATCGACTGCCCTGGGCACGCTGATTGTAGGCGACTTGTGTGTAGATCCTTACCACATTGACATCGTCTTCTAGACATCAAGAACATGATTACTGGCGCTGCCCAGATGGATGGCGCCATCATTGTCGTCTCAGCTACTGACGGTCAGATGCCTCAGACCCGAGAGCACTTGCTTCTTGCTCGTCAAGTGGGCGTCAAGAAGCTGGTCGTCTTCATCAACAAGGTTGATCAAATCCAGGACAAGGAGATGCTCGAGCTCGTGGACATGGAGATGCGGGACCTTCTGTCGACCTACAACTTCGATGGAGAAAACACTCCTATCATCATGGGCTCTGCCCTTGCGGCGTTGCAGGGACAAACACCTGAGATTGGTGCGGAGAAGATCGTTGAGCTGGTCAAGGCTTGTGACGAATGGCTTGAGATCCCTCCTCGTACGCTCTTTCGTATTCGCTTGCTAATCGTATGACATTCAACTTATTCGACCAGGTGACCTCGAGAAGCCGTTCCTCATGCCCGTCGAAGGTGCGTCAGTCCTGTCTTCGAAGTCACTGGGTTATGAACTGTTGCTTCAGAGGTCTTCTCGATTTCTGGGCGTGGTACTGTTGCGGCCGGTCGGGTGCGGGAATCGTTTGCAATCACTGCTTGGCCTCGTACTCATTGAATAACCAGGCAGAGCGGGGCATTTGCAACAAAGGTGATGAAGTGGAAATTGTCGGTTTCGGTGACAGGATCAAGACTACGTTGACCGGCATTGGTAAGTTGTAGACCGATTTTGTATCACGGTCACTGAAAACCTGCTTAGAGATGTTCAAGAAGGAGCTTGACCGGGTAAGTCAACTCCGCCAATCTGGTCCTCAGGTAGCTTACTTCGTATCAGGGCGAAGCTGGTGATAACATGGGCGTCCTGCTCCGTGGCATCAAGCGTGAGCAGGTCACTCGTGGGCATGTCATCGCAGCCCCCGGCAGCATCCAGTCGGTAAAGAAGTTCCAGGCTCAGATCTACGTGCGTCTCCCAATCTTGTCAACTACTGCCACTTACTAGACTGATTGGAGTTCAGGTCTTGACCAAGGATGAAGGTAAGCGCGATTGACTCGGATCCATGAATTCTTATGGATACAGCTGATGCCCCACTTTGCAGGTGGTCGCTATACGCCCTTCATGGAGTCATACCGGCCACAACTTTTCCTTCGTACTGCTGACGTTACGTGCTCGCTGAGGTGGCCAGAGGGCACCACTGATGCACAGGAGAAAATGGTAAGAGATACGATAGCAGCACGAGTCGCTATTATTCAGCTTTATGTTATTAGGTTATGCCTGGCGACAACGTCGAGATGGTATGCAATCTCATCTATGATATTGCGGCGGACATTGGTACTCGGTAAGTGCAATGCCACACTCACGTAAAACCCAGCTCACTCGGCCGACATTCAGCTTCACGCTTCGTGAGGGTGGCAAGACAGGTACGTTTGATTTCGCAACGGGTAGGATGAACGTACTAATATTTTTCACAGTCGGCACTGGCATCGTCACTAAGATCATCGCGTAGTGGGCTGGGAGGAATATATTTACGTACTGCTACATGTTTTATAATGCTCATCTCTGCCATCCCCACTCGTAAAAGTAGATCTTGGTTGACCACACCTCGCTTTCGTCGTATTGCATGCATACATTTCCCAGCTAGTTTCTTGTCTGTTCTCCACCTCGCTATAGGTGGCGACACGGTTCGATAATACAAACCGTGGAAACTCACTGAAGAAGTCCACGTCGGCTTTAGTGAGCGGTGAGATTTGTTGACGTACTAAATGAGGCAGGGCGGCGGATGTCCGTCGGCTCCCTCGCGAGCTGAGATCTAAGAACTTATTCTCAACGGCCGTGGTCGTAGGTCCTCATATTCAGCTTGTGGTATACGTCCTTCTACGGCCTGTCAACGAAGATGCTCCCTCCTCTCCGGCAAATAGCTCGTCCTGCGGCATTTGCGCTTCGCGCGACCCGTCGGCCAACAGCATATGGAGGCGCTAGACTCGCCCCGTTCGCTCGGACGATTGTCAGTGAGTATCATGACAGTTGACCTCACGGATGCAGAACATGACGGAGGAGACGTTTGCCAGCGAAAAGGTATACACAGGACCATGAGGCGGTGGTGTTTGACGACAGCACGATGAAGGGCACGGTGCACCTCACCAACTATGCCCAGTCGAGCTTGGGAGACGTCGTCTTCGTCGAGTTGCCCACGGAAGGGACAGAGGTCGCCCAGGGTGGTACGTATCATACACACTTGTAACTCTATTGCTTAACAAACGAGCTTCATCAGACCAGATTGGTGCAGTGGAGAGCGTGAAGGCTGCTTCGGACATCGTTGAGTGTTTTCACCGTGTTGCGCGCGTCTTTCACTCATGCAATATCGCCTTGCTATCCCAGTACGCTCCCGTATCAGGAGTGGTGGAGGAGGTCAACTCGAAGCTGGCTGATCAACCGGCCTGTTGAACAAGTCACCTGAGGACCAGGGTTGGCTATGCCGGATCAAAGTCAAGGATGCTGCTGAGGTCTGCATTCTCTCTGACCTCAGCATACATATGTTCACACAAAGCTATGACAGGTCGAAAAGCTGATGGATGAGGAGGCGTACAAGGCACACTGCGAGTCATGAGCACACAACTTGCTATCATGACATCGTACACTCGGCATCAACTGCCGTAGACTTTGCTGCCGAGGCGCTGGCTTGCTGTTCTCAATGCAGCGTAGAGCATTATGTATATCACACAATAATATGGGATGCTGAGTCTAGCGTGCAAAGGATATGATTGAGGTGCGGAGCGGAAGTGGTGGACGTTCAGTGTGTATCAGGGATAGTCAGTCTTCTCTCCCCGTGCTTCCATCCGGTTCTTCGCCTCGTTGTACGCCCATGTTTGCAAGCTATGTTCTCAATGAGCGAACCAAGATGGCACACCGTTGACGATTGTACACACCTCGTGTCAGGTTTGTAGTAAAGCAGAACGCCCGCCACCAGCATCGACCCTACATCCCCACATACCAATGTTTCCCATGCCTCTTTCTTACGCTTTTCGCCCGGCGGTGGTGGCTACCGTGCAAAAGCACGAAATGGAAATGGTACCAAAGTGTACGGTCAGCTTGTACGAGACCGACATCCTACAGGCCTGCGTACCTTCTCACTGAACAGGTAGCCAGACGGCTCATTGTACTTCGGCCCACTGCCGTGAGATGCATATCGTTTGCATGCCGGAAGGCGCGATGCGTGCGCGTGCGCCGTCCGCGCAAACGCCGTCGACAACATGGGGAGTGGTTGAGGTTGGTTGAACACCGCTGCAGTTGCATTGGCCGAGCCGGTTGCCACCGCAAGCCCTGGATTAGGGTCAGCTCAAGCGCTCATATGTCGGACTCTGAGCGCAATGAACTCGTTATGCGACGCTGACCTGAGCATTGATATATAATTACCATGAAACACATTCATAGGGATTTAGTTGCCGCAGTATCTAGCGATGTGTATACTTACCCGGACCGTCATCGTGGAGAGATTGACATGATTCGTAGTCGTACTCTTCCGCCGCACTTCCTCCCCACTCCATTGCGAGTCTTCCTCATCGGAATCAGGGTATTCCGGGGAAGTTGGGTCTATTTCAAACCTGTATAAGAGAATGAGAAATAGTGAAGGAATATCACATGGTCGATACGCACCCTACGGTCCTGTATAAGTTACGCGCTGCCTGTTTGCTGCATGCGTGTGTGAGCCTACACCCAAGAGGACCGACTAGACCATACATTTGAACACAGTCAGCATGACTTCTGCATTTTCCATCGTTTGCCGATAGAAACCAGCTGTCCATTAGACATTGCCTAGGCCAGAACGCCTGGACTCTTGATGCACTTGAACTCGTAACTGCAGTAACAGGTGAGTTATACTGGAGCTGTGTTTTCGAGATGAGGACCAACCAGTAGACAACATCTTGCTTCTCTTCTACCTCAAACCGGAACATTGAATAGCGATTATGGCAGACCCGGCACTCGCAGGCGCGGATGAGCTTGTCACCTCAGTAGATTTCGCACCAGAATGAATCTTGACAAGTCGTGAAATAATTCCGCCCGCTTTTCATCCGGTTTCCAGCCAAAAGAGGATCGTGTGTATCTGCATACAAGTCAGAGGACTTGAAACATCCAAGCGATATAACATGCAGCTCACGCGTCTTTCATATTATTCTCAAGGATGGACCACATTTCATTTCGAGTCTGCAAACTGAGTTCTGACGCTACATGCACTTCGAAAGACAGGTTTCTGTGTGTCGTTAGGTGAACTGCCAGTGAGGAGTGGAGTGGACAGTCACTCACGCGTGCTGGTCAGTCAATACGGTTCTGTCTAGAGAGGCCTCCAGATCAATAGATGAGGCCTACTACCATGATTGTTAAAGAGGCACCTGAAGTAAGATGTATTGAACGCGGCGCACCTGGTTTGCCTTCTGGACCTTGGTCCGGGCACGGGTCGACTTCCTTCTCGCGGGTGCCATCGTGCCTTTGAAGCTCAGTAATTAGCGTTGTTCGAGCCTACATAGATGCGCAAGGAACCAGTACATACCTTCGCGTTCAGGGCCACTGGAGGGTCGGAGTTGAGTTCCACTATCCACAGCGGTAATCCGTTGACAGCCCAGCCACCAAGATCCGATCGCTACTGAACGCCTGGCAGTTCGGGCGCTTGTTGGACTTCGGGAGAGTTACGTAAGATCTACTCATTCAAGGTCATCATCCAGGCTATATACACGGCATCAGCAGTGCTTCAATTTACAAGCTCAGTATTCATAGTCAAATTCCTACTCAATATTGCACAAGGGCTGTTTCGCCAAAAGCAACGCAATATTAACTTCGGCGGATATGATGACATAGCCTAACGCATGATATAGTACTGTATCATATAGGCAATAGTGATCAATGATCGCCACCTGCTTTTCCCTCGGGTCGTCTCGTCTTGAACAAACCTCTTTCCCGCGCTGTCTGTACGATCTGTTTTGCGTGATGCCCGAACTCTGCCAGATTGGCAATGTCTTCGGACGTCCTCGACCTCCCTGCATCCCATCGATGAGAGCACATTGACCATAAATATGCGACGTACCTATAATTGCCCAGTTTCGCGTGCTCGGTATCCTCAGTGTCTCGCTTTCTATCTTCCAACCCAGATGCAAACTCAACGACGCCAACCAGATTCGATAAGATGAGTATGAGCTGGTGTTGCTTCCTTCACCGCCGAGGTTGAGACTCTCCACGAACCCGTCTGGAAGGGGTAGGCAGGGGTGCTAGAGCGCTCGTAGCGCATGTCGAATGCCCAGGAACAACAAGGGATAGACAGGTATCCTGACGCGGAACAGAGTGTCGCCACTACTGGGACCCAAGGCGTGAGTTCATCGGCGTGGTTGCCTATGATGAAGATCCCAGGACGGAAGTACGGATGGGAAGAAAGATGTACTGGGTTGTCCATCTCGGTGGGATCCAAGGCTTCCACCCGAAGCTGCGCTTGAGTAGTCGCAGGGTAGTGCGACCAGGAGGTGCGTGCACGTAGGTCGACACCGATGCCCTGATACCCTTCGGCGGTCAAAATGTGGGTGAGCAGGCCATTTCCGCATCTGAAGTCGTCGGATGAGTGGGAGACTTTCAGGGATGCGGCGCACGCTACCCTAAGTCGAGAAACCCGGCAGGTGGACGAGGCCAGCTCTTCCAGGGTTCGGCTGCATCCGGTTCCAACGGGGATTCGGATACAGGGCTTGAATACATCTCTTTCCATAGAAGCATCAAGAAGGTCGCAATGCCGATGTCCTGCCCTCAAAGTAAGCGTGAAAGCCTCGAGGATTGCCAAACACGCATACCTCGAAGACGTGCTTGAGCGGGTCCGTGCTTTCTTGCCAAGTATTGACCAAGTGCTTGTGTCGCTCCCGCATAACAAGATACAGATCCTGATACGGCTCCCGGGGAACGATACAGTCATGCAGCACACGCTTCTTGTAGTTCGTCATAGCGCCCCATCCATAGCGATGTAATGTCTCTAGGAGTGCCAGACACGTCCGGTATAGCCTGGAATTAATGTCTGTCGGAGTGCCAGGGATAGAAGCTGTTTCGATGCGCAGAACTGGAGGATCTTGTGCGATATAGCGGAATGCGAGATGTGAGACGGCAGGATGATAGTACGGCAGGGCTCTCCAGATGCAACGATAGGTGTGAGGACAAGGGTCGTCGCAATGCTGCTGGCCGCGTCCCCTCCACAATCGGACGCATGGAGCGTACAGTGCTGTTCCAGACCCGCGTCGCGCCCCGGACGTCGAGGGAGCAGTCTCCTATGAGTGTTCCTCAGTATCCGGAAACCTCTAAGCACAGGAATTGCTGGACTAAAGTCAGAAGTCGTTTCTGATACCGTCTCGGATCGAAGGATCAGAGTCGAGTTGTATTCTGGGTGATGAATGAGCTGTGACACGGCTGTCTCGAACTAGATCGGTCACTAAGAACAGCAGATCCATCCAGCGATGGGTTTGTCACTCACCAACTCGGGAGGGAAATCGGCAGGGCACCAAATGAGCGGAATCCATTTGTTATCGTCATTGGCAGATGCCAGCGGATCCGGGTCAGGGCGTGCATCGGCTCGTCCCACTTCGCAAGGGAGTGGTGCAAATCGCGGACGTAGCGTCTGCGCCATTCCACCTGGGCAGCGGTATTAGCACTAGTACTCGTAGGCAAACCTTTACAAGGTCATGGCTCGGCGTGCTGTGCACGTGGACAGATTACGGGCCTATAATCATCAGGAGTGGGAAGTGCGGCCATCAGATGAAGAACGTTACTCACGATGATGGTCGTAGAAGAGCAATAGTGACAGTATTTGTTTGGCCGTATAGGTCCTTCCGTAGTAGGCGCTCGGGCACCATTCATCGGCGTCACCAGTTGATCACAGCTATTGACTTAGGAGCGAATCAAGCGTGACCGTATACAAATTCATTTCAGAGCAACCTGAGACACCAATAGCAGCGTCGTACTAGAAAGAGCAGTTACAGGATCAAAAGTAACAATTCATCGATCACTTGATAGCAGACAGGACGGAAGGTGGTGATACAATGTCGCAATGTCTTTCAGTCTGCGGGGTATCGTACAACATGCTCATCGCAAACCGCGGCAGTTCACTCAACAATCTCTTGGTACGGTGGGAGATCTTCATCACCATCTTGTTCATCTGGCTGGCGCTGCGTCGATCCGCCACCACCCGAAGCGAGGACTCGTTCCCTCTCCTCGCGTTCAAGACGTTTCTTCTCGTCATCAGCAGACTCCCACTTCTGCGGCTTCTCATCCGCCGGAGGAGGCAAAGTCGATCCGCCACTCGGAACCGCATCAGTGCCGTACGGGCCCTTCGTATCCTGGCCATAAAGCGGGCTCTTCGCCGTGGCAGAAGGCGGCGATGGCTGCTTCAGGTCGCGAATGTTACCACTTGCAGGGCCGGGGTCGGACGACTTCGGAACACCCGTCTCAGCGACAGTTGGCGAGGATGAGGGGACCTTCAGCGAAGGGTCAGCCGGGTTGGGCGCAACGACAGCAGACGTTGCCCCTGTAGCGGACAGAGAAGGGATCGGAGCTGGTGCCTGGTTCAGCGACGCCGGGTTCAGCGGCGGGGACTGAGTACCTAGAGGGGGTGATGAAGCCTTCGTCGTGGGCGATATCCGCGTATTCACACCCGGAGGAGACGCACGCGGTGGATTGGTGGGAGGCAATGCCGCGTAAGAGACAGGCGAATTCGCAGCATTCGAAGGCGTAGCTGGGGGTGCATGGCCTACTGCTGTTGGCGGTGGCGTCACAGGAATGGATGGTGCAGATGAGGTGCCGGTCGTGTTGATCTTGGCAAGCTCGTGCGCATGGGTTTGACCAAAGCTACGGGTATCCGACCTGCTAAGATCGGCGGGGGATGTAGAGAGAGGCAGTGTTATATCGCCTGGCTTGTAGTTGTCAAGAGCATATTGCAGGGTAGCCCTCACGGAGGTTGTCGCTTCGGCACCGTGATATTGTTTGTCCGCTGGAGGTACTGAAGGCAATGCCTGCAGAACTGCAGTCGCTGCCTGTGACAGCAGCATCAACTTTTCTGCGTACTGATCACGGCTGTCAGATTACGAAGTAAGTGTGGGCAGTGGCGAGCCACAAACCTCGCGTGTAGCTTCCCACTTCGCCCGCTCGCTGTCCCTAATTGCCTTCCTCTTCAACAGTTCATACTCTAGCTCGAGTGGCTGGTCCTCAGCCTCAGCCACCGCGAGTTGCTGCTTGAGTTCCGCGATCTTCTGCTCGTAACCACGAGACTGGTCGTGCTCGAGCCTCGCGATTTGGTTCTGCAACCCGGCGCGGATGGTCCGGCGACCATTGAGCGTGTTCTCCGAATCACGCAGGACCTTGAACGTTGCACGAGATGCGTTGATCTTTCCTGCGAGTGTACGTGCTAGCGCACCCTCGATGAAGTTGATCCATCCCAGCCGATCGGTGACTGAGGGGTCTGTTAGCTACTGCCCGGGCACGACAACGCAGACACGTACCATCTTTGATGTCAGGCTCCTCAGATTGACCCCACATGTACAGCTCTTTGCTGTGGGCTTGCGTATCCCCTGCGATGCCATCGTAATCGAGAGCGATCCCTTTCTGTGTCGTGATGATTCTCTGAATAGGCGTCACGGAGCTCCTGTACGAGCATTGGGATCACTTCAATGAGATCAGCGACAGGAGAGACTTGAATCCACGTACGAGTACTGCTGCTGGAAACTGCGCAACTGGTGGTGGATGGATTCGAATGCATGCGACTTGAGGATTCCGCCACCCTGGCCACTTGCCGCATCGGCGGGGCCTGTCAGCCCGGCCTGAGCACTGCTAAATGCGCTTTGGGCCTTGCCTTTGAGGGAAGAGAGGAATTCAGACATGGTGGTAGAGTGCAGAGGGGTGCTGAGCGCGACATCGCGATATGTATAGCGCGCAATCAAGCTGTGACACTGGCAGCGACGACGTCATAACACTGGCGGCAGTGCCTTCAGCCTGCGCGGCTACTGGGCCGCAGTCGCCCCGCAAGCATATGAGGGGATGGAAGCACGCTGTTTTGTAGACCGCAGTATTATTGCGAAACTAATGGAGCCGCACCAGGTAAATAGAGTGTCATATATGATCACGGCGCAGACACAGCACGCCCACAACACATGGTCCGCACAAGATACTACACAACAATAGGCTTCTTCGACTGCTTCCCCTTCTTCTCCGAATCCTTGTGCGACAGAAACTCTACCTCTGTCGCGAGTGGACCAGACAGCTTCTGCGACTCTGGGAATCCCAGCACGGCGATCTTGAAGTGCTTTCCAATCGCCTCGACCCGCTTCCGCAACTCATCGTCGTCCGGCCCAGGTGCACTTCGCGTCCAAATGGATATTCGGTAGAACTGGGGACGAGTGGACACGATCACGCCCGTAATCAGGGACTGCGGCACCGACTCCTCGGACTCGGCCTCAGTCAGAGCAGGGTCAAAAGTCTCTCCAATAGCAGCCAACATCTGCATGACACCACAAACAGGTCAGCGAGGTATACACGAGGAGTAATACGAAGGTGCGCACGGTGTTGAGCCACATATCGTCGATCTTATGCCTGTTCTTGTCCTTGGGGAGCTGGATGCTCCACTTGCCTCCGTTTTTGTTGGCATCGTCCTCCCATGCAGGGATGATGCCGTCCTGCATCACACGAAGTCATCAAACCGGGCAAAGGTGAAAATGCAAGTTCAATACACACCTTGAAGAGATAGTAGTTTGCCTTCGGCGGCAGCTCGGACGGCTTAATGATGTTGTTATACAGGCTGGTTCTACATCAGGATGTGCAGATCATGAAGCAATAGAGACACGCACCCCCAGAACTCCTCCACACTCTCAAAGCCAATCACCCGCTTGATATCTTCCATCCATCCCGCTGCTGCAACACTTGGAGTTCCCGGCATTGGAGTCTGCGGGAATGACGACATCGGTGTCTGGGGCAGGTTGCGGCCCTTCGTCGCCGGCGAGTCAAACCACAGGGCCCATGGGGCGTACAGAGGGTGCTGTAAACCGTGTTAACGCGTCATACAATGCGCATGCGGAGTCCCGACAACACGACATCACGGATCGCCTATCTGGGGACACTTACCTTCACATTGAAGTTGGTTGGGTCGTTGAACACGGTGCGGATGCTCTCCGCATGGGCCTGCATGTCCACCTCCACCTCCTGGATCTCGCCCGGCTCGATCTCTCCGTTCGTTCCATTCGGCTTGTTCTCCGCGATGGAGTCGGCGACAGCAGCCTGGGAAGCCTCAAGGGAAGACATGCTCGTGCAAAAATCGCCGTTCGCGCACGGGTCTCAAATGCAGCGAGAAGACGGCGGTGGATCTTGGCGCGGCGGGTCTGCGACCGACAGGCGTCCGGGGATGATGAGACGAGAGATTCGCGAGCGTAGTAAGGGTATACCCAACGAGCGTAATGCCGACTAGCAGTGCTTGTAAGAGATGAAGAGAAACTGAGGGCGGGTCGCGAGAGAAAGGTGTGGTCGTCGTTTGTAATGAGCAGTAATAATCCTGCGATTCGATAGTCTGACCGAGTCGTTCCTGATTCGGCATCTTTTCTCATGATCGAGCCGCTACGGATCACACGTGACGCTAACATTTGTCACAGTTCGAGTCGTCGACAACCGTGACCGCGAGGAAATGAACTTGATTTTGACTGCGAATTCCGTTCATATTACTACGCAATTGCCGCTGTGGATGTCTCCGTTGTCAAAGCTCGTCTCTAGTGTACTGTCAATGGCGGAAGGTTGGAAAACATACATGCGCGCGCTGAGCAATCTTCCACGTACATAGGCGGGGCACTGCAGAACACAACCATCGATGGTTGTCACTGGCGGTGGTCAAAAATGCAATGCATCCGTGCACGTACGCGTCAAGTAGCCAGGAGACCGCAATCATCCCGTCTGTCAACGTCTGCCCACGGTGAGTACACAAAGTTACCTTGGCATCTCCGCGACGCAGTATCTTCACTAACATTTCCTACGAGACTGAAATGCCTCAACGATCTCGAGCTCAATCGGCCTGACTGACAGACTTTAAACGCAATTCCGTTTAGGTGTGCCGTCTCTCGGTCCTGGTCAAGACTGGCATGGACAGATACGTGCTGCAACGCTGACTGACCACCGTGCTGTCGGTAACCGAGCGGAATGTCGGTAGAGACCTGTACCATGACATCGCCTGGGAACACGGATACTGCTCGGCCTCTGCTCCGTGTGGCTGCCACTGCACGAATGGCCCATCCCACCAGTCCGAGATCCTGTCTGCGCACTTTTCGGCCTCGAACTCTCCGTGCCGCATTGACCTCGGCGCACCTCAGCAGTGCGACGTTTTCGGACGACCCCTCCCTACGCGGTTCACGTTCTACGTATCGGTGCTAGCACCACACGTAACCTGCCTCGCGACTGCGCGTCGTACGTGCGCCCTACACGCGCACAGCGCACCTAGGCCCACGCACCGGCGGCAGTAAATTCGCGTCCCGCACAAGGTCCTCCTCCGCATCCGCCAGCGCCGCTCCGCGAGCTTATTCCTGCACGATCGAACATCACACGGACCTGACTAGTACCGCCGCTCGCGCAACTGTATTGAGGCAGCGACCGAGAACCCGCACCATTCATCTCCGCGGCTTCCCCTCCGCAATCTGAACGGTTGTGGAGCTCGGTGCTTGTGGTATTGGTGCAGATGATTTGCTACCGCCTCAGGCTGTGGCTTGTAGCGAAGTGTAAGTATAGATGCGCTCGCGCTCGGGACGTGCCGAGCGCGTCCCAGCACATTGTCAGTATAGGTCGGTCGAAGCATACTAATCGCTTGGGCAGGATGACGGCAACACTTCACGTATTAAGCACCTACCCGTGTCCCTGAAAATCCACCCTGGTAAGTACCCTTTTTCCCAATTCCGGACTTACCGACTCGGACGGGCCCTGCCGTAGTACAGTTCACACCTCTTGTGCGTCAATCCGACTCCGACTCAATCCACTCAGGCGACACTGCGACAGCACTTTGAAATGCGCAGCGATCATTACCTCTTAGCGAGTCCACTCCTCCTTGACAGTCCTGTCATATCCTGTTAACTGCTGACCAGATCATAATGTAATATAATACACTAGACACAGGCACGAAAAGCGTTCACGCGGCCCAAGGTCAAGAATACAATGCTGTACAATACAATTACAGACGGAGCCATGTCTGCGCCGCCGCGATTCCCCGCCAAAATCATATACCACTGGAGACGTAAGGAGGAAACATGAAAACCGACGCAAACCCTGACGATATGAACGACCCTGCACATATCTTTCTGAACTCCTCCGCTGAGGGATCCGCGCTGCGGACGCGTTCAGAAGAACCACCTTTTGTCGACTAGCCGCTAGTCCAGAGAATGCCGGCGCAGCCCGATAGGCGTGTGGTGCATTTGCGTATGTGGGTACGCTGGTGGCACAGTCGCAGGGGTGAACAGTTGGCTACGGAGACCATGCATCTGCGTATCGCTCAGTCTGTGTTCGGAAGCCATGCAGGGGAAGCAAGCTCACGGCGCGTTCCAGCTCGAGACGCTTCATGCGCAACTCGGCCATATCGCGATGCAAACCGGCCACCATACTCTGGGGACCATGGTATGAGCATCAGTCAGCGTTCTGCGCTATAGATACGCCACTAACCTTTGCGGTTTTAGTGTTCAATCCGCGGAAGCACTCGAGCTTCTCGAATGGAACCGGGAACAGCGCGTAGTTGAGCAGCTGGGTGTGAAGACGGTCGATATGCGCTTCGAGGCTAGCGGTATAAATGGTACGTCGGTGGGGAGCCCCCATCGTAGAACTGTCGCCGATCGTCAGCGGTTAAGGTTGGGACGGGATATGCTCGGGGCGACATACATCTCCTGCGGCGTGAAGACCGACTTTTCGAGGGCGTGGTTCCACATCTTGCGCCGCTTCGCACCTTCCTTGCGCGTGTATAAACGCGCGTAGGGGTGAGCCGGATCGAACGGCACGCCTTGGTCAAGTGGCGAATCAGGAGCTGTCGAAGTGGCCTTGCTACGCGTCCTGGACGGACCCGCTCGGTGGCGAGTCGGGGGATGCCTTCCTCGGAGTACTGCATCGTCGTTTCAACATCGGACGACGCAGCAGATCCGGAGGGCTCGGACGTGAGGGAAGGCATGGGCAGCAGCGTCGGGATGACGGGGATCGTGTGGACATGCGGCTGGACAGGCGACCGTAGCCAGGATCAGGGTGGAACTCGCTGTCCGTGGGAGAAGAGTAGTTGGAAGAAGCACCGGTCGAAGATGACGGATACTGCTGTGCAGCCAGTTTCAGATCGAGCGGCGCAGGCACGCAGTAGTCCTGCTCGAGCGGAGAGTCGGGAGGGGTCGAGGCGCTCTCGGAGGCGCTCCTGCCGGGATACTGCAACTCGAGCGGGAATGGGTGCACAGCCTCTGGCGAGGGCGGGCGGGACGTGGTGGGGGACATGGCGGGCGAGAAGAGCGGCGGCGGGTGCAGAGGGGTGCGGGGATGCGGGGCAGCTCGCGACGATCCTGTTCCCAGATGCGCAGGACGGTACTTTAAGGGCGCGAGAGAAGGGGGCACGCGCATTGCCAGGGATGGAAGACGGGGGTGCGCGAGCCAGTCCGCCGGGTCTGGATCAGCACCGAAATCGCCGTTGGAAGGGAGTGATGGGACGACGAGTGTGCGGGCCATCTCTGGCGAGCGAGGACGTAAGTGGCAAACACTGTCCATCCGTTTAGCCTTGCGCTCGCCATCCCCTCGATTGGGCCCCTGCTGTCTTCACGCGCGGACGTTTTCCCGTGCGCCCGTCGGCTGCGCAGGGAAGGCTGGTGACGTACATCGCCGCCCGGCGTGCCGCCGACACCCGTGTGCCAGTGTCGCCGACGCGCATGGGCCGTGCGTGCGCCCGCCGAACAAGGTTGTGGGACCATGTTGGCACCGCGTCGGCGGACAGCCACCGTTCGCGTGCAGCAGGCAGCCTGCCGTGTGCGCGAGATCCCAATCTGGCCCCGGCGCGAGCCACCGCCCCTTCACGCTGGTGCGCCCCGCTGCCGCGGCTGCTCCCTCGGCACGTCGCTCCTGGGGCGGTTCCGAGCCACTGGACCCGCCAGCGACACGCAGACGGGGCCCAGACCCCGCCGTTCTGGCGCTGTCAGCTGCCTTTTCGGGCGACTGACACCAGGATCATCGCGCCTGCGCCGTGCTCGCGCGCTGCGTTCGGACTCTGGCCGGCCACGGGATGCCCTCACGTGCCGCGTGCGCGCGGACGCCAGGGTCCGTGCAGCGGTCGGGCGACTTCCTCGCTCCTCCTGGCCCGTCTTCCCGTCTCTGTGGCGCACGCCAACCGTATGACCCCACGCCTCCCTCCAATCGCCTCCCGTTCCTGATCACTCTCCCCGCGGCATCCCCCGCGCGACCCGCGCGTAGGGTCTCCGTAGTCTCCGGAAGAGTAATGGGCCCTGCTCACTGCCCTCAAACCCCGCGTCCGCGCCTGATACAAAGCCTGTTTGTGATCCAGCGGCACGTGCCGGGGGAGACCTGCGACGGGAGCGGGCGAGAGTGCCGTACGTGGTGTCGAACTGGAGCGCGCACCCCGAGGACAGTGACGGAGGCAGATTCTGGCGGAAAGCCCGAGAAGCCCGAGGGGACGGTACGCTGGTGCATTTGGACATAATTATTGGCCGCATGGAGCCCCATCGGCGAGCGAACCGCAAAGTGTGCCACATCTTCGATGCTGGGATCTGCTCTCCTCCCCACTTCTCTCCCCCTGCCTATTTGGGCCGCCCCTCCTGCTCGGTGCGTGCGCGTGCGATCGCATCTGGACGTGTCGTCCTGCACTCCTGCCGTCGCTCTCCGCGACGTATCTCCGCCGCATCAAATTGGCACCCTAGTCTTCTCCCGCAGCCACAGTATCCTTATAAGCCTCCTCCACCGCGACCATGTTTGCAATAATCACCCCAATGGACGCCTACGCCTTTTCGCCAGACCGTGCGTACGCTACACCGCACCATGGCCCTGCGGTGGTAAGTGGCGCCCTCCTCGCACTTGTCATCTTCTAGACGCGTTATCATTTCCAGGGCGGACACTTCGCCGCTGACCACACCGATGCACCGTTCGACGGCGGCTACGGGTTGCACTACAATTACGTCGCGCATCCCGTATACGCCCAGCATCCATACGCCCAGCCGATGTATATTCAGCCGCAGCCCGTCGCAAATTACTCCTTCCCGTGCGCTCCCGCCTCTGCGCCATCCGCGTCCGACACCGTCTACCACCACACTGTTCCCCTCACGCACCTGTACCCGTCTCCCCCTTCAGCACTCTCATCTCTCCAATCTCCCCAATTTCGCACGCCGCTAGTGACAGCGCCCCAGCCCCGCCGCTCCCAGAGTCCGAGACGGGATCGCCAACCTCCTCGCGGCCGGATGTTCCGTCGGGTCCCGCTCCTGACAGCCCTAGTACGGCGGCGCCGGCGCCGGTGACCGCAGAGCAGAGTCCGCTCGAGTACTACGGCAACGCGACGCAGGTCATGTTCCCTACTCCCAGCGAGCTCCTCTCGGAGCTCAGCGCGCGCGACGTCGCCGGAACAGCTGGGGAATCCAGTCGGAAGACGTCGGTCTCGGGCCCCTCGTCGCCATCGGAGGCCAAGATGCCCTCAGTTCCCGTGAAACCGAGAAAAGGCAAGAATGACGGTGACGCTGCCGTCCCTCAGTCGAAGCCTCCGCCAGAGACGCTGCGCAAGGCATACTTCCGCCGCGTCGCCGAGGCTGTCGGCTTCCCTCCCACGGATCCGTATGTCCTGCCTAATCAGAGAAGTAATGTGGATTGACACAGGCTTTGACAGGGACACGATCACGTCCCATGACAAGAAAAGGAGCTACCTCGAGTGTCTCGAGCAATATGCCCAGTGGCTGCACGAGCAGATACGCCTCGTTGGACACGAGCCATTACCTCTCGAACGTGTTCAGCAATATAGAGGTCCTAGCAGCCGTTCTATCCGGGTATGTTTATCTCACTATACCTGATCCACCCCTCTGACCTGTGTGCAGACGCTGCTCGTACACATGCAAGACGAGGTCCGCGAATTGCACCAACAGACGTTGGAAGACGAGCGCGAGGTAAGCCATTTGCCAGTCTCTGTAACGACGTCCATTGACCACGGCGTCGTCAGTATGTGAATTTGCAAACGCAGGTGCAGATGCAGCATGCTTCAGCCGCGGCGCATCAGCTGCGCCGACACTCCGTTGCTGCCTGCGGGTTCCCCGACGCGTCAATGTCGTCTGCGCCGTTCCTCCAGCCGTATCCCATCCACTCTGGCTCTGCAACTCAGGCTCATCATGTACAAGGACCATACCAACATTATTGAGTCCGCGACGATGCCCGGCCTTGTTTCGCACCCCACTGTCGCCTGTCTCGCTCTTATCCGTGAAGGTTAAATTCTTCATTGGCTGTCGTTCTTTCCGCTGTTTCTGTTCTGATTCGTTCATTCTCCCGGGATCTGACGCAGGCACGTCTACCATAGATCGGGCGCTGGGTACATAACATACGTTATCGTCATCATCATGACTTCGGGAGTTATTGTATCACCAGCAGCACATGAATCGAAGAGCGAACGCAGCTGTCAATCGTCCTCGTCCCAGTTTGGGTCGTGCGCTTCACCTCTGTCAACGCTTCCCAGCCATGATTAAGTTGGTGCTCGCCTCGATTGCATTCGATTACCCAGATCTGGGCGAGATCTGGAAGTGAAGAACGTCAGTAAAGGGCATGTCGGGCTTGCTTTTCAAATTTAATGGGATAGATTCGGTTGGAGTACCCAGATTAGGCCTTTCCCACTACCAGAACGTCGGGCGCCGCTGATGACGTTCTAAAGGGTCCGAGGGAAGATGCGCGACGTTTTGAGAGGTGACGGACGGTTTGCGACGCGTTTGGAGGAGTCCAACGGTGGCTTGTTGCTAACACATAGTGTCTGCAACACTAGTGGCGATCCTTTGACCGTAGGCCTCCCTTACCGGCGCGTACTTCAAGTTAGTCTTTCTGAATCCTAACCTACTCGCGTGCCGGTGGCCGGATTCGGTGGCCCAATCGAATGACAAGGACCCCTTTCACGATCACACTGTCAGTAGGTTCTGTCAGGTTCGACGTCGGACAGACAGCGCGCTGACGACTGTACTGACCCCGGTGGACGGGCCAATGGTGGCGTGGGGGGTGGGGCCGCTGCGACTAAAGGTCGATCCCATCGCGACGGACGCGTGTGACCGTAGGTGGGTGTTTCAAACCACTGCACGGCCTGGCTGAGTCGCTGACTGCAAGTGGAATTATGGCTCGGCTGCCGACACGGTGACGGTAGTGTCGTGTCGTGTCGTGTCAGCGGCTGCACGACCACGGCGGCCTGAGGATATCCGCAAAAGACATGCATTGGGAAGGCGCGAAGTGACAGCGGAGCGCCAGTCAAATTACGCCGGACCCCCACCTTGTCCCCGTCGTCCCCACGACGTTCCCGAGTTCGTTGTACGATAAATCGTGAGTGGGGCGGAGGGGGCCCATCGAGCGGAGCGACGGTGGAGGACGTACTTTGCGCCAGAAAAAGACACGGGATAGGTATGGGCCGTCCACCCGGACCGTCACACGTCGAAGTCTGCAGCGTTGGAGGATACTGACGTGAGAGGAGCTCGTCGACCGCGCGGGGCAGTCGTCCTACCGGCGTGACGTTATCCAGACTTCTGCATGCTATGACGTTGCGTGTGCATGAGGGGCGGACGGCTTCGCGTGACGGGCACACGGATGGTGCGCTGTGGAAAGCGCGGTGGGGAGACGAGCCGTGCAGCGAAGTGTGCCTCAACGGTTGATTTTGTCGGATGAGCGATAGCTGCCGCTGATACAGTAGGACACTGCGCGCGGTGTGGCAAAGCTCCCTGAACAACGGAAGAGAGCAGACGCAGAGGCCTCTATGACGGTTGTAGCGGTCGTATTACCGCTGTGTATCTATGACGAGAGAAACCCGATCGAGGAAGCTCATTTACTTCGCCGTGCTAGCCAGGAACTTGACAATGCAAACAATGCACATGCTCACCGCGCTGTGGAGCCCACATTAGTCCTTGTAGACGGTCTTGTTGGTGAGTTCTGAACACCACAAAGCGACGGGCATGACATTTGCGGCCTCAAGGCATGCGGCCGGAAACCTGCGTCAGGCCAAAACCGCGCTGGCCTGTGCTGATTAGACATTCAGCCGGAGTCAATTTCCAAGTTCTGATACAGCTGTGACGAAATTGTTCGAGCAGACGCACTGCGGCCGTCTCGTCCTTTGCGACGAGGCGCGCAGAAAGACTTGCTAGCCTACAACTTGAACTTGGCTCACGGGTCAGAGCGCTGAATTTGATCGAAATTCATGCAACCTTCCACACGGCTAGTGTAGGCTGCGTTGCAACCGCTGCACCGGCGCGTGCTGCAATTGATTTTTCCGACCGATTTTTCCCCTGAAAGCGTCAACGAGCGAGATTTGTGGCCAAAGATCATGAATTCACCGTCCGTCAGGAGATGCAGGCCGATCCAGGTTACATTCGGACGGACTCTACGGGTAAATGCTTAATCGAAGTGTCGCCTCTGCTGACTGTAACCAGGCAGACCGTGTCTTCTATATACCGACCCGCGAAGCTTTGAGCATCTTGAAGGTGAACTTCGGCTCCGTTGAGATCGATACTCAGACCGCTCAGTTAACCTACTATTGAGATATGCTTTGCAAGATCAGTAGGCGAATAAGATATCTCCGCGGAGCTGAGGCAATCTCCTGTCCTGCATCGACGCTGTGCTTCGAGGGCTCCCAGCATGGACGGCTGGAGGCTTCACGGGAGTGATGAAGCGAGGGTGCAAATCCCGACAGTGACGGGAGTCGGGACAGCGGCGCGCCGCTTCTCATCCTGCATGCCTTGGCCACTTTCCAGGTGCGCATCGAGGGAGAGTAGAGAGCTGGAAGGAGCGCGTCCAAGCTCAAGAACGAGCAGGAGCAGGCTCTGGTAGGTGGTCGAGAGCATGTCGAGATCTAGCTTGCAGGAGCCAACCAGGACGTACCGGCTCCACTACGGCGAGGCCCCGCCATAGTCGGAGACGGTGGCAACGGGAGAAGTTGATGGTTATTGAATGGGGTTCTTGTAATGGTTCACATAGGACTACGGCATGTGAGCCCGCCGTCTAGAACACTCTGTGTGAAGGCCAACTTAGCCGCGTTGGGCGATGTCACCTCGCCAGGTTGCCTGAACCGAACTCGGTCAGCGGGCACATTGCACTGCTGCTGATGCGGTACTTACAACGCCAAATGTGTTTCATTGCGAGTCAGGGACGACATCCTGACGGGGTCCTGCCACGCTGCTGATGTCGTACGAGCATCCTCGGAGTCCAAACTTGAATGCAATCTGCACTTGAGGCTCATGAGTCGGTTCGAAAGGGCAATATTAAGGGAATAATCATGCGCCGTTTGCAGCGTGCCAGAGCAGAATAGCGTCGCAGTCGCAGCAGACAATCGCCACTTATGCGTTGCTACAACAAGCGCGGCAGGTGGACGCCGGGGCGTCGGGGTCGATCATGGCGCATCGGCGGCGGCCCGATCGTTCCCACGCATCGCGCTTCTCGTTCCGCCTGACCGTCGCCTCCACTCTGCATTATTGCTGCTACACGCCGCCTGTGACGACCTACGAGCACCTATCATCTTCAAGTCAGTACATATACGTGCACAATGGACAAGGCAGACCTCGAGACATACCAAGTCCAGCTCTCGCAAGTCGAGCAGGCCCTCTCCTCCGACCCTGAGAACACTGAACTTACCTCCCTCCGTGATGAGCTGAAGGAGCTCATCGAGCTCACGCAGGCAGCGCTCGCACAACAAGAGGCGGCGTCGTCGTCGAAGGCGGAGTCCTCACGGAAGGTAGCGGCAACCAGCACGGCGCGGACATTGGGCGCAGGCGACGAATGCCTCGCCAAGTACTCCGGCGACGGGCAGTGGTACCCCGCACGCATCACGTCCCTGGGCGGGTCGGCCGACAACCGGGTGTACAGCGTGATGTTCAAGGGGTACAACTCCACGGAGCTCGTCAACGCGTCGCAGCTGAAGCCGCTCCCGGCGAACCACCAGTCGGCGGGCCCGTCCGCGGGGAACAAGCGCAAGCTGTCGAAGGTGGAGGAGGAGAGCGGGAGAAGAAGAAGAAGAAGAACGAGAAGAAGCTGGAGTCAAAGGCGGCGAAGGCGAAGGAGCAGTCGGAGAAGCAGCAGAGCTGGCAGAAGTTCGCGAAGAAGAGCGAGAAGAAGGGGATACACATCGCGGGCGTGTCTGGGACGAGTATCTTCAAGACGCCAGACAACCCGCTCGGAAGAGGTGCGCAGTCATCACTGTGGTGCTCCACGTCGAGTTCATGTTTGCCTGCTCAGTCGGGGTCACTGGGAGTGGGAAGGGCATGACGGATGCTGTGCCGAAGATAAAACACAAGTTCGAAGCCAAAGACGACCCGAATGCTTGATAGCGGTGAGCTGTTCTGCAGGTTATCTTATGTTCGGTGTTGAGACTTCTCCACAGCACGCAGATGCGCAATGCGGTATCGTTCTGTACATGATGCACTGTATTCTATGGTCAACGTCTCTTGACATGGCAGGGCCATCAAACATGGCACACCGCGTCTCATTGCTCAAGACATGCTGGCAGGACGGATGGTGGAGCACGGGGTCGTCGAGACAGAGGCCAGGCGTTGTGTTATCTCCCTTTCTTTCCGCATACAGTATGATTCTCAACGCGATTTCTTTTGCCGTGTCCGATGCAGCTAGGATGCCGTTATGAGGCACGATCCGGAGCGGTCCGTCCACCCTCGAGGTGCTGTCGTACGTCCCGTGTGCATTCTGCGAGATCCTCGTTCACTCACGTAAACATCTCTGGATCGCCTCGATCGACCGCGTCGAGTCCTTCCATCCCGTAATATGTCAGTTGCGTATCATACAATTAACCCACCTTGCTGCAAGCGCTTGTCGTGCCTCATAACATGCGCAACGTGTGTTTGTCCAACGAGCTTCCAAGACGACGGTGAGACGATAGGTCAGCGGTGTGGGGATTTCTGTCTCAACACTCTAGACAAAGAGTCTGCGTGTCTTCCGTGTCAACCAGATAATGACAGAGTTCGCTGGTGCTGGCTGGTCCGTCCCTTATGTCTCGATCAGTGCCTGCACTGACGTCTATGTCAAGGGTCGGACTTTTTCAAATCGTCCGTCGATGCCTCGACGCAAACCTTGCGAGCTATATTGTCCAGAGGGGCCCGGGGTGTCCAAACCCGCAGACATCTGTCTGGATGGGGCTGTCTCTGCAGCGTGCCGCCGGCCGTGCGTCAGCACTGGCCATGTCTGTAGGCTCCGCCGCGGGCCACCCGCGGACTGGACCTCTGAAGATGGACGGTGGCTGTGGTCCTGGACCATGTGTGCCCGTGCAAACCGGTCGCGCTCGAACGTGCCTGGCTGGTTCTTACAAATGCGCCGGCGTGCAGCGACTCCTCTGCGCCGCGCAATCTTTCCGTCTTCATACGTGCCTCCTGCTGGCGTGGCCAAGATCTCTGGCTGGTCGGAGAAACAAACAACCTAGGCGCAGTGGATTGGCTTTGACGCAGGTGCGCGGTGGCCGTCTCCTCGGGACTTCGTCTTTCTATCCGCGCAGGAGCATTGAATTTATGTCGCGCCTCGGCAGCCCGACTGAATACCTGGCGGTGACCGTGCAGGGTGTGATTCCCCGCCTGGTGCGTCCAGTCTTACCGGACCTTATCCGCTGCATTTCGGAATTCTGAACATGTACTAGAAGGATGCGCTGTATTGCGGCGGACGCTCTAGTTCCGAGAGACGCTTACTACTATGTTGGCCGAACCAACAGCTTGGTGGGGGCCTGTGGGTTTTCCTTGCCCAAGGATTTGTTCCATACGATGTCTGCGCGCAGGCCTGTATGTGGTGAAGTTTCGTTTCGTGCCAGCGAGGCCGTACATTCGTCGCAGACGCGCTGACGTTCAAGTTACCAGGTCTTACTCGCTGATAAGCTGACGCTCGAGCTACCAGGTCTCGAGCGACGCGGGTGACGCCTGACACAAAGGACGACGCTGCTGCTGCGCCCTGCGCGTAGTTCGAAGGCCACGGTTTGACTCTGACTCGACGACGCGTCGCTGGCCATTGACGCCTTCAATTCACCCTCAACCGCAAGCCTCCGTGCCGAGATTTCCGCGGTAATGATCCAGCCTGCACGGCGGGCTGGGTCGTGGTAAGTTAGCTTTCGCGGAGTGTTGAGTCTTCGGAAACTTCTACACATCAGTCGTGTCAGCAGCTGCTGAGGCGAAGATGCTTCATTACTCATATTAGCCTACGTGCTATGCGCCTCATTCGGTTCGTATAGCGAAGGGACTGATCCACCAATTTACCGGTCATCCTCTCATCATGCTCAAGACACAAGTGACATATCAGCTCGAGGCGAGCGAGAGTTGTGTGAAGAGTTGGCGTCTCATTTATCGAACCTCGGGGCCACAGCCAGGAAACCTGCGATGTGAGTGCGATCTGCTTTCCTGGATTGGCATGCACAGGTGTCTTCCAGAACGCGCTTCTTCATGCCGCGCACGCAGGCGTAGACGTGTATATTGCGCTCTGCAGGTAGAAGGGCCGACAGCGGCGACGGTTGGCCCGGTGGCGACGAGCCCTTCGCACGGGACGGTCCGACGCACCAGAAAGGGCATAGGCAGGCTTGCGCGTCCCACCAGGACGGCCGCTCGCGCTCCGATCTGCGCCAGATCCAGGGCGAGCACAGACCCAATCCGGCAGGGGCACTGACTGTTGAGTGGGCCGGGCTGCGAGCTTCCCAGACGGACTGTTGGCACATCTGGGGTGCGCGCGATCTCGCAGGGGATCTGGACAATCCTCCGCCGACGTCGTCCTGCTCCCTCGACGATCGCGAACCTTATCCCTCTTTGGGACGTCGTGTCCTGGGCCATACGCACCGCGAATAGACTATGTGCGTGTGCGCGCTGGTTGTAGCTGCTCCTAGGCAACGATGACGGGCATGCGCTGCACCGCCCAGACCCCCTCATCCCCCGCGTGCGAGTGGCACTGATCACCTCGGTGGCAATAGACCGGATTCTTCGACAAGATTGTCTCAACGTTTGCGCATCCAAATCTGCCACAGATTTGGGCGTCATCACACTTCATCGTGCGTGAAGATGTGGGGGAATCTGATGATGTGACTGGTGCCTTCGATCAAATGCTGACGAGTTTGTAATCTCCAGAGATTGTGATCTTCAGGCCTTCCGTCGGGCGATCCACGCTGTATGCAGGAGGCATTGCACTACCCCGCTAGCCACCCCGCGCGGACAGGCTTCGGTCGCAGCATCGTCGCTATGGGCCGCCCCTCGCGCACCGGGTCCGAGACGCAGGTGCTGAGCCATTTCACCCGTCTTGTCGTTGCAAATGATACAGTATCCAGATGGCCGCAAGCTTCGTTCGTCGTCCGTCGCTCTCGGTATGTCGTCCCGGTTACCCCACCACACCATACGCCATAGATGAGTACTGCTTCCGTACTCTTCTGCGCTGTCTGGGAATTATCTTCTCCACCTGCGCTCCCATAGGGCCGTGGCCGGGCCCGAGCTATGCTGCCTTGCGCCTAGTTCGCCGCATCGATGGTGACCGACTCACTTCGCGAAGGCGGGATGGCCCGCATGGCAAATCCGGTCTCCTATGCCTGTCGGTTGGATCCGGACACTAATAACGAAGGAGGTAACTGGGCCACCTGTTCAGTCCTGCGCACAGCCCTGGACGATCGTTTCTCGGGCGCTGACCTCATGAGCGCGTACGTGACACTGGGGATCGATTGCATGCACAGCAGCCTCTCAAAGTGGAGCAACGCACTGGAGCGCTTCTGGCCAAGCACCACTCACCAATATTAAATGTTTCCAGCCTGACAACGCAGATACCGGTCTGGGAATTTCAATCCAACGGATACAATACAACGCGGATCGTGCATGCTCGGGGAGAGCGGTCAGTCCCAGAAGCCGCCGCCGTCCATCTTGACCCGCACGTCCTGCTTCGCCTTGCTGCCCTTCGGCCGCCCGATGCGCTGTGCACCCTTCTTCGAGTGGTATCTGCGCACCTCCCTCGCGCGCCGTTTCGACACTTCCGAGTGCACCTTCTCCTTGAAGTCCGCCGCCGCACCCGCCTGCTTCGCTGTGGATGAGGACGGGTGCTCCGATGCGGAGAGCGAGAGCACGGCGGTGCGGTCGGCGAGGGAGGAGGGGGACGCGGAGCGGGAGCTGTGTCGGGAGCTTGGTGACGGTGCTCCCGAGCGACGGTCGGACTGTGAAGAGGCGTCGTCCCGATCTGCGTCTAGTGAAGGGTGTTGTGACTGATTATCTTCCTCGCCAGCGTGTTTCACTTCCTCTTCACCCTCCTCGCCCACCTCGCCCACCTCTTCCTCGTCCTCTTCCTCGTCCTCCTCGTCGCTCTCATCTTCCGGCTCCTGATTTGACACGGTGTTCATGTACTACAGCGAAAACCCCATCAATACCAATAATTCTCCGTTGCCGGGATCCGTGCACTTACCTCCTCAAGTGCTTCCTGATCCCGTTGCTTGAACCCACTCGCGGCCACGACGATATCTAGCCTAAAATGGTCACCCTCCTCGCCCTCGCCCTCGCCCGCCTTCTTCGAGCTAGAGAACTTCGGGTATATGCTGCTCTCGTACCGGAAGCGCTTACGGAAATACTTCCGGATGCACTGCACATCCCGGTTGAAGTACCTGTTCTCTGGTTAGACACGCGTGTTATTGGAGAATGTGATGTGGGCGTACATTTCTGCGTTGAAGTGCGACGTGCTGACCATCTGCGGGAAGTCGATCACGATGGGCTCGCCGGTCTCCCGCCGGATGAGGATGTTGAACTCGTTGAAGTCGCCGTGGATGAGCCCCGCGCGGGCGAAGCGCACGATGAGGTCCATCAGCTCGCTGTAGAGCTTGCCGGGCGAGGGGACGTCCGCCACCTGACGGCTGCCAATACATGATGAGCATGAATCGAGGTGAGACGGATGCTTAGCATACAGGGGATATGCATCGATGAACTCCATGAGTATACAGTGCCGTGCGTGGTCGACGGGTCGGGACGGGAAAGCCGTGCTCGTGCAGGACGCACATGAACGCCCACTCTTTCTCGGCGGCGAGCCGGACATGTACATCCAGGAGGCAGATTTGCGCTTGCCCATGTAGTCGCGCTTTCCTTATTGCGCGGAAGGATACGCGGCCAGGCTGCATGTGGTTAGGGGTGTGAAGGATGAAGATGGGCGGATGTAGCGTACCGGTGTAGCTTGAGGACCATCTCCTTGCCTTCGAGTCTGCACAATGTAGATATCTAGGGGTTACTGGGATCAGCAGGCTAGGCACACGATACGACCGTCCGACTCACCAGACTCCTTGCCCACCCCGATCTGGTTCCCCACGGAGTACATCGAGTCCCTCTTCGAGAGCGCCCGCATCGCGAGGTAGTCGTACCCGCCGTACGTCAGCCTGTACCCGTCGTCTATCATGGCGTCCAGCGCACTGCGGGCACGGGCAGGGGGTGCGGGACGTACATTTGGCGTTCTGCACGCGCGCGACGAGGTTGCGCTTCGCGAGCGAGCCGAGGTTCTTGTTCACGCCGCCGTTGCGGAGGCCGGAGATCTGGACGATGAGCTGGGTGGGCACGACTTCGTGGTTCTTGGAGCCCATCTCGACCTGCGGGGAGGGACTGGTGGTTAGGCTCGGATGCGGGGAAAGGGAGAGGTGTGGGCGTACCGCTGTGAGCACCCGGAACTCGTCAGTGGTAATGTACCGCAGGTCGGTAGCATCGAGCTTCATGATGAGGTTTGGAGGACTGTGAATGATGTGAATTCTGAGCTGCGTGCTATCCAGTCTACTAGCAGTGAAGTCTACAAAAATTCAGGACATGCCGCTGCTTCGAGGTGGCTGAAAAGCCACACGTGATACTTTCGTACAATCTCGATCTCGATCATCGCCAACAGAATCGGGATAATGTCAAGTTCGTCATCTCGATGTATGTAGGTTGTGGGTCGACAGTTTAAAGGACGTGCTACGATGTCAAACATTCATGGCGGTCATGATGATCTGCAAGCGTGCTAGTGAGGGGTTCAGAGAGACAGCACAGGCCACATTCACGTGACACAACGCTCTGGAAGGGATCTAGATTAGACGCGCATAGGTTGAACCACCTTGGCGAGCTTCGTCAGTGCCAGCCGAGTCCGCGATGTGCAATGGCAGCAGACCTCCCTGCAGAAGTCTGGCTCCAGATATTCCACTACGCCTCCGAAGATGATGGCTCTTCGACCACGCTCTGCCAACCTCCATGACGGAGTCGTCCTGGTTCAAGTTGATCTACGGCGACTGGACGCTGAGGTCCCCGAGCGAGGGTCTGAATGCTACTCAGAGGCGGAGCTACGCTACTAAGAAGGTACTTGCAGATTTGCGAAGTCAGAACGAGAGTGTAACATATTGCGCAGGCTATCATGGCCACCTGCAGGACCTGGCGGCAACTCGGCCAGGAATTCATGTACAGATTCCTCTTCATCAACGACCCGACCAACCTCGTACGGTTGCGTCCACTTCTGGATCGGTACCGCACTCTGGGATGGTGGACGAAACGTCTGCACATCACACGCTTCTACAGTGGTGGATCAACGGCTACTGTTGGCGACCTCGAACGATCACTGGTGTCGATCATCCGACGCTGTCCCAATCTCGAGATATTCATCGTGGACTGGCCTGTCAGAGCTTCTTGCTCGTGGTCGCCGACGCTCTATGCACGCACTGTCCACATACTCTACGCACACTCCGCCTGAATGTCCCGTCTTCCTCGCTGGCTAAAGTCATTCTCATGCTAGATGCGCTACCCGCCCTGACCTCTCTGCATCTCACATTCGACGTCCCTACGCCCGAAGGCTTCCAACTCGGTGCTGCTACCGACCTCGCTCTCACCCTCGGCTCACTGGAGCAGCTCACCTCTGCGGGCCTTCCAAGACTTCTTCGAGCAGCTCATGGGCTGGGAGCTCCCAGCGCTCCGCTCGCTCTCCCTCGACTTCCTCAGCTACCGCGAAGACCTCCCCGACATCATCGAGTTCCTCACCCTGCACGGCGCCGCCCTCACCTACCTCGACATCAACTGCATCCCCGTGCTCGACGTCCCGACGATGCTCGACCTCTGCCCCGCGCTGCAGACGCTCGCCTTCAACTTCGACTGGCGGCTCGACAGCGCGGAGGGCGACCAGTGGGGCGTCGGCTCGCTCGTCCACCGGCCGCATGCGCACCTCACCACGATCGGCTGCCACTGGCTGCACCACGCGTTCGGCGTCGGCGACGCCGCGAAGTACGCCGCGGTCGACCCGCTCGTCACGCACATCATCCGCCGCAGGAACGACATGAACTTCGCCGCGATCGACAAGCAGAGCTTCCCGAAGCTCCAGCGCGTGCGCGTGCTCGACCGCATGCTCCTCCGGGACCTCGAGGCGGCGGACGGCCCGAGCCCGGAGTGCTTCGAGCGCTGGGAGAGGTGGTGGAGCCAGTGCTCGTCGCAGGGCGTCAGGCTGGAGGACTGTACCGGCGCGTTGCTGGGCACGCTGCCGGAGGACGAGCCGGAGGAGGAAGAGAGCGAAGAGGAAGATGAGGTCAGGGAGGACTTGCGGGACCTGATCCGCCAGTGCAGAGAGATGACCACCACTAGAGACACGCCATATCACGGGTACCCCCTTGGTATCGCCGACGAAGTGGGGCGTTTGGACAGCAGCATACCTGAGTGGAATCATGGAGCAACATCATATCTGTCACATACAATCGTAGGTCGTGTTTACACTCTTATGCAGTGCAGTCACTCACGTCGGGATAGACATCTCACTGCTATCAATAATCGCTGTTCTTGCACATGAATGCTTCGGAACTCCACTGTCTACATCACCGCTCTCGCAAACATCACGAATGTGTCACGACTATGCCACGAACATCCCATCGACATGCCATCATCGTGCCCCTCCTGTTTATACGGTATCGTTTTGTCCAAGCAATGCATAGCTAGGTTGTCATATTGTCTCGCTAGGCTACAGTATACGATTTCATTGATGCCGGTAAACTCACGCTACAGGACGTAACCACTGTCTAGAAATCATACAATCCGGCCTATCAGATACAAACCCGACTTTCTTTTTGCCTTCGTTTCTTCCGGGACCGGAGGGGCATCCATCTCCCCTTTGTCACTCGTACTGACTTGAGGTGTAGTTATCTTCACCTCCTCCAACTCTACCACGACGGCCGCACCAGCGCTGCCAGCCGACGCAGACAGGCACCCTCCGTCGTGCTCCAAATGATGCCTGGTACGTCCGCCTCGCCGAGCGTACTCGCACTGCTCGAAGGCGTCGTCCGACGGTCTCCTACGCCACCCTCGAGGTCGAGATGCAGCGTCTCGAACACCATGCGCTTGCGCATACACTTGAACGCGAGGTTGTTCTCCCCACTCGAAGAGAGTCCGCGTAAGTCGAGAACTTGTCGCTCGGCGGTAGGAGGGTGGTCGGCGCCGGGAGGGTGTGGATGTGGACCATGCCGTGGTGCGCGGGAACATCGCTGTGAGGGATGGGTCGGCTATGCAGTAGTCAGAAATTAGGCGTTGAAGGAGGGCATCCACGTGATGAGGGACGTACCGGTGAAGGCTGCAAGTGTGATGGACGCGTCGACGAGCCAGCTGAGCTTCTGCACCCAACCAGGTCCGCCCCATGAATCCGTGCAGAGATGGGAAGGGAGGGATATTGAGGCGCAAGCAGTCGGATGACGCCGTAGCAGGTTCCGCATGGATAGCAAGAAGTAGCATATGTCCTGGTTCATGCTTGTCAACGACTTCGCAGAGGATCATTAGGATCTAGAGTATACCTGCTGGGACAGGTCTCCCCAGTCTGCAGAACCAAGGCAAGGCACACAGATCCGGATTGGAGCAGATTGGCCCTCTCGTTGGTCTTCGTCCGCCAGTACCTTTTCCAGTGCACTCAGTACAGACAGTCCTGGCCTTGAATCCGTCTCAGGTCGTGGAGTCACAGTGCTAAGTTGGCCGGAACTCTTTGCGCTCATGAGGACGTCCTCCGGTATTCGACACGTCAAATCGAAGACGCGACTGTAGTCTTCATTCGACCTGTCGTCGGCATCAGTCACTCATCGCCTAGCGAACGCAGAGAAAACTCACAACATACTGGTTCGAGGTAGGCACGGTGGTCTGGAACTGCTTCATCTGTTCATAGCGCCATGCGATCTTTATTTTCGTATCCTCCACTCCAGCCGTCTCCTCGTCCTCGTCCACTGTTGGGGTGGAGGCAGACCCAGAGCCGGACGCGCTACCGCCGGGGTCCACATGCATTCGGACAGGAACCGGTCGACGTCTTCATCGACGATGCAGAGTTTCTGGCCGCACGCGAGCCCTTGAGCTACGAAGTACTTCTGCACCAGTTCCCCGTACGCCGAGTGGGCATCCGGTGCAAGTAGGAGCATAGAACATGAGAGTGGCAGTCCGCCACCAAGAATGTCATCTAGCGAGGGAATGCCCGTGGACGTGATGAAGCTGGAGGTTGCGCCGGGTGAGATGCGCGCACCCACGGGCGTAGGAGCTGTTTGCGGTGGTTCGCCGTTTGAAGGAGGACATGGTCGTGGTGAATCGCGGTCAGGACGTTTGAGGAGACCGGAGGCGGGCGAGCTAATCTGCAGATTGCGATCTTCGATCACTGAGCGCGGTCCGCGGTGGCGCGTGCCAGTCCGCCGCCGGCGACCTCTGCGGACACCATTCCATGCGCCCGCCCTCCTCGCCAGTGATGGTCAATGTCCGGCCTACGTTTTGCTAACGCTGCCTTCGCATTTGCGCGCCGCATCCGAGACAGCCCAGAGGACTTCTCAAGTCGGTAACGCGGTGGCCAAGTCTCCGCGCTCGGAACCCTGCATGTCCGTACAGAAGTTATTCCCTCTGTGTCGCTCATCGTTGTATAGGTGTGAACGCGGTATGCGCGGCACACTGTTTGCGGAGCACGTTGGTGGATCAACTGGTGCGTACATACGCTTCCGCATCCTCGTCACACGCACCAACCCACTGTCTGTAGGTCGACGGACCGTCTATGCTGCCCACGATGAGTGTCAGCGGCGAGTGGGTCCTCGAGAACAAGATGATCAAACCGCAGAACCTCAGGCGCGGCGATCTCGTTACCTATCTCTCCCCGCTTGACCCCACGCGCATCGTCTGCAAACGCGTCGTCGGCTGCCTGGGGACGTCATCTGCGTGGACCCGACGGGCGGCTTGCGCCTCGACGGAGCATGTGCTTATACCAGGAACATGTCTGGCTGAGCGGCGACAACGCTGCGATGTCCAGGGACTCTAGGGTGTATGGGCCTGTCTCAATGGCGCTCATAAAAGGCAGACTAGTGGCAGGGTGAGTTGAATGTCTTCATGCGTGCCTTTCTGACTAGTGTACAGATATGGCCTTTGTCGAGACTGACTGTCTTCCGTAGTAACTTGATTATATAGACTAGGAGCACAATGCTGTGTGATTATCTTTCCAGCTGCTCGTCGCATGCAACACCATGACAGGATGCAACCGAGGTCGAACATCACCCGCTCACCGCTAACATGTTCACCTGGCGAAGTTCATCGAATATCCGCCCTCCCCATTGGGAGTGAACTGGAAGTTATCCGTCGACAGACCGAACCGCCCTGCAGGGGCCAAGCGATATTCATCTCGGCGAAACAAAAGTGTAGACAGATTCACGTACCTAGGATGCTGTTTCCCATCCCTTTCAGCTTGTCGAGCATCTCAGCCGTCTCTGCTTTCTGCGCCGCCTCTATTCGAGGGGCCAGTGACGCGAGAGATCGTTTGATGTCAGCACTTTGGGGCGCGTCAGACGGAAGGACCGTGAGGAGGGTATTGTAATCTTAGTAGGTGGAAGTCAGCTACGCATGAAAGGAGTAGAAGCATGGCTTACCCTCCTGTGCAGAGGACAACGACGACCAGCTGCCAATCTTTCGTTCGCCGACGCTCGTCGCTGCAGAGCCTTGATATAGTTAGGATCATCCTTGAGGGCTATAAGCAGATCTCAGCGTGTGTCCCTGCCCCACCAGGGCGTGTACGGACCTTCCGAGCACGCAGACACGGCCTCCTTCCATTCTTCCTGTACATATGCTTAGTATCCGGGCTTGGGTAGAAGCACAGAGCAGCACTCACAAGCTTCACGTAGCACGCTCCAATATTCGCGTTCATGACCGCCCTCGCGCGCGCACACTCCAGCTCAGACTCAACAGATGGTGTCTGCGCAAGCTCCTCTTCCACCACCTCCGCCTTCTCCTTGCCTTTCCCCTTCGCCTCCGAGTCCTCCGACTCTGCAACCTCATCTAAATCATCATCATCTGCGTCTGCCATTTCCCTCTCCTTCCCCTTCTCCGTCTCTAGTAGTCGCCTTTTCGGCAGCCGTCCGAGGCCCGACCTGTATGCTGCCAACGCCTCGTTCCACCGTCTTGCGCGGAAGTGCCCGTTTCCCTCTTGTTTCAGCTCATCCGCGTCGCGCAGGCATCTCTGCGTTCGTTCAGTCGGCTGAGGCACGCGATGTGTACGTGAGGGAATCTACCTGGACGCGAGCCTCTTGGTCTGACGCATCGTCTGAGCCGTGGAGGTGGGGGTGCTCTGTTTCTGGTTCTGGCGTTGGATGAGAGATAGTATCGGCCATGGCTGGTGTGTCACAGGTAAGGAGTGCAAGCTAGAACTTAGAAGTAAGTAAGTAGGGAGTTCCAGGCAAGTTCTCCGGTAAGTTCGCGCTGCACTGAATCGCCCGCCACAAGGCCCATCTCGATCGAGGATCTCGCAGCATTTCGAGATAAGATTAGATGCACACCGGGGCCCCATTCATTCCACCGCATGAAATGCGACTCGGATGAGATGTCAGGATATGATAGCAGTATGCAGTACAGGACAACCAAGGAAACAGAAAATAGACGGATCATGAACGCGGAAATCAGCCTCTCCGTAGAGCATCGAGTCGGGCCTGCAGGGCGTCCTCGTCCGACATCCCACCACCACCGCCACCACCAGCTCCGCTGTCGCCTCCGGGACCATGATGTGACGATCCTCCTGCATCGCCCAGCGCCACAGGTTGCTTTGGCTCCGTAAGAGACGAGGATACCGCCAGCCCGGACGGCGCATCCGATAGCTATGCGCACGTGAGTATTCTCCAGCTCCGAGAATGAGGGAGCAAGGCGCGACGTACCTGCTGCGAGAGGTCCACACCGATCTCGTCGAGCACCTGCTTGAGGATCTTGTCGCCCTCTTCCTCCTCGCCCTCGAGATCGTCGTCCATGACGTCGTCGACCGCGTCGGACATCATCTCTTCCTTCATGTCCATCGTTGCGCTCTCCCGCTCGAACTCGTTCATATCCGCTGTATTTGCGGAGGTTGAGACCACGATTCATCGCACCCATGGCCTTTGTTCATTGCGCAATGAGCAGCAGTCATCGGGTATGATATACGGGCGGACTCACCCGAGTCGCACCGCGCATGGCTTCTGCCATCTGCTGGTTACTCCTGAGGGTCTGTATCCGGAGCCAACGGCTGCAGCTGTGTCCGCATCTGATAGAATTTCTGGACGTAGCGCTCGTCCGGACGAGGTCCTTCGCCATGACCTTGCACGCGTTCTAATCCACGCGTCAATGAAAGTGTCAGCGTCCACGACGCGCGGCGCGCACCATCTGCCCAGCCTTCGCACTCTTCTTGATGTCCATGACGAGTTCTTCTCCTGCTGCTCCAGCTTCGTCTCTCTCTGTCCAGCTCGCGCTGGGCCTTGGCGAGGGCGCGCTGGTGCTGCCGCAGCCGCTCAGCGGGTGTGACTATCCGGCCAAACAGGGTTTCCTACACGCCCGCATTGAGTTCCGTGTGAGCCCCATTCTGCGTAGAACTACTATGATTTCATGGCTGGTCAGTCGCAAGGATGTGGGGAGAGAAGAGCCAGGTGCTGCCGGGAGGATCGCACTGGCCGGGCGCAGACGTCAACCCAGTTACTACTGCGTAGGCGCGGAGGCGGATGGGCGCCTAGAGGGACAGGACGATCGGTGCGTCATCGTGCTTTCACATCCCTCCGCGAGCAGACATGTCTGCACCGAAAGGACCCACCGGCTCTCCGCGGCCCCATATATATAGCCCGCGCACAACCACGTTGGCCACAACATAGTCCCCACCACCATGTCCAACCCTGCCACCATCTCTGACTGCAAGTGTGTCCTCGTTATCGGCGCGACCGCCGGGATAGGCCGCGACCTTGCCCTCGCTATCCATGGCTGCCGTCCAAGCCGACCGTCATCGCGCAGGGAGGCGGCAGAGAGGCTGGACGACGTCGCGAAGCAGGGCGAGAGAATAAAACACTCAAGTTCGACGTGAACGCGAGCCGTGACGCGCTCAAGAGTGCCGTCCAGGACGTTTACCAGAAATACCCCGACGTATGTTGCAATCCCAATACGAGGGTCTATGTACTCATGAGTATATGCGTCTAGCTTGATGCCGTGCTCTTCGTGTCAGGCATCCAGCATTGTTTGACTTCAAGAAGCCGGAGAGCGTGAACCTCGAGAGTGAGTGCCCCATGTTGTCTCAGTACTTGTGCTCACATCTCGAGCCAGTATTGGAGGAGGAGCTGAACACGAACTACACTCGATCACCCGCATGGTGACCTTCTTCCTCCCCCACTTCCTGAAGCTGAGCGTGAGTCTCTTGCCGTGTCTCTCGAGTGAAACTGGACGGTGGTATGCAGGAGAAGGTCGTCCATCACTCATGATCACCGTCACCTCCGGCCTCGCCATGTGCCTGGCCATGGGTGCCAAACTACTGTGCTACCAAGGCCGCCCTCCACAGCTTCACCCTATCCCTCTACACGCAGCTCCGAGACACCAAGGTTAAGGTCATGGAGATCTTCCCACCGTGCGTCTTCGTATATCACTGTTGCCTGTTGTAGGACTACGCTAACGACGCGCCGACAGGCTCGTCGAGTCCGAGTTGCATGACCGTTCGTACTCTCCGGCTCCTCCCTGTAGGGTAAGCTAACGACGACTTTGAGATCAAGGTACTACTCCGAAGTGTCCAAGGTGTGGATGCCGCTCGAGGACTTCACGAAGGAAGCATGGAGGGCCTCAAACGTGGAGACGTGGAGATCCCCGTCGGGATGGTAAAGCAGCAGTGGGAGACGTTCGAGAGCGGCAAGCTCGAAAAGGTCCAGAATACCATGAAGCTTTTTCGAAGTAGGCGCAGACGATATGTGCCGGGCAACCGGCAAATCCGGAGAAGTGAATACTAGTAGGGTTGTACACTACACAGAACGGTTTCGAAAGCAGGGCGACAAGTGGTTCCACAGAATCCAAGAACAGCAGGTACATATAACACAAACACGACAGCAAACGATCTACGTGGAGGTCATGGTAGTCAAGCTATCAAGGCCTAAATGGTACATAGCAGACTCACAGCAAGATCCGTACGTCACACAACTCAGCCATCACCATCCTCGCCATTTACTCCGTACTAGATCAGAGGAAACACCGTCATCCACATCTGCAGCTCGCCCAGACTTGATCCCGGCGGCTTGATCGAGAGCCTACCCGACCGCCTCACTGGTGTCTGGGGCGGCCCCATAGACGTCCGACGTCTCTTCGGCGACGACCCGCCTCCTGCCTTCACCGCGTCGGTCTCTGTACCGTCAACATGGAACCTGTTCCCTGCAGACGCTTCATTCCCCTCTTCGCAGTGGGTTCCGGAGCGGGGTAGGCGACGCAGAGGGTGCTTGTGACGAGGACGCTGCGGTTGTGGACTGGTCACGGTGCCAAAGCGGCCTGTACTTTCGCGCCGCCTCAGAACTCCCTGTAGAACTCCACGTTGAAGCCGATGCACTTCAGGAGCACGCAGGGCGCGCGCAGCGGCCGGAGCGTAGTCCTGGAGGATATCTCAACTCCTTCCTTGTCTTTGATCTTTCTCCGAGTCGTCGCCGTGTACACATGCTGCGACTGGTAGCGCATAGGACGGTCAGCGTGAACGATCTCGCCTGGGGGAAGGCGCACCTTCTCCGGGAGAGCTAACCACTCGCCCGCCGTGAGTGCTCCGTCCTCGTCACCTCATACGTCCCAAAGTATCTGAACTGTTTCTCCGCGCCGATGAACATGGGGCGGATCTCCGCTTTCTTGAAGCGCTCACTGTCGTGGTCGCCCAGACCGACCTGCATGTACCGTGCGCGCCGGGCTTCGTGGGCAGCCATGAGTTCTGGTTGAGGTTAGGGCAGAGGAACTCGCCGATATTGTACTTCACTGCGAGCGGCCGCGCGCTATTGGTTATACTGGGGATGAAGTTCAGAATGTGCACCTCGGGCAGTGGTGCAGGGCGCACCGGACGAATAAGCCTTGAGGGCTCCCGCCAAGGAGCTGGGAGAGCTCGGTCTTGCTGAACGAGACGGGGCCTGCGAGCTCGGGTGGCAAGAAGGATCGATCTCGGGATAACTGGCGAGTACCTCCATCCTCGGTGGCGAGATCGGAGACGCATAGCTGGCAAAGTCGACTGGGCCTTCGTTCTTTCCACCTCGTTTCTTCTTCCCCGCGCCAGGCTTTCTGTTATCGGGTCACTTCTTCGGGCCAAAGGAATGACACATTGTACGGCGGTACTCACGAGATGCGGCTCTGCTTACAGACGCCTGTGGTTGGGTCGAAGAGATGAGCACACGGCCAGGTATAGAGAAGGATTTCCTCACCTCCACTTGTGAACCTGGGCGCTGTAGAGCTGATGGGTTTACAGTCACTGAGCCAGATTGTATCTGCGAGAACATGATTGAGTCGGTATCTGAGGTTGGACATTATGATGATCTGGCACGCACCGCAGCTTCAATTGTACAACTTTGGTCTTCAAGTCTTCATTCTCTTTCTGCGCCGCAGCCAGCTACCAAACGACCGAACCCAGTCAGTCGCGCGTTCTGTATGCGCTCTCCCTCTGACAGACCTGTTCTGAGAGCGCATTCGCTCCTGTAGCAAGGTTTCATGTGCCATTCCCTGGCCCACGCGTCGAGTTGTGATAGGATCGACTGTCGCCCTTCTGCTTGTGCATTTTGAGTCTATAGTTATGTCGGCTGAATGGTCAGGATCGTATGACACACTGGTCCAGTGAGCAGTGACCTTTTCGAGCTGTGCCAGGAGTGATTGAACCTCGACCGTGAGCTCACGCACTTCCCTGTCTTTTCCTTCGAGTTCCGTGCGGAGGGTGGTGATCGAGTATTGGAGGTCGTCACGCTCACGCTGAGGACAGTCAACCTGATATCATGACGCTGAATTGCACGCGGCATACCTCGCGTTTGGGTCAAAACCCCCTCTGAGTGCCTCTCCAGCGCACGTTCTAGTTCTCTTTGAGCCTGTCGTTGTCCTCCGTCAGGGCCGCATGCTGCGAGAGCAAGTGCTTCTTCGTATCTTCCGCGGCAATTCGCTGCCATTTCACGTGGAACGCATAAGATGAAGCCTGGAAGATCTTTGGAAGAGTATACCTTCTCTTTTTCTGCCTCCACCTCGTTCTGCAGAGCATCCTGCCGTGCTTGCGCGCCAGCGAGTTCTGTTCGCAGTGTCGCATGTTCGATGGCAGCGAAGCCTTCCGGCATGCGCAACGAGGAGACCTGCGTCTCTGCATCCTCCGCGCGCCGCTTCCATCCCTTCAACTGTTCCAATGCTCAGCGCCCTGCTCAACCATACCCAAAGGTCGCGTCCCCGGCTTACATCTTAGCAGGCGGGTATTCTCGGCTGTCACCTCGGAAGAGCTCTGCTTGCAGATTCCGCGCCTCAGCATTGAAATCGCGGTATCCAAGTCCAGGACATGTTCCGCATCGGGCATGAAGAGCATAGAGAGGGAGAGAGGCCAAGTGGGAACGGGCGACTATGCGTTTCCAGCAAGGTTTGGTCGCCAGCGCGCCTCAGCCACAGACGCGTCGCATCGAGATCTCAGATCTGTCACGACCCCGCGCAAACTTCGAGCTTCGCGTTTGCCTCGAACAATTCTTCGTAGACTCCAGCAAGCCATGCCCACACGAGTGTAATAGCCCAGTATAACTCCAGTATTGGCCAAGAACCAGGAAAACATTATATATCGGCACTAAGCGTAGTAGCGATAGCAGTCTATGGAGACGTCGATAACGACAAGTGTTTTATCCAGCCTGCACCCCTCTCACTCACAGCATAAACGTCAGCGGGTTCTCGAGATATCCCTTGAACGCGGCCAACCACCGCGCACCAACGGCACCGTCAACAGTCCGGTGGTCTGCGCTGAGCGTGACCTTCATGATCTGCGCCACCTTGAAGCCACGCTCCTCCTCTGGCGCGGGGACCAATGTTGATTGCGTCCCGCCGACGGCGAGGATACATGACTGTGGGGGGTTGATGATGGCCGTGAAGTGGCTGATGCCGAACATGCCCAGGTTAGACACCGTGAAGGTACCGCCCTACACGTATCGGTCAGAAAACCCTCCACATGTTCTGTCACGCTGGACCAACCTGGTACTCTTGAGGCTGGAGCTTGCCGTCCCGAGCCTTCTTCGCGAGAGACTTGCCTTCTGTAGAAATCGAGGCGAGACCCTTCGCACCGACGTCCTTGATAATTGGCGTAATGAGACCGGTGGGAGTAGCAACAGCAACCGAGATGTCAGCCTTCTTGTACCTGATTTTCGGAAAACATGAATCAGCAGAGGTCACCACAGTGAGAAAACTCAGTCATACTGTCTGATGACCTCGCCCATCCATGCCGAGTTAGCCTCCGGAACGTCCGCGAGTGCACATGCAACTGCCTTGAGCACGAAGTCGTTCACGCTCAATTTAGCCGTCTTGTCCTTCTCGCCTAGCGTCTTGTTGAAGACTTCCCGCAGCTTCATGACCTTGTCCATGTTGATGTCAAGCGTCAAGTAATAGTGGGGAATATCCTGCTTCGACTGTGTGAGACGAGTACCAATCGTGCGCCGCATGTTGGTAATCGGAGTGTCGACGTAGTCCGGCAGAGGAGCAGTAGGGGAAGGGAATGACGACGTCGGGGCAGCAGCACCACCCGTTGCAGAGGGCTGGTACTTCTCGACATCCTCCCGGAGAATACGACCCTCGGGACCCGATCCCTTGACCTTTGCGAGAGGGATTCCACGTTCAAGGGCAATCTTCTTGGCAAGGGGAGATGCAAAGATGCGGTCGCCCTTAGGGATCTCCGGTTTTGTCTCGGTCTTGGGTGCAGGTTCGGAGGACTTGGAAGTCGGCTCGGGCTGGGGGGGCTCCGGAGCCTTCTCCTCCTTCGGGGCAGGCTTCTCCGACGCAGCCTCAGAAGCCATCTTCTCAGCCGCGGAAAGGTCATCGCCCTCCTCAGCGAAGATGGCAATAGGTGCTCCGACTGCGATGTTCTTCGCGCCGTCCTCAGCCTACAACGAATGCATCGAGCTGAGTTTGACAATGATAGCCCGTCGGCACGTACAATAATCTTGGCCACTATGCCTTCATCCTGAGCCTCCACGTCAATAGTAGCCTTGTCCGTTTCCTATGACGCTTGAACGGTCAACTCGGCCAGGCGCGCAGCGTCGTGTCATATACGCACGATCTCCAGAATGACATCGCCCGCAGAGAAGGACTCGCCCTCCTTCTTCTTCCACGACGCAATTCCGCCCTCCGTCATCGTTGGACTCATGGCAGGCATACCGAATTTTGAAAGGGCATTTCTCCGTGCAGAGACGTGCAGGCCTGACACGAAGGTCAGTGACGGCATCCTCCCGAACATAGAACGAGACACATACGCCTGGTGAGGATGCTGCGTGCAAGACGGGAGGCCATGGCGGTCTGTGTCTTCGACGACGGAGGGGGAGGAGAGGGACAGTGAGAGTGTTTACGAAGACGAGTGGGAGAGTGCAAACAGGCACAAATGCGCTGGCGACCCGCGACGGAGGCCGCGCGATCGGCAAGTCTCGGGGTCGCGGACGCGCTCACGACTCTCACACTGGGGGCAAAACGCGATGTCCTGGGAAGGAATATGCTGAGGGCATGTGATGATTAGCTAAAGAATTCTGACAATACTTTGCACAAGGATATTGTGAGTACTGTTGAAGTAATCCTAGGATACACGGGGGCCGGACATGGTACAATGCAATACAAATGTCTGTTGTCCGGATATGAGTCACATAATATGTTCTGCTCAAATATGTCGAGAGCAGGCTACATATTCCTCGCATACTTGTATCGAACACAATGTAAAACGATGATAGCTTTCCCGACCCAGGACATGCATGAATCAGGGAAGGATTATTCTATATTTACTCATTCAGAATACTTCAATAATACACGAACTTTCCATACTTGGTACATGACAACACAACACCAAATTCGACGACTGCGATCTCGATCTCGACCACGATCTCGACCACGACACCGACCGCGACTCAGACACCGACCGCGATCCCGACTGCGACCCCGACTGCGACATTGACCGCAACACCGACTGCGACATCAACGATGAACTGCAGCACAACACAATGTCGACCGCATTAAGAGCGGGAATTGTGCCATCGCGGTCAATGTCGCAGTCGATGTCGTAGTCGGGATCGCGGTCGGTGTCTGAGTCGCGGTCGGTGTCGTGGTCGAGATCGTGGTCGAGATCGAGATCGCAGTCGTCGAATTTGGTGTTGTGTTGTCATGTACCAAGTATGGAAAGTTCGTGTATTATTGAAGTATTCTGAATGAGTAAATATAGAATAATCCTTCCCTGATTCATGCATGTCCTGGGTCGGGAAAGCTATCATCGTTTTACATTGTGTTCGATACAAGTATGCGAGGAATATGTAGCCTGCTCTCGACATATTTGAGCAGAACATATTATGTGACTCATATCCGGACAACAGACATTTGTATTGCATTGTACCATGTCCGGCCCCCGTGTATCCTAGGATTACTTCAACAGTACTCACAATATCCTTGTGCAAAGTATTGTCAGAATTCTTTAGCTAATCATCACATGCCCTCAGCATATTCCTTCCCAGGACATCGTGTTTTGCCCCCAGTGTCATCCAACACCTCATATTTTTTGCCCACGGCCGCATCCATGTCGTCCGATTTCGTCCTCCCTGGCCAGCCTATTCCACTCCCCCGCGGCCCCGTACCGCAACTCGGAAGCGGCATCTACTCCAGGGATGGCCATGTCAGAGCAAGCCTGGTCGGTGTCCCCAGCTACGAAGGATCTGTTGGTCTCTTCTATCCTCTCATCTCTGGCTCCTTCAATGATGTATGCGTAATGAACTCGTTCACTTGAACGCGCTCTGGGGTGCAGACTCTGTCAATATCTCGGACGCGACCCCACGCGCCTTCTCCAAATTCTATCGTGCTCGGTTCAGTAACGCGCCTATCGCCCCAGCAAGCAATGCTCTCCATCTCCGTCGTCGACGGTGTCCCCTTGCCTCCCGGTGAAGAGTTTACGGGAGTGATCCGCGTGCAGGACGTCAGGGCAACTGAAAAAGACAAGGTGAAGATCGCTGACTGTTTCCGAGGTGGCGATGTTGTGAAAGGACTTGTCGTGAGTGGAGATGGTCTACCAACGCGCTAACATGCTGAATGTTTCCAGCTATCACTGGGGGACGCACGTAGTTATTATGTGACCACTGCCCGCAATGACCTGGGCGTCATCTTCGCGACTAGTGAAGCAGGTGGGAATCACAGCTCGGTTGGCTGAAGCTTTTGGATTGACAGAAAGCAGGTGCGACAATGGACCCCGTCTCATGGCAAGAAATGCGCTGTCCGCGGACAGGAAGGATCGAAAAACGCAAATGTGCTAAGCCAGAGGGCTTGTAATCGCTATTGGCAATGATCTCCTCCTTGCCCACTACTCTGCATACCTGTATCATGCAAAATCCATGTATCATCTAGTTATCTTCGTCATTGTTTTCCTTCCCGATGAAGTCCGTGTAGGCCCAAGAGTGTGAAGGCCATGTTTCCGGCAGGGCTTTCATTACGTCTTGTGAAATCGCAGATGCTGTTTGCCCTTTGGGCAATGATAAATTCAAAACTGTGTTGATACTATCAATCATAGGACTTCTTTGCTTCTGCGACTTAAATGAACAGAAGATCAGCGCGATTTACTCAGCTAAGAAAACCCGTAGAATAAGGACTCCGATTGTCACCGCACAAAGCGCGTGATATCGTGTCTAAACAAAGAAAATTGGACAATTAGCTATATTCGTAGATGCAGTAGCATGGGACGAGCGTAGACAGATGCTACTGGAAGAGATCTAGGCATGTATTCATCTGTTACGTGCCAGTTAGGATTGTGGAGGCCAAATACTGGACCTGCCTAAAACGGCGAGCGGCCGGTGACCGCGTGGCAGCTCGACAACTGAACCACTCCCACTGCAGGCGTCTCTCTTCGTCTCTCCGTTCAGGCTCTGGCACCGGTGCTGGCCCCCGCTTTGTACTCTACTCTGTGACATGACGGCGGTCCTTCAAGCGAGTGATGTACTGAACAGGGATAGGACCATGTCTTCGTTTGACGACAATGCAGTCAAGTAAAGACCTCCTACTGTCATCCGCGGTCGCTTCGCTGATAGTGCACAATAGTTATTCCTCATCCAATGATTGGAGGGCGAAGTACATGGAGGTCGCGGATATGCTGGCAGAAACCCGCACGGAACTCGATGACTTTCACGCCTCCAGTAAGGAATTGGAGGAGGAGTTGGAGAGAGAGCTGGAGCGGACCGAGAAAGCGCAGCAGGATCTCAAAGTCAAGGTTGCCAGAGCCGAGCAGGAGAGAGACGAGTGGAAGGTCAGCACGCTCGTTGAGGATGACTGTATGCGTCTCCCTCATCGGTGTTATGTAGTCCAAATTCATGTCGTTGCAAACGATGCACAACACGACAACGACGTCGCTGCAGCGCGAGCTCGACACGTTGCGTGGGGACCATCAGAAGATAAAGGTGCAACTTCGAGAATTGGAGATGGGCAACGACGATCTGGAGCGGAATGAAAGAGCTATCTCGTCAAGCCTTGCCGATATTGAAAGCAAGTATGCGAGGGCCCTTGAGGAGAAGATACTTCTTGAACACGAGCTTCTGGACAAGGCGAATGTTGAGGAGGAATATCAACGACTCAAGGACGAGCTCAGAGGTGCGTACTTATGGCATATTTCAATGGTAACATGGTTTACTGTCTCAATTGATTCGTAGATGCGAACGAGGAGATCCATATAATGAAGGACCAACTTGCTGCAGCACAGTCACGTCCCACGATGACGGACACCGAGTCAGCACGCTCTGTCACTTCCACTGCACCCTCTTCCATTTCCGATGACAACCTCCTCAGCATCCCAACACCCTCAGACCTCCGCTTAACCGACCTCTCGCCGGAATCCGAGACCCCAGTCAAGGAGACACCTAAGTTCGCAACACATCCTGTCAGATCACCCACCATTCCCGGCGTCACTCCGTCACCGCTGCTTCATAGATCTACCTACAAGATATCACGCTTGGCGACGCCACCGACCAGCTCTTCGCCATCCCTTGCTCGCTCGAGCACTGTCCCATCGTTATCTACACCCTCGCGTCTTGCTCCTCGTACGCCTGTTCCCAGACCGATTGCCAGCCGCAATGTGTCGAGTCTTAGCTCCACGAGCACCAGTAGTGGTGTTCCTGGAACTGCATCGAGGAGCAAAGGCGTGCAGATGGTGTCGGAGATGAGGGCTCGTGTCAAGGTGTTGGAACAGAAGATCCACACTCGCGTTCCGAGACTACGCATGGGCAGCACGACCAGCCGGACGACAGCGATGCCCCCACCTCTGCCACCGAAAGCGGGCCCTTCATTCGTATCCGTCTCTCCTGCCCCTTCGACTTCGTCGATGCGATCATTGAGCAGCGATGAACGGCTGCTGCAGACGAAACCTCGTCGACCAAGCTTTGACTCCGAAGGGGATCGCAAGCGTGGGTCTGGGGGTGACTCCTCGGGATGGGTCCTTATCATGGATGATTCGCCTTCTCCTGCAAAGGATAAGGACAAGGAGCGGAGGCGCACCTCGAGTCCTTCAGCACCTTCCGCCTTCCGCCCTCTCCCTTCAACACCCCATGAATCACCATCCCCGACCGGCATACCTAGAGCACCGAGCGCGCTGTCTCAGAGTACGATGCATACTGGTATTCGCCGCCCACAGTCAAGAGTGTCGGAAGGGCGAAGCAGTGTCAGCACCAATGCTACTACGAGCACGGCTAGTTCGATCCCAACACCTTCGTCACGCCCAACGACTCCCACCTACCTTCCTCTTCCCACGTACGGAGGTCCGGGGCATGGGCTGAAGATCTCAACAGGACCGGGCTCAGGGGCATACCAACTGAAGCGATCTTCTCTGGGAGCCCCGGCCAAGTCATCGCCCATAGCCACATCACCTCCCCCTCACGCGAACATCACTGTGCGGCCAATGACAAAGTCCACTATCGCCAACTCGATGTCGCAGAGCCGGATCGGGAAGCCAGCGGCTCACGCAGCCGGTCGGAGGAGTGTGGGTGAAACCTCCGGAGACGAGATGTTGACTGTTCGCGACCTATCCCGAGCGAGGTCTGGGAGCACGACGGCTGTGTATGGGAAGAGGGGTGTATAACGGAAGTTGCTGTCTATGTTCTCGACTGTGCATACTCTTCGAGTTCCCTATCTTCTGCGCTAACCTCGATCCTCCGCCAGTCTTTCTATCTTCTACAAGTATAATGAACTGACGATTTACGATGCAGTCGCAGTTTGTGTCCGCGGTTGCGGCTGTACATCCATGCTCCCTATATCCCATGGCTTTTGACGATATCCCCGGCCTGCCTGGTTAGAGCTTCAACCCGACCCTGTTCATTCATTTGGCGCCACCCTGTGCATCTGAGCTATAGCGACACTAATGTTATGTAAAGAGTACCTTTCCGTCATTCACTTCCCTGTAGCTTTGCTTGAATATCAATATTACAACTATTTATTATTCGATGTATGCTACGGATCTCCGCTGTCTGCAGCCTGTAAGGTCGTGGTATAGGTCAGCCTCCGATACTTTTGGTAGCCTCGAGCTCGAGTCGATTATCCAGGTCCGCGTCGGTATGCACTTATGGTTTAGACGCCCACGCCGCCACGCAGAACGCAGACGCGTTTAGGCGCCCACAGCCACTTTGACTTGCACACTGAAGACTGCCCGCCTGTAGCGGCGGTATTCGCGATGACCACGCCTACTCCTTCTTCTAGCATGCTGCCGGTGCGCTCTCTGAATCGGCAAGAGGTCCTGGATGAAGATGAATACACAGAAGCCCTCTCTCGTATCATCGCACGCGACTTCTTCCCATCTCTCGTCCACCTCGAGACAACCAACGACTACCTGGATGCCCTGCGGACGAAAGACCCGCAACTCATACAGGCATCTGTTCGACGGATGGAAGGACTGTCCACCCCGATGAGCTACCGCACTCGTCCATGGGAGACGCCCTCCCAAACGCCATACGCAGCGGGGCCCTCAGAGACACCGTTGCGCACACCGCGGGACGAGCCACCGGCGAAACGGGCACGGTACGACACGGACATGAGCTTGGACGCGTTCCAGGCGAAGTATACATCCGAAGACAATTCGAGCTTCACGCAGATTCTGGAGGAGGAGAATAGGAAGCGGAGGGAGCGGTGGTCGTGGGCTTGGGAGGCGCAGAAGAGGGTGGAGGATCAAAGAGGGAAGATGCTGGAAGGGAGGGAGAGGCTCTTGATCGAGGGCCCTGTGGCGACCGGTGTCCGAGAGAAGTTCGCCATAGAGGCTCCTACACCCGTTGGGCTACTCACGGACGGGTCCTCGTCCGGGGACGTGAAGGACGATTCGGAGAAGGGAAAAGAGGTAGTTCTCAAGGACAAGGATAGTGAGGAGGAGGTAGAGGAAGTGGATGTCATGGCGCCGAATAAAGACACGAGATCAGCCGGGGTAGATGGCTGGAGGTTCAAGGTATGTAACCCATATTTCCTCACGACACTGCAAGCATCTAACCGGTGCCGTCTTAGGCGCGAAATGCATTTATGTTTCCGCCAGATGCGGATGTGTCTCCGTACCACGCTCCCGTCACTAAGGCGGCTGTAGAAGTAAAGGGTGCACCAAAGGCCATCAAGCATGGTAGCACTCGTCTCCCGGAACAAGACGACACAGTTGCAGGATCAGTGTCCGCGCCTGCAAGTCCGACACAGTCTCGTATAGACGCAGCCATTGCCGGCACCCCATGTAAGCATCACATCACGTTAGTACTGTCATACATGGCTGAGGCTGACTACGACATCCAGACCGGCCGAAGTCACCAACTGGCGACAACTTTGCACTCGTCCCTTCGGTGCCATCGCCTACACCGTCGGAACTCGGCCCAACCGCGATGAAGCAGCTCATGACCTGGGGGACGCTGACCGCCACCCCGCGTATCCTGTCCCAAACTGATGACCCTTCGGAACCATCGTCCGGCATGCCTCCCCCGACCACGCCCTTCCACATAGCCGCGCCCTCCGCCCGCGAACGCATCTCGCACAAACTGTCTTCAAACGCGGCGAAGAGTCTGCGGGCGAAGGCGGGTCTGCTCAACGTGCCCGGTATTGCGCGGGCGCCGGCCAGTTCGAGCGCGCGGAAGAGCTCCATGCCGCCGCCCTCCTGGACGCCGCGAAGAGTGGAAGCCGCTGGTGGGTTGACACCAGCCGCCAAGAGGTTACTGGACAGAAGTACGATGGGAACAGCAGCCGCTAGAAGAGCTGAAGCTATGGGCAGGATGGCAGGGTGGGAGGGCAGCAGCGCTCAGAAAGACAAGGACTTGAATCGTATTCGATGGACTCCTACTCCTAGCCCTGTATCGAGGAGACCATGATAGAGTATATCACCTGTACACCTACAAACTGGACCTGCCATGTATACTGTTTGTATCCCTTGGGGCCATTATTTCCGGCGCACGGACCGCGGTCAATTGACGCAGTAGCTGACGTCGAGATGCCTACTATACAGAAGGAGACATGGAGCAACCGAATGAAACACGCCGTCAGCTTTTCGTATCAGATACTCTCCTCCGTTTCGAGTCCCGCTCAGTATCGTCTTCAGGAGATGCTTCGCTTTCTTTGCGTTTGATATCCGTCCGGGCGTCTGAGTTCGCCTTTGGACCGCTGTTTGTCTGAGGTGGTGAGGACGCAGCTGCCTTCGGCTTCTTTTTGACGACCACACCCTTGAGAGACCTCTTGAGGTCTTTCTTTGCTGCTGCTGGTGCCGGTGCCTTGACTTTCGCCGGAGCAGGCTGTGGCTGAGACGGGGCACTTGGTGCAATCCCTACTGTGGGTTTGTTCGCGGCGTTCTCTCGTGCCGCGACAGCCCTGTGCAGATGGTCAGCATCGAAACACGATCGAACAACTCCCAAACGTACTCTCTAAAGTTCTTCACCTCCTCCCCATCCATCTCTTTGCGGAGCCGTTCCTCCTCGCGTTGCTTCTCGAGCACGGAATCCAGGAACAGCACCTCATCCTCTTCCAATGCGCGGAACTGGTTACCTACACTCGAAGATCAGGGAGCGGCAGACTAGGGATACGAAGACGACACACCTAGCTTATTCCGCTCTTCCCACTCTTCTTGTTTGGCTGCCTGAAGCGCGTAAGAAGCAGCCCATCAACGCAGTGTGCCGTTGCTTACTCTGTTGGCAGCTAGTTTCTGCGGTGCTGTGTGAGGAATCAAAGAATATGTATTAGAGAGGCTGTGGTACCTCTGCTAGACTACGGCCGTCGAATGCGTCTTCTGTTGGGGGCGGTGGGGGCTCTTGCCCAAGTCTGAGAACTGTATGAGATGAAACGAGCAGTGCACGACTGCGGGAGGCTGGTACCGTGCGTATGCGGCCTTCCACTGCTCGTCGCGGCGCGCCTTTGCGGTGTCGATGTCAGACTGGGAGACAAAGCGGGAGCCCACGGCGCCCGAGGAGATTGAGGGAATGGCGTCGAGGTCGTCCATACTGTAATGGATAGAGGAGAGTGGCGGGCGGTTGCTCGGCTGGGCGGCAACTTGGGCTCAGGCTGGCTGAGGCGAGGGTCCTTCACTCCTCCTCCTTACGCCTCCTGTCCCGACGTCGTTTTGACGGTCGCCCACTCGCTGCCCAGCAGCGGCAGGACCAGCGCCCGCTCCTTACGCCTTATACCCTCCCTCTCCTCGCCCCCAGCGTCCTGCGCTGCAAATGCAGTCTGACGGCGAACCTCACCCCACAGCGTCAACCCCGTCTGTGGCCAGTTTCGCAAAGTCACACAGCGTCCGAAGCTCTCGCGCCGCGCCATCCACTATCAGGACTGTCGTCACTGCTCCTCGTTCGTACCTGTTTCCTGTCGTGCGGAGGTTGTGTGCTTAGTCGCGTTGTCTGACCCGATCAGCCTGGGCACGAGATGAGCCACCCTCACCCACCGAGGACGATCCTCGGCAGGCAGCCTCGAAAGAGAACGTCCAGCGTCCAGCGGATTCACGTCCCTCGGCCAGTGATGTGCTCTCCTACCAGTCTTCAATACTCGACGACCCCGGTCCTTCTCGATGGTGGGCGTTCACACGACACCGACCAACATCACCCTCTCAGTCCACCCTGCTGACTGGACACCCGGCCTCACCATCGCGCAGACCACTGCGTGAATGGGAGCGGTCGCTCTCAATCCCTTGGTTGAGTCGCTCTCAGCAGGGAAGCCCAGCCATACCGTCGGCGAATCCACCAGTCACCTCGCACAAACAAGAGCAGGAGCAGCCGGACGACACAATTCCTGCGGACCCTTTACACGTTGACATACCTCCCCCTTCTACCACTCCTTTTACCATCGCGCAGAATGCGACGCCTGGCTGGGACAGCCCATGGAGTGCACGACCGCTGGACTTCACGACCCGCAGCAACCGCTCGGGTGAACGTGTACAGCAGTTGACACCCGTGGACGAGCATGATAGCGAGAAAGAAAGGTTGAGCACATGGGCCAGGAGACGGAAAAGGCTTAGAGCATACATGTTGTACAACCCATATGTTCCTCTGGTACAGTCCTTGTCCTGTCGGTCTCCTTTGCCTAGACTGACATGCTGTATCAAGCTGTTCCGCTTCATAAACATTGCATTCACAACAGCAGCTCTGGCAATTGCCATCCGCATCCGTCATTTGGAGAAGCGGAATGGTATAATGGGCGCTGTCGGCTCGTCACCGTATGTCCTTCAATTTGGCACTCAGACAGACCACACTCTGATGCGCGACCACAGAACACTTGTCATTATCTTCGCGAGCTTGACGCTCGTTCACGTCATGGTGGCCATCTATACCGAATACTTCGGTCGTCCGGTAGGGCTCTGGCACACCTCCAGCAAGCTGGCCTACACCCTCATCGAGGTCGTCTTCATCTGCGCGTGGTCCGCGGCGCTCGCGCTCACCTTCGACAACTTCTTCACATCTTTGATTCCTTGCGCATCGCTCTCCAGCATCTCTTGGTACAACGAACTGCCCCGCGCGACACTGCCCAACCTCACCTACCAGCTGGGCATCGAGGGGGACCACATCTGTGATAACCAGCTCGCGCTCATCTGCCTGGTCGGTGTGGGCCTCATCATGTACTGCTTCAATCTTGTCATCAGTCTCTTCCGCGTTTTCGAGAGGGCCAAGTACCACCCAGCTTCTTCACTCCCGACATGACAGCAATGCCGCTTACGAGCAACTCATTCTTGCGACGGGCCTCTCTGCTGTCTTACGATACTAGATGGTTAATTCGCTACCGTTTGCCGCAAGTAACATAACATACATGTTCTGGTCGGAGACATACACACACAGGGACTCTGATAGATGCATGTCTCGGTCTTCCTGCTTCTGGGTTTTCTCTCCCATTGTCCGATGCGCTGCCGTAACATGTACTGATATATGAAGCCACGCTAAAAACGCTGTACAAATGCAAGAGCTGATTTCGAGATCGCGCGTTGACAGTTGTACATGTTAGGACGCGCTTGCGTACTCATCGGAGCGGCGCGGTCTCAGACTAGTCTCATGCATCTTACTGCGGGGTGCACTTGCAAAGCGTACTGACCAGAACTTGATGGATGCTTACTCGGCCTGCGACAGTGAATTATCAGCGTCGTTAACTCGACTAGAGTGCGATAGTAACTAGTGACGGTTACCCCCATTTCAGGTTCCCTTTTCTAGCTCGTTCGCGCCGTCTCCATTACCAACCTGCCAGAGGACGTAGCATATGTCGTGGGAGTTGAACGTTGAACGTTGAACATCCTACCCGCGACGTCGCCCTGCAAAATCGCAAGACAGACGTCGAGGGCGAGACGCCGTAACGCCGACGGCAATGTCATGCACAATACCAGAAGTGTATTTTTGCCAGCTCGCCTCACCGCGCAGCAAGCGTTTGCCCTGTCAGATTCATGCAGCTATACATAACTCACCACGTCGAAACTACGCCAGTGGAAATGGGCGCGTATCGGAGGACATTGTCACTGTCAGTGGTGTTGTCTGATGGAACGCGTCAAGCAGCTGTTCGTGGTCGGATCGGGCAGATATCTCGTACCGAGTCCACCGAGCAGAGGAACGGCGCTGCGATGTGCGCGCACCTCAATTTGCATGGCTGTGTGTGATCCACTGTCCGCTGGCGGCGGTGCATGGATCGATCCGAGGAGGGCACCGCGAGGGCACGGACGTTCTCCAGCTCCAGACCACCATACTTGATCGTCTTGGTACGGAGCCATGCGCAGCGGAGGCCAAGGACCGCAGGAGGTTCGTATACGTTTCGCATGAACTGACGGGAAGCCCGCCCGCTCCGACGTCGGACGAGCAGCTGGTGGGTTCATTGCGTCCTGATATCTGGCGCTCGCTGTCAGACCGGCAACTGGTCAACTTGATGTTTTTGATTGTTCCGATCATAATCGACCGTTGTCGACGCGGAATCGCTGGTCGATCGGATGCGAGCACGTTGTGGAGGCCATGCACGCCTAGTCGTTGACAGATGGGCGGACACTGTCATGCACCCAGCTGCGTCTCGTAAGCCGCTCCTCCACGAGACCGTCCGCGAACGCTGGAGGCCATGCTTGCCCGCGCATGCTGCGCACTGCTATGATCGGAATGAATGAGACTCATCGGAGAGGACATGTGAGTGGTACTTACATAGCGAAGATTTCCGACCCGTCATGGGCCTCGGTCATGATGCAACTGCGGGGCAACAGGACAGATGCACTGCATGCAAACAAGAACACCCGAGGTCAGCTTCTTCCTGACCGCGATCGCCGGGAGAGCCACAGATGCATTCGAACTTGTGTTCACGAGGGGATTGCATACTCGGCTCGACAGTAGGCCTGGAGATCTGCCAATGAACCCGGAGTTATCACGAGACGCACTGCGTCGGAGAGGAGTTCGTTACGAGAGTCCTTCAGTGCCGCCACCAGCATTTTTGACGCAAGAGCGCTATGTGTATTGCGTTGGGCGGGTGTCTGAAGCTAGGCAAGTCTGAGAGCGTATGTGGCGCGGCTCGAGCTCAATCATGGCCACTGTCTAGAACATGCCTTCAGCGTGTACGACGTGGACCTGGACGATACTTACTCCAGGTTGACGCGTGACGTACCGCCACATAGTGCGCATCCCATTAATTCTTCACGGAACCAAAACTGGGATCTGTGCGACACATGAATGTATGGAGGGAGTCGGTCCTGGGCCTGAGCGAGCCTCATTGACATGTCCCGAGGCGCTCGACCGTGGGCCTACTATTCGGTGTGGAGCCCTAAGGAAGATCCGGCGAGGCTTTAGAACGATGCAGAAGTTGTACATGTTTCAACGACATATGGTTCTGAACCATATTCCGGCGCAGACCGGAAAGTAACAACACAGCGTCGGATGCAAAGTTGATGATTCTCGCGAGATGTCCAGTGAGAACAAATGAGGTGAGTTCTGGCATTGTTAGATGCGAACAGGAGCCGTGCTGGGTAGCGCGGATTTGTCGCGAGCCCGGGACATCGGAGCAGGACGCAAGGAGGAGTGGCGCAAGTTGAGGCGGGAGACGCTGGACGAGCGAGACGCGCTTCTCCGCGATCTCGGAGGCTACACCCGCATCAGAAACGCCTTCTCCGAGCCGAGGTCGTCGGGGTGGTGCACATACATAACAGCCCGCCTACCTGCCTCCTTCTCCTCCATCCTGCATGTCCTTCGTCGTCCAGCATTACCCAAATCCCCCACACCAACTGCATCTCACCGATGGCCTCGACCACGACATGGAACACCCTCCCGGTAGAAATGAAATTGTCTGTTGTCGATCTCCTTGATTTCCAAGACGTCAAATGCCTCTCCCTAGTCAACAGGGAGGCCTACTCGTTTACTGTGCCATCTATTTTCCGGGTATGTGCGCCCGTGCTCCTGCCACTCATCATCGCAGCGCGCTGATACCCGTATGCTGCACAGCACGTCAAAATACCCGACTACGAGGCACTGCGCATCTATCTGTCCTCTGTTCCCAAATCGCACAACCAGTACATTCGCCGACTCCATATATGCACGACGAACAGTGTTGAGCAGTTGGTTGCCCTGCCTGTCGATGGCCATCCCGTTACGGACGCAGTGGCTGAGCTGCTTGCTCACTGTTCCCAGGTGGAACAGCTGACGCTCGACCTGGCAGCTTCGCTGCACCGCACAATCATACCTGTGTTCCGGCACCTGGATCCCTCACCAGCCTCACCATCAATCATTGCGGAGATGAGCAGCGGGCACCATTGTCAGTCGGATTGCCCTTTCTGTTGCGAAGAGCGCGGAGAACTCATCTCAATTTGTCTCTAGGAGCGAACGCCTCGTCGTGGCCATCGCAGCGTCTCTGCCCAGCCTCTCGCAACTGTCACTCGACCGAATCACGCGGTCCGCCCTGCATGCACCCGAACTTGTCGGCGTGTACCCCTTCGTTCCGGTGGTAGCGGGGGATGAGGACATCCCCGACCACCCTCTCCTTGGGTCAGAGCTCCGCCTGCCCTCTCTGCTCTGCCTGCCCACCCTGAGGAGGCTCCGTATCCGCGACACCCACCTTGGCGACCCACAGTGGTCGTCGATGCCCGTTGCATGTGCGCTCGAGGTGCTCGACCTCGGCAGCTGCTACCACGCATCACCGGACTTCAACCGAGAGTGCACCGAGCGCATCATGGGCAATGTCGGCCATACCGTCGACGAGTTCGCGCTCAACACCGCCCTCACGCCGCAGACGTTCCAGTACGCGCAGCACAGCGAGACGCCGCTCAAGCGTCTCCGGAAGATCCACCTCACGCCCCTCTTCCCCGTGGAGAACGTCGTCGATACGCTGAGCACGCTGTCCGACTCCCCATCGAGCAGCTGAGCGTGCAGTGCTACGAAGACGACGTGCTCGACATCTGCTCCGCGCTGTGCGACTTCCTCAGTCTGCGGGCGGAGCGCGGCGAGCAGGCGCTCTACAAGCATCTCACGGAAATCACTGTGAAGACCGTGAGCGATCTCGCAGACGGGCTGTACGGCCCGTTTGCGCTCGACACTAAGTCCTCCGCCGCCGTCGCCGCACTCCCGCAGGAGTGCGCGAAAGCTGTTCGCGAGCTGCAGGACTTCCTCCGCGACCTTCGTAGCGCCGGCGAGAACGGACCGACGTCGGGTCCCGCTCTTTCGACGAGTGCCACTGACAGCGACATTGAGAAGCCGTCACCGCCACAGGCCGACCAAACCCCCGTGGAGGCATGAGCTATTCGTATACCCCTTTTTAGATCATTGGGACTTGTCTTTATGGAGTATATATGTCAGCCTGTAACTTAAGGAGAGTATAGAAGCACGGAGGCCGCAGTGATACCCATATGCATGTCTTGTACAACAGGAACCACTTGTCCTCCTGTGCCTAACATTCAATGCGACGTAACTATGTGTACATGAGCCCTTCAGACCTATACCAGCCAGAAACTGTCAACTCATGTCAGGGCCGGCGTAGACCAACGTAAGTACTTACTCAACCCCCCTCGCTAGTCAGACCTACGCATCTGAAGGTCGCCCATAGCCGGCACATGCAGAGTGCGCTGCTCCATTCGTCCCTGCTCCCACCCTTCCGTGCTGCCTGTGAAGTAGACGAGATTGGTAGGGGCACCGTGATGCATTCCCCAGTCGTCATCCCGACCCAATACGCATAACAGCTCATGTGTTTCAGGCCGTTCACGGGCGGCGTTCCTGTGTCCAAGCTGCGTTTGTTCAAGTCAGACAAGGTTTCAGGAACCATGCCGGGCGAGACGCACCGCAATTCGTCCCGCCGACCGGTCGGACGCAGGGCGAACCGTTTCTTGCGCTTACCCTGAACGACCTCCGGGGGCCCGTTGAATGCGTTGAACGTATCCATCGCATTGGTCCCGTTAGCACAAGCTCCTCCACGAAGAGCGTCCCACGGTCAACCGTGATCGTTGCAGAGCTGTCCCCGTCCGAGCTTCTCCAATGACCGACGTACATGGCTGTTGCGAGCTCCGCGAGTGCGCGGTCAACGTACGGCTGTACGATCTCGAAGATGTGGTAGGTGATCTGGGCAGCGTCCATGTATGCCCCGGCCATGAAGACCACGACGCCGTAAGACGTGCCGGGGTGTATGGCGATGGCGCTGTGGTAGTTTACAACTCTCCCACTGCGAGCCCGAATGGTGACCGGTTAGCCTTACGAGTTGACGTCACAAGGAGCCCAAACACTCACGTTTCCAGTAGATCCTGCGCAACCTGTGATTTGAGTCCATCGCCTTGATTATTTCCCAGATGAGTCCCAATTCTGTCCAGTCGTCCTCTTCGAAGGAGTGCGTAGCGTGAAGCCAGTTGCGCATCGAATATGGCGTGAGGACACTCTTGGGATGGCGAGGGTTGAGAAGCGTCGATGTGAAGGTAATCGCGTCGGAGAGCGAGCACCATTGCCCCCCTGCGGCGTTCATAGCATCCAAGAAGTCGAAGTCCTGGGGATATCATGAGCAGGGTCATAGACTGGACAGTGCAATGACCGGTATTGCTTGGTGCTTACGACGATAGAAGTTTCAAACGAAGGTACGACCAGTAGATGTTTATTTTCCTCAGTCGCCAAGAAATGGCTACCATTTAGAGCCATAGGATCAAACACATCGCGCTTCACGATATCAGCATATTGGGTGGGCTCCCCGCTGGGATCACTCGAAGCAAGACGGTTTGCAGCGACGAGCGCAGGTCCCAATACGCCCGTCGCAGCATTGGAATATGATGGATAGAGGCCTGGGGGATACACCAAACGATTGATAGCCACGGAGTCCAAAACAGCGTCGATGGTAGGAAAGGGCAGCCCGTTTGTTGGAGGGGCACCGGCTCCGTCTACTGATGAGGGCCATTGGGAGACGTCACCGGGAGGCCAATCATGACCCAGTCCAGACATATGGGTGGCAAGGTGGCGGAGAGTAATTGGCTCTTCCTCCAGAAATGGTCCTGCATTGTCAGGCGAATACCCATCCAGCCGATACGCGAAGTCGGGTAGGTACTTCGATACCGGATCGTCCCTAATGGGGTTCGGTGAGTATGATCCAACTCAACATCTACCTTACTGATGCTCACCACGACAGAGCACCTCTCTGCTTGAGGACGTGTGCCTCAACAGCCTCAAACAACTTCGACACGCTCGCCATTCGGTACATCGCATGGCTGCTGGTGAGCGGCGATGACTCGCGGTCGGCGTCCGAGCCGTTATTCCTAGCTTCCCTAGGTTGTTCTCGTAAATCGCACCTTGCGATGTCACTACGGCGACAGAAATGCTCTCTATGTCGCCTCCGCCTGACTGAAAGCGGTCGCGCAGATACGCATCCACTTTCGCCGCAGCCTCTTGCATCAACGGGTGAGAAGCCGATGGTGGCGACTCTTGGAACAGGTCGGGCAGGAAAGGGTAGCAATTCAGCGATGCGGGTGTCGTCTTGAACGCGACTTCTGCTGTCCAGTGCCGTCCATACTGCACGAACGTTGCGGCGAGGGCGGAGACTGTTGTAGACAAGGCTTGGACGCCAAACATCGCTACGGTTGACGCAAACGAGACGTGTTCTCCTGTTATAAATGCGTCTCGGATAGGCGCAGCCCTAGATCGTCGCCGAGTGAGTGTCTCAGCGATATGATCCCGGCTCTCCGCGGATGGTTTAGTGCCAGTGCCTCCCGAAGTTGACTCTCAGCTTGTCTTCCGGTTGCCGGGAGTACATATACACCCAAAGGAGTGCCCGTAGACTGAGTAGAGCGAGACAAGTTCTGCCATTGCGAGCAGCCGCCAATGCGTACACGAATAGTGTTTCGTGGGAAGCGTGTTCAAGTTGTGCGTCGACTCTCGAGCGTCGAGCTGAGGACGACCACGGCGCGATCACATGGCACATTGACCGTGAAACGCGCGTCGGCACGCGTCGACCCGACGACCGTGACTCTCAGTCAAGGTCACAATTCTTGCCCATAACTGGCAAGCTCATGCACTCGTCCTTGTTCTCGCCATTACGACGCCTCCGAAGCCCTCCTCACTGTGTTGAAGACAGTCGTTGATAGCTCATATAAACCTCTGTACTGCTTGCAAGGTCCTCCACGATGTTCCCCGGTCGCTACTGCGTTCTGTTGCCATCTAGCATCCAGACGGATTTCGCGGCATGCCGCACATGCCTGGTAGACTTTCCAGCAGTCAATCACACTGGCGGCTTTGCCTTGTTGGAATCGCTGTTACCGCACGGTCCGCACAGCGTGCTGTAAATCAAAACCGCTGTGTCCGTCGCAATCCGTTTAGTTCATCGGCGCCATGATGTGACAGCATATGTGGATCCGTGTGGACGAGTGAGACCATCAAATTACCGTAGCTCGGCTTACTCACCAAGTCTGCGAAAGGTGCGTGGTACGTACCAACTCTGGCAGTCTTGTAGCGAGGCAGTCTACGTGGCTAGCCTCCGCCGCTCGAATCCAGACATATGTACACTCCCTGTTACGTGTTATACACAGGATCTGTGAACCTGTTCTCCGAGTCTACTTCCTCAGACCTCCGACTCGGAGATGCTGTTATTGATGGAAGATCCGCTCGGCGATGATTCAGTGATGTACAACAGTACTGCAGATGATGAGTACTTGCTGTCTTCATAGTTTCAAGTTCAACTAATTCCATGTTGCTAGACCTCGAGCGCGAAAGTACGCACAGGTGGAGTGTGTCGAACTTCTGTTACGTGCGAAGAGACAAGGGCTATCTGCGAAGGCAAGGTGAGTCGAGCATTACAACATGTAGCAGTCAGAACAACGCACTAGCAGGTGAGTGAAGCTTAAGCACGCACGTTTGGCTGAGGGCGAGGAGCGGCCGTTCCGGGCATTTGTTGTTTATTACCTTTATTGCCACTGAGGGCGGAGCCCTATGTAGATGTTACACACTCTAGGTCTTATCGAGTCTCCTGGCCGTTGTCGCGCATCGCCGCTCCGGGCATGTCGGGAGTCCGAGGGGTGGAAGGGCAGTGACCGCGCCCGCCCAAGTCGTTGTGACCGCGCCTCAGTGATCATACAGAGAACTCTGGACAACAATAAGGACACCGGCTTCGTCACTTCGTGATATAAGAGGGCATGGACATGTGTTGTGTCTGTAGCTCTTTCTTCTTCTTCTTCGAGCTCATCATAGGTGCTGGCCAGTGAGTGTCATCATGTATTGTTCCATGACCGGCATTAATGCAGGGCTAACATTGAATCCTCACTAGTCTACTTACTTGTGTCCCGCTCACCACACGATAAAGATTCTCCGCCTTCTTGAACGGATCCACATCCATGCTCTTCTCTGTGGTGCTCTGCTTGGGTGCTGCCCTCGCCCTGCCGATCAGCGCGTATACCAGGTTGATCTCCACAGGCTAGACTGAGACTGCACAGCACTGACAAATGCTCCAGTAACCCAATAATTGACCGCCGTAATGATTTAAACGAGGTATTCGTGCGTGCTCTAGAGGAGGAACTGTTCGCTCGTGGCGGTGAGCACTGACTGGTTCTCTTATACTAGCTTGTATCAAATTTTGGACAGCAGGTCATAACCCAAACAACAGTCCTTACATTCCGGCAAAGCATCGCCCGCTCCCAGCTATTCCGGCAAGGCCCCGCCCTCTCCCAGCTACTCCGGCAAGGCCCCGCCCGCTCCCAGTTGCCCCTGCGTTGCGCCCGCCCCGTCATCCAGTTAATCCTCCCGTCATTCCTCATTCCCCCGTCCATGCTCCCGTCATCCCCCCGTCATCCCCCATTCCCCCGTTCATGCTCCCGTCATTCCCCCCACATTCCTCATTCCCCCGTCCATGCCCCGTCATCCCCCCTGTAATCCCTCCCAGTCCGGGAATGTCTAGCGCACCACAGCTTCACCATCCCAAACCAGTGAAAGCTGCTGGCGTCGAGAGACCGAAATGGTTGGACCACTACCGGCGTCGTGAGCTACTCATCCGAGCTCTGGAAGACGAACTGATGCGACGAGTGGTCAATCAACCCATCGAGCGTGATTACGACGAGAACCTCTGGGCGCGTGGGTACGATGACTTGTGGACTCGTATGGAGGTGGATGAGCTCGACTGAGGCACTATTGCGTGGTTGACTTCGTGATAGCTGGATGTATTGTATATTCTTATTCTCACTGTCGTCGTTGGTGAGATCTTGATACCTGAAAGTCCTATGCGTCGGCTCGCTGCCCTTCGATGGCACTGCCCGCCGAGCGCTTAATCAATCTGGATCTGGGCATGCAGACATGAGAATGATTTAAAGCTCATTAAAGATTATGTGCACTCTGTTGTCTTACTGGCTGTTTACATGTGCAACGTCCATAATCTAACAGACGTAAGCACGCCCAGCGGTGTCCTCTGAGTTGCACTGCGTCGCAATTGAGATACCATTGCATTCACTGCCGGTAGTACTTGCTACTTGCTACTTGCCGCGGAACGATGTTGTGGATGACGAGCACGTATGAACAGACAAGTCGTCGCGTCCTTGAGTGGCACTATATTTGAGCTTCACTTGCTATAAATTTATCTCAGCATTGACGTCTTTACAACGGACTACCGTACCGTCAATCGAGCCACGCTCAATCTAGACTAGACATGACGCATGCACTTCAATATTCAACTGAGGCCATCAACATAGATGTCATAACCTTACAGTGGGACGTCGATGCCATGAATTGTTCCGAATCTCTTGGCCGGTACTCCGAATCAGATCTCAAGAGCGACATAATGCGGTGTTTCCCTTGTGGCGTGAGCGCCGCACGGGTTCTTTCAGAACAACAATGATGTGACGAGTCAGTATCATGTTCAGACGTTTCAACGGTCCTGACCACGCTGCTGTGTGATTTTAAGCACAGCGCCACTGCATTCACCTCTGGCATCGTAGTATGGGCCGCCGGCTCCGTCGGTGAAGCAGAGGTGGTATGAAGGATGCTTCCTCTCGGTACAGCCAGCGCGAAGCATACTGGACAGACCAGCACGGATCCGAGGCATGACCGACCCGTCCCCGGGGTGGTCGCAAGATTCGAAAGGCTTTGAAAGATGTGAGCGCTGTGACCAGTGGTTTTGATACTCAATAGGCCCGAACGAGTGGCCTTCAGTGAACCTTCCTTGACTTCTCCGACCGGATTGTTGCCGATGCATCCGCGTGAGCTCAAGTATGAATCGCCACGAGCTGTACTGAGGTAGTTCGTGTGACATTGCCGTGGGGTACGACTGTCAAAATGCCGTACACACAGCTACGACCTTGGCAGTTTTCATTGTGCTGATACAGAGCCCTCTGTCGTTGACTGGAAGTTATACTCATTGAGTTAGCATAATCCACGGATATGAATGTCTACATACCTTGCTCTTCGCGTCAGTACCCGCTCGTCTGCTGTACCATTCCCATACCTGATCCTATCCGAGAAGTGGATCAGAAGGGGGGATGACTCCTCGTCCAGCCACTGTTGTGCTGATCTCGAAGGTCGAGGGAACGATGAGCACTGGTCTGCACTTGGCATTGAGCTCAACTACGGTGATGCCCGCGTTTAGATCAGGCTTAACACGGTACACGCATGAGCAACGAACTGCCATGGCTTCCTTGCTGCGAATACAGCGTACGGTGAAGTAGATCCGCTCGCCGGACTTCGAGCGTGACACCCGCGCAGCGGGATCACTGAGGGACAGCACGTTTACAGCGCGGACACAGACTTGAGACGTATTCGATGTCTGTACTCGGGCGAAGACTGGTCAGTAACAACGGGGATGCGCTGTAGGTACAGCAGTCACGTACGTGTGCTATCCTCAAGCTGTCTCCTTGATGTCGTCCTCCATGATGAATTGCTCGGTTCTTGACTACCATGCGGGACCGTAGTCACTGATAGAGTACCACCGGCATTTCTATCACACATGATCCATTATGCCCAAGGCAATGCCACATCGCATGGGCTTATAAACGAGTTCTCACTGCGAGTCATCCTGCAATAATTCTCTCAGCAGTCTACTCGATACGACAATCGCATGCCTCTCAGAACACACCTCACAGTCCTCAAGTGGAGCGCAGCTTTATATGCCGACTCCGTTGTTTTCAAAATCCCTAAGACTGTCAGCAGCAACGGCCAAGCGCAGCACCAGTGGGACGATGTCACATACCGCGACTTCCTCCTCGACGTGGAGAGGTCGGCCCGTTACTGGAAATCCATACTAGCCAAGGAGAATATCTCACAACGCTCCGTAGTTGGTCTCTGGTGAGACACTTCCCTTTGAACAAGGTTGACGGTCAACCTGACATGAGATGTAGGCTGGGCGGAATGACTTACATGGACGTCCTACACATTTACGGCATCGCCAGAGCCGGATTCATCCGCAGCTCTTCTCATTGCGTCTTCCAAGCCCGGAAATTATCTTCGAGCTCATGCATCGCGCTGGCGCGAAGGCTCTCATCTATGATGTCTCATACGCGTCAATAGTACACGGTTGCTACGTGACAACCCTCACCGCCGTCGACATCTTCTCTGCCCCAGACGTTCAGGTGTCACTAGCGGCGGTCATCGCACCGGAGAGTCGTGACGACATAGCCATGGTCTTCCACACGTCTGGGTCAACTTCTGGGTCGCCAAAGCTGGTCACATGTACGTACGGATGGCTGGACACTATCGTGGCAAAGGCAAACACGATCGGTGTACCGTGTCGACCCGGACGGCAAGACGTTATCGTCAGCATGTGAGTTCGTCAGTAGTGGTTGACCCCATGCATGATCTAACCACCGTTGACATTAGGGGCAGCATGTGTCACATCGGTCAGACACTCACGTTGATCAGTGCACTCCAGCACGGTACCTGCACGATACAGCCTACACAAATCGCATTTTCCTCGGACGAGCTAGTCCAAATGGTTCGTCAGTGTGGATTGAACCGCCTGATGCAGTTCGCTACATTCCTCTCTATACACCTCCGGAATTCTCGCCATGACCCCAATGTTCTCACCCTTCTGAAAGGCCTTGACGAGGTCTTATTCGCTGGCCTAGCACTCCCGCAAGAAGACGAGGAATGGGCACGCGTCATGGCCTGCGTCTCAGGAACCTCTTCGGGAACACGGAGTGTGGGGCCATGTTGATATCCGCGGGCGGTCAGGGCAGCAATTCCCTCTTCCTACGCCCCATCGAAGGCACGAAATATGCCTTCGTCCCTATCACTTCATCTTCCGCCGGAGATGAGGCGACGCACTATAACGCCAACACCGTCCTCCTCGAGCTTGTCATCCTTTCCGACTCCGGCGACTGCCCCCATCCTTCGCTTCGCCAAAAAGATGGGCATTTCCACACGGGGGACCTTTTCAGCGAGGTTGCTCCAGGGAGCTACCTCTTCCGCGGTCGTGATGACGATTGGATCAAGAGCGAAAATTCCCTCCGATGCGACACGCGCGCGATCGAAGACAACGTCCGCGCTACATGTGGTGACCTCGTTGCGGAGTGCGTGGTGGTGGGTTACGGGAAACCGTCGCCCGCCTTGTTTGTTGAGCCAAAGGGCGAAATCGAGGGCGAGAAGCTGAGGAAGGACATTATCCGTCGGACGCGGCATTTCCATTCCAGACGGTACATGCACGAACGGATCGTCGACCCGAAGTTCGTCGTAGTCGTTCCGAAGGGCACCTTGCCGAGGACCGCAACCAAGGGTAACATCCGTAGGCGTGCGGTCGAAGAGAAGTTCAAGATAGAACTAGATCGCGTGTACGGTACTAACAGCAAGGCCTGAAGTACGCATGAAGCCCTCTCACCGGCGATGTTTGTTCCCACAGAATCGTCTCGATACAATACTAATGGTGTATTAGTAATATTGCGCATCCCGTGTCCTACACCATATAACAGAACATACCGTATTTATTCTCTCTGGACGCATGTCGAGTCTTGATATCCCCTGTACAGTAGGTGCAGCAATGAAATGCGCATTGCGGACCTGATCAGACATTCACTACGCCCTCAGTGACAATAAGGGATACAAGAACAAATCACACTCACGGCAGATGTATTTGCACGACGGCCGCTTGGAATTCGATGTCATGGTCGGCATTTACATGAATAAAATCTGAATAAGTCTCGGAAGCTATGCTGGAACGCGCTCCGCTGACGTTCTAGTACTACAGGATCGAAGCAAGGAGAAAACTGCTGAATGCTTCGACCGTGACGTCAAGCTGCAAGTGCGACTCACCTAAGTCTTCGTGCCGTACGCGCGGCAGGCGCTTGTCCCTGTGGCAATATCGCTAGCGCGTAGATCTTGCTGCCTGCGAGCACACATGCCAACCCTATCCCGCCGGCAACACAATGATGGATTCCGGAGGTGATGCGTTTTGAGACGGCAGATATCCCGGACTACATCGTGACGATGACAGAAGTCAACCGGTAATTAATGTCTCAGAGAGCATGTATTTCCGGAAGGTAATGATCCTAACAGCCAACTGCGAAACGAAAACGCTGTAGGTGGACACATGTACCGGCCCCTTCAGCCCACGAGACATCAACATAGAGGCACACGTACACCTCAGTACCCCAATCGCCGCACCGCAAATGCTCTGTGAGCCATTCACATTTCGTCCGATGTTTTGAAGGCGACGTCGTCCTCGACGATGCTGAAGGCAAACCGTGTTGCGTGGGCGCTTGCCGGTGTCCTGATCAAGCCTCGGTGGACACCGTTCTGCGCAATGACGGAGCTCCGAACAGTGTCCCCTTCGATGTCGAGCAATGCGAGCGATGCAGGGTAGAGTGTTATGTGATGCGTAACTGAGAAGCCTTGCCCAGTCTCCGATGAACTCGAGGCCTCGTGCGCGCTATCGCCTTGAGCGACGTGGGAGCGAGCGGGCCGACCGAAGACTGCAGCTGAGTAGGTTCTCTGTGGGTGCGGGAGGGCAGAGCATCTGCATCTGCAGCGTCGAAGGGGGAAGGGAAGGGATGCAAGTGCTGCTTATAGAGTGGATACTGTTGCTCTCCGACGTCAACGGCCCTCCCTAAAGAGTTAAGGCCCCAGTTGGTCAAGACAGTGAGAGGCCCGCGCATGACACGGACACTTTGTAAAGCGACAATGACTTGACGCAAAGGACTGACGGGTTCCGTGGATATCGCATTCCCTGGAGCGGTAAGTCCGGAGGTAGTGCGCCATTGTTCGCCCAGAAATCGGTCGTTCCAGTAGAAGGCGCTCAGGGAGTCGATAGCCAGGAGACCGATTTCATACGATCGGAGAGACGGGTGCGTCGAGTGATAATCAGGTAGATGCATCAGAGTCGTAGCCAGATGTGCAGAAGACGATGGCCGAAAAATATGCAGTCGAGACAAGCACTGGCCCACCATGTCCTCTAGGGCTTGATCTTCTATGGCAGGTAGTGAGGTGTTCTTCGCGTCGCGTAGGATTTGAGACAGACGAAAGAGGAGGAGATGGCTAAACCTCTTGACGCTGAACTTGCCATCGGTGTCGAATAGCACCGCGGCACACTCCCATCCCCTGATTTCGACAGAGCTATACGCGGAAGGCAAAATGCAAGTAGCTAGCAGATGGTAGAGCAGGTGACTTTTGCCGCTGGCTGCCGGTCCCTGTATTTCCAGAACGTCCCCTCGACTGAGCGAGATAGGTCGTTGTAAATCGAGGCTGGAGATATGGCCATCCAAGGCAAGAATGCACGTGGAACCGATCGGATAAGCTGTAAACTATGTAAGTTATGAAAGACTGACAAAAGAAGTATGAATTGGGCTACGCACCATGTCGAAGGGAAGTCAGAAACTAAGCATACAAGTCAAAGCCAACTCTGCGAGCGTCCCCAAAGCTGGAAAAGATATTGACTTACGCTCTGCATGGTCTCCGTTGGGACCTGTGCAAGCATTTCATCCGCGGTCGGAAGTGAATCCATCCTGTGCGCGATCTTGGAACGGCTTCGCGTTCGAATATTACGGCGCGCTTCTAGACCTTGTCGACATACGAAGCTGATCCTCCGGTCTCTGGGCGTTCGTAGTGTTCGTCAGCGCGTCATAGTGCTTCTTGACCTCGTTGATGATACAATGAAGAGAAAGCCGGATGTGAATGGGCTACTGGATGCACAAGTTCAGGTTGAGGCAGCTGCGGGACAGTGGGCACGTGGCTGCCACCGCGAGTGATGGACCGTTTTAGCGTGATGCGCTGCCACCAAGCACTGCAGCGGAGGCAGCTTATGCCTTAGCGACCACCTCCTCTCGCCTCCGTACACTGTTCGACTCCTCCGAGGGCAGGTCCATCCACCTTCGCGTACAACACATCGCGAACGCGTTCACAGCACAATGGCTACCGCTGCCCCCGCGAGAGCCACGCCCGCGTCGCGACGCTCGCCGTCTGTGAGTTCGACGGCTCCCACCACGCCTGCCGCCTCCATCGCCAGAGGCGCGACTGCTCGTTCAGCTGTTTCGCCACGCGTGACGGCTTCTATGAACAGCACCGCCGCCGCCCGTCGGGGTTCGCTGAAAGGCGCAACGCCGCCTGCTAGTATTGTCAATGGGGAGGCGCGAGAGACGCGTGAATCACTGTCGGCACATCTGAAAGAAGAGACAGAAAAGAAAGAACAGGTGCGTCGAGTCACCCATATATCTTTCGGCGTCGCTTACCTGTCACCCGTAGCTCCTGGTCCAATTGCAGGACAAGGACCAGACGATCACTACTCTTACGACAGAAAATGACAACCTCAACTCAGCGCTCAAGGCCGCTGAGTCCCGGCTTGCGGAGATGTATGCTGAGCAGAACCGCATGGAGGAGGAAATGGGGGCGCGTATCGACATTAGCGAGAAACTGAGGACCCAAGTGCGCGACCTCGAGAAGGACAAACGCGACATACAACGACGATATAACGAACAGGTATGTCATGCTCCCGTGGCGGGGATGCCCATGGCTGAAGTCGTGTCAAGGCAACGACATTCGAGGCAGAGCGCCAGGCGTTCTACGACAACGAACAACATCTCAAATCACGTATTCAATCCCTCACGCAAACTCGCAAGCAACCAGTACTACCTCTGACATCGCCTTCCGTCGCATCCATCGCCGAAACTGAGATAGGAGAGGAAGCCGGTGCAGAGGCCGTCGCGCAGGAGGGGCCTGACGGCACCTCACAAGCCGACAAGCAAGACATCAACGATCCCGAACAGGAACCTGCCGAGATGACCGCGCTCAAACTCGAGCTGTCTACCCTCTCCACGTCGTACTCTTCCCTGCAACAAACACTTGTCCTCTTGCAAACGCAGCTCATAGATTTGAAGCGGGTCAACAACGAACTGCAGGAGGAGAATGAGTCCTATAACATCCTCCTTCGGGAGAGGACGTTGAACGGTCAATTTGACATCTTACGCATGGGCGGCGGCACGAGCGTCAGCGAGGCGAGCGCCAGCGAAACAGGTGACGACGACGACGTGGAGAGAGATAGCAGGGACGGCGAGAGTCTCAAGAGCCGAAACACTGGCAGGAGCGTGCTTGACCCTGTGGAGGAGCTCACTGAAAACGAGCTCGATCCAGCGTTCCAACAGGACGGTGAACAGGACCAGGAGGGCTCCGAGAAGGGCGAGCCTGCCCCCAGCGTTCGCAGACACGCTCGCAGGCATTCCAAGTCCCACTCCCCTCAGACACGCGGGGAGTCTCTTGCGAATTTGCCCATCACCGGTCCTGGACTCGACTTGGCTGCCGAGCTTGGGCGTGCTGAGAACAAAGACATACTGGAAGGTCGTGCGCCGTTGGAGAACGAGCAGATCGTACCGGGCGCACGGCACAAGAAGGGTAGGAAGGCATCCGACACAACTCGTAAAATTTCCGTGGCGTCTGAGCCTGGTATGGACACAGGCGCGGTGGACGACCTTGATGCTCTGCGGATCGAGGTTAAGAGTCTCAAGGACGCCAACAAGGCACTCTCGCTTTACGCGTCCAAGATTATCGACCGCATCATCTCCCAGGAAGGCTTTGAACATGTGCTTGCTGTCGATTATGACAGCAAAGCCCCGATGACTCCCAATACGGCAGCTACATTTACCACCTTCAGTAAACCGCCTGCAGTGAACGGGCAGCCTGCCAAGAAGGGCCGCCCCCAGTCAGCTGTCTTCTCTTTCTCCTCTTCGACGAGTCAAACCCCACCTATGTCGCCGGGATTGACCACGTTCAACTCCCCGCTTACTCCCAACACGGCAACGTCCAGCCCACCGAAGCCTCCCGCGTCCGCACGAGCCTCGCGGCGTTCCCTGTCATTTGACTGGAAGAGCTTCAGCATGTTCGGTGGCGGCGAGAAGAAGCCCGAGCCGAACCCTAATCTGAAGCCGCTCACGCTGCGGGCTGGCAGCAGCCCTGTCGTGACCGGCGCCCGCAAGCTGGACACTCTGGAAGACGAGGAGGACAGGAGAGAGCGGGAGCGGCTCCACGCAACCATGAAGCTGATGGGGATAGAGAAACCCCCGATGGTGCAGAAGAGTCACTCTGCACCATCCGATCCTGCGCGTCCAGGTGCGATAGACACTGCTATGAACTCGCCGGTCACAGCTAGCACCGTAACACCAGTGAATCCGCCGACGCCGTCGTCCCGCTTTTCCTTTTTCCGACGCACGCCGTCAATGACCTCGTCCGATGCCTCCTCCGCGCGATCCTCCGCACAAGGGAGTCCGTATGTCAGCGGTGGGAACACGCCGAACCTGACGCAAGAGGCCCTAGAGCAGGCGGAGGCAGAAGGTGCTATCGCTGCTCTGGAGGCGCATGAGCGTCATCTGAGCGCTGAGATTGCTCAGGGTAGCCCGGGCGGATTTACGGAAGTCCCACGACGGAGCAGCGACCGTCGCAGCAGCCGGAAGAGCGGCAGTGGCAGCACCGTCTGGAGTGCCGGGATGAGCAAAGGGGAGGATGGGGACGACTGAAGGACCGCGTGCGGACCACCATGTATATTGATTGAACAAACAAGGTCTTGATCGACATTTGGGGGATTTCGTTCGCTTGCATTTATGGTTATACCCTCACTTCCGTTGCATACGCAACAGCTACACATGACATTTCGCATCTTGCCATGCGTCTCCGGATCGCATTCTCATTGTTATCATCGGTTATACCAGTAATGTACATACCTACCGCCTGTGTAGTACTACCACTAATATCGCTCTAGAGGATCGCTGTCTCATTGCGCAATGTCCGTGTGATCGTGTCCGGACTACGTTCGGCGTGGCCATAGTGCATTCGTAGCCTGCATGCACGTCACTGGAGTGAGAGCCTTGCTATGCTGTTCGAGTATCGCACGAGGGAGGCCTGGATGATTTGCCGACAGGTAATGCTTAACATCAGGAAAGTGCGAAATGGATGTCCGACCATGGTAGCGTCACGGTGGGTATAGGGGTCGTCTCATTCCTCCTCTGATGTCTTCTGATATGGTTCATGCTTCAACAGGGTGTTTTGCGCATGAGTGCGTATTGTCTGGAATGGGTTGGAAGCAAATTCTGGATTGGAGAGAATCATGGGTATTCGCTTCTTCTCCAGTTGACTGTACGTCGGACAGTATGATCAGCCCATAAGCACGGCGTGTAGCCAGACATACGCACAGTGCGCGCTTTCTCTGAGCCTTGCTTAACGGGGCCCCCTTGCCCTCCCCAATGAGACCTGGTGTCGACCGCGGTTTCTTCGTTTGAGATGTCCGCTCTTCGCCGTCCTCCATGATAGACTGGACAACGGCCGGCGGCAATTCATCATCTAAGGCCGATATCGCAGCCTGCATCTCCCCAAGACCGCCAGCCACTTGTTCTTTTGCCTTTCGCTTCAGACGCCGTTCATGGGACTTGGAATACGGCGAACGGGCGGCCTCCAAACCTATGCACGTCAGGTTCAGACGGACAACCCCAAGTGCATTTAACAAATACCCACGAACGTCTGACGAAGAGTTCGTGCTTCAGAGCCTGCTTCTCCTTCTTCTTCAGAGTGATAGATGGCTCTTCTTGCTCTGCCAATGACTGAAGGATCTCCGTTCCCTGCGCAATCACCGGTGTCAGCTCTGAAACGCGATTAGCTGGAGACACCTTGACTCACGGATGCATCAGCATGAGAACCTATATCGACATGCTCTGTGGCATTGTCCTGCACCGCAAACTGACGCTTTGTTGGCCGAACAGATTGTTCGTGCCCTTGATGGCGTGTAGTACGTTTGGCCTTAGGCTGACTTGCAAATCTTACTTAGCAACTAGTACCGGTCATAGCCAGACATTGAGATGGCGGGACTGACCATTTTACAGATGTCCGCTGGGAAGAATCGCAGGAGAGCAAGTAGTGATCTGAGTAGAGGTCAATGTAACTGAGGATACAGAAGAGCAATTGGTGAAGGCGCCGTCAACAAGCACCCGCACACCTGTAGCCAATCAGGTGCGAGAGCCTAGTCAAATTGCCTTTTCTGTCAACTTGTTCAATCTCGACGTTCGAACGGAAAGGAACGGATGTCAATGGACCCCAGGAAACACCTCGAACAAACAGAGGAACAGCGCAGGCCTCTAGTAGTGGCGCGGCATATATATACCGAGGTACTACGAACTTGGAAACCATGTACAAGACTCGAAATCCTTCATGCACACGGCGACGAACCTGACGATGGTTGCATACATGGACGATAGCAATGGACCTCTATATTACATACATCCTGATATCAATGCACCCGTAGCATACGAGACAAACTAGTAACTCAAGCACTTGCTACACGTTCCCCCTCTAGTCTAACGGCTCCTTCTGATGAGTCGCTGTCTAAGGGCTCGCCGCTGAGCATATCCTGTTCCCTATCGTTCCGGGAATCTTCCAGTCCAACCAAGACGAAACTGCACAAAACGACCACAGCCCCGACGATCACCTGCGCTTTGGCAGGCTTAGCTAGGAGGAAGTCGCCCACGACCGCGAGGGGCATCGTCAGACTTAAGCCAACCGTGACGACGAGTGGTGTCGTCTTCAGCATGGCCAAGACATAGATGAAGTCGCTCGACAGTGTGATCGCCATCTGTCCCGTAGTTGAGATGCGTATCGCATGAACCAAGATACGACGTACGTTGATCAGGAGGGCCAATATTGCCTTGTTTGTGTACGGCAATTCAAGACGTTCGACGCCGGTCAGGTGAAGAATAATACCGATGGGCCAGCATGCCAGGATGTTGAACAAACCGACAAAGCCAAAGAATAGCTGCATGTCAATGCGGGACTCCTCTTTGATGCGTACTTTCAACAGGATGACATAGAGGGCGTAGAACAGAGCGGAGAGGAGTGCGAGTAAATCCCCGAAGAGGTGGGCAGATGCGAACGTTGTGATGGGATTCTCCATAGTGGGCGGAGGTTCGACTGATGGTGATGTAGGTGGGGGAGGTGACTGTTGAGAGTCTGACAGGGAGACGAGTACGACTCCTCCGAAGCTGCGGCAGGGTATCAATAGGAATATTCTTCCCAATAGTGCTATTTCCTCCCACCTCGTAATGACCGCCGACAGTTTGATGAGAGTCAGCGTTTCCACCTTGAATAAGCGACCGAGCCCTAGGGTGAAGAAACCTTCACGGGGATAATTAGTGCATCAAACGCTGTCGCGTGTCTAGATGACGAACCGCTCATGCTTGAGAGGATTGTTGCACTCGCTACGCTGGTGAAGTTCAATGAGGCATTGACTGACCAGTTCGCTATGAACCATAGCGGGCAGAAGAGTGCAGCCAGCTGGCCGTGTCCCGTATGTCCAATCGATCAGTGCTTAGTGGGGTTGAATCGGCTCCTGCAACGGCCGACCATGAGAAACACAAGCGAAGGGTAAATAGGAACATCGTGTACTGTAGTTGCAAGTATCTCCGCAGCATCCGTGTCCGTTGCAAGGGGCTGATATTCACTCGGGGTCCTGTGCTCGAGTAAATTATGTGCACACGATAGGAAATAGCAACATACCTGACGCTTCCCTGCATACCATCTCGGCGGAATCGCTCCATCGTCCGCCTTATCATGTACGGGAGGAGGTACAGTGAGAAAGCACTCGTGTTAAGATACGTGACGCTGAAGAGGTCATGGTGTTACGTCCATGGAACATGAGCCTGTAGCGGAATGTGGGACGCACAGGAAAGGCTTCTCGTAGCCATCCTCGAATAGATCCTAAGACAGCACATGAGTTTGGAAATCATGTCCGGCTTTCTGCGTCAATACCTGCGTCAGGAAGTTGCTTCCGGTCCACAGTACGACCACGACAAGCAGCAGGCAAATGCCTATGATGTAGTCCGTCTTGCTATCCAGCCTAGTACGTGAGCGTGACTTCCCCCGCGATCGCTCACGGTACGTGGGTATAGATGTGTTGTCCATTGCGGGTATTCTGCAGCAAAGCTCAGGATAGTGACATACTAGTTGTGGGGCTTGAGGAAACGGGCAATGAACACCAAGTGGACACGCTAGGACAGTCACATAGCAGGTTGCGTGCGCCGTGCGGGAATGAGGGCAGCAGCACGTGACTAGATCTGACTCGATCAAGATTCAACTCGCCCCGATCAAGCTCTGAGTCAAGAATTCTTTGAATCCCCAGTGCTGAAGTCGATTTATACTCAAAATACATAGGATCAAATGCTGGTTGAAGACCTCGTTGATGTGTCAAAGGCAAATTGTATGTAGCCGGTCAACGGGTACACTTTTGCACGTAATCTGTGGTAATTACAGGAAATACTACAGTACTATGCCACCGTACTATGATCCAAGAAAGAGAGTGCGTCGATAATAGCGACATGAGAGCTAACTGAATAATTATACGACGAGAACACGTAGTGTATAAGTTAGCATGAAAGTGTGTGCCCTGTTATTAGTATGAACGCTAATTATAGGAAGATAATCAAGGCGCCACTCCGTAAAGGCGATCAAGCTCAGCTTTGAAATCCTGTTCTACCGCACGTCTCCTGATGTTTCCTTTCGTCGCCGTGCGGGGAAGGACACCCCGGGCCACAACGAAAATAGAGTCGGCGGATGCTATGCGCTCGTGCAGATAGCGGCGTGCATGGAAGGGCCTGATCCTCCGGAAAATCTCCTGCCGCAATTTTCGCGCATCGCACTCTCGCGCCGGCTCGACGAAGAGTGCCGGCGTCGGCCGACCATTTCCAACCACGACGCAGTTGCTGACCAGGTCCTCGCATGCGATGCGAACGTTGTCCTCGATAGCCTTGGTGTCGCATCGGAGCGAGCTCTCGCTTTTGATCCAGTCGTCGTCACGACCACAGAAAACATAACCGCCCGGAGTGACCTCAAGGAAGAGATCCCCCGTGTGAAAGTCTCCGTCGGCGTGGCGCAGAGACACATCGGGACAGTCCGGAGAGCTCGCCGATACGATGAGCTCGACAAGACGCGCATGGACGTTCTGGTAACCCGACTCCGAGGCAGGCGCTGGGGCGACGGGCACGAACTGGTAGGAGACGCCATCAAGGGGACGTAGCGGATGGATCTTGCTCCCGACATCCTGGACAGATCGCAGCATGATTGCCACCTCCGTGCTAGCGTAGCAGTTCAGGACATTGATGCCCTGAGTCTGGACCCATTGTTGGTCCTCCTCCGACATCGAGAGACCGGCAATGAGGACTTCGTCTAGTCCCTGCATCGCCGCAAGGAGGTCGGGATCTTTGCGGGAGTTACGAAGATGGTTCGCAAGGAAAGGGGGAAATATGTTCAGGCGGTTAACCCCGCAGCGGTGGACCATGTCGAGGAGCTCCTCAGTTGGATAAGCTTGTTGCGTACTCTGAACCATGCAGGAGCCGTTTTGAAGAGTGCCGACGAGCATGAATGTTTGCGCCATATGACACAGGCTCCCCCTAGAAGAATGATCAGCGCTCCGCTCATCGGAGTAACACGAGAAACTTACATCCAGACGACGACGTCTCGTGCATCGCGACGGGAGTGCTTCGGACGCAAGATGGTCGCTGCCTTCGCCATCATGTTCGCCCACCAGAAGTGACTACACGGCACCAGCTTCGGGCGACCCGACGTGGACCCTGACGTGTGGAATATCATCACAGGATCCTCACCGTTTGACCCTTCTTGGATAGGCGGCAAAGCACGTCGGATACGGTAATGGTACGAGCATCCATAGCGACATGAGTCGGGACTGGCGCTTGATGCAGCACCGTGGAGAAGGAGGGATCGTGAATGAGTGCCTTGCCGCCCGACTGTGCTAATAGCTCGAGGATGACGTCGGGGTTCGGCAGGCGCAGCGACATGAGCTGCGGTACATAACCCGCTCTGGAGATGCCATAGATGTGCAAGGCGTCCGTGTATGTCGTCCCACTGAGCCTACGCACACATGAGCACAAAAGTCGGAGTGAGCGAGATACTATGCCTCGTACCAAATCCCGACGACAGAAGGTGGACGGACACCCTCAGCCGTCAATGTTTTCGTCCAATACGCGGCGAAATGTTCGACGTCGCCAAGGAATTGCGAGTAGGTGATTGTAGGCCAACACCGGATGGAACCAGTGTCTGGCTCGACTTCCGGGACGCGGAAAGCATCAGCTGTGGGGTGAAGAGTAGCGGCTGCCTGGAGTACGGTAAGATGAGTAGGGAAAGACGGCATGTCGGATGTAACGCGGCGTTCTCTAGGAGCATGCGCGGGTCATATATACTCGGATGCGAGCGTGAAGTGATGGACCAGAGACGATGGCGAGTAGGCGTTGTCAGGAGTCAGATATTTTCCGGACTCGGCGCAGTATTTGGTAAACCGTGGCCCCTCGAGCTTGGTACAGCGTACCGGTACCGCTGGGAAGCCATTGCGTGCGGTGCACTGAGATCTGATCGACTGTTGAGAGGGACTGCCACCATAACACCTATGCCCCCCCTGACACATTCCATTGACAGGCTATGAACCAATGACAAACAAGGGACACTCACCATTCCCTGGCCTAGTCTGGCAACAAGAACCGGCATGTCTGCTTGTATTGGACAACGAAACGATCCCAACGGGACTGCATTAAGATGAGAATGTTACGTGCCCACGCACCTATCGAACCGGGGCGTCACGCCAAGCATCGTTGTGTCGAGTCAAATGCAAGAGTCGCAGGTTGGCAGCTGCTCTGGCAAGCTGTGCTCCATATGACTTACTGTGGCCATCGAGTTGCGCGGACGGTTTAGGCAGAAATACACGATGGGGAGGGCTAGCACCAATTTTCTTGAGGGATTGCCTTTCGGCGCGAGGAAACAAGCACCGCTCTGCTTCCGGTGAGTGCGAGTGCCCACACAATCATCGACGTCGGTCGACGGTGTGGCGACGGCGTCCCATCACCGATCCAAGATCGGACGTCTGTTCCGCAGCGGCGCTTGCCGACGCACCCAACTCCCGCGTCGACCTCCTGCGATCATACCGACAGTACTCAGCTCCCATGTCTTCCGGAGTGCCAGTCGGCGACCTGCCGACCTGTACACACTGATCCTACACGCCGCTGCCTCGACTGTAGCCGGGGACATCGTCAGATCCATTAAGCCGATCAAGTCGTTCGCCATCAGACCCCACTTGTCCATTACTCCTTCAGTCGTTCGACACGCACAGGCACACCAAGCATGATGCGGCTGCAAGCTATGCAAGGGACCACAAACCACGCTGTCACTCACCGTTGATATGAAGATTGCGGCAAAAACCTTCGCGGACGCAATGCCGGGTGTCCGCCTCCAAGTGATACTCGTCCACGATTTGTCGAGGACCATGCGACGCAACCGTTGCTAAGTAAGCTTCTCGCGCAGTTAGACACTTCATGCTCCGGCTTTTCCGTATATGCGCGACTGTGCTCCTGTCCAGTACAGATGGCCGAGTGCATACCACACGCGCCGAACGCTGTCGACGATGGAATGATGTTTTCAGTGTTCGGGTCTGCAAGCCCGTTTAATGAAGTTCAGGGGTGTTGTAAATCCTGAGGCGGTGTCTAAATGATTGTACTACAATGAGTAGACTGCCACTTTCCATTCGAGGCACCGAATAACCTCAACTTCAGGTCGTCTGCGATCCCTGTACGCTCCTGGCTGTCGCATGGCGATTTGCGCACCAGTACCCTCGTTGCGCAATTCTGATGTTGGCCGTAATGCCGTCTTTGTCGGGACCGCATACGATGCAACGACTACCCCTGAGTCTTGTGTATTCGCTTCCCCGACAATAAGCGGGGTATGCGCACTGGCATACAGGTGTCCTACGCGTCTGATGATATAATTCGGACTTACTAAGGAATCGCCCACTCCTTCCAAACGGATGAGATTCACTTCGGGCCCCAGACGTTAGCACTTGAGTCTGTCAGAATCTCATATGCATACATGCCTCTTGCCATCCTACTAGTTCATTGATCGGTAATTCAGATATAACTATTTCCACGTGACGCCAGATATAGCGAAAGCTATCGAATCGAATCTTCACAGGAACGCTGAAGCTGTAGCTCAACCAAGCTTCACCTGAGAGCCTGCGCGAACCGCAGGACCTTCCTATTCGGATTGCCACCTCGGCCTTTGCCGGCGACCGCGATGGCGTCCAGAGCGAAAACTCGAAGCTCCAGAACACGGGCGCGCACGGCGGCTAACACATCTCGTCGCTGCTCGCCGACCTCCTCTTTCATGCTCGTACGGCACGTCCCAGCTTCATAGCATACTTCGTCCGGACACCAGTGAGTATCCATCCCGTCAGTATCGCCGCTCGGCAGAATGTGACGTGACGGTTCTCTGCAGCTCAGGGCGGGTTGAGGGAGGCCACTCTTCACGTCAACCTGACTGTCGATGCCCTGGAGAGTCGGCCAGGTATACGGGCACCTCACACGAACGGCGTTACTCCACGCATCTGCGCCTCGAATTGTCACACACAAGCCGTTCTTGGTCGTACAGCCGTTCCACCAGTCCATTGCATCGAAATGGCCTGCACCGCAGCCGCCTTGAGTGTACGGACAGCCTCTGTTGGTCATACGCGGAACATCGAGGACGTCGGAAGCTTGACGGATGGGCCATGGCAGACCGAGGTATACGCGTGATACCAGGCAGCCGTCAGGCTTCCAAGGTCAAACATCGGCGAGGTGCTCGCGGTGGGGGTTCACAGGACCATCCTCTTGGGGCTGCCGTAGACGCCATGTTCTCTCTTCTATCCAAAACGGGGAATCCATTCGAGGCGCAGGAGAGCTGCAGGTGGACAGAGCTGCGGGAACATCTGTGCGACAGGGCCCGAACCGTCGACCTCGCGGTGCAGTTGGCAGATACGTACAGGGCACACCGTGCTCTCCGAGTGCTCACTTTGTCCCATGTGCTCGGTTGCAAATTGAAGCAAAACGCCTACGAATGCGTGGCACATCAATTAGCCAGTGCAAGACGGTGGCCGTTGGTGACTTCCCTTGTCGAGTTGGCACGACGTCAGACTGGTCGGACGACTGCCCGATTGCTCAATTGGCGTGCACGCGCTCTCATCGAATCGCAGGAGTTCGCCACACTCGATCGTGTCTTGGACATCTTCGAACAGGAACGAGTGGGGCCGAACCGCAGGACGTTCCACATACTCGTTTCAGGCCACCTTCGCAACCGCGATCTCGCCCGCGCAAGCGATGTCTAGCAGCCATGGAAGAGGCCGGAATCAAAGTCGATGCATCTACCCACGCACTCATCATCTCATCCTACCGCCAGTTCGGCCTTGCCCATTCTGTGAAGACGAAGGCCCTAGATGTGTTGCACGAAAGCGACGATCGCTCCGCCACCAATATGATCAACAGCCTCGTTCAACAGTCCTTGGACAGGGACGACATTCAGGGAGCCATGCGCTATCTTGCCCTGTTCGAGCCCGACAGCATGCCTTCCACTGCCGACGGAGGTTCCATCCACCGCGACGGAGACATGACATCTCTGGGGTCGGCAAACCGTCACGGACCCAGAACGGTAACCCCTGCGCAGGACGCCCACACCTTCACGATCCTCATTAACCATTTGGCGAAGCAGGCCGACCTTCCCCGTGCTCTTCAGATTCTCGACCGCATGCAGGAGACTGGTGTGCAACCAGACAGTAGCACCGCTGCTGCTTTGGTCCGAGCTCATTTCGCTGCCGGTCAGGCCACCGCCGCTATTCGGATCGTCGCAAATATGTGCCATGCACGGCGCGTCATGAATGCATCGCGGCGCATCATGCATGCATCGTTCAGGCAGCTTGGACTAACCACCAGTGGGATTAATGAACCGTCCTTGCTGCCCCCTGGTATCCCTCCCACGGTGGAAGTCTTCAATGCGTTGATCCGAGGAACCCTAACAACGCGTCGCCTTAATGGTATGCGTGTCGTGCTGCGTATCATGAACTTCTGCAACATCAGACCGGACGACACGACAGCTCACCTTTTGTTATTGCACCTTGACAAGGTAGAGCACGCGTCACCTCGGGATATCATGCGACGCTTGCGACGTCTCCTTCCCCACCGAGCCACACCCACTATTCAGCACTTGAACGTCATCTTACATTCTATCCTTCGCCGCGAAGACGGCCTCCGTCGACAGATGAATCGCACATCGTCACCAGAGTCATCGATGTCATCCGAGGACAGCAAGACATGGGACAAGATTTCCGGGTCCGAGGAGTCTTACGACCCTGCAGCTGGTTTGAAGGTCCCTGAACGCCCCTCGTATCGGGGACAGTTTCAACCCATTCTCCGGTCGCTGCGGGACCGTGGTATACGCAGCGACCGGGCGACTTACGCGCTCAGAATCAGACACGACGCCGTCATCAAGCGCGATTGGCAATGGCAAAGCAGACATTCCAAGCGATGATCAACCGAGGCTTGCATCCTAACGTATATCACTTTGCGGCGGTCATGGAGGGTTACTCAGTCGTTGGGGATATCGATGGCGCGATGTCCGTCATGGACTCGGCGATCAAGGAGGGCATTCGGCCGAACCTCAAGTTGTACACCATCCTCATTACCGCCTGCGTCCAACAGAAGGACGCGGGTCGCGCCCTCCGCATATTCCGGAGTATGCTTGCTGCGAACATTCAGCCTGATGCCATTGCGCTGCATGCACTCGGGCGGGCATTCGTAGCTGCGGGGCAGAAGGGGGAGGCTCGACGGATCTTGCTACAGCTTTGGCCGATGGTGGCTGTGCTTCCGGAGGACCTACATAGTGCGCCACTGGTGCGGCTCATGGATGCCCTGACGTCGCTTGGCGGGAAAGCGAGCAAGGAGGAGGCCAGGAAGCCGCTGAACGGGCGGGAGGCGCGGTTCTTGAGGTGGAAAGTCAACCGACTGATGGGGAGTTGGGGAGATCGTCCTCCTAGTCTAAAGCTAAGGGTCGGGGTGCTGCTTCGCGTCGTGTAGCGTCACATACCAGTTGCAATGAAAGTGGCGAAGCTTAAAACTGTTTAACGGGGCTTCGAGATCATACAGAGCATACGAGACGACGACTTGATGTTGTTCACTTTTGGGAGCGGCTACATACCACATACAATAAACGTACAAAGCAGCAAGACACACTCAAGACATGTAATTCTGGCGAGCAGATAGAGGAAACTTAGCGTCCAAGAGCCTTAGAGCATCGTGAACTCCGTCGGCCATAACCTCGCGTACACGTTGACGACCACAGCTAATGAGACCTCCTGAGGGACCAACTGCGGTGGCGGAGACCGTGCCGTCGTCACACCCATACCTTGCCTCGAGTCGTACGGCGCGCGAGGGTCCGACAACATTATTGACTGGCCGTTCTCGGCGTGTGACGAGGAGATCGCGGGAGACAAGCCGCGCTCTGGTGTGACCGCACCTGGTGCAGGCACGATCTCCACGCGCGGACCGCTACATTTGGAACGACGTGCGACGACGTCTGCGAGGAGGCTGAGATCCGTGAAGGCGACATTGGGATGCGCCTTGATCTGGCGCCAGGCGGTGTCGCAGGAAACGGTTTCAGGGGGACCTTGGGAATCGGACATGTTGCTATCCTGCAGGGACGAGTGTGGGACGACATGTGTTGTGGGGGCACACGAAATGACGCCGCCGCAAGCTAGTGGGTCACCGCAGCAACCGTTGGCAGATGGGGGGGACGGCGCGCTCTCGGTTGGCTGTGCGGGGTCGGGGCAGTAGCCGCAGCTGGAGGAGGATGTGGCGACCGACTTGCCGATGGCATCGCAAAAGGCCTTGCCGAAGGCGTCGTCCGCACAAGCCAGACAGTTCGACGGGTCGCCCGAGCAGGACGCTGTCGACGAGGATGATGTGGGAGGGGGCGCGACAGGAAAGACGGGGCAGGTAGGGTTCGCGGGAGAACGCCGACGGAGCGGTACGGGGGCTTGATACTGAGGAAGGTTGTCCAGAATGGAAGGCTGCAACGAACTGTCGCGCCGCCCGCCAAGATGTGGCGCGTTATGGCGTGGCGGATCAGATAGCGTCAACTGCTCCGAGACTTGGGTCTGCAGAGCAAGGTCCTTGCAGACACACGACGTCGTCTCATTACAGAAGCCGCAGGAAAGCATCCCGCCATCGTAAAGCTCGTTCTTGTTGTTCGAGATATCAAACATACTGTTGGACATGCGCGAGTCCTGGCTAGGCAGCGGCGAGAAGCTAGTGTGGGAAGATGGATGCGACGACGACACCGACGACGCAGGGGAAGGTGCGTCGTACGAACTAGCGGGTGACATGGAAGTGACGAGCCTGCTGGGAGGCTCGGGCGAGACCTTGGTTTTCTTCCTAGACAACTGTGCGGACGGAAGGCTCGGAGACCGTTGTGTCGAGTCATTCCTAGTCCTCTTCTTCGAGTTGTCTAGCGGCCCAACGTCGTCTTCCAGCTGAGCGAGTTTATCCTTGAGGAGAGCGTTCTCCCTGAGGAGCTTCTCGTTGTCCTCTTTGAGCCGCTTGGCGATGTTCTGCAGCGCGACATTGCGCTCGATTTCGCCCTGCTCGAACTGCTGCACACGAGCTTGCAGCTCCGCAAGCTGGGACTGCTTGCGCTCGCGGAAGGCACGTTGCGCGGCCCTGGCAGGAAGACTTATCAGCACAAACACACACAGACGGAGAGTGTGCAACGCACCTGTTCTGTACGCGGCGGCCCTTGCTGTCCGTCTGTTCCGTCCAGAGCGATGTTAGTGGATCCATGGGGAGGAGGGGCGTGAGTCTGACCTCGGAAGTGTCCTGGACAGCTGGAGCGCTGTCTTTCTTCGGCTTGCGGCCAGGCTTCGGTTTGGCCGGGATCACCCACTCCTTTGAAGCTATCCTCCAATGAGCAAGCGCGTCGCGAATTGCAGGTGCGCGGGCACGTTACCTGTAGCCCAGAGGGTGGTGGGCGTGGATGTCGCTGTCGCTGTGCTCATGCTGGCCGCACAGGCTGATGCTGCTGGGACGAAGGCACGGGTACCGGACGGTATGCAGGTATAGAAGACGGCGGGGGACTGGGAACGGCGGCGAAGCGGTGGGAGCTTGGACGGAGGTGAGGATGGGCGAGCGGTGGTCTGATAAGATAACTCGGACGATCTCCGTTTTATCTCTCCTCCTCGGGAGGCGCCGGCGGGCGATCTTGGCTCGGCGGCGCGTGATCGTTTATACCTACGCCTCTTCGTCCCATCCCTCCGAATATCATTCGACACTCCCGCTCGCTATCCCATATACTACTCGCTACCACACCAGACAACAACGGGAGCAAACCCTGATGCATGGCCTTCTGCGTATCACCAGCGCGAGGTTTCGGGGTGCTACCTCCTTTCCGTACACATTCATCCCACCGCCGCGTTCTACTGCCACCACGGGTGCCAATACGCTGCGTCGCCCCATCCGGCATAGTCTCTCGCGAACATCCCAACGCACTGTCTCAATATTGTGAGTGGGGCATTCGGACCTTCCACAGCGCGCCGCGTCTTCTTCGTGCAGACGTTCGCCGCCGTCCCGAATGACCGATGATGTCTTCAGAAGTTCATTTTGAAGACAGGGAACTGCATCCATCCACCCTGCAGATCACCCTCGCACGCCCTCGCCGCGTCGAGAACGCAGGAGCGCGTGCGTACCCGAACTCTCCTCTCTTGCCTTTTTCGTCGTTCCTGCATGCCACTGCGCACTGTGGTAGTTACCACTGTCTTGTTCTTGAACTGACTGTTGGAGATAATCTCGGCCAGCGGACGTGGCGCACGCCTGATCCCCTGAGCTCGATCCCGGGGTGTCCGGTACAAGGTCATGCACCGGCAGCGGAACCCTGCCATTTGTATTGCTCCCTTCCGTGCTAACTTAACACTGCAATTATCAGCTACCAGGAGATATGGACAGCGTCTTATCGGAATGCGCTGGCTCTCATCATGGTCATTCGTGGTGTAGTATGAACTGACACGTTGATGTTCCTACGGCGCACCTTCTGCATGACCCTTGCACGTTGGCCGACCTAGATGCAGTGGGAAAACGTCGCTGTAACAGACGAGACGGCGCCTTAACAGCCTCCCTAGACTGGTTCAAGAAGTATACCGGCGGCTGCAGTCTGTCCTTGCGACGTGCCATGCGTCTTGCGGCTCGCTTCTTTCACCAAGTCTACATGTCAGTCTCGTAGGCGTTATTGCCCCCAAACTATTGCTCGAAGCTGAGCTGCAGGCAGGGCTTCCATGTCCTGGCCGCTCTTCCTCCGCCGATATTTGGAGTCTCCGAATCTATTCTGGACATTACTTCTTGTCGCGTTGTTCTCTTCCCCCAAGTCTCACGCTAGGTCACGAGTAGGTCCTCCGACTATCTCCTTGACCGCCACTGATGTATGGGGCGCTGTATAACATGATACGCGAAAATGCCTCAGGGTCTCTTCTGTTGATCGGTTCGACACTGTCCGCACGGAGAACCAGCAGGTCGAGCCAGAGGGCACGCGTGGTTACTCCATTGTCACGAAGGCCCACCATTGTGCGCGATCGCGGCTCCGAATGTCGCTGATAGCAACTCGAAGAACTACGTGGCTGAGGCGACCCATATCAACGTGGCCGGCTGGATCCTATAGCTTACGGCATGCTCAGACCGATCTCTGATCCTCGAGTGGGTGGACTGTATAGGATTATACATGTTTTCTGGACCGCTCTGAACACTGGCTTCTGGGCGCTGTCTGAATCTGAATTACTATATGCTCTCGCCTCGCGGAGTACCCGACGAACTCTAGATAACTCGGCAGCGCAGCTCCAACGCTTCACGGACGGTGAGTCGAAGCAAATTCAGTTGAGAAGGATTCGAACTGAGCGCACTATGCAGTCAGCCGCAAAAGTAATACAAACCCGAGAATCCCAGATATCTTTAGAGGCGTTCGGCGCGATGTCATATCTTTGAATTGGGCGTTTTAGCTCATATCACTCTACAGAGCTGTGGAGCGACGGAGAAGTACAGTCAGGACCCTCTTCCAGCAGAGGTTCTGACCTCGACTTCATCTCACGCACGTAGGACACCGGCTCGTGCCTCCCCCCGCATAATTCGATTGGCCCTGGTGTAGAAGCTCTGCTTGAACGCTTTTATCAGTATTGTCACATCCACAGGGCCATCCGCTGCGCAATCTGCCATCTGGCAGCGATAACCGCGTGGCAGAGAGCGGTTTACGTTAGGACGATCCCAGTGTTGCCCACCAGGACGATAGTACGCAGGTGCGTTCAAGCCACTTCGTTCTAATTTAGCTCATTCCCTCGTCGATTAATCAGGGATATGGTGAGTGCCTACGCCTTGCCTGATGTAGCATGATTTCGGGGGCCAACATAAGCCCTTACCTTGGTGAGCGGTACCAATTCCTTGCTCCGATCATATAACATTTGAACGATCGGGCTCGGATTGTTTTGCGCGGTATCTGATTGGATTGCTTGAGGCAAAGTCTCTCTCGGCACCAACGGGCTGACAGGACAGCTCAGTCTCTCGAGCGCATGGCTGCACTCAATGAGGGGCTGTACTCATTTGACTTTTCCCTGTCGGCGCATCATACGATGGTCATCGTGGATCCTGAACTTGGACAAATTAAGCGCGTCGGGATGGACGAACAGGTGAGTGCGAATACTATGAACGCGTAAGTCACCCTGATGCGGTTTGAGCGCAGGATCCCCGGAGGCCCGTCCGGAACCCAGATGGTGTTCTAACCTTTCATCGTCTAGATGCGCGAGGTACCCTGAGGCGGTGACCCGGAGTATAGACTCGAGAGGCCTGCCGAACAGGGTCAGTCCACTTCATCTGCGCTCTCGGAAACCATTCGCTGTGCTTCCCTGCCGAGTGTGCCCGCTGCTACCTTCTCATATCTCTCTCCCTGACCATGGCTACGGCATGGTTTTGGGAATCATCGGCTCAGCAGAGCTGTCAGCCACCTCTGCCCCTTCGCACCGTGGCATCTGCGTCTTGGCAGATGGTGCATGAAGTAGTTATACCGGCGCACCTCACGTGGATGCGTCAGACCCACTTTGGCTGCAAGTTGTCACGCGGGTAGCGTGCAGGTACCGGCGGCAGGCCTTAGATGTCTCTATGACCGAACATCACGGGTCGGGGATCTCGCGTGTTTTACAGAGAGCCAGCAGAGTGGTGCGTTTGAAGGAGCGGGCACCCGAGGTGCAGGGGCGTGAGCCTTGGGGAACATGAAAGTCAACTTTTTATACCAGCACTGATAAATAGCTCGACAGGCAATGGCTGCAGCTCAAGCGCCGCGCTCAGGCACATGTGTCCGTGCTGCGGCTCGATTGTATACGGCGCGTATCCCGATCGGCTTCCTTGATTGACTTCGCCACAGTGGAAGCCTCAAATACAAACGGCGATGGTAGTCTAAAATCGGCTGCCGAAAGGACCCGGTTGTCAGATCTGGTGAGCAGACCCTAAACACAAATGGTGATTTTGAACACCGAGCGTTGCCTTGGCAGGAATGTTCACGTCAGGGTAATAGCGGTTGTTCTCTGGCTGTGGTTTGTCGAGGGTATCAGCGAGCAAATATTCGTAGACCCTGATACCCTGAGACCATCCTTCTGGCGGACACATTCTTCAATCAATGTGCACATAGACATATTGAACGTGATGGATTGGTGAATACTGCGTCCTGTCAGTGCTGCGGCATGAAGAAGCATCGTGCGCAGAATGTGGCTCCCTTGCAACGATTAGTGGAAACGTGAACTGACAAGTTGCAACACAGAACCGTGACGCGGGAGATGACCTTTCCTTCCTCGACATCTTGCTACAGAACTTTCTGTTGGCGATGTTGTCGGGGGTATTGCGCAGCCACAGCACCCGGGCCACCGTCAATCTGGACATGTACATATTATTCAGAGCCTTCTCGCATGGGAACGTAATCAAGGCGCGGTCCGGTGGCATTCTCAAGCCGAAAGCCGATGCAATGTGGCCCACATGTCCAAGACATTTCAGCCTGAGGACGAGGACTCGACTTATGCTACATTGTGTATCATTTATTCGTTAGTGAATAAATGGGGTGTTATCGAGGAACATCTCAAACAGCCTGCCGAGTATCAGCGACGGTACTACGAAGCCATCGGAGCACACTATCTGTTCACGAATCGCAATCATCAGCTTGAACGTTAGCAGTCCAAGATATACTCTGGAGTCTGTACTGCCTGTGACCCTAACCTCAGGCCGCCCTACCAAAGATCACGTGCCCACATTGTGTCGCTGGATTTTCTGGCTGTTCGCGTTGGCGGAGAGAACGTCGATGTCGGGACGCATTCTGCGACAAGTCCGAGTCGCTCAGACGATACCCTCTCCTGCTCTCGTTCTCCCTAGCCGTAGATGCTATGCTGTCGCCGTCGCCAAAGCCAGCAACCCGAAGCCTGACGCGCAGCCGGTAGCTGGGCCTAGCCACAGCAGGCCAGCGCAGGGCGAAGCATGGCAAAGTAAAGCCCCGGAGGACAGCTCTCAAAATGGTGGCACCGCCCTCGCACAATCATCCTCATCACAGGCACCTGCCTCGCCAGCTGGTGCTCCACAGTTGCCCGAGACGCCGTCGGCCTTTCCGAAGGGTGTCGAGGAACACTTAGCGTCGGTCGTTGCTGCCGGCTTAGAACCCACTCAGAGCGACCTGGAGAAGTGCCGACCAGCCAAGCCTGCGCGGGCGGACTCGCCAGGCTATGCGAAAGAGTACCATGCAGTAGTAGACACACTGTGTCGTTGTTTCAGCAAGGCACAATTGCGCAAGTTCATAGCAGGCTGGGACGTCAATTCCCGCCTCGCTTCTGCCAATCGCAGGAAGGTCGACTATGCTGAATCCATTGTGGAGAAGATGTGGGGCTGGCCAAGCTTGAAGGAGGTTGAACGTGCAAAGAAGGACCGCACCGAAGCCTCAGCGAGATGTGCGCCACGATTTGTGTCTCGTTCCGTATATACTCATACGTCCCATATTCAGCCTTCCCCGTTAATGCAAGCCAGATGTTCCTTATCATGGGCAAGGGTTCGTATGCGATTCAGACTCACCCACAATGTCAGAATCATTGACTCTGTTGCCAGACGGTGCCGATGTGTTGGAGATGTCAAGGAGCTACAATGTCCACATTTCTCTGAAGACAGACCCGTTCGCACTGCATGTAGAGGGAGTACGCGCTTCTTTGAAGAAAGTAGCCGAACGCATTGACGCAATCAAGAAAGTGGGCACCACACATCTCGGGGACCTGACCATTTGTTGATTGCAGTTCGTAGTCCATCACCGAGGAAATCTTTCGTCTACCCACAAAAGCACCCATTGCCCCAGATCTGCTGCAGCGAATATCGAGATTGGCTGGAGCCTTGCTGGAGAATATAGGCTCAAAGGGTACAGTGAGTTGTCCCACTTGATCTTTGTCATGATACCACAACTCGCCATGCAGATCCGAATATTGGCGAAAACTCCACGTAGCGCGGATATTGCGAAGAGATTGGTAACTCGCGCTTGTCATGAGGTATTGCCAGATGCGCAACTGTCAGCGTATACCTTGCTCATGTAGTGCTTAGCTACAATTAGACCTTCAGCGGGAACGTCTGGCATACCAACCCTCCTCGCCCACTGCCGAGGGTCCTGTGCCCAATGCGTTTTCTCCCAGCGCCTATGCCTTGTACCCGTTTCTGTCGCCCAAACCATTGCCATGGACAATGAATGCTGGATCGACGTTTCGCATGAGGCATGTTGGATCTTGGCTGAAGCGTGCCAATGGCGAAGACATCCATGCCACGAAAGGCCTGGCAGGACGTGGAGGGCGTCTACTGACCACGACGAAGTATGTTCTTCATCAGATCTCGCTGTCCGTTCATCTACTGAGTGTCGCAGAGAGTCCATTGATCTCCGGAAGCTCTTTTCAGAGACCTGCCTAGCTCGTCTACGAGTCAGCCGCCTTGCAGGCGAGTGGTTAAAGCTTCGTAAGTGGTTCCTGATGTGCGGCCCCAATTGCCTCCGCTGAATCGGTCGTAGAACGGGACATATGCTTTTGAGCGCTTCTTCCCCTGCACAGCGAGTGTCACTCGTTCCACCACTCGCAGGGAAGCACACTCTCCACGAGCTGTTGGACTGGATGTCTGCTCGCGGCGCCAGGACGGGATTCGTGCCGAGGTACAGTGTCAGCTTTGATTGACGCTACAATTGAGATTCACCGGATCCAATTCAGTTTACCTGCCCCTTTGGTCAGCTCATCTCCGACGACGGACAAGATCATCCATCGGCTTGTCTACCGCGCAGTCCAGCCCACAACCACAGAAGGCCCACATCATGCCCATGCTAACAAGTTCCTATCTTTCGATGTCGCCCTGGTCCAGCCCCGGGACGGTTTCGCCGATGCTGAACTATCTGACAGTTCATCGCGCATGTACACGGAACCCTCACAGGCAGACGACGATCCGGCGGGCAACGAGGCTGCCATCCCTGCCTTGTACACTGAACCTGAGTGTGTCACTGGTGTCGAGAGCGAAGTTGATGTTATGCTCCCCGATCGGTGCGTTATACCTTCTTACTCAAGCATCCTCGTTCACGCGGGCTACGTAGACCGATGGACATACACTTCTCTGCTCAGAGCTCGACGTTAATCACATCCGACCAACAGCCTCCGGAGTTGCGAGCGTATATCATCAGCCTTGGAGCGTTGTATGTACACGCTTATCACACGAAGTGCGTGGCCACTTACCCCGAACAGCTTGACAGATGACAGTGCCGACGGCAAGCAGCCAGATCCTCCTCTTATGCTCTCCTTTGGCAGTGACACCTGGATCATGCACTCGAGTGCTAGCGTACGGCAGAGCATCGAGACCATCACGGTACCTTGTGGGACGCCTGCGACGGGAGAAGCAGGGCATTCCATGAGGGTGGTCAGCGAGAGCATCCTGGATCTTGAAAGCAATCAGAAGTCCGCGCACTGCGAGGTCAGTACAGTTGTCGATCTAGAGATCCGTACGTGTCATCTGAACCGCTTTCCCGAAGCTCGTCTGCGATGATCCCACATCTATGGAATCTTGGGGGCGTTTCCTGGCCAGCTGCGACGCCCTCACATCAATATCTTATCAACCAATGGGTGACAGTGCATTAGGGACACTCCGGAAATGACAGTACTGCAGAGTAGAGACTATTAATGGGATCGTGCAAGCGTCGGAACCATGGCATGAGGACAACAGCAACAAGACGTAAGTGCAACTGCGAGAGGGATGATCAGTTGCGTTTCCGCTTCTTGGTGGCTCGTTCTTTTCTCTTCTGGGCCCGGACCTGATATATTCATGAGGCGTAGAAGAAGGCCAAAGGATAGGCAACGTACCTCTTTCTTCATCCTAGAGTCTACCATCACGTAACGTCCCTTGACGCCCTTGGGCCTTCCCTTCAAGCCCTTGTGAGAACCTTTGGCTACGACGACCTTGACCTCCTTCTTTTGCTTCTTCGCAGCTCCCTTTTGCATGAGCTTCTCGATCTGCCTTGCCTTCTCTCGTTCTGTCATGTCGGAGGTTTCGTTGACACCCTCAGCTTTCTTCATGGCCTTCTCAAGCCTCTGCGCAGCCCTGAACTTCTTCCGTGCCTTCGCCTCAGCGACCTTCTTTATTGGCCGCGCGTCGAGGGCACGCATCTTGGCGCGCAACGCGTCGACGGCCTCTTTGGTGACGGGGATGTTGGCCTTGTAATGCTTCTCCTCATCGTCCAGGAACCAAGGCGGGAGACCGTCCTTTGCGTTGAGGGAATAACGATTGAAGCCGTCGTTGATTAAGTGGGTCCGCGTCTTCTCCCTGTTGACAAGTTGTTGTGCAATCGTGACGGCCTCAGGCGTGACGAGGCCATGCTCTGTGTGCAATACCATGAGCACGCTATACACTAGTCGTAGGGTGTCAGAAACTTACTCTGAATGTGAGCCTGCTTGAGCTCGTCTTCGTTCTCATCTTCGACATCCCACATCCCTTCGTCGGCATGGTCCGGCTCCTGAGGAACGACCTCGAAATCATCTTCATCTTCGCTCGACTGGGTTCGCCGACTGTGTCAGCAGTGAGAAATGATAATTATAGCCCGTACCGACCTCCATTTGGACGTCAGCATCAGCGAAGCTTCGTCTTCGTCTGACTCCCCTTCCTCCTCTTCGTCTTCGTCGTCTGGAATATCTATATCTGCTCCCGCGAAGCAGTCTTGGCTGAACCAAACTTGTGCTGCCCGGCTGAGCGGTCCTGCCGCCGATGGTGGCTCTGCGAGGCGGGCTTTCTTCCGACTTCGCCCCTCGCCCGGAGCGTCTCCCGCTATCCGCCGCTTCTTCGCAGGTGCAGAGTTCGCCGCTACCACGTTGTCCTCTTCGTCGCTCGAGTCCTCGTCCGAGCTGGAATCCTCGCCTGCCCTCTCCTTCGCCGCCTCAAATTTGTCCCACCCACCCTCTTCTTCGCTCTCGTCGCCGCTCTCGTCATCGCTCCCCTTCTCCTTGATACCGTCCCACTCCTCGCGGTGCTTGGCGTTCTTCCGCGCTTCCTTCACTCTGTACTTCGCGTCGCGATCGCGCAGGTGATCGCGGTACGCGTCGTACAGCCCGTCGAGTTGGGCCTCAAGGCCCGCGACTTTGCGCTCCTCTTCCTCGTCCGAGTCAAGTGCAGCGTCCTCCTCGGCGTCGTCAGCGCTGGAATCCTCATCGCTCTCTGCATCGTCTTCCTCAGCCAATCTCGTAGCGCCACCCCTGCGCTTCAGCGCTTTGGTGGCGTTGTCGAGGTCGAACACGTCCTCCTGACCGAGGCTCAACGCCGCATCGGTCTGCTCCAGACCAATGTCGAGCGGAGCGGTCATCTGGAGCTGCATGCGCTGGATGGTCCGCTGCTTGATCTCATTCGCCCGGCGGCGTTCGCGCTTGGTGCGTCCTGCAGCCTCCGCGTTCAGACGCTCGAGCTGTTACGTTGTCTTGAGCAACGTAAAACGCGGTCGCGGAGTGATTAGAAGCTCACCTCATTTTGGATCTCGGTCTCCTCGTCGACTTCTTCCGTTATTTCCACGGTCTCCGTGAGCTCTTCCGTGGGCTTCGTCTTCACGTCGAGACCAAGCTGTGTGTGAAGATACGTCAGGCAGTGTGGGAGTGGGTTTATTTGGGTGACCCACCTCTTCGCGCAGACTCGTCCGCCACCTGATGAGCGCCTTGAAGTCGCCCTTGCCGAGTACCTTGAGATCCTCACAATTTGCGACGACGTCTGGCGTTGTGACGTCCATCTTCAGCCACCTGCGGACAGTATTCGCATTGAGAAAAAAAGTTTGAGGCGGGTGATTGATACGACTTACTCTTTCTCCTCTTCGGTCCCAAAGGTGATCTTGTTCACCGTTCCGAGGAAGGCAATCGCATCGGGACACCGGATGAAGTCGGCAGCGCCGGACTTTTTGAAGAGAATATAGTCGCCCTCGTCGTAGCCATCACGATGCCGACGTTTCTTCTCTGGCTGGAACACATTGGTCTGGTGGTTCTTGGACGAGGTCACCTTGTCACCGTCTTCCGGTGATGCAGCAGAGAGATCCTTGAAGACGTGTTTGGGCTCGAAGAATTTCGGGTCGATGTGCTTGGGCGCGAGGAAGTCCCTACAGACGACGAAGATTTCTGCGGAGACAATCCTAGAGGCGTGTAAATAGCCATATCAGAGTACACTTTTCCATAGCACGTACCTAGAAGATGGGGGCTTCGTCGCCTCGACCTTGCCAAAGAGCTGGTTGAACACCCAGATGAGGTTGTTGTAGTCAGCACTCCGGAAGACCTTCGTCACGAACGTGCCGCCCTTGACGAGGAACTCTACCGCAAGTTTCATACTCATGAGCACGAGCTCGGACTGGCTGTACGCGTCCTGGACCCAGGCCGAACCGACGTTCGGCGCACCGTCGTGCAGCACGACGTCGGCCTTCCAGTCCTTCAGCTCGCCGCGGATCAGGTTCCGGCATTGCGGGGTGGTGATGTCGGAGGCAAACGTGACGACGTGAGGAATAGGTTTGATAGGGACCAAATCAACGCCTAGTGAGGAGCAGAACGGTGAGACAGCTTGAGGGGTCGCAAAGACCGTATGCACGCACCAACTATCACGCTACTCGGCGGCATGTACTTGCTCGCCACCTGCAGCCAACCACCCGGCGCGGCACACAGATCTATGCAACATCGTGCAGTCTCCAGGAACGAGTACTTTTTGTTCAGCTGAATGAGCTTGAATGCCGAACGGGCACGGTAGCCCTGCTCTCTGTTCACAGAATATTCAGTATACTGAAGCCCTAGTTTCAGAGCATGCACCCACTTTGCGAGCTTGTAGTACTTGTCGAGACGACCCTTTCCTGTCTTCTTCTGCGCCTTACCCATGGTGAGTGACCGCCAGTAGACGGGGCGAGGCGGATTCGAAGTTTTGGTTAACCAATTGGTCAAGAAGTCGGCGATCGAGATCTGCTACAGGCTGTTGACATGTGTTTTGGATCTGATCGAATTGGGCACTCAACGCCTCATGGGCGCTACGGTTGTAACCTGGGCTGCGTGTCGTTGGTAACGCTTCGCTAGTTGCATTCAATAGTGAGACTGCTGTGAGCGTTGATTATCCCGCGTATTGCCCGTGCTGCCGTTCGACTGACGCATTTATCCATATCTTTGAGCCTACCCACATTTCTATGCCCTCACCCTCAGATAGCACGCCGCTCTTGGGAAGCATGGCATCGTCTTTCCCCAACTCTAGGATTCTCTGGAAAACCGGGGCTCTTTTCAGTAAGCAGAGTCATTGAGGCCCTGTGGAGGCACATGGATTGATGGGTTGACTTGCTAGCTGCCATTGGCATGCTCGCTGGCGCATTCGGGGCTCACGGACTGCAGAAGAGGCCGGGTGTTACACCGGACAACATTCGTGCATGGGGAAGCGCGGCTCAATATGCGGTAGGTACATTTGTTATTTTACACAGCATCGACGCACCGGGCCACTCAGTGGTGTCTGAATGGCTGGAGCTGTCTTGAAGGCGTATGGGGCACCTCGGCGTCGGGGTATCGGTGCCCTCAGTCACTGGTGTACCGTTGCCGTGCTGCCCTGTACGCAGACTGTCCGGAGAGAATACTCTACATTGCTCACCATGGGGGTCTTGCATGACATGCACAGGTGTTCAACGGGCTTGGGCTGCTATTGATTTCCATGCATCCGCGGTTTGCGACTCACAAATTTGCGGGACCCGCCATCGCCGCGGGAGGCTTCATCTTCTCTAGCAGCATCGTCGCGTTAGTTCTGGCCCGAGACAAGTGAGTCGTTTGACCCAAGTCGTTCATGCTGAATTCGAGTGCGACGCTTGCCTCGCGCAGGTTCAGGTGGATGGGACCCATCACTCCGCTGGGCGGCTCGCTCATGATTGCAGGGTAAGTGCGGGGCAAGGTCGAGGCTGCTGGAGCTGATTCGATGCACCTCGCAGGTATATTGCCTTGGCGTTGTGAGGACCTCGTTGAGTGACGCAACATGGCCTGGATGTGGAGCTGTTCAGGTCGAATGTCTGTATCTGGAGATAGTCTGTAGTCTGCTCTGTCGTCTGCTATGCAATGCATCCCCTCTCGTCGCATATATTCAAAACAAACCTGCTGCACACTGGATACGGAGCAGGAGAACGAAGGGAGCCCAAAAGGGCCGTGGAGGGCACGCGCGGGGCACGAGGCGCATGTTGAAACGGTCACATGACATGGTGCACAACGTGTCTTCTCCGCTTGAAACGGCGGCGGTGGCCGTGGGCGACAGCGGCTGCTTGTTCGCGACCTTGTCATCACCCACCATCCCCAGCGCCCTCCCGCCCCCGCGTCCCCCGCCCGCCCCGGTCACCCCCACATCCCCCCGGCCCACTGCACCTCAGATCAGCGTCAATCGGTGAGCCAGCTCGCCTCCCTCTCCCCCGTCCCATCTCATTTCCCTCTTAGCGCCCCGTCTCGTGATGGCCGATCCTACCCTTCGCGCGTCCCTCCAATATTCCTACTCGTTTCCCACCAGCCTCGTTGACTACTCTCAATCGCGACCCGCCAAGCGGCGCGCCAGTGCATCTGCGCACTTTCTCCCCTCCGAAGAAACCTTCAATCCGCGACCGTATCAGCCCTCACACTCGCTGCCCTCGCAACCGCGGCAATCTCAAGCCCAAGCCCAAGCCCAGGCTCGAGCTCGAGCTCAGGCTCAGGCTCGGCCCAAGCGGAAGCTGAAGCCCAAGTCCGAGCTCAAATGCAAGCCCAAACCCAATCTGCGTCTCCTCTACGTCTTCCCGCCAAAACTCCTCGCGCAATCGTGGCCTACAGAGTTTGGATCCCTCTCTGACCGACCCGGGGCGGTCTTCATTCACCCACCCTTCACCAACTTCCCAGATGCCGATCGTACAAAGACGGCCTTACCTACAACCTGATGGCCGCCAATCCTGAATGGTTTCTCGATACCGCCGACTTCATCGCACCAGTAATGACAATCCGGACGCGATCGGCTACCCGTCCCAACTGGAACCGCCTCGCGGGTGGTGTCCTCAGAAGAAGAAGGAAGGGTGGCCGAAGGCGAAAACCCTCCCCGCCTTCGCTGCACCTTCTGTCGCCGGTATTATTCAGGGGCGAATGCCAAGAGTATGTGGAGGCGACATGTGCTCGAAAAGCACAAGATCGCTATGGCAAATCGCCGCGATAACCAACCGGTAGAGGAGGTCGTGCTGCCAACAGTGAGTCCTCTGCACTAACAGTATGATCTGGTACTGATTTTGCACATCAGAGGAAAACCGGACCTCGAGCGGAAGCAAGAATGGCAAGCGTACGGACGACGAGTCGAGTGGCTCCGTCTCCAACGCCCAAGCCTCGGGCAGCGCTCATGCCCTTGATTCCTCCGACGAAGAGTCAGAGCAACCTGCTCGCCTTCCTCAGTCTCGTTCAGACGAAGCGGAGCCCGACTTCTTTGGCGCTATAAACACGTCTAGTACTCCGCCTCTGACGCCCGGTGGACCGTCGCCCTCTCGGTCAACCCAGAAAAACACGGAGGCTTCGATCGCCTTACGACCCTCTCGCCACGCCGGTGTTTCGCAACTCACCGCGCCTCTCGCGCCAGCCATGGCGCTTCAGCCCCAGCCATCCGCTGTATGCCAGAGGGGACAGGGACTACCGCTCGGAATGCTTGTGCGTGGGGCGGCGAGTCCCATGATTAATGGGCTGGATAATAGTCCTTTCGTCGTCGTTCCTGGCAGTGACCGCAAGAAGAAGAACATTTTCAACAGCCCATTCGTATCCAAAGAATCGGATAGGATTAGCATCTTTGGTCAATCCCCGGCGCGCTTGTTGTTCGACAGCACGCCTTTCAGCTCAAGGACGACTCCGTTCTCTCTCTCGGAACCCCAGTTCGCGGACTCACCTCTTAACCGTGCCGAGCGCGATGGTCTCCGTGTCTCTTCCCTCACGGAGGCGACCAAGAAGTGGCAAGCCGAAGCGGCCGCAGGCTCTCCTCGAAAGACGACAGCTGCGGAAGCGTCGGGCTTGTTGGGCCCCATCGAGCTCCAGGGCGACGACCTGTTCTCGGAGGGCATGTACAGCAGCTGGGTCGACCTTAACGCGAATCTGAGGGCAGCACCCACAGTCCCGCTCGTGCGCGTCCTGTCGAGAGTCCCGTCGTGCGCACCCAGCAACCCACTAGCTTGTCTGCTGTCACGAAGGGCAGCTCGGGGTTGTCGAGCGCTGGGCCGGGCCTCATGGACGCGTTTTTGTCCGGCAAGGTAAGGTCAAGAAGATCGAGTTGTCGTCCGATGACGATTCTGATTCGGACATGAGTGGTCCAAGCTTTGGGTCACCCATCCGTCTCAGCAAGGGGACCAGGCGTGCGTTCTCCAGTACCTGGTCCAAGGACAACGACGGGGATACAGAGATGGCGGAAAACCACCCGAAGAAACGTCGCAGGACCTTCAGCGGTCGCGACTAGATCCTCCCTGTGCAACTCACATCCCGTCGGTCCCCCTCCATCAGCACAAGACGCCTATTCGCTTTGCAACTAGAACGACGCGCACCGTCGCGCCCCCCTACACGCCTATCACCGTCTTGTCGATCTGAAGTTTGTTTTGTCCGCTCTGAAGGTTGCTTTGTCGTCGCTCTCTGGACAGCGCACGACGACGATCCCTCGCCTACATTGATTTGTGGTGGGCCTCGGTCGACGTCGATCCGCTGGCAGTCCTGTCCAAGTATGCATTCCCCTTTGATGTATAACATCGTACACTATCCCGAGCCTGCGTAGTTTCTTGTCTCCCTTTCCCATCTCGACTACTATTTATGACTCGACAGATGTCGCACCTTGGTTCCTCGACCTCCTCCGTTCTGAATGGGCAGCCAAGTGTTTTTGTGATCGCGTCTCCTCCGTATGCCTACCCTTTCTCCCACTATTGTACATTAAGGACTATTGTCTAGTCGCGGCTAGTGTACGTACGATTACTAGTCGCGTGAGTTGGGTTGTTTGTGGTGCATCTTGTTTGATGCCGTGTACCCTGTGGTCTTGAGGATGTATCGAAAGCGAATATCACTTATTTCAGTTCAGACTTCTATGTGTACACGCGTCGGCAGGCTGACGACGCAGATTTCGGGGTTGAATGTGTGCTTTTCATAACCATAGCTGTCTCATACACAACAAGACAAGATATACGTGGACGCTGAAGACGGAAGCGAAGATGCGCGAAGCAAGGAAGCACAGCGAAGGTGAAGAGAGGGCGGGTGGGGGTAGGGGGTGTAGTGGAGGGACAGGCATGAGGATTGTGGTATGGCACACAATGTTCGTAGCCAGATGGAAAGAGAAAGATGTACGGAAAGGAACGAGGAATGAAGAGATCATGACGGTCATAAACACAAGATGGAAACATAGGATGTAAGGAGAGGAAGCCAGGCGGAGCTAGTACTGACGGCATGCCAACGCACGAATCTCGAACAGATACGACCGATCGGGCTCGCCAGAGGAGTCTGTCCGTGCTAGTGAGAGCCAGCCCTTCATCTCGGCGCGATGTCGCTCTTGCGCGACGCGGCAGTTGTCCGCGAACGACGCGTCGACGTCGCACACCATCGATGCACGCGAACCGCGGTCGCTTTCGCTCCCGGAACGCGTCCGCGAATGGCTTCGTGCCGGGCTGGGTGGCTGAGTACGTGTCGCCTCGCTGGGTGTTGCGGATATTTGTTGGCTGGCACGAATCGTGCCGCCCTTCGCCTCCCATTCGTCTTCGTCCTCGTCGTCCGCAAGGTCGGCGAAGACGTCGGGTTCTTCCTCGTCCGGCGGTAATGTCGATATCCAGCACATGCGCGAGGGGTCGAATATCATTGTGCCCACTACGCGTGCACCTGCTGCAAACGAGCTTACCGGCGAACCCATGGAGGAGCCAGTGAGGTGTGTAATTAGTGCAGGGCGGGTCGAAGAACCGACTGCTGAGTCAAAGTCGCGCAGAGCTTGGTCGTTACCCTCCCAGCGCAAGGTAATGGGGTTCCACTTCATCTCTCCGACGACTGTCTCGCGAATCAGTGTCTGTAGGATGCTGAGCGCATTACATGGGCGCTCACCTTTCGTTGCTCCTGTGCCGCCTAGGTTCCGAATCAAAGTAGGCTTCCTTCGGGTCTGCATTGCGGAAGGAGAGGTCTGCGTTTTCTTCTTCTTCACACCCAGATCCTCAGAGTGCTTCGACAACGCAGCGGCTGGTGGAGATTCAGGCTTTCCTGGGAAGTCTATGCGCCCCGTACGCTTCAGCGTCTTCGCAGGCGGCGCGCCTTTTGAAAGCTCTGCACAAAGCAACGCCACGCGAGTCCTCAGTAACAATCCGTCCACGATGGAACAAAGCAACTTACCATAACTACTCGAAGACAGCTCGCGTTTTCCTTTTCTCCGCAACGTGCCCTTGCCCAATGCAGAGTCGTGCGCGCCGGAAGATGCAGCTTTCGCATATGTTGCGCCTGGTACACGATTGCCGTAGCCTTTGGGCTCGACCCGAAACTGCTCCTCTTTGTCCCGGTCGAGAGGAAGGTCATCGAACCCATCGAGCTCGGCGCCATCGCCATACGTCCGTTGCCGCTTCGGACGTTTCATAACTTTCGGTGCGGTAGAGGCAGGCTCTTCGTTTGCGCGTGCCCAAGCCGGGACTTCATGGAGGAGGCCGACGGCGGTCGTGGGGGAGGGAGAGGGGATTGCGAACGGGGAGCGACTGCACTCGTAGGGGCAGGGAAGACTGAAGAGATGGGAGTGCGTGACTTCCAACGTGACGACGACGTGGGCATGGTGAGGCGCAGAGCAGCTGGGTTGGAGGACGGAGTCGACGGGCGCGTCGGAGGCACGTTGTACTCGAGGCCGTGGATCCGACTCGTAGAGTTCGCCTGCATCTTGGCCCGAGAAGACGCAGTTGGCGCATTGTAACTGGCCTGCACAGGGCTCGAGCCCGATCCCGAGCCCGATGCCTGGGCATTGTGAGAAGACTCGGATAGCGATGGTAAGGACGCCTTGCGTCCAAGCTTGTGCGTCGATGATGGTGACGTTGGCTTGAGGCCGGAATGTGACTTCTGTATCCGCAGGCCACCAGGCTTCGGGGTGAGGAAAGACACGGGGGAAGTGGGCGCAGCAGCAAGCGCTTGGCTATAGGTTTGTGAGCGTACCGGCTGACTAGGCCGTGATGGGGGGATGGAGGCGTCCCAATCTTTCGCAGCTGCGACGCGGATGAGATCGGCGGGGTGTTTGGTGATTTTGCACGATCTGTCTTAAGCCGCGATGGTGGCCGTATTGCCGTCGGCGGACGGGGAGGCGCACTCCTGCTGCGATTGCTTGGAGCAGCCCGCTTGGTCGATTTCGACGTGAGCAATCGGCTGGGGCTCAACTCAACGTCGTTGTCAATAACGAGACCCATTTCGAAGTCGTCTTCGGGGTCAGGGCTCGTGATCTTGACACGCTCGTCAGTGAAGGCGGTCTTCTTCTTGATCTCGAGGATTTTGGCAAGCTTCTTGCCTCCTGACTGGGTCTCAAAGAGACCTGTCGGGATGACAAGACCATCCAGCTCGCCGTCCTCATCTTCATCCTCGTCCTCCGTCTCGGTCTCCGGCAGCGACGCAGACGTGTAATTTGATGATGACGCGTTGTCGGCGAAGCCCAGTGTGGAGTAAGCGTCGGAGGATTGGGAGGAAGATGTCTGATCTCGGTCGCCCCATTCGAGGGACGCCTTCGAAGAGCGATGGGAAACGGGTCTCAAAGAGAGTTGTGTAAGTTCGGACGGCAAAGCAAAATCGTCCTCAAAATCTTCGTCAATGACGGGGGGAGGAGGGCGCGTGGATAGCTTGGGCAGGGCGGCGACCTTGATGGTAGACACGCCCTCCTCGTCCTCCTCGTCCGGTGGGGTGGGGAGAGGTGGCCTGATAGTGAACATCTGAGAGGACTTCCTCGAGGACTCGGCGCGGGCAGCTATGCCGTCCAGGACATGCTGTGCTTTTGCGCCTCCAGTCTTCCCGAGGTCCATCTCGACATCCCAGTCCTCGGCGGTGTCGTCCTTATCGTCCTCCGCATCTGAGGCGTGAATCGAATCGCCGTCGGGGAAGTCAAAGTCGGCGTCAGGCCACTCTTCCTTGGAGAGGACTATTAGGGGGGCCGGAATGGTGGACATCGCGTAGACCACGGTTGGCAGGGAATTAGGGCCCAAGCGTCGGGGCGAGAGGTATTAAATTGGTGACGAGATAAGATGTGAGAGAGCAAGAAAGACTATTGCGCGAACATCGAGGGGGGCGCGGGGGATAAGGGTAGGGAGGGCGAGCCTGTACTGCTGGAGCGAGGCGAATACTTGAGCGGAAGGGCGAGAGGGCGGCGGGCCTCGTGTCGAGCGGGATGCAGTCGCTCACAACACACTGCCGAGGGGCGCCCAGCCATGCCCAAACACCGTGGCCAAATAAACACACATGTAAACACACCCCGCCACACACGCGTCTAGTACGGCATCAGGCGCCGGAGCTCCCGCGCGTTGTGCTCAATCTCGTCCTCCGCGTCCGACTCCCCCGCCTTATTATCCTCCCCCTCCTCTGTCCACCCTTCCAGCATCTCATCAAGGCCGCGCCGCATCCTAATGCCCCGCTCCGCCATTGTCTCCGCCCATCCATTGAGCTCCCGTCCACTGAATGCCTTCCGCAGTGGCCCGAACGCGAGCAAATAGAGTTCTGCCCACGGTCATTTCACTGTCAGCATGCAGTCAATGCAACAAGGTTTCGCAAGCCACGCACCTTTCGCGAGGGGACATTCACCCACGGCTCGGAACAACAGCTTCTTGGCGCGCTCCAGGTGCCCGGTCTTGACTTCAAACTGCACGTACAATCGCCAGAGCGCAGTGCTGCCGCGTGTGCTGTACAATGGTCATATCGGCGACAATTAGCACTGAAAATACAGAATGACTCGTCGCACGAAATAGACGTACCGTTCGCTCTGCACCGCCGTCGACAGCCCACCTCGTGTCCGCTCCTGCTCCGCCTCCCATCGACCCTTCTCCCAGCTAGCGAGCCAAACCTCCGCAACCCTCCTAGATAGGTCTTTATCTCCCATGCCTACCTCCGCACCCTCCCCGAACAGGGTCTTGACGCGCCCCCAGATAGCCTGGCCCTTCTGGGCCTCTAGGAACATGCCCAACACGATGGTGTTGCTCGGGTACTGTTCGATAACGTGTTCCGCTCGCTCCCGCAACAAGGCTGGGGGCATGGGATTCCGGAGTACGATCCCGTGGACGTAGAGCAGCTCCAGGGATGCAACGGTCAAACTCTCGTGTGCTGTCGACTCAAGGTCCAGCGCGCTGAGGTGTACGTCAAGTGTCGCCAGCGCAGCGTCCGCGGAAGCTGTGAGGAGTTCCAATAGTGCCCATAGCTTGATACTGTACTCGCGTTCCTTCCAATAAGAAGACGGCATGGTTGTAGCTTCTTGGAGATGTCGCTTCGCTCGCAGGACGGCAATGCCTCCTGTGCCTTGAGATCCTGTGGACCGCAGGATGACCTCTGTCGCGCTATCGGGTTGACCTGCAAGCCACTCCATCTCCGCCCAGTCCCACCACAGCTGACGATGAGCAGCAGAATCGGACTTGGGCCTACTGAGGATGGTCCCATAGACTTTGCGTGCATCGTCGAGACGGCCTCGTAGTCGTCGCAGCCGAGCATGCGCAGCCCAGAGTGGCAGAGAATCCTGCGCAGAGGCCAGGAGTTTCTTCGATTCCGCTACAGGACTGAAAAAGTTATCAGGCAGTTGTTCGGAATGCTGAACGTGGACCGTACCTCTTAAGGTTGCATGCACCCTCGAATGCAAGGGAGAGAACATCCCAATCTGCGTTGTCTCTCGTTCGACACTGGGCAAATATCTCCCGAACCAAGTCCACGTCCAAATCTGCGACATCTTCAGGGCCCCACATAGTCCAGCGTGTGCCAGGTACCGCCTCCAACGGACCGAGCACACCATAGCTCCAACATTTCACGGGTCCGAATGCACTGGAGTACTCGCGCTCACGCCCAATAAGCACTCCTGCCTGCGCGTCGGCGGTAATACGTCTCGCAGCGTTGTTAGCCTCGGACGGTAAAACCGAGGCTAGCCGAGCGGTCGACGCAAGGTGTGCGTACGCCCACCGGTCATCCGTGCTCTCCTGCGGCGAGGACGTGAGCGTCGCCAGAAAGCCGGGGACATGCAAACCCAGGAATGCGAGCCAGATCCGTCTCAGTGCGTCTTTCGCCTCTGGTCTCCGTATGTCGACGAGCAAAGGCCGGATGTCTGAGAAGAGAATGGTTGCGTACGGGTCTGCCTCCGCTGCCTCGTCGAATGAGCGCGTAGGGAGTTGGTACGCTCGGTCTGAGAGGGACTCTGATGTTGCCCACCTTTGGAAGGGATCGCGCTTCGTTGAAGAAACACTGACGGTTTTGCGGGGTGAGGTCAAATTCGTGACATCGCCCATGGGGGTTGCTGCCCAGTATCCTTGGCCCCTTGAGCCGGCTTCGCCCATGCGGGGAGCTTCCGATTCCCAGAACTCTTCGAGGGCATCGAGCTGACTCTCGAAGGGCTGTCTAACCACGTCAGGGTGCGTCCTGTACGTCCTGAATTCAATGTATGTCAACACCTTTTGCAAACATGAGATATGCCAGTAGCGTACAGTTCAGCTTGAGCCTGGAATAGAGCGTTGGCACGCTCGACGTAGCCAGCGTCCCGGAAGCCAACAGCAACCCGCCAAAGGGCTCTCAGCATGCCGATCTCGTCCCCGCACACCGCACCGAGTACACGCTTCGCGTCCTCGACAATTCCTTCCACGCCTTTCTCCGCCCTCCTAATTCTCCAGTCGAGCCACTCAATCCACATCTCGATCCCACCTACCTTCAGCGCGTCCTCCCACTCCGCCCGCAACTTGCTTTCATGCCATGTTTCTTCTCCGGCCTTCAGGTACCGGAGCCTGAGAGCTTTGGACGATGCATTCCGCGGGTGGACGGATAGAGCCCGTTGGAGAATGGACAACGTGATCTCCGAGCGTGCCCTTGGGGCGTTCTTCGACGTGATGGGGACGGTGGAGAGCGTATGCGAGAGAAGGGACAGCCAGGTCTGGACTGAGGTCGGGTCGGCGGATAGCTGTTCCTCGAGCGATTTCAGCGTGGCTTGTAGGGACGTCATGGGAGTAGTATCCGAGTCGTCGCCTGAGCTCTCCTCTCCCTCGTCTTCAGAAGTCTCAGCTTCATCGGAGTTGGTGTCATGCTGTAGTTTAGTGATCGACCGGTACGAGGGGTCGCCTTTCCGCTCGCGTCCTGACGAAATACGTAGGAAACCTTCGACCTCATCATATTTGTACTTGTCCTCAGAGGAAGCCAGGAGCCTGCGGGTAGGTGCAGCATGCAACAAGTGTCGCGCGCTGGAGTCTGTGAGACTATGCATCTATATAACACGGATGAGCAATAGCACTCGTACGAGACAATGATGCAGACCTTCCGCCTCCCGCCCACAGCGACTTCGACTCCTTTGCGTCCTCGGTGCACAACCCTCCATCCATGCTCCAATCCAAGTATCGTCTTACCGCCTTGCGCTTTGTTAGACGTCTCCAGGGAAACTGCAAAGAAACTCACCACCGACTAAGTAATAGCGCGGGACGCTCCCGGCATACAGACCGCCGTACTGCACGTTTAGCGGATCACCCTTACGATCCGTGAAGTACAAGACCTGTTCTTCATGTGCAGCAGAGTCAAATGTCCTCTCAGCACGTATAGAGCTGTCCTCCTGAGCCTTCAGACGTTCATCGTCGAAGCCTGGGTAGGCTCTGTCCTCCTTATGCCTCCTGGAACTGCCCGAGTGCCGCTCGAGACTGTCACGGTCATCCTTGTCAGGTCTGTGCTTTCGTTCCTTGCGCATTCCCTGATCCCTATCTTTCTTCTTCTTCTTCCTCTTCTTTTCATCCGTGGACTCTACTGCAGGAGTCTGAGCGGGACGCTTGCTCGGACCGGGATCGAGGTCCGGAAACGACGTAAACGCAGTAGGAAAGGACGAGAAAGATGGCGCAGACATCGTGCACTTAGCCACAATACTGCCCCAAGTGTGTGCGTTGCGTGATATGCCAGCTAGAGAACCGAAGCGTATGACTTGGAGGCCGAGCTCGAGGACAACGTAGGGCAGGTTGTACTGAGGCGCCCACCGATCAGTCGCGGTTCGGTGACGCGGGACACGTGCTCCAATATACTGTTCCCGTTTTGGCAGTCAGAGCGATCTTCACTTTTTCTCCTACAGCCGTCAACGCAGCTGCACCGACGACTCACTTTCCTTAGCTGGACCGTCGCTGAGGACTCCTGACATCCATCATCTGGTTGACATTCACCTGATCAAGGAACCAGAATGCGGCCGTTGACAGAAGAGGAGAGCAAGGCTGTCTTCACGAAGTTGGCGAACTACATCGTATGTTGCAACCAAGGAGCTTTCCATACTTATCTCACGTAGTGCACAGGGGAAAAACCTCGTCCATCTCATTGACAGGGCTGACGAGCCATATTGCTTCAGGCTGCAGAAGGACCGTGTTTTCTATGTGTCGGAGTCTTCAATGCGCTTAGGCATATCGGTCGCCCGCCCGAATCTCGTCAGCCTTGGGACATGTTTTGGGAAGTTTTCGAAAAGTGGGAAATTCAAGCTTCACATAACTGCTCTGGATTATCTGGCGCAATATGCCAAATACAAGGTCCGTTGCGCAGCTCGCAGTGTTCGTTCAGACGCCTCATTTCCATCGCAGGTCTGGATAAAACCCAACGGAGAGATGCCGTTCCTGTACGGCAACCATGTGCTGAAGGCACATCTTGGACGAATAACGGAGGACACGCCTGAACACCAGGGGGTCGTAGTATTCAGTATGAACGACATACCATTAGTGCGTTTCACTATCCACGGACGTGTTCATATCTTAACCTTTTCCACAGGGTTTTGGTGTCACGGCTCGTTCCACAATAGATACTCGAAAACTAGACCCGACAGCGATCATCGTATTCCATCAAGCGGATGTCGGTGAATACCTTCGCGACGAAGTGAGTGCTGAACGGTGAACTATGGCACCCGATCCCTGATCGTACGCGCGTTATAGGAAACTTTGTTTTGAGACCCTGCGTCTTGGATAACACATTTTCACTGGTCTTATTGCGAGTATAATCTTCCTCTGCCCCGTGTAACGAAGTGCTCGGCCGGGTTTAGGGATACTAAAAGTACACCTCACCTTTCGCTCGATATTCACATGGGACTTTGTATCATATGGCTGTGTTATGCATGTACAACGGTGTGTAATCTCCGGTGAGAAGACGTCGTCCCCGACACAGGTGCATGGTATTTGCACCAGGTACTTAGGTACATAGCTTGAGACAACTTGAGGTCAATCGAGTGTTGACATTGAGACGCCGGCCAGTGGCACTGAAAAGCCCTTGGTCGCCGTGACTGTCGTCACGCTTTCCCCGCACGCATGCACGTGTAAGACGCGAAATGGCGTCCACCTCTACCTCCACGTCGCCGCACGACCTCTGCACGCAATGGACCGCGTTGGCGGACGAGGACCTCACCGCAAGAAAGGTCGACGAACTCCTGAGACCCGTTTCCGATGACTTATGGGTAGCAGCCGCATGTGCGGACCGCATTCTGGAGGACGCGATCGTCCAGAGGTCGGTATTGGACCTAGGAATCGAGCGGACCGCTTCCGCCATCAAGAGGGTTGGCGTGGCATATTCCCGGCCTTCACAGCTCCATGAAGAGGAGGACCCGTCGGAGGATGGACCTGAGAAGGACAGAGTCACGGAGGGAGAGCCTCAGGAGGACCTGACAAGACATACGTCTCTAGTCTCACACTTCCGTGGCGAACCCGCCGACGTGCAACTATGTCGTATACGCGCCGTCCTGCTCGACCGACTGGATCGGTTGTCAACATTTGTAGAGGTGTGCAAGGAAGCCCCGCCCAAGGAGACGGAGGAGACGGTCGATGAAGAGTGGGAGGACCCATGGGCGGACGAAGCCAACGACACCGCGGCAGAATCGTCACCGTCTGCTACAGAGCCGCCACTTCCTCTATCTACGTTCCTCACTGCCGACCTCCTGCAACTAGCATGCATGCTCGCGTCCTCGGAACATGCGTCAGCCCTCCGCGTACTCATGAATCGACTCGGGCACCATATATGGCCATACCGGTTCTCGGTCATCGACTGTATTCCTGAATATGCACTCGCCACTCAATTCCTCGATTCTCTACCGATCTATGATCCCTCAGGCGACAAGGAGCAGATACCGAAATTCTCCCCGTGGAGGAGTGAGCCTGACTTCTCGGAACATTCGGTACTCCCTGCTGCCCTCGGGGACGCTGAAGTCCCCCTGGACTTCTCCCTTCAAGCGCCTGTCACGACTGACCTGTCTTCCCGACCAGACCCTCTGTCGGCACAAGGTCTGGCAACATGGTACCGGGATCATATAGACCTCATCATTTCGTCGACCGGGATGATCGATGCTGCCCTGTTGTTGATTCAGCATGCTGCTTCGCAAGGACTTCCAGGACTCGACGAAGTAGGCGAGGAGCTGAGTTTACTATCTCGCTTGGTGTACGACGCCCCTGCCGTTCCAACCGACACCGACGAGGACTGGACGCTGGCCCGGTGGAGGTCTATGGAACCGTCGGCAGTAGTGCGTGCATACCTCACGCACTCCACTCCGGTCACGGTTGCAAAAGATATTAGTAGACTCGTCATGCCATATCTTTTCGTACTCGAGTCGCGCGCAGAGCGGGCAGGCACCCCAGATCCGTCCCTACCAACGCGGCTCTTGTACGAGTACGTCCTGAATGCGCCTCTGGAGATCGTCGCAGCTGTCTTCGAGGCATCGAAACCGACCTTATCTCCCGCCCAACGACTCATCCGGAATGACGAGGACATGGCACGCCTCGCCTTGGCGTGTTTGTACGGGAGCGACAGCCTGGACGAATGGTCAACGATGAGCCGCATCTTCGAGTGTCTTCCTGCATGGGAAACAGCCAATGACGAAGACGAAGCAGACGAAGCAGACACTACCATCGCTTCGTTAGGTGCTTTCGTCGCCCCTTCCACTACGCGACAGCGTGCCACCCCAGCAGATCTGATGCTCTTCTTCCAGCCCCTCCCTCCGTCTGCCTTGTCGCGTGCTCTGGATGTTTTGGACGTTCATCTGGAGTCTGGAGAGATTCTGGCGCGATGGGAAGTCCCAGCGCCCCTTCGCTGGTTCTTGCAAAGCAACGGCAGCATTGCCGAGCAGCGATCTTGGGCGAACCGGATGGCGCGGCGCGCTGGAGGTACCGACAAACTTGAGACGCAAGAAGACTGGGAATGGCTCCTGGAGGATATGCTCAAGCTCTCGGAGTCGGGTGATAGCGGAGCTTGGAGCACATTCTGTCTGCTATCTCAAGATGATATAGCCCGCATCTACTTCAGCGGGTTGCTCAGCACAGGCAGTAAGTTCGTATGGGGAATTTGTGTTGCGCGTTGCTCACCTACTGCCAGAATTCGACATCGCGAAGCACTTGTTGCGTTCATCTAGCATCAGCATGTCATTGGAACCATCCGTCATTGAAGACATATGTCTGACGTGCTCTCAAGAGTTCTACGACAACGCGAGCTCCGGTAATTACCATTTCAGCGATATGAAACTTGCCTACGACTGGTAAGCAACACGATGAAGGCCTGTGAGATTTCTCTGATGCTGAGCCCTTGTTTCAGTCTTGACATCCCTGCGCCTTCCGAGCGGGTCATCAGGGAGAGAGAATTCATTGAGGCGACCACTCGTCTTTGCTCTTTCAACCTCATGTCACGCCCAGGCATCCCGATCACCCCTCTTGAGATTCGTCTGACAAAGGACCGCTTGTCCCTCGTGTCGCGAGTGCTTTCCAGCAACAGCGACGCATACAAGCACACGCAAGTCATTCTCGACTTGGTCTACAAACTGGGATTCAGAGGAGACGTCGTCGCTGAGGTCAAGACCTTGGCCATGCTTGTCGAGACCGCCGTGCAAGCCGAAGACTTCCCTCGTGCATTCGAGACGAGCCAGAGTATGATTGACACTGTTCTCAGTCTGAGATCGACAGTGCCGTCTGGCCTACAAGACTCCAACGTGGAGGAGGCGAGTGAAGTATGCTGGGTCGCTTGCTACCAATTGGGACGTCATCCCGAGTTCGAAGACGTACCGAAGAAACTCACACTGGTGGGACGTGCCCTGGAGCTATGTCCGTCGGACAGGATGGCGGATGTCCTGGCAGTCTGGCATCGTCTGGAAGACGAGGATTTGCAGCAGCGACGCGAGCGGCTCGATGCCCGCCGCAAAGGTGGCCGGACGGTACATGCGCGCAAGCGTGCGCCCACAGCGCACGACCCCGTTGCTTCCCTTGCAGCTCGCCTACAGCACCTTCGGATGCCCGACTTCCAGATGCCGCATTCGCCGCTCACGGGCGCAGAGGATGCAGCGGCGCTGGCAGGCAAGGCATTCAACCGTGTTGCGGCGAACTTCCCCTTCTCTGTAGGCAATCGGGGCCGTACGCTCACGGGCGAGAACGGTAGTGGATGGGGCAGCAGAGAAGGTAGCAGAGCACCCGAAGACGGGGCAGACGTTTCGGTTCAGGCGTCTCGAGTCTTGCAGGCTGGTATCGGTTGGTTATTGGGTGGAGATGATGATAATTAACGTATGTCACGGACATCGTGGACAGTAGCAAGTAATATTACACATGCTTCATGCATCCATAACTATGCGCGTTGTGCTACATTGACACTGGCTTCATCGTGTTGACATCTGCAAGCTAGGGGTCTGAGTCTGCAGCAATTACATGGCAGTTTTCTTCACCGTGTCACACTCCTGAGTTATTATGTCGCTTTCGACCTCTCACCAAACATACTGTGAGGAGGGCACGCATGTCATCTTGTTGCTAGCCTCTCCGTGGTGAAAGTGCGGCTTCGCTTCGTATCCAAGGGGGGTTAGACGTCTCACCAATGATCTCGATGTGTGCCTTGTGCTGGCGAGGGAAGGATAATTATTACAAGGGCAACATTACACTCTCGTCTTTAGCTTTAGTATTGAGATGCAAGGTGCCGCCATTCGCAAGGCATCCCAGCACTTCCCGAGCATACAAATCTGACGCAACTCTAGCGCATCTATGGTATGCGTCGCCTGGACACTGCCAGCTGAGAGAGCGCGTTTATCCGGAGGGATGTAGAGTGCTGAAGCGACCATGATGAGTCGCAACGATCCGTGGCCGCTGGGAATAGTGCTCACCATCTACGAGTGTTTTATGGTTGACACTCGCGCTGACGAACTCGCCCGCACTTCCTGGACAGTCGTTGAACGGCGGTTAATTGCAAGTATGGCACGCCGTACTCACCGAACTCGTATATTGTATAGGCGGCATCGACCGACTGACAATCATCGGCATGCGCTACCGAGGGATTTCCCCGCGGTTGCAAGCACTCGATCATCGTATCTTCCAAGCAGCCGTATGGCGTCCGGATATGTGCAGCGTGCGTGAGGTATGGTGTGGATAACAACACGAAAGCTGGGTCCGCGTCTTTCATGATCGCAGAGAATACCTCTTCCGTGACGTGTCCGCCGTCCATAGGGATGCAGGTGGCCCCAGCCGAAGAACCGCCAGCATACCGACGATATATCCGATTGAATGGTGCACGACAAGGCATACGCGGGTTCCTCTTCGTACTCCCTGTTTCTGCAATCGAGCGGCCAGCCGTCCGGATAGCATCAGGAGCCGCACATAAGACGTCGCATTGCCGTCTGAGTCTACAACAGCGTCAAGGCGCGGATGACAGAGCGCATGCACCACAAATGCATGGTGGATGCATTCATAAGACGTCTGGAGTCGAGGTCTAGTAGCTGGGAAGTGACGCTGGCCCACTGTGGATGCTCCTTCACTGGCTTGCGTATCTTCTGTGGATAACGGCGAATGAGGCACGACTGGGAGGTGTGCTATTTCCATGTTCACCAATTGCTTATCACTATCACCGTGTTCAGTCAAGGTACACCCCGTGACGAGCAGGCTAAGAGAGGCCGTACCTTGATCGATAGGTGAGGGTGGGTCGTCGGGCAGGGCGAATGGGAAGTTCCTGGCCTACCATCCAGGTCTTCATATACCTCGTACCGGGCTCCCTACCCAGATCGCATTCTCCTTGTACCCGAACATTGTTCGGCAAGATGAGGGATGCGTCAATATGACACGTTTCATCACTAGAGATCCGCAGTTATGGGTATATCTCTCCTGGCGACGCTGGAGACGTCGCACGACCCGGAGAGAATGGATACGCGACGGTGGCTTACAGTACCTGTATCAGGCAAGTATGCAAACAGCCATACTGTGGTCAAATTTCGCGGACACCATCTGCTCCGCGCACAGGCCGTTCTTCCGCATCAGTGGCGGTATGGCCAGATTTCACAGACGCGTAAACCACTGAGAAAGCGGCGGCGGTGCTCGACTATTTGTCAATGAGTTAGATAGACCACGACGGTGTGAATGCTTTACTTACCGCATGCGAACGATGGCAGTGTGGGCCACCGTTGAACGTTTCAACATTCTGACCGCAGAACAACGCCGCTTCGACACCCCAATGGAAGCACAACATCGGACAGAGGCTTGGAACACCGATGCGCCAATGACGGGATGTCTGTGGCCCAATCATCCCGGGCTATGCAGGGAACGACAATAATCATCGGCTGCTCTCACACAAGTCCCCGGTGCATCTGAAGCAGACCAACATAGCAGTCAGCTTCAACAAGCGGCGAATACTCACCTGAATGATGGAGAACAGTGATCAGACGCCGCTGTAGATCCAAGGACCGAGTAGGGACTGCTATTACCCAACATTGCGACCCAATCGCGAGGATACAAGATCGTAAGTAGTCGTGACGAGATATTCGAGATAGGAGGGTGTGGAGAGAGAGGAACAGGAAGCGAAGTGGGGAAAGAGAGTGGTGCGTGTACGTTCCGACGTACGAGTGCAGCTGTAACAAACAACAATAGGGAGAAAGGTGTACGGTGCGGCACATTACGACGTGGTCTATATGCAATATGGCGACGGAAAAAAGTGTGAACGTGAAGACCAGAGGGAAGGAAGACGAAGATGTATGCACAGAACAATGGCAACGGACAAACAGGATGCAATGCGGACCGCGGAATAGTGATAGGAATAAAGAGGCATAAACTTCCGGCCGACAACACTAGATAGAGATAAAAGAGGTCCGGGTGTGTTCTACAGTAGCTGTTGTACAATGAGACTGCGAGCGGCGAAATGGAAAGAGCGGGAAAGCACCAACGCGGTCGGCCATGCGTAAATAGGAGAAACGTTGAGCGAGCGAGGTCTATGTCCCGCTGGCGAAGCGGGACCCCACTCCCGTGCGGGCCCTGGGCCGGTTGACCACACCAACCCTGACACCGGCCTTCTTCAACTCGTCAACGCAGCTATTGCTGTCGGGACCGGGGCGGCCCACATTCCCCCGCCCACATGCAGAGCAGTACGGGGCAGTGTTTTCCGTCATGCGAAGCTCCTCCACTTCGGCCTTGAGGTCGCGCACTTGACCCTCGAGCTCCCAGATCTGCCGCTGCCACGCACGACGCGCCATGAGAATCTGATCCTGCAACGCCTCAACCATAGAGGATTGTTCATCCTGTGAGTCCCGCGAAATCATAGGCGCCGACTTGCCATCCTCTGGTGGCCCCGCGTAGCCCCTGAGCTGCAGCGGGAACTCGGTGCTGAGCGGAGAGATCGCCGTCGCAGCTGTCGTGGGCGTGCCTGTATCCGGGTCCATGGTGACAGGACTCACGAGCTGTTCACCGAAGTTGTTGCTAAACAACGTCGAGACGGGGCGGAGGCTCAGACCGATGAAGTCAGAAGACATCGGCGGGGCGCTGCTAGGCGGAAGCGTGTCCGTAGCGACACTAGAGAATGACTCGCTGACAGTCGGCGTAATGGTGATCGTGTGGCCATGCGAAGACGACTTCTCGCTCACTGAGGAATGAGGGGCATAGAGCCTTGAGGGATGCGCCGATGTGTTTATCGACAGACCTGGTGCGTTACGTCTAGCGTTCAACTGACGCTCTCTCGAAGCGGGTGACCCTCTGTTCGATGGGGAACCACTATGCGAGTCTGACGAGCTGCCCGAACCGCCCGTTGCAGCACTCACCTCTCCATCCGCAAGGGAAGGAGAAAGCGAAGGAACCGGGACGCGATGAGCGGACCCCTTGCGCTCCCTGACCGCAGGCTGAGACGATATGGACGCCACCTCGGATGCTAGGGAAGGAACCGGCGGAGGCGGGGAATGCATCCCCCTTTCCTTCTCCTTCCCATTGAACAACCGCATGAATCCGCTCTTCTTGCGCTGCACAGATCTTGGCGGTAGGCTTCCCTGTGAAGACGTCTGGCCCGACATAGGCGGCCGCTGGCCGGATTCCGTCCTTGTCTTCCCACTGCTGCTTGCAGAGCGCGACCTCGAAGCAGAAGCCGGGCCCTCGAGGTCCTGGTCGGACGATACCACCTGCGACTTCGGAGTCGCATAATTGCTCGATATGACCGGGTTCGTAGTGGCACTTCTTGAGCGCTCCCGTGCCTGCGCCTGTGCCTGTTCCAAGGATATAAGCTTGATCGACGCCCCTGCGGGACTCTCTCCAAAAGCCATGAATGCTGGGTTGTTAACCAGCTTGTCGTTACCCCTCATTCTAGGGCTAGCAGGGCCTTGGGAGCCGGACGCGCCGCCGCCTATACCGTTCATCATCGATATCGACGAGAAGGACGGCTTATTGGCAAGCATGGGACCAGATATGCCTTTGCCGCGGGGGTTGTGGGGGGATAGATCTTTCGGTCCCGCTTCAACAGAAGACAGAGACGTGACAGGGGTCAAGGATGACATGGTGGTATTGGAGCGCGATTGGAACATGCTGCTATTCGCGGTACTTTCCGTGAGCGTTGCATTCGAGTCGCTTCTGTTGACAATGGACGTTGGGCTAGGAAGAGGAGGCTGGATACCGGATTTTGGGGACGAGATAGACTTCGGCTTGTCATAGGCACGGCGCACAAGATCCGGGTTTGCGAAGGGATGTGTGTACTCGCCGTAGGAGCTGGGCGTAGGCGAACGAGAGAGGGGCTGGTCAAATGACGTCTCCAACGGTGATAGTGATGTCGGGGAAGCTGGATGCACATAGCGTGACATCGGAGATGCATTGGCCGATGATTGAGCAGAGAACGGGGACGGTCTTGTGTCGGTAGAATCCGGTGCGATAGGATGGGCGTTTGAGGGAGTCCGAGGTCGCAGGCGCGAGAGCGAGAGCTTGTCGCGTAGCGTGGGCTGCGGCGAATTTATGGCAAGGGATGTAGAGGACATCGACGCTTGCGCTAGGGCACTGTGGTTGGTGTGAGCACATGACGAATGGTGAACAGTACAGGAGAACCTACAGTAGAGCGCTGCCGTTCCCTTGATATGATTCCATAGACGGCTTCGGCCTACTCTGCGACCGATTCGAATCGGTGCTCGGTCTCTTTTCGCTCTGCCTTTCGCTGCTTGATTTCCCCAAACCCCAAACCCTCTTGCCTCCGTCTTTCCGACTCCCGGAGCGTTTCTTGCCTGAGCTCGGGGATAACGGCTCCTCATGATCTGATGCGCCGTCTTCACCAACCTCCCAGGGAGCACGAGAGTGGACGGTCATTTTTGGACCGTATGTGCTTATCCCGGGCAGCTCCTCCTCGCTCGCTGCAGGGGACACATCATCCTCCATAGAAGGGTCGACGGAAGAGCACTGCGAGTCGTCGTCTAGATCGAGACAGCTCGCATTGGGAAGGTTGAGCCGCTCCCTGTCGAACATGGGGGAGCGAGGCTCGGACGGTGGACCCCGCGGCGGGAGGCTGAGCTCGTAGGAGCCCAGGTTGGCGTCGGCTGGAGCGCCAGTGGGTCTTGGAGAAAAATAGGGACGGCTATATACGGAGGGAGAGTCAGAGAACTCGGACAGAGAAGGGAACCGGCCATGGAGGTCAGCGCGGGTAGCACGCTGGTCGAGGAGATGGCGAAGGTGGTCCTCCCGGGCGTGGATGTCTGGGGAGTTCATGAGGCTCATAAGCAAGGACGGTGAGGAGTTGGACGGGGGAAGGCAGCTGCAGCTGGACGCCGGCGACGAGGACGTCGCGGTGGAAGAGCAGGCGTCGTGCACATCCGCCTGAAATGAACTCCTTCTGGCTAGCTCGTGCGACAAACACGCGTCAACACCGTCTATCACCCGCCCGATTCGCAACCCTCCTTCTAGCCTGCAGCGTGTCTCCGCAAATTCTGAATTCGCCGAGACGCGTCGTCGTTGGCAGGTTGTTCTCGCGCGAACAGCTCTGTGTGAATCGCACAGCACGGACGCGCCCAAACGCGCTGAAGTGGCTCCATATTTGCTCAAAACGCAGGTGTCCGCGAGCCCTATTGGCGCTGATCGACCTGCCTCTCTGAATCTTCGGATCCTGGCTTGGGCGTTTGTGGTGTGCGGCGGTGACCATCCACTGGCACAGCAGGTTGATATGTATCGCGGCAAGCCCGGGGTTGAGCTCGACCAGTTGTACCACGCTGACTATTGTCACGCATTCACGGGCTTGAGCAAGCCAACAGCGGAGACGGACAAGTTGAGCAGCAGAGATCGCAGATACGCCCGATGCATCTAACTCATCGGGCCCTCCGTCCCAGATTGGTAGGCACCGAGGAAGCGCCCCGGTCTTTTCGCAGGTCGGCCGCTCCTGCTCTTTGGCATCTACTATTTGTCTCTTCTGACATATTTCTCCCCTTGCACTTTGGCGTTGCGACACAGGCCTTCAGAATGTCACTCCCAGAGACTCTAGTACGGTTGCATCCTCGTGAAGAAGACATTTCCTCATCGCAGCCATCAACCTCCGCACTTCCTCTCACCCACTCTGCCGCCGGTCGTGTATCCGGCAAGCCATGGAAACAACCCAAAACAGCGACAGTGTATGTGGGCCGTCTTGCATGTCAATACCTGTGTCTCACTCTGATGACTTCTGTAGCCGTACGCTGCTCCCAGACGGCCTAAAGTCTAAGAGCTGGGAAGATCGCATGCAAAAGACACAAAAGGAGAAGGCCATCAAGAAATTGCAGGCCGAGCTTAGCGAGGAGAAAAGGGCCGAGAAGGAGCGGTAAGCAGCGCTCATCTTGCATATCCAACTGCGCTTGGTGCTCACAGACGACGCTGGGCAGTCGGAAACAGATCACCGTGGAGCGCAAGAAAGCTGCGGAGGAGCGCCGTAGACTGGAGGAGGACAAAGCGAAGGTGTGTAGCGTTTTGCCTACTGTCATGCCCTCATCTGAGTGTCCTCGTGTAGTGGGCGCACGGAAGGCTGCACGCATGCGCCGCAAGGCTGGTCGTACCAAGAAGATCAATCATTGACACACCCCTGTGTCAACACGACGTGGACGGGGTCTTCGTGCCCTGCATCATGTCATGGCTGTGGTCGTCGAGTTTGAAATGCACCTCGCTATGCATCGTCAGTTGTTCTGCCTGCTTGGGAGTGTCGCGAGATGGAGAGGTGCATGGATGGAATGGTTCCCGGGGATTGGCGGCGTTTAGTGCTGGAACGGCATGTTTTACGGACCAAACCTACGATGGTACGCCACGAAAGCCGGACCAGTATACTACTAAGTACTGTACGCGACCGCTGTAGGATGGTTACGCTGCCAAGACAGTATGTCAAGGGATGCAGACAACTATCTAATCGGGCTATTGCTCTGCCTGCAGCCAGTGCCTAGTAGAATCCTTGGAACTGACAACGGACTAACATGTGCTCTTGGGACCTTGCAATCATCAAGCGCGGGGCTGACCACACGTCGTCCGGCGTAGCATAATTTAAATGGATATAAATCTCAATGCATACCAGACGCGGGCCATGACATGCATGACATCCACGATTGTTCCCTCACGTACTCGACGTTATCATCTTCGACTGCATGTCAAGCTTACTCCAGATAGTCAATACAGCCGGTTCGACGAGTACAGCATAATTTAGTTGCATGAAGTACACACGTACGTCCAACAACTTGTATTGAGTGGCAGCCCTGTTGCCAAATTCTGCCGCTAGTAGTACTAGGCCGTAGCAGTACGCTCCGCCGCCAACGACTCCAGGAGCTCCGGCGAACGAGGATACCTGAAGTCCACCTCGCGTCTGGGTCGACCTCCCTGCCATGCTCGTCGACCGCCTTCGATAGGTTAAACACGGTAAGCAGGCTAGACACGTTCAGGGATAGAGATGTCTCGGCAAAGTGCTGGCCTGAACGCCCAACGAGGCTGTATCAGTAGGTTTCCGGGACACATAACGTAGACAAGCACCAGCAACCACCTCATAATGTCCAACTGGAATCCACCTCCCCTGGCTGCACAAACGGCTTGTCCAAACCGGCTACCACGCTCTCGCACAATGGACAGCTGGCAGCAAGCACGTCTTCCAGCTCTTTGCGCATCCGTTCTATTTTGACCGCGTCCTTCTCGCCACCAACGCGCTTCGTGGCACCGGTGCCTATGCCGGGTATCCAGCCAGCAGGTGCAGTGACGACGCTGGCGAGCGCGTCTGGGATGATGAGGTCCCGTAGACGATCGCCGGCGGACAGGAGATTGCGCCCGAGCGAGGCAGCACCGCGAGTGCCATTCTGTGCAACGCCGAAGTTGGCGGACAGAAGTGTTCGTTGCGACGTGGGTTGTCGAGGGAGCGGTGTTGAGGGGTTCACACTGCCAGTGCGATCTAATGCACCTTTCTGCGTCAATTTCATCAGTTCCGATTGCACGTTGACGATGCGCCGGAGTGCGTGCGCGGGCAGGTACTCCTTCGTCTGGAAACGACGTTAGGACCTCGCTTTAACATGAGTTGCCAGAATAAGTGACTTACAAGACCGATGAGACAGTCGGCATGGAAGGTATGTTGGCACGGGAAGACATAGAACTGTCTGGTAAAGAGCGCCTGGTGGCATACCGAGCACTTCTCCGTTGAATCGACGGTGATGAAGCGTTTCTGCAGGGCACTGATATCCTGTTTGATAGCCTCGGCGTTGCGAGTTGCTTCGTCCATTTCCGCCTTCAACGTGTCGATGTGTGCAGAGTAGTCTTCGAGCGCGGTACATATCTCGTCCTTGAAGTCGTCGATAACAACGAAGTCAGGGAAGAACGGCAGTATGTCCTCAATCTTGAGTAACTCGGTGTTCTCCAGGAAACGCATAGCCCTATTCATAAGAAGAATGAGCAGAGTTTGCAGACCAGAACTTCGCGCGAACATACATCTTGATGTCTTGCTTGTCCTGTACCACGTACTTCGCGATCTTCAACCAGAGCTTCTTCCGTAACTGGTCGTCATCTTCGGGCATGTCGGCGTTGATCTTCGCCAGCTCCAGATCGCCCTTCTCGAGCGCAAGGTCGACGCTGCTTTCGTATAGACCCATCTTTGAATAGATATGCACGCATGGCTGCGTCCGGCCTGACTGTTTGCACAACCGCAGTGCATAGTCAAGGTCATAGTACGGCTTGCCCGTAAGAGGATCTGATGGTGCTGATGACAGGAAACGTAGTAGGGGCGCATCGTCGTCAGGGTGGGTTGCGCCAGAGGAAGAGCTCGACGATGACTGAGTGGAAGGGGAGGCGTAGAAGGTGATGACGAGATTGTGGATGGTCGGTGCGGTGTTGCTTCGTTCGAAGATGACATGATTGAGGTATCGAATTGCCTGGTTGGGTGAAAGCGGATCGCGGGGTGCATGTTGCAACTGGAGGAGGGCGGGAATGAGTCGGATAGGGTCGAGGGATGGTTGGCGCAACCAAGAATCAACAGTCTCTTTTGGTGCGTGGCGAATAAGGACAGGGCCGAAACGATAGTACAAGTCCAGATTTGACTGAGCAAGGTTCGAGTAAGCAAGGTTCGGAACTGGGCACACAGGTGACTTACCTGTCGCGCAATGACATCGATAGCTTTCGTCCAATCTTCTTCGAATACCCAATGTTCAACTACCCTTTCGTGGTCACCCACGATCGTTGCGTAGTGAAGATACATATCGGTCCGCCCATGCCCTTGGATAAGTTCATACACCGTCCTGGGGTCCAGATGCGCCTATGGAGTGTCAGCGACCTCGAGATGTAAGCGGGTTATTAGGTACCTTGTACGTCTGGAAGAACTGTCGTAGGTCCTCCTCCAATATAATACGTTCGGCCCGCAGATTGTCAACGTCATGAGACGCAGACTCTGACGCTATGAGGTCGTCGAGCTCATTGCATTTGCTGAGGTAGAACTCTACGAGCCACGTCGCAAGCATCATCCTTTGAGACAGATCCTAGCGACGTCCTGTCAGCCCTTAAGTACGAGCCAGTGCGGGAAGATTGCCAACCGTTTTCCTGGTCCTTTCCAAGCGGGACGTGATATACGAACGAAGCGCATCCTTCTCACCAACATCGAGGAATTTGAGGATCACTTCCTCAAAGCTAACTGAGCATTGAGAGTAGCACTGTGCTGATTGGAAGTACCGAGCCTCGTCAAAGAAGGCTTTCGCCTGGGCCGACATGACGTGGTCCCGTTGGGCTGCTGTCTGTCAGAGCATATCAGTCTGGTAGAATATGTAGAGCATGAATCACCAACCGTGGTATACTGGAGTGCCAAGTCATACTTGCCCTTCTCCAGGTAGATCTTCCAGACGTCCCGATGCTCATTTGCGACTACGAGCTCGAACAGGGATTGGTCCGTGTATACCCAGTACGTCTTTCGCACGGGATCTGCAGTCATACCGCGGATCTCCTCGCTAGGTTTCTTATCCCAGAGGTCAGGTTTAACAACAACATACGCAGAGTATGATAATCATACCAAAGGCAGCATTTCTTCGTAAGTCAATTGCTCATTCAAGTTCGAGATACCAATGACCTTGTCCCTGTAGAGGAGCATGAAGTGGAACTCGGTCAATGCAACAGACAGTGGCATTGCCGACGCCATGGTACTCGGGTACGGGAGCAACTGAGCGCCGTCGATCAAGTCGTCGGAGGTGGATTCGTAATTCAGCGCCCCATGGTATATACCAGGTTCTTGGAGTGTTGCATGAGAAGGCTTCACAACAAACTAAGGTATCGAACGTACGAGTCATCCATCCGAGGTACCTAGGCAAAGAGTTGGCTTGATCCGCGTTGGGGCCACACGTATGCAGCTCGGAGTAGTCGACATTGCCAGGAAGTTCGGAGATTGCTTAGTTCTGCACCATCAGTGCCGCTTATGCTACCGAAAGGGGGAATGACTGACTCGGTGCTGAATCCCTGTAGCTCGCGAACAACCCAAGGAACACCCGACCTCCATCATCGCCCCGTCTGTCAGGTATACCGACGAACTGGTATATTCTTGTCGGCGTAGTGATGACAACGTGGGCCTTCCGAGGATCTGCGGGCGGAAACAAGTCGAACTTGAGGCCAGTGACAGGCTGGCGCTCCGGAAGGCTGTAAACTGGTTGTAGGTACCTCTCTTGCGACTTGAAGAAGTCCTCCTCGGCGTCAAGCACGGCCTCAAAGATCGCGCCGCTCTTCGTTCCAACAAGCATCTCGCGCGTGGAGGTAGAATGGGAAGAGGCAAGCAGGGCAGGCTTGTTCCAAGCAATGCTCTCGACAACCATCTTCCACGTCTTGAGCTGCCGTGGCTTCTTCCACCCCCGGTAGAGATACCAGTTCTCTCCCTGCAGAGAGGCAATGACGAGGTGCCTCCCAGAAGGGTCCAGGAAGAGCCTGTGAATGGAGAATTCATTTAGCTTGCGAGGAATTTGGATCTTGACAACCTGCTCGGAGCGCGAGAGTTCGATTTGGACGATGGTATTATTGGAGAGTCCCATCGTCAGTACGTCCGACGAGACTGCAAGGGCCAATAATGGTGCCGGCAGGGTGTACTGTACACGGCCGAGCTCGAAGAGCGGCGCTGCGGGTACTGCGGCGTCAACCTGATCCTGGACAAGGGAATGAAGCTAGGAGTACATTGGTGAGAGTGTCACAGCTCACAGATGTTGCAAGACCGTCTACAACTGCCTCATCTTCGTAGGACATTGGCTCAAATCCCTCATATTGGACCTGTGGCAGAGAGGTGTGTGGAAGACCAGGCAGTCCCGCATGCTCAACAACTGTGTATTCCGAGAAGTTAGCAATGAATTTGGACAGCATTTATTCACGTACAGTCGTCGAGCATCTCCGCAAGGTGAGGTGAGCGTGAACAGCGGTGGTGCTGTCAGGTCTGAGTGTCAGGACGGTCGTGTGGCTGCAGCGCACACAGCGCGTCAGGATCACGTGGGCCCTCCTTACGGCGGTCGGGGAGCGCTGTGCCTGTCGTCCTGCGTCGATCTATGGTCGACAAGTATGCCTGGCTTGGTGCAGTGCTACGTCTATTAGTCTCGACTCTGTCTGTCCCTTCACCCTGAGCATGGATCCGGGGACAGGTCGGATTGTCCTCCGCAAGCATGGCTCGGAAGCGACCTTCTCCGAGCTATCTTATGTTTATCCTCTCAAGCTACTGTCTCCACGTCTCTCACCGCGGGACGCCAGCGCAGTATACGTTGTTACATATGGCGGTGGCTTAGTAGGAGGCGACCGCGTCCAACTATCGGTCATTGTGGATGAGGGGGCAGCTCTAGTGATGTTGACCCAGGTTCGTCTACTACCTTGCCTCAAGATATTCCTCACCCTTGATATATCGCTGTGCATACAGGGCTCCACGAAGGTTTTCAAGAACAGACCTGGACATAGACTCACCGCCCGCTCGCAGGGTACACTGTCCAACGCGGTTACCACACAAGTCTTGGAAGTCTCGATTGCTCGCGAAGGCGCGCTCTTCCTGCTCCCAGACCCAGTAACATGCTTTCGATCGGCAGCATACAACCAGTTGCAGGTATTTCGACTCGAGGCTTCCGCATCTCTCGTCCTCTTGGACTGGGTGACATCTGGTCGCAAGTCTCGTGGCGAAGAATGGGTCTTCTCGAGATATTACAGCATGAACGAAGTGTGGATCGGCGATCGACGACTGGCGAAGGACATCATGCTCTTGGAGGAGCAGGAGACGATTCGTTCTTTGCCACCACGGACCCTGGCCGACTCTCTTGCGCCGTATTCATGCTATGCGACGCTCATCATGTGCGGGCCGCTAGTAGAGAGTACACTAGGTTCTCTCTCCGCCGAATACGGACGCACGACGGTGTTCAAGCATGCTTCTCCTCCAGAACTGCTGTGGTCGCTCAGCGCGATTGGAGATGGGGCGGGCTGTGTGGTGCGGGTGGCGGCGACGGAGACGGAGACGGTCAGGAACTGGCTGAACGAGAGGCTGGTGCCACTCGAGGGCGCAATGGGCCCTGACGTCTATCGCAGGGCCTTTGGGTAAACAAGAAGGCTCGGAGGAAGATCGAAGAGCATGAAGCCCGTACCGCCCATATCTCACCGATCGAATCCACCGATCGTGCCGCCCTCAATGCCGCCCTTGCACGATCGGGTCGCCGACTACTGCGTGTTCGTCCGACTCAGGTCCTTGCCATGTCTCTTCCTGGGTGAGGCGGCTTCGCTCATCTTCAGTTCTCCGATTACGCCATGTGCAGTTAGCAGACCGTCCCTTGACGGAACATCCTCTTGTGTGTACCGGCGTCTACATTCCGAGGCATCTTCTTTTATCGCGCCAAGCGGACGTCTGGCCCTCAGGGCACCGCTGACCCGGTCGTCCTATCGTCGTGCAAACTCCACGATCTCCCTTATCAAAGTCATGACAGCATAAGAATGGCACCCTACAGCTGCGTCTCGTAGGTCCTGCTGCCTTCCTCCAGCCCGTCCTCCATAGCCATGTCGCAATCGTTCAAGGCTGCGTCCGAAGACGAGAAGGTCCATGACCCGGAGGTCGCCTCCGTCGCGCAGGAGAGTGTCTACCGTCCCGAGGTAGATACTTCCGGCGTGAACGGGCGGAAGCTCATGTGGAAGATCGACTGGCACACCGTCCCATGGTTGGCGTTCCTCTATTTCCTCAACTCGCTTGACCGAGGAAACATCGGTAATGCGAAGGTCAGTCACGCAAACACTGAGCTCTGAATTATCTTTCACCTCCCGTCTCATACAGCTGTATGGACTTGAGAGCGCCCTCCACATAACGGACAAGCAGTATTTGATTGCGCTCACGGTCTTCTTCTTTCCCTACGCCCTGTTCGAGCTGCCCAGTAACATGGTTCTCAAACGATTGCGGCCCTCGCGATGGCTGGCATTCATCTTGTTCGTGTGGGGCATGGCGACGACGCTGCACGGCGTCGCTCATAACTATGGCGGTCTCATCGGTGTGTAACTGTTTAGCTTCATCGAGAACAGGCAAGGAAACTGACTCGTCCTTAGCACTGCGTGTGATTCTCGGACTGGCGGAGGCGGGGTTGTATCCTGGCATCGTTTACTACCTGTCCTGGTACGTATGTCCTGCCCTTGACCCGTCTATAATACCAACGAAATCGTAGCTGGTACAAGCGCACTGAGCTGGGCACGCGAGTCGCTGTTTTCTTCACGTCCGCCACCATCGCTGGTGCCTTCAGCGGCTTTCTTGCCGTCGCCATCGAAAAGATGGACGGCATCGGCGGCAAGCCTGGCTGGGCATGGATCTTCATCCTCGAGGGTCTCTTCACCGTCTGCTGCGCGGTCGCGACTTACTTCATCCTCTCCGACTTCCCCGACACCGCCAAGTTCCTGAGCGAGACTGAGCGCGTTTGGGTCATCCGCAAGCTGCGCGCAGACATGAAGTTCAGCGCCGCCGGCGAGAAGTTCAAGATGAAGTATGTCAAGCAGAGTTTGCTGGACTGGAAGACATGGCTTGCGATGGGTATCTACATGGGCTTCGACGGTCCGCTCTTCGCCTTCTCGCTCTTCACGCCGACGATCATCAACCAGCTCGGGTATACCTCGACTGACGCGAATCTGCTCTCCGTCCCTGTGTACGTATGGGGGTGCATTGTGACCGTCATCGTGGGCTTTTTGGGTGACCGTCTAGGCAAGCGGGCCGCCATCAACCTGTACGTCGTGACCTCTTCAGGCTGTTATACCTCTGTGCTTACGCGGCTCCAGGGCACTGTTCACCACAGGGCTGGTAGGCTACATCATCCTAATCGCGTCGACGAGCGCACCACTGTCCTATTTCGCCGTATATCTAGCCATTGCCTCGATCTACCCCACAGTTCGTGAGTGTCACCGTCACATAGGCGACAGCGGCTCGTGTACTGACCCTTTTCACAGCAAACTCCGTGGCATGGGTATCTAGCAATGTCGAGGGCTCGTACAAGCGTGGTGCGACACTGGCCATGGCCATCGGCTGGGGCAACATCAACGGTGCGGTCAGCTCGAACATCTACCGCGCCGTCGACAAGCCGTGGTACCGCCTCGGCCACGGCATCGTCCTTGCGTACATCGCCATCGGCTGGATCTCCTCGCTGGCCTTCTACTTCATGCTCAAGCGCGAGAACGCTCGCAGGGACGCGGGTGAGCGCGACGAGGTGATTGACGGCATTGAGAATAAGCACGCGCGTGAGGAGAATGGTCACTTCGCGAGTGTAGATGAGGCGAGAGAGGAGAAGGGTGATGAATGGAGCGGGTTCAGATACTCATTGTAGCGTACTTCATTGCTATGTGATTGGAGGGAGGCCAAGCAGATATCCTTATTGGTAGATGTACAGATATTGCACCAAAACGCCCATTCCGCCGCCTCGAGGGCCAGTCCAGTCGGGTGTGATACATCGAAGCAGGAAGGATGTGAAACGAGTGACTGTTGTCATCGACGAAGTTGGACGTCAGAATGCGCTCGGTGAGACACTCTGCGGAACATCGCGAAAGAGTGGATTGCTCTGGATCGTGAGTAGAGTGTTTATGTGTTGATATGCTATCTACAGATGCAGTTCGATACAGATGCGGCAGTCCAACGGAGAGAACCATCCAACATGACTACAGGCAACAAGACGTCAGAATGCAGTCGACAATGCTATAGCCTTGGCTCGTCCACTCGTGATGTCGCTGCTGGCGCAGGTGTCTCCTCACCAGGTGTCTCAAGTGGTGGTGGTGCACTGCTCTCCCGATTCCGGTTCTCGTCAAGCCACTTGTCCATATCGTCCTTGCGGTTTGCGAACGGACGTGGGCCCAGCAACTTGATCATGTCCTCACTGGGATTTGTATGTCAGCGGGGCGTCATAGTCAACTCGCCTGAAGCAGACGTACCGAGTAATGACCTCCCGCTCCAGTAGCAGCTTGGCGACCTTCTCTACGTCCTCCTTGTGCTTTGTGAGAAGATCCCTGGTCCGCTGATGCGCAGTTCTGAAAGGATCGGTTCAGCCACCAACCACTGTTTGTCTATACTAACACTTACACGATCATCTTGCGGACTTCCGCATCCAACATCTCTCCAGTCTTCTCGCTGAACGGCTTCTGCCATCGCTCATCGGAGGCACTCGCACCACCGTAGCTGACGGGCCCGACCACGTCGTTCATGCCGTAGTTTGATACAGCCTCGAATGCCAGTCGTGTGATCTTCTGCAGATCGTCCTGCGCGCCAGTTGTGATGTTCCCTATGCCGAAGAAAATCTCCTCCGACACACGCCCACCGAGGGTCATGCATATCCGGTCCAACATCTGAGGAATAGAGAGGAGGTAACGGTCGGGAGGAAGGTACTGGTGATAGGTCAGAGAATGCCCATCAAGATCTGTAAACGCAAACTCACCTGCGCATATCCAAGTGCTCCTACACCTCTTGGGATGATGCTGACCTTCAGCAGAGGATCCGCGTGCTCCAAGAACCATCCGCAGATAGCATGACCGGCTTCGTGGTATGCGACCGTCTTCTTCTCGTCGGGGCTCAGCAATCTGCTCTTCCTCTCCAGGCCAACGATCACCCGCTCGATCGCACTTTCGAAGTCAGACTCTTCCACCGATTCGTGTCCATTGCGGGCTGCATGCAACGCGCCTTCATTGCACACGTTGGCGATGTCTGCACCGGAGAAGCCGGGCGTGAGCACGGCGAGCTTGTGTGCAAACGTCTCGATCTCTGGGAGTTTGTCGGACATCTTCAACGGCTTGAGATGTACCAAGAAGATCCCCTTGCGTCCGCCTACGTCAGGCCTGTCGATGGCTATGTGCCGATCAAACCGACCGGGACGCATGAGAGCAGGGTCCAGTACGTCTGCCCTGTTCGTACCCGCGAGCACTACAATGTGTTCGTGCGTTCCGAACCCATCCATCTCGACGAGCAATTGGTTGAGCGTGTTCTCTCGCTCGTCGTTGCCGCCCATAGACCGTTTCGAGCCACGGGCTTTGCCAATGGCGTCGATTTCGTCAATGAAGACGATTGCCGGCGCGTTCTTCTTCGCAGTCGCGAACAAATCGCGAACTCGCGATGAACCGACACCGACAAACATCTCGACGAACTCCGAACCGGACACAGAGAAGAAGGGAACATTCGCTTCTCCTGCTGTCGCCTTGGCCAGGAGGGTCTTACCGGTACCAGGAGGCCCGGACAAGATAGCACCGCGAGGGATCTTCGCACCGAGCTTCTCGTACTTGGCGGGCTCCTTGAGGAAGGAGACGAACTCCATGATCTCTTGTTTGGCCTCGTCCATACCCGCAACATCCCTAAACTTGGTCTTCACCGCTGTGTCCTGGTTGAACATCTTTGCGCGGCTCTTACCGAAGCCCAGGACACCCCCACCACCTCCTGTCCCACCCGCCTTCCGTGACAGGTAGAAGAGGACACCCGCGAAGAGGAGCGTAGGTGCGAAGTTCAGCAGATAGCTGAAAGCGGAGACCTCGTCATGGTACGCGACAGGTATCCGCTCGTGTGAGGGGATGCCCAGCTCGCGCTGCGCCTCGTCGACCTTGCGTTCGAACGCCTCGACCGACCCAATGGAGAAGTAGTAGTCCCCACCGCCAAGGGACGCGTTGGGATACATCGCTCCCGTGGCATTTGAGTGCAGCTTGACGCGGACCTTGCTCCGGTTAACGACGATGAGTTTGTCGACCAAGCCCTTGTCGAGGAAAGCGGTGCGGAATTCCTGCCAGGTGATCTCGCGGGAGGTGCCGGTGGATGAATTAGAGAGGGCATAGAATACAGCGGCGGTCGTAGCGAGTATAATGAGTTGGTTGGGGTTGAAGTTGTTGTCATTATTAGGTGGAGGAGGGGGACGTTGCTCGTTCTGGTTAGAGTCCTTGTCGTCCCGGTGCTCCTCGTTCCCCTTCGTGTCTCTCTGCCTCTGCTGCTGCTGCTGTTGGTGGTACCGCTGGAAGAACCCTTCAAGGCCCTTCAACGGTTCCTCCTTCCGCTGCTCAGATGCACTCTGCTGCTCCTCTGATGCCTTCCCCTTCTCCGGGACCTCTCCGTCCTTCTTCTCCTCCGTCTTCTTGTCCGCGGGGGGCTTCTGCTCCGGCGAGGGCTGGTGCTCGCTGGGTGTAGCAAAGGTGCGAGTAAATCTTGTCCGTGCAATAGGAGCCAGTCGCCCGCGCCCGAGGGCGGAAGCACGGAGAGTACGAGTGAGCATGAGGGTTAGGGAGTAAGAGTGGGATGGAGGATGCACCCGCCCTCAACGCACGCAATCCACTGCGGCTTCAGCCCGGCTCTGCCCATCCCCGAAATGACTAACAGAGACCCTAACCTAGGGTTCCACGGCACATGACCGCGTAAGCACGGCTTGACATACGTACGCGTCGCGGCTCGCGCGAACATCGATGTCGCTATTCACTCCCATCCTCTTCTCACTTGCATTCACCCGGGGTCGACCGCATGGATCTCCCGCATGGATCTCCAATATCTTCATTACATTTTTTGAGATCGGCATGACACTGTATGACTATTCCTCACAACCTTTAGTACTGGATCATCCGGCCGTCAATGATCGTGTCCGCGGTCAGCGCCGGCGGAGTGTAATTCGCGTAGCAGTCATACACAAAATCAACCTCCTCGATGCGTTCTTGCATGCCCTGGATGAAGTTTTCGAGCGGGCATAGGCCATTTGCGTCAGGTGTCTCGCAGTGGGCAATACCGGTAAGCGGCACGACGCCGTCGTTCAGCAAGAAACGGATGTAAGACACCGGATCGGCAGCAGAGCCTGCCTCAAGCGCTGTGCTCACGGAGGCAGGGCAAGACATCACCTGCGCGACCAGATTGGATGTGAAGGGTGCGATGTCGTGGACGTGGTAGGTCTGGTAAGCCGTACATGGGTAAGTCAGGCGTGAGAGTAACCTCTGGCAAACACTCACTTGGTAAGCAGGGATGTGGTCAATCGGAAGAGGGCCATTGGCAGCAAGTGTCGTGAAGTTCAATGCAGTGATGACTACGAGCGAGAGATTAGCCCTCTGGCAATGAATTGAATAGCGGGGCCAGTCGGATGCTTACTACTTGCGATCACCGTGTCGTGACTGGCGTCTACGTAGATGGGCTGGTTTAGTGGGAACGTGATGTTGTTGCCGTCAAGGGTCCCGTTGGTGGACGTGTCGAATGAAGTCAAAGGCTTCTTCGTCAAGCGAGCCACAAGCTCCTGGACGTAACCGATACCCTGGGCCGCGGCCGCGGGTTTCCAGGGCCATCGCCATACCAGAAGGAAAGGTCTGCAACAAAAGGTGTCAACCCACAGGATCGCGGCGGACAGCAATGGTAGTCACCAATGGAATAGTCAAATCCTCGCCACTCCTCGTCGGTGAAGAGACTGCAGAACTCTGAATATCCGAGGGCAACAGTCTCATACGCGCAAAGTTGTTGCATGGCATAGAGATCGCTGGTCGTAAGGTTCAAACCGGTGATGTACTTTTGCAGTCTGGGCACAGTTGCGTTCAGGTAGATCTGGGTCCAGTTGCCATACGCATAGCTGCCGAGATCTCCCGCAACGGCATCATTAGAGTTGGGGCAGGCGTTCCAAGGGGCCAGTGTGTTGTTGAAACCAGACTCCTCGATGATAATCTCTTGGTGGTACGAAGTCTGATAATCTGGAACGCCGAAGAAGCCCGCAGCAAAATGGATGCTATGTGAACAACTTATGTTCAGAAGCGTTGATTGCCATCGAGTTTGACGGCTACTCACGCGCTCTCAACCATCCTGTCTGTCATGGTGACAACACTCGATAAAGAACAGTACTCATCACAGAGATACCAGACTCACTCTCCGAAGTCGTCCGGAAGACAGGTAAGTCAGTAAACTCGGTCAGCAGCTGGCCATACTTGACCCTGAAGGCAACACCAAGGTCGAATCTATGGCAGAATATCAGTATTAGATGTGCTCAATGAATAGCACGATTTGACTAACGGTTGCTGGCGACCGAAAGGCGTCAAAATCTCGGCACCGAGCTTGTAGGTCCAAGTATTCAAGAACTCCAGAGGGCCCGTGGCGGAGAAGCCGCTGCCAGAAGCTGCAGCCTGAACCGTCGCCGCGAACGAGCTCGGCGCAGAACCTGAGGTCGGGTACCGAGCACCATGCCTGTGCAGCAGGTGGACCTGTTCAAGCTCGCAGCCGGAGGGGATCTGGGGATCGGCAGTGGGTAGACCGAAGGCATCGCTGCCGACGGAGAACCAAGGGCTGAGGTTTCCCCACGAACGGATGAGCTGGAACGGGGTACCCGTACCACTGTACGGAGTTTGCGGCGCCACGAGCGGGTAGGCGTTGGTGTTCAATGCAGCTACGGGGGCAGTGGCAATGGCTTCCGCTTCGGCGCCCGCTAGATGCACAGTCAGTCGTCACTTACTACCCTAGCGGATTGCGATTTCAAAACATACTCGGAGTAGGCCCGGGGTATCCGACTTGTTCAGCGTCTGGGAAATAGGACTCGTCGCTGGTGATTGTAGCACCAGGAGGAGGGTACACAGCAGATGCCGTCGAGCCTGCGAACGCGGAGGCAGACTCCGCGGCCGGTGCGGCGAATGCGAGTGGCAGCGCGCTGAGGAGCAGGAACGCCGCGACCATCTCAGATGCACTTGGAACTCGGGAGAGAACCGCGGCATGGGGTACCGTCTTGTGTGTATTTATGCTGTCGCGGCACGCCTTGAGCTTGACTCAGAAGGCCAGATTTACTGCATGCGCCGTGAGATGAGCGGGCCGAGATTCAAGCCGAACAACACTGCCCTCTCTTGATGAAGAGGTACAGAGCGAGAGTTCAACAGTACGCACGAGCGTCGACAGGACCAATCATGGCCGATGACGCTCGTTCGTTAGGCTTTCCAGGGGAGATCTGCCTCCCATGCGTCCGTGATGGACTGCTGTGCGAGACATCCTGTGGGTAACTTCACTCCCGTTCCTACTATAAATACAAGGTTCCACAGAACTTTGAGTGCGGTCATCGTATACACGTACCATATGCGTGGGCTTCTTGCACGGCACGCGACAACATCGCAATGGTAGTTCGCATCCCGTTAAGTAGCTGACAAGCATACATGGCGCCTTTGGGAGCAGACGGCCGCAGAGAGGTGGCAAAGCCGACGAACGTGCATGCAGAACCCGGATGATGTGACATGATTGTATGTTTGTTTGATGCGGCTTAAACGTTTGAACATCTGAACACTGAGCGACCAGCACAGCCTGAGTGAGCCATTCGACTCGGATGGTTATGCGATTAAGACTCATGTGCTAAGGCAATAAAAAAGCAAGACGGCTACGGGGCAAGTGTTAGACCCAAGTGGAGGACGATGAGCAGGGAATAAGGCTCCGAGTCGGGAAACGAGATCGAGAAACGACTTGTTATCGGCAGACGGATTGAAGCACGGAAGCGCGCGTTCACGTGGGCGCGTCGCGCGACGCGCGTCTCGAGTCCGAATCGCGTTGTATCAGCGCAGGCCGCCGCGTCCAAGGAACGTTGAAACGTGTGCAAGACTCATGCCTATAGGCACAGACCAAGACATTTCCCTGTTAGACATGTCAAGTTTACCGCGAATCGAGTACACGTTCACTCCGAAGTCTTACTAGTAGCCGACTATCACCGCTGAATTACATCTCCGCGGCATCCTGCCTCCCTCCTGGTTTTCTTAGTCCTCTACTGAGGCACCCGTCCGTCAATGATTTTGTCCGAGGACACTGGTGGCGCAGTGTAGTTCCCATAGCAGTCGTAATAGAAGTCGACCTCCTCGATGCGTTCCTGCATGCCCTGGATAAAATCGTCGAGCAGACACAGGCCGTTCGGATCAGGCGCCTCGCAGTGAGAGATGCCAGTTAGTGGCACGGCACCATCATTCAGCAGGAAGCGAATGTACGATGCTGAGCCGGTGGCGGCGCTGGTGCTACTGACTGCGCCCGAGGATGCAGAACAGGACAGCACCTGCGCGACGAGATTGGTCGCAAACGGCGCGATGTTATGAACGCGGTATGTCTGATAACCCTTCATTCGTCTGACAAGCTGAGTGAACTAGTGGACGCACCTGATAGGCAGGAATACGATCGATTGGAAGAGGACCGTTGGCTGCCAAAGTTGTGAAGTTCAATGCAGTGATGACTGCGCAAAAAACAGGTCAGCATCCAAAACCTTTACTGAGATAGCTCGCTCGCGCTACGACAGCTTACTGGTGGAGATCACTGTATCGTGGCTAGCGTCAACATATATGGGTTGGTCAAGAGGGAAAGTGATGTTGTTGCCGTCAAGCGTGCTATTAGTAGACGTATCAAACGTCGTAAGTGGGATCTTCGTCAGACGTGCTACAAGCTCCTGGACATAACCAATGCCCTGCGCGGCAGAGGTCGGGTTCCCAGGGCCAGAGCCGTACCAGAAATCAAGATCTGCGTGCAGGCGATTAGCTTGGTGTAGAACAGGAGAGATCTCCCGCAATCACCGAAGGAATAATCAAACCCTCTCCACTCCTCTTCAGTGAAGAGCCCACAGAATTGCGAGTAGCCGAGGGCTACTGTCTCGTAGGCGCAAAGCGATTGCATTGCATAGACATCGTGTGTGGTCAGGTTCAGGCCGGTGACATACTGTTGCAACCTCGGCACCGTGGCGTTGAGGTAACTCTGAGTCCAGTTGCCTGTGGCATAGCCGCCAAGGTCTCCTGCGACGTCGTTGACAGAGTTGGGGCAGGATGGGGATGGCGACAGCGTGCTGTTGAACCCATCGTTCTCGACGATGATTTCCTGGTGATAGGATGTTTGATAATCGGGGACGCCGAAGAATCCGGCCGCAAAGTTGAGACTATGCGAATTCTCCGTTTAACTAGGTGCGATTGCGTAGACTGGCTGAGGAGACTCACGCGCTTTCGACCATCCTATCTAGACTCACAAAATCCTGCATGAGGTGAGTAGCTCTCTTCATATAATAAGTGGGCTCACATTCAGAGGTCGTACGGAAGACAGGCAGGTCGGTGAATTTATTGAGCAGCTCACCATATTTGACTCGGAAGCCTACGCCAAGCTCGAAGCTACGAGTACGACGAGTCACTCAACACGCCGCCTTCCGCGCGATAAGTGCTTAAAAGTACTCACAGCTGCTCCCGGCCGAAGGGTGTCAGGACCTCAGCGCCGAGCTTGTAAGTCCAGGTGTTCAAGAACTCCAACGGGCCAGAAGCAGTGAACCCAGAGCCGGACACCGCCGCCTGGACATTGGCCGCGAACGAACTCGGTGCAGAGCCCGAAGTCGGGTAGCGAGCACCATGACGGTGCAGTAAGTGAACCTGCTCAAGCTCACATCCCGGCGGGATCTGAGGATTGGCAGTCGCAAGTCCGAAGGCATCGCTTCCCACAGAAACCCATGGGCTGAGGTTCCCCAGGAGCGGATGACCTCGAAAGGGGTGCCTGTGCCGCTGTACGGGGTTTGGGGAGCTATCAGAGGATATATGTTGGTGTTTGCTGCTGCTACGGGTGCAGTGGCAATTGCCTCTGGTTCTGCACCAGCTATAGTGAGATGCGTGAGCAGTAGGTCAGTCGTGCGTGATACTGATGCGTACTTGGAGTAGGGCCAGAATTTCCGACTTGCGAGGCGTCCGGGAAGTACGACTGATCGGCAGTTATAGTAGCCCCAGGAGGAGGGAATACAGCCGACACGGACGATCCGGCGAACGACGAGGCAGACTGCACGGCAGCGACAGTGAGCACAAATGGCAGCGCAACGCATAGTAGGGAAGCTATCGTCATCTTGGACGCTCCAGGACGTTGGACGTTCGCATGCTTATACGTGCTTTTATGCCTTGAGACGTTGGACACGGGGTTGTAGGCTCCCTGTGCATCTCGCCGCGTGGCAGATGGCAATTATGAGGCTTTACGGCGTCCGCTGGAAGCTGTACGGCACGAACACTACCTTCATCCTTCGTGATGAATAGCTCTGCTACTCGGCGAAGAGTACAATGAGTACATAGAACCAATCATGTCTGGTAACACCCATGGGCGAGAGATTTTGAGGAAGCCTGACACTGATGTGTCCATGACCTACTGCCGAATGAAAAGTGAATGGGGAACCTGGAAACTATTTCCAGCCATTGCGGGGTTACTGAGCTTTCCAGAGCCATGAAAAGTATCCGATGGGCCGTGGTCAATATACACACACCGCATGGTCCCACCGGTCGGCTTCCCAGAGCAATAATCAAGCCATGATCTCAGGGCAAAGGGTACCATAGTGACCCATCGACTAGACACTGACAGGTCTACGGCGGTGTCACAGGTGAGTCGCGGAGTTGATATGTGCATACGGCAGCGATCTTCGGAGTGCGCGAGAATGAGACACTCGAGCTAGATCAATGTCATTTCAAGTCAATCGCGCACAGAAGTCGGGCGCGAACAGCGCGGGGGAGACGAGAGAGGTGGTCGTGTGAGCAGAGCGAGAGGGCATCGTCCGAGTCGCGGAGATGCCAGTGCACGTGCACGTGGGCGCGACGCGTTTCCCCGCGTCCGGTGTCCGATTGACGAAAGGCCGCCGGTTGCACACGCCGTATCCTCTCCTCCTCGTCGGCTGTGACGACGAGGCTACTCTTGTGCGACAACCGCAACCGGTTCCATGCCGCGGTCGATGGGTAGGTTACACGCGCATGGCTCTACGAATTACACCTCTTCTACGGCCGGCAAGGACTCCTCTCTTTCCTCGACTCGGCGGCACTGCTCGGTATCACGACTACATCCGCTTCTCGGCACCTAGTGCGTCTATCGGAAAGTAGACCAAGAGAAAGACTAATGCGACAGACTCCGCTAGATGGCACTGCCCGCATTCCTCTCAACAGTTCCAAAGCCATAGGCGTGGCGAATTCTCGGGGCGAGAGAAGGTGTGATGCACTGACATTGACAGAATGCATCCATTGAGACTTGTACTTGGCAGCTATCAAGAGGACTTCTACGCTTGCTCCGCACTTTCTCTCGACCCCGAGGAGCTCCGTCTTAGCCTCAAGAAGGCACATCACATCGACTGGGATCCCTCCGCGCTCCCGCCCTCACTCGCACGTCAGGTCCTCTTCGTCGGAATATATGATGGCCACGGCGGCTCTACTGTCTCTCAGTTTCTTCGCCAGGAGTTGCACGGCTTGTTTGAGAATGTGCACAAGTCTCAGATCCCAGAACTATTCGATTGGACGCTTGAGCTGGGGGGTTACTTCAGGCGGTGGCGGGGCGGGGCCCTTGCACCATGGATAGACCCCAAGTCGCCCGGCGCCCAGTCAGAGCTCGATCTCGAGGCAAGGGCGACCCTCGCTTTTTTCGAGGTCAGTGTTGTCATGTTTTCAGGCCGTTTTCCGTCGCTGACACGTTACTCTGATCAGGTGGACAAGGCTCTATTTGGTGAACACGCAGCGAGGGACTGTGGTGCTACTGCATCAGTGGTTCTCTTGCAGTGTCTGGATAACCCTGTCTCTCCTTTCTTCTTGGCTCAGGAACTCGCGCTGACTGTCGCCCACGTCGGGTCAGTGTGCCGCTTACTATTCGTGTCAGCGCTCGCTTTGACACCATAGATGAACAGAGACACTCGAGTCCTACTGACATCAACTAAGAACGGGGACGTCATGCCCATGACCGAGAACCACCATGCCGACACCCGTGTCGAGGCCAGCCGGCTGCGCCGAATGATGGGCAGTGGACAATCCATGGACTCGTTTGGTGAAATACGGTGAATACACTTCTGCCACGAGTTTCTTTCATGTGTCCCTGATCATGGGTGTCTCAGGTGGATGGGTGCCTTAGCCAATACCCGCAGGTTAGTGCATGATTCGATGCACAATTTTCATATTGACCCACGCACGTTCTCGTGTATAGCCTGGGCGACTTGAAGTACAAGCGCTTCGGCGTGACACCGGAACCCGAGGTGCGGACCAAGCTGCTGAATGGTAAGTGTACCTGCTGTCCCCGCTCGCGTCACTGAGCTGTCGCATTCCGCCAGGCCCTGAGTATTCGCACATCACTCTACTCTCCGACGGCATCTCGTCTGTCTGCTCAGACCAAGAGATTTCTGACCTAGTCCGGGGCTGCCCGACGCCGGAGTACGCCGCAAAGCGGATTCTTCGCTACGCAGAGGACATGGGCAGCGACGACAATCTCACTGCTATCGTCGTGCCTCTTGCGGGGTGGGGTGGGATGACTGGCGAGGACCGTACGCGGGACTTGCGACAGTATAGGCGGAAGCAGATGGAGGGTTCGGAGAGGCATAAGCCTCGGTGGATGTAACCTCTTGTCGCCCTACTCTTCATGCCCCAACTGGCTGTGACATATTGAAGTACTGATCGTATCTCCTTCAAGCACTGTTGTAGCGGACAATCCACAATCTTCTTGGACCATTCTAGCGCATTTTTGTCTCATGTCTACCTACGTGTCAGCCTTTCTATAATACACGCACGTCGCATGCATACATTTTATCCTTCTTATCTCGTGACCAATGTTTACTCTAGACCCGCTTTTCCAACGACACACCTCCTTGCGCACGACTAGTACTCCTTGCGACTAGATCTGAGGGGAGGCGTGCCCGTCCGCGCGCATGTCCGACCCGGCAGCCCAGACAATCTTGCCCGACTGGTCGACGATCTTCTGGATGACCTGTCCGCGCCCGAACATACCACGCCCTGATCCGCTCACCGTGCGCGCATCGTGACCCATAGCTTCACCCAACATCGTCAATCCATATCCAAGGACACTAGACTAAGCGAGCAGAGTGGGACGTACCGCGCAGCTTCTCGACGACTTCGAGGGAGATGCCCTCCTCGAAGTACACCTCACTGTTGACGTCGCCTGCTTGTCCGCTTGCGAGCGAGTCCGGGCTCCCGGCTGATATGCAGAAGCGGGGCGCGTCGAGCGCGGCTTGGGCGGTGAATCCGCGGAGCATGTTGAGCAGCACTTGAACGTGGCCTTGCGGCTGAAGGCAAATGATTGGTTCAGTCCGATGAGACGGTGGTCATACGAAGCGGACGGACCTGCATGAAACCACCCATGACACCGTAGCAGAGGAAGAGCTCATCGCCGCGCAGCGCCATCGCGGGGATGATTGTGTGGTATGGTCGCTTGCCTCCCTAAAACCACGACGGTCAGCACATTTCCGGCGTTGGGAACAGTACTGGACGAGGACGTACTTCCAGCGCGTTGGGGTGTCCAGGCGTCAGGTAGAAGTTGCTGCCGCGGTTCTGGAGAGTGAACCCGCAACCCTTGGGAACGGCTGTTGCAGTGAACACTCAGCACGCTGATACAGCTTTGGGAGGAGTGTGGACTCACCTCCAGTGCCGAAGCCTCCATCACGATTACCCTGTGCTCAGTTTTGAGCGCAGCCTCATGGTATAATCAGGCTCACCAGCGTAGTTACTCTGAATGTAGCTGCAGGCGTTGCCCCACTGATCCGTCACTGGGAAAGATAACGAGACTCAGTTTGATCCGTATGAAAGACCGAAGCTGGCTCACCAGAGAAGTAGACCGTGTCAGATGAGAACATTGGGTTACCCTTTCGGTAAGTAGATCAGCTTTTGTTTTTTCTTCTTGCAGATGCATTATACGTACGTGTACGACGTTATGGTTGCACTTCTCTGGATCGAACAACTGTGCTCGAGTAGCGAGATATTCCTGCGACCGCATGTCAACGCATTGGCAAAACGATGTTCGACGAAAGCTACCTTGCTGAGCATCTCTTTCACTGGGATGGAAAGGACATCTGGGTCGGTGACGTAGTGCTGGCTGTCTGTGGTGACATCTCTCAGTGAGACGAAGAGCACGTCTTGACATAGGAACAAACGTGCCTGCGAATGCCAGACTTTTCGACCAAGTGTCAATGAACCGCTGCCTGTATGCTTTCGGTGAGCGGACACTTACCGGAGGGATTCGACCAGTGCATGGAGATACTCGACGGAGTTGTGTTCCGTCTCGAGTAACGACTTGATCTTGCCTTGCGCCTCCATCTGCTCCAGGAGACCTAGAGCCATCAAAGCTGTGATACCTTGACCATTCGGAGGGCACTGATACAACGTTCAGTCTCTGCTTTCTAGTGATGGTCGAATACTGATGATCCACCGAACCTCGTAAAGAGTAACTTCATTGTGGAAGTTATAGCTGATTGGCTCCACAAACGACGTCTCGTGTTTTGCGAGGTCGTCAAGTTCCATGACACCGCCCTTGCTCTGAATGAGCTCGACGATCGCCTCGGCTACGTGACCTTTGTAGAAGCCATCCTTGCCCTTTTCAGCGAGAGCACGAAACGTTTTGGCAAGGTTAGGCAGCTTGACAATCTGTCCTGGGAGCGGTGCCTTCCCGTTCAACAGCATTTCGTCTGCATTCGGGGAGGCATTCTTGATCAGGTCCTCTGATCGTTTCCACTGCGATGCTTTATTAAACTTCGTCCGGGAGAGTAGATCAGCCAAACTTACAGCGAAAGCGTGGATCTCGGATACGGGTACACTGCCACCCTGGTTAGGACGACTGTACCGTCAAATGTAGCCGTGCTTACCCTTCTTCAGCGAGCCTAATGGCAGGCCCCAGTGCCTCAGCCACGGAAACCTTTCCGCTGCCGAACTTCTCGATTGTATCGACCCATGCGGCGGCGGCACCTACATCGCTCGGTGAGTGTGTACCCTCCACGCAGTGGTATAGACTGACCTGGCACCGTGACGCTGTTGAGATCGGTGACCGGGATGGCTCGCCCGGTGACGCCACGCTGCCGCATGTACTCGATGGACAACTTCGCGGGAGCGCGGCCGGAACCGTTCATGGCTTGGACGGTCTTCTTCTCCGCATCGTAGAAGAGACAAAACGCATCGCTGCACTTTCCTACTCAGAAACGTCGCACATGCGCACATAATCTGTTTTCTCGCACCCGCCAATGCCACAGCAACTGGGCTCCGTAACGTTGAGCGCAGCAGACACAGCGACCGCCGCATCAGCTGATCGCGATCACACGCGACGCGGTCGGTCAGCACGCGTCCTTGACCAGAGCAGCCATCCTCTCTCACCAGCGTTGCCCCCCTTCCGCAGGATTTCCAGCCCGGCTTCCACCGCTAGCGGCTGCGACGCAGCGACCATGCCCTTCGTCCCATACACCTGTGATCGCCGGCTCGCGAACCGCTGGAACACGATGTCCGGCTGATTCACTTTCGTCCAGTCGACCTTCATTCTTGTGGCCCGTGAGCAGTGCTGGTGGCTAAGCTGCGGATGGGATGCGTTCTAGCGGCGGCAAGGTAAAGTTGTGTGGTCGAGGCGCACAGCTGGCTGCTTCCCAAGCCGGTGAGATATCCGCCCACAGATACGGCCTGTCATGGATGCTTGATCTATAGACCCACGGAGTCATTCACTCGGCCTCCCGCTTCCTTGCATGTTGCCGGCGGCGAGTACACCTCCGCGATCTCGCGGTGCAGGGGACCTTCACTGTCAGGAGACGCTATCACCGCATGGTGACTCCTAAGTAATTGGGGGGAAAATATTGAGGAATCGTCTCGGTCTCTGCCCACAGCTACCGACAGCCGGCCCAACCACCATCGGCACCTCAAGCACCAGGGAAGCAATATTGGCTTGCGCTCCTACTTACTAATAGGAGAAGGGGTCTGAATGACACCGGGAAGTCGAATATGGACTGTATGCTTTTCTCACTTTCTTATCCTTACTCTCTATTAGGGGAGCTCAGACTGAACGGGCAAGGGTACGGGTACGGGCAAGGGCACGTCACGGGACGGTCCGGCCGCACGGCGACTGTAGGGTTAGCCACAATTAGCGTAGATGCTGCCACCGTTAACCCTAGCCTAGTTCTTCGAGCTTCTACGCCACTGCTCTTTGTTACAGACAGTATTTCGATAGTACAATCAGTATGGTTCCCAGTCACAGGCTAACAAAGAGAAAAATCATTTTGATGACAATCAACATGGCTCGTAAATAATGTACGCACGATGCACCTAATATAGCCTACTACAGCTGAACTCGAGTGCGGGAAAGTGCCAGCGCCTGCCGAAAGCGGAATATACTAATCGGGTAACATAACATTTCCGAAAGCAGAAACACGTACTCTCCTACTTAGGTATATGTTTTCGAAGTATTAGAGGATGTTGCGATGACGATCCAGCTGCCTCCTATCATGCTACCTAAACGGATGTACGTGCTCTATATACCTTGTCGGGACCAAAGTATTGTTCAATTACCGCTGCACAAACAGGCACAAATCCTAACGTTACGTGGCAGCCCCTACTGCTAACCCTACGGTTGCCGCGCGGCCGGACCGTCCCCGTGACCTACCCTTGCCCGTACCCGTACCCTTGCCCGTTCAGTCTGAGCTCCCCTATTGATCACCATGTGGTTCAAGTTACGCTACGACCACGGACCACACAGTCATCTATAGCTACCATTCCACAACACGCTTGCGATGCCTATCCATATAAATCTCTAGATCGTACACTACCACACTACCCTCGCACTGGACGCGGGTCTGGGTGGCGCGTTTGAACACCCACACTTGTACAGACATGCTGAGTTCATATGCATCTAGGTCCACACAAATTCCTCACATGTGGGGTGTCTTGGTATGAGACTAGAGTTCATCATCGCCATCATACCGACAGTCGGCCCTATACAGTATGTCTTTGATGTATCTCACTGCAATATGAACAGGGATGCGCCCGTTTGCGAACTGCAGCACTCATTAAATAAGATCTCTGGCTTAGAGGGAGGCGTGTTCGCTGCCCGTCAGCTGTGGAGATGGCGCGGGCATTTTCGCTCCCCTCTTGGTTTCTGGCAGTCGCAGCGGCTTTCCTCAGCCATAGCATCATCGTGTCCGGTTGGGCAACACCACCAAACGCCACCACCGTCAACGGGACGTATGTTGGAAGCTATGTCGCGGAATACGACCAAGACTTATTCCTTGGAATGCCGTATGCACAACCTCCTATCGGGAACTTGCGGTTCGCGAACCCTCAGTCACTCAACACGTCGTTCAACGACACTCGAGACGCGACGAGTTACAGCTCCGAGTGTGTAGGGTATGGTGTGAGTGCCATGCTATGGCTGTTATAGAGTGACGCTACTGAACAGCGCACACGAAGACTGACCAATGGGAATATCCGATCGGCGAGGACTGCTTGTACTTGAACGTCGTCCGTCCAGCGAACTACTCAAGCTTTGGAGAGCCGCTGCCCGTCGGCGTATGGATTCATGTACGTGCCATAGGACACGCTGTGTATGCGATCAGGGCTAAGACACATGCAGGGAGGTGGTTTCTTCGAAGGCGGCTCTCCAGATAAACGTTACAACCTGTCTTTCGTCGTACAAAACAGTGTGGCCATAGGCAAACCTTTCATCGGTGTCTCATTCAACTACCGCCTTTCGGCTTGGTCAGTAGACTATCCGTGATTGAGCGATATCTGTCCTGACCGGCCGGTTAGGGGTTTCCTGGCCTCGGGTCAACTTGCCGGAGAGGGCACCACCAATATGGCCTTGCGAGACCAGCGACTGGCGTTGCACTGGATCCAGGAAAACATCGGGGCGTTTGGCGGTGCGTCCTCAAACTCTCACTCTCCTCAGTTACAATGTATGCTCACTGTCTCCCACAGGTGACCCCTCCAAGGTCACGATATGGGGTGAGGGCTCCTCGTTATAAAACCCAAGTGGGCATGCATAGCTAAGCCATCCCTGCAGGCGAGAGTGCGGGCGCCAAGTCCGTGGGGTTCCACCTCATCGCGTTCAACGGGCGGGACGACAAGCTTTTCCGTGGCGCGATTATGGAGTCCGGGAACTCCGTCCAACCGCAGGCGATGTTCACCGCGGACTACTTCGAGGCTCCGTATCAGGCCCTGGTGGACAACGTGAACTGCACGGACGCGATCGATGTGCTTGGCTGTCTGCGCAGCGTACCCTTCGACACGCTCAACACAGCGATCAACACGACGAACGCAACGGGTTGGTTCCCCGTCATCGACGGCGACTTCGTGGCGCGACTTGCGAGTTACCAGCTCGAGGCGGGTGCATATGTGCACGTACCGATCATCTCCGGTGCGAACAGCGACGAGGGCACTGCGTTTGGTCCCGTGGGTATCAACACCACCGAAGAGTTCTTGGCTTTCATGGAGAGTGAGGACCCTCCTAAGAAGATCTGCGCAGTTTGACGATGGCTGACGCGTGCTTTTATGCAGAGGGCGCGGGTTACCCCCGCATACCGCTTGCCCCCGCTCTTGCTGAGGAGATCATCAATGTCTATCCTGATGATCCGTGTGACGGCATTCCGGGTGACTTGGGATGCACACGGCTGAATGGCACCCATGGACTAGAGTCAGTGTTCAGGCTCCGTCACTTCGATGAATACAGTTGCTGATGATTCTTGTTAGGTACCGCCGCACCTCCGCATACATAGGGGACGTGGTCTACATCGCGCCGCGCCGCCTGCAGTGCCAAACCTGGGCAGCGGGCGGCACCCCTGCGTACTGTTACCGCTTCAACACGCGCCCGAACGGCATCCCCATCGAGTCTGGCGTTACGCACTTCCAGGAGGTCGCCTTCGTCTTCGACAACACGAACGGGTACGGCTACGACGTGACACCGGACCCGTTCGCGGGCGTGCCCGCTAGCTATTTCGCGCTCGCGAAGCTGATGAGCAACTCGTGGGCGAGCTTCATACACGACCTGGACCCGAACAGCTTCAGACGTAATGACACCGTGACGCCCCAGTGGCCGGTGTACGACAATGCCGACCCGCAGGGCTTCGTGTGGGATGCGAATGTCACGGGGCTGGCGTATCCAGAGCCTGATACCTTCCGTGCCAGTGGGATCTCGACTATCCTTTCGTTTAATCGCGCGTTCCGCCGATGAGACGCTGGCTTGTGTCAGCCGTGGCTTCAGGGTTCGCGAAGACACATACGGAGGGCTTGAAATATACACTGCATGTGTCATCCACTGAACTCTATGCTTGTTTGCGAACCTTTGCGCCGGATCCGACCGTCTCGTGTTCTGGATCTCGTCTCGAGACCCTTCCGAAACGGCGGTTCGTTCGATGTTGCGCCAACTTAGTAACAAAGCACAATTTCTGACGAATTCTGTGAATGCGTTGCGGTTCCGTCCACGCCAGGCCGATAGTGCGAGACAAGTCAAGTCGTAAACTGGAAGCAATGAATAGTGGAATCGTTGTAAGTGCATAGCTTGTCACGAGAACCGGGCAGTTTGAGACAGTACTAGGAAGAGTCTTAGTACTTTAGAGGATGACGCGAACGTCGAGCTCTCATCGTGATGCCGTCCAATGCTCTGTGACAAAGCCTCGGCAATGCGGTAAGCCTTACTGTAGGTACCGAACATGCGGGCGTGAGCCGGGGATGCTATATGGATTCTGTCAAACTCAGGGTGTATGGTATACTTGCGTACCGATGACTCATGCGTGGATGAGCACATCCTGACCGTGTATGCCCTATAGTAACGCCATCGTCGCGTGTGTAGGCTCCTTTGACGAGACAGATCTGTAGTTGGTTGAAGCAGAGGTAGCTCAATATATGGACCGGACCGTAGCAGTACTTGCCAGAGTACGTACGCGGAGACACAAGTACTGCCACCCAGTGACGACAACTTGAAGCTGACATGGCCAATCGCGATCGGCGGTGGCCGGACACGTCGGAGCGCTCGTGCTTACCACCATGCCCAATGCGGAAGGAGTGTCTATCATAGTCTCGCGACACAAGAACCCTCCGACCCCCGCAGCCCTCCAGACACTCAGCGACGCCCATACACGTCCACATCTCCCAGATACCAATGCCCAAGGCATCCAGCTCAGCGACTCGTGCAAGTGGGGAACAGCCTTTCCAAGCCGCCCATGTATTGCGGCGAAATCAGGTACGGCCCCGATGCCCGAGCTCCTCGTTCTGTAGCGGCGTGGCCGACGACTCTCTCCCAGGCTTGTCACCAGTGTCGAAGAAGGAAGCTGGTGAGTCCCCTCGGAGCCTGGTGCAGCCCTCCTAGATATTGACCGGAACCGACTCGGACAGAAATGGTCCGTCCCATGGTCATGGCCGATGGCCGAGGCACTGTTCTCGTACTGACGTCAAACCCATAGCGATGCAAAGCGGCCTTGCTCAACCTGCGTGCGGTCTCATTCATATGCCGTGGCCCACGCACCCCCGGGCGCGGAGCTTCCCCCCAATCCTCACTGCACGTTCGATGAAGGTACCGTACCAGCACAGCCACCAACAATATCCTCTGCGTGCTCATTCAGTGACCAGTTTCTGAAGATGACGAGGCCCCAGAGATTGTCGACAACCCGAAAGCCCGGTTCGAACGTCTCGAGAACAGGATAAGTGAGTTATGACGCCTTGTACAAGATTCCACCTGGCTGAGTTCTCTGTGCTACCCAGACGAGCTCGAATCTCTCTTGCGAGAGAAGGACAAGGGTCCAACGCCTCAGTCTAGCACTGCGTCTCATCGAACAAATGGCGCGACACATGCGATAGACGGCCTCGTTCCCGGCACGCAGCCGAACAACACCACTCACTTGCCACGAGGTTATGGGAGCGAGTCGTACAACTCCGCGCAGATGGTGGCCATCGACCCCGCTTTGAGTTTGCCAGAATTCCAGTCAGGTTCTCCCCTCGATAACCTGGCCGGTGTCGCAAGCCTTATGGGCGCGCCTGGACCTTCACGCATCACCAATGGCTCCCCTACCACAGAGCCAAGCACGACAACGCAAGTTGACAGTCCTGATCATGACCTCGATATCATGTATAGCTCGTGGCCACGCGATCTGCCAAACCCAAACTTCTTGCGGCATCTGTACGTCATCCGTTCTATCTGCTCTCTTCTGTGCTTGAGTGTTTCTGTTAGCGTGGACGCTTTCTTCTCATATCACCCGGATGCGACGCGCATGTTCCACCAGCCGACATTTCTCTCAACGTTACTGCTCCATCCGACACATCCTAGGTTTCCCTTCATAGGCCTGCTTCACGCCATATGCGCTGTAGGTAGCATGTATACGGCTGCCGTACCGAGTCCGGCGATACCGTCGGGCCCTGAATTTTCCCCATGTAAGCAATTATTCGTGAATACTCGGCCTCACGTTCTCAAATGACAACATGCGCAGACGATGTTTTCTCGGATAGGTGGAGAGTACGCAATGGTATCATTGACTCTTTTCCAGAGGTGCAGGCGAAATTCAGCAAAGCTGCAATCGATGCGTCGATGCAGGATGGCGGGAAGCTGTTCCAGACAGTCCAAGGTATAACTTCATGCTTCAGATCTCACTGACCTTACGCTGATTCACGTGCAGCTGTTATCCTTCTCGCGTGGTGGTACTGGGCAAACGCAAAGTGAGGCGCTTTACTCTTGTGATACTCCTACTCATGCTGAATCCTAACTCCTCAGGTGGTCCGACGTGAGCCATGTTTGTACTCCTGACGCATCACAGACATTTGACCATAAAGACAGGCCTATTTGCTTACATCGCATGCACTGCGCTACGCAGTCCCTTGCGGGCTGAACGTTTGCCCTCCATTCCACACAATTGCTGAGCCTGTAAGGCCACCTTCTCTGCTTCCCCCGGCTTCAACTGTCGTTGAAGATGAGATGAGGCGGAACACGTTCTGGATAGGTAGGCTATTTCGAGCCAACGGCGCACGGTTGGTTCGCTGACTGGCGCAGGCTATGCTATCGAGCGTTGTCATGGGACAGCGAATGGTTGGGCGATGACGCTCGACGACCAAGACGTCTCTCAGCTGCTACCACTTCGTCGAGATCAGTTCGAGCAAGGAGTAAGGTCTCCCGAAATAATTCGGTCAAGCATTCGTCTTATTCGCTGCCCCCTCAGATTTTGGTCCTCCCGCAAGAACGACAGTGGTCACACGACAAGGACATGCTCATTAAACACCCTGAGGACCAAGTAGACGGGTTCATCCTCTTCGTCAAGGCGACCATGATCCTCTCGCGCGTCAAGAACTTTAACATGCGCTTCCGGTCGAAGCACCATTCCGGCGACCCCTCGGCGCAGGTCATCAACAATCTGTTCCCTCCGCCGCACGCGTGCAAGTATAGCGACAGCGACGGTGAGCCGATGGACCCGCGGCAGACGGCGGCGTTCTTGGAACTGGACCAGTTGGTGACGGCGTTCAGGTCGTCGTTTCCTGTGCACCTGAGGAATCCAGCGAAAGAGCAGGTCGACGCGCACCTATTCTCGGCTATTACTGCTGCGCATCTGTACGTGTTGGGTCGGCTCTCGATCTGTTTTTGTCGCTGAATCGGCGTGCAGTGCCGACATACTCTTGCATGAGTCTCACGCGGTCATCGGTAGGAAAAACTGCGTTTCGTCGTGCCGCATTTTGAATGCCGCGCGCGCGATGCTGGACCTGCTGTACCAGGTCAACTCCACTAGTTATGACCTCACGTTCTTGAGCGTGTTCCCTGTTGTGCGTCTATCACATCCTCGACGGTCTCGTGTGATGGCAGTGCTGAAGCAGCCTCTTGTAAAGATGTGCTGGTTTATGGCTGGCAGGGTTTTCGTACGATTCTTGCTCGCGGCGATCAACCAGAATAGTGAAGAACAGTGCTTGACGATCTGGGCTGAGGTGGATTACATCCGGTAAGCTCATGTCCAAGGGACCTATCTCTTCTGTGCTCAGTGCTTTTCTCCAGCACCGCTATGTTCCGAGTGGGCGCACATGTCCCATTAGCTCGTACGTTTTCCCGCATGTCACTACTACCTGCTTCGACGAGCTGATGTGACTCGCAGACCGCTATGGGTCGATGCTGCACGACTTGCTCGTGCAGAGCTGCGGCGACCGGTACGCAGGGCCTGCGCCCATGATGACACAGAGCATACCGGACGTGGATATTGTCGCGTCGCAGAACAACGTGTATGGGGCCAGCCTGCAGGCGATCCCGACGCCGCCGTCGTGAATCAGAATTGTATGTTAGGTTCTGTTACGGATGGTCGGAATTTGTGCGATATATACATAGATCATCTACGGTTGATGTATTGAGTAGTAATGTATGTCTATCATGGAGCGGTTCACCATACTGCTGCTCAGCACGGCGGATGACTACGGAGATAGCAACCGGCAACTCCGCGAGCGTCACAGCGCGCTTCTGCAGCGGTGTTGGGTTAACGATCGACTCGCCACATCCGGCGCGGCCTGACACCGTCACAACCTGTGTTTGTGCTTACGACTAACCATTGCCCCTACACTCTCCTTTGGCACGGTCAATTGGTAGACATGGGAAATGGTCCGTCTGCGCCGAAGATAACTAAGCAAGACCACGCTATCCTAGAGTACGTACCCATCCAGTCGAGCGCGGCACATTGACAGAATTGAGACATGTCTCTCAGTCTTAAGTTGCAGCGCGACAAAGTCAGGCAATACCAGAAGAAGGCGAGTACCCCCGTGCAGTGCCCGTTTGGTTCTATTCCAAACCGCTGACGAGCAGAGCTCCGGAAGATCCAAGAGGTGCTGAACAGGGAACATGAGATAGCGAAGCAGCAGCTGGCAGCCGGGCATAAGGACCGCGCCCTGCTAGCACTTCGGAAACGGAAGTACCAGGAGGGTCTGCTCGCCAAGACAGATGCGCAGCTGGAGAACCTGGACAAGTTGGTGCGTCGCGCCTGTATACTTCGGTCTGCGGGATAGCTCATGATGCACATGATTGGGTGTAGGTGTCCACCATCGAGTTCTCCTTGATTGAGGTGTCCGTGCTGCATGGATTGCAGCAAGGCAACGAGGTCCTCAAGCAGATTCACAAGGAGATGAACGTCGAGTCTGTGGAGAAGCTACTGGAGGAGACGGCTGAGGCACGAGAATACCAACGAGTGCGTCATAAACCGTATATCAGGATGCTCTTGTGCTCATATGTGTCAGGAAATCGACGAGATGCTCGCAAATACATTATCTGCCGAGGATGAAGAAGCTGTGCAGAGCGAGCTGCAGGCTCTGCAGGACGAGGCGGTGCGTCGCTGCTCGGCGTTCAGTCTGTCTCACGATGCCAGTACTTACACTACACAGCTGGTTCCGGAGGACGAGCGGCAGTCTGCGCATCGGGTCCAAGAGCTTCCGTCTGTACCTGTCACCAAGCCAGCAGGTTTGTCAATGTCGCAGGTTCCAGTGTCTCATCTAATCACGCTGAACCACAGCACCAGAGCAAGAACAGGAGCCAGAACCCGAGCGGGCCGCGGGGAGAGGGGAGAGAGAGCGCGTGCCGGTTGCAGCATAATCAGTCAGCCAGCATTTTGCACAACATCACTCGGTCATTTACCAGCATATGCATCATACTCTATTGTACAGCCTAATGTCATGAACTCTATATATCCTACCATCCTTCGAAGTTACCGAAGCCAATCCTCCGCTTTTTCTTCGTGTCATCAGGGGTACCAACGTCACTGAACCTCGATGATTGCTCAGGTGCTGGTCGTTTCGCCCCGGCGTTGAGGTACTTGCCGACGCCGCCACCGCCACCGCCATCGCCACCAAACCCCTTCGTTCCAGTGCCCACCTTGGTGCCGAACCAGTTGATGTCATCCTTCTCGGATGTCTGACTGATCTGGCTACCATTCTGAGCATGTTCAGCCTTCTTCGCGAGTCTCTTGTCTCTCCGAGACTTGTACTCCTCAAAGGGATCCTGGTAGCTGAGCAGATACAGATATGTGAGTATATCATGTTCAACCTATGAATGGGCGGCCACATACATGACTACCTCAGTAATGCGAACAGGCTTCGCTGGTCGCTCAGTACCAGGCTTGACTGGCATGCCTTCCAAAGCGTCAAGAACATCCTCTCCACCGACAAGTTTGCCAAAGACTGTATGCTTTTTGTCGAGATGCGGAGTCGCTTTGAATGTAAAATAGAACTGCGACCTACATGAAAACTATTCAGCACATCGTATGTACAGGAATACTGTTCACGTACCCATTTGTCGCAGGACCCTTGTTTGCCATGGCAACAACACCGCGAGAGTCGTGCTTCGCAGCGTTACGCATGTCATACTCATCTCGGAACGGAGTGCCCCAACATGACTGACCGCCGGAACCTGTCCCAGTGGGATCTCCCGTTTGAATCTGCCCAGCGAATGAATTAATATTACCCAGAAAGATATCAGCGATACATACCATAAACCCGGGTACGAGTCGGTGGAAGAGACAATCGTTGTATTTACCAGCTTTGGCTAGCTGGAGGAAATTGTAACATGTCTTCGGAGCCTTGCAAGAACGTCAGTAGAGCTCTCATCAGTCACTTGAATGCTACACACCTTCTCGCAGAACAGCTCAAGGTTGAGGCTGCCACCTCCGAGCGTAGTAACAACTCGGACATAGGCACGACGCTTGCCTACGTCCTTCTCTTTGCCCTTGCCCTTCGGCGGACTGGCAAAGTCGTCGAACATCAGTTCCTCCTGTGATAGCATGAGCCATCAGGCGGAAAGCAGCCGCGAAATCACACACTTCATCCCAGACCAATTGAGACGATTGAGTTTGCGGGTCGACGGAGGTTGAGGTCAGTGAGGCTCCAGGCAAACCCGTAGAATATGGTGAGATGTTCCCTGAACAGCGCCCGTGAGTTCATCTCCGAATATGCAGAACGACTTTGACTGACATGGCACTGCAGCTTTTGTTTTGGATGATCCTGCAACGGCACCTGTCTTGATGACTGCTTTCTTGTCAGGCTCAGCTTCCTTGACTGCTGGCGCCTTGAGAACAGATGCAGAGGGGAAGCCGTGCGGATTTTGCAGTGTGACGACATCCTCCCTATGACCAATTGTCAGACAGGATGTTCACCAAGGAGAGAGTAAAGCACACTTCTTGAACTTGACGTCGGCAACCAAGTCCCTACCGCCCTTCACGCTCTCCGCAAGATACACATTCCCTGTACTAGCGATGGCGACTATGTGCGAATGCTCACTGAAAGGCTTGAACGAGATGGGGTCATGGATCTCCCCGTTGGGCTTTCGTGAATAGTGTAGCGTTATGAGGTCAGATGGAGCAAGTGACTCTTGAGTAATGGGGTTCTTGTTTTCATGCTGCCTACGGCAATGACACATCAGTCAATGATGAGTGGGGCTTCGAAATGCGAAACGCACTTGAGCCAAGGTATGATGTTGGTGAGATCGAAGACATTGCCAGTACCGTCTGCGTTCCGAGCGCACACAGGGTGATTAAATGGCTGGAACGAGAGCGCGCAGCAGTCGAAAGGAGTCAAGGCTGCTGGATGGGTGAAACCCAGATTCTTCCTGCAGAGCGGTGAATAAGACAAGAGTCAGGTCCGACTGGTTTAACAGCCACTTACGCTTTCGCGCCCGCAGAGGAGGCGGTATGCTGACCAAACATGCCAGAGTGCTCTGCATGAGTGACATATAGCTTGTCCGAGTTTCCGTGACCCATCTTGGAAGTGAAGCAGAGGAGTGGTGGGCGGAATGAAGGTGCCGGATGAGGACGAACGGGTCGAAGTCTCGAATGCCCTCCACTGAATCCATGGTACGGGCGCTTACATTGCCCTCCCTTCCACGTGATCGATCAATCCTATTAGACTTCGTTCTCTCTAAACTTACACTCGTAGTCCGTCGGTAGTCCCTTGCTGATCGCCTCACCGTTGCGGTGACATTCGACACGGAAGAGCCGCCTGGATAGTCGTTCTTGTAGCGGTAAGTATGTGCCATTGTGCGTATTCCACCTCTTCTCATGATATTTGCCCAGAGTCAAGCGCGGGTCTTCGTATGCTCGCCCGACATACAAGTCATCGTACCGCGTCCTTCGTCTCCCTCCATTTTCTGGCGCCGCGTCTGCTATGCAGGCAGAACTCAACCTCCTCCGGGCCATCAGGCTCAAGTCGAGCACGCGGTAACCGTGGCTCTACTCGCCCCGTAGCATCATCATCGGCGTCCGCACTGGACCCTGCGAAGCTCATCGGTCAACTCGACAAGCAACTGCAAAAGTTCCATGCTCTACCGCTCGATGGTCTCACCCCTAACGAAGTCCAAGTATTTAACGAAGCTATCATGGCGTTGAGGCAGGCCGTGAAAACGGCAGACACGCGCACAGCATGCCACATCTGGAGAATGCTGAAGGACCGCCACATGCTGCGCTTCTTCGGGCCTGTCCACTACAACCTGTTCTCCAGGTTCGTGGAGGTCGTCTGCACGAAGAGGAAAGAATTTGCGGCATGGTCGGAGCAGGAGAAGAAGGCACTGCCGGAGTTTGCGGTGTTCGCTGCGGTGGGCGGGGCGACGGAAGGGCTCAAGCAATGCATGCTCGTACATATCCGGGAGAACAATCCACAGGCCGTCATCGAGCTGTTTGAACAATACTGGGCGTCGCTGGAGACGAAGGCACCGTTGTCGGAAACGGGCCAGGCGGACAGCCAAGATCCTATGCAGGCAGACGGCGAGCAGGCAGATGCTTCTGCTACGAATACTTCATTGAACCCGGCCGCGAACCTCGTTCGCGGTGATGTCCTGCTTGCAGCTTTCACTGCCTTTGCCATGCAGAATTCTTTGGTCGGTGCCTTGCAGATGGCCCTGCGGACAACCGTCCGTGTACCACCCAGCGTGATTGCTCCCTGGCTGCAATGTCTTCCCGATTCACAGCTGGGCGAACGAGTCGAGCAGTTCGTACGCCGCTTGGATGTAGCGAAGCTGCTCGCTCACCCTTCCGCTCTCACGAGGCATCTGTCCAACCTCACGAGAGACCAAGCGGCAGGAACCCTCCAAAATTTCTACCGCCGCGTTATGGACGGCTTAACGGGGCCGAGTCGATGGCTGGCCGTCTCGCAAACCCAGAAAGATGCAGACAAGCTAGTCGTCGTTCCGGGATTTACGTGGCAGTCCTTCATCACGGCGTTCATGCACTGTCGCCGCACGGATCTCGCACAGAATGTATGGAACGACGTAATCAAACTGGGCATCCGACCTACCGTGACGATGTGGACGGCTCTCATCGAAGGGTACGCGGAACTCAAGGCGCCGGACGACGCTCTGGGTACATGGGACGTCATGCTGTCGCAGGGCATCAAGCCGGACGCGTTGGCTTACCGTGCGCTTATCTATGCCCTGTACCATTCCAAAAGGATTGACGAAGCCGTGAATCGTTTCGAGGAATTCCAGGGGGTGCGGGCGAAGATGTCCCCGCAGCCCGAGGAGGCGACCGTGTTGGTTGTGTACAACGCAATGTTGCACGGTCTGCTGTTCTACAATCGGGAAGAGCAGGCTCGCGCGCTGCTTGGGAAGATGCAGTCCGAGGGCCCCAAGCCGGATATTGTGACCCACAACACCTTCCTCCGTTGGTATGCGCGAAAGGATCAGCTGAAGTCATTCGCCGAGACATTACAGATGCTTGAACCTTCCGGGTTGAAGGGGGATGTATACACCTACTCCATCGTCCTGTCTGCGCTGATGAAGGTCCGGGACGACGCGCCTCAAATCATGCTCAATCTCATGCAGAGACATGGTGTTCGGCCGAATACTGCGACTATGACCTCGATCATCGACCAGCAGATGGGGACACGAACCGAAGTTGGCCTCCGCTCGGCGTTGGATCTCTTGGGAAGAATGGAGAGAGGTGATATCGAGGGCGCGGAACCGAATGAGGTGACCTACACTGCCATTTTAACGGCCATTCACCGCAGCGACTGGCTTGATCGCAAGGTGGTCGACGAATACCGGCAGACGATTTGGGACCGCATGGAAACTCGGGGTATCAGACCGAAAAGGACAACATACAATATTCTCATTAAGGCGTGTTTCGACAACCCCGACCCAGAGGGCGTGCAGCAAGCTATGCAGTACTATCGGGACATGACGAGGAACGGGGCATTCATGGCCAACGATACGTGGTGGATCCTATTGCATGGCTTGCAGCGCCGGAAGGAGTGGGCGGTGGCGAACGAGCTTGTAGAGGATATGCGGCGGAGGCAATTTGTACCGTCGGGAGCCCTTGCAGAGTTGATACAGGTAGTTAGGAAGCGGACTGGCGAGAAGAGAAGGGCTGGGCCGGCCAGCTACTTCTGATTCGCAACGCACAGGGTGTCACGACGCATTGACTGGGCTGAGGTCGCCCAAAAAGAAGGACTTGCCGAGTCCCACTCTGATGTACCTGGCATACGCTGTGGCCGGTATGAGCCCATGAGTCGGGTGACATGCACGACGGCAGTACGCACCCCAGAAGCTCCACTTCCTGCCCAACCAGCGGCCGAATATTGGCATGAGGACGACGGAGAAGAGCTGCTGGAGCTGGCCAAGGCTCTCGCGCCACTCCTGCTCTGCGAGCTCGTCGTCGTCTGCGGCGTAGGAGGTGTCTGAGGCGACGGAGACGCTGTCGAGGGAGTCGACGGAGCGAGACATGGCGTGCGGAGGATGGAGGCGAGGATCCGGGGAGCAGGGCGTCATCGGAGGCGCGGGCAGCCTGCAGAGGAGCCGAGGACCGGCCGGGATCAGCCACGCGCCGGCTCGAGCACCGTCGCCTCGCAGTGCCATCGCTTTCGCCAGTCCAACTCTCCTGATTCCCTCCACCTCGCCCGCTGCATCGAGTCCCGGGCCACATCAGATGCATCATGGACGCAACCGCCTCCCCCTCACGACGCAAGCTCGTCGGCCAGCCTCTGCTCTATGCCATCTCCGTCTTCGCCAGTCTTGGTGTGTTTTTGGTGAGTCCCTACTCAGCCCCAGCCAGCGTGGTCGCTGACACCCTCTCCAGTTTGGCTATGATCAAGGGTAGGCGCTGCCCACAGCACTGCCATACGTTTCAGACTGAAGACGAGCCTCGCAGAGTCATGTCTGGGGTCATCACAGGGCCCCACTTTCGTAAATTCTTCAACAACCCTGGCCCAATCGAGGTCGGGACGATGGTCGCCGTACTCGAGATTGGCGCATTCAGTGAGTGTAAAGCGTTATCTCGGATACACCGTCTTGACGTCTGTTCGTACAGTCACGTCCATCGCGGCCGGTCGTGTTGGAGATACTGTGGGGCGACGGGGAACCCTCTTCATCGGCGCCCTGATATTCGCCGCCGGGGGCGCGGTTCAGACCTTCACTCCCGGTTTCTGGGTCATGGTTGTGGGCCGTATCATCGCCGGCTTCGGCGTTGGTTTGCTATCGTACGTCCCAATGTCTCCTGTACCCTTGACCAGTGTCCAACGCCCTCATTTCTCCAGAACGATTGTACCTATATACCAGAGTGAGATATCGCCGCCGAACCATGTGCGTGTAATCGGGTGTTTGAGCGCCCACAATCTGACACCACCTACAGAGAGGCGCATTGGCCTGCATGGAGTTCACCGGGAACATCTTCGGATATGCTTCTTCAGTCGTACGTAATTCTCTTGCGTCGGCCCCCCTGGTGTTAAGTATTGCCATCAGTGGATCGACTACTTCTGCTCGTTCATAGACTCGGACTTATCCTGGCGCATTCCGTTATTCATACAATGCGTGATTGGAGCTCTGCTCGCAGCTGGTACCGCCTTGATGCCGGAGAGCCCTCGGTCAGTTGCACTCCGTTGTCATTCACTTCATGCCACTAACCGATATCACGCGCTAGATGGCTGATTGACACTGACCAGGACGACGAGGGTTTGCAAGTACTGGTTGACTTGCACGGTGGCGATCCTCAGGACGAGATTGCCAACGCCGAATACGAAGAAATCAAGGAGCGAGTCATGATTGAAGTTCGTCAGACGTTTCCAGCCCGGACACTCCGAACTGACCAGACATTCAGCGCGAGAGCGGAGAGGCCCGGTCTTATGCCGTGATGTGGAAAAAGTACAAACGCCGCGTTCTGCTTGCTATGTCGTCGCAGGCGTTTGCACAGCTTGTGAGTAGTACCTTGTACTGCGGCTCCTTCCCATTCATATGTGATCAAAATCGCGTGACAGAATGGAATCAACGGTAAAGATGACAGCTTCGCCCGTCTTAGTTTGGTCTAATAATGTTGCTTCCAGTGATCTCGTACTACGCTCGTAAGGCGGATTGAATTAATTCATGTATTAGTTGAGCTGACCATCTCTGTGGCTTGAAGCACGCGTATTTGAAGGTACGCAGCTCATTTCCATTCGCGGTCTGCTCCTGACGCATCCTTGAAGAGGCGGGATGGATAGGCCGTGACGCCATTCTCATGACTGGGATCAATGCGATCATCTACCTTCTCAGTACTCTGCCAACGTCAGTATCGCATACATTTGTCCATTGAAAGATGCTCACCACTGAGTGCAGGTGGGTATTGGTTGATCGCCTAGGTCGTCGCCCCATCCTGCTCTCCGGCGCTGTTGTGGTAAGTCTGTCAATTGAATACGAAATAACAGACGGTAATGATTTGTGTAGATGGCGGTCTCGCTTGGCCTTACAGGCTGGTGGATGTACATCGACGTGCCGGAGACACCCAATGCAGTCGTCATCTGCGTCATCATCTTCAACGCCGCGTTCGGCTATAGGTCTGTCTTCCCCGGTCGTTATTCCTGTGATATGCTCATATGCCTTGCAGTTGGGGTCCGATCCCGTGGCTCTTGTGAGTATGAGAAGCGTGATAGCCTGATGTAACTCGCTGAATGTCCTCTGCAGCCCTCCTGAAATCATGCCCCTCACGATTCGTGCTAAGGGTGTCTCGCTCTCCACTGCGACGAACTGGGCTTTCAACTTCCTTGTTGGTGAGATTACACCGTTTTTGCAAGAGCACATCGAGTGGCGCCTGTACCCAATGCACGGCTTCTTCTGTGTCTGCAGCTTTGTTGTCGGTGAGTGACGACCGTGTCGATCTACCTGACCTGCCATATTGACTGGTCCGTCCAATAGTATACTTCCGTAAGTTGTCATATCTGCTCACTTGACTCTTTGCTGACGGCCCGTAAGTATACCCTGAGACGAGGGGTGTGCCTCTTGAAGAGATGGATGCTGTGTTCGGTGAAGGTAAGCTGTTCGCCTCTCCGTGAGCGAGTCCCCCTCAACGTTGCTGCAGAGGAACTAGAAGAACGGCTGGAGGACGAGGAGTCCGAAAGAGCTTCTCTTGTCTCGAGACGTTCATCTCGTAGCAGACGGTCTCGCCTGAGTGTGACCCGGCCGACACCCGAGAGCCGGGGCGTGCTGAGCCGACTGCTCAGCCAACGTAGCCGCGGGAATTACCAGCCCATCGAAGGCGACGAATAGGAACTCCCGAGGATGGGCAATAGGGCAGCTGAGGAGCATCGTGAAGACAACGAGGAATCCCAGCCGCTTACGCGTGCGGAGGACGAGGAAGCTTCATGATGCGTTGTCGGTGACGATGTCGTGGTAGTGGTGACTCGTTTCTTGGCTTTTCCCGTGCTCCATCCTCACCCAGTTCAAGTCTACTACTCTACACACATTTAAACGGCACTCTCCCTCGAGCTCCCACAACCTACCATCTCGCAATATTTAAAATACGAATCACTAGTCGTTGAACGTTTGAACCCTCATGTGCAATGACGAACGCATTGCCGTCCAGTTTCCGAGAGAGAGAGTGCACTCGAGTACGGTCTGATTCAGCGTCTACAGATCTGCTTCGCAATTACGACTTTGCACGTATTAGCGCTTATTCGTACACTTCTTGCATGCGATCCTTCAGGTGGCCTCAGTCTTTGCTCTCGGCCCAACGTCCTTTACTTTTCGACACAAGGCAATCGGGTCGCCTATCGCAATGCTGCTGCAGGCTCAACAGCACGACTTCATCTGTTGTCGATAACCAGGGTCGACCTGTCTACTATGAACCTCCCCCTACTTACCTCGGCACGGAAGAACGCGTCCCGCTCGATCGCTGGTTACAGCCTGGACTTGTGTCGGCTTTGAAGGAGGCGTTTCCTGCGGTGAAATATGCTACTACTACACAACGCGAGCTCTTCAAGGCCGTGATGGTGGGGCAGGATGTCATGTTGCAGACGCCGACGGGAAGTGGGAAGTGGGTAGCCTGTCATTGTTGCACCTGGTCGTATCACTGATGCAACGTTCATGTAGGTCGTTCTCCCTCATGTTGGCGGCGCTCTCCAAAGAGCGGACGTCCACTGATGCGCAGAGCATAACGTCTCTTATCATCGTTCCGCACAGAGACTTGGTGTACCAGTACCTCCGCTGGATCCAAAGAATCCATGACGTTATTCCCGAGTTGGGTACTCTGGATTCTTTGGCACAGACACTCGTCCGGGGCTCGTCGGTCTCACTCGACGAGCGTTTGCAGAGAATGCGCGCGGAACCTCCGCACATCCTCATTGGCACCCCGCAGGCTCTCCTGGAGGCGTACCAGCGGTCTCCCGAGGTGCTCATGTTCGGCAAGCTCTCCACCGTGGTCGTGGACGAAGTCGACTATCTCCTCGAGTGGCTACCGCAAACGCGCGACAAGTACAAGAAGCTCAAGGCGACACGTATGCTGCGCAAGCACCCCACGCCGACCCGGCAGTTGCTCGATGCGATATTTCAGCCGGTGCGTTCGCCCGTCAGCGCGCAGAAGCAGAAGAATTTCGAGGGGGAGGTGATGGAGCTTGACGAGTCTGGGGTGAATCGCCCGCAGCTTGTCATGGCGAGCGCGACGTTCCGGGCGAACTTCCGGCGGTACCTTCTCGACTCCGGCGGGTGGCACCACCAGACGAGGGGTTGGGTGAAGATTGCCAACAATACCAAGGATGATAAGTTCATCGCTGATCACGAGGACAACCGCGCTGTGCACTCGCTCGGGGGTACGGGGATACAACACCATGTTTTGGTCGTGTCGGAGACGGGAGATGTCAGAAACATCCACGATGCCGCCGTGTCAAGTGAGGGCAATCGCGGTGCAAAAATCGAAGAGGCTCGTGTGGATGGTGAAGGCAGGAAGTCACCACCTGTAGGAAAGTTTGCGTCGGACGCTAAGAAACCATCCGATAGTGCAGAAGTACCTAGTGCGTCACGAGCGTTTGTGTCATGAGAATGTTTCTGACATAACCTAAACACAGAAGACGACGTGGACACTGTTCCATTCAGTCCACACCTACTAGAAGCCGTAGCGGAAGTATTCGCGCTGGACGTCCCGCGTCTGGCTTTGTTAGTTTTGCCGGCCTCTGCACCTGTGCTCGAGGTCATAGGGGAACTTCGCAAGCTCGGGGTCAACGCGCAAGGGATGAACGTACTAGAGGACGAAGCGGGTGGTACGTACTTGACTCAAGACGCTCCGGAAGATGCCACAGAGAATCCAACAATGCTCGTGTCAACTCTCGCGACGACCCGAGGACTGGATCTGCCCAGTATCACCCATGTGTTCATTCTCGGCTTGCCGAAGGATCGACCAGGCGATGCATACATGCACGCTGCTGGGCGTGTGGGGCGATTCGGGCGCAGCGGCAAGGTCATCACGGTCATCGAGGAGCAACGCCTGGTCACTACCCGGAAGGGAGAGAAACGATTGGTGGACCAGCCCCGTATTCTCCGCCATACACTCGAGGTAATGGGTGTCGTGCCCACGAAGCTGTCGCATTTCGCATAGGGTTCCGGGACCACTAAGACCAAAATAGTGTCGCCACGTCACTGCGTACGCCCCATAATGACTGTGGGAGGAAGTGCCAGATGCTTTGGGTATGCAGTGGGGAAGTCGGAGAAACCAGGCGTGTTTGTGTGGGAGCTGTACATGTCAGCCTCGAGGTTAGCAAGCTTGTTGTGTTTCCCCCATCGTACCACAGACGACGGGTGTCTCGCTAGGCGATCATAAACATTATTCTGGAAGTTGCGGATTCTATGAACCCGTCGAGCAGCAAGAGAGTGGTGCCGATAAGGGCGAAGCGATGTAGATAGAGCTGCATTGGCGTAGTGATCTGAGGTCGGCAGGCGTAGCGCGTCGCTGATCGGGAGGCACGTGGAAGCGCCTTCCAGCCTCCCGTTCGCGTGCGGCCATGAAAGCCCCCCGACGGGCGAGGACATGCTCTGTCTCCCCGACCACTCTCTCCTCCGGGCCCCTTCGTTCTTTCCCCTCCCCGCCCCAGTCACCCCGACATGCCGGCTGCAGCGCGTCCGCGCTGGCCCACGCTCTTCCTGCTTGCGGCTGCTTGCTTCGTTAGCGCCGTAGCCGCCGCCGGTTCGTCCTCCGCCGCATCGTCGACCACAACACCTTCCGCACCCACCTCCCTCTCCTTGACCACGAGCTACACGCCCCTCGTCACGACCGTTCGCTCCGGAGGAAATACCATCACGTTTTCCACGTCCCTCCCCGTTTCCACCTTCAATGTCACCGTCACCGCAACCTCTACCGCAAGCGCGTCCGCGTCGAGCAACAGCTCCGCCGCCGCCGCCTCTGCCTCTGCGGCTGCTGAGGCAGCCCGCACCCTGGACACGCAAATCGACCCTGCCTTTGGTGTCCTCGGAGCTCTGCTCATCTTGACCGGCTTACCCAGTGCATTCCTCGGGCACAAGAACCGGTGGACATCGTTCTTCCTTATCGGCGTGTACACCTTCGCGCTCGTCTGCTTCTCGCTCATTATTCGCTTCGGCGTCCTTCAAGCCGTGAATCCTCCGACCAAAGCGGTACGCGGGCTGTTCATGCTCGCGTGCGGCGTCGCTGGAATCGCCGGAGGCGGCATTGCCATCTTTTTCTGGCAGGCGACCAGGTACTTCGTGGGCGCATGGGGAGGTTTCGTGGTTGCACTGTGGATACAATGCTTCAGAGATGGCGGCCTTATTTCCCCGATCGGTCTCAGGTGGATTCTGTACATCGGTGAGACCAGGTTGTTAATCATGTTTTGACTCTGCTCAGACGCCCATCATCTGTCCTACAGTGCTGGGAGTGATAGGCTTCGTGCTATGCACCATCCCGAAGATCCATTACCATGTCCTGCTCCTTTCCACCTCGTTCGTGGGCGCCACTGCTGTAATTCTGGGGATCGATTGTTTCACCACGGGTGATCTGAAGGAGGTATGTTCGCACCCTCGCTAGCAAGAACGAGTTAGATAACTCATCACACGCTCAGTTTTATGTCTGGAATCTGGGATTCACCACTTTGTTCCCGAAGTTTACCAACAACGGTATCAAGTTCCCCATCAACCAGACGATGGAGATCGAATTGGGACTCATTGGCGCGGTCTCCCTCATGGGCATCGCTGTTCAGTTCCAAGTGCTCCAGGTGCTCCAGCGGAAGCTGAAGGAGATTCAGGCCGCGGCCAAACGACAGGACAAGGACCTTGAGGACCGAGCTGCTATGGCGTTCGCAGAATTGGAACGGGAGAAAGCAGAGTGGGACCGCGAGCACCCTACACTGGGTATGCATGGTCGCAAGGACAGCGACTTCTCGTCTTTGCTTAAGGATTCCGACGAGAGACAATCGCCTTCTCCTCGCCAGCGGTACCAGTCAGGTGTTTCCGACTTCATCGCAGCGCCCATTCCTACCGAGGAGATGCACCGTTCCACTTCGAAGCTTCTGCAGAGTCCTGGCGCTCTTCCGACGCTCGACCTGGGCTTTGACATCGAGAACGACGTGCCCAAGGACTATATCATCAAGCAGAGCAAGAGCCCGAAGGTTAAGGACACGCCGCAGACCCAGGCAGAGCTCGACGATCTGAAACGCAAGGAGGACCTCTTGGCGGAGATCCAGACTATCCGCAAGTCTATTGAAGTCTTGAAGACGGACCCATCTAGCTCGTCCGGCTCGCGTCACCAGTCATTCACGTCTCGTCGCACTCTCAGTCAAGACCTCGGCTCGCTCCTACCGACGGCTCCTGCGCACTTGCGTCCTCCTCGTCAAACGGACCCTCGTGCTCGTGTGCAGTCGATGGAGATGTCTACCATGGCATCGCAGGTCGGCGCGTCCATTGGCAGACCTACGAGTGCACCTCTGCGCGACGATGACTGGGACACGTACGTGCGCGAACGCAAGCTGCTGCAGCCTCCTTCTGGTGTTACGCCACCAATTGCCACGACGCCTGTCAGCCCAACTCCCCGATTCCCTGTCTCCCCTGCTGTGGGAGAAGCTTTGACGAAGCGGCACCGACTCGAGAGTACCTATTCAACGAACGGTCTCGAATGGGCAGCTGCGGACGGCGTGCGGCGGCCTTCACCCGTCCATAAAGTAGTTTCCGCAGGCCACGACATGCCTGCTGTGTTGCGCGCCCCACACGCGAGGTCGCACTCACAAGGTGGAGTACCAGTCACCATTCTACCGCCTCAGAAGCCGGCAGCTTCGCGTTCTCCCCAGCCTGCCGAGACGCCAGTCCCATGGACGCAGCGTACGCTGACGTTCGAGCAACTCGATGATCGCCATCGTGAGAAGATCCGGGAGCTGCAGGAGCCGCTGACGCGTGCTGAGAAAGAGCACGTTGAGGTCGCAGAGGCGAAAGCTCGGTGGGAGAGGGCGAAGGCGGCGGAGAAGCAGGCGGTGGCTAAGCGCCAGGCTGAGAAGGCCGCCGCGGTCAGCAAGGAGGTCGCGAAGCAGCAGAAACCGGGCGACCCCGTCGGCTCGTCTTCCAAGCGCAAGTCTCGGACGATGGAGGAGCAGGTCGGCAGCTCTCGCCCCACTCGCGGTCGCTGAGCGCGGACATGCTTGCGAACGTGCCTGGCGGGACGTCCTCGAAGCGGATGTCGATGATGAAAGTGGAGGACTGGCAGAAGCACCAGCAGGACGTCGAGCTGGGACTTCGGCCGGAGGAGCAGCGTGCTTCACGACGGCGGTCTGCCGTTCCATTCCCTGAGACGCAGGATCGGCCTGCCGATGGGAGGGACGCGCGGAGGAACTCCCGGTCGCCGCGCCAGATGCTTAGCTGAGGTAGGCTGTGGGTCTCCTGGTCTGCTGCATGATTGTCCTCACGACCGGTCATGATACTGTACCATATCGCCAGTTGACTTCGTCTTGACGCGTCCCCGGATCGTCGCCACTCGCTTGTCTCTTGTTCACGAACGATGGAATAATGGACTTCTCCGCATGCATGGACTCGATAACATACTTCTCCATCTCTGTCACCCTCTCATCCATCTTGTCCTGTCTGTCGCCATCGATGTCTATTACTACTATTACTAGTACGGTAAGTACGTGCTCGTCGTCTACGTTTGTGTCTGTTGTGAACATTATTCAGTAGTTCGTTGTCAATGTCGACTCAGTTGTGAATCCGCTTGTACGGTCTAGGTGCGTATGGATTGCATGCCGAGTTTCGACCTCCAGAGCCGTCTTCAAGGCCGTCCTGGATGCGTACTGCCTTCCGAGGCGTGACGTAGGGCCTGATGGCGGGACGTGACCGATGGACTTCGTCGCGGTCTGGGAGTGGGACTGCCCCGCCGCTGGGCGACCAAGTCCGGTCTAGCCCAACTCTCTCCACTTCTCAATTGACCTGTCCCTTGCGTCAAGCCTGTTCACGCTCCTATAAAGCCTATACCCTCCTTACCTGCCCAAGGGCAATCTCACACTCATTCACTGCAATGTCTATCTCCCGCTCAAAATCCACGACTCATATATACGGCGGCGCCATCCAAGGCCCTCATAGTCGCGAGCAGAACAGGCCGCCTCGAGCTCATCTGTCTCGCAGCAAAAGTGTCCTCGGACACCGTGAACTAACATCCTCCCCGGTCGTGCGCTCCCCATCAGGGGAACGCGAGGATCCATTCAACCTGTCCAACTTCTTCCCGTCTCACCTCGGTCTGGGGGAGTGGGGATGGCTTCAGGACGAGACCAATCACATAGAGCGCTCTCCGACTCGCTCGGGCTACACCACCCCGTTCGCAGAGGAAGATGAATGGATGCCTGCCACACCACCCGACGTGGAGACGTACAACAGGCCGCTGAACGGGGAGTTGGCGGAGGAGGCGATTCAGCGCGAAGACAAGCTCGGTATCTTGACCTTCGGTATGCCGTCGCATCGAATCGCGGGAGGGCTTTCGCTGATGGTTTGCACAACCAGGTGACTTCCTCGCTTCACCGCATGCTGGGAACAAGCACTCGAACGACCAATTGGTATCGCCGTATTCCGAGTACGATCTGACTGACGACGAGGCTCTGTACCACGCGTTGTCCGCGCAACGCGTCTCGCGCGGGCGGGCGACCGAGCGGGAGGCAGGGACTCAGTTGCGCGGGGGGTTTGACGAGCTTTTTGCTGCTGAGGCTGCCTCGGGCATCATGGAGGGCCTGGCGGACGGAGGATACTCGCTGCTGTATGGGGGCATCCGGGGGGCGATGGACTTGTTTGATACGCAATTCTAGTGGTTGTGATGAGCGCAGGGCGTGTGCGGCGACTGAGCGCGGGGAAACCTCGTGGGCCGGGGAGCCGGGAGGACCCCGAACGCGGAGTTTCGGGGGGAGCCCACGGGGACGGGCGGTCGTTATAAGATGGATGCGCGTGGGTAAAAAGGAGGTTTCTTCCCACTCCCACACTCGACATTTCCCACAGCTTCACGAACGCGCTCTTAGACCAAGTCCGCTATGCGCACTATAGTCCCGTTCGCAAGTCCCCTGCAGCTCCAGATGGCCTCCGCTACCACCGCGGGCAGCCACGACCATCTTCCTCCTCACCAGCACGACCCGCAGCGCTCGGGCACTCCTCAGCACCCCGATCTAAGTCTGCTGGTGAAACCTAGTTACACCTACTGCGCCACGCGTCAGTTCTAAACTGCCATACAGGTTCACAACCACAATAGCGGCCCTCACCCGCCTCACGCGCCCGACAGTCCTCGGATTGATATGGCTGCCGCCGAACATAGTCTGCAGACCATCCTGGACGCGGCCAAGCAAGCACCCCCACCTCCCATATCCAACGGCCCGGCTCTTAGTTGGATGCCTCCTCATGCAGGCCTAGAACACGGACATTCTGCTGCGGGTCCTTCGACGCCTGTCCAGGTAAGTCGCGTGTCTGCAACATCTTGTCACGCGCCAACGTCTGCCTTAGCGCACCAGTACCAAGCGTCGACTCGAGGACTCGGACGCGAACGACCCCCACCGCAAGATTCGACGCGTCGTCCGGGACCATGTCAGCAACGATCCTGGGCGCGTCATGCCCATGACGACTGTAGTCTGCCTGCATGCAGCTGTGGCGCAAAAGTCCTATGGCAGCGAGAAGCGCTTCTTGTGCCCTCCTCCTGTCGTTCACATCGAAGGTCCCGTATGGAACCTGAAGTCACAGCAGATGGCCATGGCCGTAGTCACCGAGACTGGTGATCGCACCTTTGAGCAGAAGGCCCTTTGGACAACAGCTTGAACGCCAGCTTCAAGTTCCTTCATGTCGCTGGCACTGCGAAAACGAAAAGCTTCCAACTCTCTCTTGACATCGCGGAGCCGCCTGATACCGCTCCCGATGGTACCGAGCAAGGAAACGGGCGCGTTTGGGCGTCGTTCGACTCTGCGCCGGTGACTATCATCTCAAAGCCATCAAAGAAGACAGCCAAGACGCGTAGCATTGCGTCCTGTATCCTCGCTGGAGGCCCAGTATCATTATTTAATCGCATCAATTCGCAGACAGTACGCACCAAATACATGACCGTTGACCGCGGCCAACTGTGCGCAAGTAACGTCGCCTGGTCCGCGTTTACCGTGAACGTCATAAGCCGACCTGTTACAGCGGACGACGAAACACCCATCGGTGCGTCCCACGTGATCCTGGAATCTCGCCTGACTCGATACTCACGACTCGGCTGAGCAGGTCCTGGTCCGCAGACCGTATTGTATGGCAGTAAGATTATCTTGCAAGACAACGTCACTGGCACCCCACACCACCGCTCGTCATCCGAAAGGTTGATAAGGGGAGAATCACGCAGGACGATGGTGGCCCCGTGAGCCAAATGCAGAAGATCGCGCTGCAGAGGATCAATGCTGATGGTACGCGACATTATTTGTCCGCGGCAGGCCAATGCCTGGCACTCCTGGCGTGTCGTTCCGCCTACGCCAGGCCTCGCGAATCAAGCAGGTTCGCATCCGCTGTTGTTCCAGGCTCCTCGTGTACGCGAAGAAGTCGCGAATGGTCAGAACGTGATCATTGACGAAGTGGATGATTACTGTGCTGGACAATCGTTGGTATATGTACGTCGCCTCCCACACCGTCTATCTCCGCGCATCTTGACGACTCATCTGTCAAAACAGCTAAGTTCCAGTACACGTTTTCGACGCCTTCGGTCAAATAACAGGATCCCTGACCTCCCCATTACACCATTTCCCACTCTCTTCACCGCGCCTCGCTACGTGCCAAATACCGATTAAACCAGCAGCCGCCACGAGAGCTGCTCGAGCTGACGGCGGCGAACTTCTTCTATCATAATCCCGCCACAGCGACGGTCGATCCGTTAGATGTCTACATGGTCCTCTGGGCCCGCTCCGGACGCGCGTCTTCCAGGCCACGCACACTCCATTTAGCGGGACTGTCCAACCGTTTATTGCCACCACTGCGGTGCAAGGACAGTTGAATTCGTGCCTACGGCGGGCACCCTGACGGATATCAGTCATACGCCCCCGGTGCATGGTCCCTCCACACCCTAGTCCTTGTCGAACTGCCCCGAAGGGCGATGTTCTCAAGGCACTCGAGGAAGATGCAGTGCCAGCGAGCGACGAGAACGATTCCACTGCCGCGAGCAAGGCTCGATCAAGAGTCGAGATCATCACCGGGCGTAGCCTCCCTTTGTTGTTTATCCGCTCGTACGATGGTGTGGGCTACCACTCTGGCCGTGCGATTGCTTGCGAGTACCTATTCAAGGACATAACTTGGAGGCCGACGGGCGAGAAGAGGAACTGGATACCGGAGCACGCAGCCCTTGCCGTCGAGCAGAGCATCAACAATTGGGCTTGGAGATTATATGACATTGGCGCCGGCTGGTCCTGGGTATCTGCTGTATCTGCTTGTGTTTTTTGCTCCGGACTTGTCGCTGTCGTCAGAGTCTGCTTTTGGTATCGTGCTTGCTTGCTTTGGATAGTTGTGTAGATTACCTGACCACGTTCCAGTACACGTTCGAATGCATATTCGTCCATGTAGCTCGAGCCGTGAGTAGGCATGCGTTCTCGGGCATCCTGGGCTCGTCGACACACTATCCGAGCAAGCCATATGGCATTGCTCGGCGAAAGTCTGAGGCCAATCCGAGGCCGTCGCTGCCGTCTGGCCCTGACTGACGCAGCAGATTCCAAATTCCGCAAATAGCGGCTGAGTTCCGAGCTATCGATGACTGGCTGGATGGCTGCGACTCGGCTGCGACTCACTGGGACGATTCGGATGGGGCACGCATCGGCGCTCGTTTCAGGCTCATAAGGACGCGAACGAGCCATCTTTCTCCATCTCTTCGTCTCTGCCGCGTCGAAAAACCCCTCGTAGCTGCCTGCGACGCGTATTTTGAACGTCCCTACTCGCCCCCGCTGCGTATAAGAACATCGCTGACACCTGTGAGTAGCATGACAAACGTTCGACGCGGGACGCATATGGCGGACGGTCATACGGCGCATACGCCCGTGCACCACTTCTGCAGAGCTTTTTGGCGTCCGTCGTACCACCGCTTCCCCTCTAGCTCCGCCCTGATATTTCGTCGATCCACATATAAAAATCCTGCTCTATCTGCTCTCCGTACTCATTATCTCCCTTAGGACCAGCAATCATGGCCGCCGCTCCTATCACATCGCGTCTGCAATGGTTCGCGTCGCAAGACACCAGGCAGGCCCCCGTGCCTACGGAGGAGACCAAGTTCCACCGCAAAGTATGCTGTTTGTTCGCTTGTGCCTTGCTGCTGTCTGACATTGTCATTAGACGTCTATCATTGCGACCATTGGTAGGCCACTCGCATGCTAATAAACGTTGGGGTGTGCTAATCTCCTGCCAGGTCCCAAGGTCAACAATGTAGATATGCTGGGCAAGCTGGTCCGCGCCGGCGTGAACATTGGTACGTCGTGGTTACAGACTGCTGTTGCTAGATGTGCTGAAAGGTTGTTCAGTCCGCATGAACTTCTCGCATGGCTCGTATGAGTATCACCAGAGCGTGATCGACAACACAAGGAAGATGGTCCAAGGTACGTCGCGTCTGTGTGTCGCGCCCCATGTGCTCATGACGGCGGTTCCTCAGCCAACCCTGGAATTCGTCCCGTCGCGATCGCTCTCGACACCGTATGTTCGACCTGACTGGTGTTGTTCTCCATTCACTCACGAGCGCTCCTTCAATATACAGAAAGGTCCTGAAATCCGTACTGGTAACATGAGGAACGACCAAGATGTAACTGTTTTATCGTCCGTCTATCCCAACTGCATAGTGAACTCGATCGTTTTGCTAGCTCAAAATTCCCGCTGGCCACGAATTCACTGTCTCCGTTGACCGCAAGTACTATGAAATCTGCGATGACAAAGTGCTCTTCATGGATTACGTGCGTCATCGACTGTCTACGCGCTATGATTGGCTTGTGAACAATAGTTTCGCAGGCGAACCTGCCCAAGGTCACGGCTCCGGGCAAGCTGATCTACGTCGATGATGGTACAGTAAGCTTCTACGTAGGATGTGTGAGGAATCTCACGCGTCTTTAGGAATCCTGTCTCTACTCGTTCTCTCCATCGACGGCACGAACGTCCGCGTCCGTGCTCTGAACAACGGAACCCTCTCTTCCCACAAGGGCGTCAACCTCCCCAACACTCCCGTGGATCTCCCTGCTCTGTCCGACAAGGACAAGGCTGACCTCCGCTTTGGTGTCAAGAATGGCGTGGACATGATCTTCGCTTCATTTATCCGTCGTGCGGACGATGTCCGCGACATTCGTCAGGTCCTTGGGCCTGACGGTGCCAACATCAAGATCATCGTCAAGATCGAGAACCAGCAGGGTGTCGACAACTTCGACGAGATCTTGGCAGAGACCGACGGTGTCATGGTAGCCCGTGGTGACCTTGGTATCGAAATTCCTCCGAGCCAGGTCTTCCTTGCTCAGAAGATGATGATCGCCAAGTGCAACATGGCGGGCAAGCCCGTCATTGTCGCCACGCAGATGCTGGATGTGAGCCTTCCCGTTTCCAGTGAACTGCACTGTTATTTACCTGTCTCTGCAGTCCATGATGAACAACCCTAGGCCGACACGCGCTGAAGTCAGCGACGTCGCAAATGCTGTCGTCGACGGCGCTGACTGCGTCATGTTGTCCGGCGAGAGCGCTAAGGGTGCCTACCCCCTCGAGTCTGGTACGCACTGTCAGCCTGACAGCTGACTTGCCTGGCTTGCTCACCTCCACAACTACAGTGCTTATGATGGCTGAGTGCTGCCTGCTCGCGGAGTCAATGATTTGCTATCCTCCTCTCTATGATGAGCTTCGTTCCGCCTCGGCTCGTCCCACGGAGACTACTGAGACCATCGCTCTCGCGGCCGTCGGCGCGGCTCTCGAGCAGAGCGCCAGCGCCATTGTTGTTCTTTCCACGAGTGGGAACACGGCTCGTCTCGTCTCCAAGTACCGCCCGAACGTCCCTATCATTACCGGTGAGTACTAGCCGGGTTGAAGACAAATCTGCGGCCTGACATATGTCACCAGTTACGCGCAACGAGCAGACTGCTCGTCAGATTCACCTGAACCGCGGATGCTATCCCTTCTGGTACCCTGAACCGCGTGGTATCGAGGCTCACCAATGGCAGACGGACGTGAGTATATACTATTACTATTCCGGGACTGGTTCTCATCGCGGCGTATTTTGTCCAGGTCGACAACCGCATTCGTTTTGGTCTGCGCAATGCGCTGAAGATGAACATCATCAAGCCCGGCGGAACCGTTGTTGCTGTGCAAGGCTGGAAGGGTGGCTTGGGTCACACGAATACGCTGCGCATCCTGTCTGTGCCCACTGACTCTGCTGACCTTGAGATGCAGCCGCTGGGCCTGTAGATTGTTTGTTGCTGTCACTGTATTTGCGTTCTTGGGGCCGTTGTCAATGTATGAGAGCAGAGAATAGAAGCTAATGTATAAATGTACTGCATTACCTGCGCTTATTCCGACGGGATGACTGGGTCGAGTGATCTTGATTCTTCGATCTGGGAATGCGACGTTCTTAGCGCCTTCACGTGGCAGCACTGAGATCGCCTGCGCTTGCGGCAGTCGACCTTTCACGACACAGCACCTCCACGTCTTATTTGGCGGCCCCTCCATCCTCCCTGCGCACACGTCTCCCGCTGGCCACACAGAAGAGCCCACGCCGCCGCCATGGCGTCCTCATCCGTGTACTACCAGCAGAACGGGAACGGCTTCTCGGAGAAGCCGTTGTACAATGGCCTCCCAACGCATTCCACTGCAGTCCGCGAAAAGTGGCACAGACACCACCAAACATCCTCCTGGTTGCTGCCGCTCTCCCTACCTATCCCCGGTGTGCGCACACGCCGCCTGCGGATCATGACCCCCAACCCTGCACGACTGCACCAATTCTCCGTCACTCGATTCGGTCGAAGAAGAGGGCCGCTTGTGCTGGTCATCGGTGTCCTCGTCACCGTGTTCACCATCTTTGCATTACACAAGCGGTTCGCGACACCAGAAAAAAATTGGCCGACGCTGTCCCCTGGGGACCCGCCCACGCTCGTGTACAAGCGCGAAGATCTCCAGCGAATATGGGAGTGGGAGATCGCCGCAGGGCACTATCCAAGCATTCAGAAGCGTACGTGTTCTGGAATTGACTGTTAGCGATGCGTGCTGACACTCGGCGTAGTCCCTAAGCAATTGGGCTTGTCTGCACCACCATACAATCCGGCGCTCCCTGCCAAGAAGTCCGCAACGATACCCTCACGATATAGGTCACCTACCGCGACTGACACGATCGGGACGGGTTCAAAGCGCGTCTATCTCGACATACAGGCCAAGCACCCCAATGTTGCTTACCCGCCCAGACCAGTGTCGGGAAGTGTCGCGGATCTGGACGCTGTGATGGAACATTGCGAGTTCCCCAAGAAGGTGCGTCTATAGCTGCCATGTTCGTGATGTTTATTGTCTCAACTATGTGCCCCCAGTACGTTCGAGATTGCTTGGAGGTGCTTCGCATAGGAGGTGGTTTGGACAACCAGGCGCGCCTCCGGAGAGGGAAGATGGATGACTGGAAATACATATACCTCGAGGATGGGCCAGCGGACAACGTCACAGAGTCCGACGCTATCAGACCGAACTACCCCCACAAGGCCCACGCTGACTCGGACGTCAGCTCAGACTTCCCGAAGAAGCGCGGTGCCGAATGGGAAGCATCTTTGCGGTTGTCCACACCCCCGAAGTATCGGCCTTACAAGGACCAGCCTGCTTCGTGTGACGACGAGAACCCCCGCTTCTTCCATATGTTCTGGACTGGGCCGTTCACTGACAAGCCGTATCTTGCTGTCCTGTCCTACCTGTTCACGCAGAACCTAGGGCTCCACCTCGACAACGACCACATCGACCCGAATGTCTGCCGCCCGAAATTCATTCTGTGGATCAGTCCGGGCCCCGCTGCAGTGCCTCCCGGTCCCAACGCTTTGCGGGAGATGTATGATGGTCTCAAGTCGAACCCATGGGCGTCGCCGTTCCTGCATCCACGATTCAAGGATGTCATCGAGTTCAGGCTATGGAACACTACGGAACAGCTGGATGGTGTCCCCGAGCTCAAGGATGAATGGAGGGCCATGCGCGAGAGTCTATTCAACTCGGGAGGTTTCGTAGAAAAGGTACACGTCAACAACGCCGCAAAGGAGCTGACGACAGAGGTTGTCGCTGATGACGATGACGCGACTGTCGCCGCTGCCCCTGCACCGACCTCCGCTGGCCACGACGACAAGGTTAACCGCGTCGGTTCAAAATCGGCTTCAGAGTATGACAGGCTGTCCGTCATTCTCTCGGACATGGCGCGCTTCGTGCTCTGTCACCGATTTGGCGGCATCTACCTCGACGCTGATACAATCTTCCTCCGAGATTGGGAGGAGTTGTGGGGCTGGCGTGGTGCATTTGCCTACAGATGGTCGCGCCTGGAGAAGTACAATACTGCCGTACTCCGGATGAACAAGAACTCCGCACTAGGCACGTTCCTCTTCCGGACCGCACTGAAGAACGGTTTGGACTTCCACCCGATGACAGTCTCGCGGTACACGAGGGACGCGTACTTGGAAGGTCTCCTATTACGCCTTCCAGATGCGCTGTTCGATCGGCTGGCTGAACACGGAGTACTACCAGCGGGATCGCCCACCACAGCCCTACCTCGCCGAGTACGTATACAGGCTGGTCTCCTCCACCACCATTGTCTCATCTTTCCTCCGCAGCTTCAGTCACCTCTTCGACACCCCTCGGGATTTGAGCGCTGCTCCAGGCGCACTTGGGTTTGACGGCTTCTACAAAGGCGCCTATTCATATCACTTCCATAACTTCTGGTACGTGGCCTCCACATTCATGTTTGGTGCCACGTTGACAGCGCTCCTACAGGTGGAGACCATTTGATCCGTCTCGCAACTGGCCTGACTTGGGCGAACGCTTCATCAATGGAGAGCGCATCGCCCGTGCCACTGCCGCTGCGGAGTCCGGTCAGATCATTCCTGACCAAGAAGACGATGTAGTCGGGAATGACAAGCGCGACTTGGATTGGTCGACCGTGCTGAAGCGGACGTTCGAGGCTTATGTTCGTGGTGAGAGGCCGAACATGTACGGCGAGTGGTTACGGTGGTGAGTCGCCCCTGGGCTGCGATCAGCTATGCTCCACGTCCGTCGGGCCTGGGGCTGTCGGCCTGGTGCGCGGAACCCGGGAGAGGTCCATGCTGGCGTGGCGTTGCGGCCGTGTTGTGCGGTTATGGCCTTTAGTGCGGGGTCGCTATAGAGAACACCTAGCTTCGACGGCTCTTCTATAATGTCTCTTCGCTCTACCACTAGCTTTCTGTAATGTACTGGAACTATGACGCTCGTTTGGATATGCTGTGGCAGGACTGGACTACTATTGGGGTTCAATTTATGTCGAGCGAGCATGGGTTCAGTAGCACCTAAGTATAAATCGAGTATGTTTATGCAGTCGTCGAACAGTCTCAGTATGTGATACCCGGATACGCAACACAGTTTATTTCATGCAGTTTGAATGTGTAATAGCTACAGATGTTGTGGTACTTCCTCCTGGCAGCATGCGGGAACCGCGATGGGTATGTCTACTCTCTACATCGCCGCAATCTTCGCTTGCGCAGTATCTACGGTCTGCTTCAGCAGTGCATGACTCTTCTGCTTTCTCCGCCCCAAAGATGGCAGTGCCGCCACAATGACGTTGCTGCCTGTTCGCCACAGCATTTGCATCTGAGCAGCTGCGCACATCATGCGGTGGTGAAAACTCACCTGCGTCCGCACAGACACCGATCGTTTTCGGCCCAACACCGCCGTCGACTTCGATGTCCTTCTGTGGGAACCGCGCGCGCAGTTCGGCCACCTTGGGAACGCAGCGCTCGAGGAACTTCTGGCCGCCACGACCTGCACAGCATAATCTTGGTCAATTGACCCACGCCTGTCAAGGGCAGAATGCTGCCGTAAAGAACACGTACCGGGATAGACCGTCATGACGAGAAGCATGTCTGCGGCTTCGGCGACCTCGTCGGAAATCGCGGTCGAGGCCGTGTCGGGGGAGATGGCGACGCCCGCCTTCATCTTGCGCTCATGGATCGCGCTGATGAGCGAGAGGGGGTCCGCTGATGGGGGGATTCGTATGTGCGATGTACCGGTGGCTGTATGAGTAGGGTGCGCTTACATGTTGCCTCGAGGTGGAAGCAGTAGAGCGAGCCGCCTGCGTCGGCGATGTCGTGACCCACTGCGGGCGCTCCGTGAGTGAACGTTCCGGTAAGCAGGCGGGGGAGAGCGACGGACCTTCTCTGGCTGTGCGACCATCATGTGGCAGTCCATGAAGATGCCTGGCACACCCTTGGACACACAGGCCAAGATCGGTGCGCCTGTTCCGGGGATGAGAACGACCTGCGTTGGCAAGAAACGGATCGGACGTACCCATGGTAATGTTTGGCACAAATGGCTTACGTGAAGGGTCAGCGCAGCGAAGCCTCATGCGTGCCTGTATGCCCTCACCCGTCCATAACATCTGCAACGAGGCCTAGTCAGATATCGCGTTCTGCATGGACGTCGAAGTCCATGACGCACCCATGTGTAGCCATTCAGCGCCGCCCTTGATCATCCGCTTGCATTCTGCGGTGAGCTGACCAAAGTCAGACGCGAGGACGGAGGGAGAGATGATTGCGCGGGGCATGGCAAAGTGAATGAGTGGTGGGCGAGCAAGAGATGTGGATGCGAGTATCACACTGTGTGGCCGATGGGTGAGCACTGTGCACCGAGCAGGGACACTCGGAACTCAGATCGCGACGATAGCGCGTGTGGATGGGAGACGGTCACGTGGGGCGCGCCGCGAGCGTCGCCGCGTGGACCCGGTGGGCCGGCCGGCGGGGACGCGACGGTCGACGCCCGGTCCCCGGATGCGCACGGTGGAGTTCCTGTGGGATCAGCAGATGCGTAAATACCAGTTACGGAAGGGAACGAGCCCAGTTAAAGGGGACAGGGCGGGCGACGTCGCCGGCTCCACTGCACGGATGGAGCGCACTAGCACTCGAGGCGCATGCGCATTGCATAGCCCCGCTGTGGTCGTCGAAAACGCAGCCAATCCGAGGCGGTGTGCATCCTCGAACGACCCCGCTATATAAACCCGAGCGTATGCCCGACCTAGCAACCCTCTTCGGCCTTCTCATTCACCCGCTTCTCCGTAACGCCCCGCTACGCCCAACATGTTCGCAAAGACCTCTCAAATCGTCCTCGGTCTCCTCTGCGCTGCCGCAGTCGTGAATGCCACCCCTTCGAGGAGAAGCGTGACCGTAAGTTTCGCTAAGATAGTCGTAGTCGTGGACAACATGACCGATAAGGTTCGTATGACGCAGTGAGCAGTGTCGTTAACTCGATCACCTCGGCGGTCGGGTCGGAAGCTACCCAGGCTACCTCCGCTGGTATGTCCTACCGAGCTATCTTGGGATTCTCCGTATTCACAACAAGTCCTGCTATTAGCCGGTTCTCTCTTCACCGACGCCACCTCTTGGGGTAGTAGCGCTGCTAGCGATGCGACGTCTTGGGGCGCCAGCGCCGCAAGCGCTGCTACTTCGCTCGGAGGTAGCGTTGCGAGCGCAGCCACCTCGCTGGGAGGCAGCGTAGCTAGTGAAGCCACCTCGTTTGCAGGCAGCATTGCTACCGAGGTTACCTGTAAGTGCCGCCGAATCCTCAATGAAGTGCCCCCACTGACTCGTCATAACAGCTATCGGCGGGCAAGCTTACACCATAGTCACTTCCAAGGGTGGTGAAGCCATCACACTCGCGACCAGTGGTGCTGGCGTCGCCACCAGCTTCGCAGGGTCTCAGTACACGGAGGCCACTGCTGCTGCTGCCGCTGCGTCGACATCGAACGCTGCTCTTGGCATGCACTCAGTCACAGTATCGGCGCCGCTACTTACCTCCTTGCTTGTTGCTTTCAGTGGAGTATTCGTTGGTGCTTGGGTTACACTCTGAGCTCGTCGTTGCTGCATAACTTAATTCCTCGCGCCCCAACGTTCTGCGCACGATATATACCTTACATTTCGATTTTCACAACCTACTAGACATCTTGCATCAATGATGAAATCGTTCTCTTTGCATCGACGCGTATGACATGCTGTCAGGAGCATGTCGGCGACGGCAAGTTACCACGAGGAGTCTCGATTGGTCTCGGTCAAGCCAGTTAGCGGAGTCTCGTTGATGGGCCTTCTCCAGACTCGCCGAGATTCTGTGCATTATTCGAGAGCTCCAGGTAATGTACAGCCATCTACTCATCCTGCTGCTCCATGTTCTTCTGGACCTGCGCCGGGTGTCAGCTGAGCTGAAACGATGCCCAGAGTAACACGTACGTGAGGGTTGAAGAAGAGCGAGTTCATGCCCCAGGGGAACGGACCGCTCGCTGTGCAACGGGTCATCAATTATCGTTCAGTCATGAAGGCAGGAAGCGACAGACAGCGCTTGTTGAGGTACTCGTAATCGGGGACGGCGGGCAGCTCACCGCCGTTCTCATGCTTGAGGTGCTCAGTGTGCTCTTCGTGCTCGTTCTCGACCTTGCGCACCCAGAGGGCGGTAACAATGACTGGTGGATATCGTGTCAATGCGGCGGCATCGCGTCATAAAGCACAGACAACTCACTGGCAGGGACACAGACGAAGAAACTGTCACGACCCAGGACATCAGACTAATGAGTTCCGGCTGTCCATAATTGACTCACCTAATCTTGCGCCAGAGCTCGGAGGTATCTGGACATAGTACATGAGAAGTCAGTTCCCAATAGGACAGAAGGAAACATACGGCCAGCGTGCTCGGCCTGAGCAGCCTGCTTCGCTTGCCACCGCTTCACGGCCTCCATGTTAATATCATTGGCAAGGCCACGGGTGCGGGGAAGTGCGCGCAGCGCAACGCGACGGGCGAGGAGGGACGTCGACATCGGTGAGGATTTCAATCAGACAGGATAACAGCGGTACCGGGTGAGGACTGGAGGAACACGGGAGGTACTAGGCGCCCGTGAACGATAGGACGCGTGCTTACGTCATCCAAGGCACGTGAGGGGTACGATGGGCTGCACTGACGCGTCGCGCGAGTACGCAAGTGCGCCTGCAAGGCTTTCTCTCCTGTTACACGCAAGACATGGTCCGCCCTCAGTCCTCCGCTGCCGGCGTGCTCGCTCTGCTCTCAGAGCCTGAGCCGCTGCTCAAGCAGCATGCGCTGTTGCGGCTGAATGACATCGTTCCCCAGTTCTGGGCGGAGATCTCGGAGTACATCGCTCTAATGTGCGTACGTTTGGTGGGATGTCGCGTTTCTTGGCTAATGAAGGGTCTGAATACAGTGAATCGCTCTCGGAGAGCGACGAACTCTCGCCAGAGGCCCGGGACTCAGCCGCGCTGTTGGCGAGCAAGGTCTACTACTACCTCGGAGAGTATGACGAAGCTCTTTCGTTCGCACTTGCGGCGGGAAGCGCGTTTGAGGCACACGCGGCCACTGCTGGCGTAGGCGAATACGTTGAGACCGTGATCTGTGAGTGTTTAACTTGATTACCGCTCTCTACGTAAAGCTGAAAGGCACTACGATCTCAGCGAAGGCTATTGACCGCTACATTAGTGCACGGTCGGCGGAGCAAGCTGGAGAGGAAAAGGTTGACCCTAGGCTTCAAGGCATAATCGAGGGTATTTTCACCCGCTGTATCTCAGATGGGGAGTTCAAACAGGTCGGTAAAGACCCTACGCCATAACGTACATTTACCTGACCTATATTCTTCACAGGCGATAGGCATTGCCCTTGAGTCGCGACGATTGGACGTGATAGCGCACATCTACAAAACGACACGCGACGTTAACCTTCTCTCTTACACCATGGATGCCGTACTTGACACGGCATTCCCTCTTGCGTACCGCGATCAGGTCTTACGGTTCCTCCTCCCGCTATACCCTCCACTCTCAAGCGAGAACAGGTCTCCTCACGTATACTCCGTCACTCGATTGCTCGTTACCTTGAGCTCTGCTGAGCTCACTCTACCTCTGCTCAACTCGCTGGTACCCAAGGACAGCCTCCTCGCGTACCAAATGGCATTTGACTTGGTGGAGGGCGGTGCGCAAGACTATCTGGAGAGTGTGCGCAAAGAGTTGCCGGAAGGCGAAGAAGTACGTTGCAATCCTTTCCATCTAGGAAGTAGTATTTGACACGTCTGCAGGACTCGAAAGCAATTTACGACAAACTGCGCCAAATTCTGCTCGGGCAGGAGTCAATCAAGCTTTATCTCGAGTTCCTCAAACGCAACAACAAGACCGACATGCTCATCCTCAAGAGCACAAAGGTCAGTTCATCGGTCTCTTTACTCATCATACACATCTGATCGTCATGACCCTGTGTTAGGACTCCTTGGAGGCACGGTCATCCGTGTACCATGTTGCCCTCACGCTACAGAACGCATTCATGCACTCTGGGACGACGTCGGATGCCTTCCTGCGGGAAAACCTAGAGTGGCTGGGACTGGCCACAAATTGGGCCAAGTTCTCCGCGACCGCTGCTCTTGGTGTGATCCACAAGGGTCACTTCGAGGAGAGTATGAACATCCTTGGTCCCTACCTTCCTCAGCAGGGTGGTAATGACAGTGGCATCCCTGGTGCGCAATACTCGGAGGGTGGCGCGCTCTATGCTCTGGGTCTCGTAAATGCCGGCGTTGGTAGTGGCCGCCAGGTGGAGGAGTACCTGCGGAATATGCTCCGGGAGTCTCAGCACGACGTCGTTCAGCACGGCGCGGCACTCGGCCTGGGTGTCGCGGGCATGGGCGGCAAGAATGCCGAGACGTACGAGGAGCTCAAGCAGGCGCTGTTCAGGGAGGACTCGGCGGTTGCGGGCGAGGCGGCTGGTTATGCTATGGGTTTGATCATGCTCGGTACGGCGGATGTGACTGCGTCGGAGGAGATGCTGCAGTATGCTAGGGAGACAGAGCACGAGAAGATCATCAGGGGTATTGCTATAGGCGTTGCTTTCATCTACTATGGCAAGCAGGAGGAGGCCGACAGTATCGTCAAGGTGCTCTTGTCCGAGAAAGTGAGTCACGCTGCTCTGACTATTGAAGGGACGAGGAACTGACCCATTGGCAGGGCGGCGATTGGAGGACGGCTATCCTCCGCTACGGTGGTGTCTTCACTCTCGCACTCGCGTACGCCGGCACTTCTAACAACAACGCAATTCGACAACTGCTGCATATTGCTGTAACCGACACTTCCGACGACGTCCGAAGAGCTGCGGTCGTTTCATTAGCGTTTGTGCTGTTCAAGAATCCGGCGCAGGTGCCTCGTATCGTGCAATTGCTGAGTGAATCCTACAACCCTCACGTACGGTGCGGTGCGACCCTGGCGCTGGGTATCGCTTGTGCCGGCACTGGCCTCCAGGTTTGTGTCTTGACATTCCGCTTGCACACATGGTGCTGACGTTGTTACAGGATGCTGTAGACATCTTAGAGCCCATGACGAAGGACAGCGTCGACTTTGTCCGCCAGGGCGCACTCATCGCACTAGGCATGGTCTTGGTCGAGCAGTCCGAGGCGTCGACCCCATCGCTCGGGTCGACGCGTGCTCTGTACGCGAAGATCGTTGCCGACAAGCATGAAGACCCTATGGCCAGATTCGGCGCCGCGTTGGGACAAGGATTGATCGACGCAGGTGGTCGCAACGTCACCATCAGCTTGCAGAGTCGTGCCGGTAGCCGTAACACGAACGCCATTGTTGGTATGGTGCTGTTCTGCCAGTTCTGGTACTGGTATCCTCTCGCGCATTGTGCATGCCTTGCGTTCGACCCGACGGCTATCATTGGCTTGGATGGCACCCTGCAGGTGGGGCTCCCTTACCTGAGGCAAGGAGACGTGCATCCTGATTGTTTATTATAGGCGCCGCAGTTCGATTTCATCTCCAACGCTCGTCCGAGCTTGTTCGCTTACCCTGCGCCTACTAAACCACCAAAGAAGGAGGCAGTAGCCAAGGTTGCCACCGCTGTCCTTTCTACGACTGCCCGGGCGAAGGCACGGGAAAAGAAGAAGGCTGCTGAAGGCGAGGGGGGTGTAGCGGTACGTTTCCTGGTTTGTGGCAATGTCACTCTTGCTGATCCATGTGCAGGATGAGAAGCCAGATGCCAAGAAGGACGGTGACGTCGAGATGAAGGACAGCGAAGCCTCGACGTCTACACCCAAGCGCAAGGAGCCGTCTGTCGAGAAACTGCCAAACTTCTCGCGCGTCGTGCCCGCGCAAGTGTCTTACATCAGCTTCCCGCAGGATAGCAGGTATCAGCCAGTCAGAGTGGTGTCAACAAGAAGCGTACCTACGAAAGGTGGCAAGGCGTCTGCACCAAAATCGTCTCTCGTACCGGGCATCACCTCAGAGAGATACGCGGGCGGTGGTGGCATCCTGATCCTTGCAGACCAACGTCCTGACGAGGAGCCGGACTACATCGAATTCGAGACGCAGGCCATCCTTGCTGCGAATGAAGCTGCTGTTGCTGCAGACGACCGTGCAGCGCATGTTTCGGAGGGTCGTCACATCGCACTCGATGAGAACGCTCCTGAGGTCACATCCCCACCAGAATCCTTCGAGGTGCGTGACGAGTCGTTTGGTTCTTCGCAATACTGATGGCAGGCTTCAGTATCCATTTGATCATGACACATGAACGCTTCGCTGTAAAGTCGGATATACGCTTACTCGTCGCAATTGCATTTCGTTGAGCCCTCGTTCGTTCTTGTGTGACCTTGGTCCCGTGAAGCTGACGTGCTTTCGATGCGGAATGATTCGTCCGGTGTTCCTCTTTGTGTCGATTGTTGCTTACTGATAAGGTTTCTGTCTGACATCACCATATAATATCGACTCTGTTCAGGAACGGCCCACCGAAAGCCCCTCTACCGCGCACCGCCATGTCTTCGACTGACCGTACTCGCATTGCCATCCTAGACGACTACCAGTCGGTCGCTCTTACAAGTGCGGACTGGTCCCCTCTTCAGGGCAAAGTCGATATCGAAGTATATCACGACGCGCTCGCCGACGAGGACGCTCTTGTCCGTCGGCTGGAGCCCTACGACATCATATGCGCCATGAGAGAGCGCACGAAATTCACAGCCTCGTTGCTCGATAGGTTGCCGAACCTCAGGCTCATAGCCACCACGGGGCTACGTAATGCTGGCATAGATGTCGTCCATGCGAAGACAAGGGGCATCGTTGTCTCTGGGACTCCAGGCGGAGGCAACTCTACCTTGGAGCATATATGGGCCTTGATTCTAGCCACGGTCAGATATGTCGCGATTGAAGACGCGAACACGAAGCAAGGCAAACCCCAATGGCAGTCTACCATCCCTATGGGTCTGAAGGGCAAAACGCTCGGTCTGGTGGGGCTGGGCAACCTGGGATCTCGCACTGCGAAGGTGGGTCTCGTCAATGCGATGATTGAATCTTGAATCTATGACCGACTCACTACAATAGATTGCGAAAGCCTTTGAGCTGAATGTCATCGCCTGGTCGCCTCACCTCACTCCTGAGCGAGCCGCCGCAGGCGGGGCTACATACATTGCGACCAAGGAGGAGCTGTTCAAACGCAGTGATGTCGTGTCGATACACATTGTTCTCTCAGAACGCAGCCGCCACCTCATCACGGATGCGGACTTGGCCCTCATGAAGCCTACCGCGTTCTTTATCAACACGTCCCGGGGCCCAATTGTAGATGAGGGCGCTTTGGTCGAAGTCTTGCGACAGCGGCGCATTGCTGGGGCAGGACTAGACGTGTTCGACGTCGAGCCTCTGCCTTTGGATCATCCACTCCGCAGGCTGGACAACGTTACCCTTACTCCTCACACAGGGTATGTCAGTGACGACACGTACGCGGTGAGTCGTGAATTTCATGATCAATGTCCATTTCGCCCTCTTAATAGTCGTGCGACAGGGATTCTGGACTGACACCGTGGATAACATTGTCAGCTTCCTAGATGGAAAGCCTAAACGGGTGATAGAGCAGTGATGGCTGCAAGCCGGTCAACAGGATAGGGGATAATTAGCACGGTACTTCGTCATACATAGGTCCTGGTCAACCCCCTCCCAGTCGAATTCAATGTCCTTGGAATGCATGTGTGCGACTCTGGCCCCGCGAGAAAGAGTAACGACAGTAACTGTACTACTAACAGCAGGATTGAATTGAGTGACCCACTCCAATGAACGCGTCACTGCGTGATGACAGGCATGTGACCGTGACAGCCCACGCGCCGCCCTTTGTCGACCAAGATCGTCTTCCGCGCGTTTCTTGTCTTTTCACTTGTTTCTGCCTGTCTCATCCTCACTCATCATGGACGCGTCTCGTGTGGCCCACCGTAAGAATGGTAAGCGCGACGAACTCATACGTGTGACGCGTATACTGAGCCCCTGCTGCAGAGTACAAAAACAAGGGCGGTCTGAAGCAGGAAGACCTGCGGCGTAGACGTGAGGAGCAGCAGGTCGAGATTAGGCGGCAGAAGAGGGAAGAGAACATCAGCAAGAGGCGTAATTTCCTTCCCTCTGCTGCTGGTGACTCCGATGATGAAGGTGGTCCTACCTCTTGGGAGACACCGGTAAGTGTCCATCATCGGTATCCGTTGCCCTCGAACTAATGATATCGCAGCTGGCGGAAGACTTGATCACCAACGTTTTCTCCGATGACCCCGATCTTCAATTGGACGCTACTACCAAGTTCCGCAAGCTGTTGTCGAAGGAGAAGAACCCCCCGATCGAACGCGTCATTGAATGCGGGGTCGTTCCGCGTTTCGTCCAATTCTTGCAGGGCGATAACCCTATGCTCCAGGTTGGTGGTCTCACTTTTCGTTTCATTTTGGTGCACTGCTCATCATGACCGAAGTTCGAAGCAGCGTGGGCGCTTACTAACATCGCGTCGGGGACAGCAGAGCACACGCAAGTCGTCATCAACGCTGGCGCCGTTCCTGAGTTCATCAAGCTGCTCTCGTCTTCAGTCTTGGACGTCAGGGAGCAGGCTGTCTGGGCTTTGGGGAACATCGCTGGCGACAGTCCGCAGTGCAGAGATTACGTCCTTCAGCAGGGCGCTCTCCGACCGCTTCTGCAGCTACTCAGCGAAAACCACAAGCTCAGCATGTTGAGAAACGCCACTTGGACGCTCAGCAACTTCTGCAGGGGCAAGTCGCCTCAGCCGGACTGGGACCTCGTAAGCTTCTACCGTGTTATCAAACTCAATAACAGTATTAACTTACGATACCTCATAGATTTCACCAGCATTGACGGTTCTCACGAAGTTGATCTATTCCTTGGACGACGAGATTCTGATTGATGCGTGCTGGGCCATTTCCTACCTCTCTGATGGTTCCAACGACAAGATCCAGGCCGTCATCGAGTCCGGTGTCTGCAGGCGACTCGTTGACCTTCTCATGCACCCCTCGACTTCGGTGCAGACGCCTGCTCTGCGATCCGTGGGGAACATCGTGACGGGTGACGATCTCCAGACGCAAGTCGTGATCACGTCTGGCGCCCTCGCTGCCCTCTTGTCGCTGCTGTCTTCTCCTAAGGAAGGCATTCGCAAGGAGGCATGCTGGACGATCTCCAACGTCACGGCTGGCTCTCCTCCGCAGATCCAGTCCGTCATCGACGCAAACATTATCCCTCCTCTCATCAACATCCTCCAGAACGCCGATTTCAAGACGCGAAAGGAGGCCTGCTGGGCCATCTCGAATGCCACGTCCGGTGGTCTGCAGGAGCCGTCACAGATCCGGTACCTTGTCTCTCAGGGATGTATCAAGCCGTTGTGCGATCTCCTCACCATGATGGACAACAAGATCATCCAGGTCGCACTGGATGGTCTCGACAACATCCTGAAGGTGGGAGAGATGGACAAGCAAGCGGCTGGTCCTGGGGGTGTCAACCAATATGCGTTGTTTGTTGAGGAGGCGGGAGGCATGGTTACTATCCACAACCTCCAACAACACGACAATCTGGAGATCTACAAGAAGGCGTTCAACATCATGGACAAGTACTTCCCTGATGACGAGGAGGTCGATGCTGGCATTAGCGCGGCCAACGTTGATGCATCGGGTGCTTTCGCCGTACGTATTCATTTTCGTTTCATACCTTCGGCATTTCTCACGCGTTTACTGCAGTTCAACCAAGAAGGTGCCGCTCCCCCTCCTGGTGGCTTCAGCTTCGGGCAGCAGTGATTTAGATGTGTCGAGATTTCTTTTGGCGCGAACGATACGCGCCGCTCAGTATCATGGATTGCTAGTGCCAAGTTTGTAATCGTACGCCCCAGACCGAATATCCATTACTCCCCATCATCGCGCATATTGTTACAGCACAAATACCATGTTTTCTTATCTGTAGGCTTCTCGACCGACTGAAGAATGTATGTCCTTTCCACCCACCAGCATAGACTGTTCAATGAGCCATCGTATCTGAGAGCTTCGGTCCAAGGCCCGACGAGGGAACACAACAGCGACATTAATATGCACGATTGTTATCTCACGATAAAATTACACACGAATGTGGTACATGTTCAAATGGTCGCTAAGACTACATGGTTCGACCTGTGGCGGGCGAACAATGCTCAAGTCGGAGACGAGTTCATTGGAGCACGGTTTGCGGATTCGCTGGCACCTGCGATGATGTGCCCTATATTCAGGACTTAGCCTAAATTGATGTTTGGTGGTTGTGGTATGCGACCATTCCTATATTATGGATCCGGTGAAAGACCTTTAGGCGTCCTCAGGACCAGAACTTCCAGGTATCAACTACACAGATCCAGAAACCTTCAGAAAAGCCCAATAGGTTCATCGGAGAACTTGGGACGCACCATGCATATGTTGTTCCCGTTCAACAATGTTTGAGTCAATTGTGTTTTCTTCCGACCTTGGGGTGTGGTCTCACTGGGACAATGGATGCTCTGTGTCAGGACGCGAGTGCCCAATGATGACCATTTGAACTGACTATTCTGTCACATCTTCCAGAACCATGTCTGCCACGGGCACCCATCAGAGTGTAGTCTATCGCTCGGATCCAATTGAGACTCACTGACGAAATCGTCGAAACCGAGGAGTGTACCAGTGAACTCGCGATCGCCCTTCATGATCACCCATATCCGCGACCCGATACACCGGTCAATCAGCTCTGTGTTCTGATTCAGTGACTTTCAAGTACCAAAGAAACAGCATACCCAGTGGAAGGATTTGCGAGGCCATCGTGCTCGAGGTCGCAGTGGTCTGAAGTCTCCCCGCCGCGCGGCGCGCCTCCCGACGCGCTCAATGCAAGGCGCGCGCGTGACAAGCACGCTCTTCGTGACTGCGCGTGACCTCCCGCTACGGACTCTTCGACAAGTCGTCACAGCTCCCTTCAGCCATGGTCGTCCGTCTCCGTATATCTCTGCACGGCCCTCGACACGGCAAGACATGCCGGCTCGTCGCTATGATTCGACTGCGAGGCGTAATGCGGACCCTATCGAGGTCCTGGGCATGTGGAACCCGCGCACGCTGCCAGGCGAGTCCACCAAAACGGTTCGCTGGAGCGTAGACCGAATACGGTACTGGTTGAAAGTGGGTGCGAAACCTACGGATACAGTACAGAGACTGCTGGACTTGGTGAGTGTGAGTTGTTTGGGATTTGTGACATTCATTGATACTTGCTGGTGAACAGGGTTCCATCAAGCCGCCGCAGCCGAAAAGCTCACATAGCGGGGCTGAAGCTTCAAAACCGGCTCAAAGCGCATGACAAGAGAATATTCCATGCTACAGCCAGCACATCGTTACGCCGTCGGACTCACGGGGTGGGCTTAGAGGGGAAGGAGAAATTCTAGCTTGGGCACGGGTGCACACATAATCATAGTAGAGTATGCATTCAATCATCTCCCCGGATCTCTAATTCACGCAGCCTTTAGTACGCTCATAATCTCGTCGTGTCCCGAAATCTCTGCAAGCTCCCTCCCAGTGAGATCGTCGTCATCCTTGTGATCCGTCAGGCAAAGTCTAGTACACCATAAGGTTGGACAGTACCTTGATGCTCGGGTCAGCACCTCGTTCAAGCAGGAGGCGCACGACATCTGCGTGTCCTCTGTCGCATGCTAGATGTAACGGAGTGTAGCCCTGGACTGCGATTCAATACACGAGAGACCATCGTGCTATCCCCGCTCACATTCTCGTCTTTTACGTTGACGTCCACGTTCGGGTTTGCGTCGAGATATGCCCGTAATTCGTGCACATTCCCGCTAATGGCGAGATCGCTGAGGGCGCCCCCGCCTTTCTCTTCGGACGTTTATTGTACTGACGGAGGTGCCAAAGCCGAATCCCCCCGCTTGACTCTGAGGTTTCATCATCGTCCGAGTCCAAGTCCAGCGTACCCTCATCGGGGGAGCCCAGCCCAGCTCCCGGGCAATGGCGATGTAACGAGCCTCCGCTTCGCTCGCTCGCTCGCCGTGGTCTTGCTGACTGCATTCCATGCATCCCATTTCCTCTTCCGGTCATGTCAAATATTGACGGTCGGGATGTATTGGGCGCATGCGATACTGTAAGATACTTGTAGAGGCCATAGAGCTGGTTTGTGGTGCAGGGAGGATGGCGACAACACGGAGGTCGTCAGAGCTCGGTCAACTGGCAAGCGGAAATGAGGACCTCTAGCTTTATTGTATTGGACACCGATGACAATGACGATGCTTTTGATAAATAGCTGGCCGCATTCTCGAAGGCAGGCGACGGCGCGTAGATCGACATGGAGGGCAGAGACAAGCAGTGTTATACTATGAGCGAATGCTGCCCCAAGAGACGCGGGGACTGTCCAGTGAACTCTATTACGTAACTACGCCATGGTATGTACGGTATCCGTCCGTCGAATGACGGCGTAAGCACCGCCAGAGTCCTACGCCAGCCCAGCAGCCTTCATGGCCTGTAACACGCAGTCAGCAACAGATGTGGGTGTGCGGAGATATGAAACTGACTTTCAACATCTCGGCCCAATCTGTGCGGGGCTGTCGGTGACAATCACACCCGCGTTCCGAAGGGCTTGCACCTTCGCTGTCGCAGTTCCTGAGGGTAGAATGCGTGAGCCGGCCAACCAAATACAACTCAATGTGATGTCGTCTGACCCTTTCCGCCAGAGATGATGGCACCAGCGTGCCCCATCCGCCTGCCAGGAGGAGCAGTGCGGCCTGCAATGAAGCCGACGACAGGCTTGGGGTGGCTTCGCGTCTTGTTGTACTTCTCCAGGTACTCCGCCGCATCTTCCTCCATGGAACCACCGATCTCGCCAATGATGACGATACCTAGAGCACTCTTGAGTTGGCCGGGCACCGCACAATCCCCGAGAGGACACTAACCTTCGGTCTTGGGGTCATCCAGGAAGAGCTTGATGACGTCTACATGCTTCGTACCCGGGTACGGGTCACCACCAACGCCGACACAGAGGGATTGGCCCAGACCGACACCCGTGGTCTGGGCGACGGCCTCATACGTTAATGTACCGGACCGCGAAACAATACCTAGATGGGTGTACCTCGGTCGGCGAAGCATAGCATCGACTTGCAGCAGACGTACCAATGTTTCCGGGCATGTGGATGTGACCCGGCTGGATACCCATCTTGCACCCCTCTGGGTTGATGATACCCGGACAATTGGGGCCCACGAGACGCGACTTTGACTGGCTCTTGAGCGCGTGTGCAACCTTCCCTCATACCATGAGCGGACGTCCTCGAAGACACGACGAGGGACGTACCTTGATCTCATCGGCCTGGGGGATACCCTCCGTAATGCACACGATAAGACCAATTTCGTTCTCAATGGCCTCGATGATCGCGTCGGCGGCATGCGGGGGCGGTACGTAGAGGACAGTGGCATCGGGCTGCACATTGCGGACGGCCTGATCGGACGGTCGGGAGAGGGGACGTAAAGCGGCGTTACACTTCACGCACCTCCTTGACGGAACCAAAAATGGGGAGTCCCAAATGTGTCTGCCCGCCTTGGTCGGGGAGACACCGCCTACCATCCGGGTGCCATACGCGAGAGCCTCTTTGGTGTGGAAAGTACCCTTCGGACGCGTCAGCGACGACGAAAGCACGCAGTCGTAGCACGCACTGTCTTTCCGGTCAGCCCCTGGCAGAGCACTTTCGTGTCCTTGTGGATGAGGAGGTTCTTTATCGTGTCTTCATAGCTGCGTCGGGGTGCAGACTGCGAAAAGGCCCGGCGTCCGGCTAATGGCAAAGCCTGGCTCAGCGAGGACCGGCGATCAGGAACGAGCAGCATACCGGCAGATAAGAGCGAGGGCCCAGCGCGGGACAGCATTGCGGGGGAGAATGGGAGAGGAGGGTTCGCTGGCAGAGGCTGTTACGGTAGGCGCGTCTGAGGCGTTGCGCGCCGTATATGGCAGTGGGCACATCACCATCGCCCGCTGGGTGGCATGTGTTAAGTACCAGGCACGTTTCTCGCACCGGCCTCCGCTTCGCTCTCAGCAAAGTCAGCTCCCAGAAAATATCCATTGCACGCTTCTCTACGATACAACACAAGATGGTACATCTTCTCTCTCTCAACAAGGACCCGCTCTAACTACGCCTCGAAGGGAGCCGTTCGTCTCCGGTCGCGCGCCTTGCGCGATGCTCGGTGCAACGCCAGTATCGCACGTTTCACCCGATCGTATTCGGCCGACTGGATCGCGCTGTGAACCATTAGTGAGACCACGCGTCCGAACTCCCACTCGTATGTCATGCTCACCTGTTCATATCCGTAAGGAACTGCGCTTTCGCCTGGTCAGGAACAGCTGTCGCCGGCAGCTGTTGCAGGATCATAGGCAACCATGAGAGCAGCTCTTGCTGCCAGAGGATAGCCAGTTGGCGGAAGATCGTGACCACCGTCGATGCCGACTCCTCGGGGAAGTCCCCCACCATGCCTGACAGCAGGTAGCTCGTCAGCTCCGGACCCGCCTTCTGTACGACAGGCTTGATGGCAGCGCGTAAATAGGGAACTTCGGTGGAGGGGGTCCTGAGGTTGGAGGAATAAGGCAGTCGTGGGTGACTATGCCGCGAATGAGGTCGAGGGCTGCGAAGATGATGTCAGTATGCACAACGGTGAGCGCCGCCAATGCAGCTTGGAAGGCAACAGGAAGGGCGGGCGACGGGAAAAAGACGTCGGGAGCATAGTCGAGCATTTGGAGCAACATCTGTAGGTAATCCTCCATGACTGGCAGAACAGGTCAATCAACTGTGTGCTAATGATAGGTATAGACCACTATGCTTACCATCCGGAATGCTAGCTGGAGTTTTTCTTGCAGTAGTCGCACAAGCTTGTTTGATGAATGCTCGAATACTTCCTTGAACGCTGCGCGCAGCGCAGGATCCTCGTCATGGCCAAAGCGGCCGATGATCTTCCCGACTATCCACAGATAACTCGAGAATCCGGTAGCTTCGAATGCAGCCGACATCCGCTTCAGCACAATGGCAATATTGGCCGGGCCGTCCCTCCGAAGAAAGTGAGAGCGAGCCGGAGGACCCGTGTATGCGTTCGCAGATAGCGTAGTCCGATCCGTACTTCACGATGAATGGGTCGAAGAAGCTCCAGCCCTCCTGGGCGCTTTCTGGCAGGCAGCAGGGAGGTCTTCACCGAACGTCTGGATGACGCCAAGCATTACCTCAAGACTCTCGAGGGCATCTACACAAACAGTAAATTGGGCACTGCTTAGTGACCAGGAATAATGACTTACTGCAGACGGACTGCAATTCATCCTTTGTCGCAGGCGTTGGCTTAGCAGCAATCGCGTGCACTTGGGCTAGGATGTCAGAAGAGAAGGTGCGCAGAGACTGAGCTGCCTGCTCCATTGGCATAGCCGAGATGACATGCGCGATCGCTTCATACACCATGAGCCTGTCGTCCTGCACCAATTGGGTCCCACAGTGGCAAGGAACTGGTGCAACTGGGGAAGGAAGTCTACGAGGTGCTACACAGAGCTTGTCAGCAACAATGATCATATCCTTGGTTGCGCAGCATACCTGTTTGCAATCCTCGCACATGTATTTCAACGCTTGCCCCGCAGCCGCGTTCACCTCAGTATCGGCATCATCGAAGCCAGCGGAGATGTATTGCAGCTGGTACGGGATGTAGTCTGGGTGTCTGTTGATCCACTGTGTGTACCGAGAGATGATGAGGAGAGCGGCGTAGCGGACGCGGGGATGAGCCGGTAGCGACGGAATGAGATCCATGATCTTCGGGACCGCCTTGTCGTCCGTGGGATCAATTTCGGCCCCCATCGACCTCATAGAGAACAGCGGCGCTCGATATCTTGCCAGGAGACCGCGGTCGGACCACGCGCGAGTGCCGCGGTGATCATGTCGTATGTGGCGAGGAGGCATGTGTCTGCACCGAGTACGTAACAGCAGTCCTTCAGCGTGTCGCCCATAACATGTCGGAACGAACGGAAATTCTCGGCCTCCTGGCCAGTCAGGTGCTGAGATCCTTCGGGAAGTGGAGGTGCTGGATGATGACGCCCATAAGTGCCTTGTATGCGTCCAAGAAGGGAGGGGACCGAGGGCTTCTTGCCGATGTTCTGGGCAAGGCGCATCCAGAAGTGGAATGTAATGGGGACAATGTCCAAGTCTTGGTACGCAGTGCAGTCACCGATGGCTTCGACAATGGGGAAGAACGTCTCGGGGTGATGCAGCAAAGGCTGCGGTACGTCTCCCCGCCTCGGTGAAGATGCGGGCCAACCCACGGATTTTGTCTGGATCCTCCTTGTACTCTGTCAGCTTGGGTCGCAGCGCGATGATACGAGGAACGAGCTGCTCGATCATGGGCATGTTCTCCTCGACCTCTTGGTTTCATGGATGAGGTCACAGATCACGTTCACTGTCGAGTCGAAAAGCTCATCCGACACCAGGGCATCGAACGCGAAGCCCGGAAGCGGGCTATCAACCAAGGACATGGCAGTGACCTCTCCAGCAGCAAGCCAGCTACTGAGACAGGCGAATATCTGAGCTTGTATCGTGCTCGTGACGCCTGCGAAAGGATGGTGGGTTTCATACGATTAATCCCATGGTGCGCGATCCACATACCTGGTGCCTGCAAGTACATCGAGAGCAGGTTCACCACGGCCACCGCTTTTGACGTAAGCAACTGGTTTGCTCGCTCTTTGTATTCATCATCCTACGGCCAAGTCAGGACGAACCAGCGCTTCACAAGCAGACGGAGACGCTCACAGTGACGGGGATTTTGGTGTTGGTGCACAGCTCTTCCGGCAGGATAGTGAGGAAGTGCAGCAATGCAGGGACTGTGGCTGGATTCCTTCCAAACGAATCGATCATGTTCTGCACTGGGTCCTCCCACGAAGGCAATTGGAGGGCCAGCCCGGAGATCGCGAGACATAGCTGCACCATGATCGTGCGCGGGCCGGCATGGTATGTCTCCAGGGCTGTTACAAGGGTATCTCGTAGGCGAAACACGTCCGCTGGATCCATTTCGTGGAGGTCATATGTCACCTAGAGACAAAGGGGATCAATCGAGTACGTCCGTGTATGCGATGGGACTCGTAGCAGACCTTCGCTCGGAACGTCTGCGCTGCAAAGAGCTTCGCTGCCGGAGGCGCATCCGGGGAGAGTAGAAGAACGTTGCAGGTCGACCATGAATCGCGCTGGGAGCGGCCGAATGGACAGTCAGACGTCGAGCCCGGAAGACCGCAGGAGGCGAGAGGTATTTACGGAATGCTGGAAATCTTGAAGCCAGGTATTGGCCTGATCAAGGGCCGCTTTGTCGGGGGCACGGCTAAAGACATCGAGAGCAGAGAGCACAGCCTGAACCGCCGCCATTATCGTCGTGGCGCACACAGAAAGCGAAAGGTCGTGAACGAAAAGTCGGTTCTCGCCACTTCAGCCACTGGCGGCTAATACACACGAGTTTGCTGATGTTGACGTCGACACCCACTCGGTTTCAATTCAAGGCATTCCGTCGCGCACGCTCCTCGACCCGGGATTCCAGACGCAGTGGTATACGGGTATTGCAAAGAACAGAACCACCGCACTACAGCCCAATAGAATAGCCTCGCATATTGGGAACATCTCGTCACTACGGAGAGAAACGACCGGACATGTGCATGATTCAAAACCTGGTATCCGAGTAAGGAGCGACTAAGCGGTTAGGACGCGCTACGAACATTAGAGGTGTCATTGTAGCGAAAATGTACGATAGGAAGCGACGCGTAGGTCGAAGCAGACGAGACCGATGAGGATGAGCTTGAAATAAATCAAGGGCGCCAGTGGCAAACGCGCGGGAGGTATCCAGGGAGGGCAGACAGAATACAGAGACGATCACGGGCGACCCAGGAAACGGTTCTTCTTGCCAGTCTATTCCAATAATTAATCAGACTTGTCCGCGAGGCATGATGTTGTTCACTTACTGATGTCTTCCCCTCCGGAGTCAACGGACGACCGTTCTCGATTCTCCTCTTCTTGTCTTCGAGATCCAATCGTTGCTTCTCCAAGGCCTCCTTCATTTCCCGATGCCGGGCGTACAACTCCTCCTCTGACTGCTTGAGCTTGGCCTCCTTTTCTTGCACCTTCTGCTGGAAGACCATCTTCATCTCGGCCTCCATCTTCGCAAGCTTAGCCTCGTGCATAATACGCTCCTCTTGTATCCTGATGGCCGGGCTGCAGCGAACATGAGCAGCAATCGAGGAATGCACGCTCTGTCACTTACTTGATCTCCTTGAACACACTGGAGTCCTGGATGACGCCCATGGTGAGGAGCTTCTCTGTCCGCCAGTTCTCGTACAGAACGTCGTTGGTGTACTCCCTGAGCTCCTCCATGTACGTCCGAACCAACATTTGCCGCAGTTTCACAAAGTCGCAGTGGTCCTCGTTGTCCACCTCGACAACACCCCAGGGATACGCACGACCGCGCACCTTGCGACCGTCAGGAGTGGTCACCTCCTTATCCGAGCCCACGACGGCGAAGGGGATCTTGCTAGCAATTTCCTCTGCTTCAGCAATTGCCTCATCGTCCTCGTTTTCGTAAGTGGGGGCTTGGAAAATGTGGATGTTGTGGTGGGCGATGTCGGCCAGAATCTACATCGCTGCGTGAAACGACTGATAGCGTAAATATATCCATACTTACCCTGGCCTTGAACTCAGCCACCTCTTCGTCCGTAAGAGTGTCCGCCTTCGCGATAATCGGAATCAGGTTGACCTTCGTGTGAAGCTGACGCATGACCTCGACGTCAATAGGCTTCAACCTGGGATGCAATTTCACTACTTCAGCATTGTCAGCATGTCATCTGTTTCCGTACTCACGCGTGACCGGTAGGCTGAATGAAATATAAACAAGCATGGATGCGGTTGTCCACAATTTTTTGACGGTTCACCCGGTTCTCCTGCTCCAAGTAGGAGTCGAATCGGGCCTCAATGTTTCAACGATAGGCCTCCAGCTGCAAGCGTGTCAGCACGTGATCCGAACACTGCGCGTCGGTGATACGATACCACTCATCGTTGTTAACAAAGTCACCGAATCCAGGCGTGTCGACAACCGTGAGACGAAGGCGGACGCCGGTCTCCTCAATGTCTGCGGTGCCGAAGCGGTCGCCCGTAAATGGAACATGCCGCAAATGGACTTAAGCGAGATAGCTCACCAGCGCTTATACTCTCGATGGCGACGGTCGAGGGTCTCTCGGCGCTGGGGGGGAGCGTCTCCTTCGGGGGGTACAGTGTCGTGTTGAACAAGGTGTTGATGAGCGTCGACTTCCCCAAGCCGGACTCCCCTTGCGTGGACATGAGATGACAGCCTGACGCGTCGGCATATGTGACACGTACCGACGACCATGGCAGTGAACTGGAACCCCTTCCGCACGCTCTTCCTGTGAACCTGGTTCGGCAAGTTGGCGAAGCCCACAAAGCCCATTAGCTTTTTGCGGATGATGGCGGCGGCGCCGACTTCGTTAGAACCCGCCGGAAGGGATGGGCTGGAACCGTTCATCCTGCTCGAGCCGTTGGGGGTGAGGCCGTCGCCATTGCCAGTGGAAGCGTATGAGTCCGTCATCTGGGGAGATGAAGAGGGTGAGGGGGGACGCAGAGCCTGCGCGAGACGTGGCTTACCTCGAGGGTCGGCGAGGAATGGAAGGGAGGAAGAATCGCCTCTGGTCGCGAAGAGTGCTCTTGTTTGGCGTTGATTGACCGCGTGGCGTCAACTTCTAGTCGCGGCTTGGGCAACAGCAGCGTCTGCAACCGCCGTCTCCTCAGCATCCGACGACCACCAGCCCGAGCTCGCAGACCCACTCACCCAGCCCACAGGCCGTTCCGGCGTCGGGGAGGTCGACCTGAGAGATGACATGGCACACGGAGACCTCGCCGTTCCAGACCATATGCATTTTAGACACCACCATCTTCCAAATCTTATCAGCACCCATGAGGCTGTAAACAGTCTCACCGAAGCGCTTCTAGGCTCACAGGCCACGCCAGGGCCACGCTAACTACAGTCGTCATACCGTAGGTGACAGGTTGTATGGCGTTCTTGTTCGTATTACGGGCCTCAAGGCAATAGGATATCCAATGCTGCCCGGTGTAACTGCCAGTGACCAACAAGAGACATGATCCGACATCCCAATCATTTGGGCAATTAATCACTAGTAGTCGACTGAAGTTGAAAGGGCCGGTTCCGGTGGGTTGTTCGGTGACGCTTCGTCTTCGGCTCGCTCATGACCAGAGCCTAAGAACTTCATTATGAGTTCTCTTCGTAGCATATATAGGCTTTGCATGCAATCAGTAGAGCTTCGAATGACCGGTCGGACATGGCAACCAGCCTGAGAATATGAGATCCTGCATCCGCAGGTTCAACGTTTCACGTTCAACTCCGGACCTACCCCTTGACAGTCTTGTCCGCGCAAGCAGTGCGGACCCTGCCGGATACGGATCCTAAGACCCATACGGCGACAGGAACACGGGGCAGAGCAGGGAGTTCAACCTGGCGAAGGTTTGTATTTACCATTCCATAACGTTGAATGCATTCCCCGCACTGTCCCCACGTACTGTACTGGGGATGTAGCGCATAGTTCGCTATAGTTCGGTTGGTGTTTGCGAATTCGTCCCGAGCATCTTCTGATCTGGAGGGCAAATGCATTCAAGACAGACGGCCAATTGTATTGATGTCCCTTAACGCATTTTCACCACGGAAGACGAACATGCTCATACTGTCGGCTGACTTGCTTCTGCAGTCTTTGTATATGTTAGACTGCCGCTATGAATGAAAACATGCGTTCAGCGCACCTCTTACGACATTCACACCTCAGACGGGAGAGACGGGAGAGGCACCATTCTGAAGACGAGTATGTGAGAGTCAAAAGCAATGTGATATGTACTACTGGAATGTAGGTGGGCTAGGCGTAGTGCTCTGATCGACGGTGGGCAACCATTCCTTGGGGAAGTCTCTGATAGATGGCCGGACATTCCTGCGGCCATAGACATGATCTCCCTTGGCCTCCTTACGTTTCTTCGCCTCGATGTGCCGCGTGTCAAGGGGAACGTCCACGAAACTGTCTTTCGTGTTCTGTCGAACGTACGTCAGCAACAGCGAGAATAGCGCAGACCGTGATGGCGACTCACATTTGCCTCCGTAAGCAGCCTGTCCAGCGCATCACTAGCCCATTTCAGGTTCTGGGCAGGCATGGGGAAGTCTTCGCAGGAAACGCTGAAGTAACCATGCTCCGGGCTCTCCTCGAGGGGTGAGATACCTGAGTTGACAGGCGGTTCCGGTGTCCAGCGAGAGCCGGTTAGGAGCTTGAATTTGTGTATCGCAGCCTCGTCTTTCAGAGGCAGACGAGCCACAGGGACGACGATGGTGCGCTTCAGACTCGCCGGGTGTTCTTCACCACCGTAGGCTATCGAGCGCACGACCAGAGGCGCGGAAGAACTTGGTGGCACAAACGGCTTGCGATACGCTTCGCTCGAGATATGAGCACTGGAAACGTAGACATGCGCGGACTACCTACCGACCAGGTTGGGCATCTCATGCTCAATGAGACGCCAGTAGTACAGCACGCGACGTTGCTGCTGCAGTCTGAGGTGCCCTGCTGAGCCCGTGTCCAGCGCGTCATATTGCTCGTTCTCCTCCAGCAAGCTGTCGTCTAGTGCCTCCAACCCCGGTAGACGAGCCCCTGCATTTTTGACGTCGGGCTGGCGCCGGAGGGCTACCGCGGCGGATGTGTGGAACTGGTCCATCCTGAGAGCAGGAAGACGACATGCCCTGCATGCCCTCTGGACGACGAGCATGGCGTGGTAAGAGCGAGACGCTGCGGAGGGCGAGGAGACGGTAGCGACAAGTCGGAATGGCAAAGCCAGCAGCGCGCAAACCCGCGCCTCGGTTAGATGCGCACATCTCAGATCTCGATCGCATTCACCGTCCATTGGGCGTCTCTTTCACGCGTCCACACTTGCTGAAGCACAACACCGTGAATCCAGTCGCCACCATGGTCGTGAGTCGCGACCGCCCCGATGCGTGCAGTGGACTGATGCGCAATAGCATCTCTTATTGTCCGTAAAGGCCGACCTCGAGAATGTCACCGATCTAGTCCCCGCCACACAATCTTCGAGTACTTCTTCCAAGTGAAGAGCTGCCAGTGTCCTCGGGTTACTGAACGTTCTTTAATCCCTAAACCCAGGTAAAATGCACAAGCTGCAACGAAGTGCACCCGAAGATGGTATCCGTAACAGCGTGGTACGCCCTGGCATCCTCGCGCCCTGTGCTAGCTCGCTCATCGGAAAGCTCCTGCTGCAGGAGGAACGCGAAGTAACATCCGGCAAGGGCAGCGTTGCGCATTTCGTCTGGCGATGTGGACTCTGCAAACGAGAGTCATCCGCCAAATTGAACCCGGCTTCAAACCACAGCCATATTCAGCGGACGCCAATGGCCAGTTCGCGCCTTTCTGACCATTGATTGTCGCGGCTTGGAGTTCGTCGGATTTGATCCCAGGGTGCGCATAAGCTTGATGAGGATCTGTCCGTCCCGATGGCTGACGGGGTGCCGTAGGGAACGTGGCGATGCGTAGGGGCAGAATCCGCTACTGTCTTTGACGAAGTGGACCTGGATGAAGGCGAGTGGGTCGATTACGATGAGAAGGTTGTCTCAATGATCTCTGCAACAATTCAATTTGTGCTCATCGTCTGAATCCATAGGCCGCGCTACCAGTTGGCATCTCCAATATAGAGAGCAAGTGGACGAGAGCGTGAACTTGTAGCAATGTCGTAAGATTACCAGTTGAGGTTGTACTGGCTGTTCATACGAAGCGTTGTACGGCGCCGCGAGGGAGCTCACAGCACCTTGCAGCAGGTCTCGCAAGTAGCTACATAACGGGCCTAACACGAACCAATCCTTTGCTCAGAGTATGGTACACATGCGTCCGACATACTAACAAACCCGCAACTGCAAGAGCGATACATGTGCGAAGTGATATGAGAGGTCTGATTAGGTCAAGTATCATGCTACATGTGTGAAACGAAACGGACGCGATTGAACGAGGGATGGGGGTAGGACATTGTGTTTCGAGGAGTGCTAGTATAAAGCATGCAACGGGTAGGGACAATGGGGATGCCTTGTCCAAAAGACGACAGAGAAAGAAAGTGGATATAGATGATGCTGCTGACGGGTAATACACACATGGGTTGCCCTATTGGAAACCCGGGAACTCCCAGCCCGGCTGGAGTTCGAGATATGGATGTTGCCGTAGTTCAGCTGCACTCGGCCGTAGGTTGGGGTCCCTGGGTCAAAGGTATAAGTTGACTGCAGTGACGACGGCGTTCAGAATGACTTACATAGCAAAGCAGCTCTGACGGAAGTCATCAGCTAGGGGAGACAGCGTGATGCTTTCAGGCAGAGGCGGGGCTACCCGGTTTTGATACAACTGGGCAGGAACATTGTCAGCACCGGAACTCGACGACAAGGGATCCCAACCTACGTGGAGCAAGACTGCCATCGCCTCTTGACCATTCCAAGGTCGCTGCCCTGTCCACATCTCGTACACGACACAGCCGACACTCCAGATATCCACCTTGGAGTTATACCCTCCCTTCTGGGAGTTAATAACTTCAGGAGCCATCCAAAACACCGTGCCCTGCATCGACGTGTAAGCTCCCGCCTGGTTGACGTCGTCTGTGCGCTTGGAGATGCCGAAATCAGAAATCTTGCAGATCCCGTTCGTCTCTACCAGAATATTGTCTGCTTTCAAATCCTATTCCATAGTCAGCGTATGTTGCGCAGCATGACATGATAATATACGCACTCGATGCAAGATGCCTTTACCGTGAAGGTATTCCAAGCCAGACAAGATTTGACCCATAAATGACTTCGTGACTTCCTCCTCGAACTTGCCGTATCTGCGTAGGCAGCTGGCGATAGATCCACCAGGAACGTACTCCAAAAAGCTACGGGCGTATCAATAAACGCAGACCAGCGAAAGACCAGCGGGACAACGCACATGCTCAAGAACGCTGGCGTCTCTTCGAATCCAAGATACTGCACAATATTCGGGTGATCTAAATCTTTCAGTGTCTCGCTCTCCAGCTTCAGGGCCTCTACGACGGTGACCTGCCGCGTGTCGCTTATGTCGCTGGCGGTTCTCGGTATCTCCACTTGCTTGACGGCGATCATTTCACCAGTCGTAGCGTTCAGTGCGAGATACACCTTGCCGTATGTGCCCTTCCCGATGAGTTCACCACGAATCCACCTGAAGATCGCTGCAAACTATTGCGTAAATATAACAAAATGATGCGAGAGACGGAGGTACATACGTCTGACAACACCTCCTGGTGACGCCTCCGAAGGGATAGGTGGCACTTCGGCTTCCGTGGTGACTTCCTCGACCTTGCTGCCCCACAATTTGGTGTTGCGCTTCCGCAGGGCGGCAGGAATGGAAGTCTCCATTCGCGATGCGCGTTTCTTGAGCTCCGCAGCCACCACTCGAATAGATTTCTTGTGCTTGTTGCGTTGCGGCGCCGGGATGGGGTTCTCAGTGGTGATAGGAGACGTGCCGCCTGAAGGCATCTCGATGACAGGCCGATCGAGGTCATGCGCGGGGAAGAAGACATCCATACGCTCGAGGACAGCTTCCGGTGGAGGACGAGGAGCCCATTCAACATTGTCGTCAAAGGTGCTTCTGCGAATGTCCTTGTTGCCACTTGTGTCGACATGCGGGTATGGCCGTCGTGAAGTCTGCGTAGGGAATGGAGGTGGATGGTGATCGGGCGGTGCTGGGAAGTTCGCTGGAGGAGTCCTGGATGTGTCGTAGTTCCCGGGAGGTGACGGCACATCAGCCGTAGGCGGAGGCTTCTGAACATTCCCCGGGTTCATGAAGAAATCACCCTCATCACTGTCCGACTCCGAGGATGTCAATGAACGGTTGGCGGCGCGACGCATGGAAGACCTCATGATCTTAGAAGGCTTGACAGTGCCATCCTCGCTGTCGTTAACCAACTTCGCCCACACCTCCCTTTCGGCCCGAAGTACGGTGGACTCAGATGTAGTCCTGTCTCCTGGCATACCACGATCCACAGCCGGTCTCGGATACAGCTCGGGACTATGATGCGAGTTATAAGGACCGTAAGGGCTGCGTGGAGGCGTGGGCCTCATGGAAGGTGTCGGTCTTTCGCGAGGAGAAGTCGCGAGGAACGCATCTTCGCGGGCTACCGTGCCACTTGGAGAGGTCATGAGATGAGGAGGAATATGCGGAGGTCGGCCAGGACGAGCAGTCGAGCGATCATCGTTAGGACTGACCATCGTGGGATGGTTCGACAAATTTCCTCGATCCTGCGCGGAGCGCGGTCGAGGGAAAGGCTCCGTGGCAGGCGGCGAGGTAGGCGTCAAGTGCGATGTAGACGCGCCCGGAGTGTTGCCGTAGGGAGGAGACGTGACGGTACGAGTCGAGGGAGTAGCAGGCGACATTCCTCCACGGCGTAGGTCATGCATCCGTCGACTTAAATCGCGGTCGACATCAGCGTACGTAGCAGAGCCTAGCTCCCCTGATGTCGAAGGGCGACTGCTCGTCGAAGGTAGCGGGGGCTGAGGATGGATCTTTCCGTGTCGTGTACCGGGCATAAGACTAGGAGGAACCTGTTGTGCCGCAACTCTCAGGTTGGGATGACTTTTCATGCCCAACAAGCGTGGAGCAGTCCTCGGAGTGTCGTAGGTCCCACTAACGAGATAACTCTTTGGGATCGGAACCTGCGACTTGTTCTTCTTCTTCCCCTTATGGTCGTTCATCCCACCTGGCACGAGAGTGCGGGGTGGGAAGAAGGGAGAGTGGACACCGTTACCATGATGCGGAGGAGAGAGGCCGTCCTGAGGTGTACGTGGGCGAGCTTTCTTGGTAGACTCATCCTTGCGTCGCAGTCGCTCGTCGCGAGGATGCTCCCGCCGGGCATCGTTCCGCGATACTGGTGACTCGGAAGAATCATTTGCGTCCGAAGCCGCGACTTGTCTATGCCGGACGAGGGTAAAATCGTCTTGGTCGTGTGTCATAGACGGTGACCAACGTGATGAACTGTCATATCTTCCATGAGGGTACGAGGGATGAGAAGCGATCGACGAGTATTCGCTGCGTGGAGGTATGTCGGCTCGGACGATCGGCGACTCGGCACCTTGAGAAACCTTCTGCATTGGAGGATGGGCGAGGGGTGCGGTCGGTTTGCGCGCATCTCGATCGCCGTTGTTGAGATCGTCCGACACCGACGGTTCATAACCGGGATCCTCGGTGGGTACACGCTCGCTCGCAGATGACTGGCTCCCATGTCTTGACCTCGATCTCGGCCGTCGCGGTTTCGGAACCAAGTCGTGTTGAGGCAATGTCGGAGGCGGTATCGGATGATCCATAGACATGTCGGGGTCTTGTTCGTGTGGAGGTTCGTGCACGAACGCGGAAGAGTGCGAGACAAGCAGCTTCAACGTCCCCGTCTCATCGCCTTGCTGACGACAGAGGTTGAACAACTCTTCATCTGTCAGGGCATCACCGATGGCAAATTTTGACACCTCAGTACGATAAATTGAATAATTCGGTTGTGCTTCATCAGACACCTGCAACTACAACAGACAGATGGTGAGCAGCGTGGTTTGGGAACGACACTATCTTGTGCGCATACCTTGGCGAAAATCCTTTCACGAATGAAAGGACCAGTCATTGCACCACTGGCATCGACAATTATGAACTCCTCGGTGTTCGTGGTGACAAGCAAGGCAACCTTCTCAATAGGCTTCTCCGCGACCTTCGGGAAATGATGGGGCATATAAAAACTAGGCGCAGAAGTACCCGGTTGAAATGGCGGGTGCGCAGAGTAGGAATCAGAAGCACTGCTGGTTGGCTGGACTTGTGAGTGGGGCGTGTATGCGTCGGGGGTTGAGCTAGTTGGCGACTAATGGAGAGCTCAGTCAACGATTCAAAGGGAGATGAGAGATGCTAAGACGTACACTGGACGGCCTGCTATTCTGCGAAGATCTACGAACATGAGGTCGTCGCGAGAAGGGCGATTTGAAGGCATCCACGATTTGCGCCGAGCGCTGACATACCGCGTCGTTGCGGTCTGAAGGGAGTGCGACCATCTCCGGCCTGAGGGTGCCCTCGCCCAACAGATCTATGGGAGGTGCACTCTGTCCCGGTGTGCTGGGGGTGGTGTCGACTCGACGGCGGGTGAACTGGTGCTCGAAGGGGACGACAGGGCCGGATTCGATGGGGTTGACTGATAGCCTCTCCCCTGGTCTGGAATGTCGGTGGTGAGCGGCGGAGGGAGAGGCCCACGGCCCGTAGGCGGCTGCGGCCTTTCTACCGCTGCACCACGACCGGGACTGGGGAGAGGTCGGCGGCGGTAGTCAGGTTTGTGCGAGCTCGAGTTCTGTTTCGTCTCCTCCGACTCGCTGCTGGAATCGGGACCTGGGTTGTTGACGACCAGGATGCGCGGACGAGCAGGCTTGCGGCTCTTGCTGCTCACATTTGTGCTCGATCGTGTGTCGTCCGACATGATAGCAAACGAATGTTGAGGTGCGAATGCAGTGGTCGGAACAGGCTGCAGACCGAGGTGACGATACGGAAAGAAAGGAAGGGGCGTCGACAGAGACCAGCCCGAGACAATGGTGGGGCAGCCAGAGCGAGCTGCGAGGGGTCCTGATGGGTGAAGACGAGACAGACGAGGGAGAACAGAGCGTCGTCGAGCGGGACCACGAAGGCGACCGAGAAAGCGCGTTGCGCCCAGCGCCAGGCACCTCTGGAGCAACGGTGGCTGCTGACATAAGCATCGAAACCGAGGGGGCGTCTCGCCTCGGTCGACGGTCTCCCAATCAGGCAGGAGGCCCACCGCGCCGGACACGCTGCGTCCCACTGGCAGGTGCGTCCTCTGCGCGGCCCCTTCTGAACCTCTCTTCCGCCCTGGTGTCCGCGTCCTCCTCCCGGCGTGGCTGCGGCGTGCTGCGCCCCATTCATCGCCCTTCTATCTCGAATACACACGCCCGCCGTGCACCGTTCATATCTTCTAATCGGAGCCTCAAGGCCGGCCAAGTCCCGCCGCCATTCATCCTCCGCCACGGCCTGGCCAGCCGCCCCCATCTCCGAAGCAGCTCCTCTTTGCAGTCGACCACCCGAGCGCGCACACGTCTGCGATATGATTGTCGCGATGCAAGCCGTTTCAACCACGGACAACGTCGAACAACCGTTTCATCAATCCGCACGCATCGACGGCCGGGCGTCACTGCCCCGCGCTGGACGATTTCGACATGCAACGTGCCTTCTGGGACGAATGCGCCGAAGCCGGGGCGTCGACCACCCAAGCTAGTCAAGGATGGAAGGTTCGCGCGCCATTTCATCTCACCGGACAAGGACACACATTTCGATGCGAACGCGCTGGGCGCCTCCGTCCCAAGCACCGGGATCGCCCTCCACAAGTCAGCTGTGCAGCAGTAAAGTACATACACGAGAATACATGATCCGTCAACAAAGCAATAGAACCCCGTTTCAACTTCACTTCCCACCATATTGAAACGTACCCTCTCCGAGATCGAGCTGAGTGGTGCTTGTTGTTATCGAGTGCACATAGAATGCAAGAGAACACCGCACCTTGGGAAACTCTGCATGCTCGCCGAGCATGTTCTCTCCCCAGCACAGAAGTCGGAGAGGCCGACCAGTTTCGCCTCCTTGCCCTGGCTAGACTCTCGAGAATGGCGGAGTTACCTCGCCGGCAGTTTTCGTCCGTTGCGCCGGTGACAGAAGTTCACTGATCGCCGGAGGGGCCAATGGGGACGATTCAAAGCTAAAAGCGCCATGGTCGCTCGAGCTCGGACAGGAATCTGGGCTCTCTTCGCCCCTCGGAGCCAGTTCCTCTTGAGCGAATCGAAGTGCTTCTACCGTGTGACCTTCCTTAATGAACTCGATGAGCTTCTGCTGCTGTAGGCGGAAGTAGAGGGCCGGATTCGTGTCTAGAAGCTGTGAAGCGACTGTTATCAGCGATTTCCGTCGAGATAGGGTATGAGAGGACGGAAGATCATATTGAAGACTGAAGTTTTGGTGTATAGAGTATCATCACAGGCCCGAAGGCCTATGCGTGGTGCATGAAAGTTTAATCCTTTGCGACCCACTGGGGAAGCAGAACGAAGCAATGGCAGATGCTCACCTCCGGGTTGAGGTCGTTCACACGAGTGATCGCCTCGCTCACATCGCCTCGCTGCAATGCCTCACGAATATTCATGCGACTCTCGATGCTCTCGAAGTCCACCGGCGACTCCAATCCAGACTCGCGAGAAAACTCCTCCGCGCGTCTTGTAACCCTCGATGACGAGATAATCCATGACAAGGCGGTTCAAGTCACTGTCGAGCAAAAAATCAGTACATGTTTCATACCTCACTTGCGAAAAAGAGCATGGTGAAGGCATCAGATAATACATGCAATAACATTTATCTCATCTCATAGTTCAGAGAGATTCCCAATAGTTTGTTCATCCCATAGTCCTTCACCAACACGAACACGAACGGAAACTCACTGTTTGACACCCTGACATCGTGCAAACGTCGCTCCCATTCTCCTGCAGGATCTTCTGTGACGGCTGACAAGAATTAGCACAATCGACTCTAACGAGCAGGGACGAGTAACTGACCATAGGGGAAGCGGTGAGCAAGGGTACACAGATTTATGCAGGAAAAGCTCGTTTAGGGCAAGCCGTCTGGTGTAGTCATTGGCAGTGGCGCTTGTGATCGACCAATGGCATCCCTTTATAATGCGTCCAGACGAACGCTTGTCAACTATTGTATCTACATCGTACCCTCGCAGGATGCACGTAGCAGCATCTTTTGAACGCGGTGCGTGATCACACTGCAGTCACTGCAATGTACATGAATCCGATGTACATGAAGGTCCCTGAGAGTTGATGCATTGTTACGATCGCTCGAGCCTCGTGCATGCTATCGTGAACCAGCGACTACACAACGCCAAAAGGCGGCGCAACTCCTGGCTTCTAAACCAAGCATCTCAGATGTTCTGAGTAGGCTAGGTATCCTTCATTCAAGATTGCGCCGCTAATGACGGCTATCGGAGCCGACTTGTAATATCTGACAATCATGCCTTGGCGACAATGCCGCCAGACCGAATGATGTCGAGGAAATCGTCTTGACCCAGCGTTGCTGCAGTGATATGTGAGCCGTGCCATTCCGTTATACGAATGGGTAATGAGCATACACACTTTCTTTCCCTCTTCCGATGACATTGTCCTTCTCCTTACCCTTCTTCGCTACCTTCTTTTTGTCAAGGACAGGGGCAGGTAGTGTGGGCTTTCCTGAACCTCTCTGAGCTTTCACCTCTACAGCAGCAGTCGTAGATGCGGCCTGGGACTGTTGTATCGCGTTGAACAACTTTACAACTACATAGCATCCCAGGGTCAGAAGCTGGCTAGGCGAACGGAATGGTCAGACGCACCTCCTCTTTGAGCGACTTTCCGGAGTGCTCTCTCGCTTTCGCCACCCCATCCACCGATGACGTCCCTTATTCGTCCCTTCTCCTCCTTCTCCTTCTTCTCTACCTCCAGCACCTTCTTCCCCTTCGTCTCCAGTTTCTCGTCATTCCGTTTCCTCGCGATAGATGGCTTGAGAGACAGTGGCAACGCAGAGGGTGCATCGGTGCTCAGCAGTGTTTGCAGAGTTGCACCGAAGCGCGTCGCATCCGTAGCTCGGTGTTTGCGCTTCAAGGTCTTTTTCGACTTGGCCCACTTTGGCTCTCCAATTTCGTCGTCTGTATCAGGAGACGACCCAGCGTCGTTCTCGGAACCATCGGCTTCGGAGTCTGCCTCGTGCAAAGAGTCACTGCGATCGCCCGAGTTAGACTCTTCTGCGCCCGAGAATTCTTCCTCCGGGCGGGGCGTCAGTTTTCTGCGTTTTGTGGGAGGTGCAGCAGGAGCGCTGTGAGTGGCTTGTTTTGCCATGGGTGAGAGACTTGTGTCCGTGGGTGTGCAGCGAATGGGGAATGCAGGACTTGGTGCAAAGAGGATGGAGGGTATGGAGAAGGACAGTTGCCAGAAGCGGCAAGTGATCGACTGGTAAACTGCAAGTACACACAGGCGCCCATATGGAGACCGCGCGCGGGGCTGACGACCACTCTCTGAGACGCGCTGCACCCCAAGGACCGTCCTCTGCCACCCTCTGGCCTTCGCAGCACACAGCCGGCTCACTGCGGTCGCGGCTGCCACGAAGAAGGGCACGGGAGTCTCTGCCTTTCCGCGGACAACGCACATCGACATATCCGATCTGCAGGTGTGCACGCTGTTGTCCGACCCTTCGCGCGTTTCTGCGGGTGAGCCGCGACAACTTGGCACGCGACGGTTCCGCACCCCTCCGAAGAAAACGCTACCAGGCATCAACTGTCCTAGCAAGTAATTCAGTGACAGGGTCAAGGTCGACTCGATGGCTTCGTCTTCAGTCTCGCCAGCCGATCTGACTGTGGAACCCGACCTGCAACCTCTCTTCCCGACGCCGGCCCAAATCGCTCATCTGCTTTCACCATATGTCAGCCTTTCCCCGCAGCAGAAGGCAGAGCTTGTCTCTCACTGCCTGATGCGTGCTTGTCAATTCGGTGACATGCTCATCATGTCGCACCTACTCACCGACCCGAACGCGCATCCGTTTGTGGACCTGGCGAAGAAAGAGGACGATGGACTGGGTTTGATCAGCACGACCATACTGGGTTTTGGCTCGGAATCCGAGAGGGAAATTGAGAGGGAGGAATGCGTCCGGCTGCTTGTATCAGAGGGTTGCGATGTGAACAGCGCAGACCAGGGTACGTAACTATCCAACTTACGCTTGTCGTTCGTTACATGCTCATGCACGCATCAGATGGCTGGACACCCTCCATTACGCGTCTCTCTTAGCACCCGCGACGCTGGTGACATACCTCTTGACACACGGTGCTTCCGCTTTCGCGCTAACGCGCAGACGGCTCACGGCCTTGGACATTGTCACTGCGCACTCTACTATGCCCGGCCGCGGAGATGTTGCACTGATTCTCAGGAGGCCATGCGCGGGGAGGGATGGAAAGGCGGGAGGATGGAGGAACAACGGCGGCTCCTGGAGAGGCGCGCTCGACGCATGGGCAAGCGGAAGGACGTTCAACTCGACATCGAGAAGGCATTAGGAATAACCCCGAGGTGGTGGGGCGACGAGCTCTCGGACCCCAACTTCGACTTCGACGAGGAGGACGAGGACGAGGCACCAGATGACACGGTTTTCGTGAGTCTTCTCAGAACATGCGATTCGCAGCGGCCTCAGATCAATCACAGACACCACCGCCGGACTACAACTCGATGCTTGTGTTCTCTCCAATGTCGCTTCCTGACATCTTCCAATCACTCATAACTGACTTCGAACCGTCACTGCGGAACGCGGAACCAGCCAACGCTCTATACCTGCTTGTGCGCTTTGCCTGCATTAATTGTGATCACAACTGGCTCGAGGATCTCATTCTCGGAGCGTGCGACGCTATTGAAGAGACATTCTTCGTGAGTGTCGCCAACGATGCTCAACTACAATACACTGACGCACGGACAGAATCGAGCGGACGATGCCACCACGTTGATCTTCTGGCTGTATAATACCACTGTGTGGCTTCATCTGATGCGCTGCGACAGTGCCATCAACGAGACGCTAGAAATGCTAGGTTCCTTCACGCTGATAGAAGAGATACTCAATTCTGATTTCGGTAAGCTCGGCCTTGATGTTGCTGTGTGTCACACTTTCTGACACGCAGTACAGTTTTATCATCCGACTTGCTGAGAGAAGGATCGACCAGCTGCTAGACGCCGCGTTGCTAGACTATACCCGCTCTCTAAAGAATTCGAGTCCGTGGAATTCGAGTCGGAATGGTCCTTCCTCCGTACGTTCGGCGGTGGCAAGAAGAAGACTCCCGCCGCGAATGGTGGCTCGCAGAAGAATGGCGCACCGAGCACTCCCAAAATCGGCAGCAGGCCGCCGTCACCTAACCCGCCGGCATCCGCGTCGCCCACGAATCAGCGTAGCTTCGCGTCGTTGCGGCAGACCTTCGCCCGCACGCGTGCTCCTTCCACCACTCCTCTGCAGTCGATTTTCACCGACCCCGCTGCAGCCCCTCCGCCACCTTCGCCCAAGGACATCACATCCTTTATCACTGCGCTACACACCCTCCTCACACTGTCCGGAATCAATCCAGCATCATCATTCAGTTGTGGTCCCAGGTGATGTATTGGACAGCATGTATGACGCCAATTCTTGTGCGCGTGTTTTTTGGGCTGACGTCGGGTCAGGTGAGACCTTCAACAGGGTTTCGACGCGGAAGAAGTATCTATGCCGGTACGTCGTCACGATCTGCGGTCTATGAAAGACTATCTGACCCTGTGCATGTAGATCCAGAGCGGTCCAGATCAGCATGAACCTTAGCGTTCTGGAAGAGTGGATCGGCGAGATGCAGCTCCGCGTGGCATTGGTTCGCACTTCGCCCCTGTGAAGGACCTGTTGACGTGGTTGCAGGTAATGGCGTCTGCATCTTGTGGGGATCACGGCAGATACTGATAGCGAAGCAGAGCTTGTCGTCAATAACGGAGTTCCCGAACCTAATCGCTACCATACAGACGTTGCGGAACTTGAATCCACTTCAGGTTCGACTGTTCACATTTACGTTCACTTTACAAATTCTGACCACTGTTACAGATGCGCCGTGCAGTCCGTGACTACCGGTATGAGGTCAATGAACCCGGATGACCGATGAGTGCAACCAGTACCTCGCGCAACTGCAGAAGGACTGGGAGCGACATCGAATCAAGCTGGGCGTCGAGGCTCTCCGGAAAGAGGTACGGCCTACTGTAATCGGCGAAGGCAGATCGTATAACTGACGGCGACCCAGCAGATTGGCGAGCGGGAACGTGATCGGGAAGAGGGTCTGAGCGTCTCGCCGTCGCTCCACGACGTGCCTATTGGCGATGGCAGACAGTCTCCGTGTCGTCCCAAGAGACCTCGACCGCTCAGCGAACATCGACGCGCTCTTCGACCGGACATGGGAAAAGTCTCTGGGAGCCTGCCAGAGCCCCCGACCTCTGGGCGAACTCCTCGACTCTAGATACATGTTGCCTCTGCTCTTTCCGTCGGACCCCAAGATGCTCGGTGCTCTTCCCGCCAACCGGACGACGCCGGACGACGAGAAACGTCACAGCAACCGCCTGAGCCAGGACTCCACTGCAAGCCGGCCAGCTTTGGGACCCGCGGAGCGATGGTCTGGCGGCTAAAGAGCAAGAAACTGCGCGACGTGAGCGCAATCACCCTACAATGGGTGGATGGCTCCAGAGCCGCTCGACGGTGGACAAGACCGGCCGAGATTGAGGAAGAGGAGGAATGGGAAGAGCTGCCGCCTTACCCTACTGCGGACGCTCAGTCTCCGGACGCGTTGAGGGTGGAAACTCACTTCACCCCGCTTACAAGAAAGCCGTCCGCCCGCAGCAGGGGGCGAGGAAGCAGTGCGGTAGAGGAGGTGCCGACACCCGCCGCCGAAGAAGACCAACCCGCCGAAGAGGACCAACCTGAACCTGTATAATGGACACTGCTTTCTGCTCATTGTCTGTACTCTGCATTGCTTTGGATCCTATCTGTAGTGCTCGCCATCTCATGCAACTCGTCTATTTATGGCTACCAACATAATTACCCACCGTCGATAGATTATATATCCCCTGAGCCTCCTCGCGGCCGCTGCGTGCACTGGTAGTATAGGACCGCGGCTGGGCAAAGGCACGCCGACGTAAATGACTTACCTGCGAGCAACGAAGTGGCGTCGGAAGAATATCAATCGAAATAGATCTGGATCACGGCCGTATTGGAACTCAGCGGCACTGCACAGGTCGTGCGGCCAGTCGCCCGCGTTTCTGTGTCTTGAGTCTTGCCCAGCGCAGAGTTGCTGCGCAAACGCCACGGTACTGCCTGCCTCTCCTTACCCTACTCAACTGTTTTACTTTCTCCCTTATTGCCCCAGTTCCACGACCAGTCATGATCATTGAAGACATGGCGTCTTCCCAGACGGCCCTACACGACCCCCCAGAGTACACAAGCGACACCAAGCCCGGTCTGCAACGCGGCCACAGCTACAGCCTGTCCACCGCGAAGCTATTGCCAGACGAGGGAACAGGTCACAAAGAGGCAGAGCCGTCCGACGTGGCCTATGACACGTCGTACAAGCAACCGTATGCCGACGAAGCATACAACCCCTCATACAGGCCCGCTTTCCCGGAGGCGGACTACGCATATCATCCGGAAGCCTACCCTGCGGACGCTGCTGAGAACAAGCAAGAGATGGTGTACGCAAAGACACCAGAGCAGTATGGTATGCGGAATTATGAGAACATGGGTATGTTGCTTTTGGTTCCGCGTTGCCCGGTCGATGTCACGGTGCATTTTGGATGTAGGCTACGACGAACCGTTCTCCAAACGTCCGCGAGAGCGTCCGAACTTCGTGAAGCGATTCTTTGGGCTCTACCCTCTCGAGGACAGAATCGCTGATAAGAAGGCCGGCGTTGGTGTTCAGAGGCGACCATATATCGGTATGTTCCTTGTACTCGTAGTCAATTGGGTCACGGTTCACACGGGCTGCAGTCTGGCTCCTTTCATTGATCATGCTCGCTGTGCTCATATACGAGCTTGTGGTAAACCAGAAAGCTCAAGGCACGCCAGTGTCATTCCACGTATGTATACGGTCGATTATAATGAACTCATCGACTCATGTGACCCAGCCAACGGTCAACCCGATGTTGGGTCCGTCAGAAAGTGCGCTGATCAACGTCGGAGCGCGTTTCCCTGCCTGTATGAAGGATGTTACCTCGATACCACTGACCACAGAGTTCGCATGTGCGTAAGAGCTCGCTCCAAAATTTGCCGTGTTGATAACACCGCTTCAGGCCTGAATGACACGGCGAACCCGATCACCGAGGCATGTCCGCTGAGACCATCTGTGGTTTCGGCGGCTTCCACGACCAAACCCCGAATCAATGGTTCCGGTCAGTAATTCGATTCCCTTCACATGCCGCGGTCTGATCGAGACTACGGATAGTTTTATCACGCCCGTATTCCTGCACGCCGGAATCGTGCACTTCTTGCTGAACATGTTGGCGCAGTTGATAGTTTCTGCTCAGGTGCGCCTCAACATTGGCCTGATATCACTAGACATCGTGACTGATCGTTCGGTAGGTCGAGCGAGAGATGGGCTCCCCCTTCTTCCTCATTCTGTACATGGCTGCAGGAATTTTCGGGTCAGTGAAATAATGACGTCAGTGACGGTCTCAGATGTGACACAACTATACAGCAACGTCCTCGGAGGAAATTTCGCCCTTGTTGGTGTTCCATCCGTCGGTGCCAGTGGTGCCATCTTTGGTACGACTGCTGTAAGTCCTTATCCTAGACGATCCCGGGATCAGCTCACACCTCTATCAAGGTCGCATGGATCGATCTGTTCGCGCACTGGCGGTATCAATATCAACCAGGAAGGAAGGTATGGTTGCTTGTGTAGGCATTGTTTACCTTCGTTTCATTGATGACTTGTATAGCTTGCCTGGATGGTCGTGGAGTTGATCATCGGTATCGCTCTAGGTTTCATCCCATGTACGTGCCATCGATACTTCATGGAATGTCATTCACTGACTTGTTTTTGATCAGATGTCGACAACTTCGGTAACTACTGACCTTTCTATGTTGCAAGTGGCCGACGCTAATGGACTTCGTAGCGCATCTTGGGGGACTGCTCATGGGCTTATTGGTCGGGATGGCATTCTACCCTATCATCAGCCCGTCGGTCAGGCATCGATCGATCGTTCTCGGTCTTCGGTTGGGCGCGGTAGCCTTGGCCCTTGTTCTCTACATCGTACTCACCCGCAACTTCTACACCTCGAATCCATACGCAGGTATGCAGCACGTCTCGTGTAACTGCCACAGTGACTCATGGGATGATGTGCATCGCAGCTTGTTCATGGTGTCGCTACCTGTCATGTATCCCGACATCCTCGAACAACTACTGCAAAGGGTACGTTGGCGTCCATCTTGCCTCGTCGGAACCCTCACTCAGCGCTCGATTCATCAGGACTGGGCTGTCCACCTCTTCGTCAGCAATCTAAAGTGAGTGTCGCGTGCACAAGTTTACGTTCACCCATTTGTCGTGTCGGAGCTGGCCACCACGATGTCTCATAGATACCAATGTCACTACTGATCGGACTACGCTCGGAACGCACGGACAATTATTTAATGTTCGACCCTGTACCTATGCTTGCACTCCTTCACTGTCACAATGCTACTAGCGCTGTCGGACGCTTCGACCTCTGTACTTCGCTTGTGAACGTCTGAACGGTCGAGTGGGGCAATTGACATACCATGATGTGCGTGGCGAGTGAATGGGGTGGTGGTGCTGATCTACGAGGCTCTGTTCTCCGAGTCTCCATGGGGCCCTTCCGCGTGTAATTGTCCCGTCTCCACGCGCATAGACTCGGAAGGCAAGGGATGTGCAAATCGGTACCCCTGGAGCTCTGGAGCCTGCCGCGTGTTGCTCACGACTGCGTACTGTTGGTAGCCAGGATTCGGTGACGTCGATGTACGTACGTCCGAAATGAACGCAGGTCGCCGGAATACTCGGTCGCAACGTCCAACGGCGAGCGGATACATTCCACGCTAGGCCGAGCCTCGATGAAACAAAACGGTCGAGACCAGAAAGGGTCCCAAACCTAAGATTGACGCAAGCTGACAGTGACAGGACGGCTTTCCGCGGACGGGTCACGCTGCAACATGAAAAGCTTCTTTTTGATCTGGCGGCTGCCCTGACAGACCATTGCGAATTGTGTGTAGGCGGCGTGAGGCCCAATGTACGCCCGATTTACGTGGCGTCGATGTTCGCCCCAGCGCTGAGCTGGAGACTTTGCGGGGTTTGCGCACGAGGCTCCCCCTTAATGTGTCGGTGGCAAGACGGTGTTCAGTACCTAGTTCAGCGTAAATCCCGATCACCAAAGGTCCGCATGAGTCATAGCCAGAGATACGAGCGTGAGACCACAGGGAAAGTTGCGTACGAGTCTCTGGCGCCTTTAGAGGGCACAGACACCATGGCTTGCTGGGCGTATTAGCTGGTTTATGCCGCACGCCGAGATTTATAAGGCAAGTACGAAGAGGAGGCAAGGTCCGGTACTATGATAGCATATTATCCCTGAGTACAAGCGCACTGAACGTGCAGAGATGCGCTAAGGGTCCGCAACGTGTGAGGGTGCATCGGAGGTAGGACTTTCAGGGAATACAGGCTCGGGTTCATACTCGTCCTGAAGCACGGCATCTTGCCTGGAAATGACGCATCGAGAGGTTGCGGCCTCGCTCCAGAGTCCTTGGTATTGCTCCGGCCGCTGGCGAAGTCCATGACGGGCGTAGGTAGTGCGTGAAATGTGGTCAAGGCATGGGATAGTCGTCAAGCTATGCAACGAGGGGCGTTCCTGAGTGCAACTTCGACGCCAATGGAGGGACTGCGTACTAACCTTGCCCATAATCCCATCTATCGCCGCGCGCCGCCCCCTGAACGTCTCAGCAAGGGTGGCGAACTCTGCATCGCGCGCGGCGTTGCGCTGCTCCTCCGCCTCGCCCGGATCGTCCCACTCTTCTGTCGCACGCCTCGTCGCACCCGCAGCACGTCTCGCGCTCCGAGCATCGCTCGACCCGATGCCTTCCATTTGCAGGTGCATCCCCGCAATTTCACTCTGCAGTTCGCGAATGCGCGACAGGTGGGCCCAGAGCTCATCTCGTGTGTGGCCAAGTCAGCGTCCGACATTGCTTGGCTGCCCCCCTGGTCGTGCACGGGCGATGTCATTACGCCAGCGAGGGCGCCAGTGAAGGGTTCATAGACGGATCGTGTGCAGAGTTGGACTGGCGGACGTCGAGCGCAGCCCTGCAGCCTGAGAGGCGTGGCCGTGCGCTCGGAACGATAGAAGGAGCTCGTGGTTCCGTCTATGCTTATCTTCGGCAGTCCTGCCTAGGACCATCCGCAGGCGCCGGGCTTTCCTCGCTCGTGCTGTCTCGCCGACCTAGCAGCTCGGACAGAACAGCGTCATGGGGCGTCGAGAGCGGTGCCGTGACTGCGCGTTCCAGCGAAGGCCCGCATCGGTTGAATCTTCAGCATTACCGCGTTGTGAGGAACGCGGGCGGTCGTCGGGAGATGCTGGAGTGGGGGGAGGGGGCCTGCGGGAGGGTCGCCAGGATGCAAGCATGCGTTCGAGGACAACTGCCAATTATGGATAATTGATGCGAGGTGCGCTGCAGTGGCGCGGAGGCTTTAGTGGACGTCCATCTGGCAAATACCTCCGCCAGGCCACGCACCATGGGCATATTCGGCATGGTGCAAGTCACACTTTGTTGCACACGAATTCGCTGCTACCATCGTTGCGAACACTTAAACGACCAACTGGACGCGACTCGCAACGAGCAGCGACTTCCTCAGGCTGTCGGGCGGGCCCAACTTCGATCATTTGCGCCCCACTGCGGCGGCCGTGCTTCTGTAAAATATTGCCGAGTTCCCTTGCCTCGTCTACCGGGGGACAATTGATAGAACGGCTGGGCTTTGACGTCACCTATGCGCGGTCAAGCCTGTCTGTGTTGATCAGTGCCCGTTCGGCAGAGCCTCTTTTTTAGTGGATACCTCTGACAGAACTCACGTAACTTGACCAGCTGCTGTACACGATGGACCCCGGTATGATGTACAATGCGGACGCGGTCAGAGTGGGAGATGAGGGGGTGAAATTTGGGCGAACACTTGAGTCACCGACGTCCTCGCATAGTAGCCCGGGACCGTATTATTAGGCAGGCAACCAAGTTCAGGCCTTCGATGCCAATGCACAGCGTGGTAGGTTACACCAAACGACGTAGGACCATGTGGCGCCGGCACCCCTTTGAAATCCAACACGCTTCACTGATGCATTTTCAGGAAGACTATACATTCCAAGAATCAAGAATACAGTACGTATTATGCGCTAGACTAGTGTGCTTTATGCTGCTGAGGTCAGGGAGCGGTGAGTCGGCGTAAGTGGAACTATGAAAGGAAGGATAAGGATATATACATAAGTCTATCAGCGGTCCAGATCTTTTCGGCCTCTGCATCTAATCAGCACGGACGGCACCCCATCATATCTGGGCGCGCGGACGGGCAGACGTATCTTCACGTAAAGCACCGAGAGAATGGGACGGCGGCAGTGCGCAAGGCCACTGCCCTTTCGACACGCCGCTTTCCCATTCGGCACCATGCGAGCGGTACAGATCCACACCGCGCGTGCGTTCTCGAGCTGAAAATCGTACCGACGTCAGCACACGGTGTAAACGCTATCGGGAATGAGGGGATACTCACAGCATCTATCTTACCGTCCTGGACGCGGCGGCGCATGAGATGCCACATGAGGGTTTGCAGACCAATCACCTGGTTGGCCGACCCGCGGAGCGCGTTCTTGAACGGTTGGTAGAGCGCCACGTCGCGCGTGTTAACCGCGGATGTGGTATTCCGAGTACTGACCACAGAAAGACACGAGTCAGAGACAGCTCCGGAGTGGCAAGTCCCGGACGGGCGCGAGCCTATTATGATGACCATACCGGAAAGATCCAGCCAGAGGGAGTGGCCGACGATTACTTTGCCTTTAATAACGCGCGCAACGTTCTGTTGGACTTCTAGGAACGCCTTGGCGCCATTAGCTGCACACCAATAAGTTAGCGACCATGTATAAAGGGAGAGTCATGTCTTCAGCGTCCACCAGCGGACTACATACCCGGATCCAAGTGCCCGGGCTCTATGCCCGTAGTGCCTGTGCGATAGTCAGACACCTGGGTGGTCGGCTGCACATAAGTGTCATACACCGTCTGTCCTTCATAATTAACGATGGAAACTCGTCTGCAAGGTGCGTTAGTCTTCGGTTGATGTCAAGGCTATGAATTAGAGGACGCACGCTACCATGGAGGTGCCGCCGCCAGGACCGCATCCGACACAAGTGCATGAGATACCGACAATCTGCTCTGGAGTAGGCATTGGGAACTTGGCGGACATAAGCTGCGTAGAGAAAAAAGCGGCAGCGGGTACGCTCTGGACCTACGGGCATTTTCCGCAGCTTAAAAACCGGCTCTGCATTACATGTCACCCCATTTCTGCAACTCGTGAATCGACTCTGCATGTCATCCGTAGAGAGGCAGAGCCAACCTTGACACGTACTGTTCTAAGGTGAGGAAGTGAATATATTTTGAGCGGATACCGAACCCCGAAGTAAACGGTTTGGGCATGCTGCCGCAACAATGAATGATGCAGGAGCAGAGAGCCGAGTGTCGCGGGCCTTCGAGACGGCCATCAATTCTTTGGAAGAGCCCGACAATACGTTGGGGTGTGGAACAACACACCAGCCATCGTGGTTGGAGCGGACGAGGAGGTAATGGTGGATCTGGGATCAACGAGAAGATTGCGCCACCGAATCTGAGTGCGAGATTCCCCTACTGCACGTCATCTGGGTGCGGACAGTGATGAGATAGCATTGGGCAGGGATCTCGAGTCGGCTACCTCGGGGTCAATAGTTGACAGCCTGAGCAATGCACCAGATTTGTTGCAGCAAAATGATCGTCTTCGAGCAATCTATCGCGCCCGAGTTGCTGGGCAGAAGCGTCAAGAAACCGCACTGTGCTGTGATATATAACGAGATCAGTAGGCTTCCTGCGGTGAGTCGCCTACCTGCTCTCGTCTGAGATCGCCCTCGTCTGGCACGGTGGTCCTGTGTGCGTCGGTGGCCTTTATACTCTGCAGCAGCTCATGAAGGGCGCACCGGTGTATACCGGTTGGCGCTGTCACTTTCGGTCAATTACTGGAGTGTCCCTGCATGGAGCCTGCTCATCATTCAGTAACATTAGTGGCGCTGCATTGAGCAGATTCAGATCGGCGGCACCAAGGTTCGGAGGACCGGAGGCGAACCCATCTTGACTAGGACTACGAAGGCCTCGTAGGCGCCTAGCAGTTACGTTGCATCTTATCCGCTTCAGTGCACTATGTGCTCGGTCTGGACGCAGCGCACCGTGTTTGCGTTGAACACGCCAATCGCAATGGCGCACCCTAGCACTGGCTCCATCCAAGTCCTTCGGGGTCTAGGCATGGAACGTGCGCTACGCGCAGACAGCAAAGATGCGGAGAACATAGCGAGAGTTGCGGCCATGTCAGCTAATCGACCTGCAGGCTCGGCCGCAGTGCCCGTTCTTCCAAGTCAGAACTCACAACTGTGGCTTCTTCCGCGCTGCAGCGAATATACATCGACCGTCGTACGTAGATCAAGCGATTCGTGTAGACAGACACCACTGTCTGCCCGCGCCTCCACGACGTAACGCAACGGCTTTGCGGTATAGGGGGACTGTGCCAATCTTTGGAGGGACTGATAATGTACACGTGAGGTGCCGCCTATACGCGCCCGTCTGCTACCCTCGCCAGCGCCCCAAGGATTAACGTTCTCCTTCGGCATCCTCGTGCGAGACCCCTACTCATTCGGCTGGTGTTTTGCGTAAAGGCTTCCCATGTGTTCGCCGGCAGCATACGGTGACACCCGAAGATGATCGACGCATGAAGGGTCGCCAGGGCTGCGAGTGTGACGCGCTCGGGGCCACACTCGTCCTTCGCCTTGAATCGAAGGAGGTCGTTGGAGCGCATAGCAAGGCCAGGCCTATGGTCCCCGAGAAGCCCGCCGCCGCTGTAACGTCTTGCGTCGCAGCCGCCGCCGTAATAATTGCCACTTCCACCGTTCAACGTTCCTGCGACGGAAGATGAACGGAGCTGGGGCGGGCAGCTTGCGAACACGTGCCGGGCGGGAAGTCACCTCTTCCTCAGTAGATAGCTCCCTGCGCGCCAGTTCCACGACTTTCTGCGCGCGCGCAACAGTAGCCGCCCTGGATAACTGGCCTTGCTGGCAGAGGAGCACCGCGACACGCCGCCGAACCCTCTCGTCCACGATGCTCCGACCCCATCGGTGGACAAACGTCTTCACCAGCTCTTCCGCTGCAGAACCACCCCCACGCGTTCTCAGCAACGGCCGCATGAGCAAGTAGAGCGTGGTCGCATTCGGTCGCAAGCCGTGGTGCATGCTTAGAAATTGATATACAAGCCTCCTCAGCGCGAAGTGCCCCTTCAGGCCACGCGGCGAGGATGGTGTTAGGTGCAGGTGGATGATGGCAAGACACCGATCATGCAGGCTCGGCTCCAAGCGATCGGGCAATTCGAGGAAGAAAGACTCCGTGACCTTGAAAGCAAGCTCGAGTTGGTCCATGAGGATCAAGTTCCCTACGGTATTGTAGACGACCGCAGTCGGGACTCTCGCCATCTCGTGAGGCGTAAGCGTGGGCATACCCTGCATGAGACGTCGGTACCTGCTCTGCAGCGTGCCACGGTCTACAGGCTTTACGGGCTTGAGCGCGTATTCCTCCAGGTCGTCGTTGAGCCGCCACTTCCGTATCGCGCCTCTCTTCTCGGTGCCGAAGAATTCCACCCAGACAGCGAGCGGCAAAGGTTTGTCTTGTTCGCGTGCCAGACCCGTTTGCTCTGCCCACGCCCGCTCCCAACCCTCTTCCAGCCTGACCAAGAACCGCACACGAAGCTGGCGGGTGAGCAGGTCCGGGGAGATAGCTTCCTTCTCCATTTGGATGAACAGCGACTCTGCCGTCTTGCGACGCGCCATGCGTATAGCGAGACGGAGCAGGACGTTGAAGGTCTCGGTCGAATGATGTTGGCGGAATCTGGCATGATATCGTATGAGCCATTCCAAAGACGGCGGCGGGCTGAGGCTCTGAAAGTGGTCGAGTTTGCGGTGGAGGTCCTCGGACGAAGTTGGCCAGGGTACGGAGGCATTGGGGGAATATACAAAGGGGCCGTAATGCACCACACACGGGCGCGATCGCGACGCGGACAGTGCCTCGGCGATCTCGGGCCATGGAGGGTCGGTCTCGTATGAATTGAGGTCCCGTCCCAGATCGAGCGCAAACAGCTCCCGCACTGGAAGGGAGTCAACATGGACGTCGGTGACAGGTATACTCCATGGATTGCGCCACACCAACGACCGTGGCGGTCGGCCCTTAGGATGCCTCGCATTCTCAGCGGTAGAGTCGACAACATCGGTAGATACATCCTGCTGTTGGGCGCCGTTACGCGAGGGGGATCCCAATTTTGCACGCTTTGGAGAGAACCGAGGGATGGGTCCACCATGTGTCATGATGTCGCTGGCAACACCATCATGCACAGCAAGCCTGGCAAGGAGCGGCGTGCTAGAGTTCACGAAGATTAGTTAGTGCCGTACATGCCCAAGAAAGTACAGTACGCACGACGGTCCAGCTTGTTCCGCGTCCTCGGCAAATGCATCGTCGTCTCTATGTACCTCTTGGCTATCTTGCCGCCGTGGTTCGGATGCAGTAGCATGTCCCCGCACAGATCCACGGAGCGGTGCGCGTGCTGGCCTCGTCCTGGACCACGCTCGACTAGCTGCTGCGAATAAGATGCTCGGAAAACTGGCCGAGAGGCTGGGCACGAGCGAGGCGGCATGATTGATCATGCATGGGGAGCCCAGCGCGGGAGACAGATAGGGCAGACACACTCTGGCGAACCCAGCGAGATTGACCTGGCACTGGACACGGAAAGCGAGCGAGCACTGGCACGGGAACGGTGGCGGAAATTTTGCCACGTGCTCCTCGCGACGCGACGCGCTCCTCACGCGCCGCTGCTCAGTGTGCGGCCCCGAAACCCGATGAGGCTGGCAAGCGCAAAAGGAGTTGACGAGAATCATGTATTCGAGACGACGTAATAGCTAGCCCTATTAACATAGCAAAATTCCAGACGAGGATGCAATGACGAGAGTACACGTGGGGATAAGCAAGGGAATCATTGAGCACCGGTCATAAGCGATCGTCAAATGAGCGTACAGGGATTGTAGACAGCGCGAAGGTGGTGAAGGAGAGTGGACAGATGCAATACCTACTTTGCATGAGCGACAGAATCTCAACATACTAGAGTCATCGGCAACAACTAGAGTTCCTGCATGGGCTGTCTGCCCACTAACCAACCGACCCGTAGTACCCAATGGTCGCGCAGCTGTTTCAGGATCTCTAAACCGTTTCCTTGCGCTTGTGCGAAGTCGTCGAGACACCTCTCCCACGTCCGCACAGTCTCCGAGCCAAACATCCCTCCTTCGCGATTGACCGCCTGGTCGACACGATCGAGCCAAGCTTTCCACTCCTCGATAAGACGCGGCAATATCATGGGCACAAGTGCCGACTGCGTGAGCGCTGGCTGATTGAGGACGTGTGCCGTAAGCGACGAGAGGAACAGGAAAGTCTCCGTTGGATGCGAACGGTCTTTGTGCTGGGACTGCAAAGCGGCCGCATGCGACTGCATGTTCGTCTTCGGCGAGGCGGACGCACTTGCTGTGGAGGGTGCGGCATTGGAAAAGTATGGTAGGTATGACTGGCATGCAGCCACAAAGTCGTTGATGTGTGGGCGGAGACGAGACAGTATGTACTCGTCCCGCATGCCACCTGATTGGCCGGATGCTGATTGTGAGCCGAAGGGAGATGTTGATGCGAGGCGAGGGAAGCTGAGGCCTGCGGCTGACTGTACGTTCGAGCGGTTGTTGCCAAATCCTCCTGAGCCGAAACCGAATGAGGTAGAAGGCCCGGGCTGGGAGAAAGGCGTATTCGAGTAGGGGTACGCGTCTCGCAGCTTGTTTGCCGCATGGTCAAGGGCCTGCGTGGCTGTCTCGAGCGTGGGTCGTGGAATCAGCGAGAGAACCGTCAACTTCAGAGATGGTTGCGCAGTCAGCAACGACGTGAGGAGTGGCAGTAGAGACTGAGGAGGAAGGCTCGCTGTGGATATCATTCGTGAGTACCGCCTCAGAACCACCTGCACAAAACGTACCTAGCAACACCCCTACATCCACGTCGCTCTCGTCGTTCGCTGAAGATGACCTAGTCGTCTTCGCATTCTTCTCGTCTTTTGCGCTCGTGATAGCAGGCGTGGTACGTGCACGTTTCGGCACGGCTCGCTTGAGGCGCTCTGGAGTAGGACTTCTGTCCATCTCATCATCCCTCGAGTGTCTGTTCTCGCTCTCTTCATCGGGCTCATGTCGTCTCTTCTGTACGCGGGGCGCGGCAGATTGTGTGCTAGTGGCGAGATTCCAGGGGGATTGCGGCGCATGGGTTGGCGTGGCCGCCCAGCCTGCGCTAACAGGTGCGGTGGAGAGCCCGAACCCGAAACCCAGAGGAGCGTGCGAGGGGTTGACGGGGCGAGGAAAGTCGACCTGCAGATGGGGATGGGTGACGACGTTGGCCATGGTTGTGGTCGGGAAGAGCAGGCCGAGCAGCCGCTCGAATCAGAGAGCTGAAAGGGACGATGCAAGCAAGTTCGCGCCAGGAAAGGCAGCGCCATCACGGCCAGAACTCGCCTGCCCTAATGGCAACACGTGACCGAGTCGCCACAGCGGCCTTTTCAGCGCGTCGTTCTGTCTTTTTTCCTGTCGTTGTCCCTCTTTCCTTTCCATCTCTTGCTCTCATGCTCGCCGTGTCTCATATCCTAGGATGCTTGCAGATGACAATTAGGTGAGTATCCCTTCTGCGACGCGTCTAGCAGTGACGAGAAAACATGAATCGCTACTTCGAAGCTCGCACACGGGCTGATGAACGTACATCATATACCCAAATTTCTGAGCTGCATTGGACGCATCATCTTTTCTGACGCTGACATTCATCCTGAACAGTGTACTTGCGACGCTTCGTCGCTCTGACTTCAACAGTGCCTGCTGCGGACGTGATCGGGGATGTTCATGGTGAGCCTCATTCCACTTCAAGTCTGAGTGATGAGTAGTTATAGAGTCAAGTCCTGATCCCGTCTAAAGGATGGGTGGTGACGAGTATTACCATGCTAATTCTGACGCCTCTGTTTCATGCGATGCTTTGATCGCATAGCTGACTTCGTCTTTGCCAGGTTGCATGGTCAGTAGTCGGTTTGACGCAATCGCATGCATGATTATACCAATGCTGCGTTCTTACTGAGGACATCAAGTATTTGATGTTCACTTGATGTTATGCATTATGTCTTCAACCAAATGATCCTTGCCTTCGTTGTACCGCGTTTGCATCAATCACTGACACTCTTCTCTCAGTTGTGTGGTCGAATCGTGTGGCGATAGGTAGTTCACCGTTGGAAATCAACCGGACATTAGGATTCTACTCCAATCTATTATACAGTACTGTGTATATAGCCGAATGTCATGATGCAATGAACGGTGTCCAAACATTCATGGGTGTGGCCACATTATGTTTAGCAACCACATCACAACTGCTGCTATTCCTACCTTCGTCTTCACTCCCGGTTTCCACTCTGTCTCTCCATACCACACCCTGAAGCCTGGAGTTGACGAACTTGATGGCGACGTGCTCTCCGCAAGTCGGTCGACCCACCGCCGTTGTGGACGCGAGGGCGTGTCTGCGCTCGGCGTCTCTTCGTCGTCCTTCGAGGGCCCTGCGTTTTGTTGGACGAGAAAGATCGTCTCGCCTTCGCTCGCAGGTGTACTGAGGTGGCTGCGGCGGCCAGACGTGGTGGCGTTTTCTGCGACTGTCGGGAGCGCCTGAGGCTTCGTCGTACCGCACACCCAGTTCGTGATTTCTCCTGTCGCTTGTGCAACGCGGTATGATACGTATACGAAAACGATTGTCGTGAGTACGAGGTTGACGGGGCGCCAACGCGTGCCGGGGATGACGAGCAGGACACCCTTGGTGTCCCCCGCAAGCCAGAGATGGTACTGGATGATGAACGTCTCCAGCGAACACGTCCCGATGAACGCGAACGTCCTCGACGATGCCGACCGCAAGATCACATTCGCATTCCTGAGCACGACGAACGCCCCGATAGGGAGGAACGAGATGTACGGGTGCCACAGGTTGTACGCGAACTTGTCCGGCTGGTACAGCTCGAATGCGAAGAACCACAGGAGGACGATGCCCGAGAGCCCAATGGCGCCTTTGACCACAAGTGGCCATTGAGGGTGGTCGGTCAGCCGGTGCTCGCGGATCTTGATCACCGCAAGCGAGGTCAGCATGCCGAAGTAAACGATCCACAGGTCGAGGTTGACGCGGAAGGCCCATTCGCGTGCGGACCAGTGGATCCCGCACGCGCGCGAGAGGAAGTCGAAGATAGATTCGAGGATCCATTGCTCGGACATGATCCAAGTAACGAGCCCCATGGAGAGCAGGATCTTGACAAGGACGAAGGCGGTGCGATCGTTGTATTGCGACCCGGCGAACATTGTGCCGTAGATGATCAGGAACCACCATGAGACGAGGGGCGCGAAATAGTAGAAGAGATAGTCGGTGTTCATGGTGTACGCAAGAAGGAGGGTGAGCAGGTTCAATCGAATCATGACCTGAGCGATTCGTAGAAATCCAAAGTCAGCCTTCTTGATGTAGAAAGATGTATGACCGTATCCCGTCATAAAGAGATATGACGCGACCAAAACGCGGATGACGTTGTAGATGCCAGATATCTTCGACGCGCCGGTATAATGGTAGATGAGGATAGCAACTGGACAGAACAACCATCAGCAGGCAGTAGTACGTCGATTTCGCGAGGACTAACTCTGCATCCAGCCTTTCCATTCGTCGGTCTGCTCTCGGTTAAGGAAGCCAAGGTCCTTGTCGGCCTGTTGCATGGTACACAGACCAACGGCAAGACTGAGAAGGGAGAGAAATGCGAACACCCATGGGCTGAACTGTTTCTGCTCCTTCAGCCAAATCCCGGTTCGATCAGCCAAGTATATCAGTGCGGCAGCCACGCTCAGAACGACAGCAGGCATCTCTTGGTCGCCGATGAATGGCTGTCCGTTTTGCCGTGGGGCTTCGGAAGCGTTAGTACTCGACCACGCTGACTTCGTTGACTGACTCACCGACTCTCCTCGCGAGCAATACACAAGCAGGGCCCCACAAAATCGCCACAGCCAGGATGAGCGAGTGTAGCGGGCTAGGCCATGGGTACCTTCTGCAGCACGTCTTATCCATCGGGAACTTCTTCGGCATCACATCATTGCACGCCAGGTTTAGCAGCACCTGCGCTTGCGTGCCCACCACCGCATTCGAGAAATGCAGCCCATCGTCCGTCTGGCTCGCGTCCAACATCGAGTTGAACACAAGGGGGAGCCCCACGTGTGGCCGCCCTCCTGCCGTTCCACTCACGGGCGGCGCTGGCAGGAGCGCGAATCCAGCGGGTGGTGGGGGTGGACGCGGTGTTTCAGATCCGAGTTCATCGCGTCGATATCTGCACCGCGCATTGTCTCCGCGCGCTCGCGCGACAGCTTCGCGGAGACGACGTCCGACACGGGGAGAAGGGCGACCGTGTCGGCGGGCTGTGTGTGGGCGCGGTTGAGCGCGCTCAGCGTGCTCTCGATCCTAGCCTCCCATGCAGGTAGTCCGCCCGACTCGCCGTAGCGAAGGTACCATAGCCCAGAGCCGAAGACGAGCAGGGCTGGGCGATCGGATGTGTCGGCGAGGGACGGTAGATTCGGTCCGCTTGGGGTGGAGTTGATGTAAGATTGAGCGTGTGAGGAGTTGAGATATGGGTCCCAGATGAAGGATAGATGCACAGCGGACGATGCTGCAGTGTAGGCGTAATCCGCGTGCTTGTGCTCGTCGTCTGGCGGGGTGGTGGGCAGACTGGCATCCAACGTATGCGCGAGCTGGAAGAAGAGCTGGCGGGTCACAGAGTCGCCGATGAACACGACGCGCCTGTTGCGCATGCATGTCGAGATGTCCTTGGGGCTGTAGGTGTGCATCATGCAACCTGCAGGCGTCAACACGAAGAACGTGATGAGGAGCACGGCGGCACAAGGATGTAGGTACGTACCTTCTGGTTGCCAGTTGTTGAACTTGTCATCTAACCATTGTCCTTCGGTCAAGAGCGCATCGCAATGCAATGGGTCAGCGCGGTCTGTACGCCCGATACGCGCGTGAGATCCCATCGTCAGTTACATTTGAAGAATGGTACGCACCGATGACGGCGTAGCGCACAAAGCCAAGCAGAAGTGCTAAAGCAAGAGATGCTATCGAGACATAATGTGACCACTGGGGGTTGATGGACAACGAGAATCGTCGTGGAGGCATTCCGAGCTCGAGTCGACCAGCCTCCAGTCACAAACCTGAGTGACGTGCAGCGGTTTCCAACGTCTGATGGCTAGCAAAGTGGCATGGGATTGAGCAGTGCAAAGGCAGGCTGCTAGAAAGGAACAGCACGAAGACAGTGAAGTCCGTCTGAAAGCTAACGAGGTCCGTGGTGGTGTGTAGACACAGCCCAGCGCCCTTGGAGCCGAGTCGGTACAGCAGCGGGGTTAAGCGCGCGATAACGCCGAGCTGCTGAGTCAGCCAGATCCAGATTACGCAAACCATGATCAATCCGCGTGGCGGCTGGGCGCTTGGCGGTTCGTCATTCAAGTGCAAGTACCTGGCAGTGTCGACGTTGGGATGGGCGTGGTTAATACATACTCAAGATTCAATTATTCAATCGCAGTACATACGCGGTTAGCACATACAGTACAACACCATTTCAACCCTCCGGTCCAACAGCGCGCAAGCAGACGACGGGTCTAACCGCCCAACAACCTCAGCGCAGTCCTCAGCTCCTTCCGGGCTTGCTCCGCATCCTCATAGTCCAGCGCCGAGACCGCAAACTTGCAATGCCTTTGCGCCCGCGCAATGACCACCGGGGTTAGCTCAACCGGGACCGCCGTCGCCGTGGTGTCCAAACCCGGCATTGGTGACATCGGGGCAATTGGCATCATAGGCGCACGCGCAATGGATACGATCGGAGCAGGCGGTGGGACGCTCGGGGGAGGGGAGTATGGAACCACGGGTCGGCCCGAAGGTACGACCGGCGCGTCTGGGGAAAGAGGGACTGGCGGGGGACGCGTGGATGAGTAAGTCGTAATTGACGGCGGCGGGACTGGGGACGCACTAGAAGATGGTTCACCATAAGGCGAAGATGGTTCACCATAAGGCGCAGATGGTTCCTCGGGTTCATCGACGGGTGCACTAGGCACGAAGCCTGGCGGGAGGTCTTCCATCGGAGGAGCACTCGGGTCGGGCTCGATCCGCTCGGGAACGAAGCCTGCCGGAAGACCTGTCTCCTGCGAATCTGCAGGTGGCGGTAGAGTACTGGGATTGGCAGGTGGAGAATCGCCGCCTGTCGCGGATGGGGAGAACCTCACTCCCATCCTACTCGGCACCTCCTCCACTGGTGTGATCTCGTCATCGGGCCTGCCCTCGAGCTCGCCGCTCACTGACACCTGCAGATTATTACGTGACGTTGCGGCGTCGAGAGGGCGCCCTGGCGTCCCAGGTGTGGCCGCCGTGCTCCATGCCAGACTTTGTGCGGAAGAGGATGCTCCTGGGAGTGTGTGTGCGAGTAGTTCATCCGGAACGTACGCCCGAGGGTCCTGTTGAAAGAATGCAACCTGTTGTGAAGCAGGGAGGTCGGTGATGGCTGGAGGCGGAGGCGTGGCACGAGTGAAGGAGGGCGCGTCGGCAGGAGGTGAAGCTGGGGCAGAAGCAGGTTCGGGCTCGGAGCCTGCGGGCCCCGGAGTGGGCTTACGACCCTCGCGGAATGCCTTTGCAATGTCTGCTGCTTTCCATTTCGCGTAGCGGATCTTGTCTTCAGTAGAATCGGGGGTGGGAGAGGCGGCGTCTGTCTTCTCTTTGTCGAATGTGCGGAGGATCTCGAGAAAGTTGGCGGCGGCAAGGAACTTCTTGGCTGTCCCACTGATTCACAAAGTGATATTTTGTGTGATGCAATGGGAGTGGGGGATGAGATGATGATGTCTTAGAAGACATTGAGCGAAGTGGGACAGAAAGATGGGAGGACGTACCGGGTTGCTGCTCCTCGCCTATCTTCATTGTCCGCCATTCCAAACACCTTCAGTGCAAAGTTCTCAACGTATGCGCTTGCAGCAAATTCATCGTGGACAGCATCGTTGTCTCCGATTTCAACCTTCAGGCGTTCAAGCGCGTCGAGGAGATTGAAGAGGTATTTTCGCGATGCGGGGGCTTTGGACTTGGAAGCAATACCAACTTGAGCCCCGTAGTATGCACCTAGATACTTCATCAGATTCAGAGCGCACACGAGCCAAAATGGCTATATACTCCAGTAGGACACGACTGGATCTTGCGAGAAGAGCTCTTCGGCCCGCTGGACATACGGGGTGACATTCTTGAGCTCTGGGGGGACAGCAGGTAGGTCCATGAAGGTCATGATGACAACCAGGTCGTCTGTATTGTCGTAGTGTGTAGATGAGGATTTTCGGAGTGGCGTTAGACGAAGTGGATAGCACTGGTGACCGGGTTCGGACTTGGGTGTGAGTGACACAACCGCGGCGACCACAGCAGATGTTAGGTTCACAGCAGAGAGATGTTAGCCAACTGTCGAGCACAGCGAGCACACGCGCAGGATAGAGCAACGGAGTCAGAGTGTGGTCAGGCGCAGCTGCGGCGCACCTCGCGAACCCTAACCCTCATCTGATGTCATCCGGTTGCCCAATCGGGTAAGTGGCCTGCCCGTTTCGTACGCGCTTCCCTCCCGACGACGTCGTGGCTCTACGCGTCCGGGACAACGCTGCGTGTCTCTGTGCACAAAGTACCTCCGCGTCATGCTCAGATGCTTCTACAACGTCTGCGACGCGACGTGCTTTCCGCTAGCCTCGCGGTGACGCGTCGGTGACGAACTGACGTCACTCACGCCGTCGCTCCTCAGCTCTGCTCAGAGCCTCAGCGCATACATATATAATGGTCGCGTCGTACGTGCTGTCTTGTTCACGACCGTCTCCTCCTCTGCGCGCACAAAACCCACCATAAAATGAAGTACATCGAGCAGTTCCAGAAAGGCTACAAGCCGCCCTTCCAGGAGCAGGGCAGCGCCCCCGGCCTCCAGAGCAAGCTCGATCCTCAGCCGCTCAACGATGTCACGGCGGACGGCAAGCCATACAAGGCCGCCAACAAGCTTGAAGGTCAGAGCGCCATTGTCACTGGTGGTGACAGTGGGATCGGTCTGGCTACGGCACTGCTCTTCGGTGAGTCAATATACGCGCTCCCACGCAAGACAGGGTGACTATATGCGTAACGCAGCGCTGGAGGGTGCCGACCTCACAATAACCTATACTGCCAAAGAAAAGGGAGAAGCGAAGGCAGCAGAGGAAGAGATTAAGAAGAAAACAAACGGCAAAATCAAGCTTCAGAGCTTCGAGTTCGACCTTCGCAAGGAGGAGCAATGCATTGTCCTCATTGAGAAGCACCTTGCGTTCCATGGAAAGCTTGATGCGCTGTGAGTGTTTCGTGCAGAACTTTATGTGGCGCATATACCCATATTCGCGAAGCGTACTGAATCATGGCACACAAAACGCCAACAACTTCCTCCCCACCCTTCCCACCGAACAATGGCATAACACATTCGATACCAACATCCATTCATTCTTCTACCTATGCAAGGTTTGCACCCACAGTCCTCCTTCTAGCGTGAAACGTACCGACTTCTTTGCGTAGGCGGCAATCCCACACATGCCTCCTGGAGGGACAATTAACTTCAACGCGTCCATCAACATGGCCGTTGGGCACCCCGAGCTGATCGACTACACAGCAACAAAGGGTGCTATAATTGGCCTGATGCGTGCGCTCTCCAATCAGATTGTTGGGGATAAAGGTATTCGCTGCAACGCCGTCGCACCTGGTCCAATCTGGACACCGCTCATGTGTGTCTATACTTTTCTTCCGGCGACATACTTTGCAGGCTGACGATGTTTTGTCACATAGCCCGGCAACGATGTCCAAGAAGTCGATCGAGACGTTCGGAACGACAGTGCCGATGGGTCGCGCCGGTCAACCTATCGAGATTGCAACTGCTTTCGTATACCTCGCGTCACCGGACTCGAGTTACATCAGGTACGCACACCTCCGCTCTGTCAGAATGAGTTCTGACACCCTGGACCAATGCAGCGGTCAGATTATTCACATCAACGGTGGTGTTGTCATCGAGTAAACGATCTGCCATTGAAGAAAGAATAGAAGAGCTTCACCATCTGTACAATACAAATTACACATTACACCACGGATTCTCGCACCGTTCTGGCAGCCATTCCGCTATCGGTGTTCTACTCGTTAACCGCAACTAAGTAAGGCCCTTCCAATACTATATACTGTTTGCGTTTGGAGATGTCCTCGACGTGAAGGCCGAAGAGAAGGGCAACGCAAAGCCCGATCCGACTTCGTTCATCGGAGACTTGCAGAAGTCCCGGGGGCTTTGTCTGGCAATCTGCGTATGTAGAAGCCATCGCAGATAAGTCCGACTACCACTGATAGGCAACGGATTCTGAACTGAATCAAAAACCATAATCCCCATCACTAGGCGTCGCGCATGTACGACTTGACAGTGCTGACATCCTGTTTCAATATCCACGGAAGGCGAGGACTTCTAGCTGAAGTTTGTGCAGAGCCACCGCCGTATCTCCGAACTCAAACAAGACGCCAATTCGCAGCCTTTGCAGCACAGGCACTGGCACCGAGAAGCTCAGAGCAGTTCTGTCCCCCCGATTCTGGCACGAATTCATGAGGGCTGGACTCCGCCTCAGATGCCTCAAACCTTGCGCTCAAGGACGAAGTATCAGCGCACTCCGATGGAGGGCGGACGAAACATCAAATGCTGCAGACGCGCCTTAAGCTTCAAGCTTCAGACTCGGTCAAGCTCCGAGACGGGCAGTCGCAGTTTGCGGGATGCCGTCAGACGGTGTTCTCCCGCAGGTGCCAGTTGAGCACTGGTATGTATCGCGCGTGGCAAACAAGGGTGGTGAACGTCCGACTCGGAGCCAAGGAGCGGGCGAGATAGCGATCAGCGCCGACGGTACCCCTCAAGAGATACGCATGTGCTCCGTGTGGGTGAGGACAAACCATAGCGGCCGTTCGCCGGTCATCGCTGGACAAGGGACATCATTGACAGAGCACACAAATAGCATTCGACATTTGTGTTATGGTTATACAGCGGGACGTACAGACGACAGCGATGGGACGCCGCTTGCATACGAGCAGCCCGTCCTGGCCGGACTACACAAACGCGCTCGCGACGGGCCGCACACACCTGACGCGGTCTTCAAATTCAGCGATGCGCCCCTGCACCGGCACGGCGCTCTCGGACGCGCCCGCCATCTGCATGCCTGCAGTCGGACGCCCGCGGCCGTCTGCAGAGTGCACGGAGGTCACCGATGTCTCATACGAGTGGCCACTGTCGTACCCGGAGCTTGACGTCGCGGACGAGGATGTGGACGCGGAGGAGCTCGATTCGGATCTCGCTGCATTACCAACAGGGGGATGGATGTGTGCGGTTCTCCCGCGAAAGCTTGCGCCATCGAGTTCCCGCGGAATGTCTTTGTGGATGACGGCGTGCGTATGTGGCGGGTGACACCCGAGGTCAATGTGGGGAGTTGTTGTGACATAGTTGCCGCCTCCAGTGGCCCCCGTCACCGAAATGGCTTGCTGAAACCGAGCGATTGGATATTGTTCATCGACTGGGAGGCCTTCGTGGTTTGCAGGTCCCACGGCTTGTGCGGCCAGCGCTGTTGGTGCCATACGCGCAGCGTCCGCAGTCGCGATCGGTATGTTGACAGGGGACGAGGTAATGCACGCGACCTCCGCACTGAAGATTGGGAAAGGGCAGAGCAGGCAGTCGGTGTGGGTTCTGCTGCCGTGGTACCCATGCCAACAGAAGCACAGACTAAACCGTCAGAGGGAAAAGTTCCGTGACCACTCGGAGCAGGTGTGCGTCTACCCAGATGGCGTGAGGGACGCAGGGGACGTACTGGCACTTGCGGGACATCACTCTGATCCTGAGAGAGGCGAGGAGTAGCGTCCATATCGAGCATTGCCTCGTCAGAGCTATACGCGAAGCCCACGGGATGTCTGGCACGTCTGCGGGGGGTGGCGTGCAGTGATGTAGCAGCAGCTAGAAGCCGTTCGTTCACATCATCGACGAAAGAATCCCTTGCCCTGCGCTCCGTTTCATCACGGACATTACGGTATTCCCTTGGGGGAAGAGCTCCGACATTGATTGTGTTGCGCCGCTGGATGGGGCGGACATCTCGTGTTCGCCCTCGGTCACGTCCGATCTACTGCCAGAGCGTGGTCCCATAGGCCGCGACACAGTAGCACGCGATGTACCGTACTCTGGGCCGGCGATAGTAGGATCCTCCAATTCTTCATCCAAGCGGGCAGAGCCGACCACGTACTCGACCTCCTCGTCCGAGTTGGGATCCTCGAGGTCGAGGTTTCCTAGCCCACTTGACAGTTGCACGCCAGAGGATGACGCAAGCTCGTCCACACTCGAGTGATAGCTGGCATCCGACGAATAGACACTAGCTTCGCTATCAGACGACTCAGAAGCCTGTAGTGACGACGGGACCTGGTCGGGGTTTGTGATTCGCAAAGAATGAGTCTGCGCCTCGTGAACGGGGTTGCATAAGACATGATATGGGCCCTGCCGAGGGCGAGCTGTGTTGTGGTCATCATCGCCCGGCATGAGCCCGACTGGAGGTACTTCATTGCGCGAGAGGGACGCCTCGGTCAGTGCGTCCAGTTCACCGTCGATGGAACGACGGCGTTTCAACGGATGCACCGGCTCCACCAGAAATGAATGAGACGGCTCGCTGGGGATGGGATCGATGGATAGGAAGTTGATGACCCTGATAGGCAGTGTACCGTGGACATCGGGAGTGAGCGGGCCCGCGCTGAGCGTTACGCGAATGGAGTATTCGACCTCGAGCAACCGCGACCGGGTTACAGACAATGCTTCAGGCTTGCGAGCCATGAGTTGTCGAATACACCATCGATGATAGAAACGCACAAGACTTACTGGGATAAGAATGTAATGCGAGAATGAAAGTTCCTTGCCGGGGCCCACACCAGTCCACCAACCCTTGGCACTTGCGCGGCCCTTGGTGCCCGGTTGTGCCATCTCCAGGACATTCTCTGCAACCACTTTGTGGAGCGTGGTTGTCTGGCACGCATCAGGATCGACGCTACGAGCGCGCCCAGCATCCAACTCCGGGGTGGGTCTGAACATCGTCGTCGAGCGTACGAGCATCAACGTAAGCGTCTTCACAGTCTTCTTTGTGTCGTTTACGACCGAGACGTTCACGTAGCAGCGTTGGCCGGCTACCCAGGTCAAGCGGTGCAACTGGGCCGTAAGCTTCACCTTCCTTTCGTTGCTAAGCATGGCAAGGCTCTTGGTGGTAGTCACCTGAAGCGGTCTCGGGGCGGAGGCTAGAAGGATGGAGGCGTTAAGGCGTGGCCAAATTTCGCAGTTCCTAAAGAAGTGCGCGATAGAGCGTTTCCCTGTCTTGGGATCCTTCACTTTGATAGAACTGCAGAATGCGTTCAGACTCTAATCATAGACGATGCGTCCCGATCGATAAACTTACATCATTGCTATATACTGCACAATGACCCCGGAATGCAGGTTTAATACACCCTTAGCGGCGCCAAACTTGCTGTCCACAGGCAAACGCATGGCGAACGGTAAGGTGTGCATACCCTCTATTGCGCGTGTAAAGCCGTCTGAGCCCGTAGGCGCGTCGAAAAGGCGATCCAGACCATCTGTAATCGCCGATAGTGGCGAAGCGCATTGATAGAAGGTATGACGCTCGCTCTCCCCAGGAATGCACTCGAAGCCGATGACGCGGATCTTTGGGTCGGCCAGACAAATGGGCTCGTCTTTTCTCGACCGCTTGCGGACGCGAACCTTGACATGACCTTTCATGAACCCACCTTGGACGAAGTGTCACTATCGAGGACGATATCTACTTCCACCCGGCTTCGGGATTTTGCATGTTCCAAGGCGACGGCGTCCGCCTGCGTGTCGTCGGGATTTTGTCCAGTCTTTCTCCGAGCAGCAACGTGCACAGTAGCTCCAGTCTTCAGCCGAGAGTTTGAGTTGCCCATGAGAGCTTTGAGCTCGGCTGCATTCCGCGTCTGGGACCGACCGAAGCTGAGAAGAGTATCGGACCGAACAAAATGACCTAGCGCCCCGGCCTCCGTGCCAAGTGAGGAGGCCGTGCTCGTATGGCTCGGTATAGAGGGCCGCCAGATGCTTGCGGCGGGCCCGTCCGTAGCCGCTTCGCCTGTAGGATCCAGCGGACCGCTTGTAGACTCGGAGGACCTCACCGCTGATCGTACCGTGTCTGAAGGCCCAGACATAAGTTCCGCCGACTCCAGCCCACTTTTCGCGAGGAAGCCGAGAGGCGTTCATGCGGGTGCGAGACGGATGGCGTACGTTCCACAGGGCGAGGAGGCTGTGGATGGAGGCAATGCCCAACCAGCGGGGGCCGCAGAAGCCATCGTCACCGTGAGCGTGTAGTGGGTCAACGAGGTGGGGAGAGCTGGAGGAAAAGCATGGCCCGAACAGAAATGCGGCCGACCAGCCCATTGCGGACCGGGCTGATACGTAATGTCATTGAACCCATGGCCATGGCTCGTCATGCGCGACCAATGCGCAACTGGACATCCTGTTATATCGGCCAGAGATTAGCGGAAACTCCTTGCCAGATAATATGGTGTTTGAGGCCTCACAGATGCGCCCATGATGCTGAGCATGATGGAAGTTAGAGTCCACGCTCGCGGAAGCATTTAAGCGCCTATCACTTCGTTGTACAAGGTGCCTGATTTGGCTTGTCGCACGACCATCCTCAGTAGCAGGCCGCACGATCTACCACTGAGCAGGGGGTTCCTTTGTGGCGATCTCACTGGGACCGATGAATCCATACATATGGTGACAAGCCGTACATCTAGGCTATATCCAGTGTCTATTATTGTAGTGATTGGGGTTATGCTGTACGTACAGTGTATCCGGATTATGTAGCGATACTACAGGTAATAAGAGAGAACTATGAGTAGTACCGATGAAAGTAGCATAAATATTATAAAGAGTCCTGGATATCTACCGGTCACCAGTGGCCGAGATCAACCTTTTCTTGGTCAACCCAAGCTCCAGCCAAGGATCGACCCCTTCGACGGGTGCACCGTCTTCAGATAAGCCAACAAACCCCACTCTGTGGTACACCTTTGCAGCAGTGGGGTTGTCGTGTGCCACATAGAGAACAACGCTCTCCTTCGTTTGAAGGAGTCTATGAGATGCGTGAGCATGTTGCAAGCAATGCGAACAATCAAGATGCACGTACTGTTGACAGACATGCCGTACGAGACGTTCCGCGCACCCCCGTTGCCTCCACCGGGGGTTCGTGAACACCTTCGTGACCCCGCGACCGTTTCGCTGGTCCGCGTGACTGCGACTATGGACGCATCTCCGGACGCTGCCCGCGCGCACATATCTCGTGCACCCACACCTGTCCGTTTTGGATGAGCAGCTTCGCCTCCATCGCGGCTCTGCTCATGGACAATGTGAACGGCTCCTAGCAACACGATGAGCTTCCGGGGATATCAGATCAAACTCAAACAGACTTACGGACGTCACCGCGAAGCCGCAGCAAAGCTCAGCTACGTGTAGTAAATCGCTCTCGCGGGCGGGCCTCAAGTCGTAAGAGACGTCGCGAAGCGGAGCGAGTTGTCCCGCTTGCAGAGTGGCCCTCGTGCAGTACGTAAGTTTTGCCGCGTAGTACTCCGGGTCCCGCTCCAATTTGACTCCCGTCGCCTTTGTCCACAGAGAAGCAAACGCCCGGGCGATGTCTTCGAGGGCAAAGATGGAAAAGACTCGCTCTGAAGGCACCGCTTGTTGTAGACTATGAACGAGACTCCGGAGCCTGGGGATGTAATGGCGAGGGTCGAGTTGGGTGAAAGGGATAGGCGTGTAGATGAACAGCGGATACGATCCGAGTGGTCCTTCGGTACACGAAAGCACGAAATCGACGGAGGCGGTGAAAGAACTCGGACCCAACGTCGAACAGACAAGCCAGATGTTCGAGCCAGCGAACCATAAAGATCGGGTTGTGTCGTGCCTTCTTCGCGTAGGGCAACATAACGTTTGAGTTCCTAGGGTTATCGTGGAACGCAGCCCAAACTCCTGGGGCAGGTCTCGCGCAGACCTGTAAAGGTCGATCTGGTGGGACGACGTGCTGGACGGCATGAGCGTATAGCAGTGATCGAAGACTGGTAGAGGGTGAAGAGTATGCAGGGAGGTACTGAGAGATGTGCCAATCAGACGATACGCAGTACCTCGGTCTATATATGGTTATATATATGGTCAGTTGGCACTAAGGCACAGCCATGGTACGTACCAAAGCAAGCGGGTGGGCTGATAGTGGAGGGCGTACTGTACGATGGTGAACGCAATGGCTTCGTTTTATATCTCGGGGTAATTGGCATATGCCACCATAACACCGCCCGAGTGATAGGTGTCCGACATCCCAAATTTGTGAACGCACCGAGTCACTTCCCATCACAATGAAGTCCGAATCTCCGTGGAGTTTGGTTCAAGAGCCCAATGTGTATATTCAGGCTCCCGACTAGTGGCTATTGAGTTTGGGGCGCGACTCAAAACCAAAGCTGAAACATGAATACACCGGCGAAGCTACACAGACTGTCGGTGTAACAGATGCTTTGCCCCTCGCACGGACGTAGGAAGCCGGCTTGATGCACCGGCTTAAGCGTCACACAGGAGACGAGTGAGTGACATGCGCCACGTAGGTCCGCAGGTCATCTTGCGTTGGTAAGAGAAACACGATGTGATCCAAAAGCGACCGAAGAACAATCGGTATCCAGCAGCCTCCTACCTTGGCCTTCGGAACCATTGGCTTATGCCCCTATTGCATAAGCCAATGTTGGCGCTCCGGAACGGAACGACTGACTGGCCCGCAGGTCATGAAAAGCTTCTGGTCTCCCCAAAGCGCTGTGGTATACCCCAAGACGCCCAGCCATGAGTTTACGCCTTTTCGGGTGGACTCGCCTCGGGAAAGTATTCTACGCCCGCGACCACCGCGAAAGGCGGCGCGTAGGCGTTCGATGGTTTAACCGGTGTGTACTTTGTGTGACCTACAGCTTGAGAGGGCCAGCGCATCATTCACTGTGGTCAATGATTGTCACAGTACAGGCATCAACCGCTGTGCGGGTGGGGGGCTAGGGCTGCTTACGTGGTTAATACGTCGTTTGTAATGGACCATCGCTGGGCAGGACTGTGACACACCGACCAGTGCGGCATTTCAAGGATGGCGAACGGTTCTGCGCCAATTCGAGCCGCATGCGGCATGACCCTATGGAAGCTGTGCTCCCATCATGTATTGAGTGTAGGCGGTCAGTACCAGCGTGATCACCAAATGCAAATGGGACATGCATGACGCGAGCATGCCGTTGTTGCTGTTGGCCCCTCTAGCTCCGATCGAGGCCTACTTCATGCCTATGCGACGCGCCATTCTTCCACCGACAAAGCGTAAGCAGCTCTCCTGAGACGATGGGCCGATGACAGAGCCAAGTGCGTGCTCAGCAGTGCTAGTAGCGTCAGACGATGATGGATACCGGCACAGGTCGTACGGTAAATGAGGGGGCCGTCCACGAGTCACGGAAGATAAGCTGCGCGACCGACGACCAAGTCAGTGGTCAGACGCAGCGGGTGAGTGAGCCACTGAGCGGTGCTGACAGCTCACAGCAAGCTCGCGGTAAGGAGTTCAGTATGCTCCCTCGGGGATGCCCGACCCAACCCGATGCCATCTGCGCGCACGCCAGCGTCTACGAATTTGGTCCCGCTAACGACTTCCACTCGCTGCTCAGCTCAAGACTGCACAGTCGTCCACCACCGCAGCGGTCGTCCTACCACACGACTCCCACAACATCCCATCCACCTCCAGCAGATCAAGTGTAGCCTCCGCATGGCTGATAAACTCGTTCGAACACACACGAACCAGTCGAATCGCGCAAAGGCTAAAGACGCGCTTGAGAGGAAACCCGTTTTCCGAAGCGTGCTAGACAACCCATTTAGAGTGCAATGGTATGTGGTCGCCGTGTATTGGTCAAACGCCTTCTTACGTTGCACAGGCCAAGCGTGCCTGTCAATGTTCAGAATGCCATTGTGGCTCGCTTCGTTGACATGGTTCAGGGTGTCTCGGAGTATCATGCTGAACGCGAGAGGCGGAGCCGCAAGAGAAAATCATCTCTCAAAGGCACTACCGCACGGGCTTCCAAACGACCCCGGCTCGCACCACCCGCCTCCAAGTTGGCAGACGGCACGGTGCCTGAGCCGGTCTCCATGGTGCAATCTCAGACCGCAGACAGTGTGGCTGTTGATGGTGGACAAGACGCCGTCAAACCACGCCCTGATGTTCTCAATCATTTGACATTCGGCATAAATGAAGTTGCCAAGTTGCTGGAGAAGACGGCGCGTTCGGATTCCCGCACCGTTGTGTCCACATCTCCCGTTCAGGAGCCACTATCAGACGATAGGCCCAGAATTATACTCGTCTGCCGTGGCGACGTATCTCCCCCTGCCCTTCTCCAACACATACCGCATCTTGTCGCCACTTGCAATACCCGTCGGTCGACCACGGATGCAGATGGCATCTATCTTGTGCCTCTTTCCAAAGGCGCGGAGGCGTCTCTGGCGGAAGCCATCGGTCTCAGACGGATCTCCGTAATTGCAGTGCATGTAAGTTCGACCTGCCCTCGTACTCTCCATTTTCCTGAGGTCATAATCGACACTGCTTTTTTGCAATTGCAGGCCGGTGCACCCAGAATATCCGAGTTGACATCTCTTCTTGAGAATGTCGTGCTTCCGACGGCGTCATGGCTAGCAGCGCCTACAGATGCAAGTATCTCACTAATACCCACGCATATCAAGCAATTACGGACCACTGCACCAAAGGTATGAAGGCCGCGAAAGAGCAGAGATCGCGAGGCCGAGCCGCGGCGAAGCTCAGGCAAAAGAACAGAAGAAGGCCTCGCAGAAAGTCGGGGCGTAGTTAACGACAATCGCTCGAGTACGATTGCTGGGTCTCTGATGTACTTTTACTCGACACGCTGCGCGTTCGCGCCGTCTTAAAGCCTGTTCCGCTCACGGCGAAGAGCTTGTTTGTCCTGACGATAAGTGGATGAAATGCTTGATCGCTAAATGAACGGAGGAGATCGTGTCTGAGATCTTTGCGTATTCCAGCGAATCTGAGATCCAGATTCACGCCGGTGATATGGTCCATCAGTGGCCACGCGAACAACACTCGGTTCGAGTTGTTGGCCGCTGCCTTCGTGAAGATCCCACTAGCCAAACGTAGCATTGTCCATTAGTCTTGTTCGGCATCAAACACTGAAGATCATTCCAGCGGCGTTCTTGGGGCGCTAGTGCGGCGTGAATTCGCGCGAACACCGTGACAAACCGCCGACCCGTTGAATTGACTTTCGTCTGCCATTGTAGGACAATGTTCATCGCAATCGTCGGAACGCGTGCTTCAGGAAGTCGTCTGTCGTTCAATATCTCGTGGAAGCGAAGGGATTTATTCCGCTGCGATTGGTGCCACTGGTGCGTTAACACAGTATCAATCGTGGTGCAAAGACCACATGTCGAATAATCCCCCGTAGCCGAAGACTCATGACGATCACCGCGAATCTGATCAGTATGCGGCATACGACGCAGAAGCAGACGAGTCCTTTGGTCGTGCCAAGTATCCGCGCTACAACGACACAGGCTGTCGTTCTTGCAGATGGCTTCTCCGCCAACATCTGCTCTTCCCTCACCGGCTCCGGATGCGGTGTTTCGGAACACGCTGGCAAGCCCTCTGGTGTTCTCTTCACCGGGTGCCTTGATGCAGCATGTGACAAAGAACTGGCGGTCTGACTTCGTGACAATGGATCTGCGGACGCAAGAGCTGTTGGAGCCCTTTACGACAAGACCGTTCTTCATGATCGTCTCAATTGACGCACCTTTGTTGTACGTTTCAGACGGTATGTCGCGGTAGCGTCAATATTCTGCCCCCGAGGCACCTTACTCATCAGAGCTTACAGCTGTGATGACACGGGGATAACACTGGAAGACTTCGTTCGAGAACATGATATCACTATTATGGTACAGCGAGTCAGCGCCGAGACGCCGCGGAAGATAACATTCGAAAGACTGCCGATCGGCCGGCGTTATCCTCTCTGAATGCCTTGTAACCTTCACATCGTGAATCCTCGACTCGATGGGACGCTGCATTCGCACCTCGACGAGCTAGATCTCCTGGACCCAGAACGTTTGAGACCGGGTGGGATGCATATTTTATGCAATTGGCCACGCTCGCCGCGCGAAGATCCAATTGCATGAAACGCAGAGTGGGAGCGATCTTAGTGAGGAACAAGCGCATCCTTGCTACTGGGTTGGTTTCATCCGGAGCGGCACGATCCACGGCTGATGATCACCACGCTATCAGGTACAATGGCACTCCGCGGGGGCTGCTCAATTGCAATGAAGGCGGATGCAGCCGGTGCAACAGCGCCAGCGAAACGTCGGACGAATGTGTCTGCTTGCACGCGGAAGAGAACGCTCTGTTGGAGGCAGGCAGAGAGCGCGTGGGCGACGGTGCTGTGATCTACTGCAATACGTTCGTCCATAAGGTCACTGTGTGTCGGCTCCTGACTTAGTCTCTCACCGGACAGATGTCCGTGCCTCAAGTGTACCATCAAAATCATTCAAACCGGTGTGAAGGAAGTCGTGTACAATTTAAGCTACAAGATGTCAGTACTGACCTATCGCCTATCGCCGCCATAACTGAATGTGCTGTCTTTAGGGACGACTCCTCCGCCGCCCTGTTCCATGAAGCCGGGGTACTTCTCAGGAGGCATGCGCCGCCAGCCTGACGTGTCAAGTCATACCGAAATATACATCCATCATCGACCATTTATTTTCCTTGTACAGATGTTTGCATCGTATCAAACCTTGACATCGCTACCTAGGATGATGTAGACATTTTCATTGATACTCCACTTCGGCTGCGACAAAAAATCCATGGAAGGATCTAGTCTGCTCTGAGTCGCCGACAGAGCCAGCCATACAGCGTCTTCGTTGTTGACCGTGATGGCGGCGTAGAGATCCCTTGCACATGCTTGCAGCTCTTCGTGTGCGTGGCCATGCAAAAACCTTCGGAACAAGACGGTCACATCCCAGAGCGCAGAGTCTTGGCCCCGGACGCCCACCACGGCTGCGGTCATCGTCTTTAGCATCGACCGGTATAGCCGATGCGAGACTGTATACGCCGACTCCGTGCCCACCGCTGCCGGTCCGCGCCTCGCCAAAGCGCTGTCCGCGTCTGCAGCCCGGAGCTTCTCGAGCATTTTCTGAAAGCGGGGCCATATGTCGTCCCAGATCCTGCGATGCATGAAATCTCCGACGTGTGTGGACAGAGACTCAATCAGAGCTGCAGCAGCGCTGACGACGAAGGGTTCCTGATCGTTAAGGCGGTTCAAAATGAATGGCCAAGCGTGATGGACGGACGGAAGCAGTGCAGACGCAGGTAGCACCGGAACAGCGGAGCTCAACACGAGCAATATCCTTGCCCGAATTGTAGGCGCTCCGTGAGTGAGGAAATACAGAGAACGCGAGACAATTTGTTTTGTGAGTGCCTGCGAAGGCGTTGGTGGAGGTTCCGCAGTGGGATCTGGCACAGGTTCTGTCGGTTCCATCTGCTCTTCGGCGTCGGCGGCTTTACCCCATGCTTCGCGAGGGTAGGAATCGTCGCCTGAATTGTCACGGTCTTCTTCAACGGGGTCGCGTCTATGCAAACCCACTCGAAGAAGACGTCCATCCGCGCGTCGTCCGGGGGAGCAGGCGATTCTGTCGACTGCCGGCCTCTATGAGATCCGCTGGAGTCTTCTTCCTCCACAACTTTCACAACCTCCGACAAGACTTCGATCAGCCCGTCCACAATCATCTCGTATCCATGATACTCGTCAAGGCGATCGAAGCATTCCTCCACCACGTCGCCGGCCTTCTGGACGGCATCGCGCCCGACCAAGCGAACTAGTGCAGCAAGGACTTTGGTGGCATCGACGTCTAGCCATCGACGGCTCAGTCGACGCGAAACCGAGTCGAGAGCATAGTCGAAGTTGGAGAGCAACATGTTGGCGGAGGAAGCATACGACGTCATTGTCGCGACGAAGTGCAGTGTCGCCGTGCCGGTCGTGGAGACGAGAGGCGACTCCGAGACGACTGAGTGTAAGATGGGATAAAGCGTGTGGAGCAGCAAAGGAGAGAAGTGGGCTTCCAGTATTCCGGCCGTGATAGAGAGCAGCTGGAGCGACAGCGCTTTATGCAATAGAGTTGATCTGCCTGGCGTGGACGAGCGGGATGGGATGGCTTCGCCTCCGAGTCCGCAGTCGCACGAATCGTCAGTAAACCCTTGATGTGCTCTACGAGCAAAGAATCATCCTCGGCGGTGGGCGACTTGCTGCCCTGTTGCTGAAGGACATCTTCGTCGTCAATATCCGTCCACGAATCCGCGACTCTTTTTGCAATCCCTCGAGCCAGTTTCTCGACCCGCTTGCTACGCTTGGTCACAGGGGAGCGATCGAGCGATGCTGAGAGGTCTAAGGTGACCCCACCCGCACCTTCCAGGAGTCGGCACGCACACCACAATGCGGAGACCGCTGATGATCCTCGCCCATTCTGGCCCATCCCCAAAAACCATTCTACGGCGAACAGGCCGTCATCCCCAGCCACAGCACCCATTGCGCGGAACATTCGCTCCAGTGCAGACTGCGCGGCGGGAGATGTCACGTTGTTGAGTACCAAGGGTGGGAACGGAAATGAGCCCGCAGCTTCGCTACTCTCCAGCACCCGCTGAGCTGCGTTCGCTCTAGTCACTGTGATGGGTGCATCACCAAAATCCAATACCGAGAGCAAGCTCCACCCCCATTTCTCGATCCCGCCAGTGGGCCCGAGAAGTTTACCAACACCAGTGCTGATGACACTGATGCGGCGGCGTTCGGAGCTGATGGTCATTGCAAGTTTGCAAACGCTCTCGATGAGGCTAGCTAGATGCTCCACCTTGGAATCTGATTGAGTCGCGATAAACCGGGGTAGAGATGCTAGGCTATCTCTGGATATGTGCAAGAGCGTTTGGAGGAGGGAGTGCCGGGCACTGGATGTAGGGGACAAAAGGCGTGTCAGAGCATTGCTCGCTCTATTGGCTACGTCGTTGTATGGGGACCCGAATAGCGAGAGCAGGAAAGAGAGCAGGAGGCCTTGTGACTGAGGCATGGTCAGAGTGGTCGCAGATAGCACAGCTTCAGAGAATGAAGCCAAGGCGAGTGCGGCCAAGGAGTCGGGTGGTTAACCAGGGGCGTGAGTGCGTTCATCGCAATATGCAACTGCGAGGCTGTTCCGCGTAGCCAGCTCGCGGTGCGGGCTGTCGAGTATGGAGAAGGCGCAGAATGGAGGAGAGCTTGCTGATCCAAAGTATCTGCGTCTGCGAGCAAGTCTTCCAAACTGTCAAGGCTCCGTACGGCTCCATGTCGTTTGCAAACTTCGTCACCAACGGACTTGACAATGACAGCCTGCATGACATCAAGTGCCGTCGAGACGATATCGCCGTTGGTCCATCCCTTGTGCGTGCCAACGCCGAGTGCGATTTTACTCGAAGCACTGATGATCCCAGGAAGGACGGAAGGTATGAAGTCCTCGGGGAGATAAGCTTCTGTGAGTATGCGAAGAACTTTAAGGGAGATTTTCTGTAGCGGGAGGTGCGATGATTCAGCCGTCAACAGAAGTGAATCGACGGTCTGACCCAGGATCGGAATGAACGTCTTGGTCCTCGCGTGAAACTGCAATTTCCTGGAAATCCTTTCGCAGCGTGGAGGTACGACAACGCCAAGAGGATCTTCGTCCGGAAACCGCTCGCGCAGCAAGGTGTACAAGCAACGGGTGGCAGCCTCTTTCGTTTCGTCGTCTCTGACTCTGCTCTTTCCCTTGCTGTCTATGCCTCCAAGAACGGCGCCGCACAGCATGAATATTTGCTCCCATGTTGTTTCATCGAAGTCCCACCACCAGCTCTCGCATAGACCGTTGAGCACGATGAAGATCCTCTCCATAATTTGATCGGGGATCGACGACAGTGTGTTCCTGCGCATGATTGTCGACAGAGGAAAGAAAATATATGATATGATGGACGGCCGCAGAGCAGCACCCGCAGCCTCGACCTGGCGCAAGATGACGACCAGCTCCGCCAGTAGCTTCGATACCATTGGTATAGACGTCGGTGAAAGCTGCGAATTGCCCATGAGAGGGACGCACACACTTTTCAGCTAAATTTTTCGTCAGCACGCGACGTCTACGTGTTTGAATCTCTCGACATACTGTTTTGAACGTAGCCTGGGACGAATCTTCATCCTGTAAGACGGGCATTCGCGGCCTTTGTCCGCGAACAAACGCAACCTGCCATTTGTACTCGTTCAGCTCGCAACATGTCACAAACATGCCGCGCTACACAACGCACCGGTGAATGAGGTCTATCTTTTCCGTAGAATCCAAGCCAACTACCCTCTGCAGTAGGTCCAGTTAGAGAACTGCTCAGTGCGGCGGCGGCAGCACTGCGGCTGCCAGTGGAGCGTCAGACGCTGAAGCGTGATGTGACTGATCGCGTCTGTCACGCGAAGGAAGGACACGGTGGCGCGATCGAGATTTTCCGGTCAAGCATCCTCCCATCCGCGTTCCCGGTGGGGTCGTCGCCGCGAGTCTGCTCGGTTTTCACTGGAACGCAACGCTCATGACTGACCTCTTGTTTATCTGCATCATCTAATTTATTGCTCCTATACACTCTCCTTCGCTTTTCATCATGACGATCACCACGCCGGCTGCCGGTTCTCGCATCCTATTCATCGACTCATACGATTCCTTCACATACAAGTGAGCCTATTCTGCTTGACGTCCGCCATCAACTAATGTCCGCCTTTGAGTCTCGCGGCCCTATGCAGAAAATCAATACCTGGTTGTAGCGTGCATATTCTCAAGAACGACAACCTCTCCATCGGCGAACTCTGTCCCTATCTTGACCACTTCTCTGCCCTAGTCGTCGGTCCTGGTCCTGGATCCCCAGACAAGGATAGCGACGTCGGTCTCGTGCGCGATATATGGAGACTTGCGGATGACCACCTCCTTCCCGTGTTTGGTGTCTGTTTGGGTCTGCAGAGTTTTGCAATGGAGTTCGGGGCCAAATTGCATAGACTAAACGTCGTCAAGCATGGCCAGGTATCCACTATCCATCACAACGGAATGGACATCTTTGCAGGTGTTGGTGATGTCGCTGCAGTGCGCTACCACTCTCTGCACGTCTCCGTGGACGGATGTGATGACATCGAGGCCCTGGCGTGGGCCGACGACGGAGAGGAGAATGGGAAGGTGGTTATGGCTGCGAAGCATCGGAGCAAGCCGTTCTGGGCTGTTCAGTACCACCCGGAATCCGTGCGTACCGAACGCGGCGGCGAAGGCGTTCTCCGTAATTTCTGGCAGCTAGCCATGGCATGGACAAGAAAGCAGCGTCGAGCAGTCCGACCTTGGAATGCTGCAGCAGAACGTCTCATGGGGTCACCTTGGCCATCACCTCAGCCGCCTCGCATGCTTTTACCTGGTTTGTCGACGACGGTGACCGCACGCACTGTCGAGGCACATGGCATAACGCCGACCGACGTATGTGAGAGGCTAGGAGTGTGCAACGACTCTATGGATTTCGTACTCTTGGATTCTGCGGCCCAGCCCGGCCGTTTCTCGATCGTCGGATGTCTGACCAAATCTTCCACCAAGATCACCCATTACGTGGGCGATGACCACGTCAATCTATGCGAGAGCGGTACTATGCGGTCTGAAACACTCGGAGCTTCGACTATCTGGGATTGGCTCGCGGACTTCATGCGCTCAAGGAGGGCCGAGGGTGGTGTGAGGGATGTGCCCTTCTGGGGAGGTTTGATTGGGTTCTTGAGTTACGAGCTCGGGACCGAGACTCTAACTCCTTGTACGCCTCATGGAGTGGAGGATGCTTCAGGGCGCAACCCCGATGTCAACCTGGTTTTCATCGAGCGGAGTATCGTCATCGACACCGTCTCAGGGAAGGTCTACATCCAGACACTTCTACCGAACGACGAGGCTTGGCTGCAGGAGACGTCGGCGCTCGTCAAAGATTGCCCTTCGCGCCCGGAGAGCAGGCGTACATCCCCAGCGAAGCGCAGGAAGAAGAGCGCTTCGACTTCGCCGCCGGTTGTAGCTCTACCGGATCGCGAGCAATACATCTCGCGCATCCGCGAAGCCAAGGAATACCTCTTCTCCGGTGACTCCTACGAGCTCTGCCTAACCGCCCCGACGCACATCTCCGTACCGAAGGCTGTTCGCGGTGCTCCCGAGCATAGCTCGTCATGGGAGCTCTACAAGGTCCTGCGTACGCGGAACCCTGCCCCGCACTCGGCCTATATCCGTTTACACCCGTCAACGCTTTTGTCATCCTCTCCGGAGCGCTTCCTCTCCTACTCCAGACCTCCGCAGTCGACATGTCAGCTACGTCCCATCAAAGGCACTGTACGCAAAGCGCCTGGTATTACACGCGCAGTCGCGGAGGAGGCTTTGGCAGGCAGCGTCAAAGAGGTCGCCGAGAACCTGATGATCGTCGACCTCATTAGGCACGATCTCCACGGAGTCGTGGGCGAGGACGTGGAGGTGAAACAGTTCTGCAAGGTCGAGGAGTACAAGACCGTCTGGCAGCTCGTGAGCGTCGTCGAGGGAAAGCTTCCTAGTGGCGAGCACGGTCCCCGTGAGATGGACCTCGGATGGGAGGTGTTGCGCAGGAGCTTGCCGCCGGGTAGTATGACCGGTGCTCCGAAGAAGCGCAGCGTGGAGATCCTACGCACGCTGGAGGATCATCCTAGAGGCATCTACTCCGGTGTGTTCGGATACTGGGACGTCGGTGGTGGTGGTGATTGGTCCGTGACCATCCGTAGTTGCTTCAAACACGATTCGAGCGCGACATCTGCACACTCCGTGGCGTCTACAGATTCCTCGACGCGGGCTGCTTCCGCTACCGAGCAGTGGACCCTCGGTGCGGGAGGCGCCATCACGGCACTGTCAGACCCCGAAGCTGAGTGGGAGGAAATGATCGTGAAGGTCGAGAGCGTCATTCGAGCTTTCGGTGAAGTGGAGTTTTCCTGAGCGGTATTGTTACATGCTATTCAGCAGATCCTAATTCTTTCGGTCGGGTATATCGGGTTAAAGCGGGCCTCATCGCCCGCTGCTTCATTCATCTGACTGGCATTTCAACTCCAGTCACGACACTGCATTGCTATCCTTATATTCAACATCCTGTAGCGCTAGAGTACATATGGTTCAACCCTGCATCGCATAAAGTACACAACATAAATCCCAGTATTCATAGTGGTCAAGATGTACAGCAAAGTAGATATGTTGCGAGCACTCATGCAAGCAGCGCGATGTGTCTCAATTCGCTAGAATGCACCGTTAGCATGGCGAAATCGGATGACATGAGGAGGTACATACTTCTGGACTTGTTGTCCTACCTTCATCGGCTCGTAGTCAGTGTCTTCATCGAGATCGACCTTACCGAGGTTGATCGTATCTGCTCTGAGTGCCTTTGCACGAGTCGACAAGGCTGGAACCGGAGCAAGGTCGTAGTCCGAAGACAGATGCCAGAAAAACGTGGATGAGATGCGGACCAGTGGACGATTCGGAAATTGTGCCTTGCGTCGCTCCACGACCTGATTGTGTGGATCGTTGCTCAAGCTGTGGGTCTCAGCAGACGCAGAGGAACACGCACCTCCAGCGTGGCTTCATTAACCACCACCTCGTGATAGCCTGCCTTGATCAGGCCTCCGCTGAAGTGCTCCAGCTGCTTGCCTGCCTGTACGAGCAAATACCGACCAGTTGGTGGAAACTTGACTGGGATACGCTTCCCAGTATTCCGAGCCCATATGTTGAGACCGGGGTAGCGTGAGCGGCCGTGAATGGTCAGGAAGTTGAGATCCGTGTGGAATCCAGCGAGGATGGTATCCTTCTGACCATATTTCACGAGATCCGATGCTGTGGGGGCGAGGAGATGAGGGCTGTATGCAACGAGGTTGAGCGGACGGCGCTGAGAAGGCATGGACAGCTGACATACCCATAGCGTCCAGCGTCTCTAAAGAATTCTCGAGGCAGTCCTAGTCCGATGCAAATCATTTCACCTAGGTCCTCCACACTGAGAGAACGTCACTGTCGTAGCATTTCGGCTGACCACACATAACGCACGCATTTTTCATCGATTTACCCCACGTCTCCATGATTGGGGTCCACCTGTCGCGGATGCTGTCTGCCTCAGGGACGACATTGGGGGCATTCAATCCGGGGTAAGCCGTCTCATAAGGCGGCTTCTCGCTCATCTTCCAGAAGAACCTGCATTTGGGATCTGGGCTGTGGGCTGTGATGTCCAGCGGCCGCTCCGCTGGATCGAGGCGGGCGATGACATTCAAACACGGTTCGTCGACCGCACACTTAGGCTTCTCCGTGTTCTCCAGTGTGACACCGACCTTACACAGATGACTCAGAATAGTGGATACCCAGTGCAGAGCTGTTAATACCTGATAACCGAGCTCCGGACGTTCATCGTGCTTGAGAGCGGCCTCAGGTTGCGCGAAGTAATCCTCGAGTAGATCGAGGAATGTGCTGTTATCGTCTTCGGACACACGTGAATCGTGGAGTAGTAGAGCCCCATGCGTAATCAACGCGTCTGCAGCCTAACCGCACGGATCAGACGCTCCCCTGAGTATATTACTATGTGAGATACCTTTCTGCATTCTTCCACCACAGCCTGTGTTGAATGCAGCGGCTCGCTGAGATACACGTCGAGGTCAATGACGGGCAGCGTCGGCATCGACATAGGTTAGTGCAACTTGGCTGGCGGGGGCGATGACTCTTGGGACTCAGAGGCGGTGTGAGCGCGTGAGGCGGGACAAGAAGCCAAGTACTGGCAGGCGTGTCGAAGCACGACCGAGGTGGTTCCCTTTCTTGGACTGCAGGCGATCATTATGTCCACGTGATCCGGTACAGACACGGAGGCACATAATACCGGCGCTTACTCGACTCGCGCACTCTCCGCGAGCCCGCTACAGCCACCCATCCTAACGCACAAGACAACCCCACTAACCAGCCCCCCCACATCGAGCCCTCAACATGATCAAGGCGCGCTGTGTCTGCTCTGTAAACGATATGGTCGAACTCACCGCCTGTGTCACTCTAGATCTGGAGTATGAAGAAGAACGAGGATGCGGCGGCGAAGAAGAAGCCTAAGACTAGTGCAGCGCAGATCCGTGTACAGAAGGGTGAGTGGGGTTGTCTTGTCCTATGAACTTTGGACACTGATATTATGGAACTGGCTCCATAGATCTTACGGAGTTGGAGCTGTCGTCTACGATGAAGACACACTTCCCAGATCCCTCTGATCTCCTCAACTTCACGCTCACAATCACTCCGGACGAAGGCGCGCAATACCCCAACATTCTCCACATCTGTGAGATTCTGACACACTAGACACCAGGCATGTACAAGGGCGGCGCGTTTGTGTTCTCTGTGAACATCAATACCAACTATCCACATGAGCCACCAAAGGTCAAATGCACACAGACGGTATGTGGTTCTGTCGCGATCAGAATTCCCAGACCATTGACTAGAATATGACTGCCATATGTATACTGCAGATCTACCACCCAAATGTCGATCTAGAGGGCAATGTCTGCTTGAACATTCTGCGGGAGGACTGGAAGCCCGTACTAAACCTGAACTCCGTCCTGGTCGGCCTTCAATACCTGTTTCTCGAGCCTAACGCGGACGACCCTCTGAACAAAGGTATGTTCATGTATCTTGATTAGCCTGCATGGGGCCTGACGTGTCTGTGACAGATGCTGCGGAGGAGTTGCGCAAGAACCGGGAGCAGTTCCTCCAGAACGTGAAGACGTCGATGCGGGGAGGGAACATTCGTGGGGTGCAGTATGACAAGCTCATCGCGCAATGATAGGGCAGTGGCATGGCGCCTGTGACTCTAGTCGGTCCTTGTGCGTGAGTCATGCTGTACGCGGGCCATCGGCTCGCGGAGTGGGTTAGATGTGTAATATGCTGTTCACTTAATCTCCATGTATCTGTGCGCACGCATACATCCACGTCGTAGAATTGTACAGTCCTTTGCATTGACTTTCTTTAGTTCTCTACCACCTGTCTGCGCCATCTCATTTGAATCGAAACATATGTAACACTTGCTGACTATTGCTACGCACGCAGCTGGACAGACATGTCCACATCATGATGAGTGGAACCTCGATCTCCCTTTATGCAATGTAGTAGTTGCAGTGAAACGTTGAGGGTTCATAGCATCTAATCCATGTCGTTGGATTTGGCCGCAGTTGGAGGGCACGCGTGGGAATAGAGAACGGATCATTTCTCCTCGATCACCGTCCCTCGGGCCTCCGCACGCTCGTTTGCCACTTGCCATAACTTGTCCTCTGCGCTTGTGTCATTGCTCGTGGCGCCAGTCCTTCATATTTATACCACCCCCTTCGCCGCACTCGGGTCTCCAATGAGCTCAGCTCCAAAGCTCACCAAGAAGCAGAAGAAGGCGCTCGCCTTCCGCGAGCGCAAGGGCAAAGGCAAGGCAACAGTCCTCGACGAAGAAGACAACGATGTTCCTGTCCTCGAGGAGCAAGATACTCTGGAGGCTCAAGCTGAGGGTGGCGCTGTGGAGGATGAGGCGAAGCCTGCGCAGCATGCAGCTGCAGCACGCGCGAAGGATGAGGGCGTTCTGGGCGGCGATCAGCCTAAGAAGCCTAAGAAGCGGAAGAGGGAGAGGAGGACAAAGCGGCGGTCGACGACGACGCAAAGCAGAAGCAGAAGAAAAAGAAGCGGAGGGTCGGTGACGGCGAAGATGGCGCTGCTATCGACGGGGGGAGCGACGCGGAAGCAGGGGAGCAGGGCGGGGAGGGCAAGGGGAAGACAAAGCAGCGGTTTATCCTTTTTGTCGGTGCGTGGCAGACTTAGTGGTATTTTCCATATACGCGGGCTCACGGAATGTCTACAGGGAACTTGAGATACACGACATCCAAGGAGGCTATAGACAAGCACTTCTCTGCATGTGGTGCGTCCTGCGTCGCTTCACGTCCTGCTGGCCATTGATCGGTTCTGCAGACCCACCGCCTACGGTCCGACTCCTTACACCTAAAGCTACACCTTCAGGCAGACAATCGGCGAAGTCAAAGGGCTGCGCGTTCTTGGAGTTTACAGTGAAGAGCGCGCTCCAACAAGCCCTGAAGCTGCATCAATCTGAGCTGGATGGGCGTATGATCAACGTTGAGCTCACGGCAGGCGGAGGCGGGAAAGCGAGACTCGAGTAGAGAAGCTGAAGAAGCGCAATAAGGAACTGCACGAACAAAGGGTACGTGTCTCCGTTTGACGACCCTCGCTCATCTCATGTGTTGTGTAACAGCGCAAGCGTCTCGAGAAACAGGAAAGAAACCCAAGAAAAGGACGCGGATGCAGACCCATGCAGGTTCCGAGGCCACAGCGATATTCAGCGACCTCCGGGTCGAACAAGCACCGTCGAAACAACGGACATGGACCATCGGAGAGCCGGGCAACGCAGAGCGAAAAGGTCGAAGAAGAGAGGGAAACGTCTGCCACGCGCATTGGGCACAGGTGTAAATGCGATTCCTGTCGGTTGATGTTGGGACTATCATTATTTTCTGCATGGCCTATGGTATCATAATGCGGCGAAGTGTGTCCAGTGGAAAAGGAAGTATCGTCCATGTCTAGGATATATAATGGAGCCGGCTCGTCCTACAGGACCCAGGGATCATGAAACAGAATGAAGATGAGGAACTGGAGCAGGACACGGATTAGCAAGCACCTGCCTGAAGCATGAAAGACAACGTACGAAAACAATCAGAACCCCGAAGACTTTGAGCATGAGCCACCGATTGGAGGATATACTGGCATAGTATTTAAGCAGCTCGCGCTGAGCGCCGCTGACATTCGACGCGATGTCCACCGTATCTGCGTCGATTCGCTGTACTGTTTCCCGCTGTTCTGCAACCATTTGCGCCAGTTGTGTGAAGATCTGCCCCAGTTCCGCGATGGTAGACTCGATGGACTCGATTGCGGTAGACCGTGATTGTATGTAATTGTCCTGTAGCCAATGTCATAGGTTAAACTATCATTAGCGGTAGCCGTAAGGTAACGCACCTGCTGCTCGACGAGCTGCATCTGCATGAAAGCATCACCCGTTGCTGAACCCTGCCCCTCCTCCGCTGCGCCCAGATCAAGAGCGAGAATATCGCCATTAGACTGTGCACGACCCTTGCCCTTGACGTCCAACCGTGGAGATAGAGCAGTGCCATCGCCCATTGGGTCTTGCTGACGCTGCGAATTGCCGAATAGAAGCGAATCTGCAGTCCAAGCCAGTCAGATGCGTTGTCATGCAACGGGAAATTGGCGTACTTGAAGGCGCTTGGCTTGCCGCGGCAGATGTTGAATGCATGAACTGCTCCGTCCGGTCCTTCGACTCCTTCATATTCTATGATCATGTCGAGTTGAGCATGGGTGGCGTTACAGAGGAATTGATGCCCACTTGTGTACGAATCTCCAGCACGTCCTTAAACGTCATGCTCGTATCAGCCAGCTTGCTCTGAAGCAGCATGACAACGTTGTGATTATGCTCGTCCAGCTGCTTTCCCTCCGGCGACTTGCTGTTCTGGGCATTGCGTTGCTTCACGTAGGCCTGAAGCGAAGCTATTTGCTTGTTGATGTTCGCAATGTCTTGTTTGATGATGTAGGTGAGTTCCTGACGACGAGGGCGACGTCGATACCATGAACAAAATTGGCTTCGCTGAGGCAGTACGCACGCTGATTTCCACTGGTCTATCATCGAACAAGGTCTTCCGCTTCGCCACTACTCCAGGTGAGACAGACTTCGCGGCCTGCAGACGCTACAAGACTCACATTGGGCCAGCTTCCCCAACTTTAACGTCGTGCTACTGATATCCTTGGCAATAGACGACGCGATCCGACTGAACTCGGATTTGTTCTCCGGACCCTTGCCATTCGGCAGCAAACGTTGTTTCGCCTCCGCGCCGCGCTGAGGGAAGGAAGACCGGTTGCGTATGGATTCCACGCATGCCCGGAACTCATGCGTCCGGTCTTGGACAGGCATGATACAGATGCCGAATAAGAATAAGATTAAAGCAGAGGGTAGTTTTCAGCAAGACCGGAAGAAAGGAATGAGGGAGGCAAGGGACGAGTGGTACACGGCGAGAGGGGATGGCAGGTCGAGTGAGAACGCTGGAGACAATACGATGGACGTGTCCTGCAAGGCGCCCGCTGCCCCGGCGCGCCATCCTCGGGAGATCTCAAGATCTTCCACGTGCTACTGCGCGCCCTGGCGCGTCGACGACAAGTCTCAAGGAAACTCTTGTGCGGCCCCGACTCCAAGTTCTACAGCTCTGGTGCGATACTCGAAAGCCTCTGCATCGTCGGTTGTACGCGTCTCTCGAGATTATCTGGCAGCTCAACTAGATTGGTCGCGCTCGGACACACGTTTCGGTCGCAAAACCGAGCCTAGACCTGTGTACCGTCACGGTGGGGCAGAACTGCATGCATGAGCTCGAGGCAACTTACGTCCGTTTCCAAACGCGCTCTTTTGACTTTCCCCACACCTCTGCATCGCTTTCCTCAACTTACCCCACGACTGCTATCCCCAGTCCGTCACAGGTCATCAGGACAGCGCTCGGTCAAGCCTACCAAGTTCCCCCTCCCGCCTTCCTTCACCATGCCCCTCGATCGATCGAAGGTGCTCGTGTTCGGTGCAGGCAACTTCGGTAGCTGTCTAGCTGACCACCTCGCGGACTCATCTCACAACGTGTTTCTGTGGTCCCGCGACGAGAATGCCGTCCGCCAAATTAATGAAACTCACCGCAGCGATGTGTTCAAAGACCATGTGTTCCCGGACATGGTCAAGGCCGTTGGCCCAGAGTTCCCGTCGAAAGAACTAATCAGAAGTGTCGATGTCCTCCTCTTTGCTATTCCCACCGAGGGGGTGAGGTATTATTTGGCTTCTTTCGGTCTTCTTACAGATGGAGTTGACCTTCGTGCATAGAGAAACGCTCACCAATCTCAGACCATTACTGGACGAGAAGGGCCTTCCGTTTTTAATATTTGTCAACAAAGGAATTGAGATTGCAACCAATTCCCTGACGCTGGAAATCATCGCCGACGCATGCGGTCCTGCAATTGCGAACGTAGCAACATTTATCGTTAGTATTGGCCTTGAAGTCGTGAAGTGAAGGAACGTCTGATTTTCTTCGCAGTCGGGGCCATCATTTGCCAAAGAGAGTGCGTGACTCTGCATGCGCCGACAGACGAGGTCTCATTGAGCGCAGTCATCAAAAGACAGCCAACATCCGTTTCTATCGCGTCTCTATCCACCGAGCACGCGCAAAAGGCATCGGAGTTGTTCCATCAGCCCTGGTTCCGTTGGTATGTGGGTTTAGGGCGTAGACAGCTGACTTTTCTGAACATCCTCGTCCTCAGTTACACAGGAGATGATCCCATTGGCGTCGAGTTGGCTGGTGCGCTCAAGAACGTTTATGCCATCGCTTCGGGCATGGCGGATGGCCTTGGGTTCGAGAACAATACGAGAGCCAGTGAGCTGCCTTAGTCTCTAGCTGCCGATTGCCTTTCCGATGGTTCCTGCGTAGTGTTGATCACGCGTGGTCTCTCAGAGATGACCAGGATAGGAACGACCTATGGCGCATCGCCGCTGACATTCCTGAGCCTCGCTGGGGTCGGCGATCTCTTTTTGACATGCAGCTCGTCCACGAGTAGGAACTACACCGTGGGACATCGTCTGGGGAAGGGCGAGAAATTGGATCATATCATCAAGACGTTGGGCAGTGTGGCAGAAGGTGTTACGACGGCGAAAGCATTATATACGCTGATCAGTCGATTGGGTGTAAATGCGCCGATTGCCACTGGGGTAAGTGGTCCATGCCATGAGCGGTTTCCCCGCCTGATTATCTTGATGATACTTTGTCCGTCGCAGATTTATGAGGTGCTCTACGAAGGTACGTCCCTATCCGATGCATCTACTCGGTCGCCGAGGGGTTGACCGTGGCCTTGTGACAGACGCAGATGTCGCGGAAAAGGCAAAGTGGCTGATGTCTCTGCCTCCGGTGCGCGAGCTGGACTTGCCGGAGGCGACCGGGAAGCCTGCTCGGCAGCTGCTGAGGAAGCTGGAGCTCCCCAAGTAGAGCAGTGTAGAGTGCACGAAATATAGATCTGCATGTTGTGCCCGTAGCGAGCTCGTGCGATGAGGCTGCGTCGGGCGCGGACGGTCTGACGCGGACGGATCGGAAGCATTGTCCGAAGTCGGAGGCCGGAACGAGGACACACAATTGATGACTCGACGACTACGCCTGCCATATCCGGCCTGATGATCAGGATCGGATTACGTAACGTGTCCCATTTTTTTTCTTGCCCAATGCCGGCGAGTGTAAATTCCTCTGGCCAGCGCTGTGGCCCGCGTCCCGGTTGTTCTTCGCCTATTCGTCTGCTCCCCTCATCGCCAGCCCGCCAGGTTCGCGTCGTCTCCGCGCTATTTCCCTCCTTGGCCTCACCCATCACCCTCAAGGCCTCTCCGCCCCCGCCCCGCGCCAGCATCCATGGTCTCTGCTCTCTGGCACGCTTGTTCCGAGGGCAACCTCGAAAATGTCAACGACCTTCTCAAGGAGACATCGTATGCGGAGATCGAGACCAAAGGTGTGTAGATCCGCCCGCGTGCGTGCTGCGAGTTTTTTTTCGTGCATGGCGTTCCGTCCAGATTCATCTTTCATTGACACGTTTCGCTTCCTAGATCAAAACGGTGTGACGCCTCTCATCGAAGCGGTCAAGAATGGTCACGTCGAGGTCGTCAAGGCGCTCTTGGACAAAGGTGTGTATTCTGCATGCGTGGAACGCTTTGCCTGGTCTTCATTACATACATCTCACCGTTTGGTGTTCAGGCGCGACCCCACAAACGCTTCCAGCGAAGGCCTCCCGGAGTCCTACACAGCGGATGCCACCATCTTGGAGCTGCTTGAGGTTGCGAAGAACAAGGTGAATGTGAACGGGACCGCGCTGCAGGAGACGAACTACTCGCACGACCCCAAATGGATCCTAGTAAAGGCTACTATCCTCCCCCGCCTGGTGCCTACTATTACCCTGGCATGCCCATCGGTGCCCCGATGATGCCTGACGGCTCTGTCGCCTACTATCCGCCTCCCCCGTCAGACCAGAACCCGGGTGGCATGGGCAACTTGCCTCCGCCCGAAGTGGCTCGCATGATACCTTGCAGATATTATCCTGCCTGCCGCTACGGATCGTCTTGCATGTTTGCCCACCCTCAAGCCCCTTACCTGCAGGGCCCGTTACCTCCTCCAGCACAGTATCCCGCTCATTATGACCCTATGGCGCCCCCGCCGTACCCACCGCCCACGTATTACGCGGTGCCACCACCTTCTTTCCCTACTTCGCCTAATGGTGCACCAATGAATGTCATGTCCCCACCTCCAGGCGGCCACCCCGCACCTCCGCCCATGTCCCACTCTCGGTCAGCATCAGAGGTCGTATCTCCGGTGCAAGCTCCCTTCAGTCCCAATGGTGTGCCGCCGCCGATGCCTTACGGCGTGCCTCCCATGTCGCCCACGTACGGGCATCCGGGTCAGGTACCTATCCCTGTCTCCATCCCTCCTCTTCCTCCTCTCAACGGCGGCCCGCAGTCTCCTCAACAGCAACAGGGGATGTACCCGCCCATGTCGCCTACAGCGCAGGGCGCCATGTCGGCTTACCCCGTGCAGAGGGATGCTCCTGGACCATATGCGCCTCAGGGTAGGCTTTTCAACGGCTCTGTTGTTGATAGACTTGGTTCACATTCGTCTTCGTCAGCCCCGCAAGCGGACGGCTATGGTCCTGGGCCTGGCCCCATGCATAGGGATGGTATGTCCCACTACCGCCGGGGAGGTGCACGAAGACCGTCCTTCGGTGGTCCAGGTAGGAAGCCGCCCTGCCTGTTCTTCCCTGTCGGAAGGTGCAGGAACGGGTAAGTCGTTTCAGAAGCCGACACACACTCCCACGTCTTACGATGTTCTTCTCGCAGGGATGATTGTCGATTCCCCCATGTTATGCCGGAAAACCAGCTTCCGTACCACCCTGCACACCACCCACCTCATTTCGGAGGGCGAGGCGGGCATCGGTCGCGTCCTTCAATTCCCGTCAATGGTGTGAATGGTGTAATGGTGTTAATGGTGTAATGGTGTTAATGGTTCGGCTCGCTCGAGGATAAGTTCTCTGCGATGACTGTGCAGGACGTACGTAGATGTCTCTATTCGGTGTCTACCCCCGCTCACATTCAAACAGCAGCAGCAGCAGCCTGATGGCCAGCCGAACCATGTGCGCAGTGGCACCAACGAAACCACTGCGACGTCAACGTCGAGCCGATCGCAATCCAGCGATCCCGGCAGCAGAAGAGGTCCTCCGGGCTACCGACCGAATCACGTTCCCAATGGTGTACGCCCGGACAAGAGGCCCATGCTATCGAAGCCTCAGCGTGTGCCCAATGCCGACGAATTCCCTGTCCTTACCAGTATCACTCCTCCTCTACGCAGCCCGGCTTTGTATGGGCCCAATGGCAATGGCTGGGTGGGCCCGACGGCCGCGCAGATCCTTCAGGCGCCACCGCCTCGCAAGGATGGTCAGGTTTCTGTTCGTGGCACCACGCCAGAACAGAGCGTGACCCGTCCGAGTTCAAAGGTATGAAAGATGATGATTCAGTATATCGGCGTGCATAACATTGTGTGCACTTTTTAGGATGGGAAGCCTGAGGTCAACGGTACCCAACCGGAACCCACCAGCAAGTTGCCTGTCTCGTTCGCTGCTGCTGCCACTGCCGCCCCAGACGCCGCCAAAGAAGTCGCCGTCACGGCCTAAAACGGACAAACCTTGTCCTGTGATCACATCTCTCGTGTCCTACGTCCTTCACCTCGTCACGACTACTCATATGTTCCCCGCGCATTATTCCGGGCTTTCTGTCGCTGTATTCTGTAAACTCTGTTCGTGCACTCGTCATCTCTATAGTGAGAGGACTCTCCGTCGCTGTCAGCATATTATTCGGACCCTCCACTCCACTCCGTCCATCGAGCATACATAGCTTCCTCACGGATCCTGCATGGTCTCTGCCTCTCTAGACTCCCTGTCCTCTCTGTGCTCTCCCTCTGCTTCATCTTGGTTATTCTTTCATCTCCGTTGTTGTCTTCGCTGTTGTGTTACAACTCAAAATTCGCCCGCTTCCAGCCAAGCCATATTGCGATTCATCCATTACTGCAAAACAACCCGCTTACATTCATTTTCTTCATTCAGTCGCTGCTTCTATCACGTATACGTTACATTCGCGATAACTTATGCCGTGGCGGCACGCCTGCGAGGTCTGGTTACTACACTACTTTTTAATCCATCGATACAGCTGCAGGTATACGGTACCACGCCGTCAGCTGCATGTAATACTCTGTTGTCGGATTAATCTCGCACCTAGAGCTACACATTCCACGCATCCAGATTTTGCATGTGCACGCCGCTCCCGGTAGTGACCGCGCCGATCCGGTACACGTCGCGCTCGCCCGCGTCGCGCAGCAGCCGGATCACCGCATCGACGTTCTGCCCGTCGACAATGAGCACCATGCCGACACCGTTGTTGAACGTGCGTGCCATCTCGAGCGGCGCGACGCCGCCGTGCTGCATGAGGAAGCGGAAGACGGGTGGGAGCTCCCACGATGATGCATCGATATGGCATCCGAGGCCCTTGGGCAGAACGCGGGGGACGTTCTCGGTAAAGCCGCCGCCGGTGATGTGCGACATGCCCTTGATCAGGCCCGCCTGCGCGGCGCGGAGGAGGGGCTTGACGTAGATGCGGGTGGGCTCGAGGAGCGCGCGCCCGAGCGTTTGTTTTGCGTCCCAAGAACAAGGGCTTGCGTAGGTGAGCCCGGAGAGCGCGACGACTTTGCGGACGAGGGAGAAGCCGTTGGAGTGCAGGCCTGAGGATGGAACACCGAGGAGCACGTCGCCCTCGACGATGTTGGGCTGGGGTAGGATGAGATGACGCTCGACTGCGCCGACCGCAAAGCCTGCAAGGTCGTAGTCCCCTGCAAACGATTGCTTAACGATGATAAATTAAGTGAGGAGTTGACAAACCATCGAGATACATCCCAGGCATCTCTGCGGTCTCTCCTCCGATGAGAGCACATCCAGCTTGTCTGCAGCCTTCTGCGACACCTTTGATGACTTCGGTCGCGACTGGCACGTCTAGCTTGCTGCATGCGTAGTAGTCTAAGAAATACAGTGGCTCCGCGCCCTGGACAAGCAAGTCGTTCACCGACATCGCAACCAAGTCGATCCCTATCCTCGGCTGTGAGCCACTGTGAATCTGCACATGCTAAGTGAGACGCACCGACGGTGTCGTGAATACCAGCGTCCATCGCCACACGAAGCTTGGTCCCGACGCCATCTGTACCACTTACGAGCACAGGGTCGGTGTACCCAACCGCCTTCAGGTCGAACACGCCACCAAACCCGCCAATCTCCGCGTCCGCACCCGCCCGGCGCGTCGAGCGGACGAGCGGCTTTATCGCGTCGACGAGCGAGTTGCCCGCGTCCACCGAGACGCCCGCCTGCGCGTACGTCAGGCCCGGCTTGCTTGCGGCCGCGGCGAGCGCGCTGAAGACGAGGGAGGGGACGCGAGGTCAGTAGGTTATTGTGGGCTGGCGTTATGTGTCACTCGCCGGTGCCCGATGTCCCGTCTGTACACCTTCCCTGAAAATGACACTTTTTCGACGCCCGCGTACGCCAGGTCGAGCGCCTCGCGCAGTGTAGGCGCGTAGGCGGATACGGCCATGACCCGTCCTCCAGACGTGACGACCTCATCGCCCTTCTGTGTCGTACCGGCGTGAAATGCCACAACGCCTGTGCGGAGTGAGTGTCATTTCGCACATGCGTAATTGAATATGTACCTGAGGGCAATTCGCCGACAGTAATTTGGTTGCCTTTGGCATAGCTGCCCGGATAGCCCTCGGAGGCGAGGATAACGGAGACACCAAAGCCCGGTCGCGTGTTTACCTGCACGGAATCAAGACGACGCTCGGCACAGGCCTACGGATGCCTGGACTGAGTATCAGCGCCCAGGGACCTGAGCAAATGATCTTACGAGCAAGACAGCGGCGAGGTCGGTGTCTTCGCTGAGAAGGAGCATCAACGCCTCGGTCTCCGGGTCTCCAAAGCGCACGTTGTACTCGAGCACCTTGGGGCCGGAGGGCGTCAGCATGAGCCCCGTGAACAGCATGCCGATGAATGGGAAGCCTGGCGTGTATGTGCGTCTCAGAGAATGCCGGGTGTTCATCGGTACCGGGACACGCACCCTCCTTGCGCATCCCCGCGATGGTAGGCTGCAAGACTTCTTTCATAATTTGGTTCATGACGGCAGGCGTCGCAACAGGAGCGGGTGCGTATGCGCCCATACCACCCGTGTTCGGGCCCGTGTCGCCCTCACCGATGCGCTTGTGGTCCTGTGCAGCCGGGAGGGGCACGATGGTGTATCCGTCTGCGAACGCGAGCACAGAGACCTCAGGGCCTGTGAGCAGCTCCTCAACCACAACCTCGCTCCCTGAGATGGAACACAAATATATTATTCTTCAAGGCATAATGTACACATCGGGCGGGGCGCGGACCTGCTGCTCCGAACACATGATCGACCATCATCTCGCGCAAGCCGGCAATCGCGTCGTCGAGAGTCTCCGGGATGAGCACGCCCTTGCCGGCGGCCAGGCCGCTGGCCTTGAGGACGGTCTTGAAGCCGCAGGTCTTGACGTACTCGATGGCTTGGTCGACCTCTTCCGCCTTGAAGACCCTGAATTGCGCAGTAGGAATTTTGTGCCGCGCCATGAAATCCTTGGAAAACGCCTTTGAGCCTTCCATGCGGGCAGCCAAGGCGGAGGGGCCAAAGACGGGGATGCCGACTGATCGCAGTACGCTTGGTATTGGCACACATGTGGTTGATATTGAGCGAGACAGTTACCTTTGCGGAAGTGCTCCTCGATGCCATCGACGAGGGGCTGCTCCGGACCAGGGAGGACGAGGGAGACCTTCGGATTGCGGGGTGTGAACCGAGAAGCTCAAGCGGGTGGGTGAAAACGTACGCTGTTAGCGACCGCGAAATGGACAAGAGCGGGGAAGTCTGTTGCCGAGATATCGACGTTGGTGGTCTTACGCTCGTGCGCAGTCCCGCCGTTCCCAGGGCAGACAAAGATGCGGTCGACGAGGGGCGAGCGGGCGAGACGCCATGCGAGTGCGTGCTCGCGGCCGCCGCTGCCGACGACGAGGACGCGGAGAGACATGGGGGAGAGGTCGAGTGGATGTGGCAAAGACGGTGGCCAAGCTGGCCAAATTAATTTCGAGGCCCCCAGGGACCGCGGGACACGCGGCGGCGGCAGGGGAGGGAACGAGGCAGGCTGGACGGCAGAAGAGGTTGCACCGGGGTCAAGTGCAGCGTCGCCGTGTTCGCGCTGTTCTTTGTTCGATAGGTCGTTCGTTCCCCACCGTCGCCGTGCGATAGCATATCGCCCACGCACTAGTCTTCGCTTGCCATCGCTCGCCATGCGATGGCATGAACAACAGGCAAGTCGTATCAGCCCGGTCCCATCACGTTTCGCTTCCTTTTAGCCGGCGCGCTCACTTCCACACAGTCGCGAGTTCGGCAACCGCTCCCTCATTCTCCTCCACCACCACCTCCATCCACCTCGTCCGCCCGTCCTCCCTCCAGCACCATGGGCGTAGGCGCGAGAATCCTCGGCCGCGGCAAGTCGCAGACAAAGGCTAATGGAGGGAAAGGCCCTTTGTCGCGCAAGGCTCCCCCCAAGAACGCGGACCCGTCCATCCCCTCCCTCTCCGAGAAGCCTTCCCCCACGCCCTCCGAGTCCCGCAGCAGCACCAGTGGCAACGACAAGGACTCCTCCTCCCTCCGCAGTGACGACCAACACTACTACAGCCGCCTCTTTTCCCATCTGCCACCCAACTCTCTCATTCCCGATGCCCTCGCCGAGCTCCCACCATGGTTCAAGACTGACACCGAGGCTTGGAATGTCGCCTCGTTGATTTCATTCAGGTCGCGGTACCCCATGCACAATCCGGCAGGCCCCCGTTGGTACCAGAACGTCCATCTCTTGGCTCCTACAGAGAATCAAACGTCTCAGTTTTCTGCCTCTTTCCCTCCCATACCTACCGCCGCGGAGCGTTCCCAGGAGTCGACACGCTTGCGCACGCCGTCCGCGTCGCCGCTGCCGACACCCAACTCTTCTCAGCTGCGCATTGTCGATCCCACTGGCCGCGTCAGGACGCGTAAGATCTCGCAGACTGATAATGTCGACATGCTCGACGGCACCGACCCTTGGGGTCAGCAGTGGCACCACGACTCGCCCTACGATATCGGTGGATTGAATCACGATGCGTCGCCCGAGACAGAGGTACGTCAGTGCACGCTCTCTTTCCAGGCCTTCATTTACGTGGCTCCAGGATCGTCGGAGAAGTCTCACTATCGGGAATCGTCACAAGAGTGTGACGCCCTCTCCGTTGTCCCAGTCGACGTCTGCCGTGCACCTGCACATGCCAGAACCGATGGGCGCAGATCTGCCTCGTCGCATGAGCAAACGACGCAAGCCGTTCAGTGGCTTGTTTGGTTCTCAGAGCCAAGACAACTTCCACCCGAAGCACGCGTCCGCCCCGCACGAGCCTCCCTCCCCCCTTACTACGGAGAGTGTGCAGCGTCAGAATGTGCTCCGTCGTAGGTCGACGGCGGGCCCGCCGCCGCCTTCGCCCTCCGCCTTGCTCAGCGCGGACATGGCGTCCGGCAAGAAAGAGAAACACACGAGCTTTATGGGCCGCCTTGCGCGACGATTCAGTGTCATGCGTAAGCCCGATCCAGTGCAGACTGCAAACGGTATCGGCGGTGATTCTCCCCTTGATGGCGCTAATGCTGAGTCCAGCGCGGCGGCAGAGCAGGTCAATGACAATGCCGACAGCACCCGCACGCCGGACCCCTCGAGGCGCGTACCTGCGCCAGCAGTAACTGGTGATCCTTCTACCGAGGCGGACCGTGTGCAGTCGAGTGCCCTATACTCTGCCGACGATGAGGAGCCTGTCCCGAGTAAACTCACCGTCGTCAACCCGGACGAGCCTGACAGCTCGGTGGGTGCGTCGCCCGTTCAGCTGGCTGCTACAGTGCCGTCCGAATCATCTGCTGCGGACACCGAATCATCTTCCAAGGCGGATGCGGATGTTTCTGAGATGGATGACCGTTCTGAGGGCACGGACACCCCTGCGGCTGCTTCCCGCGCGACGATCACCGAGACTCCTGCATCGCCCTCGACGATTCCGTCAACGTCCCAAGAGCCAGTCTCGCCGTTGCAAATCCCTTCGCTCTCGCCCTCGCTACCTCTCCCAGAGTTGCCCCAGCAGTCGTTGGCCGCCGCGTTGAACCTCGACCACTCGTTGCCTCCTACGCCCCGGACAGAGAGGCCTCTGTCTCTCGTGTCCGAGCGGACAGAGCCGTCCACGGCCTTCCTGTCTTCGCCACGCACCCAGACGCAGGAGACGAACTTCTCCAGCTCCAGTACCAACTTGACTGCGTACGCACCTTCCTCTGTGACCACTCCTGATGACCCGTCGCTTGTCCGTGCCTCGATCGTCGCGAATCCTCCGACCCCGCATGTGCGGCCCATGGTGATCTTCCCGTCCGCGAAGGCGACACAGGTTCCAATGTCGTCGTCTCCCGTCGAGATGTCACCCAAGCCTCGCGAGGGCTCGCCAAAGAAGGAGGGCCACCACAAGTCGTCCAGCACGACGAAGCGGAGGGAGACCGAGACGTACACGCTGGTGCGCAGCCCGTCGGGCACCGCGCGTGCAGCAGGGGACGTGATCACGGCGATGGGGGAACAGTGGGAGCTGGTCTCGTCGCAGGCTGAAGAGGGCTCGCGGAAGAGCCGGAGGAAGGAGCGAAGCGGGTCCAAGGAGGTCGAGAGCCCCATCCGAGAGGAAGGCGAGTATCACCACCATAAGCGGCAGCGCTCTGTCAACGAGCAGCGCCCCGCTGCGGAGCCGATGACGGCGTCCTCCAGCAGGTCGACGCGCACGCCGAGTGTGGACACTGAGCGGCGCCCGCATGGGACCGTCTCTTCACGCAAGGAGCGTCGTTCGTCCTCGAAGCATAGGGAGAGCGATGCCGATGCTGGCCACTCTGTGAAGGCTACTTCGGTTCCGAACCCTCACCACCCTTACCGTCACGAACGGGCTCTGTCTGCCGGTGCGCGTCCGGCATCTGACCTGCAGTTTGACCCAATGGTCCTCAAGGCTAAGGACGCCTGGGAGCAGGACAGGCTCTGGAAGGCCAACAGCGTGTCGTACGGCCCTGACGGCATTCCTATCGTGTCTACGCCCCCTACGATCGGCGACGGCTCGCGCACATCGACCGTCGTCAGTGCCGACATGCAGATGGCCGGTGCCATCCCCAGCACGAGCGACCTGTACCTGCACCGCGCCACGACGCTTCCCTCCCCTCATACCCCCGCGCCTCCGCACGGCTCCAGCCATACGTACTTCACGATCGGCCCGTACCAGGGTAGCCACACCATTCCCCCTGTCTACGTGCCCAACGTCGCCCCCTCCGCGCAGAACCCCTCTGCACCAGGCAGGCGGCGCCAAGTTTCTCGCTCCTTCTCTGAACGTGTGCCATTCTCCATCAACGACAAGAGGAACGACCCGCCTTCCCTCACGCGCAACTACATTGGCAATCCGCTCCCGGACCCGCCCCGCATCTCACCTTTCCAAGCCGCCCCGCTACCGCCCTCGCTCGTGGCCCCGTTGGGGAGCGCGAACGCACAGTACGCCGGCGTGCCGACACGATACTAACCGACCTTTTATACCACCTCTCGCACTCATATCTCTGACACTGCACCTCATATTTCAAGGACCTCCCTAATAGACTTCAATCCTTTGACCGCATCCTATGCACTCATTTTCTCCGCTTTTCCACTTCTGGCTCACTGCCGCCCTAGCTAGCTATCACGCTCTTGACTCAATCGTTCCTGCTTGTAATCGGGACGCTTCTCAGATAGAAGAGGGGTTTTGACAAGTGCTGTATCTCACTCTGGATTCTGCATGCATCTCCTGGTCCGTCCGTAGTTAGTCACGATAAAGCGATGTTACGTTGCACCGTTAGCTTTAGCATTGGTTGAATTGCAGGCGTTGCACGTAAAGTACCCAAACTTAGACAGACGTGACGAGCGACAACATTGTGAGGTATCGAGGGAGACTTGTATGTAATATAGTTACAGATGGATGACAATGACACATGGAACCCACAGGCCCGCATACAGACCAGAATAAACAGTCAGATAGACAAACAATTCGAGCTCCTGAGAAACGCAGGTCCACGCGGCTAGTCCGCGCCATGCTTATAAGGGTCAATGGGGAACGTCGTCTCGGGGTAGTCGTTCCACTGGTGGTCGCCGTCGAGGAACCGGCGGAGGCGGACGACCTGGTTGCATAAGTAGAGGACGATGATCTGCATGTCGACCTTGAGGTTCGTTTGAGCAACTTGACGATCTCCTCGCACGTCCGGAGCGCCTGCGTGCGCGTCGCGACGAACATGTTGCCCTCGAAGCCGAGGCCCTTCAGGGCGTCGATCATCTCGCTGAACTCGGAGCTCCACGCGAGGACGCCGAGCTGGTTTGCGGATCGCAGGCAGTCAGCGGATGGGCTCCGCGATGTTATCGAGACTAGCACTCACTTGGCCATACTGCTTGTATTTTGAATAGAGGACATTGGGGGCACTCTTCAGCGCGAAATCAAACATCGCGTTTGATGCATGGCCGCCTGGTCGGGCATCTCAGGCATAGACGGCGGTGGCGCGGGCTAGAATAACGGCAGCATCTGATCAGCCACAGGACACCCGCAGGGAAGCACGGCACGACAAACACACCTCAGGCCGCGGAGGGGGATCCTTGAACCACTCATAGCCGGAGTAGTCGTAGTCTTCGCCCCATCGACGGTGTCGGCAGGCTTGTTGTACGTAGTAGTCATCGCGGATATGATGCTTGGGTCGCGGATAGCAGCTAGCAGATGCGCGGGGATGTCGATGGGAAGCTCGCCGGGTGCGGACTCCTGCGGGGCGGGTTGGTTTGGGATAAAGATACGGAGCGAAGGCCTCGGGGCTTCGGTGCAAGGGCAGCTGGGTCTAAGGTCCGAGAAAGACGGGCGTCAGAGGGTTCTGGAAGGACGCGGGAGGCGTGGTATGTGAAAGCAGGAGAGGGTACCGGCCGCGGTCAGGACATACACGAGGACGACACGATGCGGGTGGCGTACCAGAGTAAAGTGGCTCGGAATCTGGAAGAGCTAGGTGTGCCTGGGGTCCTGGCGAGGGGTTGGAGAAGAGGACGATGAGAGAAGATCGCTGATGCAGAATGTAACGCGGCCAGGTCAGCAGTCAATACATAGCGCAGGCGCGTCATAGGCTAAGAACAGCTCACCTGCGAGTGCGCGGTACCGGGGCCAAGGGAGGTGTATGCAAAGAGGAAGCGCGCGTTTCCGGAGTCGGTGAGGGATCGGCGGGACTGGGTCACAGAGAGACGATTGGTGGCGACGGACGGAGGACGCGAACGGGCGTAGAAGGACGATCGGACTGGCGATGCTGCGTTCGAAGCGACGAAGAGCGTGACGGAGGACGACGTGGAACGCGGGCTTTCTGGTACGTCCGGGTAGTCAGCACACGACTGAATGCTCGCTCGGTGAGTTGCTGGAATGGGGGCAATAGGACCGGGCAGACTTACCTGGGACTCGGCGAGACTGGTCCTGGAGTGGACAGGAAGAAGGGACCGCGGGAGGATATGTAGTGGTCGAGGTGAAGGTGGAGGAACAGGGATGGGATCCGGTGAAAGAGGGGAGCCTGCGACGAAGTGTCTTTCTCTGCGTAGAACTCAAGGTCCTTGACGTTACGAGAAAGCCACGAAGGTGACGGGGGAGGTAGAGGCGAGGCGGCAGGCGAATATCCGATGATAGTAGAGGTTCGCGCAGATGTAGTTAATTCACGGGATCAACGCGCTCGTAGCGGTATACCTGGAGGTGGGAGATGTATTTGGAGAGGTAAGGCTCAAACTGTTGAACAGCCTGAAGAGGTGATTGGGGTTCCTTGGGCGGTACAGCAGGGGGAAGTGGTGATTCCTCTTCCTCGTCTTCCTCGAGACGGGCGCACAGTTGAAGTGATCGAATGAGAGCTCCGGAAGGTAGTCGGTGACGACTTCGGCGACGACAGGACGAGGTGGTAAGGGCTCAGGGAGGGGCGGCTGTCGTTCGGTGACTGAAGACTTTCGAGAGCCGAATATGTGGAGTTTCGAAAGACTCTTGAGGCGTTTCAAAGACCTGATCGAGCGGATGCTACTCTGGTCGGAGACGAGGGTAGAGGAAGAAGAGCAAGGCGCGTCGCGTTGCGAATTGCTGCAACTCTCGGAGCACTCAACGACCGCTTGCAGCGAGGTGCGTAGCTCCGGGAACTCGTACTCGCAGGGAGATTCGACCTTGCGAAACGGGTCCTCGTCGTAGAAGGCAGAGGAAGTGTCCTCTACTGGAGCGGTGTCAGTGGAAGACCGAGCACGGGAGGTTGGGGAGACTGAAGGCGGAGGCGATGCAGGCGCGAGCGGGGAGCGCTCTGGCTGAAGTGAGTAATGCGGTTGACTTGGACTGGATGCTGGGGAACGTTCAGACGCTCTCCGGGGCCGCTTGAGCGATAGTCGCGAGAGCTTCCTGAACCTGTCTCGGGATCTCGAGAGGATGGACGGCTGAGCTTGGTAGTCTATTCGAGTCTGGTAAGAAAGACCTGGTATATGCGGGAAAGCAGAAACACACCGGTGGTCGGGAAGGCAAATGCTGGATCGGCGAGGAGAAGCGTACGGCGGAACTCGTCGTACGAGATCTGTTCAAATTCGTCTGACCACGACGTCGGCCGCGTGAAAGACTCTTCGGGGAGAGGAGGTAAGGCTCGGGCAGGCGGAGGCGGGCGTCGGTGATGGCCTGTAAAGGTCGTCAGTGCGGTGGATGATGAGTTTGCGAGGAGCTTCGCGGAGGCACGCAGCGAGCCGGGGAGGCTGGGTGCGAGTCGCGAGGGAGTGCGATGGCTGGATGAATGCATGGTGACTCACGAGTCCTTCAAGCGTGGACGTGCAGAGAGCAGCGGACGGGTGGGGCTAAGTAGACGGAGGGGACAATCAGCGCGAGGGTGCGTGCAGGAGGGCTGGTTTCGGCACTCACAGATATTCCGCTCTTCGCGTGCGTGCGAGGTATCCGAGCCGGGAGAGATAGACGGGGGAGGGTGCGTACTTACCTCGCTACTCGACCTCTTCACGTAGGCCGCCCTCTGCGAATTGGAGGGCGCCTCGAGGCTGTCGCACTTCCGCTTCCGGCTAACGAGCGTCTCCCATTGTGGGGTCGATCGCCCATTGTCCGTTGTTTGCCTCCGACGCTCTCTTTGCTCAACAGGCCCGGGCGAGCGGAGGCAAATACTCAGCTGTTTAGCTGCTCATTCTCCTACTACCTGGGACAATTCTAGGCCTGCTGTATTGTTCCATCTCCGTCACTGGTGCCGATATGATGCAGGTCTAAGCTAGCCCATCCTCATTGAGACGGTGTGGACTTTTGAGTTTCAGTTTCAGGAACCTAGTCGACGTCGGAAACTCGACCAAATGATGATTTACGCAGTTCGATTCTCCACGAACTCCCTGGGCAAGGGCTGCACACTAGCGATCATGACCCCGCAGCCACACTCCTCTCCGGTCCGCCATGTCTGACGCACCTGAAGGATGCGAGCAACATGGGCTACACACGGAGGATGCACCACGAAGGTAAGGTGCTTGACTGTGCTTGAGGCTTCTCTGTTCAGTCGCTGTCATACATCGCTCGTGCAATGCGTGCGCTCCGCGTGTGGACAGTTGGTGCCCCGCTGTCGTACATTTGAGGTTACGCGCTCGGTTCTTGCACTTCGTGGCGAAGGATCAGCGCTATACATTTGCCACAACGAAGCTACTGAGAACAGAGTAATGAACATACGGCAAGTCCGGTACGGCATCAGAGCTGAGTACCGTACACCCGCAACTTCTTGTACACAGTACAACAGCCATAGCACACACAAAGCACGAAAGCAGAGAACACAGTCGAGAACAAGCCAGGCACGCCGCGGAACATCCATCGCAATTGACGTCGAGCGTTTGAAGCCTTCTCAGCCAGGAGGGGTTCCTCGTCCGCCGCACGCTGAGCACGCCTCTTCTGGATGACCCTCACTAAGGCAGTCGCCCGTTCTCCAACAGCGATCAACACAACCTCCAAGACGGCTCCGATACCCGTAATCCCCCAAACCGCCGCCAGCGCAACATACGCTCCGCCCGCACCGAACACCGTCCGGCGCTCGTCGTACGGGTACGGCACCCCGATCTTGCGCACCCACGACCCCTGGCCGACCTGCACGAAATCTTGCATGCCCCGCCCTGCGACACCGCTCACCCCTCCCTCGCCGCCATCGCACCACAGGACCGTCGTCCCGAGCTCCTCCGCGCGCGCACGCGCCTGCTCCCACATGGCGACGCCGACGCCGACGTGCCAGGTCCGCGCGGGCGCCAAGACGAGTGCGGGGCGGGTGTCCAGTGTGCTGAAGGACGCGGCGGATGAGAAATCGAGGCAAATGGAAGCCGTGACGGAAATAGGCCGCGTTTTGTTGGGGCCCCATCCGGTGGGTGACCAGCCCTTGCGCGCTGGCATGTCCCATGAATATACGCTTGGAGGGTCCGATGAGGGCGTCAGAGAGAACGACTCTGCAACTGTAAAGGCGTAATGAGCCACCACACTATGAAGCAGTAGAGAATACGTACTCGGCACGAGCATGCGTTTCGTGTACTCCAGGACGGGCTCCTCGGACTCCGGCTTCAGCAGCGCAAACGTGTTCTGCCTGATGCCCGGGCCGTGCTCGCCCTTGGACCGATCAGGGAGGATGTACTCCTCGTAGCTCACGCCGACGAGCTTTTTACCTTCTGCGGCCGTCCTGATACTCACGAACGCCTCTCGCTTGGCCTGCTCCGTCTCAAACCTCACTGCGCTCTCCGGCCAGACGAGTATGTCAGCGGTTGATTTAAATTGCTTCATCTCGTCGATGTAGTCTTGAAGTGCGGGCGCAGAGGTGCGCTCACCGTTCCGGTGAGGGAAGGGAAGGACACAGGCCACGGAGAGCGGGGTCGTGTCCGCAGACAGCACCGGCTCAGGGAGGGACGACGCGAAGAGCGGCGGCACCGCGAGCCCAACCAGCAGCACGGCCAGCACGGCCGTCGCCCGCGCCCGCGCCGACATCGGTGTCTCCCTCTTCGCGGGCGCGGTAAGGTTAGGTACCTCCTCCGACACGATCGAGATGATCTGCTCCTGCTCCAGTGCTGCGTCGAGATCATCCCCAGCTGGTCCGACCAACCAGTTGCCGATGGTCTCTGCGCATACAACAGCCCAGGCGGCTACGATCCAGTCGATGCCCCACTGTCCGATGATGGGGCGGATCCATTCGTACGGGCCCAGGCCGACGGAGGGGCTCCAGGTGATGAGGCGGCCGACGGGGCTCAGGTAGGCGATGGTGCCCCAGACGGTCGCCCAGGCGGCGGGGAACAGGTAAGCTTCGACCATGGGGTACTCACCGCCCTGTTTGCATAGTACGAGAGCGCGATGGTGGAGAGCGCAACGACGCTCGTTAGCGCGCTGAGGGCGGCGAGCACGAGAACAGACACAGCTCGTGTGGAGAGCGCGTTGAGGGAGGCCCCGATGTGTGCCAGGCTTGCAGCAAACGCCAGCAGGAACACCTGCGCTCCGCCATGAGAGACGAGAGCTCCTCTAGGCAGGACATATGCACATGGAGATGTAAGATAGCTACTAGCAAGTGAGCGGTACGAGAGGCGGCGTTGTAGACAAGGCGGCTAGGCCAATCACCGGTGCGGCACCTAGCCACACAGAAGGGTGCCGTACAACGAAGGCATTGAGAGCCATCGCGATTTGCGATGCAGGTTGAAGGCAGGATGCTGGCCGACGGAGGTGGTTCAGAGCAAGCTCCCGTGCGAAACTGTGCAGGAGGATAGGGCGTTATTACTGTATCCGACGGAAGCCTGGCCGCGCGGCGCATTCAATTGAGGAACTCACCACTTCCACGCACAGCACCAAAATTGGCGACCGTGCCCTGCGGTCAGAACGCGGAAGTCAGCATGATGGAACAGTTACATGTAATTTGCTCGACTCCCGCAGGAACGTGCACGGGCGAAGAGCGTCCGAGTAGGGCCTTCTTTGTGCGGCGTCTGGCCTTCTCTCCAGTCTCTCCAGCCTCGGGCCTGTCCACGGTTACTTCCGGTAAAGTCCTAATGGAACACCAAAGAGAAACGAAGACGGACGGACGGATACCGTCCGACGTGATAAATACTCAAATAGCACTTCCACCCCGGTCTCGAGGAAGCTTTGTACTGTCTACGACGAAGAGAGCAAGCTGTACCGTTGTTGACAGTTTATAGAATTCACAGTCGACCCAGCGAACTGGCGAGTCCGCTTGTTGGTTTCTGCCTCCGAGATCGCGCGAATGCTGATATGTATGCAACCGCTTCCCCACAAAACCATCTGATACGTCAATGGATTATTTGGATCCGTCTCGTCGACGTTTGTCCAACGCCTCTCCCATCAATCGATATGTGTTGCAGTCTCCTCTCACCACATGCAACCAGTACAGCTCGGCAAATGTGCACGAACCGGCCTTCACACAAACCGAATATCCTTGCCTTGCGCAGCGGAAAGAGTTGCGTCGTTATACAGTTATCGATACACGCTGCTCCTCCAATGGTACACGCTCCGGTCTCAACGTTCAACGTACACACTCAGCCCTGAGAATGATACAGCTCCGTCGTCGACGAGGAGCGAGGTAGAGCGACGTTCTGGAGAGACACACGGCCGTCAGGGTCACTTCAGCAGCTATTGCGTACTGCACTCACCATATCGACAGCGGTGTCGCAAAGACGAGCTCACTTGCTCTGGGGAGGGTTGGCGCAACCGCACGCCGGCCAATCGCATTTCGTGCCGGTCTTCTCACTGGTAGCGCACTTCACGGTGTCCTGAAGGAGACATGTCAGTTTCGGCGTCAGTCAGACAGCAACCCATGGCTACTCACAGACATCGTTAGAGAGGAAAGGTTGATAGGTGCGACTAGTGAAGTGGGGAGTCAAGTGGTAGTCGAGGACTGAGAGTACCGACCGACCGACCGAGTCTTATATACATCCTAGCCTACGCCCGTCGGCGTTATCTGAGCCGCATCAGTATGCCGTTCAGCTGCCTGCATGCGCATGCACCTCGCTAGCCGCGGTCTGGAGGCCACTCTGCAGGGTGCTACATCTCCACCGAACAAGCTCTTTCCAGTGCTCATTCGATATCACCTCGCCAAGCGACATCTTATCAGATTCCCAGCCTTCCGGCTTGATCTAATCAGACAACCGAACCGGCCGCTTGGGGTTCGGGGAGCCTGCCATGCCTCGAGGCCAGTCGTGACTGAGGGCATCCCGTTTATTGCCCTTTGCCATTGAGCACATTGTACCAGTCACTGGTTTTGTCATGACGTACGATGCCCGTCCGACATCAGGAAAAAGGGGAATGCTGTTATCACGGATTTGTTCCCGTGTATCAGTGAGAACCGGATCCGAACCCCGCATGCAGACCCCGTAGGTAGACGGGTAATACGTCATGCACGGTGAGTGCTCAGGCAGAGGGACAAATGCTCTGCACAAGCCACTGAGAAAGGATAGATTGCGGAGATGAAAGCCCAGGGCGAGTGACATACCGTTCACGCAGCAGCGGCCTTCCGAGGTTCGTGTCCTCGCTTCGGCAGTTCGACCTGAGAGCGAGTAGGAACGAGTCCCAGAGTGCATGGGAGAATGAAAACTTACACACCGGTCTAGCCAAGCCCTGAATCATTGCATATCGTCGCAAGACAAGCGGTGTCCGCTAGACCTGTATGGTCGCAAATGTGTCTAAGCACCGGTGTCTCACTAAATAGACTCATCGTCAGGATGCTTCGACGTTACAGTAGAGACGTACCGCAGATCATCGGCTCGTGACATGCATAGGTTGATCCTAATCTGCGTCCAAGAACCTGTTGTTTCTGTAGGCAACAAGGCCCGGTCCAATCTGTTTGCACTGATTTCGAGGACGATCATATCAGGTGGCCTGAGACTGCCGCAGCGTTAGTCGGGGACAGAATGAAACATTTGACTCCGCGCTAGACGTGCTCCAAGGACGCAGGGTGCCTCGCGGACATTACATGGAGATTGTATCTTGCAATTGCAGGAGGGAGACCAATTGGAAGAGTCGTAAAAGCCTATATTGCCTTCGAGGATTCGCAATATAATCATCGAGTCAAGGATACGTATGGCGAGGTGCACGAAGGGAATGCACTCACCTGAACGTCTTTATTTGCCTACAGGAGTGAGAGTGATACATTCTTCGAGCCTTGTGCGCAAAAGCGCAGACGCTGTGGATTCTGCTGATCAAACACTGTCCACGGCGCGCGTTTGTTGAGGTAGGCTTCTGTAAAACCTCTCTTGTCATTGGCCAAGATACACTGCAACATGTCAAACACGTAGCACCTGTGCGGGGCCGGTTTGTATGATGTGACAGCGAATCAGACCAGATTCTTTCCCAACAAGGCGACGCCAATTCCAGACCAAGACATGCGTCCGAGGGGCAATTGAAGTCCTGGCAGCAAAAAATATTACTCGTATTGCAAATCAACGGCGCATTCTCCACATTCGAAGGCTCTTCTGGCCAAGGGCTAAGCCGGCCCGCATCCTGGCGAGGGGCCTTCCAGTGCCCCATACATAGATTGTACCGGAATTTCGACAGAAGCTCGTCGTGCACAAAGAGGGTACATGCTTTTTCTGTCCTTGCGTGTGTGCGTGGTAGAGGTGTTGTCTGAAAGCAGGCGCTACAGTTCCAGCTGGGCGCGGAGAAGCAAATTAGCGAGGAGCAATAAAATTGGACAGCCGTGCCAAGTGGACGCACCAGATGCTTGCAAGGCGGCGAAGCTGGATGCCACTGGGTGCCATACATGGTATTCTCACATTCGTACGGATTTAGACAGGTTCCGCTGAGGAGATTGCGACAAGATCAATCAGGGTATCAAGAAGGTCCGGGGCACCGCTCACCGTCACCGAGCGCGTACTGTACCAATCGTCGTGCGCGCATTCCAATTAGATGACCAAAAACGGCTTAGATCGTGACGCCAGGTCTGCAAACGATCGGGACGCTGTGCACTCTGCGGAGTGGCCCAACATTCCAGACAGGGCTGTATATTCATGACCACGCGCGAGGCAACGCCAGAGCAAAGGGAGTTGCGTCGAGCTTGACCGCGCCTTCCCTGGAACCATCAGGTGGCCCTTCTATAGAGTCAAGGCTTCATTCACTGTACAGCAATGCGTAGCATGAGAAAGGCCCTGGTGAGAACGGCGCGAGAAGGGATGCGTCAGCTGTCGGGAAACCATTGAATATATACGGACGAGTGAATCATTGGACAAAATAGACAGTTCGGCATATGATAGGCTAACCCCAGATGGCCCTGTCAGCCACAGCGACCGATCGTATGCAAGCTTATAAGAGGGGATCATCCCCGGAAGGACCGAGCTTGTCCTGTCCCCCCTACACAACCCGTACACAAGCGCACCTGAAGCGATTTCCCTTCCCCAACCACCATGATATTCAACAGCACTCGCCTTCCTGCCCAGACAACGTTCCATCCCTCCCCTCATACAATCTGGGCGATTGAGGCAACAACGATGTCTGTAAGTCTTGCACAACTGTCCTCCCCGCCGTCCCCTTGTTGACCCCACCTCTGATAGGAGACAGTGAGCTGCGCAAGTACAGAGGTCAACGGTGGAACATGTTCCTGGCCAAGCTGCGGATGCGCAGAGCCACCGAGAAGTAAATAGGCCTCTTCACACTGTCGCTCCCGGAGGGTAAGCATGCCGCATTTCTGACTGACGATGAAAAGTACTGACCGAGAGTAGACTATAGCGATGCTGTTGCCGCTCCGATGCATGCCCTTGTCCACAAAATCCTCGTACCGCATGATGCATTTACGTTACTACCATACTATTCTATGCGATCAGCATTGTACTCTCAGCCTGCTACGTCGTTGAGTCTTGATAACGTGCCATGGCCATCTAGTTGTTTTATGAATTGAACATGTGTGTGCATGTCGCCGCGATGCCAATGTTGAGCTGCCATGATGGAACCGACTTCGAGCACAAGCATTGCCGCGTTGTAAGGCAGGGGGCCCACGGACCAGGGAGGCGAGACAGGGCGAGACGGAGACGCGACGCGACGCGCCTCGTCACACCGGGTTGTGTGGATGTGTTTGTTCTGGTGGCTGGGGCCTTCGTCGCGTCCGTCGCCGTGGCGGTCTTGCGGCGAAAAGTCGATGGCAAAACGCATCGCGACCGAGGTCCACAGACAGGCCTCACGTCTCGTCCGTGAAGGCTACATCAAGAAGGAGCCAGCATGGCTCCAAGCTGTCCTTGACCACCCTCCCCTTCCTCTCCCCCCCAGAGACCCTGGGCCGCGAACCAGCTTCGACTTGCCGCAGGACGCTTCTGCCACCAAGTCCAAATCTCACTCGAACGGCCACCCTCCCGCTCGACCGTCACGCATTCAGTACATCGAAGACCAGATTCGCAGGCAGTTCTTCAGCGACCACCCCTTCGAGACCTTCAGGCCAACCACTCTCATCGAAGGGTTGACCATCGAGGACGAGCATCCCATACGCGGCAAGCAGTGGACCAGACTCAGGCAGCGGGGTCGCAACCCCACTCCAGAGGAGTATGTGCCTTGCTCTTACTCTGTCGCGCGCCGCCGTTGCTGAATGGTTTCCACAGCGCTATCCGTTTCGCTGTCAACCTTTACACTGATCATAAAGTGCCGTTTTCGCTCGCGTATGCGACAGCCGTAGCGCAGTTTCGGTCATTGCGCTCAGAGCAACAGTTCGCGAAACGGTTCGCCCTCTGGGAAGCACGACACTATGGCATGAAGTTCGGGCCATCCCAAGTCGAGATCACCTTCGAGAAGGAAGAGAAGGCGCTGAACACCTGGGCGAAAAACCATGATCAGCGTCTCGAGGAGAGCCTTGCGAGAAAGAGGTGGAAGGCTATCGTGGAGAGAGAATCGCCGCCCACATCCTGGACGAAGGGGCAGGAGTATACGCGATTGTGGCAGGAGGGCGTGCGGCCGACCTATGGCCCGCTGCAAATCACATCGCAAGTCGCACCGTCATTGCCAACGCTGACGCCAGAGCAGCTGCAACAGAAGGCTATGGAAAGGCGGGTACGCAAAACAGATGTCTTCAAGACCCTACAGCGGGTCGAGCCTGCACACGTATGATGCGCACACCCCCTCCCTACCACATACGTACGCGCAATTTAATGCTGGATGTGCCATCGTATCTCCTTGGGCTGCGCGGGGTACAATGGTCTACGAGATAACGTCGTCCATTGTGAGAAGAGATGCTATAAGCTACACTACATCGGAGGAATGTCGACTACGCCTTCACTGCTCTTGCTTGCGCTGCCTGTGCAGCATTGACCCCCATCCATGTTTTCTCGACAATACTGAGCAACCGTTGCATGTCAGAGCTCCAGTCATTCATAACGTCTTCCGCGCTCTTGCTCTTCCGGAAGTTCACCGTACCTGTCGGACGATCTATTTTGGCCCACACTGTACCAGACACCACCAGTCTGCAGAGCGTCTCCTCTGCCTTCTGTTGTGTGAGGTCAAGCAGTTGTGTGAGGCGAGCGAGGGTGATACGCGTGTAGTACTGGGACACGATGCGGATGTTCTGACGACAGAGGGTAAGGCTGGGCAGAATGAGTCAAGAATGTTTATACTCACGTGTTCGATGACCCTGGTGTGAAGGTCTTCCCAGAACTTGTCTTCCTTAAAAATAGTGTTGGGTCGAAGGTGAGGGCCGTACATAGCCTCGACGCCTGGCCACCTCATCAACTCAGGGGTCGTGAAGCTCTTCAGCAGTTCACTGACATTTAAGTCAGCCGCGACAGCAACAGAACGCGGGAGCTAGACCTACAAATGCAGCGCCATCTTCTCCAGCTCAGGATACCGGAAGATACGATGGAGCATATCGGATTGCTCATTGTCATGCGGGGCAAGCACAATGTAGTAGGCGATGTGTTCGAGAGCCTATGGCGGCGTGAAACTCAGATCTAGGACACTTTCGGCTGACATACCTGAGGGCCACGGGTCTTCTCATCCGCCTTGACGGCGGGCGTCTCCCATACTGTGTGGTAGTACTTCGCGACATCGAGATAGGCATCGTGCTTGAGCGCATACTGAATCATCATCTCGTAGAACTTCATCTTGAGGTCCTGTTTGCTCGAATTAGTGGACCCGCATTTTATCCTGTGCTGAGGATGACGAACCTCGTTGGCCTCTTCCTTCAGGAAGGACTCATTGACTTTCCTGCTAGCAACACGGACTTTGACCCATTCTGCCTCGCCACCACCCATCGTACCCTTCTTTTCTGAGACGCCGTCCTCTGTATCCTTCACTTGTGCAAGAGCGATCAACATGCGCATTTGCTCCAGGATGAATTCCGTCTTCTCTCGGCGCTCCATCGAAGAGTAGGTCTCGACCTGGAGTTCGCTTATAAGGTCGGTCGCTTTCTGCATATGTTCCCTTCGCGTCGCAGAGTCCTGCACGGATTTGGCCAACAACTCATAGTAATGCGTGAGCTTCAGGGTCACCCTTGCTCGTGGTGTCTCCAGGAAGATCTGAGCGACCGGTTGTTAGCTTTCCGAGAACGCTGAGTGCCGCCCGACGCACCTTGCCTTCCGTGACAGTCCTCAGAGTCTCGATCAGCTCCAGCCACTTCTCGTCGCCCTCCCTAGTCCGGATCTCATCCAACCATCCCATGGCCAGCTCAACCATTGCCTGTGTCGATGCCTTGAGTTGGCCATGCTTCTTGCTCAGCGTATTGATGCTTGAATTTAGCAAAGCGTAGTTCCGGGCGTCGTAACATAGTTGCGAGATCTCTTTCACAAGACGGATGGTGGACGCTGCATCCGAAGCCTGTGACAAAGTCAGTTGCCGCAGTACGTGTAAGACGCAGTTACACACATTCCGAGTCTGCTTCTCAAACGCAAACAATTTGTCCAGGGCCTCCTGAAGCTTGCCTGCCTGAATTGCGCAGACGCGGTCACTACCGATACGCGCGTACCACCGCGGAGCACGCACCTGAGCGAGAGACCGTGTCTCGGGAAGCAGCTCATCAACCTCTTTCGTAAAGTCTCTCTCTTGTTTCCTTTGCTCAGCCATGTCGTAGGTCCGGGTGAGATTAGTGGGGAGAGTGAACTGGCGAGCGGTGCGGGTGGTAGAGTCGTAATGGCTGCACTGACGCGTCGCGCTTACGTCTGTACGCGAATTGCCATTCCTGGCGCTTGCATTATCCTCATTCACGTGACCGCTAACGCTCACCGCATCCACAACCCGGGCCTGGAGGTTAGAGTCGACTCGGACACCAGCGTGTTGTTCATGAACACCAAGCGGCGGAGGAACGATGCCCAGTGTCGAATATATGACGAGTTCTTGTTGTATCGCATCCACGGAGGAAGGCTGGGAGGTGTCAGATGAAGTGGATTGCATATCGGCATAAGTGGCAGTGGAGTCCTACGTGCGTACGAGAGCATAGTACATGTAAGCATAGTGCATAATCTACAGCGAGAGAATCAGGGACCGACAGGAGAGACGTCCGTAGGCTGCGCGTAGTCCGTCGGGTTTCCGTTCCCTTGTTTTTCAGAACCCGCCTCATCCTCCATTCCTCCAGGTACGGGTGACTTTGGCTCCGAGTCGATCTGCATAGCCGTTGCGCCCGATCTTGACAACGACGGCATGAAGGACAACATGTAACGAAATGGAAACGTGTAGAAGCGGTAGACAGCGACGGTGAAGGAGAGCACACTCATTGCCGGGGAGGGAATGTATGTCGACACGGATGGCTTATCGCCGGTCTGGGTCGATGCTGTCTCGGGGAGAACCTCATCGTCCACGCCGACTGCTTTGTCTGCGGATTCCGGACGCGCTTCCACTGCATGTTCCGCGACCGCCGGGATGACCATGATGCCCGTGTCGACGAGCAAGGGTGTCGCATCGATGGAGACGGACTCCACTTCAGGACTTATCTGTACGCCCATGTCTGCAAGCTCGACTTCGGCCTGAACGCCGTCGTCCTCGACTTCGGGCGTAGCCAGTACCCCCTGGTCTACAGTGATCACAGTCGCGTCGATAGCTTTTTCAGCGGTTGGAGGCGGCACGTAGACGGGGGTGGGTGGAGGTGCTTGCTGCTGCCTCTCTCGGAGTCGGATGTCTTGCAGGTAAGGAAGGAAGTCGGATACCTTCTGCCACGACGCTGCATTAGTCTCAATAACTCCCGCCCGGTTTTTCTCGTGGAACCACCTGAGAACGTCCAGATGAGGCGCGAAGTGGCTGAGAAGTACGGCAACCTGCAGCGGATCCCTGATGTACGAATGGCCCACATTCAACCGAAGGAGCGAGCGCGATGACACAGCGCGCGTAGAGAAGATGGATTCTTTCCCTTCTATCGCGTTCACCACAACCGCTACGGTGTGCAGCCTGCGACAGTTCTGGGTGAGCGGCGCAAGTCCGTTGAGCGTCAAGGGCGGCGGGCCCACGGATGGAGGGAAGCGAGCTGATGGGCACAGTCGCAAGATCTCCAGCGAAGGACATATTTTCGCCAGATGGGCGACATCTTCCTCAGAGAAGACGACGGACTCTGGCAGGTCGATGTCGAGGCAGAAGAGGCGCGGAAGGTAGGACAGGTGGCTGAGAGGAAGATACCGCGTGGGCGCGTCGCCGCCTCTGGACGTCGAACGAACGAGCTCGGAGAACCGCGACGCCGAGGATGCGCTCACGCGGAAGACTTGGAGTGTGTATCCAAACTGCTCGCACACGAGCCCGCATACGTCTTGCCAGTCCTCGGACGCCGGCGGATCATCGATGACGACCTCGAGCGTCGTGAGCGGGCTGGTGATGTGCTTCAAGAACGTGGCGACGTTGGCCGCGTCTCCAGAGACTCTCAAGTTGGAGAGTTGCGCGAAGGCACCGCGACGAGGCCCGCCCTGCGTAAGGCGCGCCGCAGACTTGCGAACCTCGGAGAAGTCAAACTCCTCTCCAGAGAAGACGCCGCTGTCAGTCCCTCCAACAGAGCTCGGCGTCGAGTAGCCTGAGCCGGGACTGATGTCATCAAAGAAACCCTCGACTGCAGTCGTCGTGCGACCAGTCAGGTCGATTTGGAAGCTGCGCAGGGCAGGCAGCGTCGCCGCCCACTTGCCCACACGAGACGCAAGCGCGCCAGGTGCAGCGATGCACACCTTCTCGAGGGCGATGTTGTTCTGGAAAATATCGGTGAAATTGTCGGGTAGGTTCGTGTGCACCGTGAAGGAAAGCGCCGAGAGTCGTGCGTGCGACGCGACTTCCACGAGCAAGTCGTGCAGCTTGGGATGCTTCGTGCCGACTTCTATGGTCAGGCTACGCAGCTCTGGACCCAAAAACAGCTTGCACCTCTCCAACCCGCGGACGTCTCCGACTTCCAGGTGAGCGAAGTCAGGTTCGGGAGGAGCCACTTCCTGGGACGGAGGTCCTCGAAGATAGGGAAGATTGACGGCGAGACGCTGCCAGAGCTCTCCACGTAGGAGATGCTGCGTACGCGTTCCCCGTATGCCAGAAGTCGGGCCCAGTCGTCCGGCTCCGGATTCCTCGCCTAATTAATATTGCCTGAGCACGAATACAGGAGACATTAAATTTCGAGGACCATACCAAACCGAGCCCAGGGCGACGAGCACGCCTGAGCAATGTGTTCGGGAAAAGCCCGATCAGCGGGTTGATTGAGTCGAGGTCGCGCCAGAGAATCTCGAGTACCGGCTCCTGGAAGGCCTTGCAAGTGCGCGCCAGGCGCGAGAGGGATCGACGTCCTCCCGGTGTCTCGAGGATAGCCTCCAATAATTTATTGGTCGCATCAGGGTCACGGAGAATGGTCGGATACATAGTTTGCTGGTAGACTGAGTAAGGCTGATAAGAATTGCGGCGTGAATCGGTACCGTTCAGAGGGGCGTTGGACTTGCGAGAGCGCAGGCTCGGGAGGCGGGGGCGTTTGTTCGGCGGAAGCGCAGCTGAGAAGCGGTCTGCGAGAGAAGAGTGTCGCGAAAGACTAGGCGGGGGAGACATGGTTCTCTGGACAGCGGCTGGATACTTATTCTCGACGAAGCGCGTGGATGGTCAGGAGATGGCTCGGTGGTCGGCAGGCTTGCGGATCGTAGCAAGGTGGGAACGTCAACAAGCAAACTGAACGCAGATTAAAAGTAGGCGCACGTCAGGAGCAGCGTGAGGACGCATTGTGGGGCGGTGAGCAGCGAGGCGAGAGCGCGAGATGGAGGGCACGAGCAAAGTCTGCGACTCTTGGCGTACATTGGCCTATGGTGAGCGAGGGATATAGATAGCCCCTTGTGAAGAGTAGAGGGGTGGACGGGATATCTTGTCTGCATGCTGTATCAATGAGGCAGGAGCCGTTGAAGTGCGCCCGCGCGACGCGTCGAAGACGATAGCCGCCCATTACACGGTGCACGTGCACCGCGCAGGTCGCGACACGCTACAGACGCGTTCTCAGTTGGCGGCAGAGTTGGCAAGCGGCCCCCCGTTCGCTCGTGCAGAAAGACCGATGCATTACAAGCAGTGCGTACAAGTACACATGAGACAAACTGCAACCAAGTTGTTAGCCGAAGCATGTGCAGGTGGGAGACGGACGCACATCACCAGGCTTGGTACAACAGGTGTTCGTCCTTCGATCCAGGCTGACAATATGCCCGCCATCTTACAGCTCTCCAACCTCCCACGGAATAGGCTCGCCCTCCCAATCATCTTCTCCGTCTTCCCCTGCACCTTCTGCACCTTCGCTCATCTCGCCCACATCCCACACCTCCATACCTTTGGCGTCGAAGTGACTTTCGCGCCTGCCATAGAGAACTGCATTTGCCAGCTTCCCTCTTCTACATCGGTCCGCTTTTGTGGTGATAAGGCGAGAATGCGCTTCAAATCATCCCTCAGTTGCACATCCACGGCACCTTCGATGACAGGGGGGTCTGCGGATGGAGAATCAGGAGGATGCGCAGGGCGAGCCGGCCACTCAAACTCTGGATCGTCTAGTTCGTGGGAAGTGCAAGAGACTTCCTTGGAGCGTTCCAGCTGTGTTCCATGAGCTTCACCTGGTCGTTGTCCTCTTCACTGTCCGTGCTGTCGTCACTGACTCCGTCGCCGCCCAGCTGTTCGAGCAGCCTCGCCTTCTTCCGACTGAATGCAGCGGCGGCCTTGCCTTTGCCTTTGTCGTTTGCGATGCTTGTCCTTGAATGTGCGGTCTCGGCGCGCGATGGAGAAGGAGGCAAAACGGTACGTGGTCAACATCATTCGTTTCACCGAGGCCGTTCGCGATGTCGATTCCTATGGAATCATCTCGAGCATCAGGGCGGGGTCGTTTTCCATTTAAACGTGCTGCGCCACTGGCGTCAACAGAGCCCGTAGGCGTCTTCCCTCTGGGAAGCGGGCCTTTCGGAACTGAGCCCCTGAGAGGGGCCTTCTCCGACCGCAGGTCGTCTTTCCTGGTAATGCGGCTGTAGGGAGTACCGAGTGACCAGATCCGTTGGGCAGCCTCTTGCGCTGTAAAGAGGGATTTGGGCGACATGAAACCCATTGGCGGACGTAATGAGACTCTCGAGCTTCGTCCCATTCCCCCAGTTGTCACCTTCATCTTCAGAAGATGACGGCGACATGGCTCGTGTTCGGGCCCGTTTGTTGCTGAGACCGTTCGGCTTGGGGGCCGCCGACATGGTCCGTGAGAGGGTGCGGGTGGTGGGCTGCCGCGAGGCCTCCTGCGCGGTCGGAAGAACCTCATCGAAGAGGACCCGAAACGACTTACCGCCCGGTGGAGGCTTCATAGGAGTTGCCTCGAGGAACGTCTCGTCGGCAGCTCCGACAGTGTGACCCTGCTGTGCGTCCTCGTCATCACTGTCCTGAAGTGTGCTCGAAAAGTTGAGTGCGCGCTGGGAGCCGACGCGTGCCCTCTTCTCTTTGACAGGAGAAGGCGAAACAGGCTCTCCGCGCAGACGCTTGCGAGCGCGAGTCACCGCGGATTTGCCGGAGGGTGTACGCGTAGCAGCTGAGGGGACTGGACGGCCTCAGAGACCTGTATGAGGGGAAAGGGGTCCGGGGAGGGGCTCCGACGCGGGGCAGAGGGCTTGGACTTCGTGGATGATCTAGTCTTGGTGGGAGTCGTAAATGGGTTTATGTGAGGGTCATGCTCTGATAGCTTAGTTGATGAAGCCGTAGGTGGTGAATCAAGATGCGCTGAGCGAGGCTTCTTCTTGACAGGGGAGAATGGGTTTGTGGTTTGTATTGGTGGGCCGACCTTGACGGCGCGTGCCTTAGGCAGCAAGGAGGACGTGGATGTATGGGTGGACCGACGCGACTGCGATCTGGGAGGGGTAGATGAACGCGCGGTGGACGACTTCGCGATGGATGAAGATGTAGCTGATTTGGATAGAGACTTGTAGAGTTTGTACTTGGCCGCTGCAAGCACGTCCGAGGTCAGGCTCGGAGATTAAGCTCAGGAGAATGAGGACCACGTACCTATGGCTGGCTGGTCCTTGATCTCTTCAATAGTGGGATTACGAGAATGCTCATTCCTAAAGTCGCGTTCCCATGCCTTGAGTTCTGCGCGAAGAGTCGCGACGTCCATGGCAAGCGACGAGCGAGGAGATGAGCGGTGGACGCGTTTGGCAGAGGGACGGGCGCGTGTGGACGCGTTGGGCGGAGGCACGTGGCCACTGCCTGAAACGATGTAAACGCGGTCGTGAGGCGTGGGCGTCTGCCGGACAATACTCATGCTCGACCGCCTGCAGCCAGTGCAGTGCGCCCCTCCCTAGTCTCACGTTCCCTCCCCTTGCCCTCCCGCCGCCGTCATGGCTCGCAGCGGACAAATTATGTACGTATACAGTCACGTCGAAGACCTCCAAAACCACCCGGACGCAGTCGCAGATCCGGACGTTCTCGATTTCGTAGGCCATGAACTTGACTATCTCGACCGTAACTACCCACCGCGTGGGCTTGCGTCGTCACCCCCTCCTCCGTACGAGCCTATATCTTATCCACCGTCCTCGCCTTCGCCGCATCCTGCGTTTCCTGTTCACCCGCCCACGACCGCTACGATCGCGGACGCCCAGGGCCCCCGCCCAGTTCCGCCTCACCTGCTCAATGACCGCGCCTTCTCGCCCTTTCCTCGCGACAATCCACACTTCATCATGACCGCTAACGAACACATCCGTGCTGCTCCAGCGCCCCCGCGTGAGTTGCACCTGTTCTGTCTTCACGCAGTCCGCTGACTCCACCTCGCGTGGTGGACAGCGCGCGAGTCCGCTTTCTTGCGACAGATCCCGCCATCCCTCCAGCCAGGACACGCTCCGCTGTACCATTCCTCGACACAGCACAGACGGTCGCAATCGATTCCATATCCGCCCTCGAATCCCCCGGTACCGCCCAAAGAGTATCTTCCTCCCCCTCCCCTTCAGTCCGGACCTACTCCTCCTCTGATGTCACAGCGCATGATCTCCGCTTCGTCCATGTTCCCCCATCACGCCGTGTGGCGACCACCTGTTTCGTATGCCTCTAGTGCCGAGTCAGGTTCGAGCACGAGCAGCCACTCATCCTCTTTGCAGCATACGCCTGGAGCGTCCCCGTTTTCGTCGACCGACTCGTCGCCTCGTAACTCCTCTGCACCAACAACACCATCCGCATCCTCAGCGAATTTACTGAGAGAGGATCATCCGTCATCTGTCCCTCCTCTTCCGGCGCCGACCGAGGCTCCCGTCACGGTCCCGGTGCCTCCAGCCCGTGTCGCTCCTCCACCTCGGACCTCATCCTTTGGCCTTCCTCGTCCTCCCACTGCCCAGGCGCCAGTGTCTCTTCCAGGCACGCACGCCAACTTACCGCCAGCTACTACGGCTCGCCCCCCTCAGCCCTCACACAACCAATCCGCTCCGGAACTTCATGTACGGCCGCCACCGCCTCCTATGCTCGCCCGATCCGCTACGGCTCCCGCCCGCCCGCCTCCAACTCCAGCGGCAAGCCACACACAGCTGACTAACAGGAGCCATTCCCAGAGCCAGCCTCGCGATCAGCAGCAAAGGGGCCGAAGCAGGGAACAACAGCCTGGTCAGGCTGTGACACGGCAGCGTAGCAGGCGCCCGAGCATCACCGCTCCGCGCGATCTGGACCGTATTGACGAATTGGATGAAACGGACCCGCGTGGACTTGCGTGGCATCATGAAAGTCCGTACGAACTCGCCACACGTACGCTTAGCCATCGGAAGGCAGATGGTCAAGAGGTGGACGGCCACGGCGCAGGTAATGCTACCTCCAGGGGCAGTGCGGAGAGGCCGGTACGTTTCCGTCGTTCGTGAGGCATCCTGAGGTTGACGTCACTTCTGACTATCGTAGCGTCCAAAGAAGAAGCCGAGTACGACCTTCAGTGTTGAGCCTGGACAGATCTTTCCTTCGGGCGCCCTGTATCAGGCCATGCAGCCCCCGTATCGGCCGCAGGCTCCTACGGCAGCTAGCCAGCCTCCTGCCTTTGACCCGTATAGCCAGGAGCAGCTCGCTTACGCTCCGGGAGCCCCATCTTTGCCTCCTACAACGCCCGCGCCTACTGAGACTGGGAAGCTCAGGAAGACACCGTCGCGATCACAGCCTGTGTCCCAGCTTACCACACCAGGCGCGCACCAGCAACAACCTGGGCCATTCAGAAACCATCCTGGACCACCACCACAGCCAGCTCCTGTTGGGCAGCTTCCTGAGCGACCAACGGATGCCATGCCCCCCCAGTTCCATGTTAGTGGCCCTATACGTCCGATGTTGCAACAACGACCGTCGCAGCGTTCCCACGTACGATTCGAGTCCCCGTCAAGGCCCGAAGTACGACCACCTTTGAAGCAGGGTTCGGTGGATGAAGCGTACGATGGCATGGAGATGCCGGGGCCTCCGCCTCTCCCTGTTGCCCACAATGCACCACCCCCACAGCAGCCTCCGCCGCCGCCCCAGGAAGACAAGTCGCCACCATTGCCCCAGAAACCTCAGTCCCGGCCAGGTTCGATGTACATGACCTCGTCCAGGAACGGGTCAGCCCTTCCTCGCCCCGACATCCCTCTTCCACCACGTCGCCCCGTACCGAGTGTTCAGACTCCGCTGCCTCCACGACATCTGCCTAAGCAGCTCGTCATGCCCGCCCCCCTGCAACCCCTCGAGGACCAACGCAAAGCCGAGGTCGCTCGGCTGGCGCAGCAACACAGAGCGCAGGCAATACCGCAGGAGCGACGTTCGGAGGAGGGCCCTGTGCGCTATCCGGATATCCATACCCATGATGGACGGTACATGCTGCACCACTCAATGTCGCATCGTCAGTCTCCGGTGGCACAGGTCCCAGAGAGAGCGACAGTGACGAGGGCTGCTAGTCAAGGACAGAATAGGGCACAGTCGGTCCATAGTTCTGCCGGACCGAACGTCTTGCGCAAGCGCTCTGTCAACAGCGCGTCCACACCTCTCGTTGGGCCCGACGCAGCAGCTTCGAACACTACCGCAGCGATGTTCGCCGCGCGGGTTGTCGATGACAGTCCCAAGGGAAAGACTGTCGAACGTGTTGCGAGTGGCGTGTGGGCCAGGGATCGCGTGAGGGAAGAAGAAATCCAGCGCGAGCTTGCGAGGGAGCAAAAAGTTGAAAGGAAGCTGAGCAAGCTGACGAGAAGGCTACGATGAACGATGGTGGCAAGTGAAAGCCCCTACGCACGGCTGGCGTACTGCGGATCTAACTGCACAGACGGTCAACTTTTTACGACTCGTGATGATTGATGACCTTTGCCATTTATGCTTTAGTCTGCGACCGCGCAAATACCTGTATTCGATGACCACGGACTTGTTTTGACCTCTTGGGCTGTTGTTACCATCTCCCATACACTACTCCCTGCATTGCGGATACTCAATATTTTGCTCACCCCATCTCTGCTGTAGAACACGCCCCTGTTGTAATTACCAGTGTCGTTCGCTTTGTAGCATCTCTGTAACCACTCATCGCTTACTTACCGCCAGTGTTCCGTCGTGGATCATTACCTAGCTGTCGCTCCATCTATGCTACTCGTTTACCATGATTCGTGTACGAATTATTGATCACAAATTGTGACACGCTGCGCTTAAGCCCATTCATTCTTGTCGTTTGTGTCATCCGAGGCATTGGGTGCTCATGCAAAAGACAGCAAGTGGACGGCTTCGTTTCTTGAGACTAGGCAACATTTGACTGGACTGATTTGGTTAACGAACGTGCTGATACATATACAACGACTTCGTGCACATGGTCGGGGACCCGTATCTACCACGCTGCGCTCCACCTGTGGCCGCCCAATCCCACATCGGACGTGTCGAAGCTGCAGTCTCTTTGAGCATGCCGAAGGCGCGTGATGTGATCCCATTCGGTAGAATGTAATGCACATGGTCATACACTGGTTCAGTATGATCAGAAAAGGCGAACCATATGGTAAAGAACGAGCCCGTCAGCACTCTCCACTAAGCATACCAACTCACGCTTCAGAGTGCATGTGCAACGCCCTTACAAGCATGCTTGGGCACTGCTTCCTCCCAAGAGTCTTAGCGACGACAGCGTCTCAGAAGCCCTGCGTCCCGATATCTGTAACGTCCGGTATGAGGTGTCCATATGTCAATGTCCGGAATGATTCAGTGCAGCAGGGATATAAGAGACCGGGTGTCTTCAGTCGCGGGCCCAGCGAGCTTCGCTAGCCTACCTTCCCCGGTCCTCATGAAGTTCTCTGCAGCCTGCGTTATCATCTCTGCGCTCTTGGTCGGTTGCCAGGCGGCTGGTCTGATTGTAAAGCGTCAATCCAGCGGATGCACCTGTGGTGGTCAGTGCGCTAGGTTCCGATGAAAAGGGGGTCCTCACCACATGCATGCAGATAACTCATACACCTCTGATGATGTCAAGGACGCCATCAAGGCTGCAGACGACGGAGGTTCTGGGTAAGACACCCCGACGGCTCGAAAAACAGCCCGCTCATTCAGATCCTGCAGGGATTACCCTCATCAATATCATGACTACGAGGTAAGCACCCCTCTACCTCGATACGAGACCCAAGCCGATAGGGCTTTCAAGGGCTTCGACTTTCCTTCATGCAGCGGGACATTCTACGAGTACCCACTCGAGTCCGGGAATACCTACGACGGCGGTAGCCCAGGCGCCGATCGTGTCATCTACGACGATGACGGTGACTTCTGCGGTAAGCTCGAGTTGTTCAGGCAGCGAACTCATTCCTGAGCCCTGGTACTTGAAGCATGCCTCACCCATACCGGTGCTTCCAGTAAGAACGGATTCGTGGAATGTTAGATAGCTGCACAATCATCTGTCGACTTTGTACTCTTCCTGCGGTCCATTGTACGATTTCCTGGCAAAACATTGTAAGGTGAAAGACGTATCGCATAATGCAATGTCAGCGGCAGCACCGGAACCACATCTCAACAGCAACAGGTGCATATGATACAATGTACAATCAGTAATGGAGACGGAACATGAACTGGAAACTGTACTGCTTAGTGTCTGGGTCCCAGTGCGACCAGTTCCAGTAGCCAGCGTCATCGGATTCGTCCTCGATTTCCCGGGCGGGAATGCGGAAAGCGATTGTCTCGTACGGCTCAGCAGCAACCTTGGAATAATCAATGAGTTGATGCACAAATGCAGATGAGAACAAACGCACAATGAGATACTGGTAGGCTTTGTTGGGCGGTTCCCTCTTCTGCTCCCAAGCACTCATGAACCGTCTCCTAGGGATGACGCCAGGCTTGATCTGCGGCAAGTGTACCTGCACCATCATTCCTTCTTTCCCTGTGTCCCTGTCGCGAACCTTCGTGACACGGTACCCCGGACGACCGATCTTCAAGAAGACTTTTCGTTGCACGTTACTTTGCGCAGGCGCGATCATCAGCTGTGTCTCCTTCAGGTCCCGCGCCGCACGCCGGGCGAGGTTCGTCTGATGCTTCTTCCCTTGCGTGTGTGCCAGGTAGGAGCCCTCGTTGGTATGAAGTGTTAGACATAGTCGACACTCAAGAGAACCAAGGTGGTTCCGGAGGATGTATGGGTCCTGCATCATCGTCATGAGATGTCCCATGAAAGACGTGCGTAAGACGTACCTTGGCAAGATCAATGGTCTCGAGAGCCAGCTTTCTCAACCGCTCACGCCTGTCCACGTTCGTCTCTGAAGCCCCTGCGACACCGCCACCTCCAAACTTCGAACCGACTCGATTCTACACGCTCGATGAGCACCGGTCACCAAGCACCAGAGAATGACAGCCGTACCTGGTAGTCTATAAGAGCAGATGAGCACTATGAGCAGTGAAAAAATCTGGTGAATTGCTCACCCATGCTGAGGATTGATGAACACAGCTGGAGACGACTTGTGGAGGTGAGGAAGACGATGATGGAGCACTCGTCGAGACGGAGGCGCCGAGAGGAGGACGCGTCTGACTTACCGCTAGATCGGGCGCACAGATCTAGATCTACGCGGTGGCTGAAATTTTGGCTCGAATACAAGTTACATGAATTGGATCGAAGAGACCGTGCATCTCCCTAGCACCTTCTTGTGCTTTCACCCTGTCAGCAGTGCAGATCTACATCCACGGGCAGCTTCCGTATCTCCAGCAAGCACAACTTTCTCTGAAAATGGCTGCTATCAAGAAACGCGCCCTGGAGGATGCGTCCGTGAATCCCAAAAGCAAAAAGACGAAGACCGATAACATGGCACCAAAGGGAAAGGGCAAGACTGACACCTCTGCAACTACATCGTCAAGAATCAACGCTGAGGAGGTTGATTTCCCCCGAGGAGGTGGAACGAGCTTCACGCCATTAGAGGTCAAGGCAATTCGTGCTGAAGCAGCCCAGGAAGCGAAGGACGAGCTATTCGATGTGCGTATATATGGTCGCCCTGCATCCTCGCGTCGCGTTCTCGCTGTACACTTTCTCAATGTTTGTGCTGCTAGGACAAAGCAGAGAAGCGTAAGAAACGGAAGTCAGCCGTGCCGACCTCGGGAAAGAAAGCAGCCAAAGGGGAGAAAGGAGACACGGTCCGTGTCGAGCATCTCAACTACAAGGTGCGTTTTGTACATCGGAATGTCAATGTAAATCCAAAGCTAACCCGCCAGCCTGGTAGCGAGTCGCTGTAGGGATGAAGGTCCTTGGACAAATCGTGTCTATTCAACCCCTTGCTCTCATCATTTCTCTACCCAATCAACTATTCGCACATGTGCCGGTAACGGAGATATCGTCTCAACTTACTGCCATGCTGGAAGCTATGGATGAAGACGATGCATTGTCTTCGTCCGACGATGATGAGGAAGCCAAAGGAATATCGAAACCTCGGGTTCCCGATTTGTTCCAAGTCTTCCGCGTTGGGCAGTACGTGCGCGCTGTCGTTTCGGCTGTCCATTCGCCAGGTACCACGGATCCTACTGGACTTTCTCGGGCTCGAGATGAGATACAGAAAGCAAGTCGTAGGGTCGAGCTGAGTCTCGTACCGAGCAAAGTGAACGAAGGTGTATCGAAAACTGACCTCCGCGCCGGCTTCGTACGTACAACTCGCTTCTCGAAACTTATGTACTCTTCGACTCATGGTTGCCTCGGTATATTCCTAGACTCTGACTGCAGCCATCAAGAGCAAGGAAGATCATGGTTATATTCTTGACCTTGGTGTCTCCGACGGTTCTGGGTTCCTGTCTTTCAAAGACGCCTCAAAGGGTCCCTTTGATGAGCCTGAGGATCTCCACATTGGTCGTCTGCTGGACGTCACGGTCACGAAGATGTCGGGAAATGGCAGGACCTGCAACGTCACAGCCAATCCAGCGACATATAACACGGTGTTTGTACGTGGTACAGTGCTTTGAAAATCAGCCCCCTAACGTAGATTGTGAACACAGTTGACGGAAGTGACGAGCAAGACCTCCGTCCTTCCCGGTACCCTGGTGCAGGCACTAGTAACTGCGGTAGTCCCTGACGGTCTCAATCTGCAAGTCCTAGGGTATTTCGGAGGAACAGTCGATCAGTTTCACCTTGCGCCAGGCGACCCTGAACAACACTACAAAGTTGGCCAAAAGGTTAAGGCACGGGTCCTGTATGACATCAGTGGTTCAAGTCCGCCTCGATTCGCTCTGTCCTTAGCAAAACACCTTGTTCAGCTAGCCCCGAAGATGGTCGCAAGCTCCGGTCTCCCGGATTCATACCCTATAGGAACGACTTTGGACGCTGTGAAGGTGATCCGGGCGGAGACCGAGCGCGGTCTCGTTGTGGAGGTATCAGACGGCGTCAATGGCTACGTCCACGTGAGCACATAAGTTCATTTCGTGTGTAATTGGCATTCATGTCCTGCAATGCGTTCATTCACAGATATCCCAAGTATCGGACGACCACGTCCCATCGCTATCGTCCTCTTCAGGTCATTGGAAGATCGGAACTGTGCACAAGGCTCGCGTCACCGGCTACTTCGCCTTGGATGGTTGCCTGCAGCTATCGTTCCGACAATCGGTCCTCCAGCAGAAGTTCCTGCAGGTCGGCGAGGTACAAGTCGGCGAGCTCATCAAAGGGACGGTCAAGAAATTGACGGAGTCGGCGTTGTTCGTGTCCATCTCGGGTACAGTGGACGGTGTCATTTGGCCGAACCACTATGCGGATATCACGTTGAAGCACCCGCAGAAGCGCTTCAAGCCAGGCGGAAGCATCAAGTGCCGAGTACGTCAACTCAAACAGCATCAACGTCGTTTATGATTTACTCACCAGTGTGGACAGGTATTGGTGGTTGACCCGGAACGCAGTCGAATTGTGTTGACAGCCAAGAAGACGCTCCTCGACTCCCCTTTGCCGATTGTGTCGAGAATTGAGGATGCGAAGGAAGGGCTCATCACTCATGCAGTCGTCTTCAAAGTCTCGGACAAGAGCGTCCAGGTTGAGTTCTACAACAATCTGAAGGCCGTCGTTCCGGCGCGTGAAGCAAGGTTCGTCTTGCTTCAGGCCTTCCGGGTGTCTTTCAAGCTCATTCTTCGACAGCGAGACTGCCGTCAGGTCCTTGTCTGAAGCGTTCGCCGTCGGAAAGCCGGTGAAGGTGAAACTACTTTCTGTCGACCACGAGACTTCTCGCATCTTCGCCAGCATACGGCAAGCGGCTTCGAACTTCAAGGCTACAATTACGGATATCAGTGGCGTCGAGATCGGGGACTCCGTGGAGGGCGTCATTGCCGAGATCCAGAAGGACAAAGTTGCTGTAACCTTGCAGCCTACTCAAGTCCGGGCGCTGCTCTCACTCAACAACCTGGCCAACAAGCGAGGGGTTTCCGCTGCACAGCTCAGGACATCATTGAAGGTCGAAGAGAAGCTGCAGGATCTCGTCGTCGTGTCCCGGAACCCCGAGAAAGGGATTGTGCTAGTTGCCACCAAGCCCAAGGAGAAAGAAGTCTTGACGCAGAAGAGTTCGCTGAGCTTAGATACGATCCAGGTCGGTCAACTCGTCGGTGGCCGGGTGCTTCGTCACGGGCGACAAGGTGCTCTCGTGAAGTTGACGAACACTATCTCGGGCACACTTCACCCCACTGATGTCTCCGATGACTTTGGTTCAGGGAACCCCTTCCCTCCCGTCGATTCTATCCTGAAGGCAGTCGTGCTTGCTGTTGACAAGGAGAAGAGACAGCTTACGTTATCTACTCGGCCCTCGCGCATGCATTCTGACGAGGACAAGGCCGTGCTCGACAAGGAGGTCAAAGATCTGGGTGATCTCAAGGTTGGGGACTCTGTCCGGGGCTTCGTCAAGAATGTCGCGGAGCACGGCCTTTTCGTCATGCTTGGTCGGAACGTCGACGCTCGCGTTCAAATCAAAGAGCTCTTTGACCAAGTAAGAGACAATACATCGTGCACGGCGAGGCGGCTGACAGTATGTTGTAGTACGTCAAGGATTGGAAGAGTCATTTCTCTGCGAATCAGCTGGTCAAAGGGCGTATCCTAAGGTTGGACTCACGATTTAGTACTTCGACGTGCGGCTGATAGGCTTGACAGCATCGACCGCGAGAAGAGACAAGTAGAGATGTCATTCCGTTCTGGCGATTCAAGAGAGACATGCGTTCTGGCGTCACTCTCGCCGACCTGACTGAGGGCCAGAAACTTGACGGCCGAGTAAAGAAAGTCGAAGACTATGGTATTTTCATCGAGATCGAAGGCTCCAAAGTCAGCGGGTTGTGTCACAAGTCTGAGGTAAGTGACTTGGCATGACATTGTATCCGCCCGCTCATTCATCGCGCCTAGCTCTCCGATAACAAAGACGCAGATGTTACGTTGGCTTTGAGGAGTTTCCGTGAAGGCGACCATGTTAAGGCCGTCATCCTCTCCATTGATCTCGACAAACGTCGCATATCATTTGGTCTCAAGCCTTCCTATTTCGCCGATGATGACTTCGAGATGAGCAAGGGCGAGGACAGTGACGAAGAGGAGGGCGCAGATGAAACGCTTGGTGTTGTGGAGGACGCTGGAATGGACGAGTCGGACGCACAAGAAGTAGATCACCAAGCATCAGATGAAGACAGCTCGGACAATGAGTCGCAAGTCGATTTTGACGAGGGCGCGTTGGAAGTCAATATGAACATCAACTCCGACGAACAGCAACGTGGCTCTCAGGCGAAGCCAAGCACTTCAAGTTCTATGTCGTTGTCCCTCGATCTGAAACACGGCTTCCAGTGGTCAGCGAACCAGGATCATGATGCTGATGTTGGCATGTCTTCATCGGACGAAGAAGAGGAGGATAGTCAAGAGCGGAAGAAGAAGAAGCGAAAGCGAAAGGAGATCGAGCAAGACTTGACGGCGGACATGCAAACAAGAACTCCAGAATCCAATGCCGACTTCGAGCGTGTCCTTCTCGGATCACCAAATTCGTCCTATCTGTGGATCCAGTACATGTCTTTCCAGCTGCAGATATCCGAAGTCGACAAGGCCAGGGAGATCGCCAAACGTGCACTACGAACTATCAACTTCCGCGAGGAGCAAGAGAAGCTCAACGTGTGGATTGCTCTTCTAAATCTCGAAAACATCTACGGGACCGACGAATCTCTCGAAGTAACGTTCAAAGATGCTGCGCGGCACAATGACTCGAAGACAATACATCTTCGATTAGCTATCATCTTCGACCAGAGCGGGAAACCTGAGGCACGTACTTACTCACAACCGCGTGGACTACGTTCACTCATGTGCACTACAGAAAGCAGAGGAGCAGTACAAGCGAACATGCAAGAAGTTCAGTCAAAGTTCGAAGGTCTGGACTCTCTTTGGGGAGCACTACCTGAAACGGGGCAAGCTTGAGGATGCCCGAAAGTTATTACCGCGTAGTCTGCAGAGCCTGGAGAAACGGAAACGTGCGTGCGTCTATAGCTGTGATCCATACACCCAGTAACTCTTTCTGCAGACCTGAAGACAATCTCGAAGTTTGCTCAGCTGGAGTACAAGTTCGGCGATCCAGAACGGGGCAAGACCGTATTCGAGGGCATCGTCGACTCTCATCCAAAGCGATGGGACTTGTGGTCTATCTACATTGATATGGAGGCCGGCCAGGGCGAGATAATGACTGTTAGGTGCGCCATTGCTGCACCAGGCTTACCTGTGCTTTTCACTGACGGACGCAAAGAAATATCTTCGATCGCGTACTCACGCTTAAGATGACCAGTCACAAGGCAAAGTACGTCTTCGTCACTCACATCCTAGACAGGAAAACTTATCCCACAACGCAGGACATTTTTCAAGAAATGGCTTGAATTAGAGCGTCGACTTGGGGACGAGGAAGGTGCTAGTGCTGTCAAAGCGAAAGCTATTGAATGGACCCAGCGCGCTGCGGGATCGTCATGAGCGAATTAGTACAGCATTCATATTCGAAGAGCTAGTCTAATATTTTACCGAGGAATATACCACGAGACAGCAGTGGACAGAGTAGCCTAGAGTGAGATGTGCGAAAACAAAATCGAGCGGTAATGAGTGGCTTGGGGTATATGCGAATAAATACCAAATGAGTGTCATGAACGAGATCTCGTACGCTCATGTCCCGTCGAATTCGAATCGTAGTCCATGAGAGGTCGCCTATTACTCATCGAGCTAGCCAACTGTCGTTGCCAGTCATCCAGCTGGGTGGACAAGTGCTCAAACGCCATAGCGTTTTCTGAACTAGACGTGCTCACCGGTCGATCTGAGACACCAGAGATCGGTCGTCCATGACCAAACGCAGGCTGATCTACCTCCAAGAGGAGACCTATTTTATGCTGGAGCTGTTCATTCTCCCGCTTGAGGGTTGTGTTGTCGTGGCTGAGCTGCTCGAGCAACGTTTCATCATGACCACCACGAGCGATGACCAGGGAGTTTTGTAGCCGCTCAACGTCTTGCTCGAGCTCCTCTATGCGGGAGAGGCGCTCGTCAGACTCGCGCTGAGACACAATGACGTTGTCTCGCATGTGCTCGAGGTCACGCTCGAGAGTATCGATACGTTCGCGTAGCTCCCGGTTATCGCTGTTAAGACGTTGGACTTGGCGATGGGCGTCTGAAAGCTGGCTCCGTAGGAGTTCGTGGCCATCGTCTGATGAAGGCGTGCCACGGCCGTTAACACCGCGAATACGAGAGGAGGTCGATGAAGCCGGCTCGGTACTTGATCCACGATCGAGCTCCGATTGTATACTTTGATTGAGAGCCTTCTGTTTGGTTAGCTCGTCCTTCATTTTACGCATCATTTTTTCCGTCCCCCTAAGACAGTTAGAGTTAGATCGGGTTTATTAAGTAGACACTCATAGATATGCTCACTTCACGTAATGAACCGCCAACTGATAGTCCTCCTCGAGCTGCTGCAAACGAGCCTTGTAGCTCGCTTCACTCTCCTCGAGTCTACGTTCGGCCTCCAGAGCGCGTGCCTCAGTGCCGCTGTCCACGCCGTTCTGATGCACAGGACTGCGAGATGCACGCAGCCGGTCCAACTCCGCTGAAAGCGCATCCAGCTGAGTTTCCGCTTCCTCTTTCTGCCGCAAGGCAGATTGCAGATCGCGCTCTGTGATCTCTTGCAGGCGCACCGTCTCGCCCAGCTTGTTCTCCAGATTTGCGAGTCGCGCCGGCGACACACCTCCTGAAGGGGAGGGCAGATCTTCGCCTTCGGCCACGATGCCATGGTCAGCCAGATATTTGCGGAGCGTTTCGTGTCGCATGGTCGCAGCGGAAGCCTCCTTGACATGTGTAAGGAGTTCGGTATCCTTTGCAAGGAGGTCTTTGCGTAGTCGGCCACCCTCGGCCAGCGCATTTGACAACTGCATCCTGAGACCGGCGATCTGAGAACGTAAGGACAACGTCTCGGAGTCAGATTCCTGCGCCTTACGGCGCTCGCGGTTGAGCTCCGACTGTGTCTCATCCGCACGCCGCGTTGCGTCCTTCAGCATGTCGCGCAGAGATGCGATCTCGCGCTGCAGTGCCTCGACCTTCTCCGCGTGACCCCGAGTAAGACGATCCTCATCACTCTTCAGGTCACGGTGAGAGTCAAGCAGCTCGCCCAAGCTTCCGGTAGTAACAGCACGAAGCGCGTCTGACTCCTCGCGAGATTTGGCCCACGAGTTCTCGAGCTCCAAGATGCGAACGCGAGCATTCTCGACTTCGGTCGTACGCGCCTCCAACTCGCCGCGAAGGTCCGCAAGATCTGCCTCGAGCTGACCCGCCTGCTCGCGTGCATGAACGTGCTGGCGGTCGACTTCGGAGGCCCGGGCAGATGCAGCCTCCATGGCCGCTCGCGCCTGCTCAAGGGCTCGGATATGCTGTTCATGCGAAAACAAGAGCTCCTTGAGCTGGGTCTCGGCCCTTAGGTGGTCGGCCTCGCGTTGCTCGATGATGGAGCTCTGCGCAAGGAGACGATCTTCATGTTCCCTCAGCATAGATTCAGTGTTCGCGTGCTTCTCCTGCAAGGTCCTGAATGCTTCCGAATGACGATCGTGCGACTGGGACAACAGATCAGCCCGTTTGAGCGCATCGTCGGCGCGTGCCTCTGCCTGCTCCGCGATCGAAGTCTGGAGAGCAAGAGAGTTGGCGAGATCTTTGTTCTCCGTTCCCGCTCGGCCTGCTCAGCGAGAGCTACTGAAAGCTGCCGTTCAAGCTCAGCGGCACGATCTCGCTCCACACGCGCGATGTCCGATCCAGAACCGCTCTCCAAAGCAGCAACCTTCGCGCGGTAGAAAGCGGCTTCCTGCAGAGCACTAACCCGCATAGTCTCGGCGTCTTGAACGCGCGCAGACGCTGCGTGAGCCTGCTCGATGAGGCTTGCCTGATCACCAACGTCAGCACCCACAAAACGTCATGATCGACTGGATTCGTCCTCACCTGCAACTTGGCATGCAGCTGCTTAAAGCTGACGATCATCTCCGCGACCTTCTGGCCGTCGATGTCGTCCTCGTCCGCACTCGCAAGCACGTCACCTTCCGACTGGTCGTACATGAAGCCCGAGCGCGCCGCCTTGGACAGGGCCGCGCGCATCCACGCCTCCCGCCTTTTGATCGCTTCCATCTCTGCCTCCTTCTGCTTGAGGTCCCGGATGAGATCGGCCGTCACGTTGCCCGTCGAAGGCTTGCCATACGGCGACCCGTTCGGAACAGGCGAGCCAGACTTGGCCGCGTAGAACGCGTCCGTAGGCGCCCTGCTCCTGTCCACGCTCGGGGATGGACTTCGCCCTGTGATGCCATTCCTGCTCATCATCGCAGTTGCCATGCTGATGGGTTCCTGACCATCGCCAGGTCCAACAGGAGATGTTCCACGACTGGCAACAGTATAAAGCGGTGGACTCTTCGCACGGCCTTGGACTTGATCTGGCGTCCGAGCACGCTCTCGCACGTCGGTACTAGACTGCTCAGGGCTGCTGTCGCCGCCGTCCATATCGTCATTGCCCCGCCTCATCTTGCCCTGGGCAACGCTTGACAACGCCTGTTGTGTCACGCCGTTGGGGGTCCTTGATCTCGTGTTCGATGGAGACAGCGCCCTGCGGACCTCCTCAACATCGGACATCTGTTGCTCAGGGGAGATTGGTCGGCTTCCGTTGACAGTCGAACCGATAGCCGCCTGCGGGCCTGTGAGCGATATCTTCCGAGCTGGTGCTCCACCAGTAGCAGCCGCAGCGGCGTTAGCCTTGTCCGAATTGGGATACTTGATATGCTCTGGACACAAGGCAGTCAATATTGACGCCTCAGCAAGCCATCTTGGAGACCCACTCGTATCTAGGACATGGACGAGGGTCGGGTCTTCTGGCTTAGCTGGGTTCCCGAGCGACTCGCCGCCTAAGCCTCCGAGCACGAATACGCGAGAGCCCATTGATGCCATGGCATGCCCAGAGCGAGGAGTCGGTGCAGGTCCCATCTTCTGGAACATATACCATCGTTGGTCTATGCCGATGTCAATCACTGAACACGAATGTGTATTCGGAAGGCACTCACTAGAGATCTTGAACGCGCCCAAGTCACCGAGATCTTTCCCATCGACGCCTCTACCACCGAACACATATATGACATCGTCAACTAGAGCAGCAGCGTGGCCCTCCCTTGGAGATGGGATGAAGCCTATGCACGTCAGCTCCGACCACATATGAGTGATGGTGTCGAAGACCCATGTATCGTTGTAATGATATTGGCAATCAGTACCGCCGAAGCTAAAGAGGGTATTGGGTCAGAGCAGTGACACCTGACCAATCAGAAGCAGACCGACAGGAAAATCTTGTTCTCGAGGGTCACGCAGACGTGTCCCGTTCGCTGTGCGGGGCGTGGAGAACCCTCTGCGGGCTCAACAAGTTCCCACATGGCCTTGGTTCGGACTACAAAGAGTTGAGCTTCGACTGGGCTCAAGCTGGGTGTGACTTACGGGAATTGAGATCGAACGCCCAGAGGTCGTTCAAGAATTCACCATCCACTTGGCCACCGAACATGTAGAACTTGGATCCGACCATAGTGACAGCATGACCATACCGGCCAACGGGACCAGGGCCATACGTCGCTACCCGTGTCCATTCTCGCGACACTACACATCGCGCGCAACGTAAGTGCTGGACCGATGTGATGACGATGGCCGAATACGTACCAAGGTTCAGCAGATACAACCCATCATCCTGCTTATCCCCAGGCTTCGCCTTCCCACTTGTCTTCGTGTCACCGCCCCAAACAATGAGAACACTCCCAACAAGCGCGCTTGCGTGTCCGACGCGGGGGCTTGGCACTTCTCCCGCTGTCTGCAGGAGCGTCGCTGACAAGTCCCTGGTCGACAGCAGATACAGGTCGTTCCTGACGGTCTCTCTGACAAGGCCGCCAAACAAGAACAGTTCGCCTGTCGCGGTGGCCGTAGCAGGCAGTGCGTGGCCGTACCGAGGGAAGGGTGATGGTGATGGGTTCGTTGGGGGAGCGACGCCCGGCTTCGGGATGGTGACTGGAGGTGGGAGCAATAGCCGACGTTGCGACCATGGATAAGCAGGTCGCTGCTGCTGCTGCTGCTGTTGCTGGGCCGGTTGCTGCTGGCCAGATGGGCCTTGAACGGGGGGCTGTGGTGCGGTCTGCTGGACGCCCAAAGGACTACCATTGACAGAGTCAACGTTCACACTACCGTTCCGGCCCTGGCGCTCGCGCTGGACTTGCGGAGGCACGCCATTCATGGCGACGTTCGGGCTGCCTCGTCCATTGAGGGCGCTACGTGATTGCGTTAGAAAAGGGTTGGGTTTCCGAGACGTCGACATGGGATACGATGCGGAAGGGTGCAAGGACGTAAAATGATATGAAACCCGAAGCGCGGATATAGCCCTGCCACGAAACGCGGAGACGACACTCACCTCTCGTAGCTGGTCTCCTTCGCGAGCTGTTTCGCCGGGCCTTGGGGGTTCGGCGGCTGCTGGAGCTGGGCGAGGGCTGCGCTGGGGCTCTGGACGACAGAGACGGTTGCGACCTGGGGTGGGGGATTGTGCTTCTTCCGTGAGAAGAAGGACATTCTTCTGGATCTGGAGCCTAACAGGAACTGTATGGCTGCAGAGGGCGCGCGGTGCGCACGGCGAAGAGAGGGCGGTGGTGGAGGGAGAAAGGGGAGGACGGGGGCCGATGAGGATGATGCTCAGCAGGCCCGCCTGTATGAGCGGTGGACGGTGCACGAAGTACCTGGCCTTCGCGACGCGCGCTTGTTGGCAACCGCCTCGCGCTGATTCCGTTTGCGCCTGTTTGCGCGCCGTCCCGCCGGCGTCTACGCCCAGCGGCACCGACGACTCGTCCCGCCAGTCTGCTCTCGGGCCTGCAGATGCACTTTAGCCTTTTCATCTCATCTATTCGTCTGGCGAAGGTCACATCGTGCTGCACCCTGGCCGTATTGGACGCAGATCTCGATCGTTAAGGCATCCCCGCCGCAGTGCGGCAGCTCTGGCACCGTAAACCGGTTAACATATTGGGAGTAGTCCGCCAGCGGCTGCGCGTTCTCGAGATCGCCGAGCGTGTGCATCAATCTACTTACGTGACTGGAATTCGACGAGGGAGAACGGGTCACTCCAGCCCTCTTCAAGATAAATTGGCTACTAAAATCGAACTCGTATGACACTACCCAGCTCAATGGGAGGACAGCCATTGAGCTTGAGGACTGTGCGATGGACTCTCCAGAAAGCTTCGGCGTTCGCTGTGCGGTGGCCTCGGATCTCGTACATGGGAAAGGAACTTCTTGTGTGGAGGTACCAGTACTGACCCTATTACCTTACGCACGGCCACCCTGTATATCTGGCACGCCTTGGGTCCGAGACGGACACGCGCTGTCCAGGAGGCTCAACAGCGCTCTTTCTGTCCCCGAGATGAATACCTTCTCCCATGAGCAGGTGGAAAGAACCCTCACAACAGAATACATGGAGGGGCATTGGCGATCCGCCTCAACTATGCGCCCAGAATACGCATTGAGGTCTACTCGTTCCAAGTGATAACGTCGGTCGTTTCTCCCGAGTCGTGGTCGCGTTTCCGGTGCGCCATAAGGCGGTCACGGTTAGGAAACAGTCTGTTGCACTTATCGAGTGCGCAGATGTATATAGGTGTGCTACAAGACAGGTCAGAGGGTTAGACTCCGCACAGGCAACCCGGCTTACTCGTTTGAGTTAGTTACTCGAGCGAGGCCAGTCTCCAGCTGCTGCGGTGTCGTCATGACTAATACCACTACCTCAGACACCGGCACAATATAAAGCTTGACAGCATACCATCCTGAAGAGCAGGAGAAGAAGGCAGCACAGAAGGCAAGGTCGGTTGCTGGCTCATACTGGGAGACGACCAGACGAGGAACTCGAAAGCAGGCGACGCGCGAGTAATCGCGTGACGTCACAGGCGTGACCCTGCGTCAGTGCTCGTCCGCACCCGCTGGCAGCGAAGGCGAGCCCGACGGCCTTATGGACGGCCATGCACACCACAACGACGGCCAGCAGCGTCCCGCAACCCACTCACCTCCCGCCTCCACTCCCTCTTCTCGTCCCAGCAGCCCCGCAAAGACTCCCAACAAGACACTGACATGAGGCCGCCGCGCGCAACATGCGCCCCCGGCCCAGCGGGTGCCCGAGCAGGCTCGGGATCTCGCAGGCACTCGCGACCCCAGAGTTTGACCCTCTCACTCGCAGGGTCGTCGTATATGCAGACACAGAGCTCAGAGAGACCTCATCCTGTCCTCCGCTGGATGTCAGGCAAGCACTCCTCGTCCAAGTCCCTCTCATCCTCCCCAGCGCCCTCCCCGACGCATTCGTCTCCCATCGATACCCCCACCTCCTCCGTCGCGAGCACGCCCTCCTCCGCTGCCTCTGCGCTTGCAGATGCTTTCAGTGACAACCCTCTACTGGCATCCGCTCACCACTCGGCATTCAACGAGTCCTCCTCATCCCTGGTCTCCTTACCTACGCGTCCCGAGGCTGCTCGTCTCCCTCCACATTTCCAAGCGACCCGACCACCACGCTATCTCTCCGAACTGACTAGGAGCACGCTCCCCAGTGCCTCTCTATCCCCGCCCCTCCACCCGTACGACGACGCGGCATTCCAAAATCCGGTACGGTACACAGACCCGTTCGCACCAGACCAGCACGACTCGGACATGGAACGGAATCTAGACATCCTCTACAGTCCTACCCCAATGCCGTTAGCGATACCACACTCGCCTGCTCCCGCGCACTTAGGACGGCAACGCTCCGGTACCATGTCGACGTCGTCTACGCGATCCTCGCTGGACACACTCCGGTCGATCCACGAACGGGGCGGAGTATACATACGGCCTCGCCACCACAGCTCAAGATCAGCCTGCTACCTGATTCCTTGAAGAACTGGTTTGGCGGAGAGGAGAGCGTGGACAGCAAGGCTATGCATAACATGCTCAGTGAAGAGGACCAGCAGAGCAGCAGACAAGCTGAGAGGGAGCACATAAAGAAGAAATGTAGGTTGGGCGCTGTGAATTTCTCCGCGGAATGCTCACGTAGCTATTAACAGATTATGGTCCGAAGAACCTGTCGTGTTCTGTCACGGTCTCCTTGGCTTCGACACTGTCACTGTCGGGCCCTCCATTGCGTCCCTACAAGTCACCCACTGGCGAGGCATCAAGGAGGCGTTCGAGGCCAACGGCGTCGAGGTTTTGATGACCCGCGTGCCTGCGACCAGCACACCCATCGACCGCGCGAAGGTGCTCTGCGAGAAGGTCAGCGAGGCGTATCCTGGACGGAGCGTCCACCTCATCGGTGAGTATAGACTCCCCTCGTCCCGCTAGAGTGCTTATGCAGACTGTAGGACTCGCGACATAGGACACAGCATGGCACGTATATATCCTCTTCTGTCGTGTACGTTTGTCTAATCTCATGTGTAGGGAGGGCTCGACTGTAGATACCTAACAACCCATCTAACCGACCGACCCTTCAAAGTTCTCAGCATCACGACCATCTCATCACCTCATCGGGCTCCTCATTCGCAGACCACTTCCTGTCGACTATGGCCGGGAACGGATGCCTTCCGTTCTTTCACTCCTTGACCTTCTCCGAATGGCGGAGGTGATGGAAAGGCATTCGAGTTCTTGACGGTGGAGAACATGGCAAGTTCAACAAGGATACTCCGGACGTACCCGGGGTGAAGTACTTCAGCTGGGGCGCGACGTATGACCCGGGACTGATTGATACGTGGAAGTGAGTGGGCTCTGTTTGAGTCCGCGTTGTACGTGCTAAGCCATGATCGTAGATGGCCACACTCCGTGGTGATGGAAAAAGAAGGCCCCAATGATGGGCTAGTCTCACTCAAGTCAGCTAGATGGGTGCGCTTTCTTCCGCTCGTTCTGTCTTTCTTTCATCATTGAGATGTGACGCGCAGGGAACGTACCTCGGCACGCTGGAAGGCGTGAACCATCTCGATCTGATCGGCTGGGTAAACACTGCGCGATACAAGTGGGCAGAGATCATGGGGCGCGAGGTCAAGTTCAAGCCTGTCACGTTCTACCTGGGCATAGCCGATCACCTGGCGAGGGTGGTGGAGGGACAAGGACAGGAGGGCGCCGGCACGAGCGGGGAGACGCGGACAGAGGGGAGAGAAGCGACGAAGGCCGGGCTCCTTCGGAAGAGAGAAGGGGAGAGACGAGCGAAGAACGGGAGGAGCGTGAGGAGATCCAGAAGGAGGGCGAGCGCGCGGAGATGGCGGATAGTCTAGGGAAAGGCGACGCGCTCGTCCGCGAAGGCAGCGAGCCTGTGGAGAGGGGCGCGGAGGGGCATAGTGAAGGACGGTGACGAAGGTACCGTACATGCATTTGTTCTTGGATAGGGACTTCACGGCACATATACAGTCTTGCTAGCAGCTCACGATGCATACGACACGATTATGATACGTCCGTATAATGCACATAATATTTGGCGCATAGAGCCTGTGGCGGAGGCGATCAGATGAGGCGATCGGGTGATCAGGCATGGAGGGGCAAGAACGGAGGTGGCCCGGCACTGAATGGAGTCGTCATCGATGTCCCCGGTCATGCTCACCCCGTTCCGTCCGGAACCCGTCTCGCTTTCTCAGCTCTGGCGCTGCACTCTCCGCCACCATCCTCTCGCCTCCCTATCCGCGAACACCCTGCGTGCCCGATTGACGTTCCAGTTCAAATACGGTATGAGCGCCCTCGAGAAGCTCTCCAGCAACAAGGCCTTGGTGGCGAGCTCACCAATACAAGTTCAAGGTGGGTGGAAGGACCGTACTGACGGCGTAGGTTCGTGTCAGCTAGACCTTATCTAACGTGTTCATTACGTGCAGAGCGCCGCTCTCGGTGGACTCGATGCCAACTTCAACCTGTTCCTGCCCCCTAATGCGGTGAACGGCAAGGTCCCATCCTGTACTACCTCTCGGGGTTGACCTGCACGGAAGACAATGGGTAGGCTTGCTACTTCTGTCCTATGGACCCTGCCATTCATAGATATTAGTGCCCAGAAAGGGAGCTTCCTCGGTCCCGCGTCCCAGGAAGGGATCGCTATCCTCTTCCCGGACACGTCCCCCCGGGCGCAGGCATCGAGGGCGAAGACGCTGACTGGGACTTCGGTACCGGTGCGTACTACAGGCTTGTCTCAGCGAGGCCGCGGGCTGAACGCGAGCCGCAACTGCTAAGGCGCTGGCTTCTACCTGAACGCGACGAACCCGAAGTATGCGAAGCACTACAACATGCTCGCCCATGTCACCGAGGAGATCCCGCAGGTCGTAGAGGCTGCTGGCCTCCCAATCGTGAGTCGGCCAGCTGCGTCGTGGATCGGTGTCCTTACCCGGCGCTCGCCCGCAGGACTTGACCCGCCAGTCCATCTTCGGCCACTCCATGGGCGGACACGGCGCGTTGACAATCTACCTCAGCGCCGTGCTGAGCGGGCAGAAGCAGTACCGTTCCGCGTCCGCCTTCTCGCCGATCTCGAACCCCACCAAATGCCCGTGGGGCGAGAAGGCGTTCAAGGGTACCTCCAGGGCGGCATCGAGGAGGCCAAGGAAAAATACGACGCGACGGAGCTCATCGGCAAGACGAACAAGGAGCCGCTGCACGTCCTCGTCGACTACGTAAGTTGCTCCCCTCGCTGCGTCGTACGGTTAGAGGCGGGTGCTGACGAGGACTTGGTGCTTGGTACACAGGGTACGGGCGACAACTTCTACAAGCAAGGACAGCTGCTCCCAGAGAACTTCTCAAAGGCCGCGCGCGATGCTGGGTACGGCGAAGTGCAGGTCCGGGTACGCAGCCAAGAGGGCTACGACCACAGCTACTTCTTTGTGCGTGTTCCCCCAGGTCGCCCTCACGGCATTTCCTCGGCGGTGCTGACCTTGCCCTGCCTGCGCTTCTCGCAGATTTCGACATTTGGCGCGGACCACATCCATTGTAAGTCGAATGACGATAGCTGTGCTCTTGTTCCAGCGCGGGTGCTGACTGAATGGCTGGGCTTGGCTCGCAGTCCACGCGAACTTCCTCAAGGCGTAGGCGGTCGGCGGACACGCACGGGGTCCGGGACGCGGAGTAATCAGAGTGAAGTAGAAAGGCTAAGAAAGTGTACGATCTACGAAGAAGACGTAACCTTGTATTCCGGATGTACTCATACTTGGGGGACGAAACTGTATCGATGTCAATCTCCGGCGGTTCGAATTTCCCTTTCGCGGCACTCTCAGCGCGTGAACTCTGTCAGACCGCCCGGATAGTTCATATGAATGAATGCGTCATCAATTCACAAGGATGAATGGTCCTTTACATGGTACACTGACACCGATGGGAGGATGGCAATGACATTCGGCAAGTAGAGTGAGCGCGACAGAGCATGACAGAGGGGAATGAATGACCACAGAGTAGAACAACAGCAGAACAAGGGCGAAGACACAGCACCAGAGAAGCTTCGAGGTCCGGAGAGTTTTGTGACCGATTTGCTGTGGCGCCCGCTCAGTGGAGAAGGGTTCCGTCCGATCTCAGCTGGATCCCATGCGTTCACGATAGGCGGCCTCCAGGTCGGATGCATCACGAGTGAACCAGACGTTGCGGAGAGCAGAGTGGACGGTAGCGCGGTCCAGGGGGTCGTAGACAAGAAGATTGCCGCAGAGCGTTTGAGCTAAAGGATGCGAAAAGACTCAGCATGTAAGCGACATGAACAATGCTCTCCTGGCGGCCGGCTACTATCTGAATGAGAAGTAGTGAAGTGCGTACCGTCAGGGATGGCACTCCATATGTACGGCGGGAATTCGACCTCGCCGTGGACAATACGTTTCTTCACCATCCGGTCGCTCTGCACGGACGACTGCGAGAGATCGCCAACTTGAGAGTTGTCGAGCACCTCCGAGGGCCGGTATGAGTACCAGTTTGACTCTCCGTCCTGTTTGTCATAGTCGAACGGATGGCCGCCGCTACATATCCACAATAAGTGAGGAGGATTGAGTCGCTGTTATTCGGACACACGATTCGCGATAAAGGACCACTTACGCGAGCATGATGTACATGATGACCCCGGCCGACCAGCAGTCAGCCGGCATGCCGACGTAGCCCAGGTGTTTGTGATCTAGGGCCAAGATACCCTCCGGGGGCAGGTATGACACTGTACCACAGACGTTGAAGGTCTCCTGGTACGCTTTTGGACGAGCCAACCCGAAGTCGGCGATCTGTATCCGGGGGTAAGGACCTGGCGTGTAGAGCAGGATATTTTCGGGCTTTGCTTTCAATTAGCATCCGATGACAGGCAGTACGCAGGACCGAAACGGCGGTAAATGTCACGCACCTTGAGATCTTGAACGTGAAGCGCAGCAAAAGTGTCCTATGGCTCTGTCATCTAAAGACAACACGTGGTGGAAACATACCACGATGAGAAATCAGTCTGTCATGAAGATACTTCAGCCCTTTGAGGAGCTGGAACATCATGTATTTGGCTTCGCCTTCGCACAGCCGGGAGTTTTCGTGACCGACTATGTACGAGAAGAGATCGCCGCCGGTGCACAGCTCAAGGAATATGTGCCTGCAAGGATTATGCCGATGAATTGATCGAGAGCGCACAGGATAAACCTCACTGACACGAAGCTATTGTCATGTTTGGCTGCCCAGACACGGTTGATATTCGGCTGCGGTATGAACATCAATTACATGCGGGCGAACAGGCGCGAACATTCGAGGGTACTCACATGGTCCAGAGCGATGAGAATATCAACTTCCTTCATCACTTTGTCGACCTTGTCCTTGCTTTTACGTTTAATCGTCTTACACGCGACTTGTCTGAATGCCGCCGTGTCCATGGCTAGGTGCACAGTAGCAAAGCTCCCGCTCCCGAGGCAATGACTTGTGACAATGTAGCGGCCGATACGCTATGGGATATGGATAGGGCTTGCCTGATGCAATTCAAATATACGCAACGTACCTTGGTCTTGAGTAACGGATTCATCGGAGGCGTTGGGTCAAATATATGCGTCTTTTGTGGAGATTTGTGCACATGGATGCACTCGAACTCTGCATGTATGCGCTTGCGAGTATAAGATGCGACGTCTCTGGATACTTACTTTGAGAATGAGGAATCTGGATGGTATCGCCATCCATAAGGAGAACGGATGTTTTCCGGATTTTATGACCGTTGAGCAGGAGTCCGTTGGTTGAGAAATCCTGGCCAGACTGTCAGTCACACATCCCGAATACAACACCTTCCATACATGAGCGTTACCTACCGAACATGACACCAGTACTCCACCATTGCTCGGTCGGACGCTGTAAGAAGTCTTGTGAATAGGCCGCGACAAGCTCCACATTGACTGGCGCTCACGCGTAAAGCTTGCAATGAATACCAGAAGCCACGATGTCGGATACAACGTACGAGCTGCATTCGTCCAGACGCTCGGAATAAACCAGCAGCGAAATGTGGCCATGCACATACCATGCGGGATGTCTGCCAATAGTGAGTGGTCGGTCGATGCTCAACTCCAGGACTGTAGAAATCGAAGACAAATCAGCAGAATGCAACTACCATGTGCACTCTTATCACCTTCTCTGCGACCTTCCTTATTGAATGTCGCCAACCTTGCGCATATACTCGACGAGTTGATCCAGTCAGCGGCAGGCGTGAGAGGTGAAGCTGACCAGTCATCTAATCTGCGCGTCGCAGAAGGATTTATGGACGGCATATCCAGAGGATGTGGAGACAACGCAACCGCCGTGCTCTTTACAGGTTGTCGCTGAAGTGAGGAGACGGCCCACTTGTTGAAGGTGCGGACGCGTCGCTCCCGCTCTGGACGTGAGTCATCACGTGACCGCATACAGTGGCTCTCGAGGGCGACTGTAATCTCTCCGTAGGTTTGAACAAGGGCCTCCATGGGTTGCGGACCATTCAAAGAATGCGTTAGATTTACGGCTACAGTGAGAGTACTTGCGGTAATTCGGGATGCTACACGAAAGCCACGGTCGACCAGACCACAATGGGCCTCAATCATAACCTCTACCACTCCTTTGCTTCACTCGCTTTGGTCTCTTGTGGTGTTTCTTACCGTTCAGGGCTGATTCCCCATCGGCATTTACAAGGACCGCTGCGATCCTTGCTCTTCGGCCCGAAAGGGCACTACCATCATCGGCGACGGCATTCTGATGTGGATATACCTGCATGCGAGACACCTCCTGGCCATGTCTCGCCGAGCCCTGCACATGGGGCCTCATAGACAGCGACGAATTGCTCGCGAAGAAGGCCCGGTCGACAGTCTGAGACTTGAAGCTCGGGCCCACGTCCACCGCGGAAGGCGTGTCTGGATTCGACGTCAGTCCATTCTGAGGCACGAACGTGTCGGCGCCCTTTGCCACCCGAGTCGTCGGCGCTCGTTTCTTTCCCATTGCACGGCCGAGGGCGATCTGGCGTGTCTCCTCGTTGAACTCGTCCTCGGATACGCCAGGCGGTGGGTGACAGTATAGCAACTTCGCATTTACGTAGTCCTTCATGATGTATCTGGCGGCTCGTGCCTCGTCCGGGTTACCCTGACCAGAACGCATGAAGCCTCTGCCGACTATGTCGGACATGATCAAGATGGAGTATAGGATTATATGTGGACAACTCACTTGCATGGGCTACGAGGAAGTCTTCTGGGGTGATCTGGCCAGACCCGCCTTCTTCGACTGTTTTGACTTGGACGTTCAGACCGTACGTCGCGTCCAGGACCTCTTTGGGTATTCTCTTAACGACGAGTCCCACAGGGCCAGTATGTTCCCTCATCTGATCAATGGGGAGAACACCATCGCAGACGAGATCGGCTTTTGTCGTCGTGAATTGAGGGAATACCAGACCCGGACAATCGCACAGCATGAGACTGGGCGATAGATTGATCGTTTGGAAATGTTTCGTCTTTCCCGGTGTCGATGACACACTGACTTTTTTCTCGCCGAGTAAGGCGTTAATCGTGCTGGACTTGCCCACGTTGGGGTAACCCACGAGACCAACGACCAATCTCGAAGGGCGATTGCCGGATGAGTCCGTGAAGGCTGACATTCATTCAGCCAGGGGCAGACATGGCAAGAGAGGGATGCTACTCACTGCTCAAATCAGGAGCTGTCTGCACAAATAAGTCCTCGAGTTCCAGGACCGACAGAACCTTGACTCTTGGGTCTCGTGCGTCTTCGCTTTCCTCCTCTGGAGGGAGACGGTAGAGACTACTCGCGTCTGAGCTGGCATCCGAGATCGAATCGTCGTCGGATGGCGCTCCGTCTACAGACTCGGAACTCTCGCTGCCGTCGACATCTGTATTCCCCGGGGCCACCTCGGGGATCGCGCTGGGGAGATATCTGCCGGTTTCGTGCACTTCGTCGTCCTCGTCTCCGGAATCCTCGATTGGTGCCTCGAGTTCTGTGGCAGCCAATGCCTGACGGCGGGCCTCCTGTAGCGCTGCAGCATTCGCGGCTGAGAAGAATGCATAATTGATACCCTGCGTGTCAAAATAGTCGGCCCATTGCCGCCTGAAATGAATGCAAGTCAATACTGGTTTCAAGACGAACGAGCCGCTCCGACTGCACCTTTGCTTTAACGTTAAGAGGTCAGCCTTGTTGATGAGAAGCAGACTCCGACGTTTGCCCCTTCCTGTACCAGCTTCACCCTCCGCCCCCTCAACATCTTGTACGTACGACTCCAGATCTTCGCATCGGAAGCGGAGGGGGTTCCGAGCATCGACGATCTGGACCACGAGATGGGAGCGCTCTAGGACCCGCCAAAGCTGCCGCCATACTTCAACATTTCGTTCGAACGGGGTGAGCAAAAATCGGTCTCTATCTTGAAGCCTGGAGCATATGACGGGTGACATGATGAGTACTAGAACCGTATCAAGGCCGAGAGGAACCTACTCCGCCAATCCCCTTCTCCACTCTAGGAACGCATCTTTCTCTTGTCTGTCGAGCTGCGCTGGGGCCATGTCCTTTGTCCATGGGGGGCGCCTTGGTACGCGCAGCCGTTGCCGATTTTCGCGATGCTTCTGCAATGTGTTTGTCTCTTCTTCGTCGGAAAGAAGATATGCATTGTGCTGCGACGTAGCAGGGGAATTGATGATTGTTACGTTCCGACGTTCTGCCAGAGGCTATTGAAGAACAGAGCTTACAACTGGACAGGGAAACTTACCAGCTGTAAATTGAGTGCCGGCCAATTGAGCGGTGTTTAGAAACTCATCCAAGTCCCGTTCTTGTGTGATCGACTGTAGCCTGGTAGTGGAGTCGATGTCGGTAGTATACTGCCGTGTTGCACATCATCGTAATGCAATTCGACTGGGAAGGTATTAGGCGGCGTACCAGTCCCGTCTGACTAGTCCTGTGTGCATCTTTCGCCTGCCGATTGATGATAGCGCGCCCAAGCCCGCTCGGGTTGGGATTCTTCCCCTTAGTTGGGGGCTACAGAGGGCATGAGATTTTGAGCAGAATAGACAACATGTCACATACCATGTGTGGGGAACGGCTGCACTACTCGCTAATTCACTGGGAGCAGGTATAAGCAGATACCTTCCGGTCTGTGCCAATGAGTGGTTGTGGCTGAAGCCACTCAGCGACCGAGCGCTCCGCGTCATTTTCCAGATCTCGAGATCCCCTGACGCGATATGCCGATATGGTAGGCGTAGAAGTTCGTGTCCCGCTCCGCTCCGTCATACTTCATGTTTCCGCGCTCTCGGAGTCGTTGCGTATTGCCTCTGATGTCGTTCTTTCCTTCATAATAGTTCACGGCATTGAATCTCCTGCGCCCTCTATCCGAAACCCTGGCAGATGTATATTGTGCGTCTTTGCGTGTCTTGTGATAATTAGCATTCTTACTGCACAGTGCACACTGTATACCGGAACATAACGTCAGAAATACTAGCCGGTGGCACCCCCAGAATTCTACAGAAAAAAATCCGAATCAATGTACGATAACGCAGCTATTCCTTGTGATCTAATGTAATGGAGCATCTCTGTCCACAATTCATAGGTACTGTAGGCGGCGCACTCCGATTGGCCATCTGTAGGCAAAGTGGTATCTACATGGGTAGGAAAACAAAGTCGAGCGCTCTTCTCTGAACGTATGAGGCTCCACGATTGGATGGACTGAGAGGAAAGGCCCAGTCTCGACTGCAGTGGCCGCGCTCGGAATCATCTAAGCAATCGACCCTCGGGGTGTCACGCAAAGGTACCATGCAGCGCTCACCACACATTTCTGGCACCTAGTGCTTCTCGTGGCACCCAAGTCGACATTCTCAAGCATGATCACACCTCGTCGTCGGAGCTAACTAAGCAGCCCCGGCCACGCGTACGTTTCGGACTCGCGGACATTGCCATGTGGGAACAGGTAGTTTTATTTGATGGTTGCATCGCGGCCGAATGCTCACCGTGCGAAGCGCCTGGAAATAGCTGTGTCCAACGACCTAGTACGTTTGCAGATACCAGGCTTTCGGTATGTACTCACGGAAATATTTCATGGTTCTGTGCATTGAATTGACTGTTCCTACATCAGTGGGTACACGTCCGACTGCTTGCTGATTTTCACATGCACACGGCGAGGCAAGAGAGGAAGGCCCAGCGTACTAACCTACCCGCAGTTTGCATGTGATGGGGTATCCTTAGCAGTCTATATTGCAACGATGGCTCCGCGATTTCTCCGATGCACACTGGATGTACAGCTTCGCTGAAGGCGTAGGGAGGACCTTTATCCATGACGACCGTGTATATAAGAGGGCGACACTGGGCCCAGTGTCTCCCCATCATCCAAAGTCGTAGTCTCGACGAGTGCTCTAGCCATCAAGATGAGGTCCGCGAAAAGTCTCCTCAGCCTGCTCACGGTGTTCGGCGCCACTCAGCATGCTCTCGGTCAGTTCGCCACCCGCTTGGGTGGTGTTAACACTGCGGGTTACGACTTCAGTGTGGTAAGTGGCACGAGAAATGCTGTGCGAAATAGCCAACTCACTGCTGACATAGGACACAAACGGAGACTACTCTGGCACTGGTACGTCAATACATGGACAGCTACACTCGGAGCTCACCTGATGTGTTTGCTAACCAGATGCGCCTCCCCCGACGTCTCAGTATACTCATTTCACTTCGCAAGGCGCCAACCTCTACCGTATTCGTAAGTCTACGCCAGTCTATCAGACATTGTCATGATCTGACATGGGTTCCTAAAGCATTTGGTAGGAGTCATCTGACTTAGATAGATCAGCCGCCGGAATATTGACCACTTCAACAGCATGGCAGCTGATGACCCCCACACTTGGTGGCACCATCAATTCCAGCTTCTTCACAGGGTACGACCAGACTGTTCAGGCCGCATTGAGCTCTGGCTCTGGCGTCTACGTCATTGTTGACTTGGTACGAAACTGTTTAGAGACCTGATTGTGAACGCTCATTCACAACCTTCGTAGCACAACTATGCCCGCTGGAACGGAGATATCATCGGACAAGGCGGGCCCACCAACGCCGAGTTTGCGTCTATCTGGACTCAGCTCGCCTCTAAGTACGGCTCCAACGACCGCGTCATCTTGTGAGTCCTTACGACTGATCGGCTCAGTGTGCACAGACTGACACTGAAAGCCAGCGGTCTCATGAACGAGCCTCACGACCTCAACGTTACGGAGTGGGCTGCGTCTCTGCAATACGTCGTTAACGAGGTTCGCTCGGCAGGCTCTGAGAATTACCTGCTCCTCCCTGGTTCTACCTACTCGTCCGCTGGGACCTTCCCCACGGAGGCTGGCCCTTACTTGGTTAACATCACCGACCCTCTTGGCGGTACCGGCAAGCTGCTTTTCGACGGTAATGCCTTGCGGTATCCTCATCCGAAGCTGTACTCATCCATTTGTTAGTTCACAAGTACCTCGACTCTGACAACAGCGGCACTCACGCTACTTGCGTCACGGTCAGCGGTCACTTCATGACCTGCTGGGATTTTGTCTAATGGTCATTTCCCGCAGAACAACGTCGATATCCTCGAGACTCTCGTCACCTTCCTCCAGGATAACGGTAACCGCCAGGCGATCCTCAGCGAGACTGGCGGCGGCGAGACGTCCAGTTGCTACACCGAGTACGTACCATCCCTACGCCATGTCGACTCCGCGCGCTCACGTTGCTTCGCCACTTACTAGCCTAGGCCAGGAGCTCGCCTATGTGAAGTCCGCCTACCCGACCCTTGTCGGCTTCTCGGCCTGGTCTGCAGGCTCTTTCGACTCTACCTACGTCCTGACGCTCACTCCCTACTCCAACGGCACCGACCAGACTCTCTGGACTGAGGCCGGTAAGTGACGGTACATCACCTGTGAACACGCATCCCATTAATTGCATCGAACAGTGCTCCCTTACCTCCCATGAAGCTATCGAGCCTCCCCGGGCAACGCGTAGTGATGGAGACTCGAAGAAGTGTGTAAGTTGTCGGTGTTTAGTTCGAGTTCCGGTGTATGTGTATGTTGTTTGTCTTCGTGGTTGCCGTCAGCCGCGGACTCGAAATATAGTCGTGCTGATGATTGTATGTGACAAGTAATTGGGCCTACCGGCGTTCAAAGTACGCAACCTGAGCATATCTCCCGTGGGATCTTCAAGCACCCCCTTGACTGTGGTGTAGTCTGGAGGGACCTCGGAATCACCCTGTACACCATAGTTCTTTTTTAGTCAGAAGTGTCACGTACTCAAGATCAGCCTTATGAAGTATATAATGGGGTTCAGAATCCCGGGAAAATGTCTCGTCGGGCGTGTATAGACGATCTTTAATCCTTCATAGCAGCCCGCCAGTCTGGAGCCACTCAAAGCATTGCCTCGCCAGTTCTTCGCCATGATCTGCACAGCACAGGGCGAGTAATGAGCACTGCTGGACCTACGATCGAGATTCTCAAAGACGTACTGATGCAGAATGCGTGTGGAATATCCGGATGTCCGTGGACTATCTTGACAGATCCGGGATCGGCGTTGAAAGCGCGCAACACTGGTCCCTTCTGCTCGCCTACCCAGTCGTCCTCGTCTGCGAAGTACATGTGTAACCGATGAGAGTACGTCTGAAGAAGCGCGATATCGAGGTCTCGTATGGTTTTCATCTCCTGGTCGGCTAGACTCAAGGAGGCATATATAGCGCTTGGTGAGTGTAAAAACTTGCGCAAAACGAGGATTTGCGGAAGCGGCCATTCGGGAAAAAGAAGTCGCAAAGCAGCCAGAGGCAGCAGCCAAGCCAGAATAGACACGCAGGAAATCAAGCGAGGAAGAGGGGCCTGAAAGAGCCACTTATAAACGAAGATTCAGCAGTGGTACAGATTGATAACAACAGCTGGCGACATACGGACAGCGACCGTCCATTAGGGGTTTGATTGATGTGCGAGAGGGTTGGGAAGAGGAGGAAGAGCGAGGAAACTAGATCTGGCTTGGCCCGCAGTACCTCATCACAAAATTCTGAAGTCAGCCGCAAATTTACAATCTTTTGATGTATCAGTCGTCGCACCTGTAGGCCGACCCAGCACCCCATGCTATGCGCCGTTATGACGAGCTTAGCCTGCGGATAGGCATCGTGTAGGGCTTGAGCGCTTCGATGGCACTTTCAACCTGAGCCGTTAGGCTTATACTGGACGGATCTCTATACCTGCCTCCGCGGGGCACGGTTGGCCAAATACCGAGGTGGCCATGAGCCAATATGGATATTTTTCGCGCACATTTGTCGTGGATGGCGGTTAGAAAGGGCGTGTAGAATTCCACGAGCCCTGGGTTACCTGCTCAGAGGATGTCATCAAGGGGTCTGACATGTTGTGCACGGAGTGTTGGCGGTTTGTATTACCTGGTATGAAGAGAAGAATGGTGCGGGGTTGTTGGATGCTCGCAGGCCACCATAAGCATGCGCAGATGCTCCAAGCTTAGGATGAGGGAATTCCGCGTCCAAGCACAACTCTTGTATGGTCGGATCTGGAGAAACGGGACTTAGGAATGCAGGGAGTGCGGTCATGGTGCGGATCCGTTTCTGTGGCAGGCCTCGTGGCAGGCGTCAAACAAACGTACGTGGGATGTGTTGGGCGGAGCGTAGCATCCCAATCTACGATTGCCGCTCATCCCGGGGTGCAGCCCAATGCGGAAGGGGCAATGGTGACCGGCTGCACAGCGTCCGTTGAGCGTCCGTCTGGTAACAGGCTCTCCTCTGGTTATGTCTCGACTGCCTCCCAATTCTTCTAACGACTACGCACGCTCGAGATCAGGCTCTGTTCGCCAGAATGTTCCGCCTACATCCCCGCCTGTCAGGCCGCTGCAGATCAACCGGACGCCTACTGGCACGCGTCCTACCTCACCAAGTTCTATAATGTCAAGCTCATCTGCCGCTGCTAGGGGACCTATACGTCCGACACGGTCTGGCCTGAGAGATCGACAAGTTTCTGACGTCTCAAATTCTGATCGCGCTTCAGTGGACTCGCGCAATGCTCCGAACTCGAGGACATCAGAGGACCGTCTGGAAGCCAGACGCGGGGAGCCATCTAGAATACGTAATGGTGCAGCGACGACGTCCTACAGGTCTAACGGGAGCTCGCAATTTGTTTCCTCGCCCATATCCCCCATGTCTCCAGATTCAGCGTTGACACCTTCGTCTATGGCGGCCGTGGTCGCCTTCCAGGCGTTAGGCAGGAAGAGAGGGATGTCAAATGACAGTATGATGGACGCGGAGTATGAAAGAGAAAAGGCACAAGAACGCGAGGCGGAGCGGGCACGGCAGCAGCGATTGAAGGACCGGGTGCCAGGAAGGAAACCTACGGGAAAGACCAAGGCTGGGGATATCGATGGTGAGTACTGTAACTAGGGCCAGTGCATTCCTTGAGCACTGTGTCAGGGTGAATGGTGCTTTGACCTGGTCATTTAGCTGTTCTTGACGAGATCAGGGGAGAATGGGAGGTGTGCATGAATCCAGACGTGAGTCTCGCGATCGCAATGCTGCAGTCATCGGCCTGAGTGATAGTAGTTCAATCCGGTAGAACTTGCACTACAACTGCTGGATGAATCTTCGTTGGGAAGAGACGCCGACTCGTTCCGACGGACGAAAGATTTGCTTTCGAATGCTTTGAAAGGGTCCGTGGACAGTGCGTTGCTTCTCAATAGCGAAACCCGTCCGTAGCTGACATGCATCAGAGTACTACCAGGCGTTTGCTGGTGCACTACCTCATCATGCCGCACTCGTAAGTCATCTCGGCACTACGCAAAACCATATTCGAGAAGCGCGCACCGCATTGCAAGAAGCAAAGGATACCCTAGGAAGCAAGCGTGCCGATCTTGTTCAGCTATGGTCGAGAAGCCAAACCGTTGACGAGATGATGCGCATATTGGACCAAATGTACGGTGTCGTATGCAAGCGAGTTCTGCCACTTTACCATCAAGAACTGACAATCGACGCAGTGAACGTCTGAGAGCTGTCCCGGACGCACTGGAGAGCTTGATATCTGAGAAACGACTGCTCGAGGCTGCCGTGCTACTAGTGCGGAGTCTGAAGCTGATCAACAAGCAAGACATGTTGGATGTTGGGGCAGTTTCCGATCTACGCAGCTATCTAGTCGCACAGGAGGCGGTCGGTCTCTTTTTGCTACTCCGGTCATGACTATGGGTGCTTATTGTCGCTCGCACGCAGGCTCTCCGAGAGATTTTGGTCGATGAACTCAACAGTCACCTGTACCTCAAGTCATTCTGGTGCGAGTCACGCTGGGCAATATACACTCCTGGTCAACAGAGCTGTGAGTGATGTGTGAAGTCTCGCGCCGTTTTGTGTCACGAGCAATCTGTAGTCCCCAAGCTCGATGCCTCGGACCAAGGTGGTTCTGATATGAAAGACCCGTCGGCTGCTTCGCCCATCTCCCGATCCACACCAATCAGCAAATTCTTGATGGATCTCACTGTACGCCCGAACGATCCACCGTACTTGATCGACGAGCAGAACTACCGCGACAGCACGTCTGGAGCCGTATTAGCAGCGTCTACGAGCTCTGGAGCGTTAGGTATGTCGGCTGCGGGGTCGTCGACATCCCTTTCCGGTATGCTCTCTGGTAACATGCAGGCACCGCCGCCGCAAAATCCCGAGGCAGATTCGTTTTCTTACATTGAGACATTATTGGAAGCGCTAGCAGTTCTCGGGAGGTTAGGGAGCGCTCTCGACGTAGTCGCACAGAAACTACCGCAGGAGATTTATTCGCTGGTGGAGTCAACCTTGGATGAGGTAGAAGAGAGAGCAGAATTCGGTCGACGAAACTCTGTGATAACTTCCGGCCCAGGTGCGGGAAGACTAGACAGTAGCCTTCTACTCACAGGCCCTGGGGCGATATCGAGCATGGCTATGGGCACTGGCATCCCGGGCGTATCGGTAGCTCCAGGCGCATACAATCCGGTTCTGGGTCCTCTTGCCGGTAGAGGGCCACCGCTAAAGGCCGCAGCCCTGCGACTGGCTGCCCTGGAGGCGTCCACCAAGGTTACTGATCAGGAAACCTTGCGCGACTTCTTCTGGACACTATACTCGAAGATGGATGCCGTCACACAAGGTCTACGAGTAGTATACGAAGTGTCGAACCGAATAGGCTCGGTGGGTGATTTGATCGTTTTTCCATTGGACAGAAGCGTTGACCACATTCGTAGAGACGACACTTCAGTGATTCTTCAGGGGCGAAGCCCGGTTCTCTCTTCCCACTGGCCGAGGTGTGGATGCCAATACAGGCAGAGGTATGCTCCGCGTCAGTCCAGCAGAGTTCGCACCTAACGCTTATTACTATGTTAGATCAGAACCCTTATCGGTGACTATGTAACCGACGAAGAGCAAGGAACAGTGTCTGGGAGGAATCCGATCTCTTCAATCAACGAGGTCCTACGAGAAGGCAAGTTCAACAGAGACAAGAGCAAGGTTAGCCACGAATGCTACGCATCTCACATACGGCTACTCATTACTTGAGCAGCCTGTCTTCCGTTTCGCAGACACCGATGCGAAATACAGCATGAAAGCGCTCAAGCTGCACGAAGACGAGCTCACTCGAGTACTCAGGGATACGGTGCCGGGGCTGGTGCAAGGGTCTGCAGATAGCGCAGTACAAGCAACATTATCTGCCGTCGGTACGGATGATCGGTTGTCCGGGACCAGCCAGCATCACCGTGTCCTGATACGTCCGGACGCATTCCACGTCAGCATCCTTTTCCAGCCAACATTAGCGTGGCTGGATCGCATAGCGGATGTTCTACCGTCCGGCTTGGAGGCTGCGCGTTCGACAAGTATGGTGCTGGAAGACTTCGTGCTGAATGTCTACTTGCCGCAACTGGAAGACAAGGTCTCCGAGTTGTTCCATCAAGCGGTAACAAGTCCGGATGCTTTCGAGCCTGACCCGGCTACGAACAAACTGTCGCCACAGCCATTGGTTAAGTTTGTGACCCGGCCGAGTACTACATGGATTTATGTTCATCTCTTATTCTTTGCAGGCGGGCGTACAGGTCATGGCCCTGATCAACTCGCTTTGTGCCATGCTTCGGACCACGCCGTTCCACCGAGAGAACTATTCGCGACTCATCCTGACAGTCATAGGCCAGTTCTACCAGCGGTGTAGTGACAGGTTTTACGATCTTGTCGCCGTCAGGAACAACATGCAGCCGGATGCTGGCCCAAGGATAGTGCTTGGTGCACAGTGGGCACAGAAGGCGGATCTGGGCGCATGCCTGTCAGAATTGCTGAAGATTGTTGGTGAAGACTCGGAGGCGGCTAGGAAGCTCCAACTCTGCCGACAGGAAGCGCATCTCGAGCAAGTTCTCCAGGGCGATGAGACTATCATCAAGCAGGACTTAATCTCGTCAGCACGGAACATGGCCAGCCTGGCGAGCTTGTATCGCACTGTCGTAAGTGCTGTCTTATGATTGGAGCCAGCATGAGTTCATTATTCCCTCAGACCTGGTTCTTCAACGAGCTGGACACTCTGAAGCCGCGCCTGAAAGCGCGCTCTCACCAACAACACCGCTACGGCTGGAGCCCGTGAGCGCAGTTACCCCGTATACCCCATACCTGCCCGCGATCGCCCCCGTACAAGCGAATGAGCCTCTCAGCCTCCCGCTCTCCTCCGCAATGGCCATGCGGTTCCAGGCGTTGCATATGACATACGCCCAGTTGGCCGAGCTGGTCATGTACACCCTGCGCATCGACATCCGGTGCCGCGCAACACACTTCATCGACCTCGCGCTGAGACATGTAGGTGCTTGTCTGCCCGTTTCATTGACAGTAGCTGATATGTTGGCACGCAGGGCATTTACAAAGTCGAGCGCGAGGTTAGTGAGCCCGACCCCAACGTGATCGACCTTAACGTCGAGCTCAGCAAGTGCGACGACTGGGCATCATCAACGCTCCCTGAGCGAGAACGGAGGTGCGCGGACCCACTTTCGAGGTTGTGCGGCGCGCTGATACATAAGAGTTATTAGATACATGTTTGAGGGTCTGCCACACCTCATGGAGCGTCTCTTGATATCGAAGGCTCGGCACATCCGTGCTCTCAACGCCTTTGGGATCAAGAAGATGAACCGGAACATGCTCGCGCTGCAGCAAAACATCAAGACGATGACCCAGAACAGCAACGACCTCGAGTTCGACCGTGCCAAGCGGTACTACTCTTTGTTCTCCATGTCGCCGCAGGTGAGCCTTGCGCCGTAGGCAGTTCGGAGATAGGGCATAACGACTGTGACTGCGTAGGATATGCTTGACAGCATCCGCAAGAAGCAAGAGTTCAGCTTCGACGAGTACAAGGTAATGCTGGACCTGCAGTGCGGCGTCGACCCAACAAACAGCGAACAAAGCGCCGCACAGGCGACCAACCGTTCCTACAGCTTGTACGTCATCGATCTGCACGGTCTGGAGCTGCAAGACGGCGCGGACGGAGGCTCTTCATGACAGCGCTGTGATATAAGAAGGACCGCATCAACAACTAACGTTTATTTATGTACTACTACCGCCTCCTGTATTGCTGTATTCCGGAGTCTGTCCTCTTGCCTATTCCTTCTAGCCTCCTCACGTTGTCGATTGTCCTGCTCGATTGACCATTGATACCATGCCGTGTCGCTGTCGTCGGCGTCATATGTGCGATTATGCTGGTGATGGTCTGGGGAGAGCGAGACCATGTAGCCCTTGAACTGCATGTCCGTCCGGCCAGGCGGTCTCTTCCCAGACTCCGCGAGGGCGCGAGAGTAGGTCAGTATGGGCAAGCGGGCCAACAGGCTCGCGAACCGCCGTTTCAAAAACCGAGGCGACAGTTGATGGTTTGCGAACGCTGAATCCTCCGAGTTGGGCAGGCGGCCCGTCGTCGCGAGTGAGTGGACCTCTTCCATGATGCCTGCGTCCTGCAGAGCCATCGGGCGGATACCAGCTTGTTGCAGCGCCAATTTGTCCACTCGACGCTCCTGAGATTGGAGGGCTGGACCCTGCTCAACGCCTACCTCGAGGGGCGGGTAGAGCATCCGGAGGTTCTTCTGGAAGTAGTCCCGGCGGATGTGGACCTCTCTTCGTTTGCTGAAGCGACCAAATATCTGTGCATCCTCAGAGTCTGGGTCGGCGCGTTTAGGGAGGAGGTGAGGACGCCGGACTCGCGACAGATAAAGCGCCCTTTTCCGGTGTGACGCGTCGCTGATCAGCAGTGCCGTCAGCTCCGCTGAGGCTACTGGAGGCCTGGAGGTTTCGACGGAAGGGATGATGGGATCTGGGGGTGGAGAGGAAGGGTCGGTCATAATAGGCTGGCAAGGTGGGTCAGCGAACGGTGGCAACGAGAACAAACGAGAGGGTGCGGAGGAACCTCGCACCTGAAGGAGCTCCCACCTAAGCTTGCCCTTTCTGCCATACGCAAGGTCGAGGACGTGGTCAAATTTCTCCCAGACCCCGCGATTCGCCAGACGCAGCTTTTTCAGCTCCTGCACAAGTGTCAGCTACGTCGGACGCACAGTAAACTGGCACGTACATTGTGCACTCGCTTCATCTTTTTCGCACGGAGTTGATCATCATGGGTTTCCAGCAATGTCCTAGCATCGTCACTGAGCTTGATCCTGAAAAACTGCCTACAGGAAGCCGGTTACTTTGGTGGTGCACCACGAGGAAGGCATACGTGCCGGAGATAGTTTGTAGGCAAAAGGCGGATCTCCCTGTGGAATGTGCGATATAGCGAGAAGACTGCATGAGTGTCTGCAGCCATGGTGGACGAATACAGCGTTGAGAGGGCTGTCGGTCGCGGTGGGGAGCTGTTCGCGCTGGCGCCCGTCCGCAGACTCGAAGCACTCGAGCGCGACACCGAGGATGTTCCAAGCGCCCGCATGTGATAGTCTACTTTTCGACGCGCTCCCTTGTCGACAGGTCGGTATTTTCAATCGCAGTTTGAATGTACGTAGTGGATCGCAGGCGGAACCTCAAGTGTGTGGCTGAGCTTGTGGCGGGTGCGTCTGTGGCGGAAGCAAATATTGCATTGTTCTCGTCGCGTACTACTACTAGGTCGCCGTCTTTTGCACTGCTCGTCCTCAGCTTGAAGATAGCGACTTACACCGCTATCTACCGTTTCTTTCCGCGAGGAGACGTCCTTCAGCTAAAGGTTCGAAGGTTCACCCCTTGCGCGTTCTAACAGTGTTCTTGATGTCCCGTTGCGCGACGACTCCGGACACGAGCACGCAGACAAGGATGCGTGAAGGTTTTCTCGCTCGTCCATCGAGCGCGGCATGCTCAAGAAGGCGACGCACGCACTTGAGTGAGCATTGTGTGCGCGACAAGTAGCGATTCAAAGGTCTGTCCCTCGACGCCCGTCTGCGACCTAGCGCACTTTACAGTCTGGATAGTTCATCAAGCGAGTTTGGCGTGTAGCGGAGTCACTGGAACGGCGTGTTTCACAAGCTCGCCATTCGGTTTGTCCTCCATCTATCGCCCGAGCCTCTGGTCCTTCCCACCCACACTTTCTCGTGTGCACCTACTCGGCATGCCCTCTTCTGGATTCTCGCTTGCCTCGGTATGTGTCTGCCGTCTGGAACACTGGCTGGTAGCTGACTCTGAGATCAATTGCTGGACCGACAAGGCGGCACCTCCTGGCGGCGTGCAGCTCTAGCGACACACTGTCCGGCCGCGCGAAATCAGCCACCATAGTGAAAGTCGAGCTTCGGGTACAAGATGTCAATGACCGTAGTGTGCACGGGATGAAGCCTAGGGGGAACTGCCAAGGAAGAAGGGATGGCGAAGGTAAGTACAGCAAATTCGAAGCTTCGAAGCCGAAGTACGCCCCTGCAAGCGACCGTTAACCCGCAAACACATCTGTCTGCCCGCACGCGCGTCCACTCGCCCATTTAAATGCTCGTGCGCCAATCCGAACGCTGTCCCGCACGTTCGCCCGCTCGCACACAGTCGCTTACCTATCCTTGTGCTCAACGGCTTGGGCGCCCGCTCGCCCACGCGCTTGGTTGCCCGTGCGTTCGTGCACTCGATTACTCGCGCGCACGCCGCTCATCTGCCCGTGCACTCGTCCATCTAGCTGCAAACATATCCCCTGGCTCCTCCGCCTGCGCGCTCGCCCGTCTGGCAGCCCGCCTACGGTGCCACCCGCCAGCTCGGCCACCCGACTGCCCGCCTGCTCCGTTGTATGGCAACTCAGTCATTTGTGTACCTGCCTACTCGCGTGTCTACGTCTTCGTCTGCGCTCTCACCAAGCCACTCAGAGATATATTAATATTACTGTATAGTCTAATATTTTGCTGGGTTCAGTGCACCTGCGCGGTGCTGATTGATGTCATCGACACATAAGTAGCAGAGATTCTGTAAAGAGGACATGTACAGCGACATCGCGGATTGCATAGCAGAACATGTCATAACAGATTGTAATGACCGAGACGCGCCTCGGACGCGTCAGAGCGCGTTGTGCCGACGTGTTTGTACAAACTCGTGACGTGCCGAGCGGCTGATGGCGACCTCCAGACAATAGGGGGGTATCAAAAGCAGACGTTAGACAAGGATATCCGGAGCCAGCGAAGGTTGAAGGAATTGTCTACTCTGCCCACGGGAGACTAGCATGTGAGTGTCCTTCGATCGCGTCGTGACGCGTAAGCGCCCTGCCCCCTCCTCTCCCCGCTCGTGCACCGCGTCCGCTGTCTGTGCTAAATAGACTCTGCTCCCGGATTGTCTAGCCTCGGGCGCACCAATGCGATGCACTGCCTCGAGTCTTCTCATGCCTACCCACGTGTATACTCGCCCCATTCTCGAAGATACGGCTTCCAGCTCACGTTTGCACGCATAAGGGGCTCTTGTCTGTGAACGTTTCATACCGGCATCGATGGGGCACAACAAATGGAAAAACATCGCACTCGAAATAGTACATTGGCAGTACGCTGAGTCAACTGAATACCACTCCGCATCCCTCGTTCTCACTCATCTCGACCCTGTGCGAACGCGTCCTCGCTCGCGCGTGGTCTTTCAAAAGCCCCGCAGTTTTTCCGTGACCTGCATTCTTCTCTCGCTCATTTTTATCGCTAAGCGGGTTCAGTAGCGGTCGGGTATAAAACGTACTCGAGCGAGATGCACAGTCGATCAGCAGGCCGCTTTGTGACAGCGAACAGCCTACTAAAATGCTCTCCGTCCTTGCGCTCCTCTCAGCGGCCCTCGCGCCGCAGCTCGTGAGCGGCCAGGTTCCTCGCCTCGGCGGTGTCAACACTGCAGGGTTTGACTTCACGGTGGTGGGTGCATTTGCCGAGTCATACAGTCGAAACGCCTGAATTTAACTGGTAAATCGCTAATAGTATACCAACGGCAGCTTCACGAACAATGGTAAGAGGTCTAGTCGCCTGCTTCGATCACTACTTTCTCACTCAGGACGCAGCCGCGGCTCCGCCCACTTGGCAATACACCCACTTCTCTGCCGAGGGTGCCAACCTCTACCGTATCCGTGAGTAACCTTGTTTACCTTGAGTCAACTGTCTGGATGCGCATACCATATCATTTCATAGCCTTCGCATGGCAGGAGATGACACCTACCCTTGGTGGGCCCATCAACGAAACCTTCCTCTACGATGAGTACAATCCCATCGTGCAAGCTGCGCTTGCGTCCAGTCCCGACGCCTATGTCATCGTTGACGTCGTGCGTACAACACGATCTACGACTCCTTACTGCCTGTTTCAATGCTACCTTCGTAGCACAACTACGCTCGCTGGAACGGCGAGATCATTGCCCAGGGCGGCCCGACCAACGAGCAGTACGCCTCCCTCTGGTACCAGCTCGCCGGCTTTTACGGGTCGACCCCGCGTGCCCTCCTGTGCGCCCTACCTTTGCATGCCTCTATATCTGCGTGTTGACCCACCGATGTAAATAGCGGCCTGATGAACGAGCCCCACGACCTCGACATCCCCACCTGGGCCGAGTCCGTGCAGTACGCCGTCAACGCGATCCGGGCCGCCGGCGCGCAAAACTACCTCCTGCTCCCCGGCTCGAACTACACCTCCGCCGCGACCTTCCCCACCGGCGCCGGCCCGTACTTGCTGAACGTCACCGACCCACTCGGCGGCACCGAGAAGCTCATCTTCGACGGTAAGCGGCTTGCTCCTCTGCTGGAGTGCTGCGCCGTCTGACGCGTGGGTTGTAGTCCACAGGTACCTCGACTACGACAACAGCGGTACCCACGCCGAGTGTGTCACCGTACGTCCCCCCTCTGTACAGTGCGATGGAGCGCGCGGCTGACCGACGTCCCCCAGAACAACACGGAAGTGTTCGAGACGCTCGTCACCTGGTTGCAAGCGAACGGCAACCGCCAGGCCATCCTGAGCGAGACCGGCGGAGGCAACACCGCCAGCTGCGACGAATAGTAGGCACCCCGTGTCCCATCCCCTGCCCCGTAGCACTGATTCGTTCCCCACAGCCTCTACCAGGAACTCGCGTACATCAAGAACTCGTACCCCAGCATGGTCGGCTTCTCCGTCTGGGCCGCGGGCTCCTTCGCGACCAACTACATCCTGTCGATGACGCCCTACGCAAATGGCACCGACCAGCCCCTGTACAACGTTGCTGGTGAGTGCATCTTATTATGTGTAACATCATGTCTAGTCAGTGCTAACCGTTACCCCAGTGCGGCCGAACTTGCCCGCTCCGGTGTAATATTGAGCTTGCCGTAGGAGTAGTACTCGTGTGCACTTCCAATGAATTGAAGTCTGCTTTGTGCACTCAAGAGTCTTGATTTGCTACTTACTGTGACAGTGATGGTCAAGTCGAGACTACACCCTTCCGCACTCTGCGGTAATGCATGTTCGAATCATGACGCGCTTTGAAGAGAGAGCGCTTGATCGTGAGTCTGACATCCAATGAGTACCGTCATCACCTGCAGCCTGCACTGACGTCCACTCTGTAAATGTTTTCTATCCCGTTCAGCAGCAATCTCGCACCAGCTCTTTGAACAGCGCACTGGCGATAGCTTATGCACCCCTAAAAATGCACTTCATTGTACGCGCGAGTAAGAGAAGACATGATGATACATTGATGCATGGGAGATCGAATATAAATGCTAGACGGGAAATGATACACGCAAAATTACTCCTGTAACAAGGCTACACAGAAGGTCGACGAAAGACAGGGTGAAGGGAAGACTATGCAAGAAGATACAAATGATACATGCGAGGATATTGGTCCGTGAGTCCGTTCGTTCTAGAGTGTACATAGAATGCTGACGTGACTAGGCTGTTGCTCGAGGTCAGGGAATACATAAGACGAGATGTCCAATAGCTCAGGCGATAAATATGTGCGTGAACCTCGTTCTAGCGAAATCCTCCTCGATACTGACTGGCTCCGACGTTGGTGACGCGACCAGGTGATGCTGAACCAAGCATTGAGCCGACTGTGCGCAGAATTTGAGACGCAGACGTACCTCCAAATACAAACTGCTCACGGATCCCACTGGCCTCCCTTCTGCTACCAGGAGGCATCTTCTAATGACTCGGTGAGTGGGCAGCCATGCATACGACGCGGTAGCGCTTACCTTCACCGGGCGAGGCTGAGGCTGCCCGTATCCCTGAGCCCGCATGTTCCCCTGTATGCCTGAAACTGGACCCTGAGTGTTGCCTGGGTCACGTCGCGGCGCATAGGATGTGGCGGGAGCGATGGGCTGAGAACGGGGGCCGACTGAAGGTGCGACGCTACCAGGAATGCCGCCTGCGGGGCGTTTGTGTGCAGGGCCCTGCATAGACGTCCCAGAAGAGAAACCGACGACAGTGGGGTTACTTTGTCTCGAGGCGAAATTGGACGACGGCGCCATGCTACTAGTGACGGTGGGTACTTGCGCAACTCCTCGTGTTGATGAAGGCTGCTGACCTGACGGGGCCATCAGCAAAGCCTACATTGTGTGCGTCAGTATTCAGAGCAGAAGGAGCGTGTTCAGATCACTAACACGAGGGGGTGCATTCTGCGTCCCCGTCTTGCGCGGGCTTGCCGAAGTCGTCGCAACGGGCAAAGTCACAGCATACAGTTTGTCTCCGTGTCGGTATAGAACTTGACGCGGCCCGACGTTCTTGAAAGTCGAATGGGTAGAGGTGGCGCCTGATGGTGCGGCGGCGGGTACGGCGGGTACTTGGTTGTTGGTCGATGCGTGTAGTGTACTGCCTGAACCTGGAGCTGAGCTGAATGCACTGCTGGCCGACAGTGCATTCAGCTGAGACCCAGATGCAAGCCACGCCTGCACAAAAGCGCGACGAACCGCTGGACCGTCGACGGCTTCAGGTTTCTGGAAGGGAGAATGAGAACAGCAGACAAAGACATAACGCTGGATACTTACTGCATCGGTACGCCTTCCAGTCATTCTCTGCGGGGTCGGTACTACAGTGTTGATGGTGCAGTCGGGGACCGACTCCGCCATCTCTACGTCTTCGTCGAGATACGGCTTCTGATAAGTCGTGATCTCATCCATGTCGACGTCGGACATAGCTTTGCCGAGTTCAGGAGAGGCCATAACCTCATCCATGTCAGGGGAAGACATGCACTCGTCCATTGCATGCGTAACGTCAATGCTGCGTTGCATGCACGGTGTCACCGACTCAGCGGCCTCGACCTTGCGGCGGCGACGAATCTTCCTCGCGCCGATGGTCATTGCCGTGAACACGGCAACGATCTGGTCGACAGCACTGTCCTCGTCGACGTTCTACATTGGACGGCATTAGACGAGCATCTTACGGGAGAAAAGCTGGTCAACTTACCATGCGTGCTTGTCGCGACTCAAAGTTGGCACAGGGCAAGAGCGGGGAAGCCGCAGCGTCGCAGCCTATGGTCGGTGACCAAGTGGCTGAAGCACACGAGAGTGCTGGGCTCGCCAGCAGGACACTGGCTGTCTCTCGTATCGACGTCCACAAGGAGCTTGAAGGGGCCACTGGCGACGTCGGGGTGCTGTATTCAACGAGCGGTGACATCGTCGAGGAGTCTGAGAGTTCTGGAGTATCCGGCACCATGAGGGTAGGTTCTCGCATTGTCGTCCATGCGGGAGATGCAGACACAACGGTGGTCGCCGTCTCCTCTTTGATTGGCTTAGCCGGAGAAGCGATCTCCGTCTCCTGGAACAACTGGTATATTAGGCGATGACTAGCATGGTTCAGGGAATGAACATACCGGTGACTTGGGTTCCGGGGGTACATCGTCGACGACGGTGGACGTATCAGACTCGAGGTCGTCAAAGCTGAACTTGGCGAGGTCCTCTGCAATGCTGTCCACCATTGGGCTAGGACTGCGCGAGCCAGGGTCGCGAAGGCTGAAATCGGTGAGGTCCTCTACTAGCTGTTCGAATGCGTGATAGGGACGCCAAAAGAGTGGAGACGTAGGCATCGTAAATGCTGCCATCGGAGACGAGTTCGACGATGCGGCGGATAGTGCTGGGCTAGAAGCGTGTGGAAGGGCATACTGGACTCCAATATCCGTGTTGACGAGATCCCGGGGGCTGTCGGGGAGAGGGATGCTGGTAGCGTTCATGAGCTCTAGGAGACCATCATCGGAGATGTCGGGCGTATAGGCTGGGGCAGAAATAGTCGCGATGTTGACGAAGTCCTGGGGACTGTCAGGGAGAGGAATGCTGACGGCGTTCATGACGTCCAGGAGATCCTCTTCGCAAGAGATGGCAGGCGTATAGGCTGTGATAGAAACAGGCATGGCGATGACGGGAGCCTGAGGGCTGTCGGGGAGAAGGATGCTAGCGGCAGTAGTGAGCTCTAGGAGACCTTCATCGGCGGAAACGTGAGGCGTATAGGCTGGGACAGCAACAGTCGTGGTGCTGACGGGACTTTGGGGGCTGTCGGGGAGAGGAATGCTGGCGGCGTCCGTGAGGCCGTGGAGACCTTCATCGTTGGAAACGTAAGGCGTATAGGCTGAGACGAAAACAGATGTAGCAGTGAAAGGGCTAGGATTGTGGAGTTCATGTCCCTCTTCGCCGTTCATGACAAGTTCGGAGAAGGTGACGACGGATGAGGATGGCGAGGCGTCGAAGGCGAGGAACATAGGAGTGTGCGGCTGGGAGTCCAAGGTGCGTTCGAGAGGGCCTTCCTCGGACTGCTCCTGCTCGTTGAACGAAGCAGGTACAAGGATTCCGAGACCGATAACGGCGGATGAAGTGGAGCCTTGCGAAGTGCACCGGAGACGGGGGCTAAAGTACGGTGTTTCGCCTAGGACTTCAGGTGTGTCCAGGGCAGGCGAATAAAATGACGTCGATGGCGAAGAGACAGCGGACAGCGACTTGTCCGTCAGGGGGGATGCAATCGATGGCGAAGCGTCTGTGGAATCATCGAGTGTTGCGACGGGGGAAACCACGACAACGACGGACAATGAATCGTTGGCGTCGAGCAACCATGCTTGGTGGGCGTCGACAATGCTTGTGTCGGAGTCGGAGTCGCTGATGCTAAACGTCGTAGAGAGGTCGTGAAGTGATGAGGAAGCCGTCACAGCCGTCATCGACGGGGAGTTGGTCCGAGCGACTCCAACGTATGAGGATATCCTGGCGGCGATAGTCAGGCACTTCCATGCGGCAATCCTGAGGGCGAGGCACAGCGCCTCCAGGATAGCGACGACGACGATGCAAACGATATGAACTGCGATATTGCCGGCGACCATCGCACGCAACATTGAGCGGGCCACGAGCGTACCGCCGGCTGCTGCGAGGGGTCGAAGACGTCCGACGTAGGTGTCCAATGTCCCGACGAACCTAGGCAAGATGTCGCCGGACATCGCGATGGCGATACTGACATAGGCGTCGATGATGGCGGGCGGGATGGGCGAGGTGAGCAGGAAGCTGTGGACTTGCGTCAGTGGGATGTCATCGTCGAAACTGGATACTTACTTGAGCAGACCATTCAAGATGTTCTGTACCTTTGCAACGATGTGTACACGTCCCGTGACGGTGGCGGTTGCGACCAGACCGAAGACGAGGAGGGCGAACCGGAGTGCCTGCATACCTATGGGGGGTGCAGGAGGCATGGTGGAGAAGTTAACGTGAAGGCGTCGTGAGGTTGAGCTGAAGGCGAGTGCGCGCGGGGATGGGGCCTGGGAGGCGGGGGAGCGCAAGGCGGGTGGGGAGGGTAGGCGGGGTTGCTCGCCCTCTTTATAGGTGCGCGTCGCGACGCGGTTGAACGTCTCACGTGAGGGCATTCAACAAGGAAGCAAGCACACTCGCTGTCAACGACGGCGCGCGGCGCATTGCGGCCGCTGTCACCGGTGGAGCGGGTGCCGACGCCGACGTCGCGGCACGTCGCATGCCAGCGCGCGGCCGCCGGTGCGTCGCCCTCACGCGCTGGCCTCCTGCAAAGGGACGATGCCCAGCGTTCCCCCATAGTAGACCACTTCTGCATATGCCCGCGCATGCGACGTCAGTTCCTTGCTGAGTGTTAGCAATCATACTGCGAGACTGATCGGCACCCTCACCAGCCACCTGCTCATCGCTCGTCGAGCCTCAGCCTCACCCGCCGGTCTGACTCTGAGTCGTGCATCGCAGTCTGTGGTCCCCGCCGACCCTCCTCACCGAACCCTAACCATGCAGTAGAACCAAACCCGTGGGAAGGTACGGGAGGCGGCCATATCAGGAAGAGGTGGCCCGTCGCGACCTCTGCATCTGAGCTCACGCTGACCATCTCTCGATCTACGCGTTGCGACGCGTCCAGGCGCGTCTTGTCGCGACCGTCATGACCGAGCCACCCTCAGATCCTCCTCTGCTCTTCACTCCCCCCACACAACCGTCCTCCGCGCCCCAGGAGCTTCCTGACAGCCCCGTCAGGCTATCCAGCGTTGCCGACGGTCCCCCCACCTCTGATGATCCCATCGTTCTTCCTTCACCGCCAGCCTCGCCTCTCACTGAGCCCGACGATATTTTGCTTGTTGAAGACTCAAGCCCGCCGCCAGCCGTGCAAGAACAGCCGTTCTACATCGAGGTCCCACCGCTCCCGGCGGACCAAAAAGCTCTATATCAGCCGAACTTTGGAGAGCAACTCATGACGTCCGGTTCCGCCTTTGACTTTGACGAATTCTCTGAGATCGCCGGGGAGTATGAGGTTGACGGGGAAATGTATTATTTTGCACGGGACTCCGAAGGAATTTTGCACAGGGTGAGTGTGTGCATTTTGCACTCGGCGCATACGATACTCTCGGGAAGCCTCTGCCGTACAAGCCAGCTTTTCTTCTTACATTCTGTCTGCCTGGTCGTATTGCGGCGCGGAAGAATCAGTCCTTTGTCTCGCTGCGGCTTATTGAATAATCTCATTGACCGACTGATTACCGTAGTTTCCCGTCGACGAGGTACAGGACATTCGTCCGGATTTGGTGGGAAAATATGGTACGCTCTTCTGATCTTCATGCATCTCTACGGCTCTCATTCTGCCCGACAGAGGAAGCAAAGGAAGCCGGTACTCTAGGCCCCTTTGATCCCTCAGCGAGCTACGTGCACATCAACTCTCGGGTCCGTCTCCAAGTACACATCAAGCGCGCTCCACCAAAAACGCGTCGTACTAGGCAACAAAGCTCGAGCAGCGACGAGCTTGCCGCGGGCTTCCGTTCTGACAGCGGATCGCCGCGCGGGTATGGACGCCGCACCTCCACGAGTGGCAAGAACAAGAGGAGTCGTGAGCTCCCTTTCAGCCCAAAGAAGACACGCTCGCGGGGCCGCGCGGTCGTCGCCCGGGACTCGGATGCGGACAGCGACAGCGACGTGCAGGAGATCGTCGTTCAAGCCGCCACCCGTCGGTCGACGCGTACGAAGAGGTCGGCCCGGTCGAACCTCAAGGACGCAGACTTTGAGGAGGACTCCGAGAACGCCTCGGAGGAGGACGAGTATAGCGACTCGGACGCGGGGTACAGCGGGAAGCGGAAGCCTGCGAAGAAGAAGAAGCCTGCGCGGAAGAGGGGCTCGCGTGCTGCCTACGGCCACTTCCGGCCTATAGCGGACATGGAGATGGACGAGGAGGTCAGCGAAGAGAGTGCCTTCCTGCGGATACACAGGCGGACATGCGAGAAGTGTCATAGATTGCCTACGCACCAGGCCATGGTCCAAGCGAAGAAAAAGAAACCAGGTAGACGCAAGAAGAAGGGCACGGATGAGGAATCAGCGAAGACGAGCTGGCCCGACTGGAAGCCCTCGGCGGCTGGGTCCGGTGGTATGTGACGCTCAGGACCGATTCAACTGCGAAGCTTGCTCACTGTCATCTTTAGCCTGAAATGTCCCGTCGCAGCGCACTGGAACTGCCTTGCGAAGACCCAGCGAGACGAGATACTGAAGGCAGCCTTGGAACGCGACAAAGCCGAGTGGCAGGCCGCGAAAGACCGCGCCATCGCGGAGGGCGAAGAGTTCTTGGAGCCTGCGCCAGTCAAGCGGTCGGAGCTGCGCAGTGGCAATCGACGGACTTTATCTGCACGTCCTGCATGAAGGGCGGGGTCTGCATGCCTGTCGGGAGATCGTCGTCAAGCCCGATGTACCGACTGAAGCCAAGGCGGGAGAGAAGCAGTCAAGTGCTGTCCCTGGCGCTCTCCCCGGAGACGTTGAGATGGCTGATGCCGCTGCCGGGTCCACGTCCGAGAAGCCGCTTCAGACGAGAATGACGACGAGGCGAAGGAGGAGGACGATGACGACAAGGAGCTTGCATTCCGATGCATCACCTGCAAGCGCCTCGCGCACTACGCGCACCTCCCCATCCCGCCGACTGGGACTATGACCCTGAGGACGTGACGCGATGATGCTCGCGAACCATTACCAGAGCACAACTAACTGGCAGTGCGGCGACTGCTCGTCCTTCGTCTATGGCGTTGAGCACATCCTGGCGTGGCGGCCTTACCCCGAGGACGCTGTCGAGCCGTCCCGTCCAGCTGGCGAGCCCGCTAACTACAAGGCGATGCTGCCGCGTGAGTACCTCGTCAAGTGGGTCGACCGGAGCTACAGGCGGACTTCGTGGGTGCCGCACGGATGGCTCCTCGCCACGTCGGGAGCCAGGCTCAAGAACTTCCTCCAGGCAGGCTCTAAAGTCCCACTTCTGCTGGAGCCTGTCGAAGCAGAGAAGGCTGAAGAACCTGACGCAAGCCAGGGCCCGACGTTCGAGATTGGCAGGGAGGACTCTATGGACGGCCAGGCGAACGAGGAGAAGCAGCAGGTGTCTGTGTTGTCTGCGAACCCCGACGCGCAGCGCAAAGTCCCGCCCGCGTGGAAACGTGTTGATCGTGTCCTGGACGTGCTCCTCTGGTATCCGGACGCTCGACTCGAGCAGAGGCAGCAGAAGGGCGGTCGCAAGGGCAAGGGCAAAGGCAAAGGCAAGGGGAAGGGGAAAGCCAAGAAGACTGTAGAAACGGACGAGGAAGAAATCAGCGACAGCGATCCTAGGATGGTGGCAATTCATAGGGAACAGGATGCTGCGTATGACCTGGGCGAACAGCCGAGCCAGGACCTGACCGAGACGGTCGAGGAGTATGAAGAGAGGACGGGTCTGGCGCTCGATGCGAGTGATATTGACCGCGTGGTATGGGGTTTCTTCAAGTGGGATGACTTGGGTTATGAAGATGGTATTCATTCCTTGATGCTTTGCGTGAATCAATGTCTCATAGATTGTTTCCAGCATCTTGGGATTCTCCACCACGCCCTGAGTTGCCTAGTTACTCCGCGTTTGAGACGGCGTTCGAACGCTATGCTGCAGCACGCGAAGTCACCGTTCCGGTGAAATCAAAGATCGAGACGGAGTTCTTCGACCTGAACCGTCCCAAGAACGCGTGGAGGAAGAAGTTTGCCTTCACCCACGAGAACCAACCCGACAACGGTCAGGACTCCCAGTTCAAACTGATGCCATTCCAGGTTGACGGCGTGAACTGGCTGTGCGACAACTGGTGGAACCACCAGAATTGCATCCTTGCCGACGAGATGGGTCTGGTAAGACAACTTGTGAGTCACCCTGAGCTGCAACTGACCGCACGACTCGCAGGGAAAGACAGTGCAGATCGCGTCGTTCATCGGGCATGTGGCCTCGCAACAGAAGGCGTTCCCGGCCCTCGTTGTGGTTCCTAACTCGACGATCTCGAACTGGGTGCGCGAGTTCGAGCGCTGGGCTCCGAAACTTCGCGTTGTGCCCTTCTACGGAGAGGCGAAGGCTCGAGAGATCATCAAGAAGTACGAGCTCTTCCATCCAAAGGACAATGTCTTGCCGAAGACCACCGGGGCGAAGTATCACGTTCTCGTCACCACGTACGAGATGATCACTAATCCGAAAGACTTCACCCCGGTCTTCAAGAACACGCCTCGGTGGGAAGTTCTTGTCGTTGACGAGGGTCAGAGACGTAAGTGTCGTCTCAAATATACGTATGCGGATAGCTGAGGGTAGGGCAGTCAAAAACGATACCAGTCTCATCTTCAAGAAGCTCAAGGAATTGAACACGATGCACCGCGTCATCATGACCGGGGTATGTTGGTGCTGTGATTGTTCTTGACTCGTTCTCATGCATCGCACAGACGCCTTTGAACAACAACATCAGAGAGCTGTTTAATCTCATGAACTTCCTGGATCCCGGACAATGGACTGATCTTGCTGGCCTGGCGAGGCAGTACGAAGAGCTCACTGAAGACAAGGTCAAAGAACTTCATACGAAACTCAAGCCGTATTTCCTGCGACGTATCAAGTCAGAGGTGCTACAGTTGCCGCCCAAGGTCTGATTTTGCCTCACTACGGAACCACATACGCTCACATTGCGACCGCAGAACGAGGTCATTGTACCTGTCAGTATGGCGCCACTCCAGAAGGAAGTCTATCGATCCATCCTGAGTGAGCATCGAACAAATATGCATGTATTTGCTTCTCACTGTTGCACTAGGTCAGAACCTGGGTGTCTTGCACAATCTCGTCGCAGGTTCTACTGGTGCTAAGGTGAATGCTGCAGTCAGCAAGGCAAATATGAACAACATTCTGATGCAGCTGCGGAAGTAAGTTGTACGGTTCTCGGCTGGCGCGCAAAGACTAAACACTTGAAATTCCAGATGTTTGCAACATCCTTATCTCGTCTCAGAGGAGATTGAACCCAAGGGCCTCACACAAGAGGAGACACATGCCAAGCTCATCGACGCCAGCTCGAAGCTGGGGCTTCTCAAGACGTTGTTACCGAAGCTACGGGAGAGGGGGCATCGTGTGCTCCTATTCAGTCAGGTTGGTCCTCTGGCGACACTCAACTACGTGATCTCACAGTACATTAGTTCTCCATCGCGTTGAATGTGATTGAAGACTTCCTCATTGGAGAAGGAACCAAGTATCTCCGCCTGGTACGTGTAGCCCTTGACCTTCCCTTCATCCACGGAGAACTCAATGTGCGACCCCAAGGACGGCAACACCAAGCAAGCAGACCGACAGAAGGGCATGGACGAGTTCAACAAGCCGGATTCAGATGTTTTCATATACCTCCTGACGACACGCGCTGGGGAGTTGGAATCAATCTTTGGACGGCGGATACTGTCATCATCTTCGATCCCGACTTCAACCCACATCAGGTATGTCCAGCATTTCCATTCTGACCTCATGACTGACATACACGCTTCACAGGATCTTCAAGTACGATTTCTACAATTTGGCACTTCTCAGTACTAACGACAGAGACCACAGGCTATCGCGCGAGCTCACAGATACGGGCAGAAGAAGACATGTCTTGTCTTCAAGTTGATGGTCAAAGGCTCGGCTGAGGGTAGGACGGCGTATCTCGCACCTTGACATGCGGTGGACTGATCGAGACAACAGACAAGATCGTACAGACCGGCAAGAAGAAGCTTGTACTTGATCATCTAATCGTGCAGAAGATGGACGACGAAGACGGTTCGAAAGAAGACGTTCAATCAATCCTAATGTTCGGAGCGCAGGCTCTCTTCCAAGAGGAGCAGAACGCCGAGAATCGTCAGATACATTGTCAGTATCCTGTTGCTCCAATTATGACACGTGCTGAGACATCAGCAGATTCTGAACATGACATCGACAAGCTCATTGAGCGGACCGAGCAGGAAGGCGACGAGTTGGAATCGGAAGCGAGTGCCAATGCGGCCTTCACCTTTGCCAAGATATGGTCTGCGGACAAGGACGAGCTCGAAGAGGTTCAAGAAGACATCAACGGAGATCAAATGGACTCCTGGGCACAAACGTTGGAGCGCATAGCTGCGGAGCGGGCCAAAGTCCAGGCTGCTGAGATGACTGGGCGCGGTGTTCGTCGTAAGGCTGCGGCAGTGTTCCCTCAGGTATGTAGCGATACGTGGGCGATATCTGCCTCTGATTTGATGTCGTTTTTAGCAAGACCTCGGCCCAGATGATACGGACTCGCCGCTCAAGAATAGCAAGAAGATTGGCAAACACCGAGGGAAAGGCAAGAAGACAAAGTCTCATGTCTCTGAGGAATCCGAGGCGTACGCCGCACCTCCTAGCGCATCTGAGAGCGATAGCACTTCCAGCCATCCGTTGTCGCGGGACGATGATGTACTCGCAGAGTTCACTCAAAACACTCTACCTCCCATCCCCCCTACCGCACAGGCTTCCACCTCGAAGACATCGCCCCAGCCTGTTCAGTTGAACGCAATCCGCGATCGGAAAAAGGTCGCTTCTAGTGCGATCGAGCGGACGGAAAGTCCTCAGCCGCTCTCGCCCATCCAGAACACGAATGACCCTCGTTGTGGTCTCTGCGAAGGTTATCATGGAGATCAGCCGTGTAATATGACGGAAGACCCTGAGAATTTGGTCGAATACAGGCTTATGCTGCTTACACATGCTGGTGAGGAACCGCTTGAGGATCGTGTACGTCCCTCTTCTTCCCTGTCAGATCAAAATCTGACACCTCCTTCCTGGCCAGCGCGCCGCAATCAAGGCCATTGACGAGACACTGTATAAGCGTGGAATGATCCACCTGATTTACGGTCAGCCTCTGCACCTGCTAGAGCGACCGGCCAAGGAGGGCAAGCCTTTGCACAAGAAGCCCAAGCTGGAGGCATCATTACCCAAACGCAAGTCAATGCCCGTCTCAAGTCAGATGGGCCGCGAGTCTGGCAGCTCAAAGCCTTCCACGACTGCCAACAAGTCCCTTTCGTCGTCCGCAAAGGCCGAAGCAGGTACGGATCCTCTCGGACACGCTGAAGGAGAGAAGCGTATGGTATCTTTGCCTCGGACGCGGCCGTCTGGGAATGCCCATGCTGTCGCAGGACCTTCCAAGCGCCCTTCGTCGCCTCTACTATCCACAGAACCACCCAAGGCAAAGAAATTTAAGAGTACCGATGCCTTGGGTTGTCCAGTGTGTGGTGGGATGGTTCATCATCTAGTTAAAGACTGCCCAGAAGTCAAGGCGGGTCCGAAAAGGTGTGTGACGGCTTATTGAAACCCGTACTCCGAAAACTGAACAGAGTGCAGGGTCAAGAAAGCCATCAGGAGACTGGAAGATGATCCCGTCCATGCGGCTACGGTCAATGCGCTCAGTAACATACTCGTCAAGCAGCAGAGGAAAGCCCTGGCGAACGTGGCTCCCGCAGCGCCTTCTGCGATTGAACTCAGCGACTAGTAATAGTATTCACGCTAATATCGCTTTATCTTACGACCGCATGTAGTTAGCATAACATTCATCTTGTGCACTCATACATCTTGCTAGTATTGCTACGATATAGTATTCTGGTTTGGACGCAGTCGTCCGGAGTGGCGGGTGCCGCGAGTCGCGTGGGAGCTCGGCCACGCAGGGCCACGCATGAAGTGAACGTGTGGCCGGGAGCGGACCCACAAAAACAACTCTAAACTGCACCATAACGAGCCCTCGCCACTCCCTCGCCCGGCAGATTGGACCAGTCGGACAATCGCCATCGACACAGCTGGCGATTCTTTGATGGTGAAGGCGCAAGTCAAAGGCTATAGCATGCAGTCCGATGCACAGAAATGGTCGACCCCCCCTGCAGGTGCGTTGTACGCCTCGTCAGCGCCGTCCATCCAGTTCTCACACAACCTTCGCAGATGGCACGTGGTCCCCCACAACCTCCGCTGCAGGCCCAGCAGCTGCAAAGGCTCCCCATAACCCAGGCTTGAAGCGCCCACGCTCTTCGTCCAACGCCATGGAGTCCCTTCCTCCTGCGCCCAAACTGCGTGGCGACATCATCTTAGAGGTCTTCACGCACAAGAGTCTGCGTTTCCCTGGAGCACCGATCGACGAGGACTCGGAGTTTGGCGACAACGAACGGCTGTCTATACTGGGGGAGAAGGTGCTTGAGCTCGCCGTGACTTCTGCGCTGTTCAGCAAGAGGCCGATGTTGAAAGCAGAGGACATAGAGGTGGGCCACACATGAGCTTGTATGGAGCTTTGTTCTGATCAGTCGCGATTCCAGATACAAAGGCATGAAACACTGTCGGACGCAAACATCGAGAACTGGGTCGCCGCTTACAAGATGAGAGAGAAGGTCCGCTGCAGTGCCGATGCCGTGTTGTCGCTCTCCACTCCGAAGGTGGCGTAACGTTTCTCAGTGCACAAACTCGCTCACATCTGATCTCGGATATAGGAAGCACGTCTTCTTTTCCACTCGTACGTGGGCGGCATCTTCGCCCAGAACGGCATGAGCACCATCCAGAACTGGATAGGACAGTTGGTGGATCCTAACTACGAGCCTGATTCCGGGCAGGCATTTGAGTCCGAGGTGTACAACGCATACAAGAAGATCAAGACTGAAGCTATGGCCTCGCCGCCTCCTCCGCCCATGCCGCAGCCGCCGCCGCCTCCTTCGCAGCCGCCGCCGCCAATGCCAATGCCGACCATGAACCCTCTCGCTCCTGCTCAGCCGCAGACCGCGTTCTTACCGCTCTTTAACCAGACTGCCAACCAACGCAGGTTGACGGTTGAATACCCCGCTACATTTACTGGTCCTGCTCACGCTGGTCGCTGGACCGTACAGTGTGTCGGTACGTTACTGATTCTTCTCGCGCGGGTTGCCGTTCCACTCAACGGCCTGTTCAGTGAACGGTATGCCCAAAGGTGAAGGCGCCGGTGCTAGCAAGCAGCTTGCTAAAGAGGAGGCTGCCAGACAAGCTTACTATGCCATGGGCTGGGCGCCACGTACGCAATGGCGTTTATTGTTGCCGCATTGTACTGACTCGCGGGTTTCTTAAGGTGCCTGAGCTCGACAAATTTTTCTAAGATGTGATCGCTCGTCAAGGTGTAGTTGTACCATCACATACTAGCATGGCCGACCCCGAGTCAGTGTCATCGCTCTCCCGAGTGTGGTGGCGCTGACGCGGTCTCGTGGAATAAATATGGGCGTTCTTTGCATCCATATTCTGTGACCCATGCTAGTTTGCAATGGTTCAAATTTGAGCCAGTCTCATGAGCAGCAAGATATGGTACAACCTACTGCAACCCGCTTACCTGACTAGTCCGCATAAGTGAGATTCGTTCGAATGCGGGCAAGGGAGAGCGGCCAGGCGTGACAGATGATGAGTGCGTTCGAGTGCATCTCACTTATGCATCTTACTCAGGCGAGCGGATTGCGGTGGATTGGCCCAACTTGTGAGCTGCATGAGTGGCCAATTCACTGCTCGCCCCCTTGTCGTTCCTTACCGCACTCGAAATGCAGACCCCAAGCGCCTGGTGCGCTCTCAGTTATCGCGTGCAGTCTTGCCATCGCCATGCGCTATGCTATCATTCCGTCCTCAATCCTTGTATTCTGCGACAGATAGGGTGTATCTCTTGTTGTATGACTTCCAAAATCGCTCTCAATGTTCCACCTTTGTAGCTTTCAATTGTACCGTGCTTCTTGCGCTTTATAGTACTAGAACTTTTCGTGCCTGCCTCGTGGCTTCCTCGCTGTGTGATGATATGCGGACTGCGATGTTGATCGGTCGTGTGGTTAAAGAGCGGTAAGAACCACGGTCTGTGATTGACCAGGAGAACAGGACCTTGGACCGCTTGCTCACCGGTGAAGGCGGCTGCATAGGAGATGGTTGGAGCCGCATGGTCGGAAGAGGTGACGAGCCCGTAGGCCCAGTCTTGATCTTCTATGCGTTGTGCGCTTTGGGCTCAAATGTTTGACTAGGACCGGGCTCGTGCTTAGGGTTTATCGGTTGCCCTATCCGCGTCTGAGCTGTGGCCTTGTCTTCGGAGCGTACATGCGGTCGTGGGCGAGTGGACTCAAGGCATGCTTTCAATACCCAATCGACACGAGCGAGTCGCAGGACACACGGAGATGAGGGTGTGTCGAGGCCTGGGACACGTCTCTGGAACGGCTCGAACGTGATTTAACTTAGGTGAGGATACTTCTTTACTACATTGGGTCTTGCTGATATAGACTCGTTGAATGGGCGACCCTATGTCAGAGTCTGTCTGTACTGCGCTCGACGACATCTCTATTGTGGAGACACTCACTGTCGAACCCATGCTTGGAGCGACACGCTTCAGGTATTGCGGTCGACAAAAACATGTCCTAATCGTACTTTACCGGTCCCATACGGAGGGCAGTGTAACGAAGTTACGAACTACATGTGTCCTGGATCATGAATTGGCACAGCGCGCACCAGTACCACAGCTTGGTCATCGGCGCCGCGCAGTCCTCGCGCTGACTACTTGTGCTGATAAAGAAAAGTCATACCTTGTTTGACCTCGAAACCGCCGGTCAATTGGCGTCGACAGAAGTATGTTAGCCTGGGCATCATAAGGCGTCCACCTGGCCAGCTCGAGGCAATCTGACTCAATCTGTTCTCTGCGGTGTTTGCCAATCAGACCTACTCCGAGGAAGCCACGGAAGCATGGCGAACCGCTGCGAACAGGTTTCAAAACATTCGACGAAGCGGGGATGGAAAGGAAGAAGACATAGTGGGCGCACATGGGCAGGCTGGCGGAGAGGTCGTGTTCAACCTTGTCGACTGCAGTGGTCAGACGTGATGGAATGGGGGTTATTGAATCACACTAGTCTCACCTCGACTCATCGTGCATCGCCCTACAGTTGATGAACGTAGGAGCGTCTTTATTGCGAAGACATTCGGCGTTAACTTGGACCGTGGACTGGCCTCGACCAAAACGCAAAGTGCATGCGGTCTATATTGATTTTCATCTTGCACCTCGCTAGCATGGGATACCTACATAGCACAATGCACTGGGAAGTGTTTCTCAGCATGCATTTCATGACAGGACCTGGGGAAGGGGACGACAAAGTCGGACGGTGTCTGGACGTGAGAGAGGAGATTGTACGCCTCTGCACAATCGCCCAGCTACGGGAGTTGAAAATTGACCACGCGTCAATCTGAGCCCTGCTGCCAGAAATGTTGAGACGGGCTGTACACACCAAACTCTGAGCTATTAGCAAGGCTCAATCGTCCTGGGTCACATGCCGTTGGCACTGCAACAACGTCGCACGCACCGGGCAAGCGAGGAGTGTGGATAGCTGCGTGAGTTCGCGGGGACAGGAGAGCGGGATGACAGATGAGACGGGAGTCTGACAAATGCACCGGCATACCGATAGGGAAGTGGTTTGGCCGAAGCCCTTTGGCCGGATTATGAGGTCCTCGACCTGTGTCAACCGCGGATCTCGGTGCAATGACTAATGGGCGTCGTTGCGACAATTAGAGTCGCGGTGGCGAGGATGCGGGTCCTCCCGCTTCCACCCTACTCCTCCAACTAGCGGGGCCCTACCCTCCACGCCTGCGCACCCTGCCACAGCAGACCACCGCATCGCCCGTCGAGCACACAGCAGGAGTCACAGAGCCAAAAGAGAAGGAGACCTGTCGGAGCCGCAGGAGACACAAAAAGGGAGAGGTGAGACTTTTCTCCCCGTTGTCCGGGCTGCTGAGTCACGTGTGGCCAAAGCTCAGGCGCTCGCTCGTCGAGCTCAACTTGTCCTCTGTACTTGACTTGAACGGGTCCGTCCTCGTCGTCGCAGACGGGCTTCTCTCTTAACCGCTTCCTTGACGACCTCTGCCGCCACCTGCGACTCAGCGGGAACACAATGCCGTCTCCGGGCTCTACCAGCACAGCCTCACATGAGACATCTCACTCGGCTCTGCCGTCCATGCAGTCCTACTCTCGGTCGAATCCCATTGACCTGACGCTCGACGACGACGACCGTGACCCATACCAGCCTCAGGACAGGCTTCTCAAACGACCGTGTACAAGCACGCGCAGCTTCAATGCCTCTTGTGAATCTATCTTGGAGGAGCGCGCGCGCTCTCAATCGCAGTCCTCTGGCCTTACACCTGTAATGTCCGCGTCTGCAATCCTTCCTCCCGTAGGGCAGCCAAACATATCCTCGCACCTATCTCAGTGGCAGCACCATTCGCCTTTCCAAGGGCCACAGCCTCCTATACCATCTTCTATTCGTCCGCCACCATTCACCGGCCCGTCCACTTCCTCTGCGTTTTTCCCTGACCGCACCAAGTCTGAATCCATGCAGCGGCCTCCTATGCTTGCCCCATCTCCTTCGCGCCACGGACTTGAGCGGTCAAATAGCTCATTCCGACAGGTGATTGATTTGACGAGTTCTCCTTCCCCTCCGCCATCTCGTCCCCTACAACCCCAGCAGGGCAACCTGCCGCCCGATTTACCTCCCAAGACACCCGTATGTATCGGACAGCTGACTGTCACAGCGCTCGTCCTGTACCCGATACCATATCTCTCCACCCAAGAGCATGCGGACACCGAGTGGGCGCCGGTACGGTTGACTTACGAACATACGCCGCACAAGGCGGCAGGGTCGGAGACAATACATATCAAGACGCCTAATGGCAAGTCCCCCGCGGGCGAGGTTCTGCAGGGCGAGAGCTTCGCCTTCGTAGAGCAGAAGGCCGCCACTTTCTTGGGCCCCATGTTGGGGAAGGGTCTCATCCGATTAGATGCTAAAGTGCGGCGTGGCATGCCGAATGTAAGTCCTCCAGTATCGCATCATTGTCTTGTCTAATGGGGCCTGCAAGCTCCCCATATTGCCTTTGCAACTGTTAGTTTACACGCCCAAGGGCAACATACCCGTCGTCGCGAACTACCTACAGCAATCCGGGTTCCTACTGGATCACCCGACGCTGCCCGGAGACATCCACCGCGTAATGAACTCCTATTACTACAACCCACATAATCCTCCGGCCGGAGGACACAGTCGAAACAACCACCATAATGGCCGCATGGGCTACTCCGGGCCAGGAGGCAGCAATATGGGTCGATGGGCCGCTCCCGGAGTACCCGGCAAGAGCGTGGAAATTCAGCGGAGCCAGGTGGACGAGTTGTTCAAGAGCTTACAAGACGGTGAGGAGCTGCAGGAGACCGATCCTCGTGAGTGAACGCGCCCTATATTTTTTCATGGGATCCTTGGCTGACTTGGTCCATAGCACCTGAGATAGCGACGACGCTTTATCCTCACCAGAAGAAGGCGCTGACGTTCCTCTTGGAAAGAGAACGGGAGCGCCCCGGCTCAGGGCCGTCGGGCAACTATTCGTCGCTGTGGCAGGAGCGGAGGAATCCGATTACTGGTCAACGCTCGTGGCTGCATCTCATTACGCAGCGGGAGATTCATCAGGAACCTCAGGAAGCTAAGAGCTCGATACTTGCAGATGACGTGCGTATCAAACGCTGTCTGTATGCTCCTGTGCTGATTGTTTCGTCGGTGAAACGTAGATGGGTTTGGGAAAGACCATTACATGCGTCTCCCTCATCGCTGTAACGTTATCTTCGGCACGTCAACATGCCGCTACGCCCGTTGTGCGGCCGAGTGCACCCCCCGAGCCTCCGGGGCCTCCACTATCTGCCGATCATTTTGCCGGAAGTGTGTGGGGTATGCCGACGCAGCACGGACAAGGCAGCTGTTCAACTTCCAAGGGCAAAGCGAAGTCTTCCCGGGACCAGGATCGCGAGCAGGCCGGGTACACGAGGGCGTGTCGCATCAAAGTCCGAACGCGGGCCACGTTGATCGTCTGTCCGCTCTCGACAGTCGTCAACTGGGAGGACCAGTTTCGAGAGCATTGGCGGGCGAAGTCCAGGTCGTGGGCGGTGGCGGCGGCAGTGCAAGTGGTGCTCCCAGTGGGACTTCTACGCCCTGCGGCAGTGCCTTCATCAACGGCCCTGGAATGTACACCTTTCCTTCCAGCTCATCGTCGATTCCGGTGAAATCGGAAGCGCAAGTGCCCCCTGGGCGCGTCCGCGAAGGAACGCCACTCCGCGTCTATGTCTACCACGGCAATGCACGACGCCCCGATCCCACTTTCCTTGCGGACTTCGACGCCGTAATTACCACGTACTCGACTCTAGCTTCGGAGTTTTCGAAGCAGTCAAAGAGTATTGCTTCCGCGGGGGATGATGATGACGAGGATGACAATAGCTCGGATGGCGAGCGTCTTGAGGTCGACGAAAGGGGAAATCAATTCATCAAGCTCTCGAAGCCGAAGAAGGCTGGCAAAAAGAGAAAGAAATGCGGCGTCAACGGCGTGGAGGCGACGAGTCCCTTGCAGAGCGTGGACTGGTTTAGAGTCGTCCTCGACGAGGCGCAGTGAGTGTTCTTCGTTTATCTCCTCAACGGCATCGGCGTTTATTGACCCGCGAACGGCTAGCTCGATCAAGGAGACGAGTACCGTCGCCTGCCGCGCTTCTTGCGATCTCGTCGCCGATCGTCGACTGTGCTTGACGGCACACCAGTTCAGAATAAGCTGGATGACGTGTTTGCGCTTGTCAAGTTCCTCCGCTTAGACCCGCTCGATGACAAGGGCATCTGGACGGAGTTCATCGGCACGCCTGTCAAGTACGGACAGCCCCTCGGTGTTGCTCGTCTACAAACGATCATGAAGTGTATTACCCTCCGTCGAACCAAAGAGTCGACGGCGGAGGACGGTCGCAAGATCCTCTCGCTACCTCCCAGGAAGGATGAACTGCGGTATCTCAAGTTCGACCCTGAGGAGCAAGCGATATACGACCAGTTCTTCACCGAGTCCAAGGCTGAGTTCAACGAGCTCTCGAACAAAAACGAAGTGATGAAGAACTACGTCGGCATCTTGCAGAAGATCCTTCGTCTCCGCCAGATCTGTGACCATTTCGAGCTCGTACAGAACAAGGGTCTTGGCCTCCTCGGTGATGCGCAAGGTCAGGCGGTGTCGTACGACGACATCATAGCCACGGTTGCTCGAGAGGGTTTGAACCTACAGCGAGCCACCACGATATTCGCTCTTCTCAAGGAAGCGGGCGTCACGCAGTGCGTGGAATGCGGGGGCGAACTTGCCAGCTCGCAATATAGCCTTGACGGTGGTCTTGGCGAGGCGGAAGGTGTTGCGGGCTCAGGAAAGCGCGGAAGGAAGCCCAAGGCATCGTCCTCCCGAGCCTCGACGCGTCAGAATAGCCCGTCTGCGCCGCATCCTATCCTCACCCGCTGCCAGCATCTGTTCTGCCTCGGCTGCTTCCGCAATTCTGTCGCTCCTGGGTGGCCTAATGTACCGCAAGACGCTGGGCGTTGTTGTTCTGTGTGTCAGACCGGGCTCAACTTCTTCGACGTCGTCGAGGTCAATCCCGAAGGCGCGCTACCGGACGCACTTACGAAGAAGAAGGCAGTCAAGAAGGAGAAGAGGCAGAAGGGTATTCTGATGGAGAACTTCCATCCATCCACAAAGGTGAAGGCGCTGCTGTCCGACTTGATGGAGATTTCGCGAGCAAATCCGTACTCGGCGAATTATGACCATCGTCGATTGAAGTACAAATGATCGACGGCGACGGCAACGCCATCGAGAACGGTGTGGTCAAGACGGTGGTGTTGTGAGTACCTCCTTTTTCATTATCGATCCCTCGACTGATGGTCGACGTAGCTCGCAATGGACAACAATGCTCGATAAGTGAGTCTGGTCGTTGCATCTATTGAGCGGAGAGTTTTGACATTATGTCAGGGTTGAGGACGCATTGGAAGTCACGGGCATCCGTTACAGTCGGTTGGATGGAACGATGAAGCGTGATGAACGAACGCGAGCCATGGATTCCTTGAAGCACGACCCTAGCTGTGAAGTTTTGCTTGTCAGTCTGAAGGCTGGCGGAGTGGGTCTCAACCTCACTGCCGCTCAGCGTGTATACTTGATGGATCCGTATTGGTATGCTCGTTCTTCTATGTCGGACGCTCTCGCTGAACTTGACAATCAGGAATCCTGCTGTGGAGAATCAAGCCGTGGATCGTATTGTATGCTCCATCTCATTTGCTCGTCGTGCGTTCAGTTCTAACGACCTTTGCCCGTAGCATCGCCTTGGTCAGACGCGTCCTGTCCTTACGGTCAAATACATCATCGAGAACTCAATTGAGGATCGACTGCTGGAGGTGCAGAGGAAGAAGACCGAACTTGCAAACATGACTTTAGGAGGTTCGAGCTTCAGCAAGGCGGAGATGCTCCAACGTCGTATGGAAGAATTGAACCAGCTGTTCGGGAGTTAAGTAACATATTCATTATGATATTCTGCTAGACGATTCAGCTCTATGAGCATCTTGTACCTTAGCTTCTCAGGATGTAATGGCTGTCGCGCTTTGAAATCGATTGTCACTGTTCCATTGCTCTCGAAGTACCCGCTTAGCCCTAGACGCAGCGTAGCTCTACTAGAAGCCAAAATGACCACCAGACTTCCTGCCGCCCCAGGAATAGACGAGCATGGCAGCAAGGAAGAGGCCTAGTGTCACACCAATTCCGACTTCGATCATGCGTACACCCAAGTCGAAGCTGTTGCTGTACTCCTGTGAGGACGAGTTGTAGCTACCGATGAGCCCACCATTGTTTCCGAGCGCTGACTACAATCATGTCACTCGTTTGTCAATATGCCGATAGACGGAGTAGGAGTAGATGGCGTACGCACCGGGACCAAGAACAAGACGCCGGTCACCATGACTGTGAAAGCCGTGCCTCCGCCGAGTCGGGACCAAATGTTCCCGCAAACGCCAATCACGACTGAACCAACAGCAGAGACCATCTCCGGCCGATCCGAGAAAACGAGGTTGGCACCTCTGTTGGCGGCATACGCAGCACACGAGAAAAAGACCATGGCCGCCATTTGCGCACTCTTGATAGACTGAAGATTCGCCAGTGACGAGCAGAACGAGTAGATCGGCACCAGAAAGAATGCGGTCCACCAAGGGAACGGCTGCCTCCACCACGGCCAAGTCGGATCACGGTAACATCCTGAGCAGGTGTATGATAAAGACCTTCTGACTGGACACCTAGGTTCGGAAACTACTGACCTTTGATGACGCGACTCTGCGCCTGACTAATATCCGTGAACGACCACATGCCAGCCGTCTGCTCTACCGGTATGGATGCGTTGTTGTTCAGCAAGTAGCCATGATAGGCATGACTTTCGAGTAGCGTAGTGATGTCCTGCATTTTCCGAGCTTCGGGGACGATGACTAGGAAGAGCTCGGACCCGATCGTCAAACCAAATCCCTGACACAGGTGAGTATGTCGTATGACCTAGAATCTATGGACACACCAAAAATAGCGTATAGATGACCGCGTAGACCATTCTGACGGACCCGCACATGATGTTCTGCGCTGTAAGTTCCAGCGCAGAAACCACTGACGAATAACAGCATAAGGAGTCGTTCAGGAGAAATAGGTGCATTACTCACACACTGTGAATCCCGGAAGCACAAGAACGACGCCTCCTGAGGAAATAGCGCTAAAACAGAAGACCTGATTGGGAACGGTTCCGAGGCCACGAGCGACAAAAGATACGATGATGGAAACGGAGATCCTACGAGGTTGGCATTAGACAGCGCATCGTCCCATTAAATATTCGACCACTCACTCGTAGACGTTAGCGTATACAGAGCTCTTCGACGCTGCCCGCAAGCCGAGTATTTGCAGTATTGATGCAGCCGCACCGGCGAGGAACATGTCCAGGAGGGACCCACCAAACGCAACTACGCAGATAATCGACGCGCATATGAACGCCAGCAGACACCGGAGGTATATCGAATAAAGGGGCTTCGCATGGAGAATCTCATCCAGTCTTGATATGCCCTCGTCAGTGCTGATCCTGTCATGGAGGACGTCTCGGTACACTGTGTGAACCCTGTGCAACGACGTGAGCGCGACCCGTCCACTTGCGCGGATGAAGTGGATCTCGTTCGTATTTCCAGACTGACTCTGGAACGTCGTCATGATCATGTTCGGGAAGTGAACGAAGCGCGCATTGAGGCGGAGGACGTGCGAGGCGGACTGTAGCTGCGATTCGATCCGGTGTGAGGGAGCACCGAAGGCCAGAAGCGCCTTGGCAAGCTTCATGACGAACTTCTCCCGTTTGATACTCACTGCAAAACGAGGCAATGGGATATGTCAAAATAGTAGAGTGACCAGAGGCACTGCGGACTTACTCGTGGTGTTCCGCTTGCAGCTCGGACGAGGATTTCTTCGGCGTTCTTCATCATCTGAACTTTCTCTCGGTATGCATGCTTGGACCGCCCTGGCGGGCTCTCCTTGACCACGTCCTTACTCTGCTTCCTGCCGAAAGGCCAGAACACCCGCGAGTCTTTCCTTTCGCCATCATTGGACTCACCTCGTTCGAAGGGGCGACAAGCGTGGCCGACGATGTGTTCAGAGAGTTGCGGGCACAGAAGTCGAAGTGCCTCCTTCTTGCGCATTGAACCTCCGTACCCATTCGGCGGTCTACGCGCTTCCTCCCTTGCTGCGCATACGTCGTGGTAAAGCTGTCGAGAGGTGTAGACTTAGGCGACACTTCTTCATGGATATTGCCAGTATCCCGGCCGCCCGGATATTCCGCTTCCTTGAACGAGAAGTAATCTGCATCATCGGTGGACCGTCCAATCTCGTACCCGTCGAAAAGTCCAGGGGATGATTGAGATCCTGGCGAATATTGATGTGCAGAATCTTCATCTGCTCCTTAGCATCGTGGCAGTGTGAACGGCCCAAGGGCCTTCTTCGCCGGGCTGGACGCAAGACGATCGCCGTCCCTGCAGGTAGCCACCTGGCGTAGGAGCCTCGTCGTAGCGCCTGCCGAAACCCCTCCTCGTCCCGCTACCGGTAGGTGAGTCCGTCCCGTGTACGCCGGTATCAGGCGGCTTGGGTGGTCCGCTCAGCGGTGCGGAAACCTTGGATTCCGAAGTGGGGATGATGAACGCATCGTCCGCAGACCTGTTCGTCTCTATGCTGAGTGGAGACACTGTCTCGATATCCGCCACGATGAGGCTAGACCGGCTTCGTCCTAGTTCGGAGAACGGTCGGTGGTCTGGAGGGGAGAACTCATCGTACTGGCTGCTCTCATCCATCCCGAACCCACTGCTAGCTCGGGAGTCTACGGTGTAGACACTTGGAGGCGACGGTACCTCTGGGCCGGAGAAGTCATGAGCTCCTTGCACATTGTCGAGTCCCCTTTCCGCGTGGATAGAACCACTAGCGCTGGACCGGTCGATAGTGGGGTTTCTAAGGGATGTGTTCGGAAGAGGGCGAGCGTCGAGATGCCTGGACTCGTAGGGCTGATCGAAGCTGTTTCTTCGACTCCCGGTACCAGTAGAGGCCCAGACATCAGGGGTGTTGGCGTTTCGAGACCTCGCAGTACTACTGCCAAGTGAAGATGAGCGGGTGGATGGCATGGCGAGAAATACAGGAACAAGCGGCAGCGACGTCGAAGGCGTACGGTGCTAAGGATGTGTCGAAGACAAAGTGGAAAGGCCAGCTTTCGGTATGATAGAGGGCACAGCACTCTGAGAGGAAGCAAAGAAAGGGAGAGAGCAGCCGACCGAGTTCTAAGTGCGTAGGGAGTGGGGCGAGGGAGGGGGCTGACATGTTATCCTCAGCCTTGCAGTCGAGGCTGCCGGTTGAGATTCGGATAGATCAGAGGTCCACCCTGTCAGCATCGATACGGCTGCGTGAATGAGTACGTTGTGAGAGGCGCAGGAAAATACCAAGTGGTGTGGATGTGACAACACACCAACGATGCGCACAGAAGCCTACCAACATAAACACTGAGAGAAGATGCGTGTCGCGTACAGAGGACTGAGCGCGAATCCACGTGATCGTGTTGCGCCCACCGCGCGCGTCCCGCCGTGATCGATAAGTGCGAAGTAGACGACTGGAGGCCTTGAGGAGGGACGATGAGAGTATCTCTTTTTGGTCAGCAACGGAGACTAGGGGGATCACCTGTGTGAGTGTTATCAAAGCATTATCGATCCCAAAGAGCAGTAGAGCGTATAGAAAGGCATGATACCCTGACATACAAGGTACCCGCGTCTCAACAGCAGTCGACTTACCCTACAGTAAAACGGCGCCCCAACACGGGCAAATACACCCATCATCATACTCGTGACAACCACACACTAGGCTACAAAGCGTCTCTGAAGCAGTCCTTCCACAAAGACACAAGGGGTATCATGAGCCACCACCCAGGGTCCCAGCGCGTCCTATGACACGCTGTCTATCCGCACCTTCGTCCCTACCATGACTCTGATCGACCGGCTGAACCCCATCAGATCCTCCTCCTTCGCGTGTCTCCGCGCGTCCAGGATATCCTGCCGGAGCCGCTCCTCCTCGAGCGTCTCCGCCCGTGTGACGGGGTCCCGGCGGGGGTACTGCCACCCGTTCAGGACCATACTGTACCAGAGCGACACTCGCGCACGGACATCGCTACGGACGACCGATGTCAGCCAAGAAACCCCGCGGAACCCCGACTGCAAGGCAACCGACGCACCTCCGATACCTCTCCACCCACCCCTCAAACTTCTCGCGCAACGCGGCCTGCGCGAAGTCCGCCTCCTCCCAGCCGCACTCCTTCCTTAGCCGCCGCGCCTCCTCCGGCTTCTCCACGCGCGCCTGCAGCTCCTCCCACATCGCCTCCTTCACGCTGAGCACGAACCCGAGCGCGCGGAAGAGCTGCATGTTCAGCTGTGCTCCGGCAGCGCAGGATCGTCTCCATCGGGAGGAGCTGCACGTCCCCGAGCGACGCGCCGTCCGTGCGCAGGTCGCCCGCGGGCACGCTCGGCCGGTCCGTCGCGCTCGACCCGGACGTGTGCGAGATGGAGTACGAGTCGCGGTGCGGCCCGCCGGTGCGCGAGTCGCGTTGCGAGTTGAGCGAGGGCCGCGAGCTGCTGCTTCCGCGTGTGCTACGCGTCGACTTCATGCTCGGGCTCGGGCTCAAGGGCGCAGTCGCATGTGAGCCCTGGGCTGCTACTGCATTTGCATTCGAGTGTGACGGTGGACTGGTGTTCGGAGGGCTAGTATGCGGAGTGGGATTATGGTGTAGACTATCTGTCGAGTCTGCAGACTGGTCTGGCTGGATAAGAGGAAGGTCGCTCATCGACGAGCGTGCGCTATGTGTCGTTGGCTCCGTGCTCACGACGGAATCCAGCGTCGGCGTGCTCGTGGTCGGCAGGGACTGCAATGCATCTGTTGCGCTATTTGCCGTGGATGGGAGAGAATCATAACTCCCTCGTGGTGGCTCTCGCTCACGCGTAGGCTCCGACGCAGATGAGGTGACCGAAAGATGTAGCTGAAGTCCTTCCAGCCCGGCGGGGAGAGGCGCAAGGGGTGCAAGCGGGGGCATCGGGAACTGGAGGACTGGCGGGGAAATGACCTGTCCGAAGATCGCGGAGAAGTAATTAGGCAGACATGCTTCCGCGCAAGTCAGCTGCAGCACATTACATAGAACCGCCCACGGAGACTCACAGCTCGGAACACGGTTGATGAACCGATTTTCAAACACGTCTTGGAAGAGGCTCTCGAGGAACGCGTGCTCGTGCGGTTCTTCTTGGGATTCTTCATCGCGCTCATAGCGCTCGAGCGTCGGCAATGGCGGGGGAAAGCGCGGAGAGCCGCCGGGGCCAGGGAAGTGCGCACCTGGCCCACGGATGTGCGCGTGTAGCGGCTCCGTGAACCATCGGGGCAGCACGGGGAAGATAGCGTCTGAGCATGCGGCGATGAGAACGAGCGTGCATGGTGTGGGGACGCGCGCCACTTAGTCAGTTGCCAGTATTGCGTGCGCAGAAGCCGGGTGTGGGCGCACCTTCCTCAATCTGCTCAATGGTCCCACCTGTGCTCAACACACGTCGGATATCCTGGGAACGAGAGGTGTGTGATCATTGTTGGCGCGGTGAGAAGGGCGCTGAATTACCTCGTAGAGCGACATCCACTGGCGTGATAGAAGGAGCAGATTGAGTTCAATGGACGCGGGCGCGACGAGGGGGAGGAGTGACCTTGTTCTCTGGGACCGCGAACGCGAGCCCATTGATGTGCACGAAGTCGAATTCCTCGTCCTCGAATGGCAGGCGTTGTCTGAGACTGAAGTTGGTTGTGAGAAGCGATAAAAAAGGATACACGAGACGGGCTACGCACAAGTTACCGTGTTTCCACTCGATGCGTTTGGCTATGTCATCTTCCAGTACCCATGTTGGGATCTGTACGTTCATCAGGTCATAGCCCACCTGCGCACACTCTCAGTTGTGGGCCTTTTGAGACCATACCACTGACGTACGAACGTGCAGTCTGGCCAATCTCTCGCTGCGGCGATTGTCCAGGCACCCATCTAGCGCCTTGGCTCAGTTTAGAGCTCTTGCGCCGTCTTGCGCTCATACGCACCCCGCATCCAAGGTCCAGACATCGTTTTGGGTATCCTCCCGGGAAGTCTGTGAACGTACCCGAGCCGTGCTTGGCGGTGCGGATCAGCTCGTAATCGAGAAGGACACTGGGCAGGCGGAGGTGTGAGTGGCATGCGCGCGGAGATCATACGCACAAACGGACTCACAGCTCGAGATCTTCGCGGTTATAGCTCGCCGGATACGGGGCCTTGTCGCGGTTATAGCTATGCAGTTTCGAGCCGTACTGGATGAGAAAGCGTTCCTCGCGGGGAGGATGACTCCTGGATTCGTTCGAGTCGGAGGGTGGTAGGTAGGATTCTCGGTAAGGGCTGTCGCTCCGACGGGGTTCGGAGGACGGGGGAGAGGCAGCGGGATGTTTGAGTACCGAAGGCGTAGGGCGGACGAGCATGGCGGGTCGGGGAGGGATGGGGGACAGAAGAGAGTGGAGGGCGTCTCAGGCTGGGTCGGGGGATAGATGCTATAAGGTACGACGGATCGGGGGAGACTTCCACGGGTCGGCCGCTTCGCGCTCGATCAGCCAGGCCGTGGTGGCACACCCTGATTTCTGGCGTCCACTTTCTCCTCGGCTCTTCAGATGCATGCAGCGCGCTGCCGCCTGCATCGAGGCGGCAGCGCTGCTAGTAGCGGTCCTCGTGTCGCGCGCGGGAGCAGGCGGGGGACCAGATACAGCACCCGGTCTGCGTTCGTGGGGCGATCCGCGGGCGCGTCGCTGGGGAAGTCGAGGGGCATCCAGAGAGGCGTCGCCATGTTTGGCAGGGGCAGAAGGGGATCATGATGCTCATCGCCAGCGACGAGGACACTGCCAGCTGATGGGGAGCGCATTCCTGGGTGTGAAGCCCGGTTGGATCGCAGCCCCGCGCACGTCTTGCCTTATCCGGCACTCCGCTCAAGCTTAATTGGGCGTCTATCGAGATCCCACCGCCTCAGATTGTGATCGTACCGGACGCCTCCCAGCCACCGCCCCCATGGCCCACCACAAGAAGCCGTTCTCTGCGAAGAGGCGCAAGGAGCAGCTCCAGCTCAAGCGCGCAGTCAAGCGCGGCGAGGCCGAGCCCCCGCCCAAGCTCGACCGCCACGGCCGCCTCAGAAAACCCCACACGGCTGGGCAGCGCGTCCGAATCTCAGCCTGCCGCGGACGCGTCCCGCCGCCTCCAATCATCCTTCGTTAAACTATCCGCCGACTTCCTGAACGATACCCGCACACTTGCGTCCGACCTCGCGCTCACTAGGCCGATCCCGCCCCAGGCCGCGATCTGGCCAGAGCGATCCGTAGGATTGCCGGCGAAGCGAATTTGACCTTGACCTGTCCGAAGCGGCCAAGTGGCGGTATGACATGTCGAAGAAGGAGGTCGAGGCGAACGAGGAAGGCCTCTTCAGAAAGTGGCTTGCGCAGACCGATGATGCTGTCAATCACCGGGCTACTGCAATCAGCCAGCCGGATCCCGACCACCCCGCCCCCGCAGCCAAGATGCCCAGCGCACCCACGTCCTTCGAGCGCAACCTCGAGGTCTGGCGGCAGCTGTACGTCCACCATCCTTCTCTCTCTGCAGCCTACATACTTAGCTCGCATCCAGTTGGCGCGTGACCGAGATCTCCCAGATCCTCCTCATCCTCCTCGATGCTCGCTGTCCCCTCCTGCACTACCCGCCTGCTCTATCTTCTTACCTCGCTGGCCTCCCCTATGCTTCGCGCAGGCGCGTTGTGCTGGTTCTCACAAAGGTCGACATCGTAGGCCCCGCACGCGCCGATGCGTGGGCCGCGTATCTGCGCGAACAGTACCCAGGCACGCGCGTCGTCCAAGTCGAGTCGTACACCGTCTCGGACGGCGAACCTGCCCCCGCGCAGGGAAAGAGGGCACCGGAATCGCGCCTCTCTTCCGTCTTCCGCCATACGCTCGTCGAGACGCTCAAGGACGCGCACGCGGAACTCCTCACGCCGCCCGAGGACGTGAGGAGCGACGCGGAGAAGCTCGCGCGGTGGAGGCCCCGCGTGCGGCGCGAGGTTGACTGGAAGGCTGTCCTCGAGGCAGAGGGCGAGCGCGTAGGGAGTGTTGTCGGCGGGACGGCGGCGCCTCGCTCGGCCACTCATCCACAGGAAGAGCACAACAGATTGAAACAGGGAAAGCCCACCGTTCGATGACGAGGGCAGCGAGGAGAATCAAGGCGGAGATGCCGTGGCACCGGAGTTCCTAACAATTGGCCTCATAGGTTCGTCTTCCCATCTATCATGCCTGACCCACGAGCCACAGCCAGTCACAGGCCAGCCAAACGTAGGGAAGTCATCCCTGTTAAACGCGCTCTTCGGCCAACACAAGGTGAAGGCGTCTCGGACGCCGGGCAAGGTGCGTCCCGACGACCGCGGCCGGATAGGCCCATTCCGTCTCAGCTCACCCGGTATCTCTATGCCCACAGACGAAGTATTTCCAGACGCTCTTCTGGACGCCCGAGGTGCGCCTCGTCGATTGTCCTGGGCTGGTCATGCCTAGCTTCGTCCCCATGGAGACTCAGGTGGGCAGCACTACTCGTCGCCTCCTTCCCTCCATCTACCGCGTCTCCTTCGCTACACAAAGTGACCGGGCGCCCCGGCCATCTAACATGCTCTCACCAGGTCCTCTCCGCAATCCTGCCCATCTCGCGCGTCTCCGCCGCGGCCCTCTGCACGTACCACGCCGCGCAGCTCCTCCCGCTCGAGCGTGTCTTCCAGCTCACGCAGCCCACGCTCGCCTCCCCGCTGCCCGAGGACCGCCGGACGTGGCGCGCCGGGATGCGCCCGCGCACGGAGGCTGACGGCGAGGCGCAGGAGCGGGCGTGGACGGCGATGGACGTGCTGACGGCGTACGCGCTCCGCAAGAGCTGGATGACCGCGAAGGCGGGGCGGCCGGACGTCAGCCGCGCGGGGAACGCCAGTGAGTGTTTGCTGTTGTCGACTGAGATACATCGCGCTCAGGAATGCCGTGTCGTGTCGTTAGTCCTGCGCGCCCTCGCAGAGGCTCGGATCCGCTGGGCGTTCTGGCCGCCGGGGACGGACCCGCACGTCGTGGAGGAGCACATGGGGCGTCGAGGGTGCCGGAATATGGATCCCTACTTCCGCTGATCCTGATCACGATGTGGACATGGAGAGCGATGATGACGCCGCGGCACAGTCGGATCGCGAGGAGTCTGCCGCGGAGGATGCAACGGAAGACGAAGAGGAGCTAGGAGACCCGACGCCAGCTGTCAGCGGTGCTTCCAGTCGGTTTGCAGCTTGACGATGGAGGACGACTCGGAGTCAGAAGCGTCGGATGACTGAGCCTGTTCTCGCATCCAGTGTACTGCCAGTTACTCACGCGACACATTGGCCCGGACTCGGGTACAACACTCCATGTACTATTATAGACAATCAATGCATACTTGGCACCGAATGTACTTGCAAGATGAGGACGAGAACGTATGTCATCTATAAGCGAGCAAGCATGCAAAAGACATCAACGTATGGACTTGAACAAGAACAATAAACACAAAAACAATGTACTGATAGGAACGAGGAATGCACAACGAAATAACTTGGGTTGAAACAAAGCAGAGTTCATATAAACACCCGACCGGTCAACCGCATCCAGAACCACAGGGTAGCATTGTCACAGCCACGATTCGCTGAACATTTGACCTGTGGCATATCGGAGGCTCACAGCACTCGTGTGGGCGAGAAGACACGACTAGCGACGTCCACGAGAAGATGAAGCAGAAGCGCACAGCGTCAAGGAGAATCACGAACAACGGGTGCATTCTCACCGGGTAAGTAGGGGAAATACGGACACGGGGAGGGTCAGGGAACAGGGAGTAAGAGCAAGCACGGAAGGGGCGCGGAGGATGGGCAGCCTCGGCGGGCAAGGGCCGGAACAACAAAGTAATAAGGTATCTTGAATAGCTCTCCTGCGTTCATATCCATACACAGCGCCAGCAACGGCGACACCGGGACCAACGGTCTTCTACCTGCGCCGAAACGTGGTCCCTCCGCAGCAGCCCTGACGCGGCTCAGTACCGCACCTGGCCGGCCGCAGCACTGTTGTAGTCGTAGCCGCCCTGGTACACCGGCACTCCATACGGGTCGTAGTTCGCGCGCCCCATGCTCGGGCCACGCTGGAGCTCACCCATCTGCGGGCCCGGGCTCGGGCCACGCTGAAGATTGGCGTAGCCACCGACGGGGCAAGCGCGTTCGGGCCGGCGGTGAAGTCGTGGTCCGGGATCGGGTTAAGCGGCGTGGTGTTGTTTCCGTGACCGTGGCCGCTGTCGGAGCCATGGTACCGTCGCCGTGGCCGGAGCCAGATTGGAAGGACCGTGCGACGCGACTGAAAGGCGGCGGTGTCTCGGGAGCCCATCGTCGTTGTCGACAGTCGGCTGCCAGTCGATGGGGGCCATGCGGTCGTCGAACTCCTTGGACGGGCGGAGCTTCCACTTGCGGAAGAGCGTCCAGGCGACGGCGATGAGACCGATGGAGCCAGCGACCGAGATGATTACGACGAGGGTAGTCTTCGTGACCTTGGACGTGCTGGACGCAGACGTAGCGTTGGCAGCCGCAGAAGCGGTCGGCGTCTGGAAGACGGTGCTGGTGACGTGGTGGGAGGAACCAGTGGCAGAGGCGTCCTGGGTATCATCGGTGGCAGTTTGAGACGCAGCATCAGTGGCCGCATCTGAGGTCTGAGCTGCAGATGTAGCACTGGTCTTCGAAGCAGTGTCAGTGGTGCTCGAAGCAGAGCTGGTGCTCGAGGCGCTGGAAGAGCTCGACGAGGCGCTCAACGACGATGCGCTTGAAGACGACGAGCTCGACGATGCCTATCAGAGCGGCATTGTGTAAGTGTCGGGATTAATGCGGCTGACAACTACATACCGAAGAGCTAGCGCTCGAGGAGGCAGAGCTCGAAGCACTCGCCGAGGTGGAGGTTGCGGATGACGCAGAAGTGGCCGCCGAAGCTGCACTGCTTGCGGCGTGGAGGACGCGCTTGCAGTTGCGATAGAGCTGGTCTTCGTCGGGGGGTCGTCACCGAGGCCGAAAACACCAGCCAGGTCCGGGGAGCGCTGCTTGATCATGCGTCGTACGTCGACATGGTCGCGACGTTGAGAGAAGTCATTGGCCTCTGAGATAGTGGCCAAGGCGAGGATAGCGAAGCAAAGGAGCGTGAGGGTTGTAGTCTTCTTGGATTTTGTAATGAACATCATGGCGTGGATCCGTACCGGCTGACGTGTTCACTGGTGGGCGGGCTGGAAACGGTGTCAGCGGTGTCGTTACAAGCAAGGAAAGAGAACGATGGGGGGATAGACAGGGACCAGCCGGGGATGTGGGGGAAAGAAAGCTGGGAGAGCTGGGAACGCGGAGGAAAAAGGGCTTACATGGCACTTGCAGGCGGACGGAGGTGGGAGGAAGGAGCGAGGGAGAAATGAGCGAGATAAGGCGAGACACGCCGTCGGAAGTGCTCAACGCAATGTTCGTCGGGAGGAGGAGACGGGGTCGTTGCTGCGAGACCAGAAACCAAACATCCCGACCAAATAGGCGCTTCTTTCGGCGCCTCCTTCGACACCACAGCCGCGCGCCAGCCGAGGTCAGCCTCTCCCCCGCAACGCCCACCCGGCCTCACTCACGCCGCATCACAATCAGCACTCAGCAGGCAGGGAGGTATATATGCGATTCAGACGACACACCGTCCAGTAGAGTGTAAAGAACTAAAACCGCTACACATTATGGTAAAAAATTCATCGTCCATCACTGTCATGAGGGTCCTACACGAGTGCTCGAGGTAATAACTAGGTCCCTGTCCATCAATTGCTCGCCCCCTTCTCGCCGTGGCTCGACAAGGTCCAGTCCGACACCGACACCGACGGCGGCGACGTCGTGTAGTCGCTCGACGACATGTCCGGCCACTGCGGGCTGAACAATATCTGCAAGCTGTACTGGCCTGCCGGGAGGTCGATCATGATGACTGTCACGCCAGTGTTCGGCAGGTCCGCCTGGCCCGAAGGCAGAGGAGGATCCGTGCTAAGAGGCCCAGCGGGAGTCTGAGTGCTCAGCGTGTAACCAGTCGACGGACTGACAATCGTCATTTCGAGCTTCTCGTTGCCGATCTGCAGCGTGAAGCCATTCGAGTTCTTGGTCACAGTCGCATTTGTGTGCATACGCCATTGAATGCCCGCCGACGCCGTGATGTCGTCCTGCAGCAGCACCTGCTTCCTGCTGTTGAGCATGCGGATACCACGCTGGTACGTCGTCCTGAGAATCTAATGTCAGCAAGAAACATGCGATGGACACGCCACATCACTTACACGTTGGCATAAGCACTCGTGAGATCAGCCGTGAAAAACGCCGTCGAGCCATCTGGGACGTCGAAGACAGTAGTTCCGCCCGTCTGCGTGACACCATCTGTGCCATTGGTGATCGTCGGCTGCGCAGTGACAAGTTGGTTGGCAGCGCCTACGACGATGGCGTTTTGACCCTCTGTGCGCTTGCGGTAGTACAGCCAGCGCTGACTGTCTTGCAAGTCGTTGCTGAAGTACCCGGTGACGAGGTAGTTCTCATCTCCGAGCTCACCAGCCCACCGCGTGCCGAGCGCGTCGAGCACGAAATCACCACAGTCGAGGTCGTTGTGTGTCTGGTGGCCCTGGAGGGTACCCGCCTTCATCCCGATGTAGAGAGCGTCCTCGTCCGTCCAGCTGGAGCGCATCGACGCCCACTGATCGGTGTGGTTGGTGAAGAACGCATCCAGGGGCAGACCATCCCAGAATGCACCTGAGACAGCGGGGTTGTACCAGAACATACTCCAGGGCTCGGCAGCGTCGTGTTGGTCGCGCTGGAACAGTTGATACTCCGGGTGGTTGTAGACATCACCGTAGAAGAGCATGGCGTTAGCGGTCGTGGAGTACAGGTTGACACCATTGTCACCCCACTCGAACATCGACGCAGGGCCGGTGACATGCATGTGGAATTGACCGGTGAGTTCGAAGCCAGGGTTCGTGGTGAGCATGCCGAAATCGGAGCCAGTAGCGGTCATCAAAGCTGAGACCATCTCTGCGTTACCGGTCACACCGAAGTACCAGTAGTTGGGGGTCTCTTGCCAGGTCCCATCAGAGGAGACAGCCTGAGCGCAGTTGAGAAGTGCGTTGGGGACGGTATAGCCCAGAATTGCTTCTGCGGTACCAGTGGGATCATCGCCCAGGATTGCGAGCGCACCCAACGTCAAGCCGCCATTGCACACACAATTCCAGTTGCCCTGCGTGTAGTTCGTCCACCACCCGTAGTACTGCGGGTCGCCCGTGGCGTAAGCGGACATGCCGGCGTCGAGACCGTAATTGAGCAGGGTCCACATGATTTGGGACTTCTGCTCATCGGTCCAGGCATCGTACATCCAGTCGTACGCAATCGCGAACGCGTTGGTCAACTCTGCAGTGTCGAGGAAGTGAATTGGGTTCCACCGAGTAGCGTCGTCAGGTCCAAACGAGCTGCCCGTCAAATTGCCGGCGGCGTTCTACGACGCAATGAGCGCTCAGACAACCTCTATATCGACATATAACATACCTGCAACTCCTTGTATGCCCTGTCAACCCATTTGGTGTTGTTCGTCATGCGGTAGGCATACGAGAACGCCTTGATCTCATCTTGATCTGACGAGCGGGATCGAGGATACCGTTGCCACTGTCCAGGATGTACGGGACGACAGGCGGTTGTAGTAGTCGGTAGCATTGCCGAAGATCGAGTCGTTCCAGTGCTTCAAGTACGGCTCGTTCGGGATGAGCGTCTGAAGGGCGTCCCACTTGTACTGGGGTGCGATAAGGCGGGGCGATCAGGGCGTACTTGAGTCGGAGACGGGTTGGAAGGCACCCAAGTCTCGGTGGGCCAGCTGACACCGGACGCCTGCGCCTGGAACGTGGGCGAGGAGAAGGCTGCAGAATTGGTCTGCTGCTTATCAGGAGAAGCTCCGAAGCAGAGGCAAGTCTTGACGTACCGTCGAAGGGTAAAGAGGAAGCATGTACAAACTATCCGTGCCAGTCGCGAATACACCAACGGCCTCCTTTGCACTGGCAGCGGAGCTCGCAGCTGCAGCGCCGGTGACCGCCGCCGCCGATGCAGATGACGACGACTTGTGAGCACGACTACCGAGGACGCCGCCAAGAACGGCAGCAATGATCACAATGACAGCGACGGGTACGCCGAATTTATCCAGTTGCTGGTACCGCCCTTCCTAGCACCACCCTGCGGGGGAGCGATGTAGCCGGAGGACTCATTATAGTAGGGGTCGCCTGAGCCGTAGGGTGTGGTGGGTTGAGACAACGGGGTGTGGGAGTTGAGATGGTTGGTGCTTTCCGCCGCCTGGGAGTACTGGTACGCCATGGCGGGGAGCGAAGGATGAAGACAAAGGAAGGACAAGCAGTGGGGACTGCAAAGGGGGCGGACTCGAGTCGCGACGGGGAGCAGAGACCGGGAGATGGATGTGGTTGTATACCAAGCCCGCCACGGGACCCACCAATTTCTCAACAGGCGCCGGCAGCTTCCGCTCGGCATGTCTATTCTCGGCCACCGGCCAGCTCCCTCCGAGCCCAGCACACGCCTCTCCTCGCCCTCATTCTCGTGTGATACCACTCTGATCTGGGTGGGCATGGCCGCACTTGCAGCGCTGCACCAGCTGTCGTAATTCGGTACACAATCGGCTGCAACATGAGAAAGGCTTCATGGCAGTGGCAAACTCGCAACATGTTGAGATAAACTTCATCGCAAAACCGCTCGGAACTCCGGGGACGCTCGAATCCAGAAATACACAGGTGGATACATGCATGCAGATGTCGTCAAGGGCTGGGCGAAACTCCACCATCACTACTTACTGCTCGCCGACAAACACGCCTGCGGCACCCATGCCGGTTCCAATACACATCGAGGTCACCAGAATCTGCGCGGCCGCCATAAGCCCGCATGCCCAACGCGCATCCACAGATGAAACGCTGAGCCACTCACCTTGCCTTTTCTCCTCGAGAGTTCGTTCAGGCCTGTCGCTATTTGTCGCGCGCCAGTACAGCGTGAGTACGCGAACAGAATCAGCAGCCCGTCCGATGCGGAGCGCGCGAAGCTACTCATCTAGAGGGTGTCCCAGCGCGATCGCACCACCGTTCACGTTGACTTTCTCGGGATCAAGCCCACTTTCTGAATGCAATATACTATCATTGAAGCGAACGCCTCGTTCACCTAACCCATCAACGTCAGACATCTGACCACATCTCGCACGTAGAGAGGACCACTCGCCTCAAATAGGTCAACATCCTCCTTCGTTATGCCAGCCTGCGCGAGCGCCATGGGGATAGCTATAGACGGCCCGATGCCCATCACACGCGGTGCCAGGCCGGTCACTGCGGTCGTAATGTGCTTCGCCACAATCGGCAACCCTAGCTCTTCCGCCTTCCTCCTCGTCATGAGCATCACCGCTGCCGCACCGTCGGTGATCTGACTCGCATTCCCGCCCGTCGTCTGGGACGGCTTCCACTGCGGGAACGCCGCGCGAATCTTCTGAAGCTTCTCCTTCGTCGTCCCCGGCCTAATCCCGTCGTCCTTCGCCACCACTTTCGCTTCACGCTTGCCCGTCTCGGGATCCGGCTTGTCGTATACGGTGAAGGGCACGATCTCCTTTTCGAAGTAGCCCGCCTTGTCTGCCTTTTCGGCTCGCTGGAATGATATTGCAGCCCACTCGTCCATGGCGTCGCGCGAGATGCCAAAGTCACCAGCGACGTTCTCGGACGTCCAGCCCATAGGCAGTGTCGCTTCGTACGCTGCAGTGTGCGCATTAACCGCGTCGCTGTATGCAGGCGCCCCGTTATCCGGGCTGACAAGTTCATCTGTCAGTCCAGCTATGACCCCTGTTCCGAATATCGGCGTGCGCACTTTTGTGACATGCTCTCGAAGCCAATGGCCAGACCAACCTCAATCTGACCAGCACGTATCTTGTTCGAGATGTCAGTCACGGCCATGAGGCCGGACGAGCAGAAGCGGTTAAGCGTCTGGATGGGAACGGAATCGGGAATGCCAGCAACCAGGGCGGCACACCGGGCTTGGTAGGTAGCGGCGGGCGAAAGAACAGTACCAACGGCGATGTCTCCAATTAGCTTAGGATCGACCTTTGAAAGTACCACAACTTTCTACACATCATTCGAGTGTCAACGGCGCTGACCATGACACGAAGACGCGATGCGCGTACCTTGAACATTTCCGTCAGGAGCTCGTCGCTCCTGAAGCAGATAAGCTCGTTAGTCGAGTACAAGTCTAGTCCTAGCTGCCAACGCACTTGGTGTACATAAACCCTCCGCCCTTCGCCTTGCACAGCGGAGAGCGAATGGCCATGGTGACGACCACGTCCTCAGGACTCTTGCGCTCCAGGGCAGCGACGCCCTTGGACGACCCTGACATGTGCGACACCAACTGCTTTACGCGATCCATAGCCATGGCGGACGTGAGGGTGTCAAGTGAAGGGTAGACTAGTGGAAGTGATGGACTCAGAGGCCTTTGTACAGAGAGTACAGGGAAAAGAGAAGCTAGCGTCGGACTGGCCGTCGAGGTCGGGGATGATTGTGTTCCCGAATGGACACAGGACACAGACGACAAGTCCCCCGCATGTGTGAATGCTCTCAGACTCATGTGATACCGGGTCACAACGGCAGAGCAAGTCAGAAGATCAACACCTCCGCATCTCGGCGCGCCAAGGTCAATATCGCAGAGTCGCAGAGACGACCCGCCGCAAGGACATACATAGTCTTCTGGACGCGTGAGGACACGACGGTCGGACTGCAGTGGTCGAAGCTATCGAAGAGCAGTGGGCGCTTGTGAGATCGCCGCGATGCGCGTCGCGATCGGCTTCAGCCACCCCCGCATCCACAGCTCCCTCGGGTGGTCCACAGCCTCGAGCGCATGAGCATATTGCTTCATATACGGCGCAAATCCATACCTTTCCATCTGCACTGGCATTGTACGCTTTCAGCGACGTCGAAGGGCCTGTCGAATTCCCGCATACCTAGTCAACGCATACTACACACTCGCAGCTCACTCAACATGCCCGTCACCGTCATTGCCGCCAGACCAGATACTGAAGTGAAGGGCAACTTTAGGTTCATTGGTGCGATCGGCTCTAGCGACACAGTAAGAGTACTGAAACTGTCGTGCTGACTCGTGAAATACAGACATTGGTGGTGCGCTATCACCTCCAGGCTATCCATGATTACAGTGGTTAAACAGCGCTCGCAGTCAACCTCACGGATCCCGTATTCAGAGGATACCATCATGGAAAACGTAAACACGATGGTAAGTCTCCCATTTCATGACAACGCACGAGCATCACAGACGCGGAACACAGACGATCTCGAAGCTATGCTCGAACGCTCGCGCGCCGCCGGAGTGAAATCTATGATCATCACCGGTGGCAGTCTGCACGAGTCCAGAGAGGCCCTCGAGCTCGCGAAGCAGCTGGGATTCTACGCCACCGTTGGCTGCCACCCTACGCGCTCCAAGCAATTTGAGAGCTTCAAGGGCGGGCCGGACGCGTATTTGGCCGCACTGGACCAGCTCATTGCACAAAACTTGAAAGGGAAAGGCAGAGTCGTGGCTGTCGGAGAATGTGGTCTGGGTGCGTCTGACAGTGTTGAATGTTCCCACCTAAACTGCTGAACGCAATACGTGGTGGCAGACTATGACCGGACGCACTTCGCTACCCCAGACGTCCAGCAGAGACATTTCCGTGCGTACGCAGTACGAGAATGGTCCGTCGGTCCTGATCATTGGAATCACATCCTCAGGCTCTCAACTCGCTCTTGCGAAGAAATACCACCTCCCACTGTTCCTCCACTCCCGAGCAGCACACGCAGACTTCGTGCGGATCCTCCGAGAAGAGGGGTTCGGCGAAGACGGGGGCAGGGGAGTCGGCGCGAACGGTGGGGTCGTACATAGTTTCACAGGATCAGCAGAAGAGATCGCAGAACTGGTGAGTCCCTACCCTTGTCAATATGCTGCAAGCTGAATAGAAAACGCCCCGGAGATGAACATGGGGTTCCATATAGGGTGCGTTATTGCATACTGAGATGAGCAGTCTGCACGCGATATCTAATGTCCGTCTGCCAGCGTGAACGGCTGTTCCTTCAAAACAGCAGACAACCTCGCAGCGTCTAAAACGATCCGACCAGACAGACTTATGCTCGAGACAGGTCGGCGCACTGCTGCCCCTCTCCTCACAGGCTAATAACCCACAACCCACAGACGCACCCTGGTGCTCGATGACATCGACACATGCCTCGAAGCAACACCTCACCTCCCTCCCTCCATCTCTGAACGCGTTATACTTCCCGCCGGCGACGAAGCCAGAAAGCTTTGTGTACGGGAAAGCGGTGAAGGGGCGCAACGAGCCGTGCGCGACCGGTGCTGCGGCGTGGGTGATGCATAGGCTGAACGAAGGAGTTCCGTTCGAGAAGGTGACGGAGAAAGTGTGGAAGAACACCGTGCAGCTGTTCGGGCTGCATGAGCTCGTGGACCAATGAACCGCCGCGGCACAATGAGGGTATACAGACTTGACACGTATCATAGTTGGGGGCATTGCTCATGCGACCGCACATCTCAGTACGTCGAAGGAGATGAGCCTCACGGTGCAGTTCATATTTATACTAACACGAGCAGTCTGTTTGCCGCCCAGACGAGGTATTGTCGGACAATGTCAAAATTGTGTGCAGTGATAGCCATTCGTTCCTCTGCCTCCGAGGCATACAACATAACATTGCGATAGAGATGTATGTCCGTGCATGTTGAGTACAGTCTGTTGTGTCATATCCAATCACTAGTAACCTTGACCTCGAACGTGATATCTCTGAACTCTGTTTCAGTAGGACTGACGAGGGTATTCCGTCGCACTCACGCCAAATGAACGAAACTTGCAGGCTGATAGGCCGTATTAGATCAGGCCAAGCAGCTCTTGATAATGCTCGCGGAACGCATGATCCTCGACGTCCTGCAGACTGCATTCAGGGCACGGCTAGGTGTATAGTGTAGGATCACATACCTTGGGCGACTCGAAGGTTGCATGGCACATGCTTGCCCGGGGAACATCCACAAATTGACAAACATAGTACGTATCGGGTTCCAGTTCGGGAGTAGATTCGTCCGCTAGAGGTACAGAGGTCAGCTTAGCTGCCCGTAACTCTGTGAGCTCTAGCTTGAGCCTCCGAATCTCCTCCCTGAGTTCTGGCTCCTCCGCAGCGCGTCGACGCATGTCGTCGTCCGTCCTCTCATCTTTCTCGGTGAGAATGTGGCAGAGGGTTCGCCACTTCTCCACCTCCTCTTCTAGGCGCTTGATGCGCTCTTCGTACATACCTTTCAGCATGGGTAGTCCGCTGGAAAGCTGACTCTTGACGGTGGTCAGCTCGGCCTCCAGCTCTTCCTTCTTGCCCTGCATCTCGGAGGCAAACGAAGAGGCGTGGCCATAGTTATCCTTGAAGAGGTCCCTGTCTAAGTCGGCTTCCTGTTTCGCTGCTCGCAAACTAGAGATCGTTGCATCTTGCTCTTGCACTCGCTTCTCCCATTCGAGCTGCGCACTGAAGTGTGCTTGCTTCAGGACCTCTATTTCGTCCTCTAAGAGGCTATTGACACGGCGACACTCCTCGACAGTGCTGTTTGCAGCCCCAAGGGCGGCCGATAGATCCTCGTTCTCCGTCTGGAGCTGGATGTTCTCGACGCTCTTCGCTGAGAGCGTCTGCTCCAGTTCCTGCAACCGAGCCCGGGCTTCCTGCAGCTCTTGCATGAGCTCCTTGTTCTGCGTGAGCGCGACAGACTGCTCCTGAGGAAGTAATCGTCAGTCCCATCTAGGATGTTATAGATGAATAGTGTGGTCGTACCAACGACTGGCTGTCAAAATCGGCTTGTTGTGTTGATGTTGTGAGCGGATAGTCCTCGAATATTGTCATAGGCGGGTCACCAGCGGATTGTTGACTTCCCTCCCATGACAAAGCAGGCAGCATTGCGTCGGATGATGCCCTGTCGTTAGCAGAGCCACCAATCCGACGTTTCATGCGCGATATGACTGAAGAGCCACTCCTGAGCACTCTTGGTGGTTCCAGATCAGGGCGTTCCGGTGTTGTAGGGCGAGAGATGATAGATTCGTCATGCGACTGCGTCTCTGGGACCATGCTCTCATGCTGTGGAAGCTCGCCAACCTCAATGTCGCTAGGCCCATGCTGTGGGGATTCGCCACCCTCTAGCGACATAGGCCCATGCCGCGGGAACTCGCCACCGTCTATGTCATTAGGCCCATGCTCCGGCGAGTCGGGTTCACCTAACTCGGGATGCACGCTACTCGCTTGTGAATGCGAGACGCTTCAAGCCTGGTCAATGTCAGTATTTCACACTGTGATTGGCTCTCACCCGTCTCGCTTCCTGAGTGGTATCACAACTTCTACGATTGTCTTGGACTTCTTGCGAGGAGGACCGTCATCGACACTGGGGGACCCGTGGCTAGAGTCAAGCAGGCCTAGAGGTGTTGAATGAGTACCACCCACGTGAACAAGCAACAGGGACTCTCGTACGGGATGCACCAGAAGTCGACGTCGCGACTTTGGTCAGTGATTGGCCACCATTTTGCGCTAGCAACAGAGATCGAGCGTGTTGCAGTCAATCGCTTTGAGCGTCTGGCAGATGCGGGTCTTGCACGGACTGCCAATACACGCGTTCAGTACTGCACAGCAGGGCAGGAGGGCAGAGGTATAGCACATGGTTTACTATCTGGTCTTCTCTTTCTCTTCTTTGTCGCTTTCTTTCGCTCCCATCCCCTTACGAGTCCGCGGGTACAATCCTCCTTGTTGACCCAACTGGGAGGCCAAGGTTTGCCAGTGGCGGGATCATCGCCGACCCAATTCACTTTATAGCGGTTGCCCCGTTCGGCGAGAATCTCTATCGCCTTCCACATGTCTGGGTCATCAGAGAGCGACGAGTCGGAATCAGTGGAAGTGTTGCTTGCATCCTCAGATGCAGAGTGTGGCGGCATAGTCGTAACTGAGATACTATGAAGAAGTGGCTGAACAGGAGGCCCCGAGACAGACTGGCAGTGGTGCAAGAAGCCCTTAGATCTATTCAAACAATCAGAGGGGACCCAGATCAAGAATCTGCTCGTTCAGCCTCGCCATGAACGCGGTAACGCGCAGAGATGGCGCAGAGAGCGCCCAAGATGATTCGACGCGGCTACGATAAGCGCCCAGCAGCAGTGGGAATTCGAATATTCATTGCATGCACAGTCAATTGACAGTCAACATAAGTAAGTGTATCACAGCGCACTACCAAGCAACAACCAAGGCGTGCGTCCTGATTGACATTGAAGTCACAACTTGCTCAATACGTCACTAGCAGGTACATCTCACATAAATACATCAAATAGATAGTTAAGCCGCCACACGATGTCTCTTAAAGGCAGCCTGAACATCGGCGGAAGTGTACTCCAGACCGACGCTCATGTCCTTGTAGCATTGGTCAATCCTCTTCACGAACAAGTCCGTGATCCTGAGCAACTCGTCTTCGCACGCCTTCCATACGCCAACCATCACAGTCCCTGAGGCGATCCCTGTGCTGACGTCTTCCGACGTAGCCTTCTCTGAGGCTTCCGTGAAGTGTTTCTCGACTCTCTTGAAGAGAGAGTCGATGTGTTTCCGCACGTCCTTTGCGTTGTATTCTTTGACTACCTTCTTCAGCGCTGACTTGGAGTAGCTGCTGTTGGAAGGAACCTCCGACGGTGCTGTCGTCTTGAGGACCCGCTCGATGCCTTCGAAGTAATCCTGTCGAGATAATCAGTAAACTGTTCGGTCCGTCGCTGTATGACATCCTACGATGAGTTTGAAGAACGGCCGCCTCAGCACAATCTTCACGTAAGCGTTCAAGTTCTCTTCGTAGATAGCCTCTGCTCGTTTCAAAAACGTCGCAACAGAACCTAGTTGAAGCTGGGCGACCTCGGCAACGAAGTAGTGCATGTTCTCTGGCGCATCACTTAGCATGTTTCACTTATACGTGTCGTGGCAGCGTACCTATGAGGATGACATGGTAATTGAGCTGACCCTTGTCCTCCCCTTCTCCGTCCATCTTCGCCATCTGCTTGAGCGCATCGAACATAGACTGCACGATCTTGTCGTAGGCCTGATCCACGGTTTGGCGGATCTCAAGAGTATCTGCACCGATAAGCTGTGTCTCGACGCGCCCGATGTAGATAGGGAAATATTTGATGAAAGGGGCGACTCCGTTGCGTTTCTTGCTCGTGAGCTTCATGTCTTCTATCGTCTTGATTTGCTCGCCCTGAGATGCACGGCCATTCAGTTGATCTCCACCAATAGCATGGATACACACAGCTTACCACTCGGCGTTCAAAAAGACCTTTGAGACGGACATGCTGTTTCTCGAGTAGGTTGAGCACGAATGTATTCCCGCGCTCTTCGGCGTCGCCCAAGAACCTCTCCAAAGCCACGATGATGCCTACGATTTGCCTGGTATCATGTCAGATGGATGGACACCAGAGTGCATGAGTCAACATACAGACTGTCTTTGCTCATGGCACCATCCAACCACACCTTCAGCTCTGTGGGTAGGAATCCAAAGATCAAGTCCAGGGCACCGCGGACGAGCTTGAGAGTTGATTGACTGAGACCAGCGAATCTCGCAGCTTGCCGACGGAAATAGTTCTCCAGACCCATGTAGTCAGCAAACGTGAGGCCTGCATCATTGATCTGCAAGAAGTCGGCGATGAAGTCTGCTTCACGGTAGATGGCGGATGCGATCTCTTCAAGAACAAGGGACAAAGCCTTGCGTACTGTCAATCCCAATGTTTGTACCGTGTAAGAGCAACTTACATCGGCCGCCGTCAAATCGCCATCTAATCGGTCTTTCTTCCCTCTGCGTCCTTCCAAAGGAGATCGTGCGATCGTTCCTGCTCTGCGTAAACCGGATGTAGCCTTCGCAGTCGTCGTCGTCGGTGTAACCCCGCCGAATCCTAGTCTACGGTAAACGAAACTGTCACAATGGATCACCCATGCATACCTTCGGCGTCGTCGTCCACAGTCTCCTGACCATAGCACTACAGGCGCTTAATAGTGCTCGCACTTGTGTGCTATGGAGACCGCTTGCGGCCGCGAAATAGGCCTTCATAAGAGACCTCAATGAGCGGGCGCAAACATTGAATAGGACGACGTACAGCACAGAGCTTCGCGTACACGCCCTCGTCCATATCCTTGAGATACAGTAGCAGGCCGCTGTACCGACCGAGATAGATTTCCATAGTCCGGTGGTTCATCAGGGATGGTCTGCCTTGTGGAGTTTTCACCACACCATCAGTATCGCCCACCAGTATTTTAGCCTGTCAGGAAGTTATGAGCGCGGCTGAACACAGCTCAATCTGATACTCTCACCTGAGCAGTAATCATGAAGGTCAGTATTCCAGGACACGCTTGCAGAAGTGTGAATTGTGTGTCCTGTATTCATCGAGCCGTTCAAATGTAGCCGCCATGTCTATACAGATGTTAACGTGCGTCAAGTCGTCTCAAGCTGGATCACTTACCGCGGTCCTTGCTCGCTTGTAGGGCTTTGTACAGTTCAGTCGCCGCACCCTCCAGTCGCTGGATGCTCGCTGGCTTCTCTAGCGATTCCTGTGTCAGCGCAAGCAGGGCTTCCTTGTCCACATGGACGGTTTGCTGTTTGGATGTAAGCAACTATTCGGAGCCGACCTATGAAAGACGCACTAGAAGCTCTTCGAGCTCGTCCATGAGCGCTCGTTGATTCTGAATCTGCACCTGTAGACCGCGATTCTGGGACTGGATGTAGCCGATATCTTCGTTGACAGCCTGAAGTAGCATGATAACTTCCGTGAGAGCGAACGAAGGCTTGGCACCTACATTCAAATGAATCTTATACGAGGATATCACACTGTCCATGTTATCGAGTTCTGAGATTGAATCGTCGAGGAACTTCAAAACGATGTTCACTCGGTCGTCAGACTCGATAAACGAGTGTATGTTTGCCTTGAGGCGACATAACGTGAGTACAACGACTGCACACCAGACCGTCGCCGCACCTTGTCTAGTGCCATTAGCTCATCCAGTAGTCGTGCCTCCATCCGGTCAGCCGCGCCTGTCATCGACCTTCTACCCATGATGTCGTCAGTTGCCCACTCATAGCCCTCCAACATTTCCTCCATGCTGTCCAGTGTGGCCTGTGCCGTCGTATCCTCCATGACGCGGCTGCTCTCGCCGTCGTCGTCAATGGACTCGTACATGACAACATCGCCTGACAGCAGCTGGTTCAGCGAGGCTTGGTTGGCAGGATCATAGAAGGATACACGAGCGTTCTGCTCGCGACGCGGCTGTCCTGTGTCAGGATCCATAGTTGGAGCCCGCGAAGGCTTCTTTCGGAGGGGCGCAGCTTGGGCGGGCAAGGGCACAGGAAGGTTGTCTGGTGTTGAAGGATATGTCGAGAGCGGTGATGGCTGAGAGGATGACGTCCATCGGGTACGCTCAGCGAACCGTTTGAGTAATTCCCGTTATATTTGACAGGTATGCTGATCGGAGGAGCCTGGGGGGCAGACCGCTTTGACGCACCGTTTGCAACTGGGGGAGTGGCAGAGCGGTAGGGTGCGGCACCAGGAACCAACAGCATGGAAGACCCCGCACTAGACGTGGAAGCGACGTTCGACGTTTTCCTTGCGTGAGCGCCAGCTCGTAATGCAGGCGGGATAGTTGAAGTTTGTGATGAGGGTGTTCCAGGGCGTGTGCGCGAAGGGGTTCCAGGCCGTTCAGCGCCAACTACCGGCGGAGGTCGAGTTGAGGAGGTGTCTGAATAATCCGCCTGGGCAGGTGTTGCTGACCGGCGTGCTCTCGGCGGTGTTTGTGATGCCGGTAGAGGGAATTCGTCGAAATGTTCGCTACGGCTACTGTTCCGCGCATGTCCGTTCGTGCGCTCGGTCGCGACAGGTCTCCTAGGTGACGCAGGTGGTAAGGGAATACCACTAGGTGGTGTAGGAGCGCGCTCCATTCGCCTGCCATTGCTGAGGTCGAGAGGCTGGGGTCTTGGCGCTGTCATGCTCAACTAAATGCGAAGATTGTCTAGCAGAGCTAATCACGTACTGGACGATGCAGCCCCGGCAGCCGGAAAAGTGAATCCCTTTATGTTGAGTGGTAAAGAACCCTGTGTTGAGGTGTGAAATAGCTGGATCAGCGCCGCTATGAAGTTCAACTGGTCCTTCGGGTTCTCCGTCTGCCATCGATAGGCTCTCGCCAGGGTGATATTGAAGTTAATGGGCTACCAAGGCCAGTAGCGTTACCTCGCGGCAAGGCATGGGAGCAATAGGATACGCACATTGATTACTTCAACGCCTCTGAGCTCTGTGACTCGCCATGTTTTTCCGACAGAGAAGGTGCCATTCTGGTTGGACTTGGACTTATGAATGGATCCGCCATCGGGTGACTCTGAGCTGCCTGGTCATGAACGGCACGACGAAGCACGGGTGAAGACATACGCGACAAGATGATGTATCTCGACTTCCTCGCACCATCTCCCTCCTCCTCCCATATCTTAAGGTGTGCTACATACTCTTCCCGATGGCCAGACGCATTGAGCTTCGTGAAGACAGAGGAGATGATCCGCTGTCGCGTCGACTCGTAGTCAGACATCCGTCAAGAGGAGCCTGCAGCCCTCAGACCGCGCGAATTGACACAGTGGACAACAGACAAGAGCGGGGCTAGATCACGTTCGTAATGGGATGAGGACCCCGCGCCAAGTACTCGATGTCTCGATCACCGGCAACGCTGAGGCTGTATATGGAGTACCAGCTCACGTGGATGGGCGAGGTGCTATTTGGGCGTATTGTCCAAAGGCTTTGACGCCCGGAGTTTACCTAGTTTGGTAAGTAGTAGAGCCATGACGACTCGGACGAGTACTTGGCGGTGCCCAAGTCCGCGCAACCAACGTATTCTTTTCTGCGCCATGCGCTCGCTACAACACAACCATTTCAATAGTCAGTGATCGACGAAACGCAAATCCGGAGTCAAACCCTCATTATTACTGTTCGTATCCATGTACCTGCTCACGACTGGCGGATAGTGGAGAAATTCAAACGGTGCAACTTCACAGAAGGCCTGGTGTATATATAATCATTGTGAGACATCCAAAGGCTCGTATCCACTGTTAGACGTACTGCTAGCATACCAAACCACCCCAGAGGACCCTTGCCTCCGCTCTGTGCCCTCTTGACCTCCCATTCCTCAACACTTGGTACCGCCGGCCCCTCCACTCCACTTCGCTTCCGACAATAGCAAACGCCCATATTGGAAAGGCCAGCAACTCCCGAAAGCCCATGCGCCGATGAACGCCAACCGAGATCGCAGTGGTACAGGCTGTCCGGATAGCGAATCGCACACATCCAGATCCACGATTAGCCACAACCGAAGTGAAGGGGAAGGAATAGCCAAGGAGTAGTTCCGAATAGGTAGTGTAAGCCTATTGCAGCGAGGCAGCCGGCCATGACGCCCTCCGTGAATGGTTCCAGCAAGGTTGCGGCAAGTACCATATGCTTCCGAACCCGTATCCACCGGACACGGCGCCATATGTAGTCAGGCAGACTCATATTGCCCACCGCGTTCCTTGCTACGTCGCACGACAGATCATGCCGCAACCCGAGCTCGTGCCATAGGGCGGCGGCAATCATATTGTCTTCAGCGAGGAAGCGGCCGAACGCAGCAAGACCCTTCGGCCCTGGTTGACTGCCCCCTTCCGCCGCGTCAGCGATGGGTTTCAGTGAACCATCCACGCGTTCTAGATCCGAGCGACGGTAGAGGTTTGATTTGCCCATGACGCAGCTGTCAATGGCGACAGTGTTGATGGCGACGTACATCTTAGCGTGATTTGTGTTGAGAAAGGCTTCCTCGATGTGGGATCCCAGCGCGTACTCGCTTGACCAAGCGAATGGTACGTGGTGCACCAGAGCGATTCGTCGGCGCGACGATGGGAGGTCAGCTGGGCCGTCGAGGGCTTCCACTGAGTGAGCCAGGGTGCCTGAAGCAACCATGACATTGGAGTCGAGCACCCAGAGGATATCATTCGCCGCAGCTCGGTAAGAACGCATGAGATTGTTGATCTTAGGGTTAACTCCTACGTTCTCTTCGCCTGAGACAACGTCAGCGGCCTCCTAAGCGCTCAAGGCGAAAGCACCCACCTATCATTAGATGAGCGTTCACATTCGGATACTTCGCCATGAGATCGCGAACGATGGGAAGAGCTTGATCATTTTCATCTGCCACGCAGAGGAAGATCTCGTAGTTCGGATAGTCTTGAGTAAATGTGGATTCCAGGTTTTCGTACAAGTTCGTGTCGAGGCCTTTCAGCGGTCGTAAGATGGATACACCAGGCACGGAAGACGCATCTGCGGATGCGAGCAAGACGGTCGTCGGTTCCTATACCTCCTACGCCTGTCCGGAGATAGTCAGCACGCCTCCGAAGAGACAATACGGTGAGACGTACGCAGCACGACAGCCAAGGAGACCCAAGGACAGGAGGGAAATGTACCAAACGACGCTGACCCAGGCGAGGCAGAGCTTGAGCGTACCGTAGCTGCCGGCGGGATTCATGGCTGCGGTGGGCATCGGCAGGACATGCAAGGCCAATGCAAGGCTGCGTAGGGGTGGAAGCGCCTCGGAGAGCTCTGTCGGCGCCGTCGGCGTCCTCCATCACGGTCACAGGGCGATCGAGATTCAGTAGGCGATCGAACGCGACTCGGGGGAGGCGTGTGACCGAGGTCGCGTCGAGTCGTGCCACAAACTGCCCGTGTCTCTCGCTTCAGCCTCTTCTCGCCTGCTTTCGTGGGCACCGCGCATGGTCATTTCGTATTTATGTCTTCCTGGAAGCAGCTCTTTCAGAAAGGTGTCGCTATGTTCCGAGCCGGACAGTTGGACGACGCGTTGGCGCTGTTCACGGAGGTAGGTCATCACGGCATGCGGCCTCGACGAGCAACTCACTTGGTGCATCAGGCACTCACTCTCGAAGGAAACGAGTACACTCTGTACGACTCTTGTGCAGCAGTCAAGGAGAAACTCGGTAAGACCAAGGATGCGCTCCGAGACTCGAAGAGAGTTATCGATCTCGCACCGCAGCGATGGCAGGTGCGCACCCTTTCTCAGTCCTCCTCCAAACATTCTGACCCTGCCTCAGGGTTATGCTCGCTCCGCACGCCTCTTCTTAAAGATCAGGAAGTACGACAATGCTCTCTACATGATCAAGCTTGCCCTGGAGCGTGTCAGCGCGGACGACAGCAAGAGACGCGCAGAGCTGGAGGCTCTGCAGTGTCAGATACTTCAGGGCGTCGACGAGCAGCGCGAGCTTACCTCAAGAACCTCGTATCACTTTGGACAGCTCCCTCTCGAGCTCGCAGCCGACATCTTTACCTCCGCGCTGACGGAGGACCACGCTCGAGTTGTCGTACTCGCCCAAGTCTGCAAAAACTGGCGACTTATCATCACAAATACACCACATCTATGGAACAATCTCGTTCTTTCCAAGCAGAGCCCAGTCAAAAAGGCAAAGGCATGGAGCACGCGTTCGAGGGGGAGGATAGTCCACCTCACCCTGAGGGAGAGCTTGAAGGGGACTCCATGGGCCCTCGACGAGCTGCAGGACCTGTCTTTGGAGTCGCTGCGTACACTTCGTCTTGCGGACTTCCCATTGGGTGCCGTTCGACAACGGTTACCAAATCTTACAAGTGACGTCCTTCGCACCCTCGACGTCCTCGATGTGGACAATCGTACAGAAGCAGGCCCAGTTACATGGCTCTGGACGGACCCCTCCATGGCAGTCCGCTCTCTCTCCGTTTATTTCGCCGTATTCGACTGGGCCTCCCTCGTCACATACTTCCCCCGCCTCGAGCACTTCACTTTCAAAGCACCCCTAGTCGACATCCCGCTCAGCGCCCTCTCCGACTTTCTGCGCGCACACGTTGGCCTTCGCTCATTGTCGCTGGGCATCATGGACTTTGTCTACCACCGCGCTCCTGACCGCGAGCAACCACCAGTCCATCTCCCTCACCTAGAGCGACTCGAAATCGAATATCACGATTTTGCGATGAGTTTCATGTTCCCCCTGTTGCATCTGCCGACCCTCCGCTCCCTAAACATTTCCCGAGGTGTGCACGCGATCGACACATCGTTGCAGCACCTGATCACCAGCGGAGCCGGAAAGAGTTTGAGAGAGCTCAGGATATCCCTGTGCGCCGTCTCGGCAGGCCGTGTCGTCGACTTGCTGCACGAAGCGGAGGCTCTCGAGGTGTTGGAGTTGAGGTATCTCGGAGGAAACCAGGCGAACACGATATTGCACGCTCTATCTGAGCAGCCGAAGTCTCCTCCCCGAGGTCATGACACCGAGATCAGCAAAGGCGATGGCGCAGGCACATCTACCGTGCTGTGTCCATCGCTTTCATACCTGGACTTCTCCCACTGTCCAGACGTCAAGAGTGGGCCACTGATGGCGCTGGTGAAAGCCCGGCTATCCAGTACCGACAGTGACGGTCAAGTGGACGTCGCGGCGGCGAGTACTCAGCCGGCGCCTATAGACACACTCATCGTGGACGGTTGTCCCTCTGTCGAGATAGACATCCTACCATGGTTACGGAGCAAGGTGCGGCGCGTCAGTTGCGTATACATGTCCAAAAAGGATGCCAAATGGCGAAGGTGATTCAAGCACGGACCATTAACATAACCATTGCGTTTAAGTAGACGACAGATCCTGCTGTGTACGATTTGTAATATATAACACAATGAGATACCCTCAAATATCCAGGCATCTACAAACCGTCCTGTGTGATTTCCGGAACGGTGTATGCCATGTCTCGACTGGTATGGACACTGAGGAGGCCTATCGTCGGTTAGACCTTGTAAGGCTCAGGGTACGCCGGCGGCTCAGAAGAGTGTGAGGACGAGGCGGGGGAGCTCTCGGAGGACACTGAAGACTGGGAGTAGATTGAAGCCGACGAATAGGCGTGCGGTGGAACCGGGCGTTGGTGCTGGTTCGCAGCACCTGCTGGCGCCTGGAGGCTGCCCATCAAGGCCGGGCCATACGTACTCCACAAACCCTTCGCCATGTCGATGGGACTCGTTGGCGGAGCGCCAGGCTCCCCCTGAGGTTGAGCACCAGCGGTGGAAGCCGCCTTCATAGCTGTCTCGACGAAGCGCTGCCAGAGCGTAGCGAAGCGGCTCTGAACGAAGGCGACAATGTTGGCCTTCGCGGCGGCAATGCTGGCATCTATGTTGGCCTCATTTATGGAGAGATATGGGTGCACGAAGGTGTGGTAGACCCATGTGGAACCCTGGATGCACCATCCGTCAGTAAATATATAATTCCGACACGGTGTTACTCAATAGACTCACCTGCGTCTGAGGCAGAGACAGGTAGAAGAGGACCAAGATTTTAATCTCCCAGTAGAACGGAAGCCTATTGACGCGTATAAAGACATGCGATGAATATTTCTTGAGACATCTCGCTCACCAACTGATAAACCACTCCGCGACGTGTTCGAAAGCAACAAAAGCGCCCATGACAGACCAATACATTGCCCAACGCTCTAACTCAGGTTCGGACACAGGGCGATGCGCGAGAGACTTCCACGTCCCATACGCCGGCAGAAGCAGAGAAAACCAAGCACTGTAGAGCATGCCAGTGTTAGCTCAACTGTCGTCACCAACGGCACACGAGCACTCGTGGATTTGATATGCACCTAACAGACTGGATGCGAGGGATGTGAGCATCATGATGCTGAAGCGAATGGGGAGAAAGGGATGACAACGGCTAGAAGAGATAGGAAGAATGCCTGAAAGGATGAGAGTCAGACTCTGTACAGCAAGATGAGCTGTACGGAGAGAAAAGGAATAACACTGCCCCAGCGCTCGCGCTGAATGTATCCTATACACGGGCGTCTATTGTTTGCCGGGTTGATGATCGAGCATAGGATGTCCGCATTTGGAAGCCACGTTGTAGGCGAACCGTCTCAGTCAGGCTCCTACTCATAATACAGCGGACGTTGGTGTTGAACCTAAATTTGAATATTTGCAGCTTGCACTTGCAAAGTAGTTGGTCGAAGTCGCCAGGGATGTGCCACGAAGGGGGCGGTCGCGGTTTATGCTTGCAGACTTTCCAAAGACGTTCTCTGCTACGTTCCAACGGCGAACGAGGAACTGCGACGATCTACTGGAGATAACAAAAGGGTCCAGCTGACGGCCTTCGATGAATGGAGATCGTCTTGTCTCACGCCAACCTAGGAGATAGGTATAAACTTTCGGTAGAGCTAGATCTTCATGTAGGAAATTAAGCGACAGATAGCATAGAATAGCAGCCAACATGGCTTCTCCGAAGCCTGTGTGGTCTTGGTCAAACGCGATGCAACTTCTCGGATGCGCGTAGAGTTGCGCGACCTGCCGCAGCGCACGCGCGATTCTTCAATCAGCCCATCCAAGGTACGCCTACGGCCATCATGGGTTGCAGGTTGTACGGGATCAGCGAGCGTGAGACAGACTCGAGACGTACCACAGTGAGACCTCGACGCGGAACAGTTTTGGAACAGCCCATACTTATGGGCAGAGGTCTAACACAGCTCGGAGCACGCGCACCCAGTCTCGCGGGCGTATTGATGATTTCGAGATAGTTCACTGAAATTTGCGACTGGTGTGGTGAGAGATCGTCGAACTGAACTAATCGCGATACGTACCGTGGCACGAGTCGAGGAGGTGCACGAGCTGCGACCATCTGCACATTGCACAGAGCCGTTCTATAAGTCTTTTTGAAAGGAAGGGGCTGGCATGGTGAGAACGTCCAAGCGGTGCCCAACCGGTTAGGCACTCGGAATACGCTAAGTCTCCGCTTGCTCACCGCCACCTGGCCTGGAGCAGATGGCATGGTGCACGCCTCGAATCTCCTCGCTCAGTCTGCACCCTGATCGTGAGACATGGCAGAATGCAACCCACGGAGGCTGTCGGGAAGGGGAACGTGTGTGGCCATACCGCGTGGTCAGCATGTCGGGGCGTCTAATGCCCATAACTGTCTGGCTTGTCCTTGTTTGCCCCCGCGAAGCAGCCGACTGATGCATTCGCCCTTCTCATCCAATCACCCCGACTGACTGTGCTGCCCTCTTCCCGCTGCCCTGACCGTCCTTGCAGACAGCGGCTGCCACCGTCTCCTCTGCTTCTGACAGTTTCCGCTCACGATGGATCACAACGGCGGCAGTACCTCTATCAAGAAACAAGACGATGGGGACACCTCCGATTCAAAGGGCACTCCGAAGGGAGACATGAAGCCCGTTGGCCGAACCCTCAACCGAGTACCTCGTAAGTCCTGAAAGGAGTCTGAATGTTACTGAGTCTGACAGGCTTCCCGCCGTCTGCAGGCGCATGTGTAAGTGACTGCATGGATGCGGACTTTTACTCCTTAGCTGAAGTATCTCGCTCCAGAACGCTTGCCGGAAGCAGAAGATGAGATGCGAAGGAGCAGAGAATCCGCCCTGCCGGAGATGTAGGCATGCAGGCTTGGAGTGCCTGTTTGAAAAGCCACAGAGGGAAGCTAGTCTTACGGGCGAGGCGGGCTTAGAGTGAGTGAAGAGCAGTCCCGTACAGGTCGTCTTTAACGACCCTTTCCAGACGTATACGAAGCCTCGAGTCCCACGTCGCGGATATACGTCAGACTCAAACCACAATTCAGAACACCTTACTAGAGATTGCTTCTCATCTTCGCGGGGGCGCTCCATTTCATTCTCGGTCCCCGTCGTTTCCGGCATTCGTGCACCAGTCACCGAGCGCCCTATCCATGGGGTCTCCGAGCGTTTCGACTCCTTCTACAACAGTACCACACCCTCCGCAGCTCATATTGGATACCTCGCATACTGGACCGACATCCCCCTCAAGTAACGGAACTATGTCTGCTACCATGGGTTCAACTGCTCATCGGCCAAATCGGGATCCGACACCGACCCATTATCGGAGCCCTTCTTTGGGGGCGGCAGGCCGCCGTCCTATTAGCCAGCACGACGCTCATGGCTCACAAGTCTCAACCACTGGCAGTATGATGTACCCGCCTCCCAATCCGCCTACACACCGTTTGTCTGCACAGGGAACTACTCTTCCGCCTTTCTCAAGCATAGAATCTATGGGTCCGCCTCGGGGCCAACCTCAGAATGTATCCTCCGTACGGTACAACCAGGCAGAAGGCTCTCAGCCATCGCGGCAGGTCCACCGGACTGCCAACGGTCAGGAAGCGTCCGTCGGGTCGAAGAGAGCTGCACCAACGTCTTCCAACGTCACAAGCGCGGACTCCTCTGACGTCGAAGACGACGACGGGGAGCTCCCTGCTTCTGGTCTAGTAGCGCCCTGGGAAGTGCTGAGGGGCCTGGCCGACGTCGCCATCCAGCGAGCCGCCAAGGTAATGACGCAGCGTTGTTGAATTCTGACGCCGATAGCCCTGACGGTCATCTCTCTTACGGCAGGAGAATGGGGGTGAGGTGAGCGAGCCTCCGAGCCGCGCCCGGACACCGTCACCGGACCCGCGTCAGCCCCGTCCACCAAAGCGACGAAAAGTGAACCATAAACAGCCTAGGTTTGCTACTTTCCCTGATGGTAACGATCTCATGTGTTGCCGCGTGTACGGGGCTCATATGTCATGTAGTCGTTACGAAGAAGATTATACCCGAGTCGGAAGCCCGAGAACTCTTCCGGATGTACGTGAATGTTCTCTTTCTAGTGCTCTTTAACGCGTATCTAATACGCAAACTAGATTTTATCATGGCTGCTCTACGTTCTTACCTGTGTTCGACGTCAATGTGGATACATTCGAAGCTCTTCACGAACGGTCACCCTTTGCTGTAGACTGTATATGTATGGTCGCAGCACAAATCCGCGATGGAGGAGGTGAGCGGTTTTGTCAGCGCCATACATGGACCCACCTCAACTGTCTCTTGCAGGCAAACCGAGTGAAACCTCCCTCAAATGTCAGGAAGAAGTACAAGCTATATCTTGTGCTACCCTCTTTTCGCCGGTGACCCGACAAGAAGCTGTACAAGCAATGAGTGGGTGCACCTTGAAGCGCATAAATGCAGTATTGAGTACTCAGATCCGCGATAGTTCTTGTGTCCGGGTGGTCAGACAATGGCTGGTTGAGTGGAGGTCATGCAGTACGCATGGCCATGGAACTGTGTACGTCTTATGCTGCCAGCTGGATTGTGTGTATTGATGCAGCTCTAGCGATGCACAAGGCGTGGCCCGAGTTACTGAAGAGAATGAAGGCCAACAAGGCGTCCGACTCGCCAAAGGACCGTCAGTTGGTGATATCTGCCAGAACTTGGTTCTGCTTATATCTTTTTGAACATCAGTGCGTGCTGAGCTCGTTCAAAAATGTGCATATACCGATGGTATCGCAGGATGTCATATGGGACTGGCAGACCGTCGATCCTCAAGGATGATGAAAGCATATGGCAATGTCGGCTTTTGTTGCAACATCCGTTGGCCATCGAGGACGACATGCGTCTGGTTTCCACGGTTGAGCTGATGGCTATTCGTGAACGGGTAAACAACAATCTATCACCACTTTTCGACAAACCCGTGGATGATATAACGTTCAATGTGCTCCGCGAAGCCGACATGGAATTTCGCAATTGGTATGCTACGTGGGACCAGGCATTCTCGCAGAAGTACGAAGACGCTGGTAGGTATTCGTGGTAGACTGGGGCTGTCGGATGGTCACTTATGAGGGGCCAGCTTTCTATCGCCAGAGTCTGCAGATACAGCATCTTCATGCGGAATTGTACCACAATGCTACGGCCCTCAGAGGCGTCGATAGTCCCGAAGATGTTCTCAGAATGCCCCCTGCCCAACGCGATCTAGCTATCAGGTCAATACAGATCGGGTGTCAGGTACTCGATATTACTGTCAATTCTCCTGCATACAGGGAGGGGATGAAATATGGTGTGTTATATGTTTGCACCCTTCAAGCCGTCGCTCATGTCATCCTTAGCTGTGCACTATACCCATGCAACTGCAACCTTCTCAGCCTCATTTTTGTTGCGCTTAGCACGACTCTTGTGCGTGTGTGTGTTGAGTGTTTGGCCTATAAGCTGACTTCTTGCAGCCCTGATCAGTGCGACATGGGGGAAGTGCGAAAGATGGTGGAGCGTCTTGCTACACTTCTTGCTGAAGGTAGTCATCTTGTATATGAGCAATGGCCATGGTTAAAATATCTGTCGTAGTTCCCGGGAAGCGTTACGCCCTCACGTTACAGTTGATGCTAAAGCGTTTCCGGAAACGCTCTGCTTCTACTTCACGTTCTCCCCGAACCGCCCGCCCACGATCACAAAGTGGCGCTAGTTACACTCACGAACCCATGGGTTCGGCGCCGAGTCAACAACCCGCACCGTCCAACTACGAGGCCTCATATTCGAACCCCCAGAACACAACCGCCATGGGCCAGATACAAATGGGTTTCTCCCAACCCATGACACAGTATGCCCCGACTGCGGATCCCAACATAGATCTTATATGGCGCGGATTCGACACGACCGCTAACGAGCAACTCCCAGTGTGGCTATCCGACCAAACACTTGGTGGCGGCTCTGTGATGCAGAACGGTATGGATGCGTTCCTGCTGCCGAACGACTACTTGCCACCCGCCCCGCAAATTTGGTGATGTACTCTCTGTAGCCCTATTGGTGACTTCTCTTTGTTATATATATTCACCGTGTACTTATGCCCGCCAAGACGCACTTGCTGTTGTGATCGCGTTGTTAATAGCTGTACGTGTCGTTCACACTGGGACTTTCCGTGTACTCGATGTGAGTTATGCTTGCTATATCATGCTGTATCGCTACTGGAATGCATTTTTGGATTTATCTGCCCGTGTAAGAACATTGTAATATCGTGCCGTTCGCCACCGTCGTGGACTTGCACAGTAAGTATCGCACGAGATAGGCGCCCGTAGAGCTGCAATAAGCAATCCCACAATTGGGCGCTAAACACTGTCGTTTGCATCTTGAGCACGTGCATTTTTTTCTGGCCGACCATCCTTCCTTTCCTCCTACCACTATGCCCGTAGCCGTGGACGGGGCGCGTCCCAGCTCACCACCCAGGCTCAAGGACAAGGAAGCTAGACAGCCTCGGGATGTGCCCCTCCCAGAAACCCCAAAACCATTAGGAAAGCGTAAACGAAAGGGCAAGGAAATAGCGGAAGCGAGCCTTGCTTCTACTGCACCGCAGATCATAGATGATGCTCCGTGGTCCTGGAAATCTTTGACAGAGGCGTCGGCGAGCAGGGTACCACCGGTCTTTACAAAGGATGGGCGGTGCGTGTTGGCGTGCTCACCGGTGTACTGCGTCTAACACTTGGGCAGGTATTTTTTCTATGTCGCAGGGTCTACTGTGAAGATATACTCTTCCTCCACGGGCCAAATCGTATCCACGCTCGATCAACCCAGTGCGAACGACTCCGGCAGCAATCAACACACTCCTGAGGCGCATGCCATCACCTCGGCGATCCTGAACCCGCACAATCCGTTCCAGTTGATCACTGGCTCTTCGGACGGCCATATTCGTCTGTGGAATTACCTAGATGCCGTCCTCTTGCAGACGATTAATGTCAACAAGTCAATCATGCACGTCGCCGCACATGAGGTATCAAGGACTACGTATTCGTTTCGGTAGCTCGAGGGACTAAGAAGAAGAGTAGTAAAGGTGCGATTTGCGTATGCCTGGTAATGTATTTCCTGCTCACATGGAGATGTTTTTTTTCTCACTAGCGAAGCGCGAAACCTCCGAGGACAACGGCTCTGTGATTCGCGTGTCGTTGCGGCCCTCTGCTGCCACAGTTGATTTGCCGATCCAGCTACCTGCGGAGACCGCCTTCGTAGGGAAGACGCGAGCAACAACAGGCTTGGCTGTGTCACCAAGTGGTGCATGGGTCGTCGCAACTGGTGGACACAAAGCCTATGTCTGTCCGACATCTCATCTGTCCGCCGGCTTCACGAAATTTGTCTCCCCAGAGCAGCTCACTTGCCTTGCGTTCCACCCGTCGGAGGACTATTTCGCGACGGGGGACGTCACGGGCTGCATACGCTTATGGTACTGTCTGGACGCTGGTCTCACGAAGTCGTTCGGCGTGCAGAGGACAGCTCAGACGACAACTATGCATTGGCATGCTCACGCTGTGTCGTCCGTCACATTCACCACCAACGGAGCTTACCTGTTGAGCGGCGGCGAGGAAGCGGTGCTCGTGATCTGGCAGCTGCACTCAGGCAGGAAGGAGTTTGTTCCGAGAGTTGGCGCACCCATCTCGCACGTTGCATTATCGAGGACATCCGAAGGCGAAGAGGAGTACCTTCTTGCCTTGTCCGACGCTTCGTTCGTGTTTGTTCGCTCCGGTACGCTCAAGATTTCGAGATCAATCGCTCGCATCAGAATAGGTATGCTGGTGTCGCGCAAGAGACAGGTGTGATCGGCTCATGTGTTTCTCTAGACCCTGCAACATCTCATAACCGCGCTTCCACTTCCGCACCTTTGGCTTTTCACTCATCGACATCTACTCTCATACTGCCATCATCGCATCCGTCAACGCTCCAAATTTACCATCCAGCATCCTCCCGACTTATGTCGGAACTCGAAGTCTCGCCATCGAACAGGGTGGCGCGCAGAGACGAAAAGCCATTACAGCCCTCTCGCGTGGAGCACGCTGTAGTATCGGATTCTGGGGAGTGGATGGCGACCATAGATCGTCGTGACCCAGACGGGGCCTTCACGGAGAGGTCCACTTAAAGATATGGTGGTGGGATCACAAGTCCGAGTTCTGGATATTGAACACTCGTATAGAGCGTCCGCATGGCTTATCTAGAGTGTCAACTCTGGCTTCCGACCGAAGGCCAATGGTAATGATGAGATGTTCCTCATCACCGTCGGTGCGGATGGTAACATCAAGTCTTGGGGCATCCGCACAGTCAAGCAAAAGTCGGGGAACATGGAAGGTATGTCACTAATGTCGAGCCTAGTATCCACTCACCTGAGTTGTGCATAGTGTTCTGGGTTGCTCGATCTACTACGCGCTACCGCTCCGAGGTCCCAAGTCACGTATCGTGGTCAGCGGATGGGTCGTTATTCGCCGTCTCCCTAGGGCCACAAGTTGCTCTCTTCGACGGCAATACCAACGCCCTTCATCAAGTCCTGACCTCCTCGGATTGCGGGCGTGCGCTATCGGCCCATTTCGTGGGTACAAGCGGCCGGTTTGTCGCCGTAGTGGGACGTAATGACGTGATGCTCTGGGATTTGCTTACGCGTTCAAGTAAGTGTTTCGTTTCCCGTAATGACTACTGTCTGATGCCTGTACACAGTGCGCTGGCGATACACGAGCACGTACTTTATTGATCGATTGGTGGTCCACCCTACAGAAGAGTCCTTCACCGTTCTCGAGCGCTCCAGTACGTCCGCGCACACGACATCGGCTGCTAGAGCCGTTCTCCTCCGTCCTACTTCCCCCGTCCCGACTGCAAAACGATGGTTACCCTTCAGCACTCGTGCTGCACTGTCACATCCATCCCTAGATGCCTTCACGTCTGAAGCGTCGTCGTTTGTCCTTGTGGGCATCACGCACAAGTGGGGTGTCGCGGTCTTTGGGGATGATGTACGACTTCCAGAGGAGAAGGGCTCGTCACCTCGGGGTATCGGCAACGAAAGTACGGCTGGACCATCAAAGCGCACGCTCTTCCACGACATATTCGGAGCGTCTGCTCTGGTCGAACCTATCTCGGCCGCAGGGCAGCCACCGGAAGTCGACATCGCTCGCTCGTGGAGGGGTAAGGAAGTCGCGGAGATCTTCGATGCTCCGACCCACCTCATGCCTCCCGTCACATCGCTTTTTGACACATTGATGGACTCCTTCCTCACCGTCAAGGTCCCGGGTAAAACTGCACAGCCCGAGGAAGAGGAGGAGGAAGGATCAACCGAGGATGTCGAAATGCAAGACGACACACAGCCTCTCGTCACCGAGGCTCGCATCGAACGTGTAGTCAACCGACACGAGATGGACGCCTTCATCGACTTATTCAAACACTGCGCGATGAAGGGTGAGTGCCTGTGCGTTATGACTCGTCTCTGGCGCTCATCGTACCCGCAGCTACAGGTCCCACCATATCACACCAGGATCCATCAAGGAACAATCTGCGACACGCAAATGGCGGCCATAAGGCACTATCCAACGGCGTCGCTCCCTCTACACCATCATCGACCAAAACCAACGGTGCAAAGCAAAGCCTCCTTACGCCCGTCCCCCGCCCATGCCCACGCCCACGCCCACACATACTACCAAGGATGTATCATCAACGCCATCAAAAACCTCGCCAGCCGTCAAGGCCGGGCAGAAACGCAAAAAATCATTAGGATAACGAGGGTGTATAGGGGGATCGTCGTCATGTAGTGCTAGCATTTCTCGCATACCATCTGCATCGATATCGTCATCGCTGTCCTGTCTTACCACACGCATGCAACCTACCTTATTGGCATCAAGTACCATGCTAATTCTCGCTGCGTGCTCATTACCTTGCGGAGAAACGCCATTGGATACAGACTAGTGAACGCAGCAAAGCGCATGTATATGCGCGCGGCGGCTCCTTTCCTCTGGTCGACGACATCTATCGACGCGCATCCATTTCAATCTCCGTAAATACAGGTCGCAACGCGTATGCAACCCCACGTCGGACTAATTGCGCCCTCCCGTCACGGTATGCTTGAGACCCAAGAGGAGGGAGGCACCTTCGATCATATCCGCAGGGAAGAGGGCGTGGTATTCTTTGGGAATCAGAATATCAGGGCAAAAGGCCTGGCCTTCGGAGTGCGCATTGCCGTTACTTGAATGAAGTTGACGTTCTCGCTCACGAGATACCCCTGCAACCCCTGCATCGCTTAGGTCAGAGGACGTGTCTGGCGACCACCGGCTCCTGCAAGCACTGATACGGATCCGAGGCCGCTTCTCCGCGCGAGCGCAGGCCCATTCCAAGTCGGGTTCTCTCTTGCCAGTGTCTTCCGGACCTTGGTAGCTGGCGATAACCGGACCGAAGACGTCGTCTTCCAGGAGTCGCATAGAGGGACTAGCGGAGTCCATCGAAGAGTGTACAAAGTAGGAGTGGGTGGAGACGAGGGCAAATAAGCCCAGAGGTCCTGCATGTACACCTGCCCCAGGCGTGGACCAGGCGCGGCGTAGGTCGCTGCAGAGATGGGCGTGGGCGTGGGCGTGGCGGCACGCTCCTTGATGGGACGTTCCTTGGTAGCAGATGGCGAGTCCTTTGCTGGAATAGCGGGCTCTGGAGTCAGACCCAATAGAATCCTTGTTGAGGGACCACAGTCGTTGGATGAAGGGCCCGGCGCGCGTTCTGGCTCCACATTCTCAGCAAACCTCGCGCTCCTCCTACGAATAGTCTGCCGTTTGTTCTGGAACCAGATGGTGATGTTCTTCAATGGCCTTCAAACGAGCAACCAGTTAAACATTGTGTGCATGGAGGAGAAACGGTAACTCACAGCCCAACATCGTTGGCGAGCGATTGCTTGATTTGCCTGCTCGGGTGCGTGTTCTGCTTGTACAACGCTTCCAGGCGCTCCAGCTGTTGCTGCGTAATGCGGAAGCGTGGCTTCTTCTCCTTCATGCTTTCTACTTCAAATACCTGCTCGATATTGTTGATCGCGCCTTGCACCGGAACGTCTTCGACTGGCCCGGGAGCAGGTGCACCGGCTTGTGAGCGTGTGGTCGGACGCATGTTGGGGCAGAGAGGCAGTGATATGGTAGGATGCGGCCATGCATCCTGAAATATGAATACCGTCAGCAGGAGGCTGACTTGAGGCTAACGGTGAGCAGGCAGTGGTTGACACTGTACCGTGGCACGGCCAGCCTCCGCCACCGTCGAGACGCGTCGCGATCCCGTGACCGGGTTCAAGCCGCGGTTGGTGTTCGGTTCGCTCAGCGCTGGCCGTTTCCCCAGTGAAAAAATTCTCGTCAGCTTATAGCGAAATGATGATAAAGTCATTATGAAGGAGACAGTAAGCTGTTCCTACAAACCTCGTTTCCGAGGCACGTACATGTCTGTAACCTACAACAACACGTATGCACCAGGAATGCAGTACACCATACGTACTCGTGGAAGTCGTTTCGTGCTCAGTCCAAACTACACGCGTCACATTATGAAGAACAAAGTACCTTCCAACCGTCCTTTCGAAGACTTGCAATGCACAGCGAGACGATCATAATAATGGCCGACCCATAAACCCAAGGAGGGCCATGGCGGCCTCCATATCCTGGGCCGGTGCGACGTCGTCGTCGCGTTTGTTGAGCAGCGATGCTGGCGGTGACTGCAGTTGCACCGCGCTGACGTCTGGCGTAATCGCCTCGTATTCTTCCGTTTCCGTCTCCTCGCCGTCTCCGTCCGCCCCCCTGGGCTCTCCGTCGAGGATCAGCATCGGTACGTCGTAGTCTTCTTCGTCCAAGACGTCCGGGTGAGGTGTCTTATTTCCCCTCGCTTTCGCACATGCCCATTCAAGTGACCGCAGCGACTTTGTCCGTCTTGGCAGTGCAGATAAACGCATACCATCGACGCCAGGAGAAGATGGCGGAGCAGGAGGCGACGACGGTATATGCTCCCAAAGGTTCGTTGGGGGTGGAAGACAGTTGGGAGATGCGTAGCGTCGAAGTGCGTTGACGCGGCGCGGGGTGAGAGGTGGTCGTACTGGGGACGCAACCTCGGGCTCGGGTGTGGATTTCCGCTCTCGAGAAGACACGACGCAGTCCAAAGAAATTGCGGACCCTGTTCTCGAGAGGTGTCTCTTCCCTGAGTGGGCAGGGTATGCGCTCCCTCGTAACGGTTCTCTTGAGGGGGACGTGTCCAGACGAGGGACTTCTTCTTAACGCTGCGCCGCCTGTTTTGAAACCACGCGCTGACGGTCTTGAGTTCGCTGTGAAGGGGTCTATCATCAGTCTGTTGAGCGCAGGCGATGGAGACGTCCGACGTACATTCCGAGCTCTGCAGCGAGCGCAGTGCGAACATCTTTGGAGGGATGCGTCTGGTGTCAAATATAGCGGAGAGCACGACCGTCTGTTCGTGCTGGAGGCGCCTTCGTGCGAAGGGATCTCTCCCGCGGGCTTGTTCGACTTCGGGTGGTGAGCACTCCTCGACCGAGTCGACCGAGCCGATGGAGGACGAGTCGAGCGAGGAGCAGGAAAGTACGGATCCGGTGCGTTCGACGGGCATGGTCTTGAGGGTTCAGATGGGTGTTGAGAAGGGGGACGTGGGCATCATGCGGGGACGCCAAACCGAACTTGAACAGAACGCGAGCGCGACGAACCGCGTCTCCGAGTCGACGCGTCTACACGTCCAAACAACGCGTCTGCTCCGAGCACGTGGGCGCCATTCGAACGCTTGCAACCGAACTGGCCCACTTGGAGTCTTGGAAGTTGGCAGGACGCTAGTATAACCCGACTGTGCCATTATTCGATGTCACTCGGTAGGTCCTAAGTACACGGTATAATATTACTGAAGTTTACGATACAAGTGAGTTAGGTGGCAAGGAGTGTGTTACGTGGGATAGTAGCGATGAGAACTTCATGATGAAAGATACAGCAGAGACGAGTCTGGCAACCAAATACAGTGAGTAGTAGTAACAAGACAAATGGACAAAGGAGCGGTGCATGCATCCGATACATCACATTAAGGAGCGTTGATCATCATCATTTAACGGAGACGCCCCAGGCGTATGGATACCGTGTCGTTGTTCTCAAGCACAAGACATCTAATTCGCCAGCGTTCCTCCGAGACGGAGGCCTACGGCCGCGTCCAGTTCCGCACGGATGGCGGCCTCCTCGCGACGATGTGGTGCGGGTAGTTGGGGAGGAGCTGCAGCCGATCGCCGAGGAACGCCAGCAAGGCCCGCTGCTCAGCGGTCCACTGCTTCCACTTCGGCTCGGGGACCGTGACCACAGATAGCGGAACATGGTGTCCGTCCCTCGCCTTCACGAAGGAGGCCAGGTCCTCGCGGGGATCTTGTCCGTGGCGAGCGTGTGCAGGTCCGGGACCAGGCAGTTCACCCTGTCTATATCCGCCAGGTCCATAGGGACCAGCCTGAACGGTGGTTGAGCGGACGCACCGCCCAGGGTCCCCGAGGAGGTACTTGAACAATATCGGCGTGGGCAAGCTCTCCGTCCTGAGCACGCGCAGGCGGGGCATCGCGTCGAACCAGGCAGTGATGTGTTCCTTCGCGGCCGCGTTGTTCTCGATCTGGACGGCCGCGATGGTGAGCACCTGCGTCTTCGGGAAGCGGCCCTTCAGCTTCGCGAACATCGGGTGTAGTCCTGGCCGAGCATGGTGAGCAGCGCGAGGATGCGCACTTCGGGCGCGTGGATGCACTCCAGGATGTTGATCGCGGACTGGCAGTTCGCGTCGCCGAGCCGCAGCTCGCGCAGGTTCGGCACGAAGATCGGGTCGTGGGCCTGCTGTCCCTCGAACTGGGGACGACGAGTGGAGGTAGAGCTTCGAGAGGTTCGGCGCCTGCAGCAGCGTGCGGAACTGCTGGGCGGTCGGGGAGACGTCGCGCACGAGGCGGCGGATGTCCAACGTCAGCAGTTTCGCGGTGCTGATCGTGTCCCAGTCGACGCTGATCCCGTTCAAGGTGAGGCTCTTCAGGTTCGGCGTGTGCCCGCCGAAGAGGGCGAGCGGCTGCCGGCTCTCCACGTTGTTGAACTGGTTGGTGCTCCAGAGGTACGGCTCCCAGCCGCGATCGAGCTGCAGGAGTTGCAGCTTGTTCACGCCCCCCTCCATCGCCTCTGAGAACATTTCACTACGAACCACGGGCCCAGCCAGTCCTTCAAAGAGCAGATCAGGGACCGGATGTTGTGCACCTTCGTCTTGAAGATCTCCGCGAGATACACGATCTGCTGGTGACTGAGCACGGGTAGTCGCGGGAAGGCCATGTCGCTGACGCAAAGGTCGAGGGGGGCGTCTCCGGCCCTCTGAAAGAACGTGAGGGATCGGGTCCACGGAGAGGGGTCGGTGAACGCGATCCTGCCCCACAACAACGCATCCGAGAGGGCGACCTCGCGGAACTGCCTGCAAACCCAGGTGAGACGGAGCTTCTGAAGGGGCTCGCCTTGCATAACGTTGATGCTCAGCACGACGTAGCGGAATATCTCGGCGAGGAGCTCCGCGGGGAGCTCGGCGAAGCGGAACATCCTCCACGACAGCATCTTGCGCATGAGCATCGCCTTCCCCAGCTCGCCGTCGACCGCGGCGCTCTGGCGGGGCAGGAGACTATCGCGGAGGGTGTTTAGGTCGCGGATGCGGGCGCGGACGCATCTGAAGCGTGCACGAACGCGATCAATCTCCATCACCTCCGTTGGCTCCGGCTGGCGGAGCAGAAAAGCCCGAAGCAGCGCAGGGTCGTCCCAGTGGTCAGCCATGCGTACTTCTTCACCGATGGTGGGACCAAGGGGAGGCGCAGGTCTCGGCAGTTGGTATAGAATTTGTGGCATCTGAGAAATTGTCAATGCAAAGAATCACAGAGGCATCGTTGGTGTCTCTCACTCAACTGTCACCGTCAATCTGCTATGCGCGCTTGCGGGTACTGGGTAGGCGTCGAGATGCGGATGGAAGCGAAGTCGGGGGGAAGACCTGGGTGAATGTCGAGCTGAGGTCGGGGGAAAACACAATGCGGTGCCGAGAGCTTTAGAGGTGCTTATATACGCATACGAGTGGCACTTGTACTTTGAAACGTATAACGTCGCGAAGGCGGAACGCATGTCCAACCCGAATTTACGAGTTTAGGCAGTGGCACCAAATAGAGAGTATTTGGTTCTGTGGGCGGCGTCATTAAGGTTGCCTCAAAGCAGTAAGCCACTCACCGCCGAAACATATCTGCCGTACTACTCCAAACTGGTCGTGCTTGTCTGGACAATGTAATTGAGTTGTGACTGTAGAAAGGTGGTAACCATTGTGTGAGATCACGGTTGTATGGCCTTTGAAGACAGCTGACATCCTGTGCATCCAATCAAGACTAGTGGATATTGTACCAGAAAGTACTACTTTCTGAGAGGGTCGTTGCAGGAAACAATGGAGAAATGCATCGAAAAATCTTGTCTCTTAATGATTATGGCGAAGAAGCCAAGGTATTGCCTGCCAGCCAGTGCGCGCGTTGCTACCGCGCCGCTAATTGAGTGCCCGGTGCCATAGAGACGAGAGCCGAGCCACTCACGCGAGACCGGGACATTGATTGATGTGGCCTCCATGAGCCTGAATGGGCGACCAAAAGGGAGGAACAATGGAGTAGACCATTGCCCGATTGGGATGCAACGGAAGCATCTCGATCGTGTGGTGTCGATCTCTGCGACAAGTCTACAGCCGCCGTCACCCACTACTACTCCTAACACACACACCCTCGACAGGCTTGTCCTGCATCCCTGGAGCTACAGGTAAAATACACATCCAACTGGTCGCTACACGGTCTGTGTACGTGAACTCAGAACTGCAGCTTCCGCGCGTCCGCCGTTCCGCTGTCATACTTGCGAACCTCCTCGTGATAGTCATCCCGCGCGTCGCCCTTGAAGAACTCGACATCCTCGCTATCCATTGACCCGGAGACGCGGTCGGCTTGCCACTTCTTGAGCGTGAACCAAGGCCCGTGTGTGAGTAGTCCTTCTCGTTTGCCTGGTCTTTGTGGTACTTGACTTGGGGGAAGTCCGAGTCCGCTGTGTCTGGGTCCAACGACAAGGACACGAGCGCGTTGATGGTGGTCGACTTGACGCCGCCCGGGAATGTCCACGTCTACAGGATTTGACTTGGTCAACACCTATCCACGCAGCTTTGCGGATGTACTCGTACCTGCTCGTTCTTGAACTGGATCAAAAGCGGGTCGTTCCTGATCACTTCATATGCCTCGTTCTTGCTCTCTTTGAACAGCTTCGGGAGCGCGAACCACTGCCCCGCCATCTTGTAGCGGTCGTTCGCGTAGACGAACTGGTCGTCGTACACGCAGTCCGGGGTGTAGCGCTTGACGCGCTCGCGTGTCGGCTGGCACGAGTAGAGCGCGATGATGTCGTCGAGGAGGCGCTGGCGGGCGGGCGAGAGGGGGATGGAGTTGGCCGGGTTGGGGTGCATGTCGGCCGAGGTGGCCGTCTGGCGGACCTCAAAGTGCTCTCCCGGGAGGGAAGAGTCATTTGGCAGCTGGATCTTTGTCTCGGATGCAAGGGCAGACATGGCGCGAGGGCGAAGGCGGGGCACCGAGCGCAGAGGGGAGTGTATGCGCGGAACGAAGAGCATCTCGGGGCGTGGCCGCCTCAGCCTGGCTTATATACGGGCAGGGGGCGCGAACGGCGCGACGATGACGCACGGTGAGGCGGGATGCCGATGCATGTCGCCCCCCTTGCCACTTGAAGGCTTTGGATCGGGCTGTCGTACCTCGTCATCATACGCCGCCTCCATGTCCTCGAATGGAAGTCACCTCCCTAACTGGCATAACGACAGATATCCACAGCCCATACGCCTCAATATGAATACACACAATATGGCTTATATAGAGTTACACGCAAATGGCTGCTGCTGCATCGTCTTTCCCGTACAGAACTTCCCCGACCTCAGACCCACTGCTTGTTGCCGTGCTGCGACACAAACGCACCGCTGTCCTCGATCGTAGCCTTCTCCAGGACCTGCAGCTGCATCCTCACAGACTCCTCCGACTCCAGCGACTTGCCGTCCCACTCGGGGTAGAACTTCTTCACCTGTGCCCTCAGCACCGCCAATTCTTCTAGCACAGCCGGCGGAGCTAACATCAGAGATTATAGGTTAGCCACAGCAAATGTTCTATCCGCGGACAGCGACGCACGCGGCGGGCCTTGGAACGTGTCGACTATCCCGGGGCTGATCGTCAGGAAGACGATGCCCTCGTCCTTGAACCGCACGGCGTACTTGACGACGACCATGTTCAACGCAGCCTTCGAGACGGAGTAGGGCCCGGAGTTGGTGACATCGACATTACGGGCGAAGTCAAGATCGCCCATCCCGGAGCTCAGGGTGAGGACCTTCTTCAAGCCACCCTTGCGGATGAGCGGAAGGAATACGTTGATGGTCCGGATGACGCCGAGGACGTTCACTTGAAACTGACGTGGTTACATGTGAGCTAAACGCCTTTGAATATGACATCGAAGAGCGTACTGAAGAGTCCAGGTCCTGCGCGAGGAACTCCTCAGGGCTAGATGCGGAGCCCGTCAATACAGCCCCCGCGGAATAATTCGCCCAACTCACTATGCATCAAAGGTGTAGTTCAAGCGCTCAAATTCGATGAACGCAGCGTTGTTGATCAGACAGTCCAGCGTACCACCGGTGGTCCTCCCACCTCGGAAGCAGCTTCCTGCGCTCCTATGAGCATGGCTCCACATGGACATACGTGGTCATGTTCTCACCTTGAGTGCGCTCGAGTCTGTGATGTCCGCCTGGAGGACATGGATGTTCGACGCGCTCTGCGCGAGTCCAAGCAGCTCCGTAGCCGTGCTCTTGTTGCGCACCAAACCGAAGACGACGTTGTCGGGCTGTGCGCTCTGTGGATGCTTAATCGTGAGTATTGCTACACCTCTGTTCCCACTGGCAAACTGCAACGTACGAGTACGCGGACGAATGCGAGCTAGGGTTCCGGGCAGTTCACTAGTGAGCACGGGCTATTCTGAGTAGCATGCAGGTCAAGACGTACGCCTATGCCGCGCGACGCTCCAGTGATTGCGTAGGATGGCATGTTTTTAACGAGCCGTTGGGTACGGACTACAAGTTGTGCAGTCACGAGTGGGTCGAGCGGAGTGTCTACTGTCAGCTACCCATCATGCACTTTATATACTGTACGTTTGTGCTCCCCTTGCCTTCCACGAACACCGGACGTACGTATGCAATATCACTGCAATAAGCCCCGTCTCACCCACGACTAGAACAGCGAACCGCTCGCATCAGTCATCCCTGCGTATTCACCGTGTCGGAGATGCCTCTCACGACGATGCCGGAGGGTCGACGCACAGAAACGGCATGTCACGAATCGCGCTTGTGCCAGACCGGTGCTCGATCTCCGGCGTCGGGGATTGTCTGATCGACTTCAGTCTTCCAGTTTCCAAGGCACCAGATGACATACGTCATCGACCCATGAACTGACAAAACCCTGGGCCAACACAGATACTGAAGTAGGCGATAATTTGTCAGACTCGTATTTCATCCATGTACAATACTACACGGGTTATTCAAGATCGTACAGTACGATAGCGCACCAAGACATGAGCACGTCGCAACCGTACACTACTCATACAACATCTCGTCTGTCCATCCTTACCAGATAAACATACAATCAGACAGATCACCAAAAGATCGGACACAAGAAATCGCAGCCAACTCAACCAAAAAACTCGCAGTGAGACTCGTTTTAGCCGCGGGCTGGCGCGAGGGGCCCGAGCCAGAACCCGAGCCCGACGCCACAGGCTGCCTCTGCGGGGACATCTGCAACAGCTCCTCCAGGACCTCGCTCACAGCATTGTCCTCCGCCTCAGCGGACAGCTCCATCTTGCCCTGCACGCGCGCGCGCACCTTCCCAGGCAGGCTCGGGTAGTTGGCCGCGGTGAACCCCATCTGTAGACACACGCGGCCGGATGAGAAACAAATCCTGGACATGAAGAAGTCGACAACTCACATCACCAAGACGCCTGGTGATGGCTTGCACGGCGGGCGGTGGTGGCGGCGCAGGCGGTGCGGGCGGAGGCGGCACCAAAGGCGACGGAGGGCCGTTGCTGACGCGGCGCGCACGGGAGGTGGAGTTGTGCGTGGTGTGGCGTCGGTTGGGGACGCTGAACATCTCGAGCTGGGGGAAGGGGCCCCGAGCATTGCTGATAATTTGGACGGCAGACGCCGGCCTCTCAGGATTTTCCCTCGGCTTAGTAGGGGTCTCCGGAACTCTGCTAGAGGTAGTCTCAGCCTGTTTCGAAGTGGAGGCTACGGGCGATTTGTCCTTGTTCTGTGTGGCGGGAGGTGCGGCTGGGGTCTGCAAGCCACACAAGGGTCAGTCCGACGCAACCGCCACCATCCACAAACCGACATACCTCTGTTCCAACAGTCTCATCCTATCCCGCTGCTTCTTGCGCTCCTCCCTCTCATGACGGTACCTCGCCTTCTCAGCCTTGTACTTCTCCTTCGCCTCTTCAAGCGACTTCACCAGTTCATCCTTCGACGCCCTCGGACTCGACGCGGCCCCATACATCGTCACCTCCGCACGTGGGACGTGGTCAATCGGGTCCACGTCCACCGAGGAGTCGCTCGACTCGGGGCTCTCCCAGGGAACCCAATCAGAGGGGCACGCCGACGGCGCGATTGTTCTGCGGCGGCAGCGGGGTAGAACAGCGGCACCCACTTCCTGTGGCTATGTCTCCTGGGCCGTGGCGGTTCCCGGAGGCGAAGACATCGTCGCGAGACGAGCCCCAGCTAAGGACTCCCCGTGACGGTGGCGGCGGGAAGAATGTGGGGGGGTCCAGACAGCCAGTCGCTATAGTACGGCGCGGGAGGCGGCGGAGGTACTGGCGGGCGAGGGACACCAGGTACACGGGACAGTCCCGGAGGAGGCGGGGGCACGGGTGGCACAGGCACAGCGGGAGGTGGGGGCGGCGGAGGGACATCGTTGCGATACCCCCAGCGACCACTTGGGTTCGGCCAAGGATTGTGTCTGTCCCCATGGCCGCGACGTGCATCCCAGCCACCGTCATCTACGTCCCATTCGCTCATCCAGCCATAGGGGTCCCGACTGATACGACCAGAGTCCCAGCCGCTATCAGCCGTGTGCCGGCGGTAGGCGTTCGGGCGATGGTCGAAAGCCGGCTGAGGCAGAGGGGGCTGCTGCATATTATGGCGGCGCTCCTGGCTCGCACGCTGGGAGCGGGGCGTAGACGTCGTCGGGCCAGTGTCGCCCGTCGTGCTGAGTCTGACATCGCCAATAGTACGGACGACATTGGCGATTGCCTCCGCCACTCGGCGGCCCGCAGCCTCTTCTTGAGCCCTGCGCGCTTCGGGCGTGCTCTCACGGGTGTTGCCCGTCGTCTGGACGCTCAGCCGGAAGCTATCCGCAGTACGCGCGACGGAATGGCGGTGGGCCTGCCAGTAGGTCCCGTTAGTGGCGTTGCGGACGATGGTGCGCACGTTCTCTGAGAGCTCCGGGTGCGAGGCGACGACGTTGGAGAGCGTGTTGAAGAGGTTCGCCACGTCAGTGGTGAGTGAGAGTTGGTGCGAGGAGGCGGCGGCGGGATGTCCTCCAAGTCGGGGAGTGGCGGATCCGGCGCATCGTCCGTCATAGTGGACGATTTGGTTGTCGACATACTCCGGGCGAGGTTCGTGGCAGGCTTGGGAGGCGTTACTGCACGGGACGCGGTCGACAGCGTCCTGCGGGTCTCAGAGATGTCCTCACCCGTCGCCGCGTTCAAGTCCACGACATGGATGGGATACTTCTTCGGATCGGCTGAGCCACCGACAATCGAGGCGGTCGACGAGCCCGAGCTGACGGTGGACGCACGCTGTTGCCCTTGTCCCTAATCGGTATGGGCACCGGCGTCGAGTCCGTCATCTCCGAGTCCGCGATCGTCACCGCGTCCTGCTTGTCCTCCGCAGCGGCTGCAGCAGCCTCCTCACGCGCGAGCGTTCCGCGTCGCTCTCAATGGCTCCAAGTAAGCGTGGGGGCCCGAGCTCTCCGATCGGGAGGCTGGGCGGCGAAGATCGAGCCAAGGCCGGGCGAGATACCCTGCCAGTCTCCTCCACTCATACATCATCGGCATGCTCCTCCCAAACGTGTTCCTGTAGTTCGAGCTGCGCGGGGTTGCGGGCAGCGGCTTGTTGCGCTCCGCTCCCAGATCGAGCACCGCGAACTTCGCGACCTTCGACTCGCCCGGCGCCCCAGGCGGGAGCGTCCTGTAGAAATCTTGCAGCTCGCCCTCGGAGCTGAGTGTGACCTCGTCGCCGTCATGTCCTCGTACGCAACGGCGACGTCACTGCGCGGAATGTGGTAGAGCCCCTCGATCTTGGTAGCGAGCTCGGCCCAGCTGGGAGGCGTGTCGAAGGTGATGCGGCGGGTGAGCCCATCGGGTGGCTTGGTGAGCTTGAATCGGATGTGCGGAGCAGCCATGATAGAGAGGCTCAGCGAGATACGGCGCGCATGCGAAGGCGAGAGCGGGCTTATGAGGCGCAGAAGCAGGTCTAGCACATTCAAACCCCGCCGCAGCGGTGTATAAGTATGATCGAGGCGTAGGGCCCTTGCCTGATCTAGCACACATTACGCAATGCTTCACCTCCGCGTGTGCAGGAGGCACTGTGGCAGTGGGAAATTCATCCGCGCATTGTTCTCGAGCAGCTGCGAGTGTCCACTGTCAGGTGCGGGATTCACAAGCCGGCTAGGTCCTCAGTAACTTATAACGCAGTCCGCTGGTGCATCGTAACAGCAGGATATAATTGCACAATCTAGCAAGACATTCCATCAAGTGTGTATGGCACAGTGTAGACACTATTAACTTTCTTCCCACTCAGCGCAGCCCTCTCACGCGAAGATAGCCATGCGCGGGTCGATTTCCGCCGGGTCGTTGAGCTGTGCACGCCGACGTCAGACTCCTTGCCACAGATAACAACACGAGGAGCACGCACCCGGAGGTTGATGTTCAGAGAGCTGATCGCCTTGATCTCGTCCTCACCGAGCGTGAACTGGTCGACGTCAAGGTTCTGCACGAGACGGTCGTGGTTGTTCGACTTGGGGATGACGGCGAGGCCCTGCTGCACGGACCAGCGGAGCAAGACCTGCGCAGTGGCTGCGTGGAAGAAAAAGAAATCGCATCAGTAACCCGACACAATCCACGTATGCACAGCAAACCATGACTCACTCTTCGAGTGCTTCGACGCGATGCTCTGGATCGTGTTGTGCTCCATGAGGTTCTGCGCGCCCTTGTCAGCGCCGAGCTCGACGTAGCTTTGGGGCCGAGCGAAGAGTAGGCCGTGATCGCAATACCGAGGGTCTTGCAGAGCTTGATGAGAGGCTCTTGTGTCAGGTAGGGGTGGAGCTCGACCTGGTTGACGGCGGGCTCGTAGCGGGAATAGCGGAGGATGTCCTGGAGGATTGAACCCTGGCAGTTCCTGCAGGCACGGTAGTTTTAGCTGCAGTATCTCGCGTGCGGACGGCCTACGCACGAGACACCGATGTTCTTCGCCAAACCGAGGTCCACGAGTTCTTCCATGGGCCCCAGTCTCCTGCATGGGAACCTTGGCTGCATCCGATATTAGTTTCGACATAGAGCGGCATATATCGAGCCAGGACGTACCGAGGTGACCTTCTTGTCATCGCCCCACCACTCGGGAGGGTAGCGGTGGGCGGGGTCGACGTACTCAAGGGCGATCGGGAAGTGATGAGGAAGAGGTCGAAGTAGTCGATGCCCCAAAGGCCGAGCTGCTTCTTCGCAAGCGCGTGCACCTGGTGGCGTCTGTGAGCAGGACAGTCCAACGTCTACGGGGACAACGCACGTACGTGGTCACGGGCGTGGAAAGTGTTCCAGAGCTAATGTGGTACGGTTTTGTCAGGCGCCGCATGTGAGACGCATCTGTCGTGACAACAAACCTTGGAGGTCACCCCTGTTCCAGCGCAGCTGCGATAAATGGCGGTTCTGGGAGGGGGGAATGCATTTACTCACAGACATCCTCACGCTTGACAATGCCGTCGGCAATGGCGCGACGGAGACCTCACCAGCCTCCTTCTCGTTACCGTAGTCGCCGGCACCATCGAGGAGACGGTAGCCAGCCTTGATGGCATTGTACACGGTCTAAAGACGACTCTGTTAGGCCCCTTGCTTGCTACGCGCTGCGAGCTGTACGCACGTCCGCGCAAGTAGCCCTGTTGACCTGGACATCGCCGCGTCAGTGCGCGAATGCGGTCCCCAGCGCAGGAGCGGACATACCTTCCAGAGACCGAAGCTAGTGAATGGGATACGCGTGGTTAGCCCTGCGGCCGATCATATTATGTACTCGAGGAGGATCTCACCCGACGAGCGGCATCTGGCGCGTGCAAGACGTCATGAGCGTCAGACGCGAGAAGGACGTCGGGGAGAGCGCACCTTTGCGCCGGTCCTCTTGAGCGCGACGGTAGCGTGTTGGGACATTGTTGCGCGAGTGGCTAGGACGAGATGGGACGGGGAGAGGAGCTGAGGGAGGGAGACGGAGAAATGGGGGGACGCTGGAGGGGTTTATGTGCGCAGGGACGGGGAGGGGCGGGCCGTGGAGGGGAAGGGGACATCGATGGGATGTGATAGAAGATGCGCGGCTCATTGAATTCTCAGCGAGGGGAGGCCGGGGTGATCGATGTCCGCCCGCCGTCCTCTGACGTCCTCGGCCTCTTCTCGGGCATTTCCCTCCCAGCGCCCGGCTCTCTCCGCGCGCCGCCCGATCGCGCGCCCCGCCGTCTTCCTGCCACCGTCGCGCGCTGCCCGCCACGTCCCCGCCGCGTCCCCCGCCGTGTGGCAGATGCACGTCCACGTCCTCGGCTTCGGCGCCGTCGGCTCGCTCGTGTCGCACTACCTGCGCGGCGCCCTTGACCCCAAGCACGCCGTCTCCATCATCCACAAGTCCTCCGCCGCCGCCCTCAGGGCATCCAGCCTCCCCGGGGTCAAGCTCGAGCTCGGCGGCGTCACGCGCACCCAGCACGGCGTCATCCACGAGTCGACCGACCCGCCACCGACGCCTACCTCCGGGAACAAGCAGCTCGAGACCTCCATGCGCTGCAGAACCTGCAGAACGAACCACAACCACCACCTGAGGAGGCCCAGCACAGGTGAGCAGGCCCAGCAGCCGCGCGCAGGGCCCATCGAATCCCTCATAGTCGTCACGAAGGCCCGCGATGCAGTCGGCGGCATACGCGCTCTCTGCCGCGTCTTTCCGCCGCCAGCACTATCGTACTCTTGCACAACGGTATGGGTGTGTACGAGCATCTCGTCGAGAACGTCTTCCGGAACAGACAGACCCGGCCGCACTTCGTCGTCTCGGTGAACACGCACGGGGCGTTCGTCAAGAGTAGCGGACACGTCGTCCACACCGGCGTCGGCAGCATCCAACTCGGCATCATGCACGACACGCACGGTCGCGACTACGAAGCTGGCATGGACACCTCCCTCCCCGTAGACGACCAGAAGCTGAGCCTCAACGACATCACGTCGCTTCAGGGTGATCCCGACGTGGAGCGCTACCTCTCCCTGCGCAACACCATCTCCGCCCTCACGAGCACGACCGCGCTCGACATCTCCTGGCGCCCGCTCTTCGACGTCCAGCTCGCGATGCACCGCAAGCTCGCCGTCAACTGCGTCGTCAATCCCCTCACCGCCCTCCTCGGCTGCCGCAACGGCGACCTCTTCAAGCATCAGCCCGGCTCCCGTCTCGCCGCGGCGATCTGCCGCGAGATATCCAACGTCTTCTTCGCGCAATGGCAGCAAGAAGTCTGGAAGAAACTCCGGCCGCACGCACACGCAGACCCCGACTCGCAGGAAGAGCCCGCAGCAGACGATGACGAGGTCCGGCAGAACATCCTCGAGAACCCCTTCCCGCCGAGCCTCCACCAACAGCAGCTCCTGGCGGAGTGCGCCCTCGTCGCAGAACTCACTCGTGAGAACACGTCCTCGATGCTCGTCGACGTCCGCCGCAGCCGCTTCACGGAAATCAGCTACCTCAACGGCTACGTCCTCAAGCTAGCGAAGAAGTACCGCGTCAACGTGCCCGTCACGGCCGCGCTGATCGACCTCATCCACCTGCGGGAAGCCATCCCATCGATCAGCCAGTGCCCTTGCTCTCGGTGCTGTAGCGCACCCTAGGATGCGTCGAGTGCGCTGCGGTGCGTATAGCCCGCCTTCATCTCGGCGGTTCCGTGATGCTCATGATCGTCATAGGAAGTGTGGGGTGGATACCCCGGACTTCCCCACGAAGGTAGCCAACGCTGGGAACAGACGGTTGCCGCCGTTCTGCCACTGGGTAGGTCCCCGTCCACCGTGAGGATGATACTCGACCGTGGTGGAGGTGAGTTCTGCCGCGGACGGACCTTCCCCTCATCAGAAGACACGACACGGCACCTCGCTCGATAATTCCTACGGACGAGCAGCGCGCGCGACGCCCAACCACCCGGCAGCGCCGCGGCACCTCGCACGGAGCCCGTCTTTCCGCTCGAGAACCTTCGCTCTGACGCACACCGGGGGACGTCGGGGCGGGGATCCGGTGGTTGTTGTACATTCTGCACGGTGCCTATCACTCACAATACAATACTTCTGCTACATTAGTGCGAGCTCACTTGCGGCTCGAGCCACTGCTGCGGCATCGGTGCATCCCATACGTAACGCGTTCCGACGGGCACTCCGTCTCGCCGCCCCGTCGTGCACGGAAAAATGTCGACAAAATGCACTCATACTTGTGGATAGCATCACATCGATTCTGCCCCGCTCTGATGGAGGAAGCGACGTCTGAATATCTGACGTCTCGCTGTCTGTAAGTCGGAAACACAGCTGTGCGCCCAATCGCGAAAGCACGGAGGTGGGCCTATCTTCTAAGATACTGTCTATCAAAATGCGGGTGGTATGATACATCGTGTCCCGTCTAAACCCTAACAATGTGGTCGTAGCTGGACCGTGAGGAGCGTGCAGCAATCGCTGTCAATGGTCCCCTGCTTTTGTTTATCTGGGCAGAGCCTTCTCCTTGATGAAGAACGCGCAGACGACAGACAGCGCAGACAATGAGACGCGAACCACAGCGTCTTCTGCACCCCATCCTGGTATGAGCTCCTCACGAGCGCGCGGACTTCCGGGCGGAGCTCGTCGATGTAGCTGAGCGATTCGCGCACACGTTTGATTATCTGGGGGAATCGCGAACGGTCAATGTGGTTGAAGACGGCGAGACAAGGAGCGTGGGTGGTCACGGACCTCCTCGACATCGGCGCCCGTGAGACGCGCGCGCAGATGTGTGCGCAGGGTTTCTTGGGTGAGTGTCATGGATATGGACAGGACGACGACGCCACCCAGAGACCGGAAGAGATATGAGACTGGGCATATCCGTCAGTCTGGGTTGGTCTTGAGCAAACGAGCGCACTTACCGGCTGTGGCGACAGCCTGGTTTTCCTGGCCCGCGTTTGCGATCATGGCTACGAGTGTCGTGGTCAGGCTACCCCCTAGATAAACGGAGTTCAGTATGCTTCCTGACTACCGCGTCGGACCCAGTGCTTACATCCTCCGAAGTTCATCAGCGCCAGACCTGGTAGCAGATCGTCAGTGCACGCGTCAGGTGTCTCGCGAAGTACTCACCAGCGCACAGACCGGCGAGGGTGAACGCCACAGGGCCGGTCACTCCCGCGATGATGACGTTGCCGACGAAGGACAGGAAGTACACCAGGAGCGTGAGCAGATAGTACTTGCCGGTCGACTTCATGATCAGCCCCGCCAGAACGCTGCCGACCGCCCCGGCGATCACGTTCGACAGCAGCGTCAGCCCGACCTGGCTGGGCGTGAACTGCTGGACGGCCTGCAAGTACAGCGGCACCGTGAACAGCATCGTCATGTTCGCGCCGGTCATGAAGAAGTTCGCATGTAGATGCTAACAGCGACTTGTTGCCGACATATGCGCTGGTGCGATCGGCTCGGACGCCACACGCACTCTATGACCGCAAACACGATGGCCATGATGCCGGACACGCGAAGGCCGCAATCGTGAAGCGGTCCGACCATGATATGTTGCCGCCACGATCGAGCGCGACGAGGAGCGCAAAGACGGCACCACGAGTGTGAAGGCGCCCGCGAAGTCGATGCGCTTCAGCTTCAGCTTGAGGTCTTCTTGGTCTTCTTTGGGAGGGAGCTTGAGGCCGAAAGCTATGGACAGCAGAGCCAGAAAGGCTATGGGTACCTGGATGATAAACGCCCTGGAAAGCCGCATAAGCACGGACCCCAGACAGAAATTAACGGTAGTCTTACCATCTCCATCCGATGGTATCTGCGAAGAGACCTCCGAGCGGGGCACCAGCCGCCTGACCACTCGCGAACACGACGTTTCCTATACCTTGCAATGTACCTCTGTTCCGCAACGAAACGATGTCCGACATGAGGATACGCTGACTCTGTAGGTCCAGAAGGGTGCTTAGTTCGACGCATGGAATATGTCGATCTTCACTCACGTTCCGACCCTCCACCACCAATACCTGCGATCGCGCGTGCAATGACGAGGGATTTCATGTCAGGCGCGAGGCCGCATAGCAGACTACCGACGGCGAAGATAGACATGGCACTCATAAGACATGCCTTGCGACCGAAGATGTCACTAAGCTAGGAATGTTATCAGTTTAGAGAACCGGGTATCAGGCTTGATGTGCGGAGGCAGCACACCTTTCCGTAGAGCGGTCTGTAGAGACAACGTTAGAACATACGGAACGAGGCAGTGGTATGCACACGCACTGGAAGCTCGTCAGCGTGAGCATGTATCCGGTTGCGATCCAGCTGGTGTTCTCCAATCGGTGGAACTCACTGCCGATGGAAGCATAGGTCGATGCGACTATAGTTCCGTCCATAGCCATGAGGAATATGCCAAGCATCAATGAGCCCATCTACGGAGACAAGTTCAGTATGGCCGAATAGCGTAGTTTATCCGAACCTCGATGCAGTACGCCAGAGTTCAGTGACTTGCAGTCCGACGCAAGTCAGATATCCGCATACGATGGTCGAGCACTCAGTGTCTCTTTCGGAACAGAGCTTGACGTACCACTGCTGGCATAGACACCCGAAGCTTCGGTGCATCCTCATCGCGGGCACCGCTTGCGGCCTCGTCAACACCATTCTGTGCGTGCCCGTTGGTGCTCACTTCCTCCCGAGCATCAGTCAGCAAGGGTGTCCGTTCGTCGGCGGCCATTCGTGCAGCGGAGGTGCACTCTGTCAATCCGCGAGATTACGACCTTCGGAGTACAGTCAGAGTGGAAGGCAGTGGTGGGATAAGAGTCCCAAGCTCCTTTTAACTCGGCCGTGTCGGTCACTTCCCGAGACGTTTCCCGTCAGCGATCGTGCCAGTGTTTGGTTGCAGTGACCATACCAGATCGGGTATCCAAATTTGAAACGGTGATGGGTCGAAACATGTCTGCATTCCTGCATGCTCGGGAAAGGTGTTTGCCAGTGGGCAAAAATCCATTGCATACGCACGACACGGATAGACAGCTGGCCTGGCCAGACTCAACTAGGTCCCGTATAGAAGATGTTGGTAGAGGTTGGGTAGAGGACAACGGAACGCAATCATGCATCATGCGAACGGGCCAAGTCGTCATGAGCGGATCACCGTATGCATCTTTGATCGTCGGAAGCCGCGGCGTCGATCGTGTGTGGCGGCCAGCCCAGCTGTAAGTTACCTCGCATCGAACTCTCCATGCGAAGTACCCGCGAATGAGATCCCGCGGACATATCTAATCCCATAATTGCAGAGTATAGTTCCAAGAGAAAGGCGCGTGTATATACACAGTCATAGTTTGCTATAGGCTACACAGGGTGGCAAGAATATAATGGTCCCCAATATCATCAGTACGACAAGCTCCAGCATTAGTTGTACTCTGATTATCAATGGGTGGACGGCGCGTCGAAGGAAAGCTTGCGGTTGCCCAGCGTACCCCTGCAAACCCACGAAGAACCGACCTGGTCGTCCTCGGGGTACAGGGTCTGCAGTTCTTGTGTGGGCAACAACCGACCACGCCTGCCGGTTTGTCCAGCTGAACACCTTCGAAGAACCGTCCGAAAAGAGCGATGATCGAACATGCGCTTTACTACGCTCTTCTCACATCGATGGTGTATAGTCCTCCTCAGCGGCGTCTGTGAGGGGATAGGTGAGCAATATATAGACGACGGGATGAGCTCAAGACGCACAGCGTTTACTCCCGTCGACAGTTATGACCCAGTAAAAGGGCTGGTCCCACCCTCGAGCAAGCCTCTGCACCTCCATGACTGGTGACAAGTCCTCTTTGCTAAGCACATCGGCTGTAGAACTGAGTAAGCCAAGAGCTACTTAGTTCGAGTTGTGACAACGACTTACATGCCAACCAATAATGCATCCCGCATATTCGTACTTTTTGTGCTGGACAATCAGCCCAACGAAGTACATCACCGGACGCTCTCCGGTGCGAGGCCACACAGTCGCGCAACTCCTCGTCCGTCTCCACGAGCTTCTCGCAGTGCTTCGCGAGAATATCCGCGCCGGCGCGTTGAGCGCTGGGCAGACCACATCCCTCAGGACCGCCAAGCGTCGAGGGGCTTGGAATCCATGATCTGCGAGAGGATCTGGTTGTCTTGAGACTGGAGGAGCGAGATGCAGAAGCAGCGTAGCTGCACCAGCGTGGTCCTCCGTAAACGCGCCTACAGAACGCCGTGGTTCCACCGCACGGCGATGATCGTGTTGGCTGCCGCGCGATGGAGGATCGTACCGACTTTGCACGGGCGAATGATCTCGGCGGGCATGTCTGGCCGGAGACCGATGTCAACCAACATTTGGCGCAGGTCACGGCTGGTAAAGATCAGGGAGGAGACTGCCCACAGACGTCAAAGAGCATCTCGTTTTGCTCCGGGTCGATAGGGTCAATATGGCATAAAACTTTGCCAGGATAGTTTGTTGGCGACGCGCGAATGCCCAGCCTCCTCGCGACGGATGTGTACACGTAGACCAGACCCATAGGTATCGTCTTACGGCTCTCGGGCCGCATGATGGCATGGGGGAACTGGTTGAGTGGGTTATAGAAATCGTCGCCTGAAGACGCGACAGATCAGCGTTGCTGCACTAGGGTACAGCCTCTGCGCGCACCTTCGGCGATACGGAAACCCATCCCACGTAGGGTGTCTCGCAAAAGAACAACCAGCATTGGAAGGTCATAGTCAGGGCTTGCTGGATCCAATTCGGCGCCCGCAGCTGTCAATTGCACTCGGCAGTCGTGCACAAGCATCCCAAGCCATGTGGATATCTGATGCAAATTCAAGTATGACTTCACCGTGCAAACCAAAAGAGTGATCATAGAAGCACCCACATGTTTGGGAGACTGATCGTAAAACGCCGAGAGGCCCGCGAGGGCCTCCTCGAACGTAACCAGCTGATCGTCTTCCTCGCTGAGTAGAGGTGGGCCCATTTATGCAGGGTATGGTGTCGCGCGATGACCCCCATAATGGCCTTCGCCCAGTACCTCCGAGGAAGGGCATGCGGGACCTCCTCCACATCCATGTCGATGTCCTCCTCCAGATACCCTCCCTCGTCCACGGACCACAGATAAGCGGGCAGGGGCAGCCGCGCCTCCCGCTCGAGCGCATTCCACACGTCGAAGGAGAACTCCTTGACGAACGCGGCCGCCTTCGCGTGGCGCCCGCTGAGCTGCAGCCTGATCTCGTCGACCGCCTCCAGCGCGCGGCGGTCGAGCTCCCGCCGCGCGATGTACATCCGCCTGTAGTCCCCCTTCGCCTTCGCCCTCCGCTCCGCCTCCCTCTCCTCGACGCATTCCGTGTACCGCGCGCGGTAGTGCGGCTTCCAGATCGAGGACTGCTTGGCCGCCGCCCGGAGCTGCGAGTTCGCGCCGAGGCAATGGACGAGCGCCTTTACGCTAGTGTCCGCGGCGTCGTCGTCGGGCGGGAGGAACCTGAGGACGTACGCGTAGAGCTCCGTGGGCAGCCAAGGCCAGTGCGTTGCATCTTGCTCGCCGTATGTTGAGAGTGGGTGTGCGACTGGCGGACACAGCAATCGCTGGGAGAAGCGGTGATAAGCAAGGCGCACGCCTAATAACGCCCTAATAGTGCGGCCGGGGCTTGGGACGCATGAACATAACACCCACCTAATTGTGCTTAGATCGGTAGATGCAAAGCTGCTAGCGACGCCGGGGGTGGATTGCTGGCCACAGAGCTACCGGGTTCGCGGTGGGAGGTGTAGCGAAGGCAATTGCATCCGTGGAAGTGTCGCACCCCGTTTTATCGTGCGCATGGGGAGTCTGCCATCAGGATGTGGAACAGGAAGGCGCCCCTTCGGTGAGTCCAGCTGGCAGAACATATCGCGCAGAGGACGTAGGAGGGTTCCAGTCGCGGACGGCCAAGGCGAGGGACCGCGGAGATGCTGACAGGAAAAAGCAAAGCACACGCCGCAGCGCCTACGAATATGGATCGACGCCCGAGGCTTTGTGGCGAACTCGGCGTGAACATCACGCGTACAGCGCGCAGGAACGTACGGGCGAATACCCAGCGCATATTATTACGATATACATACGAACGATCGTGAAAATAGCGAAAGTCTACAGTCCAGGCATGAATGAATAGTACGGAGACAGCAATGAGTCCAATTGAATGATAGCACGACTTTGTCGCTTTAGTGTCAAAGTCCGATAACATGTCCTTGCCCTCGCGGAGACAGCAGCTGAGACAGGCTCGCAAGCCGAGGTACGGCAGCTGCATGAGGATGGTGCCCAGAGGATGGTGCCCAGGGGATGTCCGGGTCCAACGGTCGGGTGCCCGAGAATACGTCTGTGACGGCTATTCGTCGCCTCAAGCCTCTGGTCTTTAAGAGTGGTCATCAGCACCCTTGTAGCCCCACTTGATCGTACGAGTTGCGCCGTCCTGCCAGTCCTCCACCCGTCGTCGGGACACTGTCGAATACGTCGAGCGATCCGTGCCGACAAAGCCCGTGGCGCTTGAGTGGATAGCTGCGTCGAGGAAGACAGGATACCTACCACGGACATGGCCATCAACACGAGCTCACCTCCAGGCAGACTAAATTCGAAACCTAGACACACCATTTCCCGTAGTTCTGCTCAGTCTCCCAGGCATCGTGGTCAATCTTGACCCAGCCGAGGGCTGTCACCTCGTCCCACCAAGCTTGGTCTGTTTCATCGCTGGTAAGGATCACATGGGTGTCTGGGACCTCGATGCCCTTGCGCGCCCTGAGCTCATCCTGAATTTCCCTGTTCGGCGAGAAGTTAGTCAGTTGTGTTTCCAATGAGGGAGCCGGCTTTACACACCGAACGCGCCGTGCAATGGCGGAGATCGGGGCGAAGCAATCCTCTGTGTTATCGGGGTCAGGGCACCAGTTCTTGAAGTCACCGTGACGTTGGTGAATGGCAATGTACTACATAGGCGCACATTTAGCCAGATCGTCGGGCCAGAAGGCTATCAACGTACAGGAGGAACCTCAGCATCTTCTGCGAGACCGAGAGCACGTCGCACATAGACGTAGGTCAGTTCTTGAAGCTCCGGAACCCAGTGCATGTGCTTCCCGACGAACCGCCAAGCGGGGGCAAAGTCATGTTCAAACTCGTCGTCCTACAGGTTCCGTCAGCAATTCGCTCGTCAAGAAACAGAATAACATGCCCTTTGTGCGACGACATAGTATAGGTAATCATAACAGACCACATGCTCGTCCGGAGGCAGCTGCACTGATGTTCCGGTGAAGGAAGCGTTTGCACGAGGTTCTCCGGGCGTTCGAGTTCCTCACGGAAGGCAAGCCTCGCCAATTGCCAGAATGAGGCCGTCCTGCTATGAATAAAGTTCGGGATCAACTTCACCCATTCCGGAGCACGGGTATATGATATATCTAGAGGGAGGGCTCAACACTCCGGAGTAAAGACGACGTAGTGGCAGTAGACCTACCTAAGCGAAGGTGGAAGGGAACCCAGCTTCCCCGGGGCACCGCTTCCGCGGACTGTGACACCTCCCAAACATTCCAGCAGCCGATGTCATCGACGACCTGGCTCTCGGGGTCCTTGACCTCCCTCCATTCGAGGATTTCAATGCCAGACTCGTCAATGAAACGCGGCACGTCGAACACATCGCCGAATGGTACGTTGTCGCCTCCTACGACATGGGACGGTGTGAACATGCCAACAATAGAGACGCGACTGGTAATGACGCCGAGGTAGATGAGGTTCATGTAAGTCATGACGTCGTTTGCTAAGGGACAGATGCAGTACGGAGTCAGCAAGACGGACGGCTGCAACGACGCAACACGTACTCCAACCAGCCGAGATCCAGGATGTAATGTACTGCACATCGTCGCGTAGGTTGTCGCGGAAGCTCTCCGTCGGTGGGCCGAGGACATACGGAGAGTACCAAGTCGTAGCGTTGTCATAGAGGTCGACATCAGACTGAGGGATCTCTAGTTGGGACTGGGGCGCGTCGGTATTTGTGGCGGATTCGACAGCAAGTGAAGATACGGATAGCAAGGAGATGGATGCAATCACGAGAATGGTAATAGAGGCGAAAGATGCGACGAGGACGAGGAGCCGGCGTAAGGGGGCATTAGCGAGGAAGGACTTGGTCGTGGGGAGGCCGAAAGTGGGCGACCGTGGTGTCCTGGGCGACGAGGGGGAGTCGTAGAGGAGCGGCTCGCTAGACTCTGAGCGATTGTGCATGTCTACACGGAGGTCCTCAAGGTCAGCCTGCCGCCTGACAGTCATATTTGGGAAGCAGAGCGGCCTGCTGAGGACGGCTCACGAGCGAGTAGGGGCAAGGTGAGGGGTGGGCGGCTGGTGTGTGGCCGCAGAGAGACCGCAGAGGGGCATGTTGAGGCTCTGGCGCAGGCGTCGCGTGCAGACGCCCCACATCGTCGGTACGTGCCCGATCCATCTCCAGGGCTCGGCTTCTCGTCCCCGATCATGTAAGCACCCGCTTCATTATTTCCTTGGCGCCCGCCCTCCCCGCCACCGCCCTCGCGCCGATGCACGGACGCCCCAATCACCACCTCGACAGCGCCCCCGTTCGTCACCTCCCCGGGAGGGGACACCGCGAGACCGCTGCGATGGGCGCAACAGGCTCATCTGACCGTAGCACTCCTCGCTAAGCCCAACGTCATAGCACAGATGGAAGCTTGATAACTCAGCCTCGTGCCCGTCTGGATGCTAGCCTATGTCCGTACCGGAAGCCTTCATTTTTTGCTCCAATGTTGGCCCACCGGGTTCGCCCAATCCAGTAACGCAGAGGGACGCACTCCCATGATTGTACCCGTCCAGCTAGTCCCTGGATCGCTCTCGTTCCTTGTGAATGAGATTCATCGACTCGATGTGACCGCCGCACTTCTGCCCCTTCCTCCCACCGTACCGTAACCGCATTTCGTCCGTAAGGCGTCTTTGGAACAGAGCTGCATCACTGAAACAGGCGCACTATTTGTGCGCGCACCCGCTCTCACCTTTGGAACCGCAGCCCGCAGCGTCCCTCATACCCTCTGTGCAGACGACAGCAATGGCCTCCAACGATAGAGACGGCACAGAGCCATGGAAGATCGCCTCGGTAGTCTCTTTCTACATGGGCGCTGCGCTTGTGGTAAGTTTCATGCAATACTGTCCATTATGAAGATCACTTGCCTCATTGGCCTCGACGATCTGCAGATGGTCTTCGTGTAGGTGCTACCGATGCTCCCAAGCGGACCTTCGTTGACGTGTTCACTGTGCAGGAACAAGGCAGTATTGAACTCTTCGCCAGAGTTACCCATGCTCTTCTTGTTCATCCAACTGGCCTTGGCAGTGGTCCTGTTGCATAGCGCTGCGTTTCTCTCTCCCAAGGTCGAGATCCCGAAACTCGACGGCACGAGCGCGAAGAAACTCACTCCCCTCATCCTGGTCAATGTCATTGGCTTGGTGTTCAACACCCTCTGCCTGCGAGGCGTGGAGGCATCCTTCTTCCAGGTACGGCGAGTGTTCTGCTTCTCGATGAACAAACTCTCATGGCGACGTAGATCGCCCGAGGTCTAGTCTTGCCTCTCACAATCGCCGTGTCTTCGATGCACACGCATACGACCCCGTCCATGCGCGTGATCCTCGCCGCGACCATAGTCACCATCGGTTTCTTCCTCGGAGTTGCACCCTCGTCCTTCCCATCCTTCAACGTTGACGCGTCCGAGCCCTCACGCCCAAGCACAAGCGGACTCTCCATCTTCTACGGCGTCTTGTCCTCCGTCTTCATCGCCGTGCACTCGGTGCTCATCAAGATATCCCTCCCGCACGCGAACAACTCGACCATCCAGCTCGCGTACTGGCAGAACCTCGGCTCAGCGCTCTTCCTCGCGCCCGTCATCCTTCTCCAAGGCGAACTAGGCAAGCTCTCGGAGCTATCGAGCCTGCCAACCTGGAATGGCTCCGTTTCGTTTGGGGTAGCCTGGTCACCGGGTATTCGGCTTCCTGCTATGCGTGGCCGGCCTGCTCAGCGTCAAGGTGACAAGCCCGATCACGCATATGTTCTCGAGCGTACGTGTTACTTGACTATCTGTATTGCGGCACGCCAGAGCGTGTCCGACCGGGACCACTCTCGCGCCGCCATTCACATTCAGGGTTATGCCGCCTTCCGACCACTGGTCCTGATACTGATACTCGAACCCTCCAGGCGGCCCGTTCAGTCATTCAAACCTTGCTCGGCGTCTGGCTCTTCAATGATCTGTTAACCACGTACGTACACCTCCAATTTGTCCTGTCCCCGAGCGGCAGCGTTCCGCTCCCGGGTGTGCGAGCCGTTTTCGTGCGCTCGGCACCGCATACCTGCTTCGGGGTGTCTGCCATGCCATCCGCCCGATAGGGTTCCGTTTCACGATGTGCTTCCGTGGCGCCGGGTACTGTGGCTGACCTTCCTCACTCGCCAGGAATCGCGCGGCCTCGATACTCGTTATCACCCTCGGCACGGTGTGTTATACTTGGGTCAAGGCCATCGAGACCGCACCGCGACCGCACGGCGCGACAAGGACCTCGAGGCGAACACAGCCTGATGAAGGACAGCGACGACGCCCTCGAAGAAGTCGCGATGGAGATGCAGACGCAGCCCGAGAAGAAGTCGCCCGGGGTTAGCTGATGTCTGGACATCATCTGCAGGGCAATCATGCATGGGTGGGGCCGCAACGCAAGCGGTTGACGGGACGCTGGGAAACGGGCTGCGGACGCAGACAATGGCTGCCCGCGAGGTGGAGCCGGGGCGACGTGATGAACGCACGACTACATAGAATGATGCATACGGTGATGGATACCAGCACGTACTGGACTGTTCGCTACGGACTCAATCTTGGACTTGCAATGTATCTCGACGACGAGTCGCTTTCGTCTCGAATGAGATTAGTACGATTGGATGGTGTCGGCCGACGACGCGCATGCGGCTTCAGGCCTTCAGGGAGTGCCCTGACTCGTTTTGGGTCCGCGGCCAGGACCAGGCATGACCGAATTCCGGCATAACCTTCACTTCGTGCAGATCGGCCACCACAAATCGCCATCCAATCCAGGGACCAATTCAACCTATTGACTCACGCCTGTCCCAGGTGTTTCAATTGACGAGACGCTCCATACGTTGGGCGGCATGGGCGGGCGGTTTGTAGTGCGACCCATCGGACAGTCGTGGTGACTATGCTTGATGTGGGGAAGGGGACCCCTATCTTGAAGACACCATGATGACAGTAGCGTCGTATGAGAGTTCGAGCTAGACGGAGGGAGCGTCATTCGATATAGCAGCCGAAACGCCGTGCTGGCTAGTCCTGCGGACGTCTTCCTACCGCATGCGCGCGACGAGCTGAGAAGCTTCACGTAAGGTAGCAGGCTGCCCCAAAGTTGCGTGACGGTGAAATGCGAGAAGAGATCACGACGAGGTATCGTAGTTCCGAGAGGCGCCAGGAGGCTATAATAGGAGCCATCGTGTCTATTGGTTGCAACCATTCCGCATCTGGCATCGTGATTGCCTGTTTAGGACCGCATATGACTATCATAGTGGCTCACCGACTTGCACCACACCCTTTTTGAGTGATGACATCGACGTGCATCTGCCATAGTCAGGGTGCTCGGAAGGACGTATGGTCGGTCACGATAGGGGGTCGCCTGAGAGCCTAATTGGCGTTTTGCGTAACGATCGATGTATACGACAGTAGGTTGTTACGACGCGCGATGTCCGGAATTCGAGCCCTGCGGGAGTGAACATTTGAATAGCGAACTTCGACATCGAGCTGCCCTTCATTAATTTCATTCTTCAATGTGTGGGAGGTTTCGAGCGTTTCCCGTCGTTCTGTTTTCTATGTCAACCGGTATTTTCGGCACATTGAGACCGGGAGCTCCGCAGAAGCGCATCCGCGCCAATTTCTGTTGACTTCGTCCATACTGGTGAGCAGCCTCCGGCGCCGGTCGCAGCCTGAACTCGCGTCCCTGAGTCTGCACCGACCCAATTTTTTTCAGGTCAAGAGCCCTGATCGAGGCACCTGCGTGCCAGAGACTTTGCTGTCGATGGTTGATTCCGCTAGCCTGGATTCCTGGCGCAGACATGTTCCTTGTCTAAAGGGCACTACTCCCGGCGTAAAGAGGCACCAAAGAGGGACGGCGAGCTGGATAAACCTTATCAAATGGATCGAGCCAGATCGAGCCAGGTCGGGACAACCCGTGCGCTGTTCGCACGGCGCTTCGCGGGACCTCGACAAGAGTACACTGCACCTAACCCCAAGCTAGGCGTAGTGGAGCGGGAGGGTCAGCCGATGGAGCAGGTGCGATAGACGAACACAGGCACGCCGTCTGACCACGTCTGGCGCAGGAACGGCGTGGCCTGCCGACCTCCCGCCTGCTAGCCATTCTCCACCCCGCGTCTTGCCCATCTGTGTGGCGCCGGTTCTGTCACTACCATCGGCTCATCTGGCAGGGTTCTTGATTCTTCCAACATCGGCGTCTCGGCTTGCCCAAATTTCTGCCCAAATTGCTCCTTCGACCGTGTTGACGCTCCAATTTCCCCGACCGAAGACCCCGTACATATGCACCTTACCTCCGTTGATCAAGTCCGGTCTGACGCCCCGGTTCGTGTCCGATCTTGCTCCGTCATTTATCTCGCTTGCGCGCACGCCTGGTCTCCAGAGCCTCGTCGTGACTGCCTCGTTTCCTCCCAACCATGTCCTTGCGCTCCAACATTCCGACGCCTCCGCCTCTCGATGGCGAGGAAGACAAGACCTCCGTCGACAAGCAGTCGTCACATGTCGCGACCTCTTCGCAGTCGGCCCAGTACGAACGGAAGATGGGCGACACCGAGCTCTCGTACTTCTTGCCGTCTCGCCACACGGGTGTGAACGATATGTGAGTCTTCTCGCCATGCGCTAGCCATAGTCAGCTTACGAACGGGCTTCCACGCGGCAGGTACCTACATCTCGCATTCGACGCTCCGCTGCATCTTCTGCGTCGGGCACGCGTTTGTCTAGTGTGGGCCATTCTCAGGCTCCGCCATCCACTGCTATCCGCCAAGGTTGTGATGCACGACTATGATGACGTGCGCTTTGTGTGAGTGCTTAGATTCGATGTTAACTCTCGCATCTTCTCACTCCGCGTTGTTGAAGCTACGATGTGCCATCGGACCCGGAGGACGCCTTGGTCAGCGCCGAGGCCGCATTAGAGTTTCGTTCCCAGACTAAGGATGGTACGCCGTCCCCGAAGCTCTAAACAGACTAAATCATTGACCACGGCCATCCAGAGCTAGTGGACTCGTACCTGAACGGCCCGCGGACGCTATCCAACTCCCGACTCTCCTACCTCGTCATCTCTCAGCCTGCACTCAGCGCTATACCCACACCACCTCGGACGCCCTCGCCATCCCGTGACGGATTCACGGCCACAGAAGACCTTGCACGATCGACAGCCCTCCAGACAAACCCAGACGCATCGATTGGCCGCTTCGATGTCCTTTTCGCCGCGATGCATTTCCTCGGCGACGGCATGGCACTGCACCAATGTGCCAACGACTTCTTCGGGCTCGTGGCATGCGGGAAGGGCGATGACGAGCTAGCCCAGATGCTGGCTGACGAATGGGAAAAGCGGTTTGCAATCGCCGCCGTTCACTCGGATTCAGCACTGCCAGTGCCCCTGGAGGCCGGCTCGCTGAACCCCGCTCACGGTTGCAGAAGGCTGCCGCCGAGGTTGATTTCCGACTCTCAGAGAGTACCCTGGTCGGAGGCCAGGCGTTCCCAAAACGGAAACACCCGACCGCCACACCGTCTTGCTGAACAAGGACTATCCTTCCGACCTGACGAAGGCGATCCTGAAGAAGTGCAAGCAGAAGGGGTGAGCATCAGCGCGGCGCTCTTCGCTCTGTGCAACATCGCGTGGGCGAGGATGGGCGGGGGGAAGCCGAGCTGCCGACGATGATGTACTCCGCGCTGAACCTCAGGCCATACTTCACGCCGACGAAGTTGCTGCACGACTCGTACTGGTTCCTTGCCATCGGGTACTTCAACGTCATCCTCCCCAGCTTCCTGCCCTCGTCCGACCAGGAGAAGACGTTCTGGCACCGCGCGCGGCAGGCGAAATCGCAGAGCATACAGGCGGCGAAGAACAAGATGATCGTTTCACGCACTCGGGAGATGGCCCAGGAGCGGGCGGAACGTTCGCGGTGTGGGCGAAGGAAGACGACGAGAGGGAACGGGGCACCTGGGTCGCGCCGGCTCCTGCCCTGCGTCCCTAGCGTCAAGGACATCCTCCCGGTCCGTCCCTCCGCACCGTCCTCTGCGCTGATGGGTCTGTCGCTCTTGGGCAACCTCGATGCCATGTATACGGCTGCGGCGTATCCGGACCTGAAGCTGCGCGGGTGACAACGGGATCGAGACAACGGCATGGTGCCATGTTGCTCTTCGGGTTCACGTTCGCGGGGAAGCTCTGCCTGAGCTGGGCTACGACGAGAATGGGTACGCTGAGGGTCGTTGAGAAGTTCTGGCAGGAGATGCAGCGCTGCACGGACGAGTTCTTGGTCTGAAGTGGACAGTGCTTGGACTAGGGAACATTGGTTGGTACGGACACCGTCATCGGACACTTCTGGGACCTATCTGCGTAATCTCTCTGAATGATTTGACCTCTGCTAACATTCGCGTACTCACCTTGTATATATGCGTTACTCCCGAATACTTCAATTCATCAGCCTGTATACATCGGCCTGAGACCGGATGACGACAGTGTTGTAACTGGTATGCTGTGCGCGATGTTGACTTTATATCGAACATATGCAATTCGTGCATGGCGGACGGTGTAGAATCGATCATGCACAGACGCAGAGCGAGGGTCGCTGTGCAGCCTGTCGATGCCACCAGCGGGGCGCGGCCAGGAGTCGGGAAGTGACGTGACAGACGCGTGACGATCGCGTCCTTTAGCGGGAACGACCGTCACGCCGACCTCAACCGCGACTTTCTGGCTTGCACAATGAGCACCGCATATGCCGCGTCCCCCATCCAAAGGACAGGATCGACGTTACCATATCGTTCTCAGGCCGCACAGCCACGCCCTACTGTGACAGACGACTACGAGCGTGCGTACGTTGTGTTTCTCTCGTGTCCTCTCCTTCACCGCGACATACAGGATGGTACACCGAGGGCACACCGAACAACCGCATGTTGCTTGCCCTCCGCTCGGGCATCGACTCGGAAATATCTTGGGCGTTGGACCGCTTAACCGCCTGTGCAATAACGAGCAGTTCGTGCTCCGCGCGATCCCTGGGCTCACGGACGCGCTCTTCGAATGGCCCGTCTGGTACGTCGAGGTCGGAGCAGCGCTCTGTTCACGCGCAACCACGTTGTTCGCCCTTCCGCAAGAGTGGGAGCGGAAACGGAAACACGCGTTGGAGTCGATCCTGATACTGCGGAATGCTGCCGTCAATGAGCCCAACGCGCAAGAGCTCTCTGAACACCGCCGCACGCGGTCGCTCATCCTTCTCGCGCTGCATAACATCAAGCCCGAGAGTGACACAAATGTCGAATTCGTTCTCTATGTTATTGAACTGCTGCAATCATATCTGCCGGCCTGAGCCTGCCACCCCCAACGCTCCTGCGTTAGCAATCCCGGTGCAGCCTCTACAAGAATAGCAGGATCGAGCATCAATCGCTCGCTCATCTTGGCTGCTATGTCCACACTCAACTTGCTGCTGTCCAATCCTGCCAATGTCACCCACTTGACCGAGGAGTCGCCTGCGTTGGAAGCCTCGATTAAGTATCTGCCATTGTTTGTGGACAAGCCCCTTCTGGATGCCTCCGTGAACTACCTGTATACACACCTGTCGCACCCCGCAATGACAAAGGCTTTCCTTCTTCATCCCAAGATGCCGGGTACACTCAAGCTTCTTGTGTCGCTCTTGCTCTCGGAACAGACTGAAGAAACGGTCTCTGTGGACATCGGTAGCCCTGTGCATACCGTGCCGTCGTCTTTCACTACCATGAAGGATCACGAGCTGTCGAAAGAGGAGTTTGACCGGCTGTTACCTATCCCAGAGCCGCAACGCTGTTATGAATGGTGCGCATATCTCCGTGGGGTTTCGCGTGTTATGCTGATTGTATGCAGGATGAGAACCATGTTCGTATCGAAAACAGATGGGGAGCTGACGCAAGTCGAATTCTGGAACCTATACAAAGATGTGTTTACGCCTCACGCTGCCCAACACCGTATGTTGGCAGCATCGGACGTCATAAAAAATGTTAGTCTGGTCTTCCCTCCTGGGCAAGCCATGGTCCTTGGAAACCCACAACGCTTCGTGGTACGCGGCGTCGACAGGCGGAAAGAGCGGTCAGCGGTCGAGCAGCAGTTCAAGTGCCTGTGGGACCGCTCGCAGTGTTCAGCGCGGACCTTCGGTTCCACGGCGGAGCTTTCGAGCACGTCGTTGGTCAACACATCGATCCTCACGGCGGCACAGAACTCGAATGTTCATGGGCAACTTGCTCGCATGCGTCTCTGCCAAAAGCGTTCCTGCGCGGCCACGTTCTGACCCATCTGCCGAGCTCACAATCCGCACCAAAAGATCCTGGTCAGATGGACACGGTCTCTCTGCCATACGAAAACTACCCGCACCCCATCCCGAACCCCACCTCGCGACCACTCCCTCCGCCGCGCTCCGCGAAGCTCACGTACAAACGGCCGATGGCCGAGCCGCCTTCCACATCGCTCACCGCGCTTCTGTGCATTCGAGTGTTGTTCCGTGCTTCGTTCGCCTCGTCTGACGCCGCCCCGCGCGCGGACGAAGACCACTTCGGCTTCCCGGGTGTCGTAGAGGAGACGGAAGACACGGAGGGATGATCGCACGGAGCGCCGGAAATGACCGCGAGAGGGAAGGAGAGAGGAGGGGAGAAAGGCGTTCATTGGTATCCGCCACCTGCTCGAGAACGTCAGAATCAAGGACGAGGCGTTGATGGGGTGGATCACGGAGATGGTGGATGCTGGGATCACTGGGACGACATAACGGGGCGTGTCCGAGAACTCTTCTAGGGTCTACATAGGCGCAAACGCCGCCCTCAGTATGCCTGTATCGTATACTCCCCAGTAACGCCTTGCAGGAGGATGAGTACGGTCCAGGAGCTTTCGCCTATAGCTAGCGAACTCGATGGACGAAGTACTGCTTACTCATCATCGTCTGCGCGCGTTCACTGCAACATGCAATGTAATTTTCTGCGACGACATGTAGAGTAGACTTTTCTGTCAGCAATATCAATGCTTTGTAGCCTTTGTACTGTGGCCCCGGGCGGGTGCAATTTATACTTCGTACTGCGCTTCGGCGTCTGTTTGAATGTCAGACTTGCTGTGCCACCCGCGCGATCATGTTCCCGCTCGATGTCCGTACTCTCATCTCGCCGTGAGTCGTTGTCGTCGAGGTTCGTGACACATATAACAGACTGCTACATGTGAGAGGTCCCCTGTCGCAGAGCATTCAGCCACTCACTGCCGCTATTCTAGGGCCTCACACCCGCCAAGATCGCCCCGCACCAGGACGCGGCGAAGTTCTGGTCGGACGTGTTTGAGCTGGAGGTCGACTCCGAGTACCTCTCAGCGACATTGAATGAACTGGGCAAGGAGGCTTGTCTGGGAACTGTCAAGGTCCGTCACGACCGGCGACTATTGAAGGTGTTCGAAACAGACTCATGCGCTGTTCTAGTAGCCGAGTTTGAATGCGATCGTTCTGGCGTGTCTGCATGCTGCCCGTACTAGGCCTGACGAGACTCCCGCAAGCCCATGCGGTGTGGACACTATCCATACTGAGCAAATGTATGTTGAGGAAGAATTTGACGGGATGGGAGGTCATGGAGATCTTCGCGGGAGGAGTGAATGAAAGCGACAAGGTCTTCAGCGTGCGTTTGAACCCTTTCATGGTAAACTTTGTCGTGCTGATAGACGTAGGAACTGACATCCATGATTGACGAGATTCTTGGGGACAGTAGAGCCCTGGTATGGCCGTTGTCGAACGGCGTGAGCGTGCACTCAAGACATATTCTGCTATAGGCACTGTGCGACACCAAGTCCTTCAGTGGCAGTGATCTTCGTGTCGGGCACCAGTCAGCTCAGCCCTGGGGCTTACTTCCTTCGGCGCGATCTGTTTCCTTGCATTGCGACGGTTCGTATAACATCCTACCACTCACCGCCCTAAGGAATGTTCACCTTGTCGAGACATTTAGATCATCACGTCTCCGGAGACTGAGCATTCACATTCGAAGCCTCCGTTCTGCTTGCCCTTCTCTCCAACTTCCACAAGTCAGACGCGGCCAAGCTCAACCCTTACCTCAAATGCCTGAGGGAAACGAAAAATGAGCGGTTAATGCGCAAGATCTGCTGGGCCTCCAACTTCGCCGCTGATGCAGTCGTGAAGTGCGTGTCTAATCATCCGTGCTCGCCTTCACTCATGCATGAGTAGAGCATACCAAAACGTCTTAGACGACGCGCCGCCCTCGTTGAGTGCGACGTTCGGGACATTCCTTTCCGCCATGCGCCCAGATCGGGCGTTGTCGTCTACACCAGTTGACCAACCTCGTGAACTCTTCAAAGACCAGTATGTCATTGCCTTTGTCAGAAGCACGACCTCAAGCTGACGACGGCAGACCTATAGAGGCCTGTGTCATACTATTGCCTATATTCGAATTCTTGCACGCCAATGAAAGCTTCCACACCATCCTACTGGAACCATTGACGACTGATGCAGAACAACAAGCCACTTCACGGATCCCCTCACTGCCCTACACACTGCTAACAGTCGCTTCGTACTTGCTCACGCACGCATCATCCGTGCATGCACCGCGCGCCATAGGCTATGCTCATCTATCACTCAACATATTGCTCGTCATGGCGGAGAGCAAGATCATCATGGAGTTATTCTGCAACAAGGGTGATGCAGATATCAGGCTGTGCCGTCAAGTGAGTTCCTGCCGTTCGCGTCATTGCGATGGTTCGCCTGACCGCAGCGAGTCAGAGACCCCCATTACTCCCGCTTACAGGGCCTCGCCCGCCTGTTTGTGCTGTACTTGACTGTTGTGTCCTTTGGTTGCGGCACAATCTTCACAAACGTCTGGAGGTTCACTCTTACTTGTAAGCCATGGTCGATCTGACCTAGTCATTCAAGCTAATACTCCGCAGGAACTGTTCTCACGTATGTTATCATGTCTTGTGGTACCTGCAAAGAGAACGTATCCGTCTAGGTGCTTATAATATTCTCAGTCGTTCGTCTATTCTGATCGAACTCCTGCGTAGACTATCATTGGACAGAATTGTGGAGGGCCCTGATAGGGCTCCTCGACTTCCTTGCCAACAAGCTAGACAACCTCGTTACCACCGGTGGAGTAGAACAGCTTATTCACGAGGTCTGTCTTGCAGTGGAGCACCGTACAGCTTACGTCCTGATGGCATCCACCTCAGACGTTGATGAACCTCGATCTTGCACTGTGTCATACAGGGGCCATCCTACCGAATGCCGCCGCTGTGCACGAGCTAGTGGTAAGTCCAGTTGGACCGGCGCTGGATGGACAAGCATTGACCATTCGATGTCCAGTACGAGGTAGCTCGCTCGGCCGAGGTTTTCAGGAAGCAGCAGATCGTCCTGGAGAAGCTGGCTCTACCCGGGTCTACTTCCAGACGGCATTCCGTGATGGACACTAATAGCTCGGATGCCCTGGCCAATATCCTTGCGGTGACGACCCACTACGAAGTCAGTATACGAGAGGCGAAAGCGACCTCGGCAAGGAGCGCGCTGCGAGCTGTGGCCAAAGAGATTGACCGCGACGGTCTCAGCTATGGGAGAAACCTACACGTCGACGAGCCACCGTGAGTCTTGTGTTTCGACTGATTTACCGGGTGTTCACATGCCCCCTTTATAGGAGACAAGCTGAAGACGTTGTGGGGATGGTCCGTTATGCCTACGCGGATGCCATGTCTCTCATGCCTTGATTGAGGAGCCTTTGGCTTGCTGTTATGATCCCTACTATTAGCTGGTCACGGTTGTGTGAGGAGTTGCACTTCTGTGTAGTTTTGCACTGAGCAGATGTATTGATTTATTACTTCATCTCACCTACCGCCATGCTGAGTCTCCGAGCTGAATTGTCGGATATATATGGATCATCACAGTCCTGCTTGGGACATACAGGCGGGCATTCTTGTCGGAGAGGCGACGGAACCGAGCCAGGTAAGGCATGGTGAAAAAGTTCTTTCTATCTAGACGCCCGTCTCACACTCCCGTTTACGTCCGCCACTTCAGGGTGTGGGCGTCGCCGGCTGCTGTGATCTCACCGCTTGATGCAGTTATCTGAGCGCGGGGACTGCCTCAGACTTTTCCGGATCTGATGTGTGGGCTGAGGACGGCGTATGGGTCAAGTTTGGAGGGGTGGAGGGCGGATTTAGCGTTTTGACTTTGCAGCGGTCTCCGTCACGGCTCGGGGCAAGGATCGACGGCGCCTATGCGGGGAGGCGGAGCGCTGGCGGGGTGACGTCCCGCGCATCGGGCGATGTCCATATTTGGCCAGAACCTGCTTGGACGATAAGGAGGCGTTATAGCTCTTACTCGGTGAATGGCTCGGTGAACACACGATTTTCGTTATGTTCCCACTTCGCCCTCGCCCGCCTCTTCGCCCTGTTCATATCCTCCCTTGCTCGCCGAGTCGAGCCCACCGTCCCCCATGGCGGCCCTGCGGTGCGCGGTGCGCGTCTCTGCTCACACGACACAACTTCGCGCAGGTGCTCTGGATGTCCCTCGACATGGTCTCAAAGGCGGCGCTGGTTCGCGACGGCGACCTCGCCACCCTCCCTACTTCGGCCTTGGACACTTTTGAAGACCGTCATATTGGTCCGGATGGGAGCGAAGTCAAGCGAATGCTATCCTCCCTCGGGTATGAGTCCATGGACGCTTTCGTAGAGGCTACGGTGCCCTCGAAGATCAGAGTCGCGTCGTCGTCTGTGAGCAACGACACCATCGCTTCTCTCAGCGAGTCCGAGCTCTACGGGAGGGCGAGAGAGCTTGCGAAGGCGAACAAGCCATTCAAGAGTTACATCGGCATGGGCTACCACAAGCGGTCGTACCACCTGTTATTCTGCGTAATGTAACGCGTTCACTTCTCCTCTGCTTACGAAAACGTGACCGCCGAACTTGTCAGATCATGGAGAGTCCTGCTTGGTATACCCCATATACCCCGTACCAGCCTGAATCGCACAGGGTTGTCCAGCGTAGAGATCACGCTGCTCATCTTACTCATGTCTACCCATAGGCGCCTCGAGTCACTGGTCAACTACCAGACTATGATCATGTCGTTACGTCGATGGATATCGCCAATGCTTCGATGCTCGACGAAGCAACCGCCGCAGCGGAAGGAATGGTATGGCTTTGCGTCCACAAACCAGAAGAAACGCGTCTTCCTCGTCGACAAGGGTGTTCTTCCTCAGACTATTGCGGTTCTACAAACTCGTGCTAAAGGCTTCGGTATCCAATTGGCCGTTGGGGACATCTTCACCCTTGCCAAGGACGTTCATCGGATTCTACATCTGCGGTGCATTGGTGCAGTACCCGGACGTCAATGGAGCGTGGTCCACTAGCTGAACTCGCTGAGACTATCCACAAAGCCGGAGGATTGGTGGTCTGTGCCACAGACCTGTTGGCATTGACCATGCTAAAGCCGCCAGGCGAATGGGGGCAGACATCGTCCTCGGCAACTCTGCTCGGTTCGGTGTACCCGCTGGCTACGGTGGCCCGCATGGTGCGTTCTTCGCGTGCACGGATAAGCTGAAGCGCAAGATGCCCGGCCGTCTCATTGGCAGGAGCAAGGACGTCTACGGCAAACCCGCATACAGATTGGCTCTGCAGAGTAATGTCTCCTAGAATCTCGTGTTATATGCACCACCTCCATCCTGTAGCTCGCGAGCAACACATCCGACGGGAGAAGGCTACTAGCAACATTGCACGGCGCAGGCCCTTCTTGCGAACATGGCTGCGATGTATGCTGTCTACCACGGTCCCACCGGCCTCAGGCGTATCGCGGAGAAGGTCACACTCTGACGTCCATCCTGAAATCTGAAGTCGAGGCGTACGGCTACAAGGCGATCAACTCGGAATTCTTCGACACAGTCACATTCGACGTCAGCGGTGCAGCGCATGATGCGGAGACCATCCACCAGGCAGCTGCGAAGGCGACGTCAACTTGCGGAGGATCGACACAAGCATGTCGGCGTCACTTTGGACGAGAGCGTATCCAAGGAGAACGTCCGACACTGATCAAATCTTCGCGTCTGCTGCTTCGGTAGAGCGCCGCTCACCAGCGACCTCGGAGTCCTCAGCTATTCCCCAGACCCTCCAGCGCACGTCGACGTACCTCCCACATCCCGTCTTCAACACGCACCACTCTGAGACTGAGATGCTACGGTATATCTATCATCTCCAGTCGAAGGATCTTGGCCTGCGCACGCAATGATCCCGCTCGGAAGCTGCACGATGAAGCTGAACAGCACGAGCAGCATGATCCCGCTGACTGGCCCGAGTTCTCTAACGTCCATCCATTCGCGCCGACCGACCAAGTCAAGGGTTACATCGAGATGATCAAGGTATGCTTGAATGTGCTTCTTCAGGATGGACCGCTCGCTCATGATGTCTCGTAGGAATTGGAGTCTGACCTGTGCAAGATCACCGGGTTCCACGCTTGCTCGGTGCAGCCCAACTCGGGTGCTGCGGGCGAGTACGCTGGCTCTCCGTCATCAGGGCCTACCACGAGTCTCGCGGCGAGAGTCATAGGGACATTTGCTTGATACCTGTCAGCGCACATGGAACGAACCCTGCAGTAAGTCAGCGTTCGGCGGCCTAATGCGAAGCTCACACATGCGCTGTAGTCCGCCGTATGGCTGGTCTCAAGGTTGTTGCTGTCAAGACCATGCAGATGGTAATCTCGACCTTGAGGACCTGCGAGCCAAGGCGGAGAAGCACAAGGACAACCTTGCCGCGTTTATGGTGAGTAGGTATAGTGGACGTCATGGTCACATTGCTGATTTTTGGTAGATCACGTATCCGTCGACGTTTGGTGTCTTTGAAGATGGTGTACAAGATGTCAGTGCCGATGATGCACTATGACATAACGCATATACTGAGATAACTCCGCAGGCCTGCAAGATCATCCATGAGAATGGAGGTCAGGTTTACCTGGATGGTGAGTGAGAATTGCTGAGCAGTTGTCGTCATTAACATCGCATCGCTTGACAGGTGCGAACCTGAACGCTCAGATCGGTTTGACGAACCCCGCGACGTGCGGCGGTGATGTGTGCCACATGAACCTTCACAAGACGTTTGCTATGTACGTGGGGATAAATCGCCGTGTACGCTGAGTCTCATTCTAGTTGTCTTCAGCCCCCATGGTGGCGGTGGCCCGGTGTTGGGTGAGCATCCAAGCCCGCGACTTTGCGGCTTCGCGCTGATGAAATCAACAGGCCCATCTGCGTAGCGGAGCATCTTGCGCCCTTCCTGTCCTCCCACCCGATCGTGGCTACTGGCGGTGACAAGGCCATCAACGCTGTCGCCGCTGCCCAGTACGGAAGCGCGTCCATCCTCCTGATCTCCTGGGCGTACATCAAGATGCTCGGTGGAAATGGCCTCTCGGCTGCCTCCGCTGTTGCACTGCTGAATGCGAACTATATGGCACACCGCCTCTCTGGACACTACACCCTGCGCTACAAGAACGGGAACGGCCGTGTCGCCCATGAATTGCTCATCGACCTTGCCGAGTTCGATAAGGCTGCTGGGTTGAAGGTCACTGACTTTGCGAAGCGTCTGCAGGTAAGGCTTCAATGCTTTGCATATTGCAATGTAGCTAATGTGCCCTTCAGGACTACGGTTTCCACCCGCCTACATGTTCATGGCCCATCTCTACGTGCATGCTGATCGAGCCTACCGAGTCTGAACCCCTGGAGGAAATTGATAGGTATGTTCAGGCGATGCATCTGTCTCGTCCAGCCCTAACCAACATCGACCACGTAGTTCTGTGACGCGATGATCCAGATTCGCAAGGAAGCGGAGGATATCATACAGGAAAGCAGCCGAAGGATAACAACGTACTGAAAACGCTCCTCATCCAATTTCTGTTATCGCTCTACCTGATGATCAATGGAACCGGTGAGCCTCGACTTCCATCTGTCGATGTCTCTTGCTCAACGACGTGTCGCAGACCTTACTCGAGACAAACGGCGGCCTTCCCAATGCCATGGCTGATGGAAAGAAGTTCTGGCCGACAGTTTCCCGCATCGACGATGGTGAGTGTCAGTTTGGATTATGCTGGAAATTTCTTAAACGTCATTGACCAGCATTGGCGACTTGAACCTTATTGTAAGTCGAACGACGCATGCCGAGGACATGACATGACTGACATCGTGCATAGTGTGACTGTCCTTCCGTCGAAGAGACAGCTGCCCATTAGACACTTCATAGACATGCCCGGGATGCATCACTCTCCTGATACTCCTAGATGAGCTTGCACGTCCGTGACGTTCAACCGCCGCGCCATCTGTATAAACATTAGTATGCTATTGTAATAATAACTTAGTTCAACTGCAGGGATACGTGGTCAAAGCTTCCCCCATACTCTAGGCTGGTACTGCTTGATGTGCATCAAGATTCTCCCCTCCTCGGTTTTGCTCGACGCAAAGGAAAGGATAATACGTGCGCACTCGACGTCCGGTGCTATGCCACATGCTCCCTCCCCTTCCCCATCTCCAGACACAGAATCTTCGATGCCTCTTCTATCTTGCCCATACGACATAGACACTCCAGCCATGTCCTCCAATTATGCAGGTTGAGCGGAAAACGCGATTCTATGAGCTTGCCCCAGATCTTCGTCGCGATGCCATACGCATTGGCGTACGAGCAGGCGTCCAGGATAACGCTGACACTGGCATTGTCGAGCCGCGACGAACGATACAATATCTCCCAGACGGCCATTGCATCCTCGAAACATTGCGCGCGCTGGTACGTGTCCATTAACTGGTTCCATAGCGCGGTATCGGGCGTGAGTGGGTCGAGAAGGAGCACTTCCTGTACACGCTTGACTTGCTCGGCCAATCGCGCCAGCTCCGCCTGGCGATCCTCCGCAGGAACGTCGATGTGAGTCCTGATAGCGAGGGTGGCCAGCCGCTTCAGTATCAAGGTGTAGACCTTGGCCGAAACTGGGTGGCCAGCGGCGCGCATGTCCTTGACGATTTCGAAGAAGAGATGGGCTGGAGGAATGCGTGTGTCGGACAGCTTAACTCTATTGCAAAAGGTGTTCAGGACAACGTTGTATCCTTCTCCGTCGAGACGAAGTTTCCCGTCCTTAGACTGGCCAAAGGTCCGGTAGACCCTGAAAGCCTCTTCGTATGTTGGAGAGGTGCGCATGAGGAGAACGATGAGCGACGTCGATGTCATCGCGTCAGCAGCAACGCCGCGGGATCGTAAATCCTCGAACAGCGACAATGCGATGGGGAAGTATTTCTTGATATTCGAGGAGGATGCCAACGCGCGTAGAAGAGTGTTGTAGATGGCGGTATCGGGAGTGGTGACGCCACCAGCTGAGGGAGAACCCTCTACTTGGTTCTGCGCTGTGTCATACGCATCGCCATCGACGGGTACCGACTCCGACACAGGATTCGCCTCGATAAAGTCTTTATATAGTTTAATGGCATGATCAATAGACTCTTCGCTCGGCGGCCGAAGACTCCCAGAGCATAGGGCGCGCAGAACCGGGTGCAGCAGCGCATTCGTCGGGCGAATACCGTTGAACAGAGCTGCGGTATAAATGGCGACCGTAGCAGCAGCGTCAAGCTTCGTGGAGGCATTGCAGACCAGCATCGCCCATACGGTGGCATCAGCCTTGAAGTCGAGTGCCTTCTCGTAGTACTTCAACAACTGTCTGTCTATCCTTCCGCTCAGGAGAGCAAAGAGCGTTCGCTGAGTGTTACGTAGCCCAACTTCTTGTATTGATCGTGCAACCTGACGGCTACCGATTTCCCTTGCCATCGAGAAGCGGCAGCTAGGCGTGCCTCTATTTCGGCGTCAGATATACGCGGTGCAGGCACAGCTGGTCGCGGTTCCTTCGGGGCTGGGATAGTGGTGGGCGATGACCTGGACTCCAGCGGCTTGAGGTCAGACCCCGCCAGGCTATGTGCAACGGATACGATCGAGCGGATGTTTCTGCGGCATAGTCCACATCGCCTTGTGGGCGGGAAGACAACTGCAGAATTGCATGCCAAGCGGCAGAAGGCTCGTCTAGCAGCATGACAAGCCGAGGACATTCATACGCGCACTGAGCCGACGAGGTCAGTGTCTATCCAACGATACACAATCAGAATACGCACCTCGCCTCTAGCTACAGGTCTGCCGTCGTTTCACGGTGGGGTAGTGAATCAGAGGATGCGAGTGGATGTCGACGAAGAGTCCGCGCAGGTCCGCACAGAGAGACGGGTCACGTGCCGATATGGACCACGATCCCAAGTGTACAGGGTCCACGTCTCTACCAGTTCCACGTACCTAGCCCGCTCTGCAGTTCTCTGTCACTCCATACTCTACCTTCCCTCCGCTCACTGTTCGACATGTCTGAAAAGCTGAAGGAGTTCACGGAGATCCCTCAGGAGTTCGTACGAGATGGCAAGCAGGTGCGTATCCACTCTCCTCTCACTGGGACGGAGTCTCATCTGCTTTGTTAGTTCCTCACTCGATGCACGAAGCCTTCACAAAAAGGTATCAAATATTGCGCTTCACAGTGTATAAAACCGTCTTTGACGATGGCACGGTAGAGTTCCTCCAAATCTGCAAGGCTGTGTCTATTGGCTTTGCAGTAATGGGGTTCATCGGCTACTTCGTGAAACTCATTCACATTCCCATGTACGTCCTCGACGTATCACCAACAAGACATCATACTGACCAATCTTCGCAGCAACAACATCCTTGTGTACGTTTGCGAACAGCTCATTCCTCGTATATTGCTCACAGCGTTCGTAGGGGTGGTGCATGACGATGTGCTGGCGGTGATTCTATCGAGTGGTTGCGACGTTTCTGGGCAGGTCTCGTTCTTGATATGCTGTCCTCTGTTATATTATCATACAGCTCTTACTGCGATACCTTCAGTGGTTCCATGTCGGTTCAAGTGGATATTTGACGCATACATCGGTCAGAAAGTGGTCGAATATTACTCCATTGGACCACATGTAACGCGAGATGTGTGTTCACGGTAAATGCGACATGGTTATACCGCCGACGTCGATACCTTGCTTCGAATCAGCAACGGTGTTCTCCGCGGGGTTCGTACGAGAAATCGTCCTCACATCCGGACCAGCCTGACGATCCAACGACGAAGCCAGGGGTCGTCTTTTAAAGCACGGAAACCAGACGAGAGCAATATCCTTCCTGAGCGTCAGGAAAGTATGACATGTCCAATATGAACAACTGACCTCTTGCATACCGAACACACAGAAGGCGATGAGTGGTACTAAACGGATGCATCATCAGTCGGAGCGCACAGCGTCTTGCAGTGGACACGTACAAGAGGCCTGCACTAAGTGCGGGTACACGTTTGTAGAGTCAGGCGCGGTTAGCAGAAACGCACAAGCCCTAAGGATTAAATGAGTCGCATTTGTGTGCAGATGATCGAAGTACGGAGCCTACCCTAGCGTGACCCAAGAGTACGCCAGGAATACTCCAATCTTGCGGTTCATCAGTCCCGCCTTCGAGATTTGCTAGTGGCTTGGACTACTCACGCGAAGACAAGGCGAGAACGATGGCGACTTGATGTAGGCATTCGGAAAGGCTAGCTTGGCTGCCCGCCATGTCCAGCAGCATCTGACTATGACGGCCACTGGGACAAAATATCACTCAACGTCTCACGTTTGCCGTGTACGACGCAACACACCTTCAAAGATTGAAGCAACCAGCAGGAACATACCGCACACTACTGGTAATGTGAATCGTGAACTGCGCTGGCATCGTGAGGACAACGGCCACCAAAATGCAGCGAGTACATAATGGTGCCTTACATATCGTTCGGTTTCATGGTGCAATAACCGCCGTTATCGGCGTTCATTGAGTCTGAGTGAAGCATCGCCTCCTACGAAGTAGACCTTGAGCAAGGAAACCCAGCGGCCAGTGTAACGTCCTTACATGCACGCCCACGATGGTGAAAGTCACGAAGACAATGTATGCGGGGGCTAGCATCTGGGCTGAATGAAACCAATAGACCAGTGAAGGTCAAGGAAAACAGGCTCACTATGAACAACCTCACGGGACGAGAGTATTGTGATATGCATAACGGCTTCCAAGGAACGTAGAATGTGCTCCAGATCTGCCATAGCTCATCCAATTATCCAGCGAAAACCAGCACAAGCTAGGAGAGGTTGGCTCACCTGGATCACGACTGTCAGATTGGCGACTGCTACCCTGCAAATGATAAATCGGGGAGGATGATAAGCAAACGGAGCGCACAAGGCCAGACAAATGCATGATTCACATAGCATCCGAACCGTAAGTCATGCCCAATTGCGCTGCACACAAGTCGCGGGGACTGGTGGATTGACGGTACTGGCCACCATATAACCTGGAACGATAGGTGCTTAGATGAAGGGTATTTGCGCGATAGGAACACCACTCACAATAGACAGTACGAGATGGAGTAGACGATCCACGTCAGATTGAAGTTAATTACGGTTGGGTGTCGTTTGACCTTCGTCGACACTAGGAGAGTCATGAACAAGACCGGTAGTAGAACGTGTCCACCAATGAGCAGAAGGGTAAAGTATAGCTGAGTCAGCCAACTTTGACTCGCCCCTGACGAATATTCACTTGTAGCCGATTGTAAACACGACAACTTACAAGGGTCACGACTATGCATTGACTCACCTGACATCAGTCACCACACAAGCCTTGTTACTACACACGGTGCAACGCCCCCCACACGATATCCGCGCTGAAAGCTTCCAGAGCCGTCTAGCGTCCAACGGGCCTTGAGAGCTGTTCTACGAGCTGTTCTTGTCAGATTCGGAGCGGTCAGACCTGCTGAATAACTGTCGCAGGTTCAGTTCAGCACCAGACAGTCGCTTGAAGAAACTCACACTGTTCTCACCAGTTCCCACTAGCCGCACGGGCAGCCTTTAACAAGGCTCCAGAAACGGATCCCAACGGGGTCTCTTACACTGAGGGCAGCGTCATCATGAATGCTATGCCTTCGTACCCACCTAGGTCAAGATGAACATGTTGGTCGTTTAGGGCTCCGGCGACAATCCGTCATGTCTGAGAGCTGAACGTTTGAACGTTGATCTGCCGTGGCAACATCAGATGTCAAGTGGCACTCCAGATCGCCCGTATTGCAGTGTCTGAGATCGGCAGGACATCATAAGGATATAGGCGAAACCAGAAGGATCGGTATATACAGCGTGCGTGTGGCCTGTGCCTTCAGCGAGTAGCTGAATTACCTACGAGCAACAAGCCAAACCGAGCTGAAGGCTTGACCAACTCTAGCGCGGGTTGGAACTGCTGTTCAACTGCTGGTGGGGCGTAGCACAGCAGTGCAGAAGATTTGTTGGATTTGCCTTTCGCGGAATGCGTCGTTAGACGAACTTCCGGAGGAGGAAAGAGGGGCGACAATATGATTTGCATCCTTGATAGATATTCGGAGATGCTGTCGTCACCCTCAAGCTGATATCCCTTGATGCCCATGGAGAGCAGCTGCGCAGTCATGAAAATGTGACCCAGCTACTGCAAGTCGCGATGAATTACATACCTTCTCTTGTACGTCGCTTATGAGGTCGTCCAGTTGCGCTCGAGCGTCTCGGTCGTCCCATGCAGTTGTCAAGTGTTGTAGGAACCACAGATCCCAAAAAAGTCGTAGTTGTCGATGTGGTTCTTGTTTTTTGACAATCTCGTGCTTGCAACCTCGCGAAACAAAATACGTGACACAATTGCCGACCAAAAGTTGCTTCCGCTCAGAATCAATTGTTGCCCAAAAGTCCTGCAGAGAGGATGCGAGTGAAAGCAACGCCTGGACTAGAGCTGCTGACGGCCGTTTCGGATGTTCTTTCCGCGACGAGAAGGTGGTGTATTAAGCATCATGATGAAGTGACCAACAACGACATACCAGCTGGACGAAGCCCGGGATTATCTTGACTCCCCACCCCAGGCCAGACATTCATGAGAATGTGTTGGGTGATGAGTTCTCTCCACCGTGTAAAAGTCGTGTCGTGAAGGGTATGCATCTGCTTCCTGAATTCTGAAAGTCCTCATGAGACAGATCGTTATATAAGCTTCACGAGTAACCGACCATCAATGGTGTTTTGGTCACAGCCAATAGTTGTGACAAACGAAGAAGAGGAGGCAAGCTCGTGTTGCAGTCGACCCAAGAAAGCCAATGTCCGCCGCGAAGACTCTAGAACCCCTCGTTAGTCTGTTCAATCCCGGGTATGCAGCTAGAACGACTTACCCATGTCGGCGATGTCATCATCCAAGTCCTTTAGGATATATGTGATGCGGGAGCAAAGACCTGCGGCATCAGGCTGGTACGTCTCTCGTAATCGTGAGACAAGCACCCTAAGCTATGTTGTCAAGCTCCTATGGCATAAACAATGACAGGCGGTTCGTACCCTCCTTCTAGATCAGAAGCTTGCATGGCACCCAAATCTTCCTCAAGGCGATGAGAAGACTCTTCGATAACCTTCAAGACGTCGTGCAAGAGCGGCGTCCTCCCATGAAGCTGCCGCCGCAGCCCGGCCTTGTATCGCTTGAAGGGAGCACCTGTCGCAGAGGAATTGGTGGTAGTTTGAGAGGTCGATGGCAATGGGAGGGCATGGAAGAGATAATCGACGGGTTGCGCATCTACAGGTCGGGCATCAACGAGAATAACAAAATCACAATACATGCGTGATTACCTGAAGTACTGTCGTCGGAATGGCTTTTCAGGGCCTGCAGCGCAGACGTCAACCGTTCGTGGAACGTCGATTCCGCCAAACTCAAAGCACTTCGCCATACAAATACTGTCTGTTGTTGACAAAGAGTATCCAGCATTTCCCGAATGCGAGACTTTTCGTGAGGTTCCACGCCGTCGAGCTTTGAGGCGATAGTGAAGGAAGACATTCGAAGATCCCAGACTTCCCTAACACTCTCCAGACCCGATAGCCACTTGGAGGCTGCTACTTGAACGGCCTCCACGGAACGCGAGAACCAGTCACCAAGCTTCTGCTGCAAGAGACCGTGCGCAACGGAGGGGGACGCAGCCGCGGCGCCGATGTACGGCTTGTACGATCGGATGGCACTGGGCAACAGAGAGAAATGGGCGGACGACGGCAACGAATTAAGCAGCGTCTGCGTCGTCAGTTGTAGGTCGGTGGGTAGCGAGGGGGAAGTTTTCTCTTCTTGTATGTACTGCAGAGCCAGTTGCATCATGCCCGATTCTCCGGAAGTACCGTCGGCAAAGATTTCGCGTGCGGCGCGCAGTGTGTGTGATATTGAATCTAATGCATTTTGAAGGTTGCGCTTGACTTCTCGTAGAATTGCTTTGCGGGCTCGGATTGATGTCGTCTTCCCATCGCCCGGGACGATGCTGGCATGTCCATTCGCCAGCTCTTGCGAGTGCGAGAGAGCGGTCGTCAAAGTCTTCGATCGCTGCGTAAGAAATATTGACAGTGTCTCTGCCAGAGGCCGAGATTCAAGGATGTGTAGAGTCAAGAGGGTCGCACATATTTCCTACGAGCAATTGTCAGGGGCGGCGAACCAGAACGAGAAGTGAGCCCACTTCTGAAGATGCACTGTGTTCTCGCAGAGACAGTGTTGCTTTGTGTGTGATTTGCGAACGGAACTGCGAGACCGTGTCCCACTGTCGCTGAACAAGTGGTATTTGTTCCTGGACATAGCACGTCAACGACTACTCAGCTATTGCGTGGAGTAAACGTACCGAGACATCAATGCCATAGTCATGCCATGACTGGTCCATGTCTTCGTCCTCCTGAAGCAGCGTTCGGTGGACCACCCTCGCTGTCAAGAAAAGCCAAGCAGCTTTCAAGTACATCCTGTGTTCCATGAATCTCCACAGATGTTCCGGAGCATCCAGAAGAAGCTTCAGATGCGCAGACAGCGACTGCAAAGCCTGTATGTGTTTGTCTACACTGTGCGATGAGTATGCGAATTGTAGACTCCAGCTCTGTGATATATACCTTCCTCGCCTACATGGGAGCGTCTTGCAATCCGCGGCGGTTTCGCCGAACCAACGATATCACGCATTTCGTCCAAAGCCTGCAGGACGCGTCTGGACGAAGCCGCCATGGATATGATTGAACTTGAGGCTTGCAGAAGATCCCGATACCGTTCCCTGCGCTTTCATGGTATAGATGAGGAGTATACTACACAGACATAGTTGTGGACGTACCCAACCATAAGGCGAAGCTCTTCCTGTTTCCCCTCCGCATTCACCCTATGACCAGGACAAGAAACTCGCACACAGTCCGCGACGGCCTGACTCAATCGAAGCACACACCTTAGACGTTGTTGCACCTTTCTGACCTCCGAGACGGTATGTCTGCCAAACAACTCGTCTGGATCAATATTGCTAGGGTTCTCGATGGGTCCAACACGGTATCCATGGAGGATGCGGTGGACACTGATCTTCCTACGGGCCATGGGCTGCCATTTCCTTGAGGAACGCGGATACCATTGGGAACCTCCGGAGAGCCAGCTTTAGATAATCCTGCGGACGAGGATGAAGAAGCGACTGTTCGAGACATGTGCCGGCAGAGAAAGCCGGATCAGAGAACAAGTATGACGGCAGAACGCTTGCTGAGGGACCTGTGAGGGTATAGCGCGTCTTGTCCAGCGTTGTGGCCAACGTTGTGAGACGTCCGAGTCGGCGCGAGCACTGTTACACGATTACTAAATGCAGTATGTACGTGGACCTATGCATGTAACAGTGCAGCGCGTCCTAAGTAAGTTATCATATATTCACCAGAGCTCTGCTTCATACCATGACTTCTTTGAGGGTCGAGTTACAATTATTGCAGAGCATCTTGCCGTCCGAACTTCATGACGACGTTCACTTCCGGGATCGTACAACTGCAGGATACCATGACTGTCAACAGTAGTGTACATGCTATGCGTTATTCAATTGGAACGACCCGACTAGTAATCAGACGGAATAAGGAGAACACGACGACTATAGTACTCATTAGAAGTGGCGATGGACGCGGACAGATGAAGGAAGCGGCAAGTGCGGTACTGTGGCCGCGACTACTCGACTTTATTTAATGGGCCGCGGCCCCGAAGTCGATCCAGATCCCGCCTCCGTTACGTCTGTCTCTCCAGCAGGCTTTTTGGGCCCAGAAGCATCACTGCTCAGGCTCGTCGTGCTGCTAGCTGCGGGCCGTGATGTCCCATTGCTTTGCAATGGCCGTTGCGGGGACGCGGGCAACGAGGAAGCACCTGCTAAGCGTTGATCCAACGCTTTCAGCGCCATAGCCCTGCGCGAAGTAAGCACCACCAAGGTCAACGCCATCCATGCTGAGACAAGATCAAATTAGTGCCTGCCTTCTCCTCTCTGCTTCTGCGCGTGCACCTCCTGGTACAGCAGCGTATCCACCAGACTCGACGTCCGAGCCGCCTAACGGGATCAAATGGAACCTGGAAGCCAGCATGTAGGCTGTGTTTGAAAGCCAGGTAAGGGGTCCGCTGAATATCAGATAACGCAGTGAGCAACTAGTAGCGGCGAAGTTGACATCACTTACTGAAGGAGCGGCGGGAACCACGTAATGAATGCAAAAGTTTCACTCCTGTCCCCGTACAGAGGGCCACCGCCTAGGTCGCCGATATTCTTCTTGTAGAACCGTAGCCAGATGTACGATACCAGCCATCCAAATTGGATGACGATGAACGGACATTGGAATCCGATGATGCACATCACTGTCGAGAATGTGACATACGCCATGGGCAGGGTCTTCGACGACTATAAGGATACAGTACATAGAACAAGACGACGGGACGGACCTTTACTCTGGCCTTGAGGACACCAAACAGTTGCACTTGGTGTTCCGGTATGATTTGCCGGAACGCGACGAGGACGCCAATCTGCAACGCCATTTGACCATGGTACTGTTGGCCGTACCTAAGGCAGTCTTAGAAGATTCAAGCGTATTGATGTGAATGGCCTCTCACAGGAACACTGGTAAGCGCAGGACGATGTATTCAATCCAGTTCAGGCCGAACGCGATGATGTTCGAGACGGTAATGGTGACGGCAATGAACTTGAGCAATTCCACAGCACCCCATAGTCGTTCAAGGTATCTGAGAGAGGCTGGGATTACGAGGAGAGTAAACAGAAGCTGTCAACATATCAGCACTCGCCACGCTATCACGACGAAGTACTCACCTCTACGACGGTAGTCTCCACGAAAGCAGATGTCAGGAAGGTCCACGGATAGAATATACTTGACCCAGGAACGAGCACAAGATATGGCGCAGGGTAGCCCGACCAGGTCAGGATGTAGTACAGCAGAGAAAAGAAGACAGTAGCAGCGGTGTAGGCTCGAGTTGCCGGGGGAATGGCCGCGACGAATTGAGCGGGGGAAAACGACAGCACCGCCATTTGTGCTCACGCGTGCTTGATCCCTGTGCGTATGCTACTTCGTGGTCTTGGAAGACCAGTTCCTGCCGGTACAAGAGCCGAGGTGAGGGATGGGACGGGAGTGGATGCGGGAACCAGGCGGCTCGAGGAGACCTGGCCAGCACGGCGTCTGCAGGAAGCAGTCCGACGCGTGACCCAGACAGCGCGGGGAACGCGCGAAGTCGTGACGTTGTGACACTCGCGTCTTGCTCATGATCCACATCCACGACGTCCATGTCCGACTATGACTTTCGCCCTGGCGGCGCCCTCAAACTGAGAGGTGTTGCCGAGGGTGGGATTGTCAAGAAGTGAGCCTGCTTTCTTCCTCTGTCTCATCGTTGTCTCATCGCAAACAGGAAGAAGCAGAAGTCGAAATCGAAGGCCAAGGAGAAGGAAAAGAGTGCAGAGGATGAGCTTGCGAAGGAGATAGAGTTGCTCAAGCAGGAGGAAATTGTCAAGAGTTCATCTCCATCGGGCAGTGGTAGAAACTCCCCGGCGATCGCAAGTAGCAGTAGCGACAGGAAGACGACAGCGGAGAAGAGGTTCGAGGAGGTCCAAAGGAAGCGGGTACGGGTCAGCTTGTCTTGGGTTGCGTATTCATCGCTCATGATTTGATAGCTCGCTGAGAAGGTGGCGAGGCTGGCCAACAAGACCCACAAGGACCGTGTACACGAATTCAACAGTAAGCTGGAGGCTCTCAGCGAGCACCATGACATCCCCAAGGTACGTTTGCCGCCGTCGCATGTTGTAACAGTGGTTGACCTCTGCCATCTCCTCAGGTGGGACCGGGCTAATACGCCTCTACTGTACTGCGCCTCGTCTGTATCACTGCTCTTTGTAAACTATTCCATCTCGTCAAAATGGAAGTCATTTCGCGGTGGACTTGCTGTCGCTGCACGCTGTATGTCAGTCAGAGAAATGAAGGGTGTTGGATGAGCCGTCGTATGCGGATATTACCGTCCATGCCGTATCACTGTTTATCATGTATTTGTCGCTTGACGGAATTAGAATAAGTAGGACCTATAAACGTGACCACCCGCTTCTGCACCTCACCCTCGTCCATGCTTCCTCTGCACAATCTCAACTAGTACCGCCATGAAAGCCGCTGTTGAAGCGGCCACCGACAAAAAGGGTCACGTATGCCCGCCGTCGAACGCGACGCATCCGCGCGACCGCTGGGAGGCGGCGTTTGTGTACTCGTTCATTTGCAAGTTCACTCAGCTGCGCGCGAAGGTTGAGGGCTTGGATTCACCCATGGCGTGAGTGCACCGCTAGTCTACTGGATGTTTCTGCATGGTCTGAACATGCTCGGGCGGCGTGGTAGACTGGAGGAGCGTTGCTCTCGCCAGAACCGAACCCGATAATTACCCAGATCCTGGCACGCTTCATACTGAACTTGAGACCACAGACGCGTAATCTCAGGTGAGCAACCGGTTTTGATCCTTTCTGGGGCATAGGAACTCGCTGCTGACGCGGTTCATTGTCCAGTTCGGACGTGATTTCTGATACTTTGGCCACCGTGACCCTGGAATACCTCAAAACCTCGGAGAGGAGCATCTTCTGGGATGAGGACCTGAAGGCGAACTTGAATCCCTTTTTGGAGATGCAGAGTGGGTTCTTTGCGGCGTCGTGGGATTTCAAGGTGAGTGGCGCGTTCGTCGTGCGCTGCGAAAGGCTCAATGCATCCGCGTGGGTCGACGTGCAGCTCAAAATTATGCGGCAACTCGTCGAGCTGCAGCTCTGCCATAGCGGACAGATCAAGGCCGTCATCGATCGCGCGTGGGGGGTCATTCACAACAAACACAAGAAGTCAGAGACGACTGCTTCGCCGCCTCCACCGAATGATCCTCAGAGCAGGGAGAACCTTCAAATGATACCGATGGGACAGGACAAGGACCGGAAACGCTATTGGGCTGTAGATGGTCCGTGCACCCGTTTTCTCTATTGCTACTGCGAGCCCAAGTATTTGCGCGTATTTGCCTTTGGGGCGAGACAATTCACCTGCAATCGGCATCTTGCGGTTCCCTTTATTCACTTCATATGTGTTTCGCAGGGACTCATAAGACCTCATCCTTTACCAGTTTCACCGCGTCTGTACGTGTCCACGAACCCATGGAAGATCACAGCTACCTTCCAAGCGATCTCTTCGACACGGGAAGAATATATCGCCACCATCGACCGGCTTCGGACCAGCGCGCCCAAGCTCAAGGAAGGTCAACGTCCATCGAAAATGGAGAATGCTCATATGTCTCTGGTTGAAGAGCTGGAGAAGCGTCTGGAAGCCATAGACGCTGATTTGCTTGTAAGTCTACGTTTCATGGTATCCTTCGGCATGCTGAGTTGATGGGACGCTGTCCCGGACACCGCATGCATGCCGGAGGGCAACCGAGCGATTCCTCATTGTATAGCTGTCAATTTCACGTGACTAATTGATACTCTTCAGCGTATTCAACGCGCTCGCAAGAAGCTGGAGATGCGCAACTTGATGATAGCCCAAGCGGAAGTGCGAGAGACTCGCACTCGGCGGAAGGCAACTCGACCAGATTACGCGTACATGAACGACCCGATTAGCGAGGTACGTTGACCGGTGAGCACTTTCGCAGTATAGCTAATATTCGTTCAGGACGAGCAAGACGAGTACCAGTATCAGGAGCAGGACGACGATGAGTACGACGACCATGGCGAGTTTGATGATATGGCGGGGTTCCGTTCTGGGGATTCGTCGACGTCGAATCGCTATGCGGCAACGGGAAAACGAAGGTCCTCTCGAGCAGCTGCTACCAACGGCCATCGCGACAGCAATGGAAATGGACGTGTGAGCGAATGGCGAGGTGAACGACGATCTTCGCGGTTGGGAGCGTCGGTGGAAACCCAATTGGACGAACCGCCACCCAAGAGGGCGCGGACAGAGGACAGCATGGTGAGCAGCAACTCTGCCGATGCTGCGCCGGCAACGCAGAACGGCAAAGGGAAGGGCCGTACTCCAGCAGTCATAAAGCCGACGGAGACAGCTGTAGAGGCGGTCCCGGGGAAGAAGAAGAGCAAGTTCTGGTATTATGCCGTGGAGCCAATTCCCGGTGCACCAGCTTCAGCAGCCCCGCCACCTGCGGCGCAAGTGTCGCTCCAGGACTCGGGAGAGGATGTGCCGATGAACGGTCTGCACCTTGACGATTACTCCGAGGCATCGCGAGAAAGTGCAGGCAGCGAGGATGTGGATATTTATCGGAGAAGCATAGAAGGCAGTTTATCCCCCGCTTCCGCAATGGACGAGTCGTAATCATAGTCTACTTATTCACGCTATCCCTACTGCATTCACCGGTCCGAGTCTTAGTCCCCACCGTAATAATATACGTCGCATATCTTGGATCCTGAATGCAGGTACACTGAACAGCAGCGTAGATCTCCCACTGATACGCCTCGCAACCAGACGGGCGAATGGATCCCGGGCGCAAGTCTGTTGAAGCTCTGCGCTGACTGAATTCGCACGACGGTCATTGGAGCGCTGGAAGCGATCTCAGATTGCGAGGCACCACTTACAAACTTGTCGATCGGGGTCGCCCGCCACCAGATCCGAGTCGTCGGTCCTCGCCGGACTGTCTGTCTTGCCCTCGTCCCCATCTCGACTTTATGCTCGCCAAAGCCGCGCGCAATGCGCTCCGCAAGCATGCAAGACTCCCCTCCCGACTCCGGCTTGACGCAAAGAGGGAGGCACCTCATCTGTTCTGCCGAGCCGCCACCGCCACAGCTACGGTCCCACTACCAGCTTCACGCGACGACTCAGACATCATAGTCTTATTCGACCAGCCCAACGTTGCGCAGTGGGCTGCCTCTTCATCCTCGACTGGACTCTTTGGGCACCCGGTGCTGACCAGCCCTTCGGCCTTCAATGCTCTGCCGACTCTACTCTCCGGCGCGCGCATGTTCTTACTGAGCGTGTTCTCAGAGCACGCGAGTCCCGGGAGGAGCTCTTCAAGGTCGTTAAGAACCTTGACAGGCTCAGTGATCTCCTATGTGGTGTCATCGACCTCGCAGAGCTCATTCGCAACGCTCATCCCGACAAAGCTTGGGTACGAAGTGCCGATGAAGTTTACGAACAGTTATGCGAGTTCATGAACGTATTGAATACTCACGTCGGGTTATACGAGGTGCGTCTATCCTATCTTCCCGTCGGATTGGGGTACGAAACCAGCTATAGGTCTTGCATATGGTCCTCTCCGACCGGAGGTCGTGAAGTCTCTCGGGCCAGAGGCGCACCAGACTGCACTCATATTCTGGAGAGATTTGAGAAGTCGGGATAGACTTGCCCCCACAGCAACGCGACCGGTTTGTCTCCCTGTCTACAGAGATCCTCCTACTAGGGCGGCAGTTCCTCAACGAAACGGCGACCGCCAGAGCTCCGGCCGTGATCAAGCCCGAAGAGCTCCAGGGTCTGAAGGATATGGGCATGGGCGCGCGATTACGATTGCAAGCACAGGTAACGAAACGGACCTTCTCGTTTACCCGGGGTCGCTGCAAGCCCAGATGATCATGCGCGCAGCACCGGCAGAGGAGCCTCGGCGGAAGGTGTACATGGCGGCCAACGCCAGTTCACCGGAGCAAGTAGAGGTTCTGGAGAAGCTGCTGCGAGCGCGCGGGGAGCTGGCCCGACTAGTGGGGAAGAGCAGTTTCGCGCATATGACATTAGGCGATAAGATGGCGAAGTCACCGGGTGCGTATTGACAGTTGTGCATCTCGGCGATGCTGAACCTATTGCGTCTACTAGAGAACGTCCAACGATTCCTAGATGCGCTCTTAGACCACACCCGACCATACGCTAGAAGCGCACTACGCACGCTCAGTGTGCGGAAGCAAGCGCACCTTCATACACCACCATACCCTACCATCCAGCTGGGACAGGATTACTACTGTCCCCCAGAACCTCCCGCACCCCCTGTCGCGCTACCTCCACTTACTCTCGGCACTGTCTTCATGGGTCTCTCGAGACTATTCCAGAACCTCTAGGGATATCTCTGCGATTAGCGGATGTCACTCCTGGAGAAGTTGGCATAGCGACGTCCGGAAACTGAGGTGGTAGACGAGGACTCTGGCGTGCTCGGGTGGATCTACGCCGACCTCTTCGCGCGGAGAGGAAGCCCAGCGGCGCCGCACATTATACTGTGCGATGTTCGCGCCGCGTGGACGATGACGACGTTGAGGGCGACCTGTCTATGCTAACGAGTATGACAAAGCCGCCATGCAGACGTCTCGCGTCTTCGAGGCCGCTCACAGGCGGCAGTTCTCCGGACAGGAGGGCACGTTTCAGCTGCCGGTGGTCGTGCTGCTCTGCGAGTTCGCGAGACCAACCGTCGGACGCGGGCCCACCGTGCTAGAGTGGCACGAAGTCATGACACTCTTCCACGAAATGGGTCACGCGATGCATTGTACGTCGATAGCTTTCGTATATACATGCGTTACTCATGACATGTTGTAGCTATGATCGGCCGAACCGAGTACCAGAACGTATCCGGCACCCGCTGCGCTACCGACTTCGTCGAGCTCCCGTCCATCCTCATGGAGCATTTCCTCAACTCCCCTGCCGTCCTCTCCCTTTTCGACCCCAACGGCTCGCTCTACATCCGCCAAACCGGGAACCACCACGAGGACCCTTGCCGCTCCATCGATACCCACACGCAGATCCTTCTCGCCTCGCTAGACCAGATCTACCACTCACCTGCGGTGCTGGATAGCCAGTTCAACTCGACGACTGCCTTGGCAAAGTTATACGAGATGCGTGGGCTCATCCCCTACGTCCCTGGTACATCATGGCAGACCCAATTTGGTCACTTGTTCGGGTATGGCGCCACGTACTATTCCTATCTCTTCGACCGCGCCATAGCTTCTAGAGTATGGCGGAAGCTCTTTTCTCTGGATCCCCTAAATAGGGAGACTGGAGAACGGTTCAAACGTGAGGTCTTGCGACATGGTGGTGGTAAGGATCCTTGGAATATGGTCAGCACATTGCTCGACTCGCCTGATCTGCGAGCTGGTGATGCCGAGGCGATGGAGAAAGTGGGTAAATGGAGAATAGAAGACGATGTATCTTTGTCCGGGAGACACTAGGAGTTATCGCATCGCAATGCTACTGACCCTTGGTCACGGTGCACCCGACTTTGTTGATCACATTTCTGGATGCCTACCTCTATACTGTTATTGACGCTTTGAGGGCGATCCACGATGACGAAGTGCGAGAAAACGGCGAGGCTCGAGCATAGATTAAGAATAAAGTATCGACAGCAACACAGCATCAGACACAGCACAAACGAGGATAGCGGGAGCATAGAGCAAATGTGACCGGAGCGTGACTGCCGAAGACGAGGGCCAACAGACACGGAGGAACAGGGTCAGAAGACCTCGAATGAAGCCACTGGAACGAAGGGTATAGTGTAGTCGCCCAGCATAGGCGCATCCTTTTGCTGCAGAGACGAAGCGAAGGCAGTAGGGATTTGGATCGTGGTATCGATGTCGCCCATGAAGGAGGCCGAATAGTCCGCATAACTATCTCCGAACATGCTGTCCAGTCCTGCGTCTTTATTGAAGACGCTGTTCAGATCTGTATACAGGTCGAACGTCGAGCCTTCAAGTGAGAATGGAACGTCTGGTAAGGATGTCGGCAGCATGGGCGGTGTGAGCAGCAAGTCAGAATCGGATGATGAACTCGACATCGAAGAGACGGAGCGAATTGACGATAATGATGACATTCGCGACAGCAAGGGTGAGGGGCTCGGGGACGGAGTGGAGACTGGCGATGTGGATGGTTCCGGTGAAGTGGATATCTCCCGGGATGATGGCGTACAAGATGCTGTAGCGGCGTCGATACAGGATGCTGGTGACGCGCGGATGGATGCAGAGGGCCTTTGTCTGTTAGGTTTGCCCCTGGGATACGGTTGACCTGTATGCGCTGCGTCCAAAAGAGTAGACGGACCCCGGGGTGCAGTTGCACGTGATGTCGTGTTCCTTTGGGGTTGAAACGACAAGCGAACCCTTCGTCGTGGAGTGGTAGGTGAGTTTGCCTTCGTCTGAGCCAACCAGGCGTCACAGCCGTCCACGGAAATCTGCCTCGAGGTGCGTGGTCTGATACCTCTTCGGCGAGTCCTTGGGCTAGTGAAACATCCCTCCGAATGACACGCTGCCATGCCATCCGAACGTTGCCGGTTCACGGGTTGACAATGGGCCTCTGCATGCGTACGACCGAGTGAATGCGATGGTGCACGGAGGAGAGCCGGCAACGGGGCAGTGGGAGGTACAATCGCGAAACCGACCGAAGGACGAGGACGATCCTCAGGCGGCTTATCTGTCAGGCGTGGGCTTGTTTGCATCCCATCATGGAGACTGAGTTGCCCCAGACAAGTGAGGAGATCACCTGCATCGACGTCGTGGCATCTCCTGGAAGATGTTACGGCACAGCGTGACCAGGGGACTAGAAACCTGCGTGATGGTCCGGAAATAGGGAAAGGGTCGTAATCGCACAAGGGAGGATAGCAAACTGGGTACGCGTGTGGAGGGCGCTCCGAGTTGAAGGGCCCAAATGTCGGAACAGAGTCTGAGGAAGTGTGGTGCTGATAATGCAATACTTAAGCATCCAAGGTCAGACATCATGTTGATTGGGCTTACTGCATCGTCGACTAGAATGTCCTCCTTGGCAACTACATAGGTATCCAAAATCCTGGCCAGTGATGCTGCCAGGTCAGGAGGGAGCGACGCGTTGTTACTGTTGTCGCTGACAGAATTTGTGACTGCACTGGCGGGGTTGGCTTTTTTGGACCGACTACGCCGATTCTGGAACTAGTTTGTGTGAGCAAATTCAATGACCGATTTGTTTTTCACCTCGCTTACCCAGACGTTAATCTGTTTATACTCCATACCGGTCTGGCTGGCGAGTGCCTGCTTTTCAGCACGCGTTGGTCGTGGATTGCGTTCGAAGAATTCTTCGAGAGTGGGTACGGCAGTCTAGAGTTTGCTCAGATAATTTGTACAATGTACAACGAACATCACGCTCACCTGATTGAACGGTCGTTTAATTGGTTGTTCAGGGTATTGTTGAGCCTCGCGAATATCGCGGATGCGCGAAGCAACTGTGCCAATGATTTCAGATCGCCAACTCTGGAGGGTCTTCAGGTACCTGGTGACTAGAACTGTGCAGAACTTTGCCCCCAGATTAACAACACCCGTGTGACCAGAAGGCTCCGCCTGAGCGTAAGCTTGTAGGGCATGTCGACTGTGTAGCTCATACTGGCTTCTTAGCCGCAGTGCAGTGCGACAATATGCTGAAGATATTTTCTCGGCTACCGTAGATCGAAGACCCAGAGCAATGAGATCAGAAGAAATGGGTTGTGGCACGGAGAAGGTTGGCGCCAACGGAGGCTGCACAGGTAGAGGTTGTGACGGCCGCGAAGAAAGCCTCTTGGACGCCGCGGTCGCGATCTTGAAGGCACTAGACGCGATGCGCCGTAGCGTCATCATCTCTGTAGACAGCGACATGGCAGGGCGAGAGTTTGAGGGATGGGGAGCGGGGATATCAACGCAAAGACAAGCACTCGAGTACCAGTACTTCAATAGCCTGTCTGAGCGTGCGAACTGCACCGGACTGTGGTCCAATCGGAGCTCGAGGACAATAGACATTTCCTGGGGCACATGACTACAGCCGTTTGCACCCGAGGTCCCGAAGGAACCCGATGTGGCGAACAATGCTTGTTGCGCACGTGCAACGGGGGACAATGGACGCGGATTTGATTCGTGCCATTTACATACTGGGAACAAATATTTGGGAGGCCATCACGAGTACCAAATATTTGCACCTGTGGTCGTTCCCTCAAGCGCTCAAGCGGTAGAATCTTATATGGTTGCCCACGGTGTGGTCGTAAGTCGTAAATCCCCCAGCCAGCCATCCCATCGCTATGACTTCAATCCGAGAACGCCTGCTTGCAATCGAGGCTGAATTTCTCTCTTCTGTCGTGTCCGGGACTGCTGCTCTGGAAACTTTCAGTGACCAATGGCGCGACATTCTTGCGGACGTCGCCAGTGCCGTGGAGATGTCGAACTTGGACGAAGAAACTATCTCTCTGGCTCATGCTGTGTCGTCCAACATTGACGCGTTCGCCTCGTCTTTCGAGGACTTCTTTGTTGCGGCCGACGAGATACAAACCACCATGGACACCGAACTCGAGGATGCGTTGAGTCGGTTAGTGCTTGGCACCGACGAAGGCGAACAAGATTTGTCAATGGCTATGAAACCTTCACCCTTTATCACTTCCGCCGAGTCTTCCTTAGAAGAAAAGCCTACATGGCGTTCTGGTCAGTATCGCTATGTGTGAATACTTTCTATGCTGATGCCGCCGCTTGTGGCAGCTTCTTACCCATCTCCGGCTAGTTCCAGAACACCCTCGTTGGTGTCTGATTCTTGGTCCGAGGACAGTGACGATGAAGACGACGACGTATTTCTGGATCTCTCTCATAAACGTCTTCGTCAGGAAGACGACCCCGAGGAGCTTATTCCCTGTCACAAACGACGCCGGTATGTATCAGAATGTTCTCATAGGTAGCAACATTCATCGGGTCATAGATTCATCTCGTATACATCCACCGACACATGCATGTCATGGCTGCATGGACTCGATTCTCATGACGCCCCGGAAGTCCGGGGGGTTGCCCCACGCAAGATACTACCCCTTCCTTCTCGTACATCATCCGTCAGCACGGAGTTGAACTCGAGCCTGCGACCCTGCGTTTCTCAGCGCAAGCGTCGCCTATCCCAGACCGACGCGTATCCGGCCCCGAAGCGGCCTCGCGGTATCAACACGGACACCAGGAGGCAGGCGGTCTCAGCTCCTCTTACAGGCGAGGCCAACGACCTCGAAGAGCAGACGCATGATATCGTTCGCTGGGCCTGGGATTACAAGACTATTGCGCCGGCCACATACGCGCCACCGGATCCTTCCATCCCCATGGAAGTGCGTGTGGGTTGGGGTCGCCCTGCTGCCTCTGAGCTTACTAGCAGTTCTATGGCGGGCTGCTGTTCCGGTACGGACACTGTCTCGGTTCGTTTGCTGCTGCGTAGCTCTGATCCTTGTTTCACCTTCAGTGACGGCGAGCGATAAAGCACTGAAGGAGAAGCGAAAATCGGGGACTTTGGCTGAGGTCGCCTCCAGCGCTGATACCGACGCAGTTGATCCCTCAAGCAACGAGACCTCTTCTGGAACAAGCGTCGCTATGGCCTCAGTCCCGCTGGCCGGCACTGATGATATGCCCATTCACGATATCGAAGAAACCTCACGAGCCCCGGTGACATTGGCCGCTGGACCGACCAGGTCCTCGATGGTCGCATTCCCTGACTCTCCGACTTCGCTTTCCTCTATGCACGTCATGCCTGGAACTGGAAGCGAACAAGTTTCTTCTAACATGTGGGACGGACCACATAGCCGGTCTCAATCTCCGTTGGGGGCGCCTCCTTCTTTCGATAGCGCCGTGGCCAACCCTTCACTGGTTCCGCCCAGCTACACTGTGGATGACCCATATTTGCCATCGGGCTCCATTACTCCTCCACCTCCCTACCGTCTTGCATCCGAAACGAAGGCTGGCACGAGCGACAACATAGCCGCCAACGCACTGGACGTAATGGCTCTCTTCGCTGAGCTGCTTCCTCTCGCCTTCCACGGGCAGAAGCGTGGTTTCTCCGAGGCATTCCACCAACATGTGCAGGTCCCGCAGGCGGGCATGGCGATCGCCGTCTAAGTAGGTAAGTCTCAATTTTGTCTCGGTGTCATGAAATCTCACCTTTCTCACATAGGTATTCGGCACTTACCTCGTCTGTATCCTTATTGTATTTATCGCCTGCTTCCCGTCTATACCCTACTGAGTTCGCTACTATACCCCTTCCCCGTCGTTGCCGCGTCTCCGCGCGGTGCGTGCGTAATATATGGTGTCATCGAGACCTGTTGGGGTCTGCTTTGATATCGAACATATGTCCAGTACGTTCATCAACGCGGGGAGAATGAGAAGGTTCAGCCAGTTTCGATCACGATCGCGATCGTTGTTGGCCACTGCGGCTGAACGGAACTGCCCGATGGCTACTGTGGCACTCGGAACTACCCGGTGGCTACTGTGGCACTCGCCACTCGTTGTCCATTAGTACTTAGTACCGAAGGCAGGCTGGCCAAAATCTATTTGCCCTGCCTCCGATGACGATGGGACTCACTGTGTCGATGTTACAATTTATAAGTGTGTGAGGCCGCCCTGGTGCGCTGCGGAAATGTCGTAAATATGCAGCACGCCTCAACGGCGTAGCGCGTGGCGCGGGCTTCGGATGAACCTAGAAACCTGCCTAAAAAGGGAAATGACGTTACTCATTCCGCATGACTACTCACAGTCGACGGCTGCAGCTGCCGCGGGGGGTTCGGGGCCTCTGGAGCTTTGGCGGGCCTACGGAGCTGCTCGGCACTCTCACTTCAGATGCGCGGGGCACTCATATTGCATGGGTCTCCGTCCGACCCACACGGATGTGACCAACTATATAATCAGGGGTCCTGCACGCACCTGTGCCCGCTGTACCTCCGCCTTACCCATGGCATCCACTGACTCCCAGACACAAGTTGCTGAGCCTGCGCTCGACGCCCCAAATGCTGCCTCCGCTCCAGCGTACGAGCATGATCGTCAGTCCCATGACAGCGGCCGAGAGGCCACACTGACCTCTGGTCTGGACGACTCAGAAAAGGCCAAAAAGTCATCACCTGAGAAGCAAGAGCGCGCAAGCGAAGATGACGGTGTCATCATAGTCGATTGGGAGGGTCCGGACGATCCAGCCAATCCGAGAAAGTGCGTCCTTCAACGCTTCGTCAATCGTCAGTAATCCGAACATACACATCCAGTTGGTCGACGAAGAAAAAGTGGGCTGCCGCGGTCACTGTGTCGGCATTTACCTTCATCTCGCCAATATCGTCGTCTATGGTCGCCCCGGCAGCCGAACAGATCGCTGAACAGTTCCACATAACGAGCGGCGCCATAACCAGTCTGACCGTATCGGTATTCGTTCTTGCCTATGGTGAGAACTTTGAATTTCCATCAGTGGCTTGAGAGCTCATGCACCGTCGTTAGCCGTCGGACCGCTCTTTCTAGGTCCCCTGAGCGAGATGTTTGGACGTGTTCATGTCCTCCGTGGCGGAAACTTGTGGTTTACTGGTCAGTCGATTCACACCTCATCGTGCGGTTCAGCCGCCGATTTACCACACTATATTTGCAGCATGGAACCTAGGCTGTGGCTTCTCGCAGAACACTGGCCAGCTGATCGCGTTCCGATTCCTCGCAGGCCTTGGCGGCAGCGCACCCATGGCAGTAAGCACCCTTGTGTTGAGAGCGTAGGCGCACCAACTAACCTTTGCCCTAGACTGGCGGTGCCGTCCTCAGTGACATGTGGCTACCAGAGCAGCGTGGGCAGGCCATCGCTATCTACTCTCTAGCACCTTTGTTGGGTCCGGTCATTGGTCCAGTGGCGGGAGGCTGGATCGCAGAACGGTCTACCTGGCGATGGGTCTTTTGGGCAACGACTATCGTCGCTGCATTGGTTCAGCTCTGCGGACTTATCTTCCTGAAAGAGAGTGAGTGTCTCCAACAATACGCTGTGCCTTAGCTCTGACCTTGTGTCCACTACAGCATATGCTCCGATACTCCTGGAGCAGAAGGCAGCCCGCATACGCCAGGGAATGGATCCCGAAAAAGGTGCCGTTCGGGAGGTCCGTAGTGCGCAATCGACCGGTAAACAGAAGTCAGTCTGGACGATGCTCACCACACCTCGTTACTGACTGCATGTGCAGCATGGGAACCCTATGGCGGAAGTCACTCACCCGCCCGTTCATCATGTTCGCGCATGAGCCCATCATCCAGCTGTTCGGCCTGTACATGGCCTTCATCTACGGTGTCATCTACTGTATGTCCCGCGTTTTCACCGACATAGACAGCGAGCCTCATGATGACCTACAGTGGTATTGACGACCATTCCGGGTATCTTCTCTTCCGTGTACCATGAGGATGTCGGTATCGGTGGTTTGCACTACATCGCCCTTGGCCTTGGTACGTACCTTGTCTTAACTGAGCTTTATCTACCTACCTAACCTTCCCGCGCAGGACTGTTCGTTACCACGCAGATCAATGCCCGAGTGATCGACCGGATATACCGAAGGATGAAGGAGCATAACGGCGGAGTCGGCCTACCGGAGTTTAGATTGAGTATGTCCCACGTCGCAGCTGCGGTTACCTGCAACCTACTGACACGCATGAATGTTAGTAACTGTGTTCCCGGGCACCGCTTTGATTCCCGTTGGACTGCTCATGGCGGGTTGGGGAACGCACACCCACTGGATCGTCGTGGATATCGTGCGTAGAGCACCCTTGTCAGTCGAATAGCCACCTACTGACATACCGTCTCACAGGGTCTCGCAATGATCGGCTCCGGGATGATCCTGACGTTCCAGGGAATGCAAACCTACGTTATCGATGCCTTCACCTTGCATGCTGCGTCAGGTATGCTCCTCGACACCTACCGTATGTGACCGCCCATGCTGATCAATGTGAACAGCGCTCGCGGCCGTCTCGTTCCTCCGCTCAATAGCGGGTTTCGGATTCCCGCTATTCGCGCCTGCGATGTACAATGCGTTAGGCTATGGCGTGGGTGATACCATCCTGGCCGCGGTTGCGGTTGTCGTGGGACCACCAGCGTACGTGCCTTAGCACCATGGCCCGATGACGACGTTAGCTAACGAACCGTGATTGTAGGGTATTCACCTTCTGGAAGTACGGCGAGAGGATCCGCGGCATGAGCCAGCACGCTCGACGCGCGCCAGTCAAGAAGTGAGAACAGCGAGGGAAACAGCACACACATCCTCGAGGCTGCACAAAGCCGGAGCTTCAACGCTCACCTTCGCAATGACGGATCATGATACCATACCGGCATTCTACTACAGTGCCAACTGATGAGGGACGCACCTAGAATCGCAATGTCCATACGCGCTCGGTACCCAGATGCTAGGTTAGCATGGGACAGACTACCATACTGCATAGCATCATTCTTCTGCTACCATCTCATGGGACTTTTCTTGATTAGCATGAGTTGACGATCGCACCTACATACGATACCTAGCATGGCATGTCAGTGTACTTACCTTAGCGTCGCTGTTAATCTGCAATGAAATCGATCTTTACGCCGCATGGACGATTCAAACCAATCAGTGAGCGGGGGAACTCGCGAAGAGCGAGGCATACGTAGTGCATCACAGGTTAGACGAGAGTATGTCGCTCACCTCGATATGCTAATGCTTGAAAATGGGGAGTGGCACACTCATGAATTCTGGCGGGTGTGCTCACCTGGCTCGCATGCATATCGTATTTTGTGTCGCTCGCATGTCCAGCGGAGTATATTAGGGGATAATGGAGGAAGGGGGACACGGGAAGAACGAAGCAGGATGGAGGTTGCGCAATGGGAGGAGGGCAGGTGCACCGACCGGCGGGTACGGCTTATGTGAGTGCCGCGTATGCCTTTTACCTCATTCCTTATTCAGAGAACAATGGCCAAATCACTGGAAGGTCGGCTTGCCCGAGGGCCAAAGCGATACTGGCTGCGAGGGCCAAAGCGTAGTGCTGTAGTGGTCAGTTACAAGAGTCCGATACAACGAGTGTGACCGCATCAGAGCGATGTAAGTGGAGGTACTGACCGTCGATTAGGAACGTAACAAACGTTTACTGATTGTCACGTTGTCGCGTTATGTCACAGCGTTACCTGACGCGGTGGTGACATGGCTGGTGAGCACTCCCTGTCCCCAACCTGCTCCCCTCGTCCACCATCCTTGTCGGCATTGTCGTCGCATTGCCGAGTCAAAGCTACTAATATAAGCGCTTATTACTTTGAGAAACGCGTTCTTCACAGCTCGCTCACCATGGCCGTTCAGAGCCACATTGTGAGGCGCGTCTCGCTGGACCACCTACCGAACGAGCTTCTGTTCCAGATCGTGTCCTACTTTGGAGACCAAAAGGCCTTTCCGAAACGATACCGCATTTTAAACACGCTCTCGCAGCTCAGTCGTCGCTTCCGCACTTTTGCGCTGTTGGTTCTTGCCGAAGAAATATCCGTTGCTACGTGCGACCAGTTCACGGCCGTCGTTTCTTCTCTCGAAGCAAATGGTCGTGCGGGCTATGTCCGGTATGTATCTCATTCGCTCAGACGTCTGCCCATGCTTAAGCGAGAATAGTCGCGTGCGCATAGGCCATTTGACGGAGCCGTCACCGTACATCGACACGTTGCCGGTGCTTTGGTGCATGCGCCGATCTGGTAGCTTGCGCGCGCTGAGGTCCTTCTCCTGCTGGCAAGGCATCCTTACCAATGCACATCTGCTGCTCCTCGAGGGATCGCTGCACCTCACCGACCTCAGCGTCGTGCTCTATGAAGATGCCATGCCCGTGGACTTCGGGCGCTGGCACCAACTGCGCACGCTGCGCGTCGAGTTCTGCGCGAAGACTGCGCCCTTCGGCTGCGCAGTCACATTCCCCTCCTACGCCAACCTCACCACGCTCGCCGTCAGCGATGCCGTAGGGTCGGAATGGCTGGACGCCCATCTTCGCCATGCTCACTTCCCAAGCCTTCGCGTTCTGAATCTGCAATATGCGACATCGCCGCCATGGCTCGTCTATCAATTCATACACAGGCACCCGACCCTCCTTGAGGTCAACGTCGGCTTCGACCCGAACCTGGATCACTGGCTTGCCTTCGATCGCCTTCTGAAGCTTATCCATGGTACAGGGACGTGGGGACCTGAGTCGGGCACCCCAGGGTCCATGCATGACGATCCTATCTTTACCATGCGCGGCATTCCGGCTCTCGACCAGGAGACATACTGTGTGTCGACTCGGTTCGCCTTCTCCCGTGTCCCGCTATACCCCGAGGCGACGCAGTGGGACAAGCCCGAGGGCTCGCAACGACAGCGCTATGCTGCTACGGGCCTGGCGCTTTCCATTGTCGATCAATGCTTCTGGGAAGACAATGGCACCGACGTCGTGCGGCTCCACCAGTTCCTGGCGAGGATGCCAGGGGTCTTCCCTGAGTTAGCGGAGCTGCGCCTGGCGTACGGCACGCCGTATATAGAGGGCAGCTTCCAAGAGGTCATGCAGTCCTGCGCCGCCAGCTTGACGAATTGGACCTCCCTTCGCAAGTTCACATTTTCGTGGGGGATGTCAGACGACGACGAGGGCGAGGAGCCCTTCCCTGACCTGTTCAGGTGGCGTCCCGACGCTTCCGACTCGGAGGAGGAAACATCCGACATACTTGATGAGGTCCAGCCTCCGATACACGTCCAGCGGGAATACTTCGACAGTGGCGAATCTGGGTCGCTGGCCATTTGGCCACGCACGGGCCAGCCGTACACCGCCCGGCAGCTGGAAACGCTCTTCCACCTGAGCGTAGGCGACGTCGAAGCCATGCAGGAGGCGATCCGCGCCGTATGCGACCCCGGCATCGACGACGACACACTCATGGATACGCCGGGTCTTCCGCTGAAAGCATGGGTCGCCAGGCACGAGCCGCTCATGTTGAAGATGATGCGCCAGCTTGCCGTCAGCTGTCCCACTCTGGAGACGATCGCGTGGCACCCTGTACGCCAGGCGATCTGGTGCTCGCCTGTGCGCTGGCTGTGGAAGGTGCACAGAGAGAAGGAGTCGCAGGCCCTGCGCATGCTGTCGAACGAGTTCACGTATCAAAACTGCCCTCAAGGTGATCCTCCGGCGCTGCACATCCTCGTGGGACAGGAGTTAACGGTAGCTGAAGAACATCCGGCGATGGTACATAGGAAGTGAACTACTGGAGGACTCGGGCATGTTTGACGTTTGTGACCATGGGTTTGCTGATGGCGACTAATCTGTTTCTACTCACCGAAATCTAACCACCTCGACAGTCAGTTAAATTTGTTGACTACGTGCAGTGCGTATGTATGTCTACGTGCTGTAGCATCATACTTCTTTCTTTCTTGACGCGTATCCATATCTTGTAAATATGTACCTCAGATCTTGGAGGCAATCAATCTATTTATGTTCCTACGACTGCTTGATAACTTGTAATTCACGTTACGCGCATTGCGGCATGTCTGCGTTTGACAAACCCCATATATGCCACACCCGCCCAAATGCTCAAGCGTCCATATGTCAGGTTGTACGTTCTATTTCGCTCCGAAGTTCGACGCACCTGCGCAGTGACGGTTCCTACAATCTCCATGACTCGCAATATTCTTGTTTAACACATAACTTAGTATACATCGGTCAGTGTATCATTACATAGATGACAACTAGGCTACCACGCGACTCTCTACATGATATAATACAGCTTGCTTCGAGGTAATGTCTCTTGCTTCGAGGTAATGTCTCTACATCAGCTCAGAGCTCTCCGACCTTCGTCGTCTGGGCTCCACTGGTTGCGGGGTATGGGTTGCCGACGACGTGAGGACCGGACTCGAGGGGTGCTGTGCTAGAGGGTACGCCATCTGGCTTGCCAGTCGCAGAACCACTGGTACCAGTGGTGCCGGCGACATACGTCTTCGCCTGCTCGATGTGTGGCTGAGCAGCGGTCTGCGCTGAGGCAAGGTAGTCCTTGCCCGTCTCGAACGCAGTCTGCGCAGTTGACTGCACGGTGGAGGACAGGTTTCGCGTCGTCGAGCCTTCCTGTGCTTGGCTGTTGAAGAGCGACTAGACCACCATGTTAGCAACATAGAAATGTACGCAAGATCTACAGAACATACCTGAGCAGTCGCATACGCGCCGTTGGCGAGGTTCTTTGCCTGTTCAACAGCAGTAGCGGCGGTGGTTCCAGCCATGTTCTTCGCCGCCTGGACGTCGAACTGGCCCTGGTTAGCCGCCTGAGTCGTCGCCTCGCTCAGAGAGCGTTGAGCCTCGAGCTCGTTCACTGCAGAGATGACCTGAGGCTCGATTTGCTGGAAGGAAGGAAGCTCGAGTCAATACGAGCGATCCTACGTACACACGTCGAACTGACGCACTTGGGCCTCAGAGGCAGCTTGCCGTGCGGCGGTCTGAACCTGGCCGGCGTTCTTGCCGACCTCGTCAGAGAGTTCCTTGGTCGACATCTCGGCCTGCTGCCACGCAGCGCTGGTCTCCCAGTGGGCATCAGTGCTGCACGCAACCGCAATCAGTATCTGGACACACGACAGCATACACATATGTCTTGAAGAAGCGAACGCACTTGTTGGGTGCCTGCGCACCGATAGTGGTGGATCCTGCCTTGGTAGAGTTGGACATGGTGATTGAGTGGGGTATTCAGAGGTTGGTCGTGTGCAGGTCGTGAAGTAAAGAGGACAGAAATAGTGGGGGCTCGTCAGGCGAGTGAGGCATTCTTAAGTACTGTGCAGTGGTTCCTGGGTGGATACGACGACGAGTGCTGTCACACCTGCACCGACGTCATCCAGTCCCATCTCAGGCGGATGGAGGCGCGTACAGACGCGCCAACTTCAATGACGTCACGCGTACCCGTCACGCGGAATGCAGTCTTTTCGGCGTCTGTACCAGCTGTCTATTACGGTAAAGCGACGCGTACGCATTGATAGAGAAAGGAGAACGTCCGTTGTACACACAGTAGCGTGCCAGGCAACATAGGGGATAACACGCGAGAGGGTATGAAAACACCTGGTATCACAGGGTGCATCGAACGGAGAAACGTGGGAAATGCAGAGATCATCGGCGATTGCAGGAAGACACGAATCTTGCAGGGCGGCTCGGAAAGTGCAGGGGCAGTGAGAAACGAAGAGAGAAAAACAGGTTGATGAGGCTAGAAGCAAAGGAGGAAGGAAACGGAATAAAGACAGACAAACATCACGCTTCGTGAAAAGGAAACACATATAGACAGGAAGGAACTTCACGGGGAACGGGCCTCTATCTCTCTGCCACTACTCTTGCTGCTGTTGAACCTGGTTCTGACGACGTTCATCCTCTTCGAACGGGCCCATGCGCAGGAAACGGGCGAGTACTTCTTCCGAACTGCGCTTGAAAACGTCTACGCCACGCGCGGGGTCCCACACACGTCCTGCTTTGCGCGGAGGGGGAGGGGCGGTCGCGCTCTCGGGCGTCAGTGGCATACCTTGCGTGGACGGCGACGACGTTAGGTTGGTGTCGTTCGAGACTGAGCGAGACATCGGAGGCCCAAACGGAGAGGTCAATTTGGGAAGCTTAGGGGAAGGAGTACTGGGCGGCGGGGTCGACGATAAAACGGGCCCGACCCTCGGCGAGGCAGGCTTGCTGGGAGGCGTGCTGCCAAATGAAGACTTGCGAGGGGTGGTGAACTGCTGCTGTTGCGCAGATGACAGCCTGCGAGGCGACGCGCCCTTAGGCGTAGACGGCACTCTGGCAGGACTCGCGGTACCAGACATGGGCGGGGTGGACATCTTGGCCGGAGTAGGGACCTTGGGAGGGCTCATGACACGCGGAGGCGAGGGGACCTTCGGCGAGCTCATCTTGGACGGGGACAGCGCATTGGGCGGACTCAACGCCTTGGGTGGAGAGTAAGTGCGTGGCGAACCAAGCGTCTGAGGGGACCGCAACCCAGTCGGCGACGCAGAAGACGGGAATGGCACCGTTTGCTTCAGGGACTGGCTGAGAGCCGGAGTCGCTTGTCCCATCTGGTCAGGATCCATCCTGAACTCATGCACGGGCGCCGGCGGCAACAGGGTAGGCGGAGGCAGAAGGCGGTTCTTGGCCAAAATTGGACTAGATGCCATATCACGCTTTGTCTTTTCCGGGACCATCCTGGTCGATGGAGGCGGCTGCTTAGGATCTCTGGACACCGGACCATCACCATCCGTGGACAACGAGCGAATCTTGACCTGGATAGCCTGGTGACGAGTCTCAACAGGGATGGTTTGCACACCACGCCCGCGGTACTTCCTCCCTTTTGCGGCCGTCGCTGACGCAGTACTTCCTGACCTCGAGCGGCCCCCGGAATGACTGCCGGTCCCTAAGGCGCTATCCTTTTTGCTCTCACCGTCCCAATCGTCCTCGTCGTCACCTTCGTCCTCGTCATCACCATCCATGCTGCTTGCATCCTGCCGCGCCTGCGCAACCCGCTCGCGCTCCTTCTCCATGCGCCTCCACGCGTCGTCATCCGTCCACTGCGCGGAGCGACGGCGAGGCGAACCCGTGCTCTGATACGGCACATGCTGAAAAGGATACTGATGATGCGGCCTCACAAGCTTCGACGCGTACTTCTGTATACTGGGTACTGTGTCCCACGCATTCGCATACGTGAGATGGCCCGGCAGCCCAATCGTCGGCGGCGTCGGCGCTTGCACATGCAGCGCAGGTCGTATCTGGCCCGGCGACCCGGCGACCGCCTCAGGCGAACCCTCTGGGGTGAGTGCTTCCTCCTCAGCCTGCGTGGCGGACGAAGACATCGCCTCATTCTCGATGTACTTCGTCGTAGCGAGGGGAACGTCTGAAACGGGGAAGACCCGCTTCGGGGTGTGCTGAGGCTTTTGCTCCCAAGGGAACACCGCCTGCACCTTGGTCGGATCGGGGACGGGCTGAGCAGGAGGGGACCCAGGGCCTGCAGGCGGTGCTTGTCCAAAGACGTTCGAGTACTGGCCCTGAAGGAGAAGCTGCTCTGGTACACGGCTCGGAGGAGGCGGCCGGAAGAACGCGTCCGAGTGCGGCGCGGGCACGTAGGGCACCGGTGGTGACGGGAAGGCTTGATGCGCAGCGTCGTGCTGACGCGAGGGCGACTGGTCCCAGACATTGGGGAAATACGTGTCTGTGGGGAACGCGTTGACTACAGGAGGGTTATTCGGGGGAGGCTCAATGGCCGGGTTCCAGGACAACTTGGAGGCGAGGAGGGACGAGGGGGAGAGCGATGCTCGTGGTGTTGATGATGCTGGTGTGCATGCGGGTGATGTTGAGGTTGGTGGTATGGAGGCGAATGATGCTGAGGCGAATGGCCAGGAGAATGACGAGGAGAATGGCGGTGGTACACAGAGGGCATCGGGATCGGTTCATGCTCGGGACTGCTGTTTTGAGGGGAAGGAGGTTGGTGGCGGAACGGCTGCTGATGCTGATGCTGACGGTGGTGGTGGTGTGTTCCCTGATGCTCGGGCTCAGGCTGCCACTGTTGCCGTTGAGAGTCATGCGCCGTCCTTGATCTTGGTGCTGTGTTGAGAACTCTCTGGACCCGACCACTGTTCACCTTGGGTAGGGTACGACAAGGCTGGCGGCGACGATCTGCCCTGCTGATAAGGTGCAGGCGGAATCTCGTTGGGGCTAGGAGTAGGTGCGTGTGCATCCTCGGGCCATCGCCGCCTCCACTGGGATGCAGTTGTTTGTACTCTTCCTGAGTGGGCGTCAAGTCCCGATCACGGTCGTTTCGATGGCCTTCGCCTGTCCCTGTATGCTCGTCCCAAGTCTGAGTCTGCGGCCTCGGTTGGGGCTTAGGCCGCATCAAGTCGACACGACCTCCCAACGGCATAGAGCGGTACTCGCCCACTTGAACAGCGCTTTCGGTGTCAGCGACAGAGCTGCCCATGTTACTCATACCCTCTACGGCAATTCTCCGTAGATCCTCCAGACCTAATGTACCACCAGGATGAGTAGCTGTCCCGCTGAGAGTGATGGGAGGAAGCTCCGCGCCGAGCTCGTCCCGACCATTTTCGTCCCAGACCGAGGCATATCTCCGGACCTCGAATTCGGCGCGCGCCGTGGGCGCGTCCGAACGGTAATACCTGTCGTACACGTCGAACCAACGGTCGACGAGCGAGTCAAAGTTGTACACCTGCTTGCGCTTCTCCTCCTGGGAACATTCGCATCGTGCTGCCGGGAGGGTTTGATACCGGGAGCCCGGTACTGCAGGCTTGCCCAAGGTTTACTGGGGCCAATGAAGTGAATCGCCGATATTTGCGAGCCAAATCGTTCATAAGCGGGGGCGTATCTGAGCATAGGCGCGTCAGCAACGGCAATGATACAGAACGGGTCAGCTGGACGCGACAACCACTCACGTGTACGCAGCAGTTGGTGTTGTATTGTAGGTGAAGCTCAGGCGGTGCCAGTTCCCGCCCCTCCATTCGTTTAAGAGTCCTTGGTCCCCTCCGTCCCAGCTACCCTTGGTCTTGAGGAGCTGGACGAGCTGGTCGAATTTATCTTGACCGGGATTCAGCACCAACACGCCGGAATTAAAGATATCCGGCCAGCCGACATCCGGCACAGCTGCGAAATCATGAGGTATGTTGAACAAGTGCGATAACGGCCGTATCGGAAGTACGTCTGCGTCGAGGAATATTATCTTCTGGTACTGCGTCAGGCGAAATATGTGTAATTTTGTGAGCACATGACTGAGATCCGGACGACCTAATACAGCGGAAGGGTGATCAGCAATTTTCATGGCGCATATATGGACAAGAAGAAGCGAGACATGTCTATAAGTACGGCATAGGGAACAATCGAGACTAGGGTCGGGCTGGTGACCTAGTCACGGCCCCGTCCTTGAGACGGATCATGTTCCCCAGCCCAGAAATTATACACGAGGTGCTATGCACGCCACTCGTGGTGAAGGACCAGAGTGCGATGGGCTTACACCGCTTTGTGGAATTCCTGCGAGTTCCGAATTGTATACTCACCGAGTAGCTGCAGACCCTTCTCGTCCTCCTGCTCTATGAGCTCAACGCCGATCACGACATTGAAGGCGCGGCGGAGGAGCTTAATGGTAGACACATCTATGCTCTCGGGGGTAACGAGGCACACGGTCTGGAAGTTGACTTCCGGAGCCTTGGCAGGTGTCGGGTGCAGGTCCTTGAGTGCCGCTGCGACTGCGAGAGCACCGGGAAGGTAGTGGTCGGACGTAACTAGAGAAACAAAGGCAAAAGGAATGGACATGATGCGACGGAGCGCAAGGGGGCGTCGTCGACGCGTCCTCAGAGGGCGGACAGCGGTCGAGGTTGGAAAGAGAGTCGAGCGTCTGAGACTTTGCTCGAGCTGAGTGCTGGGCGCTTACGGGTCATCTCGCGTCCCTTACGTACAGCGTCTATCACCTCCTCCACTGGCCCGCCGTCGACTCGGCCCCGCGGGGGCGATGGCGTCCGGACCTTCTTCCCCACATCGATCGCCCCTCGTTCAAATCCTCCCCCTGTGCGAATATGCTTAGCCTATGTAAGAATGAGTGGACAGCGCTTTGTATGTGCGCAGACGCCTCTGCCTCGATGTATGCCAGGTGCGGAGATTGACAATTTGATGCTGTCACTGCGCCGATCCGCTGGGAGGTACGAAATACCCAATATGTTGAATATCGAGCGCGCAGAAGCACAAAAACACGTAAAAGAACGCTGCAAAGGAAAAATCCAAGTCGTACTATGTACTGGCTCGACCCGCCAGGCAGTGCGCAAGGACATTCACCGCTATATCGCCACGAATGGCCCCGTATGAACAAGGAGATGCGGATACGTGGGCATTGCGACCGCGATAGCGTGGCAGAAAGGGTGTGAATTTGGATCCCAATGAATGCGATGCTCAGACGGAATCGGGCACAATTCACTGGTGCCACATACATAAGCTTACTGCATAGCGCTACACAGGCAGCGGTTTCGTCAGCCCGCCTCGCCTTGGCTATGTAGTCAAGAGCTTGTCACCATCTGCGATGCACCCCTTCCCTGCCAAAGTCTCCGAAACTCTGCTTCACTCAATTACACTGCTGCCGCCGGTCGGAGCGTGGAGCCTCAAATTCGGATCGAAAGACGCACCCAGCCCCATCTTCTTGAAGTGTTTCTTTGCACCGATTCCTGTGGACCACCATGGTCTCATTAGCCACAAGTCTACGTTTACGTACGCGTTGTGCCCAGTACTAGTGTCCCGACAGCTTGAAAAGCAGTTGAGCCCCTGCGAGTCGAGTCTCGCGAACGACGAACGGCGAAGTCCGCGTCAAATTCACGAGCCAAATGGTACTCACGTGCTCGAGGAACCGATGACGCTGTGCAGGCCTCCAAGCAGACCGATGGAGGCCGAGTACAAGTCGACTCCAGTCTTCGAGGCCGCTCGTCTCCTCCAGTTCATCGCCATCCACGGCGTCCAGGCTACAATGCACAGTCGCTGACACTCTGGCCCCCACCCCTCATGCATCTCCGCTTCTCTGCCTTGCCGCCTGGCCTCCGACACGCCATTTTTGCGCCGTGTCGCTCTAGTCTATCCATTCGCACCGCGGCCCGTCAACATTCCGCGTTCTGGACACGTTCGACGCAACGTTCGTTCTCCTCCCAATTCTTCACTCGAACAGCTGCGCCTACGCCCTCACTGTACCGCAAGCTCCTTCTGCTCGTTCCAGTTGCAGGAGGTATTGTCCTCTATGCCTCGCCGGAGCCTCATACAGGGAAAACAAGTTTCTTCACCTCGGACAAGCTTATTCCATGTCCGGTAGCCGCGCAACCTGTTTTTGAACCCACAATCTTATCGCCCGCCGAACCTGAAGACCAGCGCATCACATGGCGAATAGTGGTGCTCGTACGCGAATACATATGGGAGCCTATACTGACCGCCAGGCGGTTCGTGCAGCTATGTTTCCTCTTTGTTCCTGTCTTTTGGCATCTCCGATGCTCCTCGTTGGTTTGCCGGAAGAGAGGTTCTCTGGAGATAGGTGGGGTGCCGTGTGGTGGTATGGATTCCTCACCTCCCAGATGCAGAGGGCGGGGCCTACATTTGTGAAGGTAAGCTTTCACCTTTTCACGCGTCGGGCCCCTTCCCGGTAGTCAACGCAAACAACCACGCTTGTCTGGGCAGCGTTTTGCCAGAGAATCAATTTGCTAATGTGGTGCCGTAGCTGGCTCAATGGGCAGCATCGCGTGCAGACTTGTTCCCAGCACTACTATGCGAGAGAATGGGCGCACTTCACTCCCGGGGCAAGGCCCATCCTTCTCTCACACGAAAGGCGTGATCGAGCGCGTCTTCCAACGACCGTTCAACGAGGTTTTCGAAGAGTTTGATGAAACACCCATCGGCACAGGTGCTATAGCGCAGGTGAGTTACTGCACGCGGCACATATACAGGACAGTCCATCTGATACACCGACAGGTATACAAAGGACCCTCAAGCAGGACCTCATACCGCCGACACACCTCACTCCGAAGCGCCAACGCAGACATATGCTCCCGGAAGCTCTGAGCAATGAAGCACCTATGTCCGTACCTACTGCAGCGGTGCGATCAAAATCCTCCATCCCAAAGTCAACAAGCTCATCGCACGGGACCTCGCCATCATGTCCTTCTTTGCCAATGCCCTGACATTCTTCCCTGGCATGCAATGGCTATCGCTGCCTGAGGAAGTCACTGTATTCGGACAGATGATGAACGAGCAACTCGACTTGAGGATAGAAGCAACCAATCTAGAGGTATTCGAGAAGAACTTCGCCACCAGGAAGCTACCCGTGACGTTTCCTCGACCTTTGACCATGTGGAGTACGAAGGACGTGCTGGTTGAAGAGTTCCAAAACGCCCTGCCTTTGGAGCTGTTCATGAAGAACGGAGGTGGGGCCTACAATGACCTGCTGGCTGAGGTTGGGTTAGATACCTTCCTGGTAAGTCTCCTATCCTCGCGAATTTTAGACAAAGCTGAAACGCTTCCAAATCAGAACATGCTGCTGCTGGACAACTTCGTACATGCCGACCTTCACCCTGGAAACATCATGATCAAGTTCACGAAACCCTCAAACATCTCCATCCGGGGTACGGCTTCAAATTTCGTGCACAAACCTGCCGACCCCGTAGCCACTTCTGAAGCCGCCCAATCGGTGAATGACGGTATCGTCGACCACCTACGGCAACTGATGCACGACCCGCCTGCGTGGCGTGCCGAGCTCGAGAAGCTGCACGCTGACGGCTACGTTCCCGAGGTCGTCTTCGTCGACGCCGGACTCGTGACGACCCTCAACGAGAAGAACCGCACGAACTTCCTGGACCTCTTCCGCGCCGTCGCCGAGTTTGACGGGTACCGGGCGGGGATCCTGATGGTGGAGCGGTGTCGCACCCCAGAACTCGCGATCGACCCCGAGACGTTTGCCCTCCGGATGCAGCACATCGTGCTTAACGTGAAGCGCAAGACGTTCTCGCTCGGGCAGATCAAGATCTCGGACATCTTGACGGCGGTGCTGAAGGCGGTCAGGCAGCACCATGTGAAGATGGAGGCGGATTTCGTGAACACTGTGATCTCGATCTTGTTGTTGGAAGGTATTGGGCGCCAGCTGGACCCAGGACTGGACCTCTTCAAGAGTGCGCTGCCGATCTTGCGTCAGTTGGGTCGGCAGATGTCCACGCAGGAGACTATCCACAGATGCCGTCGGGTAACATTGGGGCATTCTTGAAGGTACAGCGTAATTTTATCAAGCATTGAGCCCATGTATTGATTTTGTCTGCCTATGACAGGTGTGGGTGTACATGGAGGCACGCGAGCTTGCTTCATCGGCGTTCGCGGACCCAGATCAGCTTATTAAATACGACTGGTAAGTGTCTCCCGTACGGTCTGCGATGGTCCAATGGCTGACGTGCATCCACAGGCTCACGGTTAGTGTATAGACAATCATCGCAGGTAGTAGACTGGATTTTGCAACAACGGACAGCACCACTAGAGTACGTATAGCTAGAATATCACCATCTAGTCGGGAAGTTGGATCAATACAAGCCTTGTACCCTGTTGCGCTGGGTTCTCTGACATCACAGACATTGTCCCTGTGCGGGGATCATACATCAACATCTACGAGTACATCCTGGTTGCATTTAATCTCCCGGCCTTCCGACATAACCAAATCTTTGTGAGCTAACTACTTCTTCGAGTTCACGACGGTGTGACTGAGCATCTCTGACCAAGCGCGCTCGTACTGGAGGCCGGCTTGACCGCGACGCCCAACTTTGCCGCAGCCGCTATTGGCCAGTGCGGGTCCCTCATGAGCGCACGGGCGAGGAAGATGACGTCGGCCTTGCCATCCTTGAGGATGCCCTCAGCCTGCTCCGGCTCGGTATCAGACCAACTGCGCCGACAGGCAGATTAGGGTAGGCCTTCTTAGCTCTTCGCGAAGGGAACCTGCATTGCAACGCTGTGAGAACAGAACGGAAGTTAAGGTTAGATACTGACCTGGTATCCTGGTCCTCCCGGGATCTTCTGGTCCGCCCAGTTACCGCCCGTGCTGCAGTCTATCAATCGACGCCGAGCTTCTCCATCTCCCGACGTAAATCTTGGTCTGCTCGATGCCCCACTGCTTCCACTGCCCATCCTCGCCCTTCTCAGGCCCCTCCGCCCAGTCGGTGGCGCTCACGCGCACGAAGAGGGGCTTGTCCCAGGCAGCGCGGACACGCGAGATGAGGCGTAGGGGGAAGCGCAGGCGGTTTCCAGAGGTTGCCCACCGTAGATGTCGGTACGCACGTTGGAGAGCGGGGAGACGAATTCATGCAACAGGTATCCGTGTGCTGCGTGGATCTCTATGAAGTCAACTGGGGGAGAGGCATACGAAGTGTGAGTGGCAGCTCGTGCCTGCGACGCGAGAAAGGCGTACATCCGATCGTCTTGCAGCGTTCCACGGCCTTGATCCACGAGTCCTCGACGTACTGGATGTGAGCTTCGTCCATCTCCTTGGGGAGGGGGAATGTATCCGCAAACTTGAGCTCGGATGGGCCGTAAACTACGAAGAATTAATTAGTCGGCCAGACTTGGCATTGATGATAGTGCGTCCGGGTGACCTTTGTTAGGCCAGCCACCCTCTTTTCAGAGGCAACCCAGCTATGACCGAGCGAGCCCAAGGAGCTGGGTCGAAGCCTTTCTCCCGCATGTGAGAGTTGAACACCGATGAGTGTGCCGTGCGCATGGGCGAAGTTGACGATGCGCTTGAGCGGCTCAATTTGTCCGTCCTCCCACAGGCCCTGGATTAGGAGGTATGCCGTGAGTGGCGTATGGGTGAAGAGCTTGGGTAACTTACAGCGTCCTCCGGAGAGATACGACCTTCGGGAACGACGGACGTCGCCTCCATGCAGATGGCGCCGGCACCACGAGTTGCAAAGCCCTGCAGCTCTTAGTGTGTGTAGACACCGAATTTACACTCAGTCACCTACGCGATGTGCACAAGGTGCCAGTCGGTCGCATAGCCATCTTTCGAACTGTACTGGCACATGGGGGACTACAGACGAACATGGCTCAGTAGTATTCAAAGAACTGAGTCAGCGGCGTGTACTTACGACGAATATCCTGTTCTTGAACGACACTCCCCTGATAGTCAAGGGTGGAAGAGAAGAGGCAGCTGTGCATTCTGCGGATAGACACTCTGGTGCGAACGGACATCGCGTCAATTGTGTGACACACAGCCGGTTTTATATCTACCTCTGGATAGGCAGTGCCAATGGTTGGCTTATTGAGAGGATAGAATTGGTCCGCTCCGGGGGCAACTTGATAGGCTGGCATGTTGGGAGAACTGGACTGCGTCAACTGTCTGGAGTTGGGGATGGAGATCGCTGGCTTCGCGTGCAACTTATAGAATCTGGGGCGGCTCAGGGTATAGCGACTTGGCGGCAAAGGGAAGGAACGAAGATGCATCTCGCGCAGCCAGGGCACTGTCCGTATCGGCTTACAAGCCTCGGCGAGACTTCGGGCAGTAGAGGGTGCGACGGCCCGCGCGCGACAGTGGCAGCTCGATCAGATCGGCATCGACGATGTCTGAGAGATTGCGTCATAGGCTCCCATCGGCGCGTCGACCGCTCGAGCATGGCAGCTCAGCACGCATGGTCCATCCTTTCGCGAGCTTCCACAGACTGGCCAAGCAAACAACGATGCCGCCTAGCGTCCACAAAGTCTTTGTCCAAGCCATCCAGAAGGCGGAGCCTGGCGTATCCGTCTCGCCGTCCTCATCACCGCCCATTCAGTCTTCCTCCGGCCAAGGATACATTGGGAAGATTGGCGCACCCTCGGACGGAGAACAATTCAACGGCGAGGCAGAATCCCTGAGAGGGATCAATACTGCCGCCCCTGGTCTCGCACCCACCCTTCTTGCGGCAGGTATCTTCGACGAGGAGACCGCAGAAAATGATAGCGAGATCGGCAAGCCGTACTTCTTGTGTGAGTACAAGCACATCGATACTCTCACCGACAATGCCGCCAAGGCCTTGGGCAAGAGACTAGCCACGGAAGTGCATGCTACAAGAGCACAATGGGGTTTGGCTTCCAGGTCCCCACGTTCTGCGGTCAAACCAAACAAGCCAATGGCTGGTTTGACTCCTGGGAGGAATGCTTCGACGCACTCGTCGGGAGCTTGTTCGATACACTCGAAGGCGGGGAGGCTATGAAGCACTCTGCAAGCAGGGTGTCGAGCTAAGGAAGCGGTAAGATATGACAGCGGACGATCGCAGCGCAACCCGCAGCGCTGAGCAGCTATATACCACAGCGTAATCCCGGCGCTCCTCGGGCCCTTGGTCATTCAGCCAGTCCTGCTTCACGGTGATCTATGGGTGAGCCAGGAATTCTGGAGACAAGTATGTTCTCTCACTGCGTGCACCAGAGCGGGAACACTGGAACAGACAAGAAGACGGGTCAACCTGTTATTTTCGATCCTTCGTCGTACTATGGCCATAACGAGGCGGAGTACGCGGTCCTATATCTGGCCAAACTGATCGCACTGACTGAATCCTGCAACTTACTGTCAGCCTAGCGATTGCGCGCATCTTCGGTGGCATACCGAAGTCGTTCTTCAAGACGTACCACGAGTACTTACCGAAATCGGAACCTGAGGACCAATACGAGCTCCGCGGCGACCTATATGAGCTGTATCATTACCTCAATCATACAGTGTTATTTGGGGTGCGTGTCATGAGGGCAAAGAAACGTCGGTGATGACGGTTAATTTTCTGCAGGGCTCCTATGCTAGCAGTGCGCAGCAGAAATTGAACCGCTTGCTAAAGGCCATTCCTTGATAGACGAGCTATTACTTAGACATTCATATCTTGACTGTATTAACAGGAAGTCTAGTGGTCAGCGTCGGTTCTGCGCTCTACTATGCATGCCACATATTACCTGAGTGCGATGCCGTTCGATGCTTCAGGCTGTGGACCAAACTTTCTAACATACATTGAGGATAACCCGTGAAAGGATTTCACAGAGATGCGAGAGTTATGCTGAAAAAAGTATGTTTGCACGAGAGAGCGAGGCGCGTCGGTTCGATGTCCAGGACCACGTCACGGTCACGGTGAGACTAAGAACACAACCCATAATTGGCAATTCGGTAGAGGCTATTGGACAACAAGCGCAAACACTATTGCCGCTTCTCAAGCTCGGTCAGCGTCGCGCTGAGCTCTTCACCCGCCTTGTTTGGTGGCGGCCACATACGATCGCTCTTCCTCTGCTGCTCCAGCGAACTTAGTCCTCACGATCTGAACGACCTGATATAGGCTTTGCTTTCGTAGCGAGCTTACAATCTCACCAAAATGAGTCAAGGTAAGGGTCCTCTGCTTTCATCCGTCCTGTGCTGAGACTGACACGCGTCCTGCTACAGAACTCGATCCCACTCAGCAGTCGTTTTATGACGAGACGGGATATGGTCTTGAAGAAGAGGAAGACGAGGAAGAGCCCGAGGATATCACACAGGAAGATTGCTGGACCGTCATCTCTAGTTTCTTCGCCCAAAAGGGTCTCGTCCGGCAGCAGCTCGACTCATTCGACGAATTTGTCCAGAATACGATGCAGGAGCTGGTGGACGAGAACGCAGACCTCATTCTCGACCAGAGTGACCAGCATACTGGACATGAAGGCGACGTCAATCGCCGGTATGAAATCAAGTTCGGGCAGATCTACTTGTCGAGGCCGACGGTCACGGAGGCGGATGGTTCGGTCGTCCCTGTGTTCCCGCAGGAGGCACGGTTGAGGAACCTGACGTACTCTGCACCGCTGTATATCGAGATGAAGAAGCGGGTGCTGATTGGGAGGGAGGACCCGACAGTCTCACGGGCGACATGATTTGGGAGCCGGAGCAGGACGACAACCCGGAGGACACGAGGAAGGTCTGGATTGGCAAGGTGCGTAGTGTAAGCCTTTGTTCTGGTATACAGACTGACAGTCAAGACTTTGTAGGTGCCCATCATGCTGCGGTCTTCCTTCTGCATTCTGTACGAACTCGCCGACTCGGAGTTGTACGACCTCAACGAATGTCCTTTCGACTCCGGAGGATACTTCATTATCAACGGCTCGGAGAAAGTCTTGATTGCGCAGGAGCGTATGGCCACGAACCATGTCTACGTATTCGCGAAAGCACAACCTTCGCCCATTAGCTTCCTTGCGGAGATCCGTAGTGCGGTAGAGCGAGGAGGGAAGACTATCAGTCAGTTCCAGGTCAAGCTCTATCACCGCAACCAGAGCGTTCGGTGAGTGCCATTGTTACAATGACGTTATGTGTGTCGCTGACCGTCACCCATTAGCTGGGGAACGTGATGAAGGCGACCATTCCTTACATCAAGGTCGACATTCCCATTTGGGTCGTCTTCCGTGCCCTTGGAGTGATCTCCGACCGAGATATCCTCGAACACATCTGCTACGACATGCAGGACGCGCAGATGCTCGAGATGCTGAAGCCGTGCATCGACGACGGCTTCGTGATCCAGGATCGCGAGGTTTGTCTGTCGGTCCTGCTGTGTTGCATGTGCGCTGACATTCCATGTAGGTCGCGCTGGACTTCATCGGCAACCGTGGCACAACTACGGGTCTCAACCGCGAGCGCCGTCTGCGGTACGCGCAGGAGATCTTGCAGAAGGAGATGTTGCCGCACGTCTCGATGGCAGAGGGTTCGGAGTCGAAGAAGGCGTACTTCTTTGGGTACATGATACACCGACTGCTCCTGGCTGCTATGGAGCGGAGAGATCTGGACGACCGTGACCACTTTGGCAAGAAGCGGCTGGACCTCGCTGGGCCCTTGCTCGCCAACCTGTTCCGCATGCTGTTCCGGAAACTTACAAAGGACGTCTACCGGTACTTGCAGAAGGTAAGCCGCGTTGTGTAGCTGGTCTATTCAGTTTTACTCACGCTAGCTGCCCATAGTGCGTCGAGACACACAAGGAGTTTAACTTGAACCTCGCTGTCAAGCATAACACGATCACAAATGGACTAAAGTACTCCCTTGCCACTGGCAATTGGGGCGACCAGAAGAAGTCTATGGCGTCGAAGGCTGGTGTGTCGCAGGTGCTGAACAGATACACCTACGCGTCCACGCTATCGCACTTGCGTCGCTGTAACACCCCGCTGGGACGAGAGGGAAAGATTGCGAAGCCTCGTCAGCTTCATAACACTCACTGGGGTATGGTCTGCCCAGCGGAGACGCCAGAAGGACAGGCTTGCGGTCTCGTCAAGAACCTCTCACTCATGTCATGTATCTCCGTCGGCTCGCTCTCTGCGCCCGTCATCGAGTTCTTGGAGGAGTGGGGTCTGGAATCGCTGGAGGAGAACGCTCACTCTGCAACGCCATGCACGAAGGTCTTCGTGAACGGTGTATGGATGGGTGTACACCGTGATCCAGGGAACCTCGTGAAGACGATCAAGAAGCTTCGCCGCAAGGACGACATTAGTCCTGAAGTCTCGGTAGTGCGCGACATCCGTGAAAGGGAGCTTCGACTCTACACGGACGCCGGCCGTGTGTGCCGCCCGCTGTTCATCGTGGAGAATCAGCAGCTGCTCCTCACGAAGAAGCACATACAATGGATCAACAACGGAAAGGACGCCGACGACGCCGATTTCAAGTGGGATTCGCTCGTGAAGAGTGGAGTGATTGAGCTCCTTGATGCCGAGGAAGAGGAAACTGTCATGATCTGCATGACCCCAGATGATCTGGAGAACTCCAGGTTGCAGTCGCACGGTGTCGACCCTCACGCTAATGATGGCGAGTTTGACCCTGCGGCTCGGCTGAAGGCGTCGACGAACATTCACACCTGGACACATTGCGAGATCCACCCTAGTATGATCCTTGGTGTGTGCGCTAGTATTATTCCTTTCCCTGATCACAACCAAGTACGTTTCATGGTAAATGGTCCTATATGTGAAATTGACATCCCTTCTAGTCTCCTCGTAACACTTACCAATCTGCTATGGGTAAGCAAGCCATGGGTATCCATCTCACCAACTTCCTGGTCCGTATGGACACGATGGCGAACATCCTGTATTACCCTCAAAAGCCCCTTGCCACCACGCGTTCCATGGAGTATCTGCGATTCCGAGAACTCCCCGCTGGCCAGAACGCTATTGTGGCCATTCTGTGCTACAGTGGTTACAACCAGGAAGACTCCGTCATCATGAACCAGAGCTCCGTCGACCGAGGTTTATTCCGCAGTATGTACTACCGGAGCTACATGGACCTCGAGAAGAAGAGTGGGATTCAGCAGCTTGAGGAGTTCGAGAAGCCCACGCGAGACACCACCCTCCGTATGAAGCACGGTACCTACGACAAACTCGAGGACGACGGTCTTATCGCGCCTGGCACCGGTGTCAATGGCGAGGACATCATCATCGGCAAGACTGCCCCTATCCCTCCAGATAGTGAAGAGCTCGGACAGCGGACGCGGAACCATACAAGACGGGATGTGTCGACACCGCTCAAAGCACGGAGAGTGGCATTATTGACCAAGTGCTGATCACAACGAACGCAGAGGGGCAGAAGTTCGTCAAGATTCGTGTCCGCTCCACGCGTATTCCGCAGATTGGCGACAAGTTTGCGTCTCGACACGGTCAAAAGGGTACCATCGGTATCACGTACCGCCAGGAGGACATGCCGTTCACCGCTGAAGGTATAACGCCTGATATCGTCATCAACCCCCATGCTATCCCGTCGCGTATGACAATCGGACATTTGGTCGAGTGTTTGCTCTCAAAGGTTGCCACACTTATCGGAAACGAAGGCGATGCGACGCCCTTCACCGATCTGACCGTCGAGTCCGTCTCCCAATTCTTGCGGCAGAGGGGCTATCAGTCGCGTGGTCTGGAGGTGATGTATCACGGACATACCGGTCGCAAACTGCAGGCCCAAGTCTACCTCGGGCCCACGTATTACCAGCGTCTCAAGCACATGGTCGACGACAAGATCCACTCTCGTGCTAGAGGACCGGTACAGATCCTCACAAGGCAGCCCGTCGAGGGTCGTAGTCGTGACGGTGGCCTGCGGTTCGGAGAGATGGAACGTGATTGTATGATCTCGCATGGCGTCGCAGCGTTCCTCAAGGAACGTCTGTTCGAAGCGAGCGATGCCTACAGGCTACATGTTTGCGATATATGCGGTCTCACCGCCATCGCTAACCTCGTGAGTCACTCCAGGTATCCAGTCTGATCCCTGCATTTCGCTGACCTTTTGTGCAGAAAAAGCAAACCTTCGAGTGTCGGTCATGTAAGAACAAGACAGCGTGTTCGCAATTGTACATTCCTTACGCAGCCAAGTTGCTGTTCCAGGTATGTCCTTATGTCTCGAAATACGTCTTGGGCTTATGAGTCGCATCAGGAATTGCAAAGCATGAACATTGCTGCTCGCTTGTACACCGTGTCCACAGGACGCATCAGGGACTAGGTTGCTCAGTGCTCGTGGACACTCCTCGCTTTCGTTCTAGAGCTATCTTGCATGCATGTATACTACAGATGTCGTATAATTTAACGAATGTTGTTGAGACACTACATAGAATCAATCGTCCTTCATTAGGCCCTCCCGTTCATGAGCGTCTCCTTCACGCTCCAGGCCTCGTCGCTTTTTCGCGTTCAGCTCATCGTCGTCTGCATCATCGTCTCCGATGTCAAATACGACGGCGTCCTCAGCCATGGAACCACCCGCACGCCCGACGAGGGTCGCTGTATCATCATCGTTGTCCGGGATGTGCATGTGACCGCCTTCGCGGTGCTCGAGGGCCTCGAGATCATAGTCCTCTGCGTCTTCTGGATCTTGTGCGAGCTCGTCGAACATGGCTAGCGTGGATATCCTTACACGGTCAGCCGGGACTCATGAGTGCAGAGGAAGGCGACTTATCTGCTGTTGTTGGGCGACGGCCTCCACAAGTACGCAATTGCAACGAAGTCGAGGAGGTACAGCAGCGCGAGCCATCCGTCAAGTAGCCACCACTGTACCCTCCAGGACCTTGCGCCGTAATCTGGGACCATGGTCAAATGTACCCTATCTGTCCAATAGAAGAAGCATACCTTCTGCGAGGCGTCCGGAGAATGTCAGCGAAGAGACGACGAAGAATATGGCGATAACTAAGACAGTCAGCAACAAGATACGATGCAACGTCTTGAACATGTAGAGCTTGTAATGTTGCTTCCGAGACGCGAGTTGTGCGATCGTCGCTGTTGAACGCGACATCAAGTCGTGACTAGTGTGCGTGAAGCTGGCTGTGCTTACTATTCAGCGCATACAGAATCCACAGCAGGAAGCCGCTAAGCGTGAACGCTAATGGCACGACGAACAGAAGCAGCACAAGAGCTGAAGTTGACTCCAGCTCGAGTTCTACGATGCCGACGGCGTACAGGACTGTGGGCCTGTGGCATCAGTGAGACATCTTGACACGAAGGCGATGCACCCTACCGCCAAAGATGAAGTGTGCCACCGCGAGTGCTTGGCATTTGATCATGGTCTTGCCCAAAGACTCTCTTACCACGCTCAGGCCCAGAGATACTATTAGCAGCAGGAAGAACGACAGGGCGTTGCGACCGGCATCCAGGATGGCCACGACAATTAGGAATACGGTTGACGGTGTGCCCCTCCCGTGGGCATTCAGATAGCGGTAGTATGCTGTGGAAGTCAGGAACCGTGCATAATGGAAAGTGGAAGTATGGCACCCCAGTTGGCGACCATTTCGATAATGAGGAAGCCCAGCAAGCTAGACAAGTAATACTGAGAGAGTGGTCAATGCAAATGTCTGGCTAATTGTGCCTTAATGCCTTACCTGAATGGGAAGCAAGTCTTGCAGATTCCTGTAACAGAGCCAACCCCAGCCGACAGCCACAACAGTATACACGAGGAACATAATAAAGTAGAACTGAACGAATGCTTTGTTCAGAGTGACGAGATAAATACAACACCCGGTCAGCACTCACGTTGACTTTGGATAGTCGGTGGCAGGCAGACGGCCGTCGAAGGTGTTGCGGAAGAATACGGTGCCAGTGTAGGTGGGGTGGTAGGGAACGTCGGCGCCGGCTTGCCGGGCAGAACTTGGCATGACAGACACAGGAACAATAGCTGAGAGCACGATCAGGACAGGCTACGTACGCAGTAGTGATCACATACCGACACAATAATATCCTATCTTTCGTACTTGGTACTGGATGGGTTGCTGGTACAGCAGGATTCCGGAAGGACTCGGGTTTAGCGCGTCCCGCTCGTCGAGTAGCTGAATATCACGCCGCCACGGAGTAGTATAGTTGCTCGCGGAGGTGCCGGATTGCCCGAAGGGTCATTCCAGAGGCTGCCGGACGAGGCATCTGAAGAGGCAGGAAGGGAGGACGATCCGCCCTGGAAGCTAACCCTCGCGGACCAGAACTGGTTTCATTGACCGACTTTCCCGTCGGCAGGTCAAGAATGAATCGACCCAATTGTGAGTTTTCACAAAGACCGCCTTTGACAGCATCGGACGTGCAAACGTAGGTCTTCTGCTATGTTGTGTGGTCAGCATGTGTAGCGAAGCGCGCGGGGCCACCGTGCACTCACAGGCCGGTCCGTCTCAGGGGACGTCACCTTCCCGAGGTATGCCATGTCTCCCCATTCGTATACGACCATGGCCAGCTGGCCTTGTGCGCTGCTATCGAAGGTTACTGCAGGACTACTGTAAGCATAGGTTTGAGTGCGGTAGTACGTGCGTACGACATACCATTGATGAATGTCTTCTGGTTTGCCCACATTCCCGAGCATATTTGCCGGTCATAGTCCTTGTCGGATACCGGTACTTCATATGCAGCCGTCGAAAGAATCAATAATGAAGAAAATACGAATGAAAGCCATGACGAGAGCATCGCGGGAGAGTGAGGGAACGCGACTTGTTGACGGGTGTTTCCAAGCGCGAGTCTTTGCCTGTGTCCGTCTGAGGCATCACTCCCACCGTACCCTGTCGCAACTACTGCGCAGCCACGGCCCATCTACGCGTCTCACTCACTCCTGGACTGCTTCTAACAGCCACGACCGATACGCGCCGCCGCCCTCATGCTCGGCGACGATGAAGACGTCTTCGACAGCGTAACCTGGGAGTCCCCAGCCGAACCGTCCAATGACGTCGGCTATGCTGCACCTTCTGGGCCAGGATACAGGCAGAGCACATCAGAAAGCGACGAGGGGCGCAGCCCGCACGATCCGAAGTGGGAAGGGTACCTCATAACAAGTGTGAAGGACCCAGTAAAGGAGCTCGCAGAGACGAAGGATGCCTATGTCTCGTATTTGGTCTCTGCGAAGGTATGTGCCGACCTCCTGTGCCTGCGGACTCGTCTTCATGCCTGTGGTCAGACCAACCTCTCGATATTCTCTACGCCCAATCCTTCCTCCCGCCGGCGATTCCAGGACTTCGTTTTCTTGCGTGATCATCTGGCAAAGGACTTCCCTGCATGCGTAGTGCCGCCACTACCTGGCAAACATAGACTTGGTACGTGTTCTTGTCCCACATGCACCTAATATCTCATGCCTTCATCCAGAGTATGTCACCGGAGACAGATTCAGCCCAGAGTTTATGGAGCGACGCCGTTCCGAGTGTGTACATCCCCTAGGTCCTCGCGTGAGATTGACTTACGTTCCATGCAGTCTCCACCGGTTCTTGCAGCGCTTGGCGCGGCATCCAACTCTGCAAAGGAGCACTTTGCTGCGTGCCTTCTTTGAGTCGACGGAATGGGTCAGCACGATCCCTTTGTGTCGGCTACCACTATGCATTGACTCTTCCCTCTAGCATGTCATCATGCACCAGCATGTCGCTCACCCGCCAGGGCCAGAATCCTCTACAGGTGTCATCGACAGTATATCCGACACGCTTCTCAACGCGTTCTCGCGCGTACGCAAGCCCGACGAGCGGTTCCTCTCCATGCGCGAGTCGGTCGACAAGTTTGAGGAAGGCATCACCGTCTCGGAGCGCCTCTGGACGCGTGTGCGCAACCGGACGAACGGTGAGTATGAGTCCTACCCGCCCTCCGTTGCCCGTGTGCGAATATCTGAGGCTGAAAGAGACGGCGGGGTGGACCCCGGCGAAGATCTAACGGGAGACTACCACGACCTCGCTGTGGCCGTGCAAGGCCTGGGGTTCCTCGAATCGGGCATCACGGATCAGCTGAACCATTTCTCGAACACGCTGTTGGAGTTCTCTGCGTTGGTGCGGCACACGGTGAGACTGGTCATGCACATTGCCATCCCTGCATTTTGACCTCCGTGCTTCCAGACACATACAACAACCGACCCATTCCTGATCCACCTCCACTCTCTCTTGTCTTACTCCCATGCCAACCGAGCAGTGCTCAAGCTTCGCGACCAGAAGCAGATGGACTTCGAGGAGCTTTCAGACTACCTCTCTGGTGTCACTGCCGAGCGTGATAGGCTTGCAGCCGTGATCAGTGGTCATGCAGGTAGCACTGGTCTCGGTCTTAGTGCCTACCTCAAGGATCGGGTGGATGCACTACGAGGCGCTGATGACGACAGGAGCCGTGTGGAGAAGGCGCGCAAACTGGACACGAAGATCAAGGAGGTATGTGCTCGCCATTAGTTCTGCGGAGTTCGTCCGTAGGAATCTCAATTTCCGTCCATGACGTAGCTTCAAGATGCAGTCGCTACTGCACACGAGACGTCAGACGCGTTCAGCGAAGAGGTTCTGAGAGAGCAGTCGGTCTTCCAGTACTCCAAGGAAGCCGAGATGAAGGAGATGTTGGGCAACCTCGCGGACGGGCAAATAGAGTTTTATAAGGCAGTGAGTCTTCTGCCATTTACTCGCCGGCCTTGCTGTCTTACCTTGAATCCAGGCGATGGAAGAATGGGATCGGATCATACCCATCATACAGCGCATTCGGGTGGATGTCTGAATGTAGTTGACGTCAGATCTTGTTGGGAAGAGTTCAGATGTAGCTTGCTTTCTAGTGTATTCATAGTGTGACGGACGAACTCTCCGTATTGCAATTATTCTTTAATCTCATTCATTGCATTCATTCATATGTTCGTGTGCACATTTGCCATTGGCTGCTTCATGAACACGGCATGGGCAACTCCGCTGTCGCTGCTGAAAATGGTGCGACGGAGCGCGTGAACGCCCAGTACCAGGACGGTATACGCGGCCCCAGAATCACTGGGACGCGTAGTCTGAAGGAGAGCATGTTGTTCATAACGCACGGCCCTTCCCTTTCGACGGTGCTTCCTCACAAGATAACAGCTTGAGTTTCTCCTCACTCTCCTGCACCGCGAGAGCCAGCTGGTGCGCCACAGAGACGACATGTCAGGGTCCACGCTACACATGACTGAAAGTGAGCGGCTCACATTGATAATTCCGGTCTCGACCACCCGAAGCATGTGTAGTTCTGCTTTGTCCGACGCACCCGCGGTGGCGTGTTCCTCGGCCGCAGGAATCCAGGGCGGTGGATCCTGGCGGAGCATTCAGCATATAGTCAGCATTCAGACACCCACCAATGACGCATGGAAAGCCATACATTGTCGGTCGACGCGGCCGGTGCCCTGTCGTCTTGGAGTTCAATAACAATCGCAAAGGACAGATCGTCTGAGAAGTCGCGGTGAGAATTCGCGGCTAGGTCTTGGGGCTGACGTCTTACCGCCGCTCTCGATCTGCCCTAGCTGCGCTTCTATCATGCGAGTTTGACGAGGAAGGAACGGAAGTACTGTCCTAGGGAACGAGGCGTAATCGCCTCGTCCACACTGCAAAAGGGGAGACGAAATTGAGTGTAGGGGACTGTGCATTCTGTGCACCCTACGGACCTGGTGTCTCTGTTGTACGCCTCAACTTTGATCAGGCTGTGGAGGGCAAAGATGAAACGTTCGAGGGCAACCTCATCCTTGTTTTTGATAACGACCACTACCTTGTCGAGGGCGCCCTGAGGAAGGCCAGTTGCCAGGAGTATAAGAAATGAGGTAGACGTCATACCAGCACCAGCTCGTCTTCTACGGCCTTGACAGCTCCGGAAATGTATTCATTGAGAGCAGGATGGCGAGACTGGAAGGCCACTGTATCGTATTTCTTCCTCCGCACGAAGAGGTCTACGGGGTAGACTTGGCGGACATAAAGGATGGTGTGTATCGCCACCTCAACTGCAGACAAAGATGAGCGGTTGAACAACCAGATATAAACTCGTGAACTGACTGAATTCGCTGATCCCGCGAACTGCCTCTGAGGAAAGACTTAGCTCAAGCGGAGTGAACGAAGAATCTAGATCTCTTACGGTTGAACGTCAATGGTGCTTCGCTATCCATCCCCCATGTATTCTTTCGCCTGGACCGGCGAAAGACGAGGGAGTCTGAGTACCTATGTAGTCGCGTCCACTCCGAGACCTTGTCCGCCACTCCAGTGGCACGGATAAGTACTGCAACGTGATCGAGCGCGGCGGGCGAGACGCGACGCGACGCGCGAGATCTGAGATCTGAAGGACTCCACCCACATGACATCATGCTGTATTAGCAGGAGAAGACTGAGGGGGACGTGCGCCCACCATCCTACGCGTCGCTCTCCCCAGCTTGACTCCGGACATGATGATGTCCTTCACCGACTACGCCTTTGGACCAACGCAAGCCCACAGCGCCAGCGACGACGACCATGAAGCAGGGCCATCCAATTTCAACACAGGCATAAAGCGTGGTTCAAGAGGTGCGCCCTCTTCTTCCCGGGCGATCTATGCACCGTAGCGACATTGACCCACATTCAATAGCATGTGACAGATGCCGCAAGCTCAAGAGTAAGTGTGAGCCGAGTGAAGGCGACAAGTGCAAGAACTGCGTCTCCGCAGGTACAGCATGTACATACCAGGGTGAGTTCCACTCTCCACCAGATATTCTCGACAGATCGGCTAAGCGGGCTGACATGTGGTGTAGGCCCCAGCTTCAAACGTGGCCCACCAAAGGGCTACATCCATGCTATCGAACAGCGCTGGCACCAGGTCGAGTGTATCCTCGGTAGCATCATGGCCGCTCCCCAGGCCGAGGGTATCGTATCGGAGCTGCGTGGCGACCCAATGGCCCGAACGATCCTGGACCGCGTAGAGTCAGGCCCCTACGGCCCTCACAACCGCGGTCAGCAATCCGCAACCAACTCTGAAAACTTCTACGCGACCATCATGGGCACTACGGAGAGCCCCGCCCGTGAAGATCGTCGCGTACGTAGACAGTCACGAATGACGCGTGAGATAGTCTCTATAGAAGGTGCCGTGGATTTCAAAGCCAAACTACGCTGTCCTCTGATAGCTGTGCCCACTTAAGACTCAAGCATTCTTGCAACACCTACCCCAGATTGGCAGGAAGGGCTTATACGCCGCCTTGCCGGCAGTGCCGTGCAACAGTACGCATCGCGGTCCCCACCATCGGCTGCTGCGAGTAGGAGTCCCATCTCCGACTCGTCATCGTCTCATCACGGCCAGGAGGAGCCAAGAACTAGACGGCGACTGGAGGGACATATGTTCCCGAAGACACATCGGCGCAGCAACGTCTGGGTGATCCGTACTCCAATTCAGGTACTGACTTTTCAAACTGGGACGAAGTCGACGACACAGTCGACTCTTTTGGACACCTTGCCCTCGACGATACGAAGGAGGTATGGTTGTACTATTGTCCATGCATATATATCCTTATCCGGTTCGTACCTACTTAGATCCGTTACCATGGACATGCTTCTGGTCTTCCGCTACTTGCTCGAAGTGACCACCCGAGTGGCGCAAACAAAGATGATGGCTTTTGGTGCGTACTCAGGTTATTGCTGTTACGGTCACTCCGGTCTCATTCTCCTGTGTCGTCGTCAACAGGAAATTTCCGCCCATCAAACAAGAAGATGCCCCAGATAAATTAGACGACTATAAGGAGGCAGACTCGCACGTCCAACTCCCGCCTCTAGAGGTACAGCGACACCTTGTTGATCTGTACTTCGCGTGGGTACATCCGTTCTTTCCGGTCATCCACAAGCAGCACTTTCTCGCAGATTTTCCATTGTACGTATTCTATTAGATTCCGTCGTGCGAATACCTCACCATACCTTCCTCCCTTGTCAGAAGAGACGGGTACGATTCTTCCATTTCGTTGGCAGGTAATGGCTTACAGCTGTGCCAGTGAATCCCCGGATGACGATCCGGCTCACCACTCAACACAGAAAGTCAACAAGCTCTTACTGTTGGCGATGTTCTCAAATGCAGCTCGGTACGGAACGGAGGCCCTCTGGAACTCGATAGGCGAGAACAGATCAAACGCTGGCGCGAAGTGGGCTGCGGGCGCTAGGGAAATTATCAGTGAGTGTGTTACCGTCGTATGGCGCGAAGCTGTGCAATCCTCCTGCTTTCTGCGAAGACTTACTCACGCGCCTGTCGCATCCAGACAGTGTGTTTCAATGCAGTCGACCGTCAACTGTCCAGGCACTTCTGTTGATCGGCATTCGAGAGTTTGGTCTCGGTCAGTAACGTATCATAGCCCCATGGGCAACCAGTACTGAACTCAGGATACAGGTTCCATGGAACAGGGGTGGTTGCTCACAGGTATGCCAATCAGTTTTCTGCACGTCTGTGCTTATTTGACCTCCACAGGCATGGCCTTGCGTATGGTAGGCTGAGCAGCACTTCCGCTTGTGGCCTGGCGCTGACCCGAAACGAGGCTAGGCCGTGGACCTAGGTTTGAACCGTAACTCAGATAAGTGGATATACAAGGGCAAAGATCTATTCAGCCCGGTAGAGAAGCAAATTCGAAAACAGATCTGGTGGTCTGCCTGCGTCACCGATAAGTTAGTCTCACTGCACCGCTAGGGGGAAGATGGCCGGCTCATGAGCTTTGTTGGCCAGGCTTTCGGCAATGTGGATGGGTAGGCACAGTGCTTTCCATAGCAGAAATGATTTCTTCACATTTTGTGTTTAGGTAGGCCTGTAACCTTCCGAGCCAATGACTACACGACGTTATTGCCGGAAGTTCACCCGGTGTGTGACGCACACTTTCGCGTTTGGAGGGCGCTGATCTGACTGCCTCGGCTTTAGGAAGATGCGTACGAAGTGTGGCAACCGAGTCCTCCGAATGCATTCGGACCAAGATTCTCTCCGCGTCCCGCCATGACTATGAGGTCTTTCCACACTCAGTGCGAGCTCTGTGAGTCACCATAATCTGATTCGTTACACTAGTCTCTGAAATACAATTGAACATTAAGCTGTCATCATCACGGATATCATGAACCAGATCTATCCGGTCAGTACTACACCGGAGAGCCTGCCGCGTCGCCAGCTTCTGCAGCGACTCGAAGAGAGGTTGCACAAGTGGCAGATCAACTTGCCCGAAGAACTCCGCTATTTGGCAGTAGCACACTCAGAGACGCCATTGCCGCATATCCTCGTCTTGCACATCGAGTATTACGCCGCGGTCCTTCTGCTTCACCGTGCCTTGTGAGTTTAAGTCGCCGGAACAATGTGTTGTTCTCGCTAACCTGACCTTGTACTTGATGCAGCATTCCGCACGCCAACGGGTGAGCGAGGTTGTCAGGATGCCGCTAGCGTGTCTGCTGACCTTTAACTCCTCGTAGCCGGCCAGATGATAATGCAGAAGGGCTGCATGGAGATCCGGTTCCCATGAAATCCTTGGACATATGCCAGAGCGCGGCATCACAGATCAGTACAATTGGTACGCGTTCTCCCTTCGAAGTTGTTGTCTTCGTCTGATTCTTGGCGACAGCTACGTTGTTCGACGAAAAGTACGGCTTGTCACGTGCGCCACCCTTCTTGACTATCTACCTACAGAGTGCAGGGTTCGTGCATCATTTTGTACTCGAAAGGACTTGAGCTAACCGATGCGCCCTCAGAATCATGCATGTTATCACACGTGAGTATCATGTATGAACTGAAGACCTAGAAATGTGGCTCACAGCTCTGCTCACAGTGAGCAGACGTCCGAGCCCGGGGCACCCTCAGGCTTCGCAAGGACTCAAACAATCCATCAATGCACTGGGTCGCCTAGGAGTGAGTATTACGGCTTTCTGGGACTGTAATGTAGCTCATCGGATTACAGAGTGTCTGGCCTAGCGCAGAGCGCGTCCGCGTACTTCTCGAAGGAGCAGTAGGACTTGCCACAGATCCTGCAGCTCCGGGTGATCATCGCGGCCACAGGCCAAAACGATCATTGGAGCAGGCTTTGGGAGAAGACATGAATTCTGACGTGTATGGGCGCCATACTGCAACGTCCTACACTGCACCCGATATGACGCCTAATCGGTCGGTCTATGACGAAGATGCCAATACCAGGGCCATGCTGCATTCACTAGGGCTCGAGTTGCCCACGATTGACCCTACCGTGTCAACCTTCCTCCCACCATACCAGTATTGGCCTCGGCAAACGTATGATGCCGTGGGGCACAGCGGCTTCATGGATGCTTCGGCCGCAGGACCACTACCTGCGCCCTCTGTGGGCGAGTCAAGCCTATCCGCGGCGCCTTTCACATTCAATCAGAATGACCTTGCGCCACAATTTGTGCAAGGCGTGCACTACCCCGTCCTCGACCCCTCGAATCTCTTCCCAGTCAACCTGGATCCGGGTATGCTACCGGATCAACGGCACCAAGGCCGTTGACCGTCCAGCTCCCCCTTCGTCGATTTACGTTAAAGCCATCTAGTAATATGCGCTTGGGGAGCTAGATGTCTGCAGTGCCGGTCTCCATCATGATGTCGTTTCCTTGCCGCTGTCGTAGACTCAGTTGTATGATCATCTATGGACTTTGTTTGTACTCTTACTTCCAGTACGCCTATAATTGTATCGATGTATGTCGTGAGATTACATTACAATGCTTGGTGACAGTGACTGAGCCCCAACGATAGAATCCGGAGTTGAAGTTGAACATCGAGTCGCGACGATAGCATTTGACGAAAACAAGGCGAGCTGGACTGGTCTATACAATGGGCATATATATCGATTACCGATTCACGGCGGTAGCCTCTTGGGCTTGTCGTTTCGCTCGGCGACGTGCGCGCCATCGTGGACCCATATAGTAAGTGAAGAGCATGATAGGTGAGAGGACCACACAGATCCCTGAGAGGAGAACATATGTCCACCCGTCCCTAGACGGTTGAGCATGATGTCGATGACAGAGACAAGTGCCGCTCCAGGGAGCACCGCACAAGATTATTCTGTGGTGCGACCGTCAATGCATGAACAGAACAGTTCAACTCAGAGGCTACGTACGCAAGCTGTCACGGATGCCTCTGGCCAGGTGCGAGGTCGACGATGATGGTCTGCGTTACATTCATCGTCGCCACCAAGCATACCCACTATGAAGCAGTGATGAGCGTCTTGTCAATCAGACGCCAAACAGCGTTTACTTACAGACAATCTGAACGATCAAGGGGCCGGCGATGTTGACCTTGGCATCTAGAAGCCAACCGTACACTAGCACATCACCACGAACAAGCCCAAGTAGAGGGGCATGAGCCGCAGGCGCGCTTTCTCGATAGGGAAGTGTTCCTCTTTCGTCACCTCTTCTGGGCTAAGCTTCTTCTCTGGGTCCGTCTCCTTTTCAGACGCTGCGATCATCTGGTCCTTCACGCGCCTGTACTCGCGGTCGATGACCTTCCCCGTGACGATGCCGCCGATGAGCATACCCCCGCCGATCGCAAGGAAACACAGGCCGACCTCCGTCTCGGTGAGGTAAGGGTATGTGTCCTGGAACAGCGTGGAGATGCTCGTCGTGACGCCGTAGAAGACGGCGTATACGACACCGTTGAAGAAGAGCAGCAGGCTGACGTCGGGTAGGAGGAACAACCTGAACGGGTTGATGAAACCGCGTCGGAGTGGTCGTGCAGATGGATCGAGAGGAGCGCTGGACTTGCGCTTGCGACCAATGACGGGGATGAATGGTTGGTAGCCGCGCGGAGGCGGGATGCTCCCGTCGCCGACGTATGCGCGTAGCGTTTCGGGCATCAAGCTAGTGCAGCATGAAACAGGAGACGGTGAAGGCCATGTGGATGACTTACGCGAGGATGAGCAGGAAGCACAACCCAGATGATATGGCCAGGAACCAGAATATAGAGCTTTGAGAACGTCGTTCACCATTAATGTAGTCTGAGCAGAGAAGAGACATACCGCCAGCCGAGACCCTCGGCGAGTACACCGCCGAGGACGGGACCGAGGCATGGTCCAACCTTTGCATAAACGTCAGACGCATGCTCGACTGAGCGTTGTGGTAGCTTCAGGCTTACCATAGGACCGATATTCCAGATGCCATAGTACATACCACGCTCCTTGGGCTCAGCAATGTCTGCGATCACGCCAGCCCCTGGGATGCAGCAGGTAAATTCATCCAGGCAGCTGTGCCGCAGTTAAACACGCACCTAAGGCCACGGTACTTGCTGAACCTGCCGCCTGCAAACAGCGCAGGAGCATCAAAAGCCAATATGCGTTCGTGGGCATGAGGGCCATCCCGACGCAAACGAGGCATAAGATGAGCATGCATGCGTTGAACATTGGCCTTCGTCCCCAACGGTCGGCCAGGGTCCCCCAGAACATGGGAGCTGTAGCATGCAAAAATCAGTCATTTACGAGAAGTAAGGAACAATTCAGCACGGACAAACTCCCTGTACGACCATGTACACCGTGACGGTCAAGTTTATGTCTTCGATCGAGCGATTGAAAGCATTCGCGATCGTCGGGATGGCGGGGAAATATATGTTCGCAGTAAATGGACTATATACACCCTATCGTCAGGGATTTTCTGATATAGGCGCCGCACGACTCACCTAAACAGGGCTGCAAGACCCGCCACAGCGACGATGAACCACTTCTCGTCTGATGTATAGATGCTGTATGCAGGCTTCTCGGACGGTGGACGTTCGAGTTGTTCCTTGGATTTCTCCATACTATTTACAGCTGCGACGTCTACCAAAGAAAAATGATGTCAGCTCGTTCATCTGGACCAATCGGTTGTACGATATTGCTCACTCGCAGTCTCATGAGTGTCGTGATCATTAGAGCCTCTGGGTGGTTCACAGCGCTCGGGCTGCTTGGACCGTTCCTCACCGCTTGCCATGCGTTGACGGTGACAGAGAATGGTAGGGGGACAAGGACCGAGGTCTGCACCGAGGAGCCTGCTGGAGGGATCTTTATGAACCAGCGCGGCCTGCATGCCGTTCGAATTGTTCGAACCGTGATGTTCCTTTTCCGGATTTACACAGCGCCTGCATCACGACTCGATCGTTCGGAGGCCAGCACCGATGGCCGTGCCGAGCTGCCGGTGCCACCCCGTTCAGATCTGGATGCCCACAAGATCTGCTCAGTACTTGCACGGAGGCTCATGCACATGCCTCTGGATCCTAAACCATACACAGTGTGCCTTGCACATTCATGTCGGGCTCTGACAGTACGGGTAGGAGCGTGCTGTCGTTCGGCATTATCGGATAGCTGCTGTAAGCCTGTACTACGCAATGTAGATGACTCAACTTATAACGCTCGGACACTTCGTGGCGCTCTGACCGCTCACTCAATAGCCTGCTAGCCTCCATCAGCGCTCAGCGGGTGGAAGATCCTGTACTGCGCAACAGGCTCCTGATCAACCTCGCAAGCTCACATCCGGACTCTGACCCAAGCGGAGTCATAGGTCGTCACGTTCATTGTGATGTAACCCAATTATTAGTAACAATGCACCATGCACTGAGCGAAATAAGTCCATCGATCCAGTATAATAACACTTGTGATACATGCCACCAAACGGTGAAACAGAAAAGGTAGACGTACATATCCGTAGACAATACGACAACACAGTGGGCACCGTCCATCACGGCGAAAACAAGATGGGAAGAGGGAAACATAGCAGCCACGGCATCAGTCAGCATCAACGCGTAGCTGCCCTCTTCCTCGCCGTATGCGCTCCTCGAGACCGCCTGCTCCGCCGAAGACCTTCTTCTGCTCATAGCTTAGGAAATCGCCCATACCCCTTGACTTCGCCCTGGCACGCTCCTCCGCCTCGGCTTCGGCTTTCTCCCTCTCCAGGAGCTCGGTGAGGCGTTCCCGCCGCTCTACAGTGAGGTTCGACGCGTCCGCGGACATAGACGCGAGACGGGCAGCACGATCGTCGGCAGCGCTCGACGATGGCTGTGGTTGAGATGCACGAGGTGGTGGAGAGCTCATACGAGAACGCTTTGGAAGGTCGTAGCGTGGGGGGCTCCTACTGCGACTTCGTCTCCTCTTCCTGTCATCGCCGACACGGGAGCTTCGCCGTCTGTCGAAGCCCTCGTCGGACTCATCTGACTTCGGCCATGTACGCACCCCGTCGTCATAACGCGTGCCCCGGCCCTTGTCGTGACTGGGGTTGAGGTCTCTGCGATTGTAATCGGGACTCGGGGTTCTTCCACGTCTGCGGGAGTATTGTTCGTTGCCGTCGTAGCGAGACCGGGGAGGTGGTGGAGAGCGGCTACGGCGGTCATATGGACTCGGGGACATCTTCGAATGAGAGTATCGATCCCTGGAATCCGAACCCGAACGGTGATATTCGTCGTACGGCGACGCAGAGCGCTCCCTGCGTTTGTCTTTCTTATGCTTCTTCTCCTTTTTCTCCTTGTCTTTCTTGTCCTTCTTGGGCTTGATGCCCGCACGCTCCTGCATCTCGCGCAACCGGAGAGGGTTGGACATAAGAGCCTGGTACGCGGCCTGTTCCTGCTGCTTGATGGCAAGCAGGGGGTCTTCGCGAACCTTGGCGGCGGTGTCACGCATTGTGTTTGCATACTGGGTGGCAATGAAGTTCTTGTGTGCGGCCCCGACCTGTGCAGCGAGGTAGTTGGTAAGCGAAAAGTACACAACAACATGACCCAGCACACGCACCTTCTCGTTCTCGCCAGCCGTCAGTATCTTGTCCACTCGCTTCTTTCCCAGGAGGTAATCCTCCAGTTCGTTTGTGTTCTGGTTGATACCCGTCGCTGGAGTAGCATACATCCACTCCAGCTTCTCCTGTCTCTTGTTCCCCGTCTGCTCTTCCTGCAGGCGCTGCAACTCTTGCAGCTGACGCTCCTCCTCCTTCTCTTTGCGGAGCTGGTCAAGCTTCTTCTTCTCCTCGAGCTATCATGCGAATCGATGAGCGACTGACTACGTCGTTGGTAATCAACAGAACGTACCGCTTTCTTCTCTTCAAGCCAGACCCGCTCCTGGTTCTTTAACAGGAGCGGGTGCCAAGACTTCTTCATGTTCAAGTCTCCACCACCCATCTTGAATGATCTTTGAGGGTACGACTAGGAGAGTTTGTGAGGGTTCGAGGAGAATGAGCAGCAACTCCCAGAGAGTCGTCGAGGAGCAGGACCAACAAGCGCTTAGCTACGCGATTCGACAGCTGTGTTTACCCTTGTTTGCCTACCTCTGCACTCCGCCACTCCGTCCGCGCGCAGCACACGGTGCGACGATGTCCTCCTCCAACTACGACCGACTCGGGGATGCTGAAGCGGGCGAGGATGATGCTCTGCGGGATGCCCCGCCGGTGCCTGGGTATGTCTCTTCTGAACTCATTCTGTCTAGCCGGCTCAGAGCCGGACGCTCAACAGACTCGTACCGTGACATAGGGCTACGCGTTCAATATATTCAATGACACGCCAAGAAATAACGAAAGGCCTCGCGAACAGATTCGTACATTCGCGGGCGTACATCGTTCTCTACCTTGGCATGGCATGCCTGTCCATGGCCACCGTTGCGTTGAGCCTCGTGAATGGCTGCCCGACGCTGCCGTTTTATATCCTGGAGCTTGTCATCAACGGTGCCATGATCCTGGAAGTCGCCATACGATTTGTTGCCTTTGGTCGCGTGAGTAGCCTCTAGTTCTGGGTAGGTATGAGCTCACACGACTGTCTGAAGCAATTCTGGACGTCCGTATGGAATGTCATGGACTTGGTAATCACAGCGTTCTGCGTCATCACACTTCTAGTCATCTTCTTTGCTGGATGCGGCAGCACCAGTAAGGAGGAAGAGCTGTTCGACACCATCCTTCTCGTAGCTCGTAACGCCATCCAATTCGGGAGGCTAGCAATCGTCATGCGACAGTGAGTGTCCTCGCCTTGCTACCGACTACGTGCTCACCTCAGTTCACCACAGGTCTGGCCACTCCATATTCTCCCAACCAAGACCCATTGACCTCGGATCGCGCCGAGGAGGGTACACCCTGGACATTGACATGGAGGACGAAGAACCACCCTCAGACGAGCTCGGCCGACCGCTGATCCACAACCCCGTCGTCTTCGACGCAGGCGAGGAGGCGACGCCCACTACTCGAGCACCACTGTCAGAGATGCCTCGAGCAGTGCAAGCGGCGCGAGAAAGAGATGATGAAGACCTCTGGGCTGCGCTAGGCTGAGCGCCGCGTGGGCCTGTGGTCCCGAATCACGTTTTTCGATGTCATGTTAGGCTGTACTAATCGACTTGCGCTATCTGCTTCCGTGTCCATGTGCGATGTGCGATGTGGTCCCGCGCTGTGATGATGTGTGAGTCGCCGTTACTAGACTGATCATCAGGACTGTTGATCGAGTGTTCGGTGCGATGGGAGGGCGACGTGCCCGGCTGTGCATGGTGCATGTTCGGGTGGTGATGATTGCCATATGCCACCGATATACCACTGCATTCTAGTCCGCTCAACGTTTCGTCAGACGATTCGCCCCTCGAGAGCACTTCGGTTCGGTGTTCCAGCTGTTTCCGAATTGATAGACCCCCATGTCCAGACTCGCACAGAAGCGGAATATGTCGGTCTTAGTGTTCTCCATCCTCATCAACAGTGTCGAGGGCCAGCCAGAAGTCAGCCAGAGCATGTTGGGTGGCTAAGGGCGAAGTCGAACGGCAGAGGGTATGGATCACCTGAAGTCAAGACCTGGCGTCCATCACTTGTGCACATTTATCCGGGAAGGGGCCTATCGTTTTGGAAATGGCTGTCAATATGTGTGGGGTGAGTAGATTCATCCATCAGGTCAATGCGAAATCTACTGTCACTCCGTCGAGGATGGTATGATGTGAAAGGGCATCTTGTCACCCATGGATGACCTCCACCCTACTGATGAGATGACGTAGGTGCGGCGGGACTCTACAAGCCATATTCGCCAGTTGTTATCAGCAACTCCTCTCCGCTCGGAGTCTCCGAGCTTCGAGGATTCCATTTACGACAGTGAGCTTGGCTTCTTCTCGCCCTGGAGACGTTATGGCAGCATACTTAATTATGACTATCCTTCCCGGTGGTCCTGTCATGTTGGGGCTGTGTGCGATCTGTGAGTTCCCTGACCCGGCGGTACGAGTAGGGAACCTTATCCCTGGGGCCAGACCCGCGCGGGACCCAAGCTTCGCCCGGTCCCATGATGGGTACGAACTCGAGCAGATCACGAAGAACTATCAACCTCAGTGATGAGCGAAGGTGAGCAGAAGGGCTATCGTAGGGTGCACCTCCCAATGAGGCTCATCGGCTGTTCCGATGGGCTCTGCGGAATACAAGGACGTGCGCATCGTGTCTAAGTACCGAACCACTGCTTCTTGTTCCGGTCGAAGGTGCTTCATCAACAGCGAAACCAATGCAGCGGGCTGGAGATACCCATTGCGCTCTCCTGTGGTGGGATACTGTGCGTCTGTTCGAAGGCGTGACGTTCTGTTCCTCGAGTGCCGGTTTCTCTTCCCGCCGGCTGCTTGTGGTCTCTGCTCACGACTGTGGGAGGAACAGTGATGTCTAGCTTCTTCTCTCTCAAGACTGTCATTCTGACTCGAAGGCATACAAATGAAGGTATATTCCAATGCTGACCGTTTCGAGATAAATTCAAGCTATAAGACGCACGTAAGTACTCGCTCGGGTTGAAACGTTGAGTCGGTTGACTGGCCAGGAAAGTGGCCCATATGCAAGGACCATCCCGGGGTCTAATATTACGTGTAGCGGATCGAATGTTGTTTGCCGACGATGTTCAGCATTCAACCAGTCTTAGCTTCGAGTCTTCGAAGAAGTTCGCGGGCACTCGGTCAGCGGAATCGAGATGATTCCCAGTATTTGATTGCGTTTTTAGCCACTACCGATCGGCAGTGCTCTGCAAACACGCTAAGGCCCTGCTAACTTATCTGGTACATTACATTCCACTGTCGAGGGCATTGTACACCCCTGTTCCTGGCCATATGACGCGTCGGAATGCCGAACACTGGTTATACATACATGCACAGAGCTGAAGCACAACTGAACAGCACTCAACAGTACTGGAGGCTGTTGCAAGTACGGCTGCGGCATATATACGGGACGTAAGTGACACCATCTACTTGGTAAATTATTATGGTGTAGTGGAATTGGAAACTGAGCCTCTTCGCGAGATGCCGAAGGTCACATCAGAATTATGCTTGCAGTAGTGCGTTTGCCCAGAGCGACGCTGCTCTGGGCAGGTCGTTGCTGGATGACGCGACTGAGGTACACCTATAAGGAGAAAATGAAGTTCTTGCAGATCGCGCGAAATGAGGACTGCGAACAGATGCATGCTGTGTGGGATGAGGACACGGAGAAGAGGCCGGATTGGATCTCGATGGGATGATCTCGCGAGTGCCGCGGAGGATGAACAGGGCGCATCGAGCTGCCCGGCTGGCTTGATACGCGGTGGATTGCCCTGGTGCTCCTCACCCCTGATCTCGCCGCCGTCGTGCAGCTCGCCGGGCAGGACGCACACCGCCCAGGAGCTGTATTCGACGCGTGCTGGCGGGTCGATGAGAGGGTTCATTGAGAGAAGCATTTACGGCGATAAGGGGGTTAGGTAATGGGAAGAGAATCAAATTTGTAGAAGGGGCGGGTGATAGACGCGCGGTAACCACGGACAGCCCATTCCGGCGCATCCGCCCACGGCAGGTGTGCGGCAGGCTGGGCACGGGCAGCATCCGCCTCCGCGCAAAGTCGCGCCTCGTCGTTCGTCCCGCCAGCTGTCTGCTCCCCGCCTTTCCATGCTGCGCTCTCCATAGCGCGTCCCCCAGGTCCGCACACGTCCCCTGCGCCCGTCCCTGCCCATCCACGGTGTGCCGCAGCCCAAGGACCCGACTGCCTCATCCCGATCAGGAGACACCCACACTCGTTCGTACGTCCCCCATGCCATCTAGCATCCTCCCTCCCGGCCATTCCAAATCGTCATGGTGGTCTCGCTCCAAAACCGGCAAGGAGCCTTCCGTCAAGCCCATGCGCTCCTTCTCCAGCCTCAGCGACGACAACGAGAAATCATCCACGTCGTCCATGTTTCCCCCCTCCACCAAATCCAAGGACACGTCGGGCTTGAGTCTCAAAACCCTCGGCTCAGCCATCAGCTTCAAGTCCAAGAAGGTCGCCTCCCTCACCATTCAGAATATCCCCTCCGACGTCCCCATCCAAGCCCCTCCGCCCCCCAGTCCTCCTGCCGACTTTGGTGCCGACCAGACGTCTGTCGCTCCTTCTATCCTCTATTCAAATAGAATCCCCACCATCAAGTCCATAAGGACTGACCGCTCAACAGAGCTCGACAACGATGCGAGATCAGCTCGCACCGCTTCAGAGCCCCGTACACCCTCAGATTACAGGACGTCCTACCAGCCATCCGTCCTCACCTTCTCCGAACTCGACCCCTTCGCCTCTAGCGGTGTCATTGTACAACAGGGCCACGATCCAAACAGGCTTTCTGCCTACTCCGACTCGTCTATGCTCGAGCCGACGCATAAACGCGGCGAGATCCTTTTCTATAACCGCATCTCATATGCCTCCTCTTCTTCAAAGTCGCAGGGTCATTCTTCTGACAGTCATTCAATGGCAATAGCATCCCCTCGATCGTCTCGCTTCTCTAGGTCAGTGTTTCATCCCTGAACGCAGCCGACGGTCAACGCTGACAGAAGAATGATGCCTTAGGCCCGAAGGAAGCAGACAAAACACAGCAGGAACGAGGGACTCTTCACTGGCCCCGCCCGTTTCACCGCTCGCATCTCCTCGAAGACAGAGTCCCTCCGGATCGTCGGGGTCGACGGTGAGAACAGGCGAGGGACCCAGTCGTCTTAGCGAGCCCGTACCGGGTAACCTGACGTTCCAGCGTGCATCTTCATCATTCTTGCAGAGGCCGCGAGGTATGACGATAGGTGCGTCAGGGAGCAGCGATTGGCGACCTAGTACTGCCAACCCAGCGCTGCCGTCGGCTGTGCCTGCCCGACTGCGGAAGGCGTCCGACGCTCCGCCTGCCTCGCCCAAGGGCTCGTCGTCTGCTGCTCCTTCCTCGTCCGCCTCCCCAATTGCATCCAGCCGCTCGCGATCGTCCACTGTCAACAGCGCTGAGTCGTTCGAATCGCCAAATATGTCCCCATCATCTACGGCTCACCCACTTGTTGTCGTGCGTAAGGCATCATCGACAAGGGTGACTCTACCACCTCTCAGTCGCGCACCGTCTCAGGACCTTCCGCCGACACCATTCCCCGAATCTGATTTCGGCGCTTCCGACTCCCTTGATGATCTGTCCCTCTTCCCCGACGCACCTTCCTCTAGCTCATCAAGTATGAGCTTCGCGCCTAGCATGGACCTCGACATGGCAACCGTCACGGGCGACATGATCAATCAGCTCATGTTGCACGGCTACGAGGACCCGTCCGAGTCGAAATCGAAAGGGAAGGGTCGTGCTAGCCGTCGCAAAGCAAACAGCACGAGTCCCTCAGACACGCTGCGTGACTTCGAGCTCGTGCATCCGGGACCTTCGTCATCGACCAGTAAGCTGCCATCGATGCCTGCCAGCAGCGAAGGCGGCTCTGCGGACCTCACCGGCGGCATATACTCTGCGTCCATGCGCTCCCTGCAAAGGGTCTCGTCACAACAGAGCTTACTTGGCAATCGAATGTCGGGGGCAAGCCAGTCGTCTGCTGCGTCGGGCTCCGTCGGCCCCGAGGACGGGTTCTTTGGAGGAGCACGGCTTCCGGGACGAAGCCACCGCGAAAACAGCGCTCCTTTCACCACTCACGGCTCCCCCTACCACCTATACCCGCGCTGCGCCATGCTACGTCGGATGTGGCATCGCCTGCGTCTCCATCATCCCCGCCCCTCGAGCAGCGAAAATCCTCTAGTAGTGGACACCAGCCGACGCGGAAGCGGCTGTTCTCGGGGTCGAGTGCTCGCAGGAGCACGTCGTCGCACGGGCCGTCGAGCAACGCGATGAGCGGGGACGAGGATAACCGCTCGATTTACAGCGTCGACGATCTGCGTGCGGCGGGGCAGAAGATAGTCATGTCTTTTGGCAGCTTCGCGAACCCGCTCTCGCTGCTGACGAGCAATGCATGCGTTGCGCCGGGATCGTATCTGCCCGATGCAAATATGACATCGACCACGTCGCCGGACCCCCAGACGCCCCAGACACCAACGGGCCCCAGTCCGAGCAATAGAGCATCCCAAACGGAGTATATCCCGCAGCATATCATGTCCCCTGCGGATATGCTGAAGCTGGAGCAGCAGTTGGCTCAGGAAGCGGTCGATAGGGAGCAACGTGATGAAGACGAGCTTCCAGACGAAGTCGTGGATCCCAACGTCTCGACGTCCAAAGCCGACCATCGGCTGTCGGTCGTGTCGGCAGCGACTTCTGCGTTTGGCAACGACAATTCTTTCCGACAGAGGAGAGACAAGACGCCTGTCTCGTCACCGCCCTCGAAGCCGTCTGCCCTTCCGACACCAGCGAGCAGGATGAGGAGCGCGGCAGGAGAGTCGTCCCGCTTGCCTTTCCGTAGCCATTCTGCGTTGATGTCGGCCCCTCGCAAACCTTCCTTGTCACTTCGACCGTCTACTGCTACGTCGGGACTGCCGCCGCAAGCCACGTCTATAGCAGCTTCGTCGGATTCGCCCCAGCAAGCTCCCTGGAGTCTACCCCCTCCGCCAAGGTCACGTCCAGTCCGTGATCCGCCACCCAGCAAGAGCGAAAGCGGTAAGCGCCTCAGTACGGTTCCCCTGCAGCCACTTTCGCCGCCGCCGACCCGTCTTCGGGCACGTATCTCGTCTTTGCAGGGGCCTGCTATTACTCAGCGCCCTTCGCCGGCCAGCATATCAAGGTCCCCGAGCGCCTTCGGCAACAAGGTGATGCATCGGAAGTCTCTCATGAAGAAGCCCTCGTTTCTTGACATAGAAGACGAGGCGGACGCGACTTCAGAGAGCCTCATGGACGTGAACCTGGACGCACTGGACTCGCCGACCATGGATAGCAGCTTTCTTGACATGGACAGGGGGAAGGATTCCTTTGACACAGTGCGGAGCTCTGATTCTCTACTCTTCGTTTAGGGACTGTTCGTGTTCTCGATCTCCTCTCCTTTCGTATGTATTGCTCTTTATTGCGTATTTCTTACTGGCACGTCGCTGCATTGACCTGCTCTACGTCTCCGTACTTCGATAGTACTTCGCTTTCGGGTGCACGCGTGGTCTTTTCTGCTACCTTCTCCCTTCGTCTTATAGCTTTTGCGTATATTCCTGTAATGGCCAGTGCATCGACCCCCATGTATGCGTCTTGGATACCTAGGTCCTAGTGCAATTACGACAAATACTCATGAAACTCAACCAATCCATGGACAATACTAAATCCCCTCTTCCACGGGACGTCAGGAATTAAACTTTCGCAGGAGAAAGCAAGAATAGCTGTCGCATGGTAGTATATTACAGATGGGTCAACGAAATGTGTCCCAGAGAAGACTGCTGAACATCTCGCATCCCACGCGCATTAATCCGTCTCGTCCGTATGGTATCCCGCACGCCTCATCGCTCCTAGTATGTGGCGAGCCGCACCCAGATCCTTCTCCAGGCGCAGAATCTCTACCTGCTGCTCCATCTCGCGCTGCTTGAATTCGAACGCCGCCATGTTCTTGTAGTCGACCTCTTCTTCCTGGCTCTGCTTGGCGGAGATGGCCTTGACTTGCTTGACGAGAGCCTTGCAAGCCGCGGTGACAGCCTTCGCAGCGAGTTCCAGGCGTTCCTGAGTCTTCGACATGAGGTTAGCCTTAACACGGGACGCGGCTACGAGCTGAGCCGTGGCCGCAGCGACCTCGTTCGACGCAACGATGAGCTGCTCCAAGGAGTGCGTGCCGGACAAGACACCATCGGCACTCTCGATGAGGAGGTTTGTAGCGAAGGCGACCGCGCGGGCTGCGGAGATCAGACCTTCCGTCCAACGGTTGTTGCGCTTGTAGAACTGCTGCGTGGTGCTCGACCCCTTGCCCTGAGCAACGATCTCCTGCTGCGAGTCGGTGGCTGCTTTGATGAGGCGGGCGATGGCATTCGTGATCGCGAGAGCAGCGGCGAGGATGGAGTCGTGCACTTGCAAGTCGACAGCGCTGAAGCGTCCAGAATCCCGAGGACGCGCCATGAGCTCCTGGAGACGCTCCGTCGCGGCCTCGATGGCCTTCGCCGCGCCCAACATCTCGGCCTCCACGATGTCTCCGATGTCTCCATTCGCCTTCGCCAATGCTCCCGACTTGCCGCCCTTCGGGACGAGACCGTCGACGACCTCAGACAGCTTCGACAACGCATTGCGGACCTCGCCGTTATTCCGCATGGCGACCTCCTTCCGCTGTGACGACTGCGGCAGGAGATCGAGCTTGTAGGATTGAAGGTTGAGGAAGACCCTCAAACCGACATCGCCAGCTGTCTTGGCTACACCGATCAGCTTGTCGGCAGAATCGTCACCAACGAGACGAGTTATGCCCTTCGTATTGATCAGGACATCTGACAGAGACTGCGCGAGCTCGTTTGCACCCTTGATTACGTCGACGTGGTCACCACCGACTTCGCCTCCGAGATAAAGGTTAAAGACAGTCGCGAACTCGGTGGCGTTGTTCATGGCCTTCTCGATCATCGAAAGAGTATATTCAGGCGTGGAATTCAGGTTGCCAGCAGTAGCGGGCGACTCGAGCTCATAGATAGACTCGTCGACTTTGTGGACGCAAGCTTGCAGAATGGAATCTACAAGGACGGAGGTCAGGCAATGGACAATAACTTCGAAGACACACTTACCAATAATCTGGTTGAGCTTCTTCCTGTTGTCCAGGATGAGCGTGTCGATCTGGGCGTTGGTGGTTTCTTCTGATATGCCTTGGTTCTGCGTGCACGTTAGCTAATGGACACAACGAACATAACGGATGCGAACCTGCTGAGACTCGTGGAGCTGCTGGATTGTGCTGTCCATGCCCTCCTGGAGAATGGCGATCTCCTGGTCCTTCTCCTCTCTCAGGCGATCCATGTCGGCAGATGCATTGTCCAGCTTCACGAGAAGGTCATCAATCTGAAGCTGCTTGGCCTAATTCATCCAGTTTGCATGTCAGTCGAAGCACGACCATCTGAAGCGTCAAGTACCTACCCTCAGTGAATCTTCCAACTCTTGCAATTGCCGGTTAAACTTCGACATGATAGTGGACGTCTCCGAGCTTTTTGAACGCGACGCATCTTCCGCACGCTCATTGGCGTAGCTCAACTCCCGTCGCACACGGTCAAGCTCGTCTTTGTGACTAGCCTTCTGGCGATCCACGTCGAACCTAGCACGATCGCGCTCGCGGATCATATCAGCGAGTTCCAGATTCTTCGACTTCAGGTCCCTCTCCATCCTCTCCATGCGATCAATGGCTTCCTGGGCTGAGTTGGCTTTCAGCTGCATCTGCTTGAATTTGGCAAGCATGTCGAGATGCTCTGTCCGGAGCTGGCTATACAGCTTCGCAAGCGCCTCGTACTTGTTACGCCAAAGGGTGACCTGGTCCTGCAGCTGCTTGATCAACTCATCCTTGGACATCATCTGCGCGTTGACGTTGGCAGTAATGCTACCCAATTCGCCCTCCAGAGCTTTCACTCGCTGTGCACAGAGGATCAGAAGGAGTCCCGCTACCATTTTACATGACGCTTACTCGATCGTATTGTTCAAGCATCAGTTGATCGCGCTCGTACTGACCCCGCATGGCCAGTAGTTCTCGCTCGAAGTCTTGAACGTGTGCCGCAGCCTGATTGTTGTATTGCATCATTTGCTGCTGCATCAGCTGCTCCTGTGCAGTCGCTCCCTCTCTGCCTGCTCCGCCTGGCGTTGCTCGAATTCCCTACGTTGTTGTTCTTCGAGCTCCAGGCGTCGACGTTCTTCGGCTTCTCGCGCAGCTAGGAGAGCCGCTTGTTGCTCCTCGTATTGCTTCAGCATGCGCACCTGTTCGTTGATAGCGTTGGCATCCGGCACAGGTGTAGCTGGCGGTGGCGTCTTGACTGTAGTCGTCGTCGGCCTGGCAGGTAAATCAGGGGCCGTGCCATTGTCCAAGAGATTTGGCGGTTCCTTTGTGATTGAAGTCAGCAAAGAGCTGGAGATGAATGACTGAGTGACATACTTGACCAAGCTTGGCACATTGATGAGACCTGTGAGATACTTGAGGTTCGAGCACTCGTAGTAGAATTTGCGCAGCGAGTAGTGGTGGGCGTTGAAACGTTGCCTCAGAGGTTCCAGTGCCTCAGTATCATTGGTCCCTGTATGTCCGTCAGCGCTGCGGATAGGTCACGCAGCTCTGCAGACTCACTTCGATACATAGCCCGCAGCATGCTGGTAATGAAACGATAAATGCCCCAACTCTCCTTTACAAGTGGGACCAATGCCGATATGCGACACTCATTGCTGGCGGAGTGACGGAAGTGGGCAAATATCATCTTTTGGAAGGAGTCGATCTGGTCTTGCAGCCCCATGAGGTCGGATATAGTCTCATAGCTGTGGCGTGGCGTCAGAGCCCATCTATCGGCCTGCAACGTCGACATACGCACCCTTCGTTAGGATCATCGATACCCTTCAGTGTCACGTACTCCTCGTACTCGAACAATCCATTGAACTCAGGTCTAAGCCGATGGAACCTGAGCTTAGCCAGGATGAATTGGACATATGCCCTGATCAACGGTCCGTAGCCTGCCGCGTACGTTCAGCTACATGGCTAACCACATTGTCTCCTGTGATGACCTACCCTTAGGACTGTCGTGGCCCACGGTGCGCGCGCAGGTTTCTAGCCAACCGGTTTGACCATGAGCCTCTTTGATCGTCTGTCAGAGTCTGAGGTCAATGACTGATAGATAGAGAAGTCGTGGTCACGCACAACTGGGTGCCCTCCTGCAAGACCTTATGCACCGTGATGAGGGCTTTGAACGTCTGCACTTCATCGGCCAGGATAGGTTGCACACGCAGGCCGGTCCAGAAGGAGATGGACGAGTGATAATCCCATGTGTAGACGATAGCCTCTATGATCGAACGGTCAGCGTCACCGGACAGCAGTACATACGATAGCGCACTCCGGACGTGTTTCTGCTTCGGGGCAGTCTCATCTGGGTTGGTCGCTTTCTTGATGTTGACAACAGCTCTGCTTCAGCTTTGTCCCTGTCTACCGGCCGTGTTGGATAATGGACTTCATCGTGCTCAGTTCATAGCGAGAGCGTTGTCCATACGACCTGCGTCCTGGTCAGTACCTCAGCGCGCATGATTGCATGAATTAAGTCCTACATGGTTGCAACTTGCTAGCTCCTGGGCCCTAAGCAGAGTGATGGAGGCAGACGACAACGCGAACGACGCCAAGGGCACTGCGTACGCAGTATGGTGCTGAGCTCACTGACGAGAGCGCTCAAGACAGCCACAGCACGGGGCGTTTCGCGCGGCGTTCTCCGCCGCCACTGGCACATCCTTCGCCGACTCCGTCCACCACCCTCTGCTCTGCAGCACATTAACCATTGCTTGTGTTCTCTTAGACGTGCGAACATGCTCGCATCACTGCGCGCGACTACTCGATGGATAAGGCCCTTCCTCCGTCTCAAGCCACATAAACCTCACGCTCCTTCGGGTCTTCGCATGGAGTCGACTACATCACCCTCGACTTATCTGTGAAGAGGAGCGTTGGATAACGCCGACCATGGTCCTTGTTGGATTCATACCAATATTTACCTTCGCACTGGGGACATGGCAGGTGCAACGACTCAAGTGGAAAGTAGCCCTGATCGATGAGCTGGAGGAGAAACTGCAAAGGGAACCCATGACCCTGCCTAAGCGAATAAAGTGCGAGGCCTATTCTTTGGTTCCAAGGTACCGATTGCCTCACACTTCGTATTTGTTTGAAAAGTCTCAATGCCATCCCGGATTTCGCGTTCCGCAAGGTCATGTTGAAGGGCCATTGGGACACCAAGCACGCCGTGCTATTGGGCCCTCGAGTTCGTAACGGGACCAATGGCTATCATTTGGTGGTACCTTTGGTACGTGAAAATGGCTCCACTGTCCTGGTGGATCGCGGGTTTGTGTCGAAGGAGCTGGCGGATTCATGCAAAAGCCACCTCGAGAGCGGTGAAGTCGAAATTCTCGGCATGCTACGGACGTCCCACGTGCGAAACAACTTCACGCCCGACAACCATCCTGAGAGGAATGAGTGGTATTGGGCTGATGTGGACGCGATGGCAGAGTACGCGGGCGGAGAGAAGGCTGGCGTGCAGCCAGTGTTCATAGAAGAGATCTTCGGTGCGCATCGAGCGAGGTAACTGCGAGTGTGAGTACCCCTTGCTCACGAACGTACCAGAGGGCCATGCGGGGGATATATCGTCCCGCTTGAATCATGGCATACCTATAGGAAGGGCTCCAGTTGTAGATGTGAGGAATTCGCATGCCTCATACGTCGCTACTTGGTACGTCGCCACGGCTTCGCTCGCTCGTTTCAGCTAATGCTCTGTAGGTATGCGCTGTCTGCCTTCACGAGCGTAATGTTCGTTCGACTAATGATGAAGCGGCGACAAACGAGGATGCGGGTTCCTCGTTGAGCCACGCTAAATGTCTTGGTCGGCTCAGGTTGACAGTACTCCTTCGTCTGCGAGTACTCGAATAGTGGATGTGGATATATATCATATCTGCTTCCGTCTGTCGTAGCGATCGCATCTCATACCAAGAATCGCAGAACACATCATGGAAACGTCGTGGATGTCGATGAGTGCTGAGTGCCATATTAACATTCATTGTATCATACCTATTATCCGGCGGCATGACGTCACATGATAAGTAGGTATGCCCGCCGCTTGTGGGCTGCCCATTGTTCTCGAGCAGCACAAAGGGAATCCCATAAAGCCGGCAACGGCTTGCCTACCGGATCAACATTTATTTCAAACGGCATGCCACTCGAGCTAACTTGGGAAAATTTATAGTGGTTCGTATGCCACATTTCCGACGCCCCACTCACTCTACTAGATTGAAGTTCTGACTACCAAGTTTCATTTGGGTTCAAACGGACATGCCTGCCTCGTTCTACCAGTTCCCGTCGTCAGTCTTTCGTCTTTCCGCAGAGTCCTCGGGCCGGTCGTGGCCAATGTACGATGCTCGTCAGCCACGAACTCGCAAGGCCGGTACATTCGGCTCGCGGGGTCAAGCTGCCGCCATCCATGTTCGCAAAAGGCTCCAGAAGGAGAAACAAGAGCATCGCAATACCAATGAACAAGTCAAGGCGGAGGGGCCTCGGAAATCTTTCTCTCGAGAGGCGGCAGGTGAGCTTCCATGAACTACGCGTCGCACAATCGCTGACGGCCACAACGCAGATGCGCTTGCAATTGGAAATGTATCCCGAGCCCTGCAATTGCAACAACGTGCCCAAGTGGCGGCCTCCTTCGCTTCCGGTCTGGTGTCAACGGCCAGCGAACCACGCTCGCCATCACTACATATATCTGGACGATCTTCACCCACCGCGTCTCTTGTGTCGCTATCGGGCGATTCGGGTTATGAGGAGACACTGGGGAGCATTCTTCCCAGGACGATCTTGATGTACCTGTGTCTGGTTTGTTTCTTGCTTGACAGTACGATACACCGCTGATCGATGCGCAGTATGCCGTATTCTACGTGGCTCCGGTTCCGAATTGCCGGGGAGTCCAGCCGTTCCATATACCCACATCAACAAGCCGGACTATGCGAACAGACGCCACGCCCGGCCTCACTGCTCAGCGAGCGTCTCGTGCGAGAAACAAGCTATCCCTCACCGCGTCAGCCTTTACGATGGTCACAGGACATCGGAAGGGCGTCCGTCTCTGGGTATCCTCGCTCCTTTTATCCAACTCGTCGCAGACCTCGGCGGGGGAACCATGCGTCTTGCCTCTAACCAGACGCCTGGCACCACTGCCTCGCTTCGATCCCTTCATGAGGACACGATCGGAGTCACTCTCTTCAATCATCCATGCTCCCAACACTATACTCACGGGCCGCACCGATCTCGTGTGTTTTACGAGGTCTGTGCGGAAGTGCAAGACGACGGGAAATATTAAGGGGGCATATCGACTCGATGTAGGCCATATGCGCTGCCAGTAGGATCGAGTCGCTTCTACATGCCTCCATATAGGAACATAACTTATGCCTACTTATCATTGGATGACGATTCACGCTTATGTATAATAAAGTGGCACAGTACAATACTTCGTTGTTCGCGGTGTTCAGAAGATGAGAGTCGGTTCATAGTACCGACACTATTGTAAGCAGTCTATGCGCATGTATAGACGCCCGTATTGTGGCATTCATGTGATTCGCGGTGCAAAGCCATTTCTGGGACAGTTCTGAGTTGCACAACCTGAGACGCAGCTACCGTAGCAGTGAAGCCAACACCGCGTTCTACCCATCTCGGTCAGCTCAGCGACCTGATTCTATGCTCGACTGCAACGACAAGTCTGGGGATATCTGACAGAGGCTCCTGCTGCGCTCCCCCCGCTTACTTACCACAACGCACACCGGTCCAGGATCCTTTAGTCAACGTCTCCCGCGTCGCCTCTTGGCTTCCATATCGTAACTTGGCCGGCAAGGCGCCACGTTGATGGCAGAGGCCGGTCCCTCGTCTCCAAGTCGTACTTTCTCCAGTGGTACCAGCAGTCCAAATGCATCAGCCAGGAGTTCGAAGCAGCTTCGCGTTCAATTTCCTGCCGAAGAAGACGGTTCGAGCGCAGGGGATAGTATCTCCTACAGGGTGCACCCCATAGGCCTTGGACCGCCTCCAGCGCCGCGCAAGGCCATCGCTAGCTCGAGTGGAGACATCCCTCCCTCTACCTCTGCTCGCCTCCTTGATGATTCACGTCGTCGCGTTCGTTCTGCGGACGCGTTCCCGGCTTTGGCTTCGCAGTCCATGATCTTGGAGAACGGCGACACTACTCGATACGCGAGAACGTCTCGGCCGAACAGGAGGAGTATCAGGAAAGACAGAGGGTTGCCGAATTCGACTCTTGACGGCAGAGGGGACCTTGCCCAATCTTCAGCGTTCTCGGACGAGTACGACCTCTGTGAGTAAGCTGACTCCATGGTCTTTAACAATAGCTGATGTCCTCCAAAGCTCGCGAAGGCATGTCTGACCTTCGCATCATAGTCTAGGCCGCTTTGTCTGAGCATAACGCTTTAGATCCCAGGATCGTTGAGGATGTCCAACGCGCCATTCGTCTGAAGCAACGCCGTGAGGCTCGCCTCAGGTCGCAGTCAACCCACATCCCGAACGACGCACAGTCCAAAGGCGATGCTGTCAATGCACCCCGTCTATCCTCTCCTATACGTATCTCAGACCAGAATCCGTCATCAACGGCGCCATCATCTGGAACTGGGAGCATTGATTCGGAGGTCGACTTTAGTCCGTCAGTGGGCACCGTACCCCCGCATCCTGTCCCCTTGTCCGCCAACGATGGGGCAACCCTGGATTGGGCGGGCTCAGCCTCCGAGGATGACAGGGACAAGCGCTGGCCTCTGCATCTTCACAGGCGAAAGCGGGACAGATTTACAGCAGCATCCAGCCGGGCTGTGGTAGAGAAGCAAGAGACCTTATACTCAGGTAATGGGATGTTATGTTGATATCACGACGTCTCTCATCTGTCCCGTAGACAAGCTCGCCCGCATCAAGTCCAAGGTCACTCCACTGACGCTGCGCAAAGCTACCATGACCAAGGACCAGCTGGAAAGGCGATATCAAATGTTACTGCCTGGGCGAAATTCACGCACAGCTTCCCTCAATCTGCTGGAGGTCGCGCGCTGGTACGATAGGCAGGAGCCTGGGGCTAAGGCTGCTCTGGACAAAGCGGAACCTTTGACGTGGTTGAAGCATCTATTGGATAGGCGTCCGCAACGATTCCCGCGTATTCCATGGCATCTCACTGCGCTCATCATGGAAGAGTACGCCAAGACTCGCATCAGTCATCATCCAATGGCGACTATTCCAGAGGACGGCATTCCTTCGAAGACTCCTTCTCCGACAGCATTGTCCCAGCAAGAACCGAAATCTCCTTCTAGTGGTTCATGGTCCTGGAACCCTTCCCCTCGCTTCCTGGACACGTCTACAAGGCGCTCGTCTTACGACCAACAGGTCTCATTCGAACCGCATATTGAGTCCAGCCGCGATTCCATTGGTGCAGAGTCGAGGCCGAGCAGCGAAGGCTTCACAAGACACTGGAGGCATTCACTCCCAGCCGGGGCGACGGAGTCCGCGCCGAGCTCGATATATAGCGGTCAGCAGAACGGCGAATCACCCCACAGACGACATCATCTGCGGAACCTTGCAAAGCGCTTTCGTGGCAGGGGATATGACAGCGAAGATGCGGTATCGTCACGGCGAAACTCGTTGTCGGAGCAGAGCGTGTCTGGGGACGCCGGGGACAAGCTGGTCAAGCCAAGACCACCCAGTAGGACATCCAGCTCACGTCTCCGGTCACCGGAGTTCTCAGAGCCAGAGAAGGAGCGAACGATGCCTACGGAAGAGAGCAAACCTGATGACGAGGCCGGGATTGTCACGATCACGGTCTCTCCTCCGCGAAACGATCCTGATGATGGTACTCCACGAGCCGACAGTGCTAATGTACCTGCTGAGCCCCCGGTATCGCCTATGCGTCGTGCGATTCCTCGACGGAGAATACGTACATCTCTACCTTCGTCTCAGCGGATATTCCAGGACGAGAGGGAGAAACGGCAACGTGAGGTTGATGAAGCGGTCGAACACCAGCAATATGAACAAAAGGCCCAGTACGTGTGTCAAAATTGTATTGTGTTCGTATTCTCATCCTTTGTGGCAGGATTTTGGAAGATGCTCGAACACAGAACCATCGCACTCAACAACTCCTACAGCGTGTCACCGCGAGTGTTCGAGAGTACGATTCCGTTCAGTCGGGCATGAGTGCTGCGCTTGGCATGCCGTTCGCAAGGCTTCCTCCAGATGTCCTGGAAGCGTTCTCCCGTGATCCGTCCGCGTTCACAAGTGGCACGCGCCATAATCGAGGCTGGAGAGCGGTCGAGGACGTGCACGACCGCGTGTATCGACAACGCAAGATTCTCCGTAACTTTGCGAAGCGACTGCTGTCGACTCGAGTGACTCGGAGCCGCCAGAGTCTGTCTTCGAGCAACCTGTGGACTCTTTGACAAAGTCGCTTGCCGAGTTGGAGAAACATAAGGGGCGCGTCACCTCACAGCTGGAGAAAGTCACAGAGCTCCTCATCGGCGTGCGTCATACACACAAGGCCGTCAAGAAGGGTTATAATGACACTCTGGCTCATACTTCGCTGGTGTATCCTGAGGTATGTCTCAAGATTCTGCTAATCGTGGACATGCTTCTGATGACCGCTCAGCTGTCATACGCCGTCGCTCTTGAAGAGAGTTATCGTAACCACTACCAGCAACTGTGGGATATTGGTCTTGACGCACTCACTCTCTTGCTCGACACCGTGACACCGTTCTGGCGCAACTATGGCAAGGTCATAGGTCAGGATGTCCAAGATTTTCTGATCATCCCATGGTACCGGAACGAGTTCACCGGAGAGGCGAGACGATATCCCATCGAAGGTTTTCCGATCCGTTCGCTTCGACATTGGATCGGCTTGCTTTGCCTCTCGCTCCTTAGTCTTTGTGTTACGTTCCTGCAAGTGCGCGCTGCGTACGAGTTGACTCTAAATTGGGGTCTGCCATGGATCACTCACGCCGGGTTGTGGTGGTTGATCTTCCCGGTCTACACTATTGGGTTGTTGATTCAGTGGTGTGCTGTGCTTCTGGAGGTTTGCATTGTCGCTGCGCAGTCGGGTGTGGTAGTTTGGTGGATGGGTTGGGCTGTCAAGATTCTCACTTAGGGCCTTCGGTACGCTGCTCGTATTCTGCTGTTTGCGCATTGCTGTCGTCGTTACACTATCTTTATTAGTTACGGTCGCTACAAATACAGCTCCAGCTGGTAATCGTACAATACATCAACTGTGGTTCTCCATGTCATGATCCGTCGTTTGTGGTGCGGGAGACTGTGGTCGTACAATAACCGGAACAATTTCGGTCGTAGTCGTCAGACGCGTGGCGTCTCTGGAAGGAGTCTGAGGAGACGATGTAGCAGCAGCCGGCGCTGCTACGTTGTATGAGTTGGATCCCGCATAGGTCCAAGGCTGGTGACTCGAGGTAGTGATGGGAACTGCGTGAGCCTGAGACTGATTAAGATGCGCGCCAGTATCACTGGCTCTTCCCGCACTGATACAGGATTTGCAGTATCCTACGAGGGGTCAGTATGTAAGACAAGACGACACATAACACGTACTGCCGAAGTTGAGCAACGGCACATCAGGTCGGCCACAAGACCAGCACGCAATGGGAATAGGAGGTTCTGCCACTTTAGGCTTCGACTTGTGTTTGCTAGGGCTCTTGCTTGTCGGTTGGACGGGCAGTGACCTGCTTTGGGTCGTGTCCCGTTGTTTCCGTGAAGCCTTCCTTCTACTTCTCGTAGTGTCCGCGTTACTCGGCATGACCGGCTTCGTATTGTAGCGGGGCGGTACAGCCTAAGATGGTCGGTCAATACCTCAATCACTGAATTGTACTAGGGGTCAACAGAACATACATTTTTAAGTTGCTCGATAAGTGGTCCATCTGGCAACTGATATTGCAGGTATATCCGCGGGGGCGCCTTTTCAGCCTGCGAGAATGAGTACTGCAACAAAGTAATACATCAGGTGAGCTCACAATCTCTCTCAAGGCTTCCTTGCTCTTCGCTATGCCCTCTTCACCTCCAGACCATTTCAGCAATAGCTCCCAAAGCGCTTGCGGCACCCTCGAGATGTTGATAGAGACTACATGGGGTGCAGTGGTGGTGGCTGTCTTCTCAGAAGACTCCGTTGGTTGCGAACCTGCAGACTGTATGACAGTCGAGAGCAAGACATCGGAGAGACTGTGCGCATCTCGTCTCTCACACACAGCGGGCCCTCGAGGTATGATCCACCGATCAGAGGGCTTCTCCTGGAACTCGATCACAATGTCGAACTCCCGCATCTGGAGCGCGGAATCAATGGGATGTCGTGCCTCTGCTACTCCAAGTGTTCCAGTTATCCCTGCGGTTGATGGCTGCCCTGATACAGGCCCCGGCTGCTGGGCTGCGCTTAGAGACCGAATCATCTGTCCAAGCGTTTCTGCTGTTCCTCAGTTGCCTTCCCTGCAGTAGCCAGATGCAAGAGCTTCTTGAGAGCGGGGTCCGTTAAAGCTGCCGTGCTTACTTGAGAGACCAAGTCTGGAGTTACAGTGACGCCTATGTCGGAGGAATCCTTGCGCATGTTGGGTCTCCCAGTCAGGGCGGAGACGGCAACCTGGGCTGTGGAGAGTTGCGTGTCAGCTTGTTGAATGCCATGCATATGGTATGTATGGTATGAGGGAGCTTGACCAGTTGGATGTTCAGGACCTGCAGATGCGTCCGGCAGATAGTAGACTTCGTAGAACGTAGTGTCAGGGAAGATGTGTGGCCCAATCCTCACATCGTATCGTCCATAAACCTTGATGCTGTGAGGCGGAGGTACTATCTCTGGTGCTTTCCACCCCGGGCTTTGGCAGAGAATTTCCGAAATGCGGAGGATAGCCATTTATTGCGTGCTATGGAAGGCGTCGTTCAAGCTACGATCATCGATGCCAACGGCGGCAACTTACACTGTGTGAGAGATTGAAAGACCGCAAAACTAGTAGGGAAGAGGCGCCAATGTGACTATTATCCCAGTAAGCATAAGTGAGTGGGACGTACCTCTGAGCTACGCTCCGTAACTCCTGCGGTTCATCATCTGAAGCCTCTGAGTCGCTGTGGCTGTCCAGCTCCCAACCGGGGTGGGACCGACGGGGAGCATTTTCGGGTCCGTGGGGCCGGTGAGTGTATACTTTGGACCTGAAGCTGGACCTGGGTCGCGCAGGAGACGATGGTCGCATCCAGGAAGGCGACGCGCCGTTGCTCACGATGAGATCTGGAGCTTGAAGAAGCGCCCATCCGCGTCTTTGCTGGAACGCTCATCTCATCAGACCCCTGGGCATTGCACCGTCGTGCATCATGTCTACACGCGTTCGTAGGTACTTCACTGGGTGGATAACCGGCTCAGCTAACTATGGACGCATACTGCAGAGAAAGGCGGTACGGTCTTCAGACCTGTCGCGAGACCGAGAGCACGCCCGGGGTCCGAGTCCCGCCAAACCTCTGCCGTACCGGAATCGCAATCTTCCTTCCCGCACGCAACGAACATCCGACATGAAGGGTCTCAGGCGTCTGCATCCTCATCCAGCATGCCACCACCAACTCACATTCCATCAAAGCCGGTGTCAGGCTCCTTCTCCCACCATGTCGACGCCTCACGCGGGCCCACTCCCACGTCGAACGTGACCGGTCCATGCGATCAGGAGAACAATGTACCTCAATCCTCAGCAGCTGCGTCTGCGATTGCCGTGCCCAGCCGTAATGTACCCCGGCCAACTGCCTCCCCGAGGCACGAGAGCAGAGAGCCTGCGCACCCCCTCCAACCAGTACCCTCGAATAGCGGCACTGCCATATCCGTTCCATCGAGAGCCGTACCAGTCGTTGTATCTCAATCAAGGTCTCTGCCAGGTATTGGAGTGGGTTTACCCGCTGTTCCTGCCGACTCCCTTGCTCCTCGACAGACGGTGGACAGCCAAGACCCGCCTCAACAATCGCGATTTGATGTCACGAGGAGCAATTTTGCTCATGCCCCTGCACCGCCTACAATACCGTTTGGGTCATTTGACATGTCACAGATAGACCCGTCTTTACAGTCGTCACTGCCAATTTTCCCAACGCACGACATCGTTGCACCCCCTTTCGTGGAAGGGTCTTCTAGCACGCTTGCTGGCGATGGTGCTACACACGCACAGTTCACCCAAAATCAAGTCTCGGAGAGCCGGGACGAGCAGGACTCAAATCCAACGGATACCCTTGCTGACCAGGGTGCACCTTCGCACGCAAAACCCAAGCGGAGGCGGGCGAAGACCTCACAGGAAGGGGATACGTCACCGGAAGGCCGTCCTAGGAAGCGACGCTCCCAGACTCAACCCAGGGATGAATCCGGAGCTGATGCAGACGAGTCACCGTCTGAAACAGCGGGACGAAAACGTAGAGGAAAGTCTAGGGCTCCCTCAGTCCCGCCGTTTGACCCTGATGCAGACCCTGGGGAAGAACTTGATCCCACTACTGTCACCATGTCTTCGCTTTGCGACGACCTTGGACAAGGGCGTGTCAGCAGTAAGGCGGCGCAGATAATCAGTAATCATGCTGCATGGCGGGCGGTGAGCAAAGAGAAGAGGGCACGGCTGCGCGCGATCGCGGAGGCCAAGAAATACGGCAGGAGCATCGACGATGAAGATCAGCCGGTTGCATCGACGAGTGAGGACCCAGCTGGGTCTTCTCAGGAGAATCTTCACTCCAGCCGCGGACCTAGCGCTTCTCCTGGAGATCCTCAAGCCGGCCCCTCCAATGCAGCGGGCGATCGCCTCCAGAAGACGGGCAAGCGGGCGACGACTTCGATTACTCACAGCACCTTGCAAAAAGTCGGTACAACGTACAGGTCAGGGTTGGTGCGAACGGCGAGACGATTATCGACGAAGAATCACTGTTCGTCAATCGAGATGAAGAGGAAGACACGACAAACTATACGCATGTCGAGGAGTCAGACACGACAAAGTTTGTAAACTCATTGAGCTATACCAAGAAGCCTCGGGGTTCACGATGGAGTGCGGAAGAGACGGATCTGTTCTACGACGTGAGTCTACTGACTTATCGTACCTCGCGGTATATCTCACAAATGACTTTCAGGCGTTGTCACAATTCGGGGAGAACTACGAGTTGATCTCATACGTACTCCCAGGACGTGACCGAAAGGCTTGTAAAAACAAATTCAAGGCCGAGGACAAGAAGAATCCAGCCAAAATTACCTTCTGTCTTAATCATCGCAAACCGTTCGGTGGGTGCTGCACTTCCTGTAGAAACTGTCTCGTCTGACTGTGATCAACGCAGATATTCAGACATTGGCTCGAATGACAGGAAAAGACTTCTCGGGTCCGACGCCCGAGATCAGAGCGCCTGCGGCTCTTCAGTCGTCGGAGCTTGACACCAATGTCCAGCCCGAAGCTGAATCGGCGACGAAGGTCACTCGTAAGAAGAGCAAGACACCACGGCCAAAAGACGGAGAGGAGATTCTAGGGAGCATCGAAGATATGGATAGAGAAGATAGTCTGTTTGGTGATGATCCGAATGTCTAGTATTTGCGTCGTGCGTCGCGGTGTGAATGAGATTTACGGCTCACAAGCCCTACTGTAGACTCTGACCGACGGTTTTGACTGTAACCCAGTCACCCACCTGCATTATTGAAGTCCCTTCCAAGTACCTTCCGAGTCTATCAAGGCGTTGCGCTCAGCTGGCAATACCGTAATTCGTACAGCGAATAAGCTGTTAGATGCAGCGCACATTATAAAAACTCGGTCAGAGAGATCGATACGCGAATGAGTTCTTGTATATGTACTGTACGCCCAATCGCTACTAAACTTGGTGTTCGAGTCGTCTAGGAGCGCCAAAGGAGCGCTGAGCACTAGCACTTGAGCTTTTGCTGGCTCAACAGATTCGATATATAATTGTGAGCCACGAAGGTATCGCCGGAATAGCTCAGTTGGGAGAGCAGTAGACTGAAGTCGTCACGTGCTTCCGCGGTCACGTGTTCTAAAGGTCGGGCGTTCGATCCGCCCTTCTGGCAAAATAATATTTTTGTGCCACCGCGCAAAGCATAATAAGTTTTGTACAGCACCCATGCAAGTAGGTTGGGTCCTCGTGCATATGTTCAAGCAGACTAACTGAATAAAGTACATACTATGCATGTACTTATCGAATCTCCGCAAGACCATTTAACTGGATGCAATCGCTACACGATCACGTGATGAACTCGCCCCGCGGTGACGCGGTCAAAAGGCTCGTCGAGGTTGTAGCAAGGGCTGTCTGTACTTAGCCTTCGACAACATCCTCCCCACACCCGACATTTTTAGCTACACAGCCTCGTTATGGTTCGCCGTACTGCTTCCCAAACCCCCTCGCGACCCGCGAGCCCTCCAGCCGACGACGTTGAGGAAGTGAGTACGAGCTGCATATACGGTCATCAAGCGGGGTTTCGCTAATAGTGCCTCAGGGGCCTTACTTCGACACAGTTGACGAACTTCAACAGCATGTAGGCTGCGATACGATGACTATTAAACACTGAGGCGCATATATGCGCGTTGATTCTCATTTCTTCATGCTAGGGTATCAACGTGCAGGATATCTTAAAGCTCAAGGCATGCCCCATCACGCCTCTTCTTTGTGTTGCTGACAAAGTCTTCCAGTCTGCGGCTATAAACACAGTCTCTGGTGTCATTATGACGACCCGGAGGCAACTGCTAAAGATCAAGGTCCGTCTTCAAGTAGTACTCGCCTGGATCACGCTAACACTGATTAGGGAATGTCGGAGGCGAAGGTGGAGAAAATCAAAGTCGGTATGCTGTGTCTCAGCACAGATGTGTGTGCTGATATTCGTGCACATAGGAAGCTGCGCACAAGATCCTGGTGCGTTGGAACCACCAATGGCAGCATATATGCGCCGTTAACCGTATGCTCTGAAGGGTTCCTCTTTTGCCACGGGGCTCGAGGTGCAAGACAAACGAAGACGCGTAATCATGATCAGCACCGGCAGCAAGGCTGTTGATACGATCCTAGGTGGTAGGTTGCTAATTCAGTTCACTGGACGCTTGACAAACAGACATCCGCGATCGTGAAGGTGGTATCATGTCTCAGTCTATCAGCGAAGGTGCCGTTAGTACCCTATTGCGTCATGTATCACCCTCACTCATCACCTGCAGTCTATGGCGAGTATCGTACTGGGAAAACGCAGCTTGCCCATACCATGAGCGTTATCGCTCAACTCCCTCCCGACATGGGCGGAGCATCTGGGAAGGTACGTGGTTGTGTGACTACAGCAGGGAAAGCGGACCGATGAGCCAACGCGGTCGATTCGCTCAAGGTGGCCTATATCGATACCGAAGGGACCTTCCGACCAGATCGTATCCGCGCCATCGCTGATCGCTTTGGAGTAAACGGAGACATGGCGCTAGAGAACATCCTTTACGGTACGTCCTTGTCTTGGACGAACACATAAGCTCCGTGTCTCACGAGTTATGCTGGTTCCTCAGCGCGTGCATTCAACAGCGAGCATCAGGCAAGTCCGAAATTGATCCTCTTACCCTACTTTGCTAATGTTTTCGACAGATGGAACTCATCAATGAATGTTCGATCCGCTTCGCCGAAGACAAAGATTTCAAACTCATCGTACGCAGTGCCCTTCCCTGCCCTTCTATGTATGAACGCAGCGATTTAGATCGTGGACAGTATCATGGCCTGCTTCCGGACGGACTACTCTGGCAGAGGGGAGCTGAGCGAGCGTCAGCAGAAGGTGCGCATATAGTCGAGTCTACGTTGCCTTTTACTTACCCGTTTCATCAAAGCTCGCGCAAGTCAGTACATCGTTTCTTCTGTTGCATCGGCGTTCTAACTTTGCTATATAGATGCTATCCAAGCTTAGCAAGCTGTCAGAGGAATACAACGTAGTATCTCAACGAATTTCATTGGGATGTAACGCTGACACGTTCGATGTTCCCAGATCGCCGTCCTCATGACGAACCAGGTACAATGTGGGTCATTCTTGGTTGGAAAGCTCAGTAGGGATGGCTGAGGAAACGGGCATGCAGCTGATCCGGGCGCCACGATGACCTTCGTTGCTGGCGGCGCCCTAAAGCCCATCGGGGGTCATATCCTCTCGCACGCATCGGCCACCAGGATGTTCCTTCGTAAAGGTCCGTACCGTCGTCGTGGCTTGTGGCGCGGCGACAGTCTCACCGCGAGACTTGCATGGAATCGACATGCTGATGTCACGCAATGTTGTAATGCAGGACGAGCGGAAGAACGTGTTGCCAAGCTGGTGGACAGTCCGGACAAGCCTGAAAGCGAAGCCTCCTACAAGCTGGACGAAGGTGGCTGGGCTGACGTCTGATGCACTCCCTCTTGCTCGAAGAACCTACCTGCTCGTCTCGTACTGTCACCGCTCTGTTTCACTGTGCTCACCTGGCTTTGTGCTCTCGGTCTACTTGTTGCTGTGACGCCTTTGCGACCTCAGATTCCCTCTCGGCCTTTCAATCCTTCTGCACTGGACTTTTGTGGGTATCTCGTTACCGTACTACATGTAATCAATACTACTGAGATATGTATCGTATGCTATTTTGGACAGCATGAACACCTGATGACCGCTGCTCCGTAAACATGTTTGCATCCTCTCATGGTGAAGCTTTGAAGGCTAGAAGGAAGCGTGGCCACAACTTCGGTAGTCAGGTGGGTCTGCCACGGATAGTATAAGCTATCTAGCGGCACGGGCGCTGGACATTCGTTAACATGGCTTCCACCGCGTTCCTCCTCGTCTTCTCCGAGCCTGGGCCCGACGTTGCTGAAGACAAGTACCATGACTGGTACAATAACGAGCACATTCCCCTCCGAGTCCACACGCCGACGTTTTTGAACTCAACACGGTGGAAAGCAGACGACGGGGACAAACCACCTTTGGCGCTACATACGACCTCGAGTCGACGAAGAATGCTCCATACACGACCCTAGCGGAAACGAGGAGCGACAGAGAGCAAGACATCCTGCGTAGGATCCAGCTCCTCGACATTACGAGCTCATGGAGGGCCCACCGTCAGCTCTGCACAACGTGGAGCCTGCATCATACGTAGTCTTCGTATCTCTCGGCTTCCGGCCAGAGTATGAAGAGGAGTTCAACAGGTGGTACGATGAAGAGCACATACCCATGCTGGCGAAGGCGCCCGGATGGATCAGGACGCGCAGATTTGTGTTGAAGGACTGGGAGCAGATGGGCGTAGAGGGTCAGAAGCAGCAGAAGGAGCCGCCGAAGTATCTTGCGATGCATAAATGGAAGTCCGCGGATGGTTCCAGAGTGCCGAGTACAAGGCAGCTATGTCGACGCCATGGAGGGAGACGGTAATGCGGGGTGTTGTGTCGAAAGAGAGAAGGGCGATGTCATTGTCAAAGTAGAGGTACTCACCCCAAGGGGAACCGATGACTTCAACCCTAGTCCTGCAAGTCATTAATGCTGGTGACAACGTTGAAGATCTTTACGCACTTCAAAGACTGCACATTTTCATGGCCGATCGGCCTGGTGATTCTGGGACTACCGCATAATCGATAGTCAATGACGTCGTTCCGCAAGCCACTAGCCTTTTCAATGTGCATGAGTTCAGGGTCTGCAGGTATCTCCCGGCATCACAGGAAGCAGGACGACCTAGGTTTGTAAACGCTTGACTGGCGACGGTTGCCCGCAAACACCGTCCCGCAGTAAAACAATCCTAAGACATATGACCAAGACATGGTCAGCAAGGGATGGCGCAACTTCCGGATCCGTCGGCCTGCCGCCCGTATATATGCACCTACACGGATGACAGAATGCACGCCACCCCTTACCAACATCCACCACACGCCATGGCACCAACAGCGTTCCTGCTCGTCTTCTCCGAACCCGGGCCTAACGTCCCGGAGGACGAGTACAACGACTGGTACGACAACGAACACATCCCTCTCCGCGTCAACACACCGGCGTTCCTCAACTGGACGCGATGGAAAGCGGTTGACGGAGAGAAACCGACGTACGGCGCGTCTTACGACCTCGAGTCGTACGAAGCGACGAAGAAGGCGCCGTACACGACGCTCGCGGAGACGAGGAGCGACAGGGAGAAGGGCATCCTGGCGAATATCCAGCTCCTCGACAGACGGCACTACGAGCTGATCGAACCCCATCCCATCCCCCTTCGGCACTCTACGACGAGACGCAACCTGCCCCATACGTCGTCTTTGTCTCGTTGGATGTCAAGCCGGAAGCGGAGGAGGATTTCAACAAGTGGTACCACGAGGAGCACATACCCCTGCTCGCCAAGGCCCCAGGGTGGGTCAGGAGCAGACGGTTCATCTTGAAGGATTGCGGGCAGATGGGCGTAGAGGCACAGAAGGATCAGAAACCGCCCAAGTACATGGCGGTGCACGAATGGGCTTCGATGGACTCCTTCAAGAGTCCCGAATACAAGGCGGCATTGGCGACGCCGTGGACGGAGAAGGTCTTTGCAAACGTGGTGGCGAAGGAGAGAAGGGTGATGACATTCGTGAGGAAGTGGGCGAGACTCTGAGGAGGGTAGGGAACGCGTAGGGTCTACATATACATGAGCGTTGTACGAGATGCACAAGAAGGTATTATGCAGAGCCAATGCAGAGCTTCGCCGAGTGAGACGCGATGAAGACCCACGTGCAGGACTTGCGCCTCTCCTCGGCCCCTTCGCACGCTGCACTCACCGCCGGCGCCGACAGCAAGACCCATCTGCCGCTCTTTCTCCTGCACTTCGCCTTACAGAACTGGACATGAGGCGCATGGCTTGTCGTAAATGTCAGGCACGACGTACGGCACATCACATCGACCCGCGAAGTGAGTCAAGTGACACACTCTTTCCTGATGTCTGCATGTGGGCTCACCGAAGATAGTGAGCCCACGGTCGTATAAATATTGCGCAGATAGATGGGCGCAATAGGTGTGTGCAGTCGACCCCGCTGCCATCCTGCCCGCTCAAAATGGCTGTTGCCATCGGTTTTCTCGCGTCCGCGGTCTTTGCTGCCCAAGCCAACGCGTTTGGCGGGGATTTGGCTGTACCTAACACGTACCCAAATATCTCGTCGTGTGTGAGCCAGCCCTTCACTTACTCCTGCGAGAACACCACGGCCGTCGCGGACACTTGTTGTTCGCCGACTCCCGGGGGCTTGGTCTTGCAGACGCAGTACTGGGACACGTACACGGGCTTAGAGAGCGAGGGCCAACTGCTCCCAAAGGATAGCTGGACCATTCACGGCCTCTGGCCAGACAACTGCGATGGGTACGCATGTCCTGTTGCTCGGTCTGATATAATTGCTGAAGGGTCGATGACAGATCATACGAACAGTATTGTGATTTTACCAGACAGTACGACCCAGACCCGAGTCCCTCTGTGTTGCCGGATGGCACTCCCATACCAGCGTACCGTGGCGTCTCTGTGGATAAATTCATCCTCGAATTCGCAAGATTTGATCTGCTCGACTACAGTACGGTCCCGCGAATCGCATCGAAATACGCGTCCCACTGATTGACATTGCGGTGCCAGTGGACAAATACTGGATCAACCAGGGTGCTCCTAACCATGATTTCTGGGCGCACGAGGTGCGTAGAATTGTTGATAGTGGCATATGTCGCACATTCAATTGACAGGTCTCTGTAGTTTTCTAAACACGCGACGTGCACGTCGACATTTGACGTAGCCTGCTATGGACCCGACTACCAGGAACACCAAGACGTCGTGGACTTTTACCTGGCTGTCGTCCGCGCTTTCCAGAAGTTCCCGACTTACCAGATGCTCGCAGCGTGCGTTCATCATTGTGCTCCTTGTGATACAAAATTGAAGGTCATATTCCAGAGCCGGCATTGTCCCGTCAAACACTACAACATACTCGTTAGGCCAGTTGCAGGCCACTTTGAAGGCCCAGACGGGATCCGTTCCATATCTCGGCTGTGGCGGTGTTAACGGTACCATCTTGGAAGAGGTTTGGTACTTCAACCACGTCCTTGGAGTCGTAAGTCTCGACGAATCAATGGACGTCCTTACTTCGATCGCTGACAATGCTTTGCACAGGAGCAATTTGGACAGTTCAAGAGCATCGATAGCACCACGACGTCTACCTGCAACACTACCCTGGGTATCTGGTACTATGAGCGCACGCCGACCTCTGAGCGTGATGTTAGGACGTTACCAGGTGGCTTCTTCTGAACATGACGGCTATACCGACAATTGGGTTCTGAGTATTCAAAAGCATACTGCACAAGTAGTCATAGTAGCGCAATACATCCAACCCTGCATGTTGTGAGCCGACCAACGACATGAATGTAACAATCTAGATTGGTATGCCTTGTGAACCCGATCGACCCTGGATCGACCACCAAAGTGGCGAACACTGATTTGCTTGGTCAATCCCGCGTCAATCTGCATTGACAAAGTTTGACCAGCAACTGTCATCGTGCGTTTGAGCGCGGACAGTCAACGTCTTCAGACCGTGCTTGCTATTAGGCGATGCAGATCATCGTTCTCTGAAATGCCTTCGGAATACCACCTTCAATCCTTCTGGGAGCAGCGCTTCAGAACAGAACCACACTTCGATGGCTCGGGGACGGCCAGGAAACGCTCATCCCGCGACTATGTGCTTTCCTCTGCGCTGAACCGCCAGACAGGATCGAACACCAAGCACACCGCGTCTTCTACACATCGGTGCGGGGAACTCCACGCTATCCCAACGCATCCGCGAAGCATACGACGAGGTGCACGGGCATGCGTCTTGGGATGAAAGCGTCATCGTGAACCTGGACTACTCTGAAGCCGCTGTCCAGAACGGACAGCAGGCTGAGACCGTCAGGACTCAGGGACGTGGCGAGCGGAGCATGCGATGGGTACAGGCCGACGTCCTGCAGTGGGAGGACCTAGCTCCACTAGTGGATTGGGAGAACGGGCAGGACGGAGGGGCATTTCCTCACAAACGGGACGGAAAGCCGTTCGCGATCGTCGTTGACAAGAGCACCTCCGATGCCATTGCCTGCGGAGAAGACATCAAACTCACCGCGTCGTCCCGATGTCATCCTGCTATCCAGAAGCACATCGTCTGCAACGGTGTACAGGAAGCGAGCCTCGATCCGGTCCAACTGCTCGCCCTCAACCTCGCGTCGCTTGTGCGCCCGGGCGGCGTCTGGATCATCCTCTCCTTCTCTTCAAGCCGCGCGTCCTTCCTGGGAAACCACAGCCCAAAGGAAAGTAGAGAAGATACCGATACTATGGATCCAGCGTTGCATTGGAGTCTAGAAGAACATCATATGGTGGATGCTCCAACCGGTCAGAGCAGAGAGGGGGTGTATGCGCCTCCAGTGCAGCACCATCTATACGTCTTGAGGAGAAGTAGCACAGTGTTGGGATCGCGCTCGCTTTGAATACGAGAAGTAGGATTCAATGGAACAGACGCAGAACATTATGAAGTGTAACTGATGTATGCACTGTTGAAATGGGAACAACCTGATGGTTGTGGTCCGACGCGGTCATGTTCTGGCAGTGTCTGCGACGCGTCAAGATCACGTGGAAACGCGACGCGACGCGTTGAGCAAGATCAACATCGCTTCGCTTAGCCACGGCTGCCACAGGCCCTCAGCGCTTCGATGACCGCGTCCTACCGCGTCCCTCCCCCTCCTCCTTCCACTCAAGCACGACCGCGCGGGTACACTTACAACGATGCCCATCACACTCGACCTCGATGAATGCGCGTCCGACGCCTCTACGCGGCGTTCCCTCTCCAACCTCTCGCTCTCCGTCGCGAAATGCAAGAAGATCCTGGTCGTGACCGGCGCCGGGATATCGTGCTCATGCGGTATTCCGGTACGCGTTTTTTGAACTGATCTTTTTTTGCCACGCGTATTCACGTCCAAACGCGTACCTACAGGACTTCCGGTCGTCCGACGGACTGTATGCGCTTGTGAAACAACAATATCCTGACGTCGTGTTGAAGGGTCGCGACCTCTTCGACGCGTCGCTCTTCCGAGACCCGACCTCAACCTCCGTATTTTATACCTTCATCTCACAACTCAAACGATCCATCGACAACGCGACCCCTTCGCCCACACACCGATTCCTCAAGACCCTTGATACCAAACGCAAGCTGCTGCGCTCGTATACACAGAACATTGACGCGCTCGAGGAGAAGGCAGGCCTTCTTGGGAGCTCGAGCAACGAAGTAAAAAACCATGGCAAGGGAAAGGCGAAGATCAGAGTCCGGGACGTGCGCAACGTCCAATTACATGGTGATATTCATCGCGTCCGCTGTACATTCTGCAGTGCGGAGTTTCCGTGCACTGTAGAGTACTTGGATGTATTCGACACTGGGGCGGCCCCTGACTGCCCGGAGTGTGTTACACGCTGTGAGTATGATGTTCCGCTGCGTTGCTACCATAAGCTCACATAAACGAACAGCGAAAGCTCGCGTCGCGCGCTCAGCCCGTCCACTCAAGGTCGGCACCTTACGGCCAGCTATTGTCCTTTACGACGAACCCCACCCTCTCGGAGACGACATCGGCAGCATGCAGTCCGCGGATATGACGCGGAAGCCCGACATGCTGATCATCATGGGCACGTCGCTCAAGGTGCACGGCTTCAAGAAACTCGTCAAGGGCTTCGCGAAAGTCGTTCACGAGTCCGCGCCATCTCCCGCCGTAGCGTCCACGTCATCACCAAAGAACGCCAAAGCCTTCGCCGGCAAGGTCGTCTTCGTGAACAAGACCGCTCCGGGCAGCGAGTGGGACGGGATCATCGACTACCACGTCGTGGGGGAGACGACAAGTGGGCGGAGAGGGTCGTGGAGGAGTGGAAGAAGATGAGGCCTCCGACTGGGAGGTGCAGAAGAAGCTCACGGCGGCGGGCGATGTCGAGACTGCAGGCGCGTTCAAGGTCACGAAGGAGATCACGAACACTTTCGACGGTGTAAAAGCAAAAGGTACGTCGTGTCGTAACCCTTCTCGATGCCCGAAACTCAGCCATAATGTCTGCATTAGCCGGTGGTAAGAAGAAAGCGACAGGCAAGCAAAACGTGCCGCCAGTGGACGATCTCTCTTGGCTCCCTCCATTACCTCCGTCACCACCGCCCTCGCCCGGCAAGCGACGTCAGACCGACTCTCATTATAATGGGCATTGCAGCCCATCAAAGAAGAGGGATGCGCGCGCAGATCCTGTCACCTTCGAAGACAGAGGCATGCTCTTCGGGGCACGACCAACCCCAGCGTCGAGACGGTGTCGACGAATTCGACCTGGGGGAGACAAAGCCTGTACGGAAGCCTCCGAGCAAGACAGGCATGCGAAGAAACCGAGGATGGTCGCAGAAGTCGTCTTGGAGGCTCGACCGAAGCCGCGGAGGGATGTCGGACGCCCAACACGCTTGAGGCGTAAAGCCCAACCGGACCCTGCATTGTTCACCTATCCACACCATCTTGTACTGTATCTTATACTGTATATTTCACGCGCGGACTACGTACGGAGTCGTATATTAGGAGAGCGACACACTCGAGAAGACTGCGAAACGATATGCATTGAGAGAGCAATAATGTAAGTCGAGTACAACAAATACACCGAGAGCGAACGGAAATCCCTGCCCCATAACATCAATCGCTGATCAGCTCAGACACACTCCAATCCTCGAAGCTGCCGTCGGCAGGTACCGCCGGATGATGAGCGGAATTTTTCGTTGCGAGAGCTCTTTGATGGCGATCTGAAGAGCATCCGTCTCGCCGTCCAAAGGAACGAGTACAGGAGCGTTCATGCTGCACCACCGTCAGCATCTGTGGTACCGTCGACAGAGTGCCTAGATGTGAACTCACCTAATCTGCAGTGCTCTTGTCCCGAGTACTCGTGCACGCTCGTACTTGGTCAAGTACGGCGTCGTCACCCTCACTTTATTCGCCTGCCGTTCCCCTTGCAATCCTGCACCGGTTTGTGCCTCTGCTTGTTGCGAGGGTTCACCATTTGCCATATCTTGGTCCGGTTCCGCGCCATTCGCACCCTCGAAGCCGTTCACTTGGCCATCGCCTTCTACGGCTTCTGCCTCGCCACCCTCGTTCCCAAGCGCGTCGTAGTTTTCGTCCTGTTGCAGATATGCGCCGAGTTCAGACTCTGCCTATCCCGATACAAGCGGAAGCACGATGCACGCACGAAAGCGTCTCCATTGAATCTGTCGAATGTGTGCGCTCGTCGAACCGGTCAGTCACTTTGCAATGTAACAAGGACTTACCCTGGCCCATCGTAGTCATAGTCGTCACCGCCACCGCCACCTCCTCCGTAACCGTCGTCAGACATCCTGGGTAGGTCTTATTGCAAGATAGAGTACGAAGAGAGTGTCCGGAGGTGGTGAACGCCGGCAGAATTACTTGAGATCGACTCGGAGGCACCCCGCCACAAATTCGCCACCGGGGACGGCCGTCGGAGTTCGAAGAGCAGCCATTGTCCCAAGATGGCAGTATGTGGTTCGCGTGTCCAACCGCACTCTCTGTCAAGCATGTAGCACCGCCGCTGTCTTGTTTAGGCCTGAAGGGGCTAGATTCGCCCTTCTCAAGTTCGCGAGCTCGAACAAAGCTCTCGCATGGCGCGCTCTTACTTATCAGGGGACCGCGGGAGGAAAACGAACGCTCATCCATGCGTATCGTTTGTGGCTGTGCGACGGCCTCCACTTTATTGTCTGTTGCGGACCCAGGTGAAGTGACATGAATTCGCCATACGTCCGGGGTCTAGAAGCACGTCTTCCCGATCAATGACCCGCTCTCTCGTAGCGGATCTTCATGAGTACGCCCCTTCCTCATGCATCGTTCATTTATCTCATTACATTGTAGGCCCCGATATAAATACAGCATGAAATACAGTCCAGTCTATGACAGGGCAATATTGCCGGTGCGCTATTCTGTGCCTTCACCACACAAGCAAACGGTACAGCTGTACTAGCATAGACCATTTCGTCCGTGCGGTTCGTCGTCGGGGTGAACCGCAGCTACAGAAGCTTTCCAGACGGCTGGTAGCCGCATGGTCCGTCGTAGACGATCGATGGCCCTTGGCAGCCGGTCAGCCTCCCATGTCCTCAGCTCTTCTCTGAGGACGTCGTGACGTCGACCATGGCTGGAAAGGGCTCCAGAAATCGGTGGAATGCAGACATCTCTACGCAACGACACTCCACGTCGTCACGGTAATCATCGCCGCTCGGTCACTTCCTGTGACACACGGACGTGTCTGCAGGTGGAACAGCTGTAACTGACGGGCATGCATGTCGTCCCTCGTGCTGAGACGTGTGGCCACGCACATTTGCGAGTGATTGCCGTGGGTCGGTGCACAGGACCAGGACGTCGGTCGCGCCGTGGACACAAAGCCAGGAAAGAACGGGTGGAGCGACGGTACCGGTGGTCCTGTCAATTGCTGACTTGGAGTGAACTCTACCGCGCTCAGCGTCCGCGCGGCATGTTTGACGTGTCAGACTGCTCGCCGCTTCTGGCCGCCGACTCGCCCGCCTTCTTTTCTGCATTTCACCATTCACCTCTTTATAATTGCCCGCCAGCCTCGCTTTGCGACGGGGAACACCTTGGCTCTTCCCCCGACACAGCACACGTCTGCTCGTCGGAAAGCTCACGCCTACCCCGACTATATGCCCTCCAAGCTCCCGCTCAGAGAACGCGCATGGGGGACGCGTTACGATAGCCTGGGGCCTTCGCCGCCCATATCACCACAGAAGCAAGCATTCCCGACGCCTGTTACAACGCCCATCAGCCGTCCCACTTCGGTGGACATCAACACTTCAGAACAGGAATTGCCCGCTGCTCACACTCCCTCCGCACACCGACATCCCGAGAAAATGCCACATGACGCGAGTGTCTTTGTCGGCAGGTAATGTCATTTTCCATTGTGCTGTCGTCGGTGCTGACTCTATCCGCAGTTTGCCATCCACAGTCGACATCCCAGAACTGACGCGGCTTTTGCGTGAACACCTGTCTCAGCACACTGAAGTAAAAAGCGTCAAAGTCGTGCGCGACCCTCACAAGAATGGCACATGCGCATTCGTACAATGTCAAGTAAGTCGTAGATGGAGGGCTAGTTGACTATATGCGCATCAATCAGACTCTGACGGAAGATATAGAATGCAGCCACGGCCGCTCGACTCATAGATGCTCTACGGACGCTCCCACCCCGACCATTCCTGGGCAGGATATTACGATATGAGCCGGCTCGAGCTACAAGGACGCTGCTTATCTCGTATCGGTGAGTTTTTTTTCTTTCTTTCTTCGTTTTCCCTCTTATACGCCTCCGCACGGAACGCGCATACAACCAATGACATATCGACATCTACATGTATATGGTCACGGTACTCATCATTATATGTCTCTTAGACAGCCTACCAAAGTCGTGAATGTCTCCAGCAGCCAGAACACGTCAGACCAAACGACTCACGAGGACCACGGTACCGCCGCATTCCCTACAGCTATGAGAGTTTACCAACCGAACAGCTCGAAGTACGTCCTCCCTGTGAATATATTGTCTTTATTCCGTTGAGCGAATGATTACCGCAGATTTCTCGAGATCGTCTACGACGACGAGGCGCGCCACTACAGCATTGATTCATTGACTCAAATCAGCAATGTCGATCTATCGCCTTTCAGCGGCGATGGTGTACTCATCGATCCCCTGCAGTTCGACGCTGAGGTGCTGTGCTATTCTCCTCTCCTATGTTGTCGTGAGCGTTAATCTGGCCGTAATAGAATATTCGTGAGATTGTGCTCGCCTTTGGTCCCATTGAGCATTTTGCGGCGTATGTCCCCTTGGCTACTGGTGAGTGACTGAAGTGAGACGGCGACACAGTGAATCACGCCATCTTTAGAGCTCAATCAAGGCAACGGTCACACAAGCGGGCAACTACTGTTCCCTCGCCCACATGATGGTCCGCGATCCGCGAGCATGGATCAAAATGTGTGGGAGGCCAAGTGGGAACACCGAAACGATTGCGTCAATGCTCTCATGGTTCGTCGATTGACCTACCTATCTCATTCTTTTCTAATGATGGACTTGCATCCCCATACCTTAGACGTTGCGTCGTGTACCATTCCTAAACGTCAGCTGGGCCCATCATGCGGACTCGGCCTTGGCACAGAACACCTATGCAAGAAGTCCTAGCCCCGCACTGAACACTCGTGACCGCCCCTCTTATGCACAAGCACAGTGCCATTCGACTGGTGGTCTAACGCCTACCCCGCACCAGCAACTCTGTGTGGAGACCTCATGCCTTCGTGTTGATGCGATGACCAAGAGACAGGTGCACACTATAACACGCGCTGCGCCTCTTCCGGAGGACGTCACACCGACCGCGAAGCCGTGGTCTCTTGCACATGACGCACCTCAGACTTCGCTTCTCGGCTATAATGAAACTGTGCAGAAGGCCGATTCTTACAGCGTTCCTAACGACGGTGCAAAGAGCCTGAAGTGGAGCGACTCCGATTTCCCCCCTCTCGATGTCCCGGAAGGAGATGGTCGTACTAGAAAGCGCGGCGAGAGCTCACGCCTTTCGTGGAACGGTGGTCGACTGCCTTCCAATGGACACGATCTACCGGCGTCACCTGCATCCTCTCTGTCCGTGAACCCATCGACAACACCCGTCAGATCGCGCTCGCATTCTGGCATTCCTACTGAAGCATCCCCCCTTCGTCGACTTGACCCCGCGGAACCGCATTCGAAACGTACATCCAATGAGAATCCCATCCAGATGTCTCCGGATCGTTACGCTGCGCCTCACACACCGAGGTCAGGTCAATTTCCCATTCCCTCGAGTGTACGTCAAGGCGAGGGTGCCTCAGGACATTCCTTCAGTCACGATAGAGACTTGCAGCACAGCTTCGAGCACACGGATACTCCCAGACGACCCGCTTCGCTAGGTGGCCATGGTCAGGAATGGTTCGCCAGTGACAAGCCTCGTGTCGACCCAACCACAGTCTTCGTCGGCGGGCTGGACGTCTACAATGACGACGTGTGGGACGAATCGCATCTCACGGCTATTTTCGCACAGTATGGCCGAATAGAAAACATTCAGGTTGTTCGACCCCGTAAGTCGTCTTCATACCCGGCTCGTCATGCGATTTAACCCGTTTGCATTAGTCAGTAAGAAGTCTGCATTTGCATTCATCAAGTTCAGCGACACGGAGGCCGCGGCAAAGGCCGTGCAGGAGGAGGTCAGTCTCTCTTCAAGGCAGGTATACGGACCTTGTCTCATCACCATTCGTGCAGCATAATCGCGTTCATAGTGGCCGTCAGATTCGCGTTCAGCTAAGGGATCATAATCCACGCCAGCACAGTCCGTGGCGACAGCCGCTCGGCAGAGGTAGTTTAATGCCGGGGCTCAACCCATCGCCACTCCGCGCCGACGGATACCGAGACCCAAACTACCCTCGTAATGACTCAATGACAGAGAGTCCTGGATCGAGAGCGTCTGCTGGTTTTGCTAATCAAGAGCCTGCAAGGCTTAATGTCAAGACGCGAACACCCTTCACATCTCCGGGTCGCTTCAGCAGGGCAGATGCTGGAGAGGAGTCTCCTCGAAAGCCCTCTCGGCTCGGCGATCGAGTTTCGGAATCCAACATCTCCTCCCTATCTTCTACTACGACCAGGGTTTCATTACCTGCCCCTGCGCCAGCGTATGATCATCAATCTCGACAGACTGCGGCCGCCACGCCTTCCACTTCCGTAAGCTCTGTGGGGCCATCTGCCTCCGTATCTGGGGCAGCGCAACCATTCGCCCTACCGAGCGTCGGTTACTTCGCTCCCCCTTGGGTGCATGCTTATCCTCCTCCTTATCCGTACCCAGTCCCTTACATGCACGTCCCGACATATGCACCAGCTATGCCTCCCTCGCATCCTCAGCAGTCTCATCACACCGTAACAGACGCCCCAGGTTCAACGACTTCCCAGCATGCATGGTCACCAGCGAACGAGTCGCAGAGGGTACGTCATCATCGCGGTAGACAAATGACGCAGTCTAACATTGTCATCTTAGCCGCTAATTCCCTTCATGTCGTATCCGCCCGTGCCTGCGTACAACGACCAAACTCAATCGCAGTCAGCCCAGCCGTATCCTTTCCAGTCACACCAGCAGCCTCCGCTACGACCTACGGGTTTCATACAAGGACAACATGGCATGCTGATTCCCGTCTATCAGCCCGAAGCTCTCCACCAGTACATGTCGAGTACGGATCAGACTCAACCAACTAGTCAAGGGCCCGCACCCCCGCCTCACACGTCAACATGGCCGCAACATGCGCAGTATCCCTTCGCTCCTTATCACGCCCCATGCAACATACGGGTCCACGGTCCTCCCAGCACTCGCAGTCGTACTCGCAGAAAGCCTGGGTGCATACCCCACACGACCTATCTGCATACAACGGGCCGCCGTATCACCACGGTCCACTGCTCCTGCCACCTTCTGCGTCTATGAGTAGCATGCCTTCGTTCGACGGCACTAATCCTGTTCCTTTCCCCGGCAATATGCGGCATGTGCATCGTAACGGTGGCATCTCGTCTCCTAGACGCAGTCATCGACGAGACCATGCACATGCAAGTCCATTTCCCAACCAGCGTGCGTAGGAGCGTTGTAGCCCTCGTCGTCAAATTGCAATCATGCAGTATAGGTATCGTCGCACTCACACTTCCTCGATCGCACGCCATGTCGGACTCGATGACTTCATTGCCTTTCACTGTAGCACCTGCACCTTTCGTCGCCTCCCTAATTGTACCATAGTCCCGGGCCAGTACCCTGCGTGATAATAGAGCGTGCAGTGTTATCTCGCGAACAAGGAGAAATACTGCGAGGCATCCGCGTCAGCTTGGGGCACACGGGTATGTGGCGGCGATGGCACTAGGCCGAACGCTGAACGTGGTTAACGGAGATCGTAGCAGACGCAGCAGCAGTATTAGGCCCTGAAACAGACTATATCGGGATCTTGTGAAGTCAAACGGGGAACATCGCTGTCTGCTGTCAGCCCTACTGCGGGCGCGACTCAAATGACAGTCGCCGACACAGCCTTGATCATGTATAGGTCTGGATTTTGGACTGACCTGTGTCCGTTGCAGTCGTTCCCCGCCGAACGACCTTGCAAACGAAGGACGTGCCATGGCGCTGCCAGTGCAACCGGATACTATCCCACTGGTGATCGTCGAAGGCTTCTTCTGCAGCGCCGGCGCGTTTGTATGGGGTAACTTCCACGAACATTCGAACCATGCCTGCCGCGCAGGCAGAAGAAGGGATAGGAGAGTCATCTTTGCGCGGTCAGTACATACCATCATGAACTTGAAGCTGCGATGAACCTGCTAACAGAGAGTGCTACACAGAGTCGGTCCGGTGAGCTCGCTTCATGATCGAGCTTGTGAGTTATACTACTCCCTGGTTGGAGGAACAGGTCAATTGAGTGGACACGGGATATATGCATCCGCACTTACCGCTCATTGAACAGTCGACTACGGGGACAAACATGCTCGATTACATGGGCACAAACGCTTTGGTCGGACGCATGACAGAGGGCTATATCCGGAGTGGTCGAAGCAAAGACCGCTTCATTTTCTGGGGCATTCCATGGTAAGTAACCGGGAGAACTTTACGCTTAGCTCTCTGACCGAATATCGGGTAGGGTGGGCCGACGATATTGAAGTTACAATGGCTCCTCAAGACCGGCTTCTTCGGTGTTGAGCAGTGCCCTAACATGGTTCTATCTGTGAACGCGAGTAAGTATGGGGATTGGGTGGGCACAGTCGATATGTTTACTTACTGCGACTAGTATCATCCCCATTTAGAGGCACACAGCTGGTATACCTTTTAGGCGAAGACGCGGAGGACGCACCTGCAGTCCGGCGCTTTTCCATGGGCTCCGTGCTCGCCGGCTGCGTCCATATACTAGCATATCTAGCTCCCATCCTACCTGCGGGGTTGGACATGCACGCACATTCGCGCTCGTTGTCATTCAATGAATCCTCTTTCTCGGTCACACTAAGGCAGCTGTGGCGAAGCGACTGGGCGGAGACCGAGGATGCGGCGCCGTTCGACGTCACGTTTCAAGCAGCCCGCCGGAGAGAATCCCAGCTGGAAGGCGCGGTGAATCCAGGGACCTATTACAGAAGCTACGTCGCTTCCATGGTGAGGAATCCTGGCGACTCTGCTATCCGCTCGCTAAACATGACTGTCATAGACCGAAGGGTGCCGGCGAGGCTCACCGTACGTACCATTGCGCCACTTACTTACCGTACCATTCCTATACTTGTCCTCATGGGCAATGAACCTTTGCGACCGTTCTCTGCTGGGGCCTTTACAGCAGGATACCACGGGTAGGGTCACCGACGGACTCGGCCAGGAAGGCTGCGTCGAAAGCATGTTCACGGCGAACGACGGCGTCGTCCCCGTCTTCTCCCAATGGCACCCGTTCGACTGCAGGTAAGAGAAGCCACCCTCCGTTATGTTATGAAGTCACTTCCGCTACACGGGCATGAGTAATTGATTACCTGTCTTTCGCAGCGAGACAAAGTGCAGGCACGACGCGTACCCGCTCGACCATAGCCGAAGAAATGCGGACAGGCCTCGCGGCGCCAGAGAGACCGCGCCGCTGCACGAGGACCCAGAGAATGGCGTCTGGCATGTGTACCACATAGAAGCCGCCCACCACGTCTCGCTCGTGCCGTTCTGGGTGGGGACGTCGAGGCAGAAAGCGTTCTGGAGGGACCTTGGTAGCTGGTTGTGTGCGATCGATGCCAAGCGTAGTGTAACGCAACCGTGAAATCAACGGACAGTCTAGTACAATCTGTGGGTGGTGTGTGTAAGCGTCGATACAAGGATTATCTGCAACTCACCTGCCGTGCCTAGCCGAGACGACCACTGTCTTGATAAAGCGGAGCCGAGACTAGCTTGTACGTCACGCAGAGCAGAAAGGAACACTCGGACAGAGATAGGGACCAGGAACCAGAACGAAGTGGATTCAAGGGGAATTTCTACGGCGGAACATCCGGAGAGACTCGTACGGATACATGTATGTACAACACGACCCGCACGGGGCGGTGTCTACGAGAACGAGGGAAGGCAGGGTCGGGGATCGATGGGGTATGCACGAGTGTCCGAGCTGATGACCAAGATGACCAATGTACAGTGGGCGCGGCGGCACGCCGCCGGGGGTATGGACAGATAACATATCGATGTACAGGTGTACAGCATGGACAGATGGGGCATGTCGGGGTCATGAAAGGCATAAAGTTGCGTCGGACGCGGTCGATTAAGGCGTGACTGGGACTAGGCAAATGCACAGTAGTGTTCAGCGGCAAAACTAGATGGTACACTGAGGTGCGCGTCAGGCCGTTGCTGTCAGGGTTGACGAGGGACGCGTACCATTCACACAATATCACTCAAGGCTTCTTGCCCGTGAAGTAGGATAAGCAGACACTGCCTACACCCTTGATGTAGACCCGCGCTTGCAGACGACAGACCTAACATCCCAACACCGGTCAGTGCTAATTCCGAGGGGATTTGAATAGCACATACCGTGTCAGCTACCTCGGCTTTCCGGAAGTCGACGTATAGGTTCCCATTGAGCTCGCGCGAAATTGAGTTGACTTCGCCGAATGACTGATGCCAGCAGTCAATATGCGAATCATCGATCATACTGACCTGTTTGACTTACCTCGCACCACTTCTTGACAGCTTCATATCGCTTTTCGTCCCCGGAGGGATACCGCTGATAATCAGTTTCCGTTTACGCTTGTGCCTCGGGCTCGCGATCGCAGCTGACATGCTGCCGAAACTGGGCGTGTTCGCGGATGGTATCTTGAGGGAGAGGGGTATCCGGATGCTGTTGGACTTGTCGCGGTCGCGAGCAAGGACCTTCTCAGAGTCTGGCGGGTCGTTCATGTGGGATGCGTCGGTAGGCAGTGACCAGAGGGAAGGAGAGGAAACAGTAAGGACGGAAGGAGACTGGATGCGGGCAGAGCCAAAGGGCAACTTCCGCGGCGTGCTCGGCGTTTCAAGGGACGTCCTACCGCCGTTTGACGTGGCAGATGAGCGTGTCGCGGTGGATGAGAGACTGGGACGAGACCGGGGTTCGTCATTCGGTCCTTCCGCGACGGTGGCGACGGGTTCCATTACGGGGGGACGCTTGAATCTCCATGTGGGCGGCGATTTAAGCCAGGAAGACGCCTGTTCAGTTGGTTGTGGATCCGTGCGTTCGGACCACGAGGGCGCGTACGAAGTCGACAAGCCCGAGGTATATGTACGTGCAGCGCTAGAGTCGCCTCTCGTACGTGCAGACGCTGAGGAAGGCGCCGATCCCTGGTTTGCCGAGATTTCAGAGGAGATAGAGGGGCGTCTGGCACCGAACGAGATGTGAAAGTTGCGTAGAGGGGACGGGGACGGGAACCTGCGCTGACCCGAGTGCAGGGGAGACCCCTTGCGAGGGGTGGAAGGTGGCGAAGGACGCGGCGTAACGTCCGGAGAGCGCGCAGACGCCTGCGGAGAACGGTCAGTGGGTCTGCCGTCGTGATCACGTGATGGCGTACGCACCGCGGACGCGTTCCGCGACAGGCGAAAGGCATCGTTCGCCACGACGTAGCTGTCGGCCGTTAGGCGATCGTCCAGCTCGTGCCTCATCAGCGGGACACCACTGGACTGCGAGTACGCAAGGTAAGGGAGAGGCTTCGTCCTGGTGGGCGCAAGGTCGTCATCGGTGGTGGTATGCACGATGCGATGTTGCTCGCTCAACCAAGCCTCGATGCGGCTCGAGCGGCGTCGGATGTGGGCGACAGCAGGGCGGCTCATAGTGACGGGGGAATCGTTGACTGGGCCTGCCCCCGTTGCCTGGACGCTTATGCTAGACGACGGGGACAGCGGCGGTTCATCGTAAGTTGCTGTGGTTCAAACGCTGTCAGCTCCTAGAATGTGGACGCGCTGGCCATGGGAGACTCACCGGAGTAATACATGTAGGGGGGATTCATCGTATCCCGATACTTACAAGCTTGGGGACTCGGGGCGTCTGATATGTATGGGCGGGCCGTGCGCGAGGAGAGGGCGTGGATCATCGATGGGTCGTGCCAGTCGTAAAGAAATGGTCGAGCGAAGGTCGTTCAGCCGTACAAAGTCATGAGAGAGGCAGAACGTTGCGCGAAGCGGGGGGGAGAGTGGCGGGGATCAAGCGAGCTCTGCGGCTGCAGGTCGCGATAAATGCCGAATATACTTAGTCGAACACGCCCTCGAACACGCCGCACGACTCGCCCAGTCCCGTGTCTCATCCTGACGTTTCGGGCTAAAACGTGGTCGACACCCGCCAAGAGGCAGTGTTCCCATCGATATCTTCCGCGTCTCGCTCCCCTCCACCGTCCACCGAACCTTCTGTCCACCACCGCGAGGCTCAGTCTTCGCCCACCATGCACGTCCCACGTCCGCCTCGGTCGTAGATCCCCAACAACGTGCCCGTTACTGCGATCATGCTCTTCCTCGGCATCCCTCGGCGACGTTGCCGCTCGGCGGTCCTCGTTGCAAGAAGCAGCTCAACATTGTTCCTCTTCCATAGCAGCCACCGACTCCCTCCGTGTGTAACCCACGCTGGCATTACTGTAGCAAAAATTCCCAGAAAGCCCTGAAAACGCCCGCCATGACACTAATACTTAGTATAGCCGCCTTCTACCCTGACCGGCGCCGAGACTCCCGAGCGTTTCCACTGTCGTTTGCATGAAATAATACATGTCTGAGCTTCAGTGTCACTGTCAAGGAGACCGCTTCTGGGCATCATGCAATCATACCACTGCAACCCTGTCGACGACAGCGCAGCAGGCCTGAGACTGTCGCTGCTCGCATCGGGCATATCGTGTCCAACAACCCTAATATGACGTTGGTACTGGACCCGGAGGCCGAGACAGCATCCGACAGTAGCGGGGGATGTTCACGAGAAAGTCGGCGATTGTTGAGATGTTCGTTTGTTCAGAGCCAGTCTGCTGGTAGAATTCAGATACGAACAACATGTGTAGGCTTGCATGGTGGCCCATCTGTGCATGGAAGACCCTGGCGTCGACACACGTCTTACTTGTGTCTTACCTCTGTTTATCCCAATGCTTCCCACGGAAATCCATAGAGGCTCAACGCAACCTACACCGTCACCAATGACGTTGGGACCGGGGAAACCGAATAGTGGCAGGGATTCGCAGAGATGCTGCGAGGTAAACTAGAACTTCATCCGGACGAGATACAGTGCAAGATGGCTAAGGATACATCATCATCATATCAGAACACCTGAGAGATAAATTACGCATCAGCGGACCGAAACGACGTTAACGAGAGCAGACACACCTAGTGTGATGGGAGAACAACAGCTGCGACATATTGAATGTCACTCCCGCCCCTCCAGCGCTGATAGACCACCTACGGCCTTCTCGACAATGGCCCTGAACAGGGGGCGGTGGACGTCTTTTCATACCGCTCGAGCAGCCGGAACGAGTGTTGACTCCCGCCCTCGGCAAGCACCGCATGAGATGCCTGGTCGTCCGGATCCGCGGCGTCCAGCAGCGACACGAGCTCGGTGTCGACGGGGAGGCTGCCCAAAAATCGCAGCCCTTCACGCCGTGCCATCTCCTCGCCTCCTCCGGTGGAGAAGACGTTGCTGATCTCGCCGCAACACGGACAGACGTACCCGCTCATATTCTCGATGAGTCCGAGGACAGGGATGGAGGTCGCGCGTGTGAAGGAGAGGCACTTCATCGCGTCCAGAAGCGCGACGGCCTGCGGGGTCGTCACGATGACCGCAGAGATGCGCTGGCGGACAGGGGCCATGTGCTCGACAAGCGACAGATGCTCGTCGGACGTGCCTAGGGGGAAATTAGCCTCCGCTGGACCAGGGTAGATGGTGTCCACTGTCGACTCACCTGGCGGCGTGTCAATCACCAGGTAGTCGAGCTCCCCCCACCGCACGTCGCTCAGAAACTGGCGGATCATCGCGTTCTTCTTCGGGCCCCGCCACACCACCGAATCTTCTTTCCGCTTGAGCAGGAAGCCTACGCTCATGCACGCCAGCCGCGCCTCACTGCCGTCCGCGTAGACTGGCACCCATCCGTCGCTGCTCTGGTGCACCGAGTGTCCGTCCAGGCCGAGCATCCGCGGAATAGATGGTCCCGTGAGGTCGACATCGAGTATCCCGACGCGGGCGGTAGGTGAAGAGGCACGAAGGGAGAGCGCGAGCTGAGTCGAGACGGAGGACTTGCCGACCCCACCCTTGCCAGAACAACGATGATGATGTGCTTGACGAGCCGTAGCCGTCGTCCGACGGGCGTGTCCTCCGGCGAGGCCATGGTGGACGTCGGTGAGTGTAGTGAAGGCTAGGACATCTGAGCGTGAGTCAGCTCCGTGGCGAAGTCAAGTTGCATATTGCTTTTGTCGCGATCGAGCTGCTGACTGACGGTCGATCGGGGCGCCTGCACCACACTCCGAGAATGGAAACGAGCAGGAACGATTCTGTACGGAGGCAAAAGATAATGCACACGGCAGTCAAGCATGTGAAGAATGGAAACAAATGCAGTGTGATCGAATCCCGGTGTACAAATGATGTGTGCGTGTGTATTTACAATGTGCGAAGGGTACAAACTCGATCGCCTAAGTGAGCGTCACACCTTGAACAGCTCGGGCTTCATGTTCCTGAAGAGACATGAGCCTGAGTAGTTGACAGGACGTGGTTGTAGACTCACATTTTGCATAGCCGTGCCATCAGGCCGCCGAGCTGGATAAGTGTACCGACACCCTCCAGGATCCGCATATGTGTAAATCCAATCTCCTGCGGGTAGGCTGTGAGCACACGGATACCGAGGACTAACAATACTGTATACCTTGATATACTCCAATTCGTATATTCTGGTATTCTGAAGGCAGGTACAGTGAGTGGCCTAGAACAGAGAGTAAGGCGACTTCGTACTCACTCGTCGAACGTCTTCACGACTCGGAATACTGTGACGACGATGTCCACGGCGCTGTAGCCCTGATCCCATAGCTCGTTGAGCTTCTCCATCGCACCGTCGATGTTGCTCTTGAGGCACGCGCGAATGATGGTTTGAACGACGATTGGATGTGGCTGGTCACACACTTTGAACACATTATCGCCAGACACAAAGCCGAATCCGGAGTGTGTAGACTGGAGGTTGTTGATGGCTTGTCGCATGTCACCCTCTGAGGTGAAAATGAGAGCGGTCAGGCCATCGTCGTTGTACTTGACCTTCTCCATGTCGCAAATCTCCAGCAGACGCTTCAGTATTTCCGTGTCCTTCAGTTTGGCGTAGCGGAGAATGGCACATCGACTCTGAATGGGCTCGATAATCTTGTTTGACATGTTACATGCCAGAGCGAATCGTGTTGTGTTGGCGTAGATTTCCATCGTTCGCCGCAGTGCTTGTTGTGCACCAGGTGTCATACTATACGCGGCGTCGTATCAAGAGGCGAACGAAGGAAGCTTCGCCACTCACCTATCTGCCTCATCCAGAATGACGATCTTGTGTCTCCAGGTGGCAATGTAACCTTCTTCTGCGCGAAGCCTTTGATTTTGTTCCGGACGACGTCAATACCTCTGATTTTACGTAGTGCCCACTCTCATCGAGCGTACAGACTACTCACCTCTCATCTGATGCATTCAGCTCAAGACGCCCTCCTTATATGCATCCCCGAGAAGCTGGTGCGCCAGGCAATGTATGCTTGTCGTCTTCCCAATACCAGGCATTCCCTAAGACACCGCGTAAGTACACATTACATGCCTGCACAATCCATCACGCACCGAGATGATGATATGTGGCACGTTTCCATCCTTTGCTATGACTTTGAGACGCTCAATGGTCTCGCCGTTCCCGACGATGTCATCCAGGAGCTTCGGCCGGTATTTTTCCACCCAGGGCAGCTCATAAGGTGTGTCTGATGCATTCCCGTTTGCAGGTGCTTTTCCTTTTACTGTCGAGGATGCCATGACGAAGGACGCGTAGGAGGGAGAAGTGGACGAAGAGCCACGAAGAGTCGACGAAGACGCGTCGTGAGAGGGAACGCGTGACAAACGCGCTGGTGGCTGAAACGGCCCACGGTACGGGCGTTCCCGAGAGTCGGCGGCATGGTTCGCGCCATGCCACGACCGCTACCTTCACGGTGGCTACGACCCGGAGCCTCACTCACTACTGTGAGTAAACCCCCATTCTTTGGTCTGTTTGATTCTCATGTCTGTAATCAGGTCATAGAGCTCGAGCTCTCTCATTACAGACTGACCACCAGGGTTCAAGTGGGCTTCCCAAGCCACGACTCGACTACCGGGGCCTCACCGAAAATGTCGAATTCAAGTCTCATAATGCGTTCAATCGCAAAGCACAGCTGCCCGTCGGCGCACTGCGGAACGTTGCACGCCTTTACGAAGAGCAGACGAAGCTCTCGCAGAGCATCAATGCGAAGCGACATTCGCGGTCTACCATCGGCGACCGCATACGAGCGAGCGCATCCCAGCCCGAGCTCAAACAATCCCTGCTAGAAGAGGCGAAGAACTTGAAGACAGAGCTTGCAGACCTGGAGAGCACGCTCGAGGACGTGCAAAGTCGGCTGTTGTCTCTTGCGTTGGCCATTCCGAACGACACACATCCGGACGTCCCCATCGGGCCAGAGTCTGAGGCAAAGGTCCTCTCCCAGCATGGACCCCGCTTGTATCTGCGTCGGCGCAAGAGACCACGTCTCGATTGGCCGTGCTCTGAACCTTTTGGACCTTGAAGCAGGAGCTACCGTGACCGGGAGTTCGTGGTATTATCTGCTGAATGAAGGCGCCCTCCTCGAGCTCGCGCTCGTGAACTACGCCTCAGCTGGCGATCAGGCATGGCTTCAACCGGTGACTACGCCCGACGTGGTTCGCTCCGATATTGCCACCCGTTGCGGTTTCCAGCCTCGCGACCACGACGCGGACCCTCCAATCTCCCAGATGTACCACATAGCGCCGACTGTAGCTGCTCTGCTGGACAAACAAGACCACACCCAGAACTCGTACTTGCAGGTACGGCAGAGATCCTCTTGCAGGTCTCTTCGCGAACAAGATTCTACCGTCGACCAACCTGCCGCTAAAGGTGGTCGGCCTTGGACATGCGTTCCGGGCGGAAGCCGGTGCTAGAGGAGCGGACACGAGGGGCCTGTACAGGGTCCATCAGTTCACAAAACTTGAATTATTCGTGGTGTGTAACCAGGAGTCCAGCGAGGAGACGATGGAGCAGATGAGACGTCTGCAAGTAGAAATCTGCGAGGGTTTGGGCCTTTCATTCCGGTCAGTTCTCGAGGTGCTACCTCTTCGGATTTTACGGCTGACTGCGTACTCCTCCTTTGCTGCAGAGTGCTCGACATGCCTACAGAAGAGCTGGGTGCAAGCGCGTACCGCAAGTATGATATGGAAGCGTGGATGCCCGGTCGCGGCAGCTGGGGAGAGATCTCATCCATGTCGAACTGCACCGACTATCAAGCCCGCCGTCTGCACATCCGATATCGCCCACCTTCACCTCCCCCTTCCGCTGCATCGTCTGAGGACGCAGCAGGACATCCATCACCCACCAATGTGTTCGCGCATACGCTCAATGGCACGGCGGCTGCCGTCCCACGACTGATTGTCGCTTTACTGGAAAACGGTGCTCGGTTCGACGAGAAGGGCAATGTGATTGGTCTTGACCTCCCGGTCGCTTTGCGACCATTCTGGGTGGGCAAGGATGATGGGACCGTGATCCGATGGGTATGAAGGACACTTCCTGGTAGGCTAACGTACTGAAGTATAATGCTAACATTTTCCATCGTGCCGTTCGTTGTGCGATGTTCACCGCGCGAATGCGACTCATCTCCGAATACTATTTACTACTCACCGTAGGCGCTTCGAAGGGCTACCGACAGGTTCAGTAATGTCGACTTTGTGGCCAGCCAGACCCGGAGAGGTTACCGGACGCTACATCGGAGACTTCCTGGTCTATCGCGCACACAAAGTCCAGGCCAGCTTGAGGCCCATGCGCGCGCGAGCCTACGGGTTAACACAAGACGACCTCGAATGGTCTGTCTTCACACATGACCACATGTCGACAGAAATCTTAGGCTCAGAGACGGTCTTGACCAAGGTGAGATCCTGGCTAGAAGGGCAAATGGTATATCCAATGACTGCTCGACGTCATCATCCTCAGTCTCGTCTGCATTCTCCGCCACTCTGTGGGTCTGGTCTGGCGTACTGTACCGGCATCAACGGTATTCGACGCCTTTCGAGCGCATTCTTGTACCGACTACCTGGCGCGCGGTGGTTCGACGTAGGATCTGGAAGATTGGAATGTCACTTGTTTCTCCCCAAGCTCCGGCGCAAGGGCCTATATAAGATGCGTCGACGGAGGCACATATGCAAAATAACTGCTACGCACAAACTGACTTCGCGTTCATTCGAGCATACACCCCACAAACATGTCTCTTTCTCGTTTCTTTAACGACCCCTTCTTCTCGCTCTCGGACTTCGACCGTCGTTTCGACGATGCGTTCGCGCGTCGCGCGAATGGCGACAACCAAGTGGGCCAACAGCGAACCTTGCAGACCCTCATCCCGAGGTCTGTTATTACCCGATCTGACTTTGGGCGTGTGCTGACGCCGCCTCCAGGATGGACGTCCACGAGGACGAGAAGGTCAACCAAATTACCGCGTCGTTCGAGCTGCCCGGCCTAAAGAAGGAAGACGTCACCATCGACGTGCACGACAACGTGCTCACCGTATCTGGCGAGTCGAAGGTGTCGAGCGAGCGCGATGAGGACGGCTACGCCGTCCGCGAGCGACGCTATGGGAAGTTCAGCCGTGCCCTCCCTCTGCCGCAGGGCATCAAGGCAAGTACCACGCGTTTCTCGATGACCCTGCGGCTGACCATGCATGGCTGTAGCATGAGGATATCAAGGCAAAGATGGAGAATGGCGTCTTGACGGTCGCCTTCCCGAGGAGCACCCCGGAGCAGGCCCCGAAGAAGATTGCCATTGCTTGAAGCGATGTTGGCGGCAGTGAATGAATTACACCATCTGTATTATTGCATTTTTTGTATCAATTTACGTGTCCACTGCGCTGCACACCGCAGTGGTCGTGGCGCGGAAGCATTTAAATACATGTAAAATGTTGCAGTGTTTCGTTGCTTTGGCCGGATGGAGGGAAAGCGATTGCCGGGCAGGCGAGGACTGTGCATGTGCAGCGGAGCGGCGTCATTGGTAGGGGCGCATGATTGAGCGGCGACTATCATGGGAGGCGCAGGTGGTAGCTCCGTTCGGTGTTCGGTGCCTTGGATAGCTTCCCGCAGGGTCTTCTCGCCCTGCATCTCTCTCCCTCATCATGTCCGCCATTGCGCTTGCCAAGCAGGCATATACCGCTCTCAACAGAGAGAAGCCGCACGTACGTTCTCGCAACCCCTCGCGGGCTCTTCTTCCAATGCATCCTTTCCCAGTCGTCTATCACGAATTGGGTAGAGATCCTCACATCCACCAACTACGATGACGAAGCCTTCGATGGGTGCGATGTCCTCTAGCGGCCTTCCGAAACCTGTTTACTGACAGGAGAACAGCATACCTGAACTTGTCGATTCAATCAACATCCAGGCTACCGGGTAAGTTGTACCGGCCTCACAGGTCGCTTCGCGTGTAGCTCAAGGGCGGATAGACCGGCCGAAGCGTCCAGAGCAATACGGAAGAAACTGAAGCACGGAAACGCACATCAACAATATCGCGCTCTAGTCGTCAGTCGAGAGGTCTGTTGTAGTGGCGCGTGCGTTCATCCGTTTCCACAGATCTTGAAGGCACTGGTAGAGAATGGCGGGGACAAGTTACAAGTGCGTGTATCAGTTCTCCATCGCGTTGACGTCGTAAAGCGAACCATTGCGCTAGCATCGTTCGCCGACTCGCATCTCGTGGACGCGCTTAGGATGCTCACCACTGAGCCCACAACGGATGCCAAAGTCAAGAAGAAACTATCTACTGTTCTGCTATCATGGCACGCCCAGTTCAAGGACGACCCGTCCATGCAATACGTCGCGAACCTCTACAAGACCTGTGGTGTCAATCTGCCCGGGCAGCGAGCTCAGAAGCGTTCGTCCACGACATACGGTTCCGACTTCGCGGCTATGGACCTGAGTATGAGGCGGAAGAGCGCCAGCGGAGATTGGACAGAGAGCGAAGGGAGCAGGAGATGGAAGAGAGGGCCCGCGAGAAAGAACGCGAGAAGGAGAAGGAAAGGGAGGAGAAGCGCAAGAGGGAAGAGGAGAAGCTGAAGGCAAAGCAGGAGAAGGCACAGGGGAAGGCGAAGCGAAAGCAGGAGGAAGAGGCGAGGCGGCATGGCGTGAAAAGAAAGCCATTCAACTTCGAAGAGGTGCGCCCAGTCGGCAGTGCGCCTGGCCGTTAGACTGACTATCTCTGTAGGAGAAGCCCCAGGTCTGACTGCTATTGCCGGAGCGTCCCAAGCATCGATCAATTTGGTCAATGCCATTACAGTGAGGAGATACACTACCCGGTCATCGCCATTTTCTAAAGCTAGCCCAGCTCGTCAATACGGAGACCGACAGCGTTCAGAGCAACGAGCGGGTGCAGGAGTGCCTTGGCAAGGCAAAGCTTGCTAGGAAGCAGATTGTTCGGTACGTTCAGGTGAGAGGACTGGTTATCAAAGTAGACGTTCAGTCCGTTCTGAGGGCACATGCATAGCTCGTAGAGAACGAGGACATGATCGGTACGCTCATCGAAGCGAACGATCGGATCATCGCCGCAATTGAGATGTACGATACTGTGCGTCATTCTCACCTCGCCCCGCACCTCCTTGCGCTAAATCTCTGGTAGCTCTCCAAACCTGTCGTGACGGAACAGGACGTCCAGAACGTGCAGGAAGGCCTCGCCGCAGTCAAGATCAAGGACTCCGAGCTCGGCCGACTGCAAGAGAAGCAGCGGGCTGCCGTACAGCGTTCCCTCGGGCGGTCCGGTTCGAACATCGCTATCAGGGGCGCGAACGGCGAGACGGGTCAGTCCTACATACGCGATCTGCAGGATCTGAGCTTCGGCCCCTGGGCGCCGAGCAGAGGTGCGTAATTTGCAAATGCCAATCAGTCGATACGGGGCTAACGCAAACGATTAGCAACCTCCCCCCCCGATCCGCCCGTCAGCGGCGCAGCGCACCTCTTCGGACGAGGACGAAGGCTTTGGCCGCCGTGGATCGCTTTCGGACTACAGCGACTATGTGTCCTCTGATGAGGGGACTCATAATCGCCCCTCCCTTCTCGTGCGCGCGGTTACACGGCTGCGCCGGACACTAAGGAGGGATACCAGAAGAAACCACTCGCCGAGCCAGAAGATCCCTTCGCAGATCCCTTCGCCGACTAACGTCTGCGTGTGGAGTCCAGACAGTTGAGAGGATGAGTTCAAGAGGAAACGTAGTTGCGGCGCGTTGTAGGCTCGGTAGAGGCAGTATCCCATGTCAGACTTGCTTTCCTAGTGTATTTGTTCGTCTTCTGTATCGCTCAGTGCAGGATCACCCATGTATCGTACAGACATATTCGACTTGTTGCTATATTGACTTACTTACCCTTGTAAAGGTCGCCTGAACCTTGACACTGACCGCATTCTAGGTTCGACACAACCCCTCACGTGGCCGTGTGGAGGGTCTTGGTATGAGACTAGACCGCATTCAACAGTGACACTCGACAGGCATCGGGAAACAAATGCACTGAATCCACCCCGCTGAACCGAGCAAAGAGAAATAGTACACCCTCACTTCTTACGCTCGATCCTCCACTTGTACACTCTCGGTTTCCATGTCTTCTCGTCCACTTTCTTGGGTCGTCTCTCAGCCGCATCGTCGTCCTCCGCATCGTCATCCTCGTCATCTTCCACTTTCTCGACTCCTCGGAGCTTCCGCGCTGCACCCTTCCCCATGATCAGCTTCTGCATCTCTAGCTCCCTCTCTGCGTAGCGCAATTGTCTGTCTCGGAAAAGACGTGCTGAGAGCTCCTTGAGTAATCGTGTCCGGTTTTCCTGCAGGGCAGGTCAGAGCCAGCTAGATGCGAACAATGGTCAAGGCGTACCGCTGCCACTTCCTTGCGCTCTTCCTCTGCAGTCCCATCCACCCCCACATCCTGTGCTACTGACTTTCTGCGTTTCATTTTACTGTTGCTCTTCTCTGGAGGGGCTTTCCAGCCGAGGTCTACGTCCTCTTGTGTGGCGTCGTCCATGCGGACGTCGTCCTCTTTCGGCCGTTGTCTACGAGGCATAGAGGCATATTCCCGAGCTGGTACCCCTTAGCACGGGACTTGGAAGGAAGAGAACAGCGGATAATCACCTTCTTCAGCGTCCTCTGCGAAGAGGATGTGGTTCTTCTTGCGGCCCTCATTCGACTTCCGCTGCTTCCCAGACGGAGCCGAGAGCACTCCAGCTTCTCTCAGCACCCCCAGCTCTTCCTCGTTCAGTTCATCGGCGTCCCCGTCCTCCTCAGCGTCAGGGCTCCGCTTGAGGAGGTCTGCAAGTGCAGTCAACTGATTCTTGAGCTTCTCGATTTTCTACGACGAATACTGTGAGCACGAGTGCACGAGCGATGCGGTATCATCCACACTTACCTTCAACCCCGCCGTCCGCATCGTCCGCAAGTAATTCTCGTCTTGTGTCTTCAGCACCTTCACAATATCCACAGGCAGCGCCTCATTGCCTCTATCCTGCATATGCACGCCCCCCTACATCGACGACAATAGCTCTCAGTCTGCAAAACCCCCGACGCAACATAAGAACGACGCACCCTCGTCTGCTGCCTGTTCATCGCAAAATAGAACTCATCCTTGTTGCGATCTGCCGCCTTCTGGCGCAGGCGGGTGATCCTGTCCTTCTTGGAGTGGTAGTCCCGCGCACGCAGCACATAGTCCTTGTGCTTCTCAAGGATGCCAAATTTTGCGCGGTGTGCAAGTTGGGAACGCTCCTTATGGTTCCGTCGGTGCAGCGAGTTGCGGAGGGACGACATGACTGTGTAGTCTTGGGATGAGCCGAGGTGGAAGCAGAGGATTGGCACCAGCGAGCTGTGGCGAAAAGACTCGGACAAGCGCGGTCCTTGGCTCGATCGAGATCCTCCATCTACTGAACGCCAGTCATGTGATGTCCAAATCAGCCCACCGGGAACTTGATCTTTTGGAGGGGTGGTGATAGGTACAAGGAGCACTGCGTACGGAAAAATGAAACTAATTATCGTAGGCACCAATAATTTTGGTGATCGAATGTCCTTTGGGTCCGTCCATCAGCGTGAGCAACAGACACTCGCGTATTACATGCCAGTTGGACCAGAGAAATGATACGGAAAGACATAACTTATCGTACGCTCGCATTCTGCACCGGCCAGGGTCAAGCGGCCCAAGCTCACGGCATCCCATTCATCCCATCCATACCAGCCTCCATAGCCGGGCCCATGTCATGCGGTGGGGGCGGCATCCCAGCCACGGGGCCCTCGAGGTACAGTCGAATCAGCACGCTCTCCAGCGCAGCGACTGACGCTGCCGGATAGCTGAACGTTCGCGTCTGCTCTCTGATGCTTCCAAAGAGGACACCCATCCTGTCCCAGCGCTCCTGTTCGAGGTCATGCTGCTGAGGGGGCATCCCAGGGGGCATGGGAGCAGGCATGGATATCGCGGACTGGAAGGAGGGATGGGAGAAGGGCCCTGCGGGTGGCGGAGGTGGTATGTGGTCAGGCGGCGTGGACGCTGACGACGGGCCGGCGACAGTGTTGGTAGGCTGTAAGCTGACCGTGGCTGTGGGTGGGCTGCTAGAGGATGCTCCCCCATCTGTGCCATCCTCATTTCGCGTCCGGGCTCGGGCCTGCTCTGCTTGCTGCCTTCGTCCGCGTTTTGTGAAGGGCAAATTGGGTGGCCCAATCTCGTGGGAGTGTTCCGAGATGTCTATGGTCCGACAGTCAGCATAGATGAAGATTGTAACACAACACATCCCCCACTCACACATTGCGCGCACCTCATCCGTATCGAAGTACGTCTTGTAGCTGATCGACGCCGGGCAGCCAATCCCCTCTAGCTACCTTATCCACCTCACACTGAGCCCGCCCTCCTCGCCCGCATCGCACAACCACGCACCTTTCTGCTCGGTACCTTCCTCACTCGGTCTGGGTACTTCTTCACGTACTTCTTCCTCCCGCTCCTCGAGTGCCGCGCGCACACCAACTTCGTGTGGTCCTTGAACCGTGGGGGGACCGCCTTGCTGGTATGCGTGTCCCCCTTCACGAACTCAATCACCTTCTCCTCCTCCTCGCGCTGCCTCCACTCCTGAAACGCCGTCATTGACACGAACACAAGCGTGTAACCATCGTCTGCGTCGCCCGAGCCATACGGGGCCTTCTTCGCGCTCCCACTGCCGCCCGACGACGGCACCTGGTCAGTCCCAAGTGCCTGGGATAGGGAAGACTCTGCATCGGAGGACCTCTCGGGGGAGAAACCAGCCTGGGGTGCGAGGGGCTGCAGCCGAAAGCTCTGGAAACTCATGGCTGGAGAGGGGGTGGGGAAGAGGGGCCGCTGGGTAGCCCTTGGTGGCTGCACACACTGGCAGGGTACAGATCCGTTCACGGCCACGCTCGGCCACGGCGCCCCAATCTGAATCTCCGCCACCTGTCACACACGGTCACGTATTTGTCACGCTCGAAGCCTATCATGACGCATACTTACGTATATGTAAAAGTAACTTGATTGCGGACGTCGCACAAAACGGCGGCCTGGCAGCATGCAACGAAATCATACATACTTATGCTGCCAGTACATATAGTGCACCCGTTACGAACGAGAGGCTTGGATAGCGGATGCCTGCATCAGGCGCGCAGAGGTAGTCTCGGACCAAGGCCGCCCAAACTTTCACCTTCACGATTTGCGTCGGGCAACTCGAACCAACACAAAGTGCGTACGTGCGCAGGAAACATCATTTGATAGTAAAGAGTGTAAAAACAGGTTGGCTCACATGTGCCGAGAGGCCGCCTCTCACAGATCAGCTTCATACCCTCCCATCCAATCATCCCATCCAACATTTGGGACATTCGCGTGCAGCCATTCTTTGTCTTCGGAGGCAAGCTCGCAGCAGTCGTCCACGAAGAGTGTTCTGACCGATGACACCACAAACTGGGGGTCTCCGAACTCCACAAATCCCGTAGCTTCATGCATTGCGCGCCGCGCCTCGAGCATCGCACGCAAGTCTGCGCTCCGGAACTGCGTGCACCCGGCGATCTTGAGCGTCTGGAGGTTGGGGCACAGCCAGATGGGAGCGGCCTCATCTTGCGGACCCGCCATGGGGTCGGGCGTGGTCTCCGCGAGCTTGCGGAGCACGTCCGTGGTCAAGCCATCGCAGTCTATGAACGACGCATCGCCGCATCATAGGTCGCTCGGCGGAGTGGCGAAGAGGCTCAAGAGCACCGTCGCAGTCTTGATATCTTCCAGCTTGGTGCGGTAGGTAGGCGGATGGGCAGTGCCTGGGGGCGTAGGAGTCAAGCACCGCGTGTACGAAGTGAATTCGGGGAAGGGGTGTCGAAGGAGCCGGCGGTATTCCGCTACCACGTCGCCGCCAATGTCGACGAAGTCGACATTCACGTGCCAGTATGGCGGGTGCATTGGGCGGATGGACGGTCCCGTGTAGGAGCAGTCGAGATGGAGGTTATTGAGCTCGAGACCGCACAGGCTCCTGCAAGTCAGGAGACATGCGAGGAGGTCGATCAGTGGGAAGGCCGTGTTGTGTGAATTGTAGTTGGTGATGGTGAGGAAGGCCAGCTGGGGCGGCATGGCCAGTGCAGGGTAGAGTTTGACGTACGACTCGTGGAAGTGGACACCACACATAGAGAGATTTTTGAGGGCGGGCGTGTCAAACCTGCCGGCTAGAGACGGGGCCGTTTCGGTGCTGCCGACCAAGTCGTCGACTACGCTGTCAAGACAGAGTGTTTCCAACCTCTTCGCGCGTCCTACGAGGTCAACGCGAGGGCGCGGGAGCGAGCTAGACTGCAGGAGCCTCATGCACAGCGTCCGCCATCGCCTGATGGAGGGTAGAAGTACTTTGATGACGGCTTGCACCTGAGCCTTCTCCGTAGGATCATTCTAGACAGGTCAAACCTCCGCAGGATGTAGATGTGAAGGGGACGGCCACGCGACCAGTCGAGGTATTCTTGGACGCGACGCAACGGCGTAGGGTCCCTGCCAATCCAAATGACGAAGCGTGTCCAATACCTAGATACGCCTGACATAGCCCGTCGCCAGAGGGGAGAGACAGAGGCGATGCATTCTGGGAAGGGATGCTGGGGGTTCAGGTCAGCGTAGGGAGGCCAGGGTGTAAGGCAAATGTCGATCAAAAAAATTTCCCGGGTATGTCCTTGGCCGCTCTATGTCTTTAAGGGCATGTCGGAAGATGAGGAGGAGGATTTCGGGAGGAAGATCAGAGATGGTGGTGCAAGCCTCTCGAACAACGCTACCAACGCCGACTGGAGGCACGTAGGGGTCGTCACTGGACTTTCCATTGTACATAGATTGCCCGGAGTACATGACGACGGTGACCGTAGCTTTCACTGGACACATGGGTCATGTATCACCATGAATAATAGACATACATAAGTAACTCACCAGCGGATTTGATGCTTCTCCCACGACCGCCAGTGTTGCGATGCGTCGGATGCAATAGTGCAGAGTCTAAGTTGCGGCAAACTCGAACGTCGCAGCTAAGGCAGTAAGCAGTAATCTGATCACGGGGTAGATTCGACCCCTCACGTCGTGGGGAGCTTGGCAGTTGTCCTGGTAGGACGCACCGACGCAGTCCGGGCTGGGCAAACCGATCCCCGGCAGCAACCATACCCAGAGTCGCAAACATTGATAAAAACTCCACCCAATCCATTTGACGCACCCATTCAGAAGCCAACTGACTTCCTCCAGAGTACACCAAAAAGAAAAGAGCGAGTAGAAATCCCCCGACGACGCAAGCCAATACTGCAGTAGCAAGGTCATCGCGCCTCCAGGTTGCAAGCAGAGCCTAGAGGCAAGGGCGGCAAAAATTAGATACTGACGCCGGCCGGGATCTCGGCCACCTAAGGAGTCGATGCGGGCCTTCGGGTCCATGTTTACTTCGACCGCTTGGGTGAGTATCTGGGACCACGTTAGAACATCCTATGTATGCAGGAAAATTGTTAGAAGAATTTATTGACCACTGGGTCGAAGGTAGTAAGCACTTTCGTGACAAGAATCCTGGGAACCAGATTGACTACGAAGTCGGCCATGCAGCCAGAGCTGGCCCGCTACAAGGCTTAATATTATCCGAATCAGCATATATGTACTCCAGAATGTCAATAGATATATTCCCAGTAATTCAGCAGCTGTTCAGCCCGAGATACAAGCACAATGGCTGAATACTGTCGATGGGTTGAGAATATGCACTCGGCACTTACCATATATGGACAGCATCGTACAGACTGATTTTTTCTACCTTCAGTTCGTACTGTATTGGCTTGAGGTGGTGTATATACATTGTACAGATGGATAGCTCGACCCTAGTATTTTTTTCGTGGCTAGAGGACAGGTTGCAGTAGACTAGGAGTGCGATGACCGACTGCCTAGGGTGGCCGAGATCCTGGCCGGCGTCAGTAACCAATAATGGAGGCGGTGCCTCCATAATAGTGGTTAAACTATTAAGAACAGATACTACACTTGATCTAAGCCAAAAGGCCAGAGTGGTGAAGATTCAGAACGTCTGTCCACCGCTTATATACCCGCGCGCATCCTGCGCACGGACCAGGTGGCTACGGCGTTGTGAGTACATATTTGGTCGGTGTACAAACGTGCAGAAATCATTAACTTACTACAGTAACTAAGTAAGGACCATTTACACAGTAGATGACGATTCTACGGGACAGCGATAGGCTGTATTGAGTGCGTTGTATCAACACCGAGAGCGCGCTCACGTTCCCCGGCTGGTTGACTTCACTTTCACTAGGACAGCCCGCGCGTTTGTCAAAAATGCTGAGGACCTCGCACACTCTGTAGCCTCCCTCATTGGTAGCTTCAAGTTGTCTCATCGAATTAGCGCAGCAAAGCACGTATAGTCTGTCGTTAGAATGTACGAGGTCGAGTTGGCAGGAGGTAGCATGTAGTATATGCGGATAGATGTCCAGCGAATGCATTATGGAAAGCGTCCGAGTATGAATGATATGCGTAGGTCCGTATCGATGATCAAGTGAGATCCCCCTGAGCCTGGAGGCAGGTACTCATACAATGTTCAGCACGCCGAACAACAACCCGCCTGCTACCGCCGCAACGGCGGACAGGTGCGCTGCTGTGATCTTGAAGCCGATCGCGCCGGCATTGCTGGAGGATGTGCTTGTACCGCTGCTGGATACTGGCGTAGCAATGTTCGAGGGGGTATAAGTGACACCGTTGGCAGTCGCGGCGACTTCAAATACGGAGCCGCCGCCATACTCGTAGAACTGCGATATAAACAGTGAGTATAGGTGCTCCTAGGGTCAGAACGGAAGACTTACATCCACAAGCATGAAGTTGGGGTTTCTGCTATACTCCCCGGCACACTCTGTAACCTGCGCGCCCAGAGACCCCGTGCCATTCGCCGCATTGGTCTTGGGGGCGTCGGACTTGTCAGGAACCAGGACGCCTAGGTAGTCCTTGTCCAAAAAGTGGTTGATCAGGTACATCTGCTCGGCGGAGTTACCCGACGTCCGGTTTACGTTGCAGTCGAAATCCGTCGTAGTCACGTCGTATGAGGTCTCCCAGATGTTGCTGAACTCTGGACGGGTGGTTAGTACTGGAAGAAATCATGTCATCAGGGGTGGGGCGTACCGTCGATCAAGTATGGAACGCTGGTGAAGTCAGCCTGCGTGGTCAGAAAGACGACCAAGCGAGTGCCTTTGTCGATGAGGTCCCCAAGCGTAGGCCATGCGGTGTAGGTCAGGCTGGCTGATGAAGGCGCGTACGCCATGGTGTCCAGCCCGACTGCTTTGAAGACCTTGTCGTATTCAGCGGGAGAGAAGTTGTCGTAGGAGTTCACGATGAGAAGGGATACGACTGTGAGGTGCAAGCGACATAAGGCACTTGACTTGTGATAAGCATAGTCTGTTCTTACCTTCATTGGTGTTGTCATCCATCCAGCTCTTGACTGTAGTGAGTGACCGTATGAGCAGTCAGTTTGCTTGAGAGCAATATGGACATACCGCTCTGCAGATAGTTTTGCAGAGTACCGCCGTCGAGAAGCACCTGCAGTGAGTGGTCGGTCAGTATTGCAACGCATACAATGAAAGGTGGACGTACACATGAGGTGTGACAGAGCTGAATCGTGCCGCTCTCGTTGTGTGTCTGCATCTGGAGCATGCGGACACCATCCTCGAGCTGCTGCGTGACTAGGACCGAGCTCATTCAGCCCGTCGATCGGAATGCGAGCAGCAGTTAAACGCACCATTGACGTCCTGGTTTGCGGCAACTTGAAAGCCATCAGCCACATCTGACGCAAGAGAAAAGAGACCACTCACCGTTCACGCTCGAGACAGAGTACGAATCGTGCGCTCCGACGAAGGTCACATTGCCGAAGGAGCGGTCACATAGCTAAGCACGTAAGACGAGGTCTACGATGCGATGAATGGTCAACGTACCTCTGAGTGGCCATTGCATGTGGATGCGCGTCGGACGGCGGTGGCATGGACGAGGGCCGAGGAGAGAAGGAGGGCGACAACGACCCGCGTTAGGCGACCGACGGAGAGGCGCATGGCGGTCAGAAACGAGGGTAGGGCGGGCAGACCTGGCGCGCTGGCGGAAGGGACGCGGGTAGATAAGTAGGAAGGAGAGGATTGGGAGAGAAGGTCAGGAAACAAAATGAGACACCGCCCGTCGAGAGCAGCCCGCAGCACCGGCAACGTTCGCCCTGCTGCTCCCAGGCCGTCTTGCGCTCAATAGCCGCCCACGTGCCCCGCCAGCGATCGCCCAAGATCCATCGGGCAGCGTGCCAGTGCCACACGCCAGCCACTCTGTGCTGCCCGCAAGCGGCTTCACGTCCGTCGTGCTCCTCCTGGCTGCCTCTCCCCTCCTCTGCGCCCTCCATGGCAGAGACACCAGAGAATCCGCTCAAAACATATGGCCTCCGCTTTCTCGACAAGGCGAGCACACGCTCCACGCTTCTCAGCTGTCAAGGACCATGCTCACCAAATCATCCGACAGACCCATACGGTCGTCACGGGCATCACTGCATGCTTCGTCCTCTACACCCGCTCAGCTGGCGTCGCCTACTTCGCCGCCGGCGCAGTCCTCTGCTCAATGTCCGTCAAGGTCATCAAGCGCTGTGTGCGCCAGCCCCGCCCCGTCCAGGTCATACGTGGCAAGCGGAAGAAGTCATACGGGTGCGTTCGTTCCTCGACATAACCTGTGCCTCTGTCAACCTCCTCCCATCAAGAATGCCCAGCACGCACTCTGCCACCATCACGTTCTTCGCCGCCTATATCGCGCTTGCCTGCTTATACCTGCCTATACATCCCACACTGCCGTCAAGTCCATTCACCCGGGTCCTCCCAATCATCATCTCGATACCCTGGGCTGTGACCATCGTGGTCTCCCGGATATGGCTCGGACATCATAACGTACCCCAAGTCATAGCAGGCTGCGCGTGCGGCCTCGTTCTAGCGCCACTCTGGTTCAACCTATGGACACACGGAGCCAATGACTACAGTCGGGCATTGGAGCACGCCCTGTTCGGCCAACGTTGATTGCATCTGCTGTAACTGTTATACTATCTTCTCGATGGAACTTATCTACTGATGGTCCTCTTGACTGACGTATATGTGAACGCAGGCAGACGCTACTGGGCTGGCTACTTCAGTAAGTCTCTGCTCGTTCACATGAGAAGCGGCCCAACTACAGAGTCCCTTATATAACTCTCTGCCCCCTCGTGCCCACGCACAAGTAAGTCCACGCCCTTCCTTACCACCTCTCTCATCTTCTCCTTCCCTTCCCAACTGGTCCTCACCGTCCACGCCACGAGGTGCGCACCAATGTGTGTCAGCGCTCTCCTCGCCACGCCCAAACCCGTCCCCGCACTCTTCCCATACGCGCGCAGAAACGCGTCCCTCACGTTCGACGCAGCCTCCCTCCCCTCCGGCTTGAAGTCGCAAATGAGCTGCAGCTCCGCGACGAACTGCCCAATGTCCAGCCCTGCCAGCCCCGTCTTCGCCATCTCCCAATCAATCACGTATACTCCATCGACGCCCACTCCCACCGGCCTCCCATCTCCGTCCAGCTTCTCCCCATCTGTGAGCGAGACGAGCACGTTCCCCGGCCAAAAGTCGCCCATGACGACCGTCTCCCGCGTCTCCAGCATCTCGCGCTCCATTTCCGCCGCCACAGCCGCCACCCTCTCGAGCTCCGCATCGTTCGTCTCAAACGGTGGGTCCATCAGCGCGGGCAGGGTATTCCCAGTGAGCGTGGACACGAGCCTGCCGTACGTGACAAGCGCGGACAGCTTCTTCCCTTCCTCGTTCTTCGCGAAGAATTCCGCGAACGCACGATCGTCCCTGCCGTGCGCGTGCAGGCGCGCGAGGAATTCGCCGAGGGCGTGGCCGACCTGGATGGTGGCCGCCAGCGGGAGTGCGTTCGATATGAGGGCCTGCTTGAGAGGGAGGCTGACGCTTCCAGCGCGGCGCTGGCAGTCGCTCATGATGATGACACTCGCGGATTCGTCGAAGCGCAGAACTTCGGGCACGGTGACGAGCGAGTCCGCCGGGAGCATGTCGCGGACCTGCCGCAGAGCGGTGACCTCGTAGACCTATCGACTACCGTCAGTAAACCTGAAAAACGGGTCAGGGAGGAAGTGCCGCGTACCTGCCGTTGCAGCGAGAATGCTATGCTCTGCATGGCTGCGACGTATGGCTTTGCATGCTTCAGGATCACAGTTTCTTGTCCGTGGAACGGTGCGCGCAGGCTCAGCCTGTAAGTGTAGTTCCCGTAACCTCCGCTCAAACGCAAGACGTCAACGCTGTCGAAAAGTGTTCCGGAGATGTACGCCTGTATGCCTTCGACAGTAGCCAAGTCGTTTGCGCCCGTCATTCTGCACGGTGTACTGGTGAGTGGGCAACGAACGTCTATCCGTTTTTTGATTCAGACGCATCGCAGTCATGTCCACTCATCGCCGGTACCGAAACGAGCTACACTGTAGATCGGGATCGGGGGCGAATCTATGTACGTTTCGGAACTGTCGTGTCATTAACTTGGAAACCTCAATTGTATGTGCCTGAACATCCATCGATGTTGTAAAGAGTAAAAGTATATTCGTGATCATCAAGTGTACAACATCATGGGAGCTAGTGGGAGACAATTGACACACGTAGGAAGGCGTATTGAGACATTCGATTGCATCTGCGCACTGTGACCATCCCCTCCTTACAACTTGTCGTAATACGTGTCCAACGCCGGAATGTCGGGCTTGAGACCCTTCCGCACACGCAGATTCCTGACGAGCTCCTCGAGCTTGCTGCCCTTGTCGAGGGGCGCTATAGATGGACAGCATCAGCATGAGAGTCACAGCTAACCTGGGGCACCGATACTCACTGCCGTTCATTAGCTCCCAGTGGTCGAACACGGACTGCGGGAACGCCTGGCCAGCGGTCTGCGCGCGGAGCTCGCCGTTGAAGCCGAACGACTCCATGACAGGCAGGTACGCCTTAACCGTGAACATTGGCGTGCCAACACGTTGCTCCTCGCTGAAGACCTGTCCACGACGCTTGTTGAGCACGGAGTAGATACCGCCAATCGCGTTTTCGGGGCACTGGATCTCGACTGAGGGGCAAGTCAGACAAGTCGATAAACTACATCATTCTTAGACTCACCAAGGTAGACGGGCTCCTGGAGACCCGGTGTCGCAAGCAAGCACGCAGCGTAGCAGACACGACGACATGTCGGGATAATCTGTCCACCACCGCGGTGGATGGCATCGGTGTGGAGCTACAAGCAAATCACGTCAATACATCAGCCATAATTCGCTTCTCTTGAGTAGCTCACCGTCACATCGAGGATGTTGAAACGGACTCCGCGCATGTTCTCCTCCGCGCAGACACCCTCCTTCGTCGCCCACTGGAACGCAGCAACGCACGAATCCTTGATTTCGTTGAGGTACTGCACACCCTTCGTGACGTCAACAAGCATGTTCGGGCCAGTCGTCTCGGGACCGAAACACCAGATTTTCCGCGCGTCCGTGACGTCCCAGCCGTACTCGTCCGCGAGAATACGCGCACGGGCCTTGTAATCGTCACGGGAGCTGATCTTGCCGCTCTCGATGGCGAGCGAGAGCTCCTCATCGACTGGCAACGCCTTTGCGTATAGACGATTGTGCTTGTTCTGCGACTTCGAAAGGGCGACGATCGAAGACTCAGCCTTGACAGTCTCACGGTAAGGGACGACGGGGTCGGAGATCTTGAGGGGTACACCAGCATGATCCTCTTGGAGATCCTGAGATAGTTACACAGTCAGACAGGTGTTCGTGAGGCCAGACAAACTTTACATACCTTCAAGCAAATCTCCAAGTGAAGCTCACCAGCCCCAGCGACGATGTGTTCACCGCTCTCGGAGATCCAAGCCTGGACACACGGGTCGGACTTCGAGAGACGCTTGAGACCTTCGACGAGCTTGGGCAGGTCGGCCGCGTTCTTAACCTCGACGGCGACCTGGACGACAGGCGACACGGAGAATTTCATGACCTTCATGTTATGCGCGGTCTCCGACGATGTGAGGGTTCCGTTCTTCAGCAGGAACTGGTCGATACCGACGAGACCAACGATGTTACCAGACGGGCAGTCCTCAATGGGCTCGATGTAACGACCCATCATCAGAACCGTGCGCTGCACAGACTTGATGAAGAGGTCGTCCTTCTTACCAGGGATGTAGTTGGGGCCCTGGATACGGATCTTCGGGCCAGCGCGGACGGTACCGGAGAAGACACGACCGAAGGCGTAGAAACGACCCTTGTCGGAGGTCGGCACCATCTTCGAGATGTAAAGAACGAGAGGGCCGTTGGGGTCGCAGTCACGGATACCGATGGCGGACTCGTCGTCCATGGGACCTTCGTAGAGGGTCTCCACGCGGTAGCGCTGAGCGGTTTTCGGCGAAGGGAGGTTGATGACAATCATCTCCAGGAGGGAGTCACCAGCGGGCAGGAACTTCCGCATGACGACCTTGAGGAGGGCCTTGCCCTCGAGATCACGCTCATCCTGAGCGAGCTTGACGTCGAGCTTCTCGAGCATCGGACCGATGGCGTCCTTCTTGAAGTTCATCACGGCATCAAAGATTTTGAAGATGGGGTCGAGGACGAACATGTTGAACGCGCGCTCGAGGGGCTTGCCATCATTGTCAACGCCTTTGTTGGTCCACTTGCGGGTGGCAGGGTTGAAGTAGTTGTCACCCCAGAGCTTGGCCATCATCTTCTCCTTGTCAACACCGAATTTCTTCGAGTAACGGTGGGCGAACTGGCGGAGGGTGAAGGCCCAGCCGTGAAGACCGGAACCGAAGGCGATGGTACCCTTCTCGGGGTAGACCTGGACATCGCCGAGGGCAGCGTCGTGGTACGTCGAAATGATGACGTTGACGCTCTCAATGGTGCGGCAGAAGGACTGGAAGAGCCCCTCCTTGTCGACCTGCAGCTCAAGGAGGGCACGGTCGACCTTGTTGATAATGACGACAGGTTTGATACGCTCGGTGAGCGCTTGACGGAGCACGGTCTCGGTCTGCACGCAAACACCCTCCACACAGTCAACGACGACGAGAGCGCCATCCGTGACGCGAAGCGCAGCTGTAACCTCGGAAGAAAAGTCGACGTGCCCCGGGGAATCGATCAAGTTGATCAGGAACTCATTGCCTGAGTACGATTGGTCAGATATATGACACGAGGCGGGTTTAGCGGAATCCACACGCACCGTCAGTCTGCTGCTTGATGTCGGAAACATCCTCCTTGTCGACCTCGAAGTACATAGAGATGGCCGTGGACTTGATCGTGATACCACGCTCCTTTTCGTCTTCTCTTGTATCCGTAAACCGCATGTCACCCGCTTTTGCGCTAGCGATGATACCGGCCTTGGAGACCAGGGAATCCGTGAGGGTGGACTTTCCGTGGTCGACTACAAGCAGCGGAGTTGAGGATATGCACGAATTAGACAAATCGAAGACTCACCATGAGCGATGACACTCATGTTACGGATGTTGGTGGGCTTGTCCATAAGGCCCCGAATCTGGTCTGTACGACATAATCAGTCTTGAACGACCGGAACAAGTTCTCGAAGCTCTACTTGCCTACGGTGAAGTTACTGGCATCACAGGGAGTGAAGATTAGTCTCACAACGCAGAAGCGAGAAGACGATCTACGCACACCATGGTGACTAGATTTTACAGGTAAAAACACAGGAAAAGTAGGGATTGATACAAGCGACGTCCGCGAGGAAGCCGCAGCGAGAGGGGTCAGGAGAGTATGGCCGTAACCTGGTCTGCACACTGAGGAAAGTGCAAAGTTTTGTAAGCCCGTGCAGCTTATCGATCACTTCAGGGCAGGCTCATACCTCGAGCACGTGCACCGCGACCGAGGCACAGCCGCGTCCTCGAGTCCTCGGACCTCGACGCTCCCGCCGGCGGCCCCGCACGTCGTGTAACGACTTCAGGAGGACTGAGCGAACACTCGACCTGGCAGTCAGCACAAATGCGCATATGTCGAGTCACCGCGACATCTCGAGTCACTCACTATGTCTGGCTGTCTGTCCGATTGACTCCAACTGAAGGCCTGACGTTGACTGAGAATGAATGCTCCCTCTTGTCATAGCACCTTGGCTCGGTGAGCAACACGCCGGTGCGCTTCTCGCACCAGAGTCAGTGGTTTGGGTGCGAACAAGAGTAGTGAGATGCGCCGGAATGATCGACTCATGAGCAGCGTGGATGAGCACTGCCCGGAATTACACAGACTGACGGTGATTGATATTGCAGACTGACTCGGGCTGACCTTATCGAGCGTAGTACAGTACAGGCGTTCGAGACGGCCGTTGTTGCATTCTCATCCGCTAGGCTCACTAGCATCATGCATCCTCTACAGGTCAACCCCACCACAGGTGAGCCGTACCTACGGCTGCCGAGTCCTCATAGCAACATTATCGTTACCCCTCCGCGAATGAGCGATGTGGATGCGAGCGTTCGCGAGCTAAACGATCGCAAAGTCGTGGACTGGCTCATAGGACCGCCCTACCCATACCTTCCGTCCCACGCAGAGGAGTGGGTAGCAACTGCTAAGCAGGCGTCCGACGCGATTCTGGCAGACCTGCAGCGAGACGAACCGAACAAGGCAAGGAGCCCGTTAAAATTTGTGGGGGGATGTCCAGTACACCGCTTGCGAGAAGTGGGCGAGGACGGAACCGATACGTTCGTCGGTGACATCAGTTTTCGTCGCTGCGCATTTCCACACGAAGGCGAGGAACAAAGTGTACGCTGCGAGGAGAACGCAGCACGCGCAGTCGGTGACCCGTCCATCGTCTGGTGTGTCGGCTGTGCGTTATTACCTATATTCTCTGAGGGTGTATTGAAGGAGCTAATGGAGTACGGTGGGCGATAGACTATACGGCCAGCTCTCACCACGGGCGAGGCATCATGAGCGCTGCATTCCGCACACTCATGACGGAATGGGCGATCCCCCGGATGAACGTACGAATCATGCGGGTCGAAACATATAGAGAGAACGTTGCGAGTGCGCGTGTCTTTGAGAAGTTTGGTTTTGTGCAGGAGCGGGTTGCGGACGATGTGGTGACGACGAACACGGGGGCGGTATGGCATGGCGTTCGCCTGCTGTGGTGGAGACATCCGTGAATGAAAGTGTACTGCGTCTGGCTTTCACGGATATGTAGCAAGCTGTGCACGGAGAGCTTACATAGAGCGGACTGTTCGGTGTTCCTGAACTGTTACTGTGCGGTCGCATCTGTCGGGAGAGGCACTGTTGGTGGACGGCCAGTGTGACGGCCTGCGGGCGCTTGCGTGGGAGATCTTGTGGCAGCACTGGCGGTGGCAGGGATCTCCAGCCGCACACTGCCTTGCATTCCTCGGGCGATTCACCCGTGTCGAGGACAACCCCTCGCGCGGCTCAGCTCTTTCACATAAACCACCACATTCCTCCTTCAGCGGATTGTATACTTGTTCAATTCTGCCATGGGCATCATACGGCCTGCAACACCGGGGTTCCTGGTGACCCTCGTCGCAACTGGCCTGCTCGCTGCCGTTACCTTCTCCGTTCCCTACATAAAATCCATCTACTTCCTCAAAGCGACAATCAACGTCGGCAACACGAACGGCACGTTCACATTTGGGACGCTGGGTTACTGCGTACAGTTGTCCAATGGGACAACATGTTCGAAGCCATCGGTGGGCTATGAGCTCGGTGTGTGTCTCATTCCAGTCCACTCCTCGGAGCCTCCTAATCAGCGCGACAGACGTGAACACGTTACTCGGAGACAACACTTTTATCAAGATTCCGAACGTGCTCGTAAAGTGGATCACCTACGCACTCGTCCTGCACCTCGTTGCGCTCATCCTCTCCGCGATTTCTGCCGTTTTTGGTCTCCTCGCGCATGTCCGCGAGATGTCCATGGCATACTGCAGTTCCTTCATCTCTGGCTTTGCAGCCGCCGTCACGCTAGTTGCCTTCATCTTCGACATCGTCCTCTTCTACGTCACCAAGTCCCGCGTGAACAGCGAGGCCGGTGGTTCGTCTTCGCTCGGCCTTGGTGTATGGCTCACGCTCGCAGCGTGGTTGTTGCTCTTCTTTGCGGGCTGCTTCTACACTATCGGACGGTGCTGTATCAGTCGCCGTCCCGCGGGCTGGGCAAGGGGGCAGAATGCGCCTGAGAACACATTCGCAGAGCAGATGCGCCTCGACGCCGTCAAAGCTGAGGCCGACCGCAAAGCACGGCAGAAGCAGGGCGAGGTTGGTCTGCCTGCATTCCAAGATCTCGACCAACTTCAGCCTCTAGCGAGGCACACGGACGAGGATTATGTCGAGGATGGCGACAAGATTGTTCCTCTATCCGACGTACAGAACACCGGCGTCGGTGCTTACGGTCGGCAACCGAGCCAGACGAATCGTCAGTACCCTGGCGGGTACGTCCCTGCAGCACCGGGCACGCGTGCGGTAGATTACAGCAACGTATCTCCTGCAACAACCACTGTCTACCCTCCCCGGTCGCCAGCGCCGCAGGCAAGGAGACAAGGCAGCGGACATACGCAGGGCACCTCTGGATATGCGCCATCGACATACAGCAACTCGCCAGGAGTGGCAGGTGTGGGAGCTACTGCTGCAGGCGCCGGCGGTTACCTTGCCGCAGGTGGCTATGGCCACACGCAACAGACAAGTGATAACAACCAGAGTTACGGGCATGGACAAAGTGCTTCTTCCTGTAGGTGTCTTCGTGGCTTCTGTTTTGGGCACCCGGCTAATGCATTCTCCGTAGACTACCAAGCTTCACAGCAACCGTACTCGTCGAACTACGCCATCCCGCGCACGGGCACACCGTATGCTGCACCCCAGACTCAGACGTTCAGCCCTGACACGTACAATAGCACGGGCTACATGCACGGAGCCATGCCGTCGACATCGTCGCCCCCTCCAGCCGGGGCGGGTAACCCTTACTATGGCCGTTCACCGCCACCAGCCCAACAGGACCGCAGCTACACGCTTGGCGGTGACGGATACGGCGCCGCACAGGACACGGCGTACTACGACCCGTACGCAGTCAACGCAGCATCGCATTACACCACACCCTCCCCCGCGCCGCTGAACACAAACGCCCAGCATGGACACCCTGTACGTTCACCGACACAATTGTCACAGTCACCCGGTATGCCTGAGCCGCACGGGCACGAGCCCAGCTACTCAGATAGCCCACCGATGTACGACGCTGCTACTGCGCAGCCGGCGGGGATGTGGTCAACGAAGCCAGGTAGCCGGTAGTGTCTGCTGTGATGACCTTCTTTGCCTTGCATTCGAGTTACCCCCCATCTTTCTCACGGACCTGGACTATCTATTGCCGTGGTTGTTAATGAACGAGAATTTTGGGAAGCCATTGTCGCTCAAGCCCGCCAGGGGGTTTCGGTCACGACACGATGTACGACTAGAAACGTGGATATCATGATCTGGACATTCTGCCCACAAGAAAAGGGTACAAATTCACCCGACTCGAATTTTGCTTCCTGTACTCGCCATGGTGGGTCTACTAGAGCGGTGAGTGCCCTATTTATTTGTTTTGCCCTAGACCTCTGTAGACGTCATGAAGGTGTGCCGCAGCACCTTGCTGTCGCACGAGATTCCATCAGAGCTCATCCCGAGGACCCCAGGAGTGGGAGGTAGGTGCCTTCGGTGGTTCATGAGTGAGGAACATCGATAGGAAGTCGTGCACGATGTCGGCCGCAGCGATACCGGTAATCTCGGCTGGGGAACACCAACCGTCAGTCTGGAGTGACCAGGAAGCAGCAACACGTACCGTTGTCATATGCTGGTGCGACCTCGACGATGTCAGCACCGCTGTAGAAGAATACGCGTCAGGAGTTCGCTACAGGTGAGTGTTCAAACAAGGGCGCGTACACAAAGTTCAGACCCGCAAGGCCGCGGATGATGCGTTTGACCTCACGCGTCGTCCAGCCTCCTGCTTCGGGAGTACCAGCTAAGGATGACTGTTAATTTCGGGGATAAAGCTGTTAGGAGAAACACGCACTGGCTGGTGCTAACCCTGGGTCTACATGAGAGCAAGAATCAGGCCCACTGGTCTCGTATGACGTTGGCAAAGGTAAGCGGCGTACCGATTACATCAATATCGAAACTAAGTGTGTGTCAGTGACCTTGAGAGGAGGCATTTCGCCGCTGAGCTCACCTAAGATATACGGGAGAGTCGCCAATACGGTCACGAATGCGCTTGATGATTGCGTTCACGCCATGGTCATCGATGTCATCCGAAGATATGAGCTGGAAGCCGACCGTTTCGTCGTTCTCGATGTCACCATATCCCTGGAGCTTGCATCGAATGCCTGCGTGAATGCTGGTGTTGGTCATGAGGCCCTCCTCTTGGGCAAGGTAGAAGAAGGTGCCGTGTGTGACGCGCGATTGGTCCGTGGTCGTGCCCGGGTATGCAGGCCAGGTGTCCAGATGCGCATCGAAGTGGATGACGGATACAGGGCCGTATACCTTGTTGAGCGACCGGAGAATGGGGAGCACGATGGTGTGGTCACCACCAAGCCTGCATACGCTCTGGTGAGTGTCCAATCACTGTATTGAGGGGACCATACTGACGTGATGATACGAGGGTGCTCCTTGCCGTCCTTCGCAAAGGCACGTACGGCATCGGGATGCACTGCTGCGTCGTTGTTCGCAGCGCCCCTGGCCAGCAGGCTCGAATACGCTACTTCCATCTGATCGACCGCCAAAGCGTTGTCAAATGGGCTCACGGGTACCTACACTATTCAACAATCCTAGTTCTCACGAGAGGACATAAGCTCACATCACCGCAGTCGATGATCCTCGACCCTAGTTCGTAGGGGTTCACCTTCCATGCCAGTGTGTAACCGCGGGTCTCCCTCTGTCTCCTACTTCCGGAGCGAATAGCATACGGACCAAAGCGAGCCCCAGGCCGGTAGGTCACCGCCGTATCGAATGGCATCCCCAGTACGGCGATGTCAAATTCTGCAGATGGATCTTCAAGGCATCGACTGTACGGAAGATGGGAGAATGACAGGGGCCCAGAGAAGGCCTGGTCGATCTGCTTTCCGTACTTCTTCAGCCAGGCATTCGAGTCTGCAGAGTCATAACCCGTCGCTGAACTAGCAAATTCGTCAAGCGGAATCTGGTCGTGGTGTTCGTGCGCGAGTACCAGAGCCGCTGGGACCAGCAGAGCGAGACATGCAACTCTCGCAAGCATGGTGAGCAAGGCAGGGGACAGGCGCGAGACACAATCGCTGCTGAGTACTTGCTATATGGAAGACAGCTATCTCTGGCGCTTGATAGGGTCAACCTGTCCGAGAAGTAAATTACGAGCCTGTGAGATTCGCGAAGACGATCATGCATACTTTCCGGGCTGCTTGGGATCGAGCTGGTCTTCGTTCAGCCGCCCGCCTTCACTCGGTCTCCCGACGCGTCCACATGTGATCCTAATTACTCATGTGACCGCGACCATTCTCCCATTAAAAGGCTGGTAATAGGACGCGGAGACGGCGTAACACCCAGCAGTATGGTACAAGTCGGCTACTACAGTACAAGAAACAGACCACGACCCAATATACAGAAGGATATCTCGATCAGAAGCTCGTACTCTTTCTAGAGGCCCGCAGAGGGATAATCTCCCACTGCCTCCTGAGCTTAGCCTTTGCGCTCGCCGCGTCCACCTCTTCCTTCGCAAGTGCCAGCACACGCACCTCGCGCCGCCGTTCAAGCGAGTCATCCACCTCGCCCTCCTCCGAACGTTCCTGCTCGAGAATCTCGTCCTCCCTCAGGTCAATCTCGCCGCTGGAGAATACTGTCTCTGGCGTGGCGCTGGATGGAGGCCTCAGAGCACCGAACAAAGAAAGCGGTGTGGAGAATGCGCTGGTGAGCAGCTGGGACGCATCGTCGATGATCCCGCGAGGCTTGCGGGCGGGAACAGCGGTCACCAGGAATGACATCTCCCTCCACGCTTCCCACTTGTTGCGTTCGGAGCCTGCTGCGGGATAGGAGGGGTCCGACGCGAAGGTGATGGTGATGTTCCTCGTCTCGCGGTCATACGAGAACCGAGGCAGTGGGTGAGAGTAGTTATTGGGGAAGGGCTGCAAGACGGGGCGCCGATGGCGCAGAACGAGACGGTCGTCTGGTACCACTCCGTTAAGCATGGTTGGCGAGGAAGATACGTATGTAGATCGTACCTTCGACGTCAATGGCGTGACCAGTACTCCTTGAGCACAGGACTCCGGAAGTATCGATGAAGAAGACCTGGTTGTCCGCGCTAGGGTCCCTCATGGCTATATTGACCAGGGGGCTCTGTGAGGCACTGGGATCGGAAGTTACAATGCAAACTCACAATCCACGAGCGACGTCTCGTTCTCCGTGTACAGTATCAGCTGCGTCCCGTCTTCCGACCATCCCATCTCCACATCCAGCAGACGACCGGTGACCACAGACCGGATGAGAAAGTAACCAGGCGGAAATCCGTACAAATTCAAGTCAGCATCCATTGCGATCGGCAGTTCACTGTTGAAGTGTGCCTCGGTCGGTGTGAGCTGCATGGTGCCAAGATGGGTGGGGCCTTCAAGTTGCTGTGAATCCGCAGAGGGGCTATGTGCCAGAGTTGAATTCGATCACGCAGCACAGCACCTCGGCCTCATAAGTGGACCTGAAGTGCCCGAGCGCCCGGTGCTGCGCTGAAGTTCCGATCGTAGTCCACACGGATGACGAAATTGAGAGTAACTTAGAACGACATTGCGGTCTCGTGAGCAATGTGCGATTCTATACTGCAGTTTCTGTGAAAGATGAAGTCGAGGACGCAAGCACGGCTCGCGTGGAAGCTTGCATATGCCAAATAAGCCGCAAGGACAGCCTTCCGCGTGGCATCAGTGAATAATCCGGACACAAGTACATGTACAACGTCCAGTACACACTGCTGAATGCAAGATCACTGTATGCACGTCTCATATGCTTCGCATCGGTACTCATGGCCGGTACCCGTCGTCAGAATCGTCCGATCGGAACGAACCAGGCATCCGTCGCCGTCGACTAGGATTTCGCGGGCGTCCCGCACGTTCTGACGTCTCCTGCTGACGCTTCTCCTCGTAGTCCTGTAATCGATAGTTCATCTTCGACAGGCCCTTCCACTGCGATACGCACACGTGAATGAGTGGGTAGTTCTTCGAAATTGCAATCCGGTTGAGACTCACCTCATGTCGGACGATCGTGCTGCCCTCCCTATGGCTCCAGCGTGTACCCAGCCACCCCGCGCTCATTAGCACCGGCTGTTCAGAATGCCAGCTGACGTCCCGAACACAGACTTTGGCCTTGTGCGTCGCATCCAGACTGGACGGGTCAGGCCCCGACGGATCGATGCCCATCGGAAGTGTCTGTGAGCGATCGAGCACCTGCACAACCCGGCCGTCCAACGACCATATGTGAATCTGCCCGTCGGAGCTCCCCGAGTAGATGTACTGCTGGCCGGTCGTCTCCGCGGGGCTGAAGTGGCAGCGGATGAGCGTGCGGAGGACCTCGTGACCCGTGTACTGCATGACGCTGCAGTCGAGCGGGTGCGCCTTGAACTTGGGCCGGGGGTACGCGCCGCCGCTGGATGCAGTGCGTGAGCTTCGGGAGGCAAGGGAGTGTGTGAGGGGGGACACCCACCGGTAGTCGAAGTGAGGAATGCCGTAGTGTTTCCGCTGCGCCTGCTCGAATTCGTTATTGGTGCGCATCATGCGGAGGTCCCATAATCGTAGGACTTGGTCCTTGCCGTTCGAGATGACGTAGCGGCCGTCGCCTTTTGCTGAGACGTAAGTGATACCTTCGGTATGGCCGATGAGCACGCCTGAGGGCTTGGGCGAAGCACCCAGTGATCTCCGGTCCCTGCATGAAGATGAGCCATCGGGTACTCATAGAGGCCAGGACTGCACGCACCAGACTTTAATGAAAGTGTCGTCCGACGCACTGACCAAGACGTTCCCTGAAGCTGTATCGGCCCAGCAGCAGCTGTTGACATCGTCTCCATGTGCCTGGATCTTCACTGTGCGTTGATCCGCCACCAAGTCATAGACTGTCAACTGGAGGTTGGTACAGTTCCACCCGACGAGAAAACCAACGCCTACCGAAAATCATGCTACTACCTCCTGCGATGACCTCATTGCCGTCAGCAGAGAACTTGCAGCTCCATATACCAAAATCGTCCTCGTAATCCCACACTTGATTGCCTGTAGACTCGCCAAATCGGATAGGATGCTGCACTGGGGATGGGTCTAACGTCGTGGTCATGTATACCGTATTCGACTGTGAACGAGTGTCAGTCAGACACCAAGCCGGCTGCATGATATACTCACTATTGATGCATATATCATCCTACGGCGTGCCCGTTAGGACTTTTCCAAGCCAATTACGTGGGGAGACTGACCTTTGATTGTCAGGACTGAGATGAGAGTCTGTGATTGTCCAACGCCCAGGGTTGGCCGGGATTGTCTTGATGACCTTCATCGACGTTGTATGCCCATACCGCTCATTTCGTGTTGCTTCCACGTTATGCTGGCCAAGTGGCGCGGTCGTATCATACACATGCAGGCGAAAGTCTGCGGGGGACCCGTCAAACACGCCTCTGGTACACAAGTGGAAGAGGCGTACCTCTGACACATGTGTAGTAGAACGTAGAGTCTGACGATAATGATGAATCCAGCGCAACATAACAAGCGCATGTTGAATGCTCACCTGAGGAATATTGCCCGACATAAGCATTGGCAGCATACTGCGCTACAGCCGTGCCGCTGGAATTCGGTAGTAGATCCTACATCCTGCTCAGTTCGCATCGGCATCGAATGCGTAATATCTGCCACATACACCAGCGAGATCTTCCTTATAGGTAGGCCGCACCCGTGTCCCTCTATTGAGTGCGAGCCTGGCAATATTGTTGTCCCTCTTCCGGGACTTCAGCTGATGCTTTAGCCTGCCGAACTCACCACCCATGAGGAGTTGAAGTCCTTCTTTCTTTGGCTCTTTGACTTCCGGGTACCAACCCTGCGTGCGATCCCATTTGCCGCTATAGCCATGTTGGTTGAAATACTCGTCCTCCTCATCATCGTCGTCGTCTTCTACCTCAGCTTGAGTAGTCACGGTGATGCCGCGGAAGCCCAAGAGCCGTTGGACTTGCGCCAGGGTATTGCCGTCCAGTGAGATTGTGGTGGGTTGGCTGCTGTTTGCAGAAGCAACGCCTGCAGTCTGACGCTGTCTCGCCTCAGCCTCCTGCATGTTAATCAAGGCTGCACACTACCTTCAGCACGCACGGACAACGACGGGATAACAGTACTCGCACCATCTAGGAGTACTCCCACGTCTGTCTCGTCATCAGGTCCATCTTCGTCCTCGTCCTCGTCTTCCTCGTCTTCGTCTTCATCGTCATCTTCACCCTCTTCGATTTCGAAGTCAGGATCGTCCGGGCCATCGCCGACTTCGACATATGCGTGAGGCCCCGCGAGCGCATCGTCCTCAACGCCGTCATAAAGGTCCATGCTGGCATCCAGATCCGTTGCTGGCCCCATGCGCGCGAGATGTGCAGACGGGAATGGTGAGGGGCCGTTGTGTGGGGAGAGGGACTCGGGCGGCGCTGAGCAAGCTTGGAGCGATCGTGCGACGGCCCGGAGGTATCTCGGGTACGACGCACCCACTCGATCGCCGGCTTAGAGCTGCCTCCTTAGGCGCCCATTCTCCTGACCGCTCTCAAGCTTCAAATCCTCCTCCAAAGCTGGGGCTGACCGCGGTCAACCAGCATCGACTCGAACTTGATGTGCGAACATCCTGAGACATCCTGACATCGAACGGCACATACCATGCAGAAGAAGGGGGTCGTATGAGATCGCGCGTGATCATCAGAGACTGCAGCCATGAAAACCTACCGGGCAAAGTTGACTCCGACCGATAATGCACATGCCCGAGAACCTGTCGATCCGGTATTGCATGGATGCGAAAAATATTGCCATGACTGTTTGAGGGAGCTGTACAGTGCTTGCAGAAGTCTCAACTCGAAGTACTTATACTACATCGCACTAGGGTGGAGACTTGGGCCGTAAGCCTTGGCCGCATGGCATTTATATGACACTTGTCTCGCGAACCTCAAAGGTACGCTCGGGATCGACATCCGCGACTGGGTCGACCGTGGCCAGTGATAAAGCCGGGTGTCGACCGTACGTTATTGCGTTGATCTGCATTGTTTCTATAGGCCGGCGGGTATAGCCTTGCAATACGCCCAAGACGGGGAGCACACAGTTGTACATAGAGCCAGCTCAGCATGGTTTAGCAGTCTGCAGTCTGCGCGAGTCGCGAGAGAGTGAGGAAGATGGATGTTGGCGAGCAAATTGATTGAACGCGTCCGAGGCGCCGTGCCCGACGCGCCTAGGTACACGTGCACGTGATCGAATCGAGGTGGTTGTGGCTCTGGCCCGGGCGGACAATGCGCTTGTCCTCATCCTCCCTTCCGTTCTCTACCGGTCTCCAACCATGGCGAGGATGGTCCCTCCCATCACAATCACGGCAGACGACGTCAACTGCCTCATACATGCGTACTTTGAGGACTCAGGCGAGTACTAGTAGGCAGCCTATGTATGTCACCTTGTTGACGTGAATCGTCACTGGCACTGCGCGCAGGCTTCCAACACAGTGCATTCGTTCTTCGCGCAGAGGCTCAAATGAGCGCCTCCCCAAATCTTGGTAAACACGTACCTCGCGGTGAACTTGTAGAACTTCTCAGCAAGGCGCTATTGTACGCCGAAGTAGAGGCTCATTGGAAGGACAGCAACTTGACCGCAAACTGCAGAAGGCCATTCTCTCTGCTTGAGCGCCACACCTGCTCAGCCGACCCCAATGCTGCTGGGCCGAATGATCCTGATCAGGTCAACCATGCTATCGAAGTTGACCAACACGCCGTCCAGCCTCATATAAACGGCGCGATCGGCATGAACGGCACAGCTGATTCTGTAGCAAAACGCAAAGCTAGTACACCCTCCGTCGATGAAGCGCCCAAAGAGAAACGCGCTCGAACTGTCCCTCCAAACGACAACATGCAAGTTGATAGCATCGCACAGTCATCGGTAGAGCGTAAGGTGAACCATCCCCTCAATTGGCAGTGGTCTGATTCGTTGCGGCATTGTTCAAGCACAACAGGCCCAGAACGATGCCACATCTTCCGCGCCTTCCGCGCCCGCCGAATCGAAGAAACCATCAAGACCGAAACGACAATGTGGCCCTGCGGACGACGTCACACCTCCGAATGTCGTAAGTTTGTTGAAGGGCCATAAGACTGAGGTTCGTAGTTCTGCAGGTATCGCTATTTCCTTCACTCATGTCTGGCGGTAGGTTTTCGTGTGTGCTTGGAATCCTACAAAAAAGAACACATTGGCATCGGGGTAGGTCGCTATGATTCGTGTGCCTTTTGAGCGAGGCCCTGTTAACGCACCCAGATCAAGAGATACTGTTGTACATCTATGGAATGTACCTGATTCTAAGCCACCGGCTTCACCAGTGCCGCCGAAGATTGGTCCTCCGATGACACTGTCATGTCCCTCACAATCCGAACAAGGCGATCTTACTTCACTCGACTGGACGCAAGACGGGTCGCTACTGGCGATCGGTTCATACGATGCTATTCTCCGTGTTTGCTCCACGAGCGGCGAACTGTACTTCTCACATACACAACATGAGGTGGGTTGCGTGGTAGGCTGTTGGTTACGCCGCTAGACTGATGTGATGGATTGGGCGGTGAGAAGGGACCCATATTCGCTACGCGTTTCTCCAAGTCTGGTCGCTGGCTCCTAACCGCGAGCTTGGACGGTACAGTATGTGTCTGGGACATCCACGAGAAGAAGCTGCATAAGCAGTTCCAGTGTCATAAAGGTAGCAGAATCTGTCTTACATGACCCTCCGACGCTCACCAACCAGCCCAGACTGTTGCCTAGATGTCGACTGGCTCACCGATGATATCTTCGCAAGTTGCGGCGCCGACGGCAAAATCCAGATTATGAGCCTGGCTCATGCAAGACCTCCAAAGACATTCATGTACGTCTTCTCGTCGTATAAAAATGTACAGGGCATGACAGGATAGTTCAGCGGCCATACGACGGAAGTGAACCAGATCAAATGCAGTCCTACAAGATCAAGAATTGCATCATGTTCGGACGATCGCACCGCACGGATATGGAACATCGAGGATATCGTGTACAACCGTCCACCCAATGACGACGTGGTCGTGCTGAGAGGCCACTCGGATACAGTCAGCTCTATCGCGTGGTCTCCGGTCGTTTCGGAGGGCGAGCATGAAATTCTGGCATCGTGAGTCACCAGTAGTCATTGGTAATCGGAAAGCTGGTGTTGATGCGAAAGCCTGGTAGCTCGTCATTCGACGGCACATCTCGCTTGTGGGACAGTGTCACCGGCGAATGCTTGCGCGTCTTCCAGGATCACAAACGGCATGTCTATGCACTCGCGTTCAGTCCGGACGCACGCTTCTTTGCCACCGGCGGCGCCGATGGCTGGTTACATGTCTACGATGTCAAGGTAAAATACTACGAACGGGCAACCCTCGAGGCTGACCAATCCCTGCAGGCCCGTCAGAAGCGCTGGTCGTGGTACGCCGGCTCAGAGAAACCTGGTATCTTCGAGATCGACTGGCAGCAATCTGGAAACATCAACCGCATGGCGCTAGCCCTAGAGTCGAACCAAGTCGGCGTGGTCGACGTTACACGGGTACCCCTCCTTCAATAACTGTACTATGCACGTATGATCATCTGTTCGGGACCGCGTCGTCATATACTGTATCACTCTTGTAGTCAGCATTCTTGCGATACCTGCATGCAATATTTATTCTGCTATTTACTGCGGAGAAGTGGTGGAAACGGTTGAGAGATTCTGATGCTTGTCGGCTCTTATGGTCTGCAACCCGAGGTGGTACATCTCTCGTCCTAGTCTCCGTTGCAGATGTTAGTAGTTTGGATCTACCCTGGTCTGCCCCGGCATATTTAAGTATTAGGGCTGAGTCTGACAAGGGAGTCGGGATGCTGAGTCAGCAGCCGCGATGCGGATTCAAGTTGGGACGATTGTTCCTTCACTCAGCACAGACTCAGACCCCTCGCCGCCGACAATTAGGGGCAAGACTCTTTCGGTGTCAGCAGTAAGTCTGCCTCACTGTCCCATCTCACGAGTGCTGGGTGAATGTAAAACTGTGCACAGATTCTTGCCCAACCACAGCACAAGCCAGTGTCGGGGCCATGTCTGCTGTTTCTAGCGACGCGAAAATGCATGAACCATCAGCCGAAGAAGTGGAAGAGGAGTTGTTGAAGCATCTCGAGCTCGAGTGGGGCTTGCCGCTGCATATCCTCAGACTGTTCGGAGAGTGGGCGAAGAATATCGACTTCCCGTTTGTTGGGTGCGAGCAGCGTGTAAGTACCTCGAATTGTGCTTCGTGAAGCATGTTGAGCATCCCTCATGTTCCAGATCATCCGCGACTTCTCCCCTGAAGATTGGGTTGATATAAAAACACATCTCAGGGAACACAGCTTGAAGATCCTGAATTACATCTCGTACGTCAGCAATGAAATGTCCCAGTGTATACTAATTCAGGATTGAAGGTTTGCCTATGACGAAGACAAGCGTACACTAACCATGAGAGGCACAACACCAATACATCAGGCTGGAGGCAAAGCTGTGGCGAAAGAGATGAAGGTCGGGGTCAAGAAGTGGCTTTTGACTGACTCTCAAGACTTCTGGATCGACAACAATGAGTACGAAATCGGAGATAAGGGAACCCCCATCCCGGGAACCATGGGGACCCTTCAGTATGAGCCGCCGTTGGAGGGTTCCCCGACTGATAGCGTGCTTGTAGGATCACAGATTGTTGTTTTGCGGGTGGAGTCGTGCTTCACACAGACCTTTTCAGATGCCATGAAGAAGGTATGTCTGATTAGCATTGCTGCTTGGGTAAGACAACATATTAGTATTACAGGTCCACGCAAAAGCTGTCGAGATTTCGAAGGGAAACACTACCTATCGCCGGTTCCTTGGGTCATCATCAACATCGACGAGACCCGCCGCACCGCAGACGCAGTCCCACAGTACGACTCCCTCGACCACAAATTCGACCAACTGCAGGGCATTCCAAGGCCCGTTGATGACCCGAACATCCTCATTGGCGGCTACGCATATAAGCATGAAATCGTTGCTGGCATGACGACTGCCCAGATCTTCTTGGTCAACGGTGCATCCGATCTCGCATTGGTCAGAAAGGGTGTCATGAATGACTGGACTCCTCAGCGCTATGTTGCTGAGGGTCTGGGGATTGTAAGTACTGATTTCAGTATTCGAGGTGGTGACTGATCAAGTCTTACAGCCGTTGAAGGACCGGTACGAAGGGCTTGAAGCCAACTCGCTCGACGCCTTCGTGCGAAGGTGGACAGAAGCTGTCATCAATACTCGGTGTATATCTTCCAAACAAGCGCACTACGGGAACGCTCGCTACGCAGCTGCTGACAGACTGACTCCCACTGACCGCGCGGAGAAAGAAAAACCGGACGTGCGAAATCCGCTCCCTCACATCATCGCCCAGCTTCGTGCGTGTGCACTCAGCACCGCCGAACTTCGCCTCGCGTTGGGCCCAGAAAGGCGTGCAAAGAACGGCAGACACCCGGTCTCGAATTCTACAACGACGACGTAGGCGATCAAGGTGCCCGCGACTGGGGCTTGGACGATGGCTTGGGTGCCATGGAGCGCCGTAGCAAGCGGCCCCTCGAGGACCACGATGGCGAACGCGGGCGGGTCTGAAGGAACATCAAGATACGCCGTCAGGAATTCCTGGGGAAGTCCTTGCAGCACACAATTCACAAGGCCCCTATCGCTCTGGCTGCTGACGACACCGAGTACTCTCCATCCGGCGGTAACAAGGGTGGCGGTGACTGCGACAAGCTCAACGACGAAGACTACCAGGACTCGGAGCAGTTCGTCCCGCAAACCACGCAAGGGAAGCAAGAGGAACAGAGGTGAAAGCAACACTACATGAATCCGAACTGGTCGTTGACTTGCTCTATGTTTGCCTGGCAGGCTGCCTTCGTACATGGTCTCGTTTACTCGTTTCCCGCTCGAGATTATTATTGTCTACCCAATTTTGTACAACCGTTGTGTTAGTAGCTCTACCCCATATTGTAGCATACTTCGACCTGTCGTGGATGACCACATGTCTTGTTATGCGTGTACCCTGCGTTTGCAGGTGTGCGGACGCGCTGAATGCATACTATCGTGAATCACTGTTGAGAGACCCTACATATCGCATCCAACTCGGGGAGGTTCTTCCACCGGATCCGGATCTGGCCGCCTTCGAACGCACCTCGATTCTCATGCCGCCGGTCTACGAATGATGTCACGCGCGGCGCCGAACGGATGCGTGGCGAGGCTTTCGTCCCTCGGCCGCAGAAAGCACCCTTGCACTCGCCCACCACCTTGCCCTTGCCCGTCATGTTTCGAGCAAGCTTCGTCTCTTCGTTGCGACCTCTCACAAACCCCCTAGTCTTCCAGGCCGCGCGGCACCCTCAGGCCGCGGCATGCGATCCTTCAGCAATGCAAGACCCAACGTACTGGCCGCAGTACACAAGCGGTCGACCCTTCCTTCGGCTTTCTTCGTCAGGCAGTCGCGCACTTTCCTGACCGACTCTGCTCCTGTGGTTACCCGGCCTACCCAACAGGAGGCATGGAAGCGCTATGGCATCACAGCCGTAAGTCCTCTGTTTATGCGGGAATCACAGCAGACTGAATATGCCCGCAGGCGACCGTTGCAGGGACCATCGTTGCAGTGAATGTCTTCTTCAACAGGGAGACAAGAGATGGGCTCTCCTCGGCGGAGCAGTCCTACCTGCATGAGAGCTTCATGTATGCCGGAGGCGGTCTTGCGGTGACCGCTGTCGCCGCCCGTTCGCTCTTCAGGTCAGGCTTCGCGTTCCGCCTCATGGCCACCAACCCGTGGGTTGTCCTCGGTGTCAGTCTGGTCGGAAGCATTGGTACTATGATGGGGACCATATACACATCTCCGGAGAACAAGGTCTTGAAGCACGCATTCTGGCTTGTGCGTGCTGATAACCACTGAGGACGACCTTCACGGATACTAACTGCAATTGTATAGGGTTTCAATGCTTGTCAAGCGGCAACGCTTAGCCCGCTGTTCTTCCTGAGCCCTGCCATTCTCTCTCGCGCGGCTTTGTACACGGCCGGCGTGTTCGGTGCCTTATCGTACGTAGGTGCGACTGCCACCAACGACAAGTACCTCTACATGGGCGGCCCGCTGCTTGCGGGTGTCACCGTTGTGGCGCTGAGCTCACTCGCCCCTATGGCCCTTCCTCTCGGCATGCGCGGTTTGGCGATCTCTGAGGCTATCTCGCTCTACGGAGGCCTTGCGGTGTTCAGTGGTTTCATTCTCTTCGAGTAGGTCAAAGTCTCCTGTAGCGCAAGCTTGTACTGACCGTCTTTGTCCATAGTACGCAAAAGATCCTCCAGCATGCTCGCGTGGCTGAGACCGGTGCCATGACGCGCGACCCAATGCGCGAAGCAATCAGTCTTGAGCTAGACCTGATCAACATCTTGTGAGTCTCATGCGTTGCACGTTATATTGCTCTGACTTACCGTATTGTAGCATTCGCATTGTCCAGATCCTGACGATGCAGCAGAGCAGGAAGAAGTAAGCTCATGGCTGCTACCTCCAGTACGATACTTTGAATGGCTGTATCAATACGTTGTTAATGTATCATCTACTTGTCAGTAATTAATAGCCCGATCATCGAGTTGACCACAGTCCACGGTATATGTGCTCGCCAGGCTCGCCTTTGTTGAGCGGAAGGTTTGGACAGCACAGAGAGATGAGCTGCGGTTAAACATATACCAGTCAGTTGCATCATCCGAGCCCCTGCAGAACCAAGAATGCTATTTGAGTCAATAGTGTAGCGTCCAGACTTCAAAGCCTCAACCCTGTGCTCCCGACTTTCCCAAACCCTCCAATACCTGTACGAATCCTCCGGGATCCAAAATTTCCGTACCACCGTACGTGACCCTCTTTCCCATCCGCTTCGCCCACTCCTCGAGGTTGCCATACTCGACGTACCCAGCGCCGCCAACGACGAACACAGTCCCATCTGTGAAAGCCATCCGCTTCGCTCGTCCGCCGGTCGTAGCAGCACCCACCGGGGCATTCACGCCAGACAGGCCGAGTCCAGCAGCGTTGCGAGGGGCGCGCGGATCGAGGAAGAGGTACTCGTCTGTCTCCTGCAGTGACTGGTTGGACGCGGCGGACGACTCCATCAGTGCCTCTGCCAGACGCGTCACTGGCAGGAGCTTGTTCGCCGGCAGGAAGTTCTTCACGCCGGAGATTAGGTTCTCCAGGCCGCCATCCTTCAGCCTGTCTGTGAGCTGCAATACAAGTCCGTTTGTCAGCGCCCGTCATGCCATGTCCGATGTCAGACTGACCCTGCTGCTCAGGGCGCCGAAACCCCTGAAGAGCTCGCCGCCGGGCGTGTTGCCCGCAACGTTGGGCGTAGAGGTTCCGCCCATTGCGCTCGGCACAGTCATCCGTGAGATCTCTCGTGTCCGTCTGACATACTCGAACGCGGCCACGTCTGCCCCTGCGGCCTTCAGCTCCTTCTCAAGCTCGGCAATATCAGTCTTGGAGATGGCGTTGTCGGGGCAGGAGAGGTAGAACACGAGTACGAGTCGGAGCTTGTCGAGGGGTGTCGGGTTGGCACTATCCTTCGGATGCCGCAGGGTTTCCAGAACCGTTTGGACGGTCTACAGCGCAGGACAACATCAATTAGTGAATACGGCTACGGGGCTATTCACGCTTACCTGCTTATTGATGGCTTCTTCTGTGCTGAACAGCTCATCAAGTCCACGCTTCTTGATCTCCTCCAACAGCGCCGTGGCGATGTTCATATGCGTATCCAACACTGCCTTGCGTGCCGTGAGTTCAGGTAGAGCGGTAATGGCCGTCTTCAAGTGGGTGGCGTTGGCCGACAGATCCCTGCCGATGTCCGCACATCAACGTCGAACATCACAATCATGCAGCGAGGAGCAAACGCGGCAGCGCAAGAAAGCAGACCTACATCTGTGCGATGTCGCTGACATCGCTGACGCCCGTAGATCGTGTAATTTCCGCCGCGTCCTGCTTGTACCGATTCAGCTCCGTGTCGATGTCCTCCGCGACTTGTGGGAATGGGTTCGCCGCGTTCTTCGCCCAAAAGAAGTCCTTCGAGTCGAGGTCGTATGAACGCTTCTGTGGCTGTGAGACGACAACGCGGTTAAGCTTCATCTCGAGGCAATCTGAGGCAAGCGCTTGATACGTCCACCCATGCGACATCATGGGGACGAGATCCACGTTCCTGTCGAGGATAAGTAGCACTGGACGGCGACCAGCGGTGTCATTACCGAAAACATAACAGAGGCAGTGTAATGCGCTTACGAGGTCGCTGCAAATTTGATAGCCCCGTCGTATCTTGCGTGAATAGTGAGGTGGTGTGCGAGCGCGCTGCGGACAGGATGGCATCCCGGATTTTTGTCTCGAGTTTCTTTGCAATCATCTCCGCAGCGTTTCCCCTTGGGCATCGTATGATTGGGACATGGCCTTCACCGAAATGAGGCAGAATGGCCGGAGGATGAAGGGTCGTACGTACCCATGGTCGCTACGACGCTGAACAATCCACTCGCTATACGTTCTATCTCTTCTTCGATCTGCTGTTCGCTTGATGACGGGGAATTGAGGAGGGTATATGTCGAATGGGCTTGCGAAGAGCCGGATTGCTGCGGAGTGTTGGGTTCAGAGGCAGACGCGGCCGTCGGAGGCGGAAGGAGTGAGAATAGCGAGGGTGAAGGGGCGATGAACGAGAGGTATTGGTCAAGAACCTGCGTTCCATTCGGTGCTATCGTTACTGGAGGCAACGTGAATAATGATGAACGGACGTACCTGCTCTACGAGCTCTCCTGTACCATCCCGCGCCACCGCTGCAGCAAGCTCTTCAAGTAGTGCTCTGGGCAACGGCTCCACAAAGTTCAGATGAAACGACTCGTATAGGCCCTTCTCCAGGTCTTGCGCCATGCGCCGGATGTTGGTCAATGTCGGGGATACGAAGTACACGGCCGGCACGTCTGGTAGTGGCGGCCGGTTGGAATGCAACTGTCTGCAGGTCATGTAAGTCCGTATGTCTCCTGTCGCATCTTACGCGGGCAAACGCACACATGAAGCGTCACTCCGACATCTCGCAGGTCCTGGACGCGCAGCACTGTTGCAAGGACATCCTTGGTGTGCTGATCCAGAACGAGAACTTTCCATACGGGGGGACCGGCCTGAACAGGCGTCTTGGTTGACGATGCATGCTTCGGCGGGTTTGCGAGAGGGTTACTTGGTGGTTCCACCGCATTGTTGAGATTTAGCAGAGTGAGGAGAGCATTGGTCTGCGACTCTTGCAGAGTGGGCGCCGTCGCCGTCGGCTATAACCTCTCATGAGTACGAACGCTTAGTCTCCACGGAGAGTAGCATACCTGCTTCACGGCGGTACTGGCCATGGGAGCTCAATGCCGACCACGAACGCGTATGTGAAGCTCGCCAATGGGATCCTGTAATGTCCGAGTGTAGCAAGCAGCGGTGAATATGTATGTGGAAGCAGCAAAGCGCAGTGGATGAAGATGGTAATATGTAGTATAGCGTCAGACTTCAGAGTACACCATGCTACAACGCGGACACGTGGCTGCGTTATTATGGGCGCCTAAATGTGGTCACCGCGAATCGCAACCTAACTTGGCCGCGTACTTATACTTGCTTCGACCACAGCAAAACATAGACATACGTTCCGCCGTCTTTCCAGAGAATGTTGGAATGTGCCTTTGTACGGCTTCTTTATGTCCGGACCCTACACTGTGGTGCATCTACGTATGCCCACTAGTGGTCCTGTCAATCACAGGTGCAATCAATATAGCCCGTCGTTTAAATCACCACCGCCTCCGTCAGCGCAGCCTGTTGTCAAGCCCATCGCGACGCTGTCAAATTCGAAGCCCTGGTGATGCGAAGGCCAAGCATCTTTCTCCGATTCGCTGGCTGGTGTCATAAAAGTCGGCACCGACACTGATCTAGCTCTCCAACCACTCGAGGTTGATCCTCCCCAACCGTGTGCTAGTGCATTTGACTTCGGGCTTCAAAGCAAGGTATGCTCTCCTATCGAGGTCTCTGGAGCGACTGATTGAACACTCACCTATCTCAGACATGGGTTGCGCGCAAAGCAAGCAGGGAGCGATGTTTGAGGGAGGGCCGCCCACTCCCAAGGAGAAGTGGACGCATGAGCGCGAGTCCAAGCCTCTGCTGCACCCCAAGGTCTCCCAAGTCAAGTCGAGACATGCTCAGCTTCTTCGTCGGTGTCCCTCTCCTGTCCTCACTGAAGAGCCCGCTCCGTGGGTCACTGGCCACAAAGTGTTGGTACAGAAGGATGGAGAGTTCTTTATCACAGCGTCGTTCAGCGACGTTCAGTGACCATTTGATGCCGCACACGAAACATGAACGCGTTACACGCTAGTAAGATAGGTGCGCAAGTCTTCCTGTCCTCTCATCTCTGTGATGTTTAACGCGTACTCTTAGTTCGTCTTCACACACGCCTGGGCTTGTTTCCCCATATTTATCCCGTTCGTTCAACCGACCAAATCCTAGTGACATCCGCTCTTTAATCCAACCTATCGGACAGTATGTATATAGAGCAGCGTACCACAGTCGACGCTCGTGTCTATCGCATTGCATTCCCAGAGTGCTCCACGCTACCAGTGATGTGCCTGCCCAGATCTTTGCCAGTGGTGGATTGGGCGGTCTAACCGTTGCAACTGAGAACCGGACTCGCTGTAAGTACTTATGAGTGCCTGACTGTCGCTGGGAGATGGCGGTGGACAGTGACGCGCGCGTTTGGGACGATAGACGTAACTCTCTCACGCACGGAGGGCGGCCCCGCGGTGTTCTTCGCGTTCATTTCTCGCTTTTCGAAGTCATCGCGCACCCACCTTCTCTCTGGCACTGCAGACTCGCTAGGAGTCCATGCGCGGCCCACCTACCATTCCTGTCCTTCCTTTGGCTTCACGACCTCGACAATCTGACGACACTCATGAGAATGCCAGGGGAGCATCCTGGAATACATCCGACGAGAACCTTGTATTACCTTTCCCTGCTGGACCCTCAGGCATGTCTTCTGACGCCCTCTCTCCTCCGACCGCGACACCCGTCGCAGCTCGCGAGACTCTCGCGTCCGCTCCGATACGCGTCTTGTCCTCGCCGACCATGCCAATAGACGAAGCGTTACCGCGATACGCTGCTAGCGATCCCAGCGAAGACGCGATACCCGGCCCTTCTACTCTCCGCGATACACCCTCTGCTTATGCGACACCATCTCTTCATGAATCTCCTCTGTATAATTCCTCCATAGATCCACTTGTCATGCAACCCACCATCGACCAGTCATACTTGCGATTAATCCGTGCGCCGCCGCCCGATTCGCCGGTATGCATCGGCCATGGCCTAGATGTACCTGCTATCGGTGTACTTTCGACGCTCGTTCTGCCAACAGCCATTGGGCTAGTCATCTGGGTGAGTGGTCTTTGCTCACCATCGTATGACCCACACCGTACCAACTACGGTTGAAGTTACTGTTCGCCATCCTGCGACCACGCTTCCGCCAAGTCTACGGGTTGAGAGAATGGTTTCCACCCCAGGGGTGCGTGGTGTTTCATCTGCTCCGCCAGGGTGTCTCATGAGTCGCCAGCCTTCGCTCAAAACCTCTCGGACCATCACTATGGGGGTTCCTATGCCTTGACGCGCCCATCGTATCCTCCATCCCCGAGGGCGTCATTAGCGCGGGCAAATCCCCAGCTAGGGACGCTGAATTATTCCCCTCCGATGAAGAGCTGAGCAAAAGGACACTCTGGACAAGCATCCAGGTCGTAGCCATCTGGTCATTCGTAGGTCTGGGCGGCCTATTGCCGCTGTACATGGCAGCGACGCCGTGCATAGCGAGTTCCACGTTGCCCTTCGCCTACCGCGGACAGTACTCAACTCTCCAGGACCTCAGCCTGATCCGGTTGCTTCAACTGCTTGACGACACGACCGGCGGATTCAGCATAGCCCCTTATGTCCGCATCCGCCTCATCATACTGACCATATTCGCGATAGTACTGACGCTGACGCCCGCTCTGTGGCTGCTCATGCGCGAATTCAACAAACTCGTAGCATACCGTGAGTGCTGGGTGAACGTGCGCTGCCAGGGCGTTGAGTTGGGCTGGCTGAGCGCGCGTCATGCCCCAGGCCTGGTCGGCTGGGGTGAGAAACGCGTGAAGGAGTTCGTCGTAAAGGCCGGATTGAGCTCGACGTTGGAGGTGGACAATGGTGACGGAAACGGCAATGGGAAACGTCGCAACAGGCGACGAAACACCGCAGGCTGGAGCGAGGCAGAGAAGGGACAACTCGATGTCGACATTCAGAGCCTCTTTTCCATTGGGTGAGTGTACCTAGAGCTGTCGATAATCCGTGTATATAATGTCTTCCTTCAGTGACACCACTCAGCTTGCGCTCTTGATCGACGAGCGCGATGAGATTTTGGAGAACTGGAGATCGCTGAAGCGAAGTACATACGGAGCTTCCGCCTGTCAACGCCCGACCCATCTATTGCCGACTTCCAGCCTCATCTGTCCACGATAGCCGAGGAACCTGGAACATCCACGAGGCCCGTCATTAGTCGACCGCGTCCGCTAGCGGGACAGGTCAGTTGCACAGACCAATGTCGTCATACAGTCACTAACATGGGCCAGAATCGTCGCAAACGGCGGCGCGGCAGGAATCCTGCGTTCGGTTCATCATCCCTCCCTCCCACATCGTATGTCATGCCTTCTCAGTATTACAAGCTGCGCGGAGTATCAGGCATTAGCGGCGGGCAGTTCACAGACGTTGACCAAGGTGTCCCGTCCCCTGACCGCGGACCCAGCCTGACTGATTCGTTCAATCAGCGAGTCGTAGGCAGCCGCTTCCAGGAGGTGAACAGTAGCAATCCTACCATCGGCCTGATACCCATGGGCAGCCAGGTGGCAGTCAACAGAGACGGCAATCTGGAAGCAGTGCGCACGCCCGAGACCGCAACATTGGATCAACAGTGGGGCGGTGACAGGCACTCGTCGTGGGACACATCCGGGTTCAATGACGCAACCTCGCCATACGCACAGCTGCTACCACACACGTCCCAGGACCATATGCTCTCAGAGTCCGAAGATGACTGGTACGACGTCCTCGAACAAGATCCGGAAGCGTTTGATAACGCCGAAGAGTACCCAAAGAGCTCACGCAGACGGCCGCGACCCCCTCGACAGACGGGCGTGGAGCTGCAGCGCGAATCGTTTCCTCTGAGAAATCGCGAGGCGAAGACAGGAGAGGACGTCCCACCGCCCCATCTGCGATTGCAGCCGAGGCAGCCATTCGTGCGCCCGCAGTCCGGCGTCGACCACGGCGCGCTCAGCGCGATCTACGCGGACATAAACCAGTGGCGGACGAAGCTGAAGGCGATCAACCTCGAGATATCCGAGGTGCAGACGGAGAGCTACAATGACATCGCGGACGGCGCGCGCATCAAGGGTTGGCTCATGATCGGCCGTGGTCTGCGGTACATACCGGGGATTCAGCTCATCGAGGGTCGGGCCAAGGAAGACATTCGGTGGGATGAGCTGCAAAACGAGGGCAGCACGATGCGTAGTGTTGGCTTCTGGACGGCTGTCGTGACCTTCGCCATAATACTGGCCGTCATTCGTACGTCAGGCATGCTGCCCGAAGCGTTCCCAAGCTAACGTCCAATTCAGTGACGCCGGTGGCCGCGCTGTTTCTAAGTACGGCCCCAGACTTTGCACACTACTTCCCATTCTTGATGCGTCTGAATGAGGGGCAGCAATTTGGAGCTGGAATCGCTACAGACCTAGTACCCGCCCTGCTCGTCGTCCTGTTCATCGCCGTCATCCTGAAGATCGTAACCTGTAAGAATCACGCCCTCAGTTCCCGTAGCGCCGACCAACTGAGTCGTTTTTAGATATCGGGCAACTGTTTCCTTCAGTTTCGCTCTCCGGAAGTCAGCTGCTGATGTTCAAGACGGTGTTCTACGTCCTCACGGTGGTCGGAGGCATTGCGCTCTTCACGGCAGGCGCAGTGCTGTTTGCAATGCACTCTTGGAGCATCGACATCGGTGATAGCGCCTCCGTAGCCGACGGGATTATCTACATGAGCATGCTCGCCCTCCTCCTGCTTTTGGCCGTAGCAGTCGTATTCCCCGGCTTGCTTCTGCTGCAGCCGATCCGGTTGATCCGCGTGGTCCGACATGAGAGGGAGGCTATCACCTCCAGACAGCGTTTCCGAGGTGAGTCTAACGAACATCTCTGCTCAGATGACCGACCTGATTACGGGATAGCTGTCTACCCCACGACGTACAACCCGACGTATGCGCTGAGCTGTTGCGTGCTGGCGTTTGCTTATGCCGCTGCCTTTACGCTGTTGTTTCCGCTTGTGGCCCCGGCGGCATTACTGCTGCTGCTTCTAACTCTGATCGGTAGGTTGAGTTTACTGTCCGTGATCCGATGCTTCTAACCTGGTTGCTCATTGCCAGCGCACCGCTTCTTGATCGGTCATGTTCACGGTCGGACACACTCCTCCACCGGCGGGCTCTTGCAGATATGGCTCGTGCGCAGATTGGGCACTCTGCTTGCTTTCCAACCGCTTATATTGGGCCTCATTCCTCTTGAGCAGAGATCTCTGGATGAGGGTGGCATCCTGTGCGGGTTCGCGGTGTTCACGTCCATCTTCGTCGAGTCCTATACGGCCTGGAGGACCCGGCTGCCTGGCCCGCGCTCACTGAGCCTATCACCCAGATTCGTTGGAGACCTTCGCGCGTACTGCACGCCGGGGAAGAGGGGGGTCGCGGAAGAGGAGAGCCTGAGCCTCGTGAGCTCTGCGAGGAACACCGGATGCGCGGTTCGTTTGCGTCGATCCTCGACATGATGTCCTTGACCCTCGCAGTCGTCCCTCGCCATCGGAAACGAGGGGACCCGTCCCGCTGCGTGAGTCGCGCCCTTCTCTCTTCCGTCTGAGACCTATGCTAATCGCGTGCTGCATATGGGTGTAGCGACGGAGACGCTCGACGACCTGACCGCCACGGAGCGTGCTGCCGCACACATCCCGACGCGCCTCCGCACCTCCCTGCGCTCCCGTTCGCCGACCACGCCGAGGAGATGGCTGGCGTGTTGTATGCGCCCGAACTGCTGGCGCCCCCGCCTGTCATTTGGCTGCCGAACGACGCGGGCGGGGTGGGACGTTCGGAGGCGTATGACCTCATGCGGTATCATCACCTGCAGGTGACGCTCGATGTCCGGCGAAAGAGGACGTCATCCTCCATAGACGGTCTTGTCCTCGCAGACACGCCGCACCAGGACAGGTCATAGCCACCGACCTGCGGCCTCATGGACAGTTCCTGTTCTCCGTCTCACCTCGCCGAACCCTTGCCCACCTACCCTTGATTGCTTCCGACGGTGCTGCCATCTGCTGTTGTTTCATTAAACTTGGTGATATGTGTTTTGTATTCATGCTCATGCGGACTGATAGACCGCTCTTGATGTTTGTCACGACCTGTTGTACTGATGATATTACTGATACTGATGATTACTTACTGACGACCCAGAAACTGTACGGTACCGAGATGGCTTGTGACTAATGGAAGGACAGTTGCGTAAATGGATGCGCCGGAGCTTACTTACGTTGTGCAAACACGCTGTACGGAGACGACGCCCTGTAGTTGCAGTGTAGTGCCCTTGCTGGACTCGTCGAAAGGCGCAGAGCTCGCCGCTGTGCGGAGCCGGGCCATAATTGGTCCCTGTGAGTATACGTTGACGTGCAGAAACACGCACTCTCGGTCTTCACTAAATAATCAGATTGGTCTAAGTAGGGGCATCATACATGATCGCAGTTGCAGCACTTTATCACGGCAACGTCGCAGTCTTCTACCCCATGTCAAGGATGGTCACTGTATACCATGCCGCTGAAGATCAGTATCAGAAAGCGAGCTACTTAGAAGTCACCGTTACGAGAATCCGAGGGGGAGAAGAGTTTCTGCGACGAGATAGGGCCTCGGGGCTGAGAGTGAAAAGTAGCGTGTCGATGACATGTGCTGCATCCTTGTGGTGGTCTGGCTCAAGGCTCCCGGTAAGCGACGCAGCTGCGCAGGGACATGGTTTCATCATTGTTTGCTCGTTGCTGACTGGGAGGCACATGCGGGGCATTGATAGGCCTAGGAGTAGCTATGAGCACATGCTGGAGAGAAAGAGAGAGGGTACAACCCTGGCACCCCGGAGTCGGCGGGAGATATCAAGGAATCGGGGTGGCCCCCGGACGGGCAATATGTAAGTGCTGGTGCTGGGGAGAACATATCCAGGATGTTACGCGATGCGCCCGATAACACCTCGATTAAATATTTCCGCCAGGCTTGGCAGTCGCAAGTGCAGAGCAGTGAGCGACGACGAGGACAGGCCGAGGACGATCGCGAGCGAGACACATGGGCGGAGCAGTGATGGGCGGTGGCTGGCGGTGGCTGGCTAATGTGGCCAGCCGGGCGTTGCGTCACGGCTGTCACAGTGGAGCAGAAGCTCGCGGCCGTTTCAGCTGACGTCCCGCCGCGAGCGCGACGACGGGGCCTTTCACTTTCAGACTTGGCTTCAGCTTCACCGTCCCGGCCACCCCCGAGACTAGCGCACCAGCCCCTCTCGCCCGGCCGGACGTTGTGCGGTGCATGGGAGATAGCAAGGAAAGAGAGACACGGAACAGACGGGGAGGGCATGGCGCAGCCGGCTGCAGCTGGTGGGGCAGAAGTAGGCCAAGCGGTGCGCGGCAGGCAGCGCCTGTCGGCCGTTACCCGGTGCACACGGGCCACGCAGCCGGGATGATCTGTGGGCGTGAGCGATGGCCGCCAAAGAGAGGTGGGAGTGCGCGATGGAGCTCTGCAACCGGAGAACGCACCCTCTTTTCAGGGTAGCCACCCTCGCCCACCTAAAAGCTAATCGACCTCGGGCCCTGTCCCCTCCCATACTTATCCTGCCGTCGTCTCGTCGCCCCGGCCCAACGGGGCTAGTCCCACCCGCCGCTGCCCTCGCCGCGAACTCCGCCCTCTACAGCCCGTCCGTGCTCTGATCAGCATCGTGCACCGTCTGCGGCCGCCCTCTGCATGATGCTGGCAAACGTGTCCATGCACCCAGACCACCCCGACATCGATCCGTTCGTCCTCTACGCGCAGTCGCTCCACGACTATACCCTCCGTCTCTGGACCGAGTCGCGCCGCGTAGCAGAGGAAAAGGCCCGCGCCAGAGCAGCAGAGATCGCATTGGCCAGGAAGCGGGAGGAGGAGAGGCAGAGACAGAAGAAATTGGGCACCCACCCCGCCGCCCAGGCGACCAAGTCCAACAACTCCGTCTGAGGGCCGTCCGCTCTGAAGAGCGCGACCCATACATTCCACCCGCAATTGACCCTCCGATGGCGCCTTGTCGGCCGTCGACGCGCACATGTCATCAAGCCATCTGCAGCACCCCCTCGGTGCGACACCCATCACCTTGCCTGCCGCCGCTGTCGGCCGCAGACAACCGCATACACGTTCACGCCCACACGGCCGTCGACTCACCTCTCGCTGCCCCCGGTACTGTACATATTGCGCCTTTGCACCACACACTACGAGCGCGGTCTCTGCACTGTACCATAAGTCCACATATCATATCGTCCTCGTAGCTGAATTATACCTCGTACCTAGGATTCCTGTCGTGTTGATCTTCCTGTCATCCCCGTCCTCATCTCGCTCTCCCCGTCTGTATCGTCGCCATCGCATTGCCCTATCTTACGACCTCTGCATCTCGCCTGTAAAGTCAATGTGCGCTCCATGCCTATATATTCCGTCATCTTTGGGGTTTCATTCACTTGTACCGCACCCGCTAGACTTCGAATACAATTGGTTGAGACGTGTTATGTCCTGCTTTTGCACGTGGGCCTGAAGCTGCCATCGTATGTCGCGTGCCAGTTGCCTAAACCGTTCAGTGTGGCAGCCAGGTGAGTTGCCCGGAATTGTCGTCGAGAAAGCGCACTCTGATCAATTGCCATATGCCGAGCATAAAGAGGAGAGGGGGAGGACAGACGGCGACGAACAGCCAAGGTCTTTTAAAGCGATACTCTGCCTTTTACTCGCAGCGGTCCAGGCTGGACGGGGCCGCGGCCCTGTGTGCGCTTGTGGTGATCTGACAATTCCCATTTTGGGATGTTTTGCAGGGCAATCTGCGTCCGACAACCATCAGCAGCGGGACACGAGGACAAACGCCGTGCCCAGTGGACTGTGGAATGCTCTCTGCGCGATGGAGAAACCGTCAGCCGCCCACAGGTCAGAGGTTATTTCTTATCGTCCTGCAGGCGGAACGTTGATTGACTGAAAAAATAGTCGTCGTTATAAACGGAACGCCAGTAGACTTTGCAGCACGTTCATCAAGCCATGCGTATGCTCTTCGGCCCAGGGGCAGCGCTCGTCGCCGTCGACCCGCATCTCACTGTGATTCGTGAGAACGGTTTCTGCTGAGGCCGTCTGTGCCTATGATTACGGCACTAGTCACGCACGTTCGAGGAAATCGTTGAGCGCGTTCCCTCGCACGGGCCCCTTCCTCGCTTCGACCCAGTATTTAATGCGTGTGTGAGGCCATTATGCGGGGGCTCAGCGAGCGACGCGCACAGTGGTTCTGACCGCTAGAAGTTCACCAGCATCCGGATAGCCATGGCGCGTAAGGTGCTCGGGGCGTTCAGTGTCTCCGTTCTCCCAGCGATCGTCGCAGCCCAGGCGAGCGGGACGCTGCCCACCGCGTACACGCTCTCTGGAGCCTTCCCCACCTCTGTGTACGCCGCGTACTACAACGACCCGACCGCGACCACGGCCGAGCCCCAGCCTGTCATCTCTGACCCCGTCACGGTGAGCGTGTTGGGCTTGGTATGCGCGCGGAGTTCGTACTGAACTGGTTACCTCAGCACGAAGTCTTTCCGTATTGGCTGACGAACCCCGAGACGATTCCGCAGGTGCGCACCCACTTCACCTTTTTCATCTTCAGTTAGGCTCAGCGACTGGTGCGGTTCCACAGCTTGACACGTACGAGGCGCACCCACTTCCCCCACCTGCCGCGGGCTCGCAACTGCTCCAGTATGCGATTCAGCAGATCAGCACGATCGCGAATAGCTCCGTCTTCGCGGGCGACTCGTGCGCTGCGTGTCTGGCCGGGCTCGAGGTCGCCAAGTTCCTCGCGCTCGCCGCGCCGGAGCAGGGCCCGAACCTGGCCGTCGCGCTCTGCGAGGCGTTCGACTACTCGGACGACTGCGCGACGGAGTACGGCGTGTACACCCTGGGCACGCCGATCACGCAGGTGATCGCGTATGCGGATGTGGGTGGTTATGATGGCCAGGTGCGTGGTGATTGGGACGGTGTGTGTGGACCTGGGCCGTTGGGATTGACTTGGCGTTCGCGGTTCGCCGTAGGTTATCTGCCAGCGGTACTTCAGCTCGTGCCCGGACCCAGGCACCAGCCCTCTGGACTTGACGAATTGGTTCGCGAAGCCGAAGCCTAACCCGCTCCCGCCGCCCAAACAGCCCACGGGCGAGCGGCTCAAGGTGCTGCACATGTCCGACCTGCACATCGATCCCCGTCAGTAGTTCGCGTGTTCGTATGATGGCTGGTGGACACGGAAGGCTGATTGGGTTGGACCGCGCATTGACAGGGTACATGATCGGCGCCGAGGCCAACTGCACTGATTACCTTTGCTGCCGTCCTGGCGTGTACAACTCGCACAGCCCGAACGTCACTGTCCACCTGCTCCACGTATGGTGCCTACTCTGGTATGGCATCTTCGAACAACGTCTTTTCTGTTAACTAAGTCGGCTGTAGTGATGCCCGTTTACCCTCATCTTGGCTGCTCTCCAGGCTGTCCCTGTGCTCACCGGAACCGAAGAGTACGGCTTCAACTTCACTATCTACACCGGAGACCTGGTCTCGCACGACCCTGAACAAGAACTGTCCAGGTAAGATGAAGGTTATCTCACACCGGTGGCACTCGACCTGTGGCTGAACTCCCTTGAAGGGCATATACGGTGTATTCGAGACTGTCCTGTACGATCTCTTGAAACGGCAGATCAATCGGGGCCAGTGTATGCCGTGATGGGTAATCACGATACGTACAACGAGTATGTATCGTTATTGAGTGGTTTAACACTGCTAACCATGCCTGGAAATAGGGCGCAGAACTCTCCGTACGACATTGATCCTCTATCAGCGGACAGTTCAACTGGTCTGTCGAGATTCTAGCGTCCCAAAATGTAACGTACTGACTTGAATATAGGGACTACGACCATCTTGCATCACTATGGGAGATTGAGGGCTGGCTCTCCGCGGAGACCGCCCAGCAAGCCCGCACGCACTATTCTGCATACTCCGTGCAGCGTACGGATGGCTGAGGATCATCACCGTGAACACTGACTTCTGTGCGTCTCCTTTGACTGATGCTTTCTTTGACTGACGGTCTGAATCAAAAGGGTACACGGCCAACTACTACAACTACATGAACCTGTCGTCGTCCGAAACTCGGGCATGCTGCGCTTCCTGACCGACGAGCTCCAAGCGCTGAGGACGCCGGTGACCGTGGTACGTGCCAAAATTTCCTACGATGCAGACCCAGTTCTCATGATTGTCGGCGCATCAGCATGGATCCTTGGCCACGTCCTACTGGCTGGGATGGTACTAACGCCCTAAAGAACCGAGAACCTCTGTATGTCATCGTTCCACGGGCTTTTCTGTACCGCCTAACCTTGTGGATCCCCAGCAGTCTATCAGATGTAAGAGCGTCTCCGACGCCCCGTTCTACGTTGTTCTGACCGTGATGGACAGTGTGGATCGTTACTCGCCCCACGTCATCGCAGCTTCTTCTTTGGTCATGATCACGAAGATGAGCTCAGTGTTCGTGCCATCTCTGCTCCCCACACGGTGTCACCGCATTTCTGATGATACTTCAATCAGATCTACTACGCAAACAACGCCACCGATATCAGTGCGGACAACGCCTCGCAGTCTCATGGGTAGGTCATGCTGCTGTATGCCCTCGTAAAATTGAATGACAACCATCATCGATCCAGATCATGCCCTCGGTGACCCCCCTGACGAACCTCAACTCCGGCTTCCGCATGTACGAGGTCGATTCCGGGGTGCGTCCCACTCCAGCATGGTGGCACACTGATGATCCGTAATGCTGACTCCACCCGCGAACTCCGCCAGACGTTCGAAGTCTTGGACTCCTACACGTGAGTGCCCGCGCGACATCAGGGGTGGTCATGCCGTACTGAGCGAACCCGACGCCCCGCAGCTGGTACGCTGACGTCAATTCGTTCGGCGCCCTGGACGGGCAGACGGAGTTTGGGCCCACCTATCAGCTCGAGTACAGTGCGCGCGAGGCGTACGGGCGAGCATCGAGTGGGGCCCTAACGACCCTTTGAATGCGACGTGGTGGCATCTGGTGACCGAGGGTGCGTGGACTCCGCGAGTTCGTCAGAAGGGTACTTACCACGGAGCATCCGAAATCAAATAGCGATGGAAGCGAACTCGACGCTCGTTCAGGTGAGAATCCTGTCGGACTGCGCAATGCAGTTTGAAACTGAATATTGTTTTTATAGCTCTTCAACACGTATCAAGGGAAGAGTTCGGTCCAGTCGCCGGCCTGTACCGGCGAGTGCATACCCGCGAAGATCTGCTACATGCGTAGCGGCAGTGCTTCTATCGCCGCCACAAACTGTCCTTCTGGTTATGGCTCTGTCCAGTAGGGAGCAGGCAGCCCAAAATTCGTGAAATGGTTGGAGACGTGCTGGATTTGGCTTGTCTTTAGCGAATTCGATGTTCACTTCGAAGTTGCGTAAGAAACGACTGATGCATTGTCGATTGCCCGTGGTGATGCAAGAATCTGCATGCGAAGGACTGCTGCCACGCTTACCAGCCTACGTCGGTGAGTAGCTTGGAGCTCTAGTACTAGTTTATGCCGTAGCATAGCGCCCGTTACTTGGCACTATGCATTGTAGGAGTCACACCAGGTCACACTGCTCTTCACGTCCTTCACACTCGCCAGATCTCAATCTTGAGCGCTTACATCTCTACCAGCATGAGTGCTGCGCTGTCAGTCGTGTGCCATTCAGTGATGACTAGTGCGTACTTGCTCTTTGTGGGTTGTACGAAATGCAGACATGGTATTTTTCCAAGCACGCCCGCCTGTAACATGCTTCAAACACTCAGCCAGACCTTCATGCGTGCGGCTCATCACCGCCGCCTTTATTCGAAGGGCCTCCGATGAATGATCCCACTCCGAGGCGGTGTGTGGATCGATTAATGTCTCACTGCTAATCTCCGCAACTAGCGGCCTTCAGTGGCATTGTGGCCCCGCACGTTTTGACCCAATTGTCGTTGCCATGGTTTCCCGCCACACCTGGAAGACCACGGTGGCCACTCGTAGACCCAAATCGGTGCACAATGTGAATGGGCGAGCATAAATACGGCTGGTGTCGATTCTCATGACGGCACTGCATTCGGCGCGTCCTCCCGTGTTCCGTGGCTCTGTGCTCGGAAGGTGAACTTATCATGTCGACACCGACTCGAGGCCAAGCTTTCAGCGTTGTCAAGGTCTGCTTCAAGCCGGACATGTCCTACTCTCTCGCTTCCTCCTCCGGGGCGTACCCCAACCGCGCCGTCCGGAACCTCATCAAGGTCGGGAACCCCTATCTCAATGCACCGGAATGCCATCCAGTCCACGGCAAGAAAGATTACAAGGCCGTCTACAGCGCACAAATGTATTCAACCTCAATATTTGGAGAAGATTCCGACTCGGCGCCGATCGATGTGGCCGTCAAGTGGCGACAGGAGCGCTAGGCATCGACATGCTCCTGAAGGAAGTGGGTTTTACGAGAATCCGCTGAAGATGAGCAGGGATCTCGGTGCCCAAGTTCTAGGGTTCTGTGTGGAAGGGTTGACGACGTGGAGGTCGGGTGCTTATTGACGGAGTGGTGTGGCGGCGAGCCTCATCCCGATCTCTGGGAACGAAAGTGAGTGATGCATCCGCTAGTTCCACCGTCTATCGCTGAATACATGTTGTTTGTGCAGTAGGCAGAAACTCTTCGTCGCAGCGCGAATCCACAACGTTCGCGTATGCCACGGCCGCCTATCGGGCGACGACGACCACTACGTCGCGAGCTCGAAGGACAACACCATGCGGATCGTCAATTCTCGCATGCAAGCTTGCACAACTGCCCAGGCGGGACGCCGCTCATGCTCAACCCGACAATTCCGAGGACACCCCGGAGAAGTGCAGCCGCTGCCCAGAGCTGGCGCTGCTCGAAGAAACGTACGGGCCTGACACTGGCATGGATTCGTATCGGGTCCGACAGGCCAACGGGCTCCGGCATAGCAGCTGGCTTGACGGGTGGATGAGCCGTTGAGGACCTGCGATACTTTCTCGACAATTTTCAAGGATTGGGTGGATGCAAACAGGGTCTATCTATGCGCGACTAGCAATCATGATGTACAATACAGTGTATGATACAGGTCCATTCTATATCATTATCCTGCCAGTGAGCGAGGGGGAACTGATACTAAAGCTCGTCATGCCAAACATCCCATCCAAGCTGATGGCCACACCCCTCCATATGCCCTTCCTTCGGTCCGGGCCCGCCAAACATAGCATGGGACACGTCCGTCGTCAACACCCAGCATCTCCGCCTTGTCTTCGCCACTGCCATCTACAGCCTTGGTCTTGATCACAAACGCCCGCTCGTCCTCGACGTCCATCAGTCCCGCAAGTCCGTCTTCGCCGTCGCCGTCCTCCTCATCCGCCTCGTAGTCCGGATCGAACCGCACAATGCGCACGCCGTTCCCCCAGCTCGTCTTTAACCGTGCGCGCACCGCACACAGCTGCGCGATGCCCTCCCCCAGCCCCGCGCGAACTCAGCGCGGATAGTATCGTGCTTATCCGGGCCAACGGACGCAGGCGGGGTGGTTGCGAGGGACCGAAGGGCTGGGAGGGACGGCAAGATGCGGATCCGTTGGTTCGGAGGCGGAGCACCAGGGGGCGCTCCTGCAGGGAGTTTGGGGAGAACAACCGGGTCCTTCGGCGGGCTGTCGCGGAGGGAGATGGTAGCGGTCGCAAGCCCGCGGCGACCACGCCTTGCGCGAGGCGGGGCAGGTGCCTGCTCCTGTACGACCCCCTCACCCACCTGCGCAGCCGCCGCCCGAGCACGAACGGCCTCGATCCAGAGCTTCAGCCGCTTCTCGCGCTCCCTAGCGTACTTCGCGCCCGCCAGTGCCATCATCTTACCGAGGGCGGCCCAGTGGCCGAGCGCCTCCTCGGGGTCTTGTCCATCGGCGACGGCGCGCTGAGAGACGATGTAGCAGCCGTCGAGAACTAGCGAGCGGAGGCGTCCGAAGCGGCCGAGCATGCCCTCGACGTCCGACTCGAGGACGTTGCAGGTGGACATGTCCAACAGCTCAACTCGCGGGAGGGCATTGGGCAGGGCGTAGAGGAAGCGCGCTGCTTGCCGCGCGGGCACGCGTAATCGGAAGTGGCGGAGGCCCTCGAGGAACGGCGAGCAGGCGAGAGTGGACAGGGGGTCAAGTCGGAAGAAGACCAAGGGTTGGGCAAACTTGGTAGGTGCGATCGAAGGCTCCAGTGGATCTTGCACAATGGAGAGCGTAGGGAGGTCCTCTGCGGGCCAGCGGGAGAATGCGAGAAGAGTTGTGTCGAAATATGCTCCCTTGAGGAACTGGTAGTACGTTGCCCGCTGGACGCTGTTTCACCACAAGGTCCGCATTCATTCCCGCCTGGTCTGTGCAAGTTCAAGGAGACTCACTATGGCCTGAACCGCAACGAAATGAACCTCAATCCATGCTTCGGCTTCTGGAACATCTCCTCCAGGTGCTCCGGAGCAAAATTGGGTCCAATGAGAAGTGACATCTCCCTCATACGGTGTAACAGCGCGATCAGGTTGACCACCACATCCGCATCGACGGTCCAGCACTCCAAGGAGAGGTGCCGGACGCGGTCTGCATCTTCAGGGCTCTTGCGGAGACGAGTGTAGAGCCGGATGACTTGGTTACCGTGCGTCAGACGGACATGCTCGAAGACGAGATAGGATGGATAGGAGACCGTGGCGCAGCTCGTGTCAGAGAGAGGACGGTATGCTGCAGATCCCGAGGCGATATGTGCGATAGGATGGCAATATAAAGCTCGGAGGGCAGAGACTCAAGAGCAGCGACCATGTAGAACTAGAGCAAGAGCAATGCTGTCGCCGACTTACAGCAGCATAATAGCTAGGGTCAATCATGATTATTAATCCGCCCGCTGATGTCATATCTAAGCACGGCCCGGGAATGCAGAGGGCGGTGGCTGGCTCAAATCCAGCTGGACTGAGCCATGTTGCAGCACCCGCATGCGCAGATATCGGCTACGGGCATGCAGACAGCCTGCAGCTCGCGACAATGACAAGTGGTCGGTAGCCTCGTGGGGTGTTAGTTCCCCGTTCGAATGGCATTCTTCGATCGAGCGAGTGGGCGCTACACCTTCTCTCACGCCTCGAGCAACCCTCGCAGTCGCAATGAGGCTCACAGTGCCATAAGAACTCGCAACACCATGTCCAGCCTATTATTCTCCACCTTTGAAGTGACCAAACAAGCATTCTACCGCAACCCACTCACATATGCCATCGTGAATCTCAAGCCAATCGTACCAGGCCGTAAGTAGCATCCGCTGTATGCACATGCCCGCGGTACGGAAGGAAGGTCATGTTCATTCGCCTGACAGATGTACTCGTCATTCCGGCACGTCCGGTTCAACGGCTCTCAGAGCTCAACGCGAAGGAGCTCGCTCGTTGATGTACTCCGTAACCACGTTGGCAAGGTGATCCAGAAAGCATACGCGGCGGACGGATTGACCATCGCCTGCCAGGTGAGTGCACGCGCAATATAATGCCGCCTCGTCATGTAATGCACCCTTTCCGTAGGATGGCAAAGCTGCAGGCCAGACGGTGCCGCATGTCCACTTCCACCTCCTGCCCCGCCGACTGCTCGGCGACCGTTTTGCCAACAACGACGACATCTATCCCGCCGTCGAGAAGGCCGAAGGAGGTCTGTCGGAAGAAGTCCAAGCAGTCCAAGCAGCAGAGCCACTGAAGGTCGATGCGGACGAGGATCGCAAGCCGCGGACCACAGAGGAGATGGAGAGGGAAGCTGAGTGGCTGCGAGAAGTGTTCGCAAAGTACAAAGACGAGGAGCTACAGGTGGACTAGGCTGGCAATACATGAGGAGCCCGGAAGCAGTATGTATTAGCGTGCCGTCTAGAGACATTTATGATACAAGAATGAAGGCCCCATTCATAGGTACGATGAAAAGCTATCCGTACAGTCCGGGTATCATCGATAGACACAATGATATCACACTGATGACCACTCATGCCTTCTGGCTTGTGGCCCCCGGGGTGCCAATGGGAGGGTTGCCCGAAGCAGGGGCTGGTGGCGCCACCTCCGGGAACATATCGTCGTCCCAGGTTCCGGGGACGAGAGCAAAGGTGAGTAGCCAAGTGGCGGTGAGAGTCACGCCGTTTCCTGGGGGAATAAATCAATTTGATGCGCTCGACCGTGTGTGAGGCTATATACACGCACCCTTGTCGAATGCTCTGATCGCATCCCAACTCCACGCGACGAACGCGCCGATATAGCCCATGTACGGAATGATGCGCTTAAACAGTGGCATGGCAGGTCGCATCTGGATGGGGATAGCTGCCATTGGTATGTGATCCAGGAGCCACTTGAGAGCGGTTGTCAATAGTGCAGCGCGCTTGGTACTTTCCATACGTTTGTTGTCCAGAACACCCAAAACCGGCGGCGGTAAGTAACTACACCCTACGGTCAGCAGTCGCACACAGTTCCATGCAGAGGAGTACATACATTCTATATCCCCACCACCGAATCTCCAACGAGATCTTGTCCTTCGACGGCACCCATATCCTCCTCTCCGTAGGCTGCTCCGTCGGAAGTCTATGCCCACCGATCCGCATCCCATCCGCCGGCCACATATGCGCCAGACGCTCTCGTAGTGTTTTCTCCTCCTTCGTCTCCGGCTCGTGCTCATGTATGGTCGTCTGGTCGCTGAACATGGAAATCACCTCCGAGCGTGCAATCTCGACCTCCGAGCTGTCGTCGGGCTCGAGCGGCGCGTACAGCATCATACTCGCGCGATCGTCGTCGTCGAAACGTCCTCACTGGAGGTGCAGAGGCCACTCCGTCTGCTGGTCCCGCAGGTGCCTTGCCCTTGTCTGCGGATGACGTAGACCTCGACATACCCGTTGTGGACTTCAGCCGATCCAGCATGTCCCATACGCTCGCGCGGTCCTTCGCCGCGGAGCCGTTCATGACCTGTGGCGAGGTTATGTACGACATGAGTCGTGAATCTGCGATCCAGGCAGGCAGCGGGAGCTTTGGCAGATGCGCGGGATCCGCCTGGCTGGATGGTACAGTCTCCACGGCTGGTGTCTGCGGCTGGGACGGAATAGGTAGGGTCGCGAGTAGCGCTTGAATCTTGCGTGCGAGGTATGAGGGCTCCGGGGCAGGCTCTGAGTCTGCATGCCCGTCTTCTCCTTCAGCTTCTGGGGACTCCTCAGGTACATCCGCAACCGCTTGGGGCTCAGCGGTTGTGGGGGTGGCAAGGAGGTCCTCGCGCTCTATGAGGATGGTTTCCGGCGACCCTGACCGCACTGGCGCATCTGTAGCAACACCGATGTTACCTTCCACCGCTGGTGCATCTGCCTGCGACGTGCTCGAAGATGCAGCATCTGCGGAATCAGTCCAATGCGGGGGAGGAAACTGGGTAGTCCCGTCACTGTTCCTCCTCCCGAGTTGCATGAATCGCTCGAAAGGCGTGAGCTTCGTGTTCGCACGTCTGCGGGTGCTCGACATGTTGCTGGACGATCCGAGGCTCAGAGCGGACGAGATATAACTCAAAGAACGACCAAGCTTGGAGGAGTTTCGCTGCAGTGGACGTTTCGTGTGCGAAGGAGAGGCGCCATTTGTGTCCGCAGGGGAGGCCATGGCGCACGGATCCACATTCTAGTAGCGCACTATGACGAAAGACGTTGGCGATCGCCCTCTTGCACCAGGCAACCGATGTCGGGAAAGCTCAAGAGGAACATACATATGCAATAGCCGATACTCACAATGCCTGCCTAGCTCAATCGGATAGAGCGTCAGACTCTTAGTGAGCCTGAAATGGCAAGCGGAATCTGAAGGCTGCGAGTTCGACCCTCGCGGTGGGCTACTACGTTTTTGTTACGCCGCGTGTGGCCTTCTTGACTCATTTTGTCACAAGCACAGGCATCTCATATATACGGTCGACTCTAGATACTTCTACATATCGCATGCAGTAGCAATGGAAAAAAATATTACATATGAGAATGGAACGAACGTAGCGCAATGCGTGCATACTTAATGCCTGTTCCGTCCGACCAGCAGACCAATCACGAATAGACCGTCACCGCAGTCAATAGCCTTCAATAGCCTTGAATCGCCCAGCCGCCAGCCGAGCAGATCCCTAGGCACACCTCCATTGTGCTCACCTCTTCACAAGGTTCGGGCGAGGGGCCTCGCTCGAAAGCGGACCCATCCCAGTGGTTCGGACAATGGTGCAGTTGCGCCGTCGAGAAATCCACGATGCGCACTCGGCCGTCTTGAGAGTACAGGAAGTGGCCCGCGTCTCGCAACTGGCCGTGCACAATGCCCTCGGCGTGCAAGCGGTAAATCGCTGACATGCGTCGGCGACTAAGGACGGTCAGCGCGCCGTTCGCGATGGGAAGCATATATCTACTCACTTGAGCTCTTCTCGCTTGAGAGAGTATGAGTTGTTGCACCGCTCAAGAACGAGACAGCCTGACACTTCGCCGTCAACCTCTCCGGTGAAGAATCCGTAGCAGCGGGGGACGACATCGCCCTGTAAGTGCTTGAGCTTGCCTTTGTACAGGGCAGCTTCGTAGCGCATCTTCTCCACCCCCAGCGATCCGCGAACCCACTTCACGGCGACCTCGATAGGGTCCGCCCGACTGCGGGCGACGGGCGACTGGTACGTTTCGAGTGTGGCGTGGTAGACCTGGCTGACGTTCAACGCCCCTTGAGTGGGTCCGACGGGCGTAGCGTCTGCGCAGAATTTCCACTTGGAGGCTAGCTTCACGTAGGCGTCCGGAGACTTCTTGGACGGCGAGTGGAGCCGGACTGCAGTAGACTCATCGAAGATAATGTCAAGGGTCGATCCGGCAGTCATGGCGATCGTCCGGGAGGGGGGAGTGGAAGGGGTGAAAGTGGAAAGGATGAAAGGGATGCAAGAGCAAAGCACGGATGTCAATGACGAACAGCGGTGGATACGGAGCCCTTATAACCATGGATACACATGTTGGCCACGCTAGCGTCATTGTCGTCTTTCTTTGGGCACAACTCAAGGCATTATTGGCCTTTCTTCGCATGCGAGTGGCCCATCAAAGGTCAAAGCGTCGACCACGAGTCACAGTGGCTCAAAGACTGGACCACACGCACCTTCCGAAACAATTGCGTAGAAGACACGCGAAAGTTACCATTGCATTGTTGGTCGGTGCCTCTTGCAGACCGAATGGGTTTCCATAGTCTCTCCGCCAGGGCCACTGGCCACAGCCCATTCGCGGTCACGTGGGCGTCCCTTAGGTATCGCCCTGTGCCCACTGGCACGCGTCGACCACAGGTCCGACCGCCACTGCGCACAGGCTGTCCGGGAGATTATGAGTTGGGGTGGCATTGATGTACGACGCATCGATGGGCCTTACTGTACATGGTCCTGCAGTATGATACACCTATAAGTACACGGGCAAATACAAACAACATACCAAGATCCGTTTAGAGCGGCGAGATCATGTTCCTTCACTACAGACCGGTCTTCCATTCCGAATCGACGACCTGAATGCCCCTACGGGAAAGCCTACGCCGCCACTCGACCATCTCCCCTTGTGTCCCCGCTTGTTGCGCATGTAGTGACATGCCTGGCCGGAGCCACCGCACATCGCGTGCCCGCACGATCTTGAGCGCCGGCATCTTCGGCAGCAGCGCCTCTAGCACGCCAGGAACTCCGAGTTAGGGCGAGGAATGGAAAGGATGTGCAGGGGATGATCTGGATCTGTCCTACGAAGGACGAGCATTGGCAGGGGTGTCTCGAGGGAAAGATGCGAGAGGGCGGGGCAGGTTTGGAGAAGAATCGTGGGAGTCGGTAGGAGCACCGTGGGCCAAGTCTTCATCGTGAAGAAGTGAAGCGACACCAGCAGCTGCCCGTGCACACGAATGAAATCCGGGACGAGGGATGCCGGGACGTACGTCTCGTCGTACGGGGTGACCGTCAAGTGGCGCAGGGCGGGAAGATGCGCACGTAGGAGGGCATGCATCAGTGGCGAGTATGGCATCGATAGCATGACGAGCTTGCGCAGATGAAGTAGCTCCAGTGGCTTCGGCGGGCGCAGGCCATCCCACTCTCCTGGTCTGTCGAAGTCGGTCACATCTATCCCTGTGCCGATTATCGTCAGCTCTTCAAGGTTGATGCATCCGCGCACGAGCTCCACCAAATAGTCGTCGGCCTTGTAAACGGTGCACTTCAACCGGAGCCCCTTCAGAACGCGCAAATGTGCGATCTCGCAGCGGCCTCCGAGGGCCAGCGTAGCCCGTCGACTGAGCGTAAGAGAGGGATTGAGCGCGCAATGCCGTAGAAAGGGTAGAAGTGGGAAGAGCGTCATGAGGAGGGTATCCGCGTGCAGCAATTCAGAGGCCAGGCATACGTCTACACCATTAAGGTCTAGATGCTGTACCCATCGGCCAGGCGTTGAATAAGGGATGCGGCGGATGGAGTCCCATTTCTGGTCGCACACATATATGCGGCGGGTGAACTTCTCCAGGGCCGATAAGGAATTGAGGACGATATGTGCATAGAACAGTGGGAGCACTACATCCTGCAACCGTCAAAACATGAGCATCCCTTTATGACGCAAGCAGCGAGGTGCAAGTGAAGGCACAACTCACATGAAGGTCTTTGGATAACACCAGCAATCCCCGCTTCAATCTGTCGCGCAGCACATGCTGTTTCTCCAACTCGTAGTCGTAGTAATCGAATACATAACTAAGTATCTTCGTCCATACTTCTCCTGGTAGGGGTGTCATCTCGCGCCTATGAGGAAGGAGAGGCAGTAGAACGAAACTGCCTGCAGTCCGCGAGAGAGGTCGTGGATGAAGCAGTACGGTGGCCGAAGCCGGACTGCTCGAGGCCATTAGAGCTTGGGGATTAAGAATGTCTGTCGCTGGCGGTGACAAGGAACTAAAGGTGAATGTGTCGCGAAGTCATGACCGGCGAGGACGTGCCAGCCTGAGACTGCCAGTGCCAGAGGATGGCAGCGGTGGTCTCAGTCGGAATCGGTCGTATCGCGAATGCCTTCTTGCATCTTGAATCTTGATGGAGTCACGGCTCCCCGCATGACACATCCACTCTGACTACCGCGTGGCGACGCGGGCATCCTTGCCACAAGCGCGCTCATCCTCTCATCTCGCATTGGTGTATAGATCGAGTACCTGGCAGATGTCGTTGACGTCCTGAGATGTTTTTGCGCCGACTCTGCCAATGAAGCCAATATGCAGTCCAAAGTCTAGTACACCAGATCGCATTATGCTTTGGATCCAAAAAATCACCCATCTCCTCCAAAAACTTGTCATAATCGTCCTTCGGCTTAGATGCAGGAGCTTTGACAGTCGCGTCCGCGCTCTTTGCTTCGAAGACGCTGACAGCCGACCCCAGGTTCTGTTTGAGGGTGCTCATCAAGTCAGGTCGAGCCGCGGCCGGAGCTTCCGGCTCCTCAGAGTCTGCTATCTGTCCCAACGACGGGGCCGCGTTGATCTTCGATGGCGCTCCCACCGCTGCTTTTTTGCGCTTGAGAGCAGCTGGTACGAAGGCCGTGGCTTCTTTCTTGAAATCTCGCAACTGGGGAGCTGCTTCGACTGTTGCCGCAGCTGCAGGCGCAGGAGGCCGACCACCAGTAGACAGGGTAACGCCGCCGGACAGAGGACGTGACTGGCCTGGGAGAGGCGGAGAAGCCTGGTTGGGCTGTACATTCCTCGCCGCACGATGCGACTGGTAAGTCTCGTGTGGAATAGACGACAGAGGGTCCTGCATGGAAGAAGAGGACTGGGCTCGCCGAGGGTAAAATCCAGGAGGAGGCGGCGGCATTTGGGAAAACCCCGGCGGTGGCGGCGGTGGGCCAGGGGGCATCGGAGGAAACGCTGAAGGAAGATAGGGCTGCATTTGAGATGGTATGTGGAGCGGCGGCGACATGTGAGGTCCTCCTGGCGGTGGTGGCGGAAAATACGAAGATGACGGCGGTAATGGGGGAGGGAGAAACCCCTGTGGTAGAGGCGACACTGCTGGCGGGATCCCAGTAGGAGGGGGAGGGACAAGCATTGGTGGGAGAACCGGGAACCCTGGTGGAGGTGGAGGAGACGCGCCGAATACTGGCGGCACAGGTGTAGGGGGCAATGGCGGTGGCGGCGACCCTGTGATGAATGAGTGAAGCGTAGCTGACGACGGCCTGTCCAACTGACCTTGGTCGAGCCCGTCCTTCGATGGCGGAGGGCCCTCAGGCATCGGTATATCATCATCGCTATCTTCCTCGCCGGCACCCGGGGGAGGCCCTTCAGGCATGGCTATGTCGTCATCATCGTCTCCAGCCTGAGTCAGTACGCGAACGTCCACATCAATCTGAACAACCTCACCTGCGCCTTCTTCTGCGTCACTTGCAACTTCGTCTGGTCGGAGTGCTGTAGATCAATTAGCGCATGTCACTTCCATCATTATCGGCGTACTCACGTCTCTCAACATACGGCATTCCAGGAGGCGGAACACCGTATGGATTCATCACAGGATCGTAATAGATACTTCGCTCCGGGTGTCGAGGGATTCCATGCTTGTTGAACAGATTCCTCGTCTGTGGAATGGGTGCTGCATCCGCTTTCTCTTCACCATTGTTATGCGGTTTCCGAGATTTAAAGACGAGCTTCCGATGTTCTGGATGCTCTGCGACATATTCCTCTTTCTTCTTGGTGATCTTCTCTAGTTCAGTCTTGATTTCTGCTAGGCGTGCTCTGTCCGCTGCAGAGGGTTCTGGAGCGGCTTCGATCTTCTCTATTTCATCTTCGAGCTCTGTCCAGAATTGGGTCAAAAGAAGGGGCACCTGCAGAGAGCGCACATACGTACCTATTGTATCCTTCTTGACTAGAGCAAAATCGCGGGCCTTAGCGCGCCCAGCCTTGTTCTACTGCGGTGGCATGGTCAGACGGCGTATGCTGCAGCAATGGCACGGACACTCGCCTTCTTCAGCTCCTTCTTCCGTTGCGCCTTGCCTTGATAGCCGAGATGTGAGGAGAATGCGTGGCTCGACACATGGCATGCAACTCACGAAACGCGTCTGCTGGATTGACGTTCTTTCCTTTTGCCATGGCCGACTGGTGTGGTGAGAAGAGCTCTCAATGGTGAGTGCGGTGGCTGAAGTGCAGCCGCCACCGCGGCGTCGGGCGTCGGGAGCGAGCACGTGCGCCGGGTCTTGAGTCATCGACGGCAAGCGTGCTCTCCCTCAGTGGTGGTTACTTCCCTCTCCCGGGGAGTTCACCACAGCGTCCTACCCCAGAACCCCAGCTCACCGTCTACGACACTGCCCACGACACTGCAGACAGCGAGGACTTCATCGTCTTATCCTGTACGCGTCATGTCTACCCAGCCCCTCAGCAGTACTCCTCCGTCTTCCAAGCCCAAGCGCTCCTCCAAGATGGCCTCTAGCCAGTCGCTGACCCATCTGCTCAACTTCACCCTTCCGCCGAGGCAATCTCATCACAATCAGAGCTTGCCGCGGAGGACTAGGAGGTCTAATGCGCACCCAGCCGTATGGAACAAGGAGAGTGAGTAGACATCTTGCGCCGTTGCCGTGTCGTTCACACTGATAGTGACATCCTTACAGGATTTGTGAATGCTCAGTACCGCTTCGTTATGAATCCCCATGGCGATTACACTGTTCACTTTGCGGATCCGGACATGTACGTCTCATCCTTGCCTTATCAGCGAAAGCGTTAACCGACTCTGTGCAGTTTCTTCCAGTGGCAGGATATCTTGCAGGTCATCGTCCCGCGCACCTCTGCGATTGCTTCTGCTGCTGGCTCAGGAGAGCAAGCTACTCAAGACGAAGGCGTCACAACATGCCCCATCTGCCTCTCGCCCCCTACCGCGCCACGGATGACCAAATGCGGTCATGTACGCCTTCGGTTGCTATCACTCATGCTTTCCCCTGACAGATCTGTCTCATAGGTATTCTGTTTCCCGTGTATTCTGCATTATCTTAATACCGCCGATAATACCAAGTGGGTGCGGTGCCCCATCTGTTTCGACTCTGTCCACGAGAGACAGCTCAAGGCTGTCAAGTGGTTCGACGAGGTGCCGCCGGTCGACGATACAGAGGAACCCTCTGCGCAGGCTTCGTCTTCGTCCTCTAGCGCAGATGATGGCTTGGTCACGACTCCTCGGCCTGGATCGACACTGCGGATGCGATTGATCCAGAGGCCTCAGATCACTACACTGGCTCTTCCTCGCTCGGAGACTTGGCCTTCCGATTTGCTCCCTCCGCACCAAGCCCCCTTCCACTTCCTGCCCGATGTCCTTCCCTTCGCGAAATTCATGCTCGCGACTCCGGCATACCTCATCCAGGATCTGACCAAGGACCTTGATGATCTGGCAACAGAGCGGCGCATGCTGTCTAGCATGGGTGACGAACTCGGTGTAGCCTTCGTGGACGCTGCTGAAGCCAAACTTCGCGTCCAGATTGCGAAGGCGTCCGCACTGGAGACCACACAGCTGCAGGAAGCTGTGGACAGCGCTCTTCACGTCCAGCAACAGATCCGTGATCGTACGAATCTGCACGACAGACGCAGGAGAGACGAACAGGCTCGTGTTCCGCGTCCTGAGCCTGAGGAGATACCTCAGGAGCTGCTCGCTAGTCAGAACGGCGGCTTAATACAGCCAAACATGCCCAAGGCTATGACTCATGCGATACCCTCGTCGCCATCTGTACGCTCTGCGACACCTACTCGCGGTCCTCGGCAGCGTCGGAATCTTAACCCTCCTCCGCCTTCGACATCGACCTACTACTACTACCAGGCAGCAACAGGCATGCCCGTATTCCTCCATCCGCTAGACATCCGCATTCTCTTCTCGCACTTCAACGGGTACGCGGCCTTCCCAGATACCATCTCGGTCCGCGTTGAGTCGTATGCGGAGAGTACGGTCAACGACGATCTGCGCAAGCGGTGCAAGTACCTTGGCCACTTGCCCGAGGGCGCGGACGTGGTCTTCGTCGAGGCGGATCTGGAGGACGTCGTCGGCGCGGAAGGGCTCAAGAATTTCGAGGGCCCGCTTCGCATGCGCCGTGCGCGCGCAAGGAGAAGGGCAAGAAGGACGACAAGGCCCGAGCGCGCGCGGAGGAGCGTGAGAGGGAGAGGCTCGCACAGGCCTGGAGACCGCGGCTCATGGGTCGCCCTGCGTCCTTAGTGCAGCCATCCTCTACTGGACGTCGTGGAAGGCGACGACTTGCGGAGCTACTGGTGAACAACTTGAGACGCAGGTGCAGCAGCCTGCTGGAGCATGGGGAGCGAGGAGTTCGCATCTGCCGCGCAGAGCGGGCCGACGGGACAGCGAGCTCCCTGCGCGCAGCGAGCGAAACGCGGAAGAGGACGAGTGGGATCTCGACGTGGCGTTCCATGAGTTGGAGCAACGTGGTTCGAGAGGCGGTGGGAGGAAGAGAAGCGCGAAGATGGTGGTTCTGGGCGGTGGCGGCGGAGGAGGCGGTGATATAGCTGACATATAAGCATGGATGGACCCCACAGCACATACTCTTTCGCATTTTGTTTCTAGTACGCGCAACCGGTATCGAGGATCAAGTGTATTAACAGTCTTGAGCAATACAACATTCGTACTTTAGATGCACTGACAGCGCGTGCCGTACGTTTCCGCGTTCGAGACTACGACGACCCCAAGATTCCATGCCATCGAAAGAAACTACTCTACAGATCAAGCGCACTGGTGTCAACAGCGAGTTACATAACAGAGGGAAGGGCAATACGAAACAAGCAAAAGGACTACCATCGTTAGATCGTGGACAAGAAACCTCGGGGCCTGCAAGGACGAACGAGATAGACGTAACGCATGGGTAGCATGTCGTGACTGTTCGTAGCAGCAGGGATTGAAGAATAAATAGGTGTCCAAGATTATACTACCTGTAGATAATTTGATGGCGCAACTGAAGACAAAACGTTTCAGATAGCGTAGCGCAACGAGTAGATACCGACTTACTTCCTACAGTACCATCCGACTTTTTCGCTTGCCACCACTTGCCCTGTTTGTCGATGACCTCTAGGATTTCGCCCTTCGTGAACGATATCTCGTTCGGATCGTCAGGGGATGCGTTGTCTACATTCAGGTCAGCGCGTCGTACGACCCAAGTGCCGCTGTACTCACATGATACAGGCCTTCGCCTTGTATAGGATGCCGTCATCCATACTCGCCTCGCCTGCTCCCGGAGTGCCTGGCATGGGAGGACCTCCACCCGATCCTACGCCCATCAAAGGCGAGTTCGCAGACACGCCATGATCGCCTCCGCCCACAGACCCGGGCCCTCCGCCAGCTGGTGTGTTGTTGATGCTACCCGTGCCAGCAATGCTGCGCGGAGGCCCCTCCACGCTTCCTGCATTGAAGCTGTTCCCACTCCCGATAGGTCCCCCGAGACTGCTCGCCATCTTGGTGTCGTAACCGGTTGCCATTCCGCTCGGGGTGGAGCCGAAGCCAGCCTGGTAACCGTTGCCTGCACCCATCGTGTGCATGGACGTTGTCCGTGCTGTTGCTCTACGACGCCGCGACGGAGGCGTGAGGCCGCCTGTCCCAAGGGAGTTGAAGATGTGCAGCATGAGCGAGTCCTCTTCCGACGTGAAGTACAGCACCCAGAGGATGTCGACGATAGCGAGAATGAGCCAGCCAGCGGCCATTGCGTCCAGCGACGCATGTCCTGAGAAGATGCCCTGGTTTACGCCGGTTACGGCAAATACGATGGCTATAGAGCCGAATATGGATATCTGGAAACGGTGCATGGCGATGGAGTCGCTGGCCAGAGTATGGAGGACGCCGAGGATGAGGAATAGCTGGAGGAAGATGGCAAACCATAGTACACCGACGTAACCATGGCCGACTTGGCGATACGGCGCGTCAGCTTTCGCGGCGGCATTCGCACAGACATACATGGAACTCACAGTCAGCGGTTGCTATGGCTTGTGCGATGAAGGCCAAAAACCATCCGACCTAGGTAGTAAAGCAGCCCATTAGCCTTATCCACGATGCGCTCGGGCATGTCACTCACCACAGCGAGGATGGCGGTGAAGAGAAAGAGGTAGTGGGTGAGGATCGGCGTGAAGTCAAGGCCCTCACTCCCGCGAGGCGGCATGTTGACGGCGACGGAGGACAAGCGAGATACGTGCGGGGCACCCTCTGGGGACGAGTTTGGCCTGCGGGTGTGGTACGAGCGCAGCGGAAGGGAAGTCAATCGAGTGGAATGATGGTCTGCTGCCGAACGAGACTGGGTGGACTGCTGCGACTCGCCCGCCGCGACTCGAACACGTTCACGCCGTTTCTCACACTGCGCGTCTTTGCCCCCGGCGTATCGCATCGGGCTCTCCCTCGACCCCTTCCTTTCGCACTCATCTGCCCGGCGCAGCCACGGCCAACGCGGTGTCTGTCTCTATCCCTGCGCAGCCCTGCTCGGTCATGTGTCACACAGAAACCCCTGCGGCGGCAGTCGCCCGTGGGACGCAGTCTAAGCTCGCTGTGACTCGAATATACAAAGCCATCTACAAGGCCAGGCGTGTGATTTGAAGGACTCAGAGTACCATTGCTAATGAAAATGCAGGAACCAGTTGCGAGGGAGGGAGTGCCAGGTGGGCCTCTGACGATGTTCCGCACCTCGCCAGCCTACTACTGCCGGAAAAGCCTAAGAGGATGCTGCACATAGTACTTGGCAGTTGATACGCATAGGCCTCCGTCTTCGCATCCGAGAATGCCCACAGAGCGGTACAACATGTTACATCATGCTCCGCAAGCACAATATTCGCGGCATCGGAATTCATGCATCATGCATCGTTACGATCAGTGGATGGTCGTTTGCTGTATTCCATGAGACTACTCAGCTTCGAATCGGTAGATGGACGCGCGATGCCAATGCCAATCTGTATCAGAACGACAACATCACCGCCAAGGGCGCTGCCGGTATATAACCCGCGGTGCCGCGTACTGCGCCAGATTGCCTGTACTGCGCTCTGCTCGGTGACCTCACATTAAAGAGCCATCTTGGTACGTTCCACGCGCAGGAGACGCAGCCGCAACGCGGTTATGTTGACTTGAACATTCATACCACCCTCCGAGCACCGGTCAACCCGCAGGCCGCTCAATCGTTCCTTACTTTCGAAGTTTACCATCGTTCTGCCTGTGGTGCCTTTACACTGGTCTCCAATGGCCAAGATCCATTCACTATTCGAAGTGGTTGCCTTCCGCTGTGCGAGCGCAGTCTTTGCATTTGCCGGGTTTCTTCTCGTAAGTCGGACCAGAGACCTACGTCCAGAAGCACAAGCTGATATTTCTTGGCCAGAGCGCTCTTTCAGCTCTTGTACTTGCAATTATTCGGTGCTTCATAACAGAACAAAAACCCAACTTGTCTGGCATTCGACGCCAACCAGTCGACAAGAACCGGCCTGCCAAGTCGCCCCTGCATCCAGCAATGGAATCGCAGAAGCAGCCAGCGACGCCCTCATATTCTGACTCAGATGCGACTCTCGTCGAGGACGCTGCCAGTGCACGGGTGCACTTCAGAGATACCCTCATTGTACATCTGATTGCAGCCTCGCCTGTTTTGACCAACACCCGGCGGGTACGCACTTCAGATGGCTTATCGAGGGCAGGCTTGCTCGAGTCCTCATGGAAACCGGGGTCAACTGCTTGCAAAGCAGCCGTGAAGCGTCTCCAAGGCGTTGTACCACAGCATTCTCAGCCGCTACAAGCCCAGAGGAGCTCAGAGGTGGCCTCACGCCAAAGCGGAAAGGACAAGCCTGCCATGAAACCGATGGTGCTCAGGTCGGCAAGCATGCCGCACCTGCCACAAAGTTTGTGAAACTCACCGCCTCGGTTGACTTCAACTGATATAACATGTAGTGAAGCGCTCGCCAAAGTTCACTATAAGTGCAGCAGCGCACGATAAGCTGCTTCGCAAACGTCCAGCCAAAGTTTCAAAGACGAGCGCACTGCACGAGGCGCCTCATTACGTCGCCCTTCCGGGGCTTTCATCACCAGCAGGCGATGCGACGGGTCGAGGTCGCAAGGAAAGCACGATGTCTGGCGTCAAGTTCGAGCAGTATCACCAATGGAGTCGTAAGGCAAAGTCGATGCGAAACCTGAAAGCCGCGCAGTCAGATGTCACTGTCCACATGTCCGCTTCCACCGGCCCCTCGCTATGCTCGAAGATACAGACTCGGAGACTAGCTATCTGGCATGCTGCCCCGCAACGCTCGATCAGCTCGGTGCTGCTATCTGCCGCGGAGGCAGAGAAAGGGTCGCATCCCAGTAGGGTCAGTGGCGATGGCCTACCGGTTCGCCCACGATCCGTCTCGGGAAATGACATTCCTCAGCGACCCCTTGGGTGCGTACTGTGCATATACATATGGCACACTTGTAAGACTCACGCACTACATGTAGAGCGCTGTCTGAAGAACAATCGCCACCCTTTACGAAACTCTTCATGCGTTCCATGAGCACAACTGCACTCACGGAGCTTGCAGCGCCTGAGGTCGTGGCTTCACGCAGACCATGGTTTACCCGATTTCGACGTCGAGCGAAATCTGTTTCATCCGAGCGACTTGTTAGATCATGACGCTATTGCAGAGGCTCACTTGCTTCCTTTCCAGCTGCTTATTATTATTACTACGTACCCTGCATGCTTTCCTCTTTCTCCCCTTTCAAGTAGTTACATACAACAGTCGTGTTCCCTTCGGCGCGCTGAATTAATCGACCTGTGTGTATTTCTATTCCACGGTCTATGCCCGTAAATCCAACAAGGAACTGAGCGAGAACGCCGCGCTCGGAGTCGGAGGAGTTGTACGAACAGTGAGATCGGGCAGATCCCGGCGCGAGTGATCGGAATGTTGGCGAGATAAGATTAGACGAGCGACGAGCGGTTGTGGCGTCGCGTCCGCTCTCCTCGACAGAGCCGCCGGCGCCGGTCTCGCAGGGAAAACACACTGCTCGCATGGACATCACCTCTCCGGAACCGCCACCTGGGCCTGCAGTCCCCTCAGCTGCAGGAAATTTGAGACGCTCACCTCGCTCGAGTCCACGAACTCTCGCAGCTCTTGACGAGCATCCGCCGCGACCACTAGTACCGACGTTCCTGGGTGAAGGACTCACGAAGACAGGCTCAACCTCCCGTGCGCCCACTCCTGGCACTGTGGCAGGGACGTCTCGACCGATGTCCTCACATGGAGCCAGCTTCAGTGACTTTGACGGGTCTCAGCTACTGGGAGGCCCGCAAGTACCGCGTTCTCCAGACTTCAACAGGCCGCTCAACGTGACGGACGCGTTGAGCTACCTCGATGCTGTGAAGATGCAGTTCCAGGACAAGCCAGACGTGTACAACCATTTTCTGGACATAATGAAGGATTTCAAGAGCCAAGTGTACGTCATTACCTGTTGCTTGCCTTGTGCCTCCGAGTCCTTTGTTCTCCGCCACTCGCATCAATTGTGAACATTCGCGGTCGAATGAAGTCCCTCGTCGCGTTGTCCTGTGCCCTTTCAATCCTTTCCTTTACCACCTCGCTTACATTGACATCTTATGGCTGCGTCCAGGATCGACACGCCTGGCGTCATCGAACGTGTATCTATGCTGTTTCACGACAACCCCTACCTGATTCAGGGATTCAACACCTTCCTCCCTCCCGGCTACCGCATCGAAGTGTCGACAGACCCGCGCAATCTGGACACGATCACGGTGACGACCCCTATGGGTATCATGACCCAGAACATCTCGGCCTATGGAGCCCCTGTGAGGATTGCTCGAGACCCTATGCTTCCTGCTCCTCCTGCCATGATCCCTCTCCCTCAGCAACCTCCATTTTCTTCAGCACCGCCGCCAGTCCTTCCAGTCGGCATTGGGAACGGTTCAAGACCAGCTACACCATCCAGGTTGCTCAGCCACCCTCCCGAATACGGCTTCTCCCCGTCAGTCATGTACTCTTCGCCTTCAACAGCATCGCAAACAAACGCCGCGGCGACGTTCCTCGGGAACATGGGCAACAGACAAGATACCACCTTGCCGGGGGAGTTCAATCATGCTATTCAGTTTCTGAATAAGATCAAAGTGCGCTACGAAGATGATTCTGAGACGTACAAGCAATTCTTAGAAATCCTTCACGCTTACCAGAAAGAACAGAAGCATCTGCAAGACGTGCGTCCGTTCGTCCATGCGGCGGTCCCGCTTTACTGAAGGCTATCCACAGTCACAAGTATATGCTCAGGTGCAGATGCTTTTCAAGGACGCACCGGATCTAATGCAAGAGTTCCGCGACTTTCTACCCGAGGCGTTCGGGCCATCTGCACAACAAGTGGGTCTGGTGGGTATTCTACCTCAACCGCCGAATCCTTCCAGCCCCTGGGGACAAGCGGACGGACCTCCGTCGACCTCTGCCGATAAGAGTACAAAGGCTCCGAGTAGGCGACGCAAGCGTGTTGCTGAGAAGGAGCCGGCCGGTGGACGGGTGAGTATGTTCGGTACCATGAAATAGTCAGACAAGCTCACGGCTCCAATCCAGGTAGTTAAACGGGCGAAGCCGAACCAGAAACCCGAACCGCAATCGCCGAAGTTCGCGCCGTTTCCCGTCGCTGCGTCTCCGCCGCCCAATGTGCCGGGTCATGTTGTCATGCCAGGTCCGCAACCGCCTCAACAAGGACATCCCAACTTCCTCAACCTCTATCCGCCGCTGCCACCTACGGCTGATCCCGCGGTCACTTCGATCGCGCCTCGTGAAGAGACTTGGTTCTTTGATCGGGCCAGAAGAGCTCTGGAGGGCGGCGGCACGTACGAGGAGTTCTTGAAGCTCCTGAATCTGTTCGCAAGGGACATCATCGACACGAAAACGCTCATTGAACGGGCGGAAGTATTCCTGGATGGCGAACTGATGAGGCAGTTCAAGGAGTTCATTGGTTGGGACGACAAGGTCGGGCATGCCGACCACGGGCCTCCGGGCAGCGTGCGAGTTACCGAATCAGATCCGCATATTGCTCGGTCTCCAGACGATGGTCAGGGGCCGAGCTACCGACGGCTGCCGGAGAGTGTAAGCACATTGTTACGGCAGCACGGCAGAGCACACATACTCACCGGCACTTCAGGAGATCCATTTGGCCTGCTCTGCCCGTGGTCGTCTCGAGTGGTCTGTGCTCAACGACGTCTGGGTCTCGCATCCTACGTGGGCTTCGGAGGATTCCGGGTTCGTCGCGCACAAGAAGAACTCCTTCGAGGACATCATTTACCGGGGTGAGGAGGAACGACACGAGTACTCCGTGCACTTGGAGGCTCTCTCGCGTACTATCACCGTACTGGAGGCCCTGGACGCGCGGATAGAGGATATGACACCTGAGGAGCGTGTGCAGTTCAGGCTGAAGCCGGGTCTCGGCGGGTCGGCACCTCAGGTGTATGAACGCATTTTCAGGAAAATCTACGGACGGGACAACCTCAAGGAGGTCATGAAGGCACTGCAGGACTGCCCGAGCGTGTCCGTCCCCGTTGTCCTCAGACGTCTGAAGCAACGCGACGAGGAGTGGCACCGCGCTCAGCGCGAATGGGGCAAGAGCTGGCGAGAGGTGGACGCTAAGAACTTCTACAAGGCGTTGGACCACCAGGGCATCGTTTTCAAGGCCAACGACAAGAAGAGTATTACCGCGAAGCATTTTGTGCAAGACATCGAGTCGATCAAGACTGCGCAGGAGAAAGCACGCGAGTTTGAGGCAGGCCCATCCTGGGTGCGAGGCTCACTCGGGCCCCAATTGGACTACGAATTCGGAGACATCGGCATACTGCAAGACTGCCTCAAGTTGACCTTCTGCTTCTTGGATCATTCATCGGCGCAATATAGCGTGGCGGAGAGGCGAAGCGTCGAGCGCTTCCTACGCGCATTCATCCCGGTCCTCTTCATGCTTCCGGCTCAGGAATTCAATGCTGCCTGCGGACCAGTCGAACCTGGCCACGAGGACGATCTCGCGGAAGACCTTGCGGTGAGCGACGGGGCAGATGACCAGACAAAGTCCAGTCGGGACCGTCAGGGCAGACGCCCCCAGTCTGCGGGTGTTTCTGCGGGCGACTTGCGGAAGAGATTGCTGAAAACTGCCCAGGAGAGATCACCCAGGGGCAGCCCTCAGGCGCTGTCCGTCAAGTCTGGCGCTTTGACGAGGTCGGTCTCACCGGCGCCGAGTGACGGTCATCCTACGTCCAACAAGGGCAAGGGTTCGCGGTTGAATCAAGAGCTTGACCACGACGAACCTGACTTCGCTCTTCCGGAAGACATATGGATACAGGAAGCGGTCATGCATTCCGGGGTGCAGGCGGGTGCGGAGACGGTGACGAGACGGCCGTTCTTCGCCAACACGACATTTTACACATTGTTGCGCCTACTGCAGGTACGTCAGCACCTGCTATGGGCATTCGCTGGACATCTCTGACGGCGCTGTCGTGCGGCACAGCTACTCTATTCGCGTCTTAGCATGTGCAAGCAAATTGGCGCGCAGAATGCCGCAGAAAAGCACTCTTCGCTGCTCGCTAATCCTGCCGCGGTCCAATTGGGACTAGATGAGCCAAATGGGCCTGCAACTGTATTGGCTCAAGCGGCTGAAGCATTAGGTGAGGCTCGCTCGGGAGAAGAACCTAATGTGCTATACTTGTACTTGCTCGATGCTTGTGAGAAGGTGTTCGACAATGAGCTAGACCAAACGACCTTCGAGGAACACATGCGGTGGTTCTTTGGAACGAAGGTGTGTCGTCTTTTCCCGTTGAGGCGACAAGCTCGAGTTGACCGGACAAATCAATGTAGGCTTACCACCTCTTCACCCTGGATAGGGTGATTATCGCTACCGTGAAGCAGGTGAGCTCAGTACTGACGCACATGAATCATCTTGACCAAACTAACCTCGTTCGTAGGTACAAACCATAGTGGGCGATAACAAGTGCCAGGAGCTTTGGTACCTACTACAGCGGTCGCGAGGCGCGGAGGCGATTACGGCCCATGACACCATCCGTTATAGAAGAGAGGCCGAACAACACGTTGGATCAGATGATAACCTCTACAGGTTCGATTGGGTACGTGTCACTGCTAAATATACTGTTACGGTGGTACGGTGGCTAAGGATAGCTTGATGCAGGACGCAGAGACACAGAATCTAGTTGTTCAGCTGCTGGGTTCGACGGATCCGAGCACAGAGGAAGACAAGTCCCCGGCGGGACGATGGCGGGAGTATGTTGCAACGTACGTGTCGGAGCATCCGACGGAGTGGGTGCCTGCGGGCAGACCGAAGAGCAGACCACTATTCCTGCGGAGGTATGTAATGAGAACGCTCTATTCTCGTCCTGCGCTGGCGGTTATGTGCATGCTGACCTCCGCCCGTTGGACTACGTATTTATAGGAGCGTGATGGACGCCGCCGAACACGGAGAAGCTGTGCACGAGCAGCGGGGGATGTGTGTACACGTGCGCGCGGGGACGTACCAGCTTGTTTACGGGGCGGGGGGCGAGGACGTGCTGTGGCGGGTGCGGCGGGGGGACGACGAGGGGACGCTGCAGCGGCGGGGCCGGGGGCGGCAGGAGGAGCAGAGGCGCTGGCTCGGGCGGCAAGGCCCGTGGGAGAGCGGTGCTATGTATAGGGCATGAGCTGGGTGCTGTTGGCTATTTATAGGCGGGAGTAATGGAATATTTTTGATAGCTGAGTTGATGTGGCTTAGGATGGCCTCCGGCGGTCTTGGTCTTATAATCTCTTGGACTCAATCGACCGTGCTCGCCCAGCCAAGCCCGAGCCCGCCCCCGCCGCTGCCCCCGACGCTCGCACTCTGCCTCGGCGAGCCTCCTTGGCACACCGCTCTGCATGGCCAAGCCTCCCAAGAGCAGCTCGTCCTCGCCGCACCCCGCTCGCCCGCCGCGTGTCTCTCCCACCCACCACAGTCCACGGCGACGAGCGAGCCCCTCCCCCTCCCCCGCCGTCCTTGGTCTCTTCGCCACCCTCGCATCCGCCATCACCGCCGTAGACGGATCTCCTGTCTCCACACCGCCCCCAGACTTCCTCTGCCCCCACCTAGCAGCGACCCCCACACCCACCCAGGCGCCCACTACCGTGCCCAGAGTTCGCAACCGCCGCCGAGCCGCGACCCCCTCAACATCTACCGCACAGACCACGAGATCCGGGCCCGTGGCCGACAAGTACGTGTCGTGCGACGACGGGAGGTGGCGCAAAACAGACGTCTGGACACTATATGGATCTACCTTCTGTGCGGTAAGCCAGCGTTCTGCTCTCCGTATTCGGCTCATATTCATGTCTCTCAGGGCACCGTGTGCTCCGCGACCGCGACCTCCACGCCGACCGCAGTCGACGACGACGACGACGCTGGAGAGACCTCTGCAACTGTCACGTCGAAGCCTGCCGCTATCACTGACATGGACGTCTCAAATGGGGATGCCCTCCCTTCAGGCTGGAACAAGTCCCCTTACATCCGCGACGATCCCCTTACGCCAGTCATCATCACACTGTCAGTGGTCTTAGCCGTAGGTATATGCGCTTTCATCGTGCTCTGCGTGGTCTGGCGAAGGAAACGATCGCGTCGGCCCAAGGATCCAGAGGGGCGAGCGCGAAAGAAAGCCGACGATGATGATGTCGGAGAGGAGCTACAGCGTATGAGGTCCCAGCAACGTCTTTTTGCAAGGGCATCCGCTCGTTGGAAAGCAAACGTGCGACAGGCGGCGCGACGGCGACGGAAGCACACTCCCTCTGCTACCAAGGATGTCGACACGCGCTCTCTCGTTGACCGACCAGCACACTCCTCATCCATCTCTCTTCGCTCCTCTGCCTCGCATTCCAGCTTCTCGCACAGCATCACGGACACTACGTCTTCCGGGCGTCGGGACTCCTACGACCACTCAAGCTCCGCACCACACCAGACGCACTATTCGCCTAACAGACCTCCTGCATATCTTCCAGAACTATCAGATTCACCAACGGCGCCTGCAGGAGCTTCCCCGCCCGTAGGGTCTTCCCGTCCGCCTTACAGCAAAGCTGGCTTCCCTAATGACGGCGCGCACGGTCCTCCAGCTCACGGAGACGACCTACCACCCGCAGACCCCTTTAACGCCGGCCATATCGCTACGGATGACAAAGCTGCACTTGCACGTATGGCGTCGCTCGCGAGTACACCGCCTTCCACGAGCGGTTCGCGCTCCGAGGAGGCGGAAGAGCCATCGACATTGTTCCCTCTGGTTCCTGTTCTGGAAGACGAGTTTGAGCCTATCCCTCCCGAGCTCCGGATCACGGACTGTGACCACTACGAGGGGATATATTCAGATATGTCCGGCGGTCGTGATGCCCCATCACCGGGTCCGTCCTCCCTTTTCCCAGCTTCAGGCACACAGACGCCCTCTTATTCGCGTGAGCCCTCCCCGCACCCTCCGACTCTCCCTGCGCCACCTTTGAGAGGTCGACTTGCTGCACCCACGTTCTACGAATACCCTGTGTCATTCGAGGAGGATGTCTTGTCAGCTGAGCCGGAAGCTGGTCCATCCGCACCCCCATTCGACCATGGTGACAGCCTTGCGGCGAGCGCACCGCCGATGGAACTGGACTACGATCCTATGGACCTGGATGCGCTGCCTTCTGCACCTCCTATGGGTGATCTTGATGGTGGATTGTCGCCTGAGGTGCCGGACGGCGACCACTGGACAGCCTCACGACTGTCATTTCGTCCAGCGCCATCATTTGAGCGGTCTGTCAGTCCTTTGGTGCCTGATCCGCATGCTAGTCCACCACAATACATCCCATGACATGCTACCTCTGGAGATGGGCTCTTCTGGTAGTTCTAGCCAGTGTATAACAGTACCTTATTGTGCTATCGTTGTTCATCGTGCTTATCCATCATCTGTCGGCTTTTGGTCCCTTGGATTATCCTACTCCGATACTACTCTACATACATAATAAACGCGGAGTCTACGCTGCCGGACACTCACTCGTAAGACCACGTAAGCCATACTGCAAATAGCAACACCTCGGGCCACTGCATCGTGCATGAATGCATGACAGCTGACTACAATGTCAATCCATACATACAGCGCACGCAAAATGATCCAGACCAAAAACTTCTCAATCCATTTGACACACCCATTCAGAAGCCAACTGACTTCCTCCAGAGTACACCAAAAAGAAAGAGCGACTAAGAAGTCCCCCGACGACGCAAGCCAATACTGCAGTAGCAAGGTCATCGCGCCTCCGACAGGTTGCAAGCAGAGCCTAGAGACAAGGGCGGCAAAAATTAGATAACCAGTAATGGAGGCGGTGCCTCCATAATAGTGGTTAAACTATTAAGAACAGATACTACACTTGATCTAAGCCAAAAGGCCAGAGTGGTGAGGGTTTGGGACGTCTGTCCACCACTTATATACTCGCGCGCGTCCTGCGCACGGACCAGGTGGCTACGGCAAGCCTGCTACGGCTCTGAGATCTGAGCGCTTGTCGTAACGTCCCTATTTAGGAAATTACTGTCGTTCCAAATCTTTCAGACGAAGTCCCAAACCTCTAAGTGCTGCAGCTGTTCAAGACGTAGAGGCATAACCATCACAAATCTATACCGAGAAATACATGAACACATGGTAGCGCAGCTTGTTATCCTAAAGGGCAACCCAATCGTTACATCCCCCGTTCCCACGCGTGCGGAGGAATTCAGCATGCAAACTCATCAGCTGTGTCGGCGTTGTAGGCCTGAGCATGGTTGGAGTAAGTCTCGGAGAACGTTTGAGCTTGATATCCAACTGTTGACGGACAGGCTCATGACTGTCGGACTCCGCAAGGTCTGGAGATCGACGCTCTCCGCCGCCGGGCGCAACATTGAGTCCGAGCCCGTGTCCGTAGTTTTCCTTCTCGGATCCTATGCTAGCATTTCGCCGGTCATGAAGACCATACGACTGCCTAGGAACCTCCATCTTCTCTGCGAAAAGCCTCGTCGATGAACTCCGTTTGAAGATTTGCAGTAGCTTCGTCTGCTTCCGGCCGTGGCTAGGGTGTAGTAATCCAGGAGAAGACGAGAAGCGAAGGGGCGTAAGGGTCTTCTCGGTCTCGCGCGGTCCAACTTGAACGAAATACTCGAAGCGCCACCGAAGAGCCAGAGGGGCTTGGTTGCGGTGGAGCTTGAAGTACTCGGTGCCGCTGACAGCATACGCGCCATCAGAGCTCGTAGCCAGAGTGGCCTGGTAAGAGATATAGTCCTTCGTGTCATCCTCCGCGATCGTCACGCGCTGGAGAGTGGGAGGCACATCGGACCTTCTGGCGTCGAAAACGAAAGACCGGCGCATCATAGGCATAAACTCGGCGAGACCGTAGGTCAGAGCACTGACCAGAGCAGTATCTTGTTCCTCAGGGCATCCGGTAGTAAATCCGGCTAACTTGAACGTTTGCCGGACTACGTGAGATCCTTCCTGGTCTATCCATAGGTCGATTCGAGTGTCTTCTAGCCAGTCCAGAACGCCAGGCAAGTTCCGAGTTAGCCTTCGCTTCGCAGCAGGGGAGGCCAGAGGACTAGAGATGTGGCTAGAGCGAACCGAGCGACTTGAGGCACTTGTAGCATTTGACTCCGTGCGACGATGTTGGCGTGGGATTAACGGAGGCCCAGAGGTTGCGAGGAAAGGAGTCGTCGGTTCCGACCGGGGTGATTGAGACTCCATGATTTGTCCTGAACTGATATCGCGCAACGTCAGTGGGAAGCAGCTCCTCGACTTTTGCAGTCGGCGAATCTGGAGATTGCTGCTGGGAGGACTGGCGTACGGAGCCAGTGTATCATACCCGACCCTAGACGACGAGGGGGATATGCCATGCGAAGACCCTAGAGTCCCAGTACTATTTGTTGAACGAGACCGAGGGAAGCCGGGGAGGCGACCACAAAGCGCGGAGGATCGGAGATCTTCCGTCAAGAATTGCTGGCTCGCTACCGAGCACGATGGAGAGACGCCGAATGAAGCCAGACTGGGGGACCCTACAGGAAAACCGCCAGCAGAGCCGATAAACGTAGCAACAGACGAGATGGCGGGAGAGGTCGAGTACACCGGTGTGCTGTCGATGCCATAGTCGCCACAGTTCGACTGGGAGGCAACGTACTGTGAGAACGAATAGTACGACTCGCTGGGGATCGCCAGAGTATCCAGCTCATCATGGGCCCCACTCGGCACTGTCGCGCGTTGGCCACCATAGACTGGCTCCAAGAGGCGGTCCGCGAGAATGAATTCGTCTTTGATTGAATCGGGGCTTGCGTATGAAGTGACGCGTAACAAAGCTGGGTCCTCGGTTTCCGTCGTCTCGGGTAGGTGAAGGACGATGCTAGGATCCAACAAGATCGGGATTTCTCCATAGCTGCAGAGAGAGCTAATGTCAACATAGTCAATCGATGACGATGGACTTGGTGGTGTGAGGCAATCCAAGACCTCCAGAGGTGCCGGATTAGCAGTCTCTCGAGACGGCAGGGGCGGACGACGGCCAGCGTCGCTCGAAAGATTCTCCGTGGTGGAGAGCATAGAGTAAAAAGCCTGCCTTACTGCCGCTGCCAGCAGCGCGTAAGCCTGTTCGAGACGATGCTGTAGTGACAGATGATAGATGGACGAGCGAGAACCTGCACGAAGTCCATGAGCCACTTGAAGAACGAACGCGACGATGAACGGTCACGTGTGTCCCGGACATCGGCCGGTCGGATGCCGGGTGGCGTGTACTCAGACTGGACGCGCTGGCCGGGCGTCATTCACCCCAGTCTCTACCAGTTACTTCGACTGTCGCCCTTGAACCAGATGGACAGTCGCTGAGCAATCTCTGAGAACAGCTGAATGGCGTCGAACATCCAGGAGATTCGCTTCAGGCGGCCCACCAACAAGCAGCCTGCCGCACCGCCCCCCAAGCCTAAGAACCGGCATGCTGGCATCCTGCAAGACTCGTTACGCAGGTCAGCATCTCATTTTCGAGACCAACCTCACTAGAACAGAACACTGTAACAGGTCACAAAAGGCACCATGGTGTCCAGGCTTCTCGGTCGCGTTCAGGACGTTCTTGCTCATCCGGGTAGCAGGAGCGATGTATTCGAATATTCAGGACTGCGACGAAGGTACATTCACACCTCACTTTGTAGCCATCCCATCTCGATGACTCACGCCATCTTAGTCTTTAACTTCTGGGAACCATTGCACTACCTGAACCGCGGGTACGGCTTCCAGACGTGGGAGACGTCACCGGTGTATGCCATTCGCAGTTGGGCATACATCCTCCTCCACATGCTGCCTACACGCATCGTCTTTACGTTGCTGGGTCCAGAGAAGGTCAGTTCGATGTCTCCCTGTATCTCATCGCGTTGCCGACCTTGCGTTCGCGTACCACTAGAGACCGGCTTTCTTTGCCGTCAGGATGTTTCTGGCCGCGATCTCGTCCGCGTGCGAAGCCGCGTTGTACAGAGCGGTCGTCGACAAGATCAACTACCGGGCCGGACGCTACCTCCTCTTCATGCTGCTCTTCAGTGCAGGCATGTGGACCGCATCGACGTGTACGTTCTTCGTGGCTACTCTTGGTTTGGTTATTGATTGTGCACATTAGCATTCCTACCGTCGTCATTTGCGATGTATGCGAATGCGATTGCATTCTCGTATGCAATTGAGCCGGCTAGCAACACAAACATGCGCCGTACTATGTTTAGTACTCTGGCATTTGCCACCGGGGCTATTGTTGGCTGGCCGTTCTCACTCGCCGTGGCCATCCCGTTCGTCTTCGAGGAACTATTCTTGTATGGCACAGACAAGGTGACGTCTGAGAACAAAACGTCTTGGATAATTGCACGTTGGCGGCGGATGTTCACGTGTGCAGCTGTTGCAGCGTTGCTCCTAGTAAGTTCATATTTTTATGGCTTTGACACGTCTCTGAAGCCTCCACATAGATCCCTGTGGTCGCGCTCGACACCCTGTTCTATGGGAAGCTCACGATCGTGCCGTGGAATATCGTCAAGTACAATGTCTTCCCAGATGAGACCCGTGGGCCCGGGCTCTATGGAACTGAGCCTGTCGGTTTCTACTTCAACAACCTCCTGCTGAATTTCAACATCCTCGTGCCCCTCGCCCTGTTCTCGCTCCCTGCATTGGCAGTCACATACGTATACGACCGCAAGCGCCTAGGAGAGCGAACCATATACGTGGATCAGACGTCACCCTATAAACTTTTGGTCATGAGGCTGGCGCCGGCGTATATCTGGGCAACTATCATGTCAGCGCAGAGTCACAAGGAGGAGCGTTTCATGTTCCCGATATATCCGCTTATCTGCTTCAACGCGGCGGTGACGGTGTACCTGATGCGCGGCTGGTTCGAGACGGCGTACATCCACTTGACGAAATCACCGTATAGGGTAAGTCGATAATTGTTGCGACGAGATACGGAAGCTGATGACAACCTCATGCAGGCCTCCCGCGCGATCATGTTCAGTCGGTTCACGCTCTCCATCATCGCAGCCTCTGGTGTGCTCTCCCTGTCGCGCGTCATGACGCATTGGAAGTACTACCATGCACCCATGTCCATCATCCACGCGCTCGAGGCGGACGAGATTCCTCGACTCCTGAACACCACGGGGCACATATTTATCCCACCGCCTTCTCCGAGGCAAAGCCGCTTCGACGAAGAAGAAAGAATACCTCGTATTGACCCGGCGCTGATCAAACAGTTGGGCCTGCACATGTGCATTGGCAAAGAGTGGTATCGCTTCCCTGGCCACTTCCTGGTGCCTGACGGTGTCCAAGTCGACTGGATCAAGAGCGAGTTCGACGGCATGCTTCCGGCCCATTTCGTCGAAACGAATGCGGAATGGGGCCTTCCTGCGCGCGTCCTGAGTACCCGAACCGTCCCGCCAAGCCTCAACGATCTGAACAAAGAAGCACCCGAGTTCTACGTGCGTTCCGATATCCCCGTTATGTAGCATGTATGTTGCTGAGAGGAGTTTGCTACAGGTGGACGTTGCTGAATGCGACTATCTCGTGGACCTCGATTTCCCGTTGCATCCCTCGGAATCCGCGCACGAGCCTCGCTACGTGCTGGACGAAGCCACCTGGGAGCGAGTGAAGTGCCTGCCATTCTTGGATGCGCGGCACTCGTCGATTCTGACGCGCACGCTTTGGATGCCGGGGGCGCGCTGGCAGGAGGGAAACGAGTACGGCGAGTATTGTCTGCTGAAGAACCGGGAGCGCGTGAAGAGAATCGAGGGGGGCGTGACGGTGAACCGAGGTCTGTGAAGCGATCGAAATCTTGTTAGACAGCGAATAATTGCCGCGTTTGTTTGGTAGCTGTGGCTTGGTAGCCGACGCAACTTCGGTTGCGCATGTAATCCATCGGGCTTCGTCCGGTTTGAGCCAAAGTCGCCTTGGGCTCCTGTGCCAGCTTCAGCTCGCTCGCGAGTACTGTAGATGTGAGCAGTTGTGAAGCTCGCGGCAGACGATTCAGCCACGTCGGCGGGCAGCGCTCGCGGTTCCTGCGGAGAAGGTGCACGCGGATTGCGGGGTGTCACCAGATATGGCAGGTGCATCCACGCAGGAATACCTGGTCTGTGCCCAATTCACGGGTTGCACATGGCCAGTAGCTGGAGGTAGCTGTCGCCGGTGACGACAGCCGTTCCATTGTGGAAGTGTCTCCTTCTGCAGGCTGATGTGTGCCGTGCTGCGACCGGTGCACCCACCCTGCACCCGCCGCTGCACCAGGACGCTGCTCCCGCGGTCAGACAAGGCTGCGAGAGGATCAGCCGCTGGCCATGGCCCCAGTGGGATCGCTGGTGGCGGGCAACGCGGCAGGCTACCCTCGGCACGCGCTGTGGCGGGGACGCTGCACGTCAGCGCGCTGGATCGGGCAGCTGCTTGCTCAATCAAGCAGTCACCACCCCATATCAGGACATGTCGAAAGCTCGGTGCATTCTCGAATTTCTCTGGCCGTCCAAGTGGCGGCTTCTCCCCGCCTGCCGCACGCTGCGTCCGCCGTGCTTCATAACTTGTCTGCCTTCAACCACCATCTCCCCCCTCACACCTCTCCCTGTGCGCCCTCGCCTCCCTTCCCCCACTCCGCCCTTCCCGACACAGCGCGCAACGTCCGCTCACAACAGCAGACGCATTTCGTAGTCACGACTCTGTGCAAGATGGATACAGATCTGACTTCCGCGCAACACTTCATTTTCGTGTACGTTTTCGGCATTCGTGAATTCCAACGCGTCGACTTACCTCTAAATCCTAGCACGCAACTTCACTTTTGCGGTTTGTGACTCTGTCTTTCTTTCCCTGCTCTTCAGCTGACTTGTAACGCGTCCGTGCTGCAGCCATGTGTGAGTACTATGCACTACGAATTCTCATGCCACGCTGACATCAAGCCGTCCTCAGATGCTGTGACTTGCTGGGACTGGCTACTGGCTATGCCTAGAGAATGGCGATATGTACGCATCGCTTCGCCTTCATGTAGCGACTTTCCTAACGCTTCTTCAGATCTGGAAAACTAGCTGGACACCAGTGAAAGTCGCGTACTTGTTTTGCCGGTACGTTACACGCCAGACAGCAGGATGGACTCAACTGAACACACGCCAGGTATTGGGTGTTCGTCACCGCGCCATACCTCTTGTGGGCGTTTGTAGTTGAGCACCCGCTGGAGACTTGCGAGAGGGTCTACAGGGTACGCTGCGATCTGAAGCCAGTGACCTCTTATGGTTTCACCACGCTAATCCCCTTCACATCGACAGATCCCAGTGATGCTCGCGATGTGGAACCAAGCATCCGCTGAGATTATTCTCCTCATCCGTACCTATGCGTTCTTCAATCGCAACAACTACATGCTCGCCTTCCTAGTATCCGCTCTCGGCGGTGTCATAGCATACCAACTCTACGTAGCATCATCAGAAATGCTCCGTGAGTTTGATTCGTGTCGATCCAGTCGGCATCTTTGCTGATGACAATTATCGTCCCAGTTTTGCCATTTGTATCGTCTCCCGTACGTCCTCAGCACTGCGGTCTCCAAATATTGCCGAAGATTAGCTCCCTCCGACGGTGAATGCCTGAAGAAATCCGCAGCGAGCGCGAATCTTCGGTGACGACGAAGCATATATGCGCACGATCGCTGCGCATTTCTTGAGGCATTTTTCAAAGGTTGCTTCTGCGTATATGGAGGGCGTCTCCTTTCCGTCGGGACGGTAGAGCTTACCATTCCCCTCAGACATCAGGACCGTGCTTTCCACGCTCTCGGCCAGGTTCAGCGGATCTTCTTGGTGAGCAACGACTGTGAATAACCTTGTAACAACGTTTTGACGATGCGTTGACGGCAGGATTCTTCGTAAGCGTTTTGACGTCGTGACAGAGACTGTTTAAGTGGGACTTACCAGTCATTAGATCGCACCTCTCGCATTTGACACCATTGTCACCCTCCTCACGGTTGCAAAGGCCGTCGCCATGCGGCGCAGGAGTGGCGGGCCCAATAGCAGACTTATCCAGACTTTCCTTCGCGAAGGTAAGTCGTACAAAAATCATATATTATAGAGCGCAACGATGTGACGTCGTGCATTACAGGAGTCTTCTATTACATGTTGATCTCTGTCGCTAATCTGGTGAGCATTGGTCATTTATTGTAGATACAGTGATCGCACATCGCTCAACCCCGGTCCTTTTGTGCACAGGTCAACGGCATCTTCTACCTACAGTCAGTTCATACTCGGCTCGTTTCATCTAAGCAGGGAGGCTCACCTTCCATCCTAGGCCCCGCCAAGTGATGTCGGCAATATGCATCCCTCTCAGCGTAATGCTAGCTCCGGTGCTGGCGTGCCATCTCATCCTTGACCTGCGGGAGCGAGGAGCCGAGACTGTCGCGCAGTCCGCAGGTACCATCGCTTTCACCGCTGGCGTCTCCTCCAATAAGTCGATCCCTGGCTCCCCATTTTCCGGGCTGGGATTCGGCTTTGGGTCTCCATCGAGCTCGAAGGCCCTGGTGCGCCCTACCGGCGTGTTGCTGAGCACGATGGGCAGCATTCCTATGGAGGGCATAGAAGTAGCGATGGGCGGCGGCGTGGAACTGGAACATATGCAGGCGTATGGTTCGGAAAGCTCGGTTGACAAGGACGTCGAGCTTGGCCTCGGGAGCACTGTCAGTGGTATTCGGGTGGACGTGGAGAAAACGACTATGTGATGGTGTTCGGAGGCGGTCCGAGTATTTTCGAAGTTTTGCGTTGCGTCGACTAGTACACTGTTTTCTCATGGCCATTCATTTGCCTTCACGCTCAAGCTCATATTTCACGTCTTCATTCATTCAGACTTCATACCTCGTATGCGTACCTTGGCGATTTGTTGCCAATTCATGGAGCCAAAGGTCTATTTTCGCACGTTGTATTCGCATAGAAATTGTACTTGTTGGATTGATCTTGGCATAATTTCGTGTTTGCATCCTCGCCGCGACGACACATGTGCATGGGGGGACTTCTCTTAGTTCAAAGGGCTGCTCATGTCAGTAAGTACTGTGCATCAGAAAGCGACGGCGTTGAGAACGGGCGTCAACGGTACGACGGGCCGGTACATAACATTGCCCGGTTGGTCCGTGCGCAGGAGGCGCGCGAGTATATAAGTGGTGGGCAGACGTTCGGAATCCTCACCACTCTGGCCTTTTGGCTTAGATCAAGTGTAGTATCTGTTCTTAATAGTTTAACCACTATTATGGAGGCACCGCCTCCATTATTGGTTATCTAATTTTTGCCGCCCTTGTCTCTAGGCTCTGCTTGCAACCTGGAGGCGCGATGACCTTGCTACTGCAGTACTGGCTTGTGTCGTCGGGGGACTTCTTAGTTGCTCTTTCTTTTTGATATGCTCTGGAGGAAGTCAGTTGGCTTCTGAACGGGTGTGTCAAATGGAATTGGTGGACCATATGTTGAGCCTTTGTGCAGGTGTGTAACTGCTGTTCTTGTGCTATCTTTGACGTATCATCTTATGCTGTCGTGTACGGGAATGCAGTGGTAGATTTGGACTTCCAGCTAATTCCATATCGCTAGACCCTCCTCCCGACTCGGAGAACGCGCCCACTTGTGGAGGCTATTGTGCCTTTCTCTGACCCTCTCGTTGAGCGATCCGCGCCCACCGGGCCACGAACCTCGGTCTAGCCCGCTCTCTATGGTCAAATCCTGATGGGAACGCCCCAAAGATACCAAGACCGACACACTCCGCCTGTGCGCACTTGCGCTCGGGGTCTAGTGATATGGAATTAGCTATTACACGGCCGCCATGGACCCATCTTGTGCGAACGTGCGCACTGCGAACGCCGAAGCGTGTGTATCCAGTACCGGAACGGGATCGAGTCCGATCGGCGATCGTCTGAGTCGGATCATTGTCAACAACATTACTTATCAGCGTCAGTCGGCGGGTGTACCGTCTGTTCTATGTCATCTAAATAGCTTAACTGTTTCCGCAGTTGAACGGGCGCGACAGAGCATTCATCGGCTGCTGGAGGCTTGTGATCATTCTTGTTCACCTTGGAAGCAATGCTACAGGCACTTTTGCACACCTTCCAAGTAGAGTTTCAATGCATGCAGCGCCGCAGTTCAAATGACCGCAGATTCCTGGCAGCGACCCCGATGGCCCTCCTACATAATGGTCAGCTGCTCCGAGGAATTTTCAACGCATTGCCTCGGCGGCCTGGCCATTCGCCTTCTGGTCGGATGCGTCCCACGCTTCCTGCAGTCGAAGGTCTGTCGGCAGCTTATTAATTTCACCGCCGCCTATCCTTACCACACGGCGCACGCAGATCAGGAGATAGTGTGCCAATTACAGGGCTATGGCGTAGCGTCGTCTCAGCTGAGCTGAGCTGGATGCGGTCTGACAGATAGCCTCGTCCGTCGGTCGCGGACTCGAACCTTGCCCACGTTAAGCAAGATTGAAGATCCCAGTGGAACCGATCGAAAGAGTGGGAGACACAGTAACATATAAGCGTTACAGACCAGCCTGAATAGCCTGTCCAACTTGAAGCGCAGCACAAGAACAGCATGAGCACAGCAACGTATAGTACTACCCAGGACTCGCTGAAGGTTGCGTTGGTCGGCGGAGGTGTGGTAGGACTGACGTGCGCACTGGGATTACTCCAGAAGGGTGTCACCGTAGAGATCTTCGAAGCAGCGGTACGTGCCTCCTCGACATTAACCACGTTGAGGTCTAAATTATGTGCTGCGACAGGCCCAGTTCGGAGAAATCGGCGCCGGTATAGGTGTCGGTACGTTAGATACAACGGTACATGATCCATCCAATGGTGCTCATGCAGGCAAATCACCAGGTCCGAATGCGGCACGCGTTCTTCGACGCCTCGGTGTCCTCGATGAACTATGTACTCAGTGCAAAGAACCGGGACTGACCATGGGCGAATTCTTGTTCTATTCCGCAGAAGGACAGAATGAGCTCTTGTATTCGGTGAGCTGAGCGCGTGCTTCCAGTATAATACACCACTGACGCAGGAGACAGTATCCGCTTACCGAAGGCGGGCTAGGCAACGGTCTTGGTGCCTATCGGTACGTGTCTGCCGCAGCGGTTTGAGTGATCAAGGACTCAGGCCTCCACAGACCTGCCTTTCTGGACACGCTCGTCAAATATCTGCCCCCCAGCATTACGCACTTTCACAAGCGATGCACTTCCATCGAGCCGTCCACGACGAACCCTAGCCGCAATGTGCTTCATTTTGCCGATGGAACTTCATACGAAGCCGACGTGGTCATTGGAGCGGATGGGATCAAGAGCACGGCTCGGTCGACTGTAACGGACAACGCGAAGTTCCTCCCGGTCTTCAGCAACACGATTTGTTTCCGCGGCCTGATTCCCATGAAGGAGGCGCGAGCTGCTGGGTTCACCACGGAGTTCAATGGCCGTCCTCTTTGTTTCGCGAGCAAGAACAGGGTAAGAGCGGACAGACCATATACCAGGCCCATCTAATTCGTTCCACAGCACCTCATCGTCTTCAGTATCGAAGGTGATACAATCGTGCGTATGCCGCATATGGCTGTTGTATGCAACTACCAACGGTATGCCCCTGCAGATTAACGTCGTTGCATTTGCCGCCGACTATACCAAGCCGATCGGGACCGTTTCTCTGCCGCCTGATGAGCCATGGGTGAAGGTCGTGTCTCAGGAAGAGATGTTCAAGGTGTTCGAAGGGTGTAGCTCTGAAGTCATGGCACTGCTTGAGTGCATCAAGGAGCCGAGCAAGTGGTCAATCCACGTCGTTCACCCGCATCTGGAGAGTTTCGTGAAGGGACGGGTGGCCCTGATAGGAGATGCGGTCAGCATGTTTCTCTGACAGTGACATGAATCTACTGACTCGTTCTTCATAGGCACACGGAATGTTGCCGCACCTTGGATCAGGAGCAGGCCAAGGCATCGAAGACGCTTACATCTTGGCCCAACTTCTCGGGCACCCACAGACCAACGCAGGCAATATCGAGGTAAGTCTCTAATGCTCAGTGTATAGCCATCCTTCACATGCCCATCCGTCACTTCAGGGAGTACTGGAAGCTTATGATCGCTGGGCTCGCCCGCGTGCACAAATGGTGTGGGAGGGAAGTCTCAGGGCGGGAAAGATATACGACGGCTGGGGAGATGGCGGGCTCAATCCTGAGGGCGCCGCCAAGGATCTCGGGACGCAGTGGGCACCGGTGTGGTTCCACGACGTCGACGACAACGTTCGTGCTGCGATAGACGAGCTGAAGGCGGGGGGATATTCACCTCGGGGTAAATGCACTTCCCGCGTACCCGAACGATGGATATCACCTAGCTTAGCGTACTCACGAATACAAAGGCACGATGACATGAACAAAGCAACTTAGATTGCATCGGCATAATACGGTCATAGTACTGTAACAAGGCTCATAGAAGTACAGGGGAACAAGAGGCAAGGGAAGCCATGATCAAGCGCCGAAACCGTAGAGTGTGCGGCCGGAACGCTTCAGTGCGTAGACAACATCGAGAGCCGTGACAGTTTTCCTGAGCGCGACGTCAGAATTGGCAACTTCACGTCGAGACAAGACAAAGCAGAGTTACCTCTTGGCGTGTTCAGTGTACGTGACGGAGTCCCGGATAACATTTTCCAGGAAGATCTTCAGGACACCACGGGTCTCTTCGTAGATAAGGCCCGAGATACGTTTCACACCACCACGACGGGCGAGACGCCGGATAGCCTACAACATCAACGGTCAACTGAAGAGTTCATTGATATCTACGGGGTGCACCCACTGGCTTTGTGATACCCTGGATATTGTCGCGCAAAATCTTGCGGTGGCGCTTAGCACCACCCTTGCCGAGGCCCTGTACGCGATGTCAGCAAACATCTGAACTTCTTGGAAGCGAGGATACACACCTTGCCACCTTTGCCGCGTCCAGACATAGTAGATGTGTTTAATGCTGTTATGCTATCTCAGCACAACGGTGGTGATAGGGAGATAGGAACTCACTGGGAGGGAAGGTGAGGTGGTGGTGGCGGTGGTGGTGGTGGTTCGAGTGTGAGTGCGATCCCAGGTCGCGTTCAACGCGTTTAAGGCGTCGCGTTTGCAGCTATTTGGCTCTCTCACGTGCGCGTCTAGCGCGTAAGCTGACACTTAGTAGTACACAGTAATATACAGGCCGTTGCCACACATCGTCTTGCACGCCTCTTCAGCCTCCTCGACGAAGACAATGCCTATCACTCATATCACCTCGCTCTCCCAGCTTGACGGAATTCTGTCAAAAGCCTCGGATAAGCTTTCTGTGAGCGAAGTCTTAGTGCTCAGCGAAGGTTGAGTGTAGTATTCATTGCTCATTGAAGGTCATCGACTTCCATGCAGAATGGTATGTCCCTGCATGGATACCGCACTCTCTGAATTACTCAGGCTCTACAGGTGCGGGCCATGCCATATGATTGCACCAAAATATGAAGCGTTGTCGAAGCAATACAACCATGTCAACTTCTTGAAGTGCGACGTCGATGCCGCGAAGGATGTGGCTAGTCGGTATCGTGTAACTGCGATGTGAGTGGCAGCCTTGAGTTCTTGGAACGTTGGACACAGTGACCTACCTATTTGGTGCCAGGCCAACATTTGTGTTCCTGCGAGGAAGCACGAAGGTCGATCAGGTCAGAGGGGCAAATCCAGGGTACTGCTGAATCAGTCTCACATTTTTTGCGTGATCTCATTTGTGCCTCTGCAGTGCGTTGCAAGAAACACTGCATCGTCATGCGTCCGGATCGTCATCGGGTGCCTTCAGTGGCAAGGGCCAACGCTTGGGTGACACACCGTCGGCGCCGTCAGACCCGCAGCCACAAGCCGACGCGCCTGCGATATTCACTGCATTTGCTCAGCTTGACCCCAAGATCAAAGTCCTGGTATACCTCGTAGCTGGGTATCTATTCCTGTGGTATATAAGCTGAACTGCATGGAACACTATCGCCATCGGATCAAAGCTTGTGTGACTAGTTGCCGTGGCTTTGTTGCTACTACCTAAGTAGTTGTACTATGACTCTAAATAAAATTATGCAGTGGATTCAAAGTGGATTGTCATCTTCAGCACAGATACATCCAGTCGCTCTTTCATCGTCCGAGTTGGTGGTAAATTACGGTCACGTGCAGTGCGCGTTCTGGTGCCATTGTTGTCGAACTGCGAAGGGTGGCGCCGCGACGGCGTTGCGTCCTCGTCGTCCTTCACCTCACCTCACTGGCGACTGCCGCTCCCTCGCCCGTAAGCATACGTGGCGACAAAGCTCTTGCGCATTGGACGTGACGACCTATATGATACACGAGCCTTCATGACATCCAACGCGAAAGCGAACCCTCCATCGGCTACGAGCACTCTTGTCCCCGAGTCTTTTCTGGATGTACCTACTCAAAGATTATACGCGTTGAGCATTGGTGCCCTTTGCCAGGTAAGTCTTGCTCATCTTGTGGCTGGCCGAAGCAATGCGAAAAGCTATGGCTTTGTTCGAGCATATCACACACAGTTCTTAACTAACATAACGCTCTAGGCCATCAAAGCCTTCGACTTCCTGCGATACTTGGTCCTACCAGATGCTGCGAATGGGGCCTACGTCAAAAAATGGCTTACCTTCGACTTCCTCTTCTGCGTCTGTCTTGCACAACTCCGAATACCGCGTCTGAAGTATAGCAAGTCCGTCGTTGCTTTGCAGATACTGTTAATATGGATCCTCGATGGGCTCATGTTTGGTGGGATCACGGTGAATGTGGGAGGAACACGGTCTTGGACAGTTGTACCTTCGCTCGGCCTCGCCAGTACGTGTCCCTGGTTTGCGGCTGGCGTATGCACCTAACATGGCATTTCGCAGACCGAGCAGGCATTGCTTCGACGCCTCCTGGCTCCGGACTTTGGAGCATACTCCCTAGCTTTGGTCTTGGCTCTATCTCTGGCTCGAATGGAGGAAAGGATGCGCACCTCTTGGGTCAACATACCGTCAGGATGTCTCCCATCAGCACGGCGTACCTCAATCCCTACGGACAGACATTCTGTCTGGCATCATCCAGTCATAGCGTTCTCGTACCACTTCTTCTTAACAACACCTCCCCTCCGAGCGTGCGCTATTCACTTGTACCTTTGGGGTATGTCGAAGGGTCCGGAGCAAAAATCGAGCGAGTGGATCTGTCCGCAAAAGATCTGAAGGCTATCGAGAATGCCCGCCTGGAGGACCTCCAAATAGCACGAAGCTCGGCGACAAAACGCGAGGATGACGACTATGACGACTACGACGATGATGAAGACGAGCAAACTGGGACTGACTCGCCTACAAAACTGCAGAAGACACAAAGCATGACATATATTCGGATCAGCAAGCCCGGGACGGTGCGGCTCGACCGCGTCCTGGACTCCTCCAGCGAAGCTCGACTTGTCTATCCAGGCGAGGTTACCATTGTACCCTGTCCTCGAGCGGAGTTCGTACCGGACAATATCGCAGATACGCGGTGCGCTACACCTGGGATCACCGGGGGCGCTGGTGAAGAGCTCAACCTCCACATTGATGTCTATGGCGTTCCCCCGCTCAGCCTACGCTGGTACAAAGAAGTCGACGGAAGGAGAGAGTCATTCATGGTCGAGGGTATCGAGAGTTCGGGTCACGCACACCGTCGGTCAATTGACGAGAACCGCGCGCTGGAACGTGCACCAACGCAGCGACCTGCCGCAGAACTGCGTATCCCCTTGACGGTGTCTCTTGACGCCCTCGGCACGCATTCCTATGTATTAGAGGCTGTCACGGACGCCATAGGAAATGTCGTTCATGCAGGGTCGACGGCCTCTCCACCAGACTCCACTGTTCCAGGTGCTCTGCACAAACTAGGAGTCGTACCTGCCCACAACGCCTCACTTTCTCGCACGCGTCGCTCTGTTAGCGTTTTGCGCCGCCCCAGTGTCTTGTTCGAGGCTTGTAGCCCCGGCACCCCCGTTTCTTTGTTGATCGGCTCTGACTCCCCTCTCGTCATCTCCGCCAAGAATGCGGACTCGTTGGATGGTCCCTGGGACGTCAACGTACGCTATCAGCCACTTGAAGTCGAGGATAGTGGCAAGAAGGATGCTAAACGACACAAGCCGTGGACGAAGAATGTGCAATTGCCTCAAGGACGTCGCGATGTCACATTCCGTGTGAATGAACCCGGGGAGTATACATTGGTTGGGGTTAAAGGCAGGTATTGCGAAGGCGATATTCTGAGCCCGGACACGTGCAAGGTGGTAGAGAGGCCCTATCCGACCGCAGAGATCGAGTGGAAGAAGATTCACGAATGGCAAGTGCTGCTGGGTTCCTATGTTGCGCGTTGCTGACGAGTCGTAGTTCGGGAGATACGGGGGTGTCTGCATCCCTGGTCTTACATGGGACACCTCCCTTCCAGGTCTATTACCGTATGCAGCGCGACAAGGAGCCACCCAGGGAAATTTCCAAATCATTCACCAACTCCAGGGGCGAACTCACCATTCAACCAGAGCGCAGCGGTCACTATACCTTCACATTCCTGTACCTGAGCGACGCAAACTATAAGAAGGTTGACCTTAACGGGCCCAGCATCGACCAAGTAGTGCATCCACCTGCATACGCCGAGTTTTCGCACCGCGAGCCCATTGGCAGAGGAAAGAGAAAGATCAGCAGTTGCTCAGGCAGCACCGTCGACGTCGATATTGATCTTCGCGTAAGTCTGGTTTAGTCCCTTAGTCGAAAATAACTGAAGGACGTCCGTTGTATAGGGTACTGGGCCTTGGACCCTTGAAGCGCAAATCGTTGGTCCTAAAGGCTCCGAGGTAGTGCGAGTGCCAAACGTCTCCAACTCACGTCACACACTCAATCTTCCGATACCAAAAGCCGTCGATCGGGACGGTGGCTCCTTTGAGATTGACCTCGGTAAGTCGCAAGCATTTTCGAACATCGGGATTAAGTCAAATCCTGAAACTGCCATCACAGTTAGCGTTGAAGATTCGTACGGGTGCAAGCGTTCTCTATCTGTTCCTGGCATAGCCGTCAACGTTCGCCGGGTCAAGGTCTGTTGTCTTCGTTGGCGAGAAGTCCAGTTGCAGACACTAACCTATTACCATAGCCTACAGCCAAATTTTATGGCAAAGCAGAGGACCGCCATATTACGACTCTTGACAATGAGCAAGTGGCGCTCCCACTACGCTTGACTGGTGATGGGGTAAGCCGCTTACCGGACGCACAATTACAGCCACTCATTCAAGTTTGACAGCCATGGCGAGTGAAATACAGACACGTCGATTACCCAGGCAAAGTACTATCCGCCACGGTGTCATCGCCTAACGGGGAACTGCATGTCATGGAGAAAGGAGTGTATGAGTTGCTCGAGGTAAGGTCCAGCCGACCTGCACGATAACATCTGCTCATTTTATGTAGGTTTCCGATTCACAATGCCCGGGATCAGTGGTTCTGCGCGATTCTACATATAGCGTGGACCATGTTCCGCGCCCATCTGCGAAGTTATCCCCAGAGATCCAATCTACGTATGAGCCATACAACGGGTCACACATTCTCCCGCCAATCTGTGAAGGTGCTCACGATCATGTAGACCTTGATTTGACTGGTGCGCATCGCATACTCAGTTTCTTCTCCTTGACTTTTGATTGATAAATCGACAGGCCGGCCACCGTTCCAGATCATGTACAACGTTGCGAGGGACAACGACGCAGGGGGTACGAAGATTCTGGATCAGCCCACGTTCAGCAGCATCCAGCCGCGGACCAGTTTCCAACTTCATACCAGCGAAGCAGCCCGCATTTACTACGAAGTCAAACAGATCGGCGACGTAGCGTATCCGTTGGCTAAGAACAAGGACGCCGTCATACCACGCTCCGAACGCTTGCTCTTTGAGCAGCAGGTACTCACGCGCCCGTCCGCTCGCTTCCGTAGCCTTAGTCGCCTCTCGTACTGCTTGAATGATGTCCTGCTCCCGCAAGATCCCAGCATTCAGGATGGGGCAGTTATCTTGGAGGGCACCGCACCGTTCAAGGTCAAATTGGCCATCCGGAATGTGGCTACGAGTAATGTCCACCGGGAGGCTCTCGACGTCCATGAGAAGACGTGGAGGCTCAATGTCCCCAAATACACGTTCAACTCCATCGGACCACATCTTGTCACCATCGAGGGCGTCCAGGACGCGTCGCATTGCGAACAGGCGGTCCCAGATCCGTTGTATCGCTCGATTTACGTGGATGTCGCCGAGACGGCGGCGATCGTGCCGTTTGATAGGAGAGAAGACTTCTGTGTTGGCGATGTCACGCAGTTCCAGCTCGAGGGCATTCCACCGTGGACTATTGGGTACGTTGCATCAATTCTTCCCCGTCTATACTCCGTGTTTATTCCCCGCATAGCTACCGCGTCAACGGCAAGTCCTACACGCAAGAAGCCAAGATCTCTCCTTTCTCGATCGCGCAGCAGCAGCCGGGAGAATTCAACATCACGTCCATCGCACACCAGCAGAAGATGTGCAAGACCGCGGTGACAGACCTACGCTACACCGTGCATTCCCTTCCTGCCGCACGCGTCGGCCACGGCAAGAGGATTGTGCAGGACATACACGAGGGCGACCAGGCGGAGATCATCTTCACGCTCATCGGGGAACCTCCATTCACGTTCACCTACCAGCGGGCAGAGCTCACCAGCAAGAAAGGTCAGCAGGGCAAGGTGCTCGAGACTCATACGGTATCGGGCGTGACGACAAAGGAGTATTCGGTCTTCTCAGCACTCGAAGGTCAGTACCAGTAGATGTCTCTGAAATTCACGAGTCTGACGGATCGTCTATGCATTAGGTACATGGACTGTCACATTCATCGCGGATCGGTACTGCAGGTATCCGCCAATGCAACCGGACGGTGCGGATAAGTCAAGATAGGCTGTGATGGTAAAAGTATCTATGTATATAATGGTGTCAGACGTGCACCCTCTCTGTTTGTAGCTCTAAGTATAATATCCCCGGGGTTCTGCAATTCAGTCGATCGCCTTGCGGTTCGTGTCAAGCTCGATTCAGTGCGCGACGTTGCTCACTAACCTTCTGTTGGTGGGCACAAAAGCGATGTACGCGATCAATAACGAGCCCGGAACGAAGACCCATCGCTAGACTGTATGAGACAGATTGGCATTGGCTTCCCATTTTCACGCTACACATACACCCATGAAACGACTTATACCGGAGCGGATGCAATGTAGAACCACTTCGAGACTGACCGCGACCGGTGACATTAAAACCGACGTAGCAGACATAGACGACGGCAGACTCACTGGAAGGGTCGATGGGCGCCGGAGGCTTCCTCGAGTCCGGAGGGATGCTGCTGTGCGAGGGGTCATCCTTGGTGACGTGGCCGGGCGAGTTCGGAGCGGTCAGGTTGCGGCTGTAAGGGCCCGCGTTAGCCTCAATACAGCAATAGCATAGGGGAAGGCACACATCGATAGATCGTACGAGGCAGTCTTCGCGGGGGCCTCGCCGCTGATGAGACGACGCCATGCCTCATGGCACTCGTGAATAATCTCCGTTGCGTACTTCTTGTTCTTAGCCTCGCCAGAGAAAGCGAACTGGTTCTCGGGCTTGCCGTCGGGGATCTTGTAGATCCTACGAAATGAAGTCGTCATGAATGCCGGGGACCGAGGTAAACCCGTGCGAGCAATACGTACCGGAACCACTCGTTCGTCGCACGAACGAGGCCGGGCAAGTGTCTCTCGACGTCCTCAATGTCGTTGAGCTTGGACGCAAGGGGGTCGTTGACGTCGACGACGAGAACCTTCCAGTCGGTCTCGCCCTCGTCGAGAAGTGCCATGATACCGAGAACCTTGACCTGCTTGATCTGGCCGACGTAACCAACCTGCTCACCAATCTCGCAGACATCGAGCGGGTCGTTGTCACCGTTAGCCTTGGTCTCGGCGTGGGTCTGGGACGGATCCTCCCAGGTCTACACAACGGCATGTCTATGTTGGGGCGTACTGGCGACCAAACGAGCTGTCTGACGCACCTGGGGGAAAGCACCGTAGTTCCAGATGTAGCCGTGGTGGGGGAAGCAGTTGCGCACGAAGCGCAGACGACCCTTCTTGATGTCCTGTTTGATGGGGTTGAACGGCTCCTCCTTGGAGATCTCCATCTTGGCGTTGGTCCAGCGGGGGACCTCGACGACCATGTTCAGGATGCCATTGTTGCGATCTGCGAACAAGGGAATGTCGTGCCAGGAAGAGACGGGGCTGCCGTTCTGCTCAAGGAACACACGGTGCTCTGTCCGCCGTATGATCAGCCGGCCATCTCGACGCGTAGAAACTGCATTGGACTCACCGAGAGTGTTGGGGGCGCCGATGAGGCGGGGGGTGTATTCTGTGAGCAAGGCATGGTGAGCAGGAGCCTGGACGCGAGCGGGATGCAAGACGTACGGGAGGCCATGGTGGTGGTAGAGGAGAAGAGGCGGGCGTGGTGTGACAGGCGTCGAAGAGCGGCCGCGGTGGACATGCACCCGTTGTGGTGTTTATAGCCAAGTTCTCAAATCGATATCCCCCTTACACCCGTATCGCGATCGCTTCGCCTTGATACGATCTCATCACGACACCCTCACGAGTCACCAGCAGTCTTCCCCAGACTATCTCATCGTCGGACTACTGTACACTACGTACATCTTACACGAACGACGAGCATCACACTACGAACCGCGCCAGGTGGGGAAACCATCACATCTCCGAACCAGCACACATCCTCACAACCACCACCCGCTCGCGAGCTACGCGAGCCCGCCTTGCTTCAATATCTCCTCCGTCTCGCTCGCAGGTATTCTTACGTTCCGTGTCGGCTTCGAGAAGCCGCCGTTGAAATCCAGGCGCAAAAGCAGGCGTTCTACGTGCCGACGGACCTCTTCATCCCCTGCAAGGCGTTTGCCGCGTTTCGGACGGAGGAAGGTACGGAAACTCGAGGCATTCGCCATGCTCGCGTTCTGAGTCATCGACTTCGATGCATCCGTGACCGCGGAGAGAGGTTGCTGTGTTGTCGAGAGTGACAATTGCTCATAAAATGAACTCAAGAGTGAATGTAGCGTCTACCCAAGACGTCAGGGGCTCGCTCTCTTGCAATGCGGTTAAGGAGCATACCTCATTGATCTCAGCCACGATGGTCCGCCGTTCCTTGACCATTTTACCCACTCTATCGCCGCCCGCAAGGCTTCCTTCAAAGAGAAGAGCCGGAAGAATATCTCCTCCCCATCTCTCGACTTGCGCAACGAACCGTTCGCAGATCTCCAGGATTAATCGAATGATCGCCGTCAAGGCAGGATTTGACAGCAGGCTACCAGTGAGAAGGCGCTCGAGGTAAGTGGTGTGGATGTTACGCAGGGTGGTGAAGTCCAGCTGGGACGGCGCAGAAGTGGGGGGATGGGAAGCCCCGCTTGAGGACGCAGGGATGGTTGATGAGGAATGAGAGGTCCCAAAGGGCGGGTCGGCATCTGTGTCGGTTGGTGCAGGCCGTGTACCGGTCGGCTGCCTGACAATTCCCGACGTCTTCTCCAAGAGTAACCCCTTCAGTCTCCTGAACTCGACGTCTACAACGTCCGTCATGACATAGCCCAGGAGGGTGTCGAGGAACCAGCTCATCTCTCGCACTACACCCCACCCGAAACGCAAGAGTTCCTTTCGGACTTCGAGATCCTCGGCCGTACCACCTTCTCCTAGGCCTGTCCATCGGCGACGTGCACGCTGGGCGTTCGATAGGGATGTCCAGCAGGTATGGATGCGCGTGTGGGTCTTGCGAAGCGCAGATAGGTAGGCAAACAGGGCGCCGTAGATCTGGAGATCCGACGAATGCAGGAAGAGATCCAGGGGCCAAGCAACACTGTATGTCAGAACGAGAGGCGTGCCAAGGAGCAGGTCATCGAAGCTGGTCGCTTCGACTGTCGAAAGTGACGCTGATAGGTCCTTGGCGGGGCCCGTGGCAAGCGAAGGTAGTAGTGGGCGTAAGGGTCCTGATGGGAGGCGGAAGCGGAGATGAGAGAGCGACGGATCCTGTTGTGCTGTTGTACCCAGTGACGCACGAAGAAGGGCAAGATGCAGATCTTGCTCCCTGATCATGGTTGTGGGTCCTGAGCGGCCTGTGAGACGCGAGATCTTCAAGCGTTCAACCTCACGAATGAGTGATAGCGCGAACTCCCCGTTCCGGAGCAAGAAGTAGTTAGCACTAGGGCATATTTTCAGCATGAGCACGAAGGAGGCCCAAAGATAATCCAGCCTACTTACAGCGACTCAACAGCAACATCAACGTCTTTCTGCGTGAGGACGTTGAGCCATAACCACTCGCTAACGGTCGTCCTGATGTCAGCGATCACACGGTCGAAGGCATACTGTTCTTGGGGCAATACACCCTCCAACAACTTGCTGTGCTCCATGGCTAGCTCTCGCGGAAATTGACGTTCCCATTTTGCGGCTTTGACTGTACCGATCGCCCGACCGACGTAAGCTATGGACTCTCGTGACTGAGAAGACAGACAAGATGGTACTGCGCCTTCCAGTAACGTATAGTCTTTGTCGGTTAGTGGGTCTTTTTCCGTTACTGTGCCATGTATCAAGAACGCTTGGAGCCGCGCCATCCAGACCCGCTGCACCGCTTCGCATAGACGAGCCAGGATACATGCGATCCGGTGAATTCCAGTATGTGACCGCTTCTGGAGGAGATCGATCAAAGGCCCAGGATGCCAATTTGTTTGTGTCTGCAACTCTTCGAAGAGGGTCTCCAGGGCGGCGAGAGGTGCGTCCCACTCGGCGAATGTGGCTCGGATGGAAGACAGAGGTACGAACGACCCGGTGGCAACGAGACCAGGATCCCGCTTCAATACCTTGGCTTCTGTTTCGACGACTAAGTTCTCATAGTCATCTTTGAGAATTTCGTTCAGTGTCGCGCATAGCGCAGAGATATAGCGTGACTGTGAACGAGAGAGCGCAGAGCATGCCACCTTGATCTTTCGGTATCGAACCGCGATCTGGCCCAAAGATTCCAGACATTGCTGTTCTCCAGGGTGTAACAGGGGAGAGAATGCTGGGTGGACGTTGTGGTCCGTCGGAAATAGCGAGGAAGAGTGCCCGGCCAGCACCAGGAGAACTTCTGCTATCATGGATCACCTTGTCTCGTCAACTGATGGTGGACGTTCAGCAGACATCAGGTGCTCACCACTGCCTGCTTAAGGACTATAGTGATAGACAGCCGAGCGACTGGACGCGAGGTACTTAGGGCTGCCGGTGGACGTTGGGCGGATGAGGGAGTCGGACGCGTCGAGTCGCGTCGCCTAGTCCCCGTGATCAGATCCGAGGGAGGCCCGCGCGGCGCGCGCTCGTTTGTCGGCCTCAGCACGGCCTGCAACGAACGCCGGACCACCTACTGCTGATGACCATCTCCCCTACGTGCACGCCGTTCACGGGCGACCATGTCTAGTATACACGACGAACACTCTGACGAGGAGGACGTGGTTCGCGATGAGAGGTACTTTGGGAGACCGGTCAAGAGCCCATTCGATGATGCGTTCTCCGACGAGGACGAGGACGACCGGAACGAAGTGCCCGAGTTCTCACCCGCGGCGATTCGTGCAGAGCTGGCAAAGTCATACAACATTCAAGACCGACTCACGCAGGACGAGGTGGCAGACTTTGCCGTGAAGGTTGGCTTCCCAGTCGACCCGTACTTGTCGCCGCAGCCTGTGGAGGCGGAGGAGGCCGAACCCGAGCAGTCGCTCTCGGCACCCCCAGCCATGCAACGATCGCATTCCTCTTCATCGGACAGACCATCTGCACCGTCCCACGCGAGTTCGTTCTACGAAGTTCAGCTCAGCAGCCCTACCTCTGCACTGGACTTGCAAGACTCGTCCCCTTCTCCCGAACCTACGCCAGTCTCGCCTCCCGAACCCTCTGAGGAGCCTCGCTCAGCAGAATATCACTCTGTCCATATAGATGCCTCGGAGTCACAGGCTGAGTGACGGAAGTACATCCCGAGTCTGTCGGTCGCACGAATGGCTTGGTTGCGCCTGCCCGCAGCGCGTCTGGAGAAGACGTGCGTCCTCGAAGCGCTTCACCCCGTCGGACCCGCCTCGTTCCGCGCCCAACATGACGTCTTCCTCCGTCTCCCATCTCCCATCGTCGTCTTCAGAGCGAACAACCTCATCGCGCACGTCCATCTCGCATGTTGCGCCTCTTCCTGCGGCTTCGGCCTTTCGGAGCAGAAGGCGAAGTCCATGGGGCCTAGCATCCTAGACAGGGTGTCAGCAAGACGCGACCTACCTTCCTTCCTCCGAAGCCTCGCGCGAGGATAGGAAACACATGGCGGATTGGGAACAGATGATGAAGCACAGTCGGGCAGCCGGTGAGTCGAGCGAGTCTGCCGCTCCGCGCCGTATTTGAGGATTTTATTGGCTCAGCCTTTTTACTATCTTGCCCATGTACTGATTGACAGAGAGAAGAGACGCAAAGCATTGCAAAGAGACGATACACGTACGAGAAAAGAAGATCGAGGAGTCTATTGGTCGTTGGGAACGCGAGATCGTCCCAGACTGGACTGTCGTGCACAAAAACCTGAGTTACGGAAGCTCTGGTGGGCAGGTGTACCGACCAAGTTAAGGGCGACCATGTGGCAGAACGCCGTCGGCAACTCTCTTGTACTGAGCAAAGGTAATGCACTTGTACGAATACAGTCATTCGAGATGAACGAAGCTGATCATTGGCAGATGCATACAAGACGTGCCTAGCACGGGCGAAGCGAGCTCTCAATCACGCGTCTTTCCCCACGACGGTTCTTGGTCTATCGAGGAAGACATCAAACCACGTTGCCCTCCCTTCATTATTTGCACCTGGTGTTGGCCCGATGTATGAAGACCTGAAGGACATGTTATGTGCCTGGGTTGTGTCTCGGTCGGACGAAGGGCTAGGATATATGCCCGGAATAGCCAAAATGCTGCGATGGTCTTGCTCAACATGGCCCCAGCCCAAGGCTTTGTCGTGATGCGAACTTACTCGAGCGACACTGTATGCGCCTTTCTATGGCGGGCTTACGTCCAAGGATGATGTGAGTATCCTCTCGCTCAGTCGTAATTTGTCTTGACGTCATACAGGTTGAGGCGTATTATAGGTGACTGAGAGCCGGTTACTTGTAGTCTTGTCATCGTCTGATCGGTCTGTTAGAATCTTTGACACACTGTGGCGGATGGAATGCCGAAGAGTAAGTCGGCCAATAACGCTTGCCACCTTTGCTAAACTCAACGCCGCATATCTCAGTCTATTTCAACTTTAAGCAGCACCAGGTCTCGCCAGCAGCCTATTTGCCTGACTGGCTAGTCCCACTCTTTCTCGATCATCTTCCGTTCGAGGCATGTGCGCGATTATGGGACATCCTCCTTCTAGAGGGCGATTCCTTCTTATTTCGTGCATCATTGGCAATTCTAGCTGTACTGGAACCACGCCTCTTCTTTCCTGATCGCCGCGAACTGTTGGAACTACTAAAGTACGTAATGTGAACATAACTTTGTGTCTTTCTTGTCTAATTCATGACTGATTCACAGGGGAGAGACAAACCGGCTCTCGAAGTCGCGAAGCGAGAGGTCGACCGTTAAATGGTGCCAAGTACGAAATCTACAACGTAGATGAGGAGACGTTGTGGGAGCGCCTTGACAGCATGGACGAGTGTGGCGGGAAAGTACATGGACCAGACTCATACAGAGGGAACTGCCGGACTTGTAGAGTGTAGCGAGGAATGTGAAGGCAAAGTTGTAGTGAGTACTCATCGGTGGTTTCGTCGTAATCTTATTTCTATTCGATCATTCCCCCAACTGAGGACCAGTGAAGTGGCGACACATCCAGGTCCGAGCTCGATTTCATTGTATTATGATGACCTCATAATCTCGTTGGTTCCGAAGGCGTCCGATGACAATCCATACAAACAAGGAACGCGCGCATGAGCGTGGCAGATACCAGACCGAGCGAACGCGTTCCAGCCATGAATCCATGGTCACGTGGGCGCGACTGGGTCGTTCAAGAGCGGTCTCCCCAAACCCCTATGTCGTCCAGACCATCTATCATGCCATAGCAGCTCTGCGCGGTGTAGCATGAAACGTGATCCCTGTCATCGCCTACAATCCAGAATGAGCTCGACGAGTCCTCGCTTTCCGGTTTTGCTCGACGATGGCTGTCGGACCCGTTGGCTGCCGTGTCGATACCGCCGAGGACTCGTATAAAAGCAAATAATATCTGGGCTGCTCTACACTCACCCAGAGTTCAAAGCGTCGCACTAGCACTCGCCCTCAGTTCATCCTTGCACCACTTCTTGACACCTACCGCTACATCGTGTCAGTGGCCCAGATGATGAGCCTTATTGCCAACCGTGCCCCCGTACGTGTTCCTCATTCCACTATGTGCTATGGGTTCCTCTGATGTTAGTCTGTGCCTCAGTCATTGATCCTTTTTGGCGGGATCCAAACCGTTATGTGGACGTGGGTCTGGAGCCAACAGGAGACATCGAGGTCAGTCACCTCAACAGTCACCACGAAGCCCCGATATACTCACCGTCGTTATTCCAGACTTATCTCCGGGCCCCTCCACTCTGCTATCCCGAAGGGATATGTCGGACAAGCTCGCTTCCAGCGCCATGCTCGCGGAACCTATGCGTACGCATAGACTCGACCTGCGATCGTCCCTTCGAATTGGAGCATCCACTATCTCCTACGCGACACTATAATTTATCTTAGCATAGGAGAGAGTCATTGTAACTCGCACGATACCGCAGTGTTCCGCCACATCCTGTATGATATAATACACTCGCATGATTGAGCCGCTCTCTACGTAGCCGGTCAGGCAGCACGATCGAGGAATATCCGGTAAGGATAAGGACAAGAGTTGCTGAGGACCCCTAGCTAGCATCTACGGCTGTCTGCCCACTTGAATCCTCGTCCTCCATATGACTCTTCCACAAGTTATACATCTTCCGTCGGTTCGCATCCCGCGTGTCCTCTCCACTGGCCACGTCGAAAATGCGTCTCAGCAGTGCTTTCCGGAGCTTTTCGCTCTCTACCGCGCCTTCAGCTTTTGGATCGGACAAACATGCGTTTGCAATGAGGTTCGAGTACGTCGGTGTAGACAAACGCGGTTTCTTGCGGCTGGGTGGCTGGTCATCGGGCTTGGGTGTCAATGCTGTGAACAGCGGCTCGAATAAAACGGATTGTATGCGGTCGTAGGTGATTTTTGTGGGTGTCCTGGCTGCCAGGATGAAGAAGGGGTTGAGCAGCGTTGATAGCGGTGCGGGCGACGGAGAAGGTTCCGGAGAAATTCCGAGTGCTCTGTCTAGCTCTTCGAGATAGATATCCGCCAAGTGATATGCAAGACTGGTCGGTACACGGATGTCGTCTGAGCTACAAGCATGTCAGTGAGATGAGCATGCGTATCTCGCGAAATGTTCATACCATAGTGGCCCGCCGCGCTGTGCGAGGATAGAATTGTATCGTTCGCAAGACGACGGTTCCCAATCCATCCGCATGAGGAGCCTAAATGATGCATTGACGAATCTCCGAACGAGCATGTAGTATTTATCGATCCTAGTACACCATGAATTAGCCATTAACTCTTGGAGAACGGTCGTTTCCGCTAACCGTAAGCGGTCGATACCACTCCACTCGCGGACCGTAGCTTCCCAGAATCCCTGAAGGAAGTCAAACGTCATTGACGTTGATGGAATTTCTAGAAGAATCTCTGCGAGTTCGCTCGCCAACGCTTGTTGAACGAGCGGCTTGTCAGACATCCAGAAACCTGCCGCAAATGATCAATTGTGGATATCAGTCAGCGGTGGTCGGAAAGCCCCACAGTAGAAAATCCCCTTCCAGAGCTTTGACATATCGGAATGAGGTAGTGTGACCTGTGAGGGGTCTGACAGAACGACGGCCAATTGCTTGATGGCCTTGTCTCTTGTCTTCTTGTCTTCCGGGACATTGTAAGTCATGGTTCATCTTTGTCAGTGGTGATTCTCACCTGTGGACGCGAGGTACTTTGCAAGAGGAGGTACCTCTGACGAAGATGGTACAGTCGCCATGCGTGCAAAGCTTTTGTGTCCGTTCCCTCTCAATATGCGTGCAGTGGCTACTTAGCGTAAGTAGACCAAGGTTAGATGCGATCGGGCACAAATCGGGACGAGGATGTTTTCGCAAACACGTGGTCTGTGATCGTAGACCATGGGCGCTTCGGCCGCGACGGAGGTCAGATCAACAGCACACTGGGAGTTGCACAAGGACGAGCAGCGATTGTTCCTGTGATTATTGCTTCGAGTCTGCCACCAATCTACGATGGGTCCACTGTTCGTGTGTTCTCACTGAGGCTATGCTCAGAGTTCAGATATTGAATGAGCCAAACCCGATCATCAAGGCATGCCCCGTTTGTAGCACGCTAAATTGCAATATGCAGTCGGAGGCGGTGGGCGAGACGCACATCCAGCCCCGGCGACGGGTATAGATTGCATCAAGGGGTATGGCAGACGCGCAGTAGCCAGGTCGTCGCACATATAAGGGGCCGACTGAGGTCACGCTCGGGCTTTATCTAAACGATCATGTCGAAATCACCCATTACTTGCCATGGTGGGTTTGAAAGTCGCTCGAGCGCAGCATGGCCCTAGACTCTACTGGTGTGTACTAATAGACCTTCGCAGTGCTCGATTCGTCGCTGGGAAAGCCAGCAGCAGGCGTCCACGTTCGCTTGCAAGAGTACAACCCGGTAGCTGAAGCTGCTGCCGCGCTCGAACCACTTGTAGAAGGGTATGTCGCAGAACCGCCTCGAACGAATGCACTCTGTGGTGTGCTCATGGTCGCATTGCTACAGAGAGACTGATTCAGATGGTCGTTGTATGCAACTCTGGCCCAAGGCTACCGAAGGTCAGAGTAAGGAAGAACTCGCCAAGCTGAAGGCCGGCGTCATGTACAAAGTCTTCTTCAAGACGAAGGACTACTTCGAAGGCACAGGGCGCAAATGCTTCTATCCCTGGGTAGAGGTGTGTACATGAGAATAGATGCAGGCTAATATCCCGCTCATACGCAAGCAGATTACATTCGAAGTGCAGGATCCCGACCAACACTATCATATACCCCTGCTCATTAGCCCCTACTCGTACACAACCTACAGAGGTAGCTGAACAATGTAATATACTCCAGACATCCACTACGGATACATGTACATGTATTCTAGGTATCAACAAATGTGCGTGATGCGAGCTAGGCTGTTACAGTAGAGTGCAGGCGATCCAGGATGATAGTGACAATGCAAATATGGAGCAACGCGAATAACGAACAATAACACACAAAGCAAATGGATAGCAGACGGACCACAGTAACAGTGAGGGCGGTGCCCATCCGATGGAGGAACCTACCCAAGGCTCAACCCGTTCACACCGTCGCCGGCACCTTCGACTTCCCGCTCCTCGTCGCCATGACGCCTCGGCCGTGGGATGATGGGCCTGAGAACAGGGCTTCCAAGACCAATCTGTGCACGTAGGGTAGGGCTGGAGAGGGCACTGGCGGGTCCACGACCGTAGTATGACGAGGATGAGCCGATGATGGGCGAGGAAGTGGCTGAACTCGGTCCTTGAACAGGGATGGGGATAGGCATTGAGAGGCGTGGCGCGCCAGAAGGGGTCCGGGGGGTGAACAACGATGGCTGGTTGTCCCGCAGGAAGCTGATAGATGGAGAGACCGCACGTCGCTTGTTGGTAGTCGGGTACGGGTCGTATCGATCATCCACTGAACGTAACGTCAGTTATGAATGATAGAGCAAACTCCTGGGTATGACGCACTCTTCCGCTTGTTCGTCCTAACAGCACTTGACGTTGGAGGCGGGGTATACCGCCATGAGGATGCAGCAGGCGAGCCGACTACAGACGATGACTGTCATATCCCAGTGTCAGTCTAAGGATCAGGGAGACAACAAAGTGATGGGACGTACGACATCGACATCCATCGCTGCCCCTCCTGGACTATCCAACATGCTCATGTCCTCCCCATTCACACTCGCGGCGGGCGTGACGGACTTCGAGATAGCGATAGGATCCACGAACGAGAACGGCACTGAGTCCTCCAGCTCCCCATCGTCGCTCGGCGTATCCGGCCTGCGAGGTTCCTCGACGTCTGCTTCCTCGGGGTACCTGCCTCGATCTGACGGCGGACGCTGTACTCGGTGTGGCGAAGGTAGCTCGCAGAATGATGCGACGAGTCGCTGGAACTGCGCTTCCGACCGCATTTCGTCGTCCTCCGGACGCGACTCAGAGACGAGCGAACGTATGCGCGGCGGCTTCAACTGGTTAACAGAGATAGGGTCAGCATATAGTCAAAAGACGGACAACGATGCTTCTGCTCACTCTCTGTGAGAACCGCCGACTATGGGCACGCGCGAAGGTAGACGATCCGGACTGGCTGTCAGCAACGGCGTCCGATAGCTTCCTGCTCGGCGGCGGAGTAGATGGGCTGCGTGGTCTGCTCGCCTTCATGTCGGTGTCGCGACCGCGGGGAGCACTTGTAATGACGGGACCAGGGAGTAATGGTGTGCACGAGCCTGAGTCGCCTGAAGGGGGCGTGTCCGTCTGCATCTTCACGTTCTCGCGGTCGCTCTCAGATTCTTCACTCGTATTGGTGCCGGAGCGAATCATGGACGCTGCGAGGGGGCTTCGCTGTGGCCGGTCGGGGAGAGATGGGGCGCGAGGCACAAGGAGGCTTGGCCGACGGACATGCAGCATGAATGGGCTCAGGTCATCTGCAGCGTACGTCGTGTTGGAGGACGAGGAGGATGTGGAGGGAGGGAGGGCGAAATCCGACGAGGACGTCGGTAATGGTGGACGTGATGAAGGGCCCAGCATGGCAGAGTATGTGACCAGTCTGTGCGTAGGATCGTTGATGAAGATGGGGAGAATGATTGAGAACGACAGGCGACGATGTGGGAAACCTGGCCATGGAACTGCATTTGTGGCTTGATGCTCCCTGCGATCCCAGTCCGAACCGGGCAAGCGCGACTCGGCCACCTGCCAGTGCCGCTTTGGGCGTCCAACGGCTCACAAACACGAATTATGCAGACTGTACGACTACTACACTGCACCCAAACTGCACTACTACGCAACTTTACACATCCCAATATCGTCAAAGCGCGCGGAGCAGCTCAATGGCTGTCCAGGTTGAAGCACCGACGATAGCTAGCCACATATTAGCCAACGACCCGCCTACAATACGACAACGGAGACGTACTGAACCAGCCTGCGCCACTCACGAACGCACTGCCGAACTTGTTGCGCTGCTATTCCATGAGATCATCGTTGTTTTTTGCACACTCTTGGACTCCTCACCTTCTCAGCGTCACCAGTGCTGTAGCCAATCGTGTACACAAAGCGGCTCGCCGCCCATATTCCACACGCTGCAGCCGCGAGAACCGGGTGCCTCAAGGAGGTAACCAGCGTCCTGACCATTTCGTCTCAGTGAGTATGCGGTGCGATATGTTTGAACTGATGCAACGAACCCGGTGATGATGGTGGGTAGATACTCCAAGGTATTTTGGTGGGCGCCTGGCTCAGTTTTGAGATGGTAGCAAGGCAATCTGCGGAGCACTTACGTTGTGTGCAGTTGAAGATGGTGGCGTCTTTCGATGCCGCCGCCTCAGCCTTTTCCGCGTACACTAGGCTTCCAAGTCAACACGACGCGGCATGTTTGCTAGTGAAGCGTACGCTGAGGGTAAGGGATCTTGGCTCGCTTTCGCGCTTGGCCTACTTTGACAGTCTGGAAGACATTCAACCAGAAGAGCGAGACGATTGCAGTCACAGGGTATGCCACGCTGCGAAGCTCACTTGTTAGCCAAAGCTCCATGCTTAGCGTGTGGGACTCACTCTTTCGAAAAGATGATAGTAGACATTTCGTATGCAGCGAGCTGAGGCTTGAGTTGAGGGGATGAGCGGAGGCAGGCCGGACTATATAGCCTGGTATTCCGAATTAATTACTCGGCAATGCTCTGGAATATATCTGATGCGCCTCAAGCACACGTCAGCTCACGGCAAGATATGCACGAGCTGAGTCAATACTAGTAACTGCGATTACACAGGCTGACAGCACAGGCGAACGTCGGACACGTACGTACGGTTGCGATTGCACACGAAGCGCGACGGCTCAATCGCTGTGCTGGTGGGTGTCCAGGTTACGGGGGATCCTGGGCGACCACACGGGCGAAATTTATAGAGAAGAGAGCCATTGAAACGGCCGTCTACGACAGAAGACGGCGAGCGACAGATTGTCACCTTGGAGGCGTGTCTGCTTGTCGCCTGCCAGTGCCCAACTCACGCCTGCCGCACTTCCACTCCGCCCCGAGCACTGGCGTCTATCGCAGATCTCTGCGCCCACGTTGACTAACGCGGGCGTCTATCCCGAAATTTACGATCGAGAAGCAGCTCCCGCCCTTCGGACTCGGGCTTTGCACACAATGGTCAAACGCACAGCAACCGAGCTCCAGGCAACAACATCTGCTGACACCGCACCGAGGAAAGTACCGCGTGGGAGCGAGCGTAAGGAGAATGTCGCTCGAGAAGAGGAAATGGGCAAGTTTGAGGACGACTGGGAGGACGAGTACGAGAGCGATGAGGAAGTAGTCGACGACGACGAGACAGAGGAGAGGCCCGATGGTATGTAGCTTACGACGATGGACATGTACGTGAATCTCATTTTGTGCCTTTGAAAGCAATGGAAGTCGACGAGGTCATGCCTGCCATTGAAGAGTCCGACGAAGCACCACCCGCGTCGGACGTTTTCATTGCTGGTGTCCATAGGCTCGAACAGGATGAAATCCTGGAACCAGACGAATCTGTGTACATTATGCGACACTCCATGAATGTCAACTGGCCATGTCTATCCTTCGACGTCCTTCGGGACAACCTGGGTGATCAACGCCAACGATTCCCCGCTACTGCCTACATCGTAGCAGGCACACAAGCGGATGCGGCCAAAAATAACGAGCTATCTGTATATAGAATGAGCTCCTTGCAACGGACGCAGAAGGATCCTGGTAAGTAAGCCTGCGTCGAGTATGATATCTGGTACCCTAAGACATATTCTGCAGATGCGTCCGATGAAGAGGACGATGACGACGACGATACACTAGACGAGGATCCGATCCTAGACTTCCGATCCGTCCCTCACTTCGGTGGTGTTAACCGAGTCAGAGCGCAACCTTTGCCGTCCTCATCTGCCCTGCCGCCAGTGTCTCAGCCGTACTATGTTGCAAGTTGGGCAGAAACGGGCAAGGTGCACATCTGGGACGTACGACCGCTCATTGAGGCGCTGGACGTTCCTGGCTATTCTCCAGACAAGTCACGAACCCACAGTCCAGCCTTCACCATCGCTTCCCATGGCCGTGCAGAAGGATTCGCGATGGACTGGGCATCATCCGGCGAATCCAACCCCTCCGCCTTGCGACTTCTCACAGGAGATGTCCAGGCAAAAATCTACCTTACGACGACGACCCCCTCAGGTTTCAATGCGCTGTCGCAGCCGTTTGTCTCGCATACGTCCAGCGTGGAAGACCTTCAATGGAGCCCGACAGAGGCCACTGTCTTTGCCTCGTGCTCGGCCGACCAGAGCGTCCAGGTTTGGGACGTGCGAAGCAAGGGCCGACGGAGTGTAGCGGGCATTGAGCGGGCGCACGAGGCGGACGTGAACGTCATCAGCTGGAATCGCTCAACGGCGTACCTTCTACTCAGCGGAGGCGATGAAGGTGGCATTAAAGTATGGGACTTACGAAACGTCAAGAAGAAAGGGTACGTACAGTCATCGGGCCTTCAACGTCGTGGATGCGACTGCTAATACGGCATGGAATTCAGGACGTCCGCCCCAGACCCTACGCCTGTGGCCACTTTCAACTGGCACCGGGCGCCGGTCACTTCCATTGAATGGCACCCTACGGAAGACTCTATCTTTGCTGCATCGGGGGCAGACGATCAAACCACGCTGTGGGACCTCGCGGTGGAACAGGACGACGAAGAGACTGGGGCAATGCAGGAGATGCCAGGAGGCGGGCATCACATACCCCCTCAGCTTCTCTTCGTGCACCAAGGCCAGAAGGATGTTAAGGAAGTTCACTGGCATCCGCAGATACCGGGCACGGTCATTAGCACCGCACTAGATGGTTTCAATGTATTCAAGACCATATCTGTCTGATGTGAATTGTAGAGCATCAATTCAATGCACTTGCCGCGGATGGAATAGTCAGCAGGCCTTCTTGTCTCAACGAGTACCGTGGCAGAGTGAACGGGTGAGGATGCTGTTCCGATGTCCAGTGCCAATGACATAGATAGCCTTGTGCTTGTGCTACTTTTACTCTATGGCTATTTATAAATGGTCTCGTCTATTCGGCTGCACGTTCCTGTCCTATGAGCCAAGTGATATCGGAAGAGACAACAGTCGAGTCCCAAACGGTCCGGCGCAGGAGCCGTCGTAAGAATAGCTAAGGACACCGTGACAGATTTAGAGGGGGCGAACATCGCGGGAGATAGACATATGGTAGCGGACTTGAACTTCCAGCATTGACGACATCGGTGTGGGGAAACATGGATGGTGCCCCGAGCACCGCGGCCAGCGGCTGCCCGTAAAATTCTGTCACGCGATGGCTAGCCAGGTCAATACATCCCGGAGGTATTGTTCCCCTTCGGCGAGCGAATCTAGTACGGTGATAAGTGAAAGCCAATCGCATGACGACCCGTCGGCGGAATGTACTCACCTTCGCGATGTTCTTGTGCAAGATGTCAGTCAAAATGGCATATACGTTCCGGAGGTCGTGGAGGTTCTGCCGCGCAACATAAAGCTGCTTCTCATCATGCTCCTTCAGCGCCAGCTATGATTAGAACGGGTCACGGACGGTCAGTCATCTTTGGTTGAGAGGGGAATGCGGTGCCGCACGTACGGTGTAGTCCTCTATATGGGGGTACTTCACAATCTTCGAGCAGATTTTTGCGCGGTTCAGATGGTCTAGCCGACCCGCGTCCCGAATGTTGAATGCGCTTTCTTGCGAACGGTGGAGCTCAGTGAGAACCTCTGCTCCACATGAGCATTCGTGACAGTTCGTCGGATCACAAAGTCGGAGTGAACGAACCCTCCTGTATTTGAACACCTATCGGTCGCAGGAAGTGCAACATTGGTATTTGTGCCATTTGCGGTGGCAATATGAATGATCAGGACGTACCGAAATTATCCCCGCTGCAGAAGGGAATCAGAATGGCGTTAGATATTTTGTTCCGCATGCAATCGACACAAATAACGGTTACATACTCTTCGATTCTGTCCACGCGCTTTCCGTCAGCTCAGTGATCAAACTGACGTAGACATGCCTAGCTTACTTTGGCATAGACAAGTTGACCCAGAGTTTCACCTTGTCCTGAAAGTTATGCATCGTCACAGGCTCCTTGATCTCCGCGAGCAAAATGCCCTTACACATAGATCAGCCAGCTGCTCGCATTCCCTCTTCACTACGGTATGCACGTTGTCAATGTGTTGATTGGACTTGACGAGGTTTGGGTACACAGCGTGGTGTATATCATTCGCTGCTGTTAAGCCCATGGACACGACGCCATTGGCATCGCTAGAGTGCAACTTGCGCTTCTTGACATCCGGCCCTTCCTCCGTGGAGTTGGGTGGAGGATAAACCGTCGGATTGGTGGAAGTGGCAGCGTGAGAGGTGTGAAACTGCGATGACGAGTCATTGGTAGAGTCAATGAGCTGCTGTATCTCTCTACATGCACCCATTAACAAACACTGAAGAGAAGAACAGTGGCGAGAGCATTGCAATTACAATATCTAGAAACCCAGAGGTGTCAGACGGTGCTGAGAGACCATTGATTCAATGCTCACTTTGCATGGGAAAATCCGGAAGACGACGTTCTCAGCAACCACTGAGGCAGCTGACTGGAATTCCTGTCGACGTAGATTTCTGTGAGCAGTCTCGACGCGGTAGTACTGGGCCGACTAGAGCATACTTCTATTTTCTTCGTGGTTTCCTTGTCCATACTGCTCTTGCCCGACATGTTCAGATACTCTTTGGTATGTGAACGGGCGGTGTGGCGAGGGTCGTCCAAGGATACACACAGAGTGACACAGACCCGCGTTAAGCAGCGGAGTCGGAGCGCGCGCCTACAATACCAACGCTGGGATGCGGTGGTCGGCGCTTAGGTCATGAGATCGAGCGACGCGTTTGTAAGCGCCCAAGTACGACCGCCCGAGTGGCTGCGACCTCTACGTACTTACATAGTCTAACTTCAACGTACTCCTCTTGTCTCGCGTGCTGCACCGCCCTTGTCTGCACATCAAGCTCTCACCACCTCTGTTTGTGTTGGAAAGCACCCACATTCGACGTGATCCGGCCTCATTGTCGAGAAAGCACACGCCGCAGCGCCATTCCGTCACGCTCGGGATGTCTGGCGTTCAGGTTAGTAGACTGTCAGAATGTGAGGTCTTAGCGACTGACTTGTCTCGTAGGATGAAGTGATGTATCTCTACTTGACTGGATTCTCCTTGAACAGTGTCCTCAGCGGACTTGATCTGCCGACGGGACCAGGTCTCTCCGGCAACTCGGTATTTCGGGGGCAGCGGGTTTCACTGCGCAACAGATATACAATGACAAGTGGGATAATGATTCTGAAGCAGTCGGTCCGGGAGAAGGGGAGGATTGGGAGGCTGAGGTGGATAAGGAATTGGAAGCCGAGGGTTCTGACAGAGGTGGCCAGGTCAAGATGGAGGCATGTCTCCGCAGCAGGTCGGCCCAAAGAGAAACGCACACGAGTTGTTCGACGCTGGTGAACGTCCAAAGACTGTCTTCGAAAGATTTCCGACTTCGAGAAGAATCAAGTCCTGAACTTCACGGAACTGTTCAAGGGGCATACGACGCAGAGGTCGAGGATTCGAGAAGACCGTTCCAAGGTATGTCAATTATGGCTTCCGCCTTGCTCGTCCGCTCATGGTCACATAGTGAGGCCGTCTACCCGAGAAAGAAAGAGACCCCACGAGGATTCCTCGCTGCCGTAGTGGGCGACACAGAACGACAAGTCGAGAATCAGCGTGTGGAGGAGTCGTGTCATCTGGAATGTGAGGTAGATCTGTGGAAAGCGCTACAGGTATGTTTACGGTGCTACTGTATTTGTTTCACTCATGTTTACGGCAGGAGCGCTCCCACTCGGACGTTCCAATTTCTTACCTTTGGATGATCGCTCCTTCGACCTTGTTCTGCTTTCCAACTGGGAAGACAATTGTTACGAACCTGACGCAGATGCTAGCCTGCGCCGTTGGCGACCCCCGGCAGACCTGACAGCGCCACAAAATAAGGTCCTCGAATCTGGAGTGTGGACCAGAGTATATTTGGAGTCCTCGGGCTCCCTTCGTGACTTCACGCAGTGGAGCTTAACGAGGAGGACACTGCCGCGAAGAGCGACACCTGGTAAGACCAACTTCATCATTATTATGCACTGAACTGAGTTGTAGCCCAAGATGTGCGAGGCCACGCAAAAGACTTAGGACAGATAACAACCGAAGGATCGGTTCAATCTATCCAATGATCAGTATTACGAGGTCAACAAGGACGGTGGCCGGCATCGTGTCCGACAGACGTTGGTCAGTTGGTCGTGGAACATGCTTACCCCGCTCAGAAGCTCCAGCTGCCTTTCGTACGTGTTTGCGTATTGGGAAATTTCCTTGTACTCAGACTTCGTTTTTGCGTAAAGTACAAGACACGCTGTCCAAGCAGGAAGCGCGCTCTTTCCACCGACCCGCGTTGCAGTTTCCTTCGAACGTCGAAATCCACTTCGCCAAGGTTCGCACTGCCAAGAAAAAGAAGGACAAGGCGGTAGGAAGGTCGGCAAGGGTGGAAATGTGGGCGAAGGCCTACATAGGAGTGGAGACTTGAGTCTTCGCGACACGAGCAATTTTGTACTCTGGGAATATCGGTAAGTCCGTCCTACCCGACGACTATGTATCTCTTGACATGCAGCATTCTAGGAGGAGCATCCACCCATCGTCTCAACTTCGGAATGGGCAGCATCTAGTCAATACTACCGTAAGAAAAGTGAAAAGGATGAACATGTACCGAAGGTAGGAATCTGCCTGCTGAGCTATGTAATGCTGAATGCTTCATTTAGTTTGACCTGGGAGAGCCTATTGTCATTGAGCCTCAAGACGAGTCTCCCTTCATGAAGTTTGGATATGTCTATCCCGGACAGACGGTTCCTTCCATCTACAACAACCTCGTCCGAGCACCCCTGTTTCGTCATAAGGCATACCCTACGGACTTCCTGGTCATAAGGTTTGCTGCTAGGTCCTCCCGGTCTATCTCCGAGCCTGACAACCCCGGCAGGTCTACATGCAAGAATGACACGAAGTACTACATCCGGGAGATCAAGAATCTATTTGTGGTCGGACAGACCTATCCTGTGACAGAAGTCCCTGGTCCGCACTCACGCAAGATTACGAACACTATCAAGCACCGCCTCCAGATTATCGCCTTCAAGTTACTCGCGAAGAGCGTGGAAGAGCGGCTTAAGATTTCACGGCTGATGAAGTACTTCCCTGACCAAAATGAGCTCCAAATGAGGCAACGCCTCAAGGTAGGTTGACGTAGTCGTGCAGACTCCGCGGCGATTAGAAGCTAAGTATAACTTGACAGGAATTCATGGAGTACCATCGCCGCGGCCCTCATCAAGGCTTCTGGCGTCTGAAGGGCACATGGACCATACCTTCTGACATCGACATGCTCAAGATGGTGTCGCCGGAACAAGTGGTTCTCTCCGAGAGCATGCAAGTCGGTCAGCGCCATTTGCAGGATGCCGGTTACAGCTTCAATGGCGAAGTCGCTGAGGACGACGAGGGCAACCTCTCCATCGAACAGCAGCTTGCGCCGTGGATCACGACCAAGAATTTCTTATTCGCCACGCAAGCAAAAGCGATGTTGCGGCTCCACGGTGAAGGTGATCCAACGGGGCGTGGAGAGGCGTTCAGCTTCGTCCGCGTGTCCATGAAGGACATCTTCGTCAAGGCAGGCGAGGATTATGAGCAGAAGCTTGGTATGTCGTATAGCTCTGATTCTGATGGCATTCATGGGCTGACTAGCCGAAGCCGAGGCCGAGAACCGCCCTAAATCTGCTCATCGCTATAACGTCGCCGAGCAACAACAGATCTATAAGTCGGAAATCGAACGAATTTGGAAGGCTCAGTTCGATTCGTTGAGCCGCAAGGATGAGCCTGAGCTCACGGAAGAGGATGAGAAGAGGGCAGAAGTGAAGACACAGCGAAAGCTGTCCGGTCCACATGACGGCTACACTCCTGCAGGATCTCCTGTCGCTCACCGCGAGACTCCTGCTCCCTTGTCCCCAACATTCAGCCGGGGCTCCTCGCTTGTCCGTGATCGTGAATTGAGTTTGGGTCCAGATGCGCAAAGGAGGGTGCTACGGATAAAGCGTTTGGTACGTATGATCTTTCATAACATGAACGACAACTGACATGTCCTTCAGGTTGATGGCGAATGGAAGACGGAAATCATACGAGACAACGCTGTCATTACTGCGTATGTCAAGAGACGGCAGGCGCTGGAAGAGGAGGCAACTACTGCCGATGCCCTGGCTCCGACCGGAGACGCTGAGAAGGATCGGCGTGCGCGCAAGAGGTACCTCTTTTCTCACGTAACATCAACCATCCTCCTCATTAATGCCTACTCTCTCAGGTTGGAGGAGGAAATTGCCCGAATGAAGAAGAATCAGGAAAGACGTCTCCACCGTAAGAATGCGAAGATAGTGAAGGAAGGCGGGACTCCGATGCAGCTAAACCGGCCGCTCAAGCCTGATACTACGGTGAGTGGCTATTGACAGCGTTCTTGATGTGATTTTTACGAAATCGCGTGCAGAGACGATGTGGGCATTGCGGTCAGATGGGACACATGAGTGAGTTCGTGTCACCGGCGTGGTGGAATGTATTGATACAATTTGATTTTCAGAGACCAACAGGAAGTGCCCTCGTTGGGCGGAATTCAATTCTGGCAACCCTCCTTTGTCAACGCCCGCTGCTACGAGTCCGCCGGCAGCGTCTCCGAGTGCCTCGGGTGGTTTTGGATTTTCTTCAAGTTCGGACAGTTTGTTCTCACCGGGTGCTTCAGGATCCCTGCGACCTCCGAATCCATCCTTGAGCCTGGGAGGACATGGTCCATCCCCTCTTGCTACAAGCCCGCCAGTTATGGCAATGGACGAAGACGACGAGGTTCCTTCCACTCCGTCTCTGTCAAATCCCAAGCTGAAGCTCACGCTCAAAAGTCATAGCATCATGTATGTTTTATCACTGTAGCATTGGGTTGCTCTCGCTCTGTCGTACTCTACATCACTCTAGGACTCTCATAACATTGTGTAATCCATTGCATTGCGGCTGGAACCGGTGTTGTAGTTCGAGCACCTGGATGTGTGCATTGTCTTGGCTTCGTCCCTCCGCATCAAAGCGCACCGCCTGGTTGCGAGTTGCCATTCTTGGGAGCTCCTTGGCGCACTCCTTGATCCGTATTTACACGGCGGTGCTAAGCTGGGCACTTCGCGGGTCATTCCGCCACAAGGGACCCACTGGCGACCACAAGTGAGTTCAGTTAATCGCCGCGCCTGGCCTTGACACACGAACGCCAAGGTCGAACGCTTGCGCGGAATCGTGCGGTCGGCCCTAGTCCTCTTCCTTGCCCGCTCTCAAAGATAGAGCGCTATTTCTGGTACGCCGCACTGACTGGCGCGCTGATAGTAACCCGCATATCAATGTGAGCGGTGCGGCACTGTCCCCGCCGTGTCAATATACGACATACGATCAGGGTGGAGTCGGGCCATCGCGCGCTGTGAGGAGCTTCAGCGCGCCTCTGATTTCCCCATTTAGGCAACGTACTTCGTACTTACCTCCCGAGTCGCCCGACTGCCCCGACCAGAGGTGTCACCGGGATGTGATCGCTATTAGAGCGGTGAGTACGGAGCCTGCAGGGCTGCCTATCGTCTGTCCTTGCGTGCGGGTAGGTGAGTCATCCCCGTGCGTCTCTGCAGCATTTTCTATTGCCAGTGCAGCCGTTCCCTCCTAGGGGAGCGCACCCTGCATCAGCCAGGCCATCTCTGTTGCTTACGCCGGGTATGGCGGTATCGGGTCCCTGTGCTTAACACCGCAGAAGTAAAATCGCGGCATGTTACCGCGACTAGCCCCAGGACCGGCGCACGGGTGAAGGCTACGCCAATCATAGCCGTCCCACTGACCTAGGCTCTAGTATTCCATGACGCGGAGGATTGTCCGTCTTCATCAGCACCACCCGCTCATACTTCCAAACTTGGCCTACGGTATGTCCTGAGTGCCGATGACAGTCACGCGCCAGCATCACAGCGTTACTCCTGGGGAGTCGCCGAGATCTTCATCGTGCCGCACAGACAAAGTTCTGCTGCGTTCTTGGACGGGACTACTCGCAAAACGCGTTAGTCTAACACGTGTATGCTTCTACGCAAGAGCTGCTGCCGCACTCACCAAAATTCGCCGACTACCCGTCTTCTGTGGAGTAGCACAACATGGATGCACCATCTGTACTGTCTGCTCGGGGAAGGTACTGCTTGAAACACTCGGGGAGATCCCACGGGGACTCAGCGGTATCTGAGCGCAAGGTCAACTGACATAGGGAGATGACTGCAACGCTCCTGTCGTGCGGGCGTCGTTCCCGTCCGTACATCTGACCAGTCTCCTCTGTGTCTGCCAAGTAAAGAAGAGCTCGCGTCTGCGTCGATGAGAGCCTGCGGATCAAGTAGGCTGTCAAGAATTTTACCTCGGGGAACTGGCCAAATGCTGTCGGGGCTAGCTCGAATGCCGACGAGCGAGAGTCCTCGTCAGCTTCTTCAGGCGGCGGCGGCGGAGGACAGTGGATCTGTGCGTCTGCTCGAGCGGTTCGTCGTGGCTCCTGTGACCAGCCCGCAAGATACGGCAAAGCTCAGGCTGAAGGGTCTCGCTTGACATATGTGGTGCACTCACCAACATGGTGGTTACTACGTTTCCTCGTTGAGGACTCACCGTTAAGAGGCGCCGTCCGGATGCAGGGCCATTGCCCCGCACGCCATCTCAGCCAGGCAACCTTCAGCGGGTTAGTGCGGCCGTACTACAATCAGTTGGGATCCGTACTGACTGAGTGGTAGATGTCATCGACAGCGTGATGTCGTCCGAGGAGCGCTGGGGTCCCACGCGGTCTGCTCTGCTACAGTGGGTGATCAGTGCTCTACTGTAGAGCGAGAAGCGTGCTATCATCCGTCTCTGTTCAACGTTGCGCCCAGACTCGGAAGTCAAGGGTCCGGGAAACCCTAACCGTAGAGCAAGATAGGCGCACCTCGAGCTCACGGCGAGCAGGTCGTCGAGTGCTCTGGTGTGCCAGAGACATGGCTGAGCTCGCCGTGCGCTGGCCGGCGCAGTGGCAGCGTATGTCCGCGCCGTGTGGCAATATTCTGCTGATGAGTCGTGCCTCTCCATATTCAGACCTGTCACCGCTAAAAATAGCGCAGCGTCTCGCGCGACTCTCGCGCCAGAAAGCGGAGATAGAAAGCCCTGGCTGGTTCATTGTGGGCTGAGTTTGGGCGGGATGCGAACAGCAGCCCCCGCGTTCTGACAGACGCGAGAAGGAGTTTGCGCTGTGAAACGCTCAGGAACGGCGCGTACTACGCGCGAAGGCGACCCTCCGAAAGCACCCGTCGAAGAGCCGCTGTGTTACCTCACGCAGGCAGCGGGCGGCAGCGATCATGCTGAGAACGACGTGCGGTACGCGTCCCACGATCTTCTCCGCGCGCGCAGAGGGGATATCCAGCTGATGGAGGCTGACTTCCCGAGTGGACCCGCGTTGTCGCAGCTGTATGTGTGGCCCACAGGTCGCACGAAGGATTCTTACGCCTCTCCGGGGACGTTCTGGCGGACGAGCGTGGGGAGGAGGGGCAGCGGGGGCCGATCGAATAGTCGGCCCATCAGGACGTCTTCCGCGAGCACCCGGGCTGGCGGGAGGCAGACGGACGCTGTGCGCTCCGAGCGACCCGGGCGACGTCGCGAGCTGGCTGGGCTGGTTCGCACGGGGAGATGGGGCAGGCGGTGCCCGAGCGGACGGAGCTGGGCTTGGGCAGGGCTTGGGGCTGCCGGACTGCTGGCTCGTGCTGGGCTTCGCCGCTTGGCAGCGCAGCGCGCTCCTTGGCGAGTCACTCGCGATGCCATCTCTTGGCCCCCTCCCACAGTGTCCGGAGTCCCGCCCGACTGCGTGTCCCTTCCGCGTCGTCTGCTCGCGCCTCGCTGCCCACTGCCACGTCTTCGCGTCTTCGCCTTCTGCGTCTCCCCAGCGCGCAGGCGGGGGCCGCTCCTGCTGGAGCTGTCGCTTGCCAACACACTCCAATCAACGCGGCTCGATTAGTGGGAACGCACTCGCTCGCATTGGATCGAGGCCCTGCCAGTTCACAAGCTTACAGCATAGCGGCCGCCCCGCAGGACGAGCGGGAGGCCGATGGTCGGTTCTGCCCGCAGCGGGCCCTGTGGCGGCTGAAACGTGGATGATACTCGGCCTGGCATGCGCCCACTCGGAGTCGCTGACTGACGGCGACAGGCCGACGCACTGGCAGGCGCCCGCTGCGACCAGACGGCGGGGTCACGGGACCGTGGGTAGGCAGGGGGAGATGGCCGGGCCCTTATAGGGAAGGTGTTATGCGTGCCAAGAGGGAGCGGCCAAGGCCATGGCTGAGAGGCTTGGCAGCCAAGAGATCGAGATAGGGCCTCTCTTTTAAGCCCGTCCTCCCCACTGCCCGCCATGCCGCCACAAATCGCCCGCGACCTCGTCCCCCTTGCCGACCTCGAGCATTCTCTCTACCGCCATCTCTACCCCTTTGACCCCGCCGCTCCCTCACCCTCCCGCGAGCACTCATTCGCCGCGCCCCCCATGGCGGCCTCACCCCGCCAATCGCCCTCCTCCCTCTCCCCGCCCCCGCTGTCTCACTCCGAGGGCTCCTCGAAGGCCTCGTCCACCCCCGAGGCCCGCACTCCCCCGCCTACCGTTTCCGCACACGCCCCGGCAGACGACTCCGCGCCCCGCTACGACTGCCAATGGCAGGACTGCGACAAGGTCTTCCCCGAGCCAGAGACCCTCTACAACCATCTTTGCAACGACCACATCGGCCGCAAAAGCACCGGCAACCTCTGTCTCTCCTGCAAATGGAAAGACTGCAGCACCAGCTGCGCGAAGCGTGATCACATTACCAGCCATCTCCGAGGTATGTAGTTCTCCTTCCCCGTTGAGGCTTGCGCCCCTGAGGCTCGACTAGTTCACACCCCACTCAAGCCGCACGTCTGCGTGATATGTAAGAAGCCTTTCAAACGGCCCCAGGACCTCAAGAAGCACGAGAAGATCCATACCGAGGAGCATCATGTCCAACACAAACACTCCAAGGCCATCACCGTCTCCGACCCGGCCTACTCTACCCGTGTACGGGGCGACCCATCCGCTGACCAGGACAAGAAGATCATGCCACCTCACCTTGTCGCCCTCCACGGTATGGACAAGGTCCAAGTCCCCGTTGCGCGCGCCAAGTCGGATTCCCTCTCTCTCTCCGAGCGCTCCTCAGGTGAGCGTGTCCTGTCCCGTGCACGTTTGAGTCTTCTGGCTGATGCAGACACAGGGCCAGAGTATGGAGGGCTTCTGCCTACGCCTTCTCCCGAGATCGAGCAGGCAGCTATCCGATATCCGAGCTCGGACGCTCCCTCGTCGCGAACGCAGCTTTATCAGATGCAAAACCACCATCATCAGCTGCCGACCTGGGAAGTTCTCACGGTCGATGGTACGCCCAACCGTACGGCAGGCGTTGGCGCGAAGCGAACGCACGACGAGTATAATGTGGATGACTTTTCACCGACGTCAAAAAGCGGCGCGTTAACCCGTCCTACGACCCCAGTGCGTCGCCTTCCTTTCCACACCCTCGTCCCTAGGCTGCGCTGACACTCCCGTAGATATGGCCGCCCGTTGAACAATCTGGCCTACCAGCAGCAACATTCCCTCGGCGCAGGCTCTGCCGCCCCATCTGCGAGCCAGCCCAACTTCAATCCGCGCTCTGTGTCATTTGATATTCGAAGTCCAGAAGAGCTCGCTGCCGTCAACGAGTTTCTTATCACGCTTGGCCGCGACGTCGCAAGCACCATCCGCAACGTGCACATCATCCGCCGCCGCAGGCCGATACGAACCCGGGATCATTCTTTGATGCAGCGTCGCTCACTCAACTTGGCCTGGCAGGTATGCCGGGCATACCGGGAGTGCCCGGTCCAGGATCTGGCTCAGGATATCATGGCGATTCAGGTTACCTCTCCGTCGACTTCTCTTCTCATCATCTCCCTCCTGTCTACCCGAGTCGCGCTTCGCATCAGTCCGTGCAGCCCGTCACTTCAGCGGGCACCAGCTGCGCATGAACCTCCTATTCCGTACGCCTCGCAATACTCTGGCTCTCGGATACGCGGCCAGCGTCTTTCGTCAGACTTCGAGGATGTGCAATCGCGGTATCTGCACCCTGAGCCGCAACATGTTCATTACGGGCACATGCAGGGCCACTACTTCCCGCCGCTGCCGGATGGTATGCCTAATCCGGGAGCGTCGCCGCTGTCCACGTCGTCTACGCCCCCGGCAGTGACGCCTCCGCACTTGGGCGAGCCATCGTCTGTGTTTACTCCGGAGGGTACGGCTGTATTCGATTATCTCCGACCGAGCAAGGCGGCGCCGCCCGTGCAGCTTTCCCCCATGGATTACGGAAGCAAGAACATGCGCACATCCATGCTGCTCAGGACCGCGCCGGCAGTGCACCGCGGCCAGCTCCTATGGAACCCAAGTTGGGAATGACTGTACACAGGGGCCCACCCGCGAAGCTTACGTCAAAGGACGTCACGGAGCTTGGGACTTCGCTTTCGCGCTCGTCGATCCCATCACGTTACCATCTACGCTTCCGTCCTTGAGCAAGGACGGCTCGCTCTATCCGCTGCTCACGTCGGGCGACGAGCAGTACAAGCTTGCGCCGCTCAAGTCGCGGTATCGCTCACCATCACCGCCAGCATCCGAGTCGGCGTCCTCACCAATTCTCTCGCGCGCCTCGACGGTGTCGCCCACGCCGTACGAGTCGTCGCGACCCTCCACGGCCTCATCGTCCTCGTCGCCCAGCCCGAGGCCCACGGTCCTCCCTGGCATCCACCAGATCGCGCAGGGAGCCACGCGCGCGAAGGCGCGCAGGCGCGATTCTGACGACCTCGCACGCGCTATCGGTCAGATCGAGCTTGAGAGCCGGTCGGCCGGCGATCATCCTGCCCAGCGTGAAGCGCATGCGTGTCTCGTGCGGGACCTCCTTGTGTCGATCAACATGGAGTACATGAGGAAGTTCGGCGCACCGCCCTCGACGTACGGCGTATGCGTGCGCATGCGGAGGTGCGGGACGTTGAGATGGTGAGCGCATAATGATTCGCGGCTCTGTGCGAGCTTGTACATACTCTTCGGACATCGTTATTACTTTATCCTACGATCGTTGTCATTGTATTACCACTCTGTTGTGTAGTGTAGAGTACGACCATCTTATGCTCAGATACGCATCCATCACACTGGGATTTCTATAGATCAAGCGTCGCAATTAAGCATCTCGTTATACCGGATCACCAAGCTGGCCAAAGTAATTGTACCGACTTCGAGGGATTACAGCGATGCTGTACGGCTGATGCCGCAGCTACAAGCGATGGAGACTCTACTTCGGGTATGGAGCCATCCATCTTTCAGTCACGTAACGATGCTGTAAATTGCATGGCCGCGTAAGTAACAAGAAGGATTGCGCGAGGTAGGGGCCCTTCTGGTCTCTATGGTAGTAGACCCCCAGGCGACGTGCGTGACGCCTAGGCCCTGCAGTCGTACGGTGTATACGGTTATCGCACTGAATTGCACAGGTTCACCGTTCATGTGGCCATCGCTAGCGCAACACGTTCCACATACGATTCATACCCAACCCGCCTAGAACCAACGCACCCGCCAAGCGTGCACGGGACAGACGCGAATATAGCGGCCTTAGGTGATGCCAAGTTGGCTTGGTCCGGATTAAGGAGGATTTCCAACCAGTAGAGGTGTCAGTGGGTCCTCCCTCCGATAGTGTGATCGCATGCGAGGCGGAAAATAGGACGGAAGCTCTTGGCCTGCGCCCGTTCCGTGTCTGACTGGGCCAGCTTATCGGGCCTGAGATTCACGGGACGGGCCCGGGTGCCTCACTGCGGCGCAGACAGAAGCTGCCCCGAACGGAAGAGACTAGCATGGCGGAGGTGCCGAGAGCGCTCGGAGGATGGGAGGCTATGCAGCAGAGTTTGTGGTCAGGCGCGCCAGGAAGGACGGCTTGGCGAGCGGACGCTGTTGGGCGTTCCTCCGAGTCGGGCGCGCCCCATCGTGCCGCATCATGGATGAGGTCTGCCAAGAGCACCCTCTGCGGCTTGTTGGTCTCCGTGTGCTCAACGTGCGCGGCAGGGACGTGCCGCGCACAATATTTGGACGACTTCTGACGTCGAAGCTGCTCACAGCGCAGATAAGTAACGGAGCCCCCAGAAGCAGAAGAATCGACTCACGGCTCCGATGGCCCATTACGAGTTACAGGAATAGACAGACGACGGCATGGCCGGCAGAGGGTACCTGTCTTCACGGACGAGCGGAGGCTGCTCGGGAGCTCTTGCGGCGTCTCCCAACGACGTTTACCGGAACAGGACACGATGTTTGGTGTTGTATGCCATAGCTGTTCGCGTGTGAGTACTGTACTTGAGTTGCCACACTTGGCCAAAGAAACCTCCAGAACGTCCTGAACCTTGGCGCCCTCGGTGGTTTCAATGCAGAGATCAATAAATGGCCGAGTGTTACCTGTATAAATAAGACGGATCTTCGAATCATATGGAACAGTTTGAAGCCCGTTCAGCCACAGCAACAGAATAAAGCATAGCACTTGTAGAAGCAGAACACTCACTGCCAAAATTCGAAACTTTGCTACAACATGCTCTCACTGCAGTTCCTGCCACTAGTTCGACCGCATACTACCTTGACGAGGCGTTCACCGTTCGAAACATCGGTGCGTCGCCACCTCAGGCCCAACAGCACTCGGGCAGCTGTGCAGGGCCCAGGTGAGCGTGACATGGACTGTTGACGACAGGCGTGGTGTTAACACGGCTTCTGCGGGACGACGTGCATAAAAACGCACAAAGTGGTGCAGTCGAGGCCGCGTTCGAGCTGGCTGGCTTGAGGAAGGATGATGTGAACATTGACGTTCACAATGACCGCCTGACCGCCTCTTTGTCTTGGGGGAGTAAAGGCGGTCCGAGATGAGAACGGCTATTGCATCCGCGAAAGGTGGTTCGTGACAGAACCCTACAGCTTCCCATTGGCGTCAGCGTGAGTGCGTGCTATCCTACGTATAAGATAGAACAATGTACTGACCGCGACAAACAGCCCGATGAGATCAAGACGTCCATGGAGAATGGCGTCTTGACGGTCGCCTTCCCGAGTGCTGCGCCGGAGCAAGGCCCAGAGGTCGTAAAGGCTCGCTTCCGACATCTATAAGCTACTTGTATCGTGACCACATACCTGCATGTAGTCGGTGCGTCCTATGTTTGCATTGTAGTTGTGATATTCAGTCTTCAAAAGGCTTTACATTCACCTTTCAAATCCAATGGAAGTTCGAGGCACGTACCAGAAACCAGCCCGAGCCCGACACAAGGCACGTGATCGTGTTAGGACGCGACAGCTCAACGCGTCTATATGATGTCACTGCGAGGCTAAATCACTCCACGCTGAGTATACCGCTGGCTGACCTGGCTGTTGACAGCCAACTAACAGCAACGACTACTTCCAGTTTTCATAATGCCGACAACGCGCAGGCAAGCCGCACAGCGGAACGGGACAGTTCCTAGAGACGCCTCGCCTCCAAAGGCAGCATCCAGAGCGCGGAAGGCTAGCACGAGGAAGAATGCTCGCACTAAGGACGGGCCGCAGACAGCTATCGGAGAGAGGCGCGAGCAGGAGGAAAGCGAGGTAAAAGCGGAACAACAAGAAGAGGAAGAGCCACCCGCAAAGAAGTCCAAGACCGAGGCGGATGAAGACGAGCCGTCCCATGGCAAAACCGGAGGGGACGAATCTGTCAAACAAGAGTCCGACAGCACGCAGTCGGATGGGAAGGAAGACCACCCTGCGAAGCATACGTACCAGACAGGTAGGCCCGCTAGTATGGCTTCCGTGCTACGCACCCTGACAGTGACGACAGGGACTATTGAGAGGGGCCATATCTACTTCTTCTATCGGCCAAAAGTAGAACTTGAAGAGGCACATTCGGTCGACGACGTACAGCGCTTCTATATCCTCCTTATTCCCCGTCCGCCAGAGTTCAGTACGGCATCGGATCAGCCGAATGGTTCCAAGGCCACGGATGAGGATCAGGAGATGACAGTCCTATCCGAAGGCGCGGATGCTGTCCCGGCACAGGAGCCCAAAGGGCAGACGAAGAAGCATTTCCGACTCATCATACCTGGCAAAAAGAGCCTACCTGATCCAGAGCACGGACGGGGAAGGGGTAATATCTTCTGGGGAACAACCGTCACTATCGGTGAAGACCTAAAGAAGCTACAGGAGGGACTTGGTGAGAAAGAATACGAGACGAAGACGAGAGGTGAGATCGGTGCGATGCGCCGGCCTGAGTATCGCTAACCAGTTATTTCAGGAACGAGGCACCAGGCTGCGGCACGCCTTGCGGCGCGCGGCGCGTATGCCATCGTCAATAAAGAGGCACGCACACCCTCGTCGCGGGAGACCCATCTGGGGTATCATCTCTCCGATCCCACATCAGAGGACTGGGGTGAGGTGCAAGCCGCACTTGGCCTTCACCCTGCCTCTTCGTTTGTGCTCCAGGTGAAGAACCCTCTCGCACCGCCGACAGGCTCGGGCCGTGTCGGTCTCCCGAGGAGCCGGACAGTGGACTACCCAGAATACATCATGACTGAGGTCTTCGGCAAAGGCGGCGGGAGAGGCAGAGAAGAGTTCGGACTGAGATTTTCGAGCGTCGAGAGGAAGGAGATGCTTGATTATGAGGGCGTAGAACTCCTCTTTATTGCCGCTCGCAGCGGGGAAAGCGGATTGGAGACGAGCCTGGGAGAGGGGAGAGGCAAAGGTGAGCGGCGAAGCTGGATTGGTCTCCTTCATTGGCTGAATTAGCCCAGCGTTAGGGGAAGTTGAAGAAGAGGAGGGCCGAGAAGCAGTGGAAGAGGTATTCAAGGAACTTGCCATGGATGTCGGTAAGATACCAGCCGATCCACTCGGCGGTCAATGGGCTTGAGGCATCTGCGTACAAGGGATTGGCGTGAATCAATGTATGATCATGAGAAGGGATGGATATTCTTACGTTGTACAGTATATTCTCAACCCCGGCCAGATATACAGCGTACGGCGTGAGTGAGTCCGCATGACACATAGAATACAAGATGTCCTAGCTAAAGTACACGGATCCTACCGAGTTCTGTGGCGGATGAAGTAATAGGGGTTAGAGGGGAGTCTCGGGTTCCTCGTTGTCCGCGTTGATTCGCAAGACCTTCACCCATTCCCGATAGTTGAAATTTCCTTGCCGATCTGTAAAGGGCCCCTTCAAGAGCTTGTCAATCTGCGCCGCCAAAGTTCAGCCATGTCCATACGGGTGCAATCATGAGCACGCACCTCTTTCTGGTCCATCCTTTCCCCGACATCCCCAAGCCACTTCCGTATCTCATCGCACTTGACGAGTCCCGAGTCGTTCTCGTCGAAGCACTCAAACGCCTCTAGGAGCTCTGGTTCCGTGTCAAAGTCGTACAGGTGCTCGCCCATCATGGTCAGGAACATGGGGAAGGTGATCCCTCTGTCACCAGAAGCGTCCGTCTCGAATGAGGGCAGCCGGGAGTGTAGCCCACTGCCTCTCCGGTCGCCTGGACGGTCTGCGAGCAGGTCGTCTATCATCGTCTTCGACGGCGTGATGCCTGAACTTCGCTTCAGAGTCTAATGTGCGACCGTGAACATGGATGCTCGGTACGCACCGAGACTTGCGAAGACGTGCTTCAAGTCCTGCTCACTGACGACGCCGTTCCCGTCATGGTCGATCAACGAGAATGCCTCGCGGAATTGCTGTATTTGCGGAGGCGAGAAGAGCGAAAAGACGCCAGAGGGCTCGCGCCGCTGCCGCGATTTCTGTGACTTTGAAGCTTGGTAGGTGTGCCAGTAGGAGTAATGTTGGGCGAGAGGAGGTCGGAGTAGCGGGACATATTGAGAGGCTAGTCGCAGCTGGCTCGCAGCAGCAGTACGCAGGCAGGCAGCTTGTTGAGCTCTCGGGGACGTCGAACAGCAGTCGCGTATATGACTAAATCCGGACGGTTCAAGGAGTCGACTGTCGCGACGCGTCGTCCCGAACAACGGTACGCGTGCCACGTGACTCATCTGCACAACGCGTCCGACGCGCCAAACTGCAACTCCTCACCGTGACTTAGAGACATCGCGCCTTCTTCACACAGTGGCCACATACATACTTGAGCATATTACGAAGCGGCAAGTCTGCAGGGTCATCTATATTCAGAATGTGGGAAGATCTAAGTTACAAATACGCGGGTACTAGTAGCGACCGTTCCCGGGTGAGCGCGAACACAACGGGCTGTCCAACGAGGCAACAGAAAGTACAGGCCGGAACTAATCGACCTTTGGTTTGGGCTTCCCCGCGAACGCACCCCAAATCATCTTTAAGAGCCAGCCTCGCGGCATCAATTGAGTAACCCATGCAACTGTTGTTGACATTTTACCCAGAATGAAATGTCTCGGGGGATGGGCCTGCCAGGCTGAGGAGACTACGCGCCGGGCGAAGTCATCCGTCGGCATGCCTTCAGTTTTGGCTAAGCCGCGCATCGATTCCAGCCATCCGAGTAAATGCTATCCGGAGCGATGTGGATTTGTGAAAGCGTCGTTGCGTTCATGTTCGACTTGACCATCCCGGGAGAGACATGCATCACGGAGACGTTGAACGGCCGCGCCTCCATGTATTGAACTTCCGACATACGCTCGAGGGCTGCCTTCGTGCCCGAATACACACCCAGCCAGGTGTTGCCCTGGGTTACATTAGCCAATGACGCCCAGATGACGGGATATGTCTTACGAGAAACCAGAGATGGAGCCTACGTTGACGATAGTGCCCACCCTACGTGACGCCATGTGGGGAAACACGGCTCGATACATGTGTAAGGGGGCGAGCACATTGATGTTGAACGTGGCAGCAACAACTTCTGCTGGAACATCGCACATCGGTCCTACGGACAGTTGACTGGGGTTCACAACCGTCAAAGAAAATCGGATACTTACCTGCGCAAGCCACTCCAGCGTTGTTGACGACTACGTCAATCTTGCCTTCCTTGTCAACGATCGTCTTCACAACTGACTGCACCTCCGCCTCGTCTGTGACGTCTAGTTTGAGAGTGTGGATATTCTCGTGCTGGAAGCCTTCCATGCTCTCGGGACGACGAGCTGTCGCGTATACAGTGCATCCTTTGGCCGCGAATGCCTCACATCTACAGTAACATAGTGTGAGGAGCCGCAATGGCAGTCAAAATTACACATAACTCACAGCGCAAAGCCTATGGTTCCTTTCGAGCAGCCTGTCACTATGATGACCGGAGGTGACATTATGCCTGGGCTTGATTAGCGATCACACGAGTATGTGTTGAACGGCACTCACGAAGAGTCCAAGAGGCGGAGAGAAGCGGTGGAAGAGGAGAAACAGGTGCCGGTGATCAGCATATGTACATCTCACCTTTATATGCGAGAACTCTTGGAAGCCTGCGGCTGCGAGACGCGCCGGACGCCAACCCAACGTCGGCCACTCCGCGTTAGTAATGGTACCTAGCACCATGCTGAGTAATCAGAATATGGGTAAATGTCTGCACAGCAATCTATTGCGATCGCGGACAGTGTCACAACTGTCAGCGTTAGTGCTGTCGCTCCATTGCGCTGTGATGGCGGTGATCGGATTGACAGCGTGGATGCCTCGACAAAGCTGCGTTCAAGAGCACTGGCTAAGAACACGATGCGACGCTGGGCGTGGAGTCAAGGCGAATATCAGCCACAGGCAAGGACTCTGTCGACGTCCCTCGCATGCCGTCAACAAATAGACTCCGGATGCGTCCGCGTTGTGGCCAGAGCGGACGGGAGAAGCACGGTGCCTATGACGACGGCGTTGAGTAGCGGATCGGGAAGGAGCCAAACAGAGACACACAATGCGGGGGCGGACCGGGGAGAGACGAACGGAGGCTGGGAGATGCGCGCACTCGGCTGTCTGAATGCCCTCCGCTTCCCCGCACACCCGCACCCGCCATGTCCTCTGTGACAGCACTCTTCCTCCCTCCCGACTTGCCCTATCCCATCAAGATCACCGCACACGCAGTCGGCCCCGCCGCCAACGTCGCACGCGGCACCCGCCTCCTCAGCTACTCCTTCACGTATCATCCCCCTGATGCCTCCGAGCCTGAACGTCGCTTCGGAACATGGGACTCCTCCATCGAGGGAACTGTCGAGAGATGGGCCTTCAAGCAGGGTGAAACCGTCTCTCCGCGCAAGGCCACAGAGGTCCCCGCTGTTTACATCACGGAGCCGTGCAAACATGGCGTTCAAATCGGCGGGTTGTGTTGTTTGTGTGGAAAGGACATGACAGAGTGCGTGAACGGTCGTATCGACCTCTGCCCAGTGAGTATTGATCACCGCCACAGTTACGACTATACAGGTTCTCGGACACCTCGCGTGCATCAATCCAGATGACTCATCTGGCCAACGGGCCTACTGTATCTCTCGAGGAGGCACAACGTATCGAGCAGGAGACTGCCCAGCACCTACTCAAGTCGCGCAAGCTGTCTTTGATCGTCGACCTCGATCAGACAATTGTGCACGCCACTGTTGATCCAACTGTCGGCGAATGGATCACGGAGGGAGAGGCGTGGGAGGCCCGACACGCCCAGCAAGCAGAGGCTGCTCAGAACAAGGAGGGCGACTCAGACCAGACTACCTCCGACGATGATGACGAGGTTAATCCCAACTGGGAGGCGCTGAAGGACGTCAAGAAGTTCCGCTTGGGCCCTGAGGCGCTCGGCCAACCCTCTTTCCGTGGACCGAAAGGTAAGGGGAAGGAGAAGGCCGCTGAGAACGACGGATGCATGTACTACATCAAGCCTCGGTGGGTGAAATCGGCGATGTGGTCTCGATGACCGGCTTACGGCTTTGTAGGCCCGGCTGGAATGACTTCCTGCAGACAATGGCGACCAAGTACGAGATGCATGTGTATACTATGGGTACGCGTGCATATGCAGAGGAAGTCTGCGCCGCCATTGACCCTGAAGGCAAGATCTTCGGGGGCCGCATCCTCAGCCGAGACGAAAGCGGAAGTGAGTTCGTTGGAAACAATTTCTTGGCGTGTATCCTTGACAGCCCGGCCTTTAGGTTTGACGCAGAAGAGCTTGCAGCGTTTGTTCCCAAGTGATCAGAGTATGGTCGTAATCATCGATGATCGAGCCGATGTTTGGGAATGGAGTCCCAATTGGTGAAGGTCATCCCATGTATGTAACGTAATTCTTGGCGCTGGGATATGTGCTCATGTGTATGCGTCTCAGATGATTTCTTCGTCGGCATTGGGGACATCAACTCTGCTTCCTACCGAAACTCGAACCCATGACGCCTGTAGCACCGACCCCTACCCCATCTCCCTCTCAAGCTGTCACTCAGGAGACAGCGGATGACTCGCAACCTCCTCAAGAACCCTCTACTCAAGAGACGACAGAAAGCTCAGTCCCACCACCACCACCATCACCGTCTACACCACCCCCAGACTCCCCGACACCTTCGCTCTCTACGTCAGCAACATCATCATCATCCGAGAGTTTGTCAGCGGATGACATAGCCAATAGCATCATCCTCAAGCAGAACACTGCGGCACTGGAAGCGCAGGTAGAGGATCGGCCGCTTGCCAAGAAGCAAGAGGAGCTTGAGGAACGGGACACGGCGCAGCAGACCAACGGGCACAGCACAGTGACACCGACGAATGGGTCTTCGCCAGCGCAGCAGCCTGCGCCGAAGGAGAAGGTCGTGCGGAAGGCACTGCTAACGAACAACGATATGGAGCTGCAGCGAGTCCAGAAGGTGCGCAGTCACGTTTGCTGCTCGACCGGTCAGTCCTCACCGGCCGTTTCAGATTCTGGAGGAAGTGCACCAACGCTTCTATGACGAGTACGACGCGCGTTCTTTGGAGCCCAAACCCAAACCTTCCAGGCGGAAGGGTTCCAAACTGCCTGAGCCCATACCATACGACGTCCGGGTAAGTCTACACTTCACTGCATACTAGGTGCAGCCTTTGACTCTCAAAGATGATTATACCCCGTATACGGAGGGATACCTTGGACGGATGTCAGATTCTTTCTCTAGTGTCATACCCCTCGATACCAGACCGGAAGCGACCGAAATCTGGAAGACGGCCCACGCGTTTGGTGCCAAGTGCTACACGGAGCTTTCTGGCCGCATTACCCACGTCGTCGCTGCGAAGGTAATACTCACACGTTCACTTCCGAAGGGAACACTCTTCATCTCATTGACCAATCCTTCAGCGCGGCACCCAAAAGGTCGACGCGGCGCGCCGGATGGGCACCGCCAAGATCGTCTGGCTTGCCTGGTTCACCGACTCGATCGCGTTGTGGGCACGGCAGGACGAGACGCCGTACCTGCTGGACCCGGATCCCCCGCCCCATGCGAGCGCTGCGAGTCCTCCTTCGGATGCTCATCAGATTTCCTCTGATCCTGAACCGGACGCAGATGACTGGGACCACGAACGCGTCGCGGCGGCGCCCGAGGAGGGAGAGGACCTCGCCCTCGACGAGGTCAACTGGGACGAGATCAACGATGAGGTCGACGCGGCTATGAACGAGAGCGATGACGACGGGGCGAGTGAGCGGAGTGGCACGCAGAGTGGGAACGTGTCGGAGGACGAGGATACCTGGACGGACGAGTCAAATAGCATCATCAGGTTCGTGCTGCTTCTCAGGACGCACTGGTGAACCGGCTGATCTGGGAGCAGCAGTGCCGCATCTTCCCCTCGGAACAAACGGAAACGGTTACGCAGCTTGACGCCGTCCGAGGTCGGGGTGAACGGCAGGGTCCCCTCCGATGTCCTCCGTTCGCCCCTTGCAAAGCGGAAGAAGCTCGCGGCCGATCGCTCGGGCAATTCGAAGCTCAAGGAGGCGTTCACAGCCGATGAATTGGCGAAGAGGGGCACGCCAACCCATTCCGAGCAGGATCTGACGGAATCGGAGCCCGTGCAGAAGGGATCAGTCCGGCTGAGAGGGACGAGGACGATTCGGACGACTCTGACGATAGTGACGATGACAATAACACGCCCATGGACGACGACGATGACTTTCTCGCTCGCGAACTCGAGGAGGAGTGGGGATAGCGGTTCGCCGCCCCGCGCCTTCTCATCATCTTATGCTGTGTTTCCGTCTTTCCCACACACTTGGTCTCATGGGTTGTGTAGCCGATTGCTGGCTAGTTTAGGACTCCGTAGTACATTCAGCATTGTAGCAATTAGGTGTACATTATGTATATCCGGTATCTGTGTGTCGCTCTATAGAAATGGCTAACTTTGCACCCTGTCCCGGCCGCATCAGGAAGTATCAGACGGGCAATCAAGCTTGTATAGTCTCCACAGCTCGTACACGTCGAGACCCGTGAGATCCTGGAAGATGTTCTCATGGTATGTCCTGTCGTTCATCGCTGCGTTGAGCTGGTAGATCGTTCCCTTCCCGCGCTGTTCCTCAATCCAAGCCAGGAAGAAGGCTGTTGCATCGTAGCCTGCGTCCCATTTGTCTCCCTTGCCTCGCTTCCAATGAGGTGGTGCCAGCCCTGAATTCAGTCGCACCCAATCTGTGAGCTGTCGTCAGAATGCAGTGCAACTCTGTACGGTTGCAGACGACTACGTGCCTGCAATTCCCTCGATCAAGCCCCCCGGGCAAGTGCCTCTGGCGTTGTACTGGAAGCAATGGACCATTTCGTGCGTGAGAACACCGAGGATCTCCTCCCGGGCCCGGGCTGCCGACTTCTGAATGTGGTTCACGGAAAAGTGGATCTCCTTGTGCGTGCGAGAGCCTGTCGTGTAGGCGACTCCGGGCATGGGACGCAGGACGAGGAGGACGTTTTGAACACTGACATGCGATGCAGGATGATCAGCACAGCAATATACAGACGACAGGAAGGTCAGATGTAGGACACAGGCAAGGATACTATATACGGCAAGACATACTGGATGGTTCGGACTCACTTCGTCGGTACATCTCGCAGTGTGTAGAGCCAGCTGCACGTGGAGATGACGGCGTCCTTCAAGGCCTCGGCCGGCCGCACATGCTCAAAGAAGAGCTGCGCTCCAGGATGAGAGACGTCCTCGACCCTCAGCTCGAAGTTGGGGATGAGCCAGGACGTGAGGGTGAAGGGGAGGTATACGGGATGGTATGGCCTCTGACGGTCGTCGCTACTTTCTGCGCTTGGGGAGCTGGGTCGCGGAGGGATGGGTGGTGGCGGGGCGCCGAGTCTGGGTGGGATTGGAGGCGGTGGCATGACTTGACTGATCCGGGGTCGTGGTGGCTGAGCGCAAGGCGCGTCGCAATTCAGTGAGAACGACGATAGTTGCTATATCCGTGCGGGGCTCGATCCGATCGGACAGAGGCTCGTGAAATCGCGGCGATCGCCAAGAATGCGGGGTAGCCGTGGGGTAGCCTCGCACCTGTGGCCACACACAGAGCTCGCGTTTGCCACGCACGCGCAGATCCAATCAATGTCCTCGCATTTCTCGCGGACACAGGCATACACTATATGTACTGTACAGTAATGATACCGACAACAACGACAGCAGACGGAAATAGCAGCGTCCTTCGAAGTGCTACGAGCGAACTTGAATGAGCGCAGCTGTCATCGCGATACAACCGAGTCCGACATACCAGAGCGTGGATGCTTGTCGCGGGTCATGAACGCCGTATTCCTGCTGCGGCCTCCACCTTCAGCACCTCCGTCAGCAGAGCGTCCCGGCCCTCCTCCAAGAAGTGGATATACTCCTTCGCCTTGAAGAGGATGCCGCTCTTGCCCTTGCTCCCCCGCCCCCTGCTCCCGCTGCCCTTTGGCCTCCCCCTCGTCGGCATCCCTGACCCTGGCGGAGCTCCTGCGGGCGCCAGGAGTGTCGTGAGCTGCATGTAGCCGTCGCGAATGGCATTGCGTCGCTTCTGCTCGGACAGGATGTGGTTGAGCCTTTTCTGAGGGGTCGAGAGCAGAGACTTTGGCCGCGCAGACGACGGCGACGCGGACGAACTCGCCCGCTGCGATGGTCGACGGGCGACTGCGAGTGTTCTGACGACGCCGATGGGCGGGGAGCTTGGATGTCGGGTTGCGGAAAGGGGGGCTGCCGTTCGGTCAATGCAGGGTCGATGTGCGGCGGCCCTGGGGGTGGTGGTAATGGCGGCGGCGGTACAAAGCTGAGCCCGTGAGGGTCGCGAGGGGGCGCATTGTCAAAGTGATGCGGTGGAAAGCCTGCCCCGGAGGGCTGTCGAAGGATGGGCCGTGGTATGCAGGGCCGCCTTGACCGAGATCGAAGTCGAATTCGTAATTGAAGTTCTCAAGGAAGCCGAAGAGGTCGGTGGTCTCTGAGGGGGAGAAGAGCTCGGACGACGCGGGGAGGGCGGCGGGGACGGGAAGAGGGAGGCGTCGAAGGCCGGCGTGAAGAACTGGAGGTCGTCGAATGTGCCCGGCGGGGGCGGTGGCTGCTCGTGCGGGGACATGCGAGTTGCGAGAGAGGCCGGCAGGGGTCGTGTCCGCCGGCGGGGCAGCGGGCCGCACCGGCCGGAGCCGGAGAAGACGGGGGCGTGGGCGGTGGCGGGGCCGGTCGGGGCTGCCGGCATGGGGTGATATACGGCAGGCCCGCGGGGGGCCCGCAGACTAGCGAGCCCCGCTCCGAAGCACCGCCCATCTCCTCCATGTCGGCCCTCAGCGAGGCCTCCACGCCGGCCCAGGACGCCGCGCCGCCGTCCCTCGACGCCCACCAGCTCCACCACGCCCATCTCGCGGGCGACCTCCAGGCGCAGGGCGTCCTCCACAACGGCCCCGCGTCCGACTCTGGCCGTAAACGTGAGCCCCCGGCCCCATCTGCGTCCGTCCGGCAGCTGAGCGGGCTTTTCGCAGCGAAGGCACCGTCTGTGCGCCGGGCCTGCACCGCGTGCCATGCGGGTAAAACGAGGTGCAGCGAGGTCCTCCCATGCCAGGTACGGCGCACCCGCACCACCCCCATCAATCCCTCACCCGCTCTCCCCCAGAGTTGCCTGAAGAGGGGCTTGGGTGATGGTTGCCAGTACCCAGACCCTGATGCGGACCCCGCCGCGGCGCACAACCAGCCACCGCGTAAGCGTCCCGGCTCCCCTCTCTTCGCGCCTGCGCTCACGCTGCCCATCAGCCCAGGTGCAGTTCGCCCCGCCCCCAGGCATGTATCCGCCGCCCCCGCCGCCTCCGATGCAGGCACTAGGGCACGCCTACTACGACTACAACGCCTTTGCGACCAACACGGCCGCCGCCGGCTCGTCCAACTCTGCATCCAACTTCCGTCCCACCAAGCGTCCACGCAACCTTACAGAAGAGGAGGCGGCAGCCATCACCCGCAACTTCACGCGCGGCGACTTCTTCGTCGGCACGAGCGCCCCCGTGCGCATCGACCCCCGTCTTCCCGTCCGACTGACGTTGGCCGAAGGAGACCAGGTCCACTTCACCATTGGGGAAACAATTGTTTAGACGGTCCGTGTATCATAGCTCTTGTCTTGTATTTTTGCCTCTAGTCGTGTCATCTTGTTTTGTCGCATGTCCGCTTTGTATGTCGATCGTTCTCCAGCCTCGTAGCCTCCTAGTCTGATGAATGTATACTGCCATATTGTTCGCAGTGGGTGTGCATATTTCGTCCGTCGCGCGCGAAGCTCATGGTACGTCGGCTCATTTCGATTTAGCATGTTCTACCGCTTTTGATCTATATGGACGCGGCATGTCCTTCGAGGAAGTACTGTTTGCAGATAATCCTTGCTGGCGTTTGAGACGCTGTCTGATCTTGTTGGTTACGTTCAGGAGTATATCGAGCAGGGGAACGGAGGTACGCCGATGTCAGCCTTGTCAGCCTGTGTGTCTCACAGAGCGTTGTTGACAGAGAAGGAGCCTACCGTGCACTGTGCTGGCCGTCTATCATTCGCATCTGGACCACTGCGTTCCGTGGCAGCTGGATGCGGTCGCGATCTGGGCATCCGAGGAGCTGTGGTATCCTATGTTGTCTATACTTGCAAGCTGTCAACTGCGGTTGACTGTAGAGTGTCAGCCATTACTGAGGCTGACAATCTTTCAGCCTAAGGACCGATTTCGCTTGGACTGGAAGCATGTTCGCCGACACAAGTGCAAGGTATGGGACACGATGTTCGTCTGGCCAACCTTCTGATCTGGTCCGCAAGTTCCGGTGTCGCCGAAGATCTCAAATTAACTCGTTACAACGTCACTCTGTCATTTGGACTGGTTCAGTTCGTGTCATTGACGCGGGAGGGCGGGCCCACAGACATGGGAAACCCGCGCCCCTCGATTCCGCGCAGACGAAGACCCCCGGCCTCCTAACGATCGACTGCCTGCACAAATCAACGTCAGCCGGCATTCAAAGCCTCCCGCCGAGGTCCTTCCGTGGATTCCAAGAACGTTTCTTGGTGAAGTCCGTCCTTGTGCGGCTGACATGGCAGACCCTCCGACGTCAAGCTGACGGCTCTGTATCGCAACAGACACCGTGGCAAGCTCTTTCCACGCCTCCGCACTCTGTCCCCTGACGTCGCGACTGGTTCGATCGGTGGCAAGCTTCCGCTCGTCCGTGAGCTGAAGGAAGCACAGGGCATCGTATCTGCTCACGATGTCTGTGCCTCTGGGCCTGATTCTGACGTGATGGCTATGGGAAGACGAGTGTCTGCGCGTTCGCCTTGGCGGAGAGACCTAAGGTAGACTCACTATTAGCACTGTACGTATTCTCGACTCCTCCGCAATTGGCCTGATTCCCGCTGGGCTCGTAGATTATGACCATTTACCAGAGTCTCTGAGACCATCGTGCATGTCGAGCAGGACAGTGTATATGTCGCATCACTTCACGCCGTCATCGCTCAGGCTTTGGCATAGGATCATCATCATTAGAGAGGATAAAACGTCCTCACGCAAGTGTGGTGAACCGACCACCATGTACTAGTGTATGCACCAGTGTTGTGAGTAGCACGCAAACTGAGTGCTGTATCAAGGCTAGATCCGAGTCATGCCGCCTATGGTCCAGGGCCTCAGTAAGTCGGGATATGGGCTCACTGACCATGTACTGAACTTATGGGGCCACATCATGCATAGATGGTAGTCCTGTTCGTGAACGTCTGAACAGATGATGGAGTCGTGCAACGACTTCATCTTCCTGCGCTGTGAGGGGCATCTCATATATTGTTATGCTTGCTCAGTTTTCAAGGTGAGATGGCCGAGCGGTCTAAGGCGCCAGACTAAGGAGATCAACTGGTTCAGTTCGACACATCTGGTCCGAAAGGGCGTGGGTTCGAATCCCACTCTCATCACTCTTTTGGCATTTGTATCAAGTATCGTACGTCCAGTACCAGCGCCAACGTTGCAATGCTTTGAAGTTGTCAGGAACAATACTGTATGGTAGAGCCCACTCTCGTAGATTTTTTTGTGAAGGATTGGGTTGGAATCCCACTCTTGCCAACATTTTTGTGAGCACCGATTCCTGGCACAATTTCAGAGCGTGGGTTGGAATCCCACTCTATCAACGTTTTTGCGAGGCCGATCATGGCGTGGGTTGGAATCCCCCTCTCATCGTGATTTCGAAAATGAGTATTGACTGCAGCATAGCGTGTGCCAAATCCCGCATGTACTACACTTAAGTCTCCGAATCTGCCATAATACAACACTCTCGTCTTGCGAACCGTTCAGTCTAAAGATTAGCATTCGAAGTGTCCCTAGACCATTGTTAGTTTGTAGTACACCTTTGCACTCGTCCCAACATACGATATCATGCGACACTCACTGTGCGGTCGGCTTGAGACACATCCCAGAACACGCCTCGAACGAAATAAACGTAAAAAGTCAATCCTTTGACATGCGCTACTAATACATACAAGACTGGAAAGCAGTCACATTGCAACGATCGTAAACATTAATGATGGTAGACGTTAGGCGTCCTCGCCCTTGCTCTTCTCCTCCCTGATCTCCGTGGCCTGCGCAGACGTCTTGCTGTCCGAGTCGATCTTGTCGTGGAGGTGCTTCTCGGCCGGACGCCAGCTGCTCGACTTCCACGGCAGGACGCGCGCGCGGTAGAGCTCGTCGACCTCCTCAAGCGAGAGGCCCTTCGTCTCGGGGATGAACAGGTAGACGTAGACGTAGCCGAAGACGAGCATGCCGCAGAAGATGAGGAGGATGAGCGGGCCGATGTCGTCCGCTATTCTGGGCGAGAAGAAGGACAGCAGGAAGTTCCAGACCCAGTCTGAGTGGTGAGAGATAGATAGTCAGCACACGTCGTTCGTACGACCAAAGGCAAGGTCACGTACTCGTTGCGGACCCGAGAGCAATGGCTTTCGGGCGGACGCGCAGGGGGAACGACTCGCCAAGGTACACCCAGGGTGTGGGGCCCCAGAAGATCGAGTAGCCAAAGACGTGCAGGATAGCGAACGCGATGAGGACATTGCCGCCAGTCTTATTCGTCGACGTCAGCTGGTCGGTAGGCGTTCCTGATGGTGCGAGCAGGAAGTGTCCAGCAAGGGCGGCGATGAGTGCACACGCAGCTTCAAGCAGGGCACCAGTCATAAGGGACTGAAGAATTGCGCATAGTGAGAGGACTGTATAACGAAGAGGTTGCTTCATGAACGTACCTTCCGACGGCCCCAGGTATCGATCAAGTACAGAGCAGGAATGGTACCGGCGACGGAGACAGCGCCGAGGATGACCTGAATGACATAGGCGGACAGCTCAGTACCCGCGCTCTTGAAGAAGGTATCGCCGTAGTAGTCTAGAATGCACCGTCAGATCCGCTGCAATACAATCGCCACCATGGTCGGCCACTCACAATAGAAGTTCTGCCCGTTCAGCTGCTGAATGAACTGGAGCATCATGCCGTTGATCGTGCGCTTCCAGAGCATGTTGCGCGTCGAGAAGCACTCGAGCCACGTCGCCTTTCCGCCGTCGTTCTCCGCGTGGATACCGTACTCCAGTTCCTCGATGGCATCGGTGACCAGAGGGTCGTCCTCCGGCACGCTGTTCAGCTCCGCGACAACTTTACGTGCCTCCTCTGTCCGGCCGGTACCTACGAGGTGTCGTGGCGACTCTGGCAGGAAGAAGATGCCAGAAAGGAGGATCATGCCCCAGGCAATTTGCAGGCCGACGGGTATCCGCCAAGACGCGGGACCCTTGATGGCATGGGTTCCCAGGTCAATGACGTAGGAGATGAAGATGCCCATGATGATCTGCACTTGTACAGCACAAGGAGCATGCCACGCAGCGCCTTCGGTGCAGTCTCGCCGTTGTAGAGCGGTACAATAGCTACGAGCGAATGGTAAGTCGCTATCGCGGGACACCTTACACGCAGCAACTTACCCGAAAGAGCACCGACACCCAGGCCAGCAATAAACCGGCCGACGACGAGCTGCGCGATTGAACGTACAGTGGCGGTTTGCAGGATGGTTCCGATGGTGAAGATGAATGACCAGGTAAGGATGGAGCCTCGCCGGCCGAATCGATCCGAAGTGAATGCTTGTGCAATTGCGCCCACTATCGTTCTAAGGAAACGCCATCTATCAGCTCCCCGCAGCACAGGAGAAGGCACAAGACCACCTACCCAGCAGAGAGCAGAGAGGTAATTATAGATTGACGAGAACTCGAGAGTGTGAACGACCCATCCGGGTTCTGTTCCCCGAAGCGGTCCACGAAGTCGTCCATGATCAGACATCCCTATTCCCATGGCATGTTAGCGATGCTGCGGCGACGAGCTTTGGTGGGCACGTACTGAAATGACACCAATGTCGTATCCAAAGAGAAAGCCACCTAGATATTCACGTGCGGTTATGAGAACAGCATCTTGTCGGACTATGACCTTGGTACGTACCGAACGCGATGAAGATGGCGAGCAGAATCGCCTTACGGTTGGAAGGGATAGCCATGTTGTATACACTGCTCGTGGGGTGGAGAGGCAGTTGAGGAAGGGGGCGACGGATGGCGCAGTCCGACTTGCCAGGCTGCTCGCGCCGTCCTTTTATCATGGCCGACATAAGTTGCGTATCGACCACACTCCGACGTTCGCACTAGGGACAAGGATCAAGAGCGGTCCGGTTAGAATTGAGCACGAGGCCGGACCGAGCAGAAGGGGTCCACTATGAGCGCTTGAGAGAGCGGGGTATGATCGTGTGCTGATGTGGAGCCCCGCGCGGGGATGATGCGCCGGACAACTATTTACCCTTCTGGTCCGTCAGAACTTTCCAGGGGCATGGGTCCTCCGACTGGCCTTGAGATGCGCACATGACGCCCCCGTCTGCCCATGAAGCGGGGCAGGCTCGAAGAGGCTGAGGTACAGGGACGAGTGCGTCCGCTCAGACGGAGGGACTGGATAGAGATCACTAGCGATGCAGTGGCGAACGCAGAGACGAGCGCAGGACGAGCGGCTTGGCGCAGGCTGACGTCTTTGCGGGGGAGCTACAGACAGCCGCCGCATCGGTCCCGCAACACGGGTCTTGGCAGAACGAATAGCCCGTTCTTACCCCACAACGCCTCTGCCCAGAAAGCCTCCGCAGTCCGCACCGTCGGCGAGTCGGACATGTACCCACCGACTCGGCACCGACGTCCAAGGCATCGGCGGCGACGACACCGATGATTCTGGGGTCAAGAGCAATACATTATCCACGCAGAGCCATCGCTGGCACGGCGGACCGCAGCGATGCAGGCATTTGGGCGTGTGGAGGATCGCCTCGGCAGTGACGTACTCACCTCAGGTGCTTATTAGGTACCTCGACGGTCGACAACACCCCACAATCGCAACCGGGCCGGAGTCATCGACAGCGGCCGCTCAGGCTATTGGTCGACCCGCCCAGGACCCGCCCTGTGCGACATCAACTTGGAGGCATATCCGGGGCGAAGCAGCGCTTGTATGCAAGGAACACCCGAGCTGGCAGAACGTATCGCCTCAGAGACGCAGGCGTGTTGACGAGGAGGGGACTTGGGGGTGGGGACAATTATTCGTGCAACTGGACGGGGAAGCTGCAGAAATTGTGACGGACACGAGCGTATATATACGGCGGGCGTCGATCGTTGCCGCAAGACGGTCTCGTGCCAGCCACAAGATGCGGCTGACGAGATGCCAACAGCGGCCACAAGAACAATTCAATCCGGCAGCGCGGCTGGCAGGCTGTAGGGGCCGGTGGGAACGGCGTTGCCTCGCCCACACGCCACCCGCCAAGTCGATCGCACTCGTCACTGCTGCCTCTCGCAGTGCCTCTCGGGCGTGCGAAACGCCTTTCCTAAGCCAGGAATGCCGCATCAAGCAACCTCAATAATATTCGTCATCGCTAGCCACGCAGTCCAACAAGTCCAGCAGCGTACGGCCCCACGCCTCGTAGACGTCATTAATGCCAACCTGCATCGTCCCCGGCCTCTACGGAGACCGCCCGAGCGTCCACAGACCTGTCCACACGTCACTGTCAGAGTTCCACTCCATTTAAACTTTATAAGACACGCAATAACATACCGCGATTTTATCTGGGACCATGCGTCCTTCCCCACCTTGTAGTTCCCGATGGTCCACGCATCCTTCGCCGTATTAAATACTTGACCTGCTGAGATGGCCTCAGAGCCCATCGCGCTGTGAAGCAAGACACTGTGAGCACGTAGGACTTCAGTGAGCGCCGCATCCAACACACGTACCGTCCCTTGACCTGGTGATAGGCATCTTTGCCTGCCTCGTATGCGTCGTACGCATCGTTTCCGATGCTCCATGCGTCCGTCGCTGCATGGAACACTTGGCCGGCCGAGATGGCTTCAGAGCCCGCTGCTCTATAAGAAGCAGATAATCTCAGCCATGTGAATAGTCAATGCACTGGCGACACGTACCGGCCCTTGAACTGATGATACGCATCCTTGCCAGCCTCGTACGCGTCGTAGGCATCGTTACCAATCTGAAGGGCATCGTTTCCTGCGCGCAAGACGCCCCCTGCAGAAATAGCTCCAGAGCCCACGGACCTGTCAGAGTGGACCATTAGCATCGAGACGGAGCACATACATAGCGCTGGACGCACCGCCCCTTGAACGTCTTCCACGCGTCTGTTCCCGCTTCGTAGGCGTCATAGACGTCGTTGCCAATTTGAACTGCGTCGTTTCCCACCTTCAGGGCGCCCCCGACAGAGATGGCACCGGAGGCGTCCGTCCTATGGCCAACAGGAACAGGGTCAGCGAGGCCGTCCACACTCTGCACATCCAATGGAAACTGACCGCGACCTGCGTTGAAGCGCTCGACGGGAGCGACGCTCAAGACGGCCTTGAGCCTGCTTGAAGTCGGGTCGATGGACGCGGTGAGGGCCGTGCGGCTCGTGTGGAAGGCCTTTCTCCGCGCGAAATTGTTCGGGGAAGCTTTGCGTCACCTCACCACTCGGGGCGAACGGGTAGGGGATTGCGCTTCAAGAGGATGATCAGTCTTTGTCGCTGTATGCAAGTGGGACCACATACGCGGCGAGGACAGGGGCAGAGAGTAGAACAGCAACAGCAATGACCGAAGACGAACGCATCTGGCCTGATGGTAGAGTTGACAAATAGAAATTACACTGTCGGGTTGTATGCGTAGGTTAGGCGACGGAGTGGGATCGTAAGGTAGCGAGGAATGCGGGTCGTTACACAGCAAGACAAGCTGAACGAACGGTCAGTTGTCACTTTCGAATACATGGCGAGACCTGGCACTCACTAGCCAGTACCTGTACTTGTGAAGCTACGCTTGGTCAGGTCAACTGAGGGCTGAGACACCAGAGAGCAAGAAACATGCTTTTATCCTGGCCCGAAGCGTCTATCGAGCATTTCCTGCCTGTGCAAAGTACGCCTTCCGTCATCCATCGTGCGACTGCCACTGATAGGAACGCACGGCGGTGCGGGCCTCGACGTTCGGCGTTGTTGGGCTGCGTTCCCGTCCTGACCGTGCAGCCAGCCACGATCAGTCGTGAGCTTGTCCAGTTGGACGTTCGCCTCCATTCCTTGCGGGTACGTGTGCGACGCGACGTGGCGCCAATGAATTCGTCAGCCACGCGGGCTAGGTGAGATGTCTTGGACGTTCTGCGGGGCGCGCGGCTGGTGAGTATCGGACAGGCTGCTATCCGTCAGAGTGACCGCCGGGCTGCCGACGCCGATGTGGGCCTCCGTGGGCGTATTGATTGGCGGAGTCTCAGCGGTCGTGCACCGACGTACCCGGCTTTGTTGTAGAGATGCTGGTGGCATCCAACGGCACAGGATGGATCCTTCCCGTGGTGTTCTCTCGTGCTAATCATCCCTTCGAAGAAGTGCATGAAGTTTCAGCATTCTTACTAAGTGCCGCATTCACGAATTTCAGGGATGGGATACGTCAACATACCGGACGATATGTCGTCCGTCTACGTCGAGCCGCAGGCCTGCAGGAATTTGCAGGGCAGCGGTGCCACCGACGAACACACGGAACGGACGGGCCACCTCGTCCCTGATAACCGCGCGCCGCACGTCATCTTCAGACAGAGAACGTCTGAGCCAACGATGGCTGTCAACCATTCAGCACAGCTGCTAAGCGGTCCTGGTCCATCTGTGTGAGTGCCCCGAATACAGAGAGGAATCACCGAACTCACTCTATGTGTGTAATGCATAAATAGCATCGTGCGGCCGCTCACCTGTGTATGAGGAGCTATGAGACATCGATGGTTGTCACCGACGATTCAGCCCGTACCTCGATGGCACTGCCTAGATGACCATCTCTGTGGCACATGCTGGTAGAGTAAAGTTTTCTTAGTTAGTTCAGTGCGCCTCGGGAGCCTCCGTTGTGTTGAGCGTTGCGTCTTAGTAAGGCGGCGCTTGGCTTGTTGGTCGAGTTTCCAGGCGATATAAGCAAATAGCGAGATAGAAATAGGTCAAAGTGGGATTAAGTGATGATACATACTCAGTACGCCGCGGTGTCGTCGCCGTGAAGGCGTGGGCTGTCGTCTGATTGACCCTCCGTGTTGTCACCAACAGGTTTCGACTCGCTACGTCAGTTTCCTAATCCGGCCTTGTTTGATCCATCATCTTCGCGCCTATTATGGTAACGGTCTCAATGAAGTTCGGCTGTAAGTACTTATTGCACGGACAAAATGAAAGACACGGTAACACAATACTGTGATCCTTTGCGACCATTGCTATGGCTCACTCAACGGACTCTGTTTCAAGAACAAAACACTGGCAGAACTTGAACACGATGCCGACAGCCTGTTGCGTCAGGGTAACTTGAAGTCTGTTTTTTTTGCATATGTCGCTAACGAAGATGTTTGATTCAAGTCCGATACCGTCACGGGCAATACAGACAGCACAGGCATCGCTCTTTCACGAACCAGATCAGCGGAGCTCGCGACAGCCGGGCTTGTGGCCCACGGCGTCAGTGCAAGCCATCGGTTTGAATGATCCTACGCCACAAGACGATGGTACTGATTGTTGTAGCTTACGATGCGTTGTGGCCCACTGTGTAATGATGTCGACTAGCGCGTCTGAAACCGCTTCGATAGCTCAAAGAATTGATAATCTATGCCAGGTCCTGCGCTGCACGAACCCAACACTGCATGCAAGGTACATTCGGCACTGTTCACCATTCGCAATCCTCCCTAGTTCGCAGTACTTGCCCGACTTCCTCCCTGCTCAACTCCGTAGCACCTACCGCATCCAGCATCACCTCTTCCCAATCCTGATCAGCAGTGACGCCGAAGGTCGCGTCCACTGCCTTCTGCCATTGATTACCTTCCAGAGCTATCAAGCGACTGGCTTGAAGCAGCTGCCTCCAAGGTGCTTCCGCCCGACTTCTATCGCTGCGTGCGAGAGCAATTTGGCATGTCTCGACAAAGAGCTCGCTCTCTGCTAGAATGGCTTGCCTTCTTGCAGACCGATACGACCTCGTCCACGATAGAAGATCTGACGCTGCAGAATATATGAGCCGAGACGCGACGCAATGCGACGGTACAAAGTAGCCGCGGTCCTCGCCGAGATTGACGACTGTAAGAATGAGACTTCGGAGGAGAGGAGAGCGAGGGGTGCCAGCAACGTTGTCGCCAGGGCGATGTCATCCTGGCGTTCATGGCTGATATTGGGAGTAACTTGCCTGTAACACGTAGAGCGATGAGAAGCGGAAGTCGAATGCGATCTGTACCGACTTACGTTGAAGAGCTTCCGGTGAAATGTGCCTTCAGTCCGGCTTCCACTTCGCCGCATATGGTGTGAATGATCATGTCCTCGGCTCGCTCGGCCAACTTCTCGTACTGACCGACGAGTGTCTCAAAGATGGTGCCCTCGGTCTCGTCAGTGTTGCTTCCGAGTGGACTCGGTAGCGTAGCCACATCCTCTACGCGCGATCGCAGTGATGCCTGACGATTGATCTCTGCCCATAGCTCGAGGAAGAACTGCAGACCAGCTGAATCAGCCAGCGCATGTCAGGTACGTATCCAATGCTTACCAGCTCCTCGCCCCAGGCCGCACAGGCTGCACTGATGTACCGCGCGCTTACGAGCGCTTTACAGAGACGCTGCACGCCTTCCACCCCGCTAGTGAGCCGCTGAGGATCGCCCGCTCGCCCCATGCTTTCAGAGCTGACGCCGACGCTCCCGAGGGCTCCGGGCACAGCACGCATCAACGAAGAAGACAATGTCTCAAAGGCGTCCAGTGACGAGGAGATGCGTGAATGGTATGCTTCGAGTATCGGTAGCTGTACTGAGATGAAGAATCGTGTCCGGTGGAGAAACTTGGGGAGGGGGGAGTAACGGTCTGCAACGGCGTCAATCGAGACATCAAACCCCAAACTGGTGACGCTCACCTGTAATTTGTTCGACCAATGCCTTCACCCTCCTGGCTGAATTCGTGGGCCTCAGGTCCCGTTCTGCTACAATAGCATCATCAGGGCTATCCTCGGTCATAAGCCAGGCATCCGAGGAGCTAATGATGTCCATATACTGATCCATGGCGACTAAAGGTAGCAGATGATCAATCTGCGAACGCTGGCGGTGTTATTTCAAGAGCTCACATTGCCGCTCGCCTTCCATCCACGCTTCGAACCACTCTTCGCGACCAAGAATAACTTCACTGATGCCTTCCCATTTGCTCTTCGTACCTCCGCCGGATGACCCACTAGCAGCAGTCGTTCCAACGATATCGAACCCTTCTTCTCGAAGCGCACTGTCAAATGCAAGGGCTTCGTATATTGTATGAGCAAGGACCGGGGGATGCGAAATTAAAGGAGGAATCGTTTTCCGTAGTTTTCGTTCGAGAAGAGGCAGAAGCAACAGCGTAAATTCGCGCTGCATGCACGATCAGCCTGACGCGCATAGGTGTAAGGACATATGGAGCACTAACCCATGCCTCAACTTCTCGATAGTCGGTTGCAGAAAGAAGAGGTTGTACAATTTTCTCCATGAACGGTTGATGTTCATGTGAGATGTTGAGTACATGCGTGAGGTACCATTCTGGCTAAAATGGTCGACGTTAGTCGTTGCACGTAGCTGACGCAGTCAGTGATAGAAGCCAACCTTGTCAAGCCTATTTGTTTGCCTCGTTCCCTCGAAGTGATATTTGAACCGAAGCGCAACAGGTTCTACTAACGCCTCCAATGGATATAGACCCTCTTTGTGTACAGATATTGAACTTCGTGATGTACGTATCGCCTCCCCCCTACAAGGTCGTTAGGTTGGGAAAAGCAACTACCATATATTGACGCACATTGTTTGCAGCTTCAAGCAGTTCAAAAACGCTGCTTCAAACCGCTTCCGGTCCTCCGGAACTGCAGTGACATAGTCCACAGGTTGTGGCCAGTTCAGCTTCTCGGCAGCAGACAGCAATGTTCTGCAACATAGTTAGAATGCGTTTCGGCCAGACGGGGCAGATTGAGTGACCTTGACAACGCGTGCTTCATATCTAACCAGGACTTATCTCTGACAAATGTGAGGAATGACAGTATGTGAAGCTGCTGCTGTCCAGCGACTTCCTTTACAGGTGTGCATGCTTGCTGTACCGAGCCAACGAAGCGTTCCAAGGCCTCGAATTCACTGAGGGAAGAGAGTGTTCTGGCTGAGTCAACCTGCTTCACAGCAACTTCACTGAGACCTGTGGTAAGCCACGGCACGAAATTACGTGCGACAACCCTACCTTAATCGCAGGGCGTGTTCAATGATTTGGACATAGCGCTTCACACTCTCCAGCTCCTTGAGACTGCGGTGCAGAGATTCGATGTCTTCCAGCAACGTCGGCTTGCGCTCCACGCCCCCTAACGAAGATTCCAATTGGTCTGCAAGCAGCACTAGCTCGTCCGACAAGGAATGTCGCAATAGGGAAAGCTCTTGTGCTGTATGCAAGTGCTCTTGAGTGGACGTACGAGTTTGAGTTATGAATGCATCAACGGCTTCCCGAGAGCGCATGAGCTGAGCTGGGACGTTCGGTCGTTAGAGATATATCATCAACAGTGATACTATTGTTGCGTACCTGAGCCGTAAGTTCATCGTCCTCGTGTTCAGCCTGCTCGACGCAGCGTGGAGGTCGGCACTGCTCCCTAGCCCTTCCAGGGACGAGAACTGAGCATCAAGGAAGGATAGAGCGCTCGCTTCAGATTTGTCCCTCCGTGGTTCCTGAAGCAGGGACTGTACTTGATTGGCAACCGATGTCGATGTCATGGCGTAACTTCGCGGATGTGTCAATAGTTTGAGGAGGTCCTGCCGGTGCAAGAGATACCAGTTGGGACGGTATTGAATGGAGGAAGCCTGACGCTTGGACTTGAAAGTGGCGAGTCAGTGGCAACTGATATAAAGCTGGAACGAGTTCAAGTGACGTTCCAAGGACTAGAGGCGGTGTGCTACTTGAGACGACGTATGTAGGGCGCGTCGACGCGCGTGGGGACGGGTCGGTAGTGCGCGCCGAGCACGTGCGCAGGGCTTCCGAGACTGCCACTGTTTGTTTAGCTCAACTTCGACAAGATTATTCGAGGTCCAAATGTTGTGCACGTTGACAGCGATATTGCACTGACCAATGACTGCAGGAAATCGGTTCTGCAGTCACAGCACGGAGTATTCAAAGAAATACAGACAATGTATACACCGTCAACTTCGTACAGTCAAGAATTCAGGAAGCGTCGAGCGTGGAATCCCGAGTTCCTATGGCTTCAAGTTCTTCCCTACCCATCGTACAACTTCCTCCCAGTTGTTCACCCTACTCAGCGGCGCACCGTCTGGTATTGTCACATCATCATCATGCCACCATTCTCTCCCACCTTCCCGCTTCGTCCGTTCATCGAAGCTCACTTCGTCCTTGATGTGTTCGTAGTTGCCACTGCGCTTGTTCCACTGGTAGTCACCAAAGAGGAGTACGGGCACTGGTGGGTCTGCTTGGATGCACTTGAGTGCGTTCTCGACGGAGTCGTCAATCATCATTTTGGCACCCAGCTTCTTGCATACCTACATCCACGATGTGTGAGATGGTTCAGGAATCTAACATCTGGGAGGAAGGAACACGCGGGCTTACATCGGCCTTCGACAATTTCGTGATCAACATCGTCTCGTCTGCGAGTGTTTCCTGAGACATCCCAGTGCAAATGATGTCCTCGAATATGCCATTGAAGTACTTCTCAATCCATTCCTTCGTCCTCGGCAGCTCGCGCACTTGCCTAGCGGTCACCAACACCAGGCGGTACCCCAGATCCTTCAACGCTTTGACGCCCTCAAGGGCGCCTTCAACCGGAAGGGCTTCATAGAGCCGCGGAGTCGAGTAGAATTCATCGACCTTTTTGAAGGTCTCGTCCGGAGTGCCCCAGTATGGATTCTGTCCAGTCTCGTTGAGTCGCCACGTCAAGAAGGGCGCCACAATCTGCAATTCCTCACTCTCCAATAAAAGTAATCTAGGGCGAGGGGTCAGTCAGCATATGTCGATGCAAAGGGGGATGTTTACTCACAGAGGAAGTCCTTCAGCGTGATTTGAGTCCCGTAAGTATCATTATGCCCTTCATGGAACAATACTTCGTCAGTCAGGACATACGCGAGAAATTACACCGCGGCCTTACATTCAGCGACTACACGATTAGTCTGGCTGAGTACATCATCCAAGTCTACACAAATCAACGGATTGTCGACTGCGGTGAGGCCTGCTGCTGGAGGACTGTTCCAGAAGGAGTGTCGTCCTGAGGCACCTGGCCGTGGCTGGAGACGTCTCTGTGTTCGCAGACATGAGAGTATGCACGATAAGAGCTGGGGCGTGCGGATGGGACAATGACAGGAAGAGACCGGTCAGAGTCACAGACTACCAATAGGAATCGATGTCATCGATGCGGGCGCTCGGCGAGGATGCATTATGGCCGCCAGATCTACTCGGGGGCTCTAAGTCCTCGTAATACGGCGGTGAGATGGCGCCATGTATTGCTGGGGAGTGTGAGCGGGATGACCTTCTGGTGCGAGATCGCGAGGAGGTGAGCGCGTCCCGAGATCGCGTCGGTGGCTGCCGCGGTTGTCCTCATCTGGGCTCGCGGCAATGGCCGGGGACCAGAGCGCGAAATCACGCGCAAATGCACTCGATCTAAGCATGTTGCAGATGGGCGCTCCCCGGCGCAGGCTTCACTGGCATTCGGCTCTAGGGCCTGCTTGCGAGCCCTCTTCTGAGCCATGGCCATCCAGTCGAAACTGTTGCCCAACAGGGACAAAGTCAGAAAGCTGGTCAGCGCGTACTCTTCCCACGGCCTCTCATTCAGCGGGTCCTCCTGCTCGGCTTCGTTGCCCATATCCTCACGGCGACCTATCTTGGACTTCATACGAAGTCCGCCTCCTCGAAGGGTTCCAGAAAAGACAAGGGAAAGGGAAAGGGGAAAAACTCGGATGATGGGAAGAGACAGAGGGTTGCCGTAAGTAGTCCGCTATTCATTCGAATGTGGTGCTGTATTCTAGAGTGTGCATCCAGGTAGATGCCGTGTTCTACCAACGCCTATCCACCATTCTGCGCATTGTGATCCCGAGTTTGCGCTCGAAGGAAGCGTTGCTACTCGTGATGCACTCCAGTCTACTCATATTCCGCACGGTCATATCACTTTACGTCGCAGCACTAGATGGCAGGTGAGAGCTATCGTAACACTCATTCTATGATTCTATGAGTGTCTAACTCAGACGTCTCTGGTGCTTGACATATCCACAGGATTGTTGCCTCATTGGTTAGAGCGCAACCGATGCCTTTCCTCCTCAACATACTCCGTTGGCTACTCGTCGCAATTCCGGCAACGTGGACCAACAGTTGGCTCAGTTACATCCAGAACAAGCTTGCCCTTGCATACAGGACCCGTTTAACTGATGCAGTTATGAAGCAGTACCTAGGCGATGAGAAGAATGCACAGGACCTCAAGATATTCTACAAGCTTTGTAAGCTCAGTTACTTCATAGTGGTTAACACGCGCTGAATGACGGGCTTGCGCAGCGAACCTCGATGACAGAATCAAAAACCCGGACCAGTTCAGTCTGCACAGCTCGCACAGACCGCACTGTGCACTCATTCGATTACACTCTACAGGATGATTACCCACGATATACAGCGCTTCTCGACGCATCTTGCCGCCATCTATGCGAATGTCGCGAAACCTATCTTGGACATGATACTTTATAATTACCAACTATCGCAGAACGTTGGCGCAGAGGGCCTCGTCGCACTCACCTTCGCCGTGCAGGCATCAGCAGCTCTCCGTAAGTCTTCCATGTCTTCGTCAGTCTATGCGAATCTTATCACTGTATCCAGTCCGAGCCCTCACGCCACCTTTCGGCATGTATACAGCTCTCTCCGCCCAACTTGCGGGGAATCTACGCCACACACATTCCCGTCTTGCTGAGTTCGCCGAAGAAATTGCCTTCTTCGGCGGCGAGCATACTGAGAAGATGCTAGTGGAGCGTGAATATGCAGGTCTTGTACAACACGAGTCCAAGGTGTTGCATAAGACATGGTGGCATGGGTGTGTCGAGGAGGGAGTTATCAAGTGGCTATGGGGAAGCTTCGGCGTACGTTCAGCTTGTCTGCTCATGTGCGCCCATGGAGTGCTGACGGATATCAGCTATGTATTTGTGCCATCCCTGTCTTCTTCAAGATACCTGGTGTGCATAGCGTTGACTTGGGCGGTCGAACAGAAGGTTCTAATCCCCCATTCGCGGACGACACAGTTCTCACATTCATGCTATGTAGGATTCGTCACAAACCGTAGACTATTGCTGTCTGCCTCGGGTGAGCCTGTTCATTCTGACTATCGACGTATATTTGCTGATGGACCTCCCTAGATGCGTTCGGACGCGTGATGTATTCGTACAAGGAGCTCTCTGAACTCGCTGGATACACGGCACGTGTAGCGCAGTTGCTTGAGACGATGTCCGACGTCCGCAAGGGGAAGTTTGAGAAGGCGTTGGTCAGTAGTGCGGACACAGAGGAAATGCGAAGAGTGAGTACTCTATGCGTGGTGTTCGCCATAGGATTCATCGTAGTGTTCAGTCCTAAAGGGCCGTGGGGTCATCATTGAGTCTGACGAGATTGAGTTCGAGTCGGTGCCCATCGTTACGCCCAATGGCGATATTCTCGTCCGTAGCCTGAGCTTCTACGTCAAACCAGGGGTATGTGCGTCGAGTAATTCAGAGAACCCACAAAACTAACCTACCTAACTAGCAACATCTACTCATCGTAGGTCCAAATGGTAAGATAATCGCCCAGCTCTTTCCCTCGGCTGACGTGGCTCCAGGTTGCGGCAAGTCTTCCTTGTTCCGTATATTGGGCGGCCTATGGCCTGTTTATGGTACATTCTACCTTACCGCCTGTGCTCGACATACTCAACGACGATCATGTCAGGCGGTACCGTCCGCAAGCCTCCAGCATCGCAATTCATTCTCATCCCACAGAGACCATACCTTTCACTGGGCACCCTCCGTGACCAAGTGACATATCCGCACGGCAGGGAAGACATGGAAGGGAGTGAGTGTCAATCCCGATTATTCCCCACAGGAACACTGACGTAACTGCATGGGCAGGGGGTATGACCGACGAAGATCTCCTTTCTATTCTTTCAGTCGTGCAGATGGATCATGTCGTCGAACGTGAAGGCGGATGGGACGCCGCTCGCGATTGGCGAGATGCGCTTAGCGGGGGAGACCAGCAGAAGATTGCGTGGGCGCGTCTCTTCTATCACCGACCGAAGGTCAGCCGGCTCCTCCTGTCTTGAACTTTGACCTGAAGTATTTGCTTCAGTATGCAGTGCTGGATGAAGCTACATCCCTCGTGCCGCCAGATATGGAGGGCAGGATGATGGAACACGCAACAAAGCTCGGAGTAACTTTATTGACCGTGTCCCACCGACCTTCATTGTGGAGGTATCACTCCAGGATTCTGCAGTACGACGGCCAAGGCGGATATGTATTGTATGCTCTCCAGTCCAGGGCTACTCACGTCAGTATGTTGACCATTTGATAATGCAGCACGAAACTAGATGCGGAGAAACGTCTTGCACTTCAGCAGGAGAAAGAGGCTCTTGAAGCAAAGTTGCTCGAGATGTACGCACGCTCATATCTATCTCTGTGCGTCTGTGCTCATCCGGAATCCCAGTCCGAAGATGAAAGCAAGACTTGCTGAATTGCAGGCACTTCAGTCGCAGCGGTTGTAAGGAGTTACACCACGCAACATGTTTATGGATAATGGATATTCTGGATGTATACTGATGATTGTACATGTACGTCTGAGACCCGTATGGTTGCGTTGCAACCTTTCTCTCTACGATGAACCAATGCGACTCAAAAGCCGCGGCACCCAAGTAGCCCGTGTCGGGGACACCGGTCATGCGTGGATAGTGCGGCTTAGCCCACACTGGCAGTGGGCTTGTCTTTTACCTCCTCGCGGAGTACATGTCGTACACTGGAGAAGAAAGGTGAGATTTGGGAGATCTTTCTCGCCTAAGTACATATGTAGTCAGTAAAAAGAATCGGATCGGTCACGGCGCGGCTCGGCGCAACCTCCCCATGGGCCAATGGAGAGGCTCGGGATGGACGGATTAGCGTTCCTCATTTGGCGGGGTACCGAGTCGGCGATCGGATCGGGAAAAGACGGATCCGTGTTTTTGTATCACGAGCGCGCTCATTGGGCTCCAAGGTACCGCCCTCCACCGCCGCCCGCTGTCGTGTGCGGGTCCGTCTCCTCTTCTTACCTTACACCCGTCTTCGTATTCAGCTTGCATACTTTCATCGTCGCTTTCGTCTCGCAATGCACTATTTCTCACAGCTTTTCCATTACGAGTGAGTATTCTGGGTGCGTGGCGCCTTGCCAGCGACGGTGCTAACGACAATCCCTAGTCATCCATGGGCACACGTAGTGATTGGGATGTGGCATAAATACCCCAATCCTCACTGCTCCCATGTCGTCACGATTGATACTCTGGACCGTTCCGTCGATCCGGAGACCGGTGTGATTAGGACAGAGCGGATACTGGGCTGCAAGCAGAAGACCCCGCTATGGGTGGTCAAGGTATGTCGATTCGCACCCTTCTCTCTCACCCCAGCTCTTGCTCAGTGTCTTCCAGTTGTTCGGCGGCTCGGAGGATGCGTTCGTTCGGGAAGTGTCATTCGTCGACCCACGAACGCAGCAGGCAACATCACATCCGTCAACCTCTCGCTTTCCCAATTCGCAACATGTTACGAAAACATACGGTACTCACCAACAAGCGACCATCGCACGGCTTTCCACCAGACTGCGGAGATACAGTCGCGTATGGCCCTGTGGAGAGGCGCGGCGGACAGGCTGGAGGGCTGGCTGGTACAGCGATTCGAGCAGAATGCGCAGTTGGGCAAGATAGGCTTCACGGATGTCCTCAGAAGCCTATGGGAGCGAAGGAGGGACATGCAGCGTGCTGACACGTCGGCGCAGCCTGAGGGCTGTATGCGGATATTTCTTTTCTCAGGTTGGGCTGTCTGTCCCGCATCTAGATGGACCACAGGCGTAGTTGAAGCAAAAGAGGCTAGAAAGGGTGATGTCCCTCTGCAGTCCTATACCATACAACATTGTACAATCAGCCGCATACACTACCTCCTTCTATCCGTCATCCGCACACACATTACAGTACCGAGTGAAGAGTGTATGCTCTTGAACCAGTCCAAGTCATCTAATTATTGGTCTAATGAGTGAATTGTTTGATCCTATTCAATCGGCCATATTCAGATTTGACATGCTCTTCATTGCCTGACATCATACTCTGTTGCTCACTGCGAGTTGTACTGCGTTCAGGACAGGAAGTGAAGCCAAAGCGATACAAAGCAGACTGAGCGTGGACGACAAACTCGGCTGCCGCGCTTTCGCGTCTGTATATGGAAAGTCACCGTAGATGATCGATGAGTCATCAAGCATGCAGTGATGCACCTTGTCCTCCGCTACCACTACTCCAAGCTACTGCTCTTTGCTGCTTCTCTCCTCTCTTCGGTACAGTTTTTATTCATAGTACACAGGGTGGACGGTCCAGCGTTCAGAGTTTGAGCCGCACCACGGACTCATAATATCGTTATGCCCGGTCCCTGATCCACCAACCCTTCAACGTCAACTGCGCCTTCGCACCTCTGTGCGCTCATACGTTATGGACGACCTAATTCAACACTGTCTCCGAGAGTTGTCTTATGATGGTGACCTTGGTGAGTTGCAGTTATTGACCGGCGTCAAATCCCATAGTTGCATCAGGGCAGGGGTTCGAACCTGCCGATGCGCCTCGCTTTTGTCTGCATTCATGCGCTCATACATACGGATGTGAACAGGTTGTGATATTTCAAGGCTGCGAGAGTCCATCGAACTCTTCTATACCTATCGCGGCTCGACGTCTGGACAGAAGATCGATGATGCATACTGCGCCTTCACATGGTCTGTCCTCGTCAAGCAGCCGAACGTACGAGTAGGCGTGGTTCCGGAAGGATCTGGCGCAGAAGTATATATAGCCCCACAAAACAGCGCGAAGAGGAAGGCCAGGGCAAAAGGCGAGGAGATGGCTGAAGCCGCACCGGCAGTCCTCGAGATTATCCCGGACGCAGCGATTCGGCCTGTGGAACAACTCAGAAAGGAGTATGGCGACAAGCTGAGAGTTGCCGTCGACCTAGACACCATCTTCAGGGCCCTAACTGGATCGCACATCCGCGTAAGCCATTACATACAATGCGCTAAATCTTCACTGATCGACAGGACGGTCTAGGATTCGAAGCTCAGCCCTATGGTCTACACCGCTCTGCAGCTCATCTCGCGCGGACACGAGGCTGGCATAAGCAGCATAGACCTCGCAAGGAAGTCTGGTTATGATCCCAAGACGTGCCACTATCTTGTCAAACAGCTCCTTTCGCTGAATCTGGTGTAAGCACTGGATATATGCGCTGCGGAACATGCCTAATCACTAACTCTGAGTAATTTGTAGGGTTAAGCGCGGCAAGACAAGTGTTAGCAGCAGCACAATAGTACACAGAGACTTGTTCAATCGCGACGCGACATGGCAGAATATCGTGGTTGAAGAGAACCAGGTACGGGAGGCACCAACACGGAAGATCGATGATGAGGGATTAGACGACGAAGACGACGAGGGAAATTCGGAATTCAGTCTAGGTTCGATCGTGCAATTCGACCCCATTGATGAACGGCACCTGTCCAGTTTGGACCTCATGCGTGGACGTCTCGTTACACTGCTTCAAAACTCACCACATGGTCTGCATGCCGCCAATAACCTGCTACCCAAATTGGTTAGGATTGCTTTGACTTTGACATTGCACATAATCCTGACAACGTTGTCTCAGGGCTTCGCGAACCCTACCAAACGCAATCGACGGTTTTTTATCGCCCGCTGCGTCAATGAACTCATCAGACAACGTGTCATTGAGAAAGTCAGGGTTCCCGGACGAAACCAAAGGCTGGTGACATGTTTCCACTTGTTGGATGACGACTCGGACCAGCAGCCGGTTCAGGCTGGTCAGCCACCGGACAAGGACATGGGAGGCAAGTCGGCGAATCACACGTCTCAGGAAACCTCGATTTCTCATATTACCTCTAGCCGAGATGGAAGGAGTCGGAACGCTCACAGTGAATTTCACGCTTCACAGGCAGATCATCGATCTCTTAGATCGGTCTGGTGACAAGGGTATGACACTTGGGGTACGTCTCTCGGAATCATTGCTTCGCATGCTATGAATTCATCTTTCTTGTGGTAGGACCTTTGTGGAGCACTCGGTGACTTCGACCGACGCACTGTCGAGCTGCTTCTTGAACATCTTCATGCTAATGCTCCACCTCAACATCTCGCTGACCTCGGCATTGCGCACGGCATTGAAAACAATGGTCGCGAACGGCGCTACAGATACTGGACGGTCGCCCACTATCGTACTATGGCCGCCAAAGAAGACTTCAAGGAACACTCACACGCCAACGTTGACCTCGCTGCGACAGGAGGCTTCATGAGTCTCAGCGAGACCCAGTTCTATGACGACGAAGCCAGTCACAATGTCTACGTCGACGGCCTCAGAGGTCACCCCGCTAACACCTCGGGTCCTGGTAAGGCGAAGAGGCCGCATAAGAATCCGATTCTCCCGGACGGCACTATAAAACGAGGAAGACCACGCAAGTATGCTGCTGCTCCAGGGGCCGAGTTGGAAAGCGCTGCGAAGGTGACTGGTGTACGAGGGAGGAAGAGGAAGAAAGGGGACGACGTGGGCGAGGAACCAAGCATTCAAGTGTCCGACGAGCCACCCCCCAAGCGGAAGCGGGGCCGACCTCCAAAGCGGCAGCAACAGGCAATGACCGAGTCGTCGTCTGTTGTGGCAGAGGGCTCCCTGGATGACGCTGTCGCCGCGTCTGTTTCGGTACCATCGAGCAGTCTGCAAGAGCAGCCATCCGCGACGAAACGTGGTCGTGGGCCAAATCGCAAAAAGTCCGTAGTCGCTGAAGCCGAAGCCGCTTTGACTGCTCATACGGACAGCACTGTCGTGACACCATCGGTGCCAAGAAAGCGAGGTCGTCCGCGTAAACAGCCCCTACCAGCCGTTAGTGCTGACGCGGCCTTGGCGCCAGAACAAGCTACCGAGGAGGCCGAAAGACAGCCTTCGCCTGGCAGGAATGTATCCCTAGACTCCTTACGCCCGAGTACTGGGCCTCCTTCGCAGTCGACTAGTCAAGCAGCCGAGAATGCGATGGGACCCGGCGCAGACCAGCACCAAAGCGAAGACCTCTTGGGCGATGTCTCAAGTGGCGCACAGAGTGCATCAGCGGCGGACGCCCTCACCGCTAGCATCGACGTGGTATCCCCATGTATTCTTGGTGATCAGATCTCTCCCCATCCCGTCCACAATACGACTATGAGCGAAGGTTGCGCAGAAGAAAACTCCGCTGTTGCGTTTCGACTAGCTGATGGGCCAGAAGTGATGCTGGATGGGAGGAATAATCCTGTGCCGGAGCTCATGAACGTGGATCTCGCCACTACGGAAGCTCCATCTGGACTGCAGATTCCTGCCAGCTCTTTGCCGTCAGCGCGCACAGACGTGTCGCCCGACAGCATGCAAAACGCTTCGCAGATTCCCATTGATCCTGCGCTTCTTGCGGAAAGCATCGCAGGCAAGGCCCCTCCTGTGGACGGGAGGCAACTTATGGTACGTCTGGGAATCTCTCGTAGTCAGAATCAATGCTTACTTCATCATAGCTGATGGGACCAATGGAACCTGTGGTAACGAACTCTGACCCAGATAATGCCACATCCAAGCGGGCAGAGGCTGACTCTGCGATGCAAGCACCGCCAGCCAAACGCCTGAAGTCAAGTAGCGGTCCCGACGATGCTGACCGCAGCGGTCATTTGAAGACGAGGCTCATGCAAGCTCGTCGTGAAAGGGAATTACTCCGCGTCGTTACGGAGGCTAGCGGAATAATAAACGTCAGCTCCAAAGACTTCTATGAAGCGCACGCCGTTTGGTAGATCGGATGTCAAACGCGGGAGAAGCAACCAGTACCCGTGTTGGATCGCGGATGGACAAGCGTACCGTCGATGCAACGCTGAAGGATCTCGATGCTCGCGGGAAGATCAAGCTCATTACTACGTCTGTCAGGATATCTACAGGCGCCACTCGGCCTGTTCGCATTGCTTACCTGCCAGAAGTATCCGAAACCGAGCTTCAGACTTCTTGAGTGGTCTCAGCATCCAGCAGTTCCCTCCTGCCGCTCCGATCAAGACTTTAGAAGAGCCTCTTGTTTACGGAGGAGCGAGACGCCAGACGACACGGAGCCCATCCGTCGCGAACGCATTGACACGGGATGTAGTGCTCCCAACTAATGGGAAGGATTCCCGAGCGAGCCGCGATCCTCTCCAAGACACCATCCTGAACGACAAGAATACTATAGCCCAGTCGCATGGCTTCGTCGTTGGCAGACTCGCCCGAGCCCGAGCTTTGCACCTCTGGATGACCGACTTCTTACAAACGTGTTCACCCAGTGTCAACGTGGTATCGGTGCGAGAACGAGTCGTCTCCTTCTCGCTCTTTTTGAACGACCTGCCCATTTCCACCTACTGCGCCATCGTATCTTTGCAGGTTTCGAGCGAAGAACTGGACCAGCTCCTACGCTCACGGGAGGGCGCGCTTACACCAGTAGGGCGAGTCTCAACTACAATTCGCGACACTCTGCAGATAGGGCGTTGGAGATCTCGAGACCGGTTACTGGATACCCTGGAGGTCCTCACCCGATTGAAGGTCGTGGATCCTCTCCTTCCCTCACATTCCGTAACACCCGCCATTACGGTTGACGCCTCTGTGGAACACCCTTTTTTGTTCGACGTTGCTCCCGTAGAGTCGTGGTCGCCGCTCACGGCTCCTGCCTACTTTCGTCTCAATTCATCGGCTCCTCTGCATCTCTGGGCCCTATCAGAAGACTCGCCGCCGTTTTGGAAGGACGTGCCAGTCTTTCCTATCTCAGAGTGTGACGAGTACTGGCGTCAGCTGCGCATCGTTTCTCAAGACAAGGACGCTGCAACGCAGATCTCCGCTATGAAGCTGGGAGGGCCGCTGACAGGGACTCACGAACTCGCCAGAGTGCTTCGTCGTCCGTCATCTTGGAGTGATGCTTATGTTCTCTCTGCGAACCAGGAGACTTTACTGAAACAACATATGAATTTGGCAAGCGGTGACACGCCACTGCAGGATCAAGACAGGGCACGTCTGGATAGCCTGTGTGCCACGATCTTCGCCCCCATCGAAGTCGTCATTCGGTTTTACGAGAACATACGCAACAAGGTCCTGAACGAGAAGGAGAAGATGGCGAAGAAAGCGGAACGCAAGGTGCAAGAGGCAAAGGTTAGGGAGGCCCAATCCAAAAGCATGATGGCGCATAGGGCTGCCGAAGCTAAAGCGCAGCGAGAACAAGATTGGGAGGACATGGTCGCCAATGTTCATCCAGGACCCCTCACAGATTCAGCAGCTGCCAGAATCCGTCGGCTTCGCACACGATTCCTACAGAGCCCAGGGAAGAACCGCGAGAAGTGGGAGGATGAGATTGAACAAGCAATACAGGAATCGATCCTCGCCGCTAACAAGATCCTGGGTGCCAATAAAGCGTCGCTCGTGAGGCCAACGGCCGCCCCTGCCCCGCTGCCGCCCGTCGTAGCAGCGGTTCCTGAAAAGTCCGTCAGGGAACTCATAGCATCTCAAGGTCCCAGGCTCGCCCCCCGACAACCTGTCAGGAAGTCAAAGAAAGGAGCCAAAGACGGTAAGTAAAGGGCTCCTCTTTCTGCACGCATCTCCTAACTCACCGTATCCAGATAGTGCACCGTCGGAGCCTGCTCGAAGACATAGGTTTCAATGGAACAGAGATTACGACGAATTAGCCCGGGATGCTTCTGCGATCGTCAGAGCTCGGTGCCGTGGACACCACAGGATCGATCTCGGCGCGTTGACCCAGGCTTTCCCGGCAGTCCCGAAAAACTCAGTTCGACAGCGTATTGTCCATCTCAGAGATTCGCCTGGCGCCGATACGTACCTTCAACGGCTGGAAGACAAGTGGTATGATGTCTGGATTAAGCACCGGGGCACGGATGCGCTACCTGACGACGATCCCGCAAGTCCGAGCAACTTCGACATGATCGTGCACCTGGAATTTCTACGCAACATGTCGACAAGAACGCCCTGTGTGTATATCTACGTTCTGCTTAGCCCGCTGATGTCTCATCGTCTATTCGCAGGCGTGTTGGTTTCGTGGAGTTGAGTCAAGACGCAAACTTTGCGCTTCCCCACAACACAAGCCAGTTGACTTCGCTGTGGGACATTCAGGAGAAGCCTGTTGCAGCTCCTCCGTTTGACTTCGTGTGGAGTGGCTCTGCGGAGGAGGGGCGTGAGAAGCAGCTGGCAATGCATGCGTTAACGACGGGTTTGCGGGAGTTACCGTCTGTCGCTGAATATGATTCCGACAACCTGTATGTTGCAGATGCTGCGATGAAGGTGGGACTTGCATGGTTGTCATGGGCATACTCCAGAAGGTTAATCGTATGTCACAGATGGTGTTAAGCACACCCGCTGAGCTCTATGATATACAAGCGGCCACTGCATTGCTTCAGTGTGTCGGTGAGGACTCCGTCAAGGCCGCAACGAAGACCATGCTCGAAAGAGGGATACTCTCGAAAATTGTGCGAGATCCTTCCAAGAGTAGGCCAGGACGGACATTCAAAATCTCAGACAGGTAATTCTGAGAGTTGCATATAGAGTGGCGAAGCTCATAGTCGCATTTTCTTTGTACAGCAATCAGAATGCCATCGGTGGCTCTGTCCCGCAGGATGTCTTTCACGACGCCTTCGCGCTGGAAGACGTTCTTGGTCAGGACGAGGACGAGGACGCCTGGCGAGAGTGGTCACTGTTATCTAGTGATGGGGACATGGCGGCACTGCTGGACCTGGTTTCTAGCAACAAGGTATTCGTCTATGATTAGTGTCTGCATGTCAGCTGATGAGTGCGTAGATTGAGTTCAAGGTGGACACCTCGAATCCGCAGACAAGACGGCCGACCTTTGACTGGAACAGCAAGAAAGCTGGTGAGCGTCACTTTTGCACAGAACATCCTGATCCTAAGTTGCGTTACATAGATGATGATGACATAGAGACGGGTATCATGGTCCGTATTACGGAACAGGTAGAAGAGACAACGGCAGCAGCTGCTGTGGTCGATGCAGCCAAGACCCAGTCAGATGCAGCGGTCCCACATATGCAAGATGCAGACCCAGAGATTCCTATTGATCCAGCGTTGACGGAGGGTCTCTTGACGTCGGGCCAATCGCATGACACTCAGCACGGCAAAAGCTGGGACGGGAGCACTGCGTTTTGTCGACAAGGCACGCCCGGATTAGTTGACTGTCAAGCTTGTGTGCAAGCTGCGAAGTCAAATCTGCTGCGAACTGTCACTGACAAGGAGGCAGAAGAGGCGAATCGTGTGCTCGACGAATTGCAGATTGCTGCAGCAGAGGGCCTTGAGAAACGTCACGTCATGGTCAGTAACTTCATCATTTTGATGTTGACTCCCGGCATTGACAGGTGTAACTCCAGGAATTAGTCCGAGAAGGATCGAGTAGTCCCGCGCTAGCTGCAATTACAAGAATCACGAACGGCGAGACACCGCTTGCTTACTGGACCGGGTATAGCTCTGTAGTTCTCGTCGCGGCGGAACACATAAGGCCATGGGCGGTCTGCGTCTCACAGGAAGGCGATAGGAAGGCGATGATGCAGCCCCGAAGGTGGCTCGATGTCGCCGGACAGAAGATAGGTGAAGTCTGGGAGGCTGCCCTGAGAGCTGTCATTGGTGTGGTTCTGTTCCGCCCAGGCATAACTCAGGTAAGACTTCACAGATGAGTCGCTGGTTCGCCCCCTGACAGCCAACCTCTCGCAGGCGGAGATTCGCTGGAGGCTGAGATCTGTGTATGACCGACAAGAGGTCACTGATGTATTACGGTATCTCATGGAACATGGCTACATCGAACGACGAGTCGACGCGAACGTAGGGCAAGGCATGGAAGTGGGTCTGCTAGATAATGAAGAAGAAGAGCATGTGTTTTGGTTCATCGGTGGAGAGAAGCATTGGTATGACATGTAGCGAAGTCTCTTTGTATCGTATAGTGTGCTGTAGCATACGCACTGGTATATCGATAGCTCACTATGCAGCATATGTACGCGTTCACTTGGATTTGACGATGGCTATGCGTGTCTCTGAATAGCAAGAATATCATTGGGCGATGTGTTGGCTGCGGACTGCTGTTGGACGTCGAAAGCGTCGCGACGTCGAGGATTGGCGGTGCAGTGAGCGACATACTTACGCGGCCACGCGCGAGTGACGGAATGCATGGGCGGCTAAATAAACGCGACGCGCTAACTCGTGCTAAGTAACGAAGCAGTTACCGGGCTGGCAACTCGCATCTTCGCGTGTCTCTCCTGCCCTTTCCCTCTGTCCCTCCCCTTTTTCCTCACGCTCTTTCACTTCCCTGGCCTGGGAGTTCGGCTGGACCGTTGTGCGACTGTCCACTAATCGTCTCTCTGCTGTGCTGTGTGGCTGGGCTCGCGCTTTTGTCTTCGGGTTGCGACTCTTCGATAGCTCTGTGAGCAGGCACTCTCAGATCACCGAACAAATGTTGACATACGCGTGTCTAGTCACAATGCGTATGAATGTCCAGCGTGCTTGGGCCCATGTTCCTCTTTCCGCCCAAATGGCTCTCTTGGTGCGTCCTATTGTCGTCAAAGAATTCGTTCTCATAATGATCATGTCGCATTTTGGTACAGTGGGAGCGTATCACATTGTCAAAGCTTACGACCTTCTATTTTGTCTTCTCCGTCCTTCATTTCGCCGTCCAACTCGGCCTCCAGATTGAAGCATTCGCCATCAACGCTCAGGCGGCGTCGTTCTTACGTACCCTTGTCAGCCAGGGAAACGCGACACAGCACGGGTTCACGGTATGGGACGGTGCTCTGCACATGTGTGCGACCGCACCTGCATCTCTGAGTGCGGATTCGTGCGAGATTCTCTGGCAACCGAGTTCGATGACTGGAAACAGCAGCGTCGATCTCAGCAGTGCGAACGTGACATCGGCCGTCTCTGGCACAATCGCCTCGACTGCGTCCTCCGCCTCAACCTCTTCAGCTGCGTCATCGAGCCTGCAGGTATCGTCCACTGCGTCATCGAGCAGCAGCGTCGCGCCCTCGGGTTCCTCTACGATCGCTGCTACCACTTCCACACCCCGTCAGAATACCTCGTCTACAGGAGTCAGGGCTAGTACTTCTCTCTCCCGGGCCTCAACAGAAGCAGCAGCAGTGCTATACTCCACATCCTCTGCTACGCGGACTGCTACGGTGACGCATGCAGCGACACCTTCCTCGACATCTAAAGTACCCTCTGCTGCTGACGATATTGAGGAGAACGACGCCGACGACGACATCGAAGATGAGGAAGATGAGGATGATGAAGAAGATGAAGAGGTCCGTGACTGTATCACATAAAGTCAGCTCCATTGCAAACGAGGTTTATAGCATCATCATCATCGTCGGTCAATATCCGCGCAAGTGATAACCGTCAATGGGAAAAGTGAACTGAAGTTCAGCGGCGACGGATTCAATGACGTGACATTGAGCTACACTTGCTTGACGGTGTTGAACTGGCCTGTCTCGCAGTAAGTCATGTTCCTCACCTCTATTGAAGCCGCAGTTTATGACTTTGAATCACTAGGTTGGACAACACCAAGCGGGAGGATATCACTTTCATCATGTTCCAATCTTGGCTGCTGGCCATGTCTCTGGTTGCCCTCCTCAATGAGTCAATCCCGCACATGTACGTCGTTCAAGGTTATTTCATTGTTCTACTCTGACGATTTATTACCCAGCATTGCGACTTTGCTCATGCATATCGCCGCTACAGCTTGGGGAGGCTTCCAGATCGTACGTTCGACACCCCGTTGAGTTGCAATCATCGACTGAATCCCATTGCACTAGTTCGACACAGCGCAATTTCACAGTGAGTTCTCGCAGCTGACCACGAACGGAGCCTGTCAGGCAAATCTGCTGCCGACGTACTGGATTGAGCGGGGCGACGTCGAGATACCCAGTCTTGCCCTCAATGGGGTGGCCTTGATTGTATCTGGTGTGCTCTCGTGGAGGTTGATCAAGGTCAGGCTTTTCTATGTTGCGAATACACCGTCTAATAACTTACTAAGTACAGTCATTCGGATGGCAAACATTCAAACGTGTCGGAGCGTCGCGCACCATCAACCGGATTTACAATGTTGTCCTGCTACTCTCCATCTCCATTCAGGTCGCTCTGTTCTTCATCGCTGTCACCGCGGGTCTGTGGATCGATCAGCTCATCAATGGCTACATCGGCTGCCTTACGGACCACGCTCTTGCGTTCAAAGTGATCGATATTGTAGTACTCGCGGTATGTTGAGTTGTGGATTTCTTGCGCGGGGAGTCATTCGCTGATATGCTGCCATGCTTAGTTCTTGGTGCCGTGGTTGAGCTTGGTTCGTGACAGAATGTCTAGCGTGATGTTGATGACTGACTCTAGAGAAGGGTTGGATATCTGTGCGACGGGAGAAGAGATTTCTCATGTTGGTTTTCCTTCTATCGGCCGTTGTCTACCTCGCTGGATGGGGTTCTATGTTTGCGGCCGCCACGTTCCGCTGGACCTTCGTTCAGTGGCGATTCTTCAGCATCATGGCCTCGGCATCCGTTCTCTTGGCTGTGGTGACACTTGCGTTGGGGATCGTTTGCCGCATCAATTTTGGCAAGGGTCTTCCGCGATACTGTGAGTAATGCTTCTAGACTGTCTTGCCGGTCTAATACAAGCTTCACCAGTGAACGCTGAGGAACCGTTGTCCGACGGCGATGACTTCCTCCCTAGTGCTGTGGAGAGCAAGGGCGGGAAGGACGTCGAGAAGGTCGAGTTTCCTTCGACCGACATCCTTGTCCCAACATACATTGACCCGCGTCTGGATCGAGAGCCTACCACAAGAGCCATGGGCCCGCGCTTCTTTAATTCTTCGACGCAACCTTTCGAGCCGCAGCCGGACGCTCCGCCCATGTACAGCGCTTCACCCATGTCCTCCAGAACAGCCGTGGCCGAGATCAACAGCCTCAAGCGCACCTCGACCAACAGCAGCAATGCGTCGAGTGGGAGCGACCATAGCACACGGTCAAAACGTTGGGTCATCGAGTGATCCCTCTGTTACGACTGGAGTCTTGTACAATACAGCCACAGGTGGTCTGTATCTTAGTTCATTTGCGATGTAGACTATTGTACTCGCTCCGAGATATCAGCCCAGCCTGCCAGCGTATGTGCTTTGTCTGTATCCGACAACAGCGCGAAATTGACAGCTGGCAAGTCGACATAATACAGACTGTACGATAAAATGCGGTGCAACTGATACTGCCCTAGGCTCGAGGATATGATACAGGACATGAATAGCCTTGACGTCATTGACCCAAAATATCGCCATTAAAGACGATGCGTTTACTCGTATCCTTCTAGCCCTGAACTAGTACGTACGTATATTGTGATACTCTATCAGAACCAAGCAGGAGGAACTTGTATACAGCGTTCACGCAGAAACTAGGCTACAATCAACAGAACATGTCGAAATCACAAGTCCTCGTGAGGAATGTCAGATAATCCAGTGTAGCTCCCGTTTGAGCCGGGGAGCCCATTCCTTGCCGTTGCAACGGGCGATAAACTAGGCGAAGCGGAGTTGATAGTCTCGACCTCCTTCTCCTGGATGATGGCAGCTTGTCGAGCCACCGACGCGTTGGCGTATGATGGATCTGAAGGCATCTCAACAGGCGGGCTAGTGGCAAGCTCGGCCTCCTCGTAGCTTTGAAGTGCGGCACGGAACTCGAGCATCCACGGGTGTTCCATCAGCTCAAGGGCCATAGGACGCTGCAACGGGTCGATAGTGAGGCATTGCCGGATGAAGTCGATACCCATATTACTAAGTTGGTCGGGGTCGGGAAGGGGAGGATGTTGTGTCGCCACGCCTATATGGAACATGATTGCCCTATTGCGTATGAGAACCGGAACGCAAGCCGACGACTGAACAGCTCACCATTCGTTGTCAAGGTTGGACCAAGGTTTTCGACCAGTTGCGCACTCCAGGATGACACATCCTAGTGCCCAGATGTCCATGGCGCCTTGCCTACCGCGGGAGCTATTCCTAATGACCTCCGGGGACATATACATGGGTGTCCCCGTCAGGCTGTTGCTAACTCCGCCTCCGACGCCACCATTCGTGGCGGCATCTGAGGATCGGCGCGATCGTTGAATGGAGCGCTGGTTCTTAGCAAGGATCTTCGCAGCTCCAAAGTCTACGAACTTGATGACGCCCATGTGATCCAAGAGGATATCTGTAGAAAGCGAGCCGCGTTAGGGTTGTCGGGGTGTCTTAACAATCAGAATGGCGAACTTACTGTCAGGCTTGATATCCCGATGCACGACTCCCTTAGAATGAAGATACGCGAGACCCTCGAGCATCTGCAAGGTGTAGATCTGGAGAATACCTTCATCTTCAATACGGCCATGCTCCAGCAAAGCAGCCAAGCTACCGCCTTGGCAGTACTCCTCAAAAAGGAAGACTTTGTCACGATGCACTTCAATACCGTAGTACTCGACGATGTTCGGATGATGTAGCATCTCCATGACGTTGAGCTCGTCCTTGATCTGGGAGTATAGGTTGGGGAGCCCGGCGATTTCTTGGAACTTGATCTCCTTAACGGCCATGAGCGAACCTGAGTCAAGGTTCACGGCAAGATATACCGATCCGAAGGAACCAGCGCCGATGAAGCGCCTTGCTGCCAGCGAATGGAGACGTTGGAGGCAGAACCCGCCAAGAAAACCAGTGAACGATCTACCAGCTTTTCCTCGTCCAGCACGCGGCCGACGGTGTGCTGCTCAACACCACTCGGACACGCTGCTCCTCTAGATCTCGTACAGCACGAGTGGCCTTCTCCCAGAAGGTTCGGATGATGGGGTCACTATATGCGTACGCGGGCCATCCTTGTTCAACGGGACATCTACCAGATCATCCTCCTCGTCCTTCCGTTCACTAGCGGCTTGCTGGCGAAGAAGTTCTTCCTGTCTCTCTTTCTCTCGCTTCGCTTCGAGATTCGAGCGCGCACCCAGGATGTCGAAGTGGCTGATGAGCAAGGTCATGCAGCTGGCCACTCTTTGTCGAAGCATCTCGAACTGCTCCTCGGGCAACTGCAGGATGTTGTTACGTCGTGTTCGATGGAGGGTAAACTGCAGCGCGGTGACAGCCCACCGAAAGGTCTTCCGGTCGTTGGGATCACAGTCGTCACAGATGAAGGAGACCCAAGAGATGGCAAGCTTGATCAGGAGACGATTGAATTTGAGCACGGTAGCACGATCCATGTACTTCTGGACGTGCGTTCCATGGTCGGCGGCAAACCCGAACCAATTCTCTAATAGTTCCTGATAGCCTGTAGCGTCCTGCAGTGCAGTGCGGACGTATTGCACGGAGTTCACGATTGACTCGGCCAGCTTGTTGTTTGCCCGACTAATCTTGCGCAACTCGCGGTTGACTAGTGGAAGATGCGCCTGGGCCTCTACAAGACACGTCAACGGAGGTAGAGGAGACTCCAGCGTTTCGCCTTCCTCGTCGATAGGCAGGAATAGTTCAGTAAACCGATCCTTCGCTAACGCCAGTCGGTGCTGCGGTCCATCGGCTATGAGGCGGACTCGATTGTCCTTAAGGTCAAGGTCCCATTTCGGAATGGGAAGCATGAGGACCATCCCGTTCCAAACGAAGCGCACTCGGGGTGATAGAACCAGGAGATAGGACACGTCTTCGTCATCCTCTTGTTCGTGGTCGCCGATATCCATCATCCAGGTAGCCTCGTCGACCTCATTGACGTGGAAGGCCTCCATCAGTATACGACGGATGGCTTCGGGGCGATCTCGGAGGGTCTGTGGCGCGACAATGTAGGTGCCGTCCTCTTCAAAGCTGTGAGTGTACACTAGGAAATGATCCGTCTCGACGAGCATCGCAATGAATGTGTCAATAGGCACGTCTTCCAGATCGTATTCGGCAGAGTTGCTGAATCGTTGCGTCAGGACACTGCAGTTTCAGCGCATCAGTATCGTGTATAATGTAGACGAATATGTGAGCCTTACCGTGCTAGCCTCTGCAGTTTTCTATGCCGCTGCTTGACACCGTCGAGGACCTTCCCGTACCAGCTGACGCGCTGCTCGTCGGACATACTCTTCTTGGACGTGGGGTTCATGTGAGTCTCGAATGTCGTGGATCCGGCGGCCTTCGGCATGGGTTGAAACTTGCCGTCGCGCATAGCAGGGGTTTGCGACGGCTCGCTGGTCACCGGTATACGAATCTGCGTATCAAAGTAGTTGGTGACGCGGACCATGAGTTTGTTCGTGAGTGCACTGTCATGCGCCATCAAGTTATGTTCGACAACATGTGGATGCACTACTTACCACAACTGTTCTGCAACAAGTGAGGCACCGCCTGGAATGGTCAAGCTGACATCGTTGAAAGTTGCCCATTGCGCTTCAATGACGTCCGTCTCTTTGAAGTAGATGCCCCTTGCACCACTCTTCAGTTTCCAGTGAATTAATTGAAGAAAAACGTCAGGGCCTCCAAGATTACGGAGTCATAGTCGTCGCTGATACATGGTGGGAGCTTCCAGTTCCCTCCGGGATCTGGTATGAGAAACGCTTCGTACTGCCTCTTCAAGGTACAGGCGAAGCCGATCTTCACTTTGAGATCCTCCGTCATTTGGTCAATGATCAGCACATCAGGATTTTTCAACTTTTGCGCATAGTCCAAGCGCACGCGTAACACCGCCTGAGCGAGGTTGGTCAAGAATGAGACGAGTGGAACAAGTTCCTTCTCGAAGGAAGGAAGGTTCATCTCCCGGAACATGGGGGCTAGGTTGACATGGGCGTCACGCGTAGTACCAACAAGAGCGTGAATGGTAGTCATGGACCCCTTCTCGAACTGCCTCTGGATGGACTCCTCTTTCAGTAAACGATCGACGAATGTAGTCCCATGGGCAGGTTCGTCATGTCCCCTTTGGCGAGGGAGCGGGGTGGAGGGGGTGGATGTGGGTTGTGTTACGTCTAAGTTCTCGCTGCCCGTCCACTTACGCATAACGTCAATGAGTTGGCGAAGAGAGGTGATGACGGTGGACCAGGTGTTCAGGGTATCGCAACGCGCTTGGAAGTCGGGCTCTCCAGCGGATGGGTGGTCCTGGTGGAAGGCCCGCAAGCTCGGGTATAGGGAGTGGGCGACATCGAGCCGGTGAAGGAAGGCGTTAACTTGACGGAGAGCATGCGTAGCGGGAGATTCGGTAGAGTCTGGCGGGAGGTCGTCAACTCGGAAAGCAAGGAAGCCCTTGATAACCGTGTCGACGGTCCGTAATCGTCGCTCGTCCAATCTCTTGCGCTCGTCCTCGACTGTCCTCCCATGGACCTTGGCTCGGATACCAAGCCAGAGGCTTGCGCGTAGATTGTTCTCCTCCTCTGAGGACGAATTGAGCGTACCCGCAATTCGAGTGTTCTCGGATTTTAGAACCTCGCCCTCCAGTACAGAGGCCAGCATAGTCTGCCATTCCAATCTCTCTCGATCCTCGAGACTTTCAGGCTCTATGGGCTCGGTATCCAGCATGAGAGACGATAGTCGGTCCGCCTCAACGCCTCCCACTCCGACAATCCGCGTGTCTTCATCGTCGCTATCTCCTCCATCTACCAGCTGGCCCAAACCTCGCTGGTAGTAGTGACTGTCCGGGTCATTGCGGGGGTCATCGTCTATGCTTTGCCCAGACCTGTAACGCCGCACAAACTGGTTGTATATGTTCGGGTATACCGGTCTCGGGGGCGCGCTCGACGAGGAGGCCACGGTGTACCCGGAGCGAGAGGTCCTGGCGAGAATGTACTTCTCTGGCGGGCTTTTGGCCGCCTAGAGTTTATGGAACTCGTGGATGCTGGCGGTGTCTGCTGCGCCCTGGCCGAGGCCCAGTTGGCTTCCCGTTCGTCGTCGGCGTCGTCCTCAACATGTGTGTAGAGCGTGGGCTGGTGTCGCTTCATCGAGATGGGGGTCAGAAACCGGGAGGACAGACGAAGGGCGACTGTCTTGAGCGGGTAGCTGAGCGGAAGGTGTGCAGTGCGGCTGCGAGACTTGCCTCTTTCATCACTCCCTACGTCAGACGCCCATAATCCTTCGGGCGCTTACATGTATCTTTCACACCGGCACTTCTGCGCATCCCGTGAATCGAGCATATTCGTCTGCCACTTCGACTGCAGTTGCGCGACAAACAAGATATACGCACGCCTGACTAGAAAGACAGCGCCAAGATGGGTGTTGTAGAGAAGGTACGTGATCCTTCGTAGGCGGAGTCGGCGAAGGAGGCAAACAAGGTCTCGCATTGCATTAGATCAAGGAGATTGAGGGTGCGTAACTTTCAGTGTGTTGCAAAACCCACGTAATTGACACTGCGCATAGATGAGATGGCGCGAAGTCAGTACAGCGACACTTCTGTCTTTTCGCCCACTGATACATCTCACCGATAGCGCAAAAGAACAAGGTACGACAATCAATGTACGTTGCACGTTGAGACGCGTCTCATCATGCTAGGCTACCGAATACCATCTTGGATTGCTCAAAGCCAAAATTGCGCGCTATCGAGCGCAACTGCTTGAGCCAACGACGAAATCTGGTGGTGCAGGTACTGGGTTCGACGTCCAGAAGTCTGGGGATGCACGAGTGGCGTTGATTGGCTTCCCTTCAGTGGGCAAGGTGACATGGCCGCATACCCCATCCTTGAAGGTCTTGTCAGGCTGATGCAACAATGCAGTCCACACTGTTGAGCAAATGCACCCATACAGTCTCCGAGACTGCAGCGTATGAGTTCACAACGCTCACCGTCAGTGTCGATTTTGTCTATGTAGCAATCAGTTTCTCACGCATCAGTCTTTCAGGCCATTCCTGGTGTCATCGAGTATCAGGGCGCGCGGATACAGTTGCTCGATCTTCCTGGAATCGTCGAAGGTGCCAGTCAAGGTCGAGGTCGAGGCCGGCAAGTTGTCTCGACAGCAAAGACCGCTGATTTGATAGTGATCATGCTGGACGCTACAAAATCAGAGGAACAGCGACGATTGCTAGAAGTCGAGCTGGATGCTGTTGGTATTCGTCTAAACAGGCGGAAGCCAGACGTTGTTTTCAAGCGTAAAACAACAGGCGGGGTAAGTCTGCATTTTCTCCACTATGATCTCGTACGCCCAACGTCAGCTTATTCCGAATCAGATCACCGTATGTCTTACGCACTTGTCACCTTGAAACCGACGACTCACAACAACAGATCAACAACACAGTGAAACTGACAAAGACCGACGAGAGGACCATCCGCACTATTCTTGCGAGCTGTGCGTAGTCAACATAACGTGCAAGATGTTCTATTTGACGCTGTATAGATAAGCTCCACAATTGCGATGTCATGATCCGGGAAGACGTGAGCGTACTAACGTCTCCGCGCATGTCAAGACTGCTTATGGACGTGTCAGATCACCACTGACGAATTCATCGACGTTCTCATCGGCAACCGCAAATACATACCCTGTCTCTGCAAGTATATGCCTGCGCTCAGAATGCGTTCGCTTGCTGACATAACGTAGACGTATACAACAAAATCGATGCCATTAGCCTAGAGCAGATGGACAAGCTTACACATGAAGATCATACAGTGGTCATCAGTTGCGAAATGAATCTCAAGTACGTGAATCGCACGGCGTTCATGACTTGACAGTACCACTCACGGTTGGTGTCCCCGAACGTCAGCTTGGACTATCTGATCGAGCGTATGTGGGATGACCTCGGCCTCGTGAAGGTATACACGAAGAAACGTGGCGCACCCCCCGATCTAGCGGACCCTGTGTGCCTTCGCAAAGGCGCCACCGTAGAGGTCAGTACAGCCGCATCAGCGATCGCGCGCCGGCGAACTGAACAAAGCGTCCGCGATAGGACGTTTGTAACGGCATTCATCGGTCGCTGGCCACAAACTTCCGATATGCTCTTGTCTGGTGAGTCGCGCAGACGCTGACCTCCTCCGTTCGCGTGCCCTGACAGCGCTTGCAGGGTACGTGCCAAATGTCACCGTGTGTGGCAGCCCTCGGGATGACACTGATCGGGAAGTCGAAATCATCCACTCATACCTATCTATCCCTGCAGGGCAAATCATCGAAGTTCAACCCGCACGCACAGAAGGTCGGGCTGAATCATGCCATGCAAGACGAAGACGTCGTGTCCAGTACGTTGCCCCTCGGTAGACTAGCGCAGGCGAGCTGACCGATGCTGTGCAGTCTTCACCAAATGAACTGCGAAGTTTTTGGAGGGAGAGCCGCCTTGTATCGATCACCTAGTAGCGCTGTACCGAGACACCGAGCATCTGTCAAATTGTACTGCTTCCACGACTCTGTATTTCATCTACCCTTTTTGTGGGTTTCTCTGCGGTGGCGCACTAGAAGGCGTCGTACCGTCTTCGTTACCATGATATACTTATCCACGACACCTGCATCGCGCGGTAACGCCGCTGTAAGTAGCTGTCTGAGTCCGTCATGAGCGATGTCGTCCAGATGCACGTGGCGGATACAGTATGATGATGCAGCAAGCCGCGGAAGATGGGGCGCCTCCCCAGCGCTGCCTGGCTCGTTCCATCGTCTTTCATGATGTGTGCCAAAGCTGTACTCTGCACTTTCGATCGGCCGGCTGTCGTATATAAGGACGGCTGCAAGACACTGCGCCTAGTTGTATCAGCCCTCTACTGGAGATTCGATATCGTGTGATCTCATCTCGGGCTTAAGTGGTCCACCCTGTCCTGTCGCCGAACGCTGTGGATCACATACTCTCTACCCCGACGGACGTCTTTGTCATCGCCGCTTCCCTCGCTCTCATAATCTATCTTCGGACAACATGCACTACACCAAGGACGACAGCGCGAATGCCAGCACGCCCGTGGAGTTCATTTTCATGGGCACCGGAACGTCCTCTTGCGTTCCGCACGTAGACTGCCTGACCCGTCCTCCGGAAGCGGAGCCTTGCCTTACTTGTCTCTCTACTCTGACTCCGGAGGGAAAGAGGAATGCAAGGGTGGGTCTGCATTACCTGACTCGATCGTAGTCGATGAGGCTGACAGCCGTCCCTCTCCGAGTAGCGAAATACATCTGCGGTGGTGCGGCTGCGTAGCGCCTGTTCGGAGGATGTGTACGTCTCGTCATGCTTACGGTATCAGTGACTCGCTGGACTTACCACCATTTCCTAGCACCATCCTCATTGACTGTGGCAAAAGCTTCCAGTCGGCTGCGGTGGAATGGTTTCCTAAGTTTGGGTTGCGCCGCATAGACGCGGTGCTCATCACCCATGCGCATGCCGATGGTACGTCCATGTTACATACCCTTGTCGCCATGTCGACCTATTCTTGCTTAGCCATGAATGGTTTGGACGACCTGAGAGGTCAGTGGAAACGTACCAAGTTCGGCGATCATACCAGTCTGACTGGTGCCGTGTCGTAGGATGGACTTTGCGCGGCGCAATTCAACTCCATATAGACCTGTACGTGTCTATGAACACATTCAAGGAGGTTCAGCGTGCCTTCCCGTACCTCATTTCCAAAGAATATGCTTCTGGTGGCGGAGATGTGAGTTCGTGTCTGACACTCGCCCCCAAACTGCGCTCACGCATACGTAAACATAGGTACCCGAATTCAAGTGGCACATCATAGAGGAAGGCGTCCCGTTTGAGATTGGGGGTACTGGCGTTCAGATAACGCCGTTCGCAGGCATGTGTCACGTTTTATATTTCCTGGCAACCTCAGTTTGACGCAGCGACAAAAGTGCATCACGGCCGCATATTCACTCCCGCACCCCCTGTGGAGATGCCCATTACGCCCCATTCCTTGTCCCCGGCATCAACCGCTGCTTCCTCGCCCAACGTTCCTGGTACACCACTCCATGCGGAGGACCTTCCCACGTCGTCGCCTGCCGATGCGATACAGCCTTACTTGTGCTTCGGCTTCATAATCCAAGATGCTATCACCTACATCTCCGACGTTTCGCATATTCCGGAGCACGTATGGGCAATGTTCAAGTCTCGAGGGAAGGTACCTCCGGTCTTAGTGCTGGATTGCCTACGGATACTGTCGCATACGTCGCATCTCGGCATTGAAGACTCGGTCGAGACGGCGAGACGGATGGGGGCGAAACGGACGTATTTGCTCGGCTTCAGCCATGATCTGCAGCATGACGATTGGGTCACCATTACAGAAGCGGCTGGCGGAGAGAACCACGAAGGATCGAAGCTCGCCCTGATCGAAAAGCACGGACTCCATGGCCTCCGCGAAGGCGATCCAATTTGGGTCCGGCCTGCTTTTGATGGTCTGCGAGTTTTCGTTTCTGGAGAGGGTAGCGTGCGAGATGAAGGTTATTCGCGATAGAGTCGGTGACGGATACAGTATTTAGACTTGAAGTCGGTATAATGTGCTTGGTTATCTGGGGCATCTGCATGAACTGTACTATTTATGCCACTATTGTTGATAGCTCGCGGCGAGGGGCGAGGTCCGCGACGAAGACGAGTGCGTGAATGCTTCGTCATACGTGAGAGAGGACGGGGAGAAGAGTGGCTCTTGGTCGATTCATTCGAGGAGATTCGAGGGGACGGGTCCCGCCTGGGTGGTCCCAGATGACCAGGGTTCGTGTGCATGGAGCCCTGGGCTGTGGGACTGCGCTCCAGGTGATGTTCGGTGGCGTCCACCCGAAGCCAGATCGCTTTCGACGAGTCTAATTTACGGTCACGTGTGCGCTTCTGCGGCCCAATGAGGAAGGCGCCATCTCCCACCCGCCGGACGGATGGCTGAGTGCGAGGGTCATCTGCCGAACGGGTGTCGCGGCTCTTAAAGACTCTTGTTCCTCAACTCCATCTCTGCACCCACGTCTTCCAAGCTGTCCCATAAAGCCCCTCTCAAGCTCTGCCGGGATCGTTAGTTGCAATGAGGTTCTACTCGCAGTCCTTCTTGTACGAGTAAGTCCTGCGCGCTGCGTTGCAACGTGCGTGGAGGACCGCGAGCTAACGTCGTGACCCAGCGATCCCTGGTCTATCGTCTCCTATGCGTTCCTCATGAGATACCCTAATCCCCTCGCTTCCCACATCCTCTCGTGCGACGTCATCTCGCGGACGGTCAACCCGTCGGGCACTCTGTCGACCACACGTCTCATTTTGAAGAGCGGAGCCCTCCCAAGATGGGCGCCGAAAGGCATCGTGTTGCGCGCAGAGTCGTGGGTTATTGAGGAGAGCGAAGTAGATCCGGCTGGTCGAGTTATGCGCTGCACAACTAGGAACTTGGATCATGTCAAGGTTCTGCATGTGGAAGAGCGCATCGTCTTCCAGGCAGGTGATGACGGGTGAGCTTCCTTCCTTCACTCTGGCACGCGTTGCGGGTTGAGACTCTGCTAACGTTTGCCTGGTATAGCAAAACCCGTCAAACCACGGAGGCTCGATTTGTCTCGAACTTCGGATGGGGTTTGACGAAAAAGATTGAGACCCACGGGCTAGCGAAGTTCAAGTCCAACATTCAGAGGGTACGTTCCTTACTTCTGCACGATCAGACGGTGGCTCATCTGCATTGTTTCTCAGTCTCGTCAAGGCTTCTCGATGATATTGGACCTCATTCGTCAGTCGCGGATGCAGACCATGGCTATGGGTCCATCTGACTCCTATACCCCATTCCGCTATGTCTCCCCTACCTCTGACGTTCGGGACTCTGCTGAGAAAGCAGAAGAGCGTCCGCGTGAGTCGAGGGGTGGCGGTTCGTGGCTGAGCCTGAAGTCCTGGCGGCGATCCTCGTAAAACCACACATGGCAACGGTAGTAGTAAGTAGTAGTTAATATTGTCGATCGTAGTACTTTATTGTTCCCCTTACGAACATTCTCTCGTTTGTTCATTTGTACCACTAGGGTCCATAGTGCGCGTAGTAGGTCTTGCATCCCGTGTATTTGTAGTGGTCGCACCTCGTCAATCGCATGCATATGTCATCGCTCACAGGAATTGTCTTCGGCCTTGATACATGTACGGATTGCGACTTGTCCCAGTCTCGCTGATTGGCAAAGGATCGGCTCTATCTAAACTGTGAGAGAGCGAGCTCATTCGTGCAGTATAACAATTACCCACGATGTGCGACCTGGTGTCCCGACACATCCACCTACGACAGCGCCGTCTCTGGCTCGCCAGTGCCCTGAGCAATCAATGGCGACTATCTGTCCTTGAACTTGAACACCATGTACTTCCCTAGCTCTGCAGCAAGGCAGCTATCCACAGCGCCAGCTCTCCCAGTTGCTAGTGAGCCGGTCATCTGCCTGTCGCCAAGTCCTCGAAAGAGCCTCTTCTGCACCCTGACCAAGGGCGGTCTGTCTGCATGGCGTGTCAGAGTATGTCACTTATATAGTCCGTTGAGGAAGGATTCGATAACTGTGTCCCGCAGCCTTCCGCAGTGCTGGCGCACCTGGCGCGGACGCCAACGTCTTTGAGTGAGCACGGAGAGAATGTGTCAATGAGCTGGTCGCCGAACGGCAGGAACATTGTCATCCAGGTGCGCCTCCTCAGCATCTGACTATCGGTGTCACTTATGCATGAACGACTTTGACTCTAGACTGCACGGTCGTATCTGGTCATTGTCACGGTCGACTATGACCCTCAAGAGATACCCTACCAGCCACCGCAGCTTGCACCGAGCGCACAGCGCCATTTCCTCCCGGGTCCTGGGGAGGCGCTCCCATTCCAATCTATCGGACTACATCTCGAAGGGGTTGTTCGGTTGGAGGGAACCCTTCTGAGGTGCGTGTCCGAAGCTGTCCTTGTATGCACGCTCATAATTTGTCACGTAGTGTACTGCCCCGTAATGGGTACATTCTATTCACGACCAAGAGCCCATCAACAGTTCAGCGTATCCCTTGGCCGGGGATGCAGTCAGCGGAAGATCAATGCGCGACTTGGTACTTGAACGACGAAGACTTCCCCTGGCTCGTCGACTCGGATGGTATGTGGGCGAGGCATATCAGCATGGGCCTGCGTAATGAAACCTTCTACTGTAGTATGTGTCACGAAGATGGTGTACTCGAAGGCCACTGGCATTGAGACCTGGGTGACCTCAGACGGGAGAGCCTACCTTGTTCAACTTGATTCCAGTGAAGCAGACTATCCCAGGGACTCGCTGTCAAATGCTAGCCAAGACTCACAGCAGGTGCAAATACTCTCCTTATGACAAGCTGCCAGAGCTGACTGAGCGGTAGCTGCAAAGCCGTAGGGATTCGCAAGAGAGCACTCGCGAGCATCCGGAAGCGCGGTGGCAGGGCACTTGCATACACAATGTAGAGCCCCCACGGTGGGTCCAGAAGCGTCGGAGGCAGGATCCTGGCGAGCTCAGGGACGGCGAATACCCGTACGACGAGCCAAGACGTGTCATGACCGTCGGAATGAATACCGGTTTTCTCTCATTGCCACCGGTACATATTGGTATGCTCGTTCGCATAAAATGCATCTCTGGGTTATGACTGAGGTGCGGGTATCACAGTGGGACTGTGGAGCTTACAGGATTTCCCTCCGAGGACGGCCCTCTTCAAATCCCCAAGTCCTCCAGATACCCAACATGTACGCCCGAGAAGGCACAGGCCCTGTGCTCTCCATGGAGTGGAGCTCTGACGGATACGTTCTTGCTGTTGGTTGGGAGAAGGGTTGGGCAATATGGAGCGTAGGCGGACGCTGTCTGGCTTGGGGCTTTGGGGTCGAGTACGAAGTCGATCCGGAAAAGTTCGTCATCTACTTCCAACATGGTCGCCCACTCACATCTACTCACATCGATCTTCAGATTTCAGGATTCGTTCATGTACGGTGTCACAGACCTGGTACGGAAGTTCCCGCGATGCTGGTGCGTATTCTGATCGCTGCGTATAGTTCTGGGCTCCGGGGAACTTCGAACTGGTGGTGCTGGCAAAGCCTGCCCCTGACAGTGAGTTCTGCATTTAGTTGTCTGTCTTCGAAACTGACCGCGCGAAGAGACCGATGGACAGCTCTTTGTGATACCATTCGCCAAGAGTGCAACTACTGGGCAGCATTCACCGGTACGATCTCTGTTCTAGGAGGCGAGTTGGAAATTGACAATCTGCAGGACAATACGCAATACGCTTTTCTCCAGATGGACGACCGGGTCCTGGTCTACCGTGGCGCAGACCAGCCTGACATGAGTGTGATCAACCCTGAATCCGACGTCTGGCAGCATGTTAAGGTATGAACAAACAACAAGCGCGCATTTTATGAGCTCACCTGTTGATCAGATTCCCCATGCATACCTGTCAGCAAATTGGCCCATTCGCTACTCAGCCTTGAGCGCAGACGGACGGCTCATCGCTGTCGCTGGCCGACGCGGTCTCGCCCACTACAGCACAACATCTGGACGGTGGAAGCTATTTGCGGATGACCTGCAAGAACATGCATTCGCGGTGAAGGGCGGTCTGCTTTGGTTCCACCACGTCTTGATCGCTGCCGTGGACGTGGCAAACTCGTATCAGGTAAGTCATCCTTCTCCCAATCGAAGGCCATGATACTCACCCTCAAGCCAAGATTCGGTTATATTCCCGTGATCTGGAGCTGAGCAACCAGAACGTGCTGCATCGAGAGATCCTCACTACCCCTGTGGTTGTTCTCTCTTTGGTGGACAACTCGCTGCTTGTCTATACGGCAGACAATACACTACACCACTACCTGATCATTCCGACGGCCGAGACCATCAAGCTTCACCAGTGTGGGAGCATCAGCTTTGCTGGCGTCATATCCGTACCTGGGGCTGTAAGGTCATTGAGCTGGATGATACCGAGTGCTCAGAAACGTAAGGATATCAAGTTTCCCTTCGTCTGTCATTCTGAACCTGAACATGTGTTGCAGAACTGGGAGATCCGGTAGATGATCTCGCGGTAGCAACAGTGTTGATGATTGTAGGCGGCAAGCTTGTCCTGTTCAGGCCCCGGAGGGTGCGTTACACGCTTCAGTCCCTTGGTGGCAGATGATCTGACTTACCCAATCGAAGTCTGGTGATAACGAAGTCAGATACGACATGCAGATTTTAGCTGATAAGATTGAGTTCTGCTGGATCCATTTGCGGGGCATTGGCACTCTTGAGAACTCGTTATGGGGATACGACGGGCAAGGAATTCGTCTGTGGCTGAACGCCCTGAATATCGAATCTGCTGTCGAAGCGGGCGTGTCCGGCTCACCTGGAGTCACGCGAGGGAACGTCAAGGAGAGCCTGAACATCCCTCTGCAATTCTATCCGCTATGTGAGTCCTCATACCGTTGATCACTTCGCCATATTCATCGTGCATCAGCTGTTCTCATGGATAAGGGCATCTTCATCGGCGTAGAGTACGAAGCAGCTACCAGAACCAACCTCTCATTCACCATGTTTCGGCAAGTCACTAGTGTGCGCCCTCGTTTCCATTTCATATACAGTCATCACACTGATTACGCATCGGGGCAGTCACATCTTTTCCTTCACCATGTTTTACTCTACCATCTGGAGAACGGCCAAGTCAGAGAGGCCATCCTCTTTGCATCGCATTATCAGCATCTCGTGTACCTTGCGCACGCATTAGAGATGACATTGCATAATGTGGTCGAAGAAGATGCTACTCTGCAGGACGGGGATGGTTCTGCCAAGCGGGAGCGCCTCTTGCCAGACACGATCGAGTTTCTGGATCATTTTGACATCTGTTTGGATGTCGTGGTTGGATGCGCGCGCAAAATCGAAATGACCAGATGGGCCCGGCTATTTGACGTCGTTGGCAACCCAAAAGATCTTTTCGAGGTGAGAATACTTCTACGTCTAGGTGAACACGTTGCTAAGTCTGACTCAGTTATGTCTGTCATCCAATCGGCTCAAGACGGCCGGGTCGTACCTACTTGTCTTGCATGGTCTTGATCAACTGGACGCTGACGGGGTTGGCGGGGATGCAGTACGTCTTCTTCGAAGCGCCATTACAGTCAAAGACTGGCAACTCTGCCGGGAGATCTTGAGGTTCTTGCATTTTATTGATGAGACAGGTGGTGCGTTGCGCAAGGCGCTATCGGAGGCGGATGTGGTCCCTGCGTCCAATGGTGCCATCACCGTCAATGGCATTCACTAAGCTGTATATTCATTGTATTATACCAGGACCTTCTTATATATTCAAGTTACCTTGCGACTAGCAAGGTCTCTTCGGGGGTCTGAATTCGTCGTGGGAAATTTCCGGTTTTTTTGGCCTTGTTTGTTCCACCTCCAAATCCGGACAGACAGCGCTTAGCCATGCTACCGCCCTCAGGCTGAGGCTCCCCATACCGAACTGTCGACGAAAAAAGGTGTACATGAGCTCTTTACTGCCCTATGAAGACGTAGACCATCGCGTAGACCATCGCGGGAGCCATTGGTCTAGTACCAGAGGAATAAGGTCTGCGTGAGCAGTGAGTAACCTTACATGAGTGTGACTCTCGCGATGGCCTAATATTAGCAACATAATACACTATTTTCATGCACAACGAACGCTGAACGCTACGCGAACAGATGTCCGCAACCACTGCAACACCGCCGCAGGCCCCTATCCCAGTAGAGCAAGAGACACGACCATGGCCCTACGACACGGCGCGCTCAACTGTCGGACCTCATGCACGCCGCTTCTCGCCGCCATCCTCGCCACAGGCACGCTCACCACGGTTGCCAGCGGGCCCGGCTCGAACCTCCGCGGCGTCGAGGAGCACATCCGCGGCGTCGAGAGGTGGCTGGACGCGGAGGACCGCACGCTCAAGAGCCTCGTGTTCTGGGTGTACCCTGAAGGCCTATCGGGGCCATACCACGAGATGGAGGATGGACAGGTGAAGGAGCACAGGCTGTTGGTGACTATTGAGCGGGGGGTGAAGGTGGCGGATATGCTGAAGGCGGTGAAGGGCGCGTTTGTGGAGGAGGGCACGGTGCATGTGCACGTCCCTGCTGTTTGAAGAGTTGATGGTACACCGAATCAATACTCTGGGAACCCGATTTTCGAGTGCTGACATGTGCCTCGCTATTCTACAGATATTCAGTATCTTCAGTGCAATGACACCTCACCTAGCAGCTCTCTCTTCATCCTGACAGTGACGGCGAATGGACCTGCACTCATGGTTCGAGCGGAGGGCATGTAGATTGTGCTTGACAATGGAATAGAAGGTGAGCTCGTTAGTGTATGCGTATCCGAGGCCCATCTCAGTCCGTCTTTCATGTCACTTTCGCTGCCATCCTCCATCAATCCGGCGATGTACACAAGACACGAACTTGAGTGTATGCTCCGGTGCAGGCTGCCGTATTCCCTCTTCTCCCTCTCGATGCATTCCTCCACCTTTTGATGATTGACTACTCTCACTTCTCGCGCACCTGATGTTCTCCATACATAATTTGTCATAGCTACTACTCTACTCTATGTGTTGTACACCACGAACATTTGCCCATGCATTTTTTGTCTTGCCTCCTCCTCTCCAACTGTTCGTCCTCCTGTAGTAGGTTACGGTACTCGTCATGAGCGCCTTGGAATACAGCGAGCACGGGAAGACATTCCTTAGTCGCAAGGTACACGACCGGCGCCCGCGCCGGCGCCACTCGCGTTGTTTGGTAGGATCGTTATCTCGCAGATCTAGATGCCATGCTTACCATCGAGGGGTGAACAATTTTGCGGCGCTTTGTAGGTCATTAGCAGATTCACCGCGGTGCCCACTTATCAGTTGGCACCATCCTTGAGCTTGGACTCCTTTACACTCTGCATCTCTAGGGGATACTTGCGTACGATGTCTGCTCTGAGATGCGTTACACGAACCGCGCGAAGCCTCTCAGGACCTGCTGTGTCCCGAAGATTGGCAACAGTTGCGAGCGACAGTCCGATCACTTATACCTCGGAAGGCGCTGTCTCTATATCGTACCCCACTTTGGTGAACTCCCCTCTGTCATTGACTACTTCCATTGGTAAGTATTGCCTCGTATGCGAAATTGAATCATCACGTATACATGGATGTCGAACAGCAAAGGCATTCGGCTCACAGCCAGACTGTCTGGGAATCGTGGTCGTCCGCGATCTTCCGTCAAGCTATGTTGTTGCGAGGGAAAGACTACTCAAGCTCGCCTATTGTTTCGCAAACCTCGACCACGAAGTAAGGGAGCATTATGCGGACCCGCGAAGTAAATACAGGTGCGTCTTAAGCTTGAGGTACCATCAGGTGTCATAATCTTCGTCCTGGAGTTCACAGTTTCGGGTGGTCGCATGGCAAGGTGAGAGAATATGCCACCTTACGGGACAGGTGAATCACGGTTCCGTTTCACGTAGGAGACCATGAATGGCAGACCCGGTGCGGCGAATAGCTAGACCTGTCACAGGCAAATCTCTGACGACCTTTTCTCGCTGCAGATACCCTAAAGGGATCGTACTACGCGAATCCAATTGTGGACACCCCTGATGTGACCGCAGGGCAGCGTGAGGCGTACCCAGAGTACCATGGGACAAACATCTGTTAGTAACGTTCCAGTATGGGAGGATCTTGTCAGTGATATCGTCCGTGATGTAGGGCCTACCAACGATTTACATGGATTAGAAGGCTTCGAGGATGCATTCAAGATTTTGGGCAGGTACGATATAATCATCACACCGCTGCCCGCGAACCTAACGCGGGACATGAGCACAGATTTGTGTTCAAGGTCGGCACAGAATTGGCGACCGCCTGTCAGCCCTTTGGTACGCATTCTCCCAGACCATCACCATCACATGTGCCTCTAACGTGTCGACAGCCTCCTCACACCTCACGGATACCTCTGTCTCGTTGGCGGATCTCATTAGAACCTCACAGACAACTAAGGCCCGCCTACTGCACTACTTCGCACCCTCTTCAGATGCTGCGCTTCCCGCAGAAGATGAGCCCATCGACAGTTGGTGTGGATTCCACATCGATCATTCTCTTCTCACAGGACTATGCTCGGCGAGTAGTCTCCGTGAGTCCTATCATGTCCCGCTGCTTACTCATCGAAACAGGCGATGTTCGTTCGTCCAGGTCCAGCAGGGAAACCTGTCATCATACAGAGCCCTTCTCCGACATCGGGTCTTTACATCAGGACTCGCGGAGGCGACCTGACCAAGGTTTCCATCCCCTCGGATTGCCTCGCTTTCCAAACCGGTGAGGCCCTAGAGCTTGCCACGGCAGGCAGTCTGCGCGCGACGCCACATTGCGTCCGCGTTGGCGCAGGTGCGGGTACGGATAGTGTCTCCCGCGAGACGTTTGCGCTCTTCATGCAACCAGACACGAACCAGCGGATTGCGGCCTCGGAGACCTTCGGCCAATTCAGCAAGCGCGTATTCGAACGGCATTACGGGCAGGAAGCTGCTGCACAACAATGATCGCTGGAGAAGAAGGGGTTCGGTATTATGGGTTCTATGCTACATCGTTATCGTCATGGGGTTACTTGTAGGTATGGCATTGAAACAAAGCAAGCAGTTAGTCGCTGTAGCGTAAGTGTACATGCTGGTCAACGCAGATGTGATTCTACACACAGATCCTTCGGGGAAGACAGATACAAAGTAAGTATGGCTCACTCCTGATCAGATATGACGCTCCAGTCACTCGGGGCATCGTGTGCGGAGCTGACAGAGCTGCTGCCCGATCGCGCACCAGAATACACCGGAGAGGGTAGAGATGGACGAAGGTCACGAATTGTGGCGTGCTCAGCGTCCAAGCCATCATCGTGCAGGTCCTCCGCGGCAGCGCTTTTGACAAGCGACCTAGCGTATTCGAGATCACGGTAAATGGCTTCTATGGCTGTTCCCACACCGTCCTCCTACAACCCGGTGAGTACCTGAAAACCAAGACGTTTCAATGTACTTACCGCCCGTATCTTCTCTCCGACGGCTCTAGCACGAGTGATCTGCTTCTGATCGGTGGTCGCGGTGACGAAGGCCTGAGTTAGACTTTCTACGGTCAATTTGCGAACGGCCGAGCCGATTCCAAGGGCCTCCACTCTATCAGCCCAGAAGAATTGGTCTCCAAAGAATGGCTTGATAATCGTAGGAATGCCGCCTGTGTTAATTTGTGAACATTGAGTACCTCCGGAGCAGTGCGACCAACATACCTCGTAGACTAGCTCCAGTTGTCCCAGCACCACCGTGATGACATGCCGCGTCTACACGTTGGAATAGCCAGTCATGCGGAATAGACGCAATGGAATAGATCTGCTTTGGTAACGGCTCCTCGGGTTCTGTAACGTCCGAGGCATCCTTCACAAGCCGGTCTGACCAACCCTTCGAGAGGATGGCATAGACACCGCTTCGAACCACAGCCTCAATCACGCAACGGGTCATAGACTTTGGATCCGACACGACGATACTGCCGAAGCCGATGTAGACAACTTTCTTCTGAGCTTTGCGTGCGGAGTCGAGGAACTCGATGAGATCAGGTGGAGGCGACCATTTCTTGGAGCTAACGTCCGCGTCGTTCAGGAACCAGTAGCCTGTAACGTGGATCCACTCTGGCCAGTCGAGAGGCGGCGGAACGATGACAGGACTAAAGTTATATAGGAAGGGGATCTTGTGCGGCTCCATCCTGTCGAGGCTTGTGCTGCCGAGACCGAGAGTGTTTCGTCTCCAGCGGTTTATCTGACCCGCGGTCGCCCGCCAGAAGACTTGATCAAACAGCACATATGACTGACGGACATCGCTGTTAGCATGTATAGAAGAATTCCTAGAGTAAATTTATGTACCATGTAGTTGTAGTTGCCTCCCATCTGCACGCAAGTCAGTGAATGTATGTTATGGTAAGAATACCTCACAGACCTTATGTTCAGGCACGGCAAACGCATGCGGGTACGCTCTACAATGTCAGGCCCGTTAGGACCATATAATATATCCACTCCAATGAGCGAACCTACCTTGTGCGACTCCATGTCATGGTGAAGGCGCGGAAATACGGTACGCCAAGTGCCTCTGCTATGTGGTAGCCACTCATCGCACTGGGACTTTCGATGAGGACGTCCGTCCCTTGACACGCTTCCCATGAGGTCTTGAGTAAGTCATCGACCCACCCGCGAAACTGAAAACCACTTAGTACAAGAGCATTTGCGCGCATGATGTGCTAACCTTAAGCATGCCTTCCTTTAGGAACGCAACAGTAAACGTCCCATTCTCTACGCAGATCCGCATGAGTTCTGCCGGATCACCGCCAACGTAACCGAACTCAATCCCATGCTGACAAGGCATTGTTTCATCAGATCTTGTCGGACCACGGAAGTGAATGACATACAGCTTCAATCCAATCCTTGAACTCTCCGTGAGTCGCAATTCGGCATCGATGACCATCTTTCATGAGGCCCTGAGCCAATGCGATGTACGGTTGGACATCTCCTCGAGAGCCAATGGTCAAGAATGTGAAATGCAGCGATTTATCAGGCTTGAATGTGAGGAATGTAGAGGACGCGGAGTTGAACATGACTGCAGGGAGCGATTCTGACATAGTTGCTTCGTGCAAAGCCCTCTTTGTAACGATATCCGAGGGTTGCCGGGGACCAGCTTCATCCAGAATGAGCCTATCGTGGCATTCCGATGTCGATCCATGGGTGTCGGCGCTGGGGGATCTACGCCTTTCGTCCTCCATCTGCCGTTCAAGGAGGGAGGCGAAGGCTGCGCGACGCTCCTCGTCGCTAAACTCGAAGAACAGTTCTTCATGCCCCCTGACGATGATTACCAGACCGTAGTGACCGAAGTGGAACGCCCTAGACATCTCCGTGGATAGGATGTCTCGTATGGGAAGGACCATCTGGTAGCTGTCAAGTACAGTTCGTGCACATGATAGATATGACTGACCCTTGTTCGCGTGGTTAACGGTCCACTGCTCTTGAAGCAAAAGAAATCAGTGGACACGTACAAGCGTCCATAGACAGGAAGCAGGCGGTAAACATATCCCGGAAAGACTGCAGAATATATGTGAGCAAACGGATTGAGAAGCGCTGTGCGACGCACCACCAAGCAATGTCTCCTTCTCATCAAATGCGAACGTAGATCGGAACTTCTCGATACTCTCATCGTCGAGCATCGTTGTAGGTGCTTCCAATACGCTGAAGTAACCGAAGTCATTCGGACCGCTGCTGCTCGTAGACATACGACTACCAGTGCCAGTGTTTGACGAGATGACCTCCGAGACGCCCTCACCCTCAGGTGCGCTGTGAGGTTCACCCAACCTAATGCCTAGGGCACTTGTGAATGCTCGTCGCGAGGGTATCGTTGGCATCCTCAGCCACGAAGGCACGCCAACCGTCCACGAGCCACCATCCTTGGATGGCGTAGTTATGATTTCTGACATTGCGGGCGAAGAGGAAGGTGAGGGAGGATACGTATGAAGTGCCGGATTAGGCGGAGATGAGGAACTACCTTCAGGAGGCGGCGGTGGGCCTCGGTCTTCGATCAGGGTGCTCGACGTAGGGGACGCGGTGACCGCCATGAAGGTCGACGAGCCTCTCTTGGTGACATGAGTGTAGTCTTCACCATCATCCCGTTCAGGAGACGTAGCTCGACCAAGAGCAGTCGTACGGACACGTGGTAGCGATTCCTGCAAGGGACGCAGTAGAGAAGGTATCCTGAAGCCAGACGGCGACTTCGGCAGCTGATCCATAGGCGGCGCGCTTTGTGTGCGGGAAGCTATTGGAGGCGGTGTAGTGGGTTTGCAGACGGTCGTGTCGATGACAGAAGGGACATGCGAGTCGGTGGGGATCCCTCTAGACGCACGCACAACGTCGCGGATCTGCTCAAGGGCTGCTGGAAGGTCCCGGAAATAGGCAAAGAAGTAAGAGTCCGTCAACGACGGGTGATCCTTGTCCATGACCTTGATCTCGATAGTCTCGCTGAAATCTATCGCCGACGACTTCTCAACGTCCGCGATGGCTGAGTAGGGTATCGCAATCTTGACGAGGGGTAAGGCTCTACCCAGCTATATAGTCTCTGGTGCGTACCTTGACGCTGTCGCCCATATTTTGCGCCCTGAACATAACTTTGCGAATAGCTTTGATCCATTCGTCTCGACTCGGCGCAGAATCAGCGGATAACCGGATGGTCTTCTGATTCGTTCGAAGGCGTATCTCCCTCTCATACAGTGGTTCACATGTAATCGCATAACGCAGGTCTACGATGCCGTGTGGGAAGTAAGGATCCTATGAAAAGGTTAATCATTGCCAATGCCGTTGGAGACATTGGACATGCCGATGGTGACTGGTACCAGGAGAGGGCGTCATTCTTCAAGACAAACCAATGGCGTATCCAGCGTTTGGTACGTTGTGCTCTCTTGGACATTGAGCCAGACTTCAGGACTTGGTCCTACAACATGTGTTCAGGTATACTCAGGTAAATAGGCAAGTCTGCGTATACCTCTTTCGAAGGCATGTGTGCGAAGAAGCACATATATGAGTCAGTGAGGTACATATACCCCTGCAACACTGATCACGGCAGATGCTCAGACCCAAAGTTCCGAAGAAAATGCATGGCTGCGTACGAATTGACCGCAGTAGCCAACATGGCATCTCTGGGAAGCGTGCGGTTGGTAACGTGTAGCCTTGAAAACAGAAGATCATATACCTGCAACAACTTCTTGAATGCCCTGCAACTCGAAAATGTCTCTGAGCTTCTCAGCTAGTCGCGACCTGCGCTGAATCTTGACCGTGCCCATGCTTCCGGAGCGAGTAGGCGGATGTCTATGAGTCCCACGGACTGATTGATGAATCGAAGTGGGCGAATCTGAGGGTCCAGGCTGACTGTCGCTGTACGACACGTCTTGTGTGTCATCCGGCGGCTCAAAGTCGTCTTGCAGTTCTTCGTCTGATATCACAGTCTCTTCCAGGCGCGGCGTCTCCTCCCTGTCACTCACAGGATCAAGTTCTGGACTCTTGGATCGAGAGAAAAGCGTAGGCAACTTGCCGCGCTTGGAGCGCGCGAGCGGACGGTATATTGTATGGATCGAGGAGGCTAGATGGTTGCCTGGAGTCCCGTCTGTAGCTGTTACGCAGGACATAATAGGGAGATGCTCACCACGCCGGTCATCATCCTCGTCACTGGATGTATCTGTGGGTGTGTCACCCTGAGGAGTTCCGTCATCATCATCTTGATATTCTGCCCATGGCATTGCTTGCAAAGCCTGTATCAGGGTCTGCGTCCCAGCGTGCATCTAAGGAGTGTGGATGAAGTCAAGAGTACACGTTCAGCAAGTCAGAACGTACGGATTGATTGCCTCGGAAGAGCCGCTGCAAATCAGAACGCCTTGGTACTAGTGGGGGCGACCGTGGAGTGACAAACGGTGAATCATCATCTCGCACGCGAGAGGTTACTGTGCGGTAGATCTGCCGCGCCGCAGACGAGGAGGGCAATTTTGCGCGGCTTGCCGAGCTGAGGTCCTGCGAATGCGTGGTCGCAGCCTCTCCTGTGCGTCAGTGAGCGTAATTCAAAATCGCACTTTGATTGGAGTTAACCTTCACTGCTGCCGTCATCTGTGAATGAAGCCTTCTCCTTTCCCTTGACGCGGCTCCTGAGACCCATGAGACGGCTCGGCGGACTCTGCGCAGGTAATGTGGGCTGACTCTGAGACAGCTGCGACTTTTTTCCAGTCGAGGATCTGCTTCGTCCAAGCCTGTCGACAGTCCGCTCCAATGCACGCTGCATGAGAGGCCTTCTTGACTCCGAAGCATGCTGCTCTGTAGATGACCCAGTAACTGGGGGCAGATCCTCCGTAGTGTCTCGTTGGTCGGCCATGGACGCGCGGTGTGAACAACGAAGTAGAATTGGTTCTGAACGTTAGAGAAAGAGGTGTGCGGTTGCCATCGAGGAAGGAGGCGGACGAGTACGTACGTCTGCGTTCATCCGAGTGTGGTCGAGGTGCCCTGCCTTCTCGAAAGGGCAAGACCGGGGTAATCGCACGTGCTGGAACTGGGCGATCAGAAAACGTGCCACAAGCGTGTCGGTCTCGCGTCTGGCGCGTCTGCGCATCCGGTTCGCTTTTGTTGCGGGCAGCACCAGGACTGGCTTCCTTCCCCCCTTCACCTGCTTGCAGGCACTGCCGTCCCGGAATCATGCAGCTCCGCGGAGAGATGTGCATCGGCTCTGCCACACTCTTATCGTGCGTGGTCGCCCCATCTTTACTCTCCGAGGCCGCGCTGTTGACTACTGACGTGCCAGATTGACGGCGCTGCTATGCCTCATTTTCATGCATGTAAGCATCTTGCCCATCGAGTATGTAGTGCATGCTGACATTGCATGACAAGGTCGGACAAATCAACACGTCTTCCGTCCCCAGAGGCATAGCTATGGTGAATCATAAGGCATTTCGTTCGGGTTTGCATCGCAGTTGACCGACATGGCCTGCAGATCAGAGTTAACATGTCTGGCTATGGGTAATGTGCTCCCACATATGTGTACCGTCTGCATACCCATGGCACTTCACAGAGATGGGCTATACGCGGCTCTCAGCGATCCCATTGAAGGCTTATACACGGCCAACGCTTCGGCACCACTCCAGCAGCGGGCAGGGTTGCGCAACCATTACGATTGGGGGTTGTATGGCTACTGTGCCTACGTCAACTCGTCGGCCGGCACCTGTTCCAATATGACCGCAGCGAACCGGTTCCAACCGTACGAAGTCATCACTTCGGACATGCTCGGGAATTACTCGAGTTTCACGGACTACATCATAACGTCCAGCACGTTCATAGATTCTCCTTACCTGGGGAACTTCACGAATGGGGCATATTACGTGCTCCTGCTTGGTACCATTTGCGCCGCGTTAGCGTTAATATGGTGGGTCTCGTCTGCCCTGTGCCCCGACTATTCGCCAAGCTTATTCATCACTCTGCTCTAAGTGGCATGCTAAAACACCCTCTTGCCTTCCTCGTTTCGACCGCCTTTGCTATCATTGGTAGCGCATTTCTTCTCATTGGGGCGGCCATTTGGACTGTCATCATCAAGAAGGCCGAGTCGATCAATGGGTTCATGGTTGGCAATGCGTCAGATCCCACACCTCTAGGTATCACAGTCTCTATGGGTAATGCGATATACCTCGCATGGGCAGCATTCGCGACTCTACTCGCTTCCATCATACCTTATATGATCAGGTACGCTAGACATAATTTTTACGCAATCTTCAAAGAATTAACGGCTTATCCAATTAGCTGTTGCACTTTCCGCGGCTGAACCCTACGTGCTTGCGAGACCACTATCCTCTGAATCGAAAACAAGCGAGCAACGCGGAGGCATCATCTACACTGCTGCATGTACCGAAGTTTTCTTACGACACGGGACGCCTACATACGAATGAAGTAACTTGTATTTATATCTAATGCCGTGGACAACAAAATGTCGTTGATGCTGGATTTTCATCTTCACATTGGTATACGTGGGCTGTAAGGCGTCACGCCAGGCTTGTGCAATGATCAGTGCAACTGGCAAGGAAAAGTGCGTGTCGACAAGAACCAAAACACTAGCCCACCGCGAGGGTCGAACTCGCAGCCTTCAGATTGCCTGCCTACAGACATTGTAAGAGTCTGACGCTCTATCCGATTGAGCTAGGCGGGCAACAATAATTACGTTAATTGGTCATCCAATATCAGTTTGTGGTCCAAACAAACTTCATGGATATAATGATGGAGCATAACTTACCAACATGCAATCATCACGGAAGTAAAATGCTACCCGCACGTACTGCACTAGTTGCACAGGTATATCTCTACAAAAGCGAAAATAGCTCGCCCTGCAGCCCCAACGCCTGCCGGAACAATCCGCTGTAAGTTAAGTAACTTGACATTTTTGTGCAAGTCGGAAGCGCTCGCGCGCATGGAGAGTGGCTAGGATCCTCCTCCAGTGACTACGACGTAAAAGCTTGCATCTATGAAATTCTGTGATCCAGCCTGCAGCTGCACCACTGAAACCGCGACTGCATGACTTGTGCTCGTCCTCGAGTGAACTGTGGCTGTGCAACCACCTTGCGAAATCACTACTTCCTTTTCGAGCGGTCCCGGGGAACGTAAATCTAGTCGGAATGTCCTCAGTCCATCTTTCCCGGTGACTTGACGCCCACTGAGCGATCTTACTCATGTGGAGAGATCTCAAGCGGAGCGGACGGACGCAGCTTATGATAATTAATGCCGCACAGATATATTAAGGGTAAGCACGGCGTGCCTGTCGGAGTGCATTATAGCAAGGCACCGAGGCCCCGATCCGGTGCCCAAGGACCTTGGGATGAACGTTAGCCATGCGCGTAAGCTTTGGTATCGTTGTTCCGTAGTACAAGTCAGGGCAATTTTGCTGAAGCTTCCTCCGACCGGTGTGGACGTCAGTACGGCTGCCTGCAAGATCCCGGGCCAGATACCCTTAGCCAGTTTAACACCGCGTGTACTTCGTGGGGACAAGGACGTTGACGAAGACGGACGACGTTGTCTAGGCCATCGCCGCCGACCCCTGGACGCACCTGAGATCCAATTATGCGCCCACTTGTCCTTAATAACACCCTCGGCTAAGTATTTCAATGGGATACGGAGGCCCGGCTATCGTCCGACAAACGCGACGTGCAGCATGATCATGCATTGATGGTATATTGTGCGCCTTCGAGTCCATGAACATTTCTCAAGAGACCAGATACGACGCGAGTAACCGATGAGGGCACCTATCGACATGGACGACAGATGGTGGAGACACAGTTGCAGAAGGGCAATTAGTGATTGAAGTCAGCAGTTCGGGTAACAAATCGGCTACACTACAACGCGAATTGTGAATGGGGTCTCGGAAATAATAGGTATCAGTCGTTCAAAATGTCCACAGGACACAAGGCTGTACCAGTAAACTATCTATTGCGGAGTCGACAAGAGTCGAAGACGAAGCCTCGACGATCATTTGGATGGTTCGGCGATCGTCCAAGGCTAGAGCATGAATGCAGCCATACCCGCCATAACGCTAACGGCCGCCGTAATGAGGCCCGAGCTAAGAGCGGAGGTGCCTACGGCACCGCTGGTAGATGCACCCGATGCAGTGCCGTTAGAGGACCCCGAAGGATCCGCGTCAGTCGTGACGTTGCCTCCGAGAACGACTGTAGAGCAGCCTGAGCAAAGCAACAACGATTGTGACATTTTACTCACCAGCCGGAAGGGTATTGGTAGAGTTATCATTGGTCTCCAAGTACGCGTTCGACATAGGCATGTCCGAACACGTGATGACGGGGGTGATGTTGTACGCAGGCTGGTGGGCAAGAGCCTCCGGGAGAATGTAACCAACCGCGATATCGACAGTCTGCTGGAAGAGATCATGCTCGAGGACGATAAAACCAGTATCGATCTGCGTCGAGTTGTTCATGATCGCGTCCCAAGAGTCCAGCACCTGCACGGGGTTGGCCATGCCACTAGCGAGATCGTAGTCTGCAGGGAACGTGAGCACGTCAAACGCATGGACAGCAGCGTAACTGACCAAGCGTGTCGAAAGTCTGGGTAGCGCTGATACGCGTCCACATGACAGGGAATAAGTTCATGGCCATACCAATCGCACGAACACGGTCATCAATGTCACCGTACGGCGGACGCCAGTAGATCGGGGTCACACCCAGTACATCTTTGATGACCTTCTTCGACCATCCCAGTTCAGCGATGACCTGCTCGTTTGTCATCGTCGTCATGTACGGGTGACTCCAGGTATGCACGGCGATCTGGTGCCCCTGGACGTACTCGGCCTGTAGCATAGCAGGACGCGAAATAGCACGGGAGCCGACGACGAAGAACGTCCCCTTGATTGCATGCTGGTCGAGGTAGTTCATCAGGTCGGTTGTGTACGGAGACGGGCCGTCGTCGTACGTCAACCCCCACGTATCCTTCGTCGGGCAGGTCGTGACATCATAGTCACGCTCGCAACCACCGCACGTCCACCAGCACCGGCTAGAGTTAGCTGCAGCCTGAGTGTTGTTGGCGCAGCCACCAGGATTGGTGGGAGCGAAATCGGGGATAGGGACGCCCGAGTTCTGCACCTCCTGGATCCACTGCTTGACCTCGTCAGAGTCCAAGGGCGGGGTCTTGTCGAGCGCTGGGTAGTTCGCCGGCTTTAAGGCCGCCCCTGCAAAATCTGTTTAGCACTATCGACGAAATATGCAGATATCAGCACGTACAGTTCGGGATGGGAGGCGCGCCTGGGATGTCGCTGGGCACGGTACCGGCAGTGTACGTGGTCGTCATGGCATAGGTGGTCTGCGTGGCGCACCCTGAGTGATAGACGAGTAAGGGACAGCCGTTGGGTTGGTGGAAGCCAGGGAGAAAGTGATCGTGCCGAAGCCTGACGACGCCTTCGCAGGTGTAGCAGCAGCGCTGCCTGGGGGCGCTGCAGAAGAACCTGAAGCGGCAGAGGACGCAGCTGAGGACGCAGCTGAGGATGCGGTGGAGGCAGGCGCAGACGCGGATGCAGACGCAGACGCAGTACTGGCGGCCGAGACGGAGGCCGTGCTGTCACGAACATGGTGCCGCACGCCAGCGCGACCGTGAGCAGAGGCGAGCACGGGGAGGGCGAGGGCGGAGACGAGGGCGAACCGCATTGTGGGCGTGGGCGTAAAGACAGTAAGGAGCAAAGGACTGAGGAGGCCGTCGACGACGGCGGCCGGATAGAACTGGCGACGAGTGTCGAAAAGGAGGAGGGGATGAGAATCACATCAGCCACAGCGCCCCCGTAAAAAGGCGGCGGAGATCCAATCCGCGAGGGCCGCCCTTGGCGATGCCGCCGCCGAGTCTGCCGCGCCGGCTGCCGCCCTCCTGCTGCCACCAGATACGCCCGGCTCTCTACATCATCCGCGCGAATCATACTCGGCTCCATGTCGCAAATGCAACGCGACGGCGACGCTGCCGATGCGACAGCGATCCACCTCTTCCACAGTCTGGCAGTCCTGAATTTGGCTGGAACACTGCGTACCGTTAGCAACATCCACCACAGTCGCCTGGTTCGTACATCGCCTTGACAGCATCAACTTCATCACAGCGATCACGCACCCGCCGCCCACGCGACGCGACGATACTTACCACCGTCTCACGCGCCGCATCGGCCAATGTTCGGAAGGGAAATCCATGCCACCATCTTTGGAAGGTGTTGAGGAACCCGACGCGCCTTGGACGTCCGCCGCGGCGACTCGGGGCCACGCACAGGCAACGTTCCTGCGTACGCGGGCTTGTCGCAAGGCTCGGCGCGCAATGTCGGCGGGTCCTCAGTCGTAATCTGCAGCGTTGCACAGGGATCAGAAAAAAGACACCGATGGATCCATAAATAGAGATCGCGTACGACGAATCGGAAGGACGTCCTCGCTGTCCACCGATGTGTGTGAATGGTATAAATTCTCGTCCTTGCGGAACGGGTATGTGTACTCATAAGATGTCCATGCGAACATAACAACTCAAGCTGTATTACCGGTAGTCCGACGGTGCAAACGTAGGCTACAGAGAATGACACGGGCGTCGAAAACCCTGACCGATTGGTGTTCAAGCAGAACACAATTAGCGAAGCCCCCCGTCAGGAGGCGTTCGGACGAAATACATACGTGCTGGGAACCGCCGCTACAAGAACAAAGTAGCCACGGCAGCCACAGCCCCAATCGCTGCACTGAGTAGCACGGGGCTGACGACCATGAGGCTGCCCGACCCGCTGCTCTGTGAATCAGACGAGGAACTCGAACTACTGCTGCCACTCTTGCCACTGCTGCTGCTGCTGCCAGTGCTCGAAGCACCGGCGCCCGAGGCAGAGGACGACGGTTTCGGAGTCACCGATGCTAGTAGGTCAGTTCAGCCGGGCAATAGCGTACGTTGAATAACTAAGGCTACGCACCGAGTGGCAGCGGGTTGCTGGAGTTATCGTTCGTCTCGAGGTATCCGTTCGCAAGAGGCATGTCCAAGCACTCGATGATTGGCGTCATGTTGTACTTCGGCTGGTGCGCAAGCGCCTGAGGAAGGATGTATCCAGTCGCGACATCGACAGTCTGCTCGAACAGATCATGTTCAAGGACGATAAAGCCGGTATCGATCTTGGTCGAGTTGCCCATGATCATTTCCCAGTTGTCCAGCACCTCGTACACGTTCACGCTGCCTTCGGGAATGCTCCAATCTGCAGGCACCTTAATGAAACGAACAGTGTGATTCGGCGGCGTTAGACTTACCATTCGTATCGAACGTCTGCGTCGCACTGATGCGCGTCCACAGGATGGGGATCAAGTTCAACGCCTGCGAGATGGCTCTTACCCGGTCATCGATGTCACCGTACGGCGGACGCCAGTAGATCGGTGTCACGTTAAGTGTATCCTTGATAACCTTCTTCGTCCAGGCCAGCTCGACGATGACCTCCTCCGTGGTCTTCGTCGTCATGTACGGGTGACTCCAGGTATGAACGGCAACCTGGTTGCCCGTCATGTACTCGTCCTGCAGGATGGCGGGGCGCGAGATGATACGAGAACCGATGGCAAAGAACGTCGCACGGATGTCCTCCTGGCCGAAGTACTGCAGGAGGTTCGGCGTGTAGGGCGACGGACCATCGTCATACGAGACACCCCACGAGTCCTTGGTGGGGCAGACCGAGACGTCCGTCGTCCTCTGACAGCCGCCGCAAGTCCACCAGCAAGTGCCGGTCGACGACGCGTTGGCCACAGCCGCCGTGTTATTCCCGCATCCACCCGGGTTCGTAGGGGGGGTGTCAGGTATGTACACGCCCGAATCCATCACTTCCTGAATCCACTGCTTGGCCTCGTCGGAGTCGGTTGGAGGCGTGACATCCAGCTTGGGGTAGTTTGTCGGGTTGGGCAAAGCTAATGAAACACGGCAGCATTAGAGTCGAAGACGGGGGAATGAACGCCGAGACGTACAGGGCGGAAGGTCAGGAGCACTTGGGATCCAGGTCTGCTTCGAACCGCCCGCGTAGGTCGTAGAGATAGTGATGGTAGACTGCGTCTGAGTGGCACCGGTGTTGATCTCCGAGAGCGGGACGGCAGTCGGGTTCACGGATATCAAGGAAAAGGTGACGGTGGACGGAAGGACGGAGGTGGCTGTGGCAGTGTTCGCGTTGGAAAGAGCGGCAGAGTTCTCGTCTGCGGCCGTGGCGCGTCGTGCATGGGGCTGCACGTTGTGCGCGGACGCGAACGCTGGGAGGAAGAGCGCGGATAGCACGGCATACTTCATGACTGGATATAGATGGGGAAGGTAAAGAACGGGGGGGTTTGTGGCCGCACGGGGCGGCGGAGAAGATAGCGAGGTCAGGACGGGCCTTTGACGTGCGTGGGGAGGAGACAGACCTTATATGCGGGGCGCTATGGGCGCGTCTGCAGCGCGACGGGCGAGGAACACGGCGGACGGACGGTGGACAGACGTCAAAAAGCCATCGCCGTGTTCGGGGCCGTACGCCGTCTATGAATAGCGCGCACAGCCAATCAGCGTGCGTGGCCCGCGCTTCTTCAGCTCACAATCAGACGTCTGCGCACAAATAAATCCACCTATAAATACCAGGCACCACACATGTCCATTCCGACTATTTATAGCAATCGATGGTTCGCCGACGCTCGCTGCCGCGTCGGCGCGCCCAGCCACGCGCCCGCGGCCAGGTGTCTATGTACAGAAGGAGCTTCTGCTTTTGGTCAGGGCAGCGCGTGTGCGGCACTAGAGCGGCTGGCTGCCTCTCCTCGCCTCACACCTTCAGCTTCTTCGGGCGCGGCTTCTCCAGGTCAATCTCCTCCTCGTCATCGTCGTCCTCGCTGTCCTCGTCGTCGTCAGAGTCCACCCCGTCCCCGCCAGCCTGGCCCAGGAAGTACTCCACCGCCTCGGGGAACACGTCGTTTGCGATCAGCACGCCCAGCTGCAACCGTCACGTCTCAGCGCCAGCCATCCAGCACCCGGAGATGAAGCGCACGCACGTCAAATGGATCCTCTGATTCCTCAAACAGGTTGAAGAAGCTGCCCCCCTCTGCAGGCATGTCATCACCGTCCTCGTCCTTCACGCGCGGGTGCAGTTTCGTCAGGTTCTTCGCGTCGTCCTTCCAGTTGATCTTGCTCGCCTGCACCGGCATCACAGTGTATTCTTAGCCATGGCCATAGCTTCCATAGCGATGGAACCTACCTGGGGCTCTACGTCGCGCTCCCACGAGAAGTCGATCATTGAATCAGTCAGACCGTCCGTGTCGGACTTTTCTTCCGCTGCCGCAGGCCCAGGGGACCACTTGTACTGTTTCTTGAGTACACTATCAGAGAAGTACGGGTTCTCCTTGAAATACTACGCCCGACGCGTCAGCTACCTCCGCCAGATGAAACGCACAACCACCCACGAATTCCAAGGTGAAGCACCGCGACTCCTTCGTGTCACGCGTAACCCATACATCCTCCAGATAGCTTAGCGCGACCTGATCCGAGTTGTGCTGCGCGTGAAGCGCGAACATGCTGTGGTTCATGAGTGCCACGGGCCAGAACTTGGAGATACCCTTGAGGATTACACGACGCTTTTCATACACGGGGTACAATGCCTCCTGAGCGCGGCGTTCTGCATGCAATACACCCCATCAGCCAGCACGCCTTTTCCACACAGACAAAGACGCGTCTACTGTACGTACCTAGCAGCAGCTCCGTACGCGCGATCTCCTTCTGGATGCCGTTCAACTTCTGAGCATCCTCGTCGGTCAGCTCCACGTCCCCAAGGGGATTCTTCTCCGTCGACGCTCCGGGGGAAGCGCGTTTGACACCTTTGCCGCTCATTTTGTTAGACCTGGGATAAAGCGGGACAATGACCAGGACAGTGAAGAGTGGCGACCGTGCGACGGCTCCCGCGCGAAATTTGGTGCAGCCACAGTCGTGAGAATGATTCAGAGTCCGATAGTCCTCCGCTGTGGCGGTGGCATACCAACAGCGTACTTACGACCATACTAATTACCGCGACCAGCTCTGCTCTCCCTCACACTGGGTCATTGTAATAGCACTTGGTTGTGTCTGGACAGATTCAAATCCGTGGCTCGATCTCATAACTATAACACGAGACCATTTTGACTCTGAAAGCATTCTCCTCGGACAACGTGAGATTCCTACGAATTAACTCACAAACGACCGGAACGTAGACTCGGAGCTCGAGGTATCCGAGTCAACCACGGTTATCCTTCGTCATGGTGCACAGTCCGGCTGTCAAATCTTGATCAAAATGGGGATCTCGAACTTGTGTGAGCTTGTAGGCGCAACGAGATCGCTAGAAGATAGCCATGGGCAGACCCTAGATCTGCACAATTGCAAAGAAGCACTGGCATGTATGATGGCACTGGTCTACTCCACCATTCACCCGGTCCCAAGTCGGTCTCTCACCCATGCACCCGACCCTTTGGCTTGGCAAAGAAGCCTGCAGCCCTCGGTCCCGCTAAGGGGACACCCGATATCTCGCACACCATATATATAAACGACAGAACGAAGCAACATGAGCAGAGCGCAGTCCGAGACCTGAGCCTGTACAGAAACGGAGCCATATGTCACCCACGCTAATCGACCCGCTTCGTCCCCATCTCCACCTCTTCTATCCTGCTCTTCGCACGCCGGTGGCCTGGCATCTTCCCTCTGTGCACGGGAGCCGACGACTTGAGCTCTTTCAGGTCGAGTGCTGGGATGCCGAAGCCCTTGCCCCGTTGACCACTCCGGAAGCCAGGGCCGGTGTAATGGATGATATTCGTGAGCGGCACGAGCCGTGGCCAGTTGACATATTCAATGCCATGCGCGAAGATAAAGATGAGCGACAGGGTCAGGAGGACGAACCAAAGGAGGAAGTAATAGAAAAGTGAGTAGTCTATGCAGGTCGTAAGTCGAGAGGACATCGTGTCGCAGGTACTGGAGACATACCGGATGTGCGCGGCAGTGTGAGGCCAGCAAAGATCATGAAGATAGAGAAACCCAAGACATATGGCATCTGTGGGGCCTATTTCAACATCACAACATCCATTTTCGACTTAGACTTACTGCTCGGACGACCAGAGGACGACTGTCGTAAACGAACGTCGACGGCACCCATCCTCTCCGCGGGACAAATGCACCGGTCATTAGATCATAGGCGTCCTGAGACGCAGTCAATGACGAGTGGATATGCTCAACGGAACGTGCATACTTGTCGGGCTCCGTCGAAGAAGTTATTCTTCAAATACCGCATGACGGAGTTCCTGAGATCCTCAAACATGCCCTGGCGAGTCCGCTGACCGGTTCTTGTGAAGTCGGTCTTCAATGCGCCTGTGCCACTGTACGCAACGGAGATCATGTTGGCATGTTCTGTCCACACTGGAGAGGGATCAGCAAACGAAATACTAGGTCATGATCAGGGCCTAGACGTACTCTCGCGGAAATCCCGAATGAAGTCTTCGTAGCGATCGATCGAGTCAGTTTCGTGAAGGACGCCTACAGCTCGCAGCTGACGAGTGACCATCCATTTCGCGATCGCGGATTGCCCGACGTTGGTCCTGTCGAGATTGTCCATGCAGTTTGTACGGACAACCCCCGCCTGGATCTTGACCGGTTCGGGTTGAGAAGCATCGAGGTGGAAGTACCTGGCGAAAATAGCAGGACAGCGTTAGAAAGAACATGATAGATACCGAATTTAACGTACCCGTATCTCGTCATATCTTCATCTAGTCTATCTAGAAGACCCTGTATGCGATCCCAGCGCATGTGCTTGCACTCGTTGTGGAAGTCGAAATACTCATATTTGACTTTGGGGAGACTCGCCTACCAAGCCTTTAGCAGAACAACGATATGAAGTAGGTGTGCCGCGTACCTGCTTGACATTGCGTTCATAAGCCTCTTTGACCGGCAGCTCATGGCCCTTCTGGTCGACAAGATTCACGAGGCTTGACTCGCCATACGTTGAGACGATTTCTTGTAGGTGTTTCCGGGTTGCATCGACCTAAAGCATGAAGAATGAGCTAGCTGCACGGAGTACTTGAACGACACGCGCACTGTCTCCTGCAACTCCATGATCTGTACGTCCGGCTTATACCGCAGCGTATTGACCTCCGCCCAGAACACCGGCACACTACCTCGTATTTGCACGAAGCTGAGCTGCACGCTGTTATCGTCAGGGCCAACAAGCAGTATTTGCTCCGTCTCGTTGAAATTGGCGACGTGGCCCTCCTGGTCGATCCCACGCCGGAAGTAACGTGTGCCGGCTCTGTAGCGAGATCGTCGGCTGATGAGGCAGAGACGCATGGGATGGCCATTGACGCGTTCGGGGCGGATGTCGAATGCTGTTGGGAGGGGAGGAACGCTGAGCTTGAGGCTATATGTGCGCAGATAGCTGACTTACTTCCATACAGCATTGGTAGAATGTATGGGCTCAGCTGTGTTAGAGGTCAACTCATGCGAGGACTGTTGAGCCAGTAAGCTCACATTCTGATCCGGATTTCCAACTGTGACGTCTATGAACCTTGACTGAAGGAACCTGTTTCAGGTCAGCGCGAATGCTTCGAGGACATAGACCAGAGGTCGAGCTCACTTATTCCAGAAGAACCTGTCGTCCGCCTGGAAAAGTCTTAGTTGACTCGTTAAACGTCGAAGCACAGTTAGACGCACCACCTCCCAGAGCGGTTTATCCACGTCCTCCTTCAATGAGACCCATTGCGCCTGCAACCTCCTCGTCAAGTCCCACGCATAGCTGAACAAGAAGTTTCCAGAGGCCAGGTGCGACTTGACAAGGGCCAATAGATGCGCTTCGACGGGGTGAGGCGGACTGAGCACGGATATGTCGGGGTTCAACGGCAGGATCTCGTAGTCGGTTGCGCGATAGATGTTCTGCCCCATGAGCCGGCCGCGTAGTTCGCGCCCCGTTATTACTATGATGTACTCCGCTAAAACATAAGGGATGAGGACTGTGTCGAGGAAACGTGGGAGACCGACGAACAGAGTGCAAGGGATATTAGGCCGCATATGCCGTATATTGTTTTGCCTGAGCGTTCGGCAGTTACAGGCAGTGGCGTGTTCGGTGCTGCGAGATATGAGCCACGAAGAGCTCTGGAGAACAGGGCTATCAGCGCACCGTTCAGTACTATATCTCCTGAATTCCTGTAGATTGTGAGAGACCGCGCGCCGACGGGCTCCGCGGGTACGAATGTGTAGGTTTCATTGCCGTTCGTGTACCTGTGCACACCGACTGTGATCAGTAAGTCCCAGCACAGGGATACTGGATCGACGGACAGATTGAGTCGTTGGTGGAGGGCCTTCATGGTGGGCTTGCGCACGGGAGGAGGTGCAGACAGCAGGAGGCGCGTCACGACTCTCGCGTCAGGTATTCTTATGGCAGACGCGCTGTGCCTTTGGCGCCGGCGTCATTCCGGCGCGCGCACGTCCATCGCTCTTGTGCAGGTTCAGCCATGGTGAAGCTCACCCCCGAACTCATCGAGTCGGTGCCCTCGTCGCTCAACCCACTCAAAGAGCGTCAGCTTGACCTCCGAGGTATGAGGCACTCAACCTTTTGGTAACACTTCTAAACATGCTCACAGGTTATAAAATACCTGCCATTGAAAACCTCGGTATAACCAAGGTGTGGACCATCCAAATCGATTGCATGAAGAGTATTAGCTGAATGCAGAGCCATTAGGACCAACATGATGCCATGGACTTTACGGACAACTCTATCACTGTGCTGGGGAACATCCCCTTCTTCGCCGCCTCCGCACCGTTCTCCTCGCAAATAACCGAATATCGACTATCTCTCCATCCCTGCACCTCTCCGTTCCCAATCTCACCACTCTCGTGCTCACGAACAACAACGTATCCGAGCTCGGCGATCTTGAGCCGCTCAAAGACATGAAGAAGCTCGAGTTCCTTTCCCTGTTGGGGAACCCTGTGCGGGAAAAGAAATGGTATCGCGAGTGGCTTGCATGGCGCATCCCATCGCTGAGAGTATTGGATTTCCAGAGAATACGCGACAAGGTGCGCCGCACTCGTTCGCTTCCGCTTCCGACCGCGCACTCACCTATCGCCCGCTTTGTCTCTGCTGCAAACGTTCTTTCGCCGCTCAATTTGCAGGAGAGGCAAGCGGCGAAGTCCCTGTTCTTGACCGCAGATGACCTGCCCACGCAGCTAGCAGATACCCTGTCCAAAACGGTCTCGACGCACGCCGCGAAGGCACCCGTCGCGACAGACGAGCCAAAACCGGCCGTGGCGCCGGGAAAGGCAGGGCGGCTTATGTCCAAGGAGGAGGCGGACAAAGTCAAGGAGGCCATTGCGCGTGCGACGTCGGTCGAAGAGATCAGACGTCTGGAACGAAGTCTCAGGGAGGGTTTCATGCCGGACATGCAGGCAGTTGGCGCATGAACCTTGTACAAAACATAGGTGGTTGTAATGCTATTTCCCATTGTACTCTAATCGCTGCTGAGCTTTCCCGCCTGAAACCCAATAACCTCGTTCATCCGTGCGCAACTCGATAATTGAGTGATCGCTAAAATGTAGATGCATGCCGCCTGTATGTACGTACTCGGCGGCCTGTATGCCAAGGTTGTACAGTGCGGGTAGCCCGTACAATTACGCAAGGTCCGGTCGCTTATAAACCAGTACTGGCGTTGGCAATCCAAAGGCCATGGAAGATCAGCGAAATAACAGCCAACAGGTTGCAGAGTGAACTAATTCCGTGAGCCATGCCGAAACGCCTATTTAGCGTCTTCATGTCGGTGGACACCTGACGGTATAATGTCATGGTCAGTACTGGCACCCGAGCATATATGTGAACGTACCCCCTGCTCGTTATAGGATTTGCCCTCGGATTTCTCCAGCTTGTGTCTTTCAAACAACACTCTGAACAAAGGAAGACTTAAACGACCCGATCACTCGGACGATTGCTCATGAATCTTACTTGCTCGTCAGAGGTCCCACCACGAAGTAATTGGCCGCCTGCATTACGAGAACAGACACTAGAACGTAGGCCTGCGCTACATCCGCGACAGCGGGGCTGAAAATGTGGGCTGATACGTCGGGGTGGGCGCGGACCCAGAGGACTAGGAGCCCGGCGGCCCCGATGATGCTCTGACTGAAGTAGACCGGGAAAACACGGTGTTGAAGTGCACCGAACTGGTGTCTGGCTGAAGGCACCATTCAGCAGACGTAATGCAGGGCGTGGGGGGAGATACGTACGCAAGGCTCTAAAGGCAATTTGCCCTGAGTAGGCCCAACATTCATTTCAGCACCAGGCACATTACTGTGAGACACGCAATAAACACGCACCCGCAAAGAACGTAACCCAAATAGCTAGCACAACAGATGAATATATGATCAAGATCAACTTAGTGATGACACGACGATGGGTATACGCACACATGCCAAGGAGCCATGCGTAACCGATGAGATAGAGGCTACTGAAGTTGAACAGCGCCCAGACGGAGGACGGGGACAACGTCTCTGGTCGAGGCATATCGCGCGGTCAATAATTCAATGCGCGTTGGTGGTGAGTAGGGTGGTGGTGAGTAGGGTGGCTCCGGGTAAGTAGAGTCCTACTGTAGAGCGACACTGCGAGCACTGAGACAACCTGCATGTCAGGTGACATATGAGGATGCGGCGGGCCCTGCGGCCGTCGCACTGCAGATCACTGATCAGTGTGCGGCCGTGTACTTATACGTACATAGAACATCGCGCTTGGACAACAGATTGATCAGCATGCAACGGCGCCATTTCCCATGCTGAAGGCACTGTTTCGCCTGCGGCCGCTCCTTGACCACATACGGCTAGCCAATACCTCGTAGGCGTGAGTCCGAGCGAACAGTGTTCAGCTCCGGGAGCACCGCTGCTGCGAAGAGAAGCTGGTGCGGCGGAGTGAGGCTCGTAGCGAAGGCCAACTCGGGCGATGCGCGGTGACCCGCCAGATCAGGAAGTGCCCTGGCTCAGCGCTCTGTGGCTGGTGCCTGTCTTGAGCTTGAGCGAGCGCGTCCCTGGCCGCCGCTGCAGTTCTCCGCCGTGTGAGGGAGTGTGCGGTGGGCGTAAGTAGCGGGGTCTCGGCGCGGGGAGGACTCTGGCACTGCCAGAGCCAGAGACTCTGAGGAGAGAGGCAGTATGTATTTGGGCAATACATATCTGTGGGCGAGAGCCAGGAACCGCGGATAGCGGCTGATGTGCCTGGGCCGGCGCCTCCGTCTCTAGCAGTCTCACTGTCCCATCTCTCATTCCGCCACCTCTTCCCCCCGCCCCTCCTCCGTCTCCCCCTCCTGCGACACTTCACGACGCCCCACGCTGCCCTAGCCCACGCCCTCGCTGCCCATGGCGGGTCTCCCGCGAAGCTCAGCAGGCAGACCGTTCTCCACCGACCGTCCCTCCTCAGCGCGTCCCTCCACCTCGGGCGCATACTTCGATCGCGATCCACAGTATACCTTCTCCCAGGAATACACCATCGACGAGGACGAAGACGACGAGTCTGATGCGGAGGATGTCTTTGCCTTTGGTCCTCCTTCCACCGCCCAGCAGCGGGAGGAATTCCCTCCAGCTCACTTCCCTGAGATCCCCTTCGCAGGCTCTGGTTTTCCGGATACACCGGGTCTTCGAACTACACCCCTAGCCACCACTCCCATCGCCTTCCCTCCCCCGACCTTTGATCTCCATGGCAAGGCAGGCCCGTACAGTCCGAGCTTGCCAGGCCCAATTCCCGGGCCGTCGACTATGCACTCGCGGCACCCATACCCTATGAGTCCAGTCGAAACGCCTCCCTCAACGGACTCGAATGGGCACAGCGACGATGCGTATCGGCTCCGTCGCCTCAGTCAAGCTCCTGTCTCGCCCTTAACTGGACTCAGCCAAGGGACGGGCAAGTTCTCTGGCATTAGTTCGGCCCTGAGCTCAAGGGGGCGCGCATATCACTCACCGACGCGAAGGAGAAGTACCGCGAGTCTTTGGCATCCAAACCGAAGCTCCAAGGGATCCCGTCGACCGCTGAGTCCATTGTCAGCTATGGGAGCATGCTAGAAGCAGACAGTCAGGAAGGTTCCGTAAAGTGCGTAATTCTGGACTCTTGCTCCCATTCCACGCTCATCAGCTACCTACGACGGTGTAGAATGGACTACGACTTCGATGAGCATGAGGAGGAGGATAGCCCTTACGCCGAAGTGCGCGCGTCGGTATCAAATATCGACGACACAGAGATGCCTGTCCTCACTGTGCGGCTATGGATAGTAGGACTAGGGCTCACCTTCGTTTCTGCGTACGTGGTGTCCTGCTGGAGCTGCTCGTTATTTGCTCACATCAGCGCAGAGCGGCGAACGTCTTCTTTTACATGCGTCAACCAGCACCATCGATCACCTCTACTCTCCTTGTTATCCTCGCACATCCCCTCGGCAAGCTCCTCGCGTACTGGCTCCCCATAACGTCCCATCGACTACCTAGATGGCTCGGCGGCGGAGAGTGGTCATTGAATCCTGGTCCATGGAACATCAAAGAGCACGCTCTCGTGTATATGATGGCCAACGTCGCAACCGGCGCGCCATATGCGATTCAGGCGACGATCTCTATCGACGTCAACTACGGGCTGAACCTTGGCTACTGGTTCAATACGGTGCTGATCCTCGCGACGCAGCTCACAGGCTTCGGGCTTGCTGGACTGTGCAAGCGATTGTTGGTTTACCCGGCAAGCATGGTTTGGCCGCAGAACTTGATCGTGTGCACACTGCTGAATACCCTGCATGCGGAGGAAGACGAACCACGAGGAGGTATCTCGAGATTTAGGTACTTGGTTTACGTCGGCTCGGCGGCCTTCGTCTTTTACTTCCTGCCAGGTATGTATCCAGTGTTTCATATATGACCTGTTGCACCTCTTGATCCACGAAATCTCCATAGGCTACCTCTTCACAGCGCTCTCTGTCTTCTCCTGGATATGCTGGATCAAACCTGACAACGTCCGCGTGAACCAGGTGTTCGGTATATACTCCGGCATGGGCCTGAGCTTCTTGACGTTCGACTGGACAGAAATCAGCTGGATCACAAGCCCGCTCATGGTGCCTTGGTGGGCGCAAGTGCAAGTGTTCACCGGATTCGTCATTTTTTACTGGATCATGACCCCGGCGTTGTACTATTCAAACGTGCGCGTCCCGTCTCATCGACATCGGCTCATCGACTGACATTTATATATATTCGTAGACCTGGAACCTTGCCTATTTCCCTATGTACTCATCGCGGTTGTTCGACAAGTACGGAAATGACTACAACGTGTCGATGGTGCTCACAGACGAGAAGAAGTTCAACGTGACCGCATACGAGGACTACTCGCCGCTATACCTCCCTGCGGCTTACTCCATGGCGTACCTTATGGCGTTTGCCCTTGCGACCTGCGTCATTGTACACACCATCCTCTTTCATGGACGCGCCATCTTGAACGGCTTCAGGAGAATACAGGTGGAGAAGGAGGACATCCATGCCAAATTGATGAAGGCGTACCCGGAGGTGCCGATGTGGTGGTACTTACTCGTTCTCGTCGTCTTCTTCAGTCTGGCCATTGTGGCGGTCGAGGTGCGATTTCGATTCTCCGACCATGTTGTTTCTAACCTTTCGCCACGAACGGCAGGTTTGGGATACAGATGCGCCAGTGTGGTTCATTTTACTGGCGCTACTGATACCTGTGGTATACATTATCCCCTCCGGATATGTTTATTCGATCACTGGGCAAGTTGTGAGTGTGCTTGTGCATGCCGGTCGAGTTTGCCGCTGATGGAACCCGCAAAGATATCAATCAACATCATAGCGCAAATCGTTCCCGGGACGATCCTGACCGGCCAGCCTGTTCCGAATATGATCTTCAAGTCTTACACGCTGCAGACGCTCTCCGAGGGCACACGCTTCGTGCAAGATATGAAACTCGGTCACTACGTCAAGGTCCCTCCGCGAGCTACGTTCGTCGTGCAGCTGACGTCAACGTTCATGGTGGCCTTCATCCAGTGTGGAATGCAGCAATGGATATTCGACAAAGTGCCAGACATCTGTTCGCAGCGCCAGAAGTACGATCTGACGTGTCCACACAACGAGGTCTTCTATGAGGCGTCCGTGTTGTGGTATGAGTTTGCGTATTCATTCCATGATTTGTTAGTCTCACGTTTCTTTGACCAGGGGTGTCATCGGACCGAAGCGACAATTCGGCACTGGATCGCCGTACCACCCGGAGTTGTATGCTCTCATCATCGGTGCCATCCTACCTATTCCGTTCTGGCTTTGGCAGCGTCGGTTCCCCAGTTCCTGGGTGCGGTACGTCAATACGCCCCTCGTTCTCAACGGGATTTCGGCTATCCCCCCTGCGACGGGCATCAACTATTCATCCTGGTTCCTGGTTGGCTTGATCTTCCAATATGTCATACGGCGGAAGAACTTCGCTTGGTGGAGCAAGTTCAACTACGTGACGAGTGCGGCATTGGATAGTGGTACGTGGCTGGCGGGACAAAGTTGCAGCTGTCATGATTGATAGTTGTCGTTCATAGGAACGGTGATATCATTGCTTTTCATTTTCTTCACGCTGGAGGTTAGTACGTTGATTATGAGCAACGAACATGGATTTACCCGATGACTTCCAGTTCCCTAGCGGCGGTCACTACTTGAGCTGGTGGGGAAATGACGTTTGGAAGCGAAGTATGTTGTACTCGATTGTGCATCAGTGCGTTGCGTTAATGCGCCCCTTAACAGCCGTCGATTTTACCGGTGCGACGCTCAAGACTCCACCACTCACTGGCATACCCAGTACCACTTAGTGCTTCTTAAACGTCCCCACTTCGCGCGGGCATGTAGCCAGTCCGACCAGCCTCATTGTTTCATAGGCTGCGCTCGCAGCCACTCCTTCGCATTACCCCCTATACGTCCTCGGCGCGCACACCCACACCACCACGTCATTATACATTCGTATCTATCCCGTGTATACTCAGCCCAAAGTGTACACTGTACTCTCCGACGTCGCCTCCCCTGTCTGCGGTTGCTCCCGATCTCACGCATTTGTCTCTGTGGTCTAGATTAGCGTAGCTGCTGAGGTACGGTACATATTACGGTATTCTTTTGGAAGCCACTGGAAAGTGTAATTCATCTCCACTGAGCCCCCGCGGCGTTATGGGCTGCTCTCAAGTCAAGGTTGGGCCAGGTTCCAAACCATATCCTCGCAGTCAGACTCGCACAAAAGGCGCTTGTCGTATCGTATAGTCTGCAACGGAGAGTATCAGGCATAGCAGCAAGCCTGATGATGTCTGAGGATCGTAAACAGTACATACTCCGAGATTGGAGAGCTGCTGAATGAATTGTGCTGGCGGCAACCCCTCTTACGACTGAAAGTAGTCGCTTACCGCCCGGCTACCAGGAGGCTGCCTTGAGGAGAGCGTTCACGGACGTCGATCCGTCACACGGCGTAAGTAGATTGGGGGGACACATACTGATACAACAGCGCAGCGAATAGCACAGCAAGGAACAACTGCAGTTCCGGAGTCCAGATCCTGCCGGCCCTCGTAAGGATCTTAATGGAAGCTCCGCCAGTCGGAAAGCCTGTCCATGCCCATGCCCATCATCCCCATACCGGGCATGCCGCGACGCCGTGGGCCGCCTGGCCCAGCGTGCCGCTCTTCGCGTGTGGCAGTAAGCACAACGTGCTTGTCCACCAGCTATGCGGGCGCCCCGTGGTTAGTCAGTGTGGACGCAAGATGAGCGATAACGAGACGCACATCATTCAGTAGACTAGCGGATTTGGTCAGCGCGGAGAGGTATGCCGTGAGCTGGACGTCCTCGTATTCCTAGGAAACGTTGCGAGAGTCATCAGAAATGATTGTGCATGAACGCGAAAAAGCCACGTACAGTATCAAACTCCTCCCGGAACCCTTTGTGGTCGCTTGCAGGCAACGAGGCGACAAGAGCCGAAAGAGCGCGAAGCGTCGAGTGATCTTTGATCGCTTGCCCTGTCAGCAGGCGCAAAGTCAAATCTGGGGTGTCAATACGGATAACCGTCTGGACGCACCTGCCAAGATGTCGGAGACGTACTTGACCAATAGCACAATTCTGTCGTGCAACATTTTCACGGCAGCACGCTGTGAACTTAAATGCGAATGCACTGGAAATAGGTGTTCGTTGTTCATAGCCGTGGTAGCTCCTGGAGTCACGACTCACAGCTGTTGTCGCCCTCCCCACCCTTAGCAGTCCAATCTACAGCAATCCGTTCCGCTTCGCCCGTCTCGACGGAGAACGGTGCTTCGATGAACACAGAACGCGACTTGCGGTCACGAATTTCTATTGTCGGCTCGTAAGCTTTGAGCGGTAGCGATTGGGCAGTCAAGTCAGGGGATGCAGCAAAAACGGTGGAAGGCTGAAGGATGAGGAGGAGCGGCGTCGCGCTGTAGGGCAAGAACTATGCGTATGGGGAAATTGATGTTTAACGCGATCATGGCGGGTGGTCTGTGTCACTCACCTGTTCATGCAGGGCAATGTGCTGTGCCGTCGGTCGTGGAGCGACGGTGTACCATCCTATAAACTCGAGGGAGGGAAAGACTTGCTTGTCTGCGTGACGCGTGAGCATACTCAGCGGACGAATTGAAGGATCACTGCCTCACACTGTTCTTTGCGATCCAGCAAGAAGTTCTGGTCGACAGTGGCGCCACCGTCTGCCAAGGCGAGCTCAAATGTATTCACGATCTCGACATCTCGCCCATTCTGCGTGCCCAATAGTGCGCCAATGACTGCCAGGCTCTCGTCACGTCTGGGGCGCCCATAGAGGCCTCATCGACGACCTACCGAAAGGACTGTTCGATCTGGTCTGGAGTTTGAGACGCGTAAGGTGTTCAGAGATGTTCAGAATGGGCAGTGGGTGCCTGCAGAGACATCAGTCTCCGAACACTGGCAGACTAGATGTTGACTCGTACAAAGCTATTGAGAGTCCTGATGCCGTGCTTGACGGAAGCACAACAGGCAGCTCGTCGGTTTCCATCGCGCTCATGTTCACTCAAAGCTGGTCGATGTTGTGAGAGTGGCGAACGACTGCAAGGACAACGACAGAATATAGGGCGCTTATTTGTATGCGGGTGGCTCACAAGGCGTGGCGGCGATATGCGCCACCAGTCATGCGGGCGCTAAAACACCACTGCATGTCACCCTCGTCCGATTCCTTTGCGATGACTTTCGTGAGCTTCCGCAATGCAAAAGCACCCTCGGATAGACCAACAGATGTCCTGGGGCGTCGGAAAGACCATAAACAATATAAAGGATTCCTGTTAGCCGATTTGAACGACTGACCTCGTCATCACGTGACCGTGGGAAACCACGGACTTGGAAACCCGATACTAGTGACGCGCTCTACCAGCTGAGCTAAACAGGACTAGTTGTTCTTGAGCGCTCATAGATGATGGCCTGGTAACTGTATGTGACACGTCTTTGCCTGCCCTAAACTACGGTATTGAACGCGACCCTCTGGAGAGCGTCGCGTCTTGCACTGGCTCCTGCATTCACTCAAACACGCCTTCGCTCCCTTCAAGATGTCAGGATTTGACGCAGACCGCGTTTTCTCTGTTTCTGTTCACGATGTGCCGGAGCCCACTGGTCCAGACTCACCCTCCCAGACAGAGAAGCTGCTTCTCGACTTCCTGCTTCAGTACCGCGTCGGCGGTGACTTCATCTACAGGTGTGTCTCCCTGTGTCCCGGTAATTATTCGATACGTGGGCCGACTTTGTGTCAGGGATAAGCTTCGCGCCAATCTGCTTCTCAAGCAGTATCAGTTGGAGGTTGACCTCCGCCATATTGGTCTTTATAACGACGAACTTGCCCATGCTATTCAAGACAGGCCTGCTGAGATTCTCCCTCTGGTACGTCTTCCGTTGTATTTGCCGCCCCTCAGACACTGACAACGCCACAGTTTGAGACTGCTGCCACAAAGGCTGCGCGCACGATCCTCTTCCCTCTCGCAGCCAACGGGCAAGGTCCAAGTAACGACGTCGCCACACAAGCCATTCAGAACATTCAGATCCTGACGAAGTCTGGTCTTAACCTTCAGCAATTCCGCGACCTTTCTGCGAACACCATGAACAAGCTCGTCCGTATCCCCGGCATCGTCATTTCCGCCTCCGTTCTCTCTGCGCGAGCGACAAAGCTCCACCTGCAATGTCGCGCGTGTCGCACCGCAAAGAACATCTATCCGCCGAGTGGCCTAGGAGGCCTGGGAGGAGGCTCGGACAGGGGCCTTCCGCGAGTCTGTGACGCAGCTCGGATCGAAGGGCAGGAGAAAGACTGCCCCATGGATCCGTACCTCATCATCCACTCAAAGTCCACATTCTCAGACCACCAGACATTGAAGCTGCAGGAGGCGCCTGACATGGTCCCTGTTGGAGAGCTTCCCCGGCATATGTTGCTTTCTGCGGACAGATATCTTACCGGACAAGTGGTGCCTGGCTCGCGCGTCATTGCAACTGGTATCTACTCGACCTTCCAGTCAGCCAAGTCGGTGAGCGACGTGATTGGGTCGCGCGCACTTTCTCTGACCGTTTGGCTGTAGAAAAACGGCGGTGCAGCTGCCCTACGGAATCCTTACCTTCGGCTCGTTCACTTGGAAGTCTCCTCTCCTGCAGCTTCTGGATCGAGTGGTGCGAATCCGTTTGGCTTGCAATTCTCGCCTGAGGAAGAGGAAGACTTCGGTGAGATGGCTCGGAGCGACGGGTTCTACGAGCGATTCGCCAAAAGTGTTGCGCCGAGCATTTTCGGCAGCCTCGGTATGCTCGCTGATGTGACATTGGATTCGGCTTGCTGACATCAGTGTTCCACAGACATTAAAAAAGCGATTACGTGCTTGCTTTTCGGTGGATCCAAGAAGGTCCTACCAGACGGCATGCGGTTACGAGGCGATATAAATGTGCTTTTGCTTGGTGATCCTGGTACTGCCAAGAGTCAGTTGCTCAAATTCGTTGAGAAGGTATGCTTACTCCTCGCATACCATACTACTCGGTCTGACGATCGTGCTAGGTTGCACCAATAGCAGTCTATACGTCTGGCAAAGGTTCCAGTGCGGCTGGTCTGACGGCCTCTGTACAGCGCGATTCTGTCTCGGTGAGTCACAGGCCTTCTTGTATCTATTCCCCTACTGATGGGACTCTTCTCAGCGTGAATTTTACCTGGAAGGTGGCGCGATGGTTCTGGCCGACACTGGGGTCGTCTGCATAGACGAGTTTGATAAGATGCGAGATGAAGACCGTGTAGCCATTCACGAAGCTATGGAGCAACAAACTATCTCCATCGCCAAGGCGGGTATAACCACCGTACTCAACTCGAGGACGAGTGTATTGGCTGCCGCGAACCCGGTTTGGGGTCGTTATGACGAAGGTCGGAGTCCAGGCGAGGTATGCGTGTTCGAACCAATCCACAGACGAGGGCTGACTCTGTTGCAGAACATTGACTTCCAAACAACTATCTTGTCGCGGTTCGATATGATCTTCATCGTTAAGGACGAGCACAACGAGCAGCGCGATCGGGTTCGTCGCTTCGTAGAGTCTACCACTTGCCTCTTCCTCATGAGCACATCTGCAGATGATAGCGAAGCACGTCATGAACATTCACATGAACCGACCAAACGAGAATGCCGACGAGAATGGTGAGGCGATCGGTGAGATCGACATCGACAAGATGAAGCGGTATATCGCATACTGTAAAGCGTACGCCACTCCGCGAATGCGAATAGACCCACTACTAAACTTCATATCTTGGTAGGAAATGCGCACCACGGCTTTCTTCTGAGGCACAAGAGATGCTCAGTAGTCATTTCGTATCTCTGCGAAAGCAAGTGCAACAAGTCGAGCAAGATAACGACGAGCGTAGCTCCATCCCGATCACTATTCGGTTTGTCACGGCTTGAGGTGCTGCTCACCACCTTCGCTGACATCGACTGCAGACAACTCGAGGCCATCATTCGTATCTCCGAATCCCTCGCTAAGCTTACACTTTCACCCGTAGTACGCAACCACCACGTCGAGGAAGCCATCCGGCTCTTCAAGTGTTCGACCATGGACGCCGTCTCCGCAGGCTCTGCTGACGGGCTTTCCCGAGGGGAGTTGAACGAGGAAATGAACAGGATCGAGAAGGAGATCCGCCGGCGGTTGCCCATAGGCTGGAGCACCAGCTACCAAAGTCTCGTGCGTGAGTTCGTCACACAACAGGGCTATTCCAGCCATGCATTGGAACGAACGCTGTTTGTGTTGGAGAAACGCGAGGTCATCCGGTTTTCAGGTCAAGTAGGTATTTCTCAGCTTGCTCTCCTAGGCGGCTCGCTGATGATCTTTCTCTACGTTGGCAGAACAAAGTCGTACATAGATGTGGTGTTTGATATCTTTGCGTTGCTGCTTCTGTTCGCTCTTGGTTCATGCTGTCTAAGACTTCTGCATCGATGTTGTATCCAGGCTGTCGTAACATACTGTATCTTTGCATTATCCTATCACCCATTGTAGCAGTGGACGTTCAAACGTTCATATTCAACAGTGCCTGCCACCTCATGGCCATTTGCTTTGATCCGTGCAACATCTGAACTCGCCGTGAGTATGTAGCAACATAAAACTATTAGCCCACCGCGAGGGTCGAACTCGCAGCCTTCAGATTGCCTGCCTACAGACATTGTAAGAGTCTGACGCTCTATCCGATTGAGCTAGGCGGGCAATATGATGGTTAGCGCTCACAGTCGTCCTCATTGAACGGTCATGTGTGCATTACTCAGGAAGTTGAGAAGCATGAAAGCACACTAACATTATGATACAACATTGACAATACATGCGTTATACATACAGCTCTACATGCTACGGAGTCCTTCGCTAGTAAATCGTACATATTACTTTTGCATTTGCGATCTCCCCTCCGAGTCGTCATGCCGGCACCCCATGCTAGGACAAGCACAGCGACAAGCCTCAGAAAGCGATCTTCGCCGCGAGACCGTCCGATTCACGGTCCCAGCAGCGGTGCTTGCTGATTGCATAGGCGAAATTGGACACGAAGCCCTTCTCACTTTGGGCAATCTTGAGCGTATCCGCGGCGACGGAGCCCACGTCGTACTTGCCGGCGGTAACCACGTCATACGAGTTCACCACCGAGTCGCTCGACAGGTCCGACGTGAACGACACGCCCGGAAGCTGTACAGCCTCGCGCAAGAATGCGACGCCTGAAGAAGCGTCAGTCAATGTGATTCCACGAGGACGTCAAGAAGACGACTTACCCTCGCCGATAGCACCAATAGGCTTGAGGTGACCGAACGCCTCGCGAACCCAGTGGATGCAGCGCCCATTTTGAGCGAGCTTCTGCGCGTGCTCGGCACCGCTCGGAATGACGAACGCGTCGAACAGCGTGCTGCGCTGGCCCTCGTAGTGGTGGTCTGCCCACACGCCAGTACCCTTGCCGGCGACCTGGCCAGCAGGGTAGATCCACCCACGACGCGGGCCAATGATCCAAGTCGTCGCCTGACCGACCTTAAACGCTGCGCGCAGGGCCTCGACTTCCGCGAGATTGAAGCCGTCCGCGACGAGGATGGCGATGCGGCGTGAGACGATCGTGGGCTCCTTCGGCGCGTAGTACAGCTGGCTGAGCGTTGGAGTCGCCTTGCCGTGGTTGGGGCGCGCGGGACTGTCGGGGACAACTCCGCCGACGTTGATGGCGACCTGCTTCGCGAGCTCGAAGTCGATGTTGGCAGCGAGCTTGGTGTAGGTCTCGAAAACAACCGGGTCGTCGCAGTGCGAGAGCTCGAACGACATCGCGTTGATCAGGTGCTGCTTCTCATGCGGCGCAAGCGAGTTGTAGAAGAGTTGGGCCTGGTTGAAATGCTCCTGGAACTTCGGAGCGCGCGCACGCTGCTTGATACCCTGGATCTTTGTCGCAACGCTAGATGCGATGTTAATATCGTTCCCGGTGAGTACTAACGACGAGGATTACTCACTCAGCGTAGCCGCCTTGGTTCGTGGGCACGGGGGCACCGACACCCAGGCGGTTGGGCCAGTAGTTGACCTGGCCCTTGGTGATCTTGTGACGCATGGCGCCATCGCGGTTGTGGTTCATGACAGGGCACACAGGGCGATTGATCGGCAGCTCTTCCCAGTTCACGCCGAGACGGGAGATCTGCGTGTCGAAATACGAGAAGTTGCGGCCCTGAAGGAGAGGGTCGTCGGAGAAGCCGATACCCGGGACGATATGTGAAGTGCAGAAGGCGACCTGCTCGGTCTCCGGGAAGAACTCGTCGACGGTCTTGTTGAGCACCATCTCGCCGATGATCTCGAGAGGGACGAGTTCCTCAGGCCAGACCTTGGTTGCATCGAGGATATCGAAGTCGAAGTCGTGCTCGTTCGCCTCGGGGATAACCTGAATGCCGAACTTCCACTTGGGGTAGGCACCGGACTTAATAGCGTCTTCGAGATCCTTACGGTGGAAGTCTGAACAGGAGCTGATAAGTAGTCCGTACTGGCTACGGGAAGTAGAAAGACATACCAGGATCCTGACCGCAGACCTTCAGAGCCTCATCCCAGATAAAGCTATGGACGCCGAGCTCTGGAATCCAGTGGAACTTGACGAAGAATGTCTCGCGCTTCTCGTTGATGAGGGTGTAGGTATTGACACCGAAGCCTTGCATCATACGGAACGACCTGGGAATACCACGGTCGGACATAGCCCACAACACCATGTGAGCGGCTGTGCAAGCGAAGTCAACGACTCTGGATAGCCAGGCACACGGAGGGGACGTACATTCAGGCTGTAAACCAACGAAGTCCCAGAAGTTGTTGTGAGCGCTCTGGCCTTGAGGCACCTCATTGTGGGGTTCAGGCTTGACAGCATGGACGAAGTCGGGAAACTTGATAGCATCCTGGATGAAGAAGACAGGTATGTTGTTGCCGACAATATCCCAAACCCCCTCCTGCGTATAGAACTTGGTCGCGAAGCCACGGACGTCGCGGACAGTGTCCTATGACGTCAAGTCAGCACACCGAATGACTATATGCGTCGCCGAATGCGACTCACCGCAGATCCGCGCGAGCCCTGGACGGTAGAGAAGCGGACAAAGATGGGGGTTGTGCGCGACGGGTCGGTGAGTACGCCGGCGCTGGTGTACTTCGTCGCGCGGTCGTCGTAGACCTTGAAGTAGCCGTGCGCGCCAGTGCCTCGGGCGTGCACGACACGCTCCGGAATGCGCTCGTGGTCGAAGCGATGGATTTTCTCGCGCGCGATCTGGTCCTCGAGGAGCGAGGGCCCGACATGCGTGCCATTCTGGGCTTTTAGCCTGCGCGTGCGTCTCAGCCACAAGCGTGTCACGGAGAGAAGACGCGTGGGCACGCTCACCAATTGTCGGTATCGGAGACATAAATGCCGTAGTCAGTGGTGAGACCCTTGTTGGGCTTGTCGTTGGGGTCGATGGTGTCGCTTTGGAGATCGGCGACCTTTGCGGTGTCGGTGACGGAGGAGAGCATCTGCTTTGCGGCGCCGGAGATTGCACTGGCCATGGCGGGCGAGGAATGGCAGTTGGGTGTCCTGGACAGTGGAGGCCGCCATTATATAATAGGCCGGCGGGGAGACGGCGGTCGTGATCATAGGTGGCCGTTTGTCAGAGAGGTGGATGAGGACCAGCTCGACGCCGCCGTTGGTGCAAACGTCACCGTTGACGCACCGCCTGCCCGTTCAGGCAAGGGTCGGGGCTCGTCAGCCAGTCAGCGCACGCTCATTTCGCTCAGCCCCATCCCTGCGCGCTCGGGCTGAACCATGTTTAGCCTCCGCTTGTGATGCCTTCATGACGACGCAGTGGAGGCAAAATAATAGCATATCATGCAGTACATACATTTAGAAGCAATCATTACGCAGCCGCACATAAATAGTCAGGGCAGAACATATCTACACAACACAGCCGAGCAGGATGAGACGTAGGCCGATCATTCACACGCAGAACAGGTACCACGACATACGAGAACCTTCATCCACAGCTAGCACAGAACACGCGCATGTCAACGTAGACAGTAGGTAAGAGGTGATAAGAGGTAACATGGGCGGAAGGGACATGGGCAGAACACCGACCGACGCATGTATAACGTCGTCACAGTGTAGAGCACGTCGGTCGAAGACGACCACGATAGACCGACGACACGCTGGACACCATTCGGACGGACGCGAGTGTTGCTCGAACTGTCACCAACGCATAAGCACCTTGACATGAAGAACGGAGGAACAGTAACGCACGCAAACCATAGGAGGGTAGGAGCATAGTGAACAGCCATCGTCTACTTCTCGTCGCACTCGCACTCGCAGTCCTTGTCCTTGCCGACCCAACCTTTGCCGCAGTTGTCGCACCAGCCTCGGGGTCCCTTGCCAACACCAATAGACGTCGACGACGCCGGCATAGCGTCCGAGCGATGTATGGAGACGAGGTGGCGAGTCAGGTCGTGCTTACGACTGAACGACCTGCCACACGACTTGTGATGGCAGATGTATGGCTTAGCACGGTTGGGGTCGTGGGTCTGGATGTGCGTCTTGAGGTTGTAGGCCCTGGCGAAGGCTGGCCCGTCATGGTTAATAACAACTCACAACAACAACATAGCATGTACACGAGACATACCTCGAGGGCACGACGGGCACTGGTACTTCTTCTTCGAGTCCTGCGACATCTCGTCCATCTTCCTGGCCATGGGGGCACTGTTGAGCATGGGGATGGTGGGCACGCCGGGCACAGACGGCGAAACGTTCGACGGTGACACGGTCTGCTGGGACACGCCTCCGTAGTTAAACGACTTGCTGACCTGCGCTTGCGGGTAGTAGTCCGAAGCCGCAGAGCTAGCCATGCGGGCGTGCTGCGGCTGGGCGGGCTCATAGTCGGAGAAGCTCCCGCGCGGGGAGAAGTTCTGCGGAGAGTAGCGCGCGATGGGCATGCTCTTAGGCGAGCTGCGGATACTTGCGCTGGGCGAAGCGCTCGTGAACTTGCGCTCATCTTGAGCCGGCGCGGCAGAGCCGGGAAGACCCATGCGCTTGAAATCCATGTCGAGCTCCTGGGTGTACGAGTAGTTGCTCGCGGGATAGTTGGGCGTGGGAGACTGCGCGTTGAAACTGTATGCTGAGAGAGAGTCGGCGTAGCCCGAGTCATAACCTGACACCGACTCGGACGAGACGGTGAAGGTCGAAGGAGGGCCGCAAGTGGGAGTGTCGGAGCGCAGGAAGGAGAAGATGTCTCCAGTTGTTTCGATGGGGAGGAGACTGAGCTCGGCGTCGAACGCGGCAAGTGACGAGTCGAGCTCGGACTCGAACTGGTCGGGGTGGGGCGCGACGATACCCGTAGCCCCAGGACCGAAGTGGAAGAAATCGAAGTTCTGTTTGGAGTAGTCGACCTCGTCGATGGCGTAGGCGGTATTGTCCTCCTGCTGACCCTTAGCAGTCGCTGTGTACTGCAGCGGCGCAGCTGGGGCGTAGTACTGAGGAAAGTGTGTGTCGGGCATTGTTCTGCGGCTGCGGAGGCGTTATGTACTCTGGAAGGTGCTGGTTGAAAGGGAGATGAGGGAGGGAGGATATGTCGTGGAGGAGACAGAAAAGGGTGCTGCGCAACGGGGCGGCAGGACACGTACCATGCCGCACATCTCACCGTGTTCCCACCCCTTGTCGCCCGGCTTCTCCTGCCCGGGGCGCTGCAGTTCCCATATACGGCAGGGGCCCTGCCCCTCTCACGGACGCCGTAGCCGCTGGCCGCCCCAGCCAATCACACCCCCGCGCCCATCGCCCGCCACCGCGCGAGCTCGCGCGTCGACGACGCCCAGCGCTGCGCCGTCACCCGTCTGTGTCGTCGGGCCCGTGCCTTCCGCAGTCCCGAGCAGGTCCCGAGGCAGCTCTGACTCGACGAAGAACCCGCGTTGTCGGCCAAGTCAGCATCACCCCGTCAGCAGATGGGATGCGTCACCGAGTCCTGATCCCATCACCTGTCAACGACATCTCCTCACTGCACCGCGGCCTTCTGCATGCAGCTCGCAGACCGGTGAGCGTAGATGCATACGTGGAGTGCTTCACGCTGACATGTACACGCTCCCCAGCAGGCTAGCCTCCAAATAGTGACATTGCAATGGGGCTGCACACGAACCACAGAACGCGTCCGATCAGCGCCAGGCGCGCTATTTTTGGACCGGTGCATGCTGTGTTACTGCGCACACCGATACTCATGATCAAACTTCAAAGCAAGCGGTTCGTCTATTCCTTCCAAACGAGTATCTGCGCATTTCTAATTTTCGTACCAGGCTTGGGGTACATTGTCTGCACAATCGACCGATGCCTTTCGCTGGTGCTCCGTCCTGCCGATGATGACAGGACCGTGGCGTCAACGACTATGCTCGGCATAGTGTGTACAAGCAGATGAGTCCTTGCATACGATATTCACGGCTCCCGAAGACTCGCCTCGCCGTCTCCAACGTTATCCGCCGGTTTGGTTGCACCGCCGTGAGATCACCGAGAGTAGATAGTATCATGGTCCTCGTAAGTCCCTGCTCTTGTCACCATGTCTTTGGCAGCGTGTATCACCACGATGGTGGTCCATGACCCTGACCCTCTGTTTTGTAACCACAGACTTCTCTCCATGGAATGGAGACTTCTTATCCCCAGGTTCCTAATTGAAATACCGTGTCCTGGGCGCACTGTGCGTTCTCGTTCTTCGAAATTCACCGTGACCTATAGACGGGGTCAGACAAGGCACGGCTCTTTGTCTATCACCATGCCAATAGGTAGGGACGGTGGTGGGTGGGCTAAACACGCGGCAGCTCGGCGAATTGGCTATGAATTCCTCTTGTGGGTCAAAAATGAGCGGACACAAAGTGGGCTACACGAGTAGTTGGTTTCTGCGGTCGTGTCTTTTGATGACGACTATCAGTTTCCGTTGAGTTCCCCGAAGGTTCTATACGACTCGAACGCCCGTCCGACAGAATTTGCGCTTGATGCGTAAGCGCGACTCGGACATCTACAGAGGCGTGCTCGAAGGATAACTGCGGCAATGTAGTGGTGCGAGTACGCTGCGGTGCAAATCCTCGAGAACCGACGATCCGCGGCGCGCAGTACGCAGCGCACCTCGACGTTGTAGTAGTGGGTCCGAGCAGTGGAGAAAGCCCGGTCCTTCGGCAAAATTTGCCCGTGACTCAGTACACAAGAGTGGCCCATCTAATCGGCACACACATACGTGCATATGTGGTGATGATGAGGAATTTGCCGGCACATATGCATTGCTCAGCGGTCTGAGGTGCGTCTTTTGGCTTGACTCGCTGAGTTGGTTGGTGCTTACTAACAAACTCTTAGGATGCACAGCGATTCTTGCGGTAGCTCGTCGGAATAGCTGTCAAGTGCGGAGCCGGCTACGCCTCTCGACTCGAGTCATACGGATAGAAGCCCAGATAATTCAATCTTGTGTGAGTGTCGAATTTACACAGCCTCCGGTCAGAGTGGGCGCCTCCCGCTACTATCAAAACCACCAAGGCATTTGACAGATCCGCGATGCCCTCCACCGTAACTATTCGTCGACTCATCAATCCAGTTAGCGCCTCATCAATACCTGCGAGTTCGTAGTTTGACAAAGCTAGTCCTCCGGTGCATGTGTCTTCATGCAGCCATTCCGTCGCAGGATGCGATGCGCCTGCCTGTACGTCCCACCAGTTACTCTCATATACTTGATTTACCTTGATGAATGTGATGAACTGACTGTGATTGCACAGACCGACTCGATATGGGGAAAAACAAATCCACCTCTACCGGCTGGCAGACCACAAGCACGGCCACTGCACGCCGTTCTGGTCAGCTGCCTCAAGAACACCTTCCTGCAGACGGCACGCGGCAGCGAGTCTCGTGCAAGCAGTAGCGAGGATACGGACCAGGGTATGTGCTTGTACAATTTGCTGGCAAAACGGGCAAGCCTAGGCCGTAAAACGGACGGTTCAACGGTCATCTACCCGACAGCAACCCCACCAAAACGGTCGAGAGCAAGGACCGGGCCGCTGTGCGCCTCCATGCTGGATACTCGTGTGCACAGCCCCGTCAGTCGCGCCGCTACACGCTGCTGTCTGACGCCGCTCCTTGTTTCCATTGCAATACGGCCTCAATAGGAAGGATCCACTGGGGCGGAAGAACATCACAGTATGTGGCACACGGCCTTGTGTCAGCCGGCCGTTCCCCCCGATTTCAGTCGTCTGGGGCGACCTCTGGCGCAGACGGCCCGGCATTGTATTTTGGGACTCATTTCAGTCCTGAGCCCTTCATCGAGTTACCCAAGACGTACGGAGCTATCGATTGGTTGGTGATGTAGCACATATCATTGGACTGGCTGATCTACCTTGCAATAAAGCGCAACAGTCACGACGGCCTTCATTGAGCGCTCGACAACCCCGCGAGTTGTACTATCCCTGAGGCCAGTAACAATCACAGCTTCATACTTTCTCGGCGTGTGAGGATATGACCCACTAATTCATCATTCATGTGCAAGGAGACATGCAGCCGAGGTCGCCGCTGTACAGGTATCACGACAACGAATCTGTCAAGCATCCGTGACTTCTTCCAGTGCGTGCCCGCAAGTACTATTATAGCTGCCTTAATACTAGTAGCGCACGCTGGCGAGTCGCAGACTGACGTATGGGATGAATAATTTGGAACCTTTCTTACAGAGCAATAACGCACGAAGTCTGCAATCATCAATGTCCGAATCGGAGGATTCATATAAGTACGTGTTGCGTGCGCAGGTCCAGTCGATGGTCCGAGTTGTCGTCTCCACCGGAATGAAGCGAGACACTGTCCTGGCTGTGACCCTCGTCCCAAAACAACTGACCGCATGCAGCTCCAGGTCTGTACGAGGTGTTTCTCGCACGGCGACGATTTTTTGTTACCTCTTGGCTAGTAACTCCCACTATAGAACTACTAGTACTGTGTTCTCCCATGGGTGACTCTCCGAATCATGATGCTCTTTGTGTCTTGCATATGCAGGAGATGGCAGACAGTCTGCTTGCAGTGAATTGAGCAGCTGTAATAATGTTGGACGACTACATGCAACCCAGCGGATGTCGTTGGACTTGATGCGCAGCCTGACTGAAATGGCCCTCTGGCAGGCTCTGCTGATTCGACTCGAAAGCTGAAGAAATCCGTATTTGGAAGATACTTAGATACTTTTTGTACAGTACCCCACAACTCGCAGCTTTCAGATGCAACCCGCTTCATACAATTTATACACAAGATACTGATGCTCTATGCGATTGAGCTAGGCTGGCAATGAGAGCAAACAGCTTAGGGCAAGGTATAGCTATGGCTGAAGTAACTTCAAGTTAGCGACTCGGACGGGCGTCTCAGACCACGGCCTGCGCCACCGGCTGCCACTGCCGCCAGTGAGCGCCATTCGGAAAACCTTGTCTGACGCGCCCCCGCGCGTGAGAAAATTCAAATAAATCAAGAAAATCACGAAAATGCGGAAAAGTCTAGGAATCACGATACACGTACCGTAACCACTGTAGAACACCATGTACACCCTGTTACAGGTTCGGGGTGTATGTGGCATGTCTGTCGAAGGCAAGTCGAGGGTCTTTTGAAGGTTGTGCGATGGTCGACGTGGCGGGCGCTAACGCCGACTCCCCGAGGAGCATCCACTGCAAAATGCAGATGTGGGTGTTATCGGGTGCTCGATATGGCCCGAGATGCGTACGGAGTACAGCTGTACTGATGTAGTTCTCAATGTAACAGAGGCAGTAGCTTGTGGGACAATGATAACCAGGAAGACTCGGGGCCGCCTGGCGCTCAGCCTCAGTTACTATACAGTGCCTGGCAATTTTCAACTTCAAGTCGAAGTTGGGCCCGACATCGGCATGGGCACAGTATATCGGATTGTAAGTAAGCACTGTATGGATATCGGAGCGAGATTCGAGGAAGCCGAGACCTCATTCAGCCCTGTCTTCAATGACAAATTCCTGTGGCCTTGAAGCTTCAAGTTCATGGCCAGCCGGAAATGCGAACGTGGAGTCGCGGCCTTGGGACTCATGGTGAAATAACACAAACTCTCCCTTATTGAAGAGAACAAGACTTGAAGATATAACCTGAGTACTAGTAGGCCATCTCAGGGCAGCACTGGCAACTTTGCGAGCACTTCGGAGGCAAATCTTTGACCTGGCTGCCCATGAAATGCACAACTGTGTTCCTCTCAGGTTGTGTCTATCTAGTAACCATGTCTCCCAGTCATCACGCATACTCTCCGGGTCATATTGAGTACCCACAGCGGTGTTCTGCAGTGGATGCTCCCCGGGGAGTCGGCGTTAGCGCCCGCCACGTCGACCATCACACAACCTTCAAAATCACCCTCTTCTTGCCTTCGATAGACATGCCGCATACGCCGCGAACCTGCAACAAGGCGTACACGGTGTTCTATAGTGGCTACGGTGCGTGTATCGCGATTCCTAGACTTTTCCGCATTTTCGTCATTTTCTTGATTTATTTGAATTTTCGCACGCGCGGGGACGCGTCAGACAAGGTTTTCCGAATCTGCTGTACCTACACTGAGACTGGTTTGTTTTGCAGAACCGTTCCTTGACCATTTCTCTACTCACTTCTCGAGATCTACTCTCACAACCCAACATCTTATTGATACCCGCGAGTTTGCCTGAGGACGTCGCACGACAGCAAAGATGGACCTCAACGATCTGCACCCGCCCGACGACTACAGCCACAGGTTCTTCATTTGGCATGAGTGGATCCAGGTTTCCGATATCTCGTTGTCTTTGCTTCCCAAATGTCACTAAATATGGAGCTCTTTTTAGGCAAACGGGCCTCTCACAAATGAGAACGTCTTTGACTACTTTGCTACTTCGATGTTCTACGACAAGCAAAGCAATAACCAGGTACTACGCATGCAGACCATGCATACCGGCGTGCCTCTGGAGAATGAGGCGGAGGAGTTGCGGTTGGTATGACACTTACAGCAGTCTTCCATTGGCTAAGTTCTATATGAAGGCGATTCACGGGTATTGAGTTCGCTCTGGTTCATTCTCAACCACCTGGTCTCTTCACTATTCACAAGCGCGAACGGCTATCGCCAGACGAAGGTATACTTGACGTCCATGAGACGTTGGGCTCATTTCACTGATCGCGACGCACCCCAGTTCGACCATTGGCGGCCTATTTCATCATGAACAATCGGATCTATCAGTCTCCAGACGTCTACAATCTGGTTTCCAACCGCCTGGTTGGTGCGACCGTTGCCATCTGCGCCATATTGAACTAACAAACTGCTGCTCAGCTTACCTCATTGCAAGCACTGCAAACCTCGCTGGACATCCTGCGTTCCCGCAGACCGAGCTATACTCCTCGAACCGGATTTGTCTGGCCGATCGTCGAGGCGTCCGATCCGTTGAAACGGGCAGCAGAAAGTAATGATGAACGTGCGGCCACTCAAAGCACCGAACCCCAATCGCAAGATCAGGAGCTCTCTTCATCGCAGTCCAAACGCATCAAGCCCTCAGCGAACCCTCGGCATCAGAACACACTACTGCTTGTCAATGCCATACGGACGACTGCACTGCACGCGACAGAATCCTTCACGTTGCCTACCGCCGAACCTCCTGACAGCGCACAGGCCGCACCTGGAAGTCAAACCCCTGGTGCCGGTCCTGGTCCCACGCCAGCGGCGAGAAGTGCCGCAGCCACCCCGGCGCCCGCAACGAGGGGAGCGACGCCGATCAGTAATAAGAGAGCGGGCTCGCCGCTGGAGAGGGAGCCTACAAAAGGGCAGCCAGGGGCTGGAAAGAAGAAGAAAAGGAGTAGGTCGATATGCATAGCTCATCGTGAGCCGCGAGCGTTGATGACTGTCCTGTGTTAGGAACTGCCACCGCAAGCAGCACCTCATAATAGGTTGGTGCGTATTCGATCCGCTCATAGGGACCGGACATCGCTGCGAATACCTACACGTTGCCTCCGGATCTCGCGTCTTATAGTACGATCGTCGGCCACACTGCAGGGGATTCTGACAACTTCGACCCTCCTGTCGAAGGGAGGCAAGGCATCGGGTGTAATTTGGTTCTTTTGTGACACGAAGGAACCAGTCATCAGCGCACTTTAATGTGGGCTCAGATCGTGCTAAATTGCGAGCGACGGACTGCATTCTGAAACGCGACCTCGTGTAAACCAGTCATAAGGACAATGTTGCGAACATACGACTTATGCAGATCTCTGTACTTGTACATCCATAGCTTCGAATAGGGTGAGTCTTCGTCGGGGCTTACTTTGTGCCTACACCCGCTAGCCTCTCTGTCAACCAACCAAGACTAGGCAAGCCACTGCCTCTCGACCCTCCCCCGGCGACGCCGGTACCTAATGATAGCGGGTTGGCAGACGCGAACGACTCTTTCCGTGCTTTTGCCGCTTTTTGAACTTTGTAGCGTGTCAGATGCTGGGACAGGCCATGCTTCACTGCATGAGAAGGACACACACCTTGGTGATCAATCTCTTCTACATTCGTCTCAAGCACTAAGCCGCCCTGGATAACCTCGGAAAGGATATGGTGGACCTATACGCCGTAAGATGATTGGACTGTACAAACCGCTAGAAGGCATGCTGACCTCATCGAAGTGGAAGACGAGGTCGAGCTCGCACACATTCTCAAAAGTTCTGTCCAAAGACTCCACGAAGACCTGTTCAATTCTCAGCACTGTGTGTACAATCGAGGCATTACGAGATGGCTTTACCTGTATAAGGTCCAAGACACCTAGCTCGCTCTCCGCACTATCCACGACGAAGACGAAGTAGAGTGTTGCATAATTCCGGTACACGACCCTTAGCTTCTCGCCGTCTGCGTCCTGGGCCGTCAAGAAGCTCTCGAGTTCTGGTGCGTCTAGGAAGTTGCAAAGGCCGGGTGCACGCGTGGACACAAGGGAGAAGATCTTGTGCACAAGTGTTTGTGACGAGCGATGCAACGATGAGTAGAATTTGCTCAAGCGGGGCACGCCTGAAGTGTTGACTACGACAGACGGTGAGTAAGGGTGAGAGTGCCACAGGAATGCGGAAGCGAACAGATGAGCACCGCGTGGATCATATTCCGCCCCTTTGTGGATAACCGTGGCTATACCTTTGAGCTAAAGCAAGCCTAGGAGCCGCGAGCAGCAGGAGACAGCCGTATCGTCTTCGTGTAAGCTATGGGCAGCGTGGACCGACGGTGGTAGCATCGTGCGCTGGATTAGGAGACTGTGGCAAGTTGCAGTCGCGCGTGTGGCGCACGATCGCTTCACTAAGCGCCCATCGGTCGGACAACAAAGTAGTTCGTCGTTCAAATGTTTTCTCCCGGACATCGTCGCGATATTTCGGTTGCTGTGTGACTCAATAGTATAACAATACTACAGTAACCACACCGGGTACCTAATTGATACCCAAATCGAATCTGTCGGACCTCTGACCATGGTAATATCTACTAGGCTGAGGTACGCGCATTCAATGCGCCGAGCGGCTGTGATACTGCTGTCGACGAGTTGGAAACAGCGAATGCTGCTGTAACATAGTCGGTTGAAAGACAGCGCTGCTCAGCTATGACCAAGGCGTTCGAAATGATAGCTCAACATTTTGCGCTTGCAAATTATGTGAATAGATTTGATCCTCCGGCATCCCAGCAGTCCTGTACGCGCAGAGCGCTGTACCGACCTCGTTCCCTAACGCATCCGTGAACATGCAGAGCCCTAGCTTCGCTCCGAGTGGTGATGGACTCCATCTATGAGAGCTGTCGAGCGGTTGACATGATACAGTTACAGTGAGATTGGAACAACTTTCACTGACGTCTTACCAATCGCGAGCGAATGAATCATCTTTGAGATGGAACACTCGATACACCAATTATAGATGAGGCACCAACCGTTGTCCAGCAATGTAGATGCAGATGTCGTCAATCAAATCAAGGTCATGACAGCAATTGGCAATGCAGGAGACTCTGAATCTCATCAACTCATACCACGCAGAGGGAGTGCCCACTATAGTAGAGCAGCTTGGACACATAGGTGCAGCACTGTACGACTTACAGGAATTTGACATTCAACGTGATTAATCAATAGGTTTCGCGTCTGCTTGACCGCAACTGCAGATTCGATACTTATAATTCCCCGCGCGTAGGTACACAGAGATGCTAACAACAGAAAAAGATAGCAATGTTTAATTGACAATCTTTGAAACAGCGCGCAGAGACTCACGTTTAACTTCGAAGCGTGCAGTCGCCTATGTAGCATTGTCCGGCAATTATATCCATACCTACATACGTGAGACACGTCAGCACTGCTCACTCTACTAGAGTCAACTAGGAACCCCTCAACAGACTCACCAACAATTTTCCATCTCAGGCGCGCCACCTAGCAGAACGCAAACCAACAGTCAGCATCTTCCCCGGTCCCCATGCTCAGACTCCCGGCGGAACGCACCTTCTCGCTTCTTCGCGTACCACCACCGCCACAGCCTTTCTTTGAACAGCTCGCGTACGCAGTCGAGACAGTACCACCCGTCCCTCGTCCACGTCCCCCCGCCATCCACGTCGGTCTCGATCATCTCCTCCATCAGCTTCGTGATTATCTCGTCTGCCTCCGCCCTACATGTGCCTCTAAAATAGTGCTCAGAGCCAAGGCGTTGGAGCAGCGGTGTCGTCTCGATGTCGTTCCGTGGAAGATGTCCTGGGAGCAGCGTTGTGAACTCAAAGAGCGAGATAAATCCACGGATGAGGGGCCAGTCTGGTTGGTACATGCCATTAGCGGGCGTGGAAATACCACCGCATAGGACGGCTTACTGGTCGCTCCCCAGAGGTCAATTCCCCTCACGGCGTGGCATCGATCACCTGTGGGTATGCATACAACATTGACTGACGAACGAAGGAGAGATGGATGGGAGAGCTTACAGCTGTCATTTGCCCCGACGACTTCTCTAGTGATTGCGTCGGCAAGCCTGTCGTCTCGAGTTTTCTGGTTGAGACCCAAGCGTGTCACGGCCCGCTCAAAAGACGTCCAAAAGAGTCCTGAGTCCTCAGGTTGGGTTATGGCCAGCTTCTCAAAATCCTCCATAATTGATCCGGGGCCCAGGCATGAGTGATCCAGATGCCAGTTCGCTGCGAATTTAGCGTGTTAGTTCCATAAGCAAACAGGAACCGCAGGACGCGAACAACTCACGTATCATAGGGTGATTATGCGCCGCATTCGCAGCTGTGTAGTTGCACTCGTGCATCTCGGCGCAGAACGCGGCAGCAGCGCCCACCTCAAATAGATCGTCTGCAGGTAGCAACTCGAGGAACTCGTCTGCTGCTCGCTGCCGCGCAGCCTGACGGTCATCGTAGCGGTAATCGTCGCGGTCATCGTCTTCCGACGGGGCATAGCATTCGCAGAAAAGCCAAAAACGGTACATCCCTCGCTTGAAGGGCAATGCTTCGTCGGGTGTAAGCCGACTTGCAGAGGACATGCGGTCCTTGTGCCTGCAGATGGCTCAACATCGCGAATTCGAAGGGTTCGTTAACGAAAGTAGATACTACCTCCTGCTATATATGTCTTGCATCGAGCGAATTACCTCGCCATGTTCCTCCAACAATTGCGCTTCCTCACGAGTCAATGGCACTGCTAGCATCTCCCCTTCTGGAGGTTCCTGAGGGACCACGATTTCGTTCTCATCCTCATCTTCGGGCTCGGTTTCATCATCTTCGAGGTTACCCTTGATGACTTTCCGCACTAGTCTCAGAGCAGCAGGCAACACCCCGGGGTGGCCACATGCAGTCTCTGCGATCTTCCTCGTGATAGACTTTGGATGCGCATCGAGGATGCCGTAGAGTTGCTTGGAGGTACGGATGGTGGCCGCGAGTGTCTTGAAATCCGGCAGTCGTCTGAGAATCTGGTCGAGTACATCTTCACTGAGGTCGGAGAACGACATCACACGGGTGTTCGAGCTGAAAGGCACTGCATTCGACATGGCGGTCCAGAGTGATGGCCCCTAACGAGGGGCGGGTCTTATGTGTGTGGCGGTACCGTGTCTACTGCCGCATTGGGCGGCTCTGTCGGGGCCGAGACGGAGGTAAGAACAGAGATATAGTTAACCGTGGGATAAGGGTGATAATGTGGGCGTTTCACGTGCGGATGGCTGCCAGATTAAGGCATGCTGACGGGATATGGTTGCTTGGCAGGCTGATATAGCGGCGATATGCCTATTTCTGGAGTGAGACGCGTAATTCCCGGACGCAGGTGGACGAGCCAAGCCAGTCTGCTGTGCGCGGTGGGGCCGCTGCTGGTTCGCTCTCTTCGGTGCAGTGTACGCGCCGACGCAGGCGTACACGGGTGTGGGAGCAGGGAGGGCGTGGCGGAAGAGGGAGAGCTGGACTGGAGGTGGCATTTTTGGAGGCGAAGGGAGACAGCTTGGCACTGGGGCGGCCGCGAGGTGACGGGTGCGAGGAGAAGGGGACGCGCTGATTGGCGGGCGGGGAGCTTGGGATGTTCTTGGAGGGGGGCGCCTGGGGCGTTGCGGGACCGGGCGATGCTTGGCACTCCCCGATTTGGGATCCCAGTCCTAAGAATGGCCCACACGTGATGCCAAGCCAGCCCGCAATTATAGCCCGCTATTCCTGGCCTCCTCGCAGCCGCACTCCGTCTCCGACATCCTCTCCTCCTCAGCGTCCCTCAGCCACCACACTCGCCGCTGCCCTCTCCTCCCACCAGCGTCCATGCACCCCCGCCTCTTGGCCCAAACAACCGCCAACATGCGCCCAGCAGCTGCCACCAGCAGCCTCTGCGCCGCGAAGCATGAGAGAGGAAGACGGCGACGTGGCGGAAGAGTGTCTGGGTGTCTTGGCAGAGCTATAATTACATGTCGCGAGTGCTCAGCCGCAGAACGTCAAAGATAGCCAAATGTCCTTGGCCTCCTCCTCCTCGCTATAAGTACGTCCGGCCCTCGCCATGCACATCGAACGCCCACCGCATCGTCCCTAGCCCCGCCCGCCATGAACGCCCTTCCGTCCCCCCAGCCTGCACACCGCCCCCATTGCTCCGACGCCGCCACGGACACCCTTCTCGGTGCCGTTTGGCAATCCCTACAGCAGGTGAGCAATGTGCACGCCAAACATCCGTTCCACAGCCTAATGTCGTTCTTCAGTCACCGCCGCCGAGCTTGCGCGACATCCTTGACGCCTACCGCGCAAAAGGCGACGGCGACAGAGACATGCTCATCGCCATGCTGAACGCCAAGAGTGCCGAGGACCAGGTTAGTTCCCACCTCGTGTAACCCGACCTTGGCTTCGTGCTCATGATTCACCCTCCAGCGAATGGCGTCCCTCGCTTCTCTGCAAAAATCGATGCTCGACTTGTATCAGCCTTCTTTGCGCCAGCCCCAGATTCAGGCTGTCCCGCCATTACACATCGCCGACTCGTCGCATGCGCATATGCATTCTCACTACGCGCACTCGCACCGCTCACGCTCTCCTTATCATCCCGTCCACCACTACCAAGCCTCAGCACCACACATGCCATCCCCGCCTCCCTCATACCATCACCATCCGAGCCGCTCGCCACCCCCGCACCCGCTGGAAGAGCGTGGTCGATCAACGGTCATGCCTGATTTGCACGAGCCTTCGGATGTTTCACCGACCTCACGCAAGCGGCGACGGACTCGCTCTCCTGTCCCCGCGCGCGAGCATGCTCACTACCGTTCGCAAGATCGGGACCGTGACCTCCCTCTGCCACCCTCGCCGTACAGTTCGTCTTCGCAAAGCAGCGGTGGTTCACCGCGCTCACGAGATAGCATGGCCATTGGCGCACTCCTTTCTGCCCGAGGCGACGACGGCGCGCGAAGGTTGAGCTCAAGCTCTTCAGCGAGGGATCATTCATGACTTCACGATTGCTCTGAGCGGGCTTGAGCCGGTTTTTTGCTGCCATGACTGCTGTCGTTGCCTTCTATCTTACCAGACAAGGCTACGCGCTCAGGCTGGTGTGTGTATTTGCGCGCCCGCTCAAGTCCGTCGTACCTATCTGTGTGTATGTCTGTTGCGGGAAACTCGTTTCACGCATGTACTGTACGGCTCGTATTGTATGGGCTATCGTCCTGACCCCTTGTTGCCGTAGCTGTGACTGCCTATCCATCTATCATACTGTACATTATTGTCACCTTGCCTCCCGCTGTCCTGGTATTGTCTTGTCCTCGTGCCTCTGTCGTGTAGTGATTCTGGTAATTCCAGGTAGTTCTGATACCGCTGCAGCATTTTCGTTTACGAAACTGAATTTCCATGCCGTTTGCGTGATTCTAGCCATTTCTGTGGGTGCCTTAAGGTCTTGTCCCAACCTGGAGGTTCCTCCAGGCTGATGTCGGCGCTGCGAGTCTTTGTTTGAATCCTTTTATTGTCCTCGAGGGCCGAGCCCTATGTAGACATAATTCTAACGGTACGTAGTATGAGTCGGCGCTTGCAGAGTCAGGCTAGGCATATGCTGCTGCGAGTGTTGCCGGCGGGGAACTGCACGTATACCGATAGATCGAACTTTCGGACATGAGAAAACGGCGGCCCGGAAGAACGTCGTGTGGTGCACATTGCATCCCACTCGCAAAGGTCAGACTCGGAGAATAAGCTGAGGTTCCATGATCTGCCTGGCACGCACATGCACATGTCGAATATGCCCTTTTTTGCGCGACGTCGCCGTCCAACTTCCGCAGCTACTCTTACCCCATCCCGTAGGGTTCACCGTCGATACGTCGATACCTCAGGGCATCTCGGACATTGTCAGAAGTAGTGGCGCTGGCAAGAATATCCTGTTGTCCCAGGCCGTGAACTTGGATCCGGGGCCCGGTTGCCACCTCTCAGGGTCCTCAGGCCTCAGGCGGCCAGCTCACGGGCAGGAAGAGGAGAAGACTCGCAGGGCCTATTCATGGCCCGACCGCCAAGGCCTTGTCCTCAGTCGAGAAGTGCTCACTCTATACGAGCGTGACCGGGAGAACGGCTATTCACAGTTTGGTCGGGGAAACAAACTACTGATATAGCACAGAATGACATCTGGGAAGGAGCGTTGCCGGGGACAGTTGCACAGAGTCTAAGCTTGACGCGGAAGGCAACCCTGTGAGGACATTGCTTGGACTGTTTCGACGCCGGCGTCCGAGTAATTCAATGCGATACGCATGCACATATCTGTATCAAGGCCATACGTTTCAACGTTTCAACGTTCAACCTTGAACTTCATTGCATCGCCGACTTCTGGCCGACTGGCTCGAGAGCTAGAAACACTAACACAACCAGAAACTGGCCACCCAATAGGACGCGTCGTGCCATACGTAAACCCTTAGATAGCGTCATAAACATCGTGAACGGCTCGTGCAGCCATCCCACATGCCTGTTGTGGGACGAACATAAGAGACAGGGCGCGCGGCAAACACGTCTTGGACGCTCCAGAGGGCAGCGACCAATAGATATGAGATACGGTACCTCTTCCACTTAGAAGCGGAAGAGGCGTGAGCGAGCGCGTGCGATGGGCGTCGGCTCAGGGAAGTCGCGCGCTACCGCTGCGCTGGACGAGCAAGCTCCGTCGTCGACCCACACGCCAGCGGACCCTGCTGAGCTGTATCAGAACACAACGTCAATGTGTAGCCATAGACGGCTGGTACGTACCTCCGGGCGTATCGCCCTCCGTCCACCACTGGGCAGTCCACAGGTTGCCGCTGCAGGGTCGAGCGTGACAAGGGTTTGGAGAAGGGCAGACGGTGCACATCAGCACACCATCGAGCCTGTGCGAGGGCGGAGGACGCACTTGTAGGTTACTTGCGAGCCACCCGTGTATGCCGTGCCGCTGGACCACGTAGATATGCTTGCGCAGTTGCCTGTGCCGGCGGTCGCGGTGGAAGAAGCTGCGCTTGTCGTACTCGTCGACGAAGCAGACCCGCCAGAACATGCGCTGCCTATTAGGATGGAAATGTGTGAGAAATTCGCGTCACGTCGCATCAGGATGGATGACATACGGGGTGACCAGTCACCCTGGTAGTTGGCAGTCGGCTCATCAGAGGCATAATATTTTGACTGCGATGAGCAGCATCTGAGAGCCCGCGTATTGACAGAATGTCAGACCACACACCTCCCAAATGTAGCCGTTATAAGATACATTTGTGCCTCCGGGATAGTTGGCGCCACTCTGCCATTCTTCTGCATCACAAGGAGGATAAGTGAACCCAGTGCCTCCAGCAGCCACCAGTGCCTTTTTGATAGCCAAATCGTAACGATCGTTCTCTGCCGATCTTATATTAGCTACATTCCGAGCGATGTCACGCATAGCACTCACGGTAGGCTTGAGATGCATCCCACATCATAACACCGCCGAACGACGGGAAGGAATTGCGCGTTGTAACCGCGTACTCCGCAAGCGCGTCGGGGGTCTGGTATCCTGTTCCCGCAGCGGTGGTAGAGGCAGGGGCGCCAACAAAAATCTTGACGTTCGGGTTCAGACTCGTCTGTTGCGCCCAGATATCCCTGAAGTCGTTGGTAACATGCTCGACATAGTCCGCTTCAACACATGGCAATGTAATACAACTGACCAGATCCCATAGTCCCACCCCGAGGCCTCGTCGAAATTCTGCAGACCACATGGATTGTTGTCTGCGATAACAGCACTTCAGATTCCAATGGGCCTCAGGGCAGCGAGGCCACGGGCATACTCACAGAACTGCACGTAGACCATATCGAACCATGAACTGTTCAGTGCATTTCCCAAATACTCATCGGGATATTCGCATTGAGGAGCTCCGCTGATGTAGTAGCTGGAGGGATGTCAGGTATCGCCGACCTTGCAGAGAAGTAACATCAATGCCGACCTCTTGTCTGCGCTGGTGAAATGAGTGCGGAGCTGCGTATTGAAGGCCGCATAACCCGTTTCCGAACCCCCTTCGATGTCCAGGTCGACTCTATCAGTAGATTACGAGTAAGAACCACCTCCAGAAGGGGGTACGCAATGGCATGGATACATACCCATCCAGCACAACGCTACCAAACGGGCGGTAGTCGCTTGATCCTCCGAGGAAGAGGTTCCAAATTTGGTCCGCGAAAGACTCGGCTTCGGAGTCGTCAGTAAATCCGACGCTGGCCCCTCCGCCGCCTAAGCTAATAGTTACGGCCTTGCCCTGATTCTGGCAGTATTCGATGTCCGATGCCAGGAAAGAGCAGTCCAAGAGGTTGGTGCCGTTGAAGTACTCGGCATTGGTAGTATTACAGGTCTACGGCCCGGTGTAGGTCACGGCGACATTCATCATACATGACTGTGCTGGAATACGTACGTTGGCCAAGTTGAGGACGGGATAATTGCCAGTGCCGAAGAAGTCGTTGACGAAGGCAATCGGGATCACGTCGATCGCGTCGTCCTTGTGAGGATCTTCCGGTGAGTAATGGACGCGATGTGATATGCCAGGGTCGAGACACACCTGGCAGTAGTATGAGATTGGCTGCTGGAAATTGACATAGTCCGAATGAGTCGCCCCATAGGAATCCTGACCCCAGTACCTGAGGTTCTTGCATTGAACAAACCATGCTATGCCACCAAAGGCAACGCACTCACACAGCGACCTGAGAAAATTCACGAGAAGACGGGGTGGGTTTGACGTAAGAGATGGATGCAGCCTAGGCAGCTGCTCAGGAAGACTTACATTGTCCCGAAGAGAAAGGTCGAACGCAGCCGCTCCGAGGGAGTGCGACCCGACGAGCAGCAAGCTGAAAGCGGATACGCAGCGGAGAGGGAACGAGCGAGTCATCCTGGTGTGCAGGTGGAGGATTAGCAGCAGGGCCGACCTACCACACGATCTCATCGAGGACGCAATATATACCATGGCGGCGCGCCGAGCGGTCAGGTTGCCGCAGCTCTCCCGATTTACTTGCAGAGCTGAGAAGACCTTCCGGGGAGAAAGCAATGCAACGCATATAGACACCAGGCGTATCGGCGGCTTATCACACGGTGAGAATGTGCATCCTACACGCGGTGAGAAGCGTGTTCAGCGCGGCGAACAGGAGATGCATCAGTGCAGCAGAAGCAAGCATACGGCAGCATTGGCGGCGCAAGCACTGTGGCACAGAGCAAGCATGTGGCGGGCGACACTGCAGGGTCACGTCCGGGGCCACAGACTGGCGGCAGAGATCCTGCGGAAGACTCCACATGCACCGATCAGTTGGCTCGTTCCGGGAACTACACCTTGAAAGCTTGATCGAGCAAGTTCACCGGAAGCGGGCACGGCGTGCAGGCACATCCTGAATGAGCACGTGGATCTTGTACGTTCGGCAGGCGGTACGCATTGATTATCTTCTAGCTATCTGGCGCTTGCATGAGCCCTCTACAAACGACGAGTCATACCATCGTTCACAAGAGAAGGAAATCCGAAGCGAGCCAGGTGGTCTTCCGCAAAGCCGGTGGGAGGGACGCCTGCAAGGTAACATTACAAACCAGTACATTAGAACAGCATCTCGTCCGCAGCAGTACGACACGACAGCGGTCTACATAGATCACAGCTTAGCTGGCGGAGACCTGGCCCGTCCAGGTCATGAGACCGAGATAAACTTGGCTGCTATGCCGGAGAACCGTCGCTATCGGGATCGTGCACGCTGGCGTTTCTCACAGGTTCTGGGAACAATGTGAGTCCGACGGGGGGCATACATACATGAGAGTGTTGCAATACCAAAGTAGGGGTGTGCTTGTGCTTCCCGCGCAGTGAGTCGCTCCTGGTGATCGTACCGGAGCAGCTTGTCCAAGAAGTCTATGGCTTCGTTTGATATGTATCGCTGGTTCTCCGACGTAATAAACCGCGACCACGCTTTCTTCGGGTAGCTGAATCCCACGCATAAGAGCCACTGATGAGACGCGTCGGGCAACATGCACTCACTTCCCAAGTATCTCATCGTATTGCGGATCCAGCGCAATGTCGTATTTCTCGATATACTGATAGAGACCTTCTGTGCCAAGCACCTTTGTGATCTTGACGAGCTGGTCATAATTATCATGGCCGTGGAAGAAGGGCTCCTTCCTAAATATCTGCAACACACCAGGTATAAGTAATGCGCCTACGGTCTATGTTGACAATATACCATGGACGCGAACATGCAGCCGTAGCTCCACATGTCAAGACTGTAATCGTACTCCTGGAAGTCGACCAGCAACTCCGGGCCTTTGAAGTATCGTGAAGCCACTCGCACGTTGTATTCCGTCTTCGGATGGTAGAACTCGGCCAGACCCCAGTCGATGAGGCGCAACTTGTGGCGCGTGAGTCTTCTCAGTCGTAGATGATGACAAGACGGGCACACTTACCTTTCGTCGTTCATGATCAATCATAACGTTATGAGGTTTCACGTCTCGATGCATAATACCCTTGGAGTGGCAGTAATCCAAGGCCTGCAGAGGACGCGAGCGTGAGAAGGGGCAAGGATGAAGGGAAACAACCAACCTTGAGCAGTTCAAACATATAGAATCGCACATCGAAGTCGGTGAACCGAGGATAAAGCACCTTGAAGTCGACATTGTGCACGTATTCTGTTATCAGACTGGGTATTTTTGAGGATGGGTCGCGGACGACGTCCAGGAGAGCAACAACGTTAGGACCGCCAGCCAAGTTTTGCAAGATCTTGATTTCTCGCTTGATCTTCTTCTTCTTCACCGGCTTTAAGACTTTGATGATACATTTCTCGTCGTTCACTATGTTGATTCCTTCGAAGACCTATACCGTCCTCGCACGGATGTCTCGGCTGTGTTTGTGGAAGAGTACAACGTACCTCGGAGTACTTTCCGCGGCCCACTTTCCGGACAATCTCGTAATGATCCTGAGAGCCCCATTGAACCTGCAGGTTATCTTTCTCCCTCGCTTAGGTGCAAACAACTAGGACAAGAGCGGATAGAGGCGGACCATATTCATGCCATGAGGGCCCTAGCTTCGCGTTCACGTCAGCATACACGCGAGCGACAGACTTGGTTGGCGTTCGACCCATGGGCGTGGTATGCAGACTTGGAGTTATGCGCCAGGGCGCGAGGTGGGTGTAGGGATCGAGTGGTATTGAAAGTCTAGCAAGACAAGAGCATTGCGACGACGGCGTGCAGCATGATCGCATTTGCCGCACAGTTCTCACGCCTTTGATCGCTATCACCATCTGTAGATCTCAGCCTCCTCGAGCGCCCGCATCCACAACGGCACCATCGAGAGCAGCCGCCTGTGACCTTGCCAGTTGCAGCCACCGCACACGCCTTGCGCGGTACCTCCATCCTCCGGGTGCTCCTGCTTCCGCGCACCGTCATGCGATGAAGTCTCTCTCGCCCCCTCCCCACTGGCCCGACGGTGTTCTCTATATCGCAGAGTCGCAGTACCACTCGTCCGTTCCGGCCGACCTGCGTCTGGAGCTATGTCGCAAAGGAACAAGTCCATCGGGGAAGCAGTCTTCCCAGCGGCTCACTGTCATCCGGAGAATCACTGAAACATCACATCCGGCCTGCGGACAACTTGGCCTCTTTGCGGCCAAGAAGATCTCTCCGCACACCCACATCGTCGATTACATTGGGGAGGTCCACTGCGATGACAGACCTGAATCAGACTATGACCTGTCGCTGTATCGTCCATCTTCCGGGCTCAACGTGGGCGTTGATGCTCGGCGCATGGGAAATGAAGCGCGGTTTATCAACGACTACCGGGGTATCAAGTCCAAGCCGAACGCCTTGTTCGAAGAGCGTCGAGCTGAAGGTGGCGAGCTGAGAATGAGCGTATGGACCAGCGGCGACCCTCTCAGGAAAGGGGAGGAGATTCTTGTCTCGTATGGTAAAGGATGGTGGCAAGCACGCTCTGGATAATCTAGTGCCTAAGACTGCTGACTCGAGAACAACAAAGGTGCGCAAGCAATGGACGTCCAAAACGCAGCACGGACGTGTGGTGTTGTATTCTAACGTTATTGAGCTACAGCGCTTGGAGACCATCGTCTGACTCTGTGTCCAAGAAGGCATACCGTCTCGGTTCTTCACGGGGTACGGTGTGTGCTGTGTGGTGTATGGGACCAATCATGTACTCGTATTCAGTGCCATTTGCTTGCTGTGCGCCGGTCACTAGTTCTGAAATATGACGAGGTACACCGTATGTATGTTTTTGTCGAAGACAACTCGACAAACCCGCAGAGAAGCGTCTGGAAGCATTCACGTGCCCGTGGGAGTAGCGACATAAATTTGAGTGACCGTGTCTGACGTGCGCAACAACTGATCCGGATTCTGCCTCTAAGTGCTCTGCTATTAGTTAGACATCTCATCCCACCTCCATGCCCCCTCGCTTGTCTCCTGCTAGAGTCCAGTCATTTGTCTCCATATACTCCTGCTCGTATTCACAGTCTGCCGCCAGTAGCAGTCGTTTATATTCGACATGTCTGGACACGCATAGACAGCACTCGCACCGGCACTCGAAGCGGATCTCCTTGCACACGCATCTGTCCTCGAACCGCCTCGGTAAACAGGTACGCCCAGTATGAGTAGTATTCGTATGTCCGTATTGACAGGGCAGCGCAGCGTGCCTTCCATGCTTCCTCAGCACGCTTGGCACCGAAGGATCCGTACCAAGTGCTCGGGGTGAACAAGGACGCCAGTCCCGCGGAGATCAAGAAGATTTACTTCTCGGTCAGTGCTTATTCTCGCTTGCACTCTTCTCTCCTCAACGCAAGGCCCATAGCTTGCCCGCAAGTACCATCCTGATACGAATCCCGACAAGAACGCTCAAGAGAAGTTTGTCGAGATTCAGGAAGCTTATGATGTACGCTGTCCCTGTTCCTGACCTCCTAGTAATGTCTTCAACCTGCTCGTATTTCGTAGATCCTGAAGGACGATAAAAAACGGGCGGCCTTCGACAAGTATGGCGCAGCTTCACAGCAGCCTGGTTTTGACCCGGATGCATTTGCCAACGGGACTGGGGGCTTCCAGGATTTCTCTGGGTTTGGTGGTTTTGGTGGGTTCTCGTCTACGGGGCGGGGACGTGGGGGACTGGGGGACCTATTTGAGCAGATGTTCAATGCTTCCGGAGGCCCCTTCCCCGGCGGACGGGCGGCCGCCCATGATCTTCAAGGGAATGATATAACGGCATCGGTTGGCGTGACGTTCATGGAGGCCTGCAAGGGCGCGACCCGCCACGTAGAGATCACGCCAGTCGCCAACTGCTCTTCTTGCCACGGAACAGGCCTCAAGCCTGGCGCGAAGCGGTCAGCATGTCCAACATGTGGTGGCACGGGCGAACGGTCTTATGTGGTCAGCAATGGTTTCCATATGTCGACGACGTGTAACCACTGTCATGGGACCGGAACGACGGTCCCGCGGGGTAGCCAGTGCGGCACGTGTGCTGGCGTCGGCCAGGTCAAGACGAAGAAGACTATTAAGGTGGATGTGCCTGCGGGTAAGTTCCCTCGTTACTCATGTCATGCTCCTCACTGACAATTCCGGTTAGGTGTGGACGACGGTATGACTATCCGAGTTCCGAACGCGGGCGACGCGCCGGTGTCGGGGAAGGGTCGTGCCGGCGATCTACTCGTCAGGGTGCGCGTCTCGCCTTCGAAGGTCTTCCAGCGCCAGGGCGCAGATCTGCACCATGAAGCTCGCATTCCTTTACACACAGCTCTTCTGGGTGGAAGGGTCCGCGTTCCCACCTTAGATGGAGATGTCGACGTGCGGATTCCTTCTGGAACACAATACGGAGAAGAGATGGTCTTGAAGGGGCGTGGCGTGTCTTCCGTCTTTAGCGGTACAAAAGGGGACCTTTTCGTCAGATTCGCCATTCAGCTTCCTCGGTAAGCCCGGTCCAGCTGCTCGTTACGCGCGCGCTAATTAATAATTCATTATGCAAGGTCGCTCACTCCGCGGCAGCGAGAAATCCTCCAATCGTATGCCGATGAAGTGGAAGGTCGGTCAAACACTTCGAAGCCACCACCGCATGCTTCTGCTTCCACGGAGCCGACATCAGCATCAAGTGACACAAAGTCGAACGAGTCGACTTCGTCAGAAAATGGTACGGGTTTTCCTCCTTCTACATCCCCAGGCAGCTGGGCGTCTCGTGCATGGCATCGGATCAAGGAGCTCATCGGTTTTTGATTTGTTTGCGCCTTGCTCTATGCATGTCAAATGCATTGAACGATCCGCGATGATTAGCTTCGGAGGACAGCGACAAGACTGCGGAGGACGACCAAGAAGGCCAGCAGCGGAAGAGAGCTACTGCATGATTCGAGACCTCCGATATGCTTTAGAAGATCCGATCCGCACCCCGCACCGGTACAAACATGCTCTATACTAGATACTGCACTTGCTGAGAAATGCAAGTGTCATAATAATCAATTGCGTATCAAGCATTCTGATCACTCCGTCATAGCGAAGTCGAATTACCCGCAGTCGTAAAACCCTATTAAGAGAACGCAATCGCCTGCCACCCCACGACTATCGGCATTCCGTTAGCACTTACGTAGTTTGGTGGTCATAACAGGAAATGGAACAAGTCAGAAGTTGTGCCTCAACTTTCACCGAGGATGCAATCACGTTGAGGCGGAGACATGTGGACTCGCGGATTAGGGTTGCTGGAAGAATTGGGGCTTATCTGCCTTCAGACCCGTCGCGGCTCGCCTGTCCATGGCAAGCGTTTGGCCTGGGGAAGCGTGCCGCCCACGGGAGCTTGAATCTTCAGGGCCGTTGGAGCCAAGGGTCCGCGTCGCCGGTGACAGAAACCGCAACCCACATGCCCAACGAATCTGCTGCTACACGACTTCTCAGATCTTCGCAGTCCAGGCCTCCTGTATCTCCGACAATGAGGGCGCGAAGGCTAACAGAGATCGTTTGTCACTCTACAGAGCCAGTTCATTACATCGTCTATCGGGATCTTGAGCTCGCAATAGGCTCCTATCCAATGCAACGAAGAATGATCGTCATTTCATACCTCGTCTACCTGCACTCATGACGTTTCTTCCTAGAACGCGAAGAGCTCTTCTGCGGGGTTCAGCTCCACCGCCCGTATAAAATGTCGTGGCCTAGCTCCTGGTAAGTGGTCCGAATTATCGACTGCAGAGCAACTGTGCTCTCCCTCTGTCAAGGCATAGCCGATCAACCTCTCTACCTCGCTAACGATTACAACGACTCTCTGTATGGCACTACAGGCAGACGAACGTAGTTTGTCTGAGAAGACCTTAGTCTCTGTCTCGGATTCAGATTCGGTGAAACACGCGACATTCATCGAGAACCACAGAGCCTCTCATGAATCGCTAGGTGCCCAAGTGTTTACCTCTGATATCAAAACACAGGGTGAATCAACCATTGCATGCCAAAGGCCGGAGGATGGGTGTAAGCTCACTACATCGAGACTTTTCTTTGCGCACGCTGGGTGAGTGTGCCATTTCCTGATGTTTATCTTCTGTTTGGCTTATGAACCATCGCCGTTGACAGCGCCGCGATGGCACTATTTCTGGCAACCACAGACGCGGTATGCAGACGTTGTTCTCAGTAAACGAAATCTCTGACCTTTCGTTTTTGGCTAGACCATCGTGTCCACCATTCTGCCTACCATTACCACCCAACTAAGCGCCTCGTCGTCGCAATACACTTGGGTCACCGTCACCTATATGCTCACGCAGACCGCATTCCAACCACTGTACGGAAAAGTTTCGGACCTTGTCGGTCGTATGGTCTGTCAAATCATCGAATGATACCTTAAGCGCTCTTAACCTCACTCTTCTCTTTGTTTTGTTAGACGGTGCTTTACAGCAGCATCATCATTTTCGCTGTAGGGAATGCATTGTGTGCTGCCGCCCAAGTGAGTTCTCCCGTGTAGTGACCGGCTTTCTCTCGCTCACGGACATCCTTGCAGAATATCCAATGGCTGATTATAGCCCGAGCTGTAGCTGGCGTTGGTGGGGGCGGTATTGTGAGCCTTGTCTGGATAATTACCGCCGAAATCGTCGAAGCCGAAAGCCAAGCCAAATGGTCGCAGGCGCTCAGTGTCACCTGGGCCTGCTCGGCCATCGCTGGCCCAGTCCTGGGGGGTATCTTCAGCGGTAAGTCTAACACTTGCCCAGATGATGGGTTGACGTACTGACAATCGACGCAGAGGACTCTGGTATCCTGAGTTGGCGGTGGGCATGTGAGATCTCTTCGTCCATGCACGTGATCATGCAGCTCACGGGCGTGCAGTCTTGCTTAATCTCCCCATCTGCGCCGTCTCGTCTTTGGCATTGTGGCGCTCCTTGAGCGGCATAACCTCGGGCGATCGACCGATGTGACTTGGGGGCTGTTATGGAAGACGTTCGATTTTCTTGGCTTGTGAGTAACCTGCCGTACTATGTCCTATCATTACCTCATCTGCCTCAGGTTTCTCTTCATGGCTGCGAGTAGCTGTATCGTGATTGGTCTGAATATATCCGCATCTGCAGGGTGTAAGTCAACCAAAGGCTCATGTGTTCGTTCTTTTGTTAATGTCCTCCCAGGGGCATCGCCGTCCACTATTTGTCTAATAGTCGTGGGGCTTGTGATATTGGTCTGTGGCGGGATGTACGAAGTTCGAACTAGACGAGATGCTCTATTTCCCTCGGCCGTATTTACGGATCTGACAATCGGTACGTGCTTGAATGGTAGCCAGACATCGACTGATCAGAGTTCAGTATCGACACTGGTCGTAGTCTTTTTACATAATTTCGCATTTAATGCGGGCACGTTCTACTTGGCACTTTTCTTCCAGGTCAGTCAAGAGTTTTCGTTGTGTTGTAGCTTCTAAATGACGAGTGCGGACAGGCGGTTGATGGTCTGTCACCCCTTCAAGCCGGTATCAAGATGCTTCCTTATTCCCTCGGCTCCTCGTTGGCCTCTATGCCAGGCAAGTCGGTTGTGTGCGTTCTACTTCTATCTTTTTTCGACGGCTAGCTTCGCCTCATTACAGCCGCATGGTTCATTGGATACTGGCAGAAACGACGCCAAGACCTCATCGCTCAGAAACTGGTAATCTCCGCTGGCCTCGCGATAGCCACAATAGGCTTCGGTATGTGAGAAAGCCCACGATATGCCGTTTCCTCACATACTCACGGATAGATAGGCCTCATGATACAACTGACCGAACATACTGGCGTGGTCACGCGGGCCGTGTATGTCATGACGGCCGGTATAGGCATTGGCTTTTTATTCCACGCCCCATACCAAGTCTTCATCCGGGCATTGCGGCGAACGGACACTGCGTCTGGCACCAGTGCATTCTTCTTGGTGCGTTTCACAGGCGCAACCGTAGGATTGGTACGCCTTCTGCATCATTACTTTGGCGTTGCATTGACATTTTACTCACCAAAGACACTGGCCGGCGCTATTTTCGACAGTCGATTGGCCGAGACCCTCCCCCCTGGCCTCCATGCTTCCACGATTTTGCGGCTGGTTCGCTCGTTGCAACTCACGAGTCTGAAGTCGCAAGTAGTCCATTCGCTTTCTCTGTCAATACAGGCATGTGGGCGTCGCACGTATGCTTCTCAGAGAACACGAACTCACGAGTTCGAGGGCACAGGCAATATGGGTGGTTTGCTGTCCTTGCCTAGGTGTTGCTTTGCTAGTATGTGCCCCCCTGCCCTCCTGCCTCAACTCTCACTGTTCTGGACAGTTATCGTTATGTCTTCGCAATCCGCCGTCTGTCGCTTCAGAGGAGAGTCGCCAGGGGCCACAAGGTGGTACTGCAGACACGGACAAAACAGACTTGGACTTGGAGCGCAGCGAGATGGTTGTTTGATCTGTAAATCTTTTTCATCCCTCGGACACCATTCAAAACGTTGTTGGACCGTTTTTGCCGTAGCGGTAGCTGATACGTGTTCAAGTTGTAGTTTATGGGATAATGATATGACAGCTTGTCAAGACACGCACGATGAGGGTCCTCTGTAGCAGCTATACACGATGAATCCTTATTCGCTTCGGACTCTTACAAAGTGATCGTGTACTCAGTACCTGCCGTTGACCGCATGGTAGTGAGTGTGGATACGGACGTAAGTGACCTCCACCGGTTGACGACAAGATAACCGGCTTTCTCAGTAAGCAAGTACGCCATTGGCCCATCGTGATGCAAGCCGATGCTGCGTCGATTTCAATCGGAGTCAATCATACGATGGCTTCTCGTCGGACCACTGCAGGCAGGTTTAATCTCTTCGCAAGATTGAGGTCAGATTGGCAGTCTACAATAGCACATACCCTCGTGCAACATCGGCTTCTAGAATTGCGAAGAGAAGTTGAGCACATGGACAAATAAACAAATAACAACTGTCGACCCGGGGTCAAACTCTCGGGTGCAGTGGAGCTTCCTCATCGCTTGACGAGGGTGGTCCAGACCAATGCCGCTAACACAATGGCAGATCTGTTGATCTGGGTACGAAGCTTTGGCTCACCAAATGAAATGTGTCGGGCCCGTTCTGACGCTCCACGTAGACTACCCTGACTCGTGGGCCTGCATCGCATACCAGCACATGCTACTAGTAGTTCTGAAGGGATTGGCAGAGGCCTTACTACAGCTAATTCCATATTGCTAGACCCCTCGCCGGAAAGGGCGTACAGGCGGGTTCGTCGGCCTTGGTATTCTTTCTGTCTCCCCGTCGTCATTTTACCATAACGGGCAGTGTCGGGGGCGAACCAGGCCGCGTTCCGAAGCCGAGGTCGACCGGCAGAGCGTGCGGATCACCTGCGAACAAGGCCAGACGAAGGCCCGACGCCCTCCGCCTGTGCACACATTTTCGGGAGGGGGTCTAGCAATATGGAATTAGCTGTAAGAAGGGACATGAAGGAGACTAAGTCAGTGAGCATTGATTCGGCATTACGTTGACGGGACTCGTGCGCACATGTAACCGGCCACTTTGACTAGGATATTTTCGATTAACGCCGGGCTCTGGAGAGGTCGATTGAATGATGTTCGGAGAAGCATAGGCACCTGATGCATAGACGTCGTGATCCGCGATCGACATCGTGCAGTTCTTCACTGGCACAGTCCCACGGAACCGAAACAAGACTTAGCTTCACGAGTGACACTGGAATTGATAGATACAGGAGTACTGATAGCGAGAGTGGTCACGGTGGCGCTGCGACCGTTGGCCAAATCATGTCAGCTCACCTGCTTTGCGGTCAGCTACGCTTGCATGTTTCCGAGTCCGAGTGGTATATTGTCATCTACAGTACGGACTCGATGGAATTTCCACCTTCTTGAGGTCGCTCAGGAAGTGGCGCACAGGGCTACTTGCTGCCCTGGCGGTGATTGTACGCCCTTAGCAAGCCTCCTGGACAGTACAGCTTGCGTGAAAATGCCCGCGAGGAAATGTCGGACGGTCAGGATCAACGGACAGGAAGCAACTTGAAAGCTGCCTTTTGTGGAAGCGCACTCCCTCGAGGCGCGCTCCGTTCCGAGCGCTTCAATACGGGCTACTCGACTGTCAATAAATAATGATGAGGTGATTTACGAGTGCACTTCAGGAAGTGAAATTCATGCTACACGGTATTGAGTACTGTGCTGGGGTTTAACGTTTAACGGCGGCAATGAGTACTTGAGTCATGAAGATGTGACGACGATAAACTTAGCGTTCATATAACTATACTCATTTGACAAGTCGATTAGAGTGGGAGAAAATCAATTTCGGATCATCGTGATCTGGACTCAGATGGCGGATAGGAGGCTGATATGTGGGGAATGCCCATTTGCGGCAAGTGTCGTCTGGATTGATCGCACCTGCGCCACGCCTCTCCTGCACGGCTACTTATCGTGTGACTGCTCTGTCCTATCCTAACGTCCTTGTCTTCCGCCTCCATCCTCCCATTCACCCGAGTCTCGCTTATTGCGTACACAGCTGCATATTTCTGAATGCGCGGGTCTTCGTTGGATCCTGGTCCATCCACTTCATTGCTTCAACGATTGCTGCTCGCGATCAAACTAGCGCCTTCCGCATCCTTCAAACCTCTACCATCTAGCAGGATGTCACCCACCGTAGGACCGGAGATGGCACCAGCCTCTACTTTGGGCCCCTACGGGCGGCCTACTCTACCCATAACACGATCTTCGACATCTTCGCTGCAAAGTGAGGCCGACAATGCGACCTCGGCACATCTCCAGCATATTCATGTCCTCCGTATCTATCCCGTTTGAAGACGGTGACGTCGATGTGGTTAGAGTGGAAGGCTTGCGCCATTCAGACAGGAATTGGAAGCACGGTGAGCACTGTTTCTCTGGCTTGAGCTCGCTCACGTTGGTGTCCGGCCAGCAGTGTACGACAATGGGCACAGGAGGGGGCGTCATCCTGGTTTGCCGTCGGTTGTGACGAGGTTTTCCTAATGCTGATTTTTTGCCTTCGTAATACAGTCGTTACAAGTCGGCTCACTTTGCCGCAGAGTTGCTCCACATACTGCATACCCTCCGCGTACCATCATGGACGAACGTTGAAATAACGCCTGATGGTATAGAGATATTCAAGGTGTCGGGATCAATGACGAATGCGGTATACTTTGTGTCATGTCCCCGGGTCGAGGGCACCCGCATCCTGCTCCTCCGCATCTATGGGCCTTCGTCTGGGGCCCTCATCTCACGGCCCAAAGAGCTGCAGACACTGCATGTACTTTCGTCCAAGTATCATATTGGTCCGCGTGTATATGGCACGTTCGAGAACGGCCGTGTGGAGGAGCACTTTGATGCAACGACACTCACAGCCGAGGACCTGCGAGATCCTCAAATCAGCTCGTGGATTGGAGCTCGCATGGCCGAGCTCCATAACGTTGATGTTCAAGATGTCGAAGAAGCACGGGGCGAGGATAGTCATTGGGATATCGCGGCGATGCAGAACGTTCCGTCGTGGCTAGCGTTTGCGCGCGAGGTGCTAGCACTACCTGGCGTATCAGCAGACGTCCTTCGAACTCTCGACCTGGACACCTTCGAAAGTCAATGGCGTCAATATGCCCACTGGCTGCAGCAGGTGGAGAGCGCTGAAGGTGTCAGCAGACGGGTTTTTGCCCACAACGATACCCAGTATGGAAACATTCTACGACTGAAGACTCTCAAGGATGGGATGCCCGAACATCGGCAGGTAAGACCACCGGGCGACTCGGAAAGGGTAATCTCAGTGCTCACATGTTATGCAGATCATTGTGGTCGACTTCGAATACGCCGCCCCCAACGCCGCGGCGTTCGACATCGCGAACCACTTTCACGAGTGGACGGCCAACTACCATTCGGACAGGCCTCATATACTCAATTCGGCACTGTATCCCTCCCAGGCCGAGCGCCGCAACTTTCATCGTTCCTACATCATACACGCCCTCGCCGCCTCCGACGCGTCCTCGAGGTTGTCAGACGAAGAAGTGAATGAGGAGGCGACTAGACTAGATCGTCAGGTTCGGATATGGAGCCCGGCGTCCCACGCAATGTGGGCTGTGTGGGGCGTGGTCCAGGCTCGCGAGATGGTAGAGGGCAAGGATGGCGAACCAGAGTTCGATTATCTGGGTTATGCGGCATGTCGGATGGAGAGTTTCCGTAGGGAAGTCCGTGCGCTTGGTCTGTCGATATAACGTGAATAAGTTTGGGTACGCCTGGATACGCTTTTGTACAGTGCTCTCCCATGTCGATGATGCTGATTCCCTTTTTATCACTGAGGGCGATAGGATATGTAGACATAAGAGTTGCTCATATAAACTATTCAACTTGTCCTCGCCGTCCCTTGGTCGCCGTAGCCGTGGGCCAACGTAGTGTAACAGAGTAGCGGAGTGAATGAAACGAGCCCCATTGTAAGGATAGTCATCACTCCTCAAGCCTCAGGCCTCAGGCCTCAGAGCCTGACGTTTGTGTCCGTCCTTCACCGGCACCGTCGTTTCCTTCACCGTATTCGTGAGATGTAACTGTGTAAGTAGGTCGGGTTCGATACCTGCGCATTGTTCATGTGATATTCAAGATTGCGACCGACACCTTGTACTCGCTGCTTCGCTGTCAACATGAGACAGTCTATTCGGCCATGCACACGAAAGTCAGGCATAACAAGAGCGTGAATGAATTGACGTTATAAGATAAACATGTGCAGGGTACCGACTGGGATGTTAACGAGACTGAGCTATTGACTGAAATAAGTCAAGGTGTTTCGAGACGAGCAGACAGAGCCAAACGATGACGTGAGCATGTAGATCGTAAAAGCGCGTGGCTTCGTAACTGTATGGGGGTAATGGTAGCGGGGGATTGGGAGGGGAGAAATCCGGGGCAAAGGAAGTGTGGCGGCGCGGTTGTCGAAACCAGCGCAGTCACACCGAATGAACAAGGCAAGGTATCGTTCAAAGACGTCCGTGCCGAGATGCAGAAAGAACGACGACGGTCCACATGATCTTACATTGTACGCTTCCAGCCTCCAACGTCTACGTCCAGTTTTGCTCCGCGAGACGAGAACCAGCGGAGTAGTCGGCCCAGGGTGAATTTGCCTTCAATTCACCGCCGGGGATGGACGAGAGAGGGTAGGCTGCGAGGTGATTGGCGCGAGTTGCGCTTCCCCAGTTCCCAGCGCTGCCCGATCGAACATGTCCATTGATCCTGGACGACGGCTTCGGAGCCTCAGGAGAACCCAACTGATTGGATACGTTCGTCGCGGTGGGAGTGGCGCTGAAATCGAGCTGCATATCGCCCCCGTTGAACGAGTTGCGCACATTAGAGTTCGAGTTAGCGTTTTTGTGCCGCTAAACGCAATCAAAGTGTGAGCGACCAATAGAAATCAGATGGGGTAACGCCCATACCTGTGTGCCAACAATGTCGAGCCTGGCGCTGGTATGTCTACCGAAGTCTGGCCCAGCGGTGACAGGACCGGGGGATCTAGCGGTAACCTCTTCGCCAGCAGGCCTCAAGATACCGTTGTGAGCGAACGTCGGGTACGCAGACTTGTTCTGCTTCGAACTGGCTGCAGAGTCCAGAATGCTGGTGTCCACGTGCAACGAGCGAGGCCGCGTTGAATACGTCGCTGACGGAGGCGTCGTATTGCCGCTGCCACCGTTGGAGCCGACAGGGATCTCCTGGGACCGCCGGGCAGTGATGCGCGCAAGCAGAGAGGTAGATTGTTCATTCGGGTCGCTGTTGGTGCTGCCAGACCGGTCACGTCCATGTAGGTTGGAAGGCGGCGGAGCTCCGTCTGCGCCTGGCGGCGCACCAGAAGCAGGAAGCTCCGTGTGTATGAAGCAGCACCTCTTGCCATAGGGGCACGAACCGGACACCCAGAACGTCTGGTCATAATTCAATGAGTTCCGAGTGTACTTCGACGGACTAGAAGTACGCTTACCCTGCATATCTCCGTCTTGTACTGGTTTAGGAACGGGAATATGTCAGTAAGACCCTGGTAGTGGAAAAAGAGAGGGCGACGAACCTTAGGATGACGCTGGACTTTGCGCAGTTCGTCTTCGCCATGCGCGAACTGGCATTTGGCACCGTAGCGGCAGGTACCCTTTTCCTCCCAGCTCCGACACAACTCGGTCTTGTACAATCCTAGCTTGCGATTATTTGCGCTAGGGCCCGTACCTCCTGGACCTACCGCAGACAACCCCTGCGGACTCGCGTTGCCGGGAGCGTTCGGGTTGGCGACGCCAGCATTTTGACCAGGCATAGGCATTCCGTAAGCACCGCCATACTGCGACTGCAGTCGAGCCATCATCTGGGCGGCCATGTCAGGAGAGGCGTAGGCATCCTGAGGAGTGCCGTAGAACTGGCTAGCAAACATCGACAATGCAGCTGGAGGCGGCATAGCCGGAGGGTACATTTGACTCGCGGCGAAGGCCTGGATGTTGCTATTGAGGAGTGCAAGCGCGGCAGGGTCACGGATGGCAGCGGGATCGGACGTAGAATGTTGGTGAGTCGCGCGGAAAGGTCCTTGCTGCTGCAGCCGAGCCATGGCCGGATTGTCAAGAGGTGGAGTCGGGAGCATCATCTCGTACAATTGCTGCTGGTTACCGAGGGGCATGGGCGGCGGCGGGGCAGGATACGCGAAGTTGGTCGGACTGGGCATGACAGGCGGCAGCGTCGGGTTGAACGTACGAGGTGCTTGGCGGTACATATTGTTAGGTCTCCCGGGGACAAACGAAGGCACGCCTCCACCTGGTCCCACAGCAGGTCCTTGCTGCATCGCATTGAATTGACGTTGCTGCGCCTGGTAGTCGATGGACTGATCATCGGGTCGAGATCCTGGCGACGCGAGCTGAGAGAAGTGGGACAGATCCTGAGGGCGAGCGCCGCCAGTGTGCACAGTCAACGACGGGTATGACGGCTGGTCCGCTTGAGTCTGCCTGTCGGGAGTCCCGTTGGACGAGGACCACGACTCCCTGTTCCCTGGGCTGCCACCGGCTTGCTGGAGACGGGTGAGATCCGTGCTGGACAGCCCGCCGCTGTAGGAATGCGGTCTGTTCCTGGACTCGCCCACTGCGCCTACCTTCATGGATGTTATAGGCGCCCCACGGAGCGTCTGGCTGGCGGTCGTATCCGCAGACGATTCGCGCGAGTGGGACAACGCGCTGGCCGTGTGATCTAGGGTGCTGGAAGAACCCGACTCGAGGCTCGTCTCAGAGGACGTCTCCATCGGTGACACCTCGTGAAACTGAGAAAGGCCATTGCCCTTGGAGGGCGGTGGCGTATGCAGCTGAGAATTGGTACTATCGTCGTCTCCCCCGACGCGCATTTTGCCAATTTCCTCGGCTAGCTCCCATCCGGCTGACGCAGAATCTACAAGTTGACCGTTACCATTGAACCTCCAACGGGCACCACCGTTTGTGGGGGAAAGCACGCTCTGGTCCGACAGCTCGGCTGACAAGATGCGCTCCTTCACTTCCCGGCGAGGTGAGCGAAACGACGATGACGTACCTTTCGACATTCTCCCTGCAGGTGCTCTCCGGGGCGCCGACAACATTTGCTTGGGATGAGAGTCGAGCGTAAGGTTGGGTTGAAATTGATGGGGAGGCCCGAGGTCGTCGGAAGTATGAGAGAAGTCGTTGGTCTGACTTTGTGGAGGTTTCGTGACTGTGAAACATGTTAGTGTGCTCGACCGGCAGGAGGAACGCGCCATCGGCGCATGGCGAGAAATGCACAGCTCACCTGCTTACGTTAAGTATAACTTGGCTTGACACGTCTGCTGGAGGACAAGATGCTTGCTGGTGACTATTAGGAATAATCAATTGATGTCGTGGACGGGAAACTGGATTTGGGGTTGCTGAGTCGTGCGCGGTGGAAAAGATGCGGGTAGATGGCCAGCCCTGTCACGCCGCCTTGTACCGCTTTGGGGAGCGATGACGGGAGGAGAGACGGAGGGATCTATGCGAAGAGGGAACAATGGTATAAAAAGATGAAATGCGCGCGCGGGGTCGTGATGGGGCTGTTTGCTGTGCGAAGACGCGTGTTAGATATGGGTGGAGATGGCGGGCGAGCAAGAGGACGAGACGGAAGGGCGGACGATGGCCTCGCTGGGGAGGAGATGGCGAGGAGGAAAGAGAGGGGAGGGCCCTGCGCCTGCCTGACACCGCGAGGAAGGTCAGGGTTTGATCGCAACGTGCCCTTCTCGCGGCGGCGATTGCCAACAAGTATGAATTCGCTCCAGCCCGCCGTCCTCACTCGTCCGTCGTGTATCAGTCGCTTCGATCCTTCACATCGATGCTTCACTGAGCCACCTCTCCATCTCATCCCCACCACCACCGCGCGCCCTCACGCCCAGAGGCGACTCACAGGACAGCCCGCTGCAGCTGCACAGCCGTCCATGTCCAGCGCCTCCGTTTCGCACGCCGCAGCCTCACTGCCAGTTTGAGCGCCGCCCTTGATCTCGTTTAGGTAATCGAAACCGCGCCCCGCACTCACGCCTTTGTTCTCTTCAGTGCAGCACAAGTGCAGCAGGCCTGCTGACCGATGCAGGCGAGACGACGCCGACACCCGTCCCGCCACAGAAAAAGAGGTCCGCGCAGACCCGCATCGTAGCCACGTGGCGTTTGCCTCTCCGAGCGCTCGACGGCGGAACCAATTTCCGCGCAGGTGTCAGTCTCGCCGATCTTCTCACTCGTGTCTGCCATCCGTATGCATCCAGTTCCCGAGTAACATGGCCACCGTTCGAGGAGCGATCTGACATTTCCGCATGAAGAGTACAGAGGCTGCACCGGTCCGGGGCCTGCTAATAGCTCATCGCGCGGAGCATGTGGATGTTCCGCTTCGGAGCCGTGCATGGCGTATTTATCCTGGACGAAGTGTCTGCTCGGCTGTGAGTGCTGCATCTCGTAATAACACGTACTGCTAATCTCCCGCGTCGCCTTACAGCAAGTGGGGTTTAGGTGGGTCTGACCGCCAAGGATGCGCTCGCTCCGATGGGCCTGCAGCATCCCCTCTCCCGCCCGAGAGGTGGCCACCAAGTCGGAAGGCGTCCGACTCGGGAGGCCCTCACGGCACGAGATTTTCCAAAGACAGATTGCGTTCGTTCCTCGAGAACGGCCAGCGCCCATTATTGCTCACGCTTCTCTATTCAAACTTTCGAGTCTGCAGGGAGAGTCCAGCCTGCGAGGATCGGTTGCGGACCCTCGCTCTAAGCCCATTGTGGTCTCCCTCCGTGCAGTCAGCATCTGAAGAGATCTCAGCTCGCTTGGCCGCATCTGAGCAGTCCCTCGTTCCGTTCCGAAGAAAATTCAATTGTCGCCCCCTAGTCCTCCATCGATATCCGCGCGCATGTCTGCCTCATGCCCTGGCCATGCTTCTGCTGCTTCCCGAGTCCACAAATCCCGGACGAAGCGCGGCAGAACAACGAGGTTTTCCGCTCTCCGCAGGCGCACCAGATACGCACGTAACGGTAGAGTGGCTCAATCGCCCGGTTCCTTTGCGTGGTCTGGACAGCCAGACAGCAATTTTATCAGCCTCCGTCGCCTCTGCGTGCTTCGCGAACGCCGTCCGCAGCATCTAGCGTTCTTGACATGCATAGCGGGTCCGTTGCATACATCGAGTAGGTCTGCTTACGACAAATGCTCCCGATTACCCTTGCAGGAGATCTCCCAGGCGCGCATGTCTTTGAATACCCGCCCACGACTTTGACACATCGCCCCTTCCACAAGACGTCATGGGAATCATGACGACTTACTACTAAAAGACTCCGATCCCTTCAGAACGTCCAATAAGTATGCTGTGAGAGGATGTCAGAGTCGAGACGGCACTGAGCGTTGTCCGGTGGTCAGTTAGCGTCGCAGTACTTCCTGCTTCTCGCAGATCGTTATGAATGACTGGGCAAAGGAATCCGTAACATAACCTACCCCGTCAACTGAGACCACCAGTGTACCGTACGGATCCGGACGATCTCCCGCCTTCTCCACGCAGTACATACTTGGCAGTACTTGGTTGTCTGGATCGTCGCCGATAAGTTAAGTGCCGCTGAGACTTCTTAGACCTCGGAGTCAGAGAATTTGCCTACCATAGCTTCAAATACGTTCTGACCGAAGTCCACCGTCCGCGTCACTTTTGCCATTCTGTGCGTGCTGGTCTGGACGAGAAGCAGGCAGCTCCGAGTCTCCACATCTCTTCTGTATCGTCACATAGAAGCTTTCGCTGAAATTTACCAGCGCAGATTCGTGAGATGTTCCTGCCGTACACCACGAGGATCCTCGCATGCAGTAGATCAATCTGGAGGCATTCTAGGCATACAACAAATGCGGATACAAGAGACGTTTGACTCGCTCCAATACATGGCTCGATATTGTAACTCATATAATGCAGTCAAAACAAGCAATGCTTGCACAGTACGTTGGCGACGTCTATCCCAAAGGCCAGCGACATCTTGCGAATTGTAGCGATTACGCGTCTGAGAGTTTGTGAGCCATCGTTCAGAGCAGGACTGGTCGTCTGACTCACAGTACGAGGTCCCGACCAGCATAGTAGATAGGTTCTGCAGCTGATCTTCGTCAAATGCCAGTTGATCCTTGTGCCAAGTATCCTGCAAAATAGTCAGTAAAAGTGGCAGTGCAGCGCGCCGTGCCCTGACCTGATGTGTCTGCAAGAAGAGGAGATGAGACAAGTCTAATCATATTGCGTGCAACTGAAAGCTCAAACCTTCTTGAACTCCGAGGCACACTTCCGGATAGTGGTGGAGATGGGCGCTGGGTCTGTCGCATGCAGGGCCAATACTACAAGACCGTCAGTGAGTTGTATAAATCAACTCGCAGTGACCCACCATCGGTCAGAAGCGGCATCCAAGGCTCCACTGAATATGGGAAACTGTCAACCAGTGCACAAAGCCCCAGAATGGCCGAGTGCAACGTCCGCATCGACTCCGCATACGTAGGATCTCGTCGGTTGGGTAACCTCGCTTTGCTGGCGGATGCAAGGAAATGGTCCTGCAAGCCTAGATTATAGCGATCAACGATAACGTTCTTGCCGAATCACGTACCTTGAGGGACAAAATGCTGTGACGCTGAGAACACCGCACGACGCCCGACAACATCTTCGAGGCCATGTCACGTACTTCAACATTCTCATCCGCCAGACAGTCAAGGAGAACCTCCATGATCTTCGTTGTGACATCCCCAGGTATACTCATGAGATTGCGATAGTAGAAGACGAGTAGCGTAGGGAGCGCTTTCAAACGGATACGCCATGACTGCCGTCCTGTGAGAAATACATACTCATCATCATAAGGGCGACAACTCACCGATGACGACTTGATGGCTTGAAGGAAGTTCTCCGCGATGACTCCGACATATTCCTGTGGGGGATCTACTGCGGATAGCACGTAAAGAACAGCGGAGCTGTATTTCTGCAGTTCTGAGTTGTCATTGAGCTCGGACATGCGTAGGACCTCAGGTCTGTATTGTGTCAGCTCCGTCGCAGGATTATCTTAACACAAAATACCAACAGCATTGTGACCAAGTATGGAAGCACCAAGACGGCTTGCGGGTTGTGTGAACACTCCCAGAACCACTGAAGCACTGTGACCAAGGACGTTAGGCATGGACGTCAAAACCGATGGGCTGTCTCACTCGTTAAGCCCACTTTATCATATTGAGATTGCGACACGCGTGGTGGTGGTAACCTCTCTGACCTCCACTGAGGGAACTGTTGCGTGATTGCCATGATGCGATCCATATATCTCGCCTCTCTAGATGTCCGCTCAATTCAACTATAGTCTCGCACGAACAAGTACTGACCTGACACGCAGAGGATCTGCATCTCGTTCGCAAGCACTGAGAAATGCATCGGTCGAGGGGTATGTCGGGCGCCACAGAGTCGCGATGATAGCATGCAAGTTCTGGGCTATTTGCGTCCGAATCTGAGTGCGATGGATCAAGCTGTGCGCGAGCTGGCAGTGCACCAGATATCACACTCACCTCTGCGTAGCCCGTATTGGCATTATCCAAGAAGAGATGCATGTACTTGTTGCATACAGGTAGGAATCGCAAGCCAAGACTATCGATCGCAGCGTTGAAAAGGATCAAGGATTTGGTCACTGAAAGCCTATGTTCAGACTTATGCAATGAGGGTACCCTAGGGCAACCTACTAGCAAAAGTGGAATCGCCATGGAAATCCAGAGGTAATGAAAGTATCCACTTGATGAAAGGCTCAGCTCGCCATGGGTCTCTTTCCATCAGCAGCTCCTGTGAAACAACTGAGATAACCAGTTTCCAAGGTACTGTAGGCGCCTCACGTTGAACGCTGCATCCCAGAAGGACAAAGTATCCGGTCTGATGCTGTTGTGGATAGCTTGTATCTGGGACATGAACCAACCCCATAACTGATCGCGCCACTGTTTCGGCCAGTGCTTCGAGCCTAGTTGCACATATCAGCACCAGGTATATTAAGCGTCGCCATATCTTACCTCTCAGCAGACCGATGAGCATCTCGGCACCTGCACGTTGCTTGAAGCGATCAGCATCCTTGAGCATGGGTTCGATAGCAGGAAGTATGAGCTCGAGCAACTCGTGTTGGAACATCTTGGCTATGTTTCATGAGCATGACAATATACGATGTAAGGCAGAATCGTACCAAGTGACTTCATATATGTGACGTTGTCTACTCTGAGCTCCGGTGAACCGATGTTCTTGCTCGACTCCTGAGACCACCGTGAGACCAAGTTGGTAACAAAGTCACTTTCGCGTAGAGCATCTTTCATGCTTTGTAGAGCAGCTATTGAGGACGTGTCCCACGAAAATGGCGCTTCGCCCTCGGGAACAACTCGGTAAGCTTTCAAGGTTGATGGCCACACAACGAATCCTGTAGGAATCTTATCCACATACGTCGACCTGTCGTTCGATCAGAACCGCTGTGAACGGATTGTCGATCAGATTTTGCGCACCGTTCTTGGCTGCCTGCTTGTACTATTTGTTCTTGACTTGACAGGAAAGCAGCTGGATCCGCGATGGAGATATCGGTCTGCAGCGGACTACGCCATTCATCCAGCCACAAGTCGTCATTTGACTGAGCGTATGTCCGTATCTTGACGTGATATGTTAATCGGACAACCGCCCTTGGGTAACGGGTAACAACGTCACTGAGAGCATCACGATAGGCAGGGAGAACGTACTTTTGGGCGATATGCCGCGTCGTAGGGTGAGGATCGACAGACTTGGCCACGAAGAAACTAGCAAGCTCAGGAGCCGGACTGGTATCCCTTCTCAGGAGATGGTAGAGAAATTGTGTCGCCATTTCGACGTATCGCCACTGCGTGTACAGTCGTGAGCAACGCCTACAATATGATACCACTCGGTACGAACATGGGTTGTCGGTCGCGTAGCGATGTCAAGAATCGTGGAGACCTAATCGCGTTGTATGTCAATCTCATAGCTTGCCATGATCACAAAAGCTCACGGTGTCAGCATGTCTCTTGTTGCGAAGTCCAGTGCGCGCTCGCTGCTTCTCGGCGGCGCGCAGCGACAGGCTCTGATGATCTGGCGAAAGATCACATTCCTGCTTGATCTCAGCCACAGCCTTGACGACTCCAGCGTGATCTTCCAGGCAAGTCTCAGTATGGATTGCATCTTCGGAGAGGTATGCTGTTGCGTCTTGTGCCAAGTTGCCCAGTATCTTCTGGATTGAAGGCTGATGAACGAAAGATATATCAATTGATTTGTACGACCATCTTTGACTTTGACGAGCAACAGACCTTCTCTTGATGTTGGCAATCTAGCACAGACAGCAAATATTGACCAAAGTGATCGATATCTAAACAATATACAGGTCAGCGACCAACAGCGTCCGAAATACGCGCACTTACCGGCCAGAGCATACGAAGCTATTGAGATGTGTAAGCGAGCGAGCGCCTGTCGTCGAGATATCCTCTCACCTATGCCTTTATTCCAGAGGACATGCAAAGCGCCTTTCATACGGTCCGGATCTGTTCCCTTCGCAAGAGCCCCAAAGAAATGGGGTAGGCACAACCTCGTGGATCGTACAAAATACTGGACATATCGGGTTCAGCCGCAAGAATACTCATATGAGAAGTCCACTTACGCCGCATGCATTGTACAGAACTGCCTGGGCGTGTCTTCGAAATGCATGAGTGGAAGAAAGACGACGTGCGAGGTTACTCACTTCCGCAATCTCAAGTAAGGGGACAATGACATCTCAACTAGATCTTGGAGCAAGTGATCATCTAGTTGGGAACGTCGCCGGTATAGTGCGTGCATGTATACACGCCCCGCGTGGTAAGCATGCGCCCGCCTGATCAGGACCATCCTTGGACTTGACCGTTGTCGAGACCACATGCGTGTCGCGCTAAGAAGACGATGTCAGCTAGACTCGGCTCAACGGCTAGTCACTCACTCCCGTGACTGAATGTATGCCTTGCGTAAAGAATCGAAAGTCGAGCGCGTCATCGCATAATCGAGGAGATAGACGTCTATTGACTTCGATAGGCCGACGAGGGCATCGAGATGGTCATCTCCTCCCTTCAACTGCCGCAGTGCAACAGAAGCCCCATGTATGACCTCCCCGTATCTCGTCCTCAATGACAGAGCTTTCTGGTATTGCGGATCCTTCATGTCGGTCAACGCGAAACCACACTTCACGTCCAACGACGTCACAAGAAGCTCTGGTAACTCGCACTCAGCGTTGAGACAAGGTTTCACAACATCCTTTGGACCCTCTTGAATTAGTGTCGATAATCCGCTCCACATTGATCTGAGTGCGCAGAGGTATCTGTGATACAGAAAAATCAGTTGGTGTATCGCATGATCCGCGTATGGAACCAACCGGCAGAAGTCATTCCGTGCCACCTCATCCCAGTTGTCTGCAACTTTGGCGAGAGCCTCCACTTTGCTCAGAGCGAGGGAGGAGATCTTGTCTACGATCTCCAGGGCGAAAGCAATTTCATCCGAGGACGGCACTAAAATCAAATGAGATCGTAGTCTATGTACCGGGCGTAATCCTCACCGTGCCATTCAATCTCTGCGTCTTGCGGGTCGTACAATGTTCCCCAATACTTCAAGTGGATCTGATCAAATTCTGTGGGATGTTATACGTCAACGTGTTTGTCTCTTCAGTGCTATGACATACCTGCTCTGTTCCAGTCCTTCGTGTTGACGCAACGATTGTTCACAGGATACACGGTTGTCAAGGTAGAGAGGATCCGGTTGAGCAACCGGCCGCTGCTGCTGTAACCACGCTCGCTCTTGGTCTTCTCAACCAGTAGTGAGGTAAGGGCGAGAATTTCAGGTTTGTACTTTAGAAGCTAGACATTCCCTCGTGAGTCACGAAGCATCTAGACGTCCGTGAGCCTTCTTACCACTACGCCTCCATAAGCAAAGCATCCGCGGAGGATTGAGATGTCTGGGTAAAGTAGGTCTATCAACCGTGTTGATGTATAAAGGACAGGACATACTCCAATGCAAAGTCGTATCGGAAGGGGTGGGCGTATGAACCGAGGTCGTGCGTACACCGGATGCGCCGTGCCTCAATTCCTCCTTGATTTGATCTATGCAGAACGGCAGGAACTTCGCCACTGTTTTCTCAGGTTGCGCTCTGGACAGGCACGAGATCATTTGACCGAACGCTCTGACAGCGTTTGCCTTCGCGTTCGTGGTGGCGTAATCATAGACCAACTTCAGGACGAGATCGAAGAGTGCGTCCGAGAGGTGTAAGCAGACAATATCCAACATGTTCTTGGTGGCGCTAAGAACACTTTCTTCCATCTTGCCTCCGGTGGTGGCTCGCCGTCCGCCTTCTTCAGGTAGATTTTCGTACAGCGCGAGCACTCGCCTGAATAGCGCAGTTACCCAATCTGTGATGGAAGAAGCACATGAGCATGCGTTCTCAGGAGCAATCACTTTGCTTACCCGCAAAAGCAGTGGTGCTCTCTCTTGCGGCAGCACGTTCCTCCTCCTTGTTCATAATCGGTGCCCCGGCACCGACAGCACGATCCGGTAGTTGACTGCCCGCAGCATGATCGACGTCCATCATTTCTCCGGCGGCAGCGTCGTCTGTGAGCGGGACGCCGGCTGAATGCATCGAGACATCGCCAATTCTGATGTGTTGGACGACCGAAGAGATAAACATGCAAGCGCAGACGGTCTTGATGTGGTCGTTCTACATAAACATGGTCAGAGAAGCTCGAATGTATCGTGGGAGGACGTACGAGGTCAATGCCCGGGATACAGAGTTCCAGAAGGGGAACCACGTGCTTTTGACCGCCTAACCATGCTTTCTCGCAAACCAAGGGGTGCGCGACACCTGCCAACATTGTCAAGACTGCCGTCGTGCGATGAGTCTCATTGACCACCTCGAGGCCATTGTACGCTCGCTCGAGTAGATCCGGCATAATCAACTTCGGCTCGATGAAGGCGAGCGAGCGAAGAGACGCTTGCGCATAACCCATGGTGAAAGGGTCCTTGGAGAACATAGATAGAAGAGCGGCCGTTCGTAGCGTGGTGACAAAGGCGTGACGCATGTCAAAGGTCAGGCGACGAGTCTGCGAATGGCGATCAGCGTGAACAAATGAGCATACTATAGTCTACAACGAACAACGGGCGTCTTGCAGGTCGGCTCTTGCTCCTCCTGCCATCGCTTCGAAAACTCCGCGGTAAGACGATGTAGGAACATCGTCAGCTGAAGACGCATAAAATCAATATATCTACATATGTGAAGTGATACGGAACGCACGATCAAACTCCAGATGCCGTGATTTGAAGGATGGAAGTAGGTCTCCGTGCTGGTGATCATCTTGTCCAGGTAGTCGAGAGCTTTTGACCCAGCGAGGTAGCCAGTGGGCTGGGGAGAGAAGTGTTGTCCCTGCTTCATTTCTCCAGTTTCTTCGCGAACAGGTCCGTCGAGACACATTGAGAATACGAAGAGCTTGGCCAGACCGTCTAGGAAATCGTGCACGCTCAATGATAGGTTGTATACTGCAACCTGAGTTACTTACTGGCCCTGTTGATAGGTTTCTTGATTCTGAACGCGTTCTTGTCCCCATAAAGATCCGCGTGCATCGCAGTTGTGCTCGCACCCTGTGCCTATGTTTAGTTATCTCACCGCGAAGGCTGGGACAAATACCGACCTTGCTTCCTCCCACGGGAACATCTAGTAAAGTACAGTCAGCGCGCATGAGAGTGGATAGACAAGACCGGACTGACGCATGGAGTTCAAAGCCTTGCCAGCGAGGAATTGGAACTGCGGTTCGGTCCAGATACCTATGTCTTGCCATGCTGCGCCGCCTTCTGCGTCTCCAGCCTTACCAGCGACATGTTCTTCCGAAAGACTTCCACACAGATCGATCATTCTATCGTCGATAACAGACGAGTTGAACGCCTCCCAGATCTTGAACAGAGATGGTAGGTAGAGATGGCTGTGTGTGGGCGGGAGGAAGGACGTCATGACTGGCATGATTGTTAGGACAGACTGCCAGATGTCAACATCAGTAGTCTGTGAGAGTGCGTGCATATAGGCTCACGTCTTTCGTCAGTAGAGGCAAGAACGCAGCCATCATCTCGGGGATTTCGCCCGCTGGATAGTAACGCTTGGATTGTTCCGCCACAAACAGCAGAATGTTGATCATGTTACGGCTGCGATGCGTTGTCAGCATCCACACAGTGTCTTGAGTGGAAGTCCTTACGAGGAGTCCTGCAGCCGTCTCTTTGGCCAGAGCTCTTTCTGTAGTACGCGCCACAAGGGCCTCCAAGAGAGTTGAAGGTCTGTAGTTTCCAGCTTGCGTCTCTGGTCCGGCTTATTGGCGAGCAGACGTGAGAGTATATCTGCCCAGCTGCGCACCACGCGAGACTCTATGCCAGGGATGAGACACAGCTCGTAGTAGAAGTGCACAAGCTTGATGCGCATAGGTTTAGGCATCGGGTAATGCATGAGGAGCCAACTATATTCTATTGAGCGACTGTTACGAACAGAGAGCTGCGGGACAAACCATTGCAGAATCCCGTCCCACGTTGTGAGGGCAAGCCAATTTCTGCTTTCCGCACAAATGGTGAGGCGTGAAACAATATATTCGAGTTTAGTTTGCATGTCCTCGACGGACTCGCATTCGTATGGCAGCCAGTCGAGGAGGGTCTGGAGGGAGGCTTTGTGCCGCTCGAAGGCAGACTGGCCAGGTGTTAGGGTGCCCGAGTCCCAGGTGGGGGACTCGTACAGGGAAAGGTCGTCGTCCTCCATGGCGGGGCCAATAGCGAGGACTGGCGGCAATAAGTCTGTGAATGCGTCAGTTCCGATCATTAGTTCGGGGGTAATACAGGGTTATGGACCGAACTCACCTTGCGACGGAGGGCTTATATATGTGTCGGACGGATGGCTTGCGAGTCCCGGGGTGGCTTGCGTGTCCTGGTGGTGACGCGGCGCTGGGTGATGAGGTGGGTTGCAGAGCCTCGCGGGAGACACTGTCATGCGAGGGCGAATTACCTACTGCGACCGAGACGCGTACGCCCCAGACGCCCGACCGCGTACGCTCCCCCATCACGTGTGCCGCTCACGTCTGCGCGCTGCCTCGGCCCGTATTCCCTGCAGCGCCCGCCACTCAGTACTCTGCCCTCGTATACACCCATGCTCGCTGCGACCCATGCACGCGCTGCCGCTTGGCTCGCAGCCAGCTGCCGGGGCCGCTCTGCGGTGAGCCGTGCTCTGCACACCAAGTCCTCCGTCTCCCGAAGCTCCCATCAAGCCCGGAGACTCTTCTGGTACTCTGCTTTCGCTGTCACTGCCGCTTCCGCTTTGGGATCAACAATACGGCTCGATGCCCCTCCTTCTGACGGAGATGATCAAGACACCGAGTGTTTGTCTCGTAATGTTATGTGACAGCATCGTTCCGTCTGAAGACCGTGGTACTTAGTGGACCCCGCTACCTCAATTGCGTTTCCGAAGACTCTCCGCATCCCATCGAAGACACCCCTGCCTGAATTCTCTCTGATGGGACTAGGTGTTAGAACCGTCTCTTTCTTGGGAATAAAGGTGTACTCCGTCGGGTTCTACGCAGATCTCACGAACCCCAGCCTCAAGGTAAGCAGAGGAGCAATGCTTGAGGGAGTACACGCAGTCATTGGCGACGGTAGATTCCAAGGTCTGCGTCTCCCGGCGAGCAAATTGAGTACATCATACGGAACACGGCATGTGTTCTGCGGATCAGTGCGTCTTCTTCTCATTATTGATTTCCGCCTCAGCTCACTATACTGGCCGATGCAGTACCTACGCGGTCGACGTCATACGGGCACTTGCGGGACGGATTCATGAGAGCTTTGCAAGCGCGCTTGATGCTATGCAAGCAACGCGGGAGCTTACCCCAGGACGAAGACACTGCCATCCAGTCACCGCTACGCAAGTTCAAGTCTATGTTCCCAAATACTCCGCTTGCAAAGCATGTGCCCCTCGATATTTTGCTCACGGCGCCGAGTTCGCAACCTCGTTCATTGATTGTTCGTGACCTCGGATCCGTGCAAAGCGATTGGCTGGCTACCGAGTTTGTTCTCGCGTACTTCGAGGGCAACGGCTTAAGTCCACCAGTAAGTCAAGCGTAAAATCGAGTCATCATCACGGCGTAGGACTGATGTACGCTCACAGCTCAAGAAGAAGGTGGTGGAGAGACTTGAGGGCCTTGGACAGTAAGGTGTTGCGAGAACGGGGTGGCCTTCACTTGTTGCTGCGAAGTCTGTATGTATGGTCACGGCGCTTTGTTTCGTGCCATCACTATGTACTCTGGGCCTGACCTTGCTGCATCTTTGAATATATATGCCAGCCGTTGTCCGTCGCTGGGCGTTGTCGATTAGACGTGTAGTCGGGTTTCGCCGCTGCATTGCTCCTTGATACCAGGGCCGGCAACATCAGCGATGTACTTGATGCTTGAGTCTTGCCAATACAGTACCATCGGTCGGCGGCGACTCGATTCTCGCCGCGACGTCGCGTTCTTACGCATCACGTGTACCGTGTCCTCCACCGCGGAAGCTCAAGGCTGTCTTCAGCTGACCACACACCATTGCCGTCCCTACTTTCGCTCAACGCCCACGGCGGCCATGCTACCCGTCAAAGTCGAAAGACTCGTCAATCGTGCACTTTCGAACCATGTGCTTCCCCGCTCAGTGAAGACACGACCAACTCAACTGCGTATCACCCTCTGCAGGTCCTACGCTACCCACAATGATCGGGTCCCCGCGTCGTCTCTTCTCTCTAGCGCACTGGAGCAGAATCAGCGGCAGACTCGCGGAGAAGACTATGTGGGACCCTTTCAACTTGGTTTGATCCCGCCCACACCCCGTGGTGGAGGTAACACGAAGAAATGGTCTGAGCTGAGCACGGCTGGCAAAGGTGCGCCCCACGCGACTCGATCATGTGTACGAGCTGAAGTATTCTCTCGGTCCTGTCGACTTGGTTGATCAATCAAGTTGCGCGCACAACTGCGCGTACGACCAACCTTGCCGTGATCTTGGTCGGTGCTGGCCTGTCGGCCGTGCTCATCTACGCCTTGACTTCAGAGCTCTTCTCCAAGAACTCGGCCACTGTGCTATATGGACAAGCTTGTGATAAGATCAAGGCCTCTCCTGCTGTGAGCTTCATTTCCTTCGTGCTCCATCTGACTGTCTGACGTATGGTGTAGCTTGCCAGACATCTTCAGGGCTCACTTATCTTCCACAATAACCCCCCTTCCTCGCTCCGTCCGCGGCACCGCAACCATCACGTTTCGTCACAAGTAGTTGTCGATTCCACGGGCAGGGAGCACATGCTGCTTCATTTCTACGTTCAAGCTCGCCCGCCGGGATCGAAAGCATTCGAAAACGGCTCCGAAGACGTGTCTTACGCCGACAAGGCATCAGCTTGGGTGAAGCGAACAGCATCATCACTGTCCGACTTGACAACGGACGAGCTCGCGGAAAAGAGCAAGGCTCGTGCACAGGCAGCTATGGACTCAACTAAGGAGTTGTTCCACTTCCTGAGCGGCGATCCTCTACCGAGGTCCCAACCGGAGCAATCGGCGAAAGAGGAGGTTCGGCAGGAAAAGGAGGAGAAGGGATGGACGTCTGGTGTCACGGGCCTGTTCTCGGGATTGAGGGGTACGACCAAAAGCTCTCCCGAGAGCAGAGACAGTACGGACGCCAGTGCGTACTCTGAGGGCGAGGTGCACGCCGATCTGATATTAGTATGTGTCTGTTATCTCGTATCGTGCACGCCTTTCACCTTGAAGTCTCCATTGCCTATACTGACCTTCCTGCAGAACGATGATGGATATTACAAGTTTCGGTACCTATTCGTGGACATTCCAAGTACGCATATTTCCCGTTACAACACAATGCTGGCTAATGACACTTGCCTGTAGATTCACGAAGCTGGAGCTCGAAGCGGATATTCGTCGAGCAAGCCGCCGGCGTACGAGACAACGAACCCATTATGTCATGGTCCTCATAATTACTTGTGCCGCCAACTGTCGACCATCCATTGAGACTATTGAGTGCATCGCAGAATCCCTGTGTATCATACAGTTGTATTACTACCAATGCTATCGCATTCACACCCACTCACTCACGATGTATGCAATGTAGGACAAGGAGATGTGGTGCGAACGGTGTGGATGATTTGTCTTGGCCACCTCATTCGCCAAACAATTTCTGGACGCGTTTTAGTACCGAATCCTTGTTTGGGTCTACGAGGGCATGAGCATGAGTATTCATGCTTAGAAGGCGACATTGACGCACCATATGGATGGTCCTTTGATGGGATCTCCAACAATGCAGGGAATGCCTGTTCATACTTGTCCACTAGGGGCCTGATTTTCTCTGCGATCTGAGCATTGTATCGTCTCAGTAAGAATAGCCAAGAACAGAGTATGATAACACGCACGTGCTGGTTAATTAGGAGGATGGCAACGTCCTTCCGCTGGGTGAACTCTTCAAAAGCTGTCTCAATCACTGGTACGTTGGTCTCTGGTAGTCTTGAATGAGCTCCGAGCATGTTACTTGTCACTGGAGATAGTTCCACTCACTAGAGTCAACGACGAGGAAGTTTCGCTTCTGACGTTGGTCCACTTGCCCGATGCCTGCGAGCAGCATACCGGTCACAGTGTCCTGCAGACGACGTTAAGCTGGAGTAGGTAGAGAATTGCTTGAGCCTGCGCACCTCATCGCCAATGACGGCCAACAGCGTGCGGTCCTTCGCGGTCGCCATCTCTCGCTCGCGGTGGTCGGTGGCACTGGGAAGCGCCGAGACTCGAGAGCCATACGTCACCCAAAAGGGAAGGCGTCCGGAAGGATCCCGTGACGTCGACGCGTCGCCAAATTGGCGTTTTGGGCGCTTACCCATCATTCAGCACATCCTTCAGCCACCTCTCGCAAAAGCTGGCTACTTCTCCTCTCCTCGCCATCGCTCAAGCACGTAGTAATGTCCGCTCCAACTGTCTCTGACATACTCAACAGGCCCCCGGCGATCTCGGAGGACACTCTGCAGTATGCGCTCTACCCGCGAGATGATCTCACCGATCGCGCTTCTGCGACCACTCTTGCAACTCTGATGTGTTCCTACGTCGACATATTGCTCCCCGATCATCTCTGGCACCGTGATGGCTTTGAGCTCAAAGTGGTAGAGAACGCAGACGGGGACGGCTGGATGCTCGAGGGGAGAATGAGAGTCGGGGACTGTGTTGATGATGAATGGTGTGCGGTCTGGCTGCTGAAAGAGCTCAGTGCGAAATGGGACGTCGTGATGAGGTGCGCTCACCCGTTGAACCTATCTTAGTCTTAATTGATATGTCTGTAGCATCTTTGATTCTGACGGTGAATTCTTGCTCATTGAAGCAGCGGAAGCTTTACCCGCATGGGTCACGCCTACAAATGCTGAAAATAGGGTATGGGTTTCTCGACCCCTGTGTATTCTGCATCTCAACCTCAGACTTACAACGACATAGGTCTGGATCTACCAATCTCGCCTGCACCTCATTCCTCTCCTACACGTCTCTGCCCCATCTAGCAAACCCCATCGCAGGCGTTACCCGCGTACAAAAGACAGCGATGACGAAGGCGACTTCACTCAGGACGATGATGACAGCTTCATCTCTGTGTCTGATGCTCTGACAGCAGTACGGGATCCGCTGGTAGATACACTTGCTCCGCCAGAAGTTGAGCAGCACGTCTGGAAGAGAATCTCCGGGTAAGTGTCAGCTCAAATTTACACACACCGATTCTCAACGTGAATTGGCAGATATCCTACTGCTGCTCGACAACATGTCCACGTCACAAAGGCATACCTCCCTGTCAACATCGCTAAGGCCTTGACTGTAGACGCCTCGCTGGTGCAAAAGCCGATTGAGACGTTCTATACCCGCGACGCTTTACAGCTACGTGTACGTACCCTTGTCCACTTAGTTGGGCGCGATACTGACAGACCCGTAGGCAGCCCACAAGATGTCGCGCTTTCCTCCGGAGCCTTCGGTCTTGACATCCGTGAAGATGACACGCACCTCGTATGCGCAGCTCGTAGGTCAGAAGTTTTACTCGCCGAAGATATTTGGGCGATGGCACGAGCAAGAAGGCACGAAGGAGTGGAAATGGCGAGATATTGGTATGAAGATTGTGCGTCTGTTTAGGTATCGACGCTTAGCTTGCCCCTCATGATGCGCATACAGGCGTGCGGCTTCGAGATGACATACCAGGAGAGTAAAGGTCGCGCGGACGCTACGAGGATATCTGCAGAGGCCATGAAGTTATCAGTGCGTGTGCTTGACGGGATTGTAGCATTGCCTTCAACTACTGACCATACCTAAGGCTACGGCGCGCAAAGAGACACTGAAGTGTAATCCCGAATACGCGAAATACATACAAAACCTCGCATCCTCTGGTTACTTCAAAGGGGAGCTCGAAGGGTCTCAGCTTTGGAATGAATTGGAAGATAAGGCTGTGGATGCATTCCTAGAAGCTCGGAGAGAAGAGTACGTAACCGCCCAGCGCAGAGATCATATGCCCAGCTGACGCCTTTGACTATGAGCAGCGATGCGAGTAGACCTTCCTTTGCCACCGCTGTCAACACCGCATTGTCTCGCACGGAGGACTTCACTGTCACAGCTCTCGATGAAGACGACTCCGACGACTGGCTCAACGTGGATGCTGGCTCGTTCGATTCGATGCTGGAACAGAGCTTTGGCACAAAAGATTCGTCAAATGACATGGATGTCGACCCGGACTCAGCGGAGGACCGTGTCGCAAAGCAACAGGCAGCCCGCTTGCACGATTTCGCCAAGAAAGTCGAAGAATTTGTAGAGGGCCAGGGCGACGTTGAGGGTGCGAGATTCGCGGAGTGAGTGTCAGAAGTCCGAACCCCAGATACTCTTCTTGATGCAACCCCATCCACAGCGAACAATTGTCAGATGAAGAGTCTAGCGGCGACGATGAGAGTGAAGGCACGGAAGAGTCCGACTTTATACCACCGGCTCAGCCCCAAGGCAATATGAGCGCGGACGAGCGAGCCCGGAGGCAGGCAGCCATGGATAAGCTCGTCCCTCCAATCGATGCATCGGACTACGGTAAAATGCCAGCATCTTATCACGCGAATTCACAAAGAGTTGCCCCCACGACCATGGAGACAGAGGTGCGAGAGGATACCCTATCTCAAAGTTCTACCGCGTCTGGTTCCGGACCGCGTCAACGGCCGATTCGACCTCCCATCATTCCTCGTGACAAGTATGATGGAGTTGACTCAGATGACGAGACAGACGAGGAAGATGGGGGTGCCAGTGAAGAGGACGAGGAAGACAAACCGCAGGTGGTCGGTGACATCGAGATTGACATGGAAGAGGAGGAAGAAGAATTTCTGGAATTCGCTCGGCAGGCACTGGGTGTGTCCGATGAGCAGTGGGGTGATATTGTACGGGATCGCAAAGACCGGGGTGGTAAGTCGCTCTGGTTCGCTTTACGGTGGTGAAGACTGATGATAAACTGGAACAGCGTATGTACCCTCGCAAGTCGTCGCAGAGAACAAACCGAAGGCGGCGCCGACAACATCTAACCAGGACGTAGACGGGGCTGCGACGAAAACCGACCACATCCGTATGCCGACTCCAGGGCCCCGGCCAAACGTCAATCCCAACCTGGATTCCTTCGAAGCTGTCATGCAAGCCATGGATACTGAACTTGCCCGGATGCGGTCGAGCACAGACACCGCTGCCGCTGGGAAGACCCGCGCCGCGGAGAAAGGTAAAGCGAAGGCAAGCGCAACAGACAGTCAGGATGTCGACATAGAAACTGCCATGGACGCTGAACTGCGGGCGGCGCTCGAGACAGACCAGAACGGCGGGGACGAAGATGATCAGGACGGCCATGGAGAAGGACTGGATTACAATTTGATCAAGAGTTTCCTCGAGAGCTTCAAGAGTCAGAGCGGCCTGTCAGGTCCAGTGGGAAATCTGGCAGGGAGATTGCAGCCGGGATGGACTCTGCCTAGGGACGAGACTTGAACATATTTGCGTAGTGTCAAGCGCTGTAGAGTGTAACTGCAGATGTAAGACTATTTGTATACTCACCCTGTCAGGCCCGTCGGTCATCTGTGCGTCGAACCTGTCTTTGGCTCTCGAGTTCAGCTGGTAGAAGTAGCGTCGGACATGGTTCAGAGAAAGGAGGGATAGATTGTAAGCTAACAAATTAAATCATCGTCAAGACCGTGCCGTACACCGCTGTCCAGAGGCTCAAGCGTCGCCACCCTCAGCATCGCCGCTCTCGCTCTCGCCCCCTTCGCCGCCAGTGACCGTGTCCTCGTTCTCAACAAAACCACCGTCGTTGACGACGGTGCCGCCGACAGCACTGCCCGTCGCGCCGCTGTACGCGTTGCCACCAGGGCCGAAGCCATCGCCTTCGCCACCGTTCGCTTCGCCAGAGTAGGTTTCCCCAGCGTCGCCACCAGTCTCTACAGCTTGTGTTCAGCGCAGGTCAGAAGGAGAGAACGGATGACTTACGGGCCGCATCGTTGAAGGTCTCGCCTTCCTCGTCGGAATGGTTGATGACGTTGCCACCATCGACGTCGCTGCTGGCACCCGTGTAGGCGTTACCACCCGCAGTGCCAGAGTCCTGCGCACGCTTGCGACGGGTGTAGTTCTCAGTGTTCACGCCGTCGACGATGTTGCCCGCGGCGTCACCACCTTGCGCGTCACCGGACTCGTCGAAGCCACCGACGCCCCCAGCATCTGCAAGGCGAAGTGAGCACATCGCGAGAAGCGGGGACTGAACGGACTTACTAGCAGCGGTGTTGTCGATACCATGGTCGCTGGCACTGACTACGTCACCACCCTCCGAGGGACCAACTGCACCGGAGTAGGCGTTACCACCTGCGCCCTTGCCGTCACCGTCACCGCCGTAGCTGAAACCGCTGAACCCCTCGCCGGCGGCACCACCAGTGTCTGAGGGTAACAGTGGTGAGCATTAGGAACAAAAAAGAACAGAAGGTACTCACTGCCATCGTTGGTGAGGGTGTCTTCACCTTCACCTTCACCACCTTCACCCTCAAACTCATCACCGCCGTGCGAGACAGAGACAACAGAGCCTCCAGAAGTGTCGCTGGTAGCACCTGTGTACCCGTTTCCACCGGCGGTGTTCTGGTCCGACGCGCGCCTGGCGTGGCTCGTGTACGCGTCGAGGGAAGACGAAGAAGGGTTATGCTGCTGCTGCTCGGCCTGGCGGTGGGTAGTAGGGTCAGGCTTGTTGTTGGAGTTTGAGCCTGTGTCCTGTCCGCCGCCGAAGATACCAGAGAGAAGCGAAGGGGCCGTAAGCGCCTTGCTTGCCTGCCCAGGAGTGGCGGGGACGGCGGGGACACCGGCTGGGGGCTGGAGCGGAAGGCCGTCCGTGGCGCCGAGATGGTTCATGGCGCCGGAGAACTGACGAGGGGAGTGCGCGGCCGCGGAGTTGGGGTTGGGCGAGGTCGGAGCGCCAGCAACGAGAGACGGGCTGACCGCCGCGGCGAGGATGGAGAACGCGATGACGGGGCTGCGCATCTTGAATAGGCTGTGAACTTGACGATGAGTAGAGAAGGGTAAACTAAAGAGGGGAAGGGAAACCTGGGATGAGGAGCCGTCGAAGCCTGCAGCCTCTTTATACGGTGCTGTCATCAGATTCATGTCCCGCCGCGGCTTCTGAAGTGGCTGACCACGACGTGAACGAAAGTTGTCTTTCGATCGAGCGGATTGACGTACAACACCTTCCTCATCAGGAAGGGCACCTTCCTCATTCGTCAAGTGCCTTCCGCTGCGCAGTGGCCTGAAACTTGTTAAGCGGTATGCTCAGAGCGCGCTCTGCACCGACCATGCTGAGCAATGTAAGCTTCTCCGCCCGCGTGGCAGCATGTACCATACCGTAGTCTGGCCCAACGTCCCATTAATGTAGAACCTAGAAGAAGGCGCCGACCGTTCGTTGCGCGCTATGGACGTTCATTTCCGGCGAATATCACGGATGGCACATTATAAAACGACGAATTCTTGACATACACTTGACATCAAAACTTCTGTATCTTGTGATCCTACCTGAAGTCAATTCAACGCGCCCAATGCCAAGGCCCACCAAATTTGACCTCTGGAAGGCGAATAGTATCTATCTCCTCGACGTCATCGTTGATTTCGTGTCCCGGTATTATGACCTGAGGCCGCGAGCGAAGAGCAAGTTCGTATTCTTCAGCAGCGCCGGGATCCGACCTCGAACGCTCCCGCCGCCTCCCAAGGGCAGCTCTCCAAGGCGCTATCTCAAATGCCTTGTCAACCTCTTCGAGCGATGCGCCTCTCGTCTCGGGCTGGAAGGCTAGGCAGACCAGCGTGGTGAGCAGAGAGCAGGTGCCAAATAGGAAGTAGGGTCCAGAAGACGTGCGTGCAAGGAACATGGGCGTTGTGAAGGCTATAATCCAGTTGACCACCTATGATTCGAGTCATATTCAGTGCCGATATATCGCCTATTAACTGTACCTACCCAATTTGCGCACTGCCCAAGGCTCGTAGCAGCAGCCCTCGTCCGCATTGGCTGGATTTCGCTGCAGATGATACGTGTTACAATAGCCCAACTTGCAGCGAAACCGACCACAAATATGTAGATCAGCACGATGATTGCCCAACGCCCCGCTTGTGTGTCTGATGCCTGCGAAGCGTACAAAGAGCCGATGAGCATCATGGACACTCCAATGACAGTTCCGCCGCAGATCATAGAAGGCCGGCGTCCCCCTAAAAGCTATGTCAATTGCAAGTCGCGCAGACTGCGGAGAACCCAGCTCACAATCATCGGCGAAAAATTGAACGATCAATGTGAAAACGACATTGATCAGACCTGACACCCCTGACGCAGCGAATGACGCCGCCGACGCCGATAGACCTGCTTGAGCGAACAAGACAGGTGCGTACTGTGCAGCCTAGAAGTTAGCCGCTGGGCCGTACTTACTAGGGCGATACGCCTACATAAAGCACGCCGTCAATTCCTGACGCCTAAAGATGCGGATACCTCAGTCTCTCAACGCTGTGATACAAACTTCAAGATGCACCTGCTGCATCCCCATCAGAAAGACCCCCAGGGCAGTCCTCGCTTTGACTCCCCGTTTCCACAATTGCTGTGCCTCTTGCCACCAACTCAGTCGTTGCACTGCATCTCTACTGGCGTTCTCTTCCGTCTTCTGGGCGTCAGCGGAAACAACATCCAACTTCACCCACGCAGCGTCTGCGTCAATTGCTCGGCCCACATGACGGAGCCAGCGAGGTGAATGCGGCAGGAAGGGCGACCCCACTGCTAATATAGCGGAAATCACTGCCTGCAAACCAAACGGAAATCGCCAAGAAAGAGAGGATGGGATCTGGACAGTGCCATAACAAATGAAATACCCTGTCTAGCGGTGAGAAAGAGACGGGGTGTAGAGCACACAGATGACTACCCACCAGAGGCGATGCCCATTGTGCAGAGCAGTTGCACCATTGATCCGAGCCTGCCTCTAGCGGATGCTGGCGCAATCTCTATAGCGTACACGGTCACTGTCGACAGAAACAAGCCTTCACCGATGCCGGCGACACATCTCCCAACGAACAGCATCGCAAGTGAACGTGAAGCGCACGAGATAGCGCTGCCAGCCGCAAATATGAATGCTCCCAGGGATATTGTTCTGGTCCTAGAGATGCGATCAGAGAGAGGCCCAGAAACTAGGGACGCCATAGAGGCGGTGACAAGGATAGTCGACACGATGAGGCCTTGAATCGTCGTAGACAACGCGCGTGTCGATGAGAAGTGAGAGATGAACTGCGGCATGGTAGTGACGGAGCCAATGCTCCCAGTGTCGAATCCGAATACGAAGCCTCCGATTGCCGTGAAGAGAGCACACCATACAAAGTTAGGGACGTGAGGAGCTTTGGGGAACCGGCGGAGAGATGTGCGAAGGCGCTGCGTGACACTCCAGGACGCCCGCGGCGCGTTGGGTACAGCTGAGACCTCCATCGAAGACGGTGGCAGAAGGCAAGAAGGGAAGGCAGGTGGATCGTCGGACTCTGGTAGGTCTTCGAAAGCAGCCGCGATCTACCAGGATCTAGATACTACTAGCCACCTGCCTCTGGGACGCGTGACCGTCGTCTGACATTACTTGGACGTAAGTACTTGATCTGTTCTAACTCACAATCTCAGGTTCTTGTAGAGGAAACCGAGTGAAATCATGCAGGGGCTACGCTGGGGTGAGCATGCCACGATTGAATTAGACGCATTACTACTGCACGGACACCAGATGTAGGTGAAAATATGAATGCTGTTGTGCACGTCGACGTTGTGAGGAACGTGATGGGGTGTACAGTATACAGTACTTGGACCTACAACAGCCCGTGTCACACTCGCCCACACAGTCATTGAGATGGCACCGCACCCTTATTTGTTGTGCCACAGAAGCGTCCGCAGGTTGTCCCAGTGATCAGAATCACGGTACAGGTACACCATGGAATTGAACATGCCAGGTTGGATCGTCTCCCCCCTTTCATTGAAAAGCCACATGACCGCGCCCCAACATAGCGCGGCGAAGACGGAGAACTTGGTGGCGTCGGGTGGTACAGGCTTTACGGAAGTGGAAGACGCGGACTTCATGGAGTACGGCGAATTTGCACGCGGGATGAACGACGCGACCACACGCGAACAAACGTACAAGACGATCTGGACCATGTGAGTCTGGCGACGAGGATTAATGGGCGTGTATGCTCACCTGTTCGTTCACGGCATTACGATCACCGAACACAGTGTATCCACCGATAAGACCAGCGATGAATGTGTCTGCGCTTCGATGCACGCCGCCATTCAGCCTCTTCTGAATGAGTAGAAGGGTCTTGTATATAGACACGAATTTGGCGAGATTCAGCGCGTGTTGTTTGGTAGCTCGGAGTATAGTGCGAAGCCTGGAGAGCCAGCTGTGGGACGGGAAGTGAGCAAGACAGCACTATGGGTGTTGTACTTCCACTCACTCCCCGCGTCCAAACAGAATGGCCATGATCAGTGCATGTGGAAAGCGTACTTTGACACCATACACGAAGCCATTTCGGGCACCCTTGACAATGGCGAGATAGTCGTGGTACGCAGGATCGGCCAGGATAGCCGATAAGGCAGACATGGTGTCTGCTACTGGTCTGCTACGGGGCACAGGCAAGAAGTGGTTTGGAGGTACGAGACAGCAAACGAGGAGTTGCCTCAGGCGGTAACTTAGCTGGCGACCCGGGCAACACGTGAATACGAGCATACAGTGGCAATCACAGGATATTGCACTCGTCGCTCGCCGCTCAGTTACTGACCGGTTACTGTACTGACATGAGTACTATTTAAGTGCTTTGAGCTTCATCCGCGGACCACTAGTACGACCTAACGTGTGGCCCACCTTACGGTAGGAGAACACAAGGTTTTTGAGTCCATGCTACGTACTACATTCCGCCGCTAGTGACGAGCACAGTGACTTCCTTCGTAGTTACAGTCTAAGATGGTCTATTGATAGTGATACTTACATAGCTCACTGCAAATCAAATTGCCAATCAGTAATATTCTTAGCGGGAGATGCAATTGAGAAATCGCCGCCGCCTTTCGAGATCGCGCCTGTAGTTGCAGTGAAGTTGCACAGTGCACACCGAAGGTCGCGCGACGCGCGTCTCCGAGTCGATCACGCCGCGACTGCTGGACAGTCTGGTCACGTTGACACCAAGTAGCGTACACCAGCTCGCCAGAGCAAGCATTCACAATCACCTCCTTAGACTGCCACTGCCAGTGCATATCTATCATCCAGTCGAACAATGGCTTCAAAGTCCAAGTCCAAGCAAGAAGAAGCTCTGCAGTTTCTCGACGATCTCGACTCCTTGGCGCCTCCAGGCGATGTCCCCGAGTCCACCCAAGGTTCTCACCCTCCTGGCGGTGAGGCCGAGGTATACGCATTCATAGACGAGATCACCCAGAAGAGCTCGGAGCCTCCTCGTATTTCGACGTCCCACATCGAGCGGCCCTTGTCGCGTGCAGGGACACCTGGGCCAACCGTCAGGAAGAGCACCGAGCGAGTTCGCGTAGGTGCGGCGACACCTCTGTTGCCGACGACCACCACCTCTGCTCCCAAAGCGGACGCTTCTGGCTCTCGTCTGGGTACTCCAGTCACTCCGAATGAAGGCGCTTACCAGGAGGCACAAGCTGCTGCTGGCGGTTGGGGTTGGGGGAGTGTATGGACGAGTGCCAGTGCTGCTATCCAGCAGGCTAAGACTGTTGTAGACGAACAAGTGAAGAAGAACGAGCAGGCTCGCAAGTGGAGTGAGGGGGTTCTAGAGTATGCAAAGAACGCCCAGCTCAACAAACTCGGTGCGTCCCTTCCGGCCACATAGCTCAGTCTTGACCCTGAACTCTGCTGTAGGTAACGACTTCAAGAGAGTCGGACTGTCCACCCTCACCGACATCCTCAATGTCGTCGCCCCGCCCATTTCGGAGCACGAAGTGATTCAGGTCTGGCTCAGTCACGATATGGCCGGTTATGACGGCGTCGAATCGCTTGTATACAGGGCGCTATCGAGGGTGGGTTGTTATTCAAGTGTGCCCTTGACACGATTGGTCTGAGTCTACCGTCAGATTATGGAGCAAGTAGAAGGTGGAGATCTCGTTGTCAACCGAGGCGATGAGTCTCGGCCCAAGGAATCCACAGATGGGAAGAGGGAGTTGAACGCCGTGGAAGGATTCGAAGCAGCCTTGAAGCTCGCCCAAGTAAGCTGAGAACGTTCCTGGGTGTTTCGAAAAGTTAATGAGGGTCCCAGGCCAATATTGATGAGATCATCAAGCGTAATGCGAAGCCCCTACAAACGCACCCAACATCGGCTCAAAATCCTACGACGTACTCCTACGTATACGTTCGCATACAGCCATACCTGACGACCTTCCCTCTTCCTCAACCGTCCGTTAACGCCGAGGTCGTCACCCCCGCAACACCCACTACACAGACGTCCTTGCAATTCCTCATTTACCTGTCAGATCCCACGCATCAGCTGAATCATTCCACGGTCACCCAAGCGGTTCCGGGCAATTGGCTCGACTTTTGGGACGAGTACGAATGGGTGGAAGATTTGGTCGTGGAGGCCATTCGAGTAGGCGTCGAGGTGATCGGTCAGGAGTACGTCGTCTCGCGAATGGGATGGAGCAATCCGACGGAGAGGGGACCTCAACAACCGGAACCAACTGTAGAAGAGACGACTGCCGCTTGAGTAGTGTTATGGCAGGATACATATTACGATTTGTGGATTGTATATCACTGCGTGCGCCAGGCTGTATGATACCAGGTGTTGGAAGTGTCTATGCGCCAACATGTAGTTAATCGTGGACTACGATGACCTTCGATATTGAGTATTGAGTCCTGGCATCACAGGTCGATTTGACATATATTCATCGCACCCGACCATGTGTGTATCGATACTATTTCACTAGCCTGAGGGTACAATGTAGTCGCTGAGAATCACAGTATCGAAAACGCTTGAACCGGCGACCACAAGACGAAACATACATTCTGCCAGCAGAGAGGTTTCAAATCCAGACAGCATTTGACGTCGAACAATTACTCACCTGACAGGTTCCTGAAATATAAGGGACCAATGGGAGGAGAACGTTGGGGTTTAACTCGGTCGGGTGGCAAAGACAGGTAACGCGGAACATTGGTAGCTTGATTGAGTACGGTGTCGCGATGTGCCCATAGGTCGGATATTGCGTCTAGCAGGCTTCGCCAATACTTTGCATCGTATGAGTACGGTCAAGATGAGATCTAACCGAAGTTCGAAACGTGGCTCACCTGCCAGATGTATCGCCAATGCCTCTCCATCTCTCCTCGTCTTCCCACAAGATCTCTTCGCGGCAGTCTCCGGAGTTGCGATGTCCTCCAGGTATGCTCAGCATAGTGCTTGCAGAAGCCAGGTCAGCCAAGAAATCAGCGTCGATGTCAGAGAATCTTATGCCGGTAGACCGCGAGTGCATGGATCCGCGCATAGACACGTCGACAGAGAGGACGTCCTCGACTTCCTCCGGTATAGCGAAAAGCTGCGCGCCTGGCATATGCACCGGCAGCGTAATGGGCGAAGACTCGCGTGCACGTTCGAAGCTCGTGCTTGTTGTCAGGAAGCCCGTTGAAGCATCGCCGTTCGCCCGGTTAGAGAAGTTGAGCTCAGCGCTGCCCGAGTCATAGTCTCCAATAGCTTCGTTCGACGCCATTGACAGTCCCAGTCCCAGTGCAGCGCTCACGGCGTTGACATCCAATCGGCCGTCTACAAGGAGGTCCTCGAGTTCCCAGCTAGGACAGACGGACACCACAGTCGAGCCAGGTCTTGAACTCTCCACGACAGGCAAGCTTGTGAAGGATTCGAGTATGAAGGAATTGCGCAACGGTGAGGGACCAAGCAGTGGGCTGCAGCTCCTGCGCTTCTGGAAGGGCTTAGGCTTTGCCGCCCGACGTCTTTCCGCTAACATTTCGATAGGCGACAAGGAGGTCGGCGGCGAGATAGTCCTGACCTCAGCTACGCCGTTTAGAAGACGAGTCGTTGGTGTCAGAGGCGCCAGCGCATACATGGCCGCATCATGTGCTTGTTGACGCGTCTTCAGGATCACGCCGTACGCCGGTGGTTGTGTAGTCGGTCGGTCTGCGGAGGACGTCTCTGACTCCCCGACTCGCACCCATTCCTCCGCAGAGACACTGCACGACCGTGGACGCGAAGAGCCTCGGTGAACGGGTGGCGGGACGGCAACAGAAGCACAGCCGTATACGGAGACAGAGACAGAGATGCCATCTATGCTGCCCGCGCTGATCTCGTTGTCAGGAGTGAGCTCCAACTCTGAAGATGATACTGGAGTGATCAGACGGAGTGCTGTGCGGGCAAACATTCATGTTAGGCCGTGGCGAATAGTAGAGGTGGCTTACTGGGTGAGTGGCAATTTGCATCAGCCTTGTGCGTGGTTGGTACGACGCCCGTAGCAGATGGTGGATGATCACCAGCACTCCTTGCCACGGTCGGGTCCTTCGAGTCGAGAGCCATCGCTAATAGGACGGGTTCCATAACCTGCATCAACGAGGGAGACTGCAGCTGGAGCGAGCCCATCCCACATCGAGACGGCAAATAGACAGGGGAAGGTACAGCAGGCAAGGGTGTCGCAGTAGTAACACATGGAAGGGAGGATGGATGTTCGCTTGCGCAGCTGTGGATATCTGCGTGACCACCATCTTCATGTGCGTTCCGAGAAGCAAAACACGCCTTGGCTGGCGTTGCCGCGCAGATGTGTTGGATCGGGAATTACGCGACGAACCGCCCAGAATGCGCGAGTATAAGACGGGAGACGGGGTGCAGGAAGGTGCGCCGCGGCGAAGGTACTGAACCAGGCCGGTGTTACTTGTACTGGGCTGAGCTCTCGTCTCCCAAGCTGGTGAGCCCAGGAAGCCTGTGAGAAAGGTTGTCTGTACGAGCTTCAGATGGAGTCGGACGGCTCCTACGCGCAGGCTGAGACTGGAGGAGGCACCAGAGCTGTGATCCGATGGGTGGATCAACTGAGTTCTTCTAAGCTTGAGATATCCAAGCTTGAGAGCGACCAATATCACGAGCGGCGAGAAGGCCAGCGGGAAGAGGTTCAGGGAAGACTCCACCGGAGGAGATGTCCCCACAGGTAGCGCAGAGATAGGAGAACAGAGACACAGCGCCAGGATACAACACAGTGCAACCAGAGCCATGATACATGTAGAGACAGTGGAAGCGCGAGTAAGCTAGGTCTGTGATGGCAGGTTTTACTTCTGGGGCACCTGGCGATAGAAGACCCTCCGACAAACAGAGCTCCGAACTAAACGCGGTCGCTCCCTTGCAGGATAACCCGTTGGCGCACCTGTGGTTTCGTTTTCCACAAAGAGCCTGATAGACCGTGCGGGGTAGAGAGCGGAGACCTGGCACAGGGGATCAAATACAAGGGGCTGTAGCCTGCAGCTGCAGGAGAACTGTTCTACATAAGTGAACGCGCGACCATGAACCTCAACCACCAACGAGATCACGTGAACACCTGCACCTCCGTTGCGTCAACGACCACTTTTGCGCAGATGCAAGTCATGCAAAGCTGCGCTGTCGTCCAAAGCGGAAATGGCTCGTCACAGTAAACATTCTCAACATCGTGCTCACGGAGAGAATGACATTATACCGGTCCAATCTACTATTTCTTCTGAGGCTCCTCAGCAGGAGGCGGTGGGACGGGCTTCAACTCGTCCGGCCGTTTCGGAACAGTACCATCACCGACCTGCTCCCACGGCGACAGAGCATCGAAGTTTCTGCGCATCTGCATTAGTGGCGAAGACACGTCAAAGGAAGATGACGAACCGGAAGGCCTGCGTGAGTTGCAGGGGCTCATAAACACGCGTTTCTTCTCCTCGTCATAGCGAACCTCAGTGTAGCCCTAACATACCCCGTTAGCACATCACCCAGTGTATAAAGGCATACGGTTTCTACCGTGAGCGGGAAGTCCTTCCGAAGGGGATGTCCCTCAAACCCTATTGCGCGCTTCAATACGCGTACGACCAGCTAGATATGCTCATACGTACCATAGTCGGTAAGAAGACGACGCCTTGCGTGCACAACGCATGAGTGGGGGTGATCTCACCGACGAACGGACCGAACTTACAGATCAGGATGTCCCTCGAAGAATACACCGAACAAGTCCCAGACCTCTCGCTCGTACCTTGCTCATGTTGAGCATGGTGCTTCGAGTTATGCGCATGAAAGCATGAACGCACCAATCCGCACCACTAAAGACTGGCACCGCACTCGGAACAGGGTCTGTCTCGCCAGCGTAGGTCTTGACTCTGATCCGGCCGCCGTACTTGATGCTCAACAGATGGTAGACGACTTCAAACCGCTGGTCCCTCTCAGGATAATCGACGCCGCTGATGTCCATACATCCTTTGAACTGGCATTGTGAATGATCGCGGAGGAAAGTGAGGACAGGGATGACGCCAGCGGGAGGGATGTATAAAGTCAACTCGTCCTTGAAGACAGAGAACTGTTGGATGAATTTGGGCAGGCATTGAATGAGATATGACCCATAGGTGTGAAGCTTTTCCGTGGCCTCGGCATACTTGGTTATTGCAGGGTTGGGCGACGTTTGTTCTTGGAAGGGAGATTCGGAGGCTACAACCACATGAATGAGTTGGCAACGGCATGATCAGGGATAATCATACCTCTCACAGGCCTTGACGTGTGCACAGCACGAAGCTGTCGTGTCCCAGCTACCGCAGCCCGACGGGGCGCCGCGACTCGAAGTAGCCTGCTTGTAGCGGCTAGGCGGACAGACATGGTTGTCGAGGACGAACTCGGCACCTCGGGCGCTACCCGGATGTGCGCCGCCCGAGCGCTCGTATATAGTACTTGCAACTGTCCACCACCACTCGTGCTCGTCCGCTGCTCTGCGCTATAACGCGCAAAGACGGCAGAAAATGGCAAGCAACGAAGCCGATGGCTCTATGATCTTTGACTCTCTCCCATACTATGACAACGACCTGGAGCAATTCCCTGTCCTGAGAGAGAAAGTAGAGAAGGAACTGGCTCGCGAAGCTAAGCCGTCACAGGCGTTGCATCCCCGCGTTCCTCCACCTGTAAACCTCTTCACAGTCAGTGCGCACCGTTTCTTAAGTGATCTCCACACAACGTACTGACCACGCCTCGCAGAACCACCCGCTGCTTGAAGCTGAGCTCACTCGCATCGAGTCTCATCAGCCACTACTTCCACTAGATACTACGCGGCATCAGCTGCCAGGTCCCCATAACCCCGGGAATGAGGAGGAGTGGAGGTTCGCTTTGAAGAACGCACATGCACAACTTGAGTACCAACGACTCCGGTCAGTGTCCTTGGAGCCCAGTCTGCTACAATTGTCTAATCCCAACGTAGGCATACCAATCTAGCGCTTTTGCAGCAGTACGGCTCGAACTCGTGGCGCATACACAACTATCTCACGGACTTTACGGCGAATAACATCGAAAAGACGTTAGAAGAGTTAAAGAACCTGACTACCGAAGTCAACCGTGACCGGAAGAACACTCAGGTTTGTCACTGCCACTCCCGTGTCATGATTCTCGTTGACATTGTCAAACAGGCGCGAATAGGGACACAGCTCACGTCGTTAGAAACACGATGGACAGAGCTCATTTCCAATATCCTGCAGATCGAGATGGCCAATGTCGCTTTGGAGGCGGAGATTGACAGGCTGAACAAAACCGAGGCAGAGCTTGCAGCTGGTCTCTGATGACGGCCCTCCCAAAATGTATATTTTAGTTGGTGTGTAGTATGTTAGCTATAACGATATGCGATGTAATGTGCCATACTGTCGTGTCGAGCCGCAGCGTTCTATTATTGTCACTCAGCTTTGTTTATCTAGGCTGGTGGCCCAGTGCGCAGTATCACATCGCGGTCCAAACATTAGCCATGATAGTCTATGTGAAGGCACTCGCGAAGGCAACCGGAGGGAGGGCGCAGGGCCATGCTCCTGTCTCTATGATCTCCTCCCATATGTGTTCGCATGAGCGAAAGAGGTCCAGCGTGGCCCTTGCGTTCTCAACCTGCCCCATGTTGTGTTCATTACGGCCCGGACGAAAGTACCATGTAGGTTCGGCTTACCGGGATCTCCCCATGTAAACTGATGTGTCTCCCCATGAATCGGTGCACGAGCGTCATCAACGGGAGCATGGCATTCGGTCTTGATCTGAGGCTGCGGCGGAAGGGCATAAAGAGGGCAATATCTCGCGTATCTATTGTGGAATGAGACAAACCCAATACCTGTAAGCATGTTACACCTGTGTCCGTTGACCAGCTACAGTGGTAACCATCTTACCGAAAGGGTTTGCCATAGAGCGTAGCCTATGATAATTTTGTCCCGGATCAGCATGGCGACCTGTCTTTGCACCTCGATGAATGTCGGTGCTGCATGCAATTTATGAGTAGTGAGTCTTAACCACCACGAAAGTACGAATACCTGATGCGAGTGCAGCCTGTTGGAGCCCTGTCTCAGCTGTCCTGTAGTCACTGACAGGTTGTCTGGCGATCATTGGTGAGCACGCAGACAGGGGCAATTAATGGGTACGACAACGCACGTAGGTCGAACAAGTGAATCTAGAAGAATGTTTCCGCGGTAATCCACGACGCTGACACGCCTAGTAACATGCGCTATGAGTAGTGAAGGAGATCACCGACGCGAACGTGAACCACTGACGCGACCATGGGGAGTCTTGAAACAATGCCGTAGTATACAAGCTGAGCATCGACAGCGACATACCTGTTCGCGTATCGTAGTTAAGGTTTTGGTGATACACGTATATGTGGCCCGGCACTTACTTCCCCGGAGGGTGAACCTTCGCAAGGCGACCTCGTGTCTGTGTTCTTGCTTGTATCGGTGCCGCTCGATGAGGCCCCGGCAGATGGCTGTCCATGCCATACGCAGAGAGTCGGGGCTGGTCAAACAAACAGCAATGGATGGGGGCTTAACTGAGTATCGCTACATCTCAGTCTTCCTTTCGCTTGGATCCGTTGAGACTCACAATTTGCAGCTTGAGGGGACTAGAGCGGCCAGCCTTCCGTTGTCCAAACTCGGTGCAAATGCGATACGCCGGCCACCGAGTGTCAAATGGGCCCACGCCATCACGCAGTCTCAATAGACGTCAGGCTGGCACCATTGTGAGGGTTCGGATTTCCTGACAGATCCATACCAGCTGTGGCATCTTTGCCCCTCGTATGTCGAAGGCGTCTTGACGTGCTTCGCGATGCGTGTAATCGACGGTCAGTGGTTTATTGCAGATGCCTGCGATGTCAGCGCTTCAGCAATGAACACACTTTGGGTGAGGTCTGCGTGGAATTTGATTAGTAGCCATTTGCCGGGCAAGGAGCAGTGAACACACTGATCAGGCGGTTATGGCGACAAGTTGGATTCACCGTGAGCTCAAACGTCTGTCACTATTGCCACGAATTCATCTAAGGAAGACTGATATATAAGTAAGACCATGTCTTCGGCTTCACTTCCAGGCTCAGAAGGTGACATGCCTACTTGGGGGATGTAGAATAGTCAGCGTGTTCCGCATGCCATCCAGTCCAGACGGTGGCAGCCACACGCAGAACAACGACAGAAGTCTTTCAGGATACATCACCGGCGGTATATTTTCAGCGGCGCACCGTCTACCTATCGCTACAGATCGAATTATACAAGGGGTCGCAATCAAATTTCCTGCGCCGACCGTGTCGCCAAGCTCTGCCATGGCGGTCCCAGCGACCGAGTCAGACGAGGCGCGCAAAGTCGTGGCATGGCCACTCACTAAATTGACTGGGCCTGCGTTACTGCCGACAGGTCGTCCACAAGCGCCCCGGAGTTGACTCTCGAAGTCTCCTTCCGTGCAACGCTGACCTGCTCGAAGCTGTGCATCCCTTCGAGGCCCCATCTCGCCATCATGGCTTTGTCTTCATCCCAAGGAGAGCCTGTGACATGAGATAGAGTCAGTCAGGACTGTCATGAAGGGGAACGGACCGGCGAACATACATGGTGTCGTGAGCATCTGCTCGCCGGTGAAGATGGCGTTAGCTCCGGCCATGAAGCACATCGCCTGCTTCGACTCGTCGAGAGTCTGGCGACCTGCAGCGAGTCTAATTATAGTCTGTGGCAACACTATCCTGGCAGTGGCAATCGTCCGGAGTAGCGTTTGGTAAGGGACAGACTATGAAGACGACACGGTGAGCGCCAATCACACCCATATACACAAATCGGTCACTTGCTTCGTTGTTCTCGAGCGGCGTGCCCTTTATTGGCACGAGAGCATTGACAGGGAATGACTCGGGGTGTTCTGGCATACTGAGACGGTCTCAGACAAAGTACTGTTGTTACTGAATCCACGCCCACGTACCTGGACACCTCCCAGATCAAACCAACTCTATCCTTGTCTGTCTCGCCGAGGCCAAGAATACCGCCGGAGCACACACTGATTCCTGCCTCGCGCACCGCCGAGATCGTGTCCAGACGCTCGTCATAGGAACGCGTGGTGATGACCTGGAGTCAACGACAGATGAGGTGCACTCAACCCCGCGGGCAGCCTGTGTGCGCACCTCGGGGTAGAACTCTCGCGACGTGTCAAGGTTGTGGTTATATGCTGTCAAGCCACTGGGCATCGTCCGTAATCAGGCAAAAAGCAGCGAGGTAGACAGAGCCGTAGAGACGCACGCTTCCTTCAACTGTTTCGCCTGCTCAGGGGACAGCATGCCCAACGTCGTGCATACCTCCATACCCATCCCCCGGACTTCTCGTACCATGTGCAGGATCTTCTCGAAACCACGCTTGCGACCGGCCAAGTCTCTCCACGCCGCGCCCATGCAGAACCGAGTGCTTCCGTTCTCTTTAGCCTTCCGGGCGGCTTCGAGCACGGGTTCGACGTCAACAAGACGAGATGCCTTCGTGTCCGTCTGATACCGGGACGACTGCGAGCAGTACGAGCCTGCAACAAGTGTCAATCTACCTCAGCTGTCGCTGCGGAGGAGATAAAATACTCGCAATCCTCCGAGCACCCACCCGCTGTCGCACGCTATGAACTTCTGCTAGGCGGATCAATACCGGGATGCGACGCACTTTTGATGTTCATGAGGGTACACAATTGAATCTTGCTCGGGTCATGGTGCTCTCGATGTACGGTTGCTGCTCTGAAAGTGAGATCCAGCAGCGGGCTGTCGTAAATCTTCTGGATCTCGAGCTTCGTCCAGTCATGGCGGACAGCAGAGGTGACGACACGCGCTTGAGGTGCATGGGTAGCAAGGCATCGCGCACGCAGCGCAGGAACGCGGAAAGAGTGGCGGACGTGAAGCATGGCGTGCAGCTGCGGCGAGCGGGACGTGCAGGCGTGGTTTATGGACGCGGGCTCTGGGGGCTAACACCGCAGGACGAGCACGGCTGGCGGAATTTGAGGGGCGATTTGCGACCGGGGTGGCCAGTCGGGTATGCTGGGGCACTGGGGACTCGAGCCGATCTCGATCTCTGATCATATCTCAAGTAATCCAATCTCACTCTGTCGTTCTGTCGTTGCTTGCCTGGCGCTTCGCCACCGACCTCCCAAACTTCTGCAGCCTGGGTAGCATGCATGCGGCACAGACATTGTCAATGTTGATATTTTTCAGGCGCTGTACGGCAACGTCACCTTAGGCGAGCTGGTCATAACCACCTTCCATACGAAGACATAGCTTGAACTTCGTACTTTGAGGGGAGGCTGCGATGAACTGGGTGTACTTAGGTGCACTGTCGACGCTATACTAGTCAGTCGCTGATTCTCGTCTGCATAGTTCTGTTGGTATGCCCTTCAAATCCAGGTGTCGTAACGCCCGAACATCGCGGCGTAGACGAGTCACCAGCAGCGTGAATGCTCCACTGGCATGTCACAGCGGTCCAGGCCCTCCCTGACCGCCTCTCTCACGAATTCCCCATGTCGGTGGTCAGGATTTTCGCAAAATGACGCTTGGTGTTTCGACTGACGACTCTGCATACAGCCTACTCCCACTACTGCTGATTCAAGAGAATACACAAGGGAGACTCGCTTTCGCGGCATCGGGTGAATAGTCCATAATGCACTGACAGTTCGTGTGTGTCCCGCCCGCCCATGGATATAATGTTTGAATCCAGAAGGTGGGCTTGCATGTCGACTACCTCGAAACGTGTACATATTCGTCTTGCCGTGGAGTACGGAAGGAATGGCTTGCACCTATCTCACCCCAGAAAAGCTACGTCACGAGCGGGGTGAGTCTTCGAATGCTTGCTCCACGGACGCGCACAACCTTGCTCACAAGTGCCACAGATAACTTACTTAGGGTGAGTTGCCCAGGCCGTAGGCGGGAAGGCGTTCCATGGGGAAGGTACAACTGTCCACATTTGTCCTACGCTCTCCCCTGCTGAATAATTCGATCACAGGTCGCCTTTGCGATTCTGATCAAGCCCTTTTCGAATTCTACACGACAGTTATAACGTGGCGAACAACATGACATCCCATGATCGCTATGTCGTCACATCCCACTATGAGCAGACGATAGCTTGCGTTTCTATCAGCTCCGGATCCTCAGAGCGGTAAATTGTGGCTCCGATGTTCTCTAAGCCCCACACAACGTAGCAGTGGAGTGGGCAGGTAATCTAGTGCCGTTTCAGCCTACCCCAGCTTTCGTATGCCCAAGACAAGGCAAGTGGATGGTCTTGCCGCTGTTATTCTTGGGCTCCAAATAAAATAAGCATAGGTCTCCGTATCGGATTCTGCAGACTGTGTCAACTGCGTCACAGAGCATCTAGGGGACAGTGGTCCTGCGGTCCTCCGCGGACATGTAGGTAAGTTATGAATGAATCGGTTGATCGGGGATGTCCAATGGCTGACATACTAATGCGCGACTTACCCTCCTTTAGGACTATCGCGGGCGAGTTGACGTTGATTCGCGAAGAACGTTTTAATGCACGTTGAAGATATTCAGTTACGGCGTGGCGAATGCGCAACGTTTCGGCGTGGCACCGATATCTACCCCATTCTCGTACGGACAACGTCACTGCACCACTCTTCGGGCGAGTACAGCGAAGACACTTCGTTTCGCTCGCATCGTGAGCTGACACGCGGCATGCATATATATAGGGCTGCCAGTGATAGAAATACAGTATGCGAGTCACGGCCTTTTATAAGTAAGGTCCATGAATATGCTTGTGTCCAGATATGATGATGGTATGAATATCTCGTACAGCCAGAACAAGGGAAAGACAATGACGCAGCAGACATCCGAGTTATGGCATCGTGATGCAAGGTATAGCCGTATTAAGCACGGCGGTTAAGGAAGCTCCTGCGCTGAATGCGTGTCAATTTCGGTACGAACAATTCATAGCGTGGTTCGCCGCTGACCTTCGTCGTCTCAGACGCTGCCCGCAGCGATAGCGCGGCCTTCATGATTTCCGCCACTGAAGGACCTTGAAGCGTAGTCGATTGACTGTATACCTGCGACAGCGTTCGTCATCCGGGGTCAAACACCGCGCGAGTAAATGAATCTGACCTTGGGATGATCGAGGTGACTTGTCCTTCGGCGGAGACGTTCGGCGGGAGGCATCTTTCGCCTTCTCACTGTTCATAGCCTGGCGGGCGACATCCCATTGCCGGGATGTATACTCAGCCAGTTCGCGCGAGTATCGTTGCTTCTGGGTCTCCACGGAGTGCGTGTCTCGATAGGTGGCTGTGGCGGTCATGGCGGGATGGAGAGTGCGCGGCGGCAGGCGAGAAGTAACGGTGGAACGGGAAAAAGCCCTTGCCAGAGGGATCGTGTCGGGGTAGACTATATAGTCGCCTGCGAATTGATGATGTTATGCTGCCTCCGCTCCGTTTCTCCAGGCGACATACTCCACGTCTGTCCACTGACGCCATGCTCCATATGCGGCAGGTTTTCAAGATCACAGTGCGGGGTTTCATCTCGTGGCGCGCGCGTCCCGCCACATCGGTGGGCCGCGGCGGCCGAATTGTCGGATGCCTCACTCCCAGGTACTGCAGTAATGAGGCATGTAATGCGCGTCGCAGAAAGGACTACTAGTTCTGTCTGTGCGAGGAAGTGTGTTCATCCTTCTTTTGATCAGCCATCATCACTCCTCGCAATTAATATTGATGAAGTTATCGTAGTCGATTCAGGATTTGCTCCCGCAGTAGTAGTAGTCCCAAACCAGCTTTGTTATGCATCGAACGACAGCGTACATAGATATGAATATACAAATGGACAACAATGCGACAATGCGAAGGAAAATGCGAGGCACCAGAATTACAAAGTCCCTATGCTACGTAGTGTTCGCGACACTAATGATATGTAAAGCTACAGTGAACCAGCCATGGAAACAGCGACTATTGACACAGATGACCGAGCATGCAAGTGCGCGATGGTAAGGTATATGTGGAATGCACGTTGATCGTCCTCGTTGTATCTTCATGATAGGCATTCTTGCAAGCGCGGGCTAGCCGCGTCGATGCGGTCGTGGAGAATGTCGAAAGGAGTGTGAGGACAATCGTTTTGGATGTCTGATGCGCTTACGCGCGGGAAGAGCGCCAGTTGGAGCTCCAGGCCTTCGTCCTGGGGGCAGCGGGCGCTGGCTTGGCCTGAGGAGCAGGGCGCCCCCCACCGAGCATGACACCGCCAGTCAAGACGGTGGTCTTGCCTCCGTCATAGTTCGTGACGTCCGTCTTGGACGTGTCAATGAAGACCCGCGCCTGCCTTGCCTTCTCGCGACGAGAGAGCGTGGCCTTGGACTTCTCCTGCTCCGGAGATAAAGACACGGTGGTGGCGGAGCTGAACGACGCAGCGCTGCCGTTGGAGAAGAAGGAGAAGCCCGAGCTGGAGCTGGAAGAGCTGGAGCGAGAGTGCATGGACGTGGCCGAACAGACGGAGTCAGGGGAGGACGTCTTGGAGCGAGCGGGGACGGGGACGTTGGGGAACTGCGTGAGGATCGGCGTCAACCAAGTAGGCTCTCGGACTTCGTCCGCGATCATAGCAAAGAGCTGCTCGTCTTCGTCTTCGTCTGTCTCGAGGAGCTGCTGCGCGAGCGTCTTGTTCGGAGACGGCGTGGAAATCGCAGCAGGCTGACGGCGCGCCTCGGCCTTGCCCTCCTTCACGAGGTCTTCGGACCAGACAGTGAAGTACTTGCTCACTTTGCCCGTTTCCCAGTTGCCGAAGCGAACTGAGATGCAGCCGGGGTCAATGAAGAGGTCGAACTCGATACCGCCGAGGAGGGCGATCCACTCCGTCCACTCCACCTTCGCGCTCTTGCAAGCGTTGTAGATGGAACGAGGAGGGACGGCGTGGGGAGAGAGCGTGAGGCAACGGCGACCGGACCCGCGGAGAGGCTCGGTAGGGACCCAAGAGGACGCGAACTGGGAGGTGAGGTTCGCCTCGAGTGCAAGCTGGAGCTTGATAATGGCCGTGGCGGAGTAACGTACGATTAGGGGGCGGGTAAGGTAAGCGATCGCCTGTGCGAGGGTGACGGAGAGGGTGCCAAACGTGGTGGTGGAAGCGGCCATGGCGATGAGAGACGTTGTATCAGGCGTTATGTGGTTAAAAGAAAGGCGGTAGTTGACGAGAGCGAGTGAAGGTGCGTTGCGAGGTGGATCGACCTGCGATGGGGTTGCGGTAGAGGCTCGCTGAAACTGAGACGTGAAGGGGTATGCGATAGAGTGGCTGATGAGGCGTGCAGATGGAGTCGTGTAGGGCGACGAGTGTCGATGGATGCGACAAGTTTAACGAAAGGTCTAGACCGGTGGGAAATCAGCTCGGGCACAAGGGGGCCCACAGGGGGCGATGCTCACCTAACAAGAGGCTGGTCTGGGACTAACGAGAGGAGGATGCAGTGGGAACCAAGTCCTGGGTTGGTGGAAGTAGGGCGACGGCGGGGCATTACTTATAATGAACGCGGGTCGGCTGGGGCGTCTAGGCAGAACAATGGCGACGATAGCGGCGGTGCGGGCGTAGCCAAGCGAGAACAAAAGACGGCCTTGTAACAAAAACGACTTGTGCACGCTTCCCAAACAGCTGCCTTATTCGGACACAATGACTGCCCGCTTCGCTGTTTCACCCCACGTGGCCTGTCTTGCTCGGCAACTGCCATTATGCTGTTCACGCCCCCTTCACACTCGTAATAGGCACACAGAAGCCATCTGGCCTCGTCTACGCCGTAGTCTCTCTGATGGGCTCAGCTCTCCATTATTATCCTCCATATCCGCCCACGTCTTCCGCCGTCCCGCTGCATGCGACACCGTATTGCCAAGGCGCGACTGAGCGATACTTCCGTGAAGGGCTTTGACAATGCGCGGCGCCACCCCCTTTGAGTCAACTTGTGGCATCTTGTCGATGCCGAAGTGGTTGTCTCGCAAATACGTACGTCCGCGCGTTTCGTCCGCGCTCAAACCAGTGAGTACCATTGTAGATGGATATATATATATATATATATATACATGACCGAGGCGCATTCGTATGTTTTGATTGCAGAGCGCATCGACAAGTAGGCAGCGCTGCAGCCCCAAACCGTCTCCTGCGGCATCCGCAAAAGGTTATTCACCGTATTGCCGGCGAGATGGTAGCGTTGAGTAGCCGCTTCTGTCAAGCTTCATGCCCTATTCACAACGGATGAGTCACTGCGAGTTATATACATATGTAGTTCTTACCCGTCGAGGGCGACTGAAGTAATACCGAGTGCTTGAGGCCGTCGTGAACGAGTAGAGAGCTTTGGACAAAGCAGAGAGGTCGTGTGCAACCTGATCGGAACCGATCTGAACCGCGTTAGTCACATCGAGTCGGTTCAGCCACCCTCGGAGAATTGGAACTCCGCTGAACTCAAGCCATGCCCTTGAACCTTATTAGAATCCCTCATCCACGCCCGGTCGACGACTCAGCGTCCCTCAAAACTTCGCCCTACTCGGTGCCGTCCCTTGTGTCCTTCCACTCGCTACATACTCAAAAATGGTGAGCACTGCTTCGCAGTCTGATAGCTAGCAGTCTGATTGTGATGCCCCGCAACGAAAGACTCTCGCCGTCGATCTCCTCAACCCCCTCCCCGAGACTGAGAAGAGGAGCCACAAGCTCAAGCGTCTTGTGCAGTCCCCTAACTCGTATTTCATGGACGTTAAGTGCCCTGGTGAGTGCAGTGCTATGATCATAACGCATCGCATCATGCTCATACCCTGCCTCTACTAGGCTGCTTTGCGATCACGACTGTCTTCTCGCATGCGCAAACCGTCGTTCTCTGCGGCGCATGCGCAAGTGTGCTCTGCCAGCCTACTGGTGGTAAGGCACGGCTGACGGAAGGTATGTACTTAACCAGTTGACTCATTTACGTATTGCCTGATCATATCCTTTTGCAGGGAGCTCGTACCGGAGGAAGAACTAAGTTGTCTTTCGCTTCCTTGTCACCTCTGTATCGCACTACCACGTAGCATCTGCGCCCACAGTATCGATATCATCATGCTTTCGTCACGCTTCGCTACACTCGACTCCGCGTCGTGTACTCTCACAGTAAAATCGCTTCCTCACTATGCTGCTGTGCGTGTGGGAGCCATGCGGGACGAAGGTTAAGTAACCAATATTCTAGTCATCCATGTCATGCGATGTATGATCCAAGCTCACTATGCACTTATATTCCGCTCCTGTATTAGATAAACTGTCCCTCGGTCACGTAAGCTACGGTCTAAGGTTGAACTGAACATGAGTGTGTTATCCATATGTTCCCGAGCTAGATCTTCGACTTGATATTGTGCGGTTGTTGTGCAGCACCGTCCCCTCTAGCGCGAACGACGCCTTCTTGAGAGGCGACTGCAATCAACGTTCCACTACGGCTGTACATCTGCGTGGATGTGTCAGTCTTCCAGTACTGTTTGACACCTATGACTCACTCTGCCATGCACAACTCCCCGACCGTTGCCAGCCCGTGGCGACTCGACCTGCAAAGGACGATGTCAGATTGCCGACGTCGTGTGAAGCGCGTAGACAAATACCACGTAGAGGATCCAATCACCACAGTCAAAAGAATTGCTGGTAGGCCAGATTGAATGAATACGACGTGTGTCAACACATGGCCGCGACTTACTCGTAAAACCACATGGTGTGATCCAAGGAGATCTGAATTAAAGTATTGAGTCTAGGTACCGGACCAGGACGGCCGCGGAACTAATCACCAGCATATTGAGTTGCTTGGGACCCTCAGTGTGTGAATTCAGACCCAGTGTACGTCGCACGACCCCGACGCTGTGCAGAAGATACCATCAGTGACAGTACAACACACCACGGAGTATGGGACTGACAATTGAGAATCTGATATATAGGCCAGGATACACTGCGACGTCTCAGCACACACTGACCACAGACACAACAATAGGACCTCACCTTCTGGAAAGGGGCGTCATACTTCGGGATATTCCTCGCCTTGAACCACCACATATAAACAGTAGCACCGTCAGACGCGTTGGTAATACCCGCTGTTTTGACTCCCATTGGGCTCTTCCTACGCTCCTGCAAGAAGCGCATGAGGAGAAGCACCTTTCAGTACACGAAAGTCATGCCTGTATGTATTCCTCCGCATACACTCTGAGCCTGGGGTCCAGATCTTTGCGAAGAAGCATGCGTTCGTAGTATTCTTGTACATCTTCGCAATTCTCCGGATTCGGTACGTTGGGAGGCATGGGCCATTGATGGACAGGCTGCCCACGCTCAGGCCTTTGGAACGAACAGAGCATCACGAATACGGTGCGGCCGCGCTGAACGGCACTGACCGTCCGTGTCACGTACGAGCGGCCATCACGTACTCGCACCACCTGGTAGATGATCGGAATGGCTGGCGACACGCCCAGCAGGAAATAGCACTAATGGCACGTTATGTCGAGGTCGTTTGTGAAGGACAAGATGGTACCTACGTGCAAAGACTTCAAGCTAACTGAGCCTCCTGCATGCACGTACTATAGGGGAGGCTCCACTCACATGCAGAGCGTAATCCGGAGACACACAGTTCGTAGCCGACACGAGGGCCTGCGAGATGACCTGTCCACCGTAGACTCCTCTAGAGCGAATCGGAAGCCATAGTGACTTGGAGCGGAAGAGGTTGGTGTCGAGCTGCTCTACCTCCAAGGAGGTGGATATCTGCTCGTGTTCCTCCTGTCGGTTGTTTACTTCGGCCATGGATGCAGAGTCCTAATGGTGAAAAGAGCAACGGCCACGACCAGCAACGACAGTGAGAATGACCCGCTTTTACATCCACTGTCGGTGGCATCCAGACGACCGGCGCGCCGGACTACGATGGCAGAATCAGACGCGCTGTGTCCAATATGCGGCTACGCCGGGTCAGTTTTCGTAGCCGGACGCAGCAGCCACCCCCGCACTCGGGATTGTCTCGGTGTGCTGTCCCATCCCCGAGGCGTTCGATATGATGTACACAAGCAGTAAGTATGCCAGCTGCAGTCTCACGAAGCGTAGTACATAGGGCGCCCCAAGTCCAATCCTCCTTGACGCGATTCATGGAATACATGGTGCTATCCCGTCAGAACTCCTCCACCTCAATCGTGAAGCCACACTCGTGACATACTTGCTGGCCGACACCGTCTGCACCTTTCTCGACCACTCCGAAAACATGTTTGTGCTCCTGGTCCTTTCGCTTCTGCCAAACTGTTTCCCGTGTCCGTCTCCGCAGCTCCTTCAATCCTTCTTCGAATTTCTTATTCTTCTTCTTCTTCTTCTCAGCCGTCCGCCGCTCCCACTCTGCATCCAGGGCTTCCGGCGATCCCCACTTCTTCCATGCGAATTCCTCTACCTGATACCTGAGGAACAGCATCATGTTTGCAAAGGTGGATTTGTGAGGATTGGCCTTGAGCAGATGCGGCATTAGCTCTTGATCTCGGAGTTCCGCTGTAACACTCGTGAGCAGGGAGTAGCAAGGCGCGCAAGTCGACTAACCATCGGTCAATAGGTAATCCTGGCACCATAGCGTGAGCATGGTGTGCGTTTGCCAATTGCCACTGGTCGGCTTACCTCTTTACATTCTGTCTTTGTCAGAAGGCTATACTTCTCTGGCTTCTCGTTCTTGCATCTATTGCACACGAGACAGCCAAAGACCTTCTTATACGTCTGGTCTATGTCGATCGACTGACATTCTACGCATTTCGGGTTGAGATTTGGATCAAGGAAGAGCGCTGGAAGAGCCTATCAGCACCACTAACACGTTCAACGGAACGATGAGACGTACGAGGTTCCAAATTCTGCATCGCTCTTTGCCTTTCGCGTTCCTTCTCCTTGGCCCGTAATTGCTCGTCAATCTCCTTCCCGTCCTCCACTAAGAATCCTCCTTTGGAATTGACCATCTTCGATAAGTCATACTCGAAGTATTTCCCTAGCCGCGAGTCGCGTCTGAGTTTCGTAGGCGGCTTAGGGGCTGTTGGTGATGTTGAATCCGCAGGGACGACACCCATGGTCCGCTTGCCCTGGCTGTTGGGTACGGAAGAAGGACCGGCCTCCAATTCACGCTCACGTTGCCTAGCCTTCGCTGATGAACAAGAGAATGAACTCCCGGAAAGACGGGATGGCTGTGGATGCTCGCACCTTTCAGTCTGTTAAGCTCTACCCGCTTCACTTGCTCTGGAGTAAGCTCCAGATTTCCGGGTGGCCGCGGAGGGGGAGTCGTGAGCCTGGATGCGTTTGTATTTCCTTGCTCCATAATGAGGTGAGTATGAATGGGTTCTAAGGCAAGACGGGAATCGCCGCTTTCTGTCGTGTACAATCTTCGTCGTTCGAGAGAGGCGTGGTTCCCGATTGGAATTAAGCGGGTCGATCTTTGTAAGCGCTGGCGCGGTCTGTGGCGCAGAGTCATGCGAGGTCCTGGACTCCTCACTGGGAGCTGTTTAGACTGAGGCATAGACTGTATCGCCACTTCACATACGTTCGTATGCGGTGAAATTCGGAGTGAGTCAACCATGCATGAGATTACTGAGCGAACAGAGGAGCAAGTACAACAACAGATGACCGGACTGCGACGAAGTAATAGTACTGGTACCCCGAGTAGTACACCAACACAGAATATCCTCCCGGGACTAGCTGGTGCCTGTACTCGACACCGGCGGGTCAACCGCCATGCCATTTGTGGGAGCAGCTACAGGAGGCTTTGACCTTGATCTGGCTCTGGCAGCGACGCTGGTCTGTCCAATGGAAGAATCGTCATCGATGTCCATGTCAGACTGCCCTGATGACCCGACGGTCATGCTTGGGGGTGGGGCACTGGCAACGGACGCCGCCGCACTAGGTCCCAGGCCGTGGGTAGTGCCGGTAGTCATAATGCCTACTGCTGCACGACGACCAGTCCCAGTGGCCACATTATCGCGCTCGGCATGACTGGCATGGTCGCGTCTGCCGCCTTCCCCCTCGTCATCGGAATCAGACAATTCGCCATCGGCTTGACGTCTTGCATCCAACAAACGCTGCGGACGTCGCTCATCTCGAGAGATCATGTCTTCGTCCTCGTCTAGATCGTCCAGGAGGTCGTCCAAGGGTATCCGGGGTACATCTAATCTCCTGTCAACTTGATGATTAGAACTCAAAGGATGTCTCGCCGACCTTGCATCTGAACACTCGGTGGTCCGCCAACATGTCTGAGATGTTCCAGTACGATGCCTTTGACACGGTCCAGATAGCCAGGACTATTCATGTCCTCCATGTTGGATGGCTTCACGTCTAGTTCATAATCCGGTCCAAAATACTCGTAGTACTCGTTCATCGGTATTTCTGACAAAGACATTGAGGTGAAACTCGCGCCAAGAGGACAAAGCACTCACCTGAACCGAGTTCAACGCCAGCGGCGAGACCGGTTTCGTATGCCCAGCACCGACTGACATTACGCATAGTGTAACCGCCACCCCCGAGGATGAGTAATGGCTTGTTGAAGGACTTCACGAATTTCACACAGCTGGCGTGACCTTCATGACCTCAATATCGCATGGTAGTACGAGACAGGGATCCATCACATACCTTTCATGGACAGGTTGAGACAACCTAGTTTGTCACCGGAGAGCGAATCGGTACCACACTGCAGAACAATAGCTCCTGGGTCGAAGCGTTCCATGACAGATCGGATTACCTGAAAACGCCGTAAGTGAGACGTGGATATCACTCCCGCCATCAATCACAGTACCGGTTCAAATACACTCTTGTAGCTCTCATCGGTGACACCGTCCCGAAGGGGAAAGTTGAGAGCGTAGTGCTTGCCCTTACCAATGCCCACATCCTGGTGTAAGGTGCATGTCCGTTGCGATAAATCAGTGAGACTATTGAGTACTGAGAGGTGCACGCACCCGGAGTTCGCCAGTACCTGGGAAGAACTCTCCGTACTTGTGAAAACTGCAGGTCATCACACGATCTGTGGTGTAAAAGGCTTCCTCGACACCATCTCCATGGTGCACATCGATGTCGATGTACAGGACACGCGTGTGGTATCTGGATAACGATGCTTGAGGTTTCGCCTCTATGAGGTTAGTCGAAGAAAAACCAACCGCAGCAGCTCAAGTATGCCTAGCACAATATCTAGAACCGTTTCAGAGTCATCGATGTAAAGCGACATGCCGCACATACGAACCATTGACGTAGCAGAAGCCACTGGCTTCACTTTTCTTTGCATGATGGAGCCCACCCGCCCAATTGACTGCAATGTCACATTTGTCGCGACTTAATCGAGCAGCGCCCTCTTAAACGATCATGGTGAGCCGATGTGAATGGGCTGTGGCGTCATTACTCACCCATAGAGCCTCCCGCTGATATTGAGCAATACTCGAACAAGCCGTCGAACACCGGACAGTCATCGCCAACATTATCTGTTACAAAGGTGAACAAGTCTTCTTAGCATATGCGCCAGAAATCAGGATAGGCACGGACATTTGTGCTGTTCCTTCGTATAATTGCCCATGCTGCTGGGCGTGATTCGACTGAGGAATTCGACATATTCATCAGAGTGGAACTGTGTCATCTCGCGTTTCGTCGCGGGTTTGGCACGCTATACAGCCGTTTAAGCCAGGCAGTGTGAATCAAATGCTGTATGTACGCACGAAGATCTCCATTTTCTTGTAGAGGCCATAGTTCATTACCAGTGAATGGCACATCCGGATCCGCGTAGGCTTCATCCTGTAGTTATAAACGACAATGCAGGTATATGGAAGACGCAGCGATTACAGGTAAAAAGGATGCGACTCACGGATGACCGGGCCCATAATGGAAACCGCTCACGTCCGAATCGAAGAAGTAGCACTAGCGGGGAACAGCCGTTAGCCTCGGAGTGCAAGTCACATAGAATGGGCAGGCAGATAATACACACGACACGCTTCTTGGGTTCTCCGTCTATGGGATTCATAACCGGCGCCATGCTGCCTACCACAGGGAGAGTGAGGACGGAAGACCTGCCAAAGCCCAGCACAAGCTGCCGGTGCACTGTAGGCTGCTGCAGCCAGCTGCCACACGCCAGGCGCCGAGCGCCGCAACAACTTGCGGCACGTGACCAGAGTGCTTGTTTGGCAAAGGCATTTGATCCTAACAAATGACGTAACGTATCGCATGCATGTTTTTCGTAAAGTATACTCTCGCCGTTGAATTGGCTCACAGGGCTCTGTACGAATTCACGCTACAGACAAAACATAACACGCTCTAGGACTAAGACAGCATCGACAGTACGACTGAAAACCATGATTGGGATTTACATCTTGTGCTTGCCGAGCGGCGCTTGCGAACCGTTGTGTACCAACGTGGACGGCGCGAAGCCAAAGGATTCCTCCAGATGGATACCCTAGGTCACAGTGAGCCTGCGGAAGCTAGCAGACTGGCAGGCTGGATACGCACAAGTTCTCCAGCGATGACCCGTACCTATACGTGACCGATTAGTCTTCAAAACACGAGATTCTGGAAGTCACTCTACCATTGACCAGTGATGGACTGCGTGTAATCCAGCAAACCATAGCTTCAAAAGATGTTCAGTGATTGTTGAGATACATCAAGCAAAACTCACCTCTCGCCCGAACGTCGTCTGTACGACCTGTGGATATGGAGTAATAGCATGCAGCATGATGGGTTCTTCCATCTTTGCTTTTGGCACGGTTTGATTCAGTTGCTCAATCGCAGCGTCCAATGCATCCCGTGCTGCTTGACGATCACTCTCCATGGGGGTGTTGCGCGACCTCACATCGTAGTTGAGAACATGCGGTGACGGAGTTGACAGGCACTCCATGAGGAGTACAAAATGGTCCCTCGCGTGCCTCAAGTGTTTCCCTGACGAGCTGTGAGGGAGAGCAGACTACGGATTGAGTGGGCTATACCTATCGTCGAGCCAGGAAGATATTGTGAGTGCACTGTAAGCTGGTCATCCGAGGTCAGGGTTGCGTCGACCAGATCGACAGCCTGACGCAAGACGATCGTGGACACCTCCAATAACCTAGCCAGCGCCGTGGCTTCGTCAGCTTGTTCATGGGCAATGCAGCTGGCTGCATCTGCGTGCCTGTGAGGTGCAGGACCAGGCGACATGTCGTGGGAGAAGATGGTGGTTTATGAGTGAGGGCGGGGACCCGAGAAGTGCTTCGCAACGAGGTTCCCATGCACTCGGCCGAGGAGGTGTCGCGAGTCACGCAAAGGCCATCCGAGAGAGAATCGCGGGCGGACATAGAGAAGCAGTATATTCAGCGTGGGGATAGTATGTACGACATGAGCGAAGCACAGCGATTGTTTCTCTGCAAAATTTCGGAGTACCCATCGACGAGTAATCCGAACTCAAAGCGAGAACGGCAACCGTCCCTCTACCAGAATTGAGCCCGCACCATACTGCTGAGAGATGGAGGGTGAGAGACAGGAAGAACAACATAGCACCCGTCTTCCGTCGTCGTCGTTCTGGTCAACGTGTGTCTGCACTGCACGTCCGCGCGGGTTCCCGAATGATTGCTGACTAAGCAACCGAGCCCGCTCAAAGCCCGCTATAATAGGTATCACGCTGGCGATGCTGTACTGGCTAGCGACTTCACACTGACCTCACGTCTTTCCGCACTCCCCTCCTCAGTCCACCACCATGTTCGCAGCTCTGCGGAAGGCCCCTTCTATTGCTCGGGTGAGCCCCAACACGCGCAATCTGCTCAGAAACATACCTGACTAGTCACCCAGGTCGCGTCTGCCGGTCAGAGGCGCTTCCTCTCCATACATGAATACCAGTCCGTGACGCTGTTGAACTCCGTACGTACGCTCGTGGTCATATCCTAGTGATCGCTCATGTTGCATACAGTACGGCATACCCACTCCGAAGAGCATACCTGCTAAGTCTCCGGAAGAGGCGTTCGAGGCAGCGCGTCAGTTCGGTACGTGTTTGCATTCACGTGTCCGCAGTGTGAGCCCAATGAGTCTGTCTATGCAAAGAATCCACCGGCTGTGTCATCAAAGCTCAAGTACTCGCTGGCGGACGAGGAAAGGGCAAATTCGACAATGGGTTCCAAGGAGGTGTTCATTTGGTTTCAAGGTACGTCCCCGTGTGGTCCGTAAGATGTATTTGACGTGCTGTAGTCCGGAACAGGCGAAGGAATTTGCACCAAGATGCTTGGAGCCAAATTGATCACGAAGCAGACTGGGGCCTCAGGGCGCATTTGTAACGCGGTAGGTCTTTCGTGCCAACCAAAGCACGACCTCCTACATCTTGTTGTCAGGTCATGCTCGCTGAGCGCGAGAACGCGTCCCACGAGTACTACGTCGCAGTACTCAATGATCGCAAACCGAGGGTCCGTGCTCGTCGTTTCTGCTCAGGGTGGTATGAACATCGAAGAAGTGGCTGCTAAGGATCCTAGCGCCATCATCACAACACCTATCACTTCGAGAAGGTCTTAGCAAGTCCGAGGCCTAGGGTTGCGAAGAAGCTTGGCTTCAAGAGCGAAGCAGCAGTTAACGAGGCTGCGGACATCTTCATCAACTTGTACAAGATCTTCAAGGAGAAAGACGCCACGCAGATTGAGATCAACCCATTGGGTGAGACCGCTGATGGGCGTGTTCTCTGGTATGTATGACGAAGCGGCGTTGTTCCGTGACGTTGAAAGACCTTTCATGATAGCATGGATGCGAAGTTTGGCTTCGACGACAATGCCGATTTCCGCCAACAAGACATCTTCGCCCTCCGAGACATCACACAAGAGGAGCCTTCCGAAGTCGAGGCCCAGAAGGCGAACCTAAACTTCATCAAGTTGGACGGTAACATTGGCTGCTTGGTCAACGGCGCGGGTCTTGCAATGGCAACCATGGATGTCCTCGCTCTTCACGGTGGCAACCCGGCTAACTTCCTTGATGTTGGAGGGTGAGTATGAATGTTCCGCGCTTGTCGCGGCTCGTTGAAAGCTCTACTCTGCCAGGGGTGCAACTCCGGAAACTGTGAAGACCGCATTCGGGATCTTGCTTGCTGACCCTAAGGTCAAGACCATCTTCATCAACATCTTTGGCGGTACGCTATGCACACCATACCTGCGATCAACTCCCGACTGAGACAGACACTTGCAGGTATCATGCGCTGTGACTATATTGCCGAAGGTGTCATTCGGGCGACGAAGGAATTGGGGTTGAGCATTCCTCTGGTTGTTCGCTTGAAGGGTACCAAGGAAGCTGAGGCGAAACAGTACGTCACCGTATCAAAAATCTATCCATGCAGCTCACCAGTCGGCTCCCAGGATGATTCGCGAGTCTGGTCTAAAGATCATGCCCTTTGACGAGCTAGACGAGGCGGCGGAGAGTGCTGTACTGCTCGCCAGCCCGTAGATCTCAGAGGATAACCTGGTACCTTCGACTTGCCATTAGAGTAGGTCTATAATCCGAGCTGGTGGGCAAGAATATGTATACGCGGGCACAAGTCGCTTGCGGGAGGGTATGAATATGTAACAGCACTGCAGTATTGAGATGATGAGAAGCGTACTCTACAAGACTTCACCACGTCGGGCGCGCGGAGTAGGCAGGTGTGGTAGGGTAGGGTGGCTGCTGCGGGGGATGGCCGGTAGGTGCAGGAATGCTAGATCCGCCTGAGGCGTGCTCGAAGTTGCCGCGCATTTGTCCGCGGTTTGGGGGAGCTGGTGTATAGCCGTGAGGCGGCTGCGCGTGCATCCCGGACGGCGAATGCATCATGACAGGACTACTGCTGTATAGGGCATGCGCCGGCTGCATCATAGGACTCATCATGGCTCCGCGACCCTGCACCCCGTTGGGTGGCTGTTGTGGGTTTGGCATACCGGACGATATATACAAAGGAACTGGCCCGGGAGACGGATACGGGACGAATGGGGGTGCATATGAGGATGTCATGGGGCGCATTAGGTTGGTCTGTGGTTGAGGTCCGCCAATTGGCATCCACACGGGTTGAGCATACGGCGATGGCGGACCATTGACCATCATTGGCCGAGGTATAGGGCTCGGTGCCATTTGAGGATACACGACGGTTGGGCTTGGTGAGTGGCTGAGAACCGGAGATGGATAAGGATACGGAGGGCGAAGACTGGCAGGCTGATACGGGAATGCCGGTCTTGAAGCTGGGGCACTGGAGGCAGAGCCCACCCGGGCGGAAGGATTGTATTCCTTTGAGGAGATTTGACAGAAGATGTCGGGACCTGTTGGAAGGCACGTGTAACATCGTACGAAGACATCCTCGCCGGACCCGACCCAGAGGGCGGAGGTGTTCCACCGTCTTCTGACTTGACATCTTGCAAGGAGAAGGATACAGCAGTCAAATCGTCGGCGATACCCTCAAGAGAGTTCACTGACGGCAATGCAGCCTTGTCAGATGTCTGAGACCAAACCGCCTTCAGGAGTTCCGGGTCTGGGACTCCTCTGGAGGTGAATCCTTTATAGGGAATGCTCTCGGAGGCTTCGACCAAGTACCATTGGCTACTACGGGCGACGAAGTTTGGCCCAATTGAGACTTGAAATTATGTCAGTACAAAGCCGAGAGCACAATCGTGAGTGATAAACGCACCACATGCTTGTCGAAGGTGCTCGTAGTGACACTTGACGTGATAGCTGGTTGTTCCGCGAGCGGCTTGCTCCCGTCGCTGCGCCCAGATGGACCCTCTACGGGCCTTGAACCAGATTGAGCCCTCGTTTGTGTGGTGTTTTCCCGTGACGCTGTGCTCTCAACGGCATTCGGCTCGTCTATTTCGCTACTGACCACGAAGCTCACCGACACCGGCTGTGCAGCATCGTCAACTTTCGCATCACGGTGAGAAGCAACGCCAGAACCAACGAGATTTGTGACTGCGCTGGCGACTTGACAGACGTACTTGGAAGCCGACTAGGAGAGGTGGGCTCGCTCTTGGGAAGCGATGCTTGTTCCCGAAAGGAACTTCGGGAGGCGGCGACCTACTCGTTGTGTCTAATCCAGGATGGACATTGGCAGCATCCTGAACTAGTTGCGCAGAGTTCGGAGCGGGCCTCCTCCAGCTCGGGGTCTCAGGTTCGCAGGAAACGGGTTTGGCGCTGCGAGTACTGGCAGGCTTTGGCGGTAGATGTACCACCGGACCAGCGCTTCCCGACTCTCCTGGAGGTATAGGTGGTCGCTTGTGCGGCAGCGCCACGCGATACCGTGCATGAGGACCCTTGCTCCCCGGTGACTCGTGAAATAAGTGGTCGTCAACTGCGACGTCCCGGCGAGGATTGCCACCGATGGGAGGGACCCATGAGTAGATGGCCGACCAAACGAAGGTGGCGCTCCGAAAACTATGGAGTTGCTTTGGTCGAATAGGTGGTAACCGGGGTGAGGTCGCCTTCGACAGCTTCACGGTGAACGCATTCCATGCAGGCTTGGGAGAACGGGGTGGCTCTTTCCCAGTCACGTCGAAGACCTCACTCGGCAAGGCAATATCAGGACCACCTTGTTTTGGCCTGAGCGCAGGTGGCAGCCACTTATCCGGCTTCGGCGGATCCTCCTTCGGATGCATATCATCCAAAGCCCCTTTGATTCGGGAGATCACATCGTTGAGAGCTGACATAGGTGCTTCTCGATAAGATGGCGTGAGCGGAGAGCGCTGAGGGCCGTGACCATGGTGCCCTTGTAGCATATGGTTTGTGCCGGAGTGCACCCTGTCGTCAAATGGCGATGCTGTGAAGGCGAGATGCGCGACGGGACTACAAGAGAATTGCCTGGGGGTCCAGATGTATCCGGTGGGATGATCTGCACTCGCAAGTGCTCCTTCAACACAGTGGACCCAGTGCCTTCAGCTGCGTGCGTTGAAGAATCATGAATCATAGGTTTGCGTCTCCACGAGCCATCATCGCTTTGGGCTACCGGGAGCGATAGACCTGACGCCGAGGCATCATCCTCGAAGAAATCAACTGCGCTGGCCCTGGGTGGTCGTATGGACGATCGTTCTGACAGCGTCGGTTCAGCAATCGTTTCTGCACCCACAAATTTGCCCATATCTGAGAAATCCACGACCTCTACATCATCGCCACCCCTTAGATGCAGGGACTCGACCTCTGCGAGCAAGGGTAATGGCGGTGGAGGCAGTGCAGATGCTCCAGGTACAGGGTCACGTGGGCCGTCGATCGGGGAGCTCGACTTCGCCACGAATCGGACTCCATTGCTGGGGACAGCTGGTCCTGGCCCGCCATAGCGGTAGATGACATACGGCGGCCTTGTAGTGGTCGAGCCATGCCAGTCGACGACGACGACCTACTGAAGACTGGTTTCGACGCAGAGGGTGGGACTGAATCTGGTGTCAGAGGTTCAGTCGCTCCCGCAGATTGTTGTGCGCTGCGAACTGCGTCCTCGATGACTCCGATCACCTGTGAAACGAATCAGTATATCATCCAGTGAGACGAGCTGAAAACAAACCTGAGTTTCTGAGACAGACGTCGCAGCAAGTTTTCCCTGTTCCTCTTTGGCTTTCAGCCGTGGCTCCAACTCAGCCGCTTTTTTCCGAGCGCGCTCCCTCTCCCGCTCACGTTCCTCTTCTTCCTGCTGCCGACGTAACCTCGCACGTTCAGCTGCGCTCTGCATCTCCTTCTTGTGTACCTCGTTCAGATCGACTACAGGTGCGGCTGAAGGCGGAGCTGAATCTGTGGGCAGGATGGGTGATGCAACTGCCTGAGAGTCCGCTGAGACAACAACAGGCCGCGAGGTGTCTGGTGGAGGCTCGGCGGTCAAACCGGAGGTCTCCCGTCGGTGTGCGTCTGGTGAGAGGGGTGCTCGGCCTCCATGCTGTGGCGATCGCATTTCAGACAAATGAGGGGGCAATTGCCGGCTCAATTCCCTCTGGGGGTCTCGTGCAGCATGTATCGGAAGCGGTGGTGGCGGCATTGCCGACATGCGCGGAGGGCGCTCGTCATGATGTCCAGTGTGCGGTGGCATACTGTGTGGACCCGATGGTCATTCGTGCGCCCCTGATATCCATGCGAAGGAGTGCGAGCAAAGGCGGGTGGGGGCTGGGTCTCGTGCCTATGAACGTCACGCTCGTAATTCCGGGAGAAGGGACCAACAGGCTCGCCTGCAGGACGAGGTCCATCATGGCGACGGTCAATGCTACTGGGCCCTTTCTGCAGAAGCTGGACATTTTGTGAGTGTACATGAGGTGGCATGTCCCTGCCGCCTCTTGACTCGGTCGGCGAGACGACTTGGTCTGAACGGCTGCCTCTCCGCACGAAGTACGACGTCTGCGCACCAGGACCTGGACCCGGACCTGGACGATGAGGGGGGTGTGAAGAAGAGTACGGTTCCAGCCTGTTGGAGCGTTCGTTGAACAGCACTTTGGATTCTGACGGAGAATGGACCGATTGTGACGAAGCGGAAGACGGTGCGGCATTGGCAAAGTGTTCGCGTTGGCCATTCGTGAAGTTCGTCGTGAGCCTGGTACGTGGCCAACTTCTGTCGAAATCATCGCAAATCTCTCCTCCTTGCTGACTGGCTGGTCTAGATGAGGGACGCTCTCCGCTGGAGGACCCGGATCTTCGTCACCCCCGGCTGACCCTGGCGCATCTTTGGATGACAACGGTTGTTTAGATACCTCGGTGGCCTCGATCTTGTACTGCCGGCCATCACCAAACTCGATGACGCCGTCAAGGAAGTTGTCGTCATCTTCCTCCATCTGAACAAGCACAATTCGGATCCCAGATTCAAAGGAAGACATAAGTCAGGAGACACACCTCGTCCCAGTGGTGAGCATTTGGATCGAGATGGACGCCTCGAAACGTGTCGGCCTGAGCTGTCATGGCCTGCTGCTGTGCAGCGGCAGCCTGTGCAGCCTCTTTCTTCTCAGTGAGCTTGGAAGCATGCCCTAGCGCAACTATGAGATCACAGAATAGACATTGCCCGAACAACTCACCTTGTGCCACCTCCGCTGCAGTTGGAAAGTCATTCGCCGCCGCGTCCAGCTTGTTCACGACAGACGCGGCACTTCTTGCGCTGCTCCATGCAGGTTTACCAGAGCTATCCCTCTTTACAGACGACACAAACATCTCTGTTGCGCCCCGCGGTTGCGGTTGAATGACCTTACCGGCGGGCGGAGGTTGCGGAGCATACCCTGGGCTGTTCGTGGCGCCAGAGGCAGAGGCGGTGCTTTAGTATTCGTGGCCGATGAAGGCGCAGGGATAGCGGGGGAGACTGAAGAAGGGGGTCGGGACCATCCTGGTCCAGTGGTAGATGACTGCGCTGTTGCCGTAAGCTTCGCTGTTACAAGCCGTGAGTGAGAGACAGAGGTCTGAAGCGAGGGTTTCGCTTTAAGCAAAGCTGAGATTAACCATGAATGCTTCGTAAAGGTAAGATGGGTGACGCACGGGTTGCACTGCCAGTTTTTGCTGTCACAGATGTAGATAGGGTCTGGCCTGAAGGGGACGAGGAGTGGGTCTTCTCCAGGAACTTCTTGTTGATGTTACTGTGAGTAAATTTCTTCTGATGAGGCACCCCAGGAGCCGCCGCATTGGAGTTTGTGCCATTTGCAGGACTCCCTCTGAGCGGGCTGAGTGCCGACCCGGGCGAAAGAGACATGGGGCTTGCCGCCTCCGCATGGCCCTGTACCTCTGAGATCACAGAGAATGGCCCTTGTCAGGCGATGTTCGAGACGGGGAAATGGTATCCGCGTCATTTGCTGCTTCGACCTTATTGGTGTCCACAGGTTGGTTCAGTGTTGCGGTGTCGGCCATAGACGCGTCAAGCGACGCTGCGTGTTCGAAAGATTCACCAGAGACGAGGACAGACAGCGCGGAGAGTAAAGGTAGATCGTGAGATACGCAGGGCAACCGGTGAAGGGGCACCGGGGCTTACCTATGGAGGGAGAGTGAACGAACAGACTTGCGACGTGCAAAGCAGAAGCCAGGCCACGAGCCAATAGGAGCGCGTCGGCCACAACCGAGGCCACTTCGTCGCGTCGGGCGCTCACCAAACGAGGTCGCGCACTCCCACTCACCCTTAAAATTCACGGTGGCTCACTACAGACCATGGCTGCCGAAATTGCCCTGCACGACATGCAAGCAGCGATTCAAGACAACCCCATGCTGGCCCACAAGCGTAATGCGGCCATGATGGAGGAAGGCAGATACGAGGATCCCAGGCACGTTCCCCTTCACAAAACCAACGACCTTGAGCAATCTTCATCCGCTTCACAGCATTGCGAGTTTGTCATCTTTTGATAAGAACGCATGGTATTATCCTTCTCATGGCTACGAGGATACCGACATACGCTTCGCATCTGCGCGGGGCAACTGGGGGCGCAAGATGGTGCATGACGCCAGATGGATACGTCGAGGCAAGATGGCTCCGTGGGCAACAGGCGTAGAGGACTGGGAGGTGTGTTCCAAAATGCTTACGGCATAACTGTCTACTAACAGGACGCAAGGAGGAGGAGCGGGCAAGGAAACGGATTAAACTCTTGTTGCCACCCCGCGAACGCTCGCCCTCACCGTCCATAGTCTTGCCCCACCTGCGTTCACCCTCGCCGCCACTCGCAGCCCCATATCCTACTCCGGCCGCTCAGCATCTTTCCTATACGTCCTTTGTAATGGACAAGGCCGTGACGAGCTCGTTCCGGTCACGGCTCCTCGATGAACTGGAGAGTGCAACCAATAGTCTCATCGAAGGCGAAGCAGCAGTGCGGCGCGCTCTTGGTCAGCTTTGGCAGGCGATGAGCGAAGATCCCGACCAAATGCCTGGCGGCACGCCTGTGATCCCCAAACGCGAGGACGAAGGCGACGGCGACGACGAGAAGGAGCGCAGACTGGCGCGAGCACCAGACCTGACGCCTGTGGTTCACAAACTCTTCCTGTCAGCGACGTCGGGCCGGGTGACACCGTCATACGACGGTGTCACGTACACTCACCCGGATATCCAGCTGGATAGTCTGGAAAAGTCGATGGCGACCTTGCGGGAGTTGCAGGATGATGGGCGGGAGTACGTGGAGCGCTTGGAAGAGATCAGGGATGGCTTAGGTGATGTGCGGATACAGAGGAACGGGGTGTGGGATGTGGTTCGCAAGAAAGCCATCGCAGAGCTGCAAGACGCCGCGGCGAACTCCGCTGCCGCGCTATAGTTCGCGACATTACTTCAACGATCACTTTGAGCGGTGCTTGTACTCGCAGAAATGGACTTGTTGGGTTAGCTCGTGACAGCAGCTCATCAAAACATTCGACGCGTACGAGATGGTTGTGTCAGAGAGGTATCGAGTGCTGGTGTGCTGCGAGAATGTCCAAGTGGCAGAATCCGCACTACGTCACCGCACCGGCGCTCAAGCGATCTCAGAGATGGGCGCTAAGGCGATCAAAGACCCTCTCTTGTCCAGTCATGTCCGCAGTACTGAACTCGAGAGACACATTCTCGCAGTCTTTGAACACTTCAGAGACGAGCTCGACGACTTCCACGACCGAAGAGAACGACTCATCAAGGTCTGCTCGTTCTACGTCTAGCCGTTCAATTGTTCACCAATATGTCTCGCTATTGCCCTCTCATTCGTCGCGTGCACAGTCTAGCCGCGATGTCACAAACCTTTCCAAGAAAGTCATCTTCCTCATCCATCGTACACTAACGGAGGGCTTTGGCCAGTCTGATGAGCGAGAAGTGTCCCTGCGTGCAGCCAGCCGCGCGAAAGACAAGCTAAAGGAAGTCCAAAACCTATTCGCCGGCATGCGCGAGGAAGTCGCAGAGGATCGTTTCTGGAGGCATCAACGGAATGTATCTCCTGGGTTGCAAGAATATATTGAGGCCCTGAGTTTTGCGCATTACCTGGAGTGTGGGACATTGATATCGTATGAGGAGGTACAGAGATCTCTCAGCGATGCGGATGGACGTCCGGTACGTTTCCTTGTCTTTCATGATTCTCGGAACGTAATTCAACTCGTGTCTAGTACTTCCCGTTGCCAATTGACGACTATTTGCTGGGATTATCAGATCTAACGGGAGAACTCATGCGCTATGCCATATCGTCCATCTCTCGCCGTGGCGGGCGATTCAAAGCAAATGAAGTGTGCAAGTTCGTCAGAGGCTGCAGAGCAGGTAAACATGGCGCCCGCGCGATGTCTTCGTAAGTGCGATGCTCAGCGAATTCTCCAGACTTCGATAGCTTCACGCCTTTTTGCCGAGAACTGCGTAAGAAGCAACAAGTGACGTCTCAGTCGCTGGAAAAGATTGAAGATGGTGAGCCGACTGATCCATCCGCATTGCCTTTCATTGATTCTTTTGGACAATCGCGGCAGTTGCCTACGCCATCGCAGTGCGTAGCTCCGAGTACGACCTCCCGCCCGAGCTTCTGGATGACATCGTCGAACGCACTGTGGCTGAGGCCGGGTTTGGTGGAGATGACCGAGACCGGAGAAGAAGGGGCGGGCGACGAGGAGAAGATGATGGCGAGGATGGAGACTACGATTAGGATTCGCAACCTTGCACGCCCAGTATGTATGTTCTCCAACTACCGTAGGCACTAGCACTCGTTCATTTGCGGCCAGGAGCGATATGAAGTCTGATTGTCTATCAGGCGCTGCGTGTGCCGCCTCCTGCGTGAGAAGGCCCCTTGCGCCAGGTGAAATGGCGAGGACTCGGCCTGCTCCTTGTCGCTTTGCCTGTACTTCGTCTTTTCTGCTCCACAAACCTGCAGCCCGCCTCCATGCATGGCTGGTACATGCGGTAGTCGCAGTCACCACCGCTATGTGCTGCATCAAGGGTCGATCAATGTGCCGCCCAGGAGAGCTGTGCGAAATGCAAATACGACAAGGCCGCGTTCCTTCGTCGCCAATTCAGTGGACGTCAGAGCGCGATAGCCCGGCGGTCTCGCCATCTCCTCTCCCATTTTCTGACCCAGTGAGCGTCCGCTCAAGGTCCCCCGTGGGATATAACCCGTAGCTTTGCCCGCACACGGCCCCCATCCCGTCCAGTCGCAGGGCGAGTCGGACACCACTTCAGCCTCCTCCCGCACCCTGACATGCAGCTCACCTTCTCACCCGCTCTCGGCGCTCCGTTCCCTTGGTCGTGCGACCAGGGAAGCACGATGCCTCTCAAGACGCCCTCTCAAGGCGACATTCGACTCGCTTGCCTCGTACGAGCATGCAAAGTCGTATGGTATGCGGGTGGAAATGTGGACAGACCTGCCTTGGAGGGCAGGGCTCCGGGAGAGTGGGGTGCCGTGCCATTTACCTTCCACGAGTCTAGGGATGAGGAGTCTGGGGCGGGGCACAAGGTGCTTTCCCTCCCCTCTCCCGCCAAGGTTTCCGCCACCAGTCTTGCTGTGTACGCCGAGCTGCCCCTGCGCCTGGGCGGATATCGCAGTGGCCACCGCTTTTCCTTCACGTACCGGCTGGTGTATGCTTCCGGGGAAGTTCGCTGGCTCGGTGCGTTCGGACAGAACGGTACACTGGTCGTCAGCCACCAGTCCTTGCCGAAAGCGTTGGGGATTGCACTGAAAGCCGGATGGCAAACCAGGGCGACGATGTCGCGGTCTTCGAGGCCGGACCGGCGAAAGGGCGGGAAGTCGGTAAGCTTTCGGACAGTCACTCTTGGTCAAGTTGGGTCATCGGGAGGGATGGGTGAGTGAAGGTCCTTTCAACCATGGAAGTACATGTCTGAATAGGCATTGCTTCGGTTCATTTCAGCTGGCCTATGTTCTCCTCCACTCACGAGGCAGATTCCTGCATTGCTCTTGTTCTCATCTCCCGTCCTCGTGGTGATGCCATTACTTCGATTCCGCCTGTTGTCCTCAGCGCGTCATCTGGCGCAACTATCGGCATCGATGTCCACGGTCGTATCACCTATTCCTCAGACAGTGACGATACCCACCTGGCTCTCCGTGTCATCGACGACACTAGATTTGTCGTGTTGACCGACTGCGACGTCCAAGTACGCCTGTTGGGACGTGATCTCAACCCTGCGTCTGCCAGGATCGTAGCTTGCCATGCACCAGGTGCTGCAATGCCGCTTTCTGTCTTGGTGCTGCCTTCGAAGGTTGGGCTTGGTAGCCAAGAGATTCCCCTCGACATCAATGCCTTGGCACCAGTTGCTCCCGACGGCGCTCCTCGGTCCTTCGTGGCGACGACCTCGGACAGGAAAGCCTTTTTGGTACCGTCTGAAGATGAACAGACCACGGTGCGCGTTGGTGCCTTTGGCGGAGTTGCATTGGTCGCTCCATTCTACGACTTAGCTGCACCGGATAGTGCGGCGGAATGCTGGAAGGTCTCGGTATTGCAGCCGAGCACGGACGCTACCCTCACGAAGTTCGATGAGGAAGTCAATGCAGTCCCGCAGCGTTTGCTACCCACCCGCCCCCTTCGCCGCCAGCGGTCATGCGAGTAGCCCAGCGTCCGCCTCCCCTCGCGCTGCCCTCGTTGGCCGAGGTATCGGAGGCACTCACCTCCATGCAGCCATCTGCTGTATCTTCCGCGGTTTTACCACCTATCGCAGCCACGTCCCCAACCTCGGCCACGAGCATGCGGCCCCCTACCCCGTATCCAGTCACTCACGCGAGCGAAGAAGCATACGGCCTTGCGGTGATGCGCGTGCATAGTATCTATCCGCTGCGCTCGTACGTCCGCGTGTTGCTGACAATGTTCGCATGGATATGGCGCGTCGTCTTCCAACGATTTGCCTTCCTCTGGCTAGGCGCCGGGGGCATGCAGGTCTCCGAAAGCGGGATGGAGAGCGACGAGGGCAGTAGCCCTCTCCATAGCCCGGAACCCGAGGCGCAAGAAGACGAGCAGGCGAACGACGACGGAGAGAGCGCAGGCGAGGATCAGGCGGCAGGCGATGCCACCTCCGCAGGCACACTGACACCTACCGCCATCGACGCATCCGTTGCTAGTCCCATCTTGCAGCCGGAACCCAAGGTGCCTCTCGCCAGTCCGAGGACGGTCAGGTCTCTGCCGGCCGTGCAGTACGATGTCCCGCACCATGACGGCAAAATCACCCTGCTCGTCCAGGCTCCCGAAGATGTCGCCTCAGTCTCCGAGCGCGTGAGGTTCGTTGTGAACGGCAAGCATGTGTCCGAGCCCCGAATCGTGGCGAGGCATAACGGCCACCACCTCGTTCACCTCGATGCGCCGATTGGCTGCGCGAGCAAATTGACGGTGGTGATGGTCTAGATTTCTGCGGACCGCAGTCGCACATCCTATTTATTCCGTTTCTTTCCACGATCTACTCGCTGCAGGAGTCGGGCTACTCTGACCAGCCCTCACATTTCTCGTTTGCCATGTTTGTACGAAAAGCCGTCTGCTGTATCACTCGAGAGTGTATCAGTGGTTTGATACTGTATCACGACCTGTGTTCTTTCATAGCTTTGTAGAACCACGATTGCAATGTATCTCATGAGCCACCTTCTGCTTTGATGAGGCGATGTCCCCTTGTCATAAGTATCAGGAGTCTTCCAGACGTTTGAAACGTCGCGGTTCGGCCAGTTCAAACAGATGCGATGTGGTACATCCAAGCAAGCATAGATGTATTCCTATGTGACAGAACTGGACTATGCACAGAGGGAAGAGTGGGGAATATGTACATCATGAAGCAATTCTGAATGTCAACGTAGCCGACGGGAAAGGGATATCTGTCCCGGCAGCAGTCGGAACCGGCGGACGTTATGAACCCAACGTAAGAGAAATGGTATCGTGATACGGGGTGAGCAGCAGAAATGGGTCAGTTCTATATAGTCCTCGATGCGCCCTACATGATAATACACTTGATCTTCCCTGAACCCTTCCCTCCTGAAGGCTTTTGCGGCCGATCGTTGCTCGCTTGTGGTCGGCCCTGCATGCCTTGCTCCTGTTGTTTTGTCTGTCGTAGCAACCGGACAAGCTCAACGAAGAGTCTCTCGACATTCGTCGGTGTTTTGGCCGACGTTTCGAGGAAGTCACAGCCGAAGCTCCGTGCCAGTGTCGCGCCCTCCTCTCGCGAGACCTCTCGCTCGTACTGCTTGTCGCACTTGTTGCCCACGAGCATGAAGACCGGCTTCTGTCGCTTCACCTTCAGCATGGCTTGTCGGAAGACGTCGAGCCGGTCGAAGGTTGCGCGTGACGCGATCGAGTAAACCAGGATAAATCCCTGGCCTTCCCTGTGTCCCAAAGCCGGTCGGACATAAGGCATACCTGGCACGCGACTGCGACATACCTGACCCATTGATCGCGTAGAGTGGCGTACTCCTCTGCTTCTCGTGAGCACACGTCGCCGACTCGCTGGCTAAGCGAATGACACACCTTGTCCTGCTGTATCAATCACTTCAATGAAGCACATCCGCTTGTCGACGACCAGCTGTCGGCGATATGCATCTTCTATCGTTGGATCATATGTCTGTCATATGAAGCGTTAGCAAGAGGTAACATCTGGACGTTGGACGTGAAACGACAACGCACCTCTGTGGCAAAGGAAAGCGACCGGAGCAGGGACGTTCAATACGCGCGTGAATACAAGTGATGAGCAGATACCCACCAACAAAGCAATTCAGTGTAAACTAGCAGCGGAAGTGAGGACGCAGGGCGAGGAAAGTAGACGCGGAGACATACCTGCACAGCCAAAGCGGTCTTGCCTACGCCTCCATCGCCGAGAACGGCTACCCTCCAACTATCCATTCTACGAGCGTGGGGTCATTGATAGGGCAGAGTTAAGGTGGGGAGAGATGTACCTTCACAGAGCAGAAACGAGAGTACAGGGATATGCAAGTCTGATCGCGTCTGAGAGAGCGTCTGATCGGCGGGGAAGAGGAGGCTGCTTTGAAAATGAGAGAGCAGCCGACGTGAAACGGAAGGCGCGAAGAGCGGGGAGGCGAGAGGGCGATGAAGAGAACAGAGAAAGAGATCTGAACGTCGTGAGTTCGTGCGGGGTCGTAAAGAGGCGAGGCTTGCGGGCCTTGGATGGAGGTGGACGTCGACGGTACGGAATAGCCTTGTGTGCGCTCCCAGCGCCCCTCTGCCTATTTCTACACGCCCCCAAACACAGCCAACTTTTCCGCCCCTTTCCGGCTCGAACCGAGTTGCCCATATATGGCCCTTCCCGCACAATTCTCCGCGTTTGGTCCCAATCTCTCGCGCCCGCCTCAAGCCCAGCACGCAGCACGCTCGCCGTCCTCCGAGTCGACGCGCCTCCTGCCCTTCTCTCCGTCTCTCCGGCCGCGCGCACCCCGCAGCCATCCTCCCCGGCCATCGCCGCTATCTCATATCTCTCCCCAGGCACACTGTCCCCGACTCTTCCCCATGTGCCCTCTTCATCGCCTTTGCTCGTCGCGGATCACTCGAGCGGCCACAGCGTCCGCCACCCGCGATCGCGTCAGCCAGTGCACAAAGGCGAGCGCATGCGGTGCCGGAGCTATGCATTCCCCTTCCGAGAGAAACAGTAGCCCCACTTCACGCTGTACCGTTCTACCCGTGACTGGCCCGTGCACGGCCTACGCTTGATTTGTGCATGTACCGTAGCCGACCTGCCAGCAAACGTCTAATCAGCCTACTTTCGCGCCCGACATTCGGTCAGCATCAGTGAAATTCGCACATGTCGTTGGTAAGCTCTGCGTCAAGTCTGGCCCGACGGCCTGCGCTTTAATCGGTGCACGCTTTCGGCCTGCAGGGAAGGTCTAGTAATAGCCTGTTTTGCTTGCTGTAAGACTCGCCTCACACATTTCGACAGCAGCATCTGGACCCTGTCGAACAGCCGCTGCGTCAGATATCAATTCAGAGGCAAGAGGGTCGAATGGCTGGGCGACGTCTGCCTGGCAACTAGCCTCCACTCAAGCGAATCAAACCAGGGCTTGAAGCCATGTCTCAGCCGAATGGGGACTGCCTTCTTCGAGCAAACCCCTTAAAGCCAACTTTGGTGCGGCATTCATCCAAGGTCGGCGTTAGATTACAGTTGGCCAGATAGACTTCGTAGCTAATTGTGTTGACGAACACACAGTTCATTCAGAGACCGGTTCTCAGGGCAGTCGCCCCGGTCTGACGGCATACAAGTACCGGCACAGGTCACCGGAGAGCCGCAGCCAATTGCAGGAGCAGCGTGCGCGCACACCAATGAAGTGTCAGCCAGGACATGTATATACCGTGAGTATGTAGTAGAAATTACCAGGCGACGAAGCTTAAGTCATGGAGCTGAATGCTTAGGGAGGTCCTCGGGCCTCAGGCGTTCGAGGCTTACTCAGAATCTGCAGCACAAGGATGGTACAGAATACCACCGAACACGACAGAAATGGTCTGAGCAGTAAGCAGACCCATTTGAGTTCAACTTGCGGGAAATTTGACTGCAAGTTGGTACACAGCAGCGCCTGGCTAGGGGACGTATTACTGCGGTCTCTCGCAATCTCACAGGGGAATCGAGGCAGTTGACCAATGGCCTTACATGCAACCGGGTGAATGAGCGAAGAACTTCGGACAAAAGCCAAGGTCTACGCCCAAGTTCTAACGCCACGAACACGCGTGAGCGGTGCTGAATTGGTGGAATTCCAGGTGTGCGGCCAGGCGCAGCACGTACGAGAACAAGGCATGTCGGTGTTTGTAACGCAGAGGCATAGGCAGCCGAGTCCACGGCTCGCTTTCCTCATAGAAAGCACAACGAACGGTCGGGCAAGGTTCATCGGTGCTGCGTGCGACCTGCAAGTGAACCGTTCAATGAACGGCCCTGGACGTAATGAAGAAAGCTGGCCGGCGCTCTATCCGGTGAGTATGGGACTCGAGTGAGAGTATTCCGCCGCTCTTGCATCTGAGACGCCACAGGGAGGGTCACGTTGGACAAGCGGGCAACCGTATTGTGAGGGCCAACACGTTGCAAGGCTGAGGCCTGAGGTGTGCTGAGCGGTGGGCGTACGGTGAGCATCTCTACTGAATGTAGCATCGTGCCGGTGGGTGGGATTAGACACTCTGAACTGAATACGGATCTTGGCAGGACTGAGGTGCCCTCGCAGCTACGAGTCGCTGCAACACCTGCGCAGCGCCGGATGCACTGGAATGTCAAGCCATGGTGCACGGATACCTCGAGCGATGCTAGGACAGGTCGAGCTGCGCTGCGTGCGTGACCGCGATTGGAGGCTGCGATCGGAGGTAGATAAGATTGCTTTCCGCATGCAGGCCTACGCAGGCCATTCTGCCGCGGGGGCGCTGACCGTGGCTGACGAGCATACCCCAAGTTAGCAATGTCTAGATCGACTATGTGGGTGACATAATGTCTGAGCCTATTATTGCCGGCATGTTCTCCCTTCTTCCGACACGGCTCTCTAGGTCTGGGTCACGGTATGGTGAGTCGTCAACTTGAGCGTGGTGAATTCGGTACGAACTTCGTGAATGCAGAGTTCATCTGTGGCGGGAGATTAATAAGCTGACCGCCTGTTTAATGCAGGCTGGTATGGTCTTCAAGTTATATCCACAATTTGAGAATGCTCCGATGACTCTCTCGGAGTCGACTTCGAAGTCGAAGCGTACGGAAGTCAAAATGAGCGCGCTCCGTGGCATCTCCGCAATGCGCATACAGGTCACCCTTTCTGTATGTACAGTTGCCCCGGAACTAGAACAGACAAACAGACTGAAGACGGCGATTCCCAGGAGATAACCCATATTCATCCCCTCTGACTGACACACTCCCTAGAGGGTGACCATCCACGCGATCCGCCGCATGGCTCGGCGCGAGAACTCCCGAGGTCTACGGAATCAGCGTCATATCGAACTTACTGTAAGTGCCGAACAAGGGCAACTTTGTGTTCGACGCAATCACTCTCCCAGCCACATGAACCCGGTCTACCGCCAAGTCCTCTTGGTAGGCCGTGTTCGGAGTGCGAATGGCTTAGCTGAAGCCGGATTGTCGTTACTCAAGCTCCATACTTAGGTGTAAGTGTCGATGCGATCCACGAAGGCTCGATATAAACCTCTCGATCATTCGTGCGGTTCAAACAAATCAACCATGCATCACGATGGTGGTGAGATCGATCACTTTTGCTGTGAACACTGACAAGACGCTATCGCCATGGCGTAGACAGCCAGTGGACGGATGGCTGCGGTCTGGATCCCGACAAGGAGTGCAACCATGAAATGGCCGTGAGTGCCAAGTCCTAAATCTACCTATTTGTCGGCTCATTGCGGAACCCCTTAGGCATATCGTCGCTCTCTTGTATGAACTTACGGTAATCATAACATTCATGCCGTGTTTGCGACTTCACCATACACTGAACGGCTTCTCATAGAACAGTTCGGTGCGGACATTGGCTCGACGAATCGATTAGCTGAGTTCCAGACGCACGAGCGTCAAGGCGCACCCTGGAATACGGGTTGTGAGTCGTCATCGACCTCGTTGGATGCCTACTAAAGCAAAATTGTCTCCACACCCATGACTCACGCCGGTATTGTAGTCAGTCTGAATGATGAGCGGGACGCGCAATCCTCTTTCCAGGTTTGTCGGGCGTAGCGCCTCCGATTCACTAATCTTGCCTTTCGCTTTAGGCACCGAGGCCGCGGACGGTATGCCGCGTTCTATTGCTTGAGCTTCCCCTTTACTTCATCCACTCCTCTGGTGCTAGCGCCTAGGTAACAGTATTGACTTTGTCCTGACTCGTCCATCCATGCTTAAGCAGAATGCAGCTGCAAATGGGTGACCACCGTTTCCGGGCTACGCCGCAGTCACCTTTGATATGTCGGTGAGTATAGTTGTCTAACCACATTACGGGGCGCAACCCTGCAGTCCAATGACCGACTGCTCCACAGTCAGCATACAGTCGGGAAGACAAATCGTACTGGTCTCTTGACAAAGCACAAGTATCGTGGCCGTCGGGCTTGTCAACTAGTGGGTTACTGTTCACTCTTCCCGAGGACTCCGCAGCTGTCTGCTTCATTCAAAACTTCTTGCGATCAACGGTTGACGCGGAAGCATATCGCCTCATAGCAGAATAAAAATTTTGCACGCGATGTGTTGTGAACCCCAGCCACCGCTCATAGTACCGAGAGGTGAGTATTCTGTGACGTTGATCTCGTCCCGAAAATAATGGTCCCTGGTGCGCCGGCGTTAGGTCATCCGCAAGCTTGATAACGTCTCTTCCACAGGCCGTCCTAGGTGTCAACACTTTCACGGCATGACCATGTCACCGTAGAGTTGGTGCTCGTTGACGATGCAGTGAAGACTGCTCGCAGGGCGTTCAACTGGGTCCAGGCTAAGTCTCGGAGAAATTGGACGGTCTCAAAAGCTCTCCGGCTCCCCTGATGCCATTAAGTTATTTCACTGCGTAGATGCTGCCTCCTGTTTGCGTCAATCTAACAATCACAAATCATAGGGCAATGCAACGTTGCGCGTGCTCGATTTAAGCTGCGTGCGGCATCAATACCACGGAGGTCGGACTCTTTGGCAGACCAATGAACACTCATAATCGCACATTTCCATGTAGCCGCATCGGTCGACTACGGCAACCCAACCGCCTCTCGCATGCCCTGGTACGATCCTCAGGATATTCAGCCGTGAGTACACTCTGGGCCAACGCCGATCCTCACAGAGTCTCGCGTGTAAGTGAAACGCTCCTACCAGGCTGATAGAAACCGTTCTGCATTTCAATCACAGACCGGATTCCTGGAACTCATAGCTTACGGCAGCCGCACACAATGCCGCATATCCAAGCAGGTTCGCGGGTGATTCTTCTCCGCGTCCTTCTCACGTCCTTCTGTTCGCGGCCTCTCGTATACGCGGTCCCCACGCTTACGACACATCGACGGTGATTATTTGCATCACGCTGGCTGCCGTAACATACAAGATGATTTTTGCTGGACGTCCATTGCGGTATTGGCTTCCATCGCTCTGACCACCCTTGGATTATTTCAGGACTTCACGTATGCCTGAAGTGAAGACGGTATGTCCTTATGGTTACTAGCGGCAATATTGAGTACGGGGTGTCCACTGTCTTCAGTTCGCAAACTCGGATCAAGCCTCAAAGAATCAAGAATCAAGAACCACTGGCCCAGACTGTCCGATGAGTCTGGCGCCAATGCGCCCCTGATTGTCCCGTCTCAAGTTCGTGGTCGCCAAAGTCAACGCAACTGCAAGGCAAGCGCTGTCTCACTCTCAGTCAAGGCTGATCCGAGACTTAGGCTCCCAACGGTCAACGAATGGTGCAATCTGGACCAGGGTCCACGGTCCGGAAAGAACACTGAGACGTTACTGGAATGTCGATTCCGCTCCAGGCTTTGAATTTGAGCTTTGAGCTTTGAGTTCTCCGTCGCTCCGTGTACGTAGTGAGTTAATAACTTGTGAATGCTTAGCCCCCGCTCTCAGCCTCAAGGAAACACTTCGTATTTGGCTGCCGGGACGACTATCTCGGGCTTCAGGTTATCTCTCTTCGCATCATCCAAACCACGCAATTGGGCCTCAATCTGGCGGCTGTAATTCGCTCCGCCTTTTTCCCTGCATGTAGCCAGGTGATTCCCGAGACCACGAGCGGGTGCCAGAGCAGATGCGTTTCTGCCCTGGTCATATGCTTTCATGGGCTAATGCATCGCTTTCTAGGAGCTGGAACGGGGCTCACGGCCACCAAAGCTGTTATTGTGTCCACAAGTTCATGTATAACATAGTATGCTGTCTCTGTATTTATGGCTATCGAATCCGAAGGTGTCGGCCCTGACGCATGTAACTTAGATCTATCTTATTCTTGTTACACTGGCAGCCCATCGGGGACGGGCAAGATCAACGATTTGTTAACTTCGTTGACACGCCCTCGCAGGAAGGGACGTAGCGACCATATGTGTTGGATGACAGAACGCGGGTCGTGACGGTCTGGGACAGCACAACCTAGGCTTTTCAAATGTGGAAAATGCCACTAGAGTAGCCTGAGTACTGTATACTACGTCAGTACAGAGAGGCCCGAGTCTAGACTGTAGTCATGTCGTGAATATAGCGCCGCGCACTGAACTGGCCGCGAGCTGCAATTCGAGACGCACCCTGGGCTACGCATCCGGGCCTGCATCTTTACGGTAGCTCATGTGTAGCTACGACTGGAAGGTTTAAAGTGGCAGTTATGATTGCTGCACTTTGCTTGCATTGTATACTACTATGTGCCTGTCATGCGCGGTATGTACCATTCTACAACAAACATCAATAAACCCAGAGGAACCTCAACTCCCAGAGAATGCGGTCTGAACATGGGAACCACACGAGAAGTGAAATGGAAGGGGAGGAGTAGGGAGCTCACGAAGAACACCCACTCCACACATGTAGAAGCTCCATCAAGTAACGCGCAGGCAGGTCGTGTCTATAGGTACAACGGGTTCATGGCAAAGCGAAGGACGTCAATGGCGTCACATAAATAGGACGGGCCCGGGTATAGGCATCTACGTCACTGCCGTCAGTCTAGCAGACGGGAAACACAAGGTGCACGACGAGCCTCCGCAACGCACTCAATCCTGCCGGCTGAACTCTGCTTGTGTGAGGTTCAGAACGAACGCACACTTGGTGTTCGCAGGCGGCTCGATGATTTTAATTGGTCTCTTCCCTCCGGAGGTCCCTGATCGCTGCGGCAGGCCGGAGGACAGTGCGTTGGCGATAGAGGGGAATGGCCGGAGCGGCCGCGATACGGGGAATGACGGTGCCCGCGCTGGCCGAGAGGATGCGTTCGGAACGAGCGGCGAAGACGCGTATGACCTCGCGGAGGCAGGGTTGAGCGTAGACGGGCCTGCGGACATGGTCATGATAGCTGGAAGAGAAGGAAAGCGAATCGGTCAGCCTCTGACGGGGCACGAACGGCATCAGGTTCGCGCACCCATTTTCGGAAAGTGACAAGGCTGGCGGTGATTGTGTGGACTGTGAGTTGGTGTCCAGGGAGTCGTGAGCGAAGGAGGGACTCAGGGAGGGAGGGAAGGGGGCGGTCTAACGAGCAGCGCGGGGCATGGCTGGGGGTTGATATATGTGCGCCGAGGGACGGCGCGGCCAACCCCAGCGACTTTTCCCCACTGTCCCCGGCGCTTCCCAGCGGCCAAACAACGCGTCTGTCGGCCTCGTTCGGACAAACAACGCGTCCCCGCCTCCATGATCGCCCCGCCACCCGTCGCATCTCAGGTCGTCGCCGCAACTGTACACCCAACATCCCTCTCACTTCCGCACTTTCGCAAGCTGTACTCTCCACTTCGCTACAAAGCCATTGCATGCAGCTATCCCGGGTGTCAATCACAGCACGTAATTACTGGCTATCTGTCCTGACTGATGGCGGCGTAGCATCAGCCAGAAGCCGCACACAGTTCGCTGCGTTAGCATCGCCCCCAAGTCAAAGTTGAACATTCCGCCGCGGATCCGGTGTGGTCAGCTGGACCTCTCTATCTTAGACTGGCATCTTGCCTGCATCCCACAGTTCTAGCTTTATGCACTTACGTTGGGGTGACCCACCGCACAACTGAAGGGCCACAGATGGAAACATGTATACCAAATTGCCAACGGCTGCTGTATGCTAATCGCCGAGTCAATGGGGTGGGTAGACGGCTTATCTGAATAATACGTCCCACACTAGTGGCAGTAGCTCCTGTCGCGTATGTAGGTGATAGGATGCCGAGGCAACGTAGTGGTCACCAGTACGTACGTACATGCTAATCCGCCTATGTCCTCGCCACCACCGGTGGTACACCAACTGAGGCTCCCCATACCGCTTGCGTATAAACATATCTTCTGCATCGTGATAACTGCTAATCGCTATGACGTTATATTGACGACATTGCATCGTGTTTGATAAGTATGCCAACACGTCGGTGAGGCATGATGGCAGAGCGGGGATGAACATTCGATAAGTAGACACACATATTACTTCTATGCGGGTCCCGACTTCATACAGTGAAGAGACAACGAGTAGACCTGGAGCAGCCCCGTCAAATGCGCCGCTTTGACTTTGAGTTAACGACGAACGGCGGTCGCAGACTACACGGGTTAAAAGTAGTCGGGGGAGGGGAGGGGTTGTGGAGGATAGCAGCTCTGGCATAATGCCTAGGCTGACACATGGGGCGACGGGTGGGGTGTTCCCAATATGTACGGTTGGACCGAGGTGCCCATGGGGGAGGTGGGTAGAGCACATGGGTGCCCGGGCACCCGCTCTATCGCAGTATTTCTGCAATGATGCGCATCTACCCCTCGCAACTCCGCGTTCGAGGGCGTCCGAGGGCGCGACACGCGGAAGGAACGTAGGCGGATCCGATGCGATGGCAAGACCAAGACCGATGTGACCGACTGCTGTTGAACGAGATGTGCGCGCGGGAGGTGGGTTCAGCGCAAAGGCTGTCCCAGCAGCGCAGCCCGTTGGTCGCGTGGCCGGCGATTACTGCACGTCGACGAGGAGGTTCCGCTCGAGGATGAACTTGCCCTCCTTGTACTTCTGCGACGACTCGTATGCCCGGTCCTGTGCACCGCCACGGTCATAAGCACTGCTTGGGAGTCAGTAAGTTCAGCAGCAGGAGACCTACGTATTTCCATCCCAGAGTCTGTCCACACTTGCAGCAGTAGATGTCGCGCACGGTGTGGTTGCCCGTGGTCATGACACGGTCATTAGGTTCTCCCTCAATGACGTTCACACTGCGATTAGCCGCTGCTCAGTAATCGCTTCATCGCCAGGGGAATGGCACGACTTACACTCCGTCAAAGAGGTACGCACGACCGTGTGGCCATGGAAAGCCTGTCGGTGTGGCGTGTGTGAGCAGAGACGTCGGGCGCAAGGTCTAGGGGACTCACGCGAGAGATCATCGAGTGGATGGTGGCGAGGTGAGTCTTACAAGTCGAGCACCCGTAGATACGGGCGCCATTCAAGTATCGGCGGTAGCTCATGCCCATCTTGGACGGGGCGTAGAGGGGTCGTGTCTGGAGAGGGGGGTCGCGAGCGGCACAAAGAGGACCGGGTGCACGAGGGCGAGGGCAGCCGGACGCCAGAGGGGCTTATATATCGTTTCGCGTCAACGTGTGAAGTGATGAGCACTGAAGGTGAACACCTTGGGTCGGACCGCCGGGCAGCGGGGTGCAGTCAGGGAATATGTACGGCGTCCACGGTCGGTCCACTGCTTGAGCCGTCTATCTTATCCTCAAGGGTCGAGTTCGGGTGAGAGAGCCTATGGCGGCGCTTCCACGCTACGCCCGCACAGGCGCCCACCCGAGCTGATCATCCTCCGATCCATGTGTCTAGCACCGGCACCACTACCACGACCTCCATACCCCGTCGACCCGCATATCTTTCGCCCGGTGTCCTGCAGCTCGGTAGGATGCCTGTTCTCCAGATGTGCCTCCCAGGTGTCTGACACGACCGTGGGCGGTCCCGGCGATCGGGATGTGACGTCTGTCTGACCCGATCCTTGGCGCAGTCACGACCGCACACTCGAGACAGGCCCGCGCGCAAGGCGAGACGCTCTCTGCTCTGTCCTCGCTCTCTTCTGGCATTTATTCGCACTCCAGAATGTTCTAATCCTGGTCCGAGTCTCCTCCACGGTGCCCACGTCGCTGGGTAGCTGCGCTCTAACGCCACTGCTGAGCTGAGCGATGTATCAAGCACGAGTAACGTTCTGCACGACAGAGTCATCCAATACGTCCGTGTGGCTCATCCTGAGTCATTGGACCGTACGGCGCGGGCGCGGAAGGCCTGTGAAGTGGTGAAGGTGCGGCGTACAGAGGCGACAACTCGGACAGTGGATAGAGGAGTCAATGCGGTTGCAGTCAGCCAATTATGATATAGGTGAGTCCGTGTTGTTCCTAGTGGTAGCGACACTTTGCCGCAGAGCGACGTGTGACAATTGATATGATCTTTCCGAGCTGGAGGAGTGGATAGCTGGAAGGGGAACCGTGTCGTGAGCGACTGCTGCGCGTGTTAGCCATCATCGGACACCACGGAAACATCATGCTACGAAAGATAGCGTCGCCGCATGCACTGTACTGAGATTTCTCAGGTCTCATTCCAGACCTCTTGTCATGTCATGCCCGACCTCAGACCACATCACTAGTTACTGCCTCATAACCCGACTTGTTTGCCCAACCATTACAGTACAATCCTCACGCGTACATACTACCATACCACCTCGAACAGGGTGCAGGCCTGGGCGGCGCGTTTAAACGCCCGCACATGTACAGGCCGGCGTCCGCCGCGTCTTAGCACATTGTTTGCTTGTTGCGGTTAATAAATGCTGAGTTCATCATCATCATCTTGTCATGTCATGCAGCGATCGGTTGAATAGGGTGGATGTGAAGCATCGTTTACTTGAAGCTTCGGCAGTGTACTACTCACAATCTCGACAGTTTTAGAGTACACACTAACTACACATGGTAGAGTGTTGCGATGCTTGCAACTGTAAGCACTGCACTGGCATAGACCGCGCGAGATCCAAGTTGTTACAGTTGTTAGCCTGCAGTCTGCTAATGTGAATGGAGGTGCATTGTACGACGCACAATGTTGCAGTCAAGCTTGAGTACCCTGATAGAACTAGACTTGGATCTTGTATTTCAGCACTGCTTTCACGAGGTAGGTTCGTCGTGCAGACCAGCTTCAATTACTGTAATACTCTTCTTGCCAGGACCGAATGCTACTGTCATGTCCAAACAGCCTATCATTCCGGGTCTTTCGTTCATCAGTCCCTCGGCACGAAACCTGCACGTATGGACCCCTGTGTTTATGGGGGGAAAAACACCCTACTGATCAATCTAAATACCGAGCACTGGGTACATGTGCCAGTGAATAAGCATCTGTCGACGCACAGACTTCCACCTCATCAACATGCCCAATTGGGAAAGCAACACATTGTAACTTGTGCTCCTGCCGCGCAGTCTCGCGCAGCGTGGTATTCAGGTAACTGCATATCGATGTAGCGTTCCGAACTTGATTAATGATTCCTTGGGATGATACGGGCCCTGTTTTGGTAGGTTGCCGTACGGCACGGGTGGCGAAGGCCCCAGTGCCTTCGAGCACCGTCGCGCTGGTAATCCAGCCACGCGCCGCGTCGTACAGCACCTGCTATCCGCTTCTTACCCCGCATCATCCCAAGAATTCCCGACTGCTACATCGATATGCAAACACCTCTGGAGAAAACGATTGCAGGAGACTCAGAACTGGTAAAATAAGCAAAAAATGAAATGCTCCCGATGAGGATCGAACTCATGACCTCAGGATTGTAGGTACGTGACCTTCATATCACGTTGATATGAGACCTGCGCTCTAACCAACTGAGCCACGGAAGCTTAATACATGCCGGGTTAATATTTATAAAAATATTGTTTTAGTTACTATACCACGTGACCCTTTGAGTGGACGCCGATCACTGGAGCGTGGACATGGTTGACCTCTTCGCGCCCGGACAGCAGCACTCAGACCTGTGGCTAAGCCTCTTTTCTGGGAAGACATATCCTGGTCCAGTCTCACTGCAGAGTCCTCCTTGTAGCATAGCGGCGCTTTGGCTCTACTGCGCTGTGACCTAGTCTTCATGAGCGTTCGCAAGCGTCCACCGCCTTCTGAACCTCTCCTACCATTGCGCGCCCCGAAACATCGTCGGCTCGCGGACAGACACGTCAACGAAAGCGAGAACTCTGTGGTTCGTATGGAAGGAGCGAGTGGATACATTCAGTCGGGCCTAGATCTCATGAAACGAGTCGAAATGGCCGTCCGGACATTTCTCCAAGGTGCGTTTTCCACCCATCTCACTCTCAAACGCCACCGACGCCTATAGTCCCGTTCAGAACATACTGTGGATGCGAGTACCCTGCCATCTGGCCCTCATTCGGAATCATCAGTAGCTCGGCCAGCTGCTTCGCTCCCACCACGCCGTCCATCACGCCCCGCCATTCCGTCGGAATTTAAGTCGGGGGCGCGGCCACAAAACACTTCATCATTTATCCAAGCTACCTCCTCCATACCGCGTAAAGTATCACAGCGTGCTCCTAAGGTGCCTCCTGCCGAGGTGCAAATCCCTCCCACTACTTCGTCCACGAATTGTGTTCAGCCCGCTATCCCTCCTCGATCGCGAAGGCAGTCGGAACCAAATGTCAGCGCCCGCGCAAAGGTGCTGGAGCCTCCAGCTCAACCTACCCAACGCGCATCTGCACGGCCACAAGCAGCACCAACCCCGCAAATACCGCCACATGCGGGACCCGCAAATCATGTCAACAGTCGCAAAAAGTACATCAGGCGCGATCATATCTTTGAGAAGAAAGTCAGACTACTTGGCACGTTACATACTGCCTATTGATATTGATGATACCCTGCAGCACAAGGCCAAAGTGAAGGAGACGAGAGAGAAGGACATGGAAGAAATGGCGAAGAAGATATTTGAGGTCAAACGACGAGACGGCAAGTCTCCTATCTCATGCGGTCTGTAAGACAGAAAGTCCCTGACATCAAGCTCGCACAGGCTTTACTGGGGATTATGCCTCTTACAAGAGTGAGAAGCACAATCACCTTGTGAAACAGGATGCTCGTGTTGACGCGCTTCCAAAGGTCTTCTGCACTACCAAGCGCGACTGGACAGACTCCAGAATCGGAACGAAGGGCCACTGGCCGCATTATCTGGTGAGTGTTAATACAGTCTATAGTACTGGAATGCCGAATGTCTAATCTGGCCGTAGCATCCGCTTCCTTGACTGATCTGCGTCCGACTTCACTTGAAGAGGATGCGATAACTGAGGTAAGTTTATGATTGACGTTTCCCGAGGACAAAGATTAACTAAGTCCACCAGGACTTCTTGCAACGCGCGCTTGACAAGGCTAACGCCTCACTTGCGAGGTGAGCATTACACTGCACAACGGTCTACGGAAAATTCATCGTACTCCCGATAGCCGCGTTCCAGTCAAGTTCGATGTGGAATCTCCGACGCACCAGCGTATCTGCGCTGAACAACGCGCCCTCAGTGACACGATCACCCGTTTTCTTCGTGGACAGTGGTTGCCGGCCTCATTACCCGCACCAGATGACGCATTGGTCGATGATTTGCTCTCCAGGCGCGGCGTGGTCTCGAAATGCGCAAGGGAGCAAGTCTCCGACAAGGATCTTGCCCGCTTGAGGCCCGGCCAATGGCTCAACGACGAGATCATCAACTTCTACGGACAGCTGATCATGACGCGTGCTGAAGCCAGCAAGGAGAACCCAGGAATGAACGCCCAGAGAAGATGTCTCAATGTTCACTACTTCAGCTCGTTCTTCTGGTCGAAACTGGAGAAGGACGGCTATGAGAAAGCGAGATTGGCAAAGTGGACAAAGAAGGTATGTCATTCTGCCTCGCGACTCTTGCTCCTGATCGTCACATGGCTGCTACGTAGTTCGACATCTTCTCGAAGGACATGGTCCTCGTCCCTGTCAATCACCGCAACGTACACTGGACTGCTGCCGCCATCAACTTCCGTCGGAAACGGATTGAGTCGTACGATAGTATGGGTATGCCCAGGGAGGAGGTCTTCAAGGTATGAACTATCCACTGCCTCCGTGACTGCTATTAAGATTCAACGGTCTCATCGTGCAGCTCCTGAGAGGGTATCTCGACGCTGAGCATCGGAACAAGAAGAAGAAGCCGTTCGACTTCACAGGCTGGAAAGACTATGTGCTAGATGTACGTCGATGTTCAGTAGGGAAGGATGGTTGCCTGACTTGAGCATCACAGGAGACCCCGCAGCAGGGCAATGGCTACGACTGCGGTGTCTTCACCTGCCAATTCCTCGAAAACCTCTCCAGGGGTAGAGAACGGTTCCTGTTCAGGCAACACGACGTGCCGTATCTGCGTCGACGCATGATATGGGAAATTGGCAACGCAAAACTACGCGAAGACGCACCGTAGTAGCACATCTTCCGGGCTCATATCTATTATCTCCTCGCATTCATCATATCCTAGTAGTGGTGGTTTCGGGATCAGTTTGTAGCAGGTAGTCTAACGATATCTTCAGCGGTGCGCTGGGGAAGTATTCGGTATCTGCCCTCCGTGCATATAGGAGTGATCTTAGTGTCGGCGTTCCTTGAGCCACACATATTAGCAAACTCGCTTGAGAGGCAACTACGACGACGTCTCATGCGAGTGCGAGAAATCCATGCGATTCAATGCAGTACAGAGAACTTGCGAGCGACAGCAGTTGGACAAGTACAGGAGACAGGTCATCGCCGAAACCACCATACGATGATGAAGAACCAGAAGACAATGATGAGGAAGATGATATACCATAGCCACCGGCACCCTTGTCGTGCCGCCATGTTGTTCATCCGCCGGAACGTCCCAGCAAGAATACCAGACGTCTCCGAGAACGCATCGTTCTGCATCCCCGGATATTTCAGTTCCCAGCAGCATAGATGCAGTCGTACGCACGCACCATCTGACTGAGCTGAACAGTCGACTCTCTGACCTCGTTCCCTATGCCTATGGTGATCTTAGGGAGAGCGTAGCGATGAGCACGCTACAGCCGACTAGCAACAGTGCGACTCACTCACATCCTTCAGCAGTTTTACTTTTGCCTGCAGGCCCTCCAGATGCTCGTCATTCTGACCTTCCAAATCATCCGCGAAACGCTGGCCATTAAGCTGCGGATTGAACGGCGACGACCGCCCTGAGGATGGCGGGGTGCTGTACTCGGGAAGCAGTGCAGAACGGTTGTGTAGGGATGCCGTGGCTCTGTATCTATTCGTTCACTGTGTCGATATATGACCACACTTTGCCTGTGGGCATACGTACCTTTGTGACATTATGAAGTGAGCAGTCCTGCTGTCCTCATGAGGTCCTTGCGTGTGCACTGTGAGTGTCTCAGCCACCGTGTCATGGGCGGAAGTTTCAATAAGCGCATGCCACGTTTACAGCATCTCGATCCACGGAATCTCAAGATCCTAAACATACCAAACAACCAGCACTCGCTCGCCCAAATGATGCACGAAATCGCTTCTGTAACCTCGGCTATCCGGAGCTAGTAGTACAGGAGCGTACCAGCGTGTACCACCTCCGAGACAAGTGTAACAGGTATATACCACGAAGGAGAAGAACGGCCAAGAGGAAGTATACGACGAGGTGTAAGGTAAGGAACGCCTCAGTGACTGAAGACCAGCAACAACATATCAAGGCGTAAGGCGCTGGTGATACCCTCAAGAAGCGGTACACCAGAATGTATGTAGAGGAATGGCTGGATGTTGCTGTACTAAGTAATGCAAGTGAGATGCTGGTAAGTACGAAAACGATGTCCGCGAAGCGTACTCGCAATATGGTGAAATGGTACATGACATCGATACAAGTCCTTGGGTTTAGGCGAGACTGCCCTTATTCGATACTCATCCGGTTTGGATGATCTCTCATAGGCCCTCGGTACAAGTCTTGTGATTTGCCGCGCCGTGCCATCTGCTTCTTTGCCACTGAAGTACACATACGTAAGAGACAACCCTCCAACGAAAGACAGCACCGACGTACTTTGGTTGGCTAATCCTCGCCCGAAGTTGTTCATGACAATGCACGCGAAAACGAATGTTGTAAGCAGTAGGACGATGGCGAGGACAGCTAGGAGACGGTCAGAAGAAGCAAAAGCGTTAGCCCCGGGAGATACTCACAGAACGTTGTCAGCGTCTGCCAGACGTCGATAAATGTGCTTGTCTCGCGCAGTCTCACAACCTTGATCAACTAGAACGAGAGCGATTGTCAGTGACAACCATGAGCGCGAAGACGTACTGATAGCAAACCTTGTACATGAAGTAAACCAGTGCGCCAACGCAGCCAGTTATGAAGGTATACATCATCCACTTGCTCTCGCGACGGGCAGAAACGTGGCCATTGATGAGGACAAGAATGGATAGAGGGAAAGCAAGGCAAGTGAGGTAGTATTCCGCGTTGTGCTTGTTCAGGACGAGCCAGATGAACTGGACCGAGAAGCCCACCCAGAAGAACAAGTCGAACTTCACCAGACACAGGAAAATCTGGTAGTAAGTGTACATCGACTTGATCCGGCGGTCCGCACCAAGGAATTTGTATACTTTCCAACCAAATTCCGTGTAGATCTTCCATGCTAGGCCAACATAGGCGAGTTCGGCAACAGCGATGACGACGGGCACGATGGAGGCAAGAGTGTGAATGGAAATCCCAGATGTTTCTTGAACGAGAATGCTTCCGACTTCCCCAATCTGGATAATAGCGTATACGAGAAATAGGGCATTGAAGATCCTGAAAACAGTGGTGAGACAACAAGCCATATCTCGGAGGAATGCAGGATTCACGTCAGGGCAATGAACTGCAGTGTGTTCCGGTCGTTAACGGCGTCCAAGGCCATGGCAAATTGGAAGACGCTGGAATCGTAATGAGGCTACGGAACCGCGCGTAAAAGTATGCAACGTACTGTGCCATGGCAAAGATGCTCAAATATACTGGCATCTTGTCTGACTGCTGATCGTCGGTGCTACCGATCGGTGTCGAAGCGCGGAGGCGCAGGAAGAGCTCTGCCTCCATTGCAAGGTCTACTGACGTTTCCAGAAGAACGGTTATGAGATATAGGCGGCATGCGATAGAATCGGGGATGAGCTGCACGACGCAGATGTGTCAAGACGCGTCCTGGTCGAGAGACAAAGTCATTCGCGTACCATTGCCCGCGCCACTTGCCACCAGCTGACGGACTCCTCCTGCTTGACTGGCTCGATCTTAGCAGCGGCTGGCGGATACTCCCAGTCTAGCCGCTCCGTTCTGTGGCCTTCGAGGGTCTTGACATCCTTGAAGGAGTCGTCGCTGTAGTTGGAGACCTGGTGGGAGAGGGCGTAGAGCGGGGGTTCACGGTCGGCGCGCCCACCAGCTAAGGGGACGGGCTCGGCAGCATAGGAGACGGCGTATTGGTCGATGAGGTCGTCGAACGGGGCCTTGTCGTCGCCGGGGAGTCGTGACCGTGAGGCTGGGTCGGCGGGGAGAGCGGGGGGGTAAGGAATGGGGTGGGAGGACATGGTGAAAAGAGCGATTCAAGCAGAAGAGCTCGACGTGGTCGTCCTGCGAACGAAGCGAGCCAAAGGGAGCGTCGAGGGAGACTCGGACTGCGAAGCTACCGGAGAGAGCAAGGGACCATCCAAGTCTTGATACAGCTCCCACCGCCCGCCGCTTCGCGACTGCGCCGCCACTCCTGTTTGCCCCCGTTTGCCCGGTGGCTGCCGCCCATACCCGCCCCGGTCGCCCCCAAGTCGCCCCTCCGTTCGCACTCTCGGCCTCTCGAGACCGTCGCCCAGTCTGCTGGGCATCCGTTCCTGATCTGTTCCAGCACTGCCCTCGCGGCCTCGACGCCCGACGGAGGACCAGTCCACTCGTCCGAGCTGTCGCCGCCGTCTCGAGTGCTACTAGTACTTCTCCGTTGCAGACCATATGTCGTAAGTGCTACAGAGTAACGGCGAACCGCGACGCCAACAATAGCCATCACACCGTGATTGGAGAGCATTCCTGGTCAGGCTATTTATAGACCATCAATGTGTACATAGTATGCTGCATGTGCATATCGAGAGCAAGTTATACAACAACAGTCGACGCTACAACTCCGTACAAGATAGGTAGAATGCGGGGAAACAAACCCGTGCGCGATTAGTCACTGTCAGTGTCCGTGGACGACCCAGTCTCGTCGCCTTCCACATCTGACACACACTGTCAGCCGCAGTCCGCACGCGACCAAAATAAACCAGCCTTACCGACGAGGTAGTCAGGTTCAGGGATGCGGATGACGGGCGGAGGCGGCAGGCGTGGTGGGCTGGGCTTTCTCTGTGGAGGCGGTATAGGCTTGCCTTTCTTGCCATTCATTCGCTGCGCAGTCTTAGACGACAACGTGGGGCTCTGCAACGATGGCGCTGACGCGAGTGTCGATATGGAGGGCGCAGGCGATGGGACGCGCGAGGGGCCCTCCGGAGAGGAGGACAGTTCTCGCTGGACAGACGACAAGATTGACGAATCGCGTAGCTTGGACGGGACCCTTGAATGAGATCCCGTAGCAGGGACCGACAGCGTCTTAACCAACAATTCAGCACCGTGGTCATGACGTCCACAAGCAGTCTTACATTGCTGGGTGATCCAGGACCTTCGGCATCGCCTTTGACTCTTGCCATCGGGGACGCTGCCGAGGTATAAGCTAAACGAAATCAGACAATGGAGCAATGTTACCTGAAGTCTTTGCCTTCTTCTGGTTCTTCTTCGGCGACACATTGGGCGAACCAGGCTGCGCGAATAATCAGCACCCGCGTCGATCACACATCGCGAAGAGTAACATGCCCTCTTACGATGTAAGTTGAATTCGGCGTCATCTACGACCCATGAGCAGACCGGCAGATATTGGCGATCATCCACTCACCTGCGCGTTTAGCCTTCGACTTTCCCTTGTTCTTTCCAGCGGGTGGCGGCTTGCCTTCATCAGACAGCATGCCGTCTTCGGTCCCCATGAACGGTGACGCAGATCTACCAGCGTCCGAACCAATCCTGAAGTACATGCCAGTTTAGTAACCCGGTAATGTTCAAAGCGGGTCACATACTTGGCTTTGTGAGAAGCGTTGCGCGCAGCTCCTCTGCGTGTGCTCAGCCCCATACAATCAGCGAGATGGGCCGCATAGCGGTTCGAGGCCACCTGTAATCCACGAATAGGTTAGCTAGGCAGGCGTCATGGCTGAGGCTGCTCACCTGCCGGTCACAGTTCACGCATTCCATGATGACGTTCCCGTTCGTCTTCCCGTTCGTGGGTGTGCTGGTGCCAGTGCCGGCAGGACTGTTTGTACGCACGTCCTCGGAGGGTGTAGCCACTTTGGACGGAGACGCCTGTGTAGTACTCCCAGATGCTCCGGGTACGTGGACTAGGAAAACGATTATGATGGGATCGACTGCAACACATCAAATGAGCATACCTTGACCGCAGCTGAGTATTCATACAAGTTCGAGGGTCTCAGTTTTCCAGCAACTCAGCATAACTGGGTTACGCTTACTATGTGTGGCATATATCGCAGACCTTCCTGGACCGCGCTATAGCCTGATGAGACTCCAGCACGACGTCCATCAGCGCGTCATCGACCATGGCCGAGAATATCCGGTCCGCCTGACGCAGTTCAGCCTTAAAACCCGTTCATAATATAAGTAGGAACGCACAATGTCAGACAAAGCCTCATCTCGCTCCTTCTTCCCCATCGAAAGCGGAAGGCAACGGAGTCGTCGCTTTCATGTACAAAGCACACTGGCCCGGCGAATCGTCAGACCAAAAAAGCAAGCCTTCGTGAGCAGGTGGCGACCTGTGAGCCAGAGCAACCTGGTGAGTTCGCCGCAAGACTGAACTGGACGCTCAGCCACAGTGGCGGCCAGCTCCCTCGTGTGTTTGCCCACTCGCCCGACGCCGCTCGACGCGCTACACGTGCTCGATCGCATTCGCGTCTTCCCGCGGCGCGTCTGCCGCGAACCTCGCGCCACCCTGCTGGTGCCCTTTACCTCACCGGAAGACAACATTTGGATAAGATCGCGCAGGCACAGATAGTAAGCAAGAAATACATTCCCCGAGGAAGCATAGATCTAGAAATTACTGTCCGAGGGTATTGACAAAAGCAGATTCATAACGTGGCGTAGCAGTTGGACGTATGGATACGATTATTACGGACAGAACGAGACCGGATTTGCCTATCCCTACCCTACCCATCACCACAGGTTCTTTACCGGGCGCTCAGACGGGAGATCGTGAACACGCTCATGATCACAACCGCCAGCGCACCGATGCTAGCGGGCAACAGCAGATCCTTCGGGATGCCCATAATATTCTGCTCCTCCTGGACGTGCACCGGACGCGGCGGCGTGATGTTCGTGTTCTCCGGAATGACGGTTTCCGTCTTCTCTACCTCCTCTAGCTCTTCTTTGGCCGCCTCCGCGACGACTGCCGCCTGCGCCGCGCTCTTCTCAGCCGTGGCCTCAGCCCATCCCTTTCCGCCCTGCACAAACAGCACGACACGGTCCACGTCCGCCTTGCGCGCGTTCTTCACGGCGTCCGCGACGTCCGAGTCCGAGGTGATCAGGACGATGTCTCCATCCGCGTCGGTATACGACAGGAGGAAGTCCGACGGGTCCGGCGGCAGTTCAGACGGGTCGGAGGTCTTGTAGCTCGTGAAGAACGGATCCGTTGCCAGCTTGCCGCCGACGATGTCGCGCAGATTCTCGAAGTTGTCGTGGCGTGCCTGGAAGCGGTGCGTGCGGCCACTCGGCGTGCGGAACTTGAATACGTACGTGCCATCGTCGACAGCGGCGGGCGGCGAAAGCGGGCCTTGGATAGAAGGGAAGGCTTCACCGATCCTGCTCGCGTAGCCGCCCACTTGGGATGCCGACTCGTCGTCCATGTTCGACGCAGTGTCGCTGAAGCGTGCGTCAGATCGAGGGGAGCCGACGAGCTGCGACATGCTCCGAGATAAATGGCGAGAGTGCATCTCCGAAGGGAACGTCGAGCCGGAGATGACGGACTCTGTGTCGCCCTCTCCTAGAGACTCGAAGAAGCGGCCCCACATAGGCCCGCCCTCTGCCTCGTTCTCCCCACTTGTACCTTCCGGAGCGATAGAATTCATCTACAGTCAGAACTCGTCAGGGAAGATAGTTACAGATTATTGCTGCCCATACTGACCTGCTCGAGGGTTGCGTAGGTCAACTTCAGCACATCCACGATAGCGACCAGGCGCCCATCAGCCTCAACAACAGGCAGATTGAGGTAGTGACCAGCTGAACGGAAATCAGCGAACGATTTCCTCGTCAGAGAGGACAGGACTTACTGTGCATCTTCTTCAACGCATCATGGCAAGTCATAGTGGGCGGCGCCGTATCAGGATGAGGCGTCATGACCCTCACAACGCTACACCGGGTTGCATCCAAGCCCGCCGCGATGACTCGGAGTACAACATCCTTGCTCGTGAAAATCCCCGCAATCTTCGGCTCAGGTGCAGGCATACCGGGAGCGTGGGACACGTTCTCCATCACGCACACCGCCGTCGTGCGACGCTCCTTCATCAGCTTAGACACCTCACGCACGGTAGCCTTGGGCCCGACAGTAGCGGGTTGCGTGCGCGAGTCCATAACCGTGGTAAGGTCCGGCAGCGCAGTCTTCTCACGGAGAGCCTCGACGTAGGAGAGCATTGCCGCGGCCTGCGGGTTCGTCCCCATGTTCCCGCCCAGCTCGGACTGCACACCCGCAAGAGCGGAATACAGCTTCTCTGACGCAGAAGAGCTCCGCTCGACCTTGTCAAGGGCTTCATGGAAAACCCTGGTGATGTCGAGCAGACCGACGACGTTTCCATCTTCATTACACACGGGCTGGTGGGAAGCGGATGCTATTGAGTGTACACGAACGCGCAATGCTGATTATGGCACGCACCAGATGCCTGAAGTGTCTCTGGACCATTAGCTGCAGCGCCTCCGTGGCACTCGTCGTATCCCGCGTCACCATCGGGTTGCGTGTCATGATTGCACTAACATGTGTAGTGTGCGGGTCCAGACCCTCCGCAGTGACCTAGAGGGGAGATCTAGTACGTGGAATCATCGAGTGCATTCTGCACGCACCCTGTATGCCAGGTCTTTGGCAGTGAAAATGCCACTGAGACCCTCATCATCATCGACCACAAGCACACAGTCTGTCCTCTTTGCCGCACAGAGCTGACTCGCCTCCGAGACCGTGATGCTCTCTGGTACTGTCAGAGCAGGGCTAGGCTTGAGAGCAGCGACTGTGCCCTTTTGCACATTCGGCTTGTGACCGCGTCTGCGGCTTCCAGGCGCGAGCTGTGTTGTGGAGATAGTCCGTTTACGGGAGAGCTCAGATTCTATCTTCTTGCGGATAGCCTGTAAAAATGTGGATGTCAATGGACTGTTGCATGCCGTAGACTAAGCAGGGTATCGGCGAGGCCGCAAGGGCACATCTTCCTTCCATCAATGCATGAAAGGACGCCGCAGGACGTGTGCTGAATACACGTGTCATACGCTGTCTCCTGGGAGAGATGAAAGCTAGTGGAGGAAATATGCTCACCTCATCCCGCTTGGACTGCTTCTTACGCGTCTCCGCCATGGAACTCGAGACGGACGACATGGACGACTGGTGACGATGAAGACCTCCGGGGAGAGGCGAGGTGGCACGTTCGGGGAAAGGAACAGGAGAAATTGCGCGTTGCTGAGCGCCTGCGCTGCGATGGTTGGAAGGAGAGAGCGAGGGCACTGGGATGCGTGACATGGACTTGCAGAAGCGTCCCTGCGCGCAGTGTGAAGAACACGACCTGCTTGCTCGTCTCGTTCCGAACCCGGCTGCCCGCGACACACGCGCCGTGCTGTTGCTCCTGTTTGTCTCGGTGGCACAACTTCCGTTTCCGCATCTAACATGAGCATTCGGGAGCTACTCTACTCGTACAGAACAGATGGACGGTATCATGATATACGATAATAAGAGAATCCTCATCGCAACGTCACTGTGTCGTGAAGGTTCGTGCTATTCTGCGCAGTCAGCGTTTCTGCCGACCAGCGATCGACCTCGACTCTTACCTGCACTACAATCTCCGCTGGACTATCATGCTTGAGCTTCCTGGAAGTCCTTCGGCCACTTTGGGTGTTCGTGTACCAGTAGTACCCTCCACCCAGTAGCAGGATGAGTACGAAGTGAGCTACGCATAAACGTCAATCATGGAACACGAGCGATGGCACCAACAGTATACTCACCTGCTACAAAGCCCACTAGGCTGCCGAATAGATCCGTCCCAAACGATATGAATGCCTGAGCGAGTTGCAACGCGCCGCTCAGGAGTTCCTTGCCCAATGCTAGGACAGCCTGCAAGACGCCGAAGACGGAGTTGAGCAGAGAAGTGACAATCCCTACGAGGGATTGTACGAGGGTGGATACTGCGGCTGAGATGGAGGCCATGGTAGTTGAGAGCAAGAAAGGGCGTGCCCACTCAAGGCTGCGATGGAGCCGCTATAACACGTCGAGACTTGACTCCATGGGAGGAGACGCGTGACGTCATGAACGGGAAGATCACGCGGGCGCGTTGTACAGCAAATATTTCATTGCACTCGTTAGGCGCACATTCAAGACTAGCGAACAGTTCTAGAGATATCATCCGCAGGGCACATACACGCCACCCACCGTGCACCGCAGCAACATCGCAACCATGCCACCTCACTGCCTCCTTGCACCAGCAGCACCACCCTGCGGCGCAATCACGCTGCCCGCCCAGCGCGATACCACGAGCTGGACCTTGTCGTACACTTGCGCGAGCACCGGCGACGCCCCAGGCGCACGGATGTGATATTCGATCCTGGCATGCAATTGCGCAACAGCGGCCTGGGTGAACTTCGACTGGTACCAGCGAGCCCGGAGGAAGTGGGCGTAAAATACGGGGGACAAGAGCGAGTTCTGGAAGGTGATGGCACCTAGGAAGACGCGCAGCATGATGAGGAGTTCCGCGTACGCAACGGCGTTCATTGCAGTGTCGTAATTGGCTGGATGAGCAGCCAGACTCAGTCAGACCTCACAGATATCAAGTCATGTCACGCACTTTTGACCCATGTCTGCAGCTTCTTCTGCATAGGATGAGGTGTAGGAGGGCCGCCGGCGGTCGCCGGAGGACCCTGAGGGAGGAGTTGGGGCATCAAGGTCGTACGCGAGAACGTTAAAGCATGGAAGAGCGAGAAGATAGCGTATGGTACAAGGGCAACTGCCAAAAGAGCCGCCGGGCATGAGGCAGGAACCGCGCGATACACAGGCGAGAGTACGCACGAGAGATTGGCTTCGAGGTCCACCAGAACAGAGCGAGCAATAGATATTGTACATTCTGTAGACAAAATGTGAGCAGCGATTCCGGCAAAAGGTCATCAGGATGCACACCTCGTCAGCCATTGCTCGCGATACCCATGCAAGATTCGGTTGTGGAGCCTGGCGGTCGACGTGTCAGTGTTCTCTTTAGCTATAATCCTCATTGAAAGAATTCGGCGCACCCCTAGCGACTTTCTGTTGACCAAAGAAGTTGAATGATCTGCCACTGCGCGGAACAAACGAGGAGACTCACTGGCAAACGATCGCATAGCTGGCAAGCGCACCAGTGAAGGCCGCTACAGAACACAGAGCCAGCGTTCGTCAACTCGCGCTTGCCAATGAATGGACCACGTACTCTTGTACCACCACGAAGAAGGACCTCTGAACAGAACCGTAGCTAGTAAATAGCGCAAGGCCGATACCAAGAGGATGAAGTGGCCCGCGGCCCACATATAATGCTGCGCCACCCGAGACCTCCGTTCAGTGTCACTCCACGACATATCTAGAATCCTACACACGGACCTGCGTGGTAGCCATGGCTGTTGGAGGCGTTGGACAACGAAAGCGATGAGGGGGAAGACGTGGACGATCTCAAGCTCAACTTTAGTCGGATGAGGTGCCGCGGAGAGTGACGCACCCCACGTTCTCTTCAGGGCAGGGCCCGTGCGCGTCGTGCACCCCTGCCCGGTGCCTGCCTGGTCTCCGCACTGCTCCTGCACGTCCACAAGCCCTCGCACGTACAATGATCGAATGCAATAAATCAGTGCAAGTACACAGACACACAGCGCATGTAATTAATATAGCAGGGACACGCGAAGCACACGAGAGAAGCCTAAGAGAACGGGATCCAGGGAAGACTCTGGCAGCGGACGATCGGATAGTGCTACCGACTCCATTGCGCCTTGCCCTCACTCTTCAGCTTCTTCTCTCCAGCCCTTCTTGTACACCTCCTTCTCCATCTTCCGTGCCCCAGCGTCTCCCTCCGCCTCTCCTTGTTATTCTCCGCTGACTCCGTTGGTCATCCTCGCCACCGTCCGCTTCTGCTTCGCTCGCGTCCTTGTCTACCGCGTCAATCTCCTCCCACTCCTCGTCGTTCTCCTCCTCTCCTCCATCCTCACGCTTTCGCTTCTTGCCTGACCGCCCAGCACCACCCTTGCCGCCACCATGTTCACGTTCACTCGTGGTGGCACGGAGAAGCCGAACGACTTGCCAACCTTGGCGAGGTCCACTGATTTACGTCGAAGATCTTCTTCAAAGATAGGATGCATAGCCTGCAGATACGACCGGTAACCATCGCGTGCGGATTGATGCAGGAAATAGTTCTTCTGGAGCAGCTTCTCCAGCTGGTGAAGACAGTCAGTAAGCTGTCACCAGACCAAGTCAGTGAAACACACCTGAGACTGCACATTCGCAATTTGTCCACGGGAAGCTGAACTCGTTCAGCGGAACCTTCGCGTCCTTGAGATACCGCAGGAACCGAGCTCGCTCGGCAGGAGGAACATCAAACTCTTGCCCACCTTGCCCGCACGCGCCGTCCGGCCGACTCTGTGGATGTAGTCGCGTGGGTCGTCTGGCGGATCGTACTGGATGATCCAGTCCACGCGTGGGATATCGAGTCCTCGAGCGGCAACGTCTGTGCACAGTAATGTGCCGGCCTCGGCGTTGCAGAACTCGAAGAAAGTCGTCGTCCGCTTTTGTTGTTTTTGCTTGCCCTGGAATATGCGAGCGTCAGTCTGATCCTCGATGTATGAGTGTACGACGCACATGAAGGTCAAGCACCGGGACATCGATGTAGTTGAGTAGCTCAGCGTGGTACTTACTGAGTTACAGCTCGAGAAGAAGACCACGATCTTCTTTTTCATGTTTCGTTTGAGGAAGGTGAAGAGAAGCAGGAATCGTCGGTCTGAAGGGCAGATCACGTAGCCCTGCGACAGAGTCGCCACAGTACTTGTTCGCTCTGTCTTGTCGACGTCAATGTAGAGGGGATTGGGGCGGAGGGATATGCGTGCGAGGTCAGTGACTTTATTTGTTTGTGTCGCGGAGAAGAGCATGGACTGTCGGTTCTCTGCAACATATTCTGCGTGTGAGCGAATACCAATGCGTCTAGGACAAACACGAGCGTACCATTGGGAAGAATGTGGATGATTCTCCTCATCTCCTCCTCGAATCCTACTTCCAATATCCGGTCAGCCTCGTCGATGACGAGCGCTTTCAAATTCCGGAACACAAAGCCCTTAGTGTTCTGCAGAGGATTGAGCAAACCAGTTTGATGCATGCACGACGGACTAACGCACCTCCAAGTGGTCGAGCAATCGTCCAGGCGTAGCTACGAGCAAGTTAACACCCTTTTGCAGCTTATCTGCCTCTGCCCTCCGGTTCGCACCGCCCATGACAATGCCAAATGTTGTGAATGGTGTGCCATGAGCTCCCTCGCTACTCCGAAGATCTGCAGCGCGAGCTCTCGTGTGGGGGAGACGATCACAATGCCAGTACCTAAGGTAGGCCAATGCTCAGTATAAACTATGAAACACACTGGTTTTTAAATGCGGACAGGCAGTCACTCACCGTTTCGTGGTTTGAACTTCATCCGGTGCAGCAGCTCGATGGCAGGGATGAGAAATGCGAGCGTCTTGCCTGATCCTGTCCTTGCTGCACCCAAGACATCCTTGCCCGCAAGCAGCGACGGTATACTCTTCTCCTGGATCTCAGTCATAGACTTGAACCCCATGTCCTCTAGGGCCTTGTTCGTTGGCTCGGACAGCTCCAGCTCCGAGAAGGACTTGCGTCCAGGAGCGTTGTCTGCATTAGGTACTGGGGCCGGTGCGGCGACCTCGTCTGCTGCCATTGAAGTTGCGCCAATCAAAAAGGGGGGAAAGTCGACTTATACAAAGTAGTCGACGTGCCCAGGAAAAGAGGATAGGCAGGTTTAAGCAGACTAAGGGGGAGCGGAGGAAGAGCAGCGATCGAAGGTGGGCGGCAAAAAGTGTCGAAGACCTCCGCTCATTGGCCCGGCGCTTGCTGACCACTCATTATGTCTTCCTCGTACTCGACCTCGCAGAGTGAGTTGGCCGTAATCTGGACCACTAGCCTCACTGAAGCCTAGCATGCGTGGACAGTTGTAACTACGGTTGCTCTTTTAGCATCATCTCTGGGCATCGGATACGCGCTAGGCGTGAACAGCGCGTCGAGCTCGAAGTCTAGCGCGCCCTCTCCTCCGCCAGTGGACAAGCCACCAACGTCCGCTGACGGGGAAAGTGACGATGAAGGGGATGTAGCTGACGGTGATCTGTCCGCCGTGAGACCGGGATTTTCGGAGCCCTGCAAGCTGGTCTGTCTTCGTGGCTCATACCTCACTCGCTACTAACCTACTGCAGGTCCTGGTCGTACGGACTGACTTGGGCATGTCAACAGGCAAGATTGCTGCTCAGTACGTTTCTACCGGTCTATGCGACTGTGCATTTTTTAAACATCTGTCTACAGATGCGGGTAAGTACGGACAAAGAGAAGGCGAAGAATCGTCTCATTGGGCTCATAGACATGCAACGCTCGCTTGCTACAAGGCACTTTATAAAACAAATCCTGGGGTGAGCACAGAGCATTTTCAATATTGGCAAGTTGATAAGGGGACACACGCTGTACAGCTCCTGCGACACTGGGAACGTACAGGGTAATGCTACAGCCACACGCGGTCCCTCACGTTCCGGCTAACGCTAGGCTGCAGCCAGGCCAAGATTGCCCTGAAGGCAACCTCGGAGGAAGATCTGCTGGAACTGGAAGCCGTGGCAAAGAGTCTGAACCTTTGCGCCCGTGCCATCCATGACGCGTGAGTTCGTGTATGGTTGGCCAATGCGACTGCTCACATGCGTTCATGATAGCGGGCGGACTCAAATAGCAGCGGGGTCGCGTACGGTGCTGGGCATCGGGCCCGGTCAGTAGACGTCATCTCGGCCTTTCTGTGGTGCAGGGGTGCTCATGTATATAACCCACAGGACCAGTCGAGCTCGTCAACCGAGTGACGGGCAAACTGCGCCTGCTATGATTCCGATCTGTAGGCTGGAGATGCTGGGCTGGAGCTGGCACTACTATATCCCTGCTGGGTGCACTTCGGTGGCTGTATCTGTTGTCATTACGCGCTTCCTGGCTGACGAAATGCAATTTCCGGCCTTTGTTGTACCATGTCCACTGTTCGTCGTCGTATGTGCATGGCTGCTCGACGTTGCCCGCCGTCGCCGCCCTCGAGAGCGCGGAAGATCCCCGAATGTTCGCCGAGGCGGTCGAGATGACATCATCGTGGGAAGGCCCGATATATGGCGCCCGCGTACGGGTTGGAAACTTGACTGACAACTCGTTCGGACTTAGGCTGAGGAGCTCTGTGGGGCTGGAGCGGTGAATGCATGCTCCGTAGCCGTTTGATCCAGTGCGCTGCGTGTCCTATAAACCCGTATTATTCGCATTACTCACCCACTTTTCACCCCTATTTTGACGACCTTCACGACCCACCCAACTTCACCTCCAATATGACTAGCATCGCCGTTGCGAGAGCTTACCAACAGTCCTTTGAAACTCACCCATATGGCACCCTCGCCATCACCAACGGCGCGCTCACCGCCCTCGGCGACATGGTCGCCCAGCTGACCGAGAAATTCGTGCGTGTGCTGCCCTCCATACATCTAACTCTCGCTGAAGACGAGTCACAGAATGGACCCCTTAGCCAGCGAAAGGGATGGCAGTACGACATTCCACGAACGCTCCGGTTCGCGGCCTTCGGTGTCGGGATGGGTCCAGTCATCGGCCGGTGGAACTTCATTCTCGAACGTTATTTCCCACTGCGCTCAGCAAGACCGCCACCAGGTGGCGGGAAGGCTCCCGTTAGCTTGCGAGCACTCGGAAAGCGTGTAGCGGCGGACCAGCTCTTCATGTGCGTCTACCCGTTATCGCGTTCTTGTTCGTCGCTGACTCGTTGCGCGTCGTGTAGGGCCCCAATCGGTCTCAGTATCTTCGTTGGGTCGATGGGTATAATGGAGGGTCGCGACGCGACACACATTCAGCGGAAGTACGCCGATATGCTCATCCCTGCGCTCCTTATGAACTGGCAAGTCTGGCCGCTCGCCCAGTTCGTCAACTTCAGGTTCATGCCATTAGCGTACCGAGTGCCATTCCAGTCCTCGTGCGGTGTATTCTGGACGCTCTACCTGTCCATCCTTAACTCAAAGTACGTGTCCCATCGCACTCTGATACATTTGCGAGCGCTGACGCGTCGCTTGCAGAGAGGACCAGGCACAGGACCGCGCGGATGCCATGCGGAAGTCGCTGGACAAGTAAACTTTCGGCGTGGACTCTTGGCGTTTGGGGATATAGACCATATCTTAGAGCTTAATAGAGGTCGTGCGTTTTTGGGAACATGCCTCTGCACACCGCTGTATCACTAGCACATACGAGTATCCATTAGCATACACTAGTGATGTACATACTTAGATAAATTGATTGCGACTCTATACACACTGCATGCCTACACCAAAACCAGAGACGAGGTAAAATACAGCGCTATGTCCTGCCATACTTCGGCTTGAAGAAGGCTGGAGGTAAAGCATGCAGGACGTCCACTAACGGCCGCTCGACGACCAAGAGCTCCTTAGGCCCGATGAAGTCGACGAACAACAGAGGCCGGTACTTCGTGATCAGCGTAAGTTCTTCTGCGGGTTCCCCATCTCGCCCTCCTCGACGACGGGCGCGGAGGGGTTGACGACGTGATGCGGCGCAAGCTCACCGCGTTTGCGCCCGTACGGATCTCGCCGCCGCCTCTTCTCGAAGACACCCGAGCCAGGATCCGCATCCAGCTTGATGCGGCACAGCCAAGTCGCGCCCCAGAAGAGCGCGTTCCTCGGCGGGAGACTCCTTCCCGCCGCGTCCATGCCCTCGACCACATCACTGGCCGGAGCGACCGTCGCCCCCGGGTCGAACGTCACGCCGACGATGGGGTCGTGCATCTGCAGGAACTTCTCAGGCATCCGCTTGACGACCCTCTGTGCCCACTTCGGAACGAGCGCGTCTCGACGTCGTACACCTCCACCGTGTTGTTCGCGAGCCCGATGACGAGCGTGCTCGAGTTGGCAGTGTCGAACGCGAGCGCGTGGATGGCGGAGGCGAAGGAGGGGAGGGTGGTGTGATACGTTACGGAGTCGAGGTTGAAGACGAAGGTGCGTCCGTGTGTGTCGGTCGTCACGAGCCACTGGCCATCTGGGCTGGTGGCCATCCGCGTCACGGTGGGGATGGCATTGCTTTGGGGGAGGCCGTCTTCGATGGCTGATGATTCGCTCTCAGAAGCGTCACCGTCTTGGGCGCCTCCGCAGACTCATCAGGAGCGGGGGAGGCATCTTCTGCAGGCCCTTGCTGCCGATCCTCCCTTGATGATACGCCCACCCATAATAGACCCCGCGACCCGGTGCTGGTCGAACCTGCGCATTGCTATGGCGGTCGTGACCCGAGGTCAAAGACGACGACGTAAGATGACATGGCAGTCGCAACCACGAGCTTTGACGAGTCTGGCGAGAATATGAGGGAGGATGCGCCTGCTGACGGTGTCTTATCAGGAAGCTGGCTGTGCAGGATAGCAGAAAAATCTCGTATCCGACGAGGTGTCAGATCGCCATTCGACTGACAGCGGTTGTAAGCACCATCTATTTAGTCAACGAGATGCTGTGCGCTCACCTCTTGCTTCAGCTCAAACAGCTTAGTCTCGTACCAGTCTGACACAGCTATCCAGCGTCCGTCGTCCGAGATTGCGCTTGCAACATGGTTCGTATGGACGTTGAGGTCCATGTCCAGGATACGCTCGAACCCGCCATCCGGCTTCTCCTCGTCGAAGCTTTCGATATCGAGTGGGTTCTGCCTTTGTAGGACTCGCCACACCGTCAAAGACGTGTCCCTCATGCAGAGCAACAGTCGCGCCTGCCGCGCGAGGTGCATCGCAGACGTATTGGACGGCCCCGAACTATACGCCAATCTTCGGTTATATGAGTCCCCAAATGTCGCCTCCGTACTCGTCACGAGCGGGTTCGTGATGTTCGTGACGGTCGCGGAGCGAGCGCTGCGGGCGTACGTTCACTGACATGTCTAGGCCCCCGGATGCGAGAATTGGTGCGACGTCGATGGGGAATTGCCGGCGGTAGGCGGGAGGGAGGGGTGTATGCGGCGGCCAGATGGTGAGGGCGCGAACATCGTGTGAATGCATACGGCGTGAGGCGGACATGATCCAACGGGAGGAGCTGCGCTTGAGCACGGATGTACTCTTCGGGTTCGTCATTTTGACGTGGGTGAATTGGGTGATCTTCTGGTCGACGCCTGAGGTGTACACAGCTGTTCCGTCCTGCGATGCCGTCAATACTAAACGAAGGCGGGGTAGCGGCAAAACATACCGGACTGATTGTCATGCAGAGAATATCTGCTGCATGACCGGGGAAGCTGTCCGTCTGTGTACATGTCACTGGGTCCCAGAATTTCACTATGCCCATCGAGTCTCCGGACACTATTGTGCCGTCACTGGTAATGAACGTTCATTAGGTGAAAATAGACACAGGACATTATACTCACCCGAGAACTCCCACTGCCCACACTAGCGTTCGCTCGCCCTTCACCTTCTCCGTAGTCATCCGATCCAAGACACGGCCGGTGCCCACATCCCACTTGCGCACACACGAGTCTGAGCATCCTGCTACGAGCCAGGAGTCCGACCAGTCATCCTCGTCGTCGTCATCGTCGCTGTCTTCTGTAGCTGCCTTTTCTTGGGTCTTACTTGTGTCACGCGGAATCGGAGGACCCCAAGCAATGCTGAGTATGCGATTCTTGATTCGGTCGAAGCGGCGTAGATGCGTAAGGGAGTCATATTCAATGGAGATGAGTCGGATGGAGCCGTCCTCGCAGCCGAGGGCGAGCTGAGTGCCTGCAGGATTTGGGGTCACCGCCCAGATGGAGCCTCCTTGCGAGCTCAATGTTCTCTGAAACACGAGGCGTCAGACGAGGTGCTTGTTCATGGGATAGAATGAGCCGGGCGCACCCTAATGCAGGACCGTTCAAGGTCCCACTCTACTAATTCACTGCTCCCTCCTGCGCTGAACAGTCGTAGATTCGCAAGCGTAGGCACCCCGCCTTCACCTACTTGGTCGGGATTCTTGATAGTAAAGGCTAGGCAATCGACTTTCGAGGGAGATGGGCCGGGTATTGTCTGAAATCAATGAGCACCGACGCCTTAAGTGCAGCTTCTGTACCACACACCTTCCGCACTGCCCAGGCCTGCGGTGCCTGCACCTTCTGCTCCGAGCCCGTCCACTCATATATCTCGATGTTACCATTCGCCCTCCCTACTGCCAATGTCCCGGGCGTCAGCGCTTTCCGACTAGAGCTTGCAGCACTTTTCTTTCCCTTGACTGAGGGAAGCGGGAGAGGAGGAAAGGCTAGGGCGGTGATCGCGGAGGGAGAAAAGTCGATGAACCGGCAGCGGTGCACTGCTAGCGAGGTGCCCTCAATCATGGCGAGGCTCTTTTGGGGAAGGGGATGGGGACACTGCTAGGACGGCGATCGCGTCTGGGACGAATTTCGCGAGACGCGAAAGTCACGAGCAGCGTTTTTCTCGCTTCCACATTCGGCAGGGGATCGTACGCGCTCGAGGGCGCAGGCGTGTCATACCGTGCTCTCGTCAGTGCTACCGCGATTTGCTGCCTTCGCTCGCATCACTGCTCTCTGCGGCACTTCAGACTAGAACTTTTGAACGTCTCTAAAACTTGACGAATTCATTCGCCGAAAATGTCGTTTCTCGGTCGGTCAGGAGCACCCTCAGGCTCTGTCAACCCGGAGAGGGTAGAAATGGCCATGCAAGAGTACGTCTGGTCGTTCAACGTGTTCGACCAACGTTCCTGATGAGTCTACACAGGCTTGACATGATCACGGACGTCTTCAACCGTCTCGTCACGTCAGTGCTAGGCAGCTATGTCTCGCTCCGGTAACGGACCGCTTAATGGCGTCTTTCCTGCAGGTCTTGTCACAGCAAGTGCGTCAGCCCAAGATACGCGGAAGGCGATCTCAGCAAGGGCGAGAGCGTTTGCATCGACCGATGCGTCTCAAAATTCTTCGAGGTCAACAAGAAGGTCGGAGAGAAGTTGCAAAGCATGGGCGCGGGCCAGAGCGGTGGTGGTGGCAGCAGTCAGAGCGCATTCGGTTCACTATAATGGGAGGATGCAGTGGTGACGAGACGGGTGTAGATGGCACCGCACTGATGTCTTAGCTATAGATTCTACTTAATGCCCCAGGAACCCTTGCCGATTAGATCACAAAATCCCAGCAACCCAAAAATCCACTGCATATGCGAAAGCTCGTGTAATGCCCAAGTAGGCTCTATGAAGCACAGGAGAACGTCTAGCAGGAATCTTGTCACTTCCCGTAAGTCGGGAAACACTCGGCCAATGTCTTTGAGTGCTTGCCCTGTGCGTGCTCTTCGAGCCTAGAGAATCCGCCCGATTAGTGAGAACTATGGAGTGGTGAATGACGACGCTCACGCCGGTGCACGAGTGGTCAGCATCTGGAAATTGTCTGGTGAGCGACGTATGGACTGCGGACAAAACAGAGCCAAGACGTACGAATGCCTGCTTGCATGTCTGGCAGACAATGTTCATGGCAGCCTGATTAGTCTTGGTCTGGCTTTTGGCAGTGCCTCCGGCCTTGGCCGCGTTCCTCTCGCGCTTCTGAGCCGCCTTTGCACCCTACAAGGTCGGAGACAGGTACATGGATTCACCATAGATCGGGGGAGTCTCGTTAGAGAGAAGTGCTCACGTTTCCCATTGCTGAAATCGAGAGAAGTAGAAACAGAAATCCGAGGAATCTAGACGGCCGAGACGGAGAAGGAAGTAGACCGAGCGTACAATGGCGACCACCTGCAGGAGGGCAGGCCTCTGTGCGGAGCAGCGATCGAGAAAAGATGGGATGCGTCGGAGCGCCCGACTGGCTGCCAGACGAATGGCGCGAGGGCTGCGGGCGCGCGAGCCGGCGGCCCGCAAAACTTACGCAGGAACAATCTCGATGCTATACTTAAAGTCCCCAGTCATGCCTCGACCTGTATCCCATATCCACGGTTTCAGGCCGCATGAGTCATCTCACATTCTGTTCTCTCCTGCGTACCCAGTGCACTCGCTCGCCGACCAGGCTCACCCAAGTAGCTCGCCACATCCCGCAAGTTCGCAATGGCTGCTCACGGGACATATACACCGACAAAGGTGATCGAGGAGGCAAAGTTAGACATTCTTGCGCAGACGCAGGAAGACGTGGTGCCGCTTGCATGCATGGAGACCAAATGTTCACTGACTTGCACCCTTGACAGGATAATGCGAAGTGGAGGAGACAAGTCTCGCGGAGCTTTCTCTGTGATTACCCTCAGCTCAGCTTATTGACACCTTGCTTACTGAGAAACCCAAGCGGATACCATCACAGGTTTGAGGCATTGCCCTCCACAATGAGCTTCGACGCCCTGACCAGGCTTCGTGCAGCGCCAACTGCAGAGATGTACGTTTACGCCGTGCGGGCATCTCTCGGAGACGATGTCTACGACGAGCCTTGCACCAAGCTCCTGGAACAGCATATGGCGAAGTTGACCGGCAAGGAGGCGCTCTGTTCGTGCCGTCTGGTACGATGTCAAACCAGCTTGCTCTCCGGACACACCTAAGCAGCCACCATACTCGGTACTCTGTGACCACCGAGCGCATATCGCAAGGTCCGCACATTCACTCAATAGGAATGAATTTAGGCCTAATAGAACGTCATTTAGATACGAGCTGGTGGACGGCTTTCCATTCCGGTGCCCAGCTTGACTATGTGATCCCTCTAACGGTAAGAGCCAGATATGAAGCGACATAGGTGTGTCTCACGACGCGATGTAGGGCATCAGTCACCTGGATGATATCAAAGAGCATGTGGTCCTCGGCAGCGATATCACAGGTACGTCGACGTAGTGTCCTCTTCTGTCTGTCCTGATGGCGCATAGCTGCCCGACTGCTATCATCGAGCTCGAGAACACGCTCAACGGCACGATCATCCCGCAACAAGATGTCATTGAGATCTCCGAATTCGCCCACGCCAACGACATCATAATGCATCTCGACGGTGCGCGGATCTGGCATGTCGCAGCGGAGACCGGGACGCCTCTGTCGAACTCTGCGCCCCTTCGACTCTGTGAGTCTATGCTTCAGCAAGGGTCTCGGTATGTCAACCTCAGTTCTGTTGTGCTTTGAATTACGCGTCTAGGTGCACCTATGGCTCGTGCCTGTCGGCACAAAGCAATTCATCACCCGGCCAGATGGTTCCGCAAGCTCTTCGGCGGCGGCATGAGGCAGACCGGCTTCATGTCAGCATCCGCTGCCTACGCGCTCACACATCACTTCCCCCTTCTGCCCGGTGTGCATGCGCTCACCCGCAAGCTGGAAAAGGGCCTCGAGGAGATTGGCGTGCGGATCACGAGTCGCGCCGAGACTTGCATGGTTCGTAACCCCGCTTGCGAACCTATGCGCGCGTTCTGACTGTGCTCGTAGGTCTTCTACGACCCCTCACCAATTGGTGTCTCGTACGCAGAGATCATCGACCGCGCGAGCAAGCTCCCTGAGCCGATCAAGCTCGGTGGCTCGCGATTAGTCGTTCATATTCAAACAGCTGAGGACACTGTCGACGATTTCCTCGCCGTCATTCGCAAGCTGGCCCAAGAGAAGAAGGACGCTGGCTTTGTGTACTCAGAGCAACAGCAGAAAGCCAATGGTGTCGGCAGGAGCAGCATCTACGTCAAGGTCAAGGCGTCGGACCTCGAGAAAGTACAGCACCAGTGACATGTAGGCTCAATTTCATGTGCCTGCGATGTGTTCTGCAAATCATTCATACTTCCCTGGTTGTAGAGTTATCGCTCGTCGTAGAACGTCTAAACGTGTACTAGAACTAGTTTATCGCTATGTATAGAGTATATCGGGGACGTCGCGTCCAATTTCCCTGTTGACACCCCACGTCATATTGCAAGATAATGATTCACACTGTCAATACACTAATAGGTGATCCAGGTAAAGTACTTTTGACTCCAGGGTCTCCGTCCGACTACCCCGGCATTAACCCCTCCCTACATATCTCTGCTTTTCATACTCCTTCCACAAGGCTTTCATCGTGACCTTGCCGCTCGCATCCAGAGCGGACACCATCACCGCATCCCTGTTATGATCCCCCAGCATGTCACACAGCGCGAACAGCCCCGGTTGGAGTTCTCTCCTCATCTGAGTCGAGACGACACAGAGCGGATCGTTTACGGCCTCGATATAGGCAGTCAACACGTATGCTGCGTGTTTCGAGAACGGGCGGGCAAGAGACTCGGGTTTCTGCGACTCCGGTTCTGTCCGTGCGTTCGTATGATGGTCTTGGTCGTGAGGGTCGTCATAAGCCTTGCGAGAGCTTTGGCTTCCTCGACGAGAGCGGTCTCTCCGCACTAATCCACGCAGGCAGCGTATTCATGACGAGCCTGGTCTGCTTTGCGCCCAACTGTGGACGGAGCCCCCGGAGCGCGCTGATCAACCGGCGGAGGATCATGCCGAAATGTGGCAGAGTGTTCAAGATGAGGTCACGACGCAGGCGGATGAGCGCGCTGACGGTGTTGACGATCTCCTGGAACACAGTCGCATCGGTGCTCTGGTCGTGCTCGGAAGAACTGGCGAGGAGCTGTCCTACGATGGACCAGATAGCGGACATGTCCGAGGACCTCACGGAGGCGGGCTGGGAATAGGCGGTCAGACAATGACACAGCGCCCCTAGATAAAAATACACATACTCGGTCATTGCAGTAGCCACTCAACAAACCTAGGACCTCAAAGCGGATTGCAGGGGTCGAAAGATAGTCAGGCCGGTCCGCACATAACGTCAGGATTCTCGAGAAGGCCTGCTGCGTGATTTTGGAAGTTCCTGCACGCGCATGCGACGTGAATCATTGTGTCGAACCTGCGGACAAACAGGGCTTACCTTCCGGTGCATTGAGTTCTGATATCTTGAAGAGGCGAATGAGAATGGCAATATCGGTCGGCTGAAACGAAGCCACATTCACCGAGGCCTCGACGACGTAATCGACAAAATAGGAGTAGTCTTGGGTGGGCATCGACTTGCTGATGCTTGAAAGGCTCGCATCTAGAGCATGGACGCCTATAGAGCCCGGTCAGCCTGTCCATCCAATACGGGGGTAAAGACCACCAACCAGCTGAGCCACAGCATCGAGAGCATACCAGATATCCGGCTGCCAAACAGCCTATATACGTCTGTCGTCTGTCTGCAGCGGATGAATAGAGTTCCTCCTTCAAGACGTCGAGCAGTGAGAGGCATGTCGCCGTATTAGGGGTGTGCTGGTGATCGCCTAACAGCTGTCCCAATAGAAGATGGCCGTAGCGAGGCAGTGCGCTCACTATTCTTCAGTTGAAGTTTATCAGGTGAAGGGACCACAATTTTGATACTCACTGTCTGCCTGGATACATCTCCCCAACCACAGCGCATGAGACCACATGCGCAAGGTGCCATGTTGGTCGTCCCATAAGCGTGTACGCGGCGATGTGCGGTCCTCGGGAGACATTCGCGATAGCTCTGCAGAGTATACAGCTACCATGCATTCATACAATGTGCGTAGTGCTTCCTGCAGTTGCTGAGGGAGTCTACAAACCAACTGTAAGTCCTTACCGGACGCCATCTAGACTGTGAGCAACATACTGGGATGATTCGAAGTTTGAAGCGACAATGGACACCAATCGGAGCAGTGTTCCCTCTGCTACCGGGCTGGAAGATTGTCGTCTTTGCTGCATCGGAACGTCCAGAATTCTCCTGATTCCTTCGACGGCTGCTAGAGCAGATCTCTCACCGCTTTTGGTAGTTCGGAAGAATGTCCTGGACAGTTACGCTATGAGTTTGCAACGATTCGCTCATAGATTGATGCTTACGCGAGGTGGACGCCAATGAGATCCAACGTTACGCAAGTCAGATCATCTTGCTGATCTACAGGAACATCGACAGTATGTTGTGAATCCGACTTCAGTAGATAGCCAAAGTAGCCATCAACACCCTGCGCGGAGTTATCGTTTCTGTGCAGTGAGCGAAAAATGCCACCACGTACCAGTTGATCGACATTCCCCTCATAAGACACTGCTCGTCGAATGAATTGCCGGACAATCAGGAGAGAGCGGGGACCGATGGCCTTGTCCATAACACCAGTGCCGACGAGAACATCAGCCACAAGGGCACGTTGAAGGAGGTCCGCACGCAGTGTGCGCGATAGATATTCATCGGGCGTGTACAGCAAGATCTCAAAACCAGCAACACTTGAAGCGATTTCTGTCCGGAGTTTGCGTGACACACTGGTCTGCGTGCCGTCCAATAGTTTCTGCGCGTCAACATTTGCTAGAGCTGCTGTGCAGTCATGCAACTGCGCTAAGAATGCGTCTGCGTACACGCACGTGAGAAACAATAGGCTGTTATTGAACACTCACACCTACCCCTAAACCGGCGTAACTCCCAGACATCAGCGCTGCGGAGAGTGACGGCGAGTATCGTGGCAGGAGTCAGTTGCTGACTGGTCTTTGTCGATCCATTCGCTCTGGAGGAACTGCTTGGGCTTATAGCTAGGATTACCTTCGCAAGCTTCGTCAACTGTTCCGCGGATGCTCGCGAACTGGTTCAGATGTCAATACGATACCGCCTCACTTCGGTGGCTCACTTACTCAAACAACGACAGCCATCTGGAAAGCGTGAGATGGAAAATGGCGACGACTGCTGGATTGTTCTTGTCGCTCAACTCATGAGACTTGCCTGACCAACCGAGTTCGGCGGCATCGCCATCGGTTTGAAGTCCCTCCAGGCATCGCAGCACTTCGTCGAGGACGCCTCTGGCAGCAGCGCTATCGCCGATGGCCGAGTCGTTGAGCAGCGTCCTGATCTGAAGGCCCGTTCAATCACTGCGTGTGGGCATGAAAATATATTTCTCACAATCGTAAGGCTGAACTCTGGTAGTACATCATCATTACTGAGGAGGGTGCGCAGTCGCGATACGACATCCTCGTCCAGTTCCACACTCGGCCATCCATGACTTTTGCGGTCGTGATACACGAGCAGCGCACCTGTCGCGACGATCTGCCACGACCAAGTCCCCCGTCGGTTGCTGGCCTTCAGGGCTTTCACAGCCCCATTCAAAGCGCGAGGGAACACCAAGGCACAGGTTGTGCCGACCATGTCGTGAAGCTCTTTCCGAGAGTCTTCGAGCATTGCTCGCATCGCCAGAGAGCTAAGCACGACCACGACTATCCTTGAAACCAGGGCAAACTCCACAGCACACCACGCCGGGTCGACTCGTATGTCCTCGCCTGTACTTTTCTTGCGTTTCTTCCTCGACCCATCGCCGTCCTCCGCCCCAACTCTTTTGTTTTGTTCCCGGAACTGCTGGAAGGTGTCTTGGAAATGTTCGATGACAACACGAGAGACATCCACGATTTGGCCAGGCGTGAGGAAGCCATGTATTGCTTGGCGGAGTCGATCAATCGATTCGAAGGTGAACAATGGGCCGCCGAGGACTTTTGCGTACGCCTCGTGTGGTTGGGTACTAGATCCTTGCCAATGACGAAGAGAGACGGCATCGAGCCAGGAATCGACGAGCGTGTTCACTGTGCGAGTCTTGGTATGGAAGTCGAATAGCAGGCGCATGTACATTGAAGATGATAGGTCTGGCGCAGTCTATAGACGCGTTCAGCATCGTACCAAAAAAAGTAGCGGATACTCACTCGAGCGAGCACAGGCCAGACCGCAGGCAATGTTGGAGCAATGAGGTCATAGTCAATGCGCGTCAGTAGAGCGAGCACGTCTACAGCCTTGTCAATGAGTGAGGCATCTGCGCGTCCAAGGTTAACACGGAAGGCACATGGAATCGATGAAGGACTGCCCACCTTCGGAATACGTAAGAGTTCTAACAGCCATACCACCACTGCTCCTGAGGACTTCAGTGCTATTTGCGTCTGAGGCATTGTACAGGCTCTCGCTGTCGACTATTTCGAGTAAGGATACTCTTGCGTCCCATGTCAAAGGACTGTCTGGACTGGGAGCGGCGCTGAGAATATTTTCGCAGAGCGCGTAGAATGCGAGGCCCGCGAGTTGAACCTGGGTAGAGGCATGTCCGGCAGCGTTGTTCGAACCTTGGCTGAACAGGGTATTCCGATTCTTCTTCAACGTTGGCACGAACGAGGCGAACAAGAGGGGCAAGGCACGTAAGACGACCTTTGCCGACGAAGGCAAGCATTTACTAATAGCATCCTTCAGAGCGGCGTCGCATTTGTGATCTTCAACATTGCGCAGGATATCGACACTGAACAGGGTCTCGATGCCTGCAGAGTAAATGTCGCAAATGGTCGCGTGTTGCACGTCAAGGAGCCGGGTACCGTGTTGAATGCATCGAAGCCAATGAAGGAAATGGGTCTGCAGAAACGTCGTGTACAGCTACAATGAGGGAACGTAAGTCAGGGTCTTCAAAGCATCTTAGTCACCATCGTACCTTCTTTTTGTTCGCGACATTACTGAATGCAATCCTATACGATGAGATAATAAGGGAGGCAACTTTTGCAACGTGTATTTCCGGCTCCGCATGATCGTCTTCGCCTGTCCTGTTAGTTGAGAGGTGCGCTAGTAGTGCACCGAAGCATTCGAGCAAGATGTCCGGATTGAACTTCGGCGAAGTCAAGGGCCATATAGTAGCAAGGCATCGAGCGAAAAGCTTGTTGAGTTTAACCCTGGCCCGTTCATCCTGAGAGCTTGACAGGGAGAGGTATGCCGTAACAATGGGAGCTAGTGGGATCCGGTTAAGCAGTGGCAAAAGCCATCTCCTTGCCGCACGGCTCGCATCCGTGTGTTTCACATCCTCTTCGTCAGGCGAGCAAACGATATCAGATAGAAGCTGCCAGTAGCGCGAGTCTAAAATCGGGTTTGCCTCTCTGTGTAGAATCCCGTTTGCCTCGTTGAAACAGGACTCGAGAAAACTGAGGACGCACCCTGCTTTCGCTTTATCCTTCAACAGACGCGTCAGAAGCCAGTCGACGATGACCTCGTCCTTGTTCGGGAAGAGAAAGCTAGCATTGTCCCATGCTTCTCGTGCGAGCTCGATTTTGGACGGCCCGTTTGCGTGAGGAGGATCCGAGTGCGCTTTGAGTGTTTTGATGAAATCCTGGGCCGAGCCAAGAGCAGAAGTGATCATCGTTGGTCCTTGCCGGGAGTCGCGCAGTCTCTGCTGAGTCCTGAGCACCTAGACTCGATTGTCCGTGCTGTCGGAGATCTGCAAAACCTGGTCCTGCGAGCGCTGAATTGCAGCACACCAAAGTTTACGGTGCGCACTGCGCACAGATATCGGCCTCGTGTGGGTCGGCTGGTTTCGCGTGAGAGTGAGATCACACGGCAGGTCAAAGAGTCGAACGTGTCGGAAAAAGAGAAAGGACGGAGAGACGGCAGCGGAAGACGGCAGCGCAGGCGAAGAAAGCGAGGCAGGGAACCAAGATAGGCAACGCAGGTGCGGCCGCGGGCCACGTGGGCCGAGGCACTTGAGTCTATCCAGGATCGAGAATCGAGATGGCTAAACGCATAAGTGAATGAATTCGTCTTCTGCCCCTTCATTAAGGTTTCTCTGCGCTCGTCTGCGACATTTCCTCGCTCCGGATCTCCCTTCCGTTCCCGCCTTTCATAGTCGATGTGCGCCTGAATGACAGGCCAGGCGGTCTGCAGCAACGCCATCCACCCGTTCCACAACGCCAGTGCTTTCTCCTCGTGTCATGGACCTGTAACCCATAGATTTATAGAACTCGACCGCCTGCAGGGCTCTGACTGTCATCCCGGTCTTTCGAACACCCGCTGTGGAGGCGGCAGCCGAGACTACTTGTATATAGCTTTGTCCGCGGTGCGTACAGTCTCCCCCCACCGCCCCCGTCTACTCATGCCCTGTATCTCTCAGTGCCGGCCCTCCCTAAGATCATGGTCGCATACCTGTGGCTTGTATGGTACGAAGCCCCCGCGAAGGCAGCACCAAGGCACTGGGCCCTTGCGGTCACGTACGAAGCTCATGATCACGCTTACGCGACTTTCTACGAGGTAATGCGTCCCTTATGTGCCTGGCCACGAGCTGTACTCAATGCGTCCGACAGGTTGCGGGCGACATCACTGGGGCCAGATATCAGCCTCGCGTGGTGCGCCGAGTACATCTGACCAGCAGACATGGTACTGTTCCGTACGCTGGCAAGCTGCTACTCGGCGACATCACGGATCAGGTCCTTGCCTCGCTCGAGATGTACAACGAAACAGCTGCTGAGCTTGTGAACGCACACAACAGGAAGCGCAGTGCCCACGAGTCGACATGTCATGACTGGGCTATCATCATTGTACGGAGCCTCGAAGACGCACTCTTGCTTCCTGCGGTACGGCTTCCCGAAACATGTGCGGATTCAGCATTCACTGATAACTGTGTACTGTTTAGGGCTCTCTGTCGAGGGTAGAGAAGAGCCCTAGATATGGCTGAGACTGGTCATGGGGTACATGCTCATCATCGGATTAACGAACCTGGCGAGTCTAAGCGCAACACTCAGACAAGAATAATGCCTCAAGATCCGTCGTTACTTACGCACCGCTGCTCCACCCGTCTACTGTATTTGGGATTTGTATCATCTTCCGGGCTATTTGGGTGTATTGTTCGTAGATCAGCTACAGTTACGATTCGCATCGTTGGTTTTTCCGGAACTCCGTTGTTTTCCTGCATTCTGTTACATATAACCTGATCACCACTACTAGCACAGGAGATTCAACGTCTGGCTATCATTGTACTTCTCGTTGCTCTATACTGCATGTACCTCGTCGTCAAAAGAATTATGTAGACTATGAAATCACTGACACGTTACAACTTAAACGTTAACCGGTGGTTTCAATAAGTCCAGTCTTGTGCTCTTCGACCATCCTTGCAGAACTGGGGTCAGGAACGCCTGGCTGCCACTGCTAGCCACCGACGCGTTTGAAATTTGACTCGCGACGTCTCGCGTTGAGCACGACCACGTGAGGCGGGACCGTGTAGAACCGTAAGCGCTGGGACGGGCCCGTGGGTGACAGGATGTGGCTACTATCCTCGCAGTGACAAAGACTCGATCCTCGTCCGCTCAACGTAGACCTACATAAACACGGGCACCCGTCTTCTCCTTGCGTACAAGCGGGCTTCCAGGTATAATCCAAGACGTCTAGTCCTCACCTCGAAGCGTTATGGCCACACAAACGTCCCCAGGAAGAGCAGGCATCGACCTCGCGGAATGCGCCTCGTTGCAAGGAGAAGAGTGGGAAGTCCTCGAGGTATCATCAAACCTTCTAGCTTCAAATGGAGGATAACTCACCATGTCGACTTCTTACAGTCTATCTACCCCGACTGTGTTTCGGGTGACCCCTCGAGTGGGTTGGTGAAGCTGGAGATACCAATAGAGTTCCCAGGACCAAAGGCCGTCTGCCTGGTGGACGATCGGATACAGTCTTCATCTACAGGTCCTAATCCAGGCCACGCCAGACCCGGGCCATCGTCTGTATCTGTGTCACCGTCCTTGTCCCTCGCGACTCTTCCGCCCCTCTTGCTCGACGTTCTCTTGCCAGCAACGTATCCATATAGCCCACCCGTGATACAGTCCCTTCACGCCACACAATCATGGCTTCCGATGTGCCTCACGTTGCAACGCAGGCTCCTAGAGCTGTGGCAAGACGGCGAGGGAGTGCTCTACAGTTGGATTGAATGGATACGCAGCGGCGAGTTCCTCGAGGCGCTCGACATGTGTTCCGAAGTGAATGGAGAGGAAGCCGTCCAGTATGTGCGAATCACACGCCCATGTATCGCTTTTGTTTGACAGCTTTTTTCAACTAGGATACGCCACCCAGCACCGCACATGTTGGCTCCCGTACTCCAGGCATACGATAAATCCGCCCAGTTGACAAGGTTTTCGCGGACCTCCTATGAATGCCAGATTTGTCTCACCTCAATAAAGGGGGCGCGTTGTATCTTGCTGTCCTGCTCACACGTGTTCTGTCGTGCATGCCTGGAGGACTTCTGGAGGCTCTGCATTACTGAGGGCGACATCGGACATGTAGGCTGTCCGGACCCGCAGTGCATAAAGGCTGGCCGCGAGGCGAACGAGGAGGATGTGAGGAGAGTTGTTACGGAAGAGGAAGTCCGGCGCTGGAAATGGTTGCGGGAGAAGCGCGAGCTAGAGAAGGGTGTGTTGCTGCGCTTCGTCAGTGGGCACAGGAGCTCATCAACCTTATTCAGATCCGAGTATCATCCACTGCCCTCTATCCTTCTGCCAAACGCCCGTACCCAAGCCCCCTAACGTGGATGATGGCAGTGGGTGGGAGCGCTTGCGAGAATGTCCAGATTGCGGCTACTCCTTCTGCGCTTACTGTAAGCGGACATGGTGAGCCCAGCACCCCTGTGGCACTGTACAAATGGACGCTGACCGTGACCCCTCCCGTGTTCCAGGCATGGGCCGCTGTCCGACTGCCCAGTAGCCTTGACGGAGTCATTCACGCTGCAATACCTGGCACTGCCTGAGGGCTCTTCCGGGCGAGAGCTGCTCGAGCGACGCTTTGGGAGAAACAACATCCGCAAGCTCGTCGCCAGATATGAGGAGGAGCAGGCGAACGAGCAGTGGCTCGAGAGCTCTACGATGTCGTGCCCCAGCTGTTTCGTTCACGTCGAGAAGTCGCTGGGGTGCAATCACGTAGGTCGAGTGACTGCGCGGCGTGCGGCTCATTGCTGATGTCATGGTTCTAGATGACCTGCGCAAAGTGCAAGACCCACTTCTGCTACCGGTGCGGGGACAGGCTGCAGGCGAACAACCCCTACGTGCACTTCAGCACTCCCGGCCACCGGTGCTACTCGAAGCTGTTTGACTTTCAGAGCATCGACGACGAGTGGCAGCCTGTAGAGGGATTCGACGTTTTGTAGGCGGAATATATTTGTGCGGTGACCTGTGCGAGGCGGCCGGCTAAGAGCAAAGGCAGAGGCCGGGGCTGGACTGCGCCCCTGAGCCACTTGAAATCGAGGAGCGGTGTGGCGACGCTGGGATCGGCCGCGTGTTCAAAGTCCGCTGCCGGATGCGGTAGCGCCGACTGGGGACCGACGGCGGGATTTTCGTGCACCTCGACCTCGACCTTGACCTATATCTTGGCCTGTCTCTCCTTGTTTTCTGTCGACGACCAGCCTCCTTCCTCTCTTTCCCGAGGCTGCGCGGGGCCTGCCCGGATACCACTTTGTCCATACCCCCAAGCTACCTCATACCCGCGCTGTGTCCCTAACTCCCCCGACAACTGTATTACACCCCATCTACCGACAGGACAAGGACAATGGAGGTTTACACCACATCATTTACTTACCCCCGCCGCTCACGACCCGCTCATTCACCCACCAACTCTCTTGAATTCCCCGCCGCGAACGAACTCAGGCGCGCCGGGTCGTATTCGTCCCTTCAACAGTACTCCCCCAACAATAATTATCCCGATGCGCAGGCGACTGTGTCCTCACCGAACTATGAAGAGGTACAAAAGCTTGCCATGATAGCCATGAGTCTCCACGGCGTGCATGTCTCCTTCGCTTCCGCAGACCAGGGCCGCGCGTGGAACTTCCAGATCTCAGGGGTGTACCAGCAGGTCATGGTAGCTAGGGGACTCATTCTCAAGGACTGTCCTACCCAAGTGAGCCGGCTAGCTTCACTGCGCGTCGTACTCGATCCGTGCTAATCGTTCGCTCAGAATCGCGCCAGCATCAAGTTGGCGCGCTCTGACATCCTCGACTCGATCGCTTCGAAGCCGGCCTTGAAGCCAGAAGTGCGTCGGCGCCTGGACGACATCGCCTCCCAGACACTCGCCCACATTGCGGTTGTGCAAAGTGCTCTCCCGCTGTCTACGCGTACTCTGCCCGACGGAATCAGTAATAGCGCTGGGTGGTCTGGCCTGGAGACGGAGCGTATCTGCGAGCTGGTGATCACAGGCAATGGCGACTCTGTCGACCTGGCTCGCGTCCGGCTGCTGGTGATGCTGGACGAGCTGGTGCGTGGGATTGATATCTTAAGTGACCTGAAATTGAATGATTGTATTCACAGAGCGGTCTGCACGCCGAAGCTTGCGAGATTGAGCGCTCGTTTCACGCTGTCGTTGCGGGTAGGAAGCGCTCCGTGCTTCAGTCCATCCAGGAGGAGACCGCGACGAACATCTATCTACCTTCCCCGTTGCAGGGCATGATTGGCCCCGACTTCGGGCAACCCCGCGCCAATGCGTCGCCATCTGTGCAAATTGCTAAACTGAACGCTAACACCATCTGGATCACTGGAGAGTTCTTCGGCGTCCAGCGGGCGCGTGACATGCTCGTTCAAGTGGCAATGACCAAGGTATGCCGTCTCAAGCTCGATTTAGTTTGTACTCGCTGACACCACCGTTGTCAAAAGAGCAAGCAGATCTTGTCGAAGGATAGTGCTATGCTGCCCCGTAAAATGGATTGGATGATCACGGAGCGCGCCGATGATCTCAAAGCACTCATGCACGACAACGCTACCTACATCGAGTTCCCAGCCGTTGGTAGCGCCAACAGTCTTATGACCGTGTATGGCGACCACAGGGTGAACATTCAGAGGACTATTCGAGCTGTCATGCAGCTGGTATGTGCACGCTCCTACCTTCTGTATACGGTGTCTTATATTTCGCAGGCTTGTCAATTCTATGTCGCGTCTCTGTGGCTGCTCCCTGCTCAGTTCAACGTCTTGATGCCCTCGGCTACGTTGAACCCGACGCAGGTCACGACGATCCTTCAGTCGATATCCTTCGCATCTGGCGCGGAAGTCATTTTCAAGGGTATGTGCTTCGAGATGCACGGTCTAGAGCACGAAGTGAGGGCAGCGGTCACCATGCTCCTCGACCTCGAAATCGTCAAGGTGAGAGCATCTACATCTTCGATCTCGAATGCGAAGCTCAATACGTCCTGTACAGCAATTCCACCATGAGATTCGATTCCAGATCGAGTTGGCCAACGAGCACCGCGAGTTTATCAGTGGCAAGAAGAACGGTAAAATCAATAAGATCATGCAGACTACGAACGTCAAGATCAAGTTCGAGACCCTCAACGAGCACAACTTCCTCATCGACATCTCGGGCAACGACGCATCAGTCTTGCAGGGCTTAACCTTGCTGCAGGAGGAATTGCCCGCCGAAATATCCTTCCACGTCCCAGAGTCGTACCACAAGCGCATCATTGGTGTCGGAGGTCGCAGCATTCAGCGTATCATGAAGAAGTATGGTGTGTACGTGAAGTTCTCAAACGCGGAGGAGTTCGCGGCCACCGGCGGTTACAACGACAACGAGGACAACGTCATTGCGAGGACCCCGGCGAAGAATGCCATGAATTTAGAGAACCTCAAGCAGTCCGTCATGGAACTCGTAAATCCGAAGGTATATCCCACGTCTTCAGCGCCGTCATGCTTCGTGACTGATGCACTTCTGCAGGACAAGGATTATATTAACGAGACAGTCTCCATTCATCGCAAGTATCATCGTACGCTGCTTGGCGAGAAGAGTATCTTCATCCGTGACATTGAGGCGAAGACGAACTCCCAAATCCGGTTCCCGGACAAGGAGACTGCATCGGATCTTGTTACGATATTCGGGCCAGAGTCTCAGGTCCATATCGCCGCAACTATGCTGCTCGTGAGTAATTTGCACGCCTTCTCAAGCTGACACACTAACATCTTGACAGGACCATGTACCGTTCGAGGCCGATATGGCTGTGCCTGCTCACCCCGAACTTGCTCGCATCTGCGCTTCCCCTGACTTCGCCGCTTTCACCGACCAAGTCAAGCTCGAGCTGCAAGTGGTCATTTCGCCCAACGTGAAGGTTCCTTCTCCTGGACCGGGCGTGGATGCGCCGTCCGATTGCTCCTTCAAGTTCAGATGCCAACGAAGCAACAGCGACTTCTTGGTTACTGCCCGCGAGATGCTCGAACAATTCTTGATTAGCCATAACGCCCATGTCTATCCGTCTGCGACGTCCCGCACTCACCAGCGCACCGACTCTTTCACGGACGCATTCCCGCACTTCGACAGCAAGGTTCTATCTACGGCAAGGACTCGTCACCAAAGTAAGTGTCCTCTTCGCAGTTTTTCTAGTTCCCCGCAAATTAACCAATGGCGCAGATTCGGCCGATCTTGGACGTCCTTCCGAGGCTATGATTGACAGGCGTCTGCGTCTTGCGAGCTCATCGCCAGATGTCAAGGCCCTCTTCCACAACAACACTCATCACTCCCCGGCGCCTTCATACATCTACCATTTGGAAGAAGAAGACGATTATGAGACGCAGACGAACTACATTCCAGCCCACGCTAACGATTACTGGACCCCTCTGCCTCCGATTGTAAGTCTCCTCATGTCAGGTGGTGTCTTGAATACGTCATTGACCGCGGATATAGGGCTCCGGCGTACCTTCTCGTGCTCGAGGCGAGGATTCTCTCAAGCGTGGCTCTGACTCCTTGCTAGAGGCCAAGCTCAAAGACCAGCTGGCGAAGCCTAGGTCGCTCACGAACCGCGCTCAGTCCCTCGACCTAACCTACTCACTGACACGCATCAACGAGGTCCCTCGCTCCTCAGGTCTGTCGCGCCCCGACTCCCCGGAGACGGGCACGGGCACTGGCACAGGCACCGGTGGAAGTTCTAGCCCAATCTCCGCAACTGTGCCGTTGTTCCCCAGCGTGTATGGCCCGCCTTCGGGCTCGCGTGGCGCTGTGGTGGGCAACAGCGAGCACTCCATGAACCGCGGCGCGCTCGGCATGGATCAGGAAAGCATGGACGAGGTGACGAGGGTCATCTCCAACCTCGGTCTCTAAGCTGCTTGAACATCGCCCTGCCTGAGCTGCGGTTGGGAGGCTCGACGCTTCCCTCTTTGGCGGAAATTACGGTGCCACTCTCGACTCAAAATGCTTTCGACTTCGACATGAGCAAAATCCATGGACTTGACAATTACGGACCAGTGCCGTGGCGTCTTCCGTTCAGTTCCCTCTATCTATCTCATTAAGCTACAACGCATCATCTCCGCCCCTTTGCTCTCAATTTCACTAAGCACAACCCATCCCGTCCCTCTGTCCTGCTCGAACTGCTCCCATCTTACACTACACATGCCTTATTATAGAGTGCCATCCCCTCTATCTACTCATCGCTCGTCTGCTAGTTTTATGGTGTCAACGCTGTCCTGCCTGCGTCCGATACATGTATCATATGGATGACATCCGGTGGTGGGCTGGTTCGTGTTATACATATTGCTTCCTGAGCTCCCTGTTGTGTGTACCACACGGTTCGACTACAACCCCTGATTTCGATGAGATGTTCGTCTCGTGCGGGATAACATGATGAATGTCGAACGCATTCAGAATGAGCAGGCTAGTCGGTAAACCGGTAATGTGCTGCTCTGCTATGCACGTGTTACATCCTCAAGTCCACTCAGGATGAAGGGGGCTTGATGCCCTCTCGTGACGTCCAATCGAGCCAAGAGCCCTGGTAGTTGAAGATGCTGCAGAGGGAGTGAGTTCAGCTCGATGACTGATCGCAGGGAACAACGCATACTTCGTATAGCCGTTCCGCTTTGCTAGGTCGCATGCGGTCGCGCTCCGCTTGCCACTACGGCAGTAAAATACAACCTCCTGATCATGCCTCGGCTTCTCAAACCCGAACTTCTGCTTGAAGGTTGCCGCATCCAGGTGGAGAGAGTTGGGGATGCCGGACAGCGGGAGGTTCACCGACGAAGGGATAGAACCCTGAAGTACCTCATCTGGCTCCCGAACATCAATCAAGTACTTGTCCTGAACAACTGAATTATGAGCTCAGGAAGGTGATGGGAATGAACAAACCCTACCGGACTGGGTTGCTGGGTCTTCGGCTTGAGTTCCTCGTACGAGAGTATCCGGGCGTCCCAGTCTCGGCGCAAATCATCCTGGGCATCAAGCTGCTTCTTCAGCTCGGACTTGGGCTTCGTCGAGTTGAAGCGCACAACGGGGGCCAGGCGAGGAAGGGCGACCCTCGCGCTCAACGCGGGGCTTGAGCGTGCGAGGCCCATGGCCGCGGTTCGTGAGAGCGCAACTCGAAACATGGCGAAATTTTATGGGAATGACAGGAACACAGGAATGGATATGAGGAGATGCGCAAGAGGACAGGCCGATGGGCAGCGAGCGGCCTGGTTAGAGAGCGGCGGCGTGGATTCCGAATTCTGTCACCACCATCGCCCGCACATGGCGTCACGGAGACACGGTCAGGTGACCGAGGGCCGGTGGCCCGGGTCCTGCACAGGTGCTCCTGGGGGCTCCGGCGGCCGCGCGATCTCACGATTGGCCAGCGCACAATTGCCTCACAGCACGCAGTGCAGTCACGCCCTCCCGTCCTTCCCTCTCCTCCCAGCCTCTCTGCTCTCTCCCTTTACATGCCACTCCACCCCCCGTCCTTCTAGCCTGCCCGCCCTCGATAATCGGTGCGATTTTCGCTTTGCTCTGCATGCGCCGGGACGAGTGGGAGCGCAGCCTCACGAAGCTCGTCCCGAATTCTGCTGACACTCACTACCGTAGGCGTTGACTCGCTGCTGCGAACATCGGCCGCCGAACACGTTCACACAGCTGTCCTCAGCTTGACTCTCGTTGTTGGCACTCATTTCAGCATACGCTGTCCTCCGCGCACATCTCACCCATCTTGCATCTCACAGTTTGGTGTGCGCGTTCAGCTTTCAGCTACGTCAGTGCTCTGGAATGCCAGAATGCACATATGGAGGTAGGCCATCAGATCTTAGTGTTTGGCTCACTCGGGCAGAGGAGGTGCGAGCGTCGTTCTCCGAATCCTCCCCTGCCCGCCAATCATCTAGTCCCTCTTTGTCAATGCTCGTCAAACAGTGTCAGACGCTGGCGGCTCAGAGATGCTCTCTATCGTAGACGTTTGCACGTCTCCGCCTACAAGTGGTGGTTATCAACCTCACTAAACTTGCTGTCGCTGCCGACCGCCTCCACCCCGGTTCGTATTGCGAGGACTAGAGTTACCGGGCAATCTGGCCGTACTCACTGCCCGTCGATGTCTCACCGTCCGGCGTCTTTGCCGGCGCACTGCCCGCGAATCCTCTGCCACCCAAGCCTTTGTGTCTGTTTGTCCCTCTCGGAAATCGCCGCGTGCACGTGCTGGGCTGCCATCTAGGGCGTCGCAGTGGCGACACTTGGTCGTTCATCGAGGACTCTTGCAATCATGGACATGCCAATGACTTCCACCGCCTCTGCATCCATGGTGTCGTCCACCTCCGGCTCGATGAACATGGACGACATGATGATGGTTCCCTACCTTCACTTCACCGGAGGTGATAACCTCTTCTTCAAGACGTTGACCCCTTCCTCGCATGGCGCGATAGTTGGTGCCTGCATTGTCCTTGTAGCCTTCGCTATCTGCGAGCGTTGGTTTGCTTCTGTACGCAGTTGCCTGACTGTTCACTGGCGTCAGAGGTAGTAGATGTTGTCAACGCATCGTATCATTGGTACTGATCTCGCTGAGCAGAGCCCTCGCTATCGCAGCAAACAGGACAACAGCCCTGAGAGGTCCACCACCTCGACGCCTACGAAGAACGAGGACGCTTGCTGCGATGTGGAGGAGGTCAACATCGACAGTCTATCGGTCAAGCACAGCAGGCACTCATTCGCCTTCGCCGTGCCTCCCGCAACATTGAGCCCTTCATCCTATCGCACGATCTTCCCCGTGGCGCTCTCTACGCCCTCCAGGCGTTCCTGGCCTATACGCTTATGCTAGCTGTCATGTGCGTCAGGTTGCATGTTGCGTTTTGATGGCGCCCCATGTTGGCCCCATGCATTCGTTCCCGAGTCGAGCGCGCATGCTGATGATGACTTGGTCATTTTACTTATTCTTGCAGGACGTTCCAGGCGGCGTACATCATCTCGATCATCGTTGGGTTGGGTGTGGGCGAAGTCTTCTTTGGTAGATTGGGAACTGGTGACAGTGGATGCGTTTCCGTAAGGATTTAGGGACGTTTCTTTGGCTCTAACCGGCTTCAGGCGGAGTCTAAATGTAGTTTAGAGCCGCATTCCAGATCCGTAACACATGTTTAGAAGCCAAGACAGGTATTCTTCACCTGCTACTGGATTCACGGTGGCCTCCCTTGCGTACTGGTATGCCTCGCACTACAAATAAAGGGTGTGTGTGTGTGCAATGGCACAAGGAGCTGTGAGTAATACATTTGTTTCGAGCCATATGTGTCATGGTTGCTGTAAGTATTCGTCCATCGCACGAGGAATGGACCGGATACCCAATACTAGTCAACAATGGAATCAAAGCGAAATCATTGCGAAGACCTCATTGCCAATGCTTCGGCGCAGTGCACGACCAGCGGTGAGCATTACATACAGATTTCGAGCGCAGGCGGTTGCATGACCAGTGGTGGGATCGGCGGTGGCAGTGGCGAAAGGGTGTAGCCAACTTGTTTGCGCTCGGCCAGGGTGCTGTGTCTGACAGAAATTGCTAACCATAGAGTCACAGGCTGTGACGAGCTCACTGACAATATTTCAGTTCTTTGAATATGACATGCCCGGCCGTGGTGACCTGTTCAACTTGTTGCTCATTGGACGGTGTCACTGTGAGTCGTCCCTTCTCGACTAACTTACATGGCAGCTAACTGCCGACTCGTGTCGCTTTTCAGCCACATGGAACACACGTAGTGGCTAGATGATTCAGTAGTACCGAGAGTTCATGAACATTCGCGAACTTGGGCGCAGCTCAAGTGACTTGGGCCGAAGCCCGAGCTCGCGCGCCGGCGCGTTGAACTTGAAGCTCTCGCACCCAACGGCTACTTGAATGAATCGAGCTCACCCGGCTTACTACACAGAGAATGAGACAACCATGATGATTCCTTGATAACTTCGCCATTTTGAGGCATCTGCAAATAAGAGTTTGATACACATACGCAAAAACGAAGCACAGTAAGTACCGGGATCGCAAGGGTAGCATAAGCGCCCGCATACATCGCGCGAGCGCCCAATGCTCACTGTGCTCGTAGATCCGTCGTTTGTTCCTCTTTTATGTTTCTTTTCTCTCGTCTTACTCATCCTCGACTCGACTCTACTCCTTTCTATTCCACTATAAACTGTACTCAGAGTGGCACCAGAGTCATTACCGGTGCCAAGTACTAGGCTCACCACTCACCTACTTTGTTCGTTGACTCATGACCGTACGGTATCGTAGTGGCTCACGTCTCGAATAGTCGCGGTATACATAAGCACTATACGTCTTGAGAGCTTGAGGCCCAAGCAATGATACGACGACTTTCGCCGTGACTCACTCGCCGCCCGTCCGAGTATCGCCCACCTTCTCGTGTATACCCGCTTCGACGGCGGCGGCCGCCCGCTCAGACTCACCCGCAACATCGCTCGCGTCGCCGAACCCGGCTACCTCACAATCCACCATGGCCCAGTACCCATATCGTGGACAACGACTGACCAGAAACGGCAATCCGGCAAATGCCGACACCCGGTGAAGCCTCCCAAACCGACTCTAAAGGCTCCATCAAGCAAGGGGGTTTGGACCCCCTTGCTTGATCGTCGTGGTTAGAGCTGCGTTCACGATGTTTCAGAGGTAGACATTGCGCGCCTGTGGCAAAACATCTCTCCCACTATCTCGATCTCAACGCTGCTGCCGGCATCACGGCCGCCTTTCCTATTGCAGTCGTCGGACTTCAGTGTATTCATGCTCAACCTGCTTACGGCGGGGCTCACGGGCGCTTCTTCCAACTGATTTGAGGTTTGGAGCCATCAAAACGCATCTAAATCCTTACGGAAACGCATCCAGTCATCTGCTTCATTGAGATGTGGAACGGTGACACCGTCGGTCGGCTTATGTTCGTGTTGACACCACACCGACTCCAAATTCTGGACAGGAAGTCTCTTTCTATAAGCCTGGTTCCCATTGGTTTCGTTTTGTACCGATACTTGTGACGACGTGCCATTTTCGTTGGCCCAACGACTACAACCAGTTGCCCCTTCCGTTGCCAAGCGGCCGTAATCGATAATTGCGGCGGTCGCGCGTAAGTCGATTACCCATCTTCCACCTGCCGGGAGTGATGGTGCCGGTCCTGCCGTGTGTCGACGTCCTAAAGTGAGCTTGCCTGGAGATCCTCGTACTCCCTCATAATAACGGGAGACATTGACACGGCGAAGCGCAGTCGCACTTAGACGTTGGCCAAACTGCCGAGTCGTTTGCCAAGTGCTGGAACGCGGCGTGCGGCAACACGAACCAGCCGGGCACAATATGGTCGTGACCCGCCAAGATTGCGTCCAAGCATGCGCAAATAGAGGAGAGAAAACTCTTTCACCGCGCAAGCTGTATCTACCGTAGACTACATAAATTCCGCATCCTCCTCGAGACCAGGCCCCAGTTCACTGCGAACGCCCCGTTCCTCGAGCCCCCCTAGCTTGACAATACGTTAGGATCACCGCTCAATTGAGAAGACATGCGTTTCGCTAGTGTTGCATTCCTCGCCGGCATGGTGTCCGCCGTGTCGGCACACTTCCACCTGCAGTACCCTGGCCCTCGGGGACCGTTTGTGGAGGAGTCTGAGCCGACCTTCTGCGGTCGGTTGACACACGCCTAATCGAATTTCTTCGCGTTCTGACATCGTGGTCGTAGATAATTATGGCGACGTCACGACGAACCGTACGGCCTTCCCGCTCAACAATGGGCACTACTACATCACGACGGAGCACCCAACCTGGACGCGTAAGACTTCGTTCAATATTCTCCCTCGCACGTCGCTCACTCCCCCTTCTAGTCGGCATCATCATCTCCACCGTTGCGAATCCGAACAACTTCGCTAACTTCACGGACTCGAGCGGCAAGTACCAGATGGCCGTGAACTACTTCGAGACCTCCGGCGAGGGCCCCTTCTGCGCGCCGCTCAACATCAGCGCGGCGAATATCGACGGCGTCAAGGACGGCTCGAACGTGACGGTTCAGTTCATCTTCGACGGCGGCGACGGCGCGCTGTACCAGGTACATTCGGTGCCCTTTCTTTGCATGCAATGGACACTAAGATGTTTTGCGTAGTGCGCGGACCTCACCCTCTCGGAGAGCCTGACCTCCATCCCGTCGAGTGTATCCTGCTCGAACGCGACGTCGAACGCTGGCGTGACCTACTTCAGCGCTGGTGTCACACCGACTCTCAGCGCGACGGCTACGAGCTCCGGCGCGAGCTCGACAAGCACATCGAGCGCGGCCGATGCGAAGGCCATCGTCGGTGTCTGGGGGCTTTTGTTGAGCGTGTTCGGTGGTCTGCTGGCTTTGGCGTAGTGGATTTTGAGCTTGATACACAATTTTGTGATGACGCGTTCCGCAATATGGATTGGATGGATCAATGACTCGCTGGTCCCTTTTGGATGTGCCGGTGTCATGAGCGAGTCGATGAAAAGCTAACATGCGTGCGTATACAGTACGCTGGTCAAAATTCCGATACCAATTACGCTACGCACCTCGTAAGTTAGGATAACTCACTACCCATGGTGTTCGCGCGACTCCATGTCATTTCGATGGGACACAGTGTTGCATGTGAAGTCCTTAAGCTTCACGATGGTGTGACAAGGACAGGAAGGTGATCGGCGGTCAGCGCCCCGTCTGTTCATAGCCGTTGTTAATATGCCCCAACCTGTATTGGGCTACTTGTGGTCCTGTGCACAGGCTCTCATAAACGGTGTCGGCGAATGAAATCGAAGACTGGTGATACTACTCACCATTGAACCCGACATAAAGGCACTCACTTCAAGTCCGTGCCTTGTTCCTCGATGTCACCCTTCGCGTCGTCATGCTCTACCACACGTAGAGCTTACCAGCCACCTGCACATCCCGCTCCTCGTCGTCTGGCGGAATCACAGTTTGCAGCCCGAAGATGCGCCTCACGCGACAGTGAGCTTTTAGATTGCTCAACTACATAGCATATGCATACCTTCTCGCCGCTTCAAGTGCGAAGTCTTCGAGAGCTGCCATCTGCCGGGAGCTTTTTCGTTTGAGTATAAGAAGTTGAGCGGAACTTCTGCCGTACGCCAGGTTCTTCACAAGAAGTTCGAGTCAGTCGTCCTGGTACAGTATGCATGTTATCTTGTGCAAGCATCCGCAAGGCAGAGGACGAACGAGCGCTCGTTTGGAACCTGGTGGCTGACCGATCTCGGCATCAGCCGACGTCGCGCACAATTGCCTCACCCTTTGAGGCGACGCGCGCATCCCGCCTTCCGCTCTTCTTCTCCCAAACTACAGCTCGGCCACCAACTTCATTCATTTTTACTTGCTTCGCTGGCCATGTGTATGATTGTCTCTCCGCTTTCTGTATGCCCCGAGATGAGTGGGAGCGCAGCCTCACGAAGCTCCTTTCGACCACTTCTCTGAGTCAGGACCTCGACCAACTGTGCCAATCGCATTTGCGCACACCGCTTGGTGCTTGATCTTGAATGGCTTATTATCTGTGCACGCTTTCAATTTACCTGCGCGGTTCTGTGTCACAGCAAGATCAGAGTCTAGCACCTTACATGCGATAACCGCGTCTACGTCTGAATCCTGATAGGGATGCTGTAATGCCCTCATTAAGGTAAGCCATCGGTATGACGCGGACGATCTTGACTTAGTGGGGCAGAGGAGGTGCGAGCGCCGTTCTCTGAATCCACCTCTGCCCACCAATTGTCTAGCTCGCTTTTGTCAATATCATGAAACCCGCACCAGCCGCTATCATCCCACTCGGCGCCTCAATCACGGGCTGTTCGTTGCAGATCCGCTTCTACTCGTCAAGGTGCCGTGTATCGTGTACTTGTTCTTCCTTGTACGCTCCTCTCGTGGCGGCATTCACAACCTGCCGCTTCCGCTGCCGTGCCTCCGCAGCATCCAGCCGTTGCAATCCGAAGCCGGTCGTCCTCTTCGCCCTGGAAAGGACTTTTTGTAAGTGTACACTGCTTCCATCGTCTTTCTGGGGATATCCATGCTCATGCCCTCAGGGTCGGTACGGTTGTCTGGTCTCTGTTCGCCCAGTTCTATCCTCTGAGTCTGCAAGCCCGACTCTTCGGAAGTCCCCGTCGGCACGTGACCCGCCATCGTCTAAGTTACTTAGGGCGCAGCCACTAGCGATTCCCCTCAATCACTTCACCGACAAGTCTAGCGACCATGGATATGTCCATGTCCATGTCAATGTCCTCCACCGCCTCAGCCTCCATGGCGTCGTCCACCTCCGGTTCGATGAATATGGACGACATGATGATGATGGTCCCTTACCTTCACTTCACTGGGGGTGACAACCTCTTCTTCAAGACATTGACCCCTTCGTCGCACGGCGCAATCGCTGGGGCTTGTATCATCCTTGTAGCATTTGCCGTTGTCGAACGGTGGTTTGCTTCTGTGCGCAGCCGTCTGACTGTGCACTGGCGGAAGAGGTAGTGCACAGTGCATTCTACTGATCCAATGCGTACTCATTATGCGCGCAGAGCTCTCGCTCTCGCGGCAAACAGGGAGAACGGCGGGAGGTCCGCTACGTCAACGCCTACGAAGGACGAGGATGCTTGCTGCGACGTCGAGGAAGTCAGCGCCAACGGCTCATCGGACAAGTACACTGGGCCTACGTCTGCCATTCGCCGTGCCTGTCGCACCATCGAGCCCTTCATCCTATCGCACGATCTCCCCCGCGGCGCTCTCTACGCCCTTCAGGCGTTCCTGGCCTACACACTCATGCTAGCCGTCATGTACGTGGTGCTGCATTATGCGCTGATGGCGCTCCGCGCATCCGTTCCCGAGTCGAGCGCGTCCGCTGACGAGCTATCCGTTCCATTCCCACAGGACGTTTCAGGCGGCCTACATCATTTCAATCATCGTCGGCCTGGGTCTAGGCGAAGTGGTTTTTGGCAGATTGGGGACGGGCGACAGCCACCTGCTTCACTGAGTGGGACCGGCGATATTTCCGAACAACGTTCCTGAACACGAGATCCCGCACTCTACTCCCTCCCGAGTCCACCTTCTCCTCACATGCTCCCACTTGCTTGCTCGTTCCAATGGTGTGCCAATGTCCTTGACGAAATTATCGCGATTGTTTATAGAACGAAATGATTTGACCCGGCGCTATCTTTTCAGAACAACCCAATGTTTCCAACTCGCGTGTCTCAAAATGCCCCCGCGAACTAGGTCCACGACAATGCTAGGTTCAGATGTGTCCTACTCCTTGGACAGGGACGGCATGTACATTCACTAATGCAACAGTCCGAAATGGCATCGTGTACCGCGGAAACCAGATAAGACGACAGGCGTCCAAATGCTGGCAAGCAGACGAGAAAGAAATCTTTCACCATCGAGTGGTGGCTGAGCGCTGGGGATGTGGCGTAGACTCTATAAACGCTGCGTCTCCTGCTCGGTTCCATTCACTGCGAACGTCCTCGCGTCTGCAGCTCCCTAGCTCTGCCTTCCGTGACGTTCACCGCTTTGCAGGAAGCCAACATGCGTTTCGCCACTGCCGCAGTGCTCAGCGCGCTCGTGTCCGCTGTGTCAGCACACTTCCATCTACAGTATCCTAGCCCTAGAGGACCGTTCAACATGCAAAACGAGCTGACCTTCTGCGGTGAGTACGTGCGTTGCAATCCGTTTTCCGCGTACTGATTTTTTGCCTGCAGACGCTTATGGTCAGGTCACGACGAATCGCACAGTCTTCCCGCTCAGCAATGGGTACTACTTGCTAACATCGGAGCATCCGCTCTGGACACGTGGGTTCTAGGTCTCTGTACTTCGCTTCCATGCTTCTCACACCGCTCTTTCGCCGCGGCAGTTGGCGTCATTATCTCCACCGTCCCGGACCCCGACAATTTCGCCAACTTCACGGACTCGCAGGGCAACGACCAGATGGCCGTCAACTACTTTGAGACGTCCGGCGAGGGCGCGTTCTGTGCGCCGATCGACATCGGCGCGGCGAACATCGCTGGCGTGCAGGACGGCTCGAACGTCACGATCCAGTTCATCTTCGACGGTGGTGACGGCGAGCTCTACCAGGTACGTCGGCGCCTCTTCGTGTCCACGGTGGGCACCGACTGATGCGTGGCGCGCACACAGTGTGCGGACCTCACACTTTCGGCGAACATGACCTCCATTCCGTCCGATGTGTCGTGCACGAACGCGACGTCGAATGCTGGCGTGACTTACTTTAGCTCCGGCGTGGCCCCGCCGACGATCACCGCGACGGGGACAAGCTCTAGCGCGACCTCGACCAGCACGTCGAGCGCGGCTGATGCGAAGTCCGTCGTTGGTGTTTCTGGGATCCTGTTAAGCGTGCTCGGTGGTATGCTGGCTTTGGCGTGATGCCAGTGTGCGTGGCATCAGGATAGTAAAATGGGATAGATGTACAGTAATGACGCTTGCTTTGCGTCCGCGACAATGATGGGATTGTTGAATCAGTGGCTGCCTCTTGGCTGGACGGAGGGTGTAAGTAGACGTGTTTTTGTCAGTACTCAGCCATCAACTTCGCAACTCTTCTCGGATACAATACACAATACACAATACATGCTAGGCACAGAAATATATTGAGCTCAGAGGGCCTGTGGTGCTCTAGAGTCGAAGCCGATGTAAGTGGACTTGCGGCCCATGGCTATGGTCCCGCGAGGTCGCGACGTTCTATTCATAGACGGAAGCACGCACGTGACCGCGACGGGTGCCTGGTGCTTCGGTGACGGACCGAAGGCCGACAGGGGGAGCATGTGAAAAGGCGATGGCCGCGAGGATGGCGGGGCGATGGCCGTCAGCAAGATGACACGGCGAGGACACCCCGGGAGTGGCCCGGGAGTCGACCCGCCCAGTGGCCGCCTCGCTGCGTGGCTTGCGGCGCTCTGTCTCAGTCTGTCGCTGCGGTCGACCCCGCTGACGCATCCTGTCTTCCCGTCCGCAGGCTGCGCATGTCCCAAATGGCGGCCTACGTCCGGGTGCGTGGGGACGACCGTGCTGCGTGTCTTGGTCGGTCTGCTGGTCCCCTGCGGAACTGGCTGCGTCGGTAGGCCCCAGGACGTGTACTGGCCACCGCGAGCAGCTCGATGACTATGAAACATAGTGTGTCACTACTAGGTTGTCGGTGAGTAAGCCACAGGAGAGTCATCAAGCCACATTCTGACGGGTGAGACAGGAGCCGGGGAGTCAGAGCCTCGGAGGCTCTGCCGCGGGCGAGCGTAATCGCAGCCCGTAAATGTCTTGTCGTCGGACTCGATCGATCGGGGCAGTTCCCTTCGCCTTCCTTCATCCGCCCGCAGGCCGATTTCACGCGCACGCGCGCCCGCCGGCCAGATTGCACAGATTTATGAATGCTTCGCCGCACCGCCATACAATATATTGCCCCCCTCCCGTCGACGTCCGTATCGTTCAGATCCACTTCCCTTGTCGCGCAAGATAAGCTTTAGCTTGCCTCGCTGCCGCCTGCCTGTCCGAGCACTGGACAGCATCGCCTCCACGCCCCTAAGTACCCTGGTCTTCTCCGGTACCGCGTCCCTCCCCCGGCGCGGATCCAACGCTCTCCAGGGTTAACGTTCTCTTGGTCGGGTGGTTCCCGTGTACGCCGAATTCAACCTCGACTCGCTCCCGGCCGCTCTATTGCCTCGTTATTAGTGGCCCAGCCATAAAGGGATGTGGCCTCCGCTCGGACGACAGAACTCGGACGGCGCATGGGAAGTCGTGGACTCGAAGAGCGTCGAGCCTGTGTGTGTCTACGACGACCCTGATGGTAAGTGGCCCCCGCCTCCTCCCGCGCGAAGTGAGCTCACGCGGGACGGCGCCGGCAGATCTCCCCATTATGCGGGTGGCCTCGGAGAACGTGAACGTGTCGTGCACGTACGACGTCCGGCGGCCGCACCCGGACGACAAGGCACGCAGCCCCGTCACCGCAGCGCTCCTCACCGCACGCGGCCGCCTCCTGCGCGAGGCTGCGCGCGCGGGCTATAACATCCTGCTCGTCGAAGGGTAAGCAAAGTGCCCCTCCACCATAGGCACGTGGCTCACCGTGTCCGTCTCCATAGATGGTCCGTGACCCTCCAACGCAGATCCGCCATCCACACCGCGCAGAGCCACCCGCACGCCCCCGCCTTCCGGCTCTCCGTGCACTACACCGGGCGGCCCGCCTTCGTGGGCGGCACGGACCCGGGCACGCGGCCGCCCCCGCCGTTCTTCGGTATGCTCCAGGACTGGGGCGCGCACCTCGAGCGTGTGTACTTCAGCGCGGTGCCCCCCGACGACGCCCGGGGGAAGGAGCATAGGGAGCGGTCGGTGTCGCGCTCGGCGTCGGCAACGTCGCGGGTGTCGCGGGTGTCACGCATGCTGAGGTCGCCGTCGCCACCGCGGTCCGCGTCGCCCAGGGACGCGAAGAGGCCCGCGAATAGGAAGAGAGTCGTGCAGGCGTGGAGGCGGGGGCTCTCCGGTGTGTTGAGGATCATCCGTCTCTGAGGATGAGAGGTGCCAGCGAGGGCACCCCAGCGGTGGGTAAGCCATCGGCTGGACGTCTGGTGCTGGTTCGTCCCTAGGTCTGTTTCAAAGTTCAATTTCTATTTGCTCATGAATCCGGTCGCTCCTTCCCTCGTAGTCCAAGTCCTGCTCAAGTAAACGCATTGTAATATTAGCATATGTAGTTGTCATTCATCACACTCGTCGATCCTCACGTAGCCAGCCCACCTGCACTAGTACCCGTAGCACTTTCATGTAGCGCACAGTCAATGATAGCACCCTCTGCTCAACCACACATATCATCTAGGATCACTTTCAACCAAGACAGCGTTGTGTGGAGCGAGGATTGGTATACAGCCTTACCGTGGCACACCAAAGTCTACTGAGCCAATGTAGTACAAAATCCACAAGTCGGTACAATGCAAACTCGATTCAAGGACAAAGTTAGATAGCCGACAGACAGGCATGTAACATGGGGCGAGACATGACCGGGCGCGCCGGCGAATCCATCTGGCTTTGAGCGGACTCAATGCATGTAGTCTCTCCTCAAAGCAACGGTGCAGGCCCTTCACGACCGAACGCTCACTCCGCCTTCTCGATCTTGCTCTCCGGACGCATCGCGTACCCCGTCCAGCTCTACATCGCACCATCAGCATCGCCCACCCGATCCCACACCCCACGCACTCACCTCATCATAGATCGCCGGGGCCCCCTTCGCCCCCACCATCTGCAGCGCCAGCCACACCACGCCCGCCGTCATCCCGCTCCCACAGCTCGCCACCACGCCCCTGCGGCCCTCCAGCACCTCCTCGAGGCGCTCCCTGCCCAGCGCCGCCTCGAGCACGCCCAGGATCTGCGTGCTCGTCTTGAGGGTCGTGTACTGCTCCGGGAGCGCCCAGGGGAACGCGCCCGTGGGCGGCTCGAGCTCCGGCGTGCGGGCGCTGGGGGAGTCGAGCTGGGGCGGGTGCGCGGAGAGCGCGGGGGCGGTTTGGGCGGGGGGCACGGGGAGGGAGGTGCGCGGGGCGGGCGTGGGCGCGGGGACGGTGTTGAGGAGGGAGGCGAAGGGGAGGGAGAGGGAGTGGGGGATGTGCCCGCTGGAGAGGCCGGCGCGGGGTTCGGGCGCGGTGCCGAGGTAGCTGGGAGGCGGTGTGAGAAGGGGAGAGCGGCGTGGGGAAGGCTTACCGGTCTTTGGAGCGGGCGTCGAGGACGATGTCGGCGAGGCTGTCGCGCGACGGGTCGAGCGCGGAGTTTGCGACGATCTGTTCGTAGCCTGTTCACACGCATGCTTGGGTCAACAACAGTGAGGGTAAGGGGGGCGGAACGCACTTCTCACGACGCGATCGTCGAGCTTGGGGACGGGGTAGGTGGTGGTGGGCACCGGTTCTGGGTCGCCGTTGTTGGTCGGGGAGCCGTAGGCGATCCAGGCGGGGAGACCACCGTCGAGAATGGAGGAGCGGTGGTGGCCGAAGGCGCGGAACATGTAGAGGGCGCGCGGGGACGAGAATACGCCGTGGGTGTCATAGCTATAGCACGTTGAGTCGGGAAAGAGACGTAGCTGGCCTGTAGACGTACATGACGACGTGCGACTCGGGCGTGATGCCATAGTTTTCTGAACAGGTTCGATCGAGCGCACGCACAGGTCTGAAAGGCGTATCACGCACCACAGGCTTTAGCGAAGACATCTGGGGACGGCATCATGTGCTTGAGCCCGAGAGCGTGCTGGCTTGCGACCTCGTCAAGATCGAGGAGCTGTGCGCCGGGGATGCGCATCTGGAGCCACTCCTGGCGGGGGTTGCGGGGCGAGCTGGGCATGTGCCAGGACGCGTCGAGGACGGAGACGGATCGGGGATCGAGGCCGCGCAGCTGGGCGGGGGTGAGCGTGAGCGGGCACGCATCGCCAAAGACAGAGCCAGACGAGAGCGGGCGGGCGGCGCCGGCGAGGGAGCGGAGGGACGTGCGGGGAGAGAGCAGCGCGCGGGGCAGCATCCTGGCGGGCGAGGGTGGTGGCGGTCGACAGGTCGCGGGGGATGATGACACGGGGGACCCTAACCCCAGGGTGAGACTTGCGCCCCCTGTGCGCGCCGCGTCGTCGGGCGGCGGCCACGCGCTTCTTCTGCACGATGCCGTCTGATCAGAGCACCTGGCTCGTCGCCGTCCCGCACGACGGCGACGCAGACGGCCTCCACCAGGAACTCGCCGCACGGCTCCAGGCGGGCTCCAAGAACGCAACCGCAGCCCTCGCGCCCCTCCCCGTCCCGTCCTTCAAGGTGGGCCCACCCTCTCGCGGTCGCTGCACTCGCTGACCCCCCCTCCACCAGACAGGCACATTAGAGTCCCTCATCAGCCTCTCCGAGGAGCTCCCAAAGACAGACGCTTTCTTCACCGCAACCGTCGCAAAGGCCGTCGACACCCTCCGCAACCTCCTCAACAACGACCCCACAAAGCTCCGCCAGCACGTCCAGGTCAACGAAGAGCCCGTCGATGAATACCTCCTCCGCGGCTGGCACTGGAACGACGGCCGCTATGGCGTGCAGCGCCCGCTTAGGGACATGGTCGACGTCCTGAACAAGGTCCGTCTTGTGTAAGCCGCGCGATTCAGGCGGTGCTGAAGCACACCACAGGAGATGGCTTCAATAGACAACGTCATGAAGGCAAAGCTCAACAGCTACAACCTCGCCAAGGGCTCCCTCGTCCAGATGCAGAGGAAGAAGACGTCTGTCCCACCCCCGTCCTGCATCTCTCCCAGTACCCTTATGCTGACCATCCGCGCAGCGGAAACCTCTCCGTCCGCTCCCTCGCCGACGTCGTCAAGAAGGAGCACTTCATCGGCGACTCCGAGTACATGCAGACTGTCATCGTCGCCGTCCCAAAGTGCGTCCCTCCCGTCCTCCCCGCCCGCCCCGCCGCCGATCGTGGGTGTTGAGTTCGCTTATGGCCAGTGCTCGTGCAGGAACCTCGTCAAGGACTGGAACACCAAGTACGAGCGTCTGACGCCCATGATCGTCCCCCGCTCGTCGACGCCCATCGCCTCCGACGACGAGTACTCGCTTTTCTCGGTGGTCGTCTTCAAGAAGGTGTACGAGGACTTTGTCAACAAGTGCCGCGAGAACAAGTGCGTGGGCTCGCTACTCCTTGAGGACGTCTCTCGCTGACGCCCCGCTAGGTACATCGTCCGCGAGTTTGTCTACTCCGACGAAGCGCTAGACAAGCAGCGCGAAGAGCTCGAGCTCGCAGACTCGACCGAGAAGGAGCTCTGGGTGCGTCTCCTCTTTTCCTCCCAGTTTACATCCTCTCATCCACCGGTGTCGATACACGCGTGCAGACGGAGCTCCTCCAGCTCTCGCGCACCAACTTCTCCGAGGCGTTCCAGCTCCTCGTGCACATCAAGGTCCTCCGCCTCTTCGTCGAGAGCGTCCTCCGGTACGGCCTCCCCGCGACCTACACGGGGTTCGTCATCAAGGTGCGTCTCGTCTTTCTTCTCCCGCCCTATCGCTGAACTCTCGCCGTACCCTTGCAGCCCGAACCGAAGGCGACGAAACGCACGCTCCAGACGCTCCAAGCGCAGCTCGCCTACCTCTCGCGGCGCGCCAACCCCAGCTCCAAGGGCAAGGGCAAGGCGAAGGGCGACGGAGGAGGGGAGACGGGCGACTTTGCGGGCGAGTACCAGACGCTGATGGAGCAGGAGTACTTCGACTTCGTGCTCTTTGAGGTGCCGTGGATCGTTTTGTAGGGAGAGCATAAGAGAGGGAGAGGAATCGCGGTGAAGGCATTGGAGGCGGGTGGTAGCGAGATGGACGACGTCAATGAATATTTCTTCTTATTCTCTTGAGCTGATGCGGTCGAGCGTATCGCGTCGTGGGTGCACCCGAATAAACTCGACAACATCACACGTATGATTTGAAGTCATGCTCTTTGAGGGGCAAGGGGACCACGCTCATTTCGTGCTGTCGCGCGAACTAAGCAGAGCTGTCTCATGGGTATCTTCATTGAGCAGGTCATAGATACACAGTATATGGGCGTGAGCAACGTGAGTACTGAGTAGTGCGGCTGCATGAAACGGACTGAGGATGAGGACGAGGTGGAACGACTTTTGAGTCATGTCTGCAAATGACCAGAAGTGGAAACGAATTCGCTGAATATCATGCCTACACGACGATACATAGCGAGAGACCATGGCGTCGAGGATGAAGGTCCGGAACTTGACGAAAAACAGCCCCGCGGTCGTGCTGCATTAGATTGAATGGGACCGCCCGTCACCGACTTCATGTCAAACAGTATTGAGATGAGCGACGACAGGCGAGGGTCGACGATCTCTTCTAGTGTGCACTACCTGCGGTTCACCGATGTCTGCCAACGTGAGCGCATACCATTAGTGAAGAAAGACCAAAATCCTGGAGGGCGGCAGGAATACTCACGAGCATCTGTAGACAGCGGAGATGGTATGTCAGGCGCGGGGGCTAACAAACAAGTACGCCGTGAGCCCCATCGCCACAAGCCAGAGCGAGAGTACAGAGGGAATGTCGCATTCCCCTGGCACACTGTTGACCGGTACCGGTACCGACCGAGCGTCCAGCAGTAGCCTTCGGGCCTTCTCTCCTGCCACACGTACTTCGCCTGCTCGATGGATGGATGCAGATCCTGCAGAACGAAGGACAGGCTCAGATGCGAATACGCTTTGCACAGTTGGAGTGACATGGACCCGACACCACCGCAGACGGTCATCGTTAGTACTGAGATCGCCCCGCAGGACCGCTACAGTAACATATACGATGTTTACTTTATCGTTCGCAGTGTGTTGCAGTGGAGTACGCACTTGGTATGATAACACTTGCTCCCATGCCCTCACCGAATCGCGCACTCATTGCCTTGTCCGCCTCGCTGTATCACTCCCGTCATAACAGCACGGAGACCCCGGCCCAGCGCTTGAAGAGGATGTGTAGACCTCGTAGGAGGGCCGGGTCACAGCGCCTGTAAAAGCTTCTCAAAGGACGTCATCGTGGAACGCATGGCCACCGCTGCTAAAGAGCAGCGTCATGTTGACGCGGTTGACCGCCAAGATACTCTGCTTGATTACGGCCTTGGTCAGCCTGCGTAAGACCATGCATAAGAGGGTGCGGCAGGTTACGGAGCGTACCCTCACGGAAGATGTGTCGCGGGGCAAGCAGCCTTACGCGAATCCTTTCTAGCTTTCTCCGGGTAATGCCTGTCCTCATCATGCTGAGTTCGGCAGTGGAGACGCCCTCAGGATACCGTGCAAGCTGGTCTTTGATGTCCGCTTCTACATCAATGCGGATACAAAGCCGTTGCAAAAGGCTACAGACGCGATCAATACCATGAACAGAAAAACATGTTTAGTTGACTCACCGACGAGGCCCGCTAAAGCTAACCACGTTGCGTAAGTTGCAGCACAATGAGGTTCACTAAGGGATTGTGGCCAGTATAGTGAGCTGTGTACATGCCACTTGAATAGTTCGGATAGCTCCTGACAAGGTCGCCGAAGGATCAATAGAGCCAAGGACGTGTGGCCGAAGGTTATCGAGGCTAGATGTGCTATACCCACGTCGCGTGAGCTATGGCACTGTAGACACGGGCTTCGGCTGAGTGATAGGATGCACAACACCCTAGCAGGAAGAGAGCAACTCTGAACCACCTAAAACAGATCGGTGTTCATGTCACCAACCATAATGGCGCGCGGAAGGACGAAATGAGATGGTGTATTAGCTACTCACATAGCATTTTGAGGCGGAACACATCCACCGGGCATTCGTGGGTGAGCCGCTAGTTTGGCAACACATTACGCGAACGTCAGCTTGTAGAGTATATATTGTGAAGTTGCAGACTGTGCTTCCGGAGAGCACTCATGCTGCCACTGCCACTTCAAGCTTCAAGTGTTTCGGTCAATAAGTACTGTCGCTAGCACCGTGCGGTCATACCCAAGTCATATACGTATGCGCACCAGACGGGCAACTGCCATGGACGCGCTCAGCTCATAATATATCGTTGATTCTCGTAGTTGGAACGAAGCTGAATGAATTGCTGACAACGGAACGCAGCATGAACGTCCGACGCGTCGTGGTCGATGGTTGGTGCGAAGCGACTCTGCGATCGGGACTGTCGCGCATTGTCTGACCTTAACCCGAGGGCTCGCGCGATCACACGCCATCGGGCGAAAGCTTGCGGTCGACCTCTCAGAGAGTGCATGTTTCTCAGCACTTCCACATCTGTCTCCTACTTATAGCCTCTCTCACCGCCTGGCTTTCCCTCTGGCTACCGTCTACATTCTGCGACTGCTTCACGAACAATGTTTGCTAAGAACGCCGTGAATATTGCCAGGAATTGTGCTGCCGGTCACGTTCGGCGCGCCAGTACCGGCACCTCCGCTTCGACCTCTCGATCGACCCTTCGTCTTGCTGCAAGTACAAGGCATGGTGTACCAAGGTTGCATCCGTCGGTACTGGTCACTCCTTATAGGGACCGCCGAAACTATGCGACACCCCCGCCGCAAGTAGTCCATAGGTTTGTCCGCTTCCTACACTTGAGAGTTCTGTGCTACTCACACTTGGTCACAGTGATCTGCCAATGGAGAAGTACCATGCTTACTCCGACGCAACGATGGAGCAAATGCTCGAATCTGTCGAAAACTTGCTGGATGACATGGGCGACCCAAATTGCGAGGTCGAATACAGTGTACGTCCCACTTCTTGTCCATGCGCCCACCCCTTCCTCCGACCCCCGGGCTACCTTTCGGAAGCTGTGCGATTTTGAGAGACTGACTGTAGGCTTCGACTTGCCGGCAGAGCGGCGTGCTGACGCTCAAGCTCGGCGAGAAGGGCACATACGTGATAAACAAGCAGCCGCCGAACAAGCAGATCTGGCTCTCCTCGCCATTCAGGTGGGTTCATCTGTGATCTCACATCAGAAGTCTGCTCATCAAGTGCCTGTTGCATCCTACGTCTGACATGCAGTGGTCCGAAGCGATACGACTACTCGGAGTCCGCGGATGACTGGGTGTACAACAGGGACAACCGCACGATGGGCGACCTGCTCGACAAGGAGCTCAGCATTGCGTTGGGTCGTGAAGTCAGGTTGGGTGTCGCCGAGATTTCACAGCTGGAGGCATGAGCACTGTATATCTATTCTGCGGGAGGTTTCTGGATGCCTGTATCTTACTGTGTTGACCTATGATTGATGTCATGGCGTGCTGCCAAGCTCATGCTATTTTGTATCCTGCCAATGGACTGTTCAACTTGCCTGGGGAGCCTACATTACATGCAAGAGCGAGACAAGGGTGTCGGGACATTCCAGTCAGTTGTATGTGTGACAACTAGGAAGTGCGGGCAAATGCAGGCGTGTTCCGAGGTGACTACTAGTATGCGTACAAGGAGGACGTGAAGCTGTATGCGGTATAAGGATAGTTAGTGCGACGATGAGGGCTATCCGAACAAACGGGAAATCTATGCATAAGATGGTCGTGGTAAGCATGAGTGTGGACTTGAATCCTGCAATGCAACCGCGTGGGAGGTGCGTCGCATCAAGAGCAGGATGCGACTTCTCAAGTCTGTTCTGCGTCCGGTCTCCGTCTCCGGCTGAAAAATAAGTCCCTCAGGAACCTGTACGAATAATGAGGTCAGCAGTTGGATCATAGAAGATAGTTATACGACGACATACCTGTTAGTACCTTGGTACTGCGAAGATACGATCTGCGCCTCTACTTGCTCCGTCGTATATCCATGCGCATATGACGATGTGTGGTATGATGGACCGCTGACTGATGGGTGTGGCACGGCGGTATCGTGCGGCGGGTGTCTCAGCCCCACAGACGTACTCGGGTGCGAGGTCGCAGCATGATGAGAGTGACGGTGTGTATGCGCAGGGTCCGACGGCCCAGCCGTGAACAGCTGTCGATGCCGTTGCTCCGCGTGCAAGTCGTGCAACAGAGTGTTCGCATTCTTGTACAACCCCGCCTGCTCCTGCCACTTCGTCTGCCCCCTCGTATACTCCGAGCGACCCTCGTCCTCTTGGTCCTCCTCCCCGTCTGTATCAGGCCCTGCGACGACGTTGTTCTTCTGGACATAGCCCCGAGGGAGAGGCGCAAAGTGTCGCGCGCGCTTAGCGACCCGCTCAGCAATGTCGATGTCGATCAACGGTTCGGCGGCGAAGGGTGCCTCCGCCGCCATGGGGATCGGCGAAGACGGTCGTTGCCTCTTGAGCATGATGAGGGCTGAAGAAAGGCTCTGGGGGACGACGGAGGATGTAAAGAGTGGGAGACGAACAAGAGGTGGGCAACCCGCTGCAGGCCAAAGACACTCGGCTGTGGCTGCTGGTCACGGACTCACGCGCACGCGCGGAACTGACGCGTCTCTAGGCGCCAGTCACGCTTTACGTAAGCTAATGAGCGCGTTCGTTTGAGAGGCGTGCGTGGTTGCGGCGCTTGTGAGTGTGGCCTCCGCGTCCAGCACGACCAATCACTCCTCCCACCCTTTGCGCAGCCCATTTCGCGTCCAAAATGTCCGACGATGTGCTTGCGGCCATGGGCATCTCTGGCTTCGGCAAGAAGTCGAAACAGAGACAGCTCGACCCTAAACGGTTCGAGAAGAACAGGCGTGAAGACGTAAGGCATTGTTCGTTCATTGTCGTGCTTGCAGTGTAACTAATACAGTGCCGTATATGACAGACATCTTCGGCAGCACAGGCGGTGAAGAAAGAACAGCCTAGCTCATCAACTCTGCCGCCTACGCCTGCGCCCGCACAGGCTCCGCAGCTGCCACAAGAAGAGCCGGAGTTCGACCCAGACGACGTCGGGCCACCGCCACCACCACCGAACGCGGACACGTCAGAAGCAGAGGAGGGCGAGCCCGAGTTTGACGCGTCTGACGAGGAGGACGACCTGCCGCAGTTCCCCATCACCCACGAGCTCGTGCTAAAGGACCACACGAAGGTCGTCTCTGCTCTCACGCTAGACCCGTCTGGGGCGCGCGTGTTGTCTGGGTCGCACGACTACGACTGCAAGCTATGGGACTTCGGTGGGATGGACTGGAGGTGTAAGCCGTTCAAAACTTGGGAGCCTGTGGGTACTTACTACGTACGTCGTTCTCCCTCGCCCGCAGGCCGCGTCCATCTCAATCTGTCGTTGTGGTGGTAGATCCATGACCTCAAGTACTCAAATGACGGACAACAGTTCTTGGTCGTCTCGGGCACGCTGCAGCCGAAATTGTACGACCGTGATGGGGAGGAGCTGTGAGTGCTGCGCCGTCTGACCTGGGTGGATAGTCTGACCTGACTGGCAGGGCCACCTTCGTTAAGGGTGATCCGTATATCCGCGACATGAAGAATACCGCGTAAGCTGTGTGCAGACGCTGCCTTATCCCCGCTGCTGCTAACATTGGATCCGCAGTGGCCATGTAGCTGAACTCAGCTCGTGCGCCTGGCATCCTCATGATTCTCAAACCTTCATAACCAGTTCGGTGGACTCGACCATCAGGTGAGTTCGGCCACTATAATGAATGTGTCTTGTCTGACCGTTCGTCAGGATATGGGATGTAGAGAACAAACGCAAACAGAAGACGGTCATTGTAGTGAAGTCGAAGGAGAGGGGAGCGCGCACGAAGGTGACCGCGTGCGGCTATTCACCGGATGGAAGCATAATCGGAGGCGGTGCGTTCTTCATCCATCCCGCCTATTTGTTCCGAGAAACTCACCCTTCGCAGCATGTTTGGACGGAGCGCTGCATATGTGGCAGACGAAGTCAAACTTTGTGCGACCAAGTATGACCATCGAGGGCGCACACACTAAGGGCACGGAACCCGGGTCCCTACTGTTCTCCGTAGACGGGCGGTCCGTTCTGACCAGAGGCGGTGACGATACAGTGAAGAGTAGGTGGCTTGGCATCTTAGTCTCGCCGTCTCTTGACTGATGATATTCAGTCTGGGATCTCAGAGCGTTCAAGAAGCCTGTCGCGACGCGGGAGGGTCTCACCACGCTGTACCCGACAACCAACGCAATATTTAGCCCGGATGACAAGTATGTTGTCACTGGCGCGGGCGCCACGTCGAAGGGAGGGAAAGGACGCCTCATGTTCATGCGCAAGGACACCCTTGAGTCAGTCAAGGAGCTGGAGGTGGATACCACGCCTGTCAAAGTATTTTGGCATTCCAAGATCAACCAGGTAAGGTTCAACCACTACTAAGAATAATATACATCGCGATGGTGTGGTCTGCTAACACCATCTGGTAGATCGTGACTGGTTTGGCGAACGGCCAAATCTGCGTTCTCTACTCACCGCTTACCTCCGTGAACGGTGCAAAACTGCTGCTCAACAAGGGGCCACCCAGGAAAGCGACGATCGAGGACATGTCCGATGCTGTTTCTGCGCCCACTATCCTGACGCCGCACGCGTTACCCATGTTCCGCGACGGCGACGGGCTGGTCCGCGGCAGCAAGCGGAAACGGGAGAAGGAGCGCATGGACCCCCGCAAGAGCAAGAGGCCGGAACTACCAGTCACTGGGCCTGGCCGTGGAGGACGTGTCGGCGCAAGCGCAACCCAGCACGTCGTACAGAACTTGGTGCGGGACACAACAAGAGACGAGGATGTACGTGTCGCTTTCGGATTCGAGTTCTGCCCCCTTTTGCGTCATCTGGGGCGCATTGCCTTTCATTTGCCATGGCCTGGACTGGCCCGAGAATTTCCTGCCTGCGTACGGTGGCCGGATGCCTGTCCTGGATGGGCAATGACCCCGCACTCTCGCACAGACGCAGCAACGAGGCTCGAGGACGGAATCTGGTTTCTTCGCCTCCGAACGCGAGGGAACCATGATTTGGCTAGACAAGACCGGCGCTTGCCGTACGCGGGGCGCTCATCTCGCGCGTTGCCATGGGAGGGAGCTGAGATCACCCCGGTTCAGGCTCCGCTCTTCCCTTCATTGTCGTGCCCCCTCACTGCTGCTGTGCAGACGCTGACGATAATATTGCTTGCTTGACAACAGCCCCGAGAGGCCTTGCTTAGGCTTGCCAACACCGACGAAGACCCAGTTTGGACCAAAGGTGAGCTAGTGCAAAATTTTCAGGCTCTGATGGAGCCGCTTCGTGTTTGTGGCTGTTTGGCGCCGGCTGTGATTGCTGACGTGTGAACCTTATTCTCCCAGCCTGGAAAGCGAACCAGCCCAAGCCTGTGTTCGCGCAAGCGGAGGAGGAGGAGAAGGACGAGGATGCGACGTAGATAGCAGTAGGACAGCGCTGCAGCGACAGGACGGGGGCGAGGGAGGGGGAAAGGGAGGGGGGGCACTGATTCTGGAGGAGATGGCCCCTGCGCTTCAAGGAGATCGAACCTTATTTCAGCCCGCGTATAAAGACTCTAGCCCGACTTCGGATCTCCTGTTCCCCCAAATCTACCCTTGCCCCCTGCCCTCCTGTCACTCCCCCCGTGACCGTCACGCGTTCCCGCCCGCAGACCATGACCGACGCGCTCCTCGCGAACGGCATCAACGGACACGCAGCGTCCCCAGACTCCCTCGCAGCGGACTCGCCAGCAACCCCCGTCGACAACTCTACTTCGCCCGACATCAAGATCGATGTCGACTACATCGAGCGCGAGTCTGACGCGCGCAACGAGCCGGTCGCGATGAAGGTGGACGTGGTGGAGGACGCGTCCGTGCTTCCACAGGCGGGCAGCCCGCCTGATCCAGGTGAGGACAGCCCGTTGGCATCGTGTCCGTGTCGTCTTATCGCGCATCAGCCACCATACCGGTCGAGCCTCCTCACGGGACCCCTCCACCCCCGCCTGGGGAGCTGCTCCAAGATGTCCGTATGGCAGAAGGACGGCCACCAGAGAATGGCGATGTGCACATGACAAACGGCGATGCGAAGTCGCCGCACGTCAACGGACTCCTTAACGGACACGAATCTGCTCCCGCAAACGTCTCTACTTCATTACCCGCTGTATCCTCCTCCGAGACCGCTGTCGACTCGCTCGCTGCTGCGTCGTCTCCCTATCCTAATAATACAACTAGTGAACCCGATGATGATAAGCCCCCGCCGGCTAAGAGAGCGCGGAAACATTCGGACGCTGAGAGAGCATCACTCGCCAATGTAAGCACCCATGTCTCCTGTGCGCCGCTACGGGCGTGCTGATGGCGTTGTCTGAAGACGGGTACTCCACCTCCAGCGTCGGTGTCTCCCGAAAGCAAGGCGACCCCTCTTCCGGCCCCGACTCCTGCACCTGCGCCCGCGCCCGTATCCAGGACGCCTTCTGTGTCGACGCTTAGCCTTGCACAGTGGCGCTTCTCTACATCAACCGTCCGCACGCTCAAGAAGATGAAGGATGCAAGCCCCTTCCTGCACCCCGTCGATCCCGTTGCCCTTAACATCCCGCACTACCCTTCCATCGTGAAGCATCCGATGGACTTCTCTACCGTCGACCGGAAGTTGGCGGCTTCAAACCCATCGAAGCCCGACCCCAATCTCGTCAATCCTCGTTACTACAATGCGGACGACTTCGTCGCCGACGTGCGGTTGATTTTCACTAACTGTGGGCTGTTCAACGGGCCTGATCATCCGATTACTGCAATGGGTAAGCGTGTCGAGGCGGTGTTCGACAAACAAATCAAGCAGATGCCTCCACCTGAGGAGGTGCGTTGCATAGCTTGTCTGTCTGGAGTTGAACTCGTGCTGATGTCATGCCGAGTAGCCCAAGCCAATCGTTAAGAAGGTTGCCACCCCTCCCCCTCCCCCTGCCCCTCCGAAGAAGGTCGCTGCTCGGCGACCATCCACTTCCGTCCCTGTCATTCGTCGGACAGAGGATAGCACTACAAATGGCGGCCGACCTAAACGGGAGATACATCCTCCTCCTCCTAAGGATCTCCCTTACAACGATGCCCCCAAGAAGACGAGGAAGTCGACATCAGGGGCCAGTGACTTGTACCGCGACCAGTTTAAGCACTGCGAGAAGGTACTGAAGGAGCTCAACAAGAAGAGCTTGTACAACATTGCTCACCCGTTCTATGAGCCCGTCGGTAAGTCTGTCGACGCTCGCCACAGGTCGTGCGCTGACGACACCACGCATGCAGACTGGATCAAGTTGGAGATACCTCAGTACCCGAAGGTCATCAAGAAACCTATGGACCTCTCGACGATGAGGCGAAAGCTCACTGACTCCGAGTACACCACGCCCAGCAAGTTCCGCGACGACTTCAAGCTCATGATCAAGAACGCACAGACATTCAATCCGGCAAAGAACCCCGTCCATGAGGCCTCCAAGGAGCTTGACCGCGTTTTCGATGTGAAGTGGGCCGAACTCCCGCCTCTACGCTCCCAAGATCCTTCGGACGACGAGTATGACGAGGACGAGCCTAGCGAGGACGACCGAGCACGTACGTCCAATGCAGTGCTGCGGTTGTACAATTCATTGGTACTGACCCATCGACTGCAGGCATGATCGCCCAGATGGAAAGTCAGATCGAGAGCATGAGGAACAATCTCGAGTCCATGAAGAAGACCAAGCAGCCGAAGAAGGAGAAAGAGAAGAAGAAGAAGGCCCCGCCTCCTGTTGCTAGCACGTCTAAGGCGCAGCCTAAGCAGGCGAAGACCCCCACCTCGTCGAAGAAGAAGACGGCGAAGAAGCCTATCAGTGACGACGATGTGCTCTCCTTCGAGCAGAAGAAGGACCTGAGCGATACGATCGGCAAGCTCGACGGTGCGAAGTTGGAGAAGGTAATTCAGATCATCCATGAGGGTGTGCCTGAGATCCGCGACGTGAGTTATCGCTCGTATTGTCGCGCCTCTGAGATTCTCATCGTCATGTTTCATACAGAGCACGGAGGAGATTGAGCTCGAGATCGACGAGCTACCAGCCGCGGTATTGACGAAGCTTTACAACTTCGTCATTCGGCCCATGAAAGTCCAGACCAAACGCCCTGGCAAAGGCAAGGGCACTGGCACCGGTGGTCTCAAGCGGAAGAGCATGGACGAGGATGTTGAGGCGGCGAAGATCCGCGCACTCGAGGAGCGGATGAAGCTCTTCGAGGGACGAGGATCCGTGGGTCCTATCAGCGACGCCCCACCAGCTGACGACAGCGAGCACTCTTCTGCGGAGTCAAGCTCGGAGAGCTCTGCAAGCGATTCAGAGTGATGGAGACTCGGACATTATCCAACTTATGTCGTTCGTTCGCCTCGTCTGTTGTTCTTGTGGTCTTCGACGACGCTCGTCCCGTCTCTCGGCCCACTGGTATTGTAGTTTATTGTCATCAACGTACGTACATACAAAATTACAAGAACTCCCAGCATTGTAGCTACTTAGTACTATTTCATCCACGTCTTGACTTCTGACATAGACCCAAAGTCTCAACTTTGCATGATGTAAGAAACCTGTTGTCGAGAGCGACCAGCAAGTAATCGAGGGCGATGATACATTTACGGTACGAAAGACGATCGCATTATCGTCGTCTACCGGGGCCAGCCGCACGGAAGTGTTGCCAGCCAGACCGGGATGCCTCTTGTCGGGGAGGTGGCGGAGGCTGAGGACGCGATAGTGGGGCCGGGCGAGCAGCGGGTACAGGTGTGCCATCGACGTCGACTGGATTCGGAATCGAAGGCCGCTCAGCAGATGCCTGAGATGAAACGGTTTGCCAACCGCTCTGAGAGGGCTGTACAGCAGCTCCCGAACCAGTGTCCGACGACCAATCGCCGGCGGTTTCAGCAGGTGAGGAAACATGCGGAGTTGAGAATGGTGGATGTGAAAGCGGAGGCGGTACAGACGGCGGCGGTAGCGCACGTTCACCGCTACTGGTGTCGAGCGAGGTCCAACCACCCGTCCGGAACGCTGGTGCTGAACCAAATGCCTGGCGAGGCGCGGTGTTGGGCGGATTTGATGAAGTTGTATATCGAGGGTCTGGAGGCGCTGTGACAGGTGCCCAGCCTCCCCTGCTCTCGGATGATCTGGGTTCCTGGGACTGCGACGAACCCGACGACGCTGGTCTCACCGAAGCCCATCCAGAGCTATTTGAGGCGGAGCCGGACGTCGAGGGACCAGACGGTGGCCCAACGGAAGTCGGCCTGCTCGACGATCCTACAGATGCCCATCCCGTCTTCTTGAGGCCGGTAGACATGGGTTCCCCCTTCGCCCCACTAGGCGTCGCAGCGGTGCCTGGTGTAGAGGCAGGCGTGATGAGGGGTACAGTCGGCTTCGTAATCTTGATACCTGCAGCCTTCGCGACCTTCCGTAACTCCTTCTCTTCGCGCTTCCTCTCCTTCTCTTTCCTTTTATCCATCTCTTCTTGTGTGTTGCGGCTGGCACGCGCTGCCATTTGCATGTCGCGGAACCGCGCCTTGTGATGATGCGCATAGGAGTTCGTGTGCTCATCGTACTGGGCTACATTCTGGAATTGTTTGTCGCAGAGCTCGCAATAGAACGCTTTGAGGGTATTGACGATCTCCGACTGAACAGCAACGCGCTTTGCTACCGAGTCCTGAAATTTCCCACCAAGTAATGAGCGCGGAAAGTGACCGCTCAATCGGATTACGCACCTCCCTCGCTCGCCGCTGCTCCTCTGTCTCTTTCGTTTGGCGTTCTGAATCGAGTTCGCGGCGTTGAGCGACAGTGGTCTCAACTGTGAAGGTTGTGAGCGGTCATCAGCAGAAGAGATGGGGGTACACGTACTCATCCGTACATCCTGATTTGTTTTGCCGAGACCTGTGAGATCGTTCTTCACATAGAAAGGTACTGGGTCGACACGACCTTTAGGCAAGTCAACCATCTGTAAGTAGCACATGAAACGCGGTATGCATACCATCTCCGGACAGACCCAATGGCTGCCCCTCTACCCATCCCATACTCGCAAGCATGGCAAACCCCTTGTTGCTACTTTTGATCCTCGTGTCGACCGTCACGGTCTCTCGTGCAGGTTTTGCGACGTATTCATCATACTTGTCAATGTCCATGGCGTCCGCCGGAGGTTGTGGCGAGGGAGAACGAGACAAAAGGGATACATTGTCCTCGCTGTCATCGTCATCTTCCGGTCGCGAACGCTGCAGAAGCAGGTAGGAGAGCAGTGCAGCAAGTGTTCAATGGTACTAGAAAGGCGCAAGGAGTACCTTCATTGCTCGTGAGGCATCAGACTCGGACCCAGGACGTGCGAGAGGAATAGCGTTCCAGCGTGCGATGGTTTCTGCTGACATGGCTGTGCGTCGCTGCAGTTGGGAGAAGGGTGTTGAGCAGCGGGTGCCGCTTGAGCCTTGCGCCTGTGGCCCACCCGGGGTGATGCGCGTCACACGTGACTGCTACAAACACGCGCGTGCCACAGCCTGAACGCGCTCGCTCGACGCTCGAGTCTCGCTCGCGCTCGTCGAGCGTCGCGTCGCTGTCTCTCCTAGCTGTCTGCGTCTTCGTCCTTGGTATGACCATGAGCTCTGATGACGGCTACTTTGACGACGAGCTCGACTCAGCTTTTCTCAATGAGGTCGATGCAATAGAGGCCGCTCATGCGTCTGTCCCGAACCCAACCAAACCCGCAGCGCACTCGAGGTCCTCACGGAGATCACCATCTCCGACACACTCTGTGATTGAGATTGAGGACTCAGACCCGTTTGACGCCTTTGACTACGACATAGCCGTCCTTCAAGACATCCAGGAAGGTCGGGCACGGCAGCACCATGGGCAACCAATGGCAGGGCCAAGTAGAGCGGACATGCAACGGACATCTTCCAAGGGCACCGTCCAGACGACCTTGTTTGGCGGGGTGGTACAGGAAGTCACATCTTCCAAACCCAAATCTTCGACGAGGGCCCCGATGCAACGCACTCACAGCGCTCAGGCTACTCTCGCCGAGAGGAAGACCAGGCGATGGGACCATACCGCCTTCGCCAAGTCGGGTTGGCGACAGTCTGCGGAAGAGAAAGCTAGGAAGAAAGGCAAGGGGAAAGCATCTTTCGACGGCATGGAGGAGGAGGAGGAGCCCGTAGAATTCGAACAATTCCCAGCACCCTTTGTGCCCGTTGGGTAAGTGTACTGTACATAGCTCTCGTACTCGTCGAAGGCTCATGTATCTTGTACTCTGGATGTAGCCCGGTAAGAGCGTAGTTTCTGTGCGACTACCAAGGATTCACCAGTCACTGTAGCCCCCTCCGATGAAGCTGAAGCCCGATCTTCTAGCCGCTAGACACTGGATATACCCCCTTAATAATCCGAAGCGCGACTACCAGTTCAACATCGCAAAGCATTGTTTCTTCGAGAACACGCTTGTGGCATTGCCAACCGGACTAGGGAAGACGTTCATCGCTGGCGTTGTCATGTTGAACTGTGCGTATCTTCGCCCCTTCCCTATACTCGATTCTGAAGCTGTTACCGTTTGGAGGAACAGTCTTTCATTGGTTCCCAGATGGCAAAGTCGTCTTTCTTGCGCCGACGAAACCCCTGGTCGCTCAGCAAATAGACGCTAGCCACAGGGTATGCGGCATACCAGGTAGTCATGCTGCCGAGCTCACGGGCGAGACGTCTCGAGCGAAGCGACTATATGCTGTATGTAACTCCTTCTTCAGCCATGAACCTAAGCTCAACAGAGGCGTTAGTATGCGGAAAAGCGAGTGTTCTACATGACGCCACAAACGCTGCTGAGCGATCTGATCTCCAAGACTTGCAACCCGTCAGATATAATCCTGATTGTAATCGGTCTGTACGCAGCAGACTTTGTTTGACGAGAAGTTGACCTGAGTATGTATGTAGACGAGGCTCATAAAGGTTCGGGCGACTACGCCTACGCTCAAGTCATACGGTTCATGATGGCGAAGAACCCGCACTTCCGTGTCCTTGCACTGACGGCCACGCCAGGCAGCAAACCCGAGGCCGCGCAGGCTATCGTGAATTGCTTGCATATCAGCCACATCGAGATTCGAGACGAAGAGAGCATCGACATTCGTAACTACATCCACAAGAAGGAAATTGCCAAGCACCTCATCCCGATGAGTGAGGATATCCTCAAGCTGCGCGATCTCCTCATCAAGATTATGCAGGTGCGGCTGTGCAACCTCAGGTTCAAATGGCAGACTTACATTGCCATTCTAGCCATTAATCAAGATGATTCAGAGTAACGGCGCGATGCATGGCTCCCCCGATCCAGTCATGCTGCACTCCTTCAGAAGTCAGACTGCTCTAGGCGAGCTTCGTGCACGAAAAGCCCCCGGCTGGACCTTAGCTGCTGCCAGCAAATTGCAGCCGCTAGCGCGGGCGATGGGCTATCTGGTATGCACCGAGAATCTATAATACTCCATATGCTTTGCTCACAAATTGTTGTAGTACGAAGCTAGCACGAACATGTGCTACGGCGCCTTGAACAGTTTGCTGTCCGGGGTAGACAATGAAACGGGCAAGAAGCCAGCAAGCAAGAACTCCCAACAAGGCTTGCAGAAAGACCCCAACTTCCAGGCTCTCATTAAGGAGATCGAGGACCAGAAGAACCGCGGCTTCTCCTTACACCCCAAGATGGAGAAGCTACGTACACTGCTCGTGCAACATTTCGCGAACCACATGTTCGACCGGGAAGACGTCGAGGATGGCGACCGAGGCGCAAGCGGCGCGGAAGAGTCCCGCGTTATGGTTTTCGCCTCCTACAGAGAATGTGTAGACGAACTTGTGGAGATGCTCAACAAGGAGTCTCCTCTGATCCGGGCGACACGCTTCATTGGTCAAGCGACTGACAAGCAGGGTAGATCAGGCCTCGCGCAGCGGGAACAAATAGAGGTAAGCCGGCGCGACGATTGGGCTTACCTCATGATGTTCATACAAAGGCTACATATAGGTCATCAAGCGGTTCAAAGGGGGGAATTCAACGTCCTCGTATCGACGTCTATCGGAGAAGAAGGTCTCGACATTGGCGAAGTCGACATGATTGTTTGTTATGATGCCCAGAAGACCCCGATTCGCATGGTGCGTAGCAGGGCTCAATTGCAGAAGGAGATGCTGACGCGAGCCTTTCCAGTTGCAACGCGCCGGTCGGACTGGCCGTAAGCGCGCTGGCGTCGTGCACGTCTTACTTGCCGAAGGCCGTGAAGATAGAAATTGGGAAAAGGCGAAGGAGAAATACAAGGACGTCCAAGATTACATTGTCAAGGCCGACGAGCTCGAGCTCTATGCCGACGTTGAGCGACTTTTGCCTGACCACGTCAAGCCCGAATGTGTGGAGAGGGTCATGGAGATCGAGGAGTATGTACGCGAGGAGAAGGTCCCTAGGAAAGGCTCCCGCGCAGATGCAAATGGCTCTCCGAAGGGCAAGAAGCGCAAGCGGGATGACGATCCTCTGCGTAGTATTCCTGCCGGGGCCAGCAGTAGCTTCGTGAACGTGAAGGATCTGCTCGTGAAGGGTGCCAAGGGTAGGAGGAAGCGTAATGTCGATGTTGACCCAGAGAAATACACGGGAGAAGATGACGATGACGATCTGGAGATCGAAGCAGGTATTTTCGGTGCTCGCAGGGCGGCCTCGACCTCTGCGATATCCCGAGGGGGGAAGACAAAGAGGCCACGTCGAGCGAAGACCGTTGCCTCGACGGAAAGCGCGGAGAGGCCGAAGAAGAAGACAAAGAAGGCCGTTGCTCGTTTAGAACTCACAGAAAGCCAGATGGCAAGAATGGCCGCCGACGACTCTGATGACGCCGAAATTGAGCGCGGACTTGCTTCTCCTACCCTCGCAGTACTGACACCGACTCTTGCGACACACCCGAGTAGCCATTCTGCATCACTCTGGGATCGGGACGTGTCGCCCATGACATCTGCGGAACGCAGTATCATTGACCTCACAACTCCTGATCAGCCGAGTCGTACGATGTCGTCAGCGGTTTCTCTGCCCTCATCGCCTGACCGTCCGTTGTTCGAGAAGGGACGCAGCGATGAACGACGATACGGAACCGCCATTACATCGCCCGGTCCTTCCCCCACATCATCTCCCGATCAACCGCTCAAGTCGAGGAGTACCAGCACGTCTAGCAGGACGCAGCAGACGCACCGATCTGCTAGCCCCTTCTCTCTATCCGCCACGCATTCATCCCGATCTTCTGCCCCAGACGACGTTCAGAAGGATGGCGACATGGCTTGGTTAATTGACGATGACGAGGACCCGGATCTACAAGTCGTCAAGTCGTCTCTCGCTCTCCATGGCAGCTCATCCCCCGTGATCCTATCCGACGATGACGAGGACATATTCAGGGATGAGTGTGATTCTCCGCTGTCTGCAGTCAAAGACGCTGGACGGGCACCCGCTAGATCGCTCAATGGATTCGCTTCCAGTCGGAATGCGCTCATGCTTCCTCCTGCCTTACCTACCCGGCTAGCGCGATCGCATGACGCTGAATCGATGCCTGAGCCCACCTTCGCTGTTCGCGCTCCTAGCAAACAGACCAAGAAGCGCGTCGTCGTGGATGTCAGCGATTCGTCGCCTCTTGTGATGCCTCCTCCGTCTCAGCGACGCCTACATCGGCAACACGACTCGCCTTCTCCGCCGTCGCCGGTGCCTCGCAGAACGAAGAAGCGAAAGTTCAAAGACATGGCTGAAGCGCAGAAAGCTAATCCATGGATGGACGTGGAGGCTTCCCACTCGGGTGATGAGCGGAGCATAGGATCGTCTGACGCGGAGAATGAGGACGGTTATGAGCCATCCTTCGTGCACGATGTCCCTGAGACACAAGCCTCCCCATCGTACGATCAATCCGCGGTATACAGGCGAAGTCTCCTTACACAAGCTCCAGGAGGCAGCAGGGCTGGGCCAGTCTTCGCGGGTCGACCTACGGCGCGTGGTTGGGGCGTGCATGGAGGGAGAGGCATGTCGAGAGTCGTGCCTAGCTCTCCTCGATACGACGACGAAGACGACGAGTACGAATTCGGCAGCTTCGTCGTCCGTGACGACGAAGAAACTTCATTTGCAGCTCATTCATCAAGTGAACTATGATGGACTTCGGATACCGGAATGCAAGCCTCCAACAGTGTCGATATTGTTATAATACTTAAATCATATGAACGCGCATCATTTGACACTTGCTTCCGTATCTTTCCACAACCGGGTGAATGTGGTCATTCTGGTGGTGAACCTTTGCGTACAGCCTGTACGGACAGGAATGTTAAATGTACAGAAGATAATCTGAGGGACAGTATAGTACGTAAAACCGAAAGCCGCCTGTACAGCATTGTTTACAACCTGTTGTGTCGACACCGAGAGCATACATTCATATCGCAGTGCTCGCAGCGCTATGATTGGGACATGATTAAGACAGGAATTGCGCGTGGATGCAAGGTTGATGAACGTACGAAGAGATATCTGAAAAGATAGTCGGAGCAATGTCCGCATTCACCGCCTCCGGCGCGGCGTGACCATGCGTGTTGACATTCATGATCTACGCGCAGCCCTTCTGCCACCTCTTCAACCATCTCTTGAAGCTCTGGTTCGGGCGGAGGCCCAGCCAGTAGTTCCCTTTGCACGTAGTTCCGTGCGGTGGTCAACAACCTGCCCTCGTCCCACTGAGGGCAGGGGCAGGTCTTCCAAGTCTCCGTACAGACATAGCAAAACTGCTTCCCACATCGACATGTTATATGATAACAGCCTTGAGCGAGCTCCACTAGGTGTTTGCACCCCGGACAACGCGCCCATCCTTCTTGTTCTGCCAAGGTAAGGATAGAAATGTCGTCGACGCAAGGATTTCCCGGATGAGCTCGCTCCTTGCAATGACCACAAGTCTCCGCGAGACACTTGGGGCATATCTGGTACGACGGAGATTCGGTAGCAGGGCCGACGAATGCTGAACATGTAGGTTGATGACAGTATATCCGATCCACAGTGGTGAACTCGACGGAGATCTGCTTGAACGTAGCAAGCAGATCAACGCCGAGATATTGCTCGACCTCTTCGAAGACGAATGGCTGCTGGCAACACCGTGGAGGAAAGAGTGTCTCGTCCGTCGTCGCGGCGCGGTAAAGGTCAACGAGACATTTCAAGTCCCAGAAATGCCCACAAGGCGCATGAATCTCGACGCCATCGATCGGCTCTCGACAAAACGAGCACATTTCATGTCTGCGCGTATGTCAGCAGCATCAGATACGTTGACTACTGAGTACTGACACGCGTGCGTTGCTACTAGCCTGGCTCTGCGTCTTGCTCGAAGAAGCAATGGCTGGCGTGGACGTTGGCCTGATCAACATGCGACAGTTAACTCTTGACGATCAGAGGGTGTATAGGGCCTAACTCACTCGTGCTTGGTCACGGAGCCCGAGACGGACGTGGTCGCGAGTGATATTCCCCCTCGAGAGCTAACGCATACTCCCTGTCGGAGCGAGCGACTTCGTCTGCCTGCAACAACTCTTGAATGATGTCCTGATCGGCTCGCAGAGCATCGTCTAGGCTTTGAGCGAAGGCAATGTCCCGTGTGAGAGCGAGCAGGGCATGCGCTTCCTCGGCGAACAGTTCGAACGCAAGTTCTTCATCGGTCTTGGGAGCGAGCGCGCTAGCCTTGCCCTTTCGTGTCGACAAGGTATCGTCGATATCCTGTAGTGCGAATTCAGCGATTAGTACAAGGTAAGAAGCCGAGTTTTCCAACGCCTCCGTATCGCCAAGGGAGGATGAAGACGAGCTTTCGCCGATCATGGCGGTGGAAAGCATAAGCGATGGGAGAGGGGCGGGCGAAAGACGCGGGACTGTACACGGCTGCTTGCAAAGACTACCCTTGGGGGCCCGGGCCCTTGGTGCAATGTAGAAGCTTGCCCTCAATGAGGTAGAACTTCTCCACGGTAGGGTATCCATTGGAAGACCACGACACATTATGCATTATGGTTGGCGGTCTACCATATCGGTTAAGGTTCTAACTCTGTCACTGGATGCCTTCCCGCAGAGGTTTACAACCGTTTCTATTCTAAATTTCGACTGTAAAATGCCCCGGCATATCGGCGAAGCGAGCGTACCACTGCGTCGGATCAGCAACCCCCTCTTCTAAACAGCCAATTTAGAAGGGGGGTCGGACCCCCCCTTCCAGATACAAAACTCGTCCATAACAGTGATCTTGAATCTCCGCTGCAATGAGATCTGGATCGTACGACCTGAACACAGTGCGCGGCGCGCGTGCGCGCCGACAGCTGAATTCTGGCGTGCCCAGTCACTCGAATAATGGCTTTGAGCTGCGTGTATCTACCGACTGTCTCATCCATCAAGCTCTGGCTTTCGTCTGACTGCCTTTGAACACACTACAAGCTACATCTAGTGACCACAAACTCCGAGTCCTCCATGCTGACCAGCAGGTTCTAGGTCGAGTGCTGCGACCCGTGCTCGCTTCTTGCCCGCGCACTTACTGGCTGGTACCCGCGCCCGCGTTCTTGGTCGAGTGGGTGCCTCGACGAGCAATCAGCGCTCAGCTCGTGGTGCCTTTACTTGCCCAATCTGCGCGAATACCCGCGCGTCCGCCCTCGCGTTCGGCTTGCCTGCCCTCTCGCTCGCCCGCTTGCCCTATCGTGCCCACATGCCCGCCCTCTTGAGCCTGCCCGCTCGTTCTTACCCGCCATGACTCGACAGCCTTTGAGGTCACGGATCTGGAGACGGAAGAGCTTGTGTTTGTCGGGACTCGGGAGCAAGAGGGAGACGGCGCTGCTCAAGTTCACGAAGGAGCCTGGCTGAGCGGACTACAGGAACAAGCGCGAGGCTGTGGACATCGTGTAGATGCTCCCGTTCTCGAGCTCGCACAATGCAATGGGCGTCGTCGTCAAGCTGAACAACGGCAGGTATCACGAGGTCACGGTGAGAGCACACTACGCTTGGTTTCGTCGTGTGTAGCTGACGGTACTAGTAGACCAGCTGCCAACGCCTTGCGTCTCGAGTGGGTGAGTGAGGTTTCTATCTTGCCCTTGGTCCAACACATCGTCTGACCGGGCATGCTCACCGAGATTGGTAGGGTTCAGATGCAACCGCGCATTGTGCAGCGTCCGAACGCTTGGTGCCTTGCGAGGGCGAGAGTCGGGAACATGACGGGCGGGAGCCGTCTGACGGTATGTGAATCTCGTGCCCTGGTTCGTCTTTTCGCTGATACCCATCACCTCGTCGGACGTCAGTTTCTCCCGCGCGTAGCGCGGCATCAGGGCCCACAAGCATAGATCTCGCCTTCGGGTAGTTGGCTATAAATGTCTGCGACCCCAACACGCTCGCCCACCGTCCCACCTGCCCACTGTCCCGCTCGCCTGCCGTCCCGTTCGCTCCTGCCAGTGGTCGCCTGCCGCCTCGCTCGCTCGCCCGACCGTACGCCTGTTCTTGCTCGGCTACCCGCGCTCGCCTTCTCGCCTGCTCGCACGCAGCTTCTCGCCCGCCTGTCCGCTCTTGCCATCCCTCACCCGCCTGCCCGATCTCGCTGTCCACTCTCTCTGCTCTGGATGGTCAGGTAGGGTCAGGTCAATCAGAATCGAGCTCCGCTAGATTACATAATGTTTTATCTTACATGAGATAAAGACTTATGGGCGAAGCTGCGGAGGCGTATCATACATAATCATTTTTTCATAACGATATTCAGACCCCGCACATGCATTTGAAACGACTGTAAATCCTGCGGAAAGGCATCCACTGGCATGAGCAATTGAAACGTTGTTGCCTCGTGCGATGTTCTATTGGCGCATAGCTCATACGCACAGCAAATCTTGACTCGAAAAGCCCCGTGGTGGAAAGGGCCCGGCTGCATTGGGATTGGTTGGATCCTAAGGATATTCACGTCTGATACGTCACTTCGTAGTACCTGGTCTGATGGAGCAATGTGTAGGCGAGGAAGTCAGATCATGGCATTACGTCTACGGTACAGTACTTACATAGAGCACCTGCGAGGCCTGAGGCCTGAGGCCTGACGACTGAAGTTGTTGAAGTACCGACGAACAGCTTCGCGTCAATTTCGAAGTGTCTCAACAGCACCCGATCTGATCATGGGGGATGTTCAAGTCCCAGGAAGCCTGGACGGTCAGCCCCAGTCTGAGGGAGACCCTACTCGATCTCTTTGACAGGAAAGCGTCGTATGTAGCAGAGGTTGGAGGAGGTTGTTCGGAAGAACTCGACGCTGTTGTATGGTGATGGTGATGGGATCAGCCTGAGGTGACCGTGACTCAAGAGGCCGTGAAGTATACTAGGTGACAAGTACTGTGAACAACAGAGCCTAGATAGATGACAGATAGCCTCACATCAGTTTCATTGACAGCGTCAAGTAGCAGGTAGACCTGGGAGCTGGAAGCTCTCAAGAACGTTGCGGCAGCGCGGTTACGCCGGGTCAGGTGATCGCGACGCGCGTCGCGTAGAGTCCTCCCATTGCAACCGAGAACTCAGCTGGATACAGTCGTTTGCATAATGGTTGTCGCATGCGCGCGACGAGAATCCTGTTTGGTCCTCTTTGGACCGGCCAAACAGTGACAGATCTGTGACAGATCTGCACCAACGCAAGTGGGCCATGGCTCGAACCGTGAACGCGCCGTCGCTCACTGCCTGCTGAACTGTGTCCTCTAGGCCCTTCTACCTTTTGTATCATAGATTACCACACTCTGCAAGGTCACTATGGAGGAGGACTCGTTTGCGTCCAGAGGGGAGTGTAAACAGATATCACCGGCTCGCCGAAGCAGGAGTGGAGTCTGAGAGAGAGGATGCGCTGGACCGTCCAAACAGATTGCCGAGACAGGTGCATTTTATCCCTGACAGAAAGGTGGTATCCATAATAACAAGCATGTATGCATCTACGCAGTTCTTGGGTAGTAGGAGCAGGCATGGTGAGTGTACGCGATGAAGATCGCACCAAACTACTCGAATAGGTAATGTCACAAGTCACTATTTGGCCGGTCCAAAGAGGTCCAAATATGAGTGACGTTTTCGTGGAAAAATACTTACCGGCAAGTCTTACTTTCCCGACTTAGAACTTAGTGTGATTGGCGCCCGTCCGAACGCGCCGATGCGGTACTTGCCTAATCGGGATGAACATCGCGCCTGCCAGGGCCGCTGCGCCAGGCGTTTTCCCCTTATTCTCTTTCATGTATAATGTCTCTTCATAAATTTCATACGCCTTCTTTTACGTGTTGCATCACCTGTTCTCTTCGATATAGTGAGAACCACAGGCTCATGACTATGGCTCTCATCGGAGATTCTACTGAAGCATCCCGGGCCATACGTCTCGTCGATGATGAGGGTCATGAGGATGACATGCTGAGAGGAAGTTTACAGACTCCCTTCTATAGAATTATTAGTGGGCTTCCGGATTCGCCGTGCAATGAACAGCAGCGCGCATAAAGGCCCGCAGACAGAGTTGCCACAATTGGCTAATGATTCCGCATTAGGCAATTCACCAGCCCTCGAAGCAGAATCAAGTGATCTAGCATGAGCAGACAACGGATCTGTGACTCACTGTAATCTATATACAGTGTTAACAAGGCCAGAAATATCCATTATTGTAGAGACCAAGTGTACGAAACGGAGCGAATCTAAGTCCGAGGTGTACGGGTCACGTGTCAACTAAGTAGCAAATCTTACGCGATAACTAAGGCGTAAGTGTAAGTATTTTTCCGCGATAACGACCGTCATATCCAAACAAGATTCTCGTCGCGCGCATGCGACAACCATTATGCAAACGACTGTACACGGTAGTGGCAGTCATTGACTCAGAGTACTGTACGTTTCTCCACTCTGGACTTGCACCATAATCCATACACGTATCTCATGTCCCTCCAGGAGTACTTCTGTACGAGCATGTCCCAAATTTAACTCAGTTCCGCTGCCAACCCAGACTCGCCGTCTTTCGAGTCGGATTCATCGCCGCGGCCAGTGCTAGGGTATCCCAGTTAAACGATCGCCACCGTGGTCTTTTGGCGCTGAGATTATGGGTGTAAGTGGCTACCTGTAGCATTGACCTGCCCATTGGTCCACTCTGGGAGTCTACTCAAGCTTTATATGGAGGCCCGGGCCCTACCAGGACCGGCATCTCAGAGCAACAAAGGCCGTCGGAACAGCTCGCTCCGGCCGTCTTGGATACTGTCATACCTCCCACAGGAGAGTTGTCCTCAAATATCTGACGGGACATGTTATTTTCGAAAGTTGCGCGGCCGAGGAGTTGCGTGGCCCGTCTGCAAGATAGGCAAAAGGCGATCGGGCGAGATCTACGCTGTGGAGAGCCAATAGCAGGCGATGCCGCGGCGAGGCCATCCGAGCGCCGTAATGGCCGCTTACTTGTGGCTTGTTTTTGCCCGCGCACCTGACGTCGACAGCCATTCTGGCCGGTCATCGTCCAGGAGGACCTGCGATGAGGCGCTGTATCCGCAGTGGACAGAATCGTATAAAAGACGGGCCTGCAAAACGCAAGATGCACATCGAGCCGTCCGCTGCAGCCATCCCCTCAACCTCAGACCTTGTACTCCCGCTTCAAAGTCAACGCCCTAGTCATCATGTCTGAGAACATAGATAATGAGGATCCGGCGACCTACGAGAACATGTACCATCTCAGTGAGCAGGAGCTTGCGTTCTTCAAATCGCAAACGGGCATCAAGGACGAAGAAGAACTGAAGCAGCACGTCATGAGTGTGCGGGCCGAGGCTTTGAAGGTATGATGAGACTTCCTCCCTTCGAACAGCCGGACCTGACGCAAATACTATCGCAGGTTACGCCTTACGCCTGTATCAAGGCCTTTGCCTTCACCAAGTACGCATCTTTTTCACGCCGTGTGCGAGTTTCGTTCAAGCCCCCATAATTGTCTTCGTGTCACAGGTTGATAGCCAATCGCTCGCCCGTGTACCAACAGGCGATTGCCATTGGCAAGGAGCGCAAGGGTGCTATCCTGCTTGACCTTGGTTGTTGCTGTGGGTATCGTTTTAAATAGCAGACTTAGTTGACGCCTGATTGGCTCCTGTGTAGTTGGCGTCGACGTCAGGAAGGCCGTAGCAGACGGATTCCCTGCTGGAAACGCCATAGGATCAGACCTTCATACAGGTGGGTACGGTTCAGCAGATGGTGTTGCTGTGCACTGACAATACAATCACTGTAGAATATTGGGATCTCGGTCACAAACTTTTCAGGACGACTCCGAAGGAGTTCCCGGCACATTTCCTCGGGGGCGACGCCTTTGACCCAGACTTCTTCCGCACGGCCCCACCCCTCAATGCCCCGCCTGAAGCCTCCGCGCCTGCGCTGTCCTCTTTGACAACCCTCACGCCTCTCCACGGACACGTCTCCGTGATTCATGTGTCATCCTTCTTCCACCTGTTCAGCGAGGAGAAGCAGCTTGAGCTGGCGCACAAGCTCGCCGGCCTTCTCTCGCCTATCCCGGGCTCTATGATCTTCGGGCTGCACAGCGGCCGGGCGGAGAAAGGCCTGAGGACGGAGAGCGCGAAGATGCGAATGGGCGAGTACATGTTCTGCCACTCGGATGAAAGCTGGAAGGAGCTTTGGGATGGCGTGGTGTTCAAGAAGGGTACGGTGGAGGTCAAGGCGTCTCTACACAATGTCAAGGAGCTGTTCGATAGCTGGGGAGTCGACACACTGGACATTCCCGATCGGATCAGGCAGGCGATCGCTGGGAACCGGTTGTTCCTGGTGTGGTCGGTGACAAGGCTGTGATCAGTGACCTTGGGCTGCGTGGTTCAGTCATCGCGTTCATTCAACATGAGCTCATGCGTTGGTAGCTGGCTCAACCCTGCTTGATGAAGCTCGCATAGTACTGCACCGGGTGTATACATATCACGTACACGTTGTACGACCTGACCGATTCCTGGGAGCTGGCATTGTACGACTAGAGTTGCTATTTCCGTATGCGAAACGGATTACTCACTGTTGAGAGCGATGCGTGCGAGTGTGTAGGCTGAGTAGGGGCAACGCGCTACAAATTTAAACTCCGACGCGTCCGCGCGCCACCCGCCTGCCGCGTCTCACGAAGTGGGCGCGGAAAGAGGTGCACTTTTCTCCGGTTCATCCACTTCAGAATATTCCGGAGAAGTGATGATAAATCATCTAAAATCAGGCTCGAGAAAGTCTTGAGGATGGATTTAGAGAAAAGGCCCTGCGGACATGGGAGCCTTCTACAGCCCCCCAATACGTGCATTACAAAAAAATCCATCCTCAAGACTTTGTTCTATGTATGTATGTGATCACGGTCATTTAGTTGTTACAGGAGCCAAAAACGCCAGGGAACGTCAGAAGTGCACCTCTTTCTCGCGGTGCGACGCGTGTTACGTAAGCGAGTCGACGCGCCACTAGCGCGTCTCGACGCGATCCTTGCTAGTCTTTTGGCCGTCCTCCGTGTAACCTTGCTTCTGGTCACATCCATTGGTCACAGAACTACCTGGGGCATCTCTTGTAACAGTTCAGCAAACATGTTACACCCAAAAACAACATCCAGTATATCAAAAGGTGAGTTCTGCATGTTTAGCCTCTATACTGATGATCCTCAGGCCGACAAGATCTCTTCGGACTAGACTGCTAGTTCATTTGGGGTAGTTCCGAGCCTGGGAGAGGTTGCTGTCATGATAGACCATCGCATATACAGCTTTTGCTGAGACACCAAATGCAGTCTGTGCAACATGCTGACCGAATTCCGATGTTATATTCATTCGATCCCTCTGTAAAACCACATGAACACTCGTGAGATACATGCCGTTCTATGTAAATATAGTCTCAATTTTATACAACTCGTGTCGAATGCTACAGCATGGGGAGAGAGTCGTGTCCACTTTCTCGACGCGTTTTGATCACGTGACAGGGGACGCTTTTCGGAAAGGCATTGCCCCTAGTCAGCAGAAAGTCGGATCCACGGGGAGAAACGTTCCCGGAACGGGGAACACGGAACGCGGAACATCACGCACCGTGACGACGTGTGACACCTTCGTTTATAGTGCTGCCACTCTCCTGCGGTTGCATTATAGTAATCTATAGTAATTGACCGTTCGGATCTTTATACATAGTGGTTCGTAGTAATCACAATGTCTTGTGGGCCATTGTTTGGTTGTTAGGTCACAACGCACTACGCAGTGGATGTGGTTAGCCAATTAAGGGTATTTCCTGATATGGAGAATATGCCCAATCAGGCAATGCTCGCTGGGCCACATTGGATCACGTGGTGAGTGCTGTCCCCGCCAGTGAGTATGAACCTGTATGAACGTCAAGTTATTACTGTAGATAAAAGTTCAAAGCGGCGCGGGGTGTGACGCGTGACACCCGAGCGACCATCAGGCGGCGCGGCGCGGGCGTCGGTGACCTGTGACGGAGCCCTCTTGGGCGGCGGGGCGGCGGGTTTTTGGTCAAACGGCGCCGCAGGCGGCGAAAATTTGATCTGTCACATCCGGCGGGCTCGACGGTGACCAGTGACAGTGTAGCATCGCCGGCGTGGCGGAGGGTCCTGTGACGTGTGACCGCCGCTTTGTATTTTTATCTACAGTAATAGCTTGTGATTCATCTATGGCAGTGAAAATACACCTACTTGTATTCAGTAGTCTATACTCTGCTGATGCTAGCACGATTGGGTTTTTGCAGCTTTATGTGTGACAGAGTCGGGACTCGGTGTATTAGTAAGCATTCTAGTAAGTATCTAAGTCCGTACTATTGACTTCCGGGTTTGGCAATTCGTGCTTATGACATAGGCCACTACATACGCTTTGCCCTCTGTCACTATGTGACCAGCGTTCCTAGGGGCGTTCCGCAGAGGCGTTCCCGGAACGCGTTCCGGGAACGTATCTCCCAGTCGATCGGACGTTCTCCTAGTCAGTGTAGGTTCGACACAAACCCCGCACGTGAGCGATGTGTGCGAGTGTGTGCGGGAAGCTCTCGATGAATCGGCGATCAGGAACGGCATGTCACGTGCAACGACGTCAGGCGTGAGATGCGATCGCCGGGAGAAGCGCTCTTACAAAGTGTCTCCCTCCATTTCGTCACTCCCAAGCCCTTGCTCGTCCCCGGCGCGTCTCTCTCTTCCCACTCGCCCTCACCACCGCATCTCTACCATGCCAGTCACCGCACCCTCACCACCCATTCTCTATTCGTTCGCGTCCCCCACCGAGCTCTGCGATGCGGTCGCGGACTTCATACTAAAGGCCCAGAAAGAAGCCATCGACAAGAAGGGCAGGTTTTCGGTCGCTTTATCCGGTGGCTCGCTGCCTCAACAGCTCAACGCTCTGATCAACAAGCCCGGCGTGAGGTGGGACAAGTGGTGCGTTGCCTTCTCCTCATTCCAGCCCGCTATCTGATTCCATCGCGCTCTCCTAGGCAAGTCTTCTACGCCGACGAGCGTGTCGTCCCCCTCGACCACCCCGACTCCAACCACAAACTCTGCACAGACGAGCTCTTCTCGAAAGTGCCCATCCCCAAGGATCACATACACACGATCGACCCCTCGCTCGCCGACGACCTCGAGGAGCTCTCGGACGCGTACGAGAAGGAGCTCATCCGCGAATTCGCGCAGAAAGACTCCGCCCGCTTCCCCATCTTCGATCTCATCCTCCTGGGCACCGGCCCGGACGGCCACACCGCGTCGCTCTTCCCCGGCCACCCGCTCCTCACGGAGGAGGATCGCTGGGTCGCGTACATAGAGGACAGCCCTAAGCCACCCGCGAGGCGCATCACCTTCACCTACCCCGTCATCAACCACGCTGCGCGCGTCGCCTTCGTCGCGAGTGGTGCGGCCAAGGCAGATACCCTGCAGACCGTTTTCGACAAGCCCGAGGAGGGCCTCCCTGCGTCCAGAGTGCGGCCTTCGCACCCAGGCCAGGTCTACTGGTTCGTCGACGATCCGGCCGTTTCGAAGGTGCAGTTCCCAAGAACCCCATTCAAACTCTGATCGAGGGATAGGCTTCGTGCGAGAACCTTGAGGAGATAGGTAGCACGGAGGCAGAAGCAACAACATAAATATGTATATCATCGCGCTTAGTGTATTCTTTCTGCCATTACCTTTGTGCCCTTCCCGTAGTCGTAGTACTTATGCCATCAAGCTCTAGTTCATGCTGCACTCTGCTCGGTTGAGCCACACATGTTATGCGCGCAATGGGTCGTTCCAGTAGTCGTAAAGTCGTCATAATATGGTCTGGCACGGAGCTCAAGGCGTCCTAGCCGCCAAACTAATAGCACCTTCAGCCGCGGCGCCAGGCGATACGGCCTCAGACGCGCCCAGCTCCGGGAAGACTGTCACCAAAACGAGGTCGAGAATGAAGAGCATGAGATGCGCGTTACAGGCCTGAGAAGAAAGCGGGTCCAGAATTCCGTCGATCGCGCTCGTCCGTGCTTCTGAAGTAGGGCCCAGCACTATCGCCAGCGGCGCTAGAGAACCCATTGGAAACTTGTCAGTGCCTTGTACGAGACATAGGCACCGAAGCCAAGATGACTGACCTGGAATGGCGGCGAGTAACCTCCTCCCGAGGGCAGCCCTCATAACGGCTTGTTCTTCGAGAGTTGGATCTGGTGGGGGCGGCGCTGGCCAGCCTTCCGGGAACAAAGCCCTCTTTGCGCTCCGCACGACTCCGGCTATCCTGTCCGGCGACAATGCGTGTGTGTACAGGAGGTAGGGGAGGAGCCGCGAGAGGAACGGATCGAGTGCGGTGAGCGGCAAGGCAAGCGTTTGGGTGAGTGCGCGCGCGGTGAGCGACGGCGGGAGGAGGGTCTGGACAAGGTGGAGGGACGGAGCGGTGTAATTCGGCGGAGATGGTGGGGCCGAGGGAGGGGTCGAGTGTAGGGCGGCAGGGGTAGAAGAGGAAGAGTTGGACGCCGTCTGGACCGTCGAAGCCGATGTCGTCCGGAGGAGAGGGTTCACGGACGATATCGAGGTGGGGGTAGGCGGGCCTCGGGGCGGTGTTACTGGTTGCGACACGACTCTTAACGGCGCAGACACGGCGGCCAGGCTACCCGGAATGGCGATTGGGTTGGGGGAAGGGACGGGACTTGGTATTACATCGGGTGTCAAGGGCCGACTCGTAGGCGAATCCGGGAAGAGAGGTGCGCTCTCGTTAACCCTCTTGACGGTGTTCCGGGCTTGTCTGTATGTGTGAATTAGGAGGAGGCATACCCCAGATATGGATTGGATGGCAGAGAGAAAGACAATGGCTAGTGATTGCAGTGAGAACCCTTGGCGGGACGCATGCGCCCCGTCCGAAGTGGATGTAGGATGTCCAGGACGAGGTGGCTGTGGAAGCAGAACGTCAGTGTTGGGTAAGTCACGTCAGCCAAGTGTAGCATTCAGTCGGACGAGTACGTGAACCGAGGCACACGGATGCATCTATTCCGATAAGAGAGTATGTACATCCGGCGATAGCGCGTCGCCCCGTGGAAATCACTGGGAAAGAAACGGATAGCGTGCAGACACACCTCGACACCCTTGCCCTTGTCCTGCTCCGCTCCCAGCTGGTCCAGCAAGATCTTGTGGATGAACCAAGGTTGGGTCACTCGTGGCATGACGCTCTTCAGGAGCACACTCAGGATGATCTCCCGGACAATATACCGCTCCGCCTCCGAGTCGTAGTCTTCTGGCGGAAGGCAAGCCTTGAGGATATGGTCTACAGCCTGGCGAACGTAGACATCGTCGACGCGTCCATCCGCGCTGATAGCCATGTGCGGCTGTAGGTGATGAAAGAGTTGAGGTAGGGTCGCTGCGCCGCCAGTCGCATACGAGGTGTGTAACTTTGCCCTTGCGCTTCGGAAGTCGACATAATGCTGCGTCAGGAGAGTAGGGAGGTCGCGGAAGACCAGAGGAGAAAGGTCCGTCGCGAGAAGACGGGCCTCGAGCGTGCGTACTACGCTTGTAAGGATGCGCGTAATCTCGGGGAGGAACTCCTTGTCATAACGCGTAATCTTTGTCCACCACGGGTTCACGTATGCGCGCAAGGCAAGCGCGACGAAGTCGTACAGCTCACCATTCAAGACAGGCACAGCCAGGGGGGAGGTCAGCAGTGGCGGAAGGTCGGCATCGGCAGGGAGGGTAGGAAAGAGCAGGCGACGGGGAAGCGAGACAGGCTTCGGTGCAGGTTTGGTGGCAGGCTTGTCCCCAAGCGAAGACGAGCCGGACTTGACGGAGCGTACAGAGTGGCGGAGAGAGGGCGCGAGGCCCGTGGACATCGTCGCGGACGACGAGCGCAGTACTGCCGGATTCAGAAGGCCACAATCCATGTCGCACGTGGCTCGGGAAGGCTGCTAGCGCCCGCTTGAGGATCGAGTATGTTAGCCGTTGGTTAGCCGGGCATGGTCACGGTAGAAACAGTCGGCCTCTCTCTTGCCAGCCACACTCACCGTCGACGTCGTTCACCGCGTTCGTCGCCCTTGGTGTGCTAGTGTCGAGCGAGCGCCATCTCTGTGAGACCGGTGAGCGGCGCTACCTCCCCTTGAACAGTGACGGCCATCTGATGTTTCGATTTCTCTCCTTGCACAGACAGCTCTTTATCTGACCTGAATGCGCTAGCAACAGTCACTTAACAGATCTACTCGCCGACACTCCTTACATTCATTCGTTCTTTTCTCTGGTCCTGGCCAGACCAGCGGTCACCAGTACCCTACAATGCCTAATGTCCCTCAAGTGCGCCCTCGAGATGGAAGCTCCAACGGTGGTGGTCTCTCCACGTCGACCGTCATTATCATCGCTGTTGTATGTGGCTCCGTGCTCATACTCGCCTCCGTCCTGTTCCTCTGGCGATGCTTCGTGCGCCTCGTCCATCGCAAGAAGTCAAACCCTCTGCCACCAGTACAACTGCTCGCACATCAGCGTGGACCGCATACTACTTCACTGTCGGAGCGCAAAACCTTCTATTCCAGCGACGCAGACAGCACTTTTGGCCTCACATACAAAACTGGCCTTGCGCACACACCGAGTGACGGCTCACTGACACCTGGTGGTTCGGTCTACCCAAGCCGGTCGAACAGCGCTAATACCGAAGATGGCGTGTCCACCGAAACTGTATCTGCACTCGGCCAGCCGCTTTCCGTGGACACTGCAATGCTTCCGAATCTTGATGTTGCAGGGGCGACCTCGCGCGATAACCTAACCCAATCGCCGAGTACGGCCCTATCGGACGCGTCGTCCATACACTCCCATGTCACGTCCAGTAATGGGCATCTGACAGCCCGAACGCCCCGCCCGTTTCCGCGCTCGCAGTCACGGCCGTTGTCCTTGGCGTCGTCGACCGCCACGATGCAAACATTCCAGAGCACACAGAGCAAACGCAGCGTTATCCGCGGGGCGCCGCATAGTCGACACAGCAGCATCCAGATCATTTTACCTGCCCCACTCGCGCCTGAGTCGTATCCTTACGAACAACTTGCGATGAACGCTATGGGTTCAAGAAGCAGCTACTTCTTCAACAGTGGTCAAGATGATGCCTCAGTCCGCGGGAGCGTAGCTTCAGACCAGTGGGTGCAAGGGGGTGCTCGTTCGATGAGTCTGAGTGGTATACCGGAGTCCCCCACCGGACCTGCCCCTGGCCCAAGCTACGTCCGCGGTCCCCGCAGTCTTTCGCAGCCTTCACGACCGTCTTCCTCGCATCAATCCTTCCGACGCAGTCAATCACAGTCTCGCATGGACAGTTCGCCGCTACGAACTCAAGTCACAGCATACCCGTACCAAATCCCACCTCCACCTGTGCCGCAGATACCCGCAGCATTTGCAGCCGTGCCAAGACCTAGCCCAGATGCGGAGGACCCACCGTACAGACAGGGCCGCCCGGAGCCCGTGCGCCGTGGGTCGTCGCCCTCTCTCTCTGGGCGTCCCACACGGGAAGCAAGCCGCGGCCGCTCTCATGCGGACACTGGGCAAACGGGTCCATCAGAACCCCGGAGACAAAGTTCGCGCTCACGGTCACGAAGGAACACGCTGCGGAAACCGCGGAAGGAGGTAGACGTGCCGCCTTGACCTTGTGGGGATGTGGAGGTCGCTTCCGACGTCTGTATCTGACGGTGGTGTGGTTTTGTGCATGTGTGGACTCGCAATGTCATGGACGCCACGCGAGCGAACACTCATTACTCATTGTCAGTCAATGTGCATGGTATATAGTACAACCAACTAGAGCAGTCTACGCATCGAAAACACTCATCCGTCACAGGCGCACCTTGGCCTGGGTAGGCCCGATCTGAGGTACCTGAGCGTGTTCAGCGCTGCGCTTTCTCCGCTGCTGACCGTCCCCTGACCGAATGTGTACTAGGACTGATATATGATAGCTCATGTACTCAAAGGCTATCATGCAGCGTTTATTGCGGCGCAGCAACATCACTGCAAATCCGCTCCGGTCGATCACAGGTACGGCGCTTGACTGACACGTACGTATGTGCGTATGCTATAAAGCTTGGACAAGGTTATGTAGGACGTAGCGAAGATCACTGCATACCTTTGTGCACGTAGGCGAATCCAATGTCCGAGTCGCTGCTTCCAAGTTATGGATGTTCATACTCGAAAGAGAAGCTCAGGCCAGAGCCGCTCACATTTGGTGCGTCCATTGGCATAGGTCATGTTTGGGGAACGTCGTTCTAATCACCATGCACAGGGGATCTTCCGTACACGGTTGATGCAGCTGTGAGGGCAAATTGGGATGATCCTTTGGGAAATTATGCGGACTATACGCCTGTGAGTTGATAGGCATCGCACACCGCGGCTCATCGATGAGTTGTATTGAACTCGACTTCAGGATTCGCGCGAAACTCCAGCGCAGAGAGCTTCCCGGCTCAGAATCAGCATGTACACCATGTTCATCGATGACATCCGTAGGCATGAAATTTGGACCATCAACCACGGCGATTCAATTCTGCGCTTGTAAGTCAAGGCCTGGAGACTATTTCTACGGCCTCATTCGCGATGGAGCTGACGGCGTGTCAATATTGTAGCAGTCCAGCCCCTGTAACCGTACCCCGGGGGCGCAAGGCCCTGAACGGACTCATTAACAGTATTGTCCGAAGGTTCCTGAAACTTTTCACCCTGTATCAGTCAAAGGAGCAGAAGAAGGTGCGTCGTAACGCGTCGATATCGATACCGAAGATCTGACGACGAACGCGATGCTGTAGCGTCGGACGGAAGTTCACGAGAAACTGACAGCTGCTATAGCAAGTGCACTAGGCGACAGAGCCGCCGAGTTAATCTCTCTCGATGGACTGTGTACTGCGCCTGAAAAGCAAGGACTCGGATATGCGTCCGTGCTCCTCGATGAACTATTCACGATGGTGCGAGGCCCTGACCTTAGCATCTCATGTCCACCGCTGACCTCCCCTTCGCCCCACACAGGCCGATGCACAGTCGCGTGGTACTTGGTTGATCACGACACATCGGACTCAGACATTCTACGAGCGATTCGGCTTCAAGACCATCGCGTCGTTCTCAGTGGGCGAAACCAACCCGACTTGGAAAGGGGACCCTGTGATAGTATGCTTAGTGAGTGGATCGCGCTTATCAACAAAATGAGCGGTCCAACACCTGGCTACTGCCGTCCTTTTACAGATGCTGAGGGAGCCTGAAACAATGACACTGTTTCATGGCGAGAAGGCCGTTGCTTAAGCTGGTTCGTACAGGCCCAACACTCTGGCTTGTGGCAACGACGTTACACTGGCGACTGAGGAAGATTTCGAGTTCATGCTGAAGATGGGCAACAGGGCTCCATATTTGCGAGGGTTAGTTCGAGGGAAGGCAAACAATGGAATTTTGTGTATTAGCCAACAAATGCGAGATGTGGGTCTCATCCACGCTGCAGGTTGATCGGAGCGGACTACAAGACGACGGCAATGTTGTTATGAAGCTGAATAGCTCATGCGGAATTCGTTGCGTCATCACAGACATCGAGACCACAGATGTACTGGTTGCCACGTTCGTGGCCTGGGCGACCTCGCATTGAGGTCGCCATGCGTGAATTATTACGCGCAACGAGCAGTGTACAGAAAAGCGGACAACAAAACATTATTGAATTCCTGAAATCTGTCAGGTCAAAGCATCCCGAATCCGTCTTCGGCGTCGTCGCCGCCCCAACCAGCTGCACCCATCTCTTCGTGCATATGCGAATCATCTGGAGAACTTGGTGAGGCTGGGCGGTCTTCAATCGGGTTCTTATCCTCAACGCCAGAGGGCGTCTCAGGAAGAGCTGGCACTGGTTTCGCCAATCCAGCGCTGGGTTGCTGAGTTTGGTACCAGGAAATTTGAACCTGACCGATAGTCGAAATGCTTGTGCCCTTCGATAATGCCTGCGCCGACAGGCGTTGAATACGAAATCATGACGTACGTCGTTGCACTCACCTGCTCTGCGGCCATCCTCGATTTGAAGCCGACTATTGTATCACCGTCGTCTGTGGTGTCTACAGACTCAACTTGACCACCCGGCTGGCATACGATGTTAAGACCAGTCCTGTTGATCGTGAAAGGGCTACCTACCTCGTACCAGTCACGAACTGCCTGCACGTTGTCGCCACTGATGCCTTTGAGCAGAAGTTTTTTCGGACGAAGATCGAGCTTCATGCTGCCCCTTGGGGGGCCACCACGCATGGCACCGCGATAGCCTCCGCGAAGCACCCGGCCCCTCGCACGACCTCTGTACGGTCGGTGGGTACTGCTGGGATAGGTACCCTCGGCGGCATCTGATAAGCCGAGACTCGCAGCCTGTGGTTCATCGAGTCAAAATCATGGCCTGGACACGCCCCGATGGACTGCTTACCTCCGCTTTCAGCTTGGCCAGCATTGCCTTCAGCTCCTCCGTGTTCTCCTCGCCCTCGCCGTCCGTAGCCGCGACGGCATGCAATTCTAGCTCCTTATCCAGGCGTTCACGCTCTAATCGCAGCTTATCCTCCACGCTCGGAGTAGCACTCCTTGCTTTCTTGATAGCGGGCGCAGGCGGTGTACTGCTAGTGGGTGGCGGTGTTTGAGGGGTCGACGAGGATGGCTTCATCTCCTCGCCCAGCTTCCGCAAGCGGGTCATTATGGTTTTCTTCTCCTCACCGGAGGTCGTGGAGAGCTGCGCCATGAGAGATTTCTGCTCGGCGATCTGCTGCTCCAGCAGTTTTTGCTTCGCGGCTAACGCTGCAGCTGCTGAAGGAGCCGTCGAAGGCTTTCGTGCTCGCGTCGAGGTGGAGGGTACGGGTTGAGAAGTGGAAGCTTCTGTGGAAGCAGAAGCAGAAGCAGCTGGTGAGGCGTCCTTCACAGCTAGATTTGCTACGAGAGGTGCAGACGCAGCAAGAGCGCGCTGACCAGCCTGGCCATGGGCGCCCATGGGTCGATGCCAGAATACCTTGACGAACCTATTCCCGAAGACGGCGTCCTCCGATTTCCATGCGGCCAACGCCTGATCGTGATTGGAGAATGTGACGAGCGCCTTCGCGCTGACCGCGTCAACGGCGACGTTGGTGACCGTACCGAAACGCTTAAACCACTCGTTGACGGAGCCAAGGCTGAGTTTGTCTTCTGGAATCTTCTCCACGACGAGCGTCTTGTCATTACGCCTCTCAGGACGGAAACTCTGTGCGTCTCCTCCAAAGATGCCGTGCCCTCCGCGACCACCGCCTCCTCGTCCACCTCGAGAACCCCGCATTCCTGTAGGTTGGTACGGTATTGACGGGCCTGCCATATCGACGTCCTGAGGGCCTGCCATCATCCCATTCACACCATTCGGCGCGCTGGGTCCGTTCATCGGATTTACGCTCGGAGTGTTCGAATCCTGCATGATTGGCTCTGCCCGAGGGACCTGATCTCTGGGTAATTGCGGACGGTCGTCTTGTGGTCTATGTGGGGTAAGATCTTGGATGACAGGAAGCTCTCCAGGTTTCCTCGCTATATGGTTACTTCCGTCGCCTTCTCTGGGTATCATGGGCGCGCGAGGGTACATAGGTCGATTGCCCGTGGACGGACCTGCCCCCTGCATTGGCCTCATATCCATGCGCTCGTGAGGGTCGTAAGCAGCGTTTGGCGCGCCAGCAACGTTGCCCATCCCATTGGCCATCATGGGCATGAAGGGCACCCCGCCATTCATCGGGAACAATTGCGAAGGGATGACGGCGTCCTCGCCATGGCTATACTTGCAGAAGGCACCGCGAGCGCAATACCCATTGTCTGCGCAAGTACGTTAGGCAAGAAGGCATGATAAGGGACCTATGACTCACTGTAGTAGTCGCGGCAGACTCCTTTCATTGCCCCTGGTGGTTGGTACCGACCATGACCATTCTGCATACCCATGGGCCCGTTGCCCATGCCCATCCCGCCATCCATGAAGTCCCCTCTCCCGGTCAGACCCATTCTCGCCGATTGACCACCCCATGATGACCGGTGAGCATCGTTGCGTCCATGTCGCGAGAACTGACCATCGCGGTCTAAGCGCGGACCTTTAGCTGGCGGTCGGGGGTCGCGGTCGTCGCCCTCGAAACTTCGCTTTCGTCCTCGTTCCGGAGGTATTGGTCCTGCGGAAGCCATGACGGCATCTAATGGAATGGGTATGCCGGCGTCGCCGTTGATGGAGGAAACCCTGAAGAGGGAGATGTGGCAGAGTATGGGAGGTAGGATTTTGTCCGTAGTGCGGTGAAGAGGGTGTCGACGAAAGTACCAGTCTCTGATTGACCAAAAGCAGTTGGTGAATGAGCAAACTTAAGGCAGCTTGCGGCGCACCCTTTTCTAGGAACTCCTCCAATTGTCCTGCCAGCTCCTTCCGCATCTCGTTCTCAGGCGCATTGTGCTTCAAAAGGGCAAGGATGTAGTCTCCGAGGGCCCCGGGCTCTGCATCACATCTACACAACAATCAGAACACGTACATCACTGGCGTGGGGTTAGTCTTACATTGGTTCAAGAGACCTGACTAGCCATGGCTTGAGGATGTTTGCAGTCTCCGGGTCAAAGAGCATACTCTGCGCGGACAGGGACGCAGATGCGAATGAAGGATAGGGTGGTGAGTATATGCGAACTGCAAGCGAGTGGTGGTCCGAACAGTAGCCTGAAGTCGTAGTTTCATAGAGGCGTCAAACTTCCGGTGGTTCCCCATCACGTGCGCCCTTCCTCTCCGAGTCGGGTGTACTCTGGTGTACTTCGACTTGACTTCGACTCTGAAGTGCTCACTCAGGCTGGCTGTGCTGCTGAGCCCTACTGCGACGCAACTTACTGAACTGTGCTACAATGCTTCACGCCCATCAAATGCAAGTCCCGGACCATTATCTCGTCTGTGAGCAGTGATTCTGCGTCAGAGCGTCTCGTGGGCATGGAATGTGTGCCAGCGCAGCCGGTTCAGCCTCGCCGTTCGCATTATGTGATGCCGCTATCTCTCGAATTGTATGTGTGCTGGCATCTTCAGTAATGACGAGGGACTCTTGTTTTAGATCGTCCGACATGAACAGCGAACAACCGGACTAAATACTAGTATGCTCGAGGTGGTCCCTGTCCACCGGCTGACCTTATGTGAGTCGCGGCGGCAAGTCGCAACGAATACGTTGCGCATGCTCACGATGGCCAGCTATGTAGTGTTCCCAAGGCAACCATGACCTGTGTAAAGGCCTTCCATGATGACCCGTAACGTTGATATTTGGAAGATACGCCGGTGCGACTTCCAGTCATAGCCTGATACATCCAGATACAGGATAGACATTGCATCGGCTGGTGTCAAATGTATGCGCGGCTATGTGCCGTTGTTGGAGATCATTTGGACCGGCTTTGCCCAAGCGTTGCCTGCGACCACGTTTCACTGAAGTTGCGCCGCCATGTGATAGCTTCCGAGTCAAAGACAGATCCTGCTACATGGGGACACGTACGACATCGCCGCGGCCCATCATGACACGTCCGCGGATACATAAGGTATCGCAAGTGCGTATCGATGTCGCAAGGTCTTTCCGCACAAGCATCTTGTCTCTGACCTTGCTTCAGTCTGGTTCACTTAGATAGACACCCAGTGCGCTGTACAAATCATGATGGTACCAGAGAAGAGACAACTGAGCGGTCGACTCTTCTCAACTGCCGCGAAGTCTCAGTTAAAGCCAAAGGTCGAATTGCTTCGTTATGGTGCGTGCTACCCATTTCTAGGGGTTGGCTCTATGTGTTGACCACTATGCATTTGTTGATAGCGGATGTGCCTCGCACGGTCGAGCGAATGATGTACGCTCGTAACGAGAGTGTCTTACATCATTACGTCTTTGACACGCCGGTAAACAAAGTAACTCTCGTGCACTATGGGCCAGCGTGATTGAACTCTATTCGATCCAGGACGCAGATAAAAATCCTACTTTACCATACCGCGACCGGATACAGATATTTCTGAGCTGGACGGACGGCGTACGCAGGCATGAACTCCTGACAGTCAACCGCGGTGATTCCGTGTTACTTTAGTAGGTCGCCCTACGCTGTGGAAATAGCTGGTTGAATAGCTCACGTCCTGATTTTAGTTCGCCTGCTCCTGAATCCGTCTGTAAGCGGCGAAAGGCCGGTAACAAGGTCATTCGCAGCTTGATTCAACGCATGTTGAGTGTGTTCTATCTATTCTACACGAAAGAACAGCGCAAAGTATGTCATATGTCCTGGAAATACGCACTATCAACTGAGTGACTTCGTCAGCGTACGGCAGAGTTAGACGAGGTCTCCAGCGCCGCGATCACGATTGCACTGGGCGATAGGCTGCCAGAACTCATCTCTCTCGTTAACCTTGTCACTGCCGCCGAAAAGCAGGGCCTAGGATATGCCTCCTCGCTCGTCAACTTTCTCTTGGACCTCGTGCGCTCTGTCCAAATTCATGATCCTCCGCTTGACTGAGTCTCTTTCGCCATGATACAGGCCGCTGCGCAGGGTCGAGGCGTGTGGTTATTGACACATGATCAGACTGTCGGCTTCTACGAACGCTTTGGCTTCAAGAAGGTCGGGCAATTCAGCGTTGGGGAACACAATCCGACCTGGACCGAAGACCCTATCACAAATTGCATCGTAAGTCCTCGTCGTATGGTATTATAGCCGCAGCGCACTAAGTCGATCTTCGCTTCACAGCTTCTCTGGGAGCCAGATACCGATCTGTCGAAGGCCCGCCAGCAACAGTAACAACTTTCCTCAGTCGGCATTGTGATTGTCGGACCATACCATCAGCCGTCGTTACGGCCACGCGCGCCCACTGGCCTTAGACTACTGTGGATTGTGTTTGAATGAAGATCATACTGTGGTAGCATGTGGGGTATATACTTAGTGCGTGCCTCTATGTTTTGCCCCGGTATGCCGCCAAGCTGGGGACTGTTTAGCGCCTGCTGGTACCTGGCTGCCCATTGATGCGGCATTGATATCAGCGCCCTGAGGTCTGAGCAGCGTGGACTTGTAACCAACATGCAACTTAGGGGCTGCCAGCAGGCGCCCCCGGGATACCTCAAAATGAAGACATCAGTCCCGTCACTTGTGTTTACGACGCCGAAGTCAAAGTACTGAGGCAGCATCATTTTGTCAGCCCGAGGAAGGCTACTGTTAGCCATGGTTTCAAAGGAGTATCAACAGCAATCCACGCAGCTGTTCAGGGGGAATGGGCCGAAGATAGAGCCAATGAGAGTCGGTAAGTGGCAGCATGGTTTTCGCGTCACTCAAGTTGACACGATCGCTTCTCGCTGTCAGTTGACGTCCCGAAAGCAGTGGAGGACGCGATCGTAGCAAACGAAGATGACCCATGGCACAGGTATAAATGCGGTTATCCTGTGGTAAGCGTACAGATCCGCTCACTCCGTTGACAGACCGGCTGATGCACAGTGTACACCATAGGACGCAGGAAAACGGACCGTCTTTCCACTGCAAATGAGGTCGGCGATCTACCTCGGGTGGCTCGACGCCATCCGCAGACGCGAGCACTGGACGATCAACAGGGGCGAGTCTATACTGGTGTAGTAAGGCCACATTCTCGCCAGCAGTGGCAAGGAAAGGCTCACCACGGGATCGTCCTCACAGCAGCGCCGCGGAGAATTCACTTTCCCCGTGGCAGCGAGCAATCAACAACGTCGCGGGGGCCATTACCAAGCGCCTTCTCGCAGTGTTCACGTACTTCAAGACTAAGGAGCAGCAGAAGGTGCGGTGGAGACAGGATCATCCGTCCGGCAAAGCTGACCAAGGCTTACGTGGTCGCAGAGGGACAAGGAAGCGCATGAAAAGGAGCAAGCCGTTGTTGCGAAACACCTAGGTGACCGAGTCGCAAACTTGATAAGCTTGGACAACCTCGCGACGGCGGTGAAAGCACAGCGGAAAGGATACGCGTCTGCGCTCGTGAGACACCTGACGGACCTGGTGCGTCCCCCTTTACAGTCTGGTTTACGGCACGAGTCAACTGGGCGAGATGTCTAGGCCGACAAACAGGGCCGCGGTGTATGGCTGTTCACGCACGAAAGCACTGTGGGCTTTTACGCTCGGCTCGGGTTCGAGAGGGTCAGCCACTTTGTCGTGGGGGACAACAACCCGACATGGACTGAGAAGCCTGTGGTTATGTGCATGGTTAGTAGAACACTATTCGTGCAGAACGTGCTCAAGCTGAAAGCCTCTTCACAGATGCTGAGAGAGCCAAAGACAGACTCACCACTTCTTGAGGGAGACCTCAAGGCAGAATTGTCATGAATGGCCGTACTTGGGAAGCTTGTTTTATGGGGTTGTCTAGTCCCTCGTTTACACGTCACTTCATGCAGCGACTACTGATACATTCACCTTATATCTGCCTCGTAAATCATAGCGTGGAGACTCGTTACTTTCCAACCTCGCCTCCTCAAAGTTCGGCCAAGTCCCGCCTACTCGCGCTACCCGCCGGCACCGCCTTCCACACTTTGACCTGGTGTGTACCGATCTGGACGTCCGGTATGGATCCCGTGTACATGCCGACGCTTGCGCCCCACGCGTTCGCCTCGTCCTTCTGCCAGAGGTCGTAGATTTCGTACGTCCCCGCCTGGTAGCTCGGGCCCTGGTCGATGAACACGTCTGTGAAGTTCACGCTTGCGGTCTGCGCGTCGGGTGAGGTGTTCAGGAGCGCGATGACGAAAGTGCTGTTCGACCATCGCGATTCAGCTTACTCGTTTGGACATGAAGGACGAAGATGAGTATGGGACGGGACGGACTCACTTGTTGACGAGACGCCGGCCAGAGCGAGAGGGTGCCGCCCGACGAGATGGGCGTGTTCCACATGCGTTCGACGGTGAGCTATTCGCGTCTTGGTTGACTGCGATGATCGCGTTGTTTGTGACGATGGAGAGCGTCTCGTTCGTCATGTTCGTCACGTCGTTACCCAAGATGAGCGGGCTTTCAGCAGTGCCCACATCGAGAAGTGTGTCACTGCGTCGATGAGCTTGTTCCGTGACGGTAGATGTGAAGGAGAATCGCACGCACCGTATTCATCGTAGGTCATCCCGCCGTTGCCTATTCGAGCATGTCCAGGTCGTTCCAGTGATTCTGGCCGCCTTCTGACTGACCGGGCGGCAAAGTCGATAATGCGTGTCATCGCACAATCTAACGGCACCGGTAAATACCGTGACCTGAGGATGAAACAAGACACAGAGTAAAGACTCACGGAATCCGGCGAGCTTGCAGTCGATCATAGACGTGCACGGACATCGCTCATCGAAGCGGTCATAGTTCTGCCGCATGCGTATCAGCACCCAACGTGGTTGCCGCAGCTAAAGGAAAGCAAGCAATTGTTCACATCGTATATATCGCCAGAGATACGCCAACTATTCGCGATTGTCTGCGTGACAGCGCACAAATCAGCTACTCCGACTACTCGTCAAAGGTGCACTGGCAAGAAACGCACAAGTGCAAAGTTCCAAGGCCCGTCCTCTCCCCAATTGCACATGGAGTACAATATCGGGCGCCCAGTAGCGTTCAAGGCGTTCGACATGTTCGCGTAGCGATCATAAGAGAGCTTCGGGGTCCCTGCTTGTCCCTCGTTGTAGCAATTGTCGTATTCTGGAATATGTCAGTCCTGAAGCCAAAGCCAGAACGACCGGAGCTTACTGAGGTAATCCACACCCCACTCAGCGTACGTCTGCGCGTCGATGGTCTCATAGCCTAGCGAGCCGAATTTGCCTCCACATGTATACCTAGGCATACGATCCACAATCAACTTCTCTAGACATGAAGAAGAGCTATAAGCATAATCACGCACATGCCCGCACTACTGTAAATGCCGAACTGACGACGAGATATCAAAACGGGCACAGTGGGTACCCCTTTCCAACTAATGGACACACCTTCAACCGAGGCCATGGATCTGGTCGGCAAGAGAGGCTACGCCGTTGGGGAATTTGTGGAATCTGCGACAGGTGCGCCAGTGGTTTGATTTCGCGCTGGAGCTTGCCAACCTGGTGCACACGGCATCCATGAAGCGACAACTCAGTAGTCCACAACCACTCACAATCATCCATCAAGATGTCTGCCGAAATGTCAACTACTGCTTCCAGATACAGAGCTAATCCGCTCACATTCGTAGCCATAGTTCGGCAGGCCATACGAGATGAAAGACTGGGCAGCGCTGAGGATGGTGTCCTCAGAGATGTCGCAACCAAAGTGGTTCCAGGTGTTCCAGCCCATCTGAGGGGTGAGCGCGAGACCATTGTTGTGGGCGAGTGCACCAGAGAGCTGGAGCACGAGGACTAGCAGGAGGCTAGAGATCGCCATGGCTGCTCGTTACTTTTCGCGGGCGATGGTAAGGCCATTATAAGCAATAAGGAGCGCTTCGAATTGGCATATTCCGGGGTGGGCATGGGTATGAAAAGCAATGCCGTGCGGCGGATGTTTCGAGGAGGAATGCTTGCGAGACAGGGAGGTTCACACCGCAGGCGGTCAGCTGACGACGGAAGGACACAGCTGACGGCACGGAGGTGGATGGGACATGGCTGCTGGATGGACGAGGCGGACCGCTGACCGTGTGATGACCGCCGCGAGCTCGAGGGTCGCCGGCCGCCGCCTCACGCGCATGTCCCGACGCAGGTCACGGGCGCGACGCGTCCCGTCGCGTGACGTCACTCCCCGCCCAGCGCTGCTGGCAGTGACCGCGACGTTGAGTACGTACTCACTGTCATGCGCCCGCTTCTGACACGTAATGGGCCGTCCGCGACAATAGACCTCCCCTCCCCTTTTACTCCTTAACTCCAGCAGCGATGTCCTCACTCGATTTTCCCGCAGACTTTGTGCTCGATCTGCACGACCTAGCGGCCATCATACTCGACTGCCACGCTCGCATCGAGGAAAGATTTGCCGACGCTCAGCTGGTCGAAACACTCGCCGATTCTAACAATCTGCAAACGTTCGATCCGCGCACCCTTCCGCCCGAATGGAGCGCGGCGACCGAGCAGTCGCAGAAGAGGCTTGCCTACATTCTCCGACGAGAGGACTCAAAGTCCGGGCGCGTCACCCTCGATAACCTCGCTCATCCCGACGGTGTAAAACTCCAACCAGGAGTTGAGCTCACCCGACGCGCGTTGGAGAACGCGTTCTGGCGTTGCAAGACATTCGACAGCGGGTACGTTCTCGCGTACGCCGCGCAATCCGTCTTCGAGAGCCTCCCGCCCACCGCGCGACTCCGTGCACGCACATCGTCCGGGTACGAGCTAATGTGCTCACCAACCGATTTTTCCGTCATGGAGGCGCAAGTCCTCCCGCACCAAGCATGCTACATGGTCGTCTACAAGCAGCTTCCCAGCCGCGGTGCTTCCCTCGTCGAATGGGGGCGACACCTGTCGGGCTTCCTGAAGCCGATGCCCTGGATCTACCTTTTCGTAGGCGAACCCGTCTCCACAGATCCAGAGCACGACACCCGCGTCGCCCTCGATCTCGCACTCATGCAGCTAGGCGGACGCGGCGGCGCGAACGAGCATTTCGCGCTCGAGCGAGGCATCGACTATCATGAAAAAGTCCTGCCGCGCTTCGCGCAGGAGGCAGGAGACTGGGTTGCGTCGGGCAACATAGCCTTGTCACAGTCGAACATCCGAAAGCAGGGTGATGACCTCGCACAGATGGTCATTGCCGTCTGAAGAACATCGCGGGCGGCGACGATCACTTTTGTAGGTGTTGCGGTAAGAGCGGGGTTGATACGCGCTGCTCGAAGTGCAAGCAAGAGAGGTTTTGCAAGGAGTGTCATGTATCGGGCTGGAAGTACCACAAAGTTTGGTGCAAGCCAACAGGAGCTTAGGATGTGCATGTCCTTGATATGTCCACATGAATGTCGCAACAAATCTGTCCGGTATTGCTGATCTTCGTTTTCTTAGACTTTAGATACTTCGGCGAGTACTCAGTAGTATTGCCTTGTGTTGTACGCTTATAAGATCTTTAAGAATTTCTCCGAGGCTCTCACGGCGCGCAAGCCTCTGAAAGCCTCGAGTAGCCTGAGCACGAGAACTTCACATTGTCCGATGGGCGCGAGTAGTAATATATGTATAGCACAGCACACAAGAGCGAGGAGCCACTTCTAAAGGGGTATAATGACTATAGACTTGCTGTCCAGAGCAGACCCTTACGTGCGGTTCTTGAGCTTCAGGCCCGGCAGGCTGAACATCTATATCGGTTGGATGTCAAGACCAATATCAGACAGACGTACGGCGGTACATACCTCGAAGATGAGTTCGGACGGTGCTCCCCAGCCTGACACACCCTCTATCCTGTTCCGCATCTGTGTCCCCAACATTGTCCCGATACAGCGCCGCTCTCCTCGTCCACAATCGGCCACCGCTGGACCCCGGTGTGGGTGGCGGGTCAAAGAGCATGTGTGACAAGCATCATACGTGCCAGGCTACAACCTCACATGAGAAAGGTCTGATATCGATACTGCCGTGGTACACACCTTGGCCTCTCTGCCTGCCAAGTCCCGATAGCCTACAATCGTCCCTCTTACCCACTTGCTCCACGTCCCTCCAACCCATGGTCGCCAGCCATCCGCATCGGGCCCCGACGTTGGCGGCTTGTTCGTCACAAAATGCGCACGTATCCGCGTGCCAGGTTGGGCAGGATATGGCGAAACAGGAGGGTGCGCACGGGTGGGCGGGCAGACGATGCAGCGGAGAGTAGGAGCAGGTCTGAGCGGTGCAAAGAGGAGAGAATAGAAGAGACGGGGCTGAACGTCGGGTGAGACGTCGTCCCTGTAATCACGAACGAGCCTGAGGGACCTGGAAGGGATGCACCCCGCTGTGCTGACAGCAGTGGACGCACAACGGGGTTAAACCGGATCTACAAGCAGTGTTAGACCACCAGTCAAAGCCGACCAACAACGCACTCACCTCCTCCAGCGTATGCGCACACGTAACATATAGGGCCTGGCCCTCCGCGAGCTTGGGCGCGCTGAGCGCAAATCCCGAGCAATACGTGATCTTGTGCTCCGCGCCGTTCTCCGCGACGTGCACGATCATCGCCACTGACGCCTCCGCATCCTCCTCCGCGTCGAACACGATGCGCCGCGCCTGTGTGGGCCGGGACTCGTATGGCAGCGATGCGTCGAGCACGAGCCCGCCGCGGTCGACGTACTGCTCGATCAGCTCTGGGAGCTGTGCCTGCCGCGCGGTGGGCCCGGGATTGCTACCAGTCGTGCTGGCTGGCCCGAAGGCGTGCCGGTCGTGGTCTTGGGCATTGCGCCGTAGCTCGGCGAGGATGTGTGCGTCGAAGCTGGAGGGGAGGGAGGGCGAGGCCTTCGAGCTCGGCCCTGGGCCTGGCAAGGTGGGAGGGTCCGGAGGCGCGGGCGGCTTCCCCACGAAAGTCGTGGGGCCAACTTGTGCGTAGTGCCTGGTTCGAACGGTGCACGATTGGAGAATGGGGCGGGTGGTGAGTAGAGGGCGAGGGCAGCGAACAGTCTGCTGCAGTGCCATGGAGGAGCCGTGCTGTAGCGAGACTTGCATGTGGAAAATCGAGTACTGGCAGTCGGTTCTCGGGTTGGCGGCTTGGGGCCGTGCCGTGTGATGTCATGCCAGCCTGTGTCTCACTCCAATGGTCCGACACGCAATCCTCAGCACTTCCTGTCAATGTCCTCGAGCGGACCAGACGACTCATTCGATCCCGGGATATATCAGCAGTACTAAATAGTATGTGGCTAGACAATCTGTATGATACTTTCGCATTACGTTTGAGCCTCTGGCACTGTGTGCGGTCGTCTATTCCATGACCACAACACTCCAAGGGTGCTGGATGGTGCCCGTCTGGATGCCGACCAGCTGCTGCCAAATGGGACGAGAGATAGGCCCCATGCCGTCAGGCCCAGTTGGGATGTGGATGTCCTCGCCGAGGTAGCCTATCCTATCTACGGGGCTAATGACAGCCGCAGTGCCTATGGGAGCGTGAGTTTCAGTCGTGTTGCTAGAAACGCAGAAGGCTTCAAAGTGGTACTGACCTGTTCCAAAGAACTCGACCAGGTTGCCGGCTTGAGCAGCCTCCTTGACCTCGCGCATCGTCATCTGGCGTTCCGAGACGGCAAGCTTGTCGGGGAGGTCTGCGATCTTGTATTTCCCAGCTATGTGGTCCCGCGCTATGTTAAGCACAGAGTCGCGGGTCACGCCGGGCAGGATCATTCCATCCAACGGAGGCGTGGCAATTTCGATCGCTACGAACGCGTTCAGGTGAGAATGAGAACACCAATCCGCAGGATGACACTTACTGCCATCGGGACGCTTGAACACTGCGAAGGCATTCATGGTACCGACCTCAGTAACCTGGTGCTCGGGGCCGTACAGCCACAGGTTCTGGACGTAGCCCTTCTTGGCAGCCTCTTTCTGGGCCACCAACCCGGGAGCATAGTTTGCACCAAGCTTGTAAGCACCGACACCTGCGACATGTGAGCACATACTATCGTGGTAATTCAGCATGTCTTACCCCCTGGTGCAGCCCGGCTATACTCGGTGGTTCCGTACAGAGCTACCGGTTGAAGCCTTCGGGGTAGTACGGCCCGACAGGGCTGCAGATTACGAACAGAAGTGCTTCACTCGGCGGAGAGATACCAATGGCGGGCTGGCACCCAACTGATAATACTTGTGAGAATCTGGTTGTGTAAACCTGGATCAAAGGATACACACTCATAGTGGGTCGAATGTACAGGCTGTACCCCGGAACATTTGGTATCCAGTCCTTGTCTAACCGAATAAGCTGCTTCAGGAGTTCGGTCACTTCGTCTCCGTTGAAGGCCTGCCGGTAACATAAGCGTGAGCCAATGCTCCCCAGGGTGTCGACAGCAAGCAGAGAGCACGACTCACCGGTAATGCAATGCGTTGAGCACTTATGTTCATCCGCTTCATGTTCATGTCAGGTCGGAAGAGTGTAACCTTTCCTGTCTCATCCCGGTAGGCCTTAAGACCCTCGAAGAGACACTGAGCATAGTGAAACACGCCAACACTAGGGTCGAGCGTAAACGGACGATCTGTATATGAACAGATTAAAAGGGGGCGTGATACGACCGACTTAACATAGCAGTACTTACACGGATGAATCTGCGGAGCACCCCAGCCTGACGAGGCCTTCCATGGAATTGTCAACATGTGATCCGTCTGTTTTAAGATGGTCAAGGACATGTATCAGTGCTTCTTTTCGGCTGATATATGTGAACCAGGATTCCTCACGAAGACCTTCCCAAACGATAGGGTTGCCGGATCCGGCCGTGGTTTACGATTTTGGGTCACCTCCACCTGTACTCGTGAGGCCTGTTGAAGCGGTGACAGAGAAGTCAATGAGCATGAGCAGCAATGTCGAGAATAGAACCCACCTGGATGTCCGCTTGCGTAGAACCAAACCGTACATGGTGTGTTGTGTAGCGCGAGCTGCCGAACACGGGAGACGATGTAGAGGACTTGCAGACCCGTAAAGCACTTCCGTTGGGAAGCGAAGGTAACCTTGTTCGGATCATCGTTAAAACTTGGGACGCGCAGAGGCTAGTGGACCGCTATGTACCCAGCAGTACGAGTCTTCGAGTCACTGCAGAGTCAGATGTCCGGCTGATCAGTGTGGCTGGTTGCAGAATCCGAATGGAAATTGAAGTAACTCGAGTCCGTATTGGGTAATGACCGACGTATCGCCGAAACTCGCTGTCCTCTCGCCTGCAGCGACGATATATGAACGGCCACAGCTCAGATAGTGCAGATCGTGTTCCAGACAGTGTCCGGGTGGCTCATCGGAGATGGATTTGGCAAATTACAGTAAGGACACAAGACGACGTCTCAGGAAGCTTGAAGAGGTGGTGTCACGTGCTCGTCGGCGCGTCGGGTCACGGGCGTCACGAATGTCACGGACGCGCCAGTGATCGGAACGCGACGGGGATTGGTCCGGTGCGAAGAGAAAGCACGAGGCCCTGTATCGCGCAGGTCCGCAGGAGTCAGTCACACAGCGCGCTCTGTCAGTCTCCGTAAGAGTCCGTACAGGTCCGAACGCGTGTGAGGCGACAAGACGGACTGCGGGGTGGTGAGTTTTGCCGTCTGCAGCCCTCGTTATGGGAGATCGTCCCACGATGGCCCGTCGGACCGGCGTGACAAAGACGTCAGGCTCTATATCTCATCGACATCGCCCCAACCATCCTCCATCTTCGCTCCCTACCACAACCATCTCCTCCAGACTTTCCTCAATTCTGTCCGCAATGTCTGCGCCTGTGTACGTGAAGGGTCTACAGCAGCACGTCCATGCGCTCTACTAACAGTTTGGCACAGCGGTGACATCGGCCTCATTGGCTTGGCCGTCATGGTACGCGTCCCAAATCGCCCGGTCACCCTGTATTTGCCTAACGACGACCCATCCTAGGGTCAAAACTTGATCCTTAACATGAACGACAAGGGCTTCACGGTCGTTGCCTACAACCGGACGACCAGCAAAGTCGACAGCTTCCTTGCGAACGAGGCCAAGGGTGGGTAATGCTCTCCGAATAAGCGTCATGCAGTCTGACCAATGAGGCGCTCGGCGATTAGGCACGAAAGTCCAGGGCGCGCACTCGATTCAAGAGCTCTGCGCTAAGCTGAAGACCCCCCGCAAGATCGTCCTCCTCGTGAAGGCTGGTCCGGCTGTCGATTCATTCATCGACCAGCTGATTCCTTACCTCGAAGCGGGTGATATCATCATTGACGGTGGTAACTCTCATTACCCTGATTCCATCCGCCGCACGGCGGAGCTCGAGTCGAAGGGCTTCTTGTTCGTCGGCTCGGGTGTCTCGGGTGGTGAGGAGGGTGCCCGCTATGGTCCCTCGCTCATGCCTGGTGGCTCGCCCGCTGCATGGCCGCATATCAAGCCCATCTTCCAGGCTGCCGCTGCTCAGGTCGAGGGCGAGCCGTGCTGCGACTGGGTCGGTGAGACCGGCGCAGGTCACTACGTGAAGATGGTCCACAACGGTGAGACTGCTTCTCACGGTGATATATAATACGCTGACATTGGTCAAGGTATCGAGTACGGTGACATGCAGCTTATCGCCGAGGCGTACGACATTCTCAAGCGTGGTCTTGGTCTCCCTGAGAGTGAGATCGCGGATATCTTCCTCACGTGGAACAAGGGTGTCCTCGACTCCTTCCTCATTGATATCACTGCCAACATCCTCAAGTTCAATGATGACGATGGCCAGCCCATGGTCACCAAGATCCTTGACGCTGCAGGTCAGAAGGGTACCGGAAAGTGGACAGCTATCGCTGCGCTCGATGCCGGCATGCCTGGTAAGTAAGAGTATGTCATATCGAGCGGACGCCTTCCTGATTCCGAGTTCAGTGACGCTCATCGGTGAGGCCGTATTCGCGCGTTGCTTGTCCTCCATCAAGGCAGAGCGTGTCCGCGCAAGCAAGGTCATCAGCGGCCCACAGAAGGAGGAGTTCAAGGGCGACAAGAAGCAGTTCATCGACGACCTTGAGCAGGCCTTGTATGCGTCCAAGATCATCTCGTACGCTCAGGGCTTCATGCTCATGCGCGAGACTGCCAAGGAGGTAGGCTATCACACTCCCTGCGATGAGACTCCCTGACTCATCTGCCCCGAAGCAAAAATGGAACCTCAACTACGCTGGCATTGCGCGCATGTGGCGTGGTGGCTGTATCATCAAGTCCGTCTTCCTTGGTGACATCACGTCTGCATACACGAAGACCTCCGATCTCGAGTCGCTACTCTTCGATGACTTCTTCAACAAGGCCGTCCACAAGGCGCAGCCCGGCTGGCGGCGCATCATCGCTCAGGCCGTCCTCTGGGGTATCCCTACGCCTGCATTCAGCACGGCGTTGGCGTTCTTCGACGGCTACAGGAGCGAGGTCGTCCCTGCGAACATCCTCCAGGCACAGGTATGACTGTCGGCAAGTGAAATATGTCGTACCCATACTCACGAAATCTATACTAGCGTGACTACTTCGGTGCGCACACCTTCCGCGTTGTGCCCGGCAAGGAGAACGCGAAGCTCAAGGCCGGCGAGGACATCCGTAAGTTATCTGTGGACGTGGTGATAACGTACCGATTTGTACTCACACCATCTGTCCAGACATCAACTGGACCGGTCGTGGAGGCAACGTCTCTGCGAGCACGTACAGCGCCTAAGCGTTGTCTGCTTCCTTGTGCACATCCTGAGGGGGCGACGTATAGAAGAAATGATAGCAGTTGTAGACTCATGTGTACTTTTCTCGGGCAGTGGATGCGTGACATGTCCAATCGAGTCGACATCGTGGAAGGAGTACGATACGTGTTGTATCGCTAGAACGCAATAGTAAATGAAGGCATCTCATTCGCATTCGTATGTTCGCATAGCTGTCAGTGTAAGCGTGAACATCGGTGGGCCTGTATGCGCCAGTGTATGCCGTGCGGTTGGATGTTAGGAAGTCTCGATTAGGCAAGCCAGTCTGTAAGGAACGTTCATGTGCGGGATCCTCTTCTCAGCATGTCCTGCTACCGCAGAGGACGGCTCTGTGCATGATCAATCCTTTGATGAGCTGCATGAGCAACTGCGGTTCGCAAATGCTTGTCGCGGTCTGTAGTTGTTTAACATTTGGTAAACTTTTCACAGTACTCATCATGAACTATTTTCTACCTTGTAGGCCCCGATGCACAAGACACGGTAGTAGTCTTGGAGGGTAGCTACCGCCTGTCATTTACAGCCTCCGAGCTTCGTCTGAGAGGCGAGGCATATGTCTCCCAACCTCATAAGGATGACCAAGGGAATTTACTGTGCTGGAATGGCGAGGTGCGTTGTATCTAACCAAGGAAAACTGTTCATTACATCACACACTATGACATAGATCTTCGAAGGGACAGAAGTGTGTGCCTTCTCAAATATCCTTGACGGGATACTGATTATTGCGCAGGTGGCCCCGTTGGAGAATGATGGTGCAAAGCTGTTTTCGCTCTTGCAAAACCTCCGGACCTCAGCAGAAATCCGAGATTGTCTTGGTAATATTGAGGGACCGTAAGTCAATCCTAAGTGTCCGTCGCACTTAACACTCATGTCATCGCCACGTAGTTATGCCTTCGTATATTACGAGGTCAGTTCCATTACTCAAATCGTTCTGTGTCTGTATTGGCAAAGCTAATTCTGTACGGAATAGCGATCCACACAGACATTATACTTTGGGCGAGACCCCCTGGGCAGGCGGTCCCTACTGCTTCATAGACCAACGCGCGCACAACCTTACTTCTTGTTGACTTCGGTATCCGTAGGGGCGCACCCTGGCTATACCTTAGAAGAGTTGTCGACCGAGCATCTATATGCTGTCGATATCGCTGCCTTAGCTCCACTAGAGATGTAAGACATACATCACCAACACACAGCTATCTGCACTCACCGCTGTTGTGCTCAAGGTAGATTCGTCCCTTGAAGAATCTCTGCGTAAAGTACACCGCTATGATGACGACCACACTTCCCACTTTGTAGGTACAGTCGCAGCCTGTGGCATTCTCAGCTTACGTTCATCTAGGCCCGCATAGAGCCGATAAACCGTTTGCTCCCAGACGACCCGCCCAAAGTTCAAGACCTTGACACGATTCCACCTCATCTTACTACTGCTGTCGATGACTTGATTAGCCAATTGGATCACAGCGTCATGCTACGCGTCCGGGACATACCAAGAAGAAGGTGAATGATATTATTCTCTCGACGTGATTATCAGGTGCTCATTAACGCAGCAAACTCAGCTCACAGGCCCGAGTAGCCGTTCTGTTTAGCGGCGGTATCGATTCCACCATGCTAGCATTTCTTGCGAACCGGTGAGTTCTCATCTCTGTGCGGTAGCCTTGACGTGCTTAATGCCGACCTCAGGCATGTTGACCCAGCAGAACCAATCGACCTTTTGAATGTCGCCTTTGAGAATCCGCGTAAGATAACCGTCAAGACAGAGGGAAACATCGGTGGTCTTCCCAAGCGAGAACGAAAACGAAAGATACGCGAAGGACTTGACTATTCAACTATGGAAGTCTCGTATGATGTACCCGATCGCCTGACGGGCCTGCAAGAAGTGGAAGAACTGAGAAGATTGTGTCCCGGTCGTACATGGAACTTTGTATGTGGGATCTAAAAAGACAAGGGAATGGGATCGCTGAGCAGTTATACGCGCAGGTCGAAGTCAACGTACCATTCGAAGTGAGGCGAGCTGTCTAGGCTACGATGAATTCGTCGCTGACCAGGTTTAGGAGTCAAAAGGTGCACGCCCGATTGTGGAAGCAATCATGTTTCCGAGCCGAACAGTCATGGATCTAGTACGCATACCAGTGCATCGTTTCCATTCCAGGCTTGACTATTGTACAGAGCCTCGCTATGGCACTCTACTTTGCTGCGAGGGGCGTCGGCCAAATTCGCTCCGGACCGGATGCCCAGCCAGTGGCACACACCAGCACTGCCCGAGTCTTGTTAAATGGCTTAGGTTCTGATGAACTGATGGGCGGATATGGCCGGTTCCGAACAGCATTCAAGCACGGCGGATGGCAAGCGATTGTCGACGAGGTAGGACCAGACTGATGCAATCAGTGTGCACTAACGTCGCGTTATGTCTAGCTCCAGCTTGAATTGGACCGCATACCAGTTAGAAACTTAGGACGCGACGACCGCGTAATCTCCTCACATGGGAGGGAGACACGACACCCATTCTTGTCGCTATCAGTTGTCTCCTTCCTTGCTCAATTGCCAGTACATCTCAAGGTAGACCCGAGGCTCGAATCAGGCTTCGGAGAGAAGTTGTTGTTGAGGTTGGCTGCGAGGAAGGTGGGCTTAGTGGAAGCTAGTGGCAGAAAAAGCGGGCAATGCAGTTTGGGAGTCATTCTGCGCGGATGGCACCAGGTGAAGGAGACAAGCATGGTGATATATTATACCATGATCATATAAATGCGGAAAGAACGCGATGCTGTACAAAGTGGAAGAACGGGGGGTCTTGAGGTGTGATCCTTGCAAGACAGAGGATGTTCTCAAACGTCACGGCAGGGTAGTATCCCGTAGGCAGACTCTAAACGCGACCTCTTTGAGTGGGGGAGGACGGTTGCATAATCTATGAGAGGACTCGGACGCCTTGGACGTTTGGCGCTGGCTCTGCGTACATTGGCGCCCGGTCACGCAGTGACGCGCTATGTGCCACCGCCGGGACCATACGCGTGCCGCCGTGCGCCTTCGCATTCCAAGTTCCCTCCACCATGTCCGCTGCCAGTCTAGCAAACCGAATCATAGGTAAGTCATACATGTTTTCAGTGTATACTATGTCTACAATCACTGTCGCCGTACAGTGCCGGTGGCTGTCGCCGCGGCCGTTGTGCAGGCCAGCCTTTACGATGTTCCGGAGGCTACCGTGCAGTTATGTTCGATAGGTTCTCTGGAGTCATGGACAAGGTATGTCTACTAAAGCTGGCATGACACCAGGTGCTGACTTCATGTGTGCTCTTGAAAAGGCGAAAACTGAGGGAACTCACTTCCTCGTACCCTGGTTGCAGCGTGCCATCTTGTATGACTGCCGTATAAAGCCCAGAGTGAGCATCACCCGTTGACGCATGTATGGCGGGGTCCATGACCAATCCTTCAGAATATTTCCACCACGACTGGCTCGAAGGATTTGCAAATGGTCTCCATTACCCTCCGAGTGCTCTCGCGCCCGGATGTTGAGCATCTTCCAAAAATCTATCAGAGTCTGGGGCTCGACTACGACGAGCGGGTACTTCCGTCGATTGGTAACGAGGTGCTCAAGAGTATTGTGGCTCAATTCGATGCAGCGGAGCTCATTACCCAACGTGAAGTGGTGAGTGAAAACGGGAGCATTCTCAGGTGTTCTGGTCCTTGACTTACTTTGACGCAAGGTGTCTTCGCGAATTCGGGAGGATCTGCTTCAGCGAGCAGGGGAATTCAACATCAAGCTGGAGGACGTCTCCATCACACATTTGACATTCGGAAAGGTCAGTATGGCGTTTTCGGGGGAGGGACCAAAGCTGACTCTGGTGAAATATCCAGGAATTCACTCAGGTACAGATAACGAGGCAATATGCATGTGGGTAATGCTGATCCAGGCACACTTAGGCTGTCGAAGCGAAGCAAATCGCTCAACAAGGTAAGCTTCTCGTCCATAACGAGAGCATTTAGACTCTGATTGGTTCGGCACATAGACGCTGAACGGGCGAAATTCATTGTTGAAAAGGTAAGGTGCCGGGGGCTATGTCCGAGATATATACACTGATGCTTTGGCTAGGCGGAGCAAGAGCGTCAGGCCGCCGTTATTAGGGCAGAAGGCGAGGCGGAGGCAGCTGCAACGATTTCGCGAGCGCTGACATCTGCGGGGGATGCGTTCGTTACGTTCCGGAAGATCGAGACGAGCAAGGCGATTGTTCAGTCGCTCTCTGGGAACCCGAATGTGACATACATTCCGAGCGGGGGAGGCAATGTTCTGTTGAATGTACCTACGCGCAAGTAGACACCAGAATATACTCGCACTGTGGCGTGCTCGAACCTACGCATTCGGAGGAACCGGAGCCTGAGTGAACAGACGCGGGCCATCTGATAATTTTAGTCGGCCCGGAGATGGCCGAGGAAGGTTTGCGGGCGGGCGCCTGGGAGTTGAGAGCAGAACGGCACATTCTCCTGACTGTCATCTCGTCTCTGTCCGTTTTCTCTTCCTCTCTCCGTTTCTCTCTCTCCTCTCTCTCCTCTCTCATATTTGTCTGCTCTGTCTCATATCGGACTTATACTGCGCTCCGCTTCGCTCTGTTGTCAAATTTCCTGTTGTGAATATCTCTCGATCATCAGACGCAATCGGTCACAAATCCTCCAGTCTCTCAGGCCTTCCGAGTTCACTCTCTGTTCGTCATCATGAATCCCATGAGTCCTATGTCACCCGCTGAGGCACCCGTAAGTCGTCATATGTATTTCCGTCATCGTCGTGTTCTAACAGCTACTGCGTGATTGACCTACCTTCGGACGTGGCGGAATGTTCGGTATGACGCGTTCGGGATGTATAGAGGAGGGCCCACCTCTACGTCGGCAACCTGAGCCCTAGGGTCACGGAGTACATGCTCACGGAGATCTTCGCCGTGGCCGGGCCCGTGCAGCACGTCAAAATCATCCCCGATCGTAACTACCAACACGGAGGTCTCAACTATGGCTTCGTCGAGTACATGGACATGCGTGCCGCCGAGACAGCCTTGCAGACTCTTAATGGCCGCAAAATATTCGACACCGAGATTCGCGTCAACTGGGCTTACCAGGGGCAGCAGAACAAGGAGGATACGTCGGGCCATTTCCATGTCTTTGTCGGCGACCTCAGTCCGGAGGTCAACGACGACGTCCTCGCCAAGGCGTTCAGTGCGTTCGGTACGCTTTCCGACGCTCGTGTCATGTGGGACATGAACTCGGGCAAGTCTCGCGGATATGGCTTCCTCGCGTTCCGCGACAAGACCGACGCCGAGCAGGCGATCGCTACCATGAACGGCGAGTGGTTGGGTTCACGCGCTATTCGTGTGAACTGGGCGAACCAGAAGACCCAGGGGGCCCCTGCTGCCGCCTCGCCCTCGATTGGTCGCATTGGCGGCGGCGGCGGCATGGGCGGCGGTGCACCTGCACCCATCAACTTCCAGGGCGGCCCGCTGTCGTACGAGGGGGTCGTGCAGCAGACGCCACAATACAACACGACCGTCTACGTCGGCAACCTCGTCCCATACTGCACTCAGGCGACCTCATCCCACTCTTCCAATCGATCGGCTACCTGTCGGAAATTCGCATGCAGGCCGACCGTGGTTTGCGTTTGTCAAGCTCGACACGCATGAACATGCCGCCATGGCCATCGTCCAGCTCCAGGGCCAGATGGTGCATGGTCGCCCATCAAGTGCAGCTGGGGCAAGGACCGTGCCGATGGGGGAGCAGCGCTCTCTACGGTTCCATGAGTCCCACGCAGCCCGCTGCTACGCCCTACGGCAACATGGTAATTGCATACTTGAAAATTTCGCCGCATATAGCCACTCATATCTTCTCTACAGCCAATGTACGGCATGCCACAGCCCAACACGTACGGCCAGTACGGTTTCGGTGCGTACGGTGGCTTCCCCAATCAAGCGGGCGCGACGGGCACTCCAGGTGCAGCTGCTTCGAGCATGGGTAGTCCAGTGGCTGGCGCCGCTGCTATGGGTATGGGCACTGGCGCCGCGCCGCAGACCCTCCATCGCTGCTGGGGGTGCTGGGCAGGCGCAGTGGGGCGGTGCCGACCCGAACTCGTACTACTCGAATTACTGGGGTGGTGAGTCTCGGCATGCCTCTCCGTTGTTTCTGTGTTGACGATGTCCTTTCAGGCTATTACGGCCAGCAAGCCCAAGGTGACCCTCAACATCAGGGTGCCTAATCACGACCATCTCCCTTGCCAAGTGTAGCTGTTATTCATGGGTCATGTTTGTCAGTCTGTGCGAGTACGGCCCTGTCTTTACCTTGTCCGCCCACCATGCACGATTAGCTCATTAGCATTGTCTCTCAAAATCGTCTCTTTTCATTCATTCACGGTTATATTCGCAGTGCAGACGTCTTTGCTCTTGTGATGAAATAAGCCCTCCTGCTCCGTTTTTATGCCTCAATTGATAACAATGTGTTGTATAGCTATCTATCCGTCCTCGCGCTAGCTTGTGCGTACTGTGCGTTCACGGTGTTGTTAGGTAGAACAATCTCATCTCTCAAATCGTCCTCGGTCCTGTGATCATTTGCACTCGCCACTGATGCATTCTCTCTATCCACTACAGAACGGTCTGTCCGCACATCCACGACGCATCCCCAACCAAGCGAGACTCCCTTGGTAAGTCCTCGTTGCTCGACCGCCCTCCCTAGTCACATCACCATGCACCGCCAGATCCGAACATTTGCTCGATTTCCTCTCCTGCGTGTACGGCATGTCAGTACAGGACGAGAGCCGGTGTTCAAACGCCTAGCACTTACTGTTTGGTGTATGCCGTCCCGGAGTCCCATTGTTATCCCCGTCCGGAGCTGCGTTTCCGTTTCCCTGACCGCTGCCGTACGGGTTTCCCGGCTGGGCGGGCTCGGCAGGAGAAACGGGTACGTTACCCAGTGCACCGGGGGCAACTGTCTCGGGATCGGGGATGGTTGGAGGGTTGTTGGTGGGGTCAAATGGCAGATCGAAGGGATCGGTATTTCCTGCATCTGCTTTGCTAGCACCAGGCTTCGGAGCGGGTGCAGCTGCTGCGCCCTGGGGGAGCACCATGTCGATGGGGTTCGCGGCTGAGCCTGTGAGCTTGTTGACGGGGTTTGCGCCTGAGCCTGTGAGCTTGTCGAGGCCAAGACCATTCATGCCGCTACGCTTGAACTGCAGAGACTCGCCGCCCGGGCTCTGGACTTCGGTGACGCGAGGATGGGTGACGGACCGGCCGAATTTGGGGGAGTTTGGGTGCGACGCGGCGAGGCTAGGACTGACCGCCGCGGCCACGAGAGAGAAAGCAATGAGCGGGCTGCGCATCGTGGCGTGTCGTGGGGGTTTAGCGTGTGTGGTGAGTGAGATTAGGTGACTGTAAGGTAGTTCAAGCGAAGGTAGGAGCGAGAGCGTTGAAGCCTCCCTTTTGAACCATCGCTCAGGGATTCAAATCCCGCCGCGGCTTCTGAGGTTTGACGTACAACACCTTCCTTTACAGGAAGGGCACCTGCCCAATCCGGAATGAGGTGGCTTGTGGACCACATCCATTGTCGTTGGTAACGCAGCCTTCGAAGTGTGCCTGGATATATGTGCGTTGAGCCGCATCATCCTTATCTGTCACCGACTCATGTCACGGCAGGACATCCACCCATGACGACTACACCGGATGATCATGGCGTCGATGATGGGCGCTCGCATCAAGACATGGCAAATTGGGGAGACTCTCAATTCACGACCGGAGCCCTCGCCGTGAGTGCTTACTGCCGGATAGCTGCAGTAAGTGACCCACGCAGTATATGTTTGTGTCTGTACCCTGCGTTGTTGCATTTTCCTTCCCTGATCTGAGGCCATTCGTTGTGCAGAACCTGCATTTCAAAGTAGTCTGGCAGCAGGGCAGAAATTACTGCTCCCGCTGTCCGTCCATAGCCGATCTTGCCCGGCGTCTCAAAGCAGCCGCTCTACAGCTGTCTCGCAGCCGTCGATTGGGTGCGTTGCCCCGCCCAGCGGGACATTTTTGATCACGAAGTCACAGCCTCTCCGAGGGGCCGAGGGACTTAAAGAGCACGGACAATGACGGGGAGCGCGATTCTTTTCCTGTTCACCGACGAGTAGACAGCGACCAGCAGCCATGCCAGACGGCGTGAGTGGCTCTCGCTCGTCGGCTCTCTTCTCAGGCAGCGTGTATGCTTACTTCCTGATTGGTTGTTCGGCATTCTTGGGCAACTCTGTGGTCGAGGCCGCGCACTCCGTAACCGTGCAGAACTAGTATGGGTTTCTGACTGGCTACCGATGTTTCGTGAATACCTGACTTACCTTTGCTAACAGCTGTGGAGATGGCCTGGTAGGCGACCTAACAACCAGTTCTCAGCCAAATTAGCTCATGAATGAGTCACGCATCATTCAGCCCATATTGGATCGGATCCCGAGCAACACCATCGCGACGGGAACAGGTCGTGTTTTACGAACGCTACGATTCTCGATGTGCAAGCGTGTGTTTTTCCTCTCCCATCTTAGTGAATCCATCTCATAGTGAAATATGTTCGCTGCCTCACTATAGCTTCCTGAACAGAGGTGGCGTGGTCCTTTCTATCGCTTCGAACATGACTCACTAGAGTGTCAGGATATTGTGGACCGAACGGCGGAAATTGCACAGTGGTATCATTCAGTCTCGGTCAGCTGGACGGGTCTTCAACTGCGGTTATCAATCTGGTCCCAACGTAAGTTCATGGTCGTTGAGGATTAGAACAGGTCATTCACACTTTCTCTTGCATGCAGAAACTACTTTTCGGATGCAGTATCCTTTAGGTAAGTCAAGTGTAGTGTACTTTCGGGTGCAGAGGCATTGATATCGACCCAGTTACTACAATGCGTGCACTGGCGCTGGCGCGAGCTGTAAGTATTTTTCACTATCAGACGTCATAAGTTAGCTAATGAGACGTTAGGTCTTAACTCGGACTGTACGAACGCAGAACATGTCACAGACAACAGCTTCGGCGCAGTGAACTGCGCGGCTTCCAGCGACCCGAACAGCCAGGTGTGATACTTCGGGTGAATGATTCATCATGGCTCGTATTGACGTCGAGCCTTTCTGCACAGGCAGGACTCTCCATTACATGGTGTCCGTAAGTTGCACGAGATTTTCCCGTACCTTGGTTGGTCCTTGACGTATACTCCTTTCAGGCAACTCGCGCCAGCGAGCAGTTCATCGAGTTCGTCAGCCAGCGCAACATCTGAGTCAACTTCAGCGACTGGGACATCGAGCACACCAGGTAGCGCAGCGACCGCTGCCGCAGCATCAGGGACATCTCACAGTACTCCTGTCGGAGCCATCGTCGGCGGCGTCGTTGGTGGTGTGGGCGGTGTCGCGCTCATCCTCTTTGTGGCGCTGTTCTTCCTCATGCGTTCCCGGAAACGGGCCCGGCGCTTCAGCGACATCCCCTACAGCAAAGCCGACGAAGTCGAGCACGGTACACAGCCAACCCCCTTCCTCCTTCAGAGCCTCGACGGCTCAGGCATGCCGCCCACTAACGGTACACAACCTCACGGCCAAGACCGGCTTACCCCGGTTCCAGTGCCAGTGATGCCCTCGCCGTCAACGGTCTCGAGCAAGGCCGCGCTCGTGTCACAAACAGTGCCATTGCCATACCATACCGCCAGCGTCACTACCACCCCACCGTCAGCATCGACCGAGACGACGACTTCAAGTTCGTCTTACTCGGGGGCAGCTACTACCGAGTCTTCGGCTGCTGAACCCAGCCTGGACAGGATTGTGGAGGGCCTTGCGGCGCGGTTTGGATGGACTGCACCTCCCCCTGAAGAGCCCGCTCCAGGGCTACAACGAAGGGATACGCTGCCGCCGTACTCGTAGAACCGGGATAGCAGGCTGCTCCGAGGACAGGGCCATTTTGTTTGGTGATCCTACCATATTGCCGCTTCGCTGTAATTTGTTTCTACATGGCGTCTGACCAAATATTCATACCTCGTATTTTATATTAATTGCTGCGTTGGTTGTGTTCTCTTTGAATCACTAGCTGTATCCCCTACCAAAGCATCACCGTGTCCCCGGAGCGGAGGTCCGGACCTTCCGTATATGGTAAGTTATGCGAGGTTCGAATAGACCACACGCAACTTACCCTCATACTCTCACAGCCTCCTACCAGTCTTCATACCGACTGGGACACATCGCTATACCTTAGTGTCATTACTGAGACCCTTCGAACACATTCATTCAAGATGCGTAGTCCCGTGATCGCGTTCTCCCTCTTCGCAGCCGCGGCAGTCGTCTCGGCTTCCACCAACGGCCTCTCAGGCTCTCCTGTTCTTGGACCCAACACTCTGTCGCCTAAGCCTGGCTCTGTAAACCTGGATAACTCTGAGCTCAAGAACCACGTGCATCGTCAAGACTCTGGGGCCGAAATTACTAGGACTGGACTGGGGATCTCGAAGCTAGGCGCAAGTTCTCCTGCTCACCAGAAGAGGGCTCCTGTCAGGCAACATTCAAATATCGCGGAAGTTGAAGCAAGACCTGCTGAGCACTCTCCAGCCCCTCCTCCGAGGCCGGAGCGTCCTGTTACCGGCGGAGTAGTCGGATGCAATGACCCTGATACTGGATCAGAAGGATCTGCGGTTGTCGAGAATGGTACTGTCTTCATGTTTGTTCTATCAGACTATCCCTCATTGTGAACATGAACATCGTGAATGATATAGCTCTGAATTCCGGAAATGAGAACGGCGGCGTTTCGTGCTCCAGTAGTGCACAGGGCGCATCCGCAGGCGACATTGGTCAAAACGGCGAGTCTGGTCCCGACGCGAAATCTCAAGACGCTGCCCCAGGGAGCGATGCTCTGAACCAGGATCTTGACGGAGTACTCAGTAAGTTTTTAGGCGCAAGAACCGGCGCCTCGTTCTCACCTGAGCAGATCAAGGTCAAGGTGACGGGTCATCGAGCCAAAGTGGCGGCGACGCTGCCCAGCCTCCGCCAGCTCCAACGCCCGCATTGTACGGTACATACCCAGGATACGGCGGACCAGGACGGCTCTTCAAGTACCCCGTGGTCTCAGCACCCTCACTCCTGACAAGGCTCAGAGCACACTCTACGAAATGGTGAACGCAACGACTACCAGCGTCACGGCGCGTGGGTTGCACCAAGCTGCATCCTCCTCGGATGACGGGATTCTGGACGTTGTCGGTCAGGGTACGTTGACCTGCATGCCACTGCGACGTATTTGACTCTGAATATCACGCATATGTGGCAGGTGCACCCGGAGAAAGTATCTATGGCGACGCGATTCCTGGCAGTGGACCTCAGGGAGGCGGTGCTCATCCCGGCACTCCGGGACCTAGCGACGGAGGTCGGGTCATCGAATCTGGGAACACCATCGACAGCGGCACCAACACTCCCGGCGCAGGCGGTATCTCTCGCAGCGGGACTGCAGCAGGGGGGACGGACGCTTCCACTAAGGCCGCGGAAACCTTCGTAACCATATATACCCCCGGGCTGGCTTGATACTCTCACTTCTACGTCGACTTTGTGTCTCATTTTTTGTATGGAACAGTCCGGCATGCGATATCGATCGTTCTTATTAATGACGCAGAACCTCGAGTCAGCAGCCGATCCTTCGTCGATCTTCACGACAGAGCTGAATAAGGGATGCCTCGAGTTGAAAGTGTACAGAGGTAAATAGCCGACACATAGGTTACTGCTTTCGGTACTAGGCCTCAGGCGCAACAAGGACACAGTAGCCCAGCTCATTTTGTCCTAGAGAATGAAATCCTCGTTCTCCGGCGCTTCGTCAACATTGCCGCCTGTCGCGCATCCGGTGGTCGAAGTACCCGCCGCTCCGGCATTGTTCGAATTCATGTTGACCATGCCGCCAACGTTATTGACACTGCCTCCCTCTGCGTTGCCTGCGCTCCCGGAGTATGCGTTTCCTCCCGCGCCGTTCTGGTCGGTGTAACCACCGGTGGCGCATCCTGATGTGGAGGTGCCGCCGAGGCCTGCGTTGTTCGAGCCGATGTTCATGAGCGTGGGCATCCCGTCGTTGTTGGCGATGTTCTCGATAGAGCCACCGCTCACGTCACCACTGTTTCCGGTGTACGCATTTCCGCCCATGGTGTCGTCATCATTGGTGCGGCGATCGAACGCGCTGAGGCCACTGGGAATGAATGTGCGTCAACATCCGCGCGACAGTACGTAGCAGGTACTGACCCGTGTCGAATGCCCCCTGCGCCGCCACCGGACACATCACCTGCGGAGCCCGAGTATGCATTGCCACCAGCGGTGTCCTTGTCCAAGGCCTTCTTCGATAGCTGCTGGGGAGAAGAAACCCTGTAGGAGCAGTCAGCTTAGCAGACGCGCGAGTAACGTGAGGCATACTTGGGCCACCCTGAGACTACAGTCCCGACGACGGGTCGTCGCACAACGTCACGGGAGTGCAGTGTGCCGCCCGAAACGATGGGCTGGCCCTTGTTGAGCATAACGTCCTTCGCGACACTCGGTACACCTCGCGCGATGTGGTGAACGGGCTGAGCAATCTCTGCCTTGGTGGGCCCTCGCGCTGTCAGAGGAGCCGACATTGCGAGAGGGCTGAGGATCGTGAGGACGGCGAAGGCGAGTGTCGGAGTACGCATCTTGAAGACGATGGTAGTCGAAGTGTTGTCTTGAAGTGAACGTCGGGGAGAGGAGCTGTAGAACGTGAGAGACAAGGAGGCGATACTGTCCCTGCCCGCATCTTATAACGCTCTCCTGGCGGCTGACCATGGCGGGAGGGCAGCGACCACTGCAGGGACTGAGGCTGACCGTCGTTCTACGTCCCCGTTCTGGGACGCGCCATTTCCATTTCCGGCGGTACGCTGTTGACCGCCACCGGCACGCTCGGCATCTTCGTGATCGAGCCACGGCGCGTGTAGCGTGCGTTGTCTGTACATTATATGTTCTCAAGTTCTCCCCAGTTGGCAGACCGCACAACAGCAGTGAATAATACCTTGAGCAGAGTAGATTGTATATTATGGGAGTGGATAGTACCTGGCAATGCAGCAACAGTAGGATAGCATTGAATGTAAAGCAAATGCGGCTAGGATATCAGGTAGCAGGTAGGGTATGCAAAGCCATGTGCGAATGTTCAGCGAAAAGCAAGAGGCCCAATGATGCACAAGTGAATCACTCATCAACCATCAACCATTCGGTGTCTGATTCACGCTCGTCTCCTCTGGAGACTGAGTCCCATCCCTCGTCGTCGCTGTCCCTGCTTCCGTCGTCACCTCCCCGTTTCCCGACTCCGACTCCGGAAGCGACTGGACATCTGCATCCTGTCTTCTGAGGGCCCTGGAGGTGTGAGTTCAATGCGGCTTGGCGCCTCGACTGCAGGTCCTCGTAGAGGTCGTTGACTTCGTTCATCTTGTTCACCTCGGCTTGTTTTGCGTCGAGCCAGCGCTGAAGGAGCTTTGCATTGTCCTTCGTCAGGATCGCATTCCGTTCCTCGATCTGGGTCAGCTCCAGCTGTAATGTGTTGATCTCGTCATGAAGGACCTGGGGAGACGGCCCTTAACATCAAAATTGGTAGAGAATCGAGGCGAAGTCGGACGAACCTGAGCAGTCCTATCTTTCTCAGCCATCAGCTCGTTATGCTGTTCGACCTTCTTCCTCAAGGCCGTGATATCATCGCGTGCCTTCCTGAGACCCTCGGAGTCGACCCGGGAAAGCTCCTCCTTCTCTCGCAGAGTCTCGTTCATGGCCAGCAGCCTCTGCGCGTTCTGGCCCTGCGTTTTGTAGACCGTGGCGAGCTCGTCTCGTAATGACGAGATTTGCGACTCCAAAGATGTGATATACGCGGCTCGTACGGGATTGCTGCAAAGTCCCAAATCGTTAGAGCAGTAACAAGCCCAACGATGAATAGATACGCACTCCTCTCCCGATCCCGGCACGTAGACGGTCGAGCTGCTGGGATTAGGGTTCCCTCGCGCACTGCCCATCGCACGCAGGAGGGATGCATTGCGTTCCTTCAGCAGCTTCGTCTGTTGGGCCAATCTGCGATCTTCTCAGCGTTCAAATGCCAGCCAAGAGCAGCGCGACATGGCAGAAGATGAGACCGCAAGGATCAGGAGTAGGGGGGTTGCGCGTGAGACCATACACGTACATTGCTCGATGATCGACGCGTAGGACGACTCCTGAGAGTTGCGTTCGACGAGTCGGACCCGGAGGGTCTCTTGCCATGCTGGCTCGCCCATGGCTGGTGGTGGATCCCGGACAGGCGGCGGCGTACGGACAGATGGGACGAGCAGCTTGCCCGGGACGCGAGACGCGCAGATAGCGAGCGACCAGTTCGGACGGAGCCCCAATCCGTCCGCATCTCAGATCCCCCGCGCCCGAGCTGTGTCCGCGCCATTTCGACCGGCGGGCCATTTCGCTACCATTTACCCCTCCCCACCATTGTTCTCGGTAGCGCCATGGGTCGTGTTCTGCTCAAGGTGCGTCCTGTCTACAGCGGGGGTGCGTGTGGTCACTGAAGTTGCTGTACGAAGGTTATCATCCTCGGCGACAGTGGGTACGTATGCCGTTGCTACACTATCCTGGGGAGTTCTCGAGCCTCATTGTCCTCATGTATCGCCGGCTTCGTTCCGTAGCGTCGGGAAGACTTCGCTCATGAACCAGTATGTGAACAAGCGATTCAGCAACCAGTACAAAGCGACCATTGGCGCGGACTTGTGAGTTCGCCGTGTGTGCGAAGCGGTATGACGTCTGACGGCGAGGCGTGTCTTCATAGTTTGACGAAGGAAGTCATGGTGGACGACCGCTTGGTGACCATGCAGGTGCGTTTCGCTCTCATCGTCGATGGATCCCAGCTAATGGCTGTGCTATCCCCTCGTAGCTCTGGGATACTGCTGGTCAGGAGCGCTTCCAATCACTCGGCGTCGCGTTCTATCGTGGTGCCGACTGCTGCGTCCTTGTCTACGACGTGAACAGCGCCAAATCTTTCGAGACGCTCGACAGCTGGCGGGACGAGTTCCTCATTCAGGCCAGCCCACACGATCCAGAGAACTTCCCCTTCGTCGTTCTTGGCAATAAGATAGATATGGAGGAGAACAAGCGCCAGGTACGTTCGCTGCTGGGCCTTTTCCTGGCGCGACTCACCCCACCGGGCACTGTAGGTCACCCAGAAGCGCGCTATGACATGGTGCCAATCGAAAGGCAACATCCCATACTTTGAGACCTCGGCAAAGGAGGCAATCAACGTCGAGCAGGCTTTCCAGACCGTTGCAAAGAATGCGCTGCAGCAGGAGGCAGAAGAACAGCTGTGAGTGTCTGCACATTGTCCTTTGACGTCCACGTTGCTGAGAGTGTCCCACCAGATACGTCGACTACCCCGACCCCATCAGGATTGACCAAGAGAGCACGCGGAGCTTTGGCTGCTGCTCGTAAGGAGCGACATTCGTCATTGCGTCCCACTCTATCATGCCCTTACGACTCCCGGTTACCCTGTCATCTTCGAACGATGTTTTGTCGCGTACTTGTTTCTATGCCTTGTTCACACACTAATGTGTTCTCGACGACCGTTGTACATTCATACACACAATTTGATGTCGTCGAGTGAATACCATCCACTCCTTTGCTTGAGACAGCGGCTTGCCAAGGTCTCGTCAATAACGACAAAAGCCTTGCGCTGACTCAGTGACTGTAGCATTTGGGTTGCGCATGCGGTGTGGCGGGGCGCCCTGTGTCGTCAGAGTGCCTGTTGCGGCGCTGTGCACGGCACTGCAGACTATGTGCAGAGCCACATCCAAGCCTACACCCCAGTAGAACTGGACTGCTGCCTCTGAATGTCCTTCTTACTTCCCGCCCCATAAGCAAAGACGTCGTGGCTCACATTGACGACTTACGTCACTCCGCCCAAGGAAGACCAAAGGAAGACGGGCTGGTACCCTGAACTGAAGTACTGCTCCGGCGCGTCTCACTGGGACGTCGTGGTAACACATATACAGAGGCTCCGCGCCCACGACCCATTCCTGCTCCATACGTCCTCCTATACTCTGCTCGGTCCACCGCTCAATCTCCTCTCAGACCTGTTCTGGCCGAGTGATCCGTGAACAAACACAAACCTTCTACCGCACAGCGTCAGAATGCAGTCCCAGGCTGCGAGACACCGACGTTCCTTCTCGAAGTCAGGGATGGACCAGGTCATCTGCGAGGGATGGGTGCTGAAGAAGAGGCGCAAGAAGATGCAAGGTGAGTGAGCTTCGAGTGCGCAGGAAGGGACACCTCTCATGCAGACGCGTCTGTGCAAGGTTTCGCCCGCCGCTACTTCAAGCTGCAGCAGTCGGGATGGCTCTCTTACTCCTTCGAACCTGGACACCCCAGTAGAGACCAGATCTTTCTGCCTCAGGCAGCCATCTCCAGCACACCCGGACGGAGAGATATCCATGTCGATGCAGGCACTGCAACATTTCATATCAAGTGTCTCACCGTGGAGGACTTCAACAAATGGATGACGGCATCCCGGTGAGTTCGTATGCGAAGGCGTCGCGTCCGTTATATCAATCGTACTGACTTGTACTCATTCAGCAAGTTCCTGGCTCCAAAGGATGGCCAAGGTGCATATTCCCCTTCGTTGGGAAGACGATCGACCGTCAAGTCTCTGCGCACGTCACAATTGGGTCTGGGAAGTCTTGGAAAAGTAGGCCCCTTGGCAGAGGAGATGGGCAACGTGAGTGTAGCCCCTTAGTAGTGAGCTCCAACCAATGCAGCATCCTGCAGACGATCGATGAGCTACAAACTCTCGTGTCTGCATGGCACGCAGATACGCTGAAACGCAGAAGCGGTTCTATACGTTCCAAAGGAGACAAGGAGAAGAAAGATCGGGGTAAGGAACATGGCGGCCACGTACTAGTCGGGTTTCTCAAAAAGGGTAAGCGATCGTCACGCCGGAGTGTACACTACGTCCTGACAACCCCGGTCTATAAAAGCCGCCCCTCTCCAGCAAGCGAGTACTTCCCGCGATAGCACTCAGGAAGAACCTTCTGATGCGAGCCCGTCGTCAAGCGCCAACGTGGAGAAGGTACAAGCCGTGCTGGACACCCTCAAGCACCAACACTCTGCTCTCATGCGCGTATTACCCGGCTACCCCACGCTCGATACGTCGCACTCCCCAACAGCAGGCACTTCACTGTCAGCTACCTCGGAGGAGGACGGCGATCAGACACCGACGGCGAGCACGAGCCTTGCGCAGAAGCTCGGACGTACGTCTATGATAAGTTCGAACAGCGGAGGCAGCAATAGTGTTTGGTTCGATGCACCAGAGCCTGAGGGTGCGGAGGAGTTCGTCCTGGACTCGTCGCCTGGGGACGAACGGGAAAACGGAATACTTGACGAGGGCGTACAACCGAGTAGTCCTGTCTCGCAATCTGACGACGTCTCCAGCTCGGATGCGACCACGGACGCGGATACGGATGCTGAAAGCGACAGTGAGTCAGAGGCCGCACCAGAGACTGCTCCGACGAGTCCTGCGCAATCGAATGAGGATAGAAGGATTGTTCGGCGGACAGAGCTACCATCAGGGCCGGTTGGCGATGAGGGCAGTCTCTTCTCCGTCCTGAAAAAGAACGTCGGGAAGGTCTGTGACAATCGTTACGTTTAGCTGCCTAAATTCCTGTCTGATAGCATGCTCAACAGGACCTCTCGCAAGTGGCGATGCCTGTTTCGTTCAACGAGCCCTTGACCCTCCTTCAGAAGATGGCGGAAGAGATTGAGTGCCATGATATGCTCTCGCAGGCGGCGCACACGGAAGACCCTGTAGATAGATTGTCTCTCGTGGCTGCATTTGCCGTCTCGACATACGCGAACACAAAGTACCGAACGGGACGTAAAGGCTTGTACGTGTTCCGTATCACCCCTTGTGAGGCAACCCATGACCTGATTCGTGAAGTACTTCTGCAGCAATCCGATGCTTGCAGAGACATTCGAAGAGCCCAGAATGAGGTTCATTGCGGAGAAAGTGTCTCATAATCCCGTCATCCTTGCGTTCCACGCTGAAGGGGACGGATGGGAGCTCTGGGCCACGTCCAGTGGTAAGACCAAGTTCTGGGGTAAGCTTTAATTGCCCCGACTTATTGTATCCACGCCTCATGAGTTCGCTCTAGGCAAGAGCCTTGAGATCATCCCCCAAGGGACAACACATCTTAAGCTCGGCGACGAGCACTACGAGTGGTATGTCGTTTTAGGTATCTCACCGGAATCACTTCTTCATAACGAGTGCAGGAAGCGGCCATCATCCTTCATGCGCAACCTCATGATGGGTACGAAGTATCTTGAGCACTGTGGCAAGTTAACCATCGAGAACACCACGTCCGGCGGGAAATGCGTACTCGACTTCAAAGAAGGCGGATACTGGGGTCCCTCGAACCAAGTCTCTGGTACAGTCGTCTCGTCCAACGGAAAGACTCAAGCGCATCTCGAAGGCAAGTGGGACGAACAGATGGCGCGCAAGCTCGACTCATCGCACCTGCGCGTCCTCTGGCGAATCACGCCCTTCCCAAAGAACGCCCCCGACCTCTACGGCTTCACGGCGTTTGGTATCACGCTGAACGAGATTACATCAGACTTGGAGGGCCGCCTACCTCCGACGGACTCGCGTTTGAGGACAGACGTACGGGCACTAGAAGAGGGTGACATTGATCGCGCTGAAGAGGAGAAGAAGCGAATCGAAGAGATGCAGCGGGACAGGCGGAAGATGGGTGCTGAGTGCAGACCGAGGTGGTTCAAACAGCAAGGCGACGAGTGGGTCTACGTCGGTGGCTACTGGGAACAGCGGGATCGTGGGTGGAAGGACATTCAGCCTCTTTGGTAAGAACCGATAATAATCAGGGCGAGATGAGAGAACAGGACTACATTATGACTAAGTAATACGTTCTTGCACACCCGCCTTGCATACATCCGCTAGCATCGTTCAACATTGCCAGAATTGCATACGTTCGATAATTCATGCCCATCGTCCTCCGAGTGGATCGGTGGGTATTGCCTCGGAATCCAACGCGAGTTCTTTGAAGATTTGTTCAACAGCTTCCCGGCTCTCCCTTTCTCCAGCCTCTTCCAACGCTGAGTGACTAGTGAGTTGTGCTTGGACACCCATGAGATCCGACTCTGACCTTTGCTTTGTTCCTCACCCAAGTTCTCCTGGACATCTTTCTCCCCGCTGCCTGCAGGGATGAAAAGCAGTTCGACACCTCCGTAGTCAAGCATCTCCTTCCTCTCCACGCATGCGAACCGAAGTCCGTACTCGCTCACACCTCTTCGCCCACCCCTGCCAAACACCTCCGTCATGATGTGCTCTGGATACTCCACCCTCTCTTCTTCGGGCAACCCGACATTCCCTTGGCCATTCGTCGAAGCGAGTGGATTCTTGACCTGCAAGCCGAATGAGGCGGTGGTGTGTACATTCAGCGCAGCTTGAACTTCACCCCAGTCGTCTGTCGTAGGGTGCGAGAGGTGGTAGCCGAGGTGGGTCTCGCGCGCGGAGGGAGCTTTGGGGTCGTTGTTCACTATGGCGTACGCGCCTCAGCCGGCCAGATGCGCAGGACCCTGGTGGCGTGTCCCTACGGGGAGAGCTTTAGCGTTGTGTCCGGCTCGAGGTCCGTTCCAAGGGGACACAACACAACAATCAGTTACCTGTTGTTGCTGTCTCATAAACTTTCCCTTTTAACCCGTCTTGGAGTTGTTTCATTTCTCGACCGACCATCGCGATGCTTCCCCAGAAAACGGTCTTGCCCTCAGGATCAGGGAGTCGCTTCTTCCCGACTGTTAGCAACCGGTAGTAGTTCGTCTGATCAGGCTGCAATGGATCTGCGCCTTCTCTCTGCTCCTCTCTCTCTGCTGTCCCTTCCTCGGAACTAGGCGGCAGCCTACTATCCTTCGACTGCTGAGGCAGAAGTAGGATAAAGAAACGCTGGACTTCCGCTACCGAATGGGCCTCCTCCAATTCCACCTTGGGACGGTAGAAGAAGTAAATATGACCCCTTTCAAGCATGCCTATGCCAAACGTCAATTCATGCGTCGATATATGCGCGCTGAGGCTCACCTGCTTCATAATTGTGCTTGACAGAACGGGCTTCGCCGCTCTTCGCGTCTAAAGCTATGTCCTGCTTCCTCTCTGCATCTTCTGTATCGCGCTCGTCGACGTCTTTTCTTGCTTTCTTAGCGGGCGGTCCTTCTTGTCTGTCGTCTGGCTTGGTGTTAAGTACTTCGTCAAGACGAGCCCGCTTCATGCTAGTTTTTCGTTCCCTAGATGTCTGAGGCCCAATCGCGTTACCCGTGGGATGTTCGATGGAGGTTTAAAGGACAACAGATAATGATGGTAAGGACCAAGTCTCTATGACCTTGCTGTAACTCGACTCGGAGTGGAAGACCACGCGTGACATCATACAAACGCGTTGCGCGACCGCGCGCACTGAGAACGCGATCACGTGGGCACAGCGTTGCATCGTCAGTTTATGCCAAGCTTTCTGGCCTCAGGCTGTCACTAGGTCGAAGACATTGCTGTAGGTCGCTACTGGCGTGCGTCAGTCGGCATGGTTCTCATATACTCTACCATCAAGTCTGTTTCACGATTGCCAATGCTATAGTACATGGAGATACACTGTCGATCAAGTTTAGAGGTCGGCGCAAGGCAACAGCAAGTAGACTCACATGTTTGACAAGCAATTCACAATAGCAGCCTAGTTCGCAACCAAGCTTCCAGCGACGGGGCGGCCCAGTTGACGTGTCACGGGCAATTCCGCTCCTGCATCCTCACCTTCGCGAAGTGCGGCAGATACTGCGTCACCATGTCCCACCTACCATACATTTCTCCATCATCATCATCCTCTTCGCCTCCCTCCTCATCCTCGTCAACATCGTTTCCGTCCCTCCACAAGCTGCCAATGTACCACAGACCAGGGCAGATATCGGAGAGGAAAGAGGCCACTTCGATCGGGTCGTGGATCGGTGAGTCCCCAATGTTGAACTCCATTTCCTTGTTCGTTACAACGCCTTTGCCGATGCGGCTGAATCCGAGGAGAGGATCCCCGTCTCTCGAGAGGACGTCCGTCTTCATCCGATATCCTATAGACCAGATCTTTGGGCAATGGCGGATGAACGGGATCAAGGCGAGAATGGTCGCGCGCGGGGGAAGCTCCGCGCCCCATCGCATGTCGACACCGAGCGAAAAGCGGGAGAGCTCAGGCCACGCGACGGCCATTGCCTCGAGCATAACATCGTTGATGTCGATGGGGAAGCCGTGCAAAGTCAGAACGCGCAAGCTGCGGAGTACGAGTAGTGGGAGGAGCGTGATGTCCGTGAGCGTCCGCGATGGCAAGTCGAGAGGCAAATTATTAGGTGTACCGGGGCGGATAGAGACTTGTAGGGAGCATAGCTTCAGATGGGATTCGATTTCCTTGAATAGCGCCTCTGTCTCATGTGCTGTTGCTAGGGTGTCGTAGGATATCACCAGCATGACAAGGCGAGGTGAGGTCACGCATGAGAGGAAATGCGTCGCATGCTCGAGAGTGTTGACGTTTAGAGAAAGCTCTCGTAAGGAATTAAACCCCAAGACCTTCGAATCTGAATTGGTGGACACTCCCGACGGGTCACTGTCCTTGTGTAGGGCTATGCGCAGGTGGGCTAGGTTGGCAAAATTGGCCAGGACCTCCAGAGTGGCAATCGATATCGGGGCTTCATGCAGCGCGAAGAGTGTGAGATTGGGCAGAGCGGACACTGCCTTCTTCATCATGTCTGAGACCTGTTTGTCCAACGGATTGCAGTATATAGTTAGGCTGGTCAATTGGGGACAGTCGGTAGGTATCCGCAGCAAGGCCTGGGTCTTGGGATCTTCGCCCCGCGCGATGAACATGCGGATGGTCACGGCGCGTATGTGCGGGCAGTACAACATAGACACATACGGGGCAAGGTCTTGATTCAGATCTGCCCAATCTAGGTTCGGAAAGAGGGGGGGAGTAGGTCGGGCCTCGTACAGCGCTGCCAGGGCACCTCTAGACAGCTTGTACTTGCGTCCCAAACGATAGATGCTGCCATTATATGCGCCAAAAGCCCTCACTCGGTGACCGTAGACTTGAAAGCGGGCAAAATCGGAGGGCAGGAGTACGCGTTGAAATGACTGGCGAAGATGAGGTTGGGCATAACACAAAGGAGTGCATACACGTACTATGATTCGGTTGCGTTTGGGTTTATCTCCTATCTTCCATGCGTCTGAAGGCAAGAGAAATGCCAGCAACGCGAGCGAAGTGACCCCACGCCAGATGGTGTCGACGGCTGGCTCGAAGAATGCCCGGCACGTCCGCGCGAGAGCGGGCACAGCTTGCTGTCCATCGACATCGTCGAGGAGTTTACCACAGATTTGTGCAAGCAACTCCGTGCCGAGTTGGGTGGCCATGATTACAGAGCGAAGGGGGATACGGAAGGTCTCGCGCGAGGGTTGTCGTCGCCACTGCCAGAAATGACCGTTGCGTTCGACGCCATTGGACGCGGTCACGAGATTGAGGATCTCGATGCCGATCGTAAAACCACGTGCTCAGACGGGAGCGGTCAGATCGCGATCTCCAATTTGCAGTCGAGGACTGCCAGTCGCACTTGCATCCCCTCAGCTTGCTCCTGCGCTGGCCTCTCGCGACATTCCGGCGGAGCCAAACACCCAAGAGTATTGGGCTACTTACCCAGGCGCTGCAGTAAGTGTCGAGAATCGTTGTGCCTCGGAGCGAATGACTCATGCTCCAAGTAAAGCGTTTGTCTGACGGAGTGAGCGGCCTTGGTCTCATTCGAGTGGCTGACTCGGATACCCTGCAACAATGGGCATCGCTCCAGCTGTGAGGAGGTACGCGACTTCCAGCTTGCGGGCCCCCCACCGGGGGCTTGCTACCCACACAGGCCTGCCGGAACGCGACTGTTCCTCCATCACACCCCCATATGCGCGGTTACTGCAAAAACTGGCAGATGTTCGCGAACTATTGGGAAACAGGCCTCTTACTCTTGCGGAGAAGATTCTGTACAGTCACATATCAGATCCCAAGAAGAGTCTGACGGACGGGAAGCTCAAGCGTGGAGAGACCTACCTCCAGCTGAGTCCAGAGCGGGTCGCAATGCAGGATGCTTCAGCCCAGTGGGTAGTCTCCCTGCGTCCCCAGCATGACATACTTAATTATCGCTTCCTAGGATGGCACTGTGAGTATAGAGGCGTACTACCCGAGCACGGCCGTTTCATGCATACTCCCAGACTTCAGTTCATGAGTGCTGGTATGACCAAGTGTGCTGTACCGACAAGCATACATTGCGACCACCTCATCCAGGCGGTGAATGGTGCAGAAGCTGACTTAAAGGTGCGACTCGATGCAGCCCACGGTGTCAGGGAAGCTCACTCTTACCTTACCTCCAGCGTTCCATTGCATCGAACCAAGAAGTCTTCGATTTCTTGGAGAGTGCAGCGCGCAAGTATGGCATCGAGTTTTGGAAGCCCGGCTCAGGCATCATCCATCAAATCGTGTTGGAGAACTACGCTGCACCGGGAATGCTCATGTAAGGTCAATGCCACCACCTGGAGTTAATCTTTAAGCTCACATTCGCGCCCAGGCTCGGGACAGACTCGCACACGCCTAATGCTGGCGGCCTGGGCATGCTTGCCATCGGTGTCGGAGGCGCGGACGCCGTAGATGCTATGACCGGCACACCATGGGAGTTGAAGGCACCTCAGATCGTGGGTGAGCATCATGTTTGCCACCACTTCCAGTGCCGTTACCAATTGACTTCAGGCATTCACTTGACTGGCAGCCTGTCTGGATGGGCAACTCCCAAAGACCTCATCTTGCACCTGGCCGGCAAGCTTACCGTCAGGGTACGTCTTCGAATGAGATGTTAGTCCTGCTATGGTGTTGACAACAGTGACTAGGGTGGGACGGGTCGTATTCTGGAGTACTTCGGCCCCGGCGTCTTCAATCAGTCATGTACAGGTCTGGCCACGGTTGCAAACATGGGCGCTGAGGTAGGCGCAACGACCTCTACCTTCCCCTACACGCCGAATATGCGCTCGTACCTCACCGCGACTGGTCGTGCTCCTGTCGCGCGTGCGGCAGACGAGGCCGCCTCTAAGGGTTTCCTATCCGCGGATGAGGGTGCTGAGTACGATGAGGTCATCGAAGTTGTGCGTCATGTTCCTATTGTTCGTCGCCTTCAAGACACCATGCTCATACGTTGTCTCGCTGTAGAACTTGTCTGAACTGGAACCCACTATCAATGGACCCTTCACACCGGATTTGGCCACTCCTCTTTCCAAGTTTAGCGACTTTATCAAGGAGCAAGGTTGGAAGGACGAGCTATCTGCGGGACTGATTGGATCGTGTACGAACAGCTCGTACGAGGACATGGTCTGTCGCTCCATTTGAGTTCTATCTGAATCACTAATTCATCGCGAGTAGACCAGCGTGGCTGACTTGGCAAGGCAAGCAAAGGCGGCAGGACTCAAAGTGAAGGTTCCCTTCCTCTGCACTCCTGGTTCTGAGCAGATCCGCGCGACGATAGAACGCGACGAGGTCACGGGCGCCCTACAGGATGTCGGTGCGACTGTTCTGGCCAACGCCTGCGGTCCGTGCATTGGACAGTGGAAGCGGGATGACAAGAAGGACGAGGAGAATGGTATGTCTACCCTGCCTACATAGGTAGCTCGACGCTGACAGCTTCATTCAAGCCATTTTGACGTCCTTTAACCGGTGAGTGCCCGTGCGTGCGTGCGGACCTAGAAGGGGGAACTCACTGGCGAGCGTTAGGAACTTCAAGTCTCGCAATGACGGGAACCGGCTAACGATGAACTTCCTCGCCTCCCCGACACTGGTAACCGCTTTCTCCTTCGCCGGAAAGCTCTCCTTCAATCCAATGACCGACACAATCTCCACTCTCTCCGGGGCTCCCTTCAAGTTCACCCCACCTAAGGGCCAGGACCTACCCACAGCAGGCTTTACGCCCGGCGAGACCAGCTTCTACCCGAAGCCCACTCCTGAGCCGCAGCCCGAGACGGAGGTCATCATTCATCCCGACTCACAGCGGCTGGAGGTGCTGGAGCCGTTTTCGAGCCACTTCGGCGAGGGCAGCGGGAACTTGAGAGGGCTGGAACTTCCGCCGTTGAAGGTGTTGATGAGGGTTAGGGGAAAGTGCACGACGGATCATATTTCTGCTGCGGTAAGTGTCGTCTGGCCGATGGTTCAGGGTCAGGCTGATATTGCAATGAAAGGGCCCGTGGCTAAGTACAAGGGACATCTGACTAACATATCCGAAAACCTCTGTATGTAGCTCATCCTCATCTTTGACTAAACGACTCATTGAACTAATCTCGTGTCGCAGTGATCACTGTGCGTACGCATGTAGTGCCTACGAAAGGCTGCGTGATTGACCTCCCTCGCATAGGCTGCTAACGACGAAGGTGGCGACGTGAACGTTGCCTTCGACCACGAACACGAGTCCTCTCGATCCGAAACTGATACCATTCCCAATGTTGCGAAACGCTTCAAGGCGCGTAAGCAGCCTTGGGCCCTAGTAGTTGACGATAACTACGGTGAAGGTAGTGCTCGCGAGCACGCTGCGCTGCAACCTCGGTTCTACGGTACGTTACAATGCATTAAAGTAGGCATATATTGTGCTCAGTTGCTTCCCAGGATGCGCTATGATTGTTGCGCGGTCATTTGCACGAATTCACGAGACCAACCTCAAAGTAAGTCACACGCGCTACGAAAGTTCGTGAAAATGCTGATTGTAGATGAAGAAACAAGGCATCCTGCCTCTGTGGTTTGCCGATAAGGCAGACTATGCACGCATAGGGTCTGGAGACGTCGTGGAGACGCTCGGCCTTGCTGACCTACTGAACGGCGTTCCCGATGCTATCATCAAGCTGAAGGTGACCCGACGAAACGGAGATATCTTCGAGGTACCAACGAAGCACACAATGTCCAGTGATCAGCTGAAGTGGTTGCGGGCTGGTTCAGCGCTGAATCACATCCGCTCGCAAGTGCAGTCTTCATAGCTATGGGACATGAGAAGAGCTACGGAGACATTATAGCAATGCTGTATCGATATACTTATACGTTACTATTGGATGCGACTGTCCGTCCCAAGGCCCGTAGATCGTCTGTGCGCCGTTCACCGGCTCTTTTCTCCTTAAGTCGAACGAGTGTGGTTCTTGCGATATTGACGGCCGGCTCGGGCAGTCCAGCAAGCTGGGCAACCTTAAGACCGTGACTATCACGGTTTACGCCAGGTCTCATGAGATGAGAGTAAGAAAAGTAGTCGTCCTGCACAAAACGTCGACCCATGCAACATGCGAGATCCGGCTTGAGACGCACCTCCGTCTCATCTACGTCGGTACAGAAGAAACTGACACCTTCGAAAGGACCTTGACCCCTGCTGTCTTCGGAGCAGTCTAGCATATCGGCCAGCTCGTGAAAATGCGTAGCGAATAATGCGCGACAGCGATTCACAGAGACCAAGTGGTGCACAGCGGCAAACGCGATTGCGAGGCCATCGTCAACTGTCGTACCTCTCCCAACCTCGTCCATGATGACCTATATGTTTAGTCGGTCCATACGCCACACCGGTAGTGATAGATATGCTCACCAGACTCCTCGGCGTAGCTCGACGAAGAATCTCGCTCGTCTCCAGCATCTCCACCATGAAGGTGCTTCGATCACGGAAGAGGTCATCCTTCGCGCCCACCCTGGAGAACACCCTGTCTATGATTCCGATATGAGCAGCGTCTGCCGGAACAAAGGAACCGCTTTGAGCAAGTATCGCTATCAGGGCGGTTTGCCGAAGAAAGGTAGACTTCCCAGCCATGTTTGGGCCGGTGATGATGTGCAGTTGCGAATCATGTGTAAACGACACCGTATTTGGCACGAAGTTACGTCCCGAAGTGAGCAAAGCAAGCTCTACAGTGGGATGACGGCCGTTCGTGACATGTAGGTGATGCTGCGCAGTGTTGGTCAGCTCACCACAATTCATAGCAGGGAAGTAGCTCCCTTACTCCTCTGCCACTGTCGGTCTTACGAAGTTCATCTCGGTAGCGAGCATTGCAAAGGCAAGCGTCACGTCAAGCTCGTCAATGATGCGGGCATTGGATCGCAGACGCCCGGCATGTACATTGACCTGCATAGAGCCTTGTTGAATATAGCCACCACAAGAAAACAGTCTGAACACTCACTTCCTCGCGCAGCATCTCAAACGCCTCCTTCTCAGCCGTATAAATGGCAGTGACCGTATTCATGATATCAGTACCCAGCGCCGACCACTCCTGAAGGCATAAGTTAACAACGATTCAAAGGCTGAGATCACTGTACAAACTCTGAAGAAGAATGTGTTCGTGCTGCCGCTCTCTGAGATCGGCACAAAGAGATCGGATGCCTTCAGTTTTCCCGAATCCCGTTTTCCTCTCCCAATGTGTACGTGCATACCATATCCGGGGGACGACCGAAGGGTGAGCGAAGGAGCATCTGTAGAGAGGACTCCGTTTCCGCTATGCAATGCCCTGAGTTTGGACTGAACGTACTGTACTCCGACTGCAAGCGTCGTTCCAACTGCTCTCTACTTTGATGCAAGTCTGTAGGGTAGTATGGAGCTGGAGAAGCTGCGGCGAAAAGCTAGCAGGCCTGTCAATCACCGCTAGATGGAGCGAGTTAGGAAGGTGACCTTGGTTCGATAGTCCATTTCAAGTTTCCAAAGCCTTGTCCCACATTTAGCACGCCGGATAACGCGTCGAGGATACTGCCGGTGTCTTCGCTGTCTACCACTTCGGGGCCTTCTGCGACCTCCCCGCCTGAGGTCGGCATAGCTTTCTGTATTACGGTGACCAGATGCCATAGATCATGCATCCCGTGCAGGAGGGCATCTATGCTCGTCCATTCTGCCTCGACAACGATGCCTCGCTCCCGCTGTTCCATGGTCTTTTCGAGTTCCACACGCTGTCTGATACTGGTCCACGTTCGAACGGTGCTGCAGATTGCCGCCAAGTCGCTCGGATGTCCGCGCCCGAGCAAGAACCTTTGCGCTATGCGGGTTGTGTCTTCAATGTCACCAAGCAGTTGTAACAGATCTTCACGAACGTAAGGACGAGCATGGAAGAAAGCCACCAGAGATTGGCGGGCAGTGATCTCACGCAGAGATGTGCTAGGAGAACCTACATATAGTTCAGCGGTGTTGCGCATTCGTGAACACGGTAACATCACTCACATAACCATCGTGCGAGTAAACGAGTTCCACCAGTAGTGACAGTACGCTTGACAACGCTTATAAGGCTCCCAGTTGTGCCGCCGTCGCTAAGGCCTTCCCGTATTTCGAGAGCTTTGATGGTATGCGAGTCGATTTGCATTCTTCCCATAGTAGTCTCTCTGCTCGGTGAAGAGAGTAGAGGCATGTGTTCCAGTAAATTCGCTTGCATGAAAGCCGTTAACAAGTTGACTGCTCGCGTCTCGGACTCTGTAACGGTCGATACCGCGGTCTCGCCGCCCAAGTGAGAGACAACATCATCGGTCCCGTCGGTACCTTCTGGTAGGATTGGCAGCCCCGCGGGGTTAGGCACTGTGAAGTACGAGACAAATAGACCTTCCTCATCGACAGCAGACCTAACACGGCGATCTTCCTCCGTTTCAGTCTCTTCGCCCAGAATCACTTCTCGAGGGCTGATGCGGACGAGTTCGTCCCGCAGACCCTCAGGAGAGGTTGTCTTGGTGAAGAACTCCCCTGTGGACACGTCTATCCAAGCAAGGCCTACACGTCCTGACTGGTCGTCTTCTGCAGGAACTGGGGTTGCCCCGGGACGGCCGATCGCAAGCAGGTAGTTGTTCTCATATGGGTTGAGGAAGGGCTCGTCGATGAGAGTCCCCGGTGTCACAATACGAACGACACGTCTGTCGAAACCCGCCTTCGCGCCAAGCTGTGGATTGCGAGGGAACTCTTCGCACATCGCAACGAAACGCTTTTGATTTTGAACGAGGATCTTGAGATACTTGTCCAGGTGCATGAGCGGAAAACCGCACATCCATATGCGTTCCCCATCCCACGTTCTCTGCGTCAATTTGATATTGAGCAAGCGAGACACGTCTTTCGCTTGGTCAAAATACGACTGGAAGGGACAGGGTCTGTGAGCGCGATGAATGTAACACAACGAGCCGGCCTACTTCGTAGAATTGACCGACACGAGTCAAAAGGATGCAATGTGGAAATCGCCGCAAATTATCAAGAATTCCGGTGGCAAGCAGATTTCTGGGCCGACGAGTGCTAGTGTTCAGTCTGAAAGATGGTCAGAATGAACGAGAGAAGACAACGTGAGCGAATGCAATACCTAGAGTGTCGATGTCCGTTGTTGCACTGTTCGTTCTTCGTTTCCGACGAGGCTTCGCCGGCGGAGTGGGTTGTGCAGATGCATCTTTACTCTCAGTGTCGGTGGCCATATCATGCTTACGACCGTCAGCCGTTTCCTCATCCTCACGGCAAGGCGAGTTGAATTTATGAGAGGCTTCATCAGCGACGGCTACTCGCAGTACACATAAAGATTCACATGAACAATAAGTTTCATTGAATGTCAGATGTGATAAACAGCGCACGTATCAAGCTACTATGAATACCACTTGAGTCTACCCGCCTGTCGTCCTTGAGACCTCCGTGCCATTCCTCGAGTGGTGAGGATGTAGATGAGCGTGGATTCGGTAGTTCACAGTACTTCTTCCTAGTAACAACACGTTTCTTGCGCGGCTTCGCAAGTGCTTCCGACGCGTCTCTGTCTGCACAGAGCGAAGCAGTTGTCCTTAGATTTCGAGTCCAATGAGCGACTTGTTGGTATGCCTGGCAATTGCGGCTAGCGCGCTGCAGAAAGAGCATAAGCTCTCTCAAAGAAAGCACTAGATTATAGGTCCAATTCGGGTTTCCGAAGAGACGAGGATGGCAGCAAGGAGTCGAGGACAAGCGAGAGAGCGGAGGCGAGGCGGATGAGGCCTTTGCGAGAAAGGCGCCTGCCGCCACCGTCTGTTCGCGTTGCATGGGCGGAGTTTCAAGTTCCAAACTTCGCCTCGTCGCTCTTGCCTCGACGACCAAAAAGCAGCAGTTCGCCTCGACGCACATTCCCCCGCCCACAACATGTCTTTCGCCGGCAGACGCAGAGGAAACAAGGTCAAGAAGGGTGTCCAGTTCACCGTCATGGTGGTCGGTCAGTCCTTTCGCGTTACTTACTGCCCAAGGAGTGCCAGCGCTCACTGTTGCTTGGGTGTGCTTGACGCGTCGGTGCGGTATGGCTGTCTATCGTTATGGCTGTAGGTGCCTCTGGTACTGGACGCACGACATTCGTGAACACCCTGTGCGAGTCTGAGGTCCTGCCGCACAAGGTCTGCGACAGCCCGGAGACTGCGCATGTTGAGGAGGGTATCAGGATCAAGCCCGTCAACGTCGGTACGTCTGCCATTTCGCTGCCTTTCACCTGCCTCCGGCAATGCTGACGTGTGTCGGATGCAGAGCTGGAAGAGGATGGTGTTCGCATTGCCCTCACCATCGTTGACACCCCTGGATTCGGCGATAACATCGACAATGAGTTCGCGTACGATTCCTCGGACTCACAAGCTGGAATGTTGCTGATGACGGACAACTGCCATAGCTTTCAGGAGATTGTGGGCCACCTGGAGCGCCAATACGACGACATTCTCGCTGAGGAGTCCCGTATCAGGCGTAACCCGCGCTTTCGCGACAACAGGGTTCACGCCCTACTGTACTTCATCCCTCCCACTGGGCACTCGTACGTGTCATACCTGCTCCGGCGTGCGCCGTATTGAATTTGATCATCTACAGCCTGCGTGAGATGGATATCGAGCTGATGCGCCGGCTCTCTCCTCGTGTCAATGTCATTCCGGTCATTGGCAAGGCCGACTCACTCACTCCCAGTGAGCTCCGCGGGTTTAAGAAGCGGGTACGTGGCAGCCATCACCGAGGTCGCTACCGTGATCTCAGAGAATGGCTCGCAGATCATGGAGGACATTGAGTACTACGATATCCCCGTTTACAACTTCCCGTATGACGTTGAGGAGGATGACGAGGACACCATCCAAGACAACAGCGAACTTCGCGTGAGTTATATCTCTGTTGAACGTTAAGTCTACTCCATGCCGAGTGACGTATCCGCTTTGTAGGCCATGATGCCCTTCTCTATCGTCGGATCAGAGGAAGAGGTCGAGATTGACGGCCAGCTCGTCCGCGCCAGGATCTACCCTTGGGGTATCGTCGAGGTCGACAACCCGAAGCACTCTGACTTCAGCCGTCTCCGGGGTGCTCTCCTCAAGTACGTTATCTAGTCATCCTGACAGTGGTGCAAACAGATGCTGACGCACCTCAAGCACCCATTTGGCTGACCTCAAGGCGTTGACCCACGATGTCCTGTACGAAACCTACCGTACCGAGAAGCTCTCGAGGACGGTTCATTCGGATACGCAGTATGTTCTCGTCTACGTTGCAGGGGCTGTGCGATTTAACGATGGGATATTCACAGGGATTCATCCATCCTTCCCGAGGAATTGGCCACACAGAGCGTGCGTCTCAAGGAGGAGCAGCTCCGTCGGGAGGAGGAGAAGGTCGGTTACGTTGCGAAACAAGATACAGTTTCACAGCCTGATGTCATGTGTCCTCTAGCTTCGCGAGATCGAGCTTCGGGTGCAGCGCGAGATCAACGAGAAGAGGCAGGAACTGTTGGCGAAGGAGGAATCGCTCAGGTGCGTTCACATCGTTGTTGCACCGGCGAACTTCGCGATTGATGCATCTCAATCTATAGAAACCTCGAGAGTCGACTGGCTGCCCAGGGTTCGCAATCGGAGTTCCGCGAGTGAAGTCTTGCGCCATCATGATGCCCGGGCGAAAAGCGGGACAGAGAGCCAGTATACCCCTCTTGTCAAGACTGCCTAAGTTGTCTCGTCTAACCTCCTTCGCGCACGGTTTCTATCTGGGGTTAGCATTCGGATAATCTGTTGTGTTTCAATGTTCGCTTCAGGCTTGCTTCTCTTCGTCGTCGGTCCTTCTAGCGCTTATTCCCGACCCCAAGTACTCTCTCGCGTTGTCGGCCGTAATACGTGATTACTCGCTCGTTTGGATATTCGTATGCTTAATAACATCACCTGCGGCCTGAATGTGCCCTCATGCGTGCTGTGAAGCCGTATTGGAAGATAGGGGCTGGATGGCGTATACTGGTGCGAGGATCGGAATTGCGGGGTGATGATGATCGTGCGAGCAATAATAAAGCCACTTACTCCCGGGTGATCGGCAGATCCGGACATGGCCATTTGGTGTGATCATCTTCGTCCTGGTGGCGTCGCTGCGTAGTGTCTGAGTGAACATCATTCCGGGCACCGGGTGCTGTTCATCATCCCACGAAACCGTCCGGGCGTGCGGGCGTGCTGTCGAGACGTGTACGGCGGTGCGCTGGGGACCCCTGGCTCTGAGTGTTGTGGTATGCCAGTACAGCGCAATAAAAGGTTGTGTGTGAGATCGAGGCTCGGTAGGGGCGGGCTGGGCTGGTAAAGTGGCTCTCCACGGATTAGGACTCCGCCGCCGCCTTCCAAAGAAGGAAGCGAGGACGGCTCGGCCTGGTGGCTTCACAGGCCGCCTGCATTCACGTCTGATCAACGTCTCCCACTCCTCTTCACCCGCCCCGCCGCCCTCGTCCCCGTCCTCACCGTTCTCCTCGTCGCCGCCCAGCTCCCGCAGCAGCGACCTGCGGTCGCGTGCCTCATATCTTGCCGAGATAACGCTGCGTTCGAGCGCTTCAACTGCTACCATTCCCGGCCAATTCCCGGCCGCTACGACCGACGCTCCTGTTCTCGGCGCAGTCCCAGGGTTGGCATTCCTGAAGCGCTGCTCAGTACAGTTGGACTTTGCTTGACTTGGTGGATTCACCGTCTCTCCTGCTGTGCCACAATCACCTCGGCGACCCTCTGCTAGACCAAAACAAGTCGCTGTATTGTTGAACAAGGACACCTCCCTCGTCTGCCCCGCTGGGCAAGCAGCACCCCTTCCTCACGCTGGCGACATCACCTCCTAGTGCTCTCCCACTCCCCCTTCAACTGAGTCCTTGCTATGGAGCTTGATTACCAGACACAACCCATCCCCATCATGCACCAATCGCGTGCTTGGCAGGATCAGGACGCCATGGGGGGCACCGTTCCCGCCTCGACATCGACCTTCGTATCCCGACGCCGTTCAGTGATGAACCATGCCCCGCCGCCCGGTCCCCCACCGTCACAACCCATCCCAAGCGTACCTGCGCTCCCCATGGCGCAGTACGGGATGTATGACAGGGTCACAGACGCGTACGAGTATGACAACGGTACGAGCTCTCAGGTCCATGCGTATTCGCGTCCGTCCGGCTCGCCCAATCTTGCTGCCATTGCGTCATACTCGCAAGCACGGTTGGCAGCAGCGTCGAGCTCAGGTCCTCCGCCTCCGCTCAGCGCGTCGTCGTCGTCAGATAATCTGTCCGACCCGCCCCCTCGCTCGATGCTCCGTGCCAACATCCCGCCAAGACAGCCATCGTCCACTTCACATGATATTGTCCCGGACCGCTTGTTGCTGAGCCCTCCAGATTCTCGTCCGTCAGAGTCAAAACCTTCATCAAGACGCGCTCTGACCAAGGCGCTGGAGCTAGCAAGGGAGGCTGTCCGTCTGGATTCCAGCAATGATGACCCCTACGCGGCAGTGGTCGCGTATGGGCAGAGTGTTGCGTTGCTCAGCCAGGTGATGGAGCGCGTCATGCGCGGGGAAGACAGCACGGAGTCTTACAGGAAACAGAACGGCAGGCGGAGAAGCGTAGTAGCGCAAGAAGAGGAAGTTCGACGACTCAAGTCTATAGTGGGTGCTTCATTAGTGTGTAGCCGTGGTTATAGCTCACCTTGGTATCTCATTCGCGCAGCATGACACATACGCTGACCGGATGAATATCCTCAGCTCAATTTACAGTATACCACTGCCTCAGTATTCCCCACCGTCCATACATTCCTCCACCCTCTCACAATCTTCCAACTCGACGCGACCGTCTTCCCCTGCCTCAACGTCTCCCACGTCTGACTCGTCAGAGTCTGGACTTATCCATGCCTCGGCGCGGCGCCGCAGTCGAGATGCGCCTCGTCATTCGGGAGATACTGTGCGACTAGAGGACGACGACGAACTCAGTGCTGAGGACGCAATTGGCACGGCGCTCTCCACGTCCACGACAGTGACTACGGGTGGTCGCGTACCATCTGCTAGTTCACCCTCAGCGCATCCGTACGCGGCTTCAGCAGCCTCGAGTGCAGCCGCGCGTACTTCTACTGTCCCTGCAGTGCGATCTCGACCCCGAGCCTCATCAATACTACCCCCTCCAGCTCCTCCTCCAACCACTACCCTTCCACCCACTCCACCTGGACCGCCGGCTGAGCCGGTAGGAACATCACATCTACTAGGCGCGCCAGAAACGGGGCGATTGAGGGGCAGCTCTGTTAGTCACTCACGAAATAACTCCGGTAGTCGCTTATCGGCTCTGCGAGAAGAGAGACGCGAGGACGGCCTGCCTTCGTCCGATCATACACATGGTGAAGACCCTACTCGTTCGCGTTCGAGGACAGCCTTGTACCCCCATGACATTCACCCACTACCTCCTTTGCCCGTGCCGTCGTCGCCGGACGTTGCTTCTACGCCTCGCATTCATGGCGCGACGAACGGACAGGCGTCAGAGCCTGCATCTCCACATGCGAGCTCGCATTTCACAACGCCAAGACCAAGGGGCGGGTCGACCTTCTCGACGCGTTCAGAGGCCACGCCGACGAAGATGCCACCGAATTTGATCAACACCTCGCCGAACTTGGGCACCATCTCTCAACGGCGGGGCAAGACCTCAGCGCCGCCCTCATCGACGACTTCGTCATCACCGACGGACTCGACTATGTCGGCCGCGTCTGTGTCTAACATGGCCCGCCTGGCGACAGGAACGCTTCCTGCGAGCACAGTTTCCAGCTTGGGCATGGCTGGTCGGAACCGAGCTTCTTCACAGCCCGGCAGGCGACCTTCCGTCGCAGGGCCTACCTCCTACTTCCCACCTGGCGCAACCGCCGTGCCTAGCACTGCGCCCATCCCGCGGAAGGCGTCGATACCGTCTTCGCGTCTCAATCCGAACGCACCCCCCGCGATCTCTATCAACACGGCGCTGATGTCACCGCCATTGGGAGCTATGGCGCCTCTTGTTCCCCCTCCGCCAATACCGTACACTAACATTCCCAATGCTCCCTTGTCTCCCCTCCCTTCATTGGCGCCCCCCGATCCAGTGCGCAAGCCCTACCACATGATGACCCTCCTCCGGCAGACGATGGTCTCCAAGACCGGTGGGTATATTACGAGGCGACTGCACGTCCCGCAAGAGGTCTGGTCGCAGGGCGGCGCGAAGCTGACGAATATACCGGAGAAGATCCGCGTCGTCGAGGTGCTCTGTTCCTCGCTCGAGGAGCTGCAGCACTGGAGCGTGGAATACTTCGGCGCGGGGAGCGTGAGCAGCGGGATGGTGCTCGGGATCGGGAGCATTGGCCGCCGCGAGGGCGAGGGGTGGTCGACGAAGATGGAGGAGTTCGCGAACGTGTGCGACGGCGTCGTGGGCAGCTTTGGCAAGAAGCTCGGTGTCGGCGAGGGCTTCGTCATGAAAAAGAACAGCGGCGTAAGTGTGACATGTTACGGCATGTACATGTGTATTGATGTCATATTGACTGCAGGTGACTTCATGGGGCGGCAAGCTCACCCGACAGTTCGACAAATTCACGAATGGCAAGAAGTACGTAAAAACCTTGTCTTCATGTTAGATCGCGCCGCTAACGCCGACGCTAGCCTGGACTCCCCTGCTTCCTACGTGCAAGGCCTGTCGAAGCTGTTTCAGATCGTTCAGATCCTGGACGAACACACGAAGGCCGCCACCTCTGTACCGCCTGCACCCCTCTATGCAGGGTTCCCTGTAGACATCCGGCAAGGCCTCGAGTACAAGCTCCGTCATGCCTCTGAGTTCTTCGCGAAAGTCGTCCTCACGTTCGTCATCGGGGACATGTCGCTCCTCCTCGACAAGTACGTGAAGAAGTGCGAGAAGTGGCTCGCGGAGTGAGGCGTGCCATGGATGAAAGCGGCCACCGGGAGGTCAGGCCTCTGGTGGTATACGGGGTGTGTAATATTATTCGTGCAAGCCAGGCAGTCAAGAAGATTTCCACCGCATTGTAACAATATGCTTCAAGATTAGATTTCCCCATCTTTCCTCCCATCTGGTGTCTCTGCACTTTTCGTTCACCCGTCTCTTTCTGTTCGGTGGATCCTGTCACATAGTAATATATCTTCAGTCGACCATCTTTATTACCCCTGCCGCCTTCTTCTGTATAAATTGGGCCTTTGCGGTGCAATAATCCTGGCTTGTAAAGTTACCCCGTACATACCTGCTAATAGTACATATCCGCGAGCGGATCGCAAGTGCACACACCGGAAGGGGGCCTTTGCGCTGACGAATTGGATGCATTCACACATATCCCAAAATGAGGTGAAAAGGTATACAACAGAATAAGCCAAACAGGTCAGTGTCTCTTTGCATGCGGTACACAGATGAGAAGTCTGAATGATGGAAGTGGATGGCCTTTGGAAGTGGATGATGGTCGTTGGCATGGGTTACAGGTGGTTATAAGCATGAGCTTAGGGAAGACACTTGGGGGACGAGGGTAGGACTACATGGTCTGGGAAGGATATAAATTTATACAGTCCGGCATGCTATGCATGCATCACCGAGACACCTAGATGGCAGCGGAGTGTGCGTTCGCATGGGTGTGGGTATGTATGATGGGGAATGGTACAATCTGTGGTATAGATTCGGGCTCAGGCGTTGGCTCTTTGCCGCGTAGTCTGCTGATGATGCGCAAGCGCAAGACTGCGACACAGAGGTCGTCAGTGACGGTGAAAGGGTGCAGCGTCGCACGACGTACTGTATCAAGACGAGCGTTCTCGTCCGCGATCTCATCGTCCGAGTCAGCCAAAGGGTCGGTGGTCATAACGACGTGCCATGCCTCTGTCGACAGATTCGTCACTATAACGTTCGCGCAAGACTGACGTGGATTGATGCATACGATCAAGCATAGAGTGCTGGTTCTCCGGCGGGCGCGGAGCCGCCGGCGGCGGTCTCTCGTACACGGGCGAGTGGTGGGGAGCATATGTGTACACCGGGCGGGGCGGTGGCGGGGCGGGCGGTGGCGCATACGACTGGTAGATGTATGGATTCTCCCTTGGGTGCGGATGCGGCAACGGCTCAGGAAATGTGTGAGTGCGGGCGCGCGTCCGGGTCGGCCTGCCGCCGTTCGACGGTGGCGGACCAGGGCTTGATTGTCGCCGTGGGTAGGGATCCGCGAAGTGTCGCGGGTCACGGATGTCTGAGAATAGATCCGGTATCGACGGCAGACGTTCTGTTCGAGGCGGCGGTGGGAGAGATGGCGAAGGGAAGCGTTCTCTGGCCTGGCTCAAGGATGGAGGTGGTAACGAGGGAGAGGGCCGGCGTGGTGGCCGTTCGCTCCACGGAGACTGCGGCTGTCTTTGGTACGGCTCGGGAGAATAACGGTGCGCTATTAGAGTATGGTGCGTCAGCGTACGTGCACAATGTGATACATGTCAAGCACCGTCAACGGACCTTCGGGAGCATCTTGCAGCATGGGCGGCAACGAAATGAAGCTCTCCGCGGGAGACGCCTCCCGCTCGCGCTCCTTATCTCTACTACTTGGGCCTGCCATACTCGACGACTCGGCATGTTCCGCGGCCTCCGCCTGCCCCGAGACCTACCCCTCGGTGCACCTCTGCCTCTGCCCTTGGGTTCGCTGCTGTCGTCCATAGGTTCTCCGTCGTCTTCTTGTGCCTTCTTCGCCATGAAAGTTCGGCGCTGCTCCGTCATGCTTTCACCCCAAGCACGTTCGTCCGGAGGATCGACGTTCTCCAGCGCCGCCTCTTCCTCCGACAGCATGACGAGAGCCGGTATTTTATCCGGGTTTGTGCTCGCATAGCCTTGCGAGAAGGGGTTGGGCGACCCATGCTCGTGATAGTGAAAGCAGAGCCACAGGAACGCGAGTGCGCGTGAGGCGGAAGAAACGGGAACGGGCGTGAAGAAGTCGAGAAAGTCAAGGTTCGCGCTCGGCCCGAAGTGCGTCCTGGCAACTGCCTAGTGTGCCAGAAGAGGAAGGGGACGATCAGCACTTACGGCCGGCTCATGCGGAACGCGAGCGAGGGGGGCACTTACGCCAGCATGGATGGAGAACGTGAAGATGAGGTTCACGATGCTCGTCGGCGGCACCTGACCTGACCGCTAGTGATCCAAACTGTCAGTGTCACTCGTGAGCGATAGTTCTTTATGGTCACTGACGGAGCGCGCCTGCACGTCTGCAGGGGAGAGGAGGGAGCCCTGGGGCTCGGTGTCGAGGTAGCACGATTTGAGGATGTTCTTTATCCGAGGGGCGTCCTGCAGATTGCCGTTGGTCTTCTGGAGGGAGGGGACGGGGTGGTACGTGCGCAGTGCGGTACGCATCTCTGGGAAGACTGTTGACAAAGGGACGTCAATGAGGATCGATTGGCAGAGCGGTCGACTACGTGAGTTGGGTCGTTCAGAGACATCGTGCGGCCATCGCAGAGCCAAAGTCGCGCGAGTGGCGATTGCGTGAATTTAGGGAGTGCCAGTGACAGCCCCTATTAGAGATACGTAGGAGATCGCAGGCAGGGTGCCGTATACTTACAGGCCATGGTGGTATTTATGCGACCGACGTTGGAAAGGAGGGACATCTTCGCGAACTCGTCGCCAAAGTCGGGGGACTCCATTATTTTCTCCCTGGCGGCCTTTGAGCAGCGGGGCGAGTGGAGGAGGCAGTTGATGTAGAGGTCGCGGAAGGTAACGAGCGTCCTGGGCGGGTCGCCATGGATTGTCCTGTACGGATCGGTAAATGCGGCCTGGGTGTTTGAGAATATGTAGTTGAGGAGGTCGTGCTGGAGGTCGGCACGCGTGAGGGGCTCTCCATCGAGGTGCTTGACCGCGAGCGTCTTCCTGCTGGTCGTCTGGGAGCTGTAAATATGAGTGTGAGCGTCGTGTCGCACGTCGGCGGAGAGGGGGGAGGCGGGGGACGCACGCGGTGTTGGGCATGAAGCCTGTGGGCGGGGGATGAGGAGGCGGGGGGAGGGCAGCAGCCACATTCCTTACGGCACCGCCCGATGCGTACATTATCCCGATCGAATCTCATAGCTGCACGCTCGCAGATCCCGCTCCCATCACTCCCCGCCCAACCCCCGCCCTCCTCGCTTGCCCGCCAACCACCCGCCGCCGCCGCCGCCCCCGTCGTCGTCCACGTCTGGCGGGCATGCGTATGCCCGGCATGCTGGGGCGAAGATGCGGGGCATTGGGCTCCACGCCGACCCTTCACGTAATGCGTCATACCTGAGCAACTTCACGCCGCCGCTGCGTTATATAGTGAGCTCGACCGCGACGCATGTCTCCAACGCACAACCTCCCTCCTTTGTCGCCAAAATAATCTCACGACTCTACAAACGGCGACTGTTCAGCAACATGTCCAGCGCCCAGAAGCAAAAGGCACTCTTGCAGAGCCACACTTACCCTCTCTCCTTCGACCCCAAGACGTACGACCCGCTGCTGTCCGCCATCGGTACGTGCGGTGCTGGTCAAAGTAGACGCAACGTAGACTGAAGCATGGCGACTGCACTTGGCAGGAAACGCGCAGGTTGTCCTAATCGGCGACGGCTCCCATGGGACGTTCGAGTTCTACGAGCATCGAGCGAACCTCACCAAGCGCTTGATCGAAGAGAAGGGGTTCACTGCGGTAGCTGTTGAAGCTGACTGGCCGGACGCCTTCCGCGTCAACAGGTGCGCCGCCGCCACTTGCATTTGATGCGCCTCCACCAATTCGGCGCCGCCCATAGGTACATCCACGGTGGCAATCTCAGAAATGGTGTCATTCAAGATGCTCGGGATGCCTTAGCGGACTTCGAGAGGTAAGCAATTCTTGTTGGATATCCGCTGCTAGATGTGCGACTGAGACTTCGCTCAGATTCCCCAAGTGGATGTGGAAGAACGAAGTTATGCCCGGGTTCATACAGTACATGCGGGACCACAACGACCGCATCATGCGGGAGACCAGCGATCCATACAACAAGGTTTCCTTCTTCGGCATGGACCTCTACTCCCTGAACCGCTCGGCGGACGAGGTTATCAGGTATCTCGAGACCGTGGACCCTGAGGGTGCTAAAGCGGCTAGGAAGAAGTACGTCCCGGTGTTTGAATTGTGCGTGTGCCATGTGCTTATGTAGGCATAGATATAACTGCTTTGAGCGATTCGGCGAAGATACCACGCGCTATGCGTACGAGACACAGTTTGGTCTCAAAAAGGTTCGTGCCTTTCGAGTTGCTCCGTCCGACCACACGCTGATGACTCGCTTCTGTAGGATTGCCACCGGGAAGTTATCCTAAATCTGCGCAACCTCCTCCACAACCGGAAGAAGTACATCGAGGAGCAGGGTCAAGCGGACGGCCATCCGGACGAGCAGCACTTCGTCGCAGAGATGAACGCGCTCGTCGTGCGGGATGCTGAGGAATACTACCGCACGATGATGTCGGAGGACACGCTGAGCTGGAACCTGCGAGACGACCACTTCGCGCGGACGCTGCGCAAGGTCGCTGACCATCTGGGCGACGGCACAGGCCGGAAGGCAAAGATTGTTGTCTGGGCACATAATTCACACATCGGCGACGCGAGGGCGACGGATATGGGTCGCAGGAGAGGTTAGTTTCACTCTTAAGCGTTTGTGTCGCGTTGCTCAATATAGCCATCTGGCAGGTGAAATCAATGTTGGACAGCGTTGCCGTGAAATTTTTGGCGCGGACAACGTCTTCAACGTCGGCTTCCTGACCAACAGAGGTACTGTTACCGCGGCGTACGAGTGGGACGACCCCCCGCGCATCCACCGCATGAACCCCCGATCGAGCCTTCCATTGAGCGAGTGTTCGACGAATGGGCATCCGGCGACTGCTTCGTCATCACGCACAAGATCGAAAACACGCCGAATGGGAATGAGAAGCAGGAGATGTCCCCGGAGCTCTCTGAGTGAGTGATCCTTCCCTTCCCTTCCGCGCCACGCACCGCTGACGTTGGCTGGTTCACACACAGCTTCCTCAATCGCCCGCGCTACGAGCGGTTCATCGGCGTGATCTATCGCAAGGACACCGAGGTACCATCCCACTATTCGAAGTGCAGTGTCGCGGATCAGTACGACGCGGTTGCGCACATCCGGGAGTCGAGGGGCATTCGGCCCTCGAGCGGGAGGAGGACAACCAGCGGGTGGATGGGGATGTCGTGGAGACATATCCGTTTGGGGAGTAATGCTGCTGAGGCGGCGTAGATGGGTGTGGCGCGGTATGGCGGAGAAAACAGCAGCGGCAGAGATGGACATGGCATAGCATGCAGTGTATTTTTGGCCGACATCACTTTGTACCATAGCCAATTCGCTGGTGCAGTGGCGGTACGTACTGCAATTGTGTTGGTACCGTACTAGCTACAAGCCGTCGCTCGGCTAAGCCTAATCGCTGATTATTGTTCAGCACCGTCCAGCTGGGTCTGATCATGTTCTGCTGCTAGCTTCGCCCGCTGCCGAGCTCTCGGTGCCGTGAGCAATTTATCCCGGAGGCGCTCGCGGGTTCTGCGGTGAGGGAGAAGTGAGCATTGGACGTCCTCGACATTGCAGCGGGCGATGCATGCGAAAAAGACAGATCTGGCGTGGGGCGGACACCTGCGACGGACAGTCACGGACTGCGAGCATATGGTGATCAACGGTGCGCAGTCGCGACGTGCGAAGGTCGCGTCGGGGGCAACTATCTGGGATGGGATCTGGTGAGGTCAGTCCCGGCCTCTGGACCTTGTCCAGCTTGGCTCCGAGGCACAACAACCATCCCGCCCCTTATACTCACCACCCCGCCGTCGCGGCCCTCCTCTCGCTGTCTCCTCCAGTCCGCAGGATGCTGGACGTCCCTGCCGTGGCCTCCTGCTAGTCGGCCTCGCATTGCCGTCATGTCCTTCGTTAAGCATGTTCTCTCCCTTCTGGTCATATTGCTCTCGCTCGCGTCGCGCTCGGTGTTGGTGGCGGCAGCGGGCGTGCAGAAAGAGACGATTGGCATTGCAAGCCCGGACGTCGTCTACTCCACGGGATGGAGCACTGTGTCGAACGCGGCCGGGTCGTTCATGCAGACGAGCGGCAAAGCGAACGAGGTGGAAATATTCCTCCCAGGTGCGTGTCTCAGCCGATGGTCTGAAGTTCCAGAACGCTGATGATGATATCTGTGCAGCCGGCACAGTTTCTCTGTCCTATGTCGGCTTTAAGCAGACCGGCGGAGCACTGTACGCCGTTTGTCTGGACTGTGGATCGTCGGGAAAGCGATTGCTACTATTGAACGCATCCGACCCGAACGCCGACTCTTCGACTCCGGTGCGTATGCATCGCCTTGACTACTGGAGTTATCTAGACACGCTGTCAAATAGGTTGTGTTGTTCTCGTTCGCCGGCCTGGATCCCACGACCGCGCATAATCTGCAGGTCGTGAATTCTGCCGACCCTGCATTCGGTGATACCAGCGTACTCACATTTAAAGAGCTGGACATCACCGTGGACACTACTGGTATCGTACATTTTACCGCCTCGCCGTGATGCTCAGACTGACGTCTCGTCACTCCTCAGCCTCGACGTCTTCGAGTACGAGTGCAACCACATCAACTACTACCACAAGCTCTTCCACATCGTTGAGCACATCTAAGACTACATCATCATCATCTGCTGTATCAATAGCACCAGCACCCTCTCGCAGTCAACATCGCTCTCCACCACCTCGATCTCCACCTTGACCTCCTTGTCCACCACCTTAGCACCAACCACCACCCGCACAACCTCTTCCTCGTCGGCCTCATCCAGCACTACCTCGCCCGCTGGCTCGCTCTCCCGCTCCGGGCTCTCCACCGGCACCATCGTCGCCGCCGCCGTCTCCTCCGCCGGGGCGGTCCTCCTCCTCCTCGGATTCGCCATCTGCCTCCTCTACCGTGCGCGCAACCGCCAGCTCCGCTCTGACTTCGAGTCCAACTCCCTTGCCTCGGGGCTCACCCGCCAAATCAGCGCGCCCTCCGTCGTCGCCGTCCCCTTCGAGGAGGCGCCTGCTGCCGCCGTCTCAGCGTACACGCCGCCCCGCAGCGCGACGTCCGGCAGGCCGAATTCATGGGGCAATTTCAGGCGGCGGTCGTACAGGACAGGCGCGGCCCTAGCGTCGGCGATGGGCGCTGCCCAGCAGAGGGACGGCGTCATGAGCTCGATGTCCTCCGAGTCAGTGCCGCTGCGCCCGCGGAATCCGTACGAAGGCGTCATCCAGCCTGACGTACCCATCGACTATCCTTCACACGTGCCCAGGACTCCAGGTGAGCATGCTTCGTGCAGACGTTGCAACGGCGTTCTCAGGTGGCTGACTACCCATTCGATTCATAGGCACTCCAGGGACCAGTCGCCAGCGCGGAATGTTCAGGTAGCGACGGCGGGCGGGCGGCGACTCGGACTCTTCTTACAGTATAATTTGCTTTACTTGGGGTCGCCAAGCTGCACGCCCGGCCGCAGCTCGCGCGACGCGACTCTATTCCAGAACCTACCGGCGCACGTCAGGCCGGTTACCACAGCGTCGCGACGCGGGCCCAGCGATAGGCCTGCATCATATCATGAACTTCGCTGCTTCGCGCATTGCGCTCTGGACAGGGCCAGAACTGCCTCGCAACCGTAATCCCTGCTTGTATCTACGCACTTACACACGGTCGGGTTGACCCCGGCCTCGCCCTTACCTTAGCCGTGCCCTAAACCATGTCCCTGCTGGCCCAGGTCGGACTGTTGGAACGTAACGAATCGAACGCGGACTCCGTAGCCTGTAATATTTCCACTCCTGTATAATGTTGCTCGTTCCGGGAAATACACAAGGGGAGGCAGCGGCGCTGTGTGCCGTATACAAGAACATACGAATCGTGCAATGCCCAGCAGATGCCACTGCTCTGAATAAGTAATAAGGAGGGAGGACTCTACGCGTACACGATTATAGTAAGTGCTTCATATAGGTGTCAAAAGGGTAACCAATCTGGGGTGATCCAACGTAACATATTGCTCCGAAAGAGGCGTGAGGACCGGGGGCGGGAAAATAACGATGAACTCCTGGCGATCCGCTGCGAGAGTTACGAGTGCTACAATGACTGCAAAGGAGGGGTGAACGAAGATCGAAGGTATATGGCACAGAAGGTATATAATGCAACAAGCGGGAAAAGCATTTGGGGGTAACGCAGAGGGGAGACGTAAGTAGACACGAGAGCTTACGAGGGGGAATTATGTGGCACTTCAGTCACCTATAATATCCACCTCTCATCAGCACTGGCTCAAGAATCTGAAGGACGAAACTCACGATCCCGCCAGAACTCAGAAATATTCTCCAACACCTCGATCACGACGCTGCCCTTGTACATGAGCGCATGGTCCGCTCCCTCGATAACCTTAACGAAGCATCTATCGCGGCCCATCGTGTTCTCCATCCAGCGCACCGCGTTCTCCGCGATGCGCTCGTCGTGCTCGCCGTACCACACGCGCACCGTGTGCGGGTACGCCGCGTACGAGAAGCCCCACGGCTGCCGGTCGTGGTTCAGGATCTGCACAAGGTCGCGGTGCGTGCCTTGGCGGACTCGGCGTGCGAGGCTGCCACGAGCGCGTTGCCCAGCATCGCTTGGAAGCTGGCAGGCGTGTCGTCGGCTTCGGGAATTGGACTCGGGGGGAAGGCGTGGACAGGGCAGGGCGCTCACCGACGCACAAGGAGATAGACCGTCGTCCATTGGCGCGTAAGGCGAAGGGGTCATCGTCCGGGAAGTCGATCGACGCTGCGTTCATTGAGGATGGAGAGGTCGCCACAGCTGGAGGCGTGGAGGTAGATTTGATCCGTATCGTATCCGAAAAGTCAAGACCATCAAGGTCGAGATTGTCGAGGCCGAGCCCAACGTCCGCGTTGGCTTGCGGCAGGGGTGACGGAAGCCGAGGTACTGGCGGTGGCCCTGCGGGCGACGTTGGTGAAGGTTTCTTCCCTTTAAGATTACCCATAGACCGCAGGACCTTCAATTTGGTCCCACTGCGATGGCCACCGTCTTGCGGAGACTGCGGCTGCCCGCTTTTGAGTCGTCCAAGGAAGCTGCGCGACGCCTTCCGCTGGATCGCCTTGCTTGAGGTCGCCTCTGCGCCTTTTTGGTCCGAATTCGTGCTCTTCCGCCCGAGACTTGTCTGGCTCTCAAAGCATCCATCGAAATCACGCAGGTCATCGTACTCGCTGAAAGCAATTGACGAGATGCTTGGTCTGGGATCCACGTCAGTCTTGGTCTCGAGGTGTGAGGTGGATTGACGCGTTGGCGTTGGCGTTGAGTCAGAACGGGACGCTATGGGTGAGGGAGAAGTAACAGGAGACTTGGATGCGACAGGTGAGGCGACAGGGGAACTGGCGTCGAATCCGATTCCCTCAAACTGGAACGAAGGGGGTTTGCCGATCATCCAGGCTTGTATCTTCCACTCGGCGGCCTGAGCAGTCTTGAGTATGCCGTTCGGAACGTACTTCAGCCACTTGTAGCCAGCTGTATACGACCAGATAAACAGCCGTTCGATCCATCCAGCATGCGCTCCACTCACCACCTTCTCCCCCTCCAACCCAAGGGGCCAAGAGACAGACTTCGCCTCGTACCCGCTCTGGATACTTGTTAGCGAAGGCCAGGGCATACGGTGCCCCTGCAGAGTGCGCCATCACACTGCATTGGTCGATTTTCAGCCTGTCAAGCACCTCCTCTACGACGTGAGCCCACTCTGGAATTCCCCGCGCCGACTTGCTCCTCGGGCTGTCTGTTCGGCCTAGGCCCCAGCTACAGACGGGAATCAAACTCTAAGTCTCTACAAAGATGAGAAAGCATACCGGTCGATAGTGATCAGTCTGATATTCAGACACTCCGCCATCTCGTCATAGAGGCCCATGATATGCCTCACGCACCCCAGCCCGAGGAAGACGACGACAGGGTGACCTGTCGGACTGCCCAAGTCGGACAGACTGACATTCAAAGGGTGGTCCTCCGACGCATGCGGGAAACGAGTCAGAGGGAGAAGAGTAGTGAGACGGGCAGAGCGGAGGTACTGAGCGATGGCCTGTGACGGTGAGTTGGTTGGCGGTTTTGTCAAGGTCGACAGATCAAACCCAGGTATAGGCGGTTGATCGGAGGTAGTCGAGTAGGAGAAAATGGAGGATTCGCGGCGGCCTTCAGAGCGAGTGGATGACCCGTTCCGGGTATCGATCTGTGATACTGGAAGCCGGGGGAAGGAGCGGGATAGATGTAATGGTCGAGGACCAGGTGACGGTGCAAGTACTCGAGAGAGAGTCCGTTGCACCTCCTCAGCTATAGTGTCGACGGATGACCGAGATACCGGGTAGGCCTCTTCTTGGGGTTTCGACGGCTGAGGGCTCGGTTCGGGCTGCTCGTGGACAGTCTCGCGGGCATCTCGTGGCCGAAACTGCGAGCATAAGATGACTTTCGCGAGCGTGCTCGTTGAGCAGGTGGGGCGTGCGCGCGAATGATTTCCGAGATGGACGGCGCCACTGCCCTCGAAGGGCCCGCGATATGGTAGCTGTCATACACACTCGTAGACGGGACACTAGTCTCCTGCGAAGTGATTGACGGAACACTGGTTTCCTGCGAAGTGTACGACGAATCTGTGAAGCTAGCGGAGTTTGGGCTGGGGCCGGAGGTGGAAGAATAAGTGCTGGTCGGCCTGGACCATAATACGTAGCTCGTTGGCGTGGTCTGTTCCTTGGCGATGATTGACTGGTTCGTGGGCGTGGCAGTGGAAATGGAAGGCGGGCTGCGGGCAAAGAGAATGCTGCCGGGACGTGGAGGAGTAGGTGGACGTGGGGGAGTAGATGGATCCAGCGCACTAGGCGCGATAGACGAATGGCGCGATGACCTCGTGGAAACAGATCTGGCAGGTCGCGAAGGATAAACTGGGTGAGATGAAGTTGAAGTGATTGTGGGTGGGCTGCGAGCAGACGCAGGACGACGTTTCTTCCTATGCTCGCGCTGTTCAGACCAACTCCGGACAGGCGCATGTTCCGTCTCCTCGTCCTCATCCGAGTCCTGCGAGCGTGGGGAAGTGGCAGTCTGGCCGACCCTGCCCAAGACCACTCCAGGAGGAGGTTTCGGTAGCGGGGGATGATACAGCGGATGATGTCCAGTCTTCGATGCTTTCTTCCGACCAGACAGCCCGCCAGATCCGGTGTAGTGGTCGTCAGAGAAGCTGTCGTTCATACCGTCCACCAACGCATCCATCGTCTCCACCCCAGGTACGGGCGCAGCGACCACCACCGGCAGGGTATACACGGGATCCCGGAACAAATGGTCATCTACGGGAGTCTGTGGTGCATCATAGTGACTGAGCACTGAGGAGGCCGAGTCTACGAGGGATATGTTGAAGGGTCGGTTATGGAACGCGAGTTCGTCGAAGTCGTCAAGATAAGAAGACCCGGTGTGTCTCTGGGAACGCGAACGACGCCTCGCGTAGCGATCATCGGACATCGATAGTTCGTAACCGCCCATTGTAGGGAAGGGCTGGGACTCTATTTGCGATGGCACGACCTTTTTCTTGCCGCGCTGTCGCTCGCTGCTCCGAGTCCTGGCGCTGTGGAGGGAGACTTGGTCCTGCCTCGAGCTCCGGGACGACCGTCTGCTATGACGGCCCTGACGAGAACCTTGACGCGAGACGCCAGTCAAAATGGCTTCGGAGGGGTCCTGCAAGGAATGGAACGACGATGGTGACATGGACTCATCACCGACGCGAGACTGTCCCGGCGTCGGAGACATCGAGGGAAGAGAGGGGTCAATGGACGAGACCGACTTCTTCTTCGTCCGCTTCAGAGACAAGAAGGATGTCCTGGACGACTTCCTAGAGACTCGGTGCTGCAGCGGAGGCGGATCGATTTCGTAGGAGCTGTACGCATTGGGTGGCGAGCGGGTCGAAGTGGAAGCCATCAAGGGATATGGTAGTTCTCGGAAGCGACAGTAATGCAAAGGAACGAGTCAATGGTGGCCTGGTCGAGCTGGCAGAGGCCCGCCGCCGTCAGTGTCGTCGCAGTCGTCGACTGTCGTGGTGGTGAGCGACCAGAGAGAAGCTGGCCGTAAATTGATGCGAGACCGGGGATCAGCCGGGACGCGTATCCCGAGCGCCATGAACCTCAGTGCCTCACACAATTGACTGCTCGTACCGTCTCTACCCAAGTACCATCTCCCACATCATGCAGTCATGGCTGGCAACGCACAACATATATGTTTATATCACACGAGAAAATCGCGGGGAAAACGCCCTGAGTGTTACAGGGAGTGTATCAGAAGTTAAGTAACAGAAAGTATCGGCGCCTAAGTCGACGCTAGAAGACCTGCTGAAGCGAGCCTACGCCCGACAACAAGTCAGGCATTGAGGTGCAGGTGGGTACAGGGAGGTGTATACAAGATGTACGGACCGATACAGTGGGCACACGAACACGGTAGCTTCGCATCCGAGCAAGTGTTGAACCTAATTCATGATCTCGTGAGTTGTATGTACTTTGAGCTCACGTTTAAGCGGGACGTACCATCAAAATGAGCATGGCTGAAAAGACAGGACAATGTTGCGCTCGCCGCAAGCCGTAAATAGTGGACGGTATAAATCCTTCGTCTCAGGGTTCGGTGGGAACGACATGGGCGGCGAGATGAGTAGCTGTCGAAGAGCAGAAAGAATGTCGGACGTGACAAGGTCTGTCCAACTCGCAGGGACAACACAGACATCACGACCGACCACTTCCAGCACTTGCAGATTCCTACAGGACTCGGCTATGTGCACGAGCATTGGACCGCCCATGTAAAGGCCCGACAGGCGAAGTTTGTGAATAGCCGGGTTCCTGGGAGGCGCCTCTCTCCAGAACACATGATCCAGGTGAGAGGAACGGTGCTCGTAGGAAAGGGTTTCTAGCCTGGGGCAACGTGCCATTAATATGCAGACGAGCTGATCCGTCGTCCTGGAGTTTGACACGTCGCGGATACACACTTGCAAGGAACGCAAAGTGTCCAGCGAGTCGTGAACGAGGTCAATCATCGACCCGGAAACGACAGCGACGTTGTCCACCGTAAGGCTGGTGAGACGGCCGCACGACGTGGACCACGAGAGGACAGTCAGCTCGAGGTTGGACAGGATAAGCGACTGTAGGCGAACGAATCTGCAGGCCATCATGTCGTCCCACTCCAGCGAGCATGTTCTTGCCCATGGCTCGGCTTGTGTATAGCTCCCGTCAACGCAGAGCTCAGTCACTGTTTGCGGGCTGATCAGGAATTGCAGGAACCTCTCCGCAGCGACTGCCAAACTGCCCCCGAGGGCGACCTTCTGCAGCCCACCGAGGCTCAAAATGCGTCGGAGGCTCGCCATGAGCTCCGCCGAGCATCCGCGGCCTATGGGGCGGTCGACGGCCGGGCGAAGCTCGATGCCTCGGACTAGGAAGGCTAGGTGTGGGTTTCCTCCAATCGACCGCGCGAAGGATACGCATGCAGTGGATGTGTAGAGAGTGGGGCGCAAGTAAAGATGTTTCCTGACGTGTTCGAGCCACGCCGGAGAAACCAACGCCAAACGGGTGAAGTCTCGCGGCCACCAGTGGTCGTATGCGTTGAGAATGTGGGGTATGAGGTCGTCAACTAGTCGAGGGCCAGCATGCATCTTGGTGATCAGTCGTTGCGGAGAACGGACGGTAGGCACGGCGCAGTGCAACTGCGAGGCAGCATGCCTGGCAGCAGCCTGCGAACAAGCAGAGCTCGACCCGGAGCCTGGAGTGAAACAGACTCACCTGCTGGGCGTGCCAGTGGCAGCGAGGACCCCGTCCAATCACCGCCCGTCTTGTTCTTAGCCCATTGCCTCATTGGATCATCACGTGAAGGGGTTCGATCTAGATCTGGCCGATGGAGGATCGCGATTCACTGTTGCGGGGAAGACTCAAAGCAGACTCCGGCAATTGCCAATGCAAAGCGCGTTCGACGCTGTATGAGACTCGTCCTCGACGTCTCTGCTGTGTAGCGCATGGCGACAATGTTTCACCGTTCCACGCTGGGAGTGCCGGATTCTCGGCAGAGACAACCTGCCGGACTACACTCAATCAGATTATTTGAAACCATCCGGTGTCTTTCGGTCTTGCTGCGATAAGACATGCTTGGGCACGACCAGCGAGTGGGGCTTGCTTTCGTTCTGACCATTCGCTGATTGTACGCATACTGGTTCCACAATGTCGAGCGTCGGCGAGAAGAGCTTGTCCGAGGTTTCTGGCGTGAAAGGCGTCGTAGCAGAGACAGAGGACGTGTTCGGACCTGAAGATGACCACGACATACAGTACAAGACACTCAGCTGGCAGGTACGTGCCGCTCTGATGTATCGTACGCTCTGAATGTCTTTGACGGCAACATATGATATAGTATGTCGCCTTCTTCATGATTGCTGAGATCGTGAGCAATGGCATGCTCACGTTGCCGAATGCAATGGCCGCCGTTGGTAAGTAGGCACTTGCAGTCTGCGTCACAGTACTACCGTGCAGTTATACTGACTGCTCCATACGATGCTCAGGGATTGTGCCGTCTCTCATATTGACGATCTTCTTGGGCATGTTCGGACTATTCACCGCGAAGCTCTTGATCGACTTCAAGCTCAACCATCCTGATGTGCACAACATGGGTAAGGAGCTGGGTTACAAGAAGGCTGTTGTCACTCAAATTCAATGTTGTTCCTCACTCTAGGGGATGCGGGCTACCTTATCTTTGGTCCCATAGGGCGAGAAATCTTGTCAATAGGCACTATCATATTCGCAATATTCGGCGTGGTGAGCCCCCTGCTCCCCTCCTGGTCTTTCAGTTCCCCTGACACCATCTTCCAGGGGTCTGAAATTCTGTCAGGTCAACTGGCGCTCACCACGCTATCTAACAACGGCATGTGTGCCGTTGATCTCCTCCTGATTTTCTCAGCGGCGACTTTTATTATCTCACTACCTCGGACCCTCGGAAATATGAGTTGGCTGGGCTTCGTTAGCACCATAGCAATTACCCTTTGCGGGTTTCTTGCAATGGTTGGTGCTGGCGTAAACCCTACGCCCGGCCGTACATTGTCTGCCACAGTCCCTACTACTTTCTACGACGCGTTCTTGGCTGTCACTGGACCTGTGAGTATTGGAGTGAAGTGTCTTGCGCTGCAAAATTGAACCATCTAGCACAGGTCTTCGCATACGCAGGTCATTTTATGTACGGGTGCCGATCTGCATAACATCTGTCATCGCTTGCCGACTGATTTATAGGTTCTTCATCTTGATCTCGGAGATGCGCCAGCCCAGAGATGCAATGAAGGTGATGCGGAAAGTCCCTTGCCATTGTCGCACGCCTGACCCATTTTTCCGGAAGGCGGCGTGGACACTACAAGTATTCTCGACAGCTTTTTATGCAGTTTTCAGCATCGTGGTCTACGTCTACCTTGGCAACGAAGTGCAATCCCCGGCGCTCCTATCGCTCTCTCCTGTATGGGCGAAGATCACCTTCGCCATTGGCATGGTGAACTTTCTGCTGTAAGGTTATTCGAATTGGCATGTATTGCTCAGTTTGACGACGGTGGCATTGCAGCTCGGGTGCCCTGTACTCCCACACAGCAGCCAAGCTCATCTTCGTCCGCCTCTTCCGGCACTCCCGCCACCTCTACACCCATACGATCCTCGGGTGGTCCGTCTGGACTTTCCTCTGCTTCGGCGCGACCGCGCTCGCCTTCGTCTTCGCTGCCGCTGTCCCCGTCTTCTCCGACTTGACAGGCATCACTGCGTCGCTCTTCGCTTCCTGGTATACGTACGGCATAGCTGGATTCTTCTGGCTCTATGACGCATATTACCTTGGGGGTGGAGGTATGAAAGCGCTGAAGCGTCGGTGGGGCGGTACCGTCTTGGCGGTGCTGACTGTGTTTTCGGGAGCGTTCATCTGCGTAGCGGGGACGTATGTGTCTATCAAGGTACGTACATTCCGATGGGACCTTCAGACGTTACTGAGTTCGCGCACGTAGTTGATTGCTGATGCGTACGCCAGCGGTACTGTCGGCAGGCCCTTTGCATGCAGGCGGCGTTATGATCCTGTCCAGTGGACAGTTGCGTTGTATTATATGCCAATGGTGCCGTTAGATTGGCCTCGAGCTCAGTCTTGTCTCTCGTTTGTAAGTTCTAGACCTACAGTACCATACAGCGCTAGCACACTACGGATATTCTGTCGCTCTAGAGAGTACATCACACATGCGTTATTCGCTTGTTATATCGGTCAGAATGAATACGAAGAACTGCGACGTTCAACGTTCAGACGCCTTAATTCGTTGAACTGTGAGCCTCGCTGCGCCGGTTCGTATCGATTCGTCTGCCGATCTGGAGTCAGCACTCGCAGTGCATTGCAGTAGAGTCGGTGTGGTCCTGTGGCCAAGGCGAACATACTTGTATCACCGGTCTGGCAAGCATACTACAGTGCCATGACATACGTGTCAGTACGTAATTGAGTAGACGGCCACTGTGCATGTTCGGCGTGATTTTGAGCACGTCGGGGATTCTGACAGCTCTATCATCCCGCGGCCCGGGCCCGGAGACGCGCGCGATGCCGGCAGCCGGCAACACTGACCGGGACCCTGCAAGACCACACAGCCCACCTCCGACTCCTAAGAACGCCCTCTGCTCTGCTCAACGAGGAGCCACGGATCGCACCCGCCATGGCGGTCAAGTCCGAACTCCATACCATCGAAATAAGCCGGCGGCCCCGACGAACGTGGGCGCAGACCGTCAATGCCGTTCTGGCCGGCGTCGTCTTCCTCTTCGCTGGTCTTATGATCAACGGCTCCCAGTTCATCTTCCTGCTCCCCCTCAAGGTGCTCCCGTTCGCTTGCGCGGACAGGATGTACTATGAGGGCATCCGCTACAGCAAGGGCGCGTTCGGGAGGCTGCTCGGTACGTCCTGGCGATCTTGGCGTCCTCTAAGCGGGCTGATCTGTCGCGTGACAGTGCTTATGAGCCAGTGGTTCGCGCCGACGAAGCTCGTCGTGACGTTCGAGCAAGAGGGCAGGGGCGGTTCACGGAGGAGCAGGTCAAGCAGCTGGTCGAGCGCGATGGCACAGGCAGAGTGGTGGGGTTGCGCCTCCCGCAGAGGGCGGTGATGATTGCGAATCACCAGGTGGGCCTGTCTCCAGGTAGGTCGCTCTCACCGCGGGATCTGATCTTTCGTGACGCGTCGGGCAGATCTACGCTGACTGGTGGTATGCGTGGTCCTTGACCTACTACATGGGGACGTGCGCGGACGTCTTCATCGTGCTGAAGGAGAGTTTGAAGTGGCTGCCAATCTGGGCTGGGTACGTCTCCGTCCGTTCTTCTTGGAGAGTCTTCCGTAACGATGGACTTGCACAGGGCATGCGCTTCTTCAACTTCATATTCCTCAAACGTTCATGGGCATCGGATCGTCTCCACTTATCCTCGAGCCTATCATGGCTAGGCCGACGGGCGGAGACGCAGGACTCGCCGTTGACGTTCATCCTGTATCCGGAAGGCACGTTGGTGAGCAAAGACACGAAGCCCCTGAGCAAGAAGTTCGCGGATAAGATAGGCATCGTGAGTCGCGAGCTCGTCTAATATCCGACGAACGTCTAACAGCCGGATCTTCAGCCTGACATGCAGCACAGTCTTCTGCCTCGGTCGACAGGCCTCATTACTCTCTGCGCTCGCTCGCGCCCCGGATTCCCAGCCTACAGCTCATCGATTTAACCATGACGTACCCCGGTGAGCTGCATTGATCCTAGGGCTACCTTATCGTAATAACACGAGCTGTGCACGCAGGCATACCGCCATTCGGTTACGGCCAGTCTTATTACACTCTCCGGTCGATGTTCGTGGACCGAGTTCCGCCCCCCGCGGTACACATGCACATCCGCTGCTTTGACGTCGCGAAGGACGTGCCGATCGGGACGTGTCCTCGACGAATGCCGACGTGATCCCGGAGACGTCGCACAAGGAGCGCGTGCAGGAGGTGGACATCCCCGAGAAGGAGCGGGAGACGTTCGAGCTGTGGCTTCGTGACCTCTGGCGCGAGAAGGACAAACTCATTTCCAAGTACCTTGAGTCAGGCTCCATGGCGGACGATCGCAAGGCGGAGGTCGAGATCCCATTGCGGCTGAAGCGAACAAGAGAGATCTTTGACGCCTTCTGCTTCTTTATGCCCGCTGCGGTGTTCTGGGCGTGGTGGAAATTCAGATAGGCCGTCGTGTGACGGATGCGGTCGATGGTGTCCCGGTGTTGTTCTCTGAATGTGTTGTGTGTTGGAACTTGGAAGGCTCAGGCAGTTGTAGCGTTGATTCCTGCTGTTAAGTATATCCTGTAAGGTGTGGTGTTGTACCGTACCATTCTGACCTGGACATTCTCCTGCAACCATGTTACGATTGTCACAGAACCATACAGGATCTAGTGTGTGCCTAGAGAAAGCTAGGCTTACGGCATACGTGAGTGCCGCCACATACGGACACTCCGTGATAGGACGAATGGCATCATCCCCAGGATACCGTGCTCTACCGAGACAATTGCGAACGGTCCCGTTGCTCTTGTATCTGCTTGACCATGTACAAGCTCGTGTCCAAGAAGCGTTCGACACAATTAGCGAGACAGGCCTCCTCGCCGCGCCCGAAGCGGCTGGACGGGTTGCTCGTGATGCACCTGCGCAGGGGATCGGGCACGTCAGAGGCGGCGGTCAGACCACGGACGCCCGGGCGACAGGCGCAAGAATGGACGCACTTGTCCCAGCACATGCTCGTCAGCATATGGACCTGCGAGGTGAGGTGTGCCTGTGCTTGCTCCGTCTGGACAAAAGTGGCAAGCTCTTTCTGTGCATGTGGCTGCCGCTCAGCGACTATTGTGCTCGCCGGGAGAGGCGCACGTACCCGGGTTGCTTCGTCGAACTGGTCGGCCATGTTGTGGGGCGAGAAGGGGCGAGTCTGCGCTGGCGTGCGTGCGACTTCGCGGCTAGCAAGGACCTGGTGGCTGCTCGACGACACGAGTTTTCTGTGACGCCGGTGGCCTACGCGCGTCGACGGTTTTGGCAAGCAAGAACACGCGCACGTGACCGAGTAGGAACGGCCGCACGCTGCAGAGTGCACACAGCAGTGACAGCACAGGAATGGTTCTTGCCCAGCTTCGCGGGGCGGTCTGAGTCATCCGACCCGTCGTGGCTTCCCACAACGCCTAAGTTACATTTTGGTCCGCTATTCATGGCTAGTCCGAGCGTCGGAGGCTGCGACAAGGACAATACAGTCACGACCGCCGGAGATAACTCCCTTCTCATCTTCACCCGCACTAAGCCACGACAACTCAATTGTAATGGTCTGTCAGAAGAGCGGAAGGCCGTCGTTAATCTGATACAGACTAGTAGACAATATCCCTGTTCAGAGAAGGCGACAGTTGGTTTTGTGTCTTGGGCACCAGAAACGCCGGATAAGTGACGGTAACATTGTCATAGAGAATGAAGCTTGCCCGGGATGGGAGACGGTACCCCTGCTTCGGATGCCTGCGGCGGGTGACATAGGGCGTGCGCTTGCTGAAGCCTCGTCGGCCATATGCACGCCGCACCTGCATACACGGCCCCGCTGGGAGGACTTCGTAATGTTCCCGACTCCTCCTTCCGCAGTAGAAGGGACCGAGCTGGCGTAACCTGGCTACTCTCCGTGAGCCGCGGAGTTGCACGGGGTGCGCTCTAGCGCACACGCTCCAAGCGTCCATGAGGGAGGACGCCGCCAGACTTTCATTTGGGCTGCGCTGCTACCAGACAGAACACTGACGAAGTGAGGATCAACGCTGGAAATCCGGGAACCTGCAATCAAAGTCGGTTATCAGCCTGCAGAGGGCCCGAGATGAAGGTATCAGTGCCATCGACGACGTAAGAGAGGCAGCGCAGGCACCTAGGCATGGCTGTGGCGAGCACAGAAGGAAGCAGCCTGCGAGCAGCGGGAGGACGGCGGGCATGTGGCAGGCCGCGACGGTGCGGAATGTCACATCGGCGGATATGGTTTGAATGGGCGGCGCAGAGGAGAACGAGATTGCCGATCCTGGGAGGCACGGGCCGCGCAGCCGCTGAGGAGGAGGTGGATGGGTGGCTGGGTGTTCGCGGATGGCCGGTGCCTGGGCACTAGCGGAGGAGGATCAGGATCGGGATTTGATGTCGTGGTTCGTGGACGGTGGGGCCCGTCGGAGGGATACGTGAGGACCTACACTGTGCTCGCGGAGGAGGCGGGCGGCACACGGGCCGCGTGCGCAGATAGAGCGCAGGGCAGGCGGACGGGGATTCGAGGGAGCGAGCCAAATGGGGCGGGTGGCCTGCATTTGCATCCGCGAAGGTCTGGCGCGATACGGCAACGTGCTGACAGCGGGCGGAGATCAGCCTGTGAGATCTTTCGGCGCCTGCGCGCTCAGCCACCAGGTCGCCCCGCATCAGCCTCCATAATTTTCATTATGGATCCATAACTACGCCAATTGTCAGTAACTATGTCCTCTCCCTCTTGTTCTCCTCCTCACCCTTGCACACTGCCACCTGCGCGGCGATAGCGCCGCTGCGTCGTCCAGATTGCCGCCCCAGCAGCCTCTTCTGCGCCTCCTCTCCGTCGTTCGCTGCACCCATCGATCATTCGTCCTTGCGCTGATGTGTATCGGACAAAGCATACTGCCTCCAGCCCACACGTGAGATCGCCCGAAGCTCCAGATTCCCGTTTACTCTACGCCGATATAAAGCATGGACGACGAACACACCGCCGCCGCGTGCACAGCACAGGAGGGTCAGTACTTGCCTCGTGCATCCCGCTCTTTCCTTTCTTCATGGCGTCATCCAGCTCTACAGACCGCCCTCCCTCCGCCCCCAACATCCAAGGTTGGAACCCCCAGCAAGTCACCACCCCGTGAGCTCCCTGGCACCAGCGACAGTGCTGCCCCCATCCTCACCGTCCCCGCTCACAGCCCCCAGTACCTCGGTCGCAAGACCCTCCCGATAAAGCGCGGCGACGCCGAACCCCTCACCAGGGAAGACCTCCAGTATGATCTTCTCTACTACATCTTTGCCGATCGCACCGTGGCCTTCGTCGACTTCCTAGCGCCGGGGAAGCCTCTCGTTAATTTCTGCGACCTCTACGTCAATGCCCTCTACAACTCCAGCAAGTGTTCAAAGGTCCTCAAGGACAAGATGGTCGAGACGCCCGCCTTTGCTATCGAGTTTGCTAAGATTTCCCTCCTTACCAACGTGGGCAGGATAAATACCACCATGGCCTGTCAGTAATCCGCTAATTTGGATGCTCACGTCCCCGTTCGGTATAGCATTCTGACTGGCACCCTCATGTAGTTTTTCCCGAGATGAAGACTGCCTTGCGCAGCTATCACCCGGTCCCATCCCTTCAGAAGACTGACGGGAACCTTCAAGATGCCCCTCGCATCAAGAACTGCTGAAAGCCGCTCTGCTGCCCTCCGAATTCAAGGCACACCGCCCTCTTCCCCTTTGGAGATCCTGGAAAAGGCGGTAGGTTCACAATTCGCCGATCACCCGTTTCAGGCAGCTTATAAACGTCATTGATGCAGCGCGCCGGGCAAATCCCGCCAACGAGCGTCGTCAACCTTATATTCGTCCTGGCCAATTCTAACAACTCGCAGGTAAGCTGTTGTCATCCCTTCGGGTCATAGGACCGTCGCTAACCGCTGGCCTTATTTATATGACAGCAAATTGCGCACAGTCATTTTGATCCGCCAGTCGAGTTCCTCGACCTCTTCCTCCCCGTCAACCTCTCCTCTGCCTCCCGTGCCAAAGCCTTCTTGTGGCTGATGTTCACTATCTCCAAGGGCCGGACAAGCCCAACCCCTTCGATGACGATTATTCACGGACGAGCCCTGGTAAGGTACCGCGACTGCGTCACCTCACCGGTGAGGAGATGGCGCGAGAGAACGTCGACCCTTCAGAGGAGTCGAGTGGGGGCGGAGGATGAGCGCACAGCGGAGCAAATTTCTCAAGGAGCTCGTCGACGAGATGGAGGCGGAGAAGAAGAAGGCGCGCGAGCCGCAGCCGGCGCCGATGCCAGCGCCGACGACGTCCACCTTTTCAGGTTAGTGGCCAGACTGGGGAGGATCCCTGCTGCATCAGCCGGCAACGGACGACGCGCTAACCGATTTTGGACACGCTTATTAGTGCATGATTATGGCCAATCGAGGCGCAGCCGCCCGCCGCGCTATCCTGGATCAACGTCTGGGGGAAGCCGCGGCTCGTCGCTGTCCCGCAGCGACTATCCTGTGCCCTCTCATGTGGTGAGTCGGCGCCGCGACAACCCCTCGGGCGCCGCTGTATCAGAGTACGTCGTCCTCTTCGCACGGGGCTTGAGAGAACTCCGTATTCAAAATATCGCCCAGATGAACCGTCAGGTTCTAGTCCGAATCAGGAGCGAAGCATGTTCGAACGTAAGCGTCGTCTTCGTTACGCGTACTGCCGCTGACCCCGCTGGAAAAAAATTCTAGATGCCTGGCACATCGCGGCTACCACCGATCCGCTGAACGACTCGGACGAAGAACAGGACGAGCATGTCAGGCTCGACTATAGTGCGTTTCTCCTGCAGTCCCTTATTCTTCTGTGTCTCAATTGAATTGTGCTCCGTAGACCGACGACTCCGTGTACTATCGCGACTACGAGGGAAGGACCCCACGCCAGAGCCAGAAACCGAGCCCGTTCCACCGTCCACTAGTATGCAGCCTTCGCAGCAGTTCAACGCCCAGAACCCACCCCCGAGCGGGGCAGATAGTGGGACTGGTCGACTATCCCAGGTCCAATCCTGGCGGTAGTGCCGCCATCGCTGAATCACTGTAGACGGCATATCGTCCGCGGATTGGGGTCCCATCCGCCGGATGACGCTCGTCGATGCTGCTGCCCTCCTTGCGCGTCCATTGGGTTTGTGTGTTCTGTACAACGCTAACCATGTCTTCCTGTCGGGCCTGGTATAATTCATAAAAGTGTAAATATGTATCACCGGTTTCTTTTCCTGCCAGTCTTGTGTCAGTCTGTCAATTATACTTGCTTTCATGCTCCCGAACAAGCTTACTCGGACCCTGCATGGCTGGCAGTACCTGAGAACGTAATGTATTGCCTCCGCATCTCACCGGCCCATCTTTGACAGCGTTCGCCATTAAAGATTGTACGGGGCTGGCATTGACAGTTAGCCGCCATTCACCTTGCTTCCGCACACGAATGCATACAGCATTATCAATTATAGGGCACAGCCCACCATCTGTATTGACACTGGATGTAGTGTTGTGTGATGTATGTATACAGGGTTGGAGACGAGACGCTGGGTACTCAGTGCAAGAGGCGCAGCCTCTGCCACATTCTACTAAGCAAGGTACACGGAGGCATACGAAGACGAAGCGGATCAACCGTCTTCCTTCGTGTACACCGCACCGAGAAATAAATACGCCAACGCCAACATACAACGAACCCCAGCGAGAAGCGCCCCCGCGCATTTAGGCTACGCGAGGGACGAACAGAAAAATCAATCCAGTGTCCATTGGTCCAGAACAGCATCCACTTTGTTTGTCCACTGCATTATATGATCGACCCGAACCCGAAGATAGAAACGAAACCGAGGCTAGGGAAGGTTGGTACGTGGGGGTATTTCGGGCCACGACAGCTCAGAACGCGCCGGGCAGCGCCAGAACGGCGTGCTCGAAACCGGTGCGGGCCCTTTCCCTCTCCTGGAGCTCCGGGGGAGCGCTGCGTCTCCGGAGCTTCCGCTCCTCGTCGTCCTCCCGCGGCGAGGCCGGGACGCCGAGGTCCGAGAGTGACGAGGCGGGAGGCAGCGTGCGGCGCCGGAGCCGCGTGAGCATCTTGCGCGCCGTGTCCCCGCGCGACTCCGCGGAGTTGTTGAAAGCGAGCAGATTGGACTCGCTGAACTCCGTCGGGGACGTCGCGTTCGTGCGCGGCACTACGGTAGTGGTGACCTGCAGCTTCGACGGCGGGTAGAGCGTCGGCGAGTCGGGGGGCAGGCACGGCTTTGGCTCGCGGATGACCATCATCATGGGCTTCGACTCCGGCGCGGGGGACCGTGGCGGGAAGTGAAGACGTCCGACGTCCTGAGGCAGTACGTGCCTCCCCTTCAGGGCAGTAGATCCTCGATGTCCTTCGTGACGGACGGCGCCGGAGAGCGCCGGGTCGACTGCAAGAAGGAGGGAAGTCGAGGAGAACCACGAGGGGTATCCTTGCCCGTCCCCGAGGAGTAAGCACTGAGGCGGCAGAAATCTGGTCTAGCGAGGGCAAAGCCTTGCGCCTGTTGGAGACGGGTGCCGTCTTGAGAGCAGGCGAGCGCATGGGCTTCCCAGGCAGGCGGAAATCCACCTGTTCGACCCACGGCTGGCCGGTCAACTCGCTCGGAGACATGTTCTCGAACACGCCAATCGGTGAATCCAAGCCCGGGGATGGCAAGGAGTAGTGGAAGATTGCCGGCGACTCGGGCGGAGTCTTGGGCGTCACAGTCGCGGTGGGCGAGGGAGGGGCCTGCACCTTGGAGAGAAACAGTGCCCTACGCTCAACTAGATGACGATGATGAGGACGTCTAGTCAGGTCACGTAAATGGATAAGCAGATTGGGTGAGACCTACCCTGCTTGCTCTTGTGAGCCTTGATAGCAATTTCCTTGCGGAGATCCACCTCCCTCCTGCTGCCGACTGCAGAATTCCTGTCCTTGGATGCTCTCAGCAGAGCCTCGAAGCGCTCTCTCTCCAGACCCTTGCACTTGGCAGAAACATCCACCGGGCGCAAGGGGGAAAGGGCTCTGGGCGAGAGGGTGGGCGGCGGGGAGAGGAGGGTGGCCCTGAAGCCATCGTCGTCCTGGAGGACAGATATGGTCGGAGTCTTTGGGGAGAAGTCGGGCGAGAAGGGAGAGAAGGGCTCGCTGAGGGGCTCCTCGGGGGATGCGAGGGAGATGGAGATCTCAGGGATGACGGGGATGGCGATAGGCATGGTAGGGAGTGCGGCAGTGAAAGACAGGCTTGGAGGCGGAACTGGAGGCAAAGACGAACAGAGAGACTGAAGAGGCAAGGCGACCAGCACCAGTGCAGTTAACGCAGCGTAAATCGCACCGGAGAGAGGCCGGGCCCAGAAGAGAGGAAGAGAGGAAGAGAGGAAGAGTAGAGAATACACCGAACACGACACCAGACGAGATGGAAGGCGAAGATGGCCAGCGACTGCCTCGCCGCAGCCTTATACGCGTCTATCCACCACCGCCTTGTAAGCCTCCGCCTTAGCAACCGGGTACACGATTCACTCTCCCCATCGATCCCTCCTCTCTCGCACACGTCCAGTGCGGCCTCAGGCCACCCTCTCGCTGCACACACGCCCTGCCCGCCGACCATCCGCCTAAACACCGCAGGCTGCGACGGTGACCGACCCCAGGTGCCCTCGCCACGCCGCACCCACGCGTCTAGCCATGCACCGTCAATGTGTCAAACATTCGCAGGCGGCCCTGCGCTCTGCGTCCGTCTCTCATCGCATGTCTTAATCTGGAACAGTCGTGTTCCGTCACCCGCAGTACACCGCTGGTAGCTTCTGTCTACTGTTTTGCGCCCGCACATCGGAACCGCCTGCACCTGAGCTATGCCAGCCCCTCTGCCTTGACCGCCTCCGCTAGCTTTCCTTGGTACAGTTTCTCCGCGGACACCCAGACTCGCGCAGCCTTGCGATTCGGAAGCTCCAGTAGCGACGGCAACAAGTCCAAACTGAATTGCTCGGACGCCTCCCGCGGTAGCAATGTGGGCAGGTGGTCAATCGAAATCACAGACAACGGTGGATTTTCAGGCCTTGTAGATGGGGAATTAGGTGAGTGTGAAGAACCAGGTTTTACTGACGACATACCCAGCGTCCACAGGGACGGTTGGCTTCGAGAACGTCGTGTTGATGTTGTATATAGGGATCGGGTTGTGAGGGTTGGTAGTATCGCAGCTCACGTCGACAACCACAGACAGCTGTCTGCTCTTGCCGGCGGCTTGCACTTGCTCCTGAGTGAGGAAGTGCGGGATCGGCGAGCTGAGATAGATGCAGTTGACGAAGATATCGACGTCCAGAATCTCCTGGAACGGGCCTCCCTTGGCAGTCTCAGCCATGTCCCACTTGACAATGTCGTCCCTGGATACGAGATCCATCAGTGCCATTCTAGATGCTCCGGAAATATTTGCGTACTCATTTAGGCCAATCTTCCTGAAGAGGTCGACGGCACCTCGTCCGCAGCGTCCAAGCGCTCCGATGACCAGAGCCTTGACACCCTTACCGCTCCCACCCAGAGCCTGCTTCACCGCCTCGACCATCGCTGTTTCGTTGGCATATGGCTCCAGAAGGCCGAGAGCGTTGCCGTTTTTCTGTGCTGCGTATGCGAGCGCACCCGCGGCGGCGCCCGCAAAGCCGGCATGAAATCCGAAGGCAGCGACTCGCCGGCCGCTGTCATCCGTAAGAAACTCGAGATCGTACAGCGTCCCCTTGCCCTTGTGGAAGCGCGCGAGGACAGATGACCAGCCCGCCTGACGCTTGTAGCAGTGCGCGAACTGGATGTGAGTGTGAGGTAGGGGCGCGTCTGAGTCGGGCAGTTCCTTCAGCCCAATGATGGGTATCTCGGTGGGTGCGCTGGGCCAGGAGTTGTTTGCGACAAGCTTGCATCCAACTCTATTGTGGAGGTCGGCGGACGCTCAGATCGAAGAGAATCTACTTACGCCTCGTATTCTGCGTCGTCAAAGATCCTCTGTTCGTCCCGCTCGACATAGATGTCGAATCCAGCGTCGATGAGTTTCTTCGAGGTGGTCGGCGTCAGAGCCGCACGATGCTCAAACTCCTTCGTTTCGCAGCGGAGCCAAAGGGGCTGGCGAGACATATCTGGAGGTGGCGAGTCGTCCGAAGTGAGTCGCAAGAGTTATGTAGATCGACTGTAGTAGAAAAGTTCCTGACTTGCGATGACTCTGGTACGCAGGCGCCCATATAACGCGAGTCACGTGCTCAGATGTAATCGCGTTGTCTTTGGCGGATGCGCCTCTTACCTCTTACTAGCATCTGCTGCAGATAATATTTGCGGCACAGGCCCTTGTGTATTGTGTTCATTCAGACCCTCGGCTTCTAGGTCGACATCATCAGAGATGCCAGGAAGAGTTCGCAAGCGGTCCCCCCTCAAGCCACCGGGTACTTGGTTTCGATGTGTTTTACACGCCATAATCCGTTCATTCTCAGTGGACAGAGCGGCCATATATCGCCCTTGGTCTGGAGGGCTCCGCGAACAAGCTGGGCGCAGGGATCATCAGACACGACCCCGACGGCTCAACGATTGTGATGTCTAACGTCAGACACACCTACATAACACCCCCGGGCGAAGGTTTCCTCCCGCGAGATACAGCGCAGCACCACCGGGACTGGGCCTTGACCGTAATCAACGATGCGCTCAAGAAAGCGGCGACATCCTTGCATGATATCGACTGCATTTGTTATACCAAGGGTATGTTTCGAGGGTCCTTGATTGCGGCAGACCCTTACCGATCTATGTCTGCGTCCTAGGCCCGGGAATGGGCGCACCTCTCACATCTGTCGCGTTAGTGGCGCGGACACTCTCCCTATTGTATAGCAAGCCGCTCGTTGGTGTCAACCACTGTGTGGGCGTGCGTAATCTGGTGACCGACGACGCCGGCTCGGGCTCACGGTTTGCTTAGACATAGAAATGGGCCGCCAGATCACCGGCGCGCAAAACCCAGTGGTGCTGTACGTGTCCGGGGGGAATACGCAGGTGATTGCATATCGCAGCAGTGCTATCGGATCTTTGGCGAAACGCTCGACATCGCCGTGGGCAATTGCTGGATCGCTTTGCGCGGTCATCAATCTGAGTAATGACCCGAGCCCGGGATACAACATCGAGCAGGAGGCCAAAAAGTAATCTGGCCTTTTCTCCTCGGAGAAGCGCATGCTGACAGTGAAACAAACAGGGGAAAGCGTCTGCTGCCACTGCCATACGCAACGAAAGGAATGGACGTGAGTTTATCGGGCATCCTTACGTCGACAGAGGCGTATACTCTGGATAAACGCTTCCGATCCAACGGCCCCTCTGAGGGTGACAGCGAAGACATCATAACGCCTCAAGATCTCTGTTTTTCTCTGCAAGAGACTGTTTTCGCCATGCTGGTTGAGATCACCGAGCGCGCGATGGCCCACATCGGCAGCAAGGAAGTTCTTATTGTGGGCGGTGTTGGGTGTGCGTACGGAGCACCGAAACCACTCCACGGCGTCCGATCTGACCACCTGCTATGTTGTAGGTAATGAGCGGCTGCAGGAGATGATGGGCGTCATGTCGAAGGAGCGCGGTGGACAAGTCTTCGCCACAGATGAGCGGTGGGCAAATTTCCCTCATGAAAAGAGACTAGCCTGACGGAATGCCGTAGGTTCTGCATCGATAATGGCATTATGATCGCTCAGGCTGGTCTGCTCAGCTACCGCATGGGCTTCCAGACACCACTTAGTAAGAGCACATGCACGCAGAGGTGTGTAATGGTGTGTGGTGTGCTGCATAACGATCACTGACACGTTGCCGTATAGATTCCGCACGGACGAGGTGCATGTAGCATGGCGGGCGTAATAAAAGTTCGATCTATCGCTCGTTGCGCAGCTTTTTTTCGCCGTTCTGATCGCGCCCCTGAACGTGGCTTTGCCTTGCTGCTCATTTGACTAATGCTACTGTCAAGCCACGCTGGAGTAGAGGACACCCATCTGAGTATGTGAGCAGTGTAGTTGTGAGAGTGTAGGATACATATGTAGCATCAAGAGTGAATAGGTCTGTGTGTCGCGTACAGTTTGGAAGGCCAGCTCAATGTATCGACTGTGGTATTAGTAGCCAATGACGCTTATAGATCCCGGGCGCAAGCTAATGAGCTACGTTCGCGGACACCAATGCCCACCCTGCCTCGTCCGCGGTCTGCATCTCGGCACGCAACTGCTCGAATTCCTTGCGCCACCACCGATTGAGTTCTTCATAATCACCACCTTCTTCTGGGCGGACCTGCCATGGTTTCTCCGCGAGGATGTAATGCAGGCAGCGGACTTCCTCGTCCCGCCACATCGCCTTGTGGATGTTCCTGAGCGTCTTGAGTGCGTTGTAGCACCACGGAAGTGGCGTCCAATTGCCCTTGAAGAAGGCAGCGAGAAGATCTTGATCAGGGAAATTGAATCCGGATATGTCCGTCGTGAAAAGGAAATTGTGGATGGAGTCAAACAACGGCGCGGACGGGTTTAGAACGACGGTGCCGGAATTGAGGAGGAAATACGGGCGGGGGCTAGCGTCGGTGATCTTCGGGGGCGACGTGAGAGCCGTCGGATGGACCATAGGCGTATGAGCACAGTTCGCGGGTACCCTGGAATATTTGTCGGTACAATCATTCTAACGGCGAACTCTGTCATTCTCACCAGTCGCTGGGGTAGTGCGGCAGCTTGAATGGATTGCAGGCACATACGTGCACGGCGGCGATAGACTCATTGGGTAGCTCAAGCTCCATGAGTTCGTCCATGTTTCGCATGACGACCATGTCCGCGTCAAGCAGGACCACGCGCTGGGCCATTCGTCAGCATCGATGATACCAGACCACAGTGTAGCGTACGTCATATTCGGTCAGTTCAAAGGCTCTGCGAGAGGTGCTGTCAGTAAGAGGCGGCGGCGCGCCTGGAGTGCGAGCACGGACCTCAATTTAGTCCATGTGTCGCCGAAACGAGCGTCATGAGCCGAAAGAGAGTGGGTCCCATCCTTCGGCTTCAGGTGGTCGACCGTCCGTACGACCATCCCGCGACGCGCCAAGATGTCCTTCACGTCCTGGCCGACACTGGGAGTGACCATTACGACGAGAGGATGTTGTGCTCCGACGGAGAGCAAGGAATGGTGCAGCACCAAGGCACCTGGCAAATAATTCTGTCTGGTGAGCAAGGTAACATACGCGGCTCTGGGTGCATGTCGCAGAAGGCAGGGACGGATGAATGAGAGGGACTGTACCAGGGGATACGGAGAGCTCATATACCACACTTCCCGTATTTTATCTTCCAGAGTCATCAATCGGTCCGCGGTGACAACTCCGCGCAAGCAATCACGGACATCTCCTCATAAGGACAAGGTCAATCAGGGGGTGCCCTTGGACATTGCAAGACTTGTCTGCATGGCGACTGCGGTGCAGCGAGCAGCGATGTGTCAACTCCGACCGCCCATATGGCCATACAGCGGTCGTGCGATCGTAAGCAAACGCTCGCATAACAGCATGCGCGACAGGCTCACGCACTAGCCAGTACGTATATGGATCGGCCACGCTCATGTTGACCACATCTGATGCAGTTTACTTTCTCCTGGCGCACAGAAACGCGAGACACGAGGCTTACTGCTCCGAGGTTTCGAAGACAACAGTCGGATGCGGCCAGTTAACGCTCACGCGGAATCACCGGGCAACAGGAAGTGACGCAGAAACATGGAGATCGGCAACTCGGGAGCGGCCAGAACGCCCTATCTTCCGTTCAATCTCGGACCGTAAAGTTGCTGGATGGGGCAGTCCAACGTTTTAAGGGTCGTGAGAGCCTCAGGCGCATAGCATTTGCGGAATCATACACGGAATGGGAATGCCTAAGATGAACATACAGTAATCGATAGCGCGACGAGGGTGTCTCAACGGAGACGGCTAGTACACACATGCTCAGTTCAATTGAACCCTGATCGAAAAGGGTAGGACGCACCGAGCCTCACGCTCACTCTCCAGGAGAGCCAGGATGTCCTTCTCCCGGACGGGTCCCTTCACGTTCCGGATGATTGTTCGGCTAGGGTCGTCCATGAACTCGACGCGGACTTGAGTGACACCACCACGAGAACCAGTCCGGCCAAGGACCTGCAGAAGGAGGCGAACACAGTTAGAAAAGATGCGAGGAGAGCTCGGATTCTTCAAAAGACCTTAATGACGTTGCGAGCTTGACGGGAGTTTTTGACGACGAATCCTACTCAACGTCAGCTTCATACGAGCGGCGACGAGAGTGGGGACACATACCATTTTGAAGGAGGTGGTGGTGCCGAGGACGGACTGGCGGGTTTTGGCGGTCGGTGGATTGGTGGTGGAAAATAAGGTTCATTCTTTGGGTTGCGATCAGCAGCTACGGCACACTCCGCCGGCAATTACCGGTGGCGCGCCGTCACTTCCTCACGGCTCGCTCTGCATTTGATCACATCCTTTACATTAAGTTGTGTCTTACTTGTGGCGAAGACTCCCGAGCATTATCACAAAATACTGATATATGATACGAAAAGATAGTCTGCACAGGCTACTCGGCTCCACGACGCCGTATGAGCTTACAGCGAGCTCTGCTCCCCATGCTGCTCGCGCACCTCGGACTCCGCGACCAGGGTCCGAGCTTTCCTTTCCGTCGCCTTTCCGCGCAGGATGTTCTCGATGTAAAATTCCCGGCCTACGATCATGAGTCACCTTTATCAGACTGCGAAGATCGGCTTCGTACCTTGTAGCTACTGCGCACGAGCGGCCCACTGGCAACGTACAGAAAACCCATATCCTCAGCCACCTGCTTCCATCTGTCGAATTCGGCGGGCTCGACGTAGCGATCGACCTTCATGTGTCGCTTTGTTGGCCGCATATACTGACCGAATGTAACGACGTCGACATCAACCTTGCGCAGCTCTGTATCACCACGGTCATCATCAGTGCGCTGATCACACCCATGAGCGTATCATTTTACCTCGGAGAGTATCCATGATCTGGTCCTCCGTTTCACCGACTCCAAGCATGATGCTGTCTTTGTAACCCGGACGCCTTCCTTCTTCGCATGCTCCAGCACGCTCAGACTCTGCCGGAAAGTCGCTCGACGATCTCGCACAAACGGTGTGAGCGCCTCCGCAGTTTCAACGTTGTGGGCGTACACGTCGAGGCCAGACTTGGCCACAACGGAAACATGCGGAAGGGAGCCGCCAAAGTCTCCGGTCAACGCTTCTACGAGGATCTGTGGCGCCCTATGAAAGCATGCGTTAGAACACTGCAGGCTCAAGCATGCTAGACACCTACTTCTGTTTGATCTTCATAATAGTTTCAGCGAAATGGTGTGCTCCACCATCAGCGAGGTCTTCAAGACACCATGCGTTCAGCAAAGTCACACGAAATGAATACACGAAACGTACCGTCCCTGTCTACACTGGTCAAGACGATGTATCCTAAGCCCCATCGGCTAATTGCCTCCGCAGTGTGCTCCGGCTCATGAGGATCGAGCGGTGGAGGCGCACGTGAGGTCTTCACAGCACAGAAACGACAGCCTCTCGTACATGTATCGCCCATAAGCTTTGAGAAGCGGGCAATAAGACACGGGACACAACGACGGTGTAGCGTGCTTACCATGATCGTCGCCGTGGCTGCTCGCCGACCCTCCTCTGGCGTTGCTCCCTCTTTGGCACCCCAGCAATCACCAATGTTCGGACACCGTGCCTCCTCGCACACTGTATGGAGCTTGAGTCCACGAAGGTCATTCTTGATCTTGGCGAAGGATGCCCCCTTCGGGATGGACGTCTTCAGAAAGGACGGGAGGCGAGGACTGACATGCAGGTGAGCGACAGTCAGGTTCAGCTGCATTTACACGTACGCTGATGTGTTACCTAGTACAACTCTCTCTGGCGCATTACCCGCGATGAACTCGTCCAATGAAGGCCCCTCGGCGAGTGTCTGACTAAAGCTGGTCTTCGAGGAGGATGGTGTCGCCAGAGTCCGCACTTGAGTGCCTCGCGGCGCACGCGCGGAGCGTAGAAAAGCACTGGCTGCGCGAACCGGACGAACCATTGATTTTGACGGAGATGAGAAAGGAGAGAAGGACTATGGGCAGCTGTGCGAACCGTCGGCGAGTGCGACAACGGGATGTCATACTATCCCGTCGGAGCGCCCACTGTCCGGAACTGGAAACACCGATGTACGCGCCGAAACGCTCACTCAGACTGGACAGTCTCCGGGCTTGCTCATCCCGTACCACCGCCGAGCTTCTCTGGCTCTTTCGCCATTCTGTCGCAATGAACGCGCTTTCACGCAGAGAGGAGGATACTTTGCTCAAAACCGCAAAGGCGAAAGCCTTGAAGGAGTGTGATCCAGTTGTCAAGGGTGCGTTGACGCTGCTGGTCGTATTAATTCGCTCCGACTCAGTACATACGCACCTGCGCACGTAGAATTTGCAGAGTGTGCGACAGGCCGGACCTTCTCGGTGGCCTGGGAATGCAGACACAAGTACAAAGCAGTGCAAGATTGCATGTACCAGTAGTGAGTCTGTCGTGCTCGTTCTCGTGCAATCTCATGTTTATGGGCGCGTTCAGTACGAGTCCAGAGCCAATGTCTGCAATGCGCGCAGAGTACCTTCGATTGCGACAGGAGCAAGAGGCCAATAGCAATGCAACGTCGTCATGATCCCCATTGGGTGCACATGTTCACGCTCCGGAAAGGCACTCACGACGTAGGTGCTGTGGGGTGGTGAACAGAGATTGACTGGGTTGCCCAAGGTGTTTCAAAGGCATAATCCCGTCAGTGGGAGTTGTCAATGGAGGCAGTTGCCCTTCGGAATTACTGCCGTTGGTATATCCATTGCCTACCAGAGAACCATGATACAAACAATGCTCGGTTGCACGATAATATTGCATAGATAGTCACGACGTCAAAGCTAGTACCTACGGCCAAACTACTTGCTGTTGACTGCCAACCATTGCTGGCGGAAAGCCATGAGCGATGTGATGAGACTGTCGAGCACCCGTCAGCATCGGTAAATCGTCAGATGATAGCCATGTACTGACCCGAAGATGCCCAGAACGCCGTCATTGAGGTTAGTGAAGCCAAGTTACTCGCAGGAATCCAGACATCGAGGAGGTCGATGATGAACTGGTGGCGCGTGGCGTCTCGTGCACTGGCACAAAGTCGGTATCGTATATCGCAGGGGATTCATGATAGGTACGCACTTGTACAGTGTGCGGAGTTTGACGTCACGGTCCGCGTCTTGTCCCTTCTCTGTAAAGTGTGCCCCCTGCAGCTTCTTGACTTCATTTGCCAATCTCCCCGCCTGTATCGTCCTTAGTAGACTAGAGCTTTGAGAACGAAAGCAGCAGTGCTTACCTTCAGGAGCCCATGGGTAATACTGAACAGAATCCCGGCCAGCCAGAATCGGTTGGCGTTCTTGCCTACCTTTCGGCGGTAGACGGCTGAAGTTGAAGAACTTGATCGCATTGGCCTGAGGGGGACCGGCATAATTCACAACTCGAATTTTATGACTGGTGGAACATACCCAAACGAGCGTGTCGTATGTCAAGTACCCAAAGTACCCAAGCTGCCGGCAGATGGTAGTGATCTGCTCGCCCGGCTCGGCTGCAACCTGGGCGGCACGAAGAGCGGCCTGCAAATGCTCGACGGGCTTTCCAAGGCGCATTACTGTCAGAGCCTTCCGGTCAGTCGTACTAAGGGACATGCGAGAAAGGAGCATACATTTCCGCGCGAGCGCGAGGTGTGACTTGAGCGCGTTCCACCGGGCCCCCTGGATCTTGTACCCGCGCGAGAGCAAGTACCATGCGAGGAAGCGTGCAAAGTATTGCACTGCACGGTAGAGCTGAATGACGTCTCAACGACGACTCGTGTGCGAGCTGAATTCCTCTGTCCACCTTGTCTCGACCGAGGTTAGTGCCCAGGACCTTCAAGGACTGCGAGACAGTCGGGTGCAGGATCACTTGGGATGCGACGCTTGACATGGCTGCTCACGGTCGGAGTGGAGGTGAGAGATGAGGACGTTGTGTGAGTGGTGTACCCCGCATTCAAACGAGCGAAGGTACGAGTGGGGATATGGATGGCCGCCTTCACGTGAATTCCGCTCTATTCACGGTCATCTGGCGCGTGATCGTATACTGACCGCGGCTGCGGAGCGCGTGTTTTGTGGGTGGACGCGTCGGGCCCCATCCCGACGCCGATGCGCGCTCGTATCCAGTGTTGAATCCGAAGAACAAGACACTGTTTTACTCGTCGCCGACGGTCAGATGAGCCAGCGCGCAGCGCTCAGACGGTCTGAGTTGCCTGGGAATACGATGACACCATTGAGCAGCACGGCCGACGGAGTAAGTCGGGGCAGCCGGGGACAACCGCGTTCCGCTCAAGTCTCTCGCGTCCTCGGGGACGTGTCGGCTACAGACAGTCCTCTGCTCATTTCTTAAACTCACTGCTCGAGGCCCTGGTGGTTCCCCTTCTTTCTTGCTCAGCAAAAATCGCCAGGCATGCTCCGGATCGCCCGCACGCACCCGCTCGTGAGCGTGAAATTCACAACGCGTCTGAATCGATGTATGCTCATGTGATGTCACCTCCTTCGGGCTACCGTAATAGCTGAGGACCCAGCGTATATACGCTCAGGTTCCAAGACACTTCTCGTCGTCCGCAATCATCATGGCGAGTGGGCTTACGGTCCTATAACGCGCAGCGCTGATAGCAGACCCCTTGCACTCATAGCCGCCCAGAAGCACCGTATTGACGCGACACCTTCGGCGAGCTTCAGGTCCCCGCAGATCGTACTGGGGTGCGCAGACGCAGCGGTACATATCCTACGCTCTGCTACCACCATGGTGCCTTACGTTACCATGCAGCTCTCTCCAGAACTTTGACATCGGCGGTCCGACCGAACGGTTACCTCCCCCGCTCATCAAAGCTTTGGTGTACTGAAGAAGGCATCTGCGATCGTTAACTCACATATGGCTTGGATCCCAAAGTTAGCCAGGCCATCCAGCATGCCGCCGATGAGGTCTGCCTGGCTTACGAGCAGTTGCGCGTGCAGTAGCTTACATCGGACGTGCGTCTCTAGGTCATCGAGGGCAAGCTCTTAGACCACTTCCCCTGTTGTGTTCCAAACTGGCAGTGGAACCCAGAGCAACATGAACGTCAACGAGGTGAGAATTGCGAATGATACACAGATGGGATGCATCTCATTGCTGCGCTCAGGTCATCTCCAACCGTGCCATCGAGATGCTCGGCGGTGAGCTAGGCTCGAAGAAGCCCGTGCACCCCAACGACCATGTCAACATGAGCCAGAGTAGCAACGACACGTATGTACAACTCTTCATGGTCCCCTGGGGTTATCATCAACGGAGGATCGCCGTCCAGGTTCCCGACCGCGATGCACATTGCAGCTGTCGTGGAGATCAGCCAATCCCTCATCCTGCGCTGACTGAGCTCCGGATGCGCTCGCGGCAAAGTCGAAGCCTTTGAGCACATCATCAAGATTGGTCGCACACACTTACAGGTTCGAATTTGCTTCTGGGATATCTCACAGCCAATTCAATGGACAATTGTAGGATGCAACCCCGTTAACTCTCGGGCAGGAGTTTAGTGGTTACGTCCAGCAGGTCACCAACGGCATGAGCGTGCCAAGGCTGTCCTTCCTCGCCTGAGCTGCCTTGCTCAGGGTGGCACTGCTGTCGGCACAGTAAGTCAACTTACATCTCAGAACTTCCGTGGCCAGTAACTGACATCTTTGATAGGGTCTGAACACGAAGAAAGGCTTCGACGTGAAGGTCGCGGCTGAGATCTCCAAGATCACTGGCCTCCACTTTGAGACGGCACCGAACAAGTTCGAGGCACTCGCCGCGCACGACGCCCTCGTCGAGGCGCACGGTGCTTTGAACGTCATTGCATGCTCGCTCATGAAGATCGCTAACGATATCCGGTACCTCGGTTCCGGCCCTCGCTGCGGTCTGGGCGAACTCAGCCTGCCGGAGAACGAGCCTGGCAGCAGCATCATGCCGGGCAAGGTCAACCCCACTCAGTGTGAGGCCTTGACTATGGTTGCTGCGCAGATCATCGGCAACCAGACCGCGGTCAGCGTTGCGGGTGCCAGCGGCCAGTTCGAGGTAAGATGCGCCATGTGTATGACCTTGTTTAGCTAACTAAGGATTGTCCTCTAGCTCAACGTGTTCAAGCCTGTCATCATCAAGAACGTGCTCCAAAGCATCCGCTTGCTGTCTGACGGTATGGAGCTACTTTCCACTTATTCGGAAGCTGCTTTTTCATCGCACGCCTCATGACAGGCTCGAGATCGTTCACGAAGCACTGCGTAGTCGGCATTGTGGCGAACGAGAAGCGCATCGACACTCTCTTGAACGAGTCTCTCATGTTGGCTACCATCCTGAACAGCCATCTCGGCTACGACAGTAAGCTTCACTTTTGTGTCTTCGTAAAAGCCCACATGACCGCTTACGCGTTGTGCAGACGTTGCGAAGTGCGCCAAGAAGGCCCACAAGGAGGGCACAACGCTCAAGGAGGCGACTGTTGCTCTTGGCTTCTTGACTCCGGAGGAGTTTGACCAGAAAGTCCGTCCGGAGCTGATGTTGGGCCCCGACGACCCATAGAGACAGATGGCTTGGTTACTGCAGCGTATCTTGAGTCGCGTCTATACTTACATGTCTCCGTTCGTCCGTGTGAATTCGAGAGATGAATGACAAGTCGTCAGCTCGCTGAGAACGATATTTGAGTTTGACCGAAATTCGTTTGACCACCCCTGATAAACGATGTGGCGTGGATATAATGGCCTACCGTCAGGCGTTGTGTCAAATCTGGAGAACACAAGTGACAATCATGATGTGTAACGTCGACTGGCAGTGATCCACAACAAAACAATGGTCTGCAAGGACTCCGTTGCTACGACGGTTTTGCATGCAGGTATTGCGATGACAAGCAACTGCACCGTTGGGAGTAGCAGTGAGCACGGCGTCGGGGGCGGGGCGGGCGCTGCAGTGCCCTAAAACGGAAGGAGTCACGGTGTGACGAGTGGATAGAAGCTCGGGAGAGGATCGTGATGACCAAAAGGGGAGTTGACATATTTGTAGCGGGCACGAAATCCAATGAGACCAGGCATGCTGGCCATTTTGCGGCTCAGCCGTCGTGTCAAGCCCCGACCACCCATCACGGCCTCTCTCTTCTCCCTCCACCGCCTCTGACCCCCTCCTCGCCGCCCTCCGCCGCCTCCCCCTCGACCTCCGCCGGTCTGCTACCCTCGCACTGCATTCTGGGCGAGGAGAGGATACACACCGCCACCCCAGAGTCGTCTTGTCATTCCCGGGCGTCAGCTGCCCCGCCACGTTCAGGACTGTGTCCCACTCCTTGCGGCCCTGCTCACATAAAACCATCGCTTGCTGCTACTTTTCTATATACCCCGCGCTATGTCTCTCAAGCACATCCTCAATGACGATCCGGCGCCGCCGGTCCATGTATCCGCTCCGGTTGCGCATACGCCTATATCGACCTCTGTCATTGACCCAGTCCTCATGCGGCCCTCACCTCCATCCAGGACCGAATCGTCACATTCGGACCTACGTGAATACGCGCATTCACGATCCCCGCACGAAGGCGAACAGCAACCGCCGATGCGCGAGTACGCATTCCAGTCCGTGAACTATGGTAGATATCATATTTTGGCTTGTGCAGTTCATCCGTCTTCATGCGTACTGTTAGGTCCCTACTATGGACGTGAAGATGAGCGAACAGCATCCCCGGCGCTTTCCAACGGAGGTCAATACAATACAAACCAGTTTAAGGATGGCTATGCCGAGACCAACAACAGGCGCAAGCGCAAGCACCCTGAAGACGATGACGACGACTATCACCCGCCTGGTCAGAAACGGGTGCGTGACAGGATGACTTGTTCTGTGAATTACATTGACATCGTGCTGCAGTCGTCGCGGCGCAGCTCAACGCGGAATCGCCAACAACGCAATCACACGCCCCCGTCCGAGATAATGGACACCGAACCTCTCATCCAGGAGATCACATTCGTGAACGAGGAAGAAGCTAGGCTAGTATCGTCAGACCTTGAGGATAGCGAGGACGTATGGAGAGGCGAACTCGGGAACTATGTCATGGAGACCCACAAGAGACAGAAACAAGTAGATGCGTGGTTCTCCAGATGGATCATTGTGCGTGTTCAAGTACGCCGTGGATATTATGTATACTGAACTTGCGGCAGGAACGCGACAGCATCACGGCCTATCATATGTCTCATGCCTACAGGCAGCGTATCGCTCGTATACCTCCGCCACCCCCTCCGCCCCCACCTCCGCCACCTCCAATGGTCGAAGAGCTCATGCGACCATCCTCTCCGTCTCTACTCGCTTCGGACGGCTACGATATGCCCGAGTTTGTGAACGTGGATCCTACCGGCCGGACGCGCAGGTCAGGTAAGGACGATGCGTCTCGGGATCTGGACGATGCTTCGATTTCTGGCCGACACAAGGGCAAGGGCAAGGAGAAAGACTCGGGGAAACGGCCGAAAGTTTATGCCATTTCAGACAGCGAGAGTGAACTGGATATCCCCATCTCGAGGACTATGCCTGCTCACAAGAAGCGGAGGCTTGCTGATGATACCAGAGGGACTCCGGATGACAGCGAACACGCCATCAGGATGCCTGTCCCGCATGCTTCACCCGCGCACAAGCTGGTCACCTCCGCCAAAGGCAAGGGGAAGGGCAAGCAGATACAGAGGGAAGACAGCGTGGACAGTGTGTCGACCACGCCGAGGCAGCGCAAGAAGCTGGGGCCGAGGAAGAAGTACGACACATTGCCGCCTCAGACCCAGGAGCTGTTGGGAGTTGGAGTAATCGGCTCAGCTTCCGCATCGGTTGCTGGGGATATCACACCTTCAGCCTCTCGGCCGGCGTCGCCTGCCCTTACCTCCATCTCTGCTACTGTGTATGAACTAGACGAGCATATACCTGCTCTGAAGAAGGCGAAGAAGGTGGACGATATTGTGATGATGAAGCGCGTGAGGAATCTGGAGGATGCACAGCGGAAAGTGTGGACGAACATCGCGAGACGTGATATCCCGAAGGCAAGAAGCGTCGGCTATTTTACACTCGACTGGTCGCTGACAATGGAGGTACAGGTCTACAAGTTCCATGCGCAAGGCTATATCTCGAGGCAGAATATCTCTAAGCGACTCGCCACACATGCATCAATGCACGCACGCAAGCCGTACGTCAAGGTCGGAAAGGCCGGAAAGGCGCTTAAGGATACACAAGCGAAGAGCAAGCGACTCATGCGCGAGATGCTGGTCTTCTGGAAGAAGAATGAGAAGGAGGAGAGGGACGTCCGCAAGCGCGAGCAGAGGGAGGCTCTTGATCGCGCGAGGGTCGAGGAAGAGAAGCGCGAGGCTGCGAGACAGGCCAGGAAGCTGGAGTTCCTGATCAGTCAGACCGAGCTTTATAGTCACTTCGTGGGCAACAAGCTGAAGAGTAAGTTTCTCCTGCCTGCCTTCGTGAAATGAACCTAATAATTGTCCAGCTGCTGAGCTGGAAGGCGAAGATGCCCAGATAGCTCCTGCGGGCGCCGAGCTTCTAGACATAGATCCTTCTTCGTTGCAGGATATAGACTTTGACGACGGTGGGTACTCCATATCTGTATGTAGACTTGCCTCCGTGCTCAACGTGTCGCACCATACCCAGAGGATCATACAAACCTCCATCACCATGCTCGGAATAACGCCCAGGCCGCTATTGCACTAGCCAAACGGAGAGCAGTGGACTTCGACGCGCAGGCCGCTTTGGAGCGTAAGACGAACGAAGCACTGAAGCTCGCCAAACGGCAAAGTCACATTCGCGGTGACGAGGATGTCGAGGGTACTGGATCCGGACCGGCTACAACGCCTCTTGTAGATTGTAAGTCTGTTGGTCGACTAGTCTGAATCGGCGCTAAAGTATTCCATACAGTGGATTCCGACGAGTTGAACTTCCAGAACCCAACGTCGTTGACTGGGGAACTGACCATCAAGCAACCGAAGATGCTCATGGCTACGCTGAAGGAATACCAGCTGAAGGGGTTGAACTGGCTTGCGACCTTGTACGAGCAGGGTATCAACGGTATTCTGGCAGACGAGATGGGTCTAGGCAAGGTGAGGAAAATGCTGCTATCTGCCCATGCGTCGCTCATATATCATGTAGACTGTGCAATCAATCTCATTGCTCGCCTATCTGGCTGAGACTCACGATATCTGGGGACCCTTCCTCGTCGTTTCCCCAGCGTCTACACTGCACAATTGGCAACAGGAGATTAGTCGTTTCCTTCCTAAGCTGAAGGCCCTACCGTACTGGGGTAACGTAAAGGACCGCGCCACGCTCCGCAAGTTCTGGAACAAGAAAGAGATTAGCTACGACGAGGACGCTCCTTTCCATGTGCTGATCACGAGCTACCAGTTGGTGCGTCTGCCTGACGTCAGTAGACAATGTATATGCTTATTGGCCTCCAGGTCACCCAAGATCAACAGTACTTCCAACGAGTGAAATGGCAATATATGATCCTCGACGAGGCTCAGAACATTAAGAACTCGTCCAGTGCTCGCTGGAAGACATTGCTTGGGTTCCAGTGCCGAAATCGTCTGTTGCTCACCGGTACCCCTATCCAGAACTCCATGCAAGGTAAAGTCCCTCAGCGTGTCGAATTTCCTTCCTGGACTCATTCGTATTGTCCTACAGAACTGTGGGCGTTGTTACATTTCATCATGCCGAGCTTGTTCGATTCGCACGACGAGTTCAACGAGTGGTTCTCCAAAGACATCGAGAACGCTGCGGAGAATAAAGGTAGCAAGCTGAACGAGCACCAGCTGCGTCGGTTGCATATGATCCTCAAGCCTTTCATGTTGCGCCGCGTCAAACGACATGTCCAGAACGAGTTGAGTGACAAGGCAAGTCCAAGCTGTCAGGCCTCTAGCTTTCACGCTGACATATGTACGGCTCCAGATCGAGAAGGATATCTACGTGGACCTCAGTGCTCGGCAACGTGCTCTGTACAAAGCTCTGTTGGCTAACGTCTCGGTTGCGGACTTGCTGGAGAAAGCAGCAAATATCGGTGACGCGGACTCGGCGAGATCCTTGATGAACCTCGTCATGCAGTTCCGAAAGGTATGATCATACGATGTCATGATGCATTTGCACACTCACCGCGATCCAGGTCTGCAACCATCCGGAGCTGTTCGAGCGGGCAGATGTCGTGGCGCCTTTCTCCTTCTCTGACTTCGGCAAGTCTGGACCGCTCAATCGAGAAGGCGACTTCGTTCAACTGGCGTATTCGACCCGCAATCCGATTGAGTATGCTATACCGAAGCTGCTGTACGAAGACGGTGGTCTGCTAGATGTCCCAAGAGAGGATGCACCTGTCGCGGGTGATACTCGTCGGGTCGCGAGATTGATGAATATCTGGTCAACGGACTGGGTGTACCGGTCTTCCCAAGAAGGTTCGACATGTCGTGCTTGTCCTGTCGTGTCGCTGACTTCTCGTGCGACAGATTCAGCTTTCTCTTTCTTGAGGTTCCTTGATGTGTCGCCGAGCGAGATGCATAGCGTATACACCTCCCATCTTCTCGAAACGTCACTGCGCGCTTCCAGGAAGGAGCATTCGGAGCTTGAAGATGATACATATGCAACGTTCGTGTTCTGTTTTCCATTGCAATCTGTGTGCCTACTGAACTATTTCACAGGGACAGTGCCTTCGTTGCTAATGTAGTTGCTGGACCCTTCCGCCTGCCTTCTCGAGTGCCCGATAGCAAGACTGTGAACGAGCTAGGGTTGACAGCTCTTCGTTCCATTTCCTCTGCCGCTTGGCAGTCCTCTTGCCTCTCGCGTCGGGATCTCAAATGGTTCATACCCCCTGCTGTGGCACCTCCCATCTCCATTTACTGTGCCGATCGCAACTTCGTTGAGCGCCAAGCGACGTTACGCGAATCCCCGATTGACTCGTTAGCCCTGTATGGTCTGCCGCCAAGCATGTGGTTTTCGCAGGACGCTTGCGCCGAATACCAGCAGCGGTTCTCTGGCGTCCATGTATCCGGTCTCATTGGAAGATCACCTCAGGACCAACTGCCTCCGTCGGCGATGCAGGTTCCAGAAGCCAAGAGACTCATCTACGACTCGGCAAAGCTCGCCCGCCTCGACGCGCTGCTTCATGAACTGAAAGCGGGGGACCATCGTGTCTTGGTCTACTTCCAGATGACTCGCATGATGGACCTCATGGAAGAATACCTCATCTATCGCCAATACAAGTACCTGCGCCTCGACGGTTCGTCGAAACTGGAAGATCGCCGAGATATGGTCATGGAATGGCAAACGAGGTAGATCGGATAGATGATCGTTGGAGTTATGCATGCTGACATTTCCGAAGGCCCGACATCTTTGTATTCCTCCTCAGTACGCGTGCTGGAGGTCTCGGCATCAATCTTACGGCTGCTGACACAGTCGTGTTCTACGACCACGATTGGAACCCGTCCAACGATGCTCAAGCGATGGATCGTGCGCACCGTCTCGGACAGACCCGTCAGGTCACCGTCTACCGCCTCATCACCAAGGGTACGATTGACGAGCGGATCGTCCAACTTGCCCGCGTGAAGAAAGATGTAAGTGTATTGTCCCAGCCGGCGGCGTGTAATACTCACCATGATAAAAGGTGCAAGACATCGTTGTTGGAAACAAGACCTTCACCGATGTTACGAAGCCTAGTGAAATCGTACAATTGCTTCTGACTGAAGATCAACTGGCGAACCTTGAGACAACCGAACCGTCTACAAAAAGCAAGGGCAAGAAGCGCGCCGATGCCGTGCAGGCGGATGCAGGTAGAGATTTATGGAACGACGAGGGTGATGAGTTCTTCGGGCAATCAGCTTCAGGACAGGCTGGTAATGTTGGAGATGGCGCCGATGACGACTCCGGGACGCCGGTCCCGACCACAGGTCGCGGTAGGAAACGAGGTGGAGGAAATGGTGCCTCGCGCGGTCGTAGGTCAGGCACGCGTGGACGCGGAAGGGGGAAGGCGGCGATGGCGATGGGTGATGGCAATTCGTAGTGCTCCCGCTTCAAGTCCGAAGCGACCTCCACTCCTTTTTGTTGTTGTTGTGTCTCTCGTTGTGTATTTTGCTCGTCACTGTACTGAACTCTTAGAAGCCTGCAAGGACATCGACGTATGTATTTCGTGCGTTTGGTCGTACTCCGTAAAGTATTAGCTTATTCGTCTCGTTCTGATAATGCTCCTGTATGTCTATGTATTCTATGCAAACTCTATGCAACCGCAGAATCATCGCGATCGTATACGCGACGCTCTAGCCAAGAGACCAGAAGCTCATACCGTCTGTTTGGAGTTTCTGACCGCGATGTGTGTGTCCACGTTTGCGATCAGTAAGACGCCGGATCGAGATGGCGGCAATGGCCGCCGGTGTATATTCTACGAACTCGAGATCCTGCACGATCGTCCCAAGCCGCCACCACCTTGTCGATTGCGTCGGGACGACTCGCTTATGAAGTGGTCCAGCACTCGACTCATGCACCGCATCCTCAGATACAACCCACTTTTGTCGCAATCACCTAGGTGGCGATAATTCGCCACAGCAGCTCTTGAATCTCACACCAGTACCACCCGCAGCACCCGTACCCAGCAGCACTATCGGCCAAGGCAAGTTTGACGGAGGATTGCGTGAACAAGGAAGAAAGTAGGGTGTCCACATTACCCCGTCATGGGGACGAAAAAGAAGAAAACGCAGCTCAAGCCAGTGGCGAGAGGCTTTGCGACCACCTCTGTGCCGAAGAAGGTAATCCCTGTGGCAGACGTCGCCGAAGATAGCGATTCTCCAGCAGATCTCAAGGAACCCGAGGTCAAGGGAGATCCATCTTCATCATCCAGCGATGTCACGAAAAATCCCGAAGATGCGTCAGGACAGACTCTGGGTGATGTAGATGCCGGTCTCCAAGGACTTGTGGACAAGTTCCAGGACAAGACGGAGAAAGACATCGTTAGAACCATCAAGGTAGTCAACAGAGTCTACCTGCGTACTACTTTTCTCATTACCGCCATATTCAGGCCATCGAACAGGAAAGGCGTTTCGCTGAGACCATGAAATCTCTGGAATTCGACTCAACCCTAGTACAACGTGTGCTAGAGCTATCGATCGAGTCCGAGCGCCGAGAACGTAAGAACAACATAAATTAACCACCTTGTGTCCATGACAATACTCATATGAGCACAGTTGAGCCTATCGTCGACGAATCAGCAGAGAAGGCAGTATCACGTCTGGCTGTCACCTATGGGGTCCTCAGACGGCTAGGTTTCTCAGAAGAGAGAGTGGAAGAATGCCTACGAGCCATCAATGGAATCGACCTGGAGGAGGCTTTCGATTGGGTATATCCGCTGCGCCACACTGCACTGTTTCGAAATAACATTGAGTTGTCTTCACAGCTGCACCTGCACTGCACCGATGACGAGTTACAGGTAGACAAGGGTATGCTCCACGTTCATTCATGCCAAGTGATGGGACTGAGTCTCGGGTACAACAGACGTCGATGGTACTGAGGCGACAAATTCCAAATCAGCCAGCGTCCCTTCGACTCCTCGGACAACACAACATTCAATACCTGGTCGCAGCCGTCCTGACATCCCGTCGTCGTCGATGCCACAGTCCCCGCAAAAGACAGGGTTCTCGGGACATCTTGACGCCAGTGCGCCGGTTTTCGTGCCCAGCGGCCTCTCTTCGCCCTACACGCCTCAAGGCAAAGCTCAATTTTCAGTGCCAGGGGACGAGACACCGAGTTCGAATACTCATAGCTCGAACAGCTCTGGGAGCTGGTCCCCGATTGATGATCCAAATGCCACCTTCGTGCAACTAAAGATGCAGATATCAGCACTCACTACGCATCGACAACCTGGCGAAACACGAGACGCATCTTTTCTGCATGATTTGCAACGGCGCCTCGAGGAAGTGAAGAAGGATTATCTCTTTGATGAAGCTGAGGCCGAAAGCCAATTCCGTATCGAGCGCGAGAGGGCCGATGCTCGTCTACTGCAGTCGAAACTGCGTGGGACTAGTACACCGACATCTCCTATAACTCCCTCGACCCCGAGTCCTTCAGCGCCTCGCAAGCCGAAGACTATTCAGACACAGCCTTCTGACTCTGGAGGTGACGCAGAGGAGGACATCTTCGACGAGGAAGAGTCGGCAGGCGGGATGTTCGAACTTCTGGAAGCAATGCCTACAACTGAAGTCGCGCAGAACGGGACATCGGTGAATGTCCGGGATATGGCTCTTCCAAAGCATTGGTCCGGTCGCACTCCGAAGTCTGTGCTGGCGGAGCGGGTGCACAAAGTCGACAGGTTTGCCGCTATCATGTATGCCGACGTCTCAGGAACTAGTCGCGCGAAGAGGGCCAAGGTTGATATCCGCTGGACTGGTGGCAAAACAGATTTATGGTCCATGGACGACGTAGCATGCCATGACATGTCGCAGGCGGAGCAGTACATCTCAACTGTAGCTCTGCATGCTCTCGCGTTTCCTCAGTCTGAGGGATTCGCATTGGGTGCTACGGCAGGTACGAACAGTCAGACAGCTTTCAGATTGTTGCCTGCTATCCATCGTGATCTATGGGACGAGCTCGAGAAGCAGAGACTCGCGCAAGACAATGCCATCAATCGCGGTATATGGACCAAACTGAATTCTATGTTGGAACCGAAGCTGAAGACCGAACGAGAGGTGCGTAGCGTGAAGCGTCGGAGCTCTGATCTCGCCTCATGGATATCGTCTAGGCTACGGAGAGGAGTGCGAAGCTTGCAACCGATCTCAAGCAGCGTCATGGAAGCCGAAGCTACTTTGTCGGGAGTGACCTGAATCCCGAGCAGATTATGGCTGGCTTTCAAGCACGTCAAACAAATCCCGCATACCAGGACATGCTTGTAAGCCGTATATGTTCGTCGGCACTCAAGTGTTACTCACCATTTCCCTACAATAGCGCCAGCGAGAGCAGCTTCCTATCGCACAGTATCGCAATGACATCGTCGCGGCTCTGGAGACGTCTCAAATCCTAGTACTGAGTGGTGAGACCGGCTGGTATGTCTCTAGCTTGTGCATCTTAACGCAATCTTCCTGACGTATCCATTGTGCAGTGGGAAGTCTACTCAAGTACCCTCCTTCATTCTTGAAGATCATCTGTCGAAAGGCAAGCACTGCAAAATCTATTGCACCGAGCCTCGCCGGATCTCTGCGATCTCGCTGGCGCAGCGTGTGTCGCGAGAGTTGGGCGAGCCTGCCGGTGCAGTGGGTACAGCCGGGTCCATAGTAGGATACTCCATCCGTTTGGAGAGCAACATCACGAACAGGACACGTTTGGCGTATGTCACGAATGGTATCGCTCTACGCATGTTAGAAGGCGGGTCGGGTCAGGGAGGTCAGGGAACGGCTTTCGACGAAATCACGGTACGTAAGTCGCGCCGTCGTGTATCTATACACCTGACGTTTCTTTAGCACATAATCATCGATGAAGTTCACGAACGCACCATCGAGTCTGACTTCCTGCTGATTGTTCTCAAGTCCCTGCTCCTAGAGCGCCCCGAGCTCAAGTGGGTCATCCATTTTCTCGTCTCAACTGCTGACTCACGGAACGAGTAGGGTCGTTCTTATGTCTGCTACTGTAGAGGCGGAGAAGATCTCGAACTACTTCGGCGGTGCTCCTGTCCTCTATGTGCCTGGACGAACCTTCCCTGTCGACGTCCGCTTCTTGGAGGATGCTGTGGAGTTGACTCAATGGAAACTCACTGAGGGATCTCAATATGCTCGCCGTGGTATGTTTGCCGTTCATGAGAGGTGCACGTAGCTCATGTTGCTTTAGGATATGACAAGTTCTCACGAAGCAAGGCACGCAACGAATGGTCCGAGGACGCTGTCCCTGTGGACGACGATGACGATGAGACAACGCAGGAGAACGTCAAGCTCGAGAAACGGTACTCGGCCTTGACCGCCAACACAATCAATCTACTCGACGAACGTCTCGTACCCTTCGATCTCATCGTCCGCCTTCTGGAACGCATATGCCTTGAGGACGCTGCCTACGCTACGTATTCGGCGGCAGTTCTAATCTTCATGCCTGGGATGGGCGAGATTCGACGACTGAATGATCTCTTGATGGAGCACAACGCCTTCGGTGCTGAGGACCGGTTCAGGGTCTATCCGCTGCACTCCACGATCTCGAGCGAGCAGCAAGGGGCAGTATTTGACATCCCGCCCCCTGGGATACGCAAGATCGTGATAGGTCTGTTCATATGACTGTTCACAACGACAGCAATTACTCACGCTTTGGTAGCGACGAACATCGCCGAGACTGGTATCACTATTCCTGACATCACGTGCGTCATCGACACAGGAAAGCATCGCGAAATGAGGTTCGTATTCACTGGACCAGGAGTTAGCACAGTAAAAGACTGAGACATATGTCTAGGTTTGACGAGAAACGTCAGATCAGTAGACTCGTGGAGACGTTCATTGCCAGGAGTAATGCTGCTCAGAGGCGCGGCCGTTCAGGCCGTGTTCAGTCTGGACTCTGTTTCCATCTCTTCACCAGGATTCGTCACGACACAAGGTCAGGCCTTCTAACTCCGTATCTTGTATTTCTGAGCTGAACTTGCCCACAGCTGGCTGCTCATCCCGACCCGGAGATGATGCGCCTGAGTCTCAGCGACCTCGCATTGCGTATCAAGATCATGAAGGTGAAGCTTGGCACGACCATCGAAGACGTGCTGTCTCGGGCATTGGATCCGCCACTCCCCGTGAACATTCAACGTGCTGTCTCTGCCCTGGTGGAGGTATGTAGCGGAGAGCACCTAGCTGCCCTCATCGCACCTGATGAAGCGTCATTGTAGGTCCGGGCTCTGACTCCTTCAGAGGAGATCACGCCCATGGGTCGCTTGTTGAGCAAGCTACCAACCGACGTGCACCTTGGGAAGTTCTTACTCACAGCTACGCTCTTCCGCTGTCTGGATCCAGCCCTTACCATTGCGGCCACCCTCAATGCCAAGTCTCCCTTCGTCTCACCAATGGGGTTAGAGCAAGCAGCTGATCGCGCAAAGATGTCTTTCCGCGTCGGTCAGTGTCGTCTCTATGACAAAAGAGGAAACACTTGGGATTGACATTTGAACAGAGAACTCTGACTTTCTGACCATCCATAACGCCTTTGCAAGTTGGCGGCGTGCATGTGCTAACGGCCAAGCCCAAGCGCGAAAGCTCTGCAAAGAGTACTTCTTGAGCTATCAAGTGAGTAGCTAGCAAAGAGTACCGTCTGCCGCAAACTGAGCCTCGAGCTAGAATCTGCAACAAATCGAGGAGCTCCGGCAGCAATTCCTTGGGTCAGTGTTGTGTGAGATTTCCTTCACAAGGAAATAATAACCTCGTTTCAGATATCTGGTCGACTCGTCGTTTTTGCCAGCGGACAACGCGTTCGTGCGTGAACTGAGTCGGTGAGTGCTGATCTCCCTACAAACGTCTGACCATTCTTATGCTTGAAGCAGAGCACGATACAACCGAAGCCGGACACGTTTCGTCACTGTGCCGCCGGACATGGATGCCTGCAGCGGGAACGTGCACCTCCTGAATGCCGCTCTCGCAGCTGGCCTGTACCCGAAGATCCTGTCGATCGACCCTTCTAATGGCGCGCTGAAGACCATCTCGAACAACCAGCTAGTCGCTTTCCATCCGTCGTCGGTCAACTTTGGCAAGCGGGCGACGGAGTTTGGGGTCAACCATTTGTGCTACTTCACGTTGATGTGAGTCACATCGTCGTCGTGTTTGAAAGAGACCCCTCTCGCTGAGGCAACTTCCACAGGCAATCGAAGAAGCTGTATGCATGGGAGACGGGACCTGTAGATGACTTGGCCATGGTCCTGCTCTGCGGAGAACCTGAATTCAAGGTACCTAGTGTAACTGCTACTTGACCTCCAATTGTTCACTTACATAGCTTCAAACAGATGGCCGCCGGCCTTGTGTACATCGACCGGAAGATCAAGTTCCGTTTCTCACCCAAGACTGGGGTCGCTCTCAAGCTCCTCAGGACTCAACTGGGCTCGTTGCTATCAACACAGATGCGAACGAGACCGCTGTCGGAAACGCAGGTGCTATGGAATGATCTCGCTATGATGGTTTTGGGGAAGGTCAGACCAGAGGAGCCAGGAAGACAACTGGATAGTATAACGCTGGTAGTCAACAGGCCATCATGACTACTCATGACACTTACAGTAGAACGTATGCACAATATGATCTGACCAAGACAATCCATGCCCTGCAACAAGTTGCTTCCAAACATTACTTTTAGTCGTGAACATACATCATCAACGGAGTAAAGCAGCCCATGGCGGGAGAGCAGTCGGTGCCATAGCGTAGTGCATAGATTGCATAGAGACAGGGCTTACAACATAGCAATCGTGACAGAAGTGATACAGCAGCAGTGCGTCTACTCCTCCTCTTCCTCATCACCAGCGCCCTGGATGTTGTAGAAGCGGAGTTGGTAGGAATCTTTTGAGTTGGCGACGACACTAAAAACACTGCTCAGTACACATGTGTAAGGCAATATATACCATACTTACCGAATCCAGTCGCGGAGGGAGTTCTTCTTGAGGAACTTCTTGGTGAGGTACTTGAGGTATCGCTTGGACAGAGGGATGTTGGAAGACACAATGAGCTTTACATCGCCTGTCAAAGATATTTTGAGTCAATGGCAGAGTAGTGAGTTGCGAGTGTACGCACCGTCCCGGGTGATCTTGACGTTTTCACCGAGCTGCCCAGTCTTGCCGTCAACCTTAATGCGGTCGTGGAAGTACTTTTCGAAGGCCGCGCCATCGAAGACACCGTCGCCCGCGGGCTTCGAGTAGTCAATGACAAACTTGTGCTTAGCAGCAGCAGACTTTCCGGACGCGGCCTTGGGCTAATGAGAAGGAGAGGAGGAAAAACCCAGCATGAGCCTACTGAGAAGGTAACTCAGCAAAGCGGTACTGGGGACTAACCATCTTGATGAGTCCGACGGAGAACGAGGGAGGGGAATGGTCTTGAGGGGGTCGTTGGAGGGTGCCGAAGTTCGCGGTCTGTGTACGCGCCCTCGTCACGTGAATGATACTGTACAGTCGCTCTCACGGTCGGCTACCTCCGGTGTGGGCCCTGAAAAAGGACCGCCGATACCCACGCCACCGGCAGAGAGGGCAGATCTCGATCCCCCAGATCGTGATCGCTGTGAGGGCGCGCAAACGACGCGGAAAACTTTGGACTCTGTTTGGACTCTGCATTCGACAATGGCCTCCGCCAGCAAACTCACCCGTGAGCAGGTCGCGTCTGCTCAGGTTCAGGGCGAATACTCTCTGAAGCCCGAGACATCTGCCCCAAAACTCGATACATCGCAATGGCCTCTCCTCCTCAAAAATTACGACAAATTGCTGGTGCGCTCGGCGCACTTCACGCCTATCCCTTCAGGATGCAGTCCATTGAAGAGGGATATCACGTCGTACATCAAGTGCGTGTGCTAGGTTCAATGTTATAGCCCTCAGTTGACATTCGTCTAGATCAGGTGTCATAAACTTGGACAAGCCGTCCAATCCCTCTTCCCATGAAGTCGTCGCTTGGTTGAGACGAATTCTACGTGTGGAGAAGACCGGTCACAGTGGAACTCTCGATCCGAAGGTCACTGGGTGTCTTATTGTCTGCATTGACCGTGCTACTCGTCTGGTCAAATCCCAGCAGGGTGCAGGAAGGAGTATGTTGCTGTACTCCGCCTCCACTCCCCCCTCCCCAACCCCGCAGCCCTCCCCCGCGCCATTCAAACCCTCACCGGTGCCCTCTTCCAACGGCCACCACTCATCTCTGCCGTCAAGCGTCAGCTTCGTATACGCACGATCTACGAGTCGAACCTCCTTGAATTTGACGAGAAGCGTAACCTTGCTGTCTTCTGGGTCTCTTGTGAAGCTGGCACGTACATCCGGACGCTATGTGTGCACCTAGGTCTTTTGCTCGGCGTGGGCGGACACATGCAAGAACTTCGGAGAGTCAGGAGTGGTGCACTCAGCGAGAGTGATAGCATGGTCACCATGCACGATGTTCTCGACGCGCAGTGGACGTATGACAACACACGAGACGGTGCGTGATACGATTACTATGTGTGCTCTAATTTGCTCACTCGTTCGGTGATGTAGAGTCGTACCTCCGCCGTGTCATTCGGCCCTTGGAGTCGCTGTTGATTGGCTACAAGCGGATTGTTGTCAAGGACAGCGCTGTGAATGCCGTCTGCTATGGCGCGAAGCTCATGATTCCTGGACTGCTCCGTTACGAATCTGACATCGCATTGAACGAGGAAGTCGTCTTGATGACAACCAAAGGTTCGTAGCCGTCTTGATACTTATGACGCAACGTCTCACTGACAATACCTCGCAGGCGAAGCCATCGCTCTTGCCATTGCGCAGATGTCCACCGTCGAACTGGCGACATGTGACCACGGCGTCGTCGCAAAAGTCAAGCGGTGCATCATGGAGCGTGATACGTACCCGCGCCGCTGGGGTCTTGGACCGAAGGCGTTGGAAAAGAAGAAGCTGGTCAAGGATGGCAAACTCAGCAAGTTCGGCGAGAAGATCGAGGGTGTCACCCCGGCGGAGTGGAGCAAGGACTACGTTGACTACTCGCGCGAGGTCAGTATACAACCCATCAGTGCATGTCGTGCAGAGCCTGATTATTAATTTCGTCGCAGGAACCTACGGCCGGTCCATCGACAACTGCTGCACCCGCCGAGACCCCTTCTGCTGACCAGTCTGCGGAGGCAAGTCCCACCAAGGAGAAGGAAAAGAAGCGGAAGCGAAAGTCTGAGATCCCTGATGCGGATGGCGACGTTTCCATGGCCGTGGGGGAGAACGGCGAGGAGGACGCAGCGGCCAAGGCTGAGCGCAAACGTCTCAAGAAAGAGAAGAAGGCGAAGGAGGCTGAGCGGGGCGAGGAGGCTGAGGACGAAGAGGCGAAGAGAGAGCGAAAGCGACTGAAGAAGGAGAAGAAGGCGAGGGAGTCGATGGGCGGCGAATCATAGTGTTCGTGTAACACGGTCGTGATATGGTTGTAGTACCAAAAACTCTGTCCTGTCGTCAGTAGGGCGGCACTGGCTCTGGCATTCTTGTGATTATACGTATGTTTTTGCACGTCGTCTTGCTGTATCTTAGCCGCTCTGGATTGATTTCGCTTGTCGCTGACATCTCGGTCTCGAGATTGAGCCGCATGAATAGGAGTGTCGGCGTTGGCGTCGGGACCGAGTCGTTGCCCATAGTATCAGAACAACAGACGATGCACAACACTGTAGGTCATAGGACAGATAAATTAGCACCGAGTGTCCGTGAACTATGGTAAACCAGTAAGAGAATGTATATGCTACAAAACACAAGACCCAACAAAACGACTACCCGGCGATATCACACAGTGAGTGGCCAGATCATGCAGTCGGCTCGTCACACCAACGGACGGGGCACCACTCATCCTTTACATGTTACACGAGGAATGTCATGATCATAGCGACGGACCCGAGCCCGAGCAAAGCATTAACAGCGATCGAGCCAGCACCATTGGCACCCGTGCTAGATGGGCTGGCTCCCGTGCCTGACGCCGATGCAGACGCCGAGCCTGTGCCGTTCAGCTGGATGGCGAGCTGCTGGAACGCGGCGAAGCTGCGGGCGCTGTCGGCGACGGCGTTGATGGCGAAGACCATGCCCATCCCGCAGTGGCTGGCGCCGGTTGGCAGGTGCTGCTTGCACTGTTCGAGGTGAGGAGTGAGTGCACGTCTGGGAGAGGGGCGTTAAGGACGTACGTAGAACCAGGTCGGGGAGGTGTCGTTGACGGTGACGTTGAAGGTAGGGAAATCGGTCGCGTTGTCAGAGACGGGCATGCTGTAGTAGGACGTCACGATCAACCGTGATGTTGGCTCATTTGTACAGAGGTCACAACTCACAATCCAGAGTCAATGGCGGTCACCTGGCCAGTGGTAGCGTTGGTCAACGGACGGCACGGATCAGCAAAGGATGACTGGGTCGCAGTGTGGTTCTTCTGGTGGCTAAGGAAGGGATAATCATCAGCTGCTACGCAGGACTGCAGTGCCGTGCAGCCCAAGACTTACAACTCGAAGACGACCGTGTCGCGCGGCTCAGCAGTGATGTTCGAGGGGCTGAACGTCAGCTGTCCGTTCGAGCCGCCAACAACGATCTTGTGTGTGGCACCCTGGAGCGACACGGGCGTCGCGGCGGGTGAGCCGGGGTACGACGAATACGTGGTCACCCAGGACGACGCCTGGACCGTGACCGTCTCCGTCACGACCGACACGCTCGGAGCGGCGGGGATCGTGACGCTGCCGTACGCAGCGGTGGTCCAAGGGCCGGACACAGAAGATGCGGTAGCGGAAGCACTCGCGGAAGACTTGAAGGCTGCGCCTTCGGCGAGGGCTTTGTCGAGGTAGTTCGCGAACGAGTTGGACGTGCCGTTCGCGCCTGGATTCACGGCGAAAACCATGCCGTTGCCGCAGTGGCTCTTGGGCGTGTCGTCTGCTTGTCGGCAGTAGACCCAAATCGGCGTAGTCTGCATGGACGTCTGTTAGTTTGGAGTGGATGATGAGGGTGCTGAACACTTACGTTGTTAACGGTGATCGTGTAGGTCGGGAAGTTATCGGTCTGGTTCGAGGGCACGAACATACTGACATGCAATGTCAAATCAGAGAGGCCTGGGAGGGCAATCCACAAAATATACTTACAACCCTGAGTCGAATCCACCGCTGGTCTTGTGGCATGGGTCATTAAACGAGGACTGAGTCGCCGTGTGGTTCGCCTGTTTGAACTGGAAAGTAATCTGATCCCCAACTGAGGCAGACTGAAGCAGACATCAGCTACGATCACAGGAGTCGCAGTTCACCGAACTCACAAGGAAGCTAGGGGTGTAGATTTGATCCGCATTCGCGCTGCCTACGACGACATTGTGAACGGCGGCAGACGCTGCAGACGCAAGAACAAGAGCAGAAGCGGCAAGAATAGATATCATGACGAGAGGCGTGAACGGAAGACAAAGGAGCAAGAGATGTAGACCGGGGCCCATCGTCCTGCAGCTTTTATGGTCTCTCTGTTGGTGGCAGTGCCGCATTAAGACCTCAGTCTTTTGTCTTACCGCCCTCGGGGGGCGCGTGTCTGGCACTGCTCAGTCGGGAAGTCTACTGAGACAATGGCGTCGGTCTTACAATATGACCACCGCCGAGGCCCTTCATGGCGCTAGGAGGGTAAGCTAATGGCGGGGAGCTAGACGTACCATTGGTTGCGTTTATTCTGCAGCTCGTGCCCCTGTCTGAGACGCGAGTCAGCGATCGACCGGCGCGACGAATCTGGTTACCGGGCGTGCCTCGAGCACACACGAGGAGTGATGTGCCGTAACGATTCCTGTAGTAAGGTATTCGATTGAAGGTGAGTGAGGCAGCGAGTGAGGCGGTGTCCCCGAGACGACCGAGGCCAATGCGGCGGCATACAGGTCATTTATGAAACTGCGAACGGGAGTACGTATGCCTTTGTTTCCGCTAAGTAGCAAATGGAGAGGGGCTTGCAACGTTGCGACACAGCCTTCCCGTACGACCTCGATGAAACGCATCGTCCCTTGTTGGGGATTGCATTCGAGAGTTGCGACCAATCATATGCGGTGTAACGCCACAGCTGAAAAAGGCAAGTCTAGTAATAGTCAACCTCCCTTAGTTACTGACTTGCCAATGTTCGCGTCCCGTTGAGCCCCTGATATTTGTGTTACGACTCCACTCACTGGCATATTGGCTGTGCTTCCCGAGCAACGGGAAGGTGTTCATAGGACTGACATTTGCGCAGAGGCTTTATTTCGACGAACCTCAGCCTCTCGAGTGCTCCGTGATGCTACCCCAGACTGTACGTAATGTACGTATCAGAAGGTGCGCTTGTGCGAAGAAATGCCTTGCGAATGTCATGCATTCGCACTTGATTAGCAGATGTTCCAGTTGTGCTGTCGACCGTCCAACTATCTCAGCGTTGCTATTATCAGAGCGAGGACGTATAGACACTCACGATGATCAGCTGCAAGACCGAGGATGCATCCAGCGGAAATGGCTGTACTTGGCCCAGTCGCGTTGAAGGCACCATCATCAGAGTTGACGACCATGATCGCATGTACCCTGTGAGTCGCATTCGCAATGGGGCATCTCATGTCCAGCATCATTGCAATCCTCGCTCACGGCCAAGTAGATGAAGCAGATACGATAGCAGTGAGGCCTTGAGGACCATGGTGGGCAATGAGCTTGAGGCCCGAGTCAGGGATGGATCGGGCGGCAAGAGAGGGCGTCTGGAGGACAGCGCGAGGAAGCTGTGTCGCGGAGAGAGGCTGGCTGGGGCCGCCGCTGGGCCCATCAAACGTTAGAGCCCATCACTCCGACATCAGAGCAACCGGAAGATCGTATTGCTCTCAATGAATCCTTCCTTATATTGGCTGTGCTCCCGCGCCTGCGCAGCCCACCTATTCTCCGTGCCCTTGTAATCGATTCCTTTCCTTCGCGCTAATCGCCCTTCTCTATTCTTCGCCGTTGTCACCGTTTCTTCGCCTTCGCCTTTGACTCCGCCTTTACCTTTGCCAACCACTCTTTCTCAAGCCCGTTCTAATGTCTCGCAAGCAGGCCAAGCCCCTCCCCAAGTTCGACGTCGGTGCGTTATCTGATCGACGGGTCCGGAAAGACAGAAGACCTAACCGTCCGTGTCTCGCAGGCACTCACTATGTCATTCTACACGGGCTCGGAGAAGGTGCATACGGTACGGTCGCCGCTGCGCTGCACAAACCGTCCGGGAAGGAGGTCGCGATCAAGAAGGTCCTGCCCTTCGAACACACGCTCTTTTGCCTACGCACACTACGAGAGCTCAAGCTGCTGAAGTTCTTCTCGGAGACCTGTGTGAATGAGAACGTACGCCCTTGTGTGCAAGACTGCGTCGTTGTCATCGGCCCTCACACGTTATGCTAGATCATCTCGATCTTGGACATCATCAAGCCTCCTTCGAAGGATGAGTTCAAGGAGATTTATTGTGAGCGAGCCGTCTGAGCTCCCTCACTAATTTGCTGAGAATTCCCACCCAGTCATCCAAGAGCTCATGCAGACCGACTTGCACCGCGTTATCAGGACACAGCAACTCACTGATGATCATTGCCAGGTGTGTAGCATCCACGATACTTTGTTGATCCACAGCTGATCGTGAAACTGTCAAGTACTTCGTGTACCAAACGCTGCGTGCGTTGAAGACCATGCACTCCGCGGACATCGTCCACCGAGACCTAAAACCCGCCAACCTCCTGCTCAACGCGAACTGCGACCTGAAAGTGTGCGACTTCGGTCTGGCACGCAGCACGCGATCCACGAACCCGGGCGGAAAGGAGGTGGGCCTCATGACGGAGTACGTTGCTACCCGGTGGTACCGTGCGCCGGAGATCATGCTGTCGTTCAAGATGTACACGAAGGTGCGCACACGCTCCCTTGGCCCGGTGGGGGTATGCACGGCACCCTGACACGGCTACTGCAGGCGATTGACATCTGGGCTGTTGGCTGTATCCTCGCTGAGCTGATCAACGGGCGGCCTCTTTTCCCCGGTCGTGACTACGGGCATCAGCTCGACCTCATCCTCGATGTGATCGGTCAGTACGATTGTCCGGCGCACAAGGTAGCACTCACCTAACATCTACACCCTTGTTGATAGGCACGCCAACGCTGGAGGAATTCTACGGCATCACATCGAGGCGTTCCCGAGACTACATCCGCGCGCTGCCCATCAAGAAGCGCAAATCGTTCAGCGCGGTGTTCCCGAAGGCGACACCGGAGGCGCTGGACTTCCTGTCCAAGACGTTGGTGAGTTTCGAGCTCGTCGAGTGCGTTCGGGCCATGGCTGAAACGTAGGGCCAAGACATTCGACCCGAAGAAGCGTTTGACGGTGGACCAGGCGCTGGAACACCCGTATCTCGCATCATACGTGAGTCGGACACGTCGTTCGAAGAGCGTGAATGCTGATAGTCGCTATGACACCCCTCGCTCAGCATGACCCGGAGGACGAACCTGCTGTGTCCTCCCTCGACTCGGAGTACTTCGAGTTTGATTGTGAGTACCGTGCGCCTAACCGCCGATCCGTCCCCGCTTACCATGGCGTACACTCGCAGACCTGGACTTGAACAAGGACGAACTCAAGGGTGGGTGAAATGGGTGCGAAACCTATGTCAAAATCTGACCAAGCGATGTTCTTTCAGACCTGCTGTACGCGGAGGTAATGTCCTTCGTGCCTTGCATTTAAGGGCGCTATGCTGGTAGCCCCAAACTCCCGTTTCGGCCCGACGTCCTGCTAGTGCACCATGCTCAGTGACTCAAGACCGTCCGGCGATATGCTGTTGTACCCGAGGGTAATATCCCCTCCGCTACGACGAAGGAAATAGAGCTGTTGTCGATCTATATACATGTAAACCATATACCTGCATTCCTCGGATGTTGTTCTCTGCATTGGGTCTATTTATTTCATTGTACGCTTTGTTATAACAATATAATCAACAACGACAAAATGGGAGATGCGCGCACGAAGCGACCATCTGCTGAGCTACGTACAACGCAGATCATTGTCAATTCGTGGTGCAGTACAGTGATAGCGGTTCGGGAGTGCTGTAGTGCTAGCGCTGATGCGTCCAGGGATCATACCTGCTGTCAACGCACATGCACGTCACAGTCAGACATCTATCTTTGAGGCCAACAAGTTGATTGCAATTGTTCAGTCTAACACAACAAATCGATGCAGAAGGGTTCATAAAGCAATAATTCAGCGTTTGAAAGAACACATGAGAATGAGCTTTGCGTGATGAGATCATGGAACAGGGATGCAAGAAGCGTGACCGAAGTCAGAGCAAGAACCAGGTCGATGGATGTGTAGGTGTCGCAGTACCGGGATGGTACGTCACTAGATGGGACGTACAGGTCAACTCAAAGATGGTGAGCCGCAAGGCTCAAAAGCGCGGCGCAGCCCCCACCCAGAAGCCAGCAGCAGCGACGCCCTCCACACCAAAGTCACCGAACCGCGTGTCTCCTTCAAGTTCAGTGCCATACATCGTCCGCTTCATGGGGGGCGCCGGTGTTTCAGGTGGGAGAGGCAGCTGGCCCAGCCCGAATACGTGTCCGATATCGCTGCTCGAGACTGCCGGCTGCTCGGGGATGGCTTCAGCGTCGACGTCTTGCTCTGTGACGGTATGGAGGGGCGCGCTGCTCATCAGTGTGGATGGGTTGACTGTCCCATCCGAGCTGGGACCAGCCTGGCTTGTGGATGCTCGAGATGGTGGCCGGCTGCTGTCACGGCTGGCAGCTGAGCGCGGACGACCATGCGGATGGAAGAGGTCATTCCGTTCTCGTCGTCCGCCTGCACGTTCGATATAGCCGCCGCTAGGGCTGCGTGGGACGGCGGGTGTAGGGGAAGTCGGTGGTTCTGGATAAGTGAAGCTGGGCATGCCACCGCCACCATAAGGACCCGCAGGCGTCGATGTCAGCGGATGGAAGGCAGTGGTAGTGAAGCTGAAATTGAATGCGTTGGGGGGCTGTACGTTGTTCTCAGGCGCATTTGCGGTCGCGGTCGTTCCGTTTATTGCAAAGCGACCTATCGCCGTATTTGCAGGGGGTAACTCGAGCAGGTCAGAGAGATGCGTCGTAGGCGGGGGCGGGTCCTGATATGACTCCATCGGTTCTTCTGGTCCACTGAAGATTGTGAAGGCAGGCGCGGATGGTGTCACCACGGTCCCCCGTTGCGGGGCAGCATCTGGACTACCCGATGTACGTCCATTTCCTTGTGATGAGGACCCTGTGGTGTGCGGCGATAGCTTCGCACGTTTCCTCGTCGGACGAGCTGCCCTATGGAGCAGCTCCTCACTTTCCTTCCCAGCATCCGCTATACCAGTTAGCTGGCTGTCATCTGAGTCTCGCGGGTGTTTTCCAAGGACACGCGCAGCAAACCCTGGGTGCGGTTGTACCTCCTGCGCCACGGCATCCGTTTGGGCGCCAGGGCTCGCGGATGCGCCCTCCGTAACCTCCCTGCATGAACTACCATGAGTATAACACGGGTTATGCCAATCATGCCCACGTACGTCGCACGTGCTTTGCCCGCACTCTTCGCGGATTGAGCCATGGCAGAAACAACTGTACGATCGCCAGAGATTGGTGTTAGGTCTCTCAGCCTGTGTACCTCCGCTTCAAGCGTCGCCATGTCACCGAGCTTCACGCGCAGAAGTTCAACCTCGATGCTCAGTCCGCCACTTCAGTCCTCAGGTTGTCAACGTTTGCCACCTGCCCGGTGAGGCGTTGCACTTCTGACTGTAGTTGTCCGATTTGATCTTTCAATGGTTGAATCTGCGATGATCGATTAGTCCTCCAAGCCAATGAAGGGCATTTGAACGTACGATCTGAGCTGCTGTGTCTGCGTCGGCCAAGGTTGAGATGCGGTAGGCTGTACATCTGCTCCAGCACCATGCTCGGTTTCATGAGATGTGCCTGAAGGACCAGCTACCGGGCCTTTCGAGGTGTGAGCTACGAGATGTTGAAGGCCCACGAGAAGATAGTCACGCGTACCTGTCTCAGCCGGTTCTGCAGCATTCGTCAGTAACATGTAGCAACCTTGCGACGAAATGGGACTCACCTTCCTCCTCCTGAATGACATCCTCGGAGGGCTTTACGCTTGTGCTGCCCTTCCCTCGCTTAGTCTTCGTGAGACTGACTGACTTCGTGATGGCTCGCGCGCCACTACCTCCCGCCAACGTCGGTCGACCGACACCCAATCTGTATTGGGTTTGTCTCGATTTCTTCCTGTTTGAGACGGTGGAAGATTGGGAAGACGGCGGTGCGGGCTGAAGTTCTGGAGGAGCTGATCCGCCCTGCGGTTCGTCCGGCTGCTCCTCCTCATCGTCCGTGTCGTGTATGATGACTGAGCTGATGATGTTCCTCTGAGACGAGACCCATGTGAAGACCTGCTCGAAATCCGGAGAGAGGACGCTCGTCTGGGCTGCGCTGGTGGGGCGGGATGGAAGACGGGATGAGGTTGGCGACGAGGTGGCTGCATGGTGTCAAGTAACAGATCAACCAACGCCTCAGACTTGAGGTTGGCTTTGATGCCTTGGTCCTGCAATTGTTGCGTTCAGGGCGCCGCGCAGTCATATATAGGCATGGTATGACGCACTTTACAGAGCTTCTGCAGGTCGGTGCGTTTCATGCTTTCCAGAGTTCGCCGATCCAGCGTATGGCCATGATTGCCGCACAGAGAGCTTTCTGGCCGGCTAGAATGTGGTGCTTGGGAGGTAGCAGAAGACAGTACAGGGAGCTGTGGCTGGCCGATGAGATGACGGTTCGGCTGCAGATGGGTTTGCGTACACCAAACAACGCGAACGCGAACGAACCTCCTTCTCGCGCACGTGACCCTCCCAGCAGCCCATCCCAAGGCGCCCATTTCGAGCCATTTCCGACCGCCCTGTTCGTCGAGCTCAGCGTCGGGTTCTCAGCCCTATATCGAGCGGTCGCCATGTCTCCTACTCAGCCAATATATCTTGTCATGCTGCCGCTTCAAAGGCCACTTGCGTCTTGTCGACGTCGTTGTGTCGCATCCGACGACTACCTGCAAGTCAAAGATAGACGATCAGCGAAGCACACACACTCAATGCCTTGAGTGAACACAGGCCAAAAGAATCATGGACCGAGTGACAGCCGTGCTACTCACCTCATCCTGAAGTGTATCTCCGTTGCCGTCCTGCCTGGTCACTTGTGAGTCTATCTACAGCACGAGCCATGATCACCTGCTGGAAGAGGTGCCCCGATGCCGTTCGCAATACCCCGTGTTCCGCTCGCGATTGTCCATTTATAAGAAGGATGGGTTTTCCGTACGTCTCACGGTCCGAATCCACTCTGGCTGGTCTGGATATAGAATGGCTCGCGTTTGGTCACTGCAGGAGGTCGCAGAACACAACAATGCCAGGTACGCGCTCTGTCGCTCGATGTTGTCGCCGGGTTGCCTTGACGTTGTGTTACCGTAGCTCCTGCTGGGTAATCATAAGCAACAAGGTTTATGATGTGACCGAATTCTTGCCCGTACGTTGCACCGTCTTCCATCTATGTGGTCTCTGTTAAAGTCGAGATGTACGTGAAGGAGCACCCAGGGGGGTCCAAGATAATTCTCAAATATGCTGGCCGCGACGCGACGAAAGCGTACGAACCTATACATCCGAAGGATGCTCTGGACAAGCATTTGCCTCAAGAGAAACATTTGGGTCCTCTTGACAGCACCGGGGCTAAGGAGCTACAGGCTACACTAGCGACCCAACCCAAGACACAGGATGAGATTCGTGTAGAGAAGGCTCGTGCAAGAAAGAGGCCAATTAATCAAATACTGAGTCTACAAGATATGGAAGTATGCAATGCGAGAAATTGATTGAGAACGGTCCCTTGACTTTTGAGCCCAGGATGTTGCACGCGAAGTCTTGCCGTACAAGGCGTGGGCGTTCTATCGCTCTGCGGGCGACGACGAAATCAGTGCGTCGAACGCATCGGACTGTTGACTGTTGCATAATGCTCACATCATCTCAACAGCATACAACGAGAATAGACGAGCTTTCTCCCGTTTCTTCTTCCACCCTCGCATCCTTCGGCCAATCTCGAAGATTGACACTTCAACTACTATACTAGGCTTCGACAGTTCGCTCCCAATATTCGTGAGTGCTGCCTCGCTGGGCAAGTTGGGGCATCCTCTCGGTACGTCTTTTGACCGCCTACGTTGCACTCCTTGTATGCTGACCCATCATCAGGCGAAGCAAACATTACACATGGGTGCGGCCGAATGGGCATCATTCAAATGGTGTCCCACTACGCCTCCGTATCCCGCCCAGAGCTCATGGCAGCTCGCGTGAACGAATCTCAACCCCTGTTCTTCCAGCTCTACCCGGACAGGGACAAGAGCGTCTCGGCGAAGGCCATTCGCGAGGTGGAAGAGCTCGGTTTCAATGCCATGTTCATGACAGTCGACGGGCCTGTCAACGGCAACCGCGAGCGCGACCTAAGGGCGCCTTTCGACCTGGAAGAGCAGGAACGCATAGTGGAGGAGGCAAAGAAGGCATCCGGCAAGCCGGGCGAGTCTGGCGAGTTGCCTGAGAGACCTGAGGATGCTGATAACAAGCTTGTTGATGGAGAGCTTGTGCTGGTCGGCACGTCGGGCGGGTTGAGGACCACCGCTGAGCTCGACATGTCCTGGACGGATGTAAGCACATCCGTGCACCACGGCGACATGGGTGGGCTGATAGGTCTGCAGACTCTGCCTTGGCTTCAAAGGACGACCAAGCTTCCCATCGTCCTCAAAGGTACTCCATCCATGACTGTGGAAAGCCATCGGTGACCGAGCCACTCTCCAGGCATCCAATGCGTCGACGACGCAGTGCGGGCTGCCGAAGCGGGTGTGCATGGCATCCTACTATCCAACCATGGCGGTAAGCGTCCCCATCCTCATGCGCGTGAGCTCTGCTAAATCACTTGTTAAGGACGTCAATTGGAGTAGTAAGTTCTTATGCGCGCCGGTCCCTCGTATCAACGTCGTTGACATTGCCGACAGCTCGTTGCCGCCGATGGAGGTGCTGTACAGGATACGCAAGCAAAGGCCAGATGTGTTCGACAAGCTGGAAGGTACATGCACAAGTGCTAACCACGCGCAGCCGATGACTTACGCACCTACCCCATGCAGTCTACATAGACGGCGGTGTCCATCGTGGAACAGGTGATTGCTTGTCCTTTGCGCCAGTCGGACGTGTGTTGATTTAAGCTTCAACAGACGTGTTGAAGGCCCTGTGTCTCGGCGCACGAGCAGTCGGACTGGGAAGAGCTTTCCATTTTGCTAATAGCGTACGTCGGCAATCTGTCTGCGTCCTTCGCTGCTGACGATGTGGTAATAGGCGTATGGTGAGGCTGGAGTCATCCAAACGATCCGAATCCTCCAGCGCGAGATCATACTAGGAATGCGTCTTCTCGGCGTCACGAGTGTGCAAGGGCTCACACCGAACCTCGTCAGTGATCAGGTGCTCGCTTTCTCCATTTATACTGATCTCTGGTACAGGTTGAACGAGTAGACTGGCAGCCCTTGCTGGCTAAGATGTGAACTTGTGGCCATCAGGCTGCGACAACATAGATAGAATCATCCTACTTAGCCTACGAACTGGTGTCGAAACAATTGCATATGTTGGATACGCTTTCTTCACGCTTCCCAGGAGGTCACTGGCATAGGACTGATGTTCGACTCAGCCTACGACTGGAGTGCAGTGAGACGACGTACGAGCGCCTGCTGAGCGCTGAACGAGAGCACGCCGGGCCGCGATCATATGAGCAATCCTGTATCCGCGATTCCGTGTGGATGACCGTTGCATGACTCGGTACTACTCTCATGCGACATGCTGCAGATCGAGGTTTTGCACTCTCAGACATCTCGGAGGTCCGGGCACTCCGGCAGTATGTACTTAGGGACCGCGGCCTCTATATATTCTTCCGCTGCAGCCGCAACGTTGTTCTGACCCTCCGCGCTGTCGCCTGAAGTCAAAATGCCGTTGTCTCTTGAAGAGGTCGCACAACATAATTCAATACGGTCAGTGCTGAGCGCCACTGGTTTGACATGCGAAAGACGATTTTTGTTAATCCTCGCTCCAGTTCTTGCTGGGTAATTATCAAGAACAGGGTGTACGATGTGACGGAGTTCTTGCCTGTGAGTCGACCTGCCCGACGTGCACCAACCAACCTCATACGAGAGTACGCTGCAGGAACACCCGGGAGGAGCGAAGATCATCCTGAAATATGCTGGACGCGATGCTACCACAGCGTACGAGCCAATACACCCTCCAGATGCGCTGGACAAGAATCTGCCTCCTGAGAAACACCTGGGCGAGCTCAACATCGCTGGAACTGCTGCGTTGCAGAAAGAGCGTGAGACCAGGAAGAAGACGAAGGATGAGATACGTGTAGAGCAAGCGCAGGCCGTAAGCCTAGAATTGATAGAATGCTCAGTCTACGGGATTTAGAGGTGAGGACCGTGCATCTCAGAGGCTTCGGACGCTTGCTGACAGGCGTTAGGACGTTGCCATGAAAGTCATGTCCCATAAGGCCATGGCATACTACTCTTCCGCTGCGGACGATGAGACTAGTGAGCGCAAATGTCCATGTATCTGGCTATCGTCCTTACGCCCCACAGCGCACAGGGAGAATGCCCGAGCTTTCTCTCGGTTCTTCTTCCATCCACGAATTCTACGACCAATATCCAAAGTTGACGTGTCTACCACAATTCTTGGGATTAAGTCTTCAATTCCTGTTTTTGTGAGTGGTGCCGCCTTGGCAAAGTTAGGGCATCCGCTCGGTACGCGATCGTCCTTCACACATCTCAGCTACCTACCTGAAACTCGTTTTCACCAGGCGAAGTCAACATCACCAAGGGCGCAGGCCGGACGGGTATAATCCAGATGGTGTCCTCGAATGCATCGCTATCGCCTTCGCAAATCGCGGAAGGCCGCCTTTCACCTTCGCAGCCACTCTTCTTCCAGTTGTACAAGCATGGAGACAACAGCATAGCACAGAAACGCGTACGCGAAGTAGAGCAATTGGGCTACAGGGCTATCTTCCTAACCGTCGATGCTCCGGTCTCTGGCAACCGCGAGCGCGATATTCGTGCGCCGTACGACCTGGAGGAGCAGGAACGGGAGGGAGAGCCTACCGATGGACAGACAGCTGGGGAGATGCCCCGCCAGCCGGATGATGTGGAGAAGGAGATCGAAGGTCAACAACCCAACTTGTATGGGACGGCTGGAGCGCTTCTGCAGAACATGGATTTGGATATGACGTTCAAGGAGGTATGTTGGGCCAGCCAACACCCAGTGAGAGTCGTGGTTTGATCGGTATGTTGGCAGACTATACCTTGGTTGCGCTCAGTCACGAAACTTCCGATTGCTCTAAAGGGTAAGCCCATCTCCCTCAATTTCTCTCGCAGGAGATGTACTTACTGCATAACAGGCGTGCAGTGCGTAGCAGTGAGTAGATATATCATCCCTACCGTGCGGCTTATGCTAAGCGCGATCCAGGACGCAGTTCTTGCCGCTGAAGCAGGTGTCGATGCAATTCTGCTCTCCAATCATGGAGGTGAGTGTCATGAATTCGGCATCCTGCATCATCTCAGCTTTGTGCTTCAGGCCGTCAACTGGATTAGTAAGTCTTCTTAGTGCTTTAGTGGGCTGGCACCCTGAACAGCTTTGGTAGTTCCCTACCGCCTCTCGAGGTTCTGTACAAGATCAGGCAACAACGGCCAGACCTCTTCAACAAGCTAGAAAGTATGTTCACTGGGTTCACGTCACGAGCTAGTCGTCTTACGTCTCTGTGCTAGTCTACATCGACGGCGGAGCCCATCGAGGGACAGGTACAGCTATAGTAATTGGTCCGCAAGGATGCATACTCACCTTACGTGAGTGAACCCCTAGACGTCCTCAAAGCACTCTGTTTGGGCGCGAAAGCAGTAGGAATGGGACGTCCGTTCCTGTATGCGCAGAGTGTGCGTTCTTACATCGCGCGCTTCTCTTCTCTCTGATGTGAACGGAATGTCTCTAGGCATACGGCGAGGCCGGTGTCGTCCAGGCAGTCCGTATCCTCCAGCGCGAGATCATCCTTGGCATGCGTCTTCTAGGCGTCACCAGCGTTGACCAGCTTGTGCCAGAATTGGTACGGCCCAGATCCCCTCAACCTTTCGACTGCCATTCTGAACTTCGTCTCCTAGGTAGAGCGTGTCGACTGGCAGCCATTGCTTGCTCGCCTGTGAGCATACGTTCCTAGATACTTAGTGCCTGTATCAAAGACGCTGGGCGCCTGCTCTCAATGGAGATCAGACGTCTTTTACGATGTTAACTCCGTACGCATGTTCCGTCGATGGCAGTCGCTGATCTTGTCAAGATCTTGTTGACATTCGTGATGAACATGCGGATGCATCTCGGGGCAAACGCGTGTCCGGATTCTTTGCTGCCGTAGTACGGCATGCTCCTGTAGGTAATCTCGATTATTCTGTTCAACAAGCGAGTTCAGTCAAGGTGGATGCATGGTTCGCGCATGAGTGCAGAAGATCGGCACGGAAGGTACACAACACGGGGTAAAGCTGTTCGGGGCACGGTCACATCACACTACTCGCGTAAGTCGCTAAGAGTTTACTATATATTGCAGAAGACACGGTGTACCCTTCTGGCGATCCGGAGCGCTCTGTTGAGGTAGTTAAAGCGGGAACTCTCCCATGTCGCGACGCACACCCTCCCCGCTCCCTCAGATACGGCCGTGAAGAACCGACATGCCCGGCAATGTATGGTCGCTGGAAGAGGTCGCCCGGCACAACACATCTAGGTAAGCGTCCTGTACATACCGAGAAAGGTCAGACAACTGTAACGACTGTCCCGGTGTACTTTGCCTTCGGCAGTTCGTGTTGGGTCATACTTCATAACAAGGTTTATGATGTGACCGAGTTCTTACCGGTGCGTGTGAGACATCGCCATTCCGTAGACGAACTCTAATGTATAGGACGTTGCCCGAGCATAGGATCATCCAGGAGGTCCGAACATCATATTGAAGTATGCTGGACGAGATGCCACGGCCGTGTATGATCCTGTACATCCTCCAGATGCACTGGAAAAGAATCTGCCCCTTGAGAAGCATCTTGGTGACGTTGATATCGCTGGTGCCGAGTCTCTTCAAGCAGCGCGAGAAAGCAAGCGCAAGACGAAGGATGAACTCGAGTGGAGGAGGCTATCGCGAGGAGACCGCGCATCGACAGGATGCTAAGTATACAGGATATTGAGGTCAGCTGGCTTATTGAGACGGACAATGAATGTCTAGACTCATCTCTCGTTAACAGGATGCTGCCATGAAAGTGATGTCGTACAAGACCATGTCCTACTACGCATCCGGCGCGGACGACGAGCTAAGTGAGTCAGTACCGTCCTCGAAGTGGGCGCACACATTAACGCAGACGCAAGCAAAACGCGAGAACGGGACCGCTTTCTCTCGTTTCTTCTTCCATCCGCGTGTGATGAGGCCCATTTCGAAAGTAGACCCTTCGACGACGATCCTTGGTATCCAGTCATCGCTCCCTATCTTCGTCAGCGCTGCAGGATTGGCAAAACTGGGGCACCCACTCGGTACGCCAGCCATCTTCCTCAAGGTATGTCCCGAATACTGAAGGATGGTCGATCAGGCGAAGCCAACATAACCCGAGGCGCGGGCCGTACCGGCATCATTCAGATGGTCTCCTCCGCATCCTCGCTTTCCGTGACGCAGATCGCAGAGGCCCGTGTCTCGCCCTCGCAACCGCTCTTCTTCCAGCTCTACAAGCACAAGGACAACAAGATTGCCGAGGGGCGCGTGCGAGAGGTCGAGCGGCTTGGCTACAATGCGATCTTCTGACCGTCGATGCACCGGTGGGCGGGAACCGCGAGCGCGACGTCCGCGCGCCGTTCGAGCTGGAGGACCAGGACGCGAGGCGGAGCCGGATAGCACGGAAGGCGGCGCAGGACATGCCCCAAGTTGAGGAAGACGCCGAGGACAAGTCGGTGAACATGGACGGTACGATCGGGAACTCGCTGCACAGTATGGACACGGACATGACTTTCAAGGAGGTGAGACCTGGCTCGCGCTCGCAGGACGGTCCGCATGCTCATCGGGGTGACCAAGACGGTCCCATGGCTCCGAAGTGTAACCAAACTGCCCATCGTCATCAAGGGTGGGTGCATCACGTACTGGAGGACTGATGTGCCTGCAAACTGATCATCGAATCCGGAACAGGCGTACAATGCGTCGCAGTGAGTAACGCTGGAGCCTATCACCTTCCTGGGCTCCGGCTGATCGGGTCGTAGGACGCCGTTCTGGCAGCGGAAGCGGGCGTCGATGGTATCCTGTTGTCCAATCACGGAGGTGAGCAGACGCCACTTGAACGCGGGGTCAATGCCTTATTAATGGACTTACCCCGTGCAGGTCGACAGTTGGACTAGTAGGTTCATTCTACCGGTGTGAGAGAGCGGCTGACGCCCCGTACAGCTCCCTTCCCCCATTGGAGGTTCTGTATAGAATTCGGAAACAGCGCCCCGACGTGTTCGACAAGCTAGAAGGCAAGTGCGGGGAGTAAGTTTAGCGTTGCAACGATATTGCTGACAGTGCTCGCAGTCTACATCGACGGTGGAGTGAGGCGTGGCACAGGTCTTGCCCTCACATCTGAACATCAGTATCCAACTAATGTTTATTGCGCAGATGTCCTGAAAGCACTATGCCTCGGCGCAACCGCCGTCGGCCTCGGACGCGTGTTCATGTACGCAAATAGCGTAAGTCACGGTCAATGACCTTCTGGGAACATCGACCACTCACAAAGCGCCAGGCTTACGGAGAAGCGGGCGTCGTGCAAGCTGTGCGGATCATGCAGCGCGAGATCACTCTGGGTATGCGCCTCTTGGGCGTTACGAGTGTGAAGGAGATGGTACCGGAGATGGTAAGCCCTTTGTGTTACTCCTTTTGGATGCGTTCAGAATCGTTCTCCGTCTCGTCGCGAATTAGGTGGAGCGCGTAGACTGGCAGCCCACGCTTGCCAGGCTATGATTGGGCCCGGTGTCTTCATACGGGAGAAGATAAAGACCTAATGGGGCCGCAGTTGGGTGCTGTACTGGATGTTTCGTAGATGCATGTCACATACACGTACGTAGTTCATGACGACTTGCTTACTCACCTATCTTGTTGTGTGCGTACTGGACACTATGTACTACGGCTTAGGCAGCCGGATCTACACTGCGACACCGCATTCTGGTATAATGGTACACTTCCATCCTATATGACAACCACGTATCAGCACAAGTTTGGCACAACAAAGGCACACTCACGTACTGGCTACGGCTACACGTCAAGTAAATCTGTCGCCTAGCTAACGACCCGATGTCATGGAACGCACAGCTTCCAGAACTGTCACGGACTTACGATACAGGAGCTACCTCATCCAGCACTTTCTTTGTACCCTGCACAATGATTTCCCACTCTGTTTTGTGCAGTCGCTCCTCGAAGTCTTCTATTGGCTCGCCGGGCTTGATCTCGACCTCCCTCACGAGAATAGGCTCTCCGCGATCGACCTCCTTCACAACTCGATGGACCATCACACCAGAATGTGTGATCTCGCCCTTTTGGGACGCCTCGTAAGCCCTCTCGATCGCATGCGCACCATCGAAAGCACCCGGCAGCGCTGGGTGTAGGTTGATCACAGGGACCGACTTCTCGACCTTCTCCTCGCCATCGACGACCTTCTTGTACCCGTCCACGGTATCGAGGAAGCCATCACCCATGATGTGCATCCAACCCGCGAGGACGACGAGGTCTGGCTTGTGTCTCAGGACAATGCGGGCGACTTCCGCGTCGTAGTCATCGCGCGTCTTGCCTGGGTTGGCTTTGAGGTACGGCTGCAGTCCGAGGTAGGCGGTAGGGATGGGTGGATTTGCGTTAGCAGCGCGGGTCAAACCATAGGCCGCCTTCCGGTTGGAGAGGACGAGGCATATGGACGCATCCGGTAGCGATGGAGTGTTCAGGGCATCTATGAGGGCCTGGAGATTTGTTCCTACCCTTATGTGATCGGCTGACCTCTCCCTGGAGAAGATAAATTGGCAGACACACCTGAGCCCGAGATGAGCACGGCGATGCGCCTCGGAGGGGGAGTGCCCGCATGCGACATGCCAGAGGCGGAGGGCAGACTGTGAGCCGTTTTCGCTGCCCTGACGCGACGACACGGGGGCACGTGCTCGTGGCCGGTGCGTCCGAGACGCGTCCGAGACGCGATGGGTTCTGCATTGGCATGGCAATCGACGACGCCCAACGGTGAGGCGGCCTGCGCCTCGGGGGCATCTCTGGGCGATGATTGGCAGCGACGAGTGCTGCATCGCGAAGTCTGAGCACTGATCCAACCAGAATCAGACCGCGTTCGGCTAGTACCCCGCAAGTAGATTACGTTGCGAGGCAAGGGTCTACATGTCGCACACGTCTGGATCCTCCCTCCACCTTCCGCCGTCTGACTGACCCCTTGTCGTCAAGACCACACTCAGCGAGTGTGCAAAGGCGGTTATCCCCTCCTTTCATGTTCGGCGCCCCTGCTCGTCTCTTCTTTCTTGACTGAGTGCGAGGCCTGGTCGACGACCTCGGACCTGCTCACGTTTGAGGCTCCCCTTCCCCGGACCTGGCCTGTGTCTCCTGCATCTCATCCTACCTGGTGCTCGTAGTGTGCTCTCAGCCGGACTGACGCTGCCCTGCGATAACAAGCCAGCTGGTCTTTCCTGCTTTCCATTGCTACCTACCCGCACATCGGCACACTGTCGACCGACTACTGCCCACCATTGCCCGAGGAATCTCAGGCGAGGCTGGACAGCGTCCAAGTTACATATACTTGAATACTCTGAGCCGTTACGCACATGGCCGGAGTAGCAGCAGCCTTCACGAGCCCCCGCAGCGTCAATGTTGTGAGTACTTGTACCATCCCGCCCTTCCTGTCGACTGAGCCCCCGAGTCTACAGATTCAGTGCATCCTTGCTGATATTCCATTCTTTTGCGTGGGCATCCTGTCCCTTGGTGTTTTCACTTTCTTTATCTTTATGAAGCGGGCGGATAGGTACGTCTCCTCACACTTCTTTTCCCAACCGCAACTGAGTCTCCTCGCCAGCCTGCTTTTATGCCTACACATGTCGGTCATCATTGCATTCGTCGCCACCATCCTCGACCTCATCCAACTCCTCATACGCGGCGCAGTGAAAGTCAACACCAACACTGGCCTCCAATCTGTCTCCGGACTGACCAGTGTGCGCGAAGTAGGCTTCGCGCTCTCCTTCGGACTGCGATTCCTCTTCTTCTGGGGCTTTGTCGCGCAACCACCTCCGGGCGAAGCGCGGCCTGAATACAACGCCCTTCACAACGGCAGCTGGCGCAGATGGGGCCTCCTAGGCCTCATCCTGGAGATGTTCACCCTCGCACTAGTCCTCATTGACCCCGTCCTACAGATCCTGTACCGCCTCATTACTTCGCTGCATCAGATAGGCCCGGTGTACGAGATAGAGTCGACTATCCAAGTCGTGCTGTCCTTCGTATTCATCCTCAAGATCCTACTGAATTGCTGGGTCAAGATGCTGGTCAACGAAAACGCACTCCCTGTCCGGAAGGCACTTGCCGGCTATTCCGCGGTTATAACCGCTCTTGTTGTTAGTGGGCTGATTGGCATTGGGAACATCGCCATGTGTGAGCTTCTCGGCGTCCCTCATCTCGCTCGGTTGAGCTAACGCGCATCATCCAGTCGAGTTCACGGAGACCATTGCAGGCCGCTTCCTACAGGCCGTCGAACTCTATGTCCTCATCGTCTTCATGCTCACCTACGCGTTCTACCACCTACGCCGTCGATCGTGGAATGAGGCTCCGAAGCCGAAGCCACAACAGCCATCCCCTTTCCAGCGTGCAGGTTCTTTCCGCGGTCTGCCCGACTTCAAGCCCGAAATGGGTCGCCCTGTGATCTCTTCGCCCGAGATGCTGCAAGCCACTGGGCGAGAGTCGGATGCTAACAGCCGCCGGCCAACCCTCATGCAGCGAGCGTCGTCGGCGTCGCGCATGTCTTCGTGGATGAACATTCGGAGGATCTCTGAGCGGATGGTTGGCCGGCCTGCTGTGCCTACCCCCGATCTGGAGAAGGCGCGCTTGTGGTATCGTGACACGGCGGGCAACACAGAGGTCAACGTTCCCCTTCGAGACTCAGCAATCGACGTCGAGACTCCGCACTCGGCGACGCAGCGGAGGCAGTCTGTCGCTTGGCAGGACCCAGCGTACACCACGGTGTTAGCTGCGGGTTCGTCCGTTAGGTCGGTGTCCCCTGACGACTATTACGGCGATGACCGAACATCCGCCGCTCTCGATGATCGCCAGAGTGCTGTGCTCAGTCGTGTGTACTCACCAGAAGCACCAGAGCTGACGATCCCCCCTCCTACCCACTCCCGATCCGCAACCATCAACCAGAGCATCGCCGACGAGGCGACCTTCGCCATCTACGAGGAGTCCCCGCGCTCTGCAGTTGGCTCGCCCCTCTCGGGCTTCAACGAGATCATGGAGGGCTACGAGGAGAGCGTGTTGCGGCCACCCTCAACGGGACTCATCCGATCTGCGCGCTCGTCCCGCATCTCGGAGCTCATCCGGCAGCAGGAGGAGCTCGACAAGTCGATCGTCGCGCTGCGACTGTTCTCGCCCGCGGACGGGAATGATTCGGGCGCCTCGAGTCCGATGTCGATGTCGGTGTCGATGATGCTGGCGTCGCGCCCGCCATTCCCGAAGGAAAAAAGCAGCAGCACTGACACGCGTGCGACGCGGAGCACGCTGACCAGCGACCTGTCGTTGAGCAATTTCCCGGACCCGCCGAGGGCGAGCATGGCGGCGTCTGAGCCTGACGCCGCGCCGCCGGTGCCGCCTCTGAGCCGGGACAACAGCACGCGATCGAGAGCAGAGGATGTGGATAGGCCGGAGAGTATCACTATTGAACAGGAGCCTGCCACTGCAACGATAGGCGGTCGCTACCGAGACCAGATATACCGACTGCAGCTACGGCAGAGGATGGGCTCCAGCTCGGTAGTAGGACTCCATCACAGGCTCTGGAAGCGGAACCGGACGACTCTGCGATGCTCTTGCCTGGCAGTAGGTTCCGGAACTACGTCAACTCCGGAGGCACTCAGTACGAGATCACCTCGTTCATTGGCAGTGAGTAGGATTTTTACTCGTGCATTGTTGTCGCACGCTGATTCCGCCTTCGCGTCGCAACAGGGCTGACCCAAGAGCCGGGATCGTTCGCGTCTTCAACCGCTCTGGCCGGTCCGATGAAGGACAGTTCGTCCTCCAGTCGTCCGGTCGCACGGACCGTCGAGCAGCTACGGGTCAGCGCGCAGCCTCCGACCACTAGTCTTACCGACTCGCGACACGAGTAATAAAGTCTCCCCCGACCAGACTGTGCCTCAGTCGACCCGCAATTCATCTGCTTCGGATGAGCAGGTCAACCCGGAGGGCCGTATATCGCCAGGCTCGGTCTATAGACGGACGTTCACTTCGCCAGACAGCAAGTTCAGTAAACCTGTAGGTCTGCCGCCGCGGCCACGGTTAGGGACGGGTGCGTCGCGGGAGCTCTTGACACCTGTCGCAGAAAGCCCTGTACCTCCATGATGACAGCCATAGGTCGTTCCTACTTCTTGACTGTGGTGTGTGAGCACTGGACATACATTGCCTCTTCGCATTCTGTCCGCGAGGCCGGATCTTCACGTTGATTTGCTATACTTGCACGCGTTTGACTCGTAACTGGAAGCGGGGACATTGTGTACTGGATGATAGTTGCATTGTGCTCTGTGCTAGCCCTGCAGGATGTACAACATACCTATTATGCATCGTTATTATGATAGTGGCCGCGCATGAGTCTGTGGCCCTGTCTTGTGCCCCACGCTGATGTATGTACTTACGATTGTATTTTTTTACGATTTGCTGTGCTTAGATCCGCTAGCGCTGGTGGAGAGGGAGAGGCGTCGTGACGTCACGCGCCAACTGCATAAACATGCCTGCAGCTGCAAGTGTGGTGCAGCGCCTTCGTACAACGCCCAACTTGTTCGCCGACCATGTCCTCCTTCCCTGACTACTACAAGATCCTCGCTGTTTCCAAGAACGCTACTCAGGATGAAATCAGACAAGCATACAAGATCCAGTCGCTAAAGTGTGTGTCTCCTGGCTGGAGCTGAAATGGCCTGCTCATCCCTGCAGTGCTCTAGGACTCATCCGGATAGACTGACGAAAGCTAGCCAAGCGGAGAAGAAGGCAGCTACGGAGAAGTTCCAGGTGCGTTCTACCATGCCTTTGACGAGCGTGGTCTGACCCCGTACATTGGATAGGCTGTAGCGGATGCATACTACATGCTGTCGGACGCGACCAGACGCCGAGAGTACGACGAACTCTATGCATCTCGCGGCCCACAAGACAGACGAGCGAACCAGACGCCTCAGCGAACTTTTTCAGCACTTTCGCAAGCATGTTCGGGGGAGGAATGCCCTCCGCGGGTGCGCAGTCGCCACCAGGGGCCGCAGGAGAGCAGCCGGATGCAGACCATGTCTTCGCGGACGTGTTTGACGATGTGCGCGTATTGTTATTCTTTTACAGTCACGGCATACTCAACGAGTCTGTGTTCTGCATAGCTGTTGCGTCCAGAGGTGCAGCGTCATGCTCCCTGGTGGGCCTGGCTTGGTGCCATCTGCGGCGCAGGCCTAGGTTCATCATAGCCAACATTCCTGGACTCATGGTTGGCGCGTACGCGGGAAACCGCCTGGGAGCTATCAGAGACGCGAAGGGCAAGAGCGTTGCTGCTGTCTTCGGGCAACTCGGTGGCAGTCAGAAGGCGGAGGTACGTCTGCTATGGTGACAACACAAATGCAGGTTGCTGAGAGTTCGCTTCGCCAGATTCTGCGCGCTCTTGCTGCTAAGGTTCTCGGTGCTGCTTCCAGTCAATTCTGATGATACCCCCGCCCCTGTAATGACGATGCTGAACGACTGTATCCTTATGAATTCTGGACGTTAGTTACTCCCTTCACCCTATAACCACCTGCAATGATTCAAATTAGTCGGGTTTGATGTATGACGGGGACGGAGTCGAGTGTTCTTGTTTATGTGCATCCTAGGCGGAATCGAGGCGAACACCGCGATAGCGAGACGAGGGACGTTCGGACCTCAGACTACTGAGTACTCAATATTGCCGCAGTCACGACAACGCCGACCATGCGAGGAGTTCGGCACTTCATTGAGATCGAGATCGAGATCGACGCGTCGCGCGTTCCTCTACTTAAACCAAAATTGAAGACATCCACAATCCTGCACGAGGCCGTCTGAAGGTCTCATACTCTGACTTCCTCGTGGATGGGCTTGTTTATGCTCAGATGGTAGACCCGCGGAGCTTGCGCGCAACCCGCAGCCGTCGTCGAAGGGTGTGGGATTGGATTCTGTCCTGCGACTTGGAGGTATGGACCTGTCTGAGTTCGGTACTGGTGGTGCAAGGCTCATGGTTTCTGCTGGGTCTGCGTTCTATCCTACACCGGCAGTGCGCAGGAGAGCGAGTAGCGTGCCTCTAGATATCGCTGGAGAATCGGATCGGTCGCGTGAGTTCCCTTCTCGGTTTCCTTTGTCCGCCGCCGCGGCGTCAACTCATGTATTAAAGGGAAAGTTGCCACAGGGGATTCACTGAAAAGAAGTAAGAGTCCTCTACTGTGCCCTCGCTGCCCTGTTCCGAGAACGAGGTGTCACAGAACGCACTACTGCGCGCCGGTCGGTGGAAGACGAAGGCTCCGAGTCGTTCTTACCATCTGCGAGTGAGTGTCAATAATACAAGACTACACATCTCCACCGTCCGCGAACCTCATGTTGTCTATAGCTCAGCCCATCGCAGGCCCTAGCAAAGGATTAACTCTCAGTATGCCTACCATCGAAGAACAGAGTGGCGCGAGCAAGCATAACCGGGCAGAGGGCGGTGTACAAGAGATCGGCCTCCTGACGCCTGCGCCTTCACAAAGCAAGTATACTTCGTATCCTCAGCTGCCGCGGCGCGGGATAGATAGATCGAGGAAAGACAAAGGAAAACAGAAGGCACCCGCAGGACAGCTTGACAATGCAGCCACCGAGGACTACGCGCTTAGCGGCGTGCGTTCCTCATCGGAGTCGAGGAGGCCTGCGAAACGCCGGAGGACGCGTCATACCGGATCTGCAGACAACGAACATGAGCCCGACGAGCATCTCGAACCCCAGACTCCGAATGAGGCAGAGGGAGAGAAAGACATGTACTGCGATGCCGAGCTAGAGGCTAGCTTCCAGTTGCTCGACGTGTCGGACGTGGCTGCTGTGACAAGTATCGCCGTCGATCCAGCAATACCCTTCGCAGCTTCCAAAGGACAAGGGAGCATGTACGTCCCACCCGCAGTCGCCCACCTCATTGAAGGTATGTCTCCCGTCACCATACGCTCACATACCCCGGTTCGGCTCACCTCTTCCCGCAGCCATGAACCACGCGCTCACGCTCGAGCGCACCGCGCGACGGCGCGCGGAGGAGCGCCTCGCCGACGAGCTCCGGCGGCGCGTGCACGCGGAGCTCGTCGCAGACCTGCTCGCGCAGAAGAACGCCGTGCTCGAGGTCGAGACGCGCGCGTGGGCGAACGCCGCCGCAGATGCGCTCGCGGAGCAGTTCGCGGGCGAGCTCGGCGCGCCTGTGGGTGCGGTCCACAGCGGTGCGCCGCTGCCGTCGGCGTCAGCGTCGCAACCATCCCCATCATTGGTGTTGACGGGCATGCCCGGGTTGGCTGCCCCTCAGGGAGATGTGCTCCAGCGCGCTGCAGGTCAGTGTGCATGTTGGCCTTCTTCCGTCCATGCCCCGATTTTTGTTTCCATCAGCTGTGCAGCAGTTCTTCCAGCAGCTGATACCCATGCCAGTTCCGACGCAGCAGAACACGACTTGAGGTTCGGGACGACGCGCCCACAAACAACTTCAAGCTTCAATATTGCCCGTCTACACAGCGACGAAAAGTACCTTATACCACCAATACCTGCACTCAACATATCTCAACCACCATGAAATATTTGAACTCTGCATCTGGGCAAGACACACAAAGACTGAACTATGGCAGGAAAGGATACATGTACGGCTTCGTTTGCCACAATTGGTTCATAGTCACAGTTTGTTCAGCGTAGTACAATTTGTATGCGAATAGGCAGGACCAGGAGGATCGGATCGGCACAATATGGATAAGAGTGTCTACCAGAGAAACCATCGTAATTACTTGACGCATTGGAGTAGATCGACCGTAGTCCACAAGACACAACAAGGGGTATTAATACATTGCAAACGATGTTCGACTTTCGCTAGGGAGACAAGACAGGAGAAGGTTTCAGGAAAGGTTTGAGACGACTCGGAATCCTTTAATATAGCACATAGTGTGTTGGTTTCTTGATTATTGTGGCCTGGCTCGCGGGACATTATGCAGCAGGTAGAGATGCCAGGGAATGGGGAAGAAAATGATGCGACGCGTGTGTGGCTCTGCGAAGTGTGCGCATATTAAAAAATAATCAATGCCAGAGCTCTCCAACCTGGCAGTCATCGGAGGACGGGTCCAACGCGCCCTCCGTGTGTTGTATGGCCGAGTAGTCGTTAATTCCGCATGCGCCGTTGGCCATCGCGAGAGTCAGAGCGGCAATCGCTTTCTCCTCGCGCGTGGCGGAGGCGGGCACGTCGACCTGACCCAGAGTCGGCTGGGCGTACGGCGACAATGCGTTGGGCGAAAGAGAGACGACGGACGGGTTGGACGAGGCCGTGTAGGAATACGTGAGCGCGGGGGCGTTGCGCGCAGAGGAACGAGTGGCGCTGTCGGACTCGATGGGGGACATGCCGTCGTCGGACGAGTATGCGGACGGGCCGGTGAAGGCACTAACCGGGGAGCAACAGCGCTCGCTCGGCTCCGCGCTGGTGAAAGGCGACGAGGGACCTTCGATGTCAGGGATGTCAACGTCCATCACGCCGAACGACATGGAGCGCCTCATAGAGGATGGACCCCAGTTACGGAAGTACGCTGATCCCGACGCAAGCTCACTCGAGACGATCTCGATGTCATCCTCTTCATCCAACATGACCGCGGACTGCACGTCCTGCAGCACGGGCGACGCAGGTTGTATCCTTCGGCGAAGAGAGTCATCGTGGTTGCGCGCGTTGAACGATTGCCGTGAGCGCGAGTTCTCCCAGTCGCGCAGGCGCCGCACTTGACCTTCGCCGCTCTCCTCTACGCTGCGCTGCAGTTCGGAGAACGCGTGCGAACGCAGTTGCTCGAGTTCCCCGGAGGACGTAAGGTTGGTCCCTGGCAGATACGTGCCGTCGTGGAGAGGTGGGAGCGGGCTGTGTCGGGAGGTGTGACGCGCTTTCCTGCGGCGACGCTCGGGAACAGGTCAAATGCGGCTGATGTTGAAGGGAGCCCCGGTAAGGATGCTGTATGCGCACTGCCCTCGGACGACGGGGCGAAGGTGAAGGGGGCCATACACGGGTCGCCCGCCCCTTCGTTGGGCTAAATACTGCTCGTGAGCCAAGGCTGTCCCTTGCATTGTGGACGATTGCCACTCACGGAAGTATCTCTCCGCGCGCGCTTTCCTCTTCGCCACTGGTCAACATCCCACTTCTCGGGTGGTTCTCCGAGTGCTTTGAGGTCACGGTAGGAGGGACTCCGGGGGTTGCTTAGACGCGTGCGCTTGTTGGAGATGCGCCATTTGGGATCGTCGGCCGGGAACAGAGGACGGGCGGGGGAGGAGGCGGATTGAGATCTGCGCCGACGGGAGTAGCGACCGCCAGAAGTCATGTACGGTGTGTAGGGCGTGCTGGACGCGACGGGGGAGGTGATGGGCGCAATGGCGGGCGAGAGGAGGATGACCGCGGATGGCGGCGGGGATGGGGAGTGGAGGAGTGGATGTGGCGGGGGTGGCTTGGGGGTGGCTGCAGCCCGTTCAATTTAGCAACTTCACATCCCGGCACCGGCAGACGCCGCACCGCGTCCCTCGGCCAACGACCGCTTCACCATTACCTCCCTCACCGCCCTCCACACCATTGTCGCCGGTCTCGACGCCCTTATCCAGTCACCTGCCCCCCGCCATGGATACACTATCGCTGTCGTGCATCTCCATCGCCGATACAGAGCACTCGAACGTGCTTCATACGCTGCTGCTTCGTATGTCGACACGGGATGGATCGCATGGCTTAGAAGCTTGTGAACTTTGCCTGAGGTCGCGACTAATCTCAGCTCGGACTCGAGGTTGCAGGCTCTGGACTACGTCAGGGGCGCAAGCTTGCTGAATGCCCTCTTCCGAAAGGCCGCCTTTATCCTCGAATAGAATGGTGCCTATTCCCCGCGCTGCACCCAGATCATTTCCAGGCATCGTGGAACCGCCCACAAACGATCGGACGGCCTGGATGCATGACCACGCACACGCAAGATATCGCACATTGTGTTTCGGCGTAACATGATTGACGCACTCTGATTCCGACGGGATGACTCGCCAGCCGCATTCCACTAGCTCGCCGTCTCGCGCTCAGCCGGGCTGTACGCGCCCAAAGGCCGATACATACCCTCCCCGACCATCAGTTTCCGGCGGTAGACAGGAGCGGCTCGAGCTTGTCTCGACCGGGACTGGTGCGTATTTCAGCGCGATGCGGTCTTGCGTGTCTATTGTCAGAAGAGGCATGACGTTTGGATCACAGGCGTGTAATCTGCATTGCGGTACCTCGCGCGAGGAGACATGTGCATGCGAAGCCCAAGGTGTATTCACTCGTAGGGCCCAGATGGTCAAGGTGCTCTGGTTGGGGGACGTCTCCGTCGCTACTGATTCCCAGCGCCATCTATTACCCAAGAAGTGTCTGCATATCGTCGGGCAAGTCAGGGTGGTACTGGTTCTGAATCTCGTGGCCGATAGCGAAAGCCTTCACCGATGCATTGCACCTCTTCTCATCCTTGCTCCATGCACATTGATATCACAGCATTGGTCATGCAAGTGTGTCCATTCTCCCACCTGTCGTTATGGCGTTCCGGCGGCATGTATCAGAGGACCAAACTGAACTACCGCTGTTCTGGCCATTGCATTTACTCATGGTCAGTCTTTCGGTGCCTACGGTGCGTCCTGCGACTTCCATTCTCCAGAGACACCCAGCAGATGTCCTTGAGAGCTCAATACACACATATCCCTACATACTGTAACATACATAGACCGAGCGACGTCAGACTCCTAGCGAATGAATCATCAACCTGCAGCAGTAGTCCATGTCATATCCTGCATCTCAATCAAAGTCTCGTGAACGGGTATCACAAAAGCGGGTCGAACTCAAGGCCACATCACATCCACCCGCTCGGGGCTACGACTACTTACCACCGGTAAGCTGCCTCACCAAAAACATTCCCCTCCCCTCTCCATCGCTCTTCGTGCTTCGTATGCCCGTGACCGACTTGGGCGGGGGTACGTCCGTCCTGGCCTCGGCCCGTCATGCAGTTCGTGGGGCTGGACGACAGCTGCCTGGTCGGACTCAGCCCACCGCCCGTGAGCTGCCTCATCATCGCCGCTTCCGAGCCACCAAGGCCAGTGAACTGCGCGCCAGCGTCGTCGTGCCCGTATGCTGGGGCGCGACGCTGCGGCTCCCCGTATGTGAGGGCATAACGGGCTTCTGACGGGAGAAGTCGGATTCCGCATCGAAGCGGGCAAAAGGAGCTTCAATCCGCATTCAGTTAACGGAGGGGTTCGGATGCGGAATGGAATGAAACTCACCAAGCACTCCCTGCACCACACCCGGCCGTCGATGTCGGTCTTCGCTGCGCTGTCGAGCTTCTTCCCGCAGCCTGGTCTGCCTTCCTCCTTCCTCCGCCCCTTCGCCCCTTACCTCCGCACAGGAGGCAGGTTCCGTGCCAGCGCGTGCCCTGCGGCCCAGGCACTACACCTCGCTCCATCGGCGAACCGAGATGTTGCACCCAGGGCACGACACGCCTCCTCCGAACTTGGGGAACGTGAAGGTAGTACTCGTCGCTGGCGCGCTCGGTGGTGGCCGCTCATACCGGCTCGAGGTTGGCTCCCGCGTTGAATAGCTGGCAGTGTTATGAGCCCGAGAGGTCGAGAGGGGCGTCGTGGTAGACGTCGAGATCGATGGCTTCGGGATTGAGCTGGAAATTTATGCACTTTGACTCTCTCCGGCGGTGCACACTATCGCCGTGCCATCAGCTTGATGCATATTCAATTATTGTGGTGCTCGACGTACCTCGACGTGACAAGCACCGTCTTCGCCCCTGACAAAGACTGTCCGTCCTCCTTCACGCTCTTCGAAAGGGCCGTCACAGACTTTGCACCTGAAGCAGGCAGTGTGGTATGTCTTCGGCGGGACACCACTGCTCGCCGGCTCCTCCGGGACTGTCACGAACTTCCCTCCAAACTTCGTCGTGAACAGCGGCAAGTTGCACCTCGCACACCGCGCATCCGATGACAGTGGCGTCGGTGAGGATAAGCTGATTCCACTCGGGAGCGTCTTCGACTTGGGCGTAGGCGTGTTAGAAGAGAACGCGTCGGACGTGCGCAGACGCCGGGTACCGCTGCCTGTAGAAGTGCTGACATTATGCTGCCCGTGTTCTGCGACTTCAACGGAGTAACCTCGCGCTTCCTGACGTTCAGCCCGTACGTCGAGGTGCGGCGACCAGGAGGGCTGAGCGACGGGGGAGTCGACGGTGCCTAGATGAGTGAGTTGTGACGTTGTGTCGGAAAACTCGCCCGCTAGATCCGGAGTAGACGGTACGGACTGGTCATACTCTGTGCTGAGATCCGTGCGCGACGACGTCGTCCGTATGCCGAGTCCAGTTCGCAGCCCATGCTATCGGACGGCGGGATGCACTCAGTACCATCGAGATGTCAGACATCGGCCCAGTCGACTTCGAACGGGCACGTCAACCTCGGTTTCCTGCAGATGATCTGTGCTTATGTCGATGAGGTTGCCCGTGGGTACCTTCTCTCCGAGCAGCGACTCCACTTCGTCGTCGCCCGTCCGGTCGCGACGCAGGGTGTAGTCCGTCTCTCCCGTCTTGTCCTGGCGCACGGAGATCTGGACCGAGCTTGTGGATGGGCTGCTCCGTGAAGATGGTGTCTCCGACTTGCGCGGGATGCGGGATACAGTCTCCCGACCTTCACCGGTGGTGGACATGCCCGTGAATGAAGGGCGGAGCACGCCGCTCTCATCGGCGATGCTGCTACGCGTCCGGGAGCGCGACCGTCTCCTCGCCGTCATAGTCTCCGCCGACGCTTTCTTCGTAGACGATGAACTGGTGGCAGGCGCAGGCGAGGCCTGCCCCAGGAAACGTTTCTTCATTTCTTCAATCGCTTCCTCGGTAGGCTGCTTGGACGTAGCGGAAGGACTGCCATAGCGCGGACTGCCAGTAATCCTAGAGATAGGACTTGAGCCGAAGACATCAGGCTCGGGGCTCCTGAACCGATTGTACGTCCGTCGCGGTGCCGGGCTACCGTCACTCAGCGCATCCTCAGGGTCCGGGCTCCGATACCTGCTCATGCGTCGCGCTGAAAGTGGGCTGCCATCCCTGTCAGGCGTCTCCGGCTCAGGGCTCTGAACCTGTTGTATGACCGCGCACTGGCACCTATTTGCATGGCAGGTGAGGAGCCGAGCGAGGGAAAGGAGTCGGCACGGGCACGTGCGGCCAGTCGTTCGACGATAGGGCTGCTGTCAACGCTGCCTGTGTTGCCTGGTGCATACCTGGATGCCAGGGGACTACGCACAGGTGTGAGAGTTGGACTCTTCAGACCAGAGTTGGTACGGATGGAACGGTCGTCTTTAACTGGAGTGTTCTCTCGACTGCGAATGATGCCGAGACGCTGCTCGAGCTCCTCCAAAGCTGGGCTGCCCTCCCGCTCCCGCTCTCCGCGCCTTGTACCACCCAGGTTGCTTAGTGTACCATCGTCTTTGCGACCAGACTTCTGCGGCGTGTTTCGGGTAGACCTGTTGAGGCAGGAGTCGAAACAGTCTGCACAGCATGGCTTTCCTAGAAGGTCAACCATAGGAATATCACCGATGTCCTTGCCACATCCGTCGCACAAGAAACACTTCTTGTGCCACACTCTACCGCTGTTCTCCACGAAGCCGCCTTCGGTCTTGAGAATCAGGACGGGTCTGTGGCAGGCAGGACAGTCTCCTTTCGAGCCGCCGTTGTCCACAAAGCATGGACGACATAGGAACCGGGTATTGTTTCCGGGAGTGAGGACGACACCAGTCAACGAAAGGGTTGATGGATCAGGATAGATGGTAGCATCAGGAGAGAAGGGAGTGGAACACAGCGCACAGTGAAACGAGTCCAGTGTTTCCTTCGGTTGGAGTACGGATCCATACACTTTCGCGAGCTCGGATCCGTTCGGGTTCGGGAGTATACCTGCCGCTGCTGCTGCGGAACTGGACGGGGGTGACTCCGCGCTACCTACACTGGTGGAGTGTTTGAGCGGGGAGGGCGGACGCGGGTTGTTGCATTGGCAATGTGCGCAGACACGCGCGAACCGAGTGTGACGGACGAGGCGGGGCGCGGGAACCGCCTGGAGGAGCCAGAAGGAGCGGAAGGAGGGGTATCTTCGACTGTCTCTCGGACGGGGCGGGTAGGAGACTTCTCCCTGGTGACATAGGTCTTAGACCACCTATCTTGCGGCCTTCCTTCGTTCTGGTCCCACTTAACAACGGTGCTACAATCGAAGTCGGCACGAGGACATGGGGCAGGGCAAAGAGGCTGCTCACCGACTGCAGTACCGCCGCACTTGCAGCGGGGACCAACAACAATGTCACCGCATCGTCTGCAAAATCCCATCTAGAGTTCAGTGTTTCGTGAATGGCGTGAACGGCGTTAAGTAAGGAATGGCTGGCGAAATACGAGCGAGTGCTACGAGCGAGAGCGTCCCTGAACAGGCATGTTCGACTTCAATGAACCATGCATCAATCACGGTCACGTGTGAGTCGCGTCACTGATGTAGCGCGTTGCCGCCCGCAGCAAGCCGCGAGCGCAGTAGCTGCAGCACATTCTTCGGTGTACATACATGGAGGAGAGCGTTCTATTGCCGTATGTGCTACTAAATCCCCGAAGGCAGTTGACATAAGCAGGCTATTCACAAGTGTACTAGAAGTAGTTGTGGTACATCGTAGAGGCGTACAGATATGAGCCTGCTTGTTTTCAAAAAGTCCTTGCAACGAAGCCATGTCAATCCTTACAACGCTCAAAATTCGCTGCAGAAGGCCAGACTTACGACAGTCGTATCTGTTGTTGAAAATCCAGGGTCCACGTACAGAACTTTGTGCATCTGTTTCACTCAGTCACTAATACACCACGCGATAGGCATCACAAAAATACGTACCGCTCCTAGGAGCTCTGTAGCAGGGATTCAATTCTTCTCCACAAATTTTGATGATAAGCATCTTCGCCCCGCTCGATGGAACGAGAGATATCTTTGAGTGCTGAGCACAAGTTCATGGTCCACGGAGACGAGAGGATACATATGTCTAGAAGAGGATTGTAGCTTCGTCGGAGAGCAGAAGAGGCGAATATACCCGTTCGGTCAGATCTCGCAGTGATCAGACATGTCAAAGCCATGCAGATAGAAGGGGCAACGAGTAGAGCAAGAGGTTCTTCAACATCGAGGAATTGATGCGTCAGGATGAGTAGGAGCACATCGCGCAAGTAATCCAGCCTTCGGCATAGAGCAGAGCATCCAGATGACATCGTTGGTGATCGCACAGACGTAGGTGGCGAACGCCGCTGTAATGAAGAAAAGTCAAGCACATCGAGATGTCGAGGTAAACGGTGCTCACATGCAAGCGCGAGGTCCGTTGGATCCCCATCAGTCAGGACAATCTCCCAGATTGAGGCGTCGCCAAGCTCTTGTCGATATTATCCCGCCGCATGCTATGAGATACCGAGAGAGCCAGAACAGAGGAACTCGCAGTGGCATCAAGCTGTCCGAACTAGTGTTACCGGTCGACAAGCAGTCAACAAGACCACGAAGCAAGGCGCTGTAATTGTTCAGCACCATCGAGCTGGGCCGGCTACGCCAGATGAGCGTCCAAAGCTGCAGGTTTGCCTCAGATCAGATATCCAGTGTCCTCAACGTCTTCGTGTTCAGGATGGTCGGAGACCGTCCTGGTGTACTCCTGTTGAATACTCAGCGAGCATCGTGAAGACTATGACTTGCCTGGTGAGCGCTGCAGTATCTAGTACGACAACGGATGAAATTGAAAGTCGTTTTCCCTGCTTAGCTTCAGAAACTTACTGTCTTCGAGTTTGAGCTTAAGTTCTGATTGGCAGCCCAGCAGCTTCTCCATGGCAGTCCGCAGTGTGTCGGTTCTCACTGCTGACAGGCCTTCGAGGATGACATCTTTCGCTGCGATCAACATGAGCAACGATTGAAGCCCAATTGGCCGCCATCTATCACTACAGCACTTACTGATGGTGGTGACAGGTCCTTGACGCAGATGAAGGAATAATTGTCCGAATGAAGCGCAAAGCTCTGTAATCAAGCTACCCCCATTTTCGCCTTCAGTCAGCAGATATGTCGCACAAGCAGACACTGCTTCGTAGATGACGCCCAGGACAGCAGGTGGTAGATGTTTGCTGCCGGCAGAGATCACAGATATGCTGCGATTTATGAATCTCTGGAAGTTGCGGTCAGTTGACCGGTGTCAGTCAGTAGGATGATGCGAGATGACCGTACTGTCAAGGCAACACAGGCAGTCGCGGGGTTCGCTTCCAGAGCAGTCAATACATCGGTGTTCCCAAATGCAACGCGGCTAGTGCCGTCTTCTTCAAATGGCTCTCCGACATGGTACAACCAGGTCGCAGTCTGGCAAACAATGAGTCCATTGCGATACTCAGAATGCGATGTTGCAAGTTACCAATTGATCGATTGTTTCCGCGTGAGCGATACGCGGGTCATTCCAGAGCTTCCAACACCACGTCATGGTCTGTGGATGTCGAAGAAAAATGACTTGAGCAGCGTCGAGCGTTGTGGACGGAGTTATTAGATCCGTGTCCGTAGAAAATCCGGTTGTCGGACGCATGACGACCACGATGTGACGGAGTAAGGTAGCATCTGTATTGGGCCGGAAGCTACCTCGGTCAAAGTCATTGTGCAGTACCTCCATTGCCTTAAAGCAGGTATATTGCACGTCAATGAATGCCTGCAATGAGACTGCGAGTCATACCGCAAACAAGGACACAAACATGGCGCAAGTGACCCTGTCTTGCATGCCAAGCCCGTCAGTGCTGCTGAGGACCGGAATGGACATAGTGCGTGTTGCGGCTGGGGTGCGGCCGAGATACGAGAGCAATGCAGCCATGAGCTTCTGGCGATCGAAGCTACGGTCAACTGTTAGTTAGGCGCACGAAGCTAGTCCCCGATCCGGAATGCCGCCCACCTCGCTCTGTACAGTGCGCTGCTACCCTGGAAGTGAGACCGTAGTATGTAGATACCGTAGAGCAAACACAGGGCGAGACGGCAAGCAGCCGGCGAGGCGTAGGCCGCCGACAAAACGCTCGGCAAAGCGGCCCATGTGCCTGGTAATGGCAAAGTGTCAACAATTGAAAGCCAGAACCGCTGAATAGTCCACTCACTCGGTAGCTGTGTCGCAGCGCGCAATGAGTGGCATTCAAATTGTTTCTGCACGCTAGCGTGGCAGTCCCCTGACTGGCCTGCGAGTGGAAGAAACCCGGCTGCAACTGTCGTGACAGCCTCTCCTAGCTTCGCGAAGACAACGTCTACCCAACAGACGACCGCCGAAGATGCCGCGCCTGCGTGGACTTCGCGAGCTGCAATGGTATAGAATACCTGCCTATATGCGAATAGCAGCGCAATAAATTCAGGGTCCACTGAGGAACAACGATTGTTTCCGCTCAGCGAAGGAGGCCACCGGGAAAAAAGAACATACGGAGTGCGGTCATCGCGGCTTCAATGTCCTGTATATCGAGATTATCTGGATGCGAGGAAAGGATGCCATTCTCCAAGTAAGAGAGAATGGTGGCCGAAGCGACTTGGATGACATCGTGTAAAGAATCATCCTGCGGACACATGTGAGAATAGTTGAATTTGTAACTTTCGGCGGTGTAAACCTTTTGCACCGTCTCCAGGTCGAGCGATTGAAGATCCTGAATCGCTTGCTCGATATTCGCGCTGGATGGCTTTATGTCCTGCGAGCTATTCTGGCTAGGACAACGCGCCTGGGTAGTGGCTATATGCGCGAACGTTGTCACGTCCCAGCCTTCTACAGATCCTTGAGATTCTGACTCCGTGTCGCTGTCCATTCTCTCCTTGATACTGCGGTGAGCACTGTCCAGAAAGCAACGGACGTCGGATGCAAGTAGGAAAGGCGGGCCTCGCGCCGAACTCATGCAACTGCCACGTGAGCCGATGTGACCAATGGCAGGGAAGCAGCGACCTGTCAAAATGCAATCAGACGACAGAATATCCGTGAGTAGCTTGAACTATCTCAGACAACGTAGCCAGGCATGCACATGCTCATCAGTGAGCACGGCATATATTTGACATCCCGTACCATCGTTTCAGGGCGTACAGGACACGAATTTATCAGCAAGCACTGTAGAGCCGCGCCGAGAACCCCTCGAGCACTATGATGCTGTCGTATGTAGTCCCGGTAGTCGTTGACTGTGTTATCCATTGCAATTGGATCCAGAGAACGATCTCGTGTCAAGAGATGTCACAAGCCTTTGATATCTTTCAGCACAGTAGTTATGTCTGTCTTACATTCCAGTTGTTCGTCACTACGCGAGAAGACAGAGTCGAACGCATTATTCGACTCCTCGGCCTATACGGGCGGTGAGACAATGATGTGAGAGCTGCCGTGCCACCCACCTCTCCGTCGCAATATTGATAATCCTGCCACTCTTGATCCTCCTCGTCGTGGATGAGCTTCAGCATGTCCCGTCGCACTTGTGTCATTCCTCCCTGGGCTGAGGACCCTTGTCGTCGCTTTCCGAACAGCGACCTGCACCTCCTTCGCTCCGCCGGCAGGTTTCTTCTCTTTTTTGGGTGCAGGCGCGGGGGCCGGCTCGTCAGGGTCTGGCGGAGGGCCCTCGTCGGAGTCATCATCTGAACCGGCACCTCCTCGGCCTCGTCTGTTTTTCCGGTTCAATACGTCCATGTAAGTTAACGTCGGACGTAGCTGGTGCGTTTCGCTTATTGGGTGTAGATGCAATTGGCCTACATGGGGCAATCAGCATAGAACAGAGATGATCGTTTGTCCTACGCACCATCCCGCACGATGCCCAGCACGTACACGCCCGCATGAGGAACCTGTTCACTCCGCATCCGCGCCTCGGCGAGCCTGGGCTCTTCCCCTTCTCTCTGCTTCACTTGCAAGAGGGCTTGGTTCTTCTCCTTGTCATCCTCCACCCTAGCCTTTCCCAAATCCCTGGACCGCTCCCCATTCCAGACCTCCGGACGTGTATCCACAGGCACATGCAGCTCTAGCCTTCGCACGCCAGGCTTCAGTCGTGCCTTGATGCGCTTCCCGCTGGCAGCGGCCGTAGGAGGCACTTGAAGTGGACGCGTGAGCAGTGGATACTGGTGGATGTGCACATCCGGGACGAGCGCGTTAGAGTAGCGGATGGGCAGCACGCTGACGAGTTGGTCGTCCTCGTTCATGGTCGTCGGCGGTGGCTGCAGATTGAGTGCGCGGCAGATCTTGGATCGAGCAATACTTGTGCTTCTCCGCGATCTCGATCTGGGCAGATCGTAATCGGCCCCGGCACGGATGTAACTTGGTCAGTTTCCAGTGACACAATATATTGCTACTTTTACTGATAGAGTGGGCATGCATACATACAAAGGCTGTGGTGCTGTTATGATACAGTGGTGATGCGGATGCGAAAGCTGCAGGCTAATAAGTAGGAATATCAACGCTAGCTACTGTTCCTGGGGAGCCTACTGGGGTCTTGTGAGTCGATATTAGTCCGCTGGTCTGTCCATGCGTCGAGGGAGAATCTACGTGGTTCAAGAGAGCTCTTGATGGCCCCGAGTTCGGGGTTGAACGTAGCACGTCTGCGTGTGAGTCGAACGAAAAGCGGGAGAACTTGCAGTAGGAGAAGACGGAGGATACGGTAGAGGCGTAAGGGTGTCAAAGGCAGGTGATCTAGGAGGGGAGTCATGAGGGGATGTCAGCTGTTGGAAGTGTAAGGACGGGAGTGATGATGCGGCTGATGGCTTTCTTGAGGACGATGGCGTGATTGGCGAGACAGCGTACGAGGAAAAGGGAACGTCCTGCGAAGAGGCGTGGTTTGGGAAAAAGCTAGCGACCCCTTCACCAGGCCTGTTGGTCTGGATACGTGCGGGTGACGGCGAGCTGCTGTTACGGGATGATCTCGTCCGGTGCGGACCAGGACCATAGAAGACTTCTGAGTAGTCCCCGTCTGTGCGAAGCATGCGATCCCAGGCAGCCGGATGCTGCAAGACGGATTCCAGCTCATGCCGGCGAACCACTCTTGAGAAGCTGTGCATCGTGAACAAGGAGATGATGATCCCTGTTGCAGGTAAGTAAAAATAGCACAGAGGATGATGTTTGCTCACAGTTCAATGTTATCCACTGTTCCGCGCCTAAGTCGGGGTTGCTATGTATGCCGACGAGGAGCGCGATAGCGAGTGCCATGAATATACCGGTGATCATGGTAGTATACAATAGCTACACCAAGGTCAACGCCCGCAGGAGCTGTGGGAAGCTGGAGACGCACCTCGTTCCTCAGCATCTGTTGGAACAGCTGACGGCCAAAGAAGTGGTGGCCCCATCTTCGTGTTACGGAGACCCAAGGGAGAGAGGAGAACTGTGTGAAGCGTCGAACAGCGGATCGTGAGGATATACGGCCAGGCGCGGATCGTCGGGAAGGTTGGGGAAGAGGAAATTCTCCTGGCAGAGATGGCTTTCGTTGGTACGCGATCCCAGCAGGGAAGTCATCGTCAGACCATAATCGAGAAATCCACTCCTTGAGTGCGTGCATCATGGCGCACAGATAGGGTCTACCGCCATTGGTAGAGCTCGCATGTGCTTCCGGTACGTAGTCCCACCATCCCCTCCGAGACGGTATTCCCTCCATGTTTGCATCATTTCGCTCGTAGAGTTTTCCTTCATCTGCGGCGGATATCGTAATACGAGCCTCGGCCCGTGTGCGGCAGGACTTCCAGACGGCGAGAAAGACTGATTGCTTGGTGAGCGGGAAAGAGGACATGACCCAGAAAGCAACTCACAACACGCGCATAGTATAGCAGTTTCGATGAATTCGGTTAAGATGATAGCAGACATGTGGGACGGTTGGCCGGTATCCTGACACACACCTGTCTGGCGTCAGACACATACGACTGGTCTATAGGATCGTCCATACCATATCGTGATCGATGCGCACTGTAGTTCGCGATCTCCAGTCCTACCAGAGTCCACATAATGGCCGTCACACAGAGCAGAAACAGCAATACAAGCCGACTATTGCCCAGGCATCGGTACGCCTTCACGCCGATGATACCTGAGATCTGCCAAAGCACGCGTGAAGCCTTGGTCAAGCTTCAGGGCTTTGCCACATACCATAGCATCGCAAGATAGCTTCGTGAACACCTTCCTGACGGCATCGATCCTGGCATAAATGATCTATAGCGGCCCATCTGCATACATAATGTACTAGCACTCACGTATTACAGCCAACTGTCATGTCCAGCAACCCCACAGCGCTCACGACGATGGCGACGAGTCCAAGGAGCTGGCTCAACGCGAGCAGGTAGAAGAGTGTCTTGTCCTTCACCCTGGTTCTCCGGAGGAACAAGACCGACTTGCGAGCGTTGCGCAGGAAGAAGACCAAGAGGCCACCCGCGACGAACACCGGAGCTTTGGACACCGTCATCTCATCTACATACGCCTGAGAGAGCAGCGAGCCATCGGCCATGGCATAGTAGGTTGGCCGAAAGGATGGAAGCGGTGCATCGTAGAACTGGTCGTAGCGCGAGATGGTCACATCCGCCTGGAGATTGATGACCACGGGCGCTGCAGAACCCGCGGCTGTGGGCGCGGGGAACGGCAGGATCTGTGCGTTTGAGATCGTGGTCGCTGCCGGGGGAGTAGGAGGGGATGAAGGCATGTAGAAGGAGGGGACGGTCGCCGAGGGCCATGGCGGGATGGATTGGGAGAGCGATGTTCCCATGAACATGTCTCGGCGGGGGCACAGGCTGGAAAGAGCGGGGCCGGGCGGGCGGACTCAAGAAGGCTGCAGCATTTGTCGGTGCGGGCTGAAGGAGGCGAGTCGTCGGAAGAACGTGATCAACTGTCCGCCAGCTGCGGGAAGACAGTCGGGCAGCCGGGAGCAGTCAAATGTCGCGCGATGGTCCGTCCAAGAGCCATAACACCTTATATGTCTGCCTCCACGCGAGCAGGCGGGCCCTTACAGGTGGTGCTCAGGGCTATCCCCAACACGGCTACATGGCTTTGTGCGCACACCGCCTAGCCGACGTCGTGCATAATAGCATTCCCTGCGACCTGTCGCACTCCTGTCTCCTCCTGTCTACACCGCGCCGACGGCGCAGCTATCCCTCCCGACGGTGGCGGCAACACGCCTCGAGTCTCGCACTCAGGCCCGCCGCCGGCTTCCCAGACGCCAAGGCCCAAGCGTCCACTCCCCCGGCGCAGTGATCGAGCGGCGAGCCCGGCGGCGTCCTCCGGTGATTTTTCGCACACGCCCTCCTCGTAACACGCAGCCTCGCGCGTTCCAGTCAGTCGAGTTCCTCTACTACATCGCCACCCCCTACGCCCACTGTCCAGCACACAGCCAGATGCCATCTTCCACATCCAAACACGCCCCCGTCATCGTGATCACCGGAACCCCCGGTACGGGCAAGACCACGCATGCCCAGCTCCTCGTCGAGGAATCGCCGGTCCCTCTAAAACATATCAACGTCGGCGAGTGGGTCAAGGAGCAGGAGCTGTACGAGGAGTACGACGAGGACTGGCAAAGCTACACAGTCGACGAGGACAAGGTGCGTCTGTTCTCCGACTTCGGGCAATCTGCAATGGCTGGTCTGATGGGTGGCGTCGCGATGTCCATTGCGTTAGCTCCTAGATGCATTAGAGCCCATAGCATCAGCAGGCGGTGTGATACTTGATTGGCACACCAGTGATATATTCCCGGAGCGATGGGTCGATCTGGTAGTCGTGCTTCGCTGTGATCACACTCAGTTGTGGGAGCGTCTGGAAAAGCGGTGAGTCATATCAACGCCTTTCTCAGGGTCGTCACTTATATCGTCATCCAGGGGGTATCCTTCCAAAAAGATTCAAGAGAACAATGAAGCCGAAATCATGGAGGTCGTTCTGGATGAAGCACGGTCGTCATATGCACCAGAGATCGTAGTCGACCTCAAAAGCGAAAGCACCGAGGACCTAGAGTCTAACGTAGCTCGGATAGTGCAATGGATTGAAGCATGGAGGAAAGATCATCGCACAGCAGAACAATGAGAATAACATTCGCGAAAGCACGAGAGCGACCTGAAGTGGTCAGTTATCAAGTAAGTAGGGAGGGCGCGTAGCTATGTTTGATCTTCCTCAGGCGGGCCCAAACACCCACATCCGCTTGCGATCTCGCAACTCGAGACCACCCGGCGCTTCCTGCTCCGTGCGGATACGTTTGGGGGACTTTTTCTTGCCTTCGGCGATGCGAACTTTCTCGAAGTAGACGTACCTAAAGAGCAGACAGTGAGCTGAAGTGATCTCACGCATGCAGACAAAAGGCCTTACGCAGCATAGTACGTGCCATTCTCCGCACCTCCGGTTGGACCACTTTGTTTCACTGAATAGGTCGAACGCGTCATACGCGACGCCAGTTTACCTACATGCGTACGCGACTCACTGAAGCGGTTGTAGGAGTTGTTGTTAACCTTCCCAATTTCAGTCAGCCAATGCGTGACCTATACCAGGACAAACGTCATTACTCAAGTGGCGTAGCATAGCTAAGCACATACCTTGAATCCGGGTGTCTTTTGAAGAGCGCGGATCTTCCGTCTGATATCGTTACAGTCGTCGCTACAACGAGTATACATCCTCAGCATGGGGTCAGTTAGGCCTTCGTACAAACGGGACGCACTAGACTGGCACGCCTCCCTACAAGTCAGGGTAAGTCAAGCAATATTTGAGAAAGAGTAGCGAGTGGCTTACGTCTTCATCCTCCCCTTCCAGCTTGATCTCCCGCCAATCCTTCGACGGAGCAGGTTCTTTGGCTTTTGCGCCTCTGCCTTTGCCCTTGGCAGGAGCTGTCGAAGTGGACGCTTCAGGCGCGCCAGATGCGCCCGACGTCCGCGCCTTCTTCGCCTTCGGTTTCTCGTCGTCAGATGCGACGCCATCCGACGCGTTCGACGGGTCAAAGGCGTCGAACTCGTCGACAGCGTCAGACTTGCGCTTGGGCATGGTCAATATGTACGAGATTTTGCGAGATAATACACTAAGAGGAAGCTGAGCAACGGTTGTGGGACGTGCGCAAAAGCAGGTAGATGGTGGTCAATGGAGGCCGCCTGGAGCTGGTTACGTATGTTTATATGGCCGGGATAAATTGGAATTTGGGGCGCGCCATCGCGTATTCGCTTGCTGGAAACAGTCTAGCCAGGACGCCACAGATTCCCAGACGATCCGGTCTCGTGATCGCGACGCGCCGCGGTACTTGGTATTTACACGGTGCCGTACAACGCCCTACCGAAACCCGCCCATTACTCAAATGGCCTTCATACTAGTTCAATTCACAACGTGCAGGTCTGGGGTGGCGCATTCAAACGCTCACCGCTACAGACCGGCGCCACGTCTGAGCACATTGCGTTGTTTGCTTGCTGCAATTATTACATGTCCATTTCATCAGCGTCACCTTCGCAATGCCGGAAGGCAATTGTAGCTCGATAATTGATCAAGTAGGAATGAACGTTGTTCCTTTCATAAGTGGGCGAGACCTGGCCAGTCACATCATGCACTATCATGCACTGCTCGAGGCATCAGTGCCACTGGCATTGGTATAATTGAATTGAATTACAAATGCGGAAGAGCAGCCTCGGCTCAAGACAGTCGTCTAGCCCTCATACCCAGTGAAAGCATGCAGCTAATTGTGGGTCGAGTCTCGACTCTGTCTGTGATTCTTGATAGCAAAGCCCTGGGGGTAGGCAAGTTCGTTCTCTTCGCGTCTCGCCGTCTTCTTCTTGCCTTCAACTATCCTGACTTTCTCGAAGTATATGTAGCTGTAAGGAGGATAAATGAGGCTCGTAGCTCATGATGAGCATCCGACGACTTACGCAGCATAATAAATGCCGTTCTCGACTCCCGCATTGGGTCCCGCAGCTTTCACTTCGTGGGTGTCATCAGCATGTGGGTCGATTCGAAAGCGAAACCACTCACTGAATCGGGACCATGAGTTGTACTTGATACCTCCTATATTGCGGAGCCAGTATGTAATCTACACACACGGCGAGTCAGTATCTGCTCTCGATTTGTGAAGGTGCTACAATTCTCACCCTGAAGCCCTGAGTTCGCTGCAACTTGCGAATCTTCCGTCGGATAACGTCGCAGTCGTCGCTGGTGCGGTAGAACGGTTACAGTCAAGGAGTATAGTAGTAAGACGTAGACGCTCACTAGACTGGTACGGAGTCCTGAGGTAGTTCGGGGCCAGGAATGAGACATCGCACAACACTTGCATAGTAGACATAGAGCACCACACACCTGGTCCTCGCCTCCTATACGGATTTCTCGCCAGTCTATCGACCGTTTGACTTCCGTGAGCCAGTGGCTTCATGGATTGAAGGGCCATATCCGGCGGTATCCCCGTCGTCGGTTGTTGTGCGGACAGGCGGCATTTCACAGGCAGCGACGAGTAGGAAGTAAAGTATCAAGTCAGGGAAAGACTGCATGCCCAGACGCACTCACCCTTTATTTATACATACCTGAAGCCACTGGCAGGGACGATGGATCCTCGGCGGTCCAGTCGGTGGGCGGATTGTGGACCGGCTGTCTGGAACGGACGAGAATCGAGATCCGCGGCACCTCCGTTCAGGTGGCGCGGCGTTGCAGGTCGCCGCCCAGCCCCGTGACCGCGGCAGGGATGTGACGACACGCGTTTTGGCTGTCACGCTGTACTAAACGCTAAGCCGGGCGCTTGTTCGCGAGAGAATCCCAGACACGCCGTGTTGACGCCTGTGGCTGCCGAGACCATCGGTTCCCGCAATTGGCAGTGGCAAACCTAGCGAGCCGTATTCGAACTGATGGTGGGAAGCTTGTCCGACGGCCCGTATTCGGACAGGGCCAGCGGTGAGTTGCCATACTTGGACTTTGCGTCCTTGCACTTACCATGCCGCGCCGTCGCAAAGATGCACAGCAGTCCGACATGGACCAGATAGTTGACGAGGTGGAGATGGACGAAGACGGGCAGCCCGAATCCGAGGAAATGGCTGTAGACGCTTCTGACGATGACGAGGCGACGGAAGACAAGGACGGGGAAGGGCCAGAGGAAGAAGACGTGCGCGTCTTTCCTACGCTTGTCACTTGACTTGCTCACGAAAAGCTCTCCGTTTAACGCAGGGAAACTCAGACCTGGATGCCTTATCGGATTCTCCGGGCGACCAACAAGAAATGGGTCCCGCAACCCAACCCCGCCTCAGGATCAAGCTGAAACTCGGCGCGCAGCAAACAGCTGTGTCAACTCCAGACGAAGTGCCAGCACCTTCGTCTCGCAGAATTATAGCTCGCGGTATGTCTATTGCAACCTTACATCCGCTGGCGCTGACTCCGCCCCCCCCAGACATCGACATCGAGTCTGAAGACGAAGATGATGAAGTCGAGAACGAGAAGAAGAAGAGGACGAGGATGAGGATGCACAGTCTACGCGCTCTACGTCCGTAGCTACGGCGGGCACCAATAAAGCATTGACGGCACGTCAAGCCGTCCTTGCGAACGTTGTGGATGCCTCGCATGTTTCACTCGGTACGTATCGCCACGTATGGTCACTGTTCGTGAATGGATCTTTACAGTCTGATGACCTGTAATGTAGGGCCGACGCCCAACTCGCGGAAGAAGAAACCACTCACAGAGATGGAGCTCGCCCTAAAACGCGAAGAGACGGCGCGCAAGCGCAGGAATCTTACAGAGAAGAAGCTGGAGGACGAGAAGGTACGAGGACATTTATGCCCACAACGACGAAGACGTAAGCTTACCGCCACCACGTAGACCGAGACCATAAACCGTCTGCTCAAGAAGCAAACTCGCGCCCGAGGGAAGCGTAATGCCCTCGCCACGGCTGAGGATCGCCCATCTACGGGAGGCGGCGGAGACGATGCGGAGGAAGGTGTGGAGGCTGAGCCTTCCGAACCTTTCATCCCCACAATGTACCGCTGGGTCTCAACATCCCGCATGTCAGCACAAGGTGCGGAAGGCGAGGCAACCTCTGAAAAGACAATGTCTCTATCCTTCTCCGTGCCTATTTCGGTCTTGCCGCCGTCCAGAGAGCAGTCTGAGTCTGCCTCTGCGGCGATGGACGTCGACAAGCCAGCTGTTCCGGAGAGGCCGAAGCAACAATTGCAGGCGACGTGCGACGTGCAAGGATGCTCCGAGCGGCGCAAGTACCGATTGGTGAGGGGCTTCACCAAGGGTGCTTGCGGGATGGCCCACTTGAAAGCTCTCGAAGCACAACTGGCGTAGCTCTCAGGTCACTTGTGTGTACAGGTGCCGCAGGCCAGATCCTCATAGCCACCCTCCTAGTACGTCCAGTTGACTCATATTGTGTATTTTTTGCTCGGAGAATTGCCCTGTTGTATTTGTATCTGTACTTGCTTTCATGCTATCGATCTATTGTGATCCTCCTCGCTGACGTATGAAACACAGCTGCATGGCTAGTGAATGTGTTAGTGTTGTCAGGTTCATGCCGACGCCGTCTAGCTGAGCGCGTCCATGTCAACGCTGGATATCTCACACAATGTTCGGGCTGGTCCAACAGCACATCGTGAGCCATTTGAATGTTCAACGAGATACAATCCATTTGTCATTAAATGGTGGTAAGTACACCATCAGTATGAGACCCGACTAGAATACTACTACCGTCGCTATGCGCAGCCCATATTCGAGTGATCGTCCGGCACCTTGACCTTGAAAACGAGAAACAGTTCCATCTATACTACGCGACACAACAGTTGGCAGAGCAAAGCAACCAGAAGACACTGGACAGACAGGCGACCGCGAGGGCGGACATGGGTAACGCAGCCCGAGGAGATGCTCCGTTGACAGGGAGGAAGCCGCCAGCTGTTGTGGTCGCCACTACGATCGTAGATATCGACGTCTGCCTGTACATGCGCAACCGATGATCAACATTCCGTCGATCGGGATACGAGCTATATGGGCTTGCAGAACTTACGTCGTTGTGAACACCTCTGTTGTATCCGACCCAGTGGCGGTGCTGACGATGGTCTTGAGATCGGTCGACACCGAGGTGACAGTACTAGTCTGTACCGATGTCCGGATGGCGGTGGTGGTGACGACAGAGACACTCGCGGTGTTCGTGTACGAAGTGGGGGCGGGCGTCGTGTAGCTCCCCGAATACGGGTAAGATTCGGAATACGCGCCGCTAGAGGTGTAGTTGTAGTAACTGGAGTAGTGAGCGTCCGTGGGCTCTACGCCGGTGGTGGCCGGGAGGCTGGACGGCGATATGGTAAGCGGCGTACCGCCCTCTGTGCTGGTGGTAGCCTCGGCCTCCCCATCTGCAGCGTCTGGATCACGCGCAGACAGTGAAGACGATGATCGTTTATTCTTCAGCTGGAGATGTGCTTGTAGGCCGGAAGAGCACATCATGCGAGCACGTTCATCTGGGACTACGACGAGAATAGGAATGTTTATGGACTGGCGACGGCTTGATCGCCTTGTCTGGAGTTGAAGCTGATGACCGTAGTGAATCCAGAAGATCCGACTCGAAGTGAATGGGTAATACGTACTGTATGCCTTCCAGACGGTAGGCACAGAGGTACAGGCCATCGGTACCGCAAAGCGACATCCTCCCCACGACTTTCGTGAGTTATGAGGGCCAGATCAGTCTCGGGGGACAACCAGAACTTCGCTTTTGCGCGGAATGGAATCAATAGCATGTTTAGGTCGTCCGGTGACAGCCGATCGGCACCATCTCGCTGTGAGGAAGAGGTGTCCGAGCCGAGGTGTACCTGAAACTGGGTAAGTTCACACCGTCATGGTGCAGCACTGAACTGTTACGCGTATGACCACATCTGTGTATCCACCAGCTTCCCATATTCTACATGCTAATTTTCAGTAGGCTAGCAAATGAGGAAGGGCTGTAGACACGCACGCATTTGTTGACGATACGTCGAAAGCGACTTGTCCTTCAAGGACATCCAATTGGTAAGGCAATGGTTCCGCGCTTGCAAAGAGCGGGAGTAGCAACAGCGCCAGGCAAAGAATGATTGTGTAAAAGAGCGTCGTGCGTGACAGCGACAAAGAAGCGGTGGAACCTGATGATTTCTGTCCAAGTACGAGAGGGGGGCGTCGGTGGTCCGGCACCTTGATGAGGCCCATGCTTTACATACGAGTGGGCAGGTAGCCTGTACCTCAATCGCCAGTAGTGCGAGTCGAATGGCGAGAGCCTAGGAGAGCGCAGGGAACATGGCCGTGTGCTGGGAAGAGCACGAGGCGGTCGAGCGGCGAGTGAGGATGGCCAGTGCCGCCACAGTGACTGTTGCTATTGGTTGCTACGCTACTTCAGCTTACCCGGGGGCGGCTCGATCGAGATCACTCAATGACTGCAGAATCTCAGATCCACACGCCCCTGCAAGCCAAGCGCTGCTCATTTCGTTGCGTCCAACCTCAAGTGGCCCGCGTCGCTCGACTCGTCCCATCCTCTCCCTCATCCCCGCACTCTTCATACCGGCAATGGCTGCAGGCCCGGTCCCCCCACCCAACGCTGAAGCATCCTCCAGCAAGCACTCAATATACGAAGCCAGCACACAGTATCGTCACTGGCGCTTCTCACCAGAGGATCTCGCGCAAACGCGCACAGCCCTCAACGCCGCTGCGGTCTCTGTTATCCGCGACGCCTTTGAGATAGATGAGGCACGTCTGTTTCTAGGACATGCATTGCGCGTTTGCTCAATACCCCATTTCAGACAGGTTCCTCTGCAGACGTATCCTTCCTCGACGCAGACGAGGAATGCTTACTGGTCAAGCTGTATATCGGAAAGATCTCACAACTATGTGATCTCTTCCGGTTTCCGGAAGAGGTAGAGGCCACCGCCATGACATATCTCAAACGCTTCTATCTCAAGAACACCGTGATGGATTGGCATCCGAAGAACGTCATGTAGGATTGCTCATACAATCACTGGTTGTATGTGTACTGAGCACCCTTACGAAAGCACAGGCTCACTGCATTGTTCCTTGCCACCAAGACAACAAATAACCCCATACCCGTTGACACATACACGTCGCGCATTCCCAAAACACAACCCTCCGATGTACTCGACTTGGAGTTCCTAGTGGCACAAAGTCTAGGCTTTGACTTCGCTGTGTGGCACGCACATCGAGCGCTTTGGGGAATGTCATTAGATGTGCAGGTAAGCAGTGAAAGTCTCCTTTACACCTTGTTGGAGCCTCACCTTTGCTCAGGCCATACCCGAGACTACCCGCGAAGAAGTGCACCGTGCATATCAGATCGCCCTCAACCACGTTCGTGCATCTCGGTTGACGGACGCCGAGCTGTTATTCACACCGGCACAAATAGCCCTAGCATGTCTTTCGACGGCTTCACCACATCTAGCGGTGTCTTGGGCGCGCCTCAAGCTTGCGGACCAGGCAGACGCGCTGCTCTCCGGTATCGAGCCAATCAAGGCCATGGTCGGTGCTCATGGGGCACTGCCGAACTTGGAGGCCGTGCGGGATGTGGACCGGCGGCTGAAGCTCTGCAAAAACCCGGAGAAAGTGGTGGGTAGCAGAGCATACCTCAAGAAACAAGGAGAGGCAGAACAGAAGGCAGACGAGAAGAGGAGACGGAAGGCCGCTGCGGTGAGGAAGGCGATGGAGGAAGGTGATCCATTCGGCAGTGAGCTCGCCGGGGATGGCGGAATGGAGGATGATGACGATGACGATTGAAGCGGTGCTATAATGGTAGCAAGCTTCTTGCGTCTGTGTGATATGCTTTGATGACCCGTCGTCCTGTATATGTATGACATTCCGAGATGGCATCTGGAGATATCGTTACTGGTCATTGCTACCAATACCAACGAACTACGTGTGTACCGCCGAAGGGCAGTACACCTGTACAGTATGGCATGGTACGACGATCCTAGCCAAGCGGAGACAGCGTTGCTGGGAACTCTCGGTCGGCCGTAAATGGATGTGATCAAGCAGCTGAGTGAGAGCAGCACGCGCCGCGTCGTCCGCGTCGCTACAAGTACACCGCCTGTTCTCAGCCACCGCGGTCCCACCAGCCCTCACTGGCCGTTCCTCACGGACGACTACCGTCGTCGCACTCCTACGCGTCTGCGGCGATACTCCTTGCAGCTTTTGAGCTCTCTGTCTCTGTTGGCCTGGTGGCGAAATTCAAGCGGCCAGCCGCTTTGGTGGCGGTTGTGAAAAATGTCTTTGCATCCGGCTGGCCTCTCCTCTGATACCCTCGACGGCAACCCTTCCTCAACCAGTTCTCCTCCCCCCATGACCCCCGATCAGTGGAGTGACACGCACGACACAATAGTGAACGAGGAAGAAGACGACGACGACGACGAAAGGGACGTACAAGAGACGGTCATTCCCGACGGCGTCGGAGCCAGCAAGGTCCAGGTCGCAACCCCTGACAAATCGGTTGCACCCTCCTCAGCGACCATCGTCCCTGGTCCTCCTGAGAGAATGCAGGAGCCTGCGTCCGACATGGAAGCGACGAGCGTGCGTAGCATGCCCGTCGTGCAGGTCACTGAGCCGACCAGCCCTGCCCCCGCGAGTGCTCAGAGCGCGTCACACTTTCCAGCGAGTTCGTCCGGGCCGAACTTGTCGCCTCACCCGTCGTCGCCGAACGCCAATGCCAGACTCAATCGGCATCGTACAGCTCTCGATGTGAGTCTAGCGTTCTATTCGCCTCCTGTGAACTGTTCACATACCGCAAGCGACAGACCCGTGCATCAAACCGCTTGTCTGGATTCTTTTCGTCGCTCATTCACCCCGGGCGCCGTGAAACCCTCCCGCCTACTGCTGAAGAGTCTCGGTCTGCGTCCTCCACTCTTGTCAACAACACATCGAGAGCATCGTCACCAGGACCCTCCCGACCGTCTACTCCGCCGCCTCGGCTGCCCCCACCTAGCCTCACAGAACTGGGCCTTGCGCTCTCCTCCATCACGTCTCAGTTGACCCCGTCCCATGCCAATGGTCCGCCTACGAGCGGTGCATTTCTGAAGCCGCATTATCTGCTGTTATGCCATGCTCAGGGACTTGATGTCCTCCCTCTGGTTTCTCCGCCTACACCACAGCCTTACGCCCTCATCAGAAGAGTCGCGTTCAAGAGTGTCGTGATCATGGAGCATCGAGGTGTACTCGTCGCAATCGCTGGCAGGAGGAACGGGGTCAGGGTATATGCGCTGGAAGACATCAAGCGCGCGGTCGAGTGGAGGGTCGACGTCGAAGTTAGGCGCGAGCAGGACCGTGTGCGGAGAGAAGAAGCGAAACGCGGCCCGCTCACTGCTGTGGAACCTCGATTGGAGAAGAGGCGATCGTTCAGCAATGAACTGGAGAGGACGCCAGTGACTTCGTCGGCCGCGACGAAGGCCAAGCGTCGTTCGTCTATATCTGTCCTTCCCGCTGTCCCCGCTGTCCCTCCTGCACGTACGACCAACACAAGGCGGCCCAAAACAGCGGAAGGTCCATCACAGCCTTCTCCCTTACCAGCACCTGTTGGGCCTCCTCCCGCATATACTAGCAGCTCGACCCCGCCGCGCGGGCTTGAACCTCAGCGAGCACTCGAGCCACCCGCCATCGACGTTGTGCCCACGCGGTCGCGTGCGACTTCGTTGAACGATGTCCTGCAGGGCACCGTGAGCAGGCGGCACACCGGCGAGTTCCACATTGAACAGTCGCACGCCGAAGGGACTGAAGACTCGAAGGCTGATTGGGCGTCGAGCGACGATGAAGCTATCAACGTTGTCGCTGCTCCGAGCGGCAGCCAGATGTTGGATGAACGGACTAGTTCCATGGCCGCTGTGCCCACCTTGGGGACCGTCTCTCCGCAGTCAAATGGCTCGGTTGACCTCGGTCGCGGCCAGACGTCGGCATCCCTGCAACGCCGGAATCGTCCTGCGAACCTTGACTTGTCCATGTCAAGGTCCAACTCCAGGGCCACCGTGACAGCCGCGCCTCCGTCGCCCAACGCCAGGTTATTGACTCTGCAGCAAGCGCTGACTTTGTCGCCTCAGCCTCAGACGCCTAGAGTTATGCGTAGCATGAGTTCCGCTGGCAACGAGCCCTCGCCTGGCCAAGACGCAGATGCGGATGGGGATGCAGACGAGGAAGATGATGTGGATCCTGACCCGTCTTCCCCTACGACACCCACGCGCGAGCGGATCTCACTGGCTGAAGCTCTCTTGGAAAGTCGGTTGCCTGAATTACCCCCGGTGGGTACCCGCGTCGAACAAGCTCCAATACTCATTGGCACGCAAGACGGTGTCTCAATAAGCCCTCGCACCTCAGAGTCGGGGACGGCAGTCACGAGGCGAAGTACAGGCGATCAATCGACTCGTCGACGTCGGCGCTGGTCCGTATTAGATGGGATATTTTCTCACTCCCCAACGAACTCGCAGTCGTCCATCCCAACGCTGCCAGAAGATGTTCCTCTTGATCGAGTGGTGTCCCCATCAGAAAGCAATGATCATGACACCCAGGAGAGCACTTCCATTGCACCGACCCGACAGTCGAATTTGGCCCGTAGTCATTCCAATCTTGTGCCCGCGTCTGAATCCCTGCCAGCGGCTCGCCCTTCGAGTTCTTCTAGACCGTCAACTTCTCCTGGGCGGACTAGTACCAGTTCCCGTTCCACTAGAGATCGTTCCGCCACCATCGGCAATGTGCCGCCGTTACCGGCCACAGCTCGTTTCCTGCCTCGCATCATCACGAACGCTTTCCATGGTCGGCGGTCGGATGACCTGCCTGTACTACCTAGGGCCGGAGACGGTGACAAGCGGCATATTGGCTTGGTTCCGCCATCGCAAGCACCTGCGCCTAAGCTTGAGTACGCGAAACTGCCAGGCACTAAGGGTGCAGTCCTTGTCAAAGCTGTGGAGACAGCAAAGAAGAGGTGCGTTGTCCCCCCATGCGTTCGGTGCATCGTTAACCCCTTTCATTAGCTTCCTGGCTATTCTCTGTGGTGAGAATGGCGAGAAAGTAGAACTCTTTGCTGGAACATACCGAACTGCCCTTCAGCTTTCCAGGACCTTCATTCTTCCGGACTCTCCAAGGTCGCTTGAACTGCAGCTGCAAGGCGATGATCTGGTCGAAGTCTTCCTCGTATTCACGCAGAATGTTTTCGGTCTGGAACCTGCTACAGTGCGAGTCCGAGAAGTACGAGTTGGGAGAGCAGAGAGGAGAGCAGCCCGACGCCGCGCTCGGGGCACTAGACTTGACCAGTCAGGCGATGGTGACGCCGAGGGTAATGCTGCTGGAGAAGAGGACACTGCCGTGACTGTGACTGTCGTGTCGACGCCTTCCCCTTCCCCGGCCCCGGGCGAAGGTGGCACGGGAAGTCCGGCGACTACTCTCGCTGGTACTCCCGCTGGTACTGGAGTACAGACTCCTGAGGCTATGCAGTTGCAAGTAGACTCCGCAGCAGCCTCTACTGACGAGCTGCTCACGCTGGCTGCAGCCCAGTCCAGTCCATACAGTACCTTCCAGCAGCTAACCTTCGCTCCAAACTTCCCTCTTGCCTCTATCGCCGATGAGTATATCATCCCTCCTACCTATGCATCTTTCATCGACTATCGGAACACGTATGAACCAGAGGTCAACGGGGATACGAATGTGGATCTAGCCAAGTCCAATTCTCCCAGTTCTCGCCTCCTGGTCTCCCGATACCCACGCCTGCGCCCCCGTCGAAATGGTTCTACAGAGATCCAAGATGTGGTGCATGGTCAGCATTGCAGCAGTCTGTCGGCGTCTCATGCTAATGTCTCTTCTGCTAGGTCCGTGGAAGGCGACGCTCATGCAGGCATGGTACAGGGATGGCCTTTTGCCTCCTGATCTGCCCGTTAGGCGAGAAGAAGACAGCGAATACATCCTTCTGAAGGACCTGCGGCTGCAATGTATCGACCCCACCCATCCTTTCAGGTCTTCACCTCCCATGCCCACAACGCCCACCCAACAGCAGCCATCACCCGTCACTGACGCGACGAAACCTCTACTGCCACCGATATCGTTGCTCGCTCAACCCAGGCATTTCGGGCCTCCCGCATTGTTTTTCTCTTCGCGCGGTGGGCACAGCACCACGATCGTCGATGCACGAGGGAGATCGGTGCTCAAAGGGCGATTCCTCTGGACGGCGGATGAGGAAGATCCATCCCCATCTCCGATCCGACTCGGCGACGTCAAGCGGCTAGAAGCCTTCGACGTCGACGATCGGGCAGTCCTCGTCGCGATGCGCCAAGGTGGCGTCGAGGTCGTCGATTTCGGTGATGCGCTGCTGCGGCCTGCGGATCATTCTCGTACGATTTATCCTCACTTCCAGCCTCAGGGTTCGAGCATCAGCAGGCGTGGGCCTTTCGTTTGGAAAATCGGCACGCCTCTGACGTCCACTCCATCGATATCGTCGATCTCCTCTGCCAACTTCATCCCAGCGAAGTCACCTTCGCAAGGCCATCGCAAGAAGAGCAGCACTGGACCCATGAAGTCGCCGCGTTCTGACTTCACGCTCTCTGGAGATGACTCCGATAAGACACAGGACGAAGTGCTCTTCCTCGGCAGGAAGGACGACGACATCTATCTCTGTGAAAGGCGGGTGAATTCCTTCCGGATATTGAGACTGTCACCTGGTTCTCCTTAATGTTGATGTCGTTATGCGAGATATGCTCTATTTTCATCTAATACTTGCAGGATCCGGAATGCCATTCATGGCCTGCATCACGTACTGCTCATGCCCCAGTTGCCCATCCATGTGTTTCCATAGCCATAGCAACCAACCTGACAATTGTACAGGCGGCAGTAATATCGTTATTTCGCGAGACCCACTCACTCACGCATGTATCTACACAACGCAACGTCGGGAACCAAGCATCCATGCATATATATTGCTCTCCGCTGTACATGCATGGGGTATTCTAGCAATCAACGATCATTTATAGTTTTTGCCAGGGCGACTCGTCGACGTCCAAAGGAATGACATTGACACAAATACCAAGTCGTTGAATAAATACAAGGGCCCTAACCAACAAGCACACTGACATTCGTATCCGCGGGGAGGATCTCGTAGTACGAGCGGACCTGTTCGCAAGTGACATATACGCTATCGTCCAACTCTGTCGTCGGCGATCCGTTGAAAACGTCGGGGCATGCGAACGGTATCGATTTAGCGAGGGAGAACGAGCCAAACGCTGCGTCTGCAGCCCGAGCTGCGACACCTGACGGCGCGTCAGCGACAAGGCTCCTCTCCATGATGTCGTTGCGCTTGTTGGACTTCGACGATGCGGCAGGCGAATTGGGCAGGGCAGCGGTCTGATCATAGAACCAGAAGGGCTCACTCTTGTAGTCGCTGTCGTGCTTCTGAAGGAAGGCCGCGTACTTGCCCTTCGGGTCGCCGTAGGCGGCGGCAATGGAGGCGACGTGCGGGAATATGTCTGAGATGTCCTCCGAGCCGGGGTCAACGCCCATGACGTAGTCGAGCGCGTCCTGAATCGTCGCGCCGTACTTGGACTTGGCCGTCCAGAAGTTCTGGCCAAGCTGGTCGCCGATTTTCGCATTCGTCTAGATCGCGGAGGATGAGAAACTGTCAATTGTGATTAAGATTGTACAGTCACTCACAATCATAGCTTCGAGATTGAAACACCGATAATGGAATGGCCGGGTTCGGGAGGCTTCAAAGGGCTGCTCGCCCGAGGCTGCAACTTGGTCCTTGAACTGGTTGTTGAAGTAGTTTTGCAAGTCCGTGACCGCGCCCTTGGTATCGCCCACGTAGAGCTTTATTGCCGCAAGCTGGTTAACGTAGAACGTGAAGTGGTTGCTGGGATGTCCAGGTCGTAATCAGTAGCTAATTGAAGACATGCGCGCATACTACTCACTTCGCCTTCGAAGCAACCTGCTTGCCAAGGTCGCTCGTCTGAAGCCATGAAATGTACTGCTTCATCCAGGTCACCATTGCCTGCTCCCGCGCCGACGTCCAGTCAGGGCTATTCGCGGCCTTCAACAGCTGGATGCCGTTCACGACCTTCACCATACCGCGCAAATCCAGGACTCCCGTGAAGGTGCCTATTTGATGGTCCTTACCCGGACCACGCACGAGCTGACCATAGTTCATGTTCGGCGTCATGCCCGATTTTGACGAGAGGAAGAAGGCGTCGATGAAGGACGCCACATTCTTCGAGGCCGAGCTTGACTTCTGCAACGCGTACGTGACACCGTTATAGAGCACTGACTGCGACATCGCCACGACCGCGGGAGAGTCGGGCAGCGTGCGCACGTCGGGGTTGACTTTGCCGTCGCGGACAACGTACGGGCACGTCGTCCATGCTAAAGGAGAGAATCAATATTTCTTGGCGGACAGACGGCACACTGAAAAACATACTCGCACTGGGAGCCAATGACTTCGTGGGCGAAGGCGTACAAGAGCTTTGCTTGGACTGCGTCTTTGCTGGTGCTTCTGCAGGTGCAGGCGTACCCATCATAGTGCCGACAGAGCTTGAACTCTGTGTCGGGGGAAGCGCAGGTTCTGACACGCCCACCGCCGGAACTGTCGGCGTCGGCAACTCACCGACCACAGCATCTTGACGTGCATTAACTGCCTTGTTCTGTGGCTCCGCGACCTGTTCCGAGCCGACGATTCCACTGGACTCTGTCGAATGGCCCTCTGTGAGCGCCATCTTCCACTTGTGCATGCGTTTGTGAGAGCCGAAGACGGCTCGTTTCTGCTTGGGAAACGCGAGCGAGTATCCGGTATCAAAGCGGACGAACATCTCTGTGTCTCCGTCTCCGTCGCCGTCGCCGCCGTCTTCATAGGCATTGGGGCCGTCAGAGTCACTGCTGTCGTCAGGGTCACTACCATCATCCCCTCCGTCAGACCGACCAGGGTTGGCTAAATGGTTTGTCCCGGAGGTACACCAGTTGCAATCGGGCCAATGGCTGTCGGAGTCGTTCAGCGCATGTTATGTTCTATTGACGGTTACTCACTAAGGGGCCCAGCTCAGATAATCACGAGGATTACCACTAGGAGGCGCGACACTGCCTTTGTCGGTAACAGCTATGGTACCCGTCAGACCTATAATTGGTGCGTTGAGGTGAACTACAGGCGACTTACACCAAGGTCCCGACTTCGCAGTGCTACCCGCGCTACTGATGATGTTCTTTTGGGAATCGGTAGTGTTGCTCGACCCGCTCGAGCCTGCTTGTTTCAGGACGTAGTTGACATTAACCCAGTCATTAGGATCAGCTATGGTTCTGTCAGTGGTTGTGTGAGCCAGTGAATTCGACGAGTACTCACCATAACTAAGGAAGCCGCAGCGGCGAAAACGAGAGTGGTCGTGAGCGCGTGCATGATCGGTGGGAACGTATGGAAAGCAAATGAAAGGTAGCACAGCTGTAGAAATACGAAAAGGCCTCCAGCACAGCCGAGAGAGCGCAGATAGGAGCGCCCTCGAGGGGCATCTCTTGTCTTGGCCCCTATACCAAATTTGACCGAGGCTGACGGCGCCGGCAGCATACATGCAACAATAGCCTGGTCCACGCCTGGTCAAACCACGAATATCAGCATCTCTAGCATCATCGGAGATCAGAACAAGACTTCAAAGCATCGGGATCTGGGCTCAATGGGGGCCGCCAGCTCGAGCCCGAAGTTGCGACTCAGACTACATCATGATTCAGGGTTCCTTGTGCGTGTAGCGATCAAATCCGCGGCCTCCGACACCGACCGCGTTCGACGAGGACGCTAAGGGGCATACGCGAAACGGAGGCAGTGGAGACTCGGAGAGAGGTGATCCGGAAGAGTCGAGCTAGGTCGAGCTTGTGGGTGCCAGTGCGTCGCCACGTTACGCGCGCGATCCCATCACGTGTGCGCGTCGCAGATCCGCATGCAACATCGCGCGAGCGCCTGCTGTCTTTCCTGGCCACAGATGGCGGACGTCGCAGGGCCATCCACCAGCACAACCGTTGTGCTCAGAAAGCGAAGGAGGTCCCATAGCCCCCTTGTCCTGCGCATATCATCCTCGCCCACGCCAAGTCATGCAGTAGTACTGTCAGAATCTGAATCTGAACAGAGTCCACTCTCTCCGGTCGTCTCTATCGCCCTGGAACCCGGACCCTCTACATTACCCTTGAGAGGCAAGAAGAAGCGATACGCATGCGATTTTGACGGCTGTGACAAGGCCTACTCGAAGCCTTCTCGATTAGCAGAGCATCAACGCTCTCATACTGGAGATGTGCGTTCGCTCTTCTCGCCCTCGGATCACTTTGCTCACCTGTGTTGTAGCGACCTTACATCTGCACAACATGCCGAAAATCTTATCTACGTGAAAGTCACCTCCAGGCGCACTCCCGTTCTCACTTACCGGAGTCCGCCCGACCATTTGTCTGCGAAGAGGCAGGATGCGGGAAGCGCTTCTGGACATCTCAGCACCTTCGCGTGCACGAAAATTTGCACAGAGGAGAGAAACCTATAAGAGTACGTGTGGTGCAGTAGTCTTGCCGTCATGTTTGTTCACTCGTAGCTTCTCCCTCGCGCAGTGCAATGAACCATCATGTGAAGCCACCTTTGCCAAGCAATATCAATTGCGGGAGCATATCTGTTCGACACATGCTCCTCCAGGGACGAAGTCCTACCCTTGTGATCACGCCGGCTGCACCAAGTCCTTCGCCACTAACCAGAAACTACGTGCTCACACCAAAACCCACGATGGTCAGATCCTCTTCCCGTTCTTCTGATTCAGTTTCTCCTCGCCCTCGTTGACAGAAGTTCTGACTCACCATCTCGCACTTTCTACAACAGGGAGGCGCTATACTTGTGTGCACACCCCATGTTTAGCATCCCCAGGCAACCCGCCCACGTACTTCGCGAACTGGACTGCGCTTCAGCATCACATGCGCACCGCGCACCCGCCTACATGTCCATATCCTACGTGCGGCGGCAAGACATTTACAGCACAGAAGGGTCTCCGCGCTCACCTGAAGATTCACGCCGAGCGTGACCTCGAGGCGGAGCTGGAGAAGGACCAGGCGGTCAGAGCAGCTGCAGACCCAGACGACCGGCCGCGCAAGAAACGTAGAGGGGGAGAAGTCGGACGTGACTGGATTTGTCAGGAATACGGCTGCGGGAAGGATTTCAAGTCGGTAAGTTGCATCCCTCACACCATGTAGTTGCGATGTCGTGACTGACGGGGTTTTATGTACAGAAGAAGGCACTTGCGACACATCGCAACGTAACCCACCTAGGCCGGCGAGACTTCGCCTGCCCAACATGCGAGCGCACATTCGGATACAAGCACCTCCTCCAACGACACACTGCGAAGGCACACCCAACTGAGCCCGCTTCCTCCGACTCCGAATCAGACAGTAACACCGAGGCGAGCAGTGGCGAAGACACGGAAGATAGCGAGGACGAGAAAGACGACGAGGATCAGGAGACGGCGAAACCGACAGTGGCGTTCAGCATCGACTTCATCACTGGGGCTGCATACGAGGCTCGCTCGCAGGTGCGACTGGGTACTAGCCCCCGGAGTCTGAAGTGTCCGTTTCCCTACCTGCCCTCGTCCTTCCGCGAGGACGAGAGTGCGGATGAGGATGTGGCGGCCTCGAAGGCTATCCACGACCCACAGTGTCAGTACGTGTTCAGTAGAGCGTACGACCTGCGGAGACACCTGCTCGCTGAGCACGAGGTGGAGCTCGGGAAGGAGGTGGTTGATGAGTGGGTCAAGAGTGCTAAGGCGACGCGAGCGAAGGGTGCGAGTTAGATGATACATTGGATTTATGTTGGATCTACCTGGACCTCGCCGCTCTGCATCATGTCCCTCATCCATTGACCTCATACTGAAGCGATATCCATTACACGCTTCGCGATACAACAAAAGCACTGCGTGACATATATAGGTAGGCTATCGGCGACGAGAACTAAACCTTGAAGAAGTCGTCCTTGAAGTCGAAGGCCGTGGCAGTTGTGCATTCAACCTCAAAGAACAGTTGAAACACGTCACAACCTCACTCGAGAACCAGGAAAGAAAACTCACCCCATCCCTATCTTCAGAAAGATACCTGTCACTCTTGCCCTTGATAACAACGAACCGCCGACGTGTGTCCATGATTGCAGGTTGCATCTGCATGCCCATCAAGTCGCGTATGATCTCCTTCTGGATGGCGTCGGGCAACTCATTCGCCTGTACGCTGCTGTACTGCTCCGCTGCCAGTGCAATGGACGACTCGAGCAGCCCTCGCGCGTCCGCGCGGAGCAGCTCAGTTTGCCAGGAGATCCACTTCGCTGTGGGGTCGTCTCCGCCTTTCGGACAGCGTGTCAAGGGAGGCATGCGGAGCAGCGAGATCTTCCCTTCTTCGATCATCCCGAGGAGGTCGCTGAAGAAGAAATCACCTCTGGGAATGGCTGTGAGCAAGCAAGCCAAAAGCCATAAAGTGTAGACATGACGAACTTGTCGAACAACGCCAGTGGGTTCTGATCTTGACATGTCGACTTGGCGAGCATCGCTACGACCGACGGCAGGATATAGCAATCCCATATCGGATGTTCGTCTATCTTCTTGATGAGCTCATACACCCCGACAATGTTGCTTAGGATGGCCGACGGCGTGAATGTCACGACACCACCTGCTTGAAGTTGAGCTAGACATCCCTAGAGTTGGAAGATACGCACCTAGTGGATAGATCTCACGTATTCCCCAACGCTCAGGGGGTACGCTCTCGTGCGTCCCGTACGTATAGAACCGGAGTTCGCACCGCTTGTTGCGCCGCTCTGCGAGCGCTTGCAGCTTGTATATGGTCTTCAACGCGCCAACATGCACGAACACGATACGCACGTCCTTCTTGTACCCCATATCGTTAGCTTTGAAGGCCGCTAGCAAGGTCCGCAAGGCGGCGGTTTCCATACCCGCCAGCTCCCCGACCTGACCATCTGCGGGCGAGTACCAGATACAGTAGGTACGCGAAGAGGCGGATAGGAATTTGAACAGACGGTGCGGGACGTTTAAAATGCGCAATGCTCGGTGGACAGCAGGATTCTTGGAAAACATCTCGCGCGCCGCGGCATCCACCACAGGATCCAAGGATGCTGTCAATGCATCATCGGACCTCGTTTTGAACCACTTCGCCTCGTCGAACTCTTGGCGGGTCAGTTCCCAAGGTAGGAGGGCCGCGATCATGGGGGCATCTACGAGTGTTTGCGGGGGAACCTTGAGCAGCCGACAGAGTTCGTTGATAGACGACGGGAAGACGAGCATCAATGCGACCTCGCCACCATCTAGACTAAGACGTGCGTATGTGAACTGAACCGCAAGTCGTCAAAACCCGTACGGGCCATACAACATATTCTAGACTCACTGAGCGTTTTGTCTTCAGATGAGCCGCCAAAGCAGTCACAGCATCTGCGTCTGAGTCTTTACCGGGTCCCAGCTTAGCAAATTGCTGCACCTGAGTGCAACTGCGCAAGATCATGTAGATGTCTGCCACCTCGTAGAGCTTGCCCAATCGGACAGAGTCCACAGGATCCAGGCAGATACTGAAGCGTAGACCATTCGGACGGGGCTCCGTTGCGTCGGAGAGCGCTATATTGCAGATACGCTGTGCCCTCCCCTCTTCAACCTCAATGAACACCTCGCCCGTCCATTTCCATTTCTTCGGAATCCTGTAAATGACTATGAACGATAATCTCGCATCAGAGCTCCTAATGCAAACCTTCCAATAGGTGGCTTTGAGGCACTGCTTGCAGTGGGAACGGGCCCCCGTAATGGAGGCTCCGCGGCAGTTTCGCTGGCAAAGATCAGAATACAAGATGGGGACTCGCGGCGGCAGTACTTACTCCATAGGTGCCGCAAGTCTAACGACGAGTCAGTAGGTAATTGACTTCAAACAAGCGAGAAGATACTCACTCGGTTGGCATAACCGTTGAGAGGAATTGATCGACATCAGGAACTGTCTCAACTGGAGCTGGAGGGGGCACCCCACGTCTCGGTAAAGGAAAGGCAGGTCTCCTAGGAATGGATCAGTCACAAGCCAAATCACAGATGCGGTAGACGAACTGTTCCAGTACTGGAGATTGATGCGCAGGGGAGGGTATGTTACCTTCCGGAGATCTAGGGGACGGCGCGAACAAAGCAGTAGGAGACGGATACGACTCCTGTACAGGTGTGTTCGCCGCGCTACCTGAGGTTGCCGTGTTCTTCTTGAAGGAAAGGTTGGCTATCTTGGATCGCTGCATAGTTGGTCTGGCTGCAACCAGGCTCGTGGCACTCTCAGCCAGACGCATCTTGGTCGGTATCCCGGTAGGAACTGATTTGCCATTGCTGCTTGTGGAAGGACCCCCTCTTGGAGGGTCTTTCGGAGCCGTCCTCGCAGGGACTACCTGTGGTGTAGTCGATTTCGAAGAGATATCTTTGGTGGAACCTTGCTTGTCTTGTGGGCGATTTATCCATATGTATGAGAGCAATGTTGATTTCAACGGAGAGATGACATACCTTTCGAGGCCAACGACACATCCGGTGATGACCGACCATCAGAGCCCGAGAAGAGGGAGCCCGCCCGGTCGCTCTCTTCGTTTTCAGCCAATGGACTTGCTTTCTCCTTTCCCTTACTCTTCGCTTATTGTCAGCAGTTTGTCAAAGTCATAACTAGGTATCTGACCTGAGTCGCAGCCAACTTAGGGACCTCCTCTTCCGAATTTTCTTCGCGGAGGTTTCTTTGTTACACCCTCAGAAGAATCCTGGAGGAAACACGTAAGAAGCCACTCAAAGAGTCTACTTCCATAAACGCACTGATTCAGCGACGGTCCGCTTTTGGGGCTTCGGCTTCTTCGTTTTGGTCAGTGGGACATTATCCGAAACAGAACTCTCATGTCGACTGTCGTCATCCGACTCTTCTTGCTGTGTCTATTCAGCTGGTAGACCAACGAAGTAGATGCACTCCTACTTACTCGTCGCCGTGTCGCTGCCTTCGATTTCTTCACTGCCTTTGCCTTCTTAGCCGAAGTAGAGGAGGACGGCGTTTCAGATCGTGGCCGCTTCATCTTCCCCACAACTTCTTTCTTCTTGCTGGACGCCTGGAGAACACAAGCGGCGATGACATCAATGCAGATCTATTAAATAATTGCAGAGTCAGACTACTACCTTTGATGTTGCTTTACGTCGTGTAGGCGGAGGCTGAGGTATTGGTTGGTCGTCTTCAGATGACTCAGAAGACTGGTTAACATCCGATTGTTTAGGCCTCGAAGAGCCGAAGTGCTTGGCAAAGAAATTCTTCTCCTTTGCTACACAAATGAGTAAACGCATAAGAATGTGTAGCGCTACCTACTTATCCATGTCGGCGTGGCATAGACGGTGTGGCCTGTAGGATAGTCTTCGTTGTCGTAACCAACATCGCGCCAGAAGCCCTTTAGAAGGCGGTCGCAGGCCTCGACGTTCTCTGCTGGTTCCCAGCTAAACTGTGTTCAGGCTCGTGAACAGCGAACAGAAAAATGTGTAGACCCACGTATTGTTATCCGAATCGTAATTCGCCCACTACCAAGACCATCATACGTGAAATATAACGGACATTATACATTCACGAAGAGTCTCACCTTGACATGATATTCCTAAGGACATAGGCGTATCAGTGCAGTAAGGTCGAAGCGCGTCTGATCTTGAACGCACCCATTCACCGTCTGAGTCTACCCGCGCCTTGGTGATCACCTCTGTAAAGAGTGAGGACCATCATGGTCTGTGAAGCCACTGACAGTTATTTACCGACGATGTATTGTTGCTGCTCCTCCGACTCGGAGGACGACTCCTGGACGACGTTCTTCTTCTTGGCCATGAGTACGGTGCCCTAAGTGTATGTCCGTGGATTGCGTTCAGTGTGCCACTCGAAAGAGAGAGTGGTCGAGTATAATGCGCGCATTGAGATGTGCCGCCACTGCCGCGATGAGAGGGAACGGCACGCGCGGGGCAGCAAACACGCGATAAACAAGGCTGGGCGCTCCCCTCTGCGCCTCGCGCTTCCTCGTTACGCCCTCATCATCCTCCAGTCCCTCCCATTCTCCCTCATCCTTAGACATGGCCGACGGTGCTTCAGGCTCAGCGGAGAGGTCGGTTCAGGTGAAGCTCGTGCTGCTAGGTGAGATCTTACCCCGGATTGCGTATGCGGATCGTCCGACTAGCCCCGTGGTCGCATCGCTTCTGCCGCTGCAGTGCTCGTCCTGCATGAACCGCCATGAGTAGTCTCGTGTGGCTGGCCAGCCCTTTCTAGCGCGATGTCGATCTGCAACGGAGCTTGTACTCACGCTTGCTGCATGATATAGGTGAGGCGGCTGTTGGAAAGTCGTCGGTGGTGCTGCGATTCGTGAGTGTTCCCACATGGACGTCGGTCGTCTCTAATCCACAAGCAGGTTTCAAATGAATTCAAGCCAACAAGGAACCCACAATCGGCGCGGCCTTCCTCACTCAGAAGTGCCGGTTGGAGGACCGCGTCCTGCGATATGAGATCTGGGATACTGCGGGTCAGGAACGCTTCCACTCGCTCGCTGTACGTCACATCTACATTTTCGTATATCTCACTGACACTCAAACTTTCGTCTTACAGCCGATGTACTACCGTAATGCCCAGGCTGCAGTCGTAGTCTACGATGTCACGAAGGCCTCAAGTCTCGAGAAGGCGAAGACATGGGTGAAGGAGCTGCAACGGCAAGCCAACCCCAACATCGTCATCGCTCTCGCAGGCAACAAGGTCGATCTCGTTCAGCCATCCTCCACCGCATCCCCAGGTTCTGCCACACCCGAATCGGAGGACGAGGCCGATGATGCTACGGCCACACCAGGCGAAGCCCCCGCTAGCGGCGAGGCGGAGAGCCTGAGGCAGGTACCGCGGGAGGAGGCTGAGGCTTACGCCCAGGAAGCCGGTCTGCTGTTCTTTGAGACTAGTGCGAAGACCGGCGAGGGTATCGTGGAGCTGTTCACCGAAATTGGTATGTGTGCTATTCCTGCACCGAGGCATGTGCTTATCCTGGTTCCTGGTACAGCCAAGAAGATCCCTATTGACCAAATTCTTGCTTCCTCCCGAGGCGGTGCAGGTCGCCCGGGTGCCGCTGGTACTCGTGCCGGTGCCCAGGAGGGTGGTGTCAATCTTGACGAGAACGCAGCGAAGGGCAAGGATTCCTGTAGCTGCTAAATCCAGACAATATCTTGTCTTGCCGACTTCCCGTTGGCCCTCACACGACCTTTACTCTTCATATCGCTACCGTTATCTCTCCACCTTCTGTTTCCTTGTCTGATCTATATGGTTCTCATGGTACATGTATTTGCTTCTACTATTACAGTGGACACCGATTCCATCGTTTGCTGAGGATGAACACGTCTAGCAGCGATGGAATGATAGACATTTAGTGTGGATGATGTACAAGATCTACGTACGGCGGCGGGACTGCGTCGTGAGGATTATCCTGTGTTGCGCTGTCAGGTACACGGTACGGTGGAGGAGCATGTCCGTGTTCCTCGTGTTCAGCGTCCACATCCAATGCATGGTCATCAGTGTCTGCTAACTGTAACGAGTTCATGCGCGAGGGGGATGCGATCTAGGTGACTGGTGCGTGCCCTCGGGGTCTCTGAAGTCCGAGTCTATCGAAGGCGGCGGGTCTGAGGGGTCGTCCATGGGAGGCGGAGGAGGCGGTGGGGGTTCCGCCAACGGATTGTCGGGACGGTCGAGGCCCAGCGCGAGACCCATCGCTTCGATAGCCGCAGTCGGGTTCATGCTCGCCAGCGGTGTTACGTCGTATCCCGCGAGGCCATCTCGACGGTGGGCGGCGGCGTGAAGGAACGGTCCATGTCCGCATAGCCGTCGAAGTGTTCCGACGGCGGGAAGCCAAACAAGACGCCCTCACCGTCGGTGACGGCGTTCGGCTGCGCCATCGGCGGGGGGCCATCGTCGGGTCCTCGTTCGACGGGATGTAGATCTCCTGCTCCGACTCGAGGAACGTGGGCAGCCGCGACGAGTGGACGCCTGGGGCGCGGAGAAGAACGGCGGGGGCGCCTCGCGCTCTTCGAAGGGCGGGGGTGCGCTGTGGTAGCTGGGGCCGGCCTCGCCCTCCTCGTAGCGCGGCACGTCGTTGTCCTCGATCCTGTTCGTGCGCGCCGGCGGCCGGTCGTGCTTCTTGTGGTAGGCGGTGTCCATGGACTCCTCCACCTGGGGCAACGCCGCCGTGGGCGGGAGCAGCACGATGGGGAACTCCAGGGTGGATACGCGCTCCGTGTGCGACGCCATGTTCATGAACGCCACATGGACACGAAGGCGGAAGGAGACCGAGTGCAACAGCGTCGTCTGGGTGATGGCGGCGCATTCGACGGTGTCCGGCGCGTAGTAGTCTTCTGCAGGCAAGTCCCGCGTTTGCATGGCCAGCGGGGAGCCCACTGGTGGGTGAAGAATGAGGCGGATGTTGAGCGGCCGTGCGGGGTGCAGGCGACACGCAGCGCCTGACAGGGCGATGACCTTCTGCTCTCCTGGCACAGCAGGCACCGTCTTCGCATCCGACGGTTGTGTCGACGATGACGGCTCGCCAGCGGGGTGTGCTGGAGCGACCGAGCCAGTTGAGAACTCGTCTCGGTGCTCGTCCGCACCCGCACGCTTCGGACCAGCTCTGCGCGGACGTTCCGGAGCCTCAGTCCGCGTTCCACGACCAACTCTCGCTCGGGAACAGGAACAGTGAGGTACACCGGTATCGGCTCGCCACCTTGAACGTCGTCCGCGGCAGCTGCACCTTCACCGCGTAGGCTCCGCGAGCTCCCTCATCTCCGGGGCGACCATGCACACGTGCGAGTGCGACGTATACCGGCGGGTGTGGACCAGCACCGACTTCGTAAGCGCGGGCGCACGCCCCCCGCCGCGTAGACGTTCGCGGTGAGCGTGTGCGAGAGCGAGGAGCGCAGCGAGTGGATGCACTGCGCCGTGTCGGTGGTCAGCGGGATCGCGAACGGGAAGCTCGCGCGCCGGTCCTCGGAGCTCGACGAGCAGAGCACGACCTCCGTGTCCCCGAGCTCGATCTCCGTCTCGTATGCGACCTCCACCGAGCGCAGGGACATCGTACTGCAGCACCCAACCATGTCAGCGAGCGAACCGTGCAGGTTACGATGGCAGACGTACATCTCTCCCAGCGGAAGCCGTCCGCGCATTTCAGCTGGAGCTCGCCCTCGATCGCGGCGTGTCGCCGTCCGCGCCCAGATACCCTGCTTGGAAGCTGACGTCGTTGCCCGTGGGGATGATGATGATCTGCGGCTCGACGACTGCACCCGTCCCGTCCGAGCGCGTCTCGTCGTCCGCGGGGTCGGGCGAGTAGCTCGGGGGCGGTTCCGCGTCCGTAGTCATTGTACTTGCACAACAGTGGTCCTGAGTGTCGCAGTGGTGGTACAGGTGGACTGGGCTCGAGGATGAGTAAGATGAGGCTAGAGAGGCGAAGGCTGTATAACGGAGTCGGGAAATAGGGAGCGCTCCATGATCATAGGGAACAAATGGGAGTCGAGCCAAGCGTATCGGACGACCGATGTGCGCTCCGGGGCGTTTCACCAGATCTTTCTCGGCTGTACAATGTGTCAAGAGCGGCAGGGCTTACTACAAGATCTTGACATCTCAAACTCTCAACGTGCAAACGTTCCTTGTCCAGCACAAGTTCAACGCACGAAATCATTTAACTATCGAGAATATGGGTATTCTGTTTACATACACCAAGTCACACGAATGGTTGTAACCGAACGATTCCTCCAAAGAAGGGACACGAAGATTTTGGACACTACATGGTATCGCGAATGCAGAAAAGTCGGCGCCGATACCGGACCACATTGACAGCCCTGCGCAGTTACGGTCGAACGCCGCCGTCACTAAACTGAGTAAGCCTACATCCACAACTTGAAAAATTTGCCCACAGTCAATCTCGCGCCGACACAGCAACGCCGGGGCGCATGTCAATCTGCGACGTCAGATTGGACTGAGGAGCGGGCTGACCACGATCTTGGCTACGATTTGACCTCGACGCGCCGTGGGATGCCCGGCTGCGCAAGGATACCTTAGTAGCCGTTCAGCGCGCGGTCACACAAGGAGAGAGGATGGGGATGGACGGGGAATGGATTACGGGCATACTGGCCTGAGTACATCTGTTCGGAACATCACCGTCAACATCCATTCGATGCACGGTCTGGATAGCCTTGCCTGGGTGTATCAATACTACTGAGGGAACATGATATGAACGTGTCCCCGGAAGGCGTCGATGCGCTGGGCACCTCATGCGAGGGATGATGCTCGCTGAGGATAGATGATCTCGGGAGATTGATCTTGGCTACACATTGACCTCGCACAACCACGGGGAGAGGTAGACGAGGCTTCGATAGAGCCTGATGGTCGCGAGCTGTGCTGGACACTGCTGGTTGCGATCTAGGGAATACAGATATATTGCGCACACCTGTGCGGATGGTGAGTAGGGTAGGAGTGAGCACCTCCGACGCACCTAAAAATACACAAGCATTGGCGGGGATATCGCGAAAACATACCATCTTCCTCCATGCAGTGCACAGGACAGCGACCCAGCTCCGAACTCAGTTTCAAAGCCTGCATGAGCTGGTCAGGCAAAAAAGCAGAGACGTAGAGATTGCCTCTACTGACAGCAATCACATCGAACGGACACAACGGCGTGTCTGGCAGAAAAAAAGTCAGCGAATGCGGAACGCTGCGCTTCGAGAAAACTCCGCTTACCACCACCTTCATTAGAGATCCCTAGTTCGTCCTCTTTAAATATGGCAAAGCCTTCCTCGGTTTTCCGTCCTGTGGGGCGTTTCAGCGACGGGGGAAGGAAAATGACGACAAACGTACTGGGCCCGTTGCCTCTCGAGTCCTTGAACCGCGCTTCGTCTTCCTTGTTTTTGCTGCGGGTTTTCTTCGCTACTGCGGTGCCAGCGGCGAGCTTTTCCAGCTTGGCTGCCTTTATTGACTTTGGCGGGCCGACCGGTGTTGGGGTGACTGACGGGTCGAGCACGGTCTCTGGTACTCGACGCTTGGCAGGCTGTGGTTCATCGTCGCCATCTTCGGCCTCGCGCTTTCTCTTCGCAGACTTGTCCTTCTTCTTCTTTGACTTTTTCGGAGGTTGTGTGGAGGAGGACGCAGCAGGCACGGTGGCCTTGGGTTTTGCAGCAAAGATGTCGTCGATTTCCGAGGCGGGCATGAGGCGCGTGGTGGGGGTCACGGGAAGAGCGACGGGCGGCTAGGTGGCTCGGGGGGTGCCATTGATGGGGAGGTCCCTCACGCCCTCGAGGCCTGCGCGCGGCCAAGCCAGAGAACACTGGTCAGCGGAAAGACCCAAGCCCAGAACGAGTGGATACGCATTGAATCGCAGATGTGAGTGCAGCGTCTCCGCCTGGGGCATGCGCAGCTGATGGGGGTGGGCAGGCAGCAGAACGGGGCGATGTCGCTGGGTGGCGAGGGCGGGTACGGGGCGGGCGGGGGGTTCGGGGGGCTGGACGCGTTCACGGCGAAGCAGATGGCAGCGCTGCAGGCGACGTCGCTGGCGAAGGCGGGGAACCGGTCTGCGCCTGGCGGAACTTCGGTGCCTTATTTCGGGGGATTGTTGACACCCCAATCACAGACTTCGGGGCCTCCAGCTCTCCCGCCCCCGGACGCCGCACCGCCACAGCTGGCCGCGGTGAGTGGCCCGCCTGCCGCCTCATGCGAACGCTCATCTCCCCATTTGGCCCAGCCCCCCATGGCCCACCCTAACCCGAACGCGGCCCTCCACCAGATGCAGCAGCTCCAGAAGAGGCGTCAGTTCCTCGGCGGCCTCGCCGCAGTCCACTCCCGCAGCAACCCCCTCCCCCCCGACCTCGTCGGCGTCCCGTGGCCCCAGGGCTACGACCCCGCCGCGTCCCCCTGGAAGCCCCTCGATGTCTCCCGCGCAGACCTCGGCGTCATCCGCCTCGCAGGCAAGGACGTCGATCTCTACAAGTTGTGGGTCCTTGTCCTCCAGGGCGGTGGCGGACACAAGGTGCGTCTCGGATCTATCCGCCCCCGGCCTCTCCTCATGACCCCGTCCCCCGCCCCCGCAGGTCAACCAGCAGGGCCTCTGGCCCGTCGTCCTCCGCCAGCTCGACCTTCCCGAGCACTTCCCCGAGCCCCAGCAGCATGGCCAGCCCGTCGCACCCATCGTCGCCCGATACTACATGATGATCGTCGGGCCCTTCGAGGAGGCGTACCGCAGGAACATGCGCGAGCAGCAAATGCGCGCCGCCGCACAGCAAGGTGCGCAGCAGATGCCAGCCAATCCCAGGGCCCGCTGCCGACGGCCTGCCGGGCCCGTCCAACATGAGCACCATGCCAGGCATGCCCGCAGACACAAGCATGAACATGGGTGCCATGGGACCCTCCATGTCGTCAGGATCGTCCCAGATGCTCGACAGCGCGGCCCCGAATCAGATATCCCCCACGAATGTTTCCCATACGCCGCAGCTCGCGCAACACTCCCCCGTTGCCGGGCTAAATGCGGCTGCCGGCATGAGCACATCCTCTAGCTTGACACAGCACATGACCCGATCAACTTCGAGCCTCGGACCCAGTTCCATTGTGGGACAGGAACTCAACGGCGCTGACGCCGACCAGGAGGCAAACAGTCGCAAGCGCAAACTGGGAGAAGCCGAGGATTTAGATCCAAAACGCGTCAGGCAGAAGACAGGTGCGTACTATATAACTTCCCTGCAGTCCGCACGACTGACCCCTTCTCTAGGCAGCGCAGACGCCTCTGACATGCGGGCCGTGAGTATTCCCTCTATCCCTGCGAGCCCGCTGCATCCCTGACCATATACCTTTGCCGTAGTCCGTCCCCCCAGCCGGGCCGCAGAACGGCCATGCCGCACAGCCTACGCCAGGGGCGCGTGTGATCAAGCAGCCGTCAAGACGCAAGATTGAATACGTGCCGCTAGGCAGGCCCATCGAAACCGCTGGTGGGAGGGATGTCGAGGCAATCCAGCATGAGCTCCTGCGCGCTAGCCATCGGCCGCTCAAAGACATGAACGAATGGGGCCAGGTCGACATTGACGCCCTGACGATGTCCTACGTTCACGGCTGACGACGGAATTATCTTATGCGCTGACCACGTTCACCATGCTCAGTCTCATGCGGTATCCCCACAAAGACACGGGCTTCCCGATCTTGCAAGCCCCAGAGCTGCTGGAGGAGGCGCTCGACTTGCTGGAGGATGTCGCGTTTGACGACGACGACGACGACGACGACGCGTCTATAACGTCCCTACCGGAGGGGCGTATCCGGACACACAAGGAACTGGTGAACGGCGTAGTAGAGGAGGGCTCACGGCCGTTCGCGGCCCTGGAGCCAAAACAGGGTTGGCGGGATCCTGACTTGGGTCCGCGTCCGCGTACCGGCGAGACGGTACTGACTGTGACGAACATCCTCCGAAATCTCTCCAACATGGCCGACAACCAAGACCACCTCGCAAAACACGAACGGTTACTATCCATCATCCTTCGTCTGTGTTGTCTAGTACCGTCGGACGATCCGAATTCGCTGCCTCGCCCGCCTCAAAAGTGCTTTCGCTGCAGGATCTACTCACATTGCGAAAGGACGTCGTTCACATTCTTGTCAACATCGCCGGGAACATCACGTTCTCTTCCGCGTCACCTCCTCCAAAACAAGACGTCCTGAATGCGCGCCGCGCGTTTGAGCTCCTGGCCTCCTACCTAGTGGACCCAGTCGAAGCTGTCCCGCCCTTCGCCAGCATGCTCATGTCTGGCATACCACCCGCCGTCCACCACCCCAAACCGCCACGCTCGCAGACACCACGCTCGAGGCCTTCACGCGCCTCTTCCAGCCCGACGACAACCGGCGCCTGCTCTCCAGGGCCGTCTCGCAAGAGTGGCTCTGGACGCTGATGGAGTCGCTCGTGCACCGGCTGCCCGTGTCCGACAACGACTTCCAGGTCGTCATGCGCGACGTGTGGCTCGGCTTCGTCGAGAAGCTGGTGATGGCGATCTACGCGCTCGCGTTCCTCGCGCCGCCGCCGCTCAAGCGGCGCATCAAGACGGACCGCAGCCTCGGGTTCGCGAAGGTGCTCCTGCGGCTCGTGAAGAAGTTCTCGATCTACTCGCCGCCCGAGGCGCGCATGTACTTCATCATCTCCGTGCGCCGCGCGATCGAGGCGATGCGCCTCGTCGACGACGCGTCGGACTCGTTCGACACCGCGCAGACCCCCGCGGGCACGACGCTCATGTTCGGCATGGGCTATGGCGAGCACGGCGAGAGCAGGCCGCAGCGCGGGATGGGGCTGCTGAGCGGGTATCAGGACGAGATTACGTGGAGCCTGATGTTGCAGCGCGAGGTCGTCACGGACGACTTGATGTTCTCGGAGCTGGAGAGTTTGGTCAGGGTGGATAAGAGCACGTCTGTGCTGCCTGTCTCATGAGTCGATCTACGCTTGCTTTGTTGTTGTCACACTATAAGTACATATGTATCAGTATTGTATTAGATTCCGACCTGACTATGGTATGACCACGAAACCGCTCCTTCCTCGAGATACAAATGATACAAGACACCGGACGACGTCGACGCGCACGTCTCTCGATTATGAGGGTCTCCCTGGGCGGTCGAAGATGGTGACCTTGCCTGACATCTCCCCTCTGAGAACGAGAAGCTGTCAGGATCCGTCAATTGAAGGACGATAATTTGGGGACTCACGTCACAAGAGGCATCTCATTCGCAGAGACGTCTCCGAGGGAGAAGTGCCCCAAATCGTGTTCGCACCGCGCAATAGGCAGGCCGTTGTTCGGATCGTTATCAGCCAGCCGGACGTCCCACAGTCGAACGCAGCCTACGGGACAATCAGCCACAACGCTGCATATCAGAGTGAGGACGCATTGCTCACCGTCAGAGCCGCCGGTGACGAGCCCCAAGCCTGCCGGGTGTCCCTCTACCCACTGCGCCTCCACGACGCCGTACACGTCCTTCGTGTACGCGAGCACGTTGCCCGGGTCGTGCGTGAACGCGTGCAGCTTCCCGCGGCCCAGGAACCGCGCGTCGTACACGTCCGTCGTGTTGTCGTCCCGCGCGAGCGCGAGGTACACGCCGTCCGGGCTGAATTTCATCGACGTCACGCTCTGCTGGAAGGTGTCCAGCTGGAGCGTGTGCGCAGGCCGTGTGTTGAGGCGCTGGCCGTCGAACAGGTAGAGCGTGTGTGCGCGCTTGGCGGGTTTGGTCGCAATGGCCACGAAGGTGCCTGCCGTGCACGAGGCGTCAGGAGAGGGAGGCACTACGAGGTTAGCTGACGTACCTGCTGGGTGCACGGCGATGGAGTCCCCGGCTTCCTGGATCTCCATGGTGCATACCACACGCGCGGTGGTGACGTCGAACACCTTGTGCGTACCGGCGTATGCCTTCTCCGCCTTCGTCATGGACGAAGCGAACAGCTTGTCCGACAGCGACCCGTACCCCATGCGATGTCGCCCGTTTCGTCAGTGTTCTTCCGTGAAAGTCGAAGGTGGCTCTTTATTTGGGTCTCCCCCTCATCTCGAAGCAGGTAGACGGATCTATAGAAGAATGAGGAAGGTTCTGTGTCGTTGGGAACCTGTATTTACTTACCCGTCGTGGGCACCCATGGCCAAGAGCGGGTCGCCGGGTTTGAACAAGAGCTTGCCCATGGTGCAGTCGTATTGCTCTGTAACATGTCTCATCAATGGAGGAGATCAGACAAGGCTCGAATGCCGTTACCCGTGTGAAGCAGTCCGCGGGGCTCTTCTTCTTTCTCTTCGCCTGCTCCGCCTTCGCCTTGACCTCCCTCGCCTTGACCTTGACCTGCTTCGCCTTCACCTTCATTTTCATTGGCATCGTCTTCAGGTAACTCTTCGCAGTCCCAAATGCGTACCGTGCGATCATTCGCGCTGGAAACTATCCGAGTGGGACTAGAAGGAAGACGCGAATGACTGAGCTGGGCCGGAACTGATGCACGACTGAGTACAAACGTACAAGGCGGGGTTAAACTGTACGTCCTGAACTCCGTAGTGCTTCTCCGCTGCATTGAGTGACGACGATAACGGTAAGTCTCAACAGCACGAATGAAGCTCACTCACCAGGATTGAGCGATCTGGACACGGCGTCCGCGTCGTAGCCGTCCAGCACCCGCTGATGGGCATGTAGTGTGTACTCTGTCTCACGGGATCAGCATCAGCCACTTCCTTGAGTTCGATATTGCCCTACGTTTTCCCTCATACCACACCGAGAGCGTGCCTTCCCGGTTGTACGGATCGATAGTGGACAGCTCGAGCGGATCTATCGATTGTCAGCTAAATCGTTCGTAGATTGAGCAGGTGGTGGCTTGCCTTCGTCCCCACCAGAAGCCGCGCTCGCAATAGCGATAATCCCGTTTTTCTGTACAATGCGGTTGACAGCTTGATTGTGGGCGTCAGGATACATGATACCCCGTTGCAGCCACGATTGCTTACCGCCGGGCGCGTGCGCGAGATTCATTACTGGCTGGAGGCCGCGAAGGATCGCGAAGTTGTCCGTACGACGCCTACGATACCCATGTAACTGCCAAACGCATCAGCCTCGTCCCTGCCTACAAATCTGATGCGTGGGCATGCGTACCGATGTCCAGATATATGACTGCCCGTAGTAATCTTGGGCTGTGGGCACTGTAGTACGCTCAGCTGCGCTGATCTTCCCTCGTAACTGACGCCTCCGACTGATGTCTGGGACAGCCAGCGGTTGGGAAGAGACGGACATCGACGCCAACCTAGTGTATAGTTCTTCATCGTCCCACTCGCGCGATTGTTCGTGCGGCAGCGCTGGTGACCACTGTAGGACACGAAAAGGATCAGAGTCCGTGCCACTGTGGCACGAGTGGCGAGACTGACATTAGCACTCCTGTTGAGATTGAGCGCGTCATGGAGAACGGCGTAGTCATCTTCGGAGTCGTATGCCTTGTCGTCTTCATCTCCTCGTGCTGGGGAAGAGCCAGAAGGTAGGAATTCCGGGAAGTCTTGGTCCAACCACGTCTCCCATCCAGGTGTGGTCACGGTGAGTGACCGAGTGTCGCGCGTATGTTCCTGTTCGTTGGAGATGGATTGTCTGGCAGGGCTCTCTGTCGTACGTGCTCTCTACAATGCGGGGTACCCATATCAGAGCGGTACACCGTTGAAACAAGCACAACCTACCTTGACTTCTCGTTCGTCTTCGCTCGAGTCACCCACATAGATTACGTCCTGAGGTATTGCGGCCGAGGGCGAACGTTGAGTCGACCGGGTGCGTTTCGGTGAACGGATTGGCATCAATGGGAGTGACTGGCGCTGCTGCGTCCGGCGCTTCTCTTCCTTCTTACGCCGTTTGCTCGTCCCGGGTATCGTGAACTCTCCGGGAGTGGCACGTTTGGCGCGAGCAGACGGGGAAGTAGGCTATCGAACAGAATGTGATATTCAGCGCGCATTCGAGCATTGACAGGGTTGATCGCACCCTGATTATGAGTTTCGGCTGTACATGGACTGCCGCCGGTGCATTGACAAGTGTCTAGCAAGGTACGACATAAGATTGCTCGTCCATGATGAACCGAATACAGCATACTCACTTGTCCGACAGCTGTGTGCTCGTGCTGGCTTGCGACATGCTCAAGCTCCGGGGCGCCGAAGAAGTCGAAGTGGTCGACGGCCCGGCCGCACTACTAGATGCGCGCTCGTCTTCGCCGTCCGAGGAGACTAAATCGATGATGTCTGGTTTTTTATTTGTATTCTGCTTGATATTTTGCTTGACCGGTGGCGGAGGATAATTCGAATAGTCTTGCGTGTTGAGGTAGCCACAGTACACGAGCCCGTCTTCCTCGAGCTTGGTGCTGTGGACCACGCTCTTCGCGAGGTCGACGCGGTGGAACCCGACGTATTGGACCTCGTCGTCGTCGGGTTGAGGGCGTTTCTGGGCTGGCATGTATTTTGCGGCGAGATGCAGGATGGAAGACGAGCACAAGAGACGAGTGAAATTGCCGAACCGAAGTCGTTGTTCGTATACGGACCCTGACACCCAATGGAAAACGCATCTGCTGGGAGATGCGCTGAGCTGCTCGGAGCTGCGCGCGTCGTCGAAAACTGCCCGAATCTGCTCCGAGCTGCTGACGGCTTACAGCAAAGTCACCAAATGACAGCTTCTTAGCGAGTTAACTCATCGTCGTTAGAGCTTAGAGCTTAATGTCTTTTGCCTCTGAGCTGGGGCTGTAGCCTATCAATATTGCTGTCGAGTCTGCCGTGGACGTCCCCTTGCGTTAAGTACTTACGGCGACACTGCGCGATGCGCATTATAAGCTAACATTCCCGCCCGCTCTGGTATGACGTAATCTCTTCGCAGCAACGACCGTCGTCGTCGTCGTCTTCCTGCCCCTCTCTCTCATGCTCTTACCACCATCACCTAGTGCTCAATTGCCCGCCGCTTGTCTACTGCTCGCCCGCCGTGCGCTTGCCTGCTCACTTCTTCATTTGTCTGCACACTTGTCTGCCTGCTCGCCCTCCGGTATGCCTGTCTCATTCGCCTACGCGTCTTTTCGCTTGCCCATGCATATTTTTCACTTTCCACGCGCGTTCTTGCCTGTCCGCACGTCTCATTCACACATTACATAGCTGGCCATCCACTCGCCCGTTCGTTCCCTAACTGGCTGACTCGCCCACCCGCTTATCCACCTGTCGGTACTATGACTCGCGGGACCCGTGCACATCGCCGTAAGGATCGCTGGCGCGCCGAGCGACGCGATCTCACGCCCGCCCGCCCACTCTCGTCTTCTGCCTGATCTTGCCTGGCCACGCTCACAGTGTTGTTCACCACTCGCCCGGCGCCGCGCTCAATCACGCCGTCGTGCCACACAGGCATAGCAAACTAGGCGCGTCAAGCGTGGGGCACGCAAGAATGCCGGTTTGACCGCGAACGCATCATAAGTGCGTCTCAAGACACACTTGGATGGACGGGAAAGGCCCAGGGACGCGTCAAAAGCGTCCGCGTTTGGGAACACAATGGATGGGCAAGCATGGTGCGTACACCAATTTCCGAGTGTGCAGCAGACAAACTGTCTGCTCGCCTGGTTCCTCATTGAAGTCATTCGCCTCGTTGCCCGCCCGCCCGCTCGTCCGCCCTCTCTCCTGCTTTCCCGCTCGCTCTCCAGCTTGCCAACTCTCTCGCTCACTTGCTGACTCGCCCACCCGTCGACTTGCACGCTTACTCGCCTGCCCGTTCTCTCAAGTGTACCCGTCTCTTGCCCATTCTCTTACCTGGTGCCTCCCGCTCGTGCGCCCGCCCGCTCTCTCCCCCGTTCTCTCTCGCTCGCGTGCCCACTCTCTCCCGCGGTCTCTCTTGCCTGCGCACCCGGTCCCCTGCCTAGCCCATCACACCCGTTCTGCCTCGCGCACCTGTACTCCCTTGTGCACACATTTGTTCCTCGTTGATTGTGTCTGCTCCGCAGTGGTCACTCCCTTGGTCTTGCTTGTTTGCTGCCCACTGCTGCTCGCCTGCGTGCTTGTTGTCCGCTCGCCCTGCCTGCCCATTCACTTGCTCGCCTCAGTCGCTCACGCATCTTCTCACTGATCACGGCATTGCAAGGAGAACAAGGTGCGTAGGCAGTGAGCCGGCAGTTAAGCCTGAGGAACATACACACAAGTTGCGCAAGGCTCTCGATGTCCCCGACTTCAAGACAATAATGCGTATGTTTCAGATTGTGTATGGTAGGACTCGGCACTCGTAACACTCACATTCTGCCAATACCTACAGGAGTCGTCAAGTCCACGAAGGTGACGAAATGAAGCGCAGCAGCCAAGAAATGTCGGCGAGCGGCGGGCGCGTGTGAGTGAGACGAAGGCGTGAAACGGGTGCAAGTGCGGTATGCAGGGTGCGGGCGGGCGTGGTACGTAGGAAGCGGGTGGGCGTAGTGTGCAGGTGGTGTGTGGGGTGGTTGGGCGGGAGCGCGTGGGCGCGGTATGCGGGCGTCGGGCGTGGCATGCGGGTGGTACGCAGGGTGTGGGCGCGCGGGCGCGGTATCCAGGGCGCGGGCGGCGCAGGACGCGGGCAATGTATACACGATAATTGTATTATTTTTCTGGCAGCTAGTGCAATACAGGAGCATCTAGCAATATGCCCGGATCTGCTCCCAGCTGCATACACGTAATTTTCACCCTCAGAGCAGCTCCGAGCATCTTGAAAAATGCAAAAAGTCCGGATTTCATGCTCCAGGCTGCTCGGAGCTGCTCGCAGATGTCCTTTTGACAGCGGCCCCACCGAGCAGCTCCGAGCATCTCAGAGCATCTCCCAGCAGATGCGTTTTTCACTGGGCCTGACAGACGGAGTTCGCGGCACGACTCCGGGGACGCGGACGCGTTGAGATCTCGATCGGGGCACGTGGGGTAATACTACGCCAAGCGTGACCTCACCTGTCTGTCGGCTTTTACAGCTGCTCGCTGCTGCCACTACCCTGCCAGTCGTCGCGCAGCATGTACCGCTCGTCCCACCTCGCCCGCCGCCTCGCGTCGCGGCCCGCCCCCGCCGCTGCACCCGCTCCCTCTCCCAGCTCAACTCCGTCACAGAGGCCGACCTCGCGCACTTCTCCCAGATCCTGCCCCCGACCGCCATCCTCTCTACGCTCTCCTCCACCCCCGCCGCCGACCTCGAGCCATTCAACAATGACTGGATGAATAAGTACCACGGCCGCTCCACCACCGTCCTCCGCCCGCATACGACCCAGCAAGTTAGCGCAATCGTCAAGCACTGCAACGAGCGCCGCATAGGCATCGTACCCCAGGGCGGGAACACGGGCCTCGTCGGCGGCGGCGTGCCCGTCAAGGACGAGCTCGTGCTTAGCTTGGGAAACATGAGCAGCGTAAGGGGTTTCGATGATGCGTCGGGTGTGTGCGCGGTTCTCCGCTTGTTGGGAGGTGCGGGGACTTAGATCGGTTCTGCGTGCAGGTATCCTGGTGGCGGACGCGGGGTGTATCCTACAGTCATTATCTGATTTTCTCCTTCCTCACGACCACATCGTGCCGCTTGACCTTGGGGCAAAGGGCAGGTACGTTGAGCTGAAAGTAGCCCATACAACGTACTAAAGGCGTGCTCTCCAGCTGCCAGATCGGTGGTAACGTCTCGACAAACGCAGGCGGTCTCCGCCTACTGCGATACGGTTCGCTGCATGGGTCCGTCCTCGGGCTCGAGGTAGTCCTTCCGGACGGCACGATCCTCGACCAGCTGACCAGCCTGCGGAAAGACAACACCGGCTACGACCTGAAACAGCTCTTCATCGGCGCAGAAGGCACCCTCGGCGTCGTCACCGGTGTCTCCATCCTCACCGCGGCTGCGCCGCAAGCGTCGAACAACATGATGCTCGCGCTTCCGGCCTTTAGCAACGTCCTGCCGCTGTACAAGGAGGTGAAGCGGCAGTTGGCGGAGATCCTATCGGCGTTCGAGTTCATTGACCGGAGGGCCTACGACTTGGCCGTGAAGCACGGACAGGGGAGGGCGCTGGACGAGGCAGACGTGGAGGGCGCGGACTGCTTCGTGCTCGTAGAGACGAGCGGGAGCAACCGAGAGCACGACGAGCAGGTAAGTCCTTCGCGTGTACAGACCTGAGCGACTGATCCGAAGGACACCGCCGCGCAGAAACTCAACAAGCTTCTCGAAGACCTGATGGAGCAGGAACCCTCACTCATCAACACAGGAGTGCTCGCGACGTCCCCCGCGCAATTCTCTTCGCTCTGGGCAATCCGCGAGGGCTTGACCGAGGCTGTGGGCAAGGAGGGCAAGGCGTACAAGTACGACATCTCGGTGCCGCAGGTTAAGTTCAAGGAGGTTCTTGACATCACGAGGGATCATTTGGCGTCGAAGGGCTTGATGCATGACGAGGCGGTGAAGCACGTCGTTGGGTACGGTCATGTGGGCGATGGTTAGTGTTCCTGGGGCCGACGCGGGGCGGTGTTGCTGATGATTGACTCAAAGGTAACCTGCACCTGAACGTCGTTGCGAACGCGTATACGCCGGAGATCGAGGCTGCGCTTGAGCCCTTCGTGTATGAGCTCGTCGGTGAGTACCCCTTTCCCACATCTGATACAGCCCATTTTTGACGCGATGCGCAGCCAAGTACCAAGGTTCGATATCGGCGGAGCACGGCATCGGTGTGATGAAGACGCACGCGCTGCCATACTCGAAGAACGCGGTGAGCATCGAGTGGATGAAGAGGGTCAAAAACCTGTTCGACCCGAATGGGATCATGAACCCCGGGAAGGTGCTGGAGTTGTAGGGTGTTCTGGTCTTCACGGTTGTAGCGGTATCGGTCGCATGTACTGTTAGTCTTTTGGCATGTACATATTTTTGCATAGCTGTTGTGTATGCATACTGCTTTTGCACGGTATTTCACTCGATGACAACAGACGCCGGGCAGATCGCGTGACGTGTGTGGCTGGGCGGTAGCCAGGACCCTAACCTGATGGGGCGAAGGGAAACTCTAACCCCCTCCCAAGGTTATCCATCCCCGCCATGGTCAGTCCCGCCGCCAGTCCCCCGTCCGCCCGCGCTGACCTGCCCCGTCCACAGCCCATCTTCCAGGACAGCACCGGGCTCGCCACCAAGTTCTTCATCCAGAAGGACATCCCGCACGAGATCCAGGCCGACGTCTGCGAGACCATCGCTGTCCGTCTCTCTTCCTCTCTTCTGTGTGCGTCCCTTTTCTGAACGGCCTCTGGTAGACACTCGGCGGCAGGGTGGAGGCGAAGGTGCCGCGCGCCGGGTACATCCTCATCCAGCCTGGGACCGCCGAGGAGGAACGCCTCCGTCTCTGCTGGGCGAGCCCCGACCGCCCCGACCGCTACTTCGTGCCCTACACCTTCGTCGAGGCGTGCAAGATACATGGCATACTCTTGAAGCAGATTTTCATACACGACGGGCAGCCGATAAGGATGCACATCGACTCCAGCATCGCGAACGTCAACGTGCGGGCCACATTGAGTGCGCGCATCATGGTGAGTCGCCGTCCCCTCTGTCTATCTTGCTGCTCCTCGAGACGGGCGCGACGCCCTCTCGTCGAGCCTCTGCGTGTGCACCGGTCTGCCCGCGCTGTCGGGGCACGTTGCGCTGATCACACGCGCGTTCCCACAGCACTCCGGTGGCGATCCCACCGCCTCCGCCCAGTCCGCACGCGTCATCCTCGCCGACCCGAACACGGACATCTTCCACCACCTCGTCAAGACGTACCAGGGCGAGTCCGACAAGTACGTCGAGTCCTACCTGTGGGTGAAACGGTGCATCGAGAAGGGCCAGGTCATCTACACCCCTGTGATCTACAAGAACCCCGGCGGACGCCGGCCTGGCGAAGAGTGAGCATTAACGCGTGTGTCGTGGCGCGAACAAGCTGACGGGAGCGTCGTACAGGCGGACTCAGTTTTCGGACGACGATGAGGAGCACCTGTGCGATTGGATCGCAGCCAAGATTCCGTACAAAAAGACGGGCGGCAGGACGGGAAACAGGCTGTATCAACAACTCTGCGAAATGGTGCGTCCCTCGATTCGCCCCCCTCCCGCAGTCACTGACGTCTGCCACCCAGGCGAGCGACCCAGAGTACGCCTGGGTGACGCGGCACACCTGGCAGTCCTGGCGCGAACGCTACAAGAAGAACGCCGCGCGGCTCGACGCGAAGATCTCCGAAATCGTCGAGCAGAAGAAGCCCGCGCACGGCGCGAAGGGCCAGTACGGCTACGTCCGTGCGCCCGAGGAGAAGCCGCGGCGCATCCGGATCAAGAAGGGGTCGCCGAGCAGCTTCAACGCGGGCGGCAGCGGCGCGGCGGGGCCCTCGAGCGTGTCGTCGGACATGCAGGAGCTGGAAAACTTCCCGCCCGTCCCGATGCCCGTCGTCCCCGGCGTGCTCGCCGCCGTCCCCCACGGCCCTGGGCAGGGCTACAACGCCCATATGAACATGAACATGAACATGCACATGAACGGGATGCACGGGATGCCGGGGATGATGTACCCTGGGGGCCCACCGCCCGGGCCCCCGCCGATGGGCATGCAGGGCAACCCGCCGATGGCGGCGCTGACCCCGGAGACGGCGCGCCAGCACGCGACGGAGGAAGAGATGGAGGACGACGAGAGCGAGTGGCAGATCCGCGTCGGCGACGCGAACGCGCCCCAGCCTGCGTGGGCGAAGCGGAAGCAGGAGGCGGAGGGCTCGGACCATGGAGGGAGCAAGAGGCAGCGCACGAGGTGCGTGTCTTGTCTGTCTGACTGTCGTGCTCGTTTGCTGACGATGGAGCTGGGTAGCGGGAGTCCGCCACAGCAGCTAGAGCCCGGGCCTGCGCCGCCTGACGCGCTCGCCCAGCAGGCTGGATCTGCTGCGCCGGCAGAGCAAGCTCAAGATATACCTGAGGGAGCACGAGTGGACTCGCCATGCGTCGACCCGAGTCTGAGTGTGAACGACATCGCACATGAGTTCCGATTCACACTGGAGGAAGTGGAGGAGTACTACGCGAAATACCAGGACATCGCTCGCACGAGAGCACGCTTCAGGAAGATGCGAGACGTCCTTGCTGCTCTCGAAGACGACGACTAGTTCAATTTTGCCTCTCATAAGCGTACATCCTGCCCCAGGCTTGCAATTTCTTGAATGTTGTTTGTTGTATATTACTGCATATTCCACATATATCCGAACACTTTTGGTGGAGCGTTGTGTCTCGACAGTGTTGGGCTTAACAGTCGACAAGTCGTCTTACGGTACCAGCTAGTGTTGGGTATTGGAAACCCTAGACTTGCTGCCATAGCGGAACAACCGCTGGAGATGTATTCAAACACTTCATATAACCGCTACCCGAATCAAGCCTGCTAAGTTACAAACGGACGAGCGAGTGTTATGGGTCGACTTCCGTAAGTAACTTATAGTCCGCCGCGCGAACGGGAGCCGATGGACTTTCGTAAGGCTTGCGGCGCCTGCGAAGGTCTGCGTGAGCGTGTTGGCCTCTTCAAGAGTAACAAACACTTACTTCTCTCCAGCGGCAGCGGATGGGAACGAGCTGAAGAGATCAGGGTGCTTCGGGAATGGAGACTCACTGCACAGAATATGACTCGAAGCTGCACAACTAGCGGCACACGACAGCCACGCACCTGAAGTACGGATGCTTCAGCGCGTCCACGGCAGATATCCGCATCTCCGGGTCGTACGTCAACAAGCGCGACATCAGGTCGATGCCCGCCGCAGTGATGTACTGGAACTTCTGGCGCAGCTGCGGCGGCTGTGGCGGCGGCAGCGTGATCGACTTCGCGAGCGGGAGGGTGTGGTAGTCCGGCCACGAATGCGTCGTCGGCGGCCCGAGGAGCTTGAAGACCATCGACAGCAGCTCGATCTCGCCCTTCGCCTGGAAGAGCGGCTCCTTCAGAAGCAGTTCAGCAAAGATGCACCCCACGGACCACATGTCGATGGCCGTGGAGTACGTCGTGGCACCGAGGAGGATCTCGGGCGCGCTGCGTCGGGACGGGGAGGGTGATAGTGTTGTACACGGCCGGAGAGGCAGTTGCAGACTTACCGGTACCAGAGTGTCACGACGAGCTGCGTCAGGCCCCCGACGCCGACTGGGTCTCCGTAGCGGCGGGCGAGCCCAAAGTCGGCGACCTTGATGGTGCCACGGTTGTTCATGAGCAGGTTGCTCGTCTTCAGGTCTCGATGGAGGATCCAACGCTCGTGGCAGTGGGCAACTGCAGAGAGCAGCTGTAGCAACAGAGTCTTGATTTCGGATTGCAGGAAGGGCGCAGGCATCGTGGTGAGGAGCGTCTTGAGGTCGTGCTCAATAAAGTCCATCACGATGAAAACCCTCCATGGCATTGCTCAGATGGTCTACGGCGGTACACGACGTATCTGACACGTACTGTGTCAATGTATCTCCCACCACCACTTCTCGTATCCCCACCACGTTCTCGTGCTTGCACACCATGAGCGAGTTGATTTCCCGCAAGGCGGTGATCGGGAACCCGTTCTTTTCCTCATCCAGCTTGAGCTTCTTCAGAGCTACAATGTCTCCTGTCTCCTTGTCCCTCGCACGGAAGACGACGCCATACGAGCCCTCCTCGATCGAGTTGAGCCTCTCGTAGCAATACACCGAGCGAGACGGCATCAGCGGTGGGTGCAATGTCCGAGGAGGTACGTAGATGCTATGCGGTGGTCGCTGGTGCGCTGGTGCTGCTCGTCGTGGCCCGACAGGTGTACCTGCAGAGAGCTGCTCCGGTGCGGGCGATACCTTCGCTGATCTTGTCTTCGACCGACGCTTGAGGGGCTGGTGCACTTGCTCGAGCTGGGCAGTCTCGTCTTCAGTGTCCCAGCGAGAGCGCTTTCGGGATGGTGTGGATGGACCTGCGCTGTCCGTCATGAGATTGCAAGGGGATGTCTAACGTCGAGTGAAGTGCGTTCAAGCGTTCAAGTTCAAGTTTGGTGTAAGCAACTCGGAGTTGCAGGAAGGCGCCCGAGCAGGTGACGGGCGCTTGTAATCATTTGAAGAGTGAAGCAGGTTGCACTAGGTTGCACTGTTCCAACTCGAAATCGGAACGGCTACAGGCTACACTTCCAGAATATACGAGCTATCGCACTGTAGGAACCAATATATATTGCTTCATTTGAATGAGTGCTTGATACACCCGAGCCGTCCCCGCAGAAGTCAATACCTACATCGCGTCAATGCCTCGGAGTCGCGACGTCCCGCGTCCGTCGACATCGAGCTAATGATTAATCGATTATGCGCGGGGCCGATCCCGTGCTATAGGGTCCCTTGCCCCCCAGGCTCGTGCGGACGCAGCAGAAGCGCTAGCACGGCGACTGGGGTGTAGGTACTAACCTATTCGAACTCTTGTAAGCGCGTATCCGAGTCGCAACCTAATACAAGTACAAAGAACTTACCTCTACCGGTGCAGGTATTCCGTCGTACGCCATTCCTCCCGCTCGTGGGTAGAATGCATCCAGGTCTCGCCATCAGGATAGATCACGCCCGTTGTACGTGTGCCGCGAAATTGCATCTGCAGAATTTTGCAGAATTTCTGCGGCAGATCCTGTCTCGACGTCGTCACCGTAATCGACAGTTGGATATTGCGCAGCGGGCATCCGACTGCTTTCCTCGCCTCCGCGAGAGCAGCGACTTCACATAGGAGGTCGTGACCGTGCGCACCGGATAAAATGAGACACTCCAAAGCAGGCAGCAAGGCTCCTGCTGGCGTAGAATGCCCGGCGCGAAGTTCGCGTACGAATGCGACGACATCAGGACCACTGAAAACGAGGTGCCGGATACAAGGGAATGCGGCGACAAAATGGCGTAGGCGTTTGAGGACAAGTGACGGATTATTTGTCGAGATAGCATGGATTTCGAGCCCGAGCCATCGTAATCGAGGAAGCCTCGCAACGACAGGAGTTAAAGCCGTGGTTCCTTCGAAGCAGTCGCCCAGGACATCCACACCATCGACATGCAGGTCCTCGACCTGCAACCTTTCCAGCTCGGGAGCCTCTAGAAGCTGTAGAAACTGGACAAAGCATCTTGCGCCACTGATTCGTAAACCTCGAAGTGAAGAGAAACGAAGGGGGCTCCTAGTGTTTTCGCCCTCGTGCCAGTCCGCAGTGCACTGGTCGACAAATGCCAGGTGTGTGAGACCTGCGGCAACCGCAGCAAGCAGTCGGACGTCCTTCGTCATGCAGGGGCCTGCGATAACTGAGAATTCGCGCATGGAGAATGCGTTATCAAGGTTCGACGAGGACAAGCTGCAACCCCGAAGTTCGATCCGCTGCAGCGAAGGTGCTCCTCCTCTGAAGATGTCCAACACCGGAGGGACGTGCCAGTCGTCCTTGGAACTCCTATACCCATCCAAGCATATGATCTCCAGGCTTTCGAGCCTTGGGACGGCCAATTTGGCAAGACCACCTCGAATTGTGGTGAACGGCCCTGACGTTGAAGGCGCCACAATACGTAGCCCGCACCAACGCTTGTGTTCCGCGACGATCACGTACAGCAGCGTCTCGAGGTTGTCTGAGGATTCTAAGTCTGAATCGCGAAGCGTCAGGTGAAAGTCAAGGCAGGGAGGAGCCGATCCTTCGGAATTAATAAGATTCTGGGACGTCGCTCGCGCCACCAATAGTCGTACGAAGTCCATAGGCATCCTGCACGAGAGCCGCAACGTGGTCCATAGAAGTGGATATTGAAGCGCCACATCCCTCCACCTCCGACAGGCACTAGACACCAGGAACTGCGAGGGAAGCTTGCACGAACACTCTTCGCCTCGTAGTCGCAGCGGCGCCATACGGCATTTCTTGCAGTCATCAATCCTCGTCGCAAAGAGGAAGATGCGCAGCATGATCTCGACGGGCATGGCATGGATGTGAGTGTGTATCGCATATCGCCTAGTCTAACAAGCATGTCAGTCGGGCACTTGTCAAGACCAGTCCTACATGGCGACGCCACAAGCTGGCAACTCACCAGGTTCGCCACCTTCAAGGCGACTCGTCTGAAGGTAAGCATGTTGCTGGATACTTCCGGGCATCATGTGGTGCCTCTCTTATAAATCCGAGAACCCGTACAGAAGGGGGTGACTGTGTGCACTAGAGTCGCACTAACGCGAGAACAATCATTAGATGGCCTACCTGCGCCCAGACGACTGGATAAAATCCTATCAAGAGGCAGCACGCATGACATCGCCCCTGTTTCACGCCTTCAGATATGCTCGAGAACATGCGATATGAGTAGCCGAAGTTGTTTGGGTTCTACAAGGAAGCTGTCCACAGATACGATGCGTGTTTGACCGGCCGCCTTCCGCTGACGACGTCCATCTGGAAGAGGTTGGGACCCCTCGACGAGACACCTGTTACCGAGCGGCCCAGAGTTACACATTGGCCTAAAAAGGGAGGTTAATGAAGAGGTATTCCGGTAGCAGTGTGATCTGTTATGCGTCTTCGTTAATGTTGAAGACTAGAAATGAGGACTTTAGTGGGCTTCAGTCCATGTATGTACGTGACAAGCTTCAGAATCCGACGCCGACGCGTCGCTTCACGGTCACATGATACCGTCTGCACTGAGTCCGAGCGGCAAGCCTGCTGCTTGCCAACTCCGAGTCGTCATGATCACTCAGTTTCACCGTCGCACCGACTCCAATGGCCCCACTGGAAGCTCACGTAATATACCGACCCTCTCTCAGTGCTTCAACGTTCAGCGTTCAGGGTCTGGTTCACTTCTTAAGCCCTCACAAACTTACTCGTCAAAACCATGCATGATACCACGACGCGGATTCACCGTTCAAACGTTCAACATTCAGCCTCTTAGCCTGTTTCCCCCCCCATGCCCAGGAATCAACCTCTATTCAAAGCTACCGGGCACTCGAGCACCCTGGCTTCCATCTAAGTTACCATCGGTGTCGGCTCCAGTTGATGTTCGACTCACAAGAGAACTGCGATGTCCTGAACTCAAAGTATCTTATCTAAGGTTACGAGACTCTCGGAAGTTGCTCCTCTCTCCACAACAAAACAGGCAGCGGTCAGCCGACGAAGATACTGTACACCCAGTGACCGCACGTTCCCTCCGCTTCAGGCGAGACCCTGACCGGACCTCGTCCTCGCGCTAGATCCACTGCGTGTAAGTACGTACATTCAGCCTATCGTGTCTAAGCTTCCGTACATCTACTCACGAGGGACCTCTGCGACGTCCAGCACGTGTGATAAGGTTGGTGACAACTAGGTTTGTCGCAGTTGCGTAGTGCCCCTCTAACACGACCTTTCGACAGAGCCATCATGTCGACCAAGGCTACCAGTGGCCAAGATACGGAGCAGGCATCATCGCTCACCAACGAAGTTGTCTTAGCAATGGCCAATGAGTTGAAGCGGCTGCGACAGCAACTGAACGAGCGCGACAAGGATAAGCCAGAGGTTAGTTCGCATGCTCCACTTCCCCCGTTGTCGGTCCCTCCATGTACTGATTCTGAAACATTGTGCAGGGCGACCGCGTAGCTGAGACGCGAGACCTTCAAAAGGAGAATGAACGGATTCAACGCGAATTGACTGTCAAAAGTTCGCATGGACTCTCAGAGCAGACACATGCGTCGACGTACGACTCACTTCGGCATCAGCTTGACGAGGTGCTGCAGGCACGAGATGAAGAATTGAATTTACATGTAGGTCAGACAGCTATTTGGTGAAGGTTCAGCTCAGTTCATTGCTCTCGCCAGGCAGAAGTAGTGAGAGGTATGAAGGCAGAGATAGCCACTTTGAGGAATCACTATGAAGAGTTCAAGGCGTCTCTCAAGGTGAATAATTCATCTCGATATATTCGATAGCTTGTCTAGGCCTGACACACTGCCTTCCAAGGTCGGCCATGGGCTCACCGGGAATGAACGTCACGACCCAGGAGTACTTCCGGCTGTATCAAATGCTGTAAGTAGGCTCATATGCACACGGCACTGTTCACACGTTGACGATGATCGTGACAATGTATTGGCAGGAAACCGTTAACGAGACGAAGTTCAGCCCGTATAACTTCCTCGAGCTTCAGGATGGTCGCGGGGGTCACGGGAGTGAGCGACCGCCTCTCTGCATCTATGACAGCCCTCCCGGCTTGAACCTCTGGGCAGCCGTGCGCAAGGCAAGCACATCAGACTCCGCTCGCGACTCGATGGCTGACATGGTTTTGAATGTACAGGAGCTCTCGGACCCATCGTATGTATTGTGAACTTGGGCCGTTTCGTTTCACACAACAGCTGACATCGTTATACTAGTGTCCTTGATGGAATTCTGCACGTAAACCCGGACAGCATCATCTGGCATCATGATGGAGACAAACGCTGTCTGTTGCTGTATGCATCGCAGCGCTTTAGCTTGTGCGACAAGGGTGCATGGAAGTCCGAGGGATGTATACTGACCCTTGGAAGAGGCGACACGCGAGAGCTGGTCTGCAAATCAGAGAAGGCTTGGTCATATTGCGGCCAATATAACTGCGTTGACGTTTCCGATATATCCGAGGAGGATTTGCGCTCTCTTCATCCGCGGGTGCGTCCTTTTGCTATCTGTATGCGCATCTCAGCCTAACAAACCCCAGCATACTCTTATGAATGCGATCGCGCAGCGAACGACATCCTCGAGCACCAAAGGTGGGCAACCAACACATGTTGGGAAGCTGGTGCGAGAGATGTACCGCAGCGGGGCCCTCACCGTCCGATGCTATGGTATGGAATTGCTTAAGCGAGATGAGGCCCTCGACAACGCATTGGAGAAATGTGCGATCCGCCGCGCCGACAAGAAGCGTACCTCGGACGATGGAGAGGAAGGTTCTCGCAAGAAGCAGAAATCATTGTGACTTGAACGGCTGTCGTGCGCGGGCATTGTGGAGACACATGTCCATACCTTTCTACAATGGGATACCGTCTTACCTCGTTCAAGGCACGTTGTCAGAGATCAGTGTGGAGTATGGAGATGATTGACGAAACAAGTAGATCGGTGAATGGCTGCGTCTCGCTTTGCCTGTACAAACACTCACGCTTGACCATTTACAGATATATCGCTGCTAGACCAACTGCCTCGTGTGTAAGCATTTTGTTAGAAAGTGTTGCGATGGCATGCCATTGTTCTTTTAGGTGTGTCGTCTTATCTCGTGTTCTCGTCGAGCGAGCCTCTCGGTGCATCGTACCGATTCGTACGAGAGCCCTCGGCCCCTGATCCAATTGAACCTCCGCATGGGTCTATACCACTGAAATATATATGAAGCACAGTCGAATGTACAGTATCTGCCTCTCGTCAGCGGCGGCCCCAATACCTCAGGCTCACGTCCATCAATGGCTACACTCACGGGCGTTGTCACGTTAGCCTTCGTTCTTTTCGTTTGCATCATAGTGCGGTTGACCTCGAATCGACGCCGGCGAGGACGCATACCTCCGGGTCCATGGGGATGGCCTTTCATTGGAAATGCCCTCGACGTGCCGAATGCTTATGCGTGGAAGGCCTTCGCGAAATGGAGCAAAAACTGGGGTGGGTACCTTCTTACAACACTGACGACTTGAAAGCTCTGACACTTCAGCATAGGGGACATCATGATGCTTAATCTGCTCGGGCAGAGAGTGATGATCCTGAACTCCCCGAGTCTTGCCTTCGAGCTACTCGACAAGAAGAGTGCAGTATACTCGGGCAGGCCGGCATTCCCCGTGATCACCGAAATAATGGGCTGGGAACGTGAAACTGCCCTGCGTCCCTATGGCCCGGCGTTGAAAGAGCTTCGTAAACTTATCACGCAGACGATAGGCAATCGTACCGCCCTACTCGGCTTGTCAACCAGTCTTGAACACGAAGCTCTCGACTTCCTGTGTCGTGTTATGTCCGACCCCAAGACATTGAGAAGACAAGTAGATCGGTGAGTGCTGCGTTGTTCCGCTTTGCCGGTGCAAACACTCAAGTACTCACGACTGGCTCGCAGATATACAACTGCCTCGATTCTGCGTATCACATATGGCTACAATATCAAAGAAGATGGCGATGAGCTAGTCAACGTCGTCAAGCGCGCAGTGGAGACTTTAAGCCTCGCCAGTGCGCCCGGAGCTTACTTAGCGGATGTCTTTCCAATATGTATGTAAGCCGTCACTCAGTCCCACGAGGCACGTTGCCGATACACATTTTCCAGTAACGAGGATCCCCGCTTGGTTCCCTGGAGCAGGATGGAAGAGACAAGCACAGGCGTGGCGCGTACACCACACGATGATGTACGAGCTTCCATTTAAATACTCCAAGCAACAATTGGTATCAAATACACTTTTCTTTTTCTGTGACAATACTAAAACCAGAATCAGCAAGCCGGCACATTAGAGCCTTGCTTTGTGTCCAAGCATTTGGAAGACTGTGACGACCCAGAGCGCGAAGCCTTGATTGCTGATGCAGCTTCCTCAATATTCGCAGGTATGTGGGCCACCGTGATTGATTACCCATTACTGCCATGCGCTCATTCAAAAAATTGTTAGGCAGCGCTAATACGGTGGGTGACCAAACGCATGTACTGTTGGGCTTCCCCAGTTACATATGCGTTCGATGAGCAGACGATAGGGGCAATCCTCGCCTTCTTCCTAGCTATGACGTGCTTCCCCGAGAAACAGAAGAAGGTTCAAGACGAGATCGACAACATTATTGGAAACGATAGGCTTCCCTGTGTGACTGATCTAGACCGACTACCTAATGTAAAAGCACTTTGTTGGGAGGTGCTGCGATGGCACGCCATCTTTCCTTTAGGCAAGTCTACTCATCCTATCAATGTCGGTAGAGCAACGAAGTCCGAGACTAATCACCGAACGCAGGCGCCCCTCATAGACTCACAGAAGACGATGTACATGCGGGCTATTTCATCCCTAAGGGAACGACTGTCTTCACCAATATTTGGTCCGTCATATTCATCCTTGTCAATACGTAACGTACTGACCACTGCTTAGGGCTATGCTTCGTGACCATCGTCTATACTCGAAGCCCGAAGAATTCAATCCAGACAGATTTGTTCCTTCAGATGGCTCTGAGCCAGAATATGATCCCCGTCAGATATGTTTCGGGTTTGGCAGACGGTCAGTACATGAACACCATTAGTCGGCTCCATCCTCAGCTACTGATATTCACCCAGTATATGTCCAGGTTTGTCTCTATATAAAGATGCTGCAACTTGAATCGTGCGTTGCATGCTGACCTGAATTGACAGGCATGCAGTTCGCTGAGATGTCACTATCCCTCGTTGTGGCCATGACACTCTCTGTCTTCAACATCTCGAAGCCGGTCGTCAATGGCAAGGTTGTAGAACCCTCGCTGCAGTTTGCTGCGAATCTTATCAGGTGTGCTCGTAACCTCAGTCTGTCGCCGCTCAGCGAGCTCATCTACCGGTCGCCCGTCAGCCACCCGCTCCCCTTCGAATGCGATATTCGGCCACGATCAGCCAAAGCTGCAGCTCTGCTATCCTCCGCCCTCGACGGTCGTGCTTGAGTGGGATCTGCTGCAGCGGATGTTCGTTTAGGAAGAAGCAGACTGAAAATACATCGAAGTCCAAGAAAGAATACCAATGCAGCGTAGCTTACGTATGTTTCTTCACGCACTCATGGTGCCTCAGAAAGGGTCGACTTTTGTACAATAAGTTGGATACGTTGTCATGAATGACCAGCCTTCTTGGAGTGCTACTCACCTCTGCTCTTTCGGCGCGAGGCACATGACCTTGTCGACACGCGCTCCTGATATCCCACCAAGCCCTTGAGATCAATACCAAGACTGCCATGCGCTTGTAAGCTAGGCAAAGCTTGCGCACCCAACTTTCACATCGGAGTGAGTGCATGAAACCCAATGCGCATGGCAACCAGCATACACGATCAACAGACAGTCGAATCGAACTTGGGAGTACATGGGGAACGGAACGCACTCGAGATCCACGCCACACCTCCAGCAACCTCACAAACCGATGGTTGCGCTCTTCTGACAGCGACACATACATATAGCGACTTTGGTTTCAAGTTCGTCGAGCGCCGAATCTCTGCTTGACGCGGAGTGGAGGAGCAGGCTGTGACACACACATGCCCATGACCCTCAATTCGTCGCTATACCGTAGTACACCATCCATTATCACAACGTCGGTCAGTACTCAATGTGCCTTACCTGGGATAGCTCTACTAGATTCCCTGCTGCGCAGGCGATGGATCGCGGCCGCTAACATCCTAGACAAGTTAACAGCATCCGCCGAACCAAATGCGTCAGAGACATCGGTAACCGTCAAGCCCGTTTAGCCCGAGTTGCAAGTACCTTGTCGATGGAAATGGTATCTTGTATCCAAACAGCGACAATACGACTGAATGGAGCTGTCGTTCCAATGACGCTCGGTATGGTGTCCCTTCGCAACTGACTCTCGTTCGAGTGACACCTGAGCGCCATCGGTCTATACTTAACAGCAAGCTGCACGGTCGACCATCAAGCTCAATACCCCATGTCCATTACTGCAATGCCTACATGCATAGGTGTCGTCGATATCTCGGCCTTCATTCTACTCATTTGCATCATAGCGCGTTTGAATTCAAGTCGAGCGCGAGGATACCTACCGCCAGGTCCACCCGGGTGGCCTCTGATCGGGAATGCGCTCGACGTGCCAAAGACGGGTGCGTGGAAGACCTTCGCGAAATGGAGTGATGAATGGGGTAAGTCCTTCTCTGCAGCCGAGGCTACAGATTGTCTGACGCTTGACTGCAGGAGACATCATGACGCTTAATTTGCTCGGACAGACTGTACTAGTTCTGAACTCCTCGAACGTTGCCTTTGAGCTCCTCGACAAGAAAAGTGCAATTTACTCGGACAGACCGAGACAACCAGTGATCACCGAGATAATGGGGTGGGAACGCACCATCGGCCTGCGTCGTTATAGTCCGACATTGAAAGCACTTCGCAAGCTTGTCGCTCAGAAGATCGGCACCCGTACCGCTCTGCAGGATTTGTCAATCCACCTTGAACGCGAAGCTCTCAGCTTCCTATGGCGTATTATGTCTGATCCCAAGACATTGGCAAAACAAGTAGATCGGTGAGCGGCTGCGGCGCGCATATGTCAACCGTCAACGCTCACACTCGGCTATTCGCAGATACACCACTGCTTCAATTCTGCGCATCACATATGGTTATGGCATCAAAGAAGACAACGATGAGCTAGTCAATGTCGTCAAGCGTGCCATGGATACTTTTTCCATTGCCGCTGCACCGGGAGCTTACTTGGCGGATATCTTTCCAATAAGTACGTCCGCTGTTGAATCTCACGACGTACTTATTCCACATTTATCGAACTTCTCTCTCAGTGACAAGAATCCCCGCTTGGTTCCCTGGTGCAGGATGGAAGAGACAAGCACAAACGTGGAGCACATACTTCACAATGATGCGTGAACTGCCGCTCAAGTACTCCAAGGAACAGTTGGTACTGGGCACGTGTAGCTCCCCGTGGCAGAACTGACCTCGAAGACAGCAAGCCGGCACATTGGAACCTTGCTTCGTGTCCGAATATCTAGACGGCAATGACAATCTAGAGCGCGAAAACTTGATCGCTGACGCCGCTACCTCGCTATATGCCGGTATGTGGGCTTCCCTAACCACGCCAATTTCTACTGACCGATGTCTATGACGCGCCAGCCGGTGCTGATACGGTGGGTGGTCATCAGAACGTGTGGCTCATCATCTCACTGCAGTGTGCAGTCAGTGGGTGCAATACTCGCCTTTTTCTTGGCTATGATGTGCTATCCCGAGAAACAAAAGAAAGCTCAGGACGAGATCGACAGCATCATCGGAAACGATAAGCTTCCCAGTGTGGCTGATCTAGACCGACTACCTTACGTGAAAGCACTATGTTGGGAGGTGTTGCGATGGCATGCCATTGCTCCTTTAGGTGAGTCAACTTCTCTTAGAAGACAACATCGTCTGGTACTGATTACCACAGGAGCACCTCATAGACTCACAGAAGATGATGTATGTGCGGGCTATTTTGTCCCCAAGGGTTACGATCGTTTTTGCCAACATTTGGTCTGTCTTCACTACTTTTGCCCGTGTCAAATGTCTTGCTGAACGCTGAGTAGGGCTATACTCCGCGATCGTCGTCTATACTCAAATCCTGAAGAATTTAATCCAGACAGATTTGTACCTTCTGATGGTTACGAGCCGGAATATGACCCTCGTCAGATATGTTTCGGGTTTGGTAGACGGTCAGTATAACCCGTTGATCATGTCTGTGTCCTCACCTAATACTGACAATGACGAAGTAAATGTCCGGGTATGTCAACGCAAAGACACCATTGTCACCGTGACATACTGATGATCTCACTGCACTGTTGACAGGCATGCAGTTGGCTCAGATGTCACTGTCCCTGGTTGTGGCCACGACCCTATCTGTCTTCAACATTTCGAAGCCAAGCGTCAATGGCAAGGTTGTAGAGCCCTTGGTGCAGTTCACTGCGAACCCGATCAGGTGCACAGTGCTCGTGTCTTCGCTCTGTCGCCGCTCTGCGAGCTGATCTACCGATCGTCCGTCAGCCATCCGCTCCCTTTCGAATGCGATATCCTGCCGCGATCAGACAAGGCTATGGCTCTGCTGTCTTCAGCGTTCGGTAGTCCTGTCTAAGTTGGCTGCGGCGGATGGTCACTGGGACACGGTTGGGACACGGGCGCGAAGGATCGTATCGGATGCATCCCATCGCGATGTTCACGAGACGATACTGGTTGCGTGATGTTTTGCAGTGTGTATGTTGCCTAAATTTCATATTGGGCAGATGAACCACGCCGCTAACATGGTAGATACGAACCAAACGCGTATTTGGAGTATGGAGATGTCGATGTAAGCCCATTGGCCTGGGGTTGTACAAACTTTCTCCGCACGCGACGTGTCACTTAAGGACCGCCCAATTCTACCGGTGCTGCTCCGAGTCAGCGCATCAAACTCAAAGTGTCTTTTAGATTAGTCCCGTCGATGGACATGGCATTTACGATCCAAGCGGCGACAACACGGCTGGATGGAGCTTTCAGCTTCAATAGCATGCGGCAACATGACTCTTCGTTCAGACTGTTAAAAGGAAGCTGCAACGCTCGACCATCCTGAGGCCCAATACCTCAGCCCTCCTGTCAATGGCTATAGTCATAGGTGTCGTCGATGTCTTGGCCCTCATTTCGCTCATTTACATCATAGCACGTCTGACCTCGAGTCGAGCGCGAGGACACCTACCTCCCGGTCCACCTGGGTGGCCTCTCATCGGGAATATCTTCGACGTGCCGAAGCCGTTCGTGTGGAAGACATTTGCGAAATGGAGTACTCAGTGGGGTAAATCCCTTCCGCAAAACTTACGAATACAGTGGTCCTGACGTTTCGGTTCAGGAGACATCATGATGCTAAATCTGCTTGGTCAGACAATCCTGGTCCTGAATTCCCCGAGCCTTGCCTTCCAATTACTCGACAAGAAAGGCGTAGTATACTCGGACAGACCAAGATCACCAGTGATCAGCGAGATAATGGGGTGGGGACGTGCCATTGCCCTGCGTCACTATGGCCCGACGTTGAAAGACCTTCGTAAACTTGTCGCCCAGAAGATAGGCAATCGTACCGCTCTACTCGGCCTGTCGATCCATCTTGAACGCGAAGTTCTCAATTTCCTGTGTCGTATCATATCCGATCCCAACACATTGACGAAACAAGTAGATCAGTGAGTGCTGTGTTCCGCTTTGCCGAATCAACCCGATGCAACTGCTCACAGCTGGCTGCAGGTATACCACCGCTTCGATTCTACGAATCATATACGGCTTTGGCATCAAAGAAGGCGATGATGAGCTAGCCAACATTGTCAAACGCGCAATGGCTAATTTTTCTGTCGCCACTGCACCGGGAACTTACTTAGCGGATGTCTTTCCAATTTGTATGTTACTTCGCAGTCCAACCCATGACGCTCATTGACTAAACATATCTCTTAGTGACAAAAATCCCCTCTTGGCTTCCTGGTGCAGGATGGAAGAGGCAAGCACAGACGTGGCGCGCATTCTTCACTACGATGCGAGAACTTCCGCTCAAACACTCCAAGCTACACTTGGTACCGAGGACACATGATATTCTCCGTAGCCGAACTGACCTCCAAACAGCAAGCCGGCACATTAGAACCTTGTTTCGTATCCGAATACCTGGAACAGAACGATGACCCAGAATATGAAGACCTAATTGCTGACGCAGCTACCTCACTATATGCTGGTATGTGGACCTCTCCCGTACCGATCGTACGTGTGCCGATGCATATGATCTATAGGCGGTGCTGATACGGTAGGTGGCTAGACGTGACATAAGTACACTGCGAGGCTAGCTCAGTCGCATGTGCATTCATCGTGTAGTCAACGGGAGCGGTTCTCGCCCTCTTTCTAGCTATGATGTGCTACCCTGAGAAGCAAAAGAGGGCGCAGGACGAGATCGACAACGTCATTGGAAACGATAGACTTCCCTGTGTGGCTGACCTCGACCGGCTCCCTTATCTGAAGGCACTTTGTTGGGAGGTGTTGCGATGGCATGCCATCACTCCTGTAGGCGAGTCAACTCCTCTCTGTCAGCAGTGCGGTTTGAGGCTGATCAACAAGCCAAGGGATACCTCATAATCTCACAGAAGACGATGAGCATGCGGGCTTTTTCATACCTAAGGGAACAACAGTCTTCCCCAATATTTGGTTCGTCCTATTCGTCCTTGCTATCATGATTGTATGCTATGCTGAAAGATGACAGGGCCATGCTTCACGATCGTGGTTTATACTCGAATCCGGAAGAATTCAATCCAGACAGATTTGTTCCCTCTGGCAGTTCGGAACCGGAATATGATCCCCGTCAGATATGTTTTGGGTTTGGAAGACGGTCAGTACATAACCACCAAACCTCACGCCCTCAATGTTTCTGATAACTGCCGAAGTAAATGCCCAGGTCTGTCTGCGTCGCTCTACGCAAAGACTTCCCGAAACCACAAACTGAATGCGCAGTTAACCTACGCATTAACAGGCCTCCAGTTGGCTGGTATGTCGCTGTCCCTTGTTGCGGCTATGACCCTCTCCGTCTTCAACATTTCGAAGCCGGTGGTTGACGGCAAGGTTGTGGAGCCTTCGATGCAATTCAGTGGCAAGTTGGTTAGGTACGTCTGTGCCTTCGGTCTGTTGCCGCTCGGTACCCACGTTGACCGATGTCCTATTAGCCATCCTTGTCCCTTTGAGTGCGACATTCGGCCACGATCAGCCAAAGCTGCAGCGCTGCTATCATCCGCACGCGACAGCCGTGTCTGACGGTTATAAGTTTGGCTATGGTGGATCCTAGATTGGACGTGAAAGGGTCATATTCGATGTATGCCATTGTACAGTGCACGATATAACACTCGATGCATAGTAGTTTGTGGCGTGTATCTTATGTTCGAGGGTCAACACACGCTGATGCTTCAGACAGGCGTCGCTGTTGAAAGTAAAAACCCTCTCGCTACGTGAATCAGCCTTCTCGGAGTGCTCGCATGAGTCCACCTGAGCACTAGATGCACCTCGCCGTCTTCACTTCATCAGAGTCGCGAGTTCACTCTGGCGTGTTCGCTCACCGGTAGAGGCTTGCATGCCACATCGGAATCAATGAGTGATGCTCAATATACGAGTCAACATCCGTGATAGCTTCATACAAATGTGGCTACGCCGAGTCGCATCTTTCTGACGACGACAGGCCATTGCGATGCATTTTGTAGAGGGCCACGTACCTGGGCTTATTGCGGGGCGAAGAATCAGGCGCAAAAATTTCTCAGCACGCCCTTCAGGCCTGCGCATTCGTTGCTGTACAGTACTCCATCCATTAATACATCGCGCAACCTAGAACGAGAAAACATCACATTAAGCTCAAGTAGCCGCATTCGAAGAAAAAAGACTCACCTACAATAGACCGTACAATAGTGAGACACCTAATAGAATCTAGCGCTTCAGTTCACGGGCAAGCCATTCGCTTCGCGTGCTTTCTGAATATCTTCCTTGACCTCGGCCACGCTCGCGAGACCCGGAAGCACAATTTTGAACGCGCCCCTGTCCACAATTACTCGTCGTATCTTCAAGAAGCAGATGAGTGAAGTTCACAGGGGACGCAAGGGGACGCAGCAGACCTGGTTCGTGATGAGCTCGTGCAGTTTGGGCACATCAGCAAGCTTGGCTCGGCTTCCCATGAGAGACTTCGTCTGCAGGTTGAGAGTGAAGTCAGTCTCGGGACATGGTAAGGCAATTGCGAGTGTGGGATGCAGCGAGTGGGGCTGTGGCGGCGTTAAGAGTATCTGCGGACGTTTGTTAGAATTGTGGTGAATCAGGTTGAGTGTGCTGTCCTCTTACTGTTGCAGATAAGAGCGAAAGAGAGATCGTGAGCGAGACCGGTAGACGAGCGAATGACGTGAACGGGTAGTTGAAAAGGACGGAGGTAGAAAGGGAGATCGAGATCGTGTCTACATAGTCCATGTCAAATTCGATGGCCTAGACACACAAGCGCAGACATTTCAGCTTTGTACAAATGCACTCGTACAGTGCGTGGACGTACTGGGTCTGCATTCTTTGAGACGGAGGGCTTTTGACGTGCCCGAGACAAGCGTGGGGCAGAAATGCCCAAGTCGACGGCATGGATTTTGATGGGATCCTGTAGAGCGCATACATGTCACTCGACCGACAGAAAGCAATGAGACGTAGATACATACAAGGAACCCTGGTGGCCGTATCCTATTTGCGAACTCTTCGACCCGCTTTCGCGCGACCTCATCGCCAGCCGCGCCAGACAGGCCGTCACGCAGTTTCACGCGATACGACTCCACTACCTGAGTTCCAAGTTTGTTATCATATGGTACAGACGATGTATGCGAGGCATACAACATACCTGCCGCAGGACGCCGTTGAGCCAGTCTGCACTCTCCAATCCGCCCGCTTCCGTCTTTCCACTCTTGTCCAGTCCCGAAGCTAGGCGCTCTGCAAGAAAGGCTACTCCTTCATCTTCGTCTCTCTCAAGCTTCGGTTGGTACGAAGAAGCTTGGTATGAGCGATCCGCGACGGTGTCGAAGAAGAGGTACTTGAGGACAAGGATGAGCAGGAAGAGGATGGAGAACTGCCCGAGAATCAATCCCTGCGTGAAGGTGGGCTGGAGGCTGAAGATTATGCATTCCCCATCCCGCACGTCGGTCGAGTGTGGGCTGGCGAGACGAGGATTTGCTGGGACGTGTGGGCATGCGACGGGAAGGGAGGTGGCTGGCTGGGCGTGGTGACGATCACTCGTCCGCACTTCCCGCCGCGAGGCGCGGCAGTGGTTCCGCCATCTTATCTTATCGCGTTCCTCCCTGTCGATCTTCAATTCACAACAAATTCACCGGGCCGTGCATTGTGTTCTCTGCCGTTGGCCGAGTGCTACTTACGATTACGCCTACAGCCTGCACGCGATGCAGGCATCCACCGCACTCGTATGCTGGCCTCTGCGCCGTTGACGGATGGGCTCGTACGTAGGGCACTGTCGTCTCTGGTCTCACCTCCCGCCATCGTCGACTCGCTATCCGAGCAGCTCGTGTCCTCGCCGGGAAACCTACTGCAATGGTCGACGTACGACGTCATCAACCATGACCTGATCCATCTTCCTCCGTCTGGATCAAGAGTCCTTTCATCATCGTATATCATTCGCAAAGCCCTCATCCGAAAACACTACCTCTCCCGGTGTATTCGGAGCTATGTAACGAAGCATCCCGACTCTCCGCTGCAGCGCACCGTACCGAAGACATGGGACATAGATCTCAGCTTTGCCGACGAGCTAGACGAGATGTGGAGCGACGACTTATACGATCTTGGTCTGGAGCTCGACGGCGAAGAGAAGAAGTGGTGGATCCTGAAACCTGGCATGGCGGACCGGGGCATGGGCATCAGGTTGTTCCATACCAAGGACGAGTTGACGCAGATATTCGAAGGATTTGAACCCGATTCGGACGAGGAAGAAGACCAAGAAGGATACGACGCAGAGACCACCAAGCCGGACACTGCAGTCGCAGCCTCCCAGTTGCGACACTTCGTCATACAAGTGCGTCGTCGTCTTGGTTGTCTCTTACCTTCCTGACATCATCGTAGGAGTACATTGCCGAACCTTTACTTCTAGATCCTTTGGAGGTCCCACTAGACGGAAGGCCTAAGCCGCAGCCTCAGGATCTACATGGTCATAAAGTCAGCTTCACTACGCTCGTGCTCCGCGCAAAGCTGCTCATGCCGGAATAGTTCCACCTCCGCGTCTACTGCGTCGCCTCTGGTGCCCTGACGGTCTATATGTACACCCGGATGCTCGCTCTCTTCTCGGTTGTACCCTACGCAGCGCCCGGATCTTCCGCGGATAAGTCGACAGCGGACTACGTGAACGAGGATCTTACAGCACACCTCACCAACACCTCTCTGCAGACGGACCACGGTGAAGCTGGAGTGAGACTATTTGATGAGCTTGTGGGATGCCGTATTCTTTCGGCTTCGACAGCCCAGTCAGCACAAGCCCGACCGCGACAGCCTAGGCCTTCACGAGCAATGGGTGAGATGTTAGGTGCCGAGGAGTTGCGGGCAGCAAGCAAAGCCCAGCAAACGCCCCTGGCGCAGGAATCCGAGCAGTTGTCAGCTGAAGACATTGAGGATATCAAATTACAAGTCGCAGAGGTGCTAGGCGAGACTTTCAAAGCTGCACTCGACATGAGTGTTCATTTTCAGGTAATTGTCTCTCCTTCATTAGCTGTTACTTACAGACAGACTAATCGCGTCTTCGTCAGGCTCTTCCAAACGTGTTCGAGCTATTTGGCATCGACTTTCTAGTCACGCGTGCCGAGTCCCCTTCCGCCAAACGGAAGTTCCAAGTGTACCTCCTCGAAGTTAACTCGGAGCCTGCCATTGAACTGACAGGTCCACGGTTGACATGGATCCTTGAGGACCTCTTTGCCGCTATTGGGAAGGTTTGTGTCGCGCCGTTCTTTGGTGGAGCGGGTGCTGGCACGGAGTGGGGCGTGGGCGAGACGAGGGAGGCCTTGAGAAAGTGCTTGGACATCGAGGTGCGGGGATCGCGAGGATGGTGATGATTTGCTTTGTCAATAAGCAACAGAAGGCACAGCTCATGCTCAGCCTGATCCTTATAGAACATACCCGTACTTACTCGTAGAGCCAGAGTCTACGCATCCCGGACAACGAAATGGTGCTCGTTGTATGGCTTCCGATACACATCAACGGCTGCAAAACAATGGGCACACGACCAACACACGACTGGTAGTAATTCATGGACGCGTGTCAAAGTTACAGCATTGGCATCGTGACCCCTATTATCATACACGGAATGGGAATCGAAAGACAGGTATCAAAGTGGTGACCCAGGGAACTCTAAGTATACATCGAAGGAGACAAACTATCGTACAGCTTTTCACACAAGCCCATAACACTTGTCAACACGATACATATGACATCGGGGACCGAAGCCATCTTCCCGGTGACGTCGTTCTCTGAGAGATACTCAAGTCGCAGGCCAGGGCTCGAACTTGATGGAGTAAGCACCGCCGTCCAATGCGTTCCTCAGACAAGGCTTCCAGAAGCTGCCGACCACGGGAGGCTATAAACATATGTGTTATACTCAGTAAGACTATCCCGTATCGTTGTACAACGTACAAGGCGGCGTAGATATTCGTAGTGCTCCTTGAAAAGCCCCAAAGGTTGGAAAGTCGGCGTAACTTTCTAAAATGAGCACATAAGTGAGAAACATGAAGACGCGGTGCGTAGTAATGACAGCCAACCTTGAGGACCGCTTCTTCACAGTCATGTCTCGTCCGCCCCAAGCTCGAACGACATCACGAGCACGGACCCGAGGGCTCCATCCGCGATGCGTCTCCGCTTGTCCGTCCCCAAGACCTGCTGGACAACGTCGACAGGCTGCTCGTCGAGCGCGTCGGCGGCGTGCTCGAATTTCTTCGAGAGCAGCGTGAGCGGGAGGACTTGCGCATCCACGAGTTTGTACATGGCCCTGCGGTTCGTCCAGACGTCGTTCTTCCGGAGCGTGAGGGCGAGGAAGTGCGTGTCGGCCTTGTGGATGTCTATCGTCAGATCCATGGCTTGCCAGCAGGCAAACGTGAGCGTGTCTCTATGGCAGGCATCATGGTCCGAGTGAGCACAGTTCAGGGGAGCCATGATGACGAGCGGACCCATTATGCTCTTGGGCCCAAATGGACAGGTCCTGCAGCACATCTGCTCTGTAGAGGCGCGTCACCAAGGGGTCATGCATGGTCGGATCGGCCACTTGAAGTACATACCTCGTACGACCACCTTTCTTGGAGCCCTTCTCGCCGAAGTTCATGGAGGTAGTATTGAGCGACCGATCGCGCATGTAGACAAAGCTGGCCAGTAAATGGTCACGAGGTGCTTTTGATCAGTGTTACATCCTCATAGCGTACCAGATCTGTTTGTGTTTTTTCCAGTCCGCCACTTGACTACGACAAAGGGCTCAGCGACAGCGCGGTAGCATATACAGACAAAAAGCATAACCAATTGGAGCGGGGCATAGTGCTTACCATTCCCTCGAGCAATAAGGCACGGAACGGCATTTCTGGCAACGTTTCAGAGTCTCTCCGGGTGCGGCCTGCTGCTTGCAGACAGCGCAGATGGTTTTGTCTGGTGTCGGGAGACGCGAAAGAACATAAGGAGACGGATTCAGAGACATTCAAAGAAAGAGAATGCGACTGAAAAGATGAATGCAGAGCGAGGAGACTACGTATGGTGCTGGAGGGAAGAAAGGCGGCGCGGACGCGTCTGTGGCAACTGAGTCGCGCGGGTGGCGCATGAGATCTCTGCACGATCGAGGCAAACTCGCCGCAAGGGCGTCAGGCGCTTCCGACCCTGACAGTTCTCTCAACCAGCTTTCCCCTGGGTCACGGCGACTCTGTCTTCCGTTAACCCTCAAAATGACCACGAACACATCCAACATCGTCTTCGACGACATGTTCACAATCAGTGATATCGACAAGGAAGGGAAAAAGTTCGATCGAGGTGCGCCGATCACCAAGCGAGCGTCGACTGCAGGCAGTGTGTTGATGTGTTCACCTTGCAGTCTCGCGGCTATATGCCCACTCCAAAAACTACGACATGGAACTCACATTAGACTACAACATTGAGCTCTACCCGCTACAAAAGGACCAGTCGTTTGCCTTGCCCTCGCTTCTTCACTAGCACGGGGACCAAATACGGCCGGCGAGGAGGACGAGAAGGACAACGATGTGTGGAGACCAGACGGCAAGGGAAGGAGGGGACTGGAGGACGACTACGAGTATGTTATGTATGGGAAGGTGAGCTCGCTTCTCCGCCGCACGCTGCGTGGGGTGGCATTAGTCTTCGAGAGCTCATAATTCGCTACAGGTGTACAGGTTCGACGGTGGATCACAAGAGATTGTGTACGTCACATACCTACGGCCAAGCGCTGTGCTTACTGTCATGGTTCTTCAGGACCGTCTATGCGTCATTTGGGGTCTTTTGATGTCCTTGACGGGCTCATTCCGGCACTTAACAAGTATCGTGCTCGGGGATCCTGTATACATACTCCTCCGGAAGTAGGCTATGCTGCCCTGTTTGTCGTCGCTGTGCAGTTTGGTTTGTTGTATCATATGGCTGATACGTTGCATTGTTCCTATGTAAGCTGGCCGCCCATCACAAGACCCCCGGGAGCCGATCAGACCTGAGCTGCTCTGTGTCGCGAATATACAGCCCGAATGTTCTGTGATCAGGAAAGATGTGTTCACTCTCTAACTTCGGGGCCACACAGTGGACGCACGCCAAGCACGATTGAACATTACGCGCCATACACCGAGGTAAGCTAGACTAATATACATCTATGATACAGCTTCTGATATCTTCCACAACAGATCAAAGCAGGGCGACGAGGCATTTCAACGATGAGATCGGGAGACATCGAGGAGCTCAAGAACTCATGTCATCGAGGACCTGAGCAGAGTGCTCCTTCGCCTCCTCAGAGATGTTGGGGTTGGCAAGAGCAGCCTGGGTGAAGCATCAGTGTCAGCAAATCGACTCACAGCAAAGGCAATGTGTGATGCAGACCTTGTGGCCGATGGCGACGTTGGCGTTGTGCGCCTCGCGAGACTCGAGCTCACCGCTGTCCTGCATCGAGTCAAGGCGCTCGGCAGCGCGCTCCTTCGCTTCGTCCGAGACGTTGGGATTGCTGATGGCGGCCTCTGGATAAGAGGTCAGTACGCGAGCACAGGCAAACGTGATAGGGGTTGTGCTAACTCAAGCCACGGGCAACCTGTAGCAGACCGCCAGTCAGAACCTTTCTAAGCTGCGCATAAGATGGAACGACGACTCACGTTTCCGGGGTTGGTCATTGTAGTAAAGTGGTGAGTGAATACGCGTTGATCTGAGAGCCAGGACGATTGACAAGTTGGTTGGTTTGAAGTCGACGCGCTGGCCCTCTTTATACCTACGCAACGAGCGCTAGCCCGTGGCTACGTTTTGCGTCATGCTCCCTCGGTTCTGTTGCGGTTGTGAAGAAGCCATACTCGACTTTTGCACCAGGGATACCACCGCGAACGAGCAAGAAGTGATGTCAAGTCCGCCGTCAGCGCGGTCACGTGGGTAGTCTCCAGACCGCCCCCACGCGAAGCGACCCCACCGACTCCCCGCCGCCGATCCACCGACCCACCGTTGCCAAGAATGATTGACGCGTCGCTTGACTTACCTTCTTTGTCAGTTGCTTTACTTCGTTGAGCCGCCGCCCATCGACATCCCTGCCATAACGCAAACCTCGGTTAGGGTCCTCTCGGCACTGTTATAATCCTCGGTTTATTGCCAGCAGTGCGCTCATTCGTGACGCGTGTCTCCTCCGCCGCTTCGCGCTCAGAATTTTGGTAGGCCGGTGTGCGTATTCATGACGTTTAGTGAGGGTTCGGATAAGGTCCAATTCGCGAGAAATCCTCCGATGACCTGCCTGAGCGTTGAGTGCCGTACAATGTGCGGACGACACCGAGGCTAGGCTTCGTTGGCGAGCGAAAATCACTTACAGACAGTTTGGATGATTGGATTGCTGCAGATATTCCGAATTGTGCCAGTGTTAATGTTCACAGTGACCGGACCTGTTGATGTCCATCTCGGGCCGTTGAGCTGGATAGCGCTTATACAACCGCGTTAACCGCGCTCCCCATCCGGTGTGTGCATGTACTTCCAGCCGCAACTTCGGACGCCGCGCATGCGATTCAACTTCAGGCGGTAAGCCCACTTGCTGTCCAAAACTGGCCACGGTGATGCGGAAGAGCTTGTACTTTATCACAGCTGCAGCCAGCGCTTCATGATGACCACTAGTCCAGGTGTGAAGCGGGCAAGGCGAATGGCGGCGGCGGCATCGTCGCGTCCTCTGCGCAATGACGGTATACAGTGCGGACATCGCGTCTATGACATCATCTCGCTCGCAGGATCGTCCCGCCGAAGCGCGGTGTTGCACCCGAAAAGGAAGGCGACGTGAATCGAACATGTCCTCGATGACGGTTGTGAACGTCGTCTGCTGTCGTCAGCCCCTCTCGAGCGTATATAAGACTGCGGTGGTGCGTCTTCACGCCCAACCCACTTGTCTCCTACCATCTTCGCACTCGCACACCAATTTCACCCGCACCTTCAGTCACAATGGCCAACCCTGGAAACGTAAGTGCTACTTGGTGCTCGTCGTACCGACGCTTACTGATCCCTGCGTACAGGTTGCCCGCGGCCTCAGTGAGGAAATCTATACTCTCATATATCCGAGTGTGTGACTGATGCATACCCCGCCAGAGGCTGCTGTCTCCAACCCCAACAGCTCTGAGGAGGCCAAGGAGCGTGCCCAGGCTCGTCTCGAAGAGATGGAGCAAAGCGGAGAGGCCAACAGCGCCGAGGCTCACAACGCCCAGGTTAGGCAGGGCCACAAGGTAAGCTACGCTGTAAGGCTGAGCTCGTTGATTCGCTAAACTTTCTGCAGGCCGCCACGAACAACCCCAACGTCTCGGAGGGAGCTAAGCAGCAGTCGGCTCAGGCCGTCAGTGACTTCTCCTAAGCATGAAGTTCGTCACAACAGGATTGTAATTGTTTGAGGGAGAGATGTGTATAGCTGGTTTGGTAATGGAAGTGTAATTCGAGACAACGTCGTCGGACAACAGACAGCATATGATCGATGTGATTGTGTGCATGAGACAGCGACAATGAGGGACAGTTCTGGATCCAGACACTACGTGTGCAAACAACAACGCGTTGAAATGTGCTAGAGTACTATGTAAATGCTTCAAAGGAGCGACAATGGTGGGATGTGTGACAGTAAGTACTAGATGGAAGTACGTAGCGGGTATACTAACAGCAATTACACCGTGCGTAGATCGAAGCGCAATATGTAATCTGTGGTCAATGATAGGATAAGCAACTGAACGGTGATTGCAGACGGCGATCCGTCAAACGACCAATTGAGCGCGAAAATGAACACGAAAGATTCAACGAATACCCGCATATAGCCATCGTGAAGTTTCGTACGGCCACCCACCAATATGGCGAAGCGGCGCCAGTCGTTAGAGGAGTTGAGATGAAGCATATTGCGTCGATCACCTCATCCTCCGTAGTTGATTGAGGACCGCTTCCATATCGAGCTCCTGCGCAGGCCTCTTTTCTCGCCCGAGCCTGAACGGACGCGGGACTTCCGCCGCGACCTCCACCGTGATCTCGGCCGTTCACGCGACTTTGAGCGTTCGGATTGGGCGTGCGACGGCAGCGACGGCGTGCTCGACATCGCCCCGGAGTGCTCGAACGACGACGACATGTCTTGCCTGGGCGTCTTCGGGCGGCCCTCGTGCACGCCGCGCGCGAGGGAGTACGGCCCGACCGAGAGCGTCGGCGACGCGGGCGGGGCGCTCGCGAGCACGCCCGTGAGGTCGTGCGGCGCGACGCCGAAGAAGCGCGAGAGCTTCGCCGCGCGGATGCGGCGCGCCCGGAAGTTCTCGGGGGGTGCGCCCACTGTGTCTTGGCCCTCGCGTTCGCGCTCGGCCTGCTCGGGGTCTACGCCTGCGTCGTTCGTGGGCACGGGCGGCTGGGAGGGGACGAGGTCGGAGAAGGGCGCGCCGGAGATGGGCGAGCGCGGGCTCGTGGGCAGGGGCGGGAGCGGCTCGGGGGAGAGCGGCCTCTGCGAGTGCAGCGAGTGGTTGCGAGAGTGGGTGCGGGAGTGGCTCCGCGAATGCGAGTACGAGCCAGCGGCTACGAGGTCGAGGGAGGCGAGGGTCGGGCGGGCTCGCGGGTCGGACGCGCGCGGAGAGGGCGTGCCGGGGCGCGAATGTACGGAGGGACGTCGGGGAGACATTGTGGTGTCCGCTGGGCCAGCCGTGTCCTGCTCTGGTACGGGAGGCGCTGTCTCTGTCTCTGTCTCTACCTGTGGTTCGGGCTCCGCTTTCGGCTGGGCTTCAACGGGGTCGCTATCCTTCGCCTCCTCTGGGGTACCGTGTCGAGACTCACTCGAATTACCACTGAAGACCAGGGGCGACGGCGGATCGGAGTTGGACGACTGGAGGGAGTCTCGGAGTCGTCGATGAATGCTGATGCTAGAGGTGACAGAGGTGAAGGTAGCCCGCGAGTCGCGGCGGTTCTCAGAGACGGTCGTGAGGATGGAGATGGTGTCGATTGTATCGTCCCGCATCCTGTGTGAGCGAATCTGGAAGAGCTCCTTTGGTGGCTTGTCGCCGAAGAGCTGCGCATGGGCGTGTCAGTCACTCTGGCAATCGAGGCAGTGTAAATAGACAGCACACTGACCTGCATCATCTTCTTTGCCCGCCTGACATTCATCGCATGCTGCTTGTCGTCCTCTGGGTCCACCGGCCCAGCCATGTTCTCACTCAGATACGAATCCACCAGCTCGTCTACCGCGTCGGGCCTGAGTGGGCGATGCGACGATGCCGATGCCGATCGACTCTTCTTGAGACGTGACGCGCCGCCTTTGGACGGCTCGGGCGAGAGGTTGCGGATGTCCAGACTGAGTCGTCGCCGAGAGCTGCGTGGTGTCTGTGCCCGACGAAGGGACAACGACCGTTTCGGGGGTTAGTGAGGAGATCGCCTTCGAGGATAGCAATGCCCTGCGGGGAGGGCGGGCGACACCGGATGAGGGGTGGTGCTTGCTGTGACGAAGATGAGGACCCCGATGGCTCCTGCTCGTGCGAGGATGCAGCGATGTCTACTGGATGTCTGTCCTGGGAAGCGCTACGGGCCGTCGCTGCTTTTGACACGGCGGATGCGAGGCGAGCGTGAGATTTCTCACCGTTGCTGTCCGAAGAGATGTTACGGAAGCGATGTGATTCTGAGGCTGCGGTCGTGGGCACCTCGGAGACGGGCGAGGGCAACTCCTCCTCTTCGTCGATGAGCGAAGGTGCCTTGGACGGGACGAGCGACTCGGAGTAGAACGCGCTACTCGTCTCTGATTGAGGCTGGCTGGTCTCCTCGCGAGGTGCAAATACGACCGGCGACAGATTAGGCTCATCGGACTGCGTAGTATGATTGGACGAGGGTTGCGACGGCAGAGCTGCTAGGGAACGCGCGCGATGCACACCTGCAGATTGTGAACTCGCCTGTGCGATGGGTTGATTGCCGACTGTCGCGCTGCGCTTAAGCGATCTTGCAGCGCGCTCGGATCGACGAGTGAACTGGTGGTCGGCGAAGGGAAGGGGGACGAGGAGGCTGGGGCCATAGTCATGAGCGAGTAGGGATCCTCGAGCATGTCGCCGACGCGCCCGCGCTGCTTGGGTTTCGCATTCTCGCCCGCGTCACGACCGAAATTCTTGACTTTGCGCGCGAGCCGCATGTTGCTGAGATTTGGTCTGGCAGGAAGGTGACGAGAGAAAGGGGAGGGCGAAGGGCCCCGCGGAAGATTGGTGTGGTTGGAACTGGTAGGAGTGTGGGTGGCGCAGATGTGGAGGCCTCGTCTACGCGGTGTTCCTGTGGAGTACTCTCCCGGTCGGTCGAACGCTGAACAAACGGCTGGAGAGAGAGTTTGGACGGAAACCAGGAAGACGAAAGGAAAGAGAACGTCTTGCGGTGGGCACTGCGCGCAGCGTTAACGTTGTCGGACATGGCCCGCGTGAGCGTCACCTGAGAAAGGACAGCGCGTGCGTCGGACGCAACCTTCTAGTCTGCTAAACCAATGATGAGGGAAATTAGCCTCTTTCAGGCTGTACGGCAGCCGGGTACCGGGGGCGGGCCAATCGGGGGCAGAAGCTTGTCGCGCGAGGGCGACGGCGGTTGGTATCGTCGAGGTGGGGGGAGCACTGCGCCGGCGGAGGAGGAGCGGGGACGGGGAGACGAGCCCGGCAACGAAACCCGGGCTGGGTCTGATGATGATGATGATGAATTCAGCATTTATTAACCGCAACAAGCAAACAACGTGCTAAGACGCGGCGGACGCCGGCCTGTACAAGTGCGGGCGTTTAAACGCGCCGCCCAGACCTGCGCCCCTTTCGAGGGTAGTGTAGTAGTATATACGCGTGAGGTGTGTACTGTAATGGATAGGCAATCAAGTCGGGTTATGCGGTAGTGTCTAGGGGAGCGTTCTGAGGTCGAGACGAAACGTGCATGGTGATAAATAGTGAATAAAGAAGAAAAAGTAGTGAGAAGCATACTGTCCATATTCGGCTCTGCGGCGTCCTTCTCCTAGGGGCGCAAGCCGGCATTGCCCCCCTAGTGCACGAGGTGTCGATGGTGTTGGATGGGGGAGGTGGGGACGGTACGTCGCCGTGCAGCTAGTACCGTTTTACTCTTCGTCGTCCTCGTTCTCGCTCTGCGCCTCTCCTTCGTCCTCCTCTCCGCTCTGGTCTCCCTCGTCTTCGTCTGCTGGGTCCTCCTCTCTCGCGTCTTGGTCCTGTTCTTCTTCGCCCCACCCTCCTGGCGGCTCTCCCGTCTTCGTGAATGCGTTGCTTTTCCCGATGAATTTCGCGAGGGCGTCTATCCCCTCCTCTGTGCCGAGGATGGACGGCAAGTCGATCGTCGTGCTCACTGCGCGCAGCGTGTGTCGGTATTTCTCGTATCTTGGGCAGTCCTGGAGGATGTGGCGTCGTGACTGGTAGGGGTCGCCGCAAGGGCAGTCGACCGGTTCACTAGGTACGAACGACTTGTAGTACTCGCCTATGAATCCGTGTCCCGTTCTGCACTGGAGTGTTCGTCCAAAGATCTCTCGCGGGAGGGTAAGGAAGGGCTTTCTCGGTTTGGCTTGTGGTGGTAGTCGATTCGCCGTCGCAAAGTGACCTGTTGGGTGTGTCTTTTTCCACTCGTCGACCCACGCGTTCGTTGCGCGTTCTTTGGCTCTGCGCAAGGCGTTGGCTCGCGTCGCGTACTGGTTGGGGCCCTCGCTCGTCGTGGCTTCCTTCGCTAGTACATCCGCGATTTCGTTTCCTATGATGCCCTTGTGGCCTGGTGTCCACGCCACTGTGATGCGGTGTTCGGGGTTGGCCTCCAGGTACCGTATGGCGAAGTTCCTGAAGGTGATTGAATGCTTTTGGGATGGGCCTGGCTTCGCCTCGAAGATCGCTGAGATCGCGGCGGTGTTGTCGGCGTAGAAGTGGAGGTGTCGGATGTCTCGTGCGTCGTCGCACTGTAGGTATTCTTCCATGTCGATGGCCGCCTCTGCTAGGCCTAGCATCTCCGCGTCGTAGACCTCCGACTTCCTGCTCATGGCTATTCTCCTTTTGAATAGAGTCTTGTTTCGTTGGGCAACGACATAGCCTGCGCCGACGCGGCGTTGACCGTTCTCTGTGAGTAGGGAGCCATCAGAGTATATCATCGCGTTCTCGGGGATAGTTTCAATTTGCTTAGCTTTCCATTGTGCGCCTTCATTGCTTCGTTTTTTGTCACCCCCTTGACTGCCGGCGTGATCACCAAGCGTCCTCCATAGTCGGCTGGGGTCTTCTTCCATGGTGGTACGGCGAGCGGCACTATGCGCTCGTCATTGGGGTCCGATCTCTTTGCCAGGTTGCAGAGTCGAGTGGAGGCGGGGGTGTCTTGCGTCGGGCTGTCACTCTGCGGTGTGTAGGGCGAGGGGGAGCTGGTGTCGAGGTCGGGAGTATGCTCCAGCCTTCTGGGAGGCGTTGTATGATCGGGCTGTGGGCACTGAGCTTATTGAACCTGATGGCCGCGCGGTCCTTCGTGAGGTCTAGGTGGTGTTGGATGGGTGGTATTGCTGCTTCGATTTCCATCGCCACGATCTTCGTCGTCTTGAAGGCCGCGCAGATGAGTCTCAGTGCTCTATTCTGCACCTTCTCCAAGGCGTGTTCGTGCGCCTTCTTACCTCTCCACCAGGCCGGGCATGCGTACGTCAGTATCGGACGTACACATGCGGTGTACAGCGTTCTGAGGTGTTCTTGTGAGAGTCCTCGTACCGTGTTTGCGAGCATTCCCATGCCGTTCACAGTCTTCTCCGCTCGTCCGGCCATCTGCTTGACGTGGTGGTCGAAGTTGAGTCGGCGGTCGAGGTGGACTCCGAGCCACTTCGTCGCGTCCATGGCTTTTATGATGACTGGTTGTTCGTCTGCTCCTGGTAGGGTGATCGTTGGTGAGTCGTTCGGTTTTCGCAATCTCAGCGAGTAGTGCATGAGTTCGCGTTTGACGAGGTCGGGCGAGAGTCCGACGCTCTTAAGCCAGGTGGCGACCTCTCCATATGCGAGTGTGAGGATGCGGACGTTTGTGTCGAGTGAGTCGGACGAGACGTAGACTTTGCCATCGTCGATGAACATGATCAGCGTAGCTGGGGAGGGGTCGTCGGGGAGGCTGAGTTTCGCGATCTTTGCTTGTAGGTGAATCCGGGCTTTCGCCTCGAAGATTTCCTGTAGCTCGGCCGCGTAGAGGATCGAGAGGATGGGTGAGATAGGGGATCCTTGTGGTATGCCGTTGGTAACCGGCTTCATTTCCCCCCGGATCCCGTCGAGGCAGATGGCTGCTTCGCGCTCTGACAGGAAGGTTGCTGTCCATCTGACGAGTTGGAGGGGGAGGTGTTTCGCTCGCATGACGTTGAGGAGGCGTTTGTGGTTGACGAAGTCAAAGAATCCTTTGATGTCGAATGTGAGTGCGGACGTGACCTTGCCATGGTTGTGGGCTGCTTCGACGTCGTGGACAAAGGTGAGGATGGCGTCGTCCGTAGAGCTTGCGGGGCGACCCCCGAACTGGTTGGCTGGGACTAGGTTATGGGTCGATACCAGGTACGCCAGGCGGTTTGCGACGATGCGCTCGAGTGTCTTCCCTAGACACTCGAGTAATTGAATCAGTCGGTAGGCCCGTGGGTTACTGTAGTCTGGTTTGCCAGGCTTCGGGAGGGCGATGGCTATCGCCTTTCGCCAGGCGCGTGGGTGGTAACCGGTCTGTAGGCAGTGGTGCATCAGCGTAGTGATCATATCTGGGTCCTCCTTCCAGGCCCATCGTATAACTCGGAATTGGCATTGTGATAGCCCGGGGGCTTTGTCTGCCCCTTGTTCGAAAATGGAACGCCTCACCTCCTCGGCTGTTATGTCTTCGTCCGGGAAGTCCTCCTCATGTGCGTTTTCCAGGTCATTGTCGGGGACGCCCTCTAGTGGTGGTGGTGGTTGGAATAGCTCATCCCGCAGTGCGTCGCACTTGTCCTTGTGCGCAACTGCGGGTTCTTGTCCTGCTCCTCTCGAGATGGCTGGGGACTGGTATGAGCGCACGCCTTTACCCCACTTCGTGAAGCTCCAGATATCCGCCGACGTTGCTTCTTCCAGGGTGTCCGTGATCCACTTCTGGCGTGCTTTCTTGTATAGCCGCTTGAAGTAGTTCCGCGACTTCTTAATCTTCGCGTTAGTCGCTGTTGCCTGGGATCCCCAGCGCTGGATATGCGCTAGGCTCTGTGAACGTAAGTCTGCGATCCGTTTCGCTGCGCCGTGCAGCTCCGCGTTCCACCACGGCCGAGCTCTGTCGCTTGGCTTTCTGACTTTAGCTGCCGCGGCGTTAGCTTCCTGCATGGCAGCTGTAATGGCGTCAGCGGCTTCATCCACCTGGTCTGGCGTAAGTATAGTCCGTCGATCTTGTAGGCGGTTGAGGGCCAGGCTGTGGTCTTGGAGGGCCGCCCTGTACGCCTTTCCCCATTCCTTCGGGTCCGTGTCCTTGAAGTTGTATCGCTCTCCTGCGATATTGTCGATCTCCTCTGCTCCGTGGTCGATCTCCCACCTCAGCGCGAAGTGGTCCGATCCGAACGCCATGTCCCGGTCTATGCGCCAGTGCCGCGCCGTGTCGAGTTCTGTTGCCTTCGGGTTGGTGAACGTCAAGTCGAGCGTCGACTGCGTTCGGTGGTCGTGTGAGAAGTAGGTGGGTTCGCCTTTTTCATTCTTGATCATGTAGCCCTTTTCCGTCAGCCAGTCCACCGTTTGGTCCGTCCTCGCGTTTGCCGGGTCTGCTACTCGTGACCAGAGCGGGTGGTGGAGGTTCCAGTCACCCGAGATGATGACTGGCAGCTCCGCTGGGATGTCGAGTTGCTGGAGTCTCTTCGCTGCTGACCTCGTTCCCTCCTTCTTGTCATCGTTGTAGATGTTGACGATGATGGTAGGAGGGTGCGGGGCCTGGGCGATCTCGAGCACCTGCATGTCAAGGTCGTTAGCAATGTCGGAGCGTAGAGTTACTGAAAAGTCCCCTCGCCGGCGCGTGTACGCCATGGCTCTGGGACGTTTCCCCTTTGGCACTGCGGAGACTGGGAGTATCGGTGTCCAGCCCGCGGCCGCTTCCGATACTGGTCCCTTCGTGTCGTTTCCTATGTTACCCCACCACGGTTCGGTGACAAGGACTATGTCGGCCGAGTCCTCGTCTGTTGCCGTGTTGAGCAGCGCATGGATCGCTGGGTTCTGCTTGTTGGCGTTGAGTTGGAGCACGCGGATTGGTTTCGTTGTGTCCATCATACTGACGCCGCCGAGAGGCTCTCTGCTTGTTCTTTCTCTTGTCTCGCATTCTTGCTGCGATCTGGCTTGGTGAGAGCCTACTCTCTGCGTATGCAACTGCTGCTGTGAAATCGTCGTCAGATATTGCTAGTGCGGTTTGACAGAACGACGTGTCAAACTGGGGGAAACGCTTCTCTAGCGACGCCAGGTCGTTCTTAGCCTTTTCTTGGTTGAGGGCCTCGTAGCGGTTCTTGGTCCGTGCGTCCTCTTTGCGTTGTGCCTGGCTAGGCCCTGGTGCTCCCTCCGCCTGGCCCTTGTTGGCGTTTGGTGTCGACTTTGGGCCTCGTGCCTCTTTCCACCCTGGTCCTGCGGAGCTGGTCTTTACCCCTTCCGGTGTGCGTGACGGCTTGGACTTCGTGGTGCCCGCTGCTCTGGCCCGGCTCGCACACTCTCGCCAGTTTGCTGAGTGCGGACCGTTGCAGTTAGCGCACTTGTAATCATGCTTACACTCCTCCATGTTCGTGTCTCCGTCCGGTTTTGCACTTTCGCACTCTTTGCAGACGTGGTTCTCCTCGCTGTGCGCCGTTTCACCGCAGATCCGGCACTTTTCGGCTCCGTGGCAGCGCGATCGTGTGTGCCCGAAGTCCCAGCATCGCCCGCACTGTAACACCGGGGGTTTGTCAGCGTAGCGTTTAACGTCTGCGAACTGGCCTGCTATGGCCATGTTCTTCACTCGGTTCACCAAGTGGTCGGCGTCGGCTTGTGTTTTGAGGGCGAGGACGACGGACGAGAATGCTCTGGTCAGTAGGTCTCCCCTGTGTCTCATCCAGCGTGGAAGATCCCATACTGCCATCTTGGCATAGTCCGGGTTCAGGCTCCGGAGTTCCGCCTCTACCTCCTCCGGAGTTGCGATATCTCCCGTGCTATCGTTGTGCGTGCGGACCCCGTTTAACTGTACCTTAAACCATTTCTCGTCCGCCCGTATCCTTGTCGCTCGGTCACCTGCGAAGAATCCTACAAAACTGGGCGCGAAAGGAGCAAGCTCCCCTGCCGACAGGTCAGACCGCGTGAAGATGATGCAGTTGTTGTGGGCGTTGAACTTCACGTTCACCACCCACAGGTGTTTACTCTCGTTGCTCCCTCTGAGTACCTCGTTGATGTACTTTACGATCTCCACTTCGCTCGGCCTCTCCTTCTCCGTCGGGCCGTCCTTCATCTCCACTATCAAGCGCGTGTGATGGTGCGCTGACAGCGGGTTGAGCGACTGGCGTGGCGGTGCTCTCGGCTTCGGTTTGATGGGTTGTGAGGTCGCTACCACTGTGCGGACTGTCGGCCTGTCCCTCGTGGTTTTGGTGGTCGTCGTCCTTATGGTGGCTGTGTCGTCCTCTGAATAGATGGTGTCGGGGGTGGAGGTTGGGTTCCTGGCCTCCATGGCGTCCATCCGAGTCGCCAGTCTATCGATCGTCTTCGCTATGCTGTCCAGTAGCTTCGTTTCGGCGCTTGCGGTGGGCGGCGTTGGCGACGCCGGCCTAGTCGTTGGGACTACCTGCGGTTCTCTCGGTTTGGTGAGTCGTTCTGCAATGGTTTCAGCGTGTTCGGTAACCGTGGTTGTGTACTCAGCATGGATGGACATCTCTTCTAAGAGGGATGCCGCACGTCCTAGTGCCTCCTCAAGGAGGATCATATTGCGCATGCTCTCGTCTCCCTTGTTCTTCTTTGGGCTGAACAGGTCGTCAGTGTCCTCGATCATGTTCACGTCTGTGGTCTTTCTGCTCGGTCTTGGGGTCGGCGACTCCATACTCGCCCTTTCCTCCTCTGTCTCATTTTCCTCGATGCTATCGGTCTCATAGGTTTGTTCTATGCCTAACATGGCAGCTGCTGGTGGTTTGGGGGATCGTCTGATAGTCTTAGAGATTTTTTCGAGGACGGTTCGTCCCCGACTCGGCGTCGTCGGAATTGGCGCCGGGTTCTCAGACTTCCCTCGCGATTTTCCCTCAACCTGGTGTCCTTGGCTCTTTGGATCGCCCTCGTGCGTGCGTGTAGGATAGGGCTGATGCCTATGATCTCCACCGACCCCCTCGTGGGTCTCTTTAGCTCTACTCATCTACCGTTTACCTCTTTTTTCCGAGCGTGGGAAAAATCGAGATAGATGTGGTATGGGGAAGAGGAGCGTTTTTTTTTCCCGGGCTGGGTCTGAAGATATGATGGGCAGTGATGCCCGACTCGGACGCATCACAGCAGCGCGGAGCGAGGGTGCGTCGCAGGTGCGTCGACTCTGCGAAGCTCCCCAGAGGCGGCGACACCGGCCAGCCAGTCGCACGCCCCTCGCTGCGATCGCCGCCAGCCAATCCGGGCAGCCCGCCTGCCTTGCATGGATGTGCCATCACCCGCCGCCTCCCGCGCCTATCACCTCCCCAGCCTTCGCAGCTTCTCGATCGGCAGGCACCTGCGATCATCGTCTCCAATATACATACGCCATAACTCACTAGACTATCTTATGCGGTATATGTGTACTCCTACTCTATGCAAGAACGAACGTATGCGGGTGCAGATGCAGATACGAAGCGGAATCATGCTGCCAGTCCAGTCCAAGTGTACACGAAATCAATAAATCAATCCACCTTCCCGCTTTCCGTTCCGCACACCATCCTACACATCCAACATCGTGAACGTCTCCATCGTCCGTCCGTACGCACGCCTTTCCGGCGCGCCAGCACTGGGCGACGACGGCGCCGTGGCGGTCGCCTCCGAGATCGTCTCGCTGCCGCTCCGCCCGTGCTTCCCAAACAGCACAGAAATCCGCAGGTCGGGCGGAAGCTTCACCAGCGACACTCGCTTCGCGGCCCGAGTCTTGTTCCATTCTTCCGCCTGCTCTTCCTGCATCTCAGGCGCAGTGTAGAACTTCTCGTGCCCACCGCCATCGCTCGCGCGATGGCCCGACGCGGCGCTCTCCACGGAGCTTTGGACCTCCACCGGGAGAGGCTCGACCCGCGGCTGCTCATGCACATCAGGGAACGGGAATTCCCTGCTCATCGAGTTCGACGTGTCCAGCGGAGACGTCGTCGGCGAGTCGAACGAGTGCGCCTCGTGTACCCCTCTCGCGTCCAGGAACGCAGCACACCCCGGGCTCATGTCCTGCCACTCAACACTCGACTGCGCAGAGTGGAACGAGTCGTCTCCAATAGACTCGTCCCTCCCCTGTGAGATCGCAGACGTGCTCGCAGAGTGGGGAACACTGAGAGGCGAGCTCACGGCCGACGGACCCGAGCGCACCGGCACAGACGCCATCGTCCGCGGCCGCTTTTGTCTGTCCACCTCCTGCGAGGCAAGCCGGTCCGTCGCCGCGCGCATCGCGATGCGTTTCGTGCGCTCCCAGTCGCGCTCGCCCGCCTGCAGGTCGTCCGCGAGCACGTCGCGGTAGCACACGAGCTTCTCGATCTCGAGCCGCGCCTGCATGATCCGCTTCGCCACGCCTTGCACCGCGACCTGCACGCGTTCCCGCGTCGCGCGCTGAAACGGAGTCAGCACCGCCAGGTTCCGCACGAGCCGCATCTCTGTCTCGAGCTGCGTCTGCGCGGTCGAGATCCGCTCCTCGAGGTCGTGCAGCTTTCTTCGGATGACGTCTGAACGAGACATCCGGCGAGAGCGTTCGCCGGAGTGCGAATTTGCACTGTGCGAGCCTGAGCCCAGTGGAATAGGAGAGGATCGCGGTGTGGATGACTCCAGGCTGAGTGTGCGCGGACGTGCGATTGACTTGCCATTCGGATTCTCGGCGGACCAGCGTGAGGAAGCCGCGAGCTCCGTCTTCACCTGGTCGAACGTCGCCTTGAACAGTTTCGCCGAGCTCTCGTTCACGACAGACGAAGACTCGGTAGAGACGGACGACTTCCTCACCGGTGTTGAATTCGGTAGGGGCGCGGCCGGAGACGACGCTGGCGCAGAGGACTGCAAATCGATGTCTAGCCCGCCGTACCATGTGTGCACGCGCGGAGATACCGGTGTGGCTCGATGCTTCATCTCTCGCACGTGCGAGGCGGCAGCTGCGATGCCCGTCAGCTCGATCTCGCGATTTGCCATACCCAGCGCGCGCATCCGGATGCCGGTGGTCTTGAACGCGCTGGCATAGTTGATGCAAGAGATCCACTCGTTCATCTCCTGCTCTGCATGTGTCTGTAGGAGATAGTGTTTCCCATCAGGTAACACGAGGCGTAGGGTATGTGGGTGCTAGACATCAGGGGTGTCAATCAATTGAACAGGCATGCACCGAGTTCGCATCACATACCTTCGAATAGGACTTATCGAAGACAGCGACACAATCCTTCACGGAGACGTACTCGTCTGGCTGGGGCATCAGAGGCTGAGAAACATGTCGCCTGCCTGACGCCAACGTCGCCTGGATCGAAGTCACCCAAGACGGGTCGCGGAAGAAGAGCAGATGCGAGCCCGTCAGCACCACACACCATTCCCGCCACTTACGGTTAATCGCACGCCGGCCACCCTCGACGATGTCTTCTTTCCGCAGCAGCAATCCGACCTTGGTTATCCTCACGGTGGCCATTCCTCCGTATGCCCCCAGGGTGGGCATGCCTGCTGTCACTGGCGCCTGTAAAGGACCGGGACCACCTGACACGCTGAGCCCGAAGAACGGTGTGGTTCCGTACTGGCCTTCAGTGACGATTGCGATGGCGCCCGCCATCGTGAAGGCGCGCAGAAGCTCATCTTCATCCCAAGAACCTCCAGTGCCCCGGTAAAAATAAGGACTCTCTGGAGGAACGATCGAAGCTACGTTCACGCGCAGGTCGTTGAGCAGATCCTGTATACAGCTCAGCCTTCTGAGCGGAGAAAGATGCGTAGGTCACATACTCGAGTAATGAGATAATATGGGTCTATCTTGTTGCCCTTGCCTAGCAATGTCGACGAGCCGGGTGTTGGAGGGACGTTGTATACAGACATTCGACGTGCATTCACAGGGTCTGGAAGGGTATTGCGGTGGCCATGATCTCCTGAGTCCTCGATGAAGATAAACGGGGCGAAGACGATGTTGTCGTAGAAGCACTGATACCTTGGTGATTAGTAGATATTCAAGAACAGGAGCGACCACCTTACATCCAATACCTCTGGAGGAACACCAGGGAGCCGCGTATTCTTCATGTAGTCGGCCTTCGTCATCTTGCGTTTGTTATGCTTGTTGAAGGCATCCGTGTGCAGCATGATCAGGCTGAACGCGAGGATGTACGGATGATCTGCAGTGTTGCTCAGTACCACCACAATACTCTCAGGCTATACGTGCACATACCGTCGGACGTGTACATGCTCGGATTACACTGCATGTAACGCACAGCAAACGCCTCGATGACACGGTCAATCTGCTGCGTCTCTCGCGGCAAGCCAACTTCCATGAGCAGCTTACGGACCGCGACATCTAACGGATCGCCGCGGAAGTTGAAACGCTCAATGCAAGCGCGCAGTGCTCTCGCGTGGAATGGGTCCGCGCTAGATATCCAGTCAGGCACCGTAGCATATGGATAGGAACCATTCACTCACCTAGATGCCAAGACAGCAGCCACCTCACCCTTGCTCACAGCCTCAGTGAGTCTATAGACGTATTCCTCGGGCGATTCGTCGTCTACGTTGGGTTTGGTATCTCGAGTGACCGTTTGGATAACGATGGGCGGGAGGAGTCGCGACTGGAAGACGGAGAAGCCGACAGCGGCTCACTGTAGGTTGGAGTGTCGTATAAAGGGCTGGGAGCGATGCGAGGTGTATGCGCGGTGGGGGAGCTTCCGAATAAGTTCATAGATAGACGGTGAAGGAGCGGGGGTTCGTCTGCGAACGTGGTCGAGTGCAAGGCGACGAAAGGCTCGGCGATATATGCGGCGATGGTAGTTTGGGAGCAGGTTCTTCTGGATGGGGTAGAGGTCGTTCGAAGGGCGGCGGAGAGGATTTAATGACGCGAGGCACATCATGCAAGAATGCAGAGCGAGGGCTTGTAGTCGCGGGATCCGCAGTTTTGGGTCGCTTCGGTCTACGCGTTTTGGTGGCTTGGGTGTCACTGAAGATAGCGATGGTACGTCGGGCAGGTGACTATCATCAAAATACTCGGATTTGGAGCTCGTAGGGCGTGTTCTCTCTGAATGTCTCCGACGCAGATCGGCTGATCGCGGTGTAGACGGACCAGGAGCATGTGAAGAATGAGCGGGCATACTGGCATCATGTAGAAGGGCGATATGGGTTGTAGAGAAGGCAGAGACGGTCTTGGCGATGGTTCGGCTGTGAGACGAGTAGCGGGAGAGGAATCTTGAGAATCAACTCTCTTGCGCGACCAGAATGAGCTCTTGCGCGACAGAGGCTTGGATGGTGATGGTGAATAGGCAACCTCCGGCTCCGAGTCAACTGCACGCTCCTTCCCCTTGTCATTGGCTGAGAAGTGGAAGGGGCCGATAGATAGCCCTCTCGTCCGCCTGTTGTCACGAGCCGGATCAGACAATGCGTTGTCTCGACGGGAAACTGAGCGTCGGGATGGAAGCTCTGACACGTCTCATAGTAGATTGGGGAGAATGCGAGTCCGGAGGAGTTGGGGGATGGGTATGGAATGGAGGTCGGTAGTCGAGGATGACGCAGAGACAGATCCGGGCATGACATGGGGTAGCCCCAACCCAGCGCTGCTCGGGCTAGTGTGACAGTAGGCTGAGAGGTCGACGCTGCAAGTACGGGAGAGTGTCGCGCAGGTTGAGAGAAGAGGACGGACCCGAACTGTAGCCTATGTCAGCAGACAGTCGCTCTCCCATCTCCAAAGTACCAGTCCACGCCCTTCCCGAGACGAGCCAGCCCTGGACAGAGTCACTAGATTCGTTTCCTCGCTCGCCGAAGGCGTCGGGGGGAGCGCCTTGCTCCTTGTTGAGCCAGAAGACCGGTGAGTTGCTAGACCCAACTCGTCAGACGATAGTCGCGCTGCTGGGGCAACCGTAGAGAGCGCGTGAGACCCACGCCGCTTCCACAAAGGAAGAGAAAAGAAATGAGTGGACGTGGTCGGCGTCGCGGCGCCAGCAGTACCGCGGTGGTGATGGACCATTTGCATGCGGACATCTTGCGGGGCGTCCTGGTGCGGAGGTAGTGTAGCGGGCGCGTTGTCGCGATTATGGTGCGATGGCGAAGCCTTGCCAAGCTAAATTTGCCGACCATACCGAGCCAGCGGTATGCTGGACAGTATGCGAGGCGACTCTGGCGTTGGCGGGAGCCGGGGAAAGAGAGCCAGCGAGGAGGAGGCAGAGAGCTTGCGGAGGTCCAGCGCGCGGGGACGAAATGGGCAGGCGGGCCCAGGCGTTGCGCCAGAAAAGGCAGGTGCCAAACACGACCCAAAGACACGCCCACAACGTGACGTTTGCGGTCACGCGAAAGTCACGCGCGCGTGTCGCGTCGATGCGATGGCTGATGGACTCGCGCTGATTCTGTTCTCCCGAGTCCGCTTCCGATGGTCCGTGGCCTTGCCTCTGTGGCTTGTCCGTGGCCCATCACCATCCAGTGGCTTTGTTCTTCTTTTGGTAAGCTCCCCGAGCGTGCATATAAGGTCGATGACCCCCGCAACCCATCTTTCCCTCAACCAAATACCTAGGAACACTCACTAGCATCCCCCACGCGAAGGCTGGTGCACTCTCCGACAGACAATGCAGCGGAGGCTGTCTGACACTTCCCCCACTTCTAGATCGTTGCATATTAACTGCACGCGACACTCTTACGTCCGAGATCTACACCGAGGTTTGTCTTCATCCTTCTCTGGCCACGTTTTCGACGCCTCATTGCGTAACGCAGATCCAATGGGAGAGTCCGACCACTACATTCTCAACGTCACGCAGTCCTGGCGAGGCAAAGACTCGACAGGCAAAGTGTTGCCACTTCACTGGGCCCTCACGATCAGGACCGCCGGCACGGGAAGCCACCCCCACGGCAACATCTATAACGCCGCCGGCAACATCGACACGTTCTCCTACGAAGTCCTGCACGATGTGCCACTCACTAACGCCAATTGGCGCGGCGACCTAACAGTGGGTACCATCAAGAAAGAAGATCTCCCTATGGTCGAAGATATCTTGTCGAAAGTCCCTACCGTCCGCCATGACTTCAAGTGGAACTGTCAGAACTGGATCTGGGCTGCTCTGCGGGAGCTGAGGTTCAGCAATGTCAGCATCGAGACTCTCACCTGGGAACGCCTGAAGTCTGAGATGGATGATCTCTTGGAGGCCTGGGAGAACGGCGACATCTAGGGCCCTCTGGACGGTATGACTTACCTTCAAACCTATGAGCGCATTCCAGCACTCACGTCGCCATGTTCAGCCCGGACGCCGTCTTCCGTCTCGCACCCAGTGATGTGCATAGTGGTGCACCACATGCGACACAACGAAATCGTGGGCTTGTACTTTGTACTAATACGAAATGACATTCCGGTCTCTTGGTTACTGTCTCGAGTTGGGTCCGCCAATGCATATAGAAAGAACAACATGCTGATCATACGACAACATTCATCGATGTGCCGTGGAAAGTGATGTCCAGATCGAAATTAAACACAGAAAATTGCAGAGACAAGGCTGGTTACCGCCAGCACTCACGACTATGTCTTAGATCGCTTGCGCTTCTCCTTTTCGATAGCACGCTTCCTCTGCTCTAGGTTTTGTTTCTGGACAGACACAAATCAGCGACCGGTATTGCGCCATGTAGGTTAAGTTGCTCACCTCTGCCGTGCGCTTTTTCTCGCCATACTTCATACGCTCGTACAGCTTGCGTTGCTTGTTGCTCATCATCATCTTGTTCATCTCCTGCTCGGCCTCACCGTCCACCTGCGCAGGGGACTTAGCCGCCTTCTTCGCTGCCTTTTTCGCTTCCTTTTCAAAGGTGCCGTAGTCCACGCCTGCGGCCTCCGCTTCGAGCTCTGCAGCGCGCAGAGCTGCCTCGTCCTCCGCCTCTGCTGCAGCCTTAAGAGCGGCTTTCTCAGGACGTACAGTCTCCTCCGCCTCGTCGTCCTCGTCGTGCATTGCAGCATCTTCCTCGACCTCTTCTTCATCTTCCATCTCCGCACTCTCTCCTGCGATGCCGACAGCAGGATCATACGCGCCAGCAAGCTCTCCGAACGGACTGAGATGAGGGGGGAGGGTCTTGCCTTGCAAATACGGCTCCTCCAGGAGAATCTTCCCGACGTTGATACAGTCCACCACCCATTGCGGCTGAACATACTTTCTTCGCCGCCGCCGCTCCTTCTCCTCCTCCGTCTCGTTTGACTTTTCCACGACCGGTCGATCAATGATGACATGCGTAATCGTCTCGTCCGTCTCGTCGAATGGCGAGCCACTCCCCGACGACTCCGGCCATCCTATTCGACCACCGAAGGAACGCACAGTGAACTCGAATATCGGTCGAGGGGTTTCTCGCGACAGCCAGAACGTGTATGGGGCGAATAGTTTTGACGTGGTGGACTGGGGGATGGCGGCTAGGGTACGTAGCGTCGGCAGTGACGCCGTCTCGTCGAGATTCGATGTAGATGGATGTTGCACGAACTCTTCATCGTCCTCTTCGGGAACGGCGGAGTCCGCGGCAGGCAGATCTGCGTCTGCATCGCCTTGAGCAGAGTTTGCGATACTCTTGATTGTCTGTCTCACGTCTTTCGTTGAGACACGCTTGCCGTTGACCTCGACTTCCTTCACTTTCGTCGGAGTAGTAGAAGGCTGAGTCGTGGACTCCTGTAGACGGAACGCCCCAACACCGGCCCCTGATTCGTCTTTCGCAGCATCCTGAGGAGGCGGGTAAACGAGACCAGCGTCAGTGTAGAGCTTGAAGAAGACGAAGCCCAGGAGAGTCTGGTATAGCTCCAAAAACGTGAGCATAACCCGAACATCGACGTCCGAAGGAATCTAGGATGTCAGTGCATGAGTAACGGTTTCTCCGAGTACTGGACGATGAAACGTACGTTCTGAGTGAACTGATACGGTATAAGCCAAGTTACTGTCTGGTCCATGACCTCGGCCTGATAGTAGACACCCTTGATTGACAAGAAGACCTTCCGCAGAGCGCGAGTGTGCATAACATAGAGCTGCCATTCTGAAGCAAGTCGAGAGCAATTCTCGATGAGAGTCGGTGCAACCCGTGCATTCGAGGGTAGTGTCGCAAAGAGGAAGATCATGCAAAGAGCGTCATCGATGTCTCGGACAGCGTCGACGAAGGTCGGATACCTAACAGGAATGAATGGAACATTCTCGTACTAACGAGGGAAAGGCGCACCTCTCCTTGATGATGTGGTCCAGACGGTATACGGGCTTGTTCTCCTCCAAGCTCTTCGCACTGCTCCACTCTCCCCTACCAAGCGCGCGAGAAAGTTTCTTCGCAAAGGCTTTGTGTTCCCTGAGCTTCTTCAGCACGGGCTCGTGTGCGAGGTAGGCGATGTCCTTGGTATAGTAGAAAGACGTCGGAGCCGACGAGCCCTTGTTTGCTTTCTTCCTGTTACGGGGTTCTCGAGGGAAAATGCCTACATACAAATAGTTAGAGCCCGAGATAGTGAGCTGATACATCGAGACGCACCTTTGAGAATGCACAACCTCCGGAAATCCGCCAATGAGCACTGTAGCTTCTTGACTGCGGCAGAGCGGGTAACGTAGGCCTTTGCGGCACCCGCCTTTCCTTTCTGCCTCAAACGACCCATCTTTGTTATGAGGATGTGAAGCGGTAAGACGGAGCTGATGAGAGCAAGGTGAGGATGCAAGAAAAGGCTGAGCGGGGAGAGCGCCGGCGACCAATCGGGGATCGAGATCCCAAACTTTTCGACCACTTGTTTGGTGCGGCAAACACGTTCCGCCTCAGCTCGCGACCTCGTCCTCCACCATCCGCAGGACAAGATGAGGTGAGTAAATCTCGGCAACTGTCATCGGATCCTGTCTGACGACTCTCGCAGCCAGTACGTACATGTGCCTAAGTCCGAGCTCGACGAGGCGCAGCTGCGCGCCCTCGAGGAACATGAGATCAGCCAAGGTCCCCTCTCCGTGCTCCAGCAGGCCGTACGGAATCATACGCAAGTCCTCATCTCCCTGCGCAACAACAAAAAACTGCTTGCTCGTGTCAAGGCTTTTGACAGACACAGCAACATGGTGCGTAGCGGTACACGTGCAGATTTCTCCCGGAGACTCACTATCTTGCAGGTCCTTGAGAACGTCAAAGAGGCAAGTCGCGTCGATCGTTTCGTTCTTCTGCATTCGCTCATGCATTCTGGGCCAGATGTGGACCGAGACGCCGAAGGGTAAGAACAAGAAGCCCGTAAACAAGGACAGGTTCATCAGCAAGATGTTCCTCCGGTGAGTTCATCGTGTTTAGTTGTGATCCCCACTGTCCTGAGTGCTGTCGTTTTTAGTGGTGACTCGGTCATTCTCGGTGAGTCTTTCAATACGCTCCTAGTCCATGGGATTCTAATGCGCTCTTAGTCCTGCGTAACACCGCGTAGCTGCCATAACACCGGCTGTGCTCTATGCTGCGTTCGCGCGCTGTCGTGCGAGCCATCCCAATATTCCGCGGGCGCGAACCTTCTTGTAAATTTGGAGACCTGTAAGAACTGTATAATACATTTCATTCGCTACGCTGAACGTCCGACACTCCGAAGTGGCCGCCTGTTGCTACTTCGCCATCACTCTTGCACATTCTCCGTCCTTTGAGACGCTGTCATTTCCAGACATCACTGCATCGACCTCCTGTCTTCGTCCTCGATATCCTTGATCGCATCGAATATCTCGCCCAAAGCAACCCATGCAAAACTGCGTGCTCCGAAGTAGTCGTCTTGGATTAGGGCGACCTTGTATGCCACCCAAGCTCGTTCCAGCGAAGTCTCCGCGGGTGTACCATCGATACCAGATATCTCCGTCCGCACCGCCTTCACGAGACTCGCGGTCTGTTCTCGCAATCGAGACATCATGTCCTTGCGCTTCCGTGGCTGGGATGTTTTGGCGACGATGGTGCCGACCAACGCCTCCTCCTCTGTGAGTATTGCTGATCGCGAATAGGACAATGCGTGCGCTACACAGATCCCACGCAGCTGCGACGTGTATGACTCGAACAATTGACACATCGTCGTGATTACGTCTTCGCCCACGCTTTCCTCCGCCAAGGGATATACTCCAAGATTTTGTCCTCGACCGTGTGCAGGACGAAGTTGTCGTGATTGGGCTCGCTCTCACGAAACTCCGTGATGATGTCTTGCATAGAGTGTTCGGGGCTGTCGTCCATTTGACGGCGCTGGAATCGCGCTGCTCTCGTGACGGTCCGCAAAGCAGGGAGCTCAATGGAGCGGAACAGTCGACCGATCGCCCTGTCGCTCTCGTAGTAATTGACCGATTCCCTCGTGTGGGTCTCTGGGGCATTCCAATCAGGTTTGGCCCGAAACTTCAGCTTCGGGATCTTTTCTAGCGGAACTGGATTCCCGCTCTTGGGATAATCGACTGCGTCACTGTGCAGTTGAGCGAGCGTCAGACACGCTGGGTCCATGATTCCCTGGGTACTCTGATCTGCGATGATCAACCAATTAATCGCGATGATCCCCAGTGTCTAGAAGGTATGTACAGAGTTAGCTTTGACAACGCGTACTAGATAACACAAACCCACGTCGCTGCTGATGTACTCTGCCACGAAGTCGGCGACGTCTTCCATTGTGCTATCGTGGTCAACAAGCTTCCTAGTAGCAGGGTCATAGCTTGCTGGTCCGTGATGCCGCGGTGGACGCAACCCGGGCATCGGCGTTACGTTATAAACATCGCCGTCGAGATCGCCACCGCCCAAACAGGATGGCAAGGGCCTATGTCCTTGTTGTGAGGAAGAAGCACATATCTCAATATCCCGTAAGTCTGGACAGATGATGGATACCACTCACCGTGGATGGAGAAGATAACACCGTTCCTCAGAGACTCCTTCTCGAAGGGTGATCCGGCTGGGGGGCGTCCAATCGCACGCACTACCTGAACGTCGCCAGGATGGATCGTTGGCGAGCGGGATATGAGGACCGGCCCTTCCAGGAAAATGACGCCAGATACGTCAGGTGCGTCAATGCAGGCGAATATCTCTCCTTCTTTCAGGTACCCATAGACGTCGGCCGCGCCCACAAGTGTCCATCCGTTCGGTACGGGGATGCGGGCATGGTGCTTCAGCTCTCTGAGGACATGGTTGACAGCAAAGTCCATCATTTGCTGCCAAAAGATGTCCTCAGTCAGAGGGCCGACACCAAGCCTATGAAGATTGAGCATAGTGGACGTGATCCTATACGAGGCGCCTAGACCGTAGGCTTCCAACAACCGGGCTGAGCGCTCGAGAGACGCGGTTGATCCTTGCGCATCCCGGACGGCGTTATCCTGGAGAGACTGGAAGACTTCGAATGGGACACCGAGGCCTTCCAGCAACATGATGAGTGGTCGATTGAGATAGTACCTCCCAGGCCGGTCGAACGCGCGGGCGATTTCGATGGAAAGCGTGTTCGGTGCATCGAACTTGACCATTGAAGGCCGCAACCCGATGGCACGACCTTTTAGCTTGTAGTCGACGCTGAGCATTCCCTTCGAGCCGCCGAGGCGGATTTGGTATAAGCGAGGATAGGTCCTCGCCCGTCCCGCCCGCCTCCCCTTCGCCCGTAGCTCGCCCCATATAGCCCGAGCAAACTCTGGCGATATGGTTCCGACTCCATCGGTAAAACAGTACTTGAGGTCCTGTGTCTTGAGATCCGCCAGAACGAACATCTCTTCCACCTCTGCCGACAGCGACGAGTCGGTCGCTGTGAAAGCTTGAGAAATGCGCGCGGCGTAACGAGCGGGACAGCGGATCAACGTTGGGTCGTAACTGAGGTTGCGGAAGGACCCAAGGCTCGCAATGATGTCGGCGGCAGATATTATGTCGTTTGTCTGTGCGTCTCGAAACTTCTTGACGAACCAGACCGCATGCTCTTTCAAAGCAGACTGGGAGTATGCAAGAAATTGAAAACGACGCCCAGCGACGGTCAAGCCGTTGACCAGGAAGTGTCTGACTCTCCTGTGGATAAGGTCGCGGCCATCGATGTCGCGGTCGAAACGATACGACAGCTGAGTTTCATCGAGGAAGCTGACTCGCATAAAGCACTCCTGGTTGGCTTTGTACCGACGCATGACTCTGTTCGATCGCTCCGGGAAGGGGCCTTCGAGGTACATGGTGGTGGGTGTGATTGTGACATGAAGGCATTCGAAGAGGTCGGCATCTTCGACTGTCGGATTTCCTAGCGCGGGAGGCTTAGACAGGAATTCCTTGCGCGTGAGCGCAAAAAGCTCTGCGACGGATGACTGGCCGCTATTGGCTGCATCGTCCACCCAAAACGCCGCTTTTGCACGCGAGTGGAAGTCGCGCACAATCGCTGCCGCAGATGCAGCTCCGTTCCGCCGACGCGTATCTTCAATCAAAGGGCGCAGCACTCCGAGCAGCTCCTGCATGTCCGTTAGGTGGGAGCGTAGCAGCGCCTCGATCTGGAAGGCCAGAAGCCAGGGCGTGTTCGTGATCCAGTCGCTGTACCGGCTGCATGTGTCGGGGGCACATACGCCACGTCTGTCGACTGGGTATGTGGATGCATCGACTGACGTATGAGCGATTCGGGCCAGCTTTCGGTAGGTGTCCACACCCGAGGATGACGGGCATACTATCCGGATAGCCAACGAGGTGTACGGAGCGATTGGCTCGTGCTCTGCATCAAATGCAGACCAACGCCGCCGTTTTGGGCCTTGGGAACTCCGCGGATTAAGCAGCTGTGAGAACAGCTCGACCAGCTCGGCATCATGCCCTTCGGTCTCGTACGAAGGGGCATGATTGAGATAGAAGAATATTGCATGTTCACCGGATGTGTCTCGGCCAGCACCCGTCCAAAATATCGACGACGTGCGGATGGCCATGAAGCGAGTGAAGGTTGACTCATCCCACTTCACCCTGAATTCGCGTCTGTCTCCGTCGAATATCAGCTCCGCTTTGTGTCGAGGCCGCTTTTCCCATTCAATAGAAAATACTTCATCCCTGCAGACCCACCCGAACTGCAACACGGCTATTGCAACAACCATCCCTTGCACTTCCGATGCCCTTGTTTCCCTTTCCTGTTCAACTCTAGGATCGACGTAAGGCAGACGCCGTACTGTCTGCAGAATATCGGGAAGGGGTGGCTTGTTGCTCGGCTGGAAGATAATGGTGGTGCCGATTGGCAGGTGCTTCTTGGGGTATGGCTGCCCGTAGTCTTCCAGAAACCGCTGCGCGATCTGCACGGTAGGCACCGTGATCAGTCCGTTCTTCGCCCTGCCTTTGTTATGTTTAAAGATCCTGACTTCGAAGTTGATCGGTGACGATGAAGGCGAACTCGAGTACTCTGGACTGTGAAGAATGAGGGCGAGGCGGATCTTCAACGACCGCTGGTCCACGTTGAACGCGATGTTGCGCATGAAGATGTCCATGGCGCAGGAGGTGGGAGTCAAGAGATTAACGCTGAGATAGACCAGGGAGCCCCTGTATAAGATATACGTGCGAGCATTTAGAGTTCGATAGTATGTCTCCCAGGTACACTCGAGTCCATCAGATAGGGTTCGTATCCGGGGCTCCAATTGAGCCCCTTCGAGCGATGCGGCTGCTCGAGCATGGCATGAGACGAGAAGTTGGTGTTCCATACACGTCCATTATCCCTCATTCGAAAGGTCACCTTGCGACGATAGGTCCCTGTATGTGATCAGAGATAGAAGAGACCGCGAGCTCCTGTATTCCAGAATATAGCCAAATAGACCACTCAGAGTAGCTGATACCAGCGGATAGGTAGGTGGCGACACTCGCTCGAAGGACCGAGCGCAACATTGGGGACATCGGAAATCGCAGCGAGAATGCTCAGCGGGGTGCTCACAGTTATGTGGTTGACGATTAATGAGAAGATAGCTACTTACGCAACAACAAGACAAACATAGACTGTTTGCATTCCGATGCCCTGACGCACAGCGTTATGGCCTCCGAGGAACGGGAGGCGGCAGGAAGGGCAGTATTTGCTTGAGCTCCCGTCGCCCAGAAGCAAGCTTCTCTTCTATAGCGTGCTACAAGTATGATGAACACCGGTGACTTCGAAAGTAGCATTCGTAAAGAGACGAACCACATCGTCTAAGCCTCGATTCCGCTCAAATTCGCCCCGAATCCATGCAACCGTTTCTTTGCGGGCGTTAGAATCCGGTATATCTGAGATGCTTACATCGCGCTGTTGGTGCAGAGAGGCGGAAGACGTACATCGCGTGGCGCGCACTGCCTGCCGATAGAGTGTCAATACTCTTTGCTGCAGAATGAAGTGTCTGAGAGTCGGGTTGCGCATCGCAGGAGGGCACAAGAGCTGGCTGGAGGACGAGCGAGGGCGTCTCCGCCTGACAAGTTTCAAGTGCCGCGTTTGCTGGCCGCGACGGACTCAAGCGCCGGATCTGCGCGTACTGTGCCTTGACTGCCGCCACCACCTCCTCTGCTCTCCATCCACCATGGCCTCCGCCCCCGCAGACTCCTCCAAAGAAGACGAAACACACATTCCTCCTTCACCAGATGCCGCAATCAGCGATCTTGTTGAGCGCGTGGCGCAGGTCTCCGTGCAAGCCACGGACTCTGGCGACACATCGACGAGCAAAAGCGAGCGCATCTCCCATAGTCCGCTCCGAGTCTACACCCGGTCACAGGCCATGTATCTTCGCGATTCTCCCCTTGTCAAACCGCCTAAAGGCATGCCGTCTTTGAAAGAATGGTTCGGGTGCGTAGGCCTATCCTCGAGGGAGCGACCGCAACTAATGCTGCTCTCAGTGATTGGAACGAACAACAAGCCAGTGCCAAGAAGGATAATGAAATTCCTAGCCCTCTTACCAACGGCAGAGAGCGACGGTGAATACTGTATAATTACCGAAACGCTGTCGACCCTGACCAGGGTATCTATCCTCTAGCTTCCGGCGAGATGCCGAAGACACCGGTATGATGGCATTCCTTTCACCATTAGTTCCTTGGTTCACCATGTCACTTACATGCGGCTAGATAACTCTCGTCCGTCGTTCCGCTCAGGACTCTCCCAGCCATCCCAGATGGGCAACTTCAGACATCAGTCACTCCGCACGAATGATCGTGACAAGGACAGGGATTCCGAACGAGAACGCGAGCGTGATATGAGGGACAGAGAGGGTCAAGAGCGGCTGCGAAACGTGAGTGCGGTTCTTCAGCCACTATGAATGATCGTCGACCGTCCTTAACAGCTCTCGGACAAATGGGATCGTGACCGCCTCGCATTATCGTCTTCAGTCTCAGGTTTGCGCGGAAAAGAACGCGATTCTGCTCCTCATCTAGCATCGACCACGCCAGCCCGCGCAGGACAGGCTCAAGGCTCCAGTTTGACTACTCGACGCGCCGAAGGCCGAGAGCCGACAAAGCGTAAAATTGGAGAGAGCGCTGATGACTGGCGAAGGGGTAAGTGAGCTGTTTCTTAGCCAAGAATTCGGTCTGACAATGGCACAGGATCTGATGCGCCACGGTCGGGGAGGGATGATCGTAAGTTCATCGTAGCCATGGCACAATAGTCTCTGACCTGCTCACCGTATGCATAGGCTCTGATGCATCTCGCAGAGACCGTGACATTCGCGACAGACCGAGGTCGAGAGTCCGGGATTCTTCTCGGTCTAGGCGCGAGCCATCCACTAGGCGCGATCGCGATGAGCGCGACAGAGACCGCGATAGACCTCGTGACAGACGTGGGGACGACCGTGATGAACCCCGCAGAGACAAAGAAGACTATCCCCGCCGAGAACGAGATGATAATCGCCGCGACTGGGACGACTTCTACAACCGCGGCGACCGGGATCGCGATGAGCCTTATCCACGTGGTGACCGTTACCGTCCTAGAGACTCCGACCGAGACACCGATGACGACCCTAGGCGTTGGAGGGATGATGGTAGACGTGATGAACGAATGGCAGCCAGGCGTGAGCGTGAGCGCTGGGATAGGCATGAAGACAGGGACAGGGAACGGCCTTCAGAAGATGCTCGACCGAGACGGGGCGCGGCACGAGACCGGCGCGTGGGTGCCGCAGATGAGGGCAAGGAACGGGAGGACAGGCGGGAACGCGAGAAAGAGGCTGAGCCCGCATGGATGGAAACGTACGTGCCTACAACGTCTGGAGGGGGTATTCTTGGCGGACAGAGTGTGGACGGCGAGTTGGACGGCATTCAAGCTTGGAAGAAAGGCATGAAGGAGAAGGAACGTCAGGAGAAGGAGAGCGAGGCGGTCGCCGCGGCGAAAACATTTGATGACGTGAAGTCGTCTCCAACATCTGCGGCCCCCACTCAGCCGGAAAGCCAACTCGACGAGATACAGCTATTCAAGCTTATGATGAAGCGAGAAGCAGAGAAAAAAGAGAACGAGCAACACTCAAAGGAGAACACTGTCCCACAGACCGCTCTAGAACAGAGCTTGTCGTCCTTAGGTCCGTACGCCATGTTGTTCGCAGCACGCAAGACTCTTATGTGACTTTAGGTTTAACCGCAGCAAGCATTAATGCGCCATCTCAAAGTGTAGTCGACGAAACACAGGCTATTATCAACCGCGCGCATGCAGACGGGCTGTCGCTAACGAAGTCTGCGACCATTCCTGACGGCTCGCAATCATTGCTCTCCGTGCTGATTCCCTCTACCTCTGCCGAGACTGTCTCGCCCTCTGCGTCAGCCAAATCCTCGTCGCTTGATCCACCGCCCGAAGGATCGAGGGTCCTTGCTTCTCGTGCAACATCAACACTCCCTCCACCACCAGGTGTTGCCGCACCGCCATCCCTGTCCAATGCATCCTCCTTCGATGCGTCATCGTCAAACGTATCTAGTCCTTCCACTTTCAACCCCCCTACCGGCTCCCGCCTTCTCGCCTTTGGTTCTCGTGCTCAGCCGGGGTCTCTTGGTCCCGAGCCTATACCCTCGAAGAGCCTGCAAGGTCTCGACTCCCCTGCTACCCAACTGCCACCGCCAGGTGTCCCTCAGAGAGCGTCAAACATGCCCCCTACCTCGAATCCCTCCATGCTGCCCGAGGCCGTTCCTGGTCTCGGTGGCGAACCTCATCTCTTCCACAACGGGAGGCACAACCCTCTCGATGGGCCACGAATGCAACGGAGTTTCTCGCCTCACAGTAGTATGTCTCAAGTGTCCGGCCAGTTCGACGAATTCCATGAGGGCCAGATGCTGGGTCAGATGGGCGACCTACGCCGTGCATCCCTACACGATCGAGCAGGCCTTGGTCTTGCTAATGACGTCGGTCCTTCTTATGGCGACCTGAGTTCCCCAAGTTCTCTAGAGCTCGCAAATGCGAATTATGCAACGGGCAAAGGCAGCCGCTTCGCCAAGTTCTTCGACTCGAAAACCAGGGATGCGCCTCCTGTGGCAAATAGGAAGATGTCTGGCATGGCGGGCTTCCCCTCCAACGCGCAAATTCCTGATCCTCGTCAGGGAGGTATGGGCTTGAACGGAGGAATCAATGGCAATGGCGATACCAGGACCATGGAAGATATCTTCGCCATGTTGCAAAATTCAGCACAGGTATGTCGTAGACGGGTTTATCACATCTCCTTGACGTTAACAACATCTGTCAGAACCACCGTGCTTCTCCTCAGCTTCCCACGTCCGGGCGCATCCCATCTGGAGGTGGCTCGTACGGTCACGGCCCGACCGACATCATGCAGCAACAAATCCACCAACAGCAGCACTTCCCGCCAAACAACCATCTCGACTCGCTGTACGACAGCCGGATAGACGACAGATTTGTCCCCGACGGTATGGTACCCGGTCTGCGACCTGCGCCTCCACGATCCCGCAGCAGGGAGCCCAGCGGCGTCCTCTTCAACGAACAATTGGACGACCCTCTGCATTTTAATGCCCGTCTGCAGCAGCAGCAGCAGCAGCGCAACCTCGACCAGATATATCCTGGGTCGGTACCTGCGATGTACTCTCAGCAGCCGGGCATGGTCCGGAACGGCGGCTTGCCTCTTCAGCAGCAACAGTTCCGTGGAAACCCCTCACCGATTTCCAACCAAAATATGCTCGGGGGACCCGGGCAGCGCCTACCTCCCGGTCTTGCGAATCTAGGCGGTAGACCGCCGCATGATCCGTCGCAGTATCTGGGTGGTCCACTGGGCGGTATGGGCGGTGGTCTCCAAGGAGGCATCCATGGCGCCTCGGCCCTCCAGCAGGGCGGTTTCAACAACCTTGGCGGCGGGGGTCTCGGCGCTGCTGGTATGGGTGGGTACGGCGGAGGTCCTCAGCTACGCGGCCCTGCGCCGCAGAATCCCCTCGGTCTCAACTCTATGGCCAACATGGGACTCCAGAACAACCTCGAGTTGAGGGCTGCCAGCCAGGCGCAGCTGCTAGGCATGGGCGGAGGGATGGGCGGCGGCCTTGGTGCTGGTTTGCGAGGGCAAGGCCCAGGATTCGTCCCTCAGCATGGGCCCTCGGGTCAGCTTCCATCGCACATGTCGATGCGCCAGCAGCAGCAGCAGCAGCAACAGCAGTTGCCGTCACATCTGATGCCCCATATGCTCCCTCCTCACCTTGCACAACAACCGGGACTCCCTGGTGGAAATGCTCAGGGCACGCAAGACCTGATGGCTCTCCTGATGGGCGGTCACCGGGAATAGATGATGCCAGTTTGCTCTCCTTGTCGGTCGGGTCGGGCGGGTCTTGTCCATTCCCGCGCATACGTGTGCCATTTGACGCAAAGGAAGGTATAATGTCGTGCTTACAGGAGCCGACGCCCACGCCCTCTATCGTCGTGCGTCATCATCTGCAACGCTTCTCTCTTTCTGAGATACGGGGTGCCCTGGCCTGTGGTCCAGGCAAAGTCGCCAACATTCGTTCGCAGCTGGTATCAGTAATATTGTACGTATAGTCACCATTGATGATGGACTTCAGACGATTGTCGAGCCGATATATACCGCTTTCTTCCTTGGGTCCGTCGGTCGGCTGGGACTACGTAGTTGTTGTGCAATGAGGTGCGTCATCGGCTTGCGTCGGTGCGGCTTGGTAGATTTGTTACTCTGGGTGATTTCGGCCCAGGGACTACTAGTACGCCGTGCCTTGGAGCTGTGAACGATAGTCGGCAACGCAGTGGGCCTCATCCTCATCTGTTCTGGCGTGCGCGCAGTCGCCGGGAAGGTACTGCAGAGGAGTCCATTCCATGGTGCGGATGGCTGCACGCAGTCGGAGAGGCTATCCAGCGCAGGTTGCATGGAGTGGGTACATATGTGAGATCTAGATAATATGTGGTGAATCTCTACGTGTGCCTGATATGGTAATGCCATCGGGGGTGCCGATCGATCTGATCTGCATCTAGCGTGGTTTCACTTTGGGGGTAAGAGGGACCCGGCGGTGCGGATGCAGAAATCCGAGTATCCCAGTGGCTGCTCCATTCGGACGGCCCACTGCTCCGCTCTTGCGTCCCCTCAAACTGCTCCCGGACGCTCTTCGCCCGGCCTTCGCCAGAGACATCTTCTCCATGAAATTACCCAAGACTTCGGCCGCAGCCATGCGTCAGTGTGAGGGGCCTGTCTGTGAGACCTTCGATCGGCGCCGCTACCGCCAAGTCTGTAATACCTGCTGCTGATGGGCGCAGGCCAATTGCTACAATCGCATTGACACCTGCACATCCCACAGCGCTTTGACTGGAATGAGCAGTGCGCCGACATGGGGGGTGAGGCGGCGGAGACCTACGCCGTTGAATTCCTCAGCGCTGCTGGAGTTACACGCCTGTCGGACGTATTACGACGTCGAAGCTAAGAACAAGTCGGAGCATCCGTCCTCGTTACCAAGCTTAACTTCCTGCGACAGCTGTAGGCCGACCATTGGCTACTCTTTATCTAAAATGAAGGCATCATACGAGGCCCTTGATGGCGGATAATGTGCGCTCTTATCCGCCTTATTGTGTCTGTAAGTAGGAACGCTAAAGGAGGGGTTGATCAATTACTACTTAAGCAGCATGCTGGACGTCCCTGGCGATATGCTGGGCGACGACGTATCATGGCACGACGTGCCATCTGCCACGGCCAAGCTTCAGTCTGGGAGTGCGGTTCACTGTCTTCGCCGGGGCCGGCGCGACGTGTGGCGGCAATCCGACTCTTGAACTGTCCATCGCGCGCCGTAACGTCCGAGACGTTTCCCGGGGATCATGCTAGGCGTACCGTTGACCTCCCCGGCGAGCAAGACGGCCCCAGCTAACGCTGGTCGCAGCCGTAGCGCGTCGGGGGCTCGTGTCGGCCGGACTGACCGTCAGCTTGACTTGAAAATAATCTGTGGACGTCAAGCGTACGTCAGGCGGCCCTGCACAATCGCACTGACTCCCCAGTCAGGTGGGATACGAGCGTTACGATGAAGGCAGATAAGAGTAAATGATGGGAGAGCTTCGCTGCTCGGGCATTCCGATGTGAAGGAGGCCTGGCCTCGATGCCATCTTGTACATCAAGGCGCTCCTCGGAAGGTTATCCCATCGCTCGCATTCGCAACGCGAGCCGCGATTGGAGTGTGCGCACTGCCTGCGGCCACGAGGAGATGGCCCAGCGCCCGCCGAGAGGTGTTCCTGGTGCACAGTGCGGTCGGTGATGAGTCCTAGAACCACAGGTGAATTTGTAGGGCGACGGCCTACAGCGGTGGTCGCGCACTCGCGCCGACCGTCGGTGGCGGAATGGTCGCTGGGCGCTGGACACAGCGGGGAGACAGCGATGGTGGAGGAGCTTGGACGACAGCAAGCGGGGAGTTTACCTAAATCACCTAAAGTGGCACTGGCGATCAGTCCGGCAATGCCTGCAGGCAGACAACGTGTTGAGGTGCGAGTGAGAACCCATACACGGGCCAATAGGCACTGCGTCCGCGGGAGCCTGGCTCTGAGATATCCGTAAACGAGAGCGAGACAGCCTGATACACGCCGCAGCGGTGTGTTAGCACTTGGCCATCCACACCCGACGTCTCAGCTCGAGCTTCAAGACTGTCTTCACAGTGAGCGGACAGTCATCCAGCCCCTCCTCCTCGTCGACCCCACCACCGACAGCCTCAGTGGCCCGCTCGTGGTAGCGTCGGGCGAAGCAACGGTCAGCGTGGGACCGCGCCCTTGCTCCTCGAAGCAGTCGCCTCCCCTCCGATTCGTCGCCTCGCTCGCGTCTCCGTCCGCCCCGTACACCTAGAACCGGCACACTGCTGCCCGTAGTCTCTCGTTTGTCCGACTCAGTCCCTCTCTTGGTCCGCATCGCCCGCCCCGCCCGTCTGCCAATAATACCAAGGTTCGCCATAATTCCAGTCTTTTCGTTGGGCCACCGGTCGCCGCAAGAATAAAGCTAACTCGCAAGCATTCCGAATGTGAGTTCACCCGTTGTCGATGGAAGGCTGGAAGGTCTGCGCCATGCGAGGCGCGGTGTCGGTGTCGATGTCGATGTGAAGGCTGGACAGTTTGTGAAGAGCGCGCGCTGTGGTTCGACGATGCGGCGATGTCGATGTGAAGACGATGGCGGCGGTGTGAAGGACATCGCCGGGCGCAGACGATGTTCTTGCTATCGATTGGCCGAGGCTGGAGTGCTGACGGACGGGCAGACATTTTGCAGGTCGCAGACAGGCAAGACCATTGCCGGTGAGCACAGGCACTCGGGCGTGGCGGACGCGGACTGATGCTGGGCGAGCAGACTCTCTCGACGGACACGCAGTTGGAGCGACCGCACGAGGTAAGCCAGCGAGACACGCCTACGTCACTCGCAGGGGCGGCGTCGAGAAACGTGGGGCGTGGGAACTCTCAATGGGGAGATGGCGGGGATCCGGTGCAGCGGCGCAATCTCGATCTTATCCTTGTCCCGAGGCGCCCGCGTGCCTCCGCCTGGCCCGGACGCTCGACTTGCCGCCTGCGTTTGCTCGCGTGGCCGGTCCCATTGTTCCCTTTTTCTGGCCTTTTCGCCCGCCTTTTACCTTCCTGAGCGACGGCGTGCTCCTTTGCTTCGTCCTGTGCATATTCCCCTTTGCTGCTCGATCCGACGCTCAGGTGAGAGGGCCCGCGTAGACAGAGACCATGATGCATCAGATGGCGCGGGCGATCAGGCCGATATAGGCATTTGATTATGTGTAACACGCAGTCGCTGCCGTCACATCGCGACCTTGTATATTTCAGTTTCCGTTCGCATTTCGGATTGTTAGGTCATTTATTTCGCCGTGCAACCGTCCCGGCAGCCCGGATCCCTCATAGCACATTCGTCCACGCCTTCTCTCTCTTTCCCTCGTCGACCTCGCCAGCCCCAGCGACTCACGACCTCCTCTACCATACTCACGAACATCCACGCTGACGACCGTTTCCTCTCTCTAGCTTTCCAGTCTCCGTCTCTCCGTCCTCTGTCCCCACCACGCACCGCCGTTGTCGCATGATCACATTCCCACAACAAGTGAGTCGTCTTTCTTCACATCCTGTCTTCCTGCCGCCGCCTTCACGCCTCGACGTGTCTTGTGGTGCACGCCGCGTCGATCATGCCGTCCCTGCAATCGGCTGCATAACGATCGGACGCGCCGTCGCCCTACGCGACGTGACTGGAGCGCGAGCGATGTGGCCGTCCCCGCCCACCCTCGTCACGCCCCCGGCGGCGGGGGCCACCCGGACGGCGACGGCTGGTGTTCGTCTCCGCGCGTACGAGCTCGTCTCCGTTGAACCACGCCTCTCTGCTTCCACCAGCTGGCGGCCACCTCCCGTTTCCGGGTGCTGCAGGAGGTCACGCCCTTCCCCTTTCCTCTCGCTCTCTAGTCATGCCTGGTTCGTCTGTACATAGGGACTCGGAAGCTGACCGTGCCTCCACGATGCCCAGCAGCCGCGCCAACCTACCCTTGTCTTCATCGGTTACAGCCTCTCCATCTGTCGATATGAAAGACGTCCTGCCTTCGTCCTCCCGGGCCTCCCGGCATTCTGCCTATCTCAAGAAGCGTCCCTCCCCCCATGGCGTTTCCAAGTCTCGCAAACAGTCATCACCCGTCTACATCCCTCTAGGCGCGGTCCGGAAGACCCCGCGTGCTGTCAAAGCCGAGCTCATCTCGCAGCGGCAGAGGCAAATGCAGCTTCTCCTGATGCGAAGGGACGGCATCTACTTGGAGGAAGAGTACCGCGAAGAGATTCGTCGGTATATGCATGAAATGGAGGTCAGTAATAGTGCTCCACTGCGCGAGTGGCGTTGTTCGCTGACCCTCTTCGCCTGTTCGTAGAACTGCACCGCAGTTTCCATGCAATCAATGGACCAACAACCGGAGATTCGGTGGCACATGCGACCATGCCTCGTCGACTTCCTCGTCGAAATCCACTTTACGTTCCGCCTCCGTCCGGAAACGTTATACCTCACTCTGAACATTATCGACCGCTACGTCTCGAGGCGTATTGTGTACGTCAAGCACTATCAGTTGGTCGGTTGCGCGGCGCTGTGGATTGCGGCGAAGTTCGAGGATGCGAAGGAGCGCGTACCTACCGTGTCGGACCTGGCGCACATCTGCCAGGACACCTACGACGAATCTGCGTTCATCCAAATGGAGCAGCATGTTCTGTCGACGATCCAATGGACCCTCGGGCATCCTACGGCAGAAGCCTGGCTACGGCTCATGTGCTGTACTCCGTGCTTGGAAGACGCGAAAATCCAACACGTCGCTCGATTTTTGATGGAGATCACACTCTTTCATCGGGAATTCTGCGAGTTTTCGCCCTCGAGTATTGCCTTGGGCTCCCTCACTCTTGCTCGTTTCCTGAGCGGGAAGCCACGCCGTTTCTTCGAGGAGACAGAAGAATGCCTTCAGGTCGTCGACCTCCTGGATCAACGACTCTCGCAACACGTCGAGGACTTGTCCAAGATACTGGTCAAAAAATACTCGTACGCATTCTTCTCAAAGGCATCGACATCAGTCGTGCAATACTACCTCGAAGGCAAGCGGTTCCATCGACAGCCCCTCGCTCCCCTCCCTATGACACCGGTTCGTCATTACTCGTCGAAGGCGTCCACGCCGATGAGTGTGTCGACAACGGCCTCAGATCTGTCCGACGACATGCCGGTAACACCGACGAGCCCAACGTTCTCGAGCGACGTCTTCTCGAGTTCGATGCTCTCGGACGCCATGATGTCTGACGACAAGGAGAACGTGCCGTCCCCGACGTTTGAACCCGTACTCAACAAGCAATACGTGGAGCCTGCGCCGGAGCAGTTCCTGCCCCAGGACTATCTCAAGTTTGGACGACAAGCTCTACACAGTCTGAACCTGGTGTCCCCTCGTACGGCGGCTGTCTCATGACCTGCCAACTGTACTCGTTGTCGAACCTGGTCTCAGCGCGAGCCTGGTGTATAAGGTTGTAAAAGCTTTCCGTCGCAGCAAACGCAAAAATGTACCACCAACATACCATACACGTCGGTCATCGGCATATCAAGCGCAGTCTCTTCTCTCGCAATCTCTCAATCATCATGCATGCATCCCTCTCTCTGCAATCTCTTCCTTCCATCGTCTCATCATCACACAACGTCGAAGCAGACGCCTGTACAAGTCAGGACAAGGTCGTCCTGGAGGGGCAACACTCTACGTTGCGCGACGTGTACGCAATTGTCGGTGTACGAATATCTCAAGGACAGCTTCCTTTCCTCTGCCTTCGCCGGAGTCCCTCCGCGTCGTGTCGACCTCGTCGGCTTGTACGGGTTCCGGACGCTCTTGTCTGCTCGTCCAACGAACTCTCCGTCAACACACTCATTGTCGGTTGTTACACTATGCATTCCTCACTCTACTGCGCACCATCCGATCGCCTTACGCGATGAGCTCGACAGGCTCCCTATCCTTTTAACTCCCCTTTCGTTCTACTTTATTCTTCAGCATTATTGTACAAAGTACTTTCCTCTCTTCCTCCCCGAATTTATTTGCGGTCAGTCAGCATCCCCTTCCTCTTTATCTCTCCGTGTCGAACCAATAGTATCTTCTTCATCCCTTCCTCCTTCCCTAGCGTATCGTCAATGTTGCATCATCTCCCCCGAGTCTCCATACAACTGTCGTCTCATCCCCGCACGAGCCTGAAGGGCTACTCATTGTCCCGCGCATTCCCGTCCTACATTACGCAGTAGCATTCCAATCAATCCGATTATTATCAGAGACCTCCCTCTCGTCTGAAGATGGCCCACAAGGTAGTGAGAACCCTTTGGAAACTGGACGAATCGGCGGGAGCCGCAGTGCTCGGTATGGCTTAGGCTCACGCCGCTTCGTGCGGTATGCAGTGATGCTACGCCGCTGCAGGATCCGGGGAACGTCCGCCTGTCCGAATCAAAGAACACTTCCACGTTACTAGGGTGAGCTAATAGTCCATATGGGCGGAGACACAGCCTCGACGTACTATGTGACTTGCGGAGATACAGAGATGGCACTATAGGTCAGGTCCCGACGACGTGTGCGGTGATGTCTGCATAACTTGGGGCTGCCACATTATTGCGCGCGGACATGGGACCAGGCCCGGGAGCGGTCTGCCCGGCGCGATGGCGAGGAGCGGTGCAATCTCGCGCTCGATGAGGGTCGCCATCCCGGGCCTCGGGCTTCATCAGGCTTTGTCTTTGGGGTGGCCGGTTCTGTCGTGATTTACTCTCACCCATGCCGTACAAACGCAGATATGAATGAATGATCCTGTGCGGACCATGGACCACTGCGATGCAATGTTTCATTCGCTGTACGGGCCCTGTATGCTGCCGACGCGCTGTCTTGGGAAGGTGTTTGACGGCTTGCATGTAGAGGTTCTTGGTTATATATGACCACAGGTTTACGATGACGCTTTTGAACAGTCAACAGGCACAAGTACATTGCATGAAAACGCACAACAGTCTCGATGGGTGCTACATACACGGCAGTACATGCGCTTCTTCTTTTCACCAAAAGGCGCTATGTACGCCACCGAGACAGTTGCGCCGGTACTGTAAGGCCGCAGCGCAACGCCTACTCCAGCGACCACTGTCCGTCAGCGTGCTTGATATTTACGGGCCGCTTCTCATCCAGGCTGATACGGCCGGCGTGCAAGATGGCTGTGGTCAGCACGGTGTTCGAGATCGTCGGAAGGCCGTGCGCATCGAATTCTGCCGGCTGCACCTGCCCAGCATTGACGCTTCGAGCGGCGTCAACAAACTTCTCGATGGACACGTAGCCGTAACCGCGCTGGCCGTCGAAGTGGCCGCTCTCAGAAGGCGAATATTTCATGCTTGGTACAATGTTAGCCGCTGGAGATGAACGTAGGAGGACACTGCGCACTAGAAGGGGTTGTACCAAGCCTTCCCTGTCTCATCCTGGACATGTCGTAGCCACGGTGCGCTTGGTCGACGTTGATTTCACCCTGTACGTCCGCTGAATGTCCGCTTAAAGCCGATTGGTCGAAAGATGCTAACCTTCTCCGCCATGTAGTACCAGTGCTGGGCAGAGTGCACTCCGGACTTGAGCGGCGCCGTCCAGACGCCGTGTACACCGCCGTGCCCTTGTGCTTGAGCTGCTGAGGGACTGCCAGTCTACAAGCAGGGTAATCGTGTCCTCCGTCTGAGGACACAATTGTACGGCTCGCTCGTAGCAATGCCGGTCGCCGCACTCGCTACGACGCGAGTAGGGACCGCCTTCCCTTGCATGATCCAGCAGTGGATATCGATGTGGTGAGAAGACAGGTAGTAGCTATAATTTGGCAATGAGTGCGACGCAACATCATGCACCGCTGCTAGACCGACCTGATGTCCGAGTCCTTCCCCGCCCATGCGCGGAACGTCTCCAGCTGGCTTTCGGCTGACTCATCCATGCGCTGAAGAAGTTGAATTCACCGAGAGCGCCTGCCCTTGCTCTCGCGTCGCTGTACACTGGGTCAAACCTGCGAGATTATTGGATGAGCCTTCTCATTCATATCGCGTCTCGTCAAGCGCACTGGCATACCTTTTGTGGTGCTCGACGAAGCAGACGACGTTTGCTTCTTGGCCAATTCAATCAGTTCGACGTGGTGAGGAAGTAGCTGCACGGCAGGCTTCGTGACCAGTACATGAAGGCCGTGCTCAATAGCATAGCGGGCAATAGGATAATGTGTGCCTAGATATTATTGAGCGGCAAAGTCTAGAAAGACCGTTTGGACTCACTGTCTGGAGTGAAGATAACAACAGCATCCCCGGGAGACAACTTGTCAATTGCAGTCTTGTCTATGTCACGGTGGTGGGGGAGTCAATATTAGCTTCCGGGGCCCGTGAAGTCGACGACTTACAGGCCTCGGGTCAATTGTCTTCCTCGGGAAGGCATCGAAACTAGATGCGAATGAGCAACACACAAGCGAAAAGAAGCGAAGGCTTACGTAGTGTCAATGTCCTTGTAGACATTTCCGATGTTCTCTTGCAAGTGGGTCCGGATAGCAGGGAACTTAGATCCGTTCACTCCGACCATGCCCAGCTTGTCGACCTTTCCCAATCTCCGAAGATCGAACAGGGTCAAACCAATGACCTATCCCGAGATCAGTTGAAAACGGGGCGTTCACGAACAGCCATTCTTACCCCAATCTACGTAGATCAATTAGTGAACAACCCGCACAGAGATCTCATACAATGCGGCTCACCTTCTTGTCCGACTTCGATGCTCCCGACCCAGTCCATCCTGTGGTATACTCTCCCTGATCGGCGCAATAAGATGTCAATCGATGACCCATGCTCAGGATGGGAGCACACGCACAGTACCACCTGCGCGGAAATGAAAGTGTTCGTGAGCTCACTCGGCGAATACACGAAGTGTCGATACTCACACATCAGCAAGTTGAGCTTCTTCATTTCGGTCGACATTGTGGTGTTCTCTTGGTGCAAGGCGCGGTGGTGCAACGTGCAGCGGATGGACCCATCGCCATCCTCGAATCCGTCCTATAAGTACGCCCGAGCGAGCGAGGTAACTCCTGAGCGAGATCGACACCAAGGGCGGGCCGGGAGCCCGCCGGCCCGGCGGTCCCGCGCTAGCTACCACCGGGACCGGAAGGCGGGGCCGTCCATCCTCCAAACCACAGATCAGCCTGAGGCCTCCGCACTTGCTCTCGAGTCTCACCCACTCTGCAGCCGGTCGTGTATCGGCAAGCCATGGAAACAATCCAAATCAGCGACAATATCTGTGGACCGCCTCACATACCATACCCCATGAATTTCTATGTCTCACTCTTATAACTCCTATAGCCGCACGCTGCTCCCAGACGCCATACAGTCGAAAAGCTGGGAAGATCGCATGCGAGAGGCGCGAAACGAGAAGGCCGTCAAGACCGAGCTTAGCGAGGAGACGAGGGCCGAGAAGGAGCGGTGAGCAACGCGCATATCGCGTACTCAATTGCGCTTGATGCTAACAGACACAGTTTCAGACTGCACTCTTACACATGATCGACCTCCGCTTGAGCCTGTCTTTGCACCTCGGAATGGGCGTCCTCAAAGAATGAGTGCGGTCTACAGCTCGTTATTTGCATCGGCCAGCCTCACGCATTGGCGGGACAATGCATACCGTATCGGAAGCCCCTGCATATAAGCCTAAGAGTCTTCTGGGATAGTAATGAACCCAATGAGGTTCTAGCTGCAATGATAGCATGGTCATTGTGTGCGTACTTGCCAGTTGAGGTGCGACGGTAGTCTAGACAAGATGGATGAGGCTGCAGATGAGGCGAGCGAGACGGCGGACGAAGTAGGCGATATGGCAGACAAGGTGAGCGAGACAGCAGACGGGTTGTATCATAACTTGGAGGGAACATTCTTTGTGAGGTTTTCTGGCTTGCCTCGCGCAGCAGAGATTACATGGCAAACGCCTCGAAGCTGGGCAGCGGGTTCTTGCGCTCGCGGTACATAGATCTTGTGTAAGCTGAATGTGCTTGATACAACCTACTTGAGTGCACGGCCATGCTGTGTTCCCACTCTTCATTCGCCAGATCAAGACATCATTCGTGAGTATAGTCTTCAACAGAGCTAGAGGGTGGTTCAAATCTGCCATGTACCAAGCGCATAGCCGTGAGTATATATAGCATTCTGCATGCGCTACGCACTTTGTTAGATCACATTGACAGGCACGGTAGGGTACTGGTAATTGAGTGGGTAGATCAAGTCCGGCTCATCGCCCCATGCCTTCTCAACACCTGAAAATAACCATCCATTGACAGAGGATCTCGGCGTGCTGACTTCACAGTCAGCCTCGGTCTCGCATTCAGTAGTACGTACACACCCTAAATAGGACACACGTCCCTGCTACCCGGCGCAGCCTTACCTCTTGAGACCTAAGCATGCCGATCAGTGAGTGCTTGGTTATACATGGCAGTGACAAGTTTCTTTGGGGCCTCCCTCGTTGTCACCACCCCTTCGCTGGCGACGCCGATGACTCCCGCTCGTCGCCTCGGTTTGTTCTGAAGACAGGCTTTCAACTTTGCTCCCACCCGTTCGACCGGGACTGACCATGTCGCACTCTTACTCGTATATTCGCTGGTATTGCTCGCCTTTCACAATAAAGACGGCGATTCAATTCAGTGCCCATGGACGGATGAGTACCAGCATTATGCCACAGTAAGCTTCGATCGTCCATCGCCCATTTGCTCACCTTGGTGCATTTTACAGCCGCCACTGGCACTGTGAGAGATATCGTTGAACACAGTCTCCTGAATCTTCGCTGCCCACATACAGGACAGATGTACATGGTAAGCAGAGACTGCGAGGTCGATGGAGGAACGAGCTGGTCAGGAAAGGCAAGTGCACGTGGCATGGCATGAGGCCGCGGTGTGCCCTGACTTGAGGAGGGTGCGGTGGCTGACGAGTTCCACAGCTAACACGACGATAGTGCGAAGCTATGGCACGCTGCTTTGCTGCATGTTACCACTGTCATGGCTCAGACTTCGCCTTCAGCTCAGCTATCCAAGCACCCAGCTCCGAACATACCAAGTGCTAATGGCCCTTCCAATGTCACCCAATTCACGCCTCGCAAGGAATTCATACGCGATCAACGAGTCATTTCCTCCTTCGCCCTTCTTGCTTTGTCTGGCGCGAACCTCGTCCGGCTCTACAGCTTTCCTGGCCTTGTTATATCCGCTCTGCGCCGCCTCTTTGATCAACAGGATCTCATCGTGAGCGTCCGCGAACATACCCACAAGCACTTCTTCGAATTCGCGCTCGACCGGAGGCCGTGGGCAAGCCCGAAGAGCGTCGAGTCCGAGAAGCTCATCATCGCCATTCTCGGCGCCGTCTTTCAGTGCGGTTACTCCTTTCTCTCCATGATTGACTATGGCCGGGAGCCAGACGACCGCGTAGCTATCGCGTTCTCGAAACCCGTCGCCCTCTCCGCCCCGGTTACCGTAGGACAGGTTGCGTCCTCCTCTACAGTCGTGCTGCCCCAGCCCAGCCGCGCTCCCTTTGCCATTTCGTTTGTCTCCCCAAGCGTGCTGCGTGTGGTGGATCCGCCATTGGCCTCTACACCAGCCATCATTCAGGCTGTGAGAGGCTCATGGCCTTTGGGTGTAGTTTCGGAGAAGAAGCTAGGCGATGCTACGTACCAATTCAAGCTCAAGGGGTACAAATGTGGGCACATCTTCTTACATCTAATGAGCGGTGAGCTCACGACATCGCATGACTAGTTTTCCAGGAGGACAACTTCGCCGCGGATTCATTGCACCAGATCCTGACCTTGTTGTCGACTCTCGACAGCCATGCATTTACACTCCTCACTTCCCTCACCCTCACGAATCGTTCGCGTAAACAAGATTTATGGATATTTACAGGACCCGCCGAGGGTCCCCACTCCGGAGAATCGGCTCAGTCCAGCCCTGCCGGATCCAGTATGGAGCTGAAGGCGGAGAACAGCCCGTACGGTGCTCAGACGTCGAATGAGAAGCTCGCACCCGTTGCGTCGACGTCCCGGTTGAGTACGTTACCTGCTGTTTCTTCGCCTTTGAACCCGACAGTGGCGAAGGCACTAGGCAACACCTTGCGCAAGGCGTCGCCTAAAGTGAATATCCCGCTGGCCTTCATGGACGACGTCGATAGCGCCACCAATTCCCCCGTCGACAACAAGCAGCATCCGTTCTCGAGTAGCATGGGCAGCGTGGACATGACTGGCATTGGCTCGGGTCGCGGTAAAGGCGGAGAGCGTCTGTCGCGATCGCCGGAGTTGCTCTACATGACTACTGGAGTACCCGGAAATGGGTACATCCAAGGGCATCGGGACGAGCTCAATCCATGGAATATCGTCCCTTCTTCACAGTTGCCACCCACGCTTCCATATCCCGCATTCGTCCAGGATCCCAATACCCCGCGTTCCCCGCCACCTCAGGATGCTGTTCCCCCATTGTCGCATTCGAGGAACGCGTCTGTAGACAACCCGTCCGCGTCAGCGGCGGTGCCTCCCACTACGCCCCCTCCATACCCTGCCGGCAGTAACTCACCTCCATACCTCACGCCTCAAGTGCAGTCGCCTGAGCCAACACAAGCCTCACGGCAGGACTATTTCGGTGGCAATGGGTCCTCCCCAGACCGCAGCCAGGACAGCGTGAGGCGCGACAAGGACGGCTCGCCTCGCGATGCGCCGGACACGCCTCGTACGCCTACACCGCCACTATTACCCTCGGCCGTTTTTCGTGACTCTGCACTCTCTATCACCACCGGAAGGACCTCTTATGAGATTCCGATCCAATGGACCGGCAGAGACCCCGAGCCAGGGCGCACGACACTGGCCTGGATCAAGGAGGAAGATGAAGGGGCGAAGCAGCGACAACCTACACCAGAACTCAAGGAGCGCCCGCGCGAGCAGCCTCGTCCAAGAATGGAAAGAACGTCGACGGGCCCCATGTCCCTAGGCGCCTGGGCCCCAGCTCCAAAAGACGAGCGACGGGCCCATGACGTCGTCATAAGCATGTTGCCTCCTACCATCAGGGAGCAACCTAGTCAAGAACACGACGAACGCGGCCAGTTCACTAGCAGAGGAAAGAGCAAGCTGGCGACAACAGAGACGGACACCCGGGAGACGTCGAAATCGCCCGACTCCACGACGAGCGGAGGGCAGAGCGGAACCACGACGACATCGAGGCGACGACGAAGCCCGACACGCCGAGACACCGATGGATGGGTCTTGGTCAACATCGACAGGGGAGATCGGAAGGACAAGACGTCCTCCACGGGTCGTCAGACCCACAGCGTGTCCCCAACGCGTCGGACGAAGTCGCCCACCCTAGGACCACCCACCCAGCGCCCTACGCCCCACAAGCGCAGTAGCTCCGATTCTCGCGTCCAGCGCTCGCCGCAGCCCCAGGAGGGCGCGCCGGTGGCTAGCATGTCGGCTGCGGCGAAGGCCATAGTCATCATCGATGCAGTCGGCGCGAAGGAGAAGGAGCAAGAGAAGTCGTCGAACTCTGGATTCAGGAAGATGTTCTCCAAGAGTCGCGAGAAGGGTGAGTCGAGTCCCTACCCTGAGCAGCGTCGTGTTGATCGAGGAGTGAACCGACTAGGCTCGAAGGGATGATGAAGATGGATGTACTACCGACAAACGTGCACTAGTTCGTGTTTGCAGATAACTGCTCTATTTATTGGATAGACTGGTGTGTACTTACCGTATGCGCGGATAGGATCATCGCTGACATCCACTGACAGACGTTACATCGTGCCTCGGATTCGATTTCTTCGCGCCAAAGGACGCTATACCTCGCTCTGTTGTATCGCAATATCCCATACTGACACTTGTAATACTGACGGGGTGCTGGTCAGCAGCGCCATGATGTTTGGATTACCAGATACCTAGTGTAGACTGTACTGTCTCTGAATTCACGAACTGTTACTGTACCTATGATCTCACGTCGCGTTGCAAAGTGTTTGTACTTAGAATCGAATGATGCCGATGCCGAACGATTGAATATGCTGGGTCAAGCTGCCCTGACTCAGAATCCTCTCGGAGACCGACCAGTCCAGACGCGGACGCGCAACAACTAGGCACGTGATCGTTCCAGTCCAACTGCAGGCTGAGGACGGCCGCAAGGCGAGAGGCAGTCCAGTATGATCCTAAGGCACATGGGCCATCGCGAATGTGGGGCAGGGGGCGAGCGATATGTATGTAGGTTCGTCACGTCAGTCTTTGAGCGCACCAAAGAGAGGGCGAAGGCGGAAGCATACGACGAACCTCATGCGACGTGCATCGCGCACCAAACCCGGGTCCGACGTAACGCAGCTGCCAGGAAGCAACGAGATATATGCCGACGTGTATTAGCAGTGCGCTGCACAATTGTCCAGACGGCTACCCAATTGCATTTCCATAGAGCGCAGTCCCAATGTTGAGGTAGAACCTGTTAGAGGCTCGTTCCGGCCAACTGTCGCGACTGTGGCACAACCGACTGCCTTGACAGCCACGCCATGGTAGTGCTGACGCTCGTCAGAATGAAACGACGGTGCAGAGGGCACCCAGGTGAAACCCCGTACGAGAGCTAGAACACATGGTCATTCTTGGAGCACAGGGAAGTCGAACGAGAAGGCCTGAGAGTTCCCCGGAGACGGCGCATGCGGCCGCGGATGGCACCAACGGGTGGTAGCGGCTCTGGCGGGAGGTTTGTATGGCCCCTCGAGGGCAGCTGTGCACGCAGCGACCTAGGGGTGTCCAAGAATGGTGGAGCGGCGGTGGTGGGAGATGCGAAAGAGAGAGTCTGGGTGTGAAACGGGGGACGAGGAGGGTGGCTGAGCGTGGCCATGGCCGGCCTCGGGAGACGCACTACAGCAAAAATGCAAGCGACCGCTTCACGCCCCCAGATCCCAACCAGGCCACCTGTCCCGCCGCCCTGTCCCACCCTCTCCTCACCCCCGTCCCCCGCCCTTTCCCCCGCGCCCTCCGCGTCCCAGCATGCCTACCTGCAGGCGCAAACGCGTGGTCCTCATCGAGCCCACTCCGGAGCTCCTCCTCGCCGCAAAGACCAACCCCAACAAGGAGGTCTACTTCCTAGGCCAAACCGGCGAGATCTTCGAGACTTACGAGTGCGTCTTGGTCCCTCGACCTCTATGGTCCTTCGTGAACTTGCTAAACGCGTTCCTACCAGGGCGTATGCCGCACGCATGTCATTCTATCGCCTGAAACAGTTCCAATGCGAAGTCACAGGCAAGAGTGGCCTCGACTATTTCCAAGCTATGGAGAGTGAGCGGCAGGAGGCCCGTACAATGCATTCGAGGTTCCCGGATCCTCTCAAGGCTGCGGTATTGAGAGCAGTTCAGTGGCGTGCGTCCTGACATCGTCGTCTCCTCCTTTTGTGCCAACTAACGCCGCGTATGCGCTGCTGCGCTTCAGAGGTGATGGGCCGCCTTGACCACCTAGTAGAGGAAGTATACCAACGCTTCAAGGATCGCTTCTACCCTAACGAAAGTACGTCTTGTGGCTCTGTCTAGTGTGTCCCGCCACAACTCATTGGGCCATCGCTGTAGGAGTTCTAGTTGAAATCGAAGGAGAGAAGTGCGTCGACCTTTCCTCACACTTAAGCCGTGCTCACTAGACCTCTCGTAGATACTCGCCCGCTTGATTCAAGTCATGCCGCCCAAGGTCGCGTCTGCGCCGTCGACCTCCAGACCGAGCTCGAGCGCTGCGGCATCTACTCCACGACTCCCCTGCCAGACGACTTTCCACCTCTCCACAAGATCGCTGAGGACATCAAGATTCCCGTTAAGGAAGGCAACGCGAAGGATGATCCCGCGAAGTACGTCTACAAGGTGCAGATCCTTGACCCCGAGCAACAGCCGGGGAGTAAGAGCCACGACAAGCATAAAGGCAAGGACGCCGCGAAGTTCAGTGGGTGATCATGGAGATCAACTGTGCCATCATGAGGTATGATGCAAGCTGCTGTCCATTCCTGCTGCTGACAGCCCTACCGTTCCGCCTACCAGCCGGGACAGGCTCACCTTCTCGAAGTCCATCTTGCGGCGGTTCATCCGCGACTGCGTAGACCGCGCACCTGCGGTGGCTTCGCCTTGGACAGTGAAGACACCAATCGCGTTGCGGTATGGCGTGAACACCGTCATGCCCGAGGAGACGCGTCGCGGCGTGGACGCGATCAAGAAAGGCGAGACGGATAAGCGGAAGAAGGTCTGGGAGGAGAAAGAGGGACCTGTGACGAAGAAGCAGAAGAAGATGACTGCTGCCGCAGAGGAGAAAGGTATGTCCTTTCCATGGCTGACCAGTGGACTGCACTCACAATTTGATACAGTCAAAGCCCTTGCCGCAGCAGCGGAGAAGCGCGACCAGGATGCTCGCGAGAAAGCTGAGAAAGCCCAGCATGAGAAGGAACGACTTGCCGCGGAGAAGGCCAAGAAGAAACCTATCCGTTACCCTACAGAGGACCTCGACGTCGTCCTCGGCGACAGGGAGAAGCGGGCGGGCATGAAGCTCAAACGGCCCGTGCCAAGTCGAGTTGCTATGCCCTTCGGTTACGACTCTGCCACCAATGAGCGTTTCTCATGGTCTGGAATTTCCTTGTTGTCTATGGGTGCGTCTCGTACAACTGTGCTGTGTCGGGCAAACACTGATGACTCCTGCCCGGCTAGTCAACCGCTGCATCTATCGCCTTTCACTATGGATGAGTTCGAGGCAGCTCTCCGTCATACTGCGTGGAGCCGGCGTGTTTGCTGCTTGCAGAGATACATGCCACACTGGTATACAACCTGCGGACTGTCCCATTCCAGCGACATAGTGCTGTCATGTCGTTGTATGAAGAAAAAGAAACTGCTAATGGCGGCGACGACTTGCTCTTTGGCGTGTCTCTTGATCAGCTAATTGAGTTGTGGCGGATATGGGTAACAACTGGGAGCGCTCACCGCTCCGACACTCTGACGGTCGGGAGGGCTGGGAGGAATCGCTCATCGGATGTTTGAAAGACGTAAGCTCATTTCTCAGCGCAAAGAGGGCGCGGCGAGACTGATTGTTTTCCGTAGCACGCGGACTACGAGAACTTCCCTCAAATGCGAGAGATCTTCACAAAACTGTTGTTTGCTCCCGAGCCTGCTACCGAAGCGTCGACGTCTGCTACTTCATCTCCATCGTCGAGTCCGGCGCCGGTCACTCTCGCCGTGCTATCTCATCCGAGCTTTCGGTATTACACCCTCTCAGCCGCAGAACGAGTAGCCATACTAGCCTTCATGTGCAACCTGGCGATTTCAAGCAAGGCCATCCATAGTCATATGGAGCGGTGCGAAGAGCAGCTGACCGCCCTACGCAAGGAGAAGATCGAAGTGAATAGGACAAAGAAGCAATAGTAAGCGATCAGCTGTTCCTGTTGTTGTCATAGGCTCACCAGCCAGTATGGTCAGCTTGGAAGAGATGGGCGCATTAGGCGACGTCAAGGCCGCCGAGGCAGCTCTGAACGGCAACGCAGCCGACCAGGACGTCAAGATGCAAGATTCTTCTGACCTTTCTGATCTGCCCGGCTCTGACGATGAGACGGAGCGGCGCCGCAAGGAGACGCGCCGGACAGCGGCGAAGGATCGGGAACTCGCACGCGTGAAGGCTGCGTCGACAAAGCAGGCGATCGCAGAGCACCGCCGGCTGGACGAGGAGGTCAACAAGCTCGAGCGTCGCCTGGAGGGCATCGAGCGGGAGTTCAGGAAGCTGCTGGGCTCGGTACGAGCCAAGCCGCTGGGGAAGGACCGGTTCTACAATCGGATATGGTGGTTCGACGGGATGGGCGCGGCGTCGCTCGTGGGCAGCGGAGGCACGATACAGTATGGCTCTGGTCGTGTCTTCGTGCAGGGCCCAAGCGAGTTCGATATCGAGATTCTGCAGCGGAGGGAGGGAGACGTGACTGGGCGGCGGAAGGTAGAGGAGGGCGAGGAAGGTATGCTAGGAGTGGGCGAGTGGGCGGTATTCAACGATCTCGAAGAGGTACGTAGCGTGTTGCCCTCGATTTGCCTCGCTGAAGCTTACAGTAGCCCATGCAGCTGGATGCCTTCGTGGCCTGGTTGAATCCGAAGGGTGTCCGTGAGCTGGCCCTCAAGAACGCTTTCTCGAAGTGGTGGTCGCATCTTGCACCCGGCATGCGCCGTCGCAGTGCGGTAAGACACCTTTCCATGTTATTTTTTCACCACTGACCATGGTCTACAGGATCTGGCTGCCAAGATTGTACAGCCTGAGGCACGACGAAGTATGCGCACGAAACACGCCGCCGCGGACATCTCTCGCGAGCCGTATATGCAATGGACCAACAAGAAGGGCGCCGGCGCATCTTGAATGACGCACCCGAGTCGTGTTATATTATCTGCACCATGTTTCCTCGTTCGCGAGCACTGTTTACTGCATTGCATGTCACGATTATTGTTTGGAATAGAACTCAATGTAATGTTGCGCATGTACGCGCTTGGTCACGCGTATGTCACGGGAGCGCGTCGCGCCTCGTCGCGCCTGCGCTCCGTGAGGGCGACGCTGAGTCTGTCTCATCTCCCGCGCGCGGGCTGAGGTTGTTCTAGTTGTCTTTTCCCCGGTATACTTTGCCAACTAGCAAGGCAACATGATCCTTCTCGGTCTTCCTGGGCGCGGCTATCTAGCGGGGCCTGTTTCCGGATCTTGAAGCTTCTACAATTTTCGTGCCTTATGACACCCCTCAGTCAATTGTACTGTGCGCTGCCATTGTCCCCCTCCCTTCGCAGCACGCCCATTCACCAGGCAAGCCACACCCGCTCAGCCTTATACCCTGCCCGGAGGCACCTGCTCAAAAGCAACGTCATTCGACGGTGCACCCGCCTGATAGCTACTAGCTATCTCTTGGCTCCCCGTTCCACCCTGATAACGAGTCTGCACGACCTTCACGATCCCTGCCCGACGGAGCGACGCGCTTGGACCCTGCTCATCATGTCTTCTATGCCCTTGGAAATCACTTTCGACCCCGCTCATTGTCGGGAGTGCGGGATGTAATCGAGTCATGTGAGTACTCCCTTGAGCATGAATCTGTACTCACTGTGCATAGACCGACGTGCACAGGAATACCTTTCAGACTCCGTATCTGCCTCTGGGACTTCAGACGACGAAGACTTCCTGGAGGCAGAGGAGCCGACCATAGAGGAAGAGGACGGCGAGACTGCGGTTGCTCGCGAGGAAGAACAGCCGTTCGACGCTCTGTAAGTAACCTGCAGTGGGATGAAGACCTTACGCCAGGACCCTCCGGGCGACAAGTCGTCCCGAACAGACGTCCCTTCCTATTGCCGCAGAGGAGCTCGTCCCAGGCCACGGCCACTCTTGCTGGCACACCCTCACCGCCGACTCTGAAGGCCGAGGAGCGCACACCTCTTCTGAGAACGCCAACGGATATGTCCTACCTACGGCATGCTGAAGTCAGTCCACCGTCAGTTCCGATCCTAGTGAACGGAGATACTCTCGTAGAGCGAGCTATGTCCCGGCGTCCGTCGCAGATGAGCGTAGGTCGATCTGTGCGCCGGACTGTCAGCAAGACCAAGATCATCTCAGGGCACAGTACATATGGCCAAACGGTAGTTCACTCGTTGACAATCCTTACGCTCTCTTCTAACAGCATTGGCGCACTCAGCTCTTCAACGCCATTGCGATTCTTCTCGGAATAGGTATGCTGTCTGAACCATTGGCCTTCGCGTACGCAGGCTGGATAGGAGGGACGGCTATCATCATTTTCTACGGCTGGATCACTTGCTATACGTGAGTTATCATTCTTGCCGTCTATAACCGATACTGACTGCCCTACCAGTGCAAAGATTCTCGCCCACATCATTCTAGACGATCCCAAGCTACGGTCGTACTCTGACATCGGGAAGAAAGCATTTGGACCCCGGTCAGGTCCCTGGATCAGCGCAGTGTTTTGTTTAGAGCTCTTCACTGTCAGGTGGGTCTTGGGACACTCGTCCATAGCCGCAGGCGTACTTATGGTGGTACAGCGTTGCATTAGTGACTCTGTACGCCGATTCTTTGTACGCAGTCGCGCCTACATACTCCCCTGATACATACAAACTACTTGGTTTGATTGTGTAAGTGAAGCTATCGTCGAAACGTATCATGTTGCGTAAGCTAACTTGAACGCAGCTTAATACCCACAATGATTTTGCCCCTTTCTGTCCTATCCTACACGTCGATATTAGGCATTCTCTCGACGCTACTCATCATCGCAGTAATGGTGATGGATGGTCTCTCGAAACCAGACAGTCCCGGTAGTCTATGGGAACCAGCTCCTACAAGCTTGGGCATTCGCACCCCACTTCATCTAGGACTTGCTTTCGGGCTCTTCATGGCGGGCGTGAGTTGCATCCACCATCCTTCGTTGTAGAGGCAGCATTGATCCATTTCGAGCAGTTCTCAGGGCACGCAGTCGTGCCGTCGCTCGTACGAGACATGATTGATCCGACGCAGTTCGACGCGATGATCACCCAAGCGTTCACGGTCGCTACCGGCATTTACGGTGTCATCGGTGTGGCGGGATACCTGATGTTCGGGGATGCCGTCAGTGAAGAGGTAAGCATTCGGATTGAGACATAGGAACAGTGTCTGATGCACCTCTAGTTCAGCCAGGACCTCGCAAAATACAGTCCGTTCCCGGTGCTTAACAGGATCGCCCTCTGGGGCCTTGTTCTAGCGCCTTTGTAAGTCTCATTGTAGAGTGCATTAGGGCTGTGCCATTGACATTGCGTGCATCTAGGTCGAAATACGCACTCGCAACTCGTCCAGTGGGTACCTCCGTAATAGAATGCTCAGTTCGGTTCGCTTATAGCCTTCGATACAGCTAAACCTCACACTAGAAATGATGCTGGGCCTCGACGGCGGCAGTGGCGTACTGGACGACCACGTCGTCAAAGCACCTTCACATGACCCCGAGACAGGGCGGCCAACGTCAAAACACAACCGCACACGCAACGGCATGCTCACAGCTGTCGAGCGCGCACTCTTCACGCTATGCTCGGTAGCTGTGTCGATTTTCGTCCCTGACTTCAGCTCGATGATGGCATTCCTCGGCGCGTTCTCGTCGTTCCTGCTCTGTGTCATCGGCCCGGTGTCGGCCAAAATTGCGCTGGCAGGGCGCTGTGGGTGGTGGGATGGTTTCCTGCTCGTGACCGGGATTATCATGGCTACTTGGGGGACAATAGCCTCCTTCTGGTCAATGCAATAAATAGATGCCTTGACGGGCAGAACACTTGTGTCGTGTATGGTTCAGTACAGTGCCTGTGTCTTTTCTCAGCGGTGGAAGAGGATGCGCCGCGGACTCTCGTGCCCGATTACAAGCATCAAGCCTCCTGATATCACAAAGCATTACCTAGCGATACAACAAGAGTACAGTAGATCATGCGGTTATGGCTGCGTGTGCGATGATTTTTGTGAGTTCTGTGGACGACGTCAGTAAGATACTGCCTGCCAAGGACTTCCGACCGGACTCACGAGGCAGCTGGATGGACTCTTGCACCACCGTCGACTGGGGGTTGTTGTCTAGGTTTGGTGGCACTACGATGACACCGGTCGAAGAGTCGACGGTCCAGCCAAGCTTCTCGACGTACGCAGTCAGCTCATCGCCTTGTGAGCCAGTTCAGCGAGACTGTGACTTGGAAACCCAAAATTTTGGATGATCACATACCTGAGAGGTCGAGGTAGGAGCCCAAACGTGCGCCGCCTATCCGCTTGAATGCGGCCTTCACTGCACGGGTGGCGACGTCTCGAACCGCATTCTCGAAACCCACACACTCGACGGTGTAGTTGTCACGCAGCGCCTCCGCCTCCTCGGAGCGGTACGTTGCCCAGAAGGCAGGGAAGCGACATTGTTGGAGGAGATTGTACAGGGTGGTGAGGATGGGCAGGAGAGAGGGGAGCGGGTCCGGCTCGTCGGGGTTTTGGTTGACTGGCCGTTCATCGAGGAGCGAGAGGCAAAGGTTGAAGTCGGGGAAGGGGGACGAGGTCAGTGCCTTGATGAGGATGTTGATGGCAACGTCGGCGTTATATAGGTCAGGGTTGAATTGATAGCTTCACGGTTGCGTAAGAACAAACTTGAGTAAAGGCAAGGCCCGAGGAATGTGATCTATACGCACAGCTTCAAGATGGCGAGGTTTGCCAGACAGTCGTACTCCTCGCTTCTGATCTGGTGGTAAAGGTAATCCTCGAGGATTCCGACATTGTTCGGGTTGTAGCGATCTGAGTCACGGTCAATCCTACGTCTTCTTTTCACCACAGATGAGTGCTCACCGACACCGGAGACAAGGTTTTCGATCAAGGGGGTCCTCGTGGGTGGTGAGACCCAGGTCGATGCGACTGAAGCCATCTTTCCAGTTTGAGCCAGTACGCGTGATGGTTCCCGAAGGGTTCAATTTTGCGATGAGGCCAGGTGCAGAGGCGTGTGCGATGCGATGCAGCGTTTGCCAGTCGAAATCGGCGAAGCTTGAGAGGACAACTTTTGCAAGTGGGCGCTAACGCGGTCGACGTCTACGATCTGAGCGTCTACGATCTTGTTTCACGCGCGTTCAGAGTCGACGCGCCGCTACCCCGCCGCTACCTCCATGCTTTGTATGCCTGCAGACTCTCTTTTGCAATGTCCGTGACGGCTCTCAACAACATTTCAGCATCTCGCTCAAGTGGGCAAGAAAATAACGAAACTGAACGGGATGGAGATGTGGCCATGGAACGAGAGAAGGTTGCCTCCCCTTCGCCTATGCCTGGTCCCTCTAAAACACCCAACTCTGACGGGACGCCAGCGTACAAGACACGATATATTCTGAGCGGACATAGCCGACCCATCTCATCCATAAGATTCAGCGCGGACGGCAGGATGCTTGCTTCGGCAGGTGGGTCATCTTGCATTCAGAACATAACTTACTAGCCTCATGATTGACATTTGGAAGCAAGCCGCGGATAAGACTGTCAAGCTATGGAACACTGAAACAGGAGAAATACTTCATACTCTCGAAGGGCATACGGAGGGTATCTCTGATGTTGCTTGGTCACCGGACGGCGAATTCCTTGCGTCCGCCTCGGACGACAAGACCATACGGGTATGGAGTCTAGAGATGGTGAGTCTGAAGCATTGATGTTGCCTAGAGACTCACTGATACATTGAATAAGATGGAGACCATGGTAATTCTCAAAGGCCATACGAACTTTGTGTTCTGCATCAACTTCAGTCCGAAATCAAACTTATTGGTTTCGGGCGGCTTCGACGAAACAGTGCGGATATGGGATGTAGCCAGAGGTTCGTGTAGTGCGCCACATAGCATCTACCGGTTTTAATGACACGATTTTGCAGGACGAACACTCAAGACATTGCCTGCACACTCGGATCCAGTGACGGCTGTCACCTTCAATCACGATGGCACGCTCATTGCGTCCTGCGCAATGGACGGTCTCATGTAAGCACTCTATTTTGTCGCCGTGCGTACACTGACGCATGTGCAGACGCATATGGGACGCAGAGTCTGGGCAGTGTCTCAAGACTCTAGCGGACGATGACAATCCTATATGGTAAGGGGCATCCCTTCTAGAATGACGACCATAACTCATCATAACCATTGATAGCTCACATATCAAGTTCACGCCAAATTCGCGGTTCATTCTAGCATCGACACAAGATTCTACAATACGGTTATGGAACACACAAACCTCACGATGCGTGAAGACGTACACCGGTCACACAAATCGAACGTATTGCTTATTCGCGGACTTTGCCCCTGGGGCGAAGCATATCGTGAGCGGAAGTGAAGATACGAGGATTTATGTATGGGACCTCCAGACTCGTAAAGTGGCTCAAATTCTGGAAGGGCACAGGGGTGCGTGTTATTCTTTAAATCACTGGAGCTGCACTTACTGTTCAATCCTCACAATAGATGTGGTGATTGCTGTAGCGGTGTGCAATGTCTTCCTTCTCGTCTCCCGCTCCATTGATGAAGCGCATACTCTCAGTCGCATCCTACAAAACGGATGCTTGCATCGGCATCAATGGAGAAGGACATGACGATTCGGCTTTGGGTGGACACAAATTGCGTATCATAGCATGACCGACTAGGCCATGTTAACTGATGCTAGCTTGACCTCTGATCACTGCTTTCTGAGTGTACGGAGAGCGCTTTGCCCACATACTCGCCCGATGTTGGGGGACATGCGGCTTGACCAACAGGCACATTTCTGGATGACTCAGAGTATACTCGGATGGTAGTTCGAACGTCGACAATCGCAATTGCTCTGTCTGTTCTCAGTATCAGCCTTTGTAGAAGATCGATTTCACACTGTACATATCGACCTGAAGGAGCGTAACTTCCCCCGTGGTACATTGCCAAATCCTGGGTAAATCAGACAGCCGTAGTGCCGTATGTATATATACTGTTTATACATGAAGAAGTGTGCACAGGTTCGAGGAGGTACCACACTGTGCCACAGCTTGCTGGAAGGAACTTTAACGCGGTGCCGCCGGCCTGATCGTAGGCCGCTGCTGACTCAGGTTTCGAACTCCGCCATATCGGGTCTATATAATGTGGGCCGCCGGATACGACCCATTCAACCGCTATCCTCGTACTCCCCATCGCCACATCCTCTCCTCCCAACATGCAGATCTTCGTTAAGACCCTCACCGGCAAGACTATCACACTCGAAGTCGAGTCGTCCGACACGATCGACAATGTGAAGGCGAAGATCCAAGATAAGGAGGGGTGAGTGCCGGGCAGCGAGCGTAGACTGAGCGATGTTGCTGACCCTCTCTCCAGTATCCCTCCTGACCAACAACGCCTGATCTTTGCGGGCAAGCAGCTCGAGGACGGTCGCACTCTCTCGGATTACAACATCCAGAAGGAGTCGACCCTCCACCTTGTTCTCCGTCTCCGTGGCGGGATGCAGATCTTCGTTAAGACCCTCACGGGCAAGACGATCACGCTCGAGGTCGAGTCGTCTGACACGATCGACAATGTGAAGGCGAAGATCCAAGATAAGGAGGGCATTCCTCCAGATCAGCAGCGCCTTATCTTCGCCGGCAAGCAGCTCGAGGATGGCCGCACGTTGTCCGACTACAACATCCAGAAGGAGTCGACTCTTCACCTCGTACTTCGCCTCCGTGGTGGTATGCAGATCTTCGTGAAGACTCTCACGGGGAAGACGATCACCCTGGAGGTAGAGAGCTCGGATACGATCGACAACGTGAAGGCGAAGATCCAGGACAAGGAGGGCATCCCTCCGGACCAACAACGCCTGATCTTCGCGGGCAAGCAGTTGGAGGACGGACGTACGCTGTCCGACTACAACATCCAGAAGGAATCCACCCTTCACCTCGGTATGTTTGACGTGGTTTGAATGCACTGTGCGAAATGCTGACCACTGTTTTACTGGTAGTTCTTCGTCTCCGTGGTGGAATGCAGATTTTCGTCAAGACCCTTACGGGAAAGACGATCACGCTCGAGGTTGAGTCTTCGGACACGATCGACAACGTGAAGGCGAAGATCCAGGACAAGGAGGGTATCCCTCCTGACCAGCAGCGTCTCATCTTCGCTGGAAAACAACTCGAGGATGGTCGCACGTTGTCCGATTACAACATTCAGAAGGAGTCGACGCTTCACCTGGTCCTTCGTCTGCGTGGTGGCATGCAGATCTTCGTCAAGACGCTTACCGGCAAGACAATCACGTTGGAGGTTGAGTCTTCGGACACGATTGATAACGTGAAGGCAAAGATCCAGGATAAGGAGGGCATCCCGCCTGACCAGCAGCGCCTCATCTTCGCTGGGAAGCAGCTCGAAGACGGCCGTACGCTGTCGGACTACAACATTCAGAAGGAGTCTACGCTGCATCTCGTGCTTCGTCTGCGCGGCGGTATGCAGATCTTCGTGAAGACGTTGACTGGCAAGACGATCACGCTTGAGGTCGAGTCGTCGGACACGATCGATAACGTGAAGGCGAAGATCCAGGACAAGGAAGGCATTCCTCCTGATCAGCAACGTCTCATCTTCGCCGGAAAGCAGTTGGAGGATGGCAGGACGCTTTCGGATTACAACATCCAGAAAGAGTCGACCCTGCACCTTGGTACGTGATGTCGTCTGTGCCGTCGCAGATCATACTGACGTCTGTCTCAGTGCTTCGTCTTCGTGGAGGCAACTGACCGCCTCCGTGTCGCCTTGTCTGTTGATCACTCTCCCGGAGGTTGTACCATCATTGTATCACTCATGACCTTTGTACTATCACACTAGTATCATGATCTATCGCAGAAGTGGGCGTCGTTGGGTGATATCTGATATATTCGCATTGCATTTTAAGGCAAAAGCACAGCGAAGAGAAAGCGGATCGGCGTACACCATGAAATCGAAATTCTTTAACTACACTGCCAGAAATCCTCCCGCAGGCATCCTGCGGGTGGGATATCCATCACTTTGACAGTAGTCACACCTGCAGGATGCCTGTGATCCTTCATCAGAATAACTGCATTTCGAAGACGGTGTTCTGCCTGCAGGCTCACCTGTGCTCACGTCTGAAACTCATTGATGGAACCGTAGGTGCGGTACGCCTGCCTTATTCGGTAATATCAGGTGACTACCTCCTTGCGAGCTGTAAGTCCGAGGTGCTCTTGGGGACCGCGGGCTGTGAGCGTCCTCGCGGTCTCTCAACCATCTCTAAAGAACTTCTGGGCACTGACACCATTTTCATATCTGACAAAACTCGATTTGATCCCGACTTCGCTGTGCATATTGATATATTATCGCAGTAAGCCATGTCCAGGGAAGTCGTTGACTATCATAGACAAGTATATTGACTAGGCAATCAAGCCAAAATGGCGGAGTGGTCGGAGTGGCTGGCGTGGATGTGAGGGTTGCTAGTTCAATTCCTCATGGGTGTGATTAATTTTACCCTAATTTGCGCCGCTGATGCAAGTGAGACACACTCCATTTGGGGACGATTATGTCACATCCGCTCACGTGCCCATCCTGCAGGATTTCTGCAGATCTGCCTGCAGGCGCGACATCGTCTTTGAACGGCACGACGCGCACAGATAAACTACCGGCTACGCACTGATCCACGCCGGGACGACCTTCAGGTTCGCCCACACATTTCGTACCGGTGGATTTGAGGCCGTGTACTATGGCGTATCCGTATGAAGCTCGGTGTCGTGTTGACTGCTACTCGCCTTTTTGCGCCTTTTCCGCTTGTGCCCAGTTCCCGTCGAATGCAAATGCTCCTCCCCATCCTCTTCCGCCTCATCGTGTCCACGCTTCGATCCGGTCTGTCCCTCTTTTCCCTCACCTGTAGTCCTGTTCAGCTCAGACTCAGACTTCGGTTTCTTTTTCTTGACACTGAGCGGATTGGGTCCTTTGGGCCCTTTTTTCTTCTTAGGAGTTTCGGTCGGTGCGCTTGTAGACGGCAGCACAGCGATCTCTGGAGCAGATGGATGAAGCACTTGTTCCTCGGCCTATGAGGGGGGCAATGAGAACTACAACCGAGCCGTATGATCCTGCAAATGACGCACCGACTCCTTCGCTTCAAGTGTCGCCTTACTCGGTGGCTCCAGTATCATAACCGACCTGTTGATATGGACTAACGGTACTGCAGGTACGGTGCGCAGTTTCACGCGGAGCTCATGCGACTGTGTTGCGATAACGTAGCGATGCTTGTTCGTCTCGCCTGTTCTTCTCAGCACTTCTGAATATTCTGACAGAATAGATGAGATACATACCAACAACGCTGGCCAGACAGTCATCCCCAGGGATGGCCTCACGATGGTTGCACTTCCGTCGCTCGAACATCTTAGCAAGGTCAACAGCAGGTTGTTGGGCCTTGCCCTGGAGGTAAAGTTCGTGTATGCAGCATTGAGTGATCACTACAAGGCGGCTTCGCCGCGCGTTCAGCCAGCGGCCCATGTGTTGACAAGGCAGTGGCTTACTGGGTTTCACGGTGCCTTGTAGGACAGTCTCGAGTTGCTTCGTGAGCTCGAGCTTCTGGGTGATGGACGCCTTGCACATCTCGGAGTCAACTGAGAAGCATAATTAGTACCTAGGCCAAACAGAGAACCTACGGTCGCACCTAGCACCTGGTATGGTTGCCTGAAGCCGAATGACATGCAGTAGAGAGTCATGAGCTTGCGGTACGCTTTGGCTCGCTTCTGACGCATGGTTGCAGAAAGATAGACGAAGTAGACTAGTGCTCAAAGGTTCAACCGCAGCAGACGGATGGTTCGGGTCTGCGCGTGCAAGGGGAAATTTGAGGCTGTTGACGGAGAACGAGAATCAATCTCGATCACTCCGGGGCGTTTATGTGGTGCTGTTGTGCAAGAGCCTCTACCACCTTCCTTTCTCGGCACTGCTCTCCCTCGTCACACTCCCATCCGACCATGCGCTTGCCCTTGACATTACTAGCCCTTGCGACGTGAGCTACTGCGCAATTATGAAAGTCCTGTAACGAGGCTCACTGGTATAGTTCTTGTTGTACAGCCCTCGCAGTGGATCTTAAAGGGCGAATACAATGGAACGAAATATGTCCCTGTGCGTACCTTTGCCTTGTCTGTCCAGACACACCAGACTCATCTACGCTTGGAAGCTCTTGGTGATCTCGGACAGTCGAAAGTCATCCTCGACAACGGGAAGCTGCGAGGTGGGATAACCAAGGATGGTGGTTTCGAAATGTGCGTGTACAGTACCGAAGGTTCGCTTCCGGTATTAACGTTAGCAACCTCGTCAATAGTCCGGATGTTTCCCCGGGAACATACATTCTCACTGTCATCTCTCACGACTTTCACTTCGACAAAGTGCGTAGTCTAGAATTACGCGACGTCCATGAGTTAACTCATAAGACGCGCCAGCTCCGGGTGGATGTCTTCGAGACAGAATCGCTGCCAGAAATACGGCCCTACATTGCGGGGACTCCTCTATCTCCGCCATCATCCATCACTCTCCCGTATCCGATACTCCTCACTCCGCGGACGAAAAACGACTACTTCACGCCCCAGCAGTCATTCAACCTCATGGGGATGTTCCAAAGCCCCATGATGTTGATGATGCTCGTCATGGGCGGTATGATGCTAGCAATGCCGTATATTATGGTATGAACACAGTAAACCTCCATTCAGTAACCTTGCATGTCTGATACCCCTGTAGAAGACTATGGACCCCGATTCTCTTCAAGACTTCAACAAACGCCAGGCGAGAATCGGAGCCCTGCAGAGCTCACTCCAGAGTGGTGATCTGAGCGGCGGGTCAGTCGCCCATCATCGCCTTCCTCTGCCACGCATCTCACATCTTGCCAGGTTGTCTGCCTTGATGAGCTCAGCACAGGATGAGTCCTCGGCCAGCACCGGTACGGCGAAGCAGACGTCATCATCATCCGGTGTAAAGCAGCGCGGTGGCAAGAACAGGAGACGGTGACACGCACAACCTCTTTCACTCTCGCCATCGATATGTATCTAAGCAATATTATTGACCGTGATTACTGTAACCCTCTTGTCGTAGAACAGCACTTCTGCGTGAGCATCCTATGTGCCAGCTTGGTTCAGCGACCAAGCTCCAATGAAAGTTTGCAAGTCACTGACCCAGTTAACTTTGCTTAGTCGACTTCAGGCCAGGTTGCGGCGAAGGAGCGAGCGATCCTCCTCCTCGATATCCCTGATTGCGTCAAAAATCTCGCCCAACGCAATCCACGCGAAACTCTTCGCTCCAAAATAGTCGGCCCTCACTAGCCCGACTCTGTACGCGACCCATGCACGTTTCAGCGACTCTCGAGGCGGCGTCCCGTCGTCCCCAGATATGTCTGCCCGTAAAACTTTGACTAGCCTCTCCGTGAGGTCCCGTAAGCGAGACATGGCGTCTGTACGTCGTCGTGGTTGAGACGTCTTTTCTGCGATCGTGCCGATTAACGCTTCCTCCTCGGTGAGTATCGCGGAGCCGGAGTAGACTGAGATGCTACCCAGCGCGCAGATACTGCGGAGGTGAGATGCGTACGAAGCGAGGAGGTGCCCCATGTATACGATAAGATCTTCGGGAACGCTCCTCTGCGATAGTGAGATGAACTCCTTGACACGACGAACTATCGCTTGTTCTGTGGAGAGACTGTGACGTGCTACCGCCGTACTGCGGCGGAAGTCAAAGGTGATTCCTAGCGGGTTATGATCGTGCATGTCCTCCATATGACGAGGCTGAGGAGTCGTCAAAGCTCTCAGAGCGGGAAGCTGGATGGCGCGGAACAGCTTGCCAATCGCTCTCTGGCTTTCGTAATAGCGTATCCTGTTGTTTGTATGCGTCTCAGGCGCATGCCAGTCAGGTTTCCGCTTGTCCTTGGGTGGCGGAATGGCATCCAGTGGTACAGGGTTTCCTGTCTTCGGATAATCGACCGCGATGCTGTGCAAGTCAGAAAGCGCGAGGCAATCCTCGTCAAATATCCCTTCTGAACTCTGGTCTGCGACGATCAACCAGTTCGTTGCGATGATACCAAGAGTCTGTTCGTGATTCGTTGCAGTCAGCAGGGCGCTATATAAGAGCTTAAAAACATGGCTTACATCGCTACTGATATAGTCTGTTACGAAGTCCGCGACATCCACCATGGTACTTTCGCGTTCAAGTACTTTCCTGATAGCAGGCGCGTACGCTGCTGGCTCATAGGTCTCTGGCGGATGAAGTTCGGTCATCGGGGTGAGGTTGTAGATGTCTCCATCAAGATCACCACCACCAAGATAACTAGAGACAGGCCGACGTCCTGCGGAAAGGTGTTAGTCGTCAACTCGTCTGTGGAACCTTATGCGTACCTTTCGTAGCAAACACGACGCCATTTCTCAGCGGTTCGCGCTCGAACGGTGAGCCCATCGGAGGTCTGCCTATCGCATGTACAATCTGTATGTCGCCCGGATGAATGGATGGTGAGCGTGATATGAGGATGCGCCCCTCGAGATAGATCAAGCCTTCTTCGTCTGGTGAATCGATGCAGGCGAAAACCTCGTCCTCCTCCAGGTAGCCATGTATATCCGCGACCCCAACTAGAGTCCACCCATTCGGCTCAGGAATACGAGCGTGGTGTTTGAGCTCCCTGAGGACATGGTTGACAGCGAAGTTCATCATTCGCTGCCAAGAGATGTCTTCAGTGGAAGGCCCGACACCAAGCCGATGCAGGCTGCGCATCGTTGATGAAAGTCTGTACGATGCGCCTAAGCCATGAGCCTCCAGTAAGGTTGCGGCCTTGTCGAGGGACTCTGTGGCTCGCTGCACACCGCGAACGGCGTCGTCCTGAAGGTCTAGGAATACTTGATGCGGCACCCCGAGACCGTCAAGCAGCATGATCAGAGGTCGATTGAGATAGTACTTGGTAGGCCGATCGAATGCTCGTGCGATCTCGATGGAGAGGGAATGGGGTGCGTCGAATTTGATCATCGAGGGGCGCAATCCGACGGTGAGCCCCGTGAGGTTGTAATCAACACTCAGCATGCCCTTGGAGCCCCCCAAGCGAATCTGGTATAAACGCGGGTATGTGCTTGCACGTCCAACGCGTCGCCCTTTTGCTCGCAATCTAGCCCATATTGCTCTAGCGAGGTCGGGTGACAGGGTACCGACTCCATCTGTGAAGCAATATTTGCGGTCCAGGGTGATGACATCGGGAAGAATTGACATGTCCTCTGTCTGCACGGACAACGCGGAGTCGGTCGCGGTGAAGGCCTGGGAGATGCGCGCGGCATAACGTGCCGGACAACGCATAAGCTGGGAGTCGTATGGAAGGTTACGAAAAGAGCCCAAGCTTTGTATGATGCTATCGGCAGTGACGCGGCGGCCAGCGGCTCGGAAGGGCTTCATAAACCAAACAGCATGCTCCTTCAAACCAGATTGGGAGTACGCGAGGAACTGGAACGTTCGGCCAGCAATGGGCAAGCCATTCACTAGGAAGTCTTTGACCCGCCTATCCATGAGGCTGCTAGTGTCCACGTCACGGTCGAAGCGATATGCGAGTCTGGTTTCGTCGAGGAAACTGACTCGGATGAAAGAGTCTTGAAACGCCTTGTATTGACGTATCACCCTGTTAGACTGTTCCGGATACGGTCCTTCGAGAAGGACTCTGGTCGGCGTCACGATGACGTGGAGGCAAGGGAAAAGATCCTCGTTGTCGGTCGTCAGAAGCCGGAGCGTAGGGGGCCTCTGCAGGAACTCGCGGAGGGTGACCCCCCATATGTGTCGCAACGAGTTGTCCCCTCCATCCTCTACCGACACGGCTACCTTGACCTGCGTACGAAAGTCACGCAGAAAGGCACTCGTCAGGCCTGATCCATGTCGTTTGAGCATCAGCTCGATTTGGGGCCGCAACTCGCGTTGCACCTCTTCGAGCTCAACAAGGGATGCCCTGACGAGGGCATCCACCTGGAAGGCTATAAGCCAAGGCTTGCCGAAGATAAATCCATCGTACGCTTGACGTTTGTCTTCCGCAAAGAGAGCTCGCGGGATGGCGGAATACAGTGTTTCGTCGATCTGGGCCTGGGCGAGACGACCAAGCACCTTGAAGTTCTCCAGGTCCTGGGATGTCATGCATCGAATGCGCAAAGCGAGAGACGTATACGGTGCCAGGGGTTCATGGTCTGCGTCAAATGCGGACATTCGACCGCGTTTTCGCGGCGCTTCAGGTACGTTCCTCCCTTGGAAGGTCAATGCGTTCATCAACGAAGCCAGATAGCCTTCGTCGTCATCGATTTGATACGAAGGGGGATGGTTAAGGCCGAGAAGTATGATAGGGCCATCGGTGTCCTGCCCAGCCCCGACCCAATACACCGACGCGGCGTGAATGACCACGTACCGAATACAGGTCTTCTCATACCAATTGACAATGAATTGTCTCCGCCTCTCGTCGTAAATGAGTTCAGCTACAGGGTCGGCGAGCTTCTCCAGCTCGATCGAGAAGACGTCGTCCCGACAGAAATGTCCAAACTGCAACGCAGCGACGCCCACTGACGGCGTCGTAGAGTCCCTGTTGCGCCTCTGTTGTATGAATCTCGGGTCGACAAAAGGCCTGGGCTGTAAAGCCCTGAGCTGGTACCCTCGTGGACGCCGGCTGCTCTGCTTGAAAACGATGGAAGTACCGAGGATCAAGCGATAATGCGCGGGCTTGCCACCGTAATCGCAAAGGAACTGTTCCCCAATTGCAGCCGTCGGCAGGGTCATGATACCGTTCTTCCTCCCATCTGTACGCTGACCAGACAGACGAACAGCAAAATTGATCGGATGAACGGGGTGGGGCGAGTACCGTGGACTATGCAAGATGGAGGCCAGATGGCTCTTGAGACGCGTCTCATCGATGTTGGACGCAATGTTATACATGCAGATGTCCATATTGCCCAGGATGGACCCGTCTTGCGAGAGCGACAGACGAGGAAACGTCAGGGGACTGACGAACGAAACGTGGATACTTACATAGATAAGACCGGGCGACAGAACTGTGGCGTCCTGCCCGGCGTCCAGCAGGGCATAGATGTATACCGGAAGTTCCACAAGAACACTGCGTGGCATGGTCAGTGAGAAAACATGCCACCGACTTTGGCAGAGCAAGGATAGAGTTCATCGACTTACATTTCATTCAGGCAAGGCGCCTTGCGAACACGATCGATGTCGTATCCAACTGCTGGTTCTTTGGTCATAGGATTACTTTAAGCCCACCGGGAGACAAGTCGGAGAATGAGAACTTCGCCTTCAATCTTCTATATGGACAGGTATGCCACAGTGAAGCGCCTCCGACAGATGACTGCGCGAGGATGTAGTAGAATGCCTACTGCCATACGAAGCTGCAGCATATCCATGAGCAGGTGCTCATCATGCCCTAACGGTTTCGTAGACATATCACACTAAGTCCCCACAGCAAGCACGGTGGATCGTCGTCGCCTGAGATATAGCCATGCCATATGCCCTTGTCTAAGATTGAGAAGGTAAATCAGCCGCGGGACATGACGTAGCAATCTGCTGTTCTCTCTTCGCCATCTCAGGATAGTCTATAACCTGCCTGATAACAGCATTCCTAGGACCGCGTTGGACAAGGTCTTGTAAGAGGGCAAGATGACATTGCACGCACCGTTGTTTAAATCGTGCCAAAAGAGTATGAGGGGCCTGGAGATCCTCGTCGGCTACTCTGTTTTCACAGAAGAAAAGTGAAATCACCACAAAGCACGCCAAACAGGATAATAGTAAAACTCACATTTCTTCAGGCATAGTCGTCGTTTCGAGGATGTACATATTGTGTTCTTCATCAAGTCCGCCCGCGCCGGCGGCTCCACTGACTTTGACATTCGTCACGGAGATGTCGGAGGATAGGCTCTTCGCCGCTGGAGGGGTGTTCCTGTTTGGATCATGGTCTATGACAAGAATGCGTTCCCCCGGGTATTGTGGCAGAAGAGAGTGTGGCGAGTCGTCGGCGTAATGGTATTCAATGACCGGGTGACTGAGCGTCGTTGAGGTGGTAGCCAAAGGATTGTTGTGGGAGACTAATATGTAGAATGGGGGATGTTCCGCAGCCATGGCTGTAATTTCGCAGAAGCGTGCGTATCGAGCCGCGAGACTGCTTGAAGTTGGAAGTCAGGTATACGGGCATGCAGGACTCCGCGCTCAGCGCGTGGCGTCGATCCAGAAAGTCGGATCCACGGGGAGATACGTTCCCGGAACGGGGAACGGGGAACGGGGAACATCACGCACCGTGACGCCGTGTGACACCTTCGTCAATAGCGCTGCCAGTGCCACTGTCAGTGGTTACTAATTCACCGCTTGAATTGTTGTACATAGTGAATAGTAGTAGGCACTATGTCTTCTGGGCCATTGTTCGGTTGTTAGGCCACAACACACTGCACAGTGAATATGGTCAGCGATAGCAATGGGTGTTTCCTGATATGGAAACGATCCCAATCAGGCAATGCTCGCTGGGCCACATTGGATCACGTGAGCCCAGTCGAGCTCACCAGCCCTGTACCCGCCGGTGAGTATGAACGTTGAGCAATAAGTAGCTTGCGATTAATTTATGGCAGCGAGAATCCATCTAATTTACCTGGTAATAAGTGGTTCTTATTCTGCTGATGCTAGTACAATCGAGTTCTTACAGTGTTACAAATGTGTGACAGAGTCGGTATTGACCACCATGCAGTGTCACGCATGTCTTAATAAGCATTCTATAGATCTACGTACTATTGACTTCCGGGTTCGGAAATACCTGCTTATGACATAGGTCGCTCCGTACGCTTTGCCCTCTGTCACTCTGTGACCAGCGTTCCTAGGGGCGTTCCGCAGAGGTGTTCCCGGAACGCGTTCCGGGAACGTATCTCCCAGTCGATCGGACGTTCTCCAGAAATCACGCAGGACTGATTCAGCCACATGCGCCAGTTGTGCACCTGATTCAGAGGACGCGATGCCGCCGATGCGAGCGACAAGCTGCGGCAAGGACCGCAAGGTACAACCGCGTTCGCCCCTGTTCGCCCCCGGTAAGTAACCGGTTGTCGCGTCGCATTCGTATCGAGAATGCGTTCCGGATCCCATCAAGAGCAACTCGCAGATGCTGCATGCGGCGCTCTCACAGCTGTATTCAACATCGCTCATCTTGCCGCATCTTGCTTGTTGCCTACGATGCCCTGCCCGATGGGCCTGCCACATGTAGCCATCTCGAGATGCGGTACACGCGATGCACGAGGGTGCTCGACAACCGAGGAGACGATCAATCGATTCCCCTGGCGACGCTGGACTGCACTCCCGAGCAAGCGTCGGTAGGCGTCGGTCCTCGATTGATACTTAAGTCAAACCGTTTGCTCGGTGTCTGCCTTTCTCCCAAGTTTTGAGTTCCCTCATTCTCTCCTCAGTCCTGGTGGCTCTTCCTTGTCGTTTGTCTCGCTCTCGCTCCTTAACCAGCCCTTTCGTTCGCCTTCACATTCATTTCGCACCGCGACGCGCCCTCCTGACCGGAAATGAACCGCGTGTTGCTCGTATTTCTGACCCTCGCAGTGGTTCTCGCACTAGTCCCTGAAGGACTCGCCGGACTCACCTATGGGCATCGCTACCACAAGAGGTCGTTTTCGAAGAAGCGTGAGGATGGATATGATTTGACGCCCAGATATGTGGGGAACGTAAAGCGGCAGTCGTGTCGAGTGAGGCCTACATCGTATGTCCGGACAACTTAATACTCGCTCACATAGACTGATTTACTATGTCCGTACTCCGCGCCTTTCTCTCGAATGCTGTAGCTCGGGGAACTCGACTATCGTAAGTATAACGCAGCCTGTTCCAAGTAGCAGCACCCAGGACTCCGCCTCTTCTACACCTTCCGCCTTTGTTCAGCCTTTCGTTGAGTTCTCCCCAGCGCCTTTCCCAGCGCCGTCTCCTGCCGTCACGCCTGAGGCACAGCAAGATCCTAGCCCCGCCCCGGCTACCACTTCCGAAGAACCTGCACCGACTACGAGCGAGGCTCCGCCTCCACCTTCCACCACCACTTCCGAGTCATCGACTACTGAGGCGGCCCCTACTGCTTCCGCATCGTCCTCGTCTGAAGCGGCTCCTACTGCTTCCACATCGCCCTCGTCGGGATCATCCAGTGGCACGTCCCAGAGCGACATCGACAAGTACTTGGACGATCACAACACTGCCCGCTCTCAGCATGGTGCCGCGGCCTTGACATGGAACGATACCCTTGCAGTGGCTGCTCAGCAATGGGCCAACGGCTGCGTCTTCCAGCATTCGGGTGGTACGCTGGGCCCTTATGGAGGTGCGTAAGAAGAGGATCACGAACTGCCCTTAACCTAGCTGATTGCCGTCCACAGAAAATTTGGCTGCCGGGACAGGCGACAGCTATGGTATTGATCAAGCAATCAAGTCCTGGACCGACGAAGCCTGTGAGTGCATCGTGGTGTCATGCTTCGTCACCCTGTTACTGACATGTCTGTTCCTCCCTTATAGCTCAATTTAGCGCGATCAGTCCCGAGGCCTCGCACTTCACCCAAGTGGTCTGGAAGGCTTCAACGCAAGTAGGCTGCGCGCTGCAAGACTGCGATGGCATCTTCGCAGCGAGCTTCGGAGTAAGTCCGCCGTTCCTTCAAGGCATATCCTTAATTTGTGGCGCTCAATGTTCGATGTTTGCAGAAGGCTCACTACTACGTGTGCGAATACTTCCCGCAAGGCAACGTGATAGGCAATTTTGCGTCAGTGCTCTGTCCTCTGTTGACCATACGCATGTCGTCTGACCTTCGCATCAATTAGTCAAAACGTGCAAGTGTAGCCTCCACATATGAGCGTGTCGCGCTTGGAGGTGCTTGGTGTATTCGTACTATCAGTAGTTCCCTGCTTCCGGTCCTCGTCGGCAGAACTAGAAGTTGTGACCCCCTTTGTATTTCCTCAAACTGAGGGTTGCTTGGTGAAGCACACGACTGCCAGTCAGAATCTGCGAATACCGATCTATAGTACAGTGCCGGCGCTCGGAGAAGTGTTGTCTGCAGTGATCGAGTTGGCAGCCGCATGTGATCGACTCAGCCACCGACGTTTGGCCTGGTGCCATAAGTAAAACGCCCGCGTCGTGCGTCGTCGAAGCGGCTGCCTCTGTCAACCAAGTGGATGTTCGTCAAGTGAATGTTCTCAAAGTCTCGGGGGACTTCAGCAGTCTCTTTTTTTCTCTATGCCGTCGTACTGCTCTTGACAATCTTCTTCGCGGCGGTCTCCTGTGCTTTGCTCCTGTCCCAGGCCGTCAGGACAGACCACCGACGGACATGGACGCAGAACTTCAATGCTGTGGTCATAGGTGCTGCGTATGTTGCCGTAGTATGTGCCTCCTACGACGGTCAGAAGTGGAGTAATGACTAAAGCCATGCAGGCATTGGTGTCTGTAGTATACTGCTTGAAGCGCAGGATAGCGGTTCACAGGCGGTTGCAACGTATCTCGAAGACCTACCGCACTCTAGGTCGCCCTGAACTCCCTGAGGTAAGCTACCTCTGCTTGCAGCATGACTCAGAGCTGAACTATAGCACAGCGCGTACATCGCTTCATACAACAAGAATATACCCGCGCTTGTCTCATAACTTACGAGTCACAACCTAAGGATGGATCGCATGAGGGCTGGGGGAACCCAGGTGCGCATCCCGTCGTCAGCCCTACTTCACTCGTCTCAGTTTGTGCCTCTCACACAGGCACAAGATATGCGGGTGTACGGTTTCGGAGCGCTCTCCTTGATACCGTACGAGAGACAGGTCAGGTCCACGATACGACGTTCTCTCGCTTCTGACGCGGGTCCAACCACAGACGCGCTTGCACACCTAATTATACCACGCCATCCCGCATTACGACCACACGCACGCATGCTGCACCACTTCCGGTTCATCCTACCCCTTCTCCCGCGAGACGAAGACGGGCTGACGCCATTGCATTACTACGACTCCGCAATCCAGCTTGTGCGGCACGCATCAAGAGAACCGACGGAAGCCGAGTACGTACTGGGCATGGATGCAGCAGCGGAGATAAAGCGCATGTAAGCGACCATGCTCATCGCTTGTCTGCGGATCTAACTTCGCATGGCAGTTTGGACGAATGCAGACAAGAGATGCTTGAGGGCTCGAGTTTGCATCTGAGCGAAGCCACGTCGGCGGAGCTCTGAACTCGCTAAACGGCGTCGCCCATGTTCTTGATAACGTCGCACGGGGTCTGCAGGTATAGCATCTGACATCCTGAAGTTCAACGAGTCTCTCACCAACGTCACAGCCAATAAGGTTCTACTCATGGACCTTCGGTCCTGCGACCGACAAGCAGCACGCACACGTCGCTTATAGCTTCATCAGATTACGAACCGGTAATAGGTATGCAAGATCAATACAATACAAGGGAGCACACGTCACAAGCTATCGGGAGTGTTCAGCAATACGAACTGCGACTTGGTATGGATCCTTTAGTGCAGGCCATCTACGTAAACCTTGTTCCAGCTGGGCCTCTCCGTCCATGCACCCCAGTATGCAACAACCTTCGGTGGGATAGGCTGCTTCGTCTCCTTCTCAAGAGCCTTGATACCCTCCTTGTCGTTCTTGCCGCCGTTAACATGCACCAGGCGTGCAAGCCAAGCACCCAGGTGGAAGTCGTCCTCTCCCGGCGTGGCACCTCCCAAGAAGCCGCTTTCGGGAAGGGTAGCGGGCAGCTCGTTCAGGATGAAGTCGGAGATTGTCTTCCAGTGAGTCTCGGATTGCTTGTAGAAGTCATCGGGGGACGCCTCGCCCTTGTAGATGGCAAGGACGCCACCGTTGCCGGCGATCTTCTCTTCGTAGAACTGCTTGAACGGCGCGGCCTTCTCGGTCTTGGAGTGCTTCTCGAGCGCGTTCTGGCCTGTGACGTAGAGTTCAGGGCTCGGGTCCGGGGAGGGCGGTAGCATCTGACTTACGGTTCTGTACGAAGAGCTTTGGGAAGCCGTCCGCTGCCGCTTTCAATTCGTCATCATTACGCTGACATCCTTGGATAAGTTTGGATTGGCATGACAGCAGTGTTGGCCTACTCACGACAAGCAGCAAGGGGAAGTTAGGGTCGTATTTGTCCTCGTGAATCTTGGTGATGAAGGCGGTGCCTGTTGTGACCTTCTTCGATGCGTGCTTCACGAGCCAATGCGTGACGGACGCGGTATCTGTGAAGACCTCGCCATCCGCTTGCAAGGTAGGCAGAGTGGCCTTCGGGTTCTATGAATGGTATGAGCACACCGTGATACCCGGGGCAAGGGGTAGATGAGAACTTACGACTGCGAGGAACTCGGGCGTAAAGTTCTCTCCTTCGACGAGGTTCACGATTTTCTTCTCTACAGCACCCTCGGGGTACTCGAGCTCCTCACTGACAAAGGGGGGAAAGGTCAGAGCGCGTCGATCACCTCGGCCGCTGCGGCGGTCCTGCACTTACACAGCAAGCTCGGGGGCGGCTGACCATACGGACAAGCCGAAGACATAGAGGACGGCGGGCTGATGGCGACGCCTCCTCAGTAACTGGGAGAACCTATCAATACTTGTTCGCCAAACCTTAGACATGGTACGGGCAAAGACTGGGAGGGCGAAGGTGATGTCGAGCTTGCGGGCTAATGGCGGTTGGTGAGGAGAGGCATGTTGCTACAGGCTTATATACCGCAGACCAGGGTGGATCAGATGGAAGATACATCGGAGAAGATAGGTTGTGCAATCGCATGTCTGAGCAGGCCTAGGGGTACCGGTGGTCATTCAGTCAGCGCGACCGTGACTTCGGCCAGCATGTATGACAGAAAAGACGCTTGCGCGGGCGCGCTTCGTATGTCGTCTTCATGATGCAACAAACGGAAAGGGCCATCCACGTGTCCGTCGTGATACTCTTCGTAAGTAGCACAATCCTACGCGAAGACAGCCACGGCCCAGAACTCGTATGGAGCCTCCAAACCTGCGCATTGTCATCTCGCACTGCGCAGGTCACGGTTTCGACTAGAACCACTCGTTGGCACCGACCCCTGGAAGATCTTCCCCACCTAAACCGAGACACACCGCCCAAAGCCCACCACCCTGTGGTACCAAGCCAGATACGGATGGAGCCACCACCGTCACGGATCCAGTCACGTTCGCTATGCCCCACCACTTCTTGTTGCGGGAACTACAAAACAAGGTAAGACTTACACACCTTGCATAGAATATCGTGACCGCTCACCTCGACCTTGTCCGGTAGCCCTTTAATGGCATCCCTCAAACCCTTCCTCACCATCACTGGGTTGTATATCTTCCGCTTGCAGCGCGAACACTTCGCATCAACAATGGCTTCAAGGATTGTACCGTCTAGATAATCCATGGAAATGCCCTCGCGTTCCAACTGCGAGATGAGGGTGTATTTCATGACCTGCCATGGGCTGTTGTCGACGTCTTCATCGCAAGAATGGCATACTACCTGCGTTGTGGTCGCATATGGGAAGAGGTCACCATCATCGAGGCACACCCGGAAGAGGTCCCTTCTCTTGCGGTGCAGAGTCATAAGCTTCATGATAGCAGCACCGTCTATGCGCGAGAGATCCGACACCGCCTCGGGTGAACATAGGTCGAGTGTCAGGGTCTTGGAGGAAGCCCATGTCGCCTCCTTGTACCAGCCATGCTCGTACGCAATCCCGTAGATGCGGATCGGGGATGCCTCAAGAACAGGAGACGTGAGCGTGGATCGTATCATGACCACTGCGGATGCCACTTCATACTTTTCTGCAGCGCGCAATAACGTTTCGAGGGTGTCGATCGAGTCGAGCGGAGGCATTCCAAGTCGGAACGATATATTGAGCAACTCGGCGATGACTTCTGCGGTCTCTTGCATGGAGATGGGCTCCGGTTCATTCGGAGATGGAGGCTCCTTGGGTAGAGTAAACATCGTCTTGAAGAAGCCCCATGTCAGCCTGAGGAGCAGCGATGTCACGGCGAACAGCGTCCCGTCGCTCGAACGTAGAGTGATGTCCGTATCAGGCGACACCGGGTACCCCGGATGGTAGGTAGGTGATGTTGTATCTTCCTCAACTTTCACTGACGCACTCGTGTCTGATGCTTCCATTACGCTAGGTCAACGATCTAGACCAAATGATCAATGTCAGATGATCTACGTAGGTAGCAACAGACTTGAGTACAACATGCACTCACTGACAGGACCTGGAGTGTGGAAGTCAATCGATCTTCGGCCGTCGCGGGACAACGGACTCGGGTCCGCAAGGGGGATGTTGCGTTGACGAGCATCCTTGCCTTAAGTATCACGGCACCTGCAGCGAGATGAAATGATAGAATAGGTCTGTACAGCCATGCCCCTGCAACGTGGGTGGTCCAGGTCATGTTGGCGCTTGAAACGACGAATGGCGTAAGTACAGGTCCCGCCAGGTGTGCCAGTGAACCACACAGTGTAGTTAATCGGTTGATCGTGAGAGCCAATACATGCAGCACATATACTGTGGATCACCTTGCCCGCAAGAACCAGAGTACGACGCGGACGGTCACCGGTCAACGCCACTGATTCCACGCTGCCAGAACCAGCCTGATTCCCAAGCCTACTATCGATGGATGGAGTTCAGTAGTGGAGACTATCAAAAATCGTGCAGGTGACCATCTGTATGGTCAATTGCTGCCACTTGAAGACTGTTCGAACTGACACTCGCGACGAAGGAGCTAGCACATGAGAGAACTGTCGAGTTGCCCAACATATTGAATACATCTGCCCAGCAGCATCGTCCTGTAGTCAGCGATCTATTAGTGCCAATCATCGTCCTGGGTCCAAGCGTACCATTGATCGCTCGCAAGTCAGTAGATTATCCGTCGACGACACTTACGGCGCACTCACCTTGAGTGTGTTTGGTAGGGAGTTCACCATAGCGCGGAGATTGGTTTTGGTGTGCGTGGCGTCATACAGCTTCTCGTGACAATGCTGGCAACTCGCCTCTGCAGCGACTTGGACGTCAGGACTCTCGATGTCGTCGACACTGACTGGGACATGCTCTGCCCGCGACAGCCACCAGGCCTTGAGCGTCAGCCAGGGATTGCGTCCGATGTTCTTGCAGCACTTTGGACACATCTGCGGAACTTCATTCCCCTTGTCGTAGACGTCGGCATCATCGAGTTTCTCCCGCAGCGCATCTCTCCGCCTGCGCTGCAGGACGAAGAGCTTCATGATCGCAGACCCGTCGAGTTTGACGAGCTCCGCAGCGACATCAGGCGAGCAGAGGTCCAGACGTATCGTCTTGGACAACGCCCACTCTGCTTCCCTCTTCCAGCCGCGCTCGCAGGCGATGGCGTAGACGCGGATCGGGGAGACTTTCGATACTCCGGAGGTGAGGCAGGCGCGGATAAGCATGACCGCAGAGGGCATCTCGTAGTACTCCGCCGCACGCAGGATGTCTAGCAACAGCTCGGTGGCATCAAGGGGAGGCATCTCGATCGAGAACGCGGTCTTCAGCAGCCCCGCGACCACGGTAGCTTCTTCCGGGATGCGGACGGGCTCGTTTGGGGAGGGTCTCGGCATATCCTTGGGATCCGTCAACAACTTGTTGAACCATCCTGATGTCGACTTCAAGGTCTGGGAGCGGACGCAGAACGATACCCCGTCCCTGGAACAAAGCACAACGTCCGTGTCTGATTCCGGCTGGAATGATGGATGGAACTTGTCGAACGACATGTGTCGAACCGTATACCGGCCGGTGACAATATGGTGGAGGCAATGATGCACGCTGGCTGGCGCCGGAAGCAGAAAACAAAAGTGGTTCGCATTATCAGCTTCCCGTGAGACTGGGAAAACAACAAGCTTACGTTGCAGCGTCAACGCAATGTGCAGTCCGTTGGCAGTAACCACCGACACGGTAGAGCGGATGATATACAGCCTCAAGGACTGGAAACGCCCGTGTACATGCCTCGTGTACCACCTGACGCTACACGATGGTATCAACTCAATGACGCGTGACAGAACGTCAAGGTCACGAAAGAGCCGCTGTGTTGCATTATGGCAACTGTTGTGTCGGCACCAGCTACGCCGAGACAGCTGGTATACGGCAGCATTGAGACTGCCAACTCTGTTGCGATAGCCCGCCAGAAGGCCGTGACCCTCTTACGCACAACACGCACAGGAGCATCGGGACAACAGCGGGTTTTGTGCATTAGGAATGTGTGTACCAGCATACCAGAGAACTTCTACAATCCAAGAACATCCAGACGCCACCGAACACGCCAGAAAACCTAGAAAATGAAGACCTGCCCGTGGTTTGGTACGTGTGCCGCAGTCCTTCAAAGAGTTACTCACCTGGTCATCGAGCTTGCTGACGGTCCGAGGAGCCGAATAGGTGAGTTCTGCGAGGTGTTTCCTGCAGCTGATCAGTCAAAGAACAATAGTTCCTGTGAATGCAACTCACTTCATAGCAGTCATCATCGGTGGCGGCCCTGAAAAACAAATTGAGAACCGTGCCGCATCGGTCAACGCAAATCCACGTACCGCACATCATGATCTTGATATCGTTATGCGGGTTCGGCGCCGGCATCCAGTTCTCGACCTGGTCCTTCGACACGAAGCCGACGCCGCCCGTCCATCCCTCGGGCGGGTTGTTGAGCACGTAGTACACCTTGAAGCGGTTCGGGTGCAGCGCGGCGAGCTCGTCCAGCTCCTTCTTGAGCAGGATGTCCTCGAAGTTCACGTTCGCGTAGATGAGGTTGAGCGCGGTGTGGTCGCTCGGGTTCTTGAGCGCTGCGCGGATGACCTGCAGCATGGGCGTGATACCCGTGCCGCCCGCGATCATGCCCAGGACGCGCCATTGCGAGGGCTTGTAGGTGAACTGGCCCTTGGGGCCCTTCACGCGGACCTTGTCGCCGATTTTGAGGAGGGAGACGTAGCGCGAGATGTTGCCCTTCTCGTACGACTGCAGCGGGGCGTTAGTAAGGCGGCGGGCGGCGGGTTGAGAACGCACCTTGATGAGCAGGTCGAAGTGTCCCCGGTCGTCATCACTGCTCGTCGGCGTGTAGCTACGCATGATGTCCTTCCCGTTGATTTCAGCCGAGACTGAGATGTGCTGGCCAATGGGCAGCCCAAGGACATCATCGGGATGGGGAAGGGCGAAACGGTAGCTACATGAACCTCAGTCGCAGCGCATGCCACGTCGCACAACCAACACTCACATCGCAGTGTTCGGAGAGATTTGTACCTTCTCCTTCAGCGGGAACTCCTGCCATTTCGCTGGATCAAGTACAGGCGTCTTCTCTGCGAGTCGCAACCGTCACGCTGGAAGCAGCAGGACCAACTGCGTGGCACTCACTTTGAGCTGCACCGAACTTTCGGTAGATTAAGAAACTCGTCACCACGGCCATGCCGAGCGCAAGCAACTGCGTGGCATTCCCTTCCAAGAGCCCTGCTGGTGCAGACGGAGAGCTAGACGAGCCATCTTGTGCCGACATCGTGTCCTCTCTAGGTGGTAGGCCGACGAGGATAAGGCGTGAAATGTCGTAACCGGCCTCCTTGAGCTTCCCGTTAATGATCTTAGAGACAGCGATGAGAGAGAAGAATGTGACGAGGAACGCCGTTAAGTAGGCCCACTGGAGGTGGTTGGGCATCACAACCTCGAAAGCAGGAATCGCACGATCCCAGTCGTTGGGGTCGGGATTTTGGCCGCGGAAGACGCTCAAACAGGTCCGGACTCTGCATCTTCGGGCCCATACGGTTTCGCCGTCGTGTCCATGTCAGAGCTTATTCCGCGAGTGCGATAAGTATGTAGCTCTCGAAAAGCAAGTAGGGGGTCTAGAGACGCAGCAGATAATGTAGTTGCTGAAGTACACCGTGAGCTATTGTGAGTAGAAATCGAGACACATGCATGACACGCGTATGCTGATCTATGTACATAGGACTGGTCCACTGGTCGCTGTGCTGGATATCATGTTGTGCATGGTCTAGCGGTGCTAATGCGAACGCAGTTCCACTACTAGTACTACGCGGTGTCGGACAATGGCCCATCTGCCACTATGCTAGAAACATGTGCACCCGCGAACCCTGACCGAGACAGTGTCGCAGATGAAACAAGCGACTCGGACATGGTGCGTATGCGAACGCACAGTACTTCCTCTCGGTGAATCATCGACCCTAATTGCTTTCATCATGCCTATATGAACCCACGCGCGAGACACGGGCTCTTGACAACTGTGACAAGCGATGCAGGTCATCCATGGCCTGCATGCTTTGACAGCAAAGGATTTAGTCAGCCTGGTTGTCAACGCCATGCTTACCAAGATTATGTGGAGACGTCCTCGAGTTAGCTCGCTTTTGGTACCTGAAGGCCTGAAGGCTGGGAATGGCGATGGACGGGTCAGCTGGCTTGGCCCAGTACTTGAAAAGCGGGTTGCGAGCCGGCGAGCCGAGAGTCAATCCAGCCTGAGCCTCGCGCGCAAATGTAGACCGACAAGCCGATGATTGCCCGCAGTCAAGTCGCAGCCACGGTGGTGTCCAACGCTTTCTGTCGACGTGACGCAGAATAGCAACATACCACACTTGTTCTAAAATTGAGAAGGGCAACCACGATGATCCCAGAGTGCCAAGTCCCTGATAGAGCTAGGCAAACGCAAACACTCCGAAAGATACGGGCGTAGCAAGAACATCATCTGGACCCGAGGATGCTCGCGAGTGGCTGCAGAAGGGGCTACAGGCAACGGGCCACCCCGGGGGAGACTGCGGGACACCGTAGCAAGAGTGTAGATGTGGATGGTTGTTGAAATGCGCCGTATGCGCTCCCGATGCGCTCAATTGAACACTTTTCACCGGTGCGCCGGATCGAGGCGTCAGGCAGATGTGTTTGAGATCGACATGTCGAGACGCTCGGACACGGTTGCCATGTGGGCGCACCGTGCAAGCAAGCGCAGTTGAGGCTCAGGCGGCTGTGCGGGAGATGCGCGTTTGCAGGCGAGATCGGGAACATGGACGGGCAGGGGACGGGCGGAGCGTATGGGCCGCGGAGGAGGCTGGCGTGGCGACAAGCAGTGCACGGCGCGACAATGCGCGCGAGCCCAAAGCGGGTGGCTGGGCGCTACGCAGGCGCTGCGACGGGGGGGTGTTTGGATACCATAGGCGCCACGTGGGGCGCACAAATACGGGGCCGACTCTCACAGTTCAACTCCTACTTATGCCTCGCCTCGCCTGAATGCCGCCCTCCACGACTCTTCTCCATTTTTCCTCCCCGTCCGTCTAACGCTCTGCTGGGGATCTTCCCTTTTTCTTCTCTTTATCTTTGTTTTCTTCGCCCGGCGTCATTGCCCTCCTCACACCTTTCCGTGTGATCTTCTCCTTCACCTTGCAGCGCTACCGCACACGCCGGCGTGTCGAGCCAACTCAAAAGCATGGACTCAGCGACCCCTCGTCCGCCATCCTCCCTGCGGTCCCTTCCCTCCGCCACGCAGCGGAAGAGAGGCCCCCCGACTTCCCTTCGCATTGACACCCCAGCTCTTACCTCCGACATAGCGCTCGTACAGAGCGAGAGCTCTGCCTCTGCCTCTGGACTTTCCTCTGCAACTTCTGACTCTGACTCGTTTACCTTTCCTAACCCCAGCAAGCCACGGACGTCCCGGAACATGAAGAAGCTGTCCCTCACCCTCCCCTCCGCCCAGTCCTCGACCAACTCCCTCCTCTCCACAGACAGCCAAGGCCTGGAACCCAAGAGACGACTCTCGATCGTTTCCCTCCCCCCGGCCGTCCCGGCTACCTCCCTACGGAGAAAAGGAGAGGAGGACCAGAGTCTCGATCCCGCGTCGTATCACGATGGCCCAGTGCAGATCTTGCCGGGCATCTGGCTTGGCTCTGAGGATAACGTTCGCGATTGGAGAGGTCATTTGGAGCGCGGTATCAAGTCGATTCTAAATGTCGCGAAAGAGGTCAACACCATCTTCGATTCGGTGAAGCCTCATCGCGCGTTCATGTCGACGCCCGACCTGAATTCGGGCAGCGGCGATTCCGAGTCGACATACTACCCCGCTCATGTACCGAGTGGCAGACCAGCGATGCACTATCTCAAGTTGCCCTGGTCGCATGGTCAGGCGGATCTTGTACATACCGGTTTCCCAGCCGCATTCACGTTTGTCGATCGAGCTCTCGAACGTGGAGACGGCGTGTTGATTCAGTATGTAACCTACAAGCCCATTCCACCGATCGATTGTCTCACGTTCATTGTAGCTGTCAATGTGGTGTTTCGCGTTCTGCAACCTTGGTCATTGCCTTGGTCATGCGCGCAGCCGCGCAACGATCCCCAAACGTGCCCTGCGAGGTCTGGGCACTGAAAGGCATGCAAGGCGCCTATGACTTTGTAAAGGAGAAAAGCAGTACTATCGGACCTAATATGTCGTATGTGTCTTGTCTTCGCATTTCGTGTGACATATACTCACGTTATATGCTGCGAACCCAGCCTTATTTATCAGCTATTAGACTATGAACGCACGGTCAAGAGTGGCACGAATTCTCCGGCGTCGTTTGACCAGTCTCCTTCCGAGGCAGAGTGGAGTCGTCAGCGCTTGCTAATGGACGAATCCCACGCCGACGATGATAGGGAAAGCGTCGAGGTTATGCGCGAAGCAAGAGCGCTGGATCAGGCCATGGAAGACCGGTTGATGGCACGCAAGTCGTCCATGTCTTCCATGAGTTCGTCTGGATCATGCCCAAGAAGACCCAGATACGTGTCGCGAAAGCGTGCAGGCTCTATTGCCAGCGTCATGACAGGCAGCAGTCTGCTGAGTGAAAACCTCGTGGAGGAGGATGAGGAAGAAGAGCTGTTAGGCGTGGGTGGTGGGTTTGACGAGAGCAGTGAAGGCACAGGCTGTTCCAGCGCGGAGCCCACGGAGGACGAAGGCTCGCGATCGCGGAAGGATTCCGGTGAGCAGCCGTCGTCAGGGTTCCTCACTGCGCGTCAGGTGCCCACCGTGCGGATGCCCCCCTCGGCCCCTTACCACAAGTCAAGTTTCACGCTTCCACCTCCTCCAGCGACCGCTATCAGACCGAGCTTCGATCTGACGCCTCGGCCGCTGTCGAAGAGCCGGATGCGCCGGCCTCCGAACCTGGCCATCCTGCCACCTGTTCCGTCGTCACCTATCATCCCTGTCAACTCGCCCCCGTCCCCACCCCCTCCCAACCCTCGTCGCGCTCGCGCCGACGCACGGAAACCTACCCTCCCCCCGGCGAACCTGCGTATCAAGGTACATAACCCTCCCAAGCCAAAACTCACCTCCGCAGTGTCAACACCTTCCCAGACACTCTTCGTATTCCCCCCCTCTCCCACTCTCACGACGCGTACCCCCTCCACCATGACACTCACGTCAAATACCTCGTATCCTTTCCCCCCTTTGGCAACGCCCCGTGTCTCGTCGTTCAAGGCTGACGGCCGTCGTCGGTCTTTCATCGGCGTTCCACCGCCGTCGACACCCACGATCGCTTCTTCCCGTGTTGACGCACGAGGCTGGTTCGGCGGCCTGGGCAAGTAAGCTCGGCCTCGCACAGGTCCAGCTCGTCGCCATGGCATGTCGCTCACGCTTCCCGTTCGTTTTCACTCACCCGGACCGTCGCCTGATCCGTCCTGCACGCCGCATCTCCTTCTGCACTTCTGCAACTCGGACCATTCGTCATTCACGTCGTTCTGTATTATAGCTGCACATGGATTCTGGACCTCGGGCATCCACCTGCATTATTTTATCCTTCCATCCCCACTACTTAACTTCGTCAGACCGGACTTTACGCATCGTCGTGTTTGTACCAGTAGCCGCACACGCCCCGTGACGCTTACGCTCTCCCTCGCTCGCATCTCTGCATCGCCTTCGTCTTCGGCCCCGCCCTGTTGTTAGTAGACACGCACTTAGCCGCTCCGCAGAGCGGGAAGCGAGCAAGAAATGCAAAATAGAGATTATAGCTCGCAGTGACTGGGGATGATGGTACGGAGTAAGGGTTCGAGTAAGTACATTGAATGCTACTTGAATATGCGTCCGACACTGTTCTTCACCATGCCGCCGAGAAGCTGACCGCTGATGCCACCCATACCCATGCTCCAGGCAGAGGCTTTGGCCCACCTTTCTTTGGCATCACGGTCGCTGCATTGATGGAGTAATCAGCAGCTGTATGCACGGTGTCCGAACGTTGCAACGTACGCATATGTAAAGCCGATTGCATTGCTCACGTTGAAGATCAACGCGAGGAGGACGATGGGGATGAATCTGTGGACCGAGATGAATACAATGCAATGGCTTCAGATCGCAAACACGTACGAGAGATTGAACTTTAGGAATGATACGATCAGTAGTGCCAACCACAGTAGAGGGAAAGCATATAGAGCGATCTGGTATAGCGTACGATTGAGCGGACTGCAGGGGGCGCAACTGCGCAACACCTACCCAAAACATCCTGCAACATCGTCGTCAGCCAGTGTTCGCAGTGAGAATACGAAATGAAGACTCACCTAGAGTCTATGGGGTTTGCGGGGCGAGACGGCTACAGAGTTCGCATGACTGTGAGCGCACGCCATTGATATATGATGCGTGTACGCACGTCGCGACTCTCGAATACCCAATAGCTCTCCCCGTCTTCGTCGACTTGGTTCCAGTATCGAAGGCCTACCAAGATACGCCCTGCAACGTTCTGCGTCACAAGGGTCAGCGTGCCATGCCTACCCTCCATGTGTGTGTCGCGTACTCTGCAGTTCCAGAAATCCATGGCAAGGAGGACCACGACAAGCACCGTCTGTGAGCGTGTGAGGACGTGCCGATCCGTACAAGGACGAAAGCGCACACACCGAGACAACAAACTCTTTTGTAAAGAAGCCGCACAGAAGATATACTGCTATGGCTGCTATTCGGAAGAGGTAGAGGACGAAGAGGGCGACGGGGTGAGCTGACTACCAAATCATGAGCACAGTCACCTTCAAAGGAGTATGACGCATACTTGGCGGAAGATACCTGCTATGCCTGTCATGCGTGAAACGCAACCGTCAATGGACCACCTGCATGGTGTTCATTTGGTGCAACCCACCCGACTCTGCATCCCCCGGATTGGTCGCCATCTGTTGGCTGGGTGCGCGCGCACCAGCAGGTGGTCGCGAGGTTGTCGGAGCGTTAGCAGCGGGAGGCTGCTCCAATTCATCTGGCTCAATGGTCTGAAGGAGGGGCTGAGATACACCTGACATGGTGGTGGGTGGGTGCGAGTGCAGAGTTACAAACGCTGGATGGCGGGCGATGCTGTCCGTCGCACATCGCGCCCGTTCATGATGCGCACTAGGCGCCCGGAAGACGCGCCCCACGTGCGCGTGAACGCGGATGCATCCGCTGCGCATTCACAGCCAACTCCTTGCAATGAACGACGTCGAGAACGGCGCGCACGATGTGCAGCCTACAGAGACCACCGCCCTCCTCACTACCAGAACTCCGTCTCAGCACGCCAACGACAGCTCACCCTTACCTCTGGTCGAACCGGTAATCCTCCGAGTCCTGGCCAAGGGGATCGTGTCCTGCGCGACGCGGACCTCTGTCCTATCCAACTGAAATCGCGCGCGGATGAGACCGCATTCTCACTCATTGTCCTTCTGTATGCTCGGTACAGTGCGCAGTTCGGGAGCCACCTCGTGGAGACGTGCTAGAGCAATGGCAGACGGGGCAGCGGCAAGTGCAAGACTTGCACCTCCTCGATCAGCGGCTCCTCGGTCTCTGGAGTGCCTTTCTCGCACAATGTCACTCAGAATTGGAAGTTGAAGCAGTGCTATGGATGTCATTCCCTTATGAAAAGCAGGGGCGTGAGTCAAAGAGAGGTGCGAGCACAGACACCAGACAAACCGGTTACAGGCTCCTTATACGATTGCTCTCAGTGGTGGACTTCCTATCTGGACACCCTGTCCTGGAGGAATTTCTGACGCATCCTGTCGTTCTCCTCAGCATTAGGAGGACTTGGAGGCGAGGTTGGGTCCGGAATGAGAACGAGCGACCATTCCCGACACGCTTGGTGCATCGATTTGACGCACTTTGCACTCCAAGGTCCGTAGCTCATGTGCTGGTTGCCAATCACCTGTTTGACGGATAGGGCAGAGTATTGCATGCGATAGACCTTATCCTGCTTATGGCATACCTGGCGACACTCGCGCATTTTCTTGTTTTTCCTCCGTCCCGCTCCATAGACCCGACCGCCCTGGCGTCTCCAGACAGTCGCGAGCGTGCGTTGATGCTCTACCCAGTTGCAAAGCTCTTCAAGCCACCTGTATACTCCGTTGTACCATACATCCTAGTGCTGGGCGCTTTCACCTCGCATTTGCCGCAGGTGCCTTACCCGGACGATGTCGCCTATGGGGTCTTGCTCTTTGCGTTCTCGTGGATGATCATCGACTTGCACCTCCCCATGTCAACAAGTCCCCTACATCTTTTTCCCGCGGAGGTAGTCCTACCTCGTTCTGTTTTAATCCTGCACGGCATCGCCCGCATATTCATCCCCGTGGTCACCTTCTTCCTTCCCGCACTGTTGCTCTCCTTGTTCCTCCTGTCGACATCACTAGCCGACTTGTTCCCGAATGCAATGCGAACAACATTCGCCCCGGCTCCCATCGAATCAAGAGTAGCCTTCCTCTCGCTCTTCGCCGTTCTGTTTCTTCTCATGGTGTGCTCTCTGGTCATGCTTGTACTGGTCTATCCATCCTTCGCATCGCAGACCTCCTGTAGCTCCTGGGATCGATGTTCGAAACCAATTGGTTTGGAGGCCCGCCGGTTCTTCATCCGCACGGTTATCCGATACTCTACGCCATACGTTTTCCCGGCACCATTCAATTTGCTTCAGATATGCATCCGCGTGCCCGCTGCCGTCCTCACCGCCGTCTGCGGTGGGGATAATATGGCTTCGATTCATGCACCCAGTCTGCCCGAGCGCATTGTGTGGAGAGTGACCATCGCACCACTAGGTGTCGTGTTTGGCGCTTTTTGGCTATGGGGGCTTAAGAGCAGGTAACAGATACGCGCACAGGTATGTACTTCTAATATGTGAATCTCGTGATACTCACTGGAAAAGCAGGACTGTTTACATGCTGGATATTCGGGACTGTCTATTCATCTATATGTCCGATATCGACGTCGATTCCAGAGGGCAGCAGACTTGTGCCCGACGTGGACACCGGCAGATTTTTAATTCATCAGGACTGTACACCCTTCTCGTGATATGGCCCAGTAATGATTATTATGGAAAGTTTCATCACTGTGCAGTGCTGGCGTATCTGGTGCTAACGGGCACTGCAAGGTTCTGTACAGACAGCCTTCTGTGCGTGCACTCCCGATCAACGTTAGCGCTGCAGTGACGATCTCCCCCGCGATCTCGATCTGCAGTAAGATCTCGTACACTGATGGTGTGATCGGAACCCAATCGGCTCCTCCACCTGAACCACCATCCAACCACGGTCGACGTGCTCTCAAGAGCACTGACAGTGATCACTCTGGGCCGTGGCGCCATCTATTACACGCGGAATAGGCGAGGATGAGCACTAGCAAACGGGGGTCTCCGAGTCGACCTACCAAACGTCGTCGCATCGGTATTGGTCAGCCCACCGAGGAGGACAGAATCTCCCCTGCACAGGTGCAAGCGAGCGCACCCACTGCAACGGCACTATCAACGCGAACTATCTTGCTTTCGGTCCCCTCATTAACCGCCGTGTGCATTCGTGTGTTTGCTGACAACTTGAGGATTCTGTCAGAGAATCATCCAGTGTGGGAGAATGTCCGTTCCTTGTTGCAGGTCCTCCCGGACCCGCTCGCTCAGAGGCTCTTCTCCACGCTCAAGACGACATGCCCTCAGTTTATCAGCGACGAGCTGATAGAGTCTGTGAGTCCGATTAGATGTATCCAAGCCTCAGTCACTGACGTCGTTATATATGACACCAGTACTTCATACGCCCTCCGGTCGTTGCTCTTGACAGAGGCCTTCCCGGAGTCAACAGACGCACCTTCGTGGCTATACGCGACTCCACAATCAACTCCCAGCTTCAGGAGCTACATCTCACGGATTTTGACAAGGATGGCGATACTGTGTTTGCATCTATCATCTCGAAACTCCCCAGTCTACGCGTCCTCGTCTTGAGGTGAGTTGATATCCAGATACAATTGCAAGTAATTAATTAGATTCAGAGGCTGTTCCAAAGTCGGTGAGAAGACGTGTAACACCGTGGTGCAAACATGCCCCAGTCTAGCGGTACTGAATCTGAGCCACACATCCGTCACCCCTGCTTTCGTAGCCCCCATCCTACTAGCTTGCCGTGACTTGGAAGTCTTGAAAGTCGCGGGTATATCCAGCTGGGTTCGTCTTGCTGTTTTCTGTGTGAACAACAAATGCATATGTCACATCTTATGTCGCAGACTGATGCTGCATTTGCGAAGTTAACCGCCGCATTCAGCAAAGACGAAGACTTCCAGCTGCCCAAATTGCGTACCCTAAAGTTACGCCAGACATCTTTAAGTGACAATGCTCTAGTTCCATTCATGAAGGCCTGCCCAAATCTACGACGTGTGGATCTGTCATTCACGCAGATCCGCTTTCCGTGGCACCTGCTCCGCGGGAAGCCCGTGGAGAAGCTGTCGCTCGCCTCCACCCCAGTGCTGGGCAAGGCTCTGCTTGATACGATCTCCCGGCTGCCTCACATCGTGACGCTCAACGTCGCAGCTCTCGGAGGAAGCCAAGGCTCCCATACGGCTTCCCCAAATTTGTTTGCGATGAGTATCAACGACGATATACTCCGTGGCCTTACGGATATGCTGCAAACATCTCGTCTCGAACGGATCAATTTGGTTGGCAGCACGAAGATTGGGATGACTGGTAGTCACGGACGTCGAGAAAGCGTAGTGGGCGACTTCGTCCGTCGTGTAGGTAGAAAATGCAAAGTGAGTGTGAAGTGCTCGCAACAATGTCGTCAATCAACTGCTGAAACATGAACAGGTGCTGAACTTGTCGAATGTACCGGCACTTCGGTCCGCCGATCTGGAAGGACTGGTTTCGGAGACCGCGGGCGACCCACCCCCCATGATACAAGTGCTGCTCCTGAACAACACACTGGTCGATGATGCCGCTGCTCCGTTCATCTCGGCTTGCACAGACCTGGAAAACTTGGGGATAAGCGGGACGAGGTTCACCAGTAGGCAAACTGTTATTCAGCGTCCTGGACATTGCTCTAAACACTGTTTGCGCAGGTGGTGGCTTGTACCCTGTCGTTGACGCATGCCCACGGCTGCACAAGTTGGACCTGACTAGCTGTCGTGGTGTGAGAGTCGTTGACAGACGACGGTTCTTTGAGGTAGGATCCAGATACTCAAACATCTGTGATATTACCTGTGGAAAGCACCAACTGACTGATTGTTGTGTAGGTCTGGGAGAATGAACGGGAGGAACTTGGTTGATTTCGTGCAAAATCAAAGCTCAAACATGTGGCGTGTCAGTGCGGGTGGAGTCGAATGTTGAACAACGAATACTGGCTCTGATCTGCGACTGTTCACGCATCATGACTTGATACTTACTACTAGTACAGCGGCGACTGTCCGACGCCGGTCTCCTATCCGAGTCCACATATGAGAACGGAACCATAGTTATTTCCACCTTGTCCTGTGAATCCTACAGAAATTGCCATAAGTAGGCTTCAAATAGCAGGAATACGACTCCGACATCCGTGCTCACGCAGTTACGACTCACATAGTGCATACCATCGACTTTAAACGGCTCCACAGTATGTAGCCCCGGTAAGTACTTACAATGTCGATCGATCCGAACTCGGCTCGGAGGTCCTAGGCGCCCAAGCGTTCGGGGGCATAAGCGCCGAAGCCACACAGGGCACGTGGGAAACTTGTGCCCTTGCTTTGTTCCCGATCGAGCAACGCGTCCTTGTTGTATCAAAGCGAGGCCAAAGTACAAGGCGATGTTGGATAAAGCATGGTCTCCTCTCTTCGCTCTCCCTTCGCTTCTACCACCATCATCCCTCCCCTGCCACCGTCCGCAACTACCTCTGCACTTTAGTTGGCACGTAATAACGCGTCGCGGACAACTCTCTGGCAACCTTAACGCGTCTGAACGCCACCATGGCTGTCGACGCGCAACATATCCACCACATGTGGACGCGACCTACCGTCGATCTCAACTCTCCCGAACTTACAATCTTCTACCGCGTCTTGACCGCGGCTCATACCCCAGACTCCCTCGAGGGTGCGCCACCGCTCCCCAAACATCAGCTCCTCGTCCCTGCCCGAGTCCCCGGACTCATCCGCTCCTCTGACATGGTGAAGTGGGAGCGCAAACAGACCTCCTCCGCACCCGATGACGACGATTCCTCTGATGAGGAGAATGCGAGGATCACTCGCCGGCGTGTCAAAGGCAAGAAGAAGCCACGGGATGGCGAAGCTTCTACCGATGTACTCGCCACACCACTCTACACGCCTTTCGGCGAATGGGCTTTCGCGGCTGATCACAACATGGTCAACGTGAAGACACTATTGGTTCTCGGTGGTGCGCTTCCAGGCCCTTTGTCTCCCCTCGTGTACTCATGTGGCCTTGCAGGGTCGGGGACATATTCCGCCACTCTCCGCAGTTGTGCTATAGCTGGCAGACCATTGAACGTGCTATCGCACAGGTAAGCATATCATCCTCGTCGGTGTGGGCGAGTTCCTGACGATCTGTCATAGCTGGTCCATCAAGGACTCAAATCAACTGAGTGGGTTCTACCAAGAGGTTCGTCAACCCGTATGGTACAAAACCTTTACTCACTCTTACCTCTAGCTCGCCCTCTTCAAATCATCACTGCACCTTCGTCCACTCCAGGGCGCTGTTGTCCCTGCTCTCGTTAACGTGACCCGGAGCGCGCTCGGTGCTAGTCTGAATATGGTGGCGCCACATCCAACGTTCTGGATGGAAGCCTCTCCTGACATGCCCTTCGTCCTCAAATTGCACGTCATCGATGCGTACACTAGACTACACGCGCACGGGATACTGCATGGCAACCCGCAGCTACGCAACATGCTCATTTGCGGCGACGGTCGTGTGAAGATCGTCGATTTCCAGTCGAGCCGTTCACTCCGACCCATCTCCATTGTTGGTATCCACGCTGCGAACGAAGCCGACCTGGAGCTCGAGATGCGCCAAGTGAGGTTCAAGCTGGACTTCGGCGACGCGCGCCGGTACGAGGAAGAAAAACGCCAGAGAGCTCGTGACATCGAGCGCCGTAACAATGACAGGGCGAGGCTGCGCAAGTTGGTAATCAGGGGTCTTTTGCATGCACAAGTCGACCCCGACGAGGGCTACACCGGCAACGACCAGACCCACCCTCCCATTCCAGACGCATTCTGGTACGATCATTGGGTAGACGACGTCAACCGCGCTCCGCGACGTTTCGTCGTTCCCGGAAAGACGCAGGAAGAGGTGACCGCGGCCTTGCGACACTTCGAAAGCATAGTTGTGAAGTTTCAAGCCGATTATGACCAATCGTGGGTCGATAGCGGGAAACGCCCCGGGCCTAGTCGATCTGGACGCTCGCCTCCGGAGGACGACGGGTTGGAAACCATCCTCATTGGTGGTTCTTACGTGCGGCGGCGCAGACGATCTCCAACAGAGTCCTCCGAAGTTGGCGGACCGACGCTCACACGACCTGACACGCAGGAGGAACTCGCACGGTTGATCCGCGAGACTGAGGCAGAGGCTGCCTCTGCGACGGATTGGCCCTTCCCATCTCAGGTCATTGGTAAGACGTGGAATGGGCGCGGGGTCGGTGTGGGCGACTACGGCTACGATCTTCCTGCTTCGTCTTCGCCGTCGAGCCCGCCAAAGGCACCCATCGTACGTGACTACTGTACAGTGGGCGCAACCCGAGCGCCATTGCTAGAGAACCCATACCGCAAAAAGACGAGGGCCAAGTCGGAAGGCATCTCGAGTGGGGAGCTGCCTCGCGCGTCGTCGACTCCCAGCCGTCCTCCGAAGGAAGTGAAGGCCATTGACTTCGTAGCCAGGCCCCACAATGGTGTTGGGGGCTATTACGTCCGCCATGCTCCCACGGAGAACAGGATGTCGATCGAACGCGTCCGCTATATCCGCGAGCAGAACCGTGAATTGGCCGAGAACATGGGCTTCGGGCCGCTTTACTCCACCGACGACAAGTACTGTTTGCCTCCCTCCTTCAAGCGCCCCCCCACAGACCGACCACACTGGACGTCCATCTCCATCGGTACTCTGAAGCGTCGGCGCGAATGCATCATTGGTCGGGAGGACTATGACGACTACCCTCACGTGCGGAAACGCGCGAAGACGGAAGGCGAGGAAATCTGCGACGTACGGCATATCAAAACGAAGGATTACGTGGACGTCAAAGCGGACTGCTCACTCGTAGAGCCGTCGCAATTGGGCTGGCGGCTCGCGTCGCTCGGAAGGGTGAAGAGGAAGCAGCCCGGACGGCAGTCGATTCTTAAGCCTGCAAGGCCTCGGCGAGTCGCAAGCTCCCTGACACGCGGGAGTTCTGGACGGGCGAGCGGGAGCCGTGCTTGTCCCCCAAGCTTGGGCCGCCGAAGCTGCCTATAAGCGAGAACGAGCCGAGGGCGATCTTGGGCTCTTTCGTGTATGAGGCCTTGCCGCGGTTCCACATGCGGCAGCTCACCTCCGAGCACAGGAGGCTGGTCGCGAAGCAGGACAAGGGCAACAAGGAAAGCACGCCGCCTCCACCAACCTTCTCGCGGCTGCCAATGAGGCATTGACCCCCGCGCCTGTGGCCGGGACATCTGCCTCTGCGTCCGCCTCTACGGACGAGGCCTCTGAAGACAATGAAGACATGCCGTATGCACTGCGGACGATTCGGCGCCGTACTGGCCACCGGTCGAGGAACCCAGAGCCGCCCCTACGGTGTCGAGGCAAGGCGCTGCGTCTCAGCAACAAGCTCATCATGGAAATGCCAATGTCCAGGGTCACCAAGGCGAGATGGGCGCATGGTTTGTCAGGGCGGCTGGGATGGCTGCGCTAGGATGCCGAGTCCCTCCCCCACCGCCGAATCCCCGTCGTCGCCGCCGCGAGGAGGAACCCGATGTACCCGATACTTCGTCGCAGAGGACTCAGACAGTTGCTGTGCCGTCGCGTCCGCCAGCATATTCGCGCAGACGTCCCGGGCATGGCCCGTCGCACGCCACATCGTCATCGCATAGGCACTATGTGCACAGCGCCGACTCCTCTCGCAGCTCGACGCCTGGACAGAGGCGGTCTACGCCCGGCCCGTCGCGTTCGAGGGCTGTTGGGCCAGTGACGAGACAAGGTCCCTCGGACGTCCCGGTGTACGGCAGTGGCGCGACCTTCAGCATACCTCGGCTTCCGCACTCGCCGTCCGACCAGCCCAGGGTGAAGAGGCGGCGCACGGATTCTTCGCCGACTCCTCCCGCTCCTCCTCTCAGCGTATCGTGAAGGAGGAGTCCAATGACCAAATGGTCCTGGACTCTCCTGAGCGCCGCCCAAGCGCCTATATTTTGCCCAAGAGCTATTGGAGTTCTCTCGTCGGGTGGTTCACCGGCTCGAATTAGGGTTCGTTGCCACTATCGTATGTCGTGCCTTGGTGTGTTTGATTGTGCCTCTCTTGTCTGATCTCGATCTGAACCAATGCTGTGCTTGCATTGACGTAGTGTAAGTTACAGTAGAAGTCTGTCTGTTGCTATTGAAAGCTCTGTAGCTCGTGCTGTGTGTACTTGCTCTAGTCCAGTTATTTCCTTTGCGCTGTGTAATTGATTGTTCTCTGCTGGTGCTCAAGCGCTAGGTTCTCTCTTGGACACAAGTCTCGTATCAGTCGCTCGTGTGACCTTGGTGTGACCTCAAAATTTGCTCCAAATGATTGGGTGAGTCCAATTGCATATACATACATGTAGTGCAATTTTATCTCCTCCGCTGCTGAGGTTGATGGGCAGCTGCCCCGCTGTTCCCCCGCGCTGCTCAGGTTCCTGCCGCTGGCTGGAGGCGGCGAGAATAAGCGAGGGTGCGATCGATCGGCGGCAGGCGGGAGCGACTGAGGTCTGGCGGGATCCTCCATGCGGTGCGATCTCTCGCCCATTTGGGGCAAGGCGCAAGGCTTGGCGAGCCACCTCTCCTCGATAAGTACTTGCGCTGCGGTGCAGTGGAGTAGCACGACCTGTTTATGCGAGATAGGCGTCGTGCCTCGCTGCGTGGTCAGGGCGTAAGACCGGGCTCAGCGTTGCCGGTGGTCGCTACTGAACGCCTGAGGCCTTGCTGAGAGCCTGCGGCTAGCGGAGAGGGGAGCACTGCCCGCCGGCGGGGCGCGTCGATCAAATGCGCGTGATGAGATTTCGGTACCCACTTGATCGGTGTTTGGTGTTCCACCCGCGTGGGCCCTCATACATAAGGCTATCTCGCCGCCCTCCTCCTCCATCCTCCCCATCCTCCCGACACCATGTCCGACGGCGAGTACGACGAGAAGCTCGCCCCGCACAAGAGCGAAAATGTCCGCACGGACGTCTTCGACTCCGAGTCGCATGTCGATGCCTCCATCCCCCCAGAGGCTAGGCTGAAGCGTCAGCTCAAAAACCGTCACATCGCCATGATCAGGTACGCCGTCTCCTCCCCAGGCGCAGCCCTTCATTGACCCACACCACCACAGTATTGGCGGTGTCATCGGTACTGGTCTCTTCTTGGGCACCGCTAAGTCGCTCAGCCAAGGCGGCCCAATCGGTCTCCTGCTTGGTTATGTGGTCGTCGGCACAATATGCTACAGCGTCATGGTGGGCCTCTCTGTCGTCTCGCCTATGTGCAGTGCTCAGTAGCTTTCGAGCAGATCTCTCTCGGTGAAATGGTGGCATACCTTCCTCTGCCCGGTGGTCACATCAGGCTGGCCGAGCGGTTCGTCGATCCGGCCTTCTCGTTTACCATGGGTTGGAATTACTGTGAGTCTTCCGTCCGACGTCCTTGGAAACGCTCATAAACGGCCGCTTCAGGGTACAACTGGACGATCATTCTCCCGGCTGAGCTCAGTGCGGCTGCTGTGCTTATCGGCTACTGGAACGAGACGATCAACCAGGCGGCATGGATCTCCATATTCCTCGTCGTCGTCATCGTCATCAACATGTTCGGTGCTGGCGTCTACGGCGAGGCGGAGTTCATCTTCGCGTCGATCAAGGTCGTCACCATCGTCGGTCTCATCATCCTCGGGATCGTCCTCGACCTTGGAGGTGGGCCGAACCATGACCGCATCGGTTTCCGGTACTGGAAGAACCCCGGTCCCTTCGTGCAGTTCAACGGCATTGAGGGTAACACGGGACGCTTCCTTGCTTGGTGGGCGGTCATGACCCAGGCTGCCTTCTCCTTCATCGGCACCGAGATCGTTGCTGTAAGTAATATTGATAACCATCACTTGGATGGCAAACTAATTGACACCCACAGATTGCTGCTGGCGAGGCCAAGAACCCACGTCGCAACCTCCCCAAGGCGATCCGCCGAGTTTACATCCGTATCCTTCTCTTCTACATTGGCGGTGTCATCATCATTGGCCTGCTCGTGCCGTCGAACAACGCCAACCTCAACCTCTCGTCAACGGCCGCGGGGTCGCCCTTCGTCATCGCCATTAAGACCGCTGGTATCAAGGGCCTCCCGTCTGTGATCAACGCTGCGCTTCTCACCTCCGCCTGCTCCGCCGCTTCGAGTGACTTGTACACCAGCTCGCGTGCTTTGTGTACGTACCTCCGGGAACCTGCATTACTTGGAGTTAACATGGTTCTTCGACAGACGGACTTGCGATGGTCGGCAACGCACCCAAGGTCTTCACTAAGACCACTAAGAACGGCCTACCCTACGTGTCCCTGATTACGTGCGCGCTCTTCGCGACACTCGCGTACATGGGCATCAACAGTGGCTCAGGAACTGTCTTTACCTGGTTCTCAAACAGTATGTCTTACGAAGCTTATCGGACGCACATGGTACTGATCATTCCTGTTTAAACAGTGACTTGTAAGTCGAGAGCAAATTAACGTGACACCGTTGTTGACGCGGGAGCTTTTGCGCAGCTATTGCGGGCTTGATGACCTGGTTCGGTATCTGCGTCACCTACATTCGTTTCTACAAGGGTTTCAAGCTGCAGGGATTCAACCGCGCCGACCTTCCGTACGCGTCGCGCCTCCAGCCTTTCGCAGCCTGGTACGGTCTTTGCTCGTGCTTGGTCGTCTGCTTTGTGCGTATCCTCCGACTGGCCCTGTGGTACCAGACACTGATACGGCGCTCGACTTACAGTTCAGCGGATTTGCTGTGTTCCTGAAGGGCTCGTGGGACACCGCGACATTTGTCACGAACTACCTTCCCTTCGTGCTCTTTCCCATCCTCTACTTCGGCGCTAAGCTGTGGTACCGAACTCCGATTGTGCCTGCGGCCGACATGGACTTCGTCTCGGGCCTGAAGGAGATCGAGGCGGATACGTGCGTCCTTCCCTTCCACTCACGCTCACGTCGCGTGCTGACGTTGCAATGACAGGTACGACGAGCCCGCACCTAGGAACTGGGTGGAGCGCTTCTGGTCGTGGCTGGTACGTGCTCGTTTTGTCCATGGGAGTTACGACGCGGTTTGGGCTGACGCTCTAACCACCCGCAGATGTAACGATTTGTAACGATGCTGTGTTGTGCTGCTGGGCCTCGCGGTGTCGCGACAATGCCGATGCCGATAACTTATTATGCGAAGTCGTCGGTTGTAAAATGTCCATAGACTGTATGGTTGTACCTATCTCATATAATTCATTTTGCTGGAATGGCAGTGCATTTCCTCACGCTGCGCGCGTTGCCGGATCTGTCAGTGTCAATGTCACTGTTGGTTGGTGGGGTCATGCTGTTCGAAATGCGCAGTACATGTAATGCGTACGTATCCCCGACCGGCCATCACATTCACCTGGCGTCCTGGATAGATGGCTACAAGGTGTCAAGGCTCATTACACAGGCTGACGGGTCTTCGGTACCGTGCCTCGCGACTTCGCGAAGCCCTTCACTTCAGTGCCACTCTGAGTTACGCTCCGGAAGCAGTTTCAGTATTTGCATTAGACCACACTTCACGCATTTCGGTATAATCACAGATGCCTAGATTGTGACGAGATGAGGCAAGGCGCTATCCTCCTGAGAGACCGTCAGACAACGGCCTTAATTATGGAACCGCCCGAGACTTCGAGGGCGCGGGAGACACTGACGCAGTGAGAAAAATTGATCGAGGGTCTCGAGGGCCCCTTGTGAGTGGAGCAGACTGGGCGCTGCCAAAATGAACGGGCACCATAAACGTGGGACCGTCGACGCTCCGAGTTCGGACTGACCAGTTGTCCGGATTGTCACAATTGCTTAAGTATCTTACTTGCAGCGAACATAAGTACAAGTCAATGTTTTGCTACTGATCAAGATGTCGCCATGGGCCCCAGAAGCGCATCGAGCCTAGCATTGCTACGGTGCCTCGTGCAAGCCCGACGGCCAAACGTGGATGTTACACCTGGTGGCGGTGGCGCACGGACGCACGAATCGTACTTGGCCTAAGTGACAGTCGATGACGAACTTCAGCTGAGGCTGCCGGAAAAATTCTGGTGGACGGTCGATACCCCTAAGCATATCTGGTGACAGGACGCACCATGAGCCCGCACACGGCAGTTTCGCGCAGCATGCTAGACCGAGACTGCATCGCTCGCGGCCTAATGAAAACCGTTTCGATCATATCAACGCCATGCCATCAGTTGACGCGGAGCTGTTTCGCTATGAACTGAGGTCTGAAGCAGGTCTGAGGACCTCAAGCAGTTGATGGCGAGACTCACAAAGGTGTACAGAAAGTCTGCGGGCGTACAGAAAGAGGCCCAAAAGGAGAGTGATCGAGAGAAACGCCAAAATGTAAAACCACGTCGCATTTCAATTTAGTTACGTCTTGACTCCACGTGAGCCCGGCGAGTTGATGCTCGGCAGGCAAGCGCGCAGCAACCTGAGGCAAGGAATATTTCCGAGACGTCCTGCTCGACGCTCGCCGTGTAGACGGTCTCACTGCTACTGGACCCATTTCTGTACTGCCATACGACGTCCATCTCGTGCGACAACGTGCCTGGCAGCCTGACGCGGACAAGCTGGAGGTTTCATGTCACTACGCGGCGATCAGAGTGCACTCGACCGGAGCGACAGCCCAGTGCTCGGCTTTTGGGGGACGACGGACAGAGGGGAGCAGCGATGGAGACCTTCACAGGTGAGAGTCTTGTCCTCGCCGTCGACGGACAAGGCGAGTGCATGCGCCGCGCTGCTGCCAGCGCCGCGAGCGGGTGGCACTGTGTTTATTTGTCTCCGTTGATGCTGTCTATGGCAGCGCGCGTACTCTCTCATATGCTGATCCTCCTGGCTGATCTCTCCGCCCTCCTCGCTGTGTCCTGCGCATTCTGCACGCTCATTCCCCGTCCTCCTGCCCCCACGTTCCTCTGTCGTTTATGCTGACGCTGATACCTCCCTCCTCTCGCGCTCAGATCGGGACTCGTTTGACGCACACGAACTGCCTTCCCCATTTCCGCCTGTCAAGACAGCAATGTCCGACGACGCACGCATCCCCGCTCTTCTGAACGTCCTCGCGATTCCCAAGCACGAGTGGTCGAACGAAGAAGGCCTCCCTGCGACTGGTGTGTCCCCTTCCAGTGCCTACATAGTAGAGTCGCCGTCCGTCACGCAGCCGCCGCCCTTGCCCTCTCACTCCCCGTACCAAAAAGTCCTCGACCGCTCGGCATCCGAAGACGACGCAATGACTTCAGACCCGACTTTCTCGCAGTCCGCCCGTTCGCCTTCCCTGCCCACGTCACTCCCAGACCCTTCGCAGTTCCCCGATCCTTATCCCTTCCGCCCGCCGCGTTGGCAACACGGCACGTCGACTCCAGCGCTCTCATCCGCAGACTCCTCTTCGGCATCTACGCGTTCTTCCGCGTATACGAGCTCAGCGCGTTCCGGCGACTTCGGACACGTCCATGTTGTCGGTAGTGAGGGTGAGCTGAGCGTCTCGGGCATTACCTCGGACGTCGTGGACCAACTTCTGGCGCGCGACGCTGGGACCTCCTCCTCGATGCCGGGCAGACCGCCGTTTGAGGGGAGTCGCTGGTCGGACTTGTACGCGAACAGCATCAGATCGCGCTCCTCTTCGGTTGGCAACAACAGGAGTGACCTTCCCTCAGATTCCGGCTTTCGTACGCTACGCGCCACGCCTAGTTTTGACATGGGTTGGCAGGCGGTGGATGAGCGGGATGAGGCCGGTCTGGGTAGCGAGGATGAAACCACCGACGATGATCCTTTGTTAGACGAGGAGGACGAAGCCGAAGAGGAACTACCCACCAGTGCTATGGTCGTTGCTGAGGAGGGTCGTGGTATCATAGTACGAGGAGATGATACGCCGATCGTGAAGCTACAAGTCAAGCCAGGTATGTCTACACGCTTGTATAGCAGTGGTGGTCCAACCTGACGTGCTTTACGATGATCCTCAGGTACGACTCACTTGCTGATCGGCTCATCTAGTACGCCAAACAGCGTACCGTCTTTCCTCAACAACAGCCTCCCTCCCATTGCTAACACGCTGCTCGCTCTCGATATCTCTGCCAACTTCCTCGTTGCCTTGCCGCCGGCGCTCGCGGGTTGCTACAACCTGGAAGAGCTGAACATTGCTTCTAACCCTATCCGCGCTCTGCCCGAGTTCCTCTCCAGGCTCACGTCTCTTCGGGTCCTCATTGTCGAGTCGACAGGCATCAACACTTTGCCGGAATCATTGAGTGCTCTTGACAAGCTTCATACGCTTAGCTTCCGGAGAAACAAGCTCCATGCTCTTCCAAGCTGGCTATGTCTGCTGCCATCACTCGAGACGCTTCTCGTCGACGATAATCCCTTCCAGGGGCCATGGAAAGCACTCATGGAGCCATTGTTGGCGAAGCAGCCGATGACACCGCTTTATCCGCCTGCCACGCCCATGTTCTCGCTAAAGTCGGCCAGCAGCATGAACACGGGACTGAGCCAGACGAAACGTTGGACATGCACTGGCATGATGGTGACAATCAACTTTTGGCTGGTCAGGAAGACGAAGACACCATTACCGCCGCACGTGCGCCCCATCTGGCACGCTCGGTCACTGCGCCAGTACCGGGCGCCACAGACATGCCCTCACCAACTCTCTCCCGCACTCGCACGACCCCCAATCGTTCGTACTACGAGAAGAACCGCGCTGTGAGCCGTTCGGGGATGGCATCCGGTGGATCGTCGCGACCGCCGTCATCGAAGGGGCGCCAGGAGGCGGAGGGTGCTGGGGAGGTGCGAAAGATGAAGAGTGCCGGTGAGCTACGTAGGAATCGTTCCGCCGTCGCCGATCCCGCATCCAAGTCGGCGGCGTCGTCCCCGCAACGTGCTGCTCTCTCGGAATACGTGACATCCGCTTCCAGCTCCAACTTACTGAACGCCGCGTCCATGCCGCGTGACTCCCAGGTGGTCCCTAAGCGGTTTGCCAGTCTGGGTGTAGCGTCGGGCTCGACTTCGCCAAACTCCGTGCGGGCGAGGATGACGGTGGATAATAGCTTTTGGGATAACACACCTGAAGAAGATGAGGTGCCTGCGCTGCCGCCCATGCCCAGGCGAGCAACCCTGCCCAGCAAGCATCCTGACGCACCCCAGCCCGAGCCAGATAGCCGGGCCTTTGCTGAGCTGCCTTCGCCACCGCCCAAGGAGGAGAAATCTCGACGTTGGGGATTCCTGAAAAAGATGTCGATGGGGAAGATGCGGCCGGAATCGCCTCGGCTGCCTCCTTCCCAGAGTCGGCAAGGGACGCCTACCATGCGTCCTACACTGAGCAGAGCTGCTTCCACGAACCCTGGGTCGATTCCGCAGATTAATGTGCGAATCTCGACCACCGGCGCTCTGCTCAATCACAACAACCATGCGCTCCCGCCTATACCCCCGGGGGAGTCGCTGCCCACTATTGCTCAGGAAGAGCCTGATGATGATCTGCCGCCACCCCCGCCTCAGAAGCCTCAGATCGATGCGCTGAGGATACCATCCTCGATCCCGAACTCCACCTCTTCTTCCAGCCTCCTGGCAGCAACGCCTACCCCTCGGGCTACGAAGCGTCGGAGCTTCCTGCCCATCGACATGTCGCCCATTCCGATCCCGGCTGCATCTGGCTTCGTCGGCGGCGTGACTGTCGCTGACGGTGTTGAGGACGAATTCGAGGACGGATCTCGATCTGTGCAAAGTCCACCACCCGTACCGAAGGATACGATGGAGCAGGTGCAGCATCGGGAGGAGGAGCGGCAACGGGAGGCGCGCATGCGTGCGCTGCGGTCGGTCATGGCTTACCTCAGAGATATGCACGACTTGAGTCTGGCGCAAGGACCTCTGCCTCCGATCCCCCCGGACCCTCCTGGGGTTCGCTCTAGGAGACCGACTATGGTAGAGAACGGTAGAGTGACATCGGAGGGCTCCATCCCCTCGATGATGTCGACGCCATCTTTGCCTTCGTCTAGGCCCGACTCGTCCGCTGGCTTGCGTTCCGTCGATTCCCGTATTGGTCTTCGTAGTGGTTACACGACGCAGACGAACAGTGTGGCGACCACGGATAGCAGTGGCTCTGGAGAAGAGCGAAAGTACAAGGACGACAGAGCGAAGCGCTCGAGAATCATTCGGGAGATCGTAGAGTTAGTTATCCTGGCACATGATGCTGGCACGCTTACTGACCAGGATCATTTAGGACGGAGCGAACATACGTCAAGGGTCTGCAAGAGCTCGTAGATATCTATATCGGGCCTGCAGCCACCCCGGTGAATGTCCTGAGTGGCGTCAGTCAGAAGCAGGAGACTGTCGTACCTGCTCAGGAGCGCAAGATCGTCTTCGGTGGTTTGGAAGCCCTGTATGCCTTCCACAAGGATAGCTTCTTGCCTGCGCTGGAGCGTGTGGCGGCTCCTCTGCTCATCCCGTCCGAGGACTTGGTCCTTCAGGATGCTGATGGCTACCTCTCCTTGGATGTCGCTACGAAGGTTGCTCAGGTCTTCGTATCACACGCAGCGTTCATGAAGATGTACTCGACTTACATAAAGTGGGTGGTGCTTTTGCAGACCTGTTCACGTAGCTGATTGTCTCGTGCAGCAACTTCGACAACTCCGTACAGAGGATCAGGACGTGGACGTCGGATAGACCCGGGGGCTCCTCAGAGAAGACATTGTCGCCGTCTTCGAGCAGTGCCCAACTAGTTGCCCTTGGATTGACCACGATGACTGCTGCAGCACCCGGGGTTGTCGGTGACAATGGGCAGGCTGCGGGTGCATCCCTGTCCTCCGGACAAAGGAAGCGGATTAAGGCATACCTGAAGCGCTGCCGTATGAATCCTCGCCACTCACAACTAAACTTGGAGGGCTATCTACTCCTTCCGGTCCAGCGCATCCCTCGGTATCGTTTGCTTGTGAGTACATTGTCCTTCCGCATGTCTCGTGTTAGCTGACGGCGGATGCAGCTGGATGATCTTGTCAAGAGCAGCCCGCCCATGTACGATTACTTGGATAATCCTTTGGAGCGTGCATACGAGGCTATATCGTCTCTAGCCACGGATATGAACGAGGGCAAGCGAGAGTCGGAGTCACGACGAAAGCTCGTGCAGTGGCAGGCTCGGATTCGGGGGAGATTCCCCAGCCCTCTTGTGCAGCCGCACCGGTGCGTCGTGTTTGTTCTCTATAAGGCTAGTTGGGCTCACCTGCCGGTTAGACGTCTCATCATGGACGGTCGCCTGCAGCTCACCCGGGTTGTCCGGAAAGCCACCGTCTCCTTTGAAATCATAGATTCTCATGGAGACTCGACAGACGTGCAGGTCGAATGTTTGTCCCCGGAGTTGACTCCGCGGTCACTGGTTGGCATCCTTTGCAACGATCTGTTGGTCTTGTGCCGAGATCCGACCGACGGGCAGGATCCCAACTCTTGGGTGGATCTATGGGCGGTATTACGCATGCAGACGTTGCCGCAACCCGCAAGCATTGTACATGGCACTGGTGCGTCCCCTCGGCTCGCATGAAATAGGCGCTTTTGACTAAGTATTTGATACAGCCCTGCGCCTAGTGGACAACAAGGCCATACTGTATTTTGAGGCGCCTTCGACTTCGGACGCTTTGACGTGGTTTAGAGGTAATGTCTACGAGCTTATTGGTGAGGTGCGCTGCTCACAAGGTCTCCTCGCCAGCGATCAACCTGCATATACCCGCATCAAAAGCATAACTGTCTTCTGTATTCGATTTCGCTGCTCACCCGACTGAATAGTCCTCTATGCATGGCATGCCCCTCTTCGGTCGTCCGTTCATTATATGTTTTCGTGCCACTGTGTTTGCTACTGCGTTATCCTCGGCTCCTCGCATCTACACACTCCTTCACTGTATTCCAGCATCATCCCGTGTTTTGTGTCCTTTGCTACTCTAGATATCCGTCACATCCATCCTCTCATCTCACGGGCTGTGCCTTCGCAATATTATTACAGTACAATCTCTACTATGGGGCGGCAGCTGTCTAATAAATGTGTATCTATGCTTTGGGATTCGCATGCGCTATTCACAAGTACTTAGCTGTTGAGCAGGGCCTACGGCGATTGCGTGTGGGTCAAAGATTAGATTAGATTGAGCCGATGCCTAAAGTGGTATCTGATAAGCGGAGATGGAAAGTCGGACGTAGGTGTGACGCTGACCGACCGGCACGGCTCCTCCAACCAGCCATTAAATAGGACGACCCGCTCCTCGTACCCTTTCCCTCCAAGCAGCTGCGTCTTCGCCCCTCGACGGTCAATCCGGTCTTTGGTCGACTGCCGAAGCACACTCGAGGCTCGCCATGGAGCCGTTTGACGCAAAACTGGTCGCTGCAGCGACCGGCGCGACGCTTACTGCCCTCACGAGTAAGTGCTCTGGGTACCGCTACTCGCCTGCTCGGCTGACGGGCTCTTCCCAGTGACCCCGTTTGATGTGGTGAAGACGCGGCTGCAGACACAACCGCGCGCGCAACCACCACCGCTCTTCCCGGCGCCGCCACCAGGTATGTGCTGCCAGCCCGCAACAAAACAAGTGCCCTGCGTACGGCGGATGTCCTCGCTAGCTCCAGCACTCGAAGGCGAAGTCGTCTGCATATGGGATCATGGGATCCTCCGGCAAGAGCGTGTCACCGGCTTCTTCGATGCCATTCGGCACGTCGTCCGCGCGGAGGGCGTCAATGGGTTGTGGAAGGGCGCTGGGACGACACTGTGAGTATGTTGCCTACGAGACCTGGATTCATCTGCTCACAATCACTACAGTGTGATAGGTGTCCCGTCATCAACAGCTTACATGCTCACGTATGACCACCTACTCAACGTTATTCTCCCACCATTACTCCCCGCTCCCGCTGTTCCCCTCTGTTCTGGTATGCTTGCCCGGACACTTGTCTCCTCCTTCATGTCTCCCCTTGAACTCGTCCGCACCAACCTCCAATCCACACCCCTCTCCCCCGACAACCCACATACCCTGCGTTCTGTCCTTACGTCCGTGCAAGCCCTCACACGCGTACACGGTATCAATTATCTCTACCGGGGACTCGGGCCGACGCTCTGGAGGGATGTGCCATTCAGCGGTTTGTACTGGGCGGGCTACGAGACGTACAAGGCAGCGTTCGCACGCGAAGGGTTCGCAGGACCGCAAGTCGCGTTTGCGAGCGGAGCTATCAGCGGGACGACGGCTGCCTTGCTGACGTCTCCGTTTGACGTGCTGAAAACGAGGAGGCAAGCGGTGTCGATGCAGGGGCAGTCAGCGAAGACTGCAACCTTCCCTCTGATGGTGGACATCGTTCGGAATGAGGGCATCGCTGCGCTATATGCTGGCATACTTCCGCGGATAGTCAAGATCGCACCTGCATGTGGTATCATGATTGGTTGCTTCGAGGTGCGTAGGCTCCAAGTTGACTAGAATTCGTTGCCTACTGAAATGCACACACCAGGGTATCGGCAAATTTCTCGCCAAACGCGAAGAGGACCCATGACCTATGTAGGGCCTAGATAGACACTATCCTAATGTCCAGTAATGTAATGCACGCACGCACATACTATCCTTATGACCATTCATGCGCGGGAACCCAATAAAGTGGAATCTACATGTCATATATTACAGCAAGCACCGTCCAATAGATATCTCCGCATTATCCTAGCCTGTTCATCTGCTTCTTCGTAGACGTGAGCTTCCCTCCAACCCGGTCGACCTCGTTGGTCAGGTCGTCGAGCATCTCATTCTGCTGTGAGATTTCGCTATGGATCGCTAAGCCGAGCTGTCGCTGCCGCTGCAGGATCGTGGTCAGCGAGGAGAGTTGCTGGTCTTGCTGGTCCATTTGTGTCTGCTGAAGCTGGAGCACGCCGTGATCATCCAGTGGCCGTGTCTGCTCGGTCTCCTGTGGCTTTGCAGCCGCACCGAATACTCGCACCGGTCTGTTGAAGCCAGACGACGAGGCAGAGTCCAGCAGAGCCGCACGATCCGAGGATGCGGCTGGGTTGCGCTCCGCCGACGAGCCCAGACCACGCGAAGTCAGTCGCGCGACGGTGACCATCTTGGCGAGCTTCTCGCAGTCGTCCCGCAACCGCGCGACCATGTCCGAGCGCCGCTGCAGCTCGCCCTCGCTCATCCCGCTCATGCCCAGCGCGCGCAGCCCATCGTCAAGTGCCCCTACGCGCGTGAGAATGCCCGCGAGCTTCTTCTTGGCTTGCACGTTTGACTGGTGCGAGGCAGAGACGTCGCCGCGGTCCGCGAGCGCATCGCGCCGGTTGATGTCCGCGCGGACGTCGCGCACGCGCGCCTGGAGGTCCGTGTGCTCGTCGAGCCACGAAGAGGATGTGAACTGTGCGGGCGCACCGGGGTCGCCGCCGCCAACACCGCCGTGCTTGCCAACGGGCACGCCGAGGAAGTCACGGAGGGCAAAGACCTCGCGCCAGCGGTCGTCCTTCGCGCTGAGGATGGCACGGAGGTAGTGCTCGAGGGCGGCGCGGCGCTCCTCGAGGTTGGCGGGGTTCTGGGTGCGGAAGAGGGAGAAGGGGTGCTTGGGCGGGAGGTCTGCGGGCGGGGGTGCGCCGGTGGACTTTGTGAGCTCGGTGTGGAGATCGACGAACTCGGAGTAGCGGCGCCACATGTGCCAGGAGCGGACGGACGCCTGGATCTCGATGCGGTACACGACGTGGGCCTTGGGCTCTGGCCGCTCCTCCCAGCCGCGGACGTAGATGGCCTGGATGGCCGTCATCGCGGCGAGACAGAGCAGGACGGGGACGGCGTGGGCAGCGTGGACGGCGTGACGGGGCAGCTGGGTGAGTGAGGCTGAGTGGAGGCCTGTGAGTGCACGCTCCGAGCTCGCGTTATGCGGAAGCGCCCGTGCGCCCTCAGACGCCTATACCGCCGATCATCAAGATCGCGTCGGGCTCGCTGGAACGTTCTCGTCGAGACAACGACCGCTCGAAAGGTTCTGTTGCAGACTGTCGAAGCTGCCAGCTGCTGGCCGTGTCACTGTAATTGTACACTGTATATTCCGCCGTAACGATCCAGAAGAAATTCTAGGTACGGTACTACTTGTTTCAGTGGTGACCAAGCTTCGAGCAGGCCATGTCGATACACGCAGGTATATTAGTCCATACACTCCGCCGGTGCAGTAGACGTTAGATAAGGCTACACAATCATACACTCTACAGTATGCTTCCAAATTCATGATCAACTCCCCGCCGACGCTTCAGCCTCCGGCGGGGCCGCTTCGGGCGCATCGGACGCCTCTGCCGCAGCCTCTGCCAAGGGCTGCTCCTCTACTGACACTGGCACCGCAGTCCCCTCAGCCGCAGAGGGACAGGTTCTGTGGGGGATGGTTGCGGCGGGTCTGCCGGCAGCGGGTTTTCTGATGCGACTGATAGGGGCCTAGCATAGTCTTGTGACATCCGCCTCTCAGCGACAGATACACGCCCTGACCCAAACTCGGGGGTCTCTCCGATGGCGGGCTCGCCGATGATGTATCGGAGCACATCGCTCAGGGTGATGATCCCGAGCAGTCGTCCCTTCTTGCCTCCTCGCCGTTCCTCTTCCTGTAGTGCAGATGATACAGTCAATCATGAGCCCCTGAGCAGACGCAATGCTACGTACGTCGCCCTCTACGACCACCAGACGATGAACCCTCCGCTTCTTGATGAGCTGCATAAGGGTACCCAGCGAGTCGCTTGCTGTGCAAATGACTACGCCAGGGAAGTCGGGTTGCCGCAGGTTCAACGCTTCAGCTATTGTCAGATCTAGTGACTGATATTGGCCGTTGCGACAAGGGCCTAATAGCGAAGTGTCGGATGAGACATTCAATAAGGAGGATGGAAGGATCGCTCACAATGACATCAACAGTCTCGTAAAGGTTGACGACGATGCCATCCTCGTCGATGATTGGCACGGCAGAAATGCCGCGCTCGGAGAACATGTGCACGACATCAAAGACGAGTGTTGACATCGTAGCAGTAGCAATGGGATGGAAGCGGTTGTAATCCTCTGGAACATCTTCAGCTGGTGGTGATGAGTCGGTGACATACGTCCCGATATTCAGCTTCCGTAGGGGGAGGTGTAGTTGCTGGATGTTACCCGGACACTGAAGAACTGAGGTTACCAGCCTGGCCGCTGAACTGATGCAAAATGATACAAACGTTGATCGAGATGAACTTCAGGAGACGGTACTGCGTCAATATTGACACAATTACTTCATGTCCCGTCTCCGAGTCATGGTCTAGCAGTGGGACGCGGCGTGCATGGGTCTGGATTAGGAGCCTTGCAGCGTCATACAACGAGGAACTAGGCTTTTCGCGGAGTAGCGGGGGCGGTGCTACACCAAGCTTTTTCTCAATGTCTGGGGCAATAGTTCAGGGACGTGTTCCACAAAAGGAAGCAGACGTAAAAGAAGCCCACCTCTTAGTGACTCCAGACGGAAGGTTTCCACGTCCTGCTCTGCAGAGTCGTAGGAGGAGAACTGGTAGTAGTATTGAATGAGGTGGATGATGTCTGAGACGGTGAACATGCCGGCGAAGCGGGACTGCTCGCTGTTCCATAGCGGTGCAGAGACCACGCCTGCGGCAGAGGGCGCGATTCAGCGGACGCTCGCGCACAGAAATTCCTGGCCAAAGGTACGGAGACATACCGTTGGACAGGAGACACGACAAGGCTTTCCTCACCTCTAGCTTGGAGTCGAGGACGATGAGACGGAAGCTGACGGGGAAGGAGTCGTAGGACGTGCGCCCCTTGAGGTAGGTCCTGATCGCATAGAGGGCCGCGTCGTGGGTGTCCTGGGAGAACGGGGGGAGGAAGGAGCCTGCGCGGGGGCGGCGGGAGGAGCCCTTGCGCCTGACCTTGGGGGAGGAGTTGGGGGTGAGGGTCGCGCTCATGACTTTGCCATGCAGACGAGCGCAATACCGGCCTTAGCAGTGGCTGCGGCTCGAGCGAGCACTCGCTGCCTCGTTGCGGGGCACGGGCGCTGCCCCGCGCTGACTAAGCATTGCCCGCGTGCCTCCGGAGCCTCCTCGGCAGCCCGGGCGTCGGCCGGCCGCGGCGCGTGCCCGGGGTCTCCCACCGAGAGCCGGGCGTGCGACTGCACCGCTGCTCATCATCATCTCCGTTCAGACCGCCCCGCCTCAGCTTCTCACCGCGACCAGTGCTTGCGCTGCCTTCACTAACCTCCTTTGCTTTCCCCTTCTTCTAGTCCCTATGGGCAGCGTCGAGCGCATCGCCCACGACCACTGGGACGACCATACCGACGCCCTCACCACCGGCTACGGCGCCCTACGCGATACGCTTGCCGCCGCCGTCAGCACCGCACCCGCGTTCGACATGTCCGACGACGACGAGCTCCCGCCTGGCGGTGGCAACCACGATGCTTTCTACGTCCTCCTTCCCCTTCTCATCGTGCTCTCTACCTTTCTCTTTCTGCTCCTCATCTTCCTGCTATGCATTATCCTCCTTCGCCGCAGACGCGGCATCATGCTGCGCGACAGCGACGGCCCCATCGACATGAGCCGCGAAGATCTCATCGAAGGCGAGGGCGGCTTCGAGGGTGTGGAGTCTCGCTGGCTTGAGACCGTATCCGAGGCTGACCGCAGAGCATATGCGCGTGCGAAGGGTATGTTATGATCGTCTTTTGATCGTCGAATACAGCATACCCAATTAATCTCCTCGCAGATTATCAGCTGCAGTACCGACCAAACTCGTTCCCGACCGATATCACTCTTTCGCAGTTCCTTTCCATCCAGGAAAAGGGCGTGTCGGCATGGTCGTTCGAGCCGGATTTCGAGGCGATAAACTCCATGCTGGTGCACGCGCGCACGGAGATCACGTTTCTCCCAGATCCGTCGTCAGCCACTTGCGTGCAGTCCAATCTCCCTCTGCCAAAGTTGAACGAGGTGTACTACTGGGAGGTCAAGATGTTCGACCTCCCGGAAACCACCAACGTCGCCGTGGGTCTTGCGACAAAGCCGTACCCGTGGTTCCGGCTTCCCGGCTTGTGCCGCTTCTCCGTGGCTTACCATTCTAACGGCGACAAGTCTCACAACTACCCGTTCACCGCCCAGTCATGTGGCATGCCGCTCAAGGAGGGCGACGTTCTTGGTGTTGGGTACCGACCTCGCACGGGTACGGTGTTCTTTACCAAGAACGGCCGCAAGATGGAGGACGCATACATGGGCCTCAACAACTGGAACCTGTTCCCTACTATTGGGGCAGATGGCCCATGCAGCGTACACGTTAACTTGGGACAGTCTGGATTCGTCTTCATTGAGGCCAATGTGAAGAAGTGGGGTCTGGCGCCTAGTGTCGGGACGCTGGCACCGCCGCCTCCTTACGGCAGCGAGCGTGGAAGCCTGCTGCTAGCTGCCGGTGGTGACATTATGCCCGTGCAGAGCGGTCTTGTGTCCCCTCAAAGCCCCCCTCCAGGCTCCTCTCGTTCACGACGCTCCCATCGCTCTCGTAGGCCGAGGAGTGCGCTAGGCACTGCCACTCCAGTTGGATCTTCGTCGATGCAGGCTAGCCCGATAACCTCTCCCAGTCCTCCCGAGACACCACCACCACCCATCACGCCCATCGAGGAAGAGATGGATACCGGCGCCGAAGGGGCTGCCTCGACATCGCGGAGGTACATATCGCCCACTGACCTGCCCTTTCACGAACCTCCTAATGCTAATCTCCCTCCTTCCCCGACCCGAAGTGCGAACCCTGAGTCTGGCGTCGTCGGCGGCGAAGGCGAGTGGTCATCCGGGTCCTCGCAAACGTCACGGTCGCCCTCGCGAGCAGGTGCGAACCAATTCAACGTCCCTCGTCCCCAGCCATTCAGCCTCACTCATCCGCGCACGGGCTCGCGCTCGTCGATAACAGGTTCGGAGCTCGCAATCCACGTCCACCCGCCTCCGGAGTCGCCGATCGGCCCCGAGCCGCCCACCCCGGACCCCCAACGCGACATCCGCTTGCAGGCATTCGCGTCTTCTGGCTTGTCAGCCGCTGGTTCGTCACGGAGTTCAGTCGTTCCGGACCGTCCACCACCTGCCTACTCGCCGCTCGACGCATATGCGTACTCGGAGGGCGTGCATATCGACCTCCCTGCGGAGATGATTGCTGCTGCCCTGGAGCGGGGCACCATCCCTGCCAACATGATCGGCAGCGCGAGCTCCCGCTCAGACCGGCATCGGAATCGACGAGAGAGGCGGTGATAGTAGTACGAAGCGAGGCTATCGTCGGAGAGTGCACCGCGGTCGTCAGTGTCTTGCTTGCTTATTGTATCAATATTCTGCGGTCTGAGTGTGCGCGTGTAGCATGCATGCATAGGCAGCGGCAACCGTGATGTGCATATTGTAGTATCTGTTCCTTCATTTGTGTTGTTGCAGCAATCTTCCTAGCTACCTATAATACTTCCTCATTCATCGTTTTCCGCACCCATTATGGACGCTGTAGAGATCGCCAGCACAAAGAAATGATATTGAAGCATCTGCGCGTCTTGCTGTCAACTGTATGGAACCGTGGTCGGCCGTCCGCACCTCGTCAGGAACCGAAATCGCATTTGGGTCGCAAGTGCATTGAATGGGACGTGCCACCGCCATATACGCATGCACTGTCCGTGGTCATAATCATGTACTTTCGTGTTCCTGACTTGTCCTGACAGGCCTCTCGCTTCGCCAAGCACGACTCAGCCTGCCCTTAACATGATGGTCCGTGCGCATACGTGTCGGGGTACTTAAGGCATCCCCCGCCATCTGAACACCTCATACTTACCTTGATGGAACGATCCCCTTCACGTATCGGGAGCGTTGGCCGTAGGGGTCTCTCATAGCACGGCGACCATGTCCTCAGGGGGGCCTTGCGGTTTGTATGGGCTTCGGCTCATGCATCGTCTCAATATTTCCCTGTCCCGTTCCGGCCCTCGGGCTGGGCGGGCCTTATTCTTTGTCCCTACGCGGTCCTAACCCTAACCTTATGCCATTTGATGGTCTGCTCGATTTGGCAGGGTCTGTGGTTGGTTTACTTACGACTCGGGTGACATGTCTCGGGCCTCAGCCTAAGTAGTCCTTGAGTTGAGAGTGATAATGACATGGGCTGCAACCCTTACAAAATCTGTGTATGTAGTAGCAAGATTGCAGCAATGGAATGAGATACAGCGCATTCATAGTGCAAAGGTATTTGTTGGATTGCTTCTGAAGTAAATGCGAACACATTGGTTCTGATAGCAACTTGATGTGTTGATTCCATGTTGTTTCTGTTTTTTGGACTGCTTGCACTGCTCGCTCACTCAACTCGGAGACAACAAGTACTAGTACTAAGCTCTGCACTATACTGATCAAAGCTGACCATCATCGATACATTCTGTTTCTATCTGCTACCACACCCGTTGGAGCCATTACTACAGCATACAACCTTCATGTCGAGTCAGATTCTACCATCACGGTTCCAGCCGCTTGGGGTCGCGCGGGAATAGCGACGCGCGGCGGATGTTGTTCAGCTTCAAGAACAGCATCAGCACGCGCTCGAGGCCGATACCGCCTCCGCCATGGGGCGGGCAGCCGAGCCTGAACGCGTCGAGGTAGGGGCCCATCGTCGCGGGGTCGACGCCCTTGGCGCGCATGAGCTCCGCGAGGAGGGCGGGGTCGTGCACGCGCTGCGCCCGGAGAGGATCTCCTCGCCGCGCATGAAGAAGTCGTACGAGTTGGAGAGCGTCGGGTCGGCCGGGTCGGGCATGGTGTAGAACGGGCGGAGCGCCATCGGGAACTTGTCGATGATGAAGTAGTCCGTGTCGTACTTGGCACGCACGAGCCGCCCGAGCCGCTTCTCATTTTCCGTGCTGCGGCGATGCGTGTGAGAAATGAGACGCCGCGGATGGCGGTAGGCGGGACTCACTTGATGTCGTCCAGGGTGTCCCTCGGCACGCCGTCCGCGACGAGAATGTCCACCGCCTCCGCGAAGCTGAGCCGGAGCGTGCCCTCGGGGCCCTCGCGCCACTTGAACTCGTCCGCGGGGAACTGGCGGCGCACGGTGTCGATCTCCTTCGCGCACGTCTGCTTGAGGCTGCGGAACATGTGCAGGAAGAGCCCGTCGAGGAGCTCGAGCACCTCGTGGTAGTGCTCGTCGATGGCCATCTCGAGATCGAGGCCGATGAACTCCGTCATGTGCCGGTGCGTGTTCGAGTCCTCCGCGCGGAAGACGGGCCCGATCTCGTAGACGCGCTCGAAGTCGGCCGCGATGGCCATCTGCTTCGCCAGTTGCGGCGATTGCGCGAGGTAAGCGTTGCCTATGACGTTGAGTATGAGGAGAGGACGGCAGACAGGACGAAGAGCAGTGCGCACCTTTGAAGTAGCTGACCTTGAAGACGGACGCGCCGGACTCGGTCGCGGCGCCCTGCAATTTTGGCGTGTGGATCTCCATGAAGTTCTTGCTCTCTAGATATTCACGGAACAGACCGCCGATCGCATGTTGCAGCTTGAAGACAGCTTGATTGGTCGTTGTCTGAGGGTCTGTGTTACTTCAAGCGTGGTTGCAGGTCGAGAACGTGGACGTACTCTTAGGTCAACGATGCGGTTGTTCAGTCTAGTGTCCAGGAGCACCCTTTTGAATTGCACGTCTTCTGTCGTCTCGATTTCAGTGTCAGGGCGTGTAGCATCCTCGACGCTGAACGGCAACACGGTCTCGAGGCCGGACTCAAGATGGATCTGGATGGTGTGGCGTTCAGTCTTGGGCTGTCTTCTCCCAGAGACGCACACAAACCTGCGAAATGTGGATCTCAACATCTCCCACCGTTGCGCTCTTGATCGGCTCTGGCGTCTTCTTCACGGTGCCCTCCACCAGCACGATGCTCTCCATAGCGAGACCCGCGGCCCACTTGGCCATCTGCTTGCTCACCTTCTCGGGCGAGACGGTGAGCAGGGCCTGGATGGAGTCGATGCGCTGGCGGAGGTTGAAGAAGACCATCTTGCTGCCCTGGGCACGCGACGTCTGGACGCGGGCGCGGAGGAAGACCTGCGTGCCGTCCATGTCGGGCGTGAGGGCCGCAATCCGCACGCGGGGCCGCCGCGGGCGCGCCTGCGACTTGTTCAGGGGGAGCTTGCCGTAGAACTCCGTCGCGAAGTCCTGTGTGCGGACATAGCGGAGGGGTGTCTGTCAAATGGGACGGCCTGAGAAGGCGGGGATGCGTACCACCTCCGCGGCGGCCTTTTGGGCGTCGAGCTCTGCCTGCCGTGCGGCCTTTTCTGCGGCCTTCTTTGCTTCTCTGCCTCCTTTGCGCGTTTCTTGAGCTCGCTCTTGGACGGACCCTTTGCGTCGACGCCTTCCTCCGCCCTGGGGAAATTTAGCAGGCTTTGTGAGGGGGATAGAGCTGCACTCACGGCTGTTCTGCGGGAGGGTTCTGTATGGGTTGAGTGTCAGCCATGGTGGTTGTCGGTCAGTGTGCGGTCTGCTGCGATACAAGGAAAGGGTGTGGCGGAGGCGAGTCACGCTCTGGATGAGTCGATCGATGGGACGGGACGCTGTGCTAGGGTTAGGTCTGGTGCTAACCCTAGGCGGGCCGAGTCACGGCGAGTCGCCGCTCTAGCTCCGTGAAACGCGGCCATTTGAGCTGGCAGCCTGAGCCTGACACGAGTCCTCCCGACTCCTGTTGCAACCGCCACTGCCAGCGCCATCTCGCCCTCCACCCCGCCCGCCCAAAATGCAGGCCATTGCCCGCCCCCTCGCCCGCGCCGCCCCCAGGCAGGTCCGTGCCGCCGCCGCCCTCTCGACGTGGGCCAACGTCCCCGCCGGCCCCCCGGACCCCATTTTGGGTGAGTCTTCCCGCAGACGTGTGCCTAACGCCGGCTGCCGGTTACATACTTGCCTGGCCTGGGATCGCCCGAAGCGACGGCATCCACTTCGTCCTGCTCTCACCGTCACGCTGCTCGACAGTCGACCTCATCGACCCATCCCTTCTCTGCGACCCCATGACTCCCCGACTATATCCCGCAGTGCTCACACCCCCTTCTAGGCGTGACCGAGGCGTTCAAGGCCGACCAGGACTCTCGCAAGATCAACCTTGGTGTTGGCGCATACCGCGACGGCAATGGCAAGCCTTACGTGCTCAGCAGTGTCAAGAAGGCAGAAGAATTCTTGACCGCGAACAACCCCGACAAGGAGTATTTGCCCATCAGCGGTCTTCCTGAATTCACCAAGGCCGCAGCAAAGCTCGCGTATGGCGCGGACAGCAAGCCGTTGAATGACAGCGCGGTGCGTGCTATTAGACACGAGTAAACTACGAGGGAGTTCATGAGGAGTTATGGTTAGGTCGCTGTCGTGCAGTCCATCTCGGGCACGGGTGCCCTGCGCATTGGTGGCGCGTTCTTCCACAAATTCTTCCCCCACTCAAAGGCGATCTACATCCCGAACCCTTCGTGGGGTAACCACACTGCTGTGTTCCGTGACTCCGGCCTCGAGGTCAAGCAATATCGGTATTTTGACAAGAAGACCGTGGGTCTTGACTTTCAGGGCTTGAAGGAGGACCTGAGGGTAAGATTAGCTACTCCAGCGACTAGACATTCATATCTAATATACATTTCCAGAGTATTCCTACGAACTCATTGGTCCTGCTGCACGCCTGTGCGCACAACCCCACCGGTGTCGACCCGACGCCCGAGCAGTGGAAGGAGATTTCCGACATCATCAAGGAGAAGTCGCTCTTCCCCTTCTTCGACATGGCCTACCAGGGCTTCGCCTCGGGCGACACCACGCGTGACGCGTTCGCCCTGCGTCACTTCGTCTCGGAGGGCCACCAGGTCGCGCTCTCGCAGTCGTTCGCCAAGAACATGGGTCTCTACGGCGAGCGTGTCGGTGCGTTCTCCGTGACGTGCGCGGACGAGGGCGAGAAGAAGCGTCTGGAGAGCCAGCTGAAGATCATCGTCCGCCCGATGTACTCGAACCCGCCGCTGCATGGCGCGCGGATCGCGAGCACGATCCTGAACAGCCCGGAGCTGTACACGGAGTGGGAGGACGAGGTGAAGGGCATGGCGAACCGCATCATCTCGATGCGTGACCGCCTGTACGACAACCTCGTCTCGCTCAAGACGCCGGCGAGTGGGGACACATCAAGAGCCAGATCGGCATGTTCAGGTGCGGCGACATGTGATCGTCTGTGAGGTGATGCTGATGACGGCGCGACAGCTTCACTGGCCTGACGACGCCGCAGACGCAGGCGTGGCGCAGAAGGCGCACATCTACATGACGGCGGATGGCCGTATCTCGATGGCGGGTCTGAACGGCCACAACGTCGACTACTTCTCGGAAAGCGTGAGCAAGGCGGTCAAGGGCGAGCTCTGAGCTGGATTCGGGCTCTTTGAATTGTTGCATTGACACTGCTAGAGTGGATTGGATGTGGTAGACATCTACGGCCAGACTAATGGAGCGTCCTGTCACTGATAATTGCGCGCCGCACTCTTGTTTCGGATCCGTTTGTTGTTGCACGGTGGGTGTCTGTCTGCGCGGACAAGTGGCGGTGTTAGAGGACGTGCGGGCAGCTACTGACGGGAAGGTGTCGTGACGTTGGCTGGCTTCCGTTCCAAATAGGATTGCTACAGGCCAGGAATGGCAGGTGTGGTGCTTCGAGGCCGCCTTCTACCCACAGCTAATGTCGCCGCTCTCAACAGACATCGCATGAGCCGCCACCAGCTCTCCTTCGCTCTCCACGACCACCACCACGCCGTCCGCCCCCGCACCGTCGCGCGCAGCCGTCCCCCGTTCGTGGTCCAGCAGGATGCCCACGCTGCGCTGGCGTCGAAAGACGTCCACGCCCTTCTTCCCCGGCGCGTGGCCCAACTCTTCCGCCTCGGATCAGGACCACGACCAGCGCCTGCCCGTGTACAGCGATGACGCACCGCCCCAGCTCCCCGAACTTCGCCATCTGAGCCCCCGCAAGCACCACGGCGAGGACCTAGCGGCGCTCGCTGAAGAGGGCTGGGGTTCCCGATCGTTTCGAGAAGCAGGCTTTGAGGATGAGGGCGCGCTGTGGGAGCGCGAGTCGGGAGCGGCGGGCTTCGCAGCCCATGGCAATGCCCAGCCCTGCGTCGACGAGCGCGCCGCTGAGTGCGTCGTTGTCGCAGGCCTCGACTTTCAGTGATCAGACTGTAAGCCCTGTTCCTCAAAGTCTAATTAGGCGCATATACCGACGCTGCTGCAGGACTCTGAGGGCGTCCTCACCCCACAGTCGATCCAAGGTCCGCTCTGGCTCTCTCCGCGTACAGAAGCTCCTTACACCCAAATCACCAAAGACAGCCTCGTTTCCGAGTCCACCTCTTTCTACCAATCTTTCGATGACCAGCCACGCCACGACCAGGACTCTTTCTCGCATGATACCACCATAGACACAATCAACGTTAATACCACTGTATCCAGCTCTAATACGGCCGACTTCCACCCGCATCGCGGCGCGACGCGCGCGGCGTATCGCAATCCGCCGCTCTTGGACTTTTCGGAGCCTCTTCCGCTAACTCGCATCAGCCTGGACTGGGAGGCGGTGCTTCGTCCCCGAAGGCGAACAATGTCTCTCTGCAGAGTCCGCGCCTATCGCAGTCGCCCATTCAATTCTCTACACCGTCTGCTGTCGGCTCCCCCGTGCTCCGCGACGGCGAACCTGCAGCCTTCAACCCCGAAGCCATGGCGACCACGTTCTTCCCCGTGCCCACGAGCAGCGGCCACGAACATTCCTCAGAAACTCATGAAGACGTCGGGCAGGCCGCTTCCTCTCCGCTGACCTCGCCGTCTGCCTATAGCCTTGGCACGGACTCTCCGGTGCTCCCTGCTGACGTCGGCCCAATCCAGAACCCTCAGCCTCCGCTCAATTCGCCGTATACGCTCATGGCGGGGGACTTGGACGCGTTCGCGGCCGCCGCGACGAGCTCTTCGCTGTCGCTGCCTACGTCGCTGCACTCTGCGCTGTCGGAGGTGCTGCTGGCTGACTCAGAGATATCAGAGCGGAGCCCGCTGCCGCCCCCGCATTTCCGCGCGTAAGCAACGAGTTGCATGTGCGTAGCCCGTCGCTTGTGGTTGCCGCTCAGTGCGGGAATGACATGACTGCGTTCCCGCGCACTCCTGGGGCAGACGGGAAGATGACGACGAGTATGACGAGGCGGGAGACGCTGCCGTCGAGGAGCGATCCGGATGCGCACCGACGGATGAGCGCACCGCTCTTGCACTCTCCACATACGCCCGTTCATCGTAGCACGCCGCGTGAACGTAGGCAAACGCTTAGCAGCCGTGTGGAAGTTCAGCATGTCCAGGATGACCCTGACGGCGCGGATGGGGGTCACCGGCCAGCGAAGATTCCAGTCTTTGGGAAGATGCGGAAGCTGGGAGGAAAGTTCTTGAGCTTATTTGGCGGCAAAATGTGAAGGCGCCTGGACCGGGTGTAGGTATCGAAGGACCTACGCCAGAGTTCGCAGTGAAGAAGACGCGAAGACGACTGTGACGAAGGTCGAGTTTGAATCGGTGGGTGTATGTGTACTATCGCGTGGAATGCAGTGTGTCATTGTTCTGGTTGTCGCAGGAGCACCCGATATCTCGCCCTGTCCCCGAACTCCTGCCCGGGATGCGCGCGCGTCGCGCCGGTCCCTGCCACTGAGGATGTCGAAGTCGCCTTCCGACTCCCCCCGTCGCCTCGGCGCGACTCGTTCCTGCCCATTGATGACCCGGAGTCTGCGTCGAAGGGATGTGTCGATCCCTTGCAGCATATGCGCGGCAGCCCTTCCATCCAGTTCAAGAAGGATCGTGGCGCCTCTAGCAGCGACTATGCCCCGCAGACCCGTGTTACCCCGACACGAGCGCGAACGGTGACCGCCCCCGCAAAGCCCCAGAAGCTAGCAGCGAGAAAGCACCGCCCGCGCCGGTGACGGCAAAGCAGGCGCGGAGATTCTCCTTGTCTTCAGCGTTGTCGAGATCACGGTTTGACCGCTGAAGACGACGGTCGTACCACACCACCCGTGCCTGACTTCCCCAAGTCCTCGACGTGCGACCGGACCCGCGCCGCATCGACCCAGTGCGGCCCGTCAGTATGATTCCGCCCACCGGACTGGACGCGAATCAGCCAGTCGTCTCTGAAGAGCGCTGTGGCCGGCTCGAAGAAGGGGAAGGAGAGAGCCAGGCCGGTCAGCATGGTCGTGAGCAGCAGCGCGGCAAGGCGCGCGTTCTTGGACCAACCCCAGATACGAGTGCAGGCGCCCACGCCTTTAATCGGCCCGGCGGCGAGCACGTCGAAGGAGGATGTGCGCGCGAGGCATACGAGCATGCTTGTGGGGAAGGAGAAGGACGTGAGGCGCGATATGATCGAGGTCGCGGGGTCGAAGTTCAGGATGCACAAGCCGAGGCTGCCTGAGGGTGCGGACCATCCTGAACGTGATCGCGAGGCCGCAACCCCACCCGCTGACGTGGTGCAGAGTCCTAAACTCGGCCCTGAGCGGGTTATTGAGGAGGCTTCTACGGAGCTGGTCACATCAGCGTCTGCCATGGAATCTCCGTACGAACCCGCTCTGCGTGAACGTGTACCCATCGAGCGTCCTGGCCCTGATGAAGTGCAGGCATACGCAGTCCCTGCCCCGGAGACGGAGGCACAAGCGCCCTCGCGCCGATTCTCACTCTCATCCGCCATTTCGCGGCGCGCCATGCGTGCCCGAAGCATGATAGTCTCCGTTGGACGGCGCAGTAGCGAGAGCGACCGTGCAGCAAATAGTAGTGGGAGCACGGACGCCACCGCTACGCCGAACACCTCAGGGACGTCGAGCCCACGTCCTCCTCATCGCCGTGGTAGAGGAAGCACGTTCAGCACGATCATCGATACTGGAGTGCGGTTCGACATGATGACGCCTGGCTTTGGGTTCGTCATGCCGACGCCGACGCCATCTTCTCCGCGTGTCACGGCTGATTCACCGACTACGTCGGCGCGACGCTCGAACGATGCGGACTTCAGGCGTGATCGGGACGACGCGCCTGTGCCCAGGACGCTTGACTTGGAGGTGGCGGGAGAGATTGCCGGGATGGAAGAGTATCCATCGCCGGATTCAGACCTCGATAGCATGAGCTTCGCCGGGACGGCGACACTCTTGGAGAGCGTAGCGAGCGGCATCAGTGTTAACTCGTCGTATGCTGACTTCTTTGTGGACGCTCGCTCGGAGGCTACGAACTGCAGCATGGACTTCGACGAGCCTGGGGACACCCTGGTTCGCGGAGGTGCGACGAGACTGGGCGAGCCCTTCGAGGGTGGCGAGCCTGTGATCAGACAGATTGAGCTGGTCCGTGCATCGAGCACGGCGGTTGGGTCGTCGGGCAGCTCGGAGGGTGGGACGCCTATGGTTGAAGCTGTGGAGAGGGAGGAAGAGAGGGGGTTCTTACGGGCGCTGGGGCTCGAGCTGCCGGTTGATCATGTTAATCGGCTGGTTGGGTAGAGTGTTTCGGGACGAACAAGAAGGTTTGGGGTTACCAAATTCAATGTATTCAGCGACTGATACCCAGACCTTTGTTGTAGATTGCTTTTCACCTCAAGACTTTCCATCTCTGTTCGTGACATAGTTCTCCCACTCGCATAAGCCTGTCCATTTACCGGACGCTCCGGTCGCTCTTATCATCAAACCATACATTACGGACACATCGAACGGCCGCCCCCCGGGCATCTTTCTGCATTGGTATGGATGGTTATCGTGGCATAGAACTTGGGAAAGACGGAAACCATTCGTCTGTTGGGTTGGTTTCTCAAAGCACTATATATGGTTTCAGGTATACAATCACACCATTACCAGATGCCTGTCAGCGGTCCCCCGCTTGCCGTGTCTCCATAAACGCTCTGGTATATAAGGAATCCTCCTTCCCGACTGTTCGCGGTAAATTAAGGCTCGCAACGGATGCAACTGTCAAGTGCACTATGCTCGATGCATTTCTCTGCCTGGTCCGCGTTGTCGACGACTCGGACTGAATTGGGCTCAGTTGTCTCAGTGGCGGTGCGCAACCTGTTCAGCGGTTTGTTGAAGTATTTCCACGCAACTGTTTGGATTGACTGACGCAGAATCACTGAGACCCCGATCAATTGTAGGATCCGTGAATGCGACGGGGGCCGGTCGAAGGGGACTCCTGGGAGGCCGGGGAGGGGGAATTGGCTTCTGACATTCCGAGTCGCCAGAGTGGCCAAGCGGGCTCACGCTAGAGATGTTACGATCGACTTGCGGGTACGAGGCGGCGGTCGATCCTCCCGGCATGACCACGGAACGACTGGTATCTTGATTCCATGAAAAGTCTTCTGGCTTCAGAGTGGACTGGCGACTGGGAGTACATGGTGCGCGAGCTGTACTGGCTTCGTCCGGTAGCAATTCGGCATCAGGTTCGTCATTGAAGACGATGTCGCCTGTGTGGACAATTACCGACACAGTGAACATCATGGTGCCAGTGTGATAATGAGCGGTCGACAAGAAACTAGTGCTGGCACAGCCAGAGTGAGGTGCTTGGAGATGATTCTCAAGAACACCGAGAAGTGAATTTCAGCGCACAATTCCTCAGCTGCCATTATAAGCACACGCATTGGCGGGGCAAAGCGGCTTGTGGGTCCTTGTTGGCCAGAGCGCTAATCAACCACTAGAATGCCGGCGCCGGCAGCTTATGGTGCAACGCTTTGGCCTACATAAGCTGAACAAAAGCCGGCCAAAGGTGACAACACTTACCTGTTCATTATTGGTAGCTAGTCAATGGCACGACGTGCAAGCAGTAATCAGGTCCATATTGTCTAGCCAAGGGTTTAGTAATGAACACTCTGCCAGGGGGGGAGGTATGGAATCGCGGGGCGCGCCCCGAAACCAAATTAACGGAGTGGGCTGAAGATGTCGGGTTCAATGGAGGCTTGCGGAGAAAGTCCGATGTCCATGTTTAATGTCGGCTATGCTATTATTTCGTGGTGTGGTGGTCACTGACATTACCGCAGGTACCCATACTACATGCCCGGGGACACAACACTTGTCCTACCGTGGACTACCGGCAGTGTAGGAAACGAAATGGATCGTCCTGATCTTGCTCTATTGTGTAACCGCCAATTGTGCATACCCACAGGCTACTCGTCAGAACATGTGTCGAACAAGGTGGTTCTATTATTGTGAAGACCCACTCGGCTCAGAATAGGCTGCAGAAACATCCTGGCCCCGAGCCAGTACTCACTTCGGCGGCATCATCTTGTCCGGGTAGGTCCCGAGAGAGACCTCTGCCGTGGGATCCGTGGGTACTGTTAGGCTGAAGGGCCGGATGGGTACTGGGGCCGCAAATCGCTGGCGCAATAACTGCGAATCTCGATTATCACCCCGGGCGAAGGCTCGACCTCCTGAGGAAGGTGCATTGCCGTCGGCGGGCCGCCTGAAAGGATCCGTGCGTCTGCTTTTCGATGGGTGAGCGGCGGAGCAGTATGCTGTAGTGCCGGTGATTGGACTCCTGCCATCATGGGGCCACATCGAGATATCGACGGTTCTGGCAATGGTGTAGGAATCGGTGAACCGGGTCTTCCAATGTCTATAAGCGGCGCCGCTGTCGTCTGTGTGGAATTCTTGCCACGGTAGACTGGTCCGCGCCACCGCGGAGCAGGGTACGGTCTGTAGAAGTGTGGCTTCTGCGCGAGTGTCGATCGTGGCCGAGGGCACGAAGGCTTGGTGAGGGAGGGCGGGATGTCCGGAGCGGGCGTCGCATCCTGAAGTGGACGTGTTAGGTGTGGGTGGGGCGCCGATGTGCGAATGAGGCGCGTCTGCGTGGCGTAATACGCAGTAAATGCACGGCAGATGGTGGCGGTTGGGCATGTTGTCTTTGTCCCGTTGTGATCGGGTCCCAGATCCTTGCTGTTCCATATATACAGATAGCACAAGGGCCAAAACAGAGCTTGGTCCCGCACCTATTGTATGCCGCGTCTTGAGAGGACAAGCTTTAGCCTTCCACCAGAAGATGAGAGTGGGGGTCAGAACAAGGTGTTTTAAGCGCTCGGTAACTTGCACACTCACCCGACACTCACCAACACCAATCTCGTTTCTTCACTGGTACCACTGACATGAAGAATGTGAATCAACTCATATAACTCGCTATGACCATAAAACAAACTCAGAGGCGCACACGGTAACGCAGAACTGACAGACAGCGTGCGTGTCGTTGATAGACCTACCTGATTCCTGCAAACTAAAGTCGACGGCGTCAACTGGAAGTCTCACCTTGCGCCAGACTGGTGGTTGAAGATCATGGCTTCTGCCCCCCTCGTACAGAGTTTACACCTTTTGAGTACGACAGCTGCTAGATATCCAAATCCTCGTCCGGGTCATCATCGTCCAGATCATCCGCTGAATCCGGATCGTAGAGGATAGCAGCTGGCGGCGGCATACTCGCCTTCTCCATCGGCTTCCCTTCATGCGCATAAGGCAAGGGTACTTGCGCGCGAGACCTCTGCTGTTCATCCGTGAGGTTGAGGTTGAAGGAGAGGTTTTGGGTAGGATCAGGCGTTGCCTGTAGCGACGACTATAAGCCAGCCATCCTGGACATCATGACACTGACGCATACCTCCTCAGCAGCCCTTTTCACGAACAGCGTCTTCAGTGCTACCAATGCGCTGAGCTCGCACGGCGCGCCTCCAGACCAACCCTCCAACACCCTCTCGACGCCGCGCCGGCGCCCATTTCCATCCGCGCCTCGTACGAGTATCTCTGCCACGAACTCGCTGCCGCCGCTCCCTTCGCCCTCCGAGCCAAAAATAAGCTTCTCGCTTTCGTAATGCCGCTCTGCGATGGGGATGAAGACCCGCCAGAATTTCTCAGGTGGCGAGAGCGGCGGAGGTGGGGTGAGGTACGCGGTTGCGAGATGTGTGATGAGGGCGGTCGGGTGGGCAATGACGTGCGTTAGGCTGGAAGAGAAGCGAGTTTGAGTGAGGATGGTTGTGAGAGGCGATGGTGCGTGAAGATGCACCACCAGACGGAAGCCTAGATTACTCATTCAGTCTGCAGCCAGTAGGCTTGTCCGCTAAGCGTACCTTTTCGAGACTTCACAAGAGAGAGTAACGAAGCGAGGAGCTGCTCGGCCTTCGATATTGAGCCCATATCAGAGAGGATGGTGTCAACGGAGTCGATGATGACAGTCAATGGACCCTGGGGTGCTGATTCTCACATTGAGCGTACCGTATCGCGTCACGACTGGAATGCGCTCACCGTCCTGCACAACTCTGAGCATCTCGGACTTGATGTCAAAGTCATCGTCATCATAACCGGGAACATGAGATGTCCAGTCGAAGGTTTGTAGGCGATCAGCGGCTAGCTGACTGCGTTCTACTAGGGTCGAGGGTGGGTAAAGCAGAGAGAACAGCAGAGTGCACCCCTCGGCCTTGCTCGTGGTCTCGAGCAGAGCGTAGCGGATCACATCCAGACATTGCTGCGCTGTTGAGGTCTGCAAGAGCACGAACGGCTGGGTGCGCGCCGCGGCAGGGGCGAGGGTGGAGGAGAGTAGAGGCGGCATGGCGGACAAGCGGACGCGGGGCGATCGACCCTCTCGGATCTGAGATCGCCTGACGCTTCTTCCTACGCACACATTTCGCGCTCAAGCGCCCGTTCTTTGCGAAAAATGGCATCCTCCTCTGCCGCTGCCTCCTCGTCGAAGCTTCCTCCATCTGTCTACAACCCAAGCGGCATGTCGGCGTGCATGCGGAGCGCGTGTCAGACGTGTCCAGCACGGAGTATCCAGGCCACTTCCCTGGCGAGGACCATAGTTGGGACTTGGCGAAGTTCAAGGAGGTGAGTCGGGCTGCTGGGATGTGTGTGGATACTGACGAATCGCATGAGTAGAACCTGAAAGTGGACGTCAAAAGGCTATCTCAGCGGTCTGTGGAGTTTGACCTCGTCGGCGTCGACGCGTCCATCGCGAATGCGTTCCGGAGAATCCTCATTGCAGAAGTGCGTACTGCCGACCCGCACAGCCTCCAGTCAAGTTAATTAGTCCTTTACAGATCCCCACTATTGCAATAGAACATGTATACGTATGGAACAACACCTCCGTCATCCATGACGAAGTTCTCGCACATCGCATCGGGCTCGTCCCATTGAACGTCCCCCCAGCCATGTTCAAGCCCCGAAGTCCGAATGGCGTACCCACAGATCAGGACACAATCGTGTTCAAGCTCAACGTGACGTGTGAGGTTGACAAGAACTCATCGAAGGAGAAAGGCGCGCCGCGAAAGCTCATAAATGAGGAGGTGCTGAGTGGTGACCTCGAGTGGTTCCTCAGGGCGAGCAGGCTTCGGTGTTCACTGGTGCTCTTCCTCTTCCTGCACCAACAAACAAAGTGAGTTGCAGCTACTCTGTACGCGATTGCCTTTGGGTTGACCCGCTGCATAGAACATTGTTCTTGCGAAACTCCGACCAGGACAAGAGATTGACATGGACCTCCACGCAATTAAAGGTGTCGGGAAAGACCACGCAAAATGGAGTCCTGTCGGTGAGTAGTCACGGTGCTAATCCTAATCGAACCTCATTGTTCACTCCATATTCTCAGCCACCGCATCCTACCGCCTCCATCCCCTTGTCGTCTTCAACCCCTCAAAACCTGTCCCGCCACACCTCGCACAGAAGTTCGCAAAATGCTTCAGCCCTGGAGTCGTGCAAGTGAGCAAGGACGGGGAGGTGTCGATTGACGAGCAGAACCTGCGGAAGGAGAGCATGTCCCGCGAGGTGCTCCGGCATAAGGAGTTCGAGGGCTGTGTAGAGCTCAAAAGGATCAGGGACTGGTTCATCTGTGAGCATGCCTTTCTATCATCCTCGCTTCGTCGCTTCCGTGCGTGGATCATTGCTCACAATGCGCTTGTATAGTCACGGTCGAGTCAGAAGGGGCGTACGCGCCGCAGGACCTCTTCCCCGAATCGATCCGCGTCATGCGAGAAAAGATTGCCAACGTCCGGCGTGCTGCAGAGGCACTGTTGTCAGATACGGACGGTGTACCTGGTGCTGTAGGGCCCGACGGGGATGTAGCGATGGGTGGTGTATAAGACTCACAGGTCGTGCATGTTGTGCTTGTACTCATGCTCGGGCAACAAGGCAGACTTCGATTCTAGTCTCAGCGGGGACGAACAGGTTAACAGATGAGACACGTCTTGTTCAGCCTAGTTGTGATCTTTTGAAGGACACATGTCGAAGCTGCGCACTTGGCCAAGGTGGAGGCGCAACGTTGACACAGACTCAACGACTCAACTTGGACTCAACTCTCGCTTCTTCTGGCTTGACGCGCGGGAGAGGCGCATCAACTTGATCGGTGCACCGATCAATCCAGCGATGACGCTGGTGACCCAGCCCGCGACTTGGTTCCTGCCAGTGGCAGTACTGTGTCATTGCCATACCAGCCATCCCGCCTCCCAACGTCCCGACAAACCCCCGACAGTCTGCGCAGATGATGCTGGACATGGCGAGGTCTGGTGATCAGCTGATTCAGCCGTGGGACGTAAGTACTCGAGGTGAGTCGAAGAGGGCAGACATCGGCAAGGATAAGAGGCAGTCAAGTTCTGACCTCCCTTCGTGCTTGCCCCCAATACGCAGTGAGACATCGGCGCGTTTAATCCGAGCAGAGTCGGGAAGCATGACGGACACGGAGGTGCGCGATAGGCTCGTCGAGAAGGCGCAGGACATGAATGCATGCCCCGCAGCACCCATTCCCTGTTCACCACTCAATCGCGGCCCTCCCGCCCGACTCCAGGATCAGACAGATATACCCTGAGGATTTCTTCCCTAATGGTAATTACACTCGACCTGCATGAAAGCGACAACTGCTCACGAGCACGTCGACCGTAGGCGGCTACGTCCAGCTCCCGTATGGCCGTACACGCTACTGGCTGCTAGGTCCCGAGGACGGCGTGAAGGTACGTCCTCTCTCTTTTGACTTTCGTGCAGGCGCCGATACTTCGAGACCTAACGTAGGTCGTCCTGATCCACGGTCTCTCGACTCCGGGCGTGACCTGGAAGCACTTCGGGCCTTACCTCGCTGAGCGTGGGTTCAGGGTCCTGGTCTATGGTGCGTAGGGCTCGCCGTACTATCCTTCCAAAGTACCTGGAAGCTGAGGCGGAGTCCATCCAGACCTCTACGGGAAGGGCTACAGCGACGCGCCGAAGACGGCGTATCATGCCAACATCTTCGTCACTCAGTTGGCGCTCCTCCTGCAGTATCTAAGTGGGAGCATGCCCATATCGCCGGGTTCTCCATGGTGCGCGCATATATCGACACATTCTCACTATACAGCTCATGCAGGCGCATGGAGTGTAGGGAGGCGGTATTACAGCTGCCTTCGCGGCCACATTACCGCACTTGGTCTCGGGCAAGATTGTATTGATGGCTTCTGCCGGAGTTCACGAGGTCAGTGCGGATGATTCGCCGGATGTCACCTTACCGAACCACACTCTCACCACAGCAAGGTGACCCGCCCCCGGACCACCACGGGCCCGGACGGCAAGGTGTGTGAGAGCATCGCTCATTCTCGATCGCGCCTTGACCAGTCGCGCCTGCAGCCCCTGCAAGTCAGCAGCCCCATTCCCCAGTATCAAGAGGTCCGGGTCATCTCGACCAGTCATATGCTATGTGCGATGAGCTGATACGCCAGAACAGCTCATCAAGCTGCAGCACGAACTGCTCCCCGGCTACGCGGAGGGCGTATACTCCTGCCTGCACGGCGGACCCATTCACGGGCTCCTCTGGGCGTTCGACAAGATCGCGCACACGCAAGGGCGAACGGGAGCAGATAGAGGTCCTCATCATTCACGTACCACCATTCCGCGTTTCCTGTGCGCGGGATGCTGACATAGCTTTGGGAACAGGGCACGCTCGATCCTTTGGTTGCGTACGCGGACGCGCTGGAGATCAATAAACGGATCCCGCACGCGCAGTTGATCACCATTGAGGGCGCGGGGCATGACTTTCCCATCCACGAGAAGTACTGGGAGGTGGCTGTGAAGAATATCGCAGCGTTCCTCAGTACGTGAATGTAGGTCTCAGCCTAAAGCTATGTGTCTTAAGCTTCATTATGATTGTACGATATGCCCAAATGTGAAGATTATGTGCTGTATGTAGCGACTCTAAATGCAACAAGATGGTACTACATTATTCTATGCCACTGGCGTCCACTTGCTCCTGTTCAGCGTGCGCAGGCTGTTCTGCCACCCCAGCATCCCAATCTTATCCGTCTTCCACTCCAACTCAAAGCCCGCCTTCCTGAGCGCATCGCCCGCATATTTCCTCAGCGGGCTATCGTCGCATTTCACCTCCTGCACCGTCGGGTCACTCTCGAACGCATGCTTAGCGCGAACAGGAGGAGGTCGTGCTGGGCGCCGGCCGGGCGGTACGCCTCGTCGACGTAGAAGTGGCGGACGACGGCGGTGTAGCTCGTGCCCTTGGGGAACTCGGCCTTCTTGCCGCGCTTGGCGAGCGACTGCGTGGCGGTGAGGGCGCGGTGGAGGTGGAGTCGAGCGAGGCGTCGAGCGCGATGAGCCCGACGAACTTGTCGCCGAACTCGAGGATCCAGACACCCGAGGAGGGCGAGCGCGCGTACCAGGCGGCGATGTTGACGAGGTCGGGCCGGTGGAGGACTTGTTGCATTTGTTCTTCGATGGGGTGTCGGTTGAACCTGGAGGTAGCCGCGGCGGAGGTTGTTCAGCTACGGTGGGTTGTGTAGCGGCAGTGAAACATGAGGGAACACATACCAATCGCACAGGAACATCAACGGTACCGCCATGGATGCAAACCCTGGAAGCGGAAGCAGGTATCCGAGGATGCCGTAGTCTGGGTGTGGCCACCACTGCATGTACTGGATGAATATGCATGACAAGCCACCCCAAATGGCCAGTGTAACCGGATGCATGTATACTGTGTGTATGCTTAGTGCGAGCTCCCATGTATGTGCATGCGGACTGCACCTTTCATGTTGGCGACAGCCAGAGGCTCCATGGCAGCCTTCCCGACAATGAAACGGACATCCTTGTCGTCGGAAGGTTGGAAGGCGCGGATTCGGGCGACGGGGGTGACCATGGCTGCGAGGGTGCTGTGCGGTGAGTTGGCGGGTGAGGAGAGAAAGGGAGGGGTGCTGTCAGACGAGCTCTGCAGGGACAAAATATATTCTGGCTGGTGAGCGGAGGAGACTGTCGTTCCTGGCAGACACGCACGTTCGCTTGCCACAGCCAGTGCGCAGGCGCCCGCGCGGGAGCCCACGTTGTCAGATCCAGATCTGTGCGATCGGACGTGGGCCGGGCCGCTCCGTCCGGTTTACTCTCAGGCTCTCTCTGGGCCCATTCTGGACCCACTCCATGGACCTACATATACGGCTGAGCGTCGACCGTCAACGACAACAACTGACAGACAACCACCATGTTGGTCAAGTCAACCTACCACGACGTCCCGTCCAAGCTGACCCCAACGGCAACAAGATCAGGATCTTCGTGATCTCTCCCGACCTACCTGCATATCCCCATGCCAAGTTCCCAGGTAATCCGATTGAAGTGTTGAGCGTGTTCAGCATCGTTGGCTGACAGCACATCCCAGGTGTCGTTGTCTTTAGGTGTGCATTGCTCCTTACCATCGAGGTTGGTACCGTTTGACCACTGCATCTTAGCGAGATCTACCAGGTTACTGGGCCTGTCGAACGGTTCGCCGGACAGATTGCGAGTCAGGGTTATGTAGTTGGTAAGCGCGTCCGTCGTGCGCAAGCCAGCTGTCTTTCTCAACGTGCTAGCCTGTCCGTCCTCGTACCACGAGTTTCAGGGCCCCGAGGCCATCCCGTACGACACAGAAGGTGCGGATCTCGCCATCGCATATCCCGAGGTCTAGACTCATTCGCATCTCTTCAGGCACCGACAGAGGTAACAAATACAAGGCACGCCGAATCCATTTTGTGACGCTTAGCGTTCCATGAGCTCGGTAATAGATCGAGAAAGAGCTCGCTGCGTACGACGAGGTATGCACGTTCGGGTTTTCACCCATTCACGAGAAGTGCTTCTGAATGGTTATCAGGATGCGACGCTCACCATCGATCTCCTCTCCTCCTTGAAGAACTGCAATGGGCGGATTGCTGGTCAGTTGCTCATAATCGTATACTCCGGCGACGTCTCTGATGCTATGGCATGCCAAACTACCAAGTGACTGGCATGTGTCTTGGCGGTCACCTTGTGAGTACACAAGTTCCCAATATTTCTTCCCCGCGCTCAAACCCTCATCTCGATAGGCCTTCAGGGTACGTGCCCCCGCAACGCTCTCCTCATCACCGACTCATGGACTCCGTATAGGCGGCATTCGACCCCCGCGTCCTCGCCTCCGTATGCTGGTTCGCAACCGACGTCCACAGCGGGACGCTCGGCAAGGGCAAGAACGACGACTCCCTCATCCGCGTCCGCAACGGCGAACTGACCGGCAAGGCCGAGCTCGTCGTACGTGCCCTCCCCATCTACCCAACCCGCACATGCTGACTCAATGGATGTCGATGCGCAGATGATCTTCGGTAAACAGGTGGGTATATGCGCGCCGCCCGGTCGTGCTGTGGAATCTGCGCGGTCTGACGCCTATGCACCTCTTCCTCGCGCAGGACACCCACGTCCCCCGCGCGGGCCGAGACCTTATCCGCAAGACCCTCGAAGACGCTAATGTCACCGTCTCCGTACGCCTTGCTTCTTCCCCCGTTCTCACCCATCTGACCTATTCGTCTCTATGCATCCCCTCCCACGCGGCACGCAGTTCTTCGAGGTCCAGGCCCAACACGCCTTCATCCGAGACCAGTCCTCCAAGGGCCGCTGGGACGCCGCATTGACGCGCTCCCTCTTCGGAGTGATGATGGAAGTCTTCGAGCGCACGGTGGGCAGAGACCTTGGCCCGAAGGAGGGCACGAGTGGGGAGGTGGAACACATCTGCTGAGGGAGTTTCGACACAGCCCTCACGTGCATGTGGAGGGTCTTGGTATGAGACTATCTGCTGAGAAATGTATGATTACGACGAGGAATGCATCTGGAGTTGGACCACCCCAAACGTAGAGCCCCCGCATCACAATGATGCTTCAGTTACACGAGTGACCAAAGTCGAGAAACATCTCAAATCACAGGAATCCGCCAAGATTTTCTAGCGATACAAACGGTGCCACTTTATTCGCGACAGCATTGCACAACATTACTGAACATGCGAGGAGCATCCCCCGGCGTACTTCGTCATCGTGAATACAACAATTTGAGAAGAGACGAGCACAGTTTGCGTGAGCTACCGATACCATGCGAGGAGAGGGAAGAAACAAGGGAAGGAAAACCGAGAAAAAAAAGCGTATTCTATACAGTTTACTTCTTCTTGCCAGCCTTCTCCGCAGACTTGGTCACTGTCGACGCAGATCGTGAGTATATGAGAAGTATGCGGTGACGACTGTAACTCACCCTTGCCTCCGCTCTTCTCGGTCTTGTCGACGGACTTGATGATGCCGACAGCGACCGTCTGTCTCATGTCACGAACAGCGAAACGACCGAGAGGAGGGTACTCGTTGTAGGACTCGACACACATCGGCTTGCTCGGCACAAGCTTGGCAATGCAGGCATCACCCGACTTGACGAACTTGGGGGCCGCCTCGAGCGACTTACCCGTCCGTCGGTCGATCTTCTCGATGAGCTCGGCGAATTTGCAGGCAATGTGGGCGGTGTGGCAATCAAGAACGGGTGCGTAGCCAGCACCGATCTGACCAGGGTGGTTGAGGATGATGACCTGAGCAGTGAAGGAAGCAGCCTCCTTCGCCGGGTCGTTCTTGGAGTCAGACGCGACGTTGCCACGACGGATATCCTTGACCGAGACGTTCCTGAATTCCGAGATTAACAACGAAAAACACTATGTTGAGCCCAACGTACTTGACGTTGAAGCCAACGTTGTCACCGGGAGAACCCTGCTCGAGCTGCTCGTGGTGCATCTCGACCGACTTCACTTCCGTGGTCACGTTCGAGGGCGCGAAGGTGACGACCATGCCGGCCTTGATGATACCAGTCTCGACACGACCGACGGGCACCGTACCGATACCACCAATCTTGTAGACATCCTGGAGGGGCAGACGGAGGGGCTTGTCGGACGGACGGACGGGGGGCTCAATGGCGTCAATAGCATCGAGGAGGGTCTTGCCCTTGACGACACCAGCCTTGGTCTCCTTGGTCCAGCCCTTGTACCATGTCATGCTGCACGAGGCGCATATAGTCAGCAAACAAGCGTGCTATAACGCTGACGATACGTACTTAGCGGACTCCTCCAACATGTTGTCGCCGTGCCAGCCAGAGATAGGCACGAAGGCAACTGCCTTCGGGTTGTAGCCGACCTTCTTGATGAAGGTGGACGTCTCCTTGACGATTTCGTTGAAGCGGTCCTCGCTCCACTGTAACGACGATGAGCAAATCCTCAGCTATTATGATATAAGCGCACCTTGGTAGTGTCCATCTTGTTGATGGCAACGATGAGTTGCCTCACACCGAGCGTGAAGGCAAGGAGAGCGTGCTCGCGGGTCTGACCATCCTTGGAGATACCGGCCTCGAACTCACCAGTACCGGCAGCAATGATGAGGATAGCACAGTCGGCCTGGGAGGTACCAGTAATCATGTTCTTGATGAAGTCACGGTGACCGGGGGCATCGATGACCTGCACACATAAATCAGTTGATCTAACCGAGACCTACGCGACGATGGATCTACTCACGGTGACCATGAACTTCGGCGTCTCGAACTTCCAGAGCGCAATATCGATCGTGATACCACGCTCACGCTCGGCCTTGAGCTTGTCAAGCACCCAGGCTGCGATGATCCCGATCAGCAAATGAACGGGACCGATTTTCATACAACACCTGCTTACCATACTTGAAGGAACCCTTGCCCAACTCGGCGGCCTCCTTCTCGAATTTCTCGATGGTACGCTTGTCGATACCACCGCACTTGTAGATCAAGTGACCAGTGGTGGTCGACTTGCCGGAATCGACGTGGCCGATGACTGAAGGGGGTCAAACATCGCACCGATTGCGCACGATCGAACATCTGTGCAGTACTCACCGACGACGTTAACGTGGGACTTGTCCTTTCCCATTTTTGATGCCTGTAATGAGTCGGGGTGAGTGAGACTGAACTGTGGATAGAGTGAAGCTGGGGGGGAATGCGGGGATCTGCTCCGATGCGAGGAAGGACAGGGCGGGGTTCTCTTTTTTTCCTCCTATCAACCTGCCGCGCTCTCTGTTTTTGCAACGCACCCGCCAAACGAGCGGGAGGGGCGCTCGAACTATGCAAAAATCAGAATACTCACTTAGAGCGTAAAGAAGGTGAAGGGGACTGGAGAAGGATGGGCAGGAGGAGATGAGGGTAAGAGGAAACCAGCGGGCGATCTGGTGTTGTTGCTTATGTAGCTGCACGGCCTCGAAATTTTAGCGATCGATGCGTGATCAGATTGGCAGAGATTGCACTCAGCTCCGGCCGGCTCGGTGGCGCCGGACCCCGCCGCCACACCGCCGTCGCCGTCCGCCGCTGCTCTCCCGCCGCCACACACAGCTGCCCGCGTCCGCTCCCGCCGGCAAGCAATTTATTTTACGAAAGAAATTGATTTTCGGGTCTACTCTAAGACATGGTCAGGCCAAGACTGCTACATTCCTAGAACGACAGTGTGATGATTACAGATTATGAGGACATCATGCTATTAAGTGTCACAGATAAATGATGAAACGATGTATAGCACAGGCTTGCTGATGAGTGCAGGTACATAAGTTAGAGCGTGCAGCAGGTCACTGGTTCACACAAACCGAAGGCAGTCGCGGGGGACAACATCTCCGGAAAACATCTCTTCGCTGCCGCAAGGCATCAGATAACATACCTGCAGCACGGACAAGCAAGCGGGTCAGTGTTCTCTAGCGTCTGATGTCCAAGAAAGCAATGCACGCACAGACCACGCGGACTCCTTCCTTCAATATCGCGAGACGAGTCACTCTTCCGCGCCCCAGCCTCCACGCCCACTCAAGAATCGGCTCTGCAAAATTCGCTGGAACGTTGGCCGCGCCGCGACATCGACCTGCAAGCACGCCCGGACTAAAAAGGCGGCGTCCCCCAGGGCCCCACCTCCGTCAGGTTCCTCTCCTTCGCGTTCCTTGTCATCAGCACAACGTTCGTCCAGCGCTATCGAGGCGTTCGAGAAGGGTGACTCGAGGCCCTCCTGTGCCTCAGCTGCCGTAGTGAATGGACATTCTCCGACAAGCATGACGTAAGCAACGACACCGAATGCCCACACGTCCTGTTCCTTCCCAAAGTATCGCTCGCCTCGGAGAATCTCAGGACCAGCATAGTCGAGCCTACAATAACAGTGAGATCCGATGGATGTAGATGAACCGATTGTACGTACGTTCCGCTGAACGTATCCCATCCATTCTTCTTCACGAGACCGGAACTACCGAAATCGATCAAAACGCACTTCCCTGCAGGACCGAGCACGACGTTCTCGTCCTTGATATCTCGATGTACTATCGACGCGCGAAAGTATCAGCTAGTGCAATCAGTGAAGCAAGCGGTACCTACCGATGCCCTTCGAATGCAAGAAGGTCATAGCATCCGCCATCTGGCCAAGATAGGACCTGATAGAATCTGGAGGGAGACCGCGCGGGTAGCTTTCTACGAGGTCGAAAAGATCGGATGGCGGGGTAGGTTCACCATCTTTCGGCTCCGGTGTTGTGGAAGGTAGTACGAGATAATAGTAGTGGTTGTCTTCGAAGAAGTCCAGGAGCGGGCAGATGTTAGGGTGGCCGTTCACGATTTTGCCCTCCGCCCAGTTGTCATCCGGCTGTAATGACATGCGTGACGGATCCCAAGGTCGTCTAGAAGGCAGCACATATTGCGTTGCCGAGATAGCAGACATCACGTAGATCTCGATGGGGATGGTCCCGTACGTTGGATGTCGCTTCCAGCAATCAGCCAAAATGCGCGACTTGATGATCTGTTTGATGACCAGCGGAGGCTGCGAGCGCAAGGTGATTAAGTGCAATGTACGCGTCAGGAGAGACGATGTCAACATACCCCGAGCGTGCCATCACCATTCATTTCTCTCGCTCTCTTCACTAGTCCATACGCACCGCGGCCAATCTCGCGTTCGATCACAAACTCCGAGATGCTGCGCTCGTTGAGCGCATCAACCTCTGAACTGGGTGTGGGCGGCCCTGTACTTGCGGCTACGCTGAGGAAGCTAGCTGCGCTATTCGCTCGAACGAGCGTCTGAGGAACTGCGGGTGGCGGAGATGGAGGCTGGGACGGTACGATCGACACACGTCCTGCGATAAGAGAGACACGCTGCTGTGAAGACCTTCGTCGAGGACGAGCGGTTCCACCTAGTCGGGGCGATGTAGGCGTGTGAGACAATGGTGGTCGTACCAACCCCGGCGAAAGGGGGCCTGGTGAAACGGTGCGAGAGATCGGGAGTGGGGAGGAAGGACGAGATGGATTAGGGGACTGCGACAACGGGGAAGATGATGCAAAGTACGATCCAGAGGGATTGGAAAAGAATGCAGGAGCTGTCAAGGGAGGTGCACTCCTAAGGTGACTTGTTTTGAAGGACCGTGTGGGTGACTCCGTGCGGGACGAGCAGCCCTTCCTAATGTTACGGTAGTGTCTCGAGAGAGGACAGGAGGGTCTGCGTGCAGCCGCGCAGAGTGCTCGAGGGCTGGCGGATCTTGTGTCTGATCCTCTTGGTCTTTCCAGTCGAAACCTCGGCCAATGGACGTCACTCCCCAGCTGTTGCCTACGGACGCCGCACGATACAATCGTTGGGTGGGCTGCGGTGCAAGCCAGTCATCGTCGTCGAAGGTGCGATCAACAGTGGCGGCGGTAGCCAGCATTTTGCTCGAGGGAGTGCCGTCCAGGGCGTTGGTGGGCAGGTTGAAGGAGCGTTTTGCGGTCGTGAAAGCTGGTGGGGCTGAACTGGATCGAGCCGACCGGATAGTCGGGTTCAAAGGGAGGGTCCACGTGCGCGGTGGCCCGCCGCAGTGGCGCTGGCCGCGCCCCATCCATAGACAGTCGTCTTCGTCCTCGTCGCTGCTACTCGCGTCCTCGTCGCCGCGCTCGACATGATGCCGAGGGACCGAGTACCGGGTCATGATGATGTGGCATGCACGCGTGCGTGGGCTCCTGCCCCGCGCCTCACTTATCGGTCTACATGTGATCGTCCCGTTGTTGATAGCTTGTCAGGGCTGCCTTCGTCGACTTAGGTTAGGCTTCGCGATGGGCCTACACTTCGCCTGCACATACTCCGGGACCCCTACTTCTGTTCTCGGGTTCTCGGGCGATAAGGACGTGGTACTTTTGTAGAAACTATCTTACCACCTCGATCACTTCGTGCCGATGCAGGGAGCGACAGAAGCGCTGCGCCCACTCAATTCCGGGGCTCCTGAGGCCTGACCGGTGACCCGTGCAGCTTTTCCACTCACACGAGCAAAGGCTGGATATTGCTAGTCCTGCAATACCGTGATAATACGCTGCATCCCCTTGATAATCGCATGCACATTGCGCAGGCGCCCAAGTGATGTCGACGTCTGAGGTTGCGACGCGCAGTCTACTGCACCAACGATGGATATGGATCCGCCAAATACCTTTGACGGGCGCATACACTTACCATAATAATCGGTCAAGATGCGGCCTCAATATCACAATGGAGGACTTGTGGCGGCGACTGGTCCTGGAAGGCAAAGTACAGTACTTAAAGTTACATTTGAGTGAGGCGCCCGTACCCTGCGATCGCGTTCATCACTGCCATCAGCGCCTTCTTCACGTGATGACGGCACGGCGCTAAGCGCCGTGCGACAGTCTGTGTACCCACAGCGAACGACCACAAACCTCGCCGCCGACCTCAAGACTCACGAAAACGTGCGTATCAAACCTATGACCGCGTGGATTCAGAGAGTTCGAGTCCTTGGGAGCAGAATGAGTCCCGTCTTAGGCTATTCTGCCAACGAACTTGGATGGATGCGTCGGGTATCGGTCGGATGGACCATGCTGGACTGGCATCCATTCTGCTCCAATGACTCCCGCTCAGAACATACGTCCCACGAAATGATCGCTGACTAGCTGGTTTCTAGCCGCCATGGTCAACACGATTCCCATTGTCAAGAAGCGCACGAAGGTCTTCAAGTCAGTCCTTCGGTCCAGTGTCGCATTGGAAGTTCACATTCATCATTACCCTTTTCTAGGCGCCACCAGTCGGATCGCTACAAGAGCGTTAAGGAGGCATGGCGGAAACCGAAGGGTATTGACAACCGGGTGCGCCGGCGGTTCAAGGGGCAGACCCCCATGCCCAAGGTGCGTCTGCAGACGGTTTGACGGCGTTGCAGTCTGACGCCTGGTTAGATCGGTTACGGGAGCAACAAGAAGGTATGCCTCATCTCAAAACGTTCTCTAGTGCAGCCCATTGATAAGATTATTGCAGACGAGGCATCTGCTCCCCAACGGCCTGAAGAAGTTCTTGGTCAGCAACGTCCGGGAAGTTGATCTTCTCCTGATGCACAACAAAAGCTTTGCGGCGGAGGTCGCCCACAATGTCAGCAGCCGCAATCGCACAGCCATCCTCGAGCGGTATGTGCACTGTTCTTCCACACTTTGTAATCACGACTCATTTCCTCGTGTCGATCACAGTGCCAAGGTTCTGGGTGTGAAGGTAACGAACCCGGATGCGCGTCTCCGGTCAGAGGAGTAAATGGTTGTTCTCGCATTCATCTCGCTACTACTCTGCATATTTCGCCATGTATTCTCCCCTCTATGCTCGCAATAAGCACCATGCGACCATGCTTAGGCCAGGAAAGTGTTGTGTGTGTGTTTGGCCGGAGGGTTGAGGATGAGTCGCAACTGGGTTTCTCCTCGTCCTCGTCTTGTGGCTACAGTGTCAGTATGGAGGCTGGAGTCGATCAAGGAATTTACACGACGAGAACAGAACGCCAGAACATGGCTGGTGCTGCTGAGATCCTGATGATCCGCCTGCACGTGCCACTAAGTCGCTCTATCTGACGTCTTTCGGGCAAGCTTCTGACTGTATCCTGCTCTCTGCGTTCTGCACCGCAACCCTCACTCTCATTCGTACAATGTCCTCCCGGTATGTGGCACAACACGATAAGGTCCGAGTCGGCTGACTCTGGAACAGGAAAGCAACGCACGCCAATTCGTGGTATGTCGGAGATGGTATGCGATCGTATTGTGGCTGCATCGAGCGATCTTCTTAGCTCATCGCGCAGGGCGCAAGCTGGAGTCCGAGCTGGGTAGCAATCTCGCCGATGTTGAGGGGGATGAGGAGTTTTCGCCTCCGATCAAGGGCTGTAAAGCCATCATTGCTCCGTAAATATCTGCGGTGAGGCAGTGGGTTGTCGCATAACTGACCTCGAAGTTAACAGACATGCGGGTTATTCGTACTCTGGACGAGCGGCGGCATGGGCTTACAAGAGTATCGATACAACTGGAATGTATGTACATTTACGGCGCGCAGATGGCTCTGCTAACGTCGTCTCGGATCACAGAAAGCGCGTCTTCGTCTTGGGCCCTTCGCACCACGTCTACCTAGATGGCTGCGCTCTGTCAAAATGCGAAAAGTACGAGACCCCACTTGGCGATCTACCTTTAGACCTGGACAGTAGGTGATGTGTGTATCAAAGGGGTACCACACTCATTTGCGCTAGCCGTCAAGGAGCTCCGTGCAACGGGAGAAATTCAAGATATGGACGTCCAGACTGACGAGGATGAGCACAGTATCGAGATGCACTTGCCCTATGTACGGAAGGTCTTCGAGGGGTACGTCATAATGTCTGCAACCATGATGCGTTCTTAGTACTGAACATCTGTGATAGATTGAACATCGCCATCGTCCCCATACTTGTCGGGGCAATCAACTACAACCAAGAAGTTAAATTTGGTACCCTTCTCGCGTCTTACCTTGCAAGAGAAGACACATTCTTCGTCATCTCTAGCGATTTCTGTCATTGGTACGTTTCCTGTTCTTGGGCTTATGCACGCGCTGAACAAGTCTCGTGCAAATCCCAGGGGTACCCGCTTCCAATACACGTTCTATTATCCCAAGGCTCCCCCGACCTCAGCACCTGCCATCCGATTGTCCAAATCCGATCCATCCCCACCGTCGCTTGCCACTCATTCTATCCATGCATCAATATCCGCATTAGACCACGAAGCCATGGAGCTCATGACCATGCCACCGCAGACCGCGCACCAATCTCACCTCGACTTCGCAGACTACCTCAAGAGGACCAAGAACACTATCTGCGGCAGGCATCCTATCGGCGTACTCCTAGGCGCTCTGACGGTCCTGCAGAGTCAAGGACGGGTCCCGCATCTGCAGTGGGTCCGGTACGAGCAGAGTAGCCAGTGTCAGAATCTGCGGGATTCCAGTGTCAGCTACGCGAGCGCATACATCAAGATCTAGGCATATGTCCGCTGCATGTATACATACAAGGACCTTGGAACGTGTAAACCCTGTACTATCTAATAGATCTCTATACCAATCCGACACCATCCCTACATCCTTGATTGTGCGTCTGATAGCTGTAAGCCGACAGGCTCATCCGGGTCGTCTTGCGTTCCAGGTTCTCCAGGTTCTTCCACAACCTAGTCGATATGACAATGTCAGTAGTCAGCAGGGGGCCATAACCGTGTCAGGATTGGTTCACCTTGCCGTTGGCGATTTGTATATCTTCGAATCCCCAGTCCCTCATGGCACCTTCCTTCAGGAAGCTGCCGTCTGCCAGGCGGCTGGCTTCCCAAGTCCCTACGGTAGCATTGACTTCTGATTTGGGATTGAATTCCGACACGGTGCAGCAGCCTACTCTCAGAGGAAGGTTCCTGTCACCCAGCAGTTCCCTCGCCAGAGCAATAATGGTGGCGGCGTGGCTGACAAGCAAGATGTGTTTGTGCTTGCCTCCGTACCTGCGCTCGATTTCAGGAATGAGTGCGCTGAGGAAGCCGTGGCATCGGTCGTGGCACTGATCTACGTCTTCTCCTTTCCTTGAGGCGTACCATATAGACGACCAGGAGTCGTCGATGTCAGGGAAGTAGGTACGCAGCGCGGTCGCGGCAGACGGGCGGGGATGGAGGCCGTACCGGGCACGACGGGCGAATACCACTCCGACAATCCTGATATCCCCGTTGAACGACGATTCATATTGGATGGAAACCACACTCACCATGCTCGACAAAATGGGGACTTTCAAAGCATTAGATGTGGGCGTGGAGGTTGTAGACAGCGGTCTAGGCAAGTTTGTATGTGAAGACCCGGCGGACGGCTCTGACGAACGGGTCACTTACAGTACGGAGAGACAGAATGAGAGTCGGCGTTGATCCACAGGCAGCGACAAAAGTGTTCCGCCAGTTCTTCCGCTTGAGTCAACCCAAATGCGGCGAGAGGCGGGTCTCGAGGGAGTCCTGATCACGGTTACATTGTCGGATTATGAGATGCACAGGAGTTCATTTGACATGCCTGTGACAGACTTCCTGTACAGATATCATATCAACGATGATGCGATGAAGGTGGTTTGCGCAGAGGACCCACCACTCTGAGGTCACCCAGTTCAGTCTGAAACCTAAGTACATATGCATAGTCAACGGGTCACCCTTGATATATCATCGGAACAGAAGCGTACCATGCCTAGCGATGTAGATAGTTTCAATCATCTGGCGTGGAGGTCTGAGGTCAAGGCGGGTCCTGGTGGCCCGATGGATTGCTGCATGATATAGCCTGACCCCGATGCACGGAACGCGGTACACGCGGCCTGGCTTGCCCAGCCAACTTTGTCAAGCCATGAGCCATATGTGTACTTGACGCTCACGCCGTCGCAAAGTGGGATTGTACAACGAGAATCACCAATTGCACACGCAATACAGACTAGTTACGGTAGCATAAGGTAGCATCATGTCATAGACTTCATAGACGTTCGCGTCAGTGTACCACAGCCACGTAGATAGATACAAGAGGCAGACGGAAAAGCAGGGCACACACAACAGACGATGAAGAGAGGGCAGATTCGTATGCAGATGGGGAAAGGTCGGATGGAGGTGGATTGGCGTACTCGCAATATATGCGCTGTTGTTTAAGTTTTTATGACCGCTCGGACAGCGATCAAGACGATCATGAGAGCGAGGGGAAGGCAGATTGGTCGTCAACATCGACGACGGGGGTAGCGGTGGTGCCATTGGCACGGCCCCGTCCTCCACCGCGGCCACGGCCACGACCACCGCGGTCGCCACCGCGGTCGCCGCCACGGTCGCCACCACGGCCGCGACCGCCACGAGCGGGGCGCTCGAAGCGGGCGTCGATCTCGATGAAGACCTTCTCCTCCTTCTTGCTACGGTTCTTGGGTGCGGATGACTTGGTCTGAGAGGGATCGTTCGTCAGGGACACAATGAATTAGAAGGAACGGCTACTCACCTTGCCTACGAAGTAGGCGGTCTCGTCCTCGTCCTTCTTGCTGACAACGACGGCATCCTTCCAGATGGAGTCATCGCCTTCGTTGGCCTTCCTGGGCTCAAGCTTGGGCACAGCAGCGAGTTCCTTCTCCCTCTGCTGCTTCAAGTACTCCTCCAGGGTGAGCGTGTTGTCCTCCTCCTCGGGCTCCCTGTCCCGGCCGCGTCGGCCCTCAGGAGCCTTTTCGGGCTCGGGTGCAGGAGTGTCTTCGGTGGTGGTGGGGACGGCCCAATCATCTGCACCGCTCTCAGCTAGACCCCAGCCGCTGGCGTCGGCGGCAGGGCTGGTAGCATCGGCGACGGCATCACCTTCACCAGCGGTTTCAGCCTTGAACTCGGCCTCGCCCTCGTCGGCACCCCAGCCCTGGTTGACCTTCTTCTCAGAGTCACTGGGTATCGCGATATTAGCATGTATCTCGCAAACAAATACGCGGAGAAGCAATCGTACAATTTGCCTGTCTGGCTGTGCCTATCGAAGGGGCGTCCGCGGCCGCCACGACCGCCACGGTCACCGCGGTCACCGCGACCTCTGCCACGGCCACGCTCGACTGGATATCCAAGGCGAAGGTCCCCGTAAATTGACGGAGCTGTACGAGTCTCGGAGTCAACTCACACTTCTTCTTGGGTGCCTCACCCTCGCCAGCGGCAGCGTCTTCCGCTGCATCCGGGTTGATTGAGCGGTGGCCTTACCGCCCCTTTGGTAGTACCGTCCGGCTCGCGAGGCAGGTCCTCCACGACCCTTCTGAGTCCCGCGCGTAGGAGCAGCAGGGGCGGGGGCAGCCTCCTTGGCCGGTGCCGACTTGCTGACCGGGCTCGACGGCCGTGAGGCGTCATCATCTGTGATTGTAACGAGTCATGGCCGAGACATACCGCAGTGTTCGGAACGAGAACATATAGCAGACAAATTAATCAGGATGTGGTAGGGCAGCCGCCGGCAGAAAACGGACCTTCGAGGAGGGCAAACGGGTTTCTAGTGGCCACCGACATTTTTGACGGGGCCCCTGTTTGAGTCTCTCAGCAAGAGAGTGTCTTTGGACGGCGTACAGACGTTTGAGTGGATTGACTGGCGCTGGGCAGAGGCAGCATTGGATGCTGCCTCCAGGACACGGACCCCGGCCGTGGTGCCACGGGTCCTTCCTTCAGCCACTGTACAGTTCCTCGGCCCCCATAAAAGGCCTCCTCCGAGCGTTTCCCGCCATAACGCTTAAAAACACAGGTGTGTGCTGTCGCTGTCGATTGCGTGTGTCGTTGAACTGATTTGTTCTCATAGCCCACAAAAGCATCTCGACGATGACTCGCTCGCCTTCTAGGACTGGAGTGGGTCGAGGACCTCGAGACCGTCACAATGGGCTGGAGATCGAGAATACCGTCAGGTTGTGAATGATGGGACTTGGGTGCGGCATGCTCGTGCTTCATTGATTGGACTTATGTCTCAGCAGTCGGTCCTTCGTGGCCGCTGTGTGGGTTGCGTCGCAATGTCTCGTTGTACAGTCTCTTTGTTCCTCGATGCTACTGTAAATCATGCTGAATGTGCATATTTATCAATGCCTGTCTTGATGAATGCTGGCGTGTGTTGCTGGACGGGTGCTTTGTTCGAAGTGGATGGTTTGCGTGGTCTTCAAGATTGCTGAATATGCTGAGAACCTTCGAGGTTGGGCTCGATGCATTGACAAGTCGGTATTCCGGCCCACAATTGCCTCGGCGAAGCGGTTCTATTCGGCACTTGATGCTGAACGGCAACGTTGAACAATAGCGTTTTGTCGCGCGAGATGACTATATCTCCCGAGCAATATTGGCGTCGATCGCCATGTCTCGGAGTCGACTGTTACACTGCTTGCAGACGCCCAGCGGGCCTGTGACCCGTGACCATCTGAGATAGCCGTCCGCCCCGCGACGCGGGTGCCCAGCTTGGGCCCCGCTCTCCTGGGTGGGCGTGCTTACGCTCAGCCTTGCTCTCCTCCTCTATCTCTTCCCCCTCGGCTCCCTCGTCCTTTGCATGGCTGCTCGCCGACTCGCCATCTCCGACCTCTTATGTGACGAGCCCAATGAACCTCGCCAGATCTCCCCCCTCGGCAGCCGGTGGAACAACCGCCTTCCCGGCCGCTCCCCAGTCAACTAGCCAGCATCCTCAATGACCCTTCGGATGGCCCTACCAACCAGGACCCTCGTAGTGATGTTTCATTCAAAGCGATCACTCCTCGCGCCCTACCTCACGATGTTGTCCCTCTGTCTCTCCACCCGTGCATCAGCAACGACATACGCCTTCTCCCAGTCTCCGTCGGGACGCCACACTGGGAGGGTACGCGGTCCCCCATGCGGCACAGACGCACATAACGTACGATCGAGAATTTGTGTACAATGAATGTCCAGACCGGCAGGTGCGCCGAGTCGGTCTCCCGAATATGATCGTGTTCTCGCCGGTCGGCAAGAGCACTCGCAGGTAATTCACCCCATCAATTGTACTCGACACGGCCACCGGCTCCCTCTCTGCGACGACCTACTCCTTAGCGAGGCCATCGTCATCGCGAAGTGCGCACCCTGAAACTCCCACAATTCAACCATTCTCCCCTAGTCTCTCCTACCACGCGCATCCTCACTCTCCGTCAACGTCACATTCGCCATCCTCAGTGTACAGTTTGCCTCTACCACAGCGGCAGCCATCTCATTCTCCTGCTCTCTCTGCACGACCAGTCACTGCGTCGCCTGTCAGCTACTTTCATCCCCCGCCGACACAAACCCCACCCTATCCGTCCCCTCATACGCATTACGACCCAGTCCGCTCTTCGCTTCGTGGCCCCGCGATGGTCGGCCCATCTAGTCCAGTATGCTTTTCTCCGGGAGCCCCCCGTCTTCTCTCCTACCCACCTCCGAGTCGCGGACGTCCTCGCTGCCGCACGGGTCTCCGAGAGAGGTCGATGCTCGTTCATCGGCAGCGTCTCTCCAAACATCCTCAATTCGCCTTCGCCATCGTTGCGGGGCAACGCGGGTCTTGGTGGCCTCGAAGCCCTGGTGCAAGCCGCCACGGAGGAGCGGAGGAGATTGAGTGGGGAGATGGGCCTGGTCTTCGAGGGCGGATAGCAGTCCAAGGTAGCAGAAGCCCTGTGGTGGAGCGTGCGTCTATTCAACCCGTGTCTACCGTCTACACAAAGCCATATCACCCCTTGCTGTCCGTACGCCTTCCGGAATGCGTCGGATATCCTGAACGATGATGTCCCTGTGCCGACTTCTCACTCACGGGACTTTGACGGCGAACCCCCTCGAAAAGACGCAAGAGCTCAGACGCACCCAGTTCGAACCATCTCCTTTGGCGGTGCAAGGCCTTGTGGCCCCTCCTCAACCCGACGTGGTCGCACTCGTCTCCACCGCCGACATCATCCACAGCGTGTCATCTATGGTCAAAGAGAGAAGTCCTGAAATTGACGGTGATCTGCATACGACAACCATGCCAGTAGCGCCGCACGAAGCGGGGGCTGCAAGGAGCGAGAACGAAGCAACGGAGGCGCCTCCTTCGTGAGCCCGAAGAGCAAACCACTACAGGACACGGTAGATGAACAGATCTTGGATGCGGTGGGCGTGAGTACGGCGTGTGTGGACGAAAAGACAAGGGTAAGGAGAAGGAGAAAGTGAGGGAGAAGAAGAAGCGCGAGCCGAAGACGAAGGAGAAGGAGAAGCGCACGAGTGAACAGAAGCACCGCCCGGCCCGGCTGCGCGAGAACGGAAGGGGACCTCAAAGACCAGGACGCACACGAATGGCTCCTCGAGCACTACGCTTCGGCATCCCCCAACGCTGTCCCAGCGCCTTCCCCGAGTGATGAGGCGACGGAAAGAGCAGCGCTGTCGGCACCACCAGCGCACACTCCTCGCGGTGTCAAGCCAGAAGACGGCAGCCGTGGGCGCCACCATTCCGATGGCTCTGGGGTCGCTCGCTCGAGCAAATCGGCAAAGAAGGCGCGGAGTCGAACACCTACTCCTCTGGCCATGCTAGAGGAGGAACTCGAGGGTGTGCTGCCTGCAAGCCATACCACTGGGTCCATCGAGGACGACTTGGGTTTGGATCTCGCGTCGCCAGCGATGGCTTCGTCTGTAGGCGGGGGTCTCCTAGACGACAACGATATAGACGTGGATAACGAACTGCTAAGTCTGGTCGATGACACGCCCCCTGTGTCACATACTTCACGTCCAAAACCGTCGCATGTCCCGAGGCTCGACGTCCACGCGCGAACGAAGACTTCGCAGCCGGGTAGTGAACGAGGGTCGATGCCACCTCCCGCGTCCCCTGTCAAGGACAGCGGTAGAGCTCATTCTGTGAAAGCAGGGGACAAACCAGATTCCACAGGTGCTGTCGCAGGGCATAAGAAGAAAGACGCGTCGCAAAAGGTGCGCTGCTCTCTCGTTCGATATGAATGCCTACTCATGTAGCAAATGTATCACACAGCCAGTACCCAAGGCGAAAGCTCCATCGAAGCCGAAAACAAAGGCTGCCGCGACTGCGACGACATCTAAAACCAAATCCAAAGCAGCCAAGGATGTGGTTGTTTCGGCCCCGAGCCCTACGCCTGGCATGCTCACACCCTCAACATCCACATCTTCTGTGAAGGGCAAGAAGACTGTTGCTGCCTCAGCTGTCAACCCGGTCACAAAATGCTCCGCGTCTGCTGCTGGAGGGCAGTCGCGCTCGAGATCTACGTCTGTCATGCCCGCGGCGCCTGGGACTGACGGCGATGGGAAGCCCGCGGCTGAGAGCACGGATGCTGCTGTGGAAAAAGATCGAGCGCAGGATGACAAACTCTACTGCATCTGTAAGACTCAGTATGACGAGGATCGAGCAATGATTGCGTGTGATCGGTAGGTGTTGTGTCCTAATGTCACCTTTGGATCATGCTAATATTCGATGCACCGTGCGTAGGTGCGATGAGTGGTATCATACGCAATGCGTCAACATGCCAGACCTGGAGATCGACTTGGTGGATCAGTTCATCTGCCCGCTTTGCGTTAAGAGTAAGCCGCTATCATCTCGCGACCGTGCACTCTCTGATCCGTCCACGCCAGACAACCCCCATCTCAGTCTGAAGACCACGTACAAGAAACGTTGCTTCAACGGACTGAAGCATTCAAACCCAGCATCACCTGGTGCCTGCCATCGGCCTGCTCGCGGCACGTACTCCAAGTACTGCTCAGACGAGTGTGGCATTACGTACATGCAATTTCGCATCAACGCATGGCGAGGTGACAAAGACAGCCTCTGGGAGAGTGTCAAGGAAGCACGCAAGCGGGAGGGCGTCGTCGTCCTTGTGACAGACAGTCATGATAAGGGCGAGAGCAACGGCCACGCCTCCCTGGAGTCCAGTTCAACCGAACCTGTTATGCAGATTGTCAAGCCTGCGCGGACGAAAGTTGAGCGCGAGACCGAACGGCTGAACGGTCTGCTGGATAAGATCTCTATCAGACGTGACGAGCTCAAAAAGAGATGGACGTGGTGCTTTGGCGGGAGAAGCTGGTTGAGCTTGCCGCTGCTCGTGCGGAACAGATGGACGAGTGTGGTTGGGATCAGCGACTTTGCTTCGGCGAAGAGGAGTATGCAGAGTTCGGTGTGAGCGTGCTGGAGAGCTATGAGGAAGTGGAGCAGGCGACGGGCGATGCCATGCAGGTCGACGTTGCGCAGACAGAGGACGGTGAATGGTGGTGCAGAGGGCATAGGAAGTGTGCCCGGCATGCTGGGTGAGTGACAACGAACGTAAATTGCATCCATTGCGTTCATTGTTCTGACAAACACTTTGTCAGATGGCAGAAACTCCGTTCGACTGAGGTTGAGTGCGACAGGGACGCTCTCGACGGGGCTCTCCTGAAGCTGACAACACAAGAACGGGAGATTCGCAAGCGCATCGAGGACGTCATGCATCCAACCGCACAATCCTCTGGCGGGGAGCCCACGGGTCCTCCGCTAGGATCGCCATTGCAGCCCCTGAACGGAAAGACGACAAGCAACGGACAGAGCAAGTCCAAGGTCAACGGCGACGCTGCCAAGAAGGGGAAGAAGAAGAAGACATAACTGTATCATTGATCTGAATGGTTGTCATTAGTATCGTAAATCCTTGCTCTCGTGCTTTGCGCTGTCGCCTCTTCCTCGCTCATACGATTCATAGAGTAATCCTCACACTTGCACACTCCATTGTACGCAGACACGATAATATGTAGCTGATGCGACTGAAATACGACATGACGAGAGCAAGGACGGCTCCTGGCGTAATGAATCTGCCAATCTCCCGAGCCCGATCCTGGATAACAATGATACAAAGCGGAGAGTCTACACTCCTCAGTAACCGTCCCCTTCGCCGCCCTCCTTGCAGAATCCCTTCTGCTCGAACAGGACCTGTGCCTTCACTTCTTCCCGCTTCTTCTTTGTTGCAATTTCCTGCCTGTGGTAAGGCAAGAGCTCCTCCCACGGCACCTGTCGTAGCGGAACATCGTCCTCCTTGTCCAGATCCTGTAGTGACCGTGAGTAGTGCTTTGGAATGAAGCATGATGCAATAAACACGCACGACTTCACCAAGTAGTACAACGTTCTCGCCACGGATCAGGAAAAGACCCTTCCATGATTCTGCGAAGAAATCACGGTAGTATATCCTCTCGACGGTGTCTTCGAGGACCAGATTTGCTGCACAGCGAAGGGATGTTCAGTACATACGTCGTTCTTGCGAACGAGCGGCGTGACATACCGAACTGGTCATATGAGCGCAAAACGCCTTGAAGCTTCCGACCGTCTCGCAGTACAACCAGCATTTTCCCTGGCCGACGCCAGACAGTGTAGACGAAATGGATTGGTAGGATTAAGTGCTCAGGATGGATGGCTGATCTTGGAGTTTACTTGGGATAGACGTACTGTCGACGCAATCCACAAGCGACCCAGACGTTGTGAATGGTATGAGCGAGTCCATATCTGTTGATTTGCCCGCCAGGGGGCGACAGTCGCGGCGAGAAACGATGAAGCAGGTCGCAGAGGAAGATCGACTGCGACTGGAACGCACACTTCCGGCAAGCGCCCGTGACCCGACGCGGTCGCTTCAGCGCTTCAGCACAGTGCAGTGACGATCCTTCCCACCTCGACGTCGACTTCTCACCATGTTCCGTCTTACTCGCCCTCTGCTCAACCAGCTCCGGAAAACCACCACTGGGATAACGGGCCTGGAGGTCCACCATGACCCGATACCACATCTCATCCAGACGTACCAGACCACCTTGGAAAGGCTCTCCGCTATCCCTGAGACGTCCGTCTACCGGCAAGGCGTGGAGGCTCTCACAAGGCACAAGCTGAACATTGTGCAGGCGTCGGGAGGAAATGTTGCTGAGGTTGAGAAGCAGCTGGACGAGGGTCACATAGAGGAGTCGCTAGACGTCGCGACGGATGAAATGAATCTGGTGTCCAAGGTGGTCGAGTGGAAAGCGTAAGTCACCGTCCCAATCATCCCATATCAAGCATTCCAAACTAAGTCTTACGCGCAGGTGGGAGCCTCTCGTCGAGAAGCCTGAACCCGGGCAGTGGGAGTACTTCGGCAAGACAGCAACTGCATCGTCGTCATGAATGTGCTGTGTACGTGTTCCGCGGGTCCTATGAAGTTCTTCTCAGCTGAGCCGGGCATTGTGCCTGCGGATTTATCCTGATGTAGAGAGGACCGCGAATCGCTTACCATAGTGCATCCTAGAGCTTTGACCATGCATACCTCGAATTGCAACACTCCACGAGCGATTGAACAATCGGCATCTCGTGCGCAATCAATACTCATCCCTTCAACCATCACTGCAGTGTATCTAAAATACTGTTCTGAGAGCTTGCGCTTGTAAGCAGTGACCAGTGACTGCTCGTATGTACTGTTGCCCCGCGCGCGACGACAGATATTCATGCTGCAGACAATAAGGCAACGTACACTGATATGTCACAAATGGGTAGAACATGCTTGATTCCCCTACACAACAATGACAACGGTACTTACCTAGGATAAAATGGCATCATACTTATAGATTGGAATGTAGCTTGATGAGCAGGCGTCCAATGCTATGTCATACTTACAGAAGTTGCAAAATGGTTACGCTGCCAGCAGGATTTGAACCTACGCGGGAAAATCCCAAGTGATAATGAGCAGTTCAAATCACTCGCCTTAACGACTCGGCCATAGCAGCTTGCCGGGCTTATAGCTCAAAGCTAAACTAGATCTTGGCCGAACAGACGCGCACTCTGATCGCGGAGCGCTTGACCGACATGATTCTGTTCCGTGCAGTCCAATCCTTCCTCGACGACCATGGCGGCCGTCGCATTACAGCAGTCTCGCATGCTATGGCCCAGCCTGCGCGTGCCATCTTCTCGGCCTCTGCTGTCCGCGGCTGCGCTGTTACCCGCTTTCCTGCCACGGTCATTTGAATGGAGACTACCAAGCTTAGCTTCAGTGCTTGAGCTGTTTCCTCCGTTCCTGCTGGCCGTACCCAAAAAGAAGACTTCGCATTCACGGAAAGCCATGCGCAGCGCGAACAAAGGTTTAAAGGACAAGCGAAGTATGTTTGCTCTATTGCTCAGACATCTGTCCCCGGTCTCATGAACGTGTCATTGCTAGATGTCGTCCACTGTCCAGGTTGTGGCTCGCCGAAACTGGCACACCACCTCTGTCCGGAGTGCTATTCCTCTCTTAACCGGGCGTGGAAAGCAAAATCAAGACAAGGAGGTGGCTCGGGTGAAGACATCCCTACGATAGGCATGCACGATTGACGTTCCTTGGTACGTCGGAACGTTACTATTTCCGAAATGTCTGTATAGCTCATACCCAACCACTCAGGATATCCCGAACCTTGGATGATTGCCTCACTTGATATGTATTGGGATGCGTGGAGGAGTGTCGCATTGCGCAAGGTCATACCAACATCGCACACACCAAACTTTGCAGAAGTACCATTGGGCTTTGTGCATATCCGTCAGATGCTAGCCTGTATATACGTAGTCACTGGTCCCGTCTACTCCAGAGTCTCGTAGATTACATCATATCGGCAGACTACTGGTGGTCGTCATTACTGCAAGGCATGCACTTCTCCAGCGGTCGACTCTCCGATTAAATATTTAAACGTGTCTGAGACGAGTCGCACAGAGCGTCTGAACGCGAGGTCGCCGTCGGAAGCGACTGTCCTGATGACCGATCCTCACTTCGAACCGGGTGACCTCGTCGTGTGGGGAGCGCACAACCAATTGCGGTCATGACCGACATGGATATATGCCTACTTATCTAATGCCGGCTATGCGCTATGTAGCATCTCCTCCATCCACCATGCTGTCCAGATTGATGATACGCCAGGGCGCAAGCCCACTGACACGTTCGATGGCGACTCAAGCGCGAGGACTCCCTGCTCTCCTCGAGAAGAAGCCCCATGACGTGGTCATAACGTTCGCGAAGCGTACCGCGATGGCTCGCGCGAGGAAGGGCCAGTTGAAGGACATTCCGGTGGACGAGCTACACCTCGAAACGGGCGAATCGTGCGTCTAACGTGGCGATAGCAGCTACGGGACACGACGTTCGATACGTGGGGAGCACATGCAAGCCAGGCGTCGGACAGCTGACGGGAAAACCTGTGCGGAACGTGCTGTCACGGCTTTGTCAGCAGGAGACAGGTTCTGTCGCCGCGGTCCTCCACCTTGCCTCCACCCACTGTCAAGATGAGGAGAGCGCGCATGCGGTATCGGCCGGTGGCTCGATGCCCCTCCCTCCTTCGAAGTGAGATCCACGTATCAAGTGACCACGTCCAGCGCGCCGCCCCCGCGCGCCCCCGACATTGGGCCTCCGCACGAGGCTACAGTGCAGCCATTCCGAGACACTAGGCTCCTCTCCCGTGCAGCCGCTGTCTGCTTGCTTTGCCATCTGTCATCGGTCACTGGCGTGTATCTTATAAACATGATATCCGACTCAGAGTCTCTCATTTCCCCCCTTTCTGCGCGAGGCTCCCGCTACTCTCCCCCGCGGAGCAATGCGCCATCTGTTGCGTCCTCCGCGGCGTCGTCCACGCTCAGCGTCGCGACTAACAACACGACCACGCCGTCAACGCCCGCAAGCACCGTCTCCAAAAGCCGGAGCGTCGGGACTCCCGACGCTCCGGCTTCTTCAGCTGGTTCACGGGCGGTTTGACTGCGTCGGCGTCGTTGAGCCTCAGCTCAAGCATGACGTCGCTCTCGCTCGAGACCTGTGTCCACGCCGAGCGCGGCTCCGTCGACGAGCTCATCCTGTCAGGGACTCCACCGACTGAGCCCTATAGCGCCTCATTGATGAAGAAGACCAATCAAACAAGTACTGGGTCACACTCGACGACCATCTCACTAGTCTTCGCAAGTCGGCTGGAAATGACGCAAAAAAGCTTGCACGGTATGTCTCCCTTCTGGGCTTCTATTCATTATGTACTGATATCGTGCCATAGAGTCTTTAGATCTATCCTCGACAATGATAGGGCATCACATGGCAATAACCCCGCCGCGATCAACGCTGTTCCCGAAGATGAAGTAGTAGATGAACGGCAGCAACAGGTCAACGAGGCTTTTGTTTCGTCGACCGAGAGAGATGATGCGCAGCCAAACCCCAGCGGATCTCCTGCGTAGTAGTCCTCGTTCTACTAGTGCTCTGTGCCACGCGTGTATCCCGGGCCTGGGCTCAATTGTGGATTTCATTTCACTGTACTCATAGAGCATTATTCGAACTGTTCAATGTAATGTGGGCTGCGTAGACGTGAACCATTACTATGCGATTGAATACCGATTCGTGATCGTGAATGGGTGCTTGAATACTGCAAGAATGCTGTCTGCGACGCAAGGACCTCACGCTCAACGCATGCATGCAGCTCATATCAATGTAATTTGCACGGCGGTACTACGTTAACGCATGTCAAAACCACGTGTACCCCACCTCGTAGGCAGCTGGCACACCACCTGTCTGCCACGTACGACTGTCGACACGGTGGGGCCATTTCCTCCTTTTCGTGGCCACCATGTGTCGTCAGCGCGTCTCAGGTGGCAGGTCCATGTATTTCGCGGGCCGCACTCACGTGGACTCCATGTGCCAGCCAACTCGAGGTGTAATGCAGGCTCTCATCAAGGTCGGTCCTGGTACCTTGGGCAAGTAAGAGCTTCCTTCTGAATGACCTCCTAGGCGACCCTAGAGCAGACCAAATTAGACCCAGCCAAGCTCGAAGATATTTGCGTCGGTGCATTTGCTTTGTGCACGCGTACTGCGAATCGGGTTGCTGATTACCGAGCCTTTGTAGGGACGTGCCATCCGCCATCACCGACGTATATATCTCGAGCTGCAGCCCTTGCCGCTGGAGTACCGGCAGATGTACCTGTCTCTGCTGTCAACCGACTTTGTGGCTCTGGCCTACAGGCTATCAGGATCATTGCCAGTGCAATTCAGGCCGGTGACATGACTCTTGGAATGGCCGTAGGTGCTGAGAGCATGTCCCAAAAGTGCGTCTATGTTCCGCACATCATTACTGCTGAGCTCATGGTCAATGTCCTGCAGTCCCCGTCCATCCCCGAGATTGTGCCGCCAGTCGATGCTAATTTTCAAGCACACGACTGTGTCCAGCCGATGGGCTGGACATCTGAGATGGTCGCCCAGACGTACAAGGTCCCGAGACACAAGCAGGACGAGTACGCGTTCATCTCACATAGTCGCGCCGAGAAGGTCTGTTTCTTGACAAGAGCATGCCTAGTAGCCACTTCGTACTCACCTTCGTCGTTTGCAGGCTACTAAGTCCGGCGTCTTCGCAGACGAGATCATACCGGTCGAGCTGCGAGGTGCGGTGATTTCGGTTGACGATACCATCCGTCCGGGGACTACGCTCGAGGGACTCTCGAAGTTGAAGTCGTCGTTCCCTGATTGGGGAGATGCTTCCACGACGGCGGGCAATGCGAGTGGTCTGGGCGATGGTGCCGCGCTCTGCATACTGACGACTCGCGAGCGTGCGGAGAAAGAAGGCTTTGAGATCCTGGGCAAGTATGTTACCAGCACCTTCGTCGGTGAGTCGCTCAGGGCCGTCAATGTATCTTCGTCGCTCATTGAAGCGCAGGTGTGGAGCCCAAGTACATGGGCATCGCTCCGGTTGCCGCTGTGTCCAAAGTCCTGTCGCAGGCCGGGTTGTCCAAGGAAGATGTCGATGTGTACGAGGTGAGCCAATTCATTGTACGTAGTCACACTCCGTGAGGATATTCAACGTCACCTAGATCAACGAGGCATTTGCGTCGCAGTTCGCGTACTGCGTAGAACAGCTGCAGATTCCTATGGACAAGATCAACCCGAAGTGAGCATCATTTGCATTCTTCTGTGTTCGTGCTTTGACTCAGAACTTGCGTGTCTAGTGGTGGGTCTATCGCTTTGACACATCCTCTAGGCATGAGTGAGTCCGACAACACATGCTTTTCGGATAGCATTGTCTAACGCGTATGTTGTAGCTGGCGCACGTCAAGTCGTCACTGGTCTTGCAGAGCTCAGGCGTAGAGGAGGGAGCATCCTATGCACAAGTATGTGCATCGGCAGCGGGATGGGAGGAGCAGGAGTCTTCGTGAACGAATCTCGTTGACTCTGATTCAGAAGAGCTGCCTGAGTTAGAGTAGGGACACTACATCAGGCTGAATCGGCGCTGCAGTGTTTTTGCATCGCGTCAGAATGTACCTTCTGCGCTTGCTGGAAAACGGGTTTTGTTTTAACTGAGCCTGACGCATGATAACTACTCGGTGCGCATTCTTGTGACTGTACGGCACAAGCCTCAAATTACACTTGGACTCGGACTACTATGGACACTGGCAGGTTGGCCGGCGCTTAGGAAGTCCGTCACGCAGTTGTCACACTTTGTCATGTCACAGAAGGAGCGATCATCCTTGGGCAAGGCGAGCGATCTACACAAGCTGTCGTCAAGACTCTCGACGTCCGGACACCTGCATCCCTCCTCAAGGTGTGTATATCGACTCTATGCCGCCCCATCGGGGCTCTGCTCTGTCGTTCGAAGAGAAACGAGCACAACTAGAGCTGGATGCGCTCCTCTTCAGTCGGATGACGCTCACACGGGCTGACTCTCATCTTCACGTAGGCTCCTCCGCAAACCAAAATGGCCACCCAGATTAGCAAGAAGCGCAAGTTCGTCGCCGACGGTGTCTTCCGTGCGGAGCTCAACGACTTCTTTACTCGCGAGCTGTCCGAGGAGGGTTACTCTGGTTGCGATGTCCGGGTCACCCACGCCCGCACTGAAGTGCGCCTCCATCTGCCATCCGAGTTTAGTCGTCTTGCTGAGCGGACCGAACCGTTTAGATCATCATCCGCGCCACCCACACCCAGGAAGTTCTGGGAGAGAAGGGTCGCCGCATCCGTGAGCTTACTGCCCTCGTGCAGAAGCGTTTCAAGTTCCCTGAGAACTCTCTCGAGCTTTACGCCGAGAAGGTTCAGTACCGTGGTCTCTCCGCTATTGCACAGTGCGAGAGCTTGAGGTACAAGCTCCTCGGTGGTCTCGCTGTCCGCAGGTGCGTTTGCCCATTCGCTAGATTTGATCAGAGTCTTATCGAGCTTTATTGTAGGGCCTGCTATGGTGTCCTTCGCTTCGTCATGGAGTCGGGTGCCAAGGGTTGTGAGGTTGTCGTCTCTGGCAAGCTCCGTGCTGCCCGTGCGAAGTCCATGAAGTTCACCGATGGCTTCATGATTCACTCCGGTCAGCCCGCACTCGACTATGTCGACTACGCCGTCAGGCACGTCATGCTCAGGCAAGGTGTACTTGGTATCAAGGTCAAAATGTACGCACCGTTGCTTCTTGCCTGATATGGATGACCGCTGACCTCTTGTGCAGCATGAAGGGATGGGACCCCGAGGGCCAGATTGGTCCCCGCAAGCCTCTTCCCGACTCCGTCCAGATTCTCGAGCCTCCTCTCGACAAGATCGTTGCGGAGCCCACATCCGAGCAGCGCGAGCCTGCTATCGTCGCCGCACCGGCGCCGCCAGTGGAGGAGCAGGGTGCCTACCAGGCACCGCCGGATGCGTACTCGCAGTCATACGAGCAGCCGGCTGCGTTCTGATGTATGTAGTGGATGACTACGTTGTTGTGTATCATGCTGGTCTTCAATTCATGACCATTCACGCTGCATTCCTGCCCTCATTTGTCACTGCGTACTGCTTAAGTAAACGAGTGAGAGATATGCGCTGTCGTATGGGAGCACGCAAAGGCGAGCCATCCCACGCATATGTAAATCCAAGCAATGTTCCATTACAGCCCTGTGGGCATTACACGTAGAAGACCGCATTAGAAGATACAGAAGCGCGATGAACGTCAATAGTCTAAAGCTACATAAAACCCTGTACAATGTCCAGCCGAGCGAAGTCCATGTTCGCGAGCACTGCTGTAACCGATCTCACGCCTTGCCCCCGGAAGTGAGGACGTGCAGCTTGGAGAGGGAGCTGACCAGTGGGACTGCGTAGAACGCGAAGCCAACCCAAACCACTACTCCAGGATCAGTGACGTTCGAGGATACACCTTCGTTAAACAACTCACTGATGAAGCCATTGCTTGTAGCGGCAACAAGCTGGGGGGCGTCACTGCCAGTCTTTTTGATGTCGTCATTGAAGTCATCGACAGCCTTCGTGAACCACATGTAGAGCACGAGGAAAGAGGTAATGCCTACAAGGACACCGCGTGAGCAAAAGCGACTTCTGGCAGGGCAGCGCCAGACGTACCAATGATGAAGCCTAGGAAACCGATCCAGGCGGTAGCCCGCTGGATTTGCGGGCGCTCGAACATCACACCGGCTCGACCCAGGTATGCACGGTGCGCGGTGAAGGTGAACATGAAAAGGAAGATCACAGTAAGCGCGAGGGAGATGGCGATGAATACGGGTGTAGTGGCCGTCGGCGCGTCCAGCAGATCCGGTGCATTTGAGGGCAACACAGACAGGTCTAAGAGACATTTAGCTCAGTGCGCAATTGATCAGCAGACGTCCCGCACCGTAAGAGGGAGAAACCGTGGGCGCGGTGCAGTTCACTATAGCCTTAGCATTAGCCCGTGCACAGGAGCCTGTGAAGCAGTCAGGGTGAGACGAGGTGATATCGCAAGACCGGCGGTACGCACCAAGGGCACCAAAGAAGACCGTTGGTCCATCTACAGACGAATTAGATGAACCCGGAGATGTCAGGGCCGTCGACGGCGAGACAGTCAGGAGAGAGACTTGTGTCGGCAACATCAGCGTTGGTGCCAGGTAGGCGAACAGGATGAGGACTAATGCGGTCACGGCCAGTAAAGGCGCAAGCAGAGTGTTGATGAATCTCGAGAGACCGGCGATCATGGTGTCTGACGTTCGACGTGAAGATACTTGAAGAGCAGGTAGACCAGCTAGAGAGCGTGATACTGAAGGAAGGACTGGAATTCGTTACCGGAACAAGACGCGTGCACCTGGCTAGATGCTCCCAGAGCTAGACGAGGAGGATGAAGTAGTGGAGCGGACATTGCAGACCCAGGTTATATACGAAAGGGCCACCAGAGAAGAGCTCGCTTGCAATCATCATGATCATTGGGCATTGTAGGCACAATTGCCGAAGAACAATAGCAAGAAGTAAACCAGGCCTACCAAACAAGAGACTCGGGGACAAGCAGCACAGGCTTGGACGGTAACGAGGGGCGCCGGGATTTGCCGCAGACACGCTCATTGTTCTCAGTTCGGAAGAGGCGCCCGTAGTCAATGCTCCTCCATTCCAGTCGAGTGAGGTGAAGGTCGCCAGATGACTCTGGGCCAGTCCAGGCCATGCACTATACACCTGTCTCCTATTCGAGCTGCATCACAGTAGCCATACGACAGCAAGACGCTCTCGCAAGTGCTTGTTGAATCGATGAACTCACCGTCGCCGCGGCGGCAGTACTGTGCCAACTCGAGTACCAGGCGGTCTTTACATCTTCCTCATGGCTTGTCCTCCGAGTCCAACTTTACGCTCTCGTCTGTTTTTCCACGCCATTGTCGGAGTGTTTTGCGCCGTTGTTGTAACTTGACCAGAACTTGGCGCGGAAGTTAGACTCGGACTCGGCCCACTGCGAAGTGAGATCTCAAGATCCCATCGTGATCGGGCAGGCGTAGCGGGAAGAGGCTGTTGCACAACACGACCAAACACTGTGCCTCCAATCCGGGTACCAAATTTTGGCTCATTGTGGCTTCGGAGTGGCTGCTACTCACGCTCACTTGCACTCCTCTACCGCTTTGAAGCGTATCAAAAATGGCGATGGAAGAAACATCTCTTCCTCCGCAACTTGAGAGGCTTTCTACGCTCATTGACCAGAAGCCACAGGGACTGGCGGTCGGCGACAGTGACCTCCGAGTTGAGGCACTCAAAGCCACAAAATACCTATATGACATAGGTGCGTGATGGACCAACCCAGTCTGTAGGACGTTGGCTGATATCTTCACAGCTTTGAAGTCCGAGGCAGAGTCTAGGGGACACATTACTGAGCTGTTGTCGTCCATTTCTCCTTCCCTTGCGCCACAGACACGCTCGCAGACCGCCGCTCGCACCCAGAACGCCGCTCAGTCGCACGAAGATGCTCCGGACTTTGAGGCGACACCATTGACCGAGCTCTTCGTCGAAGGGATGGACGAGGAACAGATATGGTCCCAGCTGGAGCTGAGGGCTGAGAATGTCTGTCGTGTCCTCCAATACGCGCTTGATGGGATGGTCGAAACAATAGACGACGATGAAGAAGAAGACGAGGAGGAGGAGGAAGAAGAAGAAGAAGAGGCCGAGGCCGAGGAAGGTATCAGGAGGATGAGACAGATCATAGCGGAGGCCGAGGACGATGGCATGGAGATCTACGAAGGCATGGACGTCGACAATGATGACGAGGATGGCGATGAAGGCGAGGAGGATGATGATGAGTCCGAGGACGACCCGGATGAAGACCTCGGTGAAGATATCGTTGAGCTCCGTGACCCTTCAGACGAGGAGGACGAGGAGGATAAGGAGAGCGAGGCGAAGGAGAGACGTCCGCTCTATCTCGACACGGAAGAGACCTCGCTTTTTTTCAGCAGACAACCCCCCAGACCCCCGAAACGGAAGGGCAAAGGTGTCGGCCACCCAGAGCTGGACGACGGGTTCTTTGACCTTGCGGCCTTCAACCGGGAGACTGAGGAAGCGGAGGCTGGGGCTGTGTCCAAAGGCAGACTTGGCAAGGGCAAGAAGGACAGCGATGATGAGGATGAGAATATGGAAGACGACGTCGATTTGTTTGCACCAGTTGACGACGCTGGGGAGGCCTTCGAGGAGGATGTCTTAGAAGATGGCGGCGGTGGTACGTTTGTCTCCATATACGGACTTGGTTTAGTCTAACAGACCGACATGCAGAACTGTTCTACAAGGACTTCTTCGACCCTCCTGCTCGTGATCCTCGGGCGAATGTGAAGGGGAAGGGCAAAGCGAAGGCTATGACACCTCGAGCAAGCGTTCGCTTCCACGAGCAAGTCAGAGTGAAGAAGATCAAGGCAAGGGGCAAAAACCTGCCTACTTCGTCGTTGTATTCCCAGGATGATGACGATGACGACGATGATGAGGAAGACGGAGATTTCGAATACAACGAAGAGGATGACGACGACTTTGGCAGTGGGTCCGAGTCCATGGACGAAGACAACTCAGAACATGACGGCTCAGAGGACAGTGAGGTCGATGACGAGGAGGGAAGTTATGAGGATGACAGTACGGCTGTCGAGGGCGAGGATGGCGGTCTTCAGACGATGGAACGCTTCAAGGATGACCTGTTCGCGGAAGAGGAAGACATGCAGCCAGGTTTGTATTCTTTCCACATTTCGAGCACGCGCCCATACTGAATGCCACGTCAAGACATGACTACGCATGAGAAACGCATGGCTGCACTCCGAGAAGAGATAGCCGCGCTGGAGGCTGAGAACGTCGCAAAGAAGGAGTGGACGCTCATGGGCGAGGCAACATCACGTTCACGACCGCAGAACTCCTTACTGGAAGAAGACCTGGAGTATGAACGACTGATGAAGTCCGTGCCTATCATCACCGAGGAGGTCGTGCAGAGCCTCGAGGAGCGTATCAAAGCTCGCATTCAAGAGAACCAGTTTGATGATGTTGTTCGGCGGCGACCGGTGGACGACAAGCCCTTCCTACCATCTCGCTTTTTCGAGCTGCAGGACACCAAGTCGAAGCAGTCGCTGGCTGAGATATATGAGGATGAGTACACGGCTGCGCAGACCGGAGGCGTTGCAGGCGAGGATCGCGATGGCAAGCTCAAAAAGGAGCACGAAGAGGTCGAGAAGCTGTGGGAGCAGATCTCGGGGAAGCTCGACGCACTATGCAATGCTCACTTCACACCGAAGGCGGTATGTACAGTTTGCCTTTTGAACGAGCGGTGCCGCTGACTATCGGCATCTATCAGCCCAAAGGTTCGATATCCACCATATCAAACGTCGCAGCAGCGTCGATGGAATCCGCGCTCCCTACGACCATGTCTACCTCCTCTATGCTTGCGCCCGAGGAAGTCTTCGCCCCACCGTCCGCAACCGATCTCCATGCGAAGAGCGAGCTCACACCCGCTCAAAAACGTGCTCTCCGTAACAAGGAGAAGAAGGCTAAGAAGAAAGCCCGGGATGTACTGGAGAAGAGCGTGGACAAGTTTGCGCAGTCTAGGAGGCCCAGCAGTGTCAAGAGGCAGAAGGAAGCGGCGCTGAAGAGCGTAGTAAAGAGTGGGAAGGGCGTCACTGTGGTCGGAAAGCAGGCCAAGGATATCACTGGCAAACGTGCCCGGACAAAGTCATGATTGTATCGTCGATCTCTCCTCGTGTATTGACTGATCGCTGTTGCGGATGATCTGCACTTGTCCCTTGTTGTAGCTGTGGCTGTGCTTGTGTTACTCTCTTCCACATTAGTAACAATAATATCTAGGAGGACGCTGTACAGCATCTCCGGTGCATGTCGAAATGCAGTAGAAGTTGTGCATCGAATGCTTGGATACGGTGTCAGTGCCAGCGCGACAATACGGATCTGCACGTGCCAGCGAGCGGTAGAGTATATATTGCATTCATCAAGCGAGGCGGTACCACACTCTACACCTACCACCGCGTTCAAGTTATCTTGCTGCTCTCGCCATCCCCTTCTACTTTTTCACGACCTTTATCCACAATGTCTTGGTTCAAGCGCGGCAACACCCCCGTTATACCCCCTGTCGCCTCGGAGCAGGCCTCCCGCGCCGAATTGATGGGTTCCCGTGCTAAGGGCGACCGTTCTCCTAACCCCTCCGCCGTCTACACAAAGTCGACGTCGAGCACATATGTTCCCAGTCGCGATGGCGATCCCTACAGCACGCCCCATGCCCCTTCATCTACCAGTGCTGTCAATGATCGATATGCAAAGCGCGATGCTGTTGGAGACGTCTACAGCCGTGGCGGTGGCAACGTCGACAAAGACCGCGGCGAGCTCTTCTCTGGCTACAATCCAGAGAAGGCAGGCTCTGGCCGTTTCTTCGATGATGGACCTGCGAGCGGACGCGAGCCCGCCCCTGGGGAGGAGAGCGAGGAGGAGGTCGAAGGGATTAAGCAGCAGATCAGGACGACGAAGCAGGAGAGTTTGGCATCAACTCGTAACGCCCTTCGGCTGGCCCGTGAGGCGGAGGAGACTGCAAGGAACACCGTTGGGAGGCTGGGCTCTCAGTCAGGTAAGTAATTCTCGGTCCTACTCATGGGGATCTGCCTCACTGAAGTATAAACAGAGAAATTGGCGGACACTGAACGCCACCTCGATGTATCCAAGGGCTACTCGTTGCGTGCTGAGGACAGGACGGACGAGCTGAAGCAGCTCAACCGTTCGATCTTTCGGCCCGTCATCACTTTCAACAAAGATGCGAAACGTGCAGCGCAGGAGGCGAAGATTCAGGATCGTTACACGGAGGAGCGTGAGCAGCGGGAGAAAGCGATGATGGATATTCGCCAGACGCAGGATCGTCTGGGGCGTGCGCAGACGTACGGCGAGGGCGGCAGCAGCCGATTCAACAAGACTGCCGCTGAGCTCAACACGCGCAAGGAACAGCGCAAGCGTTACCAGTTCGAGTCGACTGGGTCTGATGACGAGCTCGAGGATGAGTTGGATGATAACCTGAATGAGATCTCGGATGTGACGAAGAGATTGAAGGCGCTTGGGACGGCGATGGGTCAGGAACTCGATACGCAGAACGTCCGGATTGACAATATCACTAACAAGGCGGACACGCTGGACAACGCGTTGTTCCGCAACACTCAGAAGGTATGGCCCGAAGCTGTCGATGCATGGAGTTCAATTGTTCATGTCCGTCTATCCACAGCTCAACAAGATCAAGTAAACTGTGCACCGACTACGTCGCTTCTCCGGTCGCTGTAGTATCATATTTTGTTTATGTCTTACTAGTCTGCCGTAGAGGAACCTGGATGGACGTGCAATAGACACATTTATTTTGACATTGCATGCAGTTATGTCGCCTTCCAACCAGATGCTATAATATCTTGAAGCTCCTTGCGCGACAATGTGTGTAGTCTAATTTGACGTCGAAAGCAGGATTCAGAAGCGATAACTATGACTGAGTGTCTAGGTGCATATATGGACAACACTAACAAGATACGAAGGTATATATCCCCACAAAAAGATTAGGGTATGCGCAAGCGACATACGGTCCCACCACATGCGTTTTTGTTTAGCCTGCGGATCCCGACTAAAGTGGTACGAGTCTTAATCTGCGTCGGCTTCCTCGGTTGAATCCTCCTGCTCACTATCCTCCGAGTTGGCTCTGTCGTTCGATTCATCAGCATCGTCGTCTTCCGAGGATGAGTTCCCCTCGTCCCCGTTGAACTTGAGCCGTGCTTGACCTGGTACTCGCTGCGAACGATGATTATGTAGCCCTTGCACTTCGAGTTCCCATCAACGCACCTTGAACGCGAACTTGCAGACTTTCCAGCCTCCCGGATTAAGCCCCCTTTCCATCCAAGCCTGTAAAACGAAAACGTGCATCAAGCTGTAGCACAAGCAGACACAGCCACTAATCGCTGTGCATCACCTTCTCTACCGTATAAAGACCATCGTAGCGGTACCCTTCCGCAGGGCATAAGACGATTTGAGTTTGTATCCTCGGATAACGCGGACAGGCTTCTTGGTCTCGCATGATTTCTAGTGCACACTTGTGAGGCACTATTTATTATACGACAGACATGCGTTTCCTAGACGAACCCTAAGTGCATTGTTCAGCCTATTCTCGAAAGACTGGTGGGAGCTCTGAGGGCAGTACGTAGCTGTCCAAAATTCCAACTTAACTGTCAGCACGGTAGCAACAACGAAGGATGCATACGTTTTTCGGTTGAGTCTTCGTCCCTTTAAGATCGCGGCCACCTGTTGCCCTATCAGCTGCAACTCCGACTTTACAGTGAGAACGACCAACCTGCACCTGTGTACGTGCTACATTCATCCTTGGGTCAGCCAGTGAGTCAATAACGCAAATGCAAACTTACAACGCGTCTCCGAGATCTACGTCATCTTCGTAGCCCCCAGACAAGGCCACTGACCACGCGCCGTCTCGGCCACCTGAAATACCACCCACCCAGGGTCTAAAAAAATCCGGTTAAGCCATCTGTAGCCCTGGTGAATGATGAGAGGCTGGAATGCTCACGCATGGACCGCGTCTATGCTGCATTCTTCTCTGGTAGTACGAGACACGATACTCATTAGAGAAATATCACGATCGTGGCCGAACCCAAGCGCACCTGGTCATCCACCATGTACCAACCTTGATTCCAGGTATCGCGCCGAACACTTTTCTTCATACAGGGGTTGAGTCTCCGTAACTCGAAGGCTGCACAAGGAACACTCACGGGTCGTGTACGCGATTGCTAACCGACCTGGACTCGGCTTCGATCTCGTTTAGACCGGCCTGCACGCTAACAAGAGTAAGGCCTGTCTGGTCAGACTGATCGGCACTGTACTTGTCGCGGTTGCGCCCACTCCTGCGCGATCCCGTCGACTCTGGACTGCCTTCCTTGGTCTCGCCTTTTTTCTCAGGCTCCACGACACGGCGTATTTTCGCTGACTCTTGCGCCCCATTCTCGCCGTCGCTCTCGGGAGAGGATGCCTTGCGCTTTCTCGGCGCACGCCGCTTCTTGGGCGCACTCTTGACGGCCGGGGGCACGATGGTAATGTCCCCTAGTATATCCTTAAGAGCCGCGTTCATGCTCTCCCTATTAAGTCGACATTGATCGTCATAATCGTAGTCCATAGCAAGCAGGAGACAAGCACGAAGTAGAGTCAGGGGAGTAGCAGACCACGGCACATTTGAGAGCGCGACGGTCGACTCGAACCTAACTTGAATCACGTGGGCGCGTGATAGCCGAGGAGCGCGTCGCGTCTGTGGCTGAGACCACTGAGCAATGACTGGAAATCGCAGAGCATTGCAAGTGCATGATACGACCCCAGTCTACTCGATAACAGATGTGTAAGACTGATAGTGATACTCAAATTACATCAACTGCATATAAATTGCGCTGCGGTGTACGTTGTTGTGCGACGAATCATGCTCCCAACCTAGATGTGAAGCCGAAACAGAACATGCAGACCATTTGACAAAGTATGGATAAGATATTCGTACATCATGTGCCTCAGTATTGTCCGGGAACCCAGTGACCTGCATCCGCAGTAAAGGCTGTGTAGTAATTGTGTACCCGCTGAGCATCGCTATTATTGGGCATGAAGTGGTAGGGCGCTTTCACAAGTCAGCCTCACTCCCACTCCCACGAGAATCTGTGCGATGACAACATACCTGGCTGAGCTGTTTCCCCGTCATCAAGTATAGTCATCCCATATGACATCAATGGACTCGCAAGAGGCGATATATGTGAACCAGAACCGGTCGGCGCCGATGACGGACTAGATGGAGGAGCGCCTGATCGGTTACTAGTCTCGAAGACACTTTCCGGTATATGGATGTGTGCTTCCTCTGTGGATAGTTGCATTCAGACACATACAGAGTCGGATGTAACAGGCAGACTCACTCGCCAAGAATTTGCATTTACCCTGTCTGGCGAAGACGCAGCGGGGACCTTTCGGGCAGTAGTGGCCCATCACACAATCCTCGCCGTAAGGACAGCGTTGACCTACAGGATGATGAGAGTGAGAGTGTGGACACAGCGATGGAGCCGACGTACCTCTGTTGACGTATGGACAAGGCCATTTGCGCGCATTGTCACGCAACTCCAGAAGTTGGGTGGGGCTCAGCGAATAGCCATGAGAAAAGCGACAGTTTTGTCCCTGCTTGCACTCCGCGAGGTAATGAAAGTTGCATGGCGGCGGCCTCACTGCGATACCGTGAGCATCAGATGTACGTTTCGCGAGAAGAGCACATACTTTTGTGCAAAGGCTAAATAAGAACATCAGAAAGACTTCTATGCGGTGACACAGTTGCAACACACCTGCGCCTGCTCAACGGGCAGATGCTTTACTTTCTTCGGCGGGGTCGGCTTTGCGGGCGTCGAGGATTTGCTACGCGTTTTCTCCACATCATGGAATGTTTGAGACGGGGTTCCCGGGATACTTGGAGCATTGTTGGTCTTCTTGGATGGATGTGTGTATAGCTTTTTCTTCATGAACAAACCATCAATCTCGATGTGAGGCAGCTGCAGGCCTTTGATTTCGTATGCGAGCTCTTTATAGCCTCGCAAGAGGATGACCTTATCGAGCAAGCCTTCATTTGCCAGGTAATTGAGGGTAGATGTGTACCCATTGTCGTGTGCACCTGATGAGTATGTCACGCACAGGCCACATGGCATGGCAGTCGTAGGCGTGCTTACCTCCGAAAAATACTTTGGATGTCTGTGGGAAGCGACTGAATACCCGCAGACACTCTTAAGGGGGGTCGTCAACGTCGACTAAAGTGCATACAATTGAGCATTCGGACCTTTGATTTTGGCATCAGCAGCCTCCTTGCCGCTCCCGACGTCTACCATGGAGAACAAAGGCGACGCTTGGTTGAAGCCCATGATGAAGGCTTCGAAGTGTTCTGCATCGCAGACATTATTCTGTGACAACGTCTCCAGGAGGCCCGTTTTGTTGCAGTATATGGTAAGCCAGAGCTGCCCACGTCCGACATCCGGAGAATCAATGCTCGTAAGGTGGTCCGTGAGGCCTTTCGTAAGGAGCGCGGCCGCCTGACGGCCGCCCGCTTGGCCAAGTCTTAATAGATCTTGTGAGAATATGTTCCCATCCCATCAATGAGAGAGAGGATGAGAGGATTGTCATCCTGTGTTTCAAATGTAGGTTAGATGATACCGCCCCAGGCGAGCACTGACGTACCTTCAATGAGCCAATGCTCCGCTCGAGCCTCGAGACCGTCTTGAGCAGAACTTTCTTCTCCTCGTCTGTAGTCTTGAACGCAGCTTTCCACACTGACAGCTCACGCTCAAGCTCTTCTACCCGCGTGCCCAGCTCCGCATTGCGCGTCGCGGTCTGGCGGAACAACGCTGGGAAGCAGCAGCTTGATCAATAGACAATGCCAACCGCGGCGGGAACAGACTTACTAGTCTGTTCATTGAGAAGTCGCTCCCTTAGACAGACGTACGGGAAGTTACGCTCATCAGTCTTCGCATTGCCCACAAGCGGAAGTCGACTCACCAGGTATCGAGAAGCGTCGCGCTCTGCAGGCTTTCCTCATCCATAGCCTGACCGGGGCCACGGACTGGCTAAGAAATTTGGTGTCCCCGCACCACGAAGGCGATACTGTCTTGTATACTGTGTCGTGGATGTCGCAGGACAAAGCACAGATCGAAGCTCTGGCCCATGCTTGTCCATATGCAGTAACCCGTAGCGCCGGTACCCACCGATCGCACATATGTCCGCTATATCCGCTGCCAATGTAGCTCCTGGGAGGATCCTTGGAGTCTCCGACGAACCTTCGACAATGTCAAAATGCAGCTGAATGAGTGTTCAGTGTACAAGGGTGTATTTGAGAGTTGTACAGCATGTCAAGTACAGATGCATGGCGTAGCATGAGCCCAGTGGAAAATGCAACTGAAGCCTAGGTAGGATCCAGAGATGGTCGCAGCCTGATCCATCCAGTGGCAGAGCATGCGTTGTGAAGGTACCACCGACACCACCTAATATAAGGATATCACATCCCTGACGACCTCCACGAACCGTTCTTTAGTGTCCTCCGACTCTTGTACGCCACTACGCTTGCGGCCCATCTCCCAAAGCTTCCAGATCCCCCGAATGCCATCACGTAGAGCCCCCATCTCCGCTTCGTCGTTGTCAGCAGCGGTGCACATGGCCAACGAACGAGGGGCAGCTAACGGCCTATCTTCAAGGCCAGAAATATAACCGGGGCTTCCTTCGTCGCTTCCGTTGCTCCCCCCGACGGTGGGCGATGAGATGTCTGAGTCGACTTCGCCTGTCTCTGACGTGGAAAGTGGGCTCGGAGAAGGGGTCGCTCGAGGCGGCACTTCTGCAAGAAGTTGGGCTAAGGCACGAGGCGAGGCAGGATCCCATCTGGAACTCCCATGCGGAGCGAGGGACCCAAAGATGGGTAGCATGTCTCCGTGCGAGCGATACAACTCAGAACGAGCAGGGACGGGAAGTGGGTTGGGTGAGTCGGTCCCGGAGTTGGCTTCAGGGTCCGTGGGATATAGTTTGCGTTTGGGCTGCGGAGGGGGGAAGGGCGAGTAGAGTCGGCGGTACCTAGCAAATTGTATTGTCAGCAACCATGTTTCGTCCTGGAGTATGAGTATGAGAGAGAGAAAAATGCGGCCGAGAATAATTAGTCAAGGCGGCGAAACTAGACGACTTCCGACCGGATCGTCCGCCCGTATCCGATGGATCATGTAATCATAGAAAGAAGCACTCCACGACGAAATGCGAGCAAGAACACTCACCATGAACTGAAGAATAGCGCGCCCAATAGGCATCTTCCGTTCCTGCTTCCGCATCCTTGCTAGCCATGAACGGATCGTCGTTGAATGATGCAGCGTCGTCCTGCGAACCGTACGCGTTCCAATAATCGTCGTCGCCTTCGCCTTCGCCGCCGTACGCATCAGCAACGTAGGCCGCCGCAGGAACGAGCGGGACGGTGGGCTTAACATATTTTGTTTCCTTCACGTCGTCGGGCTGCTGTGGCGCCGCGCGACTGCCAGGCGGGAATGGCATCAAAGCTAAATCGTGATACTTCCACCCATCGGCTTCGTCCCACTCAAAGACCATTCGAGCCTTGTCAGAGCCAGTCGAGGGCAGTTCGACATGCGCGTATGCTTGTTCTGCATCCGAGGTATAATGTACAGGATACGAGGCAGGCTCGTCATCCAACTGCCGCGGCAAGTCTTCAAGCAGGTCTATGGCACGGCCTTGCGACGTAGGCCAGCAGAGGTACTCCTTCGGGTCATCTAGGGAGATTTGAAGGAAGTGATGTCTCTGAAGGAGGGATTTGGAGATAAGATGCGGCGGTATAGGCTGATTGAGCTGCGAAGGCGGTGCGATATATTGCAGGATGAGATGGACGAGTCCTGGCTGGATAGGTGTCGGCGACATGGGTGGGAGGGCACGAGTAGATCGGTTCAGACGCAGCTGCCGTGTACCCCGCACGCAGATATACCACTGGCAAGACTGCCGGCTGCTGTGTACCCGTAACCCCGCACCGGTAGTGCGGGGTCGTGCGGAGAATCGTTCTCGGTCGGGCGTTACGTAGTCACGTGGGGCGCGGCGAGGCACGCCGCGCCTGCCTTCCATCTTGGGAAACCACGCCTCGCCGGCAACCCTTCTCACCGTGTCTCGAGCCGTCGACGCCTCCTTCATCCGCGTCCTCGTCTGCCCTCCCTCACCTCGTCCTCGCCACAAAAATGCGTGTCGCATCCCTCCTTACATGCATTGCGTTGCCTCTGCTGGCAGCTGCCCAGGCTGTACGTCGTTTTGCTGTTCAGCGCGATTCTAAGCCTCAATTGTGTTCTTCCTCCCACAGAACTCCGGGTCGCAGCAGCAGTCTTCATCCCAGCAACAGTCCTCATCGCAGGCGTCGGGATCCTCACAAGCGTCAGGCTCGCAAGCGTCCGGCTCCTCGCAGCAGTCGCAGACCGTCATCGTGACCACAGTCACTACCGTCGTTCCTTCGACATCATGGGCACCGGGAAACGTCGTCACCGGCGGTCAGACAATCACCTCCTCATTCCCTCATGTCACCAGTGTCAGCACGACTCAGGTGATCTCATCGACGTCCATCATTGGAGGAGGGAACAACGGTGGAAAGAGCTCTTCGACTTCGAAAGCTCCCGTATCGACAGCGCCGTCTAGCGTCAACGGTGGCGGCACAGGTGCACCCAACGGCGCGCCGAGCCCTGGCGAGGCAGGTTCGCACGGAATATACGGTCCCAACGAGACGTATATAGCGTCGGCACTGGCTGTCTTGCCGCCTCTCCCTGGGCACGCCCTACTCACGATGGTGGCGGGGATGGCGATCGGAGCGGCGATGGTCTTTGCATGAAGCTGGGGATGCTGTCTGATGAGCGATGGAACGCTGTTTTCTCTGGGACTACATTGCATTCGTGGACGCTAGATAGGTGACGATGGACCAACTGATATATATTATACGCGTACAGTAGCGTACTCGCTAAGACGACACATGGATAATTCTCTTGCATCATTAGTTCTAGTTTCGCATACGTCGAATGAACACTCCTCTCATAGCACTGCTCTATGTTCGAATTCACGACCTAATGCCATTTGTCGCTCTTTCCGTGCGTTTGCCTTCGGCCTCCCACACCCGCCTAGGTGTCCCTTGAGAGAGCGGCCGGCATGCAGTGGAGCTTACTACCACCCTTGCGATTTGGACTCACAGCTACAGTCACTCTTCTGCGAACCCGCACTCTCCGGATACCGCGGGACTCGTCTTTTCACCACAGGGCAAACAAGGCCATCCAGGGCATCAGTATAAAAAGCCAACTCCAGCTTCGCCTCATGTCTTCTTCTCTCGAAGGCGCCCTTGAACCCCCAGCGAAGAAACTGAAGATGCAGGAGGAACGCAAAGTATGTGGCTCGATCACTGCGATCTGACAGTCTAAGCCAACAGCGGACAGGTGGTCGGAACGCACAACGGGACATTTCACTGCGACGAGGCACTGGCCGTTTTCTTGCTGAAAAGGACAGAGGCCTACGGCACTGCAGGTGCGGACACTCCATCTCGTGCATCGACCCACCCTTCTGAGCTCCACGACAGACCTCACGCGTACCAGAGACCCGGCTGTGCTCGATACCTGTTCGATCGTGGTCGATGTTGGCGGCGTGTACGACGAGAGTAAGCAGCGCTTCGACCATCACCAGCGCGGCTTCCAGGAGGTCTTCGGACATGGATTCACGACGAAGCTGTCCTCGGCGGGGTTGGTCTACAAGTGCGTCTGCTGCCAAGCATCATGTATTCGCATGGAACGCGCTCGCTGATGTCTTTGTAGGCACTTTGGCAAGGAGATCATCGCCAGTAGGCTGCATGCATCCCCAGAGGACGAGAAAGTGCAGACCCTGTGGTTCAAGCTGTACAAGGAGTACATCGAGGCCATCGACGCTATCGACAATGGTGTCAATCAGTACGACACCGACCATAAGCCCAAGTATCGCATCAGGACGGATGTCTCAAGCAGAGTTGGTTTCTTCAACCCAGCTTGGAACGAGCCGTTCGATTCGAACACAGTCGATGTGAGTCGCCTTCCCTTTGCTTCCGTATGGCAACGGGCTTAGCGCTTCGTCAGGCCAAGTTTTTGAAGGCCTCTTCACTCGTTGGAGAAGAGTTCATTTCTCGACTGGACTACTATGCCAATGCTTGGCTTCCCGCCCGCAACCTCGTTGCGGCGGCGATTAAGCAAGCGAGAGCAGCGGATGTCTCAGCCGGTGGCAAGATCATCGTCTTCGACCAGTTCCTGCCCTGGAAGGTATGTCATGATGTATCCTCTCCATAGTGCACATCACTGAATATGTGATTGTCTAGGAACACCTTGCTGATCTAGAGGAAGAGCTGGCGATCCCCGCCGAGTCTCTCGCAGTCTATGTCCTCTACCCTGACGAGACGGCGCACAACTGGCGCGTCCAGGCCGTTCCCCTCGCGCCCGACAGCTTCGACAGCCGCAAGGCCCTGCCTGAAGTATGGAGAGGCGTTCGCGACGACGAGCTCTCCAAGAAGTCTGGGATAGATGGCTGTATCTTCGTCCACGCCAGCGGCTTCATCGGCGGTAAGCACGCAATCCGTGATCGCTCTTGCTCATACTCAACGTGCTATAACGACAGGCAACAAGACAAAGGAGGGCGCCCTGCAGATGGCCCAGCGTGCTTTGAAGATGTGAATCGTCGAAGAAAGGCAGATAAAGAAGGGGGCGTCCTAGGGATGCTGACCGCATCTTACGATGCGGGATGTTACTAAAAGTAACATAGCGTACACATATAATGTGTAGTAGGGGCTAAGCCCCATAATGGGGCTTGTCACCAGGCAATCTGGCGACGAGTTCATGACGGTGTCTTCGTCGAGAGTGATTGAATCCGTGTATAATACTGCAATGGCGCTTGACACCCCTGGTCTACGGTCTCGGCATGACTCAAAGAGCCAGAGCAACGTTCGGGCTCGAGCCATAGCCTCGTGAACCTCAACGTCCTCAACTCCGGCCCTGAGCTCCGCACGGAAAGGACTCCAGTATTTAACGACTCGTCTTCAGAGGTCAATTCAGTAGATCCAAATCCCTATTCCAGCCATTGACCATGACTACCAAAGTACCGAGAGTGCTACTGACGGCAAGTGCTCCGCTCTGCAAGTCAGAAGGTCAACACCTGTGGCTCACGACCTAGCGCTCGGTTTTGACCAGAACGATGACGGACCTCCTGGGCCAGAGTCACCCTATATCTACGGGTTGTACCAGCATCTGACCAACAACCTAGGTGAGACCCATAAGAATGTATTCATTGTACAATTTAGATGACCTCGTGGTGTAGAATGGGATGTAAAAGTCGTCATACCTAGCACTCAGAAATCCTGGATCGGTGAGTAGATGCACACCCGCTGTTCATGTGCTACACGGTGCTTAAGCCGACGTCTAGGGAAGGCATATCATATCCACGAAGTGATCAATGGACGGTTCTACTATCCACAAGGACCCGGTACGAGTCTAGCCGTCGTGCATGAGACACTCCTTCTCAACATCCTTCTGCCCTTTCACTAGATGGTCTAGGAGAGATCTCAGAGCAATCGAGGCCATTGCGTGAGGGGGAGACCGCTGAGTGGATCCTACTGGATGGGGTCCGTCGATGCTCGCCGTCGAATTGCTGAAAACTGATCGCTTTCGTGCAGACACCTGCGACGTGCTCGAATATAGCACTCCATAATCTCTACCACGGAGAAATAGATCTCGTTGTACGTATCACCAGCGCCGTATGCGCGTAGGCTGCGATGCTCAACGTCCTGTGTCCTCGTTTCAGATATCTGGACCCAATTTTGGCCGCAACAGCTCCGGTACGTCAGCTTAAACAATCATACCCTTCCCCAACTCATCCCTCTCAGCCGCATTCGCCCTCTCCTCCGGCACCATCGGCGCGGCCATGTCCGCCAGTCTCTCCCGCACTCGTGCCATCGCCCTCTCCTACGGCACCGTCCTCCACCCGACGCCACACGAGCTGCACGAGCCCGCACACGTCCTTGCGACCAAGATCATCGCCCACCTCTGGGCGCACTGGGGCGCAGACGCGGGCGGCGGTCTGCGCGGCGGCGAGATCGACCTCTACAACGTGAACATACCCATGGTGCGGGACCTCCTGCACGAGGACGGCCTTCGCATCTGCTGGACGACCATCTGGCGGAACGCCTACGGCCGTCTGTTCAAGGCGCATGGGGAGGAGCGCGCCGCGAAGGCGGCGGCGGAGGCGATGTCAGGTGCGGGCCCGGACTCGCCGGGGGAGGGGCGGAAGGCGAGGGCGTTGGGCGGCGTAGACGAGGCGGCGAGGCCGGAGGACGCGGGGCGGCTGTCGTTCAGGTGGGCGCCGGACATGACGGGCCTGATTACCCCGCAGTTGTCTACGCTGCCAGTGGGCAGCGACGGATGGGCGATCAGGCAGGGGTGGGCGAGCGTGACGCCTATACGGGCGAGCTTTGCGGAGCCGGCCTCGGAGCCAGTGACGGATATCGAAGAGAGGATATGGAAGATGAAGTTGTGATACTATTATCCATGTATCATTGTATGGCTATGGGGCAACGCGAATTGAATGCACGGAGCAAATCCGTCCGTCCGTGGAAGCATCGTAGCAGTCTACACCGTTCGTGATAAATACATCAGCACAGTTCGTAAGTCGTGGTTTTTGTAGCATTCGTGTATCTTTATATTGTCGTGCAATGTCATGAATGCTGGCACTTGATATCGGTCCAACCCTTCCTCAGCGGCATCCGGCACCAGTCTACAGCAAAACTCCGAATAGGACGCCCATCACCCCGAGCATCGGAACCACTGGGAACATTGGACGAGCAGCGTCGGAAGCGACTTGGCCGTGGATGACCTGTTGCCTGTATACTGTCAGGCTCCTGATCCGCCACGAAGCGTTCTGAAAGGTGTGTGTAAGGACACAAACACTGAAACTTTCGGAACGACTACGTACGTCGAAGTTGCTGGGCTCCATCAATCGTTCCGCGCACGTCCCCGGACAACCCGACGTGGTGTAATCGTTGCCCGCCCAGTCGCCTACCTCAAAATCAGTACAATGCCAACGGCATGCGAACAGCTGCACATACCGCAAAACGTTATGTCTTAGGTGGAAGATAAGCAGAGATAGTGCAGTGAAGCCCGTACAGAACTTACCGAAGATTATCGAGTGGTTGATGAAGTTTGTGAGAGGGTCGCATGCGCCGGCCTCCAAAAACGCGACGGGCTCGCCCCACGTCGACGGCGTCGGCTGCCCGTTCGTCACGTCCTGCGGGACCGCCGCGCGGTAGAACGACCCTGCGCCGATAACCACATCAATCCACATCCACGCGCATGGGAAGAGGGACACGCACAGACACCGATCCCGGACACGTCCCACTTCATGGCGAACACGCCGCCACTCTGCTCGTCGAAGATGGGCCCGTACGATGCGCGGCTCCACTCAGTGACCCCGCATCCCGCATTACTGTTGAAATTGTCGACGCAGTTGCAGACAAGGTTTGGCTCGTTATTCGTCGTCTGTCGTGTGATTGAGCACGTCCGCTTTGTTATGGTGCCAGTGACGAGGATTAGCGACGTACGACGATCGTCCCCGTGAAGTTCGCGTTCTGCGTCATGTTGCAGTCTGCAGCGCCGGTGTCAGAGCGCGCCCTCAATGGGGATGACCGTGCGGAGGTGAATACGTACTCGGACCGGTGTGCCACGTAACCTGGTTGTGTTGATTATCGTGCACGCCCTCGATGATGTCGATCTCCCCGGTCTGGCGCATAAGACGAGAAGCGCGGTGAGGTCATCGACTACGAGAAGAACGGACACGCGACTTCGACTTACCCAGGGCCAGGTGCCCCCGCCCACCGTCCACCACGCGGGCCAGACGCCTGTGCTTCTCGTGAGTGCCGGGAAGGTTCTATGCGCGAGGGGAAGACGTACCACAGCCCCATGGGGCCATGTCGAGGTCAAGAATGAACAGGCCTAGGCATAGAATTCGGTTTGTGGCCGATAGGATGTGCTATGCCCGATGGTACGTACCGGTGTTATACTGCTTTTGACTCGAGATTCGGACGCTACGGAAGCGCGTCACTCCACAACCGGTGGTGCGCTGAGAGCAGGTATGCTCACCTGTTCCTGTACTGCCCATTTGACAGCGTTGTCGTATTGTCGCCCTTCATGACGACGATACCGTCCGACTCGACGTAGGCCAGACCGTCCGCAAACGCCGTGTTCCGGTCCGTGTAGCTGGAATCATCAGCGACACTACAGAGCGCGGAGGGGACGAGACCTACTTGACCGAACCACTGCAGCGAGTCAGTCGGACTCCTCTGACCATGGAGAAACGCTGGATACGTACTGCGTCGGGTCTTCGCCGGTGTAGAATTCAAACGTACTACAGGCGCTCGCACAGATTTACAGTGAAGATTTCAAGAGGACTCACTCGAAGAACGTCGAGCCTTCGTAGGTGTCCTGTACCGTCCAGACATAGTTGGTCCCGTTAGGGAACGTCTGTGTGGGCGTGCTCCGTTTTTCGACGCGTTCAACGCGTGCGGCGAGCGCTGTATTCGCCAGTAACAGTAGCCATACCAGGCCTGCTCGCGAACTCGGAGAAGCGAGTGCTGAGCAGTCTGCTCCTTGTCTTGACCGAAGAGCTACAACCGCCAGGACCAGAGAGATGAGGGTAAGAGGTAGCGCAGAGATCATGCAGTCGTGAATTAGTACGAGTGTTTTCAAGTTCGGCAGATGTAGAGGCGGGTGAAGAGGGCCGTGTGGGGTGAGCGGACACGCTTATGAAGCCTGCGGAGAGGGGGACGTCAAGCACTGGCAGAGGGTATTGGTTGAGTGCTAAGAACGGATCAACACATGTGTCTGGTGCAGTTCTGGGGCTCGTCTGACGCGGAGAGAAACACGAGGCGAACGTGAGCACGAGCGGGGACAGCCTTGTGGGTTGCAAAGCGCGAGCAGTGGGCGTAGCAGCAGGCCGACGGCGTGAGGGAGCACGAGAGAGAGGGCAGCCCAGCGTATTGTCGGAGCACTCGCCAGAGTCCGAGTCGCCCTCGCTGGGCCCCCTTGTGCAACTCGAACTTGCCGCGCAAGGCAGGCGCCGAGAATACGCCGGCCCGACGTCGACGTCCGTCCCTTCCAGCGTCGACGGCTCTCGGCCTTCGCTGCAGGCTCATCGAGGAGGAACAGGTACCATCGACGACCAAAGGACAATATTGACACGCCTTCCTTACACGCGCTGGACCACACAGCGACACTCGATCAAACTCAATTGCGTTGAAGGCTGTCTATGCTAGTGGTCAATGGACCCCACAACATCTGCGATGTGAGGCATGGCGAAGGGTGCATACATCCTGAGCTATAGCAAGTACCTAGCTGCTATGCCTCCTCGCTTATTTATCTAGGGCAACTACGTAATCGACAATATCCGCATATTGCACGCGAGCGAGCAGTGCGTCCGCACACTAAATGCTCCTCCGGCATAATTGCGTCAAATATCTCGAGTGTAGAGGTGTCGAGCTGTCTCCGCGGCGGAAATATAGTCTGCAAGGCTTGGATCTGCGTAGAGTCGACTTTAAGCATCACATCCATCGGATTCCCGGCAAGTCGGCGGGAGGCAGAAATGCAATGCATGCAAAACGGTGTGACCAATATTGAACTAGAACACGTAAACATGCATGTTCTCCGTCCGAAATGAAGTTGTTGATAGACAAGTCGGGCAGAGTAACTTGTAACATAGACCGGGTGAGTAGCTGCGGCGCGCGCCCCAACCGCGCCCCGACTCCGAGGTGTGGCTGGGATCCTGATCACATGACCGTTCTCCCATTTGTACTTATAACGAAAGCTTTCAAACGTTCACTGAACGTCGACAACATTGAAGACTCTGCATACAACGCGCGACGTCCCTCCTAGTCCTCCGACAACGGCGCCTGGAAAGTGCCGCTTGAAGGGAGTCCTTCATTCACTACTAAATTAGCAGGTCACGGTGTTTTCAGCCTATGTAAGTGGCAGATTCCCGTCATTACTATCCTTCAAGCGAAAGCTGAGGCTTGTTGAGACACATATATATCGAGCACTCACCTGCCGAGTTCTCACTAAGCTGGACTGCGCAGTATATCCCTCAGCGACGCATAATTTTGGCAAACGACGCTGATCAGTCATCTATAACACAGATGCCGCCAAAGGGATCCAGGAAGAAGGGTTCTGCGACAGTAGGAGGCAACCAGCCCAAGCGTTCGACGCGGTTAACTCGCTCCTCTGTGCGGCAACAAAGTCAACGTAAGTGCGTCCAGTGAGCACTGGCAGATCCTCGCATACTTATTGAGGTACGATTCATTCCATATGACAGTGCAATCAAGCAATGCTCCCTTCAACGTCCTCGCCTTTCTCGATGAGGCACTTGAGTCGGAGCGAAAGCCCAAAAGGCAGCGTCGACTTGTTCCGGTGCTTGAGGTCAGGACCCCAGACTTGGATGTAAGTGGCATGTATTACTATGACCATATGCTCACCCTAGTTGACTGTTCATCCTAGGACCCTCATCCAGAACATCGCCGGTCCCCTCCCATCGAGAAACCACGGCGAATACGCCGCGAAGTCGCTCCCGTTCATGTTGAGGCACACACCGAAGCATCCCAGACGCGCCGGCGGCGGCTCAGTCCTACTCGAGTTGAACTCGAAGCTAATGTTGACGTTGAGGAACCACCCCGCAAGCGCCCCGCACTCGCTCCCTTTGTACATGTGCCATCCCGAGTGCTCCCCAAGCTCCCTCGCTTCGTAAAGATATCCTCCCTGATGGGCCCTGAGCCCTCTTCTGTAGAGGCGTCGTCGTCAGCACGCCCTGCACATCCTCCCATAAGGGCACTGGAGCCTGTGCACTCTCCACTCCTTCCCATCAGGGCACCGTCACCGCACCCCCCGCTTTCTCCCGTGGGTGGATGGGATCCAGCACGTGCTGTCCTCCCTCTGCTTTCTCCCATGAAGGGACGGGACCCAGCACGTCCTGCATCCCCTCCACTTTCCCCCGTGAAGCGGTCGGATCCCGCACGTCCTGCTCTCCCTCCCTCAAGGGCGTCGGATTCAGCACGCCCTCCGCTCCCTCTCAAAAAGGTGCGGTCACCGTCGGGATTCGCAAAGTAGCGGGGTCCGTACCACTCAGTACCATATCTCTCTCATACTCCACACGAAGCGAGGCATCGCTTGTCCCACCAACCTCCTCCACGACTATATGTGTACACAGAGTCGGACGCGACACTCGCCACGGCACACAAGCATGTGTACCTGGTCTGACGCGGGTTGTTCAAGGTCTCGGATCGCAGCTATGATGGTCACCCCGCTCAAAGCATATTGTCGAGGCTCTTGGTCGTTGGTCAACGGGGCCGTGGACTACAGCTGACTCCTGCAGGTCAACGAGGCGCCGCAGGCTGATGTCATTGGGAATTATCGTTTAACGGGCTTTTGGACTGTTGAAAAGGGCAATTGGCGAAGAATAGAGACACTGGCACCATCCACATGGAGTATAGAGTAACGGACCGACATCATCTGGTGTATGTAGCTGGGCCCCAGCAATCCTCTCAATCGATCATCGCAACAGAACAATGCATGTAGTTACTTCCACTGTGGTACTTGATTCGAATTTTCCACGGAGTAGCAGCATCGTCTCATGTCCTGTCAATGCTGCACTGGCAGTCCAGGCTGGCAAACCGTCTCACCCGTCCCAGTGTTAACCTGAGCACGGACCGGGCCAAGTGTCATAGCACGGCGTCCGTGTCATTATGTACTATGCACATTCCTCGTGAATCGTGATGCATTGATGGCCCAAGGAGGTTTGGGCTGCATCCCTCGATGGTCACAAGTGCCGGTGACATCGAGATGATTTTTCGAACGGTGAAGCACGAGACGGTACAATGCAATGGGATGTGAAGCTGTCAACAGGGATGGTGGTACTAGACGTCCGACGTCGAGTCTCTTCAAGTATTGGGAAGGCATCCGTGCTATCACAGGGGCGGTAGGCATGGGCCTAGGCGATGTCTGAACGATTTACACATTCCTGCTCGAGTTTGGTCATATGGTTATCATGATCGCAGAGCGGTCGCGCGAAACTAAGTTACCCTTGTAATGAACCAATGAAGAATGTTCGCACTGACAGTCGCATATTGCTCCTCAGGCCTCACCGGCACCGGCCATGTCTGTACCTCGCATGAACGATCTTTTTCAACTGCTTGAGCGCCTGGAAATGGGATGCTGAATCTGTGATCACCTCTTGCAGTAGCTAAACCGATGAAAGTCGCTGAAGCTTGAAGGTTCGCCACAGCCATGAGAAACAGCTGGGCCACACTGCAAAACTCAGACCTGCTGTCAGGCCGGAGGACGGAAGATCATCGAATGGCAACTCTGTTCGGTAGTCGCGCGACATACATCCATACAAGCATGGGGATCATGAAGGATATGCGGAGAAGACAATAGCATGGAGCAAACAACAACGACAGACAGTAGTTTACCGGTAACGGCGGAGGCTGAGGGTGTTGTGCTTTTTCCAGGTAGACCAGCCCGGAGTGTGGTTGTGCAAATGACCCTTGCCCAAGCCACGGTTCTGAAGACATGATGAGTATGTAGTCAAATGGAGCATCAATGAAAGGTGTACCTTCTTGCCGACACCGGTAAGGCCACGAGCCTCGCGACGCTTGTGCACAGGCTTCGTGATCCAGTTGATCCTGGGGTCGCGGCGGATCTGTAGTCTTCCCGTCAGCAGTAATCGAGACATAGAATGATAGCACCTACAGCCTTGTGGCTGGGGTCAACGAGAATGACCTCGTAGTACTTGTAGACACCGTCCTGGTTCACCCAGTACGAGTTGAGCACACGAAGGTTACCACACCGTCTGCCGACACGCTCCTCCGCCACGCTCCTCAAACCACGCTGGGGCTTGAGGTGGTTGACACCCTGGCGGACGGGCTTGCCGAAGGTGGCACCTGTAATGGGCCGTTTGAGTCTGGGTGTAGACCTAAACTCGAGCAAACGCACCCTTCGGGACCTGTTTCTTGCGGTTACCCCTCCTCACACGGACGCGGTAGACAACGTAGCCCTGCTTGGCCTTGTAGCCAAGGCGGCGAGCCTTGTCGGGACGGGACGGGCGCGAGGCACGGTGGATGACGTTAAGCTGGCGGTACTCCCAGCACCTGTGCAACCGCAAAGTCAAATTTACGCATTGGCTGGGTAGGTGATGTACGAACCTCACGCGGAGGAGGAATCGGAGGACATCCGACTGCTTTTTCTTGTAGAGCTCGCCAATGTACTTGTAAGCCCCCATGCTTGCGAACTGTTGGAGGAAAGGAGGTGGATCAGCGTCTCGGCGAAAGAGGTGTAGGTCCCAGTGTCATCCGGATGTCTCCCCCGCCATCCATCTCTTTCCGCCCGGATTGTCCCTTCCTGCGGCAATCCAGCAGGTTCCTCGAGACGTCCGGCACACTGGAGCAGCATAGATGCGGGCTCACCTCTTGAGTCTTGAGGTTTTGAGGAGGGGTCGGGGCTGTTGATGATTCTCAGCGGGTCGACAGGCGCGGCGCCAGTCTGCGTAGCTCACGTGGTGCAGCTTCTCAGGTTAGGGTCACAGGGCGCGACACGACGCGACGCGACGCGCTAATAGCGCCCAAGACTCTATCTGACGTTCGAGTGCCTCGCAATTCCACTATGTTTGAACATTCGTACGAGTGCTCAAAATGCAGGCGGATGCTCAGCAAAGAGAGCATCAAGATGTGCTCTGGGGTGAGCACAGTGTGCGCCGCATACCTAGCTTAAGTACTCACGAAGACCCATTGCCCAGTGCAAGACGATGGGGTACTGCTCGAAAGAGGTGCGTAGTCCTGCATGCTCTGAATATGTGCGACGCCTTCTGACAGGAGATACAGTGTCAGAGGGCGGACTGGTGCGCAAATGCCTGCGTAGTTTAAGATGTTTCTAAAACCCCTGCAGGAAAGATCATAAGCCCAACTGTCGGGGTGCACAGACTGGCGTCCCTGCGCCCTCCCGGAACCCTGTCATCAAAGTCGGTGAACGTATGGCCCAAGACCCAGATATCATGTGTCTCATCGACGGCATCCTCATCTACACGCTCGACCTGATCAACCATCCCGAGAACGCAGCGGAGTACGCCGTTGCGATTGCCGCACACATCGAGTACACGGACGTGTTCGCTGCCCGACAACGCGTGATGGCGCTGATTGCAGGACGGGAGCCCCCACCGTTGCCTAAGAAGCTTCCGAAGTTGTTCCAGATCAGCAAGACGGCACCGATTGAAAACAAGTCTGTCCCGGAAGGTTTGAACAAGAACAGGGAGGAGCAGAAGAGGCTGTTGCAGGAGAAGGGCTACATGACGGGTACCTCGGAGAAGCCTGGGTACCTCGTCCGCGCGTTCTTGGTTCCCGAAAACAATAGCGTGTCTACGTTCTACTTCACGCGGTATATCAATCAGGAAATGCTGGATGAGGCGGCGACCTGGAAGAAGTACACGGACAACGGCATGACGGAGACTGACGAGCCCGCAGACACCGAATATCTCATCAAGTATGTTCGTTCGTCATGTTTGCGGGTTTTGCTGCAGCTCATGTTAAACCTTTAGAATGTTCGACCTGAGAGCCCTTGAAGACCCTGAGATGAACAAGAAGTTGACCATCGTGCGTGTCCACCTTGACTCAGTTGCAAGACAAGAAACTGACTCGCAGTGCTCTCAGCTGGTGGCACCTGAAGAGAGGTAGAACAGATATTTGCACAACTTCGCACTTGGAGTCGGGACGTCAGTGGACACTACATATTGCTATGTATGATGCCCCAGTAAGTAGGTGCGAATCGAAGCTAGAGTGTACCTTCTTCCCAGGGGCACTAAGCCCGTTACCCGTACCGTCACTCAACTCCCAGGATCAATCTCCACGCTTTCGCACAGGCATCCACTCACACGCAGATACCACAGAAAAGATATTGTATAGTATTAGGAAAGATCGTAAAGGTCATGATATGCTCTATTGATACATGTTACAAAACTACGTTTAGATCGGGGCACTTCCCACCGTGTACACTGACAGTCCGACTCAGTCAAATTCCTTACATTCCAGCTCACGATACTCCCGCGCTTCCTCTCTCCTCCTTCGACCGCAACCGCATGAACGCCGTCCCAAGGAACAGGGCCCATGCGAAGAAAATAGCCATGGCCGACATCGCTGCAAAGATCTCGCCGCGCCGAAGGACAGCCTTAGACCGTCTAAGGTAAGGCGGCGCCGGCGGGGTACTAGGAGCGAGTGGTGCAATCACATAGCGACTCTCGCGATGCGAAGGGTGTCGCGAGTGGTCGTGCAGAAGAGGTACGCTCGCTACTTCGTCTGAAGAGGATGCGCGGCAGCATGAGGGACCACGGCTGCACTCGCGGGACGAGGACATGTTGTCGATGCGCCATACGGCACCCGCACGCTCCTTGCCCTTCGCCGTCTCCGCAGCACGCTCGTCATCCTCTTCAGCCGCGACCTCGCTTTGCACCGCGGACAACAAGGCACTCTGTCTCTGAGAGGCACTCCCCCGACGCTTGCGGTCAAGCCAAGCGAGGCCGAAGATGCTGACGAGCTGAAGCACATTGAGGAGCACGAAGGCGTTCAGGACGAGCTGGATATCCCTCCTGGTGTCGCCACCCGTGGGTCCTGTGAACTCCGCATGCTTCTTCTTAGTGAAGTCCAAAGCAACTCCGGCTAGTGTTTGGAACGCGGTCGAGCCGACCTGCTCCAACTTCGTCACCGTCGAGTGATCAGCACATGCACTGAACAAACGAGAAGCGGAGACCACTCACAGCCTTATGAGCACCGAGGGTAGTGGACACGTACTTAGCTGGCACCAGCCTGGGAACGATGACGACAAGAAGAACTGATGTCATAGTGAGTACGCATGTCATACCAACCTATCAGCGCTCACGTACGGGGAGAGAAGCCGTGACCGGACGCGAAGGCCATGATGCCAGGCATAGGCGACTTGGTCCAGCTTGGAGGCAGCGCCAGCCAGGCGTAGCACACGAGTGTAAGCATGGAGGACGCAGTCAAGAGCTGCATTACGAATCCGCGGCGCTTCACACGGTCGACGAGGAAGCCGGTCTAAGCAACATCACTCAGCGATTAGTGAGGTGAACAGAGTAGATGAGACGTACCACAGGGTACAACGCAACACTACCCGCCAACAGGTATGATCCTTTGATACTGGCATCGCGCTCGGTAAGCCCGTAACGCTTCTCGATGATGTTTCTGTATGGCGCATTAGTAAAGTTTTGTCAACCGGCGATAAGGTACTTACGCAGCGAGGTGAGTGAAAGGCGCCCATATAGCACCGCAGAGAATGTTCAATCCGATGTAACTGACGTGACCATGAGATCAGGAGGCGATCTACGATGACGAGATACTTACGCCCAGAAGACATCGCCCAACTTGGTGATATCCCGAAGGTAAACCATACGCTTTTTGGCAACCTTCTTGAGTGCCTCGGCCTCGGTGAGGCAGATCTGCGTATTCTCTGCCTCGTCACGGAGTTCAGACGCTTCGAGCTCCGTCCCCGATTCGCGGACGAGCCATTTTGATACACAGACATAGATGATGTTGACGAGGAAGGAGATGGCGGTAAGGAGGGTCGATGCGTAGAAGGGCGCATGCGGTCCGAAGTTTTCGGAGAGGGAGTATGAAGTGCGCGCCGACACGAACGACGCACCCTTGCCTGCTACGAGACCCAAAGCCAAAGAGACACCGAGGCCATGCGACTTGAAGAAGCGGACGATGATGGTCTCCTGAACGACTGCCAAAGGACTCACACCGAGGCCATACACCCACATGCCGAAGGTCATTAGACGGACGCTGTTGGTGAGGTTGCCGAAGAGTAGCAGCGCCTGGCCTACGTGCGGGGTTGGCACGCGGAGCGTGAAGGCGAATGAAGAAGAGGTGACGCACCGAGGAAGATGACACCTGTCGCGAGAATGCTCGTGGTAGTCGTACCCAGCCTACTGGCAAGCAGTCCACCGACCAGCGGGGTCCATGTGCTGTTGAGGGAAAAGGCCGAGATGAGCAGAGAGAACTCCGTGTTGTTCGTGCCCATCTCGCGTGCCAGACGCGACTTGAGAGGTCCGAGAATGTAGGAGGCACTTGGGGGAGGCGTAAGGGTCCATTCCACACCCAACAGCGATCATAACATACTAATGACTTCCTATGCTGAGGGAACATGCGCATAAAAGAGCGATGGCACGGATGATGTAGGCCCGAAGAGGCGACGGCTGGCCCTCGTTTGGTATGATGCGCACGGCGGGTTCGCCCTCGTCGTCCGACCCCAGGGTATCTTCCTCCTCCGACTCGTCTGCCCGGCGGAAGACGTCGTGTGCGTCGGAATAGCGGTGGCCGGCGTCGAGCGAGGCGGTGAGCCGCGACATGGTGTTGATGGAGGGCTGGCTGCAGAGAGGCCGGATTTATATGGAGGCCAGCGTGGTGTGAGGACGAGGAAATAATCGGGCGAGGGGAAGGTCGAGGCGGATCTAGGTGAAGGGGAAGAAATGGGGACCGGTGTGCGGTGATGCGATGGAGCGCTGGCTCCTTTTTATCAGATAAGTCGGCTGGTTTGCCGGTTTCTGTTTATCTGATAATCCGACGGCCGCCCGGATCTGGCAACATGATCTAATCTAACTCTGTTTGCGGCCCCGAGCGCCGAAACGACCAAACATCGACGTAACTCAGTTCGGATGGCTCTCTCCCTGCTGCTTTCAGCGCGCTCTCTCTCCCTGAAGGCCTCCCAATCCCTATTCGCCTACTCGACTCTGACGGCCTCTGAGGCATGGCACCTTCTCGTGTCGACACATCTGCAGCGGTCGTGCTTTATACGCCCCGCTACGTGTACTGAGGCGTGCACCCAATCCACAGATCTCCGGACACCCGCTGTGCACGTTGTGACTATCGGCGCGGTACTCTACTTCACCTGTTCCAACTCAGCAACCTTGGCAAGATACTTCTCCTGCCACCCGTCCGCGTGCTTCGACATTATGCGCTCCAGCCAGTACACCCGCCGCACGACCTTCTCCGCGTCCCTTCCGTTATAGTAGTTGTGCCCTCCTCGCGGGTGGTCCGGCCTGCGTGTCTGGTCCAACGCTTCCTTGTCCACAGTGAAGACACCGTGCTCTCGTTCGGCCGCCGGAACTTGGAACAACCGGCCGTGATAGAAGTATAGCGGCGTGCGTGCGAGATGCCTGTAACCCCAGCTGACCGGCGGGAGAGAAGGCACGCCTATTTCACCTCTGTCAGTGCGGATCGCGAGCGGCGAGAGGCTGCGCAATAGATACCATCATTCAGGCCTTTCACGGAAAGGTCCTTCACAGAAGCTTCGCCATTTGCGGCTTGGTACTGCGCGAGTAATTGCTGCCAAAACTCAGATAGTGCGGCGTCTCCGAGCCTGGGGCACCCAAAAGTAGCGACCGTCAATTTGGTCCCAGATGGGAGCGGACATTGTCCCGCAAGAACGTCGATGGCGAGCAGATAGGCCATGGCGCCTCCCATGCTATGCCCGACGATTGCCACCTCCTGGACGTCATGCTCGTCGAAGCTCTCCTTGACGCAATCGATCACTTGGTCCTTGCATCCTTCGTACATGGCGTAGAAGCCAGAATGCACGGAGCCGTTCCCAAGAGGGTGTCCTCGCTTTATTGGATATATGTCGTAGAGTACCTGCATGATATTGGTCGTGCCTCCAAAGCCGACGACCAGCTGCTTGGCCCCTGGACGATAAATCACGGCGACAGGCACGGAGGCGACGGTGCCTCGGAAAGCCAACAACAGCTTCGCAGTCCGCAATGCCTCGAACCCTTCAAAGGGGTAGTTGGGCTGCAGAAGCATCTCCAAATTGTCGAATAAGAAGTGCGTGTCAGGTATGCTGTTTGCGATGAAAGCGAATTCGCCCAATTCCGTGAGGACAACGTAGAGGGCGGCGGATGCGAGATCCTTCGTCGACAGGGTACAGGAAGACCGTGTGGCGCAAAGCCGTGAGATGAGGCGAAAGTTGTCAAACTTCTCGGAAGCATACATTTGCTTCTGGGCTAGAGTGAGCTCCTCTTCTACTGCGAAGAACGATCGAAATAGCGAGGCCATGGCTACCGGATGGCTACCCTGATTGTGGCAATCACATTGGGGTAGTACGAAGGTCGTCAGCTGCAGCAGCGAAGGCTACACGGCCTCAAATCCACCGGTACGAAATGTGTGGGCGAACCTGAAGGTCGTCCCGGCGTGGATCAGTGCGTAGCCGGTAGTTTATCTGTGCGCGTCGTGCCGTTCAAAGACGATGTCGCGCCTGCAGGCAGATCTGCAGAAATCCTGCAGGATGGGCACGTGAGCGGATGTGACATAATCGTCCCCAAATGGAGTGTGTCTCACTTGCATCAGCGGCGCAAATTAGGGTAAAATTAATCACACCCATGAGGAATTGAACTAGCAACCCTCACATCCACGCCAGCCACTCCGACCACTCCGCCATTTTGGCTTGATTGCCTAGTCAATATACTTGTCTATGATAGTCAACGACTTCCCTGGACATGGCTTACTGCGATAATATATCAATATGCACAGCGAAGTCGGGATCAAATCGAGTTTTGTCAGATATGAAAATGGTGTCAGTGCCCAGAAGTTCTTTAGAGATGGTTGAGAGACCGCGAGGACGCTCACAGCCCGCGGTCCCCAAGAGCACCTCGGACTTACAGCTCGCAAGGAGGTAGTCACCTGATATTACCGAATAAGGCAGGCGTACCGCACCTACGGTTCCATCAATGAGTTTCAGACGTGAGCACAGGTGAGCCTGCAGGCAGAACACCGTCTTCGAAATGCAGTTATTCTGATGAAGGATCACAGGCATCCTGCAGGTGTGACTACTGTCAAAGTGATGGATATCCCACCCGCAGGATGCCTGCGGGAGGATTTCTGGCAGTGTACGCGGTAGGATAACTCACCTAATGACACAGTCAATCCCACTGAATGGTTATGGCGTGCCGCGGGTATATGTATGGTCTTACATAGTCTGCAATGCAGCGCAGCCGCCTTCTGCTTCAGACAAGGGGCGCCTGATTCGGACCGGAGGCGGTGCAATTAATGATGGTCATGTCACCGTGGTTTGCGTGCGCAGTGCGCACTCCACAGGAACTTCCACCTACCGTGGCACAGCGACCGTCGTTCAGTTCAAGCAAACAACAGCTGATTGGTAAATGATTCGTCGCCTGCACTCTGGCTGGGTTCTTGATGCGACACATCTTCGAATTCGACGACAGGGACTCCTGAGCGACCGGGAAAAGAATTGTCGAAAGTGCCCTCCTCTACCGTTAGCAACTGTAGCAGTGCCCCGGCTTCCTTATGGATGGGGCACGAATTCGCTGATTCGAGATCCCAACGTCTTGGGGTGGAGGCTGAAGTGAGTGCTCTCGTATTTGCGTCTGACTGGAATACTAACAGCTGATGCTCCCATATACAGGAGCAGGTCTATTCGACTGCACCAAGGTTCACCGTGATGCATCGATGTGCATGTCTCGTCACGATGCCTAAGTACTATCGTAGCAGCTCTGACAGTGCATCTACTTCATCAGGAACCTGCCAGACTACGGCAGATTACCGTGTTGGGCGGTATTCGATTATCCGGATCCCTGTCATGCCAGGTAAGTACAGTACTTGCTATTATGATAGTAGCAGCCTAACACTGAGCGCTTATGGTTCTCACTTCACTTAGCCTTCACAGACCTTCACCTCCTTCCAAGATCCGGCGTCCGAAACTGCGTTCATTTCACTCAATACACCACGCATTCCTCGAGCCTGTCTGTTTGCTACCACTTGCTGCTGAGCTCGCCACTGTGCAATTGCTTCCGCTGGACATGCTGTTGCCTTACAGGACGCGGCGGCGGGTATTGGCTCTGCGGGGGCAAACCGCTGTTATGAAGCGACAATAACAGCAATTAGGACGCCTCGCCAGGTTGCGAAGATGGTGCGTAGTCCACATGCCGCGGCTGAGGTTCAACTTGCTGACATTTGGTGGCCGCAGCATCCTCTTCTAAAGTTCCGGGTTTGATATTCTGCATCTTCCCGAGCGCAGGAGACGTCTCATCGAAAACGTGGACTGTTCATCAATTCGCGCATGTCAATTGGGAGCTGCTCTGTGAGCTGGTATCGGCGTTGTACTTTCTGGATGTGCAAGTGCGGGGCGGCGTCCTTCATCCTGAGACCCGGACATACATCGAGGTCGGTCCTTCTACTCCGTCTTACGGCATTCTTCACACTCCGTCCCACCTGACAGGAACTCCTCAGAGTCCGGTGATGTACCAGAAGAATGAGTGCGGCCACGGCGCGGGCGTTTCAAGATGGGGGTCTTCTCCTATGCCTCGTTGCGGCAGGTGCGTTACGCGCAATCTTATGATGGCAAGAGATCCCGAGTCCATATGACATCTGGTTGGCTTCAGAAGGCGAGGATCGAAGTGAGTCTATTTACATGCCATTTCCGCTTCACTAAGCCTGGAAGCGCCTGGGCGGGCAGGCCCAATCCGCTTCTGCGAATTGGTGGCTGATGGCATCCAGGTGCATTGAATGGATTCAGCGGAAGCTTTCTTCTCGGACGCCACTTGGGCTCGGGGCGGGTCCATGGCGTTGTCTTACAAGCTAACCGCTGTATAGCGAAGAACATCTGCTCGGACCGCCGGCCGCTGTCACTGTTCATCAGGTCGTCCAAGGATTGCATGTGGCTCGAAGTATCTGCCGTGAACCCGCAGGTATTGCAAGTCTCCTCACTGGGATATAGGTCGACGATCTCTCCAGGTAAACGCGCTGAACTCATGCCCTCCACGGTCGATGTTGTGGTGTCCGACGTGCGCACAACCTGCGTCTGCCTGGCGAGCTCCGTCCGCCACTACAAATCGCTGCTCGCTGAGTGGTCTATCTTCTTGATACCGGATCGCCTTGTCTGTCGAACAACATATCGATAATGTGGTACGTAGTATCATTACCGCGATCATACACGGCGTGGTCGTGAAGAGTCGTAGCAGCAACCGATCGAACCCATGGACGATGCCTATCCTACACGAAGGTCCGTGAATCTCGCGCATACCCCGACTTCCTCATTCCCTGTCGCAGCCAGAAGAGCGTCGCGCCCAGCGTGATACAACACAATCCAAACTCTGTCCAGCCAAGGGCTTCGACCGTGACTGTCTGTCGGCACCTGAGCGCGGGCGGAGGTACACTTAGCCCCATCTTCGAGCGCAGAGCAAGGCGATCCGGGACGAACCGCGATATGGAGGCGCTTTCGGGGCAATCGCTGCTCACACGAGTGCTGTGCATCAGCCCGGCGCCAGCGCCCTATGAGCGGCAAACGTTTGGTCAGTCGTTCGGCTTGTTGGCAGCGTGGATGGCCTGCTTACCCATAAAACCGAGGTGAGGAGCAGCCAGATGACTGAGCTGGCGACGTTGGCGAGAAGATGGACGCCGCCATCGAGCGCCCAGAGGACGTATGCGCCAGCGAAGAGCACTGTCCATGCAGCCATGAAGCACACTAGGATCAATCTGTTCGGGGCTACGTTCAGCTTTCAGCACCGAGACCGCGGCGAAGTCGCAATACACACAGGGAATAATACCCCGGGCTAGCCCAGGCATACGTCTGGCCCCCAGCGCTGATGAGGAATGCGGTAAGGCCGAGTTCCGTCATCGCCGTGAGCGTCATCAAGGTGAATAAATAGGGATGGGAGGAGCCTCGAGGTAGGACGCGGCGCCGTCGCAGCTTTGTAGCGCTTGGCGGTGGGTACAGTGGTGGGATCGTAGACATGTTTGACGAGTCCTGGACGATGGCTGCTGCGATGGAGAGGGGAGGGAGGGGTTGTATACTGCGAGCGCACGCATGCTAGGTGCGATAGGCATGTTGGACGACATGCGGCGACCACGCGCCTTGGAGGCGGCGGCGGCGGCGAGGAGGCACGTCATCGGCGTTATCGAATATGCCTCATCTTGTTCCCGTTACTCGGGGGTGTAGCGATCTCAATACCTGGCAAGAGCCTTGCTATCATGCTGAAGGATGTAGATGGGCGTGTATATCATTGGGCCGGAGCCCGCTGTTGCTGGACAGGCCGAACTGCGCATCGGCGAGCGTGCCCGTTGTAATTGTCCACGTATGGCAACAATACTGTGCAATACCATGCTGCATGCCCTAGCTGGAAGTGTTGTCTGTGACGCAGCGAACGAACAAGCAGAGTGCGCGACGGTTTCCTTTTTGGCAGACGTCGGACATGATCGGGCAGCGGGCGTCACCTGATTTGGGTGATGCCGGCTAACCAAGAATGAGCCGAAGATTACAGCGGCAGCGAAGGCATCGCCCAGTCCCAACCACCGTCCGACCGTCGACGTCGTCCTCCCATCCCTCCTCGTCGCCGCTGGCAGCGCCCACGCTCTCTCCGCCGTCCTCTCCGCCGGCAGCCCGCTCTCCGTCGCCCCTCCCGTGATGAACGCCCTTCTGTCCCCGTGATGACCGCGAAAAACCGCCAGATCGACCTTCCGCCTATTCCGTCACTCCCTCCCATCCAGATGCCCGACGCGTCCCAGTTCTCAGCCTCCGCGCATCCCTCTTCCCGCACAAATCCCCAAGCGTCGCGTCGCCACATCTCCTCTCCTCACGTTTCTCAGGACACGTTCATGACTGCCCAGACGTCTCGAGATTCTCCCGCTACTCCTCCCGCTGCCGACGAGGATTACTACGGTGCCCCATCTCCGACGTTTTCTCAGTCTTCGTCTCTTCGCAAGTCCATCTCAGTCGACTCATTCGTCAAGGCCAGGCAACAAGGGATATCCCAGTTGACGCGAACTGCGCGTGGTAACACATTGTCTTCGAACCTCGCGCCGCCCCAAGAGATCCGACAGCGCGTGCATACCCAGTCGGCCTCCGTGTCAGCGGAATCTGCAGCCAGCTCGTCCCGCGTGCCTCTGCGCGAACGCGAGAAGCCAGCCGTCCCTCCGCTCCCAACCCCTTCGCGAAGTCGCGGGACCAGCGTGAGTACTAATGCTGATGATCGCGAAGGTCCAAAATTCTTCGATGAGTCCGACCTCGAGCGCTCTGAGGATTTGTCGCGACGGACCCGGAAAAGTAAGACTATGTCCCGTCAACTCATGCCACCACCGGGCGAACTTGGTCTCCCTTCGCGTCTGCAGAGCGTGAACTCATCTCCCAGCATCAGCGCATCCCACCCCCCAGCGCCTATCATGCCAGTACGAAGCAGCAGTCTGAGCCACCAATTGGCCAGACAGCAACAGACCATGTCCGTTGATACCCATATACCCTCGGTGTGTCTGTTGGCAGTCTCGGAGTGCTGTATTGGCTAACAAGCTACTCAGCACCGTCCACAGATAACTATTGCGGTTATGGGAGCTGCAGGCTGTGGCAAGTCGACTGTGATACAGAAAGGCCTCAAGGTATATGGCTTATCTGAGCCCGTCGTCGCTACCATAGCGCCCGACATGAGCGATAACGATGACCGGCCTGTCACTTGTGCGTTCAATTATCAGATCTGTCATTCAGTGTCATTCAGATTACTTTTCCCTAGGCCTCGAGCGAACAGGGCGACTCAGCTTCACCTCAAACAGCCAGGAGTATGTGCTGAGAGTAATCGAAGTGGATACATCGAGGCTAGACTTAAACAACACCGGATGTGAGGATTGGGAGAAGCCTTCGCTCAAGGGTGTCGTAGTATGCTACGACAGCAGCCGTGAGGATACATTTAGGCACACCGTGACAGGCCTACGTGAGTTTTGACCTCTTGAAATCTGCATCGTATCTCATATGCAACTAGGTGAATTCGCGCAGCTGAAAATCCCGGTCATCGTACTGGCTTGCAAATCTGAGATGGAGAAACGGATCGATCCAGCATACGCTACCAGAGTCCTGGAAGAGTTTGATGTCGGCCTGGTGGAAGTATCCGTCGTGAACAGCGTTGGGAAGGAGCGGATTCGGGGTGCATTCGAGTGGTTGTTGCGCGCTATTTATCACGAACTGCGTAAGTTGTCGAACCGCTGGACATACCGCACAAGCCTCAGTGATGCACTTCGACAGAGGCAGAAATACCTGGATCCGCGCGGAGCGAGCGCGATGGGTACCGCAACCCTGCATCGCCTTCCGTCCTCGGTGCTCTCACAGCTTCCGAGATCTCTAGAGCGTCTTCCGCCACACCAACAGCTGCCTCTGTTGGCGCCACCCATCTTGTTGCCTCATATCCACAGACACAGCCATATTTATCGCAATCTATGACGCAGACAGAAACACCTCCGCAATCGCAACCACCTTCTCACATGGGCACCCCTCTACCATCTCACGCCTTCCGCCTTCCGTCTCCCTCCGGCCCTCCTCCTTCACGAACGCCTACGACGCCCACGTCTCCCTCACGCGCACGTTCTACCAGCGACTTGCTTTCGGAACACGAGAAGTCTAAACGAGAAGAACGAGAACAGTATTCCGCGGGGCGGATTGTGGCGCACGGTTCGCCGAACGTACGGAACAGAGGTTCTCTGAATGCTCTGTCGACCGTCGGTGGCTCTGGTGAAGGCGGCAATACCGCTGACGATTCCCATGACGCGTCAAGGGATGTCTCTGTCAAGGAATCGTAAGTCATTTCAGCCATGTTCATGGCTCATAAATCCTGATAGGCGGCTACGTTGAATTAGGCGGGCACCCCCGTGGATGGTGTTGGATGAGCTTCTGGACAAGCTCTTATTCATGGCAGTCAGTGACGATGGTAAGACGATGTCGCATTGATCACCACAGTGACTCATGAGCGTCGCAGATCCATTGTTTGTTTCGCACTTCCTTCTAACGTACCGACGATTTGCAAGCCCTCGCAGTGTGCTCCTGGCCATGCAGAAACGGATGCGGGCCCTAGACCAGCCCACTGGTGATCCTATGTTTGCATGCTATGCCCAATTGAGGTTCGTCGGGCGTTCGTAGCGATATGCTGTATACTGATGAAACGCACCGCAGAATTTGTTTGTTGCTAGACAGGTGGATCACAACATACCCAACAGACTTCGCGGTTTCCGGAGCTGCTGGGGCTCTTCGGGCTCTCATCAAGTTCACCCTGACGAAGACATATCTCCTCCACTATGGCGCGGTTTTCCTCCCGTTCCTCGAGAGTACTCCGACTTTACAGGACCGAGACGCGTCGTGGGCACTCAAAGTGGAGGAGGATAGCGACGAGTCATCGCTATTGTCTGAGGAGGCCGAACCAGCGGTTGCCGGCTCGGATTCAAAGAGTCTGCCGGAATTGCCCACACGCGTGGCTCGACGGCACGGTAGTCAAGCTGTGCCTAGCCAGACCGTGGCAGCACGAGACCGTAAGTCTAGTCTGCCGTTGGCAGTCACAGCGAAGGCGCTGGGTCTGGGGTCATCAACACCGAGCACCAGCAACCACGAGGGTGCCTCGGATACGCCGAAGCAGCTGCTGAAGAAGCTACAGAGCATGAGTGACGAGGTTCTCAAAGCCGACTTCACTCAAATCGCGGAGTCCATCACGAGGGTAGAGGCGCGATACTTTTTGGCAATTGAGGTTAGTCAACTGATGGACACATCTCCGGGTTTTTGCTGATCTCGTGCTCTGAAGCCGCGGCATTGGTTGCAACATGTCTTGACCCCAGGCAAGAAGGATCCAGAGAAGGACCCTATTGCCAAGTACAACCAAATTTCGAATCGGCTTGCTGACTGGTAAGCGAGCTGCTGCGCAAACGGTTCGAAGTGGCGTTGTCCTCACGCATTACTCTCAGGGTTGTCTCACTGATCTTGTGCCACGACAAGCCGAAGAAGCGCGCCACGCAGATCGAGAAGTTCGTCCAAGTCGCGGAGGTCCTCCGTGTGCAGCACAACTACTCTGCCTTGCGTGCCTTCGTCGCTGGTATTAATAGCGCAACTTTCGAGGGTGATATCTCCTTGGAAGTTTTCCAGGCCAGAACGCCGGACCAGTGGAAGAAGTTCCAGTCCTATGATCACCTTCTGCAGTCCGTGCGCTCCCATCAGAAGTACCGGATGGCACTGCGGAATTCAAAAGGCGCATGCATTCCTGCACTGTGAGTAAAATTGGCGACGTTCCGCTATCGTGACTGACGACGCACTTAGAGAGATCCACCTGTCCGACTTGATCCGTGCTGACGAAGGCAACCCCGACTATCAAGACGATGATCCCACCAAGATACATTGGGCCAAGTTCAACATGATGGCGCGGTTTGTCGACGTCATCACCCAATGTCAGGAGGGTTGCCGTGCGTCAGAGCAATTCCGCGATGTTGAGAAGCTCAAGACGCAGGAACCATGGTATCTGCGATTTGAGAGCGATGCCGTGCTCATGGGCATAGAGGTTTGTCTGCAACGCTCTTCAAGTATGCGTATAGTTGACCGCTATTTATATTACAGATGCAACGTTCACGGATAGCACCACCTGACGCGGACGGGTACGACGAATTCGGTCAGCCACATCAGTCCAAGGATGCAGCCGTCATTCGCAAGATCTTCTTCTGGTGATTTGCTTTGTTGTTGCTCGCATACCATCACGACTCTACTACCCGCCAGTCCCTGATTGCTCTGCTCGCACATTATATATATTGTACTTACGTGGATCTGTACTCACAACTGTTGGAAGATGCTATGTTCCTACGTACATAGTGTTCTCATTGCCATTGACTTCTGTGCTGATGATCTGTATTGTGCTGGTCTTTAAAGTCGAAGCTTTCCCTATGCATGACTTGTGCGCCCGAACTTAACCTTGGACACGGAGGATAAATGCTCGCGAGCAGCTGTGTCTCTGTTGAACGTATGTTGACTGAGACTCACTGAATGGGGACAGCGCACTTCTTTCGATCTATCCGCGCGAAACGACCCATAGTTTGATTCGTTGCGCACTCCAGTTTCCAGCAATTAGGCAGCTGAAAACACATCTGTCTGCTATGTACATAAGTTGAAGAAGTCGTGCCAGTCACAGGTTCGTCCAAAACTCGTCCGCTTCGAGTGGCCAACTGAGACAGTCCGAAAATGCCATTCGCGCTCTGTATCTGATTTGCGATCACGCTGGCCAGAAATCCTACGTCGGTCGTTACAGAACAAAGACAGTCGTCGGCATATGCTATGTGTCACTCAGGTTTGTACACGAACTGCCACATTGCCAAAAGCGCAACGCTGGAGTCGACAACACTGACGATCACCGATTCACCCAGCCCGATCCACTGTGATCGCTCGATTGATCCGTCTGCACGTGGATGTGACATTGAAATCTCAGATCCATGAAAATTCATGCGCACGCAGCAGCCGGCGCTTACTCTGGTCGCACTTCTTGCACCTCTCTACCTCGATTGTCTACGAAGGAGCGCCATGACTCTCAAAGACGATTATGTGATGACCATTGACTCCGACACGGAGGATGCCCCCCTACCATCGTCAAGCAAGACAGCGAAGTCGGCGCCGACCGGGGAAGATGCTCAACTCAATCCCGACTTCGTATTTGATCTCACTGGGGATCCCTACGATGAATTTGTGAACGGCTCCGTGGATGTCGATGACCTTGTTAAGAGTGGCTCTAAGCCTGTATGTATACAACATATCTCGTCGTAGCGCGTCTGTTCACGTTGAACACAGAGGCCTATTTCAGTCGACGATATAATAGAGCGACGCAAGCTAAAGAAGTCGCAGACAACAAAGAGGAAGCGGGATGCCCTTCCGGAGGACGAGGAGGAAGATGATACATCAATAAGCGAGGGCGACTCGGGAGGAAGCGACGGAGAAAGCGGGGAGGAGGAGAATGAATTCGCTGGGTTAGAGGGCAGTGAAGACGAAGAAGATCCATTGGCAACATCGGACGAGGATGGCGAATCTGGCATTGAGGACGGGGAGAATGACGAGGAAGACGATGACGTCTCGTTGTCATCGAACAGCGACTCTGATGAAGAGACTCAAGCAGAGAAGGAACGGAAGGCAGCTTTCTTTGCTCCAGACAGCGAAAAGGTTGCCACGGACGAGCACTCGTCTTTCCTCTCGATGAATCTCTCCCGTCCTATCATTAAGTCCATTACTGCGCTCGGTTTCCATAAACCAACGCCTATTCAAGCTGCTACTATTCCAGTCGCTCTGCTAGGGAAGGACGTCGTCGGCAACGCCGTCACTGGGTCCGGAAAGACAGCGGCGTTCATCATCCCAATGCTTGAGCGACTCATGTATCGAGACCGCGGAAAGAACGCGGCTGCAACGAGATGTCTCGTCCTTGTACCGACGCGCGAACTTGGAGTGCAGTGTCTTGAGGTTGGCAGAAAGTTAGCGGCTCATACCGACATTCGTTTCAGCCTGATCGTCGGTGCGTCTTAGTCGTCTTTGTCGATCGTCTGTGCATGCTGACTTTTGTATACAGGTGGGCTCTCTCTCAAAACTCAAGAAGCTGAATTGCGGACGAGACCCGATGTCGTCATCGCTACACCTGGCCGTCTCATCGACCACTTGCGCAACTCGCCAACATTCACGCTCGATGCGCTGGACATCCTGGTGCTCGACGAAGCTGATAGAATGCTTTCGGACGGATTCGCAGACGAGCTCACGGAAATCATCAAGTCTTGCGCGACCTCACGGCAGACCATGCTGTTTTCGGCGACAATGACAGACTCCGTGGATGAACTCGTCCGCATGTCGCTGAACAAGCCTGTCCGTCTATTCGTCGATCCGAAGCGCAGTACGGCGCGTGGCTTGGTACAGGAGTTCGTCCGTGTGCGTGCCGGCAAGGAAGCAGAGCGGTCAGCGCTGCTTGTTGCTTTGTGCAAGCGCACGTTCAAGTCTAGGACCATCATATTCCTCCGGAGCAAGAAGCTGGCGCATCAGATGCGCATTGTGTTTAGCCTGCTCGACATGAAGTCCGAAGAGTTGCACGGCGACCTCAGCCAAGAACAGGTAAAGTGCATTGTTGCTCGGCATGCGAGCATTGCTGACACTGCCCCCAGCGTCTCAGGGCGCTGCAACAATTTAGAGACGGAGCGGTGGACTATCTGATGGCTACCGACTTAGCCTCGCGAGGTCTAGATATCAAGGGTACCGAGACTATCATCAATTACGATATGCCATCACAGCTGGCCCAGTACCTTCATCGTGTTGGACGTACAGCCCGAGCTGGAAGGAAGGGGAGGTAAGTTGAGCCCAATCTAGCAATTGTGATTACTGCTGACCGAGCTGATTCTAGGTCGGTCACATTGGTCGGGGAGTCTGATCGCAAGTTGCTGAAGGCGGCCATCAAGCATGCCGGGGCCGAAGACTCCGTCCGACATCGACAGGTACCCGCCGAAGCCATCTCCAAATGGGCGGCGAAGCTCGATGCTCTCAAGAAGGAAATCGCGGAGATCCTCTCGGAGGAGAAGGAGGAGAAGCAGGTCTGTGTGTCGTTGAAGTCGATGATCCGGATCAGGCTGACTCCGTGTAGCTTCGCCAAGCCGAAATGGAACTCAAAAAGGGACAGAACATGATCGAGCACGAAGAGGAGATTTACTCGAGACCGGCTAGGACATGGTTCCAGTCGGGCAAAGACAAATCGAAGGCACAAGGTCGGTGACATATTCTGACCGGCGGGCGCATGATACTGACAGGTCATTCACAGCCTTGAGTAAGGAACAGTACGAGACTGGTACTTCTGGTACTTCTGGTGCCCCAAAAAAGGGAAAAGAAAAGAAAACAGCTGATGACAAGGTACGTAAAGAGCTTTAGCTCCAGTGCGCCCGCTGATCATTATCGCCATCGCCTGACAGCCCAAGCGAGACAAGTATGCAGGTCTCTCCCGACGTGACAAGCGTCGCAAGATGGCAATGGAGGAAGACGATGCCGGCGGTGAGAGCGGCGCCATCCGTGCTGCGGTGCGCTCCGCAAAGAAGGCAGCCCAGCCCGCAAAGATCGGGGAGCCCGAGCGGCGGCCGGCGGCGATCAGCAAGAAGAGGGAGAAAAATAAGGAGCGGAAATTAAGGGGAAGGCGGCCGCGCGCATTGGTGGTGCCTTCGACAAGGACTTAGGGCAGAGAAGGGCGAAGGAAGGCGTCAGGGCGAAGAAAGGGGACGTTATTGGTGGGATGGGGAAGAAGAAAGGAGGCAAGAGGAAAGCCAAGTAGATACCGGATCAGCTTTGGGTTGTCCCTGCATGCACTTACGATGGAGTCCGTTCATTGGGGGTAGGTTGATCGCCCATACGTGCGGACAAACGCTCGCTGTCGATGCGTTCGCGGATGCAATTCTCGGTGTGCCGCCTCCATCGTGACATCTGGCTGTGACTTGGAGTGACGAATTGACGTGACGCGACGCGTCTCGGTGGCGCTCGTTTGGGGACCGCCGCCGCTCGCGAGTCGCGACCAACCGTCGCCCACCACGGCGAGTGGCCTGTAACGACACTCGACGCCCTGTATCTCTAACAATGCTCTCCTGCTGATTCATTTGAACTAACTGTAGTCTCTACCATTCTGCAAGCCGTTATATCCTTCCAGACACCTTTGTATCCCTAGTCCGCCATCGAAATGCAGGCCAACCCTTTCCTGTCTATCGCCGTGGTCCAGCTCCCTTCGCATGCGCGTATACTGCCATCATCATGGTGTCCAGACAAAGATCTTTTAGTAGTGGTGACGCAGCCTCGTGGCAAGGACAGGTTGAGCCTCTACAAAATGCAAGGCACGAAGGTGTGGGAGGTAGATCTTGACAGCGATGGTACTGCGAGCAGCGAGGAAGTGGTTGACATCGCATGGAGTCCAGACTGTGAGTAAGCCTGCTAGATCTCTGCGGGCATACTGGCCAATACATAGGCTATCGCAGGTCAGACGGTCGCAGTTGCCCACAAGCCTCCTCGAGTGACTTTACATTCAATACAGGACGGACACCAGGAACGTTCGATACCTATCTCGTTGGAGCTATCTGCGGTCGGGACAACTAAAGCTTCTAACCTCTCCGGGATATGGTGGTTCATGCAAGAGAAGAAGGAAAGTCAAAGCGACATTCCTGACATCTTCAAGAGGGGCTTCGACATTGTCAGTACCGCCGTACTTGCCGCTGTCGGTTCTATCTGAGGCGGCGCAGACAGGTTCCGCGCACTCCATATTGAGAGGCCAGCCACTGCTCGACCCTTTACTCGACGACTCACAACCACTCACGTAGGTACTGTTACCGAGTCGAAGAACACAATGTCACTCACGGTTCATCAGTGCCACAGACCTGTTTGCTTTCAAGCAAAAGCCGGCGCGCGGCGTCGGGTCGACTCAACCGCCAGTTATCTCGTCCTGGCCAACATTACCTGCCGACCTACTCGCAGCCTCAATACAGTCGGCTAAACTCGGGGGCCAGCGTCCGCGGCCCGGCGAGGACCTTGACGAAGTAGATCTAACGAACATGGACAGTGTCTTGGCGGTCTCTGACGACGCCGGGAACTTACACTGCTTCCTGGACGGAAGCTACCCACTGGGAATTGTCGCGGTTGGGCCAGACATCGTCTCGATGTCCCTGTCCAAGGACAATGATCTATTCTTCGCACATCCGCAATTCACCGAGCCGAAGGTTACCGCACTACGGCCGTTCATCATACAGCTTCCCCACCTGCAGCGGAGGGCACTGCGAGACGTCGCCAGAGTGTCATCATCCGTTCGCGAGCTAGTCTGGTACACCATGCGAGTGGTGAAAGACATGCGCGCGGCGTGGTTCGGTGGAGAGAATCAGAGTGGGGCGCGTGAGCTTGGGCCCAAATGGATTCGGGCGCTAGAGGCACGAATGAAGGAAGAGTTCGGCCGTGGGTGCATTCCAAATTGCGGTGCCTTCGTCGGACTAACTTTGCGGATGCACCAGAGGAAGAGCCATATGCTATGCTGGATTTGACCAACCTTCTCGCTACTGGTCGGGCGACGGAAGCTCTGGCCGATTACCTGGGTAGTGGTGAACAAATGAGTGAAAGAGTACCGTTACTTTCAAGGTTGTCGGCATTGCTCTCGCCCTGACATTGCACCGGCAGGGTATGCAAAAATGGGAACAGTCAATGATCGAATCACTGGTCATGCTGCGCGACTACTCTGAGAAGCGAGTGGCACCTGCGTGCCAACGGCTACATTTACTTTTGGAGGAGGCCTACGGCTGGTCGCTTCTGTGAGTGCCTTCTTTCCCGAGACAGAACAGCGCATGACCCCTCCCAGCCCACAGTACCAACTATGCGGGATAAGCACGGCGCAAGTGAACGCCTGCATGGATCTAGCAGGCCGGGCTGTGCTCCTGGCCGGATGGCTCGCTGCCACCGCGCGTAGAGAATTAGTCCGCTTCACAGAATTCATGTTCTGGCTTCGACACGGTGTGTAATGCGTTCAGCCAAGGCCGACGAGAAATTGATGTGCTTGCAGAGACGACTCGCCTAAACACGGCGGGTGATAGTCACAGTCATCCACCCGCTCCGAGGCACGACATCCTAGAGGTGAACGACTACCTGATGTCTGGCCTAGTGGTCAGTCCGATCGACCGATGGTTCATGGGCCCGGTGCCCCAATTCTCTCCGCACGACCTGGGTGTTCCAGGCGATTGGTCGGATTTGAAGTCCACCGCGCTGAGAGCGCGAAGAGTGCTCCGGGAACCTCGACTATCCGCCTGGCAATATGTGAGTGCTTGCCAACCGACGTCGTGGCCCGATGCTCACGCCGCTGGCGCATGTCCGAACAGAACATCAAACAAAGGGACCTGTCGCACTTGGACCGGAATTTGGATTCATTGGTCCAGGAGTTGGCAGCACGCTCTCATCGGATATTCCTCGAAGCCGCCAATGCTACTGCGCGCTCGGCAGTGCTGCTCTCGAGCGCGAGCCCCGCCCAATTGCAGGACACGACGTTGCTGCATGCTGTGGAATCAAATCCACCAGTGCTGATACGGGAGCGGACCGTGTTAAAGCCGGGCCAGGTAAGAGCTGAAACGTTTCCTGCGTTGTCACAGGCTAAGCGACGCTGCAGGCCGCCAAATACACGCAGTTCACGTTGATACAGCTGCCCCGGGTTGCAGATCTGAATCGCTCCTACGGTAGGTCCAGTGTCTTCTCGATAAGAGATCGAGCTCATCTCGGTTGTATCGGGCGGGCTGTAGTATGCATTGCTCGGTTACATCACGGAACCGAAGGCATGCTGCGTCCACTGAAGGTGGAGGTCGCCGTCATGGAGTGCTGTATCCCAATCAACGACGCAAGCGAGACGAAGATACCCTTCGACCTGCTGGACGCGGAGTTTTTCGACGACAGCGTCTTCATTATCGTGTACCGTGAAGCCGGTGAGTCCGCTCGAGCCCAACGCCCACGAAGTTTCGGTGTGGTCGCAACTCATGATTGCACCCAGGTTTCGCTTCCATTGCGACGGTCGGTTACGGAGATTTGGTTTACACGGCGATTGAATTGGAGAGCTACCTGACCGATTTTGCGCGAGAGTCTCTGGCGCTGGAGGTGCTCAACCGATTGGAACGCGAGCAGGTATGTGCGATGTCCGCACACTCCGACGCGGGCGGGTGGGCTCACTGTGTCTGTGACTTTTCATTCTAGCTAAGTTCAGAGGCCGCGCCACTGATTCAGACGCGCCGCCTGGCCGGGTGCAGAGAGGGCAAGGTGACGCTGGCGGTGAACGGGCGGACTGGGCGCCGAGTGGCGTGCGTGCTGGACGGCGCTGGCCCGGCGGTGGAGATCCTGGACATCGAAGGGGAGGAGGAGGATACGGAGGTGGAGGAGATGTCGACTGTGGAGACTGAGACGGGCGCAGAAGGGTGATGCGGGGCACGATGGGGATGCATGTAGATAGGCGGCGGGGGCAGAATAGAGTGATGGACTGGGATATGCCCTGAGGCACCGCGCACGGCGGGGAACAGAGGTGGATGGACGAAAGCGGCAGGCGCAGGACGCGTGGGGCGCACGGGGCTGCCGGGGGTGGGCGAGCCGGGGGGTGGGCCCGTCCTGCGGATTCGGGCGTCGGCACCCGGCCCTGTTTCGAAAAATGCGGTTTAGGCTCGCTGATGGGAAGAGGATGAAGAAAGATCAGCTATGGAAATTGGCGTGACTTTCCGCGGAAAATAGAACGCGTTACCGGGACGAGGACGAGCGAGGACCCTTTCCGCGTGTCCTCCGCCGCCAGTCGGCCATGTCATTTTATATCCCGCTCTGACTCAACCGTTGGTCAATCATCACGCTCCTGATGCCCCCGAGTCCTTCTCCTCCAAACAGGGCCAGCCCCGACGACCACGTCTCTCGCGTCTCCGAGGCTGCCCTCAGGAAGAAGAAGAACGCAGACGCACAGGCCGCCTTTCGTGCCCGCCGCGCAAACTACATCGCCACCCTTGAGCAGACAGGTTCGGCCGTGCTCGTTCTGTCCCGCCCACATGCGTATTCATCGCTCTTCCTTGACCCCTAGTCACCAATCTCGAGACCGTCGTCCTCCAGCTCCAGGACTCGTGCAAGGACGCAAAGTCCCAGAATGACGCCCTCCAGCGGGAGGTAGAGCGGTGGAAGCAGGCCACTCGACAGGCAGAGCGGACGGCGAGGAAGCTGTGGCAGGCGCAGCAGAGGAGCAGCGGGATGATCGCGAACGGCCAGTCGCACGAATACAGCTCTCTCCACCAGCCATCGGCCGTCGGCGCGCCGTCCATGTCTACCGGGCTCATCGCGCACTACGGCGACAACACCATGCGATACGCGTCGGGTGGCGATCAGTCGGTGTCGCTCGGAGGGGCCTTCCAGCATGCCGGGATGGCGCAGGACGTGCAGCAACGCTCGCCGACGGCCTACGCGAACGCCGTCGCCGCCGATGATGGCCGTTCTCAACATATGGATTCCCAGCGGATGCATCGATACGACCAATACTATGCCATGTCCAACGGGGCCGGCCACGACGGGACGTGGGCGCACAACGGCGGGCAGGCGAGCGTGTCGCCGAGTGACGTCTTGGACAGCGGAAGCTCTTCACATTCACCCAGCTACGTCGAATCGCCCACGCTCACATCTCCAGAGCTGGGGTACCCGCAATACAGCATGGACGAGAAGACCGACATCCTCGACTCGCCCTCCTACGTCTTCAACGCCGACAGCCGATCGATCTCTCCCGCCGTCTCGACCCCCACGTCCTCCTCATCTGCCTCATCCGTCGCCACTACGCCCTTTCAGTTCACATTTCAGAGCGAACCGATGATGCAGGATCGCTCCGAATTCGGCTATCGTCGCGCAGGCCCTGGTCCCCAGCTGACGCTGCATGGTGGAACAGCCGACATTACCGTGGCACCTCCGCGGCGTGATGGTTCGCGATACGGAGTGGCACCTCGCCTCACGAACCCTCTCACCGACCGCCCTATCACACAGGCCCTCGCAGCCTATTCACGCTCAGAAAACGGATCAGGAGGCAGAGACCGCGACAGCGACAACGAATCGACGTCATACGGCTACTCCAGATCACGCCAACGAAGCGAAGCCCCCTCCGCCGCGGGCTCGCGCTCGCCCTCTCCCGTGCCCCCCATATGCGGCACCCTCGCCGTCATCAAGGCGCAGGCGTTCGGTGCGCTGCGGCGGACGCGCACCAAGGGCAAGAGGACCACCGAGTCCGCCGCGAGGGCCGCCGTCGAGGCCCTTGAGGCCCGCGGCATTGAGATGGGCATCACCGTCGGCTCGAAGCGACCCCGCCTGCACGACGACGGCGATGCACAGCTATGACCCACAGCCTAGATTCTATGTGATATCCCAACTAACATCTGTACGAATATCCATCCGCTCTTGGGACTCTGTAGATACGTCGCTCTCGACAGTGCTTTACTTATTGGCTATCGTGTTGCACGTCTCTCTCCCTGTAGAATAGCTGTTCATTCTGTAATATACGACAGTCAAATCAATCCGGATGGTGTGTAGCCCTGTATCGACCAAAGCCAAATCGAGATGGCCACTTTCAGGGACGGCAGGTCTTAATATCACCGATCGCGGACTGGGAGTAACTGGAGTTGTTGATCATATCGCTGCATACACATGAGCACACACCATCGCCCTGATCGAGAACGAGTGGAGGGCGCGGAAGCAACTGCGGCTCATCATACAAGCCGGCGGCAACATCCCAGTACGAGCACTTGGATGAACAATTTTGATCTATGAAACCGGGCTGCAGTAGAGCCCACAAAAGAATCTCGAGTGCCTCCACAGTGCATTTGCATAAGTACCATGTATGCCTCCTGACAAGAGCGCCTGACTTGCTTCGTGCCGACAAATGGCTCGACACTCTGACGGTATGGGCGTCCACACGCACACGGCACGATTGCATTGGCACGCAACACATGGCCTAAGGAACCACAGTTGCCGAAATATGCTGTCACTGCGGTGCGACATTTTCGGATGCCATGAGAAAGAATCGGGGCCGACCATGAGCTCGCTGGCTTCGCCGCAACGGAGAGACGTACGTCGCGCACGCCGCGCACAACGATGCAGGGGTTACGCTCAGCGTGCACCTTCCCTGGGGAGCGAACTGCAGACAAAAACAGGATGCCTTGTATTGGACCACTCTTCCATCATTTGGTAGCCATGCCTTCGTCCGTCGGCTATGATGACAGCGCTCCGAAGCTCCGACAATGGACTCGGACACCACGAGTCGCATGGCTCTACATGGGCTTCTCAGTTCTATTAACCCTGGGCACTGCCGGATCCCAAGTTCCCCTGATCTCGCTAGAAGCCGGATGAGTTCACGCACGCCTAACGCTTCCGCATGATCGACACGTACTTCTTGTATTTTTGTGCCCACACGAGGACGCCAGGTGCCACAAAGGTGACGGACACGAAGGCCGTCATGGCTGCTCCGGTAGCCGTGCGTGACAGAGATTCCGCGGATAGAAGGGACGACAGGCACAGTGCGATCGTGACAGCCGTCTGAACGATGGGTGGCCCGGCCTGGAGCGTGGGTGTTAGCCGGGATGACTTTGACAAGGCTGGGAACATCACCTGGAGGCGGCGACGGAGCATCGGGAATAATGCAAACAGCTGCACGGACACCAACATCAGGCCGAACACCGAGAGATCACTTGGCAGTCGAGATGCCAGGACCACCGACGATGATATCGCCGCATTCATCGACAAGACGGATGTCAGCCTGCGAACAGCAGCCACAAGTCGTGAGGATAAGGGCACCACATATGAAATGGTGGTTTGCCTGACCTTTCGCGGAGATGCATGTCCAGCGGCATGGCAGTGTAATCTGCCAGAAGCGCGTTGAGAACGAACAGGGAGGCCGATAAGGCCCAGATGGAGTCCGACGAAGTCGCCGCTGTCAGCGTCCGTAATACCGGCGACACAGACATGAGGGCCAAGAATACTAATATCGAAGACTTCACAATCTTCGCACCTGCAGGAGACCATGAGCCAGGCGTCAGCAGAGTAAGTGTTCTACTCACGACTTGTGTTAGCAGATGCCCCGCGCAGTGCGCGTCCGCTACTGCAGCAGTCGAGGAGCTCCCACACGGACCAGCCTGCTAGGAATGTGGCTACCGACGCCCAGACAAGAGCCCGAGGGTCCAACCGACGGTCGTTCAGCTGAACGAAGATGGCAACGAAGATTACAATGGTTGCGAGGTGCTGCGAGATGGCGAAGGAGGACCGCACTAAATACCAGTACGTATATGGCCTGAAATTCGCTATACGGCACACGACCACGTCAAACTAGCTACAGCAACGATAGACACAAAATCACGAACCATTCCTGCTTAAGGATGACAGAAATGTCTCTGGGACATAGTTATCTGGGTATGTTTTCTTCTTCCACAGGACTCGCTCCCATTCGTCCTCCCAAGCGGTTTCGGTCATGCATGTGGCCGAAGCGCGGTGGACGGCACCAAGAACAGCAGTGGTAGACCCAGTTCGCAGCCTACACGCTCAACCGCAGTGACGACAATTCCAGACGGAGTTATAGACTAGTGACCTGGGACCCGCCAGTGAGCATGGTCGGTGGTGGATGCCACCGAAACGTCGCGTTATATTAGACGCCCATGTCTGCCCGCACCATACCGCATCAAGTCATGTGAGCTTGACCTGAGTGTACTTGAGTGCTTCAGAATATATTCCTCACACAATATCAATGCCGGTGCTCTATGAAACAGAAAAGGTAAGACACAAAGAGCTCGTAAAAGATCAATGTTGAGCTAGCGGCTGCGGGAATGTTTATCGCGTGTACCGTACAGGCCGCAATTCCAATGCACCAAAGGTGTGGTTGCCCTCAGAAGCCAACTACTTACTTGACTGGAAGCTCTGGGCTGCATCGCCGCCAGTGCAGAAGCAACACAGCGACAGCTTAGTGTGCACCATCCGAACCTACATGTGACAGCAGCTCGCAGAAGACGGATGAGGGCGGTGAGAATTTGGTATGGAGTATCCCTAGCCTTGGTAAGTCGATGCCGTTAGTCTACCCCTTGCATCAGCTAGCAGGCCGCACACGCGCTGCCCGCGGACAATACGAGGACCCTGTTATCGGTAGCAGAAGATCCTCGAGGCAGCCTGTATGCCAAATCTGACGAATCGAGACATGCGTTTATTGGCCCCTTCACGAAGTTTAACTTGAAATGCGCGTAGGTGGAACCATTCCTCCTGCGGTGGTCGGCAGTGGACGGGCGCGGCATGGTTTGTAGCCACCGGAATGCAGTTTCCTGCGGATCATATTGAGACTGAGTGATGGTGCAACTGGACACTCTGACGCAGACGGGTAGGATACTTCCATGAGCCACCGTGGTGCATGCTGTCGGGCATGTCGGTGTCGCGTGTATGTTGGTGAATATCATATACAGGGACCATGAGAAGATGGCACCGACAGCAGAGAACGTGGGTGCTGGTGAAGCAGGATAGGTAACAGATCGAGCAGAAAGAAGATGAATTAAGAGCGACCCCGACATCTAGTCCCACTATCATGGACAGCACCCCAATCAGTTCTTGACATTCGCAAGTCGGATGAAGGATTCAGGTTGCTCACCACAAGGCCCTCTTCTTGCCTCGCCTCTGGTACTCTGGGGGCTTTCTTGTTCGCTTCCACTTTCGCTGCCAATTCGCCGCGTTTGGGATTGGAAGCCTGCGTCCCTCTCGATTGTTCCTTCGTGTTATGAAGCATAGATTAGATACCTGCACTCCATTTTGAAGTGGATATTCTACGCACTGCTTTCTGCCGTCTCTCTGCTGCTTCCGCCGCTGCCGCGCGGGGATCTGGTCCTCGCGGGGGAGCAGACCTGCTAGCTTGCCCCTGCTGCACGGGCTCGTCTGCAAGTGTGCGTCCGCCAAGAGCACCGGCAGACTTCGAACAGAGGGAACCCATGTCGTAAGTCGTAAGATTATAGTCGCGTGCAAGAATACAGTATCGAGAATGTCAATGTCCCGCCAGCGGGGTGCTGAGCTATCCAAGCTTAGGAGTCTGACTCTCCCAGGCCCGAGTACCAGTAGAGCACTTGGCGCCGAACGTGATCTTGGCTATGCATCAGCACAGCTACTGTTTCTGCATAGCTCCGCGCGCAGACTACTGTGCGCGCATCTTCTCGAGATGAGATGAATGGCAGGGGCGGGAGCTGTGGTCCAAGAAGCCACTTCGTGGAGAACAGTAAGTGGAAGGCACGGTTCGAAGTCGGCGTTAGAACAGTCCCTATGCACCGAGTCGCGCATACTAAGATTACAGTATAAATATACAGGCATGAATGTCGACAAGCCACATGGAATCTACCAATATCACCAGAAAATGAGTAGACAGGATCAGTAGGTTGGGCTATCGGATACGCTGGTGTATTCCTGGCGACCAACGTCCTGGCGGTTGCGACTCCAAAGTTCGCGCACCCGGTTACTCAGATCTAACCTGATATCCTCAGGCTGTCTTTGCGGGACCCAGGCCTTCGTACAGACAACGGGTAAGCAGAAGCAAATATAAGCATGTCAAGTAACACTTACCTCCCACCATCTCCTACCCGCACTCCATGCCAGACTCGTGTCCATCCCGCCTTGATCATCCTAGCTTTGATGCCGGCACCCAGAAGGAGTCCGAAGACTGTCAGGAGGAAGATGGTTACGACCAACTGATCTCGAGGTGAATCCCTCTCTGCAGGTGAAGAATAGGTCTCAGTGATATGTATACCAGCAAGGAGACGCTGCACTCACGGAAGCATCTGGCTTCAACGTCGCCCTCCTTCCCTGTTGCCGTGTCAGGGTTCGCGACACCAAGCTTCGCATTGGCACATATAGGCAGGTTCTGATTGAGACACCATTGCTTTGTACATGATAGACACGGCTGCTTCGGATTATCTGGTATCTGCATATGCAGGATAGTGTAATTCTGGAAGCAGATGCCTAACGCCTTGCGTTCAGTCGCGGTCGTCAATCGCACAGCAGTACACGGACGCACATTTGCAGAAGTCCGTAGCCTCCCACTTGTGTCCTAGAATGGCGTTCACAGAGACCTACGAGCTACGTTGTAACGCAACTGTGTCATTCATTGCTGAGAATGAAAGTAGAGCTTACAGCAGAGTAGCAGAGGAATAGGAGGATGTACAGCCGGCAGGACGCCCGCATGGTGGACGTAGCAGGATGAGGCGCGACGCGCCGGTCACGCTTCCACGACGCGTCCTCCCATCCTGCCTCAAGCCTCCATCTGGGCGTACTCCGCTCTTCCTTCAGCCACACTCTTTTGCTTTACAACGATCCTCTTTCAGGGCGCATAGACTGCCGACACTATAGAACCATGTCGGCTGAATTCGAGGACGTTCTCACCAACCAACCGGTCGTAATTGACAATGTTAGTATTCCAGCGGCAGCGTATATTTGCAGAATCGAGTGCTAACACGGTCCATTGCGCTTGTCTTAGGGTCTGGCACAATAAAGGCAGGATTCGCAGGCCAAGATCATCCGAAATGTTTCTTCCCGTCTTTGTGCGTCTTCACGGTTAGGGCCATCCCCCGACCGATATGCATGGACTGCTCACTGCGCGTTCTGCGGCTTCTTCGACAGTGTCGGTCGGCCAAAGCACATACGTGTCATGGCTGGTGCCCTGGAGGGGGACGTATTCATTGGTAGGAAGGCGCAGGAGTTCCGCGGGTTGCTCAAGATAAAATACCCCATGGAACATGGAATTGTCACGGATTGGGATGACATGGAGCGGATATGGAGTTGGGTTTACGCTGAAGAGCTTGGAACACTGAGCGAGGAGGTGTGTCAGTCCTTTGATGTGTGCCCGCTCACTCGTTGATCCCCGGTCTGTAGCATCCCGTACTACTGACGGAGGCACCACTGAACCCTCGGCATAATCGAGACGTCGCGGCGCAAATCTTCTTCGACACATTCAACGTTCCTGCTCTCTTATCTCTGTACAAGCTGTACTCTCATTGTAAGCATCGGGCATTGCGACCGCGTGCAACTGATCCAAGCTCTTGCGGCCCAGGTATTCCTCAGGCCGGACAACAGGTATCGTACTAGACTCGGGCGATGGTGTTACACATGCCGTACCTGTGTTTGAGGGCTTCTCAATGCCACATGCCATTCGAAGAGTAGATGTTGCAGGAAGGTATGTGTCAAGCCTTACACGTACTTACCAGCTACGAACCGTCGGCGCAGAGATGTGACAGACCACCTGCAATTGCTCTTGAGGAAGTCGGGACACCATCTACACACTACCGCAGAACGTGAGGTCGTTCGAACCATCAAGGAGAAATGCTGCTACGTTGCGTTGAATCCCGCCAAAGAGGAGAAGGACTCTCTCGGCCGAAACGAAGAATTCCGGTTACCTGACGGGAACACAGTTCAAGTGCGCTCTTCGTCCCGTATCAAGCGGGCATGTCCTGATGTACGGACTTCCTTTAGCTGGGTCCAGAGCGCTTCCGTGCGCCAGAAATCCTATTCAACCCTGAGCTCATCGGGCAGGAGTATGCGGGCGTGCACCAAGTGGTAGTCGATGCAATCAACAGAGTGGATCTCGACCTTCGCAAGTCGCTGTTTTCAAACATCGTCCTCAGCGGTGGCAGCACCCTATGTCGCGGTGCGTATTAACAGATAAGTCGTCAGGCTCGATATATTGAACGTTGGAGCAGGTTTCGGCGACCGTCTACTGAACGAGGTGAAGAAACTCGCCCTGAAAGATGTCAAGATCAAGATTTACGCACCTCCGGAACGCAAGTACTCTACTTGGATCGGTGGTTCTATCCTGGCGGGTCTCAACACTTTCAAGAAGGTAATCTAGTTCCAGTTCTTCTCTACGTCAACCCTCTTAACAGTGGCAATCACAGATGTGGGTATCAGCGGAGGAATACCAAGAGGATCCCGACATCATTCACAAGAAGCTGGGTTTCTGAGGTGGCATCCCCATTTTGCTGTTGGTTCTGTGCTGTCCAGTCGTAGCCATATTCTATGTCCACATATGATACCCCTCATTGTAATCTGTGCCGTTTTCTCCTGGGGATTGAGACATACATGAGTTCGGCATCGCACTTGCCTAGTATAAAATCTCAGAGAGGGTCCGCGTTCTACGCGATCCATGGTCCTCAGTCATGGTAAAGCCCACTTCATATACACCATGAGATCCGCATGCGCATAGTATTCATGAGAAAGGAGATGGCGGGCATACGCGATAGGATACAGTCACGGGGAGTTTTGCGGAAAGTGGCCGACAGCGCGATGCAACGATGATGAAAGCATGAATAAGGTACAGTGCGCACAGCCCCTACTTGCCCTTCTTGGGAGGCTCCGCTGCCTTCGCCTTTTTCGTGCCGCGGAGCTGTGGAGGAGCGAGATCAGTTGTAAGTCGGACAACGATGTGGGATCTCCCTCACCTTCTTCGCACGGTTCTTCCGCTCCTTCCGCAGCTTACGGTTGGTCTTCGGTGGTGCCGTCGTGAGACCAGACTGCGAGAGAACATTGAGTTGCGAGCGCAGAGAGTAGGGATCAATTGGCATACCCGAATCAATCGGTACTTGGGCTCGAACTTCATTTGCGACGCCTCGTCGTCGTAGATCAGGGCAAAGCCCGTGCTGCGCCCTCCACCGAAAGCTGTCCTGAAGCCGAAAGGAACGACGCGCGACTTGTCGGCCTTGTACATCTTCGCGAGCTGCTCCGCGAGCTCATTCTTGGGGACATTCGCGCGCGATGGGTGGAGGACATCCACGACGAACTGGCGGCGGGCGAGCAGCCGGTTGGTGATGAACTTGCGCGTTCGGATGGTGATGGGTGCTGCTGCGTCGGCCTGTCGAGAGGGGAGCAAAACGGTCAGTCGGACGAGCTCTCCCCTGGCCGGACGTGTGCATCCAATCCACAAAACTTCCATCCACCCTCTCCTCGCCGCGTTTGGGCCGATCCAGCCCGTCGAACATCCCAGCACACGTCCAGCATCATGATAGACAACGTACTCACCATGATTAGTATCCCCGCCTTTTGAATCCCGTTACCTTGGTCGTCGACTGGCCCGATGAGGACGTCTGTGCGCTCTGTCTAAGGATGGAGCCAAACAGCATCAAACATTCGCTGTGGCTGCGACCGCTCGTCGGCGCCTAATCGCTCACGTATCGGTCCAGTCGTCAGTGTCGCGCCTATTTACCCCGCAGTGCTCAGTACGCATAGGTCCACTGCGGCCGTATTTATTCTGCTCTCTATCTGATACTCTGCTCGTCGACTTGCTGCATACTGCTATGAGCCGCACTAACTTTGCTACTTCCTTTGCCCCCTATGTGAGTCTCGGACTGGTGCCCTTTCTGCGAGGTGCTCACGGGAGTCGCAGCAACCGCCTCCGGACGACCCGTCCTATGCATCCTCGTCTAGACAAGCGTCTCGGCCATGGCTTCCCAGCATCTCTGCCAACAATCCATGTCGTACCAGTCCGGCGGTGTGCCATCATTCAACACATCTCAAGCAGGCGGAGAGGACGTAGAGGCGGAAGCGGCGAGCAGCATATGGGAGACACGATTCGGCATGAGAGTCGATATGCTTGCGGCGTTCTCCTATCTGCTCGGACCTATATCAGGTGCGCACTGTGCATCATGTCTGGGCAACGCTCATGAGGATGGGACACTGTAGCACTACTTGTGCTCATACTCGAGACGCACAATGACTACGTGCGATTCCACGGTAAGTGCACTGCATGGGACCGTCTCCTCGCAGGCTCATGCGGAAGGTTTGTCTTATAGCATACCAGTCGGCCTTGCTCACGGGACCTCTACTCTTGCTGCGGATAATCGCCGCGTTGCTTCAATTGCCCTCTATACTGTGTACGTTCCTTACACTTCTGCTCGTAGTGTCTTGCCTTTACATGATGTAAGCATACTCCCTCCTTATTGCCAGCACGAGCTGACGGCTCTTTCCCAGTTGGCGGGCGTACATCGATGCTGCCCGGAACGGGCTTGTACGCTTCCAAATACCACGGATCGGACCACTGGCTGACCAATGGGTAGCCGAAGAATAGACAAGCCAGCCTACGTAGACGTTCAGCTCCGTGTTCGCGCAGAGTGCTGGATCAATCAATATTATACGAATATGGACCCGAGGCATTGCTGCTCAGCTACGTTCTGCAATATTGTTGGCCCGACACACTGCACACAGCGTCGTATGTCCAAGGAACCATTCTTGTTCATGTGAGATAGATTGGTAGCGATGCATGCAACACGATGGCAAAGATGATGATGATACACAACGATGCGAGACATTAGGACAATACACACGAGGACCCAGCCTGGATTATCCGTAGTAATGTGAGGATATCAAGAGTCGTTATAGAAGTCGTTCGTCGAGCCGCCTCATCAGAGCGGTATACAGATATCCGCGATCTCGATTCCGGCCGCACACGCCGTTTGCGCTGCTTGACCGTCGAGGGCCCTGAGGGCAGGGAGGATGTTTTCCAGATCGTTGATAAGCGCATCCGTCAAGTTCTCAGTGGCGTCAAGAACCTCGTCGACGATGCACTTGACCTGGTAGACGACTGGGATAACTCAGATGAGATTCATTGCACACCACATACATCGCTACTCACTCGGGCCAAGAATGGGACCCAGGCCTGGGATATTGTTGACCATTTCGTACGTGTCGTTCATGACGTACTTGGATGCGTTGACTATGTTCTTGAGCATCGTCTCCATTTCACTGTTCTTGTTGTAGTTCGCGAGTCCCTTGTCCGCAGCGAGCTCTCCGAGAACGGTCTGGAAGCCCAGGAAGTTCTCGTGAACTCAGAGAATGCAGACGTGTATTCCTGGTTGAAGTCGGCACTCCGCTGAGCCGGAGCCAGACCTGCTAGGCTGTCTACGGTGCCAAGTCAGATTTCCCGACATGAACAATGATGTGATCCAAGCTCACTAAGCGTCTGTGCATTCTGGGTAATCTGAGTCGAGTAGCCGTTCATCAGTCCGATATTGTCCATGATGTTCATATCGCCTTGGCGCTTCGCGGGAGACGCAGTGGAAGGCATAGCGTCGTAGTCAGCGATAACATGCTTCGCGACTCCAGATCGAGTATCATTGCCGACGTAGGAGAGGTCATCGTAGACGCGAGCCGTGAGGTTCCACCGTTGAACTAGATCCGAGGAGTGAGACTTCCAGAGAGGCATAGGCAACGGAGACGCGACAGCAGAGGGGGCGCGGATCGTGACGCCGGCCAGAGCGGCGAGACAGGCGCCTGCAGGGCGAGGCGGAGGAGACGGTTGACGGAAGGCATGACGAACGTCCAGACGTAGCGACCTTGACGGGTTTTGAAGACGAAGGCGCGCGACTGGCGCGGCTGAGACTAAAGAGGGCCTAGGGTAGGGAGGGGGAAGGGCGAGACGGCGACCGTTCGGGACAAGAGGCGACGGGGGCATGTTCGAATTGGTGGCCGTTACTTATACTGGAGGGCGGGGCGCGACAGAACCTTGTTTGACGCGTCTGCAACTTAGACGTTCCCCGGCTCCTCATTGGTCCCCGTCGCCGACGCGTCGCGCACACGTGACCATCCCGATCGCCAAAAGGCGCCCATCCGAACAGACGGTGCCGAGCACGAACAGCCTCATGTGGGTCAGGCATTGATCTCACCAGCGTTGCATATGCCGAACACTGCCCCCGCACGCACACGAGCAACATTAACCCTCTGAAGCAAAATAGAATAAGCACCGACAACCACAACACGGGGGATGAGAACAGGCGCAAGCAGTACTGGTACGAGTGTACGTGAGTATCCGTGTGCCACGTCGGAGCGGAACGCGTCCTAAGCAGTCATGTCGGCCGACGAGGGTATCTAGTGGGACCAAGGATAGTGATGGGGAATGAATGTGTGAAGTTATGGGGGCTTTAAGTAACGTCGCGTAATACCCAATATTCCAGGTGAGCAGTTAATGGAGATCTCTCCGCGTAAGTCTCGGTCGGACTCGTATGATCCGAGCGATCTGTTTAGAGCTTGAGGCACGACGCGCCGTCCGCAGATTGTTTGTAGCCTTGAGCGCATGTGTAGACTGTGAAGCAATTAATGAGCAAGGATCAAATGCCGACAACACTGGGAACGCACCAGCACAGCGGCCCTGCTCGCAGCCAACGTTCCAGACACCCTCGATGGCGGTACAATCCTGGCCCTCGCCGGTCGAGACGCAGCCACCGCAAGACTCGAGCTCAGCCTTGGCATCGATACACTCGAAGTCGCCGGTGGGACCAGTCAGGCCGGAGATGGGGCAGGCCTGCATGGCGTCCGGGCAGTTGATGACCGAGCGACGGGCCTTCGCAGCGACACGCTTGTGATGCGCGGGGTTCGAGCGCGCCCACTGCGGGTTTGCCGACGGGGCGGGCGTGGAGGTGGTAGTGGTAGATCCACCACCACCCTCGCAACAGGAGGACGAGCCCTCATTCCACTCCCAACTACCACCGCACTGGGGCGGGGCGGTGGTCTTCGGGGGAGTCGTCGGAACGCAGCATTCCTTGCCCGGATGCCAGTACCAGTTGTTGGTGGGGCACTGTTTCTCACCCTGAGGCGGGGTGGGAGGGTTCGGGACACCGCCGTGAGGTAAACAGCAGTTCTTGGCGTCGTAGCTTACCCACAAGTGTCAGCGCAACATGCCGTGCTGAAAATACGTGGCGACTCACAAGAACTCGGACTCCGCGCACTGGCTAGAATTGGCAAATGCGAAGGGGAGAGCGGCGGCGGCCAGGAGGAGGAGGCTGGTGAAACGTGCCATTGCGAACGATCGTGGGCTATACTCTAGGGAACGAGAGACAGGCGAAGAGAGAGGGAAGAAAAGAGCAGACTCTGGAAGAGGCGCAACAAGGGGCGGGGCGTTCTTATATACGCGCTCTGATGAGCATTCGCCGTACATGCGCCGAAGGCCGCTTACCAGCGCTTGGCTCAGGCCCCTCATGATTCGATCATCCGTCAACGTCGCCTCGCTAGGCCTTTCCATCACGCCGCCGCACATTCTCGAGCGTGGACATGGTGCGCATGCTCGTCCGAGGCGATGCTCAGGCTGTCTTCCCCATGGAGATGAGTCCTGCACAAACCGTCTATGGCTGCCATGATTTCGTGCTTGCAGAGCCCGGCAGACACCAGGACAGGCAGAATATCGCTATAGCGATAGCGATACCGCTCGTTCGGCAACGAGGACGCGGGCACCGGCACCGGAGGGCCTAGTCCTCCCCTGGTCCTCCCGACGGCCGGCGTCAACACTATTACCCAACCACATCACTCAGAAGCCGACTTGCAGCCACCAACCTCCCACAGGAGGTCGCTCGAAGCCGTCGCCCTCGCCGCGAATTTACGCCCTGAAACACTTCAGAACCTCCGCGGGCCAGGACGAACTTGACAAGTGAGCAGCTGCAATATTGACATCGAAACAAGGAAGCTGTACAATACATTCTGATTCTTCATGTTCCGACCATCCCAACTTAATTGTACGACGTCTAACGCAGGACGGTCCACACCAGCGAACGAGCCTGCGTCCTCAGGCTGAGAGACCATATATCATATTAGTGACGAGGCATCAATGAAACGACTGATGAGCGGGAGACTTACCGCCGACCTCGTGCGCTTTCTGCAAGGCACGGAGCGCAAAGAAGCGCACATCTGCGTCCGAGTCGTTCTTAAGCGCCTCCAGCACAGGCAACACCTTCTGCTGAACCACCTGGCGGCCGTCCGCGGTGTCTCCAAATGTAGTCGCAAGGACCTCCAGGGCCTTCGCGACATTGAAGCGGATGTTGGGTATCGGGTCGTTCGCGAGGTGCAGCAGGTTGTCCAGAATCTCGGCACGGACAATGTCGAGCGTTAAGGACGGCGCGATGACCTGACAACGATGCAAGCCTCGGTCACCGACGCAAAAATGGGAAGAAAGGATCGCTTACGGTGATCGCTTGAACAGTTGTCATTCTGTACAGGTAGTTCGGATGTTGTCCCATGCCGACTACCTTCGGTACAATCTGAACCTTCGCCCAGTCAACGCCGAATACCTCAGTAAGCTTCTTGAGGTTGACAATCGCCGACTCCCGGATGCTGTACACGTTGTCACCGAGCCATGACATGCAGAGGTTGCCTAGCTGTTCGTCAAAGAACGACTTGCCCAGCTGGTTCGCGAGCAGAGGGATGTACTCGATGATGGCTTGCCGCACGCGCCATGACTTATCTTCAGCCAGCTCGACGATAGCCGGAAGCAAGCTCTCCGACAAGAGTTCGATGCCAATCACTGATGATATTCAGTAACAATCCCCACAAACGAGGTAGCCTCCTGACGCACCAGCGTTGACCTGGTCGAGTTTGCTGATGATGTTCAGCCGAACCTCGGGGAATTCGTCCTTCAGGAGATGCAGGAATAGGGGCAAGAGGTGTTCGATGGTGGAGTCTTTTCCGAGCAACGGAGCGAGGCCGCTGATCTGGTTAGCCAAGGCGGCACGGACGTGCTGAGAAGTGTCTTGACAGAGGTCCCGAACGCACGGGACAACCCGGTTCAAGATGACTTCCTTCTCGAGTAGTTTAGAGAACCCTACGTGATCATCAGCATCCTGTCTTCACATGTGTATCGCTGTGTATCACGACGCCCACCTGGAATCTGACCTGCCGCAGCAGTGCGAACTTCGGCCTCGTTGTCCTTGAGCAGCTGTACATAGTGTCCGATCAACTCTTCTCGGACGAGCTCCTGCCCTACTGCCTCCGCAAGCTACTCTAGGTCAGACTATGATCGCATGTATGCGTGCAAAACCCACCGACCTCGTTGAAGTGGGTCGCCGACATATACCGTACGCGCCAGCTCTTATCCCCTACTGTCTGCCTGATCTGCTTCAGCAAGTGCTCTTTGACCTCTGCGGGTGAGAACGATTGGGCGATGGCAATGAGATCTTCCACGGTCAACAAACGAACAGAGTCCTGGTCGTCCAGCTGAAGTCTGCGATAGATCGCGAGACCATCTCCGAGTACATTGGGCTTGGCGAACTTCTTGACGAGCGGCTTGCGACAAACAGACGTCAGACCAACCATGCGCGGGACTGAAAGAAAGTGCAAACATACACCGAGCCACTTTGCGGCTGCTCGCCGCACCATCGGCGTGTCGTCCGTGCCTAACGTCGCGAAGCTTCTCCGCAACTCATCCTGGACTGGAGGGGAGGCTTTGTCGTACACCGACGGGAAGAGAGCGCATGACGACGTCCTCGATGTAAACCATTCGCCGTGTGAGAGTCGGTTGAGAAGGGGAATATAGAACTGCTCGACCTGGGCTTGGCTCATGACGGCGGATATTTTGGTGATCGACTCTGCGGCCTGAGGACGTACAACGGCACCCTATGTCAGCACTGTGACGCCGAAGAGCTGGCTCACGCCGTCCTGCAGTTCTCAGAGCTTGAACGCACCTTGTCCCGCACAAGCGTCTCCTCAACTGCACAGAGATTCTCTAGAGGCCCGAGCAAGAGATGCGCGTACTCTGGCCCGCCGATGAATTGCTCGAAGTTCCTCCCAAGCTCCTCCGCCAATGCGAGCAAAACCTCATCCTCGTCGTCCACAGACTCTTGCAAGAAGGGAAGGAGCTCTTCACGGGCACGGTCAGGGCCTAGGGCAAGCGCGATGGTAGCGATGCGGTGAATGGCGTTCAGACGAAGTTGAACGTCTTCCGCCCGCAGTTCATCCATGAGAATAGCGATCGGAGCAATCTATGAGGAGGACGCAGCGGTCAAGGGACATAGCGAGGAAATGCGAGTAGGAGCACGCACGTCGTCCATTGAGAACCCCGGATCCATGGTTGAAATGCTAGCCACGACGCAGTCGAGATCAGTATAGGCACTATGCAGTCGCTGCTGTGAGTCTTCACTTACGGACTGTCGGGTAGATGAGAGAGGTGGTAGGCCGGAATAGGACCGACAAGCGTTTCAGAATATTGGAGTTGTCGACTCTCGAAAGCAAGTTGTGATGTCCGTGTTTGGACGCGCGAGCCTGTTATCGCGTGCCAGTGCATTCACTCTGCCACAACGCGCGCTAGCGCCACAACCCGCCGCGGCGCCCATGTCACCATTTCAGCACGCTCTTGAAGGCCATCTGCCCTCTGGCATTAATGTCACATCCACGTCATACGTAGATGCTGAAAACCCCATGTTTACTCAAACAGTATGGCGCGGAGACGTATCGACCACGGCGTCTTTACGAACGGCGTAGCTGCGAGTCAGACAAGGATATCCTGAGGCACGAAGGTTGAAGAAATTGTCTACGTCTACTTGGGCAGACCAAGCTGCGACACATCCTGCTGCAGGCTATTTGTGTAGGACGTCGATATTTCTCTTGATGATCTCACAGCATCTGGCGCAAGTAGTTCCAAATCCCCGAATGGGAAACGAACATTCATATTTTCGAGATCAAACACTACATGCAGATACTGCGTACGCTCTTCACGAAGAAGGCAGGGGTGTCCAAAAATTATGCGGGTAGCAGAACGCCGAAACGTCTGCCCTGCGACGAACGGCTGAAGCCAGGACGTCGCAGCCGCAAGTCCGAAGACTTCCTTGAAGCATCATTATGCCGGGATGTCTATGGAATCGAATAAGTAGAAAGAGTGAATGAGAAAGAGATACGCACCGCTACAGCTAAGATAAACACCACGTCTTGCTGCAGAACCCGAGATGAAGAAGGCTCCCGGAGGAGTACGCCCCGGACTGTCTAGTCCACGTAGGCAGCGTCAAAGACGCAGAGGCAGGGCGAGACCTACCAAGTAGCATGTTGTGCTACATGCGTGTTCGCATGAGGAGCGCCTTCAGGCTGCATCCATCTCCCGTGAGGGATCTCCCTTGAGGGAAGCACATTCCGTGCTGACTGCTCGCACTGGCAGTACGTTCTAGGTCATCTAGACCTGGCACCTTCGGTGCATCTGCTCGCACTGGCAGATTTCGCGTTGTAGGTGGTCTTCACCCAACAAACGCTGTTGGCCAACTGCCCCTGCCCAACGGCAGGTTACACGTCTAACCAGCGGCTGGACCGCCGGTATACCACTCGGTGGTCGACGGTATCGCGGACGTCTGTCGCGCGGAGATTCGCCTCGTAACGGCCGGTCGTCTTTCGGAGCAGCGCATATGGCCTGGGCTCGTGAGTACGATTTGCACGCCATACGTAGGACTTCGGGGTCGGACGGACGGGTTCTCGTCAGGAGAGGCATCGCGTCGTCTTCGACAGTTTCGCGCTCTCACCGCTATCGCAGCTGGAAGAGGCACAGTGTACGCCGTGTTGACACACTGGCGGTGATGGGTACGAGTATCGAAACTCGTAATCCCTGGCGGTTCGGCTCTCCAAACTCGCCTTCGATCGTGCTAGACTGCATGAAACTCCCTCACACGTCAAGGCGACGCATGACAGCGCCGATAGGCAGACGCCCTCGTACGCTGAATCGGGAGTGATGCAGCCAACAACGATGTGCTGCGATCCTCGAGGCAAACACTCTGAGACACGCGTATGAGGCGCATCGGGTCGTCGATAGAGGCGGAGAAGCATCCTCGTGCTACCCATTCAGAATGTGCCCGTCAGAAAGCTCGTGCGCTGGCCGCACGAGCAACGACATGTTCCGTCGTATTCGGTCGTGTTCGCTTTGCAAGCCACGTCTGTGCAGCGCAGTACGTTTAGGCCCATACAGGTCCGGTTCGGCCACGTCACGTCCACGCTATCCGTTAGGACCGTCGCGTCAGATCTGCTCAGCGATGCAGCGGTACGCCTGTTACAGCGGCATCTTGGTCCAAGGTCAAGGACCCCCAATGATCAGAGAACGATGCATTTGCCTGTGGGCCTGACTTCCGTTTCGCCGCACCTACAGGCACGGGAAGAGCCGATAACAGAGCGACTCTGCCTCGTACTCTTTCTTCGAAACCGTCAGGTCGACTGTTCGTCTGTGTTGCAGACTTCGGAGTCTGTCCTGTCTGTCCTGTGTCATCTGGTTCAGATGAATACGCGCCACTGTGGACGCCTGCGCATGTGCGAGCCTGCCTCTGTAACGGCAGCCTAACTCTCGCTGCACCCGAAGGGCACAGCCGCCTCGATAGCCAGAATCTCCTGGCCTCGTGAACGGTTGTCGAGAGAGGCACCGGTCTGAACGAGTTCCGCGAGTGACGGTGCAGCGTCATCCCTGCGACACGACCTAGTAAAAGTCAGGATGGAGCAAGAGCAAGAACTAAGAACGTACTTCGGGTCTTCAGCACAGTTCCATCGGGGCCAGGTACGAGCCAAGGACCGAGCGAGGACGAAGGACAATGAAACGGCAGGCTCGAGGGTTATAAGGGTTGATGGCCAGGTTTAGGGCAGGGTGCGGATGTGCGGAACCGCAAAATGGTCTGGGCCAGACCCGGGGAGCTAAGGATGCCAAATCGGGAAGGCATTACCACGCGACTGTGACCAATGACGTCGTCATTCGGACCGGCGCCCGTAGGCACGGACGGACCGGTTGGCTGCCAGGGTGGGTACTTCAGCTTCAGCACTACTGGCAGACTCAGTCTCGCACTCCCAGCGTACTCAAGCCATGCCCGTCGACCGCCAGTCAGACAAGGTTATCCTCCAGCATCCGAAGGTAGGCACACAGTAACTGCCCTGTATCTGTGCTTGACAATGCGATGCTTTGGACAGGGATCATCGACCGAGATTCTACTTTATGGCGCTACAGTGATATCGTGGAAGTCAGGCAGTACCGGAAACCCACAGCCGGTAGAGCGACTCTTCGTGTCTAGTAAGGCCGCCCTTGATGGTAGCAAGCCCGTCAGAGGCGGCATTCCTGTTGTCTTTCCATGCTTCGGCGCGCCGACACATCCAGAGCACTCGAGATTGGGACAGCACGGGTTCGCCAGGAGCGAGACGTGGACTTTCGACAGCATTGTCATGGACAATGAAGCTGGCGTTTCTGTGAAGCTGAGTGAGTGACATTTGGCACGTTGCGCCGTACGCGTGTACAATGGTTTGAACGAGGCTGCTAGTTCTCGAACCGAAGGTCAGCATCACAGCGAAGTATGAGAAGCCGTTCCAGCTTGCATATGTCGTCACGCTGGCCGAGCATCAATTATCCACAGATCTCCATGTGAAGAACACTGGCCTCTCGACTTCATCTCCGCTCGAGTTCCAGGCGCTCTTCCACAACTACATCCGCGCGAACTCCGGCGAGGTTGTCGTAGTGCCTTTGAAGGGCCTGACGTATTACGATAAGACGGAGCCGAACGAGCAATTGCGGACGAAGATCGAGGAGCGAGATCTCGTGGACGTGAAGGCCTTCACAGATTTCGTGTATCAGAACGCACCAGGCACTTATGAAGTCACCTCGCCGACGAGCAAAGTTGAAATTAAGACGAGGAACTTCAAGGATGTCGTCGTCTGGAATCCCCAGCAAGAGGGGTCCAAGATCGGGGACATGGAGGATGGCGGATGGTAAGTTGCGGTGTCTATAGATTGCGGCTAGGCTGAACATCTGCCGGCAGGGAGAAGTATGTTTGCGTCGAGCCTGGATTCGTTCACGGCTTCGTTGGGCTACCCGCAGGGGAGACTTGGATTGGGCAGCAAGTCTTGACGGCGAAATTGTGAGATCGTTGATAGCTGGGGAAGAAGCGTCTTAACCAAGGAGTCCGTGTGTATGATACGAGAGGTTTCGCTGCGACCGAAGTACCAAATGGAGGTGCGCGGAGACGGCACGGCGCCGTGTACATGAGCATATGTCCAGTCTGAGCAAGCACTACGTGAGACTACTGTAGTTTCCGAAAGAGCACTGCCGGAGGGGAGCCGTGACACCGTGCCGTGACAGAACTCACGTGCTCGTTTCGTCGCGTGAGTGTGGGTCCAAGCGCGATGTCTGAGCGCGCCACCACCCTACAGGCATCAAGGCCAGAGGGCGCCTTGACTTCCTCTGCGCAATTCCCCCCTTGTGCTATCCCACAAAAAACAGTGGGTATTGCTCAACAGTATCATGCGACAGCATGAGCAGCCCATCACCAACCCTGCGGGTTCGGGTCAACCACATTGACCACACTCTCGCGGCGCCTGGCCCCCTCGACAATTCAACACTCCCTCGTGTACCGATCATCCGGATATACGGAGAATCATCGACTGGTCAGAAAGCATGTGTCCATGTCCATCAAGCATACCCGTATTGCTTCGTGGAATACCCCGGGAAGATGAACCCGGACAGTGGTGAGCAATCCAGGGACTATACTCTGGTTCGATGTTCACTCCGTAAACCACAGTGAATCACTACATCGCCAAACTCACTCAGTCGCTCAATCACGCCATTTCAATCTCCATGAAGCGCAACCCTCATTCGCCGAAGTCGCAGTTCGTCCGCGCGATCGTTCTCGCCAAGGGCGTACACTTCTACGGGTTTCATGCCTCTTACTCTCCTTTCTTGAAAGTCCACATCGCCGACTCTAACTTCATGAATCGCGCTGTCACTATCCTGCAGTCTGGCACGGTAATGAAGACGCGCTTTCGAGTCTACGAGAGCCACATAAGCTTCGTCCTTCAATTCATGTGTGACTTTGGCCTCTACGGCTGTGGCTGGATGGACCTCGGCGAAGTCTGGGAGCGGGGCGCTGAGGATCCCGCCGACGATCTATACGAACTTGATGACCGCAATGAACGTGATGATCATAACCGCAAGTCCGCATTCAAAGCCTCGCCACACTTTCGCCAGTCACGGATGCCGCTGGAAGTCGATGTCGCCGCGCATCAAATCCTCAACCGACATCGCCTCTCTGCTCGTAACATTCACCATCACCTATCCATACCAGGGCCCCCGCTTCCTTCCGAACCATTTGTGCTCAGTGTGCGTGAACTTTGGGAAGACGAGCGCCAGCGCCGGATTGCCAGGGGCTTGACGCCTTCTCCGGAAATCCCTAAGGATCCAAGCGAGAATTCGCGGGGGAGAGGGGCCGCATGGGTCGCCGAAGCTAGGTGGTGGGATGAAATCCGCAAACGTATTGAACGAGAGCGGGGGAAAGAGAAGGTATTGCACAGCGGACGGAGCTGGGAGAGATGGGTAATGACGACGTTCGAAAGCATTGAAGCGTTGTGGGAAGATAAGTGGAGAACCTGGAGGCCTGGACTGGCCGAAATCGATCCATGCTCGGGCGTGCACGTCAACGTGCAGCACGAAGAAGCCGACGAAGTCAACCCGTATGCCGCGTCTCAGATGGACCGTAGAGCCTTGCCCCAAGTACCGCGAGAACCCACGACCGAGGTGGAGGTGGACGAAGAGATGCTGTCCAGTCAAGTGATGGCGGATCTGGTGCGAGACGAAGACAACGATTGGGAGAAGCTGCGTGACGGGTATGCGGAGCATGATGAAGATGTGCCAGATGAGGATGAAGCAGCGGAAAATGGACCACCCCCTGAAGATCAGCTCGCATATGAACGGGTGGGCAGCAACAGGTAATACTCTCATCGGTCCGGGTAACACTCAGAGCTTGCATTTGATGCTTGACTAGTCCTCAGAGATGTTCACCGTCAAGACATGGAAATCGGTTTGAACAAGTATGGCAGAAGATCATTGGGTACGCTCTAGTCCATGACATGAAGACAGACATGACTTACCAACCGAGTGCAGCGCTAAGAGGCATCGATCCACTTCAATCGTCTCAGCCGATCGCACTCCTGGCAAGAAGTAGGTCTGTTCGTCTGAGTCAAGAATGCATGCATTGACTATGGATGCAGTATGCACGTGTCTGCCACTGTAGTTCACTCGCCTCCGGACACGCCCACTAAGATTGCGCTGCGGGCTCTGGATCGGCCTGATACGTCGAAGGTCTTTTCTCCCAAGAGGATGGGAAGACTAGCCAACTCTGTGCTGCCGGTTACGCCTACCAAGTGAGTGACTGTCGACACGGACATGAATAGTTGCTAAGAAAGCAGGCTGCGAAACGTAGTCTCGCAGTCAGTGGCAGACATACGACCTGTCGACCTGCAAGTACACCTGCTTCATGGACAGGAATCCAGTGCGTCAGATCAGCACGAGTGAGTGGGATCTATGTCCCACATCGAGATTGAACGTGACCCGCTTGTCAGCTCGGATACTCAATTGAATCATCTACCCAAAGACATATCTATTGCCTTTCGGGAAGTAGATCCCGAGAACCCGTTCGTTGTCAGCGAAGATACGAGCCGTTCAAACGACAACATCGGGACCGCCCATGCGAAGAGGACACACACACAGACCTCGGAAAATTCCGCTGAGATGACTCCTCGGCCTTCAAAGAAACGGAGGGTGGATGCGAACTCCGATCAAGTATTCAGTCTGTCAAACGGGTCGCTCCCTTCCGGCATTTCATCCCTGGGTAAGTTATCGGCCATGACGACTACATCGTCAAAGTCTACAGCATCCTCGGCCTCGGTCTCGGCCGCTAAAGGCTATCGCTATGCACTCCCACCGCCCTCAGCTGCGGAACTACTGTCCAGTGTCGATTCATACGGCATTCCCAGTAAGATGTACACGAGTCCGCATTACTCGAGGGCGAGTGACGCGCCGGAAAGGCCGCGAGAATATGCTGGCCTTGTCTTCCATTTGAAAGGCGGGTTAGGTTTGGATACGCTGGACGAGTGGGTCAGCCACACCCCTGATACTGTCCAGCGTGAAAGTGGCGGCAAAAGGAACCTTGATGCGGTGGGTGTGACAGGCTGGGAATACGCGAGCACACCCCCTAGTGCGAGAGAAACCCGTCGATGGCTAGAGTCTCCACAAGGCCGTAACTTGAAAGCACTCAAGCAGGCTCGTCCTAAGCTACCTTCTCAGGTATGTCCCATTGCTTGTCATGATTTCCCATGACCGTGAGCCCATGAAATGTCGCGCTAGATTGAGGGACCTACGCAAGCCAATCCTTACGGCATCAAGACCACGCCATTAAAGTCGTCAAAGCCAAGCACACGCGAAAGGCAGAACATGAGCATTTTCTCGCTAGAGGTTTTTGGTGTGTTCGTCCGCGAGCTGTTCCACAAACGTTCTTTGAGACTGCTTCTAGCACCTTCTACAGGTGATAGAGTACCTGATCCCGATCTGGATGAAGTCGCGGTCGTGTTCTTCTCATACCAAGACTCCGCGGAGTTCCCCTCAGGAGAGAACGGAACCTTCTCGTGCCAGCATGGCATGATAGTGGTGGAGAACGATCAGGTCAACGCTCGAAGGCTACGCGATCTGCAACCTGAGTTCGAGATGGTCAACAGTGAACTGGACCTTCTCAACCGTCTAATCGATATGGTCGTCGACGTCAATCCCGATATTCTCTCAGGATGGGAAGTACAGGCTGCATCGTGGGGGTATCTTAGTGCACGCGCAAACGTGTACGGTAAGTAAATAACTCGCTCACCGCAAACATGTTCTCATCAATTATGCGGTAGGATATGACCTCGGTGAACAGATTTCTCGCGCACCTGGAAGACATATCGGAGGTGGCTCCGATCAATGGGGCATGAGGACAACGTCGACATTCAAGGTGGTCGGTCGACATGTCCTCAACCTGTGGCGCATAATGCGCTCAGAGCAGAGTCTTACAAGTTATACATTTGAGAACATAGTCTTCCATGTGTTGCGGCGGAGGTGAGTGCTATCCTTCCTCGGCAGAGTGCGGCAGAGTGGAAGCTAACCTTAATGAAGGACACCTCGCTATTCTTTTGGGACACTCGCTGAATGGTACTACAGTAAAACACCGCGGCATACAGCAAATGTACTGTACTATTTTGCCTCTCGCACGTCCATGGTCCTGGAGATTCTGGATGCTGCGGAGGTTGTCACCAAGAATGCGTACGTGATCGTTGGTCCTCGGTCTCTCCTCATCACTGACAATGTCGTAGGGAGTTTGCTCGCGTGTTCGGGGTGGATTTCTTTTCCGTCCTTAGTCGTGGTTCACAATTCAAGGTCGAATCATTCATGTTCCGTATCGCCAAACCGGAGAGCTTTGTATTATTGTCCCCCAGCAAACAAGATGTGAGTGTAGATGTTTCCATCTGAAGTTCATTCCTCAACCCGCGCAGGTCGGCAAGCAAAATGCTGCCGAATGTATGCCCCTTATCATGGAACCTCTATCCGCATTTTATACCAGCCCACTTGTAGTGTTAGACTTCCAATCACTGTATCCCTCCATCATGATCGCGTACAACTATTGTTATTCCACTTGTTTAGGTCGTGTTACGGACTTTAAAGGACAGTACAAGTTTGGCGTTACGGACCTGCGGCAGCCAGCTGGAATACTGGCTACCCTGGAAGATCATATCAACGGTACGTGCCGAGTGTGGTGTTGAACAGCCATTCTAACGGGACTCCCAATAGTTGCCCCTAACGGGATCATGTATGTCAAGCAGGACGTGCGGAAGGGTCTGCTGGGCAGGATGTTGACGGAGCTATTGGACACGAGAGTAATGATCAAGCAAGCCATGAAGGGAGTCAAGGACGATAAGGTGTGCCGCACCATTCCTGATCGCCAGGACAAGGCTGACCCGGAGCAAGGCCCTTCGACGTGTGCTGGACGCCCGGCAGCTCGGTCTCAAGTACATCGCGAACGTGACGTACGGCTATACGAGCGCGACGTACTCGGGCCGCATGCCTGCAGTCGAGATCGCCGACAGCATCGTCCAGAGTGGCCGCGAGACACTCGAGAAGGTGAATTTCATGTCGCGCTCCGCCGCGTGCCCCTCGCTCATAGATCCCCCGCCCAGGCCATCCGGGTCATCAATTCAACGAAGAAATGGGGCGCCCGGGTCGTGTACGGCGACACGGACTCGGTGTTTGTTTACCTTCCGGGCAAGACCAAGGACCAGGCGTTCCGGATCGGGTACGACATGGCGGAGACGATCACCGCGATGAACCCCGCACCGGTGAAGCTCAAGTTCGAGAAGGTCTATCTGCCGTGTGTCCTGATGGCGAAGAAGCGTTACGTCGGCTTCAAATTCGAGAGCCCTGACGAGACGGAGCCTGGCTTCGACGCCAAGGGCATAGAGACTGTTCGAAGGGACGGGATACCGGCGCAACAGAAGATGACGGAGACCTGTCTGAAGTACGTCCGGAGCCTTCGGAACTCATTTCTAGCTGACCCGTGTGCAGGATCCTGTTCCGCACTCAAGACCTGAGCAAGGTCAAGGAGTATTGCTGTCGGACATGGGCAAAGATCCTCGAGAACAAGGTCTCCATCCAAGACTTCATCTTTGCCAAGGAGGTCAGGATGGGCACGTACAGGTGCGTCTCAAGCGCACTGCCTCTGGCCGTCAATCCAATGACATACCCTCTTACTTAGCGACAAGGTCCCGCCGCCTCCAGGCGTCACCGTGGCCGCTCGGCGTATGCTCGAGGACCCGAACAACGAACCACAGTATGGGACCGCATCCCATACGTCATCGCCCGGGGGCACCCTGACAGCCGACTCGTCGACCGCGCAGTCTCGCCCGAAGAGCTCTCAACAACCCGTAAGCACCTCCCGCGCTCGTTCCCTCGCCCGGCTCATCCGTCCCACCCCTTCCGCAGCCAGAAGCATCTAGACGCGGCGTACTACATCTCGCGCGTGCTCATCCCGCCGCTCGAGCGGATCTTCAACCTCGTCGGCGCGGACGTGCGCAGCTGGTACGACGAGATGCCCAAGGCGCTGCGCACGGACCAGCCCGAGGCGGTCCTCATGTCGCCGCGCAAGGCGAAGAGGCAGGCAAATGCCGCCGCGGCGAACCCGTTCAAGATCGACCAGCATTTCCTGACGTCGCGGTGCTTGGTGTGCAAAGCGCTCGCACCTGGGGGTACGTGGAGAACTTGCCCGCCCGTGTACGCTGACGCTGACGGTGTGGTGTTGTAGGGCTCTGCGATTCGTGCCGCGCGCACCCACAGGAGACGATCAGCGGGCTTCTCTCGCGCTTGCACGTTGCGGAGGACAAGCTTCGGAACGTGCAGACGATCTGCTCGTCGTGTTGCAGCATCCCGGCCGCGGAGCCGGTCAAGTGCGAGTCGCTGGACTGTCCGTGGCTTTATGAGCGGAACAAGGTCGAGAACAAGGTCGAGGCGCTGGACGTTGTGGCAGAGTTGATCGCGGAGCTGCAGGATACGGAAGACACGCGCGAAGAGACGGTCGTGGACGATAGCCCTGGTTGAACTGCTCTGCGTCTCGCATCCTACTTGAGCATCTATTTTAAGGAATCGACATTGGTTGGCTTCTAATTTTACATTGAGAGATGGTAGCAGATGCATTTCAGATGGGATTATCGTGGGGGAGCATTCTCACAAGCCGCTCAGCTGTTTGCGGATGAGGTCCTTCGTCTTCAGCTCCATCTCGCCGAAGATCTTGAGCGCATCCGCCAGCTTGCGAGTGGCCTCCGCGTCCGCCGCCAGGGCCTGCCTCAGCGCGTCAGCCCTGTTCGCGAGGAAGTCGGTCTTCTCCACCGTGGGACCTGCTCATCATAAATCATACTCCATTGAAAATCTTATTCAAAACGGGGTGGAATACACTTACCGTTCTCGCTGGCGCCGTTGACCACAGCAGGGGGCGTCTGCAGGTCGACCTGGGGGTACATCGGCTTCGGGTTGTCGGCGCCCTCGGCGGGACTCTGCGCCGCTGCGAGCTGGTCGAGGACACCGCCTGCCAAAGTGAGGTGGTCAGGGCGCAGCGAAGCAAGCGCAACTGCCTGTGATGCGATCACAATCAAACTTTGCTAGATGGAGACATGGCACCGGCGTGACTTACCTCCGTGGATGTCACGATGCTGGGGCAAGGTGCGAATGCGGTGTCAGCAATGGCGTGGCGGACGGCAGAGATGCTTGTTCTGGCGCTGACCTGGCGGGCATGACGAGCGTCTTGGAGCCGATCGCCTTGTAGGTCTTCACGATCGAGGAGATGACCGGTGACATCGGGTGTTCTTGCGCCGTATTGGCGTACTCCTTCCAGACACCGGGCTCGAAGTGGACGCGGAGCTCTGCATGACGTGTAGCATTTCATTCACTGACGAGTCCGTGCAAAGAGGGTCCGAACCATTGAAGTACGGCGCTACGTAGAGACACCCTGCCTGGGAGGCGGCGACGGCCTGCGGGAGGGAGAAGAGGCAGGTCGCCAGCGTGCGGATCCCTTCCTTCTCCAGCTGCTCACAGGCGATGATGGACTCGGGCGTGGCGGGGATCTTGAAGCACACGCGGGACCTTTTGTGTTGAATCAGCGCGCCATGTGGGTTACGGACGAGATACAGGGACCCACTTGTCTATCCCGTGGGCTTCGAAGAGAGCGAGGAGCTTCTTGGCATGTGCGACCGTGCCCTCGGCATCGTACGCCACGGCTGGCGCAGTTTGTGCGTGCACACGGCCCGTCAAATACGGGAACACCTGCTTTGCGAGCAGGACCGTCTGGGTGATGCGATCAGTGCGCGATAACACCGAAACGGGCGGGTGTCGCAGACCAGGATGTCGAGCGCGTTGTCGACCTGGAGATCGATGTCGCCCGTGTCCTTCTTTGCGGCGAGTGCGCATGCCTCGGCGAGTAGGCTGGCGCGGTCAGGATTGGACGCCTCGCCGCAAACGATTGCCTGATTGGAGGTCATGTCGGTGAACTTGGCCGTGTCTGATGTGTGCCGGGCGGCGACAGCGGGGTCCATAGAGTCGACATCGACGGTGACTGTGGCGCGAACGTAGGAGAGGAGGTTAGATGCGGCCATTGCAGGTGAGGGTGCCGTAGCGAGCGGGATGTGGATGAGTATGTATGAGCCGCGATGGCGGCCTCGCGGAGGAGGCGTGGCAGGTGGCCTCGGAACCACGACACCTGCCTAAGCGGGGTGCCGACCTGCTGATGGGACGGTGCCGGACCGGATTGGCAGTGCTGGCTGGCTGTTTGTGCCGATGAGCCAGCTCGTCCCAGCATTCCACGGTCGAGTTACTTACTCTTTGCCGGCTTTGTTGTGTCCTGGCTATGACTGCGACATCGTTCGCAGTCACTACAACCGTGAAAATAACAGCACTTCAGATCATGTGTTGCAACTTCCGCGGAGGAGCCAACAGTTTGGGGCCGTGATTTCTCTGTCAGGCACTTGGAACGGCTTGTCCGATTTGCGAGGACCTGGTGGGGGCTGACTATGTACTGTAGTAAGTAGCGGCGAGCAGTGAACTTGTTACTTACTTGAAGGAAGACTTGTAGGAAGGCCGACGGCGCATGCACATGGTCTGATGTCACGGAGCGGCGTCCTCAGCCATCTCGCCGGACCCTTGGCGCGATCCGGCGGGCGCGATCGCCGGCGACGGGCCGACCCACGAATGACCGCGCAACGCTGCGCACACCCACATGTGGACTTACAATCAACTTCAACAAGTGCAGGAAACCCTCTGGATGCGGTCTGGGCGAGCATTGACCCATAATAATGGTGGGCCATCGCGAATGCTTAGGTCGCTGTATGGAGGAAGGTCGAGGAGGCCGGCGGCAAGGCGGAGATCGCGGAGGGCGGAGATTGGAAGGGCGACGTGCGGCGGCAGGACTGGAGCTACGTCATACCAGCCCGCGTAATGCGGGGTGGCACTGGTCTAGGACCCTCTGGGACCATGCCTCTTGCCGTTCCGACGCTCTGTCCGCCTCTCGCACACGCAGGATACCATAAACGCCACACTAGTCCTTCCCACAAATATTCCCGCAACACCACATGCACATCCTCGCCATCCCCTCCCCCGCGGTCCTCTCCCGCCGAGCATGCACCCATCCTCCCCGTCTCGCCAGCAGCGTCGATCTTTCACGCACTCCGGCGCCCACGACGATGCACAAATTCAGTATTTTCGTCTCCAGCAGAGCGGATTGAGTCCAGCATCCGTCGCAACCGCATCCCTCGATGTCGAGGAGGCCGCGCCGCCTGACTCCCGCCCTGAACATGTTCTTGCTACCTTCGCACCCGCGGCCGGCTCGCATCTGGCTCCTCAGGCCGTTCCCATCAATTTTGGCGCGCCATGTATGTCTTCCAAACGCGTGGCTTGGTCATGCGCGCTGAACGCGTTCTACTTGCCTTTCAGCTACCTCTGCGCGCGACGAATCAGCTGTAGCCGCGCCAGCCCCGAGACCACATCGCGCACCCGTGTCCGAGGCCGCCAACTTACCTTCAGATGAATCATCTTCGACACAAGTAGCACCGACTTTTGTCCAACCCCAGAGAGACCAACCCAGTCCATTTGCGACCACCCTCTCACGCGATGCCGCCATGACATACGCATATCATTTATACAACACCCCCGGACGCCCACAGCCAGCGGGTCTAACGCCGTCTCTAATACTGCCCACGAGCGCGCCTGCTTCACTCTCCACAGAGAGCATATACAGGCTCCAGCTTATGCCGCTCCTTTCCACCCTGCGGTCTCTCCACCCGCGACACGTCCCCGTATTGCTTCTACTCGCTTGCACTCACTATGCGCTCGGTGACTACCAGACGAGTCTCTCGCTCAGTTCCGACATCCTATCGATTGACCCCGAATGCGTGGAGGCTATGTCCAACGTGGGTACCACTTACAAAGCCCTCGGCCAAGAAGATCAGGCGTACGAGTGGTGGATGAAGGCCTTGCGCATACGCCCTACCTACTGGGACGCAATGGTGAGTCAGATACGTACCGAGCGCCTGCCATAACGCGCTCTGACGCGGCTTCCTAGGATAACATACTTGGCAAGCTCTTCTATGTGGCCCAAGACGCGCCAGATAACAATCGCCGCCTGGAAGCGTACTCCCAGGCCTTGCGCGTGTGCGAGTCTGTTATCAACCAGGTCGTACAGGACGATGGCCGACTCAGGATGCCCGTACGGATCGATGAGATACATCGTCTCCAGCGAGTGTTCTTCACCACAGCCACCCTCCGGACTCTGATCTCACCGCACGGGATCCTCGATGCCATACACGACTACTGGCGCGCGATCGAGCTCGTACTACGCCCGCCTCCGCCATACGCGTACGACGAATGCTACAACATGCGCGACCTCCTGGTAGCCACCTGCGTCGCAGGGTATATGATATCCTCCTCGTCCAATGGACCGGTTCCCGACGAGATCATGGAGAGCCTCAGCCTCGAGGGCCAGCCGTCGTTCGCGGAGCTCATCCACCAGCCGCCCCTCAACCTTTTCCGCGTCGTACACGCGTCGGGTGAGCGTGTGCTCAATGTGCTGCTGCACCTGGGCGGGGGCGTCCTTCCGACGTTGCTCCTGCTCCCGGACCAGGTCATGCGCTTGCCGATGGTGCTCTTCCCCTTCTCGCTCGGCGTGCCGCCTGCAATCTGTGCGCGAAATCCGGACACTGGCCAGCCCGACCTCCCTCCCGAGAGCACGCGCCAGAAGACAAACCTCATGACGAGCACCGTCCTACTCACCCTCGCGAAACGCCTGCAAGACGAATCTCTCGCGAACGTGCGCCTCCCTGGGCTCGGCGGCCCGGTCAATGTCAGTGTGTCCTTGGTTATAGTGCTTTATTACATGGCGCTGTCGATATCACCGTCTCCGTCGACGTATAACAATCTAGGCATTCTGTTGTGTGCGCTCTCTGACAGCAGGATCATGCGGAATCCCCAGGGACATAAGGACCTGCTGAACGGTCCTACCCTCGCGCGGTTCTGTTACCAAGCCGGCTTGCAACTCGACCCGAACCATCCGCACCTCCTGACAAACCTGGGCTCGCTGCTGAAAGACCAGGGTCGCGTGGAAGAAGCCATCGAGTAAGCTTTCGGCACCGCACCGTGCTGAAGAGACAGTTCCTGATCCCGATACCATTAGACTGTACATGAAGGCCATAAGGAGAAAGCCCGATTTTGATATTGCCCTTGCCAACCTGGGCAATGCCGTCAAAGATCTGGTTCGTCGGGGAATGTTTGCTCCGCGCAGCGTGTTGGGACTGACATCTCCACACGACACCGCCAGGGTCGATCCTGGGATGCCATCGAGTACTACCGCCGCGCCGTCAGCCTGAATCCCGATTTGCCCGAGGCCACGTGCGGCCTGGTGAACTCGCTCTCCGCGATATGCGACTGGCGCGGGCGCGGGTCGGTGCCCAACGAGATCGGGGTGGACGAGCACGGCGGGATCATCATGCCCAGCGACGCTGGCAGCCCCGGCTGGATCACGAAAATGATCGAGATCTGCGAGCGGCAGATCGACGCGGCGTACATGCAGAACGTCGGGATCATCAGGAAATCGGCGAGCATGGAGGAGTGGCTGCGGTCGTGGAGAACGCGCAGGGGCGCGCGCTGCGCGAGGACGAGAAGGCGCGCTGGCGCGGGTGCCTGCAGCGCTACTACGACGACGACGACCGCGTGCGCAGCGGCATCAACGAGGTCGGGTTCCTGATCCGGTTCATGGACTGGGTGCAGCCCAGGCTGCAGCGCCAGTGGTACATCCAAGCGTTCGGCAAGATCGTCTCGTCGGACGAGCCCATGTTCGACACCCTACCGGAACTGGAGCACCGCTTCCTGAGGCCGGTGCTCCCGGCCAACATGACGAGCCCGCCCGTTCCGTCCGTCCTTCCATTCCATACGGTTCGTTTGTTACGTGCTGGCATTCGGGTCTCTGACTGACCGCTAGGACGCAGTTCACGTACCCACTTAGCCCGCGCGCTGCCCGCCTCGTTGCTCATCGAAATGCGCTTAGGATTTCATTCATGGCGCATTCGCAGACGTGGGTCCCAAAGCACGTCTACCGCCCGCCACCGCCGCCCGTGGGCGGTAAACTGAATATTGGTTACGTTTCAAACGACGTGAAGTGCGTAGTTCAAGCTGACTTGACCTGCGTTCACTCATCAACACCGACAGCGACCACCCGCTCTCGCATTTGATGCAATCAGTCTTTGAGTTCCATGACCGTAGTAGGTTCAATGTCTTCCTGTATACAACCAGTCCATGGGATGGCACAGACTACCGACCGCGCATCGCATCGCGTGTAGAGTACTTCCGCGATGTGTCGACCTGGTCCGCTCGTGATATTGTAGACGATATCCTGCGTCATAACATACACATTCGTGCGTAGTCCGTGTCCGCTGCCTTCCGTTTATCGTCCTGACATCGTTTCAGTGATCAACCTTGGTGGTTATACCAAGGGTGCCCGGAACGATATATTTGCGGCTCGTCCTTGCCCTGTGCAGATGCAGTGCATGGGATACGCAGGCACCTTGTCGGCAGGTCTGCTGCAGGTCTCCTCTGCTGTATTCAGGGACTCACACTGCGTCTGCTTGCTAGGATGGTGCGACTATCTTTTTTGTTGCATGATTTCGTGTCCTCCGGAGATGAGTGCCGCGGAGTTTTGGCGGCACAATCGCGGGAAAGACAAAGAGACGATGCATGTCACCTTTGATTTCGACGCCGATGCCGATCCAGAGGCTCGGTCAAATGGGTGGATGTAGTACGTGGCGACGCGCTCCCCCCGATTGTGTACGGATTGACGGTAATGCTGCAGCACCGAGAAGTTCATCAACATTCCTGTGAGCATCGCAGCTGCCTTGGTCTGTATGCACAGGTGCTCAGCCATTGATCTAGCACTCTTTCATGGTCACTGATCACAAGCAGTCATTCCGCGAGGACGAGGGCCTCTCGGTACAGGAGAGAGCATGGGTCCCTACGGAAGAACTGTGGCGTAATGAAGAGAAACGAAGAGCGAATATGAGGCGCCAGATTTTCCCCGACCTACCCCAGTGAGTGAGCGGTGCGTCTTCCACGGTCACTATTAACATTGCCCTAGAGATGTAGTGATTTTTGCCAACTTTAGCCAGGTAAGGATAAGCATGCGTCGTGCTTCAATGGCCACTGATATGGTATACAGTTGTATAAGGTACATAGCACTTTTGAGTTGTATCTGCGTGGTATTTATAACCGACATCCTTCGTCCCCGTAGATCGACCCGGTAAGAGTGTCTTTGGTGGTCGAGGCAACAGCAGCGCTGACGATACAACAGGGCATCCTTGCGGTCTGGCTTACAATACTTGCGCAAGTGCCGCGTAGCGTCCTGTGGCTCCTACGCTTCCCCGCAGCGGGCGAAGAGCACCTCCTACGTACCGCCCGAGCCTGGGCTGGCGAAGAAGTCGCGTCACGGATACGATTCACGAACGTAGCAAAAAAGGATGAACATGTCTATCGCGGTCGTGTTGCCGACCTATTTCTCGATACGGCAGAGGTTCGTAAAGCTGATATTGAATCGAGTGGTTCGGCTCACTTATTCTGATGTGCTCCAGTGCAATGCGCATACGGTAGCAGCCGAGTAAGCACTGCCATTTGGTGCGTTCCTCTTAGACTAAGTAATCACATTGGCCAGCGTTCTGTGGACCGGTACGCCGATCCTGACTATACCTAAACATCCGCACAAGATGTGCTCCCGTGTGGCGGCGAGTATGGCGAGTGCGACAGGGTTCGGGGATCAGATGACTGTAGAGACCCTGGATGAATACGGGCGCCGAGCAGTCGACCTCGCGCGGAGCGTGGAGTACGTCGACGAGCAGGATCCCACTGGCGTGACAATACCGAGGGGGCGCGGGGAGCTCATCAAGCTTCGCCGCAACATCTTCTTGAACCGGGATAGATCACCTTTGTTTGATACCATGCGGTGGACTCGCAACGTCGAGAAGGGCTACCGAGAGGCATGGAGGAGGTGGGTAGAAGGTACGCAGTATGAGATGTCGGATGAGTGGGAGGGGAGCGAAGGCGACGCAAAAGAGAGCAGTACTATATGGATACCTGATGAAGAGCCTCCGGACATAATCATATATGATTGAATTCTAATCTGTAGGGCATTTTGCGGCACTCCACCATGCATCATGGTTTGCTGAATATCTTGATAATTTATCAGTAGAGTCAAGTCTGTAGCCCGTAGACCACAACCTGTACGTAGACAAAACACTGTATCCATAGCAGATCCTTTCGCCATCCCCGCGGCTGGTATCATTTTATACGTTTTGGTATGCGCCAGGGGTGCCCTGCTGTGCAGGTGCGGGTACGGGTGCGGGCTGGGACGTTCCGAGTGGCCTCGGTGTCTGGATGTCGGGTTCGTCCACAGACTGGTAGCCCTCTCGTCCACCAGAAGTGAAACCGCCAGGCATAGACCAGACTGCGTGCACATGTCAGCGTAAATAGGGTGCGCGAATGCCTTCAAATCCTTACCCGTCGCGCCTGCAACGTCACCGCCGCGCAATCCGCTGAAGCCAGAGAAGTTACCACCCCGTGTCTGCAGAGCTGTGGCAAACACCATGGCAGTGGGTACCTAGTACACTCGGGTCAAGTCTCAGGTATGACGCGGTATTGAGTGGGTACCTTCAGAACAAGGATCAAGATGGTGAGCAACTTCATGAACCATCCCTGCTCATGGTTCCACATCCAGATGACGTCAAGAGGAATAGTCCCCACTACAAGATAGGTGAACTGAAGCGAAACGCACTGTCAGTACAGAGCATGAGTTGCGGGCAGGCCTAAGATGCTCACCATCTTCAGCGACTCCACGGCTTCTGCGGCCTCCTGAGCATAGAGACCGAAGAGGAAGATAGGCAGGTTGTAGTTCGGAGCGGCAAAAGCAGAGGTGAATACTGAGAGGGCCTAAAGAAGGACAGTAAGTAACACTAGCACGCACGCGGACTGCGACCTGCAGCTTACAGCCTCTGCTGCAACGAGCTTAGCGGTGTCGATGCGCGTCAAGAATTCAGCCATGGTGCAAAAGAGTGGGTACGTTGGTCGATATTGCTGGCCTTTGGGATGTTTGAGGTTGTAGGGAATGAGGGTAGAGAGCAGGTCCAGCACGGCACTGAACAGGGTTGACCGCGCGCGTCAGATCCCGCAGCGCGTCAGACGCGTCTTCGCACGGGCGTGTATGGGCGCCTACACGTCCAGCCTGGACGCTCACTGCGCACAGGTTGAGCGGAGAAAATCAGGGTCGTTATTAGCATTTCCAGACAGACAGACGGCGTCCTTATCCTACTTCTACAACTAAGTTATTGCGACGAGGACTAATATACCATGATCCAATTTTTGGAGTGATTCTATACTTCACCACCCAGACCTCCGCGACGACGACAAGCGACTGGGGGTGCTCGGCCTCGAGTTGTACGCCGAACCCATGTTGTACGCCGGCGTGGAGTACCCAGACCGGGTTCCGGGAAGACGGCTGTTCCCCCAAACCGGTGAGTCCATAGGCGTCGCAGGCCGCGAGTTGTGCTGCGACTGCATCGCAACACGGTAGGTGCTGTATTCGTTCAGAATCCGCACAATATCGCGCGTCATGACGTCCAGCTCCTTGACCTCCATTCCGGAGAGCGAACGGTCCTGCGGGTTATCATCCTCATCACCAGATTCGTCCTCGTGGACATCGTGACGTTGAGGCATGCGCCGCGCATTAGGCTTCGACTTGCCCGCTATGATGCCCTCGAAGACACGAAGCATGCAAGCCTCCATCAACCTCTTCAACCGCTCGAGGTCGTCCAAAGCGTCCTGGCGGCCGATGATGGGCACCACTCGTCGCACTCCAATCCACGGAACGTCACTTCGATGTTGTGTGCTCCGAAGAGAATATAGGTCAATGGGTCGAGTCGTGAGGTGGTGACAAGGTACATTTCCGGGTTAGACTGGCCAGATGTCAGGTTTTGGCGTTTTTCGGCGTAGGCAATGATCTGTTTCTCCGTCGCTGCAGAGTGAGGGTCTTCCGATTCAGGTCTTTCGCGCTTGCGGTGGTTCACACTTGATGGATGAATGAAGACTCTCTGGAGAAGATCAGGCATTAGTTCATGGTGAGAAGACGACAGCAAACTCCGCCCACCTTATCCGTAGCTGTCGGTACATCCGTTCTCCCGTACGAATAGCGAACTTCGGTTGAGAAGCAATAGCAAGGAGGGTGGCAAGGAGGGGAAGTGAGTCGGCATTGCTGTTTAGCTCCGGCGGCACACCACCTCTTCTCATGTCCGTCCGTCCCGAGACATCGCCACCAGCTGAAAGGTCAATGACACCGATGGTGTACAACGACTGCAGGAGGTGGTCCTTGATCTTTTGGATCATGAGCAGCGTGGGCTTCGCCAAGAAGTTCTCCGAGCAAAATCGGTTCGCTTGCACGTACATACCCTTGCTCTGCATCTCCCACCACTGGTTGTACGCCCGGAGGGTGGCCAGAGCATCGGACCGGAAGTCATCCGTCGTGAAGGAGTTTTTCCTAGCGGCAGCCTCGAGCTTGAGGTGCATAGGCGCAAGGAACGGATCGCGGTTCGTCAGTATCGCGGCGAGCGTCAGCGCCTGATCCAGACATCTGAAGAAGCTGCCGTAGAGCACCAGCCTTCCCATCTGGACATCCACTGGGATCTGGAGAAGCACGCGGCCGAGGGAGGTCAAGTTGTGCTGTTGGTCGAGGGCCCCGACCATCTCCAGCGCCTTCATGGCTGCCACGACGCGGTCTGACGCAGGCGGCTCGATCGTCTCCGCCAGCACCTCCTCGACAGTCATCCCAGGGAAGTTCAGCGCCTTGATGTGCATGACGACGTTGCTCAGGTCGACGCGCTTCATCTCGACGGTCTGGTGCGGGTGCAGGGCGTCGGAGAACCTGCGCGTCAGGATGCCGTAGTATTCGCCTGGCCTGTGACGTCCGGCACGACCCGCGCGTTGGTTCAGGTTGGAAGAGCCAACCCATGCGGATACGAGGGAGGAGATGTGACGCTCGGGGTCGTACCGTTGCTCTTTCACCCGCGCCGTATCGACGACATACACGACATCCGGAATAGTCACCGACGTCTCAGCGATGTTTGTTGCCAGAATGATCCGGCGCACTCCTTCAGGCGGTGGCTCGAAGATAGCCTGCTGCTCCGCGATCGGGACGGACGAGTGGAGAAGGTGCAGGCTGTACTTGCGCGAGTCGTTGAAGTTGATGTCGAGGAGATTTCCGCCAGTCAAGCCCTGCAGGCACTTCTGGACAGACATGATGTCGTCCCAGCCCGGAAGGAAGCACAACACATGCCCATCCTCCGACCTGCGTAATACATGCGCAATCGTCAGCGCAACCAACGAAGCAGGCATGTCCAAGTCATCGTCCCGTGAGCTGTCGGGCCCAGCGGAAGCAGGTACTGGCATGTCAGAATCATGGCCGCGGCCGCGGCGCATCGTCGTACCCGTCATACCAACAACAGCGGTAGAACCCAGTTGGTGAGTCAGGTACTTCTGGACGCTATCCTCTTGGAACACCCATGATGCACTACGCTCCTTCGAAACTTCGGGCAAGAACTCGTCGAGGAACTTCTTGGTAACAGGGAACGCCCGCCCAGGGATCTCGATAACGCTCGCAGGCCGGTTCTTATCGTCCGGGAAGTACTCCTGGAAGAGTTTCGAGTCGATGGTGGCGCTCATGAGCACGACCTTCAGAGGCTTTCCGCGTGCCTTGCGGTCCGCGATCATCCGCTTCAGAACGACGAGCAAGAGGTCGTGTCCACATCCCGCTCGTGCACCTCGTCGACGAGTATATGCGTGACGTCGTCGAGGCTGCGCCCGGCCGAACTGTTCCCCTCGAGCGCGCTCTGCATGCGCTTAAGGAAGATACCAGTCGTGCAGAACGTCACGGAACCGTGCTCCTCCGGCAGATTGTGCTCGAACCGGACTTGGTACCCAACGCCCGACCCACGGCCCACCGTCTCCGAACGCTCCTTCGCGACACGATCCGCCACGCTGATAGCGGCAATACGCCTGGGCTGCGTGCATACGATGTTGCATTTTGCGCCCTCCCCGCGGTCGATCATTTCGTCGAGGATGATCTGCGGGATCTGCGTCGTTTTTCCGGAGCCCGTCGCGGCCATGCAGATAGTGACTTCGTTGTCGCGGATGTGCTCCAGCAGCTCCGCAGATTTCGTGTATACCGGAAGGCCAGCGCGCTGCTCGCGCATCTTTACAACCTTCGGGTCGGTAGAGACGAGGTATTCCTCGCGCCGCTGCTTCAGCTGCGCGGACTTATTCTCCAAGAAGGTATGCGGGACTGGTCTGCGATACAGCAGGCGAGGGCCGCTGGGAACGCTCGATCCTTGGGCTTCGTCATCCGGTTGCGCGCCAGACTTCGTATATGGCCGGTTTTGGTACAGTTTACTCTTTCTGATGTCATTGCAGAGATCCTCGATACGGTCCTGCAGCGACTCGTCGATCTGGAAGAGCACCCGTGGCGCGAGACCGAGGTCCTTGCCAGTCTTCTGGTCCTTCAGAAATTCCGCCCAGATCTGGTGATCGCACTGTTCGAGGTACTGAGTCACGTCTACATAGCAACTCAGCATGGAGTTCTTTTTGTTGGTGCCCTTGCTGAAACCGATCCGCCGCCCGTCGACGATCATTTCCGCCTGCCATGCCGTCGCGCCACCACCACGATGTGGGGTTTTGAAGGGCGTATACGTGAGTTCAGGGCGGCCGAAGCCGAAGCGACGGCAGTAGTACTCCATGAACTGGCGTGCCTTTTCATAGTCCACCTTGGTCCCGTCAGAGAGAGAGATCTCCGTTGGAGAGTATGCTACGTCTTCTGCAGGAGCCTTTTTGGCTTGTTTTGCACCCGAAGACTTGCTAAACTGAAATGATCACGACCATCAGTGACAACCGAGAGCGACAGAGAACTAGGAACGACGCCGTGCATGAGCGTGACAGCGCCAGGACGACCGCACCAGGTGCGCCGCCTCGAACGGTCACTTGAGTAGGACGAACGTGCAGAGCAGGTTCGCGCCTCACAAGTGCCCGTTCGAGGCGACATGCAATATACCTGGCATCGTACACTGCCGCCAATGTTGAAGCAGTGTCATCAAGCGGTGACCTCGGTCGTCCCGGCCGCTTGCAGAAGGGAGGGGATGGGGGTGAGAGGTAAGGAGACATCTGGATACGCACCACACCAAGACCGTCCAACTGATATAACGCGCTCAGCGCCGCCAGCTTCTCAGACTCCTTCCTGTTGGCATGGTCTCCGCCTGCTGTGATATCGATATCGGGGCCTTGTACTCGGACTGTCGTTCTCCATAGCGTCTGCCCGTTTGCGGCGATGCCCAGCACGGACTCGTACTCGGGCATGGTGTTGAGCGTACCCTTGCAGTAGTTCGTGAGCGGAGACTTTGGATTTTCAGCCCATAGTGTCTTCAGAGGCTTCGTCTCGAATGTCGACCGAATGTAGTCCTCGCTGCACACCGGCTCGGGCAGTGTAGGTTGCTGCCGTCCTGAAGCAGCCGGCGCTTTGCCTCGGCGACCCTTACTGCTAGACGAGCGTGAAGGACCTGGTGGAGGTGCGCGAGCAAGATGAGACATTGGGCGGCGCGAAGTAGAGCCTGAAGGTGTCATGGTGGACCTGGAGGACGAGGGGAGATGGTCGCCTTCTACTTTTGGGACCTTGCCGGGGCGCTGGTCGGGATCAGATGGCGGACGAGTGGACGGCGAGGGGGTGCGAGAGAAGGGGCGCTTGAGGGACGGGGACGAGGAGAGAGCGAAGCGTTTAGCAGGGTCTACTTGCATGAGGAAACTGCGCCTGGGCAGAAGAAAGGCAAGGCGCATATGTGACAGCCAACCGACACCAATCTGCGGACGCATCAGGCTTGAGCTTGCTCGCAGGAGCATTCCCGGGTCGCGACTAACCTGCAGCACTACCTGCCCTTGCTCTTTCACAAGTACGGGCACGAAGTGTTAGCACCCTGTGCAGTCGACGACTCAAGCCTGCTTTGACGGCGGCGGTGGGAGATGAAGGACACAAAGCCGTGCTAGCGACTGTCCGCCCGCGCCCTCCGCCCGGCTAAAGCGACGTCAAATTGCCCGCCACCGCACCGGCAATTTCCGACAGCCTCGTTCACTCGTTAGACTTGTGTTTTGTCTGGCCAAGTGCATCACCATTCGCTATCCTCAACACTACGCCTCGCTCTTTCTGTGCAGCAATTGCGTTTTGTGAGTGAGTGAGACGGGACATCGCGGCATAGGTTCTGAGAGTCTAGTACGTATTCAATACGTACGTGGTAACTGAGTATCGCTGATCCACCTGCACAGGCCATTCTGCCCCGTTGGAGCTCTACACTCTATACGTTGTGCATCACCGTATGAGCTTGGCCAACAGCGTCATCGTCCTCTCAGGCTCGTTCCAGTGCGGCTACGCAAACCGTCAGAGCAAATCCACTAATTCCCGGCCTTCGACTTACCATATGGTTTGCGCCCCGGTATCGGATGAATTCCACTTCCTTGCACCTTCTGGCCAGTCTTGCATCTGCCGCGCAAAATGCCATGCAGCCATACTACCTCTGCAACGGACTTGTCGCACCAGACGAGCTTCGTCTGCAGATGTGGCCAAGTTGACGCGTCGCACATACCCAACTGCACCATCTCCCTGTGCACCGCTTCGCCGAAGTTCATATGCAGCAACTGGGATCGCTCGGCTACCCCTGAATCAGTGACTTCGTCGTGCTCTTGATACAACACACGGTCGGCGCTGTCCATGTGCTCCGAAGACGAATCTGTACTGGGATATTGGACAAGACCCGCGCGCACTTCTTCTAGCGTCGCAAAAGGGAACGTTATGATTTCCGGGATTCGATGCGCGTAATATGCTGTCACCCAGCGTTGGAATGCGCGGCCTTTGTCCTTTGCTAAGATCCGCGTGTCGAGGAGTGGATGGTACAACCCCGCCACGGCTTGCATCGGTACGCCCAGCGCATGGCAACTACCATCTGGATTACAGTGCGTGGACTGAGACATTGAAAACTCATTCGTCGTGGAAACCTCACTAACTCACCCAGGAAAATGATGCTTTTTAAGTACGAACCCAGCCTCCACTTGTCTTGCTGCGGGAGTGTCGCTGCCTGTGCCAGGAATGCCATCGCTATAGCGACCCCCCATGACCAGGCAAGGAGAGCCAGTCCGCCTCCGCAAGTGTTGTGGTCTACCTGAGGACTGGGTGCTACAGGAATATTTTCGTTCAGGATGTACCAGCGTAGGAATGTGGCGATCTCCAATCCGCGCTGTTGCAGGATTGATCGTTGCGTTTCTAGCTTCGTGCTCCTTAGTGCACACAGCTCGGCCCAGGAATATGAAGTCGACCCGGGGTAGTCGCGTAAGTTCACCATGACAAGACGTATGCCACGTTGCAGTGCGTAAGGAATCATGGGCTTGAAGATCGCTACAGGACGTTCATTCTTGTCACGCACAACTCAATTGCATGTCGAGACAAGATTGCTCACCGCCGTGGAAGACACCACCGTGTAGGAGCACAAGAGTCGTGTAATTCGGACAGGCCCATGGTATACCGCTATCCTCGTACCATAGGTGCGTTCCCTTGTCGTCTACTGGGGCTAATGGCATAGTGAGTTGGCTGACAGGGGTTGGTCTCCTAGGATCGGCCTAATTGCGCTCGTCCAGGTGGGAACATAGCCTGTTCGCTCCCTTGATACCATCACTGCTGGTGCGTGCGAGTGATAGTACTGCGGGTATCAAATCGCAACAATCGTCTCCGAACAATGGTGCACAATGTATGGTGAACGGAGGCATGTCTCGTCCTGAGATCGCTCTCGCAACATATGTAGCGGTGCGTGTTTCCCAAGTGTATCGAGTGGCAGCGGCAGGTCGTAACTCACAGTCTTGATAGTCGAGACGACTCCGACCACAGTGATGTATTCTAAGCGTACCAGATGCGTTACCTAGGCTGTCGAGGAGCGCTGGGACATAGCGGCCGCCTAACCGCACTGGCGTCTGCGGCAGAGATGCCCCAGCGGCGCGGTGTTGATACGACTCCGACTTGATCTAGGTTTGCTCGACGAGGAATCCGAAATATCGAGGTAAGAACCTAACGGAGGGAAGAAAACTGCGTAACTGATGTACGAAGTACGATTAGTATCACTATTTAAGCCTTCCGCAGTCCAGGTTTCCACTACGATGCTGGACTGGCAACAAGATGCCTGCGGATATGATTGCAGAGCAAACTCAGATCAATTTGGCCAGGAGGTTCATGGTACGGTCCGGCTCGTCCCAATGCGGCTGAAGACGGTTGATCAGACTCGGCGACCTGAAAGGGGGTTCAACGGTCTACTCACGAAATGGTTAGCTCCTTCAAACCGCACAACGTCGATCTTCCTCGCGTTCGAAGGCCAAAGGTCCTGGATCTGCCTCGCGAGATACCAGGTAGACATCACTGTCTCCGGAGGGGACATGTCGCACCACACCAACGATACGCGGAGGCGGGGACACGTCGACGCATCCAGCAACGCAGCATCCAGGTTCTCCTTGCACAGCGCTGGGTCTACGTTGTAATAGAGAGGGTGTGAGCGCGTGATGACTGCCGGGTCTGTGATCTCCGCGAGCTCCTCCGCTGACATGTTGACCACAGAGGGCACACGGTTCGGGGGCGGGTCCCTGATAGGCGCCTCGGCGATTCCCTTGCGCAACTCGTCAAGCGTCACAGACGGGAAGGAGGAAAGGAGGGAAGGTGAGTGAGCATAGTAGCCGGACACCCAGTGCGCAAAGGCCGCGCTCTTCCCCTCGGCCGGAATCTTAGGATCCCGAGTCGGAGAGTACATCCCTTCCATGATTACACGCGGGACACTGGACGAAAATTGCGATATTTTCATGTGAAAGATTGTAAACAAGAGGCCAAACAATTTTTGTGTATTTCATCTGAGAATGATCTTCAAAATGATTGAAAATATCTTTGCTCTCCTTCTTAGTGAAAGATTGGAAAAGGATTGATGAGAGCTTTGAAATCATTTGATTGCTGTCATACATGTGTCTTTCTGCCTCAATGATTCAATAAGTATATGAGGCATACTAGCAATCAATTTGACTCTAATGATTACAGAAAGATACAAAACCAGAACTTGAAGTCCTGATTGTCAATCCTTGCTTGAACTTTCTGTTGAGAATGATAGTGATTTGGTTTTGAATCTTATGGCCTTGAAGTATTGAAGAAAGATGGTAAACAATGATCATAGAACAGGATTTCAAATCTTATTAACAGATTTTGTGGCCAATGATAAGAAGGATATTATGAATCCAGTCTCTATCAGTGTACATCTTGCTACAGTGCATATTGTGTCATGTTCTGCATATGTTTACTAGGTTTTATCATGAATGATTTAAAAAAGATTGCAGACATTTTTCTCTATCTTTTGGCAAGAAGGATCACTTTATTATGCTAGATGGCCAGGCATCATGGTTGTATGGTACATCTGTGATCCAGCCATCATTCATTCAGAGATCATTAGCTTTGAAAGATATATAATGGATTGTCACACCCTGTTATGAATCCTTTTGCCATCATGTTCCATGAAGGATGTCAAAATGATTGTCACACCCTGTTATGAATCTTTTTGTGATCACTTTCCTCAAAAGATACATAAATGATTGTGACAGACTGTGAATTTGCAAGGGGTTTAACTCAGTCACAAACAGAGCTATCATAGCAGCAATCATGTACAGCTGTGGACACTGTGCCACTGTGGTGGTCCCTGCCAAACAGAGGCTATGAATGGTCTGTGCCACATGCATTCCATATATGACATTCTCTTTTGCTCAATCAGGGTCAGCATTTACCCCCATTCACAATGTACACAGAAGTGCAGAGTACAACACAACTTACTTCCAAGTGTAGTGTGTGATGCAGGAATGTATTGTACATGCTACAATACACACTGAGATGTACATTGTGAGTGGCACAGCACATTGATGTACTTCAATGAATGTGATGCACATCTGGATATACATTGTACATAGTCATATAGAGCATGGCCTGCTTGGTCAAGGCCAATGTATGTGGGAATGTATCATACATGCTACGATGTACACTGGGATGTACATTGTGAGTGGCACAGCACATTGATATAGTTCAGCCAATGCAATGTACATGTGGATGCACATTATGCATAGTCACCAGAGCATGGCCTGTTTTATCAAGGCCAATGTATGCAAGATTGTACTGTACATGTAATGATGTACATTGGGATGTACAATGCAAGCGGCTGAGCATGTTAATGTACCTCAACAAATGCCATGTGCATCTGTATATACATTGTGCATTGCCAATAGACCATAGCCTGCTTGGTCAAGATCAATATATGCAGGAATATACTGTACTTGATACAATGTACACTGGGATGTACATTGTGAGTGGCACAGCACATTAATGTACCTCAACAAATGCCATGTGCATCTGTATGTACATTGTGCATTGCCAATAGACCATAGCCTGCTTGGTCAAGGTTAATATATGCAGGAATGTACCATACATGCTATGATGTACACTGGGATGTACATCATGAGTGGCACAGCACATTAATGTACCTCAATAAATGCAATGCACATCTGGATGTACATTATGCATAGTCAAATGGAGCATGGCCTGCTTCATCAAGGCCAATGCACATGGGAAAATATCATACATGCTACAATGTATACTGGGATGTACATTGTGAGTGGCACAGCAAGTTAATGTACTTCAGCCAATGTGATGTGCATCTGGATGTACACTATGCATAGTCAATAGAGCATGGCCTGCATGGTCAAGGTCAATGTATGCAGCAATGTACTGTACATGCTATGATGTACACTGGGATGTACATAGTGAGTGGCACAGCACATTCATGTACTTTAATGAACATAATGCACATCTGAATGTACATATTGCATTGTCAACAGAGCATGACCTGCTTGGTTAATGTTGGTGTATGTGGCAATATACTGTATGTGCTACATTGTACATTGACATGTACACTGCAAGTAGCAGAGCACATTGATGTACTTCAACCAATGCAACATACATCTCAATGTATATTGTGCATAGTGGCATGAGTGAGTAAACCATGCTCTATTGACTATGCACAATATACATTGAGATGTATGTTGCATTGGTTGAAGTACATCAATGTGCTCTGCTACTTGCAGTGTACATGTCAATGTACAATGTAGCACATACAGTATATTGCCACATACACCAACATTAACCAAGCAGGTCATGCTCTGTTGACAATGCAATATGTACATTCAGATGTGCATTATGTTCATTAAAGTACATGAATGTGCTGTGCCACTCACTATGTACATCCCAGTGTACATCATAGCATGTACAGTACATTGCTGCATACATTGACCTTGACCATGCAGGCCATGCTCTATTGACTATGCATAGTGTACATCCAGATGCACATCACATTGGCTGAAGTACATTAACTTGCTGTGCCACTCACAATGTACATCCCAGTATACATTGTAGCATGTATGATATTTTCCCATGTGCATTGGCCTTGATGAAGCAGGCCATGCTCCATTTGACTATGCATAATGTACATCCAGATGTGCATTGCATTTATTGAGGTACATTAATGTGCTGTGCCACTCATGATGTACATCCCAGTGTACATCATAGCATGTATGGTACATTCCTGCATATATTAACCTTGACCAAGCAGGCTATGGTCTATTGGCAATGCACAATGTACATACAGATGCACATGGCATTTGTTGAGGTACATTAATGTGCTGTGCCACTCACAATGTACATCCCAGTGTACATTGTATCAAGTACAGTATATTCCTGCATATATTGATCTTGACCAAGCAGGCTATGGTCTATTGGCAATGCACAATGTATATACAGATGCACATGGCATTTGTTGAGGTACATTAACATGCTCAGCCGCTTGCATTGTACATCCCAATGTACATCATTACATGTACAGTACAATCTTGCATACATTGGCCTTGATAAAACAGGCCATGCTCTGGTGACTATGCATAATGTGCATCCACATGTACATTGCATTGGCTGAACTATATCAATGTGCTGTGCCACTCACAATGTACATCCCAGTGTACATCGTAGCATGTATGATACATTCCCACATACATTGGCCTTGACCAAGCAGGCCATGCTCTATATGACTATGTACAATGTATATCCAGATGTGCATCACATTCATTGAAGTACATCAATGTGCTGTGCCACTCACAATGTACATCTCAGTGTGTATTGTAGCATGTACAATACATTCCTGCATCACACACTACACTTGGAAGTAAGTTGTGTTGTACTCTGCACTTCTGTGTACATTGTGAATGGGGGTAAATGCTGACCCTGATTGAGCAAAAGAGAATGTCATATATGGAATGCATGTGGCACAGACCATTCATAGCCTCTGTTTGGCAGGGACCACCACAGTGGCACAGTGTCCACAGCTGTACATGATTGCTGCTATGATAGCTCTGTTTGTGACTGAGTTAAACCCCTTGCAAATTCACAGTCTGTCACAATCATTTATGTATCTTTTGAGGAAAGTGATCACAAAAAGATTCATAACAGGGTGTGACAATCATTTTGACATCCTTCATGGAACATGATGGCAAAAGGATTCATAACAGGGTGTGACAATCCATTATATATCTTTCAAAGCTAATGATCTCTGAATGAATGATGGCTGGATCACAGATGTACCATACAACCATGATGCCTGGCCATCTAGCATAATAAAGTGATCCTTCTTGCCAAAAGATAGAGAAAAATGTCTGCAATCTTTTTTAAATCATTCATGATAAAACCTAGTAAACATATGCAGAACATGACACAATATGCACTGTAGCAAGATGTACACTGATAGAGACTGGATTCATAATATCCTTCTTATCATTGGCCACAAAATCTGTTAATAAGATTTGAAATCCTGTTCTATGATCATTGTTTACCATCTTTCTTCAATACTTCAAGGCCATAAGATTCAAAACCAAATCACTATCATTCTCAACAGAAAGTTCAAGCAAGGATTGACAATCAGGACTTCAAGTTCTGGTTTTGTATCTTTCTGTAATCATTAGAGTCAAATTGATTGCTAGTATGCCTCATATACTTATTGAATCATTGAGGCAGAAAGACACATGTATGACAGCAATCAAATGATTTCAAAGCTCTCATCAATCCTTTTCCAATCTTTCACTAAGAAGGAGAGCAAAGATATTTTCAATCATTTTGAAGATCATTCTCAGATGAAATACACAAAAATTGTTTGGCCTCTTGTTTACAATCTTTCACATGAAAATATCGCAATTTTCGTCCAGTGGGACACCGAGCCCGTGACGGCTACAGTCTACAGTAAACCTAGGTGAGCCAATCTGTCATGGACACGATGACGCGACCGAAAAGAACACAAAAGCCACACAAAAACCCAACCGTGAGGTCGAGCAGTGGTATGCGAGGCCTCTGCGTCTATGAGATGTACGGGGGACTGTACAGTGGTCTAGGTAAGAAGGAGGAGGACGGACAAGACTCCGAACGACGTGTGAGAGCTTCGAAGATGTCGAAGACTGTTCGAAGGCGAGGGCTAAGCCTCGAGGGTAGGAAGGAGGGTTTCGACAGACGTGTCGAACGAATGGTAACAAGGAAGGCGAGCGACGGCAGGAGAAGAAGTGTAGAGCCTCTCGGGGCAACTACGAGCTGGCGAACGTACTGACGAACTGGCTGACTGACTGACTGGCTTCGAACGTACTGGCTGACTGGCGAACTTGCTGACTTTCGAACGTACTGACTGGCTGACGAACCTCGCCG